CTACCTTATGCTCAGCAAACGGGATACCAACCAGATTTCACTTCTCTGCTGCAACATCTTGTGAGGACCAACCCGGACAAGGGCTCAGAGTTCGCAACTCAGCTTGCGAATAACCCAGGAGGCCCATTGGTTGATGTCAACAGGGTTGTCGATATCTTCATGTCGCAAAATATGATCCAGCAAGCTACTGCCTTCCTGCTGGACGCTCTCAAGGACAATCAGCCCGAACAAGGTGATATGCAGACCCGACTGCTCGAGATGAATCTCATGAACGCTCCTCAAGTTGCCGATGCTATATTGGGAAATGAGATGTTCTCTTACTACGATAGAGCACGTATTTCGCGTTTGTGTGAGCAAGCTGGTCTTTTGCAGCGTGCCCTCGAGAACACCGACGAGCCTGCCTCTATAAAGCGAATCATTGTCCAGACAGATAAACTTCAACCGGAATGGTTGCAGCAATATTTCGGCAAATTGTCTGTCGAGCAGTCTCTCGACTGTATGGATGCTATGCTCAAATCCAACATTCGCCAGAATCTACAGGCCGTCGTGCAGATTGCCACGAAGTTTTCAGATCTACTTGGTCCAAGCAATTTGATACAGCTTTTCGAACGATATAGAACCGCTGAAGGTCTTTACTACTACCTAGGCAGTATCGTCAACCTTAGCGAAGACCAAGAAGTTGTCTTCAAATATCTCGAAGCAGCTGTTACGATGCAGCAATTCCCCGAAGTTGAACGTATTTGCAGAGAGAACAATCACTACAATGCCGAGAAGGTCAAGAACTTCCTTATAGAGGCACGCCTTTCTGAGCAATTGCCACTAATCATCGTTTGTGATCGCTTTAACTTTGTCAAAGATCTCGTCAACTATCTCTATCGAAACCAGCATTTCAAGTCGATCGAAGTCTATGTACAGAGAGTCAACCCATCCAGGACGCCATCGGTCGTAGGAGCTTTACTGGCTTTGGACTGTGAGGAAAGTGTCATCAAGAACTTGTTAGCATCAGTGGATCCCAATGCTGTACCAATGGATGAGCTCGTCCAAGAGGTTGAGAGTCAGAATCGCCTCAAGATCTTGTTGCCCTTCCTCGAAAGTACTCTCCAGGCAGGCAACCAACAGCCAGCTGTGTACAACGCTCTGGCCAAGATTTACATTGACAGCAACCACGATCCTGAAAAATTCCTCAAAGACAATGACCTATATGACACACTTTCGGTTGGTAAATACTGCGAGAAACGTGATCCTAATCTAGCATACATCGCTTACAGGAAAGGTCAAAATGACCTAGAGCTGATCAACATCACAAACGAAAATTCCATGTTCAGAGCCCAAGCACGATATCTTCTCGAACGTGCAGATCCCGAGGTCTGGTCATTTGTCCTCAATGACAACAACGTCTACCGACGCTCTTTAGTAGACCAGGTTACTGCAACAGCTGTGCCTGAGTCGACTGAGCCAGACAAGGTTTCCGTTGCTGTCAAAGCTTTCCTTGAAGCTGACATGCCAACTGAACTTATTGAGCTCTTGGAGAAGATCATTCTAGAACCATCACCATTCAGCGACAACTCCAACTTGCAGAATCTGTTGATGTTGACAGCTGCCAAGGCTGATAAGGGCAAGCTCATGGACTATATTCAGCGACTCAACGACTACAGCGTTGAAGAGATTGCAACCATGTGCATCGACCAGGGCTTGTACGAGGAAGCTTTCGAAATCTACAAGAAAGTCGATAATCATACTGCTGCCACGAATGTACTGGTGGATCACATCGTCAGTATTGACAGAGCACAGGATTATGCTGAGCGTGTCGACCTACCCGAAGTTTGGAGTAAGGTGGCCAAAGCACAACTCGACGGCTTACGGGTTACTGATTCTATTGAATCTTACATCAAAGCCAACGACCCATCGAATTTTAACGAGGTCATTGAGACAGCCACACACGCTGGCAAAGACGAAGACCTTGTCAAATACTTGAAAATGGCACGGAAAACTCAGCGAGAACCTGCTGTCGATACTGCCTTAGCTTTCTGCTATGCTCGCCTTGACCAATTACCTGAGCTTGAAGATTTTCTGCGTTCCACTAATGTCGCTGATGTTGAAGCGTCGGGTGACAAGGCCTACGAGGAGGGTTACCACCAAGCTGCAAAGATCTTCTATACTAGCATCTCAAACTGGGCAAAGCTCGCGACCACTTTGGTTCACCTGGGTGAATACCAAGCTGCAGTCGATTGTGCCAGAAGGGCGAACAGTGTCAAGGTTTGGAAGGAGGTCAATCAAGCTTGTGTCGCAAAGAAAGAGTTCCGACTGGCTCAGATATGTGGTCTCAATCTCATTGTTCATGCCGACGAGCTGCAAGATCTTGTGAAGCAGTACGAACGAGAAGGCTACTTTGAAGAGCTCATCTCTTTACTTCAGGCCGGTCTTGGCCTTGAGCGAGCACACATGGGTATGTTCACCGAGCTGGGTATCGCTCTGACGAAGTATCACCCCGACCAGGTCATGGAGCACTTAAAACTGTTCTGGTCCAGAATCAACATCCCTAAGATGATTCGAGCTTGCGAAGAAGCACATTTGTGGCCTGAACTGATCTTCCTCTACTGCCACTACGACGAATGGGATAATGCGGCACTGGCCATGATGGAACGATCAGCCGATGCATGGGAGCACCATTCGTTTAAAGACATTATTGTCAAGGTGGCCAACCTCGAAATTTACTACAGAGCATTGAGCCACTATTTACAAGAACAACCGTTGCTCTTGACGGATCTGCTCCAAGCATTGACACCACGAATTGACGTCAATCGCGTCGTCAGGATGTTCGAAAAGTCCGACAACATCCCGATAATCAAGCCATTCCTACTCAACGTCCAAGGTCAGAATAAGCGTGTCGTTAACAACGCCATTCACGATCTATTGATTGAAGAGGAGGACTACAAAACACTTCGAGACTCGGTGGAGAACCACGACAACTACGATGCCGTAGAACTTGCTCAGCGACTCGAGAAGCATGAGCTAGTCTTCTTCCGCCAGATCGCTGCTCAAATTTACCGCAAGACCAAGAGATGGGACAAATCGATTGCACTGTCCAAGCAGGACAAACTCTTCAAGGATGCAATTGAAACCGCCGCTATGTCGGGCAAGCCTCAAGTCGTCGAGGACTTGACTAGATATGTAAGTTTGCTCACTTCTTTAATTGCACTGTTACTGACGTTCCTTAGTTTGTGGACATCGGCAGCCGAGAGTGCTATGTTGGTATGTTATATGCATGCTACGACCTTCTTCCTCTACACGTTGTGATGGAAATCTCATGGCGACATGGCCTCAACGATTTCACCATGCCATTCATGATCAGCTACATGAGCCAACAAGCAGCTACACTTGCAGATTTGAAGAAAGACAACGACGAGCGCAAGGCTCGAGAAGCTTCACAATCCAAGGACGAAGACAACACACCGATTCTTGGCGGTGGTCGTTTGATGCTGACCCAAGGACCGACCAATTCAGCACCATCGCCTGCACCATTTGGACAAACGAACGGTATCACACCCCAGCCAACAGGCTTTCCCCGTGCATTTTAGGGAGATGCACAGACTGACCTGGTTACGTTGCACGAGAAAGATGCACATCCCGGTGTAACCTCTCTATTGTGAATGGATATGTTGATGAATACTGCTTCTATGTATGGTAAGAGGCGTTGAATGTTTTACGTGGTGAGTCTGAGCATACTGCATCTCGGGCACACAGCAGACTCGTGGGAATGTATCGTTTAGAATCGTACAGAGTGTAATCCGGTCAGGGCTATGTTGACTGTATGGCATGATTGTACGTTGAATTAAATAGGTGATGATCGCAGAATACAGCTCTAGGGAGCACGCCTGCTGCCAAGAGTAATATCAGCCTGCCATGATAATCTTGCTGCAGATCTTCCAACACGATCTTGGGCTCCTGAGATACTCGATCGTAAATGTAATTCGCTTATCAGGTCTGTTTCGGCTGAACATGTCACAGTTGTTCTCTTATCTAACAAAAGTGGATTTGTGGCACAAGTACTTCACATAGAGCAAGTTGCCATTTGCGAGACACTTTCAGCACGTAAAAGCGGTTATTCCCAGCCATCAAGCTTGTCGCCCTTTCACGAACAGCTTAAAAGCCGTGACACATCAAAGCAAGTCACCAAGACTTATGTGGGATAATGCAAAGACATACCTGATGTACTCCAGACTACAATTCACACCGCTGAAAGATTTCCTCAACAATTTACCTTGTTATCCTGGCAACGAGCTCAACCAGCTCAAGCAGGGCGGCAGGTAGACGAATATAGCTTCTTAAGCGCTCGGGAGCGCTAAGCAAAATACGGCTGGAGCAATTGGGTACAAAATGCACGTCCCGGTGGCCTTATTTCCTGTTGGCCGTACTGTACAAATAGGTCCGAGAGGGTTCTATTGTACGTACTCTTCAGTACTTTGAGGCAGATCCAGCCTGTTCCACGTATGTAGGAGCTCCTAGGATTTGTCCTTGTTTTCGCGTGTGAGCGAGGTCGCTGTCGTGGAAAACCTGAAGAAAGCCGAGGATAGGAAGATAAGGTCCTGGAAGAAGTAAAACGTGTGGGGTGATTTGATAACAAATTACGGAGTACCTGTGATAACCACCTTTTTGACCGGCAGATGCGAGGACGATAGACAGTGAATAGGTACTTTGAATATCACATGCATAAGCGGCAGGTACGAGGAAAGTAGCTCCTCCTTTAGCTCATTCCGTCATTACGAGTTATTGTGCCCTTGCTCTATTCTCCCCGAGCCAAAAAGTCAACAATCCAGTCGTATAAGCTACTCGTAAAGCTATTCTTGTGTACACCTCCTCATTATTACTACGTCTTATAGCTTTTACTATACATGAGCTACTCCTGAACCTCTATTGCCTTACTGTCTGCAGCTCTGGTAGCTGCAACGAGTGCAGCCTCAACCCCTCTATCTTCGCAGTAGCTGTAGACAGCAGCAGCCATGGCGACTCAAGAAGGGACCTCGACTCCTCAGGAGCACAATCCTCTAGAGCATACTGTTCACCACCGTCTCAGAGCTAACTCGACTATCATGCAGCTCAACAAGATCATGGTAGCCAACCGAGGCGAGATTCCTATTCGTATCTTTCGAACTGCTCACGAATTATCCCTCCAGACCGTAGCTATCTACAGCTATGAGGACAGATTGGGCATGCACCGACAGAAAGCTGATGAAGCCTATGTAATCGGCAAACGCGGACAGTATACTCCTGTTGCTGCCTACCTTGCTCAAGACGAGATCATCAAGATCGCAAAAGAGCATGGAGTTCAAATGATACATCCTGGTTATGGTTTCCTATCCGAGAACGCAGAATTTGCCAGAAAGGTCGAGGAGGCTGGTATCATATTCATTGGTCCTTCACACAAGACCATCAACGATCTCGGCGACAAAGTTTCAGCACGAAACCTGGCCATGAAGGCCAATGTTCCTGTCGTGCCTGGTACTGAAGGGCCTGTCGAGAAGTATGAAGACGTCAAGAAGTTCACTGACGAATACGGCTTTCCCATCATCATCAAGGCAGCCTTTGGTGGTGGTGGCCGAGGTATGCGAGTGGTCCGGGATCAGGAGAATCTCAAGGACTCCTTCGAAAGAGCCACTTCAGAAGCCAAATCTGCTTTTGGCAATGGTACTGTCTTCGTGGAGCGATTCCTCGACAAGCCTAAGCATATTGAAGTCCAGCTTCTTGGTGACAATCACGGCAACGTGGTGCACTTGTACGAACGAGACTGTTCGGTGCAGCGAAGACATCAAAAGGTTGTCGAAATTGCTCCAGCAAAGGATCTACCACAAGAGACTAGGGATGCTATACTCAACGACGCAGTCAGATTGGCCAAGTCTGCTGACTACCGCAATGCCGGCACAGCCGAGTTCCTGGTCGATCAACAAAATCGTTACTACTTTATCGAGATCAATCCACGAATCCAGGTAGAGGTAAGTACCACATCCCCATACATTATCTAATGCTAACAATCCTCTGGCACACGATAACGGAAGAGGTTACGGGTATCGACATCGTTGCTGCTCAAATTCAGATTGCCGCCGGTGCAAGTCTTGAACAGCTAGGTCTGACACAGGACCGAATTTCGCTCCGAGGATTCGCTTTTCAATGCCGCATCACAACAGAAGATCCTGCAAATGGCTTCTCCCCAGACACTGGCAAGATTGAGGTCTACCGATCTGCAGGTGGCAATGGTGTTCGTCTCGATGGCGGTAACGGTTTCGCAGGTGCTATCATCACTCCTCATTACGACTCTATGCTTGTCAAATGTACTTGCAGAGGATCAACGTACGAGATAGTCCGCAGGAAGATGCTACGAGCCTTGGTCGAGTTCCGTATTCGTGGTGTTAAGACAAATATTCCGTTCTTGGCCTCCCTGCTCACACATCCCACTTTCGTCGAAGGTAAATGCTGGACCACCTTCATTGATGACACACCGGAACTGTTCAAATTGGTTGGCAGCCAAAATCGTGCCCAAAAGCTGTTGCAATATCTCGGCGATCTGGCCGTCAACGGAAGTCAGATCAAGGGTCAAATTGGAGACTCCAAGTTCAGGGGCGACATTATCTACCCAACTCTTCATGACTCTAACGGTAAGGAACTTGATGTCTCGCAGCCCCCTACCAGAGGCTGGAAGAAAATCATCGACGAACAAGGACCTGATGCATGGGCCAAAGCTGTCAGAGCCAACAAGGGATGCCTCCTCATGGACACAACGTGGCGCGACGCTCATCAATCTCTACTTGCGACGAGGGTCCGGACCGTCGACCTATGCAACATCGCCAAGCAGACATCTCATGCTCTAGACAACGCCTGGGCTCTAGAGTGCTGGGGTGGTGCCACTTTCGACGTCGCCATGCGATTCTTATACGAAGATCCATGGGATAGACTGAGGAAGATGAGGAAATTGGTTCCCAACATTCCATTCCAAATGTTGCTCAGAGGAGCAAACGGTGTGGCATACAAATCCCTTCCTGATAATGCTATCTACCACTTCTGCAAACAGGCTAAGAAGAATGGCATGGACATTTTCAGAGTCTTTGATGCCCTCAACGACATTGACCAGCTCGAGGTAGGCATGAAGGCTGTGCAAGAAGCCGGTGGTGTTGTCGAAGGTACCGTGTGCTACAGCGGTGATAGTGAGTTATTCCATTCATTCAGATGGTGTCTATGCTAACAACTATACAGTGTTGGTAAGTTCATTTTTGATACTCTTTCCCTCCTAGCCCGGAAATACTCCAGGAACATGAGGTTACCTTTTTGGTGACCTTGCGGAGGACGCCCTACCACTACCGTTGCGACCACCACATCCGAAAAGAAAAATAGCTGAAAAGCTACCTGGGGGCACGCCCACGTAATTTTTGCCAGGATTTGCCAAATTCGATGCCTCTCTTGGGGCCGATAAACACACGACAAACAGCCACATGAATCTCGTCTTCCACCTCCTAGCTGGACACAACCCCAAGACTTCCTGGATTCTCGAACGACATCTGTTCCGTTACTCGCTTCATAAACTCTTTCATAATACCTCACTACAGCATCCTCTTCCATGATCTTCGCTAACGCTACTGTCTAGAACCCAAAGAAGAAGTACAACCTCGAGTACTACATGAACCTCGTCGACAAGATCGTCAAGATCGGAACGCACGCTCTAGGCATCAAGGATATGGCTGGTGTCCTCAAGCCGAAGGCGGCTCGAATCCTCATTGGCACAATCCGTGAGAAGTACCCAGACCTACCAATCCATGTTCATACGCATGACTCTGCCGGCACTGGCGTTGCCTCGATGGTGGCTTGTGCACAAGCTGGTGCAGATGCCGTTGACGCTGCATCCGACAGCATGTCCGGTATGACATCCCAGCCCAGCATTGGTGCCATTCTTGCATCTCTTGAGGGCACCGACCTCGATCCCGGTCTCAACGGCGAAAATGTACGAGCTCTCGATACCTATTGGTCCCAGCTCAGACTCGTCTACTCACCCTTCGAAGCTCACCTACTAGGTCCTGATCCTGTAAGTCTACCTTGTCTTTGGTCGATTGCCACTGCTAACTTGCTTCAAAGTCCGTTTACGAGCACGAAATTCCTGGGGGAGTAAGTTGATTCAATGTCTATTTTCCGGTTCTTCAGCTAATCCCTTCAGCAATTAACGAACCTTATCTTTCAGTCTACACAGCTCGGTCTAGGCGCTCAATGGCTTGAAACCAAGAAAGCATACGAGGAGGCAAATGATTTGCTTGGTGATATTGTCAAAGTTACTCCTACCTCGAAGGTTGTTGGTGATCTTGCACAATTTATGGTGACCAACAAATTGTCATACCAGGATGTGCAGAAGAAGGCGAAAGAGCTTGACTTCCCTGGCTCCATTCTGGAATTCTTCGAGGGCTTGATGGGCCAACCCTACGGCGGCTTCCCTGAGCCACTTCGATCTGATGCACTGCGAGACCGTCGCAAGATGGACAAACGTCCAGGCCTCTACCTCGATCCTGTTGACTTTCCATCAATCAGAAAAGAACTCAAGGAGAAGTTCAACACTAGCAGCGAAACCGATATTGCAAGCTATGTCATGTACCCGAAAGTGTTCGAAGAGTATCGCGGGTTCCTGGACAAGTACGGTGACCTTTCCGTGTTGCCAACGAAGTTCTTCCTCAACAGACCCGAGATTGGGGAAGAATTCCACGTGGAACTCGAGAAAGGCAAAACACTCATCTTGAAGCTTCTTGCTATTGGCCCGCTGTCGGATGAGACTGGTCAACGCGAAGTTTTCTACGAGCTCAATGGAGAAGTTCGGCAAGTCACGATAGACGACAACAAGGCAGCTGTGGAGAACACAAGTCGACCAAAGGCTGATCCGGGTGACAGCAGCCAGGTTGGTGCTCCAATTGCTGGTGTGCTTGTCGAGATTCGCGTTCACGAAGGATCCGACGTCAAGAAAGGTGACCCTATCGCAGTCATGAGTGCCATGAAGATGGAAATGGTCGTCAGTGCACCACACTCTGGTAAGGTCACTAATCTGGGTGTAAAGGAGGGTGATTCGGTTGCGGGTTCTGATCTCATCTGTAAGATCGAGAAGTGAGGATAGGAGTTAGCTTCAATGCATTGGAATGTCCTGTGATACACCTCTACCCTAGAGTTACTGTACAGCATGAGTTATGCAAGACTAGCTGCAGCATCTATCCTTTGCAGTAGCAGGCTAGGAACCCTAAGGAATGCGATCATGATTATTGATGACTTCTTCTTGTTTTATGTTTTGATTCGTGGCCCACTCTACTACCACACGCCATATCTGATCCACGATCGATCAAAATGGTATTCTCAGACCCATGCTCAATGCAGACACTGCTATTTTAGAGAAGTTGCGGGGATGACCAGGGTGTTTAATCACAAACAAAATGCCGATCCAAGAATTGTCAGGGTGCAGGATGGCGGCCATTGGAAGAGCGACTGATACGGAGTAACTTTTTCACCTAAGCTTTTCGTTCCTGGTGTACAGATCGGCGATAATGATGCTCTGCCCCTGCTGATGAGCCGTGTTGCAAACATTCAACCATAGATGATGTCCACACAATCATTACCAGCTTCGGTTTCCAAAAAGGCCGGTCTCGATGCGAGCTTCCCAAGAATGTGTCCATGCACTGTGCGTGTCATTCATTCGGCTATTGTACTTCAAAGTGTATTCCCGATCGACAGGCAAAGTCGTCTGTCAAAGCATCGACCACCCCCTCCTAATATTACAAAAGCAGATGGCCCGATCGCCTTCTGGGTCGATTTCACCAATGAACGTCAGGACGGTAAGCGATCATCCCTGTCAACTTTTTGCCATGTGCTCCTCGTACGTGCACAAGTTGACTGAAATGGGCTGTATATAATTCTACGTCATGAATATTGAGTGATACAAAGAGAAGCCATGCCTTCTCATAATCGACGATTTGCACATCGTTCTTTTCAACCTTCTCAAACAGAGATACGTTCCAGAGTCGAACATTGTGTAATCAAGACTACTGAAGTCATCCCCAACAAGCCGATAGAACACATTTGATCATCTCGAAAGCCACGAACACTAGCAGACATCATGTTTCTCAAACAATACAACTACAAACCTAAGACGGGTAGCGCTTCCTCTGCAAGTGCAGACCAGCAACCAGCTCAAACAGCTCCTGCCAACACAAACGACCAGCCCTTCTCTGCTGCCAATGCTGGACGAAGAAGAGTAAGCACATCCCATTATCCCTTGCAGTAGTAACAGTTCCATTTGTGAAGTTCCCTGCGCAGGGATAGGATATAGCTGATAACGCTAACACTGTGCACAGTCATCCGGTCAATACTCAGGCTTGAACGGCTACAAGAGAACTTCCGGAGAAGAGAGAAGGACCAGTATACAAGATCAATCCAAGGATGGCGGTGTGTTGGGGAATATGTGGAACAATTTCACAAAGGGTGGCAAGTAATGAAAAGAGCAGAGAAGATGTCTATATATAATTTTGTTTTAGCGATTACTACTGTTGGCAGATCTAGCTTATGCTTTGCAGGACAAGGCTTGAGGTAATGAAGTCGATTCACTACTAGGTTAATAAACACGTTCATGCCATCACTTCTTTGTTTTGGGGGCGTGAACCCCAATCCGATATTTAGGAGGAGCCCTCGTTGCTGCTTCGTGCGAATGCTTACGAGCATCACATGTCGTGACGTTGGGACAGACGGGGGCACACCATTATTGCTTCAGAGTTTCTTATTAGACCATCTGAGAGCGAGAGGGAAGGGGTCGTTTGATTGTTCTGAAGACTGCTTTTCGGTCAGTCAACTAAATGGTTACAGTTGATTCAGCATCCTCAGGCAGACTTCTTTGTCGGGACAAAGCTAACTTTAGAGGCAGCAACTTGACCGGCCCATCCAGTCATGCTTGTGGAGTCGTTCTAGAAACCACGGCGAGCAGGGTTTGAGCAGGAGTGGTCGCATGTAAATTAACTGGAGCAGAGTCATATTACGACACAAGTACCAAGGAACATATGGGTCCACATCAACCACAAGACTTGTTAGCGAAAAGGCAAATACGTGCTCGCAATTCTGGCTGACGATTCACAGATCAAAACCATAACTTGTCAACAGCCAGAGCCACCGTGTTACAAGGCACTGCCAGGTCTTGAGGAAATTCTTATGGGCCCTGTCACAATGAAACGATCTCGATGGAGCGCAGTTTTGACAAGATGAGCATATACATATAGTGTCGTCTATGAGATATATAACTGTCGTCTCACGGAGGGGTGCTAGAATGGTACGAGTCACATGAAATACGTTCATGGATAGCTCTTCTTCTAACACAATGTACGGCAGATACCAAGCAGCTGCGCCTCCACTCCTGCACATCATCCGGGACACGGACAAGGAGCAGCCTCTCAATCAACTCAAAGATGTCTCAAGCGATGAACATCGTGAAAATGGGCAGGAAGCTGTGACACCTGTATCCCCTGCTTTTAGCGTTGCCCCAACTCTTCGAGACATTAGACGACTTGTGAACGAGAAAGACAGATGGTCCAGCTCAACGGCTTCGGGGGGAAACCGAGCGGTTAGTGCCCAGACGACCGATGAGTTCAAGAACTATGTGTCTAGATACATCAGGTCTGTCCGATGGCGTGGTGTGCTGGCATTGGTCGCTGGTTTGTTCTCACAAATGCTTTGCTGGGGTCTCATCATGACATATGGTACGATCTTGGCCTTCTATGTACGATATCTGATTCCAGGTGTCAACGAAACTGCTATCGCTCTGGCTGGGGCCATTCCACCATTTTGCCTACTTGCATTAGCACTTCCTTGGGGCCGGCTGCTTGATGCTGGCCATCATCACTTACTCAACGCTGCGGCGGGCGTTCTTTTGACTGGAGGAATGGTAGCCCTGGCATTCACTGGTGGTAACGAATACGACTCTGGGAAATACTGGGCGATCCTCCTTGCTAGCATTCCAGTGGGGATCGGCCAGTCGATCTACTTCATGGCAGCGCCACAGATGGCCAAGACGTGGCATCCAAAACACAAAGGGTTTGCCATGGGCATTACCAACTCAGGTGCAGCCATTGGTGGTGTTGTATGGCCATTGACGTTTGATCGTCTCGTGCAGGTCTTTGGCTTTCGCATTGGTGTCGGCTGTTTGGCTGGTCTCGGGGCGGTATTGAGCATCTACATTGCCATTTTTTCTGTACCAGCACCAGACTTCAAACGCCATGCTATCGGAAGAGTGAACAATTTGCATACATGGTGGCCAACGCGAGCGTTCCGATCCAAGGTATTCGTGATTCATGTGATCAGCATGTGTTTTGTGTACCTTGGAATTCTGACCATCCCGTTCTTCATCGAGGTCTGGGCGAGACGCAACAGAGACATCTCAATTTCGGAGGATGTGAAGACAGGAACGGGTATTGACATGCACCGCAAAGGTGGGAGAAACCTAAGTGTGTACTTGCTCATTACGCTGAACGGCTGTCAACTTCCTGGCCGCCTATTCGGGAGTACGCTCTGCGACAAGTTTCGGGCACGTCTGATACACGCTATAGCCTGCTTCTCTGCGGTCATTATCATTGGAAGCTGCTGGTTTGAGGTCACATCCTTTCAAGGTGGTCTGGTGTTCGCAGCGCTGTTTGGACTGTGCTTAGGGGTCATGGTTTCGTTACCGATTAACGACGTACAGGATATGCTCGGCCACGAAAGGACTCATCTACTTGGACAGTATGCCGGAGCGGTATACACTTGTGCCGCCCCGTTCATTCTTGGTGGAGCAGTCATATCTGGGGCGTTAGTACAGTATTTCAACGTATGGATAGCACCTGGCGCGTGGGCGATCGGGTGTTTCACGATCTGTGGCGCCCTCATCGTCCTTGGATTATCACTCAAGGATGACACAGGCTGCTTCGTCAGCTCGAATGAAGACAGAGGAGAAGTTGAGCACGATTCTCAATGTCCGACTAGGGTCAATTCTGCGAGATTTGACATTGAGACTGGCATAGGTGCCCCGCAAGCAGCCCATGCATCAGCACCAACTCAATCTAAAGACGGTACTCAGCACACGCTTGAGGAGGGAGGATCTTATTAGGGACGATACATCCTCAATCAGAATAGCAGTCCGCGAAAAGGCATCTGGAGGACACCTTACTTATGGCTGGAATCGCATTGGCTATATTCGACATTTTAGTGTTGTTAAGCAAAGTATCGAGATAGAAATTTTCAGACATTACAGGAAGTAGTTTCAATAAATTCAGCAGAGTTGCAGAAGCAAGAACTCGGAGGAGGACTCCGCTTAAAGAACGCGTGCTTGCTTCCCGCGTCGATCAGAAATCGGCATACCTTTTTTCGAGCCGATATTCGTGCAGTGCTCCCGGCACCTCAATTCGAAGTTAGAGCTCTAGAACAACTCATCATGACAGCTCGATCGTTGAGGATAGGTCAGCTAGTCCCTCAATATCTGCTTGACCAACTCTTAACACAAAACATGTAGGCCTCATACCTGGAGACGGTATTGGTCGCGAGGTCATACCTGTAAGTCCTCATAAATTTCATGAGCTCTCACGAGCAGTGCTGTGCATAGGTCGTGAGCTCTAGACAACCAGAACACTGACCAGAACTTTCTCGCTACGTTCAGGCCGGAAAGAAGATCCTCGAATCGTTACCTTCATCTCTGGGTTTGAACTTCTCATTCGTCGACCTCGACGCCGGATACGATTGCTTCAAACGTACAGGAGCTGCTCTACCAGACAAGACGGTTGAGATACTGCAGAAAGAATGTGACGGTGCATTATTTGGAGCTGTTAGGTATGTACAAACGTGGAATGATCCCAGCAAAGAGAACAACGAGTGCAAGCCAGATCTTCACTATAAAAGCTGCTGCACCATTCCTACCTGTCTACACACCTTAACATACTAATACCACTCTCTTCCCACAGCTCCCCAACCACAAAAGTAGCAAACTACTCCTCCCCCATCGTCGCCATGCGCAAAAGGCTCGGCCTCTACGCCAACGTTCGCCCCTGTAAAACCGTCCTCTCGCCAGCCTTCCCCTCCCCAACAAAGACTCCTATCGACCTCGTCATCGTCCGCGAAAACACCGAAGACCTCTACGTAAAAGAGGAAAGAACCTACCCAGACCCCTCCGGCGACGGCGGCCAAATCGCCGAAGCAATCAAGCGCATCAGCAGCAAAGCCTCCTGGCGCATCGCAGACATTGCAGGTCAAATCGCCCTGCGCAGACATAAAATGCGCATCGCGTCGGGAAGCGAAGTGTCGCATACCAAGAGCCCGATGGTAACGATCACGCATAAGAGTAATGTGCTCTCGCAGACGGATGGGCTGTTCCGAAGCACGGCGCGAGAGGCGCTGGGTCAGCCGCAGTTTTCGTCGCTCAAGGTCGAGGAGCAGATTGTTGATAGTATGGTTTACAAGCTGTTCTTGCAGCCGGAGTATTACGATGTCATTGTGGCGCCAAACTTGTACGGAGATTTACTCAGTGATGGGAGTGCGGCGCTGGTGGGAAGTCTGGGTCTTGTGCCTAGTGCGAACGTTGGTGAGGGAATCATTATTGGTGAGCCGTGCCACGGGAGTGCGCCGGATATTGAGGGGAGAGGGATTGCGAATCCTATTGCGACGATCAGGAGTGTAGGTGTTATGCTGGAATTTATGGATTTACCTGAGGCTGCGGAGGCTATTTACAAGGCCGTTGATGCGAATCTGATAGAGGGGAAGCTTGTCACACCGGATTTGGGAGGACAGGCGACGACAGAGGAGGTTACGAATGATATTATCAAGAGGTTCTGAGCAGTACGATCACCTTGAGGGTTGATATGTACAGCAATTTGGACTAGGATGTGTGGATGTTCAGAGCACCTCAATCAGCTTCGTCCGAGCAGTGGCTATAAAAGCAAAGGGATAGGGATTTTTCCTCACAAGGAAGGTCAGTAGACATTGTTCGCAAATCTGGACAAACGCAAAGTGTTTATTGAGCAATGACTGGAACCAGAGTTGAACCGTCGAAGGAGATCGTACAGCTTCATCGCAAATATCATGTGTCAACATACAAAAAGGACTTAGATAAGAATAGACCCAAACTAAATTCGAGTTATTAGAAAAGTCGACGAAAGCGACATATCGTCACGAAGGGGTCTGGGCATTTGCTTGCTGCTTAAAGTGCCCGTGCACACGCTCCTTCACCCTCTAAACGACCAAGAAATATCACCACGAATATCTGCCTCTTTTACTCCAAACCAATGCAATACCAGCCTAGTTGTTCACTATTCCCCCTCTCCCCCATCCTAAAGAACTCATTCTACGAGAAATCATCGTCCATAGCACGGTCCTGTAGTTGCACTCCAGGCGGACCTTGAGGTTCGTCCTGTGCTCCTGTCAGGTTCAAATTGCTCCGACTCTTTAAGCTGCCATATCGTCCAGAAGGTGCTCCACGTCTCCCGCTACCAGTTGTCCCTGTGACACGTTTCAAGCTGCCAGTGCTGGATCTGTTTTCGATAGTTTGCGCAGGTGCATCGTCATCTTGTGGTGGTAGGATATGTGGTTCGGATCCAAAGGCGCCGGGCATTGCGCCGTCGGCGATAGCTTCGACTGGATCATCGTAGATAGATATGGGACGAGCTTGGGAACGTGGCTGCGATTCGTGTGTACCGTTTGATGAGTTTGTGATTGTATCGGGTGGTGAAGCTGTTGTGAGAGCGTTGAAGCTCGTTGATTCGGTCCGTGGTGGAGTTAGGGTTGTGCTACCGTTGCTATTACTAGACCCTGAGTCGTTGGGTTGGTGTCGTGTTTGTACTGGAGAGCTCGATGCAGATCCTGGTACCTCCAGACTGGTTCGTTTATTGCTGAATATACGTCCGCCATCTGGTCTCGGTGATGCTACGACCGGAAACCTGCCCGTACTTATGCTCCCATCGGTGGATTTATCGCGTCTATGTCTGCTGCCGGGACCTGGCGATTTTGCGCGCTGCCTCTCTTCGTTGATAGCTCTGGCTCTGGCTTCCATAGCTGCTCTTCTTGAGCCCTCGTCTGCGGCAGAAACAGCTCGCTGCCGTACCTCTGACCTGGGTCCTGCTGCAGCGCTACTTGCTTGCCTCTTCAATTCACCAAAGATGGCTTCCTTGTGGTCGAAAAGATCACGAACTAAGCGGTACGGATGTCGTTCTTCCATGGTTAAGGCATTGACTATTCGAGGTCGCAATACGCAGGGTGCAAGAGTTTGAGCAAGAGCGATCGAATAATCATCATCGGCGGAAGTGAGGTCAATGAGTCGAGTAAAGTGAGTTGTCATGGCATCAAGAGTTGCAATATTGTTCAAACGAAGCTGACCGAGAGTGGATTGAAGCACTTTGATTCGTGGTGCTGAGTCGACTGACTCTGAGGAGATCGGATTTGGTGTGGCATCTGATGTTGTGTCATAGATTGTTTTGATAATTTCGTAGACTTGAGACGAAACAAGTGAATCTGTGAACTGTTAGTCAGAAACCAGTATGCTGCAGCAGTGCACTTACCAGGCAATTCAAGCAAGTACAACTTCAGAACACTTGCTACAATGGGAATTTCATATCGTTCGAGGAGTTCCTTCGATACTGCTCCGCCTTGATTGATAGCATTTCTCAAATGGTGTGTAGCCGCCAGAGGCACGTCAACCAACCATATACTTCTCCTAGCCTCATCTCCATCAAGATCAGGATAGCGGTTGTCGAGGTAAGTTAGGATAGCAGTCACTATCACAGGCACTCTTTTCTTGTCTGCTCTTGCTCGTGCCTCGAGATCAACACCAAACACCTGGTCGTCAACACTACCATAATAGTTCTCGTATGGTGTAACCTTTGGAATAAAAGGTCCAGTCTTGTAATTTTCGAGCAGATATCGAAGATCACCTAGAGGGTTTATGGTCTCCTGGTATAGCATCATATGGTCGACCTGGCTCTGAAACGAAGGTATACTGTTGCTGATAGCGCCAGAGAAGTCCAATATAACAGACCGGATGGCCTTTAGCCGGTCTGTTTCGCATCGTTCTAGAAATTTCAAATGCGTCATCATGGTCTCCTCCAGCTCACATCTCAAGAGGTCGAGTTTGACTATTCCTGCTTTATATCTCTCGTCTGATTCTCGTGCTTCTCGTCGCAGTCTTTCAGGTGGTGTTTCGTTTGGGTAAGGATTATTCAGCGGATTCCAAGCGTTCAGTGTTTCAGTAATCCCAGCAACAGGTGAGTCTGCCGTGTTGCCATCCAAGCTGCTTACTGTGCTAGCTCTGCCGAGTCCTTTCTTTCTATCTGGTACTCCGCTAACTTCAAAAGCCCTTGGTCGCCACTGGTATTTCCGCTTAGTGCTATTCGAGAATTCTTGACCAACATTTCCAATCAAACGTAGAAAACCGCGATCAACTAGATCTTGGCCAATCTTTTCAGCATACTCGATGTTCGACGCACCCATATGCTGTTGTATGTATTTCGTAATCTCGCTTCCAGAACTTGTATTCTCATAAACACCCAGAATAGGCACTTTGGTTGGACCCAATGGAATTATCTCCAGCATACGAGCTAGGAGCTTCTTCAACTCTTCTGGCGGATAGGTCACGTCGCCGATCTCAACAGGCAGCTCACTAGTGGCCTCATTTACAATGATGGTCGGTGGAGGGCTAATCGAAGGCCTTGGGCTATCTGCTGCCTTCTCTTTACCCTTCTCCGTCTGCGGATCCTGAAAAGCAAATTTGTTCTCCTCTTCCTGATCTTCGACTAGGCGGCACTTGTTGAAGTACGCTGCGCGCAATTTCTTGACCGCCTCGGCCTGTCTATCATGTGCTTTGATCTTGCCTTGTAAGTCGTCTTGAGAGTTTTGTATACGTTGCGCATGAGCATCGCACCATCGGGAGAAAGGATTAACCACAAGCTCGCGGATGTTGGATGCGATCTTCTGGTGGTTCTTGGTAGCTTCGACCATCTCGCCGCGAACACCTTCATAAGCCTGCGATGGATTAGTACAAGTTCACAAATATCAGGGCCTCGTCGAATTGTACCTTCCGCACACTAGCACCGTCGTCTCTGCCAAAGCCTCCATTCATCCGATCAATCGTTGGCGCAATATCGCCCAAGCGCTCAGCATACATTTCTTCTGCCTCAACGCGCATGCTGGCAATTGTAAGCACTTGCTGGTTTTCTATCACACCCTGCTGTAGCTTTGTGAAAAGCACCCCCAAACCACCAGCATAGTCGCTCGACCAGAATGAGTCAACGAAACCTGGTCCTTTCTTCGCTGGCGGCTGAACCGCAGGCTTCTCTGCCGTTGCCATACAGGCGGCTCAGCTCAAAGACAAGCAACGTTGTGGAATAGACTCCGAGTGAAGTAATCGTAGAGCGTGTAGTGGTGGCTGCGTGATCTTGTTGGCAGGTTGTGACAATACTCGCAAGTTGGTCGTTGGGAAGGATAGATATGGCTCGACGTTTGTCGCAAAAGAATGTACGGGTCACGGAACAACGAACACGCTCAGCGCTATAATATGTCGTAGTGTTGTTGGAATCGTGGTAGGATTGAGGGACGTTATTTACACAGCTTAATCTCAGTTTCACGCCGCTGGGGGCTGTCTCAACAGGGACATCTGTTTCAGCTGGTGATTGACTCTCCAATTGCGCCCTCGCAGACTAAGCTTCCCTCGGCACGCTATAGGCGTTCAAGCTCTTACTTCATAGGCTCCCGGAGCAGGACCGTTCAAGTGGATACGGCGAGTTTACACTAATTCGAGTCCAAATATGTATGGTTTGATACACGTGTTTTCTACTAGCCTTTTGAGGCTGAGCAATCAGGGTATGGATATGTAGTCACTTACAATAACACTTTCACTCAAAGTCGTCTCGTGCTTCATCAACGTCGGACCATGTACTCTTTACAACGTGGTCTTCCTCATCCTAGCCGGGAATGTATCGAAGAAATCTGCTTTCTGCTTGCGGCGGTGCGGCGATTGTGGAGGTTCTTTTTGAGTCTCCGGTTCTGTTCCTTGGTCGGCTAGTCACGCGTCCTTTAGACCCAGATCCTCTTCTGCGGGCACAACACGGATGGTATTTGTATGACCCATACCACCCCTCCAGCCCTGCACACACACAATCGAATCTCCCTTGTTCACGACTCCCAGCTTGATGGCTTCTGCAATACCCCATTTCAGTCGCTTGTCGACGTCTTGCTGCCAGTCCACACCTCGAAAGTCTGGTTTTGGTTCTGGGAAATGGAATGGATACACACCCCGATAGAGATGGGCATATCTTGATGCACGTGCGTTTCTCGTGATCATGATAATTGGGCAAACTGGTCGGTACTTGGACAGGAGTCGTGCTGTACCTCCACTAGTCGTCAGCGTGATAATGGCACCAGCATTGAGTTCCATGCTTGCTCCAACAGCTGAAATAGCGATAGACTCCGAAGTTGAGATCGGTCGCTGAAGGCTGCTACGTAGCTCGTCAAACACGTTAGCATAAGGGATGGCAACTTCAGCCAACAAGCAAGTCTCGTGCATCATAGTGACAGCCTCTTTAGGATAGCTGCCCTTGGCTGTCTCGCCGGACAACATGACGCAGTCAGCACCATCAAGCACAGCATTGGCAACATCTGAAACTTCAGCACGAGTAGGTCGGGGGTTGTTGGTCATAGATTCCAGCATCTGTGTGGCACAAATGACGGGCTTTCCGGCCATGTTGCATTTGGCAATCATCATCTTCTGTGCAATGAAGACTTTGGCAGCAGGGATTTCGATGCCCAAGTCACCTCGAGCAACCATGACACCATCGGTTTCCCTCAAGATCTCGTCAAAGTTGTTCATACCTTGCTGGTTCTCGATTTTGGCAATGATTTGAATGTCCTTCCCCTCCTCTCCCAACACCTTCCGGATGTGCTTAATGTCATCTCCTCGTCGGATGAAGGAAGCAAAGATCATGTCGACGTTGTTCTTAACACCAAACTTGAGATCGGCTTGGTCTTTCTCAGATAGGGCAGGCAAATCAACATCGGTTCCCGGAAGGTTTACACCCTTTCTTGATGCGATCTGGCCATTGTTTAATGCTCGAATGCGCAGTGTTTGTTCGTCCTTGACTTCGAGAACTTCGAAGGACTGGATGCCATCGTCAACGTAGATCAGCTTGCCAACACCGATGACCTTTGTGATGTTCTTGTAGTCGACGTATCTAGTCTTGTCAATGACTGCGTGGCTCCAAGGGCAGAATGCTTACAGATGTTTGTCATCGCTGGCAGTTTTGTATTTGTCGTCGGTGGTCATATCCAGCTCGAGGCCGGCCTTAATGGGGATATCGATATCGTCTGGTGTGTTTCCTGTTCTGATTTCTGGTCCTTTCTGACCTGCCATTAGACAGACTCATGCTAGCTCTGGGGTCCTCTCAGCTTACCGTATCGAGGGCAATGGCAACTGGCCGACCAGGGTACTCTTTGGCTGACGCGCGAGCATTGTCGATGACGGATTGGTGGTACTACCAACATCAGTATCGCCGTCAATACGTGCTCAAACCTTGTACTGACCTCGTAAGAGCCATGAGAAAAGTTCATCCGTACAACGTTAAGGCCGGCTACTGTATGTCAGTCCTGCGTCTCCAGCTGTTCGCGTATGCCTCCCACCTTTTCTCAGCATGGTAATCTTTTCGGCACTGTTGGTCTTAGGACCTACATGTTGTCAGACGTGTAATGGAGAGGTAGACTGGCCAGTCTGACCTATGGTGCAGATGATGCTGGTCCTGCGATAGTTCCTGGCAGGAGAATAGTCAATGTTCAGGCTGGAATGCCATTCCATCTTGGTTCGATTGTTGAGGTGGTCGAGAGCGTCGCCCATGGTGAGAGATTGTCTTTCTTTCTACTGGTGTTGTAACAATAGTCCTTAAGTAGGAAGCGAGGGGCGGTCAGCAACGGGCTTGGGATACTAGCTGAGGCGCAGCTGGTTAGTAACACTTCGCAAGACAACGGTTTTCTGGGAATGAATACCTTGGGTAATGTCACACAACAATCAAGAGGATAGTACGTAGCACGTTGGTGATTAATAGCACATGAGTGGGGAGGCCGTGTGCAAAAAAGCAAGCGTTGAGAGGCTGATAGTGTTGATAGCAACTACGTGGAGTCTTCCCGCCCTAGCACCGTAGAAGGCAGGAGCTGTGGCTTGTTTGTGACGAAAGAAGGTTTGCAAGGCCAATCGGTGTGAACTTTTGTCGAGATCTCCTTCCTTCACCATCCATTGCAGTTGAACCTTCTATCTGCTGAGAGCTCTCACGCGCCTGCTGCAGCTACTCGTACTGATTGATCGCAGTGGACTTTTCTATCGTAGGTCACTGTAGAGCTACCTCATATCTGCTATAGTCCTTCCGGCTACATGCAATGTCTTCACCAATGCTTACGTTGCTTGCACTCCATGATCTTCACAATCGCGTTACTATACCACTAGTTTCCAAAGGAGGGGCATCAGAGCAATTCGCGGTTTCTCAATATATTGGGCCGGACGCTAAGATAAGCTCTAGCCGACAAAAGGTAGTTTTAGGCGAACGGAAGCTAATCTCCAGGCATCTTTCAATACCCTGAGGCTGCAACCACGACTTACGGCTCATTGGCCGCTGCGCCAGAAACATGCCGCCTCCAGGTTCACATGCACCTGGGACAACTTCGTGGCATACGAGCTGGTGAATGTCATTTAAGCAGCGCATGCTCATTTCTGGGTACTTGTTATTTGATATAGACGAGTTAAAATGGTGGTATGTCCATCCATTACATTCGTGTTCTATAACCCTTACTCGTGCGAATACAGCTAGGACGACTTACCCACTACGCTTTCGATGCCGTTCTGATATCTGCCTTCCTTGCTGGGGTGAGAAGGAGTACTGGTCTCACGTATGTCATACTATCTCGTCCTCTTTCTACTGCCGCTGCCGCGATACAATGGCCATCTGCTTTTGCCATGCGCTTCTGAACTGACTGACACGACAGGCCTACCAGTCTGAAGTCCAGCACCTTCGGCGAGAACAACAAGGAGGCCCAGACATGGGTGGATCGATACTTGGGTGTTGGCGAATGGGTCATGGATCAATCGATAGCAGTCATGGGGAGCAGCGGCTTTTTCGAGCGAAAGAGATGATACTATACTGGTACGATCTGAGATTCGAACGGCACGAAAGATGCCTTGAGTTGCACGTCTATCTATGGCAGAAGAGCTTGTGTATTTTTGGCAAGTGAGTTGTACTGGAGAGGACCCTATTCGGCATCAGATCATCTATTGGCTGTTGAAGTTCTTTCTACACAACCTCCCAGCGAACGTTTACTTGAAATGTCTCGCTAGAGCTCAACGGACGAGGTGTCGGTCGCTTAGCAGTCTCTGCACTGTCCTCGAACGACTCGTCATGATATTGGATCTTGCGAAGTGTATAGGATCTGAGTTGTATGATACGCATAGGTTTAACAAAAGACACCTCTCCTCCTAACACTCACTGCTTCGTCTCTCTCTAGCAGCACCAGCCAGTAACGAGTCTACATCAATCCTCTTGTAGAACGAGATATGCCCGTACGGTAACCAATATTGAGCCAGCAGATCGGGACTAATCAAAAAGAGCTGGCTAGGTATGAATTTGTCTATCTCCACGTTAGCCCCTGTCGCAATCTCGTGATAATGATTCAACTTGCCCTCTCTGAAAAACCTGTGGGCAACGTGGCCCCTTGACCTAACTACTCTTGCACCTTTGAAGGGATGTTCACCGGCGATTCTGATGAGCCCACCAGCTCCGATATCGTCTGCTATGAACGTATGCTCGCCTCTGTGATATTGGTTAGCTGAAACCGTTTCAATCAGGATGGACAGTGCTTTAGGAGTGGAAGCCAGTAGTGCTTCAGGACGCACTCACCTTGGTACATTTACATCGCCTGTCAATTTGATCGCCTCAATCGCGCCCTGGTGTATGCTGCCGTCTGGATCTGGTACGTTTGGTGTGACTTCACTTCCACCAGGGTGATGAGCATTTGTAGATTGGCCTTGCACGGTAATATTATTCATGCTAGCGAAATCCGCATCGTCAATAAAGTGTTGTTCTCGCAATGCAGCCAGCAGCGCAGTAATGTAGTTTCTATGCCGTGTACCTGTGCCATCATCAACTCCATCATCGTCGCTTTCTGCATCGCTCATTCCGTCACGAGTTGGAGGTGCTTCGGCGGTTTGCATGACTAACAAGAATTCACAGCCATGACTTGCATAATCACCGACGAAGATGCCCTGGTATGGCTTCGAAGGTGTTGGGGTGTAAAGAGCCGGATCTAGTGTTGACCAAGTACTTATTTCCTCGCCAGGTCGGACACCCAGACTAAGTATACCCTGTGTGAAGTGACTCCAAGTACGCAGTCGGAACGTGGTGTTGCTAATTTCTTCAATGGTCTGTGGTCTGTGACCCTTGGAGGCAAACTTGTCTCCGGACGAGGTGGAAGAACGAGTTCGTGGCATATTGGGTATCGTCCGTGGTGGCCATACTCCTACGCTTGGAGCATTTGCACTTTCGTCTGGGAGATTCTTAGAAAGCATAAGCGAGCCGTTGATGCGTTGTTCTGGACGACCAACTCGCATTAGCAGTTCCGGAAAACGAGTCGAGGACTCGTTGTTGGTTGACATCCATCTCCAACTGTTAGATACGGCGTTGCACGGCAAGGAAAGTGGTATGCTCAGGACAGGATCTTCGGTTGACGCATAGACACGCGGCTCGACCTGATGTATCCTGACACTCGGTTTGTACGACCACGGATATGAGATTGCGGGCAACTTCTCAGCCGTAAGTCGATAACCTTCTATGCTGCCTCGACGAGGGTCGAATTTAACGAGGATGAGCTTGCCGCTGTAGGCGTCGTCACTGAACCAGATCTTGTTGCGTGGCAGGTGCCAACGAGGGAAATGACTCAAGAATAGCTCTCGATATGTAGGTGCTGGACTAGGTATTGTAGGAACATCTTGCTCTGGAACGTTAAAACGGATCAGATTTAGCCACAGTTGCTCAAGCTCAGCGTGAGTCCTGAAGCCATGACAGACTCGGCGAAGGGAGACAAGGTCTTCTGCGTCAAGAAAAGACAATATGTGCTGTATTAATTCGGGCGGTAAGCTGAGTACGTTTGCCTGAGATGATAGTGTCGAGATATCGACAAGGCTGGCGTCCATGATCTCGCTTGACATCAGGGAGTGGCAAAGTTGAGTTGACGGCTGGGTAGCGTCGTCGGAGGACGATGGGTTCTGCTGCGAGAGAAATCGCAGCATTATATGTTTCACAATCCAAACTCAATCTGTTTGTTTCAGGGTCAACTTGTTTGCAAAGGATAAGATGTTAATGTGCTCTTCAATAATGCGATAGTCGTGCAGATGGTATACACTCTCCAGTAACAGCGCCGACCACCGATGCACGAGCGCACTCCATCTTGTGTTTTGCCACTGACGGAGGACCTGCCCAAGTAAGCTTGTGTGCCTTGTACACAGGACACCCCGAATGATGCTGAAAGCAGCATGCTTAGCTGCAAGCGCACGAATAGTGTATTTGACTATCGTGTTTCCTGCTGAGCACTTAAGCACGGTGGTTATGCTGATCGAGGACATCTGAGCACGTTATTGAGCAGGACCATGGCCCCCGTACTGTAGTCTTTCTGAGACGAGCGAGCGGCACCTGGCTCGAGCTTCGCAGCATGGCCTAATGTAAATGGCGCCGTCAGTGTTATACCGACCTCGATAGTATCCTGCTTACAGAGCATCGTACACAGGCACATTCTTACGAGAGCGTGTAGTCATGCCTCTGAAACATAAAGCAACACCCTTTCCACCTTCCTACGCGACGCGGGCGCCACGAATTTCAAGCCTACATAATATACTTGCCCAGACAAGGGCGTACCCTGAACAGAACAGGCAGCCACCATTGTGACCTCGAGTCGGTGTGAGTCCGCAGCTTGGTACATATGGCACTCTCAAGGTCCCTTCTAACACTACTACCAATACCTTGCTTCTGCAGGCCTTTATTATCAGTTCATCCACTAACGACTTCCACCATAAGCATCATGGCAGGCACCACAATGGTTGCACCAAAGGCATTGTTGCACACGCTCTCAGCTGCACCACCATCTACCTGCCGAGCTGAACGGATCGATTTCGAGAAAGCAGGACTTCCAGAATATCGAGACAAATTTGCTGTATTGATCCACGACCTCTTTTCAGCCGAGGAGTGTAAGAGACTTCTCGAAGCAGCCGAAGAGTCTCAAAGCAACCAATGGGAGGAAGCCATGGTCAATATCGGTAATGGACGACAGAGACTGATGACCGATATTCGATCCTGCGGGCGTATTATATGGGATAACTCGGAGGTTGTTGAACAGCTTCTTGCACGCCTGAAGCCTCATCTTCCCGGAAATGTATGTCATCTTGAGAATTGTCCTGGAATAACCGGTCTCGGACCAGCTAAACGTAATGAGACCTGGATTCTCGAACGATTGAATGAGAGGTTACGCTTTCTTAGATACACATCAGGTATGTATTTCCGCAAGCATCAGGACGGTAGCTATGTCACACCAGATGGCAAAGAAATTTCCTTTTTGACTGTCCATCTCTACTTGAATGGCCAGGAAGATCGGATTACCGAAGGTGTTCATCAGTCCACTCAACCTCTTCGCGGAGGTGCAACACGATTCTTCGGGTTCAAGAACAACCATTATGACGTGATTCCAGCTAGAGGCGCAGTCCTGGTTTTCCAGCATCGAGGTCTTTACCATAGTGGGGAGGAAGTTGAGAAAGGCACCAAATATACCGCACGGACGGATGTAATGTATCGCAAAGTCGAGTAGGAGGAGCGCTGAAGATCATCGACCATGAAGCGAACCTCCGTCGAATGCATATATGAACAGGAGACTTTGCAAAATGTCTGGTATACGATCATTTGTCCGGACGGGGATCATCACGCCAGAAGTCTCGTTCGAGTTGTTTTGCGTCAAACGTCTGTATCTCGTGTTCCTCTGGAGCATCGGGGATGAAGAATTTACCCAGGGTTTCACCAAAAGCATCGACCAGCTTCTTCTGTCGTTCCTTCCGACCCTCGTTGAGCGTGGTTGTGTAAGCGAAAAAGTCATCAGCGTACTGGTGAGACACTTTGGTTTCTTCAAGAACGGCTCTAGCAGCCAGCTCTCGTTCATGGGGTGGCATCTCTTGAAGTCGTGTGCCCAGTCCCTGGGCAAGGTTCGGAGGAAGGTTGAGTTGTTCCATTGTCGGAGCTGGTCTGTTTGGATTGAAGACGGAGGTCAAAGGAGGAATTGGTTGTCCAGTCGCTTTTGCCTCGTCTACAGAAGCCTCATAGTCCATCATCCTATGGTACAGCTTATCAGCGTGCATCTGAATCTTCTCGTCCACCTCAGCGTCACTGCTTGCACTTCCGCGGTATCCAAGAGCTTGAAGAAATTTGGCTTGTAGTTGAAAACATCGATTGAAAGCTTTAGTCTCTTTATTGCAGAGGGTCACCCTCGCGCGAACCTTGTTCCATGCATCACCTTCTGTGAAGCAATGCCTTTTCAGCTCTTCCTCAAATGCACAGTTTTCCAGAGCAGCCTGTGACAACGAGACCTTGCGCTCTTTCTTCGCATCCATCACACGCTGGGCAGGATTGCTGGTAGCCTCTTCGATCTCGCTTTGGGGAACATATGTCTTCCATAGGTCTTTATATCTACCATCCTGGTACAAGGACTCCTTTGGCAGCGGGCGTTCTACTGGAGGCGATTCTTCAGTCTGCCGAGCTTTGAGCTCGTCGATTCTCGTTGCCTCAGATTGAGCAGGCACATATGGCTTGGGTGTTTGAGAATCGAGGAATTGCTTAAGATCATTGTTCAACGACTTGGTGGGATCATCTTGTTTTTTCTTCCCCCAGAACCAATCCATCTTGACGGACGACCTTATGATGATTGGTTTCCTGTCCAGGCAGGCATGTTCGTCGTATTCGTTGATGTGTGAGAAAGTGCTATGAAATGTTTAGAGTTGCACCTGAAGCTGTTGCAGCGGCTATTAGCCGCCAAGGGTTTTCTCCGCACGCCTAAAGTGTACTCCTCAACGCGTGAAGATCGTCCAAAGCGCCTGGGCACGCGTACAAGGTGGGCTCTCTGTTTACTGCCAGTGTCGCATTCGTATAACGATCAACAATTTCTAAATCTCTTTACGATTCCTTGGAGGCCACCCGCATAATGCAACATGATGGAGGTTGAGCGTCAATTACACAATACAGCGCTGCATACGACTGGTCGCAATGAGGATGGTAGTCGCTCGAATGCCAGCTTCGACACTGGCACTAATGCGAGATGGGAACGACAGCTGATGCGACAACGTGGTGCTGGTAGCAGGCCTGTCGAAAACATAGATTTCGGCTTCGGGTTCACGTTCAGTGCGCCAAATACGCCAGCATCAAGAAGATCAAGGACGAGGAGTAAGACCCCAGCCAGTGCAACTCGACAACATGGACCCATACAAACATCGTCGCTGGTCGAGAATGACGACCCTATCATACGAGGAGTTATAGGCAGCACGAGACCAGAAACTGAACATGAGGGAGTTGAAGAGGAGTTTCCTGATAGGTCGCAGAGGAAGAGACGGCGGCTTAGCGAGATCTCTAATATGACAAGAACTACGGATGTCAGTCACCCTCTGACCACACTATATGAGGGAGAAGTAGTGAATGCAGAAGTCGAAACTATCGCGAGTGTCACTCCTGCAAAAATTCGTCCACCTTCTTCACCTCTGTTCTTTGCAAGCACTGCCCAGGATGGTAATAATCTGGATAAAGAGAACAATCCAGCTCCAACAGACATGAACAGACCTGCTGCCAGAAAACGAAAACGAAAATCAATTGGACAACAGTCCAAGAAGAAGCGAACATCCAACACGGTACGGAAGCACCTACCAACACCTTCCGATACACTAGAAGAAAATCTCGAATCTGAAGCACAATCTAGGCCCGATCAGGTTGATGTCTACAGTCGAGAGCAAAGTGTCAACACAGAAGCATCACCTGTGGGCCCCTCTCTTGTACAATCGCAACATGGACAACCTGTTCGTCGCAGGAAGAGAAAATCTATTGTTCAAGGAAAGACGAGGCGGAAGTCAGCTGTTGCCCGCTCGTCCTTGCCACTACCTGCGGTAGAAAGTATCGAGTCCGATGTTTCAGAGGACGTCGACCAAGATAACGACCATGAAGATGTATCGGAGATTACTCCAGTGGTCGGCAGCAACTCACGCTCACAGTCTGTGTCAGAAACCGAACTTGATACACAATCTTTCCAACCTGAAGCGCGTGAGGATCCACAATCAGAGACTGCGCCGTCTCAGCTCGGACGAACCAGGCGTCATGCTTCTACATCCACCGAGGACGTCAGACGGGGAGATCCTAATCAGTCTCAAAACGCCTATGATGAGGAAGGTGAGGAGGACGCATACTCTCCAGACGACGCAACTCCCGAAGCAACGCCAGCACCAAAACGTGCGAAGAACAAGCAGAAGCCCGCCAGCTCAAAAAGCAGTACACGCCCACGGAATACAGTCAAGCAGCCCAAGTCTACCATCCCCATCGTCACACATCGCATGACCAATCTTCGCGCACTGCCTACAATCAATGAACAACCCGAAGAAGATGAGCACGAGCACGACTCAGACATCGACGAACTCGCCCTCCCAGCACCACCAACAATCACAATACGCACAGCTCCTAATGCCGTCGACGTCCTTGCTCAAGCATGCCGCGAGACCATCGATACCATCACCTCAGATCTCAAACAATCCGCAACGAGCTCCCTTTCAAAATCCGAATTGACCAAACGTCTCGCTGCTCTCCAAGCTTTCCGTTCGACTCTTGACCATCAACTATTCCAAACATCCCAGTCCCTCGACCAGCGCCTGAACGCCGAAGCTCGAGTACGGGCGTCTCGTCGTGAGAAAGCCGAATTACAGGCGAGATGGCTGGAGATTCGACGGCGAAGAGATCAGCTGGAGCTGCGCAAGGACGCTATCCGACGACAGCATTGGGAGAATGAGAGCCTGGCTACTAAGCGGTTTGATGCTAGTGAGGCTGCGCTTGGTGTTGAAGATTCTCTTTCGAGATCACGAGAACATCAGGATTTGGATCGAGGCCCAGAACTAGAGTTTAAACTTATGAAGATTGCTAGGGATGTGAGTAATGCTAGTAATGATGGCAGTGGCAGTATTCTGCAAACAGTAAGGGCTTTTAATGCTCGCTTAGAGGATACAACGACGAGGCTCGGATAAGGACACCCGTGCAAGAGGTCCTTTGGTACGATAATGATTTGACGATGTATGACAATCTAGAAATGGTTCTCAGCTGATTCTAAGAGAACGAGCTTACAGCGCCACTGCTTTATGTTCCAAATGTTGACCTGGATTGCTGACTCTCTCTATGCAAAATGCGTCTTAGGTCGTTGCTGCTTCATCCATTGCGACTTTTCGAAGAACCATACATCCACTCTCTCGTTGTAAAAACATCGTAGTCCAGTAATAGCAGCGCACTCGATGGTTGGTGCGCGATAATGCCAGATTAGATCGTCATGTTGCTCTCCTGCAATTACGATATGATCGTAATTGGCAGTGCCTTTGTATGGACACTCACTCGTGGTCTTGCTTGGTCTCAAGTATATCGTTTTGATCGAGGTATAAGGGATGTAGTATCGTGCTGGAAGCAGGGTCTCATACAAGTGAACCGAACTAGCTGACTCTGCCAGGACGACGTCTTCGCTGCCACTAGGGATGGTGATTCGAATTGGCTGGCTCGACTGCAGTAGGTCAACACGCTTGTAGGGATCTTTTGGATGAACGTAAATGGGGGTATCCTCTTCGAACCATTGATCTGCTCACAGTCAGCGTGAGTTAGGGGATAAGCTCAAAATGCCGGACGGTGCTTTGGGGTGGCGAACCAATTGCACTAAACAACACCTTCACATGGTCCTTCAGCATTGTGCTAGGACCCTCCAGGTCGGCGGCAAACAACACCATATCTGTGATTGTGCGATATTCTTCGTCTGTGTTTTCGCGTCGCACAGCCAGCTTCAGTTCACCACCGAGCGTTTTGCCAGTCTTGTCGTCTTTGATAGCCTCGCCGAAGATGGTCTTGATGTCATAGCCAGATGATTGACAGAAAGCATTCATGGGCAAGTAGTATTGAGGATAGTAGTCATGTTCCCAGACACACTGCGCATCTTTTGTATCAGCGACAAAGGCACCATTGAAGAGTAATCGGATCTGCTTGCTAGTTCGTTCATGTTTGACAGGACCTTCTCTAGCTAGCTTTCGAACTAATTCCTTCAAGTCAGAGGACGACGGACCTTTTCCTGCGGTGGATGCCATCTGTGATCGCGTAAGGATAAGATATCAGAAGCTGATAGTGTGTGTAGTAGCGACCAATTTTTGTGAAGATCGTTCCAAACGCACGATCAAGACTTGCTAACTTGTGTTGAGGCTGACTTCAGGTGGCTAGTACCACTTACATCGTGTGTAATACCTCCACCCATCTTAGCCTTGTGCCTTTCAAGTTTATCTACCAGCTACTCGGGCGGTCCCTTGACTCGACACTTGTCAGATTGTGACCTTTGCAATGAAGATGCTAGAGATCGTGACTTCGGTGTTAATCTTCAGGTATTGATCAGCTTATATTGTGACCAACACTTGCCATGGCTTCACTCCTGGTCAAGACTGGCAATGATTGGGCTGCAGCCTTTTCATGGAAAGTAGCATGTCTTCGACCTCGGTCAGTTCATGCACAAATTAGCAGGACGTTGTGGCAGCCTTGATGTGAAACTGCCGTTACTGTCACGGATACCACTGGTTAGTAGTGGTCACTTTGCTCAGGAGAACATTGAACAAGAAAAAGAACGATTGGAATGGCACAAGCGTCGTGTCAAGGACGATCTCCATTAAAGTTGTCCAATTATGTCGACGTGCAGTAATGATCCAGAAGAGCGAGCACTCGCAGATCAAGCCTTTGTAGCGGTAGAGAGGCAGGAGCTACACGTGTCGCGCAGTATTGGCAACCGCAAAATTTTATGCAAGCACTTGCCTACGTACTGTATCTCAATCTGAGCCACGCACGCGAGGCTCTAAGGCAGTGGTAGATTACGATGCCCAGTGAGAAACACAAAGAGACCACAGACTACAAACACGTGAATTGAGCCACTCAATACACAGATGCTGTCTTCCAGCTTAGTGCACTGTAGTGATGAGAAACTTGCATACAGGCGTTATATGTTCTTCCGTTTTGTAAAGACGAGCAACATGATAACTGTTTGATACAGTACGTACACAGGTCAGCAAGCTTGAAGACATATGCAACGTGCCGCGAATGTGGGGAAGCTTTCTGGAACGACTGCAGATCCATACCTCAGGGACCATGGTAGTGAATTTTAGCATAGGTGTGTATGCAGGACTTCTCGCGGAGGCTGTCGGAACAGACACGTTGCGCAGCGACATGGGTTCTTCTGTAAGGGTATCCATGCTTCGAGCCCGTTTGAGAGGCTGTCACGGACTTTCAGGTCGTATGCAATTGTGCAGCATTCCAAAACAGACATGCTGCTCGGTTGCATGCAACAGTGGATGTGGCTGAGACAGGGATGTTGCAACATTGTATGTCGAAACAATCTCTGTGCCAGGTGGCTGAATCTTTCAGAAAAGCCTTGACGCTGACCCAGTAAATATGTACTACCTATGCATCATCAAGGTCGTTCACTGTATTTCCAAGGAGTTACAGAACTGGTTAGTTGGTGCTGGCCACGTCTCTTGTTCAAATTGTTCAACTTCTGCCAGTCTGATGGCCTTCATGAACGCATTGGACATTTATAAACGGGTAGTGGTTGCCGACCATGGTCTGACCGTTGTCTGCCACCTCATATCCCCTGCTGGCACACCGCAGGTCCAGCGACATGGTTGTCTTCCGTGTTTTAAGCCGCGAGCGGATTAACATAATGTTACCTAGATGTCGGATGAGCTCGATATGGTTAGCCGACTTGCCGAACACACCAGACACGTACCCCTGTTCAACATCATCCATGCGGGTAAGCCGACGATGCCGCCGAAACAACATCTTATATTGCTCCGTGCCCTGATGGTATCGGTTGGACTGCGCGAATCTTGTCCATGGTCCTCGGACTCATGATCCTCGTGGATGAGCTAGGATCTCTCAGAAGCACACTGACGTGCAGCCACTTCAAGACCGATGAGTGATGAGCTCAACATCCACGTGTATCACACTTGATAGAATGAACATCTGCAAAGCTCACTCATCTGGAATACCTAGGTGGCTTCTGCTTGCTAACTCACTGTAAAAGCCTACGCTTGCTGTGAATAACACGAAGGTCTCCATGAGTCGCGTGCTGATGGCCATGACTGTGTTCTGCCTTATCACAGAAAGACTCATTAGAGAGTGGACCTTCGAGATCCTGATGTGTTGAATGTTGCCATCTGCAAGTACTAATAAGTCCAGCGCCACGGATGGGTTATGGCTTGTACCAAGGATATCAGCCCTAGTCTCGTGAAATGCCTGAACACGATCCCAGTCACAACAAAACATCAAGACGAGGTCAGCAACGGTTTCTGTTTCAGGAGCCTGCAGCAATGACTGTTTAGGGCTTGAATCATCACTAGGACAACGAATCAACGGACCCTGAGCTCGTGATGTTGTAGTTGCAAGGAGGGTTGTCCTGCAGCACTCTTGATTAGGATACACCAAGCAAGTTCTGACCTGGTCCCAACAATTACCCAACTTGCACATCGACAGGCCGACGCCACTACAAGATGAGTGGTTTGCCAACATCTCTCTCAGGTTCGAGTGACGAACAATGACCTGCTTGCGTAATTTGTTCAAGCACATCGTTATCTTCCTAATCACTTAGTGTTAAATGATGCAATTTTATGTTAATGAGACGCGAGATCAGGCGCAAGCCACCAGCACACTTAGCTTGAGAATTCTCGTGTACAATAGTACATCTAACTGGTTACACCAATTTCGCTCGCCGATGGGAATCATCACGGAAAAACGTTCCTACTAGAGTTGAGGTTGTCACCACTCATCTCGGTCGCAATAATTAGTACGAATGGATCTCGAATTTAGCATCGGAGGCGTTGCGATGTCTCCATGCACCATGTAGTAATCAGTGGAACCAGCTGGCGTACCGGAAGCGATGCCATGCTTTCGTCAAGTTAGTGCGATTACGAGTGATTCTAGCAAGAATACTTTCACCGCCTGTGTCGTGCATGAAAAGATCCATCCGCTGGAGCCTCTAGCGCTCATGAAGATGAGGTACGTGTTTGTTTACCTACGGAAGTTCGAAAGAATGTAGAAGAGTATATTCCAGGACGCCTCATACCTGGTATATTCGTGCTGGACGAATTTTGCCCTCTTTGGGCAGCGACAGCTAATCATTACCAAAAGCACTCTGAAGTGATGCGGGACACAAGACCCAGACGTTGCGATTTCCAGAGAGTTGTTCACCGCTGTTATCACTTCGAACTTAGATTATTGTTGGAAGTTAGTGTCGATGGATCCAAAGTACACTGAGCTCTGTGCTAGCGTGTAAACATCAGGTGCACAAAAGAGTGGGAAGTGATTGGTGAATTGAACTGAACACTGCGTCGAGTCTCAATATGTGCAGACACTGTACGTTGGGTTAAATATTCATTATGAAATGTTGTCGTTTCAGAAAATACATTGTCAGTAACGGACGCCTATAGGCGCAAAAAGAGACTGAAAAGCAGGAGTTTTGACCAGTCAAAATGGTAGCAGGCGAGACATTTCACTGATGTGAGGCAGATGGTAGTCCTTGCTGAGCCATTGGTTACGACCATACGTAACGGCAATTGGTGATTTCACAATTTACTACGTATAGATCGTCACGAGCAACAGATAGACTTGTTCGGCGCAGTGATTGAGTCGGCGGTAGTTCCATGACTAGCATCGAAGTACTTGCCAGAAGCAGGAAAATCTATTGTACATCGATTCGCTGTAGTCTACATAAGTGTGATGCTGTGATGTCGCCCTAGAGCATTGTTGTTGAAGGGCTCCACTAGTCCCGCTCCATGGTCACGAGTGACGCTGGGACAGGCATTCACATCTTCGAGCCCAAAGCCCTCCGCCCCGTGCTATTAATGCCACATTAATGCCACCACTTCGGTGGCAACATCATGCTTGGAGCCCCATCTTCTGCTTGATAACAAGTCTCGCTCTTCGGCATTGAAGAAGGCTTTGTAGGACAAATGGCCGTGTGGCGCATATCATCGTAAAACGTAGATCGCTGGCTAACGAGAATTCAACACTAAACATGATTTTAAATGTGCACTTAGGTCCTGATCCGCAAGTGCCGTAATGTATATGATGGGTATCTCCTGGGTAACGATAGTGATTAACGCTGATTTCGGGTTTCTGTGCTGTATGGTCCGGTATCTTCTTACTGTGCGCAACAAAGGCGCTAGTCGTGCGGGTATGTTTCGAATAATATTAAGTGTGATGAACTTGAATCGTGAGTCGCCCCTCGTCGTGCAGTCTATCTGAAATTAGTAAAATTAGGCTGGTGAAATGATTAAGCTAGCTAGTCCGGAATGCCACACAGTTCCAGCAGGCTTTACTGTGTGTCTCTCTGAAAGGAGTCGTACGGCGCAGAACGCGTATTGGGAGGTTGGAGGGTTGGTGCCAGAGCTGGAGGCATTTGGTGTGGCGCACGGGGCGGTATAGGGGGCCCCAAAAAGCCAGAACCCGCAGGTGGTTGAGGAGGCTGACCTCGCGGATCTGGTAATCCCGGAGCAAGCGATGGTGGCGGGAGCGTGTAAGCTGGTCCTTGAGGTTGCGGTAACGGATTGGCATAGCTAGTCGTGGGGATAGAAGCTGCTGCAAAAGATGACTGGTAGGCACTTGTCCTCCTTCTTTGAGCTGGAGGTGGGTCCCCTTGATCGTGACGCCTGTACTCGGCAGGTGGAGGAGGCTCAATGGGTACACTCACGTACTGTCCATGTGGTTGAAGTCGACGCATCCGAGGTGATGCAGGCCTCGGAGGTATAGAAGCGCCAGGAGTTCGCGACAATATATCTCGGAAAATGTTTCTTTCTGCAAGGTAAAAATCGCGCTCTTCAGTCATGTCACGTACTTGCTTCTGTAGGTCAGCAATGTGGTGCGAGGCTGCTTGTTCCTTCTCCTTCCGTCTTTGGCGGAACCTAGCAGAGGCACCGGCGTTACGTTTCCTTTTCTCATCCGCCAGCTTGGAGGCTTGCTGAACATCGACTTCTACAGGAAGTATCATTGGACCTGACTCTGTAGAAAGCTCCATCTGGTATGCTGGTTGACCGACACCATATGCGCGTGTCGCAACCATCATATGCGATGCAGTGCTGGGTGTGGTTTGCGCGTTGATCATTGCTGACGTCGAATCTACAGGCTCACGGTCGGCCATTCCCAAATTCGAAGAGCTGGCAGGGCTTCCTATATGTCCTTGGGTAGTTGCGGAATACGAAGCAGTAGAACTACTATAGCCAACGCCTGTAGCCATGTTGCTTTGCTCATGAGGTTGTACAGGTATATTCAGTCCTTGTGAAAGCAAATTCATGGGAGGCAGTGGAGGTATAGTGCCGCCGGTGGATTCGCCAGGCTCGACCGTATATACTCGCCCATGTTGATGATTGCCCCTTCCAGCCGGAGAGCTATGCAGTCCCTGACTCGCGGATCGTAACGCTGGTGATCTAGGTGTCAAAACGCGTCGAGCTGGTCGGAGCTCCGAGTGTGTGTGAGGCGTTCTCTTAGGCGATGCATTGTCCTTTCTCTTCCGAATCTGTGGTGAGATACGTGGAGTCTTAGCCGTTCCGAAAACCGGACCAACAGCCCCAACGGGAGACTGGGACACCCTCGTGGTCTGTCTAAAAGGATCTGTCTCTGCTGCAGGATTGAGAATGCTGTGGACTCCAAATGTGCGTGTTGCTGCTGGGGAGCCAGCCGATGGGCTATAGCCTGTCAGCGTTGTGACAGGCGGCAAGATTGGTGCATATTGCGCCGTTTCTTCTCGTGTTGGCTCCCTCTGGGATATGTTAGAACGCTGAGTTGTGTTCGTGTCTTGTGCACTGAGAGTCGGTTGGGAAGTCTGGTCCGTAATTGGCACTGATCGTGACATGTAATGATCGCCCTCTGCTAGAGGTTCCCAGGCACACGACCATATATCCTCGTCCGTCCCCTCCCGACTCTCCCTCCTCCACCTCTGGCCTCGCTCCGAACGTTTTGCCTCCCTGCTGTATTGTTCGAATGCCCAATGGTGATGTCGTCGATCAGAAGCAAAATGCGACCCGGGAAAAGCCACTACCTGCACCTCAGCCAGCTTGCCGGATGATCTGTGAGCGCTCAGTTTAGTCGTTGGGATCTGGCCGTAGAAGGTAAATGCTTGGCCCTAGCCAAATGATCGAGACGGAATATCGATTCAGTTTGATGCCAAGAGTGTCACTGGTACTAGGTCGAGAAGTTGAGGCGATATACAGAAGAAGAAGCAGTTTCAAGCATGAAATGTCCTTCTGATGTAATTGCGCCAGTGGGCTGGAGTAGTGGTCTAGGTGGGGTTTGTAACAGCAAATGGGAGGTACAAAGTGACAAAAAGCTCTGTTACAGGTAGCTTGACCAAATACAGCTGAGGCGTATAACAGACAGCTGGACTTCCACCAGGTCATAAGAACGGTGAGTGGCAGATCAAAAGATTGTCGGCTGATGGCTAAGTTCAAGTGCCAGCCCGTGCATCAAGCGGCAGGTGTTGTAAGATCCGGAAAGATGTTATGACTCGGGGAAGACGGCTAGAATCAATGTACTGGAACCACTGTGAGCTGAATCGCTTTCTAGCGTTTCCAGGGCGCTCCTCGACGTTGCAACGAACAAACGACAAAAGCAAATCTAGCAGGAGCTGCGAAAAGTATCTAGAGGAATAGCCTATGGCTTGAGTGGACCGTGGTGAGCAGGTACGCTATCACTGAGCTCCGTATCCACAGCAGAGCAGGTAAAGTCTAGTGCAGAAAACCACCATATCTCCAAGCGTGGCATTGCTTCCTGGGCATCGACGACATGATGATGCAGCCTGTGAGATAGCATGGTCGGTGAGCGGACATGTTGCTTAAGTGCTAGCTCGAATGGATCTAGCGATAGTAGTCTTCTCAGTAGCCGGGTCGACAGGATGTCCATTCACCTGGTAGCTGGTACTCGGGTGATGTGGTGATGGAATGACCAAGGCTCGAAAGCCGAAACTAGGATGCTCACTCCACTCGCACTTGTATGACTTAGCACCCTTTCTAGTGCCCGAACAAAGCATCGCGCCGTCGTCGTTGGGGCTGCTCCAGATATCCTTTTAATTCCGTGCGCGATCGAAGGCACGATTCTCCAATCATTTTCTCATTGGCTCAATTATGGTTAATGATGCCCAGGAGTAGCTCAATAATCGACGCACCAGCATGGTGGCCAGAGCTCGTGATCGTTGGCGTTGCATCTATGTTGATGCAGGCCAACGGGTTATTTTCCGAATAGACCTACCATTATGCTTGTAAAAGGTAGCTAGTACATAACCGTCACTATCACCACTCGCTCCACCAAGATTATGCGATGTTCAATGTACTATATGTAAATGTTTGAGCTGCTGCCAGCTTCGACTCACAAGAATATCGTTGATTGGCGATAGTAAGTTTGCATAGATGGGTCATGTTCGTGATGGCCGCCGATAAGCTTTGAAAGTGAAACGACTATGTAAGATCCGCAAAACAGCTGAGAGGGCTGATCCTGGTAGTGATTTGTTGGACCTTAGTTCTGCAGGAAGTCCTCTCAGCAGGACGCCACACATAGTGTATATTGGCTTGTGGTTAGCCTTGCTTGTTAAGTCGAAGTTGCTGGTCGCAAACATAATCCGCCGACGAAATCACACTGATCCAGTTCTGAACAAGATCATAGAGTTCGGGTATGGTACTTGGTGCTGGGCTCGTAGTACGATAACACAGAAAGATTTGTGAATCGTAACAAGTAGTGGTTGCATGGCAATGGCTTGAACGTTCCTTCTCGCTCTACGTCTTTGTGACGGATTGTGACTCCCGTCCAGGATCGTGCAGTAGCCAATGCGGCAGCCCTATAGTGCAAGTGGTCGATTCGTGATATTCTCAACCGACTTCAAATGCGATTGGAAATAAGACGAACACGCAAAGGGCCGCTGGCGCACTGCATAGACGACAATCATCAAACACTGGCTGCCGACCACGTGTCGTCACGACACCTCCGCTTTTAGATGAGGCTCGGGCCACCCTCGTCGCCAGCAGTGATAAGGCACTTCTCGGAACGACGTACCCTGTTTCCAGACGTCATCCACTTCCACCATCTCTTCACCATATGTGCGATTCAGGCTTGTCCCGCCTCGAAAGAATGGGGCCATGCTTTGATCATAATGTTATGTCAATGCAAGAGTTTCTCTGTCGAGACGAGGTTCGGTGTGCTCGGACAGCAGTATCGAACCACTGTAAACCTGATGAGATCGGGAATCTGCACGTCACGCTAAACGAGCAGCACTGACCCATGTTCATTAACGTCTAACTCTGTGCTAAACAACAAGCTAACATCTTGTGGAGAGTCGATCGCGCACATCTTGAAATTGAGCTGCGGCGCTCCATCAATCCTTCGGCTGCTCATACCAATGCAGAAGCAGTCTTACTCAATGTAGTAGACTGATAAAGCCTTAGGCTGAGCAGATACAGTCACTCGTCCGAGCACATCACCCAGTACTAGTTCAGGTAGCACAAGGGAGTGCTCGTCGCACCAAGTACGATTGTGTGACTTGTGATTGACTGCATGCAGGTCACCTTTAGCACACCTTTTCATGCAAGATTCTGCATACGATTCTGCAGACCTACATGAAGTAGGGTGATTTCAAATACGCTTTTGTTCCGGGTGTTCAGCAGTGAGGCGCAACGCCGCAGCGCGTGGAAACAGGAACCTAGCTTCGCTAAATGGAAGTTGGTGGGTCGCAGAAGGTGTGTCAGGAAACAAGACTCTAGCGAACTCGTCTCATGCGTAAGTACCTGAAGTCTGAAGCATATGCACAATGATTCGCAGGGAACACGAGCTTGCGCTTAGTTCGCGGTCGACTAACGTACAATACGCTCTCATATGGTCACGCATCAGTCCTGGAGCATCTCTTGCATCATTGCTTGGGTTGACTTGCTTGCGCATCGGGCAGCAGGAAACATCCATGTGTATACGCACAAAAAGCCTAATGAATTTAGACGCTCCATCAGGTGGACAGTCATTGGCGAGTGGATGATTGTCCGTGATTTGCTGAAACCAGAGTTCGATGCATTTGCAGGTGGCCACGTGGGCAACAAACAATGCTTGTTATCAAGCTTCGTGGCACGGAGAACTGCCCAAATCTACGCTGACACCTTGGAATCTCTTCTTGGAATCTCTTCGCTGCTCGTATCTCCATGATTCTGATGACAGCAACTTCGACAATCTATCGACTATGTGTTGTGCCCCGTCTTGCGATTGCATGGATCTGCTTAACCACCAACCCCACCCAATCGTCCAGTTCATGCATCAGCCAAGGACAATCTCATGAACCTTAACTTTCGACGGACAAAAGTATCCCTCTCACGAACCCGGGGCCGCGGTACGGTTGTCCGAGATCCGCTGGCGGGATATGCATACATTGATCAGCATTTCCACGTACGAGTTTGATGACAAGTCCGAGCCGTGACCGAAAGCAATGGCAGCAGCTCAAGCCTTCCTGAGCTCCTCCTGTCAAAGAGGCGCACTCACCTACTTCACAACGTTAGTAGTATCAGACAGCAGACAGTCCACGAACGAAGCTCTTCCAAGCACTGTCATCAAAAATCTGATTTCTCCCATATCGACCAACACAAAGAACAAAATCCAGCACCTGTCTTTACAAGTACTGTTTGATCAGCAACTCCAAGTTCGCGCTAAATGTAAGACCTAAGCCGTTTCATTCCACAGAGGAGAGACGAAAGTCTAATTCTCGTAATCAGTCCTGGAGGAGTCATGTAGGACACATCAAATGAGACTTTAATGCGGCAAACGACACGTTTGAGAACGATCTTCACTTTCGGATCACCCATCTAGACACGTACGGTCAGCAGCAATGTATCAAGTGCTAATCTTGGGTTCTTTATGCATTTTTAAAAGACCTGAAATGTCAGACCTTGCAACTTGTTCGTTACCCGTCTCTGGCTCAAAGGCTGCTTGCGGATTTACGCCTTGACTCTTGATCAGGTAATCGTCACAACTCTTAATTCTCCGATCTAGGTCAGGAGAGCCTGGCTTTGTGTCTAGGTGCTCCGCCAACTCCAACATTGACCTTGAAGAGATTACCTGCGTACTTGGCAGATTCTGGATTGTTCTCAGGATCCTCCTCAACAGCAGAAGTGACAAAAAGGTCTGTGCCTGCGAAAACGCAGCATGTGATGTTCCTCGTTGGCAGCAAGACCTCGCCAGTGACCTTGCCTTCAGGTGTGACACGAATTACCCTCGAACCACCATAGAGAGCCTGCCATAGATTGCCCTCAGAATCTTGAGTATGACCGTCTGGGTTTCCAGGAAGGCCAGACTTGGAATGATCGTAGAAGATCTTCTTGTCGGAAATGTCGCCCGTCTTAGAATGGTAAGCAAAAGATAATATTCTCTTTTCGGTTGTATCAGTCAGGTGCATGGTGTTGTCCTGTTCGTTCCATGTAATGCCGTTTGGAATCACAATCTTCTCGTACATGGTCTGAAGAGTGCCATCAGGATCCATTCGGAAGAGAACTCCTTCATCTGATGGGTCCCCAATTTCAGGGTCATCAAAGGCCTCAACCCAGAAACGCCCGGCAGTATCGACAGCACCATCGTTTGATCGCATCCTAGGAGACGTCTTAGAGAGAAGAACTATACCAACAGCAATGGAATAACATACCTCTTTGTCTTCTCCTCCGCACCAGCTCCCGACCAATACTTCACCACATAGTCGTGCTTTTGTGTCTTCAAATTGAACTTCGTCACGCCATCCTTTGCACCAGCAAGAACGATTTCAGACGAGTCAACACCTTCAATGTCGACTGTGACACCCACTGGCATTCCAGTATCAATCTCTTTGAGGGAGTCAGGCCCCTTATTCAGGTCTATTATATAGAGCTTTGAACTGTTTATATCCTCGAATATGTTAACATACGTAATTTGCAGAACGACTGTAGTATGTCCTCACCAGAAATCGAAGCTCGTTCCTTTCTGGTACATAGTAGACTCCTTCTCCCAGCTTGCACTTCGTCGCCACGTAGGGCTCGGTCACTTTCCACTGCTGAATGCTCATCTTCTTGTTGTTATTAGAGGTTTTGGAAGAAATAGCTGGCGAGAACAAAAAGTTTTGTCAAGAAGTGTTCATCCCGCTACTTATTATATTTATCTTACTGCTCTAGGGCACTTTATCAATGCGTCACTTCTTCGACATTTTCCAATGTTGTTACGGCTAAAAATTCGGGTATACATTCCTGCCCCGCGTACCGCCAAGTGTCCAACATCTATAGTTGAGATTCATACTCTACAACTTTTCGTATATTCGTTACATGTCTACTTTCTAGCGACGTATCAGACGCGAAACAATCGTTCGCACACCTACGTCTGTTTCCTGTATTCCCATATCGACCCCGACCTGACTCTCAAGCTTTTTAAGACAGAAAAGGGACTAAAGACGATGTAAGTCCCGTCCCGACCCTTGACGAAAAAGACAAAATTCGAGGTCGCAGGGTCGATCTCTGGTAATAACGGTGATCCTCTCGTGTCGTTGTAGGCTATCCAAGCTGGAGAGTTCTCGATGCGGCTGCAACGTTGCATGGCCCAGGAACGTGGTTGTCTGTCCGCCCTTTGTCCGCCCTTGAAGGGTGCGTGATCCAGGAACAAGGACGAGAAAGACTTCGACTTTGTCCAGGTGGAGTGATGTGCGAAGCCCTTGCATGCTCAGATGCAGCCACGATTCGATGTTGTGTTTTTAATGGCTCGTGCAAACGAATCTCCCGTAGTAAGTGAGAATTATCATCTCCCGTAGACATCAGTTTTGATCCTTCGTTCACGGGTAGCGTCCGTTTTGCCCCAAGAAGCCTTTGGCAGCCCACGCATGCTTCTGCTTCATTGTTGCTAAGACATTTCCTGGAGTAGGGAATTTATTGTTGATTACCACTCGCTACGCCTTAGCAGCAGGTACAACATAACTCCTCACAGCAGAATCAATACTGCCATCATGTGCTCGTAGCAACTCAGTCGCCTTTGGCTTCGACAAATCCAACTCATTCACCAGAAACTGTATATCCTCCGCCGCAAGCTTAATCTTCTTCTTCACCTCAGCATCCTTCTTCACTACATCTTTCTTGTCGTCTATCTTTTTGCTTGCGCTACCTCCTGCTGCCACCTCCAGCCTTCCCATGGCCTTCATCAGTGCTTCTTGGTCTGCGGCGTTGGGCTGCGTTGAATCTTGGGCTTCGCCGTTGTCTTGGCTCATGGCATTTGCGTTGAGGTTATCGAGGGCTGCTGCAGCCTTGCGGTCTTCGGCGTTTGTGGGCTTTTGTGCTTCCTCGTTCTCGTTCGCGGTAGTTATTGGTTCAGCCATGATTTGGGTATGGTGGGCTCGTATTTCCACGACTTTCGGATGGTGTGATAGATTAGGATTTTCCAGTCGAGTATCTGTCTTGTCAAGCTTTGTGCAAGGGCACTAACCATTCGAAAATGAATTGGTCGTTCTTTAAATTCTACGTCCAAAGCAAGTAATGTTGGATCGGATGAGATGAAATGACGACTTGGAAATAGTATCGCGCTAGAACGTAGCGATGCGTGGCCGTATCATTTTCCGTACTACCAGTACTCGGTACAAATCCAAAACTTCTTTCGAAGTTTCGATAACCTACTCGGAACAAGCTTGAGCTGTGCTTCAAGTTGCGTATGAAAGTCTAAGACTACGTGATAGCACAGTCATCTTGTGGAAATCCGGTAACCTCGTTTGATGGAAAGCTATGTACTCAGTGTGTTCGATCGACTGCGCTCCGCCAAGAGTAATGAACCACCACAACTGACAGCCGTTACGCTGTTATCGAGTCAGCAAGCATACCATGACCTGCATGCTGAGTTCTCGCGTTCAGATGTGTATTCTTGAATGGTCAAGTCGAGATATTGCTTCGACCATGTTCAGCAACCGGCCGTCCTCAGGGCATATAAGCACCGACTGTCCCAGTTCTCTGAACAATCCCACATATCCATAGCAGATATGAGATGTGCCAGTAGCACGGGAGTTCTGGTGTATCTTTTGCCCTACGAATTGCTGGTGTTATAGATGCTCTTTTGTCTCTCGGATACTCCTTACATCTTACAGTACCAACACACCAGCAGCAAGAAGACCCATGAAGCTTGAGACCGTCAAAGAAGATGCTGCACCAGAGCTCGTGCTGGATGCTGCTGATCCAGATGCTGTCCCGCTGTGGTCTCCGTGGCTTGAACCAGTTGCGTTGCTTGCTGATGAGAGTTCTACGCTTTGTGCTGTAACGCCAGTGCTGTTGACGCACTGGTCAGCTGCGAGCAGAGTAGCGTTCGATGTGAAGACGATATCAGCGCACTATATTTGCCAGATGCATTAGCTTGTGAAAGCGACAAAGAAGACTGCGAGTACTAACGTTGTACAAGGCACTGCCCGAGTCTCCAACAGTCACTACCTGAATACTAGCCTCCTGTCCCTCGGTGATGGTCAGGCCGAGCAGCTCACTGCTTGGCACTCGAAGCTGGTTCCAGCAGAACGTTCCGTTTCCTGTCTGATTTATCAATTGTCCGCCATTCGGATTCAAGCTGATATTGAAGTTGGTGACCTCAGCACCGAAGCCGAGATTGACGAATAGATAAGTCCAGTGGTGGTTAAGGTCAAGTGAGACTGAACCTCCTTCGAGAGGCCAAGGCGTCCGCTGTAACGACGTGTTCTGCATCGGTTGCACGTTGGCACAAGGGTAGGACCATTGTGAGATCGACTCGTTAGTTTCGGCAAGTGAATCAGCCCTCCATGTAGGATAGTTCAGCCCAAAGTGCGCAGAGACTGCAAGTGGGAGGACGATGGTGGCAAGAAGATCGGCCTTCATGTTGTCGATTCGACGGGTTCGATAGTACTGGCAGTGTGAGAGACGTCAACGAGAGATTTATTGAAGTGTGAGTAGACAAGAGGTTGATGCATAGCAGGGTATATTCATATTAAATACTAGTATGGACCAGGCAATTTTCTAGCGTGCTTGCTCGCATTGTTCGACCAGCATCTCTTCACTCCAGCAACTCGTAGAGTGACAATAAACCAGAAGCTAAGGCTCTGTGGCTTGACCACGACTGCAGGGACAATTCATTGCCGACCAGAAAGGGTGGTTCCGAACCAGACAGGTACACTAGATACGACCAGGCTCGAAGACGAGAGCAAACGTGATTGGCTACTTCAAACTTGCTCACTCTTGGCAAATGTGCTCATCTATCGCATGAGCACGTGTAGTCCCCACAGAGAAAACATCTAGCACAATGGAAGGTGCTCGTTACTGGAACCTAGAAGAACATCTCACGCTCTAGTGCTGATCGAGACTTGTGTCGGTGCTTTGTCGGTCGACGCTTTGAGATGAGCTCGAAGCAAGCCTGGATCTGAAAATACCTCGGAGAGGCGTGAGCCCAGATGAGAGAACAAGAGGAGCCTGTAATCGTGTATCAGTTCATCTCGAGCTGCACCTGCACAGCAAATTCACGTCTCTCTCTTTGCTTCCGAAGCTCTTTCCCGGACTGCAAATTGGTCTCTTATGCCTCATCTGATGTACTTGCGCGTTACACAGTATGTTGATCATGTCGCCTAGCTCAGAGCGCAAGAAGAGTTGAGAGACGCATCGAAAGGGTAAGAGGGGAGTGGAAGTTTAGAGAGCGCATTGGGTTATGCTCGAGGCCATGGCTCAGTTACACTTCTTTATTGTCTACGTCGTGAATTGTTACTTATGTCATGCTCGTTGTGTTCAGGCGGCATTGAACCTCTCCTCAGCTCGTCGTGACTTCCCATCTCTTCTGACGTGCATTCAAAGCCCCCAGCGCAAGATTGGTGTTGCTTGATTGAACCATGAGACCACAAGTTAGCAGCTAACCTTGTCCAACATGTTCAAGAGTGTTTGACCATGATTACCAATCTCATCGATGCTCACGAAGTCTACTGGCTCAATCAGCTCTCCATCTTCTGTTACTGGTTCATCAAGCGCCTTGGTCGTGTTCTCAAGTCGAGCTTGTGCTGCAGCAAGGGCCGACGCAAGTTTTGTAGCATTGTGTTTCACTCTTGATTCTGCGTTTTGCTGAAGGCTGTTCAAGACTTCGAAACAGCCATTGTGGTATTGCTGCACGAGGTTTCGTGCCAGCTGCTCCTCTTTCTCTAGGCGATTCAGGATGTCCTGCTAAGTGTCAGCGCAGCAAAAACTCTTGACTCGTAAAACATACCTGTGTGACAGCTGTCAGAGTTTGTTGCAGACTTTGGCGTACATTACTCATGGGTGAAACTCTGGATTGAAGATTGAGCTGCTGGACAACAGTCTTGTTGTTTTGAGCTCCTGAACCAGGACCGGGAGAAACATCTGGCATACAAGTCGACGTCGTGAGAGGCGAACGAGACTCACTGCATCTCAGAAGCAGAATGGGCTCGACCAAGGTTGTGTCATTCGTATCACTCATATCGGATTCGTTGTGTACCATCTCTTGCAGCTCAAGAGCCGTGAATGACTCGGTATGTTGGACAGGGGAGGTGCTAGCGTGGAGTTGCTCGTGGAAAGGCTGGGGTGTACTTGTGTGGGCAATCAAAGGCATTGAAATTGGAGCCGGTGCCGGAGCTGGAGCTGTCTCTGCCTGTCTGATTCGCTTAATGTTGAGAGGTGGCGGCTTGGTTGCTTGATCGTCTCCAGGTAACGTAGTGTCTTGTTCGGATCCTTCACTCTTACTGGATTTACCGTATGCTGTGTTGCCGTAGCTTAGCTCCGATCGTCGCTGGTGTTTGGTAGTGGGCTTCGGAGGAGGTGGCATTGGCTTGATGCGCTTCGGAGAGACGCTAGCATTCTGTGCTACTATCGTCTTCGTTTCTGGTGTCTTCAAGGGCGGGCGTACTGTTTGTAGTAAGGCTGAATCCGTGGCCACGGACCTGGTTTCTGGCTTGTATAAATCCCGGGCATCGAAGACGTTTAACAATCTCAAGTCGCGGTTCAACGAGGTAGTTGGCTTGTTGAGCTCGGAAGCATTGCTCAATGACATCGTAACGTTAGCGTTGTACTTTTTGCCTGTTTCCAACTGTGGGACGTTATCAAGTCCTTGTGATCGTTGAAGCTTAGCTTGTGTCATGTCTTGTGCTGTATTTGCCTGCTTTGATGGCGAAGTCTGAATGCTTTCGCCGTCGTCGTCCTGTTCCTCCTTTTCTTCTCGACTTCGATGGTCAGCTTCAATCGAGCTGATGACCAAATTTGCAGGTGTCTCACCCTCAGAGCAAGGTGAGGGCGGCGGCGGCATCTCGACAAGCATAGAATCGTCGTTAGGAGGCTCTTCAGATAAGTGCTTGGCAGAAGTTGCATTTATAGTATCCTGGGCATCACTTGGTTGTAGATCTAACGAAACGTCATGAGCAGCAGGCGTATGGCGAGAGGATAGCCTTTTCTGAAGAGAGACAGCAGCTGATGTTTTATCGGCAGGCACGGTGCGCTGTGGCAAGATTTTTGACCCGTACTTGTCGTGTAGGGATTTGGCTAACTTCATGGAAGGTACGACAGGCGCATTTGTGCGATCGACCACTGGATCGCGACTCCCGATTGCATGGTTTTGTATTTTTCGTGCCGATGCTTCGTGACTTCTCGGATGGTCCAAATCCTTTCCACTTCTATTCCAAGCTGGTTGAAGTTCGAGAGCTGATCGTGCTTCGAGCTCAGCTCGTTGTAAGGAGTGTTGACCAACTGGACCAGTGCGGCGAAAGTGTACAATTGACTGAACTGGCTTGTTACGCACGTTTTTTGTGTTTGCTTTAGAGAGATTCGAGCGTACAGGACTCACTCTTTGACCCTGGTGCACCTGCAGGCTAGGAGCATCATGACCAGCACTTTGACGTACAGCTCGAGCTTCGCTCGATTTCTTGGATGCACTACCCGGTGAAATCAGTGTTTGTGATGCAACAAATTCTGCTTTTAGTTGTCGTCTGACCCCTTTCAACTGGTCGTCCGGGTGCTGTTGTACTAACGGAACTGCATTGCTGACGGAAACTGATGTGACCACTGGTTCTCTGTGCGCTATCCGAGATTGGTTATCTTGACTTACAACATCTTTCCCCATGCCCACATCATTCTTGTAAGACCTGATATCAGGGGGTGTTCTCGCTTGATCCGGTCCACGTACAGACTCCTCCCCGAAATCCGGTACCGCATTTGTTTCACCATCGTGCTCAATCGAGCGGCGGTCCAAACCCTGTGTTCTGATCTCTAAATGCCTTACGGAAGCTCCGTCAGGTTGTGACCATCTTACAGCCGAACGTGACTGCGTGGCACCGCGATCATGCGCATTCTTGGTAGACGTGCTGACGCTCTTAGCAGCATTCACGTTGTTGACAAACTTGGCAGGATCTCCAAAGGGTGGCTGTTCCTGATCGAGGTCTATCATCCCTGGAAGACGCTGCATTGTTGGAACAAAATCACCAAGCAATGTGCTAAAACTAGCTTCGCCCGCTCGGGCCACATGGTCTTTGCCTTCTGTCCTTCCTTCAGGATCAGAGTCCTCTACCATGATCTCGTCGTCATTCCCTGATTGAGAGTTTGGTACTATTTCAGTAGAACCTCCAGATGACCCCGAATGATCCGGCAACTTAACCACACCTCCACGAGCAACAGAAGTCGCGGGACGCTTCAGCTTTGGCGAAGATACAGATTGCTTCTTGTTGTCGGCTTGACTTAATGACCCATCATGCTGAGTATTCAATTCATCTTCCACATCTGTACCCGACTGTGATGGATCAGCGTAGTCTACTTGATGTGGCCTGGCCCTTTGGGGTCTGCTCTTGGCTGCAGTGTCCTCTGTCTGTCTAGTCTTTGCGGTCACTGACTTCACCTTTTTTGCCTCCTGGTTTCTTGACCTTGGTGTGACTGCTTTTCGTGGGTTTGTCTTGTGTGCCATATTCGTAGAGTCTCTGAGCTCGCGCGACCTGGAGTTGGCAGCTGCTTTTGTCTTAGATTTCCTGGTTCCTAGAGGCCTAGGCTCATCCTGCAAATCTATCTCCCATTCCTTATCATTCGAGGCAACTGTGACCAGAATATCGCCATTGTTATGTCGTGCTTGCGATGTATTTCGAACTCGTTTCTTGAGTTTAGAACGGCCAGCTGGCTTCTGTGTGTTCGACTCTGTCGGTGCGGGTGAAGCCTTGCCATAATTATGTTCTTGTGCCGATGCGGGCTCTTTTGCATTGTTCTTAGTCGAGATTGTGTTGACTTCACCCAGCTCTTCAAGGCTTCGCGAATTTGCATCTAATGAGTCATGTCCTTGCGCTGCACGAACATGTATCTGCTCCATTGTAAACGACGACTTCGATGTGTGGATTTCAGTGCTGACGGTATTTGTGCTTGCCTTGGACCGCTTCGTAGACACCTCATCAGTGATGGTTGTGGAGCGGTCAACAGTGTCTGCGTGCTTTCGCTTGCTTAGCTGACGAGGACTATCTTTCGTGGCATGTACCATGTTTGTACGAGCGGAGGTTTGAAAAGCAATATACTCTGCGTCGTTGGCCTGGTCAAGTGTAATTGTGAGCGATGGGCCCTCGTGCTGGATAGCCGCTTGTAGCTTCAGTGTTTCTTCCTCGTCATGTAAGTCAAAAGGCTGATTGTGCTTGTTCTCGTTGAGTTGTTCGGTATGCCCGCTCGACCACGATGCTTCTGGTCCACTCCCGTTAGTGTTCATCACCCTCAGGTCGTCTGTATTTGCAATTTTTGCAGATTGCATCGGAATCGTGGGTGTCTGCTGGTGAATGTCGCTCGAGGCTTGACCCGTGCTTCGGCACTCCTGAACATGTTGAAGAATCTTGGAGAAGCTAGAATGAGCATTGTCTTCGGCAAACTCAACACTGAGCTCGGCTACCGCCGTCTTCTTGCCTTTGAAGAAGCAGAAGCCTTTGCTGTGCCGCCACGTCATACGTACTGTATTCGACCTGTGTCCACGAGAAATAGTTTCTGCAATCATATGCTGATCGATAGGGAACTCGTATGGAATGAATGTGGTTTTAGCTGTTGCCTCGTTAGGCACAAGGACTGTGACACTGTCGTCGATCACCAGCAGAGTATCGGCTCGGCCAGAGTGTAGCGCTTTCTCCTTGATATTTATATCCTTCACAAGATAGACGTAAGTGTGTAGAGGGCCTCCAGTCTTCTTGCTTTTCATGCCTTTCATTGACCGCAGCATCTTAGCGAGGTCGGACGATTTGATCTCTTGCGAGCTCGGGAAGTCCATAGCCTCTTCATCAGTCATATCCCAAATTTCATTCGAGTCGAAGTTCTCTGATCTTAGATGTCGGACAATGTCTGCAACCAGGATCTTGAGGACGTGGTCGTCTACATGGCGAATCAACGAGCCAAACAAATGGTGCTTCTCCTGCTCTTCCATTAAGCCTCGCCAAGCAACCGCGTTATTGGTGCATAGAGCCACAATCAACTGTGCTGAAAGTCTTCTGATTTTGCCATGCTTACTATCGTCGAACAGAAGACATCTCAGCATCAGTGGTAGTGTGGAGAAGATGTAAGCACGACGATTCTGTACCTCCTGCTTCAGGTCATCCACCTCCAGGTATGATTGTAAAGCTTCCCAAGCTTTCTTCTCGTTCTTGTATAGTAAGAGCATATCCATGAAGAAATACACCACTTTGCTGACGACATTCGAGGGAGGAAACTGTAGTACGGTCGAAATGACAAGGCATATCGCAGGTCCGTCGAAGCGGAGGAACGACTTTTTTTGTTCAAAGGTCTTGAGCCGTGCTTGTAGTTCGTCTGAGAGGTTCGGCGTAGTCGTGGAGTGAAGAGCGTCTGCCAATTGAGCATCGAAACTACAAATGAAGTCAGACTGGTTAGTGAGCGCGGGATGTGAGAGTTGGGTACCTGATGGCAGGTCCTTTGCCTTTTTTGCCTTGCTCTTCCACTAGTTCACATAGCTGAGTGAAGGTCTCCTCAAAATTGTGGAGCTGAGCAGCCATCCTGCAGGCTCATGGATTTCAAGAGACTAGTGAGCACAACTTGGTTGAGCGATCGAGTTAAAGGTGCTGATGCTGCAGAGTATTTTGCATTAGATCTGGCTAATGGTAGTATCGTCCAGAGCACCTTCCGGCAAGTTTCCGCAATTCAGACATAACTCTCTATTTTGGAGGCTTCTGTTGCTAGTAGTGGCACTTTCTCTAAATCTACACCTGTAGGTGAATCTTCATCTACTCCATCCAAGTCATCGCCGATTGTTCTCTCACCATCACCAAATAATTTGAGGAAGAACCTGTCATAGCTGGCCCAACAGGCGGTAAACATGGCGGCCAAATAGTCAACCATCCAATCTGGGTACCTGCCGTGCTTGTCGAGGAACATCTTTGCACTGCCAAAGAAGAATGCAAATATGGGTCCCCACACGGCCAAGAAAATGAAGCTACCAATTTGCTGTTTCGACGTGGTGGTATGGTAAGTTCTTATGTTGCTCAGAAAGTGTCTATATTCCATTGGCAGATTATGCTCGCCTGCACCGTCTGTGATTAATTTCAGATATCGAGCAGAAGGCTGTGCATAGTCTGGATTGGGTCGTAACGATTGCTCGCGGTGAGCGTACAAGGTGTGTGCTTTGAACGGTGTGCCCGATGGTTGCGCTGGAACAAGAAGATTTGGATCATCGTCAAGGGCGTAGCAATCTACCACAACATCATGATAGCCAGCTCCACCACCTTCTGTAGCTATTATGTGTGCATAGTCTTGCTTTGTGACCTCATAAACCACTCCTACAAGCCCTTTCTTCCAAGCATTTTTGTGGTATGGTGGCCGTGGCTTCTCCTCACCATCACTCGGAGCGTCTCGATACCTAGAGTTGGCAAAACATGGTTCACTGTATGGTATGCCCGGCAGGTCGAAGGTAAGAGCTATCGATGGTGCAACGATGTTGATCTGCGATAACGGTCGTATACCTCTCTTTCCCAAGAACGTTTCAGCTGCTAGGTTCGAACCATATCCCAAGTACAGGACTGTCTCATCATCCTGTTCCGCCGTCGAAGCTAAAGCCGTAACCTGTATAGAGTCGAATGCTTGATCATTCCTCGACCTCTGCCTGCGCTCAAGACTCGTCTTCAGTGTTGCGCGAAGGTCGTGCTGTAGCTTTTTCTGGCGCGATGATTTCGCAGGCAGTATTGGCTCGACCGTTTCTGCGATAGAGGATACCGCGACTGCAGCTGGCAGGCTGCTTTCGCCCCTGTGATAGCTCTCCCTCGAGTCCATTGGATGTTGCGATGTGATGTTGATCTCTGAAGCTGAGTGCTGCTCGGTGCAAAGTATAGATCTCGAACCTAGCAACTCAAAGGGAGCTCAGTCGGAGATATCGCAACACGAGGCCGAAGCATTGCAGTAATCATGATGTCTTCCATGACAAATTCGGCCGCTCTTTCGTCCGTCGAGGTCATTTGCAACACATAACTCGTTACACTCTTTCCGCTGTTCAATCTCTTGAGCGGCTGTTGCCTACACTTAGTCGGTCGAGGTCTTTACATTGTTGATCAAAGACAGCATTGGAACGTCTATGCCAGTAGACAATCTTGAGTGACTGGAAGAGCTGTGGAGAGCACACAGGATATATATTGCAAGCTAAATTCAGGCTACTCTTGAACGAACATTCGACTGCATCGATTCACTACAGACCTCTTTCTCGTGCCTACACAAACCGAAACCCCCCCTTTCCGACATAATAGCCATTTCCGACCCATCATGGCTTGTCTATGCAGCTTCCTCCTTCGCTCTCTGCTCCTCCAGAGCCTGCTTGTTCCCAGCATTCGCATGCCCGCCCTTTTTGAAGAACGGGCTGTTCGTCATCTTCTCAAAGTCATGCAGCATCTCGGTATTTACGATGCTCATTTTGACCTCTTCTCCAGCTCGTGGTACCATCTCGTCTACATACTCCTCAATAGCAGCTTCTTGCGACTTACTCCCGTCTTTTACAGCAGCTAGGAGCTTGGTAAGGGAAGCGGCATCTGCTATACCATGGTTCAATCCCTGCCCGCGCTGAAAAGTCATGCTAATTGAGGTAAGCCATATACACCTCTCGAATTTTGCCTGAACTTACGGATGAGCAGCGTCCCCAGCAATAATCACACGACCGTTTCGTGTGTTCCACTTCTCTGGTACCCAGTATCCGAGCTTGTTCACCGACAACTTCGTCCCTTCAGGTATCCACAAGTTCGCACTCTTGAATGGTTCACCAAAAGTCTCGGCTCGTTTTTTGTGCTTCTCTAGACTCGAGACTTCGTCCTCTGAAAGGTCTGGTTCCAACGTCTTTTTCCATGTGCACTGTAACTGAAACACCCAAGTCTCTGGCTTGTCAGGATCTGGCACATCCTGTATGGCAACAAACAACCAATACCCCCTTGGATGGATAGCGTGATACATGATCGGGTGATGCCGCCGGACGTGACGCGCCTTTTCTGCGTCGTTGTAGCACACATGCAGGTTTATGGCATTGAATAGGACGCTATGAGCAGCTGCCTTGGACTCGTCATTGTCAAATATGAGATGCCGAGTCAGTGAGTGGGTTCCTTCGGCGCCGACAAGAAGTGTGCCCGTAGCAGAGCTTCCATCCTCGAACTGTGCCGTGACTGTTGTGTCAGTGTCGGAGTAAACAATGTCCTTGAGCTTCTTGTCGTACTATATACAATTGTGTTAGTTGATCAGGCCCACGACAGAATATACGGGGCCGTCTCTGCACGAGCATCTGCTAAGTGAAGTGCAATACTTCTCACGCAAGGCTCAGCACATATTCTGGCTCTGAACTGGCATAACTCTATTCGGATTGGACTGTACCTGCACATTTATGTCCTCAGCACAGAACGCCCTGAATTTACGTCGAGACACACGATATGTCCGCACCAAAGGGATATCAATGATCCATTCTCCGGTTTCGCCGTTAAATGTTGGCACCTTACCAGGCTCGGGAGGCTCGAAATTGGGGTCCACGGCAGTCGTGGACAGTTTGTTGTATTTATCTTCGTCAAAGCAGGTCTCCAGCAGAGGTAACCCCCACTAAGTATGTATGGTCAGTACATGTTCCCACTCAGTGAATTTCAAACAGTGATTCGGTCTCTTGCCGATAACCCAGCCTACGAGTGAGGGAATATTGACACAAGTATTTGGCGCTCTTGCTTACCTGAATTGACATGCCCCACTCTCGTGGTCGATAGTGTTTTGCCGAAGGCTCTGATTCGTAGACGGTGCAAGCTATTCCTTCCTGTGATCGTTAATTCGGTCGTCAGTCAGCTGCCGCGGAAAGCCTCACATGCCTTCTTCAATCCCTGAGCAATCAGAAGACCGACGATGCCTTATCTCATGTTAAATTAATGCCTCGCAACCATGCTGTCCATATCGTTTAGCGTACCGGCACCAATCACGAGCACTTTCTGCTCTACTTGTCGACTACCCATGGTTGCACTTTTAAGGGACAGGTTCTTGAGGAGCAACAGATCATAGAGAAGGAGCGTAACGAGATAGAGAGATTCGTGGGAACAGCAGCGAGCTGGAAGCTGAAGCAATAGAGCATTACCAGGTCATCGAGGCTACTGCAGCTCTTGCATAATGTTCTCTGCAACAGCGGCAGGACTGAAGAATCTTGCAAAGCCGTCGTTGCGGCCCGTTGGAGCACGAGGGCTGCTAAGACAAGTCTTGCAGAAGCTTGTTCCAAGAATTGTGCAAGCTCCTGGTCTGCAGCTGCAGGCAGTTGAAGTTGGATCTCGGAGGCGCATTCGCATGCCTGAGCAGAAGCAGTGATTCGTGGATGAAGAGACAGCCTGCGAAGCTATGCGCAACAGCTTTCAATCCGCGCGACTTAGAAGCATAAGAACAGCATGAAATCCAATGATCAATAAAGCTTGGCAATCCTTACCGCGTCGTGGAACAAACGATGCTCCACCTCGAATCCAACGACTAGTATTGATTTGCACTTCGATCGACAAAGAGGCCCCAATAGATGCATCGAAAGTGGACAGTTGACTCGAGGAGACCGTTTCAAGGCCTTCGAGACGAGCATCCTTCCTGTCTCGTCTTCTCCTTCGGGTAGCAGTCTGGTACCGACTTCTCCTGCATGCATCATGAAGCCTGCAGACGAGGACTACTCAAAAAGAGATCTCTTGCCAAAGGGCTCATTCTGTTCAAACATGTGTTGTCGTGACATGAACTGACTTGATAGACAGCGCACAAACGACGATTTCTCGCTCATTTGCGTTTGTCAACATTGAACGAAATGGCACAGTCGAGAGTGAACGTCTGTGATATAGAGCCTTACCAGGATCGGAGCGAAAAAGATACCTATTCGACCAGGGACCGACCGCTGGAACCAGAAGTACTTACAATTGAAGCAGACTCAGCGAGCGTCGATTCGGCTTATGGCGAGTCAGTAAAGTCAGGCTATCTGACTTCAATCGCGTCGGAAGTCCTTGCGGGCACGATGGAGAATGGCAGACGATATCATTCTTACGGAAGCGCCGAGTATACCTTTCCAAACGATGACAGAGAATGTATAGCTTGCTTTCGAAGCTTACCTGATTATGAAGGTCTGACATATAGTAGCAGAACGTCTCGACATGCAACATGCTATGATGACTTCTCTGATGAATAACCAGCTCTTCTGGGCACCTATCGATCCACAGCCCCTACGCGTCTTAGACATCGGCACGGGTACTGGCGGGTGGGCAATGGACTTCGCCGATATTGTACGTTGACATGAATGCTCAGCCAGATCAATCTGATCGTGTTGTAGTTTGAAAGTGCCGAAGTCATAGGTACAGATCTCAGCCCAATCCAATCGCCCTGGGTACCGCCCAATTGTTCCTTTGAGATTGACGATGCAGAACGAGAATGGACATTCAAGAGAGAATCCTTCGATTTTATACATGTTCGCAACCTTATTTGTTCGATACGAGATTGGCCAAAGCTATTGACTCAATGTCTGCTTCACACAAAGCCAGGTGGGTGGGTTGAATTTCAGATGAAACACATAGCCGTCACGAGTGACGACGATACACTCGCCGAAGACAGTGCCACGAAGCGGTGGGCAAAATTGTGCTTCGATGCATCCGCAAAAATGGGTGCTAGTTTTATGGAAACCACCAAGATCAAAGAGAGAATGGAAGAAGTCGGTTTTGTCGATGTGCAAGGGTATATCTGCAAAATCCCAATTGGTTCATGGCCAAAGAACAAGCATTTGAAGAGAGTTGGTGCTCTTGAACTAGTGAATATGGTTGATGGCATCGAAGGTTTATCTTTGAGACTTCTTTCCAAAGTGCTGGGCATGAGGCCGGAGGATGTTCAAATACTGTTGATGGAGGTAAGAGGAGAAGTGAAGAACAGTAAGATACACAGCTACTACCCCTTTTATGTGGTCTTTGGCAGAAAACCTTAGCGATGAAATGGCCTATCCGGAAAATAGTGGTTCCAGGGATTATTCAAGAAGTCATACCATAGCGACCTGGCATTACGAATCCACGAGTCGACGGATTTGAGTCACTGTTCCCTAGGGCAAAGAGGCAGAGTCGATGCTGTGTGACCCGGGGTGTCCGCACTGCGTCTCCTTCACGAATGCATATTGCCCATTTCCAGAACGGTGCCAGGAATTCTGCTGGTAACGCCGCAATCACAAGCTATGCCTCTAGCTGTTGTTTAGATTGAGCAATACCGTCTCAGATCTCGTGTGCCTTTATTCTTCCACCTCATGCAAGCAGCGCAGCAATATATGCCGTAGTCTACTATTGAAATTGAGTTTTCAGCTTCGAACTTTCATGTACAAAAGTAATAAGCTCCCTTTCTTAGTCCATAAGCATGCTTCTCGTAGAATACGACCCGTGCCTTGCTGAATGCGGCGGCCCTACCAAATATTAGCTCAGAAAGCCACATTGGCCAAACTCGTAGACTGTTCTTTGTGAAGGCTGGTACATGTTTAAGAGAGTACTCACATTCTTGTTCTTCGTTCTTCGTCTGCGTCTGCAATTGTAACTTTTCTGACATTGTCCCTGAAATACTGGTTGATAAAAGATGACATGTCGCCACTAAAAGATGATGGAAAAGCTGACTTTATCGACACTGAAATTGTCCTGAAATAAACGTGGTGCATGTCGGCACAAAATTGCTTACATGTGAGCATAACAGGTACAGGATCAACGCCTATACCACTTTTCAGCATGGTCCCGACCAATGTCAGAATAGTAGCTAGCTCTTACCTCGATCCTTGAACATGAACCCGTCCCTTGTGCTGTTCCTGTATCCCACGACTCTAATCGGTCCAGATTCAACGAGCTTCTCAAAGATCTTTTGTCGTATCTCTGTTGGCAACGTATTTAATCTCAAGCGTTGCTCTTGGGTTTGTGTCTGCACAAGCGATCCGTCATTCGTGCTCATTCTGACATATCCATATGATTCAATATTAGACTGGTAGATAACTCCGAATGGATTTGTTTCAATGGGCCAGTGCCGTAACGGTAGTGATGGCTTGAGATTCTTTGCCAGTACAGTAAGGTGATCTTTTAGGACATTGAGCATCCAGCAGACCAGTGCAGTAATGGTGACGGTAAGACTGCCACGATTGTTGCTGTTCAAGGGAATAAGTCACTGAACCATAAAGATTTGAATGTGCAAGGTTGTGATTTTGTTGTACACGGGGTGAGAAGAGGAAGTGTCAGTAGTGGATGCATCTTTTGGTGAAGCAGCAAGAAGAAAGCCCGCCTTGTGGTTCGGGAAGTGACGAGCCGGGTATCGATCAGGCGGAATAGCACTTTCCTGTTCTAATGATCATTTATTTGGACTCCTGCCATCGATTCTAGAAAGTGGCTCAACTAAGGTTCGAGGGAATTGACGACATAGCATTCATAGAAAAGAAGGAAAACGATATGTTCGAAGCTCGCGGATGTAACACATCGCTAAAGATTGGGCTCCGTCTCACGCATAAAAGTGAGCAGATATACATATTGCTGATGCAAGACCAAAAGCAATAACAGTGGCGAAAGTGTCGCGTGCCTGATTCTAGGTGGAAGCCTATTAGGAAAGGAGTCACACGAACGAAAAGAGGTTCGGAATCAATGGATGTGACCTTGAACGAGGCAAATGACTCGTGATATGCAGCTACGCGGTTCCTTCGCTAACAAACAGCCGTTTGTGAGGTCGATAGTGCATGCATCCACGGCAAAATTTCGGGGTTCTCATTTCCATTGAATCCAGTCATTACACTAAATCCGGCAGAACTCCCCAGCCGTGCACTCTGTGCCTTCATTGCCCTTCACTCCTCAAGGTAGATGATTTCCATCCAACTAAACCATGTAAGATATGACCTTTCCAGGCTCATGGTTGCCGCTTACCTGTACCTTCTCCTCCTAAGTTTCTTCTTGCCCTTCGTTCGGTCCGCGCCGTTACTTACAGACAATGGCAAGCCAGTGTCTTCCGATGTATTCGAGTCGTTAGAAGAGTTAGCCCGCATTGTCGACATCTCATACTGCGTGGGCAGTACAGGCATTCAGAAGCCCTTCAAGTGCCTGGGCAGATGCTATGAGTTCGAGGGATTTGATCTTGTTACGACATGGAACACTGGGCCACTTCTGTCGGACTCATGCGGTTACATTGCGGTCTCACACGCGCCATTCGAAAAACGAGTTCTGGTGGTCTTCAGAGGCACATACTCTATTGCTAATACGATAGCCGATCTGTCGACGAGACACGCCGAGTATCTTCCCTTCCTTCCAGGCAACAACAGCAGCGAATCCTGTGTTCTGGGAAGGTCTGGTGGCAAGGTGGAGAATAGTTTACTGCAATCCATGGCAAAGAACGAGAAGGGACCATCTGCCGAGTCTACTTGCACCAACTGCACGATTCATAGCGGATTTTGGACCTCATGGCAAAACACAAGGTGTACAATCATTCCTCACGTTGAGAAAGCGCTGCAGGATTATCCAGATTACAAGCTCGTCCTGGTTGGTCATTCTCTTGGAGGAGCAGTCGCCGCCATTGCGGCTCTAGAGCTCGAGGCTCGTGGTTACAGTCCATATGTAACTACTTTCGGCGAACCACGAATTGGGAATAGACAGCTCAATCAGTACATTGACCGCAAATTCAACTTGAATGGCACTACCATGGATAATGCTACTTTCCGCCGGGTTACTCACGTCGACGATCCAGTACCACTGCTGCCATTAGAGGAGTGGGGATACGAAATGCACGCTGGTGAGATATACATCTCAAATCCTTCTCTACCTCCAGGTCGTAAAGACGTCCATGTTTGCATTGGCGATGCAGACGCGACATGCATTGCTGGTGGGAGCAACACAGCAGAGGCAAAGTCAGTCAGCTCTGGTGAAGTAGCAGCATTTGGATGCAGCGTGCCCGACAGATACAAATTGTGGCAGCTCTTCTTTGCGCACAGAGATTATTTCTGGCGTCTAGGACTATGTGTACCTGGCGGCGATCCGTGGGACTGGCATCGAGGACGTTCGGTGCAGGATAGCAATTCTCATGAAGACGAACTTTGATGGCAAACGGCCCTTTCGTAGGCAGTATGAGCACAGATCCACGCAGTATTTACGCGTTAAATTGCATCAACGCTATAGTGATGAGCGACGCATCTTCCTTTCCATAGCTCACAGATCCCTAATTTGACATACAACATTGTTTTGCTTGAATGGTCCTTTCAATGGCATGACTACGTACCTGTTCGCGACTTTAGGTTTGGCGCACAAACTCATATGTTGTTTGTCGCCATCATTACCATCTTTTGTCTTCGCTATGTTCATCGAATCCGGTTTGCTCCACTTTTATAGATATCGAAACCAAATACTAAAGCTTAGTATACGACGAAGAGTCGTGAGTACATTCTCGCATCGTTGATGTAATCAGTAATACGTATTGCACAGCAATCTCCAGATCTTACCCACGTTGTCACCGTACCTGACGAATTAGTATTCACAGCACCATCCACCTGGCCTCTCTACAGCTCTCTTCTACACAAACTAGCCAAGATGGCATCACAACTTCTTCCACTGGGTACAAAAGTATTACGAACAATTCGTGACAGCACTAACGCCCGCAGAACTTATCGACAAATGTGTCGGTAGTAAGATCTGGGTTGTTATGAAGGGTGACAAGGGTATGTTTAATCAACACATATTCCAAGACTGCTTGGCGACAAGAAGAAGTCGAAGAAGAATACTTGAACGCTTCTCGATACTTCAAAGATAGAAAATACATCAGAGGGTTACAGCACGAGGCCTATGACAATGCGACTAACAAGAAGACACAGAATTTACAGGCACGCTTCTTGGATTCGACGATTACGTGAACATGGTGCTGGAGGACGTAACGGAATTGTAAGTTTGAGCTACACGTTGCAAAGTGAATCAGCCTTGAGAGAGGGAGTGCTGACCATGGACCACATATAGTGATTATGCAGGTGGGCAGACGAAGATGCCCAAATGCTTGCTCAATGGAAACAACGTATGCATGGTGAGTAGGGAGATACCGCAACCTTGAGTACGGGAGCTGATGTGAGTAGCTTATACCAGGTGGAGAGGGACCTGTTGCAACGTCTTGATCTATGGCATGCATAAGAACTGCTGCTGCAGCACGTCAGGCTATATGCGACTATAACGAGCAGTAAGGTAACTGGCGGACATTCGGGACATAACTCTAAGACCCAAGAAGCGCTACATCGGGCTATTTGCCGAATGCTATCACATTTCACGAATAGCAAGCGCGAAATCAAAAAAGACAAAGACAGGAAAACGTCTGTACCACCCTCCCGAAGGTTAGCCTGGAAGGTGGCCTAGTAGTGCTATATACTCCCTTCGACCGTTGAAGACAAGCTTGGTTGTCATATTCTCGAATATGCGCGCCATATCGCGATGCTCAAGGCCAACCGTCAAAGCCCGGAGAGCAAGTCCAGAAGAGATTGTTAGGTCCAGCGTATGCAGTTTCCTCTACCCTTTCATAGAGGCATGGCTTAAGTGTCCGACCAGTTGCAATGAGTCCTCCAAAATACACAGATTGAAATGCTTCTCAGTGATTGCCATACCTCACAGTAGTTCGTACTGGGTGCCACTGATCAAGCTGAGTCATCGTAGGCTGAAACATAGCATCATGTTCAAGAGTACGAATTTTGCTGCAATAATGGTAACGGCGAAGCAGCGATCTGTGCTCGCAACCTCAGCTTAGGAGGAGGAGTTACTGTAAACACCGCTTCTAGACATATTGGATGGACATCTTATCGTGCTATCTTCATGGTTGAAAGAAGCGTCCTTGTTAGGTCTGGCCGTAGTCGAGGCGGTGGTCGTCGTCTCATAGATCGACTACCACGACAAGTATTTCCGACCCTTTTCCTGACGCCTCTTCAATATCTTCTGGCCATCCTTTGTCCTCAGCCTCGAAAGATAGCCATGTCTACGTTTCTGTACTCTTCTCGAAGGATTAAACGTCCGTCTCGGCGCCCCGACAGCCGCTGAAGCGGAGAAGAATCGCGCTTGTACTCTGGAAGCCGATGTTACCGCTGGTACGGCGCTCAGCAATCGTGGTGTCCTCGTCTGGGAAGATAGTGAGAGGCTCGAGAAAGTGGAGGAGAGGCTTAACAATGGTGAAGATTGCCGTATGACTGGGGTTGGTAAATATTGCCTTGAAGCCGCGGGTGTTCTCCTCATAGTACTGAAAGCTCTGGCAGGATATGTTAGCGTTATGGTCGCAAAGAATCTGGGCCCGGTAGTAATAACCTTCGACTCGGCACCTGATACGTGCGAGATGGCATTGTGTCAAAGATGCATTTTACAAATCTTCCGCATATGCGACACATCTTGAGCTTTGAATTCCTGTATGGCTGTGGATTATAGGTTGTGGACGGCTGGATAGGGAAGTTGAAGTGGTCTGTTAATGCATGGATGAGTCGTCCTTGCCCTTTGCTTACGGACTCGGCTCACCTTCCCGCCGAAGCACTCTTGTCTGGCCGTGGTTTCCTCCGAAAAAGTACGTCAATGGTGCACTCGCGTGTGCTGTGGCCTTTTACGAGGTGAACGTCTGCATATGTTGTGATTACTTTACCCTTCACCCAGCAAGACCATCTATTCCATTTCGCTGCCGCTGCATGAACAGATGTTAGTGACTTCGCAATCCACATAGGTTTATATTCAAGACTTCCTGCTCCTCATCTCCTCGAATATGGCTTCTCTGCTCGCGTCGTTGAGCGATCTGCCTCGAGTAAGCCTGCTTCTACTACTTCTAACCTACTGATTGCTGATTTACAACAGCGTATTTCGCTCTTCCTCGACAGACCCGGCTTTCCGTGGAAGAGGCTCGTCCTGGGCTTCTCCATTGGTCAATACGTTTTCGAATCCCTCCTCTCCCTACGACAATACCAGGTCTTGAAACGAACCAAGCCTCCAAAAACTCTTGAGGATGAGGTCTCACAAGAAGTGTTCGACAAGAGCCAGGCATACGGTCGTGCTAAGTCAAAGTTTGGGTTTATTTCTAATCTCTACAACCTTACCACCAATGTCGCCATTTACCAGTTCGATGTCTTACCCAAGCTATGGACTCTGACGGGGACATGGTTAGCCAACTACGCACCTGAACGCTTCTCGGGCGAGATATCGCATTCTATCTTGTTCTTCTTCACTTTCAACTTCATTTCACAACTCCTGTCTTTACCAACATCTTACTACAGCACATTCGTGCTCGAAGAAAAGTTTGGTTTCAACAAGCAGACAAGAAAACTGTTCTTCACGGATCTACTAAAGTCGCAAGGTCTGATGGTTGCTCTCGGAACCCCAATCCTTGCTGTCTTCCTGAAGATCATTCAATCCACTGGTCCTCAATTCTTCTACTATCTCTGGGTCTTTGCGGTAACGGTGCAGGTCTTTGGCATTACCATCTTCCCAATCTTCATCCAACCTCTCTTCAATAAATTGTCACCACTAGAGCCCGGCGAGCTGCGAGAGCGTGTCGAGAAGCTGGGTACGCGCCTGAAGTTCCCGCTCACAGAGCTGTACACCATCGATGGTAGCAAGAGGAGCGCTCACAGCAATGCATACTTCTATGGTCTGCCTTGGAAGAAGCATATCGTCATATACGATACCCTCATCGCCAAGAGTGAGCCTGTTGAAATTGAAGCCGTCCTTGGTCACGAGCTAGGTCATTGGAGTCTCTCGCACACCACTAAGCTCCTCGGTATTGCTCAGGCTCATCTCTTCTACGTCTTCGCTCTGTTTAGCATCTTCATTCACAACAACTCTCTCTATCATTCTTTTGGCTTTCACGACTCGCATCCTATCATGATCGGTTTCATCCTCTTCAGTGAGGCCTTGTCGCCAATGGACACAGTCATTAGATTCTTGATGAACATCCTGAGCAGGAAGTTTGAGTTTGAGGCCGACAAATTTGCCTTGGATCTAGGCTACAAGAAGGAGTTGGCTCGAAGTTTGATCAAGCTCCAGATCGAAAACTTGAGCACGATGGACGCAGACTGGTTGTACGCCAGTTACCACTACAGCCATCCAATTCTGACCGAACGGTTGAAGGCGTTGAACTGGAAGAGCGATGGCAAAGTATCGTCGGTCGACGTGAAGCTGAATGGAGACGGAAAGGTCGTGAAGGCCACAGACCGAGAATTGTAGGCTCGTCGGTGTTCGAAAAGTCCAGAAAATACTGGGGCTCCCTCCGAATAAGCGATTCAGCTGCTGCGTCTTCGACTCCTCAGCTCTTTGTTCCTTTGACTGCCTTGTTCTTCTCTTGACGCTCTTTTCTCCTTCGTTGTGATTTCGCCGACTTTCTAGCCTCTTTCTCTGTTAATGTCATTGCCGGTCCAGCTACACTGCCGCCCTCTGTCCCATCCACCACCTCATCAGCACGGGCTGATCCTGCATCTGCCGTATTGCGCTCGCCCTGATCCGCCGTCTCATCGATCTGTGCATGTTCAAATTGCTCTTTGTCCTGCCAGTCATCTGTTTCATGTCCAACGACGGCTGCCTCGCTGGTACCATCTGCCTCTTCCGTCTCCACTACCTCCTCACCAGCACGAGCGACAATCTGACCTGTTGCTGCAACTGGCGGACTGCTTGTGAATGCTGCATCTTCATTGACTTTCCTTTTCTTCTTGACAGGCCCTTCTCCGTAGTCAAACTCTATACCACCTATGCGCTTCCCAGCTATTCCCTTGAGTATGCGATCGAGGTGGTTGAGTGTCAAGTTGGACTGGCTGCCTACACCTGCTGCTTGAGGTCCATGCTGTGTCAGAACTGCATCAGGTCGATATGCTGGGTTGACGTCTGCTTCTTGCAGGAAATTTGAAAGGAGTGTATGCGCTTGGAGGTGAGTTAGACGTGTGCTGCTGTGAACGATTGTTTCGAGAAGAGGAACGAGTCCTGCCATCGTGTGGTATTAGGTACAGGCGGACTTGGTGCTTAAGCAATAGCTGTGAGATTTGCACTGCTGGAGACTCTTGAAATCAGAACACTTCACCACTACGTATTGTCTTCAATGCATTGCCTTGTCGCAACACCACAGCATGACCGTTCAGATAATTTTAGGACTTTCGTAGATTAGATTGGTTACGGTCGAGGAGATGCACAACAGCCGCACTAGGAGTGTTGCGTTTGGCTCTCACGGCATGATTGTGAGTGAGAGCTTGCCTATCGACATGCTTCCCGCCGTTGAGTTCATTCTGTGCAACATCTACAGTATAGTCAACAGAGACAAACAGTAAACAGTGTTTGTCTCTGCCTGACAACATGCTGCAACGATTCACAAGATTCTCAGCGTAGGTCAATGAGTGCCTGATATTGAGATTCACTAGCAAAATTATGGCTACACCAGGCACCGCAGTCCTTGATGATATTCAACGACATGTCTGGGCCGCAAAGATACTGGTAGAAGTGCAATTGTCAGCGTCTGAGTCGAGACAGTTTGACAAGTCGGAACCCTACATGGTGAGCGAACCATCACTCTGCTCGTCCTAAGAGATCAAACCGAATGTCCCAAGAGCACCAAGATAGCGTGAGACTTCTTCGTGCACTAACCTCGTGTGAAATCGCAGGTATCATGTCCTCGTCTATCTTACCTGCCCTTTCTCGTTCCACGACTTCTAAATCACTTCCAGGAAGAGCTCATAACAGACATTGCTTCTATCACGCCTGGTACCGGACATTTCAGCTATGATGGTGTGCCGCTGAGGTGGCATCTTCCCATTGGACTTCTGTACGACTTGCATATACTGGCAACCCAAGATGTTAGCCACGATGATTCTGGTCCTTCAACAGGCTCAAAGCACAAGCCAGAGCCTTTTCGTCTTACGGTCCACTTCTCCCAATCCTATAGATCCAAGCATGAGAACCAGTTGATCGACCCTACGCCAGATGTTGTGCATGATGCTTACGTTAATTCCGTCAAAGAAGCCGATTTCTTGCGAACCGGCACAGCCAAACCAATCATGAGCTTGTCAGCTACCGACAGCAAATTACTATGGAGTGCAACACAAGAAAGTGATTCAGCCGTGTTTTCACGTATATACCAGAGTCTCCTTCCGTCGGACGCACCTTGGCGCAGTATCCCACTAAGAGTTTACCTACCCTCAACGCCTAATGACGCTGTGCCAGAGAGCGAAGTCGCTTCTGGTAGCACCAAATCGCCAACCTCACAGGGACAAATTCGGGTCATACAATCACAGATAACACCCTATGTAGCTGCCACTTCGACACCAGGAGCGAGTCAGCTTCGAGCAGCAGGTGCAGGACAAGGAACACCACAAACCCTTGGAAGCGCCCTTCACTCCCTTCTGCCCAGTCTGTTTCCTTCGAGAAGAACTCCAATCCTAGCCAAGGCACTCCTTCATGGAACAGTGTTGCCTATGAATGCGGTCTTGGAGGAAGTCGCAAGTAAAGCCTGCTATGCTGATGGCTGGGTAAACGTCGTGGTCGCAATTACCACTTGAAAGCAAGGGTTTTGCAGAAACCTACTACGGTACGAACCACCACGATCTTGCGCGATGCCCTGGAGAGATCAGCCCAGTGATCGATTTCATGAGTATGAATTCAGTCTGAGCTTCGACAAGGTCCCGTGTGTTTGCTCAAACATAATACTGTTTTCCCACATTCACAACATGTTTGTGAACCTTCAAGCTCGCGACATTGGAGTGCAGAGGATACTGAAAGTCATCGTTCGGAGTGAGCAGGTGCTTCCCGACGTTCACATCTACCTCATTATCAGCAGGATCATCTTCACCAAAAGTGACTTGCAATCTCTCCTAGCACCGCCACTCATCCGAACTCGACCGTCTTTCCTCTCTCAGTCCAGCGGATGCAAAGATCTCCATGTCAGGCACATCTTCGTCGCCACACAACGATGCCTCCGCCAGCGCGATAACCGAACGCACAGTGAAGAGTAGTGCTACAACTTCTTCGCAAACAGACCTCATAGGCTGTCCTCCAGAGCATTACCAAGTCCTCCAGACAGCGAAACCTCCAGCTAGGTCGAACAAGAAGTACATACGTAGGCGAAAGAACAAGAAGGAGAGCACACATGAAAGAAATCAAGAGATAAGCGAACAATCCAAGGCTCTGCAAGGAAACCATATACCGACCATGGCCCCAGATTCAGATGTAGATGATATGAGCTCGGATGCATCGACAAGGATCATAACGGAGGAGTACGACACCAGTACTCGCCCGCCTGTTTCCACACCGACAACATCCTCGTTGACGTCCGCTTCACTAGCCGCCAAGCACACGTCTGTTGACTTTACGAGCCCTACTCACCCTTTGGCCTCGTTCACGAGCCAAGAAATCCTCACCGATCATGACTTGGAAGAGGCGCAGAAATACCTGACGGGTGAGCAGTGCAAGCTAGAGGATAGATTGAGACTGTGCATGGATTTGAGGAAGAAGATCGAACAAATCGAAGCGTATGATGAGCAAGACGGAGATAACATACAGGGGCCTGATTTGGGAAAGGCCAGCTTGCTCCGCGATATAAGAATCCTGCGAGCGAAATGGATAGCAGATCTATAGTTGCGTTCCAATGAATTTGTCGACTCAGGACCACACATTCAGAGCTTGGCTTTACTCTGTCCTCCTTCCTTTTCTAGCTTCTCCACTATCTGTTCAATCTCAAGCTCGCTAGTGCACAAAATGCACGTGTCGCCAAGTGCAGGCACACGATACTTCTGGTTAACCTCCTGATAGTCCTTGCTCGCAAGCATATCAGCAAAATGCAGCAAGCTAGGATAGTGCGCCAAAGCGAATTCATGCCAGACGCCCTCCTTCTCCTCCTTCTTACTACTAGCAGCATCAGCATGGACGATATTGCCTACCAATTTGGCGTTTCCGCCTCGCTTGGCACCTATCGTCTCGGCGAAAGCAGCACCGTATTTCAGGTAGGACGATTTCATGCCCGGCTTGAAGGAGAGGAAGTTGAGCATGGATACTGCGCCGTGCACGGGCAGGGAGGATTCAGTCTTGCCGATCCAGGATTGTAGTTCGGAAGAAAGGGACAGGTCCTGAGAGGTTGAGTTGAGGAGGGGATCGTCTAGTGCACCTGTCAATGCTGGGGTCGATCCGGCTGCAGGATGGAGGAGTGCTGGATTCGTTTTGGTTTGGAAGTCCTTGGTTAAGCGGCTAGGGACGCCTGCTGTCGTTGTCCAGTGGTGTTTGATGGAGAAGCTGTCGTTACGGTCTGCTTTAGGGGCATAAGGCTGTGCTGAGAAGAAAGAGGACACAAGATCTTTGGAGGCTTGGTTATCCTCGAGGATGAGTAGGAGATCCCACCTGGGTTCAAGCAGGGAGCTTGGGTCGATGGATTCAGGTCGTATAATCCACCGTATTGGCTTCGAGACCACGAGAGGGTTTGTGGATGATGCTTTGATAAACTTGACTAGCAAAGGAAGTGTGCTTGGGTTAGCTAGACTGAACAAGTGAATACTAGCTAGAGGCATGGTTAGTGTTGATACGAAGGTGCTGAGAGGATGCTGTGTGTGGTGATAGACCACCAAGAAGGTACGTAGAAGAATATCGGTACTTAGTACAGACTTTCGAGAAGCCTCGGCTTGTGTCGAGGGTAGCATTTCCGGCCACTTTCTTTGAGTCGTGCAACTGCAGTTCGTCCATTGGTTCAATATATTACGGCATGCTTTTCGTGTCGTCCAAAGCTTCCGCCGTTTGCAACGTGTCAACATCCTTGTCAAGAACGTGATGCTGTGGCCACACGTGCGCAATCGTTGCTGCCAGCTCGGATAGGACAAATCAGGTAACGATCTTCGAGAAATACGCACATGTACCTTAAGCAAGGAGAACCACTACCATAGCCAGAACAGCATTTGCCAGAATCGTCGGACGACTTCTTTACATGACTCGAAAAGTGCAGCAAACATCAAGCGTATTGACAGAGAAGAATACGACGATAAATGTGACTCGCACTTGCCAAAAGAATGGCTGCTTACCATTAGGCTGCGCGAGGGAAGCACTTTGAAAGTGTATCTGGCCGTGAAACGAGCCAGGCAGGGTCGCCCAGCTCGATCAAGTATCGCCACTGAGCAGAAATTCAGGCTAGTTCCTCCTTGAGCCTAAAGCGAGTAAGTTAATGTTGCTGGACGCTGAATGACCTGTAGCGAGTAAAGCTCGCTTCGTGTAGTAATCTTGCAAGTTCCGTGCCTCCGAGTGCGAAGACGAATAGAGCGGAGCGTAAAACACTAGGCAAGATACAAGAGGACTTGGCTGTGGTCGGGGTAATCAAGCTAGCACCATGGCGTAAGCCAGTGCAGTTCAAGCAGGAACTATGCCATTGCGACAAATCGTCATACACTATTCGTCCATATTGCAAGTACCTTACAAACCTTGCAAAAGCGACAACTTTGATCAGGTTGCTCGTACAGTACGATCCAAAAGGATATTGCAGCCCATTAACGCATGCGACCTCCTCCTCAGCTTTCGAATCATGCCCGGCATTCTCCGTGGCAGGAAAAAGGGTACTGGCAGAAGAGGAATGTACTTGGACACTATTGATCCCTGCATTCCGTCTCCGCGCATGACGTGTGCGGACGGGCAGCACACTCACAACACATTTCTTCCAAACCTGCACGATACTGTGCGAGCATCGAATGGTACGCTTCAGCCACCCTCCAGACGGAGTACTGTAGTCATGACACCCATTGAATTTGAGCTTGTAACCTAGCTCAATATGGCCATGTCCCTGTGAGTAACTCGGCACCAATGCCATGCACGAACCTGAATCCTGAGTGGTGTGAGGTGGTGTGTTGGTGACACGATTGTCACACAAAGCTTAAAGTCAGATCGTGGAGCATAGCAGAGTTTAGGTTCACAGGCAGCATATCTGCCTCCAGTGGGATATCAGAGCTCGATGCCGTATTAGGGTGCATACTGTAGCGACTGGTGAGCGACCAAAATCACACTACCAGGATTCGATGGTTGCTCTCCTCTGTATTCCAGCTTTAATTGTGCATGGTGGGAGAGCCTCAGGTGAGACTACGCCATGGCGGACGGAAGCGCAGGCAAATGGAACTCATTAGATATTACAGAGGCTGCCTTAGGCAATAGCTCGAAATGATCACGATCACTCCTCATTAAACTCCGCGAATTTCGTAGTTCTGCTCCTATCACTGTACTGTATTAAACTACAAGACCCTGCAGCCTTTGAGAGCGTCCTGCATCAAATATGCCGGTCCACCTATGAGGTTCGCGTCGGAACGTTATCAGTATGTATCTGAATCGTCCTTGGGACGCACTGCGAAGCATGCTGGGTTCGTCTCAAGAGGATGATCAGCACGCCATGTCGAACTCCCCCGTAGCTTGGCTCTTTGTGTGCTAGTGATCGTCCATATCAAGCTCGTCGCTGTGTTTTTGACCAGTTAAAACACGACATGTCTCGTGCTGATGCTCCACAAAGCATCCTTGCGCACAAGGAAGGTTCTACCTAAAGGGAGCGGCTCGTCAGCCACTCGCTTCGGCTCCAACGAGACAAAGCGCGTCTTCTTTACGAGTACTCGTCCAAAGTACACTTACGTATCTCAAGCAGTAGGTTTTCCTAAGCGCCAAAAGATTTCTTCAACACCTTGCATCGTGCTTCCTGTGACCAGATCGCCTCTCGATTACATACCACTTCGTTCTCAGTCATCGCCAAAACGTTGTTCAGCTTCTTGGAATCTATCAGCCAGCCAAATCTTTCCATCAATCACAGCTCAAGTCATCAACCAGGAGTACTGCAGTATTGACGACGCATCGGCGAAGCACGAGAGTTATCACGCGCCTGACGAGCATTGACAGAACCGAGCGTCATAATTTTGCTATGCCACAGAACGGATAGGCAACATCTGAATCACCTTGTATTTCGACCCAGGTGCATTCGTTCACTCTGAATTTCGTGCGGGCACATTCGGATACGCACTGTGCCTAATGCAATGGCGTCGTTATGACCATTTCATGACGGTTGCCACACGGGCCAAGGATCTTGCATGACAAGGAGCTCTGACAGTTAGATCAGATCCCGTGCACTGCTTCAGCATGGCGCAATGGTACACCTTCGTAGGGTCGAATGAGTACGACCCAGAAATTCTTGTTGGCATGTATGACCAATGGTTGTCGAGATTAGATTTCGGACCTACCCAGGCGGAAAGAGTCCTTGTCCACACACCTATGATGGACCTTGCCCACGAACGCCGCTTCGTGATCAGCGAGACAGGCCAGGACTTTTCGAACTTTGAGGCGGAGCATTGCCATTGTGTGCAATCCACGATCGAACGATTGCAAAACTTCTACTCGGGATATTCCAGCTACAACAAAGACGACACCGAGTTCGTTGCAGACAGAGACTTGGTTGGCCTTGCACCTCAACGGCAAGAGGAATGCTACACCACGCCGCTGGCGCCCCAGGTGTCTCTCAAGGTGAATGTCGACCTAGCAGAGCAAGAAAGTCATCCATCGATGAGCTGGCCAGCCACACTACAGGACAGTACTCGCCAAACATCAACAGCCGCTCGAGAGCCAGACTTTATTGCCGCTGATGAGACCGATATCGATGACGACATGGTCGAGCAGTGGCTAGAGGCTGCAAGGCGTGCTGGAAGGCATTCTCGTCGCACATCTCATAAGCAGCCACGGCAGTTTGTACCTACGAAACTGCGTAGAAGCCTAAGGCCAGTCTCAAAGCTACATGGCTCTCAGCATAGCGTACCCACTGTCAAGACTGAACAACGACAGATGTAGCTTGGTGGTCCTGATCTGCCAGTACATGCGTGGCGTCTCTTCGAACTCGTACAAGGTTGGTATATAAATTAATGGTAATACCAGTTAATCATTGCATAAAGAGCTGGAAGACACAAGCAAATGTGGACGTTTCTACATTGTCTATTGGGCTGGGAGCGTATCGAAAGCTCAACTGAGCGTTTTCTTCGGGCTGTTGGAGTTGGTCGTCGTTTAGCGGGAGTCTGGTTGTTCTTAGAAAATAGCTTCAGATGCATTGGAGGCCGATTTGGTATAGCACATTGTAGTGCTTGGTCAGATACCGTCTCACTGGCACACTATGCTTGGCGGCTTTGTTGAGATATCATTGACGGACTCGTTGCGCACCTCCACTCACCCGTTATTGCGCATATATTATATAGCGGTGGGGAAACAAGCAGCAAATACGAGTGTATACTAGAGTTTAAGTGGTGCGGTACATGAGGGAAAGTCCTCAACTCGTGCTCCTTCATCGTCCCCGAGGACATTTCCTGGACAAACATCTTGCCAATGATACCTGAAGCACGAAGTGTCCTGCTCGTTACTTCCCTTCCTGAGAACGAGTTGAGACGTTTTGTCACGTACTACGATTCCACGACTTACCCGGTCGTGGCACAGTGTCATGCTCGACCCGTCATAGCCGCGTGATCCCTTTGTAAATATGCATCTCAATAGCTGCGATGTTTACACATCTGAGCTTTGTGCCGAACTTCCTTCATCAACGCCCCTTTCGTGAACTTGCGAGTGTGTACCCCAACTATCAACGTCGAAGCCACGCGTCTCGCTCACCCACAGGTTGTTGTGAACACAGCCGATTGCTCTTGCATACGAGGAGGCAGATTCGGGCGTCCACTGACATACGAAGGTAACGAGACAACGGGCCTCCATGGTTCAAGAGGACTCGTGTACCTGCTTCTCACACCCAAGATGGCGGAATGATCGGCAATGAACAAGTGGGCATAGATCGTCTATAGGCTAGTCAGCCCTGCACTGCCGGACACTACGAAAATTCCTCGCTATATGATAATCAAGTACTGCCTCATCGTGCTTCAATAGGCGATTGAACAGCCAGAGACACAATCCATCTCATCGCCCATTGTCGAAGAGGTTTTGCAAGGACTATACCATATATCACTTGTTCTCACTATGTCGTAAGACGAAGAGCTAGGCTTGAATGACAATCATACTGTAGTGTATCACTTGTTTTCTGCGGTCGATGGACTAATCGCTCTCAGCTACTCGAGTACGAAGACTTCAGATTGCCGTAGTTGATTTCGCCGATTCGTGTTGCGGTTATTCTTATCCGCATCGTAACCTCATGTCGAAAACAGCCCGGATGCTTACTCCACATGTCAAGAACTCCCTTGTTGAGTGTGTATAGCTATTGGCTGCGTATATTCATCCCTCTTTCGGGTAGTCATTGTCTCGATTCAAGGGACGTTGTGGCGAGCACAAGTTTCCTAGATCTTCGGACAGCGAATGATTTGTTGCGATAGAATTTCCACCTTGGGGCATGTTTCGTGGAGGTGCCGAAACTTTCCGACTGGCGTACAATATGGCCGCTCCGGTGCAGAGAAGAAGCCGACAAACAAGTAAACTTTGCAGCTTGCAAGCAGGACCTGGAGTGCCACTGTTCACCCGGCTCCGATACCCATATACACAATTAATTAACTCACCAAGTACTCGACTGTACAGCGGTTATCTCCTGTTATAGTTTGATCATATTGTCGATCACGATGGTGGGTTCGTGAACTGTGTCTGTGCCACGATTACTGATCTCCTTGCGCCGAAGAGCTAGCAACACATCCTATAGCTGTGCTTCTTACACTCGATCACTGTAACTGACCTCACCTGCTTCTGGAAGCGTGCGTTTGCAAGAAAGCATGTCATTGACACCCGCTTCTTTCTCGTCTGGCTGCTCGTTGATCGACGGTTCTTCTCGATGCAACTCTTCAGACTTTCCAACATGTACATCGCTTACGAATAGGTAGCAACGACGACGAAAATTGAAACCTAGACCGTGTTGTCCTCTGAGCTCACCAGTTGACTTCTCGAGACCACGCCTAAATGCTATACACTAGGGCTGGCAGGGACCATGAGGAAGGTTCGATGCATACGCATTTCATGGATCAGCATCTGGGACATATTACGCATGTACAAAATGCATTCTTACTTGATTGCCAATAAAGATTCTAGTCAGCCTCTGAATAGTTGGCTTCTACCTACATCACAAGCCAGATGTCCTTCTTCCTCTGCAAGCATAAGCTGCCCACGTTCCTTCCACACGAGTATTCGGCCACATGCCGCCGAAAGACCAACTGTCTCACAGTACTAGCATTCCTTCATTTACAGACGATCTGTCTAGTCATATACAAACTGCAGCACAGCTCGTTACTTTCGTTGACAACCAGGACCCTGGTAGGAGGTCGGCCATTCAGCGACATACAGCCTACTACACCAACGCACAAAGGCGAGATGCACGGTTACGATCACTACGGAGCCAACGACCTCGATTACTGGATGGCAGCGACGTAGTCTGAAGTCAGGGGTACCAAAGGTGACCTCGCCCGAACAAGCAAACTCGTCGTCAGCCACGTCCTCCCAAGAATCTGGTTCGACTTCGTTACGCCCGAACATCATCGAACCAGAAGTAATAGGAACTGCTCTACTAACGGTCTCTGAAGATTGTGGGCTGGTTGATATATCGTCGGAAGAAGACGTGGCACTACTAGTTCCAACCACATCTGATGACCTAATTGAATGTTGTGAGTAATGGTCTGCATCTTCAGTACATTGCTGTATTTATGCATCAACCAGGACATTTGGACCTACGGAGTTCATAATATGGCTAACACGTTTCCAGACCTACATCTATTGTGTCCGAGCGCGGTTCGAGCGACGCACTATGACTTGATACTTTACATTGGAGGCACAGGCGAAAGCGCGAGATGCTTACTTACAGCCTATATGCTTCTGTACAGGGGGCTCTCTGCCTCCTCGGTTGACGCAGAAGCTGACCTTGACGCTGCTCAACGTTACTACGGTTGTGGGACTCGTCTATTGCGAGATCGTTTGACGTGTCTTACAACAGCCAGTTCAGATGAGAATGTCCAATCTGTTCTGCTGCTGATCGCCTTCGCCTCTGACGCAGGTTTCAGCGACGAGGCGATTATACACCTTGAAGCTCTTTCCCGGATGGCCACAGAGCGTGGCGGACTTGCAGTGCTGGAAGCGGAGGTCGCGCCCTTGCTGAGGTTGCAGCTCCAGGCGTTACGGACGACGAGTTTCTACCATCTCACCCTCGGTTGTACAACAGACTGCACAGGTGAACCACGGTTTATAGACGAAGAAGGCATACTGACATTGCTGGCGTCGAGTGAGAGCTGAAGATCACTGGGCGCGACTCAACACTTCGCATCGCTTATCAAGCTTCGTAGACGTGTGGTGGAGCCAGTTGTACGATTGTTGTAACAGCAGTGATTGATCACCTTCGAGCACTTCTTCAGTTGAGCCTCAAATGTGCTGTCGGATGACATCGTAAAGCAATGAACTTTTTTTTTGAGACTGTCCACTTGCGCTCGAAACATTGTGTTTACGTATCAATCCAATTCCGCGAGAGTGTACAGCAGATAGTGCTAGAGCCTACTCCTCAACGTGGCTTGAGCATTATATCTACATGAGTTGCCGGTCTCCACCAAATCGATCGCACTGGAGAAGCAATTTATTGTCCCTCGTGCTTGCCTTGACAGTTTTTTGCTTGCACTGATTTGCTAATGCTGACATATCTCCCTCCTTGTGCCGTTACCTCATCGAGTGACAGTAAGCTCTGACAACATTTTAGTCAAGCCTCTAGAACGACAATATAAGTGCTTCACGAAGCATCTACATGCATCTGATTGTTCTCCAGAAAGAGGTATAAGTACCACCTTTTACTTCCATGTTTGCAGATTTGCCACTTAGAAATATTGCACTTACAGTTGCAACCATTTGCTTCGCTTTCATACTCCAATACTTCGTGAACAACCACAACAAGGGCGAAAGTATTATCGCAGTGACAGACACGACAGCTTCGAACATAGACTTGATGACCAGTGGGACACTTGCACGAACAACGTCAGCAGTAAAATCAGCAGCAACTACCATGGCCAACACCCTGTCGCACGCTAATATCACCTATCGTCCTTCCAGCACTCGTGGCTCGGCTGACCATGGCTGGTTGGATACAAAACACAGCTTTTCTTTTGCCTCATGGTATGATCCAAGATACGAGAGCTTTGGCTCACTTCGCGTCCTAAATGAGGACCGTGTTGCTCCGAACACTGGATTCCCCACACACCCCCATCGGGATGCCGAGATCTTCTCCTACATTCTCAGCGGTGAATTAACACATCGAGACTCCATGCAGAAGAAAGGCTCCGAGTCATCGAACAAGGACAGCTTCTATCGGATGCGCAGAGGCGACGTTCAATTCACGACCGGCGGCAAAGGCATCGCACATTCCGAGCAAAATGAGCACAAGGCAGACTGGGTACATTTCCTGCAAATCTGGGCCCTACCATGGAAGCGCGCTTTACCTCCAATCTACCACACTGATACCTTTCCCGAAGGCGACAAGCGTAAAGGCTTCGTCAACATCATCACACCATTGAAAGCCGGACCTTCCGCCACTCCAGCAGAGGAAAAAGAAGGCAAGCCAGCCAAAGAAGGAACTATTCCCATCCACGCAGATCTCGTCTTCTCCGCCGGTATACTAGAGCCAAAAAAGGTATTCCAGTACAAAGTCGGTGGAGAAGGAGAGGACCTAGTGCGATCAAAATCGAACCGCAACGTCTACGTACATCTCACTGAATCAGAGAAGTGGGACAAGAAATCAAGAGTCAAGTTGGCAGGTCGAGAAAACATTGTCCTCGGTGAAGGAGATGCCGCGTTCGTAACCAAAGTGAATGTTGGAGATGTTTTGACTGTGGAGAGTCTTGGTGAAACGGACGCTGAGGTGGTGATAATTGATTCTGCGTAGACTTAAACGGCTATTTGGATTTCGAGTTTAAAAACTGTGGTCTTCATATACAAGTCGAAGTCGCTCTTGGTTACAGGAGCACGCATTGTGCTTGCAAGATACCTTGCTTGAGCTCATTGTAGCTTGAACCACATATAAACTGAATAACCACTACTGTATATACTGGAAATTGTCAAGAAGAGGCACTGCAGTCCGATGGCCTGAATTATTATGGTCGCCCTGCAGAAATGGAATACGACTATTCGGATTCAATCCTATCCCAAAATTGTGCAGACGTCAGATGTGTGTAGATGGAACTTGACCAGCTCAACGAACCGCAATTTTGCTCATTCGTGCCTGAATCAGCGAATGCTCAACCACTAACCTTCCACAGTAGCATGAATCTTGCATCCATATATACAATAGACATGTCTTTCGAGATCATAAATGGCTCGAAACCACCAACCAAATGTTCCTCCAAGGACAGGTCCTCACAGGTCCTGCGCCAGTGAAACCACAATCCACACCTGAGTCAATATTGTCAACCTTCAGCTATAAAAGCTGCAAGCTCTGCCTCGCTGACTGTGCATGATTTCCGTCACGTCTCCGTAGGGTATCCAGAAATATCAGCACAATAATAACAACAAAGCAATAACCGTAACGACCTTTCCATGCCCGATATCACGACCATGGAAGAACAACCTTTCTTTACCACGATAAACTTGCAAATATCACCAGACCCAGTAAATCCACGACCAACAACATTTTCGCAAGGACAGCCCTCATATGCTTCTTACCGTGGCTCAACGGGCAGCACGACTGAAGAGGAATCATCAACACCGCCGGATTTCGGTCCTCAAGCCGCCATATATCCCTCTCATTACTCTGTTTACTCCCAGAATAGACCGCATTCACCATTCCTGCCAGTGCAGCCACCCGCACCTCAACAACTTAGAGCTCAACGTGTGAGTACTCCTGTCATGGATATGCTGCGTACCATGCAAGAGAGTATATCTCAACTGGCTACAGCACGCCAAATGGAGGCTCTACAGGACGAGGTAGATACCGTAAGGGAGGAGCTGCGTGTTGCCAGGTATCACATCAGGGTCATGAAGGCAAAGCTGGAGAGTATGGGGGATCATATCGAGGAGATTGGCGAGCAGGCCCTTGAGACGGGAGAGTTTGCTCGAGATGTAAATAACACGATGCATGTTCAGGTGATGAACGATCGACGACATGCATGGGATGTGATTAATGACTTGGCTGCTAAGATGTGCCGGACTTGCAGAGAAACACATGGTGCCGCTTCAAACACAGTGGATGTTGGGACAGACCCGTCGCAGGCCTGGTCGTCTCATGAAGGAGATGTCGATGCGTCGGAGGAAGAGACTAGTACCGTGGAGGATGGCGGAGTCTTCATCGGAAACATGGACGATTCTGAGGAAGAAGACGGCGAAGCTCTTTCAGATTGGACAGACGAGGTTTGAGAACACAGACAAGTGTAAGAGTGTATCAGTATCTTACTGTCTCAATCGAACGTACATAATAAGAAGCACAACTTCCATTAGGTTGTGGTCGCCAAATAAGTATTCATGCTATCGCTTCTCGACCAACAGAATGTGCATCGCCAGATACGCAATGACGATGAAGGAAGCTCCAAAGACAGCTAGACCGATAGTGTCTTTCCAGAACGCAAGGTTGTCGAAGCCAAAAGTGCTGAGAATAGATGCACCTGGCACCTCAAGATCTAGACCATATCGATGGTCCTTTAGCCGAAGAGTAGATACTTCGTTGACTATGAGCGCTTCATAACCGTAGTGGAAGATGGAGAGCTACCGACTGTTAGCTAATACATAGAGTAGACGATAACAAAACTTACCAATTGTAACCATTTCGACGCCTTGTTGGTAGGTTCGTCCTTGTTGAGGTTGAGCAGTAGACCTGCAAAGAGCAGGGAAAACAACATGACAAGCACTCCAATAAGGTTAGCCATTGCAGCATCCTTAAACGCAATACCTATTGTAAGGGAGATCGCCGCCGCCGCTAAGTTGAACAAAACAATAATTAGGATGAACTTAAAGAAGATTCCCCAATGCGCTTGCAGGCCGGTCATCGGGTAGACAATGATGCCAACAAGTATCGGAGGGATAATTCGAAGTGGTATAATGTCGAAGGCGCACTTGGATGCGAAGTAACTGATTGGAACATAATAGCCATTGGCTCGTTCACGAATGAAGATTGAGCGCTCTGTGCCGAACGTGGTCAGAGCAGTAAGAGCACTGAAGCCGAAGAGTGCAAGGAGAAAGAAGAAGAGACCTAGACGATTCTGGAAAGCGCCGATGTTGTCGGTGAGTCCGTAGAATAGCCAGCCCGAGAATACTGCTAGCAAGATTGCAACAGCATAATGTGTAAGCATAAGCATAGGGTTGCGATAAAGGTTGCGCCAGGTCCGTACTGAGAGGATGATGAACTGTCGTGGCAGACTCGCACGCCGGAAGCTCTTGATAGATCCGGTGACAGGCTCAATGTGTCCGTCCCCTGTACGATGTCCGTTCGCAGAAGAAGCAATTTGTATCGACGACTTGATCTCTTCGTGTATGTTGCCGGCAATGTCAGAGCTCTTGTAGCTTGAGACCAGGATATCGAGGTCAGTATTTGCACCAGACGAAAGATCGTCAGGATCCTCAAGGATTTGTGGCGGCACACGTCCACTTGTACGGCCAAGCTGCAGCCAGCTATGTAAGCCGGAACTCCGCCTTGTACTTGTGCCCTCGTCATCCGTCTGCGGTGTTGGAGGCGAGTCGTTACCAGTCCGTCTACGTGTGAAAAGCTGACGGTCCTGTTTCTGCTTGAGAGATATTCTTCTCTTGCCCTTCGGTCTGATAGCCGGCGGCGCCTCGACGTTATCGACACTGCCCGTTCGCTCACTGGCCGCAGAACGGATAGACTTTACTGCCCTTGTGCTTGAGTCTTCATTAACTTGCGGATCATGCTCATCCAGGCTCGGCACATCCTCCGCTATGGGCGATCGAGGTGAACTTGCGTGCATGGTGAGGTCAACAAGGTAATCAGCAATATTGAAGCCAGGCGGACAATGGTAACCTATCTGCTCAAAATAGCTTTGGCAATGAGCGAGTGGTCCCGAGTAGACTGTCTGGCCTTTAGCAAGCAAGATGAGCTGGTCAAAGAGAGCAACTATGTTCGAGCGAGGTTGATGGATGGTGAATATAATGGTCCGGTTATAGGTCTTAGCCAGGGTTACCAGGCATTCGACAACGTTAAAGGCGTTAAAAGCATCCAGACCACTGGTTGGCTCGTCGAGGAATAGAATGCTGGGACTCGTGACGAGTTCGCAAGCAATGCCTACGCGTCTCTTTTCGCCACCAGAGATACCTCTGCCTTGTCCTTCTTCAGAGCCAATGAACTGGTGCCTGATGTGATAGATACCCAACTGCTGCATAACCTCAGTGACTCGACGTTCCTTGACTGCTCGACCCATGTCGCCGGGTAATCTAAGTAGAGCACTCGTCATTATTGTCTCCTCGACTGTCAAGGTTGGCAGCAATGTATCTTCTTGATCAACATAGCCAACTAAAGTCCCGTACTCGTGATCGAGAATCTTCTCGCCATTGACGTACATGTTTCCTGATACTGTGCCTCGCTTGTTCTTACGTGCGAGAATATCCAGGAAAGTGGACTTACCAGCCCCAGAAGCACCCATGACTGCCGTGATTTGACCTGGAGATGCGATACCCGAGATACCCTTCAAGATCTCCTTGCCTTTCAGGTCGTAGTGAACATCCTCAAATTGCAGGGCCATTGGCTTGTGGTCGATCATCAGACGAATGGTGTCCTCGTCAGTCCTGTCGCCCAGATATATGGCGCCCCATCGCTTCCGAGCAGCTCGGACTGAAAGGTACCAGCCGATGAGAACGGCGGCCAGGATGAACAGAGCAACACCAGCGATAGCAGCAGCAATCAGAGGTGTGTTGATCTCCTTGATGGGTCTGGACCACCCAGGTACTTGAGTGTAATACAAACATTCGCCTGAGAAGCAGTTGAGCTTGATGTATTCGTCGCCAAATATCTGTGAGATCAGGTCGTTCATGGCTGGTTCTTCGAATCTACTCCCGTCTCTAGAGCTGCCACCTTCGGTTCTGGTGGTGATCAACGAAGCTGGACCTTTAATCTCTTCGATAAGGAAGTCGCCAATATCGACAGAGCCAGCTTCGCCGCACAGGAAGGTATCAGCAATACATTTGCAGCGGGCCTTCTGACATGTATACTTTGTTTGATTGCGGCTGTTTGTATCCTGAGTTTCAAAATCGCAAGTGTCGAGGTCACAGTAGAACGACTCTTTCTGGTCGACCCAGAACTGGAAGTTGCAAGTTTCGTCTTCGGCGTTGCAGGAAAAGGTGACTTGGGCGATGCGGCCGTCGAGTTGGTCAATGATAGGCTTATTGGACACATCGCACATTTGGAAATTCTCATGAACGAGGCGGCCGTCCTTGTAACAGACGCCACCTTCGCCTTCAGGCATAAGGGCGTTGCAAGCCTGATGTTGTGTGCAGACATTGCAGTTTGTACCACTCCAGCCCTCTTTACAATCACAAGTAGCTTGATCTTTGGGCCTTGGTGCTCTGTCCTTGCCATCGGCTAATGAACCACACAGTGGCTCTGCGCAGTCGTCCCCTCCAAAGCCTGCAGGACAGATACACTTGCCGTTCCCAGCGCCACACTGAGCAAACTGCTTGCATTCGAATTCGGGGTAGTGGCAATCGAAACACTTCGGGCAGGGCGGGCATCCATCTGGTCGATCTTCGAAGGTAGAGAATGGTGACTGCAGATATGTCGAGCTCGTGTTCTTATTGAAAGCTGAGGCGGCCCATGTCGATGTCCACAGGCTCAGAGAGCTCAGCAGGACGAGGCTCAAGTATCGCATGGTGAGTGACCGAAGAGAAGAATTGTGGTGCCTGGCTCAGTCGAGCTCTTTGTATATGGCGATAAGCTTGCCTACTGCATCGTCGAGCTTCGTGGTAGTGGTAGATCGGTGGTGCTGATCGTGGATCTGTGAGAACGGCTTAGACAGTGGCGAGGAAGGTAGGAGAACAGGTGCCTAAGCTTTCGAGAAGCACATTGGAAAGAACATCCATCGCATGATGCGCAGACTTCAATTGCAACGGCAGCACATCCAGGGTGGGTCTCCTCGTGGCTTGTGAGCTGCATTGGAACCCGGAAGCGACAGGTCATAGGCCAATTTGCCCTTAACGCACCCGTAAATCAACCTCTCCAACACGCGAGCCGTGGCGTGTTTCGACCACGGGACTTCGCGGGGTCGCGCCCTTCGAGTTCCAGAAGTTGCTATAACTTTTGACCTTGGTCCGACCACTATTCTGCTCTGCTATGGAGCTACGGAGCCCACGTCTATTCACCATGCGCCCTGTCGCAGAATCAGAAGTCCTTGAAAAGGAGATTCGAGGCCAGCGATTAAGCAACCTTAACCAAGCCGTCTGTTCTACAAGCACTAGCTATGGTTAAGATCGCACCCTTTGCTGTTGAGCAAGTATGTTTAGTGGTCGAAATGGTGCGTTCAGATGCTAATTAACGCTATAGTGGATGGACCAGTATGAAAACACAGCAAAATTCAATATTGCGGAAACTTGTGCAGCCAGCATATCCATCAATGATCTCCTCGAGCTTTCCGAGAACAAGGCACAGAGTAGAGAGGCTATTGATGTGGCCGATCGCAAGCTTCTCTACGGTCAGATCCGAGGGGATGACCAGCTGCGAAAGAACCTTGCATCTCTTTACTCGGCACGAGCAGCAGGCTTGACTTCAGATGGCATTCTGATCACGAACGGCGCAATAGTAGCCAACTTTCTGGTGCTATATTCTCTTGTTGGCCCAGAAGATCATGTTATCTGTCAATACCCTACATATGAACAACTCTACCAGGTCCCAGCCTCGCTAGGAGCCGAAGTGTCCTTGTGGAAGATGAACCCATCGAGCAAATGGAAGCTGGACCAGGAAGAGCTCAAAAACATGATCAAGGACAATACCAAGCTTATTGTCCTCAACAATCCCAACAACCCGACTGGTGCAATTGTTCCAAAACCACAACTCGAGGAAATCATGGAGCTCGCTGCAGAAAAGAAAATTACAATTTTGTGTGATGAGGTTTACAGGCCAATCTTTCACTCAATTCAACCTAGTTCTGACGACTTCCCGCCCAGTGCCATCAACATGGGTTACGGCAACGTTATCGTTACAGGCTCTTTCAGCAAGGCCTATTCGCTGGCCGGTCTTCGAACGGGCTGGATCGCGTGCAAGAACCAGGAAATCATCGAGAAGATCGCCGAGATAAGGCACTATACTACAATCAGTGTTTCCATGCTGGACCAAGCTGTTGCTGCGGAAGCAGTCAACGACCGCTGTGTTCATGCTCTCCTGAGTCGGAACATACAATTGGCCAAGAAGAACCTCGAGACACTCTCCGACTTCATAGATGAGCACAACTGGGCTTGCTCGTGGGTCAAGCCACTAGCTGGTACAACCTGCATGGTTCGCTTTCACAAGACGGGCAAGCCAATAGATGATGTCGTATTCTGTGAGACATTGCAGAAAAAGACTGGTGTTATGTTCGTACCTGGCAGTAGATGCTTTGGCCATGGCACAGACTTCAAAGGACATGTTAGGATCGGATTTGTGTGCGAACACGACGTTTTGAAGGCCGGTTTAGACGCACTGCGCACATTCATGGAGGAGGACTTTGCTGATCTACCTACTGTAGCAAAGTAGATTAGCAAAACATTGCATTCTTCTCTTATGCAACGTATCGTGCGATGCGCACTTTTCTTGCTGTCGTTTCATAAACTCAACATGTACACTCCAACGCGTTCCTCTTTTCCAATCACGTCTGATCTCCCAACACCCCGGTCTATCTATCTCACACCCTTCCCTCTTCAACTTCAGCCATACCTAGGTAGTATACACCCCAATCCATTCCAAGTAATACTATTCTTCACAATCAAGAATCAGACCCTTTTCCCCTCACGTCCGCAATGTAACAAGAAATTGCTCGTGCCGGACGCCAATATCACACCCTACCCAAACACACTCACACACCAAGCCGCTAAGTCCAAAAAATCTGGAAGGGCTCGAAGTGCTCGCGCGTAGGAAGGACAATCATGTAAGAAACACGAAGTGGGAGGTTGTCATCATTTGTGTAAAACTTGGAAGGATGGGAGGAAGAAAAGGAAGAGAGATCGACGAGGCGGCGAGGATTTTAAACAGTGGTTGTGAGTAGGGTGAGGCTGTAAGGCCTCAAGGCCACCATGAGGCAGGCATTCAATGCAAAGATGTTTACTCGTCTACTGTGCCAGATCAAATGGTTACAGCAGGATGAGGCAAATAGCTGGACAGGCTACGATACGAACAACCTTGGTCTAGGGATGTTTTTCAAACGTGAATCATGTTAAACCAGCTTAGCTAAAACTAAGCATATATATACACTCGCTCAAATCCACACGCCATGACCAGCTTCCGATTCTAAAATAGTCAGACAAGGTCGAGGCTTGGTAGCCTCATGCTTCACACGGAAGGCTCTCTCTTGGCCCATTAACGTGTCTTGTGCTCCAACACCGTGCTGCTTCGTTCGGGATGTCATAATCCCAACGTGAAAACAAGGGCATCGGATGTGGTCGGATAGTTCCGATAAAGACGGAAAATTACCCCAAGCTCACCTGCCGAATGCCATGCTCTTTTTGATCTCGGCAATGGCCTTTGCAGGATTCAGACCCTTCGGGCAAGTTCTTGAGCAGTTCAGAATAGTGTGGCATCGGTAAAGTGACATGCTGTTCTCGAGTGCCTCCTTTCGTTCAGCCTTTCGCTCGTCTCGTGAGTCAGCGAGCCATCTGTAAGACTGTAGTAAGATAGCAGGACCAAGGTATTGCTCGCTGTTCCACCAGTATGAAGGGCATGATGTTGAGCAGCAGGCACACAGAATACATTCGTAAAGACCGTCGAGCTTCTTTCGGTCCTCGCGTGACTGTCGGTTTTCCTTGCCCTGTAAACTGTCAGTACGCCAGCCAAGGTTAGAGCTTGATTTTGACTCACATCTTCTGGCTTGGTATCTCTTTGCAGATATGGCTTTATCGATTTGTATTGCTGGTAAAAATGTGTCAAATCTGGTACCAGATCTTTCACGACGTAGGTGTGTGGCAATGGATATATCCTAGTCTGCTTGCCAGGATCTGTAGGAATTCGGCCTGAAAGACAATTAGCTGTCGTATTTTGTATTTGTTTTGAGCATAACATACACAAGCATGCCAGGGTGTTGACACCATCAATATTCATAGCACAACTACCACAGATACCCTCTCTGCAACTTCTCCGGAAGGTCAAAGTAGGGTCCATCTCGTTCTTTATTCTGATCAGGGCATCCAGTACCATGGGTCCAGTCTTGTTCAGATCGAGGTTGTAGCTTTGCATTCGTGGTTTCGACGTTGGTTCATCTGGGTTCCATCTGTAGATATGGAATGTCTTGTACTTTGCATCCTTCTCTGGTGCAGGCTCTTCGACAGTCGATGTCTTGGAAGGCGGCACGACCGGTCTGCTAGGAGATCGGTCTTCCACTGATACGGTTGCATATGTACGAGCAGCTGATCGAGTAAAGAGCGAGCGCGCAGGCTGCGCCAAACGTGTTGCAGAGCGGAGAGAGGCCATTGTTCAGAGGTCGAAGACAAGTGTTAGGAGTACTGACTTGTTGCCGTGATATAGGGAAACAAGTGAGCAATATAAGAAACTGCGCTCGAACTTGCCAGAATTCGATGAGGATCTGGAGTGAGGAAGAAGTTGTGGGTGGGTGGCGTTGGACCTTCTATGATGAGCTCGAGACCGGAACCAGCCAACCAGAAACTGCTTGTATCCAAGCCGTGCGTGCCGAGGGAACGTCCAAGCACAACCGTACAGAAGCGCTTGAGGGTGTTTTGCTATGCCGTACATACAATTCTACTAGCGCGGATTCTAGGCAAGGGCGGTTAGGAGATTCATGTTCAGCATCGAATATCACCAGTGACACAAGAGACGAACAACATAGCGCAGACACGATACTTCTACCACGCACTCGCTTTACTGAATTCTCTACACGCATTGCTGTTTAGGGAATTCTCGAATAGTGCCATCAAGAACAAGCTCCTCCTCACAGCAATCGATATCCACTTGAAGATTTCACACGCGCTACAGAGAAACCGACAAGATGAACGCACCTGACAGGTAAGTTCGAGGGAGGATGGATGCTTTAGTCCAGGAGAGATTCAGAATCTGCCTTTATGTCACGGGGAGTACATCAATCACTTAGGCACGGCCTTCTGTTTTCTGGTTGGATGATCAGGAAGAAGGCTGTGACAACCTTACAATGCCTCTACCAACAAGAACGTTTTTCTCGTTATACCCATCGACAGCATGCGAAGAAGGTTAATGGCCTACAAGCCATATCCCCAAGACCCAGTCAGAAGTGTCCATATGAATGACGAAGCACATGACTCTCTACCATTCATGGTCAATCAGACGGGGTTTATTATATAGTACCTTGAACCTGGACATTGAGACAGATGCTAATACATCGATCTACAGATTCGAGTCTTTCATTCTCGGACCAGACGAAAAGAAGATCGAGGAGAAGATAGATACTCGTGAGCACTGACACAATCTTTCCTGATAACCAAGAGCTAATCAGCTGCTAGGAATGGCAAATACCTCCTACTTTCACTTCAACAAAGAGGATCATACTTTGGCTAATCTGCTTCGATCGAAGCTATTGTCATCAGAACACGTCCTCTTCTCTGCCTACCGAGTCAGTGCTAACCACTGTCCCTGGAGGATGGCTATTGACTGAGTCTCAGGTGCCACATCCGGTCTTTCCAACATTCGAGCTACGTGTACAAACTGACGGCACCATCTCACCCAAAGAAGCCCTCCTTGCTGCATGCAGGAACCTTGTCAAAGACCTCAACGAGTTTGCCGGTGAATTTAAGCGGGAGTATGAGTTGCGGAAAATGGTTGGTCAAGATCAAAATGGCATATAGACGAAAGTCATACATCTTTTGAAGTTCAGCATGGCGTTGTGGTATTCGGGAGAGCTGTAGGTACAGCTGATTGGAAGATTGCACTTTTTGCATTTGTTTGATGTGCATAGTAGAGCCTCAAATTAGCGGATCGGTCACAAATGAGTTTTGGGCAATGAAGTTGAGATCTTCATAGCGATCGTGGCTGCATGCACTGGTCGAACACCTCAGTAAAGCAAGCTACATTGATGTTTGCTCTGCTCGTTCCATGTAGGATACGTATATAATATCCTCCTAGAGATGATTTTGGTTGTCGATGTAAAAGTGGAGCGAAACGCACGAGCTGATGAACTGCCACGCGTTTGAGCGTGGCTTCTCTGCTGCGCAATGCGTCACTTCGGCAGAGCTACTACCTGGGGAATCTGGTGGCCGCATGAGGCTTACCTCTCGATACAGTTGTAGCAGTACTAGTAGTCAATTTGAAAGCCTTCATCTCCGGTCTTGCACACCTAAAACTATTCATTCAGGTTGTAGTTCACGTGCAACTATGTTTTCGCAGTCGAACTCCTTCCTAGGAGGCTCTAATAGTGCTCGGCCAGGAGCTGGGCAGTACGGGCAGCCGTCGTTTAATTCATATCAGCCGAGTAACCCGTCTCCTTTCGCGCCGCAACCTACTGGCTTTGGTGGACAACAGCAATTGCAATCCCAGGCCACTGGCTATCCTGGTTTCAACCAGCAGCAGAGCTATGGCGCTCCTCAACAGCAGCCCCAAGCGACAGGCTTTCCTGGCTACAACCAACAACAACAACAACAGCAACAACCAAGCTTCAATCAATCACAGCTCGGTTTCGGTCAACAGCAGCAGCTCCAACAGCCACAGCAAAGCCAGGCAGTGCCGCCGCCACAACCGCTGAGACCGCAGCAGACCTCATCACAGATAGCTGCCTCGTTCACTCAAGCAGCTGCCGTCCCTCCAACTCCTCCGAAAGATGCTGCAGGCAGAGGTGGTAGAATACCAAACATGCGTCTGTCCTTCATCACCTCGACCGACCAAGCAAAGTTCGAGCAATTGTTCAAGTCTGCGGCAGGCAGCAACCAAGCACTAGATGGAGAGAAAGCGAAAGATCTTTTACTGCGCTCAAAACTGCCAGGTGCGGATTTGTCACAAATATGGCTTCTCTCCGATACGACAAAGTCCGGACAGCTTCTGTTTCCGGAATTCGCGTTGGCCATGTACTTGTGTAATCTGAGACTAACTGGCCAGGCTCTGCCCCCTGCTCTTCCTGAGAAGATGAGGAACGAGGTGTCGAGTATGGTTGATATCATCTCCTTCGGCGTTCCCGATGAACAACCCTCAAGGGCAGCTCCGCGAACAAACGTGCCCGATTTCGACGCTCCTCTGAGGCAGAATGCTGTCTCACCTCCTGCTCCACAACAGCCAATCCCTCAGCAGCCAAGTAACCAGCAATTGCTCAACCAGCTCACGGCCCAGCCGACTGGCTTCTACAATGCTGCCATGGCGCAAAGAACTGGATTGCAACCACAAGCCACAGGATTTCCAATGCAAGGTCAGAACCTACAAGTACCTGGAATGAGCCAAAATATACAATCACAGCCTACTGGCTTCATGCAGAATCCAGCTGCGACAGGCTACAGCGGCCCACGCCCGCCAATGCCACCAATGCCACCAATGCCAACAGGACTAGGTCAAGGACTTTCCCCGTCTCAAACAGGAATTGGCGCACTTCAAGCACAACCAACTGGCCTGCCTGGTCAGTGGGGCTTTGTCAACGCACCCGCCACTGGGCTGCCTAACATCGAGGCACTGAGAAGTCAATTGATGCCTCAGCAAGGTCGAGAGCAGGGCTTCACAACGCAAGGCCTAACAGGGTCAGCCAAAATCCCTTGGGCAATCACTAAGGACGAGAAAAAGATTTACGATGATCTATTTAAGGCTTGGGACGGTCTTCACAAGGGCTTTATCAGTGGCGAGACTGCCATTGAGATCATGGGTCAGAGTGGACTCGATCAAAAGGACCTCGAAGCTCTCTGGACATTGGCAGATCCCAGCAATCGAGGTCGCTTGAATATGGATGAGTTTGCTGTAGCTATGCACTTAATCTACAGAAAGCTCAATGGCTACCCGGTACCGAACCGGTTACCTCCTGAGCTAATACCACCTTCTGCTCGAAACATTGACAGCTCTCTAGACACGGTACGGAACATGCTAAGACAGGATGCCGAAACAAGAAAGCAAAGTGGTGCTTTCTTGCAGCCTCAGAAGACAGGTGTCAGCTACCTGAAGGGCCACTCCTTTCGGGCAGGCTCTCCTGTTGCTAGTGGACGAAAGGATGCTACAGTCTTCCGAAACAATGACGACGACATCGGCTACCGCTCTAGTGCAAGACGAAGACTTGGAGCTGAGGGTCGAACACCGTCGCCTGCTCAGGGATCTGAAATGTCTGATGACTCGCGCTACGATGAATTGACTCCCGACCAGATTCGGAAGAGGATCAGGGAGAAGAAAATCCTTGTGGATGCAACAGACTTCTCCGACGAGCGTCAACAAGAAGATGACGATGTGCTTGATCGCCGCGATCGTCGTGAGGCTGAAGAACTGTTCCGTCAGGTTCGTCATATACAAGATGATATAGACACTCACCCAAACTCCACCGTGGGCACAGCTGACACAGGGACCGAGCGAAGATCGCTTCGAAGGGAGCTTCAGAGATACCAAGATCGAATTCCTGCGCTTGCTTCTGATGTTCGGAGGGTTGAGAAGGACATTGCAACAGCAAAATTGGAACTCTTCAGGTTGAAAGACGCTAAGGCTCACCCTGGCGGTGCTTCTAGCATAGTCGGAACTGGTCCTGGCGGCCAGGTCACAGAGGGTGACCGGATCAAGGCTAGAGCCCGAGCACGTATGCAAGCTCGTGCCGCCGAGCTTGCCGGAAGACCTGTACCGCAGACAGAAGACGAAGGTGCAAGCCAGCAACGTCTCGAACAAGAGCGAACAGCAATTCGTACCGAGCAAGAGAAGAACGAGGGAATGACTCGGGATGTAGAAGAGAGTGTCAAAGACTTTGTTGCAAGCTTAGAGGATGGGTTACGTGATCAGAATGAAAACACGACGCAGGAACACGAACGTCGTAGGTGGGAGGAAGCATTGGGAGTCGAGGACGAAGTGCGAGAGCTAATCTATGATCTCCAAAGAAACAGCCGAACAGCTAGAGTTCGAAAGGAAGAAGCATCGCGGCCAAGTTCACAGCAAGCCTCTACGAGTAACCGGGATGCTACTCCCACGAACGGTGCCACCTACACGAAACCTCCTCCACCAACTCAGACTGCCTCTTCTTCTTCCATGACATCGAACATATCTCACGCAGACAGAGTTTCATCTGCGAAAGAGAGAGCCCTGAAACGTATCCAAGATCGAATGGCGGCGGCTGGGCTGAAATCGGCGGGAGATGCGGGCGAAAGTGTACAGCAGCGACAAGAAAGAGAGAAACGTGAAAGAGAAGAACGACTAAGAAAAGCACAAGAAGAGGATGAAAGGCGAGAACAAGAACGACAAGCTAGGCTCGTCAGTGAAGGTGTAGCGGCTGCACCACCTACAAGTCCGAAGCCAGCCAAGAAGCCACCTCCACCACCATCTCGAAAGGGAAGACAGGAAAGTATCGATCAAGGTGAAAAGCAGGCAGCAGAGACAGCAGCCAAGGCGCATGCTGAAGCAGATGCTGTAAAGCAGCTGGAAGCCGATCAGAAAGCGCAGCAAGTCGAGAGGATGAAACTCGAGTAAGTGTGAACGAATCTTCCGTAGACATCTATCTTACTAACATGGTCTAGGCAACAAGCTGCATCACAAGAAGATGACTTAGAAAGAGAGCGACAAGCAGCCGATGCCCGCCTCAAAGCACTCGAAGAACAAGTTCGCCAAGGCAAGCTCAAGAAGGCTGAGGAAAAGGCAAAGAAAAAGGCGACTGAGAAAGAGGCAAAAGAAAAGGAGGAGAAGCTGGCCAGACGACGCGCCGAGATTGAAGCCGCTCGTGAACGCGAAAGACAACTGCAAAGGCAGCTTGAGAACCTGGGCGACGACGACTCATCGTCGGATGACGAAGGACCTGCTCAGATTACACCACAGGACAGCTCCGTTGCGAGTCTCCCAGTACGCTCACCTGTATCTGCGGCCGAACCTCCAAATGGACCACCACCTGTACCTTCAATCGCTCCGCCAGTCCCCTCCTCAGATGCTAGTTCCACATCAGCTACACCTATGACGAGCCCGCCGCCAATGCACGAATCCAAGAATCCCTACTTCCGAAAAATGTCACAAGCATCCGAACAGTCACAACCAGCCTTCTCGCCTCAGCCTCCCGCTGCAGCACAACCTTTCTCTCCTCCTGCTCAGAAAGGGTTACCATCTACTAATCCGTTCGCTAGACTTGCGCAACAAGAAGCCGCTAAGCCTTTGACTTCACAAGCTACCGGACCTGTCTCTCGCCGAAGACAGGAAGAAGATGAGTGGTCTGCAGCAGGCTCTGACAAGGATGATAGCGATACAGAAGATGGACCTACTGGTGGCTCGGCCAAACAACTTGCTTCGCTTCTCTTTGGTACCATGGCACCACCTCGTCCACTTTCAGCCATGGACAGCAAACCACAAACACCAGTTTCTGCTGGACCTAACGTAAGCTCACCGACTGCTCCTCAAATGCCAGGAGCATTTGACGAGGATTACACGTCCGAAAGCATGTTCGATGCACCTGCTGCCGCACCACCTCCTCCACCACTACCAAGTTTCGGTGCTCCTAGTGCACCTCCGCCACCTCCTCCTATGCCTTCTTTTGCAAGTGCAGGGAGCCCACCGCCACCACCTCCGATGCCTGGTATGGGGGCTCCTAACGCTCCTCCGCCGCCGCCACCAGGAATGGCTCCTGTGCCAACCCCAACTGCTGGAGGAGGGTTAGGAGCTTTACTTGGCGATATTCGAGGCGGCAAGCCTTTGAAGAAGGTGCAAACCAGCGATCGAAGCACGAGTAATGTTGCTGGACGAGTTCTGAACTAAGTCCTGTTGTAGCAGCACTACGTACACTGCGTTTGGTTAGGACTGTAAGAAGGCCTACAGAGCGTGCGAGAGATAAAGACGTGTGTAGATACATACGTACTTTTGGAAGCATCTGATAGAGAAATCCCGAATTCCGTACGAATGTCGAGGTCGTTCCAGATACGTACTAGTGTAATGTAAAACTGCATGTTTTCGACCCTCCTGCGTTTTCCCGGGACGACCACCCGTAAGTAAACTGATGTGTATTGAAGGCACAACGAATACACAATGTGCATTTATGCATGCATCGCCTACACGTAACGAATCGACCGCGTACTACGATTATCGTTCACATCAATTGACGCCAAACGGACGTCTAGAACCTGTGCTGACACGCGCATAGCACACCGTTGACTCAAGACCAGCACACAGTAGGTCTCAACACGCTAGCAGCACACGTACGTAAACTGACGTGTGTTTTCATTGTCGTAATGCCAGTGAGTCGAAGTGCCGCATTGCCCACGCATCGGCGCGGTAATGACATTTCAGACACACAGAGCGTGTGAATCATGATGTTTCTCAATCGTTCTGTCCCGGTACATGCCTGTACCTGGCGCAGTGAGTTGTGATGAGAAGGTTTGGTAGCCTATACGGCGTGCCAGGCCAACGTGTAGGGCTGTATGTGGCGGTACTGAGCTAGCTTCTTTCGTCACTAGCCCAGATTCTTGACAGCGTAACTTTCCGCTCCTTTCGTTCTTCGTTTCTTTAGTGCTCGTAGACCTGATTGTCTCGATACTCTTGCCATGATCGATAGGCATGTTTGTGTAAGGTTTAGTGCATCTGCTCAGGCGTGGGCGTCTGCCCACTGGTCTCGCGTGAGAGGTTCAGATAAGCGGCATGCTTGGAGGCCAGCTGGCACAGCCAGTAGAGCCTGTGAATGGCAGAACGCTCGTGTGCAGTCGTGAGCACAGGTGAAAGCAGTGCTAGACATCGCCGCATCGAAGGCACAGTGGCGTATGTGTCTGAATCAAGCTCAAAGAACCTGATTGCTGAACTTACCTCCGGTGTACCCAGAAAGAAAAGGTCTTTGACAAGCTGAGAATTTGGCAGTATGCTCGAAATTCGACCTTCAGACGTGTTCGGGTAGTTTCCCAGCTTGATGGTGCGAGTACGTCGCCAGCGAGCAATTCAGCCGTGACAGACTGTAATCTTGCCGCCTCTGATGCCCTGAGCCGCCTACTATACGGCAATACTTCAACGAGGCAAGTACGTGTCTTGGGAAATTGCTACCAACATCAGAGCGACGTATCAATAGGCCTGCCCATGAGCAAAGACCTCTGAAGTCACTTTCCCAGATCTCTCGTCATGTTGTGTGGCAGGGGTCGTTTCGGTGAGACAGACGTTTCTCAGTACGTCACGTGGACGCATCATGTACCCAAAATTGGTGGTCGGGAGCTCGACATGTTCCGAATCAACAACTGTCTGAAAAGCAGCCCCATAATCAGTCTTCTCCAATTCAATTGACTGTCATGACATATGCATAGCTCGACCCTGCCAGAACTCATGATGTCGCTAATGTGTAGAACTGTTGAGTGTACTCGCTGATTATTCTTGACAAACACTCCGTCCTGGGACTGTTGACCGTGTATAGAACACCGCACCGCAAATGGCTTCGATTGGAAAACGCATCGTGTTCACTGGAGGCAGTGGCAAGGCTGGCCGACATGTCATCCCATACCTTCTCGCTCAAGGCCATAAGGTCCTCAACCTGGACCTGGTACCATTTCCTGACTCCAGCGCTGGTGTCTATACTCTGAAAACGGACCTGACACAATCTGGACAAGTCTTCAATGCTTTGACTAGTCACTTTGACATGAGTGGATATGGGGACAAAACACTTCCACCTCCACCCGATGTTGTTATACATTTCGCTGCCTATGCACGCAATCTGCTTGTGCCTGATGATGAGATGTTCCAAGCAAACGTCAGAGGCACATACAACGTGATCGAAGCTGGTAAGTGCCTGTGCCTGGCTGAATTCACATAAAGCTAGACTAACCTCAAGACCTTAGCATGCAAACTGGGCGTCAAGAAGATCCTCATTGCCAGCAGCGAGACGACCTACGGCGTTTGCTTTGCACAAGGAGATGCCGATTATCACTCCTTCCCCTTGGAGGAGGATTACGATAATGACCCCGAGGACTCTTATGCTCTGAGCAAGCTCTGCGGAGAGAGGGTGTCCAGAGGTGTAAATGCTTCTCCGACTCGCAAGTCGAAAGGTCACGACAGCTGATTGACATATCTACAGTTCGCTCGTCGATACGGCAACGACATCTACAACTTTCGCATTGGCAATGTTATTGAACCCCATGAATGTCAGTGGTGACGTACAAGTATATCTAGTTTTGCAAGATTTACTAACCGAGCCACTACAGACGCTCAAGACTTCCCAAAATACCTCGACAATCCATCCACCAGAAAGCGAAATGCCTGGTCATATATCGACGCCAGAGACCTTGGTCAAATATGTGACTTGGCCATCAAGAAAGATGGATTGGGCTTCCAAGTCTTCAACGCAACCAACGACACAATCACCGTTCGGGATATGACGACAAAGGAGTTTCTTGCAAAAGAGTGCCCAAACACGAAGGTTACACGTGAGATGGGAGAGTACGAGGCTCCTCTGAGTAATAGGAAAATCAGGGAGGTGCTGCGCTACAAGGATGTACATAATTGGAGGAAATATGTGCAGTAAATGTTGGATGGATAGATAAATAGTATGGGAAAGAGGTCTGTGTTGATACAGGGGATGTGCAAAAAATACTGCCTAGATGATCTTGATGTCAGGAAATCTGGATATCTTTCTGTTGTGTTGGACGTGAGACTGGTCCTCTGCTTTCGGATCCCTAGATCCTCAAGGCCACGGAAAGAGCAGTTGTCTAGACTCCAGGAGGTAAATCCGAATGAGATTGAAAAAGGCGCCGAGGCACCACACATGTGCAAGCTTCACTGTGCACAACGTACTGGCAAACGTTGCAGTCCTCTGATCGTCTCTTCGAAGCGTGTACAATCAGATGCCGACGAACGATCATCTGACGCCGCCTTATTCGATGTCGGTGAACTTTTCTGCCTATGGATATTCTTCCGATCTCGAAACGACCTGGGTCGTCTATAACCCGTGGGCGACGATGTAGGGGGCCGTTTGCCAGATTTCTCGTCGTTCTGCACTGGCTCCAACTGTGTCTTGTGCTGTGTCGTTGCATCCATTGCACTCTTTACTACGGTCTGACAAGCGATTGCGTCTGCAAAGAAGTCCGTGGTCTCAAGTTCCTGAATCAGAGCGTCACGTTCCTCATCGATTGCCTCTTCAGACCATTTGATTTGCCAATGGTAACCAGTGCTTTTCTCAAGTTGCTCGATCTCCATTTGCCACAACACATGCAGTTTTTCGTGTGATAATAGACTCTTATGAGCCAGGTGAAGCTCAATTGATTGCTCTTCAATCCTTTGTGCTTGTCAATGTGATGCTTAGCCCACGAGTGGATATCTGAAAAGTGCCAAACACAGAAGTAGCATCCCCATATCCTTTTCAAAGGGCCTGTAGATCGAACTTGACGGCAAGGTGAATCTGTGGATGCATCAGGCTGTTCAGTCGAGCAATTTTTGTGTGCCGTTGTGTGGTGTCTTTGAAAATGCGCATACCGATAGGTACTGAAGGCACAATGTGAACACAGATATTCGAAGGGTCGATCGTGTTCGGCTTCTACGTGAGCAGCAAGTTCGTTTCGATTCACGAAGTCGCTCGGACACTTCGGACATACCGAGCGACATATTTCCTCTGATCGCTGTGGATGCTGGTAGTCGATGAAGGCCATAGATGAGGTCTTGAGAATTTTATTGAGCAAGGCCCTCTCAGATTCCGTCGTCGGACCAGTCTTCTGTGATCCACGGTAGTACGTAGGGCCAGAATACAGCGTTCTCGACTCTGATGTCGACGTTGGAACGAACGACTGATAATAGTTGAAGCCTGCAGGGCTGTGCTCATGAAAGCCAGGGCAATTCGAGCTTGAAGAGGGGACCGATTGTTTAGGTGAGCCTTCATAAGGTTCTGCCTCGTCTTCGAGCAGGAACGACTGACAGTTTAGCGGATATTGATGAGTAGGGCCCAGATCCTGGTCAACGTCAACCGATACGGAGGGATGACTGTGAATCGGCTGCATGTGGTGTAATTTGTCTGGTACAGGAGTTTCAAAAGCCAAAGTCGGATTTGCGTAATTGGCAGGATATGGGTGATAGAGTGTGCCATCGTCTAGAGCTCCATACAATGAGTTGTTCTCTTCTGGGATCTCTTTGGTTGACGAGCAGCCTGGAAGTTGCCAGCTTTCATGAGAGCCAAGAGTTGGCGCAAGGTATGTATTCCCAGACCAGTCAGTCATTTGTGAGTGTCCAGATTGCACAGAAGGATGCCGCCTCACGAGTGCCGAAGGTGTCAAGGGCCGAGGAGGTTGCTGTTGATGACTAGGGTCTTCGGAGAGAATGACATCGCTCAGCCAGTCAATATCAATGCCATTCTGGACTTGTCCGAGAAGGAAAGCGAGCGATTTCATCTGCCCGTGAGGCATTCGAATGATATAGGCGAGAACTTTCGGTGGCATGTCTCCTTTGAGGGTGTCCAGTACACCAAGTATAACATTCTGATCCAGCATCATATTTCCATTGCCATGAAGAGCAGATCCTGAGGAGGGAAGTGGCTTCCCTTGCAGGCGGTTTGCTTTGTGAGATCGCGTTTCTTGGTATGGTGTGAGGGGATGTGCCATCGTGTTGTGCTACTGGCAGGTGTGGGCAGGCATATATAGCTTTCTCTCGTTGGTGCTATCACGATGGTTGATATGGTCCTTATGAACATTCACTATAACGTGTGAGCATGCAAAGTCATGGTATTGTCGTGCAACGGATATCTTGCTGCATATTTATACTGAGGTCGAGAAGGAAACAGCTCGAGGGACGACGCAAACTTCTTGAGAATTTTAGTATTGCTTGGGGAAGTTCGTAAACAAAGCAGCGAATGAACGAAGAGTAACGTCTCGAAATTAGCTGGGTCATGCTTCAGGTTTGCCAATACGTCGCTAACCCCAGTGGCTCTATGGTAACAGAGGTGCAAATGGCAAAACTGTTTTGCTTTTCACCCGCAGCCACTCTAGCGGTGCGAAGTAAGGTGGCAGGGAGGAAAGCAACGAAATTCGCGGCTGGAATCTGTAGTCGGACGTTCAAAGAACGAACCCCAATGGAGGAAAAACTGGGTGAAGTGTGCTCGAGCAAGAGACCATCATTGTGCTGGATCGGTACTAGTGGCCTTGCAGGCTGAGGGCCGAATGCGTAGAGAACTTACAGCTCAAAAAGCCCCGGGGAAGTGGCCTTGGATTCGCAATGGCGATCCATGTGCAAGCATAGGGCTCGGGACGCGGGTGCTTCGTTAGTGTTCCCGCAGAGGCTACTCGAGTGCTCATATACTCATGCTCAAGCTACTGCAATATGCAGGGGTTTGCAGGTCAGATTGGTCCGTAGCTCTCGTTTCATACATAGGACGAGATCCAAGATTACCTGGCGTAGAGTTCGCTGCTGTCCTCGACGCATTTGATGCACACGTTGGAATTAGCTCGAGGGGTGCCACCGAGACTGCTTAGCTCGTCCAGTCTTTGCCGCACTGATGTGGCTACTCGCTTCAAAATACCGTGCTGGCATGAGAAACGCTTTGCATGCATGAGTCAGTACTCTCACCTGCAGCAGGGAGACGTGTCCTTGAGCAGAACTGCTCAGGGCGTTTCGACCTTGCAGGCAAAGTGGAGAAGAAGATGCAAGAGGGAGCCTGCTGCAAGCTGGATCTGGTAGTCGCAAGGTAGGCCTTCCTGTATCTGAGCTAGCGGCTGTATCTCATTGTGCGATGCCATAAAGTTGCATGAGCCGACCTTGATAGCGTCGCGGGGAGAGCGCAATCGTTTCAAATTTTAGCTTTCTCATTCAAGTTGCCTGGTTACATCAGCCTTGATTAATAGCACTTTGCCTGATTCCAGGGTTCTGGTACAATCCTGGCCATTGTGACCGGGTAATGGTGGCGGAGCATCTTCAGGCTTACTTTCCCTGCTCCGCGTCAGACGGGGATTTTGGAAAGTCTGCAAACACTTCGTTTAATCCCTTCGGCTCTTCAGCCGGTCGTGCTTGTAATCAGCGATAAGCGGTGCTGCGGCAAGGTCAGATACCGCAACTCGGAAGGTCACCTGTCTCAGTAGCGCTTGGGCTTGACAACGAAGTCCCTTGTTCATTTTGTGCCATCTGATATCTTTGCACTCCAGCTCATGTCGATCATTGACGAGACTCGTATCGACTACCAACATGAGACGAGCATGAAAAACAAACAATATAGATACAAGTTCGTCATCGTTATTTGATCATGGATCTACGTGGACTCCATAGCAAAGCTCCAACCAGGCAGGCTGCCAGGCAAATAGATCCACCTTGATTGTCACAAAAAGCAGGAACAGATTACATTGCTCCTGCTCATTCACCGACATATTCTTCGTCAACGCCTGGATCCCTCCTGACCATGATTTCATTCATGGTACCTTCCTCCCTACCACCATCGAGCACAAGCCCTTTTTCGTTGGCCAAATGGAGCAAGCAAATAAATCCGTAACTCGTGCTAATATCCTTCATCTGCTGATCTGGATATACGTTCTTGAGATCACACAATATCTCTGTAAACTTTAGTGCCTCCCTTCCTTGTTGCTGAGGCTGTTGCTCAAAGTCCGGCTCTTTAGGCTCTTCTACAGAGTCCGACATTTCGGTGTCGCCATCGTCGTCTGTCAAAGCAGGCGTGGGTATTCGCTGTGGACCAGGTGCTGAGAAGACGTTCAGCCTGGGCACCATGCCCTTCCACATGTTCTCTTTCAATGCACGGACATCAACCTTTTTGGCTACTCGTGCATAATTGACATATTCAGGACGTAATCTCCGACCTTGCTGTGTCACGAGTTGGCTACCAAAGCTGCCAGGCAGCATCTCAGGTTGTGATGCTGAAGGGCCTAGACCCTGCGAATCTGGGGCATGCTGGTCGTGCAGTATATCATCAATATTATGAGGTCGCTGATTGTCTGGTACAGGTGATAGCATTTCCCTGGCATCCACAAAGCCAGGCTGATCACCATCATCGTCGTCATCATCATCTATAGGCAATGGCCCGTCGAATGGCAGGCCAAGTGGTTCGTCGTCAGCAAAGAAATTGGCGTCATAATCCCCTTGTGGGACATTATCGTCGTCGTCGTTCTTCGACTCAAGATTTGGCTGTCCACGTTCGCGAGCACCAAAGCCTTCGTCGATTACAGCCATGGCACCTTTCTGGCGCGCAACACGACATTTTGGCTTCGTCCATAATCTCATCATGGACTGCACATCTATGAGCTCATCGTCTTTGTCGAGCAGATTCCGACCCTTGGTTTTGAGCTGTGTTTTGGGCAAGCTTATTTTGTCGTTGCTCACTGGCTTATCAGAAAGCAATTTCTTGAGGTTGTCTGATACTGGGCCATGGAAGTCGATCTTGAATGGCTCCTTTTCCTTTCTCTGCCTTACAGGTGGAGCATTTTCAGCTTGTGCTTGCTTTTGTATTTTCTGTATCCTCCAATTTGTGATTGTTTCAAAGGCTTTGGTTCCAACTTTGGCTCGAGAATTGACTGCTTTTCCGAAAAAGGCGAGCATTGTTTCCTGCTCTGCATCTTCTCGATACATGTGCTGCATCGATATCGCGTAACCATCTCCATCTTCAAGCTGTCTTTCGTCCTCGTCAGCGCCAACAGGTCTCAGCATAGGCTCGAGCGCAGCCTCTTTAGCCCAAGCCTCTCCTCCTTGTCCAAAGCCGACATCGTCTCCTATGTCAAACCCGCCGAGGCCTGCGTCGTCTTCGTCAAAGTCAAGACCGTTACTTCCATCCAGGAACAGACCACTTTGATCAGCCAAGTTCAGGTCGCCATCAATTTGTGGGGGCTGTCGTTTCTCAGGACTCTGCCTTGTATCTTTCCAATCGTCGCCCTGCAAGAGTGGTATGTTGAGTGCTGCTGTGGGTTCACCTAGGCGGAAGCTCTTCATAGAAGGACAGATATCGAAGTCGTCGAGTATGGACAGGTTGGTGAAATACTTGTTTGCAAGCACAGCCAGATCGATCTCGGCGTCTGTCGCCATCTCTTCCTTGCCTCCTGCTCCAGGCTCAGCTGCAGACATCTGGTCAGCTTCGCTTGTTTTGTCCTGTGCCACAGCTTCCTCTTCTTCCTCAACGTATTCCGGTTCTTGCTTTTCATCCACGGCATCACTGCTGTCAAAGACGATCCTTCCTTCCTCATTTATGCACAAGTGGTTTAGCAGCAGACCTTTAGCACCACCTTCGTCGAAATCAGCGCTTGCTTTTTTGAACAGCGGATCAACTGCGAACTCTAGTTCGAGCTTCTTCAGTTGTAAGCTTGCAAAAGATGGTGCCAGAGTCGCTTCGTGACTTCTCTGCTTTTTCTTCTTGTCCTTGTTTTTTATCCCGCCCTCCCCATCGCTCTGATCACCCTCTCCATCCTCATCATCCTCTTCATCGTCGCCTTGTCCACTCCTCTTCTTTTTCTTTGAGGTCTCATCCTCTGTCGCACTACTGGCCAAGCCACTGAGTAAGCGTCCAGCTTCCACACCAACACTGTCCACTCGTCCCACGTAGACCTTGACACACCCATCAAGTGTGCAACTAGCCTTCTGAAAATTAATCCCATTACCACTCTCATCGCGCAACAAGCTCATTTCATGGAAATAATCTATCAGGGCGAAACTCCAAGAATTGTTGGCATTGATTTTATTGTCCGTGGCCAGCTTCAGCCAGTCCTCGAAATTGCTCAGGATCGGTATCGGTCTCTTAGACGCGGGCGTCAGGGCAGTTCCGACGACCTGTAGGTTGCTCGGTACGCTTGATTCGTCTCTTATCGGAATCTGTCGGGGTGTATGTGTTCCACTTATGCTGCGTCTGGCATTTTGTAGAGCTTGTTTCTGTAAGGATTGTTTTTGTCCGGCTGTTGCTTTGCCGTGCTTGCTTTTAGTGTTTGCGCGCTGTTTTGGGTCGGAGGTTCGTGGGGTGTATGGCGTTGTAACGCTCATATCGTCTTCGTCGTCGTCGGACATCACGCTCGATACATCGCTGTCGCGTGGTCGTGCATTTTGTGGTCGACCCATTTTGCGCTTGGGTGAGCGGGTCGAAGAGGTTTGAGGGATTATAGAAGGCTTTTCGGGAGAGATGGCGACGTGTCGGAGTGGTCGTGGCATTGCCAGTCGTTGATGTAACGGAAGTGAAAGTCAAAGTGGTTGAGATATGGTCATTTCGTTCAGCTTTAAGTACTGCGGTCTTTCATACGATACATTCTAGTCGCAGTCATATAGACCGTAGATTCTGGATGCCGTCGGGACGTTGAAGAGGCTCGTCAACGACGTCGTCGTTCTAGAGAGTGGTTTGGTTGTCAGTTCCGCGTGTTGACCAATCAGTGTCGCCACCCTGTTTATTTGTTGATACGGCCAATATAGGTTTAGTGCGGTGCACAGTTTGAGCCGCACCGATCCAGCCCGACCATGAGAGACGGGTGTCTATTCACACTCATCTGTTCGAGTTTCTCCGAACCACTCTACTGACACTCAGATCTACAGCGGAAGCGTGCCTCGATCTGATAGAGCAACTCTGTATGCTTGGGAAGAAGGCACTCCGCGCCGGCCCATCCTCGCTACGAATGTCACTGAGAAAGAGTCTTCCTTGTTTATAGCCTAGATAGAAACTGGTCCAACGTTATTACTTAGAAGCAGTCCTCATGCAAAGTAGCTATCCTCTTCTGCGGCCGCTACCACTGCTCCCAGGTCGTGCAGCAGTGCTATTGCCAGCCGGTGTCAGAGGTACACCAGCCTTCTTCAGGTGTTCCTCAGTGCCTAGACCCTGCAATCCTTTCTGTCCTATTCCTTTGGTAGAATTTCGATTCTTGACTTCCGCGCCGTGGCCTGCAGTGGTAGGGCTGTTCCAGTAATAGACCATCTGGCCTGCAAGAACAGCGTTCAGAAGAAATCCTGCTATGAACCCTCCCAAAATCAGTTTATCATCCACCTCTTGCAATGTCGTGAAGATACGTGATAGAGAGCCTAGTAGGTAGTTGAAGACAGCAAACGCGCTGAGCTGGCCAGTACCACCCTGAGAGTATATTGTCAAGATTTGAGGCAACTTTGATGCAACCCCGAGCGCACCTGCACCTGCCTGAAGAGTAGCCATCTGACTGTCCGAGATGAGGCCAGAGGTGTCTATCAGTAGAGCATATGCGGCAGATGCAATGCCGACCAGGAATGCAATCGCGGTTGGTGTTTGTCGAGAGTAGATTAAGATCAGGGTAGCTATTGCTACATCTTGAGCAAGGATGAATGTCGTTTCACCATATGTGCTGAAAGGAAAGCCGTTGCGGACATTGTATGCCAGTGCGATCAGGAATGAGGCAGTCTCGAGCGCATATGAGGTGAAAGAGAGACCTTCGGCTGACTGAGATCTTACGAGCTTGATGAGCTGTGGGACTTTGACAATGCTTGCAGCTGAGATGATGGCAACTCCAAGTGCTTTGGATATAGCTAGAGAGAGGCACTGAGGCTCAGTTGTAACATCGAGGTCAAGCACCAAGGCTGAATGGCAGACATCACCCAGTAGGGAAATTGCAAAGTCGTTCAGAGGCTTAGGAAGATTGTGGGTGATGGGCACAAGCACAGGCTTGAGTGGATTGATGATAACCTGCTGAAGAGTGTCCATGATGCTCTCTCTGAATCTTTGAAACTCGTGAACAGAGAGATGGTCGTGGTAACCGGCAGTGCAAAGGACTGGCAACGAGGAAACCGTGTCTTGTCAGCACGACTTACGATAAATTGCATACAGCACTATGACGCAACTCTGCGAATGATAAATTACGGCGTGCAATAAGACCTCGTGCATGCAGCCATTATGTCGCATCTCAGCGTCTCAATTTGTCCTTTGACCTCCTCTACTATAACTTGTAATATGCTTCTCCTGTACTACGGTCTACTTTCGCTTTCATAATGGGGCCATCGTCAAGGTCAAAAGTCAGGACCACAAATAGCACTATTATTAGGCCAGTCACCACGAAGTCGAGGCCAAAGACCACATCAACCTCTACTGGCTATCCATACTTTGGCAATGAAATCTTCTGTGCATTATCTGAGTCGCGTGGCATCTCACCTAGCGTGGGTCTTGCTTTTGTTAACCTGACGACTTGCGAAGCCGCCCTATGTCAGATCACCGATACTCAAACATATGCTCGTACCTGTCACAAGCTCAAAGTTTTTAGCCCTACCGAAATCGTCTTTGCAAGTACTGCTGTTGACTCTAAGCTCATTTCAATCGTTCGCGAGAACCTCGATCTAGACAGTCAAAAGATCAAAATGACTGATATTGATCGAAGGTACTGGTCGGAGAAACTTGGCCATGACTATATCGAGCAGTTAGCACTGCCAGATGACCTGGAAGCTCTGAAGCTGTCTCTATCAGGCAATTATTTTGCTATTTGCTCTTTCGCTGCTGTTCGTTATAGGCTGGAATACATGCAACAGCACTAACACGACTAGGTCATGCGCTTCGTTGACCTCGGGTTACAGCAATCGTTTGCACCTCAATCCCTACGCGTTAAGTTCGAGTCCTCTGAAGGGACCATGATGATCGACCTGCCCACTATTGCTAATCTTGAACTCGTTCAAAACTTACAGAATACAACATCCAAACATTGCCTCTTTGGCTTGCTCAATCAAACCTCTACCAAAATGGGTGCACGATTGCTCAGGAACAACGTGCTACAGCCATCAACCGACAAGGCCAAGCTTGAGAAGCGTTGGGCTGCAGTAACTGAGCTCAGCACACGTGAAGGAATATTCCATTCGCTCAAAGATTGTAGGTAAGATGCGGCATATCGTTTTGTCACAACTGACAAAATCTTCAGCCTTGAAGCTATCCATTGACACAGATAGAACAATCGCAAATGTGAGCTGAAACGCAACATGCTGTATCCTGACTGACCCTGAAGCTCGTCCTGACGCCGAGGACCCTAGGCTTTGACTACATGGAGCAGTCCGTGAACAACGTTTTAATGCTGAAATCTTTTGTTGACGCCATCAAACCCATCTAGCAGAATTTGACTGGCGTGCTTACAGAAGAGCTAAAGAGCATTCAAGAAGTAGGTTTAAGATATACACAGACCTCAATATCAGTGGCTGACAAGGTACAGCTCTGTGATCCTGTCAACTACGAAGAAATTCGAGCATTGATTGACTATGCAATGAATCAAGATGCTTTCTATTCACAGAAAGCCGCTGATATCAGAAATCAAAGAGTCTATGCAATTCGAGTATGCTCCCAATGCTGCTTTGTTCAGCTAACTGATAGTTCCAGGCTGGTGCGAATGGCTTCCTTGACGTTGCTCGCCAGTCATACAGTGAGCTTGTCGGCGACATGAGAGATCTGGTCAATCAGCTCCAGGGTTCGAGTACTACACAGCTTTTGGCGCCCATGACTGACGTGCTCAGAACAACATGGAATTCCACTCGAGTTGAAACACGATCCGGTTAGACACTTCTACATCCAGATCAAATCTGCCGATATTCAGTCGAACACTGCGCTCCCAGACATTTTTGTTCACGTCTTCCGAAAGGGTAACAAGCATGTCGAGTGTCAGACTATAGATATGGTCAAACAAAATCAAAGAATCAGCGACATGCACAACGAGATCATTGCTATGTCGGACTCCAGTATCCAGACTCTCATTAATGAAGTTCGCGGTAAAATCCATCCACTCTTCAAAATTAGTGAAGGTATAGCTCTTCTTGATCTATTGACAACCTTTGCCACCAACGTCACGAGCTCGAGCGACACATATATCTGCCCTGAAATCACGCCAGGCACTCTGGCCCTCAAGTCGTCTCGACATCCTCTGCTTGCCGCAACTGCGCAAAAAGAAAAATATATTCCAAACGATGTGTACGCGACATCCGTCAACAAGCGCTTTCAGATAATAACAGGCTGCAACATGTCTGGCAAATCTACCTACATCCGCTCGATAGCGCTGAACGTAATTATGGCACAGACAGGCAATTTTGTCACTGCAGAATATGCTTCTATCCCTATAACAGAACAGCTGCTCGCACGTATATCTACAGACGACTCTATCGAGGCCAACGTCTCTACCTTTGCAGCCGAGATGCGAGACATCGCCTTCATCTTAAGAAGTGTATCTCCTTCCTCTTTGATCATCATCGACGAGCTCGGTAGAGGCACATCCACAGCCGATGGTCTTTCCATCGCCATCGCCATCTCGGAAGCCTTGATCCAAAGCAAAGCCATTGTCTACTTCGTCACACACTTCCGCGAATTACCACGTATCCTAGGCGAACGTATCGGCGTCCTCAACATGCACATGAACGTCGATATCGATCCAGACTTCAGCACCATGTGTATGCGGTACAAGGTGGCGGCGGGTCAAGAAGAGCAGAAGTTTTATGGACTCGCTCTTGCACAACTCGTCAATCTGCCTGATCAGGTGATGGAAGTTGCCGTCGCAAGTAGTAAGCAACTAAACGACCGAAACGACGGCAGGGTATCCGATGTCAAAGCCCTCGCACAAGCAAAGAGACGGAAGTTGTTGATACACATAAGAGAGATGCTTCTTCACGCACGCGATGGCCAGCTACACGGAAAGGAGCTATTAGAGCGTCTAAAAGACCTACAAACAGAATTCCTGCTTCGACTCGCAGTAATCGAGGCCGACGTCGAAGCAGTCAACAATCCGAACAACAGAACACCAAATGAACGTGACAGCACCCCAAGCCTGGAACAGGATATTGGCACATCTGACTCCATCAGCAGCGACTTGTTCTTCAAGAACGATGCGGATGGAAACACGGAAGGGTCGTGGAAGGCTTCTATACAGCACGAGAACCCTCTTTTCAGACCTATGCCGACAGGAAGCGAAGCGCAAGAAGAGCTTACGGATGCTGAGATGCTGGCTGCTGATATATCTTGGCTCACGGAGAAAGGGGATAGTCTCAACGAACCAATTTGCATTGAGGACGATGATATGAGTGTGGTGTCTACGTAGCTGAGCGTGAAGGGCCCGTACGTATTCGGAGACTGACCGAGGGAGCTGTTTCAAAATCCTCTTTGTTGCGACATGGGACCGACCCACGTAAGTACTTGACCTTTTCCATGGTCTCGTGCTTGCTTCTCTATGATTAAGATCTGCGTCCTGCACTCTAATTCTACGGACTGTGGCATTATCGATGTACATCCGGTAAACACCAAACTATCACATCACCTGTCCTTCTCCAATCATCATGGAAGAGACTATTATGAAATCTAGCACACTCTCTATACGCACTCTGTCCAAGAGTAGCTTTCATGCTTGGCTCCAGTTGCTCAAAGAAGATCAGGTAGTCCGGCCATGCTCTCTTCCTCCTGTTCGGAACCCCTGTGTTCTGTCCGCCTTCGCCTTCATTGAGCCATACACCACGCTGTGGATTAGGATTGCTCCATAGCTTTTTTGCATCGGCTGGGTCAGGCGCGTAAAAGCCAGGTGGCGGTGGTCCCGAGGGTGGGTCTCGAACCATATTCTGTTTCAACCAGACCGCAGGATCGAGGTAGAATATATCCGCTTCGTCTTGGTATGTCGCTTTTTCGGAGGGTAAGAGGTTCAGTGGTGGTTCGCAGGTCAGGGCCCAGCCTGAAATACCAGGTGTGGTGAATGTAGGTGGATATTGAATGTGAGAGCGCCAGGGGATGGAGTGGCAGGGCATCAGAATGGCAAAAGTTAGGTTGCGATTAAGCTGCGTTTGTATCTCGGCTTGAGTAAGGCGTATGGCTTCAAATTCGGAGCGGAGGTAATCAGTAACCTTGATGAGTCCAGAGTTGTGGAATAAGGAGAAGTAGCTAGCGAGCATGACATTGATGGTAATGAAGAAAGCGCCGAATAGTGTCGGCTTGAATGTGCGCTGGCGCCTGTTCGCGTTCCCTGACGCGATAATATCCGTGAATCCTACCAATTTTGCGAAGGGCAATGCTGCGATGACATGGAGGGCTGGCAGAATAGGGTAGATAAAGCGCACCTCTTTGTGAGAAAGAACGGATAAGACCATTGGTAGTACAATGCTGACCAGTGCAAGCCGATGAAGAATAAGTCTTGACTGTATGCTGACACAGCGAGGCTCATCACGCAGAATAAGAGCATTGCGTAGACCCAATGCAGCGGGCACAACAGCTGCGGTTAGTAATAGCGGATAGCCCTGACTGAGGTAGTAGTGCCAGTTATTGTTGCCATAGAATACAGCCAAAGACTGTAGAACATTGAACTTGAAAAACTGCCAGACAGGAAACGTCCAGACATCGTAAAAGAGTCGGTCAACGAATGCGGACAGAGCAAGAACAATGCCGCTGCAAAAGAGTCCCTGACGAATGAATGCGTCAACCTCCCAATGCACACCATGACGATACATGCCTCGCCCAAAGGTTGCGGTGGTCAAAGTAAGCCATATGATAGCATTCGTAGGTCGAAGGATGACTGCAGTCGAGGCACAAAAAAGAGTCCTTCGTAATCTCGTGGTTTCATCGACCTCAGCAATGGCTTCCTCTTCTTCTAGCGTAACAGAATCTGTCCGACGAATACGCAAGATATTACTGTCGAGTTGAAACCCGACTTCGTCGCTGCCAAGTGCCCAATGGTATGGCCAGTTGTAAAGTGCAACCGCGGTCAGGGTCGTCTCGATACAATTGCTAAATGTTCTGGTGCTGACGAACCAGTTCCATGCACTTCCGACCGTAAGCAAGATCGTGCATACTGCTGAACGGGAATGTCGTCCATAAACTTGCTGCGCGAGTTTGTAAGTGTAGTAATCTCCAAGTGCTGCGATGAAAGCTTGCAATGTCTTAGGTGTCGCGAGGAGCACAGCGGCTCTAGAGCTTGCAGACAAATCCAGTGTGGTAACGAGGACATTGGAACTTTTGTAAACCAGCGCAAAGAGCCCTGGGTGAAGGGCAGCTCGCAGGTGCTGCTTCCACTCCTACAACAAAGTCAGAAGAGCAATTCTTTGTAGGATAACCATACCCAAGTAGTCCACGCTCCACTATCGTGGCCGAATGCCACCCACCAGGCCGGCTCGAGTGATTGGTAGTACTCATCTGGTTGGAAGAAGGTTCTGAGAACCAACGCGTTCAAGAGTCGGAATGCGAACAGAGAAAGGAGTGTATGTCTGTATAGAACAGCCCACGGGGCTGCATCATGCTTACTTGATTGCTGCTGTGGTTTACTTGCTGAAAGCGTCATCACGTTCGACCGCAGGTGAGTCGTCGACGATGACTTGCTTACACATTTGCTTTCAGGCAAGCCTCGCAGTCAAAGAAGATACAAAATCTGCTTGGAAATGTTTCGGGCCTGCTGCCAAAGCAGTTCCAGTACCAACTGTGGAGTTCATAGTTAGTTTCAGGTTGGTATTGTGTACACGAGAAGCACTCCTTGCACAGATATTATGACTTTACGTGTACACAGCATTGTTGTGAGTACAACCGAGTGCAAGTGTAACAAATTTGCCTTCGTAATGCTGCCGTCTACGTGAGGAGTAATTCGTGCGACATAGCTATACCAGATCTATCCCACAACCCTCTAACAAAGACGTGACGCCATTTTGGCATTGTGCCTCCTTTTCCGCCTAAACCCGCCCGCTGCTGTGCCATGAGACTCGTAAAGACCAAACAAAGTTACGCATAATTTATTCGACCGTAACAGACTTGGCCAAATTGCGTGGGAAGTCCACGTTTAGGCCTTCAGCGACAGCCAGCCAGTAGGCCATGAGTTGAAGAGGGATGACGTTGAGGAGACCTTGAAGAAGATCACTTGTATGCGGTACCTCAATTCTTTCAACTTTGGCAGCTGGGAATTCCTCGTCACCAGTATTGCAGATGACGATCGGTCGACCACCACGAGCAATGACTTGCTGGTAAGCATTGAGAGATTTCTTAAAGATCTCATCTCGAGTCAAAATCATGACGATTGGTAGGTTCTCATCGACAAGTGCCAAAACACCGTGCTTGAGCTCACCAGACATGACAGCCTCGCAGTGCAGGTAGGATATCTCCTTGATCTTCAGAGCACCCTCCAGCGCAGTCGAGAACTGGCTGCCTCGACCGAGAAGTAGCATGGACTTTTGGTTTTGCAAAAACTTGGCACACAACTGCTTGATCGGCTCGTTGAGCTTGAGAATCTCGCGGAACTGATCGCTGACCTTACCCAAACCCTCAATGATCTCCTCTCGCCGCTTCTGTTTGGATGCTCGGTCTTCGCTGAGAGATAGAGCAAACATCATCATTGCGACAAACTGAGAGGTGTAAGCCTTTGTGGATGCAACGCCAATTTCTGGACCAGCGTTGATGTGGACACCGCAATGGGTGAGCATGGAGATGGAAGAACCAACGACATTGACAATACCGACGGTCAGTGCACCTCTTTCCAAGCAGTATCGTAGAGCGTTCAGGGAATCGGCAGTTTCACCTGATTGTGAAACAAAGACGCATGTATCGTCTCTGAAAACAGGAGCCTGTCGGTCCAAGAAGTCGGAAGCAAGCTCAACAGCGATAGGGATCTCAGTGAGCTCCTCAAAGGCACCGCGCACAGCCATGCAAGAGTGGTAAGAGGTACCGCAAGCGATAAAGATGATTCGTCGACATCGTCTGATGGTGCTGATGTATTGCCGCAGACCTCCCAGAGTGACGGACTTGTTGGCAACGTCAAGACGACCACGCATGGTGTTGACGACTGACTCGGGCTGTTCGAAGATCTCCTTCTGCATGAAGTGATCAAACTTGCCCTTCATAATTTCTTGCAGCTCAAGCTCGATCGTCTGAATGGCACGAACGTTCGATGTGCCGTCGTCCTTGGTTAATCTGTGGATGTTAAGCTGGCCGTCGTGGATGTGGGCAATGTCGTCGTCTTCCAAATACAGGACTTTCTTTGTGTGCTCAACCAAGGCAGACGCGTCCGAGGAGAGGAAGAATTCTGCTGGCTGAGGCATGCCATCGTCGGACAGGAAAGCCCGAGATTGTGATCTGTGCAACAAGCTCTTGTCTGGAGGGGCAAGCAGACTGCCAGCAGCCTTCTTCTTGACTGCAACATTGTGTGAAGCTTTCTCGGCGGAGAGAGCGTAGCCAGACTCTTCGCCTTGGGAGTACTCAACGTCCACGAAATCCACCTTCATCTTCTTGCCTGTCTTGACACCAATGACGAGGGGAGAACCTTTGCGAGCCGCGACGACCTCGGAGGGGAAGTGGACGGACTTGAGGAGGAGACCGAAAGCGCCCTGAAGCTCTTTGATGACAGCCTTTGTGAGGGTAGTGAAGTCGATGTCTGGGTGAGAGTCATAGAGGTACTTTGCGAGCTTTGCAATGCACTCAGTATCCGTAGCAGTCTCGAATTTGAAGCCCTTGCCCTCAAGAAGAGCTTTGAGCTCCTTGTAGTTGGTGATGATACCGTTGTGGACGACCGAAAACTCCCACTTGGGGTCAGATCTAGCAAAGTCAACATCCTGTCTTCTTGCTGAGTTGCCACACGCTTACCTGTGTGGGTGGCAGTTGAGTTGTGAGGGTTGACCGTGAGTGGCCCATCGTGTGTGTGCAATACCAGCGTGAGACTCAAAGACCTTTGTCATATCCACACCAGACTTGTCGATGAGCTCTCTCAGCTTTGCAACCTTGCCCACCTCTTTGAACGCGAAGACTTCATTTCTCTTGTCACCGTCGACTGCTAGACCGGCCGAATCGTATCCTCTGTACTCGAGACGTGAGAGGCCTGCACATTATCGGTCAGCCGAGGGCGGTGTGTTATGGCGAGGAGTTCTATACCATTGACCAGAGTGTCGAGAATGAACTTTCGGTCCTTCTCGACCAGATAGTTAATGTAGCCAAAGATGCCACTAGGTAGTGGTCAGCATGTCCTCATCCTTGAGGCCCAGGGAACACGTACCACATTGTAACTTGGTGCTTAATGAATGATCGTATTCAATTTCGCTGTCTTTGCTGAAACACGAGTACGGGTGATTGTGACGTAGGGCACAACAAAGATATCAAAGTGGTTCAGGCAGCTGTGATGCAAACAGGAAGGGGCGCGCTGGTTGCTTGTCTGAACAAAGAAGGAGTGAGCAGGTACGAAGGTAGCAGCAACGTCAGAAGAGAGTGGGTATTGGATATTTCTAGGACGATGTATGGCAAGACTTCACGGCGATAGGAACGTCAAGATCTTAAAGTACACAGTATGCCTTCACCTACACTGCGGGTCAAGGCTGAGTGCCAGTTCCATAAGCATGGCTGTGCGTAATGGTGGGAAGAAAAGTGGTCCGTCTGTGTGCACTGCGTGAAACATCCCATCATTTTCTCAAACAGAATTTCCGCTTTTGCTTTTCACTGCTCTGAGCGGTATGCAGCTGCAGCTGGAATCGTAAGGGAGCTCTTTTAGCGCCTACGCTTGTCGATCAGGCAATGCTTCAATAGTGTCTGCCCGTGCTTACTCTCTCCCATAGCAACCGAAATACACGGGTGGCATGGCTTCCTGCTATTAGCTGGCCACCACACGAACGATATCCAACGGGTCCCTACCAAGAATTACTGTTACCGCCGGAAGGTTTTGTTTTGAAACCTCCGCCACTAGGTTTGCGACTTGCTCCACCGCCACTTACCCTTTCCAGCTTGACCTAATGCTGCCGCAGTTACACCAGCGTCGCGTCGCGTTGTGCATGTTTATTCTTAGCTGCAGACTTGAGCTTTCCCCATCTTTGCCTTGTTCAGGAACTTTTGTCTACGTGTTCACAGCTTGACATTGTAGTGGCATCAGAACGCTCACACTATTGACCCCTATAAAGGAGGTGTTTGGGTTCTTCTATCATGTACGGCAAGCCTCGAAAACCAATGATGTCACCAAATGGGAAGGCACCTGCATATTGAAGATTGTAGGGTCACAGCTCTTCTCTGATACGCCAGCCTCACGGTCGCGACAGACAGTTTCCGAGATGGCCAAGACAGAGATCTCAACACCATCAGACAAATCTTCAATATACTAGTATTCGTGTTCCGGGGATATCGCTTCGAACTTCAGGTTGAAGTGGCGCTTTGATGTCCATGACGATTGCAGTGACAGCAGCAATGCAGCAATCCTGCCTCTAGATCTCCCGGTTCATTGGATTCACAACACTGCCAGTGGTCAGATTAAGATCCGAGTCATGCATACATCGATGTTGACACATTGTATCGCGATCGTGCGAGCAGTTCATTGCGCTTTCATATCAACCTCCAAGAGGTCTGCAGTCCATCACGTTCACCCATCAATACTTCTTCGTAACACTGGGTGCCTGCCTTAGTTTTTCAGCCATCTGTTTAAACAATTCCTGTCTTTTCATTTCGAAAGCATCAAAGGCGTAATGCGCCATACCAACTGGCACTTGGTCTTTGCCTTGGGATAATGATTGCCATGCCTAATTTTTATGTTAATCCAGTATCGAATCAGATTTGGTCATTGGAGGACATACCTCGTTGGTAAAGTCCTGAAGTGGCATGCCAACATCCTTCCCTCCCTCGCCATGGAGCTCTGTTGGACAGCTGGTGGAAACAGCTCAATCACTTTGACAGCAGTGTCTTGCAGCTGCAATCTCAAGGTCAGGATGAAGGAATGCAGTGCCGCCTTCGTAGCACAATAGTTTGGTACCGTCGGAATAGGTACCTGTATCGTTAGCTTGAGGACAGTGGCTTCCGGGGTCGATCTTGATTCACTTACCATCGCTAATCCGGACGATGTGTACAGCAGACCTGCATTATGACCCTCCTTCGCTCTCGAGAGCAGGAACGGTAAGAATGCTTTGGTTACAGCAACTTGTGAGATATAGTTCAAGTTGAACTCTTCCTGAATCTTATCAAGACTGACACTCTCGGGTTTGGTAAAATCGTGACCATATTGTACACCTGAGTTAAGAAAGACTAGGTCAAGGTCTGGGTGTGTTGAAGTAATGTTTATCACAAAATTCGGGATTGACTCTAGTTTGGTGAGATCGAACGGCGAGGCCTGCACTTTGTCGTGGCCATACTTGTGCACGAGTTCTGCCAACCGTTCTTCACGGCGACCAATGGCAACGACGAATATGTTGTGTTCAATGAAACGTTCCACGAGAGCCCGGCCAATGCCACTTGTGGCTCCGAAGACAGCAACTTTCTTAACGGGAAACGACATGGTTGCGGTGTTGTCCAGTAGGTGTAGAGAACGTTTGACAAGTGCTCAACTAACCTCCAATTGGATTTGCTCGTCCTTTCACAGCCCAGGTTCTTTGGTTTACTGTGTGGTTCAGCGCGTGAAGGGTCCTTTTTCCAGAGCAAGACTGTGGGCTTCAACATTGCGAGTAGAATAGAAGAGCCACGTCATGACGTTGTCTTTCAGCACATTACCTACCGAGACAACTCTACTCGATCTCCATCCATCCCACTTGTGTGTTTTACCATACAAGCGGAAGACGTTTACTGCGCAGTCTGCTTCCTGTCTAGAACATCACAACGTAGCTCTACATGTATTGCAGCATAATGTCCCTTGCATGTATTAGTTCCGCCTTCCCGCTTTGCCATGCTTTTGCGCCAAATTAAGCTTATTTTGAGCTGCACGTGGAAATACCAGCCGATCATTTTTTAGTTAATTGTTTTGTACTCGTAAAGATGCAAAGTATCATCGGCAATTCGCGATCGAGGTTGATCAAGATTCAACAGTGACTAACTACTGTCCACATCTTGCTTCGATATAGGCAAATAATCCTCATCGACCCAATGCAGGCTTCCTTTCGCACGTAGATCAATCTCGCTGCAAGGAATATGACGTCCTCGCCCATCTTCGACAATATCTGCACACTCCCTCTACCAACCGACCTCTTCGCAGTTGCATTACATCCAAGTAAACCGGTACTCACAGTCGGTCTTGCATCGGGTCAAGTCCTTGCATATCAACTACCCTCGTCTGACGAGTCCTCACCTCCACCGCAACCTCGACGTGAAAGCATCAATGGCACGAACTCAATACTGTCGCAGCGGCGCAGATCATCCTCAGCCTCGGAGAACGGTCTTGGCTCAATAAGCACTATATGGAAGACGAGAAGACACAAAGGTTCATGTCGTGCGCTCGCTCACAGTCCTGATGGTTCAGTGTGCTATTCTGGGGGAACAGATGGACTGGTGAAGGCCTTTGACACAGAAACAGGTAGAGTCGTGTCGAAGGTTGCGATACCTCTACCGAAAGCTGCTCGTGAAGGGGTCGATGCTCCAACACTTCTCTATGCGCTTACACCCCTCCACTTGATAGTAGCTACAGATTCTGGCGCTCTACACATCTACGACTTAAAGGACAACTCCAAAATTATTTCAGATCAGCCGGTACAGACATACCACCCTCACGGCGAAGAACACGTCAACAATCTAGTGCCTATACCACCAACCGCTGCTAGCACGAGTGGTTTTCCGAAGCAATTTGTCACTGTCGGAGGTTCGACTTTAGCAGTTACAGATTTGAGAAAGGGCGTTGTGGCTACAAGTGAAGATCTCGAAGTCGAAGTGTCTTCGATCGACATTGTCTCGGGCTTGAAAAGTGGTGGAACCTCGGTCGGCTCGAAAGCCCTGGTAGGCCAGTCAGATGGCGTGCTCTCCTTATTCGAGCGAGGAGTTTGGGATGACCTTGACGAGAGGATAGCGGTAGACAGAGAAGGAGCATCTATAGATGCTATCTGCGAAGTCCCATTTGAATTCCTGCCTCAGGCTGGGAAGCTCAAAATGAACGAGAAGATAATTGCGCTTGGTCTTGACGATGGGACAATTCGTTTCGTTCGGGTTGGTCGCAATGCGGTAATCTACGAGTGGGACTTGAAGCACGATGAGATTGAGGGTGTGACAAAGATTGGCTTTGATGGAAGTGGAACTAGGATGATCAGTGCAGGAGGGCAAACCGTAAAAATCTGGACAAAAGCAAGCCCTGCTACGGAAGCGCGTCTCAATGTCAATGGTAAGCGGAAGCTACAAGCTGATAGTGACAATGAAGAGGAGGAGGATAGTGAGGACGAAGACGAAGACAGTGTTGAGGGATCAGAAATGGAAGCTGATTCTGAAGACGACAGTGAAAAGGAGAAATCTGGGAAGCGGAAGAAGCGAAAGAGGAATAAAGGAAAGGACAAAAGTGGTGGTAAGGCTCTAAATCTGTCAGGCATGTTTTAGGACGGTTGATGGCTTGAAAGGAGCTAGGGGGATGAGATGCAAATGTCTTGCAATGCCGCTGCATATGTACCAGACGTTTCTGGTTCATCTGCGACAAGCTTATCCTCCTCTTTGGCCCCTTGTCTGCCTTCCTTGCTACGAGTAGCTTGCCAGAATCACGTACTCGCATCGGGATGGCTTTGATAGCTTGCTTCGTCCCACGTGATAACGCGATCCCCGTCTTCCTTGCATCGCGGAACTGGATAACATATCCGCGACTTACTTCTCCATCAGTTGAACACTGTCATTCTGAAAATGTCGCCACATTGCAATGCTCGAACTCCATGTCTACGGTCCTGGGTTCGGTCTGCCGTCAATCGATTCGAGTTGTTTGGCAGCAATTGCACTCCTTCAATGCTGTGCGCAATCAGGCCAAGTTGAGTGGAAATTGATCCCCAGCAATGATCGCAGCATTTCTCCTTTCGATGAACTACCTGCCCTTCAAGTTGACGACTTATGGATAGCCGGTTTCCGCGATATTGCGCATTACATTCATACACAATATCAAGATGCCATTGAGCACGAGGTGTTCGCCATTGACCTGGACGAGGCACAATCGGCGAACAATGAGGCCTATCTTGCTTTCCTCGAATCTCGTGGCCTGCCTATCCTCGATTTGAGTCTCTACGTGTCCAGCGACAACTACACAACGTTGACTCGCTCGACGCTCTCCGCTCTCCTTCCCTGGCCACGAAGCTGGCACATCCCTCAGCAAATACGCGATGCAGCACGGAAGCGCTCTGAACATCTTGGACTGTCTGGCTTGGATGTCGATGCGTCACGCGAGAAAGAGCTGAAGAAGGAAAACGAAGGAATCAGCGCTGCCATTCCCAAGAGCCTGCGCTTGCCGAAAAAGAGTGTAAGTGCACTGCTCGGAAGCAAGGCCGAAGCAACGAGATTTCGGTTAGAGGCAGTTACCAACGACTTGTTCGAGCCATTGGACAAATTGCTAGGAGAGCAAGATTACTTTCTTGGGGAGACTATGACTGTATTGGATTGTTATGCGCTTGGCATCCTTGCACTGATGGACGTTGGGGACATGGCGCAACCTTGGCTGAGAGAGGCACTTCACAAATATCCACGTTTGAGCAAGTGGACCACAAAACGTGTGCACTCTACATTCGGTGTCTCTGTAAGGTTGCCTTGGGGGCAACCCTGCGAAAGATCATGTTCAAATTTGGGTTCGACGTTCTGAACAGCATTGCAGAATCCTTACCTCTCACACTCACAACAACTGCTATTCGACCATGTGAACACGAGGCTGCTGCCTCAGGACGTTCGGGTCAGTTGAAAAAGTTGGAAAGCAAACACTCTTTCCGTCTGCAAATACAACGCCGTCAACAAGTACTTCGAGAAACAGTTACGGCTGGTGTGTCGTCTGCAGGACTACTTGGGGCGTTGATCTACATGGGTGCATTGACGATTAAGTGGCCTTTATCGGGACCAAAGCCAATGCAACAGACCTTTGGTGAAGCTGGATCGTTTCTAGGTCTGCGGTAAATTGTACGGGCTCGATGGTTTCGACCAGATCAAGGCGTGCCGCTATTTCCGAGCCGATGAACCATGGTCCCCAGCAAGCCTCATAGCCTAGAGGACAGGCAAACCTGCCAGTATCTTTCGTAATTGTAGCTCACTCCAACCAGTCAATTGTCGAACCGAGACACTTGTTGCGACATCACCAGCCAACCACTATTGCACAACACATCGACCCGCTGATCTGGAGGTCGTGAGTTCCTACCGTACTCTTTAGGACGACCACACTGACTCCTTCGTCGTGCACACCTGTCAGAGTCGCAACGAGGCATGCATCAGCGTCGCCATTTTTTGGTGATGAAGACGAGCGTGGCTTCGATATACTGGCTAAGGCTTCTCGGCGGAAATCTGCAGTAACTCTAAAACTCCATGCTTGCGGATTGACCAAATTTAAGCTTTGACCTCCATCACCGTCGATGAGACGTTCAAGTCATGATAGATGCATTGGTTTCCCAACGATAGCAGATCAGTAGCGCGATCGAGACATCTGAACAATACTCGAGCAATCAGATATAAAGTCTTAAATTTTCACAAACATGACCATTAGCCAGGGACGAATGGATCGAATAGTACATCTTGGCGGGCTTGACTCGGTAGAAGCGCGATTCTCGAACATCGCTCCAAACATCCTGGCTTTGTATGGAGACAACACTATTCCGATTGAGCCAATAGCAATGTTAGAACTTTCATGGTCCTCAAAATGAGGACCTTACCATTCCTTCATATACTCCAAGCTTTTGTTGAAGCAATATGATCGTATGTTCTTCAGCGACAAGCCTGCAACTTTGCTTACCGAGTGCATTCGCTTATAATAGGTAGCGCAATCGCAATATAAAGACCGACCTGAGACGTATAGCTCGTGTGCTCAAGGATTCATTTTTCTTGTGCCGAAAGAGGTAATCGAGGTGTGCTGTGCCACTGTGACAATTACACAAACGGCAAAGCAAACGCTGTGGTATATCTGAATCAAGATAGTGAGTGGCACTTCCCAACTCAAATAGGCGACTTCAGGCAAAGACACTAACTGCTACCAGCACCCATTTGTCGGATTTTCAACCACAAGCCGTCAACAGTACCAGCATCCCGACCCACTACTCACTCCCGACAATGGACCAGCTCAGCAGTCTCGTCACACTGATAGCACGGCAAGAAGAGGTCGATGCCGCGCCAGCATGCAGTTCAGGAAACGACTATGATGGTCGCATGGGCCTTCGTATAGCATCCATCTTCGTTATCTGGGTTGGCTCGACGTTCGGTGCAACCTTTCCTGTCTTTGCAAATTCCCACAGAGGCCTTGGTGTGCCAGACTGGTCATTCTTTATCGCAAAGTTCTTCGGCTCGGGCGTTATCATCGCAACAGCATTCATTCACTTGCTCAGCCCTGCCGAAGACGCGCTTCGAGATCCGTGTCTAACAGGCGTTATCACTGAATATGACTGGGTGTCGGGCATCATCCTAATGACCATATTTGTCCTATTCTTCGTCGAATTGATGGTTATGCGGTATAGCAGTGTGGAACTTCCTGAACATCATCACAGTGGTATGGTCGTCGATGGCTCGAAAGAGATTGGAGAGTCTGAAACCTCAAGGAACTCGCGCAGACTGAGCGCACACCACCCTGGAAACGACCATCTCGGCCACAGCGCCAGACACGACTCGATTGAATTGGCTAACAACCCATTCACATTGGAGGAGTACAAGGCACAACTTACCGCTATCTTTATCCTCGAATTTGGCATTATCTTCCACAGTGTGTTCATAGGGTTGACACTTGCTGTATCTGGCGAAGAGTTTGTCACACTATTCATTGTGCTGGTATTCCACCAGACGTTCGAAGGTCTCGGTCTTGGTGCACGATTGGCGGTGACTCCTTGGCCTAAGGGGAAAGGATGGACTCCCTACGTGTTAGCCATTACCTACGGTTTCACGACGCCTATCGCCATCGCCATCGGCTTGGGCGTGAGGCAATCATACCCTCCTGGTAGCCGAACTACCCTGATCGCAAACGGTGTTTTCGACTCGATATCGGCAGGTATCCTGATCTACACTGGATTGGTGGAATTGCTGGCACACGAGTTTATGTTCAGCAGAACCATGCGGACTGCGCCCATAAAGACTTTGCTATCAGCCTTTTTCCTGGTATGTCTGGGAGCTGGTTTGATGGCATTGCTTGGAAAGTGGGCTTAACGACACAGGCGGTGGTGAGGTGAAGGGAGGAGCGTTACTTCTGAAGTGAGGTTCTACGGTGTGAAAGCCACAGCTTGCGTCTCCGGTATTGAGGGATCAGACTTGCGGTCACACGTGTACAGTGTTTGTATAGCCGGACAAACAGAACACGAGTTCTGGTAGTGATGAATAGTGGAGGACGATATTTCTAGGCAGCATCGGTGCGGCAATGAATTGTGGCGGCTCAACCATCCAGAATATGGCATAATGCCGTTTCCGTATTCGAGACTGAGCGCAAAACAGGACATAATGAAACCTCATCAGTATCGTTATCCTGCTCACAAGACCATGCCTATTTTGGTATCCACTATAGGCTAGCCAGATCTTGCGGATCACTGCAGATCTTGATTGTCAGACCCGCCACGTTTCCAGACGTACTCAATTTATGATATTTCGGCAGGAGGTCCAGAATGACTTGAGACTGCGATACTACGTAACCCGTTCGTTTATGTTCAAGATGTTCTCGTCGTATCATAACCGCTTCTTACCCTCTTTCTTTCAGCCAGTATGGGCTATATCGCTTATGCCGCTGGTACGCTGATCGTTGCAGTTATACTACATTCGTTATACAATAGAAAGCCTGAGGCGAAAGTGCTCAAGGTGGACTCTAGCCTTCCCTCAACGACTGAGGAGCACGACGTCGCCTCTGAACATGAACGAGTAATATCTAAGCCCGAGGCCAGCACGATTGCGCCGACCATATCACTAAACAATGGATGTGATGACCTAGAGCATACCACGACCAAGGACCAGGCAGATGATGCATCTCAAGAAGAGGAAGAATCTGCAGTGAAGGCGGAAATCTCACAAAAGCAGGAAGTCTCGAACTATGGCACTGTACCACGAACTTCAAGTCCCGTACTCAAAGTGCAATCACAAGACATGCCGCCTCCACGTCTGTCTCCGGGCGCATCGACAGCAGCACAAGCCCGCCAGAGTGCAGCCATGCCTCCTCCATCGTTTCTGACGACACCGCGCAATCGCAGCCCTCCACGTTTGACATCTGCGACCACCTCTTCTCTAACTCCACCTGCTCGTGGTCCTGCATCAAGACAAGGCGGCTTCCTAAAACCGACAGGCTTCGGCAATGGTAGCGCACTCGCTCCTCCACCTTCTGCTGCCAGTACTGCACGATCCGCAGCAACCCTAGGTGTTCCACAGCAAAAAGCCCTGACCAACACGCGTATGCAACCTGCCTTAGCGCCTACAACCTCAACCCAGCCTCCGAACAAGCGACCGTCGCGAAAAGTCATACTCAGTCCGGGTCATAGTCCTCTCGACTGGGCAGCTCTCACCAATTCCACTTCCTCTGACGCGCCACTAAAACTCCGAGGAAAAGACGCAACGGATGTACTGGGATTACAGAAGCTAGGCCGCATCACACCATCACAGCTCAAGAAGCAGACTGGTCGGAAGGGTAAAGATGCTTGGACGAGCTATCAGGGGCGAGTTTACAATATATCTGCATACTTGGATTTTCATCCTGGCGGTGGATCTGAGCTTATGAAGGGAGCAGGACGGAGTAGCGATGGTTTGTTTGCGGAAGTTCATCCCTGGGTCAATTGGGATGGTATGTTGAGTAATTGTATGATCGGGATGTTGGTCAGTGAAGACGATCCAGGTGCGCTGGGGAAGAATGGCGAGGCAGATAATGCATTGGACGAAATGGATTGAACTATATAGAATTGAGTAATTTTTGCTTATCAGGTCGCTTTCAGTGCTTTTGGTTGGTTATCTAGTGCATGCTTAACTCTGTCGAGCCATCACTATCAAGAGTGAAATCTTCACTCCGAACGTTACTGACCTAGTGTTACGAACTTCACTCTACATGCAACACTTTGATAATTCAGGAAGCACAATTCTTACCACAATCAATCCCGAAACCGCCAATATTCACGAGAACCATTGCAACAACAACATGCCGAAAGTACTACGCAAAACGTACGATCTGACACGCTCCATCAACAAACGTCGACGCATTAGAACCACAGGCACACCCATGCTCGAACTACCAGCAGAGATTCTCCTCCTTACCTTCAAAAGCATCGAACATCCCTACGACCAAATAGCATTCATGCTCAGCTGCAAACACCTCGCCAAAATAGGTACCGATGTCAAGCTCAACAAGCAGATGTTCGATGAACAGCCTGATTTCGGAAAGAGAAGGTTTCGAGCGTACTCTCACTCTATGCTTGTTCGGAAGATGTACAAGTGGGGTTTCATCAGCAAGGATTTGCAGTTTTGTCAAGGCTGTGTCAAGTACCTCCCGAAGAATCGTATCTGGAGAGATAGCTATGGTATACCATTGAAAGATATGGAGTATGTGGATTGGATGTGGGCGATTAATCGGTGGATCAGAGGAGGAGCATTTTGTCCAACTTGCCAGGTCGGTCATGTTGTGGAGGGGAGAGATTGGTTACAGAGTCAGGCTGAAGGGCTTGAAGGTGGAGTCTTGGTGAGGCGAAGACTGAGGGTGAGAAGAGAGGAAAGAGCAGAACAAGGGTCATGAGCTACTGCGAGAGACATCCTGGACACAACAGCGACAGAAAAGGGTCAATAGGTATTTTATGGAGCTTTGTGCTTCTTGCGAACTAGCTTTGGCATCGATGTCCATAGAGATGGCCATAACAATTCCACCTCATCCTGTCTTTCCTCCAAACAATACCTCAACTCGGTTGCCCATACGATGTTGTAGTACTCAGCAATGCCGGTTAGCAAATGCCACCAACCATGGCCCTCGAGCAAGATTCCCCAGGGCAAGCCGACCTGTCTTCTCCAACTTCGTAGATAGCCACAATACATTGTGTCCAAATTCCAGATCAAAAATCCTGCCGCGACTGATCCGAGTCCAACGGGTATCATCCTCCACATTCTTTCCAGCGTGACCGTGTCTCGAGTGTCGCGTCGTTGCTTCTCAGCGGCGCTGAGCGAGCTCTTCAAAGTCCGGCGTCCTGGTCGCAATGTTGTTTCCATCGTATAGAGGCTTCGACCAAAGACAACCGCTGTCAGTAGCGCAAACATGTTCTGATGAAAGACCGGATCTCCAAGGTAATGATAGTACCCTGTTACAGACATCGCTATGCTGGTGGTTATGGCAGCCAGTACGACCTTGGCTTTAGGAGAGCGTCCATGCTCAAATGTGGCGAAGAATAGTATGCAAGCAGTGTAGATCATGGATAGCTCATCGAGGAGTTGCATGGGATATTTCAGCGTCGAGTGAAATACGAATGAACCAAATCCAATCATCAGATACGAAATGTATGCGTATAGGAAGACACGGTCATGATTGTTCTGGATACAATTGGCTATGCCAACACAGGCGAGGTAAACGAACCATAGATTTGTGATGGAATTCACGATCTCAGCACTATATTGTGTTGCGTAATAATCCTGCTATTGTCAGAATTGCCTTTCCAGTTTCCAACGCTGTTCGTACCTCTTCACACCAATTGATGGTCGATGTCACAGGCGACCAGTACCCATTGCCGGAAGGTGGATATGGGACGGATGGAAGCCACGACAGCATGTGTTCTTCCCTGGTGAGTCCAATGTGCAGTGAGAATGTCCTCGTTGGCTCTGTACTGTTTGCTGTCAGAAAGCCATGAGAGCCAGAGTTGACTCAGCAAAGTTCAAGTTTAGATCTCCTGTGCGATACAGCCAAACCGAGATAGGAAAGCCGAGCCGCGCAATAGCAACACTGACCAAAAGGTCATTCTCTGAGCCTGAGCAGTCGTCATTGCCTGTGCTTTTGCTGCTCGATCGTGACATTCTTGCACTGTTTACAAACGTCCGCTCTCTTTGTACTTTTAGATGCGTCCTCCCTTGATTTTGAGGCATTCCCTTCAAAAGTCGGTCTGTCGATCCACACCTGCATTTGCACCTGCGTCCCGCACCTTGCGGACAGTCCATACTGGTCATCCCACTCATTCCTGCCTTCGCTCGTTCCCTCCTGCATCGCGGACATATAACAATACAATCCGGCTTCACAGGGTTTCTGCCCTTTCAAAAGCAAAGACCTTTAACCAATCAACCATGTGTCGGTTCGCTCACAACACAGCTGGCAGCATCAACACTCAAGGAAGGGTGGTGCTGCCTACCAATGTTGTTCCTCGACACTACGATGTTACCCTCGAACCGGACTTTGACAAGTTCACCTTCGAGGGTACAGTAATTATCGACCTTGATGTCGCTCAAGACAGTTCGTCCATTTCCTTGAACACTAACGAAATCGAAATTCACACCACTACTGTCCATGCTGATGGCGCCCTCGTTACGTCCTCCCCGAAGATCTCCTACGATGCGGATACACAGACTAGCACCATCGACCTCGATCACCAGCTCAAGAAGGGTCAAAGAGTGCAGCTCAAGCACACATACACTGGTCAGCTCAATGACAACATGGCTGGCTTCTACAGGTCCAAGACAAAGTCTGGTCAGTTTCTGGCAGTCTCGCAGTTCGAGGCAACAGATGCTCGTAGGGCTCTACCATGTTTCGATGAGCCAGCTCTTAAAGCTGAATTTACTGCTACTCTTATTGCAGACGAGAAGATGACTTGTCTATCAAACATGGATGTTGCCTCCACCACCACCATCGACTCGAAGATCACAAATGGCAAGCGAAAGGCCGTGAAGTTCAATAGATCACCTAAGATGTCTACGTACCTACTCGCCTTCGTGGTCGGTGAGCTCAAGTCAATCGCTACTGATAAGTTCCGACTTCCGATCAAGGTATGGATGACACCTGATCAGAAAGATACAGATGGACAATTCTCTTTGGAAGTGGCTGCAAAGACGCTTGCCTTCTACGAGAAAGCTTTCCAAGCTCCATACCCACTGCCTAAGATGGACATGGTAGCCATTCCTGATTTCGCTGCTGGGGCTATGGAGAACTGGGGCCTGGTGACTTATCGTGTCGTTGATTTGTTGTTCGATCAAAAGACTGCAGGAGCTGCTACCAAAGAAAGAGTGGCCGAGGTCGTTCAGCACGAGCTTGCTCATCAATGGTTCGGCAACCTTGTTACCATGGACTTCTGGGACGGTCTGTGGCTCAATGAAGGATTCGCCACCTGGATGAGCTGGTATAGCTGCAATGAGTTCTATCCTGAGTGGAAGGTCTGGGAGACTTTCGTCATCGACACTCTGCAGGGTGCTCTCGGTCTTGACGGTCTTCGAAGTTCTCATCCAATCGAGGTTCCTGTTCATCGCGCCGAAGACATCAATCAGATCTTCGATAGTATCTCTTACTCCAAAGGTTCTGCCGTCCTTCGCATGATCTCGAAATACATTGGTGAAGATGTTTTCATAGATGGTGTGAGAAGGTACATCAAGAAACATGCTTGGGGTAATACCCAAACTGGTGACTTGTGGGCTGCCCTCAGCGAAGCTAGTGGGAAGGACGTTTCAACGGTCATGGACATCTGGACAAAGAAGATTGGCTATCCTGTCGTTTCAGTGACGGAGAACGAGAAAGACGGCAGCATCACTGTAAAACAGAACAGATTCCTTCGAACAGGTGATGTCAAACCAGAAGAGGATGAAACTCTCTACCCGGTCATCCTTGGTCTCAGAACCAAGGACGGTGTCGATGAAAGCCTGATTCTCAGAGAACGAGAGCAAACATTCAAGGTTGCTGGCGGATTGGACTTCTACAAACTCAATGCGGACCATTCGGCTCTCTTCAGGACTAGCTATTCTCCTGAGCGCCTCGTCAAGTTGGGAGAGGCTGCAAAGAAGGGACTCCTCACCGTCGAAGATCGTGCCGGTATGATTGCAGACGCAGGTGCGCTTGCAGCTAGCGGATATAGCAAGACTTCCGGCATCCTCAGTCTGATCGAGAGCTTCAACACTGAAGATCAGTTTGTAGTATGGAACGAGATCCTGTCTAGGATCAGCTCTGTACGTAACACATGGATGTTTGAGGATGAAGCAGTACGAGATGGCCTCAAGGCATTCCAAAGACAGCTTGTATCAAAGAAGGCTCACGAGCTTGGCTGGGAGTTCAGCGAGAACGAAGATCACATCATGGCACAATACAAGGCTCTAATGTTTGGATCCGCTGGCCTTGCTGGTGACGAGAAAGTCCTCAAGGCAGCCAAAGATATGTTCGCCAAGTACGCTTCTGGCGACCATGATGCTATACACCCTAATATCAGAGCCTCTGTGTTGGCTATGGCGGTCAGAGACGGTGGCGAGAAGGAATGGGAGGCTGTTCGCGCTCGTGCTCATGAAGCACCTACTGCAGACGAGCGCAACTCGTGTCTACGAACACTAGGACGTACACAGAAGCCCGAATTAATACAGCGGACCCTGGAAATTGCTCTCTCCGGAGAGGTTAAGACGCAAGACATCTATATGCCTATCGGTGGCTTAGGTACCACCCCAGAGGGCATCGAGAAGCGATATGACTGGATGCGAACCAATTGGAGTACATTAGTTGAGAAGCTACCTCCCAGCATGACTATGCTGAGTAGTGTGGTGGCAATTTGTGTCAACGGCTTTACCTCTGAGAAACAACTCAAAGATGTGCAAGAGTTCTTCAGCGACAAGGACAAGAAGGGCTACGACAGAAGTCTCGAGCAGAGTCAAGATTCTATTCGCTCCAAGATCGGCCAACTCAATCGTGACAAGTCCGACGTTGAGCAATTTTTGAAAGATAAGGGCTACTATGGTGGTGCGCAGGGGAAATTATGATTGAGAACGTGTCGTGAGACGCCAGATGATAGGTCTCAACACATGAGATGTGTGGCTTCCTGTTTGACATTAGGGACACAACCAGCTCCAAGCATGTGCGCGAACACCTAGGTTGCTCTTCATACACTGACACCTGCTGCATAAGATATAAATCTTCCTCGTCCGTGCTCCATGTAGTAGAACCTTGCGGATCCATCCGTGCTGCCAGTAGTGGTGAGACGCAGGTGGTAAGACAATCTTACATGAGTGTGCTAAGTACCTAAATACCTCTTCAAGTTCTTATCCTCCCTTGCCGATCTAAACCCGAAGCGGAATGACCCTTGGTCAGAAAGCTTATCTTTCTCGCTTGGCTCATTGACCTCATTGAACTACCCAAGCCATGCATAGGACTAGTGGTAACAGCCAGCTTCACGGAAATAGCTCAACAATATCACCTGTTCCGCTGTGCAGTGCGCATTGTGACACTGAACTGCGCGCATGTCCTAGAGGCAGTACGCATGTATAAATTGTCGCCAACCCAGCCCGGCTGATAAACACTGTTACGTCGTTCAAGTATCGTCATCAACCCAAAAATATAAGAACAGAACAAGTCACAACACAAGCAATGTCATCGCCAAGCTCAACTGGATCAGGGGAGAAGAGACGACTATCATGCCAGGCCGACAGCCAACATTTCGAGAGAAAGCTCTCGCGACGCTTCTCTCTCACCGATGAGGTAGGGTACACCCCCTCCTGGGCGAAACGAGGACTACTAACACCAACAGCTCCTATCCGGTCTCCAAGAACAACCACAATCAGCACTACTATGCATGCCTCGGGAAGTTCAAATGCTAGTCTACGAATCACTCGAGCACGCCCCCTCCCAGGTCGCCTTGGCCCTAACCTGCAAGCACATGGCCCAACTAGCAGGCGACGTCAACCTCACCCGGACACACATCTCCCCCAAATACGCAGGCCTACTCCCCAAAGACTGCTTCGACGTCCCCGATCTTATGAAGCAGCTCGTCGCATGGGCACCAAACAACCTCCGACTCTGCGACCACTGCTTGACGATGCGCCCGTGCGACGCTGCTTACTGGCGGGAGATCGAGGAGTGTGATGGGAGCAGTTATTGGATTCAAAAGGTGGGGTGGTCTTTTCACGATGCGAGCTGGCATAAGCAGATGCATAATATTTGTCCGGCGTGTCATATCACGTGCACGTTGAGCGATTACGTTGATTGTGTGGGGTGTAGGGCTCTGGGGAGGTTGGGTGATATTGATTGGTCGAGGGTATCGGGTTCACATCGTCAGAGGACGGAAGAAATGCTTAGGGCTGGCATATTTGCGACTTGAACTATAGGGGCAGGGTAATATCAGTATGCCGAGTCGATGAGCGTTTTAGGTCTGCGAGTGTAGATCTGGGTGGGAGCGAAGCTGAAAGCAGTGGTCGTTGAAAGCGTTGCATTAGAAGTGAGGGCTGTGGATGTACGGATTAGATGTCCTCGGACAGTCTTGGTTGGTAGATGAAGGTCTTTTGGTCCTCCTGGCTGGCTGGATAGAAAGAGTATAAAGATATACGAAGATTAGATGATACAGCCATGAATGAAGAGACAGTTATTGAATTTTGCCGATATGGCGCCGAGATTTACTCCTCTCGACCAGTCATTTGCACGTTTCAGTTAGTCGGCGATTGTATTCCTTTTCAAGCCTCGGCTCCAGATAAACGAGGCGCGAGCATGACATCTTTGTCAGTAAATGCGTGCTCCGACTCGAAAACCGAATCAATTTGTACTCGTGCTCTCATCTCAATGCCTTACGCCAAACCACCCTAGCATTTACACTTCTCTTCACTCCCCAGCAAATCCTATACACTGCAAACATGACAGAAGCTCTGTGCGGACCGTCGAACGCCTTGTCGTCGTTTCAGAAACACACCCAGGTCGATCGAACACTACAGCAGGATCGTCTGAGAGGTCCTAGTCACTCTCCTGCTCAAGGGTTTCGCTCTTTCGATCCCCGAGCAGGAAGTCTCGATGCAGAATTCGCTGCTTTTGAGAATGCGCCGACCAATCCTTTCCAGCTGGAACAACCACAATGGCAACACAACACGGCACAGCAATTCTCAGCACAACCAGCCTCGAACTGGGCCAGCGACTTTCAGAACCTGCGAATCTCAAACTCACCTATACCTGTCTCCCAGTTCCGTACCGAGGCTCCGTTGATGAGGACGACACCAGGTGGATGGCAGCAAGAGTTTATGCGACAGAGGCCGGGCATGAGTTCTGTCGCGCAACAGAAGCAGTCAGAGATCACATCACAGACACCGGATCAGTCCTATTTGCCGTTCTTGGGAGGTTCTACGTATATGCCCCATCAGTCACTACAGAATAAGCAGAGCGCATTTAGTGGTGTGCAAGCTCAAGATCCACAGTTCAATGAAGAAGATTTCGAGAAAGCCTTTCAGGATGCTTTTCAAGAGATGCGAGACTCCGAAGTGCAATCGACAATTGCAGAGACTCAAGCTACAATAGACGAGTCCTTACTTGACAACGAAGATACATTGGACTCTGTGATACACGAACCCTCCGTGGCTAAGATTGGCTCCGATGCAATACAATATACCGCTACAGAAAATCGTACTCAAGATCAAGACAGCCGCGACGCGAGTGACCTTGCAAGAGTCGCTGGCCAACTAGTACAAAACATCTCTCACGAAACGGACGAGAAGTTCAGAAATTCTCAGTTTCTAGACCTCATGAGGCGAATACGAGACAGAGAAGTCGAGGTACGCAACAACAACTTTGAGCCTGCTCAAGACGCATATTCAACCTCGAAAACAGAAGCACCACAGCTACAGCCAGAAGACCAGCACAGCTTCCAATTTCCGAACATGAACAACGTCTACCATCCAGACGAGACAATAGACATGACAGTAGACGACAACTTCACATATCAACCCCACAACCAGATATCAGATCTACATCCAGGTGGGCCCTTCTATCCCGAACAATCCCCAAACCCCCGTTATGCCCAGATGATGAGCGGTGCAGTTGACTCTTCTCTGTCAACAGATGATGCTGGTAATAGATACGCGCAGGCGTGACTCGATTCCGTTCTCGAGGCCAGTCAACCTCAGGGCTTCGAGAACCTGAATCTGACTCAGGTCCATCCAGGCACGGACTATACTCGAGGAATTCTACAGGAAGCTGAGACGAAAAGGTGGTTGCCTTGGCCTGAAGCACATACCGCCGATGTTGGGCAGCAGCATGTCTTGACAAGTGAAGAGATGAAAGCTGCTAGGGAAAAGTCGCGAATGAGCATGAGTTCGGAAACAGAAGCTGCGGAGTGTTGGAGGAGTGCAGTCAATTTGCCTAAGCCAACAGTTGCTTATTCGAGCAAGAGCTTTCTCCGTATGGAGATGGAGCGAGCGGGTGTTGTGTAAAGGAAGAGTATCCTGACTTTCAGATGGATGTAGAGCTTCCCGATAACACTATTAAGTGGTAGAAATACGATTTGGGGAGGTGAGCGATTCCTATGAACATGGCTTGGTTCAGCACATTTGAGAGTTGCTTTCTTTTACTTACTGGATTATCCTAGCTAACAACATGAGGCACTGAACCCTCACAGAGTCCATACGAGCAAAGCACAAGAAGCACAGGTACCATATTACAACAAATTTGCCAAATTTTCAGCCAGCAGTCAGATTTACATCTTACGACATTGAATTGGTTTCTGCATCGAAACAAGTATGACTGATAAGTGAGGTTACGTCTCCTCAGTAATCGAACATGTCTTTGTGCCGAACAGAACAAACTCATTATAATTTGAGTAAATTTTCGAACCTAATGTATCGAGTCGCGTTTTCATTCTGGCTCATCGTATCTACATTTCTTGAACATACCAGCAGCATCAGTTTCTTTTTAGAGGCTCACAGTGTCTTACTCAATCTCATCCTTACCATCTCCATTGTCTCCTTCTTCATTTTCTGCCACCGCAAGGGTCTCCTCCTGTTCCTCGTCCTCATCCTCATCCACGTCCTGCTCCTCTACCTCACCCATCGTCCCCTCGTCATGCTCTTTCTCATCGTCCTCCAATAACCTATCCAAACGTCCCTCCTTTTTCAACTTCGCCTTCATCTTCTTAAGCCTCGAATTAATTGCAACCTGCGAGATTCTATCTTCTTCAGCTACATTATCCTGCGAAGGCAACAAACTCATGATATCGCTCGCTGACCATTGGTGCTGGATAAAATGGTGTAGGTTCTCAGCTATGAGATGGTTTGGATAGTATTGGCAGAGTTCGGTGGGGGTAAAGTCTGCGGGGAAAGGGGCGTCGGGAGGTGGGTGGTTAGAGAAGAGTTTTTGTTTACTGGATGGTGGGTAGGTGAGGATTGTCATTCTTCGACCGATTAGGGATGGAGGTAGTGTGATGGAGGATGAGCCGGTATTATTTTGGGTGAGGGATGGTGTTATTGTTGTGCTCGCGGTGGTCGAGAGGCTCCTTGTTGAGCTTGGGGCGTGACTTCTCGTCTTGGTGGGTGATGTGCTAAGCTGTTTGTTTAAGTCTTGTCCTGATTTCTTTGTTGCTGTTAATGTACTACCTTGTGCTTTGGACTTGCCCTTAGCGCTACGAGCTCTTTTCTTGGGACGCGTAGATGGTGGACCGAGCATGTAGTGGTCTTCTTCGGACTCTTCATCGGACACGTCAGGTGGTGGAGAATCTTTTGAAGCCAGCTTGAAGGCGGCTGCGAGTACGTCTTCTCGAGTGACAGTACGAGTTGTTTCTGGTGCCTGGCTGTCATTTTTCGATGATTCGGGACTTTCTTTATCTATAGTATTGGTAGCGCTTGTGGTTGGAGACATTACCGTCTCGCCAGTACCGGCGGTTTCCTTGCCGCTGTTGGAAGGAGATGCCAATTTTCGTTTCTTGGACCTGGTTGCATCGACGTTTGAGACAGGACCGTCTCCGTGGTCGTCCAGATCAAACTCTGGCGGTGCTGGCCGCTTTTTGTCCTTTTTGTCATTGATGTGTGTCCACATTGCTGCTGATCTTTCGGTGATGGTATGGCTAGCAATATTGAAATCTCTGGTGTGAATGCTGAGGAGATTAAGAAAGCGAAGAGCAAGATTTGTTCCATGATCAAAAGGACCGTGTAGTCCTATGACAGTGAAGGTAACGCGAACAATGAGCCACGCTTGCACAATGAAATATGGAGGTCGCAGTCACAATGCCTTGTTGTTGAAGTGAGGCCTTTACCTTTCACTTGAAATTCTATTTCTGCTCGTTAAGACTTTTCCTAGACGAAACAAAGACCGATTTTGCTATCATTTTTGGTAACTCGAGCCTGTCGAAATCTTGTCTCCATATCACGAGTTGAATACCATTGAATATGGCTGTGAGGTATCCGTACCAATTCTGACTTTCAAAATGCTGCTCTTAACTTGCCACGGATCTGTGGCCAAAAACATGGAAAGCACCATGTAGACGCTTCGTCACTGGGCGTGAGATTGACGTCGTCGTTTGTTGTGCAGAGACGACTGTCTTGCGTGGACAGTGGTGACAGTGGCTGTAAGCTGTCGCGTAATCAATTTCACTTGTCACTTGTGAAGAGCAAACGGCGCTGATGACGACGATGTATTTTAAATACCGTTCTTTGACCTGGCAGTTTCCCTTTGCCTAAAAATTGCCCCAGTGTCTTCCAGTGAAGTCTGCCGAAGAGGAAATCAACTCATATACATAACATACATCGAGCAATTCGAAGACGTCTTAGAAGTATCTGGACAAACCTTGGGTACATACTCCGTCCAATATTTCTGTGGGGCCATATTGACTGTGCTCAGAAGCCCGATATGACTCGTAACGGTGAGAACCCGAAGCGCAACAATCGAGGAAAATCCAGCGCAAGTGAGGCATCGAAAGACACTGTGACGCAGCTTGTACTTTGGCACCAAGAAGAAGCCAATAGAGCGATATCTCAGAATAGTTCCAGCAGTGTATCGAATCCCCATACTTCAAGATCGCGCCCGGACAAGCGTGATACATCGAAATCTCGCCACGATGATGCAGGTAGTCCACCTCATTGATTGGCATTAAGTATGGAAATCCATGAGCACTCTGCTTGCTCTGTGTCTTATCCGCAAATTAGCAATTTTGGCTGAAGGAAGACAGAGCTAACGTTCATCAAAACTCGGAAGCAATGATATCTGATTTATTTGTAAGCTCAATTATTTCCGCTGATAAACACAACTTGTACTGCAGCAAACCTGAAAGACAATCAGTCATATACTCTGACAGAGAACAGAGACTTACGCAGCTGACGCAGCTAACATCTCGGTCTTCTTCTCACCTGTAAAGAGACTGACAAGTAGGCAGAAAATGACAGTGAACAGAGACATAAATCCCAACCGTAATTTGATGTTCTTCTCTGGAATGCCGCTGAGCACCACGATGGAGACGATTGGGGAAAGTGCAGCAGCGCTGATTGCGAGTGACGATACAATTCGGAGAACCGGTTGGCGACCATACACAGCGGTTTTACCGAAGGCCGTGCCTGGGAGACCCTTCTTCTAGATCATATGAGCTATCCCTATCCACAACAAGGAAATAGAACTCTACCTTTGCAAATCTATATCCTCCCTTGTCGTTGTACCATCCCAGAGCCTTTTCAAACAGCCAGGAAGAGATTGGGTCCGCATGTTCTCGTGCGCAAACTGCTACCATATCTTCGAGTGGTGTAGTGTCCCATATGTTGGCGTCCGCACTTGCGAGGCCCAGATGCTTCTCGTCGTCTGTATCACTCATGTAAAAACGCCTAAATTGGACATCGGCTGGGCTTGGACATGCCAATGTTGATAGCTGACTATCCGCAAGAAGTGCTGCATCTGTGCGTATTCAGTACGCGACGAGATATCGTTCTCAGATCTTAACATACCATACTCTTTTAGCACTTCCCGCATTCGAAGGATCATCTGCCATTGCAAGCCGCTGAACGCACCTGCATCAGTCCAGCCTTCCGAAAGACACCTGAAACTATGGAAGTAGTGCTGCTTGCAAGAGTCGGAGCTGTCTCTGTCGATTTTTGCTTGTTGATTCAACCTCTGCTCCAGCAGAGCCAATTCAGCTTGCAAGTACAAAATATTGAGATAATGCAAGTGACCAAAACGTTTGGAAATCGCGGTAATGGGTAAGCGTGCCATCATATCCGCAATCTCTTTGTATCCGCCTGCTGCTGGATGTGGTCAATTCGGTCAATCGGTTGGTCATTTTGTCCTTGTGATACATTTTGGCTCATGGTAGCGCCAGAGAGGGATTCCTCGTCTGCCATAGCTAGACTATCCTAAAACTAGCCCCTGACACTTTGAGACAGCTGGAGGCAGAGACCAGTGATCTGAGAAGCAAGGTGAGAACCATATCTGGATCTTGTCTTCTATGTCTTGGGATGCTGGAAGCGTGTTACACAAGAATTGAATGGTGTCACTGTGCTGCCTCATCGAAGCTTCCCTGACACTGTTTCTTCATCTTATCAGAAGAAAAACATCTTGGCCAGTCCAAACACGACGGATTATGCTCGTCGTCGACATTGTTGGAGGTCCTAGGTTGGTGCCACACAATATGTTTGCTGTTAGCGATGTTTTGCTTGTCTAGACAAGCACAACAGCACACACAATCGTGGGTCTGACGAAGTCTTCGTGACAGTGAGATGATTGGTGTACCTCGAGCACATGACCGTATGCTACGTAGTTAAGGAAGCACTTATCTCGTAGTTTCCCTCGCGGAGCGATGAGCTGGGCTTGGGCAAGCGCGTTCGCACCAGAGAAGTAAAGCCTTCAAAGCCTAATTGGTTAGGCATCCTTCGCGGCTAATCGCGCCTGCAATAATGGATACACGTTTGGACCAGCGAGGTAACTACCACCTCGATATAATGCAATAGCATAGTCGTATTTACGGACGACGTGCTTTGCTACCCTCGTATCGTGAAAAGCGAGGTTGTAACGCCAGCAAAGGCTTTAGAGGTGCGGCACATAGTGCGATCTGAGCGATGCAACGGCTTTACCGGTAGCCCTCCCAGACTTGGTGTAAGGACGATCGATCGTCAGATTGTTAGACAGCGGCAGCAAAGATGTCTTCGATGCGTGGTCTTGTCCAGTTTATAGCCGACCTGAGGAATGCTCGAGCTCGAGACCTGGAGGAGAAGCGCATCAATAAGGAACTCGCAAACATTCGCCAGAAGTTCAAGGGAGAGAAGCTGGATGGCTACCAGAAGAAGAAATATGTCTGCAAGTTGCTGTACATTTACATACAGGGTTACGATGTCGATTTTGGTCATCTGGAGGCTGTCAACCTGATCTCGGCACAAAAATACTCTGAGAAGCAAATCGGCTACCTCGCAGTTACCCTCTTCCTTCACGAGCACCATGACCTCCTCCACCTCGTCGTAAACAGCATACGGAAAGACCTTCTCGATCACAATGAGATCAACAACTGCTTGGCCCTACATGCTGTGGCCAACGTTGGTGGGCGCGAGATGGGGGAAGCACTGAGTGCGGATGTCCACAGGCTCCTCATCTCACCCACCTCGAAAGCATTCGTGAAGAAGAAGGCCGCTTTGACAATGTTAAGATTGTACAGAAAATACCCTGGCATCATGCAACAAGAGTGGGCCGAGCGGATAATAGCCCTGATGGATGACCCAGATATTGGTGTTGTGCTCTCAGTCACCTCGTTAATTCTGGCTCTTGTACAGGATAGTCCGGATGCTTACAAGGGAAGCTACGTGAAGGCAGCCCAACGCTTGAGGAAGATAGTCGTCGACAACGATGTATCCCCAGATTACCTCTACTACAAGGTTCCTTGTCCCTGGCTGCAGGTGAAGTTCTTGAAGCTGCTACAGTTCTACCCTCCCTCTGATGATTCTCACGTCAGGGACATCATCAGAGAAACTTTACAGGCTATACTATCCATACCTACTGACATCCCTAAGAATGTCCAGCAGAACAACGCCCAGAACGCAATCCTCTTCGAAGCAATCAACCTCCTAATTCACATGAGCACGGAACAGAGTCTCATGGTTCAGATATCGCAAAAGTTGGGCAAGTTTATTCAGTCCCGAGAGACCAACGTCAGATACCTGGGCCTTGATGCAATGACCCATTTCGCAGCCCGAGCAGAGACGCTTGATCCCATCAAACGGCACCAGAACATTATTATTGGCTCATTGAAAGATCGCGATATCAGTGTCAGGAGAAAAGGTCTGGATCTACTATACAGCATGTGCGATACCAGCAATGCTCAGCCCATTGTCAATGAGCTGCTCAAATACCTACAAAGTGCCGACTTTTCCTTACGAGAGGAGATGGTACTGAAGATCGCTATCCTCACTGAGAAGTATGCTACAGATGCCCAGTGGTATATTGATATCTCATTGCGGCTCCTAGCCATGGCTGGCGATCATGTCAGTGATGAGGTTTGGCAACGGGTCATACAGATTGTGACGAATAATGAGGAGCTTCAGGCATATGCTGCTCAAAACATGCTCGACTATATCAAGACCGAAAATTGCCACGACTCGCTCGTCAAAATCGGGGCCTACGTGCTGGGTGAATTCGGTCACCTTATTGCAGACACCAAGGGCTGCAGTCCGATCGAACAGTTGATGGCTCTGCAAGCCAAAATGATCACATCTCCTGACACCACTCGTGCTCTCATACTGTCGACTTTCATCAAGTATGTCAATCTGTTCCCCGAGATCAAGCCTCAACTCCTCCAGATGTTCCGCTTCTACAGCTATTCCCCAGACTCCGAGCTACAACAAAGAGCCTGCGAATACCTTACCCTAGCCACTTTGCCTACAGACGATCTGCTTCGTACTGTCTGCGATGAAATGCCGGCATTTTCAGAAAGAACCTCAATCCTCCTGCAGCGACTACATAAGAAGAGCGCTGGCACGAGTGAAAGAAGGACCTGGCTTGTTGGTGGCAAAGACGCCAATAACGACCGACAGGAAGCACTGATGAGTCAGCAGACGGGCCTGAAAAGGACTTTCACGACAATCGTTAACGGTACCAGCCCAGGTGCCAATGGCAGTGCTCATTCGGTGGAAGCATCAACTGCGACGAACGGCTCTTCGTCCAAGGATTTGGAAGGCCTCGACTTGCTGTCAGGACCCTCAGAAACACCATCGAAACCACTCAACCTAGCATCCGCTGCACATTTGTCACCAGATTGGGAACTTGGATTCAACGCACTTTACTTTCGAGACGAGGGTGTCCTCTTTGAAGACTCTCAGATCCAGGTCGGTATTCGTCAGGAATACCGCGGCCATATGGGCGTGGTTAAGCTCTACTTCACGAACAAAGCCTCTTTTCCTATTGGCTCCTTCACCACAACCCTGGACAATTTATCGTCCTCGGCTCTCAAAGTAGACACAAAATCTCTGCCCGATTCAAACATAGGCGCACAAGCGCAGGCACAGTCAACTATAGTCTGCACCGCACTTTCACCTTTTGAATCATCACCCACGATCCGTATATCCTATCTTGCAGGCGCATTACAAGGCTATACGTTACGTCTGCCTGTCCTTGTTCACAGGTATATGGACCCATCCTCCTTGTCAGCGGAGGACTTTTTCAAACGTTGGCGGCAAATTGGTGCAGGCACCATGGAGGCTCAGTCCACTTTTGGACTCAAAGATTCAAGTGCCAGTCTTAATGATAGTATCACAAAATCCATCGTGGAAGATTTCAGGTGGAAAGTTCTAGATAATGTTGATCCTAATCCAGCGAATGTGGTGGGTTGTGCTGTCTTCCAGATGGAGAAAGGGAAGACTGGCTGCCTTATGAGGCTTGAACCGAACAAAGAACAAAAAGTGAGTGGGCCTTCCTTCCTAGTGGTACCTCGTGCTAACAATTGACCTCAGATGTATCGCTTGACTGTGCGAGCGACTCAGGACACGATATCTGCCATTCTCGTTAGGGCGATGCAGGAAAAGCTATCCTTAGCATCATGAATTAAAAGGCTTTTCAACTGTCAAGTCTGCGTTACGTGCACTTGCTTACAGATTCTAGTCTTTGCGGGGGCTAAGGATACTCATTTGCTCCAGCGGTGCTTCCTAAGAATCTGATTCGAACTTCTGATTCGCTCACGCCATTTAATCGGGATGCGTTGTAACACATAGTGACTAACAAAAATGCTGGACTCGAGGTTCTAGGTATGCAGAGCGCTCAAGTTCTAACGGCGACCCACCCTGGTATATTTCCACAGCCAAAACGCAACACTTCCAACAGCTCCTATACCAACAACATTGAACATCGCATCCAAGACTTTTCCTTGCTTCCGTGCGTTCTTGATAACTTCACTATACCGCTCATTATCGAAACTCACCCTCGTATACTGCGTCTTCCACCCCAAACCAGGCAGCCACTTATGCAGCGTCTCCTCAATATACTTCCTCAACTTATACCGCCTACTAACAACACCACTCCGCATCTCCGCGTAATTACCCAGCGCCAGATTCGCGATCGCATGTGCATCCGGCGTGCGCACATGCGTGTACTCCCTAAGTGCAGCAGCAAGACAATGCTCAGGATCATGCCAGTCAATCTGCTCGTCGAGATGCGCCTGCGCCGAGAATCCCGCTTCCTGCCGCGATTGTGCGTCCTTGGCGCTGTCGATGGTCTCGAAGAGGACGCGGACTGATTCGAGGCCGGCGTTCATTCCTTGCCCGTAGAAGGGGACCATGGCGTTTGCGGCATCGCCGAGGATGACGACGGAGGAGGAGAAGTGGTGGGGAGTGCATTTGATGTTTATTAGGGGGAGGTGTGGGTTGCTGCGGAATTGTCGGAGGAGTTCTTGGGGTGGAATGAATGTTGTTACGCCTGGGAAGAGGTCGTCGAAGGTTTTGAGGAATGTGTCGTCGTTGGCGGTCTCGAGTCGGGAAAATAGGGATGTTGTGCCAAAGAGGGTGCAGACGAAGTTGCCGCCTTGGGAGGGGAGGGCGATGAACATGTGGGAGCCGGCTGGCCATATGTGTAGATGGTGAGGGGAGATTTGGAAACCGTCTGAATAGTTTGAGTTGGGGTTTGGGAGCATGGTAAATTCTGACCAGAGACAGTCGATGTATTCTTGTGAGAAGTCTACACGGGAGAACTTCATCATGTGGTATCGTACTGCAGAGTGAGCACCATCAGCTCCGATCATGAGGTCGAATCCGACTTCGTACTCTGGGGCGCGTTTGCCAGGCGCTGGACGACCAGATGTAAGGTCTTCGAACCACGCTTTCTTTGCTCGGAAGTCGCCTCCAGTCATTTTCTGCTGGAAGAACAACTTGACATTTGGCATTGTGGCGAGCTTGTCGAGGAGGCGTCGGTTGAGCTCATTGCGGTCTATTGACCTTTGGAAGCGGCCATGGACGTCGTAGGCTTGGGCTTCTTCCTTGAGAGCTCCGGCGATGGCCTTGGTGTGTATCATGCGCCCGTACATGGGAATAGTGGTCTCGAATATTTCCTCGAGCATCGGCTCGTACCCGGCCGAGCGAAGTGCATTGATGCCTCGTTCCGAAAGTGCCAAGTTGATGGATTTTGTGAAATTCAGTGGCGTCACACCCGTATCTCTCAAGTCTAGCAAAAGTCATTGTCAGAAGAGCCAAGGATAACATGGACGGGGTTTCACCGTCACGGATATAGACCTACCTGCCCTCAAGTCATATACTTCAACTTCGTCGCCTCTATTGGCCGCATATAATGCAGCCAATGATCCTACAGGTCCTGCACCAACCACCACTGTCTTCCGCCAACTCCTAGGTCGTCCCATCTTGTATCGTTGTTCTACCTCCACGCGCGTTCGTTACAGGACAGCACAATGTAGCTCGAGTAATGCGTCTAACGATAATGGTGATGCTTCAATAAAGCTCACAGTCCAGCTTGGCCGCAGAATGGGCTGGAAGGACAGTCTGGGTTATGATTGACGCCATAGATCTGGATGGAGTGACCGTGACGATCGTACTTGCCCGTTCGTACGCGCGTCTCCACTATTCTACACATCTGTTCAGGCATGCTTGCAAGTGAATGCACATCTAACTCTGAGACAGTTGTGTACTACAGCATTTCACCTGTGAGTGTTAGCATTTATGACGTACGTGTGATTCAATCGGGGTTCTACTCTCGCGGCTTCACGTTTGCATAACTGACGATCGTTCGATTTTACAGTTGGCGAACACAGAATAAAGATGTAGGTGCACGACGCGTGAGAAATCGACAATTCACAGATCATGTTTGAACATTACTCATCATCGACTGTGTACTCGTCGCTTTACACCTTGGGTATCAATATTATATCTAGTGCTTTTCCTCGATAGTGCGTGGCTCAGGCGCGTAAGTATCGTCCTCAATCTCTTTGGCATCGGCGACGATCTTGCCTTCAGGAAGCATGTTGAGAGCATCTTCTTCTTTATCCAAGCTCCAGAACTGTAAGATGAAGAAGAAGCCACCAAGGAAGGCCACCACGGCAAAGACACCATAGTTCCAGATGAGCAAGGGGTCACCAGCAAGAGGCGTGAGAGCTTCGGCAATGGCAGCAGATATAGCATTGGTGAACAAGGCGATAGCTTGAATCATGGATCGCATACTGCGAGGCGCCTTTGAATAGGCGTACTCGAGAGAGGTGATCGATGCAAAGATCTCGGAGAAAGCAATAAGGACGTAGCAACCAGTCTGAATCCAGACATTAAGAGGAGCTGGGTTGATGGTACCATCATCGTTGTAGCAATCGTTGGCCTGGTATCCGCAAGGTGAAGTCTTGTAAATATAGTACTGAACAACAGCAGCCCAGACCATGGCAAGAGCTGCCAGCCAGAAACCAACCGTAATCTTCTTGATGGCAGTGAACTGAATGCCCATTCTTCGAAGTCCAGGATACAGGAACTGGTCGCAAATGGGGATGAAGATGATGAGAGCAAATGGATCCAGGTTGTTGACAACATCGTTCGGGACTCCATTGAGGGTCATAGTGGCCGCCTGTTGCGTGAAGTTGTTCGTGAGCTGGTTGTATGAGAGCCAGTAGAGTGGATACCAGGTGAATACAGCACAGGCGGCAAAACCACGTCTGACCTCATCAACGAAAGCATCGTCGAAAGTCATCCAGGCTGGCCGCTGAGTATAGGGAATGTTGGACGGCTTAGCCGATGCCCACATGGTGCCATCGTGCGTATTCTTCCAAAAGCGCAAGGGATTGACTGACCATCTTCCTCGCATGGCATAGAACAGGGTCCTGAAAGCCTTGCTCAGGACCGAGCCAGAAGGAGGCTTCTGTTGATAGCGCTTTCGGCCCCAAAACATTACAGCAGGAGTGGTTAGGAAGATGAGGGTCGGCAACAAGAAGGCCAGCCAGAAGCCGACATATTTCTCTGCGTAGACCATACCAATTTGACCAATCAATGCTCCGATGTTGATGAACAAGTAGAAGTAGTGATAGATTCTGCTCTGAGTGATCGTGGGGTCCACAATCACACTCTCCCCAGATGGAAGTGTCTTGACGACGATGGTGGTCAGTGGGATCTGCTCCACGATAAGGGGCGAGATGTTGGGCTTGAAGCCACCGGTACCCAGGCCCATTACAATCACACCAAGCATGAAGACACCAAAGCTGGCGCTGGTGTCTGTAATAACGCCGGGGACCGCAGAAACAACCAAGATGACGTGACCAACAATAGCGATCGCAATGGAGATGCAGATAGTTTTGTATCGCCCCCAATACTCGTCAGCAATGTAAGCGGAGAACAGAGGAACGCAATAGACCCAGAAGGTGTTGAAGGTGTTGATGCCGGCACCAGTCTTGGTACCCTGGCCCAGGGCTCCAGAAACACCCTGTATTGGTTAGGGTATAGCCAATGCTTGTGGAGGGGTCAAGACTTACCTGATCGCTTCCACCACCAGCCCCGGTGTTGTGGTTGGAGCCAGGTGGTCCTCCAACAGCAGGAGGAAGGGGGCGGGAAACAAAGTTGGAGTAGACTATCTGCGTTCCATAGTAGGAGAATCGTTCGCAAAGCTCGACAAATGCGACGGTGTAAACCGACCAAGGAATAGGAGCTGCCACTCGGCGAAGCGCACGAGGACCGTGAAGTTCATCTGCAGTGGGATATCGCTCGCCATGAGCAATGTCGTTAGCCATGGCTGTGGTTTGTTGCAGACCTTTCCCAGCAGTGACAGACGACCGACGACGGTCGTTGACAATGTCTTCTAGTGCTCCTGCTTGGAGGGTTTCGGGTGAGTCGACAGGCATGACGACAACCGGTAAGGAGTGATCAACAAAATGCTTGAAGGATGAGAACGTGAGATGGGAGATCCAAGATCGGTAGAGAACGACAATCGATGACTATATGAATCTTTCGAGCTTGTCAGACCTCGGAAAGGCGATATGAGCACCACTGGTCTCCGCCGTTCGAAGATTGTCTATCATTCGGTGCGTGGCATGCGACAGTGTAGGGTGTGATTCTGACATGAAGCAAGCGTGGCGATCGCGATAATGCTTGTTTGCGAGTGGCAAGGAAGATATCCACATACGATGATAAGTAACTAGTCCAATCAATAGGCCAATGAGGGAGGACGGTCTAGGAGGAGAAGCTCGAGATGAAGATACAAATGGTTAGAGCAGGTCGAGGGTGAAAGTATGATGAAGCACAAAGTTTGGAAAAACGAGTTCGTGTGGATCGTGCTTGCCCCACGTCACATTGCTTGAAATGCTGCAGGGTGATCGCGAACGAATGAAACGTGAAGCAATTTCAACGGTAAGGCCGGCCCAAGCTCTGATAAGCTTCTAGAAACGAGCCATCAGTCGCCTTGGCCTAGCTTGAGTCGAAGCTAGTGGGGAACACAATCACCAACACCACTGATTTTGCGTTTATGATGGCTGACCAGATATGGTGCAGTGCGATAACGAATGGACGAGGAGGTATTCAACCTTCGTGCAATTACGCGGCCTGCATCTGATTTGATGTGTTATTGGTTGGGTAAGAGCCGTACTGGAATGCAATGCCAATCTATGGTTGACGGATATGGTTGCTAATACTCGGGTGGCAATTGAAGACTTGCAATCCTCAGTTGTTGCTCGTGTTGGAATTGATCTTTACGGTCGGAGAGTGTATACCGCGGAACCATGCTTCGTTGAGAATGATTGCGCCGGCTGAGTAGAGCTATCTTGTTCGGAATATCGCAGATCTACACATTTGGAGAAATTCAGATGCAGTCACGACGCCCATCCTTTCCACAGAACAGAGTTACTCACAGGAGTCCTATCGAGACGTGGTCGTGAGATATTGCCCCAGTGTTTCGCTTCGTCTGGATGTGCAATAACCCGAATCGTCGTACCTGTAGCCAGATCAGGAAGGTAAGAATGTCTTCCAGTGGCTCCACCGGAAATGATCACGCTACCCCGCCGTTCCTTCTCTGAGTTCCGAATCGTCGGGCAGAGTGCTTGATCTTCGTCTATTCATCAAGTCCAGCCAAGCTGACAGCAACCAGTGTATCGCCGCGTTTCGAGTTTCAATCCTCGTGTGAGCATGCAGTGTAATGTTGCCATGTGGTGTCGAGAAACCACGTGTATCGATTCGCGACGTTAGCAAGTGCCTGCATCCAGCTGTCACACTTTGGTTGTGCTGACTAGTGGACCTCCTGACTTCAGTCGTTCAATTGCACCCACTTCTCCGTCTTCAATTTGTGTTACTCCAGAACTCAAAAGTCCTGCAGCCTTTCGTGCCTCCTTTTTGCTGAGATTCCAGAAAACCCACGCTCCCCATAGCTGAGCACAGCTGAACAAGACGTGCAGGATAGGTGTCACAACCTTGAAAGAGAGAGTCCATTTGTGCCATAAAGATCCGAAGAGCCAGAAGACAACGGTTGTCTCCAGCGTTGTGCCTACAATCTCCATGACAGCCACGGAAAAGAATAGACGGGACATCAAGCCATGGAAATGTCTTGCTCGCTTACTGTGTTCGTCCGATGGAGGTAAGAGCCGGTAAAGAATCATTGCTATGTGAGGCCAAAGTTCGGCGATGCAGTCAAATGCGCCCCTACAGGTAGGTGTGTCAGCAGCCATAACAACCAAGGACAGCGTGGAATGTACCAAACGAAGCACATGATGAACTCAATCACTGCGTCTTGCTCATGATCGAAGTTCAAGGAAATGGCAACTGCGCTCTGAGCAATCACAATCGCCCCCACATGATGCGCAGCACTAATAGGACTGACATTGACTCGATAGAAGAGTTCAAAAATGTACATGACCGTGAACAGTTGACTGCACACGATCATCACATCCCCCATCGTGGCTCTCGACCCGGGAGTGAACGGCGTATGTGGAGTGGCTCGGCCAAAGGCGATGCTAAGAAAAGGGTAAATTGCAGAGATCAAAAGAACGATTTTGCAAGTCCCAGCAACATGGTGATTGACCAGCGACCGGCGCTGATCCTCACTCAGTGCTTGATATCTGCCTCTGTATGATCTCGTGTTCATGAGGAACTTTTCAATGAAGTACAACCTGTAGGCAAAGACCAAGACAGTAATGATTGTCAATATCAGGCCAGAGAAGGGTGCCAGCTTCGAGATCGACTCGTCGACTAGTGCGTCTATATGCGGTCCATGATAGGTATGGTGGTGGTGATGTGTGCCATTGTCAGGTACTTCGATCATCGTATGGGAAGAGCCTTCCAAAGGCACTGACAGAATCCAAAATCGAAGGTGTGCAGTCTCAAAAAGTGATATTGTCGAGATGTGCTTATGAAGACTGAGAGCTATGTCGCAGCGAAAGAACGAGAGTGAGCTTGGGAAGCAAAGCGTGCCTCTATACTGAGGTAGAAGCAGTGAAGGAGAGTCGTGATAAGCGAGTGTGTAAGGATTCGTTGCAGGCACGGTCTAGCATTTCAAGATGCAAAGCACTGCGAATCCAGACCAAGCCATGAGAGACTTTGAGAACTAAATTGTCACCGAGCATCAAATGTGAATGCTAAGAGGTATATCCCAAAGTCAAACACCCGAACAGAGCATCGCGTTCTGTCACACAACCCCCTTCTGTAGTTGGATCCTTCGGTAGTGTAGAGCATAATCTACCAATATTGAAGCTGACGCGGCCATACAGTCTCGTTTTCTGCAGAAGCTCAGGGTCTCCAAGGACGATAGCATCAGGACTAGTCAGGCACACGGGTGTTTGTTATAAAGTGCTCTGAACGTGACCTTTCCCTCCACTTGATTGCCACAACTGGCTGGCTCGCTGCCAAGAGCGTCATGCTCGATAGATTACACATACAGCATACACGACCTCACGTCGACTTTGTACATAGCTTACACAAACCTTAACCTCGCTACGAGATTCTAGACCACATCCACGTGCAGACGTGTACCAGTATCAGTACCAGTAAAGAAATGCAGACTAGTAGTGGATTCATTTTAAGTTGAGGAAATTACCGTGACGAATCGCTCAGGGCTGAGCTTGATCATCAAGCTTTCCCCAGGGGTTCTTAGCAAATGCTTACTGCTCTTGGACCCTTCGTCGACGACCTCTCATTGTTAGCACGACGTGCGATTTTGAAGAGAGATCTTGAATTGCAGTATACACAGCTTGTTGCTCTAAAGCTGTTCTCCAAGTACATCGTCAGCATGCTTTTAGTGGCTGATGTGCCAACCAGTTCCAGTACCATCATAATCTTGTCTATCTACCTCGTTGCCTTGAGTTTGAAACCAGCCATCCGAATCCCATTCTATCATCAATCATGCCCACATTGCCTTGAACTTCACATCAAAAACACCTTGCAACTTCTGGAATGCTAGCAATACATCTGGAAGACCTTTGCCCTCTTCAACGTTCCATGCACGGAGTTCTTCGACCAATGTATCGTCATCACTAACATCCGATGTTCCATCGTTCTCATTCTCATCATCCTCATCCACTTCGTCATCCCAAGATTCTGCGACCTTGGCTTTCTTCGAAACAGTACGAGTCGACTTCTGTGGTTGCGTTTCGACTAGAGTATCCTTTGATGTTGTCGATGAGCCGTCTGACGTATCTTGAGCGATAGCGACATTGTCTTCCTGAACTTCTTCGTACACATCCATTCCACCTTTGACGTCCAACATGTCCATGTCGGATCCATCCTTCAATTTCATAAAGTTCAGTAAGCTAGTGACGATGGTGGCCAGTACTAGCGAGAAGTCGTTAAGGTGGAACCAGATGTCTGATCGACGAACACCGTTGGCTCGTTCCAATGTATGAACGTCTCCGTGCTTGAAGAAGTCGACAAGCCATGCATTGAGAGGAACTTCCGTGTCGTCGGGAAACACTTGCATGTAGGGTATTACTGCCTCTTCGAGGAAGACACCAGATCTCGTAGTGGAGCATAAGTCGTGAATGGAATTAAAGTCATCGCCTGCACCGGAAAGTGCAACGAAAGAAGATCGAACTGTCGTGGCAGGCAGAGAATGGATAGCACCACCCAGTTTCTGCTCAGTGTCTCCGAACTGCATTCCTGTGAGCGGCAGTTTGTTGTCAGCAATCTTGATATGCTGGTCCACAAAGGTCCTGACGTAGGTCCTGTAGACTTGCAGAGTCTGTTCGTTGTGGTCGTGCAGGATCTTCGCCGCCTTTGCAGGAAGTGGAGGGAGGAACACCATCGATGAGGAAGGCTTGACAACCTTCTCACGGTACTCAGCGTCTGCTCGGCGGCAAAGGATGCGCTTGAACAAATGAGCCATGACAAGCATAAGTGTCTCAAGGGTCTCTTGCTCTTTCTCTCGAACTCCAGAGCAGAGTTCGTTGAAATAGCCTTCTTTCAGAAGAGCGTGGAAAGCAAATGAAGAGTTCTCCGTGAAGTACAGATGGCTGACCAATCCAGCGAAGTTCAACGGCGCACCGTCACTACCCAGGAGCTCCTGTTGTCGCAGATATTCAATCGAGAAACGCAGATGGTGCATTGTCTGGCTTTTGAAGCTTTCCCCACCCATGTAGAGTCGAGGCTGGGATAACAACGAGTTGATAGCATCCACCGCATATTTGGAATTGTTGGATTCGTGCAACAAGGTGAACAGCCGAAGCACCAACGTTGTAGTGATTGGAAAATGCCCGTTAAGATCAGGAAGTCGTGAGCTAATGAGGCGACTGACCTTCTGTCGCGACACTCCGTGGAAAACGACGTTTCCAAGAAGATCGAAGCCTCGTCGACCAGCGCGACCTGCACATTGCCGGTAGTTGAGCGCAGTAAGGAAAACCGAGTCACCTGCGAAAATGACAGTCTTGCAAGGCATGTTGATACCCAAGGCAAGCGTGCCTGTCGCAACGACGACTCGAAGAAATCGTTTTCGGAACAGGATTTCCACGACCTGGCGATATTTTCTGTTCATACCAGCATGATGAACACCGATACCTCTGGCGAGTGCCTCAATCAGCCACTCCTGGACTTCACGCTTTCTGAGTTGCCCAGAGTACTTCTCTAGCTCGGATAATTGTGCTTTTGAGAGATCCGCGAAGTGGTAGCCATCGATTGGTGATTCAGGGTTGAAAGCATTCCATTTGTCATAGTCAGCAGCACCACCAACACGTTGCATATCAAGCTTCGACACCTTCTCGTCATCTCTCTCCCCTCCATCACCATCGTCATCGTTGCCTTTCTTCTTTGACTTCTTAGCAGTTGCTTTTGATCCTTTGGCTAGTAACTTCTCCTTCTGCGACTTCCACTCCTCCCATTGCTCAAGTTTCTTTTCCCACTTCGGGCCACTCTTTACTTGAGATATCTCGGCTTCCTTTAATTGACCCACAATAGCTTGGCATATTTGCTCGCATTGCGTGCGATCATAGTTGAATAGTATCGCCGGAAGAGCATCCCGCTCGTGTAATCTCGACAATAATGACAGAGTCGATCCAATAAAATCCTCTTCGTCCAGCACTTTCTTCTCAAGGCTAGAGTGGTCTTGTCGGGTAGCATAAAGATCTTCGCGGTTCTCGTTCACAAAGCTCTTCTCGAGCTCGTGGACTAGTTGCATGTAGGGTGAAGACATGTCCTCAATCCAATCTTTCAGCGTGGCCTTCAACTCGTGCTCCCACTTCAGAACGTCAACCTTGCGAGAGATGTTTGGCAAGATTTGCCGTGGATCGAGTTTGTTTGGTACCGGATAATCCTTGTTCTGAACTTTGATCATGGCTTGCCAGAGCAGGTAACAGTCACGAGGTTCGAGAGCAAGGTCCTCTGGTATACCACGACTTCTATCAACCAACGCAGCAACAGGATGGATAAAGTTCAAGCTAGGCAAACCTTCAAGGCCCAACTCATTCAGCAGAGTTCTACTGGAAAGACCGCCAAAGCTGAATTGTTTTGGGGGCACAAAGTAATACTTGCGAAGGTCAGAGTAGCGATAGGGATGTTGTACCATATTGAGCTTGTGACCCATAGCAGCTTGAGTGGAGGTTAGCCACTGACTGAATTCGCCCGGATTGCCAACCGTAGCACTGAGTGCGATAATAGGACAAGGTGCCATGAGAAGGAGTTGTTCCCATATCACACCGTCCTCTGCCTGGCCGATGGAATGTACTTCATCGAAGATGATACGCTTGACCCTATTTGACCAGGATCTAGCATTAGATGGTGCCAGTAGCATGATCTGGAGGATATGAGGAACCGTTACCAAGACTTGACACCCAGATGGGTTGTTGATTCGATAGTCTCTTGTGTGTATGGCCCAAACGGATTTGCCTCCATGCTTGAATGATTTGGAATATCGAGCCTGGATTTCGGCAGCGATCTGATTGACCAACGCCTTAGTAGGTGCTACATAAACCAAGACACCTTCATCATCAGCCTGGAGCACTTTCCGCATCGCGTAGAAGGAAATGAATGTCTTTCCCGCACTGGTTGGTGCAACGACAAACACGCTCTCATCTGCATCGATGCTGTCCAAGACTCGACTCTGCCAGCCATCAGGTCGGAAGTCGACTCTAGGATCTGCTTTGGAATCGAAAGAGCGCTCGAGAAAAGGACCACAATGTAGAATCTGGAAATCTTTCGACGGCATGCTGATGGATAGGCCAGGAGCTCGAGCTTGAATGTTCAATGAAAATGGCAGCTTCCTATCTTTGGAGGACGCTTGCATCGACCTTACTCCAGGCAGAGTAAGTGTGTCAACGACAATACCGAGACCCTTGATTATTGAATCCGGTAGGTCAGCTGCCTGAGAAATGTTCTGAGCATGATTCCAAATCAGAGCAGCAATATGGAAAGCTTGTTTCTGTTGCCCGGTCCGAGAACATTCGACCCAGATCTGTGCAAGACAGCTGATCATATAGAGCTCGCATTCTGGACCAACAATGTCACGCCAACTAGGCTGTAAACTCTGGAGATAGATTTGCGACTTAGTATACCGTGCCGCTGGATCGGGCTCTACAGCAAACCCTTTCCATACGGTATGCCATGCACTGATCACCTTTTCGTCTGCTGCATCGACCTTCTTGGCTTTACTGGCAGCCAACTGATCGAGCATATCCTGTTTTCGAGCATTCTTCGCATTCGTCTTGCCTCCTCCGCCACTCTTTTTCGGAGCTTCCTTCTTGGAAGACGATGTCGGTTGTGGCAGTGGGGTTTCGGTAGGCTTGCCAGACATCCCTGTAGACCCGACAATGATAGTCTCTGGCTCGAGGCTTCTTCCGACAGCGTTCGTCAAACTTGCAGCATACACCGCCATTTCGGCCATGAACAGTTGATTTCTCCTGGCGGCTCGACTGACCTGCCAGGATGTCATCGTTGGAGCTGGACCTTTCTGTACCAAAGGTCTCTTTGCATTGTGCCAATGCGAAACTTCCTTGAATATCTTACGAGACTCGAGAGTTGGTTTGTTAGTCGCACCTGCATCAACTCGAATGCGGACTGACTCCAGATGCTTGTCAAATACAGGACTGCTGAATGGCAGCACTGACAACCGTACGCTAGTGTCTTTGGAAGGGCGATCTTGAGAGGGGTTCGCTAAGGTCCGACTTTGCGACTCGCAGTCACCGGCAGGCTGTAAGTGAGTTCCTTCTACCTCTTTCACAGCTTGCAAAAGCTTTTTGTATGTTCTTTCGATGTCTGATGTATATTGCACGGAGTTGTGACAGAGATACAGGAATAGACGACCGTCGATAAGGTCAGCGACGTCACATTGTCCTTGTGTTGAGATATCCTCCGATGTTGCCACCAAATTCTCGAGTAGAGGAATTGCTGTTGCTACCACAGATCGGAGAAATAGGGAGGCAATCGAGTCTTCGGGTACGGTGTCCAGTCTTCGGGAGCTGAGAGGAAGATGAGTAATCAGGGCCTCGTGTAGCAGAAATATTGAGCACATCTCTGTCCATTCCTCTTTTGTGGTAGAAGGAACTATATTTTGAAGCAGCTTGCTGACAACCATAATCGCAAGGCGCTCTCGTTCAGTCAGATCTGAATGTGACAACGAGAAGTCTTTCATGGCTATGTGCTGCTCTTCTGGTTGCTGAGTGGTTGCCTGAAGTGGCATGTCCATTGAGGCCAGTGCTGCTTGCCGACGTGTTTCCAGCACAACTGCCATAACTTTCGTGTCCCGCCAGTCCAATTCATTGACCAGAGCAACGTTGTAACCACGTTGAACGAGGAAGATGATCATCTCTCTAAAGGCAAGTTTCTGCTGGTTGTAGTGCTCGTCAGGTGTGACTTCCTGCTCGCTATTTTCATATTCAACTTTCTGTGCACCATCATGTGTCATAAGAAAATATGGGGAGTGAGTCTTGAGATAGTCGGCAAAATCCACCGAGCGCCAGTCGTCAAAAGTAGATACTTTGATCTCAGGATGGAGTTGTGGTAACGAGGTGATGAGGTGGCGAATTATGACGGCTCTTGCAAAAAGGTACTTGCTCTGGTTCTCTTCCTGGACTGTTGCTGGCACACAGAGGTGTTTGTTGCTCTCCAAGAAGACGACATGGAAGCAGCATTTGCGCTGTATGAGGTTGTGTAGAAATGCTTCGACATTGTAGACCGCATGAAGCAGTTGTAGGCCATAGGTGAAATCCAGTTTGGAATCACTAAAGCATCGCAGAAGCATAGAATCGCCATCGATAACAAACAACTCGTTGCCAGCATAATCTCCAACGAGATCGACTCGTCGCGAGCCAAGTTTTCGATAAGCTGTTAGTATCGCGACTTCCCGATCGTCGTTATCGTCCATCGCGCCTGAAGCCGCCGTAATGAATTAAATCTATCGTGCTATTCAGCAGGGATAGGGAAAGGACTAAAGAAGTCAGGAACGGCAAAGGTGTAAAAATCAGCGAAAAGCCATTTTGTTGTCCCAGCAAATCGAATAAAGCTTGGCTACCTCTTGGTTTTGGCTTGCTGATTTTGAAGTTTTTCTGCTGCCCACGTCTAAAAACATTGCTTTCACTCTCGATAGGAGTGAAGACGCACACAGTTCAATAGTATATACTTACAACATGTTCACCTTCTAGCTGTAGTGCCTGGTCCGCCACCTTTTGTCTGCCTCTGAGGGTCGCTTGAGGCGATTTTTTACAAAATCGGTCTCATTCTCGCGAAGAATCCTTTTGTGAGAGCTGCGCTTCTAGTGCCTTATCATTGTTTACTGGTAGCCTTACTGTCCTGCCCGCCTTATACATATTCAACAAATTGAGTTTCAGAACTCTGGCACGAAAAGTGAGACATCGTCGGGACAGTGATGCCAAACATCTCGACCCAATCCTCCGGCGACGAGACTTGATCAGAACTTTGCGATGAGTAAAGACATCAGGCTACAGAAGATAGACTAAGAAAGATAACAAGCATAAATTAAGGGTTCATACAGGGCATGCACTTACCTTGCTTCCACCAGATATTCTAGTGTAGATTGAATGATATGACAGCGTGTGTGCGCCGTCCATTCCACAAGCTCGTTGTGTTCGCAGTATTCGGCCATATGAGAGGGAGTCAAGACCTGCACCAAATTGAATAACCACTCTTGCGCTCTCTGCTTCGCAGATGAAGCCCTCGCTTAACTCAAAATGCTGGGGCGGCGTTGTGCCTCTTGCTTGCCGTTCGCATCAGCGATCTTCCCTGCTGCCTTACCTGTGTTGATAACGCAGTATCATACAGTAGCGTCACATTGAAACTAGAGCAGGTCTTGACGTCGGCGACTCAGGCTCAATGAGTGAACCTAAGCTAAGGCTCGTTCGTTTTGGTCATTCTGTAGTGCGGCATGATTTTTTCTTGAGGAGACTTGTGGTTCTACTGGTACATCCGAATGCGTAGACTCTGATGCATGATTATACCACGAGCTGCATGGTAATTGAGTTCACCTCTCGCTGAGCTATTGAAATTTCTTTGCAGCAAGAAGTCAACAAGCAGGAAGCTAAGCAGGGTTGTGATATTCGTCATTCAGAGTGGAGATGCGTGCTGGATGTTGGCACACCCCATCGAAAAAAGGGACCGGGCATTCTGGCGCGAGGGCGTTCGCCAGAGCGGCCGCTTCTCTAGCTGTGATGTGGTTGGTTTCTGCTTCAGCAGTGATCAGCAATCTGTGTTCCGTGCTGCAGGTCTCATGTTGCCAGCCACGGCCCCCATAGCAAAAGTGACGGGGTCACACTGGCAATTTTGGGGTGGTAACCTGACGCTTTTGCTGTGGGGGTGTGCCAGCGCATCCAAATGCAGCCACAAATCCACCATCAATCAACGTGCATTGCGCTCGAGTACGTTGCGGTCAGACCGTCGGGCGATAGAGGTTCGGCGTTACAATCTTCGATATCGTGCGTAGGCCTTTGCGCATAGGCAGCGTTGCAGGCTGAACGGTAGTCTGCTAAGCATACCGCGACAAGCACATCTTCCATCTCTTCGCTTAGATAGTATCGAAGAAATCGCGATCCTGGATCTTGTGCATGTGGTGGACAGATTGACGAAGTTCGGTACCTGCGGTGATATGTTCCGGGAGCGAGGCACTCGCTCGAGCGTACCTGCAGCCAGGAGGTGGGAGAGATTTTGCATGGTCACCCCAACTTCAACTGAAGCTTCCTTCATGCCCTGTAGAGCTAAGCGATGTCATTGTGGACTGCGGAATGTCGTGTTGCAGGACTCAGCCAGGGAAGATGCGATTCGCTTCAAAGTCAATCGTCGACATGAGCGGTCTGAAGGTCAAAGCGCAAACTGGGACGTTTTGAGTACAGTCAAATACAGCGTAAGCATCCACATACCCATACGACGACGTGACATTCTGATGAGCTGCTGTGTTCTGACTGCGCTGAGCTAGAATGAAAAAGGTTAGCTTATTGCCATGCATTGCAGTGTACAGTAGTGGGACGAAAATATCCCATCTCGGTATTTGGAAGCTTCGCTCGACCATGCATGCAAAGGGATCCGGAAATTCGGGATTTTTAGCCTAAACCTAAACACAACGCGCAGGGTTCTTGATTCAGGCACGCCTTGAATAATCAAGCCTGTTGTCGGACAGTGGTGTGGAATGGTCGAAACTGCAGTAACGCCTGGACAGCAAGCAGAGAAAGACAGCTGTAGAGTAAGGCACAGATCCAACCAAGCACGAATGGTGTGCGTCATATGGATAGCTTGGACATAGCTAACGCATGCACGACAAGGATCTAGCAGCGACGACTACCCAGCAGTGACCAATAGATATTATCTCACCGGGCTAAGACTTGACAGACAGCACGCCCGGCGTGTACTCGTACTCCAGCTTGTCCTTGGTTTCACGAGCCAGCGTTCGTGCTTACCCTTGACCTGCCGCTGCTTGATACCATCGCAAGCCTATCGGGCGCTTCCAGCCTTCGTAGCACTTCCCACCTTCCAATGTATTCAGAATCGGGTTTCAGAGTCAATATCGTAACGTCTGCAGCCGTCAAAGCAGAAAGTCATGTCTCATCTCATTCAAACAAGCCGAGCAGAAATTGAATGGTCAACCGCAAGAGATCGATGTAAGGTGTAGACGGAGAACGCCCACCGTACCTGATGCCTATTTCTGTATTTTTGTCCGTAATTATCAACCGCAAAGGATCCAGAAGTGCCTCCCTAACATCAAACGTTTCCAAGTATATATGCACAAGATTTGTAATTGCGCTGCCGTAAGTAGTTTTCAGCGCAAAATAGTATGACAGTAAAACTTTTGAAGTATTAATCCTTACATGACGTTGCCGATCCAGCATATTCGTACATCGTTGATTGCGACATCAATCATATCATCGTAATGAGAGCGTCGGGAGGACCCCGACAGCATAAAATGCAATGCGCCAGGAATGCAATTTGTAGCCATCCTATAAGACGGGGACAAATTTCAGCAAAAGAGCCGGGACCTGCGCTTTCGTGGCTTAACGTTCGTGCGATCCAGGTCCTAGATGAGTCTGCTCTTCGGAAAGCAGATCTAAACACTGAATGAAAACGTCAATGATTTGCTCTTCCCACAGACCCATCTCGTAGTCGACAAGACCAAACTTCTCAACTTGGTCACACAAATGAACCAGCTTGTCGATCAAGCTTTGTAGCGCAGCTGCCGTCAAGTATTCAGCAGGCTGCTGTTGGGTTCTGATGGCGGTTTCCGTGATAGATTTCTGTTTCTGACCTAAAGCTTCCCAGGCATGATTTAGCTCACGCCACAGCACCAGCCTTTGAGCGTGAGTCTCTTCGTCATCGTGGTGCAGACCTGATACGAATTAGTCACGAAGAAATCTATTGTCTGCGGCACTTACCAAGAGCACGTACAGAGCCGAAAAGCCATTCTGTAATATCAAGGAGTTGGTCACTCGCTTCTCGGACTCTACCGGCAGTTATTGCGTCAAACGTAGCGCGAAGCCGCAGTTCATATTGTCTTTTGCCCTCTTCAGTAGCCTGGCGTGACCCCACCTCCTCTACAGTCTGCTGCGGCGTCGGTTGTTCTAGTACCGTGTATTCGGAGGTTGAGGGTGTGAATGGAGGCTGAAGTTGTGGCCTAGCAAATGACATCGACGCATATGGCTGCTGCTCTGCCTGGGAGGTCAGATACTGAGAAGGCGCCGAACCACCTGCCACATTGCTCGCGGGGTCGTTTTGTTGCATGTATTGAAGACCTCCGCTCCCAAACTGTCCAGCCATTACCTCGATCGCAGTCGATTGGCGCTGCTGTTGGTACGAAGGCATGCCCTCGTACATTGAGTGCTGAGCTACGGGTGGTAGCATTGATCCATGACCGTATGTTGTGTAATCCTGCCGACCTGAACTTGGTTGAAGTTGGTGCGTTCGCGACGGATCTGGTACGTATGAAGATGGGTATTGGAGTTGGTGGGAAAATTGTGGTTGCTGGTAAGTATAGCCATATTCTGGCATGTAGGATGTCCCACTTGGTTGCGCGACCATGCCTCTACGCGATGGTGAAGACGCCGTGCGCGTGAATTGTTCTTGAGGAGGAGGGCCCATCGGCTGGCCCGGAGCCGGGCGACCAGAGCCTGACAACTGGTATTGAGCGCCGTATTGCGGTTGCCTACGCTCACCTCCATCCATTTAAGAACAGTCGCCAGATCTGCGTTTTTGTCGCAACTTGAACAGCACTCAATCACGGTATGAGATCTGTTGAGAGCGACCCAACCTGCACCGCCACGTATCCTTGGTCAGACCTCGAAATAAGTTGAGTCCAGAACGATGTTGGCTCGACCGGCCTGACATCAAAACGAGGTTTGCTACTACTACTGCCTGACGCGAGAATGCCCGACAACTCCTGCCCAACAAAGAGAAAGTATCGTGATCGATTACACGTCTAGAGGAAAAGCCAGTACCCAGTCGCTATGTGCCATAGGCGTAGATTTCGGCGGCTGGTAGTAAAAGAGTGACAATGTGAGTTGGTCGACTAAAGACGGTTTGCGGAGTTGCGTATGCTCTTTGCTGAAACTGAGGTCAGCGATAATGCAACGCCAGGTCACTCGGTCGGGCGAGGTCGAGGACTGCGGTAGGATGGAAAGTGTACGGGCGATTGCTGATACGCAAGAGCGATTCGTTTCACACTGTTGTTTCCAGATGAGATCAGCAGTAACGAGGCACACACGAGTCAGAGTGGATGTGGATGGAAGTGGGGAGGCTAGAATTCGGCTGATGCGGGACCTTGAAGAGCTGCAAAGAGTGTAAATTAAGAACAACGAGCGAACAAATCCTGCAAGGAAGAGAGGTGAAACGCGGCAGGTGAAGAGGGTTGGTTCCTAAGAAGTGGCGGGCGCAATCACAATGCATGAAAGAGTCCGGAGACAGAGATTTGGCGAGATAGAGATGTTTTGAACTCTGATGCAATGTGCTGGCCGGACTAAAAGCTTTTTTTCTCAGATCTGAGCGGACTCCCAATAAAACGACTTGCTCCCGGCATGAAGTTGACATTGGCATTCGGATACGGTAGAACAAGCTGAAGCAGCTATCTTTCCCACGACCAAATGCCACGAGGGTGATGGCCATTCAGTGTGGCTTTCGAAACATAGAGCAATGGTGCAGGTAGCGGCACATGCTGGCAGGTCAGTAACAAGGAAAATCGGTAAAGTAGTGCAAAGTAAGGCACCAAGTGTATCTTTCTGGTCTGGTTTCCAAGGAAGCAAGAACTGGCGACAGCAAAGAGGAAGATTCCAGGGGCATGTAAGAGTGGGGATAAATGTGTGGCGCGTGTGGGTAGAGCCAGGGCCTTGCATGATACAGATTGGCTGGAGCGCATAGTCACGACGCATTCGACCTTGACTGGCAGGCTATGTATGCTTCCAAACAAGTCGAAAGTTCCAACAAGTACTCGATATATCTGAAGTATGTACCGTTGTCATGGATGAAGCAGAATGCGTGCTCGACCGGAAGCAAAGAGAGCGCACTCTGATAGTACTACATACAGCATATCCGGAAGCGGATGTTGAGCTCTTTAGGGTTAGAGTCGATGTGGCTGATGATCATGGCTGTTGGCTTGGCTAAGGATCAAGGCGATAACTTGAATGATCTGATACACACGCAACCACGCACTTCTTAGGCCAACGTGGCCGTGATCTTGTAACAGCACAAAGGCGCTGCGAGCCACAGAGCACAGGACATAGTACTTAACATGATCGAAGTGTCAGATTTGCGGCAGAAGCATCGGCGGCGATGAATATACCAAAAACTCCACTTGGAAAAGCCACAGCTGCCGCACCTTCACATTACGTGGTTACAAGATCTCGAACAGCTTGCTTTGATGTACTCTTGAGTAAATTGGTCGGTTGTGTCTGACACGAGGAAAACAGGCAAGCAGTACGAAGTTTAATTTGGAAATAACTACCGTAAATGAACCAGTCGCATTTGCAGTGGCATAGTGGACTCGAAACAATCCTGTGTAAAAGCATTGTTTCACCTGCTGCAAGGGAGCATGCAGCCATGGCGGACCCAGCTGCACGTCGAATGATGTGCATTCTTAGTGCTGCGCGCTTTTACGGTATGCATCCGAGAGCCTTGAAACTCTATCATACAAACTCTGTCCTCAACATTGCTATTGTCCCTTCGAATTTCCCAACTGAACAAGAACAGACGTCGCATGCTTCGCACACGTAGCTAGTGATGGCTTCCTTTCCAGTGGCACAACAACATCATCTCGGGAACACTAAAAGTAAATCAGGCTAAACGACGGGATTGTGTTTCTGTGTCAATAAAAGATAAAGACCTGGAATGGACATCAAATCCACTGCTGTGAAGGGTTGGGCCAACATTTTCGGATACTGATTCTGCTTGGTGTTGAGTAAGGAGTTGATCTAGGTGTATCAGTCTGAGGCGATGCTCGTAAGACCAGGATTTGTATCAATGTACGTCTTGTCTCGCAGTCTCTTCCGTTGTAGCAGTTGTTGTGAGACCAGCAAATTGTATAAGCATGGGCATAGCCACCAACAGCCTGAAGTGTCAGGACACACAAGCTGCGCTGATGCACCCACAAGAACACCGCTGTATTCCGGATGCGACTGGTTGATTGCGCGGCTTCGAAAGAGCAGATAGTGTTGGTAGCGCAGAACTATCTCTTGACCCAAGTTGGCTTCTTTCTTGCCTTCAGTCGACCAGGCTTTTTCCTTTCGACACGTCGTGGATCTCGTGTGACACAACCAGCTGTCACTGAAGTTAGCACTACCCTGATACGGTCAAACATAGGATGACTTACCTCGTCTCAATATAGGTTTCAGAGCAGGCTCTTGCACAAGAAGCGCTTTCGCAAGACCGAGTGTAATAGACTCGGCCTGCCCAGTAACTCCACCACCATTAGCAAGAGCGAAGACGTTGTACTTGTCAATCCTGCTTGTGACCTTCAATGGCCACAAGGCACTCTCGCGGTCGTGTATACGGGGAAATGCATCAATAAGGCTTCTTCCATTGATCAAAACCTCGCCATTGCCCTCGACAAGAAAGACTCGTGCAGACGATTCTTTCCTGCGTCCGACTCCTTTTGACCTGCCATAAGCGTCTATCGTTCCGGGAGTCGCTTGCTGGATTTTGGCCGCACCGGGTCTTTGATATCTTAGCAAGGTGTCACTGACAGCCTCGGGTCGTAATTGAGGGTGTATTCGATTGAGCCGTGTGAGAAGGCGTAGGATTTGTGCGTATTTCGATGCCCTGACACGCTCTCCACTACTGGCTCGATATTGACTTAAACGCAACCAAGCCATGCGTGGTGCCTTGTCTGGATCAACCTGCGGCACACGCCCGTATTCATTCACTAAAGACTCTAACTCGAGGAGGTCGTCTGTGAACATAGGAGCCCCAGTAAAATAGGAAGGTGACGCAGGCAAGATTCGAGCTGGGGCATCCATTCGCGTACGCTCAAAATCGATTTCGGGGGCTGCTCGAATCTCCATCTGCTCTCGTATGGCTGCTGTGCTTGTATATTGTGCCCGTTGGGGCCACTGACTGGTTCGACATCGTTGGCAGGTCCATGTCGCTCGATTTAATACCGACGACAATGGCCTCTGCGCCATCGCTGGAACTGGTTGTAGTCGCTTGATGCTCGAGTATTGAGGTGGTCCGATGATCAATTCATAGCGAAGTGATGAGTGTCTATAGCTGTCAAACACTATCGACGGCCATTCCAGTGACAAGGCTTAGCAAGGCTGACACATCTTACGGCGCAGTTTTTTATCCCACTCTTTCTTTTTACCCACCTGCAAAGTTGTTTCATACGCTCTTTACAGTATTTTGCAAAGTTCTTAGACACGCTCAAGATGTCTTTCGGAAAGCTGTATGGCTTTGATGTAGGTGGAAACCTACTGCATGACTGTTGGCAGTTTACTAACATCAAACGCAGGGCAATGCCCGGACCATGGTCTGCTTGGCCGTTGCGAAGGAGAATAACCTCGACATCGAATATGTTCAGACCGACCCTAGCAAAGGCCTCTCCGCTGAGTACACCAAGCTGAACCCTCTGAAGAAAGTCCCAACCTTTGAGGCAGCAAATGGCTGGGTCCTTTCTGAGGTTATCGCTATTGCAATCTACTGTACGTTCGCCGGTCTACACCTCGATTTGCTTATAGGATGAGTCATATTATCACATTCAGTTATCCCTGGCATAACATTCTTGTTGACTTTTTTCAATTCTGATCGCTTCATGTTGCTCACCAACTAGCTTTACCAATTTTGAAGTGCTGCAACAACAACTAACAAACTCCGATAGTCACATCCCAGAACGAGAAGACGACCTTGTTAGGCAAGACTAAGCAAGACTATGCTCAAATTGTGCGATGGATGTCGTTCGCCAACTCCGAAGTCCTGCCAAACCTGGGCAACTGGTTCCGACCCTTGATCGGTAGAGACCCATACAACAAGAAGAACGTCGAAGATGCAAAGAACGCCACCCTAGAGGCTGTTGCCGTCCTCGAGACCCACTTCTTGATCAACACCTGGTTTGTCGGCGAAAGAATTACCTTGGCTGACTTGTTTGGTGCCTCTCTTATGGCTCGCGGTTTCCAGTTCGTCTGGGACAAGGAGTTCCGAGAGAAGTTCCCTTCTCTTACCCGATGGTACGAGACTGTCACTAACCAGCCTGTATGGAAGGCCGTGGTTCCAGAGCCCATCATGGTTGAGGAGGCCGTCAAGTACACTCCTCCCAAGAAGGAGGCCAAGCCAAAAGCCGAGCCAGCTCCAAAGACTGAGAAGAAACCAGCCTCAAAGCCGGCCGATGATGAGGACGACGAGCCAAAGCCAGAGCAGCCGAAGCAAAAGCACCCTCTTGAAGCTCTTGGCAAGCCTGAGCTCATCATGGACGACTGGAAGAGAAAGTACTCCAACGAGGAGACCCGAGAGGTCGCTCTTCCTTGGTTCTGGGAACACTACAAGCCAGAGGAATACTCTTTGTGGCGAGTTGATTATAAGTACAACGACGAATTGACCATGACTTTCATGTCTTCTAACCTGATCGGTGGTTTCTTTGCTCGTCTCGAGGCCAGCCGAAAGTACATTTTTGGAGCTGCCTCCGTTTATGGTGTCACCAATGACTCTGTCATTCGTGGTGCATTCATGGTACGAGGTCCAGAGGCTCTGCCAGCTTTCGATGTCGCTCCAGATTGGGAGAGCTACGAATTCACCAAGCTCGATGCTGGCAAGCCTGAGGATAAGAAGTTCCTTGAGGACATGTGGGCATGGGATCAGCCAATTGATGTCAACGGAAAGACCTACGAGTGGGCTGACGGAAAGGTGTTCAAGTAAACCACTTGTCGCCCTAAATCGGTCAGGCTACTGTACGTGAAATGTAACGACGACAATGACGATGATGGAACGGATGTGTCATGATGTGGCAGGTGGGTAGAACCAAAAGATAAATAAGATGAGATGAGATACCATGAGATACTCAGAATAGTCTCTGGTCCTTATAGATTGTCTTCTCGATACCATCAGCCTAGAAGCAAATTCCAACTTCTTCGAAGCTGAAACCAAGATCCTTCACAGAGAAATATTCACTGAATAAACCGTGCTCCGCTCATTCGCCACTTGCTTTTGTCAGCACTTAATCCCCCGTGATCTGGTTCTCTACATCGAAGAAAGAGCCACCAAGTTTCAGTACTGATTTCGTAGCATCATAAATCAAGCCTCCTCGTAACACTGCTTCGGTATCAATCACGCTTACCACACAGTCTGCCTTGCGATATGCCCTTCATCATGGATGACCAGCTGCCAAGTATTTCTACGATACGCGTAAATCAGCACTCGACGATCCCACCACAGCTCCGTATCAAGAACAGACGTAAGCGCTATCTTGAGCGACATCCCGACTACTTTGATTTTTCGCTGGAACTTGCAAGTAAGTAAAACGGTAACAGACGCAGGAATCCTTGCAGGCGAACGCTATACGCACTCAGCATCTCATCTACACTATGGACAAATGACGTGACGAAAAGGACACATTCTGACCATATCAGATCCTCTTCTCTACGACCGACTAATTCGTCGCTTCCAGACACCCACGGAGCGCGAAATTGAATCTCGACAGAAAGGATATGCCGGCTCATTAGAGGCAGATTTGCTTCGGTCCGAGGCCAAGCTCGAGGATGTCCATCAGCATGCTGACGATATTTCCTATTCCTACACACAAACAACAAACGGCGAAATCATACATGTCTCGAATGAGGACGCAGGCGAACAGCTGACCAAGGACGAAGCGCAGAGGCGTTGGGTAGACGCCATGACAGAGCGCTTTGTGGCTGGCAAGGATGATGATTTCGATTACAGCGCTGTCGATGAGAGTGAGGAATATGATGATCGGCAGACGGAGGAGAGGGAGTTACAGGAAGAGTGGTTTGATGAAGAGCAGCCTGATTCTTCGCCGAGGGAGGGCGAGCAGAAGACATGTTTGGATGGTGAGACTGGTATTCAGGATTTCTGATCAAGGCGTAGGTCGTCTGGCCTCGATCATCTATCATCTGTGGAACAGGAGAACGCGCAGATATTATGTTCTCTACTTACTGGACCCTGCACCATTCCGACTTACCACAATGCGATGTTTAATAATGCTAGTGTACGAACCGATTCCTTCAGCTAGGCATTGATGCTGCAAGCCACGTCGTGGTCAGCAAGGCGTCCTTCAGATAGCTGCACGCTGCGACAAAGCGAGTGGTTGCTCTTGCCGACCTTCGCGCTCCTGCGTTCGATGATGTGGATGCAGAAGGGTTGAAGTTAAGGTAAGATCTTAGGAGACGGGACGACTGCAGAGTGCGGAGCCTCAATCAAAACGTGCGGTCTTCGATTAGCCGAACCAGTTGCTATTCGAATATCGCAGACATAGCGTATATGGTTGCAGGTCGTGGTCAGAAGGCTCAATACACACATCGACAAAGTTGTCGCATCTTCGTCTTGCATCAAGCCAAGTCTTGGCTCGCAGTCCTCGAGTCCATGGCTCTTGAATCGATACGGAGTTTGTGTGTGTCAGTTTCGTGGCCAGAGAAGAGCTCCGTGAATTCGGGTATTTTGGACAACTTTGCATTGTCGAATGGAGCCAAGCATTCTTGAAAAAGGCTTACAGCGCAGTGCGAGGTCGTGGTTGTACGAGGGCTGGTCAATAAATGTCTGGGCAGACGTCTACACGTGCGAGCACGTGTAGTAATTGACTGGCCGCGGAAGCGACGCAGTAGAGTCCTGCTCTCTGCACGATCTGGCGCATGACACAGGCGATGATGATCATCCAGATCCTTTCTGGCAGGTAGTCGATCGCCTTTTAACTGTGAAGAGGCGTTTTTGTACGAAGACGAATGCCAGTATCGTATCATCGGGTCGATCGAAGCATTATAAACGTCGTTCAAGCATTCTGATGACTTTAGAAGTTCTGTCGGAAACCCATAGCCGATTCTAGCTTCGCGTCAGCTCAAGTGCTCATCCTTGCCGGAGCATTTCCTTCGAAGATCTCTCTGCCACATCCCAAAACGGCTGGAAGTCTTATCGATTTTGATCTGACCATGACCGATTTGTAGTTTAGATCACAATTCATTGTGGCTTCCACAAATTTGGTAGTCGATTACATGTTTGACTTCGATAGCCTTGAAGCAGTAGCTTTAGTTACAGAATTATGTGTACGAATGCACAATGGTTCCATATACAGTTCTGCACCATGACAAACCTGCCTGTTCTGCCCGACTGTCCATTTCTTAAACACCCGAATTCTATCTTCGGCTGCTCGCGACGTTTATACCGACGACTTTTAGCTTGACCGTTCATGCGCCCAGGACGCCCAGAAATGCTTCGCCAAAGTCTTCGCTAAAGCATGTTCGTGGCGGATACTGTCAGCCAAGGGAGAATAAGAAATTGGCTGCATAGTCAAGTCGCATCAAGACACCGCCAAAAGATGCTTGGAAGCACCTCGATCGACATTCATTGTTGAGGTGCGATGCTGGCCAATCATTGCACCCACGTGGTAGCAGAAGCACTCGGAGCCTCGCCATCGACTATACTGAATAGAGACTGGTTTCCGTGAATAGTGTCTTGAAGACATTCACTTTTCTCATGCGATTATAAGAAGTTTTTTCTTCTTATCGGCAGATCCTGTGCACCTGAGAGTATTACTTGTTCGGTATAATATGGCTGGGAGTTCAGAGGCTCAATCCTCGCTGGTCGAGCTTCCTCGTTATGCTCGAATAGACAGGATTTGTGGCTCTACAACAACCTGATGTAATGAAAATATTTCTCACTCACAGTATCGCGACTCCGAAGGTGGCCACGAAGCAATTTAAGTGCTGATTTCACCTATGGTTCCGTGAAAGCGAATGCCTAAAGGCTAGAACAACCACTTCTGGAGATTCGTCAATGGAGTCGCATGCGCAGGCCAGGCCAACGCCGCTGGTAGGGTTGAGCTTCAACGTCTGATGAGAAGCTTGATTATTGGCTTGCTGCGTGCAGCTCTATTCTCGATGTAGAAGGGCAGCCCGATGGAGCAACTTCCATCGTGTATCTGCCTCTACCTAATTTTCGATCCACTCACGCCGTGACATATCGTCTCAAGAATGCGTCTTTCTCAACTCGTGCGTGCTCAAATGCACATCATTTATTGGTGTGACAAGGATCGATGACTGACGAAGGCCTTTTTGAGTTGCAGGTTGTTTCTGCTGTGAGTGCACTAGCGATACAGATTGCATATATGTTCCTTGTCTCTCGAGTTCTCTGAATTTATCTTGACTTTGTCTTCCAAGCATCCGCCAACACTGCTAAGACTACTTGGCACCTTTTTACTTTTGCTTGACATTCTTGTTCAACATTTGTGATCGGTTCAAGTACATAGGACAGTGCCTCCTCACTGCAGGTATCAGACCACATGGCTACCAAGACGGCTGGCGGCAATGCCGCATTCCACAACTTTCACAACGACTTCTCCCACATCCAAGACCCAAATGAGCGAAGACGACTTGCACTTGCGGAGATCGACAAGGCTCCATTCGGCTGGTACCATGTGCGAGCTATTGCTGTCGCTGGTATTGGTTTCTTCACTGATGCCTACGACATTTTCGCCATCAACTTGGTCACCTCTATGTTGGGTGTAGTCTATTGGCAACGTGCGAAAAAGAACCCTGGTCACATCCCATCCACATCCGACACTGCTATCAAGGTTGCAACTTCTGGCGGTACAGTCATTGGACAGGTCGGTTTCGGATGGCTTGCCGATATGGTCGGTCGTAAGCGAATGTATGGCCTTGAGTTGATCCTTATCATTTTCGCAACTCTCGCACAGGCTCTGTCTTCCTCCTCGCAAGCTATCTCCATCGTGGGCCTCCTGATCTTCTGGCGTGTACTTATGGGAGTAGGTATCGGTGGCGACTATCCACTTTCCAGCATCATCACGTCTGAATTTGCTACCACAAAATGGAGAGGCGCCATGATGGGTGCTGTGTTCGCCATGCAGGGTATTGGTCAGTTCACCGCTGCCATTATTGCCCTGATTGTCGCTACTGGTTTCAAGGGATCATTAGAGAGTGCTGCCAAGGTTCAGAACTGCTCCGGCGTGTGTGGCCTTGCTGTCGACAAGATGTGGCGTATCATCATCGGTTTCGGTGCTGTACCAGGCTGCATCGCGCTCTACTTCCGTCTGACCATTCCTGAAACACCTCGATACACTTTCGACGTTGCTCGAGATGCCGAGAAGGCTGTCGAGGATGTCAAGGCTTACACGAGCGGTCTGCCTGAAGGCAAGCCTGACGAAGTCTCCCGAGCTGCTGTGCTTCAAGATTCGCGAGTTCGTCTCGATCCTCCTAAGGCTTCGTGGGGTGACTTCTGGCGACACTATGGCCAGTGGCGACACGGCAAGGTCCTCCTCGGTACTGCTGGTTCATGGTTCTTCCTCGATGTTGCCTTTTACGGTCTCGGTTTGAACAACACCATCATTCTTCAGGCTATCGGTTACACTGGTGGCAGCAATGTATACCACATCTTCCGAAATGCTGCTATCGGCAACTTGATCATTGTATGCGCTGGCGCAATTCCAGGTTATTGGGTCACTGTTGCAACAGTCGATACTATTGGACGAAAGCCAATTCAGTTGATGGGTTTCACCATCCTCACCATCCTGTTCATCGTTATCGGTTTCGCTTACAACCACTTGGGACACAACGCTCTTCTTGCCCTCTATGTCCTCTGCCAGTTCTTCTTCAACTTCGGTCCCAACGCCACAACTTTCATTGTAAGTCATCTAATACTCGCAAAACGATTATGCCGTACTGATATTATCCTCAGGTTCCTGGTGAATGCTTCCCAACTAGATACCGATCCACCTCGCACGGTCTATCCGCTGCCTCGGGCAAGGTCGGCGCCATCATTGCTCAGGTTGTGTTTGGTCCCCTACGAGTCAAGGGTCACCCAACTGAAGCCAACCCATCCCCATGGTTGAACCACGTCATGCAGATTTTTGCTCTCTTCATGTTCCTTGGTACGTCTTCTTAGCTTTCCAATCTTCGACATACCTTCTAACGTCACTCTAGGTCTCTTCACCACTCTTCTCATTCCAGAGACCAAGCGCAAGACGCTCGAGGAGCTTGCTGGTGAGGTTCCAGGTACTCCAAACTATGACCCCGAGACCGCTGGCCATCGCAAGTCGTCAGTTCTGCCCGACCACAGCAGCGGCGAGCGCGATCTGGGGGAGAAAGCTGTATAAACAAGATAGTTACATGCTTGGGTACATTGATACTGTGTCAGAAGTCTGGTGTATATTAAGACACGAGGGTTTGATAAGCCAGGATGTGAGCATATGTGTCTGCTCGTGGCTGAATAGACATAATTGACACATTCACGTTACCTTTTTGCTTTTCTCGAACACTACTTGAAAGTAATCCATTATTTCATACTCGGAATGGATGGTGAGTGTCCTTCGATGTGACCTGTGCGATACCCATTTCCAACTTCGTCTGTCGGATAAGTTTACTTTGCAGTGAAGACCTCAGCTGAAAGTGGTTAGTCTGGTTGGGATGCCATTTACAGCCCGAACATCCTCTACCCAAGCCGTGTGTCCTACAATCTATTCAAGTCCACTCGGCTAGGTACGTGAAGACTACGCATGCAACGCTGGCAATGGTGGTAAATGAATATCCTCTGACAGACTGCGTGGTGATGTTAGATCGTGCTTAATTAAGGGACGAATTGTGCTTCGTATTTCAAAGCTAACTTTTGAATAACGTGAACGTGATTCTATTTTCAGACCTCTAGGCTTCTTCCCATGATATTTTGGTAGCCACCGCAGCTTAGCCTGTCAAACCACATCGTGTATCATATACTAAACGAACCATAAACACAATTGGTACATTGCACTCATGCCCCCTCCCAAATTGTACGTCATTGATAGTGCTGTCTTCCTTTAGGTCATCGCACCGTGAAAAAAAGACCAGGGTCTAATGTGCCAGGTAACGCCATGCTAAATATACTTGAGTAAATCGAAGGTGAAATCAAAGTGTGCAAACCGCTGCGTAAAATTCGTGAAAACCCCGTCAAAATATACGCCTGTCGTTAGATATCAGCCGAGGGTGGCTCGTTCAGGTGGCGCGTTGCGCCGGTGGAAGAATGAAGAAAGTGCAAATTTGGGTTGTCTTCCTGATTTCGATTGATCGTGAGCTGCTTGTTGTTTTCGAGAAAGGTCAGTCGATTTGCTTCTCTGCTCAACTGGTGGTAGAGGTTGTGTACGTGGTAGTCGGACCGTCTTGAGCATTCGTGATATTCCACCTTTTGATTTCTCCTTTAAAGGATTGTCTGTAATGGTATGATTCTCCTTGGCGACCTTCGGGAGATCTGGTAGGCTTTTGTTGAAGTCCGGCTGGCCGAGTGATATTGCTGTACTCTGTTCGACGGGATCAAATTCTTTTGTCTTTGACTTCTGCCTGGCCAAGCTCGGGAGATGGGTTAACGATTTTGTAGCATTTGCCGTCTGCGGTCTTGCCATGGGATTCTCCTTCAAGAACGAATATACAGCAGTGCCTTTAGACTTCTTCAGTTCAGTGCGCAGATGAGAAGGTTGCGCCGTAGTTGAACGTTTTCCGGCATCGGAGAATCTCTTTCCAGCTTCCCCTGGCGTGACTCCTGGTGTGGTCAATGGCGTCGTGGCATTTGTCTGGATCGTTTCTCGTTTGGATGTATCCGAAGGCGTCGCTGTATCATTCCCGCTTGATCCTGGCCATTCTGTCTGCGACACTTCCGGTTGTTTTATTAGGCCTGCGACCTGTTCCTTCTCAACTTGCTCCCGAGGCTTCTTGACTATGATTTGACTCGCAAGGTACCGGAACGGGTCATCGGTCATCTCATCGGAGTGAGGAATAGAAGAGAGAGCTTCGATGCATGCCTGTTTCAAGGCGTCTTCGTCTTCAGCAGACAGCTTCTGCCGGTCGATTATCGGAGACTTGGGTACGAAATGGAGGTCGTTGGAATCACCGAGGTATTTTCGTTGTTGACTCGACTGTGTCAGGTTAGCACGATCGACGACGACTGTTGATGTGGCAATATTCTGACAGCAGCAGTCCTGACTGAAAGACCACGCAAGACCTTCATACCCATCTTGCCTGCCTCTGTACCCAGCATCAATCAGCACGTCGAACAGCTAGTACGCGGAGGACCAAGTGGACCGGAGGAATTGCGAAGTTGCGTTCTTGAATTGCAGCAGATCCGACGGAGCTGATCGAGATCGCGAACGAGAGCTGCTGTGCGGGAAGGAAGTTCAGTAGGAGGTAAGTGACTGGCGTCTCACAGAAACAACTGACTAGAAGGAAAGGAACACAGAGATCTCGGCCAGCCGAATGAAACTGACTCGAGGGAGTACAGGTTGTTCAGGGAGCAGATTAGCACGAAATACTACTGTTAAGCGAGAGTGCTCTAGCTCGAAGACCTGGTTCGGGTACTCCGTAATCTGTACCAGACCCGTGGCTGCTGATCTTTTGTAAGTGCTAGAGAGAAAGAAGATCTCAATATCGAAAAGGAATAGCCTTGCCCGACTTCTCGCGGCTGTGGCTGACTAGAGTGATCCGACTAGTGATAGATAAATCCGTAAGCTTACCTGTCACGACCACTTGGTACAAGCGGCTCACTTGTGTAGCTGCAAAGAAATCATTGGCGAAGTCGAGTCCTTGGCGCATGTTGTGATAAGCGAGTTTCGCGTACAGCGAAGACGAACGTCGTGATTCGGAGATCTCACGACTCAAGATGAAACAGTGGTTCATTTGCACGCCCAGGCTGCATAAGGAAGTTTTCGATCGAACCCTTGCATGAAACGATGATTGGCGCTTGTCAATAAGCCAGACCAGAAATGGTAACAGCCCGCTTGCTTAGTCTTGTGCTACGAATAGATTCAGGAGCGCCGAAAGATACAGCAACGGTTATGTCTGTATACATGTTCTGCGTCGCTCGGATACATTTTCTACCAGCAATGTTGTATCTGCAACCAACACGGCAGTCGCTTGACCACCACAAGAACGCCATCGCTATGCCTAAAGAGAGTCTTGCTGGTCTATCCATTATCCGTCTTCTGCCATAAAATCACATCATCAACAGTCCGGAATCTGAAGTAAGCCCACCTGCTCGACTACCATAGTCGTCTAGACCTCCGTATGAACCCTGACCAACTCCTCCCTTCGACTTGGTTCTTATGCTCTTCTGTTGTTCTACCGTCACAAACTTACGACCTAACTCCGCTAGACCTTGTACGTCCTGACCTAAAATCGATAGGATCGAGGTCATTGTGACGTCGTTCGCTTGTGCCTTCGCTGCCTGCTGCAGTGAAGTCGCTTCATCGCCACCAGTAGGGCTGAGGAGTGACAGTCGAGTGAGTAGCGCTTGTATATTTCGAAGCTGAGGTAGGTACTCCGGACTTGGACTCGTCGAAGAGAGAGCAACGTTCTGGTCGGCGAGATACGATGGGGGCATCAATTCAACCAGCTTCGACATCAAGTGGAGCCTCTCTTGAAGCATTTTGATACTGTTGAGTCTCGTGGTCAAACCTGCGATCTGATCTTCCTCTTCTGGTGTCAAGGAAGGTCCCCTCAGTTGGGTCTTTTTGTCTTCTTCTGTGACATTCTTGTTGCCTGATGCTTGCTGTTCTTGACTATCTTCGGACTTTGTTTGCTGCGCTCTTGACACTGCCGTAGCACTTCCAGCTCCTTTAGCAACATAATTGATAGCTATCATCTCTGTTTCATCGGTCTCAATGACAAAAGGCACATGTCTGAACCTGAGAGCAGCTGCTTCTGAACCATCCACCTGCATCGCACCTTCACTCATTATCTGATCTCCCTCCGCAAGACCTTCATAGACCGAAATAGGGAGTCTAGCTTTCGAACCTTCAATCTGTCTGAAAGCTTCAGGGTGTATCGCTAGCAGGATTCCATTCTCAGCATAGAGTGTCGTTAACTGCTTGTGAAGTACTGCATGCTCTGGGAGGGGTCCATTCTCGGGACAAAGTGTGAACCATCCCACAACTTCTAGGGCTGGATCCTTGTGAACTTCTTTGTCTAGAGGAACAGTTAGCACTGCATCTCGAAGCGTATTTGTTGCTATTTACACTGCTCAATGCGCTTGTTGGTCCAGTCATCTGTTTGGTCAAGCAGGCCGTTATTGATCTTAGCTGTAAATGCGTACTCTGCAGAGACCTGTCCCTTCGACTGTTGACCTAGTAGGATACCTGCTACAGGACCTTCAAGCTGTCTTACACGATGCCTCGTGATCAAGTCGGAGGCAGTAAGTAAGACCAGAGGATGGACTTGCACTCTCTGACCGCTTTCCGGAGCTTGAACTGCTACGAGAGGTGTCGCCATATTCGCCGGATAGAATCGATCTGTACTAGAAGCATTGGGGCACAGTGCTAAAGTAGTGGAATGATTAGCAAGATCACAAGGACAATATGAAGCACTTCAGGCACTTTCTCATCCCGAATGTTTGCCTGCGGCGTCATTCAGGCTTCAAGGCACCAAGCAGCGCGTTGATCGAGCGCGTCTCGATTCGCACTAGTACGTGAGCACTAGCAGCCTGAACCAGACTTGAATTTGAATATGAGCGTCCCCACATATATATATACAAAGCGTCAGAACACCTGCTCTGCGCGATGGGACGATGCTGATACCAGGAAACTCTCAGCGAACTACAGATCAGGATGGACCAAGTCGTCGAAGATAGATCAGCCCTTTTTGCCAACGTTCTTCGACATCTGAAAGAAGTGAAGGAGAATCCATCTGTCAATCTCAATGAAGAACTGCTACTCAGAGCATCAAGAAATGCCGACTCGCATACTCCACCACTAACTCTCTGGGAGACATTGAGAACAGGCGAAGAGACCTTGCAAATCCTGCAGCAGGATCCAAGACCACTAACTCGGCTTCTGGAGCAGGTTGTCCTTTCATTACCCTTTGATGAGCTCAAAACTACTATCACTTCGCAGAAGCTGGAAGAAGGGCTGAAGTCTCCTTCTGTCCCTGTACAGCTACTGATCCTTGCTTATCTGCGTAAAGCTACTGACCTACCAAGTGGTGCTGCATTTGTCGCCTGCAGTCCTTCTTTAACGAGCGTCCTTGTTACTACCTGGCTATCGACTGAGAGTACTGAGGTATCAGACAAGTCACTTGATACCCTCATTGCTCTACTAGAGGTGGACAGTCCTTCCTCAAGCACCTTTGTAGTTACCCATGCAGCTAGTGGCGAAGCATATGGCCAAGGGTTGCTCTGGCGAAGGATCTTCTCAGATCCAGGAGTGTACAGTCTGCTCTTTGAATGGACTACTCTAACCACAAAATCAAGACATGACGTGACGACAAAGAAGGGTTTAAAACAGGCCACTATATCGCAGGGCAGAATGCTCGACTTTATTTCTAGGTCGGTGGAGATCGATTGGGCTCAAATCACTACTTCCACACTGCCTGATGTTGAGAAGATATACATGAAAGGGGATACGAGCAATCAACCCTATGCAGGTCTTCTAAGATATGCAGTTTCTGATATGATTGACCCGGCTGACGATCTGATGCAATTCTTGAGGCAGGATTTCTTCCTGAAGTTGCTCAATGTGGCTGAAGAGTCCAACAGCAGGGGTATGCCGGTCAGGTTGCTTGCAGAACTTCAGTCAAATACAGGAATTGGTACAGGTCACTCCGCAAACGGCAATGGATTGCACTTGTAAGTGAAGGCATGCGCAGGACGACATGTCGGGAAAGAAATCCAAGCCACGCAAGTCGTTATGGCTATCGGAACGTGTTAGAAATCAGACGCCGCGTGGCGTGTACATCACACAACAAGAAGAGGCCTCACGCCGGCCATAAAAGGTGCAGAAAGCAGACATTCAGGGGCAAAGGATTTCCTCGGGCTGTTTACTGGCTCCATCGTTTGCACTGATCCCGCTCATCTACTAGGGCATGCAAGTATTCAGTCCTACTTACGATCTCGCCGACCATCGATGAGACATAGCGAAGTCACCAGGTGGTATTCTCAACCAGATATCGTGAGGCGACCTCTTGTACTCGGTGATGTTATTGGTATTTAGAAGTGTGACGGCAGCTCATCGAGCCTCCGGGATTCAACAACAACCTGCCAGAATCGGTCAATTTTCCTACACGTTAGTGAACTGAAGGATGCAGCAGTTTTGCTTCTTTGTACACTCTGGCCTTGGTACTCACGAGAGCTGGTACCACGTCGAGCACAGTCAGGCAAGTATACTGGAAGGGCTCAATGACAAAGTCCAATAGCTCAAGAGCCGTATGGTACTAGTGCCCCAATTTACCTAATGCCACGCCTTGGTCTGTGCTTCCTGAGGCAAGAAAAGCTCCCGAGCACATTCTTCTATACCTCTTGGACTTCTCCCCAGTATTTGTCCAAGCAACGGATCGACAACCTCACACTCGCCAATTTTTAAGCCATCGAACCACCCCACCCAACTTTCAACCAACCACTCCTCCCTCTTTCCATCCTTCAAATGAAACTTCTTCGCCTCCTCCTTACCCACGATCTTCACCTCAACCTTCCTTCCACTCCTCTCCTCCAGCAGCTCCGCGACACGAGTAATAGTCGTAGCTCTCGATCCCGTCAAATTCAGCGTCTTACCAACATATTCCTTGTCGCCCTTTGCAAGTTTCGCCAAGATTTTCGCCGTACCTTCACCTAAATCATCCCACGTTACCCATGCAACTGGACCATCCTCAGGAATGACAAAAACAATATCATCGCTATTGTCCTTCGGTATCGGATACGGCTGGAACCCGGCATAAAGCCACCAGCTCTCCACATAAATACCTTGTCGTAGGACAACATAATCCATCCCGGACTCTGCAAGGTACTCAACAGTCTTGATGTGCGCCTGCTGTACACCCGCCACACTTTGCATGCCTGTCTTCCCGCCAAACATCAAGCTTGTATAGATGATTAGCTTGATGCATCCTGATGCCTTGGCGGCTTCGATGGCTGTTTTGTGGTGAAGCCAACGCTCAACACTTGGTGATGGGTACGAGACAAGGAACAGTATATCGGCCCCGGAATCTGCGTAGGATCTTTGAAGTTGTTCTGGTTGGGTCAGGTCACCTTGGACAATGGGTATGTTTTTCTGTTTGGCTAGGGTCGAGACTTTGTTGGGGGAAGTGGTTGAGATGATGAGGTCGGAGGTTGGGATTAGGTCGTGTTCGAGGATGGATTGGAGGACTCGAGAACCTAGATTACCTGATGTACCTGTCAAGAGGACTTTCATAGTGGATTTCGGTAAGTGTGTTTCTGCCCAGATTGAGAAGGAATACTATCTGATGCAGAAAGCTATTTATCTCATTCGTGCGATGGCTCTATGTTCTTGTCAACCTGATCTGCATGATTTACACTTTCAAACTTCAGGCTCTTTTGATCATAAAGATTCCGTATTTGCAGAAACATGACGTAATGACACAGCAGAGTGTGAACAGCAGTCGAGTAGAGTCCATCGTGTATCTTGAAAGCGTTATACAAAACTCCGAGCCGTTCGCTATGCACACAAAATTGTAGACACAGGGTATTCATCGTCTCTGTCGTGATATCTGAGCCCTTGCAAGGCAAACTTCATGGTTGTTGCCGTCTATTTCTAACAAGGCTTCCAACAATTCGGTTTCGGGTCTAGCCCCGACTTCTGTTTCTACATCATCTGCATCAGGGAATTTTGAGCATACGCCTGTCCATATGTTAGCGTCTTCGCCAGGCGGGTAGGGAGAGTATGCTTACCATAGGCTTGATATCTGGGTGGGGCACGGCATCAAACTTGTGGTACTCAAGCTTGAGTTCAGGTCCGATATTTATATAGGCGCCCTTGTTCTCTGTTGCATCACAATACTTGGGAGCCGAGAAGACAGTAATGCACTTGCCATTGTGCTCGACCTCATAACCCTCCATTCTCACCTCTGTGAAAGTGTTAGCTCACGGCGTGATCATGAAGAAGGAAAATACGTACCATGAGACCGAATAACAGCTTCGAGGCCGTTGTTTTCACAGAACCTCTTGGTCACATCAGGACCAAACTGTAAGCCAACACCACGCTTACTCGGGCCTCGACCAGGAGCTTGCTGAGGATCCGTCCATAACATTTCCATCATGAGACCTGCTTGACCTGGTTGTCGTTGCTGATGTCTGTTGAGCTTTCTTATGTCATCCAAGCTCGTTTTGTCGTCTGAAAATAGACCACCGTGTAATGTCAAATATTTCTTTCCTATCAGTGTTGCCAGAGGTAGTGCTGAGAAGGACTCTGAGAATATCTTGAAGACTCGCTCGCTATATTTGGCTTTGCATTCGCCCTCGAAACCATATACTCTGTTCATGTCGTCTGTTTCGTGATTACCTCTATTCAGGAAGAAGTAATTCGGCCTAAGCCATTTGTAGGAGTATAGTAGGAGCGCAATCTCGGTCGACCATGATCCTCTGTCCACAAAATCACCGTTGAAGAGGTATGCATGGTCTTCGGAAGGATAGCCATTTAGTCTGAAGATTTCCAGCAGGTCGAAGTATTGTCCATGAGTGTCGCCACATACAGTTAATTTCGTCTTCTGAGCCACCTCCATCTCGACCATTGTTGGCTCGTCATATACAATGTCGCGTACGGCCTTGACTATTTGGTAGACGTACTTCTTGTGTAACTGCTTGCCATCCTTGAAGCGCGTGATCATATCGTCTATAAACTCTTGGGTCATTTTGTCTCCCAGTCGTACTCCGTCGTAATCTTCGGGTACAGCTATCGAGGCAATATCAAGACCTTCGAAAGCAGAGGGAGGATCTCCAACCTCGATAGCCTTCAGAAATTGTATTCTCTTAACCAATTTCTCGCACTCGGCTAGCTTGAGCTTCGCATCCTTATTGTTCGGCTCTTTCTTGACCACTATCTTGAAATCTCGCATTGCATCCTTCGAGTTGAGGATTGCAGTATTGGCAATTGCTCTCCTCCAGTATGCCTTGACGTTGGCAGGGTCTAGCTCGAGGGCTTTCGTGGCATCAGCGATGGCGTAGCCATATGCTTCCAGTTTTATGTTGGCTTGGGCTCGATTCGAGTAGAAAGCTGGATCCGTGCCAACCTTTTCAATAGCTTTCGTGTAGAAATCAATGGCAGTGGGCCAGTCGTGCTCCTTGAACGCCTTGTTGCCCTTGTCCTTAAGGGCTGTAGCCTCAACCTTGAGCGTATCTGTGGCCATATTGAAATCGAGGTTCGAGTACTTGGAAAAGAGGGCGAAAATAGCAGAACTTTCAAGTTACTGGGACATGTTTAGCAGGATTAGAACTGACGATGAACTCGAACGCATCACTTCTATGGTCTCGTGCCTGGATCCAAATCTAAAAGACGTTCCAAAAGTTTCGGCGACTAGTCGTACTGGCCATGCATACGTCGTGTAGATCATAAGTGGAGTCGTCTTCTGCTCGACCCTCTCCAACTACTGTTACTCGTGTTATTTTAATATATTACTATATTATAAACGCATTGACCACATCAGAGCACAGTACTCATTCCGCTTTGTTCCCAAACGAACGCACGTGCGCCGACTAGTACATATTGACATCCACTCTGGTTCTCTTCTCGTAAGGATCGCATCCAGAAAAACAATTGCATACCAAAAACTAACAAGACGCCAGCCCTAAAAGTCACCTTCTACCCACCCGAGTTCGAGAAGACCGGGAGGATGTCCTTCTCGCGCAATTCCCGTGCCTGCATGGTCTGCTCGATCGTACAATCTCAAAAGGTATGAGCCGAAGTGGTTGTGAAGACGTACAGCAACTGACACAACCATAGCAATTCATGAGCAATGGCTGCCCAAACTGCGAAGAGGTCTTACAACTTCGAAACTCCCCCGAAGCGATCGCTGAGTGCACGTCGCAGCAGTTCGAAGGCGTCATAACAATGGGCGATCCGAAGACTTCGTGGGTCGCGAAATGGCTACGACTCTCGGAATATGTCCCTGCTGTGTATGCGACGAAGGTTAGTGGCACATTACCAGATGGTGTAATTGATGCGCTGGAAGATCAGGGTATACAATATGTGCCGAGAGACGGTAGCGAAGCAGATGGAGACCGATCAGCCAGGGAATAAGAGTGAACGTTACAAGAATCTTTCAGCTCCTGAATGCTACAGTAACGACTCGAACTGCATGTTGGTCCTATTTGGCCGTCAAGGTATTGGTTCTCGATTAGCGATGGAGTTTTGGCGCAACAAAGGACGAGGACCTACAAAAGAGCACTTATTTGTGTCTCTGAAAGACCTGGTACTGCAGACATATCTTTGCTGTGATCTAGTCACACCACTTTACTGCCCCAGAGAAACAAAGTCACGTAAGATGGTATGAACGTGCAATGAAATACTATCTGCCCACACACGCTCAGACAAAGATCCAGCAAGCAAGGTGTACTGGTTATTGAGAAGTCCTTGGAAGATATCTCATATGCTTCTCTGCATGAAGAAAATTCACAATCTCGCTTTGAAAATGAAACCTTGAAAGAGAAAGTACTATTGATTGCAACACCAGACTTTTGCCCTTTCAGCTATTACCATCCAGCACATGCACCTTACCTAGCAGAAACGCCATGCATAAAAAAACCTTCTGTCTCCTGTCCTCAGCTACTGCATGTCCGCAGCCATCTTGCTCAGTCTGTCAAGCAATATATCCGCATGGTGTTTCTGGAAAATCAACATCGGTCTCAATCTGACAGCACTAGCACCGCTTCCACCAATGTTAATGCCCATACTCTTGCCCCTGAGTAGGAACTGGTCTCTCTGTGGATGATCCCAAGCAATGAATGTACCCTGTTTCTTACCTCTCAGGTTTTTGAACTGCTCAGGATACTGCTGCTGAAGCTGCTCAAGACCACCGAAGAGGTAATCGCCAGTGACGGCGGTGTTCTCGACCAAATTCAGTCGTTCAATCTCGTTTATGATAGCTCTGAAGAGGATTGCTCGAGCTGGATCACCCATCCAAGTGTTGAATTGTCGATACGGCTTGTTTGGTCTTAAAGCGGCATTTCCGAAATAGTAACCTGCTGTCTGTGCCTTCTTTGAGAACGTGACCATGTCAGGTGGAGTGGACAAATTCCAGTGGTCGTGAGCCCAAAATTTACCAGTAGCGCCCACGCCAGTCTGCACTTCGTCGACGATCATGAGGACGTTATTGCGCTGTGTGATTTCGCGTAGACCTTGGAAAAAGGCTGGTGTCGCATGATTGTCTCCGCCTTCGGACTGGATTGGTTCGATGACAATTGCAGCGACTGGATTATGGTAATTCTTAATGATGTGCTCCGCTTCCTCGAGGCACCTCTTCTCCTCGGCTGCGTTCTCGGCCTGATGTTCGTGAAGAGGGTACTTGAGCATGGGGAAGGAACATTGTGGCCAGTCGAAAGCTGGAATGTCGAGTTTGTGAATAGGCTTGCTGCGGGTTGTGGACAGACTGCCAAACAGGCGACCGTGGAAGCCAGTCTTGAAGGCCATGATGGAATAGTTTGGTGCACCAGGAGCGAGATTGTTCATGGCAGACTTCATCTCATCTTGAGTAAATTCAGCATCTGGACCACCTCTTTCTTGTTGACGCTTCCACATGAAAGCTGCTTTGTAGGCTGTCTCGTTCGCATCCGATCCTGCCATGGCTGTGAACACCTGGTTTAACCCACGTGGCGCAACTTTCAGAATACCAGTCTCGAGAATATCAGACCAGTCTGCTTGAGGAAAGTTGCCGAGAGCTGGTCTGTTGATAATGGCTGAGATCATATCATCCGAACGGGCAACGTCTTGAAGTGCAGGATTGTTGTAGCCAATTGGTATGGAAGCGATCTGAGCGTACACATCTAGCAGGACGTTACCATCTAGATCTGCAATGTAGTTTCCATAACTCTGTTTGTAATTCGTAAGCATGTTCAAGCTGCGAGTGTCGAAGACTCTATTGAGGTCAGAGATAGCATCCTTGCTTCGCGGACCTGGTATCGCAGTTGCAACTCGTGGGCCAGCCGGCTCTTGTTCGAAGAAAGGCCCTGGCTCGTTTGGCTCTTCGTATTGTACCTGAGCTGCCACTGCTGCTTTTTTGGTCCCTGTTGCAGAGGCGAGAGACCGTACAGATACTCGGTTGGTGACATTGGGTCTGGTCAAGCCTCGCAGACTGGATGTCAACCTGAAGAAAGAGGCCATGCTGGACGCGACTCGGTGTGCTGCGAATGTGTGTTTCTAGGAAGTCAGTAGACCGACAGCTGTTACAAGTGCAGTAAGTATGAAAATCAGTACACACGGGCGGGGAAATCTGCAGGGAAGCAGGCGAACGATAGCTGATCTCCGTCACACGCCTTACAAACTCTCTGCACATCAAGGGTATCCTACAATGCCGTAACACCCTTGCGCGGATGCAGGCCGTATGTGGTCTGTCCAGAAAACAGGTAATGCAGACTAAATTTTGAGACGGAGAAGTGCTTCGGTCTTTGATGGAGTATGGAACCTAGAACTACTATGCCGAATGCGGCAGGCATTTGCGGAAACACAACATGGAAGGTCGATCCTGGAAGTTCTCAAAATATTTAGTAACACTTTCCGTTGTGAGATGAATATCTCTCAAGCACATATAGAAAGATGTACTACAGTACCGAGGATACAGTGTCTTTCAGTCAGACATATGCAGGTTCTGTGGAAACGAGAGGAACTACGCTGGTGGTCGAACATTTGAATGGTTGAAGATTGCCAGAGCGTAATTGAACATGAAAGAAGACTGTAAGAATGTCGGAAGTGGTCATGAAAGTGAATGCTCTTCAGTCTATTTTCGACTACCTGCATACTTTGTTTCTAACCTGCGACCTTCTTAAACCTCTTTTCGCTCCAATTTGTCGGCAGCTTCGGCATCGGTCAAGTTCTCATCACCAGGGGCTCTGTCAACTGCTGAACCAGCACCTGCTCCTTTGTCGAAGTCATTCTGTGTTACATGGTGTGCTGTATATCTTGTGCTCCCCTTAGCTTCAGGGTCATGTGTAACACCGCCAGGTACGTTGTGTAGACGTTTCGAGTCGATCTGGGAAGGAAGAGCATCGCCTGTGCCGCTCACAATCTCAGAGCTGGCTGTATCCTGGTTACTCTGTTACGTGTTAGTTATTGGGTGAGCGGCTATGGTATGGTCAAACATACTCGTGGAATATCCGTGGCATTCGTGGCAGCATCTGCCAGGTTCTTGGCTCCTAGTTGGTTTGGATCCGAGTCTTCAGCGCCTTCACCTGGTCGAGGCACCGATTTGATGTGTCTAGGCACGGCACTATCTTCTGGAACAGTTGTGCCCTCTTTGGCCATGTCTAAGATGTCTCCTCCGCTATCTCGTCCCGACATGATGATTGCTGATAGGTTTCTGAACGTGTATATTTCGCAAGGTTAGTGGTGTAATGAGGTTCAAGCAGCAGCTTCTCGAGAATGTCAAGGAGCTCAGGCACACGACCTTTAAGAGTATTCTACTTTGCACTTGGTGATCGCTGTTCAATTCGTCATAGTGGTCAACACGACATCAAACGTGATGTCATGGTACACGCGACAAGTGGCACTTGCTGGTGCTCCATATGCTTCAGTACCTTGCAGCACTGAAGTAGGAGCTGTAACGCTTAATAGTATCATTACCTTGGTCAGAATAGGCATCAAAGGACAGTGATGATAAGTGCAGTGCTGCGAGTATCCAGTACTGAGACGGTAGCAAGCACTTATAGAATAAGAAAACTTCAGACGTGTAGTTGACGGTAAGGCCGACAGGCAACATCTCGATCTGACCCACAACCAACGTGCCACTGCATCAATATGGCGAAAGCAAAGTTTACCTATGAGAAAGACTCGTTTTGTTATATTGTTGACATACTCACCCATTTTGTATGCCAAGTCTAGCTTCTCAAACAATCACGTCGCCTGTTAGAGATCGTTCACCGGGACAGCCACACGTATCAACACAAAACAGGACGAATGCTGGCTATACTACCTCTTCCTTTCTCGAGTGCAATTCCAAGGACGAATAGCTATCGACAAGCTGTCACATAATCTCGTTCGTCCCCTGTCGCTCTAACAGGGCCTCGGAGTGTACTCGCTGAAAATGCAATCTTCCTTTCTTGGTTCTCGTGTGACCACGAGACAAGGTGACCTTGCATTGCTTCATCTTAGCCGTGATCAACAGTTACCTGTCCAGCTCTCAACCATTGTATCAAAGGCTGAAGACAAAGGCTATGCTGAAGGAGTAGTCACTAATACGAGATTTGGTTCTTTTCCCCATTCGACGCTTATTGGCATACCTTGGGGTTCGCAGGTTCTGGCCAGTAAAGTTGATACAGGTTCCCGAGGGCGTGGTGACCGCAATCAACACCGGAAACGCAAAGCCGATGCAATCAGCACTGACTCACCACCAGACGAAGCTGAGACTTCGGGATTGAAACAAGCTACTGCCGCAACGTCAGGCTTCATACATGTCTTGAAACCAACGCCAGAATCGTGGACGACAAGCTTGCCCCACCGGACTCAAGTCGTCTACACACCTGACTATAGCTATATCTTGCACAGGATACGTGCTCGTCCTGGCTCAACTCTAATTGAAGCTGGTAGTGGAAGTGGAAGCTTTACTCATGCAGCAGCTCGAGCTGTTTTTGCAGGGGTTGTAGAACAGAATGCGTCTGCAGACGTCGGGAAAGAGATTCCAACCAAGGGCAAGGTTTTCACGTTCGAGTTTCATGCCGATAGACATCAAAAAGTGAAAAAGGAAATGGTCGAGCACCAGCTAGACGCAGTCGTGACTGCAACACATCGTGATGTCTACAAGGACGGTTTCTGGCTAAGCACAGATAGTGGACAATACTTGTCGCCAAAAGCTAATGCTGTTTTCCTCGATCTACCTGCTCCTTGGGAGGCACTGCAGCACCTCACGAGAGAGGAAGATGCTGATAAGCCTTCGGCTCTTGACGCGACCAGCCCGGTACACATATGTACCTTCAGCCCTTGTATTGAACAAGTACAAAAAACTATATCAGAGATGAGGAGGCAAGGTTGGGTAGAGATTGATATGGTTGAAATCCAGCATAGACGGATTGAGGTGAAACGCGAGTACATCGGGTACAGATATGAGGGCATGAGAGGTGCAGACCCAGTGGCAGGAAATGTGGATGAGGCTTTGGCAAGATTGCATCAGGTGGAGGAAAGAGCCCGAGAACAGCAAACACAGGGCAGTCAGCCAGCGAAGGCTAAGAAGGATACACAGGGTAGCACACAATATAGTGCTGCGCAGGTATACTGGGATGAAGGACGCCTCATCCACCACAGCGAATCTGACCTGAAAACACATACCTCGTATCTTCTTTTCGCTGTCCTGCCACTGGAATGGAGCGAGGAAGACGATGCGCAGGTGCGCGCGGCTATGCCTCAGCTTACTGGCTCCTCCACTCGGCATCAAAAGTCGCAGGAACAGAATCGAGATGGAAAGCATAAGAAGCTGTCTAATGGACATAGCGATGCAATAGCACCACTGCCTCATAATGATGACTGTTGATCGCAGACTTGAAAGTCGTCTTTGACTCGTTCATGCGAAAGGGTGAATCAGAAGTATCTTGCCATGCTTCCAATTCTCAGACCGTGGCCAAACGCCAGTTTACAGAGTGTTTCTAGACAGTATGAAACGCGTTCCAATTAATTACTATGTAGGGCTACAAAAGCTTATCGAGCCTAGAAGCTAGCCTGGAAGTCCCTGCATGGCATGTCCCGCGCACTAGTAATGCAGAAACACCGGTTCGGGTGCGCTCAAACGTGCAGGACCTGCGTCGTGACTCTTGTTTGCGAATTGTTGCTGGAATGTGAATCGTATACATCCCTTCTTCAGATTTCCTGGCACCGTTGATGCGATCGATATCGCTTCTTGGCGCGAAGAGATTATGCAATAACCAGAACCCGACCTTCTTGAGTTGGCGCAATATGGCTTCCACGCGACAGCCTTCCTGGTCGCATCCACAATCAGGAACTCATGAGCCTGGTCTGAAAGTGTACAACTCGTTGACTCGCTCTAAGAAACCCTTTGTACCCAAGGAGAAGGGCAAGATATCATGGTATTCCTGCGGTCCTACGGTCTACGACGACGCTCATCTTGGCCATGCAAGAAACTATGTAACCACAGACGTACTGCGCCGCATACTGCGAGACTACTTCAAGTTCGAGGTCAACTTTGTGATGAACATCACCGACGTGGATGACAAGATCATATTAGCTGGGCGTAAAAGATATCTATACAAGGACTATCAGGCCAAACACAGGTACATAGACGATGAAGTGAGGACAGACGTGCTCAAAGCATGGCGATTGTTCATTGCAAAGCGCCTGCCTCGCCTTTCCACTTCTGACCTGAGTCCTGTAACCTTTCACGATGAGGTCAACAAAGTTTACAAGGACGTTCTCAGCGGTCAAGCCCTACAACCAGGCATCAAGCCGGGTGATCAAGAAGCAAAGATCAAGATGTATATTCGGGATGCTCAGAAGTGCGCAGAGGCTCTGACGATGGACTCGAAGACATTGACTCCGATCGCGTTCTATGAATTGGCAAAAGATCCCATGTGTGATATGCTTGACGCTGCATTGGGGTCTTCAATCAAAGGCAGTGATCACCACATCTTCAAAGAGCTGACAGAAGAATATGAGAGACGCTTCTTTCAGGACATGAACGATCTCAACGTACTTCAGCCGGACAAACTCGTTCGTGTGACTGAGTACGGCCCTCAGATTGCGAAATTCGTTGATACAATCGTTGATCACAAGTTTGCTTACGCAACCGAAGATGGCTCGGTTTACTTCGATATCAAGGCATTTGAAGCTGCCGGCAACCCTTACGCACGGCTGGAGCCATGGAATCGAGGTGATACATCACTGCAGGCTGATGGTGAGGGCGCGCTATCTCAAAGGGCTGGTGGGAAGCGCTCAGATGCTGACTTTGCATTGTGGAAAGCTTCTAAGCCTGGCGAGCCAAGCTGGCCTAGTCAGTGGGGTGAAGGCCGACCAGGCTGGCACATTGAGTGCTCAGCTATGGCTTCCGACGTCCTCGGCAAACAGATGGATATACATTCTGGTGGAATCGACCTTGCGTTTCCTCATCACGATAACGAACTTGCCCAGAGTGAAGCATACTGGCACTGTGGAAAGTCCACTCAATGGGTCAACTATTTCCTGCACATGGGCCATTTATCCATAGCAGGTTCCAAAATGTCCAAGTCTTTGAAGAACTTCACCACAATTCGAACGGCATTAGACAAAGGGGACTGGACACCGAGAAGTCTACGCATAGTCTTCCTGCTCGGTAACTGGCGTGACGGGATTGAGATCACAGACGACCTCGTAAAAGCTGGCCAGTCATGGGAAGACCGAGTGGACAATTTCTTCATCAACGCGAAAGAAGCTGTGGACACTATTGTGAAAGACCAGAACAGTCCAGTATTAGAGCAAGCTCTAGTAACAGCCAACAGCCAAATCAGAGAAGCACTCAACGATTCGTTCAACACACCCGAAGCAATGGCTGCCATCTCGAGGCTGATCACAGAGTACAACTCGCAAACAAGAACTAGCCTCAGTTATCGGGATCACCGAGACATTGGTGTCTTCATCACTCGGATGGTTAACATCTTCGGCCTCAACGGCAATGGCCAGCCTGACACAACAGAGATTGGCTGGGAGGGCATTGAGATATCGACTGAAGCTAAAACCTATGTTGAGCCTCTCTCAAAGATGCGCGATCAGCTGCGACAAGCGGCCATAGCACGTTCCATCACGAAGGAGCAAATCGAAAAGATAGTCTCAAGTGTAGATGCACCAAAACCCGAATCTCATTCAAGCACTCAAAGGCCTCGTCCAAGCTTCGCAAGGGCTCTTACCGAGTTCAGAGACAATATCCTTCAAGCATCAAGCTCAGACAATAGTACTATGAACCAAGAAATCCTGAAGCTCTGCGATCAAGTACGAGATGTTGCCCTGTGGAATCTAAACGTCTACCTCGAAGATCGAGAGAATCAGCCTGCTTTAGTGCGACCAGTGACGGAAGGGCTACGAGTCGCACGAAAAGAGAAAGAAGAACGTGCCAGACAGAAGGAAGAGGCAAAGAGGAAAAGAGACGAAGAACAAAGACAGAAGCTCGCCAAAGGCAAACTGCGACCGCAAGATATGTTCCGACCGCCTCAAACAGACGAGTTTTCTGCTTGGGATCCAGAAGGCTTGCCCACGACTCTCAGAGATGGTTCTCCTGTTCCTTCCAGTAGAGTAAAGAAGCTCAAGAAGGAATGGGAAAAGCAGAAAAAAGCTCATGATGTCTTTCTACAAGCTGTTCAAGACGGGACTGTTAATGGCAAGCTTTGAAGAGAGAAGACGAGATATAAGCAATAGAGATACTGTCGAGTCGTTCGATACTTGACTTTTGTCAGGAAATTGTCGGATCTGTTCCATGAGCGCTTTCTCAGCCACCGTGAACTGGAATCTATGAGCGCCGCTATTTATTGCCGGAGTGCTGCTGATACATAAGGATTAGAAAAGACCCGTAGGCAAGTCTATAAAATGCGGATGTTGTCAAGCAGTACGAGTACTTCCAGGCAAAGCAAGCGATGGTTGGTGGGACAAAAGAGGGTTCTGCAGGAGCCTCAAAAACCCATGGCGTCATTATCGCGCCTGCATGAGCACATGCATATCAAACAATTCGACATCTTTTTATGACCACCGTAAGACACCATTTCTTCTCATGTTTTACACTCGCTCTATAATTGCAAGATCCTTCCAACCTGCAAGCCTATTTCGCAACCCCCAAATTACTACCAAACATTCCACCATGACCACCAAACTAACCAAAGAATCAACCCTCCCCCTCCCAAATTCCTCCCACTCCATCCCTCGTCTCGGCTTCGGCGTCTACCAGTCCCCCGCCGACGTCTGCAACAAATCATGCACAACAGCCCTCTCATCCGGCTACCGCCACATCGACACCGCCCAATTCTACGCCAACGAGACACAGGTCGGCGAAGCAGTCCGCAACTCAGGCCTGAAGCGTAGCGACGTCTACATCACGACCAAGATCCTGTCCGCGGGCGGCAGCGTCGACAAGAGTTACCAGAAATGTCTGGATAGTGTGAAGAAATTAGACGGCGAGGATGGATATGTTGATTTATTTCTGATTCATAGTCCGAATGCGGGGAAGGCGGCGAGGGAGGAGATGTGGCAGGCGCTGTTGAGGGCGCATAAGGAAGGGAAGGCGAAGGCGATTGGGGTGAGTAATTTTGGGATTGGGCACATTGAGGGGCTGAAGGGGTTGGGGGATGTTTGGCCGCCGCATGTTAATCAGATTGAGGTATGTGTTTGAATTGCTTGAGTGAGTAAATGAGTGAAAGGGATACTGACCGTCGTAGCTTCATCCATGGTGTCAGCAACGCGACGCGGTCGAGTACTGCCACAAGAATGGAATTGTGGTCGAAGCCTATTGTCCTCTTGTTCGAAACCAGAAAGCTGACAATGAGACTTTGGTTGGGCTGGCGAAGAAATACAACAAGAGCACTGCACAGATTCTCATTCGATGGAGTTTGCAGAAAGAGTGGGTGACACTACCGAAGAGTGATACACCGTCAAGAATCAAGGAGAATGGTGACGTTTTCAATTTTGAGATCTCAGACGAGGACATGAAGGCACTGAACGACCTTGACGAAGGAGCTGCAGGTGCTATTGTACAAGCAGTGACTAATTCGTAGGACGAGGCAGCTCGAAACGAGAGGATACTGGTGACGCAACCCAGAAGAGAACATTGGCTTCTCCAGCACGATGTATCTGTTGTCTAACAAAAAGAATTGCAGCATGTCGACTATTTTTCTATGTGGATCGAAAGGAGGTTGCCTGCGTATCGAGGATCAGAAAAGTCAGTCGGAACGACCCATCAGAAATGAGTTTACGGCCTGAAGCGTGGCTCTAGAAGGGTTTGCGTCTGGTTTGGACGAAGTGATCCATGCCAGACGTTGTTTGATGAATTGCTTGTCGATAGACCGAAAGCGGAAAAAGTCGATTGTACCTGGATGAAATTAGTTTGGTAGAATAGACATGACCAACAGACTTACCTTGATCGTGATAGAAGCAGCACAGAAGTACAAGGACAACACCAACTGACAGATCTCGGCCTGTCGAACATGTAACTAGTACCTTTGCATTTGGCGTCTTTTTCAATGTCTGTTCACATCGTGCTTTGACCTGAACCAACTTCTCCCTAAGCACTTTGCTGCCCAGCTTGCCTTGTTTGCAACCGAGTGCGAGCAGCTTTTCGTCGTCCTGTTGTACATTAGCGTTGCACGCAATGACTATACTGAACGTTTCTCGAGTCTGCTTCGACACCTCGTTGCTGCCGGTTGCGATGAACAAATTTGTCGTTGGTGCGACAAGTATAGCATGACCAACGTGCTGGGAAACTTTACTGCTGGCAACAATGTCGTCGACAAGCTGTTCCAAATCAGCTCCTTCGTGCACAGCCTCCATGAGTACCTGCTTGTTGTCCCAAAACAACTTGGCGGTCAATCCACGACTCCAACCTTCGCTATCGTCGCCAGCACCTTGTATGTAGCCATCCTCGCTCATCTCGGCACCTAAGACACGTTTCGAAGCTGAGCAGCAGATCAGAATGTTAATGTTATTGGTCCCAGACGCCTGTTGGCTACGCCATGTCTCCGATTGGATTTGTTGTACAAGGTTCTCGAAGCATTCTTCCCAGTGTTGCTTGTCACCAGGTTGCGAGACCCAGACACATCGTACTGGACATTTGACTTTCTGTCTTAGATCTTCCAGACTAAGACCAAGCGCTCTTAAATCTGCTGCAAATTGTGGTATTCGGCTTTCAATCTGTGAAGTCTCACTACCTTCTAGTCCGAAGCTCTGGAAATCACAATACCCACTGTCGACCATTTCGGGGAACAGTACACGATTCCAAACTGTAGACCAAATGGGTACTGTTCGCCTCAAAGCGTCTGGGTAGGATTTACCACGTCTAGTCGTGTCTATGAGGACACATCCTGTTCCTTGAGAAGATGCGTGGCCAAGAAGTTGGAGGACGGGGAGGTTAAGTCGGCGAGTGCTAAAGGACCATTGAGAAACATGTCCATCTGTAGACTTGAAGTATGCGGAAACTGGTTGTACATCTACCCGCTTTTCGTTTCGAGGTTCCTGGGACAAGAAGGATGTTTGTGACTCGAGCTTCAAGGCTGGATCGAGAGCCCAGGAGCCTGAGCGCTCATTAGGAATGAGGGGCCAGATAGCATCTTTGGATTGATGGGAAGAGCAGTGATCATTGAGATAGTGCTGTAAAGCTTCTACGAAGTTTGCGTCTTGCAGAACAGAAGTTAGTCGGTTTGGAATACTAAGTGTTGATTTGCGAAGAGCAGAAAGTGTGCTGTAAATTGATTTGTTTGTTCCTGAGCTGACCAACGGAAGGTGGTGGTCAAGATCCGCTAACGTCGTTGGGAAGGTGCTCGTGTGATTTACAGGCGCAATGAACTCTGTGGTTGACGTGGCAGGTTTTACTGCAGGATCGTCCTGCTTGCTGTTCTGGTAGTCAATCGACATACCATCTATCTTCGGTCAAAGCGGGCGATTTCAAGGTGCTTCGTTTGTGCTAGCAATTTGTCATGGCGCAAAAGGGTTGCTAGGCACAAAATGAAATGCCTGTTCATCAATCAGTACTGCTGGTTCCTAGTGGTGCGTCAGTGAAACGAGTACTGACAACATACTGATCGGTTGTTCGAAACGTATGAAAAGTTGTTCGTACAGGGGCAAGTGGTAGTGAATGGACTTTTAGAGTCTTGAGTTAAGCGGTAATGTACATCTTTTATATTTTTGGCAGTAGCCAGCTCAATCCAGAGTGCCGTTGAGACACGGGAGAGCGCACTCATCTTTTGCGATCCTGGGTATCAATCGTAGCAAATCTGCTTGGTCATTTCTCACTCTCAGCCCAAGCATGACTGTATTCGCCAATCCTAGCACCCAACCAACCCTGGTCATGTCTGGCCCCTACGAACTCGTAACACTTGTGTATAGGCAAGATATGCGTGAGCGGCGCGGTACTCTTTGAACATCATCTTCTCCTCGAAATAACAAGCTATTTGAAAAGTTCCACGACCTAACCCTGAGCCTGATGTGCATCGTCCTGCATTTGTGTAGTGTCTGAGACGGGACCTCCTCCGTTCGTCGTTGGCATTGAACCATTACCATTGACACCCATCCCCGGTGCCATGCCCACATCCAATGGCTCCATCATGGACAGAGAAGGATCGAAGACGGGCTGCAGGCTATAAATCGGACACTTGAAGTCATCACCATCGAACAGTAGTAGATTTTGCAAAGGCTGCTCTCGCATACCGAGCACGTTGATCACGTCTTGAGCTAGCTGACCTCCAAGGAAAGCCGCAGTCGGCGGTATCTCTGTGCCTAGATTTTGTAGGAACATTCGAAACACTGTAGCGGTCAGTGTCTCATGAGGTAGCTGTAATTCCAGATGCTTTTCATTGGTAATCTTTGTATACAAAGCAAGATCTTCTGACCTGCCACTCGGTTGTCTGCCGGTCTGCTTCTGGAAGTCAAAGAGGCCGCGCAAGCATGAAATGAGTGGTGGAACTCTCATTTTGGCTCTCCTTGATCTGATAGTTTCTGGGGGAAGTGGTGACGAATTGGCAAGCATTAGAGGGCAATACATCTCCTGCTTCGTCACGATCTCTCTGAGTTTGTTGTTTTCCTTTTTGGTTTCCACGTGCACGACCATCCTTGTGGATGTTTCTGCCGTTCCAGCTTTGGAGGGAATATTTGACTTATCCTTCTCAATCACGAAGGAGTGCATGATTAGATCAGAGAAGACATAACCATATAGACCATGCAGATCGGCAGCATAAAACTTGGTGTTGAACATTCGACACGACATATTGATCGTAGAAGCCATCTCGAAAGGCTGGCTGGTCGCAATAACAATCTGAAATGCAGCAAAATACTGCGGCATCTTTGTCATGATCCCTTCCTGGTCAGCGATAACATTGACCCTAGGATTCATTCTTCTGAGCTCTACAGCCGCAGCTTCTGCTCTGTTCTTGCCGATATTTTCCTCTGTTATCAAGAACTGGCTGCCCAGATCTTCTTCGATCACATTCTCGTGATCAAGGATAGTAAGACTTCCTATTCCTGCTAGAACCAAGTTCTTCGCGATCTCGTTCCCCAACGCTCTGATACCAATCAATAGAATATTTGCATTCCTAATCATCTCTTGCGCTTTTACACCCCATAACCGGATCTGGCGGTCGTACAAGGCTATCTCATCTGCTGAAATGGACTGCATAGGAGGTAAAACAGGCATCATGGTTGGATCTGCCATAGATGCCATCAGGCCTGCAGGATCTTGAGGTTGTCCAGGGAGGACCGGAAGTTCTGTGTTCGCTCCATTGCTCATTGTAGTTGGGTCGAGAGGCGCTTGTGTGTCTGCTTGTGACTGTGATGAGTCTGCCATGTCGCACGGGCGGGAAAGGGTCAGAAATGCATGTACGTGGTAGAAGAAACAGCCGAAGATACGGGTAAATGCGAAAACGTAGGGAGTGAGGACAGGACGAGCTCGAAGTGAAGCTTCATTCTGGTAAACATAAATGACTTACTTTCAGCTAATGCTGCAGGTTGAGTGGACACTTGGACTAGGCAGTACCGGGGCAGTGGTTAGGCACGGGTGGACACACAGAAGCACATGTCCAGGCATTTCCATGGCTTAAAACAATGTGGGGTGCATGCTCGGTGGCTTCGTTCACTGGACATCTTCTGACGACCATCCTACTCAGCCAACATCGTTCAACTGTAGTCTTTGCTCAAAGTTGATTGTGCACTGCTTCCAATATTACTTGGTCTATCTACCATCGTTAGGGTCTGCCTTCGAAATCTCTCGTTTTTTAGCCATTCAGGTGACGGAGGCGGTTGCCTTTGTTCGGCTGCATAATGGTACGCAGGTCGTATTATTACTCAGCGACAAAGGTTAACGATGCAGGATGGTTCGCGCGATCGTGCCTCGAGGCCAATGACCACTGAAAATATTGCTGCCCGTATCCAATCCTTACGGAACATCCTAAGTAGTGAAAGGCATACCACGGCAGAGCAACAAGTGGCGCTAGAAGCTCTAGATAGAGAAGAGGCAGACCGTCGTCAGACTATAGAAAGAGAGAGTGACTCAGCTCTTACTACAGGTCCTCGCCTGCATAGCAACGGGGAGCATTGGGAACCACGAGGCAGCACAAGTCCTGCTTCGGTGGCACGAGAACGTCGAAGAGGCTTCAGGCCCACTGCAAGGCTGGCTCATCAGCGTGATCGTATGGCCCGACTGGCAAGAACTGACCCCGTAGAGCAAGTCACCACTGCTGCTTCCACCTTACCGCCTTTGCATGCTGCACGAACCAGACAGGCATCCGTTGAACTCGACCTCGAAGCTCCACCTATGAGAGAAGGCAGATATCCAAAGCGCCGCAAGCTCGATGATGGTACCTTTGACGAGGCTCGTCAGTGCCCGGAATACGGTTTAGATGGGAGTCTGCGGCCTGGTAACCTCCAGATGAAAGTGCTTTGTGCTGGCAATTCCTACGATGCTCGTTCCACATCCGATGAGATTGCTAAGTTGAATCTCTGGGCAGCTGACAACAGCGATGTCTTCCGAAGCAAACGGAGGAGGTGTACTATCTTGATGAAACATCAAGGAGGCTGGCCATTCAGTTTGTCGAAACTTGTTGTTAAGATACCTAAAGACGACTATGATTCCATGCCTCTCCAGGGTATGGTCTTTATAGCCATGACTGACGACAAGCTGCTTGAAAAAACTTCGCACTATGACAGCCTGGAGCCAGTCTCCTACCCTGTTCAACGATTGCGAGCATACGACAGTTATCGTCCCTCACAAGACTATCTCCCTCGCCCACGATCACTATTTGGTGCACCATCTCATGTCCGACCTATGCCTCGTCCACATGATGTACAATGGTGTGACTCTAACAATTTCGACGAACCAGTTACCATAGGTCTTGTTGAAGGCTTCGACACGACGGTAGAGACTGTTCTCGAAGAAAGTAGCGATGTCCTGTCATCTCCACGTTCACCACGTCCCTGGCATGACCCTGATCACGAATATACCAGGAGACAGTATGCTCTCAGAGCAGAAACTTACCGTCCGAATTATGCTGCGGAAGAGCGTCGGCGGATTAGGGCGGCTGCTTATGCTGAAGCCACCGAGCAAAGCCGCGCATCCACTACACCGTCCGATTCAGAAGACGAAGACGTGCCGCTCTACCGTGGTGTGCCGTCTTCGCAAAGAGAACTCAATGAGGCAGAATATCGGCAACAAGTCATTTTGGAAGAGATGCGTGAAAGGCGGAATAGGGGTGATGGCTTTACCTACCACTGGACGAGATACGATAACGATGGTGACACCGCGAGCCATGATCACGAGGTAGCTGGCGCGCAAGCTGCTTCCAGGTCCACAAACCATACATCCAGTAAGCGTTTGCCGACCACCAACGAGATGACTCAGAATAGGTCCGCACTATCTGGATCGGACGACAACGACCAGAAGATATTGCCACATGCCAGGTTCCAAATGGTTAAACAAGGGGGCGGAATTTCCATCAACTTCGAACCAGCAATGTAAGTCACATCATATCAAAAAAATTTATCTTTGTACTGACTAGTCTGCAGATCTGGAAAGTATATTCTTGTCAAGTTATGGACACGTTGTCCGCACAGTTGTGTGACTGTCCAGGGAGTTGTGCCATACGGCTACGCAGGTTTACGGCAACTGCCTGATCTGTCTTTCAGATGAGACTAATCGCCTGCCCACGCTTTGCTGAGAAGCTGATCGAGCAAATCGTTCACGATGAAATACTTGTTGGCGGAAAGACTAGGATTCTGCTTTGTTGGATACTATTCACTATCTTAGAAGATTTGTTGAATAAAACATGGCACGCGCCACTTTCGGGACGACGGTCCTCCAGCTGCACTTTGTGTCGGATGCCCACGATTTCTGTCCGCATCTTCTGCCACGATATCAGTGCCTACAACGCGAAAAGTCGCGTCATGAGCTATCGTCACCCACGCAATGGTCTGCTACTTCCTGCTTTCACGGCAATTTCTGGGACCTTTCCGTCAATTTTCGCCAGGGTTTCCGTGCTTTCCCCTTTAACATGCCCACATCTTGTCTTAGAAGTCCTTGTAAACGATAAAGAGAAGATCTGCAGCATCTGGCCCAAATAGCAACAGACAGAGTTCTGGTATAGAGAGAATACATATCGCTCTCAAATTCATCAGAGAGAGAAAACACAAATACGTCCTATCCATCCAGGCTCTTCCTTTATTCTCTTCAACTTCCTCTCTCCCAAAATCTCCTCCTCCACCTCTAACGCCCTGACCCACCCCTCCAACAACAAAGCCAGCCTCAAACAAGTCGAAGCATTCCTCCACGAAGTCGCTTTCACCATCGAAGCGAATAAGACTCTGGAAAAGAGAATCAAACAGAAGGAAAAGGAGCTCGATGAACTCAAGTAGTTTAGGGATTTTACTCAGCTAGCTCTTGGACTGGTACTGTTCGGGACTCTTTGGGTGATGAGTGGGAATGTGGGAGGAGGGTCGAGTGTTTGTGCTATTGGTGGTGTGGAGTAGGTAGAGGTTGGAGGTGATGAGATGGATTGAAAAGGGATCTTGAGAGATACACAGAAGGAGGACCAAAGATATGCGATGTTCATGTGAATATGTGCCATATTGGAATCCGATCTTGACATCTGTGAGGTGGTCAGGATGATATTTTTCGGACCAAGTACTGAGGACGACAGGAAGACGGATTGCAACGGTTAACCATTCTCGAGACCGTGATATGTATCTGTGACAAGTCGTGCATCCCGCTCAATCTATTCAACAACAAAGACTAAGAACTAAGAATACCCAGCATTACAAAAACCAATATCGGAATCGAGCCCAACTAGTTAATCACAATCATCAGTGTAACACATATCCAGGGCTGACAGAAGGGTATCTTCAAGAACTGAATACAAATAACATGCCTCCCGTTTTGCTTACCGTGACCATCCATGTATTCCGTCCTCCCTGCGTCCCCTTTCTTCTAAAATGACGAGCTCGTAATGGTCATTCATTCGTGCCATATATGTTCATCAAGCTTCGTGACAGGTATCTGCCTCACGACACCAGAGCAGCAGCAATCCCTGTAGGCTCGACTGGATCAGAACTAAGGAACCAATCGCGCTTGTTGAACTTCTTTGCTTCCCTTTCTGCTTCTAGCGCATCCGCATCAAGACTGTGATGCTCTTCAAGCCCCATTCCTATGCCACTGTCTTCATGTAAGCCCGACGTTCTGCGTGGGTCGTGGACAGGTTTCATTGGCGAGGTAAAGCCAGTTCGGAAAGATGGTAGGTCGAGGGGACCTCCACGAGAGATCTCGGCCATGTCATCATCGTCCTCAATGGCGGTACCCCCAACACTGATTGATATTTGCGCTGCAGAGATAGGTGGTGGTAGCTCAGTTGTTGGAGTAAGTACAAGAATATTGTTAGTGACGGTTGTAGTCTTCGATGGAACCGCAAATGTGCTAGAGACTGCAGAGTCCGGCTCTGGCTCGGTATCAGCTCCTGCTGTGTTAGGTCGTGATGATACGGGCGACTTCGCACGCTCTTCGCCCCCAATATCAGCACTAGATCGCTTGCGTTTTCGTTCCTCGAGTAGACCGCTTGAGCTCCTGTACAGCCGTGCCTGTTCGTCCTTCTTTTCCGCCTCACGCTTATCGAAGGCTCTTTGCTCCTCCATTGGCAGCATGAATCCTTCCAACTCTGTCATGAATGTAAGAAGCTGGTGAGCAAAGTTTTCGAAATACCACCAGGACTGGTAGCTAATAGCACCGTTTGCACCGAACTGGTTCAGCATGCTTCTGAAGAACCTGGTCTGCCAATCAAGCATACATTGTGGGTGGTGGCCATCAAACACTTCTGGGAGGCTTTCCAACCATGAGACAAGACGAGCAAGTAGATCACCGGATGCATCTTCAGGCGATAATAGTCCTTCGATGGGCGTATGATCTTGAAAAAGTCTTGCAAAAGCACTCGTCGGGTCCTGCTCAGCAGCAGCAACGAGCGGGTCAGGATCTGGCCCTAGTAATTCTCGTAGATCGTGCTTAAGCATGCCTTGGACGGCTGATAATCCTTCAGGCGGCGCGTTAGATTCTAGGATGAGCAACTCAGGGTCTAGTACCGAGCAAGCATCGAGCCACATTTGCTGTCGCGTTTGTGGGGCTTCGAGCATTCTGTTGAGTTGAAGTGTTGAGGTGTGTGCTGATCGCAGTTTCCTAAGCAGATTTGTGAAGCGTGCGGCAGGTACAACCTTGGCTGACACCACGTGAGGAGGACTCTTCTCTTCGAAAGAAGAAATGAGATGCCCTACAAGCCCGACACTAATTCTATCGAACGCATTCCATACAGCTTCCGGCACTTCTTGCAGCACTAGTGGAGGCATATATTTCAGTATTTCCTTGTACATGCGCATATCGCACTCCTGTATCCACGGGGCTAGGCATTCGAGGTTGAAGAGCTTTGAGACTGGAACTGTCATCTTACCACTGAAGGCAGAATGATGATTGAAGAAGTTTTTGTCCTTGCATTTCCGAAAAGCGTCAATGACATCGATGCAATAAGAGCGATACAGATCGTGTAGCAGTTTCGCGATTTGGGGGTCATAGTTTTCCCCTGCTAGATATTCGTGTATGTCAGGTAGCTCAACCAAACTGCCTTGAGATGATGCCGAAGGCTGCATTAATGTGGTTCTGGATGGCATGGATAGATATGTTGCAACAGTCCCGAGCATGCCGGGTCGTGCGGAAGGTAAAGTATTTAGGAGTGAAACAGAGAGGTTATTTCGAGGAATGCGTAATACAGGTGTGTTGATATATCGACAGTCCAGCTTATGAGACTCGGTGTTTGTGCGTCTTCTTGTCGGTTCTTGTGGTGTTCTGGAGGCTACAGAAGTGGAAGGTGCAGGAAAATCGGCTGTTTCCATTGACAACCTTGGCGGCAAAACATTGAGGCTGACAGGTCTTGTGTTCAGCTGTAAGGGACGGCTTATTGAAGCCGAAGAACCAGGTCGCTCTGGTAGGGGACCTGAAGCTGTGCCTGGACGGTCGAAAGTGTCGAAGCCAGGATCGTTCTCGTCAGGAATCAGAGAAAGGTCGACGTAATGGTATTTCGACTCTCCCCGCACACCCAATCTGCGGGTCTGAACGTTTGGGAAAATGATACGAACTAGCTTGCCGAAAGAAGCTGGGTTGAGGGTGGGAACTCTTTCATTACCACATCGCTCGGTGTAGCGTGCGAACACGCGATCCCTCCTGACAGATTCGTTGCTTCTTTGACACGTCTCTCTCAACCAGAGCATCGCGAAGACTTGCTTGGCCTTTTCTGATTTTCCACCAGAACCTTCATTCTTCTGCACCTCCATGGCTACCTCTTTCAGTGACCTGGACTGATATTGCTGCAGTAGACGCCGTAACTCTTGGTCGTTTGCCATACTCGAAGAGGCACCTTTCCTTTTCTTTGAGTTGGCTTCGTTGTTCGAGTCTTCTGGAGCCGGAGAGCCTTCGTACTGTTCGGAAGCATTACGCATGTGGTGGATGTGTTGAGTAGGCATGCCAAAGTTTGACATGCCATCCGCGTATTGCATGGGCATAGCTTGAATGTTGGCGTAACCATGCTGTGAGACGGGTCGCATTTCATGGTGTACGGCCATCTGAGAGGGATGAGGAGCACGCATGGATTGCATGTGCTGTTGGTACTGCATCATGTTCGGATGCTCTATACTTTGTGAAAACGAAGGGGCCTGTTGCTGAGCATCTCCCATGAAATAGGACTGCTCTACAGAGACATGTTGAGGATGATTTGGTTGTACAGGCTGAAAAGAATTCCCGACTCCTACTGACTGTAGACTTCCTGTTGACCCGCGAGACTTTGGACGTAGTTGACCATGTGATGAAGCAGCGGATGCAGAGCGGGATGGTGGAAGGTTGTCTATCGAGCCTTGTCTAGGTCGAGACTGTTTTGTGGATGTATTGGCCATGTTGTCTGTGCGGAAATTTCGAAATTTGATTGAAGCGGATCTGTGTATACAAACAATGACGCAGGGTTCGAGTGTGCGATCTCAGCGACGAAATTTGTAGGACGCAAATAGATCCAGCATGCCTTGCGAATTCTTTACACGTCGGTCGATGGATGCGACTCAAGGTCTTGCGCAATGGCTGCTCGGGTTGATGTCGATGGAGAGTTGTTATGCCTACAAAACAAACTGCGCCATCGCGACGGTCGTGGCTGGAAATTCGTTTGTGCTGTTGCTGTGGTCTTAGATGTGAGCAGACGCGTCTCGTTTGGCTTTGTACTCGGTGTATTGAACAGCACGTTCGCCTGTGGGTGTTTTCCGAGGGTATAGCTTCGAGTCGTTTGTGCACCGTGTTGTGTCGAAGCTCTCAGATCATCCCACAACAAAAAGCGTCCTCCAGGCAACTGAGTGGGTCACGCTAATACCAATATAGTTGGTGCCTCGAATGTCGCAACTTCCTCTGTTGACCAATCGTTCTTGCTTCCGGCACCATCTGTTATTCTTGAACAACACCTACCTTTTGCTTTGCACGGCCTGGTCGCAGTGTGTTCTACGGTGAACAGTCTCTCCAATATGATCAAGCGAGGATGAGAATAGCCATATCGAAGTTCTTGCTTTGTATCCCAATTTGTTTCTCGGAAATTTTCACGACCACTCACACGGTACTCCGGACGCTATTTTCTCTGTGTGATCAGACTGTTGGCGCTGCCGTTCAGCCTGGCCAGCATCCAGTATGATCGTGATCTTAATGTGATTACTCAATCTGCGCAGTCACATTGTCAATGAGAACCTACCATGGGTCACGTGGAATAGCGAGCATATCTAACGAGAAGTACGAGGTAAGAGCCATCACGAGGACTACGAGAAACCCCGGACTAAGGGGAGTAGAGCCTTGGTTATCTTTCTGGATGTGTCTTCTCATACACAGTATATTGCTGAACCACGACTCGTTCCAAAAGGGAAGGAAAATCCTCATGTGATACGACCGATTATCAACGAATTCAGGCACAAAAAGCATGTGATAATCGATCCCCAACAAACCTACATAGCAATAGTTATGAATTGACCACCTTTTTGGTCATCTCTGTCGCAGCAGTGGTCGTTTCAGGCTTATTTATTCAGTAGAGGAGGAATTCGTGCTTGCAGTAATCATGCCCTGTCGAGCAATAAAACTAGAAACGTGTAGTATGTACAGTTTCACGAAGGATATTATCATGTTTCGGAGTTGGTCATCATCAAGCAGCTCTGACGTCGACCGTTCGTTTGATTTGCCAAGGCGACTGCGACTGACACACTCCCATTGACCCCCATATTCCCCTTGCTCTTTTTCCATAGTCCGAACAAACTACTTTACTCACGTTGTCGCGGAGTCTATATCAGTGTCGAGAACATACCGCTAGTTTCATCTATCAACGTTAAACCACCTACCATCTCACTACTCTATATACCACAATGTCTATCCAGGATAGGGCACAACATCAACTTGGGCAGCTCGACAAGGAGCTGTCGAAGTATCCTATGCTGAACAACTTTGAGCAGCAGACCTCGATCCCTAAGAGTTGGGCACTACTTGGCCTTGCAGGACTATACTTCTTCCTCGTCTTCTTCAACATTGGTGGAGAGTTTCTGGTCAACTTTGCTGGCTTCATTATTCCCGGATACTATTCCCTCGACGCTCTGTTCAGCGCGAGTAAGATAGATGATTCCCAAGTGAGTATTCGACCTCTAATGCCTCAGACAAGTGCTTTTGCTAACAATTCCTGCAGTGGTTGACCGTGAGATACCCCTCCCTCTCGTCCGGCGGCTCGTAGCCTGCGACGGTGAGGCAACTACGGAAGATGCAAACACTAACACGTTACAGTACTGGGTCGTATATGCCTTCTTGAACGTCCTTGAGAGCCTGGTCAACGCCGTCTACTGGTTCCGTAAGTCTTCACCTTGTCTACCCCACCTCACAGACACTAACGCGCAACAGCATTTTACTACGTCTTCAAGTTCATCCTCGTCCTCTGGATGGCACTCCCCATGACCAACGGAGCCCAAGTTGTCTTCCGATCAGTCATCCAGCCAGTCTTCTCCCGGTTCTTCTCCACCACTGGCAGCACTGCTGCCGATCTTCGAGCGAAAGTGGACTCTGCGGGAAAGAGCCAGTAAATGCACAATCTGGACGAACAAACAAAGAGAAACATATCCGCAACCACGATGCGAGTCGTGAAATTGGGAAAGCAGTAGCAGTAGGCTTGTCGTGACTGGGACAAAATTCGCGAAGGACGAGAAACGAAGTAATGAGGTCGTTGACCATGCAAGCGTGGATTTGATATGATGATATATGATTGCAAGGTCTTAGGATGGTATTGATACTTGGAGCGTATGGAGTATGAACAGCACAGTACGAGTGTCTGTGGAGGTAAGCCCTGAGATAGCTGTGACAGATTCAGTAGGCCTGAAAACAGCAGCATTTCACTCTGGTATCTCTTGTCCCTGATTCTGCTCTTAGGCTCTCAATTCCTACTACTATATACATAGCAGTTGAGGAGCACACATCTTCCTTCCACGTCCAGAGTTGTGGCACGTAACAGCTTGCTCATATACTTAACAGCATTGCAACAGCACTATGGTCCAAGACAGCAAGTTTGAGCGTCTCCGTCTCATGTTCAGGTCCAACCTCCGAAGCCTCTGTCCAAAGTCTGCTGCTGTTTTGGGTTGACCAAAATCTTGTATGGAAACGGGTTCTGTTCACTGGTTAAGATAGGTGGGATGTGATCCTTATCTCTGTTTACAATAGCCACTATCTTCATAGCAGCCTTCTGCAGAGAGGACTCCATTGCTCGCCGAACTTTTATGCGATCTGGGGAAAGTTTCAGCAAAGGTTCGAGGTCGCCAAGAAGATTGAGTCTGACCAGCCTCAGTCCTTGGTCTAGCAACAACCACTTGGACAACCCATTCCTCCCAACAGACTTCCTCCTCCGTCTGTGTACCACCAAGTCGTCCCAGCCAACCTCCGGTTATACCCGCCTTTCTCCTCTTGCGATCAAATAGCTGCACCACAACTTCTCCTCGCGAGGCACCAGCGCCAGGGCTTGTAGAAGAGGGCGAGGTCAACTGACTCACCAGCGCAGCAGTATGCGCATCAATAGCCGCTGAAACTTCTGGTGGCTCACGGATCGTGGGTAGTGGCACAGGAAGAGATTCCTGAGAGCGGGAACTGCTGTACGACGCAGCGGAGGTCGGAGTATACAGAGACGGCCGTATCGAGGGGAAGTATCTGTGAAAGAAGATTGTGTGTAGTATCCCTGTGAGCTCTCTGTCAGTTGCACCACCTTTCAGCCTGTCCGTCCATCCGAGCACGGCTGGCAGTGATGATACTTGACAATGGCGCAGCGCATACCTTTGACTATATCTCTGACAAAGTTCTGATCGGAGAAGACTTCCAGCACGTACTCCCGGTGCGTGCTTGCCATTTTCTTGTTTTACAAGATGTCCTTGAATTGAAATCCCTACTACTGGCTGATGGTGGTGGGGCTCTCGCTTACAGGCTTTTTTATGGCTGAAGGGATGATTCGGCTTGCCAACAATGGGCGCCGAACTAGAAAGAAGCACTCATAACATGGCGACAGCAGGAGCGAATGCTCGTAGTAGGAGTCACTGGGTGCGCGATGTCTTCTACAGGGTTTCAAGCACATCCGGCGGAACACACAGGCAACAAGGAGATGAGGGCCGGGTTGTGTTTTGAGTGGTAAAACCTTGTTCATCCCGCTTTTGACATCATTGACGGGGCAATCAGCGCTTTGTATCGGCTTCCGGGGTCCCTGGCTCTGTTTAAACAAAGAGCTTGGGTGTCCTCGTCCAACCACTACGGCGACGATACACACGTCAATATCGATGATGTATTTGGTTATGCAGGTCGTGTACTCAGCCATTGATGGCTTGTGGTGGTAAGCACGAGATGTAAGTCGTATAGAGTGGTTTGCTTTCTCCTTGACCGCGCCGAATAAATATGCTCGACATCCCTTGGTCATTCAAGGTATGAACATAAGTGGAACATGCCCACCTACGCTCTGCTAGGAGCTACAGGCTCGACCGGATCAGCAATTCTACGATGCTTATTGTCAAAGCCGCCAGAGCATCTCACGCTCAATGTCTTCGTGCGCTCGAGATCTAAATTAGAAGAAGCATTCCCTGATCTGACGAGCACGACTGCTATCACAATCAATATCATTGAAGGTACAACAGATGATGTCCCTGCGATGCGAGAATGTTTGAAGGACGTCGAGGTAGTGATGGCATGCATTGGGTCAAACTCCAGCACGCCGAAGATGTCCCTCATATATGACACTGCCGTTGCCATCATTGACGCACTTGAGGCCCATCGCAACACTCAGGTTTCTGCTTACAAGCCTCCTACAGTAATACAACTCCGATCTGCCTCGTTGAACACCGTCTTCAAGGCCGCTCATCCATGGGTGACCCGCAATGTCGCAGGATTTTGCTTCTATTACGCCTACGACGATCTGACTCGAGCCTGCAAACTTTTGGCTTCATCTGCAGCAGAATCTTCAAGACTGCTGGACTACATCTTTGTGGATCCACCTTCCATCCACGATGCCGATGGCACGGTACCGACAGGACACAAGTTGATCCTGGAGGGAAAGCAGGAACAGGTATTGAGTTACGCGGACCTCGGTGCAGCCTTCTGTGAAGTGGCTGAACGTCGAGACGAGTTCTCAGGTCAAGGAGTTGGTGTCACGGCCACTGGTGCTGTAAATGAAACCTGGGGAGTACTAGTTGGGTATATGCTCACAGGTGCGAAGTCGAGGATATGGGGATAATTATCCTCTATGCTTTGTTCTGTACTTTTAACGTGTGATTCCTCTATCTGAAGACCCTGGGGTCTCCACTAATATTGATTAAGGTCACTCTCGAGACCACACGCTCCGACTCGTTCTGAATATTAAATGTGCCTCTCGAATGAGTAGTGATGCAAAGTCACGAACGTCGTCTCAACTGTCACTGCCAGGAACAGCTAAGATAGCCTAATCACGCTAAACAGGGAGTCTGTTCCACCGCGATTGCGAGATCTCGCAATATCGTAAACCGAGGCACGAGCCACATCTACAATCGTGTCATTACCCGTTCTATCGTACAATTCAGGTACTTATCGTTAATCCGAAAAGAATATCTGAATAATTGCAGTGACAAACCCAAGTCAGTCTCACTTGCCTCGTATAGACCCCTCTGTCCACAGCTGCCGCGCCATGTCGCTCCTGCATCGACCACGATAACCATTCAATCGTTCGTCATGTTCTCAGCCACACGACATTGGCTGCGGAGGAATCGAACAGGAATCGCAATTGGTGCTGCTGTAGTCAGTGGTACCTACCTAGTTGGACATTATGTTCTCGGCAAGATCAACGATGCTCGCGAGCGTGCTGCCCTGGACAAGGTCGCGAAGGAGAAGTATGCGATATCGGTAATGCTCGTATACACTTGCTAATGATGCTCCAGTATTCGGATGAGATTCGAACAAAACCAGGTCGATTGCTCAATAACAGTCCTCGCCCTCTTACCGACCTTGACAGAGAACGTCGTTGATGCCCTTCCAGCCGAACAATTGACCCAAGAGCTACAGCAGAAGAAAGCTGAGAGATTACAGCGTGCTGCCGATGGGGGCGCACCTTCAGAAGTATCGTCTATGCGCGATGGAGATACTGCGAGCTTATCGAGCTTCCAGACTGGCAGCTTTATGCATACTAGCCAGCTGGATCAGAGTGGTATGCCTCAACAGAGAAGGACAAAAGCTCAGCTGTGGAACGAACTGAAGATTACCTCAATCGTGCGAGCATTCACATTGATTTACTCTATGTCCCTCCTCATTCTGTTGACGCGAATACAACTCAACTTGCTAGGACGATTGAATTACCTATCATCAGTTGTCAAATTATCACAGCCTCCATCACCAGAAAGAGGGAACTCGATATCACTTGAGAATCACGAAGATTTGGGGATAGCAAATTTCGGAAATGATTTCGAGACAAATCGCCGCTTCCTGACCTTTTCGTGGTATCTGTTACACCGAGGCTTTACACAGATAATGGCCAAGGTGAGGACTGCGGTCGAGGAGGTCTTCGGCAACATCTCACCTAACGAGGGTATCTCACAGCAGAGGCTAAGCGAACTCGTCATTGAAGTCAGAAAGAAAGTGGAAGGACCGACAGAACAGGACAGATACAACACCAGATGGCTGCCATACGTGTTACCACCAAGGGAAGAGGAGGAGTCAGTGCTTGTAGAATCGGGTGTCATCACACCACCAAGCACTTCATCGGCAATAGAAGGTGAATCACCACCAGAATCTCAGCGCACTTCATACGTCGACACCTCAAGTGGATCGTTGAGGAGACTGCTTGATGAGGCTGCCGACCTTGTCGACTCTCCATCCTTCTCAAGACTACATATGCTCATACTGAATTCTATGTTCTCTCGTCTGATAGATGGAAAAGTCATTGCACAATTCTTCCCACATCAGAGTTCACCCCCTCCATCGGATACTTCATCTCATGCACCACGAATACAAGAGCTCGATTCAGCCGTCACTGTGGTACCAGATCAACCGCGCGTTAAGCTCGCCTCGATCCTTGCCATTTTGACAAGACAAGCACATATTATTGGAAATGGAAGCAACCCACCAAATGAATATCTGGCAGGTGTCGATGCTGAGGTCAAAGAGCTGGACTCGTTTGCTGCAGTAATTTACACGAGTAACATCGAAGCTGGTATCGATCAGCAGCAGCAGAGCATGAATGAGGGAGGCAAGTTGAAGACTACAGAGGGATTTGCTGTTTCTTCTGTTGGCGAGGCTCCAGTAGAGGAGTTGGTGAGCAGCAAATTAGAAAGTGCTTGGGAGAAGGTTACAGGAAGCACGATCGGATCGCGGTAGCAGTACTAAACCTTCCAGCGACTGGATGGATGTTCGATTATATCAATACGAAATGTTACGAGTTTTGCACGGGTCAGAGCCAGTGCCATGTCTATTGCTTCTGCTAGTTTCAAAGTGTGGAATGAGGCTTGACAGCTGATGTTGTCTACGAACATCTTCGACGTTGCATTCAGGTCGTATACATCGCCTACTGTGCCTGTAAGTACCACACCAGCAACATTGGCACAAGCCGCCATCAATGCTCAAACTCTTTTCACAACGATGATCTTCGATCACTGGCTCGAAGACGAAGTAACTCTCAGACAATGGCAATCACAACGTAACTCCTGTACACCAATTAAGCGCCATCGCAAATGCTATTCCCCGTCCCTCAACCTGACCTCGCAAGCAAAGGTTCTCTCTCGTCATTGTTCTTCCCATTCTGCTGATCCTGCCCATTCCCTTCCTCATCATCCTGCTTCTCGGGCAAACCCCGAAACTTGCCCTTATCCACCCTTAGTACATTCCAGCTCCCTTCATCAGCCGCAGTCTTAAAGAAATCCTGATTCTCCTCGAAAGTCCTAGTACCACTCTCCGGACAATAGAGATAAGTCGTAACACCAGCAACAGTATTCGTAGCCGCAAAGATGAGGAAAAGCCAGTAATCCAGGTTATTAAACAGAATCGGCGTCAACAGCGTGACAGCGAAGTTCGCAAGACCCCACACCACGACTGAGATCGCCGAGCCCTGAGCACGAGCCGAGGACGGGAAGATCTCGGTGGGTACGAGCCAGGGTGGGACAAGCCAGCCGATGCCGAAGATGGCGGTGGCGAAGTAGAGGACGATGATTCCTGGGATGCCGGTTGCGAGGAGCGGGATGTTGAATCTATCTTTGTTCATGGCTAGACCGCCGAGGACGCAGAGGACGGCGAAGGAGATGGCGAGCCAGGTTGCGCCGCGGACGAGGAGGAAGCGGCGGCCTTTCCTGTCGATTAGGATCCAGGCGAAGGTCATCATGCCTAGGTAGAAGAGGTAGTTGCCCATAGTGATGAGTTCGGCTTTTGTTGTTTCAAAGCCGAGGAGTTCGAAGATCTGGTGATGTGTGTTAGTAGAGGTGAGATGGTGTAAGATGTTTTGAGACATACCTGTGGACCGTAGACTGAGACAGCGCCATATCCTGTCAGAGCTTGGTTGATCTGTAGCATGATTGGGCCTACCACAGTAGGATGCCATTGCGATCTACCTGGGATAAGCATATCAGGATAGCTTACCATGCCATCCTTCTCCTCTTGCTCATGTGCCTCTTGCAGTTCATTGAGCCGATCATCAACTACTTCCTGTCCAAAGACCCTCGCAATTGACTTCTTAGCTTTATCATCCTTTCCGTGAAGAACAAGCCATCTTGGAGTCTCAGGCAACAAAGTCGCACCGGAGACAAGCAAGATGGGGAATATCTGCACACAGACGATAGGAGTTCTCCATGCCCATTCATGGTACTTGCCCATAGTATGCGTCACAGCAATATTGATGATGAAAGCCATATTCAACCCCAGAATATTCGCCTGGAACTCCTGTGCAAGTGCAGTTCCGCGGGCGTCATCTTCCGCAAGCTCAGACGTATACACAGGCACGACTGCATCCAAGCCACCAACACCGAGACCCATCACGATCCTACCCACCAGCATAGTCGCCAGAGCTCCCTCTGGAATACCCCAGCCTGCACAGAACATAATCAAGTTGCCCAGAGCGGCCATTGCAACACAGACAAATACACCAGGTCGTCGGCCTTTGAGATCAGCGAACTTCGAGGCGAGGATAGCACCGATGGCACAACCTAGGTAGTAGACGCTGACGATGATGCCGACCATGGGGTCTTCTTCGCTGATGCCCATGGTGCTGAGGTAGTTGTAGTTTGTGTTGATCAAGCTCATCATGCCTTGGTCGTAGCCGTAGAGAGCTATGGCTGTGCTTGAGAACAGGACGACCTGCGTCTGTTTGTTTTTGAGCCATTGGAACATCTTGGCTGGTTGTTGTCAGATGTTCAGAAGCTGGGACGAAGAAGAAGACCTGGCTCTCTGCTTCACTCAGATCTTATCTGACCTGAGATCTCGGCTTCAAGATCAACAAGAAAGAGATCGTGCAGGTTCGTGTGGTTGCTTGTATCTACCAAAGCTAAACTTTCATCCTTCTAAAACTTGGTATTCAAGCAACTGGCAGACATGGCGAAGCACAGCAGGAATATGAAAGCTCAAAGAGACTGGCATTCTGACTTTCTCCCAAGGTTTTCTCATTACTCGATTTCGAGGCTAAGGAAGGTTAATTCGCTTTCCGTCGTCGAGTGTGCCGAGCATAGACAGTAAAAATATGACGTTCTTAGTGGATGGCGGGTATTTATCGCTTGCAGCTGACTCTGTGAATTTGCTTTGATTGGCTTTTCACAGGGATACCCATACCACCGTGGTTGTCTGTCGAAGGGCACGAGATACACGATCGGTATTTCTTCAGATTTGGGTTCTAGACTGATCTCACAGTCGTGTGACGATAGCACGGTTCGGATCATTGATATTCCAAGGGAGGAAAAGGAGCGAAGGACTGATGCTTCGTCCACAGATATTTTGGATATGGAATATGCAGCAACCATCTGCGCACGACTCAATCTATCGTACTCAAAAGATGGTGCTTGTATGCAGACGAGGCACTACAGATAAGTTGAGCTGTAACACAGTGAGCTGAGACGACGACAAGGAAAACAAATTCCCACCGCTTAACCAGCAGGCGTATCAATAAAAAGGTTCACGTCAATCATTATATTTTCGACTGCGTCAACAGTCACGTCTATCAAGGCTTTGAAGCCTACTGAGAAAAGCCAGAAGCTTACTGTCATGCCTATTGTGAATGTTGGAAAATCTCTTCAACAGCTTGTTGCCTCAGCATACACCATGCTCATATGAACCATTGAGTAGCACACTGGCCATGCACTACAGAGCAGGCTGAAGCGTTGTGCACGTGGGCACCTGCACTTTGGTAAAGAAGTCAAGATCACAGTTTGAAAGCTGTGTTCTTGTTGTCCGGCCTTCATTTCTTCTCGGACTGGACAAGCTTGACGCACTCCACCACCTTGGGGAAGAGAGGGTGGTCCTTCTCAAGACCGCACAGAGTGGTGGTGGCTTCCTCCGCAGATTGCTCGGAGAGCACCTTGGCTAGCTGCGCGCTCTCCTCGTCACCCTCGACGTTCTGGAAGCGGAGGGCCATGGTCAAACCCTTGAGCAGAGCCTTGACATCGTATCCTTGCTCGGCAAGCTGAGCGGCAGGACCAATGAAACGTTCCTTTCGGCCGACCTTTCGGATTGGAGCTCGACCAACTCGGACTGGAACATCCTCGAGAGATGGGTTGGAGATTCTGGTGATGATTGTGTTAACGTATTGCTCTTGCTCCTTCTTGTCAATGCCGTGTTTCTTGGTAACAAGGTGTGCAGTCTCCTCGAGAGCATCGTGGACCTCCTTCTTGATCTCTTCATCGGCCATAGCTTCGTGGATGGTCTTGATGCCTTTGTAGTAACCGAAGTAAGCAGCTGTGGCATGCGATGTGTTGACAGTAAAGAGCTTTCGCTCAATGTAAGGCTCGAGGTTGTCAACCCAGTGAATGCCCTTGACCTCAGGAGTTCCGCTCTTGAAGCCGGTGTTCTCAACACACCACTCGTAAAAGGTTTCAATAACGACGTCGAGACCGGCATCGGCTGGTTGTGTTGGAACGATTCTGTCAATGGCAGAGTTACCAAACTCGGCTCGCTTGGGCAGATCGTTCTTGATGTCTTCCGACATGTTCTTTGGGTCGACAATGAAATCACGGAGTCTATCCGTGGCATTGATCATGTTTTCACAAGCAATGACTGCAAGTGGCTTCGATTTGGTTCGCTTGGCAATGCCATCTGCAATTGGCTTGGCGATGAACTTCAGGACGTTGGGACCAACAGCACAAGTTACAATGTCAGCGTTGGCGATAGCGTCGATCGTCTCTTGCATGTTGTGCTTGGAGTTGATGGCTCGGTAGTTTGTAATTGTCTTGGTCTTCTTGCCATCCGCGCCAACCTCAGTGATTGTGTAAGACTTTGTCTTGTTGATGTCGTCGATGAGCTTGTCAACGACATCGACGAAGATCACCTCATAGCCAGTCTCGTGCAGAAGCTCGGCAATGAAGCCTCGACCGATGTTGCCACCACCGAAGTGAACAGCTGAACCAACCATTTTGTATGTTGTGGTGGTGTATAGAGTATTGATCTTTTTGAAAGTGGGGGCTTTGGAGAGTGTCAGCAGCTGTTTCTTTTTTGCGGGTAGCCTGGGACTTACTCTAGATATATTGGATCGAGTTAGTTGCAAAGGACAGATCAAGTGGGAGTAGTGTAGGAATTTGTAGAACCTGAAGCGGTGAGGGCAGCTGTTTGTATATCTTGAGGAAATGTTTTTTACAAAGGTAAATGGCAAGCGCAGTCGCTTGTAGAAATATGGTGCAGGTACAACCCCGCAGGTCACTAGTGACGACGGCCAAGCCACGGGATGGATACTGCCGCTCGGCCTTCCAGTTTGAACGAACACATTGCCTTCACAATGCATTTGACAAAGTCTCAAGAAGAGCTTTCAGTGACATTCGTTTGAGTGAAACAATCTCTTATGACCATCTTGACCCGACACCAACTTTTGTCAAGACGAGCAAACACAATAAGCAACTCAGGCTCTATGTAGGCACTTCAACACACTAACATGTAGATAAACAAGCTTAGGCCAGCGAAGGAAACCTTGTATCCTGATGAAGCAGTTTGGCAATTAGAGAGAGCGGTCCGAGTCTGCAGCATTTTCATAAATTCGACCAACCTTCATTATCAACTTAGAACGTCTCTCTGTATATCTGCCCGACGCGAGTAACAAGTGAAGCTTCCGCGTGCATATCAGTGATGATTTCCCTTCAGCCTTTACTATGGGACCACCCTCGAACGACAAGGACTAATCTTCAGGCTGCTGAAGCTTGCATGCTTTTGATCAGTCTCTTACTCGTAGCCTTTGCTGTCTTCGATGTCCTCTGCTTCTTCTTGAGTGTCTTATCGAAACGAGGCAACTTGTAAGGCTCAGGTTTTGAGACACTATCCGTGGACACTCTCCTGATCGTGGCGACTTTCATGTCTCGCGAGGCCTCTTCACTTGTGCTACTGGATCTTCTTACCACTCGGCTGCTTCGTCTTGGTTGTGGAGCCTTATCTCGGCGTGGCGTGGTAGTCTCGCCGTCATACATAGCGGCGTTTTTGACCTCTGATACTGCTTGCTTGTATACAGGCACCGCCTGAGCTGCTGACAAGACAGCCGCTATGCGGCTTCGCAATGTGTCCATGCGTGTAAGCTTGGCTCTCTGGATCTTGCCACTCGCCGTCCGAGGAATGTCTTCGACAAAACATACACCACCATCTAGAGCCTTGTAGCTTGCCAATCTTTCACGAGCGAATTGATACACTTCATTCGCAGTAACCATTTCGGCTTCTCGTGTCTTCTTGCGCCTGACAACATATGCTCGTGGAACCTCATCCACGCCGTTCTTAGCCATAGTGCCAGATACAGCAACGTCAACAATTTCTGAATGGTCAAGCAGTACAGCCTCCAACTCTGCCGGAGCCACTTGCCAACCACGGACTTTAATGAGTTCTTTCGCTCGACCCACGACGTACAGCTTTCCTTTTTCCAAGCAACATACATCCCCTGTCCGAAACCACACTCTCTTCCTCGGTGGAGGGCATATTGCGATAGCCAAGCATTGTACCAGGAGAGGAGATGTAGAGTTCGCCTGGCTCTTTTTCCTTGTCGACGAGCTCGCCTTTCGGGTTCAGGAGCTTGCCTCTGTAGCCTCTCAGGAGTCTGCCAATTGAGCCTGTCTCGTCGTGCTCACCCAGTCGAAACATCGAAGCAACTCCACATTCGGTAAGACCCCATACTTGGCTCATTGTACCGTTGGTAAGCAACGAGCGCATTCTGTTGATAGATACTGCATCGCAGGGCGCGCCACCAGTACCTGCCCAACGTACAGTTCTCATCAGAGCTCGGACATCGAGGTGCGAGGCAATAGTCTGCATCAAGATTGGAGGAGTCATAAACGTCTCAGTAATCTGATATCTATCATGGTTCTTCAGGTAGCTTTCGAGTCCAAAGCGCTTCATAATATAGGTTGTGTCTCCGTAACGTGTGGGTTGGATAAAGGCGAAGCTGGTAGCAAAAAGATGAAAGAGTGGTAGGGTCATCAGTCTTCTTACTCTGTATGGCTTGTCCTCATGAAGCATCAAGTGGTGTGCCACTAGATTATAGTGAGACACCATAGCAAGCTTCGGCAACCCTGTAGTGCCTGACGTCGGGAAATATGCTGCTGGAGTCCTCTTTGCCTCGTCAACCACGTCGATCGTCTTCCAATCTTGCTCGCCATGGCACAGCAGGTCAGTAAAAGAACGTACAGCCTGATCGGGCTTAGTCGCGTCAGAATCAGAACACCCCCACCAGACAGCAGGCAAACTAGTGTAGAGTTGGAACGTGTCGATGTCGAGGACGAAGACATTTTCCTTCGGCACCTGCCTGTTCTCACAAGCAGATAGAATGGTGGACAAGGCCGCAGGCTCAGTGATGATGAACTTGGGCTCTCCAAGCTCAATGAGATGGTCAATCTCGTAACGCTGGTTCGCGGTATTGGAGCCTAGCCAGACTCCAGCACTTCCGCATATTCCCATGAACAATGCTGGGTAGATGTACTATAGTCGGTCAGCCAGTCATCTGCTGGTGGCAATGCTTCTGCTCACTGTGTTCGACATATGACACATGACTGAATCACCTTCACGTAGTCCGGACGCCCAGAAACCCGCGACAAGTTTGCGAACCAGGGCTTTGGCAGATTCGTAGTTTAGAGACCTCGATGGATTTTCCGCATCAACGAGTAGTGGTTGATCCTGTTCGAAGCAATTCTGCTTGCAAAAACTGAAAGACACAACATCACTAGCTGGGACATGCACAGTTCCTTCTCTCGAATCAAAGGACATGGTGCTTGATGCAGGACCAGTGACTGAAAAGGCCTCACTCAACGACAATAGATGTATCAAGGTACAACACCTGTTCTATCTCGATAGCCTGGTCTTGGAAAATTGAGTTTCGCAGATTGATGGTGCGATGCTGCAGGCGTTCACTCAAAGAGATGCGTCGAGAAGAGTCAGGTAGAGAATCAACTATTCCGTGCGTGAACGATTATAAAAGTGAGGTTCGCTTAGAGATGAGCATTCCCGGGAGACTATCCTTATTGATACGTTCGATACTCGTACGTACCATGTATGCAAACAGTCTCCTCAGTTGTAGCAGTGATATGCTAAGCCATGTGGATGCTCAAAATATCCTCATCGTGACCAATAGCGTCAGGGTCGTTTGCTCCTTTTTGTGGCCTTGCCTGCAACCTCATCGTATTGATGTAGCTGCAAGCTAGGTAGGCATTGACCAAATCAATTCGAATAATGTGCGTGCATCACGAGCTTATGCGGATCCTGGCGGACGTTCACCGTGAAGACGCCGTTCACCACAAGGGTAAACATGCCGGGGCTCGTCTTGATTGAGATGCTTGACTCTTCACGAGTCGGCGCGTTGTCTTGCATGCATGTATTTGTCACGGCTGGTTACTTTAGCGCCTTGTTCGGCTCTGCGTTGTATAGTAAGGAGAGACCACAATTCATGCGTTTCTGTCAATGAGCCGCTTCGCACGAGATCACCTGAGATGGGTGAGTTCTGGATAGGGATGAGTCACCTCAAAGACAGATAAGTGTTGCTGTGCGGTGGACCGCTGGATAGGAGTTAGTGTCCACTTGAGACCGTATGATGATTGCAGCAAGCGAATGGTATAATACTTGATCATCAGCCTAGTGTGTCTGCTATGGAATCAGGCATCTTTCAGAAAACCTGTGGAATTGAGAACGTCGAGTTTTGTGGCCATCACTGTCGACCCGCATCAGCACAAAGTCCATGGATCCGCATGTGCATTAATCTATGCAGCACGGCGCCACCGACATCACTGTACATTGTTGTGACAGCTCGGTTGTTCGGACAAGCATTTACAGTATCTCTTCAGAGTAAAAGTACATATAGATTAGGAAAGTGTTCTACGGAAATGTGATTGAAGCGGAGGCGGAAGCGCACTGAACCTGACAACCTCGAGCTTGGGTACACTTCCTTGCCAAGCCAACACATTTCTATTGCTCGACATGCAACAGAACATGCTTACGACATGGACCAGGGTATCTTCTCACACCATACGTACCAGGTCTCGTCAATCTGCGGGTTGACTCAAGCTGCTTTCCCTGTACTGTAGCTCTGCGTTATAGCTCGTGTTTCGCGTAGGCCCAGTTTTCACATATATGGATGCAGCATGGGATATCAAGTCCAATCTTTACTTGTGCGTCATGCTTTGTAGCCATAGGATTTTTCTGGATTAACAAGACCTAGTGGCATATAGTAGAGGTCTGAGAATGTAAGTGCATACTTCATTCGTGCAGCTTGGATGAGGTAACTTACTCTGTGAGGAAACGCCGTCAACTCGCAGCACGACGTTGCTTTCGAAGGATTGTCTGGCTTGCTGATATTTGGCCGTAGGTTGGCCTCCAAGCGCCTTAGCGCGAGCAAGGTAAGGGGCTTTAAGGAACAGACGGCTCAGCCATGTGTGACGAGCATTCGTCTTCACTGCATCTTCACTCCTTATCACTCGAATCGGAAGGGATGGATATGTTTTGTTCCTATCCTCGTCGAAAACGGTCTTGAGCCATGGGTTTGCCAATAGTAGAAGCAACCAGCCTGAGGAGGGAACGCAAGTGGCTTTCAAGCTGTGAACTGAGGGAGGTGCGACCGATACAGTCCAACCACGGTCAGCTAGCAGCCTTCACAGTCTCGCAAGTGTTGACTGGTGCAAGTGCTAGGACGGTCGTTCTCCGTCATAGCCACACTAACATGTTTCTAAAGTGTACTTCACTTTCTTCAGTCACTGCAATCAGCAGTAGTTGGGTCTCCACCCGCGCTCAAGGTCTTCTGCGAATTTGGTTTTAATTCTGAAAAACCTTGTCACTACAACCATTCAACAAACGTGTCGATGTTCTTGGTCACAAGGGGCACACTGCGCATCCAGGTAAATATGGACAGCCATGAACAAAAGATCGTGGCGCCATCGACGACTGCAATTCTTACTCACCACAAACTTACCACGACAGATACCTCAGCGACGACCCTGGCCGTGGGAGCCACATTCTCAAAAGCAGTGTCAAGCGACATAACTGTCAAGTGCGGAGCTGTAGACGAGAAGTCATCATCTCACACGACTAGCCTCCTTACAGACCTCGAAAAGCAGGATGAACACGTACCAAGATCAAATCTGTACAGCTGGCTGCGCTGGACCGCCCTCAATACATACCGCAGACTTTTCAGTATCGTCTTCACAGCCAACCTCATCGCCTTCATTGTTGTGTGGGTCCAACACCGGAAACTGTTGAACTTTATCGATGCAGCAGCAGCAAATCTTCTGGTTTGCGGTCTGGCAAGACAACCCCTAGTCGTCAATGCTTTCTACACAGTGGCCTGCCTGATACCTAAGTCTGCACCACTTCGACTGCGCACGCTTGCCGCCAAGGTCTTCCATTTTGGGGGGGTGCACTCAGGCTGTGGAATGGCTTCGGCAGTATGGTACATAACGTTTGTTGGAGTGCTCACATACCAGTACGTGCATGGCATACTGCCTCACACTGCTGCCAATATGGCAGTCTTGGTACTTGCTTATCTGGTGATGTGTTTGCTTTGCGGCATCATCGTTGCGGCATATCCCTCGTTGCGCAGCAGATACCACGACGCCTTCGAACGGGTTCACCGCTTCAGTGGCTGGGCTGTCGTACTTATGTTTTGGCCACTGTTGCTCACCTTTTCGTCTGCACAACAAAATTCGATGGGTCAATTTCTCATTCGCCAACCAACATTCTGGATCCTTCTGATTCTGACGTTGGCCATCATACAGCCATGGACGAAATTGCGCAGGGTCAAGGTCACACCGGAGAAGTTGTCGAGTCACGCCATTCGCTTGCACTTTGACTTTGCTAATCCGAAACTCGGTCAAGGCATATCGATATCTCAACATCCACTACGAGACTGGCATTCCTTCGCTTCCTTCACAGACAAATATGACACACCTGATTCGAAGTTCTCTCTTGTGGTTAGTAAAGCTGGCGATTTCACGGGAGATGTTATTGCCAATCCACCGCAGCACGTTTGGAAACGTAGCGTTCCATTGTACGGCTTCGGTAAGGTCATGACGCTATACTCTCGCATGATCCTAGTGACTACAGGTAGCGGAATCGGACCTTGCTTGTCCTTTCTCTTCGACCTTGACGCTGCACCCACGATGAGAGTTTTATGGCAGACGCGAACACCTGAGCAAACCTATGGTCAGCGAGTCATCGATCTCGTACACAAGATGGATCCTCATCCAGTGATCCTAGATACGACAAAAGGTGGCCGAATCGACATGCTTCCCCTTGTGATCAAAATGTACCGTGAGTTCGAGGCCGAAGCTGTTTGCGTTATATCCAATCCGAAGATGACAAAACATCTGGTGTATGAGCTCGAGCGGAGAGGTATCTTGGCGGCAGGTCCCATCTTTGATAGCTGAGTCCTAGTGTATGTGATATGACGGCGACTTCTGTATACATTAATCGACTCTTCATCTGTACGACAGCCAGTCGTGCCCGCTTAGCGCAAGGTGTGGCATGTTCGGTATTCGAAGGCAGCCCCGTTGGCGCAGCGTCAGTACATGAGCAAGGACGTTGATTGTAATCTCCTGTTATGAATGCATCAATATGTAGCAATATTTGGTAGCTCGGCTGAAACACTGAGACAGGTTTGTGATATGGGTCGATACAATCAATGGCAATGCATGTATGGTAAATCGAAGCTAGCGTGTTCAATATCGAACTTGGCGAACTGGTAATAGAGTGAATGCACATCTTCCTTCAGCAGCTCAGCCCTCATTCGTTTCGCTCGGTCCATCGTGATGTGAAAGGGCCGGAAAAAGATTCCATGTCGATCCTGCCCTAGGCCCTTAAGAATGGCTCGTGGCTAGAGTCAGCGTTCGGTGTAGATCAAAATCAGTAAACAGTCCCTGAAGTCGAGATCCTGTGTCTACTACTTGAAATGTGCCCTTCCTGCTGACGCATATCTCACGTTTTCGACTTCGACTGTGCGTTCAAGCGTGGTGTAAGGTATTGACTGCTGTCAAATACTTGAACGAACGGACGAGCCGTTTGCTGTTTCGTGACACCCCTAGCGCTCGCACTCACTGATCAAGAACGTTCTCATGCGTCAACGGCGTTTCAGAATCCTCCTCTATCTTCCTTCTTTTACCTCATAATACCTATGCCCAGCCTCCAACACCCAGCTCTTCTCTATCTTGCTAATGTCCTTGAGGTATATCTTCTCCCCAGTCTCTAATAACTCGTGAAACAAAACACAATCTGCCTTGCGGTTAAACATCAAACTCGTCGGGTGCGCATACATTGTCAACGGGTTCTCTTTCGGTCTTGTCGCTAATGGTTTGAATGTGCCACCGATGGCGCTCATCCTTGCCACGTTGGTGAAATACCCTGCAGTGAGGCATTTGAGGATTCGAGTCGTGATATCGGGTGGAGGCTGGTAGGAGCTCGAGAGTGCATCGTCCTGGAATGGAATGTGAAATCGTTCGAGGTATCGCCTCAGCTGGGATCGAATTGCTACGGCTTTACCTAGTACTTTGTGGTTTAAGTGATGTTGTTGGCACCATCGCTGGTCTCGCTTGCCTTTTGTCATATAGGCGTTGAAAACGTTGAGGTATGTGAGGTGATCCCCTTCTTCTGCAGCGAATTTGCGTCGTGAAAGTTCCGTTGCAGTTCTGCGATCTTCATGGTCGAACCAGATACTTGTGTTCCCTGTTGATTGCAGGCTACACATGGCAGCAACAGTAAGCATTTCTGCAGTACAAGAATAGCGAAGGTCTGTAGATGTAAGGAGTGCTTTTGCCATCATTGGTGGCAGCGCGAGTTCGGCCATTCGCGTGCCAAGTGGGGTTGTGAGCTTCGCATAATCATCGAGTGCGTCCAAGGCATATAGCAATTCCATCCCACGTGCCATAAGTTTAGCTGGTGGCGGAGTAAAATAGGGGAATGAGACGACGTTGTCAATGCCGAGTGCTTTAAGCTGAAGAATGACTGGTGCCAAGTTCGTACGTTGTATTTCCGGCGATGTGCTATGCGATAGAGCTTGAAAAGCGATGCTGGTATAGAGTCTGTAACACTTCCCTGGTCGGGTTCTCCCTGCTCTACCTGCACGTTGAGTAGCAGACGCTTGAGAAATTGGAACTTTGGTAAGTGCTTCGATATTGGTAACAGGATTGTAAGTTCGTAATTTGACGAAACCGCAATCGATAACATGCACAATTCCATCGATGGTGACAGAAGCCTCTGCAACATTGGTGCTGAGAATGACTTTGCGAGTATTTTCAGCTGCTGGAGAGAAGACATACATTTGCTCAGCCTGGTTCAACCCAGCGTACAGAGGCAGTGGTTGGAGTGCTTGGGCGTTAGGTAATATTGTTTGCGCGTAGTCGCTCAGAATCTCAATGCCTCTCTGAATCTCATCACGCCCAGTCAGGAAAATTAAGATGTCGCCAGGACCCTCCTCTTTGTGAATGTCGATGGCTACCTGAGCAGCCTTGGCGACGTAGTCTTCTACTGGTGCTTCGAAATACTGTACATCAACGGGGTGGGAGCGCCCAGTCAAAGCAACAATTCTGCATCTAGAATTAGACACTTCATCAGCACCATCATCGAAATATTGTGCCATCTTCTCCGCTTCGACAGTAGCACTGCTGACAAGAATTTTGAGCTGAGGTCTTTGCTTCTGTATTATCTTCAGAAGGCCGAGCAGTATGTCAGAGCTAAGCGATCTTTCGTGAGCTTCATCAACCATGATCACAGAATACTTTGTCAATAGAGGATCTATTAGAGCCTCCCTCAAAAGCATACCATCAGTAAGAAACTTGATTCGAGTTTTTGCTGAGGTCGCTTCCTCGAACCTGACAGAGTAACCAACCTCTTCTCCAAGCTGATATCTCATCTCGGATGCCACACGTTGGGCTATTGTGGTGGCGGCAACTCTACGAGGCTGACATTATGTCAAATACCGAACGTCCAAGAGCTGGAAGCAGACTTACCCACCTGTGTTACAGCTATCATCTTGCCGTGGGCTGTCCATCCTGCCTCGTCTAGAAATTGTGGTATCTGGGTTGTCTTTCCGCTCCCAGTCTCCCCCAAGACAACCACGACTGAGTGCTTTTCGACAGCATATTGAAGACTCTTCTTGTGTCGCGCGATGGGTAGCAGTGAAGCAGGCTTAGCAAGAAACGACAAGTCAAATTCTGCCATGAATGGCTCCACTACGACTGTATAGAAGCTCTTGTGCTCCACGTTCACCTTGACAGAGAACTAGAGTATCAGCAATTCACATTCACTAACAGCTGGCCAGAAAATAAGATGCATTCGCAAGGGAACGAGTAAAGATGTCTACTGGTAATATTGAACTCGTCGAAGCTAACGCGACGCGATAGTACGCCTCAGGCATCAGGAGCTTGGGCCCACTACGTCGTCATTGCATGCCAAGGTTGGCTCATCTCACATGGCTTGTTGGAGATGACAGGTGGGACAGGTGAAGGCTCCTGCATTTCTTTTGCTAATAACAGTTGATCCCTTCGTCAAATTTACCAAACGTCCAATACGATGGCTGATAATACGCCCAAAAAGCAAGTACGTGCACCTTGAGCCACTAGACAGGAGCAGAAACTCAAAGGTTCGCTTCTTTAGGACTCCCCAGTCTCTCCCATACGGTCAACCGAAGGCCAACCAGAATCTCCTACCACTGCGCAGCCTCTTGACTTTGACGACGACGACAATCCTACAGCGCCCACTCCTACCAGAATGTCTGCTACAGAAACAACCTCGAAGCCGGAGCCGCCTCCAAAGGATGAGCATGCCCCTGCTAAACCTCCACGACCAATGAACCCCAAGGATCAAGCAATACAAACACTACGAGAGGCGTTTCCGACCATCGATGTCAGCGTCATCCGAGCTATACTGACCGCAAGTGGTGGCAACCTAGAACCCGCGTTCGCTGCCCTCCTGGAAATGAGCGATCCCGAAGCTGTGCAGAGAGAACAGCCACCCACTAAGCCGCCCCGGCCAGCTCAACAACCAGCCCAGATGAGTCAGTTAGAAGCAGACGAACAGTACGCGCGACATCTAGCAGAACAGTACGAGCATTCACAAACTTCGTCTCGACCCACAGATCGCTACAACTCGAATCTTCCAGGATCTCGACCAGGCAGACCGGGTGCGCATCCGAACCCAGACGACCCAGAGTACCACTGGCGCTCATTCATAGATGGTGCGGGAGAATTCCGGAAAGAGCTGAACGAAGCCGCTAATGAGATTTGGACAGACGACCTGCCCGAGATCCGCGACAACCTTCGCAAAGGCTTCTTTGAAACACAAAAGACAGTTACCAGTTGGATATCGAACTTCAAGAAGAACTTTGAGGAGAAGGACGAAGACGTCGATTATACCGCTCAAAATACAGCGCAGAATAGAGGCCAACCGCAAGCAAGGAGGAGTGGCGAGTCTGCACGCAGAAGTGCAGAGTATTCGAGGTACGATGCTGATCCACAAGTGATTGGTGACGATTTCTCGAAGTTGAACTTGAAGGATGGCGACCATCCTCCACGGACATCGTCGAGACCGACCGCGAACCCGAACCTTTTCAAGTCTGACCAAAGATCATCCTCGAAGGGCGTTGCAAGAAAAGTGAGCTTTCAAGATGGACCACCCGAAGAGATCAAGGACATGTATAGTGCTAGCCCGAAACCAGCTACCACGAATGTACAGACCACAGGCACAGCAGCTACTGGAAAGTCGAGCAAGTGGCAGCCATTGTCTGCTGTCGATCCTTCTCCTGTCGGCGACAACGATCCTTTCAGCCTTGGCGACAGTGACGATGAGAAAGATGCAAAGCCGATCACTCTCAAAGACGATGAGGTCGGCAAAGGGAAGATTGATACTGCGGCGTCTGTGCCTGATGTCGACAGTAAAAAGGCAACAGTGGAGGACGAGAAGAAGTAATCTTGGTTATTATTCGATTGATGATAGCTAGTCCCTGCCACTAGACAGCTCTTGTGGCATCAGCAAGCATTTGAGTCGAGATATAAAGGAGTTTTTTTCTCACAGCTCTTTTGCCCGTTCTGTTGCCCTTTTCATCTTCCATGATATGCTACTGTTCCAGGTCAATTCTATGGACGCGCCTACTATTCACTTTGTTCCCCACACATAGTGCGTAATACCACCTACCTGGAAACAGTCTCGCGGTAGTCGGATTTCGGCGGTCTTCAAGCAGAGACTTCCACCACGTTTACTGCGCGTACCTTGCATGAAGTAACCCAAGACTGCCAAATCGATACACGAGGTTATTCTCCGCACTCGGATTGTGCGGAGCAGCACCACAATTTAACTAGGAAAGTCTTGCGGCAAGCGGATTTGGTCGGAACCCAGACCGAGGATGGGAGATGGTGCAGGTCGTGAAAAGATAAAGAATAGAAATGAGTAAGCATATTATAGGCAATTAAGGACGCCGTACAGCCAGTGAAAAGTCCATCTAAGCGCCATTGACCTGTTTCTGCTCCTTCATCCAATCTACATACTCCCTGACGGCCTGCTCAAAACTGGTATCTGGTTTATAGCCCAAGCTCAAAGCAAGTTTGTTGTCAAACTTCCAAGCCCAAGAATGTAAGATGGCGCCGAGCTCTGGATCGTCGACTTCTTTGATATGCTGTAATTTGTCTTTACCGCCCACCTTCGCCAGTGCATCCATCATATCCTGAACTGTGGCCAGAAGGCCAGGCATATTGACTGTTCGCTTATGGCTAGGTAATGCATCAGCCGGCAGCGTCAAAGCGTGCACTAGATTGTTGATGAGTGTCCTTGGAGAGCAAACCCATGATGGAAATTGCCGATCCTTAACAGGCACTATACACTCTTGACCAGCTAGTGGCTCTCTGATTATGCCGCTGATGAAGCTGCTCGCCGCCTGTGATGGTTTGCCTGGTCGGACGGAGATGGTCGGAAATCTGCAGCTGAGTCCATCGATGAAACCTCTTCGTGTATAGTCGTTAACCAGAATTTCGCATACCAATTTCTCTGCGCCATACGAGCCTTCTGGGGTTGGAAACACGTCCTCGGTAATAGTGTCTGGAAACGGTCGGCCGTATACTGCCTGACTTGAGGCATAGATCGTCCTGATACCTGGAACAGTGTGTCTGAGCTTTTCCAGTAGCACACGAGTAGCATCGAGATTGACCTTTAAACCAAGGTCGAAATTTGCTTCTGAACCTGATGACATGATGCCATGAAAGATGTATACGGCGTCAAGGTCCTTTGTGACGAGCTTGTCGATCTCCTCGAAAAGGTCACCCTTGATAACGGTGGCATTCTTGGGATGCTTTGAGCCTCTCGGCACTGGACAATCGATGATATCTGTGAGGACAAGTTGGTGATTCGGATCATCAAGCAGCTGTCGTGCAAGAAATTGGCCGATGAAGCCGCCAGCACCTGTGATGAGGATTTTCATGTTGACAATCTGAGCAAGCTAATTCTAGGAAGAGATTCAATTGTGCGTATTGCAAGCGTTGGTTGCAATTTGGGCGTGAATTTGGGCCAGATATATCCTCTGGTACTGCTGAGGCTGGAGTCCTGGAACCGGGTTTCATGCCGTGTTCTCCGCAAAAAGAGAGCCTCGCGTCAAGAGGCCGTGCGTGAATTTTAGGTTCTCCAACGATACTCAACTTCCGCGAAGTATGAGCATTCGATCGCAGCGAGTATCAGGATCGCCTCAGTACTCGTAGGAGTGATTGCCTGAATATTTCACGAAAGTGGCATACCTCACCTTTCGACAACGTGCCTGTTCGTCCGACGAGCGAGTTCCCCCAATTTCGGCACTCTGGATCGCTGGTATCGTTCGGTCGGGGTGAATTCCAGCCATGCTTGTGTACACCTAGAGCTAGTAGCACTTCCGTCAATAGCAGCAATGGCAAGAAGCCCTTCGTGTACTAATGGTCACGGCTTGATACGATAGGTGGGGACATTTGCTTTGTACCCAAGATTAAGAACCTCAGATGCAAAATACGTAGCTAAGCTCTGCGTAGTCAATGCGTTAAGACACGAGTGGAAGTACCAGCTCATGAGATGTTGTCGCATGGAAGGCGCGACAGACACGCGTGGAGGAAAGCTTAGAGGCCGCGAAGCGCAATCAAGTAGGTTATGTCTTGATTGGTTCGGAGCCAATTCCACTAGCCTCTTCCTGGCTCGCAATTGCAGCCTCGACGTTGCACATTTCGCAACAGTCTTTAACGTCCTTAGTATACAGCAAACACATTCCGGAACCCCCAAATCAGTATTCCACGTCCCGGGAGTTATTTCTGTAATATCTCACAATCCTTCCGACGTCTTCTCAGCAGGAATTTTCTCACCTTCATATACATCGACTTCAACTTTGCACAACTGGCATGGATCGACCGCTACCGGACAGAGAGGTAGATGATCGTTGCTGCTCCCTCATGCACTAAGGACTAACATCGATAGCCTCGCGGGCGAGGTCCACCACCAAGATATGGCAGAGATCGTCCCCCTCCATCATACCCACGGGATGGCATTAAAAAGGTGAATAAAGCAAAACTGTCTTTCTTGCCTCATGCTGATGTGGTCTGCCAGGTCCGCTGATTCTCTACTTTCTCCACTACACGGCCTCACAACCTTCATATGTCCTCCAGAGAGCTTCATGTACCGACCACAAGATGCTCTTTAAGTACCAAATCGAGCCGGGCCACCATATCTAGACCGACCGCTAACATTTCCTCTCTTGGTGTAGAACAGGAGAGATGAAAGACAAGATCTCGATAACGACTGGGTACATGACAGATACGATGACGAACCAGAGTGTATGCTATGCAGGAAACATTCGTTTCCAAATCCAAGAGCAAAGTCTAATTTTCTGAATAGCACGAAATCAGTATCAATCTAAACCACGTGGAGGCCGACGAGAAGACTACAACGATCGACGATCACCAGGCAGAGACGGTGGCAGAGGCAACGACCGGGATGGATTCCGTGATGGCGGACGCGACAGAGCACCTCTGCCTGCAAAGATTCGAGTGGACAATCTACATTACGATCTAACTGAAGATGATCTTTTCGACCTTTTCACAAGGATCGCGCCAGTCAAAGACGTGCGTTTGCAATACGATAGAGCTGGAAGGTCAGATGGAACAGCCTTTGTAACCTACGACCTCATAGGCGATGCACGGTTGGCAGTAAAAGAATTCGACGGAGCGAACGCAAAGGGACAGCCTATTAGACTGACTATTCTGCCTCTACCTCCTCGAACTACCAGACGAGAAAACCCCTTCGATCGCGTCGAGAATCCCAGAAGCCTCTTTGATCGCATAGAAGCACCTAGTGGTCGCGGAAGGAGAAGAAGTGAGAGTCCTGTTGGAGACGCGGAAAGAGACTATTCAAGGAACGGTTCGAGACGTGGTCAAACAGGTTCGGGCAGAGACCACCGAAGCGATACAAGCAAGCCACCACCAGAGAATATTGATCGCTACGTGCCTGGTCAAAATGGTCGAGGTGGCAGACGGCCTGGTGAGAGACGTGAGCGCCCACCAAGAGACGCTCCGAGGTCAGGAGCTCGACCCAAGAAGACTGCGGCTGAGCTAGATGCTGAGATGGAAGATTACTGGGGCACAGATGCGGGTAAAGAGACGAACCAGCCTGCACAGCATGCCACTACTGGAGGCGACGACATCGACATGATCGAATGAGCCTCTACCTTCCTCGATAAAATTGAAGCCACGAAGCTGAAATCCAAATACCCGCCAAGCAACACAAGTCATCTATTTGCCGAGGCGCACAGTAGTTGCCATCTGTGTACGGAGTACATTTTCGACAGATTTGATATTGAAGTTTCACACCTCTACTCTATTTGTGCCTACTTATGAAATCCTCTACCTTCTGCATTGCAACATCAGCTTGTGCTCCTTTCGTGTCCTTAGGAAACATGCAGTAACCGTGACAGCCACCTGGCACAATTAACACCTCTGTCTCGGCTCCTGCCATCTGGTATTTTGCACTCATGAAAATCGTGTCGTCAAGCAGACAATCTGAGGTACCACACGTGAAGAGAGCAGGCGCGAGCCTCCCTCTCAACGAGGTTAAATCAGCATACAATGGACTGATGCTTGGATGCTTCTTCTCTACCAGACTTTTTCCCGGTAGAAAAGCGTCGAAGTAGTGGTTCATTAAATCCTGGTCCAGAACCAGGACTTCTGGAGGGTCGAAGTTATAGGTTTGCGGTAAATTGGTCAAGTCATATGCGCCAAAGTGCAGAATTTGACCAGAAAAATTGAAAGAGTTGTATCTGCTTTCCTTGTGCTGCAACAGATGCAACATCGCCAGCATCGACAAATGAGCACCAGCACTCTCACCGCCAATGTATTTCAGCGGCGCACCGAATCTGGACTCTGCATTATCTACTAGCCACTCCGCGGCGTCATAACAGTCATTCGGTCCAGCAGGAAAAGGATTCTCTGGAGCGAGGCGGTAGCCAACAGAGAACAGCAAGATCCCGTTCGTGTTTGCTAGATTCTGCAGGACAATGTCCTGTGATTTTTCGGTTTGCAGAACCCATCCTCCGCCGTGTATGTGATAGTAGACGCCCGAGATAGGCTTGCCATTTTGAGGTCTAAGAACTCGGCATGGGATGTCTCGACCTGCATCTCGAGATGGTATACTGGTCTGCTCGGCTGAGTCGAGTAGTGTGAGAGGAGGCAAGGGTGTCTCGCCTCGCTCCCGCATCTTGCGATACTGCTCTGCACCAACTTCGTACCACTTTGGTGCCCCTCTCATGATGTCCATAAGCTTCTGGTTGAATGCATGAGTGTCTTGACTGATTGCTGCTGGGTCAAAGACCGAGGGGTCGACCAAGACTGCATTCTTAGAGCTTGCCATGGCCGTGCAGAGTTGAGCTGGTGCTGACTGGTAGGCAGGATTGGCAGAAATGTGAATGCAGTAGTTCTCTATCTTCGTGTGCACCGTCTTTGTCACGACAAAACAGTCGCTTCATGGCTGGTTTCATTTGGAGATATCCGTCGTAACCTTATCAGAGAATCGATAGTCGTGTTTCTCCTCATCACTCCAAGCTGACACATCATCCGGTAGTGACTGACTGTTTGTGCTCGTCTTTAGTAGAGAGGTTTGCCATGACTGTCACCTGAATCTGCTGGTGGGAAATCGAGATAAATGCTGGATAACGTTCTTCGACTCTATGTTTCTAAGCATAGCATGGCTCGTAAGTCACAACGAGGTCGTTCTCGTCGACTAGCAGAGCTTGATAATCGTAGTCGTTGAAGATCATGGTTATGTGGATGGCCGCTGTCTTGGCCAATACGGGCGAAGGCTCAAGCCATTCGGTTAGGAGAAGGACATCAAGCTTCGTTTCACTCAAAATAAAATGACCCCCAATCCCCAAATCGTTCCTTCTTAATTTCATCGCTGTTAGAAACCTGCACTCGACCCTTCACAGAACTGCCAGTTTCTTCGAGCACGTCCAAGAGAGATGTTCTTTTTATTCCTTATACAGGAAATGCTGTGTAGTGAGCTTCTGGTGTGCTGAGACTACAATCTATCGACCAAACACTGGATGTGTTCCAACCATGCACGACGCATTCAGACACCAGTGTGTGAGGACTGTAGCGTTAGCTCAATCTTGATGCATTGCGGTTGTCCACGTCGTGGAAGCCAAACACAGACTGCTTGTCGATATAAACTGCTAATCTAGCTAGACGAATTTAAATGCAGGCAATCCGTATTTGCCTTGTTGAAGGCTACTAGTGTAATGTACTAGAACGAAGGGGCGGAAAGTGGTTCAGCTTGTGAAATATGCAATACTAAACCGGGGCCAAGACACAGAAGAATATCAAATACTGAATTAGCGGTGTCACCAGGAACAAGATTTATGCTAACACTTCATCGGTTCACAATCCATCTGATCACTTTTCTGTCCTACTTCTTCTAACTCTTCATCTTACCACCAAAAACCACACTCAACCACGTACCAACCATTCACAGTGGGTTTCCGTGACGCCTCGGGTAAAGAGAAGCTTGTTGTTTTCACCAACGCACTCGCGCTCCACTCAGATCATTGTCGCAGCTGCAGCACTGGAGGGTTATGGCACGCAGAAAGGCTACTGGCTTGATCATGGCCTACCTTTGAAAATCGTCAGTGCTTCCGTCCTCGATTTACCTGCGCTAATATTATAGGTAGACCTTCGACCTCGTCGTTGCATCACTAGTTCTCATAACAGCTGTTGTTCTGATGATTCTGCCATTCTTATCGACCTGTTGCTCTTGCTGCACCATGGGACTTTACCCGCATGATTCTATGGGGCGTTGCCTTCGGTCTTATGAAAGCCGTCTTTATGCACAACTATGACGACGAGGAAACATTCAAAGTCAGCGATCCAAGTGCTCTAGACCACTACGACAAATATATCGGTCACTGGAAGACGATGATGGACGGTGCTTGGGTCAATCTTGCTGGACTTGCCTTGTTCTTGATCAGTGGCACGATGGGTGTATTGATGTGGTGTGTTGGCAGGAGAACTGCTGGAGCAGTAAGAGGTGGCAAGGCTATCAAGGCTGGGGTCATTTGAAGAATTTAGAATGGGCACGGTTTTGGTGCCAGATTGTTGAAAATCGAGTTTTCGATTCCGAGACGTGGGGCTTCCACCACCCAGCTTTCACTTGTAAGTGAAAGTCGAGAAACAATTAGGGCCTCTCGTGTTCCAGGCGAGGACGTATGACACATTGTTCTTTAACGTTTTCTTTACTATGTCGCTCTTTCGAACGACATCCATTCAAGTTCTTCACCTATTCCGTGCCTCAACCTTGAAAATGGGTTATCGCGACGCCTCCAACAAACAGTGGATTGTGGTCTTCGTCAACACTGTCATTCGTCTCGTTCAAGCCATTGTCTCCGTTGTGGCGCTAGGTCTCTATGCTGCTCAGCAACCAATCTTCCTCCAGGGTGAGATAGCATGGAGAATCGTAAGTAGACTCTCTCTTCAGTGAGCATAACTGACACATCTCTAGGACTGCAACCTCGCCTTTGCGGGTGCTGCCTTCGTTACCGCTCTCGTATTCCTCCTAATCCCGATCTTAGTCTCCTACCGCTTGGTCGCGCAGCTTGCACCATGGGATTTTGTTGTCCTTATTCTATGGGCTGCTGGGTTTGGCTTGACCAGATGGACTTTTTACACAAAATACGACAACCTCCCCAGTTATGGACTTCGCTGTCCAGTTATCATCCAGCCGATTTGTAGTCTGCTTGCTGCGCACTGGGACGCCATGGTAGACGCTAGCTGGACCAATATCACTGGACTGTGTTTGTCTGCCATCAGCGGAACCATGGGTGTTCTGCTGCTATGGATGGGCAGTACCAGCGTCTCATCATCGACGAAGAATCTCGTGTGAATGTGGATGCAGACAAAGAAAAGGGTAATCAGTCAGTTGTCCTGACATGCCAGAAGATGAGATTATGGGAGGTCTTGATTTACCAAGCACACATCAGGCTATCCCTGGCGTAAAGGATGCAGAGATATGACGGTGAAGCAGGAGTGCAGATGCTCGTAGGCACAAACGAATGCTTCTCACAAGACGACCAGTTGCGTGTGTCTCGATTTCATCTCTTTCAACATCTCCAGCTCGCAATAATGCGTTTTCCTGCCCACGAAGATGTGCCTCTGCCGCTGGCATCCATCTGCTTTCCCGGTCTCATCACAGCAACCCCATGTGAAGGCGCCCAGGTTTTCTATCTTCGTCTCATTCGAGATCAGCTCTTCAAATGGTCGATCATCGTCTGGAAATTCACCATCAGGATCTTCCAATTCGAGTTCCCCATCATGATAGGTGCATACTTCATCGGTAGAGTCCTCTTTGTCGCACAAGGCTCCGCACCTAACGCAGCGAGCAAGCAACGATTGGTGGTATCTCCTGAGGCGCTTCAGAACCGATTGTCCGTCAACCTGACGCTCTGCTAACGTGAGAATGGCTTCTGTCGCTTTGCGTTTCTTTGGCGAGAGTCTCGATGTCGTCGTTACAAGAGGGCCAATTGCAGGATCGAGTAGTGACATGATGTATGGGTCAGTTCCCCATGAACCAAAACTCATTGATTCCACAGTACTGCGTGGGATATCTTGCCCACCGCTGGACTCATTCCCGCCACGATACACGTCTGTGCCATTTGCTTCAGTGCTAGCTCCGTCTCCATCACCTTCTTCGATGTCTTCATCCTCGTCGTCTTCGTCTTCAGTGTCATCATCTTCGGTGTCATCATTCTTGATGTCTATACTGTTGCAGATCTGCTTCGCTTCCTCATATATGGGCTTCTCTACCAGTCCCCGATGCTTTTCGATAGCATTCAACACTATCTGAAGCAGATTTACTGCACTCGCTCTACACAGTATATTTCGGAGCTCAGTCCGCTCTCTACCGCTTAGCTGTTGCGAAGCCGACATAGAAACTATTTTTCCGCACCTCCGTGCGAGGCATGGCAAGTGGCTGACGCGTCAATCTCGATTCGTAATGCGTCTGGAATGCGAACTCAAATGAGCTGCTAACTAGCTGTAGTAATAGGGCGATTTTGAGAGAGGGCTTGCGGCCCCGACAAAATCATTGCGTGGTCGATGAAGTTCCCCATTCAATTACCTAGAATGGAGTTTCGGTATAGTTGCCTGATCCAAGCTCAAGTTCTCTTACCACCTGGTACCTCTATTGTCTTCCACTCAAGGGAATTGGACTTTCATCAAGACTGTATTATGCGATGTTGAAGTGGCGTGTGTTTTCATGGGATCGCACGACAAGATGAGGTCTACTCGTCTTTCGTGGATACTAGTTGTTTCTTACTTCACTGGAGCAAACCGGACTATCTAGACATCGACATGAATCGAGTGCGACCTGCATATAGCATCCTCTTAGATAAGTACTCAAGCCAGCAGCTTGTCTGCAACCAAAAAAACAGATGGTGTTCTCTTTACCGACAGCTGCCGAGCATAAACCGCTCTTTTCATGCATCACCCTTCAGACAATGGCATAGCATTGCAACACTTCCAGATCATGTGCCTCTGCAGCTCAAGGAAACTTCAGGTTCAGAGTTGCTTTATTTAAGATGGTCAGAACCTCCGCGCAATATCCTGCTTATCAAGAAAACTTGTGCAGAAGCCACAACTCAGGCGCTGAAAGATTTTGCTGCTCATATCAAAAGCACATACACTAATATCAATATTCTGCTCGAGCCAGATGTGGCGACAGAATTAGAGACCCAAGTACCTTTCAATGTCTGCAGCTCACCTCATAAGGGGGATGGAACAACATTGTACCACGACAAGGTCGATTTGATCGTCACTTTCGGAGGGGATGGCACAATACTGCACGCCTCGTCGTTGTTCGCTGCGGCTGCACGTGTGCCGCCGATATTGTCCTTCAGCATGGGTACTCTAGGATTTTTGAGCGAGTGGAAATTTGCAGAGTTCAAGAGAGCGTTCCGCGAGACGTATATGTCAGGATCAGAGGCCGAGCGTAAAAGCACGATATCTGACGGTGATACCGGCAGTAAAGATAGTCTCACAGGGTGGTCGTCCGTCAGAGGCAAGTCTATGGGCTCGACCCGAGGTGCTCGTGTGCTAGTCCGGCAAAGGTTGAAAGTGGGCATCTACGATGCAAATGGAAACAGACTCACTACGAAAGGGAGCTCATCAAGAGATATGCATGCTATGAACGAAGTCCTACTGCACCGCGGACGAGAACCACATTTGGCGATCGTCGATGTTTTCGTGGGAGGCAGGTTCCTTACCGAAGCAGTAGCAGACGGCATGATTATCTCGACGCCCACTGGAAGCACGGCGTACAGTCTGAGCAGTGGCGGCAGCATTATTCATCCCTTGGTGCCATCATTGTTACTTACTCCCATCTGTCCAAGAAGTTTGAGCTTCCGACCGCTCATATTGCCATGGTCAACACCTATTACTTTGAAGTTGAGTGAGAAGAATAGGGGAAGGGAAGTCGAAGTGAGCATCGATGGTGCGAGAAGAGAACAAGGGATAGGCGTCGGCACAGAACTTCGTGTCTTAGGCGAGGAAGTCACCCAGCAGAACGGTGAATGGCGAGGAGGAATACCTTGTGTTATGAGGAGAAGCAGTGCTGGTGCTGGTGGTGACGATGGTTGGGTGGGAGGCCTCAACGGATTGCTCAAATTCAACTATGCTTTTGGCGAGGGTAACTAGATTTTCAAGCTTGTATAAACCATTGCTTCAATTCTTTTACAACCATTAAACAACTGTAGGCTTACCCTTGCACTTTGTTCCTGTCAATCATGCGTTTGATGGATGACTTTCGGCTGAAGTTCGGATGTGCTGAACAAGCCGTGCCACACTACTGACAGTCACGTGTGGAATTTAGCTTATCGATCTGGAGCTCCAAGTCCCAGCTTTTTGTAACTACAACCTACATCCAGCAACGTTGTTCTACCACTTCTCGTTACCACTCCAGAGCCGGCCACTTGTTGTGGACGACCATAGCACCCAACCAAGAGTTCAACACGGCTTGTAGGCGTCGAAAAGCGCGTATCTTGAAGAAGCTGGACGCGTAGCGCAGTGAGTGGCATCGAACCTCCTGCTTTTTCTCTTCCTAAATCGTCGTGCACGCAATTGGCGACGCGTCAATCCTACATTACAATGGCGGCATCGATACCTGGCGTCCAAAGTGACCGGGCATATGATCAAAATCAGAACATGTAAGCGGCTCACCAAGCGACTCGTCTGTACCACTAACATTCTATGGCAGCTTCGATGCTGAGGCCCCACCAATTCAGGATGATGACATGCAAGAAGTCAGCGGTGTCCAAGACGATGGCGACGAGGATGCAATGGACGAAGACGCCCTCGATGACAATGGCGAACCAATACAGAAATCTGGCAAGCCACGCAAACTCCGCATATTCGAAAAGACAGGCCCACAAGCCAGTGTCGCTCAAATCAGGGATCTCCGTCTCCTAACCCAATTCGTCAAAGACTTCGAGCTCAACATAAAGCAACGTGAGATCGACGAGTACCTAGGTTTCAAAGAACGAACATCACGACGCCTAAGGAAACAGAAAACCAAATCGGAGCTTGTCGCCGAAGGCAAGCTCGAGCGCCATCCACGCGCCGACAATGCCAAGAAAGCATTGAAGGTGAAGGCTGCCAAGCGCGCTGACAAGAAGAAAGCAGCGGAAGTGGAGACGCAACTTCCGCTTCAAGACCAAGATCAGATACAGCAAGAGCCTCCTGTCGATCCAGCCTTGCCTGATGGCTATATGGAAGGATGGCAGAATCAGTTACAGGGTCAGTTTGACCCAACCAATTATCATCAACCACAACAGACGTTGCAGGGATTGCAATAGAATGGCAATCAACGTGCAGACGATCTTGGTATGATGTTAGACAGACTCAGATCACGGGGCTATCCATAGTCACAAACACGGTCGACGAGGGAAGTGCTTCTACTAACAAGATGGAGTAGATAGCATCGTTGTTTGCACGCAAGGTGTTATGGAGTACTGTACATCGAGCGCTCGACCTACCTGGCATACAAGATGCTCACACACACCTGGACTTTGTAGGAGAGGGGCGGACCATAGACAATTGATATGAGTTTTGGAGCAAAAATCTATGTAGCGAAAACAGCATTTTCAGTTCAGCTCATGAACCTCTTATTAGGGTGTTCTCCCGTGTCATATCTTCTTTCTTTCGCCCGCATCCATGCTACATATTGCTCGAAGAGTTCGCAACCTCCGGCTGCACTTCGAGCCTCAACGGACGTTATCGTGATTTGCATGTGAAGGAGAGCTACAGTATTACAGGAAGTCAGGTTTGTTAGGCCCTGGATCTGAGCATTGTTGGTGTGAGCGTGTATGAAGAAGGCAACGCGACGCGTCATAGGAATCGTTCGTCTAACCTTTTATTTCAATACTCGGTACTCTTCTCACAGCCAGTAGTAACGATGAGTTGATTAATTTGCTGGTGCCGATATATATTTAACTGACCACCACTCGCCAGCAGATTGCATACATTGTCAAAATCATTCACGATGTGATATAGGAATTCCTTCACGTGCTTGCTAGGTCAACACTTTGCAAGCTCAAAAGTGCTGTAACAAGCCCTTTAACATCAGCCAGCTTACCAGATATATCTGAACCTTGGCACCTTCGATTGACCATCGGCGATGCTGTGCTGTGCCTTCTCTCCCTTCTTCGGGATTAACCCTTCTCGTTCCATCTTCTTGTTCTCCATGATCAACATGGTGCTAAGCAAAATCGCTATACAGCCAACAGCCAAGCAGCAGCCGGCGCTGATCCACATCCCTTTGCGGAAGTAAGGCTTCTCGTTAGTTGGAAAGATGTTGGTTCCGAGCAGTGGACCGCACTGCCCGATAGTGGCAAGGACAACATTGCCTCCAGCTCGCTTTGATTCAGTCTGGTGAATATTCGCAACCCATGCCAAGGTGAGGGGAACGCAAATAAAGATCTGCACCGATAAGAAGACGCCAACGTAGCGAGGTGCGACTGTGCTGGTATTGGCTTGCAGAAGAAAGCCAAGTCCTGCTGTCCAAGCGCAGAGGACGATGAAGGGACCTCGAACGCCGACTCGATCAGAGAGATAGGTGATAAGAAGAATAGTGAAGAAACAAAGGAGGTATGGTGGTGCTGAGAGCCCGTTCGCCTCGATTTGAGTGAATTTGCCCATTTGGGAAATAATGGTCGGAACGAAAAGTGGCAGTGAAGCGAAGGAAACGTTGTAACAAAAATACATGACACCGCAAAGAACAGATTTTGGTTCTTTGAATGCAGCAAGACACTCCTTGAGCTTGAAACCTGACCCGCTGGGATCAGCCTGTTGATTTCGAGCCACGAAGATACTGGCGACCTGCTTTTGACGTTCGTCGAGGAATCGAGCCGAGGCGATATTGTCTGGAAGCCAGAACCAGGTGATAAAGGCTAGTAACACCGTGGGAAGACCTTCGATGATGAAAAGGAGTTTCCAGGGTGCGACGCTGTGATGTATGTGAGATAGCGCATAGGCCAAGGCAGATCCGTATGCGTTAGCCATTGCGGCACCAGCGATGAAGACGCCGTGACGAAAACCTATCTTCTCGCGAGGATAGAAGAAACTAAGATACAGGGGGACCCCTGGCCCGAACATCGCCTCGGACACTCCAAGAAAGAATCTAGTAAAGCGTCAACACCTGATGCACAAAGACAGCGACTTTGTGCTCTCCTACCTGCAGACCATCAGCCCCTGCCAGTTGACTATAGCAGCCTGAATAGTAGCAATGAAGCCCCAGAAAAACACAGCAAAGGCACAAAATTGATGTGGTTTGAAGACCTTCCATCCGATCAGCATCCATTGTGAGCAGATGTCTTTGCCTATGTTAGCGAAGTTGATTTGATGGGCAGCGATCGGCTTACACGCGATTTAGAAGATAGTTCCAAGCCATTGGTACCTCGTGCCACTGAGGTCGACGTCTTTCTGTAACCCAGCGAGTCTCGCGTTTCCCAAGTTTGACCTATCAAGAACCGCGAGCGAGTAGAGTAAGAAGACAAATGGCAGGAGGTGCCAATCGAGGCGTCTTATGACTGCTGCTTCCTCTTCAGCTGTCGGCGGAACAAAATCGAGTTCTCGCACATCAGTCTCCAGATGTTCGAGTGGTGAGTTCTGTGACTCCAGTGAGGTCTCTTTTTGCTCGTCGACTTCTTTCTCCATTTTGAGTAGTTAGAAGACCAAGGAGTGTAAGAAGATGGGGTCTCGGAAACAAGGTAGACGAAGAACGGGAACACGGTCCTCTTGTATTTAGCTTCTTGTGCCTCATGGCATTTTGACTCCATGACTGTGCAGAGAGTGATCGGACATCAACAGGTTGGATGCCGATGAAGAGAAGATTCGAATGTGTAATTCGGTGCATGAGATCGACGTAGTAGCTTCAACACGATCGCATGTCGTTGGCTAGTCTTAGGAAACCTGGTGGGGCTCCGCATCTGGCTTCTGACATACTGTAACCTGGATCAAGAAAGGTTGGTTGATTTAATGTTCGCCGGTTTTGGGCACAATCTTCGACAATTTCAGCCTGTACTGTGATACTTCGAGAAGTGACTGACTTATGTAGTGCGATGGCATGCAGTATAAACAGAAGTTTGTGTAAATTAGAAGGACTCATCCATACCAATGTGATATTACGCTAGCCTTACTTGTACTTTATATGTAATCGGCCGTTCTACGTAACTTAACCTCAGATAGTTTTTAATACGATACTTGCTTGATTTCACACTAAGTAAGTTAAGGTGTGTTTCGTCATAGCCGCAACATAAGCCTTAGAGGTTGCTTAGCATGGCTCCGTTTATGCTTGGTTGTGCGCCACCGGATTTGTCCTATCACGGTGCACCACTTGTCCTGTCACAGTACTCGTGATATTCGACCTTAATGCATTGCTTGTTTTGTTGTAGCATTCAACCTGTCTTCTGTCGCAGAATAACACCGGACATTTGGTGGTCGGCAGAAGCCATAGCTCTCTTTGATGCAATTTGTAGCCATCTGGGGGACGCCTTTGCTGAACACCAAGTGCTGCAATACCATGAGTAATGCGTATTATGTCCACAGTAGACACGTCACCATTTGATGCCGAGCCTTTTTGAATAGAGCTGACTCCGGTCGAACTACTGATGGGTTTACTACGTATGATAAACGGATCAGTATCTGGAGTAGGATCCAAGGCTAGTCGTCACAGTTTTAGTTTTGGAATAATAGTTTATTTTTGTTTTTCCTCGAATCAGAAATCGCATCGCTATATCCCAATAAAGATCGAGGCTGAGAGGTATACCATATCGTACAACGTGTCTTCTGCCCTTCCACGCCATCGTCCCTGGACGCCACCCCAAATCATCCTGTAGCAGTCTTCTTGGGGAGCACTCCTGGGTTCGTGTCCTCGTATTCGTTCTTGAAATGCCGCAGTAGTTCTTCCGCCTCACGACTTATGCTCTTGGCCTCTGAGGCTTCACTATTGGAGATTGAGACTGCCTCGTTGAGCCTGTACAGCAACGACGGTGGGCCGTACTCGACGCGACACAGCACTGAATTCTCTCTGCGCGCTTTATGCCATCTGTGAAATCTGATTGGCTAAAGACTTTAGGATATGCCTTGAGCGCCGCGGTAGCCAAGACCTCTGTTCAATCCCTGCCATCTTCTTGGCGTTGCTGGCCGCCGTGAAGAACGTCGCTGACATATTTGAGAGGGACGCTAAATAGCAAATCATCCTCTGGCGGTGCGAAGGCTGCTCTGTGGTTTGGATCGACGGTAGTATCTAAGTCGGCACAGTTGTTGCGGCCGGCTGTCTCGATATGCATGTCGAGTCGGTCGATGATCTCTGGTATGATATTCAGCGTCACTGTTGACAAGCTCTGTGACGCCAAGGGAGTGAAGAACTTCTCCAGCTTATTATGCAGTTGCAGGAGGCTCACGTCGATGCCTCTAGTCTGCAAATCTGCCCAAACCTGGCAAGTGGCATTCTGAACACCACCACCTGACCGGGAATTGGATGGCAGTGCAGACCTTTCGTAAGTAAGCACAATCTCAAGAACAACTGATAACTCCGTCTTGGATCGGAGATGTTTCTTCGTGACGTCTGTAGCGTAAGAAGAACGAAATGGCTCCGCCAGCTCGGTAGGTGCCTCGTTCAGACTTTGAGTTGTGTTGCCTGTCGGAACAGTTAAGCTAACAGCCTGGCATCGTTGCAGTAGTTGTGCGGCGATGACTCCAAACTGGAGTATTTTAGCAGCCTTCTCGAGGTCTTCTTCGGCCATCTTCATGATGGCATTCTTGGCCTACTGCTATATGTTCTTAAGCATGACCCATCTGGCAGTAATCCGAGCTTTTTCATACCGCGCCTAGCGACTGGGTGTTTGCAGCATGTACTTCTTGTTTTCTCGATTGGTAAGGACTCATCCTACCATTTCGCCGATTCGGTCGGACATGGTCTGACCTTGAGGCGTGAGAGGAACGGCCTGGCCTTGAGGAGGAGTTTGACTCAAGGACGAGCGTGCCTGCTGGTTTTGAAGGTGAATCCGATTCAGCCAGGCAATATCTTCATCGTGAGTGAGAGCTTTGTTGTTCACAAGAACATCGGCAGCGTGGTCTAAACTATCGTCTAGGTCTTCGTCTTGATCGTCATCTTGACTCTGATCTCCATCTGTGTTGCAGTTTTGCTCGCCGAGAACAGGAACATTGTTGGCAGCCAAAGGTAGTGCCGATGCTGGCCAGTCTGGTGTGATATATTTTCTGGCAAAGGGAAAGAGCTAGCAAGCACGCAAAGTGATTTCTTCGAATGTCGTGAACGAATATATAGCCCGACCAGGTCCACTATCCTAATACAAACAGTTTTGAGACGCCCGCAACATCAGCGGGCGTACTCCCCATGCAATTTGTGAGAGGGATCGCTTGTATGTTGAAATGCAGCCATCGATATGTATCTGCTTTGAATTCTCATACAACATGTCCTCAATGTTTAAAATTACTCGACAATAGCTGACCAAATCCCATCATACTGCAGGTACGTAGACACGAGCTAAATTTATCGGCTCACAATTTCCCCCGGACCCTATCCCCCATCAACATCGAGACCAAAGCAGGCAAATCACAGAAATCCCGCCTTCCTATACCCACTCCTCTCACCATGCTCAACCACAGTCTTCCCACCAAAACACTCATCATAGTCCTCCATCTGATCAAACCAACCATGCGGCCACGTTCCAAAACTCCGTCCGTTGACCGCATCAGTCCGTGTTGCGCACAGAGACGCAGCCTGAACAACATACTCGATAGGCGCGAACAGCCCAGCCTTTTCCACAGCTTCAATGGCCTTTTGCCTTGTTCCGTCGCCAGGATTGTAGTTCATCACCATGGGTGTAGGTGTGTAGCCTGGCGCGACGAGATTGACGGTGAAGATACTGTCGGGTAAGTGAGAGGCGATACGTAGAGAGCGGAAGAGACCTCGTACGCCGTATTTCGAGATGCAGTAGTGGGTTGAGTCGTAGTCGATATACCCAGCTAGGGATGCGACGAGGAAAAGCGGCTTTTGGCCGTTGGACGGAGAGATAGGTGGTGCGCCAGGCGCGGCTGGAAGACGGAAGTAATGTAGTGCTAGCTTTGCACTCTTGAGGAGGCCGCCGAGGTTGATATCAACGACTTTCGTGCTTGGCTCGATAGGGTCGATGTCGAGACTGACCTCTGGATTCTTTGTTTCGATCTGCTTCGTCAAATTGCGTCCGTCACCGCCAACGCCAGCGAAGAGGAAGGCGCCGTCTAGAGTCTTCCGAGGAGTTGAGGCGACAGCGTGCTTGAAGGCTTGGACCGAGGACGTCCAGTCCGTGACATCGGCCTGAATGAATGTTACATGATAGCCCTTTGAAGTCAGTGACGCTTCAGCAGCCCTGCCTTGCTCTTCGTTCCGGTCGACAAGCGTGATATACGCGCCATGTTCTGCGAAGCGAGTTGCTGTAGCGAGTCCCAGACCTGAAGCACCTCCAGTGATGAGTATAGACTTGTTTGGAAGATTAGCATAATCAACTGGTAGCTTTTCCGTCATCGTGATGCACACGAGGATCAATAGTCAGGATGTGACACACTAGAAGTAGGAGGACGACAGTCGGAGATTGATTTGCTCAGAGCTGAGATCCTCAGAGGACCACATTAGCATTCTATATAGTGTGCTGTTCCCAAGGTTGAGCTTGAATCCACTACTCAGCTTCACCAGCGAGATGTCTGCCATTGAAGGTAGATCTCCTCTTTTCATCGCCATCCCTACTTTGAGAGGTAGATCAGTATAGCCAAGTCTTTTGGAGACGACGTATTCGGGTCCTGGTTTCCACTTCCCGACCCATCATAGGCAGTATAATTAGTTACCGTCTCCTCGCCCTGTGTAAGTGTGGTCAAAGGTCATCTCCTCGATACCGATGCCATGGAAACCCCGAGGCGCAACGGACCTCGGTCTCGGCAGATTCGTCCCTGCAAGCCTAAGGACGTGTTACAACGGAACAACATCAACGAAGTGCTGATCAACGGACTGGTAACCAAGCATGGGAAATGAGTGCAGTACTCCGCTCCATCAAGACGAACTGACACCGCGAACTCCTAACCCTTTTGCGCACTCGGTATGCAGCATTGAAGTCGCCATATATACTTTCACACGCTAAATATTGATGAGTTATAGAATGTTGTACAATTTACACTTCGACTCTCGTGGGTATCTTGACTTGTCCTTTCTTTCTGTCCTCATGCGGCACACCATAGCGCATACCCGGCGAAGCAGCTCCCCTACCAGTGATGCCAGTGCCTTGTCGTGATACCTTGACATCAGTAACCACAAACTGCCATCGGCCTGTATCGACTCTGGTTTTCCTTTTTTCGTCTGCTGCAAATTTCCGCTCACGCGCTTCAGCTCGCGATGTGGCATCGTCTTCGAGCCTTTGTGTATATCGATTTTTTATTTCATCGTCGTTCCCTCTCAGCTCTTGCTGGTCTTTCGCGAAAGCGATTAAATGTGGATGAGGTATTCTGGCGTCGGCAGGCTTGAGGATGTCCATCTCATTCTTGCCCTTACCTACTTTTTCGGGTTGTATATCTTGCCATGGCTGTTTGGCTGCACCTCCTTGTGCTACGTCCTGTTCATCCGGCAAACGAGTTGCAGCTGAGAATACTCGACCAGCATCCGTTCGATTGAAAGCGCGAGACTCGGAGGTTGGGTAGAATAGTTGTTGGTCCGTGAGTGGATGTACAGGAAGGTCGTTAATAGATTCGTGACGGACAACTTTGCTTTGTGAGTATGGCGTCGTTGGTAACATTTCGTGAATAGCACGAGCATATGGAAGTGCTAATTGTTTGCGCTATAGCCCAGATGTTAGCTGAGCACCAACGTAAAGTAGTTGATAACGGTAGTGGTGAGATTTTGCATCAGAGAGTTGTAATTTGTTTTGTTAATACACCATGGTGGAAGTCTGAAAGACTAATCGATTTTACACTCATCATATGGGGTTGTATTCCTGGACAAAAGTTGCACTTACCTCTTCTCGCATCTGGTTCTCGACCTCGACCAGTCTGACGACAGCACCAACTCTTCTCATCTCAACCCCAAGTTCAACGGAGACTGTCCGTACTGATTTCTTTTCAACTTGAACCCTGCGCCATATCTCTTGCCGCAAGTCCTCTGACAGTATAGCTTCGGAAACGAAGGTTTTGTTTAACGGAAAAGGTCGGAGATCTTCTGTCGATTCTGGTGTGTCTTCGCCCTCACGTAACAATTTGCCTTGCCTGTTGTATGCAGACAAATAATTCGTAGAGTTCGGTAGGGGATGTCGAAAGCTTTCACCTGGCCCTTGTAGCCACGCGAACATCTGCCGCCGCAGCCGAGTCTGTGGTGCTGGTGTAGAGGAGAAGTCTCGTCTCAGGCATGATGTACATATCGAGGTCTTGAAGGAAAGGTTGTGAATATTGACAGCTGCACGTGGTGGCATGTTGGCGAGGATGGTATCTGTACAATGCACTCGTCACTGCCGCCGTATCATGCTCGCTAGATAACCTCTAGAGTACAGCGTGGTTTGACAAGAAGGATGTAACGTTATAATGGCATGTTTGGTAGGTCTGTTGATGAATTTCCAGAAACTTGTGAAGCAATCGTGATCCCAATATTGCTGCGGCAGACTTTCCTTACTTCGTGAACGGAGCCACATCGGCCGAGCTCTCTTCTTGGCAATTCGGAGATCAACTCGCCAGCGGTCCTGACAACTTGAAATCCATCTGCGATTCTAAAACACTCGTACTCAGACAATACACTACTATCTGCTTAATTCACGATCGCCATGCTTTTCACTTATTCCAGCAATCTCGCAAAAACAGCTAGCCATGATTTTGAGCGACTCGCTTCGCCTCTTGCGCGCCTGGCAATCCTAGTAGCATTGCTGGCGCATCCATTCTCTCCATAAAGACTTCCCACATTCTCAATCCTGCTTCACCAGCCTCCTCTTCCTCTTGCATCGCGTTGTCGAGGTCCTCCCAAGTTTTGATCGAGTATGTCTGGGTAGGTTCTGCTGCGCCAAACAGCGATGGAGCCTGCAGATACCGCCATCGCGCAACATTGTTGTATGCCTTATTCCAACCATGTATACATCTCTCGATTGTGTAGCCATCGTTGTTTATGAGGATGATGAGGATGTTGAGGTTTTCTCGAACCATTGTGCTTATCTCCTGAACTGTCATTTGGAAACTTCCATCGCCGATTAAGAGTATAGTTCGTGGTGGTTGTTGCCGTCTTACCGGATCTTGTGGCCATTTGCCTTCTCTGTGCATCTCGCGTTGGGCTACCGCTGCTCCTTGCGCTGCTGGAAGCATATATCCGATTGAGAGCCATGTTACTGGTTTGAAAAGATGAGTGTGTTGAGGTAGCTTAAACTCGCGAGCACCATAGCCTGGTGTACCAGTCTCGGCAAGAATGATGTCGCCAGATCTCAACAGAGGATTGAGCTTGCGATAGAAATCAGCTTGCGTAAGCGCGGCATGACCATCCAGAGTGGGCATCTGAGTATCACCTTTAGCTTTAGGTGGCTTAGTACAGTGTGGCACTCTGGATTTGTCGAGCTTTTCCAGCAGCAATGATAAAAAGTCTCTGGCTGGTAGATCCTGAAACAACTGTTCGTTTGCCTCGACTGAATTTGACTTGACATATAGCGTGATCGCCGGATCTGGTCTGCTCGATCCGGCATAACTATTCGTGGTGCTGAGATGTGGACCAAAGCATAACGTCAAGTCGCAGCTCTGTACGAAATTACGATCATCCTCATCAGCGGCGGAACTGCCTCTCCAGATGCCATGGAAATTTGGTAGGCCTTCATTGATCAAGCTCTTCGCGAAGGCACTTGTGTATGTTGGCCAATTTGTAAGTTTGATGAAGTCCTGGACGCTCTTCGTGATACCATAGGCTTTGCATTCTCCGTCAACCAAGATCCTGGTACGTGTCAGTTAGTCATTCTGTTCAGGTGTGAGTTGGTGGTATTGCTGGTGCAAGATCACCTACATAGGCTGTTTGCTGCTGTAAATGCGGTCTAAGGTATACTCAACGGCACGCTCCTGATCATTTGAGGGTATATATTCTGGTATCATCAACACGGACTCGAGTCGATCTGCTGCAACAGCTACTGAAACCATATCTGCCGGAATCTGAATGTAAACTGGTCGGCTGTGTATCAAGCATTGCTGAATTATTCGGTCGATCATTTCAGGACAGGTACGAGGGTCTCGAAGACTTGCTTGGGCAATGGTGATCTGTTCAGCCATAAGCGCGAAACGTTCATAGGCTCCATCGTTGAAGGTATGATGAATCAGTGCCCTCGAGTCTTGGAGCTTCCTTGCAGGTGTACCGACGATGTGAACAACTGGTGCCTTTTCGGCGTAGGATCCCGCGATAGCATTTGCTGCAGAGAGCTCACCGACTCCGAACGTGGTGATCAGAGCTCCAAGTCCCTTGATGCGAGCATAACCGTCTGCTGCATAGCCAGCATTGAGTTCGTTGCAATTACCGATCCATTGTATCTTATTCGGCTCAACATAATCTAGTAGTGTTAGGTTGTAATCGCCTGGCACTCCATGAATGGAACCAACACCAAGCTGACGAAGCCGACTGAACAGATAGTCAGCGAGTTTGACCGTGGAAGGCATGACTCGCCAATCATACATGTACTCTTTAAGAAGGTAGATAATATGCTATTTAGAGTAGTGAAGGCGATCTGTCCAGTCTAAGCATTAATCTTCGTCGACATACACGAGGTCAGAACAGAAAGAGGTCAGCATCAAACTCGCCTAATAGGTAGTGCAGAAACACAGCAGGCCATTGTCTTGTAATCGATAGTCAAATGCTGTGCTAGGTGGTCGCAGATAGGCATTCATGTAATAAGGCGCGTCCAAGGACTTTGGAGTAGCAACGACCAAGACTACCCCACTTTGATTGCGTTACATGAGTAGCAAGCAAGGGCGTGGTAGTAAATGGAAAGTACGGAGTCTCAATTTACCTATGGTCAAGGCTGAACAATGGGCTAGACTAGAGGGTTTAATCGATATTTGTGCAGCTGTCTGTGCATGCTCTGTACATTGTCAAGACGATCTCGTGGCAGGCATCACCAGAAGCGTTCGTAATTGCAGGCCGATGTCACGTATACAAGTACTTCTTAGTACACGAGGGTATTGTATTGAATGTGGCGAGATGAATCAAGCACTACTAGAAGATGCTGGTATCAGATAAGCGGCTACTACAGTACTGAGACGCGTCGCGTTGCCTTCTTCTCAAAACGCGCTAGCACGAAGATTGCTGGTATTCAGTGAACTCAAGTGACCTCCAATCGTTCTGCAGATCGTGATCTTGTTCGTTATAGCTCGAAGTGCAGCTGCAGTTTATCGGATCGTAGACTTTCCCAGAAGTATGTAGGTGTGTAGGTCGTTACAGTAGGGCGGCAACAGGCGCAAGTTGTGTCTCGGTCGATGCGGTTGCTATTGCAACTTCAACTCGAAGTAGCAAGTCCAAGCAGTACGGAATAGTAACTCGAGCCGACAAAGATATTTGATCCAATGCTGCGATATAGGATGATGTCTGCGATCCTACACGATCGTTGTGAAGGCTCGTCCCATAGCCACGTCCACAGCTGATGCAGTGGAAGTTTACACGAGCACAGAAACTGAGCTAACATTGGAACGTAGTTCATGACCGTCCGTCTCCAATACTGTCTGAAGAGATCATCGCTATACTAGTATGATACTATGCTTTCAGTCCGAGCTTGAGAGTGCCTCGAACAGCTGTCTGGACATGGATGTTGAACAAGCTCATTAAGCTCTGCCAAGAAAGCTAAGATTCTCTCCCCGTACGTTTTGGGGTGCTTACTCAACGAATATATTTGACCTCTTCCTGCGAACACGATGAGTACATACAAGCGCTTTCCACAGTCTTGTGGTCGGACTAACCAAGATCTTCGGTTCAGTTCTGAGGAAGCTGATTTCCACGCTCATCAACAGTGTTGTTGTTTGCACTCGAGAACATAGAAGATGGCGAGGACAATCTGTCTCGCACGATAGTGCACCAATGTTTAGCATTCCCCTCAGCCACTTTATTTCTGTTCAGCAAGCGAAACCTTCTTCTGACCGGCTTGTTGTGCGTACCCACATACACAGGATTCCTCCACCATTTGTTCGTGGACCAGTTCCCACCCATCCGTATCTGACTGAAGCGCACTCGTTTTGCATCATCCCTCCAGCTGCGCCATCAGTACAACAACTGAGGCCCTGCAACATTCAGCTACGGCTGGGTTGAACACATCTGTGTTTCCACTACCTCAGTCGCTACTATACTTGGGCGATGCAGTCACTAACAAAGCAGTGACCTCTACCCCAGCGACAGCCCTGCACCAACCTCATCGTTGTTCACTATGGGTTTACCACAGTGTAACACCACACTGGAGGACGCCAGACTCGACGAAACTCCATTGTTCAACACCCACAACTTCACCTTCCATCAACTCATCCTCGTTATCTCAGCAGCATGCGGCTTAATAGCCATTATCGTCTCTCTTTTCCTCATGTTCATGCATGCGACGCATTATAGCCGACCAACGGAGCAGCGACACATCATCCGTATCCTATTCATGGTGCCGGTATACGCCCTAGTCTCTTTCCTCTCGATCTGGTTTTACTACCACTCTGTTTACTACGAGGTCCTACGAGATTGTTACGAAGCCTTCGCAATTGCCTCCTTCTTCAGCTTGATGTGCGCGTACTTGGCAGATGATCTGCACCATCAAAAAGAGTACTTTAGGAAGATCAAACCGAAGCCATGGATCTGGCCAATGAAGTGGTTTCAGAAATGCTGTGGAGGAGACAGAGGCTGTCTGAGAACACCTAGGAGTGGCCTTACGTGGTTCAATGTGATTTGGGTGGCAGTATTTCAATATTGCTTCATTCGGGTCAGCATGACTATTACAGCAGTGGTCACCCAGTACTTTGACCGATACTGTCTTGAGTCGCTTAATCCAGCCTTTGCGCATGTCTGGGTGATGGTGATCGAAGCCGTGGCCGTTACGATCACTATGTATTGTATCATCCAATTCTACGTTCAGATACGGGAGGATGTTGCTCAGCATAAGCCCATATTGAAGGTTTTGGCCATCAAGCTCGTCATCTTTTTGAGTTTCTGGCAGACCATTATTATCTCCTTCCTTACCAGTTCAGGCGCGATCGAGGCTAGCAACAAGATTGAAACTCCTGACATCAAGGTAGGAATTCCTTCTCTGTTGCTCTGTATCGAGATGGCCCTCTTTGCTATCTTCCACCTTTGGTCTTTCTCATACAGACCATACGTGATTGGTTCGAAGCAATATCAAGCCGTCTACGGCCACCTGGACTCAACTGCGCAAGCTCGTTATCGAGGAGGGCCACTTGGGATGAAAGCAATCCTGGAGTGCTTCAATCCATGGGACTTGATCAAGGCGACCGGTCGCTCCGCGAAATGGCTGTTTGTCGGTCGAGCTCGCCGAATGGAGGATGCTAGTTACACCTCAGTCAACGCACAAGGTACCGATGTACAAAAGATGAATGACCTTGACAATGGCACCACAGCATATGGTGGAGCAGGCGCCACGATGCTCACAAAAAAACCAGTTCGTGCAGAAGAAGGATCAGGGCTGTTGGCCCGGGCCCAGCAGCCTGCCGGACTTGCACCACGTGCTACTCACGAAAGCGATGGTTCTGGAAGTAGTCCATGGACTGACGTAGAAGCAAAGGAGTATTTCCAGGACCAAGAAATGCAGAAGAAAACTGGATCGCAACGTGCTGATTTCCAGACTGCCAACACAAACCCATATGACACAAGGTATACAGGAAAAGACGCCTATGGTCCAAGGAGCTCATCGCTGCAGCCCCCCAGGCTTCAAGAGACCGGGATCTCGAGGCCAGCGGGTACTGCACCAGGTGGAGGACAGCCCCTTCAGCAGCATCTGCCAATGGTAACGAGACGTGATATTGAAGACATGCAGCACAATCGGCAAGGACAGGCGCCTTATCCGAGAAGTGTAGCAAGCATCGGTGTCGCGGATCATCACCATCAATAAGAACCTCAAAGCCTAGTGCTGACTGCCTCGCTGTAAATAGTATATGAAGAATAATGACATCCTTGTGATACTGTAAATATCAATTTCCTTGGCCTCAAAAGTGTTGCAAAGAACGTGGGTGGGTGGGGCATCTTATTGGCTGATGTGACCATCGGCCGAATGCCGGCTTGAGCGACGACAATATGCATCTTGACTTCTTACGATCCTCTTTTGCTTTTGAAAGATATTCGCTGACAACACATACCATGTCCGCGAATAATGCTGCCAATGCGGCAGAACCTGTTCCAGATGGAAGTGGCAGTGGCGGGTCCATGTTGTTCACGATTGCTCGCAGCGTAGGCGTTTTCATATTCATCCAATTTGCTATGAAACAGTTTACAGGAGGAGGCAGCCAGAACGCAAGCACTGGCAATGGTACTGTTGTGCCCTCTAATGTTGGAAGTTTCGCAGACAGGCCAGAAATCACGACTATAATGAATTACAGCCATATCCCCCATAACCTCGCCCCAATCTGGGCAGACGATAGCGTCCTCGATGTTCGTGTACATATCAGCCCGTCTCCGCAGTTGCCGCCGCTCGCTTCCCTTCCCTCGGAGTCTTTAGTGCTCAGCGAGGACAGTTTCAAGATTGGAGATTCCAAATACAACAGGGAGTTTCAGACCACGATAGTTCTGCCAGCTGAGGTTCAGAACAATGGCAGTCTTTATGCGCACATCCTCGCTGGTCTTCACGGTAGCGAACTTGACCCGAACTCCAAGAGATACGATCCTGCCACTGCTGCGCACTATGTGAAACAGCTCAATCATTATCTTCCTAAGAAGAAGGTGCGCAAGGAAAGGAATTTGCTGGACAAGAATGAAGAGATGGAGGTAGAGCCAGAAGAACAGAAAGGACCCTCGGTCTCGTCATATTGGCACTCGAATTTCTCATTGGCTGTCATTCCTGGCACTGGCACGGTGAACTGGCGCTCAATGCACCCTGGACTAAGGAAGAATATCCTCGTTGAGCCAACAGGAGCGCGAGATGAGTCCGGCCAGAACGGCTGGTACTACCCCGTATTCTTTCTAAACACGTTCTGGCAGCTGCGCAGCCACATGACCGAGCTTAATGAAACTGTCAAGAGTGTTCCACTGAACATCAATTTCTACAACATGGCCAACTGGAAATACTCTATCATGGCATCGATGGACGAAGGCATGAAGCAACAGCAACAGGCTTCCGCATTTGGTACTCCCAACCCGAATCCAGCCGGTGGCGATGGAAGCGAATTTGAGAAGTTCAAGGAAATCCTGCTCGACTCAAACCCATGGTTGCTCGGCACGACTTTCGTGGTCAGTATCCTACACATGATCTTCGAGGCGTTGGCCTTCAAGAACGATATTTCCCATTGGCGCAAGAAGAAGGATAATATCGGCGCATCTGTCCGCACCATCATCAGTAATGTCTTCATGCAGCTGGTCATCTTCCTGTACTTGGTCGACAACAGCGATGGCACCAGCTGGATGATTCTGGCCAGCCAAGGGTTTGGTATCCTCGTTGAAGCATGGAAGATCACAAAGGTTGCGAAAGTGGTCATCAGCCCGCCTGCTCCTGGTTCGTGGTATAGCTTCATGCCATATGTTGTCAAGCTGGAGGACACACACGAGCTCTCCGAGACGGAAGAGAAGACAGAAGAGTACGACAAGGAAGCTTTCCGATACCTCGCTATCATTGCTGCGCCATTATTGCTCGCATATGCCATCTACAGCCTTGTCTATGAGAGCCACAAGTCGTGGTACAGTTACGTGATTGAGACTCTAGTCGGCTCGGTATACGCCTACGGCTTCTTAATGATGGTGCCGCAATTGTGGATCAACTATCGGCTGAAATCTGTCTCACATATGCCAGGTCGTGCATTAGTAAGTTGTTTTTGTCTAGTTACTCCTTGGCCTTCACTGACAAATTTCTAGGTCTACAAAACCCTCGGCACATTCATCGACGACCTATTCGCATTCACAATCCGAATGCCCATCCTTCATCGACTAGCCACCTTCCGAGACGACGTCATCTTCTTCGTCTGGCTCTACCAGAAGTGGGCATACAAGGTCGACTACACCAGAGTCAACGAGTTCGGTCAGGGTGGAGAGGACGACGCAAATGTCGACAAGACTAACGCCGGAAATGAAAAGACGGACGAGAAAGCCGTACAAGGGCAAGATCCGAAGATGAAGCCGGTCGCCGCTGCTGCCGCCACAGCGAGTGGAAGCGACAAGAAAGGAGGCAGCGCGAAGAAGAGGAAATAAGCTTCTAATCCTGTTGGATGGAGCACTGTCATGGCTCAGATGTACTAATTAAATACATAGTCTTTATCTGACATATCAAAAGTCTCATTCACACTGCCGTCAATATCCCAAGCAGCCAGTATTACACCTGTCCATACCTATCCTCCTACTTCTCATTCTCACTAATCATGTAAATCCACCTTTGGGAAATTCGGCTTCTCTCCAGGCCACTTCTTCTCAAAGTCCTTCAACAGTTTATTGTACTCCAGCCAAGCGACGTGCAGAATAGCTCCGGCTTCGTTGATCTTCTTGAGATCTCGTTGCTGCACTGCTTTCTTATCCCATTCCATTCCTCGTAGTTGATGTTCGATTGGTTCGTTGTCGGCACCACCTGCTGGTGGGCCTTTCCAGGGGATGATTGGGCCAGTACCCGAGACGACAATTTTATCTTCTGCTGAGTCTGGTGTTTCGTCTGGGAGGACTGGGCCAGGTTCCATGACGACGATTTTGTCGGCTGAGTGGGGCAGGTCGCTGGGGACGCTAAAGCCAGGGATGTTGCCGGTTGGGTTTGGTTTATGGGATGCATCATCTGCTGAGTATGGGATGGCTTCAAGCATGCGGAAGCTATCTGACGAGGCAGTCTTTTCGTCTCGTGTAGTCACGGTTGTATGGTCTGTTGACAGCGGGAAGCCGTTTGTGGCAGGTAGCACACCGTTGGCGAGGCTTGGTGGAATTGCTGCGGTCTGGGTGGTGGCTAGGAAGAGGCCTTTGACTGCAACAACGGAGGTCTTCATGTTGATGGTTACTGTTATCGTTTGGATTTGTCTTCGTAACTTCAATTGGTATGTTTGAGTACGAGGTTGTGTCGAGTGGGAGGATTTTTCTGTCGAGAATTGTGAGGAATATATAGCCAAACCACACGAGGATCTGTAAACGGCATCCACATCTGCCTGACGTGTAAATCTATCTACCTGTAAATATGCTCATTAACATACATGAAAGATCATATATTCGGTTAGTCGGGTGGAGCGCAGCAAAGGCTAGTCGAGTAGAGTACCATTCAAAAGTCCTTGACATGACCTCGTTTCACCATCGACCGTGCCTCGTGCTTCTTGCGATGGAGTATGCGAACTCGAAGTGCAACTTGAGACCGCAAAATCTGCTCTGATTCAGGTAACGCACGAGATAGCCTGACTATCTGAGAGCTAGCTTCGTAGGCCGTCCATTATCGTGAATTTTTTGCTCTATCGATCATCTCTCGTGCTCGTAACTTTCGGTCCTGTTCGTGCCGTGCTCTGTGACTTGTCAACTAATATCACGCTGTCTAGAATGACCCATGGTTGGTTCGCCGAAGTGAGAAGGGGGCGCGATTCCGAAATAGGTCGACCAACGTCCTAGGAATACCAGGCATCAGAGACGGCAGGTGCGTGTTGCCTTTGTTCGGGCAATAGATCTTGTTGTGCAGGAAGAGCTTGGGCGAGGACCCTCGAACTCGTGACATGTGAATGCCGAATATCATACCTGTCAAAACCTATTTGCTCGACCGACAGACTTCAACGCTCAGCCTGTGTACTGCTACGTAAATCAGTTGAACTCTGATTGTGCACCTTGATACTCGTTAGTAGTAAAATCCCTCATATTAAGTGTTAGCCTGTCACGAAGTGCAATCTCTATGACCGCGAGCAATGAGAACGAAACACTGCTTGTGGCCATCATAGATCGAAATTGTCAAACAAGCAGAATCAGTTCATCGTCTCGTGTTCACGAAGAACGACAGTGAAGGTTGTAGAGCTCGGTGCACGAAGCTGCAATAGTACCATTTGATGTCGCGTGTCGACCCCGTTTTGAGTGGAGCCTGCAAGAACTTTAGACCTTCACCAACGAGGGCGGAAACATACAATATACTCGTAGTATACTCGAGTAGAATAGTAACTACTCACCCAACATGAAGCTCATAGGGATGGCTTCCCAAGAGAGCATGAAGGACAGCGATACACGGAAATACCATCTCTTGGTTGTGCCGAATACTGGCCACTTGACGTTCTGGTCAGGGACCTCAAAACTTCAAAGCCACATCACAATAAAAGGGACCATCGACAATTCAGCCTGACCTCAATTCTCCTGATTCAGTGTCACAAATTCTAATCGTTTTCCTTTGGTGAGATTCGTTAACCTTTATCTCTCTCAACCTTCACTCCCACCTTCACTCACGCAGGTGTTCACCAAAAGTAAGTGAAACATAAGCACTAATCCACAAACCAATGCTGATGATTAGACAGTATCGTCGCTTATGGGGTCTGTAGCTCAGTGGTAGAGTGCTCCCTTCGCATCACATTGTCTACTTACTAAGAGGCTGCAAGTGTGAAGATGGGAGAAGTCGCCTGTTCGAACCAGGTCTGATCCAGCTTTTCTTTTTTGAGCGCAATACTGACAAGCTGTATGAGCGTTTGCCTCAACCTCGGAGCATATGGAGAAACTGGAATAATGTTATGCAGGAAGACAAAGCCAAATTGTCAGATAAGTTTGGAATGGGTAAGGAAGTCAGAAATATGTTCGTGGCGGCTCAATCACCTCGAATGTGTGACGAGAGGCTTGGTGATGTTCAAAGCACGACCTTCCCCAAAGCACATGGAGGTGTACCTGATGTAAGCAGACGCACGACCGATTTAGAAGAGCAGTTATTGCTGTTGAACCATTTCTGGAAGGCGTGATGGATTGGTTTCTTACGCCTGACAGCCACTAACCTATAGTCAAGATGACACATAGGAAGTACTGCATGAATGGTGCTTCAAACCCTTTGGCGTGCACGGATTGTCACACAAGCAAGCGGTGTGCTAAGTGTTGAGGTACAGCGACTGAGCTCTGTTGGCTAGACTTGACAGGGATGGTGCAAACCTGTCAGATGCCATATGGCCAACGTTACGCAGGCAGAGTAATCATAAGTAAGAGCATGAGGCCGTGTGCAGTATACAAGCTGACATATTTCTGTTGAAAATTGACGATAAAAATGCATTCCTTCTATGTCTTTTCAAGTCCTGCCCCAACGTCTCCAAAACTTCCAAGAACTGTCATCGTTTGTCCTTCTGACACCACCCCTTCCATCGCGACCAGCTACACGCCAAAGGTAGATCGGTATACCTGCGACCACGAAGGCAAGCACAACTGCCGCTTGTCCTGGCTCGTTCACAACCGCCCTCGACACCAAGAACAAACTGACACAGCAGAATATGACTGGGGTGGTAATCCAAGTTTTGTATGGTCTTTCCAAGTTTGGCTCTCTTATCCTCAAGACAATTAGGCCAAGCACAGTCAGGAAGTAGAAGCTGTAACCTGCACAGCCATAGAACGTGATTAGTGTTTTGAATTCGCCGATGACTATATAGACGCTCGTCAGGACGAGATTGAGTACCAGGGCTGCAAGAGGTGTGAGGAAGAGGGTGCCATCACTATCACCAAGAACGTTCTGACAAGCCTTGGTAAGAGGGGTTCTAGTTCGAAGTTTGTTGGGCACAAAACGTTGTGGCTCATTGGAGGAGCTGGAAAACCCAAGTTGGCCAAAAAGATCAGGTAGGTAACCTTCACGTCCAGCTACGTAGACCAGTCGGCCGGAAGTGAACGTCGTTGCATTCAGAGCACCGAAAGCTGACAATGAGACGACTACCGCCAGCAGTAGAGCTCCGATTGGACCAAAGACCTTGCTTCCAAACTGTACAGCAACCGCATTTGACTTGTTCATCTCCACGAAAGGTAGAACGAAGATGTAGGAGACGTTGGCTAGCAAGTAGCAGAGGATGACAGCAGGCATGGCAGTATGTAGCACTCTCGGCAAGTCCTTGGAAGGGTTCTTAAATTCGCCTGTGACATAGTTGGTATTATCCCAGCCATCAAAAGCCCAGAGACCTGCGTAGAGTGCTACAGCCCAATCTGAAATGTTGTCAGAAGTATGCTCGAACCAGCCTGTCGTCTTCCATTCCGTATTTGCACTTCCTTTGAAAGATAGTCCCGTGGCCGCAACGACAATACCGATGATAGTCACAGCAGCCAGAGCGACAAACTTGAAGAACATGAAACCATCGCCCACGCGGGCAGGCAACCGAGTAGACAGACAGTTGATGAATGTAACGATGAGAAGGGCGGCAAAAGCAGGAGCTTTGTTGATCCAAGGATTGATCTCTTCAACCTCAGCGCCTATAACTGCACGCACAATGTACTCGCCCAGGATAATGGCTATTATTGCAGCACTTCCAGGCTTCAAGACTAGAATGGCGGTCCAGGTGAAGAGGAAGCCAGTCATCTCTCCAAAAATCTTAGCTAGATATACTTGAGCTCCTCCATTGAGCGGAATCGCGCCTCCCAACTCAGCATAGGAGGCAGCGCCAGTCCATGCTAGCAAGCCAGAGATGGTCCATATCACCAGGGCAGCTCCTGGTGAACCAACATGCAGATTAACCTGAGACGGAGACGAGAAGATGCCAGAACCAATTATGAGTCCAATGACCAAGGACAGACCATTCAGATAGGTCAGGGTTTTGTGCTTCTCGAGATTTTCTATGGCGCCGCCTCGATCGAAGGTAGGTGTGGTAGGGGCACCTATAGCGGTATATCCGCCAGCGGTAGAGGAAAGAGGGAACAGGGCGGGCGTAAAATCGAAGGCGGAGGAGACAGAATAGGATCTGTTCAGACGGCCAGCTCGACCGGCTGCCAGGTTGTTGTTGTCTAGAGGATCGTCATTCGCGAAGGACAGTCGTCGTGACGATGGTGCACCAGAAACTGAAGACAACTCTGAGTCGGCATCCTCCCCATCGCTCTCAGCCAGTGATGCAAGTTCGAGAGAGTCTCGTCCTGGGACTGCTAGAGGCTTCTGCACTCTGGCGAACTCTAGGCGGGACATCGTTTAGTGCTGGTAAAGATGTGGGCAGTCGTGTCGCAACATCGTGAACCAAGTGGCCTCCAAGAGCGAAGGAAGTCAATCCGAACCTCCTTTTCGCGCTCAGAATACTGTTGATGGTTGTGAGATTGAGAGTGGAGTTCTGAATGTTCCTGCGCTTTGTTAGGCCATTTACTATGAAATACGGAGTATGCGTGCAGATCATCCAATTATGTCATCAAATGCGCTCTTCCAAAAGAGCCAATACTCGAGTATGCAAGCTTTAATCCGTGCTATTCTTCCTAAAGATCGATCCAGTCAAGGCACAATAGTGCACCCAGTACGGAACGAGGCCCAGGCCTGATGTTGAGAAGATGCAATGCGAAGCCAGCAATACACGCTCGATGGCGCCTTCCAACCAAGCACTTTTCCACGACAGTTAGAAGACTCTCTGCCTCGTCCCCAGCGACCTTTCAGAAATCAGCAGAACCGAAGAAATGGCATCTTTATCTAGCCATCGGTATAGTCGGTCTCTCAATCGGGTCATGGTATCGGACGTTCAGCTACGAGAGACCAGTAAAACACAGCGCATTCGTGGCATTTGAGCTTCTCGCCAAAGAGCCAGTCTCATCAACTGCTAGCATCTTTACTATAAAGCCCAAAGACAGCCTAGTTTTCGCCGACGAATATGCCAAAGCCTGGAAGATCGGCGTTTGGAACGTGTTGTTCAAGCAGCCTCAGATCCAGATTGTACGCGCCTATACACCTCTTCCCGCAGTGGAAGCCACAGATTCCCTCGTTGCAGAAAAAGACGAGCTTGAGACCCTTCGTTTTTTGATTCGCAGAGACGCACGCGGTGGAGAGATGTCAACTTATCTACACAGACTGCCAATCGGTTCAACCATTGAACTGAGAGGACCGAATATTGAATATCCTATTCCCGATACTGCAAAGAACGTCGTCTTTGTCGCTGGAGGAACGGGTATTGCACCCGCGATGCAGATAGCACACGCCATGTTCGACGGCTTGAGCGATAGACAAAAGAACGAAAAGACATTACACATCTTGTGGGGTAACAGAACACGTGAAGATTGCAAAGGTGGTGTTTCCGACAACGAAATTGTGCCGTCAAGAGCAACTGAAGCCGGCATATCTTCAGGGGTATGGAAACTTTTTGGTCCTCGTGCCGAAACCCAGTCAGAAACCAAGGTCGATGAACTAGAGCAAAATGCTATTGTCAAGCAACTACAAACATTGAAGACAGCACACAACGGTCGTATCAAGGTATTCTACTTTGTTGACGAAGAGAAGAGCTACATAACCTCAAACACCCTACGAGATGCCCTCGTCTCGAGTGGCTGGATGCCTGCTGTCCACAATTCAGAGACATCACTCGACCAGACCCACGTCGTTATCTCAGGACCACCTGGTTTCATCACCTATATTGCTGGCCCGAAAGTTTGGCATAATGGCGATGAGAAACAAGGCCCATTGGGTGGCCGACTAGCTCAGGTTCTGGGTAAAGGCAACCACGACGATGTGAAAGTCTGGAAGGTCTGAACAAGTAGCAAGACCTGACGACTCATGACTGACAATTTAACGAGAGATCGCAGCTTGAGTCAGTGTAGCAAGCTATACTATAAGGAACGACCCTACAGGCGGCACATTCCGTTCACAATACACGGCACGCATTAGATCTCAGAAAAGAGACTATGTTCTATGGGCCACCGATCGGTGTGACCCCTGGCCTGCTTGGATAGAAAATCTTCGGAATTCGTACTGGAAGGAAGTTTGTAGCACGATTTGTTGGCGAACAATATTCCACTACGTTTTCGCATTTAAGAGAAATTAGACTCGGAAGCCAGGACCTGGTTTGAGCAAGTATCGCCAACAAGCATTGCAACCAGAATTTCAAACTCCCTTTGATGCTCGCTCCAGAACTGATCTTCAGTCGAGATATTACACCAGTCCTCTGAGTCCGAGACGCTCCTGAGTATTCATCCAAAATGAGTGACATCTGGTCGGCGACAGATGGTAGAAAATGCAACATTCGCAAAACCTGCCTGACAACCCAATGAACATAATTGCAGAGAGCCTGTTGGATTTGATTGTCGCCCTCACTCTATCTGACCTGGCTTTGTTTGCGTGGACTTGTCTCCTGACGTTGCTCAACAATATTCAAGATGTCAAGTTGTTCAAATAGTAAAGGCGCATGGTCCACAAAGTACTACAGCGACAACAACGAACACAACTAGGATGGTTCTCCAGATACAGGTTGTGGTTCATCAAAAGCTCCATTGCTTCAGCAGGTACATAAATCGAATTGCTGCAACCAGGTCTTAATGATTTTTCCCAGTCTTATGCAGCGAATGTTTTCCTCTCCCCAAATACATCATAAAAGGCCGAATCGTCCACTCCCGTGAAGTAAATACATACACATCATAAATTCGTCAATCAACATGTACAACGCTCAGGCAATCTCACCTCTTTCTACACTTCTCGATATCTCGTACGTCAAGATGCTAAAATCACTGTACGTCAACATCAGCCTATATCTCCTGCTGATTTCACAAGCCTTCCACGCTTCCGTTTCCTCTAGCTGCGTCCAGGGTCTGGTCTCTGTCTTTGGTAAAGGTGGGGTCCTGTCCTTGTTCCGCCAGGCCTCGTGTTCTTGCGCAGTCGCTTTGTGCCGTAGGACTACGACTTTATTGTCGAATGATGTGCGTACACCGTCAATGTCGATGGGATGCTGGTCTGAGAAGCGTAGCCCGGAGCTGTCGCCAACTGTTGAGGACGATGAAGAGTCGCTGTCGGCGAAGGAGCGTGGCTTGGTACGTCCCTGGATCGGTGCGACTGCCATGCCGATCAATGTGCAGAATGTTGGTCTACGACCACTGCGTTCCTGACGTTTTGTTGGCAAGATACAGTCTACGCGGAATCCTAGGAGAAGGTCTGGCCGTCGAGTCAGAGCGCACACTGCTACGCGGCCGGTCTGTGTTGCGATGAGGATGACGCCTAGCTCTTTGATCACGTGGAGCATATTCAGGCGATCCATGTGTGAGAACTCCAAGCCTTGAACATGTGTGTGAGCATTATGTGGCATTAATTGTCGGAGGACGTTAGCTGAGAAAATGTGCGGAAACTTGGCTTTCGGGGAGCCAAGCAGGCGGATATGTGAATCTGAACAGTGGATCATAGCTATTTCAGGAGGAATGATATTGGGGTGCTGGATGGGGGTTGCTGCACGACGTATGACATTCTGCATTCTGAAGTTCCGTAGAGGTGAAGGTGATTGAGGCGAAGTGGATTCGATTGACGCTGTCTGGTCCTCGTCTAGGTCGGAGTCGTAGTCCTCAGATTCAGAGTCCGTCTCTATCTCGAACTCAATAGCTCTGTTGTATACTTCAACATCGCGCAGACCGACGTCATAGTCTGTGTCCGGAGGATCAAAGTCTGGGACAAGAGATGGCTCGACTGAAGATCGTACATCTTCCATTCCCTCAACGTCACTGGTGTCCTCTTCATCCTCATCCTCACCACCACTGTAATGGTAGACTTCGTTACGTTCAGGGGGGCTGTCAACATCTGTGGACTCGGCGTGTAGAGGGTGAAATTGACTATTTTCAGGCAGTCGTGTGGTCACAGATGTCAGATTGTAGCTCGGGCCAGACTCATGGTAGCCGTAGTACATAGGAGCCTTGTTCGCGCCAATAAATTCTTCATTCGTGGCAGCAGGTCGAAAACAATTGATGTCAAGGGCGGCAACGTTCCAGCCTGGGAATTGGTGATGCAACCAAGGTCTCACATTCATATCAGGAGTGCCAAAATACCAGGTACGAAAGCAGGCGACTTTCCATATCTGCCAGAGTTTCATTGCACCAGTGATATCCGTGCTTAATAGCCATGTACCCTCGGACTCATCGTTGGTATTGACAAAAGATATATTGGGTATATTATTCTCATGACCTGGAAAGCCTGCCAGCGAGATCTTGTAGTTCCGGTCTCTTCTTGGTTGTGTTCCACCACTATTCGAGGACCAATTTGTCCACTCGACACTGTCTGTGGTGTGAGTCTCGTCATCGCCACTGGACGATGAGCTAGCCACTTTAGAGTGAGAGGTCAGAGCGAAGGCGAAAACGGTCACTGTGGCTGATGTATCGGCGTCAATAGCCGGTTGTGCAGCATTAGGAACATTCGAGGACACGGCGATCATCCGGGCTTCTTTGTGTATGTCGAGACCCCAGGACGATTGTCGCACCCAGTAGGAAAAGAAGTGCCGTAGGCCTAAGATGTCAGAATTTGTCCCTCCTTCTCGTTGAGCCGATGCTCTATTGATTGCCGCAGCTACTGAGCTGGTATAGTATGCTATGACATTGCCTGAATCAGTTACCAGGGCCAATATCTCTTGAGACCCAAGATCGCCAACCATTAAATGATTGATACAGTGAGGCGAGACATTCTCCCTAGCAGAGCTCAAATATCCGTTAGCGTGTGGGTTTGCAAGCTCAGGTGCTATACGCAGGACCGGTTCTTTGCTCAGGGTTTGATATGGGAACTCGGGCTGGTAGACGGCAACCTTATCTGCTTGAGCAACAAAGAAGAGGTTATGGTACTGTGAAAGAGCCGTCAGGTTATTCCGCCATTTGACTAGTGGAGGGATATCTGTGTGACCGTCCTTCGTCAATCTTCGGACGCCATCTTCCAGACCGATCATCTCGACCTGGATAGGCTCATACTTTCGATTACTGATGTCCATGGTGTCTCAGAGGAATGGGACAACCGTGGCGAAGTGTGAGCATGGAGGGTGGATATTGAGGATGGATAGATCGTGTGTGATCAAGAGGGCTGAACGAGACGAGCAGCCTTGATAGCACCACGACTCTGACGAAGACAGAAGATTGAAAGTAGCGCCGTGAGTGGTGATCTCGACCAGAGGAATAGCGTACCTGGGCTAGCAAGTTGCGTCAAGTGGTGCTGCTGAAGTAGGCAGTTCCACACTGCTCCTTGTCTGCTGTAGAGGAGAAGATATCCTGTTTGGCGAGTTCGACCTGAGGCAGTGGGCTCTAACATCGGAAGCTTTTGCAATCGCGCATGTATAAGCAAATGCAGGCGAAGTCAACGGAAAGACGGCGTTGACAGGTTTGCCATATGCACGAGTTGCGAATAAGGAATTCCAAGCTGGATGGCGGCAGGGCATGGATGGAGCCGTTGTGTAACGACACCAACAGAGAGGTGCAATGCACCTGGACATGGAACCGATGTCAGTCTGGTAGGTGATATATCAGATCCGCCTGGCTCGCTCACCTTCCACTCGTTCCCTGAGCCCTGCACTTCAATCTTGACCGTTCAGAGAGTATGCCAAATCAGGGTTGACGCATGACTTCTGCCGGTGGTACCTTCCTTCGTAAACAAATATGGGCCAGGCGCCACGAGAATCAGATTAGACCTTCAAAGACCTCATGTTGAATACGCGGCAAGTACAGCCCAAACAACAATGTTCTTATTGCAGCTTCCGCACCACTGAAGAAAGGATGACGTGCCTGTGATAGGGCTTGGGAAAGGAACCCCAGTGGCTGCCCCACCTGGAGCCCGCTTATGGTTCCCCATTAATGGGCATCGGCTTTTTGCGCTGCACAGATCTGCATGCACCAACACGGCCTAACAACATCTTCCTGATTTATTCGCTACATCTTCGATACAAGGAATCTGGCCTGACTACTGCACGCCACTTGTGCTGTGTACCATTGACAACCACAGGTTGTATTCTACCTCGCGTACGCATGTCCTAGCGCAGATGCGACATGGATCTCCTTGCGACTGTGAGGAAGGAGGGATCGCGTGGTGGTCAGGGAGATTTCAAGTGGTCAGATATACAAAATTCTACTCGACGAGAACACTATTTGGGCCACTCGTTAATGGCTCCAGTGGGCCGTTGGTCAAAGGGTCGTGATCTCAACTGGTATGCAAAAGCAGACAAAGATGGTGAAGATGGAGAAGACCCTGCTCAGAAGGGCGAAAGAGAACGAAAAGAGGAGATACAACGCATCAAGCAGGCTGAAGAGGATGCTATAGCACGTGCTCTTGGATTACCTGTACCAGACCGGAGCAACGCCAACCTGGAACCTGTCTCCGAAAAGCGGGAGGCCGACAAGGTTCAGATGCAAGCTGCACCCATTGACCAGACCTCTCGTGGCGATGATGCTGAGCGTCAGGACAAGGAATTGCAATATGCACTGAAAGAGTACAAACGTCGACATAGTGACCGAGAACATCAAAGAGACGACCGAGAAAGACGACATCACAGGTCTGACCGGGACCATTATAGTCGACGACATCGTGATAGGTCCCGTGACCGAAAAAGAGGACGATCTCGTGATACACACCGAAATCGATCCCAGGAGCGTCGCCACGACCATCGCCCTAGGTCAAGAAGTCCTGTGAGCAGAAGGGAACGACGACACAGACATCGTTCGAGATCACGGTCATAATCGCATCATTGACCTACCTCATGCATCTAGCGAGGAAGGAAACATTCTTGAGCACATTGGTGCTGCGCGTAGCCGTTCTGCTTGTCTAGCAAAACGTTCTGAAGCATCCTTGCTGATATCACTGCCACGTCCCACGATCAAACCTGTTGTCGATGACATATTCCTATGTGGCCTGGCCTGTATCAAATAGCGCTATTACAGCTGCTAACCTTTCGACATACCTTTGAGCACTGGAGACAAGATCCGCATTACGCTGCGTCCAGGCCCAGAATGCAGACAAGGGCAAAGCTTCCTTCCGGTAGCGCTGACTGGCCCGCCTCACTTCGTAAATCGGCTCCAACACTTTCAACAGCCCAAACGCCCATCCAGCTAACGAAACGGGACACCTTCCATAGAGCTCGAATGTTGCTCACTTTAAAGGTATTTCCGTGCGACTAGGCAGTGGCAGTCAAGGTCGAAGAACTCTTGCTGTGGAGCTCGTCGTTCGGGTTCCTAAAGGCACCACTGTATTGGTCTGGACTGCACTCGTATACATGAGCTCGCCAATCGAGATATCTATGTGCGGAAGCGTCCGTGCCAATCTTGGCAGCCAATGTACCGAGATTGTTCAGATTGCACCGAGATCCTTCAGTTCAGAAAGTTGCACCTACATGCAGGATAGCAAACGATACCTGAAACGACTCGATTGTCCTTGCACATTGGTTGGTCGAACTCAAGTTTCATCCCTGCAAAGTTGCACAACTAATTCTCCAAGCAAACAATTCCGGACATTGTCAAACTTGGCAAAGCAGTAGCCACTGCTCATATGCTTTGCAGCACCCTTGCAGCAGCATGCATGGACTGAACATGTTCATCCCAGCTTTGATCATGCCCAGCCCCATTTGTTCTAGCTCCACCTCCCACTTCTGCATCGTCTCCACGTCTCCTCTTATCTCCAACCCTATCACAGTCGGCGCTCGTACTTGTATCTACGAATTCTTCGAGCTCCTCACTCACAGTCTTCAACTTCTCCTTCACGCTTGCTACTCCCTCGATACCCACTATGTGACGTGCCGGTGGGTTCTCATGCCCACCGATTGCAGTGATGGCATGCACTGTCTCGGCGACAAGCCTTTCGGTATGTGCACAGCTGAGTGGAGGGAAAAGGGACACTGTCGTAGTTGAAGTGGTGAAGTTGATTGAGCCTGACGTTCGACCAGACTCTGATGTTTTGCTTGGACTGGTGTCTGCGTTTTCTCCTCGCTGACTCATAGCATTGTCGGTTTCAGCTTCTGGCTCAGAGTGATGTACCTTCGTTCCTGGTAGTCTATTAAGTATTCCCTCGAGGATGCCCCTGAATAGAGGTGCTCCATGAGTACCATCTTCCCGATCACCACTCATGTATTCAGGCATGGCTGGTGCAGCGGTAACGACGTTGGTCAGAATGCCGATTTCAACGCTACTCTGCACAACCGTAACCTTGATACCAAATGGCGCAACCTCATACGCAATGCTATCACAGAAGCCCTCAAGAGCCCACTGACTGCTACAATATACCCCCAACCCAGGCGTACCCAGATGCCCGGAAATCCCAGTAAGCACAATGATATGTCCATGTGTCTGCCTGCGCATATCTGATATCGTAGCTCTGATTAGATTCACCGGTCCATAGAAATTCGTCTCAAACTGATTCCTGACAAGACCAGCATGTTCGGGCGCTGCAAGTTCCTCCACCGCACCAAGAACCGTAGTACTCGTGCAGCAGAACAGAATATCGACTTTTCCCCATGCACTGATTCCCGTCGCAATGGCGGCCTGACACTGTGCCGTGCTCGCCAAGTCCAAACTAACGACTTTCAACCGCGTTTGCCAATCTTTGCGACTGGGATAGTGTGCGATCTCAGTGAGGACTTCTTTGAAGCCTTTCGATTTTGGGGCGTTGGACTCAAAGGCTGCTTGGTCGATACCTGCTACTAGAAAGTCGCCGTGGGTTAGGATACGGCGGAGGAGTGAGATGCCGACTGGGGTGTCGGCGCTGCTGATCACCCATACGCGAGGGCTGTTTGAGACTGGAAATGTAGCTTCTGCTGTAACGGAGGGATGAGGGTTATCTGGCATCGTGTTTAGTTTGGTCTGAGCATATCTTAGTGGTAATACACGAATTCATTTAAGACGTGGTTTATAGAAGGCTCATGAATATGGCCATCGATACGCAGTCTCCGCTCTACCAAATATTCGAAGATTGGATGTATTTGGTTGTACGTCTTTTACATTAGTTTCTGCTGATTGTGTCGAGTGAGTTCCGTGAATCATCCGAGCTTAACATGGATAGATCATGAAAATTCAGGCGAAAGCGACGATTAATGAATCGTTCACTAGTCAGCTCTATATTTGTGGTTGCAAGATGCTGTATTGTGATTGAACGGGGGGAAATGTTGCCGCTTCAAGCCGGATTTTCACAGCAGAGAGCAGTAAGGTGCATCCGGGTTCACATGGTCCACGAAGCTAAAATTCGAGGCGCGTTTCACGCCCTTCATATTGAAACGCGTTCATTCTCATGAAATTCGAGTTCTTCACAGTAATTTCTTCGATTCTCCATGAGCAACCACCACCGAGGCATCTTAGCTTGGGGTTCATCACAACTCCTGCGAGTTTTGGCTATATGTCGCTACATGGGTTTCTTTTCTACCTGTTGGTCGCCCTTTTTGGGTCCAGGGCGTTTATGTTCGCACTCTTAGCTTCACCATCCAATATGAACTCACTCATCAGTTTGCCTGTAGCAGGGCCGTTCTGGATCCCCCAACATGTGTGTCCAGCAGCAAGCCAAACTCCTTTCGTTCTCGTTCTACCAATCAGTGGTCCATTACCATACTCTACCTGAGGCAGGTAACAGGCCTGCTTGACCAGCACCTCACCATCCCTCATCTCATCTGAGAAGCTAGCACAATAGTCCACGATGTCTTGACAGCGCTTGTCGTCGACTTCTACTTCTGCGCTCGTCTCTGGTAACGGAACCTGATGATCACCCTCACCACAAGCATAAAGCTCATTATTAGGCCGTGCATATATTTCAGGTGTGACGCTCATGGCCTTGCTCTTGCTACCCTCCTTGAAGTTCTTCGGCAGGTCTACCTGTGTAAACAGGCAGTACGCGCTGACTGGTCGACTCGGTCGTATGCAGACGCTGTGAGCTCGCAGATTACCGATCGGTGCTCCAGGCCATACCTTTTTACTCCAAGGTCCAGCAGTGACAATGACATCTGTGACGTCTTCGATGGTCTCAGTCTCTCCTGTGGCCTTTGTGCTATACTTAACAGCTTTAGCAACACCACCTTCCACAACTACCTGCTCGCACTTTCCGAGTACGATATTCACGCCTTTTTCTGCTGCCAGCTCTGCCATACTCGTCGTGAATTGGTAGGGGTGAACTTGGGCTGTGTCTTTGTGAGATCCCATACTCTGATATCCCTGTACACACTCATTGGCAACCCAATCCAAATCGTCTGGAAGGCCTCTCTGTTGCAGCTGCTTCTTGTCGAAGCCCAGTTCTTTTTCCAGGCTCACATTATTCGTGCCAGCAGTTGAATCAGCCTCGCCAATCGGCAGTGCCTCGTCGCCCTTGTGAGTCGTGCTAATCGGTTTCTTATCTCCCTCTTTGGCAGATGCTCGAATGCTGTTTTTGTCCACTTTCCGTCCTTCAAGCTCTATCGCACCAACACCTACAGGTCGATAACCCCAGCGGTCTTTGCCTCCATGCTCATCAGCCAACTCCTTGTGAAGACGGAAACTGAGTGGAACCAGTGATTTAGGATAAGCCCATAACGCCAACAAGCCTCCCGCTTTCCCAGAGGCGGCAGATGCGATCGAAGTCGCTTCGAGAAGAGTAATCTTGTGCTGAGCTGGGTTGTATAACGAGTGGCGAGTCAGAAAATAGGCAGCGGAAGAGCCAATAATGCCACCACCAACGATGACAATGTTCTTCTTCTCATCTGTGTTGCCTGAGTCGCCCATTGTGATTGATGAGCGAGAAGTAGTTGCCGATGCGGTGCTAAGGCTGACAAGACCGACAAGCGAGGAGGTTCTATGATTTCTGAAGATCGATACTCGTTTTGCGGCTATCCTCATGGGATATCGTTACCAACGCTCTTTAAAGTGACAGCCTTGGAAGCCTCACCCAAGAAAGCTGTGAAGGAATTCGATGCTAGTAGCAGCCACGATCCGAAAGTCCATGTATAGATGGTTTGATGCTTGTATCAATTAGTCGGAAAATGTGAATGTTCCTGCACATCGGATTGGTCATTACATACGTATATACGTCACCGACACTCCACACTACGATTCTACCTCATCTCGACCGGCACCAGATGTCGGCCATACCTTTGCAGGACTAAGTCGCTATTGTACAGAACTTACCATATGGCATTTTTGCCATGATTAAAAAGCGAATTAGCCATGTGTAAATGCTATAACATACAGCACTCCTCGATGGCTGCCTCTACAATTGCCACGTAATTATGCTAAAAAGCAAGTTAGCTCACAATCTCGTCACGTCTATTGCTGTGAGTCGTTTTAACACAACTAGTTGAGATGAGGTTCTAGCAGTCTGTGATGGGCTGTGTTCGCGAGGTCAAAAATGTATTGTGAGGTGCTCGTGTCATTCCGGGTCTGAGATTCCTCGAAATCTCTGCTTCGCGTGCGACCGAGTGTGAGCACCTCCAGCAACACGAGTTCTTGGACGCTCGTTCTGCTCTTTCCTCTTGGTTCTGTTGTTATCCGCGGGCGAGGAGGCTGCCGTGCAGCGGTGTGCCAAGGACCGAACAGGCAGGGGCGGAAAACATGAAGTCTTGGACAGCTGAGCATCAAAAGAGCGTGCTCACAGCTCAGTCATCCACTCTTGGAGTGCAGGGTGATCGGATTGCTGTCTCTAGAGCAAATAGTACGTAGTGAAAACGCTCAAAGGTCTGCTCTGGCCCTGAATGTTTTACGCCTAGTCAGTTTCCGCGAATAGGCAGGACTACGTATGATATTGACTTACTTGGTGCGAGATCGTTACAAATAAGACACAAACTTGTGTCCCTTCGCAAGGCAACGACCACCTAGCCTAATCTATACTAGCTCCCAACCAAGGTCTAGGATCGTAGCCGTTGCACTGTCATCCTATCTAACCATTGAGAGTCGCGCATTTGTCTCCACTAACTGATGGCCATTCGAACGAGATTCGAGGGCGGTGCGTTCACAAGCCCTAGCAAGTGAAACGGGCATATATGAACATTGTTCCCATTGTCAAGACTCAGCATGAAGAGATAAGCATCTACTGTAGCAACGATGGATGTACTCATATCATTATGTGCTCTCAGCAGTGCCGTGATCTCGGCAATGTCTTTCGCTATCATCTATACAGATCGTTCCACACGAACAGCAATCGAGAGACCTTGTCAATGTCTCGGTACAACATGCTCTGCACTACCTAGTCTGCCTTTCTCAGGCCACAACACCAGGGCCGTGACCAGCCAATCAGCCCTACTTGTCGGAATTACTGGTCCCGCAGCTAGTATGTTTACAGCTTAGTGCAACACCTTCTTGCCTGCGGGTTCCTGACATGAAAATAGAGTCTGATATAAGCACGAGCTGCTCTCTTGGTGCACGACTCAATTTGATGAGTGTTGGTCTCCCATAACCACCCTTCCCACTGCATTTTTACTGATCTGCACCAGCTCGATCATGCTGTCAATATGGAATAGATGTCGGACACAAAATCAAGGTTCGGGTACTTGCGGGCACTTGTATTGATTGCTGTCAGCACCCAGAGCCTTACTGGCTTTCATTCCGTCCAAGCAGTCCCATCAAGATACTCATGCAATATATAGCGTTCCAGTTGTGCGATCAACGCCCGCCAATCTCAACGAATCTCATTTATACCCTTGGAAACAGGTTCTGTGCTCACGGCACCTTTTCTTGATGTTCGCAGCTTCTCCTTCAGCCACGGTATATGATCTTCGTCATATCTGTAAGCTCTGTACAACTCGTTTGACTCGCCAGGGTACAGCTTCCTCTTCACCGGGTCTGAAGGCTCTGCGAAGTGCTCGTTCACGTATTCCCAGACGACAGTCCCATCACTCATCACTTCAAACACTCTGCCATAAACACTTTCGCATAGCAAAGTATTCCCATTTCTCAAACGCTGAGCACTTCCCATAATTGGTGTGAAGAAATTAATCCTCTGATTACAATCCTTGTATTCCCATACAATCTGTTTTGTCGTTCTTTCAACCTCGATAGCACGTGAGTATGGTATACTCTGACCATCGCGAAAGAATCCATTGTCGAGAACCAGGATGATACCGCTTGGTAATTCACTGGCATCATGCTGTCCAGCAAGCACATCCGGTCCAAGTTTCCATATGATGTTGCATGTGGCACGGGAGATAATGACAACATGAGAAACTGATCGACATGATACTAGAACGTTCCCGTCGTGAAGAGGGTAAATTGAATTGATCAGTGGGTAATGCTCTCTTCTGTAACGCAATTGGAGTGGTAAGATGTCGCGAGCGAACTTGTCTTTGGCATGCCAAGACCAGAGTAGATTGCCTTGAGCATCAATTTCCTTGATTGTATCGCTGAGGATAACGCCGTCCTTTTCAGAACCTGGTACACCCCCGATAATTGACTTGGATTCTTCCAATGTAAGAGCTTCGAGAGATATGTAGAGTATTCTACCGCTACCGTCGGGGTAGTAGTATGCATCGTGATGTCCAAATTCGTCTCTATACTGCCTGAGCACTTCGCCGGACGGAGAGAACTCGGACATCAACAGAGCATGATGTTTGCTGAAACATGGAGAGGCAGGCTTCCAGTTCGGGTCGACTGTGTTGACGACCAGATTGCCATTTGGTAGAAGGTAAGCATGGCGGTTCAACGCGCTTGGTACCTCCCATGAATGTACTTCTTGCCCGTCGATATCGATGAGGCGTATTGTGGTGGACGTCAGTGAGCAGATAAGAGTGTAGCCGCCATTCGTGCGAGCTTTGTCAACTCCGGTAATTCCTACACCCTGTCGCTTGATTCTGTTCTGCTCCATTTTGGGAAGTATTTGTGAGACAACAGACTTAATCTGGAGTCTTTGAAGATGTCAGATTCTGCGTGTGGGTGAACGTACGTACGCCCCATTCTGGCTTGAAGTTCTGCGTTTTCAAATTAAGTTTGTCATTCAAGAAACGAGCCAGCTCTGAGTAGTCGACGTAAAACTTTTTTGCTCCTTCTGTGACCCTCTTGTTTAAACGCTCTACAAATCACACATGGTCAATTGTTTCACGCTCGGTACGTATTTGAGGTGCGGCTGCAGTGGATGTAGCTGTTCGTTGTCAGCGGATCTGAACATTGGTAGGACGTCATTGTTGGTAATGAAAGCGAGACCATGGATGTCGCGTTCACCATGCACGATACGCTTCGTGCTAGATGGAGACATCGTTGTCTCCCTCTGTATCTCTCTTCACTCCCTATCACTAGAGCTTGGTCTACAATCGCTTGCTGGGATGCTGGGTAACGTATACGCTAGACCGCTTTCGGACGTATCAGATCTGTTCGATTAACCTCTTTGTCACCTAGTAAGGAAATGCTTCATCGGCAATTCCACAATACAGAACAGGAGATAGTCATTCGTCCCTGCTAGCGACGGTACTGATCGAGAAATCAGATGCGACGACGAGCCATTCCGCTTATCGGAAGCAGTTGTTGGTGGACAGGAGACTTCAAACATGCCAGCAATCCACTGTATTCAATAGACCCAAGCTTGATTACTCATCGTTAAAATCTGGCATGTAATCTATCCTCTCTCGCCTTGTACAATTGATTTCCTGCTTATAGCCAATGTCCGCGGAAGCGTACTAGAAGATGGCAACATCCACTGACTATGCTCGCATACTATCGCACGATGTACCAACAGCCTTTCGTGTGCCTGGTGCCGCGATGGCCATCATCAAAGACGGCGAGCTTGCAGCAAAGCACGTCTGGGGTTATGCCAATATCGATACAAGAGAACCAATCACGCCTCAGACCATATTTCCTATCTGTTCGATCTCTAAACAGTGCGTCGAATTACTACTAGCCACGGCGACATGGTAAGTCATTCTTGCTAATACCTCGCAGAATGGTCTGCCTAGTGCTCACAGAGCTGATAACAGAACGCGGCGCGCAATTCGAACAAGCAGTCTTACAGACTGTACGTGAGATGTTGCCAGATTCCATAAGCACTAATGAAGATCTTACACTTGAACGTCTGGTCGGCATGCAATCTGGTCTACGTGACTACTGGATACTGTCAGTGCTCTGGGGTGCGAGACCGCAAGATCGCTTTTCGATTTATCAAGATGCTCCAGAAGCACTCAAACGGCTTGGTAGTTTTCATTTCGCCCCGGGCACGCAGTTTTCCTATTCGAATACGAATTTCATGGTCGTTGGTCTAGCTATAGAGAAAGTGACGGGCCAAACACTGAACGATCTGCTTCAGTCATTACTGTTCAAACCTGCTGGAATGAAAAGTGCCGGACTTCGCGCGGACATGGCCCGCATTCCATCGCCTATTGTAGGCTATGAGGGTAGCGAGGAGACAGGCTATATTCCGTACACGAATCGGATCGAATGGGCTGGAGATGCGGGTGTGTCGGCAAGCCTTGATGATATGATAGCCTACGAGAAGTATATCCATCGTTCTTCGACTGATGAAAATAGTGCGTACTTCAAAATTGCCACAGATCCGACGTATATCGATGGTTCATCTGCTCACTACAGCAATGGCCTCTTCCACCGCGAAGTAGAGGGAGTCAAAGTGGTAGAACATAGTGGTGGTCTGGCTGGTTTCCGATTGCGCCGTTCATATATGCCTAGCGAGCGAACATCTGTCATCGTCCTGCTCAACAGCCACATCGATACGACCGTTGTCGCAAGCTATACTTTCAAGAAGATTCTCAAGGACACGCCGTCAATCGAGAAGCTCCAGGTTGCAAACGATAAGCCTGCAGAAACAAGAGTAGAAGTGAAGTGGACCAGCAGCTACCTGGACGAAGGGACCAAGCTTGCAGTAGTAGTGAAGCAGGACAAACCAGGCCAAGTCATAGTCAACTACGACGGTCACCACGAGACCCTTGAAATATTGAACGAGAATGAAGCAAAAGGAAATTTCATGCAAGTTCGCTTCGGTAGTAATGGTCTATCAGTCGTTCGACCATTCGAGAATCGCAGGTTTACTGCTCGACCACTTAGGGCAGTACCAGCATCCACTGATGCTCAAGAGTTTGTGGGCAGGTATTATAGCAAAGAGATCGACTCGACACTCCTTGTTAGTGGTAGTGGCGCTATGCTGTACGGTGCTTTCGATGGCTATCTGGGGAAAGGGCCGATGCATGTGATGCAACGTCTTGGTGAGGACGTGTGGTGGCTTGCTTGTTTCAGAAGTCTTGATGCGCCTGTACCGGGATATTGGACAGTCGCTTTTGATGGCCGCCGTTTCGAGGGCTTTAGTAAGGTGACAGTCGGTTGTATGGGTGCGAGAGACATAGCGTATCAACGGGTGAGTTGAGAGAAAAGATGAGGCGACTGGAGGATTCCCGTTCTCGACATAGGCAATATCGCTTGCAGCACAAGAGCCGCGTATAACGAAGACTCCTGTGTCTTGCATACCCTCGATTGCGTTGCAGATTTCGGATTTGAGGATCTTGCTCGACGACAGTAAGAATGAACGTCAGAAACCCAACACTGTCAGCTTTAGCAATCTAATCAGTGTAGTGCCTTTCTGCTCTGGTGTTACCCTATCTGGTCATGGGCTAGGAAATTGTTTGCCAAGTTCAGCGCTGGGTAAATTGTGCAGTAAGCATCGTGGAGGTGACAAAAGTTGGTACAAGCCAGAATTTGATCCTGAGGAACATCATCGATCATGCCACTGTATTCTGATGAGGATCTTCGCAGCTCCTTGTGATCGTGATTCGTGCGACTCAAGTTGCCTAGAAATAAGCCTTTTCAGTCGTCGCTGTAACGTCTTCTCCTTCGATCATCATCTCTCCCCGGATCACCGCCCCTCTTTTCCTCCTCGTCTTGTTCTTCTCTCCTGGCCCTCTCCACATTAGCCTCCCGGTTTCTTCTTTCTTGTCGCGCCATAGGATGCTCGCTCTCTTCTCCCTCTTTCACATGATCAGCCCTCAATCCAAGGGCACGCCTCAGCTTCTCACTCTCACGAGCTTTAGCCTCCGCCAACTCATGTACCTGATAAGTCTTCGTCTTCCCTCCTTTCTTCGAACTGCCCCTACCTTTCTCCATCTCTTCCACCAACGTCTTCCTCATCTTCTCACATTCTTCCTCTATCTCGTCATCGTCTAGCTTGCCCTCGTCCTCAAGCCTGTCCTGCAGCTCCATGACCTTGACTTCTATTTCGCGCAATCGATCATGTCGTAGGATGTCTTCGTCTGGTTTCCTAATTTTAGGTGGACGAGCGGAATCGTTGAGGCTGTAGGGCTGGCCATAGCCTGTTGCGCGGGGCTTGAGGACAGAGAGGTTGCGCTGAACGTAGCCCGATGTACCGGAGCCGCGAGGGGTGGAAAGGCCAACGTTGGACGACATTTCGCGGACAATGGATGAAATCCTGATAATAAACAATATCAGACTGATACTGCGAGCGCTGGGCACAGGTTAAGTGATGCGTTAGATTTGCAAATGCACGAGAATTTAGATGGTCATAAGGTCCTGGGGGCACAGAGTCACGTCAAAGAACATACGATGTCAAGATCAATTGCCTGTGTGTCACTAGATCTCTGTGAGATCGTACATCGTGGTGACGAGGATTTTTCGGTTGCGATTGAGAGGTTGCAGCACTTTGCAGGCATCAAGGCTTCGGCACTTTCAAGGACTGGTGCACGCCCGTGTCGAGCCGTCTTGGTTGCTTGCGAGTCAGTTCTTAGCTAGACACACTCACTAGTAGTACAGGCAGCTCACGAAGGCGAAGGAAGGTAGGCTTCTGATGTTACTAATATTTGTAGATACCCGAGCTATGCATGAATTTGCTTGTTCAGTGCCATCGCTTCGTGACATGTCCCTTCGTACGATGCTCAATAATAGACGTCAACCACTATTTATAGCCTGTGGTTAGGCCTTTCTAACATTCAGCAACATCCCCCGATCCCCTGCGCCGTTTAGCTTAGCGTCGGCGAACCGAACAAACCCAGTAATAACGTAACCCGGTAAACGCCCACACAAAGAACACCTCCGACCTGTAATGCGCCATCTTGAGCACTATCGATGACTCCACAACCATGTAGATTCCATTATTTCGTTGTTCCGTTTGCGCACACGGTCCTGATACTCGTGCTGCACATCTCCGTCGTCATTTTCGTATGTCGAGACGCTGTTGTTCGTGTAAACCGTCATCGTTGACCGTTCAGATATTTGCGTATCACCGATAGGCTGTTTGTAGACACCTCCAACGTATCCACGCTCGAGAGCAAGAGGTTTAAGAGGCGCTGGATCGAAGCGTTTGATGAAAGCCTTGTCAAATTCTCTGTCTTTAGGCGTGGAGTATTTGACATATTCTTCAAGAGCAGCCTCATCTGTCCAGCCGCAAACTTTACGAAAGCAGGCGGTCATACATCCCGTCCTGTGTTTGCCTTTGTTACAATGAATGAGCATTGGATAGTTGTTAGGATCAAGCATAAGCTCTAATACTTGATGAACAATGTCAGCTGAGGTGAAAACGTCAGCCTTCTTGTTCGCGAGAATTGGTATTTGGTGGTGGATGATGCCCGACGTGGAGATGAAGTTACTGTAGTCCAGCTCCAGCGGTGCCGGTACGAACGTAATGATCGTTTTCAACTCAAGATCCTCTAGCTTCTCGAAATGGACAAATTGAGGATAGCTGGATCGGTAGATGCCTGGAGCAACTGTCTGAAAATTGGTAGGGCGTCCAGTACCGTCAGGGGTAGGCGGATGTGACTGATCGAGGTTGATGGTTTTGGAAGAATATTCGGTTGGGGTCTCGAGAGCACACAGGGCCTTGGCAATTTGATCTGAGTCAGCCCAGCCATGGGGACGAACAGGAGCCATGTTGGTTGCCTTATACTCAGGATGTTCACACCCAAATTCCATGTGATCTTTATTGGGAGCCTGTATACCGACTTGGTTCGAAGGTTGTGGCAGGCTGTATTGAGAGGTTGAGAATCTCGATAGATATAGATACACGGCTTGAGGACCTGTCCCTGAGCAGGATATCAAGACAGTGGTTCAGGCAGCACTAATCAAGGAGGACCTGTCGGACCAGACGTTGACGTCCTTTCCCAGAACTACTCCATATTGCAGAATAGCTACCGGCAGCGAGTTCGTGGTTATGTACCAGGAATAATTGTTGGAACAACGATTGGACTGGGGGACAAAAGTATGGCTACAAGTTCTCCAGGCTATCGTAACACAGGATGACTTGAGGCAGGCATTTTCGATAATGGTGGCATGCTGAAGGTCTGATGTGTTGATTCTGCAGCAGAGAGGCCCAACGTCAGAATTGAAGGTTGATAGTATCGCGTTAATCGTGTTTGTAATAATGCGAGAAGTGACAATATGTGAACGTGATCGTTTGTGGCAGTCTGTGAAAGTCGTCGGCAAGAACCGCCAAAAATTGTGCGCTGGAGCCAAATCGTCAATGAACGGAAGGCGCCAAAGAAAGAGACTGGTAGGAGCTAAGCCTTGATGAGCATAAAGAAAACACGACACGTAAAACTTATTATTCCGTAAAAATGTGCTCTTGCCGAAGAAACCCAGGTTGAGTTTGACATCGTGAAAATGTGCACACAAGCATAGCAACCGAATCGTAAGCTTTGTAGTGGCCTAGACGCGTACTTTAAGCACAGGCGTTCATGCGAGTCGTAATCCGTAAGGGTATGCGATTGGTTGCGTATTGGTATCCAGTATGTGTTACACAGCACCTGAGGTTGTGCAAACATGATTTTTATTCGTGTGGAACTGAGTGTTGAACAATCAGCAGAATGAGTCGAGTGATCGGAAAGCCGCTATTTCATGGGTCAGTGCATAGCATGCCGGTCACTTGAAACTGACTTTGAACACTAGCTCTACGTCACCAATTGCATGCCAGTGGATGCCAGCACTAGGAGTGATCGATTGCAAGCACCGATTTAGTAGTCAATAAGACTATGAGTGATGACCAACGCCCCAGTGCTGTAAGCCGTTGCCCAATGCGTTGTTTGCCTCAGTCTCAATCGCAAAGACGTGAGTCACAGTAATCACAAACAAACAGGTTCGAGCCTTGGCCCTCTTCCCAGATAAGACTATAACAACCACGGCATCGCTCCTAGTCACTGACGCATTTCGGATCATTCAGTGCCGGCAAATTGATCCCTCATGAGTATGACATCCTCGTTTGCTCGGACTAGCGAATGAAGCATACTCAGCAGGACGAGAGACACATGGCGTAGATCCTAAACAGAACCTTTTCCGCTGAACTTGTCGCAGCCTTGAGCGTTGCAAAGGTCTTGACGTGCGGTAGCTTCCAGCTACAGGTGCTGAGGCTGCATAGACGCGGCCAGCACGAACAAGGCTAACGTCGTAACAAATCTGTTGTTCTGTGTACATCCACGGTGGACATTAGGGGCAGCATAGGTTTGTCAGCGACTTCAGGGAGCGACTTCGCCTAGTCCAAACATCCGGACTGAGTTTTCCCAAGCCGCTTCGCAAACGTCCTCGATAGTAGCTTCCTTGACCTTGGCGACAACGTGAGCTACCAAAGGAATCGTTGCAGGCTCATTTCGGCCCTTGACCATGTATTCTTTCTGCCATCTCTCTTTCTTGACTGCTTTGGGTATTGATGGACCATCCTTCAAGTACTGAGACGATGCATGGGATGGCCGAATCTCGCACCATGGTCCATCGGTCTCGATTTGAAGTCGTTCCATGGGTATTTGCTTGATCACCGCAATGTTCTCCTCCGTTTTCATACTGCACCCATTGACTCCGATGTCAAAGCCCAACTCTAACAAGCTATGCATCTCGTCTGCCGTGCCAGTGAAACTATGTACGAGACCTCGTTTAGGCAGTTTGTCGAGTCGTGGTTTGATGATAGCTGTGAATTCCTCGTTGCAGTTTCGCATATGCAAGAAGAGCGGCAGCTGAAGCTCAATTGCAAGGTCCAGTTGCGCCTCGAAGTACTTGAGTTGTATCTCTTTGGGTGACAGAAATAGGCGGTCCCAGTCTAACCCAATCTCACCAAATGCGACTGCATGTCCACTTGCCTTCGCATCGAGAGCTAACTGGCGTAAATCTTGCATGAATTTTTCGGAACCACCTGGGTAGCTTTCGAAATCTTGAGTCGAGCAAGGATGGACACCCACTGTCGCGAAGCAGATACCCGCTGCCAGATTAGAGAAGACCATGCGTGGAAGGTGCCTCACTTACGATATTGCTTTGCGATGTCGATTGCATTCTTGGATTCTACCAAGTTGGATCCAGTGATCATCAGCTTCGTACAGCCGATATTCAGAGCTCTCTGGATTACATCGCCGAGATCATCCTCGTGTGCTACCTTTTCGCGGTAGATTCCTCGAAAGACTGGGTCTCCCAAATTGATACCGACCTGCTGATGTTAACATGTTGACCTTGTCGCAGCAACCTCACACACATCGGCATACCTTAGCGGTCTCTTTTCCGCCATGCTTCCTGACCTTTGCGGGCGTTGGACAGAATGTAAGTGTCTATCATGCCATATTACAGGTAACACTACTCCTGCCACAGCTATCAACGTGATGTCATGACCTAACAGACAGGTACATACTGGAGACCCTCGCAGCTTGCAGTAACAGTTTTCCTGGAGAGGCGAGCAGGATGGTCGGTCTGGAAGTAACTCTCAACATGAAACTTGCGTTTCAGAAAAGATAGAAGCCACGATCTTGGACGACTCGTATCGAGCCCTTGCGGAGTTCGCAAACTTCACCCCATCGTTCAGCGTCGCTTCCAAAATGGGAGAGGCTTCGGTATTAATTGTGCCGTGGCGAAGGCTTGGCTGTTGTAACATCGATTCTCCATCCTCCAAGAGCCTCCCTCTCCGCATAATCGGTGTACCCTCCGAGTCCAACGCCTTCAACAAACGCTCTTGTGCGAGCAAAGACATTTCAAAATGGCTTCGTCCCCATTTTGTAATTCGTGTAACGACGCGGGAAGACGTCGCGAGCTACATAAGAAAATCCCCAAGCTCAACGCTGTAGGCACAGGAAGAGAATTATCATCAATTTCTCAAGATACCCCTTCTCGCGACTAAAATGAGCCAGAACAAGATTTCCATCTCGGAAATAAAATCTCACAACCAAAGTGATGACTGCTGGATAGTGGTTGACGGCCAAGTATGGGACATCACAAGTTTTGCTCCTGAGCATCCTGGTGGACCAGGCATAATCTACAAGTATGCCGGCAGAGATGCTACAGCGGCATACAATGAGATACATGCCCCATCTATAATCAAGAATGGACTGTCTGCTTCCGCAAACAAGGGCGTCGTCGACCAGTCAACAGTCACGAAAGAATGGTCGGAACCATTACCAGATGAGACGCCGAAGGCTGCACCAAAATCGTCCTCCGAAAAACCACCTCTAGACAGCATAATCAATGCTCATGACTTTGAGATACAGGCTCGCAATACATCAACTGCAAAGACATGGGCATTTTATTCTTCGGCTTCGAACGACCTGGTCACGCGCGACTTGAACGCATCTCTATATTCACGAATCCTATTTCGACCGAGAACGATGCGGAGAGTGGCAACTATTGACACACGGACTACTCTCCTTGGTAAATCAGTCAGTTTCCCCCTGTTTGTGTCTCCTGCAGCTATGGCACGTTTGATACATCCTGATGGCGAACTCGCCATCGCAAGAGCTTGCAAGACTCGCAAAATCATCCAATCGATCTCGAACAACGCCTCATATTCAGCAGCGGATATCGTGTCTCAACCGGAAGTATCGGATCATCCCTTCATATTTCAACTATACGTGGACAAGCGAAAGGAGAAGACCAACGCTCTTCTAGCGAAGATCAAATCACACAAGAATGTTTCAGCTGTTATGGTCACGGTCGATGCAGCAGCACCTGGTAAACGTGAAGCCGATGAGCGAGTCAAGGCAGACGAGAGCATTGAAAATCCTATGCAGAAGAACAAGCCAAAGAATGACAAGAAGGGTGGTGGCTACGGACGACTCATGGCTGGCTTCATCGATCCGGACCTGAATTGGGACTACATAAGCTGGCTAAGGAGCGAGATTGGCTATGACATGCCTATGCTTACCAAGGGTGTCATGAGCGCAGACGACGTCAAGATGGCTCTAGACATTGGTCTAGATGGTTGTGTACTTAGCAATCACGGTGGACGAAATCTCGACACTAGCCCACCTGCCATCCTGGTGTTGCTGGAAATTCATGCACGCTTCCCAGAAATTATCCGAGACCATCACCCGAATTCAGCAAGTGTCAAAGCTGGATTGACTAGGCCTTTCTCAATACTAGTTGATGGTGGCGTGAGGAGAGGTACAGATGTTCTCAAATGCGTCTGCTTGGGAGCTGTCAGTGTCGGTCTTGGTCGGCCAGTACTTTTTGCGACTGGTTATGGTCAAGAAGGTGTTGAGCACCTGATTGACATCATTAGGGATGAGTTCGAGGTTGCGATGAGGAATTGCGGATTGACGAGGATCGAAGATTGCGGTCCTGAGTATGTCAATTCGGGCGATATCGATCATTTGGTGAGCAAGAGCAGGGGACATCCATATGCAGTCGGTTGGAAGGCGCAAATGGCTTTACAGAGCAAGTTGTGAGAGCTTCCATCCGAGTTGTTACTCTGTAGCATTTTTGCATGAGAATGAAGAGTAGATTAGGCACTGGGAAGAAGTTATTATTAGATTAGAAGAATACATGTGTTTTCGTTCGAGAAAGATTCTGGTCATCCCAGAGATGTTACGAAATTTGACTTCTACTACAATGTCCCTGTATCAGCATGTGTGTCACTGTTTCGCAGACTCGAAGTCTCAATTTGACTAATCTCCCTCAGTCGTGACTGGGGGAGAATAGAGCAGAATACGCACAATAGATTAACCTTATTCGCATCATACGAACGATCATGGTTATTCACATTCGTTCACGAGGGATTGCGAACATGCTCGGAAATGCTTCAAGATTAACTGAGAAGTACTTGTTTACGCTTTTACGAGATATTGACCTCGCGTGCGTCACGCAAACTAGCTTGGAACTACTGGCAGTATTCTGTGTCTTTTCGCAGTATTCCATGGTCACCCACGTTATTCTGCAAATATTCGCAGAGGTGCCAAAATTGCTGCAAGCTCTCGCAGACCTCCGCAAAACTCTGCAGTTCTTTACGTATGCTGTTGTTACCCTCTTTTGACGGCTTGGGTTTCGCCCCAATGCGCCTACTCAAATTTCCAGCAAGATTGCTGCCAAACTGGCCTGATATTTTCAGCTGAAAATCGTTCCCAAAAACACTCATTCTAGCTGTTTCAAGTTTTCTACCTCTCTCAAAGCTCAGATGTAATTGATTTCGTCTCGGTCAGTGCAGAAAGAATTGTGCTACCAACTGTAGGGGGTTGACGAGCTTGCGCGAGCAATAATTTGCGCTCGTCCCGTTTAATCGGAAGTTGAGATGCATCAGACTTGTCGCCTAGTGCTGCTTCTGCCGTTGACGTGGGTTGTTGGTTGGTGCTAAAGCCCCAGCTGTAGTCGGTGGCGACCTTCTTATCGTAGCGACGTAGATGACCACGATCCTTCACTCTTCTTGTGGTGACCAGAGGCTTCTCGGTAGGTGGGTAAAACTTGTCCCCATAATCTGCCCTACGTCGGGCACGGAACTCTTCATCAGTCTCACGTTGAAGCACCCGCCGAGCACGAGTTTCCACTGTCTTCAGGTCTGGGTGGCCGACAGTCACACCGTGATCTTTGAGGATTGGTTCGATTCGGCATTTCCCAAGGAGTCCAAGCTCTTTCAATTGCAACAGGTTTCGAAGTGGTCTTGCTGGTCCAGTCGCAATGTAGATAGCAGGTCGGTGAGATGACGTCGCGTTCACTTTTTGCAACAAGTCCCACTGAACAATGCAGGCCTCCATCAGCTTCTGGTATTGGTTGACGTCTACCCTTCCGAAGCAGTGAGGGCCAGGCATGTAGTAAACCAAGGTCTTCATTGCGCCAGCATCTTCGCCACCAGACATGACATGTAAAGTGTCTACTACCACTTCCGGATGATACTGCACCACTCCACGTACGATGCTGTCAAAGTAGAATCTTTGAGTTGTCAATGACAAAATCCACATAAACACCAAATTCTTGCTATTGGTCGCTGATGCCAAAGTCCAAACGTCCTCGATATGTTGTGCACTGATGTTAGCTCTCTTATCTCTCTTGACCGAAGCAGGCGCGTCTGGTAAGGGGCCACAACGTCCCACGAAGACGCTGAGGTCGAAATAACGTCTCTCCTCCTCCATTCGCTGTGTGGAGTAAAGAGCTGCGTGCAGTATAGTACGTGGCACTCCTCTCTTTGTATTCTCATCACCACGAGCCGCGTCAACGACATCAGGAATTACGTCTCGAAGACTGAGCTTCCAACGATTATCAGATGTTCGTTTGGGGTTAGCAAATTTCGGGTATTCGATACGATCAACCCAGCTGGCAGCAATCTCGTCCCAGAACAGCCACTCGGTGAGAGAGCCGTATCTGTACAATTCGTTACGCCATTCTGGCAACTTCGAGGAGACGTTCCATGCCTGCAAAGCAAGAAACATGAGAATGGCTACAGTTGGCTGCTGTAGACTGTTGGTGTCGATCACATAGATTGTAATGTCTGTTCCTTTATTCACCACGTGTCTCTCAGCTCGGTTTAGTGCGCACTCGAATGAGTCCGTCGTTGAGATGAAATGGCTAGAGAAGGGCTGTCCACCAGTCGAAGTCCATCCACATATATGAGCGCGAAGCTGATCTGTAATCTCATCTTGCGTGAAAGCGTCAAAGGCGGAGGAACCATGTGTGTGTACAGCATGAGACTCGAAATGTGTTATGCCATCCTTCTCGAAAACTTTCCCAGCTGATTCCGAATGTACCACACGGAATATGTATTGTGGTAGCAAGTCTCTTGTCTTCTCGTTGAGGCGCGCGAAGTGAGGTATAGATCGAATGAACTGCTGGCGCATTCCACCAGGACCCATTTTCTAAATGAGCTTGTTCAACGGTGCTATCTTTCCCTCAAATGCTTGGGTCTCAAAGTGAACATCTAGATCGTCGGGGTTGTCTGGCGATTCAACGACTTCAGCGTCTTGGTCTCTAACGCGAACGTCGTCCTCTTCTTCGGCGACATGGACCAAATTTCTGTTCTTCTGGCATTCAAGTTGCCGCGCGGCTGCCAAATCAGCATGCTTCCGCTTCTCTACCACTGCACATACAGCTGCAACTTCTCTTGAGTCTGGCTCCTTGTCGACGCTAGCGACAATCGAGGCAAGAAAGCCAGGACGTGCGTAGGACATGATGATATGTGGTGGTGTCGACCGCACACTTACGCTCTGAAAGGTTGAAGCAGCTTGCGACATGTACCAGACTGGAATCTTCAAGCATATTGTCAAACCGGTATGTTGTGGCGAGGGAGGTAAACAACAGTTTTCACTGGCAGTGAAGGTCTGGAAAGGACAGAATCTCAAGCGGGGAACGGCATGTGCTCAAGTTAGAATCCTTCGGGTAGATTTGTGGAGTTCAGCATGCCTAGTAACGTTCTGGAGGATATGAGAAGCAGCGGCGATGTCCAACGATGTAAGTGTTCCTTTTGATAGGGTCACCATATAGGCAGGATCAGTTTTCTTATGCTTTACTACAGATATCCAGGTTTTGAAGAAGTGAAGGTAGACCAAGCTGCGTTCGACTCAAAGAAGGCAGTCAACTATCACCTTGTCATGACTTCTTGCCTGTCTTGGGCGGCTTCTTCCTAGCCACTCCCGAACTGTTGAACTTGAGCTTGCCAGCAGACTCTTCGGGTACAGATTTAGGCGTTACCTGGATTGTATCGCCTTCACCTTTCACTGAACCATCGTCGTCATCTCCGGCGGTGGATTGTTCCCTAAGCTTACTCGGTTGAGGAGCAGGTTTCTTGTCAAGCTTCTTGATGTCAAGCAACTTCTGTTTCTTCTTGGGAGCTGAATCTGAGTCCTTCTCATCGGATTTCCTCTTCACGCCATTGGTAATAGCAGGCTTGGGTGAATTCGCACGTCTATCTTTTGGCGTTCCCGACATCTTGGCATTTGCTTCTCCTTTCGCAGCACGATCTCTCTTAAGCCAACAACTCCCGTTCAGATGTGTTGCAAACAAATTGACTGCTTTCCAGTGGTCGCCTAGATGTGAGTTTCTGTTTGGACACTTCGCAGCAGGGTAGTCTATCTCTTTAAAGTCGAAGGCATCAGGCATGGAGGATTGTGGCGTGGATGGATCTCCTATACTAGAGGCTGGGGATGTATCTCTAAGTTTGTTGTTTTTGAGCTTCCCTTTCGGTTGTCCCTTCATCTTCACGCCCTTCTTCCTCTGCCCATGCACATCATGTTTATCAAGAATAATCACAGGTTCGGTCTTGCAGTACTCGACAGTAGGATCGGGAGGAGGCTTGGAGTTGAAGCCGACACGAGGATACCACAGCCGTAACTTTCTGCAATTCGGACAACGACTGTGTTTGACTTGTTTCAAAGGGTTGCCCCGAAGAGCAATCTGACCATTGTGTGCTACTGCTGCTTTTGTTTCTACTGGCTCAGCATCAACATTAGAATCACTGATGGTTTTGCCCAATTTTTCAGCTCTGATATTCAGGTCGACAACGGCTGTCTGCATACGAGCAATCTTTTCCTCCCTGTGCACTTCTAGCACGATATCGTGAACGATTCCTTCAATGGCTGCCTCCAACAAACGCGCCATCGTCGCTATATGATCCTCGTAGGTCAACGATTCAGTCGTTCCAGAAGCCATCTCGTCGAAATGCAGCAGCTCTTTGGCGCCTTCAGGCTCTGAATTAGTCCAGTTGAACTGCCAATCGACGAAGCATAATGTTTTCAGCTGAAATACATCGTAACGATTGTTGCAGCTCGGGCACAATGTTGGACAATAAAATGCACTTCGCAGTCATTGGAGACTGCTGTGGAAGGTGATCAGGCGAACGCGCTGCATCTCCAGAGTTTCAGCCGCATCGAGCTTGTGCGTCGGGTACGCGGGCGCCAATTTAGTCCCCCGCCAGTATCACTCACTCCAGGGATCCGCGACGCGTCAAGTTGAGCACCACTTTTCGTGCTGCTTCTTACTATCCCTACACCATATCTATATATACATATCAGCAGTTGCAACCATGAAGCAAGGCTCAATACTGACCTTCCTCCAGCCTCGTCCTGCGCTGATGGCTCTGCATGTGAAGGAGGCTGAGACCGACGTACAGGTGGTGGAAACAGAGGCAGATTCACTCACAGACAGCCAGGAGCCAAGCGAGGGTGAGAGTGATAGAAAGGATCACGGCGAAGCAAAACGCGATTCTGCATCTACGCCTTCTACCACATGTCTCAAGGACTCTCGAACTGCCATCTCCAAGGTATATCCGTCGCACATTGGGCGCTTGAAAACAATCACCGCTGCACTTCTTCCCGTGCGTTACTCAGACAAGTTCTACAGTGAGTGTCTTGAACCTGACAAGCATGCCACTCTGGCTTTCGTCGCTCTCTACGACTCAAAACCTGTCGGATGGATTCGTTGCCGTCTGGAGTCTCATCCTAGCCAGGAGAATGTCAGTTATCAGCAGATCTATATCCAAGCTCTCGGACTCCTGGCCCCTTTTAGGGGGCTTGGTCTTGCTACCGAACTCTTGAAGACTGTTGTCGACAGTCTTCGGACGGCTGAGGTCGGCCCACGGAGCATTTATGCTCACGTCTGGGAGCGCAACAACGATGCTCTGATGTGGTATGAGAAGCAGTCGTTCAATCAGGTCATGCTACAACCTCAATATTACAACCGTCTCAAGCCATCCGGTGCTTGGATAATACGCAAGGAGCTGACGTGAATTGACAGACTTTGATACTCGAAACCTGGCACTAAAGTGTACACAATGGCAGTGCCGACAGTGACTGCGCGTCGATTGTCAAACTTCACAATGAAGACAAGACTTCAATGTTCTATTGTCTTACTCCTGACGCGAGAAAATTCGACAGTTACTACTGGCCCGCATGGCGGTTACGAGCGCCATCATGAAGCAGTGCACTTCATGTTGCGTAGAAATCACAAAGCTAAAAGTTCTTGATCCTGCTCCTTGAGAAACCACCACTACAAGGCAGACTAGAAGCACTAGCTGAACCTGCTTGACACACAACATCCTAACACCCAACATAGAGCAACAGCGCTCCCCGTACAGTTTGAGGTCCTTGCGCTGGACAATTTTCAACATGGGCAACAGACAACCCTCCAGCTACCACATATGTGAGTCTGCTCCGTACGAGGATGAAGTGAACGATGCTGATTATGAACCCTATGAAGAAGAAGAAGAAGACGATACCACCACGATGCTGGTTGGTCCCGCTGCAGCAGGTGAAGAACACTTTGCTCGCAAATATGGTTGGCAGACTAATGTCGTAAGCAACCAGGATCAAGATGACGAAAGGAACATCTATTATGAAGCTCCTGGCCACAACTTCGTGGCGAGAGTACACGAAGTTAGACTACCAGCAGAATCGTCTCTGCCCAACTCGGAAAACACTGTTGACCGAATCGAAGCTGCGCAGCTTCGAAACCCTCTTGAGCCTTGGGAACTCGAAGGTGTCCACGAGTCGACTGGTCGGTCCTACGAAGAGCTCCGGCGCATGTTTCCAGAAGCAAGATCTATGGAGACTCCTGCCAGCAACACTCGACCTGTTACAGAGGGTGCTATTATATGTGCACAATGCAGACGAACGGCAACGCCGGAATACGTCGACTGGCTGCGGGAAGGCAATGTCGCTTTCTGCTCTCTCTGCGGCATGACCAGATCGCCACTGGATCCAACGGAAGACCCTGATTATTATGGTTTCAATCCAAGGACAGTGATATATCATTGCACATGCCGCTGCCACTGCCCAGAGGTATACTCCTCAGATATGGATATAGATTCTGATTTCGAGGATGCAGCAGAGGGCGAAGGGGACGACGACTTCAGCAATCCCCTATTGGCCGGTCTCAGAACTCCTGTATCCAACCACCTCACAAGAACCTTGCCAGTATTTGCGGAGCCTCATGACCTGGACGCCAACCCCTTCGTCCCGACATCCAGTGCGGAGGCAAGTCGAGATGAGATGCGCCACGAATTTGGTCTTCCCGAGCTTCGCTTTTCGGACCATGCCGACGAATTCGAAGCAGACATCCATACAATTACCATGGCAATGGATGATGCTGAGGTTAGTCGAGCGTTGGAGGACTACGAGACGGCGCTGAGTTACCTCGATTTCGCTCTTTACACCTGCGACAATCTCGAACTGGACCCTGGCCAGGCACCCTTCAGTGACGCTCTGAGTGCCCACCGAGAGGTATTCCAGATCTTGTACGAACAGGAGCTCGAAGCCGAAGGCATTCCCCTTGATTATGAAGATGCACAGGCGGCTTATGCTGCATATCTAGCATACTAGATGCCAGAATGTACTGATGAATGGGGAGGAAGAACACTCAAAGTCCACCCACCAGTCATAAGCTCGAGCCATGTGGAAGCTAACCGATCAGATGCTAGCAGGACTCAATACCAACCGAGTGAAGTCTGATCGTCACAGACGAAGGAGAAGGATTGCACAGACAAGCATCATCGGCCGATAGTATTGGACAAGTGCAACTCAATCACTGCATATTATCTTTATGTGACTGCTCACCTCTATCTCATATATACACCACTTCTCCGCCATATCATATACCACAACACGGGACTGCTATGAGTAGTCAACCAAATAAATATCGTTCATCTCGTATACTCTGGCCTGCTCAATAGTTAAAGCTATTTGCTGCGTGCTTACTAATCTTGTTATCCTTCTCCGTCCTTGTGTTCAACTCCTGATTCACGTAGTGCTGTTACCGTCGTAAGTAAGTGTCGTCAAACCTTCCCAGCCTGTTCAGGGTTCTCGTACCTGCCAAGGTCGGAAGCTTAGCTGCTTGCTTCCGCTGGAGGAACTTTCCGGACGCGAAGTTCAACAAGTTTCCTGAGAGCTGCACCCAGTAGCGAATACCCCCAAAACAGTACCAATACAGGATTCAATAGCCTTCCTCTAGGAACAGATATTGCAGCTGGAGTTCCTTGGCTCCTAACAGCACACCAGAGCATACTTCAAGACCTTTGCGCCTAAACCTACCATGGGTGCTGGCGCGTCGAAGCAGGGAGATGCTTCTAAACAAATCTTTTTGAGGTATGAATCCCCTTATAGTTTATCAGGCGTGGTAGTACCAGCGATGGAACACGTAGCTTGAAAGTTGGTTGGCAGGACTGGACTGATCTGTTTGTAGCGAGAATCCTGTACAATTCTCTCAAGAACTGATAGACTCTTTACAAGCATCATCCGAGGTACCCGACACTGTCGCCGGCGTCAGAGTACCACTAACCAATTTGATAGACGAATTCAACCCGAGCAAAGTCGTTAGATCTACATATACAGCAAAGAGTAGCTGCAGAACTTGAAAAGTTGGCTGGCGAGAAAGAGTCAAAATTAGAAGCCGCGCGACAGAAGATACTCTCAGGAGACTCGAAAAACAAAAGCGAAGAACACGAACGAACGTCGGGCGCCGTAAAGCTGCCAAAGATATCACCCCAGGACCTCTTTAAAAAGGAAACAGAACAGGAGAAAGCGCGCAAAAACGCGAGCAGTCAGAAAGTACAAGAAGAGATTCAAAAGCTACAGAAAGCACTAGGTGAACGGAAAGTGCTAAAAGATCTTCCGAAGGAGGTTACTGATGCGAGGGACGAAGTCGTCAGTTGTCTCAGGTTGAACGACCGGCAGTCTCTGAACTGCTGGAAGGAAGTGGAAATATTCAAGAGGGAGGTTCGGAAAATGGAAGAGCAATTTGTCGGCAAAGTTCTGTAAAAAGTAACATTCGTTGGAATGGGTTGGATATACAAGATCATATATTTGACTTGACGTGTTACCTCAAAGCACCTCCTCCTCCTACTGCGATTGGACGGCTGGAAATAAGACGGTTTGGCATTTCCTGATGCGATCGTTCCCTCCGTCATGGGACGCTACGACTGCGCCTAGCAATTCACTTACGGTGTGATCTATCAGTATCGTTGTACGACTGCCGTATTCGTGAACATACACGAAGCTTAACGTGGTCTGCTCGCATCGACTTTGCCTGATTATTGACACCGAGATCAGGGGCTTAAAAGGATAGAGAGAAGTGCTTTCAAATGTTTGTACACTACCGAGGCAGAATTACTTCACTGGACATGGTATAAGCTTAGGTGGTACAATAGCAGTGGTCGAGGGACCGATGAGCGGTACGATGCAACATGTAAGTGCATGTTCTACTGATTATGAGAATCAACGGAAGAGACGTTATAGAATATCGTGGACATCCAGTATTCTCGGTCGATCTTTCCTGCCGACTTCTTGAGAGAACGATACCTTTGCTTTCTGGTTCTCGGAGCATGAAGACAAGCAATCTGCCTTTGGAAGCTGATCTGGCTCCAGCGAAGCCATTACCCGCATCTCACTCCTAAAAAGCTTGTCGGGGCGAGGGGTGCGTTTCGTCCCCGTCAGACATTGAATATTGTCTGACTAGGATTCTCTCGCAATATTCGAAGTGCAACTTTCCTTTGTGTGTTATTCCAGTCTATTTTTGTCACAGTCGTCGCAGGCGTTATACATGGCTTCCATCACGAGTACACAACCTTGTGACATAGCAGACACAAAAGTCATCCATTGGGCCAGGTATGCCGTACACGCAACAGCAATCACATATTTCTTCGGTGCTTGGCACGATACTGTTGAGCAGATTTAGTTATGTCGATTCACAGTACATGCTTTCTAGCTGAAACAAGGTGCAAGTCATGGACTCTAGCGTGAGGCTTGTCGTTACCTCGCATCACACTGGTGGTATTCATCGATTATGGTTTTCCAATTGCAAGCCTGCTCACTTTACTAACATACGTTTCAGCATGTGGTAACATCATAGAAGTTGCTATCAGGAGTACCACAACCTGACTTTCGCACAATGGAACACAAGATACAAATACTCCCACTTCTGCATCTTTGCGGACCCAAGCATCTGTGTTCTGTGTGTGCCATCTTCTCTCGACTCTTAGAGCCTATAGCAGCACAACCCAACAAATCACAATGACGCCTCAAACCCATTCCTCACCTGTTACAAATGCAGACTCAGACTGCAGCCATCTTCCCTCCTATGATGCTATCTCGGAGAAAGTTCCATCCTATTCCAGCACTGAAGCCAACGCCAACATCAGCACAGAATCTCAAGCAGACGGCCTAGCAGCTTTGACCGCGGCACAAATTCAGCAGAAACCAAACATTGCACGTCGGGGCCGTTACAATGAGGACATCGAAGCTCAAAATGCTCTCTCGAAACAGGAACGAGTTCAATCCCAACAACAACCCAACGACCACTCCCAGAACGAGAACCTGAACATCCTAGAACGAGCAGCTCGACTACGCGCTACTTCACAAAACACTCTCGTCGCAGAAGAGCAGCCTTGCCAGCAAAGGTGCCAACAACATTGCATCAACCACGCCAGAAACCACCCAACCCGGCCCATCCCTCAATCCCAACTAACCCTAAATCCAAAATTCACGAAAGCCCTCTACCGAGCCCGCTGGCTCGTAGCCGTCTGGTTCCCCATCTCCATCTTCCACGTCTACCTCATCTGCGACACTTTACTCCACGCCTCCCGTGACCCCCTCTGGCTCGAATTCCAAAACACCTTCTGGCAAAACTGGATTCGCATGGCTGAGGTGGTTCAGTACGTACAATTACCAATAGGAAGTCTGTCAGTTCTATGTGTTCCTGTAGTAGTTGGCAGGGTTGAGTGGTTTGAGGACAAGCCATTTTATAGGGGTGTGGTTAGGGGTGTTACGCCTGTTGGTGCGGTGCTGGGGATTATGTGTGCGCTGATACATTTTGGGGTTGCGGGGCTTCAGGCAATGGAGTATTAGGTAGGGTGGATGTGATGTAGGTGAAGGTGAAGGTGGAATTGAGATAGGAAGAGTATGGTTGTATGTGTGTGGAGAGGCGGGGTGTGGAGTAGTGAAGAGAGCAGGGGGAGTTGGTCTGTGATTAAAACATATAGGAAGATCGATAAAATTAATAACCAACCACAACATACGTACTAATTATCAAGAACCTTGCTGCTACAATCTAAGGAAAACAATATAAACACAATTCAGTCGCCCTAAACTAGTCTCACGGCGTCGCCAGTCTGCCAGGTCTCCTTCTCAGAAAGCTTCCTGCCTCAACCTGCAATCTCTCCACTTCATTTCTTCTCCGACGTCTTGGCCGTGCTGCTGGTCTTTGACTAGGCTGTGGTGAAGGTGGTACAGCGACTTGTACTTGTGGTGGTGGGGCAGGCGCCACAGGAGCCTCGGGTGGTGGCGGCGGTGGCAGCGGTGGCAGCGGCGGCTGCTGTACGGCCCTTCTTGGACGAGGAACCCTGTTTGCCAACGGAGACTCTGGCATTACTACGTCTGCGCCACGATAGAGCTGCTGCTGCCCTCTTGGCCGAAGCGGCGCCGATGATGAAGACTCTACTAGAGGATATGAAGTATCGTTAGGCCCGTGTTCGGAACGGGGTTCCGACAATGGCGGCACGTTGAATGACGACTGCGTGTTCAACGATGATTCACGTTGACTTTGGGTATCCTGAGCCGAATCATGCTGAGGTTGAGCGAGTCGAGGTCGGTCTCCTGGAGCAGGAAAAGATCTAGCGGGAAAGAGACCAGTCCGTTTTGACCAACGTCGCATGAGGTCGTAGTATTGCTGGTATAATCGTGCCACACGTTGTGGCTGCTGTGCCTCCGTCATTGCCCAAGCATTCTGAAGCTCATCGTCGAAATTCCTGTCGCTCGGGTCTGCGTGCTGAGGACCTTGACCACGATTTCTCCATTTCCAAGCTCTGAAATTGCTGAAAGGACTCACTGGTGGCATTAGATCTGGTGGAGGGGCTAAACTTGAACGTGAGTGAAGATAAGTTTTCGCGGGTTCTTCCTGTATGCTGTGCCGTTCCTGTTGCCACGCGGCCCATGATATCTCGTAGGCTCGCCTGGCGTCCCACTCCTGCTCCAAAGCTGTCGCCGCTGCTTGCTGTTCGTCATGGATCGCTTGATACCTATCGCGATCGCCTCGCCGGAGCATGTTCCAACCCCCGCGTGCTACTGGTCTATGCACGTCCGTCTGGCCAGCGATAGGTTTATTTTCACGTACGAAGATTTCTCGCGCCGAAGGCACCGTGCTAGGAGCTGAGCGGCTGGGTATAGGTACTTCCTGTGGTCGATTCTGATAGTGCTGCCAAAGTTCCATTGCTCCGCGATAGACGCGCATCTGCTCATCATACTGGTCTTCAAGATCTGCCATTTGATCGTATCGAAGCGCTTTCCACTCTCGCTCTGCATTCTCCCGAACTTCTTCAGAGTGCCCATCGAAACGATGGTTTTGGGGTAGATGAGTCGCAATGTACATGGCGTGAGGTGAGAGTGGTCGTAAAGGTCGCTGAATTAGAGGCGCCAAGGGTAATTTAGACAAGTTATCTCCGTAATGGTTTGGATTCATCTGTGTAGGGGGACCACGATGGCTTCTACGACCACGTTCATCACGTCCGTCGTCGTCGTCCTCGCCGCCGCTACCTGGGGGCGAATAATGATCGATTCGAGGTGGATCAGGAGCAATGAAATGAACACGACCGTCCCGCCGAGTCGCGTGAGCCTGTCCCCGCACCATATCGACCTGCCTTCCTCTCTCTTTTACTCTCTTCTGTTCATTAATGACACGAAGTTTGCGATTATTGGAATTACTAAGATTCTGAATCTGCAATGGATTCAGAAGCTGTTGGTCGTAAGAAGCATTGAGTCGACCCCGATTTGGATCATTCTTCGCAGGATCTTGAACGATGTCTGCATACTCCCACGCTTCCAAGATATGATAGCAATTCCGCTTGCTATCAGGTCTGTGGTTGATCTCGTTGCCGCGGAAGTACAAGTATTGATGCGCTACCGAACCCTCGTTCTCAACTGGACCCGACTTGCTGAGAGCTGCTCGGAGATGTTGACTCGTTCTGTACACCAGCGCCCTTACACTTGGCCTTTGCGCTGGTATAACGTGCATACAGCTGCGGATGAGATTGGTGAGTTCCTGGGTGTAAGGAGATCTCAGCTTAAGAGGATCAGACGAGACAAGCATGAGATGGTCATACGCAAATGGATCACGATGCCAATCCCTTATGGTAGAGTCTCCGTTATTCTTGTATTCTTCTGCGGTCTTGGCTTTCAAAGCGTCGAAATGTTTAGCATCTCCTAAGCAAGAAAGATCGAATAACACCTTTCCGATGCTCCAGATGGTCATCTTTTCGGTCAACTTTGGTTGAGCCACCCCGTTTGGAGCATCATCTGCTCCCCACGCTTTGCCATAATGTCCATCGTAGCTCTGATATAAATGACTTCTCGTATGTTGTTCCTGTACACGAATCAGTGCTTATTACGGTGGCAGAAACAGAGCTAGTACCGGCGGTCGCCAGTGCCTCGTGCCTCCACTCAAGACTCTTGGGTTCTCAAAGTCGCTCCGGGAAGTCAGTTCAGCGCAACCGAAGTCCTGCAGTAGTCAGTAAAAGCTGGCCTATGGCAGATGTGGAGGGTGTGGTGGCGTCCAAACGTGCTTTGCTCGAACTGAACTCACCCCTAACTTTACCGCAGGATAGGGAAGCGGCAACGGATTGTCTTTCTGGTGGTGTTCTGGCCCTTGCTCGCGACGTTCTGGCACTTGGTCACGATGTTCTGTCCCTTGAACGCCGCCGGTCGTTCTCGAGTTCGCATACGGCTCTTGATAGCCAAGAAAGATATTGTCCAACTTTATATCCAGATGCAGTAGATAGTCTAAGTATTGATGGGCGTCCAAGTCATCAGTGACATTGCGAAGCTCGTCTGGAATTCCACTGTAAGGTCCCATCTGCTCGGCAGCCTTTGCTAAAGAGTGGAAAACGTGCCAAAGGAAAGCTTCGGGAAAGTACATTTTGAAAGCTTTGTACCTTTTTCTGAGAGTTGAGAGGTCGCCATGAGGGGCGTACTCGAGGTAAAGGCGCCATTCTCTCGTCGGAGTGGTATTGTCGACGTTGTCGACAACTTGGGAACCATAGCCTTTAAACCCACGCAGATGAACAATATCTGCGCAACACAATGAATTAGTCAGCGGACCGATGAGTTATAGCTATACAGGACCATATGCTGGAGGTGCAACCCACTTTCAGATTCGAATCGGTTGAGGAAGGATTGCAAAACAGCTTCACTCGAAAGTGCCGCATCATGACGTCCGTTGAGAATCCACTTGTTCGAGGCGTCCCCTCTATCAAGCCTCTGCGATTTGATGACAACTTCGTCGAGAAGCTTCCCGTTCTCGCCATGTCTGACCCACATAGCAGCGGAACCGAAGCCACCTGCGCCCAGGTAGCGCCAGACTTCCCAGTCCTCACCTTTGTGTTCGTCGAAACCCTCCCATGCTACTCCTCGCAGAAAATGTACGAGGTTTAAATTGAGGAGAGCGTCCCAGAGGTGTCCAGGGATATCTCTGACAGTTTGCGGAGCCCCGGTGGCACGCCTTCGGACCTTGAGGTTAGGAACTTCAAAATCGTCGTCTCGTGGTCGTTTTATTCCAATACTCGCGGCCATATTGTCGTTTTTGACCAGAGTTAATGCGTTTCGTTCATACTTGTGAAGTATGTAGGTGATAGGGGTATGGAGGTACAGAGCACATGCGCAGTGACCGCAAGCGAGAGACGGTACATTGTACCTCACTAGTACATAAGGATACAAAGAAAGACTTGGTCATCTTGACGCTGCACTCGTCGTTCACAGAGCTGGAACAAAGGTCACAAAGCGTTGAGTAGCACGGTCTCGGTTGAAGACAAAAAGGAGGTTGCAATAGGCATTTCGGCAGTGCAACGAGATGTAATTTGTGCGCAATACACGTATTGGAGCGAACGATTTGAGTCTCACCGAGGGTCATAGAAGTAGGTGTCGAATGAGCGACTCATGTTTATAGCAGCCGGTCAGTAAATTGCGCGTGATAGTTATCTGCATTGACTTGAGGGGTATATGGCAAATTTAGCTAGGAACAGTATAAGTTCGAGGTATAGACAGAGAACAATGTACGCACGTGGTACCTGGGGTGAAGATTCCAACTTGGAAGGTGCGGCTAGTTGGAGGTGGAGTCTTATCAACGTACCCGCATTCGTACGCAAATGCTGTCTTGCTGAGCTTCGAGCTTCTGAGAGGCAGATTCATGATATCGCGACCCGCCAAACTTGACGCTCCATTCAAGCATTCCGCTGAGTCGCAGTCCACACCGCTCGTCTTTTCTCCGGACGAACACAGTCTTTGGAGGTGCAAGTCGCAGCTATAATCCATTGTGTATCTTCCTACTTGAACAACCGTCTTCCACGCTATGGGCTTCACTACGGGCTTCCTAGGAGGTCTGACATTGACGTACTCTCTCATCTATCTTTCGGTATATGTACACAGATCCAACAGAACACATCAGTCACTTCTTCTACGACAGCAAGCCAAACTCCTGAACTCGAGTTTAGATCCAGCTGAACCAGAGTACGAACCACCAGCATATCGTGTCGAGAAAGCCGGACTCGAAGAGCAAATCAAGGATAGGTGGAATAGGGGGATCGAGGAGTTTGTGCGAAGGGCTCAGGGGTGGGATTTGGAGGCTACGAGACTCAGGATTGAGGACAGGATAGGCAATACATTCAACAAAGTCAAAAATACAGAACGCGCGCAGGAGCTGCAGCAGAGGGTCAAAGAGCAAGCACATGTCGCGGAACAGAAATTGAAGGAAGCTGCAGATATCTTGGAACATCGGATCGAAGAGGGTACGCAAAAGCTGAATGAGAAGGTGAAAGAGAGTGCCCAGGATTTGCAGAAACTGGCCAAGGAGGGTGCTCACATGGCTAAGGAGGGCGCACAGGATCTGCAAAAGAGAGTTCAAGAAGGGATAGCTAATGCCCAGGACACGAAAGAGTCGTTGAAGCATGAGACTCAAGTAGCTGTTCATGGCAAGAGACTTCTTGAGTTGTGATTTGCGATGCAGGGCATTCATTCACGAACTATCTAGACTCTTCCCGGACCGAAGATTATTGAAACCTGGCAACAACAAGCTGCAATTTGTTATTCTGACCAATCAGCCATCTCTCATCACCGGCGATCCGTCCCATACAGCCCACTTCCTTGACAATATCATCTTGAAGATTCATCCACTCTCCATCCTCTTCCAGCCTCAATCTAGCCAGGAGTCTATTCTCAACCACCAATCCGGTAAAGCAAGTTTCTATCAAGCCGAACTTAACCTGACTTTGATCGTCTCCGACCTCACAAACTGGCAAAAACCAACCCTCAATCCCACCAGTCACCTCCGTGCTATCCATACTACAATGCCCCCTGTAGCTCACCAGCTCAACATCGGCTGTCCGACGTAAGACAGCACCAGCTCCCACCAACTTGAACGAAGTGCTCGTACTCTCCCAGCAGCGCTCCGCAGGGTCGAAATAGCCATACTGATTGGCGAAGCGGTTCTCTCGCCACATCAGAACTTCATTCGCACTGTCAATTTCAATCCTTGTCAAACTGATACTTGCGTGCTGGCGTATGCCGAGCCACTCGAGCTCCCTCATGCTGTACCTAGCAACACACCTCGGACCAGACAGGTGACCTTTTTCGTTGGTTCTTCTTGCGTGGATGTTGGTCGGGTCATCGCTTGGTCGATAATCAGACGAGCTCGAGATGTCCCAGACAAATAAAGCTTCGATCGGTTGGTCTTCGTCACCGGTCCACAGACTGCGATTGGGCTGCCAGTAGTAGAGCGCGTAGTGTTTAGCCGTGTGAGTGCTGAAGAAGTAGTCTCGAGAGGTAAGGGGAAGGCCAAGGAAATGAACACGCCATTCAGAGCGGAATTTGACACTCACCTGCGCGGCTGCACTTGTTGTGGTTGAGGGTTGAGCAAGAGTCACGTCGTAACAGCTCGCGAAATGTCTATGTACTTTATCAACCATGTTCAAGTCATGCCATGGCTCTTTCTCAGCCCATTCAACTATCAGTGTGTTTTCTCGAAGTCTAAGATTCCGAATGATCTTGCCTGTTATGTCGAACGGTACTTTTCCTACCGAACCTGACTCTAAATCGAGCACTATCAGACAACTATCAGCCGCGCCAGATTGCTCGTTCACCGCTTGTTTGTTCGATTCATCATCTGCAGTATGCACCGTACTGTCAGAGACCAGACTAGGAGCGTAGACAAGAAGCCCATCACTATACGACCACAACGTCGGGCGGAACAAGTACGGCTTCCATCCCATTCCTCGCAGATGTGATCCGGCAGTCTCGTGATACAGCCGTCCACCTGGCTGCGATTCATGGTAATCCCATTGCGGTGCTGGGAACCAATGTCCTGACTGGTCGAGTGCCCGCAGGTCGAGCCTTTGCAACCTCCTTGCTTTGCCTCGGCCTAAATGGTAGTATCTGGCTGCTATAGTCTTGAACGCCTGGTATAGATTCGATTCATCGTTGGGGAGGGTGGTAGACAAAGCGCGAACTTCACGGGTGCAAGTGTAGAAACGTAGGATGGTACGTAGGTAGATGGGATCAGTGAAGGTGTTTTGGCATGCGTGAGATGTAAGCTGTAGGCATCGAACATCGGGAGCTTCGAGGTACTGAAGGACTAGAAGGAGGATATCTTGAGGTAGATTGTAAAGCGTTTGGTTCATGATGGTCCACTACTATGCCAGGACTACCTCTCTAGAAAGGATTTCAAATACTCAGACCTGTAAAACCACACTCGTACTTCTCGAGACAATGAACAGGTCCAGTGTGACTTGCAGCATGTCCCGGACCAAAGGTCAAACCTACCTCTTTGTGGTATAGCAGGAGACGACTGCATGATGCAGTATTGCAGCACAAGACATGCTTCCTCATGAGCGCAGGCGATGCTGCAAGGGTAACGAGAGCATGTGACCAAGAACCGCTAGGACATTACATATATACCCCGGCACCTTTTCCAAAGTGACTGCGGGGCTTCTCCGATCTCCCACGAGCAAGTGATCATCGATGTGGGTGCCCACATGGACTCATCGTTATCATGCAGGGACGGAATAAGCTCTAAACAGAATTTTTTTTGGTTGTCGCGCTTCTCGGCCATCTCATGCATGTTTCGAGAAGTCCATGTCAATTCAACTGAAAGAGCCTGGCAATAATGAGGGGATGCGAAATAGGCCTGAGGCTACAGTAGCCCCGACAACAATTGTCGTAATGCTTAAGCGACGGGAAACATCGACATGAGCTCTTCTCCGTTACGTGATACTGTCCCAAGGCGTATGTGGGTAGGATGAATCTAGAAGGAAGGTTCGAGGTACAGTGGCACTTTTTCCATCTATGACTGTTCCTTCTTCGCTTGGCTTTCAATTCACTTTTCCATTCTCACCTTCATATCACAACACTCGCACTCGAAAGCCATACACCTACGAGACTACCATCGATTGCTTGTCCACAGGAACGTCCCATCACTCTATTGTGCCTATACCATTCATAACAACGTCCTCGATACGTGAAGATTTGTGTCTACTGCAAAGATGACTATCAACGACAACGCAGCCAGCAGTGGCACCGCAGCCTCCTCCATCCCCATCCCTACTGCTACACAGAATGGCGAGTCCAACAACACATTCCTCGTCAAGGCAGGTCTTGCTCAGATGTTGAAAGGCGGTGTCATTATGGACGTCGTCAATGCTGAACAAGCCCGCATAGCCGAGGAAGCTGGTGCATGCGCCGTCATGGCCCTGGAGAGAGTCCCCGCAGATATCAGGAAGGATGGTGGTGTTGCAAGAATGAGCGATCCCGAATTGATAAAAGGTGAGCCGCTACCAAAAGACCACATTTGCACAGAGACTAACCACATACAGGCATTCAAGCGGCAGTCACAATCCCTGTTATGGCCAAAGCACGTATTGGCCACTTTGTCGAATGCCAGATCCTCGAAGCACTAGGTGTGGACTACATTGACGAGTCCGAAGTCCTCACACCAGCCGACGATACCTACCACGTCGAGAAAAACAACTTCTCCGTACCATTTGTGTGCGGCTGCCGTAACCTTGGCGAAGCCCTCCGGAGAATAGCAGAAGGAGCAGCCATGATACGGACAAAGGGCGAGGCAGGAACCGGTGATGTGGTCGAAGCAGTCAAGCACATGCGAACAGTGAAGCGAGACATCGCTCGTGCGCAGGCTGTGCTGGCGAATGAAGGTGAAGTCGGTATCAGGGCTTTGGCACGAGAGCTTGGTGCCGATGCTACACTCCTCAAGCAGACAGCAGAACTTGGCCGATTGCCTGTGGTAAATTTCGCCGCTGGTGGTGTTGCAACACCTGCTGATGCTGCATTGATGATGCAGCTGGGCTGCGACGGTGTATTTGTCGGCTCTGGTATCTTCAAGTCTGGCAATGCTGCTCAAAGAGCAAAGGCTATTGTCACAGCAGTAACACATTACAAGGATGCTAAGGTATTAGCTGAGTGCAGTGCTAACCTCGGCGAGGCAATGGTTGGCATAAATTGTGGTAGCATGGCACCTAGCGAGAAGATGGCTGGGAGAGGTTGGTAGAACGTGAGACCATATAGTTGATCTGCAGCCACATCACCACTGTTCTAACCAATATAATGCTTGCCCAATACCATACAGGTTATGATAACGTAGAAGCACATTCCTTAGTCGCCTGGGCGCGTCGATCCCAAATCACGCGATGATAGAAGAACGGATCACTTTACTCGATGGCATTCCAGAAGAATGGAAAATGCAAAAGAGAAAGTTGCACCCTTGAATCTATCTATCCCGGTCCTCACAAGTAACGTCTCAATCTGCAGGATTATCCCAGTCGATCAGCACTCGCTCACCAGCAAGCGCCTGGTCCATGATACACTCCTTTCACTCTCAATAACGCACTCCAGACCTAAGACTTAACAATCGAAAGCCCCAAACGATATCATTAGAAGGCTCTTCTCCATTGAAGATATCCCTCTCCGATCTGCTTTAGAAACCTGCCTTGGGCGGATTCTTGACAGCCACAATCGTATACTGCATACACCCATCCCAATAAGTCCCACCAAGCACCGGAAAGCTCTTGTAAACATTACTGTCCTGCTTCGGCTTCTTGTCAAATTTACACTTGTTGATCAAATTCTTGTTCAGCTTCTCTTTGCACTTCTTCCTGCCCATGTCGACATAGTTGGTTGACTTGTTGTGTTCTTCACCACACTTGGGAGAGTTGGCTTTGTAGGTCACTGCGAAGACGACGGTGGCTTCGTTGGCGGCGACAGGCTTGTGTTCGTACATGGCACATTCGCCGTTTTCTTCTCGGATGCATGCGCCGCGACTGTAGACTGCGCAGGCGCCTTGGACCTTGCCGTCGTAGGTGACGTCCACGCTGTTGTCGACGAGCATGTCGCAGAATTCTTCGACGAGAGTTTGGTCGGGGTCTGTGTCCTCCCAGCCGTTGTCGATGCTGAAGGGTTGTAGTTCCCAGTCCGTGCCCCAGATATCCTTGTCGATGTTCATTTTGTCCGGTTCGGCTACGCAGAGGTAGCCGTCGTCAGTTTGATCTGTTTTTGGCAACCAGTCGAGGGGAATGTCTTTCGGGAATGATTTCACGCCCCAGTGCTGACATATCGAGGTGGCCTCCGCTGCAGCGGCGGAAGACACCGATGCTGCTCGTGAAACGGATTCAGCAGACAGGCTCGAGCTGAATGCAGGATCTGCATCTGGTACAAATGGTGGTACATGTGGAGCCACAAATGAAGCGGTAGTTGATGGAGCAGGTGTATTTGTCGAGGGTGTGGTTTCTTTGCTCGCGCTTGTGCCCTTGCTTGAAGTGGTCGTGCTTGGCGTGGAAGTGCTAGAAGAGGTAGTCGTGCTTGTGGTCTCCGAAGTCGTGAGTATTGTGAAGGGGAACTGAGCCATCCACGCGCTGATAGTCTTGTCAATATCCGTAGGCAGGGACAAGGGCCCGTAGGCACATGCAGAGGCTGTGCTGCTAGATGAAGTCGACGAGCTGGAAGTACTTGTTGTGGTGCTTGAAATGGAAGAACTACTCGACGAGGTAGAGGTGCTCCTTGATGTGGTTGAGCTTTCGCTAGACGAAGTAGTTGAAGAAGCCTCGTGGCTCGTAGTCGTCGACGTCTCATCAAGTGGCTCGGCAGGAGGTGTAGTCGTAAGAATATCTGGCTCTTCGGGCTCGGCTGGACTATATCAGGCCAGACTGGAGGTGGTATCGCACCACCCATGGGTAGGACCAGAAAAGGGATGGCTACATAAGGTACCTCCGTAGCACAAACCGAGCTGCCTAGGGATTTTTAGTTCAGGAAGCCGGCTCGGTCAAACTCGTGCATGTTTCTTGGCGGAAGCTGGTAGGTGACTCAGGGGATTACTCACCACAGTTGCAAGTGAACGTCGCCTTGAAGGGGACAGCCGTGCAAATCTCACCCGCTGTGCAACTATACTGCTGCATCGTAGTTGTCACCAATCCATTCGAACCTTGTGGGCAAGTGTAAGTGATAGGGGTTGGCGTAGGTGTACAAGTAGCATCCTGGGTGCAGGAAACTACTGTGAGAGCCGAGACCGAAACACTAGATGGAACAGATGGAATTGAGGTCGTCTTTGGTGTCCCTAGAGCAGTAACCCAGGTTCCAGTAGCAGGAGGTGTGAAGCCAGTCACTACCAAATGTTAGCTCAGAGAGGCGCATTGGTGAGACTCGTAGGCGATTCTCAGTGGAACCTGATACGTGTTCGAGAGAGTACTTACCGATAAGATCTGTGCCGGTCACGGTGGTGGTGCGCATAATAGTATTTCTCGTCACATCAATCGTGACTGTTTGTGTCGATGTGCCAAGTCTGGCTTCTGTTAACTCTACTGGACCATCGTCGGTGATGAAAATGTTCGTTGTTGGAAAACCAAATGGCCAGAAGGGTCCCCCAGCATTGGCAGCATTTTCCTCGCGTGGATTTAGAGGTTGTGAGGTCGAAGGCTGAGTTGCGAGATCTTGCGTCGGGGTTGGTGTTTTCCACGAGGCCATTGCCGTGAGGTAGGCAAGCCATTTCACTGCACTGAGCTTCATCGTGGACGTGGTTTAGGTAAGTAGACCTTCCTCGAAGATCAGCCTGTGCAGAATTTATCAGAAGTAATGGTTGACACCGACAATCTGCTTCTCCCTTGAGTGTGTAAAATACTTGAACGAGGAAACGAAAACTGTGTCGAGGTATAGTCCACGAGTTAGGAACAGTAGTGATATGTCAAACGATGGTTCCAGCATCTTGGCTTCCTACGAACACAATTACACTTACCTGCCCCTGTGTTCAATCACTTTCCTGTTTGCGAACGAGGACAATACCCAGGGGTTCGACGCCGTTTGTTAGGTTACATTTGCAACTTCATCATGGTTTGTAAAAGAACACATCAACCGAACAAGACTGATACCGACGATAGAAGATGCCATTGAAGATTCAGAGAGTATCGAAAACTGTCGTCTCAATTGTTGCCTGTTCATACTGTTGAAGCATGATATACAGTACCACAACGAGCTGAAGTGAGACCACAGCCATCATGTAAGATGCCAATTGTTGTTTAAGCGTGTGTAATGAACTGGCCTCTCCTCCAAATGCAGAGTACGGATATCGGTGGTCCAGACTTGCGATATAATCGTGGACTCACGTTCTGTGCTAGTCTCAGGAGAAAATGGCGCTGCGCGAAGATACGGCTTCCATCGTCGTTGACAAGTCATTATCGTAGATCGTAGTGCCTTCCGCTTACCTATAAGCATCGACCTATTGGTATACAGCTCATGTCATCTGTATCAGACGTAATCAAAGACCTTGTCAGGCTATCAGTGTTCGGGAAACACTATTTGTGGATGATCATGGCGCTTCAGCGCGGACAGGTTTGTGAGCAGTCCCCGGTAGAACCTGGTACTTGTGGCGCGTCATCTAGGTAAATGGCTGCTAAGTCGACTCAATGAATGCGCATAGAAGGTATAGATCCAGCCAGAACAACTTGCAGTACAGTCTCCTCGAGCATGGAACGAATGTCCCTAACAGAAGACCACTAATCCTGCAAAAGAAAGATTGCAACAGTGGACACCCTGCTGAAAACCACCTGCAGGATATTTTCGTTCATCGTTACCTTCGCGCAAGCACCAGTTAAAGACCAAAATGTGCTGCCTCCCATCTATCAACGAGTCTGGCAGGAAAGTTGTTCGTCCTCTCATTCTGCGGTCATCGATGCTTTGTTCCGCCATAAGACCGGCGCATCGAAGCTCCAGTTCGGAACTATCTGACACGTGGCTGTCGCGCAGGACCGCGGACATCGTGTCTACCTCCTCACAAACCACTATCTTGTTCTTCTCTACCGCAAGCCTTACGGATACACATGATCACGGAACAGAGATAGCGAGAACAAACCTGCCTGATACCTGGCGAGCAGTCGAGCAAGAAGCAGGGAAGAAGAAAGGACAATCCTGACAAGGCAGAATATTTGACGCGCTAGGAACGTGTTCCGGACACGTTTTGACCAAGCGAAAACTGCCTGCTCTTGTTTTCCCTCTTTATACTATCTGTCTTGCGACCCTTACCGATCCCTGGCTACAGGCCCAACGCTGCGAGTACCTCTGAAAGCGTCCCATTTCAGTCACCTCCGAAAATCGCCGATCACAAGGTGAACTTAAATCCTGGCTGACCCTCGAGCGGTTTCACCAACGTCCCCTTATCAACCTTCTTGTTCATCTTCATGAAGTAGGTCGTGGTGCATGCCAGCAGAAGCAGGATCCAAAGCTGCAACCCCGCTGTCACCCAGAGGCCGGTCACGTATCGGGGGGCGTCCTTTTGACGGAACACTGTCGAGCCCATGATCCCTCCGATAGCGCCAAAACCTATCTGCATAGCGCTGCCTACAGCGCGCTTCGATTGCATTCTAATATTGTTCGATTGGTAGGCCAAGATTGTTGGAATATTTCCCTGGCACCCTGCAAATCCAAAGAAAAGGCCCCAATATCGAGCAACGTTGCCCTCGCAGTAGGCTGTCATCATTAGCCCAACAATGCAAATCAAGCATTGGAAGGTAATGGCCGGTGCTCGGACCTTGAATTTGTCCGACAATCGTGAAACAATAAGCGAGACGATGACAGCAAAGATGACAGGTGGTGCAGATAGCAGATGTGTGACACCGATCGAATAGCCCATGCTGTAAACGATTACAGGAGCAAAATACGCCAGTGCATATGCCGGCATAGTAGTGCCCATGAACATCAGTGCAAAAGCCCATAGTTTGAGGTCCATCAGGTGAGTCTTGAACGTCGACCACGTTAGGGCGTCCGGGATGGCGTCCCCACGGTCTTTCTCGATCCGTTGCGCGACAAAGCTCGCTTCGTGTTCGGTGAGAAGACCTGTCTTATGAGCCTTATCTGGAAAGTCGACAATGAGAAACCATGCACCGAGAGCGACAACAATAGTCAAAAGACCTTCGATTATCTGTACAGGTCAGTATGGCACGACTGAGAGTCTATCAAGAACGTACGAAGATCCATTGCCAACCACGTATGCCAGAGAGGCCTTCCATCTGTATCAAACCATATGCTAAAATAGACGAGAAGCCTCCGACGAACACCGAAGTCAGGTAGAACCAGGCGAGTCTGAGATCGTTAGCTTGGTCAATAGGGCGATGAGCATCCCGTACCGCTGTTGGACTTCGTACCGGACGTACCAGCACTGGATCAAATATCTAAAAAGTGAAGTCAGTGTTGATCCTGGAGATTGGGTTAACTTTGGGTACCTACGCGCAGCCAGGAAAGAAACTGTGAAGAGTTACTGTTAGTGCTCATTTCGAGATTGAAAGCTTCTCAGCTCAGCCAACTCACCCAGCTTCAAAGGCCCCAAGCAGTGCTCGACACACAGCCAATGCGTGGTAGTTCTTGACAAAACCTTGACCCAACATTACAGTCCCCCAGGCAAAGGTTATGAATGCAAGCCAATTTGCTGTACCAACTTTCCGTAGTACAAGGTTACTCGGCATCTCGAGGACCATATATCCCGGGAAGAAGACAACCAAACCTATACTCTGATATCAGAATTTTTCGTCGTACGACGAGGCAAAAAGACGAACATATAGTGTACCTGTCGCCGATATATAGTTGTAGGTCCCTGTCCATCCCGGAGATACGCGCGGCTGATATCTGCAGTACAAAGTTAGTAAATACAAAGGTAAAAGCCGCGAGATGTGATGGCGGCATAACTTACGTTTACTCGATCGATGAGAGCAATCGAATACATCGCACCCAGGATAGGCAGTAGACGGTAATCAATTCGGCGAACGAGTTTCTTCTCTGATTTCTTGTCAAACTCGACAAGCTCGTGCCCCTGTTGAGGAGGTGTAAGTTCGCCCTTAAGAGAGTTCTCATCGTGTATGACGGCAGGCTTTCTCTCTACAGTGTCGGTTGACGCCATTTCGAAGCTCAGGAACAGAGTGCGTTGATGAAATCTTCGTAAAGGAAAGACGTTGAAGGGCGATACAGGCGATGTGGAAGTTCGAGGATATAGCTGTTAAGATTCTGGAACCACCGCCAAGGTTGCATCACTTCCACCCAGTCACCAAAGGTCTTGGTAGGTGTGCCAACAGGAGAGGGCTCCAATAACATGATACATCTTCACCCAGGTGATCAGCACCCCTGGTCCTTGCATACGCATGGTAGGGCAGTTCGAACCTATAAGAACAGGACAGAATAACAGGCTGCCTCGGTACGCCATCTCGAGATCTTGCTAGGCAAGCTGCATCGGGAAGCAGAGGACGACGTCCTGCCATTGTCAATACCACTACTAAGAAACGCCAAGACCGGGGTAAGTGGGGTGAGAAGATGTGTAGGGGTTCATGACCAATACCGAGTGCGCTGAGACAGAACATGTACTTGGCAATGTCTTAGACCAGTGTGTAGGCGATATGTTTGCACGTCGACAACGAAGACCAAGGATTTCGAGCGAATTCGGTCCCTGGAGAGCAAGCCTCGGTCTCGAAAATATACTTATCGAGCGAAGGGTTTCTGGTCAGTCCAAGTGCCACATGGGCGACATACATCGAAACACTGCTTCTCTGGAGATGCTGCTTCCTGCCGTGGCGAATCGTCGTTGAAATCAGGTTGCAGGTAGCACTTAGACGTGATTTGGTTTAGGTTCGGAACATAGAGTACTCTATGCTCACCTGAACAAGGGCAAGTATGGCCGCAACTGTACCATAAAAGTTACTCTTCGGCTCCGTCATCGTTCCGAGGTGGCTCAAGAAACAGTCATTTTGATAGATTATTGCCTCGTGTAGGAGTCCTTAATGACATGGTAAAAAGAGGTGAGCAGCTGAGTGTAGAGAAAAACATCGAAGATGACTTGTCTCTGCCTCGAACGAACTGCTGCCTTCCTGGTGATTCTCAAGCGCGTAGCTTGGGCTACTTTGTCTCCTGCAGATACCTCAAATTGAGCTCCAATGTTTTTCATTGAAAGTGGCCCAACCCTTGGTCAGGTAAACCGGGCAAAGCAGCTATTAAGACCTTGCTACAGCACTTCTCCTCCATCACTCGTAGTACGCCACGGTATAATTGCCACGACAACATTTGTTGCTCTTGTACATAGCACTAGCTCTTTGGATCTTGCTATTGTGGACTAATTCTTGTCAAAGACCTTCAGGACCGTGAGATGAAAGTTATCGAACACATCGCGACGCGTCAGAACATCACCTATCTGCCACAAGAGGTCCTCGATGTGGTGGTCAATTTTGTCCGCCTCAATCGCTCACCACAGGCAGCCCAGTACGACCTTTGGTCATGCTGCCTCGTTTCCAGGGATTGGTATGATGCAACTATCGCGTACCTGTACTCGATGCCTCTCCTGTCCTCACGAAACTTCACAGAGTTTGCTAGAACGATATCCCCCTCTATAACATCACGGACTCGTCGAGTTGGGCTTGAGGACTTTGTGCGGTATCTTGATATGGGTGCCCTGGCTTACGAAAGCAAGAAGAGCCTCACCAGTCGACTGATCAGTAGGACCAAGAATTCATTGCAGTTGTTCGTGGCGCCTGCTGTCAGTTTTTCAACGACAAGTTTGGCGCCACTTTCGAAATGTTTAGCATTAGAGCATTTGGATCTCTCAAGGGATGTCTACGACTTTACTTTCGATAGGTTGTCACGATCTATCAGGCCTTTGTCTGCATTAAAATGGCTAAGTTTACCTAAGGATTGTAGTCCTTTCGAAATAATACCTAGCGATACTAATAAAGCTACCGACTCAACTACAGGATGGCTAAGAGACATTTGGCCTCCAAACCTCACCATGTTGCAGCTCAATGACAGCCACACTTGTCCTGACGGAGGTAGATGGACCAAATTCTTGCGCAGTTTGCCGGAGACGTTGGAAAGTTTATCGTTCAGGAATTTAACTGTCTACGATGCATTTGATAGCATTGGACAAGCAGACGCCGAAGTACCACAAATCACCACCTTATCCGTTAATGTGCACCGGAGCGATGACACCTACTACTTCAACCACATGTGCAAGCCTTTCCCCAATGTTAGCAAGATTTCTGTTCCCGCAATGACTTCCTGGGTTCTGAAAAACTTTCTCTTCACCTCGCAAGGTTCATCATGGGCGCTAAATGCAACTGATAATCTTCCAGGTCAGCTGAGACCGCCACAGAATTTAGAGCTTCTCGTCCTGGAAGAATCTCCGGACTTTCCGTCCTCGACTCACATTCTCGTTTCTGACTTATCCCAGTTTATACAGCATTGTCCGAGGCTCATACGCATCGACGTACCTGAAGCATATCTTAATATAGACGAAGACGATGATGCCGCCTTGGACGGGCTGAACGAGGTGTTGAGCAAAAGGTGTACCGATCAGAATGGCGGTACAAGGAGTGTTGAGTTAGGATCAGCTGGTATTTTCATGACGGAACGAGCACTCAATAGTGGTGTGGGGATGAAGCGAAGTTTTCGCTATCGGGGAAACGGCTGATATAATGTTCAACTGAAGGGCGCATCAGAATATGCAACAATATATATTGCGTTAGCCTTTCGTGGATACCTCTATGCTACAGAGTATGAGTCCGGTAGACATCATAGAGACTGAGCTTCTCACAGCTTCGACTGACTACCTAGGTTCTCTGAGAACCAGTTACTCAAGAGACTGTAACCTTTCTCGTAGGCAGTCTTGACGCTCTCCTGCTCCAAATCACCACGTGCAGCCAAGAAGCCATGAATCTGGTCATCAAACCACTGGACATCGTTCTTGACCTTGAGACCTTTCTGCCACTTTTCAACAGCATCTTTATCTTCTCCTTTGGAGGGTATTGAGAGGATCGGAATTGTGATTGCAGGAGCATCGCCGGGATCTACCATAGCTGGATGCGCATTGGCAGCAACGCTGAAGATTGTGCCTTGCTTGGAGACAAGGTTGACGATCTAGTAAGTTATCAGTCATCGTACTCACCAAGATAGGCAATGAGAGCTCACCTTGCCACCCCAGCAGTACCCGAGCACACCCCAGTTCCTAATGTTAGGATTCGAGTCTTTCAGCTCCTTCATGCATTTGTCGATCCTGGCGACGTTCTTGCTTGGCTCGGCTTGCCCGCTAAAGAACTCACCGAGCTTCTTACCCTTCTCATCTGTGTCAGGTGGGTACCATGAGATATCGGCTGGTTTTCCCTCGAAGAGGTCGGGCATGAAGATCTTGAACTTCCGAGTCTGTTCGCTGTGATGCTGACCAGAAAGAATGTCGGCACCTTGCAAGGTTTGTGGAAAGAAGCCAAAGATGTCGTAGACCACAAAGATGCCGGCTGTCGCATCATCTGGACCTGTTACGTAGGTCTTCAAGTTGTCGACTTGTGTCCATTTGCCTTTCTCTTGCTAAATATAGCATTAGGTCCAGTCATGACCAGGTGAACTGAGTGACTTACATAGCCCTTGCTGACCACTGGCGGAGTGTTACAGCCTGGTTGTACAGTTAGATCTGCGATAACATCTGATCATTGATCAGAACATACAAGCTTTGGATGGAGTTTGTGCCATGTTAGTGTAGAACCTGCTTTTCACAATTGGTCTCGTGGAAACGAGTGAAGTTGTTCTGAGTGAAGCACGGCTACAAAATCTCAGAGGAGGAAAAAGTACATTCATCACTGCCCTCCTTCTTGATCATAAGGGCTCCATGATCTTTCACAGCTTCTACCAATCAATATCTATAAGGAGCCAAGGCGTCAGAAAATGTGATGTAATGCTGGAGTGAAGTACGCTACGGTCACGCACAGCTAGCTCTGCAACAGGAAGTTTAGACGATGCGGAGTCGCGGCTGCCAAGCACGTTGATGCACAAAACATTACGCTTCTGCTTCGGATCTCTACTTTCCTGCTCCTCAAAGTCTCTACCACTACATCTTTCCTCAGAGTCCAAAACTTGAGTAAAGATGAGAGCCAAGTGGAGGAAGAAGAGAGTCCGAAGACTCAAGCGAAAGAGGCGCAAGACGAGAGCACGATCGTAAGTTACGAACAATCAAAAAAGTACCCAGAGTAACTAACAATCGCTATAGCAAGTAAACGACTCGACTGCTTCTCTCAGTAACACTCTCGACAATTGTCAACTATCCTCAATCCAAGTCGCGATCTACCGGACGACTGAATCATATCAACATGCCCACCGCAAGCATCTGAGACATCGAAAGAAGGTCAAGGAAACTGCATATTGCTGCATGGAGGCTATGAACTGCGAGGATTGGCCCTGAAACGGTGCAACCAAGTCAACGTCGATGAGGTTGTATGTCAGGAGGAGTGATGCTGGTTAATATTTGTGTGCTACTATACGACACAATGAAGCTTAGAGCGTGTTGCTTGAACTGCGGGTTGATGGAGTGGCATGTCTGGTCTGCTGTGCGCTCAGAACATGGCGAAGGAGATCAGACGACAAATTATCTACACTCGATCAGATGCTGCCAATGAACAAACCCATGAAAATCCAAAAGCTGGTCCTGTACAGGACAGCCTTTCCCCTTTCGCAATATATCTCGTCGTGTTGTAGCTCGTCTAGCCTGTGTGATAGTGCGTTCTGCTTGATCAAGCCTCGACCCATCTCTATACAGCTTACCAGCATAGAGTCTAATCCTGCTCAGCTGCATTGTGCCCTCCTCAGCTCACCGACCATCTCCACGTTTGAGTTGTAAGCTCGTGTGACGTGCCTGAATGCGGAGGTGATAGTGTTTTGTTGTGGCCTCAGGCAACCATAATTTTATGCATTCTTCGAAATCAGCGTTATAAAACTGACAGTTTCAGGTTCAGGCGAGATAGCTCAGTCTCAACAATTCAAAGGTCACTGACAGTCGCCAACATATCTGCAGAATGTCGGAGAAGAAGCGCAAGGCAAGTTCGGCGCCAGAAAGCAGGCCGAAGAAGAAACAGCAGGTCGCTTCTACTGCTGCCGCTATCGAGCATATCCCAGGCTCGGATGTGCTCAAACCGATCATAGGTAGGCTCACTCTTTGCAATATTGTTCAAGGGTGCTGATGCTTCTATAGCAAGCACACCTGGGGCAGCCTTCCCACAGAAAATCAGGTTCCAGTCGTTCTTCAAGAAAACTGCAGACGGGTCGCAAACTCTTCTTCACTCCTCCGAACATCCTACCATAGATTATACAGCTGAGCAAGGTACTGAGTCAGGTGAAGCACACCAGAAGCACTATATCGTAATCTACGATCCGTCTACAAACAAGCTTCAACTGACGGAAGCAAAGAGACTGACAGTCAGAGGTTCTATACGGCAACAACCACGATTGGAAGAGGACGATGAAGATACGGCCAACTTCTTGGCTCAACAAGGCACTCGAGCCGCTCTTACAGAAGCGTTTGGCTCCAAGAAGTCTAAGAAGGCAGTGCAAGCTATGGCTGAGAATCGTCAGCTGGGCCAGGGTATAGAAGGACAGATGATAGCACAAGCAATTACAGCCAACCTGGAAGCAGATGAAGAAGAGGAGGAAGCAGCAGAAGCCGCGACTGCCAGACTAGCTAACAAGCCATTACCACTGCCAGACCTACATACCGACGACATAGACCGTGTGTATTCACTCTCAAGCCTTATCAAACCATCACCTGCCACGAATACTCTCAAATTAATGCCGACGAAACCATGGCTCGACCGCCTACAAGCCAAGAAAGACGTAGAATCACGGTCTCGGTACATCGCCGCCAGAATAGCCTACATCTACAAGCACATGACATCCAACCCGGAACAAGTCCACAAATATACCCAACAGCTCCAGATCTTACGATACATCGAACTTCTCCACCAAGTTCACGCGTTCGCCGCCAAACAAGACCGCCGCCGTCGTATGCCACCTGTCGACGAATGGCTACCTCAAACATTCACTCCAGGCACCCCGCCTCAAGTCCTCCGCGAAGTCATGCGCCATCACTTCCCCGAACAGAACATACCCACCACTCACGCCATGACCCTCCTTCGAACCACTATCCTCGCTCTAACATTACATATCCTCCCACCATCCGGCACAACCGGCGGCTCTAGCGGATCCGGCCACGGCAGCCAGCTCGTCACCGAACCCTCAGACATTCAGCTAGATCTCGCCATCGACGCGGCTGAGGTCAAGAAACTCTATCACGAACTCGGGTGTGTCGTCAAACCTGCTACGGACAAAGACCTCAATATCTGGGGATACACGAAGCTGGCGAAGAAGAGCAAAGAAGGAAAGATACCGAAGCCGGTATTCGCGGTTCTGAAGTTTCCTCTGAATTTCCCGAAGGTTGGTGGTGGGAAGAAAGCAGGCGGCCGACGATAGGATGGTCGGCAGCAGTTTGCTGGGCACGAGGAAGGAGATTTTAGTGTAGTCTAGGGTGTACACTACTACGATACCTGACGAGTTGCGCGTCTGAGTATTGTTACGATGTCTTTGTCGAGCGAAGTTTCATACACGACTTTTGAAAGCAGAGATTCAAGCGATGAAACAAGGGGACATAACGATGTTTGAGCTGTCAATAACGGGAGCGGTATGAACGCCAAAGAACGGACACTTGTCTGTGAATCTATCTATGAGCTCAATCCTCCCAAACACTAGTACTGTGAGCCTCTATCTTCATACTGCACTTGCTCCGAAACGCATCATACACCCCAGGATCGTTAAAACAACAATCATGCCGGTCTTCCTGCGACCACAATACTATGCGGCCTGGGTCATTCACTTAGACCCACAAAAGCTCGAGTTCTGTCCGGCCGTTATCTAAGAGCGCTTCCTTATTCTTCTTTCGAAGACTAAAGCAGTTCTTGAAATGTAAGCGAAGCGGTTGACATCGTGTACCCCTTTCAACTTCCCCATTCTCCAAGTCTTAACATCCTAGGTTCACCTGCGTCGGCAAACGTAGTCGTCTCAATATAGCCGTCCGAAAGGAGTCGCGCCAGCACACTCTCAAAGTTTTCCTCAGGATGTTTAGCCGCAAACGTGGCTAGCTCCTCTGGTGTCTTGCTCGGATAAGGTGTTTGCAAGCAGTTTCAGATGTCATGAGCTAAGGGTGAGAAATTGCTGGTGTGAGGGAAGTGCCCTGTCTCGTATGCTTTCTCTGCAGCAATTTCTTCTTAGCTTTGGCTTCAGCATGTTCTAGAGCCAGTCATTTTCTGTTTCCGCTCCTTTGACAGGAGTATAGATAATTAGATCAGCTCCTCACTTCAAGTACACCCTCTGACCGTCATGACCCATATAGGATAAATTGGCATTAGCTCCATCTGCAACCCGCGCGTTAGGGGCGACTTGGCTCAACTCCTCCGCATCTCCGCCTTGGGGGGTGCTGGCGCCACTAGCAGGAGTAAAGACTGTCGCACTGGGAGATGAGGTATTGCTGGCGGCCTGCTCGACTTCGCTCTGGTTGTTTCCCCTCTTCTGCTGCAAGGTAGAAATCTTGTTGTCGTCGGTCTCTGTTTCTTTGCGCTCCTTCTCGGCAGAGGCTGATGCTCTCTTCTCAGGCTCGATGGGCTCGAGTGTTGGTAGATTGATCGCGCTTTTCATCAGACATGACTTCTCGAGTGACTCGGTGAATACTACGAGTTGTTTCTCGACAGCCTGCATCCGCGCAGCAAATGGTTCTAGCATCGCAGGCAAGGCGCTTGTTACGGGATTGTCGGTAGCGACTTTGGTAGATTGCTGATGATATTGTGCCAACTCAGCTTCGAGTCTAGTAACGTTTGTTTGAGTGTATCGTAGCTCCTGATCTTTTTGAGTGGCTTGACGTTGCAATGCGTCTACTTCAGCTCTGAGTCTAACAAGCTCTACATCGTAATCACCTCTTGTGTAAGAGTGCCGAGGGTCACGACCATTCTTGTAATCTTTCAAGCGCACTTCTTCGATCGAGGCGGAATCGAGCGCTGACAACCGTATGGGTGTAGTGGTTTGGCTGAGCAATGCCTTATCTCCATTGGGTTGAACACTTGTCGTGGTTATTTCGACATAATGACAGCCGCGACACGGGGACACGCCAGCGTTGCTTCTTGGCATGTTTGCATGAGGGTCAGGCTGGAAGAGGTTTGGTTCATTCTTCGGTAGGTTACCAAACAAATTATAGTTGGTAGTTGCTGGAGAATTGTAACCAAAAAGTCTGCATCCCGAGCCAGTATTTTGATGCGTCTGTGTATTGCCAGTGCCGAAAAGTCCTCCGCGAGTGCTATTGTTAAAGTTGCCGAAAAGACCCCCAGTAGTCTGTTGAGGACGACTAAAAAGCCCGCTGCTGGCTTGGTTCGTAATAGTAGGACCCAAGAGACTAGTAGAAGTTTGCGGGAGAGGCGGACCGAAGAGACATCCAGTAGATTTTTGAGGACGACCAAAAGGGCCACCACTACCTTGGTTGGTGGTAGTCGGTCCAAAGAGACTGCTTCCGGATTGTGGTGGAGGGACACCGAAAAGGCCGGCCGCGCGCTGTTGAGCAGCATGTCCGAACAGATTTACACCCGGATTGTTGTTCTGATTGCTGTTGCCGAACAACCTACCAGTCGGTAGCTGATTGCCAGCGAGACCCCCAGTAGTATTGCTCTGAGCGGTATTTTGTCCGAATAGGCCGCCAGCAGAACAAGCAGGTTTATGGCCGAACAAGCTGCCGGCTGGGTATACTGGTTTGCTTGTGTTGATGTTTCCGAAGAGTGTTCCAGTATTGTTTGTATTTGGTTGATTGGCGCTTGCAGCATTATTAACCACGTTCCCGGAGAGGGCACCTTGTGTAGTATTGTTCAGTAATTGACCACCAAATGGATTCGAAGACCCAAATTTTTCAGCTGAATTCTTGAGATCAACTCGAGTCGTTTGTTCATCGTTACGATCCGGGAGGACGGAGGGTTCTGCAGCGCTGGCAAAGATATTAGATGCCATCACCGATGCCAGTAAGGGTTCGTTCAGATCAGAAAAAGGCTTGCTTCCTGGTCTCAAATGGTAAGCAACTAGACGAAGTAGGTACAAGAGATAGAGAAATGCAAGCAGTATGCTGATGTTGACAACAATCGAGCAGATTATATAGTGATGGGAGAGTTGGGGCTTGATGCCTGGTGAGGGCGATCACATGTCAGCCTACCAGGCAGCCGCCTCGGTAGTGACAGTACAACCAGACATCGGTCACTTCCTCTTTAGTCTTGCTTCATTTCGTTCTCAAACTTGAACTCCTTTACCAGTTCGTCGGTGTTACCAAAAAGATTGATACAATTGTTGATCATGGACTTTCTGAGAGACAGTGTGTTTCCTAGGAGAGCGGACGTGAAGCTCCTCGATTCCAGTATCACTCCACGCTGCACTTCTTTCAGGGGCTTTCCTGTGTGGCTGACGTTTTCCCGTACCACGAACTACCCAAGGTGCCGCGACTCGTGACCCCCTATAGTGTGTTACTTACTGAGATCAAGTCCTCATCTGAGTTGCAAAGACGTCCTGTGAAGACTCTTTCTAAAAAAAGCAGATGATAGATGATAGATGATAGAGACCAAGCCATCGCAGGACATTTTCGCCAAATCTTCCCTTCACTCTGTTTGTGATTAATCAGGTAGGACCTCTGCCACGTCTAGAACGATTGTCCTTCTGCCTCTGTTCCTTCTTCGCCGCTCTACTCCTAGCTTTCCAAGCTCGATTGTTCTGGCCACGTTCTGCCCAGAAGCGCTTCTCAAACTCGCTTTGGGAGCTTTTGCTGTCCGATTTCGAGGGTGTGGCCTTACTGTTAGTCGAGGTTGTCTCGTCCAGTGAAGACAACGCGCTTGTAAAGCTGGGAAAGCGGCTCGGATGAGCGGTATCTGGTGTTGGAGCAGCACTCCTTAGTCCTCGAGATCGTGTTTCTTGAGAAGTGAAAGGTGTCAAAGGTTCTGGTGGCAGGGAATGGTCGTCAGTGTCTTGGTCGTCGTCAGGGGTGTTTCTCTTGAAGAAAGAGAATGATGTCTCGATTTCAAGAGACGGTTTGGCTGAATCTTGTCCTTTGGGTGGCATGGGTTTTTTGAAGAGTGCTTCTAACGGATGAACTTCCTGTACGAGCTGTGTACTGTCTGGTACTGATTCTGTAACTCTTTCCTTTTCTTCTTCGACAGCAGTTGCAGGGTCAGTCTCAACATCTGGGGACGTTGTGCCAGAACTGCTTGTGTTCTCAGCGTCATCTTCGACATCTTGTATAGGTTCGTCCAGGAGGGACTCAGTGGTGACAGACGAGCCAGAGCTAGACGTTTCGTCTGCAGTAGCTGTTTTTGGGGACGACTTGAGGGACTTGACGGTGTCGACGTGTAGGGTGGTAGGTTTAGCTGCTCTCATGCGTTGGCGGCTGGACGACTCCTTCTCGACGACGTCACCTTGGCCGTTGACCCAGCCAATGTTGTCAACATACTCAGCAGACCTTTGGGTAGAGATCGTTTCTCTCAGGAATGAGGGCTGAATCTGGGTCTTCTCGAACTCATGGACAAGTGCAGGTTCCGCACCTTCACGGGCGCTTCTCTTACGCTTTTTGTCGGCCTTCAGGCCCTCCTTATTTGGGGGTAGCTTTGTTCGAAATAGCAATTCCGCTTTCTCGCTATATTGTGAAGGCGCTTGTGGTTTTGAATCCTTCCCTTTCTCTTTGGTTTTCGATCGTGTGGCCTTCTCGGATTTTGGCTCGGTCCATCCACGTTTTACTTTGCGACCCGCGGACAACTCATGGCCCTCTGTTACATTGAGTTCTGTCCCTGCCTTTTTGTCCCTCTTTGGCTTCTTTTGAGCAGGTTCTGGCGCGGGCGATTCGTCCTTGTCAAGCTTGGTATGCAGCCGCTTTTTTGGGCGGGCTTCTTCGACTTTCATCTTCCTGCCCTTCAAGAATGCGCCATTGACCTTGGAAATAAGTTTCTTTGCATCTGCTTCCTGCAAATCGAAGAAACCGTAGCTGTTCTCAGGGAATGTTGCGAGGGTCTGAAATGAGATATTCTGCGCGGATTTGGTGAGACTGGGACCAAGCACGGTTGGCAGCAGTTCCGACGTTAAGGGTGTTACGTGAAGACGCATATACGTTGACATTCAAGACGAAACTTGATTAGCGCTCACGACCAAGTCGCTTGTGTACGACGGAAACTTCAAGTTTGGCGACTGATTGCCGACAGCCATAGTTTTGAGTTGTGCTGGTGTCGAAAGTACCTGCAGTGAGGCTTTGGTGCGTTTGCGTCAATGCTTAGCTAATGCTGGCGGTCCCTAGACCGGTAGGCGCTAGGGGCGGGGTAAGGCCTGTAAAGTATCAATAGCTTCAAATTCGTAGAAACACAACCATGAAGTCTGTCCTTCATGAGAAGTGCTATTGTCCAACGAGGGTCAAGGTGTTTCAGCGAAGTTCAAGTTCAGCCAATCTATTAGCCCAAATATTCGGATATCTAATATACTACTATCGTAGGTACTTTTCTGGCAGAGTGAGCTTGTACCGAGCCTGGTATCTTATCAGAAGGTGGCTCACGCGGCTCTCGGAAAGAGCTCAAACTCTGCGCTGCATTTGTCCTCGTGAGAAACTACTAACTTTGCAGCAGAAGTTATTGATAAGGGACACGACATATTGTAGTTGCCCACGTGCGAGAAAATGGCTGGGCACGAATTTACTGGTGACTGCATCCGCACACCCGCTCTCGAGCATCTTCGTCAGCTCCTGCAGTGTGAAGCAGGGCATGCAGGGATCTGCTCAGCATCGAACTTGAACCTCAACTTGGTTTGCCTTTGTCGTAGTCTCCACCCATCATTCCATTCGGCGTGCCAATATCCAGTACTTTGATACACTTCCATCCTCGTCATCGTGGTTATTCTTTTCCGAATTATCTATTGACACTCGCTCCCACAGTTCTGTTGAAACATTCCAACGCCGTCTGCTGTTTGTCTGACCAGGACTGTGCGGGATAATACGGCACCACACACTACAGATGCACACGAGCTCATGAGTCGACAGTATATCGTTGTTATCGGCTTGGAATCACGGCGGTGACACTCTGCCAATTGTACGACCACTCCTTTGAAGTGATTGCACTTCGAGGCCCTCCTTCTTCGTCATGATGTCTGCCTCTTCTATCTGCTGAGCACAAACCATTATACATACTGCGTGATGGGCAATTCACAGACAAAAGAGGCCCGCGGGTCGTCGAGCCAACACGATCCCAGCGCGACTGCTCAGGATGGCCGTCTAGAGTCCACAAGCAGAGACGACTACGTTCGTCCATCCCATCGTGTACGAGAAGCTCGCCGTGGCAGTCGTCCAGATCTTTCCTCCTTCCTCGGCCTCGGCAACAATGAGCCAGACGTGGCCTCCCTTGAGGCTCGTCGTGAGAGCAAAACGGAAAGAGAAGCAAGGAAACAGGAAAAGGAAAAGCAGGCTAGACTGAAGGAACGAGAGCGCAGTATGAAAGAAGAACACGTTGATGGTGGGTACCTGGTCACTCAAGGCGTCTACGTTGGTCAAGAAGACTTTCACAAGCCTTTGGTCAGGCAATTGATGATTGAGCGCCGCCTGGCTCCTTTCTGGCGTGGACTGAACGACTTTTCAGACTCTTGGGCTGAACATCAAATCATGGCTGTTGCTCGTGGTATGCCTCTGCCTGCCCCTGATCACGTCCCTCCAGAACTTGAGTACCAACTCAGTAAAAGACCCTCAGCTGACGTAGGGAAAACTTTGACTATACCCCTAGGTCCTAGGTCGGAATCTTTCCATTCAGACTCCGGTCGAGCCTCCCCAGCGAACGGCTCGCTACCAAGCCAATCTTTTTTCCCTCCGCAGCCTACCAACTCGAACCTGCCTTTCCGCTCAAGAGCGAAGACCTTGGCAAGTTTAGGCTCTGCATCGAGGAACAACTCCGAGAAAGATTTGACACCCCGAGAGCTCAAGTATCCCAATGATCCGTTTGTGAATGGCCAACCCATCGAAGTCTTCCTTTACAAGGACGCTAGCGAATGTCCAATCTGCTTTCTGTATTATCCTCCGTATCTAAACACTACCAGATGTTGCGAGCAACCTATTTGCTCCGAATGTTTCGTCCAAATCAAAAGACCAGATCCACATCCGCCCGAGCACAATGACCCTGACCCCAATGCTCCACCAGTATCAGAAGAAGAACGACAAGCGCAAGCCGAAGGGATGCTGGTATCGGAGGTGGCCACATGTCCATATTGCAAGCAGCCGGAATTTGGCATCACCTATGTACCGCCACCATTTCGAAGGGGGTTGACTTACGGAGCTGGTAGCACTCCATACGGCGTGACATCGGCGAGGTCTAGCCAGACATCGGTGGCTTCTTCCAGTCTATCTCCAGGTCCGGGCCGAAGACGAGGCACCTCCCTTTCCGCGAATGCACCAGAAGTGATCACTACTGATAAGATCCGGCCAGACTGGGCGAGCAAGCTTCACGCTGCTCGAGCTCATGCCGCTCGTCGGTCTGCTGCTGCTAGTGCATTACACGCCGCCGCATACGTCTTGAACGATCCGAGTCAAAGAGTCGCGACTGGTCCTTTCGGCAGGAGGAACGTCCTCAGAAGGTCGACGCTGGAGAACAATGGGCGAGCCTCTGATGCACATCTCAGTGCCCTATCGTACCTCGCCGAAAGACATGCCGCATCTGCTGATCGCATGCAGGCTGGAAACATATTCCTTGCCCCACCACGAGGCACTTCGTCAAGAAGGTCACGCGAAGACGAGATCGAAGACCTGATGATGATGGAAGCGATCAGGTTGAGCCTGGCAGCAGAGGAAGATCGTAGGAAGAAAGAAGAGAAAGAGGCCAAAAAGAAAGCTAAGAAGGAGGAGAAAGAGCAATGGAAAGCCGAAAAGGCTGCTAGAAAGAGTGGCTTATCGTCGCCATCAGCTGGGGCCGAGGCGAGCTCAGTACCACTGATTCGGGAAGACAGCAACTCATCGTCGATTACACCTGATGACATTGGTAAAGGTAAAGATGCTGAACGTAACGAATCGTTTCTCCCTCGAATTCAAGCTGATGGCGAGGACTTTGTGGTGGGCGCATATGGCACGCCTTCATTCTCCGGAACGAGTCAGGAGTCCCTCACAGCACCAATGGGGATACCTTCTGGTGTCGAGCCATTCCGGAGGTCGCATCTGCGGCAAATGTCGACTGCATCATCGGCGTCGTCGTCTTTCCAGGAAGCAACGTCGAGCACACCGCCTAATGTAGAACCCATGTTCAACTTCCAAAGCTTAGCAGCCATGATCGATCAGGATGAAAAGAGTGACGGTGCATCACACGTAGAGCATGCCGACAGTATCTACGAAAACGATCCAGCCAAACTCAACGGGATACACGGAGCGGTCACGTCCACAGGTCACGAGCAGACTGATAGACGACCGTCCTGATGTGAGAGGAATTTCGACAGTTCAGGCGTCTACGCAATGTGCACCGGTGAGCAATTTGGACCGGTGCCACAAATGAACCAGGGCATGATTGGCTACTTTGTAGCATGTACCCTTGAAAACAGGTCACCGCTGCAACATTAACCAAAACTATCAAGGCGGAAGATGTTTGGAGGCGTACGAGTGGTGACGATGGCACACTTCGAAACGGCGTGTTGGGATTCAAGGGCGCTACCAATGTCGTCTAAGCGTAAGTACGGTATTGATGACTTGAGCAATGCATTGGTCTCTCGCAGCACTCTGCCTGGAACGAAATGAGATATGGAACACCACTTAAGGTGAAGGGGAATGGATTTTGAATAGACTGGACCATAACGTAGCGTTATTCGACTTAGACTTGACATCTGGCCAAGATTGTCTTAACCAACTTTGCGGTGCTTGTGTTGAAAGAAACGTGCTCACAAAGTGTGTCGTGCCAGTACTACTCATAGGCGGCTTGAGAGTAACACTGATGCCTGAGGCCACAATTTGTGCCTGGAACGATGACACCCAGTGGTTCGTTCGTGCATGTGAAACAAAACAGTTTCCTGGAGGCCTGCCAGTACTAAGCTCTGATGAGGACCTTTCAACTCTTGCATCCGGCTATGCGATGTATGGGGATCTGCTACTCAGCCACATTATGGTCTGATTGAACGCCTTCTAAATACGTCTAGCCCAAGGACGCTGTGTGAAGCGCATTGAGCCCGAGCGTTGCCTATTGACACAAGGGAAGGACCACGAACATGGCTCCTGACATCAATTCCGTCGTGACTGTCTCTCAACCTGTCTCATTACCTGCTGTTGCACCTGCTCGGAGTTCAGCTGCACGCACAACTTCAATATCCAATACGAATCCCTTGTCACAATCTCAGCATACCAGTCCTGGACAATCAAGACGAACGTCTTCAGCTATGGGTCCTCCACCCTTGCCTGTTCCGAACAACAGCAGCTTACCCAATTCACCTCGACCACCCCATGCAGCTATGGAACGGTCGCCATCATCACAGGGATTGGCAGTAGGATCGAGTCAAGGCCAGGGCCCAATTCGTCATCCACGACCCTTGACGGCGGCCGAGTTACACCTAGAATTAGAGAAGGAGCAGGAAAGTATCGTACGTCTACCCTTCCTAGCAATACAATCTCTTGCTCTACTCCTACTGACATTGTACCTAGGTCAATAGGCTCACCCGCGAGCTCTCCGCCCTCCGTGCCCAGACAGCCAGTGTTGCCAGTACTGCATCAAGCACATCCGACCTCTTCACAACTTCGACTTCGCACGATCCTTTTCCTTACAGTAGTGGTACTGCTGGCTCAGCTGCATACCCAATTCCAACTTCCGCTCGCAGGCACAGATCGAGCAGCAATCTCTCCACTCGCTCGGCACGCTCAGCTCGAGAAGCAGTTCACAATGCCGGTGCAACTTCTGTTTCTGGCGTCGCAGCGCCACGCGATCCACCTACCGAGAGATCAGCAAGACAGAGCCTGGACATCCAACGACCTGACCCTGGCAGCCGCCAGAATAGCTACAGTTACAACCATGGCCTTGGTCTAAGCACCAGCACGAGTTCTGGAAATATGTACAGGAGTGCAAGCAACACTACAAGTCCTTATGCTCCTGCTCCACCATCTGGTTATACCGCTGGCTATTATGGAAGGCATTCTCGTGAGCCGAGCCAACAAAGCCAGCTTCCGTTGGCTGGTGCTGGGTCAAGAAGTCCCAGTTTTGGCAGTGTTCAGGCTGCTGCCCGGTACGAAGAAGCTGCTGTTCAGAGACAGGAACTAGAATCAGTAAAGAAGGAGAACGAATCGTTGAAGCAGAAAATTCGTGAACTAGAGAAGCAATTGGCTGGAGATGCCACTATCAGTATAAGCGAAACTACTGCACAGCGATCTGGTACGAATTTCTCTGCTTCTTAGGGTCTTTCTGCATGGAGATCCAAGTCAATGCCATGGAGAATTGGAAGGCGTTGGGATCAGGTGTGTTATGGAGGGCTAGAAGAGTCTCCATCGTCGACAGGAGCACAATGTCAGGCAGCATGTCCTGCTTTAACACGCTCTTCTGAATATGCATCGTCGAAGAAATTGTGGCTTGGAGCAAGAATTTTGACAAAATTGAAAAATAGCAGGGCGCAGGCGGAGTATCTGGTAAAGGAAAAGACTGAAACGTTTCATCGTGGTGCTATAGCATTACACTCGGCTACTAGTGAGTGGTATGGTTCGTACAGTAGGTCAGGCGATAGGTGAACGACAATTGTCCCATCGCACAATATTTGGAAGGCATGACTTACTACTGTCTAAATTTTGTGCTTTCTTTATACTTCCATTCGTGTCGGCCATGTCCTCAGTATGCATCAGCGAGATCACAGGAGCTGGCCACATCTCATTTCCACTTGACATGAGTTGCATACATATTTTTACCTGACCAACACTCTATTTCTACTCCCCACCACATCATGGAACGATTACAGTCCTGGTCCTCGATGTACTCCCGAGTTCTAGACCACACCATGTTCCGGTTCTCGCCTCCTGAGCGTGCCGGTCCGTGGCGTACCACACCCAGAGTAAACGTGTGACCAGCAGTCTAGTCCCGTATACTACTAGTAGTGGAAGCTGGCGTGATGCTGTGCCACATCCGAGTTATGGTTGGGCTCCACATCTATACACATTTTTGTGGAAATTTATTTCACATACTAATTCGATGTAGGGTACTGGATGTAACAATGAATTTTACGAGGAAGTATACGCTCTTGGTTCGGGAATCATGCTTGTAGATGTTGGCCTCCAGTTGCATGTTACTCTGTCAGGCCCTCTCTGCAAGATGGGGGCACTATATACATGCAATACGCTGAAAGAGCAGACGTACCTCACACCAGTTTTAAGCTTTTAAAATAGTTGTTTATTTCTTCTGTTACTCAGGAGATTTTCCTGATCAGCTACGTAGATATGAACTCCCATGGCGTCCAATCTTCCTATGACTGGGACCTATGCAGATGCTAATGCCGTCCATCGTGGTCTTATTAAGACCTGGGTGGAGGTTTATGTACATAATAAATGCCGACAAACGAGTCGACGAGATAGTTTTTAACAGTGCCACATAGAGTCATCGGTCGAAGTGGGCGACACAGCTCGACCCACCTCGACGGAATGACTCGGCATATCCACGCAGTTTTATTTGAGAAAGGGCCTAGCCTGAAAGCTTCCGCAAGACAAACGGAATACTCCTCATGAGCATGTTCAGTACTAGCATACTCCATGGATAGTGTCCATCCCTGACAAGCACATCCGTTTGCCTTGCGTGCGTGCTTGGACAGGCTTCCTTGGCTCTGCCCAACACTGAGTAGGTTGTAGTATTTCTTCATTTTCGGTGAGAGTGTTCAGATATGCTCTTGGAATGAAACAGGTCGAGTAGTCGACCTTCCCCGTATTGCCTGAAGCTGTAAAAGCTGCGACGTGTTGAGCAGGATCAGCAAAATCAGTGGACTCGGAATGGGTCCTTTTCATTAGCTGAGTTCTGGGAACCTGCTCCTGACGCGCTGTATTGACGACATGAGTCTTCGAACGTCCCAAAGCTGGTTTCGGTATCGCCCGCGAGAAGACGACACCCTCATCGACAGTACTCGTGTCAATATATAGACCTGCCAGTACTTCCACCGTCCCATGTTTCTTTGCTTCGTCAGCACTAGCGTATCCTTCGTCTAGAACATGCTCGCGAAAAGGATGTTCACCGCGTTTGTGGTCTGGTAGAACCGGCACAACCTGTGGCCCGCCCAGAACGGTCGGTGCAGGATCCACCAATTGCGAACACGGATTCTGTAGTCGAGAAATCGGCGGGCGCCGTGGTCGCTGATTGGTGTACTGCAACATGGCGCGTTGTAACTCATGGCTGACTATGTAACCGTCTTTTGACCCTCCTATGACGTCGATTGCGGCAGGCAGGTTCGTCATCCACGAGGCTGTGGAAGAAATCGACGAAGACCGTGATCGTGGAGCGCACGAAGCTGCATCTGACACGATGCTCTCTGGAGAGGATGTCACCGAGACGGTAGACGGAATCGCATGAGGCATGACTGGAGGAAGGATACATGATCTTGATTCCTGTTCAGAGGAGCGAGGTTTAGGAGGCGGACACCGCTCCAAATTAGCCATAGGACAATGCTTGCGAAAGGCACTGCCTAACGCTGATGTTGATGCACGACATCGCATACTCGGTCTGCTTAGTTGATCATTTGACTTGGGTGTCCAGCAGTTGAGATTGGTTTGTGGTGTAGTCTGAGGTGTTGGAAGGTTTGGGAACACAGGTGGTGGTGGTACAGTCATTTGTGGTGCCGGATGCAGCAGATCCGGTACAGGTTCAAATCGTTTCGCAATTCGTTCGAGACTCGAGGGTTGCGACTGGTCGGCGCTGCTAGTGGTATTCAGGTCTAGGCAGTCAGCAGTAAAAGCGGCCTCAAAGCTGTTTTCGGATACTGGGCGTGACAGATATGGGAAATCTCTAAATGGTGCGACAGACTCAACGTACTGCTGAGTCTTTACTGGACATCTGACAATATCCGTGCGCAACTTCTGGAGATTGACTTTCCACCAGTGCCCAAGTGCCTGGAAATCGTTGCACATGTTTGAAAGAGCACATTGCCTTGGAGGCCTAGTATCTGGTCCTTTAGGAGGGCTATCAGTACCTTCTTTGCAACCAGAGTTCGGATCCATGGATCTGCGACAGACGCTGAGTACAATTTTGCTCCAATTTTCAAAGGTTGCTTTTGGTACATGTAGATCCCAGCCAACTATGCCGAGGAAACGTCGTTCATTCTCGTTGATCTCTTTGAGCGGGAGGCCTGATATTTTGCTCCATGCTCGAGCAGAATAGTTGCGATCTTGCAAATATTTGGATGCTAGAATCAAACTTGTCAGGAACATGCGGCGACCACATTGCATAGCACGACATCCGGATTGTCCGGACTGTCCTGCAGATGTGAGTGGCGGCAGACATTGCTTAAGCAGAATCAGGTAGTAGAGCGCGATTTGAAGAGTTGAATAACTTGTTTTGGATCGGCGGAGAGTCTCTGTGATGAAAACTCGTAATGGCAGTACATTGGAACCAGATGTCGGTACGAACTCCGGTTCCATAGAGCCATTTGTGCACCAAATTGAATTGATGAGGTTGGTGCAGAAGAGCACTATCATGCGCACAATAGCGTCCGTATGATCTGTGTCTCTTCGAAGTTGTGGCGGAGGTACAGCACCAATGGAACGACCTCGACGTCGCCTCTGCGATAAGTCATGATCCGTGCTGGATGCTGGCAATATTTGTGCATGTGGCTCCGCAGGATGTTCGAAACTGACGGGCTGTTGAAAAAGCTGCTGGGGTGGCTTCGGTCTGTAAACAACTTCTTGCTGGAGACGCTGCAGAGGCCTGGTGTTCGCCTTCACAGGTGGGGAAATCCGACTTGGAAGTTTGTACTCGTTTTCGAAGGTAGCAGTCGATGGCGATGAAGCCTCTTGTTTGAGCCATATGCCATTCGAGTCATCTGAGCCATAACTACCTGGCGAGGATACTGATTGGCCTTCTTGACTGTTTGAGCTTTTCGTTGACGTTTGAGAAAGACTATCACAATCGGATCCAAGGTCGGGGTTATATCGAGTTGAGTAGAGATTGAAGTTAGCAATCGTGTCCTCATTGGCCTTCAACAGGTTCACGGTTGAGAAATTCCCATAATGGAAATTGTTCCCGAAGGGTGTGGCTTGGAGCATTCTCTGCTGAAGAGCGAAGATGCTGGCCTTTTGTGTTTGGGTACTAGTGTTTTCGCCGGGTTCTTAGTGTGTAAGAACGAGGTGAAGAAGATTCGAAACGCGGTTTATGTGGTAAGAGTGTTCAAACGCGAAAAAAGAGTGTTGGTCCTTCACCAACCCGTCAAGCAACTCTGTGCTCACCGCTCCGGGCCTCAATTCCGGACGCGGTGAAATCCACCTAGCGATCAGATCTTCAAGAGATCAAGCCACGCGAGGAAACGGTTGTGAATTTGTTGTGCTTATCACCAATGTTGAAAGTCCTCCAGTAAAGCCTCGCGATTACTGAAAGGTCTGGCGACGAGCTGTTGACAGGTGGTTTAGGTTCAAAAAGTTCGTAGCGTGCCAAAACCATAGTTGATGTTTTGACAGAATAATTGAGTGGAGAGTAGAGGTCAAATGACCGAAATAGCAAAAGAGTCAGAGAAGGTGGTGACTCCGGATAAGGCTCTTGCGACTGGGGGTTTAATAAATCAGGTAGGTGTTCGTGGTTACTTGCGCATCTCTTCAAGGAAGGTGTCCTGTATAAACAAAGAGGTGAGATTGAGGAAGCAGGCTGTTCGTCTTTATAGGTGCTCGCCGCGATCGAAAGATGTGTAATGTGGGAGGTACCAGAAGTAGGTGAGGATATTAAGATGTGGGTAGGCTCTACGCCTAGTGAGGATGAGGACTCGGTTGGATGGTCAAGTGTGGTTTCTTGCCTTTGATGCATGGGTCGAGTCAGTTTCTATTCCACAAAACCGTGCCTAAGTAGCTTTTGACTTCACAAGAGTAACCATCATATCGTGCGGATATGTGTCACACTCTGGTACAGCTCGCGGCTTCTTTATCGACTGAATGGACGCACTCACCTTTAGTATTTGGCGCTCGTTTGAGCACTGCGATAAAGCGTTTCGTTCATGATTGTATGATTGTGAGGAGCGCAAGTGCCCACGAGCGTAGGACAGCAAGCGTTCTTATTCGGAGAGTGGCGATGGAGGCGAGGGCTGTGGAGGGCTTCGACTGGCAGTCGCAATGACTCAGTTGGGTCACTTCCTCCGATCGCGCCTAAAAATCGGCCTATTGGCTATGCTCCGGCTCTTGCCACCACATCAATTTTGATAAAACTAGGCAGGAAACAAACAGGCTGCAACGCCCGATTATTCTAACAACTACAAGCACGATTCGCTCTTGCTGTCTCTCCAGATTGAGTAGGTCATTCGCACTGCTGAAGCGACTTCAAATTTTGCGGCAGTCACTTCAAACAATTAGGCCAGGCAATTATGAAAGCACCATGAAGCTGAGTGTGATACAACATCACTGGTCTCACTTTTCCCAGCCTAGCCGACTGTGTTGCCATTTTTCACGAATAATTCACGCTCGTGCCTTTGACGTTACAGGAACCGCATTGTCTGCACATTCCTCAAACTGAACCCAGCCATTGCCTGTACATTCAAGTGTGCCTGGCATGAATCAGCGATAGTCCTACACCACTGTGACGGTGTCCCTTCGGTGGTGGGTAACTATCGAAATGTTACACGAACGTTGCCACTACCAAGAGTATGACTGATGCTGGGCTGACAGAAGCAGGCAGGCAGGACAACGCCATATTTCGGAAAGCGTGACAGCGTCTGCCTGCCCATGAACTGAAGGGGTGGTTGCATGCAACCAGATGACGAAAACGATGAAGGTTGCCTTGGCTGACCAACGAGTGGTCACCTGTATGCATCTGAGAACCAACCTAAGTGCATGAGTCAAACAGGATGTTGCCGTTGTTCAAGAATGGTCACGACGTTAGGGGGGTCGGGCTCTTTGCCGTGCTCGATGAACTCCAATTTCTTCGATGATCATGCCCTGGTTACCGACGCTATTGCTACACTGTCCAATCATCAGCTGTACAATCTTGGCGGTAAGCATGACCTGGAAGTTGTCCATCCTTCCGATTTTGTGCATGCCGAGCCCGTTGAGCACTGCGGCATTTGTAAGCGGAGTTCGGACGTCGTCGTACGAAGCACGCAACATACCTCGCTATACTTCGTACTTGGTGGATATGTTTTTTCGTGCCAAATGAGTGAAAGTGAAGATTGTCCATAATACATACCATTCTCCCGATCTGCCGCATTTTCTGATGCTCGCATATATTGTCCATGCTTGTGCATCTGTAACGCACATCGACGTGCTAGTGATAGCAGACTTGGACCAGCTAGAAATCGTCCCAATTTGTGTACACCAGGTTAAAACCATACATTCCGAGTAATCCTCGTGCCATGGTTCGATTGTGCTTCTTTAATGCTTGTCGTTATCTAGTACTCGATCATCATGGAGAGCTAGACAAGCGAGGTAATGGTGGGCAAGCTTGCTGGCGTCAGTGCTACATCTTTTACATTGCTAGCAGTCCTCCAGTCGGCTCTCGAAGCATTATACTGAACAGCTGCATTGGAGTGCAAAGCCCTGGCTGGCACTAGTCAAAAGGCTCGGAATAATGCATTGTGTCACAGAACAATCCTGCCGTAGCATCAATCAGTAGTGGATAGTCGAATGGAAACTTCCGATCCTAGATCAGATCACATTCGTATTGTCGCGCCAGATACTGGACCTGTAATATGCTAGATTTGCATGCATCCACTGTCCGCTGCCCTTCCGTCAACCTTGCAATCTTCTACAATCCCAAGACCATGAGGCCAGCGGACTCCAGGCCTGTCCATGTTGATCGCTCCATCGACATATGTGTCCTGTGACATCGTTGGATGGTCACTTTTTGAAGGCTACATTTTGAATCGAATAAGCCCAGGGCCTTGATGTTACTGCCGTCCCGACGACTCACACAGACTGCATGCAACCACAATATGGCCATGAATCAAGTCAAGACTATGATCCCCCAAGACAGCCTTGCGCAGTGATAGCTCTATGAGGTACTAAGCAGTGCTGAGTCAATGGTGTGCGGGGCAGGCAGCCGTGTTGGTGAATGGGCGATCAAAGATACGGGCCTCGTGCTTGTCGTCCTCGGCGTTGGGTAGGCTGCAGCATTAGAAATTTCCGTAGTCTCGTGTTCTTTCAGTACAGCTCTTTCGATTAGTCGATGGCGTGCGTGACTTTCTGTGCAATCCATGAATTAAGATAAGCTTCATGATCACATGGTCATCTGAGTAGTGGTACAATCGTGGCCGCAGAATGTTCTGTCAACACTAAAAGTATGGCGTGTAATGGATTTACCGTCACTTCGGTCTCAGCTCCATTATGACTCAAGATGTTGCTCACCCGTTAGCAAGAAGGTATGGTGCAACCGCAAGGTGGACTGTTCATATCGTCAGGACTCGTTTCTTGAGGAAGAGAGACGAGCCTTGAGGCCAGCTCATACACAAACGCGGCAGATGACAGCGGCAGCCGTATAACTTCAACTTGCACAAAGACGGGTTTCTGTCTTACCAAACTCCTGACATGTCTTCGCAGAATCTGGACTCCAGTGAGGTACGAGCATAAGTAGGAGCCACAGCACATAATTTTGTGTTACTGGAAGGTTAGACGTGGTTGGGCAGGAGAGGGCAGGTCCCTTGTGAGTGCCGGTGCTGGGATTGAGACCTTATCACATAAAACAATCTCAAGATCAACATATTATTAGTCTCGCATCCGGCTTGAGTTATGCCATTGGGCCAACGTTCAATCTGTGCAGCGATCGCTGTCAGTATTTGGTGATATAGCGTCCTGTCAGATGTTTGAAGGAAGGTGCATGCATTTATGGACCATGGTGCAGGATATCTGGACACCACAAGGGAAGAGCCTCTGCCAACCCATCGTACAAACCAACATGATCGAATTGTCTTTACGGCATCCCTCCCATGCCACAGTGTGTAATGTCGGTTGGGCTCGGACTTGTGAGGACGAACACTGCGCGATTTTATAGACTGAAGACGACCAAGCTGTTTCTGATAATGTAATTGGCTGCACAAACATGTGGCCGCATTGTTTCGAGCGGCCAGCACGTCGTTCAAGACTTCGAACAATGGTTTGTATACGTGATTCTCAACTTGAAGGCTCACCATTCACGAGCAGTGCACTGCCGACAATGTACTATATTTAACTACGAAGTGTGTATTCTTGCTCGCACGTATACTGATACTATAAAATACTATACCTTCACTGACTCGAGGGTGTTTACGAAAGAGGTGCTGCAACATAGAGGGTATCTAAAGTAGCGAATGGCGATTGAGCTTCGGTAAAAGAGAATGCCTGCGCAAACGCCTGGAAGCTGTCAGCACGAAGTCTCAACGATATGATACCTGGTCTCTTGCAGTCTTGCTCAATATTAACCGCAGGCATTTCATGCTATTTGGCCAGCATAGCTATTTCAATAATAATGCGCCATCTCTAGTCCAGCTCTTTTGAAACCGCACTTGACATAGAAGCCCTCATTGGCCTCGCTACAATCCAAGATGCACTTGTAGCAGCCTACGTTCTCAGCGACGTGATCTAGAGCCTGTATGATTCGTAGACCAAGCTTCTTGCCCTGCTGATTTTTGTCTACAGCAATGTCCTCGATGTGTCCGACCAGACCCATGTTATGGATGAATTTTCGCTCAACAATGACTGCGCCTGTTCCAACGACTCGTGAAGTCGAGTCGCAGATAACGAGGATATAGTAAGTTTCCTTCTGCGAAGAAATAAAGTCGTACCGTTCGGTAAATGCCTGCGCGGAAGGTTCGCCAACAGTGGTAAGGACTCTCAAGCAATCGAGATAGCCTGTAGTCGAGTTCAGTCATGTTCAAACGCGCAGGATCTACTTCACACACCTGTCTTGTAATCGCTCCTCCTCAAAGGTCTGATTGTATAACCCACTTCTTGCAGACTTGCTTTTACTGACGGTGAAATGAGCGAGTCTGAGAACAAATCGGCTTCCTCTGTGCCGTTTGTGGCTGGTGCAATTTGAGATTCCGCTTTCTCTTGTATAACGCCATTTGTGCTTATCTGGGAAGCCTCTGACGGAGTTTGTAGTTCAGCCATGGTTGTGGTTGAAAGATTCCTGCGTGCTTGACCGGGTTCTCTGTAATGGTGAGCTAGGAAAGAATGTGTCGCTTTGAGCCTCCCAGAGGCAAGCCGTGGTCAATGCACAAAGGAAGAGGCCAACAGTCTGTCACAGTGTATGCAAATGCAAGTGACTGAAAATCCGGAGCCTTACACAAAGCACTTCGGCGTGAGCACGCATGTCATGCAGGGTCCAATCTCGAAACAATCGTTAAGATGGCGTTCAGATCATCGCTAAAATTACTGCGGAAGCTGCAGGTACCCGTCCCTGCCGCGATCGCTCAAAATTGAGGCGGATTTCTACACACAGTAATTACGCAGAACATTAAACTTACTCTCCATTCGGGCGAACAGCTTTGCTAATCACCAGGATTACTGGTATTGTGGTTGCAAGAAAGTTATACTTGACGGTGCTTCGTTGTCCAGGCCGCAAACCTCCTTGAACTTTCCAAATTGTTCGCCCTTTTTACGAACCATATCGGCCCATTGGGCAAAGCCAACCGAGTATGCTAGACCTCCACCTTTCATCCTCTTCTCGAGATCAAATACACCATCGTTGATGAACAAACGCACATAAGATCTTCTCAGATTCTTTGCAACTCCGGTATTACTGCAGGTTACCTTCTCAAATATTAGCCTGCCACCCATCGGTACCACATCACTCGTTCTCCATCTCCGTTTATCTTTCCTCTTGTCATTCGGCAAGAAACTCGCATTGCTTGTTTCGTCTAGAATGCCCAACGTAGTGAGTAAAGGAACGATGTCACCGTCATGCACAAAGCTGAAATAAATCCCTCGAGCCGTCTCATTTGCCATCAACGTTGTCGTCGCATTGAGCCACAGCCAGCCCATCGCTCCTGCGAATTCATTGCCAGATCCTGCTCGGTAAAAATGCAGTAGATCACGACCGTACTCAAAGTCTAGCCACTCCTCTTGCGAGAAGATATCACACCATCGACTCGACCCTACAGCTAGGGTCTCAAAGCCACACATCTCCATCATGCTGTAGATCTCGATTGGGGTCAAGGCTAGTCCGCCTGCGTCCTCTTTCAACCGACTGATAATTGGTTCAGTAAAAACATTCTGCCAGACATTTAGTTCACCGTATCCACGATCGTGCCCATAGACCTTATCGTTCATGTACCTTAGGCAAGTCGAGCCTGGCGTGAGAGTATCAGCGCCTCGATCCGTTGTTTCGGGGATAATCACGAGCTGGGCAGAATTGTCTTGTTCCCATTTACTGCCGAAGAAACCGTTGGCAAAATGCTTGGCTGTCTCAATGTCTCTGTGTGAACCACAAGACCACAACTTCGTCGTGCGCTCAGAATCGATGAGCTTGTCATACTGCTTCCGTAGTTTACGTCCGGTATTGGTCGCTTGCACTGTACCTGCATAAGGTCCTTCAGTAGTAAGATTCTCGAAGTCTGGATCGTCAAAGTTGGTAAAATACTTCCAGTCTTTGACGAAATCTAAATTTCCCGACAGTTTGACACCCTTCGCCTGCAGTCTTTGCAACAGTCCTAAATGGCGAGCCCCTGCATTTACAGTAGGGAAGCGCTCTGCATGCCGGGACATCATGTGAACCTGTTCGACTTCACATTTCAGCGGTAGTCGAGTCACGTCACCTTCTGGCGTTCGTGGAATCCAGGGGCCATTTCCGCCAAGATGGTAGAACAGATCCCATTCCTGTTGTGAGTATATGCCAGAGCAGACTGTTGCTAGAATTGATGGATAACAGATCGTTTGTTGTACCCACGGGAAGTTATAGAGCACGAAAAAGAACGCTAGGAACGTAACGGCGACAACGACCACGCGCAAAACCATTCTGCGCTGGGTAATTGTGAGATACATTTACTTTCAGGTCGGTTTCGTATCTGCATCACCACACACAAATCTGAATGAACTTTGCAGGGAAGATGTTCTGTTGTGGTGCAAGAAGCGGATCGTATGAAATACAGGATGTAATGATGTAACGTATCGAAATTACCGTATTTGGTATTATCGATCATTCAAGTCCAACTCACCTACAGTACAGTCTTTGCTTTTCAGAAATCTGACGTTAGCGCCACAATTGAAATTGCAAGTCGTGCGATGGATGCTCGTCGTACATCATCTTGATTGTTTGCGAACTATTGTTGGCCGGTAAACGGGTTGTTCCTCGACAGGGGACGCTGCAGCGTATGACTGCCAACACCTTCAGGATTTGAGGCAATGGCGTGCACAACCCAATGAGAGGTAACAGAGTAGGACGCCCAGTGCTTACTCTCTAACAAGAGGGTCGGCATACAGGCTTAGCGTAAGAGATACCTGAAAGATCTGCAGGGGTCAGATGCAAAGGCTGAGCTGTACTGTACATCCCATCATCAGCGAGTATGACTACACTTATACCAAGCATAATCATCGTCCAGATCTGGCACACCCGATGGAGTACGCTTCAAACAGGAACAAATGTACAAAGCGGGCGTGCTTGACCGATTGCAATCTTAGCTAGAGTGTATGCACACACAGCCGATGGACTTCCCAAAGAATTATGCTTCGGTGAAGCCTTGTGAAGCCCAGGAAATGCAACCTGGAGGCGTGAGCCCTAAGCTCTCTTGGGCTTCTAGGATGGGGATCTGACTTGTACCGAGTCACTTTGTTAGGAAATATCACTCTGACGATCTACAAAGCATGAATACCATAGACCTCCAGCTCCTGAGCTCGCTTCTTTATCTATGGTACGCACAATCAACCAAGCTTGCTTCGTCGAGGTTTACACTCAAAAACAGCAGAGTACGACAAAGAATGGACAAGAAAGAGGAGAAGAAAGATATAGTACGTGACGTTCTGCTTTGACCATTGGTGATGACCCCAACGACGGGAGGACTCCGAACAGTGGTTTGCAAGATCTTGCATGAAGCTTTGACTATCGTTAGAGAGCAACTCCGAGGAATTGATATTGTCACAGCATTCTGTCTCCAAGACCCGTCGCTTTGACATACGTGGCTTGCACTTACACACCGGACGTTCTTTTGATTTCCACTTGTGCCGGCCTATCAAGCCACAGCCTTCACCAGCGCACCCGTGATTAAGAGAAGATCTTGTAGTGAACACTGCGTCAACAGCACTATCAGCAATGGGGTATTGCCGACGGACTTGTACTCCGGATGCGTCACAGTGGCTTTTGTGGAACAGATGCGTACATTCGTTCTAGCCCAAGGGACGAAGTAAGAAACATACAGTCTTGTGTGTAGCACCAATACAATTTGCCCTGACTCAGGCATGGGACAAATACCTACGAGTACTAGTAAGTACTTTCGGGGAAGGAGCAATTTGAGGCAAGAACGGGCGCTTGCCTTTTGCCCGAAGCGTCTGGCGAATTGCGGGTCGCAATCCGATCAGAAGCCTGTCGCCAATTTAGGTTGAAGCCAAATCACATTGGGCTTAGCTGAGAGTGACTACGACCCGTGTCTGCGCGGTCGAACACTTCCAAGGTTGACGAGATGTGGCATCGCCATGCTTGACTGGCATCAACACCAGACGACACACCGAGTACGCTGATCAACCGTCGACCATATTGGTTAGCAACCTCAGACATAGAACTATCAAATCGGCAAAATCTCTATGAGTACGTGATTGGAGAGCAGGATAAGCTTTGATATACTCTAGGGTGCCTTCGTGGTAGCACGAAAAAGACTACGGTACGATCGAATCAAACTAGTCCGGTGACCGCCACTCCAGAGCTGGATGACACCATGGCTGTCGCTTGTCTTTACTGGTTGATGTCCTTGGCTTTCCACGTTGAGGGCGCCTCTACAGGTACCTTACGGCGTCTGCAATCTCCTTATGTTTGCACGATAAGAGTATGACTATTCTGCGCCCTCTGATATCACGACTGCTCCGTGGACAACTAAAATGGCCACGACGTAAGTTGTCTGGTCCTATCACGACCTAATAGGAAGAAAAGCTCCAGCGTGCTCGCTAACAAAGAGCTATTGACGCGCAAACTTCCTGCTTACCAGCCGAAGTCTAGCCGTTCAACGGTTTCACTCTCAGGCGATCTTGTTAGGTTGTGTTCACCTTCTGTCTGTTTAGCATGAATTATGCTTGAGCTACTGATGGTCTTCGTCGGCAACAGACAATGGCACGTGCTGGTCACTCCACAACATATAAACTTTCAGGAAGCAATGACACGCCAGGACGCTTTCGGACCTTGTATCCTTCAAAGCCACGGCATAACAGAGAGGCGTTTTCTGTTCCGTGTCACAATGTCATTATACGTCTATACGTTGAGGCTGTTCTCACTCGGACTGCTTGTCAAGACGTTGAGAGCACTTTACATTGTGTCTGTTGTTGCTGGATCATGAACACGTGACTGACAGACTATGTACCTGTTTGCAAAGTATATCGCTCTGAGTTCAAACTCACGGAGCATGAAGTCTTGCTAGTACTTCCGAGGTTTAGTCTGAAAGAAGTACCAGGTAAGAACCATAAATCTTACACCCCTCGTTACGCTTTTTGAGCGCTGCGATTGGTGACGATTCTAGTGCTGGAATAGGACGTACGTTCGAGATCCCCGACAGTCAAATGCTACTCCATCGCATTAGCGAAGCACAAAGCCGACGTCGGGTTGTCAGGCTATCACCGTCCCTGTCGCGTATAAATACGAGTACTGTACAGCCACAAGCGCGGCCAGGTTGCGGATTTGCAGCTAACACTTTGGCCAAACATTCAAGATGATCTGCAATGTCCGCATGATGGTCTCGCCGAGGAAATAATGGCCCGAACTTACACTGCCAAGAGTGGAAAGCCTTGCAAGATCGAAGCTCTAGACCATCTACCTCTGGACATTATTGCAGCTGCTTCTAAATACCATGTGTCTAATGATTCTGATTCCGCTTCCGCTTCACGGGATGCTACAGCTGCGCTGACTCGAAAATGTATGATGAGTGATCCCAAAGCACATTCAGAAATGCCACCAGCGCCTGGGCTGCAGCTACCAAAAAACGACTCCAAGCTAGCAGGGGATACGCCCCACAGCACATTGCACAGCGACTGTCAGGGCTCATCTCAAGGCTTCTAACTTTTCCCTATGGGTGCGAGTCATGCTAAAGAGTTGTGCGGTCATTGAAAGATGTCAGACCAGCACCGCCTACAGTACTTGGCTGAGCTCTTAGATTTGACTAGCACGAACTTTCTACGCTTTGCTACCATATTGATAGGCCAATCGTAAGTACTTCTGTACGTAGGGTAGCTTGAGGAATGGTGAGGACGAAGTGACTGGGGACATCGAAATGAAAGTTCGTGCTAACTGACTAGCCAGCATTCGATCAAACACTGTAGCACCAAACGTGGACTACGCACAAATCAGTGCTTCTATGATGCGAGTTGACCACTCTCTTCACGCCCCTCCATGCAATACGGTAAGCTGCTTCAGTCTTCCAAACATCATCCCACACAATGTAACAAGCATTGCTCGTTACAGATGCAACCACCTGCCTCGATAGAACACGTACAATCAGCAAAACGAATTGTTTCGGCTGCTTCGACCGCCTTGATCTCGAGGCGGCTGGACGTCGGGCTTTGTTTTGTCATCTCCCACGTCTTCGAGGTTATAGGTAGCCATCGAGAACTCAAAATTCAAGACGTCGCAGCTTCATGCCCTGTTGAGCGCATTCAAATGTGTACTGAGCGTCTTCTACCATTGCAAGAGTTTTGTCGCAGAAGTCTTGCAGAACAATTTGCTGTTTACAACGACTTGAAGGACTCTCTGAGAACATAGCTCTGTGCTTTTGTACTCTTGACTCAATGCGACTGCCGGGGCGTTGGGTCAACAGGGACGTGAGTGAAACACAAAGTCATTCAATACTTCTCTTGGATAAGGTCGGACGATTCTGTGGCATAGACTCGTTGAATGGACGCCGGTGTTGAGTTGCCCATATCACATAAACTGGCGATCAGTCCACAAGTCAGGCTTGATCGTAGGATCTGACGTACACTCACTGCGTTCGACTGCACCACCCAGAAGCGAACCTTAATAGCGAAATGTCGTCGGTCGACCCTACTCCTCATGCAGAGAACGATGCTGCATCGGCTTCTGGCAGTGATAGCAGAAAGCGGAACAAACTTGGGTACCATCGGACAGCATTGGCTTGTGGTAAGGGGATCCTAACGACGTTATAGAATCCGTATTGACGTTGCTTCCGCAGGGCACTGTCGTAGACGCAAGATACGCTGTATACCATCTCCTGAAGCTGACGAAGTTCGGTGCCAAAATTGCATACGGTTGCAAAAGAATTGTCAATTCTATCCAGTAGACCAGAACCCCGTGAGCACAAGGACATCACAGTCCGATTCTAGAGCAGATGACACCACAACTGAGTCGTTCACGGAACACGCTTCGACCTCACCAGACCTCCCTTCGAACAGTATAACCACCGCCCTCGACATGGCGAGCACAAGAGACCAAAGACCTTATCATGGAGCTTGGCAAAGCAGTATCGATGTGCGACAAGGTATGGTTCATGTGCTTGAGTTATGCTGGGCAAAATAAATTGACTGCGCGAAGTGACGCCGACCAATGCCGCGAACTGGCATCCATCAATGCAAGCGCGAATACAGACACAATCTCCCAGGCAAGAGTCTCAAGCAGCACATCCAGCAACTGGCTTCTGGGCTCGGAACAATGAACCAGGGGCTCTAATTTACAATCAACAACCATACCACCACACCCCCAATCCTGCGTCATATGAGCAACATACTCATCCTCTCTATAGCGACCTCAATCTGCACCAATCACAGCATCACTTACCGCAACAACAAGACTTCAACACCATTCCCGAAAGCATGGTACAGTCACCCCATGCTTATACACAATTCCATACCCACCGCGCACCACTTTTACGCAGCATGACAATGCCAGCCACGTACAATCAGCCAAGCAGTAACATGAGTATGGACGATCCCTCGAATGCACCTTTTGTATACGCAGGCAGTCAAAATGCGTTAGCTCAGCCACTTTCGATGAATGCGATGCAAGACCCGAACTTATGGGCGATGCAGGACCAGCAATCGCAGATGTTTGGTCCAGGCCATCCGCCTCCACAGAACGACAGAAGATACAGCGAACATCCCAGCTGAGAAATGGTGGGCTACATATGACTTGATATTTACTCAAAAGCAGTTTTGGAAGACGAAGTGTACACCCTCAGCCTCAGGCGAATCTCGCATAATACTATAGAAGATGCACCACACATTCGCAAAGGCTCTTCGTTCACAACAAAAAAGCACAATATAAGCCTCAGTGCAGAAGAACTGCTTCGGCAGTGGGAACTTTGGCGCAAGTTGATCTTGTCAAGAGGATCAATTCACAAGATGAGGCAGATCTCAACTGACAGGACCGGAAGTCTTCATCTGCCCCCATCTGGTATGTATGAAACTTACGCGGTCATTACAACAAAAAGTCTTTTTCAAGAACAACAGTCATGGATTGTCCATAACACCGTTTCGTCGACGTTTCAGTCAAAACCTGAGGACGTCCGTGGCAGCCACGTTTAGTAAGACTTCAACTTTGTTCGTGTAGAGCAGCATATGTCCTGGCAAATGTTCCGTGACAGCCACTCACGCCCTGACCACGTTTCGCAACTCCAAGAAACTGGACTCAGATTAAGCGATGCTTACAGGTCCGATGTTTCAACTCAAATAAAAACGTATTCCAGCTCGTCATGTTGAACCAGTCTGGACACGCCATGAGCGTAGGAAGTAGATATGTCATTTGGTATATCTTCAAGTCGCGAAATGTATGTGCAGCACCCTGGACTAAATCTAATGCTGTACGATATCAAAATGGTTGTGCATCAACACAAGTGTCAACAACACTATTCACCACGATAGTATCTTCGTCCTCATCGTCGCCCTCCTCCTCCTCCTCCTCCTCCTCTTCCTCCTGCCGGATCCTGTCTTGCTTCTTGCGCAAGAAGTCCTTCATAAACTGGCGACCTCTTCTCTCAGAACCAACCTCTTCTGCACTTTGCAGCACACTTCTTCTGCGGCCCACCCCGACAAATTTCCCCTCTGTGTCAAAGACATGTTTTCTAGGCTTTGTCGTGGTTCTCACGCTATAAACAAGTCTACAATGCAGAGCTTGCAACGCATCCTTTGCTTTTGTTCTGTGCATATGGCTTGCACCGGTATCTGCGATAGAAACGAAGAGGGAATGGATAGTGTCCGAAAGGGAATCGACATCAGCATTGAAATCATTTTCGTCACTACGACTGGCGAAGGTGGAAGGAGGATAGCCGTCAGCGATAGTGGCGTCAAGAAGGGTGGTCAGGCAGGTCAAATTGCGATAATCCTCTGCTGTCGTTAAAGTTGAGCTTGGATCCTTAGGTGCAAAATGTGGAGATTTTGAGACATACGTGGCCAGGAAACTCAGTGAAGGTTGAGCTATGAATTTTCGCGCTCGCTTGGAGCCGAGGGAGAAGCTTGCTGCGAGGCAGAGACGTAACTGAGCCACTGTTGAAGTGGTTGGGGTGAAATGGCGCAGAAATTGCGTTTGCAGGGCTGGCTCAGTAAGATTTTCTGCAAGGTCCGAAAGGAGGCGCTCGTGGACGTGGTTTCGGGAGGCAGGATCGGGGAGACTGGCAATCCGCTGAAGAAGATCTTCGACAACTTCGCATATTTGGTTGTTATCCATGACAACGTCATCAAGAGCAAGTCGGGACAGGGTCGAGCATAACTTGCTAAGTGTCACAAAATCCATGTCCCGACATATCGCAGCAAAAGTCCTGAGAACTTTAAGCAAAGGCTTGAACTCTTGCTGTCTAAAGGGGCGCCTAGCTTGCGCGTGTGATCTTATTGGCGAGGCATCTTGAAGGGCTTCCGGCTTTGCACCCAGCATTGAAAACGCACTATGTACGTCGCTGGGTGTGACGTTAGCTCGTGTCCATTGTGAGCTAGCAATTGATAGACAGTTCAAGTACGACTCCTGCAATTCGTCTTGCACCTCCGTGAGCGCGGAATCGAATGTCCATTGGAGTGCTTCGTCGGAAAGAGCACCGCTTTCAGTAAGGTCTGCCATCAAACCCGACAGGTAGGCACGATTTTGAGAGTCCACATCTTCGGGTTTCCACATTGAAGCCGGGATATCTTCCTTCGGGAACACGACCTTCTTGCTTCTCCTTTTTGTTGAAGCTCGTGGACCTAAACGGTCGAAAAAAGAAAAGACTCTTTCACCCGCCAAGACCTCTGTACGGTCGACAGCGTCCACCAGCCGCTCAAGATCCTTAGTTGTGGCGCCACCGTCGTCTCCTTTTAGGATAGCCGCAAGCATCTTCTTGTCGCGTTCGGCCTCTCTCATAGCTTCAACCTCTTTCGCAGAAGTTTCCACTTCAGCATTTGCCTCGGCCATCCGTTTCTGTGCCTCCCTATCCTTGACCTCTTCAGCAAATATAGACGACATGCTCAATGAATTTGCTTGATCAGTCCTTTTCAGTTGTCTGATCTTCTGTCTTCTTGCTGCCGTATCTGAGAGTCCTCCGGTGAACATGCTGAGTAGCCATGTGCCCTCCTCTTCCGCGGTCATGGCTTTGTCATTTTTAGAAGAGCTCGCGTGCGCAGTAGTCTTCTTTTTCCGGCTGAATATCTCCGTGAGATCCTCAAGTGAATCATCGGAGTCGGAATCGAGTACAACAAGTAGTTTGTCATCTTTTACCACTCGACGACTAGAGTTGGGGACGTTAGAAACAGAGAAAGAGGAAGATAGGTTTGGCGAATTCACACGTTCCTGCGTCGATGGCTCTACAGGCGTAGGCTGTTGAGCAGGTGTAGGTAATTTGCTGGAGGGACTTCGTATTGATATCGAGATACGCCTGTCGCTTCTTGGTGTAGTCACAGAGCGACTCGCTGATCGGGATGGTGCGTGTCTCGATTTGCGAGTATCGTGCTTGACAGTGCGTATACTGGAAGGTGTAGCAGGAGCATTTGTGTTTATGTCCAGGACTATTGTATCATGGTCTGGTTCAGGTGTTGGCCGTTTCTTCGGTAGCATTTGTCCGCGCGACCGGAAGAAGTCGACAATATTGAAGTCACGAGACTGCGACATGACTATAGGAGTAACGGGAAACCAATGACTGAACCTCCATGATCAGCTTAACATATTTGAAAACATGATGAACCACGCAACTCCAAAATACAATACTAGTAGTTTCAAGACGCGCTTGATCGCGTTCCGGAATCGTGCTAACTGCTCCGGAGGACGCGCTCTAAGTTGTACTTGCCGATGCAACCCTCAGGCACTAAAACAACAGAATGAATAGCAGCCTTGATGCCTGAGACGCGAAGCTCTACGTCTTCCTCCACAATCACGCTCACGATTCTACTGAGAACCCTGATCGTCATTCGCGTTTAGAAGAATATTCAGGCATTTAATACAATCTCACAATGAAATCTTACTACTACTGTGAGCTTAAGGATAAGATGTCCACCTTACAGCAAATACAAGCTCTAGCGACCATGCCGATTCCCCACGAACCAGCACTCCAGTTCTTGCCTTTATTGTGGGGCACAAAAGAACAAAGGGGGATTGCCATGGTTGCTACAAAGCAACAAAGGATGCGCAGGCGTGATGTATTATGAACCAGTGTCTTGCCGTTGATACTCTTTGTGAAAATATCCCAGATATGTCTGATTAAGTCGAAGAGACTAAACTGCAATTATGTATATTATGATCACATCCTGGATGACATGATCCACAGAAAGCTAAGTCCTCTCGTCTTATTACTTACTATACCGAAACTCTTTGACATTATGCACTGTCTGTTTGGCTGTGGCCCTCATCACGAGCAGCGGGAGAATCACAGGCGGGAGGCACTTAGAGAACGCATGCTTCGTCAGGCTCATGAAGACAGAGCGCATTGTCGAGTGGAGACCACCTCTAGTAACCACGAATATGGTCGTGCTGGCCACGATCATGCTTTATCTCATCGTCAGGCTACGTCTACTCATCAACGACAGTCCCGCGGAGAACATTACCATCGACTACATGATTCTCCTATAACGAGAAGGCGTACGGTCACTAGTCGAACCCACCAACATGGCCTTCCCAACGTATTCAATTCAGCTACAGAAAGCACTTGCGGTTCGTCAGTCTCAACAGCCTTCCCAGAAGAGGCCCGATTTAGTCAATCGCCACAACATGGAACAGCTCAGGTAATATCTGCCACTCCAGGTTGGCATCAACATCGTTGGGAGCGAGTGATGCCGGACATTGCTGTAAGTCCGATACCTGGAACACGTCGAAGACATTCAAGTACAACCCGTGAGGATAGTTCTCGACTTACTTACTACAGCAGACAACCATCTCGTTACGTGTCTCCAGCCCTGCAACCGTATGGTGCCGAGAATTCGAGACATAGGAGAACCGGTGGTGGTGGACGTTACGATAGCAGACCACCTCAGCCCGTCGGGCATTGCCCACCTGGCTGGATCTGAACTATGACATATGCTCAATGTGGCTACGACCTTACAAGGCTTCCAACCGTGCAGGAATGCATGACAACTGATATGTTTTGGATGTGCAAATACATGAGTCCTCTGTTATGCGATCGTTCCAGTAGGTGTTCAATAGCGTTGCTAACACATTCCTCTTGTCAGCTACCATTTTCTTCAAAGGTCACAGCCCTTGAGTCATAGCTCTTTCCATTGACTTGTTCTGAATATTTTGCAGAGCCACCAACAGGCATTTTCCTCCGTTTGTGCAATTGGCTCGACTATCATCGGTTACCACCCTTATGTCCTGGTGAGAATCACATACACATAGGTAATGATTACTCGTTCGGTGCTGCCGCTACCAAATGGTTGATCGCTGTGGAGCCTTCGGACCTGACGATATCGTAGTAAAACTAGAGAAGATCGCGAGGAGGTGCTGTCGTAAAGTGACTGATTGCTCGAGTATAGGTTCACGGCCGATCGACTCGCTGATCTCAAGTTACCCCAGGGGGAGCATCAACGAAACCTTGTTCTTTCTCCACCGACCAATGGAGTATTTGGGACTCTCGGACAACGTTCGTCGGATCGAGATCTCGCTTCCGGACCTTCGCCTCAACCCAGCCACACCGAGTGATAATATTCCGGGGCACCATATTGCACAATAAGCGACCCCACGAGTTTTGCACTCTCCATCGTAGCGGCAGCAAGCAGACTGATGTGTCTTTTTGCGACAATGAACACTCTCATTCAGCAGTCAATACTTGTCACCGTGAGGTGTCAGTTATCCTCACACTGTGTGTAGCGACCATCATGGTGCGCGTTCATTGAAGCTGACAAAATGCTTCACTCCAAAGGAGAGGCGACCAATGCAAACTATGTCAACGCAGGACTATCTCTATTCATCCTTTTTGCTCGACTCATCGCATCACGATGGCGACGCCGGCCTCTCGACCTCAGCTTCTTCTTGGTGGTTCTGTCAATGTTGCTTATGATCGCTCGTGTGGTTGTCATAAACTATTACTTGCACCTCGGCATCGCTTCCGAAGCCATTCGCGAAGGGCCCGAGTATCTCAATGAGCACACCTTATCGGACATCGAAAAGGGCACCAAGATGTGGTTCGCCGGACGTGTGTTCATTACGAGTATACTTTGGCTTCAAATTTGTCTATTGCTTCTCTTCTACAACAAGATTTTGACTGGTTTGCGATGGGCCAGGTGGATGGTTAGGTTGACATGGGCTGTCGCCGGCTTAACGTATATTGCTACCGTACTGGCTGGGTTCCTCGAATGTCGACCTATACATCTATGGTGGCAGATTGACAATCCAGGAAAATGTGTTCTAGGCTACGCTCAACTGGTCACGCAATGCGTTAGTAACATCGTACTTGATCTAATGCTGCTGGCCACCTCTTATCCTATCCTACTAGTTCACGGACGATCCTGCGGTCAGCATTTACGAGTCGGCGCACTTTTCCTGCTTGGTACGTTCTGTATCGTTGTCAATGCTGTGAGGTTGGCCTCGATCTACAGCCTCAATAGCTCTCAGCCAACGAGAACGATATTGGCAGCGGTCCAGATAATTGTGTCCATATTTGTGGCAAATACACCAACAATATATGGCGATATCAATGTTGTATGGAAGACGAGGACTGAAGCCAAGAAAAGGAGGGAAAGTAGACCTGAAGCTTGGAGCACTATCGACAGTGACGCAGGCACTGTCCGTACGTATGGAAGAGAACAGCACCCGGCCAGGATCCATTCTCGAGACAACGATAAAAGCCAAAGCGAACATGCAGAAGAGGTTGAATGCGCAAACATGGGTCGACCATCCGCGGAAAGTGCCGCGTAGCAGCACTCTATCAGGACATCAGCAACGATACAAGCGCTGGAAATACATTATAGGTTTCCAATTTCGCCATGGCAAACGTCGAGCTTCGCTGCTGAACAACCATACCATTTTAAGGTCTAAGCCCTCATTACAGGCGGGCCTAGTCTCACTTGAATTCCAGCAACTATTTCAGTTGCAGCACCTGGAGGTCCTAATCGACACTCCCTGGAAACGTCATCTTGATCGCACACTGGCGATCGACGCATTCACCGCCCAGAGCCGGGTGATATCATGAACACGCGGTGGTGGGAATATACTGCCGCCACCAAATTTAGTCATGGCTTGTACCCGTACCAAATACAGCATCGAAAGGATCCCGCCACAAATCCTGCAGGTGTAATGTCACAGTACAGATAATCGTAACCCACAATCAAGCTTCGGCGAAAATTTCTGGTAGAAGAAGGGGCACGAGGGAACACGTGGCCAAGACGAAAATATATGGCGGGTGATACAATGCAATGAGAACCGTGGCGATGGCTGTTGTCCTTGAAGAGGACTACAAGATTCCGGGAGCAGGTATTCGGGAGGAAATTTAGAGGCAAGACAGATGCACACTTATTGGATCAGGGGGAGGAATGAGTGGCAGGGTACATGACAGCGACATGACAGAGAAGAACGCCAGAGTTAGGCAGCAACGTGCCAATGTCCTACGGACGCTACACACTTTCAGGAAGACAACTATCGAGCAAACTCGGCTGCAAGAAAGAGTATTTCGGAATTACGAGCTCGTCCTTTAAGAACTCCTCGGCCGAAATCACCACTAAGGATATGCTAAATCAAAATTGGACGCCAGTCCCCAAGCGCACGTTTTGGGGTATCATAAAATCCACAATTCCAAGCAAGAAGCCAAGTAATTTCATCCTGAACGCTGTTCCTTGTCGCTATGGTTAATAAAGTGCTCATCCGTCTCTACTAAGCTCTGACAACTTATGTGGAATCCAGCAATTTTTCGACACTCTCCATTATTGCACCTGCTGTGTCTGCCGGGTGATCATCGGCTGGCGGTCCATTCTTCTCATCCTTGATGATACCTTCCTTTTTCTTCTTTTCTTCGTCCAGCATAGGGATCTTGTCAACGTCCTTCTCGCCTTCTTTGTCGACAATAGGATCAGCAGCGGGCGTCATGCCTGGTGAGTTCTGCATGCGTGCCATTTCTTTCTTCATCTGCTCAAGCTCTTTCTGAAATTTCTTTCCAAAAACATCCATGTAGTAGTTGGCGCCGTTCCAGACGCTCCAGCCAAAGACAAAAAGGAGGAAGCCGGCACTTGCCCAACGATACCAGAACCATATCGGGCAAGGAATGATGGTGAGACAGGCGTATGAATACTGAATGAACATGAAGGCTGGTTCCTGGAGCGCATCGGGCAGCGCAAGGACGATTTTGCCAATCCAGGTTTTCGCGTATGATTTACGAAGCCATGTGAAGGAGGTTGGACGACCAGCAGCGATTTGGTCTCTGCGCCTAACAGTGATCAAGAAGTGATATGACAATTGCCACAGAGCGTAGGGAAGGGTAGCCCAGGTGAGCATGGCCAATAGCGAATAGTGCTCGGGGGAGCCTGGTGGAGAATATTTGATGTTAAAGATCGCTGGGAACCGATCGTGGAGGAGATCCGGCGGTGTCAGGTGAACCAGACAATGCAAGACAACAGGCGGCATGAGGTGAATGAAGAGAGATGTGACCTTGTCAAAACTGTGAAAGACCAAGCTGTTTCGCCACATGACAATAGCGACTGCGTTGTTGCCATAGGTGAGGCAGTAAGTGCTGATGAACAAGCGTTTCGACCTAGGAAATGCCCATATGGTCAGAAGGCACAGAGCATTGACGAAATAGCACAGGTCGGCTAAGAAATAGTGGTAGCCTTTGCGGTGATAGGTGTAGAAGCGGATAGGCATAAAGTAGGCAAATTGTATAGTGAACCACCAGTAGAAGCGCTGAGGCATAACACCAATCAAGTAGCCACTGATAAAGATATTGAAGACAGCGGACATGAAGGAGATCTTCTCGCGAGTGGTGATTGTGACGGTCTCGGTCCAGCGCTTGTTGACGTTGTCCAGAGATGTTTTCATGCGCCTTCGATATTTTGCCAACCGTTCGTCGGCAGTAGGTACTCTCTTGCGCCATTCTGCTACCGCCTTGTCGCGCGCACTCGTTCCTTGCGATCTTATCTTCTGCTGCTGCTTTGCTAGTCGATCTTTCTGAGCACTGAGGGCCAACTGCCACTTTTCGAGTCTATTAGGTAGGGCGAGATTGTCAAAGACGTCGAAAATGGTGAGCCTGTCAGGAGGGGTCTCGTCTATCATGTCGTCTCTAGAGAAGTAAGACGAGTTGTTCCTCGAGAGTAGGGGAGGACTTCCAGGCGCAGAAGAAAGGTAGCCAGGTGTAAGAGGCTCCATGTAGCTGTTGGCGTCCGTAGAATCTGTTGTCGACGTCGTGGATAAGAATTGGCTGGCAGAGTCATCCTCTGGGATAGAAGGTTCCGATTTCTTCCTCGTAGGCTCTGAAGGAGTAGACATGGTGTTGACGGCTTGGAGAGTATTATAACGTGGCCTCAGTTAGGATGGACCAGGCGGCATGTACGTCGTCGAGTCTCGAATTAGCAGATGTATCCACGTGGCGCAGGCAGGTCAATATAGGCTACAGCACAAGACCGAACGATCACACGATCATGCGTCCATAGGCTGTTGTAATGGAAGTCCCTTGCGATCGTTCCGCGACTTTGAGCACAGATACACAATTATACACGTTGCAAAATGGTGGACCCGGAGTGGTTCACTTCTGTTGATATTATGAGGTCATCTGCCCCTGCCAGAGTGGCATCTTGTTCATCGAAAGCCTGGCCGCTTTTATCACAATGGCATTGACACGGCAGGTCTTCGCAAGGCCTAAGTGCGGCCTCCCCATGCCTGCCCTCGTGACTTTGAGTTCTACGCGAGGCAAGTGCGACGCGTCGCGGGTCGCGTGCATGCCACTTTCACTGGCTCTATCGCAACTTCTGTTTCTGTGCAGTCAACCTGTACGATCTTGTATCCTCACAGCGCCCATCAGACGTCGTCATGGGGAAGCTCATACGACTTGAGCTGTCAAGTAGGTTATTCAACAGTGTTGTGTTACAACTAAAATGAACACGCTAACTATTGCGCAGACTTCAAATCGTATAAAGGTCACCATGTTCTTCTTTTTGGCGATGCCTACTTCACTTCCATTATTGGCCCTAATGGTTCAGGCAAATCAAATTCGATGGACGCTATTTCTTTCGTCCTTGGTATCAGGTCCTCTCAGCTGAGATCATCGCACCTGACCGAACTCATTTATCGCGGACGTGTAATCAAGAAGTCTATCGCTAATGGCGACGGTGCAGATGTCGAGGACGATTCCCAAGTCGGCTCTCAGCGCGATGATCCCAGATCAGCTTGGGTTATGGCTGTTTTTGAGGACGATGCAGGCGAAGTGCAAAGATGGAAGCGTACCATTACTCAACAAGGCACTTCAGAATACAGAATCAACGATCGAGTCGTTTCAGCACAACAATACAACGAAGCTCTGGAAGGCGAGAACATACTGATACGTGCCCGTAACTTCCTAGTCTTCCAAGGCGACGTTGAGGCCATTGCTATCCAAAAGCCACAAGACCTTACACGCCTGATTGAACAAGTCTCTGGCAGTCTTGAGTACAAGGCTGATTATGATCGTCTGAAGGCTGAGCAAGAAGTCGCAACGGACCAGCAGTCCATACAAGTCAATCGCAGAAGAGGTATCAATGCTGAAATTCGACAGTACAAGGATCAGAAAGACGAAGCCGACAAGTACATGAACAAGGTCGAAGAGCGTGATAACGCCATTGTGTCTCATGTGTTGTGGAAGCTGTATCACTTACAACAAGAAATAAATAATTCCAGTATCGCAATTCAAAAACACCAGAATGAGATTCAGGAACTCAATCGAGGCTTGGACAGATACAATAAAGCGTTCGAAGCAGCTAAGAAAGAACACACGGAAGCTGGAAGGGAGGTTGCCAAAGCTGAGAAGGCTATAAAGGCTCAAGAAAAAGAAGTTGAGAACCAGGAAAACAAGCTCATACCTGTTAACGAACAGATCGAATTGTCAAACAAACAGTTGACAAAATATACCAATAGAATACAGACTATTCACAAAGAGCGGCAAGTACAGGCTGACCAGGTCGATACCTTGACTCGAGACCTAAGGACAGTTGAAAAGGCCCAGGCTCAATGGCAAGCTGAGTGGGACCAGCAGCAACAGCAGCGCCAAGGTGGCCAGCTCTCTGACGCTGATCTCAGGGAGTACAATCGTCTGCGAGAAGAAGTGAACAAGAGAACATCCGCTGATCAGAGTAGAGTGGCCGCGCTGAAAAGCGAACGTGCTCCACAAGAAGCTACCTACAACAACCTCAAGAATGGCCTCGAAAGTCTGGAATTCCGCCTACAATCACTAGAGACTGACCAAACGCGGCTTGATGGGCGTAAGTCAGACCTGTCACAGTCTGTTGATCTACTACAAACTGAAGTTGATGAAAAGCGCAACAAACTGGCTACACTTAATTCGCAGCGTCTCCAGGTTTCTAGGCAGCGTACGGAGCTGGAAGAGAAGCTACAAGAAGTTCTGCGTAAGATGAGGGACGCCGACGACGGTAAGCGTGCCAGCGACAAAGAGGTGCGCATCCGAGAAACTATAGCCACCTTGAAGAGAACTTATCCTGGTGTCAAAGGACGGTTACACGAACTTTGCAAACCGAAACAGAAAAAATATGGTGAAGCTGTCAGTACAGTCCTAGGTCGCCACTTCGACTCAGTCGTAGTCGACACTGAAGCTACAGCAAAGCAGTGTATCGAGTATTTGAGAGATCAACGTGCTGGCCAAGCCACCTTTGTTCCTCTTGACACCATTCAAGTCAAAGCTATTAGCTCGAACATGAAAGGCCTAGACCCTGGTGTGCGACTTGCAATCGATACTGTGGACTACGATAATGCTATCTCACGCGCAGTGTCATATGCTTGTGGCAACGCAATCGTCTGTGACACTCTTGATGTTGCTAAGCGTATGGTATACACTAAGGGCATAGAAGCAAAAGCTGTGACACTGGACGGCACAGTGATTCACAAAGGAGGCCTCATTACCGGTGGTAGGGGCAAGGAGCAAAGCACACGTCGATGGGATGAAGCTGAGTACGAGAAGCTCGATAGGCTCAAAGACAAGCTACTCGCGGACATTCATGCACTTCCCCAAGATCGGACTCAATTCACAGAAGAGCAAACTATACAAAACGAGTTGTCCAGCCTAGAGGGTCAGCTGCGATATGTCCAGGATGAAATCGAAGCACTTACACGAAACATTGAGAGTAAGAAGAGTGAGACAAATAACCTGCGCAGACAAATCAGCCAAGATCGACCAAGACTTCAACAAGAGAAAGCCAAGCTCGACGAGTTGGATCAAGATATTGAGGAATACTCTGATACTGTCCGTAGTGCCGAGGATGAAGTTTTTGCAGACTTTTGTCAACGCTTAGGGTTTGATGATATCCGAGACTACGAAGCACGTCAAGGATCGCTGCAGCAAGAAGCGGCTCAAAAGAAGCTCGAATTTGTCACGCAAAAGAGCAGGATCGAAGGGCAGCTCAACTATGAAAAGACTCGTCTGCAATCAACAGATGATCGCATTCAAGCTCTTCAAGACAAGCATCAACGTGATAGGCAGACCATTGATGAACTCAATGAACAGAAACAGGGTTTACAGGATGACCTCGAAGCCATGAAGAACGAACTCGATGAGCTCAACGCTAAACTTGAAGAGCAGAAAGAAAAGCACCAAACCTCAGCAGAAAAGCTCAACAAATCAAAGGCTGAAGTGCAAAAACGAAGCAGGGGAATGGATGCAATATTCAAGGACGTTAACAGGTTGCAGGCTGAAGCACAGCGCTATGGAGCACAGAGATACGCCTTATTGCGTCGTTGCAAGATTGAGAACATTCAGATTCCACTTACTGAAGATTCAGAACCAATCGAGAACTTGCCAATAAACGAAATGCCCTTATCAATTGGCACGGATCCAGACAGCATGGACGTCGACGACGAGGATGACGACCAAGATGAGCCTACATCGTCTGCTCGACAAACCAAAGACATTCCCACCTACGGCATAGAAGTCGATTATGACCAGCTGTCAGACGAGCTCAAAGAAGATGACTCCTCCAACACGGAGAAGCAGCTTCAGGAGAACATCGAGAGAATCACGGCCCAACTCGCTAAGATGACTCCGAATTCCCATGCTGCACAGCGCCTCGAAGCATCAGAAAAACGTCTTCACGATACCGACGCTGAGTACCGCTCCGTCAACGAGAGATATACAGCCTTGAGTAAAGAGTTCAACAGCGTGCGACGTAAACGCAATGACCTCTTCAACAAAGCTTACGATCACATCTCCGAGCAGATCGAACCAATTTACAGCAACCTCACACGTTCCGCCGAGTTCCCTGCTGGTGGTCGTGCCTTCCTCTCTGCAGATCCAGAAGAGCCATATCTCGCAGGCATCAATTACCACACTATGCCTCCAGCCAAGCGATTCCGTGATATGGAGCACTTGAGTGGCGGTGAAAAGACAATGGCAGCACTTGCACTGCTGTTCGCCATCCATTCATTCCAGCCCAGCCCATTCTTCGTGCTGGACGAGGTTGATGCTGCTCTGGATAACGCGAACGTGCAGAAACTGGTGAATTATGTGAAAAAGCATGCAGGGCCAGGCATGCAGTTTATCGTGATCAGTCTTAAGACAGGATTCTTCCAGGGCAGTGAGGCACTCGTTGGGGTGTATAGGGATCAAAATGCAAACTCGAGCAAGAGCTTGACTCTGGATCTGAGAAAGTATTCGTGAAGTGGAGGAAGAGGAGGGAATGTTTATTAGCGACTGACGATGTAACAACGAAGAGATGGCAATATCGAAGGACTGTTGGGTTGTTTCCAGCAGCTTACATGTACTATTTCGTGTTTCATGATACCCAAGCCTGTACAATACAATTGAACGAGGTCAATCGTGTACAGTATATGAACCTTGAGCCCAGGGCTGGACATATGTAGCTTGAACTCGAACGCAGAGTAATTATTTTCAGCATGATCCTGCCCACAACTGTCCAACGCACATCCGAATACGCTACCAGTCAACTAGCCTGTTATTAGTGTACAGCCTTTGCGTGGTACATGGTTATTGTACCGTGCCTGGTGGTCAACGTGCTCAGTCTGATGAATCTGCCTCAACTATTGTGAAGAAGCGACTCTGTACTTTGTTGATACACATGACTTTGGACAGGACGTAGGTCTGCTTACCTATGCTCATGGTTGTAGGTGCTGCTGTGTTGATTTTCATATTCTGCTACATAATTCTTGCCTACTGTTTAGACATAGCTCTACCCAAGTACCTCTAACCAGTTCATAGGAGCTCAGACTCGGAACCAAGCAGAGTGAGCGAATACAAGTAGATAGTGACTCTTCCTAATGTAGCATAATGTACATACATATTTCGAAGTCTTCTTTTTTGGCACTAGCCGGTGTTCTTGGTCGGGGCCAGCCTACCTATGCGTCGGCTCAAGTCTCGGACATGTTGAGAAGCGTCCATATAAATGACCATGCTCGATGCACAAAGTCCGCATCTGGGCTTGAGTGATGAATCTCATTCCATGCTCTCTAGGCCATGGCACCTCTTACAAACACCCTGCAAGGTCCATAGGGATACTGTATCATGGCAGTCCACATCTTCCGAGCCTTGAGCTTGTAGGCACATACACCTGCCTCCTAGGCCATTATGCCCCTCAGGCCGGCGCCAAATTCGCCTTCCTTAGCTGCGATTTCGAAGTAGCCGTAAATGATCGTGACCGCAAGTAGGATACCAGTTCCCGAACCCAAGGCGCCGAGCATATCAGAGCAGATGGAGAGAGCACCAATGCAGGCACCTCCGAAAGCAGCGGCGGTAGGAATGACACGCTTGAGTTCCTTATACATGCTCTGCTCTCTATGGCCAGCCATGACCAAGCCTTGGTCCTTGAGCTGCTTGGCAACATCGCGTGGCGCAGAGCCAGAAACTTCAATCCAGGTTTTGCTGAAAACGGCGCAAGTTACGATGATGAACGTCGCGTAGATGACGGTATGAATGGGGTCGAGGAGGGCCTCGGTAAAATTGTGAGGTGGCGACATGTAGTATGCGACGCCAGAGCTGGCGTAGAGCTGTGCTGAGCCTTCACGTGGTTCCCATTGGCCGATGAGTTTGACAAGGAGGTTGTCTGGGAAGCGATTCCATAGCATCTGGGAGATCATGAAAATATTGCTGGCAAGAGCTGACTGTAGCATGATGGGCATGTTGGAGGTGTAGAACAATCGAATAGGGTATGAACCTCTCATTCCTCGCTGTCGGCTGCTCTTGACTGGAATCTCGACTCGGAAACCCTGAAGGTAGATGACGGCTGCGAAGACAGCGACTGTGGACAGCAAGTTCATGATGTTGGGGAGATGGGGCCTGTAAAATGCTTCTCGGAGAGCTCTTGTCTTGTCGGGCCATGTGACGAGCAGATGGAAGAGAGCAATGACCGCACCTTCAAACTCCTTGCCTCGGCCAGTATCAATGGTAGTAGGGGAAAAAGCGCGCCAAACGATCGATTCGCAGATGCCGGTTGCGATGAACAGAGAGATACCACTGCCTAGACCATAACCTTTCTGGAGCAATTCGTCAAGGAGGATGACAACCAGACCAGCAACAACAAGCTGAACGATCAATAGGAGGCAGATGCCTGCGCCCAGATCAGAAGGTTGACCGTAGAGACCAGTGAAGACGAAGACGCAGGCTTGGCCGAAAGAGAGGATGATGGCGAACAGCTTTTGAGCTGTCTGGTAAAGTTCACGATCGGATTTGAGGTCGAGATTGACGTCGATCAAATGTGTTCCAGCCAGGAGCTAAACAAATCAGCATCAGCACTATGTTGTCTAGACGTTCTTTGCTCATACCTGGAAGACCATGCCCGAAGAAATGATAGGTGTTGTGCCCAACTCCATCAAGGTTCCCCTGTTACTGGCCAGCATCATACGTAGCCAGTAAATCGGATCTGAAGTGTCCGAGGAGACGATGCCATACAGAGGCATCTGGCTCATGACCAAGAAGATGAGAAGTGTGCACTAGGTTGTTGTTAAAATCTTCATCTCTCCGTCGAGTTTGAATGCATTCTTACTCCTGTCCACATCAACTTCTGGTTGAAAGGAATCTTCGACTCTGGCGCAGCCACCTCTGGGAGGAGGGGCGTAAAGGGCTTGATGAGATCGAGGAACCGAACTGAATGCTGTTAGACGGTGGTCATAGTTGGTATGCATCGTCGAACTCACGGCCGCTCATGATTGCTGACGGTAGCTGCCTTCAAGGGAGGTTTGGGGGGGAAAGAAGAATACGTGTAGTAACCGTGAGTTCGTATGTCAAGTGCTCTGGAAAATGATCGGAGCTGTTTCGTCCCCGACCAGCAACCGTGGCTTCGTCCTGCCAAGCGCCTGAAAGGAGCTGGCCAATAAAGTTGGGGATTCTGATTACGGTCAAGTCTGTGTTCACGTGATGCATTTCGAATATGGTCAGGAGCCACGCAGTCACTATTCCACGCTGTAGTACTTACAGTTACTGCATACATGCTGCTTGAGCTCATTTACTAAAACTCCCTCCAACCTTCTCCTCCAGTAACCATGCTTTGTGCAATCTTCACATGTTTCTCATCACCACTTTCCATCATCCCTATAAACTCCTGCCTGGCATCACTCATTTGCTTAACACCAAATTTCCTCTCACAAAACCGCAGAGCTAGTTGCAACTCCCATAACGAACCCTCCCGCAATAGTCGTTCCTCTTCCGCCCAGTTCTTCACACTACTCAACTCCAAGTTATTCTCATCTCCATCCCAACCACCAGACCCTTTTCTCTTGCTCGTGCGATCTCTATACCTCTCCACTCGATCTAGGAAGTGTCTCCAACCTTTGTGTGCAGCGTCGGGCACCTTTTCGCCCGTGCTTCTCTTCGTGCTTTCTAGCCATACATGCTGGAAGATTTCTGAATCTTTGACATCGCCATACCAGGCTCGTGTGTTGTCGACGTCGCCCTCTATCCGATGCAATATGCCGTGGACAAACATGCTCTCGAATTTAGGGTTAACCTGTGCATGACGGCAGAGAAAGTGCGCACTGCGCAAGTCGCAGTTCAGCAGGTGCAAGACGCTCTCTATGACTGGATGAAGAGAAAGTGATGAGATTGTTGGCAGGTTTGATGATGATCCATCCTGCTTTATATGAGCTTTATGTGGCGATGTTGGTGGTGAGTAGAAGACATGTTCATAGGAGAGCAGCGCTTCGAGCAGATGGCGATAACTCTCTTCAGTGGCGCTCTGACTTTTTTGTTGCGGCGCCGACGCGTTCGCCGTTGCCTGTTGTTGCTGACCTGCCATGGTTGCGACTTACTGTTCACACTTTCAAGAATGTTCCTCCAAATACTGTCGCAGTGACTTTCGCCTAATATGACAAGCTACACTATTTGGTGAAGTTGTAGCCGAGATCATAAGAAGCTCAAGTAACCGTCCGGTTAGAAGCCTGCTGAACCTGTGGTGTTTCGAATGCTCGTAATGTCCAAACGATGCATATGTGAAGCAGCCAGACAGCCAGGAATAACAATTCACACCTCCAACGTCGCAAACTTCTTAGCGGCCACTTAATGGCTCTAAGTAAGGCTTGATGTTGTGAGAGGTAGTTGTCGTCGAGTGAGACCCAGTAATAGTGGTTACCTACTTCCAGAGCAATGCAGGAGACTTCGTTACCACCAGCGTGATCAGAAGGTTGGACCGTAGCTCCTCGCGTGTTAATAAGCTGTGCCGCGTCAGGTACAGTAGTGGACATTCTGGATTCGATGATAGATGTCGAATCTGAATTGAGCAAGTGGTGACGTGGCTGACTATTGGGGTTACTGCAACGAGGTACTTCCAGCTACTCCTCCTTCGCGCTGAAGCTTCGAAAGAGAGCTTAATTCCACACTCTTTCGAAGTTGCGTTATGTGTTTGATATAGTAAAGTAGGGGAAGATGTAGATACAAACACCTTCCTCCGAGGCTATATGTGACTTTTTGCGGTTCGTGCACCCATGAGGTCGGACAGCACCTCGAAAATTGTTTACATCATGACGCGGAATCACCCTGAGGCAAGCAGGACGGCTACGACAGACTAACAAGCCTACGAAATCAAGTTGCATTTGCCTGAGGTCAGATCAACCTTCGAAAGATGGCCTCGTCGAATAGTCCGCCGCGTGGAACTGCTCCCTTTCTACGACAATCAAGGATCATGGTATATCCAATCAAAAGAGCCTAACTCACGATGACCTGATCGGCACAGGGATGACGTCGTAGTGATCTCCGTCCTGCTCCCGCACCCGCACCAGTGCCTACAGAACCAGCGGAACTGTTGCAATCAGGATCACTGGTATTGACGATATGGCGGTATGAAAGGATGACCTTCGTACTTCACTTCAGAAATGTTGTATTACAATCGTAAATACCATCTATCTGTGCCGTGAAATTATGTAAGGTGTCTATACTAATACAAACTCTTCTGACATGCATCAATTAACCAAGACTCCAACAATGCTCGCTCGATGAGGATCCTTAATTTTTTCAGAAAGTCTGCAATCCAGATGATGAGCACCAAAATAATGTTTACACGCTATCATGACATCGTGGCTCGTCGAGTTCTCACAAGAAGCGCGTCAGTGTCTGCTCGTTGTTGGACGCTGTCTCTCTTGCTCTTCCTCGTTCATGTATCTTGCTTGCAGTTGGTTCTGCGATACTGATTGGCTTTTAACATGCCGTGTTTGATATGAGTTTGGCGGACTCTCAACTCCTGCACTGGCTATATCGACAAGCGACGGATCATTGGTCCATGAGTGACGTACACTTGAGCCTCTCTTTCGAGCCGGCATCCCTGTGCTATCTCTGTTCGCATCACGCATGCTCTCCAGGCTCATCCGCGAATGCATACCCGACGGAATATGTTCTGCCTCGTAACCAGCTTGAGAGAAGTCTCGAGTGCTCCAGCTAGCTCGGTGTCGCCGAGCTCCATATGGCAATGTGGGCACGCTCGTGCGAGACTTGACACTACCAGGTCTAGTAGATGGTACCATGGAATGTCGATTGTTACCTCCCATCGTCGTAGCGTCATCCTCAAAGAAGCTTTTGTTCTCGGGGTCATCATCTTCTATCTTCGTTTGTCTGCGTACGGTTGAGACGGCAAAGTATGGCTCCTTCAGCTCCTCAGTCGTCGCTGACGGCCGTGCCTTTGGTGACTTTACCAAAGGCTTGTCACTTGCTTTCTGGTCAATATGTGCAAAGTATTTCGTCCTGGTCTTAGTCAAGCTACTCGGATGAAATTCTTCGTGATACCGACGAAGAGACATCCAGCTCGAGACGCTTCCAATGACAATGGCGATTAGCATGCAGATGATCAGAACTCCCTGTATCACGATGATGACTATGCCGATAACAGTGGTCAGAATCCTTCCTAGTCCGAAGCGAGGATCAAAGGCTACGCAAAGAGCAACAGAAACGACCTTGCTGAAACCCAGAAGATAGACCATTAGCATATTGAGACGGTTGCTCTCAAATGGTCGAACCAAGAAGACGATTAACAGTGACAATATCTCCCAAGCCAAGAGACCAAACACCTGGATTAACGGACTTCCCGCGGCCCCACCATAGAAACATGCTCGTACCAATTCGTAGATGAGCCAGGCCGAGAAGAACCACCATTTGCTTCGTCGAAACCTTCCAGAAAGCCAGCCGAACTTGATAAGGTAGTCATCGTCGTCGTGAACATGTGGACGCTCCAGAGTATCCTTGAAGTAGATGTGTCTCCATGGCAGTGAAACTATCGTCCTGCGTTCATCATTCGGCTCTTGAGTCTTGGTCGCCCTTGTCCAGCCGATCGGTTTAGTTCTGAGTTGTAGCTTATCGGGTTCATTTTGAAGCTGCTGGCCACTCAATCTGTACCATACAGCATATATCGATATGCCGACCACAGCAAGCAGAAATAAGCAGAAAACTATTGCTGCTATGGCAAGTGGGCCTGATCCGCCACCTATACTAATTTGAAACAGGGAGAGAAAAGTCATCACGAAGAATCCGACATAACATGTCCTCAAGATCAGAATGGCTGCACAATAGATCCAATGGGCTCGAAAGAATGCGAGGCGTACTGTCTTTATCAGCTTGGCTGCTGCGAACAGCTCCAGGACGATCTTCAAACACAGTACTGCCCCGCCCAGTAGCGCAAGCAACACCAGAAACCAAATTAAGCCAGTCAAGAAGGCAGCCGACGCAGGAATGTGCAGCTCACTCAAAGTCCCTGCAAAGCTAGAATAGTTACCAGGCAAGGGCAGGCCAGCTGCAACCTCAGTTCCGTACCAGGAAAAGCCAGTTGTGGTGTTAGCAACGGCTCTTTGCTGCAGAGATGGCAAATTCCTCCTGTAAATTGACGATAATGAATAACCACCTCCAAGGTTGACAGCGGTTTCTCCAGAAGCCGGAGCCCCTATACTACTGATGTTGCCTCTATCATTACCGATGAACTGGTCGATTGACCTCTGGACAGAAGAACTGTATATCATTCCCGACGCCCAGCCAAAGTTGCTCCAGAAGGCTACTAGTACTGAAGGAAAATTCATCGACAACGCGCCTGTGAAGAAGACATGCTGAAGAACGGAGAAGACCACCAGTATAGACACAGAGTGTGCATAGTGTTTCCTTGTCTCTTGAAGGTGTTGTCCGTACATGGCCGTGGCCACAGATGCCGCGAATGCGAGTACAACGAAGAAACCGACCGTTGAGCCAATTGCTGTAGGGTGAGAAAAGGAGTTGCCATTGGTGAGGACTGCAGAGTAGCAAGCAATCTGCGACTGGGTTGAGTTGCCAAAGATGCGCAGTATAGCCTGCCCTTCGAAATCAGGGATTGAAAGAGCCAGTTCCGGTATGCCTGCGACGTCGGCTGGTGCAATTGGAATTACACCATTTGCATTGATAGGAACCGAAGCATTTATGGGACACATACTGTGAATATTGGCAAAGCATGGGTCGAACGTGAGATTGAACCGGTTCTCTCCATAAGCATAGACGCCGATATACATGATGACACTTTCGTTGGCCACTTGAGTATATCCTCCCAGGTTGAAAGTGATTGTCATGTTGTCTTTGTAATATGCTGCGTCAAATCGCGTAACCGATATGACCGAGTCGCCCTGACAGTCTCCATACTGTTTTGTGTATAACGAGGGTTCCCTGTTGACATCCAAGTAAAGCGTCTCTCCATCTAAGTTGGTATATGTTACGTATTGCGTCTCTTCTTCTGCAGAGAACGCAGTGTGGACGTGGCAGAACAGGACTAGGAGGAGGAGGACGCTGGCATTCGCGAACGATAACAGTGTTGATCTCCGCATCACGGCAGGGCTTCGTGCCACAGATCTCGCCGACCAGACTGTTGTGTAACCGGGCAGTAATTGTATAAGTTGAAGGAGGTTGGTTGTAGGTTGTGTTCTTGACTTTGACCAACCACCTCCAGTCAACTGCTTAAAACGAGAACTGTAATCCTCTATGCCACCGTAAGCACAGAGTTCACACTACCTAGAACACTTGAGACGAAGGTACTGTACTCTTCCTCCAACGATTGTGTTCGGTCACGGTGGATCATTCACATGGTCCAGAGCTTGGCTCCGTCCGTTGCAACTCTGGCAAGTGAGTCAAAGTTGTAAGAATATAGCAGTACTCTCGAACACGAATCAAGATTAGGGCAGAGCTCCCGTCTTCAAGTTGAACGCAAGACGACGTGGTGATATTGAATACTTGGCAGTATCTTGCATTGTGTGGAGTTTTGCACGGCTCGCCATCCTGACAGACTGCGATTTTGCGGAAGTCGCAGTCGTGATGTCGATACCATATGAGGCTGGCAAGTGCGAGTTAATCGCGGATTAGCTTCGCAGCTTGCATGACCGTTCCTTGGAAATTGCTGGTGGGGATCCACACTATGCAGAGAAGCGCTTGATGCGGCCACTAAACATCCACCGGTGAGCGCTGCACAAAGACTAGTGTTTCCGTAGCTCATATACAGCTCAACGATGTGGCATGGCTTTCACACGGGTACCACGGTACCAATACGCCAGTGAAGAGCGTCTCTTAGACTTTCAAGCTGCAGCTCCGGATGGTTTGTCATGGATAGTGTGTACATGTTTCCAGAGTTCTGCTGCAAAGGGACCTGCTGACAAGAGAACAAGTCGGCCATGAATTGGCTGATGCCCAAACTTGTATCTGCCTGGTGGGGGCGGATGAGAACGCAGAAATGGTTACCGAAAGTCAATCTACTTTGACACATGCACTTCACTCTTCTCGTAGTGAATGTGTACTCCGATCTGCCAGACTGGACATCCTTTCGATACACAATGCGAGAACAGCACCACCAACTTGATTCAGTCACCGTTGTTTCAGGAACTGTGGCTGGAAAGGTGGCTACATATAGTAGCCTCTTATTATGCACGACATCGCAGGAATTATGGGACACAGATCGTGGCGAGACATGCAGGAGTCCTTGCATCACTATCCCAAGTTGGGCTTCCGAGCAGCTCCACATCGACCAAGAAGTTACAACTATCTTGCAATACTGTTGTCATTGAAATCTCTTGCAGATACCCCCTTGCTCTACTAAAGTCAGTACTGTGGTTGAACCTTGAATACAGGCCGAAACACTGTAGGTGCTCGTAATGCGTTCTGCATTACTTGTGTGCTGAAGGGTTTGACGGCAGGACGCATCTACTACGTAGCTCTTTAATAATCGTCCCTGCTGTTATGATGAGCAGCATTGCTGATTTAGCTAAGACTATCGAGCTGACTAACCAACAACGATCATAATGTCTTCTCGACCTCGTTCAATGGATCCATGGCCTGCCGAATCTTGGCTTTCACAGCATCGCTGGGCTCTTCATACGGTCTTCTTGGTCTAAAAAGTGGTTCTGCGTTCATTACACCAGCTCTTGGTGCGGTGTACATTGCGGCCGCGTACTTGGTATTCGCGATACCAGCTTTAGTCGGCGATTCTGCATGTGCTGACATCTTTTGCAGCGCTAGTGCTTGGTCGTGTTTGCCCGCCTTCCAAAGGTCAAATATCTTGACACAAGTCTTGGGAAAGATATTGCCAAAAGCTGCAATGCAGCCTTGACTACCCGCCGCCAGACCACCGACAAGAAAATCAGACTGGCCACCGAATATGGCGAAGCGTGATGGCGTGAATGTCGCCGCCAACCTTGTGATCTTGCCGACTGAACCACAAGTGAGCTTGACTCCCACAATGTTTGGATTCTGCCGCGCCAACGTGGTCATAATTTCCGAGTCGAGATCAAGTCCATTGCAAACTGCCGGGAAATTGTATATAATGATTGGAAGCGGTGAAACTTGTGCTACCTGGTTATAGAAGTTCTCGACCACTTTCGGAGTCGTCTGCTTGCCGAAGTATGCACACTGTCGCACATCTGTCAGCAGTTTATGACCAGCGCAGGAGAGTCCCAACTTACGGGTAGGACGAGCGCGTAGTTCGCACCAGCAGCGTGTGCATCAGCAATATACTCCAGTACTTGCGCAGTAGAATGCCCTCCTACTCCTGCAATGATTGGATAGCCTTGAGGTACAGACTGTCGCGCCAACCTCATCAAAGTCGCCCTTTCGTCTCGAGTAAGCAAGAACGTCTCAGCATTGGTGCCGAGAATGACCAGACCCTTGAGGCCTGTGCTAGCCAGGTAGGCATAATACTTTGCCTGATCATCGAGACACAGCCTGTCAGTGTCCGGGTCGAACAGAGTGACTGCAGGCACGTATACACCTGCCTCTGGAACTGGGTGGCTGTGGGGTGTGTCATCGACCGGCACATTGCCCGTCAGGTACGATTCCATACTTATTCCGCTTGACTTCGAGTTCGCCCTATATTGTCTTCTAAGGCTTGCTCTTCATGTCTTGACAAGAAGCAATATCTGTAATTTTTGGAGACCCCCAAACACGCAGTGCACCCCGCGGTAATCCTATCGGCGCGATCTATGCCGAGCGGTATCCTGGCCGATTGTGACCTCCACAAGAGATCGGATCGCACTTGCCGATAACTGCTCAACGGCGGAAGAACTTGAGAAGGGAAGCCGGCAGCATCACAGGCTTGTTTGGTCATGCGCGTCTTCACGATACTAGTTTCAAGTTGATGCAAGTATCCGATGGACAATTTGACGAATTGAAGCCATGTATAATACTCCTGGTCACCACTAATCCTCTACGACGAATGCTTCATTCTGATGGTGACATGCCGTTGCGATATCGCCAGAGTCGGCTCTCGTCCTTGATCATCCTGGCCATTCCATCTGCTCGTTCTGTACGCTCACGCTGACCACCACAATCCCAGACATCCCTCTCCGATACCTTGCCAATGATCTGATAGCCTTCTAGTAGCTCTTCATTAAGCACACCATCCATGTATTCGTTGTTCTCCTTCACCTTATTTGGCCTGCCATTCTTGTCCAGATCCATCTCGAAAAAGTTGTCCAGGTAGTTTCCATTCATCTGATGACCACTGCCCGCACGAGCAAACAATCGACCCACATACCGGTTCACGATCTTTTCCTGGACCTGACCTGGCTGGTGGTGTGCTTTCAAAGGTAGAGGTCTGAAATGAAGGATTCCGAACAGACTGACATAATCTCCTAGATTCGCATAATGTTCAATATGTTGTATCACTCTGGTGCCATCTTCGAATTCCGGACTATTGAAATGATTGGCAGCACTGCCAAAAGTGTAGACCTCCAATTTCTGCAGAAGCTCCCTGCTAACGGCGGCGAAGAGCCAGTCTAAGACCAATCCGCCTTCGACAGCACCTTGACTGTGCAGTATCAGTACAATCTTCTTGTACCTCGCTGTTTTGTCCCGTTCATCTTCGATAACTTTGACGACATCCGCATAGACCTCCCTAATGTCCGGCGTAGCATACCCAAAAGTACGTTGGATTATCGTCTCAATTACATCGAAGATTATTCCACGTGTCTTGTTGTGGATGCCATGTACCGGTCTGCGAAATGTCAACGCTAGCCTACGCATCTCGTTAGCTTCTAGCTATTGGTACAGGCCCGTACATCTACCTGTCAAGGTTACTCTGCATCCAATGACTTCCTGCTGCAACGCCATTGACAAAGATCCACCTCTCATCGTCGTGTTTCTCCCATGACTGGTCGACATAGCTTTCAAAACGTCGTTCTGTGCCATTGAGTAGAGTGCAAAAGTAGTTGTTACCCACCACAAAGCCAACGATAATGATCAAACATGTAGGCGTCCATCCCAAGAGCGGAACAGGAACACCTAGCAAAATGCTTGGTACAAGTACTAGAATAAATGCACCCTGAACAACGACAAGCAGTAAATGTAGGCCGATTGCCCACAAGTTTGGGAGACTCGGGTAGAGCTCATCTAGTGATCCAGACTTGAAAGGATAGAATGGAAGTACAATACTTGGAAGGCCGTTGGTGACAGGCCATGTGAAAGTTATACGCAGAAACAGCCAGAGGTCTTACTGAGATCAGATACGATCTCATGGAAGTTCGAAGGGCATTGACCTTACCTGACAAAGCAAGCTTGAGCGGCGAGCTCGTGTATGGAAGCGGTTGGGAGACGCTTTTGAGCATCTCTGTTGCCCAGAGAATATCTTGAGAGGAGTGACGTTAGACAGGCTACACTCGACACAATGTGAGTGAGGTAAGGAGAGGTGCCGTCAGGCATCAGGACTATTTGCGTTTCGGCCATGGTTGGCAACGTTTGGCATAGCAGCCGGTCCTACATTGGAGCCATCGAAGATCATCGGTTACTCTCGTATCAATGAGGAGAGTGAGGTGCCTTTGTCATTACCTTTATTGCACACGTTGTCCAACTTTTGTGACTTTCCAAGTCTTGTGAGATTGGTGATTCGTAGCAACACCGATGTGCATTCCATCCGAGTGAAGGGCTGGTCGTCTCTAGGAGCATGCGGCATGCCTAACGATCCTTCGCCATCCGGTCTCTGTGTTGAATGACTTTCATGTTGTTAGCCTGGAGAGTGTCAACTCATAACAGAAGCAAGTTGAAGTGCTCAAGACGGAAGTTTCAACTGTATGACCCTTCGACTTTGTCGACAATGTGCTACAACGAGTATCTATGAGAAATCCACAGGACACTCAAGCTTTTCGTGCACAAGCCACAGAGTAGTGCCTTATGCTTCAGTGAAGATGCGCTACCATCCTCTTGATTAGAAGACAGAGATGCGTCTCATTGCAGCGACTTTACAAGGTCTCTCTTTCGCTTCATTCTCTTTACTACCTCCGATCTCACTTGGTCTGGAGTTGGGCTCCAAATGTCCCAGCAAAGTTTGAGCGAGCTTGTCTCTTTGTGAGACGAATTCAAGGACGAATTGCAAAATTCCATGACAATCAACTCAAGTTCGCTAATATCTTGCCTCAATCTGTTATCTTCCAATCAGCATACTCAACGTAAGGCTCACATCTCATTCAGATTTTCGTCCTTCCCAAACATACCTCGCGCATAAAGGTATCTGATATTTCGTCCTTCCGGCAAGCGTCTTGACTTCTGGTTGTTCATACAGGAATATTCTGCCTACGACTTGCATGAATCCGCACTTGGTCATACCAGGACCGTCTCTTGTTAACGCGACCATCAATAGGTGTTAAGCGAGGTCGCGAAGGTACGGTATAGCTCCTGGGACCGAAACGATCTGACAAGTGAACAGTCAACTATGCAGTCCGAAGGGAACACATATATGAGACTCCGAGATATCCCGCGAGTCGACTACGATTTTGAAAAATCTTGGGTCAATCTGGTAGCAAACATGATTGACAATCACGGAGTCGATGAGAAGTACAAAGCAATGGACGAAGACCCTCCACGACCAGAGAAGAGAATCAAGCGTGTCAAGGACGATGCCAATGCTCTTTCTTATGTTCTGAATATGAGGGAAGTTACAGAGAGATCTGCCACACAATCTCATTATGATTGGGCATACAGATATTTCACAAGCGTGCTTCGAAATTTGCCACATCCATCCAGCACAAGCGCCACGTTCGACCTCAAGCAATACGAGCAGTGCATCAAACTCATCCATTTCTTAATGCATGAGTTGACGTATCACAGGAACGTGGGCAGCAAACTACGAAACACACGGCAAGACGACACAGCGAAACTGAAAAAAGCCAAGGTGCAGCTTTCAACGATGGAACACCTGAAGACCGTTCCGATTGTTGGTCTGACTAAAGTTGAGAGCTCCGGCACCACTGCGATAGGGGTTTCGATGGAGGTGCCAGCAGGCAGTCAACAGGCGGAACAGCTTCACATGCTCAACGACGTCTTAGCTGACCAAGTCAGTGACCTAAATCGTGAGCACCAGAAAGCGAAGATTGCTAAGGAGGTCGCTGAGCAGCAAAGAGATCAAGCAAGGTCAGAAGTCGAAGAGCTTCGAGAGCAAGTTCTCGCTCTCAACAAAAAGGCGGACATGGCTGTCGCTTCGAGTAACCATGATCTTCAGGCTGCTGTGGCACGTGCCCGTAAATTGGACAATTTGCTGGCGCAAGCGCTCTCAGAGAGCTCTTTCAAGAGTAGTCAGATCACCGAAATGAACAGCAAGCTAGAGAAAGAAGTGGCTGCTGCGAAAACCGCTGGGGTTGAACGATACGTCAAAGTCCAGAACGAGAACGAAGAACTCAAAGAAAAGATCGAAAAATTGAAGGACGAGGCAAAGATCAAAGTGGAGGATGCTGAGCGACTAGAGAAGCAGAAGGCTGAGTTTGACGTCTGCCAGAAGGAAAACTTCATACTTAAGCTGGAGATCGACCAACTTCAATTTGACGTTAGGACCAAGACTTCGCAGATGGAGCAGCAAAAGGCGTCTTTCAAATCTGCTATCGAAGCAATGAAGAAATGAGGCCACTGTAGAAAGGCTCTTCATCACATCGACAAGGTGACAAAGGTTCTCAACTCTTGACTGTGAAGACAACTGCGGACAATCGATCCAATACTGTTTTGACGAGTGCCACACAAAGACATGCTTCATCCGCGGAACGGTAGAGGGAGGAGAAAGACGAGTGCTAGTATACATTCCGCACAGAAACACGAGAAATCTTCAAGACAGAGAATGGAAACGTATCTCAGACACAAGACACATTTTAGCATTGGTTATCTAGCTAGGAGCTTTGAAGCTAGCTATAATATATTACTATTCTACTGAAATGATGGTTCTTGTGCTTGTCTGCGGGTGCATTGTTCATTGTTCGGGGAATATTCCATCTTTCTATCCTCGCTCTTAACGGTGATCACAAATGATACAGACACCGCTTTTCAAGACGGCAAAAGTCTCTGGCTCGCCAGATAGCGAAGTTGAATTCAATGATCAGAAGATACAATAAGCAACTTTATCGAATTTAGTAATCTGTAGCCGCACAATAGCATTCAACCCTCAACCATTGAAGGACCAGATTCCTACGGAAGTGCTTACACATTCTATCTCCAGTACGTCAACGAGGCAGTTTTCGCTTACCTGTATAGCAAAATCCACTATTTGATCCGTTAAGAACAGAGGTAAAGGCCACTAATAGACCCTCGTGAGCGATTAATCATCCTACAAGCTGTTTAATCCTTCAGAAGACGAAGGTCACTCTCGCGGCGACGACTTTCGAGTGGTCTCACCTTCACGTGCGATACTTACCCATAATCCGGTCCCAACTTGCCTTCCTACTAGGATCCGCCCTAGCCCTCTCTTGTCCCTCCTTGAATACCCGCTCCTTTCTCTCGACTTCTTGTTCTCGGCTCTGTATCTCGATCAGCTTCGCCTCAATCTTTAGGCAAGAATTAAGCTTCGCTTTTACTTCTTGCATTGCTAGTTCTGCCCAGTCATCTGCCTTTTGCTGCTCTTGCATCTTGTCAAGCAGCTTGGCCTTCGCATCTCCCCCGAGCAGGCTTTTCCAATTTATCCCGGACTGCTTCATTAGGTATTCGGGGCGTTCAAGCTTCTCCCGCTTTTGCTGGAGGTTTACTATGTCTGTAGATTTCTGGCTTGTGGCATAGTGGCGCCAAGTCTTGCCCTTGTCGACTGTGCTGGAAAGGGAGTAGTTGCTGAGTAAATTTAAACGAGCGTGCCAGGTTGTGTCAACGTCAGACACAAGCAGAAATAGGCCACCGTTTGCATTTATTTGAGCCGAATCTGGAAGGATAATTGTCGAGTGGCCAAGGTCGTAGAACTTCTTCGGTTCAGTGTGAGGCGTCAAAGCATTGACATGTGGGAAGATGGGTTCACGTTCCGAATCTGACGATATAAACGGGATTTTATAGGGGTCTAGGAGAGACTTCGAGGACTGTTTCGTAGCTTGCTGAGGACGAGGTTTCGTGGGCCTTTTAGGACGATCGAGGGGCTTCTCCTTCAGCCACGCATCTGTCTGAGCCTGCTCATGAGCTTTCAGCTTGGCTTCCATTTCCACACTCATAGGTTGACTCCTGAAAGTCTCCGGGGAAGGATGTCCGAGTTCGGCGAAACTATACATAGCTGCTGTTAGTATGTTAGCAGATGCTGTGAACTATGATTTGAACGTCCCGTTTCTCAAGAATGCTGGCACTGGCGTATAATGACAAATGCTCTCTAGTATCAATCGTAGTAAGACCCAAGAGTGAGGCTGATGCATGTCTGAGCCTTAAGACAGAACTGGAACAATGCAGCATCAACCATTGTGGTGAAGTGCCTTTGCCTCATTGTAAGTCGTTGTGCTGTGGGACGGATTTAGTGTCATGACAGCCTCTTTTGTCTCAATAGTCCTTCAACAATGCCATACACTCTTGTTGTGAGCCAATGTGTTGTCTTAGCCGGAGAGCACGGTCCAGTGGAGAAGCTGTGAAAGTAAAGACGAAGTAGTTTAGCTGCGGTGTATCGTACTTAAACTTGTGGTAAATCCCAGTTTGCTGCCTAGGCATGCTTATATTCACTGGCGAGGAAAATTCGGTATCTCACTACAAAAGGCCGAGTGACATGACGGAGCTTTATTTCACACTTTTGTTACGTTAGTCCTTAGTATGATCCGTCCTTGATGCAGTCAGGGCAGGTAGCACAGGGGGACAACACCCTGGCAATATGTAGGTCTGTAGAGCCACAGCATGTCTAGACATCTTGAATCTTGCGCCCGCTTGCTCTTTTTGGACAAGAACACCTTGTGCACTTTTTGATGCTGGACCACAATGAGTATGAGGTTGGAAAGAATCGTTGGTAATACCAGGAAGTGAAGCTGTCAAGCTCCAAGCAGCTTGCAGTACCGACGTTAGCCCGATAGCTCCACCAAAATTTAGTCTGGTCAGTTACTCTTACTACGAGTCGTGGTGGTATCGCAAGCGTTTGTACAGTCTTTCTTTTTGTCACAGGGAAGTTAAGGTCTGTGTGTCAGTTCGATATTAAGTTATTCGTTTGTTCTTAATTATGGCTACACCAGTGGACCAGAAAATGCTGCGGCAGACGAAATTTCCAGCCGAGTTCAACCAGAAAGTCGATGTACAGAAAATCAACATCGAGGTCATGAAGAAGTGAGCGATACTATGTGACTACCAGGAGGAGTGACTGACGCGGTGTAGATGGATTGCTCGAAGACTCTCCGAAATCCTAGGCACGGAGGACGATGTTGTTACTGAACTGTGCTTCAATCTCCTCGAGGGCTCACGATACGTTAGCGGAGCCGTGATCTTGTTTCAGATGAAGTGCTAACACTTTGGCAGCCTAATATCAAAGAACTTCAGATCCAGCTTACAGGCTTCCTGGACAAGGACACGCCCAAGTTTTGCAAGGACTTATGGAATTTGTGCCTAAGCGCGCAGTCGAACCATCAAGGCGTCCCAAAAGAACTTCTCGAGGCAAAGAAACAAGAACTTATTCAGGAGAAAGAGGTTGCGCAGAGAGCGGCTGAAGCAGCACAAAAGCAGAAAGAGAGCGCAGTCAAACAGGAACAAGATCTCGAGGCTGTTCGTAGACGGGAAAGAGACGAACGGCCCCACAGAGGACGTGGTGGCTTCAGAGGACGTGGTAGTGGTCGCGATTTTGATTATCGTAGACCACCTAGGTCTAGCAGGTCTCCGTCTCCACGAAGAAGACATTCGCCATACCGTCCACCACCTCGAGACAGCTACGTTCCGCGTGGAACTGGTCGCTCTCAAGCGAGAGATACCCGTCAAGGACGGTCTCGCAGCAGATCCGGCTCCAGATCATCAGCTTCAAGGTCACCCCCACCTAGAAGAAACCATAGAGCAACTTCTCCTAATGTCAGGTCTCGATCACCGCCCAGGAAGCAGAGACGGATAGGCTCTCGAGAGAGACGTGGCCAAAACGAGGCAAGAGGAAATGGAGAACGGCGAGTTGAGCATCGCCGCCGCGCGCGAAGCTCATCTTCTTCTGCTGAATCACGCTCACCATCTCCCAGGCCACACCAACCAAGACGCCGTCAACGATCTTCCAGCCGAAGTCCATCTCCACGACCCAACCGAAAACATACACGAAAGTCGCCTGACTCAGAATCAAGCGATGATTCAAGAACCAGAAGGCGAGGAAATCGTCATAAGCCGAGGCGATCACCAACATCCTCGCCCGATCAAACAAGAAACAACAGACGTGCTGACGTTGTCAGGCCAAGACCTCGACGAGCCGATCCGCGCTTGAGCCGAAGTCCAGCCTCACCTCCTCGACGGCGGAGAGACTCCAGTGCCGGCAGAAGCAGAAGCAGAAGTAGAAGCAGGAGTTACAGCCGCAGCAGAAGCGGTAGCAGAGATAGGCGGAAGAGTGACCACAAAAGAAGAAGGTCGCTTCCCAGGTATGAGCCGCGAAGACGTAGGAATACGTCCTCGTCACCCCCTGACTCACCAGAGCCCAAGCGAAGAAGACGTGACGCCAGTCCATCCACTCACTCTAGCACAAGCGAAGCACATGTACTTCAGTGACGTTGATACAATCACGAATTGGACTTGCCCTCAAGATTGAGCCTTCATTTCCAGTAAGAGCTTCACTGGAGTATCTTTGAAACGTTTCACTGTCCTGAAGTGGAGTCGTCTGCAACTGGCTATACCATTTGGCCGAGTGGTAAATGCGCATGCTGTTATGCGACATTTCAATACGAGTGTCCTCATGGTTGTCACTATATTTAGTGGTTGAGGTCGACGTGCCGAGCCTGGATCTTGAACTTAATCGCCTTATTTGCACAAAAACAGCTACGTCAACAGGCAGCCACGCGTCGAGCACATCTTGTAACCACGTTTTGGCTTAGGTGCACACATCGTGATGCTCATTTGGGGCGGAACACGTTACAATATACGTGGAGGACATCGTTTCGTCGTGCAAAAGTCCGCCTCTCTGTTGAGTGATAAGATTTACCTTTTCACACTGTCGCCGCGCACATTTCGCCGGTCAGTATTCAATTCAGGCTTTTCGTGCCTGATGATGCTGTTTCCGCTGTTCCTGCCTTATGACCGCTCTGGGTCTACTCCGACCAATCGGAGCAGTCCAGACATTTTTGGTGCCTTGCCCCTGCAGTTGAGCATCTGGCATCTGACCATCACCACACTGTAACTTCACTGCTCAGCACAATCTAGTCGCCGCTCCAAACCAGTACCTTACACTTATTGACACAGATACTTTCTATTCCTCGCACACCCAGCTTACAGTCTACTGTTATCACTCACTACATTTGCTTGTTCCGTCGTTTCTCCTTGAAATACATATTGTCGCATTCGCCTTTAAGATGAGCGGGTCTCGTCTTGTCAGCAACCAAGCGACCAGACGATTCGTTCAAAGTCCGCACGCCCTTTGGTTGTCTAGCGAGCCTTTAGCTAACACATATGCAGTACAATCTCGACATGCATCTTCACTGTCCACGAACACGTTGAGGACCCGGACTTTCCGCAGCTCGAAAGATTACCCTGCACATTTACAAGCACTAGCTATCTTGTTACCCAGACGCGCGTATGCGACCGAGACGAGTACTCACAGTAGTGACGGGGGACCCCCTCCAGGATTCAATATCAATGAGGCCAAAAAGCCACTGCCCAAGAAGGAACTCGAAAAAGACCCAGCAGCGCAGTCCTTCACAGCAGCTGAATTAAGAAAGTCGGACGAACTGACTAGCATACCACTCGACCAGCCGACCAGCGGCGACAAGACTACTGCACGAGAAGAATCTACTCTGACCGAGTTGGCAGCCAGTAAGGCTGCAAGTGAAGCCAAAGGAGTTTCAAAGAAGGAAGAGAAGAAATTGACAATTGGCCAAAAGATTAAGAAAGAGTTGCAGCACTATTGGGATGGCACAAAACTGCTTGCTACCGAAGTACGAATTTCCTCGCGTCTGGCTTTGAAGATGGCTGCTGGCTATGAATTGTCTCGTCGAGAGAACCGCCAGTTACAACGAACAGTCCAGGATCTTGGCCGTCTTGTTCCATTCTCTGTTTTCGTCATCGTGCCTTTTGCCGAACTTCTCCTCCCGGTCGCGCTCAAGCTATTCCCAAATATGCTACCTTCCACTTTCGAGGGCCAGAAGTCCAGAGAAAACAAAGCTGCTAGCTTGCGGAGCACGAGGAAGAAAGTATCTAGCTTTCTGAGAGATACCCTTCGTGAGACTGGTCTTCCGGTATCTGCCACAACAGCCAAGAAAGAGGAGTTCATAGAGTTCTTCCGGAAGGTTCGCAGTACTGGCGACGCCCCAACCAAAGACGACACTATCAAAGCCTGCCGCATGTTCAAAGATGATCTGACATTGGACAACTTGAGTCGGCCACAGCTGGTTGGAATATGTAAGTACATGAACCTGAACACTTTCGGTACAGATGCCATGCTGCGGTACCAGATCAGGCATCGTATGAGGCAGATCAAGAGGGACGACAAAGCAATTTCTTTTGAAGGTGTTGACTCCCTCTCCGTTCCGGAACTACAAATGGCCTGCGCGTCGAGAGGTTTGAGGACACATGGTATGTCACCGGCCAAGCTAAGAGAAGATCTGCAAATGTGGCTGGATTTGAGGCTGAAGTATAACATACCATCTACGTTGCTCGTGCTGTCCAACGCATACATGTACACTTCAGGCAAAGATAAGGAGATTGACACTCAGATTGAAGCGCTTCAGGCAGTGCTGTCATCCATTCCAGAAGAACTCTTCCACGAGATCGAGCTTGAAGTGCACAATGCAGAGGGTGCAGCTACGAACAGACAACGACTAGAGGTTTTGAAAGAGCAGCAGGAGCTCATCGAAGAAGAGAATGAGCAGGCAGACGAGCAAAAGGAAGCCTCTGCTTCAAAAGGAGAAGAAGCAAAAGAAGTGAAGGACGACAAGGACATCGACGAAAAGCCAAAGGCTAAGGCGGCCGACGCTAAAACTCCTGAACCTGAAGCTAAAGAGGCTCAAGAGGCTGAGCAGGACGCTGTAAAGCAGGGGGAAGCTGAAAAGTCAAGAAAAGAGGAGGAGGTCAAGAAGGAATGACGAGCATTCTCCTTTCATTTGTCACGTAGATAAATCGCCACTTTCTGATAGATGTGTAGCAAGCAATGCAGGCGAGGCAAGCGTGGAAGCCGCCGTTGGGTAAAGCAGAGCCAGGTAGCGGACAGTGCATTTGGATAGATGGTCAGGCTCGATGCAAAGGAGCGTTGTTTAAAGGTTCTAGTCGAGGCAGATATGAGTCACTCCAATATACAGTCGTGGCTTCATCTACTGTAGCAATCCAAAGAGCACCACCTTCTAGTTTGTCATACTACCCATTTCGATGGACTCTGTTTTGGCTATCGTTGACGCCTTCGCAGCTCAGTCCTTCTGTTGTGTTCAATTTCTTTTTCCAAATGATGCTCACTTCGTCTTTGTGGGCCTGATCAATAAAGGCCATTCGAAAGAGGGCAGGCTGTTTATAGAAGAAGGGTCATCTTGAAATTCCACATCAATTTCGCGACGTTTTTCGATACTATCTGCTGGAATAATAACGAGGACAGCTTAGAGACTTCACGCTGAGTCTCGGGTGCGCACGTTGATATCGAGCAGGAATGATAACATATAGCTCGACCCAACTCACAGTTTGAGCTCGAGTAGAGTGGTATGACAAAGGAATGGAGCTGACCGGGCGAATCATGAAAACAGAGTTAACCTCGGCACCTCAGGACTGGGCATTTTTCGAAGTGGGTCGTCCTTTCCCCAGAAACCCCCAGCTGCCACGCTTCACGTCAGGCACATCAAGCTAGACTATCAAGCGCTCTAACAACTCGGTTCTACGTGCGTTTTACCAGATCTCGATGAATCAAGCTGTTCATAGGCATGCCTGGGATTTTCTGGCGGTATTTCCTCCTGTCTAACAAGCTTGAGGAAGAAGGTAGAAGATTGTTCTGCTGTCGAGGTCATCTTCATACCCCACTGGTGGCTTCTATGGGGAAGTTCCTTATTAGCCAACTTGGCTAGTGATGACGGAAGTTTAGCTCGCCTCAGCACCGATGATTGCACAAATCTCGCTCAAGCTTACTGCCGTCCAGACCTGCAGTCCGTACCACGATTCGGGTAACCTTTCGCTAGATGAAGCTTCTGCACGACTGATCTCGGCTTTCTAGCTACCTATTATTAAGGTCGGCCCAAAGGCTTCTCAGGTTCATCTGCTCCCTATACTGCTTCGATACCCTGCATCTATACGTCTTGTGTTTTCATCTTGTTCCTTGCCGTCTCATTTCGCGTATAACCTTGGACTCTACAATCCAAGGCAATCATGCCTTTTTACCCCCCTGAATGGGTACCGCAATGCCCCGAGATACCTGACAGCGTATCAATTCCCGAGTTTATGTTCGAGGAGAAACATGGTCGGACACCAATATCAGAATCTGCGGACGCCTATATCTGCGGATTGACAGGAAAGAAGACCAGTGCGGCACAACAGAAGGAGCAATATACATACTTGGCAAGAGCACTTGCGAAAGAGTTTGGATGGAAGGTGAACGAGGGCACCGAGTTCGACAAGGTGTGTGGTGTTTTCGCGCTGAACACGATTGATGTCATGACGCTGAACTGGGCGATACATCGACTGAACGGCGTCTCTTCGCCCGCAAACGCTGCGTATAGCGCCGATGAGCTGAGACATCAGCTGACGAATTCCGATTCGAAAGCGCTATTCACTGTAATGCCCTTGTTGGAGGTGGCCCTCGAGGGCGCGAAGAAGGCAGGAGTCGATCGGTCGAAGATATACCTGTTGTCCATGCCTGGCGATGATGCATCGAAATATCCAAAGGACTTGAAGACTTTCGATCAGCTTGTTGAAGCTGGCAAGAAACTACCAGAGTTGGAGCAGTCGAAATGGGAGAAGGGTCAAGGTGCTCGGCAGACAGCTTTCCTCTGCTATAGCTCTGGCACGTCGGGATTACCAAAAGGCGTGATGATTTCTCACAGAAACGTGATTGCCAATACGTTGCAGATCAAAGCCTATGATCAGAAATGGCGGGAGAAGCTAACTGCTGGTGGAAATCACAATGAGGTTGCATTAGGCCTGCTGCCTCAATCCCACATTTACGGCTTGATCGTTATTTGTCACGAATCGACATATCTTGGACATAGCGTCGTGGTCCTGCCCAAGTTCGACATGCAGAATTATCTGAACAGTATACAAAAGTACAAAATCACCACTCTGTACATTGTGCCTCCAATCATTATCGGTATGGTCAAGCAGAAAGAGCTGTGCTCAAAGTACGATCTTTCATCTGTTGTCAGTATCTTCACTGGCGCAGCACCACTAGGACAGGAAACAGCTGTCGAGCTCTCGAAACAATATCCAAAGTGGAAGGTCAGGCAGGGATATGGCCTTACGGAGACTTGCACAGTCGTGTGCTCGACACAGCCCGAAGACATTGTCTTTGGCTCCTCCGGCTGCTTGCTACCTGGTTATACTGCCCGAGTTATGTCAATTGAGGGAAATGAGATCACTGGCTACGATCAGCCTGGTGAGCTGCTGGTCAAATCTCCCTCAGTCACGCTTGGCTATCTGAAGAACGAGAAGGCTACAAAGGAGACCTTTGTCGATCTCGAAGATGGCCGCTACATGCGTACAGGCGACGAAGTCGTCTTCAAGAAAGCGTCATCTGGTAGTGAACACGTCTGGATCGTGGATAGGTTGAAGGAACTCATCAAGGTCAAGGTAAGCACTTACTCACGACTTCTCTTTTTCCGTACTAACGTATGTCTTTCAGGGTCTGCAAGTCGCTCCCGCCGAGCTTGAAGCAGCACTGCTCGGACATCCAGCTGTCGCCGATTGTGCGGTCATTCCTGCCCCTGACGAAAGGGCTGGCGAGGTTCCGAGGGCATATGTGGTCAAGTCCAATTCAGTGGGCTTAGAAGAGAGTGACGCCGCTGTGAAGCGAGATATACAACGATTCATCGAGAAGGAGAAGGCCAGGCATAAGTGGTTGAAAGGAGGTATAGAGTTCATTGACGTTATTCCAAAGAGCCCCTCTGGAAAGATCTTGAGGCGTATGTTAAGAGACAAGGACAAGGCAGCCCGAATGAAGAAGGGTGCGAAGCTGTAGGCTGTGAGCCACAGTCATCAGAACCACTATCAAGGTGGAACGAAAGCAGCTGCGCCTGTGATCGTAGACATGTAACAGAAGATGCCAGATACCAGATATGTGAGTCAATACATGTTGAATACATGAGTTTTCAAAGCACTACCACAGATCCTAGCTCAATCAACTTGCCCTGTCACAAGCATAATAGAACATGACAAATTCGCTCCGTGTGTGGCACCGACAAAGGGATTTGTGGTTGGTATCATGAAATAGACTGCTTCAAGTAGCCTACTACTACCGGTAGTGCACGAGTGGCTCTTTCCGCTACACCTTCGAGTCCATTCTAGAAGGGTTTGACAGGACTCGCCCTTCCTCTGCGCTCAATGCGATCGCTCCTGCCTTCAGTTAGACACGACACGCGCCTCAACTTCAGCGAACTGGACACTACTGAGATTGCGTGCCCTGGATATTTTGCTAGCTGCCTACAATTTTGCAGCACCTCTGACTGCTGCAATATGGCTCGCTGCACTGGCATTCATGAGCCTGCTGCCACCATCCACACTGATGTCCTCTCCGTTGATGTATCTGCCTGCTCGCGAACAGAGATATACAGCAACACCAGCTATATCCTCTGGCACGCCCAGTCTACCCATCGGATTGACTGATCCTGCAGCTTCTTCGCCGCCGGCTTTCTCTATAGCTGGGTTTGCTAACCGTGTAGGAAACCACCCTGGGGCGATAGTGTTGCAGGTGATGTTGTGTGGTACAAGTTCCATGGCGAAGTTCCGACCCAAATGATGCGCGGCAGCTTTCGATACACTATACGCGATCGCACCTGCCCTGCCCACATGAGGCACGACAATGCCACCAACCGAGCTCACGATGATGTTTCTCGCAGGATCGTCCCGTGTACCTGCTGCCATGAGAAATGGCTGTAGTCTAAGCTCGAGTTAGTGACGCCCAAAGTCTGGCAAGTGGATGAGCCTGAACCAAACGATCTGCACAATCATATACTCACTTTCTAGTCAAATTGAAAACAGCACGCACGTTGACGTCCAGCGTTTTCGCAACCTTCCAGTCCTCATAGTCTTCGAACGGTCCTCCCCAACTTGCTGCGGCATTGTTGACCAGGATGTCAAGCTTTCCACTTGGCAGAGTCTTCTGAAGCTCAGCCGCGAGCTTCTCGACTCCCTCGATGGTGCTTATATTGGAGATGATATAAGACGCTCGACCTGGAAGACCTGAAATAGCATTAAGTCTGTCGACTGCCTCCTTCAGGGAGTCCTCCTTGCGAGATGTGAGGATGACTTGCTTTGCGCCTGCTTGCATAAATCCAGCAGCTATGTAATAGCCAATACCTGTCGCGCCTATCTCATTACTCCTTTAGTCTTTGTGCAACCATTCACACTTGCTGTATTAAGGAGCTTGTGGTGATGACTTACCACCTGTGATCAGCGCGACTTTGCCGTCTAGGCGGAACAAGGTCTTGAAGTTCGGTATCTCCGCCATGACTCGTCAACAATGTCTATTAACTTGGAAGGAGTGCGATCGTTCATGAAGGGACTCTGACTGATCATCATGCTTGACTACATTGTCTAGCAATGCAGGTGTAGGGCCTACCTGGTGCTGTCCTTTCCGTCAGTACTCCGACATATTCAATTTCAGCATCTTACCGAGGCAAAAGAAATCCATATCGAAAGGCCAAGGATTATTACTGTACGACGGCTATTCACAAACCTGACTCGGAACTCAATATGTTGTACTGGCTGAAATGGACAGTCATGTCTATGATCATAACAAATCTGAACATAGAAGCTTTGATTAGAGCTTACTTTTACCTGGCTCTTCATCAGCCAAAGATATACGCCATCTCAATCCAAGCATATTAATCCAGCTTTCTTCCAACAAGCCGAGCTCGCGAGCTTTCTCTATCATCTCATAATATCGTTGCTTACCTGTCACCTGGATACTGATCGACTCAAGCCCATCAGAGCTGCCATCCGCACCAGGAACAAATCGAAGCCGCATGTTCGTGAATGCCAGCTCACTGCCCTCTCGTGAGACACCAAACAGTCGTTCCCACTGCTTGGCCGCCTGTTCAGTATTGCTATCACCAGGAGTCAGACGACATGTTGCAGACAGAAATTTCAGATGAGCGCAGCGCTTCATCCCTGCTGAATATGCCTCGTAATCCTTTCCAGCTGCGTGCCAGGGGCTGAAGGTGGACTGCAATGGTGTCGGATTGCCGGCTGTGGGAGTGTGAGAGTCGAGTTCAGGCATCATACCACCTATTAATTTCAAATTAGGTTATGTCATGGTAAGGCAGAGACGACTTACCGGGTATACCCTTCGGATGATACTGTACACAAACGACATCATCGTGCTCGTGCCCATAGATTACCTTGGCGAGTTTCTTCGCCTCAATAGCTTTCCTTCGTGCTGCAGCATCAATAGTCTGCATAATAATCATGTATCCTCCATCACCTCTCTTGTCAAGCAGCCTTCCAGCTGTAGTACCGTCCTCGAATGGGGAACACACTTCGATGATGTCTCCACCTACAGCAACTATAGAGAGACGAGTAAGCTTTGGTTAGTCTAGTAATGCTTCGGGAAAGGATAACACGAACCGAGAATATTCTTGATTCCCCATCTTGAGACCTGTGGATCCACGAAGACGACTTCTGTGCCGAGTATGGTGGTCTAGAAGAAGTTGTTGTCAACTAGTCCTTGAATCGAGCTGGGTGGTTGGGGAGGAGATGCTTACAAGCAGATATTCAGCCTTCTTCAAGTTCTTGGCCACTAGAGCGATTTGCCTGAGCCGAGTAGGTGAAGTGGACATGGCCGGTATCGATAGCGGTCAGATTAGGTGTCCGAGGAAACTCTCAACTTGTCTCCCATTGACAAGATCACAAGCTCTGTGCATCTCAGAACCACAGGTCCATTCTCGATCTTAGCACAAGACCTTGAGCAGTCTCCGCACGCATTGTTAGCGCAATCCACCTCCGCAGATGCCTGTTTTTTTGTGATCGCCAAACCCCTGGAACTCTAGTAACCTCGGCTGTGGAAATTGAGGAAAGAAATACGCACTGGGAGCAATAAGTGAATTCATGGTGTCGTTTGTGCTTTGTTGTTAGATATATAGGTAGCTTAGTGTGCAGAAAACGTGGAGGCAGTATATCGAGTTTCTGGCACGGCCCTGACAATGATAACATTTCATTACAGCCTTGACCTGTAGGAGATGTGAAAGGTAATGAATTGCTCGAGCTTAAAGCTTGCTTCGATCCTTAGATTTAGCTGTTTGATAGTCAATATGCTGTAATCAGAAATATTGGGAATCAGTAGGATGCACTCACAACTCAGAAGAGCGACCTTGTCTTTGAATCTCTGCGCTGGAGCACCTTCAACAAATCTTTCTGCCAGGGCCTCCATAGCATCGAATACAGCCATCATCCTCTCCGCCCTTCTCGGCGCGTTCTGCAACCTCTTCGTCTCCATCATGCTTTTTCCATCATTGACCTCAAGCTGCTCCTCGAGAAACTTGACGACAGACTCCTGGAAGTTTTCCTTTGGGAAAATGCGATTGACCAGCCCCCATTGCTCCAATTCCTCCACCGTACATTTCCGTCCAAACATCAAGAAGTCGTTAGCTCGATGAACGCCCATGCTTTGGGCCAGGTTGATTGCACTTCCGTTTTCAGGTACAAGGCCCAGCGCGTTGAATGGTACTTGGAGCCATGCTCCTTCAGCGGCCAACACGATATCTGCGACGCCTTGAAACCAAGCTGCACCTCCACCGACCCCTGGACCGTTCAGTGCCAGAATGACGACTTTCTTGTGGTCGATGATCGAGCGGAGTAATTCGATAGCATATGAGAACCGAGACATGAATGCGACCTTTTTCTCGGCGTCGTTTTTGTATTGCTCTTCGTTGCTTCCGGCGACACCTTCGCTCTTTCAGTAGTGTTCTCAGAGAAAGTGAAGCATATGCTAACCTTTGATGTCTGCGCCTGATGAGAAGAAACGGCCTTCGCCCGTAAGTACTGTGAAGACAGTATCTGGATGCTCATTAAGCTCTCTTAGAGCTGCGATGATATCCATAACCAAAGTTCCGCCGAATGCATTGAGCGATTTGGGCCGGTTTAGCTATTGGCAAAAGTGTCAGTACTGCTTCGTTGGCCGACATCAACGAGATGATTGACCTTGATGATGCCTATCTTCTCCTTAACCTCAAAGATGATGTCGTTGTATTTTTGAGCCATCGTGTTTGTTGAAAAACAAGTGATCTGTAAAAAGGTAAAATAGAGTTCCTCTGATCACATATATTTATGTACGTGAGCTAGGCCTGGTGTCAAAATAGAAGCGCGAATTGCAGGAGGGAGTTGGAGGTTGTTTGTATGGCACGCCTGTAAGCGTTGTGCCTCGGCATAGCAGCTCGATTCTGTCAGTACCATGTTCATGAATAGAATGATTTCGAAAACTTCAATATAATTGGGCTTGTAGTGACGGGGACTGATAAAGATGTCGCGCTGCTGTTTAGGGATGTGTTGCAGTAAGAGCTTTATGAGTTGAAAACAGTCTAGCCTAGAGGATTTCTTGTGCAGGTAGAACTAACAGGCTCCTAGTCGTGATTGCATGCATCAAGACGGTCATCTATATCACAAGGAAATTGCTCCGCCAGACGCTCTTGCTCACGGCCTAAATTACCGTTGACGACTGTAGCAGCTTCGAAGTGGACAGGGAGTGGTCAAGATCCTTCAAACAAAGCCTGCGAATACATTCGAGCAGGGAAACGTGACGTCTTTTGATTGATCGGCAACAACCGGATCTGATGGCGTCAGCTTGAGCTAGGTCTCCATTTGCACAAGAATATATTTCGATTATGTGAATTTTGAGGTCCATACAAGCACACATCACTTGGTCTCCAGCATTCGTGGTTCAGTGGTAGAATTGGTCGTTGCCATCGACTAGACTCGGGGTATGTTGTCTTCACTCAATATCATCTAGCCATAATATTAACGTATCATCCAGTTCGATTCCCGACGAATGCATCTCGTTCTCTTTTTTCTTCTGTTCAAGTGCTGCAAGATACGTCCTTGTGGTTGGTAGCAGATCTTCAAGGGCTAGCTTGCCGCTCCCCCAGACTAGCATTTTTTTGGCAGCTTTGAGCACCCTTCCGATCACCAGGACAGGTTGATATGTAACGACTGAGTCGCGACTGCCCAAAATGCTGTCCTTCTGTCTTTCTGGCAAGATCTATAAATCGGTGATTCGAATCACTCGCTCCTACGCTACCACGTATCTTATTAAAACCCAAATAGAGCCGGATGGATTACAGCTTCGCTCCAGTCGTACGATTCTCCTTCTTCGCCATTTCCCTCAACTCCCTCCGCAAGATCTTGCCAGAAGGACTCTTCGGGATAGCGTCCAGGTATATTACGCCTCCTCGCAACTGCTTGTGACTTGCTAGCTCTTTCTTGACATATTCCTTGATCTGGTCCTCATTGATCACGTTCTTATCGGCAACAACATAAGCACGCGGCAATTCGTTGCCAGAACCATCAGGAGCAGGCACACCAATAACTGCAGCATCCAGGATCTTCGAGTGAGCTATTAGATAGGCTTCGAGCTCGGCTGGAGCGACTTGCAACCCCTTGTATTTGATCAGCTCCTGTGAGATGTCAGTATATTGTGTCTTCATCGTGTTTGCTGCTAGGCTTACCTTCTTCCGATCGACAACATAGAAAAGTCCGTTCGCCCTCCTTACGCCGATGTCGCCAGTTTTGTACCATAACCCATCTCGTGTAAAAGACTCCTTAGTAGCATTTTCATTGTCAAAATAACCCTGCGTAACCACAGGTCCCTGCGCTAGTAGCTCTCCCTCCTGACCTTCCTCTACATCGTTCTCGTCGTCATCTACAATTCTCAGACGTTGATTCGGTAGTACCTTGCTCACAGATCCTGTCAAATCGTTCTCGTCCCACTTCATCAGCGTCACGCTACCAGTGGTCTCGGACAGTCCCCAAGTCTGAGAGACATAGCAACCCATTTTCTGTTGCACAGCTTGCTGCAGCTCTCTTCCCATAGGTGCGGCACCACTAATGGCATGCTCCATACTAGCGAACTGGTCCCTTACCAGTGGACTTTTCGCGATCAGCAGATAGATTGGCGGGACCGTGAAGAACGTCGTTATCCGAAACTTCTTGTTGTATTCTAGAAATTTCACGAAATCAAATTTCGGCATCCAGTAAACTGGACCTCCAGCTATTGCAGGGTTCACAAGATATCCTTGCAAGCCGGCAATGTGTGCAGCTGGAAGATGTGCTAGAGTGCGGTATTCGAACTTGTAGTTTGGTTCTTTTAGTCGTCTTCGAACAAAGTATTCCCTAATCAGAAATTGAGGCAAGAGTCCCTCAGCAACAATATTTAGATGAGAAACTATAACACCTTTGGGCGGACCAGTCGTACCAGAGCTGTAAAGAAGACATGCCCGACTTGTTTTCAGCTTCTCCGGATCGGTGATCTTGGGCCAGGACATTTCTTTCCTGTTATCCAGGTAATTGACTTTCTTGCCATCGGCGGGCATCAGTTCCCTCTTATGGCCCATCGAGTCAAAGATCAGCACTCGAGAAAGAGGTATATCGCATTGCTTTGCAGCAGCAATCGCAACGTCTTTCGCATCGACACTTGCCAGTAGAAGCGTGCTTCTTCCCTGCTTCAACTGCCTGGTAAGTTCTGACGGCTGGAACGCGCTTGAGGCAGCACTGTAAATGCCTCCCGCGCCTACCACACCATAAAAGAGAGGTGCAAGAATGATTTGGCCGGACGATATACACACTACCACATCCTTGTCTGGACCATCTGCGCCTATACCAAATTCGTGTCGGAAAGTATGAGAGAGGCGCTTGGTGAGCACGCGACACTCGGCTTTCGTGAGCTTGTTAGAAGGATCTGCTGCTTCAGCATGTAGGATGGTAGCCTCATTTGTCCATGACAGCGGAGAGTCTGGTCTCATCAGCATGAGGTTCAAGACTTACGATATGTGCTTACCAAATATCATAGTCAGCACATCTATATCTGGCAGCCGATAGTCCTTCTCGGGTAAATACTGCTTGGTGTTCATGGTAGCCATGTTGGCAGCAAATGAGCCAGGATTGTGATGGCCAGCCACCTCTGCACAGAGACACCGAACATGGAGAAAGAAGCTGCCATAGCCAGCAGATCGTCAAAAGGATATGTTCAGTCTACGAATAGGACTGATCGCGCAAGCTAAAGTTTGGATAGCCGAAAGTGTTACCCTCTCCGACTGTATGAAGATTCCAGGCCGAGGTAGACCTGAAAGGGCAAAATACTACACGTCTATGCGAGCTGACAGAGAGCAAGTTTGACCTGCCAAGACTTTTTCCATATACTAGTAACGTTGACCTGGCAGTGGCAGGGCAGTGCACTGCAAGAAGCACATGCGAAAACTGTGGCTAGTAGTTCGTGGTTGCATGAAGGCAATCGAGGTTACTAAGCTAAAGGTATCATTGAATTCACTTGGTTGTCCCGTTACCACCCCTATTTATTCATCCTTCGTGACTGCTTGTACATGTGCTTCATATCCAATCACCAACGCAATGCTTTACGGAACAGTAAACAAAACAACAATACATTGATCAGCGAACTGGCGTCCTTGGTCTGTGATCACCATTCGACTGCTTGTCTGAACCATCACCCATCATGCCCTGCATAAAGGTAATATAATCGTATTTCGGCACTCCTCGATCGGCTTCGAGGTCAGGTCCGTGGTGTTCAGGCATGCTGTGAATCAGATCCTCAATGAGCTCTTCAGGTATTAGAGAATGCCGCAGGTCCATCTCTGTTACGTAGGGTTTCCCATCTGCAACCTCCTTAAAGGAGTCAAACACCTGCTCGGCACTGTTTTGATCCTCCGTGACAGCGACCATGAAACGAATGAACTGCTCGAAACCGACACCACGTGTCTCACGTTGTTTCTTTGATACCGGCGATGTGGCAGGATCAAGTCCGGTGTGGCAGACCTCAAGGAATTTCTCGTGCATCTCCTGCTCATCATAAACCAACCCCAGACTAGCAAGTGCTGCACTGAACTCGAGTTCATGCAAGGTATTAGTACCGTCACGGTCGAAGTGTCTAAATACTGACTCAAACTCTTCCAGCTGAATAGGCGTCAGGTTCGTCATACTCCTTGCTACCATTTGGTTCTCTAAAAAGGTCAGCTTCTTCGAAGTGGCCTGCTTGACGAGACTGAGCTCATAGACAAGCTCGTCGTAAGTGTACGTCGTGAAGTCGTTTTCGTCAATGTTTGCTTCTTGACACTTCTCATCCAACACTGCTATGCCTTCGAGATACTGTTCCAGAACAGGGATGTTGCTGGCCAACTTTTGTGCATGTTGAAGCTGATCCTCAACATCGCCCTCAAGTCCAGAAATTGCTAAAGACAACGTGTTTAGTGTCAAAGCAAAATCGTTGGCTTTGTCCGCGAAGCTTCTCCTGAGTGCGTACTTGATGTCTCTAATGGTTTCATTGATGAGCCTGCTTCGCCGCTGCTCGTCGCCTGATAGGCCGGCCCACTCCTCGTCAAGTACTTCAAATCTCAGCTCTGGTGGTGGCTGATATGGCCGCAGCCTATACGTAGATAATTTCGTCTTTATGTTTCCAAGCAGAGCACCTATCTCAGACTTCTCAGCTACCCAATCTCTTTTCAGACTCCTTTTGAATTTTCCCATGGCAGCAGCCTGCGCCTTGGCGTCGGCGTAAGTTCCCTCAAACTTGGACTCGCGCCAAGTCTGACGCTGTTCTCGAATGAGCTTCAGCAGCGCTCGCATTCTTTTTTCGTAAGCAGATTCCATCTCCCAGGCGCCTTGCATGTTCGAGACAAACTTCTCTACTCGCCTCCCCGCATTCTCGACTCTTTCCATGGCACTGAAAGCATGGAACCAGTAGGCAATGTAGGTCATCAAAGACCTTTCGTCTGGCTTTGCAACATCGGCCACATCCTCGACGTCCAACAGATCCGGTATTCCAATCTCCTTTGACGCAATATCGAAAGCCAACTGCATGTTGCCCTTGTGGTCAGACTTATCCAAAGTATCGTAGTCTATCAAATCAGGCCTGTGGATATCGAGTAGCGCGCAAAATGCCAAACCGTCATTCCAAGAGGAAGAGAAGTCCCGAACGTCCACGCCATCGTAGCAGGCTGTTTTCCGCTGACACCACAAGAGAAGACCTTCCTTGGCTGATAGACCCTCCTCGTTGATATCGGATATGGTGAACCTCAGAATGAGCGTCCAGATCAGTCCTAGGATAATCTTTCTGTTGCCATCTACCACGTCTTCGGCGCCAATATTGGTCATCTGGATTCCTCTGCTCCTAATGAAGTCCAAGCACTTGTTGACATTTTCGAATCGCTGTACACGCAGTTTCGGCTTGGCAGCATATCGTCCAAGAGACTCATTGCTGAGAAGTTCGAGAAGGTGAATCAGATTAACTCCATCCGAGAGGTCGGTCGAGAGGTCGGTTACCACTACATTTCGTGGGCTTATCTTATTATTGAGCCTACTCAGTCAGCACACCGTGACCGTAGTTCCTTCTGGACCAGCTTACCATTTCCTGAAAGTCTTTTCCTGAACATTCACCCACTGCTTCTCGAGCAGGACCATCGCAGCATAATCGAAAGGCACAATCCGGTTTCCAAAAATTCCTGTCGAGCTTGACCAGTAAGCAGTATGGTTCGCCTGTCGAGGCCAATTCTTGATTGTTCAGTATACCAATGTCGATATCAATGCCAAATGTCAAGTGTACGAAACAGTGAGGCTATCGTTTGTTTGCATTGTTACTATTTGGGCAGGAGCCGCCTCGACATATCAACGCCCGCAGTTTGCCCTGTTTGCGGTTTCCGGGCTCGCAAGGATCTTTCCCGACCCCCCTGAAGTGACCATTACGCTGATTGGCTTCCTACAATTCGGGCACAGTGCGCTTGCCCTGAAGCTCCATCGAGATCAACAAAGAGCCACAACCACAGCAACGAAAATGTGCATCTTCCTTGTGTACACCCACCTGCACAACCACAATTCGACCTTGATCAATGGTCGTTAGGGCGCTTCAGTCATATCGACATGTCGGAGGCGGCTGTGGCTGACTCTGCCTTCAAAATGCGGTTAAGTACTTTCACCAACATCTCTGCCAACTAATAGGACACACGACAATCAGCTCTTTGACCGAACATGGCGCAAGCACGGGTCGTTCGTCTGCTTGTTCAGCAAACATGCCGGTGAGTTGGGACCGTCAAAGCTGTGGCATACGCATTTTGCGTGCTTGTCACAAGAGCCTTACGCTTTCACCATGCAGTTCTGCTTTGCATAGGCAAACACAGACAGCCGGAGATGTTATCCTCCTTGTCCGATTCGCTATAGTTTGATGTCCACAACGGTTTGATAATGACGATGTGTGGGTTTGCGACAATTTGACTTTGCTCAGCTCGTCTTCACTTCTTGCTCAACCTGTCGCAGCGCTGCGAACAAAGCATGGCTTGTTAGACACACCACTTTGAAAAGCGCACAAACAGGGAGATTGCTTGCGTATCAATTTAATATTCTTCCTCATATTCCCCAGTCTGAAAACTTCTTTGCCATCACGATTGTACTCTACATAGTACTATTGTATTTTTCTGGAAAATACTTTATAGCACCCATATCTCATCTAGAAATAGACACTCCATAATGGGAAGCTTGACTCCAGACCAAGAGCCTACGTGCTGGGTCACCCTCGTCACCAAGCCCTCTTACTTACCAGGAGTCATTGTTCTAGCTCACACTCTGGATCAGCAGAAGTCAAAATACCCATTCGTTGTTCAGTACACAGACAGCCTTGGAGACGAAGCCATCGCCGCGCTCAAAGCTGAGGGAGCACGCTCTGGTCGCATGATACCGAGTCATGTTCAACTTCTCTTACCACGAGATGGCCAGGAGAACATGGCTGGCGTAGCAGTCGCCGAGCGATTCCGGGACACATTCACAAAGCTGAGAGCCTTCGAAGTCTACAAGCAGGGCTACCAGAGAGCGTGCTTCTTAGATGCCGATATGGCCGCCTTTCAGAATCCCGACGATGTCTTCAACACTGATATTCCACGAGATTGGATAGCCTCTACCCACGCCTGCATTTGCACTCCTGATAGTGCCAGTTGGGCACCTGCAGCGTGGCAGAAAGGCAATTGTGCTTACACACCCTTGACTGCGCCTGACCAGATACAAGACGATACTGAGGGTAGACCCACTTATGGACTTCTAAATGGCGGTCTTTTCCTCTTCTACCCTACCGAAGATCTCTGGGTTCGAATGATGGGGTTCTTCAACTACACCGAGCGCCTAAAGGACTACCAGTTTCCGGACCAAGATTTCCTCGCCGACTTCTTCAGACACCAGTGGAAACCCATCTCCTGGAAATACAATGCCATCAAAACACATCCATACATCCACCCTCCTTTGTGGTCCAAGGAGAAACTAGTCATCCTCCACTACATCGTCGACAAGCCATGGGAACGTCGTGTCAGTCCTGATGGAATAGGTGGTCACAAAGGCCGAGACGGTGAGATACACCTGTGGTGGGAGGCGATCTACGATGATTGGCAGAAGACACAAAAGGCCAGTTCGGACACCATGTCATACATGAAGAAATTGGTTTACACCAAAGATCCCATTACTGAGAAGACGCCGTTGACCTTTGTGCCTGGAACGCTCGAAGATGTGAGGCCGTATGCAGAGATTCTGGGCTGGGAAGGTTCGAGAAAATGAGCTTGTTGAGATTGTTAATTTGGATGCGCGGCAGCAAAGATGAACAACGAACAGCAACCTCAGCAGCACTTTTCGGAAAGCATCTAGTCTTTACAGCCACATAGACAGATCGAACTTCATGGTCAGCTTTCGGAACGTGGTTCCATCATCACGTATGATTAAATTTCACAAATCTACCAATGGCTAGAATATTTACAGGAGCAGTAGAGATATTTTAGAATACAGCAGATCGAGAGCAATCTAGGAAGCACTATTTGGCTAAGGATGGACGATGGAGATGAAGTCGTGAGCTTTTCCAAGGAATTGGTCGACTGCACTTCACTACCACTGCACTACACAACACACTATTACATCAACACGACCGATTGTATTGGACACGGTCGCAATTCGCGCGTGACGGGGTATCACCATTGTTTGGTGAGTCAAACAAATGAATGCTGGTCTACATAATCTCTATGTCTCATTCACCAGCGTTGTTCTTATGTTTTACACCTTGTTATTACTCTTTGTTGCGTTTCGTCATTGTCTTTCAGCGCAATTCCCTTGTGAAGGCACCTTAGTGACTCACTCTGTTACTTGGGCTGCGTTCCCAGACGAATAAATACGATATTTTCAATACCCACCTCATCAGAGGCCACTACCGAGTAACCCAGTTTCGACTTTCAAGCATAGCAAAACTAGTTAATCCTTCTTCAAGCAGCAAAATGGCACCACAACCACAGTCAGATCGGTTTGCGTCGATCATCAAGCGTCTCGAAGAACTTGAAGAACTCGAGAGGTTCGAAACGGAAAAGCTCGAAGAAGAAGCCAGTGTGCAAGCATCGATTGCGAAAGACTTACCAGTCTTACCTTCACCACGAAGTATCCGTCCACCCAGCATGCAGTTCTTAGCTCGCGTGTTAGAAGAGGAAGTAAGAGAAGAAGAGTCAGCGGCGATAAGTCACAAATTGTCCATGGAGCCCAATTCCAGCACAGAGCTAGAGAGCGCAGGCTCGACACCAACGACAAAACAAATCTTCTTCGACTGCGACAACACACTCGTCAACACTGAAGCCCTTGCAGTCGAGGCGGCTGCCACAGTCGTCAATAAATGCTTAGCCGACCACGGCATTGACGACGAATACACAGTTGAGCAACTCATCGGGCTGTATTTTGGCTTTACTGCTCGCAAGATGCTAGGACCGATAGTCAGGGGTCAGGGAGTCGAGCTAACGCCAGCTCAACTCGCACAATATGCCACGTACGAAGAGGATTTGGTAATCGAGCTTATCCACGAACGAGCGCAACCTTGCGCCGGCATCGAGCGTGTACTGGCAGAACTGTATACAGCAGCAGAATACAGGCTCGCGGTTGTTTCGTCGTCACCCATTCGACGTATCCGTGCCGCACTCGAAGCAGCAGGCATTGCAAAATACTTCGCTCACGATCAAGTCTTCAGTGCGAAATCATCGATGCCCACACCGAAATCCAAGCCCGATCCTACGATTTATCAGTATGCAATGCAGAAGAACAAGGTCCACCCATGGGAGTGCATAGCCATCGAAGATTCGCGGTCAGGCGCTCAACCTGCAACTCGAGCGGGCATCCCCTGTATAGCCTATGTTGGGGCTTACTCGACGCCAGGCCAGCGTGAACAGGTTGCACAGACTCTTGCTGCCGAGGGCTGTAAAGCAGTCATTCATAAGTATACACAGTTCCTTGGAATTTTCGAGACGGTAAAGACAAACGTGGAAAGAGAGCTCAAACAGCACAGACTGAGGGCTCCTCCCAAGTCGAAAGAGGAACTGTGGTTGGACTTTGCGATTTGGCTGCGAGAGATGCTGCATAAAGACGAAGAGCTGAGGTACCGACTGTGGAAGTTCATGCAACAGCCACATCGTTAGGTAGTGCTTACCTCTAACAAGTAGAAGATGTGTCTGGATTAGATATGTTTGGCAGCCGCGATCGTTGCGATACTTAATTCGGAAAATCAAAAATTCCTCTCGAGCTGTTCCGTGTATACTGTATCCTAGCCAGGAACTACTGCACTTGATATGTTCTTACCTTCCTGTTTAATGCTGCTTCCTTCTCGAAAACAAGTCGAAAGGTGATGCAGACTTTCTCCTCACCAAGTTGCAATCGGCTTGACTTTGTTTTGGGACTCAATATGAACCACTTCGAACTGTACACGATAGAGCAACGTTCCAGCCTGAATGCCAACTCCTCAATGAGCGCTTTTGGCACACTGGCAATTGCAAGGTAAAAATCCCCAAGTGACTTTCGGACGCCCACCGTCTCAACCCCAGTTCCCGCGGGAAGAAACCCAGGTTTCGGGGGTAACCCGACCGAATCCCGACCACTGAAAAAGGGTCAAAAGTCAGTCCTTCTGCATGCTGGTGAATTGTGCCTGGTCAACTTGCAATTGAAAAGGTTGCGATCAAAGTCAAGAAAATAAGAGATCATGTTCGACCCAAGCCAAAATAAAGCTTACCAAATCGTGGAACACGCTCACAAAGGTGGGTACGCCGTACCCGCGATATGCTGTTACAACATCGAAGGCATATTAGCCAGTGTTCGCGCTGCTGAAGCCAAGAAATCACCTGTTCTCGTTCAGCTGTTTCCTTGGGCGGTAGAGTATGCTGACGGCGTACTCGTACATGCCGCCGCAGAAGCAGCGAGAAATGCATCAGTACCAGTTGCGGTCCACATGGACCACGCACAGACACCAGACATGGTAAGACGGGCAGCGGATCTAGGCGGCTTCGATGGCATAATGGTAGACATGAGTCACTATGAGCGAGAAGAGAATCTATCCAAGACGAAGGAGCTCGTTGAATACTGCGCATCCAAAGGAATTGTCACCGAGGCCGAACCAGGACGAATAACAGGAACCGAGGACGGTGTCGCGGACATCGCAGAATTACAGAGTGTATTAACGACACCAGAGCAGGCTGAAGAATTCGTGGCTACAGGTATTCAGTGGCTCGCACCAGCATTCGGCAACGTTCATGGGAAATATGGTCCTCAGGGGCCTCAGCTAGAACTCGACAGACTCCGAGGCCTTGTCAGCGCTGTCGGCGATCGTGTGAGATTTGTGCTGCACGGCGCTGGTGCAGAGTACTTTGATGAGAAGCGCTTTCGAGACTGTGTCGACGCTGGTATGGTGAAGGCTAATATCAATGACATTGTGAATGATGCATATCTTCACATAATGAGGGAGAAGGCTGCTAATACGCCGTTGACGAAGTTGTTGGAGGAAGTCACGGATGCGATGCAGAAGCAGGTTGAGCTCTGTATGAATTGGTTAGGGTCAACAGGAAAGGCTTAAAAGGGTCTCACAAAACATCGGCGAGCTTAATTAGTCGTGTAAATCCAGAACAGGCTCAGGAAGTGCGACGGGTGGTTCGAACACGTTTGATACCCAGTGATTTCCCCTCTAGAAGCCGGCTATCAATATAAAAATGAATATTTGTCCCACGTAGCTCAATTTGACCAAACATGAACATCTCCAGTATCAGCTCCGGGACCCTCTAAACCACGAAGATATCCTTGCGCACAAGCAACGTAAGCAATCTTCGGCTGCCCAGCATAGAAATCATCGTACTGACTGTTCATGGCATCCGATAAACTATTGACCGACCCATCAGGATGCATGACTTTCCACGGCTGAACGCAAGTGTTTCCCTTGCAAGTCTTCAATACCATAAGAAGCGTATCCAAGCGGTTCTGGAGTTTTGCGACATAGGTAGGGTCGTTGTAGGGAGCTTTCGTACTAGGCGTCGACGCTGGCAAAGGTGATCCGAATGTGATGGCAAGATTTTGCATCTGCTCAGGGTCGTTCTGCATCTCATATAGCTCCCGCTCGTTCGTACACCAGACCACGTACACGAGGTTGAAGTCTAAGCTGATCAACCTGACAGATTTGTATGTGTTGTTGTTGGAGAGCGGCATCAGGCTGGCACCATATTTCCCCTCTGGTGACTGACTGCCCCAGAACTCAACGTTCACGTGCTCTTGCTTGATGACTTGCTTTTCCCTACCAGGTCCATAGGAAGGTCCTCCATCCGGCTTCGAGTTCCGGCGGTTTTTTGTCACAGGCATTGGGATGCCGTCAAAGTCCTCCCTCAGCGATAAACCTGCCAACTCAAATAGTGTTGGTGCAATGTCGGTATGGCTAGTTGGGCTATTGATCGTTGCATTCTTGGCGATACCAGGACCTCTGATAAAGAAGGGAATATTTATGTCTTCCTCGTAGGCGCAAGATTTACCTGCCGGTAGACGGTGTTGTCCGATATGGAATCCATTGTCGCTGGTGTAAATAAAGATCGTATTATCGAGTATGCCCAACTGCTCAGCTTTCGTCATGATCGATTCAACAAGTTCATCTACTGCAGCTAACGACGCAAGTCGAATACGGTAAAACTCATCGTAGTAATCGATGACAGTCTGGTTCCATCGCGGCAGGTTTTTGAGGTAGGATGGACTGTTCGGCTGCGAGACTGTTAGTCTGGATATCTGAGGGATAGGGCGAGTACAATGATGCTAACTCACGATTTCAGGGTTGTAACTGCTAGTTCTTGGCACTTTGACTCCTTGGTAGAGGTCCTGGTGCCGTTGTGCAGCCACGGGTGGGTCGAAAATGGGGAAGTTCGAAGGGTTCCCTGGTGAGCGAGGGAAGATCGTCTGACCATGAGGGCCTATAGGCGCCACGGTGAGGAAGAATGGGGCATCCGCGCCTATGCCAGCCTGCATAAAATCCATAGCTCGCGATGCAACGACATCAGTCGAATATTGGTTGGGTAAATTTCTGGGAGGATCTGTGTTGCTCTGCATGGTAGAGTTGTAGTAGATATAGGTGCCAGGATCAATGAGGACTATCCACAATCAGCAAGATTTCAAAGCGCAAGTCCCATCGACTTACAGTCAGTCGCGTTGAAACCCTGTGGGAAGGGTTTGTTGTAGTTCTGCACGGAATGGTTGTTCATCAGCTTTCCTACATAGTAGGTATTATAGCCACCCTGCTGAAACCAGGACGGGAGCCATTGACCATTCAAGCCTTGTTCAACGAACTTCGAGTAGCCACCTGTCAACGTTAGTTCTTGTGTCTGGATGTAGCGATTCAAACAAGCCGTACCGAAAGGTGCTCGAACGTCAGTTACGTTCGTATTGTGAGCAGCCTTGCCAGTTAGTAAGGACACTCGGGATGGACAACATTGTGCAATGGTGCAGTAGTGGCTCGTGAAAGTAGTTCCCTGTTCCTTGAAGTACTTCTGCACTAATGGCTGGTAGTCGATAGAGTTCATCTTGAGATCCTGATCGTCGGTCATGATCATTACGATATTAGGTCTCTGGCCAGCCGCCAGCGCCACCCAGATGCACTGAACAAGGCATACTAAAAGGTACGAGGCGTTAAATGAAGGCATTTTTGTGGTTGCTGATAAACATCAAGATCGTTGTGCCAGACTTGGTTTTGAGCTTTGTAGCAGAAGGATAACGAATCTCAATCCTACTGGTAAGTCTTGGTAAGAGTCTTAACTCGGCTCATACCATCAAGTTTGTTAGAGGACTTGACCTGTTAACCTGTTTCAACCGTTTGCATTGCATCTGAATGACAATGTCGACTGTTCAGCTGTTTGTCTGTTCCATGGAAGCTGGGCTGCGAGTCGACAACGGATTAGTAGAGTTAAGCAAGCTCAGTCGGCGATACATAGGTACTCAGACCCGGTGCTCTCTGATCCACAGGTTGCACACACGTTCAACAAAAGTGACAGCAGATAGCTCCGCATGCCGCAGCAGCAAGAAAATCCAATGGCTTGTGAATTCATGTCCTGTCTAAATCGAGCCTGGTACGAGATCTTGTTCCCGATTCCGGCTGCAGCTGTTTCCTTTTGGGAGCATGTCTTCGACGTGATGAGGTGGCGCACGTCAATGAACCGGTAGTGCGCAATGCTATGGGCAGCGGATACTGCGTTGTATCACATAGATACCGAATGGGCACTATTAGTAGACGCAGGGCACGAAGACCAGCAGGGGTGACAATCGCATGAAAACGACACCCATCGTAGGTTGCTTCCAAAGCTACCTACAAGAATAGACACATACCAGGTACAGCTTCTTATCAAACTTTCATGCTGATATTGATAGTCCAAGACTACTCTGGATTAGTCGCTGGAGCTTAACTGTAGGTCTCACATGCTTTTGAAGGATGTCGAAGCCGACGTGGTGGATGCGTCATGGTTAGCTGAAGGAGCAAGCCTAAGCCGTGTCGCAAACCACGACGCAACCAAGAACATCAAACGTATCGCATAATCGAAAGATAACAAATTTGCAAGCAGAGAAAGAGAGGTACCAAGTATATGATCTTTACGAGTATCTTTGAGGCAGAAGGTGCTTCTCACTGTTATAGCCTTGGCAAGCTTAAGACTGCCTGAAGCTTGGCGATCGAGCTTGGCGATCGAGCTTGAGAGCAGCGGATCACCGCCGACTCGTCACTCATCCAGGTACATACTTTTATCGGACGTCCATCATCTGCTAGCATCAACTCTATCTGCGGATATACTGGTCATCCCGTCCTCGCCAATCCTCACTTTTGTAAGCACCGTTGATTTCCTGCATGAAATCTAATTCTGTTCTAAGTTCAGAGTTAAAGCTGGCCAAACGAAGAACGGCCGATCGCAGTCCATGGCTCTGTATCTTCACTTCTCTCGTTACTGTCTCGTCGTTTGGGCACATCCTTGAAGGCAGTAACATCCTCCTTCGCCTGACTCTGCGCATGCGCGCTCCATCGCACGCTTCGAGCAACCGATGCCGGTCGTACCACAGGTGAATCCAACTGCCGCCTTCGGGTCGCATACGCAGAGCGCTTCGCATTTGGCAGGCGTCAGAGGGCTTAGCGGGCATTTCAAGATCTCGTGATCGCGATATGTTGGCTTGCACGCTGGCTGGCAGGATTTTGCATGTAGTCCTGGTAGCAGCAGCAGCAGCATGAGTGGGAGGGCAGTTAAGAGCATTTTGGCGAATAAGCTGGCAGCTTTCTCAATCGAGCCTTGAACCGACCAAAGACTATCGAACGAGCTATAGTGCAAGTCTTTTAAAGAAAGAGTGTGAGAGTATACTGGTTTCCGTCGCTGCCCTGCTTTTTTTTCGCAAGGTGAGTCTGCACATTCCAAGACCGATACTAATGGCAGAGAGAGCGTCTCCAGGTGCAGGAAGGTCGGTCTTTTCCAGAGAAGCTCGAGCTCACACCATGGGTGACTGTGGTCTGCGTGCGGAAAGACATCTTTGTGTATATGTGGATCAACACGTCAGATCGCAATACAAAGAGGTTACCACTAGTAGGCCGTTACGAACCACTTCTTCCATTGGATACATTGGCATTATACGAAGTACTTTGTTGCATGAAGAGAGTGGAGGCTGGAAGTGCCTCTTGCCAGAAAAACGTCGATCTTAATTCTTGATTAGCAGGTAAAAACTTTTTGTATCATCTCTGTCGAGGTACAATAAATATTGTACCTGGTCCGAGCCCTTGCTCAAGTAGCCGACCTTGTGTGATCTACCACCTTCAAGCTGGACATCAAGTGCTTCAAACTAAATAATTCCGCCTTCTACTCATCTGATATTAGGTCTCCAAACTCAAACATGCCTCGTCTGCCCTCGCTAGCCTCCTGCTGCAGCTTCTTCAAGTTAGCTATTGTATCGGCAGCAGCTCTCTCCCAGGCTTTCAATTTGTTAGGCACATGAGCCAGACCTTCCCTAACTAGATCCGCGTTGATACTTTGATCTATTCCTGGAGCCTTGGGGTCCAATAGCGTAACGTGCAGAGTACCATCTTGGTCTGCGGAGTCGACATTAGCCACAAGCTGTCTTCCCTCAGTACTTTCGAACAGATAGTCTATCGTGTCGCGTAGATATTGTGGTGCCATAGGCAGTTGGATAAATGATAGGCTAGCAGGAGTCGCTTGACCTCTAAGCTTCTGAGTGGAGAACTGTGGTTGAGTTAGAGGTCGCATGGATGACCAGGGCAGTGTCTCGCTGTTGCCATAGTCGATGTAGACAATGTCTGCCTTCTTAGCATCTCGGTCGACACGTCGTATGCGAGCGCGATACCAAGACTTATCGGCTGAGAATTGTGCGGCTACAATGTCGCCGACTTTTGGAGGACCAGATAAAGCTGTAGCATTAGCTTTATTGAGGTGGAAAGAGGCGAAAGACTGCATCAGTTCGTCCAATGCCCCCGTAGAACTTGTCCCTATCTGCTGAAGCATGAGTTTGCCTTCTTCAGTGACATGAGTAACCATAACATCACGGTAGTCCTTTCGGCGACTCTCTGCTGCATGGCCATTGGTGCCTTTCGTGTCAGTGGGAATTGGAGCTTCGTCCTCTTTGGCATCCTGGCTGGGATCCCAATCTTTCCACATCCCTTTCCGAGCTTCTTTCGCTCTTTGTTCAGCTGCATTCAGTTCATTGGCGTGGCCGAGCTTCTCAGCAGAATACTGGTGTACTTCGGCAAGACCTTCTTCGACCAAGGCTTTGGAGAAGCTCTCTCGACCAACGTACATGGTACCGATGAAACCTCCTAACTTGTCCAGGTCTTCTACATCGATCTCAACGTCCCTCTGCATGCAACGTCGTGTAGCGAACTCGAGTGCCTCTTGACCAAATGGTTCGGCTTTCTCACCCGATTGTCTTGACGGTTTCGGACAGCGGATACCGGACAAAATAAAGCTCAGTTTTGCGTTCTCTCGAGGAACAAGTACCACAAATCTTGAGCCTGCTCGAACGTAATCAACAACTGCGGGTACCTTCTTTTGACGTTGCAGTACTGAAGCCTCCATCTTCGCTTTTTGCAGACTCTCAGAATAGTCCTGATATTGCTTGGCGGCTGGTGGTTTTTCGGACCACATGCCTTTTTCTGCTTCTTGTGCAGCTTGTTCAGCGAGCAGCAATGGATCATAGTCAGGACTTCTGTCTGTGTCGTCTTTACGATGCCTGATCACGGAAGCATAACCTGCTTCTACGAGCATGAGAGCCACGTTTTTCCCGTTCAGACTCAGTGTCGCAACTTCGCGCTCCTCGAATCCCTCGGATGGTGGCTTCATGCCATCAATACTCACCTTCACATGCTTTCCAATCAGTTTCTTTCGTAGGAACTCCTTTGCATCTGCGCCAAATGGAGCTTGTTTCGGATCCGAGGGTTTTGGCTGACGGATACTCGATAAGGTGACCTTCCTTTCGTCACCAGACCGTGTACGTAGAAAAACCGTCTCGGCGTTCAAAACACGGCTGGCCGTCAGATCGGCTTCTAGCGGACCAGACGATGCTGAAGCAGTGGCACCAGTATGGATTCCCTTTCGTGCATTCTGGGCAGACTTTTCAGCCTGCCGTATCTGTTGCATCTCATTGCCGAGTAGAGTGACATGTTGATCATTTGCCCTTGCCAGACCTTCCTGCAATAGAAAGTGTGAAATATTGCCCATGGGGTGCAGGACGACACCAATCAATTGGTTTTGCGACGTGACACCAATCAATTGAGTAGTCACTTTCCTCTGGTGTAGTCTTGCTTCCACGAACTGATGTGCCTCGCTACCATACTCCTCAGCAGGAACACTCTTGCCATCTGGAGTGGTTCTTGCGGTAGCTGGAGCTCTGACACCAGCTAGCACGACCATGGTTTGAACATGTTTCGTGGGAGAAAGAAGAAGTCGTGCTATCAGCCTATCACCAGTGAGGACTCGTTCGACAATAGTGTCAATCTTCTTTCCTTTGTACTGTTGCACCAGGCTATTCGGATCTGACAGATCTGAAACGGACTCGATCTGACCACCTTTCCCCCAGAGACCTTTTCCAGCAGTTTTGGCATCCCCTTCAGCAGCTCTCAGCTTGTCGAGGTAAGCTAAGGTCGCTTCGTCCTCCTCCTTCCTTCCAGCCTCTTCCCTGACCTTTGCCCATCCCTCAGCAACGATGTCCTCTGGCAAAGTTGGACCATTAGGTACAACGATCCTTCCATACTCTCGTTTCGTGGTAGGAATAGCATATAGGACCTGGAATTGTACAGGCTTGCCTAGCAGCTGTGAACGTAGGTACTCTCGAGATTGGAATGCAAATGGCTAGACACAATTAGCTACTGGACCGGCAGTATATCCTGGTCGTGTACCTCGTCGCCTTCTCTCTTTAACCTTGGCGCAGAAATGTAAGCGAGGGAAAGAGTGCGTTCTTGGCCTTTGGCATTTGTTAGGACAAGTGTGTCGCCTGACACCACGCTCTTGACTTTGGCACTGAGAGTGGTCATTGTGGAAGGCTATAGTTTTTATGCGAAAACAAATACGATGGTATGCTATCAATGCTGAACAAAACGCAAGCAAAAGGTTATACTGAATAAGATACTTCAGTTGATCGTTTGGACTTTATTGTGGTCCTCGCTGTGCGGTGTGCACTTTACCCCAGACTCGATGCCTCAGCGGCCTGGTTCGCGCCTGAGCCCGCGCGACCCCACCACGTCCTGACGTGTGAAGCTAGGATTCCCAGGTGCTTCACTTTCCTCTAAGTCTGTGGTACGTGCAGGAGCTTGGAAAATAATCTCATTCTTACTTGACTGTGGCTTCGACACTGATCACGAGAACCTTTTACTTCGAAATCCTCAATGTGGGTAAAGGGCACTCCAATTAGCCGATCCTATACTCCTCGCTCCAAGCCACCTTGTATATTCGTTCGAAAGTTAGGGTAGAAGATACCACTTTCCTGTAATTGGATCATGTTGTCGTTCTGTTGGCGTTCGTGGACCATTGAACAGAAGTGTGTCTACAGGACCAGCCGCCCTGGCTCAACTTGTAGAACAGTTTTGACTCTTTCGAGGAACGTCCTTGCTCTTTTCTCCTCACCAGCTGGAACTGTGAGACTGAACACGTTGATAGCTCCGGAGCTGGCAACAGGTACAGAGCGGCCAGCTCCTGCTAGAACGGCTCTGCCTGCAACCGACTTGGCGGGTCGTGCTTTCCCCGACAGAATGTCGACAATATCAACAGGCTTCTTGAGTGGCCTTGCGCTGGTCGACTGTGGGACAGCTGGACGTGCTGCAACAGGCAGAGCAACGATTTGTGGAAGGTATGTACCCCTGGATGTAGTTGGTATGGCGTCAATACCAAGTATAGAGTTGAATAGCGCGTCCGCACTTGGTTTTGTGCCCCTCGCAAGAGGGAGATCGTCGTTCGCCTGATCGACTGCACGTGCCAGGAAGGTGGAAAGAGGTATCGTTGTTCCCAGCGTATCCTGTACTCTTTTCTGCACCTTAAGGACTTCTGTCAATGATATCGAGAGTGCGATGGAGCTCAGCTTCGGCAATTCTGGTTCTAAACGAGCTGAACCAGCTCCAGTCTCGCTAGTTGCTGCAGCAGGAGCTTTTGGCTCTGCCAGTTTGATGTTCGATAGATCAAGATGTCCCAGTTTCTCTATTCTTTCGGACTGAGCTTTACTGTAGTCACTCTGGATGGTGCCCAGGTATGCTAGCACATCACCCTTGAGAAGGCGGCCACCAGGGCCTGAAGCTGGTATCTTCATTACATCCGCTTCCGGAATGTGATTGGCATGTATCAGGGACTGCACAGCTGGGTATAGGGGGTACTTGGGATTCTGGCCGGAGCCAGATGGTGATATATTGGGGCGATCGCGGTCCGGTCTCTTGTTTTGTGGCGTTCCTATTGGCTCAGGCGCACTCGTCTCCTGCTGTTCAGCTGCCCTTTTCATGTTGTCCGCAGCAGATTCAACGGGGACAGAGGTGTCTTCGGGTATTTTGAGAGAGGAGAGGTCATCGCCGGGTTCTGCAAGGACGGCTATTCTCGTGCCGACCTTGACCGATTTGCTTCCATCCTCCGCGAATATCTTAGCCATAATGCCATCCTCTTGAGCCTCTACATCCATCGAAGCCTTATCGGTCTCTATTTCAAGAAGGACGTCTCCAGTTGAGAAGGAGTCTCCTTCCTTCACCTTCCAGGTCGCGATATTGCCTTCAGTCATGGTCGGCGACATAGCTGGCATCATGAAATTCTGCGCATCTTGTATCCAGCTAGTATTTGAGAATGTCCTTCGGGGGCATTGCGAGCGGGCATGCCTGGCTAGTATTCGTATAGGTATCCGTGTAGCCATATCAGCTCGACCAAAGCAGATGGACTGAGCAAATGTGTGACGGACAGTATTGTTGCAGAAGCAGAAAGGAGGTACGGCTAATAGAGATGGTGGTACTTTGAGAGAGAGCTTGACTGAACAGCATTGTTGAGCTTGATGTGGAGTTCGGGGCCCGACTCAACGCGCGTGAATAATTTGGGAAGTTGCGACCGTGGTGGCTCCTGCCGCGTTCTCAGCATGCGTCTGAATTGCGCAGCCATACTTTCTACCTACCTATCTCATGTCTGTCTCTCGCTGATACCCTCGTCCCACGATGCTTCTACAACTTCTTCGTTTGAGCCGTCCTCCGTCCTTTCGTTCTGTCTTGTTTGCGTCGGTACGCAGGTATGCCACTCCATCTACCAACGTGCCCCCATCACCACCACCGAGACCATCTCCTGCCAAGGTTGCACGAGCCGTGACCAGGAAACGAACCGTTGACGCAGACAACTACAAGAAGCTCAACAAGGCGGAAGCACTCTTTAATGCTAACCATGAGTTACTCTACCGTGCTCCTAAACGCCTCACTACCTTTCGCATTCAAAGTTGGTTCCTTGCCTCTGCCTGTGTTGGCTACCTGTCGTACTCCCTATATTATCGACTAAACGATTACAAAGCGTGGAAGGAAAGAGATCATCCATATCCAAAATTCTTAGCGGCCGCCAACGTTGCGACCAACATGATTATCATAGCGGCAGGATATCTCTTCATATACCGTGTTGGCGGACACATTCATTCAATCCAGCTTGTGAAGAGGCTTGATCAGGTCTTTATGCAGGTCACTACTCGCTCAAGGTTTCCCTTCCTTAAGAAGCATGTTGTCGCACAGCCTTATAACTTTCGTGTGGGTGACAGTATAGTACACCAGCGACGTGTACCAGATTGGATGCTCACCCGTGATATCAATGAGTCTTCTCCTTCTGCTGCCATACTTTCGGTCATCATCAACACAGCTAGGGCCGTCCCTCGTCTGGTCCACAATATGTTCACATCTGTTTGGCAACTCGTTGCTCAAGAAGGTATCGTACATGTTGCCCTTGTGGACGAGAATTCGGCTCAAATACGACTCTCTATGGATGTGGAAGGTCAATATCTTAGAGACGGGCAGTCTGACGCCCTTTGGGACATCGTCACAATCACTAGTCGCAGTAGATTATACGATGATTGAAAGTATGTGACCGTCCTCAAGCCATACAACTCTATCACAACCATAGCACTCACAGACGGTACGACCGTTCGATTTTGTAATGAGCTTTTTGGCATGAGGAGGCCGTACTGCGCCAACTTCTTCTATGTCCTACACAGCTCAGGCCTCGCGTACACCGAATATGCAGTAATGGATTTCTTCGAGCAGTTCAGAGAGACTACGCGACATGCCTACCTGCTCCAGAAGCCGACGATATTCAAGCTGATAGGCTAGACTTGGCTTTCAGGGTGTAAGAGGCACGCATCAGTTCTGAGGGTTGGTAGACCTCTTGCTCAAATTGTGCAGATCTGAGACGCGTGTGTCTTCCCAGAAAACGGCATTGGGCTGCAAAAAGTCGTCAAATGGGGCTCGACGAAGAGTGAAGAGTCCTTCGATATGATCGACCACGTTCGCGGTGGATCAGCTAATAGAACAGCAAAGTCAATTTGTTAAGGCAGCCATATGCCGTCCCTGGACGCTGCGGTCCGACATAGCATTGGCCGTCTTGTTACAGCGGCGGTTCATCTTCAAACGCACTCCTGGTGAAGAATCTCACAATCTGCCTGCCTACCTCTCTTCCCACAAGCGGGTCAAACTCACTCACGTCCATATTCGCCACCTCTTTGATATCTCTACATTCCAAGTAGAGCCTCTGTGCATTCTTGCCACTCACACCAGGTATCGTCCTGAGCAAGTCCAGCGGCGCCATATTGAACGTGCGCTCACCTTCCGCTTCATCATCCTCGAGCCCGATCCGAACAGCTTGCATGGGATCTGGCTCAGGTTGTTGCTTCTTGAGCTCCTCGAAGATCTGTGCAGTCTGATAAGGAGAAGAAGACCAAATGACCTTGAGTCGAGGAAAGGTCAATGTCAAAAGGACGATTTTCGACTGCAAATCTTTGCTCTCGCTATCAGGGATCTTGAGATTCGAAAGAGATGAAGTAAGATCGGCGAAAGGATCAAGAGTAAATGATTTGTTCTCGTTGAACTCAATGAGTAGGAAAGGGTATCTGTAGTGTTGCAACATTGTCTCTGCTTGGTTGAATAGGCGTCCAGATTTGAAGGACGAAATCAGATCCGAGATGGACTTTCGCTCGACTGCGATCTCCGGAGAGAGAACATAGTCGCCCACGGTGAGCTGACAAGGCACAATATGCATGTTCCTACCATGTAACAGGCTAGGCAGCGCCGAGCGAAACTCTCGCAAATCGACCACGACTTTAGGTGGTTCTGCAGTAGCTGCAAGCCTGCCACCTCCCGCGATACGGGTATTGACCGTGCGTAGAAACGCTTCCTGATCAGATACCTTTTTGCCATCATTCAAAGTCATCGCCATACTTCCCCTTTCCCGAATGAGTTTCGTGAACGCGTCCTTTTCACGTCTGACACTGCTGAGATAGCGCCTGTACTCGACACTATCAGCATAGTACATGAAATAGACACGCACACCAGCATCCAAACTCGTATGTGACGATCGATACACTTCGACCCGTCTGATAAAATCAGTATTTGGCGACAGCATAACGATATACTTCGGCCTGACCTCCTCCAGCAACAGATCATCAGCATCGCCAGAATACGGGTGCACGACAATCTCATCAGCCGGCTCGTAGAGCTCAAAGTGATCCTCGAACGCGTCGACTAGATCGTCAATGACCACGTCGTCTTTTTGCATGGTCTCTGCCTCTGTCGGTCGAAGCTCCGCAAGCAACACGTTGACTTGAGCCTCTTTCTCGTCGAGCTGTCCCACTGCACCGGAACCGCTTCGTCTTAACGATCCGATATTTCCACCACCTCTCATGCGCCTGCGTTTATTAGGTGGTGGCTTGTTGCTAAGCCGAGGGTTGATCCCATTATTTTTGATGTCATTAATGGATTTCTGGTTCGCGTCGAAGAGCTGTGAACTGACCGTGGTGAAGGTCTTGCGCCAGTTGAGGTATTCGCGCAGTTTTCTTCGGAGCATGAACTCGGCTGATCCTTTTTGGTTTTCTGCTTCTTCTTGGTGGGGCGCGATGCCGTTGTTCATGTCTTGTGGTCGGGGTTTCACGTGCATGGTCTCGAGGTATTCGCGGACTTGGCGGCATGTCCTTCCGTCGTTGCACATGATTAGGGTGCTGTTGCTGGAGTCGTCGCGTAGTTGTGGGTTGAAGTAGTGTTCTGTTTCGATCTCGGTGAGGATCTCCGATAAGAGAGCCCATTTTGGTTGCTCTTCAAGGACTGGAGAGAGCGTGTCGGGCAGAGAATTCGATGGTAGAGCTTCCTTGTCTTTGACCGTGCCCGAGTATACTCTGTCTTTGGCAGTGCGGAAGATTGTGTCTGCTGCATCGAGAAACAGCCAAGGCGATTGGTTCTGTCTTGTCGAACCAGGTGGTGGAGAGTGGGTTGCCAGTATTGTGTCCAGGTATTTTAGCAGAGAAACACAATCGTAATAAAGTAATGCATGTAAAATGCTTCGTAGTGTAGTCAAATCGTTCGCGATCTCTTTCGTCCTCCAACTGACTCGATGCCACACAGGATCCAATTGCCGCCTGACTATAGCATCAAAGTTCGTATGCAGCGCCGACTCAGTATTCCAGTCGTCCATCTCGACGCCAGCATTTGCCTTCCTCAATTCACTAATACTCGCTTCAATACATTCCAACACTGCAGTCTGAATGGTCTTCATAGAGTCGGACATCTGTACCTCCAACTCGATGACTTCTGCCTTGCGCTTCCCCTCCAGACTCTGAGCAATACTTGAATGAAACCGAGGCCAGATCGAAGGTCGTCTCAAGAACAAGTTTTTCATCATCGACGCAAGTGGAGCATAGCTGCTGATCAGTGGTTCAGGGTTGTCGCAAAACGCCTTCAGAAAGCCGATCTTGTTACTCTGCCGAAACACTCTGACACAAAACGCCTCTACACTGGTCGCGACCACCCTCTCAGCATGCAGCACAACAAGACCAGTTACAGTCTCTGGGTCAAGCAGACCACTCACAAGGTCCACTACGAGAATTCTCGAAGTAACACTGACCACCCCGCCATCGGCATAGATCTTCTCACGTGCGGCAACAGTCGCCTTATCAGTATTGATCACCTTGAGACCCTTGCTGAGTGAAGATCGAGTAACAGCATGATGCTCGGCTAAAGCTTCACCAATCCATTCGTTCTCGTGGTCTTCTGCGCCAACGACGATGACGAGGCTGTTGCCGGCTACATCGTATGAGTGAAGGAGGTTTGTCACGATTTTGAGTAGACCCAGACCACGCGCAAGGAGGACAAGGACATCTTCGCTGCGGAGAAGATTGTAGAGTTCCTGTTGGAACTGTAAGGGCAAGGAGAGCTTGACAGGCGGCTGCCCGTCTGCCGCTGGCATATTTACATGGTTGTCGTGATGATGGAGACAGATCTAATGCTTCGCGTGGCCAAGGAGAGAGGCGCGAAATTGTAGGGTCGCCGCGTCATCACGTGGGTACCTCTTCTCGATCTCTACCTAATACGAAGTAACATGTTCGATCTGCTTGATCTGTTCTACTGAAATGTGACGATGGTTGTATAAGCCTGCTAATTCTTCCTCACTTTCTAAGTTCCTCGAGTGTACGCAAGGTCTATCTCGTATGCCGATGATTTATCTGGGTGCGATCCAAACGGGTTCGAGGCGCACATTTAACCTGCCATCACCTTCTGCTCTGTCTCACGTCCCGCGTCCTCGTTGAGAGGCAACTCTCTTTGGTCGTTGTTGGTGTCTTGGACACCACCATCTGCAGTCCAGTCTTTGATACCCCTAACCGGCACCACATCCTCAACCCTTTGAACAGGAACGACCAAGATCTGCTTTAGCTTCTCCACCTCCTCAGAGCTCAACCCACATTTACTCATCATATAGTTCTCTACTCCTCCAAATTCTCCGTCCAGAACCAATCTCAAGAAGGCTTTTATATTGCCGGCTCTGCTGCCAACGATTCTGCTGGCCTCTTCTCGACTCATTTTTGGTTTAACTTCTTGGACTTCGGCGCTTTTTGCTCCTGCTTGACCCAGGCCACCTCTAGATATCCGTTCGATAAACAGGTTACGCCACGAACCGAGACCAGGCTCTGTCAATGCATATTCCCAAGCAATTGTATCATCGTCCACTCCCGCTAGTCTCAGGAGCATAGCAGCAAGTACACCAGTTCGATCTTTGCCAGCAGTGCAGTGAAAAATGATCGGTTCGTCCGGGTGTTCGATGATTTGCCGTAATATGGTGGGATAAGCAGCATTGTGTTTATCGGAGATTGTGGCATGAGTCGCGATGTCTCGGTATGCATTGACGAAACCTTCCGAATATGCGAATGGCAGTTTGTCACCAGTAACTTGAGCAGAAGTGTACCAGCCTAACTTGGTGGCCAAAGCGACGGGGCCGTAGTCTTCTTCCTCGTACACAGGAGTGAAATGCCGGGTCATACCTTCCGGCTGCAAGGCTGTAGAGTCAGGGTTGGTTGGTGCATCTGACTCATTAAATTGCGCCAATGAAGCGGAAAGCTTCTTAACTTCGGGAGCCGATCGCAGGTCATAGATGTGTTTGATGCCCAGCTGATCTGTTAGTGTCTTGTTGCCTTGCTGAGTGAGTAGCTGTGGATGAGCGCATCGGTATAGAAGACCTCGACGGACCATCATAGGCGTGGTAGCTGAAGTGCCAGCACCAGAGAAGTAGGACGAGGCGGTAAGGTAGCCACCCATGTCGCGGAAGTTAGGTACGCCATCGACGTCTATGAAGGGTGGTGTTGGAAGATAGTCTGGGAAGATGAACGTTTCTGGCAAAGGTGGTGCCTTATCTGGTGGTGGCGGTGGTTCAGCATTGAAGGCTTGAGGTGCTGATTCGGCCATCGCTGATGTAAATTTGTAGCAATAGCAATAGTGCTGCGATGTTGGCAAAGCGATACTCTGACTTTTTTGTTAAAGATTTAGCCAGTCCCAGGAAAGCACTCTATCTGACCAGTGCACTTGCCTGCTGGTAGGGCTATGCTCAGCGATTCGGCCTTTCTCGGTGTAGCTCCGGTTATCGCTCAGCGCCTACGCTCCTCGATTTTCTGTACAAATTAGTAGCAAAAAGGACATGAAGACATGCTGGTATAGTATTTGAGAACAAGGACTACAGAAATGTCAAGGAACCTCGGCAGAGCATGAGAATTGGTTCTTGGTCGGTTACGATAAGATCTGAGAGTGTAGCTTCTCAACGTGTTGGGTATTTGTGCCTGAAGTCGTCGGGAATCTCTTTTGCCGAACCAGTAATCTTGGAGGAGCCTACAGCTCGCGTCAGGAGTTTGAAACGCGTCAATACATCTGAAAACTGCTCGCAGCAAAGAAACATATAGTCGAAGATCATGCTACAATAGCACCGCTGCCTATGATCTAGGAATGGTCAGAAGTCGTTCGTCCTTCTGGTGTTGGAGTGCCTCGTCTTGGACTAGCGACGCCACTGGCAGGACTTGAGCCCCTGATCGCGCTCTTCTTGTTCATCAACCCTGCAAAGAAGTTTTTATACTCTTCAGTGCTGGTATCGGTAATCTTGATCTTCTTTTCACCAATAGGTGTACCATCACGCTTCGTTGTCTTTCGTTCCTCCTCTCGTTCACGTAAGCGTCTGGTTGCTTCTTCTGCATCAACATCAATCCCGTTGACATTGATGTGGTGCGACTCGGCACGAGATTGTGTACGATTCATCATTGGCCTCTGAGAATCAGCCGTTTCTCTTGCACCATTGCCGTTCGTCTTTGCCTTGCTATTGCTCGAAGCTTCGTCGTCTTTTGCGGCTAGACGGTCAAGTTCAGCCTTTTGCTCCTGCAGGAACTCTTGCAAGGACGGTACTGTGACTGTAATCTTGGCGGGCTCCTCCCGCAGAGATTGACCCTGTGGCTGCTTAGGTATGTTGATCTCGTAGAGTGCAACTGCTGACACAGATTCTTCTTCTGGTTTTTCGAAATCTATCGCTAGATCTGGAGGACTTTGTATTTCAATCGACCACCTCTCAGCGATCGTCTCAGGCTCGAATGCGTCTCGCAATATGCGAATTTTACCCCAGCTGTCCCAATTCGGCGGAACCAGAATCTTGTCCCTATCGATCACGTTGTGTTTTGCTACCTCTCTTTTCAGAAGTGATTGTATGTTCAAGGTGGAATGTAGTAGTGTCCGTACATCGTTCGCATCGAAGCTGGCGACATAGCATAAACTGGATCCATGTTTCAATAAGACCGTCCGTAACCATTGCAGCAGGAAATCAAAGTGGTCTTCTTCCCAGGCTTGTTCTCTCTCAAGTTTTTCGATCTTCTCGCTTTGTATACAAACAACACTCAGTGGAAAGCCCAGACCTTCGTCCCACTCTCCAGAACCTAATGGCGTTGCGGCTGTAGCACTGTTCTTCTGATCTTCATTCAGCTTTTGTGCGTCGGGCCCCGTCCTCTTTTCCTTCCAAGCAGTCATGTTCTCCTCCATCTCGATTTTTGTATCGTCATCCAAGCTTACTATGACCTTGCGCAATAACCTGACCCATTGCCGTAACTGCCTTGCCCACTTCCGAGGTTCTGACCAGTCGAGTAGTATATTTATCAGTGTATGTTTTGCCATCTTTTGATTCAATAATGGTTTGAGGAGAGGTGCATATGCGCTAGAAGGGTTGGACAATAAGTAGACATTCATCCTAGCCAGCACATCCTCCTGATCCGTGTCCAACACATCATGGTAAGTATAGCCCATTGCATATTTGTTCGATATTGGGACAGTTCGCGGGTGCCTTGCTTGATTGAACCGTGACCTTGTAGTATTCTGTTGAGGATTGAGCTGTTCTAGGAACTCCCGCTGTTGGTCAGAGGAGCCCCCAAGTATGATCAGTTGTTTCTCGATCAAGCCCTTCCCTTTTGAGCTGCTCTGCAACATGGGAATCCATATCGCCTGCTTCTCTCCACTGCGACTAGAGGTTGGCCTCTGGGGCTGTCGTCCTATCCCTAAAGAGGATGTGCTGGGCAAGGCCATAGTGGTGGTCATGGTGATCAAGGAATGTTATTGTGGTGGTAGCATTGCGGTCGATACCACCTTCGAAGGCAAACCTCAAAACAGGGACGTCGAAGTGGTGGATATTATACGTGTGTATACTTGTGAAGGTTGCTTGCTTGCGCGTGATGGTTTCCAATTATTGTTTCAGGAAGCAGGAGCCAGGAATCTCAAAACACGTTCATGCAGGGTATCTGCAGCCTAAGCACAAGCTTAAATTAGCGCTTCCGAGGACATTTTAGGTTTTCTGGAGAGGAAGATTATCGCCTAATTAATTATTGTAGAAGCTGAGTTTTAATCAGATCAGCGTCCTGCCCACGACATATCACAGCACACCAGGCCATTGATTATGCTCAGAGGTTGAGAAGCCTAGCTCGTCAAGACTTGGTGCTGCCCCAAGTCGTGAGCCCTGCGACAACCGTATGACAGAGTGCGAAGCCTCCAGCGACAACAATGAATGCTATCCGTCAAACTCAACAGTTGAATAAGCGCGAGCTCGAGAATGCGACCCCGCCGTCTGCTTCCTGGCACGCTGATTATCGCGACACAGCCTGGATCTACGTTGGTGGTCTTCCACTAGACCTCACAGAAGGTGATGTAGTCACAATCTTCAGCCAGTTTGGCAGTCCTACACATCTCAACCTGATCCGCGATCGTGAGACTGGCAAGAGCAAAGGATTTGGCTTTCTAAAGTACGAAGACCAGAGGAGCTGTGATCTGGCAGTCGACAATCTCACTGGTGCTGATGTACTGGGAAGATTGCTAAGAGTTGACCACACGAGATATAAGAAGAAGGATGACGAGGATGAGGACACGTACAGGATAGATAGGCTGGAAGCCGAGGCTGAGGCTGAAGTCAACACAAAGAATGGCAAACGGGCCAGCGATACCGAGGAGGAAACCGAGGACGAAAGGGATCGCCGCAAAAAAAGACGCATGGTGAAGGAGGGGAGAGGGACATTGATGATCAAACAGGACGAAGAAGACAATGAAGATCCTATGAAGGACTATCTATCGGGTCGAAAAGAGAGAGACTCTGGATCGCGAAGAGACAGGGATAGTAACAAGGAACGGACCCATCACCACCGTGACCGCCACGGAGCCAATGGCGAGGACGGACATCGGCGTAGGAGACATGAGACTGAAGAAGAGGAATTCCACCATCGAAGGAGACATCGTAGAGTACACGACGACGAGGACGACGACGAGGACAAATCTAGCCATCGCAGAGATACAGGTCGCCGAGCTGAACGATCGTCCAGGAGAGAAGACAGAGGAAAAGCACAGCCTCGCTCACGGTCTCGCGACACAAGCCCACCCACCGCCCGTCACAACACACGACGTAGAAGTCCTTCACCAATTCGAACAAGACGCCCGCGAAGCAGGAGTCGTAGCCACGATCGTTCTCGTAGACGGCACACCTCGGAAGCTAATAAGGGCGACAGAAGTCGCGATGGTACCCGAAGCCACCACGATTCAGACTGATAGTATGTCCAAAACATATACAATTCTAGCTAGTATGTGCACCCGTCACAAGCCAAGGTAGCAAGCACTACACACCAACCGCTGCAGCAACTCCTGACTTTGCTTTAACCACTAAAGCCTTGACAAGCTTCTCACCTTCTTCTCGCAGCTTATACTTCTGCACCTTACCACTTGCCGTAGTAGGATAATCATCCACAAAGAAAACGTACTTTGGCACTAAATGGTGGCTCAAATGACTGCGAACATAATCCCTCACATCCTCAATACCTAACTTGGTTCCTTCCTCATTTTGGTGCACGCGTACGAAAGCAGCAACCGTCTCGCCGTACTTTTCATCCTTGATGCCGACAATACTGGCGTCGCGCACACCTGGGTGACCCAACAAGCATGACTCGATCTCTAGAGGGTGGATGTTCTCACCGCCACGGATGATCAAGTCCTTAATTCGTCCTGTGATGGAGACGTATCCTTCGGCGTCCATGCTCGCTTCGTCACCAGTGTGCATCCATAGTTTGCCTGTCTCGTCTGGCACCAGCACTTCTTTTGTCTTTTGCTCGTTGCCCCAGTATTCCTTCATGACTAGATATCCGCTGACTGCAAGTTCACCTCGCTCGTCGATACCTAGCGTACGGCTCCAGTCGTGGGGATCAACCACTTTGACCTCTACGTGTGGTAGAAGACGGCCCACTGTATTGATGCGCTTATCGATCGGATCGTCTGTGGTGGTCATGACGCTGACTGGGCTGGTTTCGGTCATACCGTAGCATATTGTGAGTTCAGTCAGATTGAGTATCTTGTGCAGTTTCCGCATTAGCTCGGCTGGTATCGAAGTGCCAGCCGCGATACCTGTGCGTAAATGCTGGAAGCCTTCGTAAGGTACAGTCTTGTCGGCTATGAGTTCCAACTCGGCGAGGAACATGGTCGGTACACCGTAGAGTGCCGTACACTTCTCTTCTTGGACAGCCTTCAATGTGGCTAGAGGGTTGAAAGCTTCTGTCGGAAATACGATCGCGCTGCCGTGCGTGGCAGTGGCCATGTAGCCCAAGATGCAGCCGAAGCAGTGGAAGAGTGGTGGTGGACAGCATACTATGTCCTGTTCTGTGAGCAGCATACGATCGCCTATTTGCTGGCCGTTGTTGAGAATGCTCCGATGCGACAGGCAGGCTGCTTTCGGGGCTGAGGTCGTGCCGGAGGTAAACTGGATGTTGATGATATCGTTGTTGGAGAGTGACTCTGGTATCGAGACGCGCGACGTGTCCGAATCTGAGATCAGTTGTGAAAATGGGACGAGAGAGGTGTAGGGCGAGACATCGACGCGACTACTGGAGTTGTCCAGAAGCACAACATGCTTTAGCGACGGAGCCTGCTCGGACTCAATTTTGTTGGACTTGAGGTCGGCTACAAGTGACTCGAGGATCGAGAGGTTCGAACGTGGTGGCTTGTAGGCCAAGTTCGTCTCCGCACCTATGATCAAATGGGTGCCAGAGAGCACATTGAGAGCTGCTGCTATCTGTTTCGAAGTAAATGCTGGATTTAGTGGCACAAGTATCGCGCCCAACTTGAACAGAGCGTAGGTGAGCGTCGCAAACTCAATGTTATTGCCCAGAGACACACAGACTCTGTCGCCCTTCTTTACTCCCAAGCTTTGTAGTCCTCGAGCAAGGATATTGCTTTGTTTATCTAGCTCTTCATATGTCGATCTTCGACCTTGTCCTCTTGAAATCACTGCTGGCCGATTGCCATACCGAGAAACTATACGCGCAAAGTTCTCGCTGACCGTCTCTTCGAGTAGTGGAGGCTCAGAAGGTCCGGTACATCTAGCTTGGGTCAGCAGCGTCCTCCTAGAGCTTGCGACATGCTGAGGCTGTCCTAGCCATAGGACTCGTGGTCGCCATGCGTTCCTCGCGAAGCTTATCCCCCGCATATTGCCAGCATAAACGCCATAAGGTGGTGCTTGTCCTTATGGTCAACGTACTCGACTGTGCGTGAGAAGCTTTACAATGCGCCGACACCCCTTAGCTCCTGTAAGGAGGAAACACAATTGCACGGCCGAACGGTGAGAATGGGGTAACAGTTGCTCTCCAGTGGTACTAGGCGGAAGCCTTTCCGTGAAGAACCGAGGTGATCGACATCCAGGCTCGCGAGCTGTGGAGGAGTGCGCTTAGGGACGCCAAGGAGTACTTTCTGACTCCCCAGGCTGGGGTCTGATACGGGCATCTTTTTGAGCCTTCTACTACTATTCAAGTATCAGTTGTAGTCTCATTAGTTCAGGAATAGCAGGCGAATAGCAGTACTGTAGCAGCACTCTCACTCCCGAATGGTAGGGTGGAGCTCATATTCGGGCAATGTACTTCAAAAACAGTGCATGATGGATATAGGACTGCCAGGAGAACTTCGCTTGGCACAGCAATCGAAAGGCTTCGGAGCCAGACAACGAATGGGTAGAATGAATTGGGGGAGCTCAGTCACCAGAGAGCAATTGATAGTATCCTGAACTTCTTGTAATCCTCGCAACTGAGCGTCATGGCGATAATAAGCAAGCAGTCGGATGGAAATCTACAGCCCAAATAGAACAAAGTTTTGAAGTCTGCTTTCTCATAATCACAATGACAATTGCTCTAACAGCAAGAAGTTGACCCAGCACCCATATTTCCAACCCAACTCCTTCATGCTCTCTGTTCCATCATACATCGTGTTGTTGATCGGAGCCGGCCAGACATGGCTAATCAGCGTCTTGTTCGATGAACGTGTAGAACTCGGACTAGGTGCCAACTAGGTTCTTCACTGCAACACTGAGGACTCCTTGATCGCTCTTCCACGTCGGCATATAGGCTGATGTCCTGGAACGAGACTTCGCAAATTCTGAATAAAAAATGACGATACCACTGGTCCTCAAATATCATCAATATCCACATCCTTGTCGTCGCTGTCGCTATCTCGATCTTCGTCGAACTCAACATTGTCTTCAATACCTTCGTGACCATATGTATCTGTCTCGTTGATCTTCGCGTTTTCAGGCAGTTCTCCGTATGCCTTGAGTGATCTTGCCTCATCGGCGCTGTATTTCAGGATGACATCTCCCTTCTCGTCTTGGTAGTCTCGCAGCGACAGTAGGATAATATCGCCCTGGTTTATCCAAACCTTCTTTCTTAATTTGCCACGGATATGTGCCAGGCGCTTTTCGCCATCGAAGCACAAGGCCTCTAGACGACCGTTGCCCAACATCTTGACGACTTGTGCATATTCCTGGCCTTCTTCTTTGAAAGTCAACTCTCGTTTCTCGTTGTCGTTCTCGTTCTTTCCTCGACGCCTGTTTTTACCACCCTGTAGATCACTCCGTTAGCAAAGTCCGGAATTGGTTGCGAAGGGCAAACCTGTTGGCGACAGAATACAGAATGTGCGAAGTGTCGGTTCAAGGGCGCAGCGGCAGACTCACCTTTCCCTTGTTCTTAGGCATATCGACAAGTCGTGTGTAATACTCTTTGGTCTAATATGAACAGGCACAATAGAAGAGGTAGTGGAGAGAATTGGGAATTACTATAGTAATAAAGAATGGCAGCGGTATTGTTTGACTCAAAGTGTGAATTCGCCGTTGGGCAGACAGTTACGCAATGGTGGGGTGACTGCCTGGCTGCCTCGCCACTGCGCTGGCCAAATATCACGGAGAAAACAAAAGCACATAACAGATGCACTTTCCACAAACGTCTGTCTGAGGTCAACTCTGCACTTCATAGCACTTTCCGGTGCTTTAGTCTCGACCACGAAGATTTACTTCGAGCCTGCGCTCGGATCCACTAATTCTCGCCCTGCTTCTACCTTCGAAGTGGCGACTCCCTGAAGGTTGTGCGTTGAGTGTGCACTGAAATGTTATTTGAGATTAGTACGACATGCGTGTCGAAGCTGAGCATGCTGTGCCCAGCCTGGGTGTGCTACCTGGCCTTCAGCACTTGCTATACCACTTCTTGTATAGGGCTCGACATAAGAGTCTGACCAGACACACCACTACACTAAGCGAAAAGTGACCAAATAGTAGCTTTCCTGTTGCTTGTGCCGCTTCATACCGATCTCACTCACGCGATCGGTTTGACGCTCACAAGGGTTGCTCCTTGGCTCGTTGGTTCTCGTCAACGCTTTTGCCCGATAATTCATAGCTTGCTCTGCCTCCTTACGATCTTTCTGGCGTAAGGATGACTATCGCCTCGATACACGTACTTGTCCAGCTCGGTTGTGTTCAGCAGGCCTGGATGAGCCTCGCTGAGTGACTTAATCCCCACTTGCTGCATAGCCGTCTCAAGCTCGTCTTTCAGAATGTCAATCAGATGACCAACACCATCCTCGCCATAGCCAACGGCATACAGGAATGGTCTGCCAAGGCAAACAGCACTCGCACCCAGGCATATCGCCTTCAAGATGTCACTGCCTCTTCGCACTCCACCGTCAATGAAGACTTCCAGCTGTTCAAGTACTTCAGGACAATTTGCCTGAATTTCAAGCAGAGTCAGAATGCTTGGTTGTGCTGTGTCAGCTGCTCTTCCACCGTGGTTCGAGATGTAGATACCAGAACAGCCGTGCTCAAGCGCCTTACGAGCATCTGCAGCACTCTGTATACCCTTGATGAAGATAGGTGCATCGGTCAATGATTTCAGCCAAGCCACGTCATCCCAATTCAAGGCTGGGTCGATGAAACTACCAGTCGACCGTGCCAGACCTGAGCCCTTTTTATCGCCTGATACTGTTTGTACTGCCATGTGTTTTGCTGCTTTATACCCAGAGTCTAGTTGAACTCGCTCATCTGCTTCGCGCTTTCCAACCACAGGAAGATCCGCTGTGACTATTATCGCAACTGGCCGTAAATTGCTAACTTCTTTGATCAATTTCTCCGAAGCTTGCCGGTCTTTGTTTACATATAGCTGATAGAACAGAGGATAATCTTGGTCTTCTACCGCTGACCGCATTTCGGAGAAGGAAAAGCTGGCATTGTTGCAGCCGATGATGGTCGTTCCTCGATCATGGCATGCACGGTACATGGCTAGCTCACCGTCTGGATGAGCAAGCTTCGCCAAAGCTGCTGGAGAGCTGAAGAAAGGTACCGAGAACTCGCGACCAAAAATTTTGGTTGAGGTGCTGGGATTGGCAACACCCACCATGACGCGCGGACGGAAGAAGATGCGCTGGTAGAAACTGAGGTTAGCATAATGTGTGAGGTTGTCGTTCGCTGCGCCAGATTGAAAGGCCCACGTTTTGGCCGACAACGCTTTTTGAGCTGCTGCTTCGAAATCGTGTGTGTTCAGAATTGAGCCTAAATCTGGCTTCTCGTCCGGATGTGAGGTATGTTCCTGGTTGGATACCTGCTTTGATTTCCATTCTTCTGTTACTGTCGATTCATCCAGCTTTCCTTTGAAAGCCTCCGAGGATAAGGATTTGGCAGCAAGTGAAGGACCATGGACCTCGTTGTATGCGCGAGAGGCATCTTGACCAGCATATTCGAGAATAATTTCTATACCGCCAGGATGAGTTGGTGCGAAAGCTGTCAGATCCCAGATATCGCCGTTGATTGCCGCCCAGAGGTTGGACTCGGAGTTGTGTTTAGCCAACTCTTCGACAGATATCTTAGCTTCTCCAGCCATTGTGGTTATGGAGGAATAGCAAGCGCAAGGCGTACAGGGGAGGAGTACACAATGAACCAGCAGGGAGATGCGCGAGTAGTGTCACTTGATTACAGTTTACATGAAACATTTTTTTTTAAGTTGAGGCAAAGTTCAAAGAAATCAGATTTATGTGACTGGTCAATGTTTGCTTCACTTCACAACCGAGGGAAGACCTCGATGCAACGGATCTGCGAGCTCTGCGGAGACGCGCCTAATCTCTCCACAATAGGGCAGGAGCTTGCCTTTCTTCAGCACCAAAGTGCTTTCACGCTAAGCAGTGAGCTCCATCTCTTCGACACGTTGTTGGACGCGTTTTGTTAAATATTTCAAAGTCTAGTCATGCAATTTGTGGTGCGGAAGATTCGGTACTTCACTTTCGAGTTAATTTGATCAACACAAACACTCATTGAAAAAGTCTGATGGTAGTAGTCTGGTGCAGCGATACCGTTTTGGCCTCGGACCTGCTGTGGTAGTTCCTTTTCAACTTCGAGACCTGCGATGCCGAGCATTAAAGCAACGAAAGTGCTCCAGAAACGCTCCGATGCCGCCTTGGAATCTTTTCATGCTTACTATGTGAAGATTTGGGGCGAAGGGAGATGGCACAATTCGCTGTTCCCTGCTCTAAGTCAATCGACACGCTATTGTGCGCTGATCAATCAGTTTGGGAATGCTAGTGAGACGATGTCGTTCCTTCAGGAGGGTGCAGATGATCAGCTCAAAGAAGAGGATTGCTTACAGTGTTTGAGGCAAAACATGGGTGAGTCTGCTGGGAAGCTCTCGGTAGTAACGAGGTCGTCTGACAAGACCTTCCCTCGCGCTAGGCTGGTCGAAGGGTTACACCCAGAAGAGACTGTGCTCAGCCATTGGGCATTGGATTTTGCATCCGTGCTGGCAGCCAGTATTCTGAATGTGGAACCCCGTGATCGAGTGTTAGACATGTGTGCTGCACCAGGTGGTAAATCTATTGTCCTCGCCCAGCTACTTTTTCCCACTCTGAAGTCGGACGAGGAGAATGATCAAAAGTCGATTCTGCATTCCAATGAATACGACTCAATGCGTTGCAAAAGACTTACCTCGAATCTACAAGCTTATTTGCCCAAGATATTATTTGCTAACAAAGCAGTCAAGGCTTTGCAGCTAGATGGCTCTACCAAGACGGTAGTGAACGAGCTGCCATTAGGAGAGGGTGGTTACGACAAAGTATTGCTAGACGCACCCTGCTCTTCCGAGAGACACATCGTTCACGCATACCTTGCAGCGCGATCGAGCGGCCGGATTGCGGACGAGATGGCAAATTGGAAACCAAGTCATTCGAAAAAGCTGGCGAAAACTCAAGGCGCTTTACTGATGACAACCCTGAAAGCTGTCAAGATTGGTGGCAGCGTCCTATACGCGACATGCTCTATTTCAATCGAGGAAAATGACGGCGTCATTGAGGCAACTCTCGATGCTTTGGGGCGAGAGCAAGACAAAAATCACAATCGAGAATGGCAGATACAAGTTGACAGGCAATTGGAGGATCGTCTCGAAGCAAAAGCGACATTAGACAAGTTCTCAGAAACCACGAAACATGGTAGGATCGCGTTGCCAGACCATCCTGGTGCTGGAAGATGGGGACCACTTTACTTCTGTCTTTTACAGAAACAGAAATTGTGATCGGGTAGCACCTGAATTACAATTGTGCACGATATACTATTGGGAGCCACCGAGCGTCAAAAGTGGTATTCACAAGTCTGAACTACAGTGCCTACTCAGTGGTGCAACTTTGACAGCAGATGCATTGCTTCGTGCTGATCTGCAGCATCGTCGACCTGATGACCATGTGAAATGGTTTGTCTTATCTCACTGAGCACTAAAATCATGGCAGGCCTTGTCTTTTCGTGGTCCGCTCATTCAAACCGAAGCATGTACTGCTGCTATCATGCACGGTCGTTCTCCGCATATCTCTCTTGTGCTTACCCATGAACGTCCCTTCTCCAGCTCGGTGCATGACACAGGTATTGTCCCAAGCTATTAAATCACCTGGACTGTGCCACTGAATGGATATCAGATATTTAGCCTGCGTCGCATGCTCCAAGAGTGCTTCGATTAGTTCCCTTGAATGTGGTTCTGGCACTCGTTCAAAGGGTTGCTCTTGGGACGGGACGAAATTAGGTGATCTTGGAACACGATACTCCAGATGATGCAGATGGTTCGCAATATACAGGTTTTGACGTCCTGACGCCTCGTGCACTTGCAGAATGCTGTGCCTACCAAAAGGGAGGCTGTTCGGATCGACCTCACGCAGCCACGGCGAGTCTGCTGGCGCAGCTTTCTTCCGCGAGTGCATCAAGCTATGTGCACCAATATATTCGTTTTCCTCAAGGTCTTTACGAAGGTGAGGTGGTAGATCTGCACATGCTGTCCGAGTATCAGCGTAGTCAGTGTTGCCCCCATGACCTGGTGGAGGTAGTTCGTGCGCTCGTAGTAGAGAGTAGCCAGCTCTACGAGCATTGAAGGAAGAATCAACATGAAAGATCGAGTTTCCCTATAGAGCAGTCAGCCAATGCTCAGACACAGCACATCGGGCCGATGTTGCAGAATACATGGACATACAAGGCCCATATGATGACGCTTGCTACCAATGGCCACCAAGGAACCATCGTCTTCTTGGTTGCTGACATCGAACAGCTCATCAAAATCGAAGCGATTCTTGCGGCCCATCGCCACGTATGGCTTGACATCGTCGAGCTCGCCGAAAAGTCGGGAGAAGGCTACGTGTCTGGCGTCATCCAGACCTGCTTGTCGAAAAACAAGTACGCCGTACTGGGGCGATAAATTAGCTGTGGCTCGGAGACATCGCAGGAACATTTGGAACCGCTCACCTGAGTGATGGCATTGTGAACTTCCTGGAAGACATCCGATGGTACCGGATTCGAGAAATCGACTCCTTCCACTTCCGCTGCAAAAGTTGGGGCCAACGGCGTGACCTGGATATAGTGATAGGTAGAGTCTATTCGATGAGGCATGTCGAGGCTCGTGTAGACATTCGCAGAGCGTTTGGACAACTTGAATTATGTTTCCAGTGCATCTTGCACGGCCGAGGTTTGTAGTAATAGAACATCAACAAATGAGGAGTCGCCCGCAGATCTGATGCAACCACTATGACAATGAAATCTGCCAATCATGAGCCCATCTTTGATAAGAGCTATCAGAGTGCTACAGGTGATGGACACGCCATGATGTTTTGCCGTTGGAGAACAAGAGTGTGGTTTTCTCCTCACCATTTTTGCGATGATATTGGAGCGCTACTGTGTGCCTGGGAGGTCCATGTGCTGTCCACGAAGCGTTTGTTGAAGAGCAAAACTTCATTCAGGCACGCCCTCACTTAGATGAACAGCTCTACCCGCAAGACTCAGGCTTGTCCCCGTAGTCCAGAATGCATCGTCTCAGAATGGCAGGCCTGTGGTTCGTCAAATGGGAACTCATATGTTGACAAGATCCAGTCTTCCAGTTCGTCAAAGTGTTGTCGTCGCCCATATTGACGGATCGTAGTCATGGTCAGCCGCCTTTCACCCTCCCAAATTTGCTCCAAGCAATACGTCCTTTTCGCTTCGTGCGTGGTCAAAAGCGTTTTCTGCCCAATTCGTCTGACGCTCCATTTCATAGGTTCGCTGGTTGAGCCACGTGAAAACACTTCATTTCTCGTTGAATAGTCTTGGGAAGAGTTGCTAATTATCAACAGATCTAGCTTCGTACATTTCAAGCGAAGGTGATTGAAAATGCGGACTGCTTGTTCGTCAGCTACAGGCTGGCTGAAATTGAGGTAGCCACCAGTAGATTGCCAATAAGAAGGAAACAGTCGCAGTATGCGGAGGTTGCGGAAGGAAGATAGTGCATCGAAAACTCGATAAACGTCCATGTCGACCACATCGAGACCGGCAACAGCAGTTGGATGCCAGAGATTGGCGAGAGCACCGATGTTCATCTCCAAACAGCGCACATCGAGAGCGTTTCTTGCGATGTAGTTGATGTCCTGTGTGGTCAGCCGTTCATTCCTGTGATGCTGAATACGTAGGTGTTCGATTGTTCTGGGAATAATATGCTCGATAGCAAGATATCTACTGATATACCGAATCTCGAGCTCTTTCAACTTCGGCAAGGTCAGGTAGGGAAGGCCCTCGAACTCGTGGTTTCTCAAATGTGCGTGAAATATCCGATCGAGGGTTGAGTTCAGGCGGAGGCTCTCTAGATTTGTCAGTCGATTCACGACGGTAAGAGTAACTGAGCAAAGAGCTGCTCCTTTCAGCGAGAGTCGTCGCAGCTGTGGAATTGCCACCAAGGCTTCTGCAAATGTGTTGTAAGACGTGTCAATTGTATCTGGTCCTCGAATTTGGAGCTCCTCCAACGAAGTGAAGCTTGGGAGTAGAGGGAGCTGAACTTTGCTAAAGCTCAGATCGTGAGAACGAGCTTCGTTCCATGACAAAGCTGTCGTTTTTGTCGGACTGTGCATGCACAAAGGCCAAAGAGGTGAGTGTGTATAACTCGAACCCGTGCAGACTGCAAATTGATGGTGAGTCGCGCTGTTGCAAAGCTCTTGTAGCAGCGATGAATATCCATTGCGTTTACCTGACGAGCATGAACACACTTCGACTCTGATTAGGAAAGCCCGTGCTGGGAATATCTCAGGCATCAGCTTCAATATCGGACTGTTGAGACAGCCAACACTGCGATGTTGCTATGAGTATCAAGAGAGAGACAACATGCAGTAAAGGATCTCACCTAATTGTCTTCACGTTGGGCAAACATGAAAGTCCTTGTATTGTCAAATTGCGGACCAATTCGTTCTCGAGGTTCAAGTCTTCGCAACCATCCTCTCGAAAGCAGAAAGCGTCGTGCTGTTTGAGATGGCGAACATGGCAAGCCACGTTGGGTGATAGATGAAGATTAATGAGCACGTTCAGACTACGTTTGTCCACATACCTGTTGGTAAGCCTTATGCGCAGACATTTGAAGAGGATGGGTGTTGTAGCTTTTCGTAGCCGTCGACACGTCAAAGAGGAAGGAACCAAAAGTCGACCATGACTGCCACCGTCTGTGTAAAGGCTGTGCATAACTTCATCGAGTATTTCATCCGGTAGGGCTAACAGCGACGTTCTTTCCTGGACCATTGCATCGGTGGAAATGACATTGTCAGTAATTTCTTCTACCTGCCCTGCCTGTGAAGGCAGAACCACACCGGCCATGATGAAAGATGAACAGCAGCACAAAGGGAACTGGCTGTTCAGTGTTGTATTGCCCACAACCTTTCGAGCTCGAATTGGGTATGGAAATGACTGTATAGACGATACAGCAAGGTGAATTCGAATGTGATGGAGGATATGCATGTAATATACTCCGCTTTTGTATTCGATCATTACAAAAAGTACGCTGCTCCAGCCACATGCTCGAGGTAGGATCACCATCGTTTCGTGCGGGGACAATACCTACTGATAAGCGGACAAGGTCTATTGAGCCTTTGTAATTAATTACGCGTAACTACTTCAAGTTATACAGCAATGGGCGTACGACTTTTTGCCGCCCTTGTCTCCGCTCTGGTCTGCTTGAGGAACGCCATCAAATTAGTACCGCCAGTCCCTTTTAGCTCATCCTTGCTCGAGGTTTGCTCAGAAGAGCTTGCCGCAATATTTCTCACTCCCTGATTCTGTGATTGATCGCGTGCTCGAGAAGGCGCCACTATATACCTCGCGACGATCTTGATGTGCGTGTCACGGAAGGCAGCCATGGCCTCAACCGCTTCGTCAAATGTGCTTGATAGTGTTTCGGACACGTTCTTTGACTGAACGTACTGCCGTATTTTTGCGACACTGTCGAAGTATTCGAGAAATTGGCGATGTGCCTGTGGCATGTATTGCCGCATGCCGTTGAGATAGGCCTGTTCTTTCCCGCCTCTTTGGGACGATGGACCTTCGTGCTTGATACCAAGAGCAATATCGAGGAATTGTATTAAACTGCTCTGAGCGTTGCTGCCTCCACTATATTGTCTCCAGGAGCCCTTCCCTCTACCTTCGTCGTAGAAAAGACCATGTGGCAGACCGGCTTTTTCCATGCCACGGCTTCCAGCAAGGAACGGACGAATACGATGATAGAAAACTGATGGGTCGCAGTGTTCGTGCATCCTTTGTAGGATAGATGCCAATTCAGACACGATGACACGAAAAGACCTAAGACATTCGAGAACCTCATCCTTCTTGTCTTGCTCAATAGCCTTGACGCATTCTAGCATTACCTGAATAGCAGCGACTCCCTTTGCTTCTACGGAGACCGAAACTGCATAGAACCAAGCCTCGTCGGTGGTGCCGGTGAAAGTGTGTCGCATGACGACATTCTCAGGGTTTGTGATGTCGGCACCATCGGTGACCAGACCACAATTCCACAGGTTCAAAGCAGGATATGTAGCTGTCGGTGGTAGATCGAGATAGGCTGAGACTTCGAGCAGTGGTACAGTGATATTGGCTGGGAGTACCTAAAACTCATCAGTATCCTGACCAAAGCATGGCGAGTTTCGAGCATACCTCTCGTGGTTGTAGATCGCTCCACGTATGGGCGTGTGTGAAGAATGTCAGTATGACATAGGCTCTCCTCCACTCCGGCAATGATCGTAGTTCACTTGTGCTGAGTAGTGGTAGTGAAGCAAATTCGTTATACAGAGATCCGTCGCTTATCAAGATCGGAAGTCGTGAGATCAAGTTTTCCCAGGGCTGATAGTACGTGCTCGGTAGTCGTGCAAGAGGTTCATCTACTGGTAGAAACCCATAGTGAGATATCTCGAAACTGTGTAGAATTCGGTCGATTGAGTCGAACATGTTCGGCAGGAGGTGGACCTGAAAGTGTGCGGTAGATCGGCTTTAGGACAGGTGAGAAAGATTTAGTCGTCGTGTAGTTGCAGGAAATCTCAACCCAGACCTCAAAGTAATCAAAAGAGGTGCTGCGATGAGTTATTCTGTGATCGGGTCAGCTGCTCAACCACTTTAGGAGTGCTGATGTATTCTCGGAATCGGCAACGGAAGCGGAGGCGGATACGGAAACGGGACTGTGGGCCAAAATTTTTAGTAGTCAACCCGTCCAGTCTGGCAGATCGTCACAGGCATTGACCTCAAACATGCTTGTTGTACATAAAGCTCCTCGCAGAATCCACGAAATGCATTCTCTCCATTCTCAAATCTTTCACAACAACATCCTGACAAGTATTCGACTTGCTCGGCTATCATTTTCTTGACCACCAACATGTCTCCATCCAAAGTTGACACAGCCGCATTCGATTTCCCAGCTGAAGCCACAGCCCTGGATTACGCAAAATCACAAGACGCAAAAGACTCCCTGCAACACCTGAGATCAGAGTATATAATTCCATCCAAAGCGAGTTTGAAAGCTCGAAGGCTAGCGCAGCCAAACTTATCCAATGAGGATGGCATATATTTCTGTGGCAATTCGCTTGGCTTGCAGCCAAAGGCAATGCGAACTTTTATCCAAGCTCAGCTTGATACCTGGTCGTCGATAGGAGTGCAAGGGCACTTCACCAGAATTGAGGACTCACCTTTACCCCCATGGCAAGACATGGCCAAGACGGCCGCAACATCCATGGCTAAGATAGTCGGAGCCAATCCCGACGAGGTCGCTGCGATGAACACATTGACAGTAAATCTTCATCTGCTCATGGCAAGCTTTTACCGACCAAGTGGCAGAAAAAGCAAGATCTTATTAGAGTGGAAGGCATTCCCGAGCGACCACTATGCGATTGAGTCTCAGATAAGGTGGCACGGTTATGACCCCAAGGAGAACATGATCATGCTAGAGCCAGATGATGGTTACAGAATATCGACCGAAAAGATTCTGAAGACGATCGACGACCATACTGATGAAATTGCTCTGGTAATGCTTCCAGGTGTGCAATACTATACTGGTCAGTTGTTTGACATTCCAACGATCACATCTTACGCACAATCAAAAGGACTGACGATAGGCTGGGATTGTGCACATGCTGCAGGTAACGTGCCATTGCAGCTTCATGACTGGAATGTCGATTTTGCTGTATGGTGTACATACAAGTACATGAATGCAGGTCCTGGATCAATTGCAGGCGCGTTCGTCCATGAACGTCATGGTCGGGTCGAGTATGATGAGAACGACAAACCAATATTTCTGCCGAGATTGAGCGGCTGGTATGGTAAGTACTCCCAGATTCGTGCCATTGGCCTTCATTAAAACGAGGCATTGGTCACCCCGTTCTCGATCTTCAAGCTAATGATCACAGGTGGAGATCAAGCAAGCAGATTCAAAATGGATAACAATTTTCGGCCGAGCCCTGGTGCGGCAGGATTCCAATGTTCGAATCCCTCAGCGATCGATCTGACAGCTCTCTGTGCCGCCATGTCGGTTTTCGATAAGACCACAATTGCGGCACTGCGACAGAAGTCATTGCGGTTGACTTGCTATCTTGAACATCTGCTTGATGTGTTGCAAGAAGATTTCGCAGAACGACCTTTCAACGTCATTACACCAAAGGACACTACTCAAAGAGGTGCACAGCTGTGTATTCTTTTGAAAGAAGGCTTACTCCAACCAGTAGCAGCTGCGCTAGAGGAGGCGGGCGTGATTTGCGACAAGAGAGAGCCGGGTGTCATTCGGGTCGCTCCAGTACCAATGTATAATACCTATGAGGATGTCTGGCATTTTGTGCAGATCTTCCGAAGCGCTTTGATATAAACCAAATACAGAAACTGAAGCTCGTGGTGATTTCTTTATTCAGTGGCTTGAAATTCTGCCCAGTTGAACCAATCGTCTGCGTTACCTACGAAATCTTGACCAAGCGCAAAGAAGTTCTGCCCCAAAAATGGATCCTCGTAGAATTGACCTGGTACTTCACTCGAGTGGTCGCTGCCTGTGCCAGTGCTCGGCCCGGCTACAGGTGTTGAAGCTGCTGAGAAGGAGGTAGGTGGCAGAGCGTTTACCCTGGTAGGTTCGGGCAAGAGGTTCGTGCTTGAGAACTCTGCTCTTTCTCTGGTACGTGGCCGCATTCTTAGAGAAGATCCAAACATACTATTACTTCCTCCCGGAAGTGTCGAGGCAACAGAGTTGTCAAGAATTTGCCAGAAGAGTGAAAGGTCAACCGGTCCAGATTGATCGGGGGACGATGTAAGTATAGACGACTCAAAGGCTTGGGAAAGTACAGTCTCGAATTTCTGGAGCTTAGTGGCCTAACACTATTAGCACGAGGTCAAGTAACACGGAGACAACTCACAATTTGCTCGACATGTGGCCAGTACCGACCAAGATCATGAACAATTTTCATGCACAGCTGGTATTTGGCCTGCTTTATTACACGAACTTCCTGATCCGTTGTGTAACTCTGCTGGAGAAAAATAGTGGCTGTGATAGCTATGCACTGACCAAGGAATGGGCAACTAAATTCGAATTGCTTGTCTATTGCAATCTCGAGCAAATGGCTGATCCAGTCAGTATGTGAGGTGATCATGTCGGAGGTGTTCTGAAGAAAGAGCTCTGGTATCTGGTTGACACGAAATCTTCGTACGTGGAGACTCATCAGCAATGGATGGTTCATGGTACAAACGATTGAATGGTATATGATTTGCAGGTAAAGCCAGGGCGCCCAATAGAGCCTGTTTTCGGACAAGGTCAAAATGGTGTGCTCAGTAAAGCCAGACGGCTTGAAGCGATGCTTTTGCGGCATCTGAGACTCCAGTTCCATTTGGTTGAACATAATTTTTGAGTACATCGACTGACCAGACCATGGAGGATGCTGGTCCAATTTACCTCGATGATGTACGTAGTGCCGTACTGTGCCCCAAACCTCGCTCATTTGAGTTGCATAAGCCACGACTCCAAAGTCTTGGTCATTATTCTGCTTCGCACCCAACACAAGGTTGTTAGTGGCATCACTTGGAGGATGGCCAAGGCCACTGCCGTCAATCCTTACAATGAAAGAGTCAACACCACCACATAGATGCTGCAATACTATGAGGCTCCATAAGCACCGGACGTGCTCTTCCGTGGTCGAACTCTTGTTTGCTAGCCTGGTGTAGAGGCCAAGTCCAGCACTTCGAGCCAATTCGGTCGCAAGGGCCAGGTAGAGACCTGCTTGTTGAAGCTGACCATCATTAAATGCAACAAACGTCAGAAGACACAATGTCTGCAGGGTGGATAGCTCCACACGTTCCTCCAGAATTCTATTCATTACAATCGACTTAGCAATCTGTGAGTATTTTGTCGCACAAGCTCTTCGACTGGCCAAAGAATCCTCATCCAAGTCAAATCTCAAGGAAGCCGCGCATACACAGAGTTGAACTTCCAAATCACGACTAAATATCATTGCTTCCAAATTTTTCGGCGCGAACAGAGGCAAAGGCTGACAATGACAAAATTGTAGATAGAGTCGAGCGGCGTTGCGAACTGTTTCTCGAGCGGGCACATCAGCATCATGCAATGCATTTGGCACCGAACTGGAGTACGAGGACAACGGCGTCCGCAAATTTGCAAGTAGTCGCACTTGATCAAGCACTTCTGACACCTTGTCGTCTAAAGTGCGCACACGATCGTCCAGCTCCTGTGGATACACTTGCTCAGCGTTCGTATAAGAGGGCTGAGTATGTGTTTCTGAGTCGGGACTATTCGGCGTGACATTGAACGTGCCCGAATCATGAAGCGGTCCTGTATATTTACAAGGCTGATTTAACCTTGCACAAAGTGCACAAACCGGCTGTTCCCCTGAGCATCGACTCTTCTTGCGGCGGCAGGGCTCGCAAGCCTCGCGAGCGCGTTTCCTGCTAGTATGTCCAGATAGTGGAGGTTGCGCCATTATCAAAGAGGTCGCCCGTCAGACAGACTCAACTCTCTCCACGAGGGATGCACGACTTTCTCAGTACGGGACCCACTTGGACACGTTAAGGAGCTTCGCAATGTTCAGCAAAAGAGAAGGCTATCAAACCCTGTGAGTACTCTCAAAGAGTCGGGCCGCAGTGGCAGGCCTGATCCAAGAGAACACGCATGTACTGCCGAGGGTCGTCGATTTATGAGCGGAATCATTATCGTTCGTCAGGTAGGTCTTGTAGAGTCGCAGCGAACAACCACTACGTGCAGCCTCGTCTCTTCAGTGTATTGAGGCGCATTCGCGCTCAGTGATAGAGGAGCACGGAGCGGCGAGGAGGGTTGAATTGATACGTTGTTTGAGCTCAGGTCGTCGCAGTGGAGGCGCGGGAGACATGAGGTGGTGCCAAGCTACTGTAGCTGGATGTACAGGATACGTACTCAGCATAGCTGGTCAGAACAATATTCACAATCGATTGCCTTCTGCTAACCCGACAACTTGAAGTACGGAGAGGTGAGTTGAACTTTCCAGGCTAGGTAAGCATGTGCTTAGGCAAACCAGTGGCCCCAGAACCAACCCTTCAAGCTCAAGCCCCACTACTAGTAGGCTAACGCACTTCGCTCATACTATTACTGTAGTTGGTGCTTGGTTGCAGCTGCTGCCAGTGCGATTTCACCACAAATCAGGGAACCAAATGCTGCAACTCTTTTCTATCTATACCTTTGCTATGAACCACATCACTATGAAAGCAGATCAGGCCAGCTGGGGGCCTCATCTATAACCAATGATTGCCATGCTCCTATGCCAGGTTCCAATATGGGTGTCGCAAATGTAACCAAACACAGTTAGGGCCGTCTCCTTCGGTGAACCTCCACAGCAAAGGAACAGGTCTGCGACCATGATGAGCGGCGACATGGAGCGTCAGCAAGACACTCTGGTCCGTGAAGACCCCAGATCAGCACTACGATATCAGCCGTGCTAACCTTCTGATCATTTCGGTTTCGGATCCTAAAAACGTTGGCCTTAGAAATCTGCCCGTTCAGGCTACTAATGCACAGAACAGGACCCACTCAGGCAGGTTTCAAAATAGCCAGCTGTATCTTAGCTAGTCGGCTGAATGATCAGAGACAGAGATTTACGCTTCTCGCACATACGAAGCATCCAAACGACTAAGGCTGACTGTGTCTGTCAAAGGTGGTCTTCCATATATTCCTTTGTGGCAGCGGGATACATGCTGCAACTTCACCAGATTCTGATAAGATAATGAGGCATGAGCGACTCCAAGCTCCTCAGACGAATCATCGTCTGTGTGGACGATACCGTAGATGCCTTCAATCAAGCAGCAGGTACCTCAAGGTCGATAAATCCTAGCAATGTTGTCAGAGTACATCGCTCCATCAAACATGGTCGCTTCGAGGACGCAACGGCTAGTATCGTCGAACAGGAAGCAAAATACTACCAGGCTATTGTGCCCACCTCGCGATTTAAATCCACCAGTGCGGCTGAGCAACAGATTCATGATATCGCCCTGGACATTTGTCAAGCTCTGAAAACTCCAAGAGATGAGATCTTCCTCTTCGCTGCTGGCCGTGGCGCCTATGTGGCACGCGCCGTCGCTGGTCTTCTCCATCACATGGGCATACCTCTACCAGGATACCTGCGCAGTTTTCGCGAGCTGTACGAGAACGCACTCAAGCTGATCAAAGCCCGACAGCAGGACGATGGAATCAAAGGTGACCAAGCTCTAGAGTTTCTGCGCATACATACCCAAGGAACTCCTAACATCAAGTTTGTCGGCATTTTTGATGCAACCGTCTCTCCTGTTGACCAACAAATCTACGATACATCGATAGTTACCTCAATCCGGAATTTCAGGCACGCAATGGCATTGAACGAGAACCGCAAGCTCAACACTCTTGACCTGCCTGATCAGCCTCCTGCTAAGGACATGCAAAGCAGATCGTTTCTCCAGAGTTGGTTTTTAGGTTCTCATGCCGATATAACCGGCGGCACCCAGCACGATGGTCTATCCATCTATCCACTACAATGGATCCTGATTGAGGCGCTGCTGCAAGGACTAGTTGCCTCTTTTGACCTGCCCAACCAAGCAAATACTGTCACAGAGAACCCCATATCCCTTGTGTTCCCTCACTATGCAGGCGCAGTACCAGATCTCAGTGGAAAGGAACAAGTGCAGTGGCGAATCGAATATGCCAACGGGGTTATAGTGAATATGTTCGACCTTCATAGCGTTCACGTGAGCAAGTCCGATGCACAGGAGACTTCTCATACTATAGTCTTTGAGAAATCGAGCCGCATGCAAGTCACGCCACGAAGAATATTCAACAAGAAAGGTCTCAATGGATACGATCCTGAGGCAAGCTATGGTACAATCATCCACCCGTCAGCGTTTTGCATACTAAGTCGGAATCAAAGATTTCTAGAACAACCCAGATTCAAACTCTACAAGGAAAATTTGGCCGACTTCGAATTTAACTGCTTACGAAGCGACGCAGACACATTGCCACCATGGTTGGAAAACTCACAGCTGCTGGCTAGTGGGGTGAAGGCATTCAGGATCCTTGTCTGTGGTAAGACAGGTGTCGGCAAGTCAACGCTGATCAACAAAGTATTTGGCGTGGAAATGGTAAGCGTGCGAAATTCTGAACCTGTCATCACGATGGCTGATCTTTGCAGACAGAAGAATCTACCAACTATACACAGGGTGTTCACGACATCAACAAAGCCTTCGAATCTCCGAACCACCCAGGTCTGTTGATACACGACTCACGTGGCTGGCAGGCTGGGAGTGACCAGGAACTTGACCTGATAGCTCAGTTTTTGCGCCATCGTGCCTATCAGAAAGAGGCGGCAGAAGCTCTGCATGTTATCTGGTAAGGAGATCCTTCATACGTGTAATGTATCGCTAATTTCTTCTAGGTTCTGCGTGGATGCAGACGTAAGTCGAATTGAGGAAGCAGACAAGAGAACTTTCGAGACGATCGCTCAGTATTCAAATCATGTTCCGGTCTTTGTCGTGGGCACTAAAAAGGACAAATTGGTCGGGTACCGCAAAATGCAACTTTTAGAGGAATATATGCAAAAATTGGATGACTACCAAGAAGCAAACCGGCTAGCCACAATTGAAGCTGACAAGGTGGCACAAGAACAATTTCTTGCCCTAAGGGACCAACTTTCGCAAATCAAGAGCTACAAAGCTGACGGTTATGTCTGCTTGTCGAAAAGTAAGTTGTCCCGGATGCTTAAGCTTAAGGCATCCACTGACCTATGCTAGATGATGAAGCAGGGATCAAGAACCTGCTTAGTCAAACACTTGACACGATTGTCGACGATCGTGTAAGACTATTTTGTGTAGCCGCGCAGGTCGTCGATGTCAATCAGAAGATAGATTCGGCCATCACAGAGTGTATGAGGCTAGGCACTCATGCTGTGCGAACAGCAATGGTACCACTCCCGTTTTCTGGTATGATCGGGACGCCAACGGTTTCTAGAATCATTTGCGAACACGTTCTCCAATGCTTCGGCTTTCCAAAAGCAATGCCGGAAGAGGTTGAGGACATCATGTCACGAATTGTGATGGGCAATCTGAAGCAGTTCATGTCGGTTTCTATGACTCAATTTCTCGTCGTTAGCACTGCTGCCGCAGGTTTAGCGGTTGGGACGATGGGTATTGGAGCAATTCTCGGTGTGGCTGGCTCCTTCCTTTCGACTCCTCCAACCGCACGAATGTTACTCAAGTGTGCGTGCGATATGATCCTGATCCTTGAGAGATCATTTCGATACAGCGGCAAGTACGTGTCCGTGAGACAGATCGAAGATGCAGCAAAGCAGTACACAGCAATCACAACGACCACGTTTGCAGGCAAGACCAAGCGCTTACAAGAGCATGTACACGATGAGGTCGACAGATTGATCCCGCTTATGAAAGTTGCGATTGGCTGGCGTTTCAATAAGTTGAGAACAGGTTTCGAAGCCATTATCTATAAAAATCGGTTCGATCGACCTCCTGAGTACGAGGAGGACGACTCGCTCGCACAACGTCTGGCAGAACTAGAGGTGTCGACCACCGAACCGGTTGAGTTGCCTACAGACAATGACAATCGAAGAGCCGAGTTGTCTGGGACGTCTGAAGTTGCAGAACTTGAGGGAGTACAGTCAATACCAACCACTGGGGTTTCGGAGCTTCCAGGTTCTATAAGCCGAGCCTCGAGCACACAAACGCCGTCTCAAACGTTCTCTGACAGAAGCACTGTGCTGTCACCTAGCCTCACTCCAAAAACATCTGCCACATCACCAAGTGAGCTGTGGTCTGCGAGCACCGATATAAAGAAGAGCAGGAGCGACGGGTCTAGCTTCTTCTCGAGAATGAGCAGCTCGATGAAGATCAAGAAGACAAAATCGGCTAAGAGTTGACGTGTCGCTGGGCTTTGATGCTAGACACATATCTCACGTATTTGCTTCATAGTTTGTGATAAAGTAGAAATCATATCTAATCCCAAACGTATCCCAATGGCTTGCGTACCAAACTTTCACAAGTTCAGTTGCGCTTCAAATAGAGAGTTTTAAACAATTGCCGGCCCTCTGCTTTGATAGTACCTGCAAATCAGCAATAATCCGTAAAACACGTGGCACTGTACGCAGCTCTGCCGAACTGTGGCTTTGACACGGTGGACCGTAGGCGTGGCATGCCAGATAGGGGCTTTGTCAGGGACGGGTGGAGCCTAGGAGAGGTCGTTGCAGCCAGCACCTGGTGCCCGCCCTCATATGTTCCTGATTCGAATTCTTCAAACTCAGGCTGCTCCTAATCTAATTTCAAAAGACTCTTGTCGCTTTCTACCTTGCAACGTTCGCGAAGTCCTTTGTAGTCACCAGATCTTGTAATCCAGCGGGCTCAGTACATTCCTTGACATCCGGTTCGCGATCCTCGCAAGACACCATGGACAGAGAAGAGGAGAAGAAGAGGTTCCTGGAAGGGAATGAAATGGAGTTGGGAGAGAAGCAAGGGCAATCCTATACCAAGCCACAATCACCTCGACCTGTCATAAGCAGAAAAGAAAGTCCTGTCGCGCCGGTCTTGTCCTATTGCGCCTCTTCGATTATGATGACCGTTGCGAACAAGTACATTCTCTCCTTTCCAGATTTCAATCTCAATTTCTTCCTATTGGCAATCCAGGTAAGACCGGACACGAGATGTGAATGGGAGTTTTGCTAATGCGACTCAAGGCGATTGTCTGCGTTGCCGCAATTTCAGCATGTAAATCAGCTGGTGTAATCACCTACCGAGATTTCAAGACAGACGAAGCGAAAAAATGTAAGCTGGCAAGCCCAGAAACAAGAAGGCCTTGGACTGACATTATCAAGGGTTTCCTATCTCGCTCGCCCTGATCGCCATGATCTACACCAGCACGTGGGCCCTCCGCTATCTTTCGATCCCTGTGTACACTATTTTCAAGAACTTAACGATTATTCTGATCGCATACGGAGAAGTGCTATGGTTCGGTGGAGCAGTTTCATCCATGGCACTCTTCTCCTTCGGCCTGATGGTGTTCAGCTCCCTGATAGCTGCTTGGGCTGACATCAAGCACGCCCTAGAAAGCCACGGCACAGCTACAGGAGCAGCAGCGGAACAACTAGCAACATTGAACAGCGGCTATGTCTGGATGATGTTGAACTGCCTCTCGACCGCGTCCTATGTCTTGTACATGCGCAAGCGAATAAAGCTCACTAACTTCAAGGACTTTGATAGTAAGTTGATCACAAACGCAAGACGCAAAACACAGATGCTAACACATATCAGCCATGTTCTACAACAACGTCCTGACCATCCCCGTCCTCCTCGTTGCTTCCCTCCTCGCCGAAGACTGGTCTGCCGCCAACCTCGCAAAAGCATTTCCCGTCCAATCACGAAATAGCATCTTCGCCGCCATGATCTTCACCGGCGCAGCCTCCATCTTCATCTCCTACACATCGGCGTGGTGCGTGCGGGCCACCTCCAGCACGACCTACTCCATGGTAGGAGCTCTCAACAAACTCCCCATCGCAGTGTCCGGCCTCGTCTTCTTCGACGCCCCTGTCACCATCCCCTCAGTCTCAGCCATCGGAGTCGGCTTCGTCAGCGGCCTAGTATACGCAGTCGCAAAGGCCAACGAGAAAAAGCAGCCGAACAAAGGTGGTGTTTTACCGACCAGCGCTCCAATGAGCGCAAGCAGCCAGAGTAACAGGGACGGTCTCAGGTCGTAGAAAAGAGGATGCAATGACCTGCTGGTTGCAGGCTGTATACATATGAACAAGAAAAAGAGCTTCGATTTGCTTGTGACGAGGTAATGATCTACTTTAATTCTAGAGCTTTTCTTTCATGGAAAGGTCGATGGAGCTGCGTCTGCCCAACGACAACTTTCGAGTAGGGCTGAGAATCTAGTCGTTGCAGCACTGCATGTCTAGTGATGGCGTTGTGAAAAAGCGGGCGTTCATGGTAAAGAGGCATGAATGCCTGTTTAGATACTTGTTTTAATCAAACGTTTCGACTCAATTGGTGCTACATTCGTAATCTTTGTGTGAAGTTTGTGAAGAAGCTCTTTGCATAGATTAAAAGTGTTGCGTATTCGGCGTGGGAAGCAGACAAGTTGTCGAGTGTTTTTATTCACGCACCAACTCCACCCTACCTCTTGTCTGCTACTGTACCACATAGATAGCACTATCGAATGATCACTCTCGCAGGGGCTACGTATATTGCCACAAGTAGTCGAGGACAACAGACTACTAATAATTGTCGATATGATTACGTACCTCTTGAAGGACTGTTACAACCACGCAGTGAGGTTCAAGTACGGGCGAATTTGCTGAAGAATGTATAGATACTAGGTTCGTCTTGCGCTGCGATGATGGGAAATAGGATGAGCTTTATCTGTATCGTGAGCTTATACATGGGAGTGCGTTCAAACAAAAAACTTTGAAGGACTTGCGCGACGCTGTAGATATGGTTGCTACAGTAGATTGTTGGCGGGCATGAAGTTGATTAGGAACAAACGTGAGGATGCAAATAAACATGATCGTTAATGTTGTATTATTGTATTCAACACTAGCTAATTAATTTCCGTCATGATGGTTATCCTTCCTGCATAGTATATAGAGGCTGCTCTATAACTCCCCCTTATGCATTGTGCATAGTAACCTAGTTCATTCGGCCATCTGGCTGACCATCTTTTCGGAGACCACCGTGCTCACTTGGCTTGTAGTCGCTGCCAACCTCGTTGGCTTGAGCCTCGTGGAGGTCGCTGCCGCCAGTGGCAGAGCCACCCTTCTTGCCGGCCTCATGTGGGTCGACCTTGCCGTGGGCGAAGCTGTCCTGCTGAACTCGCTTGTCTGTACGATATTAGGTAAAGCTGTTGGAAAGGGTGGAGAGTATGTACCTGGCTGGCCGTCCTTTCGGAGACCGTCGTGTTCGCTTGGCTTGTATTGGTCAGACATGTTGATTAATGTGATTTGTTTAGTTTGAATTCTTTGGTACAATTGGATTGTAGTTTGTGTTCTGAGTGTGAGGAAATCGTTGATCAGAGAAGATTGAGCTTGATATATGTCGTCCCAGCCTCTGCACTGACCACCACTACATCATAACGGATCACTCCATCGTCATCATAATGTCAGGCACTTTTGACGTCTTTTGTCATGAGTCCCAAAGGGTGAATTCGATGACGCCTCGGACGCGTTAAGTGATCGCGCTAGTAATGCTAGACGCGTTCCGGTTGTCAGGGTCGCGCTAGACGTCATAGAAAATGGTTGATCAGGTTACACAAGTCCCTGAACATCGTATGAGATCGTGGTTGTACCTTGCATTCGATCGTCGCTTGTCTATCGGGAGTGTGCTGAATCTCGGTGGCTTGAGATGTGGGGATTGTGCTTGCAGCCTCAGATCTGCTGAGCAATAAGCAACTTTCCATGTTTAATGGTGAGCTGGGAGACTCAATGACCGTAGAAACAAGCATGCAAGAGAATGATGATGCACGGCTGTCTCAGGTCACTCTTTGTCTCTTGAATGGCTGATTACTGCCTCGCTCTTCACGTAATCGCTTTCGCTCCAGCTCTTCCTTCATGATTCGTTCAGCCTCGCTTATTGGCTTCTGTTGCTGTATGGGAGTTGCCTTTTTCACACCTGCGAACGCGTTCTTCTTCGCGGCTGTAGCAAACACGTTTTTAGGTTTCGAAGCGCCGAAAGATACAGGTTTGAACGACTCTTTAGCAGCTGCCTCGGTTCGTACACTTGTAGCTCCAGCAACTTCCTTTGCTGCAGGAACTTCAGCCTCATGAGAAGTCTTGTCTTTGTCCTCCTGTGATCGTTCTGGCGAACCACTGTTGTCCGTCAGAGGTGGGCTAGGTGGATTTCCAAATTCTGCCTTCTTTGAGCTGAAATCGAGCTTTATCTTTTCTCCATCCACTCTCTTGATACCTTGTGTTGTCGGTTCGTCTTCTTCGACACCATCGTCTTTTGATGCTTCGTCCTCGACCTCTTCAGATTTCTGACCAGCAGCCAATCTTGCCCTCCGTATCTGCTGTTCTATCAGTCTTTGCTCCCTGTGCTCGTCTCCTCGATCTTGTCTCTCTTTCTTCCGTAAGGCCTCCTGCCTTCTCATTGCTTCCGGGCTATTATCGATCCACGATATCATCAGCGCACTAGCACCACCTCGCTCCTCGTTCTTCTCATCAATGTCTACTCTGCAGATACCTTCTTGCCCAAGATATTTGCAGAAATCTGTCAGACTGTGCCATCTCGTTGCGTTCATATGTACGTGGGACTTATTGGAAATGTATTCTTGGTAGAAATGGTTGGCATTGACTTTCTTCTCACCATGCCCTGTGCGCAGTAGTTGGACAAAATCACGCTTGAATTCGTTCGAGTATTCTCCGATCGCCTTGTTGAAGTTTGAGCCTAACTCCTGCATTTTCCTATTGTGCGACTCAGATGCGACGTGGCATTTGAAGCCATTCTCGTCGCGCATTTGACGCTCGCAGGCTTGACAATACCATCTCAGACGTTGTAGACCCTTGGCCTTCATCTGGTTGGCGATCGCCTTCGTTGTGCCGGCTTCTGCTCGAGGCATCTTGACGACCTGTTTTCAGTGGAATAAGGTTGTGCAGACAAGTGATTTGTGTTGGTTATATCTATGAGGCACAACCCACACGCAAGGACCAAGTTCGAAGAGCGGTTTGACTTGCGCCAGGCAAGTATTGAGCGTGAGGCTATGCAACGCCCTGCGAAGATTTTGGATGTGCAAATCGAATGCGACGCCCACCACAAGGAGGACGATGAGAAATACAGGCAGTGAACTTGAATTGAGAAAGACAGTGGTTAGAGACGGGGGATTTACCTATCGTAAAGCACGAAATGTGCGTTCAGAGCGGCTTCTTTTCTTATCACTTCCACAATCGCAGGCACGTCCCGCCTCGGATAGTGGCGCTAAGATAATCTCGTGGAGCAGAATTTTAAAAAGTTGCAGGCCGCAAATATGCAGAAAAAAGACCAGCAGCCTCTGTACTGATCGAAGTTTCACGACTACGCTTAAGACAGCACTCCGTACGTCCTCGCAATACACAGGAGGCCGACATGGCATCCGACGAGATAACCTGGCAGATCATCAACCAGCAACACTGCTCTTACAAACTCAAACTCGACAACCGTACTCAAAACTTCTGCCGAAATGAACACAACCTCACTGGTTTCTGCAACCGACAGTCATGTCCTCTAGCCAACAGTCGTTATGCCACCGTGCGACCTGATCCAGCAACTGGCAGCCTCTGCTTGTATATCAAGACACCCGAGCGAGTACACCTACCTAGTCAGTGGTGGGAACGAATTCAATTGCCAAACAATTACGAGAAAGCACTGGCGATAATTGACGAAAAATTGATCTATTGGCCTAAATTCTATATACACAAATGCAAGCAGCGACTTACGCGACTGACTCAAGTGGCGATCAGGGAGAGGCGGATAGCTAAAGAGGAAGAACGGCTTGGAGAGAAGTTGGTGCCGAGACTGGCGCCGAAGATCAAGCGGAGAGAAGAGACACGAGAAAGGAAAGCGGAGAGCGCAGCCAAGGTTGAGAGAGCGATTGAAAGAGAATTGATCGACAGACTGAGGAGTGGTGCTTATGGAGATAGACCACTGAACGTTGAAGAAGGTGTGTGGAAGAAGGTGCTTCGAGGCTTGGAGAGAGCCGAGAAGGGCGAAGAGGTTGAATTCGAAGACGAAGAAGAGGAAGAGGTAGAGAGAGAAGTCGAGGTCGAGTATGTCGATGATCTGGAAGAGAGTGATGCTGAAGAGATGGAGGACTTTGATGATTGGCTTGGTGGTGAGAGTGCTGATGAGGAAACAGAAGGCTCAGAAGTTTCTGGTGATGAAGGCAGCGAGGAGGATAGCGAGGATGGCAGTGAGGAGAAGGACGAAGAAGAAGAGGACACAAAGCCTACGCCAGGCGCGAAGAGGAAGAGACCTGCCCCCCAACAGAAACCACGTAAGAGAGGCCCAAAGATGGAAATCGAGTATGAGATGGAGCCACCTCTACGTGAAGCACAATTGGCTTTCTGAGAATACAGCTGAGGTGTGTCATGGCGTTGACCTTTTCTAGAGAACAGGGAGTTCTCTATCGACAAAAGCTGAGAATTGCAACTGCATGGATGGTGCTGGCTCCAGCGTGATTAGATCTGGCATTCTCTCACCTCGCGAGAACTAAAGAGACTTCGAAGACGCAGCAATGAATACAAACACGGTGCACAATGAAGAGTGTCTTGTTTTTTGAAGTGTCGTCCTGTACACTCCGCTACATCGCGAGAATGAGATGACGACGCTCGCCCATCGTCCACTATCTGAGTAGATATCTGGCAAATAAATGCATGTCTACATCCGAACCTCAAAAGCACGCAATCTTTCCATCACAGCTTTGTACACCAATCTTGTCTTTCGGCATAACCGCAAAGACCGTGCCAATCACTGCCAGCACAGTGCAAATTACAATCAGTACAAAACACAGTATTCTCTCGGGCCGCTTGATCTCATCACTACCCCAGAATATCTTTAGGTAGAATGTGATAGGTAGAATGATGCAAATAGTGAAGCAAAGGGCTGAGCCCATCAGCGCCATGATAGAGTCGAAGTCTGGAAAGCCAATAGCAACTCCCAGTAAAACGAGATTGAGAAGAACACAGATACTGCCTCGACCTAGACGATGTGCGAGCGATTTCTCACTGTACGCACGAGCTTTGGCATCCATCTGGCGGAGGTCAATCAGGAACTTCTTGTTGACAGTGTCCTGAATCGGACGGTTGCTCAACGGAATCTTGGTCACAGGAATGACGGCGATAAGAACAACCAGGATGACCGAGATGACCCGTGGGTATTTTGTAGAACCAAGAATGTTGGCCGTGACTTCATCACGTACTATGTCGCCAAACATGAGATAGCCAAGGATAGCCATGGTCACATCGAGACCATAGGTAAAGATGTATGTCGTTTGCAAAGCTTTGCCATACTTTTGAGGATGTCGCATATCCTTGTATATTGCTGGAAAGACCGAATGACCGCCCCAAGGGGCCATGAGTAAGCCAAGGCTCAGCGGTACTGTCCTTATGTTGGATGGGAAGGCGTGTGTCGTGGCAACTTGCCTGAGTGACCCCGGAGCTTGTGGCTTCAGAAACCCATCGACGAACACTAGCAGAATGATGCCCATAACGCAACCTATGCCTAAGACGCTGGTGACAGACAATGTCTTGAAGGGGACAAAATTCAGTGGCAGCAATCCAACAGCAATGAGCACTTTCAGATAAATCACACCGACAGAGGGCATCAAGCTATGCATACTGTCAGCGAACAAAATTACCAACGCTACATTGGCGGCAATAAGCTCGAGGATAAACAACACCTCTACAAGAGCTCTACCCCATGAGCCTAGCGCGAGAAACGCAATGTCGCCATATGTTGTCGATGCAGTATTTGTATCCAGACACTTCGCAAGAATGCGAGCAGTATATGCAGTGACAATTGCTGCCAGGGTCAAAAAGGTGAGGGCAATCACCCAACCAGAATAGCGCACCGCCAGGGGTAGGGCAAGTATGCCTATACCGATGAGTACGTTCGTCGAGTTGAATATGGTCATGGGAACTGTCGACTCTCCAATTGTACGCTCGATGACCTCGCCGTCAGGGCGCTGTTCGATCTCGACAGGACGCTCAACAACATCGTCCTTGTACTCGTCTGGCAGCTCCCGCGCTCTTTGGCTTGCTTCAACCTGTTGCCGTATCAGGATGGAGGCCCTATGTCTGGCGGTTGAGGATAGTCGAGAAGAGATACTGCCGTAACTAACACCCAGATTCTGCTCGGAGCCAAGTCTCGTGTGGATAGACATGGACGGTTGAGGTGTCAATAGGCTTGTCGTTTCGCTGGGCTGATGCTGTAAGGTATTGTCGTCGTGGCTGGGTCTGATCGTACTGGTAGGAGACTGCGGTTCAGCTCCTATCATCTGCTCGCTCAGCAGCGATTTCAGGGGCGGTCTTCTGTGTTCTGTCTGTCCATACTCTTGTGGCTCTTCGTTCTCTGTGGAAGCTTGTGTTACCGAACCTCGTCTCACGGGTGTAATCTCGTGGAATGCGGCAGCTCTTTGAAACGAATTCACAAAATTGTCTATACTGTTGACACCTCCCAATTGTCGAATTGAATTGAACCGCATAGCAATGGAGGACCGACGACGACGCAAGTCATGTTCACTGTGTGTCTGTGTTGCATTCTGCGGCACTCTGGAAGCATATGACTGGGACAGCGGTGCTTCTGTAGGTGTTGCTGAATCGTCCTCATTAATGGACTCGAGCGAACCAAACGAGGAGGCTCGCCCTCTCTCAAGAGCATCGAAACTTGTAGGGACAAGTTTATTGCGTTGTGACATGTTAGACCGGCAGGTGATGAGATGATTGAAGGGTAGCCGATATTTGTCAGGACGTGGTCATCGTCTCACTGATCAACGCAGCGAAGTTGAAAGATGGTGTTCGGTTCCGTCACTACAGAACTGAGGATTGGAATTATGTGCTATTGTAGAGATATTAGACACATGACTTGCAGACTCTGCAGCAAAAATTTCATGATAATGCACAACAAATTGCGCACGACAAGCGAGCCATGGACTGATAAGGTGAATGGATGCCGTTAGACGATCGAGACTCGATCGGCTAACGTACAAGACATTGTCCTTTCCTGCTTTGACTTCTCATTTCCTTCTTACCTCTATTATCATTGGCGTGTGAGGCTGTTCAAGTGCCTTCAAACAAGAAAGCTCATGCTGTTGCTGAAAACATGGATGGGTTACCTCTTACAACAACAACGTATGTAAACACAATGTTCAGGTGATCAACATCGAGGCGAAAGCGCCCACCAAACGTGTCCACCTGAAGCGGCACTCGATCTCCATCAAATTTGATAAAAAAAAAGTAAAATAAGCCGCTAACTTGAACCTCATGCGAGAATATCCGATGTGAGCTCTTTTCAGGCAACTGCGGCGACGATATGTTTGCCTCGTTTGCCACGTTTGCCATGAAGGTGTTCAGCGCTAGGCTTCCAGGCCACAATTCGTAAGCCAAGCCCAACTATGACTGTCCTGTGAGTGTCCTGTGAGTGGTTTGTTGTCAAAAATTCCTGAGCATTGACTCGTGCACCATTCATACCACTCATCCTGCAGGTTCTGGGTTTGTCAATTGCAGTCCGACACTCACCTTTCATATTGTACTCAAGGACTTTCTTTCTCTCCTCCTTTTTTCAACAACATCCGCAGTTCCTGCAAGTTCATAGGCTGGGCAAATATTGAAGGCCAGCCCAAATTCCCTTCTTTCAAGTAGGCGCCGCACGCCTGCGGCCCCACCACAATCATGAGTGCGCAACCAGGACAGAGTGAAGCAGAGAAGAACATTGAGATATGGAAAGTCAAGAAACTAATCAAAAGACTCGAGTCTGCTCGAGGCAACGGCACATCCATGATTTCCTTGATCATCCCTCCTAAAGATCAGATCTCTCGTCAATCGAAAATGTTGGCTGAAGAGTTTGGTACAGCCTCCAATATCAAGTCTCGTGTCAACAGACTGTCAGTGCTATCGGCCATCACCTCAACACAACAGAGACTTAAGCTCTACAACAAAGTTCCTCCCAATGGTCTTGTGGTCTACTGTGGTGAAATTATCACATCCGAAGGCAAGGAACGTAAGATCAATATTGACTTTGAGCCCTTCAAGCCGATCAATACCTCCCTTTACCTTTGCGACAACAAATTTCACACAGAAGCTCTTTCAGAGTTGCTCGAATCAGATCAGAAATTCGGCTTCATCATTATGGATGGTAATGGTGCACTCTTCGGCACATTGAGTGGTAACACAAGAGAAGTCGTCCACAAATTCTCCGTCGATCTACCAAAGAAGCACGGTCGTGGTGGTCAGTCTGCCCTTCGTTTCGCTCGTCTCAGAGAAGAAAAGCGACATAACTACGTGCGAAAAGTGGCTGAACTGGCCGTGCAGAACTTCATCACAAATGACAAGGTCAATGTCGCTGGCATTATTCTCGCAGGTTCTGCTGATTTCAAGAACGACCTCAACCAGTCTGATATGTTCGACAACCGATTGCAGGCAAAGGTCATCAAAGTGGTCGATGTGTCCTATGGAGGCGAGAATGGATTCAACCAGGCTATTGAACTCGCCTCCGAAACGCTTAGCAATGTCAAATTCATTCAAGAGAAGAAATTGATCAACAAATATTTCGAAGAGATCAGTCAAGACAGTGGAAAGGTTTGCTACAGCGTTGAGGATACCTTGAAGGCTTTGGAACTTGGAGCCTGCGAAACCCTGATCGTGTATGAGAATTTAGACGTTACCCGATGGATACTCAAGGACTCTAACGGAGCCGAGAACATCCTGCACACTACCAAAGAACAGGAGTCGGACCGTTCCAGGTTCATGGACAAAGAGACTGGCCAGGAGATGGAAGTCGTCGATCAGCAATCTTTCCTTGAATGGCTGGCCGAGAAGTACAAGGACTTTGGTGCAGCTCTCGAATTCGTTTCTGATCGGTCAAGCGAAGGCAATCAATTCGTCAAAGGTTTTGGTGGAATTGGTGCTATTCTTCGCTACAAGGTCAACTTCGAACAATTAGCTGATATTGATGACGAGGACGAGTTCTACGACGATTGACAATACAACAACCTCGCCAATGCTAGCGAGGACAATAGTTCAGCCATAAACAGAAAAGATGAGCTGACGGCTGGTCCTTGCGAACAGCACCTTCAGGGTGCTGAAGCCCGAAAAGTCCAGGCCAATACCTTACGCCTACCAAATTTCGAGGTCTCTTTACCAAAGCCTTTGACACCAGCGCAGAAGGTCGAAGCAATTACCTCCCGCGACGCCAAGAAGTCCGATAGCGAAATCAAGAGCGCAACACTACTTGTGCCGGACCTTGTTCGTCGGTCTGGTGGCTGTCTACCAATCGCCCATCGAGCGAGTAGAGCCCCAGCAGAGCAAAGACTAAAACTACACCATGGTGAGTAGTCCCTCCCCTTCCCCGCTCATTTAATGTCCGTCGCCACTGGTGATATATGATGAAATATTTCGGATGTAAATTCACAGACCTGTTCCGAAAGCGCAAACTTGTGTGGAGATTTCCGTTGCCTTCCTTCTGATTGTCAATCTATACGTTTATCAGCACAGTTACCAGTCACCTCAAGGAAGTTATGCTGACTCATGCTCGCAGGACGTACAGCCCTTCGCAATGTGGCTGCCGTTTGACATGGCGAAATCGCGTTCGGGGAGGAGGCAGGAGATATCGGACGCGACTGAAGAAAATGCAAACATGTACTGCCAGTGGCGGGAGAGATGTAGTTCGAGGTGCAGGTATACCTGAAAGAAGTCAGGCAACCACATACGCTGCAGAGGTGAATCGAAGAGACTTCGCAGGATAGCCAAGCCAGCTCGAGAGAGAGTCGTTTCCTATCAACCTCGGCTTCGCGACACAACGTTGGTTGTTTAATCGAGAGGACAACCAGCGAAACACACTCGTTTAGGAACAGCTTCCACAAATCAGTCACAGATAGCGATTCATGGTCGTGGTTACCATACTCATGACCTGACGTGAAGAGATGAGGTTATGCAGTTGTGATGGATGAATGTTTATTCACAATAGTTGTACGTGAGAAAATGACCATGAGCACATGCCTTGAGCGCTGTGGACATGTCGTACATGTTCTCAAAAATAAAACGATTTAACCTTCCGCATCGTGTTTTTTCAGCTCATAAAAGTTGATATGCGAGCAAACCCTTCGAGGGTATGATTTCGAATCGTTCGTGCGCGTCCTCGAAGAGCTGCCTCTCGGAGTCCTGACCACTCTACGAAGTCCTGCATCGTGCGCTGGTGTTTTCTCAATGACCTTGATGTCAAACATGCTTGGAGTGGCTGAACATTCTAGGCAAGGCATTTGCAGAAAAAACAAAATTAAAAAAATTTGAAACACTTGTTCTTCAAATTCGAGATGGCTGGCTAAATACGCAGTAGTCAAGCTGGTATCTACGTTATGTAAGGACAAACAATAGTCATCTGTCTTGTCCAACAATAGAGTCGTCCAGTGCGTGAATCAATGTCGAGATAGCTTTATATCAATGCCTGACTGCTTGTTGAACCACTTATTATCAGTCTCCCACACTGCATTGGGGTGTGTGAGTTTCAGATCGAACTGTTGTAGCACGAAAGGTACCAGTTTGTGGATTTGGACGAGAGAAATCTGCCAGTAGTTAGCGTTGATGTCAATGTATTCATGGAGTAATAACAACACATACGTTCTTGCCAATACACGTTCTCGTCCCTGCACCAAAAACTAGCATTGTATTGTCCATCTTTCGAGTTGTGGCCTCGTCTTCAAGCCACCTCCGGGGTCGGAAGATGTTAGAGTCTGCACCGAAGACTGACGTGTCGTATTGCACGACGGCTGGGTTTATGCCTACGCGATACCCTGCCGGTACGAATTTGTCGCATAGAACGATTCCTTCCTTGGGAGCAAGGCGCTGCATGGTGAGCTGAACACTTGGATGCAACCGCATTGCCTCCTTGATGGTTGCGCAGAGCAGAGGCAGTTTTTGAGCTTCGGAGAATTTGGGAGGTACGCTCATTGCGCCGGTTCGAGTGGCGTCGCTGATTTCCTGCTGTAGATCGCGATAGGTTTCTGGGGATTTTAGTAAGAAGTAGAAGACTGCTCGTAGGGCAATGGCTGTGGTATCAGATCCTGCGAACCTATCATGTGTTAGTGTTGGTCTAAATATTGATGACTTCCCTTACAATGCTGCGAATGCCTCGAATTGCACTTCGCCTATCTTGAAATCAACTTTATCGCCTTTCTCATGGACGATATCGAGCAGCTGCTGCATTATGTCGTTCCTCTTGGCTTCTTCCACAACTTTGGCTTCGTTGTCGACCCTTCTAGCCACACACTCCTTAGCTGCATTTGTGATCACATCAAAGGATTTCAGGGCTTTGCGGACAGTTGAGCTGAGAGCCGAAGACATGAAGATGAACGGCCGGTAGTACTGTGGAGCAAGGGACACTTGTAGAAGCACAGGCATTAGGGCATCCATGCAGGCAATGTACGACTTGTGGTCTTCTTCTTTATCCATGAAACCGAACATCTGTCCAAAGAATAGTTCGCCAATGACATCAAAAGTATACCTGTCTCTTGTGAGCAGTGGGCGCAGAAGAGAGAGAAAGTGCAGTGCCTACCATTGAAGCCAAACTCCAAGATCAATTGTTTGACCATTGTCGGCGTATTGAGCAACCCTGTCCACAAATAACTGAGAGCATCTGTCGATATACTGCTCCGACTGCAGAACGTTCGTGGTTGTGTATAGATGGTTGACAATTCTTCGTCTCTCGCCATGCAGCTTCTCACTAGTCTCGCTGAAGTTGTCCGAATACTTTGAAAAGGCCGGGTTGCGCCAGACAGGATAGAAGTCTGACTTTTCCAGTGCTCCTTGAGCAGGGTAGATCTTCTTGATCGCATCGGGGTCTGCACACGCCACTTCATTATGGGCGATCCGGATAAGATTCCCGTGTTTCTGATGTAGAGCCCGCTGAACTTGTTCCATATCACCAAGATGAGCGTGCCATAGATACCATAGTCGACTAATTCGTGCCAAGAAAGGGCCAGGAACTGAGCTGAGAGGATGGAAAGTTGTCGCATATACGACCCAAGCAACAGTATAGACGACGATTCCAATCAGTGTTGTTGGAATGACATATTGTCCCACTGTCCCGAGATAATACGTTGTCGATACCATCTTTGCGCGTCGGCCTGGCGGTTTGTGGATTGACAACGAATCTTCTAGTGGACAAGGAGATGATGAGAATCGAGGTACGACTGTGCAGCCAGTCGACACTTTGAGAGACTTATGGTCGTTCGAATGCGTGGTGGGCCAGAACACATGTCACCTTCGAGTCATGCATGGCCTCCACCAGCTACCTTTCTCATCAGCGAGTAACGAGGCCGGCAGATGAGCTTTTGAGCTTTGAGTTTACAAGTGAATGCATTGGATCCAAGAGCTGCCGTGTGGGAGCTTTTCTCCAAGGACTTGTCCCCACCAGTAGATAGGTTAGTGCATCGTGGTTTGAACTCAATCTGCAAACATGGACCTCCACACAATAATGGCGTTTCCATTATATGGTTCGGTTGTATGTCTCTGACATCGATGTGACCGAAAGCACTATGAGTTTAGAGTACAATGAAGTATCGCTGGTGAGCTTTATCGTGTCGAGAGACGAAATACAATTTCGTTTAACAAGGACGAATCAGCAAACTTCTGCTTGATTCTGCACGTCAATGCGACATGAACTCCACAACGGACAACGATCACAGCGCCAGAAGCGCACGGCTCGGCCTCCCTGTGCAGTAGTCTCATCCATCGTCCGATGTTCGGTCGTTGCCGGCGTTCTGGAGGCTTCGCTTCGGCTCGGCATACTCCGTGACGATTGTACTCGAGTACCAACACAGACGCTGCGGTCGAAGAGACGTGCTCAAAACTGCATAATCGAGTCCGTTCGTCTCGAATATAAGATGGGCAGCAACATTTTACCTATATGATCGCAAGGTGACTGATTGCCCACGATGTTTTCGAGTTGGTGGACTGTATGCATATACAGCAATGCCTGGAGAGTTGCAAGCTGCATACTGTGCCAGATGTGGCATTTGGATAAATGGGTGTTTCATCCAATGGACAAATACACTTCTCGCATGTACTTCAACAAAGCCTCAAATTCACTGAATCAAGCGAGTCATGACTCATGCGTAATTGTGCAATCGTTGCGAATACGTTTGTTTTATTGGAAGAGGACATAATGTATATTTGCCAGGCGTCGCCTCGCGCTTGTCCATCGACCAGTGTACAAAAACTATACTTATCCACCGTGAGAAATACGTATTCCGTGGCCGGGCTTTCTTATTGTGGTCAAGCAGTGCTTGTATAATCGAGAGGTTTCCGGGTCATGGAATCTATCAAGTCGAGCGATCACAAAACGAACCATTACTTGGCAACGGATCAGGTATGGATGACACGAGATTTTGACTAATGTATCGACGTTGAAACGCCCTTGCGAGGCTTTTTGTGTTCAAATATTGTGCAACCACGAATCCCCGGCTGGATCGTTATTCACAAACGCCAGGAATTCTAACCCCGTAAGCGCTTCCGAAGTTAGTACTCTTTTTCAGCCTCAGACGCGGGAAGTTTTCGTCTTCCGACTTGTTACTCTTTTCATCCTCCGACTTTTTGCTCTGTTGACGTGAACCGGGCTGTAGTGCAGGACTGCTTGTTTGCGACCTTCGGACCTCTTCAAGCAGCTTATGATCAAGCTGCTCAAGGAAGCTATGAGACAGCTCCGACTTGCCGGAAGCATCGAGCATCAAGGGACCAGTAAGTGGGCGATCGTCGGCAGTCTCATAGTATGGCTCTGGTTCTACTTCTTTTTCTGGCTCCACATCTTCCCATATCGTCTCCGTGGTGGTGGCATGAACGTCATTTGTACTGAAGTATGATTCTGAGCGCTCTGAAGGACGTAGAGGAGGACGAGCCGACGGAGCAGGTGCAAGTGGCTTCTCTTGCTGTGGGGTTGGGCCATCCGTCGACGCTGTACTCGACAGGATCCCATCAAAGGCGAGCGGAGTGTGGCCAGCATGTCTTGTCAATTTTGCCTCAAGAGGGTCGAGGACGCTGAACGGATCCAGAGTGAGCCTCGGAGGCTCGGGGGGTTTTTGTTTTGGTGAGGGTGAGCGACCAGGCGACGCGATGATTATTGGGCTCATGACCTTGTTGAAACTGGACTTGACGCCCTCAGACTTCACAGTGATGCCGTCGAGTGTCTCATCGATTTCTTGTATAGGAATTGGCTTGTTCTCTTGCGACCGTTGTGGTGACAGAGTCTCGAAAGGCTTGTCTTCTGAGATACTAGCAAGATGTTGGATGTCATCGTCATGTGCAAACACGCGTGTCGCTGGTAGAGGTGATTCGGGTTGCCAGACAGGCTTTGAGTGATCATTTTTGAAATGGTCCATATGGGAAGCTGCGATGCTGTGATGCCGAGAGTTGTTGACAGCTGCGACATGAGGAGTACTGAGTTCTGATTTGAGAGAAGTTGTGCTTGCGAACGGAGAGTCATTACTCAATCTTCTCCGACCACCGTTTGCTTTGTTGAGCTTGAATTCCAAGTCTGCTATCCTTGTCTTTAACGAAATCCTTTCAATCTCCCAAGCCTTCCTTTCTTGTGTATGCGCATGTCTCAGCTGCTCGTTGACGTCGCGACAATGTTCGAAATAAGCCGAGATGTCGACCCCTGGCGTAGGGTTCGTGATTCTAAATGATTGCTTGGGCACATGGCTTGCTGAGGAGACGGCCGGCAGTAGTGGTACATTGGAAGTAGCGATACTGTGTCTGCCGTGGACGGAGGAGGGTATCTCGGAATCGCCAAATCGAACTTCTTTGCCTTGTCCCTCTCTGCAGGAGTGTACGGAAGAGTGTCTATGTATGCCATTGAAGCCAGAAAAATTATTGTGCAACAGTGCAGGTGTGGGCTCGAACGCTCGTGTCGGCGAGAGTGGTGGCATGGTTATAGCACCGTCGTCGTAGGGGATGCCGCGCTTGGTCAATAGACGAGAGAGAGTCTGAATCAGATGTGCATTCGTAACGTTGGCATTGATTGTGGTATTATTCGAAGCACATGCGCACTTGCCAAATCAGCTGGAGTTACACTGGCCAATGCGAGAAAATATGGGCTTCGCACTATTTACAATCGAATCGAGATACGTAGCCAGGGCAAACACCACAATCCGAGCATGTCACACGGCATTTTGGACCGAGACACTCGTTTGGAGAACCAGAATCGTGCAGTGCAGTGACGGTGAAAAGGAAGCCTTCACACCGCAGGTGGATTCACTAAAGCAGGAACGCCATGAGATCGCCGCTGCTTGTGCTATTCTGCTCTCTTTCAAAAAGGAGACTGTCTCCGAGTATGTACCTTCTTCCTCCTGATAAAACTTCGGGAGACTGACAATGTTCTCTCATTCAATCGACACACACGTACCCAACTTACAAAGGCGCACAAATATGCACCATGACGTTCAAATGATTTCAGAATACCAGTATTTTGGGGTCGTGGTGGACACGTTGAAGTCGGTGCTCAAGGAAAGTGTCCGCGAGCATGCGGCTCGAAACCATGTGGTTAGCACTAGCTAATTACCTCACTATTGCTCATCTATCAAACTGTTTGTCCATCATCGTCGATATTGTGTGTCTGACCACAACTAGACGACGACCGCCTTGCGCCATCAGAGCCTGGCCACAAGCATTTGAACTAATGCTTTTCGTAGCTGCATTGCTCCTGCATATAGAAAACGCGAAATAAAAAGAGCTCTATCATGGTGGAGCTGACTGCGCGGAAGGTCGCTTAGTCTCCGCGCACTTTCGGGATGGCACAATCTTGTACCATTTCTATAATAGAATAAAGAGCCTTGTAACTTTATTACTGTTCCTCTTCTCGCTTGAAAAGCATGATGGGTTGTGCTTAAATACCACAAACATATTTTTTCCTGCATTCTTATATTATGTATATCGCGGGAAGCGATCACTTGAGAGTAGAAGAGCCGCTTCCACATTCCCACGTGGTTGTTAAAGCACGTGCAAAGAGGGAAAATTCTGACACCACTTGCATCTACCGCGTTCAGTGTGGTACGGTGGCACAACAAACACTGTACCTGGTGAATTTTCTGGATCACAGATCGTCATTCTGTGCCCTTCGAAGATGGACAAATAAACAAATGAATCCATGATCTCCCAGAGACGATGGTTCTTAGTAATAGCCTCTCCTTGTGGACCATATCTGTCTCCAGTAGGCTATTTTCTTATCCGTCTGGTCAATACCGAGCAACGCAACCTCATGTTCTTCCCTTCCTGCTAGTGGTAATATTTTGTTCTTGAATTATTGTGATGATACAGGTGCCTGCGCCAAGAAGCGCGCTCATTCTCTACGGTACAGAGACTGGCAATTCGCAGGACATCGCGTATGAACTTGGTCAATGTCTTGAGCGCATTCATTTTGCCACCAAGATACGCGAGCTGGACGGCGTCTCGATACCAGATCTTCCTCAATATGATCTTCTTGTCTTTGCCATCTCAACAACTGGACAAGGAGACTTTCCATCCAACGCACGCAAATTCTGGTTGAGTCTACTTCGCAAGAAATTGCCCTTGAGTATACTGTCGGCGGTTAAGTATGGGTTGGTCGGACTCTGCGACAGTTCTTATCCCAAATTCAATCTTGCAGGCCGGAAGTTGAACAAACGTTTGCAGCAGTTAGGGGCGACCTCGTTATTGTCACCTTGTGAGGCAGATGAACAAGGTCAAGAGGGTACGGAAGGTGCCTTTTTGGAATGGCTACTGTTGTTCCAGGAGCAAGTGCTACTCAATTTCCCACTTCAGGCTGGACAAACACAAGTACCAGCCGGACATAAATTACCTAGTGAGTGGCTGCTCGCAAAAGCCACGACCGACGACCAATGTACCTCTGGTTTCCGGAACGGTGAACACATTGTCTCCGCCAAAATCTCAAAATACTCCCCCGAATTAAGCTTTCCTGTTGTCCTTGAGCGAAACGAGCGTGTAACCCCTTCTGACCATTGGCAAGATGTGAGGTTATTGAGACTTAGGGCCATGGAAGCAATAAATTATATGCCTGGTGATGTACTCGCTCTACGCCCACAGAATCTTCCCGAGGATGTGAATCAGATCATAAGTCTACTTGACTGGCAAGACATGGCCGATACGAAGCTCAAACTTCAAAGCACTCGATCGATGCAAGGTCCGGACGATGTATTCGATCCCATGCTTCGTGGGCTGGATTCGGTCACTCTACGCCAACTGTTAACAGAGTACCTCGATATTTATGCTGTTCCACGACGTTCGTTTTTCTCCAAGATTGCTCATTTTACTGAAGATGAGGTGCAGAAGGAACGTGCCCTGGAGTTTACCGAACCTCAATACCTTGATGAGTACTTCGATTATGCTACTAGACCACGACGAGGCATTCTCGAAGTACTCCAAGAATTCCATACCGTCAAGATTCCATGGCAGGAGGCTATCAATACCTTTCCACTCCTGCGCCCTCGACAATTCAGTGTGGCCAGTGGTGGTCACTTGAAAGCAGATGGCTTTTGTTTCGAACTCCTGGTTGCCATTGTTAAGTATCGGACTGTTATCAAGAGAATTCGTGAAGGAGTTTGTACGAAATACCTTGCACAGCTGCCAGTCGGCACTAGACTGAATGTCGTCCTTCACACAGAAGGTCGCTTTCACAACCGTTTGGCAGACATGGATCGACCTCATCTATTGATAGGAGGTGGTACTGGCATAGCTCCTTTGAGAAGCGTTATTCTGGAGAAGAGTGCTTTTGTCGGAGCACAAGCAACGTCCTTGCTCATATTTGGTTGCAGAAACTCGCATTCAGACTATTTCTTCAGCACGGACTGGTCGAAGTTGGAGAGCCAGGAGCAATCATCCTTCCGAGTCATTCCAGCGTTTTCAAGAGATCAGGACAGGAAGATCTATGTTCAAGATCGTATTCTGCAACATGCAGAGTTAATTCGAGAAATCCTTTCGGCACCGAATTCGATCCTTGTCGTTTGTGGCTCATCTGGTGCAATGCCAAAGGCCGTCCGCCAAGCACTCAAGGACGTACTTGCAAGTACTACTGAGGCGGCTGCGGAGAACTATCTTGTGCAACTGGAGAAGGAGGGTCGATACAAGCAGGAAACCTGGTGAATGACTATTTTGGATAAAATTTCTCGCAATGCTTAGTCCTTCACTTTTCCCCGCACAAACCCTGGAGATGTGTTCCCGAGTTCATGCACATCCTATCGATCACAACTCGATTCGAAACTCTCCACTCAGTTCGAGTACCCTGTCAACTTTCGAGATTCTGGATCATGACTATTGCGGAGACACCGTCTAACTTTGGTTGGTTCGGTGAGCCACCTACCTCAAAATCGAGATCAGAACACTGGCAGTTCTCCAATGCAACTCTGCAGTGCATAGAAGCCATGATGATCAAAGTAAGGTTGGGTGACTGAGGGGCACGTCTTGATTGTGCGAGGAGACAGCGTCGAGCACAGCTCTGCTAAAAGTCAAATACCTCACTGATACACAAGGAGAGGGGCTGGCAGTATATAGAGGAAGTCTTAAACCCAGACACGTCGCCTCGCGAACACTCTACGAGTCATACGACAATACAATTGCAAACATGTCGGCCAACGGTACAACGCACAGCTGGACGTCGCTCCCTGACGCGATGTCCAAGTCTGTTTCATCACTTAACAAAAGACTTGACAGTGATCCTCAGTGGCAAGCGTTCATCGATACAAATGCCATCATAGAGCCTGTTACCATGGGCATAGCTACCGCGGGAGGTGATGCTATCATGGTTCGGGTCGAGCCAAATGCGAAAACTTCGGTGTCTACTGGACCCGCAGACAAGTCAGACTTCACGTTAGCAGCTAAGGCCGAACAATGGGAAAAGTTCTTCGCAGCTGATCCTAGGGCCCCCTTTACATCTTTCGTCGGCCTACAAGGTATGAACATTAAGCAAGAGGGCGTTGGAGTTCAGGGGAACCAAACCAGGTTTGCTCAATATGGTCATCTTGCGACCCGACTTCTCGAAATGCTCCGCGATGGCCTTCATGGTCCGATGGAGGAGTATAAGCATGAAGCAATGCATGAAGACCATATAGTGGGCAAATATGCTTACGTTGATTGTCCTGTTTGGGGGCGCACCAAAATCTTCTACGAGACATCTGGCAACGGACCCCAACAGATTGTTTTCTGCCACACTGCTGGTTCAGACTCTCGACAATACCATGGCGTAATGAACCATCCGGAAATGATGAAGCGATGTACCATGATCGCGTTCGATCTGCCAGCACATGGTAGGTCGTTCCCGAATGCCAACTATATCCCGGGCAACCATACAAACAACGAAGATGCGTAGTGAGTACTGTACTTCCACAAGCATGCAGCGACTTCTTGAGCTAACGTCCGACAGTGTTGGCACGATCGCGGCTGTGATCAAAACCCTCAAACTCAACAAACCAATTGTATGTGGTGCTAGCATGGCTGGCCAGGTCTGCGTGGCCGTTGCCATTCGCAACGATGAGGTACAATCAGGCGGTACTATTCCAATGCAGGGCTGTGACTACCTCACTATGGATCGTCAATTCAATGACAAATCACCTGTTGTCAATCAAGCCTTGTTCAATCCTGACTGGATTTATGGCATGATGGCGCCGAAGTCACCCTATGTGAACAAACAACTCATATGGTGAGTAGCTGAACAATTGTGTACCGATTCAAATGTGCGCTGGACTGACAGATGAACAGGCATACGTATTCTGGACAAGCTTATGGTATCTTCCATGGCGATCTTGACTTTTATTTCGGAGGGTTTGATGCTCGGGATCGTGTCGAGCAGATCGATGTCAAAAAGTGCCCGATCTATTTCTTGACAGGCGAGTTCGATTGGTCCACAACCCCTGAGATGTCCAAGGCTACCGCCGACAAGATCAAAGGCGCACGGTTTCAAGCCATGAAAGATCTGGGTCATTTTCCAGCAACGGAGAACCCATCCCTCTTCGTTCCATATCTGGTCGAGGCTATTGACTGGATTCAGAAGACCAGGGAGGATTGAGACGTGTTGAACCTGGAGCATCGCACTTTGTATAATATTGATTAATGATGTACACAAACGAAGACGATCAACTTGTGTTATGCCTCACAGATTCGGTGTTGAGGTTTGCATCTGCAGCCTCAGTTCGTATGATGTCTGGATGTATCAGAACCGAGCAACGATCACATGGAAGTACGTTTCATACTGTATCCAGTATAGTTGTTGTAACGAAGCTAAAGATGACAACTGGCTGCGTGTCGGGAAGGTGTGACGAGATTCACATCATCACCGATTCTGAGTCCCCTTGCTCTTCACGCCCTGTAGGCTCTACTCAAGCCTTATGCAACCAGCGATCACACTGTCAAAATGACCCATGTACAATAGAAGGCTATAATGTAGGGGTTCACGATACGCGCCGTAAAGCATCGAACAATGTCCTACGTCGCGCTTGCCGGACCGCACGTCGATGCGGCTAGAGCTGGGCAACGATGTAATGGTGATACCAAAACAACATTGAAGGATCAGCAGCCATGTCCGGACTTTCGCTTTGCTCGGAAGTGGTATCGAGGAGCGGATCGGACCACCAACTCTTTGTCATGGTCTTTGTACCATGATTGTGACTGTCCGAAAGCAGCCGTATCTTGATGAGGGTCCCGTTCGCAGACGGTGGGATAGCGCTTGCTAATTATTGATTCTCAGTCGTGTTGGCCTATGAAAAGTCGTGAAGAAAGCATTAACAGCCAGAAGAACAGATGTATGTAGCTACCGTTCCACCACAAATATGGAGGCACCAGGACGTATTGCAGCTAGCATCACGATAATAGCACTCGTTTGTATGAGTCTTCTGGCTATCCTGCTGACCAAACTCAGTCGAGCACGCCAAAGGAAACAAGAAGCAAAAGCAGAAGAGGAGGGTCAGTCGCGGCCGACACCAATGCGAGTTGCCCCCAAACCACCACAGTTACCGATTTTCAAGACCAGGTCTTCGTTGTCCATGTCATCGAGTCCGACAACGCCGCGTTCCCCGAAAACCCCGAAGACTCCGGGCATACGCTTCACGTTCACGGCTCCTAGCCACCGAAGCAGAAATAGTGGGAGCATCGATAGTCTGCCAAGTGTTGAGACTATACTTGAGCAATATGAGCAAGAGGCGGACGCAAAGGATAATCAGCAAGAGACGGAGGTAAAGCCTTTGTCCAAAAAGGAGGATTTAGGAGAACCAGGTCCTTGCTGTACCCACAGAGGTAGATGAGAAGCGAAGTCTCTGGGATAGACCAAATATTGGAAACCCGAATCCGGTAGATCGGGACTGATACGACTGTGTCTCTGAGGGACATGGTTGAACAGCTGATCCTTGTCCCTTAACACCACTCTATCGACTCTTGCACAATACGAAGCTTGGAGTCAGGACGTGAACGCGAACATTTTACGTGTTCTTGACCCCTGTCTACGTTAGTGGTCTTCCGTCGCAGCAGTATTACGTAGTTTAACGCCGATATCGTTGCGTATATATTTATTTCCATAGTATTTATCTTCGTGGTAACTTGAGGACCTTTTCGTCACAATCTTCGTAGACTTTCTTGTAATGTCTCCTATTGTGGCATCAAAATCGGCTAACTTTGCTCTTCTGTGCCTGTATAATTACGCCGAAGAGTGTTCGGAGACGTGAGGCTTATTAGACTGATGTGTTCCCGGCCTCGAGACTACGCTTAAACATTTGAGCTTGGCCCTGGAAGACAACCTCGTGTAGGTATTATGGTCAGCGGCGAGACAAACGGTCAGCGACCGGCACAGCAACGAACTGCATACCTGGGACCCGAGGCCTCGTTCTCACATCAAGCGGCCGTCGAAGCTCTTCCCCATACAGTGCCTATACCACTTCCCTCTTTCAAGGCTATTCTTCAAGGAATTCAGGACTCTGGCGATGAAGCAGCAGATGCATACGACTATGCTGTGTTACCAGTTGAGAACAGCACAAATGGCAGTGTAGTCCAGGCATTGGATCTTGTTGCACAGTGTGGACTTGCTTCAGCTTATTCAGACGTAGAAGTGATTGACGAGTATTATCTTGAAGTTCACCACAATCTTTTCGTGTCAAGGATCTGGGCTGAGCAAAAACTTGATCAGGAGGACTTTGCAGCCCTGCCCATCGACATCGAGCAGGCCACAAAGCAGGATACAAAACAACAGTTACATAACGGATCGAGCACGAGTGAAGTCCCCAGCAATCCATCGCCGATGAACGGGTTAAACAACGTCCTGGAAAAGCTTGAAACAAAGACTCTACACACACATCCTCAAGTCTGGGGCCAATGTAACAACATTCTATCCACGTATCTACCACCAGGCAATGTCGATAGAGTCGACATGAGCTCGACAAGCGCAGCAGCAGCTTTCATTGCAGATTCATCCCATTCGAGCCAAGACGGGCTAGCAGCTATATCATCCTCACTAGCAGGCGCAAAACACGCCAACGACCTCGTCTGCATCGCTCGGAACATCGAAGACGAGCCAGGCGAAAACACCACTCGATTCCTTGTTCTCAAGAACCGAAAACGATCACAAGCTTGCTTGCCCTTACACGAAAAGCTGCAACAAGGATCCATCCAAATCAAATCACTTTGGGCCTTCACAATCGCACATTTCGTACCCGGCACGCTAGCGACGACACTCTCCGTCTTCGCGAAACATAATTTCAATTTGAGCGCTATTCAGAGTCGTCCTAGACCGAAGCAGAAAATACTCGGCGGAGAGCAAGGCCACGTCACAAGCAAGCGTAGTCAAGACAATAACTGGAGGTATATCTTCTTCGTTGAATGCTTGCATCAGAGAGATGCGGCACTTATGAATCAAGGAGATGAGGAGCTTGGTAAGCTACTAAAGGAACTAGAAAGTGTCACGGAACAAATTAGTCTGCTGGGCAGTTGGAAGGATCGATTGTGCTAGGAAAAAAGTATACATGGTCGAGTACGAGTATCTTCTCAACTAGCTATATTCACTACTGCTGGGAGCAGATGACCACCAATCCCCGGATGACCGACGTTCTGGCAAGCACCAGGACGTCGGAAATGCATCAAGCAAACTACAACGGTGGTACAATGGTACAATGGTGGCTAAAAAACGTCAACATCGGATATCAATGCTTCTCGAAGTGGAAAAGCTGGTAGAACGCAAAGGGGATTTCAGCAGGAGGGAAGAGAACCCAGAATCTTACAGCGGATATCTCAATGCATTGATGGAGAAGGGAGATATGTTAACACATTGGTTACGGATGACCAGTTATTCTGAATTGTCGTTCACAGGACAACCATGCAATCATTAGCCGATTTACAGTGCTTAACATCAGTGGCTTGCCGAGATACTGATGGCGCTTCCTCCTCGGTGTCATGCTGGATGAAGATGTCCATCGGATCTTTAGACATCCAGGTTGCTTCATGCAACCAGGACATGAAACTCACTGGAGCAATGGGTAGACGGATCTTGTCGTCCTCTGGTGGAATTAGAAACATACCGTGACCCTTGGGGAATCTCTCTGGACAGTACATACCCATTTCAGTTTCAGATTCAGACGACGAAGTCACACAGCCATTGACTGCCTGGCCACCGAATTGGAAGACTTCCCATGAAATACCAAGCTCTTTGCGAGCCCAAGGACAAACACTCGATTCTGGTAGCAGGTACCACGTGCCATCTTCAGAGGCTCCGTAGTCCGCATTGAACATTCTCTGTCGATATTTGTATAGTGTGTGCGTAAATTCATGCACAAGCGTCGTGGCTATTGTGATGTAGACCACCGACTTCTCTTCAAGTGTCCGAGAGGACCAGATTTCTTGATCCAGCAACAACGCTAGAAGCTGTTTGCTGATCGACATACGATATAACAGAGGTTCTTTCTTCGTCATCGGTCTCGAAAGCCAAATGGCTATCGAGCAACCCAAAGCGTCTTCAGCGCCCTCCTCATGACAATGTATCGAAGTCAACGCTTGGATCCTCTCCATAGCCGCCTCGAATCGGCTATAGTCGAACCTTTCTTTTGTCGTCGTATAGCGTGGGTCAAGATATCTGTCGCCGTCATCGTCGCAGCGCTCGATTGCGTACAGTACAAGCATCCAGAATGAGCGACCTTGTTGCAGAAATAAACTGGCTAGTCGCAAGCTTGGCTTCAGCGCGTCGTAGAGGCGATCACTAATAGGGAATTTGGTATGGTTGAGGCCTGCATAATGGATGTCAGTATCAGTAAAAGCTTCTTTTCGGAAAAAGGGGTGGATGGGACCTGCCTCAGAACTCAACATCGAGCTCGGCCCAGCCGGAAGCTCAGGACATTGCGTTATAGTCGACTCAGTCACGTCTGCCATATGTCCCATCCGTTGGTGCTCATCTTCCATGGCTCGTTGGAGCACATGAAGACGGATCGGTATTTCATCGTCAGCTGAGACATAAATGTGCCTCGATTGCGGTTCCATAATGAATTGTCCTATCGTTTTTGCTTTGCGTAAAACCCTCAGGTAGGAAGTGCCGGCTTAGTGCCCTTAAGAAGGCATTTCCACAAAGACGTCGACTGCAACAAAGCCCTGGGTGGTAATATTGTGCTCTTTGTGCAAGAATTGCATTGTTCATCCTGTCGTATCGAGTCGGCCTTTCCTTCGCTCATCTCCTACCTATAGCTCGTAGCGTCGAGGGTAGAGCATACTGTGTAGTATGCATACCGCGTTCAAAATCAGCAAGCCACATTACCTGAGGCGCGTCTGACTGTATGGATCGTAGATGTAGCTCAAACCACAAGCGAGCTATATATGTATTTCTCGGACAAACACTTCTTACCTTGCTGTGCTGTCCGTCATGCTTCCCGGCTCGTCTGTACGTGATAGCCAGTTACCCTGGATGCAGACATTTAGAAGCACTCTTCAAAGGGAGTTAGTTGATGAGTGTCACGATGCGAGGTTATTCCTAATAGGCATATCCATCACTGTCGATCATTTGGAGACGGACATATCGAAACAAAAGGATAGATAATGGTGCTCATATCTCTCTTAGCTGACGGTGTCGTGCTGCGCCATATGTCAAGAAACGAGTTTCTTCAGAAATCCCAATGCCTTCTTCGCTTCGATTCGCGGTGGAGATTTGTTTTGCTTGTTCTTGTCATTGTCCTCCTCTCCTGCAATTCTAACAGGCACCGCCGGTTGGAGTGACAGATATTCTTCGAGGAGTGGGTTGTTGGAATACGCATGACATTGTCTTCCGCCATGACCAATTCGAGGCAAAACTTGATCTTGACGTGATCCGTCTGGCAGATCCCTGGAGTACGCGACGTTCCTCATGGTTGAGGAGACAAAATTCGAGCTATAAGCTTCATTGCTGTTTGATGGCTGCTCGTTTGTGCTGTACTCGACGAACACCTGAGTCTTTTGTATGACTCCTACCTTTCTTTTCTCTTCGTTGACCGATGCACCTTTCTCCTCGTCCGCGGGCGGTTCATACCACAAAGCCAAGTTACCCAGAAGCTCAAAAATGCCTGCAGTTTCAGGAACGACATCGACATCAAGCATGAAGATCTCCTCGCCTAGTAGTCTGGCCTTTGAGACTTCGACGATCACCTTTCTCTCACCTTCCAAGCTCGCAAAAGTCTTCATCGTATGTTTTCCTCTCATCGCACGTGGTACACCTTCGCGTCGAGTATGCATTCCAATCTGACAGCCACATTCTATCTTCCAATCAGCGAAGTCTTTCTCACTGGATTTGATACAGATCAGGACGGAGAAACTCGCAGTTGTTGGACTGGTAAAGAAAAGGACGGCATTGACTATAGGAGCTTGCAGGAAGTCTTCTGTACGACTCCATCTGTCTCTAGGACTGACAGCTTTGAGCTTAAATCCAGACTGTGGATGTGGCTTCTGTCTTATGAAAATACCATGTCGCGATAGTACACCACTCGACAACGCAAGTGAGATCCTTTTGCGCACGTAAATTGTGCGAAGCTTGGCCTTGCGTTCTTGCTCTCCCGATGCCTGAACAAGCATCTTTTGCTGACGACATCTCGCAAAATGTGGTTCATCAACGCTCCCTATAGGCCTTAGGAGGACACCAAGCTTTCCTGAAGATCCCTCAACCTGGTTTGAATCAGATCGATAATTCTTCCACTCACCACTCGATCCCCCACGCACACAAGCTAGAAGTGCCAATGATAGCCCTGTGGCGTCCACTGTCACCATAGGCAATTCCATCCGTAGTCCTTCATTGGTCATGGTGTAAGTCGAGACAACGCGAGGGTCGCGATATGGTAGGAACTTTGCTGACCGCGCAAACTGAGCCGGCGAAGAGGCCAGAAGGCCACTCATAGAGTAGACACCATGCTGAACAACATCCTCTTCGTATTCAGGTAAGCAGTCGTCCCACGCAAACAATGTCTGGTCACTTGAGTCCTTCATGATCTCTTCTTGTAGGCGAAGGAACGCTCGAGCACCCTCACCATACAGTAGTGGCATATTAACCTCAAAAAGCCCAAGAAGACAATATGCGATGTCCTCTTGTCGTGTTGTCTGGCGTCTCGAGGCCCAACTCATGCGCTGTGCCACACCTATGGTCCGCACTGGTCGCTCTCCCTTCAGTACCATCTGGTCAATCCCAGTCACTTCAGACAGTTCAGGTGCACGTTTGGTTTTGTCGAACACGTATACCCAATCGTTATCAAAAAACTGAACTGATTTCGGCGCAATCAACTCCTGCAACGTCCAGCCTCTCGTGAACCATCTACTGCTTTGCCAACCTCCCGCATGCGCTTGAGCAGCAGCAGATATCTCGTTCGTTTCGGTCTCTACCACTGAATAGTCGGCGATATAGACTAAGCATACCTTCGCAAGTTCATACCATCGATACATTGAGTTAATAGCTTCACTCAACTCTGCACTGCTGGTCTTATCGATACAGCAAGTATCAACCCAGCCATATCTCATATCTTCCTTTAGCACTTGCTTACAGAAGCCGACGATCTTCGCGAAGCCGTCCTTGCTTCTAGCGTCGCTACCATCTCGCATGTCCTGGTAGGTAACCTCGCCATCGCCCCAGGTATGTGAAAGAATGGCGTATGCTGGTGTCTTCTTGATGTCGTAGAACTCTTCGAACACAAACGTGTCTTCATCCTCGATACGCAGTAGCCGCATATTTGGTTCTCAGCCAAAGTCAGTATCATCGTCACGAATCAAGTGGTGCTGTCAGTTGTGGCCATCACGCCTGCTATGGTCGACTTGAGCCAACCAGAAACCTGATCTGTGAGAAGAAACTGCATTGGGATCTTAGAGATCACTGTAAGCTTCAAAGACGTGCTGCTTCGGGTACCCAAGGTGTTCTGGATCTACCAGCCCAGTGTCAAGCGAGAAAGCGGGCCTGTAGCCAATAAGAAGGTGCAGAGCCAAGGTCCAGGTGAGCGAAAATGAGACATCTTCCGCGAAAGCACAAAAGTCATTCGGAGTTTCGAGCTCCTAAGATCTCCAAAGTCTGGTGAGAAGGAGTTTGTGTTGCCAAAAGCTGAAAGCCGAAGAGCCATGAGTCTATATGGTACATATGTGATCTTCAGTACTACACCGCGAACTGTTCCGCTGCTTCAAGACGCGGAAGTTCGGACTTTCGTGTCGCGTCCGAAAATCCACCCGTACTGCGTTTGCGCAAGCACGCATACACGGCAGAGGGATTTGCGTGGGGTATCGCTGCCGAAGCTTTCGATTTTGCAAGATGCAATAGACGGCAGCATTACCTCTTTAAGCCTTTGAATGTCTCAACGCCCCAATAAGACCAGAACATGGTTCTCGTAGTCTGATTGCTCTGCCTGAAGCACAGGATATAGTCTGGCGTCTCAATGTCCCTAGAAATCGAAGAGTGATATCTTGCCTGGTCATTCAACTTACGACGCGATGGAGCTGGATCCTCCAGTACCGAAGTACAATAACGGCGATCAGTTGAGCTTTGCTTACCCTTCAGTACGTGATAGGTGGCCAGCAATCATAACGCAAATCATAGACGACGTCCACCGAACCATTTCAGATTTGCACTCAGAGCACAATGATCGACTATCAGAAGGCAAGACTATTGTCAGGGAACTTGCCTCGTTGAAGTATGAGATGCAACACAACCGTGTGTTGACACCACTCGAAGATGACGGTTTCGAGGACATCAGGCTATACAACGATGAGCTGCAGCAACGCACGGCAGCAGATTTAGATGGGCCGAAAGGTGAGGTGCCCAAGTGGCACAATGTGGAATGGCTCTTCTCCGAGTGCTACATGTACCGACGTGTCTATACCTTCTTCTCGAAGACGACCCACTGGAAGGACTATGACTATTTTCAGCGCCAGAAGATCAGTACTTTCCGTTCTTCGAGACCAGCTGTGCTTGAACTTTGTGCAAAGTACAAAGAGATTATAACGAACATCAAACAGAACGATCAGGTTGTGAAGGATGTCCAAGATCCACAGAGGATTGCGGCAGCAGAAAAGTTGTTGTTTGTCGAAATGGCAGAGATCTGTCTATGGGGCAATGCAACCGATTTGAGTTTACTTACCAATATGACATACGAAGATATTCAGAAATTGCAGGGCAGCAACGCTCGAAAAGAAAGTGAGAAGAACATTCTCGCCAACGATCTGTCAGATGCCTTCGCAATCCTCAACAAGGCCAAGCAGGTCGAGCAGAGAAGAAGAGTAGACATTGTGCTTGACAATGCTGGATTCGAGCTGTTCGTTGATCTTGTGCTTGCTGGATACCTGCTAGCGACAGGTCTAGCAACAGAAGTCGTGTTGCATCCCAAGAGCTTACCCTGGTTCGTCAGCGATGTCCTTCCTAACGACTTCTCTGCTCTTCTGAACGCCATGCAAGATCCTAAGGCCTTTTACGAGGTTAACATTGACGGCAAAGATCCAGTACCATTGTCGGACCAGGAAGCAGCGCACATTCAGTTCTTGTTTGAGCACTGGAGTGAACTACATACAGACGGGAAGATCGTATTACGCCCAAATCGCTTCTGGACTCAGGCAGGTTCTTTCTGGAGGATGCCTAAGCTTGCGCCGGAGCTCTTCCAGGATCTCAAAGAGAGTGAACTGGTAGTCTTCAAAGGTGACTTGAACTACCGAAAAGTGGTTGGTGATGTGAGTACACACATTTTCAATTTAGCGGTAGTGTGAGACTTACTGACTCGACTTTAGGCTGCTTGGGATCCGACTACACCTATAGAGACGGCTGCAGGTCCACTAGGAAAGTCATCTGGACTTCGGTTACTTGCACTGCGTACATGCAAAGGCGATACAGTTGTCGGCCTGCCGAAAGGCAAAGACGAAGAACTGCGACAAGAACAAGGTGGACAACCTGAGGCTCGAAAATGGGCCTGGAAGGGCAAATGGGCTGTTGTAGAGCTCAGCGATGGTAAAGCTTCGTGATTGCAGGTAATTTTGCCGCAAGTGTACGTTCATACATTCAGATAGACGACAAAACCTCCTATAGATGATAGATATCATGAATGGTAATCGCAGAGTGTACTAGCGCTCGTTTACAGGTACTACAGCCCCTTTTCAGGTCCCCTCGAGTTACCGAAACAGCGGATAGCGTTCTGGAAAAGATTGCCGTGCCTGCTCCCTATTCATCTCCACTCGATCAAGTCGTTTCTTTGACTGACTCGCACGTAGCGTTAAAGACCATTTCCTTTTGTGTATGCGACAGCGACGATGGAAGATTTATAGCATAGCATATCTTCAAGACACCATACTCTTCAACGCCTTCCCCTACGCCAGTTGTCAAACTTCTCACCAGTCAGTGATCGAAGCGCATCCGTTCTGAGCCAGCGACAGCAACCCCAGATACACGTACTACTACCATTGCGGTCAACAATACGGCTGCTCCTTGTTGATATACCTCAGCATAGACTTCTCTGGTCGACTTTGTGTTTGGTTTCTGCAAGATGGCGGATGCAAGGCCCCAGCACAGACAACAGCCGTCTGTATCGTTATTCACCACTTTCATTCGCTGGCTGCAGCTCAAGAATTACCAATATGAAGTGACGTTTTCATTATACATGCTTACATCCACTGAGAAGTGGGTATTCAGTACGTTACATTGAGTACCGCTTCCCTGTACCATCACTGACAAAGTTGTTACAGACTCAATTCTAATCATCCTCACATCTCTCCTCGTCACAGCCGCCTACCTTTACCTCCCTGCGCACCTTTTTGTCATCTATAGCCGCGTGTGGTATTATATCTCGGGCGAGTATACCTTCGCAAGACCCAGTAATATGGCAGGCAACCTCGGCAGTGCGCTCAAGGCCACAAAAGAAGTTCTGGTGTCCCACACTGTCAACTCTGTCATAGCCAGTCAGACGACTGGGAGCGCTGCGGCTAAAGTCACGGCTGAGACGCTCAGGAACGAATTGTGACCAAGCTTCTGTGGACTTTGAATATTCAAGAGTCTCATAAGACTCGTTCTCAAAACCAGGCTTTGTATGGAATATTTGTGGGACAGATCTGTTCCGATAGCGTGGAGTTGGCGGCGTCCAATTTTGTAACACTCGGCCACATTTCTAGACTTGCAAGACCGAGCATTATCGAGCTGGATTAGGGAGCGACGCAGAGCGCTTGGTTCGATACAGGGAGAGGCGTTCGAGGGTACGGTCGAAAGTAGCGGTCAATAGAGTGTGGCTGCGTAATAACCACCGCGTATGACTTGTTCAATGTCTTCTTGTGACTGCTTCTGTTCGACAGCGATTTCGACCGAGTAGAACTCCAGGTCTTTAGGTTCCTAGACGGTCATTGCAGGCTCTTCTGGTACATCACTCATCATATACCCGTAATATACAGTCTATCTTTCTCTCCCACATCTTTGCTTCCGCGTTATACTCGTCCCTGCGTTTCTAACGGTTCCTCCTCTTTACTGCTCGTTCGACTAAAGGCATCCCGAGCCTGGAGCAAAGCCTCCCTAGTCTGCAACTCTTTCCTCCTCCTCATCTCCCGCTGTATCCTTTCCACTTCCGCCTTAATCTCCTCTTTCTCGTACGGGATCTTGTGTGACTGTTCTTGCGTAGGCCAGAATCCCTCGACGCTGAAGCGGTTCTCAAGGTTGGTTCCGAAATAGTACATCCAACCTATGGGGAACATTAGGTACATGCCGAACTATTTGGGATTAGTATTTCAGCTATAAAAAAGCAAAGATGGCGACGACTGACTTTGAGGATTTCGAGGTTTGCGCCGCGGAGAGGCCGCAGGACGCGGTTTACGCTGCTGAGCATGGTCGGAGATGGTTGTTCTGGTGATTGGCAAGGTTGCAGTTGCTGGGAGAAATGAAGAGGTTGCTTTGTGTCTGCGTAGAGCTGTCCTGGACGTGGTCTGATAGTAAGATATCGTTGGCTGATGACTGCTTGACTTGCGACTTTGAGATCTGGATCGCCACAATATTTTCTGGGGCCACCTTCACAAGCCACAGATCGTGGCGTCCGATCGACTATGATTGGGATCTTCCTCAGGCACCCAAGTAGATACCGAGGCAAGAGAAGAGTTGCACTCCGCAAAAGTACTCTCAATATCTTGGGAAGCCGGAGAAGTTGATATGGTTCAAGTAGTACACTTCACATTCTGTATTCTGTTCTTATACATTCACGAACTGTAGCCTTTCCTGTCTCCATCGTCCAGAAGTATACCCTACACAAGCAGTCCAAAATGTCAGGCCCGTCGGACAAGGAGCTTCAAAATGAGGTTACCTTGACCTACAAAGGTCGAGTAGCCATCATCACCTTCGACCGGACCAAGAAGCTCAATGCCATGACCCAACAGCACTACTACCGCATCTCCTGCCTCCTTCGCGAAGTAGCTCTCCGCGACGAAGTGGTCATCACCGTCCTCACAGGCACGGGCCGCTTCTTCTCAGCCGGAGCAGACGTCGGCTCAGCCAGACCACCCGTCGATCCAAACACACAGAACAGCACAGACGCCGACAAGACACGCAGAGATATCATGTCCGGTTTCGTTGCGAATAACTTGGATCTCACCAGGAGCGTCTACATGCATCCGAAGATTCTGGTTGCGGCACTGAACGGTCCGGCTGTGGGCATCAGTGCGGCGTTGTTGGGATTTTGTGACTTTATCTATGCGGCGCCACATACTTATTTCTTGACTCCGTTTTCCTCGCTCGGTCTCGTGGCCGAGGGAGGGGCGAGTTATGGCTTGGTTCAGCGTATGGGTATCAGTACTGCTAATGAGGCATTGATGATGTCTCGCAAGATTTCTTGTGAGAAGCTTGTGCACTGCGGGTTCGTGAACAAGGTCTTTCAGGGCAAGGATCAGAATGACAGCGAAGGGTTCTTGAAACAGGTACTTGATGAGCTGGATGACAAGCTGGGAAGTCATCTGAACTCGGAGAGTCTTTTGGGCATTAAGAAATTGGTTAGAGCGCCGTATGAGGAGGCCTTGGAGGCACAGGGTGTCAGGGAAGTCATGGCAGGTATGAGTGTGTTCCTCAAGGGTGCTCCTCAGGAGGAGTTCAGAAAGCTTGCCAGTGGTGAGAAGAGACATAAGTTGTGAGTCTTTGCAAATACTGTAAGCGGTCACATCACGTCGGTATGTGAACTTTGTGGTCTTGGACTAGTCAATTCCCTGCTGCACATGTGATAAGAAAAGATGCCAAATGGGCCGGAAGTCCTATGAATAAATTGGACATCCTTGAGGTCAGCCTCATTTGTCTGAGAACGAGTCATTCCGCTGTGTTGTCTCTGAAGCAGAATCTTTCTGCCCACCCACAAAGTGACAATGCCTGGACTCAATGTTCCAGTTGTGGTTGCATCAACTCGTATATTCTTGCGATCGACCATTTCGCCTCATGTCGTCCGTCCAAACTCTCGACAGTAACGAAGAACTAGTTCACTCATGCTTGTGTCTTTCGTGCCTTTGCACCTCTTGTCTTCTTCTCTGGAGCATCTGCCTTCGCTCTCTGCGAATCGAGAACAGCACTGGCTCTCTGGATAGCATACAGGTTCAAGTCGCTTCGGTATGATTTCTGTCCAACATTGTCGGAGATAGCCTTGTAGACCCTGTACCGGCGTCAATACACCACCCTCTGATTCCTGATCTTCTGCGCAACTTACTTCTGGTTTGATCGGCCGGACTTGAATTTGTGTGTATTCAGGCTCTTAGCTGGAGTATTAGACTTTCCCTCCTTCTTGGTCGAGAAAGAGACACCCTTCTCGCCTGATGGCTGAACAGAGACAGCCTTGCTGTTCACAAAACCGGCATGTGTTCGAGAGTGCTTGTTAAGGAGGTTGAAGGGGTCCCTGGAGAAATAGGCACCGCCTCCGGTCTTTCGCTTGATCAGATAGGCATTGTTGCTTCCTATGGATGTGTTAGATACTCGGCTCTAATTTCAGCGAGAAACTGGTCGCAACATACTGACAACTTGCCAGAGGAGGTCATCGGAGACGTTGGTGGGTTGCGACATGGTGATAAACGGATGTGATGCTACCTAGACACTGTATCGTAGAGCCTCGTGTTTCTTTACGAAAAGTACCAGCGTGGGATCGATGTGCCAAGATTGCGATCGTGCCTGAGTGCCTGACACGCTTTGGGCAGGTACGACTACGGGTGCGCATTGAGGCTGAGCGATCGGCATCATTCGTAAGCGAGAACGATTCCGCGACCTTCCTGTCTTCATGAGCTGCTGCCTTGCACTCGCAGCGACAACGTCCACATATCGCATGCAAACCGCCATACAACCAAGGCTATCGAGCCTTTGCACTTGGGACAAGTGCCATTCCTTTCGTCCGTGCTAATTTGTCATCGACATTGCCCAGAATAACCGGCAACGATGTATATGCTCTTTGGTGTCTTTCTCCTCTCTATGGTCATTGGGACTGGTGAGTTTCACTCAAGTCATACGTCCCAGACGCTCGGCTAATCCCTATCGACAGGTCTTTACTTAACGCGCACTACCTGGACTCCTTACCTTCCAGACCGTCTCCAAGATCTCATCTACAGTACCTATACGCGTCTGCCCACGACCAGCACCTTTATGAACGACGTAGAATCCGGTTTCCAGTCCTCAAACTTCAATCTCGCTGAGAACATTGGTGAAGGCGACTCAAGATCCGGCCTGGATCAGAAGGGCAAGCAGGAAGTATACAGGATCATGAAGAGCCATGGTGTTGGGTTTGACGAGGCACGAGCACTATGGACGCAGAGAAGTTTCAGGAAGGCAGGAATCGGAGCTGACGGGCTGCCGAATGATCCTAAGCTTGTTACCTTTGGGAAAAGATGAGGAGTTCAAACATGACAAGGATACGTCTAGACTAATTTACTGTTCGGAGTGCATGTATTACCTTAAAGTTCAATATTGCTACTCCTGCTATCTAGCCACTCGTCAAGTTCCTGGAAAGGTCGCCTTGAGCTCCCGTTTCCGGAGGTTTAAGATCACCTATTTGGTTGCGTTTCTCTCGTCCTTGCACGGTCTGACCTTTGAAGAAGGACAGTTAGCCATGCGTTTCGAGCTATTGCGCTTTGCAGAAGGCAATTTCTGAGCTTAAGTTGCCTTGCATGCTACAGATGCGTACTGATTGAGACGGAGCTGGCATTCTCGAGGCAGTGTTTCGACTATAATGCCACCTGCAAGGCGCCTGGTTATGCTATTCTCAATGCGTTCCAGGCGCACAATATCCCAAGAGCCTGCAATGATGCGCGCCAGGCTTTGCGCGTAGGCTGAGTCATCTTCTTATACGTACGCCTTGCTCTTGAAGAAGCCGCTACAGCAGCACATGCCAGGAAGTCTTGTTACAAAGAAATGCTGAAACTCAAGTTGCATTAGGCAATATCATCATTGTAACTCGTTCGAGGAGAGCTTGGACCAGTTGTGAACATCAGCTAGTTCAAGATGGACCATCGAGTTCCTGCTGCTCCTCCTGGTGGTACTCAAGGACTTTGGGTCAAGCTCATGTATGGTGCCAGCACAATACAATCCACCCTCCTCATCATCTGTAACAGTAGCTCATCCGCGCGTCCAACACCGATAGATGAAGTCAAAGTTGCCACCGATGCAAACGCTTTACTGCAGTACCACTTGGTACATGCTCAATAGTGTGTATTTGTGCCAATATTCATACATCATAACATCGTGAATAACTGAAAGTTGCTTTTTTTCAATAAACGAGAACGCTGAAATTCAGAGATGAGGTGCTCAGTCATGCTTCATTGGCTGCTTGGGCTGAGCCAACTTTTACACCCTTAAGCACGATGCTGAGATTGTGCTACATCGTATTCATTCAATGGTTGGCTCTTGACTTGAAGTCCATATGGACCCTAATATCGAGGGGGTTGTCGAATTCTTTTGTGACACAGGTTGTGCTAGCCTTGATTTATAGTTGACTTGCACGGGTGATTGTCTAGTCTTGTAGTTGAACATCTACTCAGTACATCAGCAACGTGGCTCACGTACCAGTAGTTGGTATTTGCACTCACATTGCAGTCTCTGCACCTTCCTCCAACGATATCACAGCGACCACGGCATCCCCTGGGGAAGTTGCTGCAAGAGAACATTGTGCTTGACAATTGGGTCGACTGACAACTGATAGACTGAGATGGTGGCTTCTGCAAAGTGGTCGTAGTTGGTTTGTTCGCACGGAGCTGACCGGTAGTTGTGTCTTGGTTTTGGATCCCCTGGCTTTGTTCGTGGCAGACAATGGGTGTGAGGTCGCCGTTCAGGATCGTCGATACTTTGAAGATTAGGTCTGAAAGGAGTCTCACGATGTAAGTTGACTAGTTCGAGGATGAGGCTCTGCAACAATCATATGACGATATATGTGGTATGACCTGATATTATAACGACGTTGGTTGCAGTATTGTTGATATTGGTTCGTCGTTGCGATCTAGTGGGAGTGCAGTAGTCTCGGGTATAGTCGCGATCTGTAGAGTAGTGTTAAGCAGGGTATAGATCGATTCTTGAATGATCGATGAGGCTCAAAGTGGGCAAGGGGTCAGTGCAAAGAGTATGAAGAATTCTTGGAATGGGAGGGCCGGATACCTTTTCATACACGAGAGCTTTGATATTGTCCCTTCTCAGCATCCGGGCTGGAGCACTGGTGACTGTGCTGACTGGATCTGTGCTCGAACTCACTAGTTCTCAACGATGATCGATCCTTTCGTACACGAGTCGCACGCTGCCCAGTGCTACGGCAAGAGGAAACATTAGCACGCAAAGGAGATCCGACATGCTTCCTACCCTGCTGCCTTACGTGCCCGCTGAGCAGGTATGGGCAGAGCTTAATTCAGGCTTCACTTGATTCGACTAGCTCGAAGATAGAAGCCGATGCAGCAGATCTTCAGGACAGCATGTTCGTCCAATCAAAAGACAAAACATCGACCTCAATAGAGTTGCAGGCTATATTTTTGAGCTAAAACTAGCAGCAACTGCTGCAGAGTGACTTACAGGATGTGCCTGTTGGAGTGGCTCAGACGACAAGGAGGTCACCTGGTCGTTGAGAAAGTGCACTTGGCGATGGTACATGCCATGTCACAAACAGTAGCGCCTCATAAGATTTTAAGGCATCCTACAAACGAGGCCGTTTCGACTGCTGCGGCAGCACTATTGCGCATACATCTCGTGTGCGGCATTCGTCTGCAACAGCTTCTACTACCGAAAGCCGAAATATTGAGCCACATCAGCTACAGGTTGTGAGAGCGCACGGCAGCACACAAAACCCGCACATGTGTAGGTTCCGAAGCTGTGACAACGACATTTCGATAGCGCCCTGTATCATCGCCGATGCTCTACCACCATCGCCGATACAGATGGAGAAGAGCCTCAAAGAGGAGCAAAAAGCTGTGCAAGTCATATTCGTTCGATATCCCAACAGGGTCGCGCCTAGTTCATACAGTCGTAAACACTTAGAACCACGTATCAGCTGCTGTATTGTGTCTGCTTGCAGCATGAAAATTGGTTCTCGTACAACGCGTGTCCAAGGTATCTTCACGGTCGCGATGACTTCTAGCTTGGGAAGAAGAGCCAGGCAACCTTTCTGCACCTCATCCTGTTTGATGAGATTACAATCTTTTCCCTCCCCTTGCAGTAACGATAATGACACGATTACACACGTCAACTGTTGCATCGGCTTGAGCCTCATTTATGTTTCCTACACTGGCTCCGCTATCGTTCTGGAAAACACCTGGAATAGTAACCTAAAAGCCAAGCTTTGCGATCTTCGATCCGCCCACCCGTACTGTGAACTATTAATCGTTCAATGTTTACATTTAGGTAACTTTCCGACGATCATCTTGCCTGCCAAATTTTTGTGTTTACAGCACCTCGAAAATTATCATATGCCGTCCAATCTTGTGTCTTTGTGACCTCTGCCGGTGTAGTACGGCAATGCTCCTTTCGTATCGCCTCAAAGTGCGTGGAAGATCATTTGGTGATCTGCTGCAAGCTGTTGAGAGACTTCACAACCAGTCTGGCAGTTCAGTAAAAATACTGTCCAAAATAATGCACGAGATCATTCATACTGACCAAGCAGATCTTATCAGTCACGTACAACGCTTGTTCAAATGCAGTGACGATAGAAGTATGACTACAACATCACTCCCACCGTTTATCAAGCAGCAATATCGTTCTGACATATGCAATGCCGTGAGATTGTTTTGCAAAGTGCTTACCATTCATACACCCCATCCTTATGCACGAATTTCCCAACGTCGGCGTCTCTCTTTCCTTCAACAATACTCAGTATAGTCTCACCAGAGACCAGGGGACTTCCTGCATATCCACCTGCATTTCTTGCCTCCTCGGATGTTCCTCGCAGATTGGATACGACAAGTCCAGGACACATAGCGAACACCTTCAACTTTCCATCCATCTGTTTTGCTTCCTGAATTACCCACATATCCAAAGCCGCTTTGCTCATGCGATATGGGACATAATCAATTGCGTAGTCCTTATGTTTCTTGTCACTAGCGATGCTCAGCGAACCCAGACCACTGGAGACATAAATTGAACGTGGATCCTGGGATTTCAAGAGAAGAGGCTTGAATGCCTCTGACACCAATACTGGACCCGTGGCGTTGGTCAGAAAGGTACTTTGCAAGGTTTCTTGGTTCATTTCGTTGAAACCTCTGCCGGCGTTGTTGACAAGCACATCAAGACGGCCAAATTTCTGTTGAACCTCGTTCGCCGCTCTGCTGATTAATTCGGGGTCGTTGACGTCTAACTGAATTGAGGACAGCTCGCCCTTTATGTCTGGCATCGATCTGACTTCTTCCAAAACCTTCTCTCCGTTCTCGATATTCCTGCTTGCCATTATGACATGGTACTTGTCTGAGGCACTTGCTATAACACCTGATGTGGCCAAGCCAATGCCGGAATTTGCGCCTAGAAGACTTTTAATCCTGCAGTACATCCATCTTTGAGAAGACTTACCTGTGATCAGGACGATCGTGGAAGAGGCTGCCATACTATTCTACCCTGGTGATGTGATACGAACCAATGAGCTGATACACACCTTCTTCGCTTTCGAAGCCACATTTTTCTTGTTCCTTCGTGTACATATATACTGATTACCAGACTGTGGAAGTTCTGAGTAACTCACTTGGAGAGACTAGGTGGTCAGTATACAACAGCTAACGGAGTTAGGCAATAGCCGCGACAACCTCGGAGATAAACACATTCACATTACTACGTCTAGTAACTCTACAGCCGAAGTATATCGTCAAGTCATGGATTTGGAGATATAAATCACACCGAGTATCATGAATGTTGTTCCGAACAGTAGCGCGTTGCCCTCCCAAGTTAAGCCAAGATATGCGATGAGCCCGACGGCAATTTCTTTGCGTCGCGCTGCACTGCGTCTTCTTTGATGGTTTAGATCGAAAACAATGGGCGTCTCTTTCGAAAACTTTGAGCCGGAAACTGGTTGCAAAGGTATAGCGGCGGATAGCACGACTGGTCTGTGGTCTGAGGTCCTGAAAATTGGTAATGCTGAATACTTGCCAGCCTGCACCGGTAAGGTAGACGTGGCGGGGAACAAGATGCGATCACACCAGCTAGGCCATCGATGGTCCGACCACTGCCACGATTTTGAGTCTTCATCCAAAATAATCGGCTTGTCAGCAATCGTGCGGTATTTGTATGTAGGCGGAAACTGAATGCGTTGTTCTTTCAGTCCGTGCAGTGTTTTGCCGGCTTGCAATTGCTGCGTTAGTTGATCTTTCTCAAGTAAATGGCTGAAATGCTTAGGGCTTTCGGTGTTTTTGCTCGGCTGTGGGAAACACTCAGAGTCATTCTTCATAGGCCCAGATATGGCAGTGCGGTAATTCAAGTCGCCACTGACAAACAGGTAAGAATCATCTGCATAAATACCCTGGTGTACGGAGTCGTGGCTGTGATCTTCTGAAGAGCTGCCACTCAGTAAGGGAACTTCTGCTTCCGAGTTTGTCGAATTTTGCCCTTCGTGTGTAATCTGCTGTGAGAAAACAAGTCCTTGCACAATATCTTTATAGTCCTGGTCTCTTCGTTCCATTTTCTCCTCAAATGCAGCAAGATGGGTACTGACAAAGGTTGTGTACAGGATACCTTCAGAACGTGGAACTTTCCAACCAGCTCGAACACCGATAGCACCTTTATTAGCCATCTCAGATACTCCAACTCCAACTTCTGCCGTACTTAGTGTATGCACATTGTCAGCGAGCTCCGCGCGTACAAACACCATAAGTGCTGTAAGACCACAATTGCGTGTAATGATATTAACGTATTCAACTTCATCGTTGTTGTCTTGTGTATGCGCGAATGTCGTCGCCAATTGAATTACCTGCCTGAAGCGATCGAAGTAAGGCTTCACTAGGTTTCCACCCAGGAAAGCATGGCTCAGTGGCGCTATCTCTTGTAGGTTGAGAACAATCACATCAGGAAGTGAAGGCTCGGACGAAGTAGGATCTTGCCATCCATCCAATATGTGCTGACCAAAAACGTCAGGTTCGACCAATGTTCGACCACAATTGAAAGTGAGCAGGTAGAGCTTGAGATGAGCCATGGTTCTTTGATTGATGAAGCTCAATACTACCTCTCGCTGAAGACTGAAGCAATCATCCTGGCATAGTATATGGCCTGCTACGAATGGTCCAAAATAAGGATAGGACGAGGCTTATCGAATGGAATACTACAGCACAGTGAAGGGATAGACAATACGATGTAAAGTCTCTACAGTACTTGGCAAGTACGGGATGCTGAATTGTACAGTCGCGCACTTTCTCTGACTCGTCGTAGAAGAATGAAAGAAGGACCAACACCTCGCAAGCCACGATCAGAGCGAGCTGCAGGTGAATCGCGGCCATGGAGTACATCACGTAAGCAAGAAACCGTTACGCAGATGCAAATCGACCGTCGTCCACAGTCGTTATGCGAATCACAGTTAGCATAGTGAAAATCTTTGTCCAGTGCTCTTACTCTTTTGAGTCAATTGCTATCGATACAGTGCGTGCCGTAGCTCAGGCATTACTGTCTTTCAAGGCAAACACACAATTCAAACACGCTGTCCATCCCCAAAGGACAAGTCTTCCAGCCGCGTTGGGCAAGGGTCATGAGGTTTCGTATGGTCAACCCGTTCATTACTGCTAATCGAACTTTTGGCCACGTATGAAGTAGGACATGACGAAGTGAATAGCATCTTAGGGTTACTGTTGGGATTCATAATGTAATATAAGTCTGTCGAGATGCAGATGGATGTCGATATTTATTGGCGGCGTCAAAGTTGCGAGGCGGGCGACACTAAAGGTCAGATGTGTTAGACACCTGGAGAACGACACAACATCTTTAGATTTATAGACCGTGAGCAATATGCCAGCTTCGAAGGACAAAGCACACAACGGCGGAAGTGACAATTGCGACCATGAATACTGGCAGTTGCGTGAGCAAGAAGCAACACAACCAGCAGCGCAAGTGTTCAAATGCGGAGTGAGGCAAGACGGAGTCCACCAATTCCCAATAAAGCTAGCGTTTATGCAGAAGGCTGCGCTTGCCATAAAATAAATCGACCCCTACGACTGCCTCTTCTTTTCGATTTTATTCAACCATACCAATTCCGCCTTCAGATCAGTGATCACAACTTCAAAGTCTCAATTCTTAAACCGGGCACGCTTCCCTCAATATTCCCAAGGCAGCCTCTACGCTACCTGAGTCATTAACACAAGTCCGCTCAATACTTGTCCTCAGCCACAATGTCTTCTGCCGTTGACAATCTCGCTGATAACCTGCAAAAGGCCAGCATCGATGACCAAAACGTAGCAACTGACGCAGCCACTGCCAGTGCTGCTGAAGGTCGTCGTCTGTACATTGGGAATCTTGCCTACGCGACTACCGAGGAGGAACTCAAGCAGTTCTTCTCTGGCTATGATGTGTAAGTCTCGCAAGTGTAACCTCAATTACATCTTGCTAACCTGTCGTGCTACAGCGAATCTACCTCAATTCCTGTCAACCCACGAACCAACCGTCCTGTCGGCTATGCTTTCGTTGATCTAAAGCAAGCTGATGACGCTCAAAAGGCCATTGAAAACCTCTCTGGCAAGGAGATCCTCGAGCGAAAGGTTTCTGTACAACTGGCTCGCAAACCAGATGCCGAGGCTCCCAAGACTGAAGATGGTCAAACCGCTCAGCGAAAGCGATCTTCTGGTCGAGGCCGTGGTGGTCGTGGCCGAGGACGAGGTGGCCGTGCCGCTGGTGGCCGAACCAAATCTGCCGATGCTACCGAGACTGCTGATGCTACTCCTGCTGAAACCGAGGTCCTCCCTTTGACCGACAAGACCAACGAAGCCAACCAGGGTGAAGTTGCTACTGATGGTAAGACCCGACAGCCACGTCAACCAAAGCAGCGAGGTCCTCCTGAAGACGGCATTCCTTCGTCTACCAAGGTCATGGTTGCCAACCTTCCATATGACCTGACCGAGGAAAAGGTATGTGTAGACTATAGCTCTACTTCCTGCACATTGCTAACAAACCTTTGTAGCTCAAGGAACTCTTCGCTGAATTCAACCCTGTCTCTGCTAAGATTGCCCTTCGACCTATCCCACGATTCATGATCAAGAAGCTTCAAGCTCGAAATGAACCACGAAAGGGCCGTGGCTTCGGATTCGTCAACTTCGAATCTGAGGCTCAGCAACAGAAGGCCGTTTCCGAGATGAATGGCAAGCAGATCGAAGGCCGGGAGATCGCAGTCAAGGTTGCCATCGATAGCCCAGGCAAAGAGGATGGTGCTGAGCACGTTGAGGATGGCACCAATGGTACCACCGAAGAGGTTGCTGCTGCCTAAGCAAGTCGAAGGCACACAACACGGAGTTCACGATATCCTCTTTTAGCAAGCATGTATCATGAAGAAACGATGACATTTCTCGAGAATGTCAGGGATCTTCAGCTTTTGGCAGATACACAAGCTACGGCTGAAATATCGAATGGTCAATAGGTTGACGACATCAACCGTGACAGTATTGCTAGCCTGTCTACTACGAGGGCTGTATTATTAGGAGACAATACATTAATCTGTCCTATAACCCTATCTTTGTCGCGTCTTTGCGTGGTTCCTTAACTCCCCAAGCGAACTCTTGTAGTCTCCATGACCCCTAAACTTCTGCATACGCAAATCGCTCCTAACATTTTGTTGCTAGACATCGCCAGATCTGCTGACAAGCAGCGCCTAGAACAAAATAGCTGAGGTTACTCGGACTGGGCAGCATCCCCGTCATAACCCTAAATTCACAGTCAATCCCAGAACAATCTCAATCACTAATCTCCTAGCTGTCAAGATTCACTCCCAGCCCAACCACCAGTTCAAAACTCAATCTGCGTACTGACTGAATCGAGCTGATGGATTTCAGTGACAATCCCTATCCACTCATTCCATCACAAGAACACTAGTATATCCACGTACTATGTGTCCATTTCTTTTCTTGTCAGGCAGCTTGGGGTCTATACTTGTCTGAAACGCTGGTGAAGGCTCATGGGCTCCGAAGGATAGATGATTGTCAAAGGAGGTGTTCCATTTGGGAGAAAGTGTGGGGAGGTTGTCGTTTCTGCAAACCTGGTGAGTAAGAGAGCAGATCCTCCTTTATGGTATGGATTAGGATCGGCGAGTTGAAGAGATATCCATTAGGCTTACAATCGTGGCAGGTTCGATGACTATGGTGGGACTTGAGCGATTGAGGTGGTGGGTTGAGGTATCAACTGCTTGGTTATCGATCCGTTGATGGAATGCTTCTATGAGATGTTGAGAAGTGCGATAGACACCCGAAGTGTCAGTGGGGTCGTTTTCATATCCCTCGTACTAGCAGCTGTTGCTATGCCATGTGTCGCATATACAACATCTTCAAAGCCTGGACAGCTCAGATAATCCTGCCTCCGAGGTATCATTCATGACAAAGGTTTATCGCCGCAGTTTCTGAAAATGCTCCTCAAGCTGCAGCGTTGCTTTGTTTTCGTGTTTTACTTGTCCATCAAAGGCTTCATTCATCCTCTTCGCTCACTCCTACTCACCTCCCTCGGCATCGTCCAATTATTAACACCCCACCACCACTTCCTAACCTTCGCCCCCAAACTCTCCCCAGCAAACTTACTCCCCCGATTCCAATACCTCCACCCCGATATCAGCAAATGATATCCAATCCCCTGCACCAGCGGCAACAGCACCTGATCCCTTATCGTGATATAAGCCACTTGCGCATTCGTTTCAGCATTCTTGATACTCGCGAGATACGTCTGTTCGAATCTCAGATCTGGAAGTGGTAATTGGCCGGTTCGAGCGCGTGGTGGTCGTGGCGTGGGACGGATGATGTCTGAAGGGATGGTGGATGTAGTTGAGGTGTTGGTGGAGGAGTCGTGGTCGTCTTCGAGGTCTTCGTCATGGTGTATGACTTCCGCAGGGAATTTTTCGGATGCTGCGGTAGATGGGTTTAGGTCGTGCTCGATGGAGGGGTTGTGTTCGATGTGTGCGGATTGGACTATTGAGGCCAGTTCGGAGGCCATGGTTGTGGTTTGAGGTGAGGAAGGGAAGGAGAAGGTGGTCAAGGTTCAGTTGTGGTTGCCGTGTAGTGGTTAAGGTGCTACTATAGAGTCTTGAAATTTCATGTGCGCCGCCTTCGAATATTGCTGTAATCTGAACAATAGGCGTGTATTCAGCACTGGTAGTCGATGCTTGCGAGCAGTGGACGTTCGGTCAGTAAAGCTCGATGAGCAACCAATCAAAGCGGCCACTTTGCGGCGACGAATCCGCAGGGATCTGCCACAAGTTGACCTCATCAGCGAAACCAAAGAGTCTGCCCCACGTCCAAATCCAGAGTAAAATCTTGAGCAGTAATTGTAAAATCTACAGGTTGTAATTGCAGTTTGCTCTACCACTCTGAAGACACGGAACGAAATCAAAAGTATCTCAAAGATCATATTGCACAACCGCAACCATGGCAAGCACGCAAAGTTACCCGTTGCTCTGCTTAGAGAATCCTCTCCTTGGTACGTTAATTCTGACATTCACACCAGGGCAGAGTCACAGTTAAAGTGATGCATGCTAACAGCTATGGCGGTCAGATATCCAAGGAGAAGGAAGTCACGAGATGATCGAGAAGTACGGCATGAAACTCAACGACACAGTCCTTGCAGAGCCACACCAACTGGGTCTCTACGACGATTTGATCAACAACCACAACGCAAAATTGATCGCAGGTGGAGGCGCGCAGAACACGGCACGAGGGGCACAATATATGCTGCCAGAGAAGAGCGTCTGGTATGTAGGATGTGTTGGTGACGATGAGTACGCAAACATCTTGAGGGAGGCTTGCAAAAAAGAAGGTATGTGATAATAGTATTCTAAAGAGTGACATTAGTTGGTTAACACGTTTCGTGTGAAGGTGTCCACGTCGAGTATCGAGTTGATTCAACCCACAAGACTGGTCGCTGTGGTGTAATCATCACTGATCATCATCGAACAATGTGTACAGATCTGGCTGCGGCCAATGAGTACAAGCTCGAACATCTGAAGCAACCTCACATCTGGTCCATGGTTGAGGCGAGCAAGGTGTACTATGTCGGGGGATACCATTTGACCGTATGTGTGCCTGCTGCCATGGCTCTAGCTGAACACGCAGCTGCCAACAACAAGCCTTTCATGCTGGGTCTTGCTGCTGGCTTCATTCCACAATTCTTCAAGGATCAGCTTGCGCAGATCTTGCCATACTGTGACTACCTGTTTGGTAACGAGAACGAGGCTCAAACCTGGGCGACCACCAATGGTCATGCAGCTGATACCAGCATTCCTGAAATTGCAAAGCTTCTCGCCAACGTTGAAAAGGTCAACAAGCAAAGACCAAGGACTGTGATCATTACACAAGGCACCAATCCAACAATAGTCGCTGTGACTGGCGAAAATGAGGTTCGATCCTATCCAGTCCTGGCAATAGACAACAACCTGATCTGCGACACAACTGGTGCGGGTGATGCTTATGCTGCTGGTTTTGTCGCTGGTGTGGTGTCGGGCGACGACATTGAAACCTCAGTCAAAAAGGGACAGTGGTTGGCTAAGCTGAGTATTCAAGAACTCGGTCCTTCATATCCGTTCCCAAAGAAGACTTACGGTGAGGATGAGCAATAGATGTGGTAAGGCTTTTATTGGGTGCAGTATAAAATAGCGTGGCGTTCGGGGCTCTTTTCAACAAAAGCCTGAGCTGGCGTATCATACTGAGGTCTGATTTTTAGAACTGCCTGATAATCTTGAAGGCCCTTTTGGGACGATATCCAGTTCCAATAGATGCACTAGCCACGCACATTCAACGTATGAAGCAGGGACCTTTGTCCATCAGCCCTGGCCATTTGTCGGTGTACCCGACGAGAAAGGCCGTGCTTGCCCAATGACCCCAAAAGGAGCTGGCGGCTGAGACGTAGACCTTGGAGGTTGAGGACTTCGACCGTTATTATCGTTCGAGGTGCTGAAGGGGGATGGTGTACGTTCCTGCTTGTTTTCAAATGCGCGTAGAAAAGTGTTCATACCAGTCGGCGTCTGTCCGTAAGTCGACCAGCTTGGTGTAGGTTCGAAAGGTGCTTGATATGACGAATGTAGCTGGACGTCGCGCTGTTGTTGGGCTAATTGGTCCTGAAATAGAGCGCTTGAAGTTAACGAAGGCGAGGTGAACGATGATGATCGCTTTGAATTTGTGTCAAGACGTGGTGACAGTTGTGCCTGCTCGTTGGGAGTTGGCGCGAAAGGTGTGTTGTAGACACTTGGCAGTAATGGTTGGACGTGCTTCTTAGCAGAATCGGGAGATCGTTGGGACACCGGACTTCCACCAGACGAACGCTGTTGCATTCTTCGTACAATATCCATGGCTGTCAGTTGACCACTGGCAGGGGCTGCTGGCGTGCCCATCAAGATACTGGAGCTTGCAAAAGTTGCAGACGGCTCTTCGACGGCAGTTTGCATAGTCTCGCTACTAGTCAGGTTGAAGGGATCCTGGTCACCATTTGCCTGTGCCCTGATTGACGGTATCTCTGGTGTAGCGACTCCCAACTTTGCAACGACCGGTACCGCCAGGTTGGCAGACGCTGGTCGGCTAGGAGAATCTACGCCATTCATCGAAGCTGTATGCACGTGAGTCCTGCTCTTCCAGACTTGCTTCGGAGGCGAAGGTGGCGCTTGTGGCACTGCACTGTCAGGTATCTGTAGTGCAACGAATTGTGTCTCAACAATCTCGAGGGGTACAAAGCTCAGACCCAGGTCGTCCTAGTCATGTCAGCTTACTTATATACTGTAAACGAATTTGTGCATACCTGCTGTTTGACAAGTCGTAGCGCATCGACCACTAGGTCAGTTGCTCGCATGTGAGTCTCAGCCAACTCCTCCGATGTCTCCTTTCCTCTACCAGTGTCGAATCGGGCTGGCTTTACCTTGGTCTTGTCAACGCCATAATAGCGCCATTCAATGACCTTGGGCGAGTAGGGAGGGAAAGAGAGAGTTCTCTCATCATCTTCCAGGAGATATCCCACCTGTGACGGAGCGAAGACATCGACATGACTTCGCAGCAGGTTCAAGGTTTCTGCGTACGTCCTCATGGCCCCTTCCAAGAACAGGCGAGTTGATTTGAACTTGGTCTCAACCAGCTCGCGCATGTGACTCAAGAGCCAACTACTGTATTGGCGAAGGTGGGGTAGAACACGACGCACGACCAAAGAAAGACGAGACAGGTCTGATAGATCTTGGTCTGGTGTGGGAGGGTCGCCGAGCTCTCTCTTCAATACACTCAATAGGTCCCGGAAAGTCATGAGGTTGAATCGTTGAAACAAGAAATAACTTTGGCAGTTCTTGTCAGCCTCTCGCACAAGCTTCAACTCGGACAACTTCTTCATCAGCACGTTCTTGGTCATGCCTCGCCTAGCTAGATCTTCGGCAGCAATATTGATGAGACAAGCCCGTTGAAGAAAGTGATCCAAAGCAGCAGGTCGTGCATCCTGGTCCGCAAAACACAGGGCAATCATGCCCAAGATGTCCTTAGCTCTTTGCTGGAAAGCCACAAAGTCATACGGGCGGGCATAAGAATGAGCGTGAAAAGCGAGAAAGCGCTTTTCGAGGGAGCTGACCATATCGTCGCCAGATCGGTCCATGAGGGCATAGGATTCCTCCGTGCGCAGAGTCAGTAGCTTCTCGAATTCAGCTTTGATGTTGTCAGCGGCAGTTGGGAAGGGGTTTGTGACTGCTGTAGCTCGGTATAGATAGTATACAGCACCAAGATGGTCTTCGTCGTTTCTAGCGATCACAGCAAGTTGATTGTAACAGGTTCCCTCACCAGGATCCATGCTTAGAGCAAGTTGGTAGTATCCTTTAGCAGGGCCCCAATTACGCTCCTTCAGTTGCAATTCTGTTTCGCGCCATCTTGAAAGATCACCTAGGCGAATGATGCAGAGCTTGCAGGATTTCTCCAAGGTTACGTTTTGCTCTTCGGTAGCAACCTTTGGTGACTGCGCAGTTAAGCCATTCTGGTTCAGCTTCTCAGCGATTTCAAAGACCTTAGGGATGTTTGAGAAATTCGCAGTCAGGCGGCCAATGTAAGCTCGATAATAGCGCTGGCTCGCTCTGATAAAATCGACGTACAGCTTCTCGGCCTTTCGTCGTTCGACATGTTTCCTCTTGCCATCTCCCTCGCGAAAGCCCTTTAACCATAACTTGAATTTACCACTTACTTCGACGTGAAAATTCCACAATCTGTTTTCGACGTCCTCGGCAGATCTGTCCAGAGCGAGGTAAAGTAGAGCGAGATTGCCGGAGCGGACTCTCAATTTCTCGAGTAAAGGTTCAAGGCTTGCATATTCAGGCTCTTTCTGCTTCAAAGCATTCTGTAGTCTTCGTATCGCCGAAGTCACGGCTCTGTAAGCGGGTTGTTAGCCGCTGGTAAGTCTTAGCAGATATGTGAGACGTACTTCGACGCCTCCTCGGCGTGCGTTTCCATAGTAATTTGAGGTAGGGCAAAGTGGTCATAACGACCAAAGGTGCTGGTCAGGATGAATGTTTCGCAGCGCACCACAGTTTAAATGTGCCTGCCATTGACAGTCGCGGATTTAGCACGGTATCTGCAAGTTATCAAGCAGACAAAGGTTTGCAGAAGAGGTGTAAGCAAAGACTGGGAATATCTGAAGTAATGGTTGTTCGAGAACCAGAATCCGCGCAAGCGTACCAAACACAGCGGAGTCACGACCGAAACGAGGGTGAAAGAAAGTTCCTATGGCAATCTGAAAATGGCCGAGAGATGGGAGAATTGCCACATAAGAATGAGGTCACAGGCTGAGTGATCGAACACTTTCACGCGAGACCAGAAATGCATGAATCTCTTTCAGCATGGGGATCGAGTTCCTTACACTCACTTCTTCTATCATCAACTCAGCTTAGCATGAAAAGATCACTACAATTGCTGCGTCCTGTGCAGCAATTCAAGGATAGACCAATATGCGGCTCTTGCAGGAAAGAGCTGCGCCGAGCAGCATCGACTCAAGCTGCAGCAATTGCTGAGGATCCCAGCCAGGAACTCGAATCAAACAGTTCCTTCAATCTTCCACCTCCTTCTGAACAGGATGCGACTAGGTTTGATCCACTGAAATCTACGCGATACAGGGAGAAGAAAAAGCAGGCACTTCCTTCCAGCAGGTATGAGAACAAGAATGCTTTGGCAGATGACAGCTAATCGAGCGCCAGATATCAATATCGCTCTCCTCGCTTCGACCGTGGTCCATTAGCACCACATCGTCCGCCTCCTCTGACAGATCCTGCCTCGCGACAGTTTGTACCAGGGCCTTTTTCGCAATCACGCCTTGAGAGCACGTATCACAGCACAATCGCCGCGGATTACATGGCAATGACTTATCAGCATCGACCGCCTGGCTTCAAACCACCCGAGAAAGGTCCAAGACTGCGCGCATGGGAGGGCGACAATCCATACTTTGCGAACAGAAAACTTAGAGGTCCAAGAGGAGGTGATGTGCTGCGTTTGTTAAGAAAACCAATCACCTTCAGAAACATTCCAATGATCGAAAGACTTACTGTTCATACATATTGCAGAGACGTTATTAGATCGGGCTCAGCTGTTCTCCATGTCGCCGGCATGGTCTTACAAGAGATCACTGGTCAGCGTGTTATTACCCACAAGTCGAAACATCCCGAACAAGGCTTCGGTTTGCAGAAGGGCATCCCTATCGCTGCAACAGTGGATCTCAAGGGCGAGGCCATGTATCATTTCATGGACAAACTGGTCAATGTTGTCATGCCTAGAATCAAAGACTGGAGGGGAGTCAGAGCGACGACAGGGGACAACTCCGGCAATCTTACATTTGGTTTCGAGCCGGACGTGACTGGTACTTTTCCTGAGGTTGAGAACAATTACGATGCATACCCGCCTAAGATGATTCCTGGTCTGCATATCACGATACACACAACTGCCAGAGCCGACAAAGACGCAAGATTGCTATTGGAAGCATTTGGCATTCCGTTCTACGGCAAGGTCGTGGACTGAGCGAATACGAGCGACAAAAAGCCCTCTGACCATCAGAATTCGAAAGACCCAAACGAAGAGCATTTTAGCAGAGCAAAAACGGCGAGTCACGGGCAGCTACTACATTTTGCCATGTCGCTGGGCTGTCAGTTTCTTCGCTGTTCAGATACATACGGGTGGGCCGACATTCAAAGAGTACGTCCATTGTGGCAATGTTACTGTGAAGAGCCTCATTCTAAGTACTGGTAACAGTATAGAACCTGATGCCTTACCACCCTTCAGTTGCTCAGCAGGTCATCGTGGCACTTATATAGCATCGGAGTCTTCATCGAGAGAGACAGCTCAAAATCGTTGTCTTGCGTTCGAGCTGATGAGGACGAGATTCGAACAGGATGTGGAGGCAGTGTGAAGCACACAAGATCAGTGAGCTTATTGCCTGAATGCCTGACACCAAAAATAGCGGCAGTCGCAAGCCGTGTTCCTCGAGAGAAAGCGTTTATGTAGATTACCTGTAAGATTTACAACCTATTGAACACGAGATCTGTACTCGTCCTCACGTATGCCATTTCCTACTGATACTTGGGCGGCACTCATATTTCCACCCCAAGACATATCGCCAAGGCCGCTTTGCTCTTCGAAGTCCGGCACGAAGCTATCGGCCAATATCATCATAACACTTTAAGGTCGGAATCCGAACGGGCTGATAAATTCAAAATCAGGGTGAAACTATATCGAAGTGCCTTGAGCACATACTACCTCGAAAATCCATTCACCATCCTCGTCCTGCAAAAATGGCAGCCCCTACCAAATCTCAACTCCTAGGCGACCCACAATCCAACCAATCCACCCCCTCAATATCTCGCGCCACAACCCCCCTCAACAACTCAAGCCGTCCCACCCACGATTCATCCGGCCACCTGCTCCCCGCCATCCTCTGCCTGCACGGCGGCGGATCCAACGCCACTGTCTTCAAAATCCAATCTCGCCGCCTCATCTGGAACCTCCAGGGTCAATTCCGCTTCGTCTTCGCCCAGGCAAGTATAGAAGGAACACCCGGCTTCGGCATGTTACCTGTCTTTGCGTCGTGCGCGCCCTTCTACAGGTGGGTTGAGCGGCGGTTCAAGATGGGTGAGAGTGAGGTTGAGGAGACGCCCGAGGATGAGATTAGGGGGTTAGATGAGAACTTGGTGAGGGTCATGGAGGAAAACGGTGGTGTGAAGAGTTTTGTGGGTGTGATGGGGTTTTCGCAAGGGGCGAGGTTGGTGCCTGGGTTGTTGTTGAGGCAGAGGATCGAGGAGCGTGATAAGTTGGGTGGGAGTATTTACAAGTTTAAATTTGGGATTATGATTGGGGGGCCGTATCCGCCGATTGCGGTGCATTCCAGGGTTAAGGTGGAGGACTATGAGCTGTTGAAGACGGTGCCTACTGTGCATGCTTGGGGGAGGGATGATCATGTTATTGAGGGATGCAAAAGATTGAGGGAGGCGTGTGATGGAGACGAGTGTTTTCAGATGGCCTTTGAGGGTGGTCACCATATGCCGCTTAAGGATGATGAGGCCAGGGATTTGTGTGATCTCATTATGGCAGCTTGGTATGCAGGAGGTGGGAAGTTTGGGGTGGGTGCGAATAACGAGAATTATTGATGAGAGTTGGGATGCTACGACAGCTTCTTTACTCTAGGCTCTGGCCTACACCTCTCCAAACCACCATGTGGTAGGGCTAAACACTACCAGCACATTGTCGACCAGGTGGTACTCACTAAGGAACTGGGTGTCGGCGCCATATCTGAGAGACCAACTGAACCACAGGAAAGTCCATAGGAAGCCTATAGCATGAGTGAGGGCTAGCAGCTGGTCAGTGGTGGTTCGATCACGACAATACAAGTCGCACATACCTGAGTTACGGAACCCGATCCCTCGCCCCATCGCGATCATGGCGTCCTCCAATGTGATTGCCAATGGCTGGACCATGAAGAAGACAATAGTATTCCAGCCACCATCAGAGTACGGCAAATTCAGACTTCCAACCAGATGCAAGCAAGTCGAGGCAAAGAACGACCAATATAGCCTGAAATATCTCGACACCAAACTGCCTTTCTTCAAACACAAAAGCCGAGCAATGGCGTTGCCAGAAACTTCGAAAGGCCGACGGAGCAGTTGATGCCAGCCATAACCCCAGACTTTACGGACAGTGAAGCATTTGCTGACCTTGCCGTTGAATGGTGGGTAGGATTGTGGTAAATCCAGCTTCAAGCTGACGAAAAGTACTGCTAGCACATGGTACAAAAGACACATCTCGTAACCACTACGGAAGGCTGTCGACCAGACGATTACCATTTGTCTGGATAGGGGCAAGTCCTTGATCGAGCTAATATCAGGATTCCGAAGCAAACTGCGTCGGAGGACGAATGTAGTCAGATCTTCAAGCACGTACGCCTTGACAATTTCGAGTACTTTGTGGCGAACGAAAGATCTACAAACGTTAGAAGGAGATATATTGGTGGTTCGAACGTCCTCGCCTTCGACTTTCCTCCTTAGGTACTTCATCAACATGCGAAACCTGCCAGTTCCAACCTATTCCTCTTAAGCTGCACAGTAACCCGAAGCTTCGCTTCAGCTTCTGCCATAATGCCAACTTGTTGACCTCGTTCGCGGTCTCACGTGTACCATCCTGCTTGTACCGGTAGATGTCCAGATCGAAATTCCTACAGACGACTAAATCGATCCAACGGATCATCAGCCATGTGATTTCGATTGGAATGATATAATCTTCCCCAAGATTCTCGAACTGGTGCTGACGGATATAAAGTAACAAGTAGAGGTATACAGGCAAGGGGATGAGACGACGATGAGGTATACTCCTTGGTAAGAGGAGGGTCAATGTACTGATGGTGTATGCGGTCACGACGACGCCGACACTTGACCCGGGTGGTCGGGACGATGGTGGAAAGTAGATAGGATTCATCTTGGAAAGACCTCTGTCTTCTGGCTAGATGTGCTGGTCGATTATGGAGAAGGTTTCTTATATAGACTGACACTTAGTGGTCAGGCAATATATTGACAGCCAAGCTCGCGAGGTGATCTTATCACATTCGTATCCGTATCCTGGTTTGCCTACTTCAAGTAAGTGGCAGGGGTACGCCTGCATTGTACCTTGGTACCTTCAATGAGCTATTGAACTTTGCTATGGCAATTTCAGTGGACGAGCCCAGATTATGCAAAAACATATAGAATATTGTCTAAGAACACTTGTATGCACCAAGATCCGATACATAGTCCTTTTACGCTGGGTTCAGCAGAGCTGAATCTGTTGTCACTAGCCTTCTTCCGTCACTGCCTCATGCGAGCCTCTTGGATGTCTCGGGAACTCTGTCATACGGTCATCACTGTCGTGTTCAATCATACGTCGTTAATCATTTCCGTCATACTTCGACAAGTGTTTTCTGGCCTTGTTTTCCGATCATTACTACTTCTGCTCAAACCAGGCCTCAATCCTCTCGACCAGATCCGTCTTCTTGGCTCCAGTAGTTGCAATCTTCTTTGAGCTGGCGAACCCTTTCAGATCCGTCACTGTCAATTTTGACAGCTGTCCCTTCTCGTACGTCTTTCGCATATTCTCCTCACTCACAACCTCCCCATTGTCTTTCTTCGACCGCTTCGCTGGCTCATCTGTTTCTTTCGATTTTGTGCCACGAGCAGTTGGTCGTTTCTCACCGAGATTAGCAGCGTCAGGATTTTCTGCTACATGTTCTTTGTACACCTTTTGCAGCTCATTGCCCCATCTGACAGCCTCCTCGCCAACACGTTGATCTATTTGTCGATACTTTGGTCTTGTTTTATCTTCTGACTTTTCGGGAAGATCTTCTTCGAGTGCTATGGCTTGTAGTATGCGATAGTGCCATTGAAGACTTGGATTAGGATATCTATTTGGATCGAATGTGCCCTTTGGTAGATTGAGCTTCTCGATGATTGGTATCATCTCATCTACCAGTCCGTCGGGAGCTCGCAGTGGTGTCTTATGCATGGAGGGTGGATTTTGTCGTAGATCATCAGCGAATGGCAAAGGAATAAGATGAAGGCCTTGTGGACATCCAGTCTTTGAAACGGCTGCCTGGTTCGTCCCTGCATCGGCGCCGATGGCACTCAATGTGGGCAGAATCGCTGCGAGGACTGGCGTGGCATTCTTTCGTGGTATCAACCAGGATAATCCGAAAACCTGTTTCTTCAACATGTTCTGGTACAACGCACTAAAGACGCGAATGCTGCCAATGTAATCCTCCTCGAATGGATAAATAAAGGTCGAGTTCTTAGTATTAGCCCATACTGGTAGAGCAGTCGTTGGTTTGAAGCCAATGAGACGAATGATGGGACCTCCAAAATCTCGTAGTTTGCTTAGTTCTTCTTGCGAAAAGGTTATATGTTCACCGCCAAAGGTATAAGCCTTTTTGATCTCTGCCTTTTCAACGTTGCGAGATCCGCTCTCGAAGTCGTCTGCGTATCTTGTGGTTCGCCCTTTCACAATTTCCGGCTTTTCACCACTAACATAAATGTAAGTGCTTCTGACTGGTTTCTGATGTTTGTAGAGGAGAAAGCCTTTGACACCAATACGCAGCCCGGGCGCGATCTCCAGATGTGCAGCTGAAAATAGTGCACGCTTGGGCGTCGCACGCGAAGATATGGTTGATATTAGTGACTGTAGTAGAGAAATACCATCAGCATTGCCTGTCCTCAGACGACTCTTATCAACGTCCATCAGCGACGAAGGATTGTACATGATCGCGTCTGGGTCGGATGGACTGGATTTGTACACAATATCATCCCAGAAGAGCTTTGTCTCGAACGCATGTTTAGCTGAAGAGATCGGGAAGAGCTCAATTACGACGCCGAGATCGTACAGATCCTTAGCTCTTACAGTGGCCTGCGAACGATAGGACTTGTCATCGGAATGAGGATTGTCATTGTCGGTTACAATGAACAGTCGTCGGGATGTGAAATTTGCGGCCTTCTGCTGAAAGATCTGGTTGGCGCAAAAGAGCATAGTGTGCATGGATACTGGTTCACCTGAAACCTGGAAGAGGTTTTTGGCATCCTCACTGTCGCTGTCATCTTCGATTAATGATTTTAGTGCCTTCACGTCTTCCGCTTCTGGTATATCCAGATCGGTCAGCAGGTAGCAATGCGGGAACGACCAACCACCCCGAGTGGTTTCGTCTTCGTTGTAGAACTTTGATGCTTCGGTACCGTACAAGAGTATACCCATCAAGTCCTTGGGCGCTGATATGATACGTTGCTGCATCAGATGATAGGCGCATTTCAGTGCTGCTTCGAGTGGTGAGCTAGTATCCGCTTTCTCGGATGTTATTTGAGGTCGTCGCAGCATAGAGTCGCTGACTTCTACGGCGAAAAGGACTGCGTCTTTCACAGTCTTATAGCCAGTCTCGTCAACGTCCTCTTCCTCTTCATCATCGTCGGCATCGTGCGAAGGACCATTGTCCTTGGACCGATATGGCAAGGTGGACATTTTGACGATCTCTGAGGGTATGGATAATACAATTTGGTGAAAGCAGCACAGATATCAGTTGTTCTTTGGGACGCGATTCAGGCAAGTATTCAACGCGCTATTTCGCGCAGTCACGTTTCGGCGATAGAGCATCCATGAATTCGAGAAAGCGCTATTGGTTAGTGGCAAAGTGAAGATCGTCATGCTCTTCGGTCTGTTCTTCGGAATCCACCCAAGTTGCAAGACATTATTTTGTCAACCATGATCTCGCCTTCTTCGTTCCTTTAGCCTCTCTATAGAAGTCACCGAAGTCGTTCATTTTCTCTATTCAGTGTAACAGACCCTTCGACTCTGTGCACTAACCGTACACTGTCGAGTCTTTCTTCCCTCAGGATGGCAAACCGGGCAACGTCTGCGGCGGCGCGGGCGCTGCAGCTTGCAGCTTCCCGACCAAACTTGTTCTGCTCGAGACAAGGACTCAGAAAAGCCTGCATGGCGACGGTAGCACCTCCGGTGACGCAGAATTCTATGAGCAAGAGAGGTCCGACTGCTATGGTTTTTATGAACATGGGTGGTCCTTCCACGACAGACGAGGTCGGCGACTTTCTCAGCAGACTATTTTCCGATGGCGATCTAATACCGCTTGGTAGACTACAAAACTACCTGGGACCTTTAATATCGAGAAGAAGGACGCCGAAAATACAGAAGCAGTATGCAGATATTGGTGGCGGTTCCCCGATACGCAAGTGGTCGGAGTACCAGTGCGAAGAGATGTGCAAAATCCTTGATCAAATATCACCCGAGACAGCACCACATAAGCCATATGTTGCATTTCGATATGCAAACCCTCTGACCGAGCACATGTACGAGCAAATGCTCAAGGACGGATTCGGTAATGGGAAAGGTGGAAGAGCTGTTGCATTCACACAATATCCACAATATTCCTGCTCCACGACCGGCAGCTCACTGAACGAGCTTTGGAAATGGAGGAACCGTTTGGAAGGCAAGAGAGCGAGTGGTGACATGCATCCACCAGGTTCGATAACCTGGAGTGTGATTGACCGATGGCCGACTCATTCAGGATTGGTGGAAGCCTTTGCGCAGAACATCGAAGCACAAGTAAAGACGTACCCGGAAGATAGGAGGAAAGACGTGGTGTTGTTGTTCTCCGCTCACAGCTTACCTATGAGCGTGGTCAATAGAGGCGACCCATATCCTGCTGAGGTAGCAGCTACAGTCTATGCGGTTATGTCCAGACTTGGGTTCTCTAACCCATATCGGTTGACTTGGCAGTCGCAAGTTGGCCCATCCGCATGGCTTGGAGCACAGACCAGCGACACGGTTCGAGAGTACGTCAAGCGAGGACATACGGACCTCGTTTTGGTGCCAATCGCCTTCACCAGCGACCACATTGAAACACTATACGAAATCGACAAAGAAGTTATGCACGAGGACGCTCAGGGACATCCAGGCGTCAAGAGAGCCGAGAGTTTGAATGGCAGCAAAGTGTTTATCCAAGCTCTGGCTGATATCGCCAAAGCACACCTCGAAAGTGGACAAAGTTGCTCGAAGCAAATGGGTTTGCGCTGTCAGGGTTGCACGAGCGAACGTTGCTTAGAATCGAAAAAATTCTTTGCTGGTGAGCAAGCCTTCACGAGTGGAACTGTAGTAAGATAGTTGGTAATTTTAATATCGTGCTGTCTATCACAGGTGTGTGCCTGTAAGTCCCCTGAAATCTGTATATTAGAAGAAGCCGTTTCGACCGTGTCGACCGCGAGCACAGAAGGTAGATATCCGGGTGCTTATCAATCCGTGGCTTTGAGATCTGGCCAGGCATTGCGTTGCCGTCTTACCAGGGTTCCAATCACCCAATCGGGCACATCTCGTCCGGGAATTTCACCTACAATGTCCGGGGGATACTCAACTTCGCCCGTATCTACTGCATGTGTTGACGACATTTTGGAATTTGGTTTCAGGCTTCCGCATTTACAATACTGTCTGATATTCTTCTATCGTTGGCCTTGCGTATAGCCGTTCAATTGCTGTACTTCAGTATCCGGAAAGCGATCGCAGAGTTGGCAGATAAAAATGTCTACATAAAGCGAACCAGAACCGATTATCCCAGCATTCAGGGTTGTTGTCGGAGGTTCCAAAGTCTATCGCCGATCCCGCAGTTTGGACAAAATGAACCAAGAAGATGTATACGCTGAAGAAGCACAAGAGGAGTTGTTGAATCGGGAATCGCAGGACAGCACGCACAGGCAACGTCGACCGAAAAGTAATGTTCGCTTTGACGCGACAGACACAACATCGGACATTGAGGATGAAAACAGTCCTTTGATAGACAACCTTCTATCGCCACGACGGCCAGGTCAAAAAAGAGGCTATAGCTATGAGCGAGCCATTAACGAGCCATGGACTGGGGCGCACGGGAGAGGCCATTTACCTTGGTACAAGAAGCCATCGGTAAGTCGCGGGTCCAATCTGCTTGCCACTGACAAACACTAACATCGACACAGGTATACTGGCTTCTGCCAGCTTTCTTCCCCTTCTGCATAGCATTTGGCGGTATTATAGTTCCAAAAACCTACCTCGTCCAAGACCTGATATGCAGAGACCTCATGAGAGACCGAGCCCTCAAAGATCCAACCTTTAGTTTCGCCCCAATTAGCCCAGGACTTAGGAATCCAGTATGCGACGATGACAACGAAGTCCAGGCAAAGACAGCATTGTTCTCAACGTATACCAGCTTGCTCTCGGGCATATTCTCAGCAATTGTTGCTCCGCATTTTGGCGCTCTGTCTGACAGAATTGGGAGAAAACCCGTTATTGTGTGTGCAACCTTTGGCTCCTTCATTGGTGAACTCATCACAATCATTGTTGGCACAAATCCTGAAAGTATATCTGTATACTGGCTACTTCTAGGAGCTCTGGCGGATGGGCTCTGTGGTTCCTTTACTACAAGCATGGCTTTGTGCTTCGCCTATGCGTCTGACTGCACGGCGCCAGAGCGGAGAAACGTGGCATTTGGACATTTCCATGCAAACCTTTTCGCAGGCATTGCCTTTGGACCGGTCGTTGCCGCAATCCTCATGAAGGCTACTGGTAACAATGTTATGGTTCCTTTCTACTTCGCCCTCGGATGTCATGTCTTCTTCATTCTCTTCACCAGTCTGGTGGTACCGGAGTCATTGTCCAAGGAACGGCAAATAATTGCTCGTGAGCGACACAGAAACGAGCGCTCGGGTCGACAATGGTCCACTAAAGACCTAAACATCTTTGGTCCACTGTCCATCCTGTGGCCTAAAGGGCCTGGCTCCTCACCCAAGCTCCGTCGCAATCTGGTCACACTGGCTGCGATCGATACCCTGATGTTCGGCGTCGCTATGGGCACTATGCAGATCGTCCTGATATATGCAAGAAAGCGATTCCATTGGGATCCTACGCAGTCCGCTGGTTATCTGTCCACAGTCAACATTTGCAGAGTTAGTGTTCTCCTTTTCATTCTACCTCTGATTACACGATGGGTCAGAGGTCCTGCTTCAGAACAACCTAAAGGGCATCGTGGCTCTGACAAGCTCGATCTTGGTATCATTCGGGTTTCGATCATATTCGATCTGATAGGCTATCTTGGTTATGCTTTCACGCCCTCCGGGCCTGTCATGGTCATTTCTGGTATGGTAGCATCGCTGGGAGGTATTGGACCTCCTACTTTGCAGTCATCCATGACGAAGCACATCCCTGCTGATCGGACAGGGCAGGTCCTAGGTGCATCCGGGCTCCTGCATGCGCTTGCTCGCGTTGTGGCACCTGTCATCTTCAACCTTATCTACAGTAGAACCGTTGCTACTTTTGCAGGTCTTGTCTTTGTCTGCCTTGGAAGCATATTCGTTGTTGTATTTGTACTGAGTTGGTTCATCAGACCAGGCGTGTACCTAGATGAGAAGCTCGAGTCAGAGTCTGGAAGGGAGGAGGATGGACAATCTTTGTAGTTGTTAAGCTATGTAACGACGTGGCAGCAATGTGCTTGGTCGATCTGTACAAATGTACAACAGATATGGTGGGGGTTGAATAGAAGACACCAATCAGAAAGCGTTAAAAGTACGTGAGTTCAGAGTTCAGCCTATAGGCCTCATTGCATCTTCTAGAGGACTCGTTGGTTCCCACAATGGCTGCGGGTGCCAGAGCTCGTATGGATAATTAGTCCTGATTGTACAGTGGTGGGCTAACAGCGTTGTCCGAGCTCGTGCAGTTGAATATTTGCTCAGCTCGTGACATAGCGTGAGCTACTGTATCTAAGAGCATTTGTGCCCTACTGCGACATATGACAGGAATTGCTATTGACACGAACGAGAGCTATAGGGTACCCGTGGATCGACGTGAAAGAGTACCAGGTCCTCCGCCGAATAAATTTGCCTGAAGCCTAGACCCCACGTTCAGCCGCTCCCTGGATCTGGAGTACTGTGTTGAGAGCTGGCCGTCTTCAAAGCTGATCAAACCCAAGAGTTCTACTCATGAATGCACATATGAAGAGCATTCGCGACAGATAGTACTTCTCGACTGAATGGTCGTCTTGCAAGATGAAACCATCCACGGACTCCCTGTCAAGCAAAACAGGAGGATTGAGTCGGTTTCTAAGCAAACGGGAGAAGACTCACAAACACCACACTCTAGGCACCCACCTACCAGGACGTCACGAAGTAAAGGTAAGCCAACGAGGAATTATGAAGATCAGGCTTGTGTACTTCCCAGTGCTCTTTCCCGAGATATTCTTCCATGTGTCAAACGGCCAATATCATTCCTTCATCAACCACAACGATCCCATTGCCAAGCATTTCACATGCTGATTATGGGTGCTCAGAATTCGAGCACAGGAAGTCTCGAGAAGATACCCGAGTCGTATGATCCTTCGTCACCTGCCGACTTTTACGGTCTCTTCATCGATGCAGGCAAGCCTTCCAAAGATGAAGAAGCAAAGGTAGATCTATCAGCTTGTTCAATTGGCACATAACTCACGCAAGCAGATCAAGTCTCTTAGGCAAAGAGTACTGGACACGAAGGAAGTTTTCCTCAAGCAAGGTCACATACTATGGGCTATCCGCTCAAAAGTAAGTGGTGGAGATAGCGCCATTGCATATGAACTACTGGTGGCTCTGTCCAATGCATCGGAAGGTATCTTGACCCCCTTTGACCCAAACACCAGATTGACGGGTGCTGTGAATCGCCACGCCGTGACGTGCTACCTGGACTCTACGCTCTTCTCGATCTTCTCACGTCTCGATAGCTTTGAAGCCATGCTCTATAATTCCGTCGAGGATGTGCAGAAGCAGAAGCTTTCCTTCTTGTTGAGGCTATGGGTTAACCTACTGAGATCAGGCGTACTCATCACAACTGACATAACAAAAGAGATCCAAGAGTGTCTGGCGAAATGTGGTTGGGAGGATGCTCGAGAGTTGCATCAGCAGGACGCGTCTGAAGCCTTCACTTTCATCACGGAGCAGCTAAATCTACCCTTGCTAACACTGCAGATGTCGATACATCATGCCGGTAAACATGACTCAGATGATAAGAAATACGTGAACGAACGACTATTGGAGGTTGCTATACCAACACTAGAGAACGGCGAATACCCCAAAGAAATCAAGCTTGAAGACTGCTTGGAGGAATACTTTAACAACCGCATAGAAGTCAAACGCTATCTACAAAGAAGGAACACATTACAGTCTACAAACTCAATCGATTCAAAGGCTAAAGAGGCCGGCATATCTGTTCATGTCGAAACGGTTGAACTCGATGGCGACGCACCTACACCTTTGACGCCACTTTCGCCCATGCCTCCCGCCCTACCTACCAGGCCTGCCAATAGACATCGAGCCTCCAGCCTCATTCAAGAACGTTTTGTGCCAGAGAAGACACAGCTGTCAGGATCACCAATGGATGACACAAGATCGGCTATTGGACGACTGAGACAAGGTAGCATAAGAAAAGAGGTTCAGATCCCAGCATGGCAGGCTTACAGTCTGATACCCTGGTATACCAACGTTGCACCATCAACCGATGCACAAGTTGCGGCGCACTTCTCTTCGAAGAGACCTGTACTAGGTTTGTGCCTGAAGCGATACTCTTTCACAAGTGCAGGCGAGGCCGTAAGATTAGACACATATGTCGATATTCCTATTGAGATTGGACTCCCTTATTTTATCCATGACGACAACATGGATGAAGACGGACCTCTCTACGGCAACTTCAAGCTCTCCTTGCAGTCAGTCGTTTGCCACCGAGGCATTTCTGTTGATTCTGGCCATTACGTCTCCCTGGTTCGGAGCACTGCAAACATGAAAGGCAGTGAGGGGGAGACGTCTCAATGGCTCCGGTTTGATGACCTCGCACCGAACAGGGTAAGCTCGGTCGATATCTACCAAGCACTAAAGAACGAAACACCATACCTCTTGTTTTACCAGATCCTTCCCGTAGACGGCGACCCTGGTAATCTCACGGCAGGCGAGATATCCTCGCCTGGTCTAGAAACAGTCAAAGAGGTCGATACAGCCACATCAAGCAGCGCTCCGCCTGCTATTGGGCCTATTAGAGCAGTGGATGGGACCAACGAGCAAGCAGCTTCGAGTCGACCTACTTCAGCTGCTAGCTCAAGCGAAACTCCAAGAGGTAGGACACCCGACTTCGATGCCAGTCGCAGACCAAGTGCCATATCTTTCGTTGATTACTTACCACGATCTTCTCGAAAGTCACTTGAGCTTACTCAAGAACAAGGTGCAATCATGGAGCACAAGAAGAGTGGCTCGTTCAACAACGGCCTCACGAAGACGTGGTCCAAGCTTGGTATGCGTACATCCAGGAAGAACAGCAAAGAGGATGTCGCTGTGGAAGAGAAGTCCGAAAGAAGTCAGAGCGGACCACAGATACAAGTTGAGCGAGTCAGTACCATAACCCCACCTGAAGAGACGATTCAGGACAGGACAAGAAACAAAAGTGAGCCTGGCTTGACCAGCACAGCGCCGCCGGAGGTTGGCCATGGTGCCATAGCGACAGATCTGGGCCGATCACGCAGTAAACGTGACAAGAGTAGGGGTAGAAGGCTCAAGGTTGGAAAAGGCAAGCCGGATGAGCAAGACCGCGAGTGCACTGTGATGTGAGATTGGCAGTTCTACACATATTATTAGGTCACCTTTGATGCATGGCGTCTGGAGTTGGACATAAGAAAATAAGATACCCTGGTTGTACACACTTTATACATACAAGTTCTGGTCTCATTGCCCAGTACCATGGCCGAGCTTCCAAGACCTGTAGCAATGCCTAAACCCGCGTCTACCCTCTGTCGATAAACTGCACGGCGTCGAGAAGAACCTGATGCACGTGGTGTACTGGTCAGCAAAGATGTTGCTCTACTAGCTGCCAACCGTATCAAAGCGAGCGGTCGCTCTTGCCATGACTGAAGTGGTGGAATCTGAGTTGACCCGAGAACCTGATTGCCTGGCTCGATGGACGAATGACGTCGGTTACATACGCGGGACAACCCGAGTTCTTCGAAGTGCAACCTCGATACATTCTGAGATACCTGTATTCGTTTGATTGCTGTCCTCGACTCTAGTCAACTCTCCGTGATTAGTCCAATTCTAGACACAACTCCTGAATATTGTCACAGCAGGATTTCCCCCACAAAACGACCTGCTCTTGTGCACCATCAATTCGCCATGTCTAACAAGATAGCGAAAACGATAGCACGGCAGAAGGAGAAGTATACAGCTACCCGATATTGTATAATTCCCATACTAACACTATTGTTCTAGGATTGCCGAAGGAAACTACTACGAGGCCCATCAACAGCTCCGAGTCATTACCTCCCGCTACCTCAAGTCCTCCGACTATACCTCTGCCGCCGATATTCTATCCAATGGCTCCCTCATGCTTCTCAAAGCTGGTCAAGGTGGTTCAGGAGGAGATCTGGCTATCACGCTATTGACAGATGTGTATACGAAGGCCTCGTGGCCAGTCAATGACGCGAATAAAAGGAGAGTAATAGAGATCCTACAAGCCTTCGCACCAGGCGAACCAACACGGAAACGCTTCATTCAGGAACTAAGCACGTGGATGACAAAGGAGGGAATCGAAGGTTCCAATCAAGAAAGAGGCGACCCAGAACTCCACCACGATATTGGTGTCCTCCTTGCCAACGAGGGCGAAGCATACGAAGCTGAACGCCATCTACTGCTCGGTCAAGTACCACAATCCGCTCAGCCATTGGCCCACATGCACTATAATTGGTACAAAGAGGATAGTCCTCACACAGCAGCAATCTACGCATCTCGTTCAGTCCTACCCTACCTCGTCCTTGGAAACCTACAATCTGCAACCATAGCAATGGCGGTCTTTACATCACAGCTCTTGTCCAACAACACCTCAATACCTACACAAACCATCGAGTCTTCGAGATCTTCAGTGCGAATATTCCCGTCGTTACCACTCCTGAATTTCCTCTCCCTACTACTCCTGGCAGTACAGAAGTCGGATAAGTCGTTGTTTCAACAGTTAGCGAGACACTATGCGGCACACCTAAAAGATGTTGGTGACATATGGACTGATGCTCTTGCACAGATAGGTGATATATGGTTTGGTATTAGATTACCGAGGCAAGGTGGGAATCCATTGTTCGATATGATGGGTAGTATGTTGTTTGGAGGTGGTGGGAATCAGGCACAGAAGAGTTCGGCAGGTTCTTCTCAGGCTAGATCTTCGACACCGCAACCTCAGGCTCAGATTAAGGCGCCTGTTGCTATGGATTTGGATTAACGTGTTAGGCACTCATGGAGGAGAAATTCCTGCACGAAGTATAGGCAGGAGAAGGTCGTGCTGGAGCTAGGTATTCTAAATCCGACAGCATATGCAGGTGGTGTCAGACTTACTTCATTATCCATGACTTCCTTGCCTTTCAATCCTTCCTGGCAAAATCCTTATCTATCACGACCCGTTTGAGTCTTCCCTTCAGTATCGACTAACGCGATAACATGCACTGGTCAATGGAAGCTCAGGCAGGCTCAGTATTGGCTGCAACAGAAATGTCGCTGCTGTGTACCTTCATACGCGAGTGCGCTGGCTTCTGTTCACTGACTGCAGCATCGAAGTTGACACGCGCTAAAGCATTTCATCAATCGTGCTTATTTCAGGGTGGAAGCACGTAGTGATCATACCACGAGTCTTCGGTAAGGACAGTGTATAACTGTGAGCCAACCATGTGCGCAGGCACCCTCATCCACCCTGCGTCCTCAAGTGTGCAGTCCTCGTCACCACCGGAACGGTTCTCAGCCTCCACCTCCTCACCTGCGTCGGGTGTATCTAGCGACCACCGATAAGCGAAGCTCAGAAAGCCATCACCAGGATCGAATTCATCGTCGCTATCGAGGTAAGGAGGTTGCGGCGAGTCATAGACGACACTGCGCAGCGAGTCAGCGTCGACTTGAACGAAGTAGATATACCTCGAAGCCGTATAGTGCGATTCGTCTGGATTTGCTTCCAGGTTCTCTTCTACCAGTTGCACGAGGAGCCCATACTTGGAAGCGAGCGCGAAGTTGTGGGATGGTCGCACCATCAAGACTATCTGGGGTTTCCACAAATGTCCATTCGAGTTCATCAGCAAGTTCTGGTGCACCTCCTCCTGCAAGGAGTTGGAGCGACCTGGTTTCGATGATATCCTTGAATTTCTCCCAGCCAGCATCATCGTCATAAACACAACGGGTAAACGACATGACCCCATTTTCTGTCCTTGTGGTATTCGAGGTCCTGAGACAAGAATCATTCGTGCGTTGTTGCTCCCATAAAGCTTTGGGCGGTTCGCCAGGGCACGATCTCACCGGAATCAAGTCGTTGGCGCAGACGGCTGACTGCCTTTGGAGGGGTAGTGTGCGGCACCTTCGGAAAAAGGTTCGAGAACGGTCTCCTGCAGATGAGACTGCTAGGCAATCGAGGTACAGATCGCGCAGTAGGAAATAGTCGTTGACTGCCATGAGGTCGAACATTGGCGTACTTTAAGATATTACGCATTGTTAAAGTGTTCGATTGTTTTGTCTAGATAAGCTTGCCAATTTTTTTGCTGAACAAAAGACAAAATTGTTGTGGTAATTATGACAGGGAAGGTGAAGTTGCACACGCGATGCACTAGTTTGCGAGTGAAGGTCTGACATGACACTCGCCACTTTACTTGTGAAAATTGTCGGTGAGCGGCTTGCAATACATATGTTTGAAAGGTATAACTTTTTTTGTGACTCCCACCTTTTAGTAACATATAGAACAGCTATACACATGTGAACAGGGGGCTATACCATATACACTAAGTAAATACAAGCATTCAGACAAGGGCAGGCACACACGCAGCTTGGTCTGTCTTCGTCCTGATGGAACGATGCTGGCCGGTTACACATCTCGAACCGACATTGAGAGTCCTCCTTTTCAAGTCATGTTACAACTAATACAGCTCACTGATGATCGATCACCAGCTGCCTGCCTGGTCCCTAGCCCGAAACTGCACTGACTGGTGTCTGCACCTGTGCCTGTAACTGCGAGTTCATCGCAGAATGTCCTAGACTCGCTTGTCCAGTCGCGGTTGTTGGCCGACTATCTGCTGGTTGACTGCCTAGTGTCACGCCCAGATCAATTCTCATGTCCTCCTCGAGCAGGTTAGCATAGACCTCCAGTGCAGACCCGATCATATCCACAATTGCCCAGGAGGTATTACCCTTGAAGGTCTTGCTCCAGACACGGACGACGCTGATCGCTAGTCCTCGGATTTTACGTTCGTCTTCAAGGAGTTCCTGACTCTGAGTGACCACGTGGACGTCGCCCGCATTGCCGTTCAGGACGACCGTTATGCCTGTCTCTTCTAGGATGTTGCGAACCCATACAAGGAGTTTGCGTTCGTGTTCTGAGAGTGGCGGTTGTTGATCTGGTATGATTCTCGACAGACTATAGAGCCATTTGGATAGCAGGAAGGCACATTCTAAACTGCAGAGTGAGTGTTGTATAGACCAGAAGAAAGTTTGTGTTTTGGCGACAAAGTCAATGCCCAGTCGTACAGGAATCGACAGAGCATGCGCACAATGCAACAGTGCAGGCGTTAATCGCGGATCCCTACGGATTGGACTTGTGTTGTGTAGAGCATGAGCGATCTGGCTGCTGTCACGAGTCTCGAGATGTCGAAGTGGTCCCATATCGATGTGCAGACGTATATATGCCAGGCCAAGCAAAGCTGTAGACGTGAAAGCCACAGGTCCATTCGGGTTCTGTGGATCCAATGATGATTGAGGATCCCGTCGCCATCCTGACTTCCATGACGATAGACCTCGATCTAGTACAGTGATGTCCTCCTGACGCAACGAAGTAGCATCAGGCGCCGGCCAAACCATGGACAATTGTCTGGCAAAGAAGATCTGCTGAATGACGGCATGTATCAAAACGTAGTTCCCTAGCGGCGACAGTGTTGGTGCAGGAGTTTGACTTGAGCGAGAGAACAAGCGCGAGAAAGCGGTCTGAAAAGGTACCGCTGAGGGTACGTTTTGTGCACGTATTCTCTTCCATATATCAGCGCTTGGTGACTTCCACTCGTTGCCAGGATCCGGAAGATCAAGCTTCACCTCTGAATTCAATATCAGTGGCGGCACATTCCAGGTGATTGAATGCAAATTGAAGAAGCAGTAGACTATCAACTTGGTTCGCTTGTCACCTTCTAAGCGAATCCATTCTTCCCAGGAAAGGTCTTCGGAAGGTGGCACTTCAGGGCTTGTGAGGCCAGATTCGCGTACCAACCTAGCAAGTATACTTTGAAAGGCTAGAGCTTCCCGAAGCAGTTCTTGGTGGCGTTCCCAAGTGGCAAAAGCTGTGAGAAGAAGTAGAGCTTGTATAGAGTCCATCTGCTCCTTGCTGTCAGGCGCAACGACCTCTTCTGGTGGGGCGAATTGAAAAGGACTACCACTTGAGCTCAGTCCACTGAAACCGCCATTGGAGGGTGATTGCACAATGGAGCCAGTACGTGTTCGTGGCCTGTTCCATAACTGAGGAATCTGGAAGCCATCACGACGCTTGACCTGCTCCAGAACCACTGCTTTTGCAGCGTAAAACAATTCGATACCTCTACTATTCTCGAAGCGATATTGTGCGCCGACAGCTGCCAAGGCAAGCACCAATTCTGGAGCGCTACTAGCGACTGACAGAGTTGGCACATGAATGAAAGGCAGGTGCTCGTGGAAGCCATTAATATACCCTGCCAGATACCTTGATAGTGAATGACGTGAGGGTGCAATAAACCCTTTGGGCATGACACTGTCAAAGGCTGCCAGTTTGGAAGCGAAGAGATGACGATCGGAGTCGGAAACCTCATAGGCGCCTCTTGATTTGGGGATGTTCAGGTAGTCTTCATTAGCTCTCTGCTCGAGCGGCTGCAAAGTGTGTTCGCGTGAGTCCGGCTGTAGAGAGGGCAGCCTCGAGCCAAATCTTGAGAAGGTACTACTCTCATCTTGTACAGCTGTGAGCTTGTGATCCACAGGAGTACCATTTGTCTGACGATAGAAGTTTGGATCGCTTTTCAACTCGGGCGAGGCAAAAGGCTCTCCCTCTGTACTGTTGATCATTCTTGGATCCCATTCCGAGGACAAGCCTATACTGTCAAGAAAGACAGTGAAATCTTGCATGGGATCACCCAGATCTGGACTCTGCTCGTACAAGGGTGTCTGGTGGCCGTAATCGTGCACCGTCCGTGCAGGGTAGTGCTGCTCAAGAGTACCTGGCAGTAACTGGTGTAGTGATTCTTGACCCTGCTCTTGAGTGACTTGGGGTATATCTGGAAGACCATATTGGTGCTGGTTGGACGCTACGTGGCTTGCAGCATGAGAGAGTAGGTTTAGGTCGTATCCCCACGACGGATCCAGACCTTGAGGGACGTAGGTATTTCCTTGGTGTGCAGGCATGCCATCCATGGTCGTCATTCCGTTGGCAGGCTGCATGAGCTGAGGATCTAGCATGTCCATCATACCTCTTCCTTCTTGTGTGACAGGAGAGGACATCATCTGCGGATGCTGGCTCTGTTGTACCATATCCAAGGGGTCACTCTGACTATGAGTTTGTAGCGGCGACAACGGTCCATTCTGTGAGGCATCGCTGTTGGCATGAGGTCTAGCATGGGTCGAAGCCGTCGAGTGGGTGCGTCTCTTATGGGACTTGCGACTGGTGTGCTGCTCTTCGTCGCCCGGATGAACGAGTCGCTCGTGGCGCACGAGGAGGTCGCTGCGGGCAAATGTCTTTGTACATATTTCGCAGACAAACGGCTTCTCCTTGGTGTGAGTGCGTATATGTCGCTGCAGATGTTCCTGTGAATTGGATTAGCTTGGGTGTTATCGCGCCTCGAATCGGTGCCGGCGGATCCAGTACGCACCAATCTCGCAAACAAACGCTGGCAATGCGGGCAAGGCAGAGTCTTGGTCTTGTTGCCTGATTGCTTGCGACGAGGAGTCTTTGCAGCTGGCGAGTCCATGGTGGTCGCGAGCTTCGAGTTTGGTGAGTGAAAGCACGACTGCGGGGGATTGCGATGCGGAGAGGAAAGAATGACTCGCAGGTGGGCAAAAGTCGTTGCAGTGAGCTCCGGGCACGTTCACGGCCAGCTAACCACGGAGCAGTTTAGGGTTATTACACGATTCTTCACACCAATGAACGCTCTTTCTCCACGGCGTCGTCTCGAACAATTATCAGCCGAGGATGTCACTTTCACACGTCAGCTTGCATCGAAAAACATTTCTACACATGCTCTGCTCAAAGGATATGGCCACAACGAGACACAAAATTGGCACTGAGCCGGCAGTCCTGCAGTAGAAACACAAAATAGTACGTCTGAAAAGCTTCCCGTACAGGTCTACATTGACCAAGATTCTGATTTCTAAGTCTACTCTATCCTAACCATTTTATTACAGCAAACGAACGCCCACAGCTTATGGTCGTAGACTCCTCAAATCAAGCCCGCTCAACGCTTTCCACTCAACATACACACTTGTAGACACGATCAATGCATGACGTCCATAGCGTCCACTGAATCCCGCTCAATACGAATCGTATCCCCATTGGAACCACCCTTATTGCCTTTTCGTCCTCTGCTCGTGCTCGGCGAGACAGGGTCTCCCTGTTCCGAGGCAGGACTTCTAACATCTTCGTCGTCAGTACCTTCGGGGCTGGTCTGGCTGTCTCGTAACGATCTCCTAGTTCGCGACATCTGAACTCGTTAGTGTGGCTTCCTGTCATTTGTACAAACATCAAACTTACCCATGACCTTACACTGCCAAGCAATCCGAGACTGTACCCGGCCACGAATTCATCGCTTCGCAATCTGCTGCCACCAGGACTCTGTGCCCTTGGGATATCCAGGTGTTTCAAATGCTCCAAAGTGGTTGGGCTCTTCGCACCACTGATATCAAGTGAATCTCCTGCACCACTTGCAGTACTAATTGCTTTTCGAAGACTAGGTGCTGGACTAGCAGGCCTGGACATGACAATCCCAGCGTTCTGCCAGAACTGCTTCAGGTCTCTGCCAATTTCACCACCAGCGCTGGTCCAGTTCTGCTTGATCGAGTTTCTCAGCTCACCAACATGACGCTTGATGTCCAGTTCGTTCTTTTTGAGCCAGCTGACGTTGAGTTCCTGTCGTGACGTGCCTCGCTTGAGCTGGCGACTGATATATTTTTCATAGTCCTTGACAATCTTGGTTATGATGCCTGTAGTGCTCACGCCTTCTGTGCGTTCTGTCACAAGGAATTTCCCTTCCTTCTTGATTGGAGCGTAGATGTCATCGCCCTCGGTTGCCCCGTACGGCTCATCGTCGTGGGCCACGTAGTCGATGTTGTGTTCTGCGAGGAATTCTTTGGTCACAATCCATGGACAATTGGGAATGACCTCGTCCACCCATTTGCAATGTCGCACTGTTTCGGCCCGTTCCTGGCCCGTGAGCACCGTAAGACCTTTTCGGCGGTGAGTCTCGGTGTCGCCAGTCACACCAACGATAAGATGGGTTTCGGGGAAAGCGGTCTTTGCTTGTTGGAGTTGGCGCATGTGTCTGTGGAGGTAGGTTAGTACTTGGCCAGAGCAAAAAGAGCTTCTACACATACCCCAGATGGAATAGATCAAATACACCATCAGCGTAGATTCGCACGGGTCGTCCGGTTGGAGGAGGGTTTGTCTTATATCCTCCTATTGGATCTCTTTGCCCTGCTCTCGGAGGCGCGTCCATTTTTCTTTCTGTATCATCCAGCTCCTCTTCTTCACGCGAGCTATCGCTATTGCCCTCGCTCTGGTCATTGACGCTGGCAGTATTGGTGCTTCGCCGCTTAGATTTTTTCTCGACATCTGTACTGTTGTCCTTCGAGCTATCTGGTTCGCCTGAATCCGGTGCAGACTTCGTAGAAGCCTTTGTAGACGCAGTTGACTTTGTCCTTGCACGCTTGTTAGGCGGCAGGCTAGCAGCTTCGTCCTCTGCGACGTGCTTCCGATGCCGCGTGTTGGCTGCTGGGCTTGACTCTGTCATATCGTCGCCGGACGCGTCGTGGGAAGAAGGCTGTTGGAGCTCGACCGTGCTCGAATGGGTACGACTGGCGATACTGCCACCGCCTCGCTTCCTTTTGTGGCTGTTTGTCGAGGCTGATGAAGACATTGAGACTCGGTGTATTGGATTAGTTCAGAAAAAGAGATTGGAACAATAGCAGAGTAGATTGGAGGATGAATCGTGTTCTGACCACGTGGTAGGTTGCTTGGTGTGGAGAGGACCTTGCTATCGATACGGAAGCTGCGATGATTGCAGCGAGGTTTTGTCCCTACAGACGAGATTGAGGTCGACGACTTTCTTTTCAGGGTCAATGTGAATTATTGGTAGGTATCAACAGCATAGCCTCGAATGCGTCGCACACACCGTCACACCTTCAAGTTCGAGGACATTCAACCAAGTCCAAGTTTTTGTCAACATCTGACGTCAACCCAGATTTTGCAGACAGTTGAGCTCGAGCTTGTTACGGAACGGGCTCCCTAAGGACACGTATTATTTGAAACAATACAAAACCCTGCTTCTTTCGAGCGTGCGATAATTATAGAATCAGAGTGCAGAAAGGCAAAGCCAACAAAATTCAGATCGCATTGATGCTTCGACACGTTTATAGTAACTACACGAAACTAGAACACTAAGGATAATGCTCCTTATGGTGGCTCTAGCATGATATTCCGTATGCTATCATCCAGAGTCGTCGATCAATGTCTTGGGTATCTTGATGTAGTCGTTTGGCGTGAATCATTAGGAAGGTCAATGATGTTGTCGTATGGCTATCATGTTTCCAATCAGGGACTGTCCTGGACGCCTTTTACCTGCATCTCAGACCCTGTAGATTTTTTCTGCTCGTCCTTTCCTGGTGTGCCTTCGCGTGCCGACCTTTGCGTATCGCTCTCGTCGGTTGTAGTGCTGCCTTGCTTGCTTTTGACTTCTTCGTCGCTCTGATCATCCATGCTATGGTCGAACATGTCCGGGTCATCTGTTGAGTCGGTCAAAACCTCGCTTCCATCTCCCAGTAAGATTATCCTACCATTTCGACCCCTATATCGATGTATGTCAAGATCGTAGTCATCTGGACCTTCTGAGTCAAACTGATGGCGTACACCAGGGCCCCGGAATTCAGCTAGACTCACGGTTAGATCGTCACTGCTCTTGTTGTTCCCGATCTGACTTGCCATATTCTGGCGGTGCACAGGGCCCATCTCCGTCCGCCACGCGCTTCGCAACCATGTCGTACCATTCTTCTTTTGTCTTGCCATGGAGAAGAGCGATGACAATCATGGTCATATTGTCGCAGCCCACGCCGCCAGTTTCGCTGTTGGAAGCTAAGCAGTTGTCCATCATGTTTTCGCAGATGTGCTGAAGTTCCTGCTTGGCAACGATACCCCGTCGTACAAATTCGACAACTGCTTGGGACGATTGACAGTCCCAAATCCCTGTAAAATATCAGTCAACACGTTCCTTTATGTGATCAATATCCATACCGTCACATGCAATGACAAGGAACTCGTCATCTTCTGAGATCTCGTGAGTCACAACGTCCGGAAATGCTGTAACTATTTGCTGTTCTGGCGCCAAGTCGGCACTCTTTTTGAACTCAAAATCTCCTATAGCACGCGACAAAGCTAGATTGCCATTGACACGTCCAAAATCGACGAATCCGCCAGCAGCACTAATCCTGGCCTTTTCCCCTGTTCACTGTAAGTGAATGCTCGTGTGAAGCAGGATGAAAACCTGCCTTCGTTCTGTGGTTTGTGGTCAAAGGACAATGGCTTGGCCCTGCCCTTGACACCAAGTACTGTTCTCGAATCTCCAGCATTTGCCTATTATGGTCAGGACGGCTATGTCTCTCACCTGAGGAGCAGCGGCTTACCACCCAGATCTTATCTCGCGACACAATGCCAACGGAAGCAGTACAACCGGACACTTCATCTTCATATCTTGCGTCTGTTCAGAGTGAGAAAAGCACCTAGCTTTACAGGAGTGAAACCATACCACTGAGGATAGCTCGATCCGTAGCAAGAAACCCGTCTTTCAATGCTTGTTCTATGTCACCTTTGGAGAAGGCGTCCTGTTTCGCAACGATCTTATGTATATTTTCACCAGCAAACTGTGCGACCTTCTCTCCACCATGCCCGTCGTAGACACCAAAGTAGGCCATGCGCTTTTCGGGCGAGGCTAAGGACTGCTGCTTGCCATCGACTTCGGCTTGTAGGTCAAGGACAGCAGCATGCGCGTCCTCCATGCTTATACGCCATCCTTGCATGGCGGAGAGGCCCCATACGACGCAATCGTCTTCACCTTTGTCGGAGACCTATCATGGAAAGGTGTTAGTATGGTATTTCGACCTGGAAGCTGACTCTTGAAGATTCGTCATGAAAGATTCGTGCTCTTGAGATTGTACACTCTCCACGATATTTGGGATTGTACCTTGTCAACGACGGGCTCCGACAGTGTCTGACCCATGATAGAAGATCTTTTTTAAGAGAGGCCAAAGGACGTCTATCAGTCGAATATCATGCGTGTTGGAGGATCGACAGGTGGGATGCTTGCGGGTCAGGCAGTTACTGGCAATGACGATGCCGGGTGTGGGTGCCAATATATTGGGTAGTAATGGAGGACTGCACCAGCAAGAGTTATAGAGGTTGTTGCACGAACAAGAAGCTTGCTTGTGTGGAAACTCAATATGCAAAGATCTACAGTCAGAAGAAATATCGCAGTCGCGTGTGCAAGTAATGCAATTCAGAGTCGATTCGCAATCTTCGACAGTCTAGACGGAGCGGCCACTCTCTGGACAATCATTCCGTCATCGCGAACACCACTGTCGTACTCTCTACGAGTGTTTCCATTACCACTACCACTGCCTTTCAATCTACTGTATTGTGCTTGCTCGAATTGCAAAGTCTCCATGGGCCAGTGACTAAACGGTACGTCTCTAGTGTGCTACGCAGTCATTGTCTATATGAACCTCAAGCTGATCCCTTGGCTATTCCCCGATTGCTGGCTTCCTAGACTTGGTCCCTGACTGAGAGCACTAGTGATCCGCGGCCCTCTCGCGACCTCACTCTTCTCTCGATCAGCCACTCGTAAGCTGAGTCCACCCGCGACTTCTCTGGCCTGCCTACCCTGACTCTGATGTTCACTGCTCCCCGTCGTCCAGTCGTCGTCTTCCCACCTTGAAGCCGAACTGCTGCCAGACTCAGTCCTAGCTGAACCTTCCTCCTCTGCTGGTGGTGCGTAGATAGACTCAGTGCTTGTTGACGATGGTACTTTCTGCTTCAACGTCGTCTTCCAAGTCGTGAGTCTTGGTTGTTTTCCTAAGCCATGTGTAGCAGATCGCTCCTGTAACCTCAATGGTTCTCTGAATCGTCGATTACCATACTTCTGAGCTATTTGCATCTCCGATGTAGGCGACAGTGGTACCGAACGTAGCGCTGACTCAACATGATTTGATGGAGTGGCCTCAAGTACATTACCATGGCCAAGGCCACTTCTCCGTCTACCATCGAACTTTGCCATCATGGCTTGTGACTCAGGCTTGAAATTACGATAACCAAGACGTTGAACCGATAAGCTCCTTTGTTGACGTGGGCTTGTAAGTGGTCGCTTTGAGTGCTCCCACCCAGTTAAGCTGGTGCTAGCCATTTCGAGCCCGCCAGGAGAACCCGTTTCAGAGTCTACGTGATCGTCATCCTCCAGCAATAGTTCCCAGCTCGACCGTGTAGTAGGTGTTGTTGCTGCGTCGTCCTCATTCACCGAATGCCTCCTATTTCGAGGCTTCAGGTGCAGTGACCAGGGCAGGTCAACCCTTAGTGGCGGCGATGAGGGCATGACACCGGCTGAGGATTGTGACAAAGGTGACGTTCCAGCCAATATAACAATGTTTTCAGAGCTTGAATCATGGGACATGTCTTGTGTGGAAGCTCGCCCGTTAGAAGTGGCTGACGTAGAATGGCGGCTCGTCTCCAGAGGTCGATCTCGCGATTTCCGCACCACGATGAAAGCAACTAAGCATAGTAGAGCCGCTGCAAGTATAGGCAATGCTACCAAGAGTGCCAGTGCCTTCTTTCTTGTCACAGGAGCCTGGGTTTCGTCACCACTTGATGCAACTCCGTTGTCAGTGGCGGTGGGAGTGGTTGTGCCGCTGTTGGTCTCGGAAATGTTCGTACTAGTAGGATTGTCGCCCTGGATGATGCGGATGGTAAGATTGTCAAGCTGTTTGATGTTTTCATCCTGCTTGATCATCAATGTGATGTTGAAGACAGCCGCATCTGCATCGTCCGGTACGATGCCTCTAAGGGTGAAGTTGTTCCTTGAGAAGGTGAGCCAAGACCTGGCCAAGTTCAGATCTAGCTCAATGTCGTCCGAAGGGTCGACCTTGCCGCCCAAGTCATAGCTATATTCTAAAAGAGAACCTCTTGTGACATCGAGCATTCCGAGGTACAACTCGATCGGATAATCGTCTGCTTTTGGGTCGTTGAGATAGATCCGAATCTCAGTTTCAGCAACATTGTTCAGATTATCAGTCACTGATAAGCTGAAGACTGTATCTGAGACGTCGGGTACAATGCCATGGAAAGAAAGCTCATCCTCGCGTAACATCAGCCAATCTGGTTGGTTAGACGATGTGACACGGATCAACGAACGGTCTAATGGTGTGTCGTCTCGGTATAGTTGACTCAGTAGAGCTGGAGTCGAGAATTCGTCGCCAACAGACGCGTTGAACTTCTGTGTAGGTTGAAGGAATGCAAGAACATGGTTAGAGACGGATACTTGGAAGTTGACTACTGCTTGCGAGAAGCCAAGTATGGTGGATGCTGCTAGCGCAAATGAAAATGTCTGTGGACTGGATTGTGGTGTCAGAAGCGACGGCGATGTGCCAGAGAAAATCACAGCATTGTCATCGAAGTGTACCCATGCTGGTAAAGGCGAATTGTCGGCAGAGGTTGCATAGTATTTGATGCTTGAGTCGTCTGTATCGAAGACGTCCGGTCCGAATGCCAAGGTGAATGCAGTTTGTGGTCGGAGAAGCAACGTCGAGGGAGCAGAGTATTCGCCTGCCTCACTGATGCGGTCGCTGAGAATATCACGGGCGGTGAGAATAGATTTCTGATCCACAACCAAGAGATCTGCGTCCAGTATTGCTGTACCCTCGCCATCGCTAGCCGTTAGAGTAATATGGACATGGCCAACATCTTGCTCTGATGGTATTCCGAGTAGTGTCCTAGAATCCGAGTCAAGCTGAAGCCAATCTGGTGAGACTGCTAGACTATAGCTGAGTGGTTGAGTAGACGAGAAGGTGCCCGGGGCGAATGAGAAGCTGAAAGGCTGGTCAATAACTGCCACTGGAGGTGTCTGCGCGTTGATTGGATAGGAAATCTGTGGTTGCGCAAACACCACGTTCTGAAGGCAGGAAGCTGCGAGCGCGAAGAGAACATGGCAGGATTTCATTCATGCTAGGCATCGATTCGAACTGTCTGAACGACAGCAGCCAGCATCAAGTATGTTATAATGTAACAGTTTGTCTCAGTTGCTCTGGTATGTTAAATGTGCAGGCTTACCTTGTTGCTGCAGAGTTACCCTCTCCAACTTGGCACGGACCCAAAGAGTCTGCATTCTTACAGTGGTATGAGTGTGAGACGGTCTCGTACTCGCGTACCCTGATCTTATAGCAATAAGATGTGCTAGCAATTCTTGGAAAGGTCATAGCATAGGTGCTAAGAGTGTGGTAGTCCTTTAGCTTAACGATCAGGTATCAAGCCGGATGTCCAGGGTCTGTGACTCGGCTGTATACCAGAGTCGGACATCTGAGCTGAAGACAAGGCACAACATAAATAAAGCATGAAAATCGTCAAGCGAAGGATGTGGCTGGTTGTAAGCACTGACAAGACATGCAGTTATTCGCGTGTTCATCTAGCGATACCAAGTGATACCGCGCACTGGTGAGAAGCCAATGGAGATATCAAGCGCGCTAAGATTTCTGGTTTTCGAAGCCTATAGGGCTAATATTGCCGTTAATTACCACGCTGGCCTACTATCTACGTAACACGTCGCGTTCACGAGTGAATCTGTAAACCACTGGTCCCTGATAAGAAAAGGCTTGTTTGACAATCTCGTTCGAATTGAGATGTCCTCAAAAGAAAGTAAACGCGAAAAAGCTAAAGAGGTCGTCGACATTCTGGAGGAAATTTCCATCCTGCTAGTCAGTCGACAATCGCATGATGTGTTGGAAACATGTTGACGAAGACTAGGACACTGATCTCAACAGAGCGCAGCTCTCGCTATGCGTTTCACTCATCGAGAATGGCGTAAATCCAGAAGCCCTTGCAGTGAGTCAGGCACATAACACGAATACATTCAAGTACTAATCACTTCAAGAATGCGATCAAGGAGCTCCGAAGGGAGATCAAGGACAACGGTAAACTACTGGGCGAAATCCGACCGGAGTCCAGCATTTCTGAGTGATCAAACACTTCAACTCTTCGCTTGAAGATGTTACACTTCGGTATGAGTAGCATATTCTGCTTCAGATTGCAACGGGAGTATTGCGAAAGTGAACAAGCTAACCACAACAGAAGAAGATCTTGTTAATTCAGCACGTTCTTCACCTTCACTACACGATGCAATTGCTCCTGCCAACAAGTCACGGTGACAACTGTCGCACCAATGAGTTATTTGAACCTTTGTGACATTGACGTCCTAGCTTCGATCGACCCTATGAGCAGAGCAGGGATACTCATGTACCTGCGAGAAGACGATGCCAGTCGGTACGGACGGAGCTGACTCGAAAATATTCGCTATGAGGGCTGCCTGGTTGGTTCGTCGAACGATGTACATGTTAGTGAAGCCAAAAAGTCGAACAAGATCCCATGCAAGCCGGGAAAAAAAGCAACCACTCGATTCATGGTCGCAAGCAGATCTCAAGATATTCGACTTACGTTGAGCTAGTGGATGCGTAAGAGCAAGGGATGATTGGCAGCTTGGGTCTTCAGTCTATAACGCGTCGGATGTGTTTATTTCAGTGGCGACATCTCTTTCGCGTAGGACCATGATCTCGTTGTGAGGAGCTTAGACTCCTGTTACAGATCGAGCTGGGAAGGACCGCAAGCACTTACGCTAGGAATCTGAGATGTGCTTCTGTACGTTGAAGGTATAAGTCTGCCACGTGTTGTCTCAAGATCGTGGTGCGTTCTTCAGCGGAAATGCCTGCCGAGGAAGCATGCTCCAGGATTACTGCTCTACTGTACTCGACTGTTCGAGTAGAAGCCCCTCAGAAACTAATGTATGTTGCAGAAGAATCAAAGCAAGCCAAGCCAAGCCAGCCGCCGAACTAGTAATCGAGCATGCACCGCCTCGTGGCATGATACGTGAGATTTGAGGTGCGGCCAAGGATGTGCTGTCGCACTAAGAGTTGCGCGCGTCAGTACTAGTCCTGATATCAAACACCGGCATCTGGACACATCCTGGCCATACCATACTTACGTATCCATTATACAGCTTTCCATGGTTACTCTATACTATCGAGTTGAATTACTTATACCTAATTACTGATGCTGAACGTTAGTGATAGATCGTATTGAGAATGTGAGCAGAAGTCCCTTTCCTGGTGGAAAACTGAAAGTTAATTGAACGCGGCTGATCTGCAGCTACTCAGAAGCGATGCCGGGTTCCCATGGACCGCTTCTCATAAGTGGAATGAGGATATTGCTTCCCCGCCAGTGAAGCGCCCTCTAGCTCCAGTCTGGTGCATCTTCACCTCTCGGCACTGTCTTTTGCTTGTTATCGAGGTTGTCAGAGACCAGATAAGACAGGACACCTGCTGCCGTACACTTTCTGCCGGCTTCAGCTCTTTCAGTCTTGCAGCTGTTGCTCAACATTTCTGTGTTACTGATATTGCCGATATCAAGCAGGTACTCAGCCATTGAACTATCAGAATGAGTACTCCTCCTTCTTCGCATGATGATGTAGGCCATCAAGACCTCGAAGCCAGTAAAGCTATTGTCACTATCAACGAACAGGAAAAGCACCAGTACGGCACTTCAACTCCCGCAGACGAATATATCCGAGCACGAGGACTTCAATCCACGTTTGCACCACTCCGGGCGCTCAACCAAGGCGAACAATGGCTTGATCGCAAACTGGGCATTGAGACTCAAGGCATCGATCGCATTCCTGAGCACAAGAAACAGCCACCTTCTATCTTGAATATATTCTTGTTGTGGTGGGGAGCCACCTGCCACGTTGGAACTGTGCCAATCGGTGCTCTCGGACCTCTCTTCGGGCTACCGCTAGGTGAATCAATTGCCGCCATTGTTGTCGGTACTTGGATCGGAGCACTATGTCCAGCTTTCTGTGGTACTTTAGGTCCTAAGCTTGGTCTGCGTGCAATTGCAACATCGCGTTATTCTTTCGGCTTCTACGGCGCAAAGCTTTGTGCATGTCTGAGCATCATCGTGGCTGGTGGCTTTGGAGTTGTCAACATTGTGATCACAGGACAACTTCTCTCCGCTGTGTCAGACTACAAGATGACAGTGTCAGTCGGCTGCATCATCGTTACTCTTATCTCGTACTTGGTCTGTATCTTCGGCTTCCGATGGGTTCACACATTCTTGAAGTATTGTTGGATCATCAGCTTCATCTTGCTGCTCGTACTTGTCGGCCAAGCTGCACCTCATGCAGGTGCCTCACTTCCTGGATTTTCGACTGGTGTGGCACATGCTGGGAGCTGGCTAAGCATCTTCTCGATCGCAATCTCTTCCACAGCAGGTTGGGCTAGCTTCGCCGCTGACTACTACTGCAACTATCCAGCGAATACTTCGACTTGGAAAGTCTTCCTTCTGACTCAGTTCGGAGCAGCTCTTCCAATCATGTTTGCGACGATTGTCGGCGCTGTAATTGCGAACGCAGCGCTGCTCGGGCAGGTTGAGCCATGGTACACGACGTACGGCACTTATGGACTAGGTGGTCTGATTCGGGAGACGTATAGTCCTCTGGGCTGGAGCAAATTTTGCTTGGTCATGTTGACATTCTCGGTCTTGGGAAACAACGTCGTTATCTTCTATTCCTCCGGTCTGGCACTGCAGTTCCTTGGCGACTACTTCCATGCTGTGCCTCGCTTTATCTGGTCCTTCTTGGCTGCAGTCGCCCTGGCTGCACTCTCGATCGCAGGCAAAGAGCACCTTTCAGCCATCATTAGCAACTTTGTTTCGATGCTCGGTTATTGGGCTGTTGCTTTTACCATCATTCTTCTCCTGGAAGACAGATACTTCCGTCGAAAGACAGGTTACAACCTGGAGGCGTGGGATACACCTTCAAAGCTGCCTTGGGGTCTCGCGGCACTGTTCACATTATGTACCGGCTATCTGTGTGGTGGACTCATGGGCATGTCGCAGGTGTGGTATATGGGTCCAATCGCGAGGAAATTCGGACCATATGGTGGGGACGTTGGTTTCTTTCTGACTGCTGCCATTACTCTGATTGTGTACCCCGTGGCAAGGCATGCCGAGCTTAAATTTACTGGGCGATAGTAGTTCTTGTGTTGTAGATGAGTTTATCGTTTGAGCAGTGTTGTATCTTCAAGAGAAAAGGTACATGTGAGAAGGGTCTGCAATTGTGAGCGTTCGAGCGAGCGCCAGCTACCATTACTATATATACCATTTTATTTCGTATTGGGTTCATAGTTGATCAGAAATTGGGTTGCCTGTCCCGTATACAGTATCGTGGAGCATGTCGGCAACTTGATAAGTCCTAGTCGCTCGAACTGAGACACAGCCTAAGATGTTCTCTTCTTTGCGTCGTAGTAGAAATAACTTGTTAGCAATTCGACGAAAGAATACCTGTTGTTCTGATTACACTCAATATGCTCGCCCTGGCACTAATAGCGGAGCTTCAAGGGTACTGCTCTCGCAAATGCAATATGGGATCTTCACTAAATTCGTACAGCGTCACAGATCTGAAACCAACAGATGCGCCAGATACACCATACTACTACACATTCAAGGTTCAATGCACGTCGTGTAGAGAAACACATCCAAACCTCGTCAGTATAAGTCGCCATGAGACGAACGACCTATCTGGGAGTCGAGGCGAGGCCAACTTCGTATGGAGATGCAAGAATTGCAAGCGAGAGTCAAGTGCTACAATCAAGGCTGCTCCCGCTTCATACGAGGCAGTCTCGCCGGCAAGGGCGAAGAATATCATTGAGATCGATACAAGAGGGCTGGAGTTTACTGAGTTTAAGGCTGATGTAAAGTTCTTATCGTTCGACCACGAGTACAGGCTGACGTGATGCCAGGGTGAATGGGAAGCGGTTGGAGCAGAATCAGGAACGAAATTCACGGGCATCGATTTGTCGGAGGGCGAATGGTTCGATTACGACGAAAAGGCTGGCGAGGAAGTCAGTATCAAAGATATCAAGTGGGAAATCAGAAGGGCATAGAGGTCATAGGCTGCTTCAAGCAGAGGATTTCGATCACGAACCACCATATCGAACGTTTCTAGAGAGGAAGAGAAGCAATCAGTTTCGTCGCAGGAGACCGTTCGACAAGTTCGGAGTGCGCAATGACATGGCCGGATGATAGACACGTACTAACTACTGGCTGAGGCAAGGTTCGGGAGGTAGACTGATCCACAAGGCTGTCGCAAAATACAATTGAGCCTTCTCTCATCTGAACGCGAATATCTACGAAATTCACGCGCTGTAATTAAATCCTTGACTGTGTGAACCAACTTCGGCCCGAGTCTCAATTTACAAGCACAGACAAAAAGCACGAGCATGAATGTGTGTGACTATCTTCGAAGATCAGAAACTGTTGTCACTGACAAAATCGCAGTTTACACCTGTCAACCCTCGACCGCTGCTGCAGTCACTGTACGTGTAACGTATACCCACGACCCTTGGAATCATGGCTGATATACTTTACAGGATTAATGAGGAAGTGATTGTTCGACTCAAGTGGGGTCAGACCGAGTACAAGGGTGTCCTCGTCAGCGTCGATTCATACATGAATATCCAACTCAACAACACAGAGGAGTACATCGACCGCAAACAAACGGGCACGCTCGGACAGGTACTGATACGCTGTAACAACGTCCTCTGGATATCCGCGGCGAAAGGCGTGGAAATGAATGGTGCTTCCGGCGATGTTAAGATGGAAGGCTGAACGGAGCGCGACGATTGTGCGAGCGCAGCCTGTCAGAACAAACACTACAACTTAGCTCAAGGAGGATGACAGATGACATCCTACCACCGATATGCAGGTCTCGACGGTATACTGGGAGTCGAATGTTTCCAGCTAACGCTAGACGATAGCGATGTTGTCTTGTCACATCCTAAATTGACGAGAGAAGACGTGACGAGGAAGAATACAGACCAAAGAGTTGGAAGAAAGCTCACACAGAACCATGAAGTCTACGAAGTCGGGTCGACAACCACAACACCGGTATCTCAGGGAACAGCGTCAGCAGCTGAAGGGTTGGATCTGCGCACGAATTGTCTACTGTAGAGCAGCGCTGCTGAAGCTTCTCGTGATGGCACTGCATATGTAAAGGTGACGGAGAGGGGGTGAGTGTATATGGGTATTGGGAATGACTGTTTGGGTGCTGTACTCATTCCACGCTCATACTCATCCTTGCTTCGCGAGTTCACAGTGAGGACTGCTGACTCTAACACCAGCATCCACGCGCTGCGCGGCTACGCATTACTTGCCTCTGAACGCGTTTCAACTACACGTTGTGGATATGCTGTGATGACACAGCGATCAGATTGTTATTGACATGGCCGGAATGTATGGAAAGCAAGTCATCCATGAGTCAGTAGAAATGATATCATGCATGCCTACACACGCCGATGCTTGTCAAGCAGACTTATTTGTGTACTATTGCATAGTAGACATTAACGAGTTGATTATGTGGCCTTCACTACAGCTGACGAACAAGTGACGCACATTGTGACGAATATTGAGCAATGCCATCATGTTGGTGTGTGTGCTTGTCGCGGCAGAGCGAGCATTGCAGCCAAATGCATCTGCCTTGCCCGAGATGGTTTAACGAATTTCTGCCGGTAACCTGGTGACGAGGTAAGCGATTCAACAGCGACATCGTCCCTCAAAAGTTTCGCACAACTACGAGCCGAATTCCGAGATTTCGTTCACAAATTTGGTACGAGCCTTCAGAAGTCTTGAAGCTATTCCTTCTGCACTGTGCTTCTGCAGGGGCAATGGTGCGAAAAAGTTACAATGCGTCTGGCTCGACTTAAAGTCAAACGCAATTTGATCAGATTGAACCAGAGCACAAGGTGGGAGAAGAAAATATTGTCCACCTGCAATGAACTGGATCTCCAGTATTTTGCTCCTCAACCACGAGCTTTGCGTCTGGCACTGTGTTCAAGCCACAGAACTCGTCTCTGGTTGTCCTGCGGATCCTGTGTGGGTCGACCCCTGGTCGTTTTAGCCTGGTCGTCGTCAGAAGCTGCCATGTCCGCAAGACGTCGTCCGAGCTAAATGCGTCCATCGCCACACTCTCCATAGCACGTAACCTGTGTTGGGCAAAGTACTGCGGATCCGTCCTCGAGCATGCGAGACCCTGAGAACAAACTCGGCGCCACGTTGTTGATCATCTCAGCCTGGGGTCGGCACTAAATGTGTCTGGAAGTGAGACCGTTTTGCACGAAGCTATTGATTAGAGGAAAGTGGTTAAAACCTAATGGCTTCCCCCAACTCGCGGTCTGTCAACATCTCCTGGTTTCGTCCCACAACTCACTGCAGTCCACTTCGATTTCACAGTCTTCACCACATTTGTCGACTTTCCTACAGCAGTCACAAGAGATGCCTTCCAAATTTACTGAGATCCTTGACGATACATACAGGACGACGTCGCCAGAATCTGATGTACGGCTGGAGGACATCATTAACAATGTTGACTTCCATACGCGCAGTCGCACTTCCTCGGAAACAAGTGCAGCAAGCAATAGCTCGTCAGAAAACTTGAGCTCACAATCAAGCAGTGATGCGCAGAAAAAGAACAAACGGATCAGTAAAATCTTTGGACGTCGTTGAACGACAAAATGATTCTTTCAACCTTGTTTCACCATTGCTACATATACAGCAACATTAATGTCGCAATTTGACCACCATGCTACGGCGTTCATACTCAGGAACGCTCTCTGCCTAAGCAACCAGTAGCAGGCATTGAACGCACATTGGAACACTATTTTTTTCATTCACATGACGACAAAGATCACCGCGGTATCAGTCGTGATCGCTTCAGAAGTCGTGCGCCTGCAGAACGAGAACAGCTGGTGCTTCAGCCATGCACCTGCCAGGCAAATAATTTCATGTATTTGTTTGGACCACACCTTCAGGATCAGTCGCATCACGAGTCGTGTGAGTCACACCGAAGTCAACCACACCACAAGTAGCTCGCCTTCGACGCGAAGGGACACATGGCACAAAAATAGTGATCACACGAGCAGCTTGAAAATACTGGTCTCGCAGGCTCGCAAGATCGAATATTTGGGGGTAATCCTTAACGGATGTGTGGCCGTATTCGGAACTCCAGCCACACCTCAGGCTTGCGACAAAGGGCGGGTGCGGGCTAGTGGAAGAGATGCAAGCCACCAGCTCAGAACATGACAAAGCTGGAAGGTCATGCGGATGGCATCGGATCACAGTACATTCCAGGCACCTCGCTTAGCAGAACTAGGCCGCATGTTTTGAGTGCTCATGTGCCACCAGCTTGAATGTGCTGCCTAATTCTGCTTGTGCGAAACTGGACTTACCTCAGGAGCCACATAAAGTCCCCGAGAACATGTTGAGCACACAAAATATTGAACTTTCAAAGAATACAATATATCAAATCATTGTCCGATTAGGAGTTTCCGTTGCAAGTAAAGCTAATCGAGCACTGTCATGCATGTTTCAGAAATCTGCCGGGTCTGGATTATTGAGTAAAAAGTCGTGCTTTTAACCCCAACCTGCTTGGAAACCAGGCAGTTGCCACCACTTTACTTGTAAATACTGATCGGATAACTTGCTGTGTAGAGCTGTATGCGCATCCTGGAAGGCACGATGCACCGTACATACCATTTGTCCAGCACGAATGCCTGATCAGAGATGCCCGCTCAAGTCCTTGAATGGTTGGAACCACAATCGCCAGGCAGTTGAGACTCCAAGAAGATGAACGTGTCCACCTCTTACTTACAAGTACTCGCAAGCGATCCATGTTATCTAGACGACGAATGATAGCCCCGGATATTACTCTATGATATACGCTGTTTCCAAAATTTGCCCCTTAAATCAACGCACAGATTCTGGGTGAGTAAAATCGAAAACTCGTACCAGCCCCTGAGGAACCAGTTACGAGCTTCTTTCACCGGAATGTTATTCTGACGCCTAAATAGCAAGATGGCCGAGTGGTTAAGGCGCTGTGTTTAGGTATCTTAAGCTATGCTTATGAACCCAGAACCGCAGTGGGAAACCGCGGTATGTACTTGTGTAAAGTTCGTCTTGACCAGTAACTAATATTGTACAGTGGGTTCAGTATGTGACTCTTCTGCATCAACAATACTCCTACTAATATATAGCAGAATCCCACTCTTGTCAAGATTACGTTTCTTTTTGCTTTTTATTGTCATGCTAGCTCATACAAATTTAAATGTCCAGTGCAAGAGTATGGTGAGGTAAGCTGGAGATCTCGTAAACCGGGGAACCCGAAAACGAGGTGTTCATAAATTGCAATATTGCTTTCCAACTACCTCCACATTGGGTGGCGACGACGAGATGCTTTCTTGCAAGCAATGACGAGAGGGTCGTTGCGAATGTACTCGGCCTGACCGTACTACAATTCAAAAAGCGATACCACGATGTCACTGTTGAATCCGACCAAGACATCGTCGGGATTGATGAGACCCTCCAATGAGATGCAGAGCGCCTGGGGAATCAAATCTTTGTGTTTACGCAGGCTTGGGAGGCTTTTGACAAGAGTCATTACGGCGTTGGCGTCATCTCAGCACAGCATCCCCTACAGACGAATCTCCTTGACACATGCTAGTACTAACTATAAGTCTAGGACTCTGTTGAGAGATGCGTATCTATTCCCTAGACGTAAGGGACCAGCAGTTCTCCCATCTTCCTATGATTGCGATATTACGGCTCTAAAGCTTAGTTCCCAACCACCAGATCAACACAGTCTCAGCATCATTCTTATCTCACTATGTATGGTGAGGTAAATGCACTCTTGAGCACAGCTCGTCTCTGCACCTCAGCGATGCTTTAGCAACACTTATCTGATGTCCTCGTTGACTAGGTCGACCGCCTGGTCCTCCAAAGAGTTACAGATACTACCCTTGTGGAACAGCCTGACCTGAACAATGAACGCAGAAACCAGCTGCTTACCGGATCCGTTCGAGCGGTCGAAATCGCATTGTCTGTGATAGTTCTATTACCGGATGCGCACGGACCACCATCCAGCTATCTGATGAACGCTCACAAGATGACTTGGCCTCGATCCATCCAGCAGCAAGTATGGCAAACCAACGTCCTGGTACGCCAAATCAGGACGAACGTGGGCCCAGAAACGTGCCGAGAAACAGTCCAGCAAGCCAGCAGCAACACGGATTTCACCAATCGAGACGACAGCAGCCCAACCAGCAACAGTCGCAACGGGTCCCTCCTAACCCGCAACAACGTCTCAATCCACAACCTTTAGGTCCACAACATCCGGGCTTGCGGAAACCGCAGCAGATACAACAGTTACAAGGCTCTAACAATACAGGTGGAAGACATGGACTCAAGCGCCCCAATGTGCCGTATGTCCAGAACAATGTCACATTCGGCGGGCTGTTTGCTGATCAGCCGTCGCGAATGCCCTCTCCACAAATACCTAATGACACGCAATCTTTGTCAGCAGTGAACCAGTGGCAGACAGACCCATTGGCGCATCTACGACTTCCCGGTACTCAACCTAACATTCCCCAACAAACTCGAGTTCCGAACAACCAACATTTCCAGTCGTTGCTTCAAAGCCGAGCACCAAGTCCTTCAGGACTTCCACAGGGTCCATTTACCAGCTCGAATCCTGTTTCAGTACCACAAGCACCGGGACGACCGTTCAAGGTTGAATCACCACACCCAGGAGCACAGGATTGGGCAAGACAGGGACTAGCTGCAAGCTCTCGTCAGACACAGAACGTTCAACGAGGCAACCCACCACGAAGAAATCCGAACACAAACAATAATGCACCGTCATCGAGTTTGAACCAGACGCTACCCCCATCCAGCAACACAAACAACACACGCCGAGCACACCATGATCAGCAGAGACCAAGAGGGCCACAGCAATTGCCTAGTTCAGCTCAGCCTCAATCTCAACCTCCAAATCAAAGGGGTGCAGCTCCGACTCCCGCGGCTATACCCACTCTGCAGCCTGTTGTCACAGACTCGAACAATCCTGTGCCAACGCAGACGCGACAGCGAAAGAGGAAACGGAATGGCCACGGAAGAGGCGCTACTCCTGCTTCTGCAAATCCACGTGTCCCACAGCCTCCAACTCCAGTGCAGACTTCGGTCACCAGTTCCAATCCACCTACAGCGTTTCGAGCACCACAAGTGCGTCAGCGAGGATTCCAAGACTCGGACGTCCAGTTCATAGGCCAGGCTCAACGTCAACATCAACAGCAACCACAGCCTGCTATACCTCAGACGCCCACTCCACAAGAGCGTAACTCTGTATCTGCTGTGGGTGGCCAAGACCCAGCAACACGCAACTTTTGGCGACCCCAAAGTCTAGGTGGAGTACCCCGAACACCTAGGCAACTCGAGAAAGATGCAATAACCATAGTACCTGTAGTCCTCGGAACAGGAAACCCACCGTCATTCAAGGAACAAATCATCTGGGTCGAGGAATGGTCCACCTACAGAATCAGCAAATATCGTTATGCACCTCGTCTCCTCAAGACGGATCCTCCACCACAAGGAACGTATCAACCCAACCTTGGCAGGGGAGAAACCGATTACTCCGACCCTCGAGATTTCGCAGCCCCAACAGAAGAGGAGCAGGACTGGGTGTGGAAGGCTCTGAAACCGACTAGGGACAGATACACAAAATACACTGAGGTTGACCTGTATCGAGAGGACTTGCGAATGCTTGCTGAGGGATACAATGCCGCGTGGGATGAGATCAGGCGGATGTTCCAGGACTGGCTCTTTTTCAAGTACAGTCCAGACATAAAGCGGACTGGTAATGTACAACAGGATATAGCGCGGGAAGTGGGGCAGGAAAAGTGGTTTCTGAATGGCGAACTGACGCTATCGTCAGTTCGATATGAGGAAGCACTGTTTAAACTGATGCGATGGTTTGGTTTGGTTGAGGATTATGTTTATGCTCCGAATTGGCCGGTAAGTTTTGTCGTTTCTTTCCCCATTGCCACAAAATAACGATGGATTAGTTCAAAGAAGACCTTCCGAAGGTTGAGAATGACGCTGGAAAATTGAGACAGAATCCGGACGCTTTTGCATGCAAACACTGTTGTGACAATGGAATTAATTGTTGGGGACATCGCGAGAATGAAAACCGGATCTGTACTCCTTGTGAGCGCTTTCAGGTTCGATGCAGCAAGGAACAGGACTACCAAGCATGGCCTCTTGTCGAGCGCCACGCCGAGGCTCGAATTGCGGCGCGAGAAGTGCACGCCCAACAACCTGATGCCAGAGGCAGGAAACGCGGTCGTCCTGCTGATGACGAGGCGGCAGACGAAAGGGCTGCGAAGAGAAGATAGGAAGAGCCCCTTCAGAGACATGTGTAAACACGACGAGACAACTTTGCCCAAGTCGGTCCTTGATGACGCACAATTGAGGGCATGGAAGAAATAAGGCTTGACGAGTGAGACCTCACTCTTCTATTGAGAATACATAGTCGTGTTCTCACAACCTGACTGTGTACATCGAGTGTGTGGAGTGTGATTCGTGTATGTATAACGATGGCTCGGTACCAAACTCTTAAATGACGTCAATAAGACTGTTGCAGTAATCGACCTCAGGAAGTCTCGTTGTTGTTCGCGATTTGTGAATGATAGTACTAATGCGTGGTATTCGTCTGGCTAGTACTTTGCGACAATCGATCAGAATGGCGAACAACAACACTTCATACTCTCCAGCTTCGGCGAAAGTCCTGAGCGTAGACACAATGGTAGGCTGATTCGCGGGATCACAACATGCTATAGCTGATGCAGGAGCTAAGGTGCGGTAGCCGACAGATGAGGCCAAATGGATAAGATTGAACAGAATCAAGTGGCAAGATCCTTCGGGCAAGGAAAGAATTTGGGAGACTGCAGAAAGACAGGTGAGCAATTTGGGAAGGTGAAAGACATGTACTAATGTGACCACAGACACGGGGGAAGAACAGCACCGTCGACGCAGTGGGAGTAGTCGCGATCCTCAATGATCCAAAATCCTCATCGGGCCCATCGATGCTTTTGCAGAAGCAGTTCCGTCCTCCAATAGACAAAGTCACAATCGAAGTGCCTTCCGGACTGATCGATGAAGGAGAGAGTCCAGGTGACTCGGCTGTTCGCGAGCTGAAGGAAGAGACTGGATATATCGGAACTCTCCCGAAGGATGCTAAAGCAGCAGAGGGATTTGTGATGTTCAACGATCCAGGCTTCTGTAACACCAACACAAAAATGATCTTCGTAGAGGTTGATATGAATGACCCCAGGAATCAAAACCCTCAGCCAGAACTAGAGGATAGCGAGTACATTGAGTCGTTCACGATACCGCTCGATAACATGTGGAATGAGCTTGAGAAGCTTGAACAGGAGGGATATGCCATAGACGCGAGGGTTGGTACACTTGCTCAGGGCATGGAGATTGCCAAAAAATGGAAAGAGGCAATGACAAGGCCTGCTTGAGGAGAGTCATGTTGTCGATCTGGACACAGACTGTACCGACACAATAGTACAAGCAAGATTGTATTACAGAGCAGTCGCACTGTGGTAGTAGATCATGCCAGTAGAAGCAACGACAAGTGTACATCAACCCTGCTTGATGTGCTCTGAATTTAGGTTATGTACCTGGAACTTAAGCTTTGAACATCGTCTGCGGCTACCCCAGCTCCCGGGATGGCGTCGCAACCCTGCATGATCGCTCCGCTGAGTGCTTCTCGCGAAAAGAACACGTTTACGTGGGACTGGTAGCTGTCAATATTGAAATATACAGATTGAATGCCCATGTACTATTTCCTGGCCTCACAGAGCGTCTATCCCGACTTTCAGGTCCAGTTTTCTTCGGCAACCGTGCTGGTAAGACTACACCCAACATGGTTGAGTGGGGGAAAGAGAAGGTTCTGGGAAACTATTTCATTGCTTTGATCCATACTGAAGGAGAATGGCACTGGTCACTGATTCCTTTCATACTGATATGGGTCGGTTTTGGTGTCCTTCTGCTGGTGCGTGAGCAGACAGCGCCTGTATATTTGCACTAAACACAGTCTAGATATTTCTCTTTATTACATTCGTGGTACCCTATCCACGGCGGCCTCTTCCCTCCGAGAAAAAGTACAGGACCCTTGACAAGGATGGCAAACTCACTCAGCCCAAAGATCTGCCGTGTTGGGTCGACGAAGCAAAGCGGAAGTGGCTAGATGCGAAAGCGAAGAACCAGGAGTTCAATGTGCAAAAATACGTCCAACCAGCTCAAGTGTTTATGACCCTAGTTATTCCAGCCTACAACGAGGAAAAGAGGTTGATTGGCATGCTAGAAGAGGCTGTGAACTTCTTAGAAAAGCATTACAGTAATCTACCCCAGCCGAAACCTGTGGGAAAACAAGAAGTCAATGGCAGTGCGATCAAGAAGCGGCAGACTCAATCTCAGATGCTATATCAGAAACCACCAACAGGAATATATGAAGACCTGGCGCCGAAAGGATGGGAAATTCTCCTGGTAGATGACGGCAGCACCGATGCGACGGTCAAAGTCGCAGAGCATTTTACCCGAACACATCTTTTACCCTCCCATCCACGACCAGCCAGCGGACCATGGACCCCTAATCCGAAGACAGCAGTCAATATTCCACCTGACAGTATACGGCTTATCTCACTCGAGAGTAATAGAGGCAAGGGTGGTGCCGTCACACACGGCATGCGCCACGCACGAGGCTCCTATGTCCTCTTCGCCGACGCCGACGGAGCCAGTGACATTTCTGATCTTCCCAAACTCGTCACAGCAGCCGACGATATAGCCGACTCTCAGTCTCGTGCTGTTGCAGTCGGCTCGAGGGCGCATATGGTGAATAGCGCCGCCGTCGTGCAGAGGAGTAAGCTGCGGAACTTCCTCATGCACTGTTTTCACATCTTCATTCGTACGTTAACACCTCCGAAGACAGCACGTGTAAAAGACACCCAGTGTGGGTTCAAGCTCTTTACACGTGCATGCCTGCCATATATCATACCACACATGCATATGGAAGGATGGATCTTCGACGTGGAAATGCTGATGCTTGCCGAATTCGCGGTAATCCCTGTAGTAGAGGTACCTATAGGGTGGAAGGAAGTTGCAGGAAGCAAGTTGGATGTCATCAAGGATAGTTTGAAAATGGCTTGGAATCTGTTCTTGTTAAGAGTATGTTGGGGAACTGGGATATATAGCTAACAGGACCATATTCAACATACAATACTATCCTAGCTCGGAGCGTGAACGTTATATCTCACCTAGAATCCCTTAGAGTCTCCTCTTTACTCGTTCTTCCAACCAATCCTTTATCAGAATACAAGTCAGCTCGCAGATAGATCACTTTACGTTCTCAAGTAATGTCCTTCAAAGATGGCCGTGGTTGACTCCTGCCAGGCCTAGTTGGTGTGCCCGTTACTGCCTTGCATCCCACAGAGGAGCTTTCTGGTTATATAGACTAGGCGTCCACATGCTTCTCAGATAGGTTCCCAGAAACACTATCAGTCTGATGTGAGAACAACATCGCGATGCGTGCTTTCAGTGTCAAAATCCAGATTGGTCTTCTGCACATTCATGAAAGCGGCTCTGATACTTGAAATCGAATATGCTCGGAAATGCTGACTTTCGGATGCATTTGGCTCGACCGCAAGCATGAACATGGGTCAATGTTGAATTTAATCATCTCATGGATGAATCTCGACACATAAAGCTGTATTGTTTTTTTCAAGCGGATTTTTCTTTGCGTCCTCGGTCTTCAGTCCTGCACAATAGTATCCAAAATACCTCAATCCCAACATGGAGCCGAATCTCCCGGTGTACAACCATGTCTCCAACTCATACTGAACAAGTGTCTTGCCAAAGCATCCGGAGACCCCTCCTTATTCGAGCCACTATGCGGCTGCCCCGTTCCAAAAGCATCAATAGGCAGGATCAAGATATCATCAATGAGCTTCGGCTCCTTCAGCCCACTAAAATCCGCATAAGTGATGTTGTGATAACCCTTATTTCGAAGGTGCTTGATGACGCTCGCAGTCCAAAGACCTGGTCCGGTAGTGACGATGACTTCTTTGTCCGTGGGGCGTAAGTGTTCAACGTCTGTTTGATAGCTGTCTGCGAGACTGTGGATCTGGTACATGGTTTCTTCGACGGCATACCATAGCAGTGGATGGTTAGCTGTTGCTGCGATTGTCCATTGACATAGAGATAGGGAATGTGGCATGGTGACGTGACGTTCTTCTTCGAGTTGATCGTACTCTATGCCGATGACAACGCGAGTGAAGTTCTTGTAGGCTTCTGGAATCCAGTGGTTGATTGGGATGATCGCCTCGGTGTCGACGTCGGTGTAGACGCCGCCATAGCGAGCCAGCAGGACGTAGCGGAGGAAGTCTGCTCGCATCACGGTTGACTCAAGGCTCTGGAAAGTGTGGACGACATCCGGACGTGTTTTGTAAAGGTCAAAGAGGATATCAGTTGCGCCGACCGTGTCGACGAGATGATACTCATGTTCTGGATTGAGCTCGGCCCAGGAATGAATTGCTGTTTGAAGTTTTGGATCCTTATATGGTCGTTAGCTTGGAGATTAGGGAAGATCAGCCAGCAATACAACGTTATCTCGAGACGCTGGTCTGAATCTCTGGTGAAACTTACTATCTCTCTTTTGTGAAGAAAGACGTGCCAGATGAAGCTCGGAATGGATGGTAGCACCGAAACCACGTTTGCCTTGCGTGGATCGAGTACAGCCCTCTCTTCATAGACAAGCACAAGAGCCACGATACAGAAGACAATGCTGGCTATCGTCTTGAGTCTTGCATTCTGCCATGTTGGGTATCGGCCTGAAAGCATCCTAAGTTTCAGTGGCAGTGATGCCAGTACCCCAAAGTCGTGGTGTCAAATGTGATGTTGGTGGAGGAGAAGTAGAAGCTGTTTACGATCACTCCATAGCATGACCCCTGCGATAGAGCCACCTGAGACGTGGCAGAGGGATGGCAAACGGCAGCAGCAACAGCTGTGCTGGCGGTCTTCCTGAGCATTGGTCACCTCCTTTCGAAGAACCTGAACTGATAAATATCGAAGCGCGGCCTGGTCCGCCACTATGATGACTAGATGCGAACTCTCCCTGAATAGTGGACTTGACCCAGGTTCTAGATGCGATCATGTTGGGTTTCCCTGTCGTAAGATCACTTCGCGAAACTGCGTCCTGTCGATCTGGTTGCTTCCGCTTATCTCTGTTTAGATGTCAACCAGTAGTATCCCCATATCGTATACTTGCAGCTATTATGAAATGGCTGATGCGGCAAAATAGACTCTACCAATCCCGCCAAGAACCGCGATCTGGAGCTTAGCTTCCGAGAAACTTCGCAGTGGACACACTAGGGTCACTTTAAACCATACGAGCTCGTATCGTTAGTACAGACACTACGTGACTGAGTTCAAGCGCGTATGGTAAGCAGTCACCCTCCTTTTGTAGTAGTAGCAGAGAATTGAAGAAGGCATGATCTCGACAGTCAGCTGGACAAGGCGAACCGAGGTCAATTGCATTTACTATGGCCGAGTACCTGTGTAAAACTGTCTGCTTCTGGACTCGGTATCCAACTGTTTGTACGAAGAATTGCGGTTCGGTCTGCTGGTACAACAAAGGGCCACCCGCGACAGGTGAGCTATGTGGTACGACCTAGATATACTAAGGAGAGCTTTTAGTAGCCCAGTCCATGAACGACTTACGAAATACAATAGCAGCGGCCGCTTATTTTTTCTCTTTCGGCGCCAGCATCAGTTCTGGCCTGACGTGCTTGTCGAAGTCCTCCTCACTCAAGGCCTTGAGTTCCATAGCACTTTCCTTCAAAGTCAACTTCTTTTTGTGAGCATTCTTTGCAACTTTGCTAGCCATGTCGTAGCCAATTACTGGGTTCAGACAAGTTACAAGCATCAAGCTTTCGTGGAGGAGCTTGCCAATTCTTTCCTCATCTGCTTGCAGACCATCTACCAAATGCTCGACAAAGCCGTTCATAGAGTCGGACAATATTCGTATTGAGTGTAAAAGATTCCGGATCATGAGTGGCTTGAATACGTTGAGTTCGAATTGACCAGAAAGACCGCCAACGGTTGCTGCAACGTGGTTGCCCATGACTTGTGCAGCAACCATAGTCATAGCTTCGCATTGGGTCGGATTGACCTTTCCAGGCATGATAGAAGAGCCTGGTTCATTCTCGGGCAGGATGAGCTCGCCCAGACCACATCGAGGACCAGATCCGAGATAACGGATGTCATTTGCGATCTTGAAAAGTGAGCAAGCGAGAGTGTTAAGCGTACCTGAAGCCTCGACAATACTGTCGTGTGCCGCTAGTACCTCAAACTTATTAGGTGCTGTGATGAACTTGTAGCCCGTTGTCTTGGAGACCTCCTCTGCGATACCTTCTGCAAATCCTTCGAATGTGTTTAGACCTGTTCCTACAGCTGTGCCTCCTTGTGCGAGTTGTAACAGATGAGGCATGTTTGATTGAACTCGTTCTAGATTGCGATCTAGCTGTGCCACATAGCCAGAAAACTCCTGACCAAGAGTTAGAGGTGTTGCATCTTGCAAGTGCGTGCGGCCAATCTTGATGATCTTGTCGAACGCTTGCCTCTTTCCGTCGAGGGCGTTACGGAGGTTGGTCAAAGCCGGAACGAGCTTCTCTTCTAGATCAAGGACCGCGGCAATGTGCATGACGGTCGGGAAGGAGTCGTTGGATGAGGCAGACATGTTAACGTGATCGTTGGGATGGACTGGTTTCTTGCTGCCCATCTCTCCGCCCAGAATTTCAATGGCTCGGTTCGAAATAACCTCGTTCGCATTCATGTTCGATTGTGTTCCAGAGCCAGTCTGCCAAACAACGAGTGGAAAGTGGTCAATTAATTTCAGGGAAGCAACTTCTTCGGCAGCTTGAACGATAGCCTCGCCAACCTTGGAATCTGGAAGTTGTGATCAGCAGCTGTTAGTGTACCCGGTCCATAATCTTACCTAGTCCATATTTCATGTTTACCTTTGCAGCTGCTCCTTTCAGAATGCCGAAAGCCTTCACAACACCATCTGGCATACGATCCTGTGGCTGGTTTATCTTGAAGTTGCCCAGTGATCTCTGTGTCTGAGCTCCCCAGTATCTTGTACTATCGACCTGTAAAGGCCCGAAAGCATCTGTTTCTGTTCTCGTGCTTCCCATTGCTGCGGTTGTGCTGAATGACACAGCTAGGCTCCTGGATAGATGTCTGCGTGTAGCTGACTGACTTGTGAGACAATTCCTTTGCAATAGAGGGGAAGACGCTGGGGCAAAGAAACGCAAGCAAGTGGTGCTTGTCTTCGTTGTACTCCGCAGCTGCGATCTCAGAGCATGTGCACTTCTGGTACTGATTCTGGCAGCCATTACGGCAGATTGCGCAGCTATATATCTGCAGTCAGCACGAGAAAGAGATCGGAAGGAGCCACTGGGCAAAGCCTGTGACTAAGTCGAACCGGAAGCTGCGCAAAGAATGCTGCTGTTGAAGCGCGAGGCTTGAGAGTGATGCACCAAAAAGCGCAGGAGCACTGTCCAGAGCTCCTTCTCCAAACAATTTTATGGTTCGAGTCGCGGACGGATTTTGCCGGAACAGCGACATTGGAGCTGGGGACGATGAAGTAGGGCACGAAAAACAACAGGAACTGTTCAGTGTGTTTGTGTTATGTCTTGATTACAACTGTTATTATGCATGCTAGAAGGGCTAATCATGTATAGCTGGTACCTTTCGAGCCTTTCCACCATATACATGGTTCCAAATACGCCTGCTGCTTACCCTACGGTAGGAAAATTGGGGGTATCTCAGAATATGCTAAGTCAAATCATCCCAAGAAGGCCAACATCCCAAATTTGAACACACCAAGCCAGATTGCGGCTTACGCTTGGCCTTGAATGAGTTTGGGGGCGTTTCCAATCATGTAGTCCTTGGCTTTGGCCATTTTGATGACAAAGCTGGGTAACTTCCAGCCAAATGCAAGGCCAACACCTTGCTGAGAACCAACAGGGACGAATGCCATCTCGGCTTGAATTTTCTTGTACACCTTGTTGGTTCGGGCGCCGCCATCTGTTGCATTGTTAGTGTCGTGTTCAGCAATTACGATGTTCAAGGACTTACTAGTTCCATCAATGTCAAGACGCACACTCTCAACTGCAGCGGTGTATGCTAGTTTGGTATCGAGGATCGAGCCGTCCGAATAGCTTGCGACTGAACCGACGCAGTAGACTCCTGTCACCCCAGGCACGTCTACTCGAAGAGTATTGGTGTCGGTCTTGATTTGGCCACGCTCGGTCAGCCATTCCTTGGGTACAAAACTGCTGTTCGGCTTGTCACCCACAGCACCAATATACACATCGACAGTCTTGGTCTCCCCGTTGCTGAGGGTAACTAGTGTCTTATCACCCTCTTTTGTAGCCGACTTGACCTGGACATTGTGTGTGACTGTGATACCCATCTTCTCCAGCATCTGCTGTGATAGCTGACTTGGCTTGCGGTTTTGTAATCTGTTGAGGAGTCGATCGCTACCGGATAGGAGTGTGATTTCTTTCTTACCACCATAGGCTTCACCGAGTTCACCTGCAGTCTCCACACCACAGGGGCCACCACCCGCAATCATGACGGTCTGAGCATTAGGTAACTTGCTGTGTAGGTCGTGCACCTCATTTCTCAGGGCTTCGGTTCCTCGTGAGGTGGACCAGATGTCGTTGTCGAAATAGGTACCAGAGGCTATGACAACTTGATCGTAGGAGATCTTGTCGCCTGTGTTGACCTCTACAACCTTCGAGTTGGGCTCAAGAGCTGTGACCTTGCCCTTGATGAATTGGAATTTATCACCATATTTCTCGAAGGTGGGGACGAAGTTGAGGAGACTCTGCTCGAGAGACAACTTATCCGGCCGTGTAACCGCTCGTGGAGCGCCGATCTTCCAGTAGAATTCTTCCGAAGGGTTGATCAGAACGAGCTTGTAGTCCTTGCCGGATGCTGGTAGCACATCTTTCAGAAGTGCATGGGCAACAGGAAGGCCACCAAAGGAGGCGCCAATAACAACGACTGTGTGAAGGGACATGTCTTTGGCGAGCTGGCAAGGTCGAACTCGAGGGGAATATGTCTGAGAGAAGAAGATAACAGATAAGTGTATGCAGAAGTAGGAGGAAGAGAAAGAATGTATAGGAGGCCGAAGGAGCGCAGGCGATGGCGAGAATGTCGGACAACGGTATTGCTATGTTTTAAAGCCCTCAACGTTCCTAGTAAGATTTATGGGCTGAGATTAGATTGTTGTAAGGCTCAGGCTGTGTGCTTCTGTGTTTGTGAACAGCAGACTTGATGCTCTATCTATATACTTCGATCTCTTCTTTGCAGGACAATGCCCGTCCTTGCCATGTCTGTTTGTCACAGCTTGTCACGATTCAGGCACGAAATAAATTGATAATCCAACGCGTACGATCTTGTAACTTTATTCATTCACTTTCCGCACTCCAGGATTTGACGCGCTTCATTGGTCATGCGGACGGACATTCAAGAAGACTCCGAGTCCTTTTTCAGCCACCAAATGGCTCAGAGGCTGCTGATTGTGACCCCTTTTGCGACCCGTCGGCCTAGCGTTGCAGGCAGGTACGCCATCAGGATCGAGGAGAATGCTTGCACGTGGTGAGGAAGAGGAAAGACACGAATCGACGACTGGTACTTGCGTGAGCACGTGCAGATCACCACACCACTCGTCCGAGAGATTGTGACGGCCCTATAGTTAGTTATGAATCATGCTTTGGGAACCCAGCCCAGCTAGAACCATAATGATCACAAACAATAGTTCTACTCCTTGTGTTTGCAAATTTTATGTTTTGCAACAATGCATCGTCTCCTGCCATGCACTGAAGGTCACAATCTCTTGTCATGCCCTACGTTGACAGTAGAATAAAGGGATACGGTGACGTCTCCAGAGGGGTTTGGAAAGCGCAATGTCCTCAGTTTTAGCTGATCATCTTGTGTCGTGGACAGGTTATTCTGCAAGCATAGTCAGCAATCAAACGCGAAAATACGATAGGTTTTCGATCACGAGCAGGAGATTTTGAACAGTTCGGTTTGAGGAGGGCAACGCAGGAATAGGAGTGGCAGGACAAAAGAACTCGTGCAGGCAAACCCGGAGATACTTGTTAAATGCTGACCTGCTAGGTACATTGCAGTCCCATGAACAACGTTTGAAGCGAAAACAGCTTAAAGACATGAAATATCAGACAAAGTAAGCAAGAAACGTGCATGAGTGCAACCCGACTCTTCTCAAGTACACTCGACACATACCTAAATTCACAGGAGTGTTACCACACATTGGCAAGTGCAAAACAGGATCTACTGAAACTCCAGACACGGGTACCAGCCGCAGTGTGCAAGGTGTGCTTGACACTGTTTTCGACTCGTACCTTCCTTTTAGGTTGACTGAGCCGTTTCAAGCTTCTCTACAATATCAAATACCTTTCTTTCACTTGTTCGCTTGTTTGACTGCATCCAGCTTCTTCTCTTTGAAGGTTGGCCACTGAAATCGGTTTTGAGCATCTGGCTATTTTATTCCACGGAATCACAGATTACTCTGATTAAGATGAGGCCGTACGTGCTAGTCGTCGTTGGTACCTTGTTGTCTCTTGCTTTCTCGGCATCCCAAGGTGGTCGAGCCGACAATGAGCTCGATGGAACCTTGACGACAACTATTTCGGCGACCTTGTCGTTCACCTTTACAAGTACTCATGTGGTCACCTTGCCAACCATTTCCTCCTTCACCACAACATCCTCTACTTCGAAGCCGACATATACTGCTACTGAAATCTATGCTGTCAGGCCAGGTGCACCTTTCCACATGATGCCGTTCCAGGCTGCGGGCGGCGTGTTCCGACTTGGTGGTGGGAATGCAGCTTACTGCCCGCTGTATGCAGAGAAACTTGGAGCATGTGAAGCTCGGACAAACATCACTGGTATCAATGGCTGTTCTCTGGTGAGTCCTCGTACCCCATCCTTACTGGTAGACCGACCTGGCTCGTCGAGGCTCCATTGCTGCTCATTTATTATGCATGCCAAAAAAAGGCAATACTAACAATGGTCAGTCAACTGTGGTTCCTGGCGGTCAATCAATCTATCTCGCACCAGACGGCGAGCTCAAGTACACACCACCTCACTCGGCATATATGGTCCCCGGCTCAATCTCCTGCCCTCTGAGCTATACTGAGGTTAGAGACAGCGACGCATCCGAGGTGATGATTGCTGGTTTCGGTGCTACGAGTTTCATGGCCTGTCCGATGCTTACTAGTACAAGGGTCAAGCAACAATGGCAGGTCTATGCAAACACCCTTAATGCTAGCACACCACTGAGACACGAGAACGACACTACCTGCTGGGTGTTTGAGGCTGTAGGTGTTGAAAAACAACTAAGTCATTTTGCAGCAACCTGGGAATATGTCTAACACCCAGATTGCATACTCGTCCAGGGACTTCTGCTTTTGCTTGACAGTGGAGCAAACGATTCTGGTCGAAACGATTTTGCGGCACATCTAGAAGTGTGACGTAGAGGAGCGGTTTTGGCGCAGATTCGATATCTATATGCCAAGTCGACTAACAGTACTGGACTTTTCCAACGTACCAGCAAATATCAAATCTTCGACAAAATTTAGTGACTCGAACATCACATGAGAATAGCTGGAGGTAGTGGTGAAGGGAAAGCTACACTGTGTCTGCCATAAGCGGCACGTCTTGCTCAACCATGCCACATATTAGCATCTGCTGTATTGTTGTCAAGTTCTACGTCTTCGATTGTGGTAAACGTCCGAAATTCACTACGTTCAAGCAAGTTGTTGTTGCACTTCACTGTGCCTTCTTCTGAGATCTATTTTCGTGCAGTCATTGGGAGTTGTGAAACGTGACCAGGCACATCGGAAGCCTTCGGATAAGGCCGGAAATTGACCGTGCAAGCTGTGTCCAAACGGGCCTGAAGGCCATACCTCGGCTCTGAGGTACTTCAAACTCGCAGTCATATCTATTGTACTCGAGAACGATGCAAAATCGCATGCCTGAAACCCGCTACAAGACACGAGTGGTACTCATCGCCTGGTTTCTGTCTTCCACAGTCAGTGAAGTCACTGATGTTGAAACGCAAAAGGAATCGTGGTTGAATATGTCGACCGCGCTTTACCCCACACTTTTAAGCTCCATGTGCCATTCAACCAGGTCGTGCTTCTGATTCGATCGAGACCCTTACGGGTGCGACTCAGTGGATGATACGAAATAGTGAGTGATTGGTTAGTCAAGGATTTGTGAGAATCCCGAGGGTGTTGTGTCCGTTAGCCTTTGACGATTTTCATGTGTTCGCCAGATGCGGACATGCTGCTACTGACGTAGAGCTACTATATGACCATGAACTCATCCTTCTGAGAGAGTGTTGTTCTAACTATACAGAACTCCTTTGACAGTGTCAATATTTATTCCTGGTCAATCTAGTTATTACGTATCAACATGGCTACATTAGAACAGCTCAACCAGGGTGTAAATATCCTTGGTAATGTTACTGAAGCTCAAAAGAAGATCCTTACACCCGAAGCTACTGGCTTCGTTGCTCTTCTTCACAGAACATTCAATGGCACAAGAAAGTCTCTGCTGCAGAGGAGAGTGATCAGGCAGCAGGAGCTAGACAAGGGTGTCATCCCAGACTTCCTCCCAGAAACCAAGCACGTTCGAGATAACAAGACATGGCGAGGCGCACCACCAGCCCCAGGTCTTGTCGACCGAAGAGTTGAAATAACAGGCCCAACCGATCGAAAGATGGTCGTTAATGCTCTGAACAGCAATGTGTGGACATACATGGCCGACTTTGAAGGTGCGTATCGTACTCAAGCATTCGGAGCGTTTTGAAGACTAACACAAGCGCAGATTCCTCTGCACCAACATGGGACAATATGATCAACGGACAGGTGAACCTGTATGACGCCGTACGAAAGCAAGTGGACTTCAAGCAAGGAGAAAAGGAATACAAACTTCGAACTGATCGAGTACTACCTACACTGATTGCAAGAGCCAGAGGATGGCATTTGGAGGAGAAGCACTTCACTGTTGATGGTGAGCCTGTATCAGGCTCGCTCTTCGACTTCGGATTCTACTTCTTCCACAATGCACAAGAGCTCGTCAACAGAGGCACTGGTCCATATTTCTACCTGCCAAAGATGGAATCTCACTTAGAGGCCAGACTATGGAACGATGTCTTCTGCCTCGCTCAAGACTACATTCACATGCCACGAGGTACAATCCGTGGTACCGTCCTCATTGAAACTATTACTGCAGCCTTTGAGATGGACGAGATCATCTACGAACTGCGCGACCATAGCTCTGGATTGAACTGTGGCCGATGGGATTACATCTTCAGTGTCATCAAGAAGTTCAGACAAAACCCAGCATTCGTGCTACCGGATCGATCAGCCGTTACCATGACTGTGCCTTTCATGGATGCTTATGTCCGATTACTCATCAAGACCTGCCACGCTCGTGGTGTCCACGCTATGGGTGGTATGGCAGCACAGATTCCAATCAAGGACAACCCAGAAGCCAACGAGAAGGCCATGGACAATGTCCGACAGGACAAACTTCGTGAGGTCCAAGCCGGACATGACGGCACATGGGTTGCTCACCCAGCCCTAGCAGCTATTGCCTCTGAGATCTTCAATAAGCACATGCCGACGCCAAATCAGATCTACAATCGGCGAGAGGAATACCAGGTCTCAGGTAATGATCTTCTGAACATGAACGTTCCAGGTGGCATTACTGAGGAGGGCATCCGCAAGAACCTCAACATTGGCCTTGGCTACATGGAAGGTTGGCTCCGAGGTGTTGGTTGTGTACCAATCAACTATCTCATGGAGGACGCTGCTACCGCCGAAGTATCACGATCACAATTATGGCAGTGGTGCCGACACGGCGTAAAGACGTCAGAAGGCAAGACCATGACCAAGGACTATGCTCTCAAATTACTTCACGAGCAGGCCGATGAGCTCGCGTCGAAGGCACAGAAGGGCAACAAGTTCCAGCTCGCTGCGAGATATTTCGAGAGCCAGGTCACTGGTGAGGACTACGCTGACTTTTTGACAAGGTATGTATTGCCACTCATGATTGGTCGATTATTTGCTAACAATAACTTTAGTCTTCTATACAACGAGATCACCTCTGTTGGTCCTGCCCAACCTGCTGCGAAATTGTAGGTGGCTTGCATTTTGGTTTCGATGAGAGCATATCATCCGGAACACATGCTGAACGCGGCGTAGGAACGCATGACGATGGAGTGATATTGAACTTATGAGGTATGAGCTGATGTAAGATGAAAGAATCTTCTGTATACTGTCGATACAAGGGTCATCAAAGGAAAGATAGTGTGTATATCAAAATCATGGATACGTACCTTTACTCTGTCAGCCTCCTGCTTGAACAGACAGGCAACTGTCTTTCTTGCAGACTGTGAGCCATACATTTGCACGGGATAACCATGGTGCAACGTCGCCTATCTGAGTCTAATTCTACGGCTTGAACAGGAAACACTGTAATGATCCGAATCAAGCAGCCAATTTCTTTGAGGCTGAGAGCAGCGATCCTTCCACCATAGCCGAGTGTGCCACTACCGAGCACAGGTGTTGTATTAGAACACGAGCAACTCGCGACGAGCCAACTTGCGACCTGAGCATTACGACGTGGTACTATTATGATAGAAGCAATGACCATCTTCGCGCCTGGATTGATGTCTTCGCCCTCCTCTTCACCATTCCTCATTGACATAACCAAAGCCTGTTTTCGAAACACAATATCGAGCCATAGTCTAGCAATATACTGAAGCACCTCAACGTGCTTCGAGTTCATGGACATTAATCTCACGACTGCAGACACCACCATCCTTCAAGAACGTTGTTCGAGTAATCTCATCGGTAGAAGGAACTCTTGACTTTGTCTTCCTGCTCTTGCTGCTCCATCGCAATCTCTGCCACCATTTGCGGTACTCCTTTCGAGCGCTTCGATCCAACCCGAAACAAGCAAACATAACAAGGCTGAAAAACGTTGCTGTAAAGTCTCCTATGAGCACAAAAGGAAAAATTGGCGCCTGTCCTATTCTCTCCGACCAGTCTGGAGGGTGTACCCTTGACCAAGAATATGGCTGCAGCCCTTGTGGCAAAATATTTGAGTAGAAGAGGTATATGACGGATGGTGTGTTGACCAGGAAAATTATTGTTGTGAATATATAGATTTTGATCAACTGCAGTTTCTTCTCCTTCCCTGTTGGAGTGTCTCCCAGCATCTGTGCGACGCCTCGATAATGCCTTGCCATGCGGTAGGTTGCCAGTCCCGCCCAGAATAAACTGATGGCCGTAACAATCACGGGCCAGGTGAAGAAGAGGTAAAAGCTTGGTAAGCTGTGGTCCACCGTAGGCGTACAACCATGAATACCAACAATCCAGTACCGATCTGGCTGCACAATGTAAACCAAAATCATTCTTAAGCACGGGATGCCGACACAGAAGGTTAACTCCAAGGTTCTGTTCCATCGTTTCCGCGCTGGTGATGGCTGCACCCCGAACCTCGAAGGGTCAAGCATGACTGAGACCTGTCTATACAGACAAAGCAGTGAGCCATCCACAACCATGTATAACGCAACGAAAAGCTTGACTTCTACGTCGCAAAGTCCTTGACCTAGCCATGAGAAGGGAGGATTTGGCGATGGCCAGATAAGGACATTGATGAAACAAAGCAGTGTTGTAATCAAGATAGAAGCAACTAGCGAAGCAAATGCGATCTTCTTGCGTTTTTGGATGAGAACAGGTACGAGAAGGAGGCTGGCCAAGCCAGAGGTGACGCCGACAGCTATTGCCATAGGGTGAGCTGGCATAATGAAGTATGGTGGTGAACATTGGGACTGCTACGACTGGGAAATCTAGCAGATATACCAATCAAGAGGTCAGGTATTTCGACGAATCTCACTAGTAGCGGATTATTCATGTCGCCCGTGGACCGCTGCCCCCATGTTTCAGAACTAACAGGCTGTCTTTGAAGTGATATGGTGGTAATGATCAGTCCTTGGATGTGGTTTTGCTTCATACAGGAAATGAGGCTGTAAGACATTCATCGGGCACTTTTCTGGAAACGAAGCTGAATAGGTTGGCTGGTGCTTCTCTGAATAGACTATATATGCAATTCGACCTTCGTGAGAGCATGTGTATAGCCAAGGTACTAACACAGTGGATCAAATCAAGATTGGCGAGTAATGAGGTTGCGCTTTCAGCAATGGTACTCGTAGCGTGATCAAGCGTGTTCGTAATAGCTTGTCAATCCCTGATCCTCAGGTTTTGATATCATGTCAGCATAAAGATGAAGTAGTCGCTTCATCGTCCGTTTCTCTGTGTTCGCGATACAGTACCTAGCCATCATTTCGGAATGTTTACGCTTGATTCAAATCGACGTTGGAAGAAAACTTACTGGTGGAGGACAGTGTTATGAACAACTTATCAGAGTTCGAGCAAGTCCTCCCGTGTAAACGTGAGATGTTGCCGCTATCGGTGGCGCTTGTTTCTGGCAATACAGCCACTACAGATCCACGATCTTTTATTCGAACCGGATCGCGCTTGCTCGTGCATCGCGTGCCTTCGTCATTGATCGTTAGAAACTTCCTCCCGCCATCAAATAGTGGCTACACCGGGCATTGTGTACATGGAAATGTGTTAAAATGCCCGGTCACGATCTCCGAAGCCTTTATCTCCTCTCAACAAAAGTTCAGCAATGGTGATAGCCTTCAGTGATCGTAGCATACGCGTATCAACGGTGTGAAGTACTACCTCATGCATCTACAAGGATGAGTGCGGAGCAAGAGCAAGATGAGGCACGGGATGTCCTGCCAGACGCCTTACAGACAGGACGTGCAACAAGCTCCCCTGGACCTGGATTTCGACATCGACCACTGAGTCGTGCAGCAACTCTTGCTGAATCGGCACCTCGATTTTCTCGCAGGGAGAATTCCATAGCGTCCGAATCTCTGTCTGACTCACGGCGATCGTTCAAGGCGTCTACGGATGACTTGTTTCTGCCACGAGCCACTGGCGAGCCTGAAACCAGGGAATCCTCGAACTGGCACTCTATACCATTAGGTCTGGCTTTGTTACCCGCTATTGGTGGGCTGTTCTTTCAGAATGGTAGTGCTTTTGTTACCGACCTTACATTGTTGGGCTTGGCTGCCCTCTTTCTGAATTGGGCACTTAGGCTGCCATGGTACGCCTCCTCTCGATTTTGACCGAAAAGTACTGACATCTCGGCAGGGATTGGTATCATTCGGCACAAGCTGTTGTGGTCAGGAGTGAAGCTCAGTATTTCGAATCGGTCCTCGACGACGGTAGTTCGCAAGAGATGAGCGATGTCAATGTATCACCAGAGCGAAGTCCAGACTCAGCAAAATCTCAGCGTCTGTGGCAGGCAGAAAAGGAGCTGCGTGTTCACGAGCTATTGGCATTGCTTGCCTGTTTCGCCTTTCCAGCACTCGGCGCCTGGCTTCTACATGCCATTCGATCGCAACTCACACGACCATCAGAGAGTCTGATCTCCGATTATAACCTGACAGTTTTCCTCCTCGCGTCAGAAGTGAGGCCACTTTCACACCTCATCAAACTTGTGCAAGGAAGAACTTTGTTTCTACAACGCATCATCACTGTGACGGCCGAAGACAAGGAGAGTGAAACTGGCAGTCCTGGTGTCGACAACATGTCAAAACGTCTAGATGAACTAGAGGCTCGAGTTGCGAATTCGGTTGTACTTTCCACAAAATCTGAACCTAATGGTCACTCCCCAACTGAGGATCTAACTGCGAAAGTAACTGATCAAGCCAACGCTGAACTAAGAAGAACCTTTCAGCCCGAGATAGACGCCCTCAGTCGTGCCATGCGTCGCTACGAGAAGAAGACGATGACGTCTGCCATCCAGATCGAAGCCAGACTTCAAGAATTAGAAGGTCGAGTTCAGGACGTGGTAATCATAGCAGCCGCTACACAGCGCAATGCAGACAAACAGGCAGGCAAGTATACATTCATCCTGGCAAATTGGATATCAGCATGCATCGTGGTGCCAATACAGTACGCAGTTTACGTATTGACTTGGCCACAAAGGGTGTTGACGGCAGTCACTCATTGGATCAAAAGAAAGCTCGGTTTTACAGTCCCTCCTCCTAAGGGTCAGCAGGGTAAAAGTCCTACCAAGCTCGACTTGTCACGGCGCAAAAGCAACAAAGAGAGGTCAAAATCGTGAACATAAAATCCAGGGGCTCGTTGTTATTGGGGTGACTTCTACCGATCTACGAAATGCTGCGGTTGACGTACTGGGACAGGCCTCTGGCCAGATCGTCGAACGTCCTTCATATCGTCACTCCCTATGCACCTACTGGCGCTGCATACTTTATCCGACGCTATCTACACTGGTATCACCCTCGACTGCTCGAGATCCAGGTAAAGAGCATCCTGCTGACAATGTGAAATCACAAGGCAAGGCCAGCGTCCTATGTTTCACCTCGATCTATGTTACACCGCGTGTTGAGCTTTTCATTGTTAAAGCATCTGTGGCCTCGCAATATACGTGTTGCTATTCATGAAGTGCATGATCGAAATAGACGGCGTCAAGTACCAGAACCTGGCTGAATCTCATATCATTCGCATGTACCCATAGCTCGAACTCGAGCGTATCGAATGCAGTCTATGTGAACGTATAGAAGCACCTTCAGGCAGTTGACCATATGCTTGATATTGAAAGCTTCACGAACGAAGTTCGCCGCGATATAAGCAAACACAGATCAAATATGTAGTATACACAAGGAAAGGCGAACTTGTTGTAAGCAATCTTTGTGAGAGGGGCACAATGTGCCTCCGACACACGTAACACTTTGTGACCACACGGGCATGTGTATCATCTTTAATGCAATGCTTGATTGATTTTGCCTTGCATGAGGAAATGTCACTTCCTTTGAATGGGCTGTTGTTCTTGTTGTTCTCATAGCTCGAAGATGCCAGCACAGCAACCTAGTTGCGGAAGATTCTCTAAACGTACCACAAGGTATTTTTCCTCATTCCACCAGGTGCGTTGACATAGTGGCAGATCGAGAGGTCTTTCAGCACATCTCTCGTGTGTGCCTCTATTGGAAGGCAGTAGTCACCGCCTGTGTGTTGGGCAATAAGCGCATGTCTGCCTCCTTCGACGCGATTGTTTGCACTTCCTCTGCTGCATGCCATTCGGAACTTCTCAGAGGCCACGATCAACGGACATGCTCCACTCCCTGATAGCCCTGGTTCCAGAGAGATACCAAGGAAGTTTGGCTCAGCAATCCCAGCGCAGATAAAGCGAGTATCGCGTTCTTGACTTACCCGTGACATGCCATTTACTTCGTCAAAATTACGCATATAACAGCAGAATGGGCGAACGGAAGTGCTCCAGTTACCTTGTTCGGATATTCTTGATAGGGTTGCTTGCTTGTACCAGGTTGTCTTGTTGGATTGACCTAGTATGGCTCCTTCTGATCATGATTCTGTATACGCTCGTAGCACCCCAATGCTTTTCACTGGATAGGATTGAAGCGGTCCTGATCCTTTGTGGTCCTCTTAACAATTTTCCAGACCAATATAATATCGTTGTCTTTCTCAAGCAGGAAGCTCAGTCCCAATCATCATCCTCGTCCACGACGTTCTGCTTCGGTCCTCGAATGCCTCGTCTGGAACTCACCCTGCTCCTCTTCCCGTCGTCGTCTACGTTTTCATCATCCGAATCGGTATCGTGCTCATCCATTAGCATCTTCTGCTTGAGCACGCCCCACGAGAATAGAGCATCCTCTAAAGCCTTAGAAACTCTCGCGTCTTTCTCTTTGCCATCCCAGCAAATGCCTTCAAATCCGACGACCTTGCCCTTCACAACACCTTTCACAAACCCTATTACACATGGCAGGACTCTCACTGCTAGTTTCTCGACCACAAACGGAGCAAGTGTGACGTCGACTTTAGCGAAAGCTGCTTCCTCACCACCGGTCTCTCCATAGCTATGTCGCTGCGCAATTCGTTCAAGGTGTTCATCCATGATCGAGCACCTGGCAAAATCGGGGTGTCGGAAATGAACGACAGCTCTTTCATGCTCGGTAGTAAAGTGTAATGTTTCGTCATCCGACCTTAGGAGGCGCACATACTGCTGCGAGTGAGCGCTGCGTAGACCCGTTGCAGCGCCAGAAGTTTTCGAGCCTGTAGCCTCCTGAAGTGTACGAACTCTTTGTTGATAGGCTTCAGAATTTACATCTTCGGACTCAGCTTCGAGTTCCGCAAGGATTGAGTCAATGTCTTCCTCGTCTTCCTTGTTGGAGTTAGCCGAATCGTTCGTCTGCTCGGCCGTTGGCATGATGCACACAGCGAAGATTGGAAATCACGCTTCATTTACTCGTATGTCTTGCTTGTCAAGAAGTTCTACCACCAGAAGTGAGATTCATTTGATGATATCCGCCAAGTTGCTTCATAACAGAACCGACGAACGCCTATGCCGGCAAGTACGCTCCAGTCCTTGGGCTACCAATCACAAACGAGCTCACGTGTTGCCAAGATTTACATGCCAAGCTCACTCATGTGCGATCTTTCAGGAATTAACATCGACTGCCTATACAACCTAGTGCATCTAGAGTGATTCACCAGCCTTCACAAACAACCCAACGATGCCTCCTCCAACACAGAAGCCGAAAGGTATGTCTCTGTTCTCATGTCGCTCAGGTCACTTCACGATACTGTGCTTGAGCGCAGTGTAAAATCGCAAGTAGTCGCAAAACTAATAAAATCAAAGGCTCGAACCCAAAGAAACCCGTGAAGAAGGCTCAAAGTGCTGCAAAGGCCACACTTAAGGGTGTCCAAAACCAACAGGCCAAAAAAATTCGCCTAAGCACTACCTTCCATCGACCAAAGACTCTACAACTCTCTCGATCACCAAGATACCCACGAAAGTCCGTCACGCACGAGCCACGTCTCGATGCCCACAAAATTATCATCCACCCTCTCAACACTGAGAGTGCGATGAAGAAGATTGAGGAGAACAACACACTGGTTTTCATTGTTGACGTCAAGGCCAACAAGCGACAGATCAAGGATGCGCTGAAGAAGCTATACGATGTTGAGACTGTCAAGATCAACACACTCATCCGACCAGATGGTACCAAGAAGGCTTTCGCCCGACTGACAGCGGATGTTGACGCTCTTGATATTGCTGCCACCAAGCTATCCATTGTCTAAACGAGGTACACATGTGTACGGAACATTATCGGATACGAGACAACAAGGGTGGATTTTACAAAAGCGAGGAGCCATGCTTGGGATTTGTTCGACGCGCAAGCTGTCTCCGAATATAACTACTTGCTGGTAGAAAACACTACGGTGTTAGAATGAAAGAAATCAAGCAAAACTGAAATCCGGACGGTTGGCACCTGCCTTGGCAAGTGCTGTACGCAGTTGGTCTCCTCGCAAGGGGGGTTGTCATTGCTCCGTTGTTTGTCGTTCGAAACCATGGGTATCATACTTGCCTGTAGACAGAATGCTATCCTCCAATTACCCAGCCCGTTTGTTGTCTCTGATTCGTAGATGTGCCCGAGAACAGTAGTATAAGCCATGACCACTGCTTCACGGTACGAAACGTCGAGGAAAACTGTGTACCACCAACTTTCCGACCGTGTAGAAGCATAGAGATGGCTTCGAAACATCTCAAGCACAATCCTCGTCTCTTAGCTCAGTCACTACTGGCACATCCTCGACAACCACAATTCACACACTGAACTCCTCCACCACCTGTATCGTCTTCACCCTCTTTTGCTCTTAGGCTTGCCTTCGGTACCCTACATATACAACTTCCACCAAAGTTCGTCTCCTTAGTCTGCACACAGCGTAAACAGCACAACTTCTCGTACCCTTGCTTTTTCCACTTCGCGACCAGGTTTGCGTCTGCGTAGCCATTCTTCAACAGCCAGTCATACAGCTGTTTACTTATTGCTTCTCTTGTGTAGTAGAGGTCGTAAACGTACCGTGAGCGGGCATGCGAAATTTGGAATATGGGCCATAATGTCTCGTGCTTCTTCTTGCCTTCTGTGCTTGCGGATTGGGCGTCGCGCATTTTGTTGGCATATGAGAGGAGTGTGTCTTCGATGTCGTCGAAGCCTTCAGGTGGTGGTTTTTTGTTCTTTGCGGCGCGAACAGGAGGCATGTTGGCAAATGGAGCGGCTTGAATGCTTGTGCGCGTACTCGTAGTGTTCGAATTGCTAATTGAGGGCTGGGGAAAGCGTATGCCTGGATCAAAGTTTTGTGGTCGACCTGCGCAAAGAGTGTTTCACCTAGGGATCTGAAGCGTCTGTTGGTGCCGTCAAAATTGAAGTTGCAAACAGCAGATATGAAAGAGTTGATTATTTGATGAGTCCAGAAACAGAGAAACAGGCAAACAGCCAGTAAATTGAAAAAGAAAAAAACAACAACGAGTGGTGGTCAAGCAGTCTTCAATAGTTGACATTACAGTCACTTCTCTAACATGTGGCAGAATTACGATGGTTTATCGATTTTCTAATGGATCCAACGCGTAATAATGGAGAATCACTTGTAGATCTACAATATTTAAAGACACCATTAATATCTGAGCAAACTTGATTCATCAGCCTCTAGTGAATCTCAGCGTTCATTTCGATATTTACCCAAGTAAAGTCACAAACCACTGTTGTCCTATCCTCAAGCCCGTTCTTCACAATACGTCAAGTGTGACTGCTAAGAGACTACCTGCACACGAGATGTCAAAATCTTGAACATCAGGTCTACAAAGCAAGGTGCTTAGTCAATCGGACGAGATTACTCTAGTGTCACCAAGCATCTATCATATTGGCGTACAGACCCTGCCGATACACTTCTGTTGTGGAGAGGTCATGGCAAAACTGAACCATTCAATGATCTGGCAGGAGGAGGAGTAGCTCCTAAGTGAACGCTGGATAGTCCTTCGTGTTGGATTGAGATATGCTCGAAATACCTGCTGGCGCATACGAAAGTGCTGGAGATGCAATATGATGGCTAGAAATTTGGTATGATAATATCTTGTAGTCGCTCACTCGTATTGAGATATTCTTGTAAGCACCTATATGGGGCCACTGTAGAGGTTAGGTAAGTAGATATAGTATGGGACGAACTTGGGCATCATCCTTTTATATAGTGGTGTCTAAGATTAAGCCTATCGTCAGTCACAGAGTGAGATTCTCCCGCCCCGGCTATTAGTTCTAGAGATTGTGTTGAACAGAACCGACGGAACAGACCGTATGTCTGGAGTACAACTTGTGATCGTCAGTCAGATATTGTGTCAATGGCAGCCACAAGTGGTCGTAGTAAATAGTTTGAGTTTGCCTACCACACAAAGCGCTCGAGCTATCTTTTCTGCCTCCGTTGAGCATACACGTAAAGTGAAAATACGAGTTGCGATACGTGGTATCCTTAAAAAGGACTTCGGAAGAGACCAGCCTACTGCTATGGAACACCGGAAATCGCGTTAAGCATTTTTCAAGCTAAAGTGTGCACTCTAGTTTCTCAATTGGGGGATGGATTTAGCTGGGATTACTTCTTAGGGAAGGTAGAGTATTCGTCAAGAGTAATCATATCATGTGATTTTCGTGTTGCGATTGACGCGTGCTTTCTCCATAACTTTATCGTCCGCCGCAGTTAAAGTCTTGCTGCATACCACGAGTCGTGATTGGCCTCAAGGATCTCGTAGACATGCAGGCAAAGGCAGACCGAATGACTTGACCTTTAAGATGGCGCCGCTCACTGCTGGTCAGAAGCGCAAAGTTGATTATAATGCTTCAGGCACGCAAGCCCAAGCTCGCAAGCGTCAAAAAGGTAAAGATGCAAGAGCTGTCACTACACAGACAGCCGACGCTGCGCTGTCGAGGGCAGGGGAGCTCAATATTGCCTCGTTCATCAAATCCAGGGATTTCGAGATAGCTGCTCTTGAACAGAGTATAAAGAAGTCAAAGAAAAGTCTTACCCAAAGAGCTTTCCAACAACTTCCAAGGCATATGCGAAGGAGAACTGCCAGCCACAATGTCAAGAAAATACCTAGACGACTGCGTGGCCGCGCTTCGAGAGAGGTATGCTTGTTATTTTACATTTACCTGTGGTGCTGACAAGCTGACAGGTCGAATAGATGAAGGAAGACAATACTCCCATCGGAAGTGCAAGACGACGAAAAGCTTCTGCCAAACTTCGACTGCGGCTCGAAACAGCGAAAAAACTGCAAAAGCTCAATTTGAACAGAAAGAGTGCGCGCGAGAAGAAGAGAGAAGCTCAACAGAATGCAAAGGAGCCTGATCCTGAGAAGCATATATCGTTGAGTCGCGTTCCATGGATCAGAAAGAGTGTTTTGGCAGGACCGCCTCAAGCAACCTCTAAGTTCAAGAGACGTCAGGTGCACAAGACCTGGCTGCCGACCCACCTATGGCACACTAAGCGAGCGCATATGACTCGACCGACCTCTCCGTTGTGGCGTATGGCAGTACCTTTGAGGCCCACCGAAAAGACTTATCGACCTACACATCGCGCTGCGGGCTCACGAGGCTGCGTTGCGTGGGACACATCATATACATCTACTGTCGGATGTCTCGGCACCGAGGCAGCTCTGGAGAGCATGTTGAAGGCTTTGAGTTTTCCTGGCGAAGGTTGGGTGGGCGCCAGATATCGCAGATGGAAGGCAGGGACGAGATTTGCCGAGGGATGGGTGAAAGAGAGGGACAACGAGCAAAAAGTCGTCGCGCCGATACTAGTCATTTGGCAGGCAAAGCCCACGCCTACAGAGGAGCCAGATAATGCAACAGAGATGGACACTGATCAACCACCACTGGCAAACGATGCGAGAAACCCTCGCAGGAAGGTCAAGCTTGATACCAAGATTCTTGTTCGCGTTCATCCTTCGGCCTTCTATCAATTCTGGCAAGAATTGCTTAAGGTAGCAAAGATGCAGAAGCCTCAGGTTCTAGTAGAAGACCTTCGCTTTGAGATTGGCAGCATCACGGTTAGTGGACCTGAATCAACTGAAGCATTGACGAGTACTCTCAGCATTGTACAGGATCAAATTCATATGCACAACCTCTGGAACATGTTACCGTCTCTAAGAAATCCTGCTTCGCTACCTCAGAATGCTATGCTAGCTTTGGATGTAATTGATCCACGCTGCAATTTCCCTCCCAAACAATTTCAGACCTCCAAAAACGAGAGCAATCTTCAAATGCTCAATGAGGCTATTGTCGCCTGGCCTCCTGACACCAGGTTCCCACCATCGAGACTCTTTGATCACAAAGAGCGCTATCGGACGTGCATGTCTTTGCCCTCTCAGAGAGCGATCAACCGTCAGAAGAGAGCAGTTGTGCCTGGCGAAGGCAATAATGTTCAGGAAAAGGGACCTAAAATTCCAGTGTTACTGCTAGCACATCGGTCAGCAAATCGTGATAGCAGCTTTCAGGGCTCGTGGTCAGTCCTGTTACCTTGGAGCTGTGTTGATCTCGTTTGGCGCTCTTTGATGTACTGCCCGCTATCTTCAGGAAGCACACCAACTTTCGGTGGTTTGGAACAAAGTCGACAAGTGGCGTTCGAGCACGCCGTATCCTGGTATCCAGGCGATTACCCTGGACTAGAGGCTGGCAAAGCATGGGGGCGTACTGAGTCCGAGGACGCGTTTGACTCTTGGATCCGGCGGCCACCTAGCAAAAGATTCGCCTGGGATACCTTGGATCTTGGTCTTGGCAGGAAAGGCGAAGTTGGTCGTGGTTGGGCATGTGATTGGGAGTATCTTTTTAGAGACACCTTGTCCGTACATGCTTCTGTCGAGCTCAAGGATGCGGACGATCGCAACAACAATACAACATACCGCCAGATGCAACTGCTAACACAAAGACAACGAAAAGCAGCCGCGGCCAGAGCCGAGAAGGACGAGGAAGAGGGAGCGAGGCGAAGAAATACTTCAAGCCCAGAGTCATTAGATGACACAGAGCAGTTGCACAGCGATGTGAGATATCACCACCTTGAGCCAAGCCAGGCAGCCACCTTGCTGAATCGCTTCGGAAAGCTGGAAGCGCCGAAGACTTATGCGTTAACCACTGTGAGAATTCGGTTATTGACACGAGGCACACCAAGGCCTGCCGCAAGAATATATCGTCTCCCTCTCTGCGATGACGGTACCGAGACAGATCAACAGAGAAGCTCTACTTCTACAACCTTGCCGCAAGACCATGATCGTGCCGCAAGCTCTGCTGAGATGCCAGCCGGCCCACTTCTGTTTCCGACCACGTCTATGCGACAAAGCGATGGTGTCTCATCTACAACACTCCGCACACGCTGGCTAGCACTCGATCTAAACCAACCACATGCTAACCTGCACTCCTCCACGAATCTCCCTGCTTTCCAACGTAAAGAGCGACGAAATCATCACGACGATCCAGCCTCTCATAAGCTCTACGACCCCAAGAAGACCAGAGATCTCTCACACATTCGTGTCTTTCCACCCCATGAGACGAAACCTGAAGTTCTCGACATGTTTGGTCCTCGTCCACCCAAGAAGACGTCTGAAGAATTGTTGAAGATTATACAACCGCAGCTTGTGCCGAAGATGAACATCGACAAATATGGAGATTTAGTTGAAGAAGATCTATGGGACAAGCACGTTCCGTGCCCGCAGCCAGGTGATTTGGTTGGATATGTGACGACCGGTGGTTATTCGTTGAGTGAGGGTGGCGGAATGGCGATTGGAAGTGTCTGGGTACAGAGGATCATCGAGGGCTGGAAGAAGGAGGAGAAGCAGTCATCTAAGAACGCCGACGCCTCAAATCAGGATGATCTCCGAGCGAACGGTCAGGTCGACAAAAGTCAGTCGTTATCGCAAGTCAGAAGAGAGGGCAATAAAAAGGTAGCCAGGCAAGATGCACAGAAAGTCAAATACGAAAAGCAGAGACAGAAACAGGTCGAGAGAGAGCGGCATTTGTGCATCGTCAGGAACGCTGGCGAGAGTGTTGGAAGGCTTGCTATCTGGGAGCTATGCTAAGCGGGCAGGCTGGTAATAGGATGTAGTTCGTCGACTGACGAAGTACTCGACAGTATAAAGCAGCCAGGCTCTTCCGCTAAATGTTATCTTCATTCAACTGTCGTTCTTCTACGAGAGCGAAGACAGACTCAAGTACTCATGGCGAGTAATGCAGAAACACGGCTCATTACAACCGAGCAAGCAGGTAGGGTTCAGATACGCTGAATCTCCTGTTAATTCAAGTTACGTTCTAGTCATTTAGTGCTGTTAGAAATTGGTGTTCTCGAACGTTCTCGTCTCAGGGTCAACTTGATGCTGTAGCCTCGTCTCAAGCTTCATCTTCTAGAACTGATCGTCCCATCCATCTATTGACAGGCATCATCCGCTTGTTCCACTTCCCCCTGGCGAAAAAGCACCATCAACCAGCGTGCTCGTATCGATCTCTCTTAGCTTCATGCTAGACTCGCCCCACGAAAGTTAGTTGCTGCTACGAGTAACAGAATCAAATCAAAATGCAAACCCCCGGTAAGGGGTAACACAACACTGTAGTGTAAGTTCAACTAACAAACACCACGCCTCAGCCACCAGAGTTCGTTTGGCTGCGCCAAGCGTGTATAGCTCATTCTGACTGGATGAAAACCTTGTCTTCTCTTGCATTAGCCCTGCATGAACTCAAGGTCAGGTGTTCTGGAAAGCGTGGGTGTTCATTATTGTACGAGTATGGTATAGTCTGTGTGCGGGAGGTCTAATGATACTGGCCAGATTGTGAGTTTTACGAATGCGGTCCAGTAGTGTGCTACATGTTACCGAGTAAAAACAAATGTTGCTACCCAATGCTGTACAAGGGTTCAAAGTGGTTAGATCCGTGGGCTCTCCTGGTAAAATGTGAAGCGAGGCCGCCAAAGACTCGAGTCAAAGTGCAGACTCGGCTCGTCAGACCTTTCTTGTCAAGGTTGCTGTCCCGTTGCGATCCAGTCGTTGTTCGCATCGCATGGATACGACTGGAGCGATGCATTACCAGCTTCAGGGATATCGAATAGAACCTTGTCTTCGTTGGATCCAATGATCGAGTTGCGCGACCACGAAAGATCCACCACACCATCCACAGTGACCGGATAGAGATCTTCCAGTATGCATTCGGTAAAGATCGTAGTCGAGCGGTGTACGGTGACAATATCCTTTCCTAGAAGTGTAACGTCCATGTTGACTTGGTATGACAAGAATGCAAACACTCGTCGAACTCACCATTGTTGACACTGATCCTCTGGATCCTCGGAGAGTGGCGGCATTGATCTATTGAAAGGGGAGGCTGATCGAGTACGTAAATGTGGTACTGCCACATGGCTTTGGCTGATTCTTTTTGGACCTTCTATGTGGATCAATTTTCGGCTACCTGGCGCGAACCGCTACGGCATGTCGGTACCAGAACTGACCGCTCAAAATTGTGAAAGCGCGAGCTCAGCTGAACTGTATCGTCGTAGTGTATCGATACTCGAACTCTAAGCAGGGACAAATTGATCAAGAATTTCTTGGTGGCTTTTCTATACTGCCGGTTCGTATGGTTAAAAGTCCGCTTCAGGGCAATGCCTGGTTGTGGAAACTTAGGTGGAGGATGCAAAGCCTGTACCCAAAGTTTAGCATTGTCGATCTCAGATGCACGCAAGAGACATTTAATGGAGCTGCACGATTAGAATCTCGGGGGGTTCATAGCGATGATTTCCACTGACAGGGTGGAGATCTTGCAACAGAAGGGTGGTAGCTACCTAGCCTGTACGGCTCTTCTCGATATGATCTCGACCCATGATATACGAGGGACAGTTTTCCGGTGCAAGGAAGACGATGATCGAGCAACCTTTCATGGAACATTAGAACAGTACTCGTAGATATTTCACGTCATCGTTACTGCCATATGTGCTGGGAGAACCGTCATCCTGGTTGTAAACGAGTGAGTCTGGCTCGGGGAACATCTCTATAGCCATCAGAGATCTGCCGCTATGTTCTTGCTGCCATTTGCTCGACACACAGTCATCGTGAGCGTTTGCATTTGTTGATAGTCGGTGCTCTCTGGAGAACAGAGTTTAGTAGTGCATTTAGTTGCATTCTCAACATCTGAAGCCAAGACATTGTGAGGAAACTACAGCACGTTCTGATCTTCTTTGCTCTTGCCTTTTCGGGACGAAGCGAGCAGGAAGTTCAAGTGCTCAGCACGAGTGTGGTTACTTACAGGTACGTGTGGATTGTCTTTCACCAGGGTAGCATTCCGTCTTCTCAGTGAATGTAACACGATCCAGTATGTCACTCTCAGCTCATTCCGTCTGACTGGGTCTCGTGCTCGAAAGGTTTGCACGAACAGGTTCCACGAGCGCTTCTACGATAGTTGATGGTAAGATCCCGGGCAAGAAGAGTTGATTGGTTACCGAGATCTTTCATCACATCTCCGCTAGCTGGTTTGACATTCGTTATCACAACCGTTTGTTCTGCATGCAGTCTAGAAGACCACCAGCTGTCGTCATTGCGGTAAGTCGCAATAGCCGAGAAGAGAAAACTTTTGTCATCGCTGACTAGGCAAGGGACGGCTGACTCGTTCTTCAGCCATTGTGAAATGTGAGACAGCCTGTTGTGTCCTTGACCAATCGCGATACGAAGCTCCCTAGCTTCAGCATCCGATTTGCCTCACATGGAGTGTGCCTTCGTCATTCCTCGGCTTACTACATACATGAGACCACAAAATATTGATTGCACTACTAGGCAAGTGCAGTACTCGTGATCTTTACTGTAGCCGAACCACGGTCCATGGCATTGTCGTAGTTGAGCGTCACGAGACCATATTGCGGCACGTCCCAGTACCTTGAGCTCAAAGAATTGTGCATTGAGGCTTTCAGAGGCTGTAGGCTCTGCCTTGCGAAGAACTAAATGATAGTGAGACCTAACTCCTGCTTCAGCCACCACTGGACAAGCTGTCGGCTCATGAAGTGGATGCCATCACCAGGAGTCTGAGGCTGGAGCTATGTCCTTGACTAGAATACATGTTTTGCGAAATCAGTATAAAAAAACAAACAGCCACCCATGGTATGGTACGGGAAGAACAAACAGCCACCCAGATAACTCTTGTACCTAAGAAATGTACAACCCACAGAGGCAGAGGACCACCATCGTTCAGTATTATCTGTAGAGAACCGTCGTACGAAAAATTGATCAAACAGCCTGCCCATTGTGTCGCCCACGACGTGTAACACAGTTACCGCGTGGGGCTTGTCAAAAGAAGGTGATTCTGGGTTGCCCCAATTGTGTATGTCGTAAAATCGATCGTAAAAACAGGATTTTGTTTAAGTAGAAGGAAGCGATGGGATGAGAGACTATTTCTTGCCATCGAGCTTGTTGAGCATATCGTTGTCAAATCCCTTGCCGCGTTGGTCGTGACCTTGATAGCTATGACTTGGATTGCTGAGCATTTCATGAACTTTCATGTTGCTTCGGCCGTTCTGGGAAGAGCCGGCAGAACCAGGCATTGGGGGAGGGGTTTTGCCCTCCAGTGAAGCGGCATGAGGCGAGTTCAAACTATGAGCAGAGTTTGGTGTCAGTCCGGCAGGAGGTGAATTGTTGCCCTTGACAGGTTGGGGTCCGTTGCCATAGCTTGGTGGGTAAGACTGATAACTCATCGTCGAGCCTGCAGGGGATGTGGGACCTTGATGGTCATAGGGTCGCATGTCATATCCTGAATGACGAGGCTTTGTGCTTGGTCGAGGTGAAGTTGAGCCATTCTCTCGACTCTCATCGTCGGGAGGTCCACGTTTCAAACTGCCACGATCTGAACGATCACTCGAAGCTGTCTGTGGGGGTGGTGGGTGCTGAGAGCTCTGATCGTAGTGGGATGTTTGCATGACCGGAGGAGCACTGTGGCCATAGCCAGGCGCTGAAGGTCCATAACCTGGATATTGAACTGCTACGTAACCTTGAGGTGGAGGCGCTTGGTTATTTGAAGGAGGATGACTGTACTGAGGTTGTCCATTAGGCCCAGCAGGACCAAGAGGCTGACCGTGCGCTCCATACAGCATTGGTGGCTGATTGCCTTGTGGTGCTGGACCATCTTGCGCGGGAGGTCGTTGGCCGTTGGCAGCATAAAGCGCCGCAGCTGGGACGAAGGCGGCTTGCGAGGAGACGGGATGGAAGAGGCAGACCTGGTTGAACCGTACACAATTCTGGCAACGACCGTCTGGAGAGCTGTCATAACCAGAGCAGCGAATCTATGTCACACGTTAGTCTCCAATGACGATATGGCTCGCAGTACACACCTTTCTCTTTCTGCAGTACTTGCAAGCTATCGCGGTGCGTTGTCTAGGAGCATGAGGAGGCTGTTGGGGATAATGCTGCGCATAATATGGATATGGTACATGAGGAGGAGGGGGAAGTCTGTAAGGATCATGTGGTGCGGGACCATGGTTCGGCTGAGCAGGAGGTGGTGGATAGTGGTATTGAGGAGGCGGCTGGTTGGGGTCCTGTGTCAGTAAGTATTGAAGCAGGCTCTAGTAGGTTTGAAGAACGTACATAATGATGCGGTGGGGGTGGGTAAGGGTGTCCCTGAGGATGTCCTGCCCACTGCTGCGGAGGTGGATATGGTGCAGGAGGGTATTGTCCTTGCCTATGATCTGGTGGTGGTGGGTAGGCACTTCGATTGTCGTCCCTCGAACCATCTTGGCGAGGAGCAGGAGGGGAGTGTTGCTGCGCGTAAGCTGGATGATGGTAATCCTGAGGAGGTGGAGGATATGGCGGACGAGCATGGTCTGCCATCTGCGCCATTGTTGAGACGTCTGTCGCCTAAGTCTGTTCCAGATGGTCGCCGATATTTCTGAATAATGTGCTGGTTACACACGGCCAGGAACGAGCCGAACTCGCCGACGTGCAACGAAGAATCAACGGCGGATCGACAGGAAGAACCAAACCGAGGTCGTACAACTTCTGCTGCGAAAAAAGAAAATACAAAACACAGCCACGACGACCTCCGAACCAGCAAGGCCGTCAACCAGGATACAAAGAGTTGAAGTGAAAATCCAAAAGCGCGAGGAAAGACAGGTCCGTCGTTCAGGCCAAGAGGACGAACAGAAGTATAGACTGAACGTTGGACCAGCAGGAAAAGATGGTGCGCTACTTGTTGATGTCCCGATGCTGGCTGGAGCGCGCACAATATTCGGATATTTACGTTTCCATGCGGTAATGGTCGTGCAATGATAAAGTCCAGAGGTGGGCGCTGACTCCGGGTGAGAAGGCGTTCAGAGCAGATAAGGGTGAGACGACAGATGGTGACTGGCTATTGGGAGGTGGAAAGGTATGTAGGGTGTGGGAACAGAGGAATCGCATGGGTGAGGCAAGATGGACGTATGAGCAGTGATGAGGGAGCTGAACTTGACAAGACCTGACAGGACAGTATTGGTGATTGGTTAGTAACCCTAGAGCAAGGCCAAAGGTGGATCGGCAGAGTGCTGCAGCCGTCGTAAACTTAGCTGCGCACGTTAGACACTTTAGACTTGCCAAACTATCGCTTTGGTGCCGCTAGAGGCCGATTTCCAGGACGAACCAGTGTGGTATCCGTGAAGGATGCGAAGGGATGCTTGCCTGGGCTGGATCGGGCGTGGCGAGCCGGGCAAAAGCGTGCTGGGCAGACGGAGTAGCTTGGTGCAAGTCAAGTCAGCGAGTGTTGCAGTGGTCTGTGGATGGGTCCTCTGAAAAGGCGTGGAGTGTATTTTCAACTTCGACGTGTCCGAGCCTAACGCACCGATAGCGTGGGACGCAGTGCTCCAAGCGCAGCATACCAATACGCCGGGTTCTCGCTACTCTGCTAAAAAGCGCTCAACGTCTACAGCATATTCACGATTGCAAATATCGTGCTTGTCAACCACTATCCACAGCAAGAATGAATGACATTTCGTCAATGGTCTCGAAGCGTGGAGCTCCAGTGTTGCGTGCTGTACCAACGATCTAAGATGGAGGGTTGGAGAACATCCTTTTTCCATCACCAGGGATATTTAGCTTGTGCATTTCAGCTAAAACATGTGGTGCACCAAGTACCTTGCCTGAAGTAAAGACGCACTTAGTTATCCATCGCTTCCGTATCACCACCTGACACATGATGATACAGAATTTCGTTCCGTGCGCTACGAGAAGCGCCACAATGCGCCCTGCCGCGGCACCGTACTAGTCAAAACAGGAGTATCAAACCATCGTTAATGATATTCGAAAGCTGCGGAAACTTTTCTATGTTGACTCATCAATTCTGTTATGTTCAGCTTGCAAGCTGCTGTCAGAACATACTTGCCACGATACGCAGCCCACAATGAAATGATGGGTGAAAAAGGTGTTGGTCTTCGTGATGACAAGGGGTTCCTAGTTTTTGAATTGACCACAATTTCCGTCCCACAAAGAGGGGCATTGAATCCTCAGATGTGGATATTTCCACATGCAAAACCAGTGGCAACCCCAACTTGACTCCTGCAAGTCATGGGCTCTGCAAGCTAAGGAGTGCCGAACCTTAGTAAAGATCACGGTGCTCGTATGGCTGACGCGGCTCGGTGGTATCCAATGGTTGTAACTTTTGCATACTTCTCGTGCATTGCTTAAGTCGTACCAGTATCACACGAAGAAGTAAGATGCGGCACCTAGCTGAACCAAGCGAGATTTACGTCTTCTTCGAACTTGCTTACTCGAGTATCAGCAGAAACGGCACTATCCGTATAAATTCGCTTTGTAGTAAGCAAGGTTCGGCCGACTTCTTTTCCTCCAAATCGGTCCACGAACGTGATGATCAGTACTACATTACCCGAGTTTGTGAAAAAGACATTCAGTAGTCTGGCTTCAGGAGACAGTTCATCGTCAATACACTAAGGTCACGAAGCTCAACGAACAAAAGAATGCTCGCTGAATAGGTCAAATCGTATTTCCGGTTGGAGGGAGAAAAAGTGATTCGTGCTGACGTGAAATGACGATCTGCCGGGGTTGGACAGCCAGGGAAGACGCTTTAGCGCGCAGCAAGTTTTGTTGGCTTCCAACTCGTTTGTGCGCTAGGGATGGCTCGACTGCAGGAAACCGTTCCGAGCCATAGCAAACGTTGATCTGCATGCTTCTGCTGATGAATTACATCCTCGTAACAAAATCTCCTCGAGCGACTTAGTGCCTGTTGGATACGTTGAAAAGGCCTGCTATTCGAGCCGTTCCTAGACGATGAAATGAGGAAGGAACTAAAATTTCAGCAAGCAGCTACGCCCGGCGTTGTAGTATTCGAGCAGGAGCGATTTGAGTCGACTATAGTGAGCTCAGATATCGTATGCTTGTTCAACGTTCCATCCTTGTACTGATCGCTAGGCAAATGTCACTCTTGCATGATTGTCCTTACGTTCCGCGCTACGTACCTTACTGAAGCAGTGGCGAGCCGCCGGACCTGCTCTCATTATGCGTCGCTTATCGTTTTTTCGTTCCGTCCATCGCGTAATGCTCGTCGAAGCACCTTCCTGAAGCAGACGAGTAACAGAATAATATCTGCTGATCGCTCCTATCATCCAAAAACATTTCCGGTGTATCGGAATATATCCAGGTTGCAGGTTGCAGGTTGCAGGTTGCGCCCACGAGATCGCCAAGAATATCGATCAAGCGGGCCTACCCGTTATGTTCCGTGCCGTTGTCTACACCACTTGATAGAAAGCAGGAGCATGCTAAGCGTAGCTACTGTACTGTCGGAAACAATCCAAACGCAGTCGCTTAGCCGGTCATGTTCTTGACTTGTCGAAACACAAGAATAAGCGGTGTGACAAGATGGCAATCGCTAGTAATGCAAGCCCATGGAGCCGGGCTGCATAGGTGCGGCACCGCAGGAGCAGGTGACCTTATCATATGTGTGGCTGCAAGCTATTGGTGGCCCAGTAATCCTATTTCACGATCCTGCAACAAATATTGATGTAACACTCTTTGAGTCCAGCTGAATCGACAAAGCAGAAGATCATCCTGAAGTGAAATCACGACTCGGACACGAGCAAATCGTTGGTGCATGCTTCGTGGTGCCGCCAGCTTGCAATGTGCCGCGTCATGTCGGGACAAGATAGTCCTGGACGTCAGGTTTTGCAAGAAGAAGCTATTTGATCAGATCGAGCTGCCTGATGATGCAAAACAGCCGTGGAGGATATGTGTTGGCTCAGAGCTACGCAAACGATTGCCTGATATACCACTAGACATGCTCTTAGCAACACACAAAGTTTGGTCTGCTTCGCGATGTCTCTGCAGTCACAATTCGGTCGTCCGTCGCTTGACCACAGCATAATGAATCACCGTCGCTTGTGCGGCAGGTCCACAGGTGAGCTTGAATGCCGCCAAGGCTAACAGCATGACGCCTAAGATAGCGCCCGCGTCACCTGATGCAGCTCCGATGCACGGCGTGTGCCGTCCTCGGCCTCAGGTCAGTCAACACCAACGGTTTTCTAGCACCATCTTTGTGGTGAATCGCGAAGAATCCCACCATACACACACGACCAACTCCGACGACGATCGAGTGTTGTACGTGTCAGGACGCTGGGTTTCTAGTAATTCATTGCTGCTCTTACACAAATAATCAAAGCTTCAGTCTTCGTCTTCCGTGGGGCTGGTATTTGAGGAAGACGAGGAAGAGTCATCATCTGTATCGGCTGCTTCGTCGGGCATCACAATGCTGTTGAGGTAAGCCACCTGTCAGATTGAATCAGTCAAAAGCGCGTTACAACTTTGTCTGGCCACATACGAATGGTTGCATGACTCTAATGAGTTCAAGTATGCGCCCCAAGCCTCCAGAACTAAGAATATCATCATCTGAAATATTCTGTCCAACGGTGAAATTCTTTAGTCGCAAAAGTTCGATATTGGGATGGTCCACATCGTAACCCTAAGAAGTTATTACTCCAGTCTGATCTTCTTGGGGGAAAACGTACCTTGGGCTTGGTCTTTAGTGCATTCTCCTCATTCTGCTTGCAAAAAGCCTGCGTGGCCTTTTTGACATCCTTGCCTACGCCACCAAAGATGTGTTTCCGCATACCTGCATCCATGAGCACGTTGCGAATTTGATCAGGATTGGAATTGATATCCGCTCGCAGCAAAGCCAGTGGTGCCGCTTCTGGATGCCACAACCCAGAACCAACGAAACATCTTCCGCCAGGTTGAATTTGAACATAGTAACATGCGTATGGACCCTTGCGACCAGTTCGGGAGAATGCTGCTGAGAAGTGCGGTTTATACGGTGTAGGGTCTGATGAGAAACGCACGTCACGATATATTCTGAATACCAAGTCCTTCGGAGGTAATTCAGGTACAGTTTCGTCGATTTCTGCGATTTTCTGGGTGAGGACTTCCACGAAACTCTCAAAGTCTTTCCAGGATGCTCTAAAATCAGCATCATGAGCTTTCAGCCAAATTCTATCGTTGTTTCTCTTCAGATCTTTGAGAAATTCCAAAGTGTGAGGATGTATTCTTTCAGGCACATACGCAATACCGCCGTCTCCTCGTGCTTTCGGTCTCTCAATAAAGACTTGTTTGCCAGGGCCGAGTCCAGTCTTGACGCCTTCTCGCCACAGGTCGGTTTTTTCATACACCGTTGCCTTACTCGTACTACCAGACGGCCTCCCTTTTTTGGACCGCCGTGCCTTTGTGTGGTCTATATCAGAGTCGTCGCTGGCTTCCGATACTTCAGACTCGGACGCGTCAGACTCTTTGACATCTTGATCATCGTATCCCGAATCGGAAGCACCTGCGTCCTCACTGTCCTCGTCGTTCCCAGAACCGCTGAAGTATTTGCTTTTTGTAGAGGACGTGACCTTAGTTCTCTTTGAGGATCGCGTGGCTGGTGTTGAAGTATCGTGCTGCGGAGTGGTTGCAGCGACTGCTCGCTCCGACTTCGAGGTAGGCCTGGCAGCTGTAGGCGCAGACTTTCTCTTTGGCATGTTCACCTGCCCTAAATCTGTGAGTGTAGTGCAAAAGCCCAATGGCTACTTGGAGCGCTATAGCGATCTGCGAACAAAACTGCAAGACTGCATCCTCTTTCAAAGGGCTTTTGCGAAAAGGTATACTCGGGTAGATACGACATGAACAGCGGCCTGGCAAGCTCCGCATAGGGTAGCTAGAGCTCAATCCATAAGGGCCATATTCAGAAAGTGGCAAGACGCGTCAGACGAGTTCTCGACGCGTTAAGAGGTCGATACTGGTTGATTATTGTCATTCACGTCTCGAGCATTTCTTATCTGATTTCATAGCACAACCCTGTCTTTCTTGAGCACATAGAAATCCTCGCTTCAACAAGAATTCTCTCGAAAACTTTCCGAGATTTTTGACACCAAATGCTTGAGCGAAGGCAGCTTTCGGCGAGTTACTGAAATGCCTCCGCACGTCGAAGTTTCCACGTCAATGAAGCTACGTATGTATATCTATGTATATATAGTAGTGTGCTATGTGTGTAGGTAAAAAATTTGCCTAAATTTCGCAAAAGACATTGAGGCCTAGACGTGAACACCACGAAATTTCGAACCAGCTTCCGAAGCTAAGTCCTATCATGGCGGAAGCACATCACCATCATCACCATCAACATGATGAGGCTAACAACCTGTCTCACGACCAGCGGAACTTGGCACATTGGGAGTATGTGATGGCCTTGATATTTTGACCTCTATTAATCACGAACTCTAGCAAAGTAGCCAAAACCTATAATTCGGATCACACGCAAAAAGCTTTCGGAGACCTCATCAATAAAGCGACGGAATTTGTCTTGGCCAATATATCTTCCATTGGGATCGATTTCATTGAGCTGTCGTCAACTTTTGAAGGTTCAGATATCAATAAAGCTCGGAAGACTGTCAAAGTCTTGGATTATGCCTGCGGGCCAGGCACAATCACAGCCATCTTGGCCGGGCGGGCAACCGAATTCATCGGGATTGACCTCAGTCCTAATATGGTCAATGAGTATAATGAGCGCTTCGCTGCTCAGGTTGATGGTGAAAAGCTGATTGCCCATGCATACAATGCCAACCTCTTTGATCCAGCAGGCGTATCCGAATTCATGAATGATGCCAAATTCTTTGACTTTGACTTAGTAGCAGTTGGGTTTGGCTTCCACCATTTTGAGAACTTGCCAATGGTCACTCAGAGACTTGTCGATAGACTCAAGGCGGCTGGTGTGTTAATGATCCTGGATTTCTTCAGCCATCAGAAGAACGACCTAGGGCAGGACCCAGCCAACAATACCATTGCGCACAACGGATTTACTGAGGAACAGATCAAGGGGTTGTTCCTCCAGGCTGGGCTTGTGGATGCCAAGGTCTTCGATTTTGGGCAGGATGTCCTGCTTAAGGGACATGCCGTGAGACGGCCCTTTATGGCAAGAGGGAGGAAGCCTGCTTGATCTTTAGATTCCGTATTGTGGTAAAAGTCCTTCCTCAAGCATGCTCTCTTGCTTCTTTTCTGTCTCAGGCGATGTTTGTGCCCTCATGTTCTGATCTTGCTTCTCCGCTCTCCGCTGCAAACCCTCCTGCCTCTTGCGCTCCCTTCTCGTATCTGCATCCTCCCACTGAGTGTTTGCTTCTGACTCAGTCTTCAGCTTCACCAACTCTCTTATCAATCTTTCCTTCCTTTCGTTGTTCCACACGAACCGTTCGTTGATCACGCCCGTGCACATCCGCAAGTAGTGTTCGTCAACACAGCTCTTATCCACTTGCAACAGCACATCATAGTCCTCTTGCTCCTCCACACACCCAACCACTGTATCGAACCCTAGCCCAGCAGTCCGAATAGCAAGCATGACCCCAGCCTCTTCATCGTCCAGCGCTTTGAGGCTCTGCACACCGCTTTCCCGAAAGCCAGCATTGATAGCCGCTGCGAGCAGAACTTTGGCACCTTGCAGGTTCGCGCACAGAATGTGTAGAATCAGCGGAGAGAAGCTCAACTTGATCAAGCGAAGATCTGGGCGATAGCTAAGATTTGAAGTCGTTGGTCCTGACGATGGAGTCGATTTTGGCTCCAGTTGAAACAGATCGTGAAGAGCAGTCGGCGACGTAGACGAGACTTCTTCCACTGGTACAGGACTGTGCGAGACGTACAACCACTTGTTGCCATGACCCTTCCCACCAGGTCCACCACCAACACTCGTTGCGTTCGAGCTTACATCTCTGCCTGTCTCTTGCTGTGCATCTGAAGCGCCATCAACCACACCTGACTTGTCCTCTCGTAAAGCTTTCCTGCCCTCCACGAAAACAACAACTCGACCTGCACAACTGCTTGTGGTTACATAGCCCTCGAACTCGTTGATCTTGGCAATAAGTTCCAAAATCTCCGCGTCAACGCTTCCCTTTGGTGACTTGTCCGTGTAGTCATTGTCTGGCCTTTCTAATTCGGCAAGAATTGTGGCTTTCTTGCGACGGAAGCTGGATGGAATATGTGCAGAACGTGTCCCTATCCTGTGATTGGACTTGGGCATTTTAATATACTGAAGTAAGTCGGGGTTTAGGAGAGATCGGTTCCACGCCTGGGAGACAGCATGCTGGTTTGTTCTCTTCGCGGAACAGAATTTTTGCAATAGAAAGCCCTAAGTTTCAGAACCCTTTGATCGCTCCATCAGAGTGCTGACACTATATGGTATTGAAATTTAAACAAACATAGTGGTCTACTTGCTGCTTGGGGCCCGATACGATAACGGCGATCAATGATAAATTTGCTACGAGAGACAGGAAGGCAAGAAGCAAGATATGAGTAGTGTCAAGGCATCTATTCGACGTCGAGTAGATCAACACTATTCGCTAAGTATATCCTTGTGCATTGTTGAATACACCCATGATACCAATATCGTATGGGAAAGGCCATATTCTCATCAAACTCATCTCGTCATACATTGCTGGAGAAAGACAGCATTGAGACTCGTATATCACGCCTATTAAGTGGCGATGCTTGTGCAATAGCTTTTGACCTTCTTCTCTAGTCCGCCCAACGCCAGTCGATGTTAAGATCGACATAAGCCGTACTGCATAGTGGTATCATGTTGAAAATCAGTCGCACCCAACGCCTCGCACACGACGAATAACCTCAACAGGTAGAATCAAGAAGTGGGGCGCACTCAGGAGTACTGCGATCTGTAAAACTTGGCTGCATTGACCATGTTGGTCAGTGCCGCCTTGGTCTCCTTCCACTGTCGAGTCTTCAAACCACAGTCAGGATCGATCCACAGCTGTTCGGGCTTGAGATACTGCAGCATCTCCTTGATGCGGTCTTTGATTTCCTGCTCGGAAGGCACACGGGGAGAGTGGATGTCGTAAACGCCAGGACCGATGTGTCGGGGATAGGCCTCGTCTTCGAAAACCTTCAGGAGCTTAGCATCGGACTTGCTGTTCTCAATGGACAGGACATCGGCATCGAGAGCAGCAATGGCGTAGAAGAAGTCCTGGAACTCAGAGTAGCAGAAGTGAGAGTGAATCTGAGTGCCGTCTTGCACACCAGAAGTGGCGAGGCGGAAAGAGTCGACAGCCCACTTGAGGTAGTCTGTTCGCTCCTTGCCAGATCGCAGTGGGAGACCCTCTCTCAGGGCAGGCTCGTCAACCTGGATGACGTAAACGCCAGCAGACTCAAGGTCAACGACCTCGTCTCGCAGGGCGAGAGCCAGTTGCTGAGCCTGAACGGACTGGTGAACGTCATCTCGAGGGAAGGACCATCTCAAGCATGTGATTGGACCTGTGAGCATACCCTTCATTGGCTTCTTGGTGATAGACGCAGCATACTTGGACTCCTTGACAGTCATGGCAGCAGGTCGAGAAATGTCACCAACAACGATGGGTGGTCGAACACAACGAGAGCCATATGACTGGACCCATCCGTTCTGTGTGAAAGAGTATCCCTTCAGGCGTTCACCGAAGTACTGCACCATGTCGTTTCGTTCTGGCTCACCGTGGACGAGGACATCTAGATCAAGCTCCTCCTGGATCTTGACGACATCCTGAATCTCCTTCTCGATGAACTTCTCGTATTCCTCAGCAGTAATTTCACCCTTGGTGAACTTGTTACGCTGGATTCGGATGTCCTTGGTTTGTGGGAACGAACCGATGGTGGTTGTTGGGAACAATGGAAGTTTCAATGTCTTTCCTTGTTCAGCGAGACGAGTTGGGAATGGAGATTTTCTGTTGTGCATCTCAGAAGTGACTTGTTGTTGTCTTTCCTTCACAGCCTGGTCGTTGGTTTGCTTGCTGGAAGCACGAGCTTGCATAGATTGAGCATTGGCCTCGAGCTGCTCTCGGACAGCTGCTGGACCCTCATTGACAGCTTTCGCAATGATAGCGATTTCGGTGGCCTTCTGCACAGCGAAGCTGAACCAGTTAACGACCTCAGCGTCTAGCTTCTTCTCTGAGTCCAAAGAGTGTGGAGTGTGCAGAAGGGAGCTGGAGCTAGAGACGATGACTCGATCCTTGCCCAGCTTCTGAACTGCGGTCTCCACGAGCTCAATAGCCTTCTTGAAGTTTGTCTTCCAGATGTTTCGACCATCTACGACACCAGCAGAGAGAACTTGTTGTGGGCCAAGTGCTCCAATAACTTCGCTGATTTGCTCCGGGTTACGCACCAGATCGACGTGAATAGCATAGAGGTTCTCAAGGTTCTTCAAGACATCAATGTTGTGAACAATATCACCGAAGTACGTGGCAACGACAAGTTTGGGTGCGGCATCGCCTAGAGAGCCAAGCTTCTCGTAAGCAGGCTTGAAGGCATTCTTTACCTTGTCCTGAAGGTCAAAGACGAGCACTGGCTCATCAATCTGCACGGTCTCAGCACCGGCAGCTTTCAACTGCTTAAGCAAATCCTCGTACAGAGGGAGGAGTTTCTCCAAGGCAGAGATGGGCTCAATAGTCTGGCCACGGTCTGCCTTGCCAAGTGCAAGGAAAGATACAGGTCCAAGTAGTACTGGTCTTGTTGTGATACCCGCCTCTTTTGCTTCCTTAAAGTCTTGTACAGGCTTTGGGTTCTCGGCGAGCTTAAAGACTTGGTTGTCTTGCAGGGTTGGCTTGACGTAGTGGTAATTGGAGTCGAACCACTTCACCATCTCGAGAGAAGGGACATCGACACCTTGCTCTGGCTTCTGCAGACCTCGACCCATAGCAAAGTATTGATCAATAGGTGAGAGGTTGTTCTTAGTGTATCGCTCTGGGACAACACCAAAGAGCTGGATGTGATCCAAGACATGGTCGTAGTATGCAAAGTCGTTGCTAGGGATGATATCGATGCCGGCATCTTTTTGAATGTTCCAGTGTTCCAGTCTCAGTCTCTTTCCCTCCTTCAAGAGATCCTCTTGGGAGATTTTATCTGCCCAGTATGCTTCCGTGGCTTTTTTGAGCTCACGGTTTGCTCCCATGCGAGGGAAACCGAGAACCGATCTGCGAACATATTAGAGCATGTCCTCCAGCATTCTCAAAGGCTCTTAGTAACTTACGATTGAACCATTTTGACGTGTATAGATTTCTTTGAATAGTAGGCTGGTGAAGAGCAGAATGGTTGAGCAGGGATTTTTATTTGATAAATTTTGTCGCGGGGTCAGATCTGACACGACTCCACCAATCACCTCATTCTCACCTGCATTTGCGTTGTCACAATATCAAGTGAATCATTATGTCTCCGGGCATCTGGGATAAATGACTGCGTTTCTGGCTAAATGCTAGTTCAGAGTCGGCAAGGTCAAACAACCTCAGATACCTCAATGTCGCCGCTACAAATAGATTGATGACCCATCATCAGTGTATCGACGAAGCATTGTTGAAAGCAGCACTATCACAGCGGGACACTTCCTCGTCCGCAATATGCAGTCGTCCGAGAAGAAGGTTTATTTGGCTGTCGAACCCTCGTCTTGAAAATGGCAAGTCGTTGTCAGCAACGCCTTAGATGGACAAAAACTCGTCCAGTGCATACCGATCACCCCGATACAGGTAGGAACATGGTGCCATCCTTTGTCGAATAACACTGCTGCTATATCTGCATAAGAGTGATGTATCTCAGAGTAAGCCTGGAATGACAGCCTTCCTTCCTGCAAGGGCCCACTTACCAAACTTCTTCTCATACCACTCTACACCATTCCACGCTCTCGGAGACATCGTGACTAGCTCATTGACTAGAAACATCAACGCAGCACTCGTTCGCCAGCTCCAACCCAGTCCCCACGCTCCACCAAGGATCCAGTATCCTGTCCATTCCACCCACTCTAGCGAGTAATGTGGGAACATAACGTATGTGAATAGGCCTTTCGGTTCAGGAACGACATAGACCTTGTCATATGTTACTGTCGCCTTCCCTTCGCTCTTCGCTCTACGTCTTGCAGCTGCTCTACGAAGGTCAAAGAGACTCCATTCGGCTGCTATGTTACCCCCAAGTCCAGCAACGAACAGAATCATCCCAAGAATGGAAAGAGGAGAAGTAAGCCTGGCATCGACCTTGGTTGACGATAAAGAATTGATTCGGTCTTGTGCAGTGTAGCAAATCCAACCAGCTAACGAGCTCGAATTGACGTATTGAAAGACACACATCGAGATGAATACCACAAGGTGAATCGGCGACATTGAAGGAGCCATATACAGCGGTGTTACGCCTGCTCGGTTGATGTAGTGGAGTACGTATAGTAAACCCATAATTTCGTGAGTGATCGGAAGACCTGTGCCAAACAGGCCAGTCTTCGGGCTTATAGTGGTCATTGTCGAGGACAGTGGTGGAAGCTTGGCCGGCAAGCTATAAAATATGAAAATGAGATTTAAAGGTCCGATCATTTCTGCTACAGACCAAGCATAGCGACCTGGCAGATTAAAAGTCTTGGACGGTGAAGAGGTGCGCCCCATGGGAAGACGTTTGAGAAACCATAATACAATAGAGACCTATACGTGAACGTTAGCCGTCAGCATGAGCATGCATCAGAGCAGTCGAGTAGAGTCAACGATGATGTTCCACGTGTGCTCGTTCGAAGCTGGACCTACCGCTGGCAAACACCTGAAAACCTTCTGTAGCAGGCTATGTGCTTGAGGAGTTGGCGGGAAGAAATGAGACGGTGCAGGAAAGCTACTCAAATAGGAAGACATGTGGAAGCGTATTCTGTAACTCGACTAGTATGGGTAGGGACAACCTGGAAACAGTTGTGTGGATGTGCGTTGAATGGTACAAAGGTCTGATGAGTGAGCGCACGTTTTCCAACGAGCGAGTCCGCCGGGATCAAGGGCAGTAGAAGGGGTACGTGGACAGGAGCAGCGCCGTCTATTGCGGATAGGTGAACATTTTATATACTCGGATGATAGACGAAATGGTACATAAATTGCAACCTGGTCGAATGACGCGTACACTACTATTACGATTATAGCATGGTTGGTACAGCACTGAACACAGTGAGGAAATTCACAATCACGACATTGAACTATGTCTATAATATGAAGCTGCCCTGTACAATTCTATGTCCACCTGCGCCAGTACTGCTTTACCAAGATTGCTATGAAATGATCTCTTGTATGCCTCTTGATTCGTGCCTGTATAGAACGAGCTTTAACCAGGAGGCAAGGTACTTGCATCAACCAGATCACCCGCATCTCTCTCGAGCTCTTCGTTAGGCCCGTACAACGGCGATCTCGGCAATGCCATTAGACCTGTTCGAGCTGATTCCAGAATACCGAACGGTGCAATCAGCTTCATGAAGGAGTCAATACGCGATGGCTTTGCAGATCTATTTCGAGTATTCCTGTTAGTAACAATTCATTAAAGGTGATTAGTGATTACTTACACTTCCACGATGCAATTGTTAGTTGAGATGTCGAGTACTTTCCCGCCAAACTGATGCGTCAAATGCGTGATCGCCTCGAGATGTTCATGTTTATGTCTGAGCGCTTGCGACGCGGCAAGGCGATTCGGGTGATAGCTCTCAGCAGCGCCCAACATTTGGCGTGCCTTCTCAATCATGCCTTGGTCTTTCTGTTCTGTGTTGCCTGCCTCAAGCTCTTGTAATCTTTGCTCAGCACTTCTCTCTGGATCACGATCTGCATCAATATCTTCCATGGCTGAAGAAGAGTCGTTGGGTGTTGTCATCTCCCGATGGTGCTCCATAAGCTCTTCGTAGACCTCGGGACCTAATATGGAGACTTTCGCAAGGAGTAGCTCACGCTGAACAAGCGCAGCGTTGGTGTAATCGAGCACGGCCCAGACAGGGACCAAGTCTTCTAGTTGCCGTCTTGCTTGTTCAACGACTCCGTCAAGGCCTTGTAGGACAATTGTCATGCGGGAAAGATCCTCAACTTCAGTATTGCACACAACCAAGCTGTCAATGTTGAACCCTCTAGCGGCTAAGATACCAGATATGCGAGAAAGAACACCAGGCTCATTCTGCACCAGACAGTTCAAAATGTGTTTCTTGGCTGGAGCTGAAGAGGCTGCAGGTGTCTCATAGAGAATACTCGAAACTGCGGCCGCCGCACCGTACGAACCTGACGGACTCTCAACAACAGGCAGAGGTAGAGGAGATCGCCGATGAAGGGCTTTGTACGCAATTGCTGACGTCGAATTTGTGCTCTTTGCCCGTACATGTGCTGCGACTTGAGAAGCTGGTGGTGTAATTCGTGCTGCGCGCGGAACAATAGAGCTCAATAGAGCTACTGTTCGTCGTGTAGCCGCCATGCGGCAATAGTACACAGTATTTTCCTAGAATGTTGAAAGTACTTGCTTTGTGTTACTCCAGGCTCACTTGATTTATTGACAGAAGTATAGCACCGAAATTGTTTTTCAATTCCCCAGCTCGACCGGCACCGGGGTCGCTGCCTGAGGCACAAAACGCGGAGGTTCCATGGCTAGCCGGGTCCATGTCTTAAGTATTCGGTCTAACAGTTTCGACAATAAGCATGACTGCAACTCGACACATCAGACCCAGACTCAGACGAGTCTATAGCTGTTCCTCTTGCTGCAAGCTTGTAGCGAACCAGACACTACGACTGACCATAACAGATGCTGCTTGTATCGGGTCAGTGTTCAATGTTCTTGACTCGGAGCAGTAGCACTGTCGCAGATGACCCAACGGAAGTCTAGCACTATTTACTGGTGTCTACGACTGCTATACTGAGCCATTCACGACCATTTTGTCCTTAGTGATACCATGAACACAGGATCCTCCGGCTAAAGTCAAGCCCATACACGAATCCATTCCCAAAATCGTGTTGGCTGCGCCTCGACAGGGAGGAAATGTAAGTCACAGGCCCCGAAGAGTGCTTGCCCGGAGCAGCTATGTCAGCCACCAACTGAGCGGCTAATTTTGCGTTCTCCTACAAAGTCCTAATTACAGGATGACGTACGACAACACCAATGGCCTTCCTGAGAGCCATGCCAACCACCACATTCTGCAACACTGCTGGTTGATCTGTGCCCGAAATAAAGCATAGAGTCTTCGACACAAAACATGGCTGACGACGCTTCAGTTCAGTTGCTTGACATTGTCAGTGTTTTTGTCTGCGACGGCAGACAGTGCTTAAGACATTTGAGCTCTGCTAATATCATTCATCTGTTGTTTTTGTCACGTACGTTGTTGGCATTTACTGACTTTAGTTTGCACAAGCCTATTTGATTTTTGTTGACCTGATCCTCTTATTGTTACGTCTCGCCATCTTGTTCTTACTGTTGAAGAAAAAAGAACCTAATTCAATCACCTGTCTGGCCAGCAAAGAATTTACATCTGCACCCATAGCAGACACATCCGAACTAAGATGAGGCTCTCTGGAGTGCTCACTCTGACTTGCTGCATCGCGGCACTTATCTTGTCCTTCCTCTGCCTCTTCGCTGGCAGCAGGCGCTCCGTTCTGCAAAATGGCGACTTATTAACGCTCAATACGTCGCGCCTTGGCTACCTGGGCGAGTCCTTCAATACCTCAGACGGCGACGGTGGCCTCCTCGACAGCCTTCTCAACAACGCTCAGGGCGAGTTGAACGACCTGATCAATGACGCAACCACAGACATTGCCTCAGCCCTCAATATTTCAGACTACTATTCGGTACATCTCATGAATTACTGTGAAGGCATGTACGAGCCGAACGGGACAGTAGCAGCCGAGAATGGTACAGAAGTCGACAAGAACACAACCTACTGTTCCCCTCGCAATGCACTCTTCCACTTCAACGTCACGGACATCGTGGCATCGGTTCTACCTGATGAGATAGACCTTTCCGACCTCAACTGGCCCGATGCCATCACGGACGCACAAAACACGATCCGTACCGCCAGCATAGCGACCGTCGTTCTCTATATCATCGGCATCGTTTTCACCGGGCTAGCATTGTTCGGTGCACTCTTCAGCATCTTTACGGACGGTAGACTGAGTGCCTGTCTCAACATCCTACTCGATTTTATTGCCTTCCTTGCACTTACGACGGGGAGTGTCTTGGCAACGGTCGTGATTGTCAAGGCTGTCAACGCATTCAACAACTATGGCGAAGATATTGGCATCTCGGCCACGAAGGGCAAGGTGTTTCTCGGAATGACTTGGGCGGCCGCCGGACTCATGTTTGTCGCTACTGTTGTCTCAATCGTGCAGCTTGTTATTGGTCGGAAGAGCAGCGGTGGTTATATCAGTCACACGAGAGAAAAGGGATTCAGCAAGTAAGCTTGGGTGCAGATAATTGTAATTCAAGGGTATGGGGTGAAAAACGGATGCATTTGGAGAGGGTTGTTTATATCTTGATGCGACAAGCGAGCTCGTCTTTGCGTATTTTGGATGTAGGAAAATTGGGAATTGGACAGGATTCATCTTGAAATTTGATTGATACCCATTCGTGTGGCTCTTTAGCGTGGCTCGATGGTAATTCGAATGTTACTGCTTGGACTTGTGGTATTGCAAAAGCTATTACGCAACTAATAATGAATTACGCACATTCTTCTTTCTTTGCGATAGCACGTACGGCATAATGAGTGACAGTACTAGTTGAGCATCGGTCTGGACAGCTATAGTCGAACCATCTACGATAGCAATGTATTCTCGTTCCGACGCTCTCCGAAGTAGGCTGATAAGTAGATTTTTTTCCATATGGTATAGGTAGTGTGGCAGCGTATTCTTTGCTGCAACTCCCATCTCGCTAGTATATCGCTCCACAGCTCATCCTGCCTACCTGTGGCGAGGACAAAACAGACTCTTACTCAATAAAAACACGAAATCGTCAACCACGGCACTCTTCCTAGCACTCGTTTTCCGTAGAGCTCGATATTGATTTTCTAGCTCAAGGTATGTCCCACCACTCTTGCCCAGCAGGAGGATCTCAATTCTTGATGTCACTACCTTCCACCTATTCTGTTCCACAACTCAGCACCAGTCAGTTGGCCTTGATATCGACGTTTCATGGCGTCAGCATTGTGCGTGGCTATTGGAATGCTTTGAGCTCTGGACTTCTGGTTGAGCAAGCTAGTGCTCGTGTTGACACCTTCCGAAGCGACCCGATCAGCAGCAACAGACTCTCGTCGGAAGCTGCCAATCGGTCCGAAATTCTGTCTGCCAGGGTCGGTTTCGAAAGATGTGCTTCGGCTGATAATTCCTGCACCCAGGTTCGGCAGAGTCTGCGTTCGTGTTCGCTGTAGAGTTGTCGAAAGAAATGGATCGTCATCTGGAGACAAGGTCGTGATAGATTCTGTAAGTTCCTCCATTCGATCATACGATGTTGCCTCAGCATCTCCGGACTCGTTGCTGGGTTGGCTCAAATGTCTGTGGTCAACCACGATCGAGAGCTTTCGAGAGAAATCCGAGATCTGCGGAGAGAAGTCGACATTCGGCGCGTCGCTCCGAGGTCGAATTGAAACATCATAACCTGATTGACCAGGACTTTGAGTATTTGGCGACTCGGAGCCAGTGGCAAACGACGTCCTCTCCAGAGGCGAGACATCTGTAGTGCGCGTAGTTATCGTGCCTGAACAGAAGTTCGGAGGAGTTTGTTGCTTGGAAGCAGGGACTTCGAACGGGTTTTTGAAGTCGGCAGCTGTAACAGTAGCACCACCGTATCCCCTACTTGTATCGACGCTCAGCCTCAAGGGGTGGCCATTATGAACAATTTGCCAGTTCAAAGGTATCAAGTTCTGTATAGAGCCAGGCACGAAATTCGTGGCAGTAGCTGGATTGAACTTGCTCCTTCCACTTTGCATTTGCCCCACGACATCGACATACGAGCCAGAAACATTGCTGGTTGTATCAGTATCAGTCGCGGTCCATATGCCACTTGACTTTGGCGAGACTTCGACTTTAGGATCGTCAGCAGGCTGCTCTTCTACCTCAGCACGGCGACACATAAGAGCCTTCTCACTTGTGATAGTTCTGCTCAATTCAGTCAAGGTCATCACTCCCCACTTCTCCACCGAGAGTTGTCGTTCCCGAGCCCATGCATCTCGACCGCAGATGATATACTGCATCATCACAGCCTTCTCAACACGCAAGGCCTCTGAGAAAGGTAGATCAGCCCCTTTAGGTGTCCATTCAGTGATGGCAAAGCCGATGTTGTTGCGACTGACGATAAGGTATTCTTCGAAAGTTGTCTTGGTCTCTTTGGTCGTCATAACATCATAGCCACTATCGAAGAGCGTCAACCAGAACTCGATGACATGGTCTGGTGTACCAGATGCGGGCTCGAGTGTTTGAAAAGGCCATGTAGAGCGAAATTTGCTCAATCCGATGCCTGCGCCGCAGCGACCAGCTGCCTCACACAGCACTGACTTTTGAAGTAAGCTGAAGGAGGGCACGTTCACAGCTGCGAACAAAAGATCGAAGAGAAGAGGCTCGCCGAGTCCAACTTCTCGGTCGCCGATCGACTCAAGTGTAATAGGAGACGTAGGAGAATCGCTCATGCTGATGGACTTGTGACCGTTGTGGTAGAGAGCGAAGCTTTCGTCGCCAGATGTTCGTGTAGCTGGGGCACTGACTTTCTTCGCGAGAATACTGAGCTGCTTGTAGACAGCTTCGAACAAGACATTGCGGGCGCCGATCGTATAGTGTTGAGTTGAAGCCCATGGGAACTTGTAGAGCGTACTGATCATGCACTCGTAGACTCGCTGATGACATTTGAGAACGAAGGGTGACTATGCGACAATTGCGTTAGTAGTCAACAACGGACATGATAACTTGGGATACTTACTCGATTCGGGCTTTCGGCAAACCTGGTCACGCCATAGATCTCCTCCAGAGTAACGAATCCTCGAAAGCCATCTGACCAAGAAGGATCCGTCTCACGGCCAAAGATGTGGGGCTTGCCATCGCTGGCGCTGAAGACAACAAGTCTGGCACGAGGGAAGATGGCCTTCATTAGCTCAGCCTGGCTACTAAGGTCGAGCGTCACATTTCGCGTGCCGAGTCTCGTACCGCGGCCTGGTTGAGCAGTATACTCAAAGCGTTTGACGCACTCCTTTGCTGCAGCATCGTTGGGAAATTCGACATAGCAGTCCATCGTCTTACCAGTTGGCTTCTCCATAATGATATGTATTGGGTAGCCTTCGTGGTTCTTCTTAATCATAGGGATTGCAGCGTACCGATTGATGAATTGGGAAATCTCTTGAGCACTAATGGTAAAGGGGATCTGCACCCATGTATTAGCTTGAACGAGAAGTAACTGCCTACCAGCAGGGTCGCATAATGAACTTGGCGATATCGATTCGGCAAGGGATGATCGGACTTACATTGTTGATACGGACTACTCCGTAGCTGTGATAGTGCGCCTTGTCTGTAATCACTGAGAAGGGAGGAGGAGCATTAAGAACAATCCCCTTGTTTTCAAGCACATATTCCAGGTATTTGCCCTTGTAGTCATCCTTTGCTTTTCCGAAATGTTGTAGATAGCCTGAAAGCTCCGGAATTCGTAGTGCCTGGCGCATTGTATAAGTAGGTGACACATGATTCTGCACATAGTAGTCCGGCGTCAGCGCAGTTCCTTGTGAAGGAAGCGCATCGTGGTGGCCACTTTGCGGCATCGATGAAGCCGGAGTTGCAGGCACGTTCGGTCGACCTGTAGAATAGTTGTGAGGAGGGACAAACATCGCGGTCGCAAGTGAAGAGGTACGCAGATCGAGGAACCGAAAGATCGAGCCACGAATCTGTTACAAAAACTGCTGTAGATCTGTTCGTGGCAATAGATGACTTGACGCTGTTGGGGGAAGATGTGGTTGTCCGACATGGATCGGTTGTCCTGACGATGGGTATTTGTATGTTGTGTCGACTGGTATAGTGACAGGTGAGGCAAAAGTGAAGGTGCAAAGTTGCCTAGTGAACAGGATTTGAAATCAAGTAGCGAACTGCTTTGAAGGATAAGAGACAGGAACAAAGGAGTAAATAACGACAGCAAAGGATTTCCAGATGGATGTCCACAATGGAGATCTGCCACCTTCACTCAGTTTTGTGTATGACTTCCCTGGACTCTATTTACGGAAGTGTCCGCCGTTTGTGGCGGTAAAGCTTACTGAACGAAAACTTGAGTCTATCCTTCGCGCTCACACCTCGTGTGCCTTCACCAGGTTCTGGTCGACTATTGCAAGGCTCAGCGTTCGCCGAGCTCGACTGTATTTCTGGTCATCGCTTGCCACAAGTAAAGGACGTCAGCTCGACTAAGGCATGGGTGACTGGATTAGTAGTGAGGAACGGTGTGAGCCAGCTAGATACGATTTTGCCACGCCTGGAAGTAACAACAGATGGCCAAGTCCACGGACAGCCCCGATATATTTCACGACATGAAAACGACGTGTCGTGTTGGAGGAGCTGAATGGTTTATGTCTAGTGGCCCTCGTTTTGAACCAGTCCGTTAGATCCCGTGGTATTGGTTCTGAAGAACGTGAATAACATCAATCAAACTGCCATCCACATTAGCCATCGCCAGAGTCTCGGAAATAGGGAAGACGTACTGGCGTCAAGAACGACTCAGCTACAAACCTCGCCCTGGCATTAAGGAAAAGCTTCATCTCTGAAATTTCCTTGTCGACCTCTTCCATGAACTGTATAATGAAGTCGACCAACTTATGTTTCAGCATTTCTTCAGTATGTGTGTTCGTGATCAAGAAGGAAATATCATAACCCTGAATTGGCTTGCGTCGTAGGATCAAGAATGACTCGGCTCGCTGGGTCAAGAACCTTGTGAACTTGTGTACAAGTACGTGCTCGATCTCATCGGCCTGCTTTATACGTATGCTCACACGAACACTGTTTATGCTAGGTTCTATCAGGACCTTCTCATTCTCATTTCGGGCGACTATTAAAGGATTCAGCAGGACCTCAGGTGAGGTAGCGGCTTCGACTTCGGGAACGTTATGCCTTTCCGAGGCTTGTGATGCGAAATTGGACAATGATAGTGCGGCAGTCAGTGAAGACCGAACACATTGCAGATATGGACGTAGTGACTGCGACTGCAGGCATGTCAGTGGTCGAAGCTGTGCAATGTGGTTGTTAGCAGCTCACCATTTTTGGCTGAGTGAAATGGCTTTACAACCTCGGGGCAAACGGAACTGTGTGCAGTGCAGAAGTGAGTTGTTTTTCGACTGCAATGTAATACGTTTTATCACGCTCTGATCATGTTCCTACCACTGCAGCGCAGTATAGAACATACCATGCCAGAAGGATGCCGGCCTTGCCATGAGGCCGCATCGTGGGGTCGTCACTTGTGCCTGAGGAAGCATGCACGCTAAACAAGCTGCACACTGACGTCGCTAACGGTGCCTGCAAGTCCCTGTAAGTATTCTGGGAGGTTCCGCTCAAAGTACATACTGCTGATTACCTGCACATATTGTCTTCTTTGGCTCGTGTTGGTGTTGTCCACGGTGGTCAACGACGTTTTCATAGCACTTTTACTGTAGACCGTCAAGAATCCTACAAGTCAAGATAAAGCAGCATCTGAAAACAGAAAATATGGCAACCATACCAAGTGAGTGAAGACATTCAGGTCGAGCCACAATTGTGCTGATTGTCATAGTCATTGTCAAACACAAGGGCACCAAGTACAATGTCGACCTCGATACGACTCAGACGGGCGAAGTCCTCAAGATGCAACTTTATTCTTTGACTGGCGTTGAACCAGAGAATCAATCACTCTTGATCAAGGGTGGCAAGCTCAAGGACGACACCGATTTATCGAAGCTCAATGCGAAGCCCAACCAGGTATTCATGATGATGGGTACCGCCTCCGATCAAGGTGTCAGTCTGGTTGCTCCCCTCGAAAAACCAAAGTTCCTCGAAGACATGACCGAAGCCGAACTGGCCAAGCAAGAAGGCGCCACTCCTGCTGGTCTTCAGAACCTGGGTAACACCTGCTACATGAACGCGACTCTCCAAGTGCTGAAAACAATGCCTGAGATGCAACAACAGCTACTAGCGTACAAGGACAACAACACTGGTCAAAGTCTGCAGAGTCTCGCACAATTTGGTCTTGGTGGCATAGGCTCTTCGACCAACATAGTCGGAGGCCTCCGAGATCTTTACAAGCAAATGGCCGATACGCAAGAGTCTTTTCCTCCGCTCATGTTCCTCAACGCACTACGCACAGCCTATCCTCAATTCGCTCAAAAGTCCAGGACGGGACAAGGATATGCGCAGCAGGACGCTGAAGAGGCTTGGTCGCAGATATTACATCAGATAAGAAACAACATAAAGAGCGATGGTGGTGCAGACGGAGGAGTCTCCCTTGGCTTTGTTGAACATTTCATGGAGGGCTCTCTCGAAACGACCCTTGCCCCACCTGCAGAGGCCGCAGAGATGGAAGAGGTTAAGCACTCTTCTGAGAACTTCTTGAAGCTCAACTGCCACATCGACACAAGCATCAATCACCTTGCCGAAGGTCTAAAAGCAGGCCTCACTGAGCAAATTGAAAAGCGCAGCGAAACCTTGGGTGAAAATGCCATCTACACAAAGACGTCTCAAGTCTCACGTCTGCCAAAATACCTAACTGTTCACTTTGTCCGCTTCTTCTGGCGGAAAGACACCCAGAAGAAGGCCAAGATTTTAAGAAAGGTTACCTTTCCCGACGAGCTCGATGTCACCGAATATTGCACGGAAGACCTGCGCAAGCGTCTGGTTCCGGTTCGAGATAGGGTTCGAAACCTACGCAAGGACGAACAAGATATGGAGCGAGCACGGAAGCGACAGAAGCGTGCTCATCAGCAAGAGGAGGACCGTAAGCAAGATGAACAACAGTTGGCCAAAGAGGCTGCACCCATAGCGAAGCTCAGAGACTCCAAAGACAAGAAAGGCAAGAGGGAGGAGCAGGAAGGAGGCGAGATGGACGTGTACAAGACCGACGCGGAGTATGAGGCAGAGAAAGAGGCAGCGATAAAAGCAGCAAAGAAAGAGCTGCTTGCAGCCATTGACCCTGAGCTAGATCAGGACATCGGAGCCAACAAGTCTGGACTCTATGAGTTACGAGGTGTCATCGCCCATCAAGGCTCCAGTGCAGATAGCGGTCACTACACGAGCTTCGTAAGGAAGGAGGGAAAGCTTGTCGATGATCCAAAAGCACCAGGTGGAAAACGTCGAGAGGAGGACGGTAAGTGGTGGTGGTTCAACGATGACAAGGTTTCGGAGGTCGACTCAGAAAGAGTGGTTCAGCTTGCTGGTGGCGGCGAGTTCGCCTCAGCTCTGATCCTCCTGTATCGTGCCATTGATCTGCCAACCAAGGACGAAGTTGAATAGATGAATTGTCCAGGATGTGTTGGTTCTGTACAGTCGCGCGATATTACTATGGCATCGTCGTAAGACTATGCGACCAAGACCCCGCGTCAGATGTCAAACCAGCGAGTGTTTAATAGCCTTGTTTCTACTTGCTGTTGCTGTACTGTAGCCTTGGGAAGTGGAAGACCTTGGACAAAGTCAACAGTGAGGCAGAGGATAAATGGATCAATCCACTTAGCCGGACGGACGCAATATCCAAAGTGCTTACGCGGCATCTTATTCCATATGCCAAGACGCTAATCCAGAAAAGTTCTTGCACAAGTCGTTCCATGGTCATCGTCAATCGTCCTGCCCTTGACCTCGCACCTCAACTACCCGATCATCATCCCCAAACTATCGCCCAATCCTCGCAAACATGGGTAAAGTCCACGGATCCCTCGCTCGTGCCGGCAAGGTCAAGTCTCAGACACCAAAGGTACGACAATTCCAGAACGTCGCCATCGTGGCGAGAGATTGCGCTTCAATAGCACTTGTAGTGCAGGCAAGAAAAGCTGGCTAACAGTTGTTCAGGTCGAACCACAAGAGAAGAAGAAGTTGCCCAAGGGCAGAGCGAAGAAGAGAATGGTATACACTCGACGATTCGTGAACGTTACGATGACTGGTGGCAAGAGAAAGGTCAGCAGCATCATGGAATGTGTACGATAGGGCGATACTGACCCTGCAATAGATGAACCCAGCCCCAAGCTCATAAGAAATCATTTTGTTTTGAGTTGAAGAAGCGACCGCGAACTTGACATGGAAACACCGAGGTCTTGCAAGAAGACATTACAGACGTTCCAAGTCATGGTGGACTGAAGGACGCATTCGTGGGGCGACAGCACTGGAACAACATATCCCGAGACTTCATGAAGTTGACGAGATCAAGGATGGGACAAGTGTACATACACTAGGCGTTCATCTGCTCAAGCACCCAAGATATAACCACAACAAGCAATGATATAAATGCTCTCGAGAGTAATGGTTATACTATAGGGATTTCTCCAGCATGAAGTTCGCTCTGGAGGTTTAAGACTAGAAATTCTTTACAATGTTTCTGCTCAAAAAAACCCCCATACTGGGCCGCGCGAAAGTGAGATAGGAGGACTGTCTGCCTGTCTGGGTTTTGTTGACTCGGACTGTTACAAGGAGAATCAGCTGATCTCGCCTCCCAAAAACGTCGAACTCGCCTCACCATGTCAAACGTAGCTGTTACTAGTATTCTAACTCCCTGCTGTAATGTTGTGACGCCTGCTCAAGATTTGAACCTATCTGGAACTGCCAGATTTCAATCGAACTTCGAAAAATGGCATTAGAAGGTACTGTAATAACAGAATCTTCCGTCGTTTGTCCTCCAGCCATTTAGCTGAATATTTTCATCTTCCTTTTATACTAGTCGTCAAACCGCCAACTTTCTTACCGAGTTGGTCACGTGCTACATGGCGACGACGTGACCAAGAACAAACCTTACTGATCAACTCTTCTCATCTTGGCATAATACTCATGCTCACATCTAGGCTGTTCCTACGGCGACCGCCTCGAATACCACTCTTCAAACCACTCTATGGTACGCGCTTTCAGCATGGCCAGAATGGACCGCATAGGGAATACTTTCAGAACCCATCACAGTACCCGTCGAACTTCGAGCCTAGCAGACTACCCAGAGATCTACTCACTCCCCCGCAACCACTTACAGCCGATGTTCGACCCTCTTTATTTCGACGTGCGTTGCGCACAACCAGCTTAGCTCTCGTTTGCTATCTCCTAGGCATCTTGGGCGGCACAGCAATTGTGACTTACGAGTATTTGGCACCACCTTTTGAACGAGGCACGGAAGAATATCAAGAACTACAGGAGGAAATAGAAGAGATTCTCGATACATCGCCTGTCGTGGAAGAGTTGCGCGAACATGGATGGTTCGAAGAGCCGGTGGTACCTTCCAAGACTATGCATGTTCCTGGCGATAGACACCTGGTTCAAGATACATTGACGGGTGTACAAGGTTTGACGATGAAGCAGTTTAGACATCCTGACCAACAGACAGCTTCGGCTGTCGTGTTCTTCGCAGGCTTTGGGCTTGAAGGCTGGCCGGACTACCTTCACGGAGGTGCTATTATGTCAATGTTCAAACAAGCTTACGACAGACACTTGACACCTTTAATAAAGAACGAAGGATTGACTCTGGCTTTCAATGCGGACGAAGACATTGAGGCTGCGTTCGACGTGAACAGCTTCACTTTCCACAAGCCTGTACGCCCAGGGGAAATATACACCGTTTTTGTCTTCTCGCAAGGATTCGGCACATCCTACAATACCAAGACTGGATCGAGTATGATGGTTGATTCGGCGCAACTCATTCTTACTCCTGGCGACTTTATGCCAGAGATAGCATTTCATCCAGAAAGAGTAGACGTCAACGTCCCAGAAAATGTCATACACGCTACTTGTCTGGTCAGAGTCATGCTAGACACGGACAGAGTCAGCAAAGGTGAGCTCGGTGATAAACGACTAGAGCAGTTGACTGCGGAAGCCAAGAGAATATCCGAGAAATACGAGTCTTCACATAAAGCTGCGATGCCACGGTCTACCACGGGCTTTGGCAAAGATGGTGGATGAAAGGCAGACCAAGCAACTCACTGTGTGCGATATATTGCGAACTCAGCCTTCTTGACCGTCCCTCAGCAGGAACTGGATGATGGCACAGAGTCTAGAAGCATCATGGAGAAGACACTATACGTTACAGCTGTGGTCTCAATCATCTTCCCACCAGATCAATGCTGAACAGGTCGAACCTGGCTGCTAATGCTCCCGCGACTGAGACCTATACGCAAATACTAGCCTGGCTCACCACTCTGTGTTATTGCCCATATAAGGGCATCGGCATATCAATGATCGGATATCGCGAAGGCATGAGAGAAGGAAATCCAGGTACATCCCGTTCGAGTGCTGCACACACCTAGCCTATACGATACCGGTATTCAGCAGAGCGGTACGAAGTATCTGGTTTATGAGCTAGTGAGTGACACTCTAGAATTCCCGCGCCTAGCACTGAGTATTGACAATGCTGTTAGCAAGTTTATCGAGGCAAGCATATCATACATGCCTCGATCTATGTTGAGCTGAGGTGAACCTTGTATACTGGTGAAGCATGAGGCAAAAGCGTGTACGAAGTTTCGACCACACTTCCAAACACCAATAGAACAATCCTAATGAGACGATTGACCTAATACAAACTGCCTGAATACAAGCAATATCCACAACCTTATCTACGCACCCTCGAGTCATTGTAAAATTCGGCATTTTGATCACGAAGAGATATATAGTTGGTGAAAACGTAGCTTTTGAACCAATTTCCTGCATGCTGAAGAGGTGGTGTGTGCATCGTGATAATGATGAGCTTCAGCTTTGTGCTGCTGCTCTCCTTTCGACAGTCCAAAAACAACGCAGCCAACCTGGTAGTTCTTTTTTCGAAGCTACACCAGCAGGTAGATCAGCTCGGTATATTCCATGTGTCTAATTTCTAAGATCTTGCTCTATGCTCATCTATGTCACCGACTCCTAAACAATATCACCAACTCCCGAGCTCGCCAATTTGGGACAACAAACAAAGACCCACAAAATAAGGCGATTATGCAACTGTAGCCGCCTGGGCAACCTTGACTGGTGCAGTAAACACATTAGGCCACAAGAAAGCTTTCTCTTCTTTTCGAGGTGACAGAGCCGAAAAGACAGGCACGCCGCTAGCCTTGCTGCTGGCCCGTCTCCACATATTGGCACGCGGATTGAAGGCAGTTGGCAAGCCACGTCCTTTGGTCTTCTCATCATCGACCTTGGCGAGCCTCATCACTTCCTTTTGGATATCTGCAAAGGTGTCGAAGGGGATATATTGGATGTTGTTCTCGACGCAATATTGCTCGAGCTTGAGGCCCTTCCTAGCAAAAAGGATATCTGCTTCTCGTGCCGCGGGTAAATCGGAGACACCATCGCCAATGAAGACAATCATTGGAACTGTTCCGTTGTCTGCTTCTAGCTCAGCAAGGGCTCGTGCCTCTTGCATGGAGAGAGCCTTGTCGTGGCCGAGATCGGTATCGTGCTTCCAGACTGCGGACCATTTGTGACCGTTCTCGTCCTCAGTAATCTTTACGTCGTTCGCAACTATTTGGATATGCTTGCTCATCTCTTCGCCGATGAAGTGGTCCAGAACTTTCCTCAGCATTGGCTTGAGCCCAGCTGAAATGACGTTGAAAGGAATGTTGTTGTTCACACAGAACTCGTGGAAGGTTTGAAAGTCTGGGTCAATGTCCAAAGCAGTCTTCATGACCTGGAAGCCGTCGTCGAACGGCACGTTCAAGGATGCATATAGCTCGTCGGACACTTCTCGAAATGTACGCTCTCCCTCTTCCAATTCCTTGGCCAGGACGGCTCTTTGGTCCGGCCCACAACCGAAATTGTCGAATAGCTGATGGCCGGTGTCCTGCATGAATATCGTGCCGTCAAAGTCTAAGATTCGGTTAGTTGTCGCCGAAAGCCTGCCAGCTGGAAGTGCAGACCTGAAAAGCATATGATCTTTCTCTTCGTTCCCATATTTGCCGTAGTTGAGCGTGGCAGTACGGGTCTTGTATTTATTTTCTTCTCCATGATTGTTGGAGGGGTAATTGCTGAGGGTGCCATTTTGCTTGCGAGGGTTTGTTGCTTTGCCTGTGCTCTGTTAATAGGTCAATAGGTGTTAGTACAGGTCAGTACGCAGCGAAGAGTGATCAGAATCAGAATCAGAATCAGAAAGTACAAAATCCCGAGACAAGACAGGAAGACGTGGTGGGAAGCATGAGGCTCGTCGAGGCGTAAAACACTACCCACGACTCTGGTCAAGGAGACTTGGGGCAGTGATGAGGCTCCATGGCACTGCTCTGGGCTCCATTGTACCAGGTACATGCATCGCGTCTTCTGGTCGGCAAGTGTGTTAAATCATGTAAAGATCCATTTAAAGTTCTCGACATCGTGGTAGACATGTGCATTGATTATCTACATGTAGAAAAGTGGACGTTGTGAACCGACGGCGTTGAGTATGCTCCCACTGTGTCCAATCGAGTTGACATGCTTTCAGTCGAGGAGACACTTCGTGGGTCTCTCGGCAAAATCATATCGAGTGATGGGTACAAATGTAGTGTCCAGGCCAATTCCTGTGAGATAAAGGATTCCGGAAAGCACATGTCAAAATAAGCTTGACCATTAAGACAAGGTTGTGGCAGTCTTGATAAGGCGGTCAGCACGTAAGATAGGTCATGACGATTCTGTGCGTCGTGGGCATCGGAAGGGAGAAAGGCCAACTGCCAGTGGTAACTTGACAATTCAACGGCAAAACAGACGATTGATAAAATTGTTGGGTTGAGGCAAAGTTCTTCCAATGGCAGGAACGGGCTAGCAGCGGTGTCTTTCAGCCTTGGGCCTTGGCACGGAGTTTTGTTTTTGCTTTATTTTTTTTTGAGCCGAACTTTATCTGCATACTATACAGCATACAGTACTCGTACTGTCGTACAATATACATCGTGCTGTCCCGCACTATACTTCGAAAGATCGTCCCGGTTGAATGCTTCGTTGCTCTCGCAGTCATCCACTCAGCCTGAGCTGTACTGTCCTGGCAGTTTCGAAACAATGCTGACCGACGGTGGATTTTCTCGCAGCCTGAAGCGAACATATTCGCAGTAACTTGCTTCGACCTGCATAGAGACTGGATGTTCGAGTGGTAGAGGATATCTACACATGACTTCTTTTGTTTGATTCGTACGCCTGGCCAAAGTGGGGTTAACAATATCAGCGGCTTGGATTCGTGGCCCTCAATCAACTTCAACACCCTGATAACGACCTTCTGGGCCTACAGATATAGGCTGGAGATCAGGCATGTATGCATGGCTTCACCGCGTGTAACAAGTTGGGAGTGTAAGTCAATGCTGCACATCGTCGCTGCGACATGACAATTATTTCCTATCATTTTGCACGTCTGACTGAGGCCCGTTGCGGGCTACCACAGGCAGTAGCTTCGCTATCATCCTAGAAAGTCACCTGGAATGCATCTGAGCCTGAACGTGAACGACAAGCTTTGCGACGATTCTGGATAATGTCGTGCGCCAAATTCCTTCCTGGACTATCACGTGGCATCTGTGAGCATACAGATTTGTGATCGTTTAGAATCAGCAACATAACTCAAGCTTGCTATGCATGCCATCGTAGGTCGTACACTTGTGTAACAATGCTAGCAATGCTTTCATCATGTTTTCATTGATTTGTGTCATCTGTACCTGGTTAGAATCAATCCAGAATAGTCTCCTTGAAGAGGAGACGTCAAACATGGACGTTGATCAGAAAGATTTTATGGATTCATGCACCAACGGCTGATATAGACGGGAGCGAGGAGGAAGAACAACTGGCAAAAGAACCACAAGAAGATCCCCACATCTCCACCATACGTACCAGATTAGCGGCGTTATGGCCGGTTTCGTCCACCAATTATTGTGCAGGATTGGTACCGAGGCACTTTGAAAGCTGGCTCATTCAAAAAGTCGGCAATTGCTGCGGTCTCTGTCGAGTACAACAGAGACTTTGCATAGGCGGCCTGGGCTACAGTGACTATTAGAACAATGGTTACACATTGAAGTCATCTTCATTATCGTCAACTAGAATCTCAGCATCACCTCGACCTCAAGCCCCCATCTTTCCTTACGCCAGTGTGCGAAGCTTCGGGCACAATGGCTTCGAGTAGGTCTCCACCTCTTCCTCGTGACACGGGACATAGATTGACGTGTGATTATAGTCGCTGCAGCCGCGGCTGGTGGCCTAGCAGCCGCTTCCTACATCAATGCAAAGTACCAAATTAGCCGTGAACTGGAGTCACAGAGGAGGCTGAAAAGAGCTGAGCGCAGTTACGCCAAAGCAGGTACGATCGATCGAGGATGGAGGTAGCTTATCTGACATGGTACACAGTCAAAGAAGATCGATTGTCGCCCTGGTACATACTGGCCGACGTATGCAAGAAACACCCCAACAAACGAGCTGTCTGGTCACGAGCAGGAAGCTGCACATTTCAGGAATTCCATGATCAGACCGTGCAGTATGCACAATGGCTGCTCGAGCAAGGCGTACGGCCTGGCGATTTGGTTGCGATGTATCTGCTGAACAGTGCGGACTTCCTTATGATCATGTTTGCGACACTTTGCATAGGAGCCGGTCCTGCCTTTATAAACTACAACCTCGAAGGCAAGGCGTTAATGCATTGTCTTGCTGTTTGCGAAACCAAAATACTGATCGCTGACTCCGACGACGGCTGTCAGAAGAGGTTGAACGGGAGTCGAGGCGAAATTGAGTCTACAGGCACTAGGATAGTAACGCTGGACGACCCATTGAAGCAGAAAATCAAGTCAGGGCCGGTGGTTGTGCCTGAAGACAAATATCGGAACGGCATGAAAGGCGACCATCCTTATTGTCTCATCTATACAAGTGGAACGACGGGACTGCCAAAAGGGTGTCCATTTCTTGTTGCTAGAACGCACCTGCTAGGATCTCATCTCGAACCATCCTTCGGCGCAGAACCTGGAAAGGACTGCTGGTATAGCCCGATGCCTTTGTATCACGGCACAGGCGTTATCACTAGCTCCATTGCTCTCTTGGGAGGCATTGGGATTGCTGTCACTCCACGGTTCTCGGTGAGCAACTTCTGGCCTGATGTACACGATTCCGGTTCCACAATGTTTATCTACGTTGGTGAGACCGCCCGATACCTTCTCAATGCACCACCTCATCCCCTCGAGCGGAAGCACAAGATTCGATTAGCATATGGAAATGGGTTGCGACCCGATGTATGGAAAAGGTTCCAGGACCGCTTCAACATACCCGAAATTGGCGAGTTCTTCAACTCAAGCGAGGGAATGTTCTCATTAGTTGTTTGGGACAGAGGTCCCTACTTACAAGGTTGCGTCGGGCATCATGGTCTGCTATACCGAATGCTGTACCGCAATATCTACATACCTGTCCTAATCGACCACGAAACAGGCGACATCTGGCGAGATCCAAAAACAGGGTTTGCGAAGCGCATGCCTTACGAGGAGGGAGGCGAGATTCTCGTGGCAGTACCTAACAAGCAAGCTTTCGGAGGATATTGGCGCAATCCCTCGGCGACAGAAAAGCGCTTTGCCACGAACGTTTTCAAAGAAGGAGATCTATACTACCGATGCGGCGACGCCCTTCGAAGAAGCCCTGATGGCCACTGGTACTTCATGGACAGACTAGGCGATACGTTCCGCTGGAAGTCAGAAAACGTGTCTACCGCCGAGGTTGCAGAGACATTGGGCCGTTACCCCGGTGTTTCCGAAGCCAACGTCTACGGCGTTGTGGTACCGAGTCACGAAGGCCGTGCTGGTTGTGCTGCCATACATATTGACCCGGCGCATAGCTCTTCTCTGGACCACCGAGCTTTGCTGAAATATGCTAAAGATCAATTGCCTAGATACGCAGTACCCTTATTCTTGAGGGTAGTGAAGACGAGTTCGCACATTCATAACCACAAGCAGAACAAGGTTCCATTGAGGAAAGAGGGCGTCGACCCCAATCTAATCGGCACAGAGGAAAAGAGTGGTGCGGATGATATTATCTTATGGTTGAAGCCTGGCGAAACCAACACATATGTGCCGTTCGAGAGACAAGACTGGGACAAGTTGGTGAGGGGCGAAGTCAGGTTGTGATGCGTCTCAGATGTGTAGAGAGAACTGATCATAGAGTAGTGTTTCAGACTCAGACTGTAGCCGTGACACTCATGCTGTTCAGTCTGGTTGCTATGCTTTAGTCGCATCAGAAGCCATCCTTCATGTTGGCATAAGGCTATTCTCTTCATTCGGTCACGGCCAGGTCATATTGACTGCGTATTGTCTGTGCTTGGGGTACATGGAGGACACATACCCCAGCGGCGTCTTGTCACCAGGTGTAAGGGCAAGGCGTGCAAAGCAAGTCGTCTGGCAGTGAGCTGTTCTGAGGTGTCGCAAGATCCATGTAAAAGCGTCACATCGCCTACAACGGCAGGAAGTATCGTGGCCACATAAGGATGGATGACCACGTCATCGACAAGCCACGCGTTGAGCTGAAACCATGCTATGTCCTTCGCGCCCAGGCTATCATGTTGACTTGAGACTTCGCAAACCTTCTACATGCCGTGATAGGTATGCTAGTCACGCTGTACCTCTTCTGCAAGTGTTGTGTACTTTCTTGCAGCTTCCTTCGGTAAGCGAAACAATCAAAACAATGTGTGCAGCACGACTGCAGATTTCCCTGTTCATCGTGAAGAATGTCCGAGCCTATGTGGCAAACTAGCGAAGCAATTGACAAGCCATAAGAAGCATAAATAGCTTCCTTTTCTGCGCCACGGTCACTCCTGGATAAGAGTCGATGCTGAGAGACATCTCTAATTGCACAGATGAAATCTTATAAGACATCTTAGTGATTGAAAACACAATCGTCCATCCCGAAAGTCAGCGCAACCAGCGCCTCAAGCTTCGCAATACTCTCGACCAACGGAGGTCCGAAATTATAATGACTGGCAAGCTCAGAGCTTTTCCGCAGCTATATCGGATAGGTCAACACTGCCAAGTTGTAGAGTCCCAACTAAGCTCGACTAAGCTTTGTCGCAAAGACTAGTTATGCCGATCGATATCAGCTTTCGGTGATCGCGTTACTTGTAGTGATGTAGTGCAAAGAAATTCTCCTCGAACATGCACGGACTATAGATCCTTGTTGAGAGCAAAGGTTTTTCCAAATATCAGAAGAGGTGCCTGCGTAGAACTTGTCGATTACGTATGCGCTAGCCTCCATGGTCACTCATGTTGATTGATCTGGCGTTGGTACAGCTTAATGTTTGGATGCTTCATGGATACTTTATGCGCAGAGGAGAGAATACATTGCCTGTAACAGGTGCGCAAGAACGAAAGTCCGGCAGGAACGAACCTTGTTCCTGCAATGCTGTACTTGCCATTGAACAGCCTATCATATGTCATCGATGAGGAGCTCCAACGCAGTCGTTCAAGACAATATCCGCGACTAGCACGAAGTCTTGTCCTAGACAAGCCTTCAACAATCTAAGCCAAGCCCGATGATGCTTATTAACAGCTATCCTTAACTAGGTACCTGGCTCTGAGTAGCTTGCTCAGATCCTCTCACCCTTTGCCGTTCTAACCTTGTTAGTCTCTAGCAAGGTCGTTTTCTGGCTGTTTCTTTGGCTGGACATGACGATCATGGTCAAGCAGAGTTTTGTGTCAGGCACGCTCTCCTACTTTTGATCGGTGATGATCATCTGTTTCTATTCTTGCCTTCGGGCTGGCTGCATGCAAACCCTGGTAGACTCGACATCCTGCCAGGTCCTGCACTCAGCCCCACACTTCAAGGACGCCACAGACGTGCAGGAGTCTCCGCGTTTTGTTCACGAGCGATCTTGCGAACTCGAGTTGCCGATGAGCCTTTGGAAAGAACTGGTACAGCAGGGTCTGGTCATACAAGCCCATTCGTCAGATGTCGCCTTGTAAGCAAGTTTTTCTATAAGTAACTCTCCGTCCCAAACACAACTTTGCTTACCTCTCCATCTTCCGTCGTTACACCACTTGATCTGCCACGTTGTTCCTTCTGTGGCCTCAACATCCCTACGTCAGTCCTTCACTGTCTACCTACATATTCAATATGGTCCAATCGTTATTGTCGTTCGCTGCCGCCCTAGCAATATTCGCAGGTCAGGCCACAGCTGCTCCAGCACCGGAATGGTCACAATGGCAACATTCGTGTAACCTACATACCCAACAAACCCGTGTCAGCTTTTCCAGCATGGCCCCAGAGCAAAGGAAGGCGTACACAGATGCAATCGAGTGCATTCACAGTCAGCCATCCAACCTGGATAAAGCTCAATATCCTGCTGCGGTCAACAAATACCAGGATTACTCTGTGGTTCACACAAACAGAACGGGCCAGGTCCACCTCAGTGGTTTCTTTTTGACCTGGCACAGATACTTCATCCACCTCTTCGAGAAGGACATGAGAGAGACTTGCGGATACAAGGGTCCACTTCCGTACTGGGACTTTTCCGAGAATCTGCAAGGCAGTGTTGTCTTCGATGGTTCTCCATACTCCCTCGGTAGCGATGGTGCGCCCAACGGTACTGCACCGATTGCCCTAGGCCCTCAGCTCGTCATTCCTCATGGAACCGGAGGTGGATGTATGAAATCTGGTCCATTCAGTGACTGGACGGCCACATTGGGCTTCATCGATCCTCTCTTTTTGATCAGTGGTGCACCGCTTCCAAAAAACACTTACGACTATAACCCCAACTGTTTGAGCCGCGACATCAATGCATATGCTGCCCAGACCTGGACCAACTACTCTGAAGTTGTAATGACCTCGCACTCCCCAAATGCTCAGGCGCTCGAGTTCAACGTCAACGGCGTCATTGGTGGTTCTGCTCTAGGTGTTCATTCCGCCGCTCACTTCATCGTTGGTGGTTTCATGGGCAGCATCCACGTCAGTGTGCAAGATCCAATCTGGTGGGCCCTGCATACCAACCTCGATCGCATCTACACAAGCTGGCAACTCAACAACCCAAGCGTGGCTTCTGAGCTGTACGGCACCATGACCGCTCATAACGCACCTCCAAGTGCCAACGTCACACTCGATTCCATCGAGCCTGACTGGGGATACTTTGACAGATCAGCCATTCCTGTCAAGAATCTGCTCAACACAACTGCAGGTCCATTCTGCTACACTTACGACAAGTTGATCTCCTGAGCAGTGAGGCCGAGATCTGGAGTATAGTTAGCACATCGAGGAGAATTGTCCTTGACATCAATGGGCTACGAGCGGAGCTAGACGCTAGCATCTCCATTAAACTGCTGCGGAAATCCTGTATGGATATAGTTGGAATAATGTCTGTAATGAATATACCCATTTTACTTACGAAGTGTTCAAAATCGTACGATCTTTTCCACTTACTCCTGACCAGTAAGTCTGAATGCAACCATTCGACACTGTCGATCAGCTTACCTGCCATCGTGTGGTCGACAGACATACATTTCTAGAAGGGTTCTGCAGGTTGTTCATCAAAAGGTATGTGACCGTGCAGAGATAGGGACACAACAGCTCATAGCAAGGCCACCGTTGTGATTGATGATGCCAGCCCAGACATAGTCATAACGAGCTACTTGTCTATCGTACTATTTCGAAGACCACGTGCCAGACAGATATCATGCCACAATCTCCGAGGTTCAACCAGTATTCCCGGTATAGAATACGTCTATCGTATATTTTATTAGCCACATAGAGCCACAATTTAGGTCGAAGGATGAGCCAAGGACGGACATATCACTCCGTCTACGAATTGCCAAGTGCTTCAGACCGACGATGGAGGTCGAGAAGCTCGGCAACGAGAGGAGTCTTGACGCGAGACGTAGATCCCCAGCACGAAGCGTGTGGCTCAACACGACCCTTGTCCGCCACAGTCTTTACAGTATTCACGCTTGGTAGTGTGCTCCACCATAACGTTAGCCATCTCCACGATCATCGATGTAACGTGTCGGACATGTATGAGTTCTGGTCCTGTGGTGCAACTCATTGCCGCGAGAATCATGGTCAATCTTCAGATCCTAGATTGGTATCGTTTCTGGGCGGTATCAGCTGACTCGCGAACAAGACCCGCGGGAACGGACATGGAAGGCACGGCGTCGGTTCGCTACCAAAGTGAACTAGAATTAACGCTTAGGACTCGAATCTCAAAGTCAAAATTTCCTGGGCATTTGAAATTTCGAGATCCGAGATTTTCATCGAATTCTGGTTGACCGGCGATCTCAGCCCGCAGGCAACATATATGCAAGCATTGAATGCAGCGACTTCTGACGATCGACATAGAACCACGAAGTGCGGACATCGTACGAGTATCTAGACCAACTGATACTGCCTATCAGAATTGTCATCACACTTCACTGGAAGCGGACCTCATAGCTCCTGCATCCACTGAGGCGACAAATCGGTATGGAGACACAGAAGTTTGACTACTGCCACGTGTTTTGCTTCTCCCAGCTGTGCTCTTATCCTTACTCTGATCATGCTCCAGATGCTTTTCGAGACGTTAATAGATGGCAACAATGGTGGAAACCAACTGGGATGCTCCTGCAACTGAAAGGCGTCTTGAGCTCCGCTGAGCAGTTGCGGTCGACAACTGGCAAGTGTGCTCAGTCCAGTATGGCTAAGCAGGCTCGACTAACCATTGTGTGCGTGTCCCATTGACCTCTCACCACTTTCACGGATCTGATTCTTTCGCTTGAGGATTGATCTTCGCTCCAGCCTCATTCCCGTGCTGACTACCGTGCATTCACTTTGTTAGACTCCGCCGCGGCTCTCGCGTTCCTGTATCCGCTCAGCAAGCCGGTGCAGTAATAAGCGGTCAACTTGTCCTGCTGACCTCGTCTTCCTCAGATCCCATCCGTTCCCTGAAACTGTCTGCGCGGTATCATCTCTGGAGGTCTACGTTACCACGGTTCCCCTTCTACAATCTGGTCCAGGATTGTTTGCCTTCGAATGTTCTGGATCGCGAGTTCACCTCCACTATCTTGAATCGGCTTGGGTACGATCGTTAGCGTTACCTCCAATCGCAGGACGTGCCCCGAACTGTCTACTCGTCTAAGACTGCTCGATACACTCACCGCACTTTCAGACTCTAACACCTTGCTGAAGGACCTGAGCAAGCAAGGATTTGAACGAAGACATTGTATCCACGTCATCTGGTCCATGTCAATCATTGCAAAAGTGTTTGGTACCTAACCTGCAGCATATGTTGCGTGGTTACCTTTGCAATGTGCTCTATGTCGCATTGTGGTTGCTGGTTTAACGGCGATGACTACACCTTTACCACAGGGACTGATTAGAGTTGTATCAACTTTACAGACGGAGGTCCCGTCCGATCCTACTGATGTTATCTACGACCGAAAACAGGCACTCCACAATTTCTGGAAGGGTAAGTGATAGAAAGACAGTGTGAGGTGACCGTTCAGTGCTTATTGATTCCAGTACACGAAATTCAAAGTCGAACAACACGGCATGCCTCGGACATTCGATGCTGCTATTTATTCTGGCGGGTATGGGGTGAACCTCGACTGTCTACCTCTCTGAGCCAGCATACTATGACGCGGTTGTGGCTGCAATGCCAACAACCACCGAACCTGGATCCTTTCGTCTTGCGCATCGAAGGTTGTTCTGGTGGCCGCAAATCGCCGCTCACAAGGGACGAGAAAGCTATCAGCAAAAGAATTCCGGAGGAGTCGCAACATTTCGAAGATTCTCAAGCGACATATCAAAATCAAGCGACCGCTCAGCACGACGGAAGAGCTAACATCTCACAAGATGATGCGCAATTGATCGACCGACGAGACAAGACAAGAGTCTCGTCACGAACGTCAGATATTAAGCCTGGTCTCACGAGACAGCCAAGTGGTGAGAGCGCTCGGAAGCGCTCTGGTCCTGGTAGTACTGCAGCACGCGCCCGAGCTCGGCCTTCATTGACACGCAAGAAAAGTAGCCAGACATCGCAACCCTCAGAGGAGACCAGCCGTCCTCGTCGACCAATACTCAAAAGTCCTCGATCCTCCCATGACGATCAAAGCCTTGCGGAAGAACCGTTCGATAGTACCTCTATTACACAACCAGGGACAAACGTTGATTACAAGACTACTACACAGTCACCCACACGCAAGATGTCGGCATTTGAACTCCCATCAGCCTCCTCCTGGCAGTCTGTAGAATCTCAAGAGCAGCATAGAACAACTACTGTTATATCGTCCATGGCCACGAAATCTTCGCTTATGGTTGACCAGGATTTCCGAGAGAAGTTTGTGGAAACACAAAAGGTCTTACGCTCCACATCCAATCTGGTGGGCGCCATAAGAAAGACAGGCTCAGTCGTTCGATTTGCGTCTGACGTGGACGTGGCTGAACAGTCACGAGAGAACATAGCTTCGGGTCGACACAGAGGCCTTGCAACCTCGAAAAACGAGGGACCATCTTCACAGGCATTTTCTGAAACCTCGGCCTCAACGAAGCGGCCCGGAACCTTGATAAGGTACGATAGTGCCGGTAGTGTCGCTGCAGTATCCGACGACGACGAAGAGGAAAAAGACAAGGAGGACGAAGAGCCACAATCTACCAGCATGGTGCTACCACGTACGAGAAGCCAACTCTCTCTTGGTATCGCCGACCTGAAACGAAGCCAAAGCATGCACGAGCATGGCGTTGCGGATGATGGTCTTAGAGTCACATCTCCGCAGATTGAGAAGGACCAGCAAGCTCTGATATCAGGCAAGGTCGCTAAACAGAAAAGCGAAGAGGACGAGAAACTGCTCGCAATGGCCTGGAAGGATGGTGTTACCAAGGCAGGAGGTGTTAACCTACCAAAAGAGCTTACAGTACGAGGATCGCGAGATCCTGACAATACGTTTCCAGAACCAGAAGCCCCGACGTTCTAGGTGTTTCGCAACGACTTGCGAATATAGATCAGTTCTCAGTTTCCTGCTGCAAGAACCACAGGGCATTGTGTTTTATATGCAAACAATCGGATGGCGCTGCAAGGCATTGAACAGACCTGTCACAACAATCATGCATACAGTGGAGTATGGTGTATTATCAGTACGGACGCTTGACGTTCTGTATAGCAAAGCAATTGTATATAGCTAACGCAACGTTATCTTGTATAATCAGAGGTATTCTAATCGCACTCGATACCACAAACCCCACAAAGCTTCATTACTCCTTCGCTTCAATCTCCTCAAACTCCACCAATTCAACGCCCGTCCCAACCACCTCTCCCTGGCCATGCACCACCCTCTTAACCACCAACCCTTCCCCAGGACTTCTTATCACAGTCTCCATTTTCATACTCTCAATGACCAACAGCGTCTGGTCCTTCTTCACAATATCACCCGGCTTCACATCCACCCGCAGAATCTTGCAGGGCATAGGTGACAGCAGAGAATTAGCCTTCTCAGTCGTACCGAGCGCTTTCGCTAACCAGCCTGGTTGTGTGGGTGTAAGACGATACGAGCCCTGCGGAGTAAAGAGATGGATGATGCTGCTGTCTGAGGCGTGGATGATGCGTGATGTGTGTCGGGTGTGTGGAAAGTAGGTTGTTAGGGTGTTTGTTGTTGGGTCGAGGGTGCTGGTGAGGGTATATGAGTTGCTGCCTGCTTGAGCTGTGAATTGTGTTGGCGATAGCTGTGAGATCTGTATGGAGTGGGTTTGCGGTGTGGTTCCGGGTGTTGTCTCTTCGTCGGCTGATTGGAAGGTGAAGTTGCGTGATTGTAGGTTGCTTTGTGGTGAGGACCAGGAGAAGGATGTGGGGTTGTTGGCTTGGGTCTGTTGAGGTACTGTCGGTTTTTGAGATTTGGCTTGTAGGAATGAGCTCAGCGCTGCTTGGATGAGAACTTCGGGAGTAGGTGTGCGTTTAGCGAAGAGCTCGTCGTGGTGCTTGGGGATGTATCCGGTCTCGACTCTTCCTTCTGCGAAGTCGTTGGACTCGCAGCAACGTTTTAGGAAGTCGATGTTGGTGACTGGACCTGCGACTTCGTATGATTCGAGCGCAACCGCAAGCTTTCTGACCGCGTCTCTACGGTCCTCGCCTCGAACGATGAGCTTGGCGATCATTGGGTCGTAGTGGCTGGAGACTGTGTCGCCTTGGACGAAGCCGGTGTCTATACGTATATCATCGGTAGCCACTGGGAGACGAACATGTAACAGCTTGCCAGAGTCTGGTATGAAGCCTTTGTCTGGATTCTCGGCATAGATACGCGCCTCGATGGCATGCCCTCTTTTGCTGATGCGCTCCTCGACCTCGTCTTGTGTTAGAGGTAGCCTGCGACCCTCAGCAACCATGATCTGCCACTGAACTAGATCCAAACCAGTGACCATCTCAGTTACTGGGTGTTCGACTTGTAATCGAGTATTCATCTCCATGAAATAGAATTTGCCAGTGTCGTTGTCAAAAATGAATTCAACAGTACCTGCACCCTCATACTTAACAGCTTCTGCAGCTGCACGTGCTTTTTGCCAAAGGTCTTTCCTGATGTTATTATCCAGCTCAGGTGCTGGAGACTCCTCGAGTATCTTTTGGTGCCGTCTTTGAATTGAACAGTCTCGTTCACCTAGTGCTAGCGAATTGCCATACTTGTCAGCGAAGACTTGTACCTCAATATGGCGTGGAGTCGTGATGTACTTCTCGACTAGAACCTCATCGTTGCCAAAGGAGTTCATCGCCTCCCGACGGGCGCTATCCAGCATATCTGAGAATGCGTCTGCAGATTGTACTATCCTCATACCCTTTCCACCTCCACCACGAACAGCTTTGATGAGGACAGGAAACCCTATCGCCTCAGCCTCCTTCGCGAGTCTCTGAGGAGCTTGGTCAGATCCATGGTAGCCTGGAACACATGGCACACCTGCAGCGTTCATGATCTCCTTGCTTCGAGCTTTATCGCCCATATCGTCGATGGCACTAGGCGGAGGTCCGATGAAGGTAATGCCAGCCTCTGCACATTTTCTTGCAAAGTCAGCATTCTCTGACAAGAAGCCGTAGCCTGGATGTATAGCTTGACATCCATGGTCTTTAGCAAGAGCTAGGATTTTGGCTTGATTCAGGTATTCGGATGTTTGGCCTAGGTTGTATGATCTTGAAGAAGAGTAAGCGTGCTGAGAAGCCGCATCTGGATCTGTATAGAGGGTTGTAGTCGTAATACCATGCCTTGCAGCTGTCTTGTTGACACGTATAGCGATTTCTCCTCGATTTGCAATCAAGATGGACTCCAAAGGCTTTATGTTTGGGTCTGGAGGCTGGGTACTACTCTGTCTAGCTCTGATTATGGCAAGGACGGCAGAACGCGACTGCCGCACACTCTGACGCGTCAACATCCTCACCGTTGTCTTCGTATAAAACTGTGACAGCACCTACATGTATACAGACCTCACTACAAGCAGAGAGTTGCGAAGATAGGGTTGTTTGATGTACCCCAGATCTGCGGTTAAGGGCGGAAGCTCTTTGGTGTGCCTCGGTGAAGGTTGCTCGTTTCCGAACCTGGTGGAGTCTACCAAGTCCAACGGTACGGTCCCTGCTCGCTTGAGGGTCTGTTTTCAGATGCGATTGGTTCCGTCATTCGAGCACCAAAGGTGACGCCGCGACCGCTTTGTACAGACAGTTGTATCACAGCAGAATCGACGCTTCTCATCGAGGTTGTGGCCCTTGATCTATACGTGAAACCAACAAAGCGGGCACACAACGATCGATATATTTGCTGGATCATACTAATTTTCACGACACGAGCCGGCTATCCTCCACATCTACACATTGGCGATCCATTCCTGGTCTACTCGTGTTTATGCAGGCCCATGATCAACTGTCCTCGCGAGATATGATCGACGAGTCCTTCAGACTACCACTTTGCTAGTATATTCAAGAGAACGGAACACCTCATTTGTCGTCACTTCCTGCAACAACGAAGCCGTAATGTCTGATTACGAGGAATATGGAGATGATGATTTTGATGACTTTCATGACATGCTATACGATGCCGATCCTGCACCTGATCTCGCCGACGATCTTGCTGAACATGCCGCGTATTCACCTGTTTGGCAGGACAATCCCACAGAAGAGCTGCGCGAATATTTCAGCGATTGGACCTACTATTCAGACGACTATTTTGACGATGACCCGAATATCCTGAACAACAAGGCAAAGAATGAGAAGGATCGAAAGGTACCATTGAAGCCGCAGCGGAAACCACAACCACAACCACGCACACGAGGACGTAAGCGGAAACTGTCTCAGGCTAATGAGAGCCCTGACCTCGAGCTGCGAGAAGTGGACGCTTTAAGGGCATGCTTGCGCGGAACGGTATGGAAAGGTGGAAGTCCCGAACCTCTGCGGGAGCTCAAATTTGGTACAGAAGAGCCTGTCGCATTACGGTTGAGCGACAAGGTCATGAGGGCTGCATATAGCAAGAAGCAGGGATTTGGCAGAGGGCGACTGACAAGAGATGAATCTTGGGCAAACGATCTTAGTCTAGCCGACATGGGCCTGAAGTCAGAAAGAAGCATAAGTATGCATAACAAACTGGACGTGGAGGATCAAGAAGAATACGAGGAGGCTGACGAAGATGACGTCGAAGCGGGTGAAGACGAAGAGGTAGAGATCGATGAGGAAGCCGTGATGATGGAAGGCATGGTCAGTGAGCAATACCGAGTCGAAGTACAATCAGAGCTAGCACCCAACGAGAATAAGACTGTGCAAGAAGAGGTGGATGAACAACAGAAGACACGAAAAAGACGAAAATTGGATGTTGTGGATTCGCAGAACAATCAGCGTGCACTTCCCACGCCAGATGCTTCTCTAGAGTCAGAAGTGTCTGAGTCCAGTCAGGATGTTAGTGGAACGTGTACGGTGCAACAGCCTACCTACAAAAGACGCAGGCGACCTCCGAAGTACGATGCCAATAATACAACCAAGCAGACTGAGCTGGCAGAACCTGCAGGCACGACTACGGGGCGAAAGCGTAAACTCTCACCATCAGAGTCAAGATTGACAGCCTCAACCGCAAGCAGCAGAGCTAAAAGAGTTGCTACCTCTAACGGCTCTTCAGATATTAAAGCCACAAGAGATACCGCAGCTGCTGGCAGGCCAACGAGAAGTCGTAAAAAGTGAATTAGGCATCCAAAGAATATGATCAGAGGCACAACAGGCACGATCTCCGATCTGTCCTTTGACTGGACAGAGTGAGAAGAGGTCTGGTGCTCAAATCGCTACGTGTGTAAGTGATCTTCGTCTCTCCAAGATCCAGCGTGAAGTAGTACCACTAGGCGACTTGCTACTGTATATATCGAATTGAAACAGATCCCGAGCTCTTGGTCTGGCAATTTAGGACCTCCCTACCTCAATCTAGTGATTGGCTCCTAACTATACAATGTCCTGCCATTTCGAATGAGGGGCATCCTACATCGCTGTAAGAAAGTAATCGTCATGGCTGCGTCCCTATCTTCTGCTCGAGTTATGCGCTTTAGCCATCCGCCAGCAATACATCACCATAGAAGGACAACAACAAGGATATCTGGGACAAGTGGGTTCGTAGTGGAAACAGTGTAAAAGGAGGCGAGGTTTCGAAGGTGACAGCTTTGCAAGAGGCTTGGCAATCGGGCTTCGACCACCTCTGACAAATTAGATTCGGAGATTCATCTGTATAGATTGACTTTGATCGTGTCTATCATAGACATCGTCGATATTGTGCTATCGAGACTCACTCCTGCTGTCATCCTCGTTCATCTCAAGTTTGCTAAGCTGTCAACAGTGTAGCAGTGTATTGGTCGCCGCGGCTCATTGCGGCTCAGCAAGAATCCCTGGTTGCGTGGACAGACCAGGATATCATGTACGTTGCATCTTCATCCTATGACTTGTCAATTTCAGCCACTACTGTCGAGGAATTACTACTTGTTTGGAGACCTAGTCCTGAAAAAACCAGCGCACTGATTATTGCCATCAGACTCGAGTATTGGACGACCTAGAGGAATACGTTGACAGACTTGTCTATCATTCCACCTTTCGCGGCATGAAAACCCGGTTGGACAGGAGGGTATAGTGCACGACTCTGGGAATTATGGGTATATTATGCCACGAGATAGCATTCTGCAGGCAAAGATTGACTCTGTGTAGCGGGGCCTGCGTACCTATCATCGCCTGATGAAATCAGTCCCTATTATCCCGAACGATATATACGTCCTCTACCCAAACGCACGATCCGCTCCCGTCTCTCCGATGATGTGGCTAGTACGATAAGCTATCCTCCAAATCCTCCTTCGGCAAGCCTGCCAGCCTACAGCCACTACGGCGAGGACGAGATTATCGATGAAAGACGCCGGGCATTGACCTCGTTTGAAGACTATGAACACGAACACGACTCATACCACGAGGACGAGGAGCACGACGAAAGCTGTCCGCATCATGGCCATCATCACCACCATTGCCACCATCACGATGACGACGAGGATGACCTAGATTCGCTGGAGAATGAATCACCCATGGCTCATCGTCACGGTAGCGTCAATAGATCCTCACCACGAGCCCAGAGATCACAAAGACACGGCCGGTATAATAGCTACACTGAGAAATCATCTTCCGCGCCCGATGGATATGAAGCTTTTGAGAACACAAACAACAAGAAGAAGCGGAAAATCCCCACTTCTGGCAGTATGGGTATGCACCAAAGTTCACTGAACTCGGAGTTTGGCCATACGGGCCTTTCGTCGAGGGATGGTTCAGGTGAAGATATGGAAGGATCGTATGCTATGTCAACTTCCCCATCGGGACTTGGAGTGGGAGGAGCAGGCCGCGGTCGAAGCTCACGCAAGTCCAATTCCCGCAATCCTCTTGGCTTATGGACCAATGGTACTAACGCGCGGGCGAGCGCTGCCAAGTACGATCAGAATGCAGTGGCAAGCACAAACGGTACGTTCGTTGGAGAGCTTAAGAAGAAATGCTGACAACGTTACAGGAGATGGCACGAAAGCAGATCAAGGCATCATTTCCAAAGCCATCGCCAATGCCACCACTCTGTTGAGGAATCCCCTTGGCAAAGGACAAGAAAGTGGTGTCCTTGAACAGCAAGCAAAGACTCCAACGAACTCACAGTTCACTTTTACTTGTGAATCCGACGCTAAGAACGTCAAGTTCCCCGAACAAAGTCTCTACTCGCCAGATTATGCCACCCGAGTTCAGTCTGCGCCAGCTGCGGCTCCAAGCCAAACACAAAAGTACAACAGCAATCAAGGCACGCAGTATGCCGGTAGTCAAATGCAGCAAGTGCCACCGGCCCAGCCAGCCACAAACCATGCTGCACCACCAGCAAACACGCAAAAGCAGAGACCGCGCAGGCGCAAGGGCGACGTATATGCACTTGCTGCACGGCAGCGCAAGCTACAGCAGGAGTACCAGAATCTACAACACCCACCTTCACATGAGGACATCTGGATCTGCGAATTCTGTGAGTATGAGAGCATTTTCGGAAGTCCTCCGCACGCGCTTGTCCGACAATATGAGATCAAGGATCGCAAGGAGCGGAAACGACTCGCTGAGAAGCGACGTCTCCTTGAAAAGGCTAAGCTCAAGGGCAGAAAAGGCAAGAAGCAGACGAAGAATGCGGCTAAGGCTGCTAACAATGCGACTCAACAACCTATCAACAACCACCAACAGGATTATGACCAGCAGCCACTAGATCAAATGGACGACTATATCGATGACGGCTACGACGACGATCCCATATCTATGCCGGCACCTCCTCCCCAAGCGCCGGCGAAGCAAGTAACTCCTAGTTCTTATGCAGGAGCAGGAGGAGGGATAGGGAAAAGCAATGCCACGACGGCAGGCATAGCAGGCGGTGGCACGGGAGGAGGGACAATACGGTAGCACCTGTTTTGCAACGGGTGTGCGATTGTCCTTGTCTTGCTCGCGCTGCTACTGTTTTGCTTTGGTCGTTTTGCATTGCTTTCTGCGTCGTTTTGCTTGTTCATTGCATGGTCTGTTCTGGTGTTCTTCTGTTTCAATGTATTTGTGGCTAGATCTTGTTGGTTGGTATTGGTATTGGTATCGGTATCGTTCTTGTCGCTTTGGTTGTATTCGATATACATAGCCTCTCTGCTCATACTCATATTCTGCTGATCAGAATCTATAGATCCTCATTCCAATTTGTCTTTCGCTACACATCTCTCCTTGTGTGGCTTGTGTGGATACGAAGAGTTCTAGTGTGATTGACGCCCGCAATGTACGAGCTCTGACTGGCCGCTGGGAAACGAGTGACGTAACTGGAGATGAACTCCAGAACGTGCAAGTGCGGTCGAGCGCCAGCATTGATCAACAACAGGAAATTAAAGCAAAGGCAGATGCTTGCTCGAGTGACCACATACGACATCATCATCGTCACATTCATTTCTGGATTGAGTTGCTGGTGGTCTCCTATGCCAACCATCCATCCTCTTGTACGCCTCAATCTGTTTGATATTCAGCTCAGTTCAGCGCGTTTGTTGGTAGACAGCTGAAGCAATTGCGATTGTGCTGTTGGTCAGGCCACAGCGCATTCCCTCTGCGCACCTACCTTACGATTCAAACATCTAGCACTTTTTTCTGCCTACCCATCCTTTACGAGACGCTGAGTTGGTCGAACACTGCCCGAGCAAGGAAGAGATTTCGCAAGAACGTCAACAAAGCCCGTCATGGCCCTCAGAGATAGGTTTGATGGCATGAGGTCAGGTCGGGGAGGCTTAAAATGGGACAACATCCTCAATATTGTTGTGCGATTTCTCCAGATCATTATGGCCTGCGTGGTCATAGGTTATTATGCGTCGGACCTCAATGCTGCACGAAAAGTACAAAAGTACAGCGACTCAAAATGGGTAAGATTTGGATGCATCGAAGAAGCAAAGTAGCGGCATTGACATATTATAGGTCTTTGCAGTGGTTGTTGGCTGCATGGCGGCCATTACAGCACTTGTTCTGATCATAATAGGCTTTTTCTCCCACTATACAATTGTTGCATACCTGTTTGCCTGGGAATGGATTCTGTTCATTCTTTGGGCAGCTGTTACTGGTTTGTTCGGCAGCATGTATTTCGGCGAGAACGCAGAAATGGATGGTGGCATCGAATCAATGAAGACAGCTGCTGCTTTTGACTGGTAAGTCATGACAGTAGATGAGTCGGCGACCTTCACTAACATAATTCTGCAGTGTTAACCTCGTCCTATGGTTTCTGACAGCGCTTGTGGGCACAATAACTTTCTTCCTGGGTAGGAGAAGATCATTGCATACTGGTCGAGCTACCCTCTAGAAGAGACGCAGGAGAGGACCCATTACCTGGAAGTTTGAGATGCATCGACGTTGTCGCAATGATACCCATTTTTTCTTAAGCATGCACAAAGAGCTTGATATCCCAGCAGGACACCAGCGCGGTCCTCCCTGTCTGAAGAGCACTGTGAGAACTCCATCTAGCAAGCAATAATGATACATTTACAGTTATCCTGACCGGACTTTCTGCTGGTATGTTGCACATCCATACTGTGGTATCAAAACGTATAAGACACAACTTTCGAGCGTCCATCCTTCGTCGTCTAGAAACCGTGATCAGTCTTTGACCACGTTTCTTGTCAGCAAGCATGATATCTTATTGTTGAGCTGGAAATGTACATCAATTACCAGAAGAAGCGGCTTGTCTAGAGCCTGGTGTTATGGAGTGCGGCTCGACCCCTGGAGCCACTACGTCACAGCTCTACAGTACTTGCACCTGTACGCCGAGAAGATCAACAAGATACCAAGCACTGGCAGCTCACAATTTTTCTGTGCTGTGCAACCGTCCTAAAGTCCACTGACTTGCAGTTCCGGTGGTTCAGTGCACTCACCACTGCCTTGTATTGTCAAGCTTGTTGTCTCTCACAACCAACACTGACCTCGGCGAATATAGCGGTCTGCTGCAGTTATGTCTAATCAACAATTTTTGAGAACTGCAACTCGAATAGCTGCTCGCCCAAGTTACATTCAACTGAATCATTGCGCAGCACTCCCTGCCCACAGACGTATTTCTTCCACGAGCCCACGAGCAATAACCTCGTCTCAAGCACAAAGAAACAAGAGCGATCCGCTCCACGGCTCTTCAACTGCTACATTAGGCAAACCCGGCTTTGAACATGAAGGTACCCAAGCACGAACCGACGATTCCATTGTCGTCGAATACCCTGAGCAGGGCAAGTTTCCACAAGAGCCAACCATTCAAGGAAGAGGAGGACCACATCTTAAGCGTACGCTGCCTCAGTTTTCTCTCGAGGGCCGAGTCGCAGTCGTGACGGGAGGAGCTCGAGGTCTTGGTCTTGTCATGGCTCAGGCTTTAGTTGCTAGTGGTGCTGATGTTGCTCTGGTGGATTTGAACAGTGAGTGCTCACACTGACCCATCGCTCGGACTTGCAGGACAGCACTAACTCCTGTATAGAAGAAGAAGCCAGCACCTCCGCCCAAGCCCTCATCGACCAATTCCACAAAGACAACCCGAAATCCGAATCCTACGACCGCGCCAAGTTCGCTTCCGCAAAGAAAGAAGGCATCTTCCGCGTCCCCAAGGTCACAGCTCACCATTGCGACGTCTCCAACCCCACGAACGTCGAATCCACTCTCAGCGAGATCGTCAGTGAGCACAGCAAGATTGACCACCTCGTCACCAGCGCCGGCTTCACAGAGAACTACGACGCAATCAGCTACCCCTACGAACGCATGAAGAAACTCTGGGGCGTAAACGTCGACGGCACATACCTCTTCGCAACTGGCGTGGCCAAACACCTCATAGAGAGGAAAGCAGAACGCGGAAGCATGGTCTTCATCGGCTCGATGTCAGGGAGCATCGTGAACGTACCCCAGCCACAAGCGCCATACAACGCCGCCAAAGCGGCGGTACGCCATCTCGCGGCAAGCATGGCTGTTGAATGGGCGCATCTGCCGATAAGAGTCAATTGCATCAGTCCTGGATACATGTTGACGGCACTGACGAGGAAAATTCTCGATGAGAATGCGGAACTGAACAAGACGTGGACGAGTCTGATTCCGATGGGAAAGATGGGGAGACCGGAGGATCTGATGGGTCCTGTGACTTTCTTGCTCAGTGATGCGAGTCTGTATGTGACGGGGGCGGATCTCAGGGTTGATGGTGGCTATACTTGCACGTAATGTGGTGCGATATGCGCGTGATATGAAGTGTGTTGGAAATATTTGTGGTGACCTCGTCCGTCGTACTGCACGAGATTATCGCATGCTGTCACTTGCCATCAAAGACATTTGCAAGCCTCAGATGTAAACAGCTGGGACAGGGAACAATCAGAGTACGACCTCGGGATTTTGCAATATTCGTGATAGATTGAACCGACAAAACATAGACGACTTGTAGGCTTGCTCGTGGTCAAGTACGGTCAAATAGAATACTGAACAATAAAAATGTACATAGTTCGGGGGTATTCAGGGTTTCAAATAAATCCAATAAAACTTCAAATTTGAGATATTAAGAACACCGCCGATAAATGGAAGTGCATTAAAACTGCTTCTAAATAAAAATTACCTTTCATGAACCTTGTAATAAAGACTCCTGTTCAGTACTCATAGTTCAGTCGAGTCAAATATTCACATTACAACAATACTTTCACGCCTACGTACTCGCTCCTTTACTCTAGCGCAAACTTCTGCTCAAACTCAATTTTACTCTTCTGGTCAGCGCTCAGTTGCACAGGTTCGTCCATTAAGCTCGTCCCAATCACGCTCCGATCAACGTCCTTGCCTTTACTCCTGAATCCAGTCATATCACTTCCTAGCATTTCACTGACGTCGCCACTGCCGCCTGTGCTTCCACTTCGAATGCTGGCTTCGCTCTTGCTGGTCCGGATACTGCTTGCTTCTGCTCCTTCGAGTAGATCACGGTCGGCACGTCGTGCGTGTAAATCATCGTCTTCGTCATCTTCGTCGTCGTCCTCGGTTCCTGCGGTGTTCTTGCGGCCTGACCTGATAGCGTCCTGTTGCTGTCGCTCGAATTCGCGTTGCGCTTCGTCCATGCGTTTGCGCATCTCTGCGGCCATGCGCATTCCGTCGTTGACGATGTTGTCTAGGACACCGCGTATGCCACGACTTCCGGGCTCTACTACACCACCAGCTAGGCCAACATCGGGTACTGCTTCTTTTCTGCTTCCAAAATTGCTCGCTAGGTTGCGGACTGGTTGTCCTATATTGGCGAAAGTCGTCAGGTTGCCAGATAGCGTGCTAGTTGAAGAGGAGCTGTTGAGTTCAGAGCCATTAGCAGACGAGGCTAGTCGGAAAGACTGTGGGAAGAATGTTTCGAAGAACTGCTCGAGGAGTTCGTCTGCTAAAATCACCATGCGGAAGGTGGGTAAGGTAATGTGTAGTGGCTTGTTGGGGTCTAAAGCCACGTTACTTGACACAGCCCGTGTGGAGTTTCTTCTCGTCATGTCCATCGAGCTGTTCGCCGTCAGCAATGGAGAGTTTGATGATAGAGGATCTGTACTCGTTGACCTTGGCGAAGTAATCGGTTTGGTGTGCGAGGGTGTCTCCGTCAAGTCGAGTAAGTCATCTGTAGGTGTGGCTGACAAGTGTAAATCGGTGACCTTTTCATGCACCTCCTCTTCTGGTTTATCAGGGTCAGCGTACTCAAAACACCTTCTGATGAAGGCGCTAACACTACTCAAGAACTTTTCGTTCACGGTCATCTTCATACCGCTGAGACCAGGTGATAGATCTGCAGGTGGTGCTGAAGCTGTCCCGTTGCTCGAGTCAGGATCTGTAATGGCACCATCGAAACCCCTGCGTGAGAGGAAAAGCAACGATTCAGACATACGTAGAATGCCTTCCCGGTCAACTTTGCCATTCTCATCGTCGTCAAATAAGTCGAAGAAGAGGCTCATTGAGTTCATTATATCAGTCGTGCCTTTTAATCTTGCCATGCCATTCACAATATTCTGGAGGTTGAGTGCGCCCTGCTTGGATTCATCCCATTTACCGTAAAGTCGTTGCATAAAATCGTGATCAGCGGGTTCAGGTCCAGCACCCCATACATTCATTACAGACTTGCTTCTGGCTCTTATGCTACCATTTTGAGTACTGAGCTCGTTATTAGACGCTGTAGGCGAATCGGTCATAGCCCACTTTGCTGTATTCGCAAGAAACTCTCTAAATGCGTCATAGTCCATAGTCTGCAAAGGCGAATTTCCACTCAAGGGTGCATCGGACGCGTTGTGTGAGTTCAAACTTCTCACACCTGGTCGGCGATTCTGCAGCTCAGATTTTCGTCTCTCTTCATCCTTGGCTTTTGCTCGGTCCTGCCGCTGCCGCAGTATGCTGAAGAAGCGGTCATAGAGCGTGCTAAGATCCTCAGTACTGAGCTTCTTGCTCTCTGGACCAAGATTTCGAATTGACGTCCGTTTAGCAAACGTCGCAAGTCCCTCCTTGACATTATCAATGTGTTTCTCGCGAAGCTCGGTGACTGTCGAATGTGTTATTGCACCAAACTCCTTGAAGGCTGTTACCATCAGCTCTTGGAATCTGGTGATTGCTCTGAGCTTTTCATTCTGGGAAGTAGGATGTGCTGATTCGTCTAACCTAGCAAAGTAGTTCTTTAAGATCGAGATGAACGATCCATCGTCGGTCACATCCAGTAGTTCTTCGCCGTTGATCCTTAAGATAGCAAGACCGATCTGAAACAAGACTTTCGGACCCTCCAAGAAAAAGACATCCAGTACACGAAAGGCAAATACGAGAGGCATAGAATTGATGTAGAGCGACAGAAACCACGGCAATGACACGACTGACAGGTTGACATCAGATTTGACCAGATGCTCCCACAAGACTGGCATGGTCTTCTCCACCAGGCTTTCGAACACTTTCTGGTCCAAGAGAGTTCCATACATGTCTTTAGAGTAATATCCGGGAACGAATCGATCACAAAGAGCTGAAAGCAAGAAGAATGCCTGTGGTTCCGAAGTGTAGATGAGAATTGCCGCAACCACGATATTCATAGCCTGGCAATAGCCAACCTCTTCGTTAGTCCAGCTGTATGCTGTAAGCACTCGGCGTAGTCGCTCGATGCCGCGCTCGTCTTGATATCCTGCATACTCGGGCAAACTGCGGTTCAGATCTTTCTCGATCTCGTCGATTGCGAGTGATTCTTTGCCCACGAACTTGTCGAGAGTCTTCTGATATAAGTTTGGGTTCCTGAGTCGCGTATAGAAGGAGCCCGAACTTATTTCCCAAAGTTCTCCTCTCAACCTGTTTGGCAGGCCAACACGTATTAGCTTGTGGAATGTTGGCTGTCGTACCAAAGTCACATTTCTTCCGTTCTCGCGCATGTAATCTGTCCATAAGCGGATCTTGCTCCTGTCTCTCAGCTTCCTAGCATCCCCAGGATATCTGAAGATAGCACCGAGACCAACGTCAGGAGGTTCTGGGAGGGTTTTGTCCGGGTCCCTGCTTGCCTTACTGTGCAGCACTAGAGGGTTCATCAAGTACTCCGAATAGCACTCTGCCGTGGTAGTACGCAGACCATCCAGCTCGCGCATACTTTCTCTTAGACACTTCTTCAGATAGTCACAAAAACGTTCTGCTCCTTGCCTGCTCCCCTCGAGGTTCAAGATCAACTTTCGCACAGGCAGGGCAGAAGAAGGCTTCTCCGAGACGGTCGTGGCTTGTTGCTGAGCATACTTGTCCCAGACTGTAAGGGCAAGGTTAAAAACATGTGGTGCGCTGTTCAGCCTTTCGACTCGTCGTATACTACAGAGAGGAATCGTAAAGCCATGTCCGCCTGGTCCTGCACCTCCCGTCTGACCGGTGTAGCTCGTAGACGAGGCATGGGTTGCCGAAGGAAGGAAGCTTGTTCTTAAGGTAGAGAAGCAGAGGAAGGATTCGCTGAGGTGCAATTCACCTAGGTACCTAGTACCATTATCTTTTGCTTTCTCACCGACTGTAGGAGGCTGGACACCAGTACTTGAGGAGTATGGAAGAGGGACGAAGAGCTCAGCACTTATCTCTGCTACAGGGTGCTGCGACTCTGGTAGACGAAACTGTTCTCGGAACAAGGCGGCCTTGGAAGGGTGTCTGTCGTTACTACTTATGAGCGGGCTTTGCTCTATGATTGACTGCGCTCGTTGAACCAGCGAGCTCAACATGTTGGAAGAGTCGCCGCTGCATGTCAGGAGTCACGATTCGAAAGCCACTGTACGGGACAGGGCAGCTGCAATGCTCGCAATTTCATTGACAAGCCGTGCTCACTGGGAAGACGGCAAGTACGTATACGAACCATTGGGTGAAGAAACAATCGTGGAACGCGACTAGTACTCCGTATTTAGGCATGTGCAGCCCCAACCATCGTCGCTAAATGCGTGGATACTTTCCCCACCACAAGGCAATTCAGGTACCGTTGAATTAGTGTTCCAGCGTGCTCTAAACTACCTGAGTAGCCTACAGCCATGCCTGTCTTTGCCTAGTGATACGAATAGTATGATGAGAGGGAGCAGAGGCATTGGCAATTCACTGCACCACAAGATAGTATATCAAGCCCATATGCATTCATCTAACATTACCTAATATGCAGCTGTGAGTCGTCCTTTCCTATCATAGCTGGCTCCAAGACGCGCTTTTTCAACGCTCAAATTGCTCCTCATGATATACCTATATCAACATATCCTAGCATCGTGAAGCTGTTACTCCTGTGACACACCCTAAGTCCGCTCAGTGTTGTTGATCCGTTTTCAGCAATAACTCGACAACAACATAGCTCCTTTCGTATCCAGGATGTAGCATGGACATCTTCACAGTCCTGGCCGCGGCGCCAAGGCCTTGTACACCAAGGCCATTGATGCCTCCGCCTAGACTAGCTGGACCGCCGGCTACCCCTGGAGTCGCATTGCCGCCATCATCCAGCATTTTTATGTTTTGTCCTGTTACGACTTGCTTCAGTCGCCCGGATTGTGCATCTCGTATCTCGACAAATTCATCATTGAACAAAATCAGATATGGATAGAACAGACAAGCCGTGTTTGCTCGTCCTACAAATTCCATCGTGACCGATCGAGAAACATCGCCTAGCTTGTTGACATAGACTGCGCACTCGGAGAAGGCGACGATGAACTCTGCTTCGCTAAGTCGGAACATTCCTAATGGCCTAAGATCTTTCAGCCGCGCGCCGATCAAGTCGAGATGTGGTTTGGTCTCCTTCGACTGGCTTTCGAGGTTCGGCACACCCCAGGTAATTTTCTTGTCTAACGTGAGCACTTCCATTCCTCTTTTCGTGGCTACTGCCAAACTGGACTGGAACATGTTCAGACCATACGTCTCGGCTGGAATATAGAACTCGTCATATTCGCGGAAAAATTCTGTTGATCCTCGTCGACTTGAGTTGCCCAACCACCTAGATCGTGACGTGGCTGCGCGCTGGAGTACCGGCTCGAGGATTTTGAAGATTGAATTGATGCCATCCCGCTTCTGGTAGAAAACCAAAACACGATCTTTCATTTTTCCTGCAAGGAAGAACCCAACGTCTTTAGAGCCAGATAATTTCTGAGGCGCTTTTCGCACTGAGGCATCTGTTTGTGGTAGTGGAGGCCCGCTCGGAGGACAGACGACATCGAGGTGATATGCTATTAGAACTTTGTCTGACAGGAGTATGAGGAGATTGAATTCTTCGAGAACAGCGATTTGTGTGACTTTGGTCATTTGTATAGCCTGCCGACGTTAGCGGTCTGTCAGTTTCAAGATCGCTTTGCACTTACTCTGATCCATCCTCGTGGGTTCTGATACTCCGAAATATAAACACCACTGTCTGTTCCTATTGCACACATGAGTCTACCAGGAGGCTGCTGAAATACTGTAGAACAATTGACTGCCGTTCTACATATCGGCGCTGGTCGCCCTGATCCGTGATATTTTTTCTCGACGTCGGCAATAGCACGGTCTAAAGGAGTTCCACGAACCACAAGTCGCTTCGGTCCGTAATTGAATGGTTCAGCTCCGAATGCAGTGTCAGCTAGCACTCTGAGGTCGAAAGGTTCCGCGTTTTGAGCATGAAGTGCCTGTGCATGTTGTGTCTTGGCACTCATGATTGCTTCACACCACTCTGATCGTTTCTCTGCTGTCGTGACGTACAAAGTATACACTTCAGTACGTCCTAAATGCTTGACCTTGAAGGGATAGTAGATCTTATCATCTTTGGAATCTGCGTCGTTGTTTGTTGCGGCTGCTATCGATCCAGAAGCGCCAGAACCTGTGGTGAGTCCAGTGTTGGTGTGTTGTACGACGCTGCCACTTTGGCTCGACGTTGTCCTAGCAAGTCGAGGGTCAACTCCTTTACTGGAAGAGCCTTGACCAGGAACAGTTGTCACGCCTCGAACTGAGGATCTCATCACTGCCGGTTCACTGATAGACTCTAGTGAGATCAAGCCCATAGGAATTGGAGGCTTCGACACGTCATAAACTTCGTTGCCGTGAACATCCTTACTGGGCTTAGATAGCACGAGGAAGTGATCGAAGAGGATAGCCTGACATGGTACCCAAAACACACCCTTTCCGCCCTGGCGCATCATGTCACCTCTTAGCACGATTGTCCGTCCGAGATGATCAAGAGCAAGATCGACCTGGTCGCCCGGATGTTTTGTGAATCTCAATTTCTTAGAAAGTACAACAAGGTCTAATGTTTTGTTCACTTCGGCTACTCGAACATCCATCTCGTGGGCGCAAGCCTTGACTTCGTCGATGGCATATGCCAGGTTGGTCTTCTCGTCAGATGCTTCGGTAGAATTTTTGCTAAGAGTTTCGAGCTGTAGAATCAGACGTTGAAGTCGTTGAATTGGCGATTTGAGGTAATTGTCCCAGCCCAGCCGATTCGATATTGGTTCTTTTCGAGCATTGTCCAAAAAGGTCGCAAATGCAGGATTTCTTTGCAACTCATCTCGAACCATGGCATCAGCTTTAGGGTATCTGCTTGCAAAATCCACATAGATCGGTCGTGCTCTTCGAATCCATTCTCGTAAGATATCACTATGGCCCACAACGAACGGGCCTTGCTCATTCTCGCGATATTTGAGTTGCGGTGCTAGATACTCTTCATTTACTTTTCTGACATTGTCCGCAAGCCCGAACACATCATGGATGAAACTCGGCAATCTCTTTGGTGGTATGACTGTCACATCAGCTCTTGCCAGTCGATCCCTGTACAACGTGCGCAGGACATTTAGCCCATATAGGAATCCGTCCTCTGAATAAACGATCTCACGCATGTTGTACTGTCTGGCAATCTCCTTCTTGTCCCTCGATTCCTCCTGCGCTGTGGTTGTTTTCCAATATGTCTTCCAGTCAATTTCTTTGACACTATCTGGGATGCTGAAATCGGCCTTCTTTACGGTACGCATACAATGGTGCGAGTAACATCTACCTTTGATGCCGTCCGAGATATGCAACAACGAGGAGTAACAGCCAAGGCCAGTCAATTGATACATTACCCCGGACATTGAACCAGGACTGAATTTGACCCATTCTTCATCCTTATGCAGGACAGCACTAGAGTACATGTCCTGCACAAATTGCTGAGCCAAGTCCTCCGCATCTATAGAGCTGATAGTGGGGACCTTGTGACAGTAGAGCGCAGAAATTGCTTCAACAAGTGTACCTTCCTTGAGATCATTCTCCTCGTCAGCTAAGGACTTAATCCAGGCGAATACAGAACTCATTGCCCATGGCTCAGTGCATCTGTCGTACGTCGCAGTCGAGATCTTGCTGGGATCAAATTTTTTGCGTGGAATAGCTGGCAGATCTAGTGCGCCAACACCTGCGTCGGACTTGGGGGTGGTCGAAGAATAGGAATCGTGGTAGCCTCTTGCAACAGCTTGTTGTTTAAGTATGCGAGCACGATCAGCGTCTGTCTTTGAGCGCATCGGTTGCTCGTATCTTGGCTGACTGCGGTTGCTTGCAAGAGATGTTGATCGTGGGACTACGGATGGACTGAGCGCATCATTGTTATATGCATCAGGTGCGGTCGGGTAGAGACGTAGTGATGCGTCTGCGCCATGGTAGGAGGATCTGTTGTCGGTGCCCACTGACAGATTGACCGAGAGGTGTTGCAAGCTCCTCGATCCTGCATCAGACGTAGACCTCGCAGGAGGAGGTGGTAGTGGCCTATTTGGACTCATGCCCGGATGAAAGAAGAGGTCAGGAATGCCATCTTCACGCTCAGCATAATCGGACAGCCCCCCCTCGTCACCATCCTCATAGCTCAGTCTCCTGGGGTGCGGGCTAGGCTCGGTAAGTCCTCCTGTACCTTCGGTATCTACTCGCACCGTTCCAGGCTGTAAAGTAGGAAATAGTGGTGCGGTATCCAGATGCTCGTAGCCTGAACTTTGGGTGCTTGAAACTCCCGAGCTTCGCATAGAACCCATACGTGGGTTCAGCTGGTGCTCATAGCCATGAGACGAAGCGGTCACAGCAGGAAGATTGGTGCCATAATGCATGGTGCCGGCGTACCCACCACCTGCAAGACTCAAATCACCATATCCTGTCGCGTAGTCACTATCGTCGCTTCGCTCCTTGTCAGAGTAGTCAGCAGCGCCGATAACCTGGAAGCCGCTGCTATACCTTCGCGCTTCCTCGGCTGCTTCTTGCTCATCAGCTGCTTGCATAGCAGCCAGACCTGCTGCAGCTTCTGCATCACTGTCGTTTGCAAAGGCGCCATAATTGATGTTGTGCTCACCGGTCGTGATGATACCATTATGTGTGGGCCGTTCGTCCGGAGATAGAGCCAATTGAGGTGAAGCTGGAGAGAACAGTGGGTCGTGGGCAGTAATGCTATAGCCAGTATGATGCTGAGAAGAAGTTCCGATGGCGGCATCCAAAGTGTTCATAAGATCATCGTATTCTGTCACGGTCCCTGAAGAGACACCATAGCGCTCTTGGTCGGATTCAGACTCGGAAGGTAGGCCCGGTAGGGTGGAGCCCTGCGGATGTCGCCCACCATACGAATTTCCTGTTTGCGATGGATTTCTGCTAGGTGGATCAGCACTAAGTTGTGGTGAGTGGCTATAGGGATGGGACAGATCGCTGGTGCGGCTCGCAGATGAGTGGTTCCGAGCAACCTGAGAGGAAGGAATGAATGGATCGGCGAATTGGTCGTAGCTGTTTGTCGAATGGAAGTACGGCCTAGTTGAGTCCTGGTGTGGAGGAGGCGCAGGAGGAGAAGGCATCTGGAGGTGCTGGTTACTTTGATATGGTAGAGTATTGGACATGTCAGCCGGATACATTTGACCAGGCGACTGAGAGTTGTTCATTCTGGGAGGAACCGGAGGAACAGAATTGTAGTTAAGCTGAGAGCTCATTCTGTAGGGGTTCGCATACGTGGAAGCATTCTGGTTCAGAGCTGGGTCTCCATATGCTGCTGGTACGTAAGGCTGAAAGCCAGACTGGTAGCCAGCACTGCCGTACGAGTTCGATGCCTGCGATGTATAGGTCTGTGGATTATAGGCGCTCTGAGGCTGATATTGAGCCGGATTGTAGGAAGGATGCGCAGATGAGGCAGAATGCGACTGGTGCTGATATCCTCCTAAGTGACTCTGTGTTCGGTACGGCAATGCAGCCGGCGTGCCGTAGGGCTGTGATTGTCCCTGAGGTGACTGTCCATGACCATAATACTGAGACTGATTTTGGGTCTGGCCTGATGCGAAGGTGTTGTCATCCTCACCAGCATTGAAGCTTGACCGGTGATTCAATCCCTGATAACCACTGTTCGATATTGTATAAGAGTTACTATGATGTTGTCCTCCTGCCTGGTAGTACTGCTGGCCATTTGGATAATTCGACATTGTGCATTTAGAGGGACTAAAGTGGTCGAAAGCCGAGCGTGGGACTCAGTATTAGGCTCGTGGGTGAGGACGGCGAGGTAGTCTGGCCGCTGGTGAGCGACTGCGCTCGCATGGTTATGCGATATTGAATTCAGGCACGCTTAGAGTCGCGGGCAGTGATGCGATATCACTTCTGTTCGATCATCTGCTGAGGATGCAGGGATTTGTGCAGGAGGAAGGCAGCGACAGTGTACCGTTCAGGACTGGTTGTGCGCTGACGATGGGATGGCTGGCACAGGCTGCGCGTATATAACTCAATTTGATGTTAGAAATTAGGCCGCCTCAACGAATCTGTACATTGACTACGTCCCTGGTGCATTCAAGCCCGGTTCTGCGCGCAGGACGATTCCTCTGCTTCAAATGCTCGTTCTGGGTCGAGACCTCAGCTATTTACGCAGTCATCCGGGTGAGGCCAACGACGGTCGGGCAGGTCGGGGCTCCAAACCTCCAAAACGGATAAGTTTGGCACTCTCAGGTTGCTTTTGGAAACACTTGCCGTACACTGCCACACTCCTGGCACATCGCATGGCAAGTTGTTTGAGAAGCACAAGACATGACAACATTGCTAACTCGTCTCTTGCCGGCTTCATGCTTGATTTGCATAGATCACAGGACATTACTCTAAACACGACCACAAAGGTTCACCTCAAAGCCACCAGATGTCTGTACTTCTGTTCATCGCCTTTGTTTGGACTCTCTATCTCCTTTTTCGATAATCAAGTACTTTCGTCATAGGTATCTGTTCTACAGCAAATTGTTACATGTGAATGTCCAGACTTCATGTGATGCTTGCGACTGCCAGCACCGAGTAGGCTGGGCTCTTAGCCTCACAGGGTTCTGCCACTGGTAGGGACAGGCCCTCCTACTCTGGCACCCTCCATAGGTCGACTCAGACTGTCCGGCTCCAAGAGTCCGACTGCCTTCTTAACTCGACTCAGGGTACGGCGGGCAATCAAGCTGGCCATGTGGTAACCTGTATCTATGACTTGTTCAATATCTTTGTTGCCTGGCCTTACAAGCTGCTCATATCTCTCTCTGATGCCTGCAAACTCATTAATGACAGCTTCTGCCACGTCTTTCTTCAGCTTGCCAAGATTCTTGTTGGCATAGTCTTGCGCTATCTCGTTGGACGATCTCTGAGAGCGGGTAACATGTCGAAGAATCTCTATCAAATTCGACACGCCAGGACGTTGTTGAGGATCGAAGGTGATCGGCCCAGCCACTGAGTCAGTCAACGCTCGTTTGAATTTGTGCACAATGACCTCCGGTAGATCAGTAATTAGCACTCGTGAGGCCTCGTCAGGATCCGACTTGGACATTTTCTTGGTAGGATCTTGCAGAGACATGACCCGTTTCGCTGAAGACAGCATAAGCTGCGGCACTGTCAATATCGGCTTCTGGTTGGCATTGTATGTGCTGTTGAACGATCGCGCCAGGTGACGAGTGAATTCTACGTGCTGAGCTTGGTCTTCTCCCACAGGAACGTAGTCTGCATCATATAGGAGTATATCAGCTGCCTGCAACACCGGGTACGAGAACAGGCCCAACTTCAGTTTCTCACGAGCTTTCTCGTCGATGTTCTCCAGAGTCTGCTCAGGTTCTGACACGGCTGTCGATGTTGGTATTCCCGCCTTGTCCTTCCACTGGGTCATGCGTGATAGATAGCCAGTTGATGCTACGTTCGAGAGGATCCACATCAATTCCGAATGTGCACTCACAGAAGATTGTAGGAAAATTAGAGAGTGCTTTGGATCCAATCCAATCGCCAGCAGAGATGCCAAGGTCTGGCGGATATTCTCGCGACGAAGTTGAGGGTCTTGCTTCGATGTGAGAGAATGAAGATCTGCTAAGCCAAAAAGTCGTCGAGATTTCGATCCTGGTGCATCAGGATTTGGTTCCCTATCTTGGAGGTCTTTCCATTGCCGAAGAGCACCTAGATAGTTGCCCAGGTGAGGTATACCAGTAGGCTGAATGAGAGAGAAAATAGTTTGCCTGGATTTGTGGATGGAATCCTCCTTATGACTGTTTAAATTTCTCCGCAAGGTCGACTTATTGCCAGTTCTGGCTGGCTGTCTCAGCGGAGGCCTTGCTGGAGTATAACCAGCTTGGTGAGCTGTGTGCAACTGCTGTTGCTGAGATGCTGTACATCTCGAACAGCACCGTTGCACTACACGTTTGACAGGTTTTCCAATGGACGATGATGAACGAGTGAACATGGTCAACACGTAAGTTCATTGTAGAGAAGCACCAGTTGACTTTCTCCGTCGCGCAGACGTGTCTCGGCAATATGTTGCCGATTTCGTACATATATTCCAGTTTTGACCGGCATCAAACGATCTTACGACTGGACTTTCCTGAACTGCTATTTCGAGCCTGACATATATTCGCCTATTCACGCGCTGTAGGTCGTGCGACAGTCGGAGGAACAGCTATGCGAATAACTCTATCGCAATGGAGCATCGTCTCAAGACGAGGCTTCTCAACTTCACCAAAGGGTTCGCAGAAGAGAGTCATCGAGCTAGCATACACCCGCCATGAGCCCGCCGACACACCTGCTGAGTCCAGACCTCCCATTATAGTCATGCACGGTCTCTTTGGCTCACAGCGCAACAATCGAACATTCAGTAAGTACGGCAGACCCTCCTCATCGAAAGATGAGGTTGACACTAACACCTGTGCCTTCACAGAGTGCTAGCCAAAGAACTTTCTCGGCCAGTATACACAGTCGACCTACGAAACCATGGCGCATCTCCTCACAGCCCACGGCATGACTATACTTCCATGTCAGAAGACCTTGAGCACTTCATTAGCAACGAGGCACCAATAGTAGACTCTAAACCCATTCTCATCGGCCACAGCATGGGCGCAAAAGTAGCAATGACATGTGCTTTACGCTCTCCACGCGCATACAGTGGCATCGTACCACTGGATAACGCTCCCGTCGACGCAGCACTGAAAAGTGACTTTGGAAATTACGTTAGGGCCATGCTGGAGATCGAGGCTGCCAACCCACCACTCACCAAGCAGAGCGACGCAGATAAGATCCTCGAAAAGTACGAGTCAAACGTGGCAATTCGACAGTTCCTACTTACAAACTTGACCAAGGACCCGACAGATAAGAAGATGCTGAAATGGAGGATACCACTAAACACATTAGCCAAAAGCCTGGACTATATGGCAGACTTTCCGTTCAAAGATCCGGACAGTGCAAGGTTTGAAGGGCCGACGCTCGTGGTTAGAGGTGGTGCGAGCAGGTATGTGGCCGACGAGACACTGCCTGTTTTTGGAAGATTCTTTCCTAGGTTTGAGTTAGTCGATATACCTGGGGCTGGTCATTGGGTAGTGAGCGAGGCTTTTGAGGAAACTACTAAAGCTGTGGTGGAGTGGACGAAGAGGGTTGTTGACCAAGATGGGTAGTCCAATGTAGCAAGTCACAGCGTCACAAAGCCTAGAAGAATTTGCGGCTAGCGGCGTAATGTGCACGGAACAACAAGTCTCTGATTGAAATAGACAAGAAACTCGGAAGACCTTACGTCGTTTGGCTTTCCAGATATGGTATTCGGAATTGCTATAAAGCTTCATCATGCCTCCACTCCCCTCGTCGAGTACACTTCACCCGCGGTCATGTCTATCCTGATGACATGATGCACTTGCAATACCCGCTTTGTCGTTATCGCATCTTAATTGCAACTCGTCCCATGGTTGGAGAAGACGACGGTATCCGAAATTGAGTGCCTCGTGCGTTTCTGCTTGCCATCTAATATGCTTTCATAACTGCTTATACACTTTCCTGAATAGCTGGCTCCTTGAACTCACGGTCAAGCTTCTGGCCTGAATCATCAGCAGCGCTCTCGCCGTGCAGGTTGAGGAGAGCACCAAGATCGAACTTAGGTGCCTTGAGCAGCTTGACCTTTCGGATGTGTACATTTTGTAGAGGGTAGATGCCCTGTGTGCTCTTCTCAATCTCTCGTCCAATAACCTCAGGGATAAGCTTGCCTGTCAGCTGGCTCAACGTGCATGTAGTGGCCTCTCGCTGGATGATTTCTGTCATCTTCTTTCGGATGGCTCTGATCTGCGAGCTGGCAGCATATGTGGTCTTCTTGATCTGGTTTGGTCGTCTCTTCGTGAAGGCAATGGCGAAAAGTCGGATCAGATAATCGTCAGTTGTCTTGACGGTAACGTTGGCCTCGATTAAGGTTTGCCATTTTCTGACCAGCGATCGCAGCTTGTCGGATGTGAAGTCAAGACCGTGGAAGTTGGTCAAGCAGTTCTTGCCTTGAACCTCATCAACTCGCAGCTTGACCTTTCGGAACGCGTGGTCTTCGTCGTTCTGGAGATCGGCCAGGGAGACCTCGAAGATTCGTCCTTTAAGGGCGTCGTTTGCGTTCTTGAGACCTGTAGTTCGGTTTACGAGGGTTTTGCCAACACTACCCAAATTGTTAATAACTGTATGAAAATCGAACCTCTAGATGCGCATACTCTCGAACGTTGAATGTCGATGGGGCCTTCAAGTTGTACCAATCTTTTCTGGCGAAAGGATCCTGAGTTCTCTTCTTGAGGCCTTTCTTGCCTTTCGACAATCTCTTGTTCCTGTAAACAACTAATGTCAGATGCTACTCTTCCCGTTTCTTCTCGACTTTTGGAACGGATCATGGTGAATGCTTACTTTCCGACAGCCATGATTGCGACTTGATGTCAAAGATCGCAATGAGCTGGAATAATCTGTAGGACAAACTTGATCTTGCGGGTGCGGTTATGTTTAGTCGTGGATAGTGGAGAATTCTGAGTGCGGCAAGTGTGCCAAGATATCTATGGTCACGTGTCTGAGTCGACCATGCTGCAAATCAGGCTTCCAGGCATCAGACTTTCAACCTAGAAGGAGAATATCATGCTGTATTAAGTATGCCAAAAAGAAGAAATTACGTTGAGTATCAACGATTTACCATGATAGAGATCTTGGATTACAAGTTGGGAAGCCACAGAATATGAAGGGAAAGTTCTGTCGATTGTGCTGGCTTGTGTTTTGCCATGTCTGTCTTAAGACTTCCCCTCAATCTAGCAGGTTTTACAACGAGCCTAAGCATCCTTGTCTGGCGCCTCTAATCATACTTTCATGTTCTTCATACCATCAGCGACAGATGCGGCATTTGGCTGTGCCTCTTTCGATCCAGACCCAGCGGGTGCACCTCCTTTCTCCTTCGCTTTGGGTCCTTCTTTCTTCTTGCTAGAAGTCGACTCCTTTGGTAGTTCTTTCGTGTATGGAATGAAGTCGGGTGAGCCTGGGATGAATTTTCGAAGGACCTCTGGCACTTCAAAGCCGTCCTCCTTCTGATAGTTTTCGAGCAAACAGCAGAGTGTTCTTTCAGTCGCACACAAAGTCCCGTTCAGAGCATGTGCATAAGTCTTCCTCGAGTCAATGGCGCCCTTCTTCTGGCCGTATCGGATCTCGAGCTCTCGTGTCTGGTAGTCTGTACAATTTGAGCATGACACAAGCTCTTTGTACTCTCCTTGGAATGGGAACCAAGCTTCCAGATCGTACTTTTTGGCCGCTGCATTATTCAGCGCACCAGAAACAATGACCACTACTCGGTATGGTATCTTAAGGGATTGGTAGAAAGCTTCTGCGGTCTCCTTCATGTCTTCAAGTGCCTGCCATGATTCTTCTGGTTTTGTGAATAGAAATTGCTCGATCTAGAAATGTCAGTATATGTAGGCTCTTAGAATTGGATACGTACCTTCTCAAATTGGTGTATCCTGTAAAGACCCCAAGCATCCCGACCGTGAGAGCCAGCCTCTTTTCGGAAGCACGTGCTGTAGCCAGCAAATTTTTGTGGCAGATCTTGAGCGTTCATCCATTCGTCCGCATACATTGCAGACAGTGGTTGTTCAGAGGTTGCAATGAGGTACTTGTCGTCAGTGTCTGGTCCTTCGGTGACTTTGTATAGCTCTTCGTCAAACTGCTCCAGTTGCGCAGTCTTGCCCATATACTCCTTGTTCATGAAGTAGGGAGGTTGTATAGGGTCGTAGCCACGCTCGACAAGGAAGTGCAGACCGTAATTGATCAACGCTTGGTTCAGAAGCACACCCCATTTTCTTAGAAAGTAGCCCCGATGTCCTACAAGCTTTGCACCACGCTCGCCGTCATACAATTCAGCTCGTGTCATAACTTCGTGGTGTGAGAGACAATCTGTCTTCTCGACAGTGACTCCCTCAGGTGCCCATGTCTGAATCACCTCGTTGAAGTCTTCGTTGTTGTTAATCGGTACAGACTCATGGACATAATTGCCTATGGACTTGCACTTCTTGTCTCTCAATTTCTCTTTCTCGACGGCTTCTTCGGCTATCTGCTTGGCCTCGCTCTCGAGTTGCGACTTCTTCTCCAACAGTTCTGTGGCATCTTGCTTGTTCTTTTTCAGCTGACCAATCTCCTTCTGAACCTTACCAATCTCTGCTCGTTTCTGGTCTGCACGATATCGAGTTCTGTATGCGTCTTGCCACAGCTCAGCCACTTCGTCGACCAGTGCTTCGTCTGCATAACGTCTACGCTGCGATTCCTTTATTTTCTTAAGATCACCACCTCGGTCGGTGACGAAGTCAAGCACATCCAACATGACTGGGGGTATGAATCTGATCTAAATTCGACTCCTTCGTAGATCTGGAGCGTACAGGGTGTCACGAGAACAGCATTGATAATTACAAGGTCGTGCACCCTCGTACCACTCTGTGCTTTACCGACAATAAAATGTTCAGGAATGTTTACACTGACTCATCTGTCTGCCCCGCAGGGTCTAGCCTTGACTCAGGGGTAATCTCCGAGCCTGAAAAGAGACGGTGTGCTCACACGACTGCGTACCACAGCACTTCAGAAGTACTTCCTTACAACCGTTGACCAGCCGATCGACAAGCTATTATCTATGCGGTGTTGTCATCGTGGAGTATTTTTCATAACTCAAGATGTCGTACTGAGGATGGTGTTAAATTATGTGCCACCACTCAGGTAACCAGGTCGATTGCAGTCAAGTACGAAGAGGACAGAACGGACTCGAATCACTGGAGCATTCATTATGTAGCGGCACCCCAGATTTGCAAATTGCCTGAGCACTTCGGTGGAAAGGCCTGCGAATGTTGTGATAGTCGCAGAAAGTAATTTGCTTTCTGAAGAGCCAACCAACAGCCCATACCTTTGAATAACGAAAACCCTAGCTCGCGACGGCTAGCCAGGCTTCCAGGGTTCACAGATATACTAAACTGTGTTGCGATAACAGAGAGCTACTGAGTTGCTCCTTACGATCGCGCCTTACACCTGACACATTGCCAATCCCCGATGAATAGCGATCACGCATCTCCTCTCCGAATCCCAGCGCCTTGTGTTGCTACTTCTTCCAGAATGAGCGCTGGCTTCTTCAGTGTCAAATAGGAGTCGGCCAGATGTTCCTTGTGGTTGCTGTGCCACCGACATCCTTCTCATTGCTTCTCGCTGTATACTGGCTGCAATCGACCCAGCTGTTCGCCTTTTCAAGAATGGCGAGGCTGCATCAAAGTGGTGCAACGTCAATTGGCCATGAGCTCAAGTAAGTCGCATTGCATAACGAGCCATGGTAATGATGAAAGGATCAGCCTCACCATGTGGCGCAATCTGTTCATCGCGTACCCAGCAAGTCTGTACTCACGTTCTGGTTCAACTCCCCCAGTAGATTATCACCAGAGCATCGATATATCAGTACGAAGGCACGGCAAACAAGTCGAAGATGGAGACCCCAAGAATTTCAAATGAAAGTCAAATGTTAGCGTTCACTTGCATTCGGGCACTTTCCAGCTCTATTGATCGTACCAGGTAGTCGCCTTGATCTGCTTTGCTGGTCGTAGTTTCATGTGTGAACAGTGTCGAACTCGTATCCAAGACAATTCTCTAGGCACCTTCTGAATCCCTTAAATCTAGCTTTTTCTTCAACTTATTTTGCGACCACAGCATAATGTCCTTCGTAAGCAGCATAGTCGGCCACTGGAGGTTCAGCGTTAGATCGGTGCAGCGGCTGGGCAAACGTCCTTTTGCACATGCTGCGACGAATTGCTGCCTGGAGCGCACTCCACTACTAGGCGCAGGCGGAGCCGATGCAGGCCGAGGGTCCATTTTTGTTAGTCGCGATTTCCATCCTTGCTTTTCCAACTGCTAAACGCAACTCCTGTTCTACCAGAATGGCACAAGGCATGAGGTCAAGCGGGTGAGCTTAATCCACGAAATGGTAGACATCTGAGTCACTTACATGTCGTTCAGGTTATTCTCTCACATTGTTTACAGCAGTGATATTTCATTTATAGACTAACTAGACTTCACTGACAACGTCATCATCGAAGTTGCTGAACATTCCTATTACCAAATCGTGCTTCGTCCCAGTCCCACTACGACTACTATTTGAGGCTTGTGTTTAAGTGTTTGCAGCTACTATTTTCAGAGAATATTACAAACGACGCTAGCAGATACTCGTTCTTTGTTACTGGGGGAGTGTAATTCTACAGCAGGCCACAAAATACAAGTCAGCTTTTTGAAGCCAGCCACGGTTCAAAATGGCTCCTTCTGTGAAGCAGAGAAAGATTGCTATACTGGGCTCCAGAAGTGTCGGTACGTATTCAATATGAGTCGGATGTTGCGGTGACTGAGCGAGCGCAGGCAAATCGTCCCTCACCGTCCGTTACGTCGAAGGCCACTTCGTTGAATCTTACTATCCGACCATCGAGAACACTTTCAGTCAGGAGATTCAGTACAAGGGACAGACGTTCTTGACAGAGATTATTGACACGCAAGGACAGGTCAGTCACATTTCATGCATAGGAGTGGCGACGCAACTAAGCCTGGCTGCAGGATGAATACAGCATGCTCAATTCCAAGCACTTTATTGGTATCCATGGCTACATGTTGGTCTATTCCGTGGCGTCTCAACAGTCTTTCGAAATGATTAAGGTCATTCACGAGAAGATCCTAAATCATTTGGTAAGGTGTTCTTTGAACCAAAAAGGTCGTTAGGCTGACTCTCTTCGAGGGCGCTGACTCAGTGCCAATCATGATCGTCGGCAACAAGAGTGACGTCCAAGAGGGTCAACGTCGAGTTTCGGAGGAACAGGGCAAGAAGGCCGCACGAGAGCTCAAAGGTGGCTTTGTCGAGACATCTGCTCGTGAAAACAAGCATGTCACCAAGGCATTTGAATTGATGATCGCTGAGATCGAACGAACGGCCGAACCAGAGAAGCCAGCTGGCGGAGGGAAGTGCTCGGTCATGTAGAGCAAGAACGCGAGGCGATGCAAGGTAGCGAGATTGGTGTCTAAGCATTTGTGGAAACAGTTTCGCGATTCTCGCGCATGAGAGACTCCTCAAGCGGACCTGACGACAGTAACAAAGGTGGTATTCTGGGTGGTCAACGTTGACGCTTGATATTTGGTTGGTGGCGTTGCGATAGATCCGCTGCTTTTACTTATTTGCGACACTCACTCTAGGCCGGCAGTCGAACAGCCGAGGCGATAATACAAAGCTTACGAACGTCACTTCTGTGTCGTTCTGATTTAAGAGTCATCTTTGGGATGCTGTGTTGTCAGACAATAGGCCACCTGGTGCACTCCATGGATTGCGTGCGGGCGTTCACCAGAGCAGTGCCTTTCTCTCGCGGAAGGCATAGCGAGCCTTCTCGCCAATTAATCGACCGAGAAGTTCTGTGTTGAGCGATTGACCGTGGGCTAGAACAGGGTCATAGGGAACGCGACGAAATTGTCTATGTCTCGAATCCAAGCTCTCGACGTGTTTGCGTCGCAGTTTCCTGGATGGACTGTCAAGCAGCAACTTCCTGAGCCTCTGCCAAGCTCCTGCCTTCTGACACAGGGTTGGCGTTGTAATCAACTTGAACAGCTATATTTTTGGTCGATATACCCGTCATTCTGAGACAAGATAGACACCTTCTACGTTGCTCTCACGGATTGAGACATGGACGTAGCTTTGGGTATGGTTTGTTCCATGGGACAATGAAACCTGGATGACTGAGGGCAATAGAATAGATTGACTGATTGTCTTATAATTACTGCCAAGCCTGCCCGTCACTGTCCGGAACACCTTATTGCCCTGGTCATTTCCCTTCAACTTCAAAGTTGAGGACTACTAGTATCGGTAGCATTATTGCACAACTTTCATCCAGTCATCGATGTGGCCACCTTGAACGCCAAATACTAGGAAGATGGACCAGACGGACATCCACCATTCATAGACAATCATATATCAGCTATTGCTTGGAGAGCCGATGTAGATGAACGAAAGGAAATCGACCACAGATATGGCCGAGTCTGCCTATATTACAGACGAGTGCAGGTACAACCTGCCAGCTGGTTTGACGAAGGATCAACTGCAGAGCTTTCCCGCCTACAAAGTGTGGATTTCAGCACTCACCAAAACCCTGAATGCACAAGCTTCGCCTGAGAACCCCTATCACGAGAAGCCATACAGACTTCATGGCGTCACTATCCAGGCAGTCGACCGCTTCAGGGGAGGACGGCTCGGTTTTCTGAAGCTCACGGCCGACATACGTACGGATGATGGCGAAACAATACCAGGTTCAATCTTTATGCGGGGTGGAAGTGTGGCAATGCTTCTCATCCTCAAGGCTGAGGACAGTAGTGTAGAAGAAGAATATGTCGTCCTCACCAATCAGCCTCGTATACCAGCTGGCACGTTTTCTTTCCTGGAGATACCAGCCGGCATGCTTGACGACAGTGGTACTTTTACCGGAGCTGCTGCCAAGGAAATCGAGGAAGAGACAGGATTAAGAATAGAAGAGAGTGAGCTCATTAATATGAGTCAACTAGCGTTACAGGTCTCATCCAACGCAGACCCAGACGGACAGCAAGACGTGCTTCAACAGGCAATCTATCCTTCACCAGGTGGCAGCGATGAGTTCATTCCACTATTCCTAGTTCGAAAGACAATGCAGAAGACTGAGATTGAAGGACTAGAAGGGAAGCTGACTGGATTACGAGACCATGGCGAAAAGATTAGCCTAAAGATTGTAAGGCTCACTGATGCCTGGAAGGTAGCAGGACGAGACGCGAAGACATTGAGTGCCCTATGTTTGTATGATGGGTTGCGGAGGGAAGGTAAACTATAAGTTGTGCTGTCTGTTGCCATTGAAAGCATTGGATCCGTTCAGACACGACCGTCTCAGGCCGCAGCACTATAGCGAGTCTCGACTCACTCCTGGTTTCTTTCCTTTCACGTGAAAAACGTGAGATACGCTCTCAATTGAGCTTTACGGGAAACCCACACGACAGAAACGACGGCAATGAAGAGATCGGAGGGAGACGATTGACAGATCGGTACTCGCCCCTAAGATCTCCTTCAATTGTCCATAGATTGACAAGAGAACACACTTACATCGAAGGGGTCAGGTGAATGCTAAGCTGGACGAGCAAGAGACGGAGCATGTGCACTTCTTGAGTGGCAGCCTAGACATCGCGTCGCCAATTGTCAGGTGGAAATCACTTTGAGTGTTTGCTTCGATCTCCTGCCACAATCTCAAACTTTTTAAGCTCCGATAAATTGAGCGATACTCGCAACTACTGTCGATCAAATCTTCTTTCTAATCTATAATCTGGTTCGATGTAAGTGATCATGCTCTTACCCACCTGCCTGCTTAGCTCATCTGAACTGACTGGATCTCAAGATCAAGTCTGATTGTGCATTTACAATTTGAAATTGAAACCTTCACCACTAGCATACCTTCAAAATGCCTCCAAAGAAGCAAGATCCAGACTCGCAAGTCGCTAGCGACATCAATGCTCTAGCCATCATGATGGCAACCGCTACAGAATTCAATCCAGACTACAATGCCGTTGCTAGAGAGCTAGGTATTTCCCATGGGAAGAACGTGTAAGCTATCTGCGTCTCTTAGCGACTTTCTCCAGCTCACACGACGCAATCAGGCCTCGCAAGATGGACACTATTCTCAAGCAAGCAGGATATCAGCTCAAGAACAAGAAGGTGGTGAAGATCGATGAAGATGGTGCACCGACTACTCCAAAAGTCAAAGAGCCTAAGACACCTGGTGGTACTGATGACGAAGACGGGAAGCCGACCATTACAAAGAAATCCATTGCGAAGAAGCCAGCCTCGAAGAAAGGGGTTACACCAAAGAGAGAGAGCTCAAAATCTCCAACCAAGAAAGCTCCTGCTACGCCACAATCGAAGAAGCGAAAGCTAAGCGAGGACATCGACGAGGAGGATGAAGATATCAAGACTGAGAAGAGCGATGAAGACGATGACGATAAGGACGAGGATATTGATGATGACGGAGATGAAGCAGAGGAATGGTGGCGTCACGGCGAAATCAAATAGGGAGGAGGCCTAGCTCCGATCATGGTTGAGTTTGCATTTGTTCGCACAATAGAGAGGCATGCAAAAGGTAACGAGCATGCTGCTTGTATAGAGGAATGGCTGGGTATCTGCATTGAAACGTGAATAACACTGATTGCGCAGACTTCAAGGTATATCTTGCTCTTCATTCAATTCATAATGGCCTTCAAGCTCTTTCCGCGGAACGCTAACACCTGTACACTGGCATTCCAGCGTAGATCGCATCTACACGATCCGTATCGTCTCTATGGACATAACACATTGTAAGTATCAAACTCAACTCTTCACCCCTGCCGCCATGCCACAAGTTTGAATCTATCCACGTGCACCAGACTCGATTGATACATATATATTTTCGAAACACAAGAACCCTATTGCCTTTACACCGGGGCCTTTCATGGAAGCCATTGGTCGAAATGTTCTCCAAACTGAGTATCTTCGACATAAGGGCCAAAGTTGTTGTGCTCGTTGGCCCCCAGTAGGTCCGGGTCAAGGCCAATGTCGTCCACAGCCGGATATCCAGGCAGTCGTAGAACTGGTGCTGTCTGCCCCATGTATTCGGATAGGTTGTATGCATTGTCTGAAAAGTCCCAGCTGCTGCCAATGACTCGATCTTGGACAGGCAGGATGCCTTCTTCAGTTGCGTAGTTGTCTTCTTTTCCATCCTCTTCGTCTCTGAACTCTTCTGCCAATCTACTAGGACTCTTCGTATTCCTAAATTCTGGAATCGTGGCCTCGACTGCTGTGGACGTCTTGCGTCGCTTGGGAGCTGGTTCGTGCGTGAGCACAAGAGGCTCGACCTGACTAGCACTTTTGCGCTTCATGGGTGCTCTCTTGGTTGCTTTTGAAGCTGGTGCGGGCTTGGTAGCGGGCGAAGCTGGAGCAGAAATGGTTGCTTTCCCCTTGGCACGAGATGGCTTTGTTGATAGACCACTGAGAGCACAGGTCAGGTATCGCAATCGCTCTTTTCTAATAGAACGTAAGCACTCGACCGAAACACAGCGTTTGCAGAAGGTCCTCACACTGCCTTGCTGTTTGTAGCACCCGTCAGATTTGCAATCTCATTCCAATCTTCTGGAGGAAGGAGATTAGCTGGCTGAACGCGTTGTAAAACCTCCGCAAGAAGAGTGACTTGGTCTTTGTTGAGGGTCACACTGTCGGGCTTAGATCTATCGTTGCTGGAAAGTGGCATATTGCGATGGAAAGCTGATAGATGGATGAGGTTTGGCTGGCAGATCTGGTGGCTGATCGGTTCGGGAAAGGCAGGCATAAAGAAACTCAGATGAAACTTGAATGAGGACATGTAATATATACCTCGTTGCTTGAAAGATATACCTGCTCGTCATGTCACGGGGGTGTCGCATGGGTGTCACTAAGCTCGTTATTGCCTTAAGTCAAGCGTCTGTGAGCCCCTTCTGGTACCAAAATGCCTCCTTGCTTTAGCAACACTCCCTGTTTCTTGTCGTGTTGCTGGATCTGTGTTCAAGCACTCACTATCACTCCAGGAGACCTCTATTAATCCTCGTCGGTATCCTCTTGCATGCTCGCTTGAGCCTGTGAGTCGCTGACCTCAGCTGCATCGGTATCTTCCACAGTAACCACCTGTCCCTGCTGCTTCTTCTCCCCCTTCTTCCCGATCACTGCTGATGTAGTCGCATCATCCTGAGTAGAATGTACCTTCTTAACGGCCTTTCTTTTCTTTCCCTCGTCCCGCTTCGCCTGGTCAGTATCATCACCAGCCTTTCTCTTCCTGCTTCGAGTCGGCTTTGTAGTCTTTTGCTTGGCAATGGCAATATTATTCTCGGTATCCTCACCTTTTTTCGCGGCAGGCTTTTCGGGTCGTGCGTTCTTGCTTGGCGATGCTTTTTCGTTGGAAGTATCATTGACCCCAGTAATCTTCGATTCACCTTCAAGCTTGTAGTCATGCTTTTCCACAATAGCCTTGAGTCGAGACTTGCTGTGAGTAGCGAATCAGTTACAGACCAAAGACGATCTTTGGACGCTCGTAGTAAGAACTCGTGTTAGCACTTACATAGCCGAGGGACCGCTCACATGCCACGCTTTGGCGACGCTTTCGAAGTCGGGCTCCCATTTCGAGTGCTTGAGCAGAGCCAGAAGGAAGTCGGTTTCTTTTTCGTCTGTCATCTTCTTTGCAGGACCCCAGATGCTAGAAATCGAGACGAAGCCGTTCCGCTCTCGCCTGCTGAGAGGACGACCTTCTTTCAGCAGATATTGAACATCTGGTAGAGTAAAGTATGGAGATTTTGGAGGAGGATTAGTGGTTAGTGCTTGCTCAACATCAGATGCCATTCCAGGATGAGCGCTCGAAGAACGAAGTGAGGGGGTGTCATTAGAGACCAGAAACGGTACACATTGCCCGTGGTAATGCAACTAGCAACTTCACTTCTGCCCACAGTGAGCGTGCTCGGACTTCATTTTCGTCTTATAGCAACAATTAAATGACGAGGTAAAATTGTGCAGCTTTTGGGTAGCCATATGAGCTGTATGAGCATAAAAGGAACTTCATCACGCATAGAAACAGTCACCAGTTCCGATGAGCTGCAGCAACCATCGCAGTGACCTTGAGTACTTCATTGCTTTAGATAGTTACTGTCTTCAAGTTCCAACGTGTCATGCTTCGCTGGAAGCCGAAGCTAGGTATCCATCCAAGTGAAGGGCTTAGCTGTTATGCCGCAAGAGATGCACGATCCTCGAACAACACAATGTTCGCCGCGCCACGATAGGAGGGAACATTAATTGAGATCTGACTGGAGTCTGCAATGCGATTCGCAAGGCGCGATTTAGAAACACGGCCTTTCACGCGTTTAGAGGCATTCTTACTCCACACAAGCTCCCGATCTCTCAATTGTGGCCGCTCCGTCGCGTATTTATGGTCGCTCTATGTTCTCTTACACTGCACAACTTGCATCACAACAAGTGAAGCCTTTTGCTGACGTCGATTGTACCTGTAGACCCGTGCTCGTTGTTCTCGCTATCTTCAACCTGGGTCATTCAGCACCGTCAGCCTCGTCGACCTTTCCATCGACCTCTCCATCAACCTCCTCCTCCTCCTTCACAACCTCTTCCTTCTTCTGCTTTCGCTTCTTACTGGGAATTCCTTCAGCGTCGACGACTTTCTTCTTTCTCTTAGAGGGAGTGGCAGCTGCCTTGCTCGAACTGTTGGTACCGTCCAGTGGAGTGATCTTGCCAGCTGCGAGCTGAAAACCGTCCTTCTTCAATGACTCTTTGAACTTTCGTTGACTGTAGGTTATGGTCAGTGTTAAACATTGTGCATCAGAAAATCCATTACTCACGCGTTGCCTGTCAATGAGATCCCAAGCTCTTCTGCGAACCCTTTCCAATCAACATCTAGAGTGTTGAGATGCTTGAAGACAGCAAGGTAGGTTTGGATGCGACCCTCGGCGTCACCCATTTTGGTTTGAGGTAATGGATCGTGCTTGATGTGGGAGTTAAGTCGATCAGAAGTAAATATGGCAGTTCATAAGACGAGGAGATTCATGGAGGATAGAAGCAAGGTAAGAATTTATTTAACTTCATAAGCCTGCTATCACTTCACAGTCATGTCTATTTCGGTACGACGACGTTATTGTGCCAGAACACATGTGATTCATCATAAACTTATGCACAACTGAACTGCGAGCAGGACAAGTCGGATGAGCACATCTTCGAACAGCTTCTAAGCCTGCCGAACGTTGTCCTGGCGGGAGGTTGGGCTGCAGCACAGGTGCTATATTTTCAATTCTACCTTCACTGTGGGTTGCCACCAACAGCTTTTCAATCGCTTGTGTGAACAGCCTGCGGGATAGCGTCGATGCTGCCTAATTGTCGACTTACGAGGGCCGTGCACGTGGACTTCTTGCCAGTCCTACCCGCTGCATCTACTCTGGTAACTGTTCTCACTCCCAAACAGTTCTCGATCGACCAAGATCAATTCAAGCAATTCGATCGACTCATCACTTTCTCAGCACTTGACCAAAAACTTTGAAATTGCCAAGCAACCATGACACCCTCAAAGAAGACCATGACTAGCGATCCCCAAATCGATATTCTCAAGAAGGCAATCAAATGTGTCCATGGTACGATCGACTTTGATGAACTAGCAGAGTCTATGGGTGTTGCAAATGGCGAAGCCATGTAGGTAGCCTTTCATCTGTTGTTCTTCCTGTTCTAATTTCTGCAAGGCGTAAGCGATTCAAACGCATGTTTGACAAGGACGATGAACCGCTCCATATGGTCGGCAGCACGCTAGGTGGCGGGTCTGATGGTGCAGCATCTGTCAAACCTGCTAGGACACCTCGAACGCCCAAAACAAAGACTGCTACTCCAGACACTGGCGTGAATCCAGCCACACCTCGTTCGAAGTCTACTCATGAAAAGAAGCGGAAGGCTTCAAAATCCGATGACGAATCTGCCAAGGACGAGGGCTCTCTTAGTGGACCAATCAAGGACGATGCAACCTCCAATGACGGTGGTGTTGTCGCAGGGCCTGAATCACCTCCTAAAAAGAGAAAGACAAGCAACACTACCAGTACTCCAAAGTCAACCAAGCAATCGAAAGCCGCGAAGTTCACCAAGGTTACCAAGATGACTCGAGAGCACGAGACTGGTCTCAAAGACAATGACGAAAGTAAAGTCAAGGAAGAAGACAGTAAGATTGGCAGTCCAGAAGTTCAAGCCATGGTAGACGGTGAAATCAAGAAAACCGAAAAAGCCACTGGTGGTGCTGTCGGAGAACCAGAGCGACAAGCTATCCACGATGGTGTTCAAAAGAAGGTTGCTTCGACCGTCAGTGGTTGAGGGGTATCACAGCGCACGGATTCTGGCTTATGGTGGGAATATTTACGGTTGAACTATCAATCAACGCACCACAGGAGATGACTTAGGAGGACGAGTCTGTAGGAAGTACCCTGCGTACGAGGATGGCCTCTGATTGTTTCCAGTTTTCACCGATGGTTAAGGTGGCTCGGGAGAGCGAGAAAGAGTGGTGGGGAACAATAAGAAACTATCGCTGCTTGTCCTTACGACAGATCGAATACCTAAGACGAATACAATATCAAGGGCTTATGCTATATGGCTCTAATAGACCAGTCACTTCCGTAAAGTATAATATCAGAAGGATCTGGCTTTGCAGTGGTGTGAAGAACCTGCTTCCTAGCAGTTGGTCACTTCCGCTCCAATCTCAGATATTAAAGTGAAGATTCACTGAGGTCTGTCTCCTGGAGCTCTTGATCTACATCCTTCTACCTCCGTCTCCTCAACCAAATTCTCCTCCATATCACAATTTGCGCTCACTCATAGCACTTCCATTGTCATCGATCTGTTCAAACATAATCCTCCCACTATCGAGCAATGCCTTCCAAATCAGAGGCTGACCACATTATACTGCTGCTTGCGATCATCGAACACACTGAAGGAGCCAAATGGAACGATGTCGCTGTCGATACCGGTCTGTACAAATCAGGCAAGTTTGTGTAAGTCTGTTCAGCCAACCGTCGTGAGAACACCTACTAACGTTCGTCCCCTTCATAGCAAACAAGCATACGATGCGATCAAGAAGAAATACTCCAACGGTGCTCCTCCTGCGGTCTCAACTCCAAAGTCCAATGGAAAGACCAAATCAACGTCTAAAAAGCGAGCGAGCCTCAGTGAGGAGGATGATGGTGAAGCCACGTCAAGCAAGAGGGCCAAGAAGGAGGCCAGTTTTAGTAAAGATGCTGAGGATGAACTCGCTTCGTAATAGCTATAGCTGTTGGCTATGCTGGCGAATGACAAGACTGTGAGGAGCGAACATGACTGGGATGCGGTTGGCCAAGAAGTGGCTAACATGGTGTGGTGGTGAGCTTGAACATTAACTCGAGTTATATTGTTGCTCGAGAGAAAATACCATCGCGTCCACTGGTGCAGTACCCGTCCCTTGCCAGCATTCATTGATCAAACGTGACGTCACGTTCTCTGTGTACAAATGCCTGATATCTCAAGGACGGATTCTCTGATGAACATCTTTCGGGCGTCCTTCGGTAAAACTGATAAGATAGGACAAATTTATTGTTCTTCGAAGTTACAACTTCTGCACTGCGAGGAGCACTTCTGAGCACACCTGGAGTAGCTTGACGGCTCAACATATGGCATCTCACTTCAAACAGCGTAGATCCGCTGGTGTATCAAAGAAAAGATCACACCAAAGGAGAGGACCAGCCGAGCCAACCTCGACATTCAACCCTTCCCGTACTCAGGATGTAGGGTGGGTTTCTCTTTATTCAGGATATGGAAATCGATGTTGACATTTCTAGAGATGAGGCAGACTACGGAACGGACGATCAAGACGATCTAGAGGAGAATGCTTCGTCGATCGAAGATCAACAAGCGTCCTCGGAGGACGAGGCCACTCCACCAGCACATGCATATGCCAGTCTGCTGTGCGCTTTGAAACCCTCGAACATTGATAGGGACAGACCCGCGAAGAGACGCAAACTCGAAAATGGAGTCACTGGAGTGGATTCTGGTGCACAAAGGCAGCGCATGGGGAGCGACCCTCAGACGAAAGAAGAGACGATCGTGGGCACCAATGAAGCAGCAGCACTGGCCGAAGAAGTCGAAGACGAACTAGAAGTTGATGAGGAGGATTCAGATGACGAAACGTTCGTTCTTCAAGATCCTTTCGAGAAACATTACGCAAGCGTGGCAGAAGCTGAGCTGACTGCAGCAATTGAAAACCAATCCGGAACAGGCACAATGTCCAGGACTATAGTAGGCAATCATGTACGCAAAATTCGCACCTCTTACAATTGTGACTCGGCCCCGTCCAACAGCGAGACCACAGCGAAAGGAACGAAATTAAAGCAACGGCTTGCCAAGGTTGGGAAGGCCTTGACGGATACCTTACAATTGGAAGAGTTGGATGTGTTGCATGAGAGTCTAAATTATCAAGATATCATCTACGGCTGCAGATCTGTGCAAAATTCTGGCGCCCTGAGGGATGTATCAGCTCTACATACACTGAATCATATCTTCAAGACTCGAGATAAAGTGCTCAAGAATAATGCCAGGCTGGCTCAAGAGACAGCTGCTGATACTGAGTATCGTGACCAAGGCTTTACACGGCCGAAAGTGCTGGTGCTGATACCGACAAAGCAGGCGTGTGTACGATTTATTGACACTATAGTCAAACTGAGTGAGCCAGATCAGCAAGAAAACAGGAATCGATTCATGGACACATTCTCCCTACCAGAGGACGACACCTTCCAGAACAAGCCTGAAGACTTTCGCGAGCTGTTCAGTGGAAATCACGAGGAAGATTTTCGAGTAGGGCTTAAGTTCACCCGGAAGACGATCAAATTCTTCTCAGGGTTTTACAACTCAGATATAATTCTTGGCTCGCCCCTCGGCCTGACGCGGACGATCACAACTGGTGGAGGTAAGAAGGACGGTAAGAAAGGACACGACGCGGATTTCCTTTCCTCAATCGAGATTGTGATTGTAGATCATGCCAATGCTTTGGAGATGCAAAATTGGCAGCACGTTGACTATGTCTTCTCTCAGCTCAACCAATTACCTAAGGAGTCGCATGGCTGTGACTTTGCTCGAGCACGAAACTGGTATCTTGACGGCAAAGCCAAATATCTTCGCCAGACGATCATCTTGTCAGACTACATTACTCCCTCAATATCCGCATTAGCTTCGACCTATCTTCTCAACGTCGCTGGCCGAATCAAATATACGCCCACATATCCAGGTACGATGCTTAATGTATCACCCTCAATCCCGTTCCCCATAACTCAAAGCTTTCTTCGGTTCGAATCCTCATCCCCTCAGACAGACTCGGACGCCCGCTTCAAATTTTTCTTCTCGACAATTCTCACTAGCCTACTACGCTCATCAAATAAAGCTGTCAACAAGGGTACGATAATATTCGTACCGACATATCTCGACTTCGTCCGCCTCAGAAACCACTTCTCCACTGCGGCGGAGACGACCTCCCTTTCCTTCGGCACCATCTCTGAGTACTCAACCAAGGGCGAAGTAGCTCGTGCTCGCTCGCACTTCCTTTCTGGACGACATAGTGTTTTGCTATACTCGGAGAGAGCCCACCACTACTTCAGATATAAGCTTAGGGGCGTCAGAAGGCTGATCTTCTACGGTGTACCTGAGAATCCGATCTTCTGGACTGAGATGGTCGATGCACTCGGTGAGAACGCACAATCGGATCTGGAGTGGGCACAGAATCAAAAAGGGAAGCAGGGTAAGGGATTTCTTAGAGCGTTGTTCTCTAAATGGGACTTCATGAAGCTAGAACGTATTGTCGGAACTGAGCGGGTTAAAAGGCTTGTGAGTGAGCGTGAGGGCGATGTTTTTGATTTTGTGTGAACAATAAGTCAATATATACCTCGATGAAAGAGTTTGATACCTAACTCCAACACATAGTGTCCGCTGACGGGAACAATACAAGATGTCGCCCAAATGCTCGCTAATTCAATAGAGGTTATATTGATTGGTGGTAATGCAGACGCGACGGGATCTTCCAGGATCAGTCGATTTTGCCGTCCCATCCACTATCTTTAAACGCCCATCTCACTCCTTCTCGCACGTCATCAACAATACTTGTTGGCTTTATAGAAGGCTCCTCACCCGGCCTTGCTCGAAACACACCTGTCCTGGTCAAAAGACTCATCCACTGTGCTCCCACCTGACTCTCATAGTTATTCGCTCCCATTATGTCGCTTTCAGGGTTATCACCAATCATGTATACTTTGTTCAAAGGGACTTCCTGGCCGATATCCTTGCCATAGGCGCCCTCACGGAACCTTATCAGCTGTTTCTCAGCATATTCGTAAGTCAATTTGTGTGGCTTCCCCAGAATTTCGTACTTGAGTGGGATCTCTGTTCCACTTGCTGACTTGGTGATTGCGCGCCAGACGCCGCACAGTGCCTCGCGATAGCCGCCTTGACCCAAGCGAGAGAGTGGGTAGGCTGAGGCCCAGAGTAAGTCGGGGTTGCTAAAGTAGATGACTGGCTGGCCATCAGCTTGGTAGCCGTGGTTCGGCAGGTCCTTCTTTCCATTCTTCGGGGAATAGGTACCTACTATACCTTTGTGAGATAACATTATATCAAGCACGAGTTGGACGTCCAGGCCCCAGTCTCGTGGGTCATTGAAGACAAAGATAACGTCGATCTTTAGACTCTCGTTTTCTGCGTCCGCGGATTCAATGTTGACTGGTTTGGGAAGTGGTTGTGCGAAGGAGGAGTAGTACGAGTTGAAATTAGAGCTGAATGGCCAGACGTCTGGATATGCTGTTAAGATATCCCCTGGAGTAACCACGTTCTCAAAGCCGTATGACTCCGCAACTCGGCGGCACTTATCATCGTCGCCTCCTACCACGAGTACACATTTCTTCTTGTATGACGGGTCACCATGGGTCGTAGCCAGTTCACGAAGAGGAGTATGTGACTGTACCAATTGAGACTCTTGGATGTGGTATTTTTCTGGAAGCGAGAGCTTGATATTAAGGTCTTTGGCGCGTTTGAGCTCAGTCTTACCACCACCGTTCGTGAGAAAGATGGAGGGTATCCCGTTTGTTTGGAGGTAGGATATTGCTTCGGGAGCACCGGGGATCGGATCGGAGGAGCGAAGGAGCACGCCGTCGATGCTGAGTGTCTGTGAGCTGAGCTCACTGGGCCGATCATCGAACTCACTCAAAAGCGAATGCAAAGTTGGGTATCCTTTGGGTAGGTGGCTGTGAAGAGTGGTAACGACGACCTGTGCATGTTGAACGTACTGTCTGTTTGAGACTTATGCGAAGCTGTTGGGCCGCTCGGCCGCACACGCCGTGTCCCATAGTACAGTGAGAGATATAACTTGCGAGGTACTGAGTATTGAATTTCCAGCGATGGGCAGAATCGCATGGTTGCGTACACGCTTGATGTGCTACGTAATTTCCTGTAATGTTGTAATTTCCAGCCGTGGGAACAGCTAGGCAAAGGGTTAATCACCTAAGCATTGATCGTTTGAGACTCCATTAAGGCGCTCATTTCAACTAAATACTGCCGCAACACGGCGTGGTACAAGGTGGTCCCCCTTATCGAACACCTGGACTACTGTCATTATTAATGCTCCTGCTCGCATCACAAACCTATGTGCTTGAGGTCTCCTTTTGAACTGACGAGCAAACAATGCAACGCCACCAAAATTGGGTCCCCAGTATCGTAGCGAATGACCAAGCCTATTTCTTAAAAGCATCTATATTGCGAACGGAATGCACGATCTACAGACAACGAGCGACAGCGTCGACATAGGAGCATGAGACGTAGTGCATGATGAGGCAACGGCATAGCTATATTGCGATGCCAAGGCCTGACTTCAAACTTGAACATCAGGAAGGGCCCTGTTTCCCTTTCTTATGACGAGCATACACTTGTTCGTCGGTGATCGCTCAGCAGTAGAAGATGTCGACGGGCCTCTTCTCTCTGAGCCTTGAACTGATACTACGTATCACCAAGATTCCAGGAATCGCCACGGTGCGGAACGCCGAACTTCACGAAGAAGGCATCTACAATGCCAGAGAGCATGACGAACAAGGAAGATCCACAGAAGATCTCGTCCCAGCTGAGCTCAAAACGCTGATAAACCTCAGCTGTACTTGCACTCACTTTCGTGCCGTCCTTGCACCAGTCATCTACCGGAAGCTCTGGCTCACCAATACAATCACCAGCGCTACCAGTATCAAGGCAATAGCCGCGACACGCTTTCGTATCCACGTTAGAGAGATACTCTTTGTCGGCCGAGCACCCGGCAGCGAGGAAGATGGCTTCGAGCAAGTAGGAGAAGTAATCGCAAGTGAAGTGCTTGAAATCTTAGCTAACTTGCGCTCTTGCTTTCCAAATCTAAATTGCCTGAACGTTGGTTTTGCCTTCGAAGCCTGGGACTACGACAAATGGGCTAATCACCTTTCCGAATCTTTCATCAATCCTGAGAGTGACGATGAAGTTGAGCATCTCGAGACTAAGGAGAGCTTCCGTGCTCTGACAGCCAGCGTTTGGGGTGCTATATCGCGCAATAAACCAGGCATAATCAAGACTCTCAAGATGCGACATTTCTTTCCCAAATTGGTCACGACATACTTTTCGGAGAAGTTCCAAAGCTTTCTGGGTGGAATTGAGGAGTTCGAGATGTCTGTTTGGGGGCAGGACGATGGTGTTTGTGCAAGCAATACGGGCGACGGCTATCTCGACGCGATCTCGAAGTTGGACAAGGTGTTCGCCAACTTACGATTCTGCACTGAATTTACACTGCGGAGCAGCCAATATGGCTGGATGGGCTGCGAAGGCATGAGCCACGTTCCTTTGCCACTGAAACCAGGTACAATGCCAAAGCTCGAACGGCTAACATTGCATCATTGCTTCCTTGGTCCAGAACTGTGCGACTTCCTCCAGACTCACAGTGGTACACTGCGAGAGATAACCATGCAAGATTGCTGTGCAGTTCCAGACAGACGCACGAACAACGGCATAGAATGGTGCGAATTATTCAGAACCGTAAGGACTTTGCAGAAACTTGAGAAGGTGGAAGTGTTACCTGCGAAGCTGCCATATTCTTGGCACATGCAAAACAGTTTGGTAGAAAATGACGAAGACGTTCGGGAAGATGTTGGCAAGGCTGCGAAGGAACTCGAAACAAAGCAAGACAGAAGAATGTTCGCTTATGGTGAGCGTAAGTTCTTTGGTACCCTTTCGGCTCCGCCTCTTGCAATTATTGTTCGCTGCCAGGTTGACTAACAAGAGTGATGATAGTGAATGATAAATACAGAGATTGGAGTTTGAGATCAGACAAAATCAGAGAACATTTCTGGAGGGGACATGACCAAAAGGAGTGGTATGATTTGATCGACACGCTCAGACAGCGAGAGCTCGTCGAAGCACAAACGCAAAATATCATCGCAAAGATTGTTAGATCTGGTGAATACTAAACTAAGGTACTAGGGTATACGTAAATTTCGGATGTGCTGGTGGTGGAGAAAGGTGAAGCATGCCACTGCATCTCCAACGTCTGAGTACAAGAGGGGCTTCCTGAGATATAGCGTCGCTGAACTTCGGGTCGTCGGCCTTGTAATATAGTCGCAAAGTACTCACAACACACGCTTTTCGATACCAAGTAGCTTCCTCTTGATCTTACCGATTTGGTCGATCTACCTGCCGAACCTGAAGCAGCTCGATATACAGTCAACATACGAACCCCAACAACTGAGTCACTTAGGATAGGTGATATGTCAGCATCTGACCAGCACCCAGTCATACCTGATCGTCCAACAATGGACCATCCACCGGAGGACGCCTGGAAACATACTGGTGTTCAAGTCGTCCCAGGTGATCAGCTGGACACTAATACTGCTCAAACGCCAGGCATGAATCGTGCTGCAGCAATCACATTCGCTCGTACAGGAGCACAGAAACTGTGTGTTCACCACCACTATCGTTTGCTGCAAAGCTATACCAGTACTGATCACGATGTAGCTGGGCCGGAACAGTGCATATACATGCAAATGCGAAAACCGGTGCGCACCATCATGGGCACCTCGAGAGTATAATCTACATCGTTAAGGGCAAGGCACGTATGCGTTGGGGCGCCTCACTGGAGTTCACTGCTGAAGCTGGACCTGGTGACTTCATCTATGTTCCACCTTACGTACCGCACCAAGAGATCAACGCAAGCGAAGACGAGAAGTTAGAGTGTGTGCTTGTGCGAAGTGACGGTGCGTTTTTTCGCGGAAAACGAGAATATCTAATGCGGGCCCTATCAGACTAATACGGGTACAGGTGAAGCGATAGCCGTAAATTTGCCAGACGTCGTTCCGGTCGAAAATCCAGGAACAGTGAAATGGGTTGATCCCACGCATGCGAATCTGCCGCATTCTCACGATCATGACCAGTGATATAGCAATAACCAGCCGTTCTTCTTTGTCCTCAAAGAGAGTCTGGTCAAACTCAACACTTGGATAATGGTGACCCATCCCTTATTACGCGTGACTCAATTAGTGTCATAAGCTAAAGAAGCCTTTTTACTATGCTCATCCGGTGGCTAAAGAAACTGACCTTGCCAATCTGCCATGTTTGGACAGCGGACTTGCTTCATCAGGGAAAACCTCGTGTAAAAAAGTAGACCAAAAGCTTTCTTAGCCGGGTATATTCTTGATCCGGCTATAGACAAGCCCGACACTAACTTCACCAGACGTCAACTGTGTAAGTGTACGGTGGTACGTGACACTAACGCATCTTCCTTACCCACTGCAACAATAGATGATACTCACGACCGTCAAAGTGGAGCTTTGTCAGCGTATGGGCTTGGAGATTGTTTATCATGTCTAACGTCTCGGAGACAAGCCCTCTGCTTGCACAGCACAACCCTGCCGCAAGCACGAGACATCTTACAGTGAATGAAGGTGAGCCATACCCCGATCATCCCACTACAGTATCTCTACTTATCTGTCCCGACACGGCCCCGATAGAGATGGGCGCTCATCCACGAACACACAGGGCCTCATATGCTGGAAGTCTTGTCCCATTGATTTGATGGCGACGCCCTGCATATGCTCGATCTCTTAGCAACCGTTCACGGGAAGCATCTGCTTGAACACATCACCCAGATCCCGATCTACTCATTGACGATGGGAACTACTGACGATGGGAACTACAGACGATGACTTTAAGAACAGGCTCGCTGTTGATACTGCCTCGATCGACGGCCTTAATGCTGACGCAAGGCAAGCGGCTATCAGAGAGTACAATTTAACCTTTGTCGAGGCTGTCAAAGCCTACCCTACGGCAATAGCATGGGCGGTGTTCTTCTCTCTGGGTGTTATTATGGCAGCCTTTGACCCGCAGCTGATTGGAAATCTGTATGCTACGCCAGCTTTTCGACGGGACTTTGGCTACCTCTACAATGGAGAATATATCGTTCCAGCATCCTACCAGTCGGCCCTGTCAATGGGATCACCACTTGGACAGGTATTTGGAGCCTTCGGAGCCGCGTATCCAATGGAATGGCTTGGACGGAAGAAGACATTCGGACTCTGCGTCTTATTGACGACTTGTTTTGTCTTCATTCAGTTCTTTGCACGATCTTTGCCGGTTCTGCTAGTCGGTGAACTACTGGGAGGTCTGGTTCTTGGCTGTTATGTGACCATCTTCCCAGTATATGCCTCCGAGGTTTGCCCGATAGCCCTACGAGGTATACTTACAAGCTTTACCAACATTGCTTTCGTTGCAGGTCAACTTATTGCCAATGGAGTTACCGCTGGAACGTCGAAACTTGACAATCACTGGGCGTATTCACTTCCATTTGCCACACAGTGGATCTGGCCTACTATCATTCTTCCGCTGCTTGTCTTCGCCCCCGAGTCGCCATGGTGGCTCCAGCGTAAGGAGCGACACGAGGAGGCCGAGAAGTCATTGAGGAGACTCGCTTCAAAGAACATCGATGTCAAGCCCACACTAGCGATGATCATTGAGACTGACAGGCTAGAGCAGCAGATGGAAGCAGGGTCATCTTACCTGGACTGCTTTAGGAAGACAAATCTCAGACGTACTGAAATAGCGATTGGTGTCTACTGCATCCAGGTGCTGTCGGGTATCTACCTCATCGGATATGCAACTCTTTTCTTCCAACGCGCAGGGCTCAGGGTCGAGGATTCTTTCAAAATGTCAGTGGGTTTCTTAGCTCTCGGATTTGTCGGGACATGTCTTTCATGGGTGTTGCTCAACCACTTCGGCCGAAGGAGTATCTACCTAACAGGGCTTGGGATGTTGGCGCTCTTGCAGCTGATCATCGGCGTGTTGGACTGCGCTCCGACCTACGAGAGCAGACCAGCCATTAAATGGGCACAGTCGGTGCTCATGTTGATCTGGAACTTCGGATATGGTCAGTAGTCCTGCAGCACCAGTAGAAGATGAAGTGGCTGATATGGTCAACAGGCTGCTCTCTTGGGCCGATCTGTTTTGTGATCCTCTGCGAGGTATCTGCAACGCGAGTCAGGGCAAAGACGATCGGCGTTGCTACGGCCGCCCAAGCTAATCTCGGGATCTTGATGACGGTCGCTATTCCCTAGTAAGTTCGCGAAGTAACACGTCTCGGCGTGCATGCAATATCCAGGAGCTCTTGATCTAACATACAGCAGCATGATCAATCCCGACCAGGCAAATATGAGAGGCAAACTCGGTTTCTTCTTTGGTGGATTAGCAGCAATATGTTGGGTGTGGGCATTCTTGAGAGTCCCGGAAACAGGCAATCGCACATATGAGGAGCTTGATGTTATGTTCCAGAGAAATGTAAGGACCAGAGACTTTGGAAAGTATATTGTAGGTGAGAGAGAGACATAGTATATAGCTATAGTAATACATGCAAATCACACGAAGATGAGCAGCACGTGCTAATTGTTTACATCTCCAGGCATGAAGGCTCCATCGTCGAGTATCCGTACTTTAAGTTAGCGCCTGAGATGTCCCGCATGCAGTGCTGCACGATGACAAGCATAATCGACTCGCTTGGACGGGCTAGCAGCTGTATCGTGCCTGCCAGCATCAGGTCAACTTGGAACTTGCAAGTCCAGAAAATGCATCTACCGTCGACAGTTCAGCAGTAATAGCTGCAAGCCAGGATGGTTCGTCTTTCGAATCCATTTGCTTTCTCCCCGGCTTCAGTAACCATTATCTCCACATCACTCTATATCGCACTTCTTGCTGTCCTAATCGTGATACAACTCGAATTACCTAAAGTGCCATCATCTGCAACACCTTATCACGGCATCAATCTTACCGAAGCATGGCAGGATTTGCAGCTGTTGACTGCAGAATACCATCCCTACAATTCCCACAGAAATGACTTCGTTCACGACTGGTTGCTCAGGCGCGTCAAGGACATCTTGAAGAACGCCAAGGCATCGGACGCCCATGTCTTCGAGGACCAGACCTCGAACCTCACCTCGTCAACCTCCAGTGTCACCTCATTGACCTCCGGAATCAGTGTCTATTTTGAAGGGACCAATATCATAACCTATATCAGAGGAGCAAGAGACGATAAGAATGAATGGTGGAAAGAAGAGGATGGATCTCCTTCCGAAGCCCATGGAGTACTTGTGAATGCTCATTATGATAGCGTGTCTACTGGCTATGGCTCTACTGATGATGGTGTTGGTGTCGTCTCAATTCTTCAGCTCATTCGATACTTCACTACCAAAGGCAATGAGCCCCGAAACGGCCTGGTTCTCCTGTTGAACAACGGGGAAGAGGACTTCTTGAACGGAGCCAGAGCATTTGGTCAACATCCGCTGTCAAGATTTGTCCATTCTTTCCTCAATTTGGAAGGCGCAGGAGCTGGTGGTCGAGCTGCTCTGTTCCGAAGTACCGACGACGAGGTGACAAGGGCCTACGCCAGCTCTCCACATCCATTCGGCACTGTCGTCTCCGGAGATGGTTTCAAGAGTGGTCTGGTTCGTAGCCAGACAGACTACGTTGTATTCAACGAGGCGTTCGGCTACAGAGGCTTAGACGTTGCTTTCATCGGTATGATATGCAAAATCTCGAGTTTGGAAAGGACTAATGCTCTGCAGGCCCTCGAAGCAAATACCATACCTCGAACGATGACTCGAGACATACCGGAAAGAAAGCCTTGTGGCATATGCTATCTACCGCGATTGCGACTACGAAAGAGCTTACCCTAGCAGGCATATCTCCTAATACAAGCGAACACCGATCTCTATGGTTTGATGTGCTCGGCAGTGCATTCGTGCTAATGCAGGCACATACCTTTTTTGCATTGTCCGTCAGTCTACTCGTAGCTGGACCATTAGTCCTCCTCATCACTCTGGTCATCCTCCGGCAATCCGGCAAGCTTTACCTCTTTGCAAATAGTACGAGTGTGCACACAACTGAGGGTGACTCTCCCGTCAAACTACAGGGTTGGAGAGGACTGTTTCGCTTTCCCTTCATTGCTGTCTTCTCGAGTGCGGCGCCTATAGCGTTAGCATATCTGCTCTTCAAAGAGAATGAGGAAATTGTGCATAGTAGCCCTTGGCCAGTGTGGGCAATGATGATCTCAGCTTTTCTCTTCATCGCCTGGTTCACTGCTCGCTTCGCAGATTACATTCGCCCATCCGCTCTGACTCGAACTTATGGCTTTGGCTGGATATCCTTTGGCTGGTGGGCATTCCTGATCGTTGCTCTCATCCATGAAGAACAATTCCATCTTTCGGGTGGCTACTTTACCTTGATTTTCTCTGCTTCGGCTTTCTTGGCAACATGGTTGAGCTATCTTGAGCTTTTCTCACTGCCAAAGAAGAAGACGTACGGTCGGGACAAGCTGCAGAGTGAGGGCTACACAGACGAATCACGGCAACCGTCCCGACCAGGCTCATCGAGAAGAGCGGAGGACGAAGAAACTGCTGACGAGGAGGAAGAAACTACAGAACAGTCTTCACTGCTCCGTTCTGGCGGTCGTTCAGCTTACAAGACACTTCCTCATGACGAGGAAGATGACAACCCTGCTAGCACGCCTCAAAAGTCCAGCGCATGGACCAGACATGACGAGCAGGAGTGGAGTGCGAAGATGTGGAATTGGATGTGGTTGTTACAGCTCATCGTCCTGGTGCCCGTCAACGTGATCGTGCTTGGCCAACTGGGTTTCTATCTCACAGAGGCATTGCATCAGACAGGCCAGGACGGGAGCTCGGTTTTCCTTGTCTACCTTGGTATTGCTGTCATCACGATCTTCATATTCTCTCCAATGTTGCCGATCATCCACCGCTTCACTTGGCACATTCCAATTTTTCTGCTTCTCGTACTTGGAGGCACGATTGCATACAATTTACTGGCGTTTCCATTCTCGCCACAGAATCAGCTCAAGCTCTACTTTCAGCAGCAAGTTGACCTGGACAATGGCAACAATACAGTATCGCTCCTTGGGCTGGCTCCTTACGTAAGGACAGCGATCAGCAACATACCCAGTGCAGCAGGACAGCATGTTCGCTGTGAGCCGGTAGAGGCAAGACGGAGGTGCTCTTGGACAGGTCCAATGCCACAGGTAGCTGGATCTAATGGATACACCTACTCAAGATCGCCTTACAAGAGTCTTCTTCACTACAACACATCAATCGTTGACTCGACCAAATCTCTGAAAACAGCAAGGTTCTCCATAGGAGGACAAAACACTCGAGCTTGCAAGCTTGTATTTGACCTACCTGTCTCGAATGTCCACGTCAAGGGCCAGGCACCAGAAGACAAAAGACTTCCATCAGTGCCGGAACAAGGTAGCAAGGAGCTGAGATTGTGGTCCCGAACCTGGAATCGAACGTGGACGGTCGATGTGACATGGGATGCCAAGCAACATGGCACGAGTTTAAGCGGCAGGGCAGTATGTTTATGGAGCGACGTTAACCAGAAAGGCGTCATACCGGCTTTCGACGAAGTCAAGCACTATGTGCCGACTTGGGCTGCTATCACTAAGGCGAGCGACGGCCTGGTTGAAGGATACAAGAGCTTCAACATTACCTTGTAATGCACACACCAATCCTTCGGGATGAATTGTGATGTGAAGAACCCAGCCCTGGATAAGGGTTGTACCTGGGTGGACGTGGGACAACCTCAACATCAAATAACCATCCATTGATTTGAAAATAGCACGTCGTATATACTCAACAGCGTGGTAGCCCTGATATCGGTATGTCTATTGACACAAATATATCTTCTACACACCCGGTCACCACTCATGCATACTGAGAGACGGCGAAAATCAATGCGTGTAACTTTATCATTATACAGTATTGGAAAGCAGCCGAGCTGGTGATGAGTGGGTAGTGTGTCGTTCAACCATCTTCAAGAAGAGGTCTGTAGAGCATATGGTGTAAATTCCATTGAGCCGCACCCGCGTTGCTTATGCAGCCTGAGGCATGACATCTTTCTCCCGCATGACGTTTTTGTTGATCGAATCCAACTTTTCGAGAAGTCGCAACCCACGTGTACAACCTTGTGCTTCTCGTCCCTGGCTTGTGGCATGTCCTTGCTTTCTTCCTCTCTTCTTGATCATAGACCGTTATAGTACGCGACCAACGACACAGATCTTCAGCAAGTATTGAGAATGGTTTACATCCGGCAAAGGCAACTGTCAAAGTTGCATGAATACAAATATGCCAGTGTTGACCACTCCCTGGTCTCAAAGTATATATTGAAGCCTTTCTACACCAATGTCGCGATCAAGTTCTTCCCCATGTCCATGGCGTAAGTGCAGCGAGCTCAGTACACACATATATGACTGACATGAACGATAGACCTAACGCTGTACGCTCCTCCCTCTGCTGAGCCTACACACTTTGACCAACTCTGACCACGACCACAGATTACGCTCAGCGGCTTCAGCTTCGTTATCATCAACTTTCTGACGTTGCTTTACTACAATCCGACCCTTGACCAAGATTGCCCACCATGGGTTTACCTCAGCTGGGCTATAGGTCTCTTCCTGTATCAGACCTTTGACGCTGTGGATGGGACACAGGCGAGAAGAACAAAGCAAAGTGGTCCCCTGGGCGAGCTGTTCGATCATGGTTCGTCAATAAGAACACTAAAAGCGTGGTGACTGATCAGAAGCAGGAGTTGATGCATGCAATACCAGCCTAGAAGTTCTACTCTTTGCAGGCGCTATGAACCTAGGCCAGAGCTGGCAAACAGTCCTTGTTCTCTTCGGCACGGTCTTCACCTTCTACATACAGACATGGGACGAATACCACACTCATCAACTCACCCTTGGTGTCGTGTCTGGCCCTGTGGAAGGCGTACTCACTCTGGTCGTGGTATACACCTTTACCTGGCTCAAAGGAGGCGCCAGTTACTGGCAGCAACCAATGCTTCCCACACTCGGGGTTCCAAAGAATGCGTTGATCCCACAAGGTCTATATCAGCAATCTTGGGGTGAATGGTATATCCTATATGGTGGACTTGTCTTGCTCTTCAATACTTGGACCAGCGCGATGAACGTGATCAAGGCACGTCGAGACCGTGGAGAGGATCCTTATCAAGCACTTCTTGGTTTGGCGCCTGTTACAATTACCTGGATACTGATTCCAAGCTATCTGGCCCTCAATCCAATCATTCTTAACCATCATCTAGTCCCATTCATCATCTTCGCAGGCATAGTCAATGCTTACAGCGTGGGTCAAATGATCGTGAGACATCTCGTGAAGGATAAATTCCCATTCAAGAACGTCTTACTCATACCTCTGGCGATTGCAGTCGCTGACAGTCTGGCACCCAAGATTGGTTTGACGACCACGCTGGGTGATAATGTGTATCAGGTTGCGTTCGTCTTCCTGATGCTCGGACTGGCAATCGGAGTTTATGGCAGTTTTGTACACGATGTCATTACTACAATCTGTGACTACCTTGACATATGGTGTTTGACAATCAAGCACCCTTATGTGGAAGGCAAACAGGACCCGAATGTGCATGCTCTGAAACACGACAGAAAACAACAATAAGGTGTTATTGTGGCTGTTCAGGGCAAAAGAAAGGGCCATACGGATTCTGTAACGTGGAAAGCAATCGGATCGTTGTCCCATCTGTCACGAGCCTTTGCAAACCACCAGCTTAAGAGTCATAAGAAGGTACATAAGCTGCTGAATCTATTGACCCTACGTTATCTGCAAGCCACTGTCATCTACCTGGACCACCACACTCACCAAGCGAGCAACGTCATCTGCAAATCCAATTCACGAACTCATTTCAGTCACAATGGGTCAAGGTAAGCGCAACCTTTTGACTAAACTTTTGCCCTGCCGAAGCAAGGACAAAGCCTCCAGTCCGTTTTCCATCTTGTCATTACTCTCTGTTTATGCAAATGACTAATAATATGTCCTCAGATCATGACATCCCGCCCCTCCCTCCTCCACCATATTCCGCCAGGGAGGAGAAGAAGCAGTCCCAAACCTATAACCACAGCGGTGGCAACCACTATGCTTGTGGCACGCCTATGCCTGACGATACCATCACCTTTCAAACCATGCGTGTCGTCACTGGCACTGTGAAGCCCTTCATGGACATGTCTCACGGCACTCGATACGGTGGTATTGAGACACTAAAACAACTCATGAACGGCTACAACGACTACGATCCCAAATACTATGGTGTCTCCGATCTAAAAAAGGATAGCGACGATGACATCCCTCGACCACCAACACCACCCATAGCCAGCAGCAAGGAAAAGGGTAGTGAGGAGGCCGAGACCAAGAACAAGTGTGTGTTCTGGATCAAGGCACAGGCAGGGGAGCACTCCGACGCAGTCAAGAAGATCAAGCGACTTGGTCAACAAACTTTGTGTTGGCCATGTGTCTACAAGAACTTCAGAACCGAGGCGGATGCCTTGTGGCAATTCCCAGATAAGGATTAGCTGTGAAAAGCGTTGCAGCCTTTGTGATCAAGTTATCGTTTCGAATGTGGACAGTTTGGTTGCTTGGTTATGGGACGGTGAAACGTGTTTGATCTTTGATCTTTGATCTTTGAAAATGGGCGACAGCATCGTGATCTGACGATGGTCTGGATTGATCTTGAGCACTTAATTTGGCTGCCAAACGCAGATAATGGCTGCTCTTCAGCTTTGACCAACCTGTACTTAATCACAACGAAATGTTTTCTAATGAGCAAAGTATCCTTTCCAATCTCTTGCGTGCTGAGTTAGGTGCTTCTACTTAGATTCTTGGTACAAATGTGCTCTAGATTTACCCATTCTGATATACAACACTTGCATTCCAGATGGAGCTGAGTTCCTACTACAGCTTCTATCAATACAAGAGGTTACTCCCCAGCAGAATCCCAACCATTCAGCTAATTACTCACACATCGAGTCAGACATCTCCTTGCTCCCTCCTCACCCTCCTCAGATCCCTCTTCAACCTAAACGTATTCTTCGAACTAGCTCTCCGCCCTGTCTTAGCCAGATGCCTCCTCGCTTCGTCATCCATCTCTGACGACTCGATCTCAGAAGCCCATTCTGACAGATTGTCGGTCTCGACGGAGCCGTAGCGGCGTCGGTTGTAGTCTGGTGGCGGTTCGTGTTGTGATTGTGAAGAGGATCGAGATGATGGTGGTGGTGCGGATTGTTTGTTCTGTGGCTTGGAGGAGGAGGATGTCCGGCCAGCTGATGTAGATGCAGGAGTCGCTCTGCCAGTGGCGGATTTGGGAGGGAAGATATTGACGCCCTCGAATTTGGCGTGGCCGAATGCTGGTTTCTTTTTCTGAGTTTGGGATTTACTAGCTTTCTTTGGTAAAAGAGTATCCATGTCGATTACGTCGTCGTCGTCTTCGTCGGCTTCGTCGAGAAGATTGTCTTCTTCGAGCATTTTCATGAACTCTTCTTCTTCGAGCTCTTCTTGGCGGCTGGCTTCTTCCTCTGCCTCGAGTGCCTTTGCGGCTTGCATTTCTAGACGCTCTTTGCTACTTCTGGGTTTGCCGATGGTACTTCTTAGACCTTCGCCCTTCGCCATGTCTTTCGCAGGCGTGCCCAGCTTGAGGTTCCGAGATATGTTTGTTTTGGCACCGAGTGCCCAAAGGTCGCCCCATCGAGCCTTCCTGGCGTCACGGTAGGCTTGTCGAGAGAAGGATTTGGGAATTGTCCAGCGACGGATCTCTGCTTGTGGTGTGCAAAGGTCTATAGTGATGTGACCACATCGTTTTAATGGCTGGCCAAGTATACGGGGAAGGATATGGGTGGGAGGTGGAGCTGGCGAGTCGGACCATGTAGGATCGTGGTGCTCGAAGCCTTTCTGGATATGAGCAACGCTTGCCTGTTGGAATGCCGCCACAGAAAGAAGGTCAGAAGGCTGCGCAGCAGGGGCAGACATTGGGTCGCTGACGTGCTCCCAAGTCGTGAATGCTCGATCACGAAGATCCTCGCCCTTCATGATCGAAATGTAGGAGAAGTCCACATCGTCGTGATTGCGGTCTTTGGCTCCGAGCACACGTTGCAAGAAAGGTGGCCGAATATATCTTTGCTGAAAACTGCATATATCTTTTCGGCCTTGAGAAAGACCAGCTGTCCGATACATAGGACATCTATCGTGGTTGGTGCACGGTGCCACGATCATGCCCGATACTTTTGTGTGGACTTGATTTCCAGACGGCTGCTCAAGGTTAGACGAATAGAATGTTTTGTGACCCTCGGGAACTTTCAGGTAACTCTCCAAAATCATCTCTCTGGCTGCTGCAATAGCTTCAAACCCTCTGGGGATACCTTTCTCAATCAGTATCAGAACTCCTCCCTCGTCACTTAGTAAAGACCAGAGGTTCTGGATATGCTGTTTGCGCTCCCATTCTTCTTTTAGAGGGAAGATAGAGTGGGAAGCTATAATAACATCAAACTGCTTACGTTGCTGAGCAGGTCGATCATCGTCTAAAGTTGGTGCTTGACGTGTGCGGACAACGTCTGGTAGACGAGGAACAAAAGTAGTATTCTCAAGCATCGTAGCCGCACGGTGTCGTAGATTGTCAGAGCCTGTTAAGACAACAGATTTTGTTTGCGGCGCCTTCGGTATTTGACCTTTATCCGAGGTGTGTAGGCTCTGCCAATGTGCCTGCACAATCTCGCGCCATGCGACTATACCGACGCCGCCAGAGCCAGCATCTAGCACCCGGGGACCTCCTGGTTTCGCAAGGACCTTATTCAACCACGAAGACCCGAGTCGTTTTCTCGTTTCCACGAGAGTTGCCGATATTGAGGCATATGTGGGTGGCATGATAGAGGTTATAAAAGCATTGGCCTCCATCTGACCCATAGCATTATCGCTCGCCTCTATTGGAAGGGGCAGTTGCTGGCGCGCCCGAGCAGAACGCGGAGTCAAAGGTGAGTCTGGCAGACCTGGCCCACCAAATGTTCGCTCGCATGCTTCTTTCAGGTGTTTGTTCGAGTAATCCTTCAGAACTTTCTCCACTGGCTGAACAAAGGTCTCTTTAGGTAGGAAAGTAGTCTTTGGATAGGTGGCAAAACGGCCAAGGGCGGTCAGAGGGTGCGATCTGCTGTCTTCGGATTCCTCGAACTCCTCGTCCAGGTCATCCACGTCTTCGTCGACCAAGTCAGCTTCGAGTATTCGAGCGACTTCACCAGCTCTTGCCACGTCAACCGGTCTCTGGACTCTGGAGGTAGAACTTGAGTCTTCGCGCTGTGACGGCTTGCCCACTTTCGCCTGGTTTGCGATGTCCGCAGGTGTTTCCTCTTCGCTCTCAAGGCGGTACGGCACTTCTGTCCCGGCCTGGTCAAAAAGGACATTCTCTGGCACTTGGTCAATCTCCTCCTCCTCTTCCTCGTATTCCTCATATGCTTCCTCCTCGTCAGGATGGACCAGAGGGTCGCCATACAAGCGCTTGTAGTGACTGAGCTCATCAGGTCTCAATGTATCACTTCTTAGGTAATCTCCATAGATAGTCCTGGCTTCTCGTGCTACCTCTGCATCGCTTGCGCCGCGCAGTCTGAGCATAACCAAAGGGACTTCCGCAGGATCGACATCCGGCTCTTCCTGTGCGGTGGCATCGTACACAGACCCTTGTAATGCCAGAAGTCGTTGCGCAAACTGGTCCTGCTCGATGGCTTCCTGTAGTGTCTTGCCCAGCTTAGCCTCAAGTTCAGCTATAGCAGCATCCTGGATAGCCAAGAGCTCATCTTCTAGTACCACATCGACATCGTCCGCAGGAGTTTCTTCGTTGCCAGTCTGCTCAACAGATGCCTGCTTCTGGTTGTCGACAGTATAGGGACGACGGTAGGCATGGGTAGCACATCGTGGCGGATGAGCAGCAAGCGAATTTGGGACCGAGAAGGGAATGTGTCGAATGGTACAGGGCTTGTTAGAAGCTATACTTGTCCTAGCTAATCCTCGCAAATTCCGAGTCGTTGACATGCTCGACAACCACCTCACTCTGATGCAGACAGTGCCGATCTACTCTTTCCAAAAATTATTCTTACAACCAGTATCCACATGATTCATGCTCGCATGATCATATACTTAGAACGAGTCATGTCGTACCCTTCGCGCGACGCGCTTTCTCTGACCAATCATATCATCTTGAATATATACCAGGTAAATAAGCCGATGCATCAAGCTGTCAAACATTTATTAATGTCTAGATCGTGCTGGAGTGTGTTGCTTTCAAGAAGGTACAAAAGCAGGCCCAAGAGCTTGTGTCTAACTACATGGATACACGGCCCATGCTCCAAAATTGTGCATCGGTTCTGTTTTCAAGCTCTTGTCCTTGCAACTATAGCTTCCACAGCTTCATTGAACTCTTTCTGATTTTCCCAGGCCAGGACATGGCCAGTGCCCTCCCAACTCTGGAAATCCACACCACTATTCTCACCCATTTCCTCCTTGAATATTTCAAAGTGTCTAAACGTGATCATGTTATCCAGACTTCCATGCATGACGCAGATCCTGTCGGCTCCAACCTTTTGAACAATCTCCTTGAGCTGACTGGCACTCTTGTGATGCCAGCCAGCTGCAATTGCCTGCAGCACGAAACCCTTCTTCGTGAAGCCATCTTTATCCTGCCGTTTTTCCAGTTCGCTGGCAGCGAAACGGTCTCGATTAGTCGGGAAATTGAGCTTAGGGTCGTCGTTCTCCTTGTCCGGCTGCTGAAGGAAATCTTTGCTAAACAAGCGATGTGCTATCTCCTCTAATTGCACGTCAATGTCCTTGGGAACGAACATATTAATGCGCTGCCGCAGGTTCTCCACAAAAGGCACTGTCCTCACTATCCTGGATGCAGTGCTGACGAGGAACAGACTTTGTATTCGTTCCGGTATCAGCATCGCTACCTCTTGCGCGATCATACCGCCCATACTTACGCCAATAACATTAAGATGCCGTTTCTCCTGACGTCGCCCCATGATGTTCTCTGCTGCGCCACGATTCATGTATAGACCATTCATCACTTTTTCGACATACTCCTTCTCGAGCCAGCCCAGATGCTCAAGTAATTCGACGAGATCCGCCGCCATTTCCCGTGTCGTGTACCGGCTCCATGGCTTCTCGCTCAGACCGACTCCGCGGTTATCGAAGACCAGACACGTGTACTTGTCCCCTCTATCGTGGCCAAAGTACTTACTCTGTCGCTTCCATGCTGTGCGATAAGCACCAAGGCCCATGATCCATACTAGTTTGATGGGACCTTGACCGTGTAGCTCGTAGTACATCTTGAAGAGACCACCAGGTCGCTCGGATCTAACATTGATGGACGCATGGCCCTTCGAGGTCGGCGGAATGCGAGACGACCAGTCGTTAGTAGAGTAGGCGGGATGAGCATGAAGCTCTTTGGCTGTGAGTGGCTTCAGGGGGCCAGTTGTTGGCGCTGTAGAGGGCGTGAGTGCCGTACGGTCTATGGTCATGATGGTCAATGCTTCGATAAGAAGGCGATCAGTATCGCTAGTGATGATACCGGTCGGGTTCTTTCGAGTAATTCTGATCGAGACGAAAATCAAGAAAAAGATCCACAATGTATCGTCGTAACAACCTTGATGCTATATCAGACCTCTAGCTTCTAGATACGCTCGCTCTCGACGAACAACACGTCGGCAACCTCTGCCCGCCGTTCGGGTAGTAACAGCCTCGTGTATAAATGCCCATGACGTGTCATGTCACTGTCACATGCTTCGGTGTACAAAAATCCCCACTGAATAAAAACGCCGAAATCTGTGTTGCTAATTACCGAGTACGTTCCTGCCAGAGAGGGGCCACCAATACCATCATTGTCATTTGTCCACGACTTTGGAGGAAGTCTCGACAGTTACAGATACAGACGAACTAAAGTTGACTGAGATTAAAAGGCAGAATGAATCATGGAGTAAAGTCAAACCGGACAACAGGTAGTAATGTAGTTCTTTAGTCCTGTGTGAAAGAAGTGCCTATCCAGTACTTAAATAAGTACAACATGATTGATTTCCCGTCACCAGTATTGTCGTCTCGTTGGTTTGTGCCTTTCAGATGGCTTCTCCTGCGTGACTTGCCTTGCCAGGGTTGTCAACTTTGGGAACTGCCTTTGCTTGAACGTGCTGCACGAACTTAGTAGTCATTACCGCTACCACTTGACCAGACTCATTCTGATCTTGATCGCCCAGTGGCACTTCTTTCGAGTTAGTGACTCCCGTGGCATCCCGCTTCCTTTTTCACACGAGTGCGTGCCGACGCCTCAGATAGTTTGCAAGATTGAAACTACGGCCGTCTTGTCGAAGATGCTCCTCAGTCGCTCATTGAACCGGACTCCAAGGCATTGGTACCATGATCCTGCTCTTCATCGTTTGGATCAGCGGCACAGTCTTATGAACAGTGTCGGCCCAGCCTTCCACACCCCAGGATTGTTCCCTCCTCAACCTTCTTTCCTCCAGATTTGCGAACTGCCACAGGTGGTGAACCACGTTGAGGTCTCCTATCTGCACGAACCAGGCTCCGACACCCTCCATGACTTCGCGTCTGGCTTTTAGACCCTTTCGCCAATGTGTCTCCCACTCCAAGAGGTTACCAGGATGTAGCGTGTATGATCTGAGCTCGAAAACACCGCCCAGTCTTCGGGGTGGTGTCGTGGGCCAGAAAGAGAATTCTTGCATCAACGACGACTTCTTGGAGTTGATCAATGTTTTTAGTTTGCGGTCAAACTCTGCAAATTCGGGGTGATGTTGTATAGTGTGTAATGATTGATGGTAGCCGGTATATCGCTGATACTCCCATATATGTACTGCAGGACTGTTAGTTATGATGTTCACCCGCCATTAATCCAATTACCAAATGTATCGCAATCACCAATCTCAGTCCTCCAACTTCCAACCAAGTGAACCTTGTTCTCTGGATTGGCTGCTACCTTCGGATACCAGTCTCCTACTGTCTTTACGTACTCATCCACTTTATCCGGCTTGACGTCGTGAGAGACGATCGAATGTACGTATTTGCCTCGTGCGAGCAATTGCGAGAAAGATCGCTCCATATCTTGGTCCAGCTGCTGTCCTTCGGGGGTACCGTAGATTAGGCTCGATAACTTCCCACCTCGCTTGGTGGTAGTGTCTTGTTCGGCTTGACGTTGATCTCCTGTTGCATGAATTCTTAGTGATCCTAGTCCCAAGGGATTGGCAGCTGCAGGTGAGCCATGCGGACTATCTAAAACCGTTTCGCTAGACATATGTTGGGCATTGTATGAAGAAGGGGTAGCATCAGAGTCAGAATGAAAGCTCTCGCGCAACTGACTTTCAGCTTGTTCTTTCTTTCGCTTTGCAGCAGCCATATCTTCTCTGAATTGTTTTTGCTTCGCCTCGAAGGCTGCGGTGCCATCTGGAGTGATGTCACCTAAGCCTGGCGACCGATGGGGACCTTCTCTACATATTGTAGAAGAAGTGAAGGCTCGTATGGAGCTGTTGGAGGAGGGGCGAAGCAACTTGCTTCTCAGCATGATTGCTGCCATTTATACAACGGTATGTAAGAGGGGTAATGTAGAAGCAAAGATGTGCCCGAGAATGATTGCCGCTTGGACACAAGATTCCTCCACGTGAATGTTTACACGGACTCTCTCTTCCAGTCAACCAAGGGGATTTGTATCCGAGCTTTCGTGTAGAGAAGGACAGCAGCAATGACCAGGTGGAGGTGTCGGCAATGGTAGCTGATCGTGTTTCGCCAAGTTCCTGCAGGTAAACGATGGATGAGTAAGGATTATAGGTCAGTGATTGGTGAAGAACGTGCTCTTGGAGTGCAGGGATCAAAGAGCTGCAGCAGGTAAAAGTCTGGGGTCAGTCAAGGGAGGAGCTTCAGCTACCCAAGCCACCAGTGTCATAATCTCGTGATTGTCGGGGTAAGCTAGTAGTTAATTAGTGATTGAATTAGTCTTCATGAACGCCCGTAGTTTAGGCGGGTCTGGTCAATCCACGTTAGCCTAAGTTAGCGGCGCTGATATCGATATTGACATACGACACTTGGAGCAAGCAGAGAGCAAGACATCTTCGCAGCCCCTACCTACCTAGCTGTCATCGTCGTAGACTGTGTAACACAGCCGAACATACATCCCACAATAGCCGTCGTAATCATGTCTCAACATCCCCCACTCAACTACGAACCTTCCCTCACTTCGACGAACCAGCTAATTGGCACAACACTACCCCCAGAAGTATCACAATGCTTGCGCCATGCTCGTTACCTTCATCTTGCCACGATAGCCCGGCCAAGTTCTGCCTCTGACCCTCCAACGCCTCATGTCTCGCTCATGAATTACACATTCTTACCATCCTACAGCTGGAACAATAGTACACCCCAACCAATCATCCTAATGACCACAAACACACAGTCCCTCAAGACTCAGAATCTAAGGCATAATCCGAGAGTGAGCCTGTTGGTACACGACTGGAGCTCGCATAGACCACCGACGGCACCAAACGTGGGTGGTGGTGATGCAAGGAGTGGTAGTCCACCAGCTGCTGCAACAAGAAGTAGTCTAGCGAGTCTACTTCTAAATCTCAATACGTCTGCTCTATCTTCGATATCAACGACAATCTCAGGAGAGGCACGCTTTCTAGAACCTGAGAGTGAAGAAGAGAAGTGGTGTAAAGAGGCACATCTCGCCAACAACACATTTGAAGGACAACTGAGTACAGAAGCTGGGTATTTTGGAACAGGAAATGGTGCTGTACAGCAGCCGAATGAGAATGCGTGCGGATACATTGAGGGCAACGATGTGCGTGTCGTGCTTGTACCAGTGCGAACAGGACGATTGTCAGACTTCAAAGGTGGTGTCAGGGATTGGAAGGTTGTAGACGAATATGAGCAGGGCCAAGATGTAGCAGGTGTCGACCCGGATGGCAGGGGACGAACAGGGGATTTAGTCAATGGTGTGCTATGATGATATTTATTTTCCAGCTGTCTGAGGCATTTTTGTACTTCTACAATGGTTGACCAAGTTCTCATCGAAGTTGCAAACATCCCAACATATGCGCAGATGGCGATATGAGCCTTTTGCTCGACTGATGTATTTCCAACAAAGTACGAACGCCTGACTAGGTGTTTCTTCTCCCAGATTTCACCACTAACTGTTCAGAACGTGGACGACTGTTTCCGAGCACGACAAGATCTTTTTGTTCTCCTTGCTCTTCTCCACATACAAACAGTACAGAAAATCGCTAAACACAAAAATCAAAACTTCAACGTAGAGCAACACTAAAGCCACCAATGTCGACTGCCTTTGCAGCTTGTATCGCATGAATGAATAGAAAAGTAGCTGGAATGTAGGTCAAAGATAACCACGATAAAAATGTATCTCTGCCTGATAATGGATGACGCTGTGTGCCGGAGGACACAGGACGTGAGGGAATAGTTGCGCATCGATCACATAACAACACATTTGCTGCTCTCTTTCACCTTTGCAGGCTTAACGGTCAAAGCAACTCGGGCAGCTTCTGTAAATGCTTCGTTGACGCCTCTGTTCCTCATTGCCGAGCATTCTGAGCTATGTTAGTGGTTGAACCGGAAAAGTTTTGATAGACCACGCACCAAGATATCGCAGCGCCCCAATTCTCTTCGCAGCTTCGAGGCCCTCGTTGTATTGAATTAGATCCGGTGCATTGGCGTCGTCTTTCTCGTGCTCTTCCCGCAGATCACACTTCAAGGCGCATAACACGATCTTTACGCCTGGACAGTGCTCATTGATCTCTGCCAGCCATTTTGTCGATACGTTCTCCAGTGATCCTCTATTATCAACCTGCCATTCCGTGAATATTCTGACTCTATCGCAGAGCGAGGAGGATACGTACGCTAAAGCATAGCATTATAGCCTGTGTATCGTCGTAGGATAACGACCTCAACCGATCGAACTCTTCTTGTCCGGCTGTATCCCATAGCGACAACTCCATTTGTATATTGTCGACGAAAATATCGTGTACATAGTTCTCGAAGACGGTCGGCTCGTAGACTGTAGGGAAGAAACCTCTGGATTTGTGTTGGTATTGACGTTGAAGTGATATTGTATGCGCAGCTCACCTTGTGAAGACATTAAGAAGACTAGTCTTGCCTGTAGAGCTCTTATCAGCATGGCTCGTGAACTCCGAGCATCTGCATGGACCAGGTCATACCACATGCACCATCTCCGAGCAGGACCAACTTTCGTTGAACGTGCTTGCCTCCCACACCGCAGAGAGGCATCTTCGCTTCGGATCAGCCGTCGGCCGAGGAATCGATGGTATGTGAACCAATATCGTGCTTTGTATGCGCCTGCAGGAAGCACGTAGGTAGTCGAAGGTAATGGCAACGAGCTAATCGAATATCGGGCGACAATAATAGAGCTCGTTAATTATGCGCAGGCTGTTTCAATGTTGCGGTGATCCGTAGCAACAGGACAAGAATGCCAATAAGTCCAAGGCGTTGTAGACGTAAGATCGAATGATGAGATAAACGGATCTGCTTTGGCTCCGGGCTCAATGGAAAGGACCGTTGTCTGTTGGTCTAGATGAATTGATATGGGGAAATTTAAGCCAAACAACGCTTCACGAGGAGCCACATGCGACCATGCGATCCTCTTTGAACCACTGAACATGCAGCGCTTTGCTAAGCCGCTGCATCCTAGTCTCGGGTTGCGCCACTAGTCAATCACTGCAGCTGTGAGAGCTGAAATGTCTATCATATGGAAAATATTCTGAGAGCTCGCCGGGCATGGAGTCGCGAAGGGAAGATAAAGACCTCTTTGCAAATACATATATTTGCCTGTATGGATTCCAAGGTAGCTTCATTTTGCAAGAAAGGATTTCTGCCTCGTTGCAGTGTGTTCAATCAGTTAGTGAAAGCCGAGGACCACAGCAAAGGCTGGACTGACTGCACATCCTTTAAAGCATGCCAGCGAGGTAGGCTGTGCTTTGGCTGCTTCGGGACTTCGGTCTGCGGCAAGCGGGCTTCTTGATGAAGATATGTCACAATGTGTGTAGCAAACAAGAATTTCAGGAAGCCAGATGCAATATCATGTCTAGTGTGCATGCAATTTATTCAAAGTCGGAGTTTCAGACTGCTCTGAAGGAGTAGTGCTGCACACTTTTGGCTAGGTCTACTGAGACACACAAAATCTCACAGATAGATCCATGAAACTTTATCACCTTCTGTCACTCGGCTCTACTGAACCCTGATACAGGAAAACAACGCCATTGGAGAGAACCGGTTGAAGAGCAAGCGCACAGCTGATAGGAATCGGAATTGTGTAATTCTGAAGGCCAAAGTTAGCGTGTGTTGCTAAGCAGAGCTAGACCAAGAAGTAGGAATATGCAGATGGGTCAGGTCTCCAAGATGATATATGTATCTACATGATTTGTTCGGTAAGAACACAGCGAAAAAGGTTTGTTCATCAGGTGGTTGTAGTTGTGATGAAGGAAAACATGGACTTACCAGACAAGCAAAATAAGCTCAGACACGCACGAATCGACGATGACCTGGTCAAGATGTTGTTAGCACACGTCTACAGTGACTGCAAACTTGGCTGGAATGTGTAAGAGCATCTTTTCAGGCTACGAGTTTGTTAGCATATTGATCGAGGTGCCTGGCAATCTGGTGACTTACCTCATTAAATCAGAATTTTCAGTGTAAGACGTTCATGCCCAAGTACGAAACTCGGTTCAAACAGTGTGAATAATGTTCATCATTTGAGGATGCAGAGAGTAGCAGGGTCGGAGAGAAAATGTGTATTTACCTGCCAATGTCTGTTAGTAAAACGTTGCTCAACTCTTTAACGCCTGAAAATATGTGTAAGATAACAAGATCAGCTGACGAAATCTCAACAAGCACAACAGTTTCCACGATCTCACAGGATTTGTACGTCCTGCTTTTAAGAAACCGCCTCAACTGCATGCGCAGTCTGTCCGCCCGTTCGTTCAAGACTTCATCATAGGAGGATCGACGTGTAGCTGAGCTAAGAGGAGCTTGGTTCATACCTATACAATGTCATGTCAGTTATGATCGGGCAGAGTAAGGCAGGTGATATGGTTGTGATGCTCTGCTCAGACAAGGCTGAAACTTTCAATAGACAGATTCCACATTATGTATTAAGCTCGAGGAATGCCATTGCATGTCGCGTTATCATCATCGAGAGGGACAGAAGTGAAGAGTCGCTTACCTTTTCAAGAAGCAATCGGTCGTGGGCAGGCAAGCAAAAGTAGCCAGAAGTCCTGTATGTCTTGTATTCGTTAGCACGAGTACTTGCAAGAGCATGCGACAAGTGATATGTGTCAAAGATTGTCAGTGTAATTCTAGAGCGTTGATAATCTTTCCGCAGAGGCATTGCCTTGGAGTTGGATTGTAACTGTTCATCACATTGGCGCGATCTTCTGCAGAGCTTTACTTACTAATTAAGATACACCTGAGATAAAACTTCAGACAAAGGAGACCACAGGAATCAGTGCTGAAGACGGCACGAATGTCGAGGCTGCATGAAGTTTAGATAAGTTTGGAAGAAAGCAGGTCAAAAGTTTCGATCACTGATGGAGACCATGGTCTGCCAAGACTGGAGCAAATTACGGTATATTTTAACAACCAGAATGATAATCACTCGCATTAGCTCCTTTTCTACCACTTGCCGGGATGGCAAGATGATTCAACACTCTTCGAGCATGCGTTCTATGCTCTTCATAGCCTTGTCGGCGTACGCCTTCATATCGTCTCCATACTTCTCCGGCCCTTTCCCGTCAAACACTTCGATGGACAGCCAGTCTCTAAAACCTGTAGCAAGAGTAGCTTGAAGGAAGTCCACGATAGGTAAATAGCCTCCGTCGTAGGGTAGAGGTCTATAGTCATGACTCCATTGTCCTCGTGGCCGCAAGCCTGACTCATCCACTTTGTCAGGTATTGGGGGGTCCATCTTGTACGCATCACTAATCTGTAGGAGGAAGATCTTGTCCCCTGGAATAGTTGCACTCATCTCCTTGATGCTATCCTGCCAGCTCTGCTCGATATCTTTCTTGTTGCTTGCACCGTTCAACAGTCCCGAAGACGTTCTAGGATCACCCCATTCACCACCAGCGGACTGAAACGTGTCCAGACAGAGACCGATATTGGACTTATTGGCTAGCTTAACAATGTCCCATACATGCTTCCAATTTGGTGCATGAGTTGACCAGCACCAATTTTCGTAAGCAATTCTGAAGTTCTTCGTGGCCAGCATATCAGCTAGTTCTGCGAGGTCTGCTGCGCTGTCTTCCAGAGACATTGAAATTCCTTCAGCATCAGATGAACCTACCTATAGGCAGCACGTCAGCCAACTATATTTTCACTGTAGAAGCATAAAACCTTGACTCACCTGTAACATATCAGTGCCGACTGCTTCCATGATTCGCATCCAGCCCCTGGCTCTTTCCCAGGCATCGGCTCTCTTCTCATCCTGCTTTCCTTTTACCCATCCTTCAAAATTAGCAAATGGTTGTAGCATCAGAATCTTCAACTTGTGCTTCTGTACAAGCTTTCGGATTTCCTGTCCCACAGTAGCAAGAGTTTCGAAATCTTTAGGATTTGGTTCCTTGCCATTGAGCTTCTGCGCATACGAGAGAATATCCGGCATGGACAACTCGATTGCTTCGAAGCCAGCTGATGCTATGGCTTCAAGCTTTGAGGGCAGATCATGTTCAGGTTTGTGGCCAATGCTACACGTTGCATAGCTGGTAGGAATCTTCGTGCCTTTGTAGATCGGAGCCATGTTCATATAGGTTCCTACGATGAACAGCGAATCCGGTAGGGACGACTTGTTGACTTGCACGTGTAGTAATTAGTTCTCAAAACTTTTAGGCGAAATACAACTCAAGTCTGCAAAACGTTGACCAGGATCCTCAATGAATTTCATCATATTGCAATCATCAGTAAATTCTGGCACTTCCGGGATTCTATACGCGTGATGTCACCGACACCCAGCATAAGTGTTTGGAAGTCACATCTAACACGATACATGTGCCTAGTGTCTTCGTCTTACTGTTCACTCCGTACTAGAGAGAAGAGCCAAGTCCATCAACAGATTTAGCTCAAGAGCCTATTTGCTTACATTTGTTCAGGGAGAGGAACTATTTCTGGAGATTGAATCCGGAACCTGCACCAATCAGAATGTCTACCAGTAATCGGAAACAATGGGCTGACAAAATGAAGAAAAATGAGGGTGAGATTGCTATCAAGAAGGTAAAAGCGGTCCCAAGTACGCGTACATCAAGCTGAGAATTGCAAGATAGGAATGATCGGAGTTGGGTCAATGGGAAGCGCAATGGTACTGGTTTCCACCCCCCAAACCCCCAGTTCCGAGTTGGCTGAGACAGTTTCCTGAGCTGACATTTTCCAGAGCCTCCTGTTTGCTGAACATGGCAGTGAAGTACATTTCTATGATCCAAGTCAGCACAAAGCCCCATGCATATGTCACATTGACTGATTTTGCTTACCAGGCGAGGAGAATGTCGGGATCCTCAAGAACGAAGCGGAAAAGATCGGAGCCAGCGACAGGATTGTCTCTCAGAATAACTACAAGGAGCTGTGTGAGAGTCTTAGCAGTAGCGATGAGCCTAAACATTTTGTGTTCAGCATACCCCATGGAAGCATAGGCGACAAGACTGTGGAAGGGTTAAGGCCATATCTGAAGAAGGGTGACGTGATCATCGATTGCTCAAATGAGCACTGGGAGAATACCGAACGTCGACAGTCCAAACTCGAGCCAGATGGTATACACTATATCGGCTGTGGTGTCTCCGGCGGATATCACAGCGCTCGCCATGGTCCATCATGTTCTCCTGGAGGAAGCGAGGAGGGTCTGGAGCGAGTCATGCCGTTCCTGAAACAAATTGCTGCCCGAGACAACCAAAACCGACCGTGCACCACTCCTGTTGGTCCAGGTGGCAGTGGGCATTATGTGAAAATGCTTCACAACGGTATCGAACAAGGAATGATGTCTGTGCTTGCTGAGGCATGGTTCATCCTAACGACAGGACTTGAGCTGAGTTACGAGGAAGTAGGGAGTATATTCGAAGCTTGGAACAAGGAAGGTCCTCTACACGACTGTTTTCTAGTCGACATCGGTGCTGACATCTGCCGGACCAAGGATCAGAAAGGCGAATATGTTGATAAGGGAAGTTATGTGCTCGAGCACGTTCGCGACAAGGTAGTGCAGGATGTTGATGAGACTGAAGGCACAGGTTATTGGACCTGTGAGCAAGCAGTTGCACATCACGTCCCTGCAGCCTCGATCCTTGCAGCGCATCTTTTTAGATGCGCTTCAGCTGATGCAGCTCGGCGCATTGAAATTCAGCAATCATTTGGCGGAGGAGTGAAACCACAGCCAATGAAGGTGGATTCCAAAGATCAGTTTGTGAAGGATCTGGAGATGTCAGTATACATCTGTTTCCTGATGTGCTTTGCCCAAGGTCTTCACATCATCAAAAAGATGGACCGAAAGAAAGGCTGGAACATCAACTATGGACAATTGCTGCAACTTTATCGTGGTGGTTGTATCATCCAGGCTGATCACATTGTGGACTTACTTCAGACTATGTACGACCGCAACGACCACGATGACGACGATATCTTAGCGAACAAGGAAGTCGGTGCCGAGCTGTCAAAGAACTTCCAATCACTGAAGAAAGTGGTGCTTAAGAGCGTCGAGGCCGATATGTACATACCCTCGATCAGCCAGAGTCTTGAGTTTTACAAGTATTCTGGTTCCACTAGCCTGCCTACGCAGTTCATGGAAGCTGAGCTGGACTATTTTGGCGCACATAACTTCGACTTGAAGGAAGGTCCACCAGGAAAACCACAGACTGGCGAGCTTCACTTCTCGTGGAAACCTGCTAGAGGAATTTTTGGGGAGTAGTGGTTGATGTAAAGGCTTTTCAGTGAGATAGACTGAGTCAGACAAGGAATCATTGTTATCAATCTGTGATGAGTACGAAGCATAGCCACAGCCAGTTATACTTGTCATGTTATGTCACTGTGTACGTTCGAAAGACCTAAGATTCAAAGAGCTTTCACGGGTTTGATCTGATAATCTTCGGGATGGGTTGAGGAAAGTCTTCCGAATCCAATGCAGTCGTGACTGAGTGTCGCAAACAAACACGATACAATCTTCATGCCCCAAGACGTTTCGCTAGCAGTAGCCGGTCGATACTCTATATCCCCTGTGGCTCTGTAAGATTAGTTTGTTTTTGTTTCCTGCTATTCCTCTGATATTCGTGACTACACCTTCACCATGGCCGACCACGAGTCGCGTTCCGAATCACCCTTGAGTGACATTGGCTCTGATGCTTTCACGGAGGACAAATTTCATCGATCAAGATCTCCCTCCAACGTTTCCGAGATGTCAGACGTATCGGATGGCACGGCGACCCCGTCGACTTCTACACCTGTCAACATGGACGCCAGACCACTCAAACGACGACGAGTAGGCGACTACGACCATCCTACCCCTCAGTCTACGAATCGATTGCGACAATGGTCGCCGACAAGCTCAATATCGAGCGATACCGACGGTTCGGTGCCCAACTCTCCGTCTTTCGCAAATTTGGGGCCAACCCATCCACTCAGTACTGCTTATGCCGCAGCCCAAGCAAACCCGAACGATCCAGAAAGCGCGGATTATACTCAAGTCACACGATGCCAATGGGCAGGTTGTACCGATCCCGAGCAGGGCAATATGGACAACCTAGTCTTCCACATCACGGAGGTTCACATTCCAACTAGACAAAAGAAGTATTTCTGTGAATGGGAGGGTTGTCAGAGAAAGTCTATGCCACACACATCAGCGTATGCGCTTAAGGCGCACATGCGCAGTCATACGAAAGAGAAGCCGTTCATGTGTCAAGTACCTGAGTGTGATAGGAGTTTTACTCGATCAGACGCGCTGGCCAAGCACATGCGAACAGTTCACGAGACAGAAGCATTACGACCCAGCGATCCCGTACCAAGAGGGCATACTGGAGGAATAGCTGCTATTGATTCGAAGAATAGCGGGCATGGCACCAACGGCACTCTTGTAGGCCGAAAGCTCAAGCTCACATTCAAAGGTAGCAAGTCCACAGCTGCAGAGACTGCGACCTCAGAGCCTAAGGTTGAAGGTGGCCTCCCACCACTACCAACAGTAAGCACAGCACTCGCGGTTGGAGTACAGAGCCCGACACTAGCGCAACTCGACGCAGATGACAGCCGAGACGAAGCATTGTCTCGTGCAGTAGACCTAGATTCTGTGCCCTCCAGATTGCCGATCAATCCAACCTATTATCCTCCCGATATCTACCACGACATGGATGACTTTGAGAGAGAACTTCCTCCCAGTCAATGGTTCCGGTTATTGAGACGGCAACTACGTTGGGCTACAGACGATGGGAAGAACCTAGAGAAGGAACTACGCAGCCTAAAGGCAAAGACGGACGATCTTCGTGGTAATCCTGTTACAAAACCTGGTAACGACGAACAAGTTGCGGACGTTATTAGGAGAGAGGAATGGGATGTCGTTGATAATCTATTGGATCGCGTTGTGGCTGCTGAATACAATGCGACGACGCAGAAGCTGCAGCAGACGTCCCCTGCGAAGGATGCTGCTTCTAGCACGGAGCAGAACGACGAGGACAAGATCTTCCAGAAGGTACAGTCATTGCCATATTGGAAGAAGCAGAACAAGGTTGTGGACGATGCCACCACTGTGGCATTAGCTAACGCAGCTGCTTGAGTGACTCGACTTGTTGCAGCAAAAGCTCAGAGGTGGCCACAGTCTTTAGACTTTTCAGCTGCCAGGTGTACGTATCTGCATTTTCGTCCAGGCTTGTCCTCAACATTATTTCATAGAGATAAGTCCGCCGTTGCGAAAGCCATGTTGTTTGATTATTTTTAATCACCAGACATCTTTTTTGCCAAACATGACCGTGTACTACCCGACCAGCTTCCCTAGCAGATCAACGTCTTACAGTTCACTTTCGTGAGCCAAAAATGGTAGCTTGGACTTGTAGTCTTGTGCTTGTTCGGGTAACCTGTACTCACACGCATGACTCGATCTCTGACACAGGGCGTGCGAAGACGCAAAGGAAAATCTTTGCGACATGATATGAGTCTATTTTGTGACTGTGATATGAGACATACAACTATAAATAAGGTCTGCTTCGGGTTTTCCTCTTAGAGACTTCATCACCTCGTTCTTAATTGGCAGTTGCACATTGGAACTTATCTCGAGGTCACCGAAATACGAGATCGTCCATTATCTGGACCGACGATCCCCATCAAGTCCGCCTGAGCAGCGCCCATGGCACAGGAGGAGATGCAAGAGAAGAGGAACAATAATGGTTGTTTTAAGAAGAGCTGTTGTTCTCATACTAAGATATGTACTGAAGGAATGTCATTGACATAAGCAACCACAGTGTCTAAAAGCAAAAGAAAAATGGCCACGAGTACGATCCTTGACCCTCCAACCTTGTACCTGAATAATCTTTGCACCGTCAACAAGGTGGTCAAGGAGACATCAGAACCGGCCACAAAAGAACTATCAACTGTCATGGTCATCCTGCGAGGACGCCGCGAACAGGAAAGAATTGAAAGATTGGCGACAACTGTGTGCTTTCTTTCGAAGAAAGCATGCTGCTGTATCCGCTGAACGAGAAGCAGTGAACACATCGCCAGCAAGCTGAAAACGTGACTGAAGTGAGCAATGATATCAGCGATATGCTAGATATCCAAAGAGCTGGCGGGAACACAAAGGCAAGAGCCCTCACAATGCCAAGATGGAACATGAGAACTGTTGTTCTTTTCGTCTCGTGGATACCTTCCCGAGAACAGGAGGAAGATTTACGAAAGTGGCCCAATACCAGCTAAAGCTAGGCTCAACTTCTACCCCCTTGGCTGAAATAACTGTTTCGTGCATGAACCTTTACTTAAAAAGATCCGCCGGACGCTCAATTAAGTGCATCGCACAGCTTCGAAGGATACAAAGTCCTTTTGTATGCTTGATTGCAACATCGACAAGAATGAATAATCGTCGTAATAGGTCGTGAATGTGTGGGTGTCCTCTTGGGTAGTCAAGTATTGTATTCAACGTCGGGATCGCCTCCAAGAGCCTCAACAACGGCTCGGAGTCGTGTGATTTCGGCAGCCATTGCACTCATAGTCTCCTGCTTGCGCATTCGTGACTTTCGCGCTGCGGCTGTATTCTTCTTCCTCTTTGCGGTTTCCTTGTCGTCATCAGACTCAACGACAATATGTGGTAACTCCTTCCGTGCCTTCGCGCTGTTGCCCTTTGTGATACCAGCCGACAGCGAGGCCTTTCGGTCATGAACAATAGGCGGCCTTCCGGGTGACGATTTCTGTCGTACCATGGGTGAGGCATACTGAGGTGCGCCTGAAAGCTCAGACAGAGATCCAAAGCTGCTGTTAGGAGCAATGGTGGGCTGAGAGTATTGATCAAAGTGAGCATCTGGAAAGAGTGTAGGCAGGCTATCGAGCCTGGTCATGTCGAGTTCGGTGTCAAGAGCACCTTCGAGCATGGGAGTAGTGTCAAGGCCAGAAGCGGTGAAGTCAGGCGAGTCAAGGAAGTCTGATGTAGGCGTCGCAAGACTTGGGAAAGCGGTGGATGGTGCAGCTGATAAGACAGCCTCATCTGTGAAGAGGTCACTTGGTGAGACGGTGGCAGGATGCGCTTGAGTGGGGGACTCGACAACGGCGCTGCCGAAAGAGGTATCGAAGACATCCAGGGAGGCATCACCGTGGAAGCCTCCCTGAAGGTTGAGTTGGTCGAACATGGACATATTGTTGAATACTTGAAGTTGCGTTAGCGGAGACATGGCGACAAACTGATATGTATTACCTTGAGGTGATCCTCGATGTGGAGGTTGTATTGTACTTTGGTTGAATTTAGGCACTGGAGGACGCCTGTTTTGGTACTGACGAGCTATTATTCGTTGGTAGTGTTGCAATTGAGCGTTTGGAATTGTATGAGACCGGTAGTTGTTTGATTGACGGTATGACACGGGAACCGAGTGTCTATGAGGATGGGGTGTTTGATTAGGGGCTGTACGATGTATCGCCTGCCCTTGCGAGGCACGACTGGGGGCCGTCTGGTGCGGTGAGTTGAACAACTGGAAGTCCTGGTCGAAGTTGTGGTGTAGTGTTGCCGAAGCAGCCTGAGTCAAGGGGGTAAAACTCCATGATGGCTGAGAATCCGTGGTGAAAGACGTAAAGTCTAACGTGAGGATGGTTGCGGATGGAAAACTCGTTACGCTATGCGCTACGAGGTCGTTGTCGCGGTCTCCAGAGAGACGCTGGTAAGAGTTGAGAGGAGAATCTGTGGAATTTACTGAGTTTCCTGAAGAAACTATCTTGCTGGTAAGCGAGATAGTTGGCTACTTGGTAGTAGTGGCAAGCATCTAAGAGGACTTCATGATATTGAAGTCCAGTGATTGTCGTGAGAATAGTGGTATGGATGGAGGGGAAGAAGAAAAGGTGCCTGAATGTGGGAATATCATCTTCATTTGTAGGAAGCAGGCACCAAGAGTGTGCTTCTCCACCACGCTAGTATGCAGCATTTATGACTCGAATGTATTTTGAACTATTCCACAATAACCTTAGCTTTGCTACACCCGTTCCTCATCTCCCTTACGAGCGGATCTACCATTCATCTGTTACGATCGAGCTTACAGTGTGCAGGTCTGACATTCTGAGGGAAGCGGCAGGAGTGTCTTTGAAATTTCCGAGAGCGCATTCAAAAGTGAGGATTGTGTGAGATTCCTTGAAGTCGATCTCAGCGTTGTCAGGCCTGCCAGAGCTTGACCACGACGCTGGAGTTAAGGCTAGGTCGAATCGCAACCCTGTGTACCTCTAGCCTCTTGAGGACAAGCGGAAGCTACTTAATCCACAAGGACAGGGTTTATCAGCTGGAATCACCAAGCTGCGCCATGCCAGATGCATGAACTCGCGAGCATCCATGGCACACAGAACAAGAATAAATTCAGTTGACCCGCCATAGAGGACGGGTTACGTAGTGCATAAGCAATAGTTGCAGCAGACATCATCTGGGGAGGTGCTCGTTACTATACATTGGGCAATTTCAATGTAGCTTTTTTCGCAACAGGAGGACCAATCAAGTCGTTTCTGCAACGTCGCATTTCGTGCAGGCTCGCAGGCTTCGCAGGCCTATCGATAACGTGGTTTCCGATCAATCGGAACGCATATGCCGGCACGCCTTTTGACGACTTCTACTCCACGAAATGTTGCTACCGGTTCTTTGTCGATAGCAGCTGACCAATTTCCTTGCCTGAGGACGACAATGCCATGCATGCTATTCTGCAAATGCCTCTCGTCTCACAATCTAGAACATTAACACGCACGTTTGTTCTCGGAACTTCAGCAAATTAGCATATGCTGATATGCAGTATGACGCTGGAACCGGTTCTGGGTGTTGGTACCAAAGTTCCTTCAGCAAGGACCTTTTGCAAGCATACACTCCACAAACAAACATTCATTGGCTGAGCACAAATCATAAAAAGAAAGAACCATCTGCTGCACCTACTATAACTCTGCATATGTACCAGGTAAAGAGATGTGACTCATGGTAGCACTCGGCTCCAAACTGACACCTTGACCAATTTCGACAATCATGACCTTTATGCCAGTGGCTGCGTATCGGCGGAGCCTCATCCCTATGTCCCTCCCACAGTTCGAACGCAGAGGCTATTGCCCGTATGAGCCTGAGATAACGCTGAAAAGTAAGATTTTATTTCCAGAAACATCAGAGCATGCACTCTGTGTTCCGACCTCTATGCCAAGCGTATGCTTCATGATTACGTTCGTCTGCTCGAGTCCTATTTCGCAACATAACAAACAAACAGGAGGTAACCACTCGAGAGTAGCTTTTATCCGCCTTGTGTAGTTGCCCCTGCAAAGAACATTCCGTGTCGAGTCTCAGCATAAGTTCATTGAAGCTCACAAAAGTTGGTTGGATATTAACGGAACGTCCAAATTTGGTTTAGTGCCTACTAGGGGACAATCGCAGAAGTTGAATCGCGGAGCATACTCGAGTAGCAGTATCTTCTTGGCCCTTTCATTCGTGCTCGCAATATGACCTGGTATGATGATTTGGCGGCAACGAAAGTGTGTTGACCGTCAGCATGCCAGTAGTCCGAACATCGAACTGTGCGAAAATAGCTATCGACCATCGACAGCTCAAAATGCCCGAATATCAGCAAGAGCAATGTCGGTAAATCTAAGCGCAATCACTTGCCGAGGCTCATAATTGAATGAACTTCGCTGTCGACATACAGTATAGTATATCGGCTGCAAACAGTATCTCGACGATCTCCATGCTTACTACTCTTCTGGAGAGAACTTGCGAGCGACCTTGACCAATGTCTTGCTTCACCATCAGGGAGCATCGTGTGCCGGCGAGCTATATCCGAGAATATCCTCATGCGCTTGCGAATGATCAGGAAGAACAGCTATACCTTGCCGTGAAGCAGTACATACCACTTGAGAATAAAAAGGAGGACAAGAGAACCCCATGCACGATTATTGGAGCCCATGCGAATGCCTTCAATAAAGAGCTATACGAACCATTATGGGAGGATCTCATTAAAGAGTCTGAGAAGCACAATTATCGTATAGTTTCGATATGGATAGCAGACGTTGCTCACCAAGGCGAGTCAAGTGTTATCAACGAAGACAAGCTGGGCAACGATCCAGGATGGTACGACCATCCTCGTGACCTCACCTATCTCATCAATCTGAAACGAAACGAAATGCCTCGACCAATCTTCGGTCTTGGTCATAGTATGGGTGGTAACAACCTGGTCAATGTTGCTCTATTCAACCCACGTCTCTTCACTTCACTAGTGCTCCTAGATCCTGTCATTCAGCAACGCACAGCCGAGATTGCGCCTCCAGGTATGGAGAATGCACCATCCTCCGTAGCCAAACTTTCCACCTTCCGCAGAGATATCTGGCCCTCCCGCGCAGAGGCTGCCAAGCTATTTGCCAAATCACCGTTCTATAAGAAATGGGACAAGCGTGTCTTGGATAGGTGGATTGAGTATGGCTTGCGTGATTGTCCCACAGCTCTTCATCCTGAAGCACAGTCACCTCAAGTGACGTTGACCACGAGTGTCGCGAACGAAGTACACACATTCCTACGACCGAATTACGAAGGCTATGGTGCTGAGAACCCGGAAAAGAAGATCAACCGCTACACGCATCCTGACATCGTTGCGAACATGAGATATAACTACCCTTTCTATCGCTCCGAAGGTCCCCGTACATTTGCACGCTTGCCAGAAGTACGGCCCAGCGTCTTGTACATTTTCGGTTCAGAGTCAGACGTCAGCGGCGACGAGTTTAATAACGCCAAGTTGAAGACTACTGGTGTTGGTGTGGGCGGTTCTGGTGGTCAGGCAGAAGGACGTGTGAAAGGCGTTACTCTGGAGGGCGTTGGACATCTGATCGCAATGGAGGCCGTAGAGCGGACCGCGGCGGAGACAAGCAATTGGATCGAAAGCGAGGTTGAGAGGTGGAGGCGAGAGGAGGAAGACTGGCAGCGAAACTGGAAGACTAAGTCGCTGAGAGAGAAGCAGGATGTTGACGAGAAGTGGAAGGCGATGATGGGTGGTGACCCGAGAGCGAAAAAGAGGCAAAAAGATACGAAGCTATAATGAACAATTCTTTGAGAACTGGTCAAGTTCAACACTTTAAATTCGTCTTCAATGCTACAACTTCTTGACATGTCGTTCCTCCCGGCCATGTTCCTTCTCACTAGCAGGGATCAGGCACTAGGAAGATACACACACACAGTGCGCGATCGACATGACTTCTATATATTTCTGTACAACCGAATATCATTCCCAAATCTAACAACTCTGACAATACTACAACTTACAAACACCACTTCTCCAGTACCGCATGTCCTTCCCACTCATCTGCCATCCTCGAGAAACGCCTCCTAAGCGCTCTCACTCATATTCCGATCAATCTCAGCATCCATGGCCCCAAGCAAATCCACCTCCACCTCATGTGCCTTCTCCTCAACTTCCGCTATTTTTTCACTTTTCGCCGCCGCAGACGATTGAGCAGCATCTTTTATTGCGTCGAATATACCTGAGACCTGCTCTTTAGCCGGTTCGTCGGTGTTGGATATAACTTGGGCATTTTCCTCGATGATTTGCTTATCTTCGGGGTCCGGGATAGATCCTAGACCAGGGATGGAGATTTCTATTGCGCCCGTTAGAGGGTTTGTTTGGGGTAGTGGGGGTGGAAGGGCCTCGGTTGGTGGATGTGGGATTGATACGGATTGATCTGTTTTGGGTTCTGATTGGGTTAGGGCTGGAGCTGTGAGATCTGGCTCTTTCATTTCGGTATCAGTGATTGTAACTGGTGGTGCTGGTGTAAGGTCCTTAGCAAGCGCTTCGGTTTTGGTAGTCGCAGGAGTAAGCGAGTTGTTTGCAGCACCACCACTTTCGTCAATTTCTCCTTCTTCGCTGCCCTCTGCCTCGCTTTCGTCGTTGTCTTCTCCTTCTTCCACCTCGATCTTGCTAATATCTTGTTCGGGAACAATACCTTCCGCCTGTCCCGTCTGCCCAACTGCTGCTTGACTGATTTCTGTGCCCGCGGGCTGTACAGATGCATCGACTTGCGGCGCTGGCTCAGGAACTGGATTAGCCTTCCTCCTGCCAGGTCCACCGAGCTTTTTCTTCTTTCGTCTAGGAGGTACGTTCTTTCTGGCAGGCGTGCCAGTTGCAGCTTGAGGGTTATCGGCACCAGCAGCAAGCACACCACTTGCATTGTTCAACCCGCCACCTTCACCTAGATCATAGCCTACCGCACCATTGATGGTCGCGCTGGAAAGGTATTGTCCAAACATCTTCTGTGCATATTCTGGGTTGTATAATGGTGGCAGCCCAGATCGTCGTGCAGCAAGGAAAGAACGTTCAGGTGTCTTTTCTGCAACATTGTGCGGTAACTGCATCCATCGTTTAACCTCGATTGTGCGGGCTTCATCTGGTTGGCCATTGGCGCGACCAGAAAGTTTTCGGCGCTTAGATGAGGACATTGACGGCCGGAAGGGTGTAATCTCATCTGGATCCTCATCTTCCTCCTCTTCTGCAGACTTCTCAGAGTCTTCGGATTCATCGGCGCTACCGACGTCGGACTTTGCTGAATCAGCGTCGCCGTTAGTTAGCTTTCCATTGCCGTCAATTGACTCAAGGTTGTTGAGATGCAGCGACTTGAGAGGTGTCGCCCTCTTTTCCGCCTCAGCAGCTGACATCCAGCGATTGTGCTTGCGATCCCATACTGAGAGTTTGGCGTTCGTGTTGCCAGCTCGAGCACGACGAATCAGTTCTTGGTTCCAGAATTGTAGTTCTTTCATGAATGATGGTACTGGTTCCTCTGGCCAGGGATATTGTGGAGTGTTGAATTGTGCTGTCCATTCTGCCGAATTGGTGGATTTTGTGTTTGCTGAAGAAAGGTCTGCTGAGATGTCCTGATTGACCTGAACGGTTTGAAGCGCATACTTTTGAACTGGCAGGCCGTCGGTTGGATCCAAGTCTAGGGCTTGACCTTGTCTCCTGGATGCAGCCTCTTGGTTCCTAGTTTGACGAGAGCGCTAGGTATGTCAGCAAGCATTTCGTCGATATTGGGAGGTAAATGAGAATGCATGTAAGGATAGCAGTAAACCAGCAAGCTGATGTGATAAGCGATAAAAGAACGTATAAAAATAAGGATAGCCTTTCCTGAGGCAGTCTCTGAAACAGCTCGGATAGTCTCGCGCCTGTGTTTCCGCGAAGATGCAGTTCGGAGTCGAATACATTTGAATGAGGTTGACAGACATGAGCATTGCCCGCGACGACGATGCGCCCAAGCCTTCAACCACCATAACCAGCCTACGTGCAGGGTCACTTTGACCTTAACAATCCCTCGATCTACTTTCTCGATCGCAAGTAGCGACGCAACCTCATTCGTGGATTAAAGCACGTGTATGGTGACCAATCGTGATGTATAAGTGAAATGACTTACAGGAGGCATCTCGGCTACTAGTGGCGCGACCGCGTGCTCATCAGCGCTACCGTTGTGTAGTGACGGTCGTCTAGCTCTTGATACAACGAGGGCGCAGTGGTCTAGATGTAGTGATAGTGGAGCACAGACGCGATAAGTGAAGGTTGATCGATGTTTTCAATATACTACAGCCTCGCGACAACGACGCGACAGACTTGTTGGAGTCGAGTTTCTCCATGCACGCTTTGGGCTTGACAAGTGGCTAATGGCGTTACGGACTGCAGGTATGCCGAATGAGGCAGTCAGGCCACTATTCATTTTCGGCCCCTGACTAGATAGGCGATATCTACGAGCCAGCATAGAACATCAGTCCTTCGAGAAGTGCATAGGATACATTCAAAAGAGAGATCAGCCTACGGAAGGTATAATACACAAAGGCAATCAGGTGCGCGTTGACTGGAAAATGCTCCCGGAAATGCTCTCAGCTGAGGACATCAAATAGTCCTAATGCCTCATTATTCCTGTTATATCGTCGACATATGCTCAATTTGAAGAACAGTTCAACGGTCGTATCAAGAGAATATGGACACAAACTGCAAAGTGCGGGCAAACGGGTGAGTCCGGACACTACCACTGCTTCATACCCTGTGTCGTGGTAGACTCCGAGCCGTGAAGTATAGCTGTCTGTGCATTATGGGAGGTCAGAAATGCCGATGCTGGTTGGTATCGAGGTCGATTGTTGCTGTTCGTCCAACTGATCGTCTCATACCTTGAGTCAGTCGGGTCGATGCTTCCCACGTCGAACTTCCAACCACAAAACCGTCTATTGCCAGGAACAATGATTATACTCAATTGCAAATATTTGAACAGCGGAGAATGTACATTCTTGTCTGGTAGTGTCACAGTCGCAAGACAGCTCATGGCTCGACTTTTAAGGCTCTTAATCCCAACCAGTGTCTTTCTGCCGCATTATGTGGCCGTCTTGGTCTTTTCCAGTCTTTCCGCCCTCCACCACTAATCTATCGAGCTGGTAGAATTGCGATACTATAGTTTGTCGCTGACTAGAGTTAGCATGCGCTCCCGTCAATAGCCCCAAAACGAAGCCGTGCAGAAATTATGAAGACTTGCCTTCATCACTTGTAGCTCTTTTAACCCTTTTTGCACAAGCTCTTGTACCTGCCTCGAATCTTGTTCCCTCTTGTGTTCTCTGAAAGCGTCCCTCGTCCTCCTCCAGGCGTAAGAGCGGAAGTTGTAATTGGCAAACTGTTTTGATTGTCGTAACAAAGAGCGATATAGGCTGCGCACGCTATATGCCGATGTGTCCGCAGCTGTCGCAATTGCTGCTGTCATGGCTGAAATATCTAGGAGCACGAGTGGCGTGATGTGTTTTGCAGTGGTATGATATGATGCGATGCGCTTCGGGTATAACAGTGAAGAAGCGATGACAGGGTACTGTGAGAGCTGGTGGGTATTGTAGCGTGTGCTATTGGCAGACTAGGCTAGCTCTTTGCTTGTCGTAGAGATGCCCTTGAGATACTGACTGCGTGGTACAAATTGGTACCACTAGGATGGCTGTTCGTGCTGCTTCAATAGCAGAGCTGGAATGTCGTGTTCGCCGCAACGCGCATCAAAGTTCATGGACTTTGAAGCTTTTTTGGAGCGATGACGATTTTCTGCGTTGCCGATTGTTCTCCGCGACTGTGAAGTCCTTGTACTTTCCGCAGGTCTCACACTTTCGTGCCTGCCTGTAACGCGCATGTGCAATCTTGCCCATACAGCCTTGTCAAGGGACCAGATCAAGAGCCTGCTTTTTGGTTGTTAGCAGAGAAGATCAAGCCCGGGTTTCTCCAGAATGACAGCAAGGTTCCCATCCCCACCACCGTCGCGAAGTGCCAGCCCTGAGATCGAACATGACATTCGTAAAGGAACTACTACGTTGACAGAGGCACTCGACACGTTACTTGAGCAGTATCTGGAATTCCTCGACCGATACACTATGCTGCGTGAGGAACTCTCAAAGTCTTTCTCGGCTGGCTTCTTCTCTCTAGCTCAGGCACAGAGAGCTTCCACGTTAGGCGCAGGCAGGAGATATGGTCAGGATTGCTACGACGAGCGCATGAAGGCTCAGAGGCGGGTCGATATCAGCCAAGAGAGCGGTAATAGTAGCGACGAGCTGAGTTATGCTGTGCTCAAAACACAACCGCCATCGAAATTATTAGACAACGGAGTAGAGGAGGCCAAGCAACCCAAGGCAGACACAAATGCACCAGAAGAGAAAGTGGACGAAGACGTTCACAGCGGTCCCTCTGAGGGAGCCACGCTGCCGGCAGTGAAACCTCCCAAGACATCCTCTGCATCAAAGCAAGACCCATCTTTTCGCGACCCATTGACTTGGTTTGGTATTCTTGCTCCACCTGCTTTACGACAGACTCAGTTAAATTTTATCCATGGTGTGGAGGAACTCATTCCAGAGCTTGCAACGATCGACACGAGAATGAGAGCTTTTGAAGAGGAGATATGGTCGAGCCGAAAGCTATTGAACATACAGACCGATGATGCGGATAACGAGCTTATTACAGACACGGGTAGATCTGCTACCGTGGAAGAGGACAAGCAACAAATTCGCAAGAAAGAGGCTGCTCAAGCATTGCGAAAGTCCAATCTGGCTTCGAGGCCTGTACATGCACGCTCGCAGCTTCTAAAGCTAGGGGACTGAATAGTCTGAACTTTGGTTCTCACCAGTTTCCTGGTTCGCAACATTCTAGCGAAGAAGCCCGCAGATACATCGTGGCATGTTGCAATCCATAAATTCCATCATAGCTGTTCATACCACTCGTAATTTCGTCGACAGACGTGCAGTCAAACACACTTCTTTTCCACCCATAAAGCAGCCCTCAACGCCGGCGCTATGTATGTGAACTACAAGCGATATACCAGACCTCCTATTCAACTGAAGACCCAGCCTCACCAGGTAACAGATTGCCCCTAACAGCAAACATCTTTCCAGAAGTGCCAGCCACGAATCCATCAACCTGCTTCGCATACTGCTCAACCTGTCTGCTATTGAGCATGCTCTCCAACCGGCTTGGTTCCGTAGGCAACTTGAACAATTTCTGCCACTCATCTTCTGGTAACGGTGGCTGCTTGCTGATCGCTCTTGCTGCATTCTCCGCTTTCCTCTTCGCCTGCCATTGCTGTATCTTCTGCTGTTCTCTGCCTAACGCTCTTGAGTAGTATGAGAAGTTATTGCTCTCTACATGGTGTGTCTCAACCGAGTCGAGCAGATTGTCACACGTCTGCTGGAGGAATGGGTCGATGTTTAATGCCAATTTGTCGAAGTTAGGGCCGAGTTCGTCACGGGCTATGCTTGGGTTGGATTCGATGCTGTGAACGGATGTTGGAGGTGTAATCTCTCCCTTTGACAAGAGGGAAGGTATTTGGTTAAGGAAGGTCGTTACGTTGTGGGCATTATGCAGGCGGATGGGAAGTTCGACGAGGATTTCGCTATATTTGAGCCCAGATTTCAGTAAACTGAGAACAGTTAGCAGAGTTCAACCGAATTGGGACGAGGATACTTACGCTTCTGTGGTGAACTTGTTCTCCTTGTATGCTGTCATGAATTGAGGTGATAGCCTGAACGCACGCATGCTCAGCGCACCTTGCGAGCTTCGGCTGATATCGTGCACGAGAGCGATGGTGCGCTCATTAAGTTCTTTCTGGTAGTAATATTGATTCTCAATGAAGTTGGAGTTGACAAAGTCGCCCAGGTTAGCGCTGGTGTACCATCCGACATTATTAGCATCGACACCGACTTCTTTCTGCATCCTAATCATCTCAGCTTGATATGCGGCATTGGCTTTTGCGCGTGGGGCTGCGGCGGCAGAGTTGAAATGTTGCTGCTCGAATTGTGCCTCCGCTGGAACGTCGACGATAGGGAAAGGAAAGCAATTTGTGACCTCGAGGGTGCCATTGTTGTCCATGCCTACGAGAAAACCAGTGGCTGTCGCTGGATGTCGAGCAGCGCAGTGCTTGATCGTCTTCATCACAGTCAGCGCCTCCAGTTGCACTGCCTGCGGCGGCTGGTCTTCGAGTGTAGACATTGCGGATGGTCGAACGATGAACGGTAAAGGTGACTCTAGTGGATTTTCGTCGTCCTGGTGAAGTTCTTCTTGCAATATGATCTTTACTCGCGCCGACGGCAGTACGATGCCTCCAACCCGAAGATTCGCTGTCATTTTTGTGTGGAACTTTCGCAGAAACTCAGCCGATAGCCGATGTATCGCCGTGGATTGTGTCACTGGTCTTCAGCGTTTGACCACAAATCGTTTCTGCTCTACTACTGTGGGAAGATCGTAAATGGGAAAACACCTGCGACTTTGTGTGCTGTGGTCATCAAATTCCACACGAGATAGGCGTTTCCATTAGTAGCAAACAGTGCCAAGCCTAATATGCGTGTTGCCGTTGTGATGATCCAGCTGAGAAGTGTAATTCAGAGCAGTGAAACCATTCGACGAGCATGAACTTCACGAGGGTTACAATGATCAGCCGTTATTGTGCATCTCTAAATATCATCCCAAAAGGTCATATCAACCGATCTACACCTAAACACCACACTTGTACTATATCGGCCGAGCTACATCCTCCACGATGCCAACATACCATCTGCTTTTGAATAGCCCTAAAGCCTTGATGGATGCGAGGGTGGCTCAACCTAAGATAGTAGAACTGCTCAGATATTGTGATCTTCTTGTACGCAAGTAATTTTGTGTTCCTGTCCTTTGACTTCAGCTGTGATGTTCTGGGAGTCGGCCTCAAGTTCAGCGCTGCTTAATAGTCCTTTTTCAATTAGTCCCCATTTCGTTGGGATCGGCTCAGCGGCGGTGCCTCTCGAACGATTTGAGAGTTCACGGCTGGTTGTTAGTCTACTTAAGAACCATAGGTGCAGTTGCGATATTCAGCGAAGGACTGTGTCGTGCTTTGTGAATAAAGCAACGTGATCGAGTCGCGCGGCAAGTCTGCTCGTGAGATCGCATTCGCGAGAGACTTGTTCGGTGTGATCAAGCAATCATTCAGCTTTACCAATAGTTCATACGACTGCTTGCAATCTCAAGGTCAAGGTGTGTGAGGAGACGAACTTGAAGTTGAGCAGCTTGACCATGGAGCTGTAGTGACGCAATTTGTGGTTTGGACGCGCCGCGCTAGAAGAGCTTATCAGATCAAACTTATTTTGATAAGTGCAGCCGTCATGATATGACCTTGATCGAGGTTGATGAGCTGCTCTTTGTTTTCCAGCAGCAACTGAAGGCGTCTGATGGCCTTTAATACCAACACCGACATATGGATTGTAATTAGACTCAACATCCTCCTGTTCGATTAAACACGAAAGCTGATATCGCACAGGCTGGAGCATTCGCAGCATTTACTGTCGACCTTCTGGTATATCCGCTTGATACCCTCAAAACTAGAATTCAGTCTCCCGACTACAAGAAGCTCTACACTGAAAATGGTCGAGCAAGCAGGGCGCTCTTTCGCGGCCTTTACCAAGGTATCGGCTCCATCATACTCGTAACGCTACCATCATCTGGAGCATTTTTCACCACATATGAAGCCTTAAAGTACACTCTTAACGATGCCGTTCCTCCGAATTCAACGCTGTATATGCCACAGCCAGTCATAAACGCAATCAGCAGTGGAGGTGCAGAACTGGTTAGCTGTGCCATCCTTACTCCGGCCGAAGTCATCAAGCAGAATGCGCAGGTTGCGCAAAAGACGATCAAAGGTGTTGGACCCACGCTGAGTGTTTTGAAAGAATTCCGAAAACATCCTTTCCGGTTGTGGAGTGGTTATACTGCTTTGGCTGGACGCAACCTGCCTTTTACAGCCATGCAGTTCCCCGTGTTCGAGCATCTCAAGTCGCATTTCATGGAGAAAAGACGGAGACAAAAAGGTGCTGAGGTTGATGGCATCTTTGAACGGGCTTCAATTACCTCTATGAGCGCAGGAATAGCAGGTAGTGGCGCTGCTTGGATCACAACCCCAATTGATGTGATCAAGACAAGGATGATGCTTGCAGCAGGCAATCGTGGTCAGACAGTAGAGAACAAAAACATTGGAACGCTACTCACAGAAGGGCTATCTAGTAAATCTAGCAAAGGAATTTGGGAAACCGCAAAAGAGGTTGGTCAGACAGATGGACTTCGAGGCTTCTTCAGGGGAGCAGCATTAAGAGCTGTATGGACTGCTGTTGGAAGTGGTCTTTACCTGGGTGTATACGAGGGCGGCCGCTTTTACCTTGAAGACGCCAGAAAATCTAAGGAGGAGAAAAATCATATCATGCCGAAAGACTGGAGCAGCGTTCAAGTAGGAGTTGGTAGGAGCAGGTCTCAGGGTGAAGCTATAAAGAAGAGTGGTTGGCAGGACGATTCAAAGTGATCGAGCTGCTGATACTGAATTCATATCAACCACTACTCATCTCGCGAGGGAGACATTGCGCCCATTAGTTCAGCACAAGGGGGACGACCGACTGTCAGGCAAAAGCTGAGCGCCATTGTCGTGGCGCCTCATCATGCGTGGAGGTGGAAGCACTTACGATTGGTAGGCTCCAGCACCAACTTGGCGCACGAGGCATTATTGCCAGGACGCTGGTCGACGAGGACGCAGTTGCCCTCCAGCTCATTGCGCAGAACCGCGATTCGAAGTTGCTTCAACCATAGCGGAGCTGGCTCAACGATCGAACCATACACCCAGAGCTGAGTATTTCAGTGAATTGTTCTGCAGTTGAGAAAGTGCAACACCAGACATGTTTTGAGGACCCAGGACCAGCCTCATACTTGCAATCTGTGGCTACCACTCGCCAAGATAGTCACCACGGATCTGCTAGTTGTACGAATTCCAGTAGAGCAAGCGAAAGGTTATTTCACAAGCCTTGTCTGCTGCATCCAAGTCATCCATGAACTTTGTCGTAGCTCCCACTTTCAATAAACAGATTTTTGATCTTAGAATTAGTTCAGTAACCGATATGGACAAACGTTATAGTCCTCCAAACCCACAGTCGTGATCATCTTTATGGTGGCCGGCGTAAGTTCGGCTTTTGCTGCATGAATACGTCCCAGCTTGGACTAAATTTCGGTTTCAGAGATCTGCTCTCTCGAACGATCCGTGACCACTGCATTCTGGAGATGAGCTTATGCGAGGCATTGTTCATCCGTCTAGATCTGAGGGTCACAAGCTAGCATGTAAGCTCAAGCTAGACCTCCTCCAACTGAAACTAACTGACGGACATATGTAGGCCTCTCTCTGTATCGTAACCTCCTTAGACAGGCTTTGCGTCTCCATGACGAGACTACGTCGGACTACCTCAAAAGTCTTGTTCAGAATCGCTTTCGACTTGACAGGCGGATCAACTCGCCCAGTGCAATCTGCCATGCCTTAGAACAAGTTCGGGAAGTTCACAAGATTGTGAAAGATGCTGCCGACGGTTGTCTCGAAAATCAGCTTCGGCTCGTCGACGCTCTAAGCAGAGTTGCCATTCATGCGCAGGAGCAAGACACTCTGCGGAGTCATCAAGCGAACCTGCGAAGTCCCACGCGTACAAGCAAGCTAGCTAAGATAGCACACCACGAAAATCATCGCAGCAAGGAATGGGCTGCTAAGATCCCGAAGTCGATACCGATTCTGCAACGCCCTGTGCCCAAGGAACAGCTTCCAAACCCAGATCGACCTCGTCGCGTACCTGTCGTTATGTCAAGTCAAGGGTTCCCGTTCCTGCGCTATAAATCTGGCTCTCAGTCACTAGAACTGGGCAGGATAATGAGGGACCAGTATGAACGAGATTTTAGACGATGGACTACCGTTCAGAATTTACAGCACGAGCTTGACCATGCCCGGCTTGAAGATTCGTGGGATAAAGATCTGGAGAAGCACGCTGGACACTACAATAACGACGATGTAAGGTGGACCGAGGCTATCACTTTCGCTGATGCAGAATTACGGGGCGTGTTGAGGCAAGCAGCACGAAGGAGGGACGATATAGCTATGCGCATGTGGCACATCAAAGAAGAGGAGACACAGCTCGCAGCGAAGGAGAAAGAAGAGAGAAGGGTTCAGCGGCGGTTAGAGAGAGAACAGCAATCACGAAGCACATTGGTGGCTGCAGGCAACGAGACCACAGCAGGCATAGCTCGTAAAGGTCAAGCCAACCATGATAGTTCAGCTGGTTCAGAGCCAACAATAGATGCTGATACAAAGTAATCAAGACAGCCTAACTCAGACAATTACTGCAAATCCAGTATCAAAGTACTTCTTGCCTTGACAGACCTGTAGCAATTTGTGCCCAGAAAGTATCGTGAAGCAGCGAACATGGAACGTTTCAGGCACGATCATTTGCGATCCGGGACGAATTTCCTGAGGCTAACTTGACGAGTTAACTGGCCCTTTCTTATTGGTCGGATGGCCTTACTCCTCCCACGCGACATCTCGTTTTCCTCCAGGCTCTACCTCTCCGCTGTATTTTATGACGTAGCAGGGCACGAACGTTTCTGGCTTCCCTTGCCTTGATAAGAAAGCAATAGTGGCAGAAAAACACTTTCATCACGTCTTCTCTTGTTTTTTGAAGTTTATTACTCAGGTTACGGCTATAGCTGCTTTCGCCAGCTGGCTGTGCCAAGCTCGACCTTATACACGGGTTCTGTATATTGCACGCAAGCGCGGTTCTCGTTGTATAGGTCCACAATCACAATTGCAATTGTTGAACAACATCACAACATGTCCTCCACAATCATCACATCATTCAGTGGTGCCCTTCAGGCTTCGCTCTCCGTCCTTCTGGTCATCTTTTATGGTGTTGTCGCGGCGCAGTTCAACCTGCTCGATAATGCTTCAGCCAAGCGCGTCTCCTACCTCAGTGTGAAGCTCTTTCTACCATTCCTGCTCATCACTAAAGTAGGCAAAGAGCTCACACTGCAAAACGCAAGCAACTATGTGCCTATCCTGAGTAAGCGTTCTCAAAATACCGATGACTTGAGGATCGTGGTTACTAATTACTTGCAGTATGGGCTATCTTTTACACAGCAATATCAGTGGGCATTGGCATGGTGAGTGTGAAGTTATTCAAATTACCGCCATGGGTGACGCCCGCCATCGCTTTCAACAACACTACTTCTCTACCTCTTCTTTTGGTTCAGTCTATGGAATCTACCGGCATTCTAAGTGCCATTCTGAAAGACAACGAAGATGTCAGTGAGGCAATCTCAAGGGCACAGAGCTACTTCCTAGTCTGCTCTGTCATTAGCAATTGTGCAACCTTTGCTGTTGGGCCACGGTTGTTAGATGGTGAAGAAGGCAGAGACGACGTCGGTGACAACAAAGATAGTGGTGGCGAAGATGGTCAAGCATATCCCAATAGGAACGGAGCTGTGAGCACCTGGAGTGGTAACGGACTGCAACGACAGCATGACCAGTATGCCGAGCCAGGCTTCTCGAGCCACGAAGAAGGCTCCGACGAAACAACATCACTATTGCCCGACCGGTTAATCGCAGCACATACCCAAGTCCACAACCAACTCCACGACAGAACCCACAACTTGCTACATCAAGCTCACTTCCACCCCGATGACTTCTCATCTCGCACAAAGTCATTCTGGTCAGTCATCGCCGACTTCTTCAACCCACCTCTTATCGGTGCAGTAATAGGCTTCATCATCGGACTTGCCCCACCTCTTCACCGAGCCTTCTTCTCAAATTCAAACGAAGGCGGCATTTTCACCGCTTGGCTCACTCAATCTGTCACAAATACGGGCGAGCTATTCGTCAGCCTACAAGTCATCTTGGTCGGAGTAAAGCTTGCCTCCTCGCTCCGAAAGATGAAACGAGGCGAAGGAGACAGGTCAGGTCACATGTCATGGGGCGCTGCGGCCTTTGTCTTTGGAATACGATATATCTTTTGGCCGATTGTGAGTATACCCATCATTTACGGTCTTGCGAAGCGGGGTGTTTTGGACAACGATGCTGTGTTGTGGTTCAGCATGATGGTTATGCCGTCTGGACCGCCAGCTATGAGTCTCATACCGATGGCAGACGTGAGTGGCAAGGATGAGGCTGTCAAGATGACGGTGGCGAAGCTGCTTACTGGTATGTATGCACTTAGTCCTGTGCTTGCGTTTGTGGTCACAATAGCTCTTAAAGCTGCACAGAGTGTATGAAGTTTCGATTTGGGTTATGAGCTTGTGGGAATAGCAGTATGGTAAACAATTTCCTTCTATAGCCGAAGTCTTACCTCGTCAGAGCTGTAGCTGCTCAACGTATACACTATACATGCCTATATCGTGCAGTACGAAACCAGGAGCACATCTTGAGCACGTTGCGAAACGTCGTCGAGCCAAAGCCAACTCGAGCAACTCAATGCTGACCTTGGCGATCATAACCTGCCATAGAGTCATGCTCGACACCACACTACCTCATCCTATACATCGACGCATCAGCTTCACGTTGTGTTTGGTCTTACGTGGTGGTCGGCACAGACCGCAGTACTTGTGATCCTCGTCCTATGCGGCCAGGTTCAAACCACAGCCCTCGCGACTCTAATAGTCACACAATCTTTCTGACCAGGCTCGTGCATCAGATCTTCTGAAGCCTTTGCAATGTTGAACATGCTTGACTTGCTATGTGAGACATTGTCGGGTTAAGTGCTTCAATTAAAGCATTGCATGGTATGATCCGACCTTCGAGGGACCTGTAGGCGAGATGTATGGTTCAGGCTTGCCGAACTCCATCTGAAGGAGGAGTCGTTCGAGCGTGAAAGGGTTGCTCTCTCGCTGCCGCGGATAGTGGTCATGATGTGCTTGTAGGTATTTGTCTTCTGAACGACACCTTTTCAACCGCGACATTCTCGTTACCATTGGCGTCGGTTCGAAGTTGATAAACATAGAGTACCAGGACATCACCCTGTACCTATATCATGTTAGCGCAAGTACTCATGCTCAATGTGGCTGTCATACATCCATCAAGCAGAAACTTGGAGTAGGTTCTTCCTCATCAGCGGCCCATGCAGTACTGAAGGCGCCAGTAGCACTCCCTGGGTTGACGAAGAACTTCCCCTCCAGCTCGTACGCTTCAAATTTGTGAGTACCGCCCCATAATAAGACGTCAACATCCATCTGCCTGGCTGCAATCAATAGAGCATCTGCATCTCCCTGAGGAATTATGGTGTGCCCGTGCGTAAAACCGATGCGCATATTGCCATGCTGGACGACTTTCGATAGTGCCAAGTTCGGAGTATCGACATCGTAGTCGCCTTTGACGAGGTGTAGCTCCGGTGCTACTTGTCTTAGGTAGTCAAATGTTTCCTTGTCTTTCAGATTTCCCAGACATATTATCTGTCCAATCTTTCCGGGTGTGAGGAGCTTTCGGAACTGCGCTTTGTGAGTGTGACGATAGCTTGCGAACGAGTACATGAACTCACCTTGGCTGGTATATCCTGCACTGGGTCAGAGAACCTCCCGAGACTTGTAGCAGTGTTGCTGACTTACTGCTGCTCGATCTGGGATAAACAGATCCCCCAAGATGAGTATTAGTCTCGAAGCCATTGTGCGCGTTGACACAATTTGCTAGACTGCCGGGATCTAGCTTCAATGAATTTCCTGATCAGTACTGGCTAAGTAAGTGTACAGTACACTGCAAGTGCATCGATTCAAGCAGGAGCGACGTCAATCCAATATCGGCAAGTGCGGCGGGTGGCTCTGGGTGCCTGATAATCCCTCCTGCCACGTGGTGGACAATGTTCACGGTGCCAGCGTCAGGACTGACCACCTCTCTGTTCTTATAAACAGTTATACCACTTAAGCGTCACCGCAGCCTGCCTACTTTATTTCCCTACATAATGTTGCTTGCCTGTTTCCATGGAACGTGCAGTTACTGGCTGTAAAGATGTGACCTATCCTCATGAGGAAGATGTTCGGTTTTCACACGATCTGACAGAGAATGAAATAAGTCGACATGTATGGACGCAGGCATGAAAGGGCAAAGTCACATAGTTTCTGAATACTAGAGATCCCACATTGAAGGATTTCCAAGCAGCAACCGCATCTATCTTTTTCCTCAATTTCCAAGCTCTCTGCTTGTGGTATTCCATCGGGCTTGCAGTTGCTGGCTCTGGAAACACCGCAATTTAATTATGGCATCAACGTCACTTTCAGGCTGATGGATTGATCACGGGTGCCCTCCTGAGACTATTTTCGTGCCAGCAGGTATCGAGGAAAATCCGCATCCTGAGACTTCATGAATAGACTGCGGGCGTCCCCCAGGGAGTGCTGTTTTAAAAAAGCATACCATGTTTTTTAGTTCACAGATTGGTCAAGGGTGCCCTCCCTAGTGTATTTTCAGGCCAAAGGGTGCTCGTTGTGCTGATTTTGCCTGGGTGTGTCGGGGGCACGCCCGCAATTTTTGGGTCGTTTCTTTTCCTCGGGCACTGTCTCCTCTCGACAAGCAGGGCGTCATACCAATTTCACTTCTTTTCCGGCTCAGCAAGAGTGTCAGCATATCCCACCAACATCACAGGCGTGCTCCCCAACATTGGGGGGAGGAACAAAAAAATCAAAAAAGTTATCATCGTTATTGACTTGATAGCACTATTTAGAATTAGTTTAACATTCGGATATAGGTCTTCAGGTGGAGACATACACGCTTGGTTTCGATCCAAGGTCCTCCGGGTTATGAGCCCGGCGCGCTTCCGCTGCGCCACGTTGCTATTTTGAAATCTATATCGATAAATATCGAATTATTTGTGTGCTGATTTTGAGGCCTAATTCTTAAAAACACATATATAAATCCTTTTTCCATATGACGAGCATCAGCACATGGAAACCGAGCTAAGTATCAGGTATGGCTTTCTGTTTGCTACGACCTTATCTCAATCTTGTTCCTCTATCCTTATCTCAATCTATAGAGGAACAAGATTGAGACTGTAACACAGCGGAGCTCCGTACGTGATATTTCCCATAATAATCTTGCTAGGACTCCTTGGTTGTGTTCGTGTATCTCCCGTAGGCCTCCAGATATACCAGAACAGGCAGGTACGGCGAGGCTGACTTCCGAGGTCGTCACAACGCTTATTCGCGGAAGCTGGACGTTCAACACTGGTTAATACGGACATTGACAGTACAAAAAGCTCGTCTACACTTCCAACAAAATGCATTGATGGACTCGGTTTACTGCAAGGAAGCCTACGTACACAGATCAGGCATAATATGAAGTCGTTTGCTAGTATTAGAGCAGCACGATGCGCCCTTTGTGGTATCAAAGAGAGACAGTATATACCGCGCACGCCCTTGCTGCAAATATGCCGACCATTCCACATATCTTCCGTTCTTCAGAAGATTGAAACACACACATTGTCTGACATAGGCGAAGGAGTCAAAGAGGTACAGATAATACAATGGTTCGTGGAAGAGGGTGCAACAGTAGAAGAATGGGCTCCTCTATGCGAGGTCCAGAGCGACAAGGCCTCTGTCGAGATCACGTCAAAGTTTGCAGGCGTGGTTAAGAAATTACACTTCGAAAGGGACGCAGTAGTCCAAGTGGGCGATGCTATGCTAGATATTGAGGTAGAAGGTGAAGACGAACCCGAACTAGAGCAAGAACCAGAAGAGGAAGCGAGTAGCGAGGCCAAAGAACAAGACCGGAAGCAACAAACCGAACAAGAAGATATAGCTGATGAAGAGACACAGACTGGTTCGTCAGACGCCATTCAAGAAGCCGCTCCTGCAGCTCCCAAGCCAAGAGAACAGCCAAAAGAGAATGGAAAGCACTCTAACCTCGCAACGCCAGCTGTAAGAAGTCTGCTGAGACAACACGGCTTGGAAGTCACTGAGATAGAAGGATCTGGTAGGGATGGCCGAGTAATGAAGGAGGATGTTCAGAGACATCTTGAGCAACAGGGAGAACCAAAACAGCCTGCTGGCCAGTCTGCACAACAAGCTCTTCCTCCATCGCCGATTCAGTACGCGGAACAGGAAGAGACACCACAAAAGCTGACTCCCATTCAGTCAGCGATGTTCAAATCTATGACTAAGTCTCTCGCTATCCCTCACTTTTTGTATTCGGACTCTATTAACATCACGTCCTTATCAGCCATGCGCTCAGGACTGAATGCGAGGAGAGATACTCAGACGACACCTAAATTCTCCTACATGCCGTTTGTTATCAAGGCTGTCTCGTTAGCGTTAAACAAATATCCATTACTCAACGCGCGACTGGAATTGTCCGAAGCAGCCAAACCAGGGTTGTTGATGAGGAAGAACCACAATATAGGAATCGCGATAGACACTCCCGCGGGCCTGCTCGTGCCTGTCATCAAAACTGTCAATGCAAGATCCATAACATCAATAGCTCATGAATTACAGAGGCTTGCGGAGAAAGGTGCTACCGGCAGGCTTTCTAGCGAGGATCTGTCAGGCGGCACAATCACTGTCTCAAACATAGGTAACATTGGTGGCGGAGTAGTGGCTCCAGTTATTGTTGAAGGACAGCTCGCTATCATGGGCATGGGCAGAATCAAGGCGACTCCAGTCTTCGCCGCTGACGGCAAGACTATCGAAAAGGCCGACATGTTAAGCACAAGCTGGAGCGCCGATCACCGTGTTGTGGATGGAGCTACAATGGCCAGAATGGCAACTTTGGTGCAGGATTATCTTGAAAGACCAGAAACTATGTTGGTTGATTTGAGCTGATGTTCGCTCGGCTGCGGTCGATAAAGATATCAATCACAGGAGTTGCAAGCAGCTTCGAGTCTGAACGACACCAAAAGCGTTTGACCTGTACTTTGACTTGAGCTTAGACGCACTGGTAGCACGTGGTGGTCGGCAAAAACGGTCGCTCCGGTTTGATATGGTAAGGACCAGCCTCATCGTCGACTGTCTCCGTAGCACCTGGAAGAACTCAATTTCACGCTCAGGGCAACAAGGAACGTTGTAAGGATAGATATCAGAAAAGTTCCAGCAAAGGCAAACATGTTGCCGACGATAGAGAAGATACACTGAAACTTGCTTCACCGAATCTTCAAGGCATTATTAAGAACATCACTTCGATCACCGCTTCCTGAGGTGGACGCCCGCTTATGCTTCTTCAATCCAGCACTCTGGGCAGGCCTGAGAATTTATCAGATCAAGATGCAACACAGACACGGATATCCCGAAATAAGCTTCGACATAATTCATCTGTGCAATAATTGCTTGGCTACAATTCGAAGTTCGCAGTTGCTCGAGCATATCATGATCTGAAGAGTCTCTGAAACGGAACGAGCCCGAGTGTTTAGGAGCAACTATATGCTCGGATATTCTAACCTGTGCCGTGATCTTCGAGCATCGCACGAAGCAATTGAGATTGGATACAATAAATGTAGGACATAACCTTTCACCTCGAGAATTCTGGAATCACTGGCTGTCTGCGAAAACCATCGGCTATATGGGAGATAGCAAGATCGATCGCCCCTTTCTGTGGGGGTAGTGGGTATGGCGAGCGCAGGAGAACTTTGAACGGAATAACTAGCTGCATCGCCGCAACTGCATTGATTTCGTGCCATCCTCCGCCTGGATTGATGCCCGATGGCGCTGACTGGAAGTAACCAGTATTCGTCACATCACCCAAAGCATAGGCAGTCAACCCGATCAGGTCATCGGCTGTCTTCTGTATGATACGTATAAAGGATTCAATCCTCGATTCCAGATGTGTCGATTTACTTGGATCCACCTCATTCGTGTTCAACGACACTAATTTAACCTTGACAATCTCGATGAGAGTCTCGTAGAGCTTAATCCGAGCAATGAGGCACCTGAGCCAGTATAAAAAGACCCAGAAGCTGTAGAAGTACCACAAAGCTTGGCTGGGGTAAAGTGCCCATATCGTACCTCGTACATGACCACGGACTGGCATCAGATCCCAGCCAGGCTCTTGCTTGCTCCACCTGAGCATGGCGGCATCTAGACACTCACCTTCGTAAAGTAGTTGATTGAGTTCGGCTGCCAAATTACGTGATTGTGGTTGAAGTCTGTATTTCTGCATTGCGTACTTTGTTGCTTCCAGATGTCTCGCCGTCTTCGTAGAGAAATTCGTGTTCGTCCTTGTATAGATCTAATTCCAAGGACTTAAAATCCTGTGAATCAACTGAATTGAGAATGAATAGCCGCATCTGTATAGCAGCCTTGAACACTCGAAAGATTCGTTCACTTCTTGGGTTCGTGAATTGTGTTTTGCCTCTAATTCTTAGTAGTCGCATTGCTCCGCGCATATGTGCGACGTGGCCTCTCCATTCTTCATCCAGGTCTTGTGGTTCGTTCTTGTTTCGGCCATGGGAGAGCACGGATTTCACTGCCTGTATATAGTCAGCTCATTAGTAACCATCTACTTAGGCATAAACACACCTCATAGAGCCCAAGCAACCAGACCGCGGTGATCAGTTCGTCTTTGAGAGCTTCGCTTTCATCTGTCATCGTTTCCGATACACGCTGTAGCGCCTTCATGTATTCGCTGTCTGTCTGTAGACGCACATCTTGTCCACTGTAGCGATCTGCTAATGCCATACGCGAAACGGCCCTTGATGCCTGTTGAATCGCGGTATTTTGAGCTGAATGCTCCAACATCTCGGGTAAGAAGTCCAGAACAGGAACTCCATATAGTCTCTTTGCTTGATACGAAAACAAGTTCAGAAAGAAGCAGGTCGCTTGGTGCTGAACATCGTACTTCAGGGCCGGTGAGATTGACCTTGAAGGCCTCGGAGGTACCTGGAAGAGATGCTTCTCGCCTTCGCTCGACTCATCTTTGACCTCAAGAATCGAACTCTGTCGTGACTTTTGGAGGACCTCTTGAGGTTGATCGATAATATCATGTTCTAAGTATGAAGATGTGCTTGTAGGATCAACTGGTTGCGATCTATGCACTGTTCGATCTACAGAAAGCACGGACAGTAAGCAATGATCTGCAAGTTGTTCCTTTTTCGGAACCACATTGTCCGAGCGAATGTGAAGCTCTATCGAAAATGGATAGCCAGGACATGGTTTGCGTATCTGTGCACATTTTCGACATCCTGGTCGACCTTCGTCGCACTAATGGCATTTAGGATCAATATCCTTCGAGAGTCGTTGGCAAGAATTACCTTGATCTTTCGCTTCCGACACAAACCGCAGCCTGTGCTAGATCTACCAGAATTTCCCATCTGCGGTGAGCGTCCTTGATATCTCGATAGTGGTAATTGTAGGAGGAGTGTACTCGATCCGGAAAGCTGCAAAATAAATTGATAAACCCAACCAAAGAGGATAGCACGTGGAAGTACCCGATTAGCTGCTAGATATGTTTTAAGCGACGTCTCAGACTCGAAATTGGTTCGTATAGGTGATGTGTATGACCTGAAATGCGGTGGGGGCAGAACACAAGGTTTGAGATGCCCTCAATTCCAGGAACGGTTTTTGAGTATAGATGAGGTATAAGAGTATGGACAGTACTGAAGTCAAGGGAAAGAACACCTCTCTACCAAAACGGCATGGTCAAAACCAGCAAGACATGGTAGGCCATCGGGTCGAGGTCTTTTCATGAGACAGTTTTACCTGTTTAGTAATTGTTGCACACTGTCAATCAAGAGCTGAACGACCCAGAACTTAAGTGGTTCTAAGAGTGGTTAGGTCGTTGTATAGATCGTCGAGGTCACGAACGAGTGGTGTTTTTGATCTGGAGGACGCCCTTATCAAGAAGCCACTAGGCTAAATTTACACATTCAACCTCAGCTGAGACAGTTCCAAGAAATGCCAAAGCACGATACGAGACCTAGCGATGGCCGAATCAAGCTCTACATCTGACGCGAACGTGGTGCAAGTGAAGGTACTTCTTGCACTATCATTATGCAGCTTCATGGGTATACTTGAGTATCAGCATCAGCGTCAACACTACCAGCGTGCATTCCGTCACTCAACGTCCCAAGCATAAACTATACAGGAACAATCGTGCAGAAGCTAGGATTTTGACCTCGGGATCGAGCACAACCCTACCATTGGCTAGTCTGACACTGAGTCATCGCGTCGTGAATGTAACTGTAACAGATGAATGCTAGGCTACGCAGTACGATGTCTAGCTGCAAATCGGCGTAAGAACCGTGATGCCTTCAAGTTTGAGTCTCCGTTATCAATTTATCAATTCTGAAATGTAGCACTGGGAATGTCGGCAATCAAGTTAACACTCGTGTGGTCATGGCTGCGTATTATCAATGCCTTGAACTTTGGCACCACCTATAGTATTGGTTAAGAATATGATACGACCGACAGCTGCCATATTTCCTTCTCGAATGTGTTTGGGTTGAGCGAGATGGCTAGCAAACGGTGATCCCAAAAGAGACTGATGTGGTGGACACCCATGAGTAAGTCTGTGCACTTGAACGACTTCATGGATGCTATGTATTAGGACAATATCACACAAAAAAGCCAGGCCAATAGATGCTTAGTGCGTTGCGAGGTATACAATGCACGAGCAGCTCTTGAAGTTCCTGGCCTTAGTGGTGTATTGTGCACGAAACTAGCAGGTGTATAAAGGTTTCAAGAGTGGTTCGTCACGACTTGCGACCACGAACGACGACCAATCACGTTCGTAAAAGCACTTGAGGTGCTGATTCCGTCAATCGAGATACATGATGGTGACAGTGCTTTGGTCTGCTGATCATAGGGGGATGGTGCAGTATTCTCGCTTGTCTTCTATTTTTGGCGCCAAATGCAGCTGCTCTGTGAGTGCCTAGTACGGTAATCTTCAGGCGTCCTCCACCTCTCCACGTCGTCGAGTAGTCGTTGCAATGGTTAGACATCAGCCCAGATCTGAAGACGAAATTCTTTTTTGAGAGAAGGGCATCGTCTCACTTGCTCCTCTTACGTCTCAGTCGAGTGACAATGGAGGTTGTTCTACCCTCCTGGGTGAATCCCTTCGCCACATATACCATCATCTGCTTTGTTGCTTATTCATCGCTATGTCAAGTGCTTCGCTTCCAGCGCATCAAGTCTATGAAACAAAAACATGGCTTTGGCACACCTCCAAGGCCAGACCTTTCGTCAATGACCGATCAGGAAGCTTATGAGATCCAGTCAGAAATAGCCGAAGCTGAATTTCCTGCTTTGTTCGAGAAAGGTCTCCAGCTTGCTTTGTTCAGAACCTATGGCATACCCAGCATCTCAAGATTGCTTGTTCAAACTGCACAGCTGTCGACAGGCGAGAATGTAGCAAAACGATATGCCGACACTGCAGTCATAATCACTGAAATTTACTCGAATAAACCAAATCACGCGCGAAGTATCGAAGCTTTTGCTCGGTTGAACTATCTACATGGTCATTATCTCAAACAAGGGCGGATCGGTAACGATGATATGCTCTATACATTGGCACTCTTCATGAACCATCCTGTGGAATGGATCAACAAATATGAGTGGCGACAGTTGACAGATTTAGAAGTTTGTGCTGCTGCAACTTTTCACAAGAGTATGGGTGAAGCCATGGAGATCAGTTACGATGTCCTCCCAGGGAGTAGGAACGGTTGGAAAAACGGCCTGCAGTTCTATCGAGAACTCGACCATTGGGCAAAAGACTATGAAGAGAAGAATATGTTGCCTCACAAGGACAATTACTTGACCGCTATCAAGACCCAAGAGTTGCTTCTGAGCACTGTACCCTCATTTACCCACGGACTGGTCGTACAGATGATTGCCGCAGCAATGGATGATCGACTCCGAAACGCCATCATGTTTGAGCCAAGCTATGCTGCTGCAAAGGTCTTCTTGAACCTCTTCATGTCAGTACGACGATTCTATTTGAGATATTTTGCTTTACCGAAATTCGACTGGCAGCGTGAAAAGGGGTTGAGCAAGGAGGAGAGTCCTGAAGGTCGAAGATGGATTAAATTATGGTCTACTACACCTCATTATGTCAAGCCAACGTTCTGGAATAGATGGGGGCCTGGCGGCCTGTACCAGCTCATGCTTGGAGCTCCCCGTCCTGGTGATGTAGGGATGTGTCCCGAGGGTTATCTGAGATCGAATCTTGGTCCAAGAGCTTTTAACGGGAAAGGAATAGATGTCTTTGAGCAACAGAAGGCAAGGCTGACACAAAGCAGAACAGGAGGCTGTCCTTTCATAATCAAAGGATCCTGATCTGAGTACGAGTTGAACACAGTGATGATCACGAGACTGTTACCACATTGTTCAAAGATGCAGGCTGTTGTACTAGCTGAAAAATACAAGGAGGCCTCTAGGACTGAAGAGTGGCTTCTGGATTGGCTCTTGCGAATATACTGGTTTGTACGGCATGCCAGCTTTGAACTCAGCATCTTGGTCATATCCTATTGCCATGTAAGATAAAGTGTATAGAGTCCGTTCCTTTTGTAACAACGGCACGTCCTACCTTTCATGAAGAATGAATTGTGGCGTGAAACCTTGCCGTGAACTAATGCGGCCCCAATCGGACGCCCAGCAATACTCAATATAGCGTCCAGAATCCACTCCTATTCTTGGCTGAGATATGTCGTCCGCCATGTTCTCGTGCTCGATATCTGTATGTGGTGTTTTGTGCTCAGCACAGCTTCAATAGCACAAAGACTGATTCCAGCCTGTTTCACGTTGTCGTATTGCCCATTCGAAGGAATCGTAAAATTTGGAGTCCATACCACTCCTTTACGTCGGCGAAAAAGGTGAGGCGACAAGCTCAATAGGACGACGAAAAGGACCCAGATCTCAGGACGAATTTTGCGAGAGCATTGCAAGATCAAGCCAAGGTGCGGTTGGGGCTGGGAACTCTTTTCTTATTCGGGGCTATAATCAAGAATGTCGGAAACCGGGCAGTTCCCCAAGATGATCGACCTCGATGCATCGAGAGCCATCGATCTCGAGGCCTTGAAACTACAGTACGCCGACAAATTCGCATCGTACACGCCTCGAGATCGTCCTCCTCTTCATCAGATGCCCACAACGTCGACGGCTCTCCCTGACGGTCGGGCACGCAAGTACAAATTAGAGATCTTTCCACCTCTACTGAACTCTTCGAGTCCCTGGGCAACTACGGTCGAGCAAATCCAAGAACTTTATGATTGTGAATTTACTGGTGCCGTGACTACGAGAACGAGTCTGCTTGAGGGTTTCAACCACGATCCAGACGTGCATCAACATGTCTTTTTCCCTGCTGGGCAATCTGCAACCAGGACCGGTGTGCCTAAGGGCGATGAGTCAGCGAAGACACTTCCCGATGCTGCGGCTACAAGCTCGCTGAATACGTATGGGTACAGTCCGCACACGTTATCTGAATATCTCGGATTCGTCAATGAGATTGTGGGACAACGACATTTGGGCACTAGCACAATCAGGAAGAAGCCTTTTATTATTTCTGTGACAGGCACGCCAGACGAAATAGCAATGAGTTTCGCACTACTTGCAAATGCTGCGGAAATGGATGAAGATCTTAGGTTGGCTATGGAAGTGAATTTATCATGTCCGAACATCGACGACAAGCCACCACCAGCATACGACGAGGCAATGCTCAAAGAATACTTGGAAGCAATCTCAGATTCAAAATCAACATATAGAGGCAGAATGGCAGGGCCAGACTCCGTGCCAAAGGTCGGTATCAAATTGCCACCATATACCTGGTAAGTTCGGACTCCAGCATTCCAAGCAGCTACATATGACTAACATATGCTCAGGAAGGGACAATTCGAAATGGTAGTCAAGTGCCTGGTAGAAGCCAAGTCATCCGAGCCAGGCGAAGGAAGCGTAATAGATTTTATCACTTGCACGAATACATTAGGTTCATCCCTTGTGCTTGATGACTCACTGAAACCTACATTGGCGTCAGAAGCAGGAACGGGAATAGGTGGAATGGCAGGAGCAGCGATCCATCCTTTGTCGTTGGGCAATGTTGCCACGTTCAGAAAAATGTTAGACAAGCATATAGATACGGAGGAAATCATGATCATTGGAGTTGGTGGTGTGGAAGATACTGCCGGGTTTGAAAGGATGAGGAAAGCAGGAGCAGAAGCGGTGGCTTGTGCGACTGCTCTGGGTAGACATGGCGTAGATGTGTTTTCCAGCATTATTAAAGGAGAATAAAACATTCGTGTCGTAAAAGGCAAAGTGAAGATATCAAAGAAAGTTGTAATTGATTCATTGCCCGTTTTCGTCACCTCATCTATCATAAGAAGTGCTTTTGAAAAAGTCTAGATGCAAGGAGATCTCGCAGTGTAGTGCAGTATCGCTAATCGACATGCTATAAGTGTAGCGTTCGTCTTATTGCGACTGTCCGATCGCGATGAACAAACTTGCTCACAACTTTTGCATAGCAGCAATATCGGTAGACTGAACATAGTCTTCGAACTCCTCGATCTTCTGCTGAAGCTCATCCAGAGAGACCTTGTCGTCTTCGACAACCAAGTTGACTTGCAGCTTCTTGATACCGAAGCCGACTGGTACCCATTTGCTAGCACCCCAAACAAGACCATCCATCTCGACACTCAGGACGCTCGCCTTCAGCTGTTCCAGATCGGTCTCGTCGTCCCATGGTTTGACGTCCATTGTCACGATCGACTTGGCGGCAGGCTTGGTCTTGCCCTCCTTCTTCTTCTTGTACTCCGCAAGTCGTTTCTCGCGTTCGGCGACGACCTCTGGATCCTCCTCCTCGTCCTCATCGCTGCCAAATAGATCGACTTCCTCCTCTTCCTCGGCGTCTGGAGCTTTAGCAGGGTTGATGGTCGCCTGGCTGACTTCTGGCCCATATGTAGTGAATGATTTGGAAGGGTCACCTGGCAGGCTAGAAAATTCACTCTCGTATGATTTGATGTGGTTGTACCATCTGTAAGCGTGTGGGAATTGCTCGACAGCTGGAGGAGTTGAAATGGCCTTGTAGGTAACTACATCGGCTTGAGATGGCGCATATCTGGCATATCGTTAGCGCTTGGTTTTCGGCAACCTCAATGTGCTGTGCAGGGCGCTAGTTATGGAATCAGAAGTGCAGAAACTGCGATTGGAAGTAGTCATGCGGTGGTGTCTTAAGCCACCTCTTAAACACGGACCAATTTGTTCTCATCAAGTCAAAGCCATATGTATTAGCGGCGCACTTACCCAGTGATGTATGAGCGAGTTCGAACCCAGCTGTCAAGCGCTGTAACAATAGTCAGTTGGCGGGGCTTCGAGTATGTGAATAGTTGAGCAACTCACCAGCAAAGGCAGTGTCGTTAACAAAATCAATGAAACCCATGTCTGTGGTGTTTGTGACTATGGGGAGATGAGTTCTGAACGCAAATCGAGGCGGAATGTATAGAACTTCGAATGACTGTGCACGGAATGAATCAAGGAGGGCTCCTTCAAATTATATTGAAAAAGCGTGAACTTTTCCCGCAGCGCAGCAGCCTTGAGACCTAAGGCATAAATCTTGGCAGATCGTTGATGCCTTAAGTATCGTAGAAAGTTGTGATGTATATGGAACTTTCGAGGAGAGTCGACGGCATCAAGCTAACATTATGGCTTCTTCCTTTTGTAAAGCATATCAATAACGTTGATGGATGGTGCTGAAGGTTGTCTTCAGCAACACAAAGACAAGAATGATTCCCATAAGAGCCTTGCCAGCGCGGCGCATCGCCAACGTACGACTATCACTTCCACTACGCCAGCATTACCGACCCTCCGTAATACCTGTCTCGAAAGCACCTCTGATATCTGCAGCTGTTCCATCGTCAGACTCTACACCCGTCCGGGGATATGCTAGTGGCCGTCCACATCCTCCTGGCGGTACACACCGTATGAACCTTGGAGGCGAACCAGAGAAATCGGCTCTAGAAGAGTATGGTGTTGACCTCACAGAACGGGCGAAGCAAGGGAAACTTGATCCTGTAATAGGACGTGACGCTGAAATAAAGCGGACCATTCAAGTGCTATCTCGACGGACCAAGAACAATCCAGTTTTAATAGGTGCAGCAGGAACTGGCAAAACTGCAATCCTCGAAGGTCTGGCACAGCGCATCGTAAAAGGTGATGTGCCGGAAAGCATCAAGAACAAGAGAGTAATATCCTTGGATCTTGGTCAGTTGATTGCTGGTGCCAAGTTTCGTGGTGACTTTGAAGAACGATTGAAGAAGGTATTGAAGGAGACTGAAGATGCCCAAGGCGGTGTCATCCTGTTCGTCGATGAACTACATACCCTACTTGGGCTAGGAAAAGCAGAAGGTTCAATCGATGCCAGTAACCTACTCAAGCCAGCCCTCTCAAGAGGTGAATTGCAGTGCTGCGGCGCAACAACCCTGAACGAGTATCGACAGATCGAGAAAGACGTGGCGCTTGCTCGTCGTTTTCAGCCTATTCTTGTTGGCGAGCCATCAGTCACGGACACTATCTCTATCTTAAGAGGAATCAAGGACAAATATGAGGTTCACCACGGCGTGCGTATCACAGATGGCGCCCTTGTCGCCGCAGCGACATACTCGAACCGCTACATTACCGACCGTTTCCTCCCCGACAAAGCCATTGATCTCGTCGATGAGGCTGCTTCAGCATTGCGTCTGCAGCAAGAATCAAAGCCTGACAGCATTCAGGCCCTCGACCGTGAGATTATGACTATCCAGATTGAGCTCGAATCATTACGGAAGGAGACTGACATAGCATCGAAAGAGCGTAGAGAAAAATTAGAGGAGACCTTGATTGAAAAGAGGAAGGAAGTCTATCGACTTAACGAAATATGGGAGAAGGAGAAAGCAGAGATTGAAGCTATCAAGAGGACAAAAGAAGACCTCGAGAATGCCAGACACGAACTTGAAGTCGCTCGACGCGCCGGAGATTTCGCAAAAGCAGGAGAGCTTCAGTATGCAGCTATTCCAAAACTTGAGGCTGCTCTTCCCAAGGAGGGAGACGCTCCCACGAATAGCAATGGAGACAGCTTAATCCATGATTCGGTCACATCTGACGATATCGCTGCGGTCGTGGGCCGAGCAACTGGCATTCCAGTCACGAAGCTCATGTCCGGCGAGGTTGAGAAACTGGTGAAGATGGAGGAGCGTCTCCGCGAGCACGTTCGAGGGCAAGACGAAGCGCTGACCGCCGTCGCTAACGCTGTACGAATGCAGCGCGCAGGTCTCACAGCTGAGAACCGCCCAATTGCCAGCTTTATGTTTCTCGGGCCAACTGGTGTCGGAAAGACTGAGACTGTTAAGCAGATTGCCAATTATCTATTTTCGACTGAATCGGCAGTCGTACGCTTCGACATGTCCGAATTTCAGGAGAAGCACACCATTTCTCGTCTGATAGGAGCCACAGCAGGCTATGTCGGCTACGAGGATGCTGGTCAGCTTACCGAAGCCGTAAGAAGGAAGCCATATTCTGTTGTACTCTTCGACGAGTTTGAAAAGGCACATCGCGATATCTCCAACCTTCTCCTACAAATCCTGGATGAAGGTTTCCTGACAGACGCACAAGGCCACAAGGTCGACTTCCGCAACACTCTCATCGTGCTTACCAGCAATCTGGGAGCGGAAGTCCTGGTAGGTCCTGACGCGCCAAAGACGGAAAACGTGACGCAAGCGCAAAAGGACGCGGTCATGGCAATTGTGCAGTCGAGTTATGCACCCGAGTTCCTCAACCGAGTCGATGAGTTCATAGTCTTCAACAAACTCTCCAGATCAGCGCTGAGGGACATCGTCGATATCAGACTCAAAGAGCTACAAGCTAGACTCGACGATAGACGCGTCAGTCTGATCGTCCCCAACAATGTCAAGGACTGGCTTTCCGAGCATGGGTATGATCCAAGATATGGTGCCCGACCATTAAACAGGCTCATTCAGACGGAGATCGGACGACGCCTGGCTGACTTGATTATTCGAGGCGAGGCGCGCGCAGGCAGTGTGGTCGAAGCCAAGATCGAAGGCGAAGGACTTGCACTGATACCGTCGAACACGGTCGAGTGAGCTAGGCTCAATCGATGGAAACGTACAACATTATTTGATTCGACTGGAGTGGGCGCAAATGTTTGAATGGTAGCAAGCCAAGGTGGACAGGCGCACAAGCAGTGTTGGACAATTGGTGAACGTATGAATGATGACTTACGACTTATATAGATTGTACTCAACTCGACTCTGTACACTAAGATAGCTAATACATCTTGTCTCAAATATGTGTTCCAGTACCTTGTCTACTTTCTGCGAGCGGCGGACTGGGAGCATGCCTACGACAATGGTCCTGGGGCGACGATAACGTTGGAGCTACTAGCCCACAGCGCGTGACTACGTGAGCATTAAAGGCACGAAAGACCGGCTCAGGATGTAAGGCTTTGTCAATTTGGTGAAGAGCGACTTGCTTTTGAAGATTCAACCTTTTTTCTGCAGCAAGTTTGTCACATCTTGCCACAACCCGGAAGGACTCGTACCTCGACTTCGGGACTGTAGCATAGAGGCTTTACGGCTCATGACCTGGCTGGCAGGACTACAGCTACTCCCGCGCGTCAGCCCATCATGAGGCGTCCAAGATCGTCCTCGCTGTTCGTAAGCATCGTACGGCCTAGGCAATGCTGGTTCGGGCACAGACAGACGCAACTCCTGCTCATCGGGTATGTAGTGATCACTAAAGAACTGCGATTCATGTGTCTTAGAGCCTGTAGGATCCAGAGCTGCCTGTTGTTCGGCCTCCCATTGTTCGACCTGCTCCCAGTCTGCATGGTACAACTTGGTGCTATCTGTGCTCTCTCCAAGATCTGCGTAAGGGATGGCTAACTGCTCTGTAGTCAGAATATTCGAGCTAGAGGCGCTTCTCGAACTCGACCGTGACCGTGACTGCGACCTCGGGCGTACTCCGTGGGCTGTAATATAAGAACGGACTGGACTTTTCGGAGGTACCGATTGATTTACGATGCTCATCTCTTCCTCGTCATCTAAGTTTGCGTATTTTCCTTTCCCCATCCCAGCCACGGTATCAAGTACTGCAGACCTCCGACGGTGAATGTCATTGATGTGCTTGTGCTTCCGATGACGATACCATATTGTCAACACGCCAAGACTAGCAATGACAGCGAACGCGCCTGCGATGCCAACTATGATCATCCAGTTCCGCTCCTTCTGATCCCGCTCCAACAGGACGTGCATATTCTGCGTCACTGTTGTTTTCCCCCCAGAAGAGGAACTGTGCCAAGATTACTAAAGATTGGGTAGACATTCAACCAGGGACTCAATAGGTCAAGGGTGCGTGTTTATTTCTTTGTGCCACCACTTGTAGACGTCTACGTGTAGACAATCGGAGAGGGACAATTTCTTGAAGTCGAGTAACTCGCCAGAACGGTTCGTGAGAAGAGGTCGTAACAAATTTGCAGTGGTCACCACTCCAGAAGACTTTCCTGAGACTATGAATTATTCTTTTTGGTCGATTCCCGGAATCCACTTCATGGAGTGTGTTGCGAAGATGGGCATATCGAAATGGTGCCCTCTTGACTCTGGAACTGGTAAGATAGCACTTGGTAGGGAGCACAATCTAAATGTGACATGCCGGGTAAAACAACAAAAAGCCAGGAGCTTCCACACCCTTTTTTTTTAGGCGTTCGAGCAGCGATCCACGCCTTGAGTTGTACTTTTAGGTTCGCCAAGCCACTGAAGATACTTACCGCAACCACTCAGAACACTTGTGAAAATAGCCTGTGATGCGGGAAGAAAGCTTGAAGTGCTTGTATAGGTTCTAAGACAAGACTTCTGTAAGTGGTAGGGGTGACGTTGGCGGGAATCGTGCAGCGTGAGTATGCATCAGCATTGAGCATTTACTTACGCTACTTCACCAAGAAGCATAATTGTGCATGTCTACCATACAACCCGCCAGCGCATCGCATAAGGGACATGATTCCATCTCTTTCAAGATCAATTCATATTTTTAGGCTGCTCCACGAGCATATGCCAAGGCAGCGCCCCGTCACAAGCCAGGAACACAGCCTAGACGTGGCGGGGCAGAACGTCATTTCTGAAACGTGAGTATGCCTATGTTTGGAATAGTATACCTTCCGTGTATGTCTAGTATAGCGTGGTATAAGAATGACAGTGCTTGATTGAGAGCGTGGAGATAGAGGCACCGAAGATGAGATCGTGAAGGGATGGTACTCCATAATCACACAATCACTGGATGCAGTGTTCAAAGACTCTATGGGTGACAGCGATACGTTTACTAAGAGTTTCGAGTGCCGGGAGTAATGCTTACGGAGTAGGTACAGACGTTGCGGAATAGCCGATACCAGACAGAATCGCAAGTTCAGAACCGACCACAAGCTAGGACCACATCCTCCACGCGGCAATTCCTGAGATGGGAAGCAACGTAACCAACGTAACGAGCCGCGAGTGCGTGGTATTGAACTCTATTTCCAGCTCTTTTTACAATGATTTCAAACCGAGCTCAAGCGACGTCCTCACCTGCCAAAAGCCATTCTGCGCTGTGCTTTTGTCCTCAGCAATCACCACTCTATCAATAGAACAAACAACATGTGCATATCAGCAAGCATATACGACATGCAAGGAGGGGTTCTGCTTTTTCGGTATCCAGCAGTGCTTTGGAGTATGCAACAGCAAACACCACAAGAGCACTGGATCGACCCGACGTCCCTCTTGTCATCAGCATTGCAACATTCGTACTCAACATTGTGCTTGATCTCGTTGTCATTTGACCGTTACATAGTGGTAGCCACGTACCTTCTGCGAACATTCAGGCTGGTGTCAAGCTCGCTTGTGATACGACAGCGGCCCTGGCAGGCCTGACATATTTCACTTAGATTGTCTTACGGTTGAGACATAAGGACAAAATCGCGACGCCGTCCAAACCAAGTGTACGAGCATTCTTAGTGCTTCTGCGGCCTGGTATCTTGACATTTAATGAGTCCGCGGTTCGAAATGCCCTATACCTCCGGCTTGTCTCCAACATCGTCTCTATGGGTTCAGATTATGCAACAGCATGGGGTGTATTCAACACGATCCAATGGGGGCTAGACATGGTGCCCGTACAGACTCTGGAAGCCTCCTCGCTTGCATTTACTGGACACTTGTGGGGCCATTTTCGACATCTCACGAACCATGCAAGCCAACCTCCAGCATCAAAGACACAAATCAAGCGCACTGTCCGACCCGCACTGATCTCGCCCATCATCGCCTTGGCAGTCGAGATTCCTCTTTGCATCGTGCTATCAGTGGTAGGTGCAAAGCCATACGCCCGATGGATTTCTGGCTCAGAAACCGTCGCGCGCATCACAACAAAAACGTGGAGAACAATAGACTGGTGTTACATTTTCTACGCACTCAACACTCAGCTCGCCACCATTCTGCTCGCAACCAAGGTCGACTGGTATTTGTTCCAGTCGCTTGTTTCGAACATCCAGTATGTGTTGCCATGGGCGATACTCTGCCAGGCGAAGCGTCTGAACGCCAATGAAGCGTGGACTTATCACTCACTCGTATTCGGTGGGCGCCTTGTCTTCTCGTTCTTCGATATCTCATTGTTCGTGATATTGTGGACTTGGAAGCTGAGGAGGGGTACACTTCGCCCTGGAAAGGTCAGGCATGCATCGTAAAGGATGGTGGCTGTCTCAGGGCTGGAAGCTGGAGGCCACCGCGTGTATGCGAAAATCCTCGGGAAGAGCATAAGACTTTGAGGTCGGACCAGCAAAGCTGATAAGGTAGTTGAATTCTCAGCCAAGGCACCAAGTTTCGGAGTCTGTGGTAGTCATAGTGATGAGTATACGCGATAATGACGGTCCGAGCTGAATCTTTCATAGCCTGGACGAGATCTTTCACGCATCCGTCTTCACAAGATGAAACATCACACGCTTCATAGTCCTCAGCCTTTCGCGCTCCCTCACAAGTGTGCCATTAACAAGCCGTCTAATCTCATTCCTACCCCACTGTTCTCTCCAGCTAGTCCAGCCAGCCAGCTCACCAAGGACAACCTCCTGCGTATACCGCAACTCCTTCCCCTTACTCTCAATCTCTTCCTCCGTCTCAAGAATATGCCGTTCCGTATCCCTCATGCTCCGCAGACGCGACTCCTCCATCCCAGGCAGATTGATATGAAAAGGTCCCTTTCGTGGCGTCGAGCTACTGACAAGCGACGCACGAGACCTTTCCAAGGATTTCTGTGCAGCACGAATTTGTGCGGTGAGTGAGGAAGGGCGGGCGAGACAGGTTTGCATTGCTGCGATTGTTGTTTGGAAGGACGATAATGCGGAGACGTAGATTGCTAAGGGTGAGGAAGGGGGCTCGATGCGCAGGAGAGCTGCGAATTTAGTGAATGCTTCGCTGTGGGATGGCGGCAAGGTAGTTGATGGTGGGCCGAGCATTAATACGAGATTTGATAACAGTATGAATGCTTCGGGTATATCGCATGCTGCTTGCTGGTAAATATGCCCACGACGTATGATGCTCCTAGTATTGATACTTAGCCGGCGCACTACGTCGCGAGAGTGTGAGATGACGGAGTCCACGTCCTGTAAGTCGAGCTGTAGAGTCAGAGGTTCGTAGTCGTCGGCGATGGTTTCGCGGAGGAAGTCGGCTTTGAGTTTCGATCGAGCGTCCATCTGTTCGGGTCGTAGGTCAGGGACTAGGAAGAACTCCCAGAGCACTTCATGGGTTGAAAATGTAGGATGCGTCATGAGGATCTTCAGGAAACGATCAAGCTGGATTTGTGCGTCAAGGAGGACAGCTTTGGAAGGTTTCGAGTGAATTTGGAACGGTGTGCGAAAGCTGTTTGGCGACAACGCTGGCATATAAGACGCTGGATGATCAGCAGAAAGCCATTTGATGAGATTGACAAAGTCTTGAATGGAACGTCGACTCGTGGTGATGGTGTAAGTATTGCTTGATACGTCGTTATGTGGTGCGCCAGACTTGATGACGAACCGTATCGTGCCGTCTTCAACGAAGAAAGACCTGACGATGGATGTAAGGCGTCCCGTTACATCAGGGGTTTGAGCAGTCGCAGTGTCCGAAAACAAAGTCAGGTCGTCAATGCGGTTGCGCACCTCATCGTCCTTGGCAAGCTCAACAGCAGTCAGCCCTCGCGCTTCTCTCAAATAGAGGTCAACCCTAGGATCTCCAAAGAAGATCCTCACTATGTCAACCCTCCCGTACTTGCTAGCCAGCATTAACGGAGTGAACCTCTTGTCATTCATTCCATTAGGATCGGCGTCGCAATGGTATAAGACACGATGCACGATTAGTGGATCGTTCAAGATATGCAACAAAGTATTGCCCTTGATGTCAGTATGATCTTCGAGGCTGAGTGGACTTTCATATCCCTGTGCATGGGTAGCAGCTACAAGCGCTTCTGATACCATGGTTGTGTAATTGATGTGATCATAGCTTCGGCAGACGGCGAAGAGAGGAGTGTGACCAAGTTTATCCTTCAACCTCCAGGGCAAGCGGTCAGCCAGTCTGTTGATCAAGGTCGGCATGTTGAAGAGATAATGAGCACTCGACCGGCCATGGTTGTCCTGCTTAGCAAGGTAGTCCCTGAGACGTGCTACGTCCACATGCTGTTCAACGTAATTCAAGATAATGTCAACCAGCTCCGAGTTTGGTAGTTGTATTGCCGCACTGAGGAGGGTCGAGCCTTCAGACGTCACATCATCCAACACGACGTCCACAGGATAGTGGTCTTCCATGGTAAGCAGGTACTTAAGCGACTTTGGTTTCTGAGCGTCAATAGCCATCATGAGAACGGAATTTCCGGAAACATCTTGTGTTTGAGCCAAACTTTGAATCGAAATATCTCCTTCGATAGCACTCAAGGTGCTTTCCAGAGTAGCAGTTCGCGATAATGCTGATACTGCAGAGGAAATCGACATACTGCGAGCGTCCAGCTTGACCCTCTTCTTTCGCTTTCGCTCAGGCTCATTTTCATTCTGCGCACTCTGAAAGGGGAAAACATGTGATAGATTGCCGTTCACGGACGAGGCACTATCCCCAATATCATCTGGTAGAAAGCCGACCGACAGATTTGACCTTGTCGACGTCCGGGACAGTGCTGGCCGTGGCCTTGTGATTTCTAGCTCCTCGGGCTCCTCGGCCAGGACAGCACTGCTCGATCCCTCGAAGATATTACGCATTTCGTCAATGTTCCCAGCCTTGACTGCGTCCCAAAGAAGTTGATTCTGCTTCGACGCTTTTCGAAGACCTCCAGCGTCTGTAGCCAAATAAGCCAAGACAGCTTCGAGTGTACTCAGAGCATAGCCCATTTCTCCACTCTCAACATCGTCAATGTAGATAAAACGCTGCATATAGGAAAGTCTTGCCTGCAAATGACGTACTCCCGATCGTATAACCACAATAAGGAGTAGTGAGACCAAGACATCGGCATTGATTGTCATTGCAGCTGCTTGTTTCTCCTCATCAGAAATACCTCGTGGTTGAGACACTGCTTTTTGGGTTTCTAACAAAACTTCAAGCATTTGTTGAGAACTGCCCGCAACACCCATTTTTCGGAACGAAGATACACCTGCGTCGATTCGGTCCAGGAGCTCGCGCTTAGCCCGTTTGCTGTCCTCGATCGCTATACCGACTTGCGACGCATCCAGACAGTCCATTTGTCGAATCCTCCGATCAAGATCATGGTCCGCCGGCCTATGGAAAGCGCAAAGTCGTGGGAAAAGTAAATTGTCGTGTACGGATTCTGTCACGTAACGCTCGATGAGACGTTCAACAGCAGGACCGGTCAAATCAGTTGTCGCTCCAAGAAGAGAGAGCTGTTGCTTGTCGACACCTTGAAATAGGTCGATGGCAGACACTACTGCAGTTTCAAGAGCTCTCCTCATAAGGTCCTCCTCATCCTCGAAAAACGCAGTATTGTTGAAGGGAAGTTTTAGCGACCCATTTGATTTGATGGACCCGCCATCCGAAACTTCTGAGGCCTGTGTAGTGCCGTCTAGAGATAGGTTTGTAGGTGAGCGAGAGGGTGGCAGAGGCAGTGGTTTTCCAAGTTCCTTGCCGAACTCATTGAAGATGCGCTCGAGGCCTGGTTGCATCTGTCTGGCTATCATTGGGAAATGATTCAAGAGATCATTGAAACTTTGGATGTCCTTCTTCTTGGGGTGTTGCGACTGATCGCTTTCGCTCGTGCCGTTTTCGTGTGGTATTCGAGTTGGCGACATGAGCGGAATAGCTACGTCAATCATACCAAAAGTGCCGGTAAGTGGTTTCGAAATGAACATAATTAGCCATTGCTGCTGATCGCTATTAGGAGAATGATACAGACGATCGCCGAGAATCTGCGCTTGTGTTAAAGCCTTGAAGCCTTTGTTGCTGTAGACCATGTTCTCCTTAAGAATCACCGTCTTATTGTTGACGGTCGAGTATGTCTTTGCCTTGCTGCGACCTTCACGTACGCTGTTCTCCTTAATGGTGTGATCCTGCGCAACTCGCAAGATGTGACTTCCGAGGAAGTCCTCATCCTCGACGAGGTCTGCGTATCTCTTTCCATTGTCGCGATCTTGAGCATTAATCAAGGAGTCAGTGGTCGGAACCAGCAGCACATAGTTCTGAGCAGACAAGGCCTGGCTCAATACGCTACTCTGGAAAAGAGCGCGTATGAATGGATTCAACACTGGCATCCAGGCGCATCGAGCCTGAAGCTATGGGATCTTTCGACTCATCTGTCGCTTTTCTATCGTGCCGGAAGTTCAGCTGGTTGCTGGAATCGAATCGACGAGTCTGGCAGGGCTCGAGAGGCTTTAGTGAGTTGCAGGTGGATATTGTGGGCAAGAACGACAAACGACGTGCGCGCGAGACTATGCGAAGACTAAAACGCCTCAAATACTCTTCTATATTGTTATCGGAGGACCAGCCTGACTCGCGCATATCATCTCCGGATTTAACAGCACGTGATACAGGCTGACATGTGAAGCAGTTTTTGAACTCGTACAGCAGGTGTACCTCTCTGTCTCTTTCCCTCTTACATAATCTACTTCGCCGTAGTAGTGCCTACTGATGTTAAGTGAATTTCAAAGAAAAGGAAATACATATTCTCTAGAGTTGGGCTTCAGTCCAGCTGTCGAAGCCAATATTGACGTGCATCATGCCAGGTTCATATCGAGGCAAACTCAAATTCGACGATAGGATCGTGTGCGCAATACCATTGACATATAAATCCACTCTTCCGCCCACCGTTGCAGTTGAACCCCAGACAGAATGGCTGAAATGTGACAATAATCGATCTCAGTCAGGGTCATATGTGCCAATTACACACCTTTCCCGTCATGCTATAACCTATCATTTGATAAGTGGCTGTGCCACAAGCTCGTGCTTTCCTTCGTGGGTTCGACTTTCAGAACATAGTGAAGAGCCTAAATTCGAGGTTTTCCCATTAGACCAGGCTCTATATTTCCTTGTATCTCTCTAATTTTGGTTCATGAATTGATTGTGCACACCCTCGCCGGAGTGACTGGATTCTCGCCACATCACACGTGAATATGTGCCCCGTGCCTCCAGCACATCAGACTCAGCCGCAATACCAAGCAAGATGATAGTGCTGAGTCATGTTATCGACGCGGCAGAACCAAACAGAGTAGATGCGGCGACATTCGCTTCAGACTCGATATCATTGGTAAGCCAGCCAGACCACATAGTTGTGTACAGGTGGACAACGCATGCAACCTGTTCGACGATCTTCTCGATGCCGAAAGGTGACCTTTCGTGGTTTTCCCACAACCACAATATGTCTTGGCAAATCAAGTCGCCTTCTCCTTGGTCGAAACGTCAGTGTCCTTCTTCTCGAGTGGTGTGTCTTCAGCGAATCCCAGATTTGCCCATTCGTCTCTTGCCATCAGTCCTTTCTCCATCCTGCAGTCAAGATACCCTCGAGCTAGTTGTCTGCATTCTTCATTGTTTGTACCGGGTCGTGACTGTGACTTCAAACATCGCAAGTAGGATGAAATCAAATGCTTGCATTCGGCGTCATGGTCGAGAGGAAAACTACCCAAAGCTGGGGGCGTCTGACACAAATCAGCTTCTGGTAGGAATGTACGTGGACAAAGACGATCATACGGGCTTGATATTAACCGCTCTACCACCTGTATGCTGTCAGTCTAATGAAAAGCATTATCGATTTGGTGATTGCAATACCAGGGGCGCCGAAGCCTGACATAAGATACTGCCACTGAGGAAGTACCACTTGAACCAAGTATTTGCGATAGATTGCTCGATAGAGCGCCTCAATGCGATCGAGTGACGGATCGATGGACTGCGACAGCGAGCAAACCCAGCAAATAAAAGTGGTCGGCAGTACTCGCAGGATCTCCGATTCAATAGGCAATTGAGGCTCTTCCCAGCTGCTGCTGCCCAATGTTTCAGATCTTTGTTTCCTTACCGCTGCTCGATTAGGATACGCAACTCTAACGCCACCGACTCACAAGACTCAATCCGGACCAGACGCGGTTCACTTCCACGACAAGATCCACCTTGGTGAATTCCATAAGGCGCAGTCTTTCCATGCTCGACAATTGTGTAACTTTTATTCGAGGCTCCACCTCCAAGTGCTCTGTACGTACATTTCTCGCGCTAAAATGTCGGAGGTTTTTCGCGGAAATTGATACTTCCTATGGCGGTTTAGTTCTTTTTTTCCATAGTATGGAGCATTGTATGTGATCAGCACCTCGTGGACTGTGGGATCTGCTTGATCGACGTTACCATGCGAGCTGAAGCGTCACAGACATTATTCTCGTGACGATGTCCAGCGCAAGGTTACCAAGCACAGCGTGCCGCGTTAATCCTGATGTGAAGATTGTTACTCACCAGGTAACAGTCATCCTGCTAGTCATGATAGCGCAGCCACGACATTAGCAATACAGGCACCTTTCTGTTCACGGTATAGGTTTCGCAAGCGCAATGGCATTGTCTGACTATATTGCTCGAGCCTCAGTAGGGCACACAGATGATAAGATATACCACGCTTAGATTTTTACGTCCTACACTCAGCTAGAACGTGGTAGATGAAGTGTAGAGTGGAATGTAACAGCGTAGAGAATTTGCTAGTATGTTTCTGACAACGTAACGGTCTTCTTCCTCGTGCAAAATACTCAGTGATATGAACAATCCTACAAGCCTTCTTAATACATGTCACTGCCTGTGTCCAGAAGCTGGACGAGTGTAAATAATCACGTACCCCGGCGCGATCGTGTCTGTAAACAACACGTCAGCAACCCTCCGGAGAGCTGCCCGGCATTTTCGCCTTGTATGGTAACTCCATATCCATCCCATTAGATTGCCTCAGTTGCGTATACCCCAGTCAACCACCTCTTGCTTCAACCCCAGCAAGCCAACTCTCAAGCAAGCAAGTCTCTCTCTCTTCCCGCCCAATTTTGTAATACATTTATACACGTTAAAATATCTTCGGGTCTGATCGTTCACTGGATAGTGGCCTTCTCACGGTTGGACTGAACTAGAGGTGCACCTGTATCGATTTGACGCTTCAGCAAATGTTTAAGTCCGTCTGCGTGGTAAGCAAGAAGCAACAGCATTGACGCCTAATGACCATTGTCTGCCTTGATCGAGCTTGCGATGATCGAAAGCCATGGCGGGAGTGTTGTCACCTCACAATGTAGTATGGTGTCGCTTCTCCAAAAGATGGCAATGGATCTTGACCTGTAATGAGTGCATAATTGTCGATTGCTTGCGATGTTCACCTATCACTAGATACTGATAGAGGACCATAAGCCTACAATGGCGGCGAGGTATAGCAAATTCCATTTCGGATCACCTCCGCTGGGTTTGTGAAGGTGGCGCAACGATTGAACATCCAGGCCCCGATGTACGTAAAATTCGATGAGCAGAGGGGTTTTTTCTCTTTTGCAAATCCGACTGCGCAATCCATGGAACATTCAGCTCATAAAACTGATGCGACGATACAATTCTGTTCGCATCTGACGAAGGTGAATTTTCAGTGAAGCTATTCTCTTCAATACCCGTTACTGTCGCCATCAACCCCTGAGCAGAAGTGCTGCTTACGCTAGGAATGTCACACTTGTCCAGACTCTGTATTCAGTGTTAGCAGAGTCGTTGATGTGAGGTGTATCATCGGGGCCTCCTCTTCTATTAGAATGACCACTGACGTGTACACAGGCTGTCTGCTTGTCCTCCAAACTACGACCTCCACGTCGATGAAGTATTATTGCTGGACTTGTGGCTGTAACCTCCCTCCAAACTTTCCATCGCAACGCAAGAGGTTGTTGTACAAAGATAACTCCGACACTGTTATGGAAGTGACCAGCACTTGATGGTAATTAGGTAGTAGGCGTAAAGAAATATATGGGTTTTCCTGTGGGGTTTCAGTGACACAAGGAAACACAAGTGCCAGGCACGATCTTGGACGTGGTACTCAGATGCTGCAGCTTGAATGATTTGTGGTGTTGCAACAGCTTGAACCTCTTCCAGCACATCTTTGCCTGCTTCGTATCTTTCAGCGAGTTCTGATCAGTCGTACCCAGGAAGAGTTGGATGACCCCTTTGCCGGCGCCAGAAGTTTGCTCGTTGGCCCCATTCATTAGTGAGCAGCCAACCACCCCACCGCTCGAGAACTGCCGCCGAAAATTCCCACGAGAATTCGTTCAGCCAATCTTCACCCCATACCGTCATTTGACCATTATCTTCAATCTCACAAGCGATCGTGCAGACCTCCATCAAGAAAGTGTTGCAATTCGCTGGACCAATGGCGATCAAGCGATCTCGCAGCGACGGTGACGGTATCAGGTCAATATATGCGTGATGTGGTGTTGTTAATTGGAGCTGAGTAGGTTTCAGGGCATACGGCAGACTAGGAGCTAGACTCACAAGTGCAGTCAGGTGCGCCTGTGGATCCGATATTATGGGAATGTCGATGATGGATGAGAAGAGTTGATGCAAGCTGCGACGTATTTCGCGTATATTGTTGGGCACAACCACCACGAGGCTGCTGGGATCCGGCACACCTGGTATTAGTCCGACTTGTGTGGCAGAGCTCATTGCTGCTGCTGCTGTTGCGGCCTCCAAGGAAGCAGATGGAGGGCCATACGGTAAGTATGCTGAGGGTGAACCTTTGACCTCACCCGAACTGATAGACGGCCCTGGCGAACTCGCGGAGGAGCCATAAGCAGCCCGTAAAGATTCGTTTTCCTGAGCGAGAGCGACATTTTCGCGACGAAGCCGGTCAAGTTCCTCGCCCTGTAGATTGCTTGCCTCTTTTTGGGCTGCTTCGAGCTTTGTTAGGTGCTCCTTCCGTCTTTGCCCTGAAAAAGCGTCAGCATGTCCGTTAGGTCGCTCCTGAAAGACAGTAAACCTACGAAATACACGTTGAGCATTTCTATTGTACTCTCTAAAAACCTATGCATCAGCAACGACTCCCAAAGGAGTAGAGCGGCGTACTTGCCTCTTTTTGTCTGCTTTGTTCTGTTCCCCACCGGATTCAGACATGGTTGAACTGTGTACCGAGTAGGATGCTGGCTCAGCAAGTGTCGTAGCCGTGGCGACAGACATGATTCAAGTATTCTTCTCGATGCCTTAGCGCGATATACTGCTTCCAATATTCGCCAATGTCAATTGCAAAAGCAGGAGATTGATCGACAACAACGACAGGCTGTGACACCCCAGGTGTAGCAAGCCAAAGCGAGCTGAAAGATTACGATGCGGATATTACTGTAATACTGGGGACTTCGAGGCTCTGCAGCCTGCTGCGAACAACATCCATAAGACAGGAACAGACGTCGAGACAAACGAGGGTCTGAAGCAGTTGGACAGTGTGTGCGTCTCATTGGATCATCAACGTGCAAAATAATGAGCCCGTTGGGAAGTCATTGAGGTGGACCGGCCCTACGATTGGCGCTATCTGGTAGGGCGACTAATGCTTCTAAAAAGTAAGCTGAAGGGACTCAGCCGGCAAAGTGTCTTTTCCGAGGCTCGAGTCTCCGGATTGGTTCCATCGTCAGTATTGTAACGAGAAGGCGTGCATAGTTGAGGAGTAGCCGCTTCGAGTTCTCAGAACAATTTTGTGCAAGCCGTCATCGTGATTGCGCATATTGTGGGGTCCACAGAGAGCCCACATTCACCCATGAAGAGCTAGCTACATCTTGCAGATGCCTGGGAAGCGCCCACTGCGATGCGGAATAGGAAATCGAGCTAAGCTGTATTTGGTACCTATCAAAGGAGCGAGATCGCGATCAACGACGATTTTGGACGAGTCAGAGGACACAACACTTTCTTGGAGTCTCCTTCCAGCCAATTTTGGGAATCGACCAAGAATTGCTGTTGAACCATTGGCTGACCCGCACTCCTAGCCGTGATTAAAAGCTTGAGCTTCTCTACGCCTCCTAGGATGCTGATGATTTCCAGGCATCGAAGGAGTGAAGGGGAGCCAGCAGGAGACTATGGATCCCTTTCGAACGGATTCACTAAGGCAAGCCATGTTCTATTTGTCCGAATAGGCACCATACTAATCATCACAGTGACAAATCAAAGGCAACGAAGAAAGCCTCTGTGTTCTTAGTAGTGTTCTTGTGGAGCAAAAGCGAGGCACTGCACGACGCATTGGCATGCCAGTGACAATGTGCGGTACAACTTTCCGGGCCAGATCCGGCTGCAGATCGTCAGGCACATCACATCGTTGTACTCCACGTACTCGCAAAAATCTGCCGTTGTCTTCGCCCAGGATTAGCATCAGAATCGGTCTTCAAAACTTACTCCGTGTTCTCGAGGTACAGCTCCCCTATCGTGAAGGTTACGAGAAGCCTGGATACTTTTGTCGGAAGGATAATGGTACAACCGATAAGCCAGGCACACATATTATCTATCGCTTCGAAGATAAATGACTTGCACGAATAAGTGGCTTCAAATTAGCCGAATTCGTGAATCATCCGACTAGAGCCAAAAAAGTATGTTTTCGCTATCGATTGAATATGACTTGAGAACAAACGTCAAGAGTAATTGTTACATTTTGCTGGTCTTGCAGGGCCGCGTGGCGTCTGCATACACACCATCCTCAATCGTGGACGCTCCTCGACGATCATCTCGTTAGTGATCTGCACCCACGTTCAGCAGCCCTGCTCGCTAATCCTTGACAAGCTGGATAGCCGAAGAGCCAAGCACTACGAGTACTAGCATCGTCATGTCTCGTGACGAACCCAAGGGAAGGGATACAATACGCTGCGAGGAACGGACTAGTCTCTACCGATGGTCAGGAACACCTTGACCGTCTCACTCAGGGGAAGTGCATGCTCATACCACGGCATGCTTGCTTGCGAGCAGAAACTTTAACTTAAGAGCCTCAACCCATCAGCTGTAGGCTCTGCACGTCCCGCAGGCTCTATTCAACCACTAGTATACAGTATTGGCCAATGTTTTTGATGAGCTGGTTTGTCACTCTCGAATCGATCTCCGCAAATGCCATTAAGTTTTCGAAAGTGAAGAGAGAAAATGGTTGGGATTTGCAGGCTCGGTCGATGACCAGATCAACAACGCACTGAGCCAGCTGTCTGCATCACGTCGTTCATTCTTGAAGTTTGATGCTTTGCACTCCGGTATCGGTTGACTTTGTGAATGCAGGCTCAGAGATGCATTCAATGGATAGTAAATACAATTTTCCGTTTTTGTGGTATTTGGGGATGATCTTGGTGTGATCGCTGCTCATCAGTAGTGGAATCAAATAGTGCTGGAATATGGCCGTTAAATCGCAGGCTCGAAGTCGTGAGCAAGGCATCTTCCAATATGTCTGACGAAGGAACCGATTCCCCGATGTCCTCCTCCACATAAATGTTGCAAGAACTCAGCTTGCCGATCTCGACGGAAGAACCACAAAATCATGCAGTCGCGTCTGGTGTGCTGTCTTCGTGGTCCTGGAGATACAAAAGTGTCTATAGACTCCTACGATTTTAGGTATCTGCTCCGACCTCGGCTGGATCTCCGACAAGCAAGCAATTGTAGGTCTGTTCCACCTCACTGCAGAATGTCAGGTCCAATAACACGACTTGTGGTTCTTCGACGGTCCAGACTCGGGCACGATTTGCGAATCTCCAGGTGAGAGAACACTATTGAATGGTCACCCTCACGGTTCTCTTTCTGATAGGAGCGACTGTCTTTGGCCAGAAGAACTGGAGGTGATTGATTCTGATACCACGTGGCATTGGACACCTCATATTGGCCAGCATCAACCGCACTATCAAGGCTACTGTGCGTCGGGAAGTACACCACTCACTACTCGAGTACTGCTCTATCACGATCGAAAGGGGTTCGCTGAACGAACAAGCGATGCACCAATTCGAGGCGGATACTCACCAGATCTCGGCAATTGACTTTGCAGGACGAGAAGCGAAGGAAAGGAGCCAGACATGACGTCTGCATCCTGATCCAATGCTTCATGGTCGCTGTATCCGTGGTCGTGGATGGTATACGCGTTATCCTGGTCGTACATCTTCGGCATGTACCGTGACGGAGTGGGCCGCCCGAAACTCACGCTACTAACAAAGGAATACTCGATTATGGTAATTATCCAACACGCATCAGCTAGTTCTACTCAGTGTTCCGCTGCTTTCAGCGCCTGGTTCACAAGATACAGTAAGAAATTTTCTGGTGTCACAGACATCCGAGTCTGTGGTGACATGTAACAGGACGTGGCTTCAGTTGACATGCTCAGATCTCGGTACCTGCAGGGTTTGTGCTACATGAATGCCTGCAAGCGAGATTCGAAAGTCCGACGAACGATCGCGCGGTCACTGTACATTACAGGCATCAACGATATGGCTTGATAAGGATGAGTTCCATCTGGGGACGCCATCAAAAAGGAGCTAGAATCCAATAAATTGGCAATTTTGAAGACATAGACAACATGGGTGAAATTGATGTTCGTGCTACATGATCGGACATGACAAGTGCTGCTCGTTATACTCCCTGACATGTCACGCTATTGCTGATCATCAGCCTCTCGATGCCTGTTGGCGGTATGTGTCGACTTCGTACCTAATTAGAGTGAGATATGCGCGTCACTGTATCACCTCAGAGGCACAGGAATAGCTGCTCGTCTTCACCAACCAAGGCCTGATCCCACGCTTCGCAGGGTAGACCTCAATCACTTCAACTAAGTCTCAACCCAAAATCTTTCCTCGGGTCTCTTATAGAATAATCCTTTTGCAAGTCCCATGGTCTCGATCTGCGATTCCTGTCCCCACGCGAATTTCTCAGCTGGTCCCAATCAGTCCCTCTCAAAAAACGAATGTCTTCTTCAGTGATGTCGTCAACGCCCTCGAGTTGGAGAGTATCTGCAACTACAGATGCGAAAGTGCTTGCGACGGAATCTAGAAGCTCAGCATGTGGCTGAGATGTAGTAGTGTGATTCGTTTCCTGCTCCTTGGTCAGCCATGTCGCGGTCTTGCCCTCGAGACCGCAAGCCACAACACGACCGAATCCCCAGGAGAGATAGCCGGGTGCTGGCACGGTGGCGTGTGCCTGTACAGGAACAGCTGCAGTTTCGCCGTTTCCCGTAGATGTATTCTCTTTAACCTCGACACTGTCGGTAGTGTAAGGATTGGCCTTTGGTAATGTATACAATGATGCAATAGGTGATTTGTTGTCGATTGGCGCATCAAAGATGTTGAGTCCTATGCCATACAATGTAAGGGTGTGAGTGATCTGTACGCCTATTGAACAGATCTTGCGGTTGGATGTGACATCTTTCAAATCCGCCAATTTCTCTCCCGGTCGTATATCCTTTTCGACTGTATCAGCACCATCATGTTGCCTCTTTTCAGTAATCCATATGCCAGTATTGTCGGTCACGGTCGCGTTTGGGACACCGTGCTTCGCGCATGTACGCATAACACTAGCTTCCAGCACCTCTCTGACATACTGATGCGGTCTCAGTTTGTGGTCTCGCAATTTCAGGATGAGGTACGCGGTCAATTGTCCAGGTCCATGGTATGTGAGTAAACCTCCTCTCAGGGAAGAATAAAACTCCGCAAGCTTCTGGACTTGCTCATCATTTTGTCCACTGCTGTCGATGTTCTTGGTCAGATGCACTATTTGAGATTCGGTTAGACCATTCTCTCGTTCTTGTCGTCTGCCTGTGGTGTAGGTTGGTTGGCTCTGAAATGTCAGTAGTAGAGGTAATGGGGCTATCGACTTTCGTGATCGATTTTCCGGGCGTTGCTCCCAGTGGTGCTGATCATGGACGGTTTTTTGTAGAGAAAAAGAGTGTGCGTAAGGTATCGGCTTCCGCAAGTGCAGGTGCTTAAGGCGCATGAAGAAGATATCGTGCCTTCACGTATGGTCGCTGCAAGAATCGCAGCTTAACAAGGATGAGTGCCACACTGACATTATGAGACCTCGCCCGAGTGGAGTGCGATCATGCGTCTATTTAATGCCTCAGGCATTCAGTTTTATTAGGGAAGCTGGCAGTTTGAAACAAGATAGTGAGATGGCACTCGCCTGGAACACTACAACACTATTAAAATGTATATCATTAAACGTCGTGGCTCGCTCGAACGAGCACGCAGTTATGAACCTGGGCAATTATCTGTGTATACTCGACTTCTAATCTTTTGCCATGCCATACAAAGCTCTCCAAAATAGCGACAACCTCTTTATCCCATTCACCTGTACCAGATAAAGGCCGCTCCCCGACCAATTTCTCGGCCACGTACAATATGAAATTTGGTAGCAATCGACGCCTCCTTGGAGACGAGGGTGACACTATCGAGCGACCTCCACTACTCTCGAGCCGTGGTGCGCCCTGCCGATGGGACGACTTTGACAATGCAGCAGTAGAGGCCGGATGTAGCTCTTCAGACATTGCAAGGTGGGCAGTAAAGCTCATGTTGCGCTCTCTCGAACTCGAAGGCAACGCACAGGCGAAGAGTAGCCATAATAGCATTGGTGTATCCTCCTCCCAGTGTGCAATCTTGATGGAGAGTGCTCTAGGTGTTTTGCCTTCCTCTAAGTCCAAATTTTGCATGGTGGATGCTGGTGATAGGGAGCCTGACGCATTTTCGAGTATATTCCATAGTCGTGTTGCAAGCAAGTCAGTAACGACGGGTAAGTAGTTTGCCGAAGTAACGAAGTAGGTTACTATTTTCGTTGCTGTCAGTGCCAACATTTCATTTGGGCTAGTGGCCAGATTCTCATAACTGGAGCTGTTCAGGACAGCATGACGGGCGTCGATGTTTTCTCGAAGGTAGTAATAGTATTCCAGCTTGGGGCTCTGTGATTGTGTTGTACTCGCCGATTTGAGTGCAATGCCAAGCTCGTCGGTAAGGTCGAGTAAGTGCGCAGCATCAGAGCAGAGTACAATGGTTGACTCAGAAAGACCTGAGATATCCTTTACGAAGTACGAACCCCTGCCCGAGGCACGTACAGCATCACGTATAACAATGTCTGAAGTTGGCAGTTCAGTCGGCGCAAAGTTAGGCATCTGATTGGCACGAACAGCTAGGAAGCGATCCATACGAAGGACATAAGGTAGTGATAAACCCAGATTATGAGGCCCTCCTCGTTTGGCAACGAGAGCCGTCATGCCTATGTGATGTGATCGTAATGCATCATGACGGCCGAGTTGCAGATCATACTCGCAGAGAGCCACGATAGCAAGAAGTAAGACATCGACATCGCTCACGTCGAAAGCCTCGAGCTTTTCACGCGTTCTCCGGAGGAGCCGACTATAGATGCGTTCCGTCTGTTCATCCGCAAAGTGACTAAGGTTCGCAGGCTGATCCTTAATGTTTGCCATATGAGCTTGGGCAATCAATGTAAGGCAGTAGATGGGATCGCGTAAAGCTAAGCGATACGTGGCTTGCTTGAGAGCAGGGTCTTTACGTGGCGGTCGATAGATAAAGACGAGCTGGTCGAAATGGTCTTCGAAAAATTGTCGAAAGAGTCTGTGGAGGGATCCCTCGGCATCTACCTCAATCGGGAGAACGAGATCTGTGTCCATCTCAGGCTCGACTTCGGTATGAGGCAATGATTCTGGAGAGCTTTCAGGAGACACGAGGTCTTGGACGTGCTTGTTTTTGACTGGAAGTGTTCTTTTTCGTCTACTGTAATTGAGATGCGAGGAGAGCTTGCAATTAGGTATAGTGCATTGTGGAACTCCACAAGCACTTGTTTGAGTATGTAGGCCTTCAGTCGCTTGTTGTATACTGTCGGTATCGGAAGAACTAGCTATGTCGATTGACCGGCTCTCTTCTGGTCTGTTCAAAGCTGGCTTAGGGGCAAGTGGCCTTGTTGGAAGACGTAGAGGTGACGGTCGACGTCTTCTAGGCATTGTGATGGACTTAGGTATCGGATTAGTTGCTCGGCCGAGGGTGTTACCGTGGACTATGAGAGTCTAAGAAATGGATATCTTACCATACTGAGAACGAGCGAGGGAGCCAAATATACTCCTGCCCCTTTAGACATAACTGACAATGACAACTGGAACTCAAGTACCTGCAGAGATCCGAGCAGGTCTTCAGCGAGAAGAGCTCAAAAGCCACAATAGATAGCTTGCCCATGGTTCATGCTCGAAAGCAAAGCGTCCGGGATCGTGCATTCAAAAGAATTCCCAGGCATGGAAGCTGAATGGTTCACACCCAAGTTTGGTGACATAACGGACGACTGCCATGATTGCCACGATGGCGATCGTGAGAACGATTCCACGGGGAGGGCAAGCATGCGTTGCGGCAGCAATAGCTGCGACGCAACGAAGCCTATGTCTCAGACTGAGAGCCACATGCACGCATCTGGTCCGTCTGTTGTGAATGCACTACTACCATGTAGCATCTGCTCTATCGTAGCAAGGCTTGAATATACTTCAGCTATTTCCGGGGCATATTCAGATGAAAACACTCTCTGCTTCGACCTATCGCCGAAAAGTCTGTCACATACCCTCTTCAGTCAAGACTTTCGAGCTATCGCTAATGAGGTTGACCTACCATGAGTTGACGATGTGCCAAGACTTGTTGCAAGATCGAGCTTTTCGTGCTCATTGGCCGAAGGACTGAGATTAATTGCCGAATAAGGAATGTGCTTCTTGAAGCCAGGCTCCAAGCACGCTGCATTGGGACGACCATAGCCCACGTACCTACCGCATACGTATGTGCTCGACGTTCGCATGTATACCGGCATGAAGATGGTGAAAGGAGTTCAATTGCCTGTGGTACGGGTGATGTTCCTGAACGTGGCGCGTGATCCTGGAATGTGCCCTTTGATTGGACAGTGAAAAAGCTTCAGCCACGAACTCCAGGAACGTGCAAGTTCAGCTCAGAAACACAGAGCACCCGCCACATAATGCACCGCAGCATTAGAGCAGATCATCTTGAACGGCTATCGACCTTGTTCGTACTCCGCTGTTAAGGAGGGCGGAAAAGTTCGAAGACTGATATCTGTTCAGGTCCTGCAAGGGTCAACGATCGATATTCAGCTTTGACTTTGAGACATACAGCGTGTTCGATGACTCTTGGTTGCCTCTGAGGTTTGCGAGCCTTATTTCCACGAAAACCCACGATGTACATCTTTTGGCACATGGCGTATCATCTGGTTCCTGCAGCGCATACAACTTCGGTGTTTGTCCTAGTGGGCCACTGCAGGCAGGAAAGGTTCACCTTATCCTGGTGGAGTTACGTATTTCTCACCCTGGTTACACTGGCGTGCCTTGATACCATCATTCCTGCTAGCAATCCCAGTAGGGGTTTGGGCAAGTAGAGACTTCGAATCGTGTGCTCAATTGTTGTGATTGCGTAATGTATCGGGGTAAGGATGAGATGCATTGCAGTTTGAGCTGCAGGAGAAAACGACTTCAGCTCGTGCTGGGGCATATTTTTGCAAGGTAGGAAGCCGATTGGCTCTTTCCGTGTCTGTGCCTCAGCTTTGGTAACCCTGCTGGTGGATAAGACGATGCAGCTTACGGAGGCTATTCTCGGCACAGCCATTGAACTTGCGTTCTATCTCATGGCGACTCTAAAAATGACCGCGCTCTTCTTCCAAACGCAGAATGGGACGAGATTTTGCTTGCGAATGTACAGACTTTTGCAGCTTACACACCGCCTATCATAATGTGATGCTTGACTTTCTGTAATCCTACATGGCGTGGTCTCTTTTGATCAAGCCCAGGCCTCTCTATTCGAGCTGAACCATCGTATAGATATTGTGGTGGCCCACCTTACCATGGCTTGTGGTTGAGAAACCGTATCAAATTCACTGACCACTACAACCGAAGCTAGCAACCGCCAGCATGTGTCGAATGTGCCTCTACTACACAAAGATTGACCTGCAGCAGTTACCTAGCAGCAACCCTTTCGAAGAGGATGTGTCGCCAATACTTGAGCAAGCCTTACCAACCGGCATCGTTGTTGAATCGCCAGAATCTCAAAGACATACTGCCTGGTCGAATCTACGGCGCTTTCCGAGTCTGTATCACACATTTCCCGCACCACTTGGCCAAACTCCTTTATGCTCGCAAGTGCAAGGAGCCATCATTGGTCCGACACAGCGCGCAAGACATATGCGACTGGAAAACCACGAAGCCTCACAAGCAAAGTTTCCATCGGATGCGCTCAGAACAATGGAAAATAGAACGGTTCACCATAGACTCCAACGTCAGCCTCGCATCCTTTCTTTCCCTACATACACCAACACGATAGACGACCGCGATTCATTCTCAGATGAGAGTGTTTACTATCCACCAAATCGTGCATGGAGGCAGCTGCAGACACTCGATACCGCGTCGAGACTGAGATAGCCACTTCTCAGTCCTGTAACATCAGGCCCTGATTTTTAGTCTATAGAAGCAGGTTCTAACCAAGCAGTCGAAGGCCTCTTTGAGATGCATAGAGCTGCTCTAGACAGTGCCACTATGTATTGTCATCGAACTAGCAAGTACCAGAATTGGATTTATTGAGCCTTTTCACGAACCACTGTCCGTCCAGCTGTCCTCTGGAAGGAGAGATTGAGCATTGCACGACTTTTTCAAGAATGACCGAGTCTCTGTAGAGCTGTTTCGCTAGGTCTAGCAGACCCATTGTCAATAACAAAAACTTGCCCAGTATTCAAGCAGTTGAAGAGTAGACGTAGCTGAGCAACTTTCACGGACATGTTTGTTTGAGCAACGTTTCACAGATCTATGTATCACAGTCCGTAGTTAGCCTGACGGCTTCGGTAAAGCCAAAACTCCACGTGGGAGCCCGATGAAGACTGCCGCCCTCTAAGACCACTTTGCATATTTGTCCCCAGATACTACCTTTCCATTCCTTCTTGGCTTACACGGCTCGTAAGCTATACTAGAAAAATGGATTCTCAGGAAGTTTCGGGTAAGTCATTACACTCACCATGTACATTAAGACTGACTCGAGTAAGAATCGAGATCGAAAAAGAAGAGGAAGAACAAAAAGAAAGGCACGACCACGGCTTCCGTGTCAACAGCTCCTAGAGAACCACAGACGACAGAGCACACGTCCAAGGCACAAGCAGAAGACGATTCAGACACGTCAATCCACGATCAAGAAGAGTCCGATGCTCAGCCTGCAGACACCAGCGCGGCCACCTCGATCGACGACGAAACTATGCAGACTCTGGTTAACGGAACTGATGGTGTGCGCATTTCTGATGACATGGCCGCAGCCACCGCACGCTTCGATGCTTTAGTGCGTGACCGTGACGCCCTGCGAGACGAGGTCACCCGTCTGAGACAGAACTTGGAAGAGGTGCAAAGGAATCACGATGAACAGCTGGCAGATGTGCGAAATGAGTTGGAGGCAGTGCAGGGTGAGCGAGAGACTGCAGAGGAGAACTACCAGAACCTATTGGGCAAAGTAAACACTATACGATCTCAGCTGGGAGAGAGGCTTAAAGCAGATGCAGTATGCTGGCCCCGATGGAGCTCTTTTATCCCATGCTGACCAAGAGTGTTAGGAAGATCTTGCCCAAGCTCGCACAAAAATAGACGAACTAGAAGAACAGAGATCTGAGATCCAGGAAAACTACACCTTGAAAGCTAAAGAGGTTGAAGACCTTGCAACCAGAAATTCACAAATAGAGGAAGAACTTGCAGAGATACGCGAGCGATCGACGCTGTCACAGCAGAACTGGGTCAAAGAGAGACAGGAATTGCAAGAGCAACAATCTTACTGGCGTGAGGAATTTGATCAGGCGAAACAGGCAATGCACGATTGGGAAGTTCTAGCTATGGAGGAACGTTCCATAAGAAGAGACCTGTCGGATCGCGCATCTGATCTGGAAGAACAACTGGCTAACCTACAACGAGATTATGACCGTGCAATTGGTGATCGAGACACCCAAGCCAGTGCTGTTGATGGTCTACAAAGAGCGATGCAGGAAATCCAGAATGCACGAAAGAAAGAGCTTAGAGAAGTCGTTGAATCGAGTCAGAATGAAGTCGCGGACCTACGAAAGACGTGCGACCATGTCAAAGCTGAACTCAAAGCTACTCAAGACACACTTAAACAGGTGCAGGCGGACCTGGATCGGGCATTACCCTTCGAGAAGGAAGTAAAAGAGAAGAATCTGCTAATAGGAAAGTTGAGGCACGAAGCAGTAATACTGAACGACCATCTTACTAAGGCCCTGAGATTTCTTAAAAAGGGCAAGCCAGAAGACAATGTTGACAGGTCAGTAAACCTCCAGCCAAATTTGAGCCGCGACACGAGAACTGACGAACCACAGACAAATTGTAACAAATCACCTCCTCCACTTCCTCGCGCTTGACAGGAGCGACCCCAAGAAATTTCAAATCTTACAAATTATAGCTGCATTGCTGAATTGGACAGACGAACAGAAGGAGCAGGCTGGCTTACAAAGATCCGGCGCTCCTTCGACCAGCTCTTTCACGGGTAGTTTGAGACTGCCAGGAATACCTATGATGCACAAAACGCCTAGTTCACCAGCTCTGTCGAGGTTGGAGAATGATTACCTCGACAGTGCAAGTAGTGTGAGCAGTCCCAACGGTAAGGAGAGTCTTGCAGACTTGTGGCAGAACTTTCTTGAGCAGGAGGCTGCCGTAGGTGGTTCGAAGTCGAGAACTGCAAGCACGAGTACTGCGGCTGGTATGATGAGTCCGTCAGGGCAGGGAAAACCATAGTGCGGCAGACTCATTATACTAGCAGGGCAACGACTTGTAGAACGCGCAATTCGACTCTGCAAGGAATAGTAACTTGAAGTTATCTCCGATGTCATGACTTACGTATGTCGTCAAAGTGTTCTACGGCTTCCAGTGAACCCAATCGATGCTACAATTCCGCGTCCAGAGCTGTATCATTACGATCCACATGGCACCGACGTCCTCAGAGTGAGGAAACACATCTGTCCCGCCTAAGATGCAATGCTGCAGATGGTGCACAAGCCTGGCTCACCTCAAATCCAGAAGCAACCCGAAGATCTTCGGAGCTGTGATTCCTTCGATAGCCGCTGAGATGCCTTTCGGGTGACCTAGACCATGTTCCTGATGGACTTGTCGATGTACATGATCAGCAACACAAACATTGACTCCTGTCATCGTAACACGCAACCAGTTACTGGACATATGGAGGAAATGTTAGCTTCTGTTGATCTTCTGTTGAGCCGTGCCTACAAGCATCGCGTTGAGCTGAAACAAGGCTCCGGAGAGTCGTGACTTGCGCTGCATTCCGGTTGAGAAGTCTTACTCTTACTGAAGTACTTGGCTAGAAGACCCAACTGCTTTGCATTGTGCAACATCACTTCCTGAAGCTGCTGTCAGCAGCAAAGATTCCATGGGATCTCCGTACGCTCAAGTTGGTAAAGCCTCTAGATGATTCGTGTTGGATGCGGGAAAATCAGCGTGGCTAGCAGTCGGAAAACACCTGAGTACTGAACCACATTGAGGTGGTCGTATCCAAACAGGCGCTCGAACCTTCCAGAGGGTGACCCGCCAACCCCGAATCGTGAGTACTCCTGGAGTGCTTGGTTGAAGCTCTCCATGAGGCGAACAATGATCAACAAATTCGCGAGTTTCAAACCACCACATTGTATCCAGATCAATTCTGCCGTGGCAGCGCTGCAGCACGCGTCGAGGCTGAGCTGTCTGCGAGGCTGATAATCGTGGCTCGCTAGCGCGTATGATCTCCATCCAATCGCTAATGACTTTAGCATTTCTTCGTAAATTTCGTCCTCGATACCAAGCTGGCTGTCAACTCTTACAAATCGAGCAAAATTGAGCAAGCACAATGAGTAAGATGAAGAATGCGGATAGGTCGGTCGATAGGGCCTCCAAGAGAAGAAAATTGTCACAGTCAAAGCCCGATCAGCCCTTACCAGACCAGGACAAAAAAGTGTCCCGCATAGAGAGATCCGCTGACGAAGACGAGAGTGCCAAATCGGCGAAGGTACACGCATCAAAGCCGCTAGATTTACCATCAATAAAAGACTTGGCCAGTAGCGATTCTTCCAGACGACGCGCATGCTTCAAGACGCTCCAGAAGCATTTAGAAGACCGTCCGAATAATGCTCCACTATCACACCATGACTGTCTACAGCTATGGCGTGGTATGTTCGTAGCTGTCTACATGCACGACTCCAAGAACACGATATCGGTGCAGAACCTCCTCAAAGACATTGCAAGCACTTTCTCTAGTATATCGGCCAAGGACGACTATGGCGAGGACAGCTGGCTGACTCCATATCACCAAGCTTTCCACGAAACACTGATACGCGAATGGTCGAGTATAGACTCCCACAGAATGAACAAGTATCTGCTCCTAGTCCGATTTGTGGTACGCGAAATCTTCACAATTTGCTTTCGACCTTTGTTCGGCACTCGCACAGGAGAAAAGGATCAGCTGCCGGAGAAGAGGGAGGAAGAGGGAAAAATAGAAGCCCGACACCGTGCAAAGTCGATCACGGCTACCATGGAAGCCAGTGGACCTCTCAATCGTACAGATCGAAAGATACCAGATGGACTTCGACTTCATCTACTCGACGTGTTTCCCGAAGAGCTCTTCACCGCATATACTGCCGCCGAAGAGGGATCAGCTACTACAGAAGAAGATGCTGCTTTGAACGCTCCGGACCAGCACATTCTCGGGATGATGTTGGAGATTTTCAAAGCACCAATAACTGCCATGGCCGAAAGCAACAGTGGAGCACAGAAACATGTGAGACAAAGAGCTAAGGAGGCATTGCAGCATCTGGCTGAGAGGGAGGCAGAGGCGTTCGAGTCGATAGGAGGTTAATACAATCTGAAGTTAAGTGCATGGCCCGAGGCTGGGCAAGTCCTTCTACGATTTTCAGGCTTTGTTCATCTTAGGTATTTCTGAACTGCATTTTCTACTCGACATCGTCTACCAATGTACTCAATCTTTTTCACGGGCCATTAGGTCCTGCTTACATGCATCGACGCTCTGACAAGAACAAAAGCTGTCGATCATTCGACTCCGCGGTCACAAGCCCAAATTAACGTGTCCAACTGACCAAAGAATCGACCCTATCTTATCCGTGAATCTATCCAACTCATATCAACAACCTCGATCTCGTCTTGCCCAACTGAAAAAGCAATGTCCAAATCATCGAAGATCCTGCGTCCCAACCTTTGCCCCTGACATCCTACACAATCCGAGCCCGTGCCCATAGATGACCTAAGACTGAAGACTACATGAGAAATCACCTCAATCTTGCGAGCCCGCAATAGCTCCATCAGACTCGGCTCGGCTGGTCGCTCGACAGGTAACGGGAGGCATGGTCGTGCTGCCTTGACCCAGAAGCCATCCAGTTCCTCGCTGCGAATAAACTTCCCGGACTTATCGTACATCGCCAGCGCTTCAGGCCTCGATAACACCGGATCGGAAGAGACGTCCTCGATGCTACAAGACGCGCAACCCAAGCAGACTTTCAGGAAGCCCCAACCTCGATGAAACTCGATAACTTCAAGCGCCGGTAGACTATCGATTAGATCGTAGTCCTGACCTGCCTTCGACGTACCATGCGAGTAGCATAATCTCTTGACTCGCGGAGCAATACGTGAATGGCAAGTCCCAGGTAACTGCTTAAGTCTAGTAGCTTCAAACACATCAACTCTGCCCATGAAAGTCCCAACCTTCCTTGACCTAGCGATCTCATATAAATCCTTGCACACGAGTAAGGGCTCGACTGAAGGCAAGCTAGGAACAGCACATATCCTTGGCTTGTCGAAGTACGACTCGATGAGTATGTCGTGCCGCAGCTTGAGTTCAAGGTGCCACGACTCATAGACAAAATCGAAGATATGGTAGAGTAGTTCTGGTGGAAGGTCAAGGAAACAGAGATTGAGTGTCATCTTAAAATTCGAATAGAGATAAACGTTACCGAATAGATGGTAATTCTGTGTATACAGGTTTATCATGCCATCGATGATACCGAAGGTAGTACTTGGATCCTTGACATGGAGTATCTCTATTGTGGGCCTTCAGTTGTTCGTCTGTTGTCGGTTCTCTGAGGTGAATGGTCAAACTCAGAGCGGTGGCCTCATTATTACGTTCCGAGCATCGAACCAAACGTCTGCTGCACAATCAGCACAGCAATTGCGGGACGTAGACAATTAATCACATGAAACTGGCCAAACATACAGGTGAAAGTCAATGCCACTTCTTCACCTCTCCAACGGCTATATAACCGATGCTATCATTAACTTGCTTGCCACTAATAATTGTTTATATATTCCATGTCTCCTCTTGCAGATGCTCAACATTTGCCAACGGCGAAAGCCATGACAATACAAGCTGACTAATCTATGGTTACCACGTTGAGCGAGTAGGCGCATATGCATTGCATTGCATTGCAACATCGATGGAAACGAAGTCTTCAATTATGTGTACAACTTAAAGAGCATATGGATTGACAGACCTGATCGTGAGACATCTATGACGCGTTAGCAGTGTCCTGAATATGGTCTGATGAACTTACGGTGGTGATTTGGTAAGGTCGGTTTTGAGGATGACAGGTATTCGCGTCATTTCGGTGATGTCCTGAATATACTCTCCACCGTCCTCGCGGAGCTTGAACTGACTCAGCCACTTCTCTTTGTCGTTGAGTTTGCTTTCAGGAGCATTTGGATTGAGAGCGGAATCAGATCGACCAGCTTTGCCCAAACCATTGGTAGATTTGTCTGTCAGTGACACGCCAGCCATACTCTCTGCAACCTCCGAGGCACTATCGTCATCGTCGAAGAGGGCATTGACGGCGTCTGTACCCATTGTGCTCGTATCAACCTGCTTGGATTGAGCCTCATATCTCTCCTTGGCCCGTTGTTTGGCAGCCTCGGTGGACTTGGCAGTACTTGCGCGGGTGCTGGCTGCTGTACCTGATCGCTCATCCTCAGGCACATAGGCAGATGAAGGAACGCCCTTCTCCCAATAGAGTTCAAGAACGCGCTCATTCTTGCGGTACTCAGCCTTCTTCAACGGCAGCTGATCACAATGAACACGCTTCTCGAAGCCATATTCTGGAATCAGAACGTCGAACGCAGATTCGTAAACACAAATAACGATACCATCGCTGATGAGATCTCCACCGTGCTCGGCACTGGTCTTGTCCATGGCCCGGCATGCCTCAATGTGTACGCTTTGCTCCTGAGCATTTTGAGCAGAATCTTTCTTGTTGTTGCATTGCTCAGCCATTTTAGCAAGGCTCTCGAGATCTTCATTAAACTCGATGGTACCATTGGAAAGTACAGCCTCGAGCTGACGGTGCACCACGATATCAGCATATCGTCGTGAAGGGTTCGTGAAATGCGTATAGACTGGTAAGTTGAGCACGAAATGTTGTCGCTGATCTTCCGGAACCTGTTCTGCAATGTAGTACTTCGCTCTTGAGAAAGTCTTCACAAGCAAAGTCTCCATTCCCTTTCGGAAATCGGCATCCTTGACCTTGAACAGACTGTCTTGCAATGAACCACTACTGGAAGTATCGATCTCGTAGCCAGCATTGGTCATTCTCTCCGCAAATGTTTGCAGTCTTCGAGGGTTGGGTGGCGGTTGTCTTCGGAGCATAGCTTTATCAGGCAAAGCTTGTTGCAGTCTCTGGGCTACAAAGAAGTTGGCCTTGTGGCTAACCTCTTCGATGATCTCATGCGAAGGTGTGTTGTTGAAGATGTTTTGCTCCACTGGCACATTTTCATCATCAAGCTGGCACAACAGGCGCAACGGTGGAATATCAGTTGAACGGTTGCCAAATCGAGCTTCCCTGAATTTCTTGGCCAACTGGGCCAAAATCTCGATGTCCTCAATAGTGGCACCTTGCAATTGGACGTCCTTCTTTCCGCTAATAACACTGTCGACTTCCTCATAAGCAAGCTTGCCAGAGCTTTGAATGATGGATTGACCAATCCATGGTTGTTCCTCAATTCTGCCGGAGGCCAAGTCTACCTTCAGTATTACACTGATAGTGAGACGACCTTGACCTGGCAGAAGCGAGCAAACATCTGACGATAATCGAGCAGGAAGCATGTTGACAGCACGGTTGATCAAGTAAACACCGGTGCCACGCTTCTTTGCTTCTCTGTCAACCAGAGAGTTGGCCTTGACGAAGTGTGCAACATCCATGACATGCACACCGAGTTCAACCTTTCCATCTTCCAACTTCTTGATGTGAAAGGCATCATCGAGCTCTTGTGTGCCGTTAGGGTCAATTGTGAAAGTACGTTCGTTTCGTAGATCACGTCGAGAGGCAATCGAGGCTTCGTCCTCAGACTCAAGGGACCAATTCTCCCAACCGACACTCTTCATCACAGCATCAGAGAATTCGTCTGACCCAAAGTTGTTGTCTCGCAGCAGAGCGTCTGTCTCAACTCGCAGATCGCCCATCTCACCGAGTTGCTCGACCAGCGTACCGAAAGGATGTAGCGATGTGATAGGCCATCGCTTGATGCAGGCAACAAAGATTCTGTTTGCATAGTCCATGTGCTTCTCGACGAAGTCTCGAGGAGCCTGTTCGGTCGGGATGGCTATGAGGGGCACTCGCTTGTCGGTAGGTTTGAACCAAACGATCTTTGGTTTGTCTTGCATCCGTGACTCAGAGCGGCCATGTCCACCATCTCGTGCGTGCCTTTCTGCGTCCTGCTTCTCTTTGGTGGCTTGACTGCTGGGACGAAGCAAACCTAGAGTGCCAGAGAACATCTGACCAGCAACACGCTCAATGACTGCCACAACGTGGCCAGCGTACAAAGGTTTCTGTTCGTCGCTTATCTCCTCCTCTTCCATCAGAAGCAGACTTTGACCCTCAACCTCAACATCATCGTTTTTCTTTTGAGTTGGTCGCTGACGTAGACTGCCGCGACGACGAATACTGCCATCGGGAGCAATTGAAGCAGTCTCAGTAGAGCCACTTTCACCCTTGCTACCTCCTGATCGGGCTTCGGTGATGTCCTTTCTCTTCTTCTTCTCTTCCTTTTCACGCTTCTGTCCCCATACTTCGTCGACATCGAGAAGCTCGATAGCGACCAAATCGCCCTCGAGGGCTCGATTTCTATCTTTGCTACCACAAATGAAGATATCAGCGTCGAGATCGCTAGTGGTTACATAGGCATCAGATCGATTCTTCTTGTTGACCCTGAGAGTACCAGCGACAAGCTGACCGTCGTTGAGAAGAGCCGGAAGAGTGGCCTGAGGTAGGTAAGGAGTGAATAGGGTCTTTCTCTGTTGCTGTTGCTGCTGGCCACCCATCTGTGGCACAGCATGTTGACTAGCCTGCAGCCCAGTAAGACCAGCACCCTGCATGGCTTGAAGCTGAGCAAGTTGCAATGGATTGAGTTGCTGACCAGCAAACATCTGCGGATTAATCATCATCTGACCTTGAGGCATCTGAAGCATCTGTCCTTGATTTGGAAACTGGAAGCCAGCCATAGAGCCAATACTCTGGTTAACAGAACCACGAGTTCTATGACCTGGCTGAAAGCCCGGCGCGCTCATCTGCTGGGGAGCATTGAACTGACCCATTGGTTGTTGTGCCTGGTCTGGTTGCTGAGTGTTGTTCTGCTGTCTCCAATTACCCTCAAAATTGCGAGACTGGGATCTACCATGACCCTGGCTGCCTCGTCGTTGAAGGTCGGATTGACCCTCTTGACCTGGCGCAGGACCTGGAAACTGGAACTGACCGCCTCCACGACCAGCAGCGCCAGCACCACGGGAGCCAGGGACAGCCATACTCTGACTACGACCATGGCCTGGAACCCGGATATTGCCAGCACGTTGTAAACCAAGACCTTGACCCGAGCTTGGTGTTGATTTGTTTTCTTGTGGGCTGCCTGACGAAGTGGTGTCTGTAGAGCCCTCAGCCCCTGGGATAGGAAATTGAAAGCCGGTAGTTGCACGTTTCTTCTCGGCTTCTTCAGCGGCTTTCTTTGCTTCGGAGAGGGCTAAAGAATGTCTTCGAGCATGACCGGCTCCTGGCGGACCACCTCTTCCACGGCCAGCGTTATTCTCACGATTCTGGTTGATGGCTTGCTGGTTCACGTCGTTGAAGCCGGAAGCACCGGAGGAGGGAGCAGGAGGCGGACCCATACTCATTGTAGGCAAGGCGGACTGATTCCTGCGGTGCGAGCCCATTTGCTGTGGTGGGTTCATTTGCATACCCATTTGTTGCATTTGTGGGAATTGGAAGTTATTGGCAGTGTTGGGGGAGAGGGTCTGTTGACCTTGCACAGGAGAGTAGCCTTGCATATTGGCCATTCCCTGTGGAATCATACCCATGTTCACGTACTGTTGGTGTGTATCAGCTATTGCCTGTTGTTGACGCTGGAGCATCTCAATCTGTGACTGGAGAGCCAGTTGCTCCATCATCAAAGGAGTCAATTCGGAAGGGCTACGACGATGAGCGATATGCAGCTTGCGGCCTGCAGGACCTGGGACACCAGTAGGGTTTTGTTGAGCCATGGTAAATGAAGTATCCTTTACAACCAGCTTTTAAACCAATTATTGATCCGTGTGTCGAGTGATGCAAACTCGGGATCGGGGACTGATCGATGTAGGACGAACGAAAGCGAGAAGGAGTACTATCTGCAGGAGTTAGCTGATTGCACTGACGCCTTGCCAACAATTGAGTGAATCACAAAGCAGACCCAAGTGTATAACCCAGAAGTTGGCTGGATCAGGAGCAGGGCCATGTACCTATCGAATTTGCAAGCACAGTGACTGTGAAATCGACAGAATGAATGTGTCGAGGAGTCTTTGTGCTACAGAAATGGCCGTTGTAATTTTCGATGGATCTTGCACATCGAAATCAGGAGAAGGAAGCCACTGGTATCAGTGTTGGTATCTAGCTTCTGATAGTGGGATGTTCGATCAACCGAAACCAGGTAGACGATGGAAAAGGTTCTGTTGGTACCTGATGCTGTGCTAGCAACTGAGGACTCTGGCAGTTGTGACTGCGGATGATGGTATGGGAGGGTAATTCCGAGATAGTGTATATTGTCGATGCAATTGTGTACAGTGCGACTGCACCGGAAGGATTGGACCAAGACTGAGAGATGCAGTAAGTGGGATTCAGAGGATAGGGAATGACTCTCGAAACTCGCAAGGATCGTCGGGTATACACCAGGAGAATGAGAGGAGCAGAAGGTAGGGATTGAGGTTGTGTAGGGTGGTGAGAAACACACAGGATGAAGAGGCCGAGAATTATTATTGAGGAGAAAGCCACGAAGTCGCAGCCGTGGTCAAACGAATGCCTGCCTGTGGTGCACACTAAGGGCATACAGCAGGTGCACTCGCACCCGTTGCCATTTGGGACTAATCACTAATCACTGCACTAACGGGAAGCCGCAACACGAGAGGCTTCGCTCGAACACTGGGCTACTGTCACCCCTGTCGATTTTCCCCAGTAGTTGTCCCAAAAGCTACAGTATCGCATTCGCAGAAAATCCTCCTCCAAACCCCGCTATTCTTTCACTGTTCGACCACGAGTCGAATGGTAGTTTCTGCACGCTTCTGTACTGATAGACTCCTTTTCAAGTTTGCGTCACATGCGCAAGATAGCCAACTAATTTATCGTGCCGTCAAGTGTGCGCGCGAGATTTACTGTTGAGGTGAAAGACGCATACGTATGTGCACTCGCACAATATCTAAGACCGTGGGCTGCTTATGGAGTAGCTGCGGCAAGACTTGCACCGCAACGAGCCGGCCTGCATCTCTTTTGAGTCAATGTGGCTTCCGTCTTGCCTCAAACACACCTCTCTCACACACGAACAATCGTCTTGAACTGTATCAAGCAAAACCACACCAGCCACATAGGGCAAGATTTGCATTGCCAAGTGCATAGCTTTCTGTCGATTATCGCTTGCTTCTCATCCCAGGCAATGCCCATCATCGTTACTTGCGCCATCTAATCCGGCTTCCGTCCAACGTGGAGGGCCGTCACTCATTCGTTCGTATCAGACAGACACTTTGTGCCAGCATTTGTGCTGCTGCCGACACTCCTTCAGCGGTGCGCAACACCTCCCACAGAACGAAGACTCGAGGTCAGGTGACCTTGACAGTACTGCTATCCCTTCTTTTGATTGTCTGACACTACGAGCATTGCTCTCTCAGGCACCAACAATGTGTTAGGTACTCTTGTGGAACGTCGATTGGAGGTGGATCAATCGTAAAGTGTGTTGAAGGTGTGAAGATCACGTTCTTTCAAGTGACTGCAAACAGAACGACGCCTTTCGAGTCTTGTTCTCTTAAGGCCGCAGCTGGAGAAATTCAAGTTCTCGGCCACTGGAAGAATCACACATCTACTGCAACACGTATCCGGTTGTCCTTCTTGCACGATTTTTTTGGCTACAAGATCTGTGTACAGTACCGCGTCCATTCGCTGTACGGTTAGTGTCACGTGACTATATGCCATGGCAAAAGTACAGCACTTGGTAAATGGTGCATCGCAGACTGAGTCGCTGAGAATGAGCGGTGCTGATGGCAAGAAGACCAGCTTCAGTTTGGAGCAAGCCTTCGAAGAGCTTCGTCTACGTGATGCTGAAGTCCAGAAGCTTCATGCCTTTCAGAGAAAATTGCAAGCAAATAAGACTGAGGAAAGAGAGTCGGAACTTGCAATTGAGCACAGCATCATCCTGCAAAGAGCGAGAAACGAGCGAGATGCTGTGCGGCAAGAGGCTGAAGATGCACTGAAGCGGCATTTGCATGAACAAGAACAAGAGAGGAGAAGACGTGCGGAGGAAGAAGAGCTTCGGGTGCAGCGTGAACTACAAAAGAACGCGGAACGTGATCGAGAAATTAGGGAGGAACAGGAAAGACTACGGAAAGCCGAGGAGGAAAAAGCTCGAGTCGAGGCCCAGCGACTACGCGACGAGCAGGAACGAGCTAAGGCCGCTACTAAAGAGCGCGAGAAGAAAGAAGATCAGCAACGACGAGAACAACAGGAAAGACAACGACTCGAAACCGCTAGGAAGCAAGCTGAAGCCGATGCACAACAGAAAGCACAGAAAGCAGCAGATCATCAACGTGAGACAGCTGCTGCAGCAACAGCCAGCTCACCGGAACGAATCCACCAAGAATACGTCGACCTCTATCTCAAGCTTAAGGCTTGGAAGAACAACTTTTGGGAAGACCTTCGTACACAGGCCAAAACGCACAAAAACCCCAGCATCAAGAGCCTAGTTTCCGACGTGCGCAGTACCATCAGATCCGAAGTCGGCAAGCTCAATGCCGGCGACAAAGAGGTCAACAAGTTAGCCACGACCAAATTGAAAGCGAGGTTGACTGAAGCCTTACAGAGTCCGGCTCCAGTGGTAGGCCAGCACATGCCTGTCAACTTTTTTTTACCACCCTCACTCAACCTCAACGACAACGACGCAGCCAAAATAACTGACCAGGCGGCCTATTTCATCTGTGTTCTAGCTCAACAGGTAGTGAAAATCTTCACTTCTTATGTTCATGGTGCACCTGAACGTGCTGAGCCCATTGGTATTATGCTCACATCGATCTTCGCACTGAAAGAGTTACAATTTCCTCGTCAGGGTTCTGACTTGGCTGAGAAAGAAAGATCTCAATCTCTTTTCCCAATATTCTTGGCTAAGTATCATCGCGTTTGTCCAGCCTTGTTCGGGATCTCGGCGAACCAAGGGACTTTACCAGGCAAACAACGTCTCGGCTGGGCGATGTTACCAGCTGCGGACGAAGGAGCCTCGAAGACAACCTTTGTATCAGATCAAACCCACTACGATCGAATGACTGGTCTTGCAATCGGCTATTCGAGCTTCGCGCTCCGCAACTTCAGCGCAGCCAGTGTGTCCAATCCATATCCACCCGTTCATTTCTGGAAGAGTCTAGCACAGATTATCAACATGTCGCCAGAACTTGTTCAGCCGACGCACGTTTGCATCCTGCGACACATGTTTGGCTCAGGTGGTATTGGACGGTTCCTCCTTTTCTTCGGCGCGGTCGGCGTAGCGGTACTACGTGAAGCTTACGTTGAATTTCCAAAAAGATTGCCCGAGGCGATGAAGAAGGACTCATTCGTTTTGGAGCTTGATGTGTTTGTTACAGTCAAGTTGGGAGAGAAAGAACATTTACATCTAGTGTAGCAGATGTGACACGATATTCTGGATTTATGGATCCGTGCGGAACTCGATAAGAAGGCTAAAGCTAGAAGAAGACCAAACAGCACCGGCAGACCATGTCATTCACTGAATGATAGTATGGCAAGGTCGAAGGGAACCCTGCCACGCTTTTCGTCGGCCGAAAGAACCATAAGTTGGTTGTTGATGGTATCAACAGCGTATACATTGGGACAGAGACATACCCATTGACAACTAGGTCGTTACAAAGGAATTTCATTGGACTGACGAAGAGCTTCTGGACAACTTCGAGTCGTTAATGCCACTTCAAAAGAGGCAGGAACAATCGACTCAAATTCTCACTTTCCTACTTTAAGCGCAGCTTTGCCGAACAAGAACAAGCACAATGTTCTCGAGTCATTGCTGGAAGAACAGCTTGACAGAGGGACAACGAGTTGTAGAAGCAGTAAGTCCTTGCTGCAACCTCTCACGAAAGTACATGAGAAATGTCTGAACAGATACGACTAGCCACCAAGGACAGATACTGGCGGAGATAGTATGTGGCATTTCGTGTCGTGCATACGTAGAGAATTTCATTCAAGCAGAGAAAAAGGATTATTTAGCTCTATGAATAAAGCTTTGATGATGCAGATCGTCTCTGGCCCTAGGCACGAAAAGCCTTTCAAGAGCTATGGAGATTTGACGGCGTCAGATAGATAATTGAACAGAATGTTGATGTTCTTTGCTACACAGCTTATAGCTTGTGAATGATCCTTGGTGTAAGAATGAATACCTTCAGGTTGACAAATTCGATAGTAGGTTCTTCCTTGATGCTGCAGCAGCTGCCCGTCTTTCCCTCTCCAACCGGACCACTTCTGCATGTCGCTGGCTTCCCAGCCTTTGGTGTGTCTCGTGCTTCTCTTTCCATGTTTGCGGTGTCTGGTCCTGCAAGACTTTGGGTGCAGTGGCAACAGCCTTGCTGTAGACAGTCGCACATGTATCGTGTCCGTATCTCGAGCCAATCGTGCTAGATTCGTACGTGCTGGCATTGGGTACTCTCGGAGTCGTAAATCGGCATTCGGAAGGAGTGCTGTTTCCTTGGGTCCGATGACTGTGCGCAATTGCGGGGTCGCGGATCTGCTGACCGCAAGGTCGTTGTAAGCCCTTGGTGTCGATGAGTTGAGGATTGCGCAACAACCTGCTGATTCGATTTTGTCTCGGACGATTCAATCTTCTGCTACAGTCCGTCATCCTTGGGCCATGGTCTTTCAATGGGTGGCTTTTTTCCATTGGACGCACGAGTTGCAGGGACCGAATCAAACTGGTATCGAATTTGTTATCATCTTGGACAATCTGCCATCTCTTGTCATGTCCTCATAGTTTTATATCAGCACTTGCGACAATAAACTGTACTTCCTCCCCAATGTTAGCCAAACCCAAAACTCGTCTCCGTCCCTGGACCACCCCTTCCGATTTGGGAACGAGGCGGTTGGTAGTCTTCTCCGTAGGCAGGCGCGAGGCCATAAGCATTGAGCTGACCTCTCATCCTCACGTCGCGCATGTAGTGTAATTGCTCGTTGCTGAAATTCATAACCATAGCGTCTGTGGCTTCGACATCGTGAGACTTGTCGGTGGTCGAACGGCCACCATAGACCTTGTGCATGGCTGCTGCGACTGCCACGACAGCTGCGGCGGCAATGATCGCGATTAAGACCACGACACCAGGAGCGACCTTCGCCATATTGTCAGCCTGAAGTAGAGGTGAAGTGTCAGCAGATACGAATCCCTCAGCAGGTATCAAGCAAGGGCTGACGCAAGTGGTATGTTCAAGTGGGGACTATGGTCGAGAGGATTTGACGCGTTCTTGCAATGGTTCTTGAGCAGTCGCTTCGGTCGAAGTTATGGATATTTCCTGCAATAATGAGCCTTGACTCGGCTTTTGTGCACTTTGTGCGACTAAGCTGGATATCTTCGTCTGTGCTGTAGGCAAGGGTATGACGTGTCGTGGCTGAGGCTCTGGTCAGTGCGAGGATGATTCGTAGAACAATGAAAATTGCAAATAGATACACGTGGTAACACAAATATAGAAGATGGTGATACAATGGAAGGTGATATATGGAAAGAGACAACAGCCTTTAGAGCTGAGAGGGCAGACAATATTGGTCGGATTGCTCATGACACCGTAGGCTGGAAGATGAAGGTCGTTTGGAAAGCTTCCTGAGCATGTCCTAAAGCATCACTTCTCTGTACGACCTTGAAAAGGCGAGTCGTGTAGTCAGAACCCGGACCAAATGGACGGGACGAGTTCGTAGGACTACGCAGCAGAGTAACGTCTGAGCACCATCTTGCGCCGAGGCCAAAGCACTTCTGATTCGCGCCTATAAAGCTTGCAGCCATCTGATTGAGTCTGGAAGGATGGAACGTTTGCCGCGAGGTGTGTTTGGGATGGTGTGCTGCGGTGCAGGACAGCTCAGTACAGAATGTTTCTGCAGGCAAGAGCGGGGCTGGCTGTCGAACACGAGCATCTCAAATCGGGTGCCGATCGTCACTGCGACCACACTTTCTATCCCCGCTTTGTTATCCTCCGAGACCACCCACAGTTATTGAATCAAGACGATTGGTCAATGCTTCCGCAACTCAACGTGTGAAGTGGTCAATCTTTAGTGCTCTCATGCGACAATGACCAAGTAGAACCCAGATGCACTGGAGTAGAACCAGCGAAAAAAGGGAAGCCAACAGACCCATCTTCGCAGGGCCGAGCCCTATCGCGTTGTAGGCGCGTTCGCAGACCCCACTCAACGCGAAACGTTAGAGCCGCACTGTGCTCCTGCCGTTTTCCCTCAACGAGCTATACCATTCTTTACAAACACAAACTGCGAATGCGAACTCAAGGTGTCAACGTAGGATAGCAGAGTCATCATATGGCTGTCCAGGCCACCCAACTTGGGTGAAGACCAGCTGCAGCAGACTTCTGAATGCATCCTATGTCCCAGTATTCGGACAACAGAGATACCCGGCTGAACATCCTTTCACGCGTGCAGACGTACCGTAAAGGAGAGTATTATGATGTTTTCGCTCATATAGACAATGATTATCCTCTGGACACTGAAGTTTCACAGTCCAGGGATATGTCACCACTACAAACTTGGTCTGAGCGTGGTGTCTGTGTGGTGAGCGGAAGCCGAAAGTCAGGAGTAAATATCGAACTTCAGCATATTAATGTTCGTGTCGAAATTGCGTCTGGGCATCTACACAGCTCTAGCAAGGCTTGGTTCGTTGACATCTTCGCCCTGAAATTACCAGGGGTTGTGGGGTCCTGGGTCTGGCGGCTGAGCGATGAAGAACCAGAAGATCAGCTCCAAAGATCTCAATGTTCCACGAAGTCGTGACTGAGAATAGACAATTGTCTTCTGGGATTGACTTACCTCGTACAGTACAAAGACCAGTCCTGTGCAACCACGATGACGATCAATTTGTCACAGGCAGTAACGAAGCTGCTAAATTGGCCAGCAAAGCACCAAGGCTATATGACAACCTTGCAAACATACGCGTTCGTCGCACAACCACAGAACGTGCCTTACATTAAGAGGAGGTCACGATTTTGCACAAAGAAAAACAGGGACGGAATAGTGATGTATCAACCACTAATACTGCTCTTCTCACTCTCTGTGCCGTGCGCTATTACCTACCATCAGGATCCTCACACCTCGTCCCTTTATAGCCAGAAGCATGGACAGCTTCAAACCCGATCAACTCCCACACAACGAAACCCTCCTTCCTTCCCAGACCGCTCTAAAACGTCCGCATCGACACGGCGTAATCCGGCGCGGTTCGTGTCTCGTGGCTGTTCAACACCAGTTTTGCTTGTTTGCCAACTTGATGCTTGATGCTCGTCCAAGAGAGGCGATTTCTCGCCTTGGTCGTCTCTTTCTGAGGCTTTTCGAGCGACAACGTGCTGGCTTCTGTTGAGGTGGAAACATTCCTTCCAGTGCTTGTGGAAGAGGACGTTGGGTGACATTGTTGATATGCTTGTCGTGCTTCTTGCCAGGAGGCGTCGGTCATGTGAGACATTGAATGTGACGGGGTCGGATGAGTGTTGCTGGGAGATCTTCTTCTTCTTCGAGCGAGAGAGAAAGATTTGTGAGGGCTGTATGTGAGAGTTGACTGCCTGTCTGAACCTCGGTTCGCGCTACTTCGGAGAGTGGTAGTACTTCTGCTGTTCAAGTCAATGAACGAACAAGCTGCTCGACGGCTTCATATAGATTTTTGATCTCCCGCAAGATGCATCAATATAAAAATAGAGGGCTGAAGACCCTATAATGCCAACCATCAGCACACGGATGAGTTACCTAGTCAAACAACCCTGAGCTCATTGATGCTTGCCATCACTACCCTGGTTATATCGGACACGTTGCTGTATCAACATGCTCGCCAGAATATACAAGGAGTGTCACCAAAGTAGACAGCCTGCCGAAATCGTGGCTATGGAATAGCGCTGACAATTGAAATCGGACGTGTTTCCCTCTTGGTGTTTGGCATTCATGTGGGGTCGGCTCATTCCGCATTGGGTAACTTACGCTAGTATGTATGTGGTAGAACTGCCGTCTTCAGCTGAGGCCTGCTTGGGTATGAGATGTACAAAGACACAAGATATCAACCATGATTTCCGGTGCATGTGCAACTGCCATGACCTCCCAAGCCAAGAGAACCGCTCGACAGGAAAACCAGCACTTTGCTTCTCGACTGGTAGTGGAAATGTACAAGCACATGCGATTCAGGAGCCCTCGCTCCCCGCAATACCTCTCGTCCGAATCCATGGAGTTCTGTGGAGATCTGTAAGGTTGCTATGCAAAACATACTCATGTTGTTTTACCAGTATCTATATAGTTTTCTTGACCCTGCTCATTGGTCCAGTCATTCAGTTGTCCTCATATACGCATTCCTTGTTGGTCCTGTGCTTTACGCAAACTGGTCTGAAACTTTACATAACGTGAGCTGTACTTCCTCTTCGGGCCAAGATGCCTTTCGACTATGGCCTGGAAACGCTCAGTCCAGCTTTCGAAGACCGTCCGATACCTTATATAGCTTACGGGGCTCGATTTCCGACACTGACTGCAAACCAGCTTACACAAACGCTTGCTGCCAACCGTGTTTTCATCATAGCTGGGAAGGCATTGTCGGAGAATACACCGGCATTGACGCGCCTCAAGTCAGCGATCGAGAATCAGACTTCCGTCAAAGTCGTAGGGGTTCATATCGGCATTGCTCCTCATACACCTTGGGATCAAGTCGTGGCAATAGCCAACGAAGCACGGACTGCATTCGACGGCGAGATTACAGATCGAGATGTAATAATCACGCTAGGAGGTGGAAGTATCACCGATGGCGCAAAGGTTATTGCTTGGATTCTGGCAAACCCCAATGTCAAGGAGTCAAACGACCTGGAACAATATTACGCTGCTAGTGAGGGACATGATCCTGAGAAACTGCCTAAACCTGTAGTCAGAGTAGTCAGCATCCCAACGACTCTAAGTGGTGGTGAATATCAGAACCTTGCTGGCGTTACGAGATCGGATGGAAGTGGACAGAAATGTCCATTTTACCCACCTGTTCGAAATCCCAGCTTGGTCCTTCTCGATCCCGATCTGACGACAACAACACCGAGCAAAGTCTGGCTAAGCACTGGTGTTAGAGCAATCGACCACTGTGTGGAGACGTTGTGTTCTCTGCAAAGCAACGTGCAAGCTGATGAGGCTGCGGAACGAGGCTTGCGACGACTTGTGAGCAGTTTGCTGAGAACCAAGGGGCACGGACACGACCTGGAAGCACGGTTTGAGAGTCAGATGGGAGTGATTGAGGCGATGTTTGCTGTGAGCAGCGGAGTACCCTTGGGTGCAAGCCATGCTATTGGCCATCAGCTAGGTGAGTATAGTCTCTCAGCATCCTCTCAAGCATGACATAGGACGTACTGACCGTAGCAGGACCTCTCAGTGTCGGACATGGCGAGACAAGCTGCATCATGCTCCCAGCAGTTTGCAAGTGGAACGCTAAGCAAGGAGCCAATATTGAACGTCAAGCCATTGCTCGAGATATCCTCCTACAAACAGCTGAGGTCAGAAAGCTGATCGAAGCGAACGGCAAGACAGTCGACGACTTGGATCTTGGTGATTTGATAGACTTGGTGATTCGAGCCCTGGGCATGCCTAGGACACTGACAGATGTGGGGGTAGCACAAGACAAATTCGACATGCTGGCTAAAAACACTCTGACAGATCAGTGGGCCGCGACTAACGCGACGCCAATCACGACGAAAGAGCAGGTACTCGAAATCCTAGAGATGGTCGTGTGAACAGTGTCTAAGCAATATGAGGAGTCGATGTTCAACTAAAGGCAAAATCGTTATTTCTCTGGTGACCTGGACTTAGTCTTTAGCACTGTGAGAGTTTTGCGCTTGCAAAAACCCCATATAGACAAGATTCAATATATCGTGCCATGCAATAAACCTTGATCGAGAGAGTGAGGGAAGGTTGAAAGCGTCTCAACCTGACGCGTCCGGAGAAGGAACCACGCGTCGATGCCAAGACGTCCTGAATATTTCCGTTGCCTACAATTTAGCCAAATTTATGAGAAAGTTAGCAGAGGTAGAGCCTTGCCTACTGGTATGCAATACTACACGACATAGATTTGGTAGTTCAATGCTGGAAAAAACTTCTAAGCTGGGTCAGGTATTCTCAAGAACTGAAACTACTGTGAACCTGCTAGTGGTCTTGTGTTTATGTGGAATTTTATCCAGTGTGCCAGGCTATCATAGTTCACTGTATTACTTTGGCACGAGAAGACACACTGGTTACTGAGCACCAAACACTCGATATTGCTGCACATAAGAGGTCGCGCAGACAGCGGTTGCCATTCACGGTATCACGACAACCACAGATGATGGTGATGCTAGTACAGTAATGGGCTCCGCTTCACCAACCACTGGCAGTGCAACAGGTAGCACTTACTCAGCCTACCTCATTCGTCTCACGCAGTCACATAGTTCCTTCCGCCGACCAGAGCTGGAGGCGCTTGCTATAAAGGCTGGCGTTGGTCTTAGCTTCCTCTCCTACGACGACAACTCACCATACTGCATCGTTCGCATCAGCCCCAAGCCCCCTTCAGACACAACTTTGGTCAACGACCACGACGCAGTAAGGTCTATCGTAGCCCAATCTATTCTTGCAAAAGGCGTGTACGAGCTCTATGCTGTGGCACCCACTTACGAAGAGCTGCACAGTCAAGTTCGTGGTTTGCCAGCCGAGATATGGCAACCATTCAAGCACGTCTCCTTCAAGTTCCTGGTCGATGCATTCTGCGGCAAGCGATCGATACCGGAGCAAAGAGAGATTATTGAGGGATTCGGCTATCTGCCTCTGAAAGGCAGCATATCTCTGAAAAATCCAGAAGAGGAATTTGTGGTATTTGAGGAGTGGGACCTGCTAACACCAGAACAGCATGCAGCACTAAACATTGGCACAGGCTTCAGAGTTGCACAGTCTCTATGCAATGCTGAGAACATAGCTGAGCAAGATGCCACGGCTGGTGATATTGCAGCCGCTGCCCTCATCTCAGACCGCAAGCCAAAGCGCATTTTCTTCACTCGCTATATTGGACCATCTCAACGCAATCTGATTGTCAAACACGATTTGAAGAAAAGGCCGTACATCAGCACAACATCAATGGACGCAGAGTTGGCTCTGATCACGGCTTCTCTAGCGCTTGCCGCTCCAGGCAAGTTGTTTCTGGATCCTTTCACCGGAACAGGTGGGTTCATGATTGCTGCAGCAGAGCTCGGTGCAGTAGTTCTGGGCTCTGATATTGATGGTCGAAGTTTTCGTGGTAAAGGCACAGGCCTGACCAAAGGCATTGGTGCAAATCTGAAACGGTACAAGCTGACTGATCGATTTGGTGATTGCTTGACGAGTGATCTGACTAATACACCATTTCGATTGCGCGGCCTAGATTCCAGCAAATCCTCAAGATGGTTAGACGGAATCATCTGCGACCCGCCGTACGGCATTCGGGAAGGGCTGAAGGTGCTGGGCAGAAGATTGCAAGATCCAGACGAAGTAAAGGCAGATGGACGAGTGATTCATGAAGGACCATACTACGTGGATGGTGTAGCAAGCCATACACTGCCCGACTTCATTGCACCCAAACGTCCTTACAGCTTCGACGCCATGTTGAGCGATATACTTGATTTCGCAACCAGAACTCTGGTAGATTGTGGCCGCTTAGCTTTCTGGATGCCTGTAGCAAACGACTCTGACGAGGAGTTTCCAGTTCCGATACATCCCATGTTGGAGATTAGGCACAGCTGCATCCAGGTATTCAATAAGTGGTCAAGACGGCTTCTTGTATATGAAAGAATACCTGGTGAGGTTTCGGACGATCTTGCAGAACAAATCAAAGGACTCAAAGTCAGCCAGGCTGCAGGTCGGAAGGCTGATGAGCTGAACCAATTTCGCAGGATGTACTTTCGTGGCTTTCACGTTGAAGCTGATTCCGCGGTCGAGAAGGCCGGGCATAGCCCAGAAGTTCAACATGGCTAAAAAGTCAGGTTGAGTCAATCTCTATTGTCTCTTGTGAACGGCGCTAACCATTTTCCGGACTGACATCCGAGTATGCACCCCTGCCGGCTCGTGCTTGCCTTGATCCGCTGTAACAAAAATGTACTGTTGCTCGTGGTAGTTCGTACTTGCGATGTCTGCTTCACGTGCTGATCTTGAGATTCTCGGTCCTCTCGGCAATGCCATCCATCTCACCCTCTTCCTCACCCTTACCAACCAGTCCTCTCTCCCACAGCTGTTTTCCAGTCAACTTTTTTGTATCTTCAACTCTTACACCTCTTTTGCCCTTCATAGCTTCAGCGTCTTCGTCTTCTCTGCGTAATCTTTCTTTCTCAGCCATTTCAGCCTTGAACTTTTTATGCCACTCCAAAAACCTCTCCCGTGTGACCTTCTCTCCATGAAATTTCCTGTTCTCTTCCTCTTCCTTTTGACGTGCTGCGACATCAATGATCTCCTGTTCTTGCCTGGCACGATCGGCCATGAGAACCTCGGCGCTGTCCTTCAATGTTGCAACCAAAGTGAAGACCATGGCCATGCCCATGTTGTCCTCAATTGTGCTCTTCAAGCTATCCAGTAATTGCGCCTTATCCGCTTGGACATCCAGCAGAGGGTGCTTCGCTGCATTGTGAGGAGCTGTAACGTCCAGGTTGGGAGCGACGTCGGGATATGAGTCTGGATAGGACACGTTCAACCATATCACAAGGGGATCATCTTCATCAGACGGTGAATTCGCCGGAGGATCCAAGGCGATTGATATACGGTAGGCATTGTCTGCAGTATCTGTGATTTCGTCTGGAAAGATAGAGTCGAGGACTTCTCGCTCTTCTTTCTGCTCGTCAATACCCATGGTTGCGCGAGGTGACAGAGCAAAAGCTCAAGGTAGGAAGTTAGATATAAACAATAAAAATAGCATTTGATCGCATTGCGGAATTGATGTGCCCATAATTACTGGCAGCGGCATGACGAAGGTGTGCATGATTGTCGGAACCCTGCAATTAATTTTTGAAAAGTTTCTGAGCACAAGCATAGAAATACTACTACTCAGTTCACGACCACACCTCCCTCTACAAGCCACATACCATTGCCAACACACAAGATCGGTCGCAGACAGTGTAATATGGGGAAGACACGGACTAAATCACGAAGTAACAGCAAAGATGTCTTGCGCAGCACCAAAACACCGCTGGTCAAGTCATCAGTAAACTCGAAGTCGCAAAAGTCGACTGAAGATCTACTACAAGAAGCCGCTACACATCTGGACCACTCACAGCCAGAACAGGCCCTTGCCCTTGTGCAAGAAGCCCTGAAACGACTAGAGAGCGACGCAGCAGCCTATCGCGATGTCGACGTTCTTCTACAAAATGCGGCACAAGAGAAAGCAACTTTTCCTAGCGCTCTTGTTCTGGGCGGCGACATTAGCCTAGCCATGGGAGATGTCGACGAAGCACGAGCACAGTACGAGATGGCAGTGAAAATAGATCCCAATGGAGCCTTGGTGTCGGCTGAACCATACCTACAACTAGCCCAAATCTGCGAAGAAGGCGGTCAGAAGAGCATATATTACTTTGACAAAGCTATTGAGGTCATGAGGAACGAGATCGAGGTTTTGGATGAGCAGATGGAAATTGAAGGGACGAAAGAGATTGTGGATGGACGGCGTGCTAGAGTCGCTGATGCGCTTTGTGGCATGGCTGAGGTGTACATGACTGATCTGAGTTGGGAACCCGACGCTGAGCAGCGTTGTGAACAGTTGGTTACAGAAGCTGTAGCACTGTGTCCGGACATGCTCAGCGCAGGGGTTTTGCAGACTCTTGCGAGCGTACGCATCAGTCAAAAAAGAGTTGATGAAGCCAAGAGAGCGTTAGCTCGAAGTGTGAGCCTGTGGAAGGACGTTCCAGAGGGCATCGATGACCCGGCAAGGCCGGACTTCGCTACGCGGGTCGCTCTAGCACGGCTCTTGATGGAGGTTGAGCAAGAAGAAGACGCCTTGACGGTTGTACAGGGGCTTGTGAAAGAGGACGACCAAAGTGTTGAGGCTCTTTACCTTGGAGGTTGGTGTCATGTGCTGTTGAGTCAAAAGGCTGATAATTCTGCCGAAACAAGATCTGTTCAAAGTGAACAAGCTCGAGAACAGCTCGGCAATTGCTTGAAACTGTACCGAAAAATTGCTTACGAAGACGAGCCTCTTCGACAGCATGCTGAAGAACTAGTCCAGCAATTGAACAAAGACCTAAACTTAGACGAAGAGGCGGACGGATGGGAAACGGAAGAAGAGCAGGATGACCAGGACGACAACGCAGATATCGAGGCTGATGATGTTGACCATGCACGCGATCAAGAAAAGGACGTTGAGATGACGTGAATTAGGTCCTCCTCGTACTGAACGCTATTGTGCCCATGATCAACAGACCAGACCGGCTGCAAGATTAAATGTCTGGACTATGTGTGCTCCTGAAATCTTGCAGTGGCAACAGCCACGAATTTGCATGCTTCCGCGACTGCTGGACGGTACCACTTGCCTGCCGTCAGTAAGTGACCTATTCTACGAAGCCGTCGTCCTAGCTTGTTTGAGGCGGAAGCGAGGTTAAGGCATGCTTGTGCCTACCGGCGCCTGGTGTGCCACACCGCGTCTAACGAGCGCCACATCCCATCTCGCGAAGAAGACTATGAGATAACGTGGAGGTCTAGCGAAAAAGAAGAACGTCAGAATGGTACTGCCATATCAATCCGGAGATTGTGGCTCCATCTCACGTGTCGACTGTGTCTGTAGAGGTGTTTTTGTGCACGAGCATCTGTGGAATGCTAGTTCGACCGCGTCTCTTCTCGATTGTGAGAGCATGCAGGATCCAGAGAGACCTTTGGTTGCATTGACTGCTGGCAATTGAAGTCCTTACCCTGAAGATCTTGCAGATATAGAATGGTGCAGGATAAGTGAATTGATAAATCAGAGATCCATGTAGGTTAATCTCATTGTTGTCAGGCACCATCCACTCGGCTTGGCTCGATAAATCGCTTAAGCAGGGCAAATCATCGGTAGAGCACCGCTAAAGAGCATAAGCTCAGATACGCTCCGCACGCCTCCACTTTCCCCTGTTTTGTGCCTGGATCGCGGTCACCTCCTGTATGCTGAGTGGTCAATGCGACCCAATCCGGGACTGTCAAATTCTGTGACATGTGAGCAATGCTGCTAAGTCATATGGCTGCATGAGCTTCGTGAGGCTTGCCCTCGTCTTCTCGACCTGCCGCTGAAAGACTCAAAGGTTTCTTTGGTCATCTTTCCGACACTGCAGCGGTCTCGAGACAATTGTCTCTGCCACTCTTTAGCAATACTCACTCCAGTCACTCCTTATCCGAAATACACATCCCTTGTCAGGTTAGACGTCCTTCACCGATTACTCGATTTAGCTCTCCTCGCGACAGGATAAACCCACAAAGATTTCAGCACACGATGATTCGGTAGCTGAGATTGTTGTGCAGGAAGAGAAAGACCACGGACACGCAGCCGCTCGAAGCATGGATCTGTTACAGCAACACGAGCCAGTCTTGGTGAACAGAGACTTGATCGCTAGACCTGCACCAATACCAGAGTTACGGATACGCGATCTGACGCCAGATCTCTCACATGTCACGAAAAGAGACTCAGATAATTCTTCGAAGGAAACGTCGGGTGGTTCAAACACAACCCCTATAGTAATTGGAGTGGTGGTGCCGGTCGTCATCATTGCGATAATACTAGTCGTGATATGGAGAAGACGACAGAGGATCGTGCGGCAGGAAGAAGCAAATGACAAATATCGGTCCTTGGACTTTGGTGTTGATGAATCGGCTGTCCGTGAGAAAAAGGGCGAGAAGAATAAGGCTGCGCCTGAAATGAGCATTGCCGAGATCAAGAGTACCTTGAGGAAAAACAGAGGTCTGTCGCTCGACTTGGGTGCTGCCAACCCTTACATGCTACCATCTGAGGTGCAATCGCCGCGCGAGTCGTTGCGTAGTTTGTCACGGGCAGGCGATGACAGATACAGGCCTACAACCTTTGTACCCGACGATGGGTCCTTACGGTCTCCCAGCTCGCTCAGCCACGGCGATGGTTCCTCGATTTTTACCGGGTCAACGAGGCAAAGGACAGGGACCATGGACACTGACTCAAGACAAGACCTGTTGCCAAGAATACCACCAAAACGTGATGGCTCCGAGATAGCGTCTGTTCGGAAGCCCCTACCAATAGCCGAGAAGGCTCAGTCTGGTTCGCTTGCTCTGCCGGTACCAATGTCCAATCGTACATCAACGTTGAGTACGGCAAGTAGCAATGCCAACTTCGCAGCTATCCGAGCAAGCAACAACTATCTTGGACAATTCATTAGTGGAGGTCAGAAGAAACATGAGCCGGCAAAAGCAAAGGACGAGCAACCTGGTTTGATTGTCTCAGAGACTGAAATTCAGGTTACTCCTCCTCCGAATGAACCTCGCGAGCTTCCTGCTGTGGTTGTTCATGGCGAGCCAATAAACCAAGGCGGACAGAGTAGAGTCGATGCTTCTCAGTCTTCTGGCCAATTTGCTGCCGAACTCCCTACTAACCAAGAGTTACGGCCACAACCCTCCAATGAGCCGACATTGCCACAGATTAGAACAGACATGGTTGAGATGGACGCAACTCCACAGGAGCAATTCCCCCAGCGAACGCAGAGTAAACATACTCCTCAGCATCACAACCAACAAGCACATGCTACCAATGCTCGACATCCTCCTGCGCCTGAAGTCAATGCAGGACAGCATCAAGATCATGCAGATGATGCCTCCGATTATTATGAAGAAGAAGGCTACGACTATGGCGAGTACGCAGACTACATGGATTATACTTATCGCAACTCTACAATGGGTGTGCGACCATTGCCGCCGGATGACCCAACCGAAAATCCTGAGCAACGGGCTAACCGCATCAGATCCTTCTACAAAGAATACTTCGATGACGGCGGTCCCACAAACGGCGCTCGACCCAACCGTGCGAGTTATTATGATGGTTCGGAGCAATACGAGCAGTACGACGACTTTGATTATGGTTATTACGAGCAATCACACTCTCGAGGCCCATCTATCAAATCTGACATGCCTAGACAGGGTCGTCATCGAGCCTTCACCCATGGTAGTTATGGTTCTCACATGCCCGGTCCACGAGCTTTCTCATCGATGTCGGGGCGTCCCGGCCAAGCAGGATATGGACGAAGGCCGCCTCCCAAGAAGAATTTGCCTCCACCTAAACCATTACAAATGCTGCCCACACCTCACAAACTCAAGGACGACGACTTTTTACCCAATGTTCTTGATTTTGCACCACCCCAAGTCTTCCGGAATCAAAGATCAGGTACCCCAGACAGCCTGCGAGGTGGACTTAGGCCATATAGTCCAAGCGTCAAAGCACATGTACCTTTGAACAGCAGCTTTGACGACCTCGCTGTCATACCCAGCCCGTAAGTGTTTTCCGCCACGGCCTCGTTACCTTGATTACTAACAGATTCAGACACTCCCTCCGCAAATCTGGCACATTTACCGGACTAGACTTTGCTCCTCCACGTCGCTTCAAGAATGACAAGGATTCTGCGAGTGACAGCGGCAGCGTCAGATCCAATGGGAGCAACCTCAGCAGGATGCACCTAGCCAACATCCGCAACGGCGCATATCGCGTGTCTAGAATACCAACCGATGTCGCCGGGTCTAAGGACGATATGTTCAGCGCCCTGAAACCAAAGTGGAACATGAGGGGAGATGGTTCCGGAAACGACGGACTTGGAGCGAGTCAGTATAGGTAGATGTGGAAGATAGAGGAAACGTCGTGAGCACCATCATGACTTCGGTCTAACAGAGAAAAGCTATGTAATGTCTATAGAATGGGTTCAGGGAGAGCGGAAAAGTCTTGTCATCAGCATGGAGTGGCTAGAAGGTACATGAGCAGCGCACGGGCGCTTTATCGATAGATTTCGTGACGGCCAACATATTCAGATGGCAATACGTACACTGGCAGGTGTAGCAATTTTGCAGAATCACTGCAATTGACATGCAACAACTGTTATCGAACGATTCAAGCCAATCGGTCACCTTGTCCGTCACGCACATGTCTTGACAGGTTCTAATCTGAAGCGTTGAAAGTATCTCACATCTAGCCCGGGCCACAGCAAAGCAAGCTTCAAGCCCTGCATATCCGTGCTAGGCAAAGAGCACTTACCCGAGCAAAAGGTCCTGAGCACGATTCTGGATGGTCGTGATGCAGCACAAGTACGACATGAAGACTATCACAAGAGGAAGGTGTAACAGCATCTCACATCGGCGAGAGTACTCAAATAGCCGAACATAATGGCAAAGGTCGCATTCATAACATCAGCCTCAGATGCAAAAGTGCTCCAGTGAGCTATTGTTAGCCAATTGCCTCAATGGCTAATAAATCCTCGGCAGGATCATAGACTTTCCTCCAATTTGATTGACAAAGCCTCCACTAGACTGCTTCCGCCCTGGCGTGAGTTTGGGCGTTGCGATCCTCTGTACCATTGCCCTCATCTCCCAAACTGGACTGACTCAACGCCGAAAAAGTGTGGTGTTTGATGGTAGAGATTGCAACTTTGCTCCTCGTCTTGCATTCTCACTGCCTTCTCACACTCTCTCCAAATCGGCGTCGTTCATCTGCATATTTCGTTTCTTGTGGGTTGGGGTGTCGATCACGAGTTTCGAGTTGCAGATGATCGTGGCGAATTTTTAAGCGTTGTTGGAGTATTTCCGGTAGTTACTCGTACAGTTACATTCGAGATACCTGCTCCGCGTGTTCAACTCTGAAACCAGGACTTGTCTCAGCTTGGCCACGAGCGTGAGCGCAACGCACTTACTTGTTTTCACGAGCAGTTACTGCAAAGGACATCATATTCCTCGACGCGGGCATCAATTCCCGGGCTGTTTTCTTAAGATTGAGCGTCCTCACCTGTTGTGAGCTGTAGGCCTGCGGGTCGCTACAAATCAGGATGTCGTCGAGTAAGTCTGAAAAAGGTTGTTTTTTCCTGCCGTTGGCCCAGCCTAATGGATACAGTTTCGAGTACTACCATCGCTACCACCAGCGCGGCTACGACGACGTCACTGCCACCAACTACCACATCAGCCACGACTACTCCCTCGGATTCACCAGCATCGACCACTACACTTCCTGCCTCGACCTCGATAACATCCGTCGCGCCAGTGACTACTGTCGTACCGAACCCATCCACACTACCTCCGACGACAATTGTAACGCAAGTGACCTCTGTAATAACTGAGTCCCCAGCTGCGAGCAATCAGGGTCAAGGTCCAGTCATCACAACGGTATATTCCACTCAACCCATTGTTACCATCACTCCCACCGCGTCTCAAGCATCCACTTTGTCAACGACCTCCACACGTAGCTCCACGACTCAGTCAGCACTTAGTGCTCCAGGATCTAGTAGTGATTCAGGAGGGTTGAGCAATGGCGCAACGATAGCGATTGCCGTAATAATACCCATTGTCGCTGTTATCGCCCTGATCATCTTTGGCTTGTGGTTCTGGAGAAGGAGGAAAGCAAAGAAAGATGCTGAAGAGCTGCGCAAGAACGAGATGGCTGAGTACGGTTTCAATCCCAACAACGACCCTACGCTTCCTGTTGCTGCAGCAGCATACACCGATGGTGCCTCAGAAGGCAACGATGACTCAGGCTACCGTGGCTGGGGCGCAACTACAGCTTCAAATCGTAAACCATCGACGACACTGGGCTCAAATAGCCGAGCTGGTGCATTGGCTGGATTGAACGGTACGGCTTTATCTGACTACGGAAGTCAAGGCTATGGTAGTGGTGTGCAGCCATCTCCTTCTGCCGAGACTGGTTCTGATGGTACACAAGATCCGCTCGTTCACGGATACCCCGAAGCAGCAACAGCTGGCGCTGTGGGCGCTGTGGGCGCTGCTGCGTTTGCAGCTGGTAGCAGAAACAACCGATACAGCCAGGCTAGTGCACCCAGTGGCATCCACAGAGGCCCTTCCAACGCTTCATCCGCATATTCAGGCGTGGTGGCTCACTCCGAAGCCGACTCTGACGTCCCAGAAATGCCTACACAGAGGCCGTACTACCAAGAAGAAGTACCATACAATATTTACAACGACGTTCAGCCAGGTCATGGACCATACGGCGACGCTACCTACAGCGGTCAGGGTGATCAACCTGTCATTAGGGATGTACAGGCACGTCGAAACACCCGAATCGAAAGAGCACCAACCTTCCCACAACAAGGTGGAATCGCACAAAATTTCTAAAGTAGGAACCAAAAAAAGAAGAGGAAGAAAGTCCTAGCATCCATGGAGTTTATGACAAGCGATGTTCAAGTCATGCATGCATTCTTCAAATATACCCGAATGTTGTCCGTCGTTATCGGTGCACTACTTTGAGAGCACCACCACTGAGACGAATTTACTTGCGGTCGTTTACTACATACCTATCTATCGATAATCGTGAATACTCGCTAACATGGATGGACATTGCTGGACCGTACACAAATCTTCGATTCAAGAAGAAATAGGCGAGATGTAATCTAGCAAGCAATTCATGCGTTTCCAGACATGATTTGAGAAAGGGCAAAAGTAGATGTTTTTCGAGTTTTCGTTTGTGAAACTCATGATTCTCTTGCTGCTCGTAATTTGACCCCTACACACTATGAAATGTCAGTTGTATTCTGCTTCTGCGGTCTCTTCGACTTTAAGCGACTCTGAAGAACGAGCTCGTTAATGAGTCGAAGCAATTGTGAGAAGACCATTGTATAGATGAGTGCCTGCTAACCCGTGACTCATCCGAAGCGTTGATATACGAAGCATAAGCCCAAGAACTACCTTTGAAATTCTGGTTCTTTGCGACAATTCCAATACAAGCTCTTGTACTGAAAACAGCAGTTTTTTTTCTCACTTTATTGACTGTTGGCTGCCAGCTGCCAGATCTGCACAAATTGCGAAAAAAAATCTTCAACACGTCGTTAGCCTTGTGTGGCCATTTGAACCCACTAGGTTCTCAGCTTCTCAGAGACTGATCAGACAAACCTTCAGATTCTACAAGCAAAACAGGCTATCTTCCATGGGTCGTACTACAGGTCCTGATACAGCACCGCCGAGACGAGGGCGAGGCCGAGACGACGCACCTCGATCGTCACAATCTCGAACAGTGGTCATTTCGAAGGCTTGTTCGAAACTTCTCAGACACCAAGCAGTCAACGAAGGTATACCAATTACCAGCGACGGGTGGGTAAGACTGGATCATCTGCTGAGTTGGAAAGGACTAAGTGGAAGAAATGGTCCAAATCCACCTCCCACTATTGAGGACATTTTCGACGCAGTGGAGGATAATGACAAGGAACGATTTGCTGTGAGATGGATTCGGACACGTGCGAAAGATATGACGGAGAGCGTTGCCCAAGGACATGAGCAGACAGTCAAGGAAGTACAGATCCAGCCTTCTACGACGATCAAGGATCTGGTCAGTACGGGCCAAGCACAAAGCACCACATCCGAAGCTTCTACCTCTCGAGCTCAAACAAATGAAGCCAATGGCAACGTCAACGACTCTCACGACGACTTAGAAACCGATGCAGAAGCTCAGAGAGCAGAATCAGAGACAGCTCAAGCAATATCTCATTACCGCAACGCAAAACCGACACCTCCCGCCTTCGAGTTCCTGATACGCGCCGTTCAAGGTCATAGCATACAAACCGTTGCATCTGACACTTCCCTCTTGAAACCGATCACCCTTGATGATCCATCCAGCATCCCAGACACGTGTGTCCATGGGACTTTCTACGGCGCTTGGAACGATGTCTTACGTAGTGGCGGCCTCAAACCCATGGGTCGCAACCATGTTCATTTTGCTGCTGGTCCAAGTCTGAATGAGATTGGCGTCACTGAGGACGCAAGTGCCACTCAAGAAGCAAGCGACAAAGTGATCAGTGGTATGAGACGCGATGCACAACTACTGATCTACATCGACCTCAAGAGATGTCTTCAAGACGTGAAGGAGAAAGGGATCGAGATGTTATGGTGGCGGAGTGAGAACGAGGTAATTCTTACTGAGGGTGTGGAAGCAAGTCTGGTCACAGATGTTTCAGAATCAACCGCACCTGGCGTGGAAGGTGGGAGTATACCAACAACGGAAGTGCTGGGATCTACTCAGGAGGGTACAACAGATGAAGAACTTCAGGCACGTGCTAGAGGCACTGTGAAGACTCTCGATCTGATACTTGAACCAGGTCAAACACCTCAAATTGCCAGACATGAGCCATGTGAACATACTGCAGATCCGGGTGGTGACCCGACCGATTCGAGGTCGAAAGGTAGAAAGCAACAGCACGGTGGTAAAGGAAAACACGCCCAGGCCGCATCGCAGAGCAAGCTTGTGCCTCTAAGGTATTGGAAAGTAGTAGTTGACGTCAAGAGCGAATATGGTGTGATATGGCGGCAGGGCGAAGGTGTTGTGAAACATTTGCCGGATGAGTTGTTGAAGAAGGGAACTCCCAAGTCCTTTCGAGGAAGAGGTGGGAGAGGGAGAGGGAGAGGGAGAGGACGGTGAGCATAGCTTTGCGGTATACTGAACCACTATGTATCTCTTGGCCAAAGTAGTCCAGACGTGTGTAAAACTTTGATGTATCATCAAGTTCAGATGACATGCTTCATCTTCAACAAAGCCCTTGAAGTGGCCACTGACACGTTGACCGGATATTTTATCCGCACTACCAGATAAGCCACTCTATACTAGTATCCCTCATGACTTGGCACCTTTGTGTCACATGTAGTATCGAACAACATCCATTTCTACGTTTTCCACATACCGTCCTTTCAGATCATCAGCAGTAGTTTACTACATGCTCCCTCTAAGCCCGACAACACAATGACCACAGAATCCGACATCCCACCACCAACCACAACCACAACCACAACCACCACAGCACTTCAATCCTCTCAATCACAACCTCCACTCACAAAATACATCTACAAAATCGCCCCCTCGACACCTCCCCCTTCCTGGCCCCCAACATCCAAACCCGACAGTCTCACACCCATCCTGCCCCCCTCCCCCCTCGACACAACCTCCCAGTTCATCCACATGTCTACCGCGGCCCAAATCCCCGGCACCCTAGCGCGCTTCTTCGCTTCTCCAACACACCAGCAGAATACAGTCTTCTTACTTAAAGTCCTCTGGCCGCCAGTGTTCGATGAATTGGGGTTGTTGAGGTGGGAGACGCCGGATGCGAAGGTAGGTGGGACGAGGGAGGCGGAAGGGTTGTTTCCGCATTTGTATTTTTATGATGGGGAGGATCCGGGGCCGGGGGCGACGAGGTTGTGGTTGAGGAAGGGGGAGGTAGAGGGGGTGAGGGAGGTGGTTAGTGAGAGGGGGGTGGAGGGGTGGGAAAGGGCGTTGGGGGAGTTGGGGGCGTGGTTGGTTTGATGGTGTGGGCAGGCAAGGGATTGCGCTGTGGACGTGGATGGATGACAGAGACGAGACGAGAAACACGGTTTGCATGGACAGACTACTACCATGTCTTGTGACAGCGCGTGGGCATGCTTCTTTACAGTGAGATCAAGATATCTCTTGGTTTGTTCGACTCGAGACATGATTCTATGTCTTGTTCGGGTTCACCTTGCTCGACAAATGCAGCCCTGAATGAAGTTCTCACACGCAATCACTAAAAACTTGTACGCTTTTCAGCGAGAGAGATAGAAAATGGTCCGAGCTTGTACAGCCTGTATCTCCCAATCGACAGGAGAATCGAGTACCACCACTGGCCCTCAACTTGTCTCACTCAGTGATTTGAGCATGTTCGAGCAAGCATGGGTAGGATGCATAGTGAGTATACATCGATCAATCCCAGGAGATGTGTTCAGTAGCTTGAAGATGTTGATCCGTTGAGCTCATATCTTGTCCAATAGCACGACACCAAGCCATGTATATATGAGAGTAACTGCGTAGGACTGTAAACACCATTGACGAGTAGGACCCGATGACAAGAAAGTCGTTGCTGCTTGGTAGTGTCTGCCGAGGTGTGAGTACGGCAATTGTTTGCAGGGTCATACTCTTCGAGCTGACCAGTTTTGAGCCCAGTGAAGCTCGTGCTTGATTTTCAATCGTTGATTCGTCAAATTACCTATAAATAAGAAGCGCTATTTATGCTATCGTATATCCTTCCTGTACTTTTGTTACAGCTTTGCCTACTAGACAACGGCACCCCGACTTGCATGGCCAGAGGCTGAAGGTCCTGGGGCATATCTCTCGTCAACATTCATGTTTTGATCTGTTCTTGTATCCGCAACTCCAGCTCCAAGTACATCCTCGTGCTTGTGAACCATACCGTGCTGCCCAGTTTCGATGTCTTTTCGTCGCGCCATATCGTTCTTTCCAGTGGTCCAGCCCTCTTCTCCTACATAGCCATCTCGTCCTACTCCGACCCAGAATGCTCGTCCTCGACTTCTCGCACCCCAGCTCCAGCCCGAACCACGTCGGATGGACATATGGTAGTAACGGAACGATAATGTGGCACTGAATGCACCGATGAATGCACCAGAAAGAATATCAATTCCGTGATGGTGAAAGTCAAGCCATCGACTTACACAGATGAAGATTGCTGTACCGATAGGGAGGAAAATAGTCAGCAACAAGAGGTATACTGGTGGTGCGGCACCGCTGTTTCTGGGTGGTGGTGGCATAGTCGTGTTGCCATTGCGCGTAATGGACGAATTGCTCGAATTTGACGCTGCAGATAAGCTCGTTGGACGACGAAGGTTTTGGTCGTACTCAAAGGTGTTCTCGTTGGAAGTGTTTCTGTCAACAGTTTGGTATGGAAGGCCGGTCGCAAACTTGGCACAGAGGAATAAGGTCAAGTACAGCAGACCTGCAAAGCTGAAACTGGAGTGACCAGAAGGCCATGAGGCGAAGATTTCTCTGAGTACGAGTGGATCGCGCTCTTGACATATGCCGGAGCTGACCAGGATTGGTGTCGCACCAGTATTATCGAAACTGGTGCCTAACCCACCAACTCTATATTGAGCGACGGCACTGAGATCAGGGTTGCATCTGGCGATTGCGTATGGTCGTGGCTTGCCTCCTAGGTCTTTTAGCCCTTCAGTAGCCACGAAGGTCGTTGCGAGCGATAGTCCGAGACCCATCCATGCTGTGTTCAACTCCCACAATTTGCGCCTCCAGATCAAAGACTTTGGCGTTCCCTTTGCAGCAGTCGGACCAGGTACGAAGATGAGGGATACAATGCCAGTAATGATTAGTGGCGCGAGGAGTGCGACGACGAGTAGAACTGAGACCGTTACTGTATCGGGACGAAGAGGATATGAGATGCTCGGGTCTTGGAGAGAAAAAGGTCGGTGGTTAGAATGTTGCAGTCTGTTGAAGGCACCTCCAATTCCAGCAATAACACTGTGAAGATTAGCCAAGTCAATGTACACACGTTGGGAGATGGACTCACAAGATCAAGATCCAGTCGATGAGATAGGACAGAACTATACGCTTCGATATGTGCATCGCACCTTTGGCGAGTGCTTTCGCAGAGTTTGACCCTTCAGCCATGTTGTGGTACTGAGCACACGACCAACGACAAAAGATGTGTTTGAGGGGCAGAGTTGGATGCTGCAGTATTACAGATCATTAAGCAGACATAGTCGCAGTAATACAGAAGGAAGTCCACATCAGAAGGTGGCCGAGCCATTGGTGTTGTGCCATGAAACTCTGTTTTGGCTGTCCCGTCAGAATTTGCCAGATGGCGCAGTGGCCCAGCAGGTTACGCAGTGACATTCAGGATGGCAAATCGAAGTGCTAAGCTTTCAGGGATAGGCAATGTGGCATAGACTGCCAATCATTGTTTGGCCGTGGCGTCTGATGTAATTTGAGCACGCGACACAAATCCTCGGCCAAGCTTTGGCTACACAACTCTACTCAAGGAGCAGATCGCCCATCTTTTGCTTCGTCTATGCTGCAAAGTGGTTGCCTTTGCGCGGTCTGCATTCACAAAATGATCCTCAGGCCAATTTTCGAAGCAGAGCGTAATTTTGTGCACCGTCATTGAGTTCAGCAAGCGGCAAGCTGCGTACACTAGCGCCACAATCTCTCGAGACGATCTCGTCATTACCCCAGTGTGGCCGGAGGAGATTCTCCAGCAAGACGTCAACGTCTGTACAGTGCCTGCAGCGGCCTCATAACCACATTGGATGCTGGAATTATAAACCAAAATGCTTGCCTAACGACGTAGCGGATGGTAGGAATTGTTCACTTTGTAACCGTATATTACATGTTATACAGGAGTTTATAGTTTACATCCCAGCACCCCTATTTGACCACGCTTATGGCTTGCCTTCCAGATCCGAGTAGAAATTCCATCCAAAATTACCCGATGGATCATTGAATCTGATCTTCTTGTCAAGACCATCGATCTTAGCCACATCCTCAGCATCAAGCTTGAAATCTCCCTCGAAATTGGCCTTTATTCTCGCAGGAGTTTTGCTCTTGGGAATTACGGAGTGGCCTTTGCTGATACCCCAGGCTAAAGCAACCTGAGCACCGTTCTTGCCGTGTTTCTTTCCGATCTCGGTGAGTACTGGATCGTCGATGAGCTTGCCCATCTGCTGTCCTTTGGAGTAGATCTCATTCTGGTTACCAAATGGCGAGTAATGGGTTACGTGAATACCCTGCTGCTTGTGCCAGTCTCCGAACGACTTCTGAACAAGGTATGGGTGCATTTCCATCTGGTGGACGGCTGGCTTGATGTTGGCTTTGCTGATCAAACGTTCCATTTCTCCTTTGCTGAAGTTACTGACACCTATCGCCTTTGCCTTGCCCTTCTCTTGAAGTTTCTCCATTGCGTGCCAAGTATCGATATAATCGGTATCGCCTGTCTTGGTCTTATCGCCCTCTTTCGGAAACAATGAATCCGATCGTGCGAACGGCGAAGGCCAGTGCATAAGGTAGAGATCGACATAATCGGTGTTGAGGTCTTTCAGTGAAGCATCGAGTTGCTTTTCAACATCGTCCGGGTGGTGTGCGTTGTTCCACAGTTTTGTCACAATGAAGAGCTCGTTTCGTGGTACACCAGCCTTTCGGATGCCAGCTGCGACGCCTGGCTCGGTGCCATAGACTCGCGCAGTATCGATGTGTCGATAGCCAGCTTTAACGGCCTCGTTGACAGCATCCTCCTGTGCATCCTTGTCTTGCCATGTGCCAAACCCCAGCGCCGGGATATCGGCGCCGGTGTTGAGTTTGTGTAGAGTTCCTGGATATGTGAATGACATGTTTCTGGTCTGTATATGTCGTGTGGTCGAGTTCAATCGTCTAGAAACTAGTTGAGCTGTGCGCGAATACATAGTTAATATAACAAACAGGCAAGCTAAATCGAATTACGCAAGAACAGAAAAAATTCGAGGACAACGCAGTTGAGGGTCGAGATGGATTACAGGCTCGTCCAATCAGGAAAGCAAAGCAGTTGAGGTTTGAGGATGAGTCCCGGTATGAAGGATGATCAACACTTTGGTTCGTGTACAGCTGTAAATATTTCCACATCATGACGTGCATGGAGTCTCAGATACGGCGTCGCAAGGAGGAAACAGCGGTATTTCAGTAGTATCAAGCTTCGAGAAGCTTGATCGGAGGACAAGCACGAGACTTCGATGAGATGCGAAAGGATGACATCATCTAGTAAAATGCTACCACCAATTCAGCTTCAGGCAATAGAGCATTGAAGCACTGTCTAATAATTAGCCATGGATCAAGGCCGATCACAGTAGAAGGACCTGTTATCATGCGTACTGATGCCCTTGTAACCCCATGTCTGGCTTGGTGATGCTGGAGACGAAAGCGCTGGGACATCCATCACCTATTCGTATCGACAGCTCTTGCACTGGGGAAAGACACTATGCGTCGTCGTGACTGCTTCCGTCACACGACACCAACTCGTTGGCGTACTTGTAATGGTAAAGAGTAGCGACCGACTGGTAGCACGTGTTAGAATTTGATGCTGTGACTGGATGCCGAAGTCAGGCATCACCACTCGAGGATGGCTCATTACATACAGAGAATTGAGATGTTAACGAGAACAATCAGCTGCCATGCTCGTGGGTGTGAGCTTGACAGAGTTCAAACACTCACAGAGGACTCGGTAGCAAGTTCGATGCTGAGAGTCTGCTCTTGTGACTCTCCAGATCAGTGAACAAAACGAGGCGAACCTGGACCCAGAGACCTCCACCAAGCACGCCTACAAACTGCTGGCCAATCGCTAAATCTGCTAGCAACTTGAACCCTAAGAGGACCCTGGTTCTCGGGACAAGGTGCGGAGCGTGACGCAAAAGAAACGCGTTCCAGGCAACAAAGAATATTGGATTGTGCAGCTGCGCACGCTCTCGTTGCGTTTTCCTTGTCAACTGCGAACGTTCTGCTGGTCCTTCTGCTGAGAGCTGACATGTAACCAGCTTTGCATCTAGCATGTGTTAATAGCGATGTTTCGCTACATATGCAGTCTTTTGCTTCTTACAGGCTTCACAACAGCACTGCCACCGATACCTACTGTCCAAGATGTTCTTAACGTACCTCATGCTGGCCTGGAACCGGCGCAGCACAGAAAGTTGCAGGGAAAGTTCCTTCACATCACCGACATCCACCCCGACCCATTCTACCAGCAGGGGAGCGACCCAGGCGGTGAACACCCTTGCCATAGAGGAGAAGGCAGGGCCGGTTACTTCGGAGCCGAGTCAACAGAATGTGATGCCCCAATCTCATTGATCAATGCAACATTCGACTGGATCAAGCACAATATCAGAGATGAGATCGATTTTGTGATCTGGACTGGGGACTCCGCGAGACACGATAATGACGAGCTCTATCCACGAACCAACAAACAGGTTGAGCAGTTGAATGAGTTCATGGTCAGTAAGTTCGACGAAGTTTTCGGCAAGCCAGATAACAGACACGATCCCGATCCTACCAACGATTTTATTACACCCATCGTGCCGACCTTTGGCAACAACGATATACTGCCTCACAACATTTTCGAGCCGGGTCCAAACCGGTGGACCAGAAAGTACTTGACAATATGGGAGAAGTTTGTGCCGCAGGAACAACGGCATTCTTTCGCAAGAGGTGGTTGGTTCTTTACTGAAGTCATTCCGAAAAGATTGGCAGTCTTCAGCTTGAATACTTTGTACTTTTTCGATTCGAACGCCGCAGTCGATGGTTGCGACAACCCGCACGAGCCAGGATATGAGCATTTTGAGTGGCTTCGCATTCAGTTGCAGTTTCTTCGAGAGCGAAAAATGAAAGCTATACTCATGGGTCACGTACCACCAGCACGTACACAAACTAAACGCAGCTGGGATGAAACTTGTTACCAAAAATATAATCTATGGCTGCGACAGTATCGGGATGTGATTATTGGGAATTTGTTTGGCCACATGAACATCGACCACATTATGCTACAGGACGTCAAGGAGCTACAGTACAAGTTCAAAATACCTGGCATAGACGATGAAGGGCTCCACGATGAGCTAGGAAATCTCAAACAGCCTCTTCATACGACAGCCAAGACGGACTATCTGTCTGATCTGAGAGATTTGTGGACGGATTTGCCAACACCACCAAAAGGGTTCTCATACGACTCGACTGATTTGTACGAGCCAGCGTTCAAAGACAGCAAGAACCAGCATGCGATTGAGAAGTTCATTAGGAGAATAGGTGGGAAATATGGCGAGCGTTTCAGCCTGAGCATGGTCGCGCCCAGTGTCGTGCCAAACTTCTACCCTACACTTCGTATTGTCGAATACAACATCACTGGTCTAGAACACGAGCACCCAGCTTCTACACCCGCATCACCAGGTTATATAGAGACCGTCGACCTTCAGGAGTTCGAGCTTGAACATAGTTCACCAGGCCCCTGGATACATACTGAGGACTCCGAAAACGATCTCAGCCTCGAATATACTTACAGGGCGGAGAGAAGGAAAAGGAAGAAACACAAGAAGCCGAAGCCGAATTTCGTTGTGCCGATGCCACCTTCCAAGAATGCGCCACCAGGACCAGGCTATTCACCACAATCCCTGTCTTTTCTCTCCATGAAGCAGTACTACTCGAACATCACGAAGATCAACGATGCCGTCGTCGCGAAATTAAGCAGTATAGACGAATTGCACGTGCAGCATCGTTCGAAGGACGAAGTTCTTCGCGAAACCCTGAAACAAGAGTTCGCCTACGAGCTAGAGTATGATACGAAGAACGATAAGGTATACAGAATGAAAGACCTTACGATGCGTTCATGGTTAGGCATTGCTGAAAAGATTGGCCGAACAGAATACGAGCCACAAGACACAACAGCAGAACACGTTGATTTGTTTGAGATTGGAGACGAATGTGACGGAGACAGTGACGAAGATGCAGAGTCGTCAATAAAGAAGAAGCACAAGAAAGGCAAGAAGCGTAAGAACAAGAATATCAAGAAAAACAAATTGTGGCATACATTTGTCAAACGAGCGTTTGTCGGGACGAAATCAGATGAGGAGCTAGAGGAAGAATTTGGATAGAACAACGTGCATGAGCTAATCACCTCAGAATCACATATATTTCTTGCCTGCCTGTATTTTGGTGGCAGCGTGAACACCTTCAAAGTTCGTGGAATGGTATATGTATAGAGTCATCATTTAATTCATCGTTCACATTCGTGCCGTAGGTCTCAACAGATGGGTGTCCTTTCTCCTACAAAATCATGATAAAACATGCTCAGCGCAATATCATCCTCTCTCCCATAGTCTCCTGAAAGAGCATTCTCATCCTCTTCAGCAGCATCGCAATATCCCTGCACTCATTCAATCTGGTCACCACCTTCTTGATCGCCTCACTCTCCAACCTCGGTTTCGTATACACGACCTCATATCCTCCACTCCCACAATCCGGCACCTGCAACTCGAACATAGCCTGTTGCTCTTCCTGCTGGCCCCTAGCCGGCGCAAAAGTATACGTGACTCTTATCAGTCCATCCTCTCCACCACCATTGATCGTGGTTCCTAGATATGTCTCCCAAAACTGCAGCTCGGGACCGTTTAGTGCAGACTGGGTGGCTAACTTTTCAGCGTAGGCCTTTTGTGCCGCTACTTTCGTGTCGATGGCGCGCTGCGTGCTCGCTATAGCGGATTTGATCTGGTCGCGGTGAGTGCGTTGGGAATCGGCGTGAGATTGGAGCGAGGTGATTTGTGATTGAATCTCGGATTTTTCGTGGGCTTCTCGTCCGAGGATGTGGTTGTGTGATGCTAGAGAGGAGTGGAGAGAGTGTATCTGTTGTGAGGCGGACTTTTGTTCTTCTGTTGCGGAACGTTTAGTCTCAAACTATATGGGTGAAAGACCATTGAATGTGATTGTGCTTACCATTCAGTTCTGACAGACGCGCTCGAAATGAATTGCGTTCTGAGAGGACTTGTCGACGTCCGCGCTCAATATACGCGTCGAATTTTGTAGTGAACTCATTCATGCGCCGCCGTAGATCGTCAAAGTTGAAGTTCGGCGCGGGTAATTGTGTTAGATGTGATTCTGAATACGAGAAGGAGGCGTTTTGTTGCGATTGTGCTTGAGACGTGCGAAAGTCGGACTGCGAAGTGCTGAACATCGGTTGAGACATCGTTGTAGACATGTTGTTCTGCAAGTATGGTAGAGAGGTTGAATGATTCACACACGACGACAGGTATATTCTTTATGTCTGCTTGGTGGACAACGATGCAAATGGCCTGAGGTAAACAGTTTTCCGAACTAGGTATAGCTTGTGCTGCGTGGTAAGCCACGAACTTGGTACACTGCAGGTTCGTAGAATTGGCTAGGACCAACTCCACCAGCTCTTCTGCATGGCTGTCCATCTTATCTCTTTATCATAAGATACCAATTATGCTGTCCACCCTGTTGTTCGAAAGTTGCGGCAGTTTCGTCGCTACCACGTTGGGTGATAGTAACAGTGCCGTCTTTCCGATTGGTGGGTAGCTGGACCTTTTTGCAGCTCCTTGTAGCATCAATATCAGAATGACCTTCACCAGTTATGCTACACATCAATTATCTTGCTGGGGCTGCTTCAACATGCCCTTCATGACCTAGGCGCACGCTTTCTATGCCGTGATGCCACAATCAACAGCTGCTGAGGGCAATGTCCGCCCCAAGCCTCCTCGACGCTTTTCTTCACATATGCGCCAGCACCGTGGCTCACCAGCGGCAACAAGCTACGGTACCTTTGGAACTATTGGCCATAACCTGACATCGACAGGCAGAACGAATGCCGAGATTGATACTCTTCTTGAACAGATACACGAAGAAGATGAACATGCAGATTCTGACGGTCTCTACCCACCAAATTGTAGCTGGACAGCAGATGGACGAAGGCCAGTTGGAACCGATCTGTTCAACCACGACGAATGGCCAGTGTACAAGAACATTCACGGAGTACGCCATGAGATTATTAACAGTATCGATGACCCCTACTCGCTTGAACAGCTGAAGGCACCCCGAATGAATATTAGTGTTGTACGCCCACTCGTCGACCAATTTTATGAGAGTCAAGATCTCAGTATTGTCTATTGTCTACTTGTCAACCGCTTCCAATTCTTTCGCGAACAGTCCTTTGCGGCACACCATCAGACTGTCAACCTGACACGAGCACTTCTCTGTGAGATTGTGGCAGAGAAGGTCTTGCGACGGTACAATGAGCGTAATCCTGGACCAAAAGGCCTCCTGAAACTTGCGAACATTCTGGTTGCTGCATTCGAACCATTTCAAAATGCTCCTGACGATGTTGTTAAGAACAATTATCACGTTATGCACTACATGCGAAAGAAGGGTGGCAAGATGGAAAAGGGCATGACTGCCTTGGAGGTCGCGATTATCAGTGAAAGCAAATCCTTCCTCGCCAGTAGCGCTTGCCAGAAAGTGGTCGATGCTATTTACCGAGGCAAGATAGTCTATACTCCTAACAGCTTTTTGGACATTCTGCCGGATTACTGGAAGAAAAGGCCTGTATCCTTGTATGACCCTCGGCGTGGTCCTTTACTCAACCAGTATCGCTTGGCGGTTCCGAGGACGAGGAGTGTGATTGAAATAAGCCAGTATTTCATTCTTCTTGTCCTCTACCTTCTCGTTATGGAAAGCCGAGAATCCCGTCAGACGACGACTTATAGGCCGTTGGAGATGGTCTTCGACGTATATACTTGGGGCTGGGTACTAGACCAAGTTGCTTCTATGCTTGAACATGGCTGGTCAGTCTATACACAAAATCTGTGGTCATTTCTTGACGTTATGTTCTGTGCGATCTTTGTGTTCTATTTCTGGGTTCGCATGTACGCACTAGGTCACGACGACTTGGAGCAGGCTCAAGACTGGGCACGGTTGGCTTTAGATGCTCTGAGCTGTGCTGCACCAATCCTTATACCACGACTTGCATTCAATCTGTTATCAGACAATTTGGTATTCTTGTGCCTAAGAGACATGCTCGCAAATTTTGTCACCTTGGTCTTCATGGCCTCCTGGTGCTTTGTTGGGTTCTTGCTGTCCTTGAAATGGATCCATAACGGCCTCCATGAACCAGTGACGATCGGAAAATGGATGATCTGGATTTGGTTCGGTCTGGATGGTACTGGAATACAGAAAAGCCCCAGCTTTCACTGGTTCTTGGGGCCTATGATCATGATTCTGTTCGCCTTTTTGGGTAACACTTTGTTCGTTACAATCTTGGTGTCCATGCTGTCAAATACATTCAGCAAAATATCGGCGAACGCTGTGCAGGAGATGCAGTATAGACGGGCTGTGTTGACTTTCGAAGGAGTCAAGGCTGATGTAAGTTTCTCACATTCCTAAAGAAAACCAGGTTACATGGATTGCAAGGTTGCTCTCTTCTACTATGGCACGTTCTCACTGATTATTACAGGCACTCTTCTCCTATATGCCACCTCTGAACCTCTTCGCACTACTCTTCATCCTTCCCCTCAAATTTGTTCTAACCCCCAGATGGTTCCACAAGGTCAACGTCTTTTGTGTGAAGATATTCAATGCGCCTCTGCTGATCCTCATCAGCCTCTATGAGAGACGCGTCTTGTGGGTATCGAGCAAGTATAAACGAATGAGAGCACGGGATATAGATTGGAACAGCCCTGATGGACCACATACAAAGCTTGGCTGGTTGTCTAGGAACATCAAGTACTACAGCCTTTCACGCTTCAGTGCGCACGGTGATCTAGAGGCTGTCTTTGACGAAGTGCCTGCACAGACTGCGCAAGATGCAGAACATGAAGAAGGTATTGGTAGATCCCTAAGAGAAGGATTTGTCAAGCAGTTTGACCAGAAGAAGAGATCTGAGAATCTGAAACGAAGCTTAATGAGCACAATCTCTTCGTCTCTGAAGAAAGAGTTCAATACTGATTCTGATGACGGAGATGATGAGGATGAAGCACCAAAAGGCTATTCGAAAGTGAAAAGAAATGCAAGGAAAGACTCATTAATGGACTTCAACGAGAACAATACAAGTATGACCGAGGCCAATGCACGGCTGCATTCGCTGGAGGAAAGCATGGTGAGAATCGAGGCGCTTCTGTTGCAGCTGACGAACGGTGAGGCGAGCGATGAGCCTATTGGCGAGGATGATGCGCCAGAAGTTGACGACGCACCTCCTGGTGCTGCAGATTAACAAGTAGGGAAGTCTCCCGGAAGAATTCTTGTCTCGACTTCCCATGGCAGACTTCCTGTGGCATTTGGCTGCAGGCGTGCTTGGTGCTAGAATTCCGCGAGAATACACGCTTTAGCAAACCCTGTCATTAAATATTGTATTTATGCTTAGCGCTGGTTACAGTGTCTGGTTAGACATCCCTCTAGCAGACATGCGACCACGGCTTTTGTCATTACATTATGTAGATTACTTCCTGTTCTAGGTGCCTCCGCCCTGGGGTTTCTTGGGCAGCCGTACCCGGCATTCATACCCATCCAAGTGGCGTACGATACAGTAATAAGTTCACGTTACAATACGGTGATCCTTATCACCTGCCAATTTTCGGTGTCAGACACGATATCACTCATATGGAGCTGGCGACGATGGACAAGAACTCAATCGGTCGCTGACGACGAAACTAACATGAAGCTGAGTCCGTAACCCTCATGAAAGAACTGGGAAATGGCCACCGACTCCAGGCAGAAATGAGTGAGTCATGGCGCAACCTTTCCTGTCGAACTCTTGAAACATCACTCAAGTGAATCCAAAGCTACACTCATTCCGACCGAAGCTTTAGTTATGCATCCCCTCGACATCACTCACCTGCTTTACTACCTTGGGTAGAAGAATGCCGGGACACAGACCTGCAGGGATTTCACATCTAGCCAAATACAGTAGAAACGGGTGATCCTCCGGTCAGATTCAGAACGATCACGACGCAATATCGACTTAAATCTCGGTCACACACACCATGAACATGCCTTCGATCAAGCCTGTGGTCCTCGATGGTTCGACCCTCGAAGGTGGTGGACAACTCGTACGCGTGGCCCTTACGCTCTCGGCTATCACAGGTATACCAGTGTCAATACACAACATCCGTGCCAATAGGGCGCCGCATGGTCATCGAAGCTCTCATCAAAGCAAACGAAACGACGTAAATCACAACAAAGCAAAGTTTGAGGGAGGTTTGAAGGAGAGTCATTTGGCTGCACTAAAATGGCTGGCATATCAGTGCGACGCCTATGTTGAAGGCGCAGAAGTTGGGAGTCGAGAATGTGTTTTCGTGCCTGGAAAAGGGAGTGTATCGGCAAGAAGTAACAGGCAGGAGACGACAATTAGACAGGGGGACAATTCAGGTTCATCGAATTTCGATGGGAATGTGATTGAGCTACACAGTCCAGGCAGCGTATGGCTGATTCTACAGGCACTATTGCCTTACCTCATATTCGGTAGACAGCAGGTACAGAGTGAGACAGATACACTGGCACAAGAAGCATACACCGAACTCGTTCTTCGAGGCGGTACAAACGTGTCTAAATCAATGTCAGGTGAATATGTCCAGCAGGTCTTGCTGCCAACACTACACAACATTGGTTTACCAAAGATCGATGTCGAAGTAGTCAAACGTGGCTGGGCAGGCAATGCACCTGCAATTGGTGAAGTCAAAGTTCGTGTTCCCCAGCCGCCTCCTGGCGGGTTCAAGTTGCCCCCATTTGAGATCACCGAGTGGGGATATATCGATCACATATCGGTGAGCATCGTTGCTGGCTCGGCTAACGCGCGGCATACGCTGAAGGCCGAGCTCGAGAACACGATAGCCGAGCATTTCGGTCGAGACCTGATGATAGTCTTCGTACCTGGGGAGGATTCGGGAGACTCGCGTCGTTTGTATATTCTGCTAGTTGCACACACCAGCACCAACAGGGTGTTAGGGCGCGACTTCCTGGGAACAGGGAAGAGGCCAAAGAATGCTACTGAGGAAGTGAGGATCTTGCAGGGTGCTTGTCAAACTATAGTCAAGGATCTAAAGAAAGAGATCGAGGGAGATCATTGCGTTGACGAGTACCTGCAGGACCAGTTAGTCGTCTTCCAAGCGCTTGCCAGCGGCAGGAACGTGGTCGATGGTTGGAGCGGAAGAGATGTAGAGCAAAGAGAAGGTCACGATGAGGAGTGTGGAGACACAGGTGGTAGTCTTCACACCAGGACTATAAGATGGGTTTGTAGGAAGATGATGTCGAGGCTTCAGGGAGGTGTTGAATTCGAGGCAGGTGGCATTTGCACTGGCATCAGCCAAGGCTAATATGCAGAGGTACAATCCGAGTGCGGCGTCAGTCTCGAGTGCTTAGATGAAAACGTAGACCCTGAAACATGAACATCGACGGTCAGATGCTGATATAGGTTTGATCTCGACGACTTTTGAAAAGCAACTCGGCGCAAACATGCTTGGAAAGACTGAGAAGTGCGAATGCCTCAGGCATATAATATTCTTGGGGTTCGCTGTGCAATGTGAGTGCCGAAGATTTCGCAGAGCGGAGAAAAAAGTTCAGTCCTTGAGACGCTTGAGCTTCACGAGTTCAACAATAACATACACAAGCTGGCGAAATGGCGGAAAAGAAGCGCAAAGGTAAGCAAAGTTACATGGTGTTCGTGAAGCCATGCTAGTGCTCTGATGTGGTGATATTATGTCTCCGCGATTCTAGCTGACTTTGACAGTAGTGGATTCGACGACAAGCACTCAGGCTGTGAAAAAGGCAAAGAAGAGCACCAAGTCCGAAAGCCAAAAAGTTGACAATGCGAAAGCCTCGGAAGTGATCACTGCCACAACTTCGAACGTCGATACTGTGCCTGCCGTGAAGAAGAAGGCAAGGAAGAGAGCCGCTGATTTCCTCGACGACGAACCAGAGACTACCTTGCCTAAGAAAAACAAGAGGCCTATAGGAAATGGCGTTGTTGAGCCAGCGTCACTCACGGCTGATGGGGTAAACGGTGTGGTTGAGCATTCAGATGACGAAGATATTACGATCACCACTTCGAAGCAGCCTAAGCGCAAGTCGATGATGGCCGAAGCTGAGCGCACACAAGATCAAGAGATGGAGGATGAGTTTGGCAAGGATGATGAGGAGGATGAACAGGTGGATATCGACGCCGCTCCGGCACTCTTGACTGGGTTCGATTCCGAAAGTGAGGACTTAGCAGAAGATAAGAGCTTCGATGCGACCAAAGTCCAACCTATACCGCAATTCAAGAAGACCAGCAAGAAGTTGCGTAAGGCGAAGGAGACCCCAAGCGACGGTCCAGGCGTCGTGTATATCGGCAGGATACCGCATGGATTTTACGAATCTCAAATGCGCGAATACTTCTCTCAATTTGGGGACATTTCACGATTACGGCTATCGCGGAGCAAAAAGACCGGTGCCAGCAAGCACTTTGCTTTCGTTGAATTCACGAGCGACGAAGTTGCCAAAATTGTTGCTGAAACAATGGACAACTATCTCATGTTTGGCCACATCCTGAAGTGCAAATATGCTCCTGAAGGCTCCCTACATCCTGATGTATGGAAAGGCGCAAACAAGAAGTTCCGGAAGATACCACATCACAAGCTTGCGAGACAAAAAGCTGAACAGCCGAAGACAGATGAGCAGATTGCCAAGAAGATGAAGAAGGAGCAAGCTAAAAGAGTGGCAAAGGTGGAGAAACTGAAGCAAATAGGATATGAATTTGAGCTGCCCGAGCTTAGGAAGCCCGAGGAGAGAGTACAAGTCGAGGACGAGCAGAAACAGCCGGTTATCGAAGACAAGGTGGAAGGTGCGATCGTACCACCACCGACAGTACCCAAGGACGAACTTGCTACCAAGGTCGAGGATGATGCCAAAAAATCGAAAAAGCCAAAACAGACCAAAGCGCCAGTTGCAGCTGAGAAGGAGGCATCAGTCAAGGTACCGTCAAAGAGTAAAAGTACGAAGGAGAAGCCGCTACCTGCGAAAAAGGACAAGCAGTTGAAGGGTATCTTGAAGAAACCGAAGAAAGCTTGAGCTGTCATAGGTAAATCGTGTGCGTTGATCAATGGAGGGTTGATAATAGCAAGATAACGAAGCGAACTTTTGCACGATTATTGCATTGCTATGCCTTGTGATGCTGCCAATTGCAGCATATATATGCTCGTGTCTGTGTCGCGCCTGCCTACTTGAAGAAGCAGCGAATCAGCAATTCACTGGCAGCACTATGTAAAACCCTACCAAAAAGACGCATGCTCGTGCAAGCGTTTCACAAAACGTCTCTTCGATAGATTGGGATGCCTCTCAAAAAGCAAACCTCGTTCACAAAGAACAATTGCTTCAGAGATAAAAAGAAAAATGCTTACGCAACAACTCTAAAGTCCAGCACAATTCAAGCCTATTACGAACAAGCTTTTACGAAGTGCTTCGGTGCCCGTTGCAGCTCACGCTTTGATCTGATTCAGTCCTAGAAAGGTATAGTTGGTAGCGTGTACACGTTACGATTGGCCCACCACATCCTCCACGAGTCTCGCTCTCCAGATCAGTGACAAGCATTTTTGGCGGTCACGATGAAGTCTTCAGCTTGTACGAAGACGCGCCCACGAAACCCCCGAGCGGGCGAAGCTGAAAGCGAGAAGTCGCTGACTTCGAACATGACAATTTTCTCTCAACGGCTGAACTGCTTTCATCGCATAAGAACGAACCGATGTCACTTTCGGTCGCCAGCATTACTGGTGTTTGCTGCATACTAGGCGGAGTTTGCTGAATATCAGTGGAATGGCTACTTTTCAGCACGAAGATCGTATACCGTCTTTGAGCAGTGACCAAACAACATTGAATGGTCGTCGTGACAGACATGAAGATATGACTCTTTCAGATGAAGAGAAAACTGGTGATCCAGTGACCGGCAATGACATCGATGCTAGTGACAAAGAGAAAACGTTAGATACGCCCAAAAAAGACCAACAGACACAGAAACCTGCTGGTCCTCCACCGCCACCTAATGGAGGATTGACAGCATGGTTGCATGTCCTTGGCGGCTTTATGCTGTTCTTCAACACATGGTAAGTTCTCAATCTACAAAGAGTGTTGGACAGTCCTACCTCTACTGAAGACGAAGTTAATCAAGAACAGGGGTATACTCAACACATTCGGAATATACCAAACATATTACGAAAGCGGTGTTCTCTTCAGAGAAACCTCTTCCAACATATCATGGATTGGCGCCATCCAAGCATACATGGTATTATTCGTCGGCTTTCTCTCAGGACCAATCTATGATCGAGGGTACTTTCGTGTTCTCCTCGCTGTTGGCTCTTTCGGAGTTGTCTTCGGCCACATGATGCTCAGTATCAGCAATACCTTCTGGCAAGTCCTTCTCTCACAAGGATTTTGTGTCGGTATTGGTGCTGGCTGCTTGTTCGTCCCTTGCGTTGCCATTTTACCTGCGTACTGGAGCACGAAGCTCGGCCTCGCAGTTGGTCTGGCGGCGGCTGGATCCAGTATGGGTGGTGTCATCTATCCAATCGTGTTCTACAAGCTCATCGACCAGGTTGGATTCGGGTGGTCGACACGTGTCATCGGCTTTATCGCGCTGATCACTCTCATAATTCCTAACGTCGTCATGAAGATGCGCTTCAAGCCACCAAAAGCACGAGCATTGATCGATTGGAGCGCGTTCACCGATGGACCATACATAGTATGTGTCCTTGGTGCTATGGTCGGTTTCATCGGCTTATACGTCCTATTCTTCTACATCAGCTATTACGGCCAAGCAACGGGCATCACGGATGCCGCAATGAGTTTCTATATCGTGCCTATCCTCAATGCCGCCAGCACGTTTGGCCGAGTACTGCCTAATGCCCTCTCTGACAAGACTGGTCCACTCAACCTAATTATGCCAGGTGCACTAATCGTCGGTATCCTTGCCTTCTGCATGATAGCCGTCAACAGCGTAGGCGCCATCGTCGTTCTCGCCATCCTCCTCGGCTTTTTCTCGGGAGTTTTCATCGCCTTGCCGCCGGTGTTGTTTGTGGCGCTAACGAAGGACAAAACAAAGATCGGTAGCAGGATTGGGATGGGTTTTGGAGTCCTGGGTTTTGGTGTTTTGGCCGGAGGCCCAGGCGGGGGTGCTCTGCTCGGCGATGAATCGTCTGACTTGAATTGGTCGGGAACGTGGGCCTATGCTGGTGCTACAGCTGTAGCAAGTGGTGCTATATTCCTGGTTGTGAGAGTGTGGAAGGTGGGATGGAAGCTGAAAGCGAAGGTCTAGAAGACAAAAGTACCCGCTTGCAACAGAGATTCGTGGATCCAAATCTCGACTGAAGTGTAGTAGCGCCTTTAGCAACCATTCATCCTTCGTATTTGCTCAACTCCATATGTACATACCTTGTCGAGGGGATGACGGAAAAAACTTGAACCTCGTCACACCTTCCTCGCTCGTCGATAGGCGAGATATCAGGGTTTACCGGCTTGAACCAGTGCCAGAACTCACCGTTCATTAAGGAGCAACCACCTATTAGTCGATTAGGCTGGTATGACGAGGTCCATGTTTTTCCCGTCACCAAGTAGCATGCCTGTGGGACTGTGGGGACTCTGCTCTATGTTGCAGTCGTTGATGAATTCGTGGTTTGAGGTCCGATATTTCCCTTGAAACGGGCAAGACCAGAGATGTGAAATCTTCAATGGCACAACAGTCTCAAAGTCTTATGTGAGCCGCTGTCTTTTCTGCGCTGCTCTTTCATCTTCTGCTTCTTGAGAAAACACATCACTTCCTTCCAGAGCACACTGGTCATTCATAATCTCGTCTGGAAGGTGTCTCTTGTTCACTGCAGGCACTGAGGGCAAAGAAGGCGCTAGCTTCGGCACATCCTGCGGCGTAAACATCGTTCTACCAGGCACCACGCAGTAAGCTGGATCATAGCCGTAATAATAGTTATTGCCCATCTGGACGCAAGCAGAACCTCGAATTGAAGAAGAAGGATAAAAGTTGCCAGCGTGGTGTGAGATTGTCCGAGAAGAATTTTTGGAAAGAGACCATTCGGAAGACTCGTTGGCTGTATCGCGTTCCTCAAGGCTGGATCCTATACCGCTGTCGTGGAAGGATGGATCCAAGTCTTTGGCGGGCACGATACATGAGGGCGTGCCCAGAACCGGCCCCGCGTCACTCAAATAGTATTGCAAGGTTGCATTGTGGCCGAATACAACGGCACCTTGGGCATTCCTAGGAAGGTCAAAGGCGTGCTGAGATTGAGGTAGAACCCCACGGTGTCTCTGTGGCCATGCTGTCTGTATGTATGCAGCACCACATGTCCGCTTTTCGTGATCTCGACAGCCGCAATGGTCGGCTGATGGGTTGGCGCTGAACCATACCGTAGCTGGGTTCCGACTCAAGAGTGGCGGACAAAGGTTGGGATTTCCTTTCGTTTCGATTATCCGACAGACATCCGCAACGCTTACGGCAACAAGATATGAGTTGCTTGGCAACGATCTCCAGCCCTCGCAGCATGGCGATGAGCTCGGCTTGATGAGTTCACCGAACCCTTCAGCAAAAAGCGTTACGACATCCAGAGATCGGAGAAGACCAACCCAGCTTTGACCTGCAGGTGGCAAGATCTCAACGCAGGGATCAATGATTGATGCTTGGTTGGCGAGTTCCACGAAGTCCCAACCTTCAAGATACTTCAACGATCTGCTCTGCCTAGCTTGTCGGCTTATGCGTGCGGCTTGTTGCTGGTATGTCAAGGCTTTCTCCAATGCGTAGTAGAGCTCAACCACTCGATCTTCCACTAACTCATATTCATCTTGTTGCTCTGTATGTGAGCATTTCCTGGTACTGAAGAAGGATTTTGATATCTTCTGTTTCAGATTGGATTCATTCCCGAAAAATTCTTTGGCAGCATCACTGACATAGGGAGATTCAGCCTCTTTTAAGTGTGTCCAATTGAATAGGAACGCTGAGCCAACTGACTCACGCTCCTCGTGTCTGAGAGAAGTACGTAAGAGATGCAGAAGTACATTTACCCCGTTGACTAGCCAGCCTCTAGTAGTTTTCGTGTCCCACAACATCACGAACCTACTGGAGAGCCATTTGAGGGTTTTCGAGAGGCCTTTCTGTCTGAGATGGATGGATTCATGCTGCTTTGGTATCGAAAAGGTCAAGGGATCGTGGATATAATTGCCACTTATTATTGACGAGTCCGTAAGCATCCCGTCATTTCTCACTCCAGGTAACCGAGCCGACTGCATGTCGTATTGATTTCTGGGAGCGCCAGTATATATCCCGGCATCAGAGCACCAACCGACGATATGCCTGTACTTATTGAGATTGTCCTTAGAGATTTGAAGGATATTCTGCTGACCATGATCAAGATAAGACATGTGATCACCAGATTCATCGCAACACAGATGCCAGACGAGAGCATCAGTACCGAGAAGTCGTGTAGGCACGAGCATAGCTGAGAAACCTTTTATGTAAATATTTCCAGCAAATTCCTGCACATAATCGGTTCCCACGAAATTGGCCATGATCTTGAGAGGCACTTCCAAACCGCTTTGCATCTCAGGTCGCTTGAGAATTGGATAATCCTTGACTATGGCAAGCCCACGAAGCAATGGACGCCAGCATAGGCCGTTGTTCACTGGTACCGACACAATACGTTCGAAGTCGAAAGTAATACTGAATAGAAAACAGCTTTTTTGCTCATCTGATGCTTGATCATAATGATGGCGGGCCTCCAGTAGCTCAACCTTTGAGCGATCATGTAGTGTGCCAGGCGTACTCACGGGTGAAATTACGGACTGGCTTCTGTTACCGTATAAGCTGTCCGATGTACTACTAAGGCCGAGGTACTGGATAGAAGGTACACAATACCAAGTGTCCCCAGTTGAAGGTGGAACGCGGAAGGCAGCCCCAAGCCAAGCCAACTGTTCTGCAATTTCAGCTACCGCACCACGGGCACCCTTGATCATGACTTTTAGTGTCGGATAAATCTGCTGTATGGCAATCGTTGCGCCGTCTGGACGTGTGTGCAACGGTAGTGGTGGCGCTGAAGCTGATTGAAGAGCGTGGTCTATAACGTTCACCAGAAAGCCTCCACCTTCAGGCCATACCTGCTCAACATACTGAACGCAAGTTAGAGCTTGAAGCTCCCTTACAGTCCCAGTAAGTGTGATAAAGCTTCCCACGGAGCAGAAAAGAGCCGAGGAACCCAACACTTGCTGTTGCATGTATGACAACGGTGACCAGTCGACCTCAATAATAGTTTCGCTCAGACGCAATGCTGTACTCCTGTGTAGCATCTTCGCTTTCGGTAAATGATGTAGTACGAGCGAGGAAATACTTTTCTCCACCTGCTGCCCGTCATTCGTGAGAAGAACATCACCACGTATCTTACCGAGCAACCACCTGTATGAGGGATGTGTGGCAGCCTGGTGTGCATATGCCTCGTAATCGTGGTTCACGTCGGTATCATCATCGATGAGGATTTCGTCGGTAACATTCGATGACTGCGGCTCGTCTGGTGGGTCTTTCTCATTGCGTTCGAACCACACCTGCATCAATTCCTCCAGTAACATCCCATTACCAGAGTCTCTGACAGAAAGATCATCCTCGCTCTTTTGGTCATTCTGGTTTTGTATCTCGTGCTCTATTGACTTAGAGATGGCAGACCTGTATTTGTGGATGAACCATCCAGCGTTTATGATACCTTGAGCGTTACAGTTTTGGAGAAGTCTCACAGCGAAGTCTGCGAGCATGTCCGGCAAAGCATTACACAAGGTGGGGTTAATACATAGATTGAGACCTTTGAGCACACTGTCCTGAACAAGACGGTTTGCGAACCTGTGGACAAAATCGCCCCTGCGTGTTGATTCGACACTTGCACCAGAGTAAATAGTACGTGAATCGTCCATTCCAGAACCTCCTGTATTGTCTGATAATTCGTGTACATGGCTATCTTGCGGCTTTGGAATTGGGTTCAAGGAAGCATAGCCTGAGTCGGTATGGCCCGCGTTCGATGGAGCGCAAGCAGGTGTGCTGTGAAGTACAGCGACGTCCTTCTCCACGCTATCTAGCAGCAGGTCTCTACCCTGGTTTGCTGGACCGTGGGTTGTAGTTCGAGTGAATTGTAGATCGACTTGAAGAGGTGTAGTTCGAGAATTCCTGTTCTTGGCAGGTTCTACAGGGCCATGTACTTCTATATCATACGCTTCCTCCATCGTTTCAATGTATGCCGCAAATTCCTCACCATGCATGCGTATCACATGCTGTTTGAAGTTGTCAAACATTGACCAGATCTTCAGTGGTACTTTACATCCTTGCACCTTGCATCGAAAGACTCTGTCGCCTTTCTTGAGTATACCGTGGAAGGTCTTTCGGTGGCGATCGAGGTCGGCACTGGTGCGAAAGACTTTCCCTGGTGGACAGATACTACAGGGATGCAAGAAGTTCCCGGAAGATAGTGGTTTCTTCAAGGACGGAGTGACAAAGTCTTTGAATTTCTCATCAGCCATCCATGCCTGTACGACTTGGTTGGAATCCTGCACACAGAGATCGTCGTGCTGTCTGTATCGCTGCTTCGAAATCCCAGATACCAGGTCAGCGATAACATCATCTTCGCATCGCTCCTTCGTTCCGGGATGGTTCTCTGCAATCAATGGAGGGGACAAGGTCTGCTGTGCTGTTGCCGACATATCAAGGCTAGCTCCATCTAGGCCGTTCGAGAATTTTGTCGTAGTTCCGTCTCGACTTCTTGAATCGTATTTGCATGTTGTGGCTCTTCCCTCCCTTCGACACACACCACAAGGAAGTCCTCCATCACACTGTCAAAGCTTGGTTGGTATTGAGGACATTCTATGGGAGAAGGACACCTACTTCTGTAACAGAATGTTTGCAGGGGACACAAACCTTCCGGCGCTGCATAACCTCGAGTACGAGCGGCTGTGATTTCACCCTGGTAACCACTAGGCTCTGGCTGACTCTAAAGTAATTAACACGATCGACTCAATCGGGCGATTGCGTAGTTGTGTTCAAGAATGATCGCAGACAAGCTCGCAATATGTTGATAGCAGTTGTGGATAATGAGCTCGAGGTTTTTTTTAGAAACGATATAAAGAGTGTGCTTGTACGAAGATTGCCGATAGAGGCCTGTGGGAAGACGAAACCACTGCTCAGCCTGTTCTTGATGACAAGTCCATACACTCTTCTCGTGTCTGATCTGCACTTCTGTCTGTAATACCTGACTCGCGTTACTCGAAAACAAGCTCGACGAAGTAGAAGACCAGGTGAGGGTGCTGGTTGAGGTTCTGCCTCATCACAAAAAGTCCACATGTATGATGCTCAGTGAAAAGGTGCAGCTGCCCAATGAAAAGCCACAGCCAAGAAACCCGGTCACTGCAGGGCACAAGCTGCGCCTACTGCTAGTCGTGCTCTTGGCGCATGCGAAGCGACCGTCCATAGCAGAACGATGTGCACTGGAGCTGCCCTATCTCAAGACTTCTGCAAGACTGTTCCCGAGGTTTCGTATAGAGTTGTTTCGAATTTCCTGCCTGTTGTGGATAGTACGTCGAGCCTTGTCATCGGACAATCCTTCTTGTTGGTTGTGATATCGATTACTCTGCAAATTTGCAGCGCTGAATCTTTCTTCCCCATCCATTCTGGTAGCCATCGACATGAATAAGTGTACTCGATTGTGAACAGCACGTCAACCTTCATTCTCAAGGAGCCCTTCGGCCTGCTCCCTTCGCTCCACAGCTCGAAGCTGCACACCAAACCGCTGATCTTCGCGCAAGCTCGCAGCCATACGCCGAGCATCAAGTTGTCCTTCATTCACATCTGTATACCATATCAACGGAATTGGCAGGGCGACCACAACTGCAAGAAGCCAGAATGCTGGTCGGATGTGTCCAGTAGCGTCGACAATTCTACCAACTACAGCTGGTCCAACGGCACTACTGCCCTTGTCAGTGATTGCGAACAACGCAAAAAAGGCGGCCTCGCGCCCGGGTGGCACAAGACTGCCAAAGAGACTTCGGCAATAGCTACTCAGCCCTCCCATGACGGTACCGAAAATCACGCCTAGACCGTAAATCTCCCACCAAACTTGTAGGCCGCCGAAGCCCCACCGTTGAATGAAAGGGAGGTAACCTAATAGACCATAAAGTGGGACAAATTCCATCAATACTAGACAAAAGACAATTGTCTGACTGTTCGTCCATCGCATTCTCTTCGACAGCACAGGAAGCAGGCTTGATCCAAGCATTCCAAATATCATCACAGTAATGCTTAGCAGTGCGATACCAACAGTACCGATCTTGAGCTCCGTACGCGCGAATAGAACAGCCGTGCCAGAAACAGAGGCCTGCGCATCTGAGAGCAGAAACCATGCTGCAAGGAAGATGACCATTTGCTTGAGACGAGCCGCAACGGTAATGGTGCACCACAGGCTTGACCAAGCGAACGCAACATGTGCAAGTATCCTTCCCATTTTGGTACGACTTGCGTCTATTTTTAGATCCTTTAATGGCGAACCAGGTCTCTTCCGCAGCCACAGTGCAGTGGGACCCATAAAAGCTAGCCACCAGATACCAGCGAGAAACAGTATGAGTCGGAGAGGCACAGTGGCTGAGATCGAGTCGTCGAAAATCTTTTTCATGGAGAGGAGCACGCCAATTGCAAGAACTTGAATTAGCAAAGCCGCTGCATAGCCAAGTCCAATGGCTTTCGCCGAGATTTTGGTTGATATCTGGAGTTCGAGATTATTGTCGCTGTCATGCAAAGTGTCTGATTGTCGTTCCTTCTGAGTATTAAGGACAGAAGGGTGGTTGGCTGCCAGTAGGGGAAGAAACGAGTTGAGCACGACGAAGGAAGATCCGAGGCAGACGACGCCAATGATAGCCAATACTGCACCAGCGAGGTAGATGCCTGGCATCACAAACACGAAGGACATGCTGGCTAGACTACCGACGGTGCCGAACGTGAGAAGGAGGCGTTTACGGTTGTCCCCTGGATAAAGATTAGAGCCAATTCCTGACTGAGTTTCCAGCATGCGTACCATAATCTGCAAAAGAGCTAAAGGATATCAGAACGAGTGCCTGACACAACACCGCCAGCGAGAACGTATACATAGCAAAACTGGCAGTTGTTGTATTAGTGCCGAAGAGATGAATCAAACACTGGTCCGGGTCTCTTGTGCTACCAGAAGCTCTGGCTGAAAATGCTTGCGACGCTTTTGGTAGTACACAAGGCGTGCTTTTATCCGAAAAGAGGACGCCATTTTCGCGAGCAAGCTGTTCCAGCGTAACAGGTAAAAATGCTCCGACTCCAACCACAGCAAATACCTCAGCAGCGATACCATAGGAGTAGAAGCCGCGTATCTCACGCTCGGTTGTAGGAGTTTTATCTTCTTCGGGCCAGGAAAGATGAGGTGAATACGTTGGGGAGGTATCACCCATCGTGCTCGACCTCACCTTAATCGGCTTTCGTGTTGGACGCGTGTATGGTCATATAGGTTTCGGCTGCCATTAGGTGGCCCTCGTCCACAACCGACTAGTCATTGTCAACGATCGAGTAACAGCTGCTGGTTGACTACTGATAAAACACGCTTAAGACCAACGAGCTAAGCACACACTCATGAGGCAAGGGGTTGTGAAAGAGTTCCGAAACGTGCCGGAGGAATTGGGATGTGCTGAGCTAGCTTATAGTTGCCGACGTTCTGTGCTGGCTCGATGTAGATACAGGCATTGTCACCCTGGTATTTTCCGTCAGTGTTTCAGCGTAATCAAGATGGCAGGAAAGAGCTCAATATGGGTACTGATTGTTCGACGCAACACATGAGTATACGAGCAATGTCGTCACGACTCTATAGCTCACTCGACAATGTTGAAAGAAACAACAGTATCTGCCGGTGCTCGGTGCGTCTGAGCCAAACTGCGTCAAAGATGCCTAATGTGTTCAAACTTGGCAGGGACGTTCGAGCGGCTTGAGCGACTGACAAGTTAGCAACACAATGGATGCTGCATCGCTCTTTCAGTTTGCAGCTCAAAAGCAACCACAGGTGGACCTTAGTCCATGAGCCACTTATATGCGCCTTCCACTATCGATACAAGCATGTGTTCCTTTCCATTGCTATCTGATATAGTAGCTCTTCGATGACCGAACTATTCAAGGCTGCTGGAACCAAAGACTGGTTGACTAGAAGATGTTGCGAGCCGCCAGAAGCACTGTTCTCGCTGCAATGAGTTGGGCAGGATTGGCTGCTGGCGTCCGTACGAATCAATATGTATCTAAACAGAAGAGCTGAAAGGAAGTATAGAAGGTATTTAGCGCAGGCTCAGACCGAGTGAAATGTTGAATATGGAGATTTCTCAGGTTACTTCAACAGTAATATGTGACCACAACACCCCAGAATTAGCCATGGGTGACCTTCTTGACCAAGCCATCCTTGTCAGTATGGATATTCAACCTATTAGGCTGGTGGTCCATAGCTACAAAGTGGTCAGTAACGCTCGATCATACAGGCGAGGAAGAATATGATGGGGATACTAACTCATCATACTATCCTCTCCCACGACACGATGATTCTGTGGCAGATCCTTCTTTGCGAAGTTGGTGTTGTCTGTGCTACCACTCTCGCTGATTTTCTTGCCTGCCAGCTTTTGCATCCATTCTTGAGTCAGATCGCCACCGCCGTTGGAGTTGATACCTGGTACAACGAGAGGCATTTTGAAAGTGTTGGTGGTAGAGTAAAGGCGTTTGAAAGAAGTAGTCAAAAGTATAGAATATCGAAAAGAGATTGCCAGACTTTCGATTAGTTTTGTGGATTGTGTACTGGCACAAGAGGAATTCTTGCAATTTATCAATCTTTAAAGCGTGTTGGTGTGGTCGTTTAGTATCACCTGGACCTCTTCTCACATGTCATACCTTGGCTGTGCAGCGGGACGTAATTCAGCTGCCTGCCATATGGATAACTGGGCTATGATGTCAAGGTCTGCTTTGTCACGTGCGCGAGTTGCGTTGCACCAGGAGAGATGTGATTGTGCAGAGATGAATGCATTAGATAGTGGTCTTATGTACGACCAGATAGCTGGTCATGTTAGCAGCCTTGAAGTCACAATCCCTCGCTGATGAAGGCTGCTCTCCCACCACGGTGAATTCAAAAAGCCTTTTCTGTTCATACACAACACGAAACCTCCTCATAATGTACAAATAGGTCGAAGGCTGAGTTGAATTGGCAATCATCCCAAATCCACCTCAACACAGTCAAATGCTCGCTAAAATGCACAACACATTTGATCCGTTCCGGGTTCAGCACTGCGTTTTGGCCGGAACCTTTAGATCAGTATTTATTTTCTTGCAGCCTTTTCATATATAGTCTCTGGCCGATTTTTGCAGTTCGATCAATCTCCATCCCCTCGTCTCAGGGTTTGCGATATCGTCCGCAAGGCGAGTGACACCAATCGCATAAGTGACCTGCTGAACTCGATCTTCGGTACCAGCGGCAAGTTCACCGGTTTTCCTGTTTCGATAACAATGGACTTCTTGTGTCCTGCATGTAATGATGAAGACGGGAATCTCACCTGGCTCAAGCAATCTAGCGTTCAAGACATCTACTCCTCTTATGTCGAGGATCTTGCCGTCACTTTTCAAGCCGTGCTTTGTGTACTGGTCCATCAATGCTGTGTAAACCTGAAACTGAGCGGCGGAGAGCCACGTTTTTAGTACTTCGACATCACTTTTAACGTAAGCATCGAGCACCTCCGGCAGTATGTATTCTCTCATGTCACGAAGGAATGGTTCCATCTGGAAGTTTGGATCCATCTCACGGAACTTTTTTACAACCATAGCAGTCTCGTTTTCGGCGAAGAAACCGCTGATACGATCAGTTATTGAGCGTGCAGTCGAAATCAAAGGATTTTCCGATTCTTCGTAGGTACTCCGCCAGGTACGCATCGATTGACCAAGCTTGGAGCTCTCCTTGAAATTGTTCCAAGCCTCTTTCCAGGCAGCATCTTTGTGGATAACGACGTTCGTACCAGCACTGTAAATGTTAGCAAGGGTCAAGTTGTGAATTCAAGTATACGTACTTGAGGTCTTCTTCCATCTTCTCGGTCGGTTTGAATCCCTCTTTAGCCTCACGAGCAGCCCGTCTTCGCCTGCGCTCTTCTTTCTCGATCCAGCCACCGTATCTGGAGCTGCTTCCATCGTCAATGGCTTCTGATACGGCTTTGAAAGCCTCAGTCTCCCTCACAGGTCGCGTGGCTTGTTCAATGCCGCGACCAGTAGCATTGACACCTTTCCTGACGCCCTGTACGACAGGAGTTTCCCAGGTCCAAGCTGCACCAGTGCCGACTGCTTTTGCGGCTGCTTGCGCACCACGACCAGCACGACCTACAGTCGAGTCATATGCCGCAGAGACCTTCTTTACGCGATCAGACTCTCGAAACTCCTGGACTTCGCCTTGTAATAATTTTGTGGATTCGTTCCATTCCTTCGATTCTTTTAAGCCACTGGAGAAGGTCTCCCTGAAAACCTGCCACGGAGTTTTGTCGCCGTGAGGAGGAGGGGGAGGGGCATCCTTCTCATCTCTTTTTTTGCCGCTTCCTTCGGCCGATCCCTCATCCTCAGTCTTCGAGCCCTCAGATTTGGCCTCTTTACTCGAGGCGTCGGTATCGGGCCGTGGAGGATCTTTTACGTCTTCTGAAGGAGGTTCTTGTCTTGGCTGTGCTTGTTGTGATAAATTTTGGGTAGTATGTAAGGACCGCGATTGATGTAGGGGGAAAGTCGTGGCCCGAGTAGTGGGAAGATGCAGTTGTTGCGGCTGTTGCAAGCAGGAAAGCAGTGGTGTAGATTCGCCTAATCGTCTATACGCCGCAGCTCGTCCATACTGTGACGACTGAGAGGAAGCGACGGTTTGCAACGTCCTTACATATTGTCTAGTTACGGACGGCTGTATCCTCCTCGTTGCAATCATACTATGTGCCGAAGCGAAAATGTACGTCGGAACCCTCGCGCACGTGTTAGGAAGTCTCGAAACACGACTAAGAAGAATAGAAAGGAAACGACCGTGCGAACAGGATGGCGAAAGTGAAGTCTTCGTGATTAAACAGCTTCGCGAGGGCTGAGAAGCATCTGCGGAGGCCACTCGGACTTTGCAAATTCGCGAAAGGAACGATTGGGGCAGGTCAGCCGCCCGCTCCTGCCTCGTCGGGAAACTGTGGTACGCAAATTGTTCCCATCATGCTCGTCGATGTGTTTACATACTAATTGTGAACCTGGACGAATATGTGTAAACCCGACTGTCGAGAGGAAAGTTGCCTATGCGAAAACGACCCTTACTCCATAACATTAGCGCGGAGATAGCACATCCTACAACCATACTCGCACGCATTGCTGTCATTCTTCTTCCCGATCGTTCTTGAACCTCTCCTCAAGATGGCGTCCACGAGAGACATCCACGACATTATGGGCATGGGTGGTGGCCCTGTCCAGAAGCCAACGAATAAGAAAAAGAAGAAGGTTGTGGAAGCTCAGCCACGACTGTCAGGCATTTCGCGTGAAGTCCAAGCGTTGATGGGGGATAGTGTACCTCCTGTACAGATAGTCGAGCCTCCTAAATACAAATCGAAACCCTCGTTGGCGAACAAACTATACAAACCCAGACACTGGCAGGAAATACCTTTCAAGCCAGGCGCAAGATCTGATGGCCTTAGCTTAACCCACTGGAAAAGAGCTCTGCCTTCACATCGGCCCTTACAACTCAATGGCGACGTTGAGATGGTGGATGGGATTCAACCCTCACTCAAGCCAGAATATCAGTTCGAAGAAGAGTTTCCAATGGACAAATGGGCAGTTGCTGTTCGTGTCCCAGATTACACAGATGAGCAGTATGAGAGACATTTCAAGGCTGATGACTGGACGCGCGAAGAGACGGACTATCTGGTCAGACTGGCCTCAGAATATGACCTCAGGTGGATCGTGATTGCAGACCGTTACGACCCGCAAGAAATTCAGTCAGCACAAATTGGCGGGGAAGCCCTTGAGGTTGCAAAGAACTATTCGTCCCGGACGATGGAGCAGCTCAAGCTGCGATATTACCAGGTTGCAGCTCAGGACTTAGAACTAAGGACACCAAAGGCTTCGATGAACCCCACAGAGTTTGCACTGTATGAAAAAATGCGCAGCTTCGACGCGAAGACGGAAACTCTCCGGAAAGCAATGGCAGAAAAGTTGTTCGAGCGTACGAAGGATGAAGCCGAAGAAGAAAGAACGTTATTAGAAGAACTTCATCGTATCACGAAGAACGAGGAGGAGTTCATCGCTATGCGTCGCGATCTATATGCTCGTCTCGAGGCAGCTCCTTCCCTGCGCAGGAACGAACGAGGCGAGGAGCAGAATATCGTGCTCTCAAGTGCTGGTCTTAGTGAATTGCTTAGTAGGTTGTTCGCTAAGGAGAAGCATTTGAAGCGGCGAGCTCCTGCACCAGGCGACAGTAATTCTACAGCACAGCAACAGTCTGCTGATGGTCGAAGTCGAGCCAACACCTCTTTATCAAGACGAGATACCATGGACACAGCAACAGAGCCTACCAAAAAGGGCAGTGTCCCTCAGCAAATCGTGCCCAAGCAGCTTACTCAGGCCGAAGAGGAAAGATATGGTGTTAGTCATCCTAACGAGCGACTCACTAGTGGTGTGTCGTTTCGTCACGAAAAAATCAATCGAGTCACCACAGCGAAATCTCAGGTTCAGACACAAAAGATCAATGCTGCTCTCACAGAACTTGAGATACCAGCTCGTCTTTCTATGCCCACCGAAAAGGTTTGCAAGGAATTCGAGCGATTGGTCAGTCAGATCCAACTTTTGCTTGACGCCAGAAGGACATTGGCTAGAGTGAGCGAAGAGGTGAAAACTCTGGAAGAAATGAGGCGGCAGAGACTGGGTTTGCCTCCGCTGGCAGAACAGAATGCTAGTGGTGAAGCTATGGACGTGGATAAGACAGCACCTGCGCCTGGTCAGGTAGGCCGAAACAGCACTACAGAGACTCTTCAGAGCGGCTCACTTGGAGGTCAGACAGTCAACGGCGTAGATGGAGGACCCGGTCCAGCTGTGGACGAAGACGACGAGGATGCGGAAGGAGAGGACGACGTCGAGGCCTCGAATCTCGAAAAGACCCAAAACGACGAAGAAGACGAGGCTGACAATACTGGATTAAACGATGATTCCATGGCCCAAAGAGACGAGGGTGATGAAGACGAAAACGCCGAAGAGGAAGATGAAGAGGACGACGACGATGACGACGTTGGCGTCGAAGATGAAGACGAGGATGACGACGAAGGAAATGCTGCACTGATGCGTGGCGTCGATAACGACGACGGCGAAGACGAGGGTGAGCACGATGTAGACGACGATGATGTTGAAGACGAGGACGAGGAGGAAGAAGCAGTGCCACTTCATGAGGAAGGTGACGAGGAAGAAGAGGAAGAACAACAAAGAGAACGAGGGTTTGCACGCCACCAGACTGAGGACGAGGCAACAGATGCTGACAACGACGATGATACACAGAATGTTACCATGGACGATGTTGAGCCCGAAGAGAACGATCCCGATGCGGAGGATGACGATGAGGACGTTGCAGACAATCGTCCAACTTCGGCCGGGTCTCGCGGCCACAAACGAGGTGCTAGTGTTATCTCCGATGCCAGCGGAGCAGGGAGCAATCGTTCAGGAGCAGGACGTAAAAGAAGGCGCTGAGGCTGAGCGACGCGACTTTGCGAGAGTTGTTACTTTATTTATCGAACTGATTAGAGTCACTGACGGGTCTTGTTCCTTCGAAAGCACGCCCTTTTCATCCTGCCACGATTGACGAATACAAGGTTGTGTCCTTGTCTTGTGGGTCCATCTATTTGTAAACACTGGCCAACAATTACATTGGCGGTCGTCAAATCGAGTACGACAACTGACGCGAAAACCAGTTCTATTCACGACAAATCTCACGTCGATGGTGCCCACTACGTCGTCAGCTGAAAGGAGTAAGCCACGCCCTGCACTTCGCCACAAGGCAACCACGCCTCGATAAAGAAAGCTGCGGATTGCAGAAATATCACGTTCCGATTAGCAGCTTTTTTGATTGGGACGTGGACGACCCACTAACCGTTTACCACCCTATGTCCGACCTTGTGGTAATCAGGCATCCTGCAGACTTGGCGCCAACGTTGACGAAGCACTCAGCGAGGCTCACTTTACAAGCATGGTGGACGCTCTTTAAGGGGGAGGAACGACACTATGCGAGAGAACCTCCGGCATTGATGAGGACTACAGTATTTTTTAAGGCTATAATTTATAAAGTGTTGGTTGTTCCCACTCTATAGGATTTGAAAGCTGGCTTCTCTGCACCTCAAGCCCTATAGCATGAACCATGCTTGCATGTCTCCTTTTTAGCAGTCTGCTTATAGCATCGCAAATTCGAGCCCAGCACATAACATTTCTCCAGACTCAGAACGACACATGGAACAGCACCTTCGAACTAACATCACAACAACTAGTTATATCGATTTCTCCGATACTCAAGCCACAAATCTTGAGATAGCCGTAAACTTCGAGCGTTCTAATTGGGCCCTGGGATCTGCGACGCAAGACGATTTCTACAAAGCTCCAGCCAACACCTCTTCGTTACCACCCGGTAGTGTCATCAAGGTCCAGTACTTTGTTAACACGACGTCGTTCGCCTTACCACCAAACACAGCCCTTAGCAGGCTCTCATACACAACGAAGAACCTACTGAATGACACAATTCCAGCATCTGCTTATATTCTATGGCCATACCTGCCACTGACTTATCCAAATCTTTCAAGTCCAAGACCAGGGACGAACAGCTCCAAATTCCCGGTTGTTGCATGGGCCCATGGCTCGTCGGGTGTCTTTGCAGAATGTAGACCATCAAACCTTCGCAATCTGGAATCTCAATATTCTGCGCCGTATGAGTTGGCCTTGAGTGGCTATGTCGTGATTGGAATTGCACACCCTTACCTTGTAGGATCAGCAGCAGCCGACGACCTGTTCTACGCCGTGCAAGCGGCTCAATCAGCATTTGCTACTAGGCTTAGTAAGGAATTTGTAATCATGGGTCACTCACAGGGAGGGTCCGCAGCGTGGGCTTCTGCGATCAGGCAGCATAATACGCCAGTGGACGGCTATCTGGGTAGTATCGCTGCGTCACCATCCACGAATCTTAGTGGCTTGATTACTGCGCTTGGTCAAGCACTTCCGCCGCTATTGCCTATGTTAGGCACACAGGCGATCAAAGCTCTGCATCCGAACTTCAATATCTCGCGTCTATTGACAGCCGAAGGTCAATCCAGATATCAACTAGCAAAAGATATCTCGATGTGTAACTCCGCTACAGGTGAGCTGCTAGCTGACTTCCCAACATCTGATCGAGGCGCCCTGTTACACCCAAACTGGACGACTGTGCCGGAAGTTGCTGATTTCTTTGGTGCAACTGCTGGACCTGGAACGTTGCCCATATCAGGTCCGCTGCTTGTGCTGCAGGGAACAAGTGACCTGGTCGTCCCATATCAGTTTACCGATGCTGCTGTCGCCCAGACCTGTGCTATCAATAATGGAAGGGGTGTTCACTACGCAAAATTCGCAGGTGTGACACATGTTCCTGTGCTTTATGCTTCGAGAAGGATATGGCTGGACTTTTTAACCAACAGATTCAGTACTGTTGGCAATGTGACCACGAGCAGGACCTGTGTGACGGTGAACCACACATCGTTACCGTTTCCAGTTGAGAATTATCAACGTGAGCTCGGCCATCGCTTGGAGTTAAACACGCAGAGTTACCAGCAGGGCCGCCTGGGGTTTTAGTTTAAATACAAAAGCGGTTACCCTCAAGGTTTAGGTGGTCGAGCAGGCAAATGATATAGATGTCGCGAGTCCCAATGTCATTCAAGCTTGGATTTACGCCTCAATGCACGTATCCACTTCAAGGTTCAGGCACAAGTGGAGTAAGCACAAGCGCCTAGCTGGAAGTCACCCCAGATTCCCTGGTCCGCTCTTTCCCCGCAGTGTAGTGATAATCGCGTGACCCCGAGCTGCCGGACGACACTCAGGTGCTCTTGATGCCGCAGGATGCGCAGTCAAGAGGGGCAGGGACCGAGTAGCAATCAGTCTTCCCCTCTACTCCTTGTTCTACACTCTTCTTCCTTTGTATGAGAGCAAATCACCTGCGACCGACCTACACCAATCACATACAGAAGCCTGACGTACCGTTCATTGTCGTTGTAAGTGGTTAAGTTGTACCTTGCAGCTCTTGCAATTCCTCATCGAGTGACTGACTCGAAATCTGTAGCTTCAACGATCAATCTACCCACCTTGTTCTTTGCAGCAACATATTCACAATGTCTGCCGACACATCGGATCTGACCAAGGTTGACTCAGCCGTTTCCGGTCTTTCCTCCTCTCCTACAGACACCAAACCCGCAGCAAAGGGTGCACGGAAGAGCAGTAGTTATCCAGGTGTTTTCAACATTAATGATCTTGGTAAGTTCCCGGTTTATCACAAAGGCCATCTGGCAGTGTTGACCTTGGGAATAGAGAAGGAGGGTACGAAGATAGAAATTGCTCCTGAGACACAAAAGCTGAACTGGTAGGAGCTCAGCAAATGCACTGAGGATGAGTGCCAACAGCTGACAACTACCTCAGGAAGCTCAATGCTTCGGTCAACGAGGTGGACGATCCAACTGTACTGAAGAAGCATCTCACAACACCTCCACTCAAGAAGATCGACCTTCACTTCCCACTAGGCCTCGAGGTATCAGCAAGAAACCTGAAGGGAGTCACAATCAAGGATGCGCTGGACGCGATACACAAGCAATTCAAAAAGAAGGTGAGAGTCCCCTACCTCGTCATGAGCAGACATCCTGACATAGCAGGCCGACGACGAGCTCGACTTGCCATATCTCAAGGGGTTCGAATGGGATCCTGAGGAGTCATGGACACGACTGAAGGTTCATCAAGCCAGGGAGGGCGCACCAGTCAGCAGTAAGAAATCGAAGAAGAAGGGCGGCGATGAGTAGACCTTCTGCTCTCAAGGAAAGCAACGTTCAACTCTATGTCGCTCTTTTGTACTCTAGTCCAGCGATCGTCGTGGTCGACTGTAAGAAACACTCAACATTGTGGTGCTATGAAAGCCATTCAGTAGCTCAATAACATCAACGGCTGGTGGAACACGTCTCTGACGCAGCTGGACACCAATCTCAAATCCAGGTTCCTATGCCATCCTGTTGTCACGCCCAAGCGTTGTTTTTGGGTTTCTCTGAACTGATCCATATTTCTGGGCAGGCAATGTGATCATTAAAGTAGCATGTGAAGTAGCAGGAGGATGTTCAAGTTGTGCTCTGCTGGAAATTCTGGTGGCGTACATTAAAGGTCCACCTACACAAGCCGCATCTTGCAAGCCGGAAAGTTCACACGACTTCCACAGTACGACCCGACACTGTGCATTGACTGACTCGCTCAGCCACTGCACGCTTCCTCCCTGAAAGGCGCCGATACCAAAGGCCGGTCACCAAGTAGAAGATATATGCCTCTTGTGATTCTCTCGCTATGCGCTTTCTAGTCCTTGCCTACATCGCAGCCAGTTTCTTTCTTGGGTGCATTCCTCTCGAGTTGAATCAATTAATTTACGACATGCAACCCGAGGACACTTTCTCATAAGCGGAGGACTTCTGAGCCTTTCGTCTTGAATGAATCTGCCTAAAATTGAGGAACGGTCATATCGACGGAATCTCGTGTTCCTCTCTTTAGGCCACAAAGATTTTGGCCATAATACTCAATGATGTTGCACGTGCCCAGTCCAAGCTTGAAGAGAGAAGCTGAACTCAAGATCTTCACCGATTCAAGGCTTTGAGTTCCAGGACGCTCTAAGTCACGCAAGAGACCTCAAATCACATGGAGCATGCCCAAAAAATTTCCTTCATTGCGAGTCCTTCTTGATCAGTATGTACCACTGCTGCTGAGCATCTCTCTCGCTGCTTTTTGCCTGTTGTGTGTTGTACTATACGTACCTCGAGTCGGGCCGAACAGCTTGTCGCCAGGACTTGCACGATTCTGACGAACCTTGGCCAAACATAAGAGTAACGATCTTGGTAGAAGCCGACTGGCTGATAATCACCAGGTACATCCGTTTCCACCCCCACAACTTCTCCCTTGGCATGCCTTTTGTTCTGGTTTTTTTGCTGCTAGTGGAAATGGGGCTGTCCCCATCACTCGACGCTTCGCTCCTTCGAGTCAAGCTTGCGGACCTTAGCATCGACGAACCCTGCAGCTCGGCCATACCTGGATCTCAATGACGCGTTTTGATCTGTTTACTCCAGGTTATTCGGACAAAAATATGTTGCCCAGCACAAGCTAGTAGAAGCTCAAAATGCGTAAAATGCAGGCAGTTTCTAGCTGTTGTACCTTTCTCTCCATCGTGCAGTTGACTGTCGAGCAGCTATCCCGTACAACAAGATGGTGTCACGAACCCTCTTAGCAGCTCTCGTAGCTGGAGCTGCAGCTCATCCAATGATCGAAGCCCGACAGAGTGCAGTCAATCAAACCCTGGAGTCGTGGATCCAACGTCAATTCAATATCTCCCTGGATTCAGCCATCCTCAATATCGGAGGCGTCAATGGAAATGTTGTCGAGGCTGCCGGTACGGGATATGTTGTTGCATCACCTTCCGTAAGTACTTATACAACCAGAGAGCTGTGCAGAACTAACATGTCTAGACGATCAATCCGGATTACTTCTACACCTGGACTCGAGACTCCGCGCTGACCGAGTTGATGATCGTCGACGAACTCATCTTCGGCACTGAGAGAGTAGGCAACAACTCATTGCAAGTTGTTGTTGAGCAATATACACGAGCACAAGCCCGGCTCCAGACTGTCACCAACCCTTCCGGTGCTTTGTGGCCAGCTGGTCAAGGTCTAGGAGAACCAAAATTCTACAGCAATGGTACAAGATTTAATGGCGCATGGGGCAGGTGAGTTTTGCTTTACAGTCTCGTGGCATGTTACCTAACCTTTCCAGACCACAAAACGATGGTCCCGCCCTACGAGCATCAACTTTGATGGAAATTGCCGAGGCCATATTTCGTCGAAACCCTAATGCCCCAACCATCGTATCAACTGTTTACTGGCCACTTATTTACAATGACCTTCTGTACGTCGGTCAGTACTGGAACACGAGCAGCTACGACCTCTGGGAAGAAGTGAACGGAAACTCGTTCTTTACAACCACTGCCCAACACAGAGCGCTTGTACAAGGTTCTATCTGGGCTCAACGACTCAATAAGACTTGCGAGCCATGCGCTCAAGCTCCACAGATCGCCTGCTTTCTAGAGAACAACTTTTGGAACGAGACTGGTAACTATGTGCTCGCCAATATCAATGCCAATCAAGTCAACAGGTCCCAGATCAATTGTGATCCCATCTTGGCCGCGATGCATGCTTTTGATATCAATGCTACGTGTGATGCAGCTGCCCTACAGCCATGCAATTCCAAGACTTTGGCGACTCACAAGGTTTGGGTTGACTCTTTCCGCGACCTCTATCCGGTCAACAACAATGCGACAGCGCCATCGCCAGTCCTGACCGGTCGCTATCCTGAGGATACATATTATGGTGGTAACCCTTGGTACATAACAACAGCAGCAGCAGCAGAAGTCCTCTATGACGCACATGCACAATTCACCAAAGCAGGCAGAATTACAGTGGATCGCGTTTCCCTTCCTTTCTGGCAGGATCTCGTTCCGCAGGTTAGGCAAGGCGTCTACCACAGCCCTGGCAATGGCACTGCGTTGCTTGATGCTGTAAAGACCTACGCCGATGGCTTCCTGTCCGTAATCCAGACATATACACCTGCTAATGGTACCTTGAACGAGCAGATCAACAGGACAACCGGCGAGCCAACATCTGCCATCGCATTGACGTGGTCTTTCGCAGCACTTGTGACTGCAGTCGACCGACGAAATGGTGATTTCCCTCCATCTTGGGGTGCCAACTCTACCACCGCCAACAACGTTTCAAACATTTGCTCTTGGTCAGCGTACAACTCTACTACCAAGTATGCTCCTGTCTTAGCTCTAGGAGCATCTCCCGTCCCGACCCCTTGTGAGACTGAGGTCATACTAAACCTACTTTACGCGACCGGACCAGGTGAAAACACCTACATCGTGGGCAACACGTCGGTCTTCGGCAATACTCTTAGCAACACAAGTGCCGTCATTCAGGTCTTGAGAACCAACAATGTTACCAATGGTAACCCACAATGGTTTGTACCGGCCTGGTTGCCTGCGGGCGTTCCTCTTGAGTACAAGTACGTCGTGCTTAACTCAACCGACAATACCTATAAATTTGAGAATGTGTCCCACTTCGCATACCCGCCCGCCTGTGGGAACAATACAGTTGTCTCGTACTTGGTCAATGGTACATCATTGTATACATGAAACAGAGCCGACTAGGGATGTGCATATGACGGAATGACATATATAACGATCAGTTGAGATGCTGTAGCACATGTCTGTAGCAGTGGTTTGGAATAAAAGGTTCTCGACATTTTTATGCATTTCCTGAAAGCTTATATCTTGACCCACGTGACTGCTCGAGCTGGGCTTTACAAGCGGCACGTTTGCATATATGCTTGCCTTCTTGCTCTCAGTCTCTATTTAAGATGGAGGTAGTTACTCAAAGTCTGTTCGTTCGCATCAAGCAAGCACATACGAACAAGCACAATACACGCCTGAGCCCGAGAACCACGGCAATGGTCTAAATCTAGGGAAGCCGGCGGCTTACGGCCCCTGCCATCCGGGATCGCGACTCTTGACGCATCTTCGACGCGATTCTTTATTCCTCATCGACATCGTCACGAAACGACTTCCACCATCAGGTCTGATGGCCAATGTGGTTTGTCTCGTCCGTTGCCTCTGGTTCCGACATTGTAACCGAGCTTTACTTGGCCGTCAAAGTCGATGATTGGTTTGACAGCACGAATGGGTGGGCAATTCTCAATGGCCTTGGACTCGCGTTCCTCAAAGAAACTAGGGTTAAACACGATCTTGTCGCTGTTGTCTTTGATCATTTTGATGTATGCCGGAATCAGTTGAACCATGTTATCGGTTGACCTGGTCTGTATCAGGAACTGTACGGATTCACCAGACAAAAGGGACTTACCTGAACACTCGTCGACCATTCCTCTGCCATACATCTTCCCAGACATCAGTCGGATATTCACCACAACTCTCGGCCAGCCACTGGTTGTAATAATTCAAGCTCAGATCAGCCTTATAGCTACCGCCTTTCTCAGCCCGCCTCATCAATGCTGTCAACACGCCACAGACACCAGCAGTGCCAGTCATGTAGTCACTGTTCGGGAAAACAGGCGTGACTGCTTCGCCGTTCTGCAGCCCCATCGCTCGACCGAAGCTTTCAGAAATGCCAATGCAAGCATCGCTGATCTGTTGCCAACCCGACCGGTAATACCACGGCCCGTTCCACCCATAGCAATTCTCTCGTGCTGAGATGATGCCTCTTGGTCGATCCTTCACCATATCAATAATGCCTTGCTGGCTGAAGCCGTACTTGTCGAGCACATCCGGTCTATAGCCCTGAACAACGACATCTGCGTCCTTGATTAGGTCTGACAGCTGCTTTTTGCCTTCTTCAGACTTTAGATCAATGCTGCAATTCCATTTGCCCCAGTTCAAATCGATATGCAAAGCGGAATAGTCACATATGTTAGGGCTGGTAACTCTCATAACGCTAGCGCCTAGCTCGGCCAAGCCTCGTGTCACAGCAGGTGCAGCAATGACTCGTGTGAGGTCAACGACCTTTAATCCAGCTAGTGGTCTTTGCGCGCTGGTTTGAGAGGTTTCTGGCCACCAACAAGGCTTCTGATTTGCATTGGGCACATCATGCACCTCGAACAGAGCAACGTGAGCATTTGCCTTTCCATGCTCTGTCTGTTTAAAGCTTTCGACAGTCTCACAAATCACGCCTGCTTGCTTATACTCGTCGCTGGCTAGCTTCTGCATTTCTGCACTGTCAATTTGACTCAACTTCTCTACGAAAGGCTCGATTGCCTCTTCCCAAGTGCTTGCATCTCTGTCACGTGGCAAGTTGACACTGTCAAGAGTCGGATCTGGATTCATTGACCCATGAAGGTGGAAGTACCGACCATCTTTGGTGCGGTAGATATTTGTAGCTGCACTACGATGTAAGCTGCTTTGCTGCCGATGGAGGTCATAGTTGGGAATCAGTTTATGCACTGTGTTTGCACTATCGAAGATACTGGCTGGCTTATCAGCGTCCTTGAACTGCCATATCAATGTACTCATGAAGAACAGACTTGCGTGGTCGGTGTTTATGTTGGCTCCAGACAACTCGACCCCATACTTGCGTTTGACGAGCTCGGCAACTATGCACGCCTCCAGAGCCTTGAGCGACGCAGCTGATTCTGCAAAGCGCCAGTTTATTGGTATGGAAGGGACATCATTGCCTGTGAATGTGATCTTCGAGGCAAAGTCGGATACCCCTTCTGGCAAAAGACGTGCGATTTTTGGATTCTGGAAAATACCTTCATCAAGGACTTTGCGGGCTTCCTCTGGCACAGAGTACGGCTTGGAAACATCTATGCTGCCCATGGTGACTATTGACACACAGGTGGAAGGTGATACAATGAGAATTGCGAGATTGAGATTATCTCAAAACTGTCCTACCAAACAGTATGAGGGATGACCTCTGAGATTCACAAAACACTGTTCACACCATCATACCAGAAGCTGTGGCTCTCAAACCTCGGGTCTAACGGCTATCAAGGTAGTTACGAAAGTGAATTCAGTATACAGTGCGGAGAACGGTTTGGGGTCTTCGTGATCCACCCTGGTCTCTCAGCAGTCAAAGACGTGCGTGATTTGGGATGCAATCTACTACCTCATATGACGCGTCCTAATACACAAGCGCCCTTGTCTGCTTGCAGCCAGGACGCGATCGTGGTAGCAGCGGCTGGCTTCGCAGTCACGACGGATATGTCGCAACGTGGGGTTAGATATGTACTTTCGCAGGATCAGTGTGGAGAAATATGGAGTTACAGTGACTGGTGCCGACAGAAGCCTCGGTCGTTCATCGTGGTTCAGGGCATGCAAGGCTTGGGTCATCTCACCGGCTATTGAACATTGAAGTTGATATCTCGTTCGAATTAGTGGGCTGAAAAGGTTCTTGAAGAGAAAGGTATATTCACTGGCACGTGAAAATTCCTCGAAGGTAGTGCGACACATCCAGCAATACCACTACCTCTGGCAAAGCTAAACGAGGGTCGAGGAAAGGGTAATCTTGAAGGATACTACAATTTCAATATGGGTGATGCCGGTCCTTCGGAACGGTGGCAGCGTGAGCGTGGTAGTCGACCAGTTCGGATTGCGAATTGCTCAGGCGCACGCGGCGACCCTGGTTACCAAATGCGTCGACAAGCTACGCAAGGCCCAATCGACTTCATTACAGGTGATTATCTCGCTGAGATGAACCTAGCCGAAAATGCAGAGAAAATGGCTGTAGGTCAACATGATGGATGGGAGCCAACTGCTTGGGATGGCCTCGAGCAGACTCTAGGTGGGCTACCTCCATGACTTGACTGCATCAGCATACCACAGCTGGGCTAAAGCTAACAATACTGTAAGATGTCCTGAATGAGAAACGAATCAAGGTGATTATCAATGGAGGTGCTCTCAATCCAAGTGGTCTAGCGCGTAAAACGCAAGCATTGGTCACAGAGCGTGGATACGATCTCAAAGTCGCATACGTCTATGGCGATGATTTCAGAGACGAAGTCAAAGCCGAGTTGGAGCGGACTAATAAGCTTCCACAACATCTGGATGGCGAGAACAACGATATTAGCTTAATGGAAAATGCGACCGCCTTGTTGGATACGAAGGGCAAGCCTATCGTTAGTGCAAACGTGTATCTCGGGGCACGGGGAATTGTCAAGGGTAACCCCTTTGAAAGTTGGAGACGACGCGCAGGTGCTAATAAAATACAGGTCTTGAACTCGGTGCCGATATCATAATTTGTGGCCGCGTCGCGGATGCCAGCCCAGTCATCGGTGCTGCCTGGTGGTGGCACAATTGGACAGACAAGGACTACGACCAGCTAGCAGGCACTCTAATCGCTGGTCATCTCATCGAATGTTCAGCCTACGCAACAGGATCAAATTTTGCCGGCTTCGACGAATACGATATTAACAACTTCGTCGACTTAGCATTCGGTATTGCAGAAGTTGCTGCTGACGGCACAAGTGTGGTTACAAAACACGAAGGTACGAAAGGACTGGTAAACGTCGACAATGTCATCTGCCAGTTCCTGTACGAGTTGCAGGGACCAATTTATCTCAATTCTGATGTCACAGCCAACGCAAAGGATCTTCAGGTAGAGCAGGTCGGCAAAAATCGAGTAAGGCTATCGAATGTGAAGGGTTACCCACCACCTCCGACGACGAAACTAGCAATCTTTTATCGTGGTGGATATGAGAGTCAGATATTGTTTAATGCGACAGGTTACGGCACGAAGAAGAAATACGAGCTGATGCAGAAGCAAATTAGGTTTGGCCTGAAAGAGAAAGGACTTGAAGATAAATTTCAGCTGCTGGATTTCCAGGAATTGGGCACGCCGGCGCCCAATCCCAGAAGTCAGTTCGAAAGTACAACATATCTGAGAGTCTTTGCGCAGACAGACCACGAAGTAAGTCTCTTTTCTGCATGCATCAAGACAAAATGTTCTATAATTTGTACCTTGCTAACGAGCTACTCAGGCAACATTGTATGGTTTATTGAAGACATTCTCCGAATTCGCCATGCAGCATTATTCGGGCATGCACCTATCTCTTGATATGCGCACAGCCTTCCCAAGAAGCTATCTTGCATTCTATCCAGGCTTGAAATCGCAAGACGAATTACAGGAGGGTATTGCAGTTCTTTCCCGCGATGGTTCAGTCGCACAGAAAGCGGACGCTGGCCATCCATCCGCATACCAGAAACTCCAACCTCGAGAGAATTACGAAACGGCCGACCCGGTCGATCTTGCCTCTTTGGGTGAGACAGTACGAGTTCGTCTTGGTGATGTTGTCCTCGCTCGCTCAGGCGACAAAGGTGCAAACATCAACATTGGACTATTTGTCCGCAAAGATTCCCACTACCCATGGCTTAAGTCATTCTTGACACGGTCGAGAATGCAGGAGTTGATTGGTGATGACTGGAGACCAGACTTCTTCATCGAGAGATGTGAGTTCCCGAACTTATTAGCTGTGCATTTTGTGGTCTATGGACCATTGGGACGGGGTGTGAGTAGCTGTCGATTGCTGGATGCATTGGGGAAAGGATTTGCAGACTATATTCGGGACAAGGTTGTGGATGTTCCTAAAAGTATTGTTACTGACATGCAGGCGATAAAAGAGATGAGGAGAGCGAACTTGTAGTCGATCTTACAGCCAGGCCAATTTGGTGTTCACAATTTGAATCCTTCGCAGAGAATGCTGAATTTCCGTTCTGAGAGTGCGAATCTAGAGGTGTCAAATCAGAAGTGTAAGTCCAGAGGTGAAGGCAGGTACGACCTTCACTCCTACCTCAGCCCCACAACCACTCCTGCCCCACTTTTGCAAAACAACCCACTACTTAAATCTCTCTTTCAGCTTCTTTTTTTTTTGTTCTTCTTCTCTTTTCTTTCCACAGCTATCCATCAGAGTCGGTTACCGAATTCCAACCTTGACTGCAGAGCATTACCAGGATGGCTCCTTTCTCAGACGGTCAGCTTTCTTACTACCTCGAAACCGCTTTACACCTGTCGTTCGTCAACATCAGCCTTTGTCGCTCACTTCCAACATGCCAGCGATTGCGGCGGATAACACTGCCCGATCTAAATTTAATGCCGCAATGGCACCTTCACCGAGACGGTCGTCCTGCCACGACTGTCTGTATTGAATACCCCGTGGGCTGCGAACTTGCTCTCATGCAAGTGTTGGTTCACGGCAAGTTTCTTTACTTACACACGTCACAGTGTGACGCCAGCCGCACCAATCGATAAGCCGTCCATGCCAAAGATGGCGGCGAATCGCCAAATGACTTCCTCACCTTTGCAGTAATGCCAAAAGTTGAGCAAAATCAAATTCCAAACGACGACGGGGACTAGTCTAAATGGGATCGTCTTGCGACGATATATCATAGTGAGTCACTCTTCGTACTCATCTTCCAGTATCGATTCGCTGACCACAATAGCAGATCGATAGTTCGAAACGCACAACTCCTACTACCACTCAAGTCAGTCAACCTCGACGAGCATTTGCGGCTCGCGCTCAGCAGATGTGAGGATTGGCAGAACAGATGGTCTGATACCTCCACCATGTACAAGCCAAGGTCGATATTGGCAGAAGTACATGGCCGGACGTGAAACACGCAAATGAGACCGTACGACCAGGTCGCTCAGATCAACGGAACAATGAGGTTGTAGACAAATCCTGCAACCTGAATGAGACGGTATAAGGTCTTGTCCTTAGAAAACAAGACCTTTTCGCGGTTTGAAATGAACAAGGCTCAGCCTTCGCAAATCGAACAGTCTGCGCAACTTGCGTAGCATCGAGGCAGTGCTGACCTGGTAACTCTGGACAAGTCATCTAGGATTGAAGCACAACCATTCCCGGGAGCAAGAGCCCAGTCCAGCTCACACAAGCGAAACTGGCTGAGTTGATCGCAGTCAGCACTCTTGCCTGAAACTTCAGCATAAATCTGCTTCGGTGCCCTTGGTGAACTTGAAGGAGTTGGCAGAACTTCAGTTGAAGGGTAATACCAGCAGCTAAACATGCGCTGTACTCATGATACCTTTATTACGACGGTGTATCTTCTCGAGGGATAGGCTGATCATAGTGGGGGTATTGTGCGGACGATCGGAGTCGTTCAGGATATGGGAGTCGACATCACTTGTCGCTCTTTATGAGATGCCGAAGAAAGGAGAAACCAGGTTGGTGAAAGAGGAACAGAACCCATAGCTCAGCCATTCGTTAATCAATTTCATTTGTTACGACCAATCAAAACACTTTCTTCATGTGCTGAAACACATGTACTCGCTTGTGCCTGAGATCTTGCTGTTTGTAGCCGGCGCAGGCTGGACTCGGACCGGTCAATGGTAAGACTTTAGAATCGTGGACGTATGTAGTTCCCAGATTGCAACCAGGCACGGAGCACGTATGTCATGTTAGTACAGTATGCCTGGCTTGGATAGTCCTACGTGAGGGGGCAGCACCCATACTGTACATGTATCCCGATATACTCACTTCCGCGTATTGTTCTCTCAAAAGCCACGTTCTGCCAGGATCGGACGAGTTCGAAATGTATAACTAGTCACCGCTCTTTATCACGAGTTGCCACGAGTCCGGCACATATTACTCACCACTATACCGATCACCGGAACCCACGGGGTGACGCTGTCTTCGCCTCGATAGGCGAGATCCTTTTTAAGTAAACGTGCATGTAGGCGAGAGGGCGGCGCAAGTGAGAAAGCATCTCGGTTCTGAGGTAATGCAGCATTCGCCTGGAATACGGGAAACAGACATGGGTCTGCTCGTACACCATTCCTTGAGTGGCGATGTCTATGTTAGAGGATAGACATCTTCTCCGCTTCACGTCTTGATGTTAGTCGTTTCTGTCTTAGGCTCCTAGATAGGTAGAGGCTCATTCACCGTCTGGGCTTTTCTGTGGGAAGGGTAGGGCCCGAGACCTGGTTACTGGAATGTAATTAATGTGTACAGAAAACTCTCGCGAGCAAACAGCCGCCATGTGCTTCCTGCAGAACGAGTTGAAGTTTGAGCTGTGATTCACTTGAACAAAAGTATATGATTCATCACCTCAATGAACCTGGCTGCCAGTCAGCAGATCACAGTTGTGTTTCCTCGAAGCAATAGTGACCCCAGTGATTTAACGGGGAAGGAAGGAATACTCAGTCACCGACACCAGTATCTATCCACGGTCGAGACCTCGAGTGGAGTTGTTCATTCAAAAGCATAACGCAGACTTAGGATTGACTCCAGGTCTGTGCAACAAGCTCCAGAAAGCCGTCGTTTCAAGCCATCCATTCTGTGGAAGTGAAAGTATATCTCGTACGCTTAGTTGTAAGCGAATGTGCTTATCTCGTAATTACGAAGGGAGGGACCGACACTCGTATTCGGGCAATGAAGCATGTCCAAGGACAGCGAGATCCTGCGACTTGCAAAGGTCACACCATATTTCAATTGTCCCGAACGGAGGAAGAGGCGAGAAGGGAAGCTGCAGGGTAGGTCAGGATTATGGTGACAACGGAAGTAGCGATGGACACGAAGGTCTCGGGCCTTCCAACTACTCACTGCTCACCTAGAGGAATTTCGTTCGCCGTTTCAGGAATTGAAGCTAAAAAGTAATGTGATGAGGTTGGAGTGGTTCCACTCTCGTTAGCGTCCGGAATGCTGGATACGAAAAGAAGCGGGTACTACTTCGGGGAGCACTTGAATGCTTTGTTGTTTGTTCAATGACTTGAAATGGAAATGGCAGATGTTCCCTGTCTCTCGAATTGATTCGGTCGAGTGCATAGCACTAAACCGTTGGTGGAGACGATGGACTTGTCATGATCAACGTATGGCAGGAACACCTTGCAGGAGGAATGCATGACTCCTCTCAACTGAGGCTTTGGATGTTCTGATTGCGATCGCGTATGTCTCGATCAGCCAGAAAATCAAATGCCTCCCCCGAGGAAAGTGTGACCTATCAGCAAATGCACATGTGGGCATAATTATTTAGTACTTGTAGTAGTTCGTGGCGTCTTTCGCTTCGTCCTCGCTTAGGGTGGGGGCTCCTCACCAAAAAGAAAATCACGCCACTCTGTAACTACCGTGCTTGCAGGGCTCCTAATCCCGCAACGCACCGCAGACTAAGGATACGCGAGTCACTAGGCATTTATGCATTTTCGCGGATCATTTTGAGAGGAATGAGAAATATAGTTCACCATGAGATTGTGTGCTATTTATGCTGTACGAAAATGGGTATCTCTTTTGACTATTGAAACGCTGCGGACGCCGTAATTCATGCTATGCTTCATTTCATCCCTGCTGATGATTCTCGTCTTACCGTAATGTTTACAAAGAAAAGGAAAGAGTGGTATCACTCATTGCAAAATGCACGTAGTCCCATCCCGGCGATGTTTTGGAGGATCGTGTTGGTAGCTCGTCCCCTTGCTTCACTTTCGAGGAGACGTTCCGCTTGCCTTCTTTCTTGTTCTCGAGCGAGTCGACTGGGCGATACATCAGCTTCATGACGTCCAGAGTTGGAGTGACCGCTCGAGGTTTGCGGTCTGCCATCGTTCCTTGGTTTGGGAGATGCGCCCAGTAGCATGATACTATAGACGATATCACGCTGCTCAATGCCGTCACGGAGCTGCCGAAGTCGATCGAAGATCTCAGTGGAAATCTTTGTGGGTTGCTCAGAAGCTCTTTCGACCAGATGCCAGAACTCCTCCATACGTGCCACGAGTTGCTTGTTGAATGGTTTCTCGAGCAATGGGTTGTTAGCAACCGTAGGTACCTGGCTTACGTCGATATCCATAGGGCTAGGTTCTGGTTCCGGATCTTGATAGAGGAAATCAGACATAGAACCAGTTCGAACAACAGGCTCAGACGTGAGTAATGCTTCGAGGGCCTTCACACGCCGCGCTAGTTTGTCAACGTCCTCGTCATTGATACCTTCCTGAGCTTGTCGAACGATCAGGTTTAGTAGAGCCCAGACCATTCTTGCCTCTTGACTGGCTAATTCTGCTTGCTGAGCTGGCATACTGATAGTACCTGACATGTTGAGGTCACCATTGATAGTATTGCTGATAAGGGTTAGATAGAGCATGAATTGTGCCAAGAGACTGCGATCACTGGTCAACAAATGGAACCCTTTCGTGCCAAACCATCTTGAGGGGCCAGATTCGATGAGACAGTCCAAGCCTGGCGCAAAAAAGGTGTCATAGACCTTCTGAATTTCGCTGAAATTTGGGACAAGATCGTGTCGAAGGGCAGGAACTTCGCGTCCCCTGTGGCCGTTAATGGCGCACACGTCTTCGATGGTCCGAACGGACGCTGACATTTTTCGGAAACACGTGGCTGTGTATTAATTCAAAGCATAAATCTTGTTCGTGTGCGTTCTTGCTCAGAGACAGGTGGAAACTTTAGCGACTGAGGATGTCACGAGTCTGGTATCGTAAGGTTAGCATGAAACATATGTGGATACGCCACCGAGGTCGCTTACATCTGTGGTTGATATGTGACGAACCGTAAGGACTGTGGTTCTCCATTTTGTAGCCCTGGTTGATGCTAGATGGTGCAGCTAAATCCGAGGTTCGGTGATGATAGCTGTATTCTGTGCTCGTATGTTCACGGGGCGAATTTATTGTCCCAGAATTTTGTTGACTCGTTGACGTGGTGGGGCTTGTCGGATCAATATTATTACCGTATGAGGATCGAGAGTTGGATGATTGTGCATGCGACGACGCTGATGTGCTCGACGTGGTTGGCGCTGGCTGGATAGTGTGAGATGGTGGTTGAGCTTGAAATACTGGATCGTAGCCCGAGCACTGTCGTTTGCTTTTGATGCAATTTCTACAGGCAGGTCTCTCTTCACCACACTATCATGAGAAATTGTCAGCACAGTTATCGCCAAGAGATACAAAGTCTGTCGTCTTTGCAAGGGAGTGCGCGGGTGTTGTGATTGAGATTTGATGCTGTGCACATAAAGAGACCAGCGATTATGAAACGTGTCCGCGTGGAATTAAACTTTGTGGGTGTGTGGTAAGCAGCAGTGGCATCTGCCAGTGTCACAGTGAATGGCGTGCAGTGGGGCTTGTCACCTCTAACAGAGGCATATGCAGACCAACCGCAAGTCTAAATAGGGCTTGGCCAAGCAGATTGATCTAAACGATTTTAGACTTTCGCTTCTGCCGAGGTTCGACCTGACCAGCCAGAAAAGGTTTCGAACCACTGCAGCCCACGATGTGCGATAGTCGGCCAAACCTTCCAACTCGAAAACTGGTTGATCATAGACAGAAGTGAACGTAGAAGTGTAGATGAAGCATGTTTGAACTGCGCAACATTGAACTCACCTTGATACGTCTCCTCCTGCAAGTCATGCAGCCTGTCTTCGTCCTTCTCTTAACTTCCTTGTTCTTGGGCGCGTGGCGACTCGGCGTATAACCGATCATGTTCGTGGCATCTGCAGAAGATGGTAATGGCAAACGAGTGACTGGCACCATGTACGGTATCTGGCCTGCGTATATAGGTCGGGCTGGCTGCACATACTCGGGTTGAGGCATGGTCTGCATTGAAGTATAATAAGGAAGTGGTGGGAGCGTCCGTGCTGGCGGAGGAACTGCATGTTGCGCCATTTCGTGCGAGGCCGGGTGTTGTTGTGCAGTATTCTGGTGGTCAAAGTTGATTGCGCTGATCGGTGGTAGGCTAATCGACGATGTCATTTGACCTAAAGTTGTGTTCATGCTCTGGTATTCGTGGTGCATCGAAGGTGCATTGCTGTGAGCAAAATGCTCCGAGGAGTGGGAGTATGGGTAAGCCAGAGTCGCAGATTTCCTCCTTCGGTCTCACTATTGAGACCGTTTGTACCAGTATGTACCATTCAGGTTGTTGTCTGTGTATTTCCGCCAGGAACCTATGTCGAGACGCAAGTTAGCCGACCAGAGTAACGAGGTTCTTTCGTCAAAAGTTGCAGAAAGTGAACTGTTGTCTGGATTTGAATAGAAATCGCAACGGTAAGCAACGACATAAACGAATCCTCTTGACAAGTCAGGTCGAGGTCGCGTACAGTAGTGTGGCCTAGTAGCGGGAACGAACAATGTTAAGACTAGAATGTGGTTGTGGCTGTTCTCAGCAGATCAGTCCCCACGAGCTTAGTCAAGCTCAATCCTCGAGGAATAATGCCTGGAATAATGCTGTGACTGGGAAGGGCAACACGATACCCACTGTGCGCTATACACCACCTTCTGAACACGGTCGACCATCTGCCGTGGGCACGCAATCAGTGGCCTGCTCAGCATGTGGGCGGTAGCTGCCAATGTTACGGCGAGATTGAAGAAGTCGCGCTTATGCATCGCTTTCGTATGCTAGGCACCGTGTTTGGACAAGCATTCGGGTAGCATGAATTCATTGTTGTGGGCCTGCCCTTCCACTAACAAAGGTTCGCTTAGGGCATGCTCCAGCAAAACCTGTTCCAAGTTGTCGCCATCCAGGATGATTCCTCCATATGCATTTTACTCAAAAGCAAGCTCGTGGAAAGTGTAACCTGCACGCCAGTTTCGGAGAAAGGTGCTCAACGCAGCTAAGACCAGGCTTGTGATGGAAAGTTTCGGGCTAGAATGATCTCCACTGACCTGATAGACTTTTGAATGAAAACCGTTGCCAAGCCCTTCACGATCACTGTCGCGGCGGTGATCCACCTTTGACTTCACTTACGTTCATGCACTTGCTCTCCTTGATCAGGCCTTGCTTGTAGAAAAGTCGATATGTCGAGGTGAGGCCAGTACGACTACCTTCCGACCTGAGTCTGCGTTCTCAGGACCTTATTGTTTTCCAACTGGCATGATCTGAATTAGCCTCAATTGCCTCTTGTCGACGAATAATGTCGTTAGGGCGGATGCGGTAAACGATGCGTGCAGCAGGGAAGTACCACCTTGCTCGGCCCAAGATTTTAACTCAAGTCTGTTTTCGTCCGTTCCAATGAAGCCTTGTAGATCCTCGCACTAAGTCGTTATTGAGTAATGGATGTCACGAAGCAGATTGATGAGTAAAAATCCACAAAAACGCCAGCCTACGCGAAAAGAGTGCAAGTAATGTAGCAAGCAAATTGTTCACGAGTAGAAACGACGAAAGCCATGTACAGAAGCGATCTACGAGGGCAATGTCCTAAGCACTCGAAAGAAGTACATTTGTCACCCGCGTCTGAATATACTTTGGTTTGTGTCACCAGAGGTTCATGCTGTTGAGCATGTTGAATATGGCAAAGTTTACCTGGGGTTGTTGTATACCATAGCCTTATGAAGGTCGAAGGGTCAAGGAACACAAGATGTCCGAGAACAGATTGTGCCTCAATGTTGTGCACTCGACAGAGGCCAACCTAGTCGTGCTTAGGTCTGATTGTTTGCTTAGAAGCGGCCGCGATCGACATCGGAACAATTCTAGCTGCACATCGCCTATTCAGGGCCGGGCAGGACCCAACAGGGGCTGCAAGCTAGAACAAGCGATACTCAGCAGAGAGCGTTAGCCGAGGAAGGAAGAGTTGAAGGCTATCTAGGATCAAGCAGTTTAGTGCTGGGGTTGGTGGCGGATCTCCAGAGGGAAAGGACAATGAAGATGAGCAGGCGGTTTCATTCAGCAAACAACCAGCGTCGACAAGGATGGTGGTGGTGGTTAGGAGGTTACTTGCATGACTTCTGGTCATGTATGCGAGAAAAGCAACGACGCATCACCTTAAGCCGTTCAGGCTGCATAAATAATGATGTACAGCAGCGGAAACGACAAGACTGCTCGCTTCCGGCGCATTATCTTTGCTGAGAATCTGTTCTCGCCGAATGCGCAGAGCATATGTGGGGCTCTACGCTCTTGCCATTGCATGTGGACGAAGCAGGTGACTTGTTCATCGTGTCAGACACACCCCAGTCTGTAACATCGAGGAAGCACGTGCGAACACATTTGTGCGAGCACTATTTCTGTGTAACTATCCGTCATTAAAAACGAACGAAAAGGGTTTGTAGAAAGACAGCGAATGTCAACGAAGGAGATTGATGCTCAAATGCGTGCTTCGTGATTGACAGCGAAGTCGTGAAAGCTAGACACGAATATTGGTCTTTTGTATCTTGGAGGGTGGCATTTGTGTCGAGAACTCTCACTCTGAAGGATCACGAGTGCTGAGTGGCTGTTTGGCTTTCCGTTTCTTGAAAACGGGCGTCTGTGAATTGTCAGCTGCAATCTGCACGGTCTCGGCTTTGGTCCCGGCAGGTAATGGTCCCGAAGATGCTGTAGCGCTATTGAAACTGTTTACCGTTGGGTCTGTCAGAGGATCGGGGACTGCAACAGAAGGGTCAGACTTGATCACGACTTCATCTTTAGGTGCGGTCAAGTCAGGAGACGCAGTGGTGTCGTTCAGTACTGGCAAATCTTGACGTCCTTTTTTCCGACTCTTAAAAAGAGGTGCAGCAAGCAAGGCGCCTAAGTCGTCAGCTGTACCTTTCGAGCCCGGATATGATTTGGTGGTCGAACCCCAACCTTTGCGGACGACAACATCTTCAGTTTCCTCCTCCTCGGCGTCGTTCTGAAACGGTCGCTTTCGAATACCAACGGACACATTGTCCTTGTCTTCGCTAGGGGGACCGCCTTCGATAGCCTTAGTAGAGACGACTTGCCAGCTGCCGGCCATGGCATTTTCTGCTCGTGCGTGATCAGGAACAGCGATGCCTAGATCCGCAAGCTGAGCCCATTGCCTTTTCTGGTCAGCAGCGGATAATGTGGTAGAGGCGGTCTTGGGTGGCTTTGGAGGAGCGTGGCTGTTAGAGGTAGTGGACGATGCGGTCAGACCGACTACACGGTTCAAGCGTTCGATTTCTGTCTTTGCACGTTCCTTCTCCCTTTCATTCTTTTGGTGATCTTTATGTATGCCCTGTAAAAATCGCTTGAGGTTGCCCTGGTGCTTCCCGGTGTTCTCATGCTGCTTTCGCTCGAAGGGAGTGTCCTTCACGTAGATGCTGCAATGTTTGCACCAATACTTTGGCTGTGGAAGGACTTAGTCGGATGCTCAAATAAGGGAGTGCAGGTTTCGCTCACGGTCGACTTCCAATGCTCAGACATGTCCTGCGTGTATAGGTTGAGAAAGCGATCACATAAACCATACAAAAATACAAAGGCGCAAGCTGAAGACTTGCTCGCAGCAGGCGTGTGAAGGCAAGCTAGAAATTGCGCTGTCGCGTGTCTGTACTGTGAGATGAGAATGAACAGCCGTCAGATACCCCAACCGCGATTCGACCAAAAAATGGGCACGGTAAGAAGCTAACGAGATCTGGCTGGAGTGTTGAAGCGACGCAGATCTTCTAGGCTTGTCTAGCTCGTAGCGATTGTCGTGTGCGTTCCAGTCCGGTTGTCCTAGCCAATGGACATTTCACTCGTTCTGATTGTTATCGAATGTGATAGTAACCCCAGATACCCTACTATCTTATTACTCACGCGGCCATATGGCCTCGAGCCTGAGACCAAACAGGAAAAGCGTGATCGGGAAAGTGCGGTGTTTAAGAATTTTTTGAGATTCGGAGCTGCACCAAGCTCGGAGGCACGAGTCCCTTACATCTACTATCTTTCTTGTCTGCCACCTGCTTCATCTATCCTACATCCGTCAGTTACTATACCACGTTTGTATTACCACATCGACGACATCCTCGGCCTGTAGAATTTTCTGTACCAACAGCAGATCAGCACACAAACTGCAAATTACAGAACCGGGCACACTACTGTTCCTTATCGCACGCGCCCACCCAACAACCCTAATCATTTTGCCTTTTCATCAGCCACATCGATTGTGATCGAGATGCGAATCTTCAGCTCGTCCCACGAATTTGCCTACTCATGGGAAGAAGTTTCAACGAACAACTGGCGGAAATACTGCCCCTGGAACGACAAAGCCGAGCACGTTTTGGCCGTGGACACATTGTCGAGAAGAGTTGATCCTACCACTGGTATCCTCCGAACAGAGAGGTTAATCACATGCAAGCAGAACGCGCCCCAATGGATAATATCCATCTTAGGCGGCGACACCACAAGTCAGGTCTACGAAGTATCATACGTTGATCCCGTTGCCAAGAGGGTCACCATGTGCAGCACAAACATGACTTGGTCAAGTCTGTTACAATGTCGAGAGACTGTCGTTTATCAGCCGTCTCGTGTCGACACCAATGGGAGGACAGAGTTCATGCAGGAGGCCAAGATAATAGCTTTCTGTGGTGGCTGGCAGAAGATCAGGAACAAGATCGAGGAGGCCTGTGTCGATCGTTTTAAAGAAAACGCCGCAAGAGGCAGAGAAGGTTTCGAAACAGTGCTAGAGATGAGCCGGAAAGTCTTTGGCGAAGAGAGGGAAAGATTACGCCTTGGTCAACCTGCGATGGCATGAAACTTCAGCCATTGCCTCATTTCACGATTCCACGAATAGATTTGGTTTGAGCGTTCAGCGACCTGACATCAAAAGCCTGGAGTTGGATGGAGCCATTCTGCACTTTCAAAAGCATGGCATGGTATTTTTCGTCTTAGACATCGTTTTGAGCACCGACTGTCTCTGCTCATCATCTCACTTGCACAGGGTTGTACCACCACATTTACACCCACATAGATCTAGACATAGAGAGTATTCAGCTGGAAAGATCAATCTATTGTCGATAGACTCAGTTACGACATGAATTGAAGACAGACACACTGTATACACTTATGGTCCGCTGAAGGCAAAGGTCTGCAAGGACAATAATAGCCCCTGTCGTGTAACAAGGCCTCTGTGTTGTATAACAGCCTGGTCTACCATGTTTCAGCAGCACATGTAATATTCGCACCTATTCTAAAGGCGATCAGAGGACCAACCACTCGGCACAGATCCGATACGTACTTCAGGTACATTCAAACTCGAGTAGACGCGTCCGGTTAGATTGAGCAAAGTCATGCTCCACCATTCGTAATGTATCAGGACAGCCGAGAAAGTCAATCTGGGGCATTGATCGTTCGTGCTGAAACAGCCGCTGAAGATCATTCTCAGCGCCAACAATGATTCTACCATTGAAACTGAAGTGTAGTCTTCTCCTTGCGTCTCCTACACATCAACTCCGTCATGTTCGTCGACGCTCTTCCTCTGACCTGTTTGATGCACGACCTTCATGATTGAACGAATACCTACTTTAATTTCCGGACGCCACTCAATGCCTATTGGCGCAATGGAATATCCCTGAGTTCCAAACTCATTTGCATGCTCGATTTCTCGACATGCTTTCGCATGCAGTCGCAGTCCACGGTCCCGAGGAACCAAGCAAGACACCTGCACAACCATTGTCAGTGTCGCCAACACAACTGGAACACACGCCTTGGCGCTCGAAGTCTCGGAGTAGCGGGCTTCATCGTCGCAGCATCGTGGCTGCCTCGTCACACGACGCAGCAATTGCCTCACTGATCACGAACTTGACTGCTACTTCCAATTCTGACCACCTCTCCGACAAGCCTTTCAGGAACACCACTCCTGCGCAACAAAAAACCCCAGATCGTTTCGTTAGCAACATTTCCATCCACCCAGCTATACGCAAATTTTACGAACACAAGAATCCACGTCTTGGTCTTGCCGGCTCCGAGCAAGACTTCTGTCCTCCGCCTGTGGCTGGTTATAATACTATCAATGCTGGTACGCAAGGACCAAACACCCCAACTAGTACAAAACCTCTGCGACGGTTCAAGGACAGGAAGTCTCGAGTAATTCTCAAATCTACAGCATCATACATTAGTTTGAGAGCGGCTGAATCTTTCAAGGACCTCGACCCTCCAGAGCCTTCACCTCCGATACGTCCGAGTACATCATACGGCAATGACTCAGTCAACAGCCTACCACTATCAACGCACAGCAAATTGAGCCGGCCAAAGAACCGCTTCAGGATGTTCTTCTCACAAGGCTCAAGTATTCAAAGTAATCGAGTCCTGCCGGACGGATTGTCACATCACGATGATGACCTGTCTACTAACACGTCTTCCCCTGAGAAAGAGAAGGACCTGCACTTTTCAGCATTTGTGACGCTTGGCAGGATATCTACAGATGTCGACAGAAAAGAGGCCGACACAAAAACTTTGTCTTCAGCGAGTCCCTCGCTACATTCGAGTCTCAACGAGAGCCTTATTCCATGCCGAAGGTCCTCTCTAAGATCTGCTCGCAGGCAATCTGTCCGTAACAGCAGGGACTTGAAGAGTCTAAACATTGACCAAGATTTGATAGAAGAAAACCACGAGACTGTACAACGGATAAGGCAGCTACAAGAGCAGAGAGAGAAGCGGCACAAGGAATGGCGTAAGGAGGAAAGACGCTCCGAAAAGGCAGCAAGACACATGTCGATGCCAATTCCGGACCCTGACCCCGTGCTCAACAGTGGGGCTCTTAGATCCTCATGGCATCCTAAGATCGAAAGCACGCCAGAAGTAAAGACTGTGGACGGAGAAGAGCCTCCGACACTCTCTGCAACACTAACTGCTGAAGATTTGTCCTCCCTGCCTGCATTTCTCGACATCAGTGAAAACGAGACGCTGACACGTCTCGAAAAACCACCGAGCGGAGATGTCGATGGTACAACAACAGGTCTGAGACGTGACGGATCGGTAACACCTTCGACAACGCAATCCGTGTCCAGCATCCGAAGGCCACAGAAAAGGTTGTCTGATAGCATCAGACGAGCATCGTCCATAAGACAGCCTGTATCTATTGATACTAAGACTGTTTCTGACGATGTTGAATCGTTCCTCTCATCCCCACGCTTGAATCAGAAGATACGGCATCCAAGAACTGGCCGAACCATAGCGTTTTCAGAAATAGGCGATCCCAACGGATTCGTCGTCTTCTGCTGCGTTGGCATGGGATTAACACGTTACGTAACCACATTTTATGATGAGACGGCGAAGACCCAAAAGCTGCGCATCATCACTCCAGACAGACCAGGTGTGGCAGGTACCGATGCCATGCCAGCAGAGCGAACGACTCCTCTGGCCTGGGTCGACGACGTAGCTGTCATATGTACGAATTTAGGTATCGAGAAGTTCTCGCTACTTGCTCACTCAGCAGGTTCAATCTACGCACTAGCTACCGCTTTGAAAATGCCACAATATGTTCGGGGTCGGATACATCTTCTGGCGCCATGGATTCCGCCCTCACAGCTGGCAATTTCTGGTCAGTCTGGATCGTCGAAAGCGGCAAGTCTTCCTACAAGTCACAAACTCCTTAGCATCTTGCCCACGTCGTTCATGAAGGCCGCGAATTCCCGCTTTCTGTCCGCGGCCTCAGCAAGCATCGAACCTCGAACACGAAAAGGAAGGCTTGATTTGCGAGATTCAGAGGTCGCACTGAATCAAGACCCTGTCGACCAGGGAGCAAGTGTGTCGCAGGCCGATATAGCCCAATCTAATGGCTCGATGCTATCGGCGTCTGGGACAACGCCTTATCGGGTGATGTCGGATAATTTGACGGCGTACCAGGCCGAGAGAATGCGAATGGGCAGTCCGGCCCTCAGTTCGACATCAGCGACGACACCCCGATCCAGTGCAATTTCGCCAACACCATCGGGAAAGCAGACTCCGAACGGAACGCGTTCTCACCACCAGGTACTTACATCAGAAGCCCGACAAAGGCTGTACAATGAGACACTCACGTACAGAACCTGGTCGCTTGCCACACTTAATGCAAATCCCGCAACCGATCTTGTTATATGCCTGGAGCGTCGTCGGCCAATTGGTTTCAGATACACCGACATAACACGAGCTGTGGTCATTCACCATGGCACGAACGATACCCGCGTCCCCCTGGAGAATGTGCAGTGGCTAGACAGCGCAATGAAAAGATGTGAGTTACGTGTGCTGGAAGGCGAAGGACATGGCCTCATGGCAAGCGCCACAGTGATGACTAACGTGCTAAGCGAAATTGGTAAAGAGTGGGAGGAGTGGTCTTGTATAGCCAAAGTGCAGGAACAGAAGAGGAAAGAGGAACAAGCAAGAGAACGAGGGGACGCCAGGGAGCGAGAGCGACGCAAAGGTTACCCTAGATGGTAGAAAGGGGCGGACGTTTCGTTATCAGGCATACTGTTCGCCAGGTTTGATGCAGACCTCGTCCCTACAAAGTGCAACGAAAAAGAGAAGACAACCCGAGAGCACATGATACCCATAATAGTTAGGAGCAGCAACGGTGCGACACGACCGTTGAGACTGAGGCCATTTAGATAATTAATGAAGTTACGAACTGCTGTCATAGAGCAGCCAGACAATAATGCCATATCAACTTTGGTCACATTGTCATATTCCGCACCTCCAAGTCGCTATCTCAGGGAATGGAGACGTCTCAAGAACAACCACTCTCATTAGTACAGCAGATTGAGATCGAGACCTGCATTGTATGTGTAATGCCCGAGTCTCTGCTAGTAAGAGCGAGCAGATATACGTGCTACCTTGCAGAGGTGAAGTGGCCTCCTACTGTAATATGCAGGCCTGTAAATCGTATTTTAATACAAACACCCAGGTGCGTCCGTTGCAGAACTTTTCAGCAATAGTGACGCGACCTGAAATAGGCGCTAGTCGGGGGTTTGGGCACTACACTCCAGGCGTGAAAAGCGTGTTGGCTCAACGTTTGAATTCGAAAACTTTCTCAACTCACAAGCACCTCAATGCTGACACTTTCTAAGTGTAAGACCACAATCTCAGGTCTTCCTTACCAAGTAATTTTCCCACCCTGACATTCCTGCGCAAGTCGCGCCGGCATGAGCAAGGTACCGGACGCATGGGATGACGAGTGGTCAACCGCCGCCGATGTAAGAGATATAGCCCCACGTTTGTTGTACACCAGGAAATTGACTGTAGCAGGATCAGGATCAATCCGTGCAAGCGGATTTAAAGAAGCTTACAACCAAGCAGACCAAAGCCCAGAAAAGAGCTGCTCAGGCCGAATTCAATCGCCAACTGTGGGCAGAAGCGTAGGTTCTTGCTTACGCGCAATCGTACCAATCCACTAACTTCGCGACAGAGAAGGACCGTCAGAGACCAACTATTTCCTAGAGTCTCGAAATGTCGTACCTCTACGACAGGAGTTCAAGCCCCCACCAGTCCTTCTATCACGAAAAGGTCCCATAATTCAAAAACCACGGTCTACACTAGAAGCAGGCCTAGCCACACTCAACCTGAAGGAAAAGGAGGAATCCTCCGAAGATGAAGACGACGAACTCGCCAAGCAAAAAGCCCTCGACGACGCCAAAGCACAAGCTGCCCGAGACCGTGAGGAGAAGCAGCGCAAATACGAGGAACGACGACTCGAGCTATTTGGGCCCGATGCCTCGTCGAACAATAACCTTGCAGGCAGACCAAACAGCCGCTCTGGCGGATCAAGTCCAGCAAACCTGACGCCTCCCGGATCACGATCGTCAACACCCCACAGAGGTGGTGGGAAACGCGGAGGTAGAGGACGAGGTAACGTCTTTGGCAATAACAGTCCTCGAGCACAACAACAACAGCAAAGAGAGGCCTACGAACTGAATTACTCTGCCAAACCAAACTCAACCTATCTCATGAAGCGCGAGCCAGGCTACGAGAACCCGAACCCGAACAAGGAAGCTCAACCTATCAGGGCACCGAAAGCTCCCGACGGGAGTGGGAGGGGAGGTGCCGGCTTTGTGCTTAGGCGTGAGAATCTTGCGTAACAATGACCTTGCGATTGTGCAGGTATACTTGTCGGCTCTGAGTGTGTGTTTGGGAGGCCCTTCGAGCCGAGGACTGGGCCGGACGAGGCGAGAGTGGAAACTTCGCGGTTTTATAATGCTGCACGGGGGATCGAACTACGATGCATGGCAAAGAGACCATGCCGTCTTGACGACGTGACAGTGTGATACTTCGTTCTTGTCGCTGCGGAAACTATTGCCGCCAGGTCGCAGACGTGAGTATGGTACAAAGAGTTTACGTCAAAGACAAAAGTATACAAATGAGAAGAGGGGTATGTCATATTTTGCTTCCATCTGCTCGTAGAGCTGAAAGACTTACGTTGTAAGTCTTATCAGGCTAAAATCTCGTTCGATTGAGTTGGATCGTTTTTCTTGTCGATCTTGTTCTTGCTACTGAGTCTTACGCACCACTAATACTATTCGCGGTCGAGTTCTTCGCTCCAAGTGCTTAGTATGCTCATGGCAACACTGTTCCTTCCCTGCTCATGCTGAGACTGGTGCTGGAAATTGCTTGTTTGTTCATCTTTGCTTGTCCGTCGCTCCTCAGTCGCTGCCAGGAACTCCTCCACTCCGTGGATGATCCGCTGCACGTCTGACTCGATGCTAGCATATCCCACAGGCTCCTTTCTCCTGACCACACTGTTCAGGATGGCATCAGCACGCTGCAATTGAGCAGCCCAACTATTGAGAGTCTCTAGATGGCCTTTCAGAGTTTCAATCTCTTGGGCAAGGGTTTCTGCTTCGCAGCGATTGCGTGTATTCGCGAGCTTGGAGAAGGCGTTCCTGACTCGGCCAGGTTTCTGCTTGTGGAGTAGTTGGTCTAAGCTGGATGCGTAGAGTATTCGCAGTCCAGAGAGATGTTTGAGGAGCGTGTGCACATGGTGAGAATCGGCGGCTGCTTTAACGGCTCCATCAATATCTGCTGGTTTTCCTTTGTACTTTTGAGTTGATGCAGGCAATGTCTTTGGGTAAACTGCAGCAAGGGGTGTTAGTTTAGGCTGTTTTCGCTCGAGTTTAGTTGGTGAGGTATTCGGTGCAGAATGTCGACGCGGAATGCTATTATTGCCAGCTGTCGTGCTCGAGTGTTGTACATGGAGTAGATTGGCATCAGACTTGCTAAAGGATGTCTTCGCAACGATTGTGCTTGCCTGATTGTTAGAGGTAAGACTCGACTGCCTCTCGCTGATGCTGATGAGTGATGAATAAGCTTTCTTCCTCCTCATCTTCGGTGTCATGGTGACCATGTTAGCTGTCGGGATGGGAGTGTCAGGTCGGCCGCGCGAACCTCGTCGGCATGCGGCATATTTGACTCCTTTGAAGTCGTCTGTATCGATAGATGATTGCTGCTGTCGTTGTGGTTGTTGCTGCGGTACCCCTGGGCCCTTTACAGCATACAGGGGCTCATTGAGCTCAGCACTCTTAGCGTCCTGATAATCAGTTACCTGCAGCGCCGAGTTTTGTTCGACTCGGTTGGCACGTCGGATATCCAACGGCTTCGGCTTCAACCTCAAGGCATTATGTCGCTGCAGAGCGGGACGTTTGAAGGTCGTAGCGATATCGAGATGTAGGTCTTGCTCCGCCTCTGGCACAGTGCTAGGCCTTCCTATGATGATCAGTCGTGGTCTTGCACGTTTAGACTGCTGTACCTTGGCTTGTGCAATCTGCACATCAGAGTCCGAGTTTTGCTCGTTCCCCATGTTTGGGTGTGTCATCTCCATGTTTGGGTATGTTAGTATGTCTTTGGCTGTTACTGGGCTGCAGCGTAGTGGATCTGGTAGAGACAGACGTAGTGATCGTTCCATGGTTTTATGCTATGTCTTGGGTAGATTGCAGCCTCTTTACTGTTCCATCTTGTTTAAATATGGTTGTCGCTGCGTGAGCGGAGCGGCCTGACCACAAAGCACAGGCAATTCAATGGAAGCTCATTGTTGGAGCCAGACTAACAATGGAGGTTCTCTCTCGTATTGTATTTCCTTTTTGGGAAAAGGACTATGAGAACAATGTACTATGGTATAGGTACAATGACATTGACGGGAAAACGTTGTTTCGATACATTTCTCAATGCAAACAAATGCTGTCGTAGTGGCGAGGTATAGACGTTGAGGACTGTATGCCAAAGCGATATGCCGTGAACGAACAAGCGACTCACGATGGGTTCCGAAAAGTCTGTACAGTCTTAGCAGTGTTGACCAATCTTGGATGACGATGGGAGAGTATGTGCTCAGCGACCTCGCTATGAATCATGAGTTCAGCTCCTCCCATGACTTGGGTATTGCTCTCGTAGGAGGAATATTACATACCGAGCCCAATGTGCGCCGGTGATCTCTTTAGGCACATGACCTTGACGTCCTGTGCAACTGTTCTGTGACCTGATCAGACGTGCGTGATGTTGCTCGATCTCAAACTCGAGCAATACTGCCTCTTTTATCCATGCGTTCGTGGAGTCCATCCATGGCAATTTCCAATACCTGACGGTCACACCCGCAGCTTCCTCGCTCAACGACGTTGGCTCAGTCCTTGCGCTGCCAAAATTTTCCTTTTGAAAATAATTGTCTCAAGCGCAACAGTTTTGAATGCTCAGAAAATGTACCAATAGATATTTTTCACTTTTGTGCTCTCCCGTACCGTGATAATCAGACTTTTGTCCAAGTCTCCTCGCTAGCACCTACTCTCTTGGGTATTTCCGGAATGTTTACACACTCAACTTGCAGCCAGCAAGTGCTCAAGGTCGAAGACACACAATAGCAGCTATTTAACACGTGGTTGTGAAGGCACTCAAGGCATACAATCACAGCTTTGCCCGCTCAAACGAATGGCACGCGCATCATGAATGTCAAAACCTACTGGAATTGATAGAATGAAACCCCTTGTAGCTGTCGCAATGTCGATTTCAGCATGCACGCTCTTCAAGGATGCACTGAGTCCTTGGTTCCACCTCCCGTGCAAGATACGTGCTGAGCGCGAGCCGATCGGGAACCAATTGCATGCTCACAACGTCCGGAGCGCGTCTGGGTCGACATGATCAAGCATCTGTCAGCTCAGATGGCAGTTAAGCGCCTGCAACTACAGTATGTTGTCCATTGTAGGTCTCATGCCCTGCTTACAAGTTGGCAATTCTTTGAGGTCGAATCACGCTTGCCGAATATGGCATGTGTGCCGATGTCGATCTTTTCTTCTCTTTCCTGACTTCAACCCTTGATAGATACACTAATATCGTGGATGCTATCCGACTTGCAGGATCACTGGTAAAGCCTTGTATGCTGGAATGCTCCTTCTGGCTCAGAAGCGGCGTCCAAGCATGATTTGAGCTCGTCTTTATTACCCACCATACCACACTGAAATGCCGTTGTTGTCAAGTTTGATCGATACTCTAATCGACCATATAATTTGATTGAGCCTGCTTCCATTAGGTTCGAGTCGATGGAATCGTGAAGGAAACGAGACCTCAAGATGATGGCACACCATTGTCGACACTTTACTTGGATCTCACTCCAAAGGTTCAGCATTGCTGTCTTCCTGCCTGGCAGTCGTGCCGACAAACTTAGCGTTGAGATCGTCCAGGCCCTGGTTGTCTCTTTGAGTCGCCTCTTCTCGTCTCTGACGCTCTCGAGGACTGAGGGGCTTTATCTCTCGTAAACCTAACAAACGTCTGACATCGTTACCACCCTCCCATTCCATTATCACAGCGACCTCCTTCAGAAAGTCATGGAGCGAGTCGAGATCGGTACTCCCTTTCTCTTGCTTGGAAGGAAACATCTTGTTCATCTTCCTGACTCGTTGGATGGGGTCCACTGAGACGAAAAGCTCAAAGTATTGGTCGACAAGGGCTTTTTCCTTCTCTTCAGTCGCACTTCGACGATAGGAAATGCTTAGGCCATGGACAGTGGAATAGGCTATGTCTTGTGGTGTGGCTTCTTCGATGATCCTCTGAGTTGAGCCTACCTATCTGTTAGGTGAGTTTGCCAAGATACAATCTCGTCGTCACGCTACCCATATTAAATGGTTCGGCCATTGCTCGTGGTCGAACGAGGTCAAGAAACAGAAGGTCAAACTCAGTGTCGAAAAGATCGTAGGGCGTCCTAGACATAGAGGGCTTTTAACAAGGACGGTATCTTCCTGACCTGCATCTCAGAAGACAAGGGCGCATTCAAAAGTAGGTATTTGCTCGTGGTGATGGTGTTTAGTCCTGCCTGTGCAGGAAAACACCACATTCAATATTCGTTTAGGACGAGCAGCAGGTGCAAACATCGATTGACTGCATCATATACATTGACCCAAAGTAGGTGAACGAGCATACCTAAACCAGGTGCTTGCAAACAATATCTCAACACGAACGAGTTGTCACGAGTGATCTGCAATTGGAGCTTTGTATAAGCCCTCTTGCTATGTGAAAGGTGCCGAAGCATGACTCGGTTTGGGAGCCAGTGATATATTTCAAAGAGTTTTGCATGCCTTTACATGTTCACAGCTGGCTTTGCTAAACTCAAGTAGTATAGTGATCGAGCAAGTACAAACACAAACACGAAACACCCTTTCGTGATCTCGGCCACCACATTGCACAATTTAGCGTCGTCCTTTCTCTAAGGCTTCTTCACTGGCCGTCCTCGGTATTTTCCTTGCCTTCGCCTCCCTCTCCCTCTCAATTCGAAATTGCGTCTTTCGCTCTTCGGCCCGCTTTTTGTAATCTCTGATCAGCTGTCGGTCGCCCTCACTTACTGGCCGAGGTGGTCCATTATGCGAAACGGAAACAACAGGCCCATGTGAGCATCGATGTGCTGTCTGTCCGGGTATTCCTTGGTATGAGCTCGGTTGCTGTACACTGTTGGCATTACCACGATTGAGCTGGGCGATGAAGTCATCTGCCTCTCGTATGAAGCTGTCATCCCCCTCGAGCTCGGGCAAGGATGGAAAACTATTTGCCGGCGCGGCTATCGTGGGACCAGTGAACGCTTGCTGTGGCGAGTTGTGTCTTTTGACGACCCAGCCAGTTCTACTCCGGCTTTGCGGATCAGATGGATGACCATACAGTCCCTGCCGCCACTCGTCCTCCCTCCACCGTACGATCTCTCCGTAGAAGACTTTTCCCAGCACGAAAGATTTAGCCTCAGCTTCCTCACGATCACCCCAGCTTAACACAGTATGAGACCAGTCAACTGTGCTGTCTTCTGCTGGCATACCATATTGGTCGATGAGGACAAGATCCTGGTTTGGTTCCTGTGGTTGTTGCACTGGCTTGCCCGAAGATACGGGTCGTGGTTGTGGTTGCTTGTCTTTGGATTGCGGTGATTCAGCCATAGGTGAGTATGGGTTCAACTGATGCGATGAAGATACTGAGCAGCTCTCCTACATATAGACAGCAAAAAAAAGGAACAACACGTAATGGCTTTGGGGTGTCAGTTGCACAGCATCTCTGATCGCTGCAGGGCAGACTGCGGTGGTAGGCAGGCGAAATCGAACGCGAAGGAAGAACAGTCGACAGCATCGATCGATGTCAACAACCACAGCTGCTGTACGCGGCATCAATCACGCACAATGCCACTGGAATTCTCAGAACGTCTTTGGAATAATACTGCTAACAAGAGAAAAGACGAGAATACCTGGTGCAACCAGAGGAGGAACATAGCCTCAAAGCGCCATTGCCTTCCATAATGGCCCCCATTGTTTTGTGCAACTGGTACAATGCACTGAGATGTGGTCGATGCTGGCGATGTGATGAGAAGGGATACATGATGAGAAAAGGGAATATGGTGAGTACACGTTGGCCAGTTCGTTGTGCGTTGAATATCAACGGATCGACTACAAGTCAAGTTTAATTTCTGTACAGAGTATTTGCGTTAATCACCAACATGGCTCTGGTTGCACAAGACCGTCGCGCCTCTTTGCAAACATTCTACTGCACGTGGACCGCAACGAAAGCTCAACGCAAGGGCAAACGCAAATCACCTACGTCCACGTAGTACAACCTGAAAGAAGATACAACACAGTGACATAATGAGAGATATTCAGAAAAGTGCGCAAGGCATAATTGACATTTTTTAATACACCAATAGAACCCGTTTAAGGACTACCACTCTATTTTGGATCGTCCGGACTCCTTATGTCGCTCCATGTGCCTGGGTATCAATCCATATGCAAAAAAAAAGCAAATTCATTTTGTATCTCCCGCCAGTATCCATTCATAACAGATTGCTCGATTGAGAGAAAATCATCACTCAACTGAAACCACTTTATTAGGTACTTGAGCCAAAAAAAAACAACCTGGATACCTGTCTATTTCGTGATGTGTTTACAAGCTCAGAGCAGCGATGATGAGTGCCACCAACGTGAACATCGATACGTGGCTGGTACTGGCTGCGCCTGTGTATGTCTTTACTGCTGAGTCGCTGGACGAGCTGTTGGAATAGCTGCCTGTGCTTGGGCTGGGGGTGTACGAGGTAGTGTTGTCGGATGAGGCTGGGCTGTTGGTGCCGGTCCACACACCGTTCTCCCAGCTGCCACTGCCGGATCCACTGGTGGAAGCGGATGTAGAGCCTGAGCTAGATGATCCTGCAGTCTTGTCGGAGGTTGCGCCGCTGCCATCGGCAGCCTTGCCAGGATTAGCAGCGCAGGATGCTGCGCAGTAGCAAGATGGGTTCCATGTTGAGTTCGAGGAAGCGCTGCCTTGGCAGGTCTTTCCAGCATCCGATGGAACAGAAGGCCATTTGTCGACACCATCGAGCAAAGCGATAGCCATGCCGCCAGCGAAGTGAGTATGCATATGGCAGTGGAGGAACCAAGCGCCTGCGATCTCGACCTTGTAGCGGAGAACAGTCCATGTGGATGTTCTCTCGCCTGCAAGAGTTGTGAAGCCGTCAACATATGGTGCGCTGTCGAAGTTGAACATGGACGCGTTGTAGGCATACGCTTCAGCGACGGTAGACCAATTGAAGGTGCCAAGACCCTGGCCAATGACAAAGAATTTGTTGGCGTGCTTGTGCATAGGATGAGGCTGGGCTAGTGGGCCCGTGGTTTGCATGATGATATCGACCCAGTCGCCAAGGTTGGTCTTCTTGACGAGGTCGCTCTCTGGGATCGTAGCAGGATCCTTGTACAGAAGTGGAGTGCCGTCATCATTCGACATGTCGTATGCAGTGTTTCCTTGCAGTGACCAACGATACGCATCTGTAGACTTAGGGAGTTTCTGCAGGTTGAACTTGAAGGTCTTGTCTGCAGTCCTGGAGAAGGCCTCTGGAACGAGTGGTGCGGCCTTGGCTGGGTTGAATGCAACAACCGAGCCCAAGGGAGCACCACCATATGTCATGGCAGCAACCGAAGTGGATGAGATACCCTTCGAGCCTTTGTACGAAATCTTACCAAAACCGCTGATGATCTGGTTCAGGCCTAGATTAGCCACTCGAATTTGATAATCTCCGACTTGCTGGTCAAGCTTAATGAAGAATGTGACGCGCTCGCCATTAGCAACATTAACCTGATCAACGACATGAGGCTTGATGTATCGGCCATTGTAATCATAAACATATAGCTTATGGTTGTCAACGGTAGCCTTGAGCAGAGCGAACCCGCCTGGATTGATCAAAGTAATTGCAGCCCAGCCATCTGCTGGATCGACCGTCATGGTATAATTCTTGCCGCTTGAGGACTTGGTGCAGACATCGTAGACGTCAGATGGAATGGCGGCGAGGTTGCGGGTGAAGTTGCCTTGAGTTTGAGGAGTGTTTGCTGGGATACATCCCTTGTTAGTGTAGGCAGTGTTCAGGTTTGTGATCTGAACAGGGGTCATTGCTGTAATCTGTTCTCGAGTTGGGCAGTATTGCTCGCCGAAACCGTTGAGGATGATTGCGTCCGAGCAAGCAATATCGACATTTCCAGCTTGTTGGATGGCAAAAAATTGATCGAAGGTGTATTTGCTCCAATCAGAGATGAAGATCGGCTCAGCCTTGGCATCAGCAAGCTTGAGCTTCTCTACTGCGCTAGAGTCGATAGCAGCGAAGGGAGTCTCTTCACCATCAGATGGTGTGATGTATATTGCGCCATAGAGACCGTCCATGATCTGTCCTTTGTAGTGCGAGTGGTAGAAGTAGGAGCCTTGCTCGTCAGCTGTCCATCGATACATGTAACTGTCGCCAGGCTGTACAGCATATTGAGAAAGACCTGGCACACCATCGGACCATGGTGTACCTGTCTGCTGAATGCCGTGGAAATGGATACCCGTATCCACATCAAGGTGGTTGTGGACGAGGAAATCGACGCACTCGCCAACCTTCAACCGCAGGGCAGGAGCTGGGAAAGAACCATTGGTAAGAATAGCACCCCGAGCGCCTGCACCCGTTGGGTTGACTGAGCCCCAGGTCAAGTCAATAGTGAAAGGAACACAATTAGAAGCTGCCGCACAAATGCCATCAGCCCGTCGTTCGAGTACATTTGCTGAGTTTGTGCTGATCAAAGGTGCGGTAAAGGCGGTGGTAGCGAGGGAAAGGAAAGAAATTGCACTGGTGAACCGTGAGAATGCCATCTTGTCTGTAAATGTGAAGATAAAAGAATGGAAGAGAAGTTACTATGAGTGAATACTCTGGTGGTTAAAGAATGGACGGCTAATAAGCCTGGAGTTGTAGAGATGTAAAGCAAGAACGAGCAGGCTGGCGAAGAGCCGGAAGGACGTTAACTTTATGAGGTTTCTGGCGCTCAATTTTACGGGTGAGGCTTGACAGGAGTATCGTGATGGAGCCCGAGACAAAACCGTTGTTGCCGTGCAGAGGCGCTCCAGCACGATTTCCACTCAAATGTTCCTGACTGACGGGCTAGCTCCACCAAAGAGACTTCTCGAATCCAAAATAAGGACATCTACGTCTGAAGCTAGACTCGCTTCTCTCCAAAGTGGTTAGCTGGTGATGGAGAATCTGTAGTAATCAACAATATGATTCGTTGAGCATCAAAGATCAGACGCGGTACTTGTTGGAGCCCTGCAGGTACAGAACTCTCTTGGAGTGGAATATCACCTGTCGCAAAACGCAATGACACTACTTGTAGTGCTTATCAGCACAATCCTGACAGCCAAGAACATATCTGGAGTTCAGCTCACATACTCTGCAAGAGGTGTTGAAGACTCATCGAGTTGTGCCGCAGGTGGCATCAAACCTGTCAAATCCGCATGAGCATGTGTACATATGATCCTGCCGACGACGTTGCGAGATTTGTGCTTAGATCCTGCTTGACCTTACTTTTCATTGGCGAAGGTTGGTGTATTTCAGTAAGCCAAGATAATCGCTTGTCCAGACACAGCTGCGTCAGGCAACTCAACGAAACTGGTGAACTCAAATCCATGAGAGGCTGTCTGAGCGGAAGTTGCGAGGTAAGCGAAACGTGACCCGTTGAATGGTACCAGGAGTGTACAAAGAGAAGGCAGGGATTGGACGGCTAACGGCAATTTCAGGGGCTGGGGCCTCAGCTGGTGGCCAGTATTAGCGTGGCTTGTTTCAAATGGGATTTGCAGGCTAGCTCAGTTTTCAGGTTGTGCCTTGCAGCTTGGGCGGAGCAGTTCTATCTCCACCAAAACCCCAGTGGCGCATCCTCGGCCATTCAGAGATCCTTCGGCATACCCTCTCTTATTGTAGTAACCAACATGGGATCTGGCATAGCTGTCAGATGCAGCGAAAAGCAAGCCTGGAACCTCAGAAGTTGTCAAAAACAGAGTATACGTATGCTATGACACTGTTACGATCTAAATCTGTGCTTTACACCTGTCCATAACTGTCTTGGAACATAGTCTGAGACGAAAGTACATCATGGGGGATTAGTAATATTGAGCCCGAATTTCGTAGTTTAGCACGCCACTTGCATCTTACATCTTCAGTCTGCTGTTGTGAACAATCAGGTGTACAACTACGGAAGGACGGATGTGTGCACACTCGTTCCTACTCGGACTAGCAGCTTCTGCAACACTGATGCAAGTATCCTGAACACTGCAACATCTGAGAAATCTTCGTACAGTGCTCTGAAGTTATGAAAGTACATCGCCCATTCACACGAGTTGCGAGCTGCGAGATTGCAATCTCGCTTCTCGTCACTAATGTCCGTCACATGGATCAAGCTACTTACTAAGAAGCTTCCCCAGATTCTATTTGGCTGCGCAGGCATGGGGTGCATCCTTCGTGCCTGCGTAATTTGTGTCGAGATTTGTTGTCACTACAGCCCTGCGCAAGGTTAGGGTACCCTGCTCCTACCACTTTCCGGTTACATCAACAGTTGCTACCCATGGGCAATGACTGTGCTGTGGTCCGCTTGTGTACCACCATCTTGTGTCGCGGTACATCATCAATCGAGCCAATGCTGGCACGGAGGACGTGACTTCGATCCATCGCATGCCTTGCTGCGCTCATCATTGACAAGAGTTGAGTGGGACTCGGGCGAACGCGCACTACCTACATACATCTCGCAGCCATTCGGCAAAGCGATATTGTACTGCCTCTAATGTGGTCGTCCTTCATCTCTCAGCACAACAGTGCAGCACGCCGCTGTCAAGCTCCATGCCGTGTAGATTGCTAGGTAAGCTACAGCAACCATGACCATCGCAGTTGCAATTCTCCAGTTGTTTTGATGCCAACTATCGAGGACTTACGGTGCCGTACACTTCTTCGTCTACGCCCTCAACCCTGCGAGTCTAATGTGCGTGAGAATTAAAGCACAAAGTTGAGCTTGGAGCCGAAGATATACGACCTCCTTTCCATCGGTCGATCTGCGCAACGCCAAATGCTGAGGCAAGAAACAAGAGAAGGGTTCTAACTATGATCGTTTTGTCTACACTCACACAGGATGCTCTTCATCGACCGACTATCACGAGATCGTACCTTCCATCTCGAATGACCTATCAGTGCAAGAGTCCAGGAATCCCGTTCAGGCACATGTGGGCAGGTGCTGGGCAGCATGCAGCCTTTGCTCGCTAATCCATGAAGATCAAATCCGACGTTCGGCCGATCACGGACAAAAAATTGTTCGAGCGCAGCAAGAACTTTGCAATTAGTAGGCGCCAATTGCTAAGTTTCAATAGAGGATCGCGAGCTGCAGGAAGTGAGAATATGATGCGGGCGTCAACTACTTCTTGGAGTTGGCATCATAATTGTAAACGAGGCACTGAACATCTATGCGGACGTCAATATATCATGCATAAAGTCACGATCCAAGATTCAGAATTTAGAGCCTACATATTCTGATAAATCCCGTCTCTCGAACATCGAGCACATTCTTCCTCGTTCAGGTCTTTTCTTGTCCTTACTACTGAAAACCGCGCGTACAGCATGACAACGACCCCAATCCGTCTAGGCTTCATAGGCGCCTCAACTGGAAAAAGCGGTCCCGGTAGCGAAAGCTGGGCCGTCAGAGCACACGTCCCATTCCTCAAATCATCTCGTAACACATCCTACACAATCACAGCCATTCAAAACTCCACCCGCCAATCAGCCGAGAACGCTGCAAGCAGCCTTCAACTCAGCGATGTCAAGGGATTCTACGACAACCCACACGACCTCGCAAAGGATGAGAACGTCGATGTCGTGGCTGTCAGCGTGAACGTGCCGTCTCATTATGATACCGTAATGCCAGCTCTCAATGCCGGAAAGGACATCTTCGTTGAGTGGCCGCTTGGGCGTAACCTCAAGGAAGCACAGGAAATGACCACGCTAGCTAAGCAGAAAGGCGTGCGGACGATGGTTGGGTTACAAGCACGGCAGAATCCAAGTGTTGTCGCTGCGAAAAGACTGGTTGACGACGGGTCTGTGGGTGAGATACTGAGTACTACTATGCATGGCTATGGAATGATCTTTGGTGCTACTACTCTCAAGTCATTTGCTTATGGATTTCCGATTGAGGCAGGAGCGAACTTGCTCACTATTCCGTTTGGACATGCAGTCGATGCGATGTGCTGGGTCCTCGGGGAGATGGAGTATGTGTCTGCTACACTTGCTAATCGAAGGCCAAAGTTTGAGGTTACTGACCATGCAGGAGAGGTGATGGGCGAAGCGACCAAGACTGCTCATGATCACGTTGCAGTCACTGGTGTTCTCGAAAGGTCTGGAGGTGTGGTGAACCTGATGTATGAAGGGGGAATGAATCCATCAGGTGGACCCAGCTTCTTCTGGCAAATCAATGGCACGAAAGGCACACTTTTGCTCGAGGGTCATATGGGTCATTTGCAGATGTTCCAACCCAAAATCTCCTTTGCCAAGGTCGGAGAGGAAATCAAAGAGGTTGAAGGAGTGAAGAAAGTCGACGCTGATTTCTCCTATGCTGTTGGTGAAGCGTGGGAAGCTTTTGCTGGGAAAGGAGGTGGTACTGTGACGACTTTTGAGGATGCCCTGACGAGACATCAGATGATCAATGCGATCTATCGGAGTAATGAGTCAGGAGAGAGGGAATCTTACATGAGAGGATAGAGCTTGGGAGATGGCATGAGGCTTGGTGGTGCTGATCGTGTTATCATTGCGTCCGTCGAATGTGGCTCAGCGACTACCTGCTCTTCCCAATTCGTGTACGTTGCTGTTAGATGCCTACAAGTCACATCTCAAGCCCAGTTCTGGTTGCGAAAAACATTTTCCTGTAGATTCAAAACACTTTCTAGCACGTTTGTTTCAACAACATGACTCTTTGTGAAGTATTGATGATCAATCATGGCTGTTCGGTTGATTGAGCTGATGGAAACCGCATCGAGGTTGGTGCCTCCGCAATGCTTTCTTGTGGCCGTATTTGCAAAAGTTGACGACTAGTCTCCACGTCAACAATCGCAGAGACGGCGAGCTGTATTGAGGGCAGAGGTGTCCTTTGCTCGATCAGCCGGCGGAGTATTGCCTTTGCACCAGAGAGATGCGCCTGAGCTGCATCAGGCTGCTCATAAGCGTTAGAGGCCATATAGAGGTTGATAGCACTGACTAAAATATCTGCTGTGACAGCTTCCTGGCTGGCTATCAGGTCAGTCCGAAGGGCGGCTGTACCTCGTTGAATCATCTGTAGCTTGTTGAACTCTGGACGCTGTAGGTGGCAAGCTATGTTCGCGAGCAATGCATGCATTCGCGTCCGATTTTGCATACATTCGAGAATTACACTTTCAGCTGTGCAGTGCGGTACAAGAACGTCGTCAAATCTCCCTCTGTATGTACGATTTATTTGGTCCCACATCAAATTGTGGCACGCCTCTCTGTAATGTCTTAATAAGGCGAGTACTTCGCTGTTCATCGGGGTCGAAACGGCGTCGAAAGGATCATATGGATTGCCGATCATAGCAGCAGGACTAAAGGAGAACGAGGGTACAGGATTCCCACTCCTCGATAAAGTCAACTGCTCTGTGATATCGCTGTCATGATCGACCGGCCTGCCTTCCGGTGTGGTTGTTGATTGAGGCTCAGGTGTGAATTGCCAAGGTTGATCTGGTCCGAATCTTACTGCTTGATTCGTTCGATTCGAGGCACGAAACTGCCGGTTGCGCTTATTGATGCGCCTACGTTCCGCAGGCGTAGACCTTGAGACATCACCTGATGAGCTTGTCTTGTTGATGAACGTCAACCATGGCATCAAATCGTGCTATGGGTACCGACCTTCGTAGTCCTTGACTTCTGCTATCGAATTAATCAATCAATCAATCAACCAAGTCCAATGCTGGTACTCCCCCTGGCTCTTGTAGTTGCGGAAGCCACTAATGAGCACAGTACATCAACTGGCGAAACAGAGAGAACCTAAGCAGCACTGTCACCAGTCATAAAGCAGTTCTGGAACCTATCAAGGTACTAGTAAGTCCACACGTATGGCTCCGTGAGCATTGTCGTGGTTGAACATGGGGAAGCGTGGAGATTTAAGGAATCTATGTTAACTCGCGGAGGTTCTGGAACGATCTCCATACAGGTACAGAGCATCCAGGCAGGTCTTGAAAATACACAATAGCAGGGGGTGGCATGTCAGTGTAGTGCCTTGTTAGTGTTCAGCTGCAGTATCCACATCAACCGAGTCTGCCATGGAATTCTTGAAAAAGCATCACAAAGCAAGTGCTTACAAGATATTTTGCGGCGCCAATTACCAAGCAGGCTATACCTATCACTTCGTATTCATTCAAGTCCATCGTTCGTTCGTCTTTAGATTCTCTGGCATGCCGTATGGAGGTAACCTTTCTCGGGTCAGTCATGTAGTTAAGGCGCAACCGTAGTAGCACCTTTCATCTGTCGCCCGGAGGATTTGCCTATCAGTTGAAGCCATTCTCAAGGCACGTCCGTATGCAATTGATCGCTGTGCTTGGCCACGATGTCCAGCAAGAGACGCAATACCTCGTCTCCAGAATGTGAAACGCCAGTCAAGAGGCGGAACATCCTGCCTCCCATGGAAACTGCCATGGACAGAAGTCCTAGTGAGTCGTCCGTGCTCGAACCTGACTTCGATACGAACGAGCGACCACAATTAGACGTATACACTGGTCAGACGGGAGCGTTTCCTGGTCTCGATGTCAGCAATGGCGAACCCTTCTACGGACCTGCGAACGATGGTATAGACTATTTACGAATGGTTCGATCCGAAGCCAGTGGTATTCCTCATCTTCTCACTGCGCAGGCCGAGAAAGACACTTACATAGACGATGACAACAACGGGGATGAAGATGGTGGGTACTGGGACGGTGATGGCACATACACGGCAATGGCTGCGGTAGATACACAGAGCACAGACAATGCAATGCCTAAAGCACAAATAGAATGTTACCAATCTCTGCTTGCGCAGTTCGCTTTGGTTCGAGCTACCTTAAATTGTGTCCCCCCTCTCGAAGCTGTTGAGAAGCTCACCTCGTCACAGCCAATCTCTTTTCCTCCAGATAACAAGAACGCTCGAAGGACGTGGCTACATTGCTTGAAGGTTCTCGATCCCAATCCGGTACAAGTCGCTTGCATAGACGAGGATAGTGTACTGCAGCTGATAAGATTCCTTACAACAAAATTGCAGGGACTTTTGCAGGTCAACAATACTGTTTCTTTGAAGAGAACCAACGCGTGGATTTGGGCTGTGTTGGGAAGATGTCCAGATCGAGGCCGGCTTGGAAGTGAGGAGATTTCTGATCTACGGCAGCTTGCGCAAAAGGTTACAGACATGAGAAGTTTACTTGAGAGGAGAAGCCAACAGAAGTCAGAAGAGACTGTGGTCGAGGACGATGAGAGTGAACATTATGACGAAGATCAGGCAAGTGAAGATGAAGCCACAATTCTGGCCGACATCGAGACCGCGAGAAAACGGCTAGTGGGCGATCCAGATGGGACAGAAGGCAAGCACCCGTCAATTGTAAATGGTGAGAAGGTAGTAGCCGACCAACACCGTGAGGTTAAGACTGCAATTGAGGAGACGCTAATAGCTTTTGACATGGTTCTCACTGTGGTAGGTGAGTTGTATGGTCAACGGGATCTACTAGAGCGACGGAGAGCATGGGCAGAGTAATGAGACGATGAGGTGACCTGGCACCCACAAAAGGCCTACACACGATGAACTACAGTGTTTGCAACAAACACAGTAAATGCACTGCCGACGGATAACTGCATGAGCAAGCCTTGCCTAATGACCCTGATGTCGAGATACACGAAATCACATGTTTCGACCACTGGTTCGACAACTTTCACTACGGTGTTCACTTGCGCTTCTCTTCAACTGTTTAGCGATGGATTCTTCCCTCTCGATGACCTCCACCACACTTTCAACAACGCTTGCGCTCCTGAACATCCTTGTCCTCTTCGCTAGTGCGCACGCGGTTATGAATTACGATCCGAATATATCCAATGGTACATGTTACTATGCGAAGAACAAGCAGGCAGATCCTGTTTATGCACCAGCAGGAAATGTCGTATTCGGGCATACTTATTGCTGTCAACTGGGGGACAAATTGAACACCGGCACAAGCGTCTGCGTGACACAGAGTAGGTGCCTCTCCTACTACACTGTTCATCTTCTAACCGCATTCAAGAAACACCATATTACACCTACATCGCCGGCTGCACGGATCCTGATTACAGCGACCAAAGCTGTCCTTACAAAGGAAATTACACCGATCATCAATGGGTAGGCATGGCATTCTGTGAAGGAAAGGACGTATGGGTAGGCTGTCCAAATGGTGGATCGTCGAAAGTAGGACCGTCACCCGAGAGTGAGAATTGTACTTGTGACCTTGAAGGAGATGACCCAGACGTGATCTTGGTGTCTGCTGCTCAGCAAATGACAGCAGGCGGCCTTCTGCCAGCGTCAACCGGTGGGGATATTACGTGGTATGGTGGCCAGTTCCCATCCCATACTGTCATGCCAACTACTCAGGTGGTCGATGATATAAGCAGTGTGGGCAGCTCTTTGACATCGTTGATTGATCCTACAGCGTTGCCCTCCGACAGTACGCCTTCTGACAACACTACATCCTTCGCTGGTAAAACCTCTTCCACGAGCAGTACACAACAAAAGTCCACCTCTTCGCTATCACCTTTGACTACGCCAACCACTGCTTCTGCTGCTGCAGACGATACAGTATCACACGACTCCAATAAGTTAGGCACCGGGGCTATTGCTGGAATCGCAGCTGGAATCGTTAGTGCCTTGTTTCCTATCGTTGTGTGCCTCTATCTCATCTTTCGGGACCGACAGAGACGACGAAAACAACACGCAGATCCTGATGCTCAACAGTCACCACAGAAGCCACCTATCGATGCCGAACCCACCCTTCCTGACGTTGGATCGCCCTGGCTAGATGACAAACCAGAGCTTCCTTGCTCGTCTGAGCAGGATGGTTATAGCAAATCAAATATTCCAATAGGTACAGCTATCACTACGCCAAGTCAGTCAATACCGCCAAGCCCACTTCATACAGCTCAGGTCTATAAGCCATTTACCTATCAACCGAGCACGATGGACGAGATTCAAGAGCTACCAGACCATGAAAGACCGCAATGGGCTCAGACGAATTGGGGCACATATGGACCATATCGAAATACATCGCCAGAGCAGGCTTCGAAGGGTAATGGTCCGAAGGGAAGTGTTCACGAGTTGCCAGGTTGAGGTATGAGAGGCTCATGGGGGAAGAAAGAGTCTTGAGCCCCTTTTCTCTGGGTATATGGAACGTCAAATAGACATACCACAACTCGATGGTAGTACTATTTGCTTCCCTCGACAAATAATTCACGGGAACTGTAAGTATGGGGCTGAAGATTGGTCTTGGGAATGTCAATGGATTGCAGTGTAGACTTCACTTTCGTCCGCAGTCTATTTATTTAGCAGCAGCCTGTGCAACCGGTGCACTATCCAAATAAACCTGATAGAACCTCATCCGCAACTTCCCATCCTCACTCTCAACAAACTGAGCATGTCCAGCCCATTGAACCGTGACATCCTGCCCGTTATGCAATTCATAATCCACACTTCCGTGAATCATCACGTCCTGTGAAGTGAACGGGTAAATCCTATGCAGATGATGCTGTCTATATCTTAGTCAGCACTGTACTCACCCATGCTTTCTCAAACAACCACTAAGGTTTTCGAGCAAAAAAAAGATTCTATCCTCACCTCTTCTTCACCGGCCCACTCCAGAGCCCCTTTCTCAACGTCATAATCTCATCCTTCCCAACCGCCTTCTTCGTGCCCATGATCAGAGTACCTTCCTTGGTCAATGCGTCTACATATTCATCGTCGGCTGTTTGGCTATCCGATACTCTATAGAAGTTCTCGAAGAATGGGATGATGCGGGAGTCGAGCTCGACGGAGCCGGAGGGGGCGTGGCCGGTATATGGTGATGATGACATTTTGTTTTTGATGTTCTTTTTTGACTTACGCTGAGTATGCTTGGGTCCTAGCAATGTCTCTGTGAGTAAGATACTTTACAGGCATTCAATACGACGATGATCTGGTGGGGGAAGTCTTTCGGCTATGGGGCGGCAGAAGGAGTTGGAGAAGCTTCCGCTGTCGGATGAAGGACTTCATGTCGGGATGATGTAAATTTATTCCCCAGAGTACATCCCCCATAAAATCGAGAGCACGCAAAGCGGATAGCTGAACCATGTACTCGTATATTCAGCATCAGAAGTCTAAGGTCGTCTAGATTGAAAAGAGATGCTGATGATCACCGACGGCGAGCTCGCAGAGCGTGCGAGCAATGTTGGGACAGGGAGAAGGTACTGTAGACTTGACTTGCTTTCGGTCTTCCTGAATTTGTCGCAACGAGAATAGGATACACATCTGGAAGCACTTCGTACTCTATGTATTGTTTTACCCCCGACACTCATGACCACAAACAGAGAGGGTTTGCAGAGCGTAAGAAAACAGAAAAACGGATGTTCGTCAAATAGTATGCTGATGGGATGTAATCGTAAAATCGTCATTATTGTTCGTTATTCGTAACACAATAGCCTCGCTCAGCCTGAAAATCTCATCCAAAACAACTTAGGTATCCGTCAACAATAAATACCAAAACCTCTTTCATTACCTTCCTTGTGGGGGCGGCGGTTGTCCCATAGGAGGTGGTGGGAACCCGGTGCCTGTGCCGTATGTGTTACCCTGATAACCCTGTTGGTAAGCCATCGAACCATAAGGATTGTCGTCGAAGTAGTGTGGTACATTACTGGCACCATAACCTCCAGATAACGGCGAAGGTCCACCATTAGCACCACTCATGTATGGTCCTTGGTTGCCGGGATGATATTGTCCATCACCATTCCCACCATAGAATGGATCACTTAAGGTCGGTGCGCTATTAGTAAAGTCACCATCTGCCATACCGACCATCCTGTACTTTGCCCTCCTCGCACTTCTCTTTCTTGCGTGGCGTATATTTTTCTCCTTTTGTTCTTTATCTTCGTCCATCTGTCCTTTCACCTCTTTCCATTCTGAATACGCTCCCTTTAGACCCAAGGCTGCAAGGCCGATACTTGCTGCTTCTTGCATGTGATCTCTAGTCTTGTGTTGTTGCGCTTCTTCTTTGCTGATCGTACCTTCCTTAAGAGCTCGCTTTCTTCGCTGACGCTTCTCCATACTATCGTGCACACTCTTACCAGCATGAATAGTCGCGACTGTCGCCAGGCCACCGGAAACCAGTAGCCGCTTTCTGCTCTTATTGTTCAATTGCTCATCGTCGGTACTGGAACCCAAGTCAGAGTCTGAGTCTGTTTCAGGATCACCATTATGGTGGGGTTTAGTTTCATATATGTAGCCCTGCGGCGGAAGGGAAATAGGGCCTGTGCTATGTGGTCGAGAAATCATGGCTCCATTTTGAGCATTCAAGGAACGGGAAGTACCTACAGGTTGATTGTTGTAGTTGGGCGGGTCATAGATCGACCCTCCTGATCGTGGACCATCAACATAGTTATCGTCGGCATACCGATCGTAACCGCGGCTTCGAGAGCGTCGACGACTAGTATCTCCTCTTGAACGGCTGCGTTCGCGAGCGCCAGCTGGATCAACTCTGTCAGCTGCTGACCCTAGACCAACCCTCGACAGACCGCGAGCAATGACTGAACGACTACGTGATCTGGCGCGAGGCGGAGAACGAGAATCGTAAGAATCATAGGAGTCGCGGCTACGTTCCCGACCTCGCGATTTCGAGCGGCCCCGGACAGAGTCAGCCATCTTCTTCGCTGCAGCTGCAATAGCGCCTCCTGCCGCAAGATCTCGGATCTTGGAACGAGAACGACTACGGCCTCCTTCAGGACTGTATGACCCGTCGCGTCGACCTCTTGATCTTGAACGGGGACCATTGACGAGTCTGTCTGTGGCAACACCAGCAACAGCTGCTCCAATCGTATCGCGGAGTTGGTGCTTCTCAGGATCTTTGTCTCGATTGATGAATCCATCCACACCTCCAGCGGTCAGAGCAGCAGTCAAGACGCGCTTGCCCTTTTCGCCGTTCCAGCCGCCATCTTCATGTCTGGCACGCCAGGCGGAGGCAGCACCTGCAAGGACTGCGGCCTTGAGCGCCTGCTGAAGCTGCTCTTTCCTACGGTCTGGCGAAGAAGATCGTCCGCGTCGACTACGTGAACCTCGACCACTGGAGCTGGAGCGAGAACGTGACCTGTTCTTCTTGCCAGTGAGTGTTGCGACAAGTCCTCCAAGCCCTATTGCCTCAAGAGCTTCTTCTGGCATTGATTTTCTGCGCTCTTTCTTAGGTCGTGGAGATGGACTGCGGGATGAGTACTCGGACTGGTAACGACTTCGGCGATTGTCGTCGTGGCCTCTACGTCCTGCTGCAGCGTAATATGGGTCTCGTTTGCTGCTTGCAAATGAGCGATCGTCATCATAGCGATCCTGCTCATACGATCGTGCTCTGCCGGCAGGCCTGATACCACTCTTGCGGATAGTGGTTTCGCGATAGTATCCACCATTAGGAGAAAACTCTCTCTTGATCTCCTCATCGTACGAGTCGTCGCTTCGGCGCCTCACCATGGCAGTCGATCTCTGGTTGTCGCGCGTGTTGTAAACAGTCGGTTCGTCGTAGTAACCATCGTCGCGTCTGCGGTCCCTCGTGGTACTGCGGCGGTCGTCGTAGTAGGACATACCTGCAAGCAGGTCGCTTCAAAGATATAAGACAAATTGGCCTGTTGTGAACTAAGAACAGGGTTCGATCTTTTGTTGTTGAGTATAGGCGTCGAAGAGAAACTGATAACGACTTGAGCGGGGCAGTTGTCTTTTGATGTCAACGACTGGGAGCAGGTGGCGTGACTTGGCAGCAAGGATACTATGCTGGAATGAACGCCTTGCTTCAATGACAGGACCGGGTTCAAGTTTTGCGGTTGCCTTGAGGTGGTGGTAATTCCGAAGATTTAGGCCTTAGACAAAAAGGCCTGAGAAGTGGGTTGTGTGAAGTCGCACTTCAAGTTCTAGTATTGGGCGTGCGATTCGTGAACAGTTTCGCCTATCCGTATCGAAGATCTAAAACTTTAGCGACTACGGTAGAGTCTGCGAGTCTGAGCGAAAACGACCATCTTTGCTACGCGAAATATGGTTGATTTTGTGAGATTTGAGCAGCATAGAGGACAGCGCATGCGTCCAACAAGTGTTGCACGTTTCACCAACATTCCTGCCCAGCCTGTTTTGCTGATCTACGTCATTGAGTGGCTGGGCCATCACCTGACCAAGTAGAGGAGGATCAGAGGCAGAAGGTCCTGCCAGAAAGAAGCCCAGAGAAAAGGCGCAGAGTTTGTTGTTAACGAATAGCAAATTGAGTTGCTCAGTAGAAGCATAGCAAGCATGAGAATGTGGTAGGTCGGCTGATGGCAGCATGACCGTGGTTGCTTGGGTGCCAAAAGTGCTACTGAAACTGAGCAAAAGCGGCTTGAGATTAAGGTCCAGGTTGATCATGCTTCTCAACGAGGGAACAACATAACCTCGAGTAACGAACAAATTGGCAATGCTGTCGAGTAATTATGAGGCCGGAGTGGACGTACGAACTTTCGAGTAGGTAGGTTTCATTCGTACGCCTGGTAGTATAATCTCCCACAGCCAATATCTGCAGGATCAGCATGTTCGGAAATGGTCCCGAGAGCTCTGGGATAGCAGTGAGTACTAGTAAAATAGAAATCATGTAACCCGAGCTGGGCGCATTCTATAAAAAGTGCTGTCAGTGAAAGGGCTTCCTGTCCCAGTAATGGTCGAACGAGGTATAAGCATTGGATGTGTGCGGTCAAGAAGGCAACGAATCAGAAGATCGATGCAGTGCTTGGACAGCCAGCAAGCCATCTTGACCATGTGTGCCTGAAAGCCAGGAAACTTGCGAAACAAGTTACCTATAACTCATATGCGAGTACCAACTGAAACTTTGATTTGGGAGTGGCGGAATAGGTTTGAGATGTCCAAGCAATCTTCATTGCGTACGACATAGCCTTAATCAAGAATAATGTTCGGACGTCGCATACAAAGTGGTATATACATGTGCGAATGGTGAAAAGCAGAACAATTGTACTGCATGGTAGGATTGTAAATTGAAATTGCAGGAACTTGCCTGACAAGGCAGAAACAACCACAAATCAAGCCATGAAGAAACAACGCCACGCAGATTGGTTCGGAGAGCTGCACCGTGCTGGCACAAGCAAGCGACAACAGCGGTGACTTTTGCCGGTGAAGTGGGTGCGTCACTTTGCGCTGTAAGACGAACTTGAGGCCAAGCGAAAACGTTCCAGGGATTGAGGCTCTGCCTCCTGGTAGATTTGACGTTGTGAAAAGGGCAAAGCGGGAACGCGTTCCACCGAGCACAGAAAGCACACGGAAGCACTAAAACGCCAAAAGGAGTCAACAGGGATAGATACCCTGTAAGACCCTGCCGCTGCATCGACTTTTTGTTTGTGCATCGCATTTTCATGTACCTCGTGGCTGCGGAGTGTGTTTTTCCGCTTGGTGCACTTCTTACTCCCGTCGTGTCGCCGAAGGATCCTCTTCTAATGCGCGAGGGAACGTTGACATATCCTGAGTATTGATACTGCAACCTGTAGGAGTGGACATATAGTATCGAAATAGGCACCCATGTTTAGTAGCGCGACAACAAGCAGCATAGGAAGTATGTACTTCAACAACTGTTGACGAGGAGCTATTTCTGGAATCTCACCACTCGGGGTTTCAAGCTTGAGACTGCAATATGCTTCATGCCAGTCGGTCGCATAATTCATCTGTTCTGGATCATTTATGCGGAGATTCTTTCAGACTTGGTTATCCATTGTCGACGGATTTCCACAAGGGCTATCCGAAGCGAGGACATTGAGGAAGAGGATGGTCAAGTGCAAGTCGGCAAAGGCGTCCCCAGAGACCCGTGGATTTCTTGCAAGCGAGCGGTCATTTTTTGCCGACCACCAAATGGTTGATGTGTTGTTGCATGAGATGAGATGAAGAACAAGGTTTGGCGGATGCGATTCCTGAAACTATACGTCACTCGGGCTCTTGCATTAGGCCCATTTCCGCGATTATCGAAGTTCTTAAACACGATCGCCGATCGTCTCTTAAACCTTTGCATGGGGCATGAGAACTGTCTGCCAGCACGGACGGCGCGACAGAAGTTGGCAGCGCCTATGAGTTGGTGACATCTCAATGGACTGGGCGAGCAGATTTAGATGAGCGCTCCGCTGCAGATGCCAACGCTCCAGAGATGTATCTCAATCACAAACATAAATTTGGGCCTTTTGGAGTTTGGTCTCTGTATCGCATTGGCTGCAACGCAGGGACTTTGTGGTGGTTTAATTCGAAACCACAGTCCTGGGTCGTTAGCTGGTAGCTCTGACTGAGCAGGTGCCTTAAGCCCAGAGTTGATCGGCGATTGGCTGGCATGATGACATCCTTTCCCAGAACTTGCTTTCTTAGCGGCCAGTGTATCGCGCTGTAAAGCTTGATCGCTCTTCTGCCACGCTCCTGACCCTGTGACTCGGTGGCTTGTCGCCAGTCAGAATGCTGGATGCAAGTGGTCTTACCCACATAGCTCTCCGCTGGTCCACCATGTGCCTGAACGCTAGTTGAAGAGTGAGTTTCGTCCACAGCACACTTAATTCTGCTCAGCAGATCTCGATCGATAGCGCTTGGAGGACGGGTACATTGGCTCGACTACATTTCGAGTCCAGTTTTCTTTGTACCTCGTAGCACTTTCCTTCGAGAAAGACCCTTCTATTGCACTGTGTCGCACAACCCTATCACATCGGACCCTTCTCAACGTAGCGTATCTGTGCTGTGCCAGAGACTCTTCGACTGTGGGAACGATCTTCAGTATTTTTCGCTTAGCGGAATTGTGATCGAGAAATACACATTGTTCCAGTAACAAGCGAAAACAAACTTCAAGCTGGGCAAGTGACGGGTCGACAATTGACAGCGCCTAATCCGAGTTGCGACCCTTCGCGTTTCGAGGTGGGAGGTCAGCGACCAACGTGGTAGTGTACGCAAACTGTCTGAACACTTTGGAATTGTGTTTCTTGTTTCTCTCGAAGGTAAGAATAACGATACAGATATTCGTTAATGGTAGAAGCTGACGTTGACCTTAGATATTGGCCAGCCCCGAGACGGCTGGTCTTTAGCATTGGAACGTCCGAACATGGATGTTCAGAGCAATAATTCTAGAGAACGTGTTTTCTCGATCCTGAACGACAACGACTGCCCTTCTTTCGTAGTTCGAACAAAGGAGTCGTCTCCTTCAACAACACTACGACCAAAACTCCCCTCTATTTCGTCATTGACGTCTTTCTCGTCGCGACTGGAAAGACCCAACCTTGCGCGACTCCCACAATTCCAGCGTAATCGCTCAATCTCCTCAGCAGGCTCGCCGCCTCTTCTGCGCTACGATTCGTTGTCTTCCACAGAATCCCCCTCGAGCATGGACTCAACCCCTTCACCAACCACGCCCGCCTACAACTACAATGACGCTTCTCTCGTGCCTTTTGACAGTCTTTTGCGACCTGATGCTACGTTGAACTATCTTCCTTCACCCACGGGAATTACGCCTTTTGTCGAGCAAGGCATGATGATAGGTGTTCTGCCCCAAGAACCACTCGGACCCAAACATCCGCAGCCCTTAGCGCCCGCAGTATACCCTTCAATGCCTGCAGCGGTTGAAATGAATCAGATCCCTACTCCAGCTTTGTCCGCTGACGCTTCTGTATCGTCCTCGTCATCTGCGAGTCAACCTGTCCGACCAGTGACAGCAAACAACAATGCGGTATCGGCTGGCAAGAAGAACAAATATCCCTGTCCGTATGCGCAATCTCACCACTGCTCAGCGACCTTTACTACATCCGGACACGCCGCAAGACACGGCAAGAAACACACTGGCGAGAAAGGAGTGCATTGTCCTGTATGCGACAAAGCATTCACCCGGAAAGACAACATGAAACAGCACGAGCGGACGCATAAGAACCGACCTGCCAACGGCGAGGAAAAAAAGAGTAAAGCTCAAACAACGCGCGATGCAAACAAGAGCAAGGACATACCCAAAGAAGAAGTACCTGTACCGGCGCTGCCAGTTGTGCTTCAAAATCCTGTCCAGATACGTAAATCGAGCTCAGGGCTTTCAAATCCGTCCGACATTACTTTGCCGCTCAATCCTATCGATACACCTGTTGACACCAGCCCTTCGTTTTTCGCGGATCCAACACCACAAATCGTTTTGCCGACTGACACAGCACTGGACGCAGACTCTCTTGTCAATTCTATGTATCCTCCCCTCATCGACGAGCCTCTAGCAGCCACAGCAATGTCTATCAACGAAAAACTAGAAATGCCGGTTCCTCAACCACCCACCCTGGTTCGAGGGTTTTCCGACTTAGATACCTTGGCACAGGCTGCTGAGAGCCAGTACGATCCATATTACCAACAACCACAATTTTAATTTCAATTGTCTTGACGATGACAATCACGCATATATATTTTGCACGGCAGCGAACGGCGCAAGGAGTTAGGAACAGCCATCTGTCTGGTTTATGTTAGTACCAAAGCAAAATTGCACGTTTATTGAGTGGGTCTGCTTCGAGTGCCAGGATTGGTCCTGCTGCTCGAATCACTTTTACGACTACGATACACGAGGTGGGTTGTCTGGGAGTTTTTCTTTTCGGAGTTCAAAATACTATGATACCCCATGGAATTTGTTTTCGACAACAAGGCTAGAACAACATAACTAGTTGTGTTTGCAAGCCATTGTTTGTTTATGTATGCAGATAGTGGCGCAATAACAATTTTGAGCTTTCTCAATTTGTATAAGTCTGCCCGACTCTGTTTTTACCGATTCTGTGTCGAAAGAGCCTGGTAGTGTTGCCAACAATTCGGATGCTACTGCTAACCAGATAATACATGCTGTGAATTTTGCCTGATCGAAGTTCTCGTTATACACATTCCACAACTTGGTGTACCCAACGGTTGGTCAGTCAGTGAAAAGGACTCAGAATTTATTGCCCATGCTGAAGCGTTCCCAGCAGTGCGATTAGATCGAGCTAACATCAACACGTTTTGCTTCGGTAAACGTCGCGTTCGTCCCACCACGCTTGTTTGTCCTTCAACTTCATAGCTCGCGTCACTGCTCAACCATGCCCCTCTTCAGCTTTCCAACACCCAATCCATCAGTTTTTACCAACTTATGCTTGTCTACACCACAATGACTTGCTGTGTCGTGAAGTGGATGTGTGGACTCTGGGCGACGAAACTCACCCACCCATGCTCGGTGGTCGTGGAAAGTCGTTGCGCTGCTCTCTTTCATTAAGGACTTTTCGACTCAAGTAGGCTGTCCATTGCTCTTGTATTGCATCTTTTGGAGCACATTCGTCTTCTGATGTAGCTCGGCTGGGATTACCTATGGCCGAATCCTGTCGTCGAACATTGTAAAATCGCTGACTCCTGGTCTTTTCATCTTCATGTTGTCCTTCGACTCGCCTAAATTGGCTTGATCTTGAAGTGTAGAGATATCAACGAGAACACCAACGCCTTCAGATCCTGCACGAGGTAGTAGAAGACTCTCAATCCTTCCGGATCAGCTGAATCTGTGACATCGACCAGAGAACCAATCTTTGCGGTCTCGAATTGAATATGCTCGCTACCCAATCTGATCTCGAGTTCTTGCCTGCCGTCCTTGTTCTTCTGCGGCCATTTTGAGTCATCTTCCTTCATGATCTCGCTGTCTCTTATGATGCGCTTGATTTCAGATATCATGAGAGCGCTCAGGCTCATTTCTTTCCGGATCAGAGAGTCGTTACGATAGTTTGAGTTGTTCGCATATCGGGCTGTTGCGCTTCGGCCGTCGCCAATGACTCGAAAGTCGAATTCTGTACATGTCAAAGACTGACCGCAGAATATGCCAGCTGCCACAAACCTAGAAATTCGTGACCAAATCTGCCAGAGTGCCCGGAACTGTAGCTTGTTAGTACATAGCGGAGCGGAAGGTATTCTCGAACGGACTAATAGCGAACGTAGAATGGCTCTGCTAGGTCACCCATGACTGCCAGATTCATGCAACGAAGGCGATCGTAGTTTCGGAAGTACAAACGGTGTTAGGAGGGCTCAAGGTGCGAAGTCGAGAGGCAATACGGCTGCTTCAAACTTTCTACAGGCTGTTTCTTATTCGTGTATAGCATGCAACGGGAACTTGGTGCCAAGGCTCTCAGGCATTCAGGAACGTGCATGTGAACGGGACAGCGTTTCTCCAAGTTCCACACAGATATGGACACCCTGGCGACGACGACATATTTCGAGTACACGTACAGCGATCACTGGCAGAAGTGTGCTGTTCACACCAGTAGCGCTGAGACTAATACGACTGAAGCATGATTGAGTTCCTCTGATCAAAATTGGTCAACTACTCTCCGGCTGGCTCATCCTCCTCCTTCCCTGCACTAGGTTGTATCTCAACGCTTTGAGATTGTCGCAACTCTTTCCCTACTCCAGCTCTATTCTTCCTTGCCGACTACTCGGCTTTACACTGACATGGCGACCTTTCTAGACCATGCCTACAGTTTGGTCCACCAGGACAACACCGCAGACCAGCCATCCCAGCAGGACCTAAAGACACAATTGGAGAAGGGCACAGATGAGACCAAGAGGCAGACTATGAAGAGAATATTGACTATTATGCTGAATGGTGATCCCATGCCGAATTTGCTTATGCATATTATCCGTTTCGTCATGCCTTCAAAGGACAAGCAGCTCAAGAAATTGTTGTATCTCTACTATGAAATATGTCCGAAATTGGACGCAAATGGGAAGCTAAAGCAAGAGATGATCTTGGTTTGCAATGGTATACGGAACGATCTTCAACATCCAAACGAGTTTATTCGAGGCAATACCTTACGCTTCCTTTCCAAGTTGCGAGAACCCGAATTGATCGAACCTCTTCTCTCCGCAGCACAAACATGCCTTGACCACAGGCATGCTTATGTTCGAAAAAACGCTGTTTGGGCGTTGGCTTCTGTCTATCAGCACGCACCACATCTCATCCCTGATGCGCCAGAAATGTTACAGACCTTTTTGGCTGCAGAATCGGACAATACCTGCAAGCGCAACGCTTTCGGGGCCTTGATGTCGATAAGTCAAGAGAAAGCCCTAGAATACTTGACAGGAGTCCTGGACGGCGTGCCCAACACGGACGAATTGCTGCAATTGGTCGAGCTGGAATTCATTCGAAAGGATGCAGGAGACAACCAGGCAAACAAATCGAGGTATCTGAGACTAATCTTCGACTTACTCGAGGCAAACACAAGTACTGTTGTCTACGAAGCTGCCACCACTTTAACAGCTCTGACCAACAACCCCGTGGCGGTCAAGGCAGCCGCTGGTAAGCTGATCGAGCTGTCCATAAAAGAGGCCGACAACAACGTCAAACTCATTGTATTAGATAGAGTCGACCAGCTGCGCCGCCGGAACGAGGGTGTTCTCGATGATCTCACCATGGAAGTCCTTCGTGTACTTTCCAGTCCTGACTTGGATGTGCGGCGCAAGGCCCTCGGTATTGCTCTCGAAATGGTATCTAGCAAGAACATACAGGAAGTCGTTATGCTACTCAAGAAAGAGCTAAGCAAGACAATCGACGAGCAGTACGAGAAGAGCAATGAATACAGGCAGCTCCTAATACAATCTATACATCAATGTGCCATCAAATTCTCGGAAGTCGCGGCAAGCGTGGTAGATGTACTCATGGACTTCATTACAGATTTTGGCGGCGCATCAGCCGTCGAAGTCATCTCTTTTGTGAAAGAGGTGGTCGAGAAATTTCCTAAACTACGTTCGTCCATCGTCGAAAAATTGATATCCACTCTAGGCGAAGTACGAGCTGGCAAGGTCTACAGAGGGGCTTTGTGGGTGATCGGAGAATACTCACTACAAGAGAACGATATTAAGGAGGCCTGGAAGCGTATACGAGCAAGTCTCGGTGAGATACCTATCCTTGCTTCCGAGCAAAGATTACTCGACGAAGCAAATTCCGAGGACGTCCCTGAAAAAGCCGAAGTCAATGGTCATACTCAAAAGACCACTCCTAGTGGCTCGAGAAAGGTGCTCGCTGATGGCACCTATGCCACGGAAAGCGCTCTAACGAGCAATTCAGCAGCTAAGGCTAAGCTGGAAGCAGTCAAAGCAGCTCAGAAACCACCACTGCGGCAGCTCATTCTTGAGGGTGATTACTACCTTGCGACCGTTCTGTCATCAACATTAACGAAACTGGTTATGCGGTTCTCTGAAATCTCGGATAACGAAGAACGAACAAATGCACTCCGCGCAGAGGCCATGCTTGTCATGATCTCGATCATCCGTGTTGGACAGTCGCACTTTGTCAAAGCGCCAATAGACGAAGATTCCGTTGACCGAATTATGTCCTGTGTCCGGTCGTTGGCAGAATTTTCGCAGCGCAAAGAACTTGAAACCTCATTCCTCAGTGATACCCGTTCTGCATTTGCTGCAATGGTTGCTGTTGAAGAGAAGAAACGTTCACAGCGTGCAGCTGCTGAGAAAGCTAAGACTGCTGCGCAGGTCGACGACCTCTTCTCAATCCGTCAATTAGCCAAAAAATCTACAACAGACGACGTGGACGGTATGGCTCTCGACCTCGAGAGAGCTACAGGTGGTGATACTGCCTTCGAGGATCTTTCCAGCAAGCTCAGCCGTGTCGTTCAACTCACTGGCTTCAGTGATCCTGTCTACGCTGAAGCATATGTCAAAGTACACCAATTTGACATCGTGCTTGATGTCCTCCTCGTCAATCAAACCAATGAAACTCTCCAAAATTTGTCAGTAGAGTTCGCCACACTAGGCGATCTGAAAGTCGTGGAGAGACCAACAACACATAACTTAAGGCCGCAAGACTTCCTCAACGTGCAGTCAACCATTAAAGTTAGCAGCACAGATACAGGCGTCATCTTTGGCAATGTAGTCTACGACTCGCCTTCTGGCACTGACACACGCGTCGTGATTCTCAACGACGTTCACGCCGACATCATGGACTACATCCAGCCCGCATCCTGCACCGAGACACAATTCCGCACAATGTGGACAGAGTTCGAATGGGAGAACAAGGTAAATATCAGTTCCAAGAGCACTGATAAGACCTTACGCGAGTTCCTGCAGCAATTGATGAAGAGCACGAATATGACGTGTTTGACGCCCGAGGCTGGTCTTAAAGGAGACTGCCAATTTTTGAGTGCTAACTTGTATGCAAGGAGTGTATTCGGTAAGTCTGCACCCGTGGTATTCCGCGTTGCGCGCGGCTTGCACTTTACCTTGCTTTGGAATGTAACAAAAACATATGCTAACATGTTGACAGGCGAGGATGCATTAGCAAATCTATCAATCGAGAAGACCGTAGACGGCACGATCGCCGGCTTTGTGCGTATACGATCACGCAGTCAAGGCCTGGCGTTGAGTTTGGGAAGCCTAAAGGGCTTAAAGGCAGGGACTTACTAGTGTGACTACACCTTGATATGTGCGATGAGCATCCACGAACTTTCATTCAGCGATGACTGCCCCTAGGCTGGCCGAACTGCAGGGTAGATGGGTGGATTAGCGACTATTGTGTCAGTTTCTGGTTGTGAGGGTATATAAGCTCAGACAGCAGATACACGGCATGGAGTGCATTCACGAGTAATCAGAAGGACACGGCACAAGAAGCGGAAACGAACCCTGGCGAGCACTCACCAGGGTTTGTACAGTTCACTAATGTACTGCATCTAGGCCTGGCCAAGTCAAGAAAGTGTCGAGTGAGAGAAGATTGGTGAGCTCCGGCGAGAGCTCGAAGGTGATCACTTTCCGCTGCGACGCATCGAAGTGCAGGCAATGTCGCCTGTCAATAGTGTAACGATTCACTGACGAGAATCATGAAAGTGAAAAGATTCGGATTATGCATTGGTAGAAAGAAACCCGCGTTACGCCCTGAACCACATCAAACTGAACCCGAAAATCATAGTCTTTCTTCGTCATTACATTATCCTCTACTCCCTGCGCAAGCTCCTTCTATTGCCAAGAGAAGCTCAAAAGCACCGTTGTCATGAGTATCGTTTATTCAGCGTTGCGGTCGTTGGTGTCTATGATTATGCCGACTCGGTCATACCACTTAAGCGTAGACATGGAAGAACATGTGTCGTAAACTGCAGCAATGTAGATTAGAGGCACAACTGCCTGAGGAAACAGGCTACGGATGTCGTGTACTCCAGACTGATGCTGGAGACATCGGAGCGTTAATGCGAGACTTTGTTGAACGGCTTTTCAATCGGTTGATGGCTGTGCATTCGCGGCACTTCCAAAACGCAAGGCTGTAGCCGATCGATTGCGTGGCGCTCGTGGCAGATACTCGTGCTGACTCTCTGCAATCAGTGTATCGTCATCTGTGACACGATCTGCTTCTCTCGAAATTCTGGTCATAGAGTGCTTCTTTTGGTTCTCGGCAATCCTCCTTGTTGACTCTTGTCTTTGCATAACAATTTCAGGACCATCTTCATTAGACTCAGGTGAGGGCAAGGCAGGAAACGCCTTCTCTGTCTTCTTGTCGTCCGACTTTGCTCTCTGATGAGAAGGTACATCATTCTTCGACGATTTCTTTCGCCGCGATGGACCTGCATGAGTGCGGACGGTCCGCGATCTGTCAATTGAGGTCGTACTGCCACGTGCCCGCTTCATGTCACTAGACATTGTCCGAGTTCGGGTCAGATCGGGCTGAGGCTCACATTGTCTCCCTTCTTTGAGCATCTGTGTAATAACGGACACTTTAGCACTTTCACCTTCATCAGTCCATGCATCTTCTTCAGGGTCATCCACATCAGAAGCAACAGCACTTTCTGGATCACCTGTGGTAATGAACTCGCAGGGTTTCTGAACTTTCTTCTGGATCTCTCCGACCAACAGCGCATTTGGGTTTAGCTCCTTGATGGTAGACATTGGTCCCGAAACCCTCCGCTCCGAACCAAGAACCACCGACTGTCGATGCAAGGGCTTCTGAAGGAGGGAAGCGTCAACATCACTGGGTCTCGACACGATGGAGAGATTCGAACCCTTCCTGGAGTGTACGCCGAAAGAACTACGAAGCGAAGATGCAGATGGTGAGAACCCTCGTTCAACTCGACGACTTCCTTGTGAATCAGTCAGGTCCTGAAGGCCCGTACTGGAGGTTGTTCGGGTGCTATTAGAGCTGATAGCACTATCTCTTCGACTACCAAGACCAGTTATCTGTTGCCACTCCTCGCTGGAGACACTGGTATCGCCAGTCAGGTCTGCTATGTCGAGAGATGCAACCATACTTTCGAGGCCATCTAAGCTGCTCAACTGCTTCTTGAGGTGCTCTGACCGCCACTGAGGATCAGCGGAGATCGAAGTTCGGTATCTGCCTACACCCATCATCGGATACAGAGGTGGCATTGGTGATTTGGCTCTGTCCCATCTTTGCAAGTCCTCGAGACTGTAATTGCGCTTCATCTGTTCTGCGTCGAGATCCATCGCTGTGATGCAAGGCGGCATGAGAGGACGAGAACGAAGCTGCCTTGCTTGTATTGGTAACTCTGACTGACTGCGCTGAAGTTCGGGACGAGGTCTGAGTGGTCGAGTTTGGCGTCCTGGAGATTGAGCCCTCGAAGATGCTCTGGATTGTGCTCGAGACGTATCGTTGGGGGGTCTTGTCGAGCCGAGTGCTGCACAAATCAGCAGAGTATGGGCGGAAAAGTCAGGTACTTACCGCTTCCTACACTAGGCGGGGCTTCTGGTGAAACGTCCCTAATCTCTTTCATCTTCTTGTCTAGCCCTGCGAAACGACGCTGAGCAGCTCGCTCCTGACTATCGCGAACACGATCTGTAGACTTGCATTAGCTGATGTAACGTTGTAACGTGATCGACTTACGTGGACCAGCGATGGCCTCTGTGAGCGCATTCATGATTGGCATCTTCGTGATCACAGTAATCTCAATGGTTCCAAAGGAAAGGACCAGACCTGAGTGAAGATGAGTGTAATCCCAGAATCAATTGTTGGATTGGTTGTCGTCTACAGCCCTGATTGCCGTTGAGGTTGTGACATGAAGGAATGTCAAAATGTAGGGTACGCATGAAATTATGCAGGAAGCAAAGCATACAGCTCTCGTAATCATGCCAATAACTGTTGGTGGAATAGTGATAGAGAGTGAAATGAATCTCAGATGACGATACAAGTCAAGTGTGCCGAGTGTCCTTCGCGCCTCCTTGTTTGTGTGAAAGTGAATTGCAACTTCTGTTCTCCAACAACTAAGTAACATTCACAACAACAATTTCACGGTTCAAACGTGTTTTCTTGCTTTTCTTTGACTTCAGACGAGCTGTTGCCCTTTCAAATTGGTGTCGGCCTCTTGCAGATTTGAGCCCTCCAATCTTGACAAGTCCAAAGACCACTTTCTTCTGATAATTATAGTACCAAGTGACCTTGAGGCAGTTCTTAAGTTCTTGATTTGAGATGATGTAAGTAAAAAAGATATTGTCAACCTGAGCTATAGTGAGTTGATACCACAAATCTTCTTACCGAAATCAAGTAGACGCACAACTCGTATATCGACTGAAGGTCGCACTCCATCATGGCCAAAGGAACGTCGCTTTATGAGCTGGGAGCCTGCTCACACATCCTGCAGCATTCAAGCTACAACTGAAGCTCGTCCTCTGTGTTCCGTTCAGCATCAGAGATGCAAAAGAGGTGAACGGCATATTGACTATGCTAGGCAGCATGCAGATGAACAAACGAGCAGTCTTTGCGTGCAGCCAGTTGCTTTCATAGTGATTGCTTCCCAACCGTATTTCCTTGTCTGAGCTGAAGTACATAACACGGTCTCATCAGATTCTCAGGCAAGCTGCGGTCAAACCATGACAACCAGCAACCAGCACGTCAGATCCGATTGGTTAAATGCTTCCTTCGCGTGGTATCAATCACAGGCGGATTTGAATCTTTGGATCGTCAATTCAGTCGGTCAGCGGACGCTGCGATACAAGTCATGCAGCGCAACGAGATAACGCTGTACCTGAAATAGCATTCGTCAAAACCTCTTGGTCCAAGATGAGCCTCAAAGCCTATAGAAGGGGATGTCACGTTGTCTCTGTCCCTCCATGGGCCTTCGCCCGGGGAAACGGACTGTACAACTCACCTGCATGGATGCAACCGTGTGTGGACTTTGCAGCAAACCTGAGTCATGATGTGCGAGCTACTATAGGAGATATGTGTAGTGGACACTTATTATGTCGTTGCCCGTTGTGGAAGGAGCCAACCTCGTATGGGGTGTGCTTGACCAAACAAAGGTAAAAATGCATCTCTGCATTACCTACACAATCAATTAAAGCGTCCAAAAAGTGACTGAGATCAATGACCACAGTCGAGCTTTATGCACATTCGTTGAGACTTAGTTCAAGCCTGGGATTGATCGACTCTTGCACGAACAGGCTTGCGCTAGGCCACATAGGAATTAGCCTGGCTATGGACGTTGGAAATTGCGTGATGGCAGGATATTTAGAAGTTCCACTGCACAATAGTGATGCTGGAATTTGTTGAGAGTAGTTTTGAAGTTATTGATATCTGGTCGTAGACTCTGTCTACTTGTGCACGTCACACAACATTCCTGTCGTGGAAAAAAACCAGAACAAAGGACGATGGCGACGTGAGTACAAACCAACCTCAACCCTGCACTTGTGCACCTTCTCGAGGACTTGTTTGCTTGAACAGGTAAACTCTGCCATCCAATACCTGACTGCGAACACTTGGCAGATCATCATATACACGATCATGTCCTTATCCTAGGAACTTCCTTGAAGCTTACACATATGGCTAGTAACATTACATACCACGCGTCACCTGTCACTCCAGCGATCAGATCGTCGCTAAGAGGTCAGCAAGGCATAACAATATGGCTTACAGGACTTTCAGCAAGTGGTAAATCGACGATCGCCGTTGCTTTAGAACAGGCTCTTCTGCGCAAACCACTGGGACTAAACGCGTATCGTCTCGATGGTGACAACGTCCGCTTTGGCCTCAACAAAGACCTTGGGTTTTCCCCAAAGGACCGAGAGGAAAATATTCGTCGTATCGCCGAGGTTGCCAAGCTGTTCGCCGATTCTTGCACGATTGCCATTACCAGCTTTATCAGCCCGTATCGTGCAGATCGTGATTTGGCGCGAAAGCTACATGAAGCGGAACGACCTGGTGGTGAGCCGGGTGTACCGTTCATTGAGGTTTGGGTTGATGTTCCTGTTGAGGTTGCTGAGCAGCGTGATCCTAAGGGTCTATACAAGAAGGCTCGGGAGGGCAAAATTCCTGAGTTCACTGGTATTAGTGCACCGTATGAGGAGCCTCTGAAACCTGAGATACACATCCACTCCGATAAAACCAGTGTTGAGGACGCGGTGAAGATTATCGTCAAGTACCTCGAGGGGAAGGGATATTTAAGTCCTCCTCCGGAGGCCAAGGAGGATTAGTGCCTTATCAACGATATCTACGGCAGATACGACGTACCATACACAATTCAGGGGTAGAGCTAATGAGGCGCTGAAGACACCATGTCGCATGACATAGAGACGATCCAGTAGACTTGGTAGCTAGCTCATCCGATGATTTCTACACTTCTATGACAATCATACAATGTTTGGGAACCGCACTGAATCGAGCTGGTCCAACTATGCGCCAAAATCACACGAAGGGCACGTCAACAACGCTGTCACGTTTTGTTGCTCTTCTCCTTACTTCGATCACCCTCAACACCTTTGCCCCATTCACCAGCACGCTTGCCCCACGTCATCATTCCCCATGCGTGCTGGAAGCCAAACTTTGGTGGAGCTTCAGCGCTCGTGCGAAACGGACTAGCACCATGTCTGAACAATGAATCCTCCTTTTCCTTACTGGACATATTCGACGGTCCAGTATTGACCTGCATAGCTTTGCCGTCTGGCGTCGCATCAGCCTCGCCTTGCTTCTGCAACAAATCGTCAACAGCTTGCTTCGCAACACTAGCATTAGAGCTGCTCTTCTCCCAAAATCTTGCATCTCTATTCACAGGCGTCCACCAGTCCCTCGCATCTCTTCCCTGTCTCTCATCCCACCAGCGCCGTCCACACATCTCCCACAAACGGCTCCTTGCCCTTTTGTAGGCGAACTGCTCGTCTTGTCCTGTGAAGATACCAGCACCCTGCGTGAAATCAGGCCCCTGTCTAAGTTCCAAGTCAGCCATCCCTTGTGGTAATCTGTGCCTCTCGTCAAGCAAGCTACTTCCGTCATCGTCGTAATCTGATGCACTAGAGGAAACACCAGAACTACTGCGTCGATTTCCATAAGTAGGTCCAAAATCTGCATCTTCATCCGCCAGCACGGACCGCAGATCTTTGTTATACAGGCTCGTGGTGGGGTTTGGTACGCTCTGTCGGTCGTCTTTGTTGCTGCCGACGTAGGAGCTTATGTTCGGCCGGAACGGCGCAGTGCTATCCTGATACATTTCTGAAAAAGCTTCACTTTCTATGCTGTCGCCTTCTGCTAGCATGTTGGCTGCACCACGCTTGGCTCGTGTTTCGGGGAAGAATAGTCGGTCTGGCGGGGCGTCGGCTTCGATGAGGAGACGACAGCGTGCCTCGTAGCATGCGTCGAGGAAAGTGATAAACCTCCTCGCTTCGTTCTTCATTAATAGAGTTAGGATGGGTATATGTGTGACAACGAGTGTGTGAAATGTGCTGCAAATTGAGATGTAGTCTGCAGGACCGAGGTTGGATTGACAGAGGTTAGGAAAGGGGAGAAGAGCGATGCCCAAGTCCAAATTTGTGCTTTGAAGGTGTAAAGGTCGCGCGTATACTGTGAGGGTTGTGTTGTGCCAGATGTTGCTTGAATTGAGCCGAGATAGGGCAGCTTGCAGTGCGACAGATTGGGTGGGCAGTGAAACTCCTGGACTCGGCGGGTCGGCTATGTGATAGTGCGTAGGCATGTCCGCGGAGGCTGTAGCAGATTCTGCCTCCTGTATCAGAGTTGAAGAAGGGGAGATGGACGTCTCGGCAACCTTTTCAAGAATTGTTTCTGCTTCTTCCTCGTCCATTTCTAGTCCATTTTCGGCGTCAATTGCAGCAGCCATCTCACTATCTTCGCGCCTCCAGTCTCTTTCTCCCTCCATCTCCCAGATCTCGCATCTCTTCTTCAGAACGTCAACGAATTTCCCAAAGTCAGTTCTTGCCTGCTGTTGTCCTACACTGAGTTTCTCCCAGATCTGGCCTCCTCGACCCCATCTCGGCGCGCCAAACATTCTCGAGAATTCAACACCACTAGCCTTGGCCAGCTCTTCTGGCATACGGTTACTGCTTGCAATCAGAACGCCCCCGAGGCTGAAGAAGTGGGTGAAGAAGCTGTGTACTAGCTTGCCACTGACACGATCCGGCATCTGGAACTCGTCTAGGAAAAGGATCGGACTCGTATCCATTGTGTCTCTTGCCAGGCTTAGTATGACATGTTCGTGATCCAACGCTAGCCCTTCCGGAGACGCAGTTCTCTCAATCCGTGTCATTTCCAACCTCCTGAAGACATCTAGTATGAATGTGTTGAAATGCCAACGACGTTTCTTTTTCGTTGGTAATGAGGAGTACAATAGGTCAAGCAACATCGACTTACCACGGCCAACTTCCCCGTAGAGGAGCATGCCCTGAGGACTATCTATGTCCATAGCCGAGTCGTGCACAGGGATAGTTCGGATCAGTGCCATCATGGAAGCTGTACGCTCATCGAGTCCAAGAATCGAGGACATTGAGAAACGCTTCGAGCCAGGTTCAGGCTCATAGACAGGTTTCCGTTGCGCTCCATCTGCTGATTTCCGACTGACTTTGGCAGCCCTTTCCAGGCGCCACCTATATTCAACCTCCGGGTCATAATCCTTGAGTCGGTAATATAGATTCTGAAGCTCTAGCGCGAGTCGGTGCTGTGCAGGGTCTGGACGAATGCGTCGTGTTGCTATGAGGGCACGGTACAACACTAGTGGGTTGGTGATGCTCAAGCTCATGCTCGAGCTTGCATGTTGGGCTGCTGATGCCATAGCGCACCATTTAATGCAAGTACTACGGAGCAGTCATTTCCATCACCAATCACCTATCAAGGAATACGACTGCCCTGGCTTGTTGACAAGGAGTAATAGGACGATGCCAATAGATATGGCAAAGCCAATGACAAAAACCATGACAACTTTGCTGTAATTGATCCCTCGACGCTGTGCATTGAAACGACTCCAGTCTGGAACGAACCAACCGATTTGTGGTTTCGTCATCGATCGAGGTTCTCGAAGGTCGCTGTCAGTCCCGGCTGTACGGAGTACTACTGAGACCTAGTTTCTCATAATGCTTGGATGGCAGCCATAGTCTTCCGTACTCTTACAAGCACATGAACGTCAACATGAGAGACTATCCAGATTGGACTTCGAGCAAGATGCAGTGGCTCTACGTTTGTTATTGAAACCCTCAATTGGTCGTGCTGCGACCGGAATATGAGTTGTTCAGCCCCGGAGAATTTCCAGGCTGGACCGTTTCCATGTAGTGTGACGAAGCCGCCTCGCTGTACAGATGTACATAAAAACAACCTGATGGTGCGCAAATCTTACAAACACAGATATAGGTGGCTGAAACCAGTAAGATGCTCATATCTTCCAACTCCAATCATGCGCCTCGTCTCCATACTGGATCGCCTCTATCCAGTTTTTCATCTTTAGAGCAATTTCACCAGCTTCCTCTGTCTCTTTCAGACCACATCCGATCATCTGGTCTTTCCAGGAGATCTTTCTTATTGGGCTGACAATAGCTGCGGTTCCAGCACCAAAGACTTCGAGTAGACGCCCTTCTTGCTCTGCCTCGGCCAAATCCTTCATTCTTAGATATCTCTCGCTGACCTTCCAGCCTTGAGGCTCCAACCTCTCTCTTGCTAGGGCCAACACGGAGTCTCTTGTTACACCTTCGAGAATGGTTCCGTCAAGTGGTGCGGTGACCAACTCTTTCTGACCAGTTTGCTTGTCCTTGACGCAGACGAACAAATTCATCGTTCCGACCTCAGTGATGAACTCCTCCTCGCCGAATAGCCACAGATTCTGGTGGAATCCTCTCTTTGCAGCTTTCAGCTGTGGCACGATGCAAGGCGCATAATTAGCACCAAGCTTCTTGTCACCGACACCACCAGGCCACGCACGTACAGCATAGTCTGTAGCTTCTAGACTGATCGCTTTGAAGCCTGTAGGATAGTATGGGCCAACAGGACTGGCGATAACAAACAGCAGCGCGCTTCCTGGCGGGCCTACCCCCAGGGTTCTCTGTGTACCAATCATCGTTGGTCTCAAATATAGGGAATATCCTTTTTCATTCGGAATGAAACGCTGATCGAGCTTGCAAAATTCGGAGATCAACTCGATCAGCGCATCGCCATCAAAGGTAGGAAGTGCAATTCGTGCGACGGATTTGTTGAGACGCTGCATGTTCTTGTTTGGGCGAAAGAGACGGAGCGAGGCATCGTGAGGGCATCTGTAAGCTTTCATGCCTTCGAAAGCCTCAAAGGCATAGTGGAACACGCAGGTCGCAGGATCAAGAGAAAGGTTCTGGTAAGGTGTTATTCGAGGTGTAAGCCAACCCTGACTCGCTGTCCATTCGATAGAAAGCATATGATCTGTACGGGAGAACATCAGCATCACCCCTCTATTGGATACACACTCGTGTATTCATTGCTTGCTAACCTGTGAAATTTCTTCCAAACACCAGATCCTGATTCGGCACGAGCTGTTTGGGAGTTATGGATTTGGTGACCTCAAGCTTCGAAGGGTCAATGTTCGGCAAGTGTGTAAGATCGTCCTCTACTAGCTGCTGCTGTAACCTCCATTGCGATGAGAACGGCCTTAGCTGGCGTGTTCGTGTCTCTATCTGCAGGAATTGCTTGCAAGAGCGAGTGGTACCATTGGCGGTGCGTAGAAGTCGTGGAAGCAGCATCTTAAGCTGGAGTTGTGGATGAGCAGAACAAAAGAGACAAGACAGCTAACAGCAACAACTCCGACCGTTCATTTAAACCACTCGCTCGTTGAGACTTCAGAGTCACAAATGTGAAGCTCGGGAGTCGCATGCACAGGGCGCGTTTTCTTGCCAACCGAGTCTATCAGCTCGCCCGGTCTCGGGTAGAGAGGGAACGATGCAAGTTCAGGTTGTCAGGCAGGAACTTCTCCAGGGGGCGTTCACACCAACAAAACAACTCGATCTGGCAGTATCAGTGCTATTGACTCAGGGTACAACCTCGTTTGCATCTCGTCGTACATCGCACGCTGTATCCATGCATTTCGTGAAGACAAGTCGTCGAGAGGACGCTGCCAGTGTCCCTACAAAATGTTCTCGTCAGCCTTCAAGTCCTTCACCTCAAACATCACTTCCAACTACGAGATCTCAAAACAGCCATCTGCAAATGTAGGTGTTTGGAATATCTTCGAAGGTTTGTTCAATCTCTGAGTGGCGACATCGAGCCACACCCGGACATTTCCATAGTGTGGCCGTACCCTGTAGTAGGTGAAGAGATTTCGCTAACTGGTCTCATCTAGCCAAGAAGCGTAGTACAGGGACCCAAGTGTCTGTTTTTGTTTTCGACCGCAAAGTGCTTGATGTGGCTTCGACAGCAAGCTTTGGTGCCAAGACCAGCTCAACATCTGTGAGAAAAGCACAAGATGAGGTCGTCGATCGCCTCAAGAAGGAAGCCAGCCTTTTGGCCCGACTACGACATCCCTCAGTACTACAACTCATTGAGCCAGTCGAGGAGACCAGGAATGGAGGACTGATGTTTGCTACTGAATTAGTGCTCGCATCACTTTCCGCCGCCCTAAGCCAAAAAGATCGTGGTTCTACACATGCTCGGAGGAACGAGTCGAACTCGAAGACCATACACAATGTGGACGTCGATGAGCTAGAGATCCAAAAAGGCGTACTCCAGATTGCACGAGGTCTAGAGTTCTTGCACGACTCGGCGAAATTGGTACATGGAAATCTTACGCCTGATGCGATCTTCATTAATGCAAAATCAGATTGGAAGTTGTCAGGTCTAGCCTTCGCTGGTCCACCCGATAATGCTGAGGGGCACCAGACGTTGCCGCAGCTTTCACTCGCAGAAGCCTTGCACGATGATCCAAGAATCCCATCAAGTGTACAGCTTAATCTCGATTATAGCTCCCCAGATTTCGTGATCGATTCGAATGTCAATTATTCCGCCGATATATACTCCCTTGGCATGGTGTTGGTGGCCTGCTATAGAGAGCCACATAGCTCGCCCTTCGAGACACATGGCAATACATCGACTTACAAGAGAATAATGGCTAGTCCTTCGTTGACTCCAGGACCTCGCAACAACTTTGGCTGCACGAACAAGCTGCCAAACGAATTGGAAAACACTCTGGTACGAGTGCTTGCTAAGAGGCCATCCGATCGTATGACTGCTGTCGAGTTCCAGCAGTCGGAATACTTCGACAATATACTCGTCAATACCATGCGGTTCCTTGACGGGTTGCCTGCAAAAACATCGGCTGAAAAACAACAGTTTATGCGCGGATTGGCTCGGGTCATGCCACAGTTCCCAGTATCTGTTTTGGAGAAGAAGATATTGAGCGTCCTCCTCGAGGAGATGAAAGACAAGGATTTACTCTCTGTCATACTACAGAACATCTTTCAGATTGTGAAGATGGTACCAGGCCGGAGAGAGGTCCTATCTACTAACGTCTTACCCAAGCTCAAGGAGGTTTTCACTGCACAAGCCAAATCTCAGGAACGTGATACGAGTAAAGAGGCAGGCTTGATGGTCTTTCTCGAACATATCAAGATCATCAGCGACAACACTTCTGCTCAGCAATTTAAAGAGGATGCTTTACCTATCGTGCATGTAGCTATGCAGTCGACTATACACTCTCTGGTCGATGCTGCGCTAGGCACGCTCGCAACAATCCTGCCTGTGCTTGACTTTTCGACTGTGAAGCATGATCTATTTCCTGTGATTGCGAACGTATTTGCAAAAACCAGCAGTCTTGGCATCAAAACAAGGGGGCTCGAGGCAATAGCTGTCCTGTGCGGTGCCAATGATGAAACCTCAGCAGCAGGTGGTGATGACCTTTCCGGTATCGCTAGCAGAGGCGAAGAGCACAAGAAGAATCTCTCTATGTTGGACAAGTTTACCATGCAAGAGAAGGTTATGCCATTGCTCAAGGGTATTAAGACCAAAGAACCTGCAGTCATGATGACCGCACTCAAGGTTTTCAGACAAATTGCAAAGGCAGGTGATGTCGATTTCCTTGCAACAGAACTCATGCCAATCTTGTGGACCTTCGCTTTAGGCCCACTCCTGGATCTTTCGCAATTCAACGCCTACATGGATGTGATACAAGCTCTGACGCAGAAGATACAGCGTGAGCAGGTCAAAAAACTACAAGAACTTGCGACAGTTAATAGGACAGTGGCCGACAGTCGCGAAAGAGCATCTGTGACAAGTTATACTGGCCAAGCAAGCAATCACGTGAATGGCACTGGTGATGAAGTTAACTTCGAGAAGCTTGTCCTTGGCAGCCGAACAAAAGAACAAAAAGACCTGTTTGGTGGAGCTCTGGATGATGAGCAAAAGTTAGTGCAAAATCCAGCATCCTATTCATGGCAAACATCATCAGGACGGGCAACTCCTTCACAAAGAATGGCAACGCTACAACCATCTCAATCGCAATCACGTTCTGTCACACCCGATGTGTCGGCGAGCTCCTTCCCTTCCTTACAACCAACCGATTCAACATCAATCTGGTCACAACCATTACAACCCGGACCACGACCTTCTGTTGCAGCAGCCAATTCCTGGACCACACCAAGCACAATGCAGCCGATTGTACCAGCTCAGAATATGTGGAACCAGCCATTGAAACCGCAAGCGAATATGGGCGCTTCTAACATGCAGGCCACAAGCTATCTCTCCACACCAACTACTTCAAACCTATACAATGCTACTGTTAGGAATACAAGCAGTATTCCCGCTCCCCTACTAGCTCCACCTCCGCAGAGTCCACCCCCAATCAATAGTTGGCAGCATCGAGGCTCTTCTCAGCAGGTGTCAGCGATAAAGCCGCAGCCTTCGAAGCCGGCAGGACTGGACAAGTACCAGTCACTTCTGTGATTGTCTCATGAGCTTGCAATTCACAGAATCGCGAGCCTGACTAATAAGAGAACTAAAGATTCGCCTGGCACTTCTCCTAACTTTTGCATAATATTCACGATATCAAGGCAGAGAATTGGCGGATTCTATGCCCTCCGAGCATAAATCAATTTGCTGTGTGCCAGTCGAAGTCCCGGGAACGTCGTCAATGCAGCCGTCAAGGTAAGCATAAATGAAAATGCACATGTCATCTGCCAAGACTCCGGCTATTATGTATGCCAAGAATTGACATTCACAACCACGCGACTGATCAGCGCCTCCACCCCTCACGACAAGCCTTGGGAGGAGGCGAAAGTTCTCGAAGGCGGAAAATTCGATGGGCTTGTCATACGTGTGCCATTGCTCATGATCTCACGAAACATCAGCGTTTGTGTCAGGCCAAGCGCGTCGCCAAGTAGGCCAAGGCAGTGCTCGAGGTCAAATGTATCAAGAATTGTGAGAATTGACGACTAGCCCTGGTCAAGAAACGGTATATATGGCTGACGATTTCCAACATATAAAGAAGGTCCACGAACAACAGATTTTTTTCTTGTCCGCTCCAGCTAAGCAGATACAACTTAAGACCGTGATACGTATACGTACAGAACATTCAATACCACAACACCGACTACAATGACTTCAGTTCAACAACACATTCCAAACGGCCAGCAATATGGGTCGCATGCTCCGGCCAGTCTTGGAATCCCAGAGACAGACGGAACGGGATCACAAGGTCGACGTGGCTCATCAGTCGCAGCCGAGATAGCAAACGAGGACGAACATTGTATGACCTTGGCAGATCCAATCGATAACGCACCGCCTGTCATCGTTTTCTTCTCCTTCCTAGATGCCCGCTCTAAGCAATGGGCCGTCGAGCACCAAGTGGTTCACAACATCCGGAAGAATGTTCCGCAAGGAACCACTGTCTCCAGGTGCCATGCCCCAATGCGAGATACTAAGGACTTTGGTGAGCAATTGACCCATGCCTGGGCTGTGGCAAAGTCGCTTCACATGGACGACAAATTCATCACACCGATGTTCGAGGCTATTCGCGAGAAAGGTGTGCACGACCTGGAAGGTATCCGAAGCGTCTTTAACGATCTCGGAGTCGATCCATCAACTTTCCTGAAGGAATGGGCCAGGGACAGAGTCATTGCGGATAAAGAGGCCATGGATAGAGCGGTCGCACACTTGGATTTGCAAGATGTTCCATGCATTCTTGTCCGTGGAAAAGATTTGGTCAAATTGTCGGACGGAAAGGATTTTACTGCCGAGCAAGCAGTCGGTGCGGTTAAGAGATTGCTCGCGAGGGAGTGAATTGCAAATCAAGATCTGAATATTCCAGTACGTGAGGAGATTAGCGATGGCGTCTAGGTCCCCGGTCTTATCACAGCGGGAATTGTGTGAAATTTGGCAAGGAGATTGAAGTAAAGATCATAAGCCTTAGATGAAAGTTTAAATTTGCAACTTCTGCGCAGCAATGAAGAATCCAATAACATCTGCACACGCAATATTGGTATTACAGCCTCTTTTCGTGAATTCTTCTTCGATCATGATTCGTCTATCGCCCTAACCGTCAACCGCTTAGTCGAGTAGAGTACGAGAAGTTTTAGTCATTTCAAGAAGAGCTAATAGTATGTGGTAGAATAAGAATCCTTGCACTTTTCCGTTAGGCGTGCGCGTGAGGAGTACTTGACCAGTTGTACCCCGCGTTCCGGTGGCTGTCGGACACGCGTGCAGACGTGCTTGATTATGCAGAGGCCTTGCTGTCTATCCCTACAGCTCTTGAGTCTACTATCTCTATATTCTACTTCTCTGTCAGAAATTATAGACGCACGGTAGCACGACCTTGGGTTTTTATGCTTAAGGTGCTGAAGCGACTGAACCAGCTACACAGCCAGATCCGTACCATTTCAACGACTGCAGAATCCATTTCAAGCATGACTTACGACAAGACAGCCTACTATGCCGATCATCCTCCTACCGTAGTCCGTCTCGAGATCAAGCCTCACTTTGAAGCCCTCAACCAGCAACAAAAACAATATGCTCACCATCTGAGTCGAGCTGCATTCGCTGGTCAGAGAGTTGTCCTTGCTCAGGTATCACCCGAGTCTCCGCCCACCTACGATCTCATCCTAGCCATACACAAAGCCTGCAAAGGCGACTATCAAAAGCTAGCTGAGAAGACTGGAGTTCCTTCTGACGATGTCGCCCTCTACCTGGAGTATGCAGCACAGTTCTTGGGCAACTCAGGAAACTACAAGAGCTTTGGGGATTCAAAATTCATACCTAGACTATCGCCAGACCAATTCGAGAAACTATGCAATGTTTCCGATTCTGCCAAAGAGCTCTACCAGGCAGCTTCGAATGCTGGAGGTGGCATATTTGAGACACAAGATGCTGGTCTCATGCATTTGGGGTACACAGACCAGGGCCACATGACTACATATTATCCAGATTCGCCGGAGATCACTAAAGAAGAAATTCAGATCATTCAAGATGTCATGGAGTCGGTAAATCTAATGCCGGAAAACACAAGACTGAGGAAAGAAAAGGATGGAAACTTCAGCTTGCTCATTGCTTCTGGTATTCAAAACCCGCCTTCTGAAGAACGAGATTTGGGTGACAAGGACTCATTGAGCTTAACTGGCAAGCTCGACGGAAAGAAGCTAAACCTCGTTTTTGGTGATCACCTCAACGAGATGGCTAAAGCAGCGTTGGAGATAAAGCGTGCAGAAAAGGTAGCTCTTAACGATACCGAAAAGTCCATGCTCGAGGAGTACGCCAAGTCATTTGCCGCCGGTAGCATGAATGCACACGTCGACTCTCAACGCTGGTGGATCAAGGACAAGAAGCCAATGGTCGAGTCTAATATCGGCTTCATCGAAACGTATCGCGATCCTCACGGTGTTCGAGGCGAATGGGAAGGTCTTGTGGCAATGGTCAACCTTGAGCGAACGAAAGCCTTCTCAAAGCTTGTCGAAACAGCCCCGGAAATGATACCTAAACTTCCTTGGTCGAAAGAGTTTGAGAAGGATAGCTTTCTGGCTCCCGATTTTACCTCTCTCGAGGTCCTTACATTTGCAGGTTCAGGCATCCCTGCAGGCATCAACATTCCCAACTACGTATGTACTCTCCTAAAGGTTTATTGGTCTACGCTAACATCTGGCAGGACAAGGTTCGACAAACAGAAGGTTTCAAGAACGTATCTCTGGGCAACGTCTTGAGTGCTAAAGCTCCCAACGAACCCATACCTTTCATCAGAAAAGAGGACGACGAGGTGTATCGCAGCATGCGTGATCCAGCATTTGAGGTTCAAGTCGGCATTCACGAGCTACTAGGTCACGGTTGTGGTAAGCTGCTTCAAGAGACAAGTCTGGGTGTCTACAACTTCGACAAGCAAAAGCCACCTGTCAGCCCTTTGACTGGTGAACCAATCAAAACATGGTACAAGCCTGGCCAAACTTGGGGATCTGTCTTTGGTGCTACTGCAGGCAGTTACGAAGAATGTCGTGCTGAATGCGTTGCCATGGCACTTTCCTGTGATTTTGATATTCTCAAGATCTTTGGCTTTGGCGACGGCACAGTTGACATGAACAGCGAAGCCGGTAATGTGTTGTACGCAGCATACCTGTCAATGGCTCGTGCTGGTATCACTGCACTCGAATTCTGGGATCCGAAGAGTCGAAAATGGGGTCAACCACATATGCAGGCTCGGTTCAGCATTCTCAAGACATTCATCAATGCCGGAAAAGACTTTGTTTCGCTCAAATCAACAAAAGATGACATGTCCGATCTAGAGATTCATTTGAACAGAGACAAGATCCTCAGCACAGGGCGCAAGGCAGTCGAGGCATATTTACAGAAACTACACATCTACAAAGCGACAGCCGATGTGGAGAGTGGTGTCAAAATGTACAACGAGATCACGAGTGTCGACGAGTGGTGGGCTGAAAAGGTCCGTCCCGTAGTGCTGAGCAAGAAGATCCCCAGAAAGGTCTTTGTGCAAGCAAACACGTACATGGACTCAACCAGCGGCAATGTGACTTTGAAAGAGTACGAACCTAGCTGTGAAGGTATGATTCAGAGCTTTTTCGACCGCGATGTTTAGATAACTGGTGTCCTGGTGTTCTCGGGACCAAGTCCGGATCGTATCATGCCTGGTATCCACCCCAGACATGGTTCGCTTCGTTTTCGTGGCTTGGCTTCCCTACGGGAGATGCGGCGTCAATTTTGTCGATCGAGGCGAAGGGCGAGGCTACCAGAGCTAGAGGCACGGCTGTCTCACTACAATGTCCACTACCTGCACCCTATTTCCAGGTACACTGCCAACGCTGGCACACCAAGGCGGGTCGACGACGAAGAGATACTCGACTCAGGCCGCAGCTACGAAATCGTCCGCCGCGATGGCCGTATTTTTCAACGTCCAATCATTATCAGAAATACTCCACCATTAATCCGACCTCCAAGGTGGATCTCACGCGTTATCACGGCATTGCCAGAAGGCGTAGAGGAAGAGTTTCTTCGAGAAGGCGTGCTCCGAAGATGGCAGAGAATAGTCGGAGTCCTGACCAACGATGACGGGCTGATTCAACATTTCGAACGCGATGAAGAAGATATGAGTAGATGGAAATCTTGGTGTGATGACAGCGAGGACGATAGTCCTGGGGAGAGTGATATCACTAATGGCAGTGATACCGAGACCGATGAACAACAAGATCATAATCAATAGGTCAGAATTACAGTGTGTATACACGCATATTATTTGATCTTTACCGATGGACATGACATTGAATCGTCTGTACAAGCAGAGACAAAGACTGCGCGGTCCATTGTTGAAACCACTTGAAGAACATGTCGACAGAAGAGGTACTTCACATCCCTTACGAAGCAGTAATGCCTTCAACTTGAAGAACGAAGTCCGGTCACGGTATCTCCTTCGAGCTTCTCTGGTAAGTGCCAAGAAATAGGTCCCAGCCAGTCTGAAAAAAAGGCAAAAGATATGAAGGAACTTATTCATTATCTTCCCTATGTGCAATTATGCTAATCACTCACAACTCCTTTCAGCTATGCATTCGTTACTTCATCTCGTCGTTAAATTCGTTGTCAATTCATACCTCCACCATTATTCTTGTAAGCACCCTGACTTGGAATCCCTTACAAGTTCGCCTTCTGCTCCTTCTCCTTCTCCTTCTCCTCTCCACTCATCTCAGCCTCCGGAACTATATTCTCATCCTCCTTCACATCCTCCACAGTAACACTACGACCCTTCTTCTCAGTCTCAGCGGTCTTTTGCACTTTCGGAACAGTTACAGTCAACACTCCGTTGTTGAGTCTCGCCTTGACGTCTTCGTGTTTGACTTCAGCTGGGAATGAGAAGGCGCGCTGAAAACTGCCGTAGGTGCGCTCGGTGAGGTGGTATGTTGGTTGGGCTGGAGCTGCGACGTCTTTAGTTTGGTTATTGGTGGTGGTTGTGACGGTTTTGTCGTTAGAGTCGGAGTTTGAAGTACCGTTTTCAGTAGTACTGCTGGTAGTAGCGTCTGGATTGGCGCCTGTCATCCGAGTATCTTGGCTGGACGTGTCAGGCTGCTTGGTTGTCGAGTCAGCCTGCTGAGCAGGCTTCTGCTCCCTGAAAGTCTCGGTCTTGGTCTTGAGCACAAGTGTATTGTCGTCGACGAAGTTAAGGCTGATATCGGATTTCGCGACGCCAGGGAGTTCGCCCTCGAGAACATAGGCGTCTTCGGTCTCCTTGACGTCGAATTTGGGCGTGTTGGTCAGCATCTTTTGCCAGACGTTGCCTTCGCCTTCACCTCCTCCGAATGCATCGTTGAGATGGCTGTTCATTTCTCCAGTCAGACGCTCAAGTTGAGAGAAGGTATCGTTGAACAACGACTGGAACGGTGCATGGAAAGGTTCATTGAAGCTGAACGGTTCCACGCCCCAGCCCCATGGAGAAGCAGTGAAGGATGTCGGTGCTCTGCTCCATGGTGTTAGACCACGGTGGAAGTTGCCGTAGCTTCGTTGGTGGTTTCGGTGTGGGTTGTAGATGATCGACATTTTGCGATGTGGTGTTTGTGTTTGTGTTGTGGTCTTCGTGGTCCGGCTTCTGAGTGGTAGTGTGCTTCGCATTTAGCTATGCTTGTGTTGTTTGTGTCTGGTGAGATAACAGATCACACATGACGACGAGGTTGAGAGTGATTTATACCCTTCGTCGACCACCTGGCGAAATTTCGAGAACATCATCGACGTGGTGTGACCTCGTCGTCATGGAAAGACGGCGAGCTTTCTTCGATGGTGGTTGTTTGTTCTAGAGCAGAGTGGAAAGTCCTGGTTGGTTGGAGTTGCTTGTCAGAAGGTTCTGGCAGCTGAAACCTGCCTAATTAGGAATTGCTTAGCTTAAAGAGGTTAGTCTTTCGAGACTGGTTCATACTCAGCACAGAGCAATGGGAAGCATACTGTAGCTGCGATACCACCAATGAAGGTGGCAGGAACGCAATGCGACTTTCCTGATCGTGGTCTCACAACTTTCAACCTAGACACTTCCATATTCACCAAGTTGCTGGAAGACCTGTCCGTCTTCGAAGTTTCGTGTCACCTCCCACTCTCTTATGACTTTGACTCCCGTATGACATGAGTTCATGTTGGCTATGGTTCCGATATATTCTCCTTCGAGCTGCGACTACAAGAGCGGCATTTCTGTATATTACGGAACGTCGAGAGGCAGGAAAAGAATTATTCAAGGTCAATCTCCCTCAACCGTGCGAACGGACCAATCACAACACGAGAAGAGGAGTATGAAGACTATCCCTTGCAGGGAATCCATTTTGTAGTTGCGTATTAAACATGAAGCTTTTCTTCTTTTTCAATCCCAGAATTTCCAACCTAACATCACATAGCCTACCCAAATACTTGTGCAGCACATTATCTACACTTTGGACCAGACACCTACCATTATTATATGCACCAGCTTCATTCTGCCGTAGCCGAATGTACCCAGTCAGTCCGCTTATCGTTCGCCTTCCCAGAAGAAAGCGCTTGTGCTGGCTAACCGCGCCATGAACGCCCCCGAAAATATCAATTTTCACAAACACTGTATATCGAGAGGATTGTGCAGTTTGTTAAGCATGCTACACCCAAGTCGTTGGCTGAGTCGTTGGCGGGTTGACACCTTTGCTTGCGCTCTGGCCCCGCCTCCCTCTACCAGGGCTCCGTCCAGGGCTCTGCGAAGTCGTACTTGACTGCTTTGCATGTCGTGGACTCTTTGTCTGCGTTGTCGTGGGTATAGGAGGGATCGGTCTTTCGGGCGGAGCAGAAATCGGCTGCTGTAAGGACGGCTGACTCTGTGGCTGCAAACCACGCTTCATCATTCGCCCTAACATGCCTACCATCTCAGCAGCATCTTCAAAGCTCTCATCGTCCATTCCCTCCTTTGCTTCGTAGACTTGTCGGATGGCAAGTCGTGCTGCGCGACGACTCTGGTCGCGTTCGCCGAGGCAATCGTAAAGGTAAGCCACGTATTCCACTTTCACTGATAAGCGGACAGGATGAGAACCAGGCAGGAGTGACTCTGCAAGCGAATTTGCTGCCGCAAAAGCATTCGTTGCACGGGGAGTGTAGTCTTCAGAGGGCCAGATAAATAACGAGCTCCCGTTAGTCGTCAACTGCCCAGGTATGGCAAGGCCAGGAGGGATTCGAGTTGTGGATATGCCACCTACTGGCCCACCTAGACTGATTGCCGGCGATCTCTGCCGTCTATTCGACTGTGAATTGCCGGACGAGGTCGAGGGTGTTCTAGGTGTAAGGGGGTCGGGATATAACGAATAGAGGCCTCCAGATCCCGAACGTGTTCTGTTAATTCGATTATTGACAGGAGGGTCATTGTGGAAAAGCACAAAGATGTGATAAAAGCTAGCGCGCAACTTATACGCCAACACCTTCAACTCGACATAATTGCCGACCATGGGAAGAATATACTGCTCGACCATTACCAAGCCTTCGCGTGCGAGCCATAATATGTGGTTGATGCAGGTTTTGTCCTTTGGGTTTCGTACAGGGTCTAATTGTTTTGCTTTGCGTGCTTTCAGCAATTTCTCGGCAAGGATGACTGACAGTCCCAGGACGCGAAACAGAAAGCTAAGAACCAAATGAGTTTCAGGATCGCGTAGTTCGGGAGGTGCGACGGTACCTTGATAGATAATTGTTGTCGATGCTGGTGGTCTTGGCGAAGTGACCCAGGAATTTCTGGTCGACTTCGGAGGATGCCATCCAAAAACCGTAAAGTGGAGGATCGTCTGTCGGCAGCCACTGTTTTGACAAATACGTCAGTTCTATCAAAAACAATCGCTCTCGTCCCGCAATGTCATGGGAATGCACGTGGTCGGGTGGAACATGTGCCATCTTCCATCGGACGAAAATGCTTTTGATGCTTTTCTGTTTCTCAGCCGACCAGGCTTGCCGCGTGGTGAAAAATGTTGAGGCACAGGCACGAAGCTGAGCTGGAATTTTCGTGATTTACGCTTCATTATCATGATGGTAATTCAAGCATGATGTCAAAAGCACAAGACGAAAATACAAAGATGTTGGTTTCAATATCGCGTAGCATGAGCAGTAGTTATGCGACACAGCGAGATGTTGTGAAACTTGAGAAAACACGCGTTGACTTACACTTTGACGCCTTGAGACCCACCTCGGCGTTTAATTCTCAGCCTTGTCTGTTTTCCGTACAATGTCGCTAGCCGTCGCTAGACCTCAGCCCACGGTTGTTATAGGGGTCTCAAATTGTGCTCGCTTCACAAGATTACCGACGTTTCACGCTTTGAGAAGCGTTGCGCTCTGGACAAGGTCGGGTGCAGTTCTCGATGTCTCGGGACGGTGCGCAAGCAATCGGTGCTGTACTTTCTTTATCATGCAGGATCGTGGGTACTTTCAGTATGTACTGCTCGTGAGCTAGGGGTTTATGTACTACTTGTCGCAAAGGTGTTCGCTTAGGAGGATGTATTTTGGCGCAAGCTGAAGTATTAACAGGAAATCGCAAAACGAGAGACGTGGGTTGAATGCGCAGACAGCGACAAAGGAACGTAGAGAAGTCGAATTAGCTGGTAAGAAAGTCGTTAGTAAAATGAAGACATGGCAGGAAGCTTGCGAGAGCAAAGGAAAGTGACGTTGAGCACGACGATGCGTTGGGCGCCGTCTGGATAATGTGTGCTTGGTGTGCTACCATGTGGAGAGTATAGCATACTTTGTATTGGAGAGCCTAAAAAGTGAAGCAGAGTCCTTCAATTGGTGCTATTCGTCCAGCAACCCGATTTATTTCAGCCAATAGCCAGTCGACAGCAAAAGTGGTCGCAAAGTCGGTCGATAGAATGAGGCAGGTCGGAGACTTCAACAGCTGCGAATGCATCATGCAGCAGTCAGGTGAGCACCAGAAGCAATAGAAGCTTAGCTGCTGCTAGAGTGGCAGCTCCCTCAGGTCACTACCTCAGTGCTGATGGAGAGTGCTTCCAACTTCGAGGACCAGCCTTCCTGTCCAGCGAGAAAGGGGTACTTTTGGGACCCGCAAAGGTATCGCAAAAGGTGGAAGCTGCAAGCAGTCTATGCAGTGTGCTGTTTTGAAGCCCAGAAGTGTGATGAGCTAGGTCTGGTGGTTCGGTAATGAACGTGCGGGAAGGAACGATTGACCTCGTTAGAGCCTGGCTAAGTGGATGTCGTAGGCAGGAGAGCTGCAGGATAGTGGACGCGAGCATATAGCATTTCGTGGACGGTATGCACAATGATACTTACACACAGCAGTGGGAGAAAAAGTATAGGGCATCGGACTGCGCTGTGGAAGGTGAAGCTGGTACCGACTGCCAGCGCATCTTGCTTCTCACGTTGTCTAGTGCCCTGGACTTACCGTTTTCGCAATAGCGGTTCAGTGATGTGCATGAAACCTAACAGCTCAAGCGAGTTTCGGCAGCTAGGATACATTATTTTAGTGATGAGAATAACTCAAGCCGTGCAAGGAACGACGGATTAAGAAGAAGGAAATGTGCTACGTGGCAGCAGCGGACTGAGCTTAGATCATCACTAGAGTCAACGCCAGGCAAGGGCAGTTGAGCGGTGAATCGGCCACGATCTCAAACACGGTTTAGTGGCTTCACCGATTAATCCAAGTCTGGAAGGATGGCTTTGAGCTTTTTTTTTTTTGCTTCTCACAGGGTACAGTATTTTCGCACCATATGTGTTGCTTTGTTGATCGCATGGCTCAGTCGTAGATACGCACAAGGCCCTCCGCGCTCTGTGCCATCTGCCCTCTTCCAGCGACAAAGGTCGATTTTGGTGAAACCATCACTGATGCTCACCTTACAGCAACGCCATGGTCGCAAATCTCAATGTTTACGTCGTAGCTAAAGAGGAGAAGCGTGGACACTGGTGTCGATCTACCCGCAATGCCGGCGCTTTTCATTATCCAATCTCCCGGGACGATTCTTATCTTCCGGTGTGAGGGTCGCATGGTTGGGATATCGGCAGCAGGATCGACGGCCGGACTTGACTTTGCTTTCTCCAAGTACTTGTACAGCATGCGCACGGAGAATATATAGGCGCCGAGAAGAGCTTGCGAACAAGTATGATTCAGACTTAGGGTTCAGCGGCTCGCTTTTTCTGCAACTCCCTGCCTCTTGTTTATTGAGTTCGATGTAGCTGCAGCGATGCGGATATCCATGGCCTCAGCTGATTCAAGCACGAAGAGCGGTGAGCAGGATCTCAAGGGAGTGATCACAAGGATGGACGTCATTTCAACTTCTTTAAACTTCTTAGCTACCTAAGTATAGTATTCTGTACTTCGTAGCGATGTCGCACCCACCGTGCCCTGTGCGAACCCTGTCACACGTTCCACACTCGTAATGCGCTGCTTACAGTGAGCTCTCCCACATCGATCACCACAACCTTTGGCGCATCGCGCTCACAGAACGAACGGCGCGATGACCTCCATCACTCCCAGCCACCTCACTGCTTAGAGCACACGAAAACTAGCAGATAAGTCGGGCGTTCAAACAATGAACCACCTAGGTCGCAATGATATGACCCGAGATATGGTCGACTGAATTTGGAACAGCCTATGCCCGAACGCAAGCCTCAGGACATTTATACACCTTCAGTCCCAAATGCGTAAAGTGTAGCTGATTATCAGGTCGCACTCACCTGTGCTGTGCTGCAGTTGAAGTTCAGAACTCAAAATCTTTGCGGCATGGTGCAAAGGTCTATGGCTAGATCGTATTGTAGTTATCGCGCTCTTCTGCCTCTTCAATGGTTTGTCTCGTCAAGCTCACACATGTCGGAAACCGAGATTCGCTTTCAGGTAAGCAGATGCAACACCTGCTCTTTGCGAAAAGGGTTTATCAGGCCTCATCTGCAACAGGCATCTGGCCGAATGCAGAAGGTTGTTGGGGAGCGTTGTTCGGGGCCCCACCACTCATCTGTGGGACACCTTTCTGATATCCTTGACTCAACGCGCGCTGGTTGAGATAGTGTGGCTGATGTGGGCTAGATCCATACGGAGTGTTACCACCATAGCCTCTACCCATAGATGGCTGCTGACCGTACATATTTCCGGCGTGACCAGGTGTTGAAAACATCATCTGGCCGGCAGGATACCCTTGTTGCGAATTCTGTTGCATCATCACAGGAGCCATAGGACCTGGACTAGGATATCCGTTCTGTTGCTGAGGATAGGCGTGGTGGATACGAGGCGATGGGTAGACCATATTCATCTGGTTCGGCATAGTCATGTATCCATTGCTCGAATGCTGAGCAGACATCATTGGAGCAACCATTTGTCCGTGCTGACCATGCATCATGGCTGCGTTGTTGCCATATGGCCGCATAGGCATCGGTCCGTTGACGAAGTATGGTTGGGGGCCATAAGCTGTCTGAGTCGGGTGACTCATAGGTGAAGCATATGCGCCACGAGGCGTCATGTTGGGGGAAGTATACATTGAAGGCGACCCGTTCTGTAGATGCATACGCTGATCATCAAAATGTGGTGGATAGTGCTGGCCTACATGGTGACCATGCTGTGGTGTGACAGCCTGAGGAATATGTGGTACACCTCCTAGTTGCTGCATCTGTCCTTGAAAGGGGATTGTATGGTGGGATGGGGTACGGTTTGCAAGAGGAGAGGCAGTAGGCACCTCTTTGTTGAAGAAGTCCTCATGCGTCTTATCTTTGTTCTCGTCAGGGACGACCCAGACCGGGTTGGTGTGGAACGCATTCGGTATGCCTCCGTTCGATGCAAAGTCACGCTTGTCCTCGGTGTTCTCAGCCAGCTTAGCCTTGACTTCTTGCTTCATACGACTGATCGGGTTGAATGCTTGCATCAAGTTGAGTCGCTCGGACGACCTCCCTGGTTTGTGCTGACCGAAAAAAGATGAAGGACTTGCTGTACGTGCTATCGAAGCGACTCTCTTGATCGGCGAGGGACTAGCTGCAGAGACGGAAGCACTTGACGGATTGAAAGAAGGTGCTGTTGGTCGAAATTCGAGAGCGCGAACGTTGAACTTTGTGGATACAGCCGAAGTAGGTGTATCGGTGCCTCGTGGGCTCGAGAGTGCTGAACTACCGGCTGTGCTCTGATGGCTCCTCAGTTCTGGTAGAGGGATCGGAGCTGGAATCTGGCCGTTCTTTTGACCCTGTCCACGAGGAGCGACTGGTACGCCTGTGCCACCGAAAGGTAATTGCTGACCGAGTGGGCGTGCGCCCCTGCCTATCGAGGACTTTGCATACGAACCTCGACCAGCATTGAAAGCATTACGCTCGGGAATCGGAGGTGGAATCTGTGACTTGTCAAACTTGGGAACTGCTGGCAGTTGAGTGCTGGTAGATTGTGGGATAGGAAGAGGTGTGACGACTGATTTTGCGTCCTCGTGATCGCGTTGAGCTTTGTCCATGATAGCTTCCTGCTTCTTTGGGTCCTTAGCCAAAATGCCGACCAGGTCGTCAGGAATAGGAGTTTTGAGTTTGAAGCGCTTGGCAAATTGTCGCAGTTCGTTGATTTTGGCATCGCGATCGTGTTTGGTTTGCATGCGCTTCTTCTCCGCAACGCGAGCACGTTCAACATCAGCAAACTGCTTAAATTCGCCGAGCACCTTCTTCTCTACTCCCTGTGAAGCAAGTGCTGGATTTTGGGCATGCTCCGGGGAAGGTGAAGCCAGCTTTTGCTGTTGTGATGCTTTAGGAGTGACTCCATTCGCAGGCGATCTTGAGAGGTCAAGAGCCTGTTCCTTCACTGCAGCTTCATCGCCGGCCGTTTGGGCCACGAGAAGGACTGCTGCTGGTGGTATCAGGTTTTCGGCAGAAGGAGTATCGCTCTTGAGGGGCACGGACTGCTGAGAGCCGGAAGAACGTGAGATATCTGGTCGGGCGACCTGAGATGAGATGATGGCGGGATCGACAGGAACACCCGACGCTGCTGGCTTCGCACTAGGCGCACGTAAAGCTGGCGGAGTGTATCTGTTGGTGTTCGTAGTGGGAAGGGGCAGATAGTCTCGACGAACACCACTGTATTTATCCTCCTCGTCGCCCTGATCCTGCTCAAGTGCTTGGCCCCTCTCTTCTCGCACATGCGTGTTCGAAGATACTTGCGACTCAATCTCACGCGCGAGTCTTGCAGCCTCAGCCTCCCTCTTCTTAAAGTCTGGTGCAGAGCGATCTATTGTGGTGGTATAAGCCTCCTCGTGATACGTGCTTTGTCCTCCCGTCATCTTGGCATGTGTTGCAAACTGATCCCATCCTGCGGCGCTGCCGGACTCAAGGGAGAAGTCTGTCGTGTCGGCGACATCGGGCACCCATTTCTGCAGAACTCGTTCGCTTCGATTCACGTTTCCAGAGATATCAGCGTCTGTCTGGAAGGAAGAGGAAGCACCTGTAGTCAATGTGTAAGTAGAGATATGGCATCACAGCTAGAGGTATATGTACCATTAATTTGTCGCGATGTTTCTGGTAGGCTGAACTCAGGTATGGTCATATCAGCCATATCCTGCAGATCAAATGCCATAGCGTAGTCGGGACTCGAGCCAACAAAGGCCGCTTCCCATGAGCTGATTCCATTCGGTTGAGTGATAGGGTTGTTGATGACCTTCTTGGTCATTTTCAGTGTGATCTTTGAGGCAGCAGGGGCACCAGCATATCCGGCGAAAACACCTTCATATTTGTCGCCCGATTTCGTGATCAGAACCACTTGCAGACCCTAGGCAGTTAGCACAGGTATTGCGACCAGCATGAGTGAACGTACAACTGAGCCGCCAAATAGAAATCGCAGTCTGTCAGAATTATGCTTGTCTGTCTGTACATCTTTTGTTGAAGGCATCTTCACAGTCGGTACATTTCTGGTCTGTGCAGAGCTTGCCTTTGCTTGGTTTGGAGTGGAAGAGCGTTGTGTGATGGGGTTCGAGCCTGACCAGGCTTTAGGCGTGTTTGTCTGTCTGTTGGACATGTATCAGCATGGTGTGTTTGCGACATTCAGTACGTGGAGCTAGAGAACGAAGGCGTGCTAGGGGAGTGTACAAAGCAGAGCAAGTGACATGGAGATGTAAGCAAGACTCACCGATTCGAGTCAGAAGGGGACTCTTTACGACCTTTCTGTGTCATCTTTGGTGTTGTATTCTGCTTTACTGAACGATTGCTTCCATCCTTTTGCGCATTTCCAGACGAAGGATTGGAATTTGATGAAGCACTGATGGTCGAAGCGTAACTGGCAGCAGACATAATCTGCCGGATGTTGTCTGTCGAGGTTGCACAAGACCCTCAGTGTGGGTTGACTTCGTGACAGTGCAGGTACACCAGTGCAATGGTGGAGAATGCAAAAGGACTATTGGTGAAGTAGACGCAGGACTGAACTGTCGGTTCGAATGCGGCCGCAAAGCCTCGTGCCGCCAGTGCAAGAACGGCTGCGAGCTGAGGTAGATGAGGAGAGGTGGAAAGACAAGTACGTCCAGTAACAGAATCAACAAAGATCTGCAGTACACCCAAGGAAAAGAGAAACAAGAGAAAATGGGAGCACACGAGTGTGTCCTCCCCTGTACGCAAAAGATCTCTGCGTAGATGAGGCGCTCTACGAGAAGTGTCAAGCAAACGAGGTTGAGACAAGATTTATTCTTGCGCAGGTCCTTGGACGTTCAGTACTGCGAGCTGGTCGAGCACGCAGTGGGAGAGTTGTTAGTCTGCAATCAGAGCCAGTAACGGTCGAGGTGATGGGGTGAAATAGGCGGGAGTTAACGGCTTCTACCCTCCCCGATCCGTTAAATTATGTGGAGCTTCAGGTACTAATCACCTTGCCGCTGTGCCTCATCTGCGAAAGATCTATCTGAAATCCAAGCCAACAGTCATCACCAAGTAGTCGCTTTCCAAAGCGCAATCATTATACAATAGTCGAAGCAAAACTCAAGTTCTTAGGTCATGAATTCATGCGTCATTCTGTTCCTCCACAGATATGCCCTTCCATCATTATAGCCGCAGCGAGTTCAGAATCGTTGAAGTCATCGAGCGATACTGATTCATGCCTCCTTGAACTTTCTTGAACTGTATGCCGTGTAGATTGAACAAGGGAATCTTCACAATCGCAACTTCAAACCTCAGTACTAGTCGCTCCCCGTTGTCGTCCTGCACACGTGTCCTGGTGGCTGCCATATCGGCTTGCTGTTGCCCTTGCCCAGAAGCATGCACATACTCGTCAGATCCTTCTGAATTGGTTACAAAGCTTTGATCTGGTTGTCGGCGACGAGACTGTTGACGATGTGGCTTTTCGTCCCTGAATTCATCGCGATCGCGGTTGCGGAATGCTCCAAACGAAATACGTCGATTGTGGCCAGTGCCAACTTTGCCACTCTTCTCATCCTCAAAAGCACCACCCTCGCGGACGTCATCCAGGTTGATACTGGGCGCATGACGGCAGCTAAATCCCCCTCTTACTTCAGTATATTCGACACCAAGCTGTTTCAGAACACGGATTAGATCATGCCGTATGAATTGAGCTGGCTTGCTGCTTGTAGTAGACGACGAGAATAACCCTTTCAAACCTGCTGGCCGAGAGATGTCTGCCCCTGGCGTATCGGGTATTGTTGGAGTTTCCGCTGCTTGCTCCTGCAATTCTGCATCAGTCTCTTCCGGCACATTTTCATGTCGGCTTCGAGCTTCATCTCGTCGCTGTCGCCGCGCTTGCATACTGTCATGCCGACTGTGCCCCAGCGATCTGGTACGTGCTGTTGTAGGTGTGCGAGGAGCAACAGACGACGGAGCAGCGTTAGGTCTTTCTTCCACTTCCACTATCTTGTTGTTTGCCTTCTGGCCATTCAAGCTGGACTGCTCAGAGCCGCTGGGAGTAGGGACTTCTGGTGCAAGGCGTGGTGAGTTAGTGGCATCAGACGCACCACGATTGAGTAATCTCCTTGGCCGAAAGTCGGCCGAGTTGACACTGGTCGATCGGTTGAGGAGGCTTCTGCCCTTTGAGGAGCCAGCACTGAGCAAACCCTCGTGCTGTCCTTGACTTCCGCCCGTATGCAATGTTGGAGGTGATTGTTCACGTCTTCGCGATCGTCGTACAGAGAACGACTTTCGTGGTGTTGGGGCAGGTTCTTGTGGGGGCTGAATATTGAAGGATGGTGGTGGTAGCGGTCTGTCTGTATCGCGATCTTTGTTGCGCCGTGTACTAAACCTCCTCAGCAGACCCAAAGCTGTTCCTTCCTTGCGGGCCGGACTGTCAGCAGGTGGAGCATCCAGCCGTGGAGAAGGAATAGGCTGTGGCTGCTTGTCGTTGATCGTGACACGTTTCATGTTTTCCACAACTTCGGCTTCACCATTCGTCCTTGATCTTGCTCGAGCTCTGCCACCCGTCGCCGATTCACCTGGCAGTTCAGGCGAGAAGGTGTTGGTGTGAGCGGCTTCAGGAGAAGGCAGACCAGGAGCTTTGAGTGGCGGCGCATCCGCAGGGGTGCCAAGAGACAATGCACCAGGGTTGGCCTCGACTCTTTCCCTCTCGAGCTTCTCTCTTGCTAACATATACACCGAGACTAATGGTGAATATGCATTAAGTGGATCGCTACCACGGATGGCTTCGGTCGAAGGAGCAGTCAGACCCTCCCTGCTGGTCGAATTGCGTCTCTTGTAGAACTCGAACATGCCGCGCTTTCTATCTCCAGGCAAGCCACCGTGTAGAGAATCGTCTTTGACGGCACGGCGCATGGCGTGCTGGTAGTCTTCTGACTCGATAATCCTGGTGAGCTGTTCCTGGATGTAGTTGGCAGGTCCAAAGTCGAAGCCCTGCATCTTATTGATAACGGCAGGGTCGAGGGGTAGCTGAAGCGGTTCTCGGGAGGGCACAAAGTTTTCAGGTGGTCCATTGAACCCCTTAGTCATCCATGGATGGCTCATAATTTCTTGGAGGGTGGCGCGTTCCTTTACATCGACCACCAGCATTCTAGAGATGATGCTTCTGCACTCTATGGAGGAATTAGTGTATTTTGGTAGAAAACAGAACTCAAGACGTACCTGCTGTGAGCCACTGTGGATACTCGACATGGCCTCGTTTGATCTTCGCATGTAGCTGCGGCATGCTCTGGTCATCAAATGGAACCTTGCCACATACTAAGACGTACAGCACGATGCCAAAACTCCAAACATCAACTTCTGGACCTGTGTATTGCCTAGCGTTGAGCAATTCGGGAGCAGCAAAGTAGAGACTGCCACAGAAAGTCTTTAGCAGTGAGCGCGGTGAATAAAGATTGCTTAGGCCGAAGTCTATTATCTTGATATCACCACTTTTACTGATTAGGATATTCTCGATCTTGAGATCGCGGTGCACGATACTGTTGCGATGACAGTAATCCAGGGCACTTGCGATTTGTCTGGCGAATTTCCGTGCTTGCTTCTCCTTGAGACGACCATGTGCGATGATATAATCAAGCATCTGCCCGCCATCGACGTACTCGAACAGCATATACCAGTGGTAGTTTGTCCTCTGAACATCACGCATGCCACAAATATAAGGGTGGTCGAGCAATGTTGCCATCGCAGCCTCTCTTGCAGTCCTGATTTCTTTCGATTTATCGGAACGTTCGTCTTTGGTTTGGCCGTTCTCGTCAACGGTTTGTCTTGGGATGATCTTTATAGCAACTGTTTCTCCGGTCTCGGAATTCCTTGCGACTTTGACCTTTCCCATACTCCCCTGGCCAATAGTCTTGCCAAGCTGCCATGTGCCAGTCTGAGTGGTGATAGAGGTTCGTCGACGACCCATCTGGCCATAGTTCGGATGAGCCATGGGCGCAGGCACTGGTGCAGCAGGAGGCAGGGGTGTAGCTGACGAGCCATTGGTGGCCGATCGTGGTGCCACAGTAAAGTCTTGACTGCTTCTCCGTGAATCGGGTCTGGACGAGGATTGATTGCGTCTGCTTGCCTCCTCCTCATAAGCTGAACGCCCTTCGCGTGAATTTCTTCGTTGTGAGCTAACTCGGGCCAGGTTGCTTCTCTCAAAATCTTGTCGAGCAACATGACTCAGGTTGCCCTGAGCCTGTGGTGCAGCAACGGCATCCTTTTCGTAGGCTCGCGAACCTGCACGATGGTGAGTTGAGCTGGACGATCTATGGGTGGTAGAGCGGGTTCGAGACGGCTGCGATGAAGGTTGAGCATAAGTCTGGGGTGGAGTTCGAGTTGCGGATGAATGACTGCGTGACAATGCGGATGAGGCAGATGCAGTTGTAGACATATTTGAGTGCTGTCGCTGAATCTATTGCTGCTGCTGCTTAGTGAGCTCAATACAAAGCGTACAATGTGGTTAGATGTGCAGTGATGCAAGCGGTCGAGAAAGCTCCCCTGCAGCGCTGCTTATGCTTGCAGACCGTGCGCAGAAGGTGCAATGGACCTGTTGCCTGCTTCAAGAACAGTCATGAGTCTGAAGTCGACGATCAAGGCTGCTTCTGACTGAACTGCGAATAGAGTTAGGCTGCTTGGGGGCTGGGCTGCACCAGGATGCGATTGCTGGCGATGATTGATTATTGGGTGCCGATCAGGTTGACAGCAGCCCCACCACAGTAATTGGTCTGAGTATGTATGCGCAATGGCTGTCAGACCACGAGTTCAAGTTTCGTCGTGAAAGCAATTGCAACAAGGACACAGTCAAGAATAATTGCTCACTCACCTCTTTGTCTGACGCACTGCCATCATGTTGCAGCTCGCACATCGGCATCCTCTGAGTGACAGGATCAACCTACTATACTGCAAGCCACCGGGACAACCCTAGCTAGCCCGCAACCGTTACGTTGACCCGCCTGCAAGCACTTCTAGCTATGCCTAAATGAAGCGGTCGTGCTGATCCCCAGGCTTGACATGGGCCGTTATTTTCGCAAATTTCAACTTTATTATCACCTCCACACACTTTCTTCCTACGTGATTCACCATGGCGCAAAAACGCTCACGGCGTGACTATGAAGCAGACTCACGCAAGCAAGATGCTCCCTTTGTCGTCTATGGCACGCCCTTGCCGCCTCTCGATGACAATGCTCGCGACGATGGCTCATACGTACCACTATGGAAACAAGAAGTAATCGATGACCGTGGCAGGAAGAGACTGCACGGGGCTTTCACAGGTGGTTTCAGTGCCGGGTGAGCAGCCGGTCAGTTTGCTAAAGAGACATCATGACTAAAACGGTGAGTGCAGATATTTTAATACAGTAGGATCCAAGGAAGGATGGACTCCTTCGACCTTCGTTTCTTCTCGCGCAAATCGTGCAAAGGATGTCAAGAATGCTAGACAGCAGAAGCTGGAAGATTTCATGGATGAGGACGACATACGAGAACGAGAAGAGTCTTTGCAGATCTCGACTGCAGAGGGCTTCGCAGGCTTCAATACTAGCCATGATTTGAGCGTGCAAAATGTGCTTGACGATGTCTTCCGCCCGTCTGAGAACAACATGGGCGAGAAGCTGCTGATGAAAATGGGCTGGAAGAGAGGTCAGGGTATTGGTCCAAGAGTTCGTCGCAAGATAGATCCTGGCGACCCATATTCAGAATCACGAGAATTCCCACCACAGGACTCCCCTATGCTCGAATTCTCACAGAAGACGGACACAAAGGGCCTCAGTTTCGAACAAGACAGCCGTGTTCATACAGAACTCTTGAGTAAGAGCCAAGCAGCCTCTGAAACACAGGACGAACCTGTTAAAGAAGACCTACGGCCTGGGTTGAGCTTCATGGATCGGACAACAACGAAACCTAAGCCGCCGATGCGGTCTGGCATTGGTGTTGGTTCGCTCAATGATACAGGGTCTGACGAGGACGATCCATACGAAATGGGTCCTAAAGTGTCCTATAATCGTGCACTCGGCGCGGGCGAGAAACAGAAGAAGCGACCAACAACTACAAGCACCGCCAATCCACTCCTCAAGCACAAGCCCGTGTTCATTTCAAAATCTAAGCAGTTACCATCCGCCCTCACTACCCTCAGAAAATGCCATGATGGAAAGCTGCCCCTAAATGGCTTCGTCCTCACCAATGAGCTCGATGCCTTCAATTCAATAAATCTCTCGAACGAAAAGTACAAACCACCAGAAGTCCCAGAGGATTGGGAACCCGCAAGTCTCGCATCAAAGACGACCGACAACCACACTGCCACGCCTTCCACTCTCTCCCTTTCCTCACAACCACAAACATCAAATTCTCGTCGCCGCGCCCTTGGCGAACAACCCCTCCCCTCTAAATCCATCTTCGACTTCCTTTCCCCAGCAGCACGTGACCGCCTCGCAACAGCAACAGGAAACACAAACCTCCCATCAGCACTCAACGAATCTGCTCCACAGCCTACCGCCTCTTCCACTCACACTCCCCTCACCAACAACACCCCCTCCCTTGCCTACCCACACATCGACCCAAAAACCGCCACAACCGCCCTCCACCGCCTCCGCCACGACAAATCCAACACAACGCCCTACAATGACGATCTCCCCAAACAAACACGCTACAAAGACTTCCTCCGCTGGAGCGCTGACCCGCAACCACCAGCACAACGAGTCCCACCCCTCCGGGCCCCAACTCACAAAACCAACGACGCAGAGCATCTAGCCGAACTAGCTGAGTTCGCTGCGACAGCTGAGCTGTTCAAGCCTGCTACGGGGTTCCTGGCGAGTAGATTTACGAGTGCCTCAAATTCGAAAGCAGATACGGCCGTGCCGAATAATAGTGGCAATAGCGATGGTGACGGTGGGAAAGACGACGGTGGAACAGAGGAATTTCTTACACGACCAGCGGAGAAAAAGCCCTCAGACCCAGCGGAGGAAGCGGCGCGAATGGGCATGTTTGGGATTGCGACGAGGACTACGAGGTCGTGGATGCCGACGAGGTTGGTGTGTAAGAGGTTTGGAGTGGAGATGCCGATTGATTTCAATGATTGATTCGAGAATCCTGTTTGGGGTGTTATCTAGTCTTATACTTTAGGATGAGACAGATGCCTTGTGGAAGCTGTAGCATAGCTATACCAGACGAGGATGGGCTATAATTCAGGACGATCAGCTTGTATTGAGGAACAAACCATGATCATAATCACAGATAGGTAAGTATTTTAAATCATAAATACAATTATTGGAATTGTCTAGTTACCTCGTATGAATAAGTGAAATATATAACAAATGCCCAAACGTTCCTTTTTCCTAACATAAAACACCAGTAAATAAGGACCGTCCACCAACTAGCTCCATGCTACCAAAGTACCCAAATTTTCAATGTGCCCTGGCGAATTCTTCGTGTTTGCCCTGGCGTGCTCACTCATGAAGACACACAGGAGTATCGCGCCTCTACCGATGTTCCGGTGTATACCTCAGTCGTACGAGCCAATGTGGTGCATTGAAGTGCTCCTTGCTTCATTTGATTTGCTTCGTCCTGCCCTCCAGAGCACTTGCTCAACATTAGCATGGACGATGAACATTCCTCGAGAGACGTCTTCAGGGAGGTGGAGCTTGGAGGCGACCTGACATCTAGTCAAATCTAAGCGGAGGTCTTGTAGCACTGGTTTGTCTACCGGACATGGTCGACAGCCTCGTCCTTGGTTGTAGATCTCGCGTCCTTATTTAGGCGCAAAGGCCCCCTATACCATAGCGAAGATTCTGCGAAGGACCTTCCATATCTATCTGTGGCTGTAGACTTCGGTATCGAGGGAAAGCTTTACCGGATCATCAGCTGGCGCGAGAACAACTAGTCTCGATGTAACGAGAGACAGATATAGCCTGTCGACCATCTGCAACTCGTTTAGTATGGGCTGCGTGTCCTCGAGCGAGTACCGAAAATCCAGGAAGGCACATTTTGTTTCACGGACCATCATTTGTACTATGGCCCAAAGTTGCTCACAAGCGCCTGAACCACATGACCAGGCTGCCAGCCCTGATCTTCTAGTGATTGGGCTTCTTTCAAGATCTTGCCAAAGTAGACAATCCTCACGTTCGCACTGGAAGCGATAGTAGCTTCACTCCGCAGTCTCCTCACCAGCACACTGACTGGTTGTCCTTTGCCAATCAAAATGACCGTGTCCGGTCCGCCACGATCGCTCAGCCTGCATTTGACTTTGATTCCATCTTTCTCGATTGTGTCCTTGCCTTTGTCTACCTTCTCTTGCATTGCTGTGTCGGTAGTTGTCGATGCAGGTGGTAATAAAGCGTTCGCCTCGAGCTTCTTATCCATGGACATTTCGCCAATCACAGTCTCGCCACCGTCATCGTCAACGAGGTTCACCGGATCAGTGATAATGTTTGCAGGCAGATGGTAGAGCATTCCTCGTTCGTCATAGGCACCATCTTCCAATTTCCCGGTAGGCATGGTAATCCCTGCAGCATCGAGTATACCCTGCGCATCAGCCAGGTCGTGCATACGGATCAACTGCGTGACTTCTTTCAACGCGCTCCATATTTCTGGTCTACCAGTGACGCGGGTCTCGAAGAAATCCGTCCGTTCGCGCTGTAGTTGCGAGCGTGTCCATGTCCGATCCTTACTTGTCCACGGCCGTGGTGAGACAAGTGCTGTATTGTAGGGGTCTGTTGAAGGAGCTTCGTGCTGCTGAAATTGACGGCCAGTAGTGGACGAACGTGGCGTTGAGATGTTTGATCTCGAAACACCTGGGCCTAGTCGAGACTGGTGTCGCGAGGTGGTCGTCGATAGAGGTGCATTTATGGCAGTCTGTGAGGTGATTCCGGCCGTGTGGTTGGCACGTGTGGAGGGTACCACAGAGGCAGGACGATCAGCTGCCTCTGGCCGTGCTTCTCGGGAGGAGCCGCAACCCATGTTGGTCTTGCTGTCGCTGCTGCTGTTCTTTCCGTACAAATGCTGTTGAATTGTGTTATCTGCGAGACATGGAAAATACTTCAGAGACAGTTTTGCTCTTGTTCTGTTTGAGTTTCGCACTTTGATTTGGAACGATTGCGACTCTTATCCACGACGTCATTCACCAAGCACGGGTCGGTTCACGCGGAACAGGCTGTTGATTTGGGTGGCCGATTGGATCGTAGCGAACGAAATTGAGGCTCAATGCCGGCTGCCAGCGTAGTTGTATTTGGTGATGAGCTAGACAGAGTCACAACTCAAACGAGCGTTGCTGGTGGCAAGGAAGAGAAAGAGTAAGGTACGGTGCTGAATGCGTTTACCATGAAGCGAGGCGCAACTTCCAAGACCCCATCTTTGACGTGTCCGAGCTGGGTCCAGATCTGCACGCCGGTGGCTCGAAAAAGCCCAAGTGCCGGCCCATGTGAGCCAGATTTGGCCAGGGTTGTTTCGGTACGCTTCGATCGCGTGTGCTTATAAAAAGGATCCAAAAATGAAGAACCTCCTTTACTTGACGATATGACCTCTAGGTGGTCTGAAGTTTATCGGACAATGCAAACTGACCAGGCTGCGTCATTCGAATACAACATAAATGACATTATAGAGCACATCTAAACATGTATCTAGAAGCAGTTACACAACCCGCGATAATGATTCACAAGTCACGAATCCGTGAATGTGGCCGCTGTATTGAACATCTTGCGGTACTCACGATCCATGGTCCAAGTTTATCTGAGTTCAATGAGCGGAGAGGTACCAAAGATTCCTAGCCCCTTCTTCGTAACGTGAGTTAGCTCTAGTTGTTGATATCTGCAACGATTAGCATTTCGTCAGAAATAAGGGAATACGTTCAGCTTACTTCTCGCTTTTCTTGTGGAAATAGACTCCACTGATCTTGCCTTCTTTCTGGTTCAAACAGATATAGTAGAATCCCTCAAAGCTGGCTCCCTGAATATTACTCTGCTTGTGATCAGGAACAAGGAAGTGCTCCTTCCATCGCATAAAAACATGGTCTTGTGTCCACCATGGCTCGTTGTCAAGTGGAAATTCAAAACTCATATCTCGTTTGGCATGGGAGGTCAGCTGTCTCCAAGGAGGGAATCTGAGCCAATGCTGAAGGTCCACTTTTTCGTTTGCACCCCAGGCAGGATCCGTGGTTTTGAAGCTGTACCTTTGGTTTGGGCCTCCGACGATCTGGCCAGTGAAGAAGGTTTGAAGCTTGGGATGCTCAGGCGTCAGGCCACGGATCATCAAATAACCCGAGATACTGCTTTGCGCCATATCGACCGTCAAGATCGTCACTTCGACGTTATATGTCTGACGATCTGACTGCTGTGTGCCAACATACTTGGAGTAGGGCTGGAACAGTGAGGAAGGACATTTCATGGTTGGACGTTTGTCTGTAAAGTCCCAGCGAGGGACTTTACTCGCTCTGTTGAGTGAAATATCTACCTTCGCTAAACCATACGGTAGCGCTTCTTGTGCAGGTGTTGCTCTGCTTGAGGTAGGACTAGAAGAGAGTGCCTTCTGCTGAGACACTTTCGGGGACTGTGCCTCGGGTGAATCAATGTCCATCCCACCATCATGATGGTCGAAATCTTCTGTAGCATGTGGCATAGTTTCAGCCTCCTCTTTCTCTACGTGGCTAGATCTTAGAGGTGCCAGAGTTGTTTGACAAGAAGAAGCGTTGTCGCCGTTCCTCGTTTGCCATGATTGTTTGATCCCGTCATCTTCTAGGTTGGCATTGTCTAGCTCGTTTGACAACGTTTCCTCCTCTCCTGGCACTGTTATTGTAGGCGAAGTCGCTGGGGTGAGATACATGCTATCCTCTTGGTTCATGGCCATGCCAGCAGCTGTATTATCGTCTGTTCCAACGGACTCAGCATCGTTCGTGGAAGCTCGGGACGCAGAGCGCATGCGCTGACCAACTGACAACTCGTCGGACAGAGGTATATGAGGTCGAATATTCATGACGTGCGAATGCCTCATATGCATATCAGAGAATACATCTTGAGATGGTGGCATGTGAAGATGACCAAGCGCGGTATTATCATACGGCCTACGTCGCAACCGCGATTCGAAGCTAGAACACTGCTGTGCTGGCTGTGTTGCACAAGTTACCTGAGGATAGAAGACATTGAGCAAGGGTATTAGTATAAGATACTGATTGGCTTGCAGAGGAAAGGATGTGAAGCTGGAATGATGATCTCGGAGCAGTCACGAGAGCGCCTCGAGCAACAATCAGTCTATTGCGCCTTCCGTCACCGATGCCGAAGTTCAAGCAGCTTACAAGGATTGGAATTGCGGGGATTCGAAGCCACTTGACAATCTGATCCACATCTCCGCAAGCTCTTCTCAATTCCATTTCCAGCTGCATTGGCACGTCCTTCCAGTAGCCTCGTTCTTTAGTTTGAGAAAGTAGGTGCATACAATATAGACGCAACTTTTGTGCTTACAACACGGTAGACACAAGAAAGTCCTCGTTGCGATGATCAACGTCACAAGATTTTCCATCTGTCCACTCTAGCATTGAGCTGTAGATCCGCAAGGGCTCAAAGCCTCACCACTTCTCAACCTCAATACCACCCAGCCAGTTAACCAAGCCCATCGCTTTCAGCAGATTGCCTCTCAGGTTCAGATGCACACCATCCCACTTGTCCATCTGAATACTCATGTTCCACGTGCCCAAATGCTCGACTCCCTTGCCGAAGAACCTCCCATCTTCTTGATGGATAAGATTGTGCATGCTCGTTTCGAACACTTGAAGTGCTTTGTCACCTTGGGTCAAGATCCACTGGTCAGGCTTCAGGACGCCAGCTGCTGAAGGAGTAACGAAGAGGACGTGTGCAAGTGGTTGTCCGCGCGCTTCAGCAACTCCTTCCTCCGCGACATTTGAAGAACCTTCCCTTGGCAGGTTTTCTGGTCGCAGGTACGGCGCAGCTTCATACATAGCATCAAGGATACCCTGAAGCCAATTCACGGTGGCCTGCAGGTCCATGTCATTCCACAAGCCATGCCCAAAAGCAAACGCGATCGGTTTCTTCGGCCTCTCTTTCGGAAGCAGGTTCTGCAGCCTCTTCAACTCAGTTGGATCAAGCGGGAACTTCAACATCAACTCAACCACGAGATTAACAGGCGAAGCCATCTCCTGCTTCCCGTCAGCCGTCCTAACCAACCCGTGAGGACAAGCGAAAGAATCAGGATCGTGAAGTAGCACATCACTCGTCCTGTATATACCCTGAACCGAACACGCTTTAACGTCCATCTGATGCGTACAGAAACACTTCTGGCTCTCCTCTTCCCCGAAATTCCATCCTGTAACCGCACCGTATCCTAGGTCTTTTCGTAGTAGTACATTCAGAGCACCGACGACGTGTCTGATCAGGCTGTCTCCTACGACGATGACTTTTTCGAACCGGCTGAATATTTCGCAGACTTCTTCGGTTGAGTACCATCTCATATCGCAGTCGCGGGGCATGTATGGTGCATCGAAGCCTATGCGGCCGCCACCAGAGAAGGCTCGCAGGAAGGATTGTCGGTCTGGACATAGAGGTGAAAAGGGCTTGTGTAGACTGAGGGACGAGATGTTGCATCTTGGATGCTGGCGAAATTTGTAATTGGCGAAGGTATCGATCACATCTGGCTGACGGTAGGCAGCAAGATTCGAATTGTCTAGGGTGATAGGTGCGAAAGGGTGGTATAAATTTGAGGTATTGTCGCTTGCCGACGAAGTGTTGCTGTCAAATTCAAGTGACTGGCAGCGTCGAGTTGGTCGTAACGTACTTTGCTTGGGCCAGAATGCTAGTCCGAGGACGAGTATGATCAGTGCTGCGAGCGAGGCGCTCGCAGATGTATTGGTAAGTAGTCGTCGGTACCAGAACCTGAAGAAGGCCGATAGGTGGTAGTGCTCGTGTCGTGAACCACGTCTGGTGCTGTGTAGCTGTTTGTGTACAGTCTTCATCGTGATTCGTGCAACCTGTTGTTGAAGGTAATGGAGGCAAGCATTGGGTGAGTAGATAATAGTTGTGAAGCACAACACAGATTAGTAAGTCTTTCAGTGGGCAACAGTGACAACAATAGACATTGAGAAGTCCCGGGTAGTCATTCTGCTGTGCCCACACCTTAATGTGGTTTATGTGCTCACTTCCTAGAATGTCTTCACGATTTTTAGGCATGAACGTAGTCTTTCTTCTATGCCTAAGTGACCGTGGATATCATACCGAAAGGATTTCCCGTTGGCTTCAAGATCGACAGTAGACTGGCCGTCTTCTGCCTTTTCAAATCAATCTGACCTTCCTCTTCTTCCCATTTCTGGACTTCTTCTGTGGCCTTTTCAACTGCTGAGCTCTGTCCAATCCCCAGACCAAGCCAGCCTCTCGATTGTTGTGCCTCCTCCTTCTTCTGCCTTGCCAACCGTGTCATCTGCCGCGCCATCTGCTGCCAATTCTCTAGTCCAGTACTCAAACATTCTCGACATCGGTCGCGGCCATTTTCACCTTGACCAGCTCTCTGATCGTCCATCAACCACAACACTGCCTCTGCAGCATCAACACTGTCTCGTGTCCAGCTCAGGCCCTTCTCTCGTTCCTGCCCACCTGTCGCGAAGAGAATCTCACCAATATACGTCATTACACCCACCTCCTCGCAGGCTTCCTTCAGACTATGGAAGGGTTGCTCGTCACCACTTGTTTGTACATTGAGCTTATCCGATTCGCGAAAGAAGTCGATGAAATTCTGCAAATAGCCTTGGACTACACTTCTGGTCGTCTGAGCTTCTCGTTCGGCTGGTGTCATTCTCTTCTGCCCTGAAGCGAGCGATTGAAAATGTGGAGGTGCTGGAGGAAGGGCTTTCCTTGCACGCAGCACACTGAGGAAAATTGGCAGTGCCTCTTTCACCTCACCATGTTTCGCGTGCCATACCCCTAACGCAGTCGAGGCTCTGAGCAGGTTCTCACTGACGAATCGCTCTTTTCCCGCATTGATGACGCCAGTCTGAATGTCGACTACGTGATCAGCTCCTTCTGGCAAACCTCCAGCGGCTATGTCGATGGCCCAGTCATACATCCCTGCAGCTGTCTCCCTTAAATTCTTGTAATCGTACCAATCAGCACAAGCTAGTGCGGCATCTAACCTTTGACGGTTGCTGAATCCCTTACTCGTTAGAATCCTGAGGTAATAGGCCTCTGGAGCCTCCATGGCAGCTTCTACCTCGTTGAAAGTAGGCACGTTCAGATGCGCGCCGTCCTTATCCCAGGGAACAGCCACCGGCCTCGGGTTTTGTGGTCCAGGAATATTCTCCCATGTGTAGAGCTTAGTCCTGCTGTTCAGTTCTTTCCCTTTCCTCTTCACATGCCCGTCAAGATATTCTGCGACCTTCGCCAGTCCCATCAGGCATTCCCAGTAGCCTTGTTTCCACTGCTCACTCTTCGCGTTGATATCGTATCCAATCTTGCCCACACCGTCCACTAACAAGGCACCATTCCCACCTGCGACCTCTTGCTCTTTCAGCCTCTTCCCTTCACGCCTCGGATTCTCCAGACGTTCCTGCAGGTTCGATAAATACTCATAGGCAAGCCCCCACTCTCCTTCTCGTGCAAACCCACGCGCCGAGATCCTCCATAGCACGCATTTACCATTACGCCCATCCCATCTTGCCCTAAATCCCCACTCTACAGGTGTCGGAAAGTCGTGTTCCAATTCAATCTCTTGAACGCCGTACCACACCATCCAAAACATGAAGAAAACTGGCCAAAAATACAACTGGAATCGTATCTGCCATCTCAGCTGCTCTCGTAGACGCTGCTTGCGAGCCGTGGTCAAGTAACGATTCCTGATGAAGCGGTTCAAGCATGCTTGCAAAGACTTGTCATGGTAGGAGGGGTGTGATAGATATGGAGCTTGAGGCCGCGACCGAGAGGAGAGCGTGGTGAGATGGCGGCGGAAGAGTGCCAGATGAAGAGGGGACGGGGAATGATATGTGAGTGGACGAACGGAGGATATTCGTCGGATAAGTTCAGAGGATGTGTTGCGTTCTGAGTGTCTGAAAGAATTCAATTGCATTCGGGGATGTTCAGTTCGAGGCCGAGGTCTGGAGGCATATGGGCGTGTTCGTATTGCGAAGCTAAGTACCTGAGTTCGTGGCATTGTTCTGACAGCTGCGACGTAGGGAGCAAAGCCTCGGAGGCTTGCAAGACCAGTCAACAGTTCGAGTTGAAGTTCGGCAGTTACTGGCTGGCGCAACTGATACTACTACATGGCGGGATGGGGTGATGAGGTAGTTGAATCAACCACGATCTGTGCCAGGAAGGTTAGCCGCCTAGGACCACTCCGAGTGAAGAATGTGGAGAATCGATAATTGATATCAAAACGACTAATATAAGCACCAAGCACTGCATGAACCGACAGGTATCGTTTAATCATACTACGACATGTCCAGAATGATAAGCGGCTGTTAGCCTATCTGATATTGTTGCTTCATCTAATGCTACTTGATAACATGGTACATGCACGCATAACTTCATCGCTCTTGACCAAAAAGACAGACTTCGTTCTCCTCACCAGCCAAACACCATCGCTTCATGCTCTCTATTTGTTCAGTAAGCAACAACAATGCTGAAAGATGCGTTCCGACGCCGTGTTACTAATGTATGTGTCTAATCATAGATGCTCTATTGTGTCATGTTCACATCGTCTCGGCCGCCTATATTCTCTCCGTCGCGATTCTGAGGATTGGCAAGCTCGTCTGATGAGCTCATTGGCGTGTCAGACGACATCACCGCTTGTGCCATAAACCCTCGTGGTAGCAGAGGAGGTTGGGCTCGCCGTAATGTTGAGGGTTCGGGATAGTAATCGTACCGTAACTCGTGGTCAAAGTCTCTGGCTATTGTTGCTTGTGTTGGAGCGTGGTCTTGATCCGATCTGTGCCTTGAAATTCCCACATTGCGACTGGCTGGAGGCAGCTCAGTATGTGCTACATCAGCATAGGAGGGTGTTCTCGTCACCATCCCACGATTGAGGTAATTGCCTATCCTGGATCTGCTCTGCACTCTAGGCAGCTGTGGATGGTGCGGGCTGTGAGACCTTGATGGTCCCCTGCTAGGTCCACGACTGTTCGGTATTGTGGAGAGGATGGCATCATGATTGACCTCAAACGAGCTGACATTAAGATCTGGTCTCAGACCAGAGGTGCCATGTCTGGTTGGAGGCCGAACTGGCATGTAGGGTGCGCCATGAATGGAAGTCTGAAAAACCGGCAACTGCATATGGTCGGAGCTAAATAGTTCAGGCTCGGGATGTGGTGCTCTTGAAGAAGCACTTGTATTGCTAAACGTGCCTCTCGCAGGCTGAGGTCCAAAGAAACCATTCGAAGCGTCCATGGTATGTCTCCTAGACTGGCTGCGAGATCTTGATTGACTTTCTGTGTCTAGTGATGCCGGCGTCGGCAGTGGGCTGGGGGTTCGCCGCCCCATTTGCTGTCCAAACTGAAGCGGAGCCACGGTGTTGTAATATTGTGGTGTAGGTCGTCCTCTCATATCGGGTGTCATCATCCCTGGTGTCCACGGCCCCATGCGCTGCATCTGCTCGCTTGGAAGCAGAGGCATTTCGATATGGAAGTTGGGATGAGGGAGATCGTGGAAGCTTGCTGGTCTGGCTCTTATGCGTGTTGTTGTCCGTGGCATGCCGTGTCGACCAGGGCCAAAGACAAGGTCAATAGGCTGTTGGTCATTTCCATCTATTGTGCCGTCGGATAAGCTGTCGGCATCCGGACTATCAGGACCCACGACTTGCTCGTCAATGGCGTTCTGCTGCTCCTGTTCGCGCTCTTGCTGTTCGACGGCGAGTCGAGTCAAGTATTCTCTTAGTCGTGCAACTCCGTCACCAGAGAAGACACAGAACACGTCTCGCTGCACATGTGTAAACTCCGTAGGTGCTTCGCGGCAGAATCGGGTCAAGTCGTCGCGGAGAAACGCTTGCACGCCAGTTAAAGATAGGTGAGTCAGTCGAGGACAGTTCAGCAGAAGCTGGGTAATCCCTTTCAGCGTCAAGCTTGTGCAGTAACTCAGATGCACTCTTTCCAAAGACACAAACTGGGTGGGCATGCCGGGCCTGCCAGAGCCGGAACCATACGGGCCTCGAGCCAGAGCAACGATGCTCGCGTCTGTCAAGTTTTGACACTTCACCAGGCCGACTCTCCTCAGCTTTGGCAGCTTGGCAAGGTGTCGCACACTGGCATCGGTGAGCTTCGAGCAACAAGCTAAATCGATATAGCGTATTCTGTTACACTGCTGGACGAGTTCGATGACGGCATTGTCAGTCAGATGCTGACAATGGCCGAGGTGGATGTAATGCAGATTTTTGGTCAATGTACAGATGGCTCGTACGGCACGGTCTGTAATATTGCGGCACTTGGCAAGCACGAGGTTTCGTACGCGTGGTGCTGCAGATATGATTCGTGCGATAGCGTCGTCGCCAACTCCATCACATGCTGTCAAGTCAAGTATCCGAAGAGCATCAAACTTGAGGCCTGATTTTAGGTCGGTAAAGGCATGGCTGTCGATGCCGACACATTGAGCAAGACGTAATTCCCGAAGATGAGGCAAGTTCGAAAGGAGCGCTGTGACCGAGGCTGAGCTGATAGAGTGACAGCCTGCAAGGTCAATCTCGAGGATGGAACGGCAGTTTTCGGCCACAGCGATTATAGACTCGTCTGTGGCTCTCGCAACACCATTCAGTTTGAGCTGCAAAATGTTAGCATAACCAATGAAAACAGTATCTTGGAACGTACCCTCTTCAATTGTGTGCAATTCAGGGCGATTTGCAACAGAGACTCGTCTGTGATGAATGAGCAATTTGTAACATTCAACCCCTGCAATTTTGGACAGTTCTCGGCCACACGGAGCATAGATTGATCAGTCAAGGCTTCAAGATCCGTCACGTCCAAGGCTTGTAGTCTCTTCGTCCCGTCAACTAGACCCATGACGGCAGAGTCTGTCAAGCGCGAACAGCTCGTCAGGGTCAGTCTTTCCACAGCCTTGCAATGGACGAAGGCTTGAATCGTTCCATCGTTGACCTTATCCGCGATGCCCGACAAGTTCAATCGTTTCACCATCTCGTGGTATGGAAAGGACGGGTAACCATCAGATAGTGTTCTCGCAACGTTGAGAAGATTAGACCATTTACTACACAGCGGCCGGTGCCATAAGATGTTGACCGTGTACAGAGCCCAATGGTAGCATACCAGCATGCAGTTCCGCAAGTCGCCCGTGGTGGTGAGCTTGTTGAACACATTGATCAGCAGCTCGGGCGGCAATTTCTGTATAGGCGAGAGCCGAGCAATGTGTTCCATATCAACTTCCATCTCGTTATCCCTGATCGCAGTCAGGGCTCCTAGGGTTGAGGCTGAGTTGTTCGGGTGCAACATGAACTCGATATCGTCGTCGAAAGGAGTGGGGGAACAGTCGCTGTCGGATTCCACAGTGAGAGAACTCGCATTTCTAGTGTGGTTTGTGTGGATGGGAGGCAATCTGGGTCGCAGAAGGTCGGCCATGATGAAGGAATGTGCAGTGTTTATTGTAGCTTAACAGTAGGCGCGGCTCGAGCTTCGCGAACGGGTGGTAGCAACAGATGTGGCCACAAACCGCAGCAGACAATTGTTCTGAGGTTTCAGTCACCTCATCAAACAAATACTGAGAGTATCTGGAGTGTGAGCGAGTTGCAACGGTGTTCGGTAGTGCTGTCGACTAAGTGATATGTGAAGTATTGGACCTGGCTGCCCTAAGGCGAAGCGGAGGCAGTGGACTGGTTGATTCTGTTCAAGTGCATGTTCGTGTGTCTGCTACCAGTCTGAATCAATAATACGCATGACAGCTGCAAACAAAGCGCGATCGCAGACGTCAACTGCTGTAGATGTGGCAGCGCAGCAGTGTGTTGTTCAAGGACAGCCGGTAGAAAAGGAGCAGTGGAAGAGGCAGGACCTTCCACAGCGGCGGGCAACTTGGGCAACTTGAACAGTAGCGCGCAACTGCCTCGACGGGCGCTATGATGCTGCCGAGAGTCACACGATTCGATTGGGCACAGGAGCCACGCACCTGACAACAGACTCGTGCAATGTGATATTGTTCCAGAAGTCAGTCAGTCCTCTTTGAGAAAGATCGATAGACCACTATGCGATCCAGGTAATACAGCACGAAAGATCTGCAGGCATAGGTCAAAAAAGATGATACTGGCTCTAGAATGCCGCGAGATGGCGCAACTCCTTGGATAGGCGTGTTGGTCGATCCGAACCTCCACAAGCACGGGCATTCAAGGCATCGTGCTTAACCTAAATTTCACTGGTTGTAGCTTTACTGAAGCTTCAGGTCCAGATCGCGCGTCACACACTATTTGTGGCGCAAGCGCCTCGTATTGTCTTCCTTTATTGATGCCTATGAGGACTTCGGTGAAGACATCAACGACACTGATCGTTATCACTATCTCAAATACTATCTTTATACTGACTCCCGGGTGTCTTTCTCAGCTTCCATTGTCCACGACCTCAGTCTGGATGCCCGATGTTTGGACTCGTTAACCACTAAACTCGATCTACCAACCTCTAGCGTATTTCGACTCATTTTCCTATTGGTGCTTCGAATGCTTAAAATCAATTGAACTTACGGTGCCGGGCAATACACTTGAGCGGGCACGCTTGAATTGTATGTTAATGAGACAGCCATGGTTCCGACTTGTGAGCTCTGGAATGCAACCTCGCCAGGAAACTTTCATTGAGCCATTGACGTGTATTCATTGTGGAATCTCTCTTCTGATTCTTGGATCAGAGAACCACCACGTCGATCGAACATCGGCTAGCAGAAGCGCCGTCGTCCGATAGTCCACTCATGCATTCTTCACAAATTGCCTACTTATCACTCTTACCAGCAGCACGGAAATCGACCGCAGTTTTCTTGACTGCTTTCGGTGTCTACTCGGGTAACCACCAGTACTGAACTACAAACAACCCTACGACGAAGTAGTATCGCGAGCTTCAGAGTTGTGCAATCAAGGTCCACCTGAATCTATGGTCAGCGAAACCTTCAATCCATCTCGAACTACTAGTAGCCTGATGACTTCTCGACTGACATGGTATGAAGTGATTCTGACGCCAGAACACCGCTTGTCTGGACAGAAAAATCAAGTCCTTCGAAATTTATACCACCAGTTAGCAGTGCTAGGCTTGTAGGAACATGACTGATCAGGCCGACTCATGGAAGTCTTCTGTACGCAAACCAGGGCTTCCGACTGCTCACGAACGTGGGTACCAGATACCGACCAGAAAGATCAGACTGCTTACAAATCGTGCAACCAAGTACACTTTGGGCCATCGTCTTGTCCTCCCAGCCTACGCAGCTGACCAGCCTAGCGACACTGGCAACTCCAACGTGATGCGGGGCCAATAAGAGGATAAAGGGCTGCCTCGGACTAGTACTTGCGGCTCAAGGTTGCGACCGTGTTCGACTGGGATACATGCAGCCGAGGAAGACGACTACAGTATAAAGTCTTCCGCTTGATACGCACCAAGTCCAATTCATTGACCCGTCGCACATACCCAAGCTCTGCAACGATTGCCATGGCACCGCCACTTCCACCTAACAAACGATACATTGCTACACATGACGCCAATGGCAAGTCTGTATATGCCAGCTCTCCAGACCAAGTCTATATTGCTCCAGCTGGATCGGCCATCAACGTGGCTCGATCATATTCTGTACCTAACGTTCCAGTCAACTTTGCTGACGACGAGGATCTGAAAGGGTACTTAGCTGGTCCGGAAAGTGTGTCGAGCTTCCAACGCACAGAAATCGTTGTACCTTCCGAAGGAGGTAATAATAACGGTGCCAATTGTCTTGTGGTTGATCTGCAACCTGGCGCGTTTTCCGTCATGCATCAAACTGTGAGCAATGATTTCTCGATTTGCGTGATCGGAACAATCGTCCACGAACTGGACAGTGGTGAACGGGTAACATTGAAAGCTGGTGTAAGACTTATCTCTGTGAGTATGCCTGATGAGTACTTAACATGTCATAGGACCACATCGTGCAACGAGGTACCAACCATCGATGGATCAATGCATCAAAGACTGAGCCAGCTCGGTTTGTTGCGGTCACGATACCGTCTGTTCCTCTTGAGATTGGCGGAGAGGTACTGGAGGAGGTTCACATTCCGGATCAGTCAAGTTATCAGCCAAAGTTGTAAGGTTTGAGAACAATCCCTCCGGTACGAGAAAATGGCGTCGGCGAGTGCAGTGTAGCTCTGGAGAAGAATACATGCTCTGTCAGCCGTCACTTCCTAAGTCGACCTGATCTTCGCCTTCCATTCTCGGCCTCCTGTTCTGCTTCGATTGTCTGAGTCTGTTTGGGCTTCTTGGACACCTTCACCTCGCCATCAGCTGCGCCATTGGTCTTGGTGCCTTTCTTCGATGAGCGCTTTGTGGCAGATGTTGTATGATCGTTCGTCTCAGCAACTTCTTGGGGTTCTTCCTTTTTCGCCTTCTTTGCACTTGTCTTCTTCTTGGGGGCAGGCTCTTCGTCTTCTTCAGGCTCCTCCTCTTCTTTGACACGTTTGGTTCCTCTGGTCTTTTTGGTTACTGGAGCGTCTTCTTCGTCGTTAGGAAGGTCTTCCTTCAAAGGTTTGGCTTTCTGCGTCTTCTTCGGTTTCTCCTCCTCCTCAACGTCACTCACTTCTTTAGCAACAGCACCAGTCTTCTTCTGAATGGAGGGAACCACTGCACTCGTCCGGCCACCGACGGTAAGAAATACTATCTTCTCACCATTAGGCAGAGTCTTTGGAGCGTCTTTCTTGCCCTTGCCCCAGCGATGCTTGAACAGCCAATCATTCGGAAACTGATCGCTATCTGCAAGCAAGTCGACAGCAGTCTGACAAATGTAGTGAATGCTTTTGTGAAGTTTGACGATTTCGTCGTCAGAAAGAGTGTTGGCATATTGCTCGGGATGCATTTTGGCGTTGTACATGATCTCATCGCCAACCCAATTGCCGATACCACTAATATTGGCTTGGTCCAACAGCATAGCCTTGATGGGTACCTTCTTCTTGTTACACAAAGCCTTGAGCCACTCGACTGTGACTTTTTCTTTATCTTGAACAGGATCCGGACCATTCTCAACCAGTGGGGTATGCTGCCGAATATCCTTAGCTGGGCAATCGACGAGGCGGATGCGACCGAATCTTCGAGGATCAACGTATGCAGCTTCGATCTTGTCCTCTCCCTTTCCATTAGTCTCAAGCATTAGCTTCCAATACTTTGGTGGCCAAGAGTCATCCTCGTCGTCTTGTTTCCTGTAGTAAAAGGTGTGTTCTGACTTGAATTTCAACCACCCGGCCATACCAAAGTGAATGACAGGATGTGGAGGAGTTGACATGATCATCCAAAAATATTTGCCCTGTTGACCAGCATCGACGACTTTCTTGCCAGTTAGATGTTTCATCATTTCAGTATGGCTGGTGCCAACCTTGCCAAAGACGTTGCCATCTTCTAGGGCTGTGACTTTTTGTAGTGTCTTACCCACAAGATGTTTGCGAATGTAATGTACAGCTCTGGCAACCTCTGCTATTTCAGGCATGGCTATAGCTGACCCAAGAACGATATTGGTGAAGCTGAGAGTATCCAACTACGTAGTTGTCAAGAAAAGTGGTAATTGCAAAGGCAGTCCAAAACGATATCAACAACACGCAAGAGCTCAAGACGATGTAGTATATTACACGGACTCCAGCAAAAAAGTAGCTGAATGTAGAGAGCTGTCGAGGAGAGACGCGTCGTGCTCTCAGTCGCGATCGAGCGCGCCGTCGATGACTTCATTCCAAACCTTGGAAGACTCGGATGATTTCGATACGAGCACTACTTCCGTATATTCGACTTGGGCACGAACTTTGCAAAACACAGTACTATTCTCAAGTTCGTGAGTGCACATCTAGTTGATTCCAGGAAATCACTGCCCTTGCCTCTACGTCGAAGTAAATCAACGGCACTCACACCTAGTCGCCGCCTCGGGTCCAGCATTTCCGTATCGATAAGTAACGATCCACTCATCTCGCCATCAAGCTGGCTTCATTCTGGTGGAAAGCGTCTTCATCTCCTCCTGCTACAGCCGACTCTCCCCAATCCCAGCAATCTCAGAAAGCCACAGTAACACCAGCTATCAATCGCAAGATGTCGACAAAGCGGATTGGCACACCCATGCCGCCACTCACGCCGTCATTATGCTTCAACACCAGTTACTTACAAGACTTCCTTCGCATATCGAGAGCACAGCTCGACGACACGATAAGCACTAATTTGAACAGCCTTCAAACACCATCGATATCATCCCCATTCGATCCTTCCTCCACCTCAGATCCTGCGACAAATCGAAGAGGCAGGCAACCTTTACCTGCAGATACCTGCACTGAATTTACACAGCAGACCATCTTCCCTATATGGTCTTCTCGATCACGGGTCCTCTCCTACTGCAGTATCGTCGCCACTTCCCCGGATCCTGATGATCCAGACAAGTCGAGAATAGAAGCTGAGAACATAGCCCATAGTCATGCCGTGGTCAATGAGAGGTTAGATCCTTACTCTGGGCGGTTCTTCCCACAAGAGCCGAGGACTGAGATTCTTGCGAGCACTTTGAGGAACGAGAACTCGGTAGAGAACATAGTAAGAGAGAGAACATGGCGTATACTGAACGAGAGGTGCAATGCTCTAGATCCTTCACGCAAGGGATGGCAAGAAGCTTTCAGCCAATGGCAGTCCAGGAGTTGAAGTTGAATATACCCAACAACTCTAATCAAAGTACTCTGCTCAGTGAATAATTAGCAACGCCACAAAGTTCAACCCAAGAATGGCTGCCCTATGGAACATATACGCTCCGACCACGCGACGAGCCCATTGCGGCGACGCTTCAGCCTGCTCTTTCCATCTCGGCCTCTTGCTTGTCACCCTCCTCTCCATGTGCGCTATCGATCCCATGCTTGAACGAAGGTACGAGATTGCAGTTCAGTGGGAAAGACCAAACCACAGTGAAGCAGATTGTCGGCAATATCCAAGCTGTTGAAATGCCCACTCGATCAACCAGCTTGCCCATGACCACTGGCAAGATTCCACCACCGCATATTGACGTGATTGTAATGGACTCAGCCGTCGATGTCCATTGTCCAAGCTCTGTTGTTGCCGTTTCGAAGATCATTGGAAAAGACGGCGATTCCGCAAACATTATCATGCAAGCAAAAGCCACTGCAGCCTGTCCTTTTGCTCCAACGCCAACTCCCGTGAACGCAACGGCACCTGCCAAATAACAAGCCAGAATAATCCGTCCTTTGAAGATGCCTTTCATGATTCGTGAGTTTTTAACCAACGGCAAGGCAGGTACCATTACCAGGGCGGCTGCAACCAGTCTGCCTACCATGAACAGCACTTGCGCCCAAACCATGTTTTGTGCTGCCTGTTTGTCAGAATTGCATGCGTTGACTCGCATGTGCTCGATGAAGAACTTAGCTACCGTGACTTGACAGCCCAGGTTGAAGAAATTGGCAACCACTCCGTACCAGAAGCGGGTATATCTTCGAGAACAAAGCGGGTGCTTCCAGAATTTCCATGCTGACTGCTCTAACTTGGGCGATTCTGACACAACCGGCTCGACAACGAGCTTGGTTCTGAAAAAGAGGATCGCGAGGGCAAAAGCCAGAGCGAAGATACCACAGCCGAGCCATCGGTAGAAGCTGATCACAGTATGCAGATTACCTGCCTCGCTTTGGCTTGGAGGTGGAGGCATCAGGCACCGTCCAGGTTGTTTAGGATCAACCAGTGGTGCTATCTCTGCTTTGGTCGCGTCAAAGATAACCGCATTTGCCAGCAAAGGAGCAATAACCGTACCGAAAGCCGCCATCGACTGACCGAATAAGATACGAAAAGTAGCACCCTTTCGCCTTCCAACATTCACTGTGTAAGGGTTCGCAGTCGACTCCAATCCCGACACACCAATTCCAACCACAAAATGCCCGAAACACATCATACTGAACTGCAGCCTCGCCGCCCCAATCGACATGATCTGGTCGCCAATTCCAAGGAATAAAAGGCCAACCACCGCAGCGAACCGATATCCATATTTCCGCACCAGAGGTCCGCCGATGCACAGGGAACCAGGCACATAAGCCGAGTAATACGTCAGTGCCAGCAGTGCCGCGCTGGCTCGGTCGATGCTCATGGTCACTTTGATGTGATAGTTCATCACATCTAGGAGGCCGTAGGCCAGGCCCCAGCAGAAGAACAGCAGCGAGAAGCAGCTGACGCCGGACCACTCCTGCCAGGAAGTGATCGAGTTAGGCTCGATGGACGAGCCGGCCTGGACGTCGAAGGACCCAAAGGCCTTCTGGATGGAAGACCATGTTCGAGACATGGTCTGCTTGAAAGGCATCTTGTGAAGAGTAGATGCCTTGGTGTCGTGAGGATGGGTTGAGGTTAGGTTGAGATGACAGTGAGAAGACTATTGGTTGTGAATGGCTTGAAGATTGTCAAGCGGACTGTTCTGATATTGAAGTAACATGTATGTCAACACTCTTGTCTTCAGACAATAATCGAACTACGAGAAGAAAGTACTCCAAGATTGAGGGAAAACATCAACTTCTTTTATGCCTTTGGAACAGGTCCTCAGACGTGAAGGTTTAGGCAACGGGTCCATAATTTTGACAAGCGCAGAATAACATGGCAACTACAATCTTGGGTACGTTGAATTCATTGGTCATTCCGACAACATAGCTCAGTCCCCGGACGCAGATAGAGTGCTGTGATTGATACAAAACAAGGAAGCTCTATCAGAATTATTCGAAATTTGTGCTCGTGCCACGACCTGGTTCCATCTCAAACTCATCGAAGAGCAGGTACTTACCTGCCTACCATGACTCCGGATGTGAGCAAATTGCGATGCATCTGCTATTTCCCCGTCCTCAATCCCTTCAAGTCATCGCCTATCCATCAAACCTCGATCAAATCCTCCCATTCGCAAGCCCCCTCATGCAAAACTTCATGCTCCGGCTGTTGCCCATCCAAAACCGGCAGGCCTAGCAGTACCGTTTCGTCCTTCGAAGGGAAAGTAGTGTAGTGTCCAGACGTGTATACATCGTCAGCGAATACGAGGCCGTAGCGACCGCCTACTATCCATGCTTCGTCTGTGCTTTCTGGTAGTGTGATGTGCTAGGGTTGAGTTAGTGAGTGGAATCTTTTTGTGATGGTTGAAGAGAGTGGTTGAGTGCTGAGATAGGGATGGAGGACATGGAGGAAATGCAGACTTACGCCAAGACCTGAGATGAACCAGGACCATCTGTAAATTACATGAGATTAGCTGGACTTCATAGCAATCGTTGATTTAAAGTCTTAGTAAAGATAGGGATTGACCAGTTCCTTCCTCTCAACAAAAACCAACAAATTCGAAGAGACTCCTCAACTTACTGGGCCCTCGGCGCATTCTTATACCCACCCACACTCCCCGGTCCCTGTACTATGAAACTAGCATTTCCCGCCACGGCACCCAGACCAGCAACAGCAGCCCCTGTCGGACCAGTACCTGATTCAGGGATCACAAACGGCGGCTCAAGGGACCAGCATTGTAGAATAGAGACGTTGCCACGGTATGTGAGGGCTGTTACGTTGAGGTGTGTTTCGGAAGCAGCTGTTACTGAGGGGAGGAGTGTGAGAAGGAGGATCGCTGAGATGACGAAGAGGCTATGAGCTTTTGTAGGAGCTATAAAGTTCATTGTGAGTTGTAGTATGTGTACATGGTCTTGTGAATGGAGGAGGTATATACCTTAAGCAGGAATAGGTAGCACGGTTTATCGCTCCTGCATTAGCGTACTGTATACATTGAAGACACGCTGCTCTGCTGTACAATACTGTACGTGTTACACCATGTCCGCCAACCAGTTGGTTGCTTGAATATGACAGGGTAAGTGTCGCTCAATCACATCGTTACTCGTGCCCACAAGAATGGAGCTACCTGTATCCTTCGTCAACCAACAAAAAGAGCACGAGATATATAATTTTTGAAGGTAATGCACAAACCAGTGGACCTGCCCAAACGCTGGGGCACAATACAAGATACACAAAGGTGAATAGGCTTCGGTAAGACCTCTAATCTGACTTCCAGAGTAGTCCCATACTTTTGTTATTATCTATTCTGCATACAGCTCGCGCTTCGTTCATGTAACATATATGCTGATGCTACAGTATCAGTTACGGTCCCAACACTACAGGTGTCCCTTGGCGATGCTCTGAAGAAGAAAACATCACGCTCGAGACTCATTACTTCTGGACTACTGAACGTTGAAGCAAATATCAACCTCCATCAATCAGCGATTCTCCAACTACCAGGAATCTGAAGATCCTCGCTCGATCGACTGACCCCATGCGATCTGCTCGTCTGGTCCTCCAACGTAGAGCTCTCCTTGAATATAGGATTTACCTGGCAAGAAGCCTCATTGTTCGCTGTGTCAGATTGAGGCATATCGCTTGTCTCGTTGAATTTCTCGTCGTAACCAAGGACTGGTTCCCACAAGGAGGAGTCACTAGTTTTCAGCCATCGTATGTTTTCTTTGTCCTCAGATGCTGGCCGCTCTCTTCGTGTCACATCTGACAATATTTGCTTACCCATGTTGTTGCTGTCATCCATCGCAGGGGATGTTTTCCTTGCAGCAGCTGAGGAAACGTCGTGTTGACCAGGAGATCCGCCGAACAGACCTTCGCCAGGCAGGGTCTTCAGCTCCGGAAACTCTACGGATCGGCTCGCAGATATGTTGCTGCGGTATCCTTTGTCGGTCATATAGCCCTGCCATTCAGTACTCTTCGTACGATACAATCGACGCCATCGATTGAGGAACAGAATCTTGCTTGATTTTCTGAATCGATCGGACACGTCAGTAGGAAAAGACATGCTTTTGGTCCTCTTCCTGTCGAGTCGCTTAGAGCGGATCGATAGCATCCTTAGGGTACTCTGCATAGCGAAAAGTGCTCCAGTCGAGGTTCGCCTGTTGAGTATTGGAGTATTCGGAATATCGCTAACTTTGTGCTCACTGCTTTCCTCGCCAAAATCACGAACATACACGTCATCCTGTTCACTAGCAGGACCATTCCGTGTCCAGTATTGATGACTCGGGAACGAGGCCCAAATTCCAAGCAGCTCCTTGACTGGTGGTGTATTGCCTGCACGATTTGAGGCGCCATTGGTCACTTTGAGAGTAGCGAACGAAGATTTACTGGACAACTCTGGGGAGCTTCGTTTTTGCAGCTTCCGAGGCCTTGAACCTTGTGAGACTGGCAGTCGTGAAGCTCGGAGTTGTGGGAAACTAAGTCTCTTTAACGTTCTTAATAGGTGGCTTGTCTTCAATTTCTCGGATTGTTGTTCTTGTTGTTGATCTGCTCTTGCATATGGACCTGCACTCTGCGACCTGCGGATCTCTGCGTCGGGTGTCTGAATGTGTAAGCTTGATCGATGCTTAGGCCGGATTGTATTCAGAGAGGAAGGGCGGCGCAAGTAATCCAGTTCAATCGGTGGCATCGACAATAAATCCCTGGCAGCACCAGTCTCGTGGGCGTCCCGAAAGGCACGGTTCCACATGTCAGTCGCCGACTCTGTGATGCAAAGAGGGCTCGCCTCAGAAGCCACCATCGCGATAGCACTGTTTCGTCGTTGCGTCGGAGTTGCTACGTCCACAAAATTGTAATTCCAACCATGCCTTTGTCCGTCGGTAAGCCATCCAGCGCTGAGACGCCTCGCTGATGAGCTGTTAACTTGAGTGACGGAACTATCTAGCTTGGTAGAACCTCGATCGCCGCAGTCCTGGTCAGATGCTTGTTTTGCCTCGTTTGGCTCTGCCGGAAGTACTCGCTCTATTGAAGCTATGTCGGCTTCCGCGTCAGACTCGATGTATCTGTGTATCACCTTGGAGGCTGCTTCAAGTGCATTTGATCGATCTGCCGTGGATGCAGACAAACTTCGGGATGGAGTCGGTTCAAGTGGCAAGAGAGCTTCTCTACCGGCGTGTTGCACCGGGAGTTCAGACGATGCCGCTCTACCACCTATTGCTATGCTATTCGGGTTTCGAAGGATACTAGTTGTGCCATCTAAACTCGAAAAATGTCCTGCACCTGAGGGTGGCCCACCATCGTGAGTATAATATGAACTTGCATCATCCCTGTCGGAGGATGCAAGCTTCGTTCTGTCAGTGCTCGTGCTACGTCGTGTCCATTTTACTGCTGCAGCTTGAGCAGGTTGTTCAAATAAGCATCTTGTATGCGGGTCTGAAGGCTTTCGATTGTGCTCTGCCCTAAGTCTCGTGGGCATCTGCGTCACTGTTCCTGATGCGAGACTACATGGGTGTATAAGAGATGCATCAAGTGACTTCCGAGAGGTGTGCGGTGAAGCTGATGGCGATAGCATCATGGCTGTAGATTTGCTTGCAAGACGTTGAGAGATGTGCATGTTGAAGAGATGCACGGATTTTGAGTGTTCCGATGGCACCTCCGAAGTTATGGAGGCGACGTCAGTTCGTGACTGCTCATATGAACTCAGCTTGGAAGCATTGTAGCTTGCTTTGTCGTCTTTGTGGGTGACCAAGGAGCTCTCTTCATCCGGAATCGCAGTCTTGGGAGAAGTAGCCTCCCTGGCCACCTCAGATGACAGTCTCGACGGTGATTTTCTCGCCAAATAATCCAGCAAGCCTGGGTCCAGTTGCTTCGAGAGCTTGTCTGGCTTGCTCGTAGAGGCACTCGTTCGTGCACTAGCTCTCGTATGACTGTTCGAACTGTCACTGAGCTTCTTCACGATTGTTTCGGGCGTTTCGGGCACTCTTCCCAAGCTGGACGATCTAGGATATTGCAAGGACAGCTTTGAGGTCACATCAGTGCCTCTAGAGTCAGCACTTTCAGTACGACCGCCTCTATTGGTGGTTGGTTGCTCAGTCGTGCAACGGGTGAGGCCTTTAATAAAACGCTCTGATGCTGCGCTTGGAGACCCACTTGATCGTGTTGGCAGTGCACTATTAGAGACGGCCTTGACAGGGCTCGTGGGATGATTGATTGAATGGTCGTTCGCCTTGCTGCCAGGCGATGTTTCGGCACGTGGAGCCGCTTGCCGCGGTGAGGGACTGTAGTTCGACATAGAGTCATCCGGTCGTAGTTCCACGTCGTCGGTATATTGACGAGCGTACACTGGGCTGGCCTCCAGGGTGTCAAAAGTATTCCGCAGATGTGGAGTTCTGATACTCTGTGCATCACTATCGTAACCGTTGGCGTTGGTCTCTCCAGACCTGAGTAAATCGCTGAGGCCTGTTGAACCTGCACTGATGCCTAACACGACTGCGTCACCATCAATGATGGGCTCGAGCACTTTCCGAGCTATCTTGTCATCGTCCTCGTCTTGATATTCGACTCTTGAACTACTCTTGCTGAGTCTCGATTCGGAGAGCTTCTGCCTGATATGCTGTGACAATCTGTGGATTGAGGTGGACTTCTTCCGAGACAGGATTGGACTCCCAGTGTTGAGAGCATAGGCTATATCAAGAGAGTCGTCAGGACGAGGACAAGGACGTTCGGGCGAACCTCCGATGGGCGTGCTCTCGTGTGGACAAGCTGGAGACTGAGTGAAAAGTCGTCGGAATTGGTGCACGTTGGTCATTTCTGGTTCGTGTGGCACATTGACCATGGCGTAGGGGACCGGTCTGCGAGGTACTGTAGGTGGTACTGATACTGGTCGAAAGGGAGATGGCTCGCCTCGTTGCTCATCTTGGGTTTGGGAAGGATAGAAACAACACAAAGCGTGTGGTAAAAGTCTGCTCAACGTCATGATTTTGAGTAAGCATGCAGCAGCAAAAGCATGAGTGTAGAAAACGTGCAGTATCTGAAGCTGGTCTCGTCGCACATCAAAAGCTGACTGGTGACTGGTGGCGAAGGTCGTGCTATTCTCGTTAGAAGAGACGCGATTTGAGATGTCGGTCGGTGCATGTAGAAGGTGCACGCCGAGTCAGCTCTTCGAGGGAAGGAACGACCCATACCGTCAAGAATACCTCACACTTCAAGATTTGGGTTGCAGCTAAGACTTCAAGATGTCGTACAAGGTGGAAACATCATATTGATCAGGCTTTTGATCTGAACATAGAGAAGAGACCCTTCGACTTCCTCGGGAGTAAAGATTGCCGTCTGTAACCCTGATCACCCTTCTGCATTGCCATATAATCTCCACTCTCCCCGAACAACTTCGCCATGTTCGCATTGAACTCATCTTCCTCGTCCTTAAACCTTGAGATAGGCGGAGGTAGCGCGGCACTGAATTCGCTGGCAGTATCATTGTCAAATACCATGTCCTTGCCACTGGCTATCTGGCCAATTGACCCCTCCAAATCAAATTCAGTCCGACTCGCTCCTCTTTCGCCTTCCCTGTCCTCGAATATGCTCGGAGAAAACCCACGATCTTCGTGTATTTCTGGTAAGTATAGTTTATGATCGAACGCTGAAGAGCCCACTGGACTTCTGGCACCATCGCGTTTCCTGCTCGTTGAGCTCTGAGAATAGCCGTTGGATGCACTGAAACTTGACGCCGAACTGTCTGTCCTGACGCCCCATGTTGAGGCGGTAGCGCTTGAAGCAGTAGTCATCGATGGCGTGTTACGGTTTCGAGCAGGTGGGGAGCCGGCTAAGGAATGTACCGTTATAGGGCTGCCTGACCTAGTCTGTGCTCGCGGTCCTTCGCGAGACTCAGGTCTCTGTATTGGGAGGATTAAGTTCGTACTTGAGTCCCTCCTGTGACCAAGGAAAACCTTGGGCACTTCAAAATAGTCAGACGGAGGAGTCACCTCAGTGTCCAAAAATCCATCGAAGTTCGGCTCTTCCAGTATCGGACAGGGAGCCCATATTCGTGTGTCTTGCGACCCTTTTGACTCGGCTGAACTGACTCGGCTAATTTCGGTAGGCTGTATATGTGTGCTTGCTATTTTTGAAATTTGCAATGCTTTCACGGGCGCCGGTTTTGTCTTTAAATTTGTGAAGGGCTTGCCCTCACACCTCCAGATCTCAGGAGTTGTCCGACCACTTCCGTTGCTTGCATCCTGTGAGTCTGGCAAAGGACATCTCCAAATATCAGGGGTCAAAGTCCCTTCACCTCTGTTCCGCTTTATCTCCGCTACTGTGTCCGTCGCTTGATTTGGATCGGTCAACGATGCAAGTTGGTTTTCGTCTCCTACAAAAGAGTTTCTTGTCTTTGCCCGAACGACTTCCTTCGAAGAGACAACCACTCTGCTCTGGTCAACCATGAACTTGTGAGATACAGGCACTGCCGACTGTGGCCGTTGCTTCTTTAACAACTTTGTCGGCTCCCTTAAGATGGCATTGGGTTTCGCCTCCCACAAGGCTGAGCCAAGTAGCCGTGCGGCGGGGTTTGAGCGTTGAGACTTAGCTTCGGGCACAGTTATATCGTTGTACGCACGTTGGCGATCGTGGACCTGACTTGCAGCACCGACTCTTTGTTGCTGTCGTTGATATGCTGTTTTGGTCTCCGGCGGCCGAACCACATTGACTGCAGGACTACTGTAGGACAATCGTTCGTAATACCGCAAATCCCTCGATGCTTGAGGCCTAGTTTCATGGTGGCCGGTCGAGATATTCGCTTGTACGCGTAGCGGCGTTGTGTCTGTACTCAGACATACGTTTGGTTTTTCAGCAAGCAAGCTTTCCCAACCCTCTACGGTGGAGGTTGGGGGCTTGTATATGGCTTGGGCTGATCGAGGTCGTTGTTGCTCATGATGTGGTTTCTTCTGTGGCTTGGGAGCCGATTCCAGATATTTATCGTGCTGATCTGGTGGGAGAACAATCAGACCTCGTGTCGAATAGTCCGCAAGAACGACGCTATGCGAATACTTGCCAGGCATTATAAGCAGGCCAGCTTGGCGATCGTGATGAGTGAATCAGTTAGTCGATGTCCACATGTAAATTCCGTCGCCTAACAGAGCACATGTTGCACGTCGTGGTGTGCACAATTAGTGATCCTAGAAGTCCAAATTTTTCTTCTGTATGCCCTGCGCTGAAGTGTGTTGATGATATCCTACTACACAAGATGCATGTCTTCAATTGAAGATACTGACAAAGATGACAATTCTACGACTCGCCCAAGGACGGAAACGAGCTTAAGCGTGCAGAATGTGGCGCACCAGTAGCTGATCCCAAAGACATTGAGGAGCCGTAAGTTACTATTGGGCCACACGGAGCCCAATGCAAAGCCTATTTGTAACTAGCAAGATCTTCCGAGTCTTCGAGAAGATTTGGAAGTCGTCTGTTTAGGTGTACTCCATGCACGCCTCAGCTCAAACACTGTGCAAGACCTTACACAGATGAGGTTCGTGCTTTTGTAGTGGCCTCGATCGCAGCTTGCGTTGCTTCAGGGGAATCTGTTCCAACCATGATAGTGACGGGGTAGCGCGGATCTACCTGATCATGCATGTAATTAATGAGCCACAGCAGCCAATAGAACGCTATGTCGACAATAGGCCCTAAGATGGAGACGATATTGATTTGTGTCACCTCGTCATTAGGGTGTAGCGTCCAGATAGTACTTGTTTAGCATTTGCGCCTACCTCAGATTACTCGTACAGTTTTTCGCATCTAGGCAAGGGATGTTCCTAGCCATAAAAGCGACAGAATCCGTGACGACTTTCCATTTGACCTTGGCGGCCATCTCTTACGAGGACTGACATTTTTTCGAAATCTGTGGGTTCGTCCTTGTGATGGACGGCTCTCCGCAGAGATCGAATCAGGGACGCTGATTGCCATACCTTAGTTAGCAAGCCGTGGTCCTGTTGATGACTCTGGAAGGGAAAGTAGTATCAGAAGGCTTGAGGTCGGTGGTATCTTCATGATTATGAGACAAAGTTGCCATATCTGACATCTGGGAAACGTTATGAATGGTACGGCAAGCACTACCGAGGTGGACGTGCATTTCTACTGTTAGTGCAGTGCAATTATCATACAGAACTATGCACAGATTGTGGGTGTCAAGCTTACCTGTGTAGAACGACATCGCTGTGTGAAAAGGTTAAGTGAGGATTGTCAAGCACCTAGTGCCAACCTGGGAAATTATATCGACAGTTCTGACGAAGAGAATGACTGCCAGGAAGGTCTTGTAGCGTAGCCTGGGGTTGTCAAAGGTAGAATAGAAATGTGATTTCGACATCGAACTATCCTTTGCGTTGCGTCGAAGCATCAAGACACCGAGCATTACATGCCTTCTTGTCTCATGCGTCAATCCCGCGGTTAAGAGCACTCATTTCTAGACCGCCTCACTTGCTGGTTGCCCTTTTGAAAAAGCTATACCGACTCAATTCTTGATAACAGCACGCGAATATTTGATCATTCGCCATCAACATGATCTTCCTCACAACGAACTACTTCGCTATCCTCGTATCTCATCACTGCGTAGCATGCTTAATTTTGAACTCGTTGAGAGTCGCATGGCTTCCCTGAACTCCCCACATCTCACACCGAACGCCTAACCATATGCTAAATTCTGCTTTCTGCTTCGGAGCCGCAACTCAAACAAGTAATGCTATGTATCTTCTCGAAAAGACCCCTTCTTTTTTGACCCAAATATCTTCATACCCATTCTCTTCCAGCCGCCACCACTCTCACTACGTGGTGGTCTTTGAGCTTGCAGGTGACTTGAGGAAGTATGTGAAGTTGCCTGCATCTGAGGGACATCGGATATTGGAGGCGTGGTGGGTGGACTCACTATTGCATCCAGATCCCCCGAGAAAGGGCTGCCGCCACCTCCGCTGTCGTCTGTCGTTGCTCCTTCCGACGCCACTGAAGTATGGGAGAGGTGTTGTGATAATCGAGGACCGGTTGTCGTGGTCAACCCAGACGTCAGAGCGGAGGAGCGATTGGTTGTTTGTGGCGGAGAACGTGAAAATCCTGTGCTTGTTGGTGGTGGTGATCGTCTTCGGCTCGATTGCTGGCGCCTGTGGGCACTACCTCGATCGTCATAGGTCATCGTGGATGCATCGCCCAAATTAGGCCGTGCAAAATCTGACAGAGCGTTGTAGGTAGCCGCATGTGAGACGGTCTTGACGCTGTTGCAAAATGGTATGAAAATGGAATCTGACATCAGGTCACGCATCCGCCGTACAGCAGGGTCAAGCGCTTCAGGTCTCGGAGGCTTCGGCTCAGTGGCTTCTTCAACCAGATCGTCCCGCTCCTCAGCAGGCAAGTTAATTTCGCGTGGTGCACCTGGTTTGACGTAGATGTCCAGTATTCTGACCCAATCTTGCTGGAGCTCATGCCCTTCTGCAGACTCGGTGGTCATGGGCATACCGTGGAAGTTGGCAGAATATTCATCGTACTTTGTAGCATATTTCTTAGCTTCTGTGACAAACTCCAATGTCTCCAAACAGTGCTGCTGCGAAAGAAACGCCGTGTATGCAGCTAGGGTATAAGGAGGTGCGGCTCGTCCATTAAGTACGTCGTCTAATGTCGGACGGTGATTGGGAGATAGGATACCAGCATCCTTCTTGGAGATTACACTTATGGGCCGCGAGGTGGTGTGTTCTGAGGCCATCTTGAATTCTTCGTCTATAGCAATATGTATTTCTGTCGCTTCGAGGGGAGGAGATGGTTCGGGAGTGTATGGCCAAATTCGCGTAAATGGTCGGCTTTTTGTTCTTTTGCTTATCATTTCGTCTTGTCGCCTCCAAGTGCAGGAGTAATGTTGGTGCGACGCTACGACAAACTTGAGGTGCAAACTCGAATATGTCTGTCTTGCGCTCGATCCGGGCTGTGGTTGAGAACCTGATGCGATCTTAACAGCATTCACGGGTTGCGAAGAGTCCTGAACATGTGACAGCTATAACGCAGTAGTTTGTCTTCGACCACCAGCCCATCCGAGCAGTATAAGTCGCCTAAACAAGTTATGACCCTATGTGTTCTGAGCTCCTGGTGCGCAAGCTTTTCCTTTGTGCCACAGATAGCTGTTGTGTAACCTTTTGTAGAAATTCGAAAAGGAATGTGTTTGCTCGGTCCCGCCCTCTGCAACACTATGTATTAAAAATTACGTAGTTGAATGGCTCAGAGCGAAACGGGAATGCTATCGCGGCTAGGTGTCTTTCGATGGAAGAGATGATCTGTTCGACCAAAGCGGTAACCTGCTCAAGGCAGTCACTGAGAGTGTAATCTGGACTCAGGCACCAGGCGGCGAGATCTTATTACAATCGATGTCTTCTCGACACAACAAACGGGTATGTTTTGCAAGTCGTTTCACTAAAACAGGATGTGTCCGAGAAGAAGAGATGCTAGAAGAGATCCATTAGGCAAGACGCATTGCTAGAATGAGTCAAGATGGATCTGTACGCATTGTCGGCCAGTGACGAGATGAAGTGACAGGAATGCTACTGTCCGCACGTACGGAGTATAGACGATTTTGCAAGAAAGTGGATTCGACAAAGAGAGCAAGGCGCCCGCAACACACTGTTGGGCTGAACGACACACAGCAGCGACTGCAGCTAGTGGTCTGAAGTACCGACAGTCTTGCTAAGCTTCAAAGCTGAACAATCTGACGACCAGAAGAAAGGTTGCAACATGACAGTCCGCTACGACTTCCCGGAACGCTTGACCCATGTACAGAAAAGAGATTGGCTCACTCGGTGACGGTAAGCTGCATTTGTGCCTCCGCTAGGAACTTCGTTCCAGGACTTCCAGGCCTTCCAGAAGCTTTGAAGTCCCAGGGGCTCCAAGCTCGCTTTGGTGGCTGATCTGAAACCTTCTACATGCATTGGAAGCAACGATAGGCGAGGGTTGTGGCCGTCTTTCAATGCTTATTCGTCTGAACCTCGCAGTTCTGAAATGTATTAACATTCGCGTTGCTGGCTTATACTCACTGAACCGTCACAATAAATGCTGTGACCGACGCGGCAGTACGGGTAATAGCACAGGAGTTCTCGACTCGGCGTGCTTCTAGTTGTGAGTTAGTGACTGAATCTAGCGCAATCTTCGTTCATTATTCCACTGCTCGCCATAGCACGAAGGAAGCGAAGGGGCAGTCGTCCAATACTGCTGGCGTCAGGCAAGCATGGATCCATTCGTTCTACTTTATTCAGTGGACTACCGGATCACACGACAGATTCAGCTCGTATCGTACATTGCAACTGCATCAACTTTTGTCGGGTGGAAAGTCACTTACGGATCATTTTCTGGAATAGTCTTTTGGTGTCATGCGAGTTCACGCAGATCATCATCTGCTTCCCGTCAACACACCCGCGATCGACAAACCAACAAGATGGCAGCATGATCTACCACTTGACCAAAAAAAGATTGCCAGAAGATCAGCATGTCATTGGATAGTGATCGACCAAAATGCATGAATGCCAGTTACCCATCTCTTTACGCCGAGCCTTGAAATTCACGACAAGCTCACCTTTCACAAATGCTTACCTCTTCACGTCATTGTTGATCTTTCCATGTCTATTCTAATGCCGTACCACGTATAGTACCTCTTTGTACAGAACGCATGTCTGTGCTTCTTTTCCATGCAAGCCTAGCGTTGAAGTTGACTGCGTCGTAGTAGTATTGCCCCCAAGTAACGGAAAAGCAGTATCTCTGTGATGTGGAAGACTAAACAATCTACTAGTAGCTCTGGTCCTTGGTTGTACAGCCGCTGACCATTGAGATTGCACACGAGGCTCAAAAATCGACCTCATCGCAAAGGTTTCTAAAGTCCTCAAGAGAGAGGTGACGCTAGAGAAGGGCTTACAGCAGAGTGATCAATGCAAGGTAAAACGTCTTAAACATCACGAATTCTCGAAACGAGGCCATCAATTTGACAGGAATCGCTTTCGTCCTTGGTCTTGTGCCGCCTACGCGAATTGTGACTCGTCAATGATCGTCCAGCTCCTTGTTGACTCATCTCGGCACGCTAACGAGATAGTAGCGAATACGAAGATCAGGCTATTACGCGTCCTCACACGTTCACTCTAATCCCTTTCCCATCGTCCAAATCCGTAGAGGACAAGTTCCAGCCCAACCGCTCCAAGACCGAGTAAAGCCCATCCCAGTTGTCGTTGACCTCTGCCAGTGCGTTGGCTATGACCGTGAAGCGGCGATCATCAGCCCGAGATGCTGTCTCCTGATGGTATGTGTTCTGCACTTTGTACGCGTGCAGGAACGCCTTAAATTGGTCTCGAGGACTAGAATTCTGCTTGAGTACAACCACCGTTTTGTTGCTCTTATCGTCCAGCCAGAGGATGTATGATTCCCGCTCAAATATGCTCAGTAATTGTCTGACGTCCTCAGCTCGGAAGCTGCCACTGCCATGTCTCGTGGTACCATGAAGGGAGGTAAAGAGCTCTTGGATACTAACACCAATCTGGCAACTCATGTTCTCGATTTGACGAGGTCGGAATGTCATGAGTGCACGTAGTAGGTTCTTCAGAAATTGCCTAATGCCAAGAATGCTCTCTCTACTTCCCAAGTTGTCTACACTCAACGCCTTCCACCTCGAGTCACTTTGCCAAATCTCTAGGTTGCTCGGCCTCCACAGCTCTCCTGCCACGATGCTGCGCACGACCACGATTGCTCTCTGCTTGTTCAGACTCCTTAGCCTCACACTCTTGACTGCCGTATAATTCGCCCACAGATGTACGCCCAGCAGAAATAGCATCCAGCACCACGTCGCAAACACACTTTCGACCCGACTGACCACCAGGCCACCTACCCACATGCCCATTAAGTTGACCACCGTCTCTTGGCTGCCGTCCTTAGCATTGAGGTCCCCAACAGCTTCAGGGTTGTTCCTCGCAAAGTGGCTGCTGAGCACAGCTTTCGAGCTTCCGCCAGCGACACCACAGATCGCACGGAGCATACTCGAGGCGCACAAGGCAAGCGTGCGGTGCGAAATTGGTAGTGACGACAAGATGGACAGTGTTGGAACGAAAGGGAGTTTCGAAGACGTGGGCAGCATTGGTGCTAACAAATCGAGCAAGAAAGCGGCATCATTGACGACGTCGGCCAGGAAGCGGTAGAACTTGACGTCACGACTGATACGTGGTGCGGCACGAGAGGCGAAGACAATGGTAGTAATGTTCGACAGTGTCGATTGTAGAATAGAGAGAAGAGTTGCAGCCGTGGCGGTCGAAGTTGAATTAGCTGGCAATCCGCCATGGTCTTTGTCACTGTTAAGACTCGTTGTGGATGGGGATACGACATTGAGTGACTGCAACACGGCTCGAGAAGAAAGAAGACCTGCGATACTAGATGCGAAGGCTTGAATCGAGTCGTAGATCTGGTACGGCCTGTAGTCCTCTGTTACGGTGAATGGGTAGCCAGTGGGCAAGAAAAGTGTTTTGAGATAGGCGAGTATAAAATCCACGTAGATACTGACATCCAAGACAGGTAGGATGCCACCCTTTGGTTTCTGCGTACTTTGATCTTCACCTACCCTGCTGGACAATATCTTCGCTTCGGGTGGAATTTCGTCAAGTCGCAACGTCTTATCCTTGTTGCTTCCATCGCCTGTATTCGTTGGGGTTAGGATATAGGTATTGATAACTCTACCCGAAGTGGCATCGAGGTCTTGAAATGTAAATATATGATTAGAAGCCATTAGTGGTTGGACCTGGAAAGCGGTGCTGGAAGCAGGGTTTCTACCAGATCCTTACTTTATTCCACCATTTGCACGATGCCCGGATACTTGAGCTTGAACATGGAGCAATAGGGTTCTCAAGTCCTGTACAGGTAACTGTGTCCAAAACGGGAGCAACAATACACCACGACTAGTTTACTGTATCTTTGAGGATCAAAACGAGCAGCTTATGACCATCAAAGAGCCTCGACGACGATCCAGGTGGTCATGAAGATAAACAAAATGGCCGCAGGATAAGTCTGCTTTTGGCTCAAATACGGAATATCTGCAAACTCATGCATTTCTCCTGTCGCTTATGCCTTTTCTAGATATTCACGAAGTTCAAGCCACGTTTGCTATAACAGGCATCGAACGGACGTAGCTCCTCAAGCTCGTTCTAATAAGCTTGACCTGGATTGCTAGCATGTTTCCCAGCTGTAGAAGTGAGAACAACACTGAGCAGGAGATAGCTGGGAAGAGCTTGTAGAAGAGATGTCACTTTGTGGTATGTCGTTATGGTAGGTGTGAGACTGTGAGGAGGATCGGCTGGAAGGCAGCTGCCGCAGACCTTGGGTATGGCCGCGGAACAATTTTATAGTAATGTGAATATTCAAGCTCCTATGGATTTTGGGTTGGTATTGTGTGAAGCTACCACATGCTTGCTCCTCCACTAATAGTAGCTTCCATTTCCTCTTCCGTCCAGATTCGTCTCTGAAACCGTTTTGGCAGCTCTGATATATCGAAGTATTCGCCTTCTTTGGGTTTGATAGAGCCAAGATCTTTGCCAGCTCTCCCACCTATCCTACCATATGTCATAGGACCACCCATCGAAGCTGCTGGTGGCCTCGAAGGACCAGCGCTGTTTCCATTGGGCTGCTGACCGCCCAACGGGCCATGCTGTTGGGCTTTTTGTCGATATGAAACGAACGATTCAGGTAGCTGATGTGTCGGGGAGGCTGGATGCGGTTGGGGAGTGTGGTCGACTTGCTCTAAACCAGATCAGCCACGACTCAGACTTTAGAGGCAGCTTAGCTTACTTGGATGTGATCTCTTGCCTATGAATTTGATCATGGGTGTCCGGGCATGTGCCGCCCGCAATACAAGAGCTGGTCGCATGGTGCGATATTTGTTTCTCTTCGCAGCCGAATAACAGAGAAATGATCGAGAGTTCACTTCACTGGTTCAACTTCTTAGGAGAGTTGCACTGCCTGCGCTCGTATCTCGTATTTTATGAAATTGAAGGTCGTTATGGCTGTATAAAATAAACTAGTTCGCTTGCTTGGGACCTCGGGAACTGTGCTGATAAGGCAAAGGAGTAAGGGCGATGTTTACAGCTCTGAGATGTATGGTGGTGAAGCTTTAGAGTGGTCGCGCCAGATCGGAGAAGGTACAGTGCTTGGTATATAATTATCGGTCGAGGTACAACGGTGTTGTGATATGGAAACTCTCCGAGAGCATCACTTCGGCCGGCTGCGAACTCAAAAATTGAAGCTCAAAGTGCACTTGTGGAAGCTACTTTGTACCAGACGCGCAAGTCCAGCATGACGTCCTATCAGACCACCACTTTTTGGTCTCATTGTCTATTCTACTCTGCATCATACCACGTTTATCGACTGTTCAATATTCAAGACGCTCTTGCTCCTGCATAAGTGGAAACTCTCGTGAAGTGACCTTGGTGGGAGAAGCAAACACAGTCATGGCGACATGAGTCTGGCGGTCACTGTAGAATGCCTGATCGCCGAACTTAGCACATTCCTTTAGCACCTTCAATATCTTCCCTTCGTCCTACGATCGCTCCTATAGCCCGATCGAAAGCCCCTTCTCGTCTGTTCACTCCGCTTCCCTCAAAGTGCATGTCATGCACGAACTTTCGTTGTATGGATCCATACCTGTAGGAAACCATGACCACCTCTTACAACAGCTTGCCGGCCTCACGGCCATGCAGCCACAAGCCGTCCATGAGATTCACGTTGTATTCAAGGGACGTCAAGCTCTGGGCCTGGAGAAGGTGTCAGGAACCGTTGGAGGAGGGAGTGCTGGCACCCAGCAGCAACAGCAGGACCTCCAAAGGCTGAGGACAATGCTACAGTCAGGCGTTTTTTATGTGCAATTGATCGGGTCTCTTCTACCCCGAGACAACAAGCGCAGTACCGTCACTCGTCAAGGTTCAGGAGAAAATTCTATTGGCTGGGAGAACCAAGAAGTTGAGTGGACGTTCGAGTTCAAGGACACCCCCGAAGCCGCGAAACAGTCTGCCAGTACTCGCCTGGTATCACGTGTGAAATTCAACCAAGGTGACATGGTGACTTTTTTAGATATGTTCGGATTTGAGTATGTTCAAAAACAAAGCAAAATCATTCGTTCTCTGCATGACTGACGGTGCTAGGTACGTTAACCGGTATGTCGTTGAGGGACAAAGATTCTACCATCAGGACACCAGCCTTTTTTTGCACCGTGTCCGCAGATTGCCAGCACCTCGAGACAACGTGAGTGCAACCGACATTTCCGACCTTCCACCCTGGGCCAAGTTACCGCTCTTCGACGCTAGTGGTACATATATACTACAAGCTATGGTCGAGATTGTGGATGGCAATACCCAAGAGCTTCGAGATCGAGCTACGGGGCAACTTCTAGCACTACGAGATACACTGAAGTCGGAAGTGACCCTAGCTCAGCCTGATCGGCTCGCTCTGGATACTCGGGTGCCAATTACTCGGCGACCATGAACGTGAACGAGGACTGTCCTAACACCTGCAAACTCAAGACAAATTCTACTTCATTATCGGTGAAGATGAGTGGGAAGCCTGCCTGGGTGTTGAACACCAGCTATATGTCTTAACCATACCATGCCTGCACAGACGAGTACTTGTTGACGTATACCACCAAGGGAAGCTGTCTTGCTGTAGTATACGGTATACTGGCTGTTCAAGGACGCAAGTCAACATGTAGTGAATGTCAGTCCATAACGACTTCGCACGGCAAGCTCTGCAGGCACAATCTTGCCAGAGCGTGACCGAGCTCTATATGATGGATCTACGTGGGCTGAAAAATTCCGGCCGGCAGGTCTTGCAATATCCATTGCTAGTAGGGAAGACGTATGAACATGCTGGACGGCAACGGCGACACGTAAATTTTAGGACAGCAACTTTTTCTTGGCAATCAAGCGCGATCCAGTCGCGGTCAATCGCGCCTGACGCGTCGCCGCTGAAAGTGCACCTGACTTCCAACTTAGGACTTACGTGATACTAGATCTTCGGGACCATAAATGCACAATGACACTTCTCTTCATCGCCGCATCGTGCCTCTATGTCGCTTCCTATTTAATGGACTGAATAGCCATGCAACTCCTATCCATTTCAGACGTGGCACTAGCACCGAAAGAATGAAACGATCCGCTTCTGTATCCAAGCGTGATGTCTCCCCACCACCTGTCAAGCGCAAGATAGAGTCGACGACAACAAGTGTGTGGCAAAGAGGTATCAGATTCTCGGATGGAGCTGACGAACATATGCAGGTAAGGCGGTAGCAAGCTTTTTCAAGCCTCCCTCGCAAAGAGAGCCTGAGAAGCTCATATGGCGCATTATAGCCAACTCTCTAGTTGTAGGACACTACGCAGACACTCCTCGAGTGTACAGAGAGTTACCCCGACCAGTGAAGGTGGCCGCGTTCGACCTTGATGACACGATCGTCAAGCCCAAAACTGGTGGTAGTCGCTTCACTAGAAACGCCACGAGTCATATGTGGTGGGATCCTGTTGTTCCTAGACGTCTAAGAGAGCTTCACCACGAGGGCTTTCTGCTGGTAATCCTTAGTAACCAAGGCAGCATTAGTCTGAAAGACAATGCGAAGTCTCTACAGAAGGACACTCTTAGTCTGAAGAACTTCAAGGATCAATTGAGTTCCTTCTTACGACAACTTGACATTCCTGTAACTGTTCTAGCAGCAACCGCAAATGACCAATACCGGAAACCACGGACAGGCATGTGGATGGAAATGAAAGAAGAGTTCGATCTCGAAGCCGATGATGCTATAGCTATGGACCAGTCTTTTTATATTGGTGACGCTGCTGGCAGAGAGAAGACTGACCGGAGACAGAAGGATCATGCTGCTTCCGATCGTCATCTGGCTGCAAACATCGGCATAAAATTCCAGACACCCGAAGAATTCTTTTTGGGACTTGAAACAGAGCCTTACTCTCAATCTTTCGAACCCAAGCAATTCCTCGAGTCCGCCCTGTCTGCCAATGTGCCGAAGTCATCCTTTACCAAGCAGAGTGAGCAAGAGCTTGTCACGTTCTGTGGCTCGCCAGGTGCGGGAAAGAGTTCGTTCTACTGGAAAATGCTGCAGCCACAGGCCTACGAACGAGTTAACCAGGACGTCTTGAAGACTGTAAGCTCAATCACTGCAGCCTCAACAGAGGATTGACGTTCGAGTAGCGAGACAAGTGTATCAAGGCTGCTAGGAAGTATCTGGAGTCTGGATCATCAGTTGTCGTCGGTAGGTAATTTCAACCTGACACGATATGCTTACTAACAGCTTCCTCTAGATAACACGAACAGGGACAAGGAAGCTCGAGCATATTGGATCAGATTGGCACAAGAATTTGGTATACCAATTCGTTGTATCTTGTTTACAGCATCGCCGAATTTGTGTGAGCACAACGATGCTGTCCGGGCACATAACAGAACTGTAAGTAATACAGTCCCGAGCTTAGTGCCAACCAACTACAATCGACCAACCAGTTTGAAGCGGACTCTTCTGACGCAAGTGCCTAGCTAAATCCCGAAAGTCGAACGATCCTGCCAGCCATAGCATTTCGGAGTTTTACGCAAGCCTTTGTCCAGCCGACTATTGAAGAGGGATTTCAAGACATAACGACGATAGATTTCGAGGTAAGCCAGGACGTACGATACACGAAGATACGCAACTCATATAGTCCTAGTTCGAAGGGTCAGACGACGATAGAGCAATATGGTCAAAGTACTGGGTTTCTAAGTTCTCAACCTGAATGCTACCATTACACGTCATGCTGTGTGCGGGTATTCAGCTGATACAATCCACGGAAAATGGTCTTGGATTTCTAGATGTCCTTCTAAATTGAACGACTTGACCTCGAGGACCACACAAAAGGTTGAGCTATGCAGAAGCACGAGTTCGACCACTATTTACAGGTATAGCTTTACTCATCCTCCGCAGACATCAAGTAGTCCCGAAACTTGTTGCGCTGAGCTGAGAGGAGAACATACCGCCCAACTTCGGACCTAAAAATAAAGAATACCAGTTAGACAATAAAGGAGGTGGTTGGGAGTGCATGACAAGGATTCATTTGCTTCGTACAGGAGGCAGATACCCTGGTTCACGATGCGGAACTCCTCTGGCGGTTCTGCCTTTCTACCACCCGTTTAGAGATGCCACTCTCTATGTACAACTAGTACAGCTATATACTATACGGTTCATCCTTCATCGAGGACCATTCTGGCAACCCTCGAGCCTCAAGTGACATTCTTTTTGTCGCAGTGTCCAACCGATCTTGGGTCGAAGCGAACAGTGACGACACACGATCAAAGTAGGGACGTCTGTACTGGATTGCGATGCTCTTGCTTGAACAAAGAGGGTTGGAACTGCTTTAAGGGCGATCTGCAGTCCAGATACTTTCTAGGTACGGAACGAGTGCCGCCTTGAGATTATGACACTTGAGCAAAAGCGCTAACAGACTCAACGTTACACGTTTGTCGTTCTGACATGAATCATCAGTGCTCTCTCGTTCGGAGCACAAAAGCAATTGTCTGTTGTAGCTTTGAAGCGGAGGATTCGGAGTTTTCGATAGTGAGGCATAGAGTTCGTGCGGATGCCTTCAGCAAACGGCCTGCAAGTAACCGATCTCATGAGGGATGCTACTTCTCTGTAGCTTGTTCTTTGTACCGGCCTTGCATCAGGCTTTTGCACAAATTGCAGCTGTCTACTCGTATGAGCCTTGCTTACTGGAAAATAGTTGAGATACAGAATGATAGGAGTATAGTGAGTTGACCGGGGTGATGGACCCATGAACTCCACTAAAGAACTAGTTCTGCAAAGTTCGAAGTTCCTTTCTTACCGGCGGTTGGGCCGCTACCCCGCTGCAAGAAGCCTCCGAGCTCGGTTACAAGCAGCACACTCAGCTCAGTACCATGACTTTTGTCAGTGTGAGATCGCCGCTGACAGATATGCGGAAAGCTGCAGTTGACGTGCAACGATGCGAGACGGGACGTGACTACCTTCAGGTCACCATGATACATGATACATACTCAATCAGAGCACTTAATACAGAGATTTAGCCAATGCTTTGCGTACGAAAACCAAGAATAAACAGATGAAACTTTTCAGCCGTGTGCTCAATTGTGGTAGAATCAAATCTGACCTACAACCTTTATGATCAATTCACTCTCGTACACGGAGTCATGGCCTAAGGTTCGACAACTTCCGCTGGAATTCAGAAGTAAGGCTTCTAAGACCCACAACAGAACAACACCAGGTCATCGCAGACACGACCGTTTTACTTTGACAGAAGAAATACAGGCCAAGGGTTGACCCTGTACAACATGCGCGCCGGCATTCCTAGTCGTGTCCTTGCCCATGCGCTGTTGAGCAAGCACGGGCAAAAATGCGTGTATTGAAAAGTTGTTAAAGAGCATGCAGAATTCCCTCAACGGCTGCTTTGCAGGATTTTGCACAGGATTGGAGCTATCCCGATCTCGCCAACCATACGCGGATGGCTGGCCCGCTGCCTAGGAATGTTTGCAAGGGCATGGCTCGAAGTTGGCGTCTTTCTGCACTAAGTAGCTCATCGATGGATACCACATGGCTCATTTCCTGCTTTCCCACAAACCAGATGCTTTGAGATACGCCTCCACTCCGAGGACTATCATCAACGGCGCTGAAAAGTGCAACGGCCCAAAAGTTTTGCTTCTCACAGCTTGGGATCTAGAGTAACTGAACGACCTCACTTACGACTCTCCTTCTGGGCCACATTGTCTTACTGATCGCTATTGTGTGTACTAAAAAGCTGCCTTTCTATCCTAGACGCTGCTTGCTGGCATGTCTTGGGCCCTAAAGTGTTGCGACGTCTCTCTTCCAATCGTGACCGACTAGCTGGCGCATATTCGAACACCACTTCTTGCGACCTTGCTCCCACCAGCTCGACCAGTCACTTTCCCTCACTATTCGTTCGCACTCTCGAACAGACAATCTCATCTGGAACTTTGGCCTGCATCCTCGTACATCACTGCCTTGTATTCGTCAAACGGCCACCATGCGCAAACCACCATAACCAAACTCGACCCATTCCGCACACGATTACTTTTGCTTCTAACATTCGCTTAACGACATTGCTTTCGCAAGAACACATTACAATCACTACTACGACGGGCAATGGCCGAAGGACAGCACGCTCCGTCTTCGTCAATATCGTCAATAACCTCGCGCAGTGCATCTCTGTGGTCGCGCGGTCATTCTTCCAAGTCCTCCGCTTCCTCCATGTCTGTAACATCTTCACCAATACAAGCACGAGATTCGCTGGACCTTTTTCGCACTCAAAAACGATTGGAAGATGTGAGGGAGGAGGACGACTTTCCATCACGGCATATCTGTTCATGTAGGTGACAAGCGTCGTGTCACGGATGTTACAAAGTACTGACATGATTTCCTAGTTGATGACTACCGTTGCGTCGACATCCCTGCCTCGCTAGACTCAGCGCATCCTGTCCTACCCACTCAAACGTATTCCTTGGCCGACCAGGATGCCTGGTCAGCGCCCGTGGACGATGGCCAACACAGCACCAAGAGACACAGATCGTTCGACAGACCACGCTACAGCGTAACTCACGACTTCGCCTCACGTTTTGGTTCTTTATCAAGACGATGGAGGAACCGATCTGCTGCTGGTCCCCCATTGTCGATCATCACAAATATCACACCCATTACATCACCACGTTCCAGCCTCGATACATCCAACAATTACCATAGTCGCTCGACAAGTTTGACATCAAACGCACACGACATCTACTCACCCGTCTCAATGAATTCAATTGGCGATGATTCCATTCCAGAGTCCGAAGTTGTGCCCATCTTCATCGATCATCGTTCGCACATCCAGGAGGAACCAGAAGAAGAGCAAGGCATGGCGACCACACCTCTACTACCACCGACAATGTTGCACCTAACTAAAAACGAAAGTCCAATCCAATCACCTCTTCAATCTCCTTCTATTGCACCGACGACCTACGCCACAACCTGTCGGCTCTCCATGGAGGCTCAGCCATTCTCTTATCTTCCATCACCACCACTTTCGACTCGTCCTTCTATGACCTCGATGCCAAGGTCCAGAGCCAATACTGCTGGTGGTGAGATTCCAATGTTGCAACAGCTGGGGGACAGCTCAGATCCGTGGACGATGAAACTTGGCCATGCAGACTTCAACATCCGTCCGGAACCGTATCAATGTAACATTATCGATTTAGACAACTACAGGGAGTTCAGAGAGAATTGGGACGAAGCTCGGAGACAGTATGCACAACACTTGGCCAGAACTGTGGAGCATTATGGCGAAACGTCGAAGGTGTACAAACTGACTGAAGAAAAATGGAACTCGATCGATCAGCAATGGAAGAAGTATTACGAACAGCTCAGGCTAGCACTCTCACCCCAGCTTGCCAGGTTAAGCGATGGCCCTGCTACACCAGATTCTCCAGTCTCGCTTCTGGACAAACCTGTCAATCGTGTTGTGGTACCTTCCTTGGACAAAGGTGGCAAGTTCCCTGAGCTTGGAGATACCGATATTGTCGGACCACTGACAGTTGGAGTGGCCAAAGTGCCTGAATTGCAACGGGGCAATCTTACGCCTCCTTGTTCACCGAGAAAGCGCAACTTCATCAAAACACTTGGTGAGCTTTTCACTCGACACTGATACACAATGTTCGTCTACTTTTTGGTCGCGTCAAACTCTTTGCTGCGGAACTTTTGGCGTACTCTGGTGCTCAGGCATGGAAAATACTTCTTGTTGTACTCCTCGAGTGTCTCTCCTTGGGGTGAGGAAACTTGAAGGAATTGTACAGCAACACCATATCAATATTTGCATTTTTAAGCACCAACAACATGGACTACAGGTCTCAAGGAATGCCATTTGCTGTGTCTCTACACAATGAAACGACAATTTTGACGACAATATACGACCCCTACGACATCATGAGTCTTTCGGCGCTTGGCTTAACATATATTTTGCTTGTACATATCTACATATTTGGACGTCGTTCTTGCATGGAACTGCATCCTACAAACGCGCGTGGCGGCTGACTCCTTGCAATGGTCAAGTTGAGTCAGCGCAGTCGAGATATACTATACACAATTAGCTCCTCCTTGTCAGGCTAGCTAGAGGTTGGCGGATATACAAAAGAGATAGATGTATACACAATAACAATATCTTCACGAATTATGCTCCCTTGCTATAGCCTAACAATAGACGCATTCCCAGAATCGTTGCGATTACCTTTCGCTCTCTCTGTCTTGACAGCTATTCTTGGCTAATTCTCGTTGCCATGCTTCTGAAGCCAGTCCAGCTGTAAGTGGCTCAATCTGGCACATGGTGCAGATATGTCCTGAGTAGCTCCCACACTCGTATCAGGTCTTGGTAACTTTGGTGCCACATTCCACGGCAGCTGCGTTTCACAATCATAATGCAACAACCACACGGCAGCCCTGCTTGTCCACAACAGGCTCAATGAAGTTATTTACACCACCAGCATTAGCTTCGTGATCGTCCCTGCACCCCATGTTGAGGCCTAACCCGTGTCGCATATTCGCTGCGCGTTTGATGGGTCTGACACATTTGACACATTGACGCATTTTTGGCACACCCTATTTCGAGCGGTGAAGTCATCTTGGCAGACTGATTGATAATCATGTGACCATTCTGTAGAATACGTAGAATGCAAAGAAGAACATGTCAACTAGCCCTTGCTGTCAGCGTCTGCTGTGCTCTCAAGCCGAGCTACTAGGTGGTGCATAGAGTCTGACCAGCACAGGCACCAAGGAACGGCTCGTCTCTCGCTTCAACCCGGCCTGTGCTTGTTCGACTGTACCTTTGCACAACTTGCATACTTGCTGAAGGACCTCTTTGCGATCGCGTCTTTTCTTACAACTCTCTGAATACCAAATTGATACACGAAGGGGAAATAGTTTCTCCTCTGGGATGCGGACTCATCAGGCAACACCTTCTGCAGAACGCAGGCCGTCCAGGTTCATACTTGGTACCTTGAGCATTGACGTTTCAACGAGTTGTCAACAAGTACAACTCTGATACAGGTGGTCTGAGAAGATATCAGGCCACATTTCTTGAGGCAGATGTTCTTCTCTTCGACTCTCATGTCGAGCAGAGAGTCCGCGTGCCCTCAGGGCAACTGTCACTTCTCAAGAACAGAAACTTCGACGACTTGTCCTGCGGCCATTACACAGTGATCTATGGGTGTCTCCCATACGAATACTGGTGAGGCCACTAGCCGAGCCTGCAGGAAGGCAGTGAAAGCATCATCCAGACGTACTTGGTTCTCATTGTGGAAACTGACAAGGTCGTCTCGTCGATATCGTCGTCGAAATCGAAGCAGGACTCCCGCCTATTGATCAGTTCTCATGCTTGTGTTTGTGTTGCTGATTAGCCTGTCGAGCCTGTCTTCCTGCTCACCATTCCTTTCTTGTTCAAGCGGCTTCCGTTTCCCCGGGTTTTCTCCAATTTCGTTGATAAGCTTTCTCGAATCACAACACCTCGGCAAGCGCGATAGGCGAAATGGACCTCAATCTCGAGTAGTCAGACTCTAGACATCAGGTGCACTCACTAGCGTCTGGTGTTTCCCTTGTTCACCTTCTCTTGAGCATATTGCAGACTTTTCTATAGTATAGGATGTTACAGTAGACCTTGCGGCTATACTGCTTCGGTGAGACGTGACTAGCTTTCACAACATGGCTTCAACAGCTAAGGACCGTTTATCGAAGTTAGCCTCACACTTTACACCTTCTTCCTCCTCTCCAACTGTCGCAGACAACACCGAATTGAACATCGATGGCCGAATCAGGGGCACTACAAGCTGGTACAACCACCACACTCTGTCGCCAACCTTCTTCCTACCTCGCGCTGCTCAAATAGAACCTGAAGCACCAGCTATCTACCACCGCACTGCAAACAACCGCATTCTGAGGCGCACGTACAAGGACTTTGCTGACCGCTCGAGTGCGTTTGCATACTACCTGAAGAAGAAAGGCTACAAAAGAGTGGGACTGCTCTTAACCAACACGCCTGCCTTTCTCTATGCAACATTCGGAGCTGGTGCCGCTGGCGCAGTGGTCATCGCAATCAATTACAGACTTAAGAAGGACGACATAGGTTATATGTTCAACCACTCCGATGCAGACCTTGTGATCGTAGACCGAGAATATGTGGATTTGCTAGGTGACTTTCGCAAAGCGAAGCCAAACGTGCCAATCTTGATAGACGACGATGAGGTTGACCCAAACACAGAAGAGGAGCTCGGCGCATTCGGTGACGCCCTACGTGAAGGTTCATCCTATGATCGTCAGACCGGTTCCCACGGTTGGGATGGTCTGGAAGCGCAAGCTCCTGACGAGTTGGCTGTCAACGCTCTTGCATACACATCTGGGACAACCGCCCGACCTAAGGGTGTCGAGTATACTCATCGTGGCTGTTACCTTGGTGCAGTTGGCAACGTGATTGAAAGTGGTTTAAGCTACCACGGTACTGATCGTTGCAGATATTTGTGGACGTTGCCAATGTTTCATGCTATGGGATGGACATTCCCATGGGCAGTGACAGCTGCAAGAGGGACGCACTACTGCCTTAGGAAGATTGACTATCCATATATATGGAAGCTGTTGAAAGAGGAACACATAACTCACTTTTGTGCTGCTCCAACAGTGAACACTCTACTTTGCGCTGATAGCAATGCAACGAAGTTGCCAAATCCTGTACGGGTCACCGTTGCTGCTTCACCACCAACAGCACATTTGTTCGAGGTAATGACGAATGTCAACCTGCATCCTGTGCATGTCTACGGGTTGACCGAGACTTATGGCCCTATCACGAAGGGCTATCAGCTTGGTAGCTGGTGGGACCTAGCTGACAAGGAGCGTTATGGCAAGATGGCACGACAAGGTCACGGCTTTGTCACTTCCTTACCTGTACGAGTCATCAAGACGGGCGATGATGTGCCCGAGGGACATATAGAAGACGTCAAGAAAGACGGGAAAGAGATGGGCGAAATTATCTTTACTGGCAATATCTGCGTAAGGGGTTACTACAAAGACGAATCCGCAACAAGAAAACTTTTCGCAGGTGGTGCTCTGCATAGTGGTGACTTGGCCGTCTGGCATGCAGATGGGGCCATCCAAATCCTCGATCGAGCCAAAGATATTATCATATCGGGTAAGCTCTTCTTGTCTACTTCTCCTGCCTTTTCGTGTTACGATCATTACTGATGACTTTACAGGTGGTGAGAACATATCCTCGGTTGCCCTAGAAAGCATTATCGCTACCCATCCAGACATCCTAGAGTGTGGCATTGCTGGTATCCAGGACGAAAAATGGGGTGAATGTCCAAAGGCTTTCATCACTGTCAAACAGGGCAAGAACATAACCCAGGAATCCTTCATCCAGTGGTGTAAGGACCACCCGGCAATGGGAAGGTTTATGGTACCGAAGGAAGTCGAGATTGTCCAAGAGCTTCCCAAGACAAGTACAGGGAAGATTAGGAAGAATATTCTTAGGGAGTGGGCGAAAGGTAAAAGGGATCAGGGTGGAGAGTAAGTTGCCTCGCGCAGGTTGTACGACGTACCATTTTTGGCAGCAATACTCATGTTTCGGGCGAGAAGCGTACTTGTGGTTTCCGTCAATCTGGGGAGTAGCTACTCAAGAAGCAATGCACATAATGAGGACGCTTTTTCAGCACGAATTTCAATGTTCCCTTTTGACATGCCGATTCTGTGAATTTGGTCTATGAAGTGCCTTGGCCGAGCACCCTGTGGTTGCTGAAGGTAAATCATGCCAAAGTGAGCTGTGGCTATTGCTGGCCACCACGTGCCGAAATCTAGAAGATAGAACATTTTATACCACTTGAAACTTCAACAACGAAGACTATACCCGTCAACATCGCGTATAGCGTCCCTGATGAGACAATTCCAGAAGATGAAGCATATTCAAGATGATGACTTGCAAGCCTAAAGTACCCCAATCATATCGCTGTACCTCCTCTACGGCGCTCTCATACAAGAAAAGTACTCTATGGCTGTCGTGTAACAGTGGTCGCCTGCTCCGAATTTATAGAACGACATCGTCGTTCTTAGGAATCCCTCAGAACACGAAGCAGGTGGTGCCTAGATGGAATCAAGGGCATGTGTCTAGTATACTCAAAGGTATACTTCATGCCAACGTAATCCTCAGCCTATGTACCTTCGCCAACTCTCTACTCAGATTTCTTCTACATTGATACGGATTGCGCTACCTTCTGACAGATTCCTTACCTTAATCGCAGTAAACTAACAGAGACCAGAAACGATTCGATCAGCTACTACACCCGCCGTCAAGATGAGCTCTCAAACGAACAAACCTCTCGTCCTTGTTACCGGTGGCTCAGGCTTCGTGGCTGTCCATTGCCTCCTCGTCCTTCTCAATACCTCCTCATACCGTCTACGTACCACTACCCGCTCCTCCTCGAAAGCCTCATCTGTCAAATCTCAGCTAAAGGTCGGTGGCGCCAATGATGCTGATATTGAAGCTATCGACTTCGTGGAGGCCGATTTGACGGAAGACGAAGGCTGGGATCGCGCAGCTGCCGATTGCTCTTTTGTCTTGCACGTTGCAAGTCCATTTCCTCCCAAGGCACCGAAGCACGAAGATGAGCTCATCATACCTGCACGAGAAGGAACGTTACGCGTCCTTCGAGCTGCGAAGAGAGCCGGTACTGTGAAACGGATAGTCCTCACGAGCAGTGTTGCAGCAGTTGGATATGGACACTCTGACGTGTCGCGGCCGTTCACAGAAGAGGACTGGTCAAATGTCGACGCCGGCATTCCCGCCTATCCAAAAAGCAAAACGCTAGCAGAACGTGCTGCGTGGAATTTCATTGAACAGGAAGGCGAAGGCATGGAACTCTCGGTCGTCAATCCTGTCGGTATCTATGGCCCTCTATTCGCCAGCGAATCCTACTCTACAAGTATAGAACTGGTTCTACGTCTAATGAATGGTTCTATACCCGGACTTCCTGACATTGGATTCGGTGTGGTCGATGTGCGAGATGTGGCTGACCTACATCTTCGTGCCATGACCGATCCGAAAGCCAAAGGCGAGCGTTTCATCGCAGTGGCTGGAGACAACGAGGCTATGACAGTGCAGGAGATAGCAATGGTACTAAAGGAGAGGCTAGGCTCGAAGGCTAGTAAAGTACCTACTTTGGTAGTGCCGAACTTCGTGGTGAAAATGCTAGGGTTCTTCGATCCCACAGTCAGAATGATCATACCTGATCTGGGCAAGAGGCGAGTTTCAAGCAACCGGAAGGCGAAAGAAGTGCTTGGGTGGCAGCCAAGAGGCGTTGCTGATAGTGTGGTTGCTACGGCAGAGAGTCTGGAGCAACTTGGCATGCTGAAGACATGATACGAGTCAGCTTCGAGGAAGTGAAGGCGAGGAAGAAATCTGGCTTCGAGCAGGACAAAAGTACAAGGATTTCAAGTCAAGAGTACATGGCAGTTCGTGCTTGGCATAAGAGGAACTATAAGAGGAAGCAAAGATACGCTTTAAGACGCTGCGAACAGGACAGGGACGGCTCTCTTTTCCCGGTGGACCGGTATGGCCACAACAGAGTGCAGGGGTATCCGTGTCCTTGTCTGTCTGTGGTCGGCACCTTCGGCGAAGCAGTACCTTGGAGCTTCAGCGGTGATCAGTTGACACTTAAAGTGAGATATATGAAGCTCATCTCAATGAACAGTAAAATTCGATAGACGCCTCGATTTCTAAGTTAAATTACAACCCAACAAATGTAGATGCCTAAGGCAGATAATAGAGCATTGAAGATCTGACAAGTAGAACTCGTTCCTCGCTGCTTTATGTTGAAGATTGTTCTAAACTGTGCAGGTCTCTGATTTTCCAAGAAACTAGAATTCGTTCGTTGGTACACAGTCTTTTGTGCTGGGTAGGTCTCTTGAAGATCGTCTCAACGTTCTGGAAATGTCCGCCGTCAATGGCGCCTCGAAGACCTTGAAGATTCTAATGTTACATGGCTACACTCAGAGCGGATCTTTATTCAATGCAAAGACGAAAGCACTCGAAAAAAGTCTACGCAAAGCATTTACTAGCGTCACGCTCAGCTATCCTACTGGACCGATGAAACTACGAGCTAGCGACGTGCCTGGATTTGACTCATCGAAAGTTGAGGATGAAAACGATGAGGTGGAGGCCTACGGTTGGTGGAGGAGATCAAACACGTCCGAACCACCAGAGTACGTTGGCATAGAGGAGGGTCTGGCAGTTGTCGCAGATACTATGAAGCGAGAAGGACCCTTTGACGGGGTCATGGGTTTCTCTCAAGGCGCGGCAATGGCTGCAATGGTATCTTCTCTACTCGAGGGAAAGCCACGCAGTGAGGCTTTCAAAGCAGCAATGGCCAAGTCAAAGCTGTCCATGTCGTATCCTTCAGCTTTTGCAGATCTAGATCATCCACCACTGAAGTTCTGCATATCATACTCAGGGTTCGTTGCTCCTGGAGAGAGATATGCAGCATTCTACGAGCCCACGATACGAACACCGATGTGTCACTTTGTCGGCAGTCTCGATACAGTGGTTGAGGAGGCGAGGACGAATAAGCTGATAGAGGCTGTGGGTGGACCGACGCGGACAAGTGTGATTGTGCATCCTGGTGGTCATTTCGTGCCAAATAACCGGCAGTACATTGATACTGTTGTAGCTTTCATCAAGGCGCAAATAACAGACGCTTCGCCGTCGACAAAGCAAGAAGAGAGTGTGGAGGACATGGACGTACCATTTTGAGGATGGCTAATCATGAGATGTATCGTGGATAGACTCAACATAGATTTCATAGGAGGTCGAGCGAAAGAGGCACAATTCGTTTTCGATGTCACATTCGGGCCGAGAATCTGACGGTAACGCAAGCCGACAACTTCTAGACCTCGTCTCAAGAAATGCAATCAACGAGAAGCACTGCACGAAAGGTAGTGTGGATCGATGTATGAGTCGCAAGATGACTCGAAAGTTCAGTGCACAAGAAGGCCAGAAGTAGAAGGTCGAAGATCATGTAACGTGACCTTTGCGCTAAGCTGTTTCTGAGCGCACGCAACTCTTGGCTCGACACACTTAGGCTTTGCCTCCTCCTCTCTTCCTTCTTCCTGCACGTCCATCGACAATCACTCAGCTTTTTCTACCTCGCAAACCCACTCTCAAACACACAAGTACATCAAGTCTCTCGATCAACCCACAAATCAATCAAGATGGTACGATTTTATCCTTCCTGCGACTGCGTAGAATCTATGACGGAGCGAAAATGTCCCGCCCGAGGCAGTCAAGCACACGAGCACGAAAATCGTCAAACGCACATCGAAAGTCAAGAATATCAAGCTGATACGGTGTCAATAGGTTCTCGCAGTCGATCTTCTCAACCCTGCTCCTCAGGCTGAGGCACGAAAGCACAAGCTGAAGGTATGTCAGCTTCGAGAACACTCACCGCCAACCACTAACCCACATAGACTCTCGTCCCAGCTCCACGATCCTTCTTCATGGACGTCAAGTGCCCAGGCTGCTTCACAATCACTACTGTTTTCTCGCACGCACAGACTGTCGTCATCTGCGCCGGCTGCTCGACTGTCCTATGCCAGCCTACTGGTGGCAAGGCCAGGCTCACAGAGGGCTGCTCCTTCCGAAGGAAGTAGATGGCTTCACAATGTTACAACGATGTAAAGAGCGAGGTGTATGATGTATTTGCAAGATAGAAGATGGATTTCCGACCTCTCTCGATGATATTGTTGTCTCTCGACTTGGAGAAGCAATTCGACGATACCCCTTCAACGTACAGTGTCTTGATGCACAAAAATGGAGTTCCGGATATCTTGCAGCCAACTTAGACGATATGAAGACGGTATGGCGGTAACGACATCTTTATTTTAAGTCAGTATGCATGGTGTGGTATATCGACCATGGAATTGAAATACGTGGAAATGCTCAAGAAATGGTTTTAAGAAAGAGCTAAAAGTCTTTTTCTTGCATGGTATGACAAGGAGAGACAGGAAGGAATGGGAGTGACTGAGGTCGTCGCTGCAAGAATGTCCATTGTGACTGAGGCCAAATGCTGAAGCTGATAGACGTGAGGAGGGCAGATCTACCTATTTTCTCTTTCACTCCTGCTCGAGGAGGCCTTTGACCTTGCACAGAGGACTATGCCGAATGTTCTGTTTGTGCTTACTTTGTATTCTAGTTAGATACAAATCAAGAAAACGATTAAAAGGTCACTCGTAATGATATTTCCACAGACTTCATGCCAGATAGTCATATCTGAGATGACGCTTGTAGCGTTGTCCCGTATGATAACTCTCAGTCCTGCTGACATTCAGTCACCTTGTTCGCTCATAGGGTCTCGTGTCAGTTGCTTTCTTCGCGTCTTGTTCTCCTGCTTCAACCCTTGTCCGACCAGTCAATCCAGCCTTCTACCCGGGTCTTTTTCTATTCCTTCTTGTCTAACACACAACTCTGCAGTCACAAAAAGGTTGTGCCATACACTTTTCGTGACAGACTATTTGTGCTTAGAGTGACAGAGGCTTCGTCGAGGCGAGCTGCTTGATCCTTCTACTGCGTATACAGTTCGCACAAGCTATTTCTGAGAATAGTTGGGATCATTCATGTGGTCCGATGTGCTGTGAATACTGGCTCATCGTAGGCGTGAAGGAAGCGTGAGTAGCTGACGCATAGCCAGGCTCGTTGCCGGTAACCACTGAAACTTCAGGGATGAGACAAAGCTGGGCGTTCGCCTTATCGACTGCTTGTAATGAACCGAAATCTGTCGGAGCATAACATATGTTGTTATCGTTCTCGTCGTGCCATGTGGCTACCGTCTTGGAGGCTGTCACAACCTGACCAAATATTCGATACTCATTATTTCGTGATCATGTTGCAGCTATCGTCGTAGCAGATTTTCACCGTACCACGATCTCATCCTAAGCCCAGGTCTTTTATTGTCCTATTCACAAGCTTCCTTTGTTCTTTCTCTTGCAAATTTTGCTCATCTGTCTGTTGAAGCACACGGCCAACAGCAACGACGCCCCTGACACCAGCATCTGCACAATTAATCCAGACTCTGCCATTCTTCCCAACCACCAACTCAAAACCTCCTGGTATTCTGTTGCCGAGCTCATCCAGCATCGAAGCTAATTGTTTCTTCAACAACCTATCAGCTAGGTCTAGACTCACATCAAAAACCATTCCTTCGGTCAATGGACCCAGTCCGTCAGCTTTGCCAGTGCTCGGGTTTATACAAGTCAACTCAATATCCATATTTTTCTGACAGAAGGCGATCTTGGCATAAACAAGGTCTCCGTTCTTCAGCTGTGGGCGTGTCTTTTTCGAAGCGCCTTCGAAGCTGAAATGTGATAGTATAGCTGGCGGTGAATGGCTGTTGATAGAGAGATGAAAGGTCTCAAATGAGGCACCTCTGACTTGTGCTATGATTGAGTCGCCCTGGCGAGGAACGTATCTTGCTCTCGGAGTAGATACATTTGCGACTTTCTTTTTGTGATCAACCTCAACTCGTCCAGCAATGGTGCTTGTAAAGTCATTTGACCCAGATTCTTGTTTGATACCAGGGCCAATTTTTCTCTTCTGAGCAGTGGGCAGGTAAGATGCATCTATGACATCCCCGGGCAATACCACAACCGCGTCCGTCATGGTAAGCAAAGAGCTACGCAATAGTCACATTCAAAGACCGTCAAAATTCGAGCCTTGCATGTTCGCAAGGAATACGTAAATTGGCTGGACTAAGTAAGTGTCGAGTGAACGAATGCTCTTGACCAATGAGATCGGGTTCGGCAAAGTTGCAGCTCTACAAGCCCTGACATGTGAGGCTAAGAAAAAAAGTTGAGCGCAGGAGCGATTTCTTGAATGCAAATCGCTGCCCTGTTCTAGATACCTCTCTACCTGAACGCTTCCATTCGTTGTGTTCGAAGTCTGCCACTAAACCGACGACATGAGCGACGAAACCAATGGGGTTAGTAGCCCTGAACAATATGCAATCGGCATTTCGTTTGGCAGTTCCTACAGCTCAATCGCTCATATCTCACAAGAAGGAAGAGTCGAAGTCATTGCAAACGAAGAAGGAGATAGACAAATACCGTCCATATTATCGTATGTTGACGGTGAGGAATATCATGGCACGCAAGCAAAGGCACAGATAGTGCGGAACTCGAAAAACACGATCGCCTATTTCAAGGACTACATCGGCAAGCCATACAGCCAGATCGACCCTACGCCATGCAAGCAGTCGGCGCACCCATCTGAATCCGATGGACAAGTTGTCTTCACAGTTCAGGAGTCAGCGGAGGGCGAATCGACCACATTGAGCGTTTCAGAAGTCACGACTCGACACATCCGCAAGCTGGCGAGTTCAGCCGCTGATTACATCGGCAAGAAGATCACTTCAGCCGTCGTGACTGTTCCTACCAATTTCAGCTCTGAGCAGAGAACTGCGCTCTCTAAAGCAGCGAAAGCTGCTGGTATTGAGATCCTCCAATTCATACACGAGCCGGTCGCAGCAGTGCTAGCCTACGACTCCAAAGACCCAGAATCAGTACAGGATCGATTGATTGTTGTCGCAGATCTTGGCGGTACCAGGTCAGACGCTGCAGTAGTAGTATGTACAGGAGGTGGACTATACAGTATCGTTGCAACCACACACGATTACGAGCTAGGTGGTGCACAGCTGGACGAAGTCCTGATCGACCACTTCGCTAAAGAGTTTGAAAAGAAGCACAAGACCGACCCAAAGAAGAACGAACGCAGTTTGGCTAAGCTGAAGTTGGAAGCCGAAGCCGTCAAGAAAGCACTCAGCCAAAGCGCCTCCGCAACATGCAGCATAGAATCCCTCGCCAACGGCATCGACTTCAGATCGACCATCAACAGGACTCGATTTCAACTGCTCAGCGTCAAAGTTTTCCAAAAGTTCACCAGAATGATCGAAGAAGTAATCAAAAAGGCCGACCTCGACGTCCTTCAAATCGACGAAGTCATCCTATCTGGCGGAACCTCACACGTACCCAAAATCGCCGAGAACGTACAGGCTCTGTTCCCAGACACCACCAAAGTCCTCGCTCCCGCAACGTCAACCGCAGCCCTAAACCCATCCGAACTCTCAGCACGTGGCGCCGCCATTCAAGCAAGCATGATCCAAGGCTTCGACAAAGAGGACATCGAGCAATCAACGCACGAAATGGTCACTGTCACCCCTCACACCTCAGCCATGATCGGCGCCCAAATCACAGGCCAGCCAACCGACGCCGCCACAATCATCATCCCCTCCATGACCGCCGTCCCAGCCAGAAAGTCCAAAACCATCGACGCCCCCGAAGGCGACGTGCTCCTCCTCATTTCAGAAGGCGAATCAGAAATCAAAGTCACTAAACCTGAACCCAAAGCAAAGACAAACGGCACCAAGAAAGCCGCCGACGACGATGACGAAGACGACATCAGCGACGACGATGAAGACGATGACGAAGAAGATGAACTCCGTGAAAAAGTCTACAAGACCAAGAAGATACTCGCAGAATTCCAGTTCAAGGGCCTGAAGAAGGGCGCTAAGCTGGAAGTCACTGTCAATATCGGTTCTGATCTTGGTGTGCAGATAACGGCTAGAGAGGCGAAGGGTAAAGGTGGAATTAGAGGCACGCTTGCTGCACCTAAGCCTACGGAGAATGGATCTGCGTAAAAGGGGTTGCAGGGAATAGGATAGAAGTGTTTGCGCTGCATAGTCTAGGCGGTTATGGTCTTAGACTGGATAGTAAGGTAGGCACTGTTGACCATATAGACTTGATTGAGATGGCCTCATGACTAGCATTAGATAAATTCGACGACGTTGTACGCTTTGCTACAGAACGAAAGTACTTTACTGGGCACGTCGTAGCAATCAAGCAGAATTTCGCCAGAGCATGGTCTTTCTTCATTTCCACTGTAGCGTACGAACCATTGAGTGGCGATTGTGACTGTGAACAAATTTGATTGATCAGGCGCTTTTATCTTAGAGCCAATAAACTATCAACGCTTTCGCTGCGCGACAAACACCAACCACGCTCAATTCAAGGGTGTCAATATAGTCCTGCTATTTTGAAGCAATCATCTACTCGTCGGCCTCGAGAGGCGCTTCCTCCTCGTACTCCTCTTCAGCATCTGAGATGGAGGCATCCTGGTATTGTTGATACTCGGAGACCAGGTCGTTCATGTTCGACTCAGCTTCGGTGAATTCCATCTCGTCCATACCCTCACCAGTATACCAATGCAAGAAAGCCTTTCGTCGGAACATAGCAGTGAACTGATCACCAACACGCTTGAATAGTTCTTGAATAGAGGTCGAGTTACCGACAAAGGTCGAGGACATTTTCAGGCCACGAGGTGGGATCGAGCAAAGAGCGGTCTGGACGTTGTTTGGAATCCATTCGACAAAATAACTGCTGTTCTTTGTCTGTACGTTGCGCATCTGATCTTCAACCTCTTTCATGCTAACGGCACCTCGGAAGATGGCAGAGCAGGTAAGGTATCGGCCGTTTCGGAAATCGGAGGCAGCCATCATGTTCTTAGGGTCGTACATTTGTTGTGTAAGCTCTGGAACTGTGACGGCGCGGAATGAGTGAGCACCTCGGCTGGTGAGTGGTGCGAAGCCAACCATGAAGAAGTGTAGACGTGGGAACGGCACCATGTTGACTGCCAGTTTTCGGAGATCGGAGTTCAGTTGACCTGGGAATCTCAAGCACGTTGTAACACCAGACATGACCGCGGAGACGAGATGGTTCAGATCGCCGTACGAGGGAGCGCTGAGCTTCAGGGTTCGCATGCAAATATCGTAAAGAGCCTGTATCGATCAGCAACTCGTACGCAGTCAAATTGATCGACATACCTCGTTGTCAATGCAGAAAGTCTCGTCGGAGTTCTCAACAAGCTGGTGCACTGACAGTGTAGCGTTATATGGCTCAACAACTGTATCAGAGACCTTTGGAGATGGCACGACGGAGAAGGTAGCCATCATTCTGTCTGGGAATTCTTCACGAATCTTGGAGATCAGGAGAGTGCCCATACCAGCACCAGTACCACCACCAAGAGAGTGTGTAATCTGGAAGCCCTGCAGGCAGTCACAGCCCTCGGCCTCACGCCGAACAACATCAAGGACTTGGTCAACAAGCTCGGCACCTTCTGTGTAGTGACCCTTGGCCCAGTTATTTCCTATTAGTTGTTATCTCCTGATCATTATCTCTTTCTTTCTGCTCTAGCTTACCAGCACCACTCTGGCCAAAGACAAAGTTATCAGGACGGAAAAGTTGACCGAAAGGACCAGCACGAACGGCATCCATCGTACCAGGTTCGAGATCGACAAGGACTGCGCGTGGGACATATTTGTTGTTAGAGGCCTATGAGCAGGTTAGCATCTACTCGTGGAGCATAGTGTATTGCGGTGAGAAGAACTTACCTCGTTGAAGTAGACGTTCATGCGCTCAAGTTGAAGGTCAGAGTTTCCATTGTAGCTGTGCTTGTCAGTACGCGTTCTGCTGATACTAGGTGATCACATACATTCCAGAGCCATCAAGACCGTGTTCCCCGGAAATTTGCTGCCTGCGACCTTGTTAGTCTTGACCTTGACAATCTTTTCCTGATAATTGGGCACTTACCAGAAAGCAGCACCAATCTGGTTACCCTACACGCTGTTAGCTCATCCCACTGATTTGTTTCATGTCTTCACCTACACATTGGCCAGTCTGGAGGTGAACCTATATACGAGTATTAGCTGACTTTCAACAAAACCGGTGGGGCATCAAAGACCAGGGGTTCAAAGACCATGTCTGGGTGCCCGAACTACTTACAATCTCACGCATGTTTGCGATATCTGTGCCTGAAGTTCGATCGGAAAAGAGTAAGATTCGAGGAGGACTGAAGGTAGGTCAAACTCCACGAGTGTCGTTGCAAGTCGAACGTATACAAGTGGAGGAATATCCAGAACGCAGTTGTGCTTCGAAAGGTAGACCGGTGGAGGGTCGTGGGCAGGTGCGGCCAATAGCATATTAGCTTGTCAGGACTTGGCACGTCGCGTGGTCACGATCGGGTAGCTCAAGTTGCCCCGGTTTGTACCGTGCAATGCAGCTGAAACGGCACTCCCACAATTCTATACGCAAAGCACTTCTTGTTTACAGGCGGTGAGAACGAGCGCCTCATTGGCTCGTTCCTGCAGGACCAAAACATCTTTCAGTTGTGTAAATTCCCGATTCGTTGTTTGCAAACGTTGCAGCCTGCACTCTGTGTCTACACAACCACAATGAGGCAGAGAATTCACAATTTGCACAAAAGCAATTTCAATGATTACAGGATTGGACGAATCCAGAATGGCATCACTATTGGACATGGTGTCAATCTTCCAAACCAACGCCGCAGATACTGCAAGATTTTCACTCGTACATTCATTGTGTTCGAGGATGAATGTCCATGAACTCCAAAGCCATATTCCATTCAATTCATACATACGCCTTTTCTCGCACTTGAATTCCAAGACGCTTATTCGATTAGATGTCATTTGAGGGATAGATCACTTTGTCGATAGGCAGCAAATCCTCCTTCACTGCTCTCATGCTCACAAATCTCGACAACAGAGCGAAGGAACCAGCCTTGTCATTTGTGCCAGAAGACCTTGCACCACCGAATGGTTGTTGTCCGACAACAGCACCTGTGCATTTACCATTGACGTAGAAGTTGCCAGCTGAGTGTCGTAGTGCTTCTTCGGCAGAGCGAATTGCTGTTCGATCCCTTGCAAATACTGCTCCAGTGAGACCATATTCCACGGTTGTATCAACCAGCTTGCAAACGTCCTCAAAAGCTGACTCTGTGGAGTCATCGTAGACGTAGAGATGCAATATTGGGCCGAAGAACTCCGTCTTCATGTTCTTGTGATGAGGATCTTTGGTCTCGTAGATTGTGGGATGCACGAACCAGCCTTGTGAGCTGTCATACTTGCCACCCGTCAACAAAGTCAGGTTGCTGTCATCCTTCGCTGCATCTATTACGCCAGAGAGCTTCTTGAAGCTTGGTTCGTGGATGACAGGGCCAATGAAGTTGCCAAACTCCTCAGGAGCCCCGATCTTTAATTTCTTTGTCTCTTCCACTAGCTTTGATTTGAATTTGTCCGCCAGTGATGCAGGAATGTAGAGTCTTGAGCAGGCACTGCACTTTTGACCTTGGTACTCGAATGCACCCCGCACAGTCTGATACACGGCATTATCCAGATCTGCGGAGTTGTGTACAAGATGGAAATTCTTTCCACCTGTTTCGCCCACTATTCTTGGATAACCTTTGTACCGGCCCTCAGCGATACCTTGGCCTATCTGGCCATAAAGCTTCCTGAACACCGCTGTTGAGCCCGTGTAGTGCAGGGCAGCAAATTCAGGGTGAGCAAGTACCACATTCGTGACTTCAACTGGATCACCGGGAACGAACTGAATGACACCTTCAGGCAAGCCAGCTTCCAGCAGTATCTGATGAACGAGGTAGTTTGAAGCAATAGCAGAGTCACTAGGCTTCCACAGTACCACATTACCCAGCAGTGCGGGTGCGCCTGGCAGATTTCCACCAATTGCTGTGAAGTTGAAGGGCGAGACTGCATACACGAAGCCTTCCAAGGGCCTGTATTCTAGTCTGTTCCACACACCAGCTGAGTTGTAAGGTGGTTGTTGTGCATATAGCTCTTCTGCATATCGTACATTGAACCTGAGAAAGTCTGCCAACTCTGCTGCAGCGTCAATCTCTGCCTGCCATGCATTCTTGCCTTGTCCGAGCATCGTAACCGCCATCATGTCATATCTGTATTTTGTGCTGAGCAGATCTGCCGCTTTGAGGAAGACTGCACACCTATCAGCGAAAGGTAGACTCGACCATGCTTCTTTTGCTGCAAGAGCACTCTCAATAGCGGTCTTCACATCCTCCGGCGAGGCTTTCGAGTACTTGGCGACGGGCGTTGAATGTGAGGCAGGATTGTTCTGTGTTGCTGTTGAGTCTGTTTTAGTGGAATTTCCAGATATCACGAGAGGAATCTCAAGAGGGACTCTCTGCTGTAGTGCCTTGACAGCATCTGCTAAAGCTTGTCGGTCTGTCGAACCTTTAGCATAGTGTTTATTAGGCTCGTTGGTAATGTCAGGCACCTTGAAAGCTGCAAGGGTCGACACATTAGGCCGTTGAATGTTGTGGTGCTTGGTCAATGTTCGTCCAGCGGAGCTCGCGCTTGGACATTTGGCAAAGCCGAGAAGACTTCTGCTGGTAGGAGGCATTCTGACCACGGTGTTTCCTGATGTTTGTCTCTGTGGCTAAGCAGCAGCAACACTGTAATAGGTAGTACCCTCCCCATACCAGATGGTCATTGTGAAGCACATATTATTGTACAGCTGGAGGATATCAGCGGTTCGACGCGGGACAACGAAACACGGACATGAACGCGGTTAAGGATAAACAATTTCGATGCACTGCATGGGAATTGGGCTGCACAGTGCAGAAAACGTTCCCGCTAGTTGACTCAAGCTAGACCCCTGATAAGCAGATCCATCGAGTTCAACGGAGAAGATCGAATGAAAATATTGTCTTCACCACGATGATAGCAGCAGCAGTGTTGAAAACACGGTTATTGGAGGGACGATATCGGACCTGGTTCATTGCTGTGGGTCTCTAGGTTCTGGCCTCCTTGCTACTAGAGTACACAATCGTGGACTTGCTTCGTGTACTTGCAGATATTCACTACAGCATATATGGATGCTTCAGTATGACAACCTCTTCGTATGTACCGCTAGTTCTGTCTAGATATGCTTTTCAATCTTTACCTCTTGGGCAACTTAGCATTTATACCAACGACACTGCGCACAAGATCCCAGTCTCCATCAAGGCCGACCCAATCACACACCAATATTCCCGTACACCAATCACCAGGTTTGAGGTTCCCGTCGTCCTCAAGCATGTGTTTGGTACAGAGATGAGCTACTGTAGCAGGATTGACTTTCGCAGCAATTTTCTCAGGCCAGGTATTAACTTTCCAGAAATTGCTAGCACTCAAGAAATTGATGTATAGAGGAATACGAGCATTTGGATCATCGAGATTGAAATCGCAGGTACCGCTTCTCTCCATGTGGTCACGCACGTACTGAACCTTGGTATCAATGCTGGCTTGTTCCGCTACTTCGTAGAAATCTTGTACGACCAGGTCTCCGGAGGGACACGTTGCGTTTGGCGTATTATCAGCCCAGACAGCTCCGTCAATACCCCAGCCCTTGTCGTCCCATTCGTGCTTCAGACCTTCTTCAAGGTTGAATCGTCGAACGAGGACAATCTTGCCTCGTGCTTCGCCTAGTCGTGGTAGCCATGGTCTTGTCCACCATTGATCCGGGTTCGTATAGTGATCCTTTAGCACCCGGCTTAGCTGTTCGTCAGTGCCCTTGCCTGATCCTTCACGCTTTATAGACATGATCAGAGTCTCCGAGGGATGCTCGTCAAGAAACCGGCGACACTCGTTGTACAGATCCCTGAAATATCTGTTACCTGTAAGTGAGATCGGAAATACAGAATGGACAAGCACAAGCTTGTCTGACCCTCCATCAAACGGCTCAGGCACTTGTACTCGAATGTCGAAAAACCGTACTCCGTTCTGCAGTTGTTCTAGAGGTGACACGGCTTGACATCGGACGGATGGCGGTGCGTTGTGACAGGTCGGGGAATTATGTGTGCCTGGGATGGAGAGCGCTCCTATTGGAACGTTATCGTTAAGCTTGTCCATCCAGCGATCGAGGTCGCTGCTTTCAAATAGTGCAACATAAGAGTCTTGAGGTAGATAAATCCCAGTAAAATGCATGTCTGGATTTTCAGAAAGCGTTTCCAGAGCATGGGACTCTTTCGTTGGCACTGGTGTGTACATTCGATATCGACCCCCAGACTCAGCCTCGAAGGTCAAACGCAAGCGCTCCTTATCGTTTCTGATCACTGGCTTGATATCGGTCTGTGTCACACTGAACGGAGGCAAGTCGATCGATAGCTCTCGATTCTCAAACGGTTGAGTATCGGGCGAGATCTGTGGCACATCTCGACGCGTGGTGGCATTGGTAAGGCCAATCGAGTTTGTGACATGGACGAACGATGTGGTTACATTTCTGAATTGAAACCCGCCTTCATGAACAGGATCAAAGTGCTCAACAAGTACAAGTTTCAGAGGTCTATCTGAGAGGTTGCGAATCTTCAAATCGGGAGGCATAGTGGTATTGAGTTTCTCGTCTTGGTCTCGACACTATCGTTGGTAGCGCTTCGGGCAGAATGGCAAAGAACGATGACAACCCATCTTAGGTTTTTAGGTTATCGATACACCAAGACTCTATGCAGGGATGAGAGCTCTAGAACACAAGATACTGGTCACGTCAACCATGTGGAAACTGGGAAGAGCTGGAGGGGTGAACTTGTGGAGTACGGTTCGACAAATTACACCACCGCACGAACGTCCAGCCCCGCCATTTTTGGTTGCTAGGGGACTTTTCGGACTGCAATAATGCTTCAACCACAAATTGTAATGAGCTACAACGAGGGTTTTTCCTTCAAGTTAAGCTGAGTATAACAAGGTTTACAAGTCGACGGGTACCCGTTGCCCACGTCGACAGTGCCACAATTGCGAACTGGAGTTGCTCCATCGGAATGAGCCTCAGCATCCATCTATCTATCTACTCATATGCACATCTCAAATCGGCTCAATAAGATACGACAAAGTCAAAGCGATCTCGGGGCCACGATGCTCTTGCTTCGAGTTGTAGCAGGTAGAGCCCTTGAAGAGAAACCTTCGTGTGTTAAAGTTCCGAGTCCCGTGAGACGCTTCCCGGAGCAGAAAGTGGAGCCCTTGCACTGGTGGTTGGGAGGTTTACCAACCTCGACACAACCACATCTCAGCCATGATTGGATCGGAACAGGTCTTACCTCTCCCAGCCTTGTCGCATGGACAGTAAAGATGCCAACATGCAGATTGCATCAAAAGCGCACTGCAGTGCCCATCGATCATTCCTCTCTTTGGTTGAATTCCAGCACGCCTCTCAGCATCAATTCTATCACCCTTCTCGATGTATTTCAATCTACCTTCTGGGCTTCACTCTGTCGTATATAGTGCATACACCCTGAGTACCCTTACTCAAGCATATGCTGCTGTTCTTAAGCCCAACGAGTATCTTGATCTGCTGTCAAACCCAGATTCGAATGATTCTTGGAACCTCAGTTCAGATGACCTGACAAGTTTAGCTTGGAATCTCAAGCAGAATGACACAAATGGCAACTCTTTGCTGGGGTCCTTGGATGCATCTCATTTTGACAAATATTTGCCAGATCGGCGACGGCAAGTGATTGCACCTTGGGGTGATAGGAGGACTACGAATGCTGATCCGAACGATGTGCCAGCCACAGGCATCGTCCGATCCTACAACTTTACCATAGCCAGATCAACGCTTGCTCCTGACGGTGTGCAACGTCCTGTTATGCTCATCAATGGCCAATTCCCTGGCCCTACGATCGAAGCAAATTGGGGCGATACAATTCAGGTCACTGTTAACAACAACCTTGACAATGAAGGTACGTCGCTTCACTGGCACGGCCTGCTACAGTCGAACACGAATGATCAGGACGGTGTGCCGGGCGTAACTCAATGTCCGATTGCACCGGGTCAGAGTTACACCTACAGCTTCAGAGCAAGTTCATATGGCACGACCTGGTATCATGCACATTATTCTGCTCAATATACTGCTGGCCTCTATGGCGCCATGGTAATCCATGGACCAACCGACAATGCGCCTTATGATATCGATTTGGGGCCAGTACTGCTTGCAGACTATTATTATCAGGATTATTATAGTACTGTCAAGGACGTGATGGGCACCGATCTAAGCAAAATCTCGCCATTATCCGACAACAACCTCATCAATGGCAAGGGCATCGCGAATTGTGCTTCATCTGGTGGAAGCTGTACGCCCAACGCCGGTCTCGCAGAGTTTCAGTTCCAAACTGGTAAGACTCATCGACTACGACTCATAAATGCAGGGGCAGAGGCCACACAAAAGTTCAGCATTGACAACCATGTATTAACTGTAATGGCTGTCGACTTCACTCCTATCGTTCCCTATCAGGCGACCGTACTCACCTTAGCAGTGGGTCAGCGAATGGATGTCCTTGTCACGGCGGCTGGAAGTCCCGCCGACTCCGTATATATGCGCAGCACTATCTCTTCCTGCAGCAGGTACAAGCAGCCAAATGCGCTGGCCCTAATGTATTACCCAGAAGCGGACAAAAACGTTTCTCCAAGCTCGCAACCACAGACAGATGATACAGATCCTTGTGCCGAGGCCGATATTGCTTCTATCGTGCCTTCTTACAGTATTTCGCCAACCAACCAGCCAGAGCGGGTGTATGAAATCGACATCACTGTGAACCGCAACGCTACAGGCAACATCCTCTGGGCAATAAATAACAGCACTTTCCGAGCTGACTACAACAACCCAACATTACAGCTGCTCCGAAGTGGAGCGTCACTAAACTCGTTACCCTCAGACTCGAATCTTGTCGACTTCGGAGCATCGAAATCAGTACAGCTCCTCATCAACAACTTTTCTCCCGTCGCACACCCGATGCACCTACACGGCTACGACATGTTTGTTCTTGCCGCGGGTGGTACTGGACCGGCCTCGACTGCCACAAAGGTGGTCTGGGATGGTTCTGTCACCAACCCGCAGAATCCTCTACGGAGGGATACATTCCTGCTACAACCGAACGGGTTCATGGTCGTTCAGATCAACTCACTAAATCCTGGTGTCTGGCCACTACACTGCCATATCGCTTGGCATGTTTCTGGAGGGCTCTATCTTAACTTGTTGACGCAATCACAAGATATTGCTGACACAGGTAGAGGCTCAGATCTGACTGAAGGGCTTTGCGGGAGCTGGAACGCGTTCACTGGCTCGTTGGCGCCTGATCAGATCGATTCGGGTCTGTGATGTGGTTTCTTCGAATAAAAGTTTTTGTTTTGGCATAGCGAAGGCGCTGGGTTTGGTTGACGATAATTGTACAGTTGTGATGAGATACGAAAAGAGCATGTGGCTGATGACATATGTGATCACGGTAGGAAATAAAAGTGACGAATTGTGAATGTCATGTACGAAAAGATACGATAATCATAGCTCAGATATATATTCTGTAATACATAATATCTCAGAGAACAGGAGTTGATACCACTTGACAAAAGTGCGCAAAAATATTCATCCGCAGAAGCATCCACGTTTGAGATCAATGCGTTCTCACGCCAAGCATGACGTATTGTTCTTACGCTTCTCGTTCGCTATATACATACGCACACACTTGAGAAGGCGAAAAAGAGAGATGACGGGCCAGCAAGCTGAATTGAATTGCGAAAAAGACAAAAAACATAGTCAATCATTGCAATCTCTCTTGCGGGGAATCGAACCCCGAGCTGCCGGGTACATTCGAATGCACAGTAAAGTTTTCTTGAAAGTGAAAACCGGCGATGTTGACCGTTACACCACAAGAGACTTATGTGTTGATTGTGACCACAATTTTCAAAAATAAAAATTATAAAGCCTTGCACGTGTATTGAGTCTCGAAATCTTGGTATCACGATCTTATGTTAGTGACAGGTACTAATGAGTTTTGATCGTTGCAATTGTATGGCAATCATCTATGTTGTAGTTTGCCAGCATGCCTTAGCTATTCAAGAGATGCTAATAGGTTAACATAACGCTCAAACGCAGAGTTTATGGAAACCAGATCCATTACCATTTCCCGCTAAGTGCAGAAACAAGACAACGTAGTGGCCCGGGCGCTATGCACTTCGATACCACACAGTATGCAAACGTCGTGGCGACACTTTTGTAAAAGCCTCATGATTACACTATTTTTGTGTGAATGTTCCCTTCTATGTACTCATCCCAATGACCGTCCCATTCGTATACGTAATCTGAAAAGTATCAAAGTTTGCACTCAGGCTTTGTGTGCCGCCCACGACTTGGACTGTCTGGTTGTTCAAGTTGCTTGACTGGAACGAAGCACGAATAGCTCGACTAGCATTGACAGCAACGCTGATCTCGTGGTGTTGTAACACGTATAACACAACTGTTGCAGCAAACTCCAGCTGTTGATCAGTGGCTGCGATCGTTCGAGTTGGCTGCGCTGACGTCGACGTGGCAGTACCAGCACTGGAGACTGGCGTCACCGAGGCTGTCACTGTAGGTGCCGTCGGAATTTGAGTTGATGTTGCGAAGACGATGCCATTCGCACTTTGCGTACCATCTTGACGAGCATGCAGGGTCGGACTGGGAAGTATTTGCAGTCGCTCGGCTGCAGGCTGCAGATCGTCCATAAACACATCCGCTCTATGTTCTTGCAATTCTGAAGGCGGCATGTCTAAAGTCGGAATATGTGAGTCGTGGCTCATTATACCAGGAAGAACGACAAACCGCCTTGTCCTCTGCTCGGCATTCTGGAATCCAAAATCGACCAATGAATTTTCACTTGTACAGGAAAGGTTGTACCTGGCGAACGTGGACAATATCGTCGTCGTGTTCAGAGACACACCGAAAGGTTGTTGCTGTTTTTGTAGCACGGGCAGGATCGAGCTACCGACGGTTGCATTCTCATATATCCTTGATCCATCAGCTAGTGAGGCAGTAACACATTCTGGATCCTGTTCAGTAGTACAATCACTACCTGTGAATCCATCTGTGCAAACACAGGAACAAGCGTTGTTTGATACAACGCTGACACCTCCATTTCGACATGATGAGGTTGATGGACAATCGTTCAGATTCACAGTCTTGTGTTGCCTGGGAATGACAACAATCAGGAAGATAGGTACAAGTACAGCAGCTGCAACCAGTAGAACAACAACGACAAGAACAAGAGCGAACATTGGTGGAGACAAGCCACAGCACAATCGCTTTGGCTCCCGTTGTGGTTCTGCGGTCCGGCCTAGCGATGACTTAGAGGCCAGGAACTTCTTCTCACCTAACGGCCACATCGTGTTCGGACGATTTCCTGCTGGAGTTCCTACACGATCTGCAGGAGGTGGAAATGCTGCCATAATATCTGAATACGTTGAATTACGTACTCGGGTGGTAGGGAGCTGGTCGGTACTGCCGAACATGTTCAGATGTCCAAGGCTGCTAGCTGTTCGTCCTCTGTCAAGATTTGAGGCTAACCTTGTGGCTCTCCTGATCAGATCAGACAAGCTTGTCATGGATCCACGTTTTTCTGCTTCTCGAACAGCATTTATGTCAAGTTTAGGTGGTCTCTTTTCGACTGGTATCCTTGAATTCATCCCAAGATTGTCAGCACCGACAATGGGATGTGCTGACATGTGGGAGGAGGGTGTCGGTAGGTCGTGGGTGAAATCAGACCTTTCGTATTCCTTCTCGTATTGGTCGGTATTGTGTTTAGTTATCGTAAATGTTTTCGACTCGCAAGGGATATGATCTTCATAGGATGGTGGGGGTGCAGACTGCTGCATCTGTGCTCCAGTCACATCAGTGTAGACGGAGGTTGGAGAGCTCGGCCCGTCCTGGAACGGCATTCGCAGATTCGACTTCTCGGTGCTTGCTTTGGCAACAGAAGGGCTGTGTAATGAATTATTTGGGCGTAAGCCTTGCTTGATCGCATTAGTCAGAGTGTCGACAGTCTTTGCAGGATGCTCAGATGGCAGTATCTCATGCTCACGAGTCGTGCTGCGAGACCCAGTTCTACTTTGTTTGCCTGAATGCGACCGAGACTTTCGGCCTGGGGTTGGGTGTGAAAGAATGCCACCACTATCTGGGATATACCTTCCAGTCGATGTATGCACTGGGCTGTGCATTGGCCCTGCTGCGTATTCTGGGTCAATCTCGGAGATGGGTCTCGAATCAATCGTCGGTTGTGAGGTTGACATGGCAGATATATGAGACAGATGACGATCTTGTTGACGAAGACCTGTTCGCGAGGACTGAAAGTTGTCATGGTATCGAAGCTCATGGTTGCGAGCATGCTCATTTGATATGCTTCCTGTCGGGAATGAGTCTGGATATTGTGGAGGATAGGCGTGCCGATGTTCGAGAGAGGCGTATTTAGATCTCTGCCGCTGTTGATCCGAACGAGGTGGTGCTTTTACGTTGAATGGAGGACGGATACGGTGTCCATCGTGAGGTCTGGGTATGTATGCATGCTGAGGCCTTGGTATTCTGGACAACTCCTGTGAGCTGTATGGTTGTTCGAGTCTCTGGCGCCTTTGTTGTCCAGGATTGTGATCCATCAAGGACGTGCACCAGAACCGTTCTTGTCTGTAGATTGTGTTGATCTGCAGATTACCAGATATAAGGAATTAGGGGTTCTCAGATCTTGTGACAAGTGTAGTGTCGGTCGACTATATGCGAGCAAGGCTCGAAACTATCCAGTAGGTGAGAATGCCAGGTCGAGAAAGGTATATACGTCCAGCGCAAGATCGAGGACACGAAAATCCGAGTGACAGGTTCTTTCACCGCTAGACTAGCACGTAGATAGTTCACGATCTGGTCTGAGATCGACGTAGAACGAGGTGAAGAGAGATCTTCGGAATTTGGTAAAGTGAAAGAATTCGTGGAATGACCAGCTGTAAACGAATGGATGCATATACGAGATATGCAATACTAAGTGTCAGTGTGTAGATTGTCGCCGACGACCAGAAAGGGTTATCTATACAGCATCAGAAATGAGAATGAGCAGTGAGTGAGCAGACGTAGTACAACATCGACGAGGTCTCGATCGATGGGTATTGGTTCACGAGAACAATCATGCTGGAACACGAGAGTGGGTGGACCCGAAACTCGCCTCTCACCAATGAATCCAGGAGCAGCGTAGCTGTTTCGATTAGGTGGGTCTCGGCTTGAGAAAGGACAAGGAACTGTGCCAAGGCTGAGCCTCTCGTATCCCCTGCGGCGTGTGACAGGAGCTTCTGAAACGCCCTTCATCACTCTTGATATTCCCAATCATTGTACGCTGTTCAACTGTAGACCTAGGCCGCGATATAGACTGACGAGGCACTTCGCATTCCCAACTCGTTGAGAATTGTACTACAACATGCGTTGGTTCCTCAATGCCGTGCACCGTACAGAGCTTTGCATGTCGTAGTATCACCTCTAGGCAGGCACTCCGAATCTCAATAATCTACGCTATTCTAGGCAATCGATACCCTTGTCAATGTGCCATGCAGGCGTTGATCTTTGGCCGATTAGGCTGTAACTTAGCTTGCCAGTGCCGAAGATTCACACGTTCCCCAAGAATTGTATAGATAGTGCTTCATAACTGGTACTCATAGTAGCTAGCACGAACCTATTCACCCCGTTTTCACCATCGTTCCGCCAATGAAGCACCATTAAAGGCTTGCCAAACTTCCACACTTATTGGGCTTCGCAAAGAAAATTGCACCTGGCCAGCCACTTGACCCTCCCCCAAGTAAGTTTATCGCCTTGGAACTGAGCCGCTTCGAGGGGAAGCCGTGAGCAAAGCCCTTTAAGCTATTCGAGGTCTAAACCATCGGGTTCCTTGCATTAGCTCATCGTTCTTGTCCGCAATGAAACGATCTAAATCTCCGACCGCTCTATCATTGGTTAAATAGTGTCGCGCGGTCAGAATATCGTCATCGTACGTCGGCACTTACAGCCTGAGGTGTCAGAGAGAAGCACTTCAAGCTTTCTTTACTCGTGCAAGAGAAGCAAGTCAATTCAACGAGTCCTTGCTGAATCTATACCGAGCCATAGCAGCACGATATGGTCTTTGCCTACAAGTGCCTTCCTCTAACCTCTTGAGGTCAGCTTTCTCTTGCTAGTGGAGCTTGCTGCTCCGTCGGAAGGGCCCTCTGTATTGCGTTTGCAGATTGAAAACTAGGCCAGGACGTTGCGAGTGTATCTCGTTTCTAGCAAGCAAACGGCGCCGTCGGGGTTCAGAACGGTACCATCTTGTGCAATGCAACGCATCCAGAATCAGCGTCCTGCTTGAGAAGCAGTCCGCTGCAAAACATCGGCGTAAGACGAGCAACCGGCAGGAAAAGTCACCAACCTGCAGCGGTGGTATCGCTGCTATAGTGCTCTCGAGGTACCTCGCATGGCCACCGCCCATCTAAAACAGCAGTCATGAAGTGTTCGTCGTTGCCTTTTTGGAATGGCCATTGCACTTTCCCAGTCCGTGAACGTGGTCGTATTTCGATCAATCCTCACAGATGTGATGGCCAATATGTACTTCGGCTATCTTGTGACAACAGAGAATGGACCAATCTTGGTACATCATTCTACGTGCCAATTTCTAAACCACCATGTCAATGTCCCCGGACGAGGCAATATGCAGGTCGCCGTGCCACTCCTTGCCGCGAACTCCGGGTCGTGAGTCAAATCCACAATCTTCAGGTCAAGAATGGTGCTGATTTGAATTGCAGCGCCAATCAGTCCCCCCGAGCGAACTTCGTCCTTGAGTTTCAGATCGAGTCGAATCACTGTTGGAGCAAGAAATCTACAGCGCGGATCACACGAATTACCTGGTCTATACCAGCCCGCCACTGAGAGAACGGAAATTTCAACTTCACCACTGGCTGTTGATGTTGCATCCTCAGACCATGCAACGCATGTACAGAAGGTCTTCCTAGCAGCAAGGGCCACGTTGCACAGGGATATGTTCGCAGCTTCCTCTCCGGCCAGTTCGATTGAATCTCGAATGAACCTGGGTCGAGAGAGCCCACTCCAAACACGCGATGGCATCAACTTGAGGGATCAAAACGACCACGATGATGTTAGCACCAGAAATTGGAGATACTCAACTGCGCCGTCAGACTTGGCTGCTGCCTCAACCGATGTTCGAGAGCCACTTCCATCGCCCACTCTTCCTGAGGTACTCCACATCGCACATATTGGTCAAGCGATTGAGCACAGTGTAGAGCCTGTCAGTAGTGGCTTTAATTCCCCCAACGTCCTCGGGTCGATGCATGGCGCTGAAAGAGCCACGACTATTGCATTGCCGTCGTCAGACACCAAGCCTGATAGTGACAGCGAAAATACCCAGATGGATACTACACCAGCAGCAGAGACTGACGAGGTCGTTCTGGGTCGTCAAATGACGCAGCTCAAAGTTTCTACTGAGGATCGTGAGCAGGTAGCAAGGGAAGCCCGTCCCACCAGCGGTCAATCCACGCGGAATTCATCTGACACATCCAGAAGGTCACGTTCGGAAAGCTCACCCGAAAGGGAGATCTATTTGTCGCCAACTGCTGAGGCAGCAGCTAACTCAGCCAAAGCGAAACGAAGGAGGCTCAAGGAAGGAAGAGATGGCACTGGCTACTTGGACACAAGTGAGCGTAATGACATAGACCAGTTTGCCAGCTCGCCGCCTGACACATTCACACGCCGATTCAGCTCGATGACGCCTTGTCCAGATCCTTTGGCTCATCAGCGAGATATTGCCGCGGTGCAACGGCCTCTGTCCGCAATGAGTACGAGTCTGTTGGTCTTGAGCGATGAGAGACATCCAGCATTGCCTGGTGTTGCAACCGTCGGCCTCCCACGTGCCACAGCCACAGGTAGCCCCATGCCGTTCATCAAATCCAGATTTCGACCATTAAGTGCTCGATGTCAGCCCCAGCACTCGCCATCGATTGTTCAGCCTCATGGCACGTACCAACACATCAATACACTCAACGAGCATTTCCGTCCTGGCTGGTACTATACCCGAGATATTTTGTCACCTCCCGAGCATCCGACCTATTCCTTCTCCACAGCAGCATCAAAGGTTGTTGGCTCGAGCCAAGCTCCTGATTCACGAATTCGCGATTCCTACAAGACGGACACCTTGACTGCGTTGGCAAAGCCACAGAGTCGCTACAGGAAGAATGGTCTCGGAGCAGAACTTGCTCCGAGAGGTGTTGGTCGATTTTACCCAAGGCCGACATCCTCAGCCAGGCCTCCAAGTGCAAGAACGAGGGCTAGCAGCAGGCAAACATATACTAGCGACGATGACGTGCAATTTCGAAGCAGTCCACCACGCAGTCTGAAGCCAGAGCAGCATGGTTTAACGCGGCGCAAGAGAGCTATGGACGACCTATTTGTTCTAGCAGAAGACCAGTCTACCACCAGTCGCATGGCAGGTCCTGACCTGAGGATGAATGAGAGCGATGAGATGATGGAGATTGACGAACAGACACGAGCAGCAGTACGAATTAGCATCTTTGGCACTAACACCCCAGAGGCTTTGCGGCAAGCTCGACAAGGTATCCAAGAGTTGAGTCCGAACGTGCAAGTGTTTAGGAAAGGGACCCAGGAACACTCGCACCTGCGCAAAAAGAGAAGGCCAAGCTACTGGGACAATGATCTGAAGGAGATCAGAGAATCGCCTGCAGGTCGTGGTGGAGTCAATTCTCCTGTCTCCGCGCAAGCGAGCATGCAAGCAGAGTTTGAAATTGCTTCACCTCCTAATACCGAAATGGATATTGACGAAAACGGCTTAATCGACGACGTCACAAGCATTACAATAGAGCTCGGAAACGAATGCAGTGGTGTTAAGGAAAGGTCAGCAAATTTCCCTGACAATATCGACCAGTATGTATGAATGACAGACTATACGCTTGTTTTGCGATATTGGAGCTGTCGTTCGGTCGTGGTATGATGGTGTGAGCAGCACTCCGTTACTTGGACATATCTATCAATTATCGACATTGAGCACACTATTGGGGAAATGTGGAAGAACATTGTATACATATTATAGCAGTTATGTATTACAGCTACATAGGTCAAAGGCGATGTGGACAGGACATCCATCTTCAAACAACATTAACAGCAAGTCCTTCAACGGGTACTGACCAGCAGTACTAAACTTCGCATTTCCTCATGCGTCTATCGTGAAACATCTTTCTACGTGTAAATGTGCCTCCAGCCAATATCCCTGTTCATTACCGAGATCCAGTCCCCCAACAATCTCGCGTATATCAGGGTCAGAAGTGGAGCCGTCAGAGAAGCCATACCATACTTCAGACTCGACTAAATTAACCAAAGACTACGCCGCCAGTGCAGGGGCAGTAGCCGCAACTTCTGAACACAAAACTTCATGCATACTTCCACCAGCGAATCTATTTCTCATGCACTCGAATATGTCAAACGAAGAAGTATCGTGCCTTGTACTCAGCGCTTCGTCACACAAGCTATCCGTGATAGCGTTGAGGTCTGGTGGGTAGATGGCAATATTCGATTGGTTGTCTGGTGTGCTTGCAATGCTTTGACTTGCGTAGAAGTCGAGATTTGCGTGGTCAGGGACGTTGTGGGTGAAGTTGGGGCGGTATGTCGGTACACTTTCAGACAAGGGCTCATTATCAGTGAATTGTGAGAATTGGTAAGGATCTTGTGACAGTGGTTGCGATGAGCTGGATTGTGTGCTATAGTCACTGTCGGACCATATCAATGGTGGTGAAGTAAAAGGGGTGACACTCACTTCTGGAATCTGATCGTGATATAAGGGGCTGCTCGTAGTGCCTGCCGTACCTGCGAGGTAAGTCTCACCGAATTCTTCCAGAAAAACAGTATAGGCTTCGTGCACTACGTCACGAGTCATTTCAGGCAATGGAATTCCAGTCTGTGATATGAGCAGAGAGTTGTATACGAACTGGGCGATCGGACCAAGTGTTACGAAGATATTGTATAGGTGGAGTACACACTCTTGATTGTTCATGTAGGGTGATTCAGGACAACGACGGCCAGGAAAGATGGCCTGAAAGATTTCGTGCCAGATCTTAGATCGATATGCTTCTTTGCCAGGTTGGTCGAGTCCTTTGGGTTCTCTCTTCTTCCTTTTGATTGCCAGGTAGACTTTTTCGGGCATTTTGTCGGCGTATGGATCAGCGCAAGGATCGCATTGTCTGGCGCGTACGTGGGCATCCCTGAAATCGCCGCTATCAAATATAGAGAAGCATATCGGACAGCAGAATGTTGGTCTCTTGTGAACACGATAGAGATGCTGCTTTACTGTCGAGATATCCCTCAGGAGCACTGTGCTACAGACTCGATAATCTTTCACCCGAGTATTACGATGCGAGTATTTGATCGGCTCCAATTTGTTGTATGGGCACGCATAAGTCCTTGTGCTCTCATAGCTGTCTAACTCATTGCCGTTGATGTTGATGTTGATGTTGTTTCCTGGATCTTCAGCTCCTCCATTGTCTTCGTCCTCGCATCCATCCGAGCAGCCATAATGATTTCCAGAATGACGGGGCCGCTTCTGACCGGTCGATCCACGACTCGTCGGCTTCGACCGACCTGTGCATCCTTGATCAGGTTGGGGCGCTGCGTCTTGCGTAGATGCACAGGATTTCAATGGAAGCATCGCAGATCTGCAGTGATTGTGTAAGATTAGCATGATAGTGACCAGGTTTCGTGCTAATTGGCGTTTGTTCCCGTCGAGGGAATCAGTTGAGTAGTCGTTGTCCTCGTCAGAACTGCGTCCAACATATGAACATTCGCCCTCGGAAGGACAGCTCAATGACGAGCTCACTTTTTCAGGACTTGTTCTTTGTGTACCCTGTGCCGGCGAATGCCTCATTTGTGGCTTCTTTGCTACTGGCACGTTATTCAGTATTTCCGTACCACTTTGCGGAGAAAGTGGTAAGGGTGATTTGCTCCAGTCCAGAACATCTGGTGTCATGCTTTCGATACGCAACGACATCAAGTCATGGCTTCTAATCATAGTTTGGGATTCCTCGGCCAGACGAGTCCGATTAGCAGGATACCTATCGATAATAGAAGTGTTGGAATTGGGTTTAGTATGTTGCACGACACGATACCTCTCCTGCAGCTCAATGCTAGAAGAAGTTGGAGATGAAGGAAATGTCGAGTACGATGAAGGTTGATGCAAAGATGCTTCCAAAGAACATGGCTGAGCTACGACCGAACGAGTCCATCCTTCTCGCAATTCTTGTGTGAGTGACTCGACCGGATACCCCCAGTCTCCCGCAATTGACAACGAACTGTGCATGTAGGGCGTGGCATTGTAGTTCGTTGTACAGAAGTATCCGAGAGGTTCGGCTACAGTGTCTTCTGTTACTATATAGGACATGGGGATAGGTCGAAGAGAAATCGCTCCCGGCCATGAGTCGTAGTGAGGATGTATCGCTTGAACACGATGACTTGTTGGCTGGTAACCAGCGCACACTCGTCGCGATTTGTCACAATTCCTGCACGTCGGTTTTCTTTCGTCACATTTAACACGCCGTTGTCGGCAGGTAAGGCATCCTGTTTTGGTCCTCCTTCGCGATGAGGTAGCAGTAGACGACTTCTTGAGCTTCTCTGGTTTGTAGGATTCCGGTTGCGCTTCACCTGGCAAAGAGCGCGCACCTGATTTCAGTGTTTCGGTGGTTATCTTGCTTGGGCCATTCAAACATGCTGATTGTGGCTCTTTGGGAATTGGCTGGGAATTCATGCTGCGGGCCACTCCATACTTTTCGTCGCCTTCATGGTCTCCTGAAACGTCTACCATGACAAGATCTGAGTCAAGGACCTGCCAGGGACTCGAGGGATGGTCCAGCAGTAACGTTGTTTCGATAGACATGTCGATAGGTATGTGTAACACAGACCCTAAAAGTTGTTTCAAAAGCTTCTACTCCATGCTTAGGTAACATCCAACTAGAGAAGATATCAGCCGTGACAGCGACGCAAAGAGTAGATAGATATAACTCCAACGATGAAGGAGGGAAAGGGTGAGTCGCGCCAGGTGAGAATGAGTGTGACACACTATTCACAGATGACAACACAGGCATATTTGAAATTCTGTAGAGAGTAGATAGAAACATTGACAAAATAAGTAATTCGAGTGTTGCTTCTTGGTGCCTGCTACTCAACACACAGATGTCGAATGAAATCCTTGATTCAGATTGAGGCTCACAGTTGATTGGTAGATGATTCAGGCTAGTTTGAATACAGCAATCCTTAGCAGAGGGCTTGGGGCTGACATTCCACGACCACAACGACTGGAAAGAACATGATCCAACCTGGCAGGTCGCGACTGCACCTGTGACAGGCAATTCCTTTGCAAATACTAAGTAAGCAGATCTAAGAAGCGTTTTTGCGTATTGAAAGCAAATGATCGTTGGTCCATGGCAAAGAGCATTGTTAGCTGGGATCTCAAGCCCAACGTGTACTGCACAAAGTAGGCGGCAGAAGCAGAGCTGAGCCAAAGGCGCATGCACTCGTGTTGGTGATTTGAGAAAGGTAAGAACACAGATCTAAGCCATTGGAAAGTCCACTCCAAGAGGGCCTACTTAGCAATAGGCGTCGGTGACATCATAGGGCTTCAGCCAAATTAGCCAGCTATTCGAGCTGGGCCATCACAACCCTTCGTTTTCCGATCAGCACCTTCCTGCTAAGTCAGCATGTTTCCTTCGAAGTGATACCATGCTAACCAAGCTGTCGGCCCCAGAGACTGTAATCCATTGCGATACTCAAGCATATCATTGCTTCGCCTCTCCCTTCTTGATGGCCTCGATGTCCTCACCACTAAGACCACTCTCTTCGGTAGAAGCGGTCAAGTCGTCTATAACTAGTGTAGGATCTTTGGATGTGTAATAAAGTCCTGCGGCGCTTCCTATGCATACCCCAACGAGAATGACCAGCGCCAGGAACACGAGGATTTTGCGATATTCCGATAATTGAATGAACAGACCTGCGAACCATTTCACCACAGGCGTTACTAAGTTCTGTCTTTCATATTCCAGCTCTGGGTTGATGGTCACCAGCAGTGCGAATAGCTCCACAAATATGAGAGCCAGAAAGATGACAGTAAGTACTTGAATGGCAGCAAGTAAAATAGATATGTTCTTGGTTGTTTGGAGGACTTCGAAGCCGGCAGCGACAAGAGGTGTGACCTGGTCAAAGGCTGCATGGATTTGTCGCGAGTATGGAATGCCCATTGCGATGCACAAAATATACTGTTTCGAGGTCAATGTTGGCGCGACGAACACTTTGTACTTTTATAGCATGCGCTGCGTTAAAACACTTTTGGATTCTGCGCAGCAGCAGACTGTTGATATAAGTATACTGCTTTCGCATGACGGAAGCAAGTCGCGGCAGCTGACTTTCCCCAGCAAGATTGCGATATTACGCAGAGCCCAAAGCGCCCATTGGTAGGTGTAGGGATAACCCCTGTTGTAGGACCAACCTATCCGAGCAGGCCTGAAATAGTAAGTAGAGCGGTGCTTGTCTGTTGTCACTTCTTTTGAGTGGCACTACAGGCTCAATGTCTGTATGATCCTTCCTGTAGGGTCGATGAATAGCATCCATGCCGTACGTTTGCTGCTCAGTCGTTGCAGGCTCGTCGAGCAACGGCTTGTATTCGTGGACAGCTCTCGTTTCGCTTCTTGTCCTCGTCGAAGCACATCTGATCATTGACTGTCATAGCAAAAGTGGTGAACTTCAATTCTAGGTGTACTCGTTTATGAGAGTTTGTGTAAACCCAGAGTACCACGTTGATCCTCACCTGTACCATGATTCGTTTTTGCTGGTGTGATCCGTTTTCGTTGTTGTGATCTCCATTTTGCGTTTTATTTCAACTGAACCAGAAGAAGAAGACCAGAAAGCAGAAGGCAATAAAAGAACCGAGTATTATACCGTCACGTCTTTTCTTAGACCCTATTCTGCTCATCAGGTCGTTGACGCCAGGTAGTTGTGCTGCAGCAAGCGTAATCCTTCTGTTCACACTAGCCAACGTATCCCTTTGTATGCCAAAGTTCTCATTGATCTGATACGCCTGAGATATTACACTGTCTATCACTGAATGAGATTGATCAAGGTGACCACGTTCCTCGAGCATGTATTCTGCTTCCTGCTCTTGAGCCGACCTTGATGAGGCGATATCGTTCCGTACATTGGATAGCAAGTGCTGCCGCGATCGAGCCTCAGCGATTTGAGACTTGACGCGGCGTAGCTCGTTCCGGTGATCTGTGAGGAGTTCGCGGTGACGGGTCAAGTTGTTCTGCTTCAAGGCAGATGTGCTTAAGGCAGACTCGGAGTCAAGCAAGCGGGAGAGTTGTGCTATCAGTCCTTCACGTTTGCTGAATAATTCAAGTAGCTCATCTTCGGTATTCTGCTCCTCCGGGCTAGGCTTTTCGGACAGGTTATTCGAGGATGCATATTGTGCCAGCGTGTGGAAGTGAGTTTCTGACTGCGATTCAGCAGTTCGGATTTGCTGCCGTATCTGAGCCCAGCCAGGCGTGGCCATCACGAGGGCTAGAGAGTATGTTCAGCTATGCTCTTCAAAAGTTCCTGCTGTATTGGCAGAGACGATGTGGTCTCAACTTGCCCTGCAAAGCATGTTACCAACATTCTATGGAGTCTCGGAACCGTTCAAAGGCAGGCGCGGTCGCAGGTGGATACGAGTGCAGAATTTAACTAACTGGATGCGGACAAGACACCATTTTCTAGAAGATCACGTGAAAATATTTTCGCACACAGCTGAACCTGGACTTGGCATTGGTCCTCTGGTTCTCTTTACAGATTCGACCAGTCTATCGGACAACTATCCATACACAGACGTCGCAAATATGGTACGAAACGATGCGCTTACGACCTCAAATCGTGCTAATCTATTATGTAGTCAAACCCTGCCCGGATCAAGACCAAGGAACTCTGGGGAAAGAACAAAGATGACTTGAGGAAACAACTCGACGACCTCAAGTCAGAACTCGGCACCCTCAGAGTACAAAAGATCGCTGGCGGTGGTTCTAGCAAACTCACAAGAATGTATGTCAGCTTTTTCATCATCATACTGCACCTAGCAGGCAAAGCGCAACTTTTCAAAGCAGAAAAACTAACCACCCATCCACAGACACGATCTCCGCAAATCAATCGCAAGAACCCTTACAGTCATCAACGCCAACCAAAGACACCAGCTCCGAATCTTCTACAAGGGCAAGAAATATCTTCCTCTCGACCTTCGACCAAAGCAGACCCGAGCCATTCGACGACGATTGTCTGAGAAGGACGCCAAGCGAGTCACGCCAAAGCAGAAGAAGCGACAGACACATTTTCCTCAGCGAAAGTTTGCCGTCAAGGCTGAGTAAAGATGCAGATTACTACTTGAAGGATAAATTATGCGTCAATGACGGTCAAAATTCGTTGAATACCTGCGACAGGGGACTAGACAATGAGGGTATAGCATGCATAGTCAAGGCTTGAAGCCGAAAGAGTTGAACAAAGTCGTTTGCCATGCATGGACAGGTGCACTGGCACGACTCACACTCAAATGGATCAGTTCACTCTTGATTCTTTGTTCTAGTCGAGGGAAGGAGCGCAGTCGATCTCGGCCGACTTTGCATGTGCTCCTTCCACCTGTCCACGCGTCTTCATTCTTCCTTTTCCCACTATTGAACGCTCTGTGACCTTGGGACACGTCCCAGGCACGGTCTTGATCACGTTTGCGTGCAGTGTGAACTCGCTAAAGTGGACATGCTTGCCAACGAGCTGTAGATTATCTGTCAAAGCTATAGTACTTATTTCCCTTAGATCGTCCTATCCTACATGTACCACAAACATCTATGTACCTAACCAACACCAAGTCCATGACCAACATCTTCTATAATAAAACTTCCATCACAAACACATTTGTTCATCAACATAGCCACAACTCGTGGCCATCCTTTATGTGCGCCATCCAGCATACTGTCGCTAACACTCCCGCATCGAACACAGCGTCGTACCTGTGCCTTTTTCAGAGTTTCGAGACTTGCGATCCGAGGCAGTGAGAGGCTGCCGATGGGCGTCGGATTGATGGTAGTGGATTCATGACCGAACAGGGGCAATTTCTTGTGAACGTCGTAGAGAACACGGGAGGGCAGATCTTTTCTTTTTCTCTTCCTGTCGCTAGCGAGTGTGGATGTGGTGATGCTATTCTCATTCGTTTCCAAAGACATAAAATCACCCGCTTGCGCGCGACTTCCACCACCAATCAGCCCGTCGGGCGAGAAGGCGAGATTGTGCTGCTTGAAGGCCATATCATCCATGTTCAAGAACAAAAGACTTGGACCTGGAGCTTCATCGCTAAGTCTTAGACGATCAATCTCTCCTTTTGCGCGTAAGCCTTGTTCGCCATTGATACACTCGTTGACGATCTTCTGCATCACCCCCTGATAAGGTTCAGATAATTCTCCAGTAACAATCATCTCGATCTGTCGTTCTAAGATAGCACGATTTTCTGCATAGTCGCTTTGCCAATAATCTGGATGGAAGCGTTGATCTAGAATGGCTTCGAGCGCTTTCGTAGTCAGACCATACCGCGAGCAGCATGACTGAATCGTCTTTGCCACGCGACCCAGTGTCGTCCCTGCTAAATGTCCTGGTATAGTGCCTACCGCGTTCTTGCCACTCGAAAAATCAACGTTCAGATGTGCTTTTACTGCACACGCGTTCAGCAGGCGTGAGCCGATGAGAAGGATCGAACGACTCCAATTGCAGGTAAGCAAGAGTGCGACGAATCCTTGTGTCCCGGTGCCGAGATCATCACCTAGAAGAGCAGCGAACGTCGGAGGAAAGAAGAAAGCAGGATTGGTGACACGGTCTGAGACATTAAGCAACGTGCCGAAGATGCATGAGTAGAGGCTGAAAATCCAGTCGATGTTGTGATGGACAAGCTCAAGAAAAGAGGGGGGTAAAGGAGGTGGTATAGCCTGCGCGGCTGGCTGTGTTTTGGCAAGTGGATTTGGCTGAGGTTGTGGTTGCGGCTGCATCGACTTGTAGGTCTCTCCAAGAACCATGATACACCAACGTAGGTTTAACAACGTCCACGCCCAAAGATAAGCGATCTTCTCGTGCTTAGTGTTGGCTTCATTGAGCTTGAAGAGACCGAGGTGGAAAGACAAAGCTTTAAACACGATCACCAAATGCGGTATCCTTTCCAACTCACTGACTGTGCCGGGTCCTGGTACTAAGGTTTTGGGCTGGAAGAGGGTGGTGAACACTTGGCGGCGGAAGTGGATGAGACTGCTTGATGGAATGGCAGCTTGAGCAGAGGACAAGATATCATCGTAGGTTGCTGAGTTCCAGCAGCTTCGAGAAAAAGCCAACACGTAGGATGCGATGAGAGCATCGTCTTGTGGATCGTTAGGATCGAGTTGACGTCTATGCGGGCTGTAAGCGCCTGTAGATCTCACCTTGGCGTTGTCAAAGAGGATTTTGTCTTCGATATTGATATACGCCACAACTAGGGCGTGAGGTGACAAGCATTGCACGGGAGACATGGTCAGGTGAGGGTACTCCAGACAGACTTGCCCTACGTTGGACACGGTAAGGTGTTTTGGGTCTGCTAAAATGGGCGTGAATGAATCTGCGTGGTAGAACGATGTTGCGCCGTCCATAGTTGTGATAGCTAGCACATTTCCAGGTTCGATCGCTTGAAGGTTGTTTACCGTCTTGTGAAGAATTATGTCCGCCATTGGTTCTGGAACTGTCTGGGGCTCAGCTATCGCGCCTCCATCCGCGAATCTGGGATGACGCTCGAACTGTACCTTTCGGAATTGCCATCTCTTTATCAGAGTTGTTCCAAAGAAATGGTTCCCTGCTGCATCCTTCTGGTTATCGTATGAAGAGTATACGGCAATCAGCGTCGGAGGCTGCTTTGGTCCGAGATGTGGTTTGTTGAGCAGATGATCCCATGAGTACTCAGACTCCATCAAGAAGTGTAAATGAGTAAGGAGACGTTGTTCCGGAAAGCCAGTAAGGGATTCGGATTGAAGGTTCACGTAAGGTGGTGTAGCAGAAACATTCTGGTGGATAACCTCAGCGGTCAGGGTAGGCATAGATTCGTTCTGGGTGAAGACAGGGTCAACAGAGTAAATGCCGATGTGGCCTCTGTCGTCGTGTAAAGCCACGAGCAGCCTGCCCTCATGTGTCTGGCAGATACCTGCATGTGTGAAGATACTGGATGATGGCGGTATGGGTAATGGTAAGGAGGCTGTTTTGTAAGGGCTAGCGTCACGAGTAAAGAGCATAAAGAATCTACCCGACCTGGTGACTCCACATAGACCTCGCAGTATATGTGGAGGAAAGGGAGCACCTTCGACATGTTCATGCCTCCATCTACCATTCTCCTTCACGTTCTCGAGAACAGTCTTTTTCTTGTCTCTCTCGCCCCTGGTAAGGTTCAACCACAACAAACCAATCGGCTGATTCGATTCAGTGTCAGTGTCAGTGTCAGCGAGGCTATGAAGCCCGTGGACGTGGCGATTCAATGCAGATGGAGACACGTTGACTATGTGAATCCCTAGTCTGCGCTCGGCCACCGCCAAATCCAGTCCTGTACTGCTCCAGGCAAGCCCAACAACATCGTCGAAGGTTGCCTCCAACCGTTTCGGGGTCAGGTTTGTCCACGCAGCAGTTTCATTATCGAAACGTTGTGCTGTGACCTCAACAGCAGTTCCACTGTCGACGACCCTCGCCACGATACCCGACTTCCCCCAAGCAATTCTGTTCAATGGACCACTCACAGCCAAATTTGCTTGGTACTCAGTCTGTATAGGGCCATGTCCAAAGTTGGCATCCTCACCATCTGAGATGCCATTCTCAGACAATATACCCCCGGCGAGTGCTGCATCGTTGAGATTATCTTCGTTAAATAGGGTCTCGACGTCAATGTCTCCTGCATGCTCTATTGCCTGATCCATACTTTACGAAATGAGAGCCGTGTTAGAACCTGAAGAATATGGACGATGTTGTATGATACGCAGAATTTCTGTGCTGGGCGGTGGTGTCCATGTCAACCGAGTCACCAAGCCGGGCTGCTCGTTTGCTTTGCAGTGTCTTTAGTGTTTAATATACTTGCACGTTATTATGTGGCTGAGGACCTGTCGATACCTGGTTGCTGCTCACAATCACGTGTTAGGCCCAAATTCTTAGCCAATGTGTGTCGCTGAGGAGCCGCTGGTGGAAGCTCAAGAATGTCGCAAGCTTGGCTTTTAATGCGACGGAGAGGACAGGGACTGTCGCTCGTAGTCCAGTGTTTTCTGTTTGCACAAACACAGTCTGAAGCGTGGTTCGGAAAGAGTACCTGCTGACGAGACAGTTGCCAGGCATTCCAGGCACAAGCGATGCGCAGCGAAGCTGCCCGAAAGCGGATGTTTTAGGGCGTTTGTTGTGCATGATGCAGCCAACTGCGATCCATACGGCGCATCGATGGGGATCTTGGTGTAGACCCACTCGCCCAGATCAGAACCAGCTGTGTTGTCACTCGAGCCGCAGATCCTCGCCGCGATTGAGCCTTGCAGGACCTTCTTTGTCCATCTTCTTTCTGGTGTAGAGTAACTTGTCTTTGTACCATTCTCATCGCATCGTTCAATTTCAACAGCAGACAAGACACAATACTCGGCAGACCTGCATTGTCTTCGCTTTCTAGCGCCGAGGTCATAGTCAAGCGTCATTCACTGCACTGCAGCTATTATTGCGCTCGAGGTCGTACCTTCCACAAGTCGTTGTTGTTGCTCCTTGCCATGCATCGCACCTTCCACGAACAGTGACAACTGCGAAGATGCCATCCGGCAATGAGTCGGGCCTTTCCTCGCCTTTGTCCAGTGTCCTTTCCTCTTCACTACTCGATGTCCCTAGTTCACCGCTCAGCGCACTCTCCCGATCTCCTTCACCTCCTCCAAGCTTCCTGAACTCATTGTTTACACCGCCGCCGTCGCAAGATGCTGGTGAAGACATGCCTCGCCCAAGAAAGCGAAGGAAAATAGAGCGACTCGACAGAACGACAAGGTACCTCGATTTAACCTCAGAAACTGCGCAGTCCGACTACGATCGCCGAGATTCAATAGACGTATTGTTGCACGCTCTACGTAAAAGACGGAAAATCGTCGTGATCGCAGGCGCCGGAATCTCCGTTACAGCAGGTATTCCTGATTTTCGATCTGCCAATGGACTCTTCGCCGGACTTCAAAAGGAACACAAGCTGAAGGGAGGTTCTGGCAAGCAGTTATTTGACGCTTCCGTCTACAAAGATGCTTCTTCTACCTCACAGTTTCACGACATGGTCCGAAAATTGGACCACATGTGCAAGTGCGCCAGGCCTACCACCTTTCATCACATGGTCGCGAGGCTCGCGACTGAAGGTCGACTTCTTCGCCTCTACACTCAAAACGTCGATGGTTTAGAGACTCAGTTACTGCCTCTGGAAACTACTGTACCACTGCCTCACAAAGGTCCATGGCCGCAAACCGTCCAATTACATGGTGGACTCGATAAAATGATGTGCCAGAAATGCAGAGCCATACTGGACTTCGAATCAAATCTTTTCGAGGGATCCGAAACTCCCACTTGTCCGGAGTGTCGTGCAACTGACGAAATCCGCACCAATGATCTTGGTCGCAGGAGTCATGGAATTGGCAGGTTACGTCCAAGAATTGTACTCTACAACGAGCAGAATCCGGATGAGGAAGCCATTGGAGCTGTCAGTGCTGCAGACATGCGTACCAGACCAGACGCCGTGGTAGTCGTGGGCACTAGCATGAAGATTCCTGGGGTGCGACGCATCGTTTCAGAGATGTGTAAGATCGTCAGAGATCGACGAGAGGGCACTACCATTTGGATCAACCCGGATCCCGAGCCGACTGGGCTTCAGTTCGATAGTTGCTGGGACTTGATTGTGAAAGGCACCAGTGACGATGTCGCAGATCTGGTGAAACTCAGACAGTGGGACGATCCCAACATGGAAGACCCTGACGCACCGACAGAATACACCGACAGTGACGTCGAGAGAGTTAATGCACGCCAGGGTGAGATACGCATTAACTTGCCGCCTTCACCGTTTAGGAAGACATCCAGACCAGATCTTATACCTGTCATGACCCCACCTAGAAGTCAGCATGGGGACTCCCTGCCAGACCATAAAGTACAACTTAGCACGCAATCGCAGCCTAAGTCGTCAACCCCTAGTCCATTGAGAATAAAACTCAAAGTAGGAGAGAAGTCTGCCAAGGCTGAAGAAGATATCAAGAAACAGCAGGAAGTCCAGATCAATGTACCAGTCCTGCAGAAAGGACCATTATCGACGGTCGAAGTGTCGCGTCCGCAAAAGACCAAGAATCCAGCAAGTGGCGGCAAGAAGCTCACCGATGTATTGGGTAAAGAGAATGTTGCGAAGAATAGGAAGTCAAAGACGTCTCTCAAGAAAGACAAGACAGGCAAGACAGGCAACAAGAGTGGAAAACTACAGCAGACCAGGATGGCTGCAAAGATCACAAAGTCGGCTGCCTCTCTAGGATCCGTTCAGGTCGTAGTGCCAGCGAAAAGACCGTCGGCTTCACTTTTTAAGGACGACCTTCGGGACGACGAGCTGACTAGCGATTATAGGCGTTGGGCACAGCAGTCGGCACTATCATCTGGATCTATACTTATGAGCACGAAAGGCTCGCAGCCAAAGCAGCATCTTCCGACTCCCACAATGACCAGCTCACGCACCACACCACATCTTAGCCCTGAACCACAGACACCTGCTGCGGACTCTTCCGATCTCGACGTCGAAACCTGCGAAGAAGGCGCTCCTATGTACGACAGGCATGCAACAGAAAGTCCCAAAGGTGGCTTACCTCGGGGGATGGAAAATCTCTTGCACATTTGAAGTGTGGCTGACTATCACACTTCTTCTGACTTGATGCATTGTTGTTTTGGTGTAAGGCACACCAAAGCATTACTTTAGTTCGTTCGAATATTCGCAGCCCGGCTCGAAGGGCTCAAGCCAAAGCTGGATACGAGCTCTCGACGAGATGTGAACCTTCACTACAATGGGGAAATGGTCTGTGGGTATCCTCGGGCAACGTATATGATGCATGACATTTTAGCTATATTCAGAGGTCGCATTTTTGGGAAGGGTGGCTATCTATTGCCGACATCAGTAGCACATAGTTGTTCAGATGTTTGAATCAGAATCTTTTCTCAACGAATTTCATGTTATTATATCCTAGACGGACGAGATACCAATATAGAAAGATCGTGAAGTCGTGCAATTTGCTGCTAAACTTTCACAGAACAGATAAACGAACCGAAGAATTTAGTATTTTTTATTGCGGGAACAACATCTTGTGGTGGAGTTGTGGAGGCGATTATACAATCCACGTAAGCTCGAGAGATAAGAATCATAACAAAACGAAATAATATTGACATATTTTTGAGTACGAGCATATTCAAGTATTCTGCCTCCTTTGACTCTCTTCTTTCCCGCGCATTGAGTCTCCCAGCTGGTGTTCCCCTCGATATCTGTTCAATAAAAAAAATCCGCCACGTTTTCACTTGTCCTACTCTTTCTCAGCTCACAACCAAACAATCCCTGATTTGAGACAACGAGTCTCGGCGCTGGCGTTGGTTTTGACGTGAATACGTCCGAGATTGCACTATCATCAGAGTCGTACCCTGCTTCAGTATCGCCTTCCCCAGGGTAATGGGCAGTAAAATTGTCCCAATCCCTGACTTGGTAGAGGAAGAACTGTGCGGTATGAGAATATAAAGTGTCGTCTGTGCTTGTCGACACATCACTGGATCGAGGTGATAGTGTTGAAGGAGGTGATCCTCCGGGGATCTTTGGAGATGACTTGAAGACTTCTTCTTCGGGGGAGTCGAGGGGGATGTCTTGATAGGTGGAATCGCTGAATACTGGGTCTGCAGAGCCAGGGTGTGGCGAGTCGCCACCGAGAAGGGGTTCAAGTTGACGAATCTCACGTCTTCGAGGAGGTGCGCCGCACATACCTGGATGGCAGGAACTCTCTGGATCTCTTCGAATCGCTCTTGGTGGTCGAGAGAAGGGATCATCAAGTGGCATGGCAGTCATCCAGTCGGGTGATGGTGGCGTCATGCATGATGCGTGTAGATCATCGTTTGATGGAATTTGATCGGCAGCCTTGAGAATAGGAGGTGTGATGAATATATCTGACCCGGTAGAAGGTACGACTGACGACCACTCTCGAGGGATACGAGAGGATCTCCCGAATATGGCCTCCTCAGAAGCGTCAAGGGTCCAGCTCAGAATAACGTGAAGGTGAAGGATCGGGCAGTAACGATGGTTGCTCAACTTCTCTGTGTTGCCCCACAGTATCTCTTGGTGAAGCGTTTGTGATGAAGGACTCTTGAGGAATTCTAGGTGAGCTCCTGAACACTAAGTGTTCAGGGAAATCGAGAGCATGCTCCGAGTATTCCGAAAGCGCGGTGTGAGGTGTAGTCGCTTCGTTCGAAGGCGTAGCCTGTGCATATTGATCGCCTGGTACGACTTCCTCCGCAACAGCTGGTAAGACCAGGAAGGCCCCAGGGATCCTGTTTGCGATTCTCAAGACGTGTTCATCACATATTTCTGATTGGCTTTCAGTGACCTGAATGACCTGTTCTTCGTGGTCGCTATCCGTGGAGATCGATGGTAGTGCCGCTGGTCTGAGAAGAATAGCTGTATCAATCACTTCAGTTGATTGATATCGAGCTTCATAATCCTCGCACTGCTTCTTTAGGTCGATGGAGAATTTGGCAATGGCGGCAATGTTGGCCAAGCCTGCGAGAGCTGCAAAAGCATAGCAAGCTTGAGACAGCATGATTGCGCGTGGGGTGAGACGGCTTAAGTCGATGATTTGGTGGACCTGGTTCCTTGTGGATTTGGTCTTGGTAAGGGGTTTGCTAGAAACGTAGTGTCCGATGTGTGACGTGTGACGAAGTTGTGATCGAAAAATGTTTATCAACAAGAATTCGTTCTGACGATATGTCTCATGCGGGCCAGCGCTTCATTCCAGTGACGTTCTGGGAGCCTAATTGTGAAAGAGTGACTGCAGGTCGCGAAGTGATGCTAGAAAACGCAATTTTATATGGAGCACCTTAGTCATTGCAGCCTCATCGTTTCGCAGGCATTGCTTCAGAGCGTGTGGACAGCCCAACAATGGTGTATCAAGGAATACGATTGAGTTCCTGACTCGAAGCCGATAGATTTTGATGGCGATATATTGAAGGACAGAAGGACGACTGGTCGTGTCATAGTGCTGATATGATTAGAGCATAAGTGTCTGATGAGCATAAATATGCTTGCGTTTTGCTGCCAATCTCGATCAACCTAAGTGATTGCCGTTGTTTGATTTCGAAATCATCAAAGGTCACCTCTGCTCGCTTTCCCAAGCTCGGTATCATTCCTGCCTCTGCACGAAGCAGATGTGACCAGCATGTTTCTCGCTCCTGGTCAGCAATAACATTACACAACCATACAGCACTCAAAGAAAGCAGGCTTCGAAGTGAGAGCAAGTGTAGTCTGTAGCTCAATTAGTCTTTCACCAGATCACTTCGAACATCTGCATCAGGACAATGTTTGAAAAGGTATTGGTAGAGAGGTTACTCCAACCTGACGCACTAAGGGACAAGTCATACAGATGGAGATCTGCACAAAGCAACACAAATGATGATTTAGGATATAGAGTGTCTAGATAGTGGAGGCTCACAGGATTTCGGCTTCTATCTGAGTAGAGGAGCCGAATTCTGACGTGACGGCGGTAGCGACATTCCGCCGCTAGAGCTCGAAGAAGGTGTTTCAGGTTCCTCAACACCAGCCATACGTTTGATCTCTGTGATCCACGGATGTTGCAGCAATTCTGCCGCTGTGCTTCTGCGTTGTGGGTCGCGTTCGAAACACTTCCTCAAGAAATCTATACCCATAGCGCTGAGCTGGTCAGCAGTTGGCATTTGTGGTGGATTTCCGTTTGCGATATTGTACATAATGGCCCACTCGTTATCGAGCGTCGACCATGGTCGACGTCCTGTTGCCATCTCGAGTAATACACATCCAAGTGACCAAATATCTGCAGCGCCAGTAAAGCGTTGAGCAGATTCTCCTCGAATGACTTCTGGCGACATGTACATGGGAGTGCCAGTTATTGTGCCTTGTTGTGCACGAGCAGCACCTTCCTTTTGATTACCTCTTGGTTCCGGCTGCACAATGGTTTGGCCTTGCCTGGCGATAATCTTGGCTGCTCCGAAATCAACATATTTGATAAGACCATTATGATCAAGCAGGATATTTTCTGGCTTGATGTCACGATGCACAATATTTGCGTTGTGCAGATAGGCAAGACCTTCCAGCATTTGTAGAGCATAGACCATGGTGACCATCTCGTCTTCGATGCGACCATGTTCGAGCAGACTTGCCATGGACCCGCCCTGGCAATACTCCATGAAGATGTATACCTTGTCCCTGTGTACCTCAATACCATAATACTGAACAATATTTGGGTGGTCGAGCACTGCCAGGACACCCATCTCGTCTCCAATCTGTTTGACGATGGTAGGTATTAGCTGGGGGTCTTGTAGTCGGATCTCCTTCACAGCCATCAATGTGCCGGTGTCGAGGTTGATGGCTTCGTACACGGAGCCAAAAGTGCCACCTCCAACATATTGACCTTGCTGCCAGCGCATCGTGATGTTTGTTGCCGATGAAGATAAGAAGGTCAGGGACCGATCAGCTTCGTTGCTTCCCTCCAAGACGCGACCAAGATTTGCACGAACACTATTTTCGTCCTCACTTCTGCGGCTGTCGCACGTTTCTAAGGCGGATAATCTTTGCTCTGTAACTTGTATGCGGCACTCTTCGTCGTTTCTCATCTTGCTGACATCTATTCTTCTACCTGCTCCGCCACCTATGGCTTCGATGCGGGATCGTTCTTGTTGTGCTGCGAGGGTGGATCGAGCACCCATGATATCGAAATGCGAGATGAGAACAGACATGCAACCACCTACTTTGTTCCGCAGTTGAGTGTATTCTTCTTCTGTGACATCTAAGACATTTCTTCCTCTCGTCATGGCCATAGCAAATTCAAGCGCAGCGACAGCCCATTTGAATGTTCTCCTGTCTGCAGCATCGCAGTCGTCACAAATAAAGCTTACCCAGTCGAGACTCAACCTCGTCAATTTGGCATTGTTCATAAGCCGTCGATTGTGGTCCATATAGGCTAACGATCTTTTCCCGAATTCGGTAGCGAAAGCGAAGCACGATTGGATGAGCTCTGGACTGGCCTTCCTACCGCTTTGAGAACGAACGACTTGGACACTCTCCATGATAGTGTTGGAGAGCTTAAAGGTTGTCTTTTTAATCTTCCCTAGCTCGGTATTAACGCGCGTCAGGTTGGCACGTTGCTCGATGACGATATCCAGATCTTGGCCGATAGCTGCAGCGAACTGCATTCTGGCGGCTTGCAGTCGGCCCGTGCTGCCATCCGCCACAAGTCGCAGTCGTCCTGCTGGAACGTGTGTGGGTAGATCACGAAGCTCGATTTCCATGGTTGGACCTTCCCAGATAATAGCGTCTTCTGGATGAATGATCAGAATGTAAGGATCCGAGGGGTCTTCTGGCTCATCTTCTGCGTGAAAAGATGTTCCGAGGATAGACTTGACCTCAGCTGGACGGTTCCAAAGAGAGGGCGAGGCAACATAATACATCTCTCTCGGTGTGGCTGCCTCAGAGGAGACCAAGAAATGACCAGTAATGGCAAGGTTTTGAGAGAAGTCCATTAGCTGTTCAGAATTCATGCCAAGGTTGTACTCGGTCGAGTTCTCGAACCTCTGTCTGAGCAGTCTCGAGAATCTGAACATTTTTCGTTGGCGGACTCGGACGGAGTCAAGGATAGTCTTGTAGCGCTTTTCCATTTCTAGTGACGACTCATCAGGCTTTGGTCGTAGCTCTCGTTCAAAGGAACTGGTCAATCGTGCCAGAGATTTAGCAGTCAGGGAACTGAACTGTTCAGCAACCTCGACATCGCCGCCCTCCAGCTGCCTGCCTATTTCGTTGGACAAGCCCCATTCTTGCTCTAAGATCTCGGCTTCTCGGAAAGTGTTTCGGTTTGAGGTTAGCTTCCAGTTGAGCATTTTGAAATAGAATCTGAGGGCCTCGACGATGGTAGCATCGAAGTTTTCATCGATGCAAGGCGGTAGATCCCATCCTGGTTCTGGGTGGGATATAGTAACATACTCCTGCTTGATGATGCAAGCAAGTTTCATCAAGATCTGGAATTGAGAGATCATCTGGTCAATAATAAGGGGTGACTGCTGGGCCGGCTCTCTCATATTCCTGGCGTAAGAAAGTCTTACTCTGATAATTTCTTGAATCAGCCTGGATGGAAAATTGATGAGAGTAAGAAGTTCCTCGATATATGGTGGCAGATGGCGATCGTGGAACGCGGCAGCATTCTCGATGAGAGTGCTTTTAGCTTTCATAATGACTTTGCCGATACCATTGAACATGCTTTGCTCGCCTTGTAGAGACTTGAGACCATCTTCTTTGAGAATTCTATCGATGAAGGAAGAATTGTCGGTGAGCTCACTGCATCCGGCCTTGGAACGTTGTTTAGTGAAGTCGAGCTCCTGGTTGCCGACCCATGATTGCAAAATGCCGAGTTCGGTGTTGATGGTTTGGGTGACATTGTGCCAGGAGATGACAGCGCTACAGCTAGCCTTGAAAGCATCTGAGGCAGCTCGTGATTGTTTCTGCTCGAATTGAGGCCAGCTTGGGTAGAGCCAGCAACAGGTTTCGATTTTGGAGACGATCTCCTCGACTTGCTCAAAAGGTGACTTGCCGACAACAGTTTCACCTTTGATCTCGAAATCGATAATGCTTTCGACCACGGGACCCAAACGGGAACGTGCTTCCTCGATCATTTTCTTCTGCATATGTAGTGGACGGCCATAGTATTTCGCTCGAGCACCAACCCAGATCTCTTCACGGATCTCTGCAAGACTTTTCTGCTCAGTAGTGCCGATGAGCCTTTGCTTCTCTTGTCTTACGACATCACCCTGAAGCACAGAAGCGAGCATCGAATGCCACTCTAGACGCTCTCGACAAGCAGGGTCGCGTAGGTCTTCCTCAGTCGGGCTCTCGTCGTTCTCATTAAACATTTTGGTCTCATCGTAGGGATCGTCGACAGGAAACTCGGTACGCGGAGATTCGTCGTCGGTGCCATCTTCGGTCGCAGTATCCCATTCTGCAGGCATTCTCAGCTCACCACCGCCATCAGGCCAGTCAGCAGGCAGACGCTTGACGGTGTTTATATATGCCTTCTCTTGAGCGCGGTACTGAGCATTCGGGTCTCTCTGCCTCGATCGCGCATTCATTGTCGAGCCCGGGCGTTTGGTGGTACTGTTCAATTGGCTAGGTCTTCGAGGTGGATTGTATGTGCTGGATATGGCTCGTAGGGGTGTGGGTCGAGAGGAGCGGAAATCATTTGGATGTGGTTGTTCAGGCATGATTGCAGGTCTTTCCATGGTGGTTGAGCCGCTGCCGCTGCCAACACGAGGTCGGCCTTGACTGTACGAGTTCCAGGAGCTCAAGGCAGAGCCACCACTGGGGATTGAGTAGGAGAGACTGGACGTTGGGGTGTAGATAGTCGAGCCGTCCGACTCGTCGAAATGTTGTTGTAAGGATACTCCATAAGGATAGGGCTGATGTGAAGGAAGTGAATGAGATTCTTCGTCAGAGTTGGAAGAACTTCCTCCTCTCCCGTTCATGTATGCTTGCTCATCGTGCTCCATCACAAGAGGAAGTCGTGATGGAGGAATAGACAAGATTTCGTCCGACTTGAGCAGACGGGATCCAGCCGGCAGTTTGGACGAGCGAACTCGCAAAAGAATTCCTACCGGTCCACTACCACCTTCATATGGCCTGATCGTTGGTACTGCTGGTGCAGAAGCGCTTATCGGGCCTAAGTAACCTTCAGGTAATGATGTCTGGGTTGTGCTGTCGAGTTGACTTTGATCGCTCACAGAATGGTGTCGAACAGCTGCCTGTGGCGGAAACGTGGCGTCAATGCTTGTAGGCATTCCAGCGCGTTACTCTTGTGGCCGACTCACGCGTGCTTCTCCAAACTCTTTTCAGAGCCTAACCTCAGTGGTAGGACAGCATCCCTGACTGTGGTGCAGCAAGCGGAAGAACGGACACATCCAAGAGTTTTCCATTCTAAAGTATTGAAGAAAGGTGTGCATTATGTTGGTGACAATGAGAGACGCAACCTTTTTACTTGATCAATGATGTTACACGCACAGGGCGATTAACTCGTCCCCGATCACCAGAGATTGGACGACTGATGCTATCGACGCCAACCTTCCAGGAACTTCCGACCAAATAAATTGCTTCCAGGTGTGCATCCTTACCACCCCACGCACACTCCATAATCTCTGCCAACTCACTCCGCTGCCAAACCAAGAATTGGTGCTCTGTGCCAGGCTTCAGCCGCGACTTCCCTGCTCAGCCGCTGAGGCTCTTCGGCACTCTTTCTGTTTCCATATACATTCGCAAGTTCTTGTATACAGTAATAATGGACGAGGTGTAAGAATACGAACAATGGCAGAATTACCCAAGCATGCCTGATCTCCGAGTTTCATGCTGATAAAGCTCACAGCACTGTATACTTTTCGGTACCATCAGGACAAGCAGTTGTTCTACCACAGTATTACTTGAGATTGTGAGCACGAGTTGCGGTATGAAACAAGGTCACAGTGGGGATTTGTGACAACAATCGCCAGAACAATCTGCCCTGATAGTCCTAGTAAGGCCAACCTGAATGAATCGAAGCATTGTTCGTTCTCGTAATTTACTGCATTACAAACCTTCGGCCTAACTGCCTAAACCTGTCATGTGCCTATCGCAGGCACATGCTTGTACTTTGGTATAGTATTGAAAAGGTAAACTTTCCACGGCCACGCCAAAATGCGACATGTCCAAAGGTGATCATGGCTCTCTACGAAACTCATACGAGAGCGAAGACTTTGCAGGACTCACTGCGAGCCCAGATGAGAATCATGGGGAGGCACAAGCAGCGGTAGTATTCCTCCCTATGCCCTCTCCTCCCGACTCGCGATCACCCTCTCCACGACCACAGCCAAAGCGACAATCGTCCTTGTCGCAACCACGACCTGATGACACTCCCAGAACCATGAACCGGGTCCGCTTCGACCCCGAGGAACACGTCCTCCCCTCTCGTCAGATGATCTCCCTAGATCTGGACGCAGAGGACTACATGGATTCGGACAGTCAACATGCTCCTCTTCTTACTGATATTACCCCTCCGAGCGAGAGCCCGTTTCTGTCTGGCTCTTTCCAAGCAGAGGATCATTTACCAAACGCCCGGCCCAAGTCAGGCATGCGGAGCGCATTCATGAACATGGCAAATAGTATTATAGGAGCAGGCATCATAGGTCAGCCATACGCTTTTCGCCAAGCTGGCTTGACCATGGGTGTGATATTACTGATCTCACTGACAGTAATGGTTGACTGGACAATCCGGCTCATCGTCGTCAATTCGAAATTGAGCGGCGTCGACTCTTTCCAGGCCACCATGCAACACTGTTTTGGCAAACCTGGCCTCATCGCTATCTCTATCGCACAGTGGGCGTTCGCATTTGGTGGCATGCTGGCCTTCTGTATCATCATCGGCGATACTATACCGCACGTTATCGAGGCGTTGTTTCCTTCGTTGAAGGATGTCCCTTTCTTGTGGCTTCTAACCAATAGAAAGGCTGTCATTGTGCTCTTTGTCCTGGCTATTTCATGGCCCTTGAGCCTGTACAGAGATATTGCAAAACTCGCCAAGGCGAGCACTGCAGCTCTGATCAGTATGTTAATCATTATCGTAACAGTCGTTACGAACGGACCTGTCATTGATAAAGCATATAAAGGGAGCACCGAGGGACTACTGTTTGTAAACAACGGGTTCTTCCAGGCTGTCGGCGTTATTTCCTTTGGTAAGGACTTATCCAGCACCTGTCTATGTTCATGCTAACACAATTAGCCTTCGTATGTCACCACAACTCTTTGCTCATCTATGGCTCGTTAAGAACCCCCACGATGGATCGATTCAGCACAGTCACTCATTACAGCACGTTCGTCTCTTGTGTCGCTTGTTTGATTGTTGCTCTCGTTGGCTTTCTTACCTTCGGTGATCTGACCAAAGGCAACGTCCTGAACAATTTTCCCACTCAGGGAAATATCATGGTCCAGATTGCTCGGCTTTGCTTCGGGCTTAACATGCTCACCACTCTTCCGCTGGAGTGTTTTGTCTGTCGAGAAGTCATGAACAATTACTACTTTCCCGATGAGCCATATCAGCCCAATCGCCATTTGATCTTCAGCACTAGTTTAGTGGTCTCTGCAATGGTGATCAGTTTAATGACGAGCGATCTAGGAGCTGTGTTTGAGTTGATTGGGGCTACAAGCGCTTGCGTGTTGGCGTATATTCTGCCACCTTTATGCTATATCAAGCTCAGCACCAGGAGTTGGAAGACGGTTCCGGCTGCGTTGTGCATCTGTTTTGGCATTGCAGTCATGACGACAACTCTGACTCTGACCACAGTAAAAATGCTCAAGAGTGAGTTACCACCTTCCTGGCTTATGAACGGTTTGCTAATCATACAAATAGGTGGGTGATAATCTCGTCAATGTTAAATAACATAATTTCAACTCCTGAACGCGCTCTGTTCGTGGAAGCGGCTTTCCGCATCCAAAGCACCACTAGGCTAATGGTGAGAGCAACGACCATAGCTGGCAGTGGTAGTTGCATTGGGGTCCTATACTGACAGAGTCTTTTCCCAATCATTCGCAGCTCATTGCACAAACATACCTCCGTCGACAGCGATCACTTTGTTTGTGACATACCCAGTCTTGACCATCCACAAAACTGTCTCAGCAATCTCCTCCGGCTTACCTAGACGCCCAATCGGAATCTTGGCAGTGAGTGCCTCGGGACTTCCAGGAAGCATTGTGGTATCCGTGATCAAGGCCGGCGCCACACCGTTGACTGTGATGCCCTTCTTCGAGTACGTGCTTGCGAGCCAATGGACGAGCCCATGGAGAGCCGACTTGGAGGAAGCATAGTGCGGACCGATGATGCCTACAAAATCATATCAGCTTGCAAGGAAATTCGGAACCAGTTTCGAAAGACAACAAGACATCGATACTGATTGACTTACCTCCAGTAAGGCCAGCAACACTAGAACAGAAAATGATCCTTCCGAACTCTTTTTCCACCATGGCTGGAAGACACAACTGGGTCAACAAGTATGAAGTTCCGCAATTTGTCCGCCAGGTCTTCTCGAAGTCCTCGATGCTGATCTCGCTGATATCCTTCACGCCTGATTTCAATGTGATGCCGTGGTTGTTGAACAGAATAGTCGGATGGCCGATTTTGTCGACCACCTCACTGTGTAGTCGACGTGTTTCATCATAGGACGATAGATCAGCTTGGAAGGCCATAGCTTTCACCCCTACGCTCTCAAGCTTGGAGACGAGCTGTTGTGCTTTGTCCACAGCGGCATTGTAGTGCACGGCGATGTTGCAATTTAGTGAGGCTAGGCTCGTAGCTGTAGCGGCACCAATACCACCAGTACAACCAGTGATTAGTGCTAGGTGGCCGCTGAGATCTGAATGCAGAATACTGGTCATGGTGAAAGGAGGCGGACGGGGTTTCTAGCAGGAAGTAGCTTTTTCTGGTGACTTGACCTGTATGTAAATTTGTAATCAACAGGGCATGAACACCAAATGACAACTTTCTACCAATGATGCTGGATGTGACAACGTGGTTGCAAGGCCCACCAGTCAACGTGTTTTAGAACGAGCATTTCCTTTCGACGCTCTTTGTAACATGTGTGCTACATATACAAGCATTCTGTTCTCGTTCATTGCTTGCAATTTCTACTTACTCATTAATCATGTTGCAAATCACCGTGGAAAGTGCTGATTGAGGCCGAGTTGGTGCAGTTCACCTCGGTGCCAAGCTTAAACTGGGCTTCGGAGGCTGCTCGAGTAGTATTGCGGACAATCATCTTCATTCTCAAATGGTTTGATTGTCTTCGCTTTACTATTTCACTTTGCACGACTGATAATGCTTTCGATAGCAATACAAGAGCAAGCTGGACATGGTCAATCATGCAAGTCTCTGGTTGAGGCCAGGTTGTCTCGCTGGCCGTGCACGACTGGTGCAAGCTCGAGAACAATATGAATTCAATACTGGCCCTCTGGCCCTCTTCTCATTCACTTCGAGTCTTCATTGAAAGCGTGCTACGATGACCTTGCTGCTGATGATGTCGCAGGTTGTCCAATATGTTCCTCCAAGCGCTAGCAACATTGAGTGCGATCCTGCTTTCCTACCGCGTCCTTGCACTCATTCGAAATTATTTGGAGGCCCGCCGCCTCGGCTTGCCTATCATTGTCGTCCCTCTCTGCTGGCAAGATACTCTCTGGGCACTATTTGGTGGACAATTCGAGATTATCGAACGTTTGCCCTTCGGCTTAGGATCATGGTACAAGTACAGCTTACTTGGCTGGAACGTCAAAGATTGGTACGCTACACACCAGCGACTTGGTAGTGCATTCACGATTGTTAGTCCTCTTCGCAACGAGGTGGTCATATCCGATACTACCAATATTCGCGAAGTTTTGGGCCGTTACAGGCGATGGGAGAAGCCCAAGGAGCTGTACGGGCTCTTTGCTGCTCTCGGACCGAGCGTAAGCTCGGTTAGCGGGGAGGAATGGCCAAGACATAGGAAAGTCATGAATGTAGCATTTCAAGAGAAGCACATGCATCTTGTGTGGAAGAGTGCAAGAAAACAAGCTGGGCAGTGGTTACGGCAGGTACAAGGTCAAGAGCGTGACCTAAAAGAGCTAGCCGAAGACTGCAACAATCTCAGTGGAAACGTATTGATGTATGCGGCTTTTGGTCAAGACCGTGAGTTTGGAGAAAGCCGTGCAGAGGACGTGCAAGAAAATCGTATCAAGAGCTTTTATGAAACGATGCAGTACATGTTGAGGAATATGCCTATACTGTGGTTGATGACAAAGCTGAGACTACCTCGCACCTTCGAGCCAAAAAAGTTTACAGAATTCAGGCAAGCAAAAGAGACTTTGCTCCTCCATCTTGAAGAGAGACTGCAGACCAAGGACAGCGACTTTTTGACATCTCTGGTCAACGCGAGTGACAGTGAGAAGCTCGCTGGACGAGGCATCTTGACTAAGACCGAGTTGTATGGTAATCTATTCATGATTCAGGTGGCAGGACAAGATACGACAAGTCACGCCATGCAGACAGCTATAGCGCTGCTTGCGGCGAACCCGGACATACAAGAGTGGGCCAGGCAGGAGGCGAGCACATACGAAGACTTCGAGAAACCAGTGAGACTACAAGCTGTCATGTATGAGACCTTACGCCTATATGGCGGAGCTCCGAACATGACTCGGATTTCGCTCAATCGAGAGCGCATGACAATCAACGGCAAGGATATTGTGATCCCTGCTAACACTTTTGTGTCGGCGAATCTGTCTGCTCAGAGCTATGATCCAGCCTTATGGATAGGAGCCTCGGAATGGAGGCCACAGCGCTGGATGGAGTCTGTGGATAATGTCGAAGCGATCAAAAAAGACATGCCAGAACTAATGGCATGGAGTACTGGACCTCGAAACTGTCCAGGAAAGAAGTTCAGCCAAGTCGAATTTACTGCTGCCATAAGCAAACTATTGGTGGAGTGCCAAATCAGAGGAAGTCCAGGTCTGCAAGAAGCGCTCAATACTTTCGACAATAGAGCTACCTCACGACCGAGCACACAAGAAATTGCACCAATCACTTTTGTGAGGCGACAACCTTAACCCCGTTGCTCGCTAGTTTCCCCACTGTCCCTTCCACTACTCATTTCTGCACACTCATCCTCATATCTCCGGAATAGCAGCAATAGCCTCTATCTCCACCGAAAAGTTGCCAGGAAGTTGTCCAACCTCGACTGCAGTCCTAGCTGGTTTTGGGTTAGGCAGCATTGCCGCATAAACCTCGTTCATGGCCGCATAATCATCCATGGTCGCCAGATACACAGTTGTCTTGAGTACATACTCCCAAGACGTGCCACCTTCCTCAAGGATAGCTGCGATGTTGCGGATAACTTGTGCCTAGGGACAATCGTCAATGTCTTGACGAAGAGACTAAGGCCCAGAGACTTACTGTTTCGTTTCGGATGCCTCCGGACACAATTGTTCCGTTGAGAGACGGAACTGTGCCAGCGGTATAGACAAGTCCCTTGGCTGCGGCACCACCAGCTGTCGAGTAACAAAGGTCAGTTCTTGCAGCTCGACGGACGGTTCTATATTGAGACATACACAATATTCGGCCTTGCGAGCCGAGATATGTTACTGCTGGTACTGGTGCTCTGGCCTTCACAGGACTAGCAAGGACGCATGCCAGACAGCTAAGGAACGCAGTGAGAAAGGGAAGGTTGAGAAACATTGTGGCGGTGTCTTGACAACCCTGATGCTGAACACTCGACGATCAGGTCCTAGAGGGAAGAAAGGATACTGCGAACAGGCCAGCTTTATGTCAGGGAGCTCGAGCATCTACGCAACAAGTTGACGAGCTATACGTATGCTATCGTGCCCAGCCAACCAGAAAACCACGCGGATAGCTCGTCTTTGCTTGGCTTGTGATTGATGGCCTTAATGCGGATACTCTTAATAGCTAGGCAGTGTATCCTGCCAGCTGCCACCGAATCTGGTAGATATGCTGAGAGTAACTACTCTTACTAATGCAGATGAGTCTGAGTTGTGCCTTGCATGATACCCTGCGAGATCTATCTGAAGCGCCGTCATCTTTGAGTCAGTGAGCAATCCTGTTGGCAAGCTCCTCTCGGATATGTCTCATACTCCGCACCCGTATTGCTGGTTCAACTGTCCATGCTGCAAAGCCAGTGTCGAATACAGGTTTCCGCCGACTTGGCGAGTAGGTCCAACAGGTACGAAGAAGTAGTTGACTGCACTAAAGCTGCCTTGCAGTCGCTGGATCCTACGACTGCATACAGTGTAACATCGATGAGTTGTGCTGAAGATAGCGAACAGATAAGAATGATAGGAAATGAGCGGGCAAAACTAATTGGTCAAGTGTGTCAACTTTCGCCAAGATAATAATGCTGCCAAGATATCAGCTCATTGACGACCAGGGTATAGACAGTCTCTATACCCCTCAACAATCGGTCACCAACTCATTAAAGCAGGTGCTGCGTCTAAATCCCTGTCAGGTCAATGAATATACCGCATCACAACAAGGTCAGATATCTGGGGCAGGAATCGCTTCGACCCACGTGGCATGGCTCGGCTCAATACTGCGTTCTCGCCAGTGTATAGCACACGGATCAGGGCCCAATTGATACGTTCCGAACGATCTCCTCGAGCGCGAATGTCCTTCACATACGTCCCGCTCCTCCCACATAAGGCAAGACATCAGAGTTTTCATGTTGTATGAGGTACAGGCCGTTATCAGTGGATCTTTATGCTGAATACACGAAGCAAGATGTCGGAATGTAAGTCGGGTCGCCCTAACTGTTGTCAACCAGTTGCAGGCTGAGGTCAGCCGATGAGACACTCAACGAGCCTATTCCTGCGAGCAGTCTGTAGGATATGCGCGTATTAGAGATAAGAGCTTGAGGGATGGTTACCTTTGGTCAACTTGCTTACCAAACACCAAGGTCGAAAGAATGGATACTTGGAGGCACTACAGATCATGTCAGTACTTGTGTAGAACGAGCTGCCTTGCCACAACCAACCACGTCCTACCTCAGATCACATATCAAACAGTGCTTGCCGCGAGGTTATCGTGACAGCATCTCGACTGCTTCACTCAATTGACTTTCTGCCCTGTCTTTCAACATGAAGGGGCTATCCATGTGGAATGGCCTCAGTGCGATAGGGTTCGCATGCCTTGGGTTATCAACGCCTGTACATGAAAACAAAGGAGCCGTGCATTTCAAAGATCTCCTCACTGTCGAAACTGGCTCGGTACACAATGTCCATGTCGTTTTCAATGGTGCCTTTGAAGGTCTTGTGCAGTTGGTCTTCGGTACCTGTGATATGGTACGCCTCGACCAGCACCATCATCAGGTCGGATCAGTAGAGATCGAGAACAACGTCCATCCAGATCGATTTGTTTGGGTGGTTCCAGAAGATGCCTTCCATGGCGGCTGCTTGCACGCCTTCTCCTCCACAGGACTAATTGGCAGATCAGAACCTGTGACTGTGTCCCGTCCACTTCGCAAACGTGAAGCTATTGCCGATGTTGCCGATACACTAGGCCCGTGGTTCGACGGTGTTGCTTATATGCAGTCGAGACCAGTCAACGCCACCTTCAGTGCTACTGCAAAAAGCAAGCAGGTCGCTATCTTAGGTGGCGGTATAGCTGGTCTGATGACTTCGTTACTCCTTCAGTCTGTTGGCATCGAAGATTGGCACATTATCGAATCCTCTCAACGCGTCGGTGGCCGTATACGTACTAGTTACCTGAACAACACAGAGCCTAGCGACTATCAATACCAAGAAATGGGCCCTATGAGATTCCCCGTCTCGTGGACAGATAGTGACACAAATGAGACGGTGGAAATCCAGGATCACAAAATGGTGTTTCAGCTTGCGGATGTCCTGAACCAAATGAACGGAAATGATCCTGGTCTTGCTGTCAATTTCATTCCATGGATTCAGAGTAGCCCCAACGTACCAGTCAACTCCAGAGGCATTCGTCTTCAGAATGGAAGAGTCCCAAGTCGCGCCGAGCTAGCGGCTAATTCAAGCCTAGCGACCCCCCCTACAGCATATAGTGATCCTGATGCCGCAGAAGCCGCCGAGGATGCGTTCGCGGAATTTGCAGATCTGTCGACGGAAAGGATGAAGGAGATTTCCCGAAATATTTTCAGAGCTCACAAGCAAGCCGTTGAGGATGGTCTTTTCCAGTATTCTGAGGCTTCGTACCTTCGTTACGCCCTGAGTCTCGATCACAACCTGACTGATTTTATTGCTGGAGCTGCAAACTCTCCTATCTGGGAGTACGATACAGTTTATTTCTCTGCAGACAGATGGCGCACGATCGACCAAGGATTAAGTCGACTTCCCGCGGCGTTCGGACCACACATCGAGGGCAAGATCACTTATGGAAGAAAGGTCGAAGGTCTCACGTTCAACAACGATACGCAGAGGATGGCGGTCAACTGGCGAGACGACCCACTAGCTATGATACCTGAGACTCAAGAATATGATTACGCCATTGTTGCAGTGCCATTCACTAAAGTCCGGTTGTGGCGTACACCAGTCTACTCATCGAGCCTGTCTCGTGCTATTCAGACCATGAATTACCAGCAATCGTGCAAGATAGCACTACACTATGAGACTCGATTCTGGGAACACCTCGACCCACCTATCATCGGAGGATGCGGCAGCACTGATATCCCAGGTATTGGCTCTGTCTGCTATCCACCTTATGCCGTCAACTCTACTGGACCCGGTGTCCTCTTGGCATCATATCAGAGCGGAACAGGTGCACGATCAGTCGCTGCATTGAGCGACGAAGATCACGTAGGTCTCGTGCAACGAGCCATGGTCGAGGTTCATGGTCAGGTCGCCGCTGACCAATACACCGGTATCTACGACAGGCAATGCTGGGAGCTCGATGAGCACCAGGCTGGAGCTTGGGCTGCGCCATTTCTAGGTCAACAGGACCTGTACTTACCTGCATACTATCAGACTGAATGGAAGACGATATTCGTTGGCGAGCACACGAGTTATACGCATGTTTGGATCTTCTCTGCGCTGGATTCAGCGGTACGAGGGACAACACAGCTACTGCTTGACATGGGCTTGGTTGATGAGGCGAAGGAGATTGTGAACACGTGGATGGCACGATGGATTTCGATATAGTTGAGGTATATTTGAGTAAACCGATAGACTAACTCAAAAGTTACGAGTTTGCTACTGAGACTGCTCTTTGCTGATCATGCAATTTTATTCCAGCACGAGTTCTCGTGTATTAATCCGGGCCTGGCGTCACTGCACTTCACATATTTCGCATATCTCACCTTGCTGTCCTGGCTTAACAGCATGCTGAAATACACAGAGCATGTGACTGAAGTTGCTGCAATTTTCTCGAAGCACAGAAGGAGGCTCTTGCGGGTCTATGTCTTCACCCGGCAAAAGCGGAGCATTCTTGTCCGAGTACGGAGTTAATTAACTAAAATTGTCAGGTTTCTCCACCCCCGCATCGCCGAACCTCGAATCACCAACGTTCTTTCCACCACTGACCATTGAAAGTGTTGCGTATATTATACTTCGAAAATGATTACTGTACGACTGCGTGTCGCTCTGATCGGCTTCGATCACGAGCAGTTTCTGCAACAGCTTCCGTGAATAAATGCCGTTCGTGCCTCGGCCGACTCATTTGACGTCGTAAGATTCTGTAGATGTTGAATATACAAGTATTATTACTGGTAAGTCTATAACAGGCTTGAACAGATCTGACGTGCTTTAAACACTGAGTTCGCTGCCCATCGCTACAACATGGTCAGTATTTCACCTCTCCTTCAGCAACAGGGCAAGTGAACAACACACCCATCACCATGCACGCTCTCATATTCTCCTACGCTGTTTTAGCAGCCATAAACCTCCGCCTCATCTACACAATCTTCACAGCCGCCACCACCCCAACCCGCCACATCCCCGGCCCCTTCCTCGCCCGCTTCACCCGCCTCTGGTACTTCCGCAGCGTATACCGCGGCACCGCTGAAAAAGACAACATCGCCCTCCACCGAAAATACGCCCGCAATGGCCAATTCTACGCCCCAGTCGTCCGTCTCGGACCAAACTTATTCTCAATCATCGAGCCAGACAAGCAAGTGTACGGGATCAGCTCGAAGATGCGGAAGAGTGCCTGGTATGAAGGGTGGAAGCACCCGAGTCAAGACCGGTGGACTATGTTTCCGGACCAGGATATTCAACGACACGCGGAGACGAGGAAGAAGTTTCAGCATTTGTATTCGTTGAGTTCGTTGAAGAGTTATGAGGGGTATGTTGATGATTGTATGAGGATTTTCCAGGCACGGCTGCGGGAGTTGGCGACGGAGGGGAGGTATATTGATATGGGGCATTGGTTCCAGTGTTATGCTTTTGATGTGATTGGTGCTATTACTTATAGCAAGCGGTTTGGATTCCTGGATGCCGGTCGAGATATTGATGGGATTATTGAGGCGCTGGACAAGAATATGCCGTATTCGACGCTGGTGGGAATCTATGCATGGCTTCATCCGTATCTGTATAAAGTCATGGAGAAACTGCCTGGTTCAGGAGCAGCTAGTCGGACCAAGCTTATGAAGTTTGCACAGCAAAATAAAGCCAAGCGTGAGGCTCAGAGGGAAGCTTGGGATTTGGAAGGTAAAGGGGTGGAAGAAAAGGAGGAAGGGCAACCGGAGGATTTCCTGGAGAAGATGCTGGACATGAAGCGAGATCAGAAGAAGGGCGTGACTGACTACCACTGCCAGATTATGGGACTTAGCAACATCATCGCTGGCAGCGACACGACAGCCGTGAGCTTGAGCTCGGTCTTGTATCATCTCATCAAAACGCCACGAGCTATGCAGAAGTTGAGGGATGAAGTCAAATCGGCGGAAGAGCAGGGAAGGTTGGCACCAGATACAGTATCGTTCGCTGTTAGTCAGGAGATGCCATACCTCCAGGCGTGCATCAAAGAAGCTCTGAGAGTTCATCCTGCGGTAGGCCTACCATTATGGAGGGTTGTCAATCAGGGCGGAGCTGAGATCAATGGCGAATACATGCCTGCCGGGTCGGAGGTAGGCATCAACGCTTGGGTAGTGCACAATGACCGCGACATCTGGGGCGCGGATGTCAATGAGTACAGACCTGAAAGATGGTTAGAAGCCGACGCAGAGCGACTGAAGAAGATGGAACAATATTATCTACCTGTAAGTCTGATGCAACGATTGTTTTGTATTGTACTAACGCAGCTCGCAGTTCGGACTGGGTGCGAGAACGTGTATCGGCAGACACATATCGTATCTGGAAATGACGAAGCTCGTGCCACAGATCGTGCGCACATTCGATTTTGAACTGCAACACCCAAATCCGGAGTGGAAGTGCCTCAACTACTGGTTCGTGAAACCTGCGAATTTCTATGTACGAGTCAAGATGTTGGAGAAGGAAGGATGATTTGCGAGAGAGATTCTATCGAGAATGTTGGAGAGTTCGTATGCGTTCTCTCGATGCTCCGACCATCCTGCGGCCCGGCCATGTGGTGTTATGTCTTCGCTCGGATAGATGCAACTACGGCAGCGTGCCGTTAGTGTACATGATGGTTAGCGTGGCTACTGGTGGAGTAGTAAGTCATTGACAATTTATTGTATTCCTGATTATCGATGATTGTTCTTCTTTTCTATCGCGAGTGAGTAATCGTAATCATACTGTTGGTGAAAAGCCGTGTGCAGTGAGTAAAGCAATCCTTGATGGTGGGTAAGGAACCATTTTCCGGCACTTTCAATGGCGAAACGATAATTAGTGAAGTGGTCTTCATGTCGCCAAGCTTACCGTCGCTCTACCATGAAGCTATCCCAGCACAGTACTGCGAGCTTGCTTACACAGCATAGCGAGCAGTTGAAAGATTGTGCAGCAGTGTTCGTCCAAACATGCGTAAGAGGAAGCGACGAGGACAGCGATTTGACGGAAGGTGATCTCGGCCTCGATCAGACTAAAAAGTTAGGATCTTGAGCTTGGACGGATTTGGGTCAAGTCAACCAATCCAAGCTCTTCGATTCGGCCAAGCATTTGAAGGTGGCTCCTAAAGCCTCTTATGTGATTTCCTTTGCGATAGACTAGCTAAGACTAACCGTTAGCTTGAATCTTTTCTGGCTGCAATGTTGGTGGCTGGCAGGTGTTTGGCAGGGCAAGCACAGAGCACACTCCGCTTCCTGCCTCTTCATCGTGTCACTAGCCGCTACGTGGGACTTTTGGCGGAGGTGTATTCCACTCCGTCCAGCACTATAGCGCATTGTGGCAGACTTTTGCCCACGACTCTTGCACTCGTTTCTGCCACAACGAGCCACTCTGACGATCCCCCAAATCCAACATCCAGCTCTTTCCTGATTCTCGAGCAGCTGAACTCCAACTGTTTCTCTGCACATTGTTCGGAAAGATCTGTTTCTGTGCTTGGGCTCGTTCTAATCCTGACCTTTCTTGCGCTTAACTTTAATTGCACTTCGCGATAATTGCCGTCGTTTACTCGGCTTTCATAGTGCAGCTTGTCACTCTTCCGCGACCAGTCTGCATTGTTGTCACACGTCGCGTTCGCAACTTCTTCGTCGAGACATTGTCATCGTCGGTCGGCACTTACTCGTTCAGTACTCGAGTCACAAATCGTCCTTCTCAGTCGCGCATCGCAGACTCAATTGTGGGATTCCATCACGGCCCCTGTCTGAGTGCACCAATCAGTAGCTGTCTTGCTTCGATCGATTGTGCTTCAGCCGCCCGGCTTCTGCTTCTTGTCGCTTCCTCTACTCTCACCTTTGACTCATTTCCATCGGATTTGGACACACTCTACCTTCTTCCGACTTTCACCGCGCATGTTCTATCGTTGACTCGATTCCAAAGTCTGAGAACTTTGCCAACTGGTCATCTCTTGGCCGCACCTGGCCGCGTCGCCCCACATGAGTGGTAATGCTGCCGCTCAACCTGTAACAGGTACTGTTTCACCCTCGCTCATGCGACCTGTGACCGTCGCATCCTTATCAGATCTGAATTCTGACACTCTTTTGACTCTAGGTTCCGATGTCAACAACGCCACATCCGAAAAGACACTACAGAATGCGCTGAACATCCCACCTCGTTCGACCTCACAACAACCAACTACAACATCGGCGCCTCCCACGAATCCTGACCATACGAGTGAACCCCCTCCAAGCCCACGTCGCGGATCGAAACGTAGCCTGATCAGTCGGAGTAGACAAGGAAGCAGAAGCAGTCGAAGGTCTGCGCGTAATGCTGCGAAAGCTTTAGAGTCCAGGGAAAATCCACCTGCTGTGCCGCAAAACAATGTCGCCCGTCCTGAACGTAAGCAGAAATCTGGAGGGTTTCTATCCTTTCTAAACTGCTGTCGAGCTGATGAAGACTCGGATACCCTCAAGTCAGAAGAACCTGATGTACCAGCCAAGCAAAGGAAGATTGAGCCCACCCCACAACGAGCTGCTATTCCAGATGAGCCTACTGAACCTGTCATGTCCGAGAAGACGAGGGAACAAGAGCCCCAGCATGCCGAGAAGCTCGATCCCCCGACAATAGTGGATGAGAAACCTGTACTGTCGGAAAAGTCAAGACAAGACTCCCGGCCGCGAGTTGGCAGGAACGAGATATCTCACGATAAGCCTGACGTTACTGCTGTACCATTATCTGGTTCATCTGACCTGCCAGTGTCCCAATCCGAGTCTTCGTCACAGCCTGAAAGCAGTCGACAGGCTGACACTCTTTTCCATGATCAAGTCACCGCTGCCCAACCTCAGACTGTTGAAGCAATTCGACCAGACCAGCAACCTCAATTGCAATTTCCTCCACCTCCAAGAGATGACCGACGAGATCTCGACACTGACATGGTCGATGCGCCCATCGTGCCACCTGTCGAGGAACAACACGTTGTAGATGAGCCGATCCAACCACACGATGTCGTCCCTGTACCCTTACCCCCACCTCCACCACCTCAGACACGCAACAGGCAGGTCATGGCAAACCAGACTTCCACCGATGTGCCTCCTGTTCCAACTTCCGAGCCAGAGAGGAAGCAGCAATGGCTATTACCACCTGTTCAGTCACATCTGAAAGGACGAAAATGCTTGATTCTCGATCTAGATGAAACACTCGTGCACAGCAGCTTCAAAATTCTCAATCAAGCAGATTTCACAATCCCAGTGGAGATCGAAGGTCAATATCATAATGTCTATGTTATCAAGAGGCCTGGCGTTGACCAGTTCATGAAAAGAGTTGGTGAGCTGTACGAAGTCGTCGTCTTCACAGCCTCGGTCTCCAAGTATGGCGACCCCTTGCTCGATCAGCTAGACATCCATCATGTCGTGCATCATCGGCTTTTCCGCGAAAGCTGTTATAACCATCAGGGCAATTACGTCAAGGCAAGTACTCGATCACTTCGATCCGTACTCGTATGCTAATTTGGAACAGGATCTTTCGCAAGTCGGTCGCGATCTGAAGGAGACCATCATCATTGACAACTCTCCAACCTCGTACATCTTCCATCCACAGCATGCTGTACCAATATCGTCCTGGTTCTCCGATGCACACGATAACGAGCTGCTCGATCTAATACCTGTATTGGAGGATTTGGCCGGATCGCAGGTGCAGGATGTTAGCCTTGTGCTTGATGTTGCATTATAATCCCTGGCAACCACTTCGAGAAAGACCAGCGTCAATTACATCCAACTTCCGCTTGACGTCGACTTGATCAAATACAGACGAAGTATTGGCCAACCCCACGAAGAGTTCACCAAACCAAAGTCTTTCGAGTTCACTTTCGCATTACCACCACCCTTTCGAGATGGTATTTCCTTTGTCTTTTTTCCAGCATCGCGTCGGTGTTACGGGTGCTTCGACGAACGTCAAAAAGCAGGAGGGCCAGCATGCACAGTCTGACGAGCCAGACACAGTTGCTGCTCTTTGAAGATTATTGCGTCGTTCTTATCTCTGTTGGATTCTGTTTCACTTTTGCTTCCGACTGTACAGGAGCTCAGAGGGCTTGTTGTTGCACATACGCTCACAGGAGATGCAGCGTACTGTTCATGGACAAAAGCAAGCATAATTTACATGCATGGAAGGTTCATTTGTACAAGGTGGAAAAAAGAATATCTATTGAGGTTTATGTGGTAGGAGAAGCGCTGGCGTATGTGAAAGTTCTGTGAACAGTAATCAGGGTGAAGAAATGGAAGAAGAGCTGGGGGTGCACATAGAGCAAGGCACACTGTAAGTAAGTCGCCTGGAGTCAGATGCGAGAGAAAGGACCGTGTCTGTAGGAAGCAGAGAAAGTAGGAGAGTGAATGAAAAAGCCCATCATAATTCCTACTGTGATTACCTTTCTGCCCTTGTCCAATTAGCAAATCGCCTTGCTGTTCTATTCGTGCTTCTTTGACCTGTGGTGATTTGCATCACCTCAAAGCCGCTGGCCTAAATTCCGTAGGAGTAAATAGAAACTCAACCTTGCATACAATCTGCAATACTCAGAGGAAGACGTGGCATTGAGCACTGCACAATGTCTCTGAGGCGGCTCTCAAGTTACATGGTGTGCTCAGAGAGCCGGAAAAAAAGAGCAATAGCAGAAGAGTGAAACCAGACGACTAAGGGCAATTCGACCAAGCGAGGACTTTGTATTCCCGACTTCTCAGAATAACGTTGTTGCTCTTCTTCTTCCTTCTCTCAGACCCGAACAATACCTACACAAATAGCTCCCAACTCCTTCATAACATACGCAATGACAAAAGAAAATGAGATGCACTAAAAACCATGAAACCAGATAACTCCTTGATGTGTGCCGGCCGCGTCGTTCTCGGTCAGGACACTGGCTCGCATTTTCCGAGTTGTAGCTTGTAAAGAATGACTTTGGTGAGTTGTTTTTTGAATGTGTGCCTCTTAGTCAAAAACGAAGATCGTCCGTGTAAAAAAAAGCAACTGTTGTCAAAAAAGTGAGGCGAGCTGACATCGTCTTCAGAGATCTTGGAGCTGAAAACCCGTGTTTCTGTTGCTGACCAAGGAAGAAGCTTGGTTCCTGTCGTGTGACTTCACAATATGGATCGTCAGATTGTACTAGATCAGTCAAGCTTTCAACGGCTAGATGTAGTACATTCTGTGACTGAGCGCGCTGCCTTTGCGCGGACCCAGAGGCAGTCTGTGGGCAGGATTGGTAGTCGGATCATATGTCTCCGTTCTACTTAGTCTGAGTCCAGGGTTGTAGACTCGACTCATGTAGATGCGGGCACGAGTGCAGGCAAGATCTGCGTAGTAAGCTGGAGGAACCAGTCCAACAGTCTTAGTGCAGCGACCATAAACCCAACACAATTGATACACCTAAAAATGTTAGAGAGTGAACGCAGTGATGAGAGGAATTGACATTTGTCGCGACTTACCATTTCAGCGATGTCGTAGATGGTAACAGGTCTCGTTGAACCTGTCTGCGAATTTACCATCAGCGTTGTGATTTCGTTGTGGAGAACCACGTAATGTGTCGGTCGGGTGGTACCTTTGATCGTGTCTTGACTGACCAGGAAGAAATCCTCGTTTTGGCCATATGTGACGCCGTTAAAGACTACAACACCAGAGGCTGGGTTGTCAAGCTTGGCGAAGTCATGGCGATTGTTGTTGTCGAGGGGACGGAAGAATCTGCAGTGATGCCTCTTAACCGCACAGATCAAGAGAATCTCTGGCATAGAACATCCAAGCTCACCATACTTTTTGGTGATACATCTTTGGAGTTGTCCCAACTCACGACTTCGGCACATTTCGAATTGCTCCACTGAGAGACCATCACGGAAGAAAATGATACGATGCGGCAGAGACGCGTCTCCGTTAATGCGTAGCCAGGCGTCAAGGCGCTCCTCGAGCATTGGTTCCAAACACTTGACTTCTTCCTGGCCTTGCCTGTACTTGGCCTCGTCCTCTGGACGGGGGTTGGTGCGTAGACTTGCTGGGAATTGATTGAAGTGCTCGTCAGTGCTAGCTACCATAGCGGCGACACTTGGAGCGGGCTTGACATATTTGCCATTGGGATGAGTCTGATTAGTTAGCAGACACTCCCGAAAACGCTCAACAAGGTGGACTTACCACGTCTATACCCACAAGCATGGTCCCCTTGCTGAGTAGAGGTGACCTCTTTTCCACTCCTAAATGATGATTGACAGACCTCTCGTCGGTCTTGAGATTGAACTTGAGCATGAGATTTCCGAGCTGAGCCCCGTTGGTACTGTATTGTGCTCGTCCATTCTTGCCAAGCGATTTCAGGAGGCAAATTGTGGGCAAGTCAGCCTCAATATCGCCCCAACGTTTGACGATGTTGTAGAAAGGAGCGGCATCTCCCGGTTTTGTATGTCCAATCATGAATAGGAGAAGTTTGATGCTCGAAAAGCGGTTGCGAAATGCACGCAATCCCGTTAGGAGGTTGCCGTCCAAACCTATCCGATGGTGGTCCCAGTCAAGCTCGCTATATGTCAAGTTGGCGTTTTTGAGACCGTACTTGCCAACATGATCATTGTCGAAAGTCTCGACTGTTCTCCAGATATCCATGTCGTTCGATTGGTGTCCGGATCCGGGATTGTAGAGCTCGACGTACGACCAATCCCCACTCACATCAGCACCTTTGGCAAATTGCTGGTTCCTGAGACCCCATGATGGCGTTTTCAGTGTTGTTACCAACGATTGCGCTGTTGGTGCTCCTTGCGTCCTATAAAAGAACGGCGGCCATTCCAATTTGTGGTAACCAACTCGCAAGGCGTCATTCGCACTATTCGGATGGGTGAGGCCAAAATGCTGGGTCTATAACGGTATTAGCAAAAGAAACATGGCATTGAGATGGCTACTGCTTTTACTTACTTTCAACGGGTCTAACCTGTACATAGACAAGCCACGACCTGTGATCAGATTCCAATTTTCTGCGGGAGGTCTGGATCCCTGTATGATCGGTTCTGCATGAGCCTTGTATGACTGACCTGGAAGAACTCGCAACTTTGAAGCGGGCTGAAAGTTGTTCGAGCCAATGCGCACCACGAAATCCGAAGCATCTACAGCCGCATTGTGTGCTACACAACGATAGTTAGCATGCCGTCGCAACGAGACACTGTTTTGGGTACTTACTAGTATTGAAATAGGTGTGGACAGACGTGAAGACTTCGTTGCTGTCAAGGAAGCTTACGTTGCCCGAGGTTGGCTCATTCTGATCGTGCCAGTATGTGCTCATGCCTTTCTTGTTTGTAAGTGGCAAACCTGCGATAGTGAAAATTGATTCCCTGACCTCCCCAATACTATCGTCTTGAAACTTTTTCTGCAGTGCCGGGCTTGCTCGCCGATAAGTAGTCATGACACGTAGACCCTTGACAAAGTCTTCTGTGTGCTCCCAGCTGGGTTGTGATGTTGAACGGAAGTCCCTGATGAGTTGGTTGACAGTTTTCATCTGATCGCGTGAGCCATAGTGAAAGCAACCTGTGGTTGTGTTGATATTGAGCAATAACGGGTTTGATGCTTGATGAAGTCCTCTGGTAGACCTGAAATATCCTGATAGTGCAAGCAAGAAACCAGGCTTTCGGAGATCCCAAGCATAACCGTCGCGAATTGGATTTCGATTTGACCTCATAGAATCACTCTGATCGAAGTCGAGGTGCTCCGGCACGTCGTAGAACTTCTTGTCTCCGTTGAACGTGACTCCGGGCTGACGCTGCTGATTTGGCGTTCTTTCCATCAACTCATTTGGCTTTTGGCTTATGATGATGTTCAGGGCACTCTCGACTTGACCGAGAGCACTGCGGGCGGCCCCTACATCAGCGAATCCCGCGAATGGTGGACCATCTCCCCTGAGGTATTGAAGTATGCGATCCACCGGTACAACCCTTTCTTCGCCAAATGTGATGTCAAACTTGTTACACTCAGCTCGGGGCCTCACCTCATCTTCGTCATAGTAATCGACGGTGATTGGCTGCTGAACAAGTATGTTACTGATCGACGCGGAAGTGACAAGATCTGTTTTGAAGTTGCTGGCGAAACCGATATCGGGGTGCTGTGAACGGATGTCCTTCAGCAACAGCAGGATGACTCGTCTTTTGATACGTGCTGAGATCTTCTTTTCTTTATTATCACCATCGGTAGTGTTGGAGGAGTTGTCTACCTCTCTTTGCTTTCCCGCAGCTCCACTACGTTCGCATGGTGGCTTAGGCAATTGCTTGATATCCAGGGAGTATTGGTACAAAACCTGCGCGTTGATACTGATTGGAAAATGGTTTGTGTTCAACTGCCTAGCCTCGGTAGGTCGTGTTCTATGGTCACTTGTTAATGAGATGTGGGCAGATTGTGTAGTGTCAGCTGTGTCATGTTGGTCGGCATTTCCAGACGCGGCCTGCTTGCCTTTTTGTTGACTAGGGTCCTGGGTTTGCTGAGCAGGGGATTGGGTTGTTTGAAATCCTGTGGTAACGGCTGCTGTACCTGAGTACCCAGAAGCAGTACTGGAGTTCTGGAATCTAGCGGGAGCAATGACCCCAGCTGGTTCACTTGCAGACGAATCGTTCCTCTTGCCGTAACCAGTAGTGCCAGAAGGCAGCTTGAGCTGCGTGGCCAAGGACTGGCTTACTGAGCCCGTGGGCGTGGGAGGGAGCCCTGAGGGTGTCACAGCAACTCCTCGACCCGAGAGCTGACTCCCTTGATTGCTCGAGCTACTTGATGTCTGGATTGGGTTGTAGCCCGGAATATTTCGGTTGCTGGCAGCAGCATTATTAGCAGCATTTTTCTTTTCGTTCTTCTTGCGTTTCGTATCTGCGCTAGGCATTGTGTAAACCTGATCAGGATTGTTCGAATATTTGATGATGAAAGATGATAAGATCCTAAGTTCAGCACTGTCAGCTCGTGGTTAAGTACCAGACGTGGTTGCTTGTCAACGACTTGCCAGTATGGAAAATTTGCAACCACAAACGTCTTTGGATCTGCTCAAACCGTCGATAGAAGTGTTTGTAGCTAGGTTTTTCGATTCGCAAACGAGTCACAAACTGTGTTCAAGCGTCAATCAAGTCTGGGTTGCCGCTTGTACCTGGCCAAATTCAAACCACAGCAAAAACAATCTGGCAAGAGATGAGGAAGCAAAGCTTGTATGGTAGTAGATAATTGTCTCGTGGCAACACCACTCACCTGCCGACATTGCTGGGTCATGAGGGATGTGTAAACCTGGAACTCAACGTATTCAGCTGCCTCAAGGAAACATGATGTAGAAGAACATTCAGCTCGGCTAATGGAATGGCCTCGAAGAAAAGGTATTGTCGGTCCTTTCAGGCTAACATCAGCATCCCCAGCATACTCTTCCCACCTCTCTTCCTCTCCGCAGCCTTCTTCTCCTCCAGCGCCCTATGCTTATCCAGTCCGGTGATACGATCAGCCTCAGCAGCAGAGACCGTCTCATACCTCTCATTGGCAGGTTTCCGCCTGCCATCTTCTTGTTTGAACTCTACCCATTGCTGCTTCAGGGACTTTCTTCCCTTCTGCGAAGCGTCGGTTGGAGTCTGAGCGCGTTGGTTGGGGACATGAGAGAAACTTGGATGATAAGTACTGGAGGTGTCTTCGAGACCGGGTGGTGCTAGGGACAGTGTATCGTAGTCAGGAGGAGGAGGATTGTCATGCTCGCTGCTTTCTTGCTGTCGTTGTTGTGTGGTAGAGTTTGCACGCGACGCTGGAGGTGCTGCTGCTGCTGGGTGGATCAGTCAGTCGCTACGCCCCACTTGCGTCGAGCTAAACTTACCTTCGCTGCTTCCCATCGTGGTAGACTTTGTTGACCTTTTACGAAAGTTGTGTAAATTGATACTCGCGATTTGCGTTCACTTATTGCGAAGCCGGGATTGTCAAGAACTCCTTGTCTATTTGACTCAGAGCGTCTTCGTAAGGCCTGGCTGAAGGTAATACTCCTGACAGCAGTGTCACGTCCATCAAATGACGTAGAACGCCTACTATACCTTTTGCAGATCCTCCCTTCACAGCCTCTAATTATCTTGCATGCACAATTACTAAGCTCTAGTCGAGTAGTTAGATAAGGCGATGCACAATGGTGCCTGAGAACCAGACCAATGAAAGTACATGCAGACCATCGGTCAACCCAACCAGCAACTGCTTGCTAAAGGCACTGCCCCAATTGTACAACCACACCCTGAGCCATACTCAGCAAGTATATCATGAGTCAGCAGAGCAAGCATCGACAAGAGCCCGAACACAAGATGAAAAAAAAGATCAAAGACGGATATCCAAATGTCTCCAGAATAAATTTTAGAGCAATAATTGCGAAAACTCCTTGAAGTTCAACTCCCGAAAACACAACCGCCTGGCCAATATCCATGTTCATTCCGAAGCACATACGAAAAAAAGTCGTCGTCAAGTCGTAAAAGTCATCGTAATATTCATCGAGAGTTTGTTAGCATTGAGGTTCCGTCGCACCTGAGCCGCTGCCATGATTGTGCTCAAATGTAGAACATGCGCTCACTCAAGTCACCAAGGTCGAAGTCGAAAGCTTGTGCGTCCTCGTCCTGCTGTGTTCATGGTGACCCACCTGTATACCATGCACGAGCATAGCAGCGAGCTCTGTCGCATGCGAGGTCTGCGTAGTATGCTGCCGGCACAAGCCCTACTGGACAACTACATCGTCCAAAGAGGTAGCTCAATTGATGTGTCTATGTCAAGTTGTCAGGAAAGGCAACACTCTCAACTTTGGGGTACATACTGCTTCAGCGACATGCGTCACGTTGTAACCTACTTCCTTGGAGTCACTGTGTAGAAGGCCTCTGAGTTATTCTGGTTGACTTGAAGTTCCGAGCCCTTGGTCTCTTTGGATTTGTCCGCATGTTCGCTCTCTTTCTGAGCCTTGGAAGCTGATTCTGACTTAGGCTTTGGCTCCGGTCGCTGGATATTCGTGATGTAGTAGCGATACAACACATGATCCTCCTCATGCATGGTTTTGAAGTCGTTTGTCCTCAAATTACCCGCAAAAGGAATACTTTTTGGTGCTGGCAGACAACTAGCTGTCTGTATAGATGTGACCTCGTCCTTCACAAGAAACACTGCAGCTTGGCACTTTGGATGTGCCACCCTTCTACTCTACAGGGTTCGAGGCCTTCTTGCCCCCACATTTGTTGGATGCTTTACCTTTGGCCATGCTGGATCAAAACGGAGGATGTATAGGGTGAAGAAGAAGGAGAAGAATAAACATCATGACTTGAGCAGCTGGGAAATATATCTTCATGACGCACATCGAGCAAGCTGATCCTTTGCTGCTGTCAATCAGATTGACAAACCTCTAGATATCGAAGAAATGGGATCCGAACCTCAACTTCTGGCATAAATGTATACACAGGAGGCTTAGGGAGGGCAATAGTCATGTCGCAAGCATATAGCTTCCCACAAACACAAAATACGTGCATACAACACTGTCTTCAACATGATTGCGAAATTGCCAAACGTTTCTGAGCAAGAGATGTAATGGTGTCAGATTGTTGTCGAGACTTTCAGCGTGCCAGTATCAATTTGATGATAGTTAGATTGCAAGACTCAGTAAGAGGCGTCTGTATTTGTGCAAACCGTATTGATTGGGAGCAAATATTCGGCAGATATAGCTGCTCGACGACACAATCGTACCTTCCTGAGAAGTTCACGTGTTCGAGGTGCAGAAAGTGTAATGGAGATCAGAAATGAGGAAATGAGATGTACTCGAGCAGTCGAGTACTACACGAAGCCTACGCGTCGCGCTTCGTCTTCTTGATCAGCCGTAGAGCCACCTCGCTAACGATGCAATGAATTTTCCAGAATATTGCCAGGTGACTGCTTTGGCTAGGAAGGATGCTTCACAATTAATTTGAACGCATACAATGACATTATAAAAAGCTTAGACTCTTTGGTTCTAGCACAGTACATCGTTGGAAAGTGGAGGCTGCTGAAACCACTTTCCCTCCAGTACTTCTCTCCCTATTGCGACGTGATCGTGATGCTCTCGTTGGACAGACATGAAGACTTTCTAGTCTGCTCCACCTTGCAAGTATTTGCCCGGCTTTGGATGTTTAGAAGAACTTCCCCTTCACGTCGCTAACACTTCTCTCGACCCCGTCCTCGTCTCTTACCACACCGTGATCCCTCTCGACATTGTCATACCTTCGTCCAGTATAGAAACTTGCATCTGGTGCAGCAGGCCTGTCGAAAGCGTCGAAGCGTCTTCCGGCCCTTTTGGCCAGCATCCACTGCACGCTAACCCTGAGTGCAAAAGCTGCTGCTGCCCAGAGCAAGCCACCAACAGGTGCAGCCACAAAGGCACCAAACGCGGACCAGTCGCTCGCGTACAATCCTTCTTCAAGGAGGAGGAGACGGCCAGCCCTGTTACTATCTCCATCATAGTAGACAAGCCCGAAGAGGAAGATGGTAAGTATGCCGCCAAGACCACCAACAACTACTTCAAAGCCACGCCACCAATAGCAGCGAGAGCTCAGGCCGATCACCAGGACTGGAATGCTGGACGCGCTGATCAGATCGGAGATCAGGTAGATCTGCAACACACTTGGGCTCTTCAAGGCAACGACGACCGTAGGTATGAAGACCACCACGATAATTGCGCGGATCACCCAGATGTTGAGCTTGTTACGGAAAAGATCGTTTGAGCCAGTCGAGATAATAGCAGATTGAAGCGAATCGAATGCTGCTGTGCTGAGTGAGACGACCATTACAAGAACAATGCCGACGACCCAAGCTGGCAGAGTCTCGAAAAGTTGGAACAACTCATACCCTGAAGGCTGAGGCGGATTGCCGAGCACTCCCGACCAGCCAGCAAGTAGACCACCAACACCAACAAGCGTGAGAATGATAGTGATGACAACCACAGCGATGGAAATGCCGATCCACAAGTCTTTGTCTGTCTTGGCAGCGAAAGTTCTCATCCAGAATCCAGACAAGAAGAAGTCATTCGTCAATATAGCCACGGGTAGAATATAGACGAGCTGCCAGCCAAGGAGGCTTGCGTCAAGGTAACCTGATGTATCAATCAGGTCCCGCTGAATATCAGTCTCAACTCCAACTGTGATAACACCAACGATAATCAAGCCAATCACCATGGCCCCTTGGACATTGTCAGTGATGAAGCTAACTCTGAAGCCACCTGCTGCTGTATAGACGGTTGTGACGAAGCACTCCACAATTACTGCTGGCAGACCATTGAGGCCTGTAAGAAGATTGACGACTTGCTGAAGTGCTGAGAGCTCGGCTACAAGATAAAGCCAGATAGTTATCAAGCTAGAACAAGGTTAGTGTTGCACGAAATCTTCCTTGATAGAGCTTACGTCAGAGCTGACAGGTACAATCCTGTAACAACGCCATATCTCTGTCTTGTCCACTCTGTAAGGACGAATCCTTCAGGACATTTTCGTCTAATGATAGGTCCTAGAATGGCAAACACAAAGAGTGGCAAGCTAGAAGAGAGCGCATAGACCACCAGACCCTGCACACCTGCAATAGCCGCAATGTTTGGATATGTGAAAAGAATCCCTGAACCTAGAGCTTTAGTGTGGTAAGAAGCGAAGTTAGCATGACAACTTTGTGGGATGAGGAGTATGTTAGAAGCGGCAGCACTTTTCCCACGCAAGCATTAACTTGATCGAGTCATAACGGTACAATCTCAGCGTCATGCTCACTCTGGCGGCTCAATCATCTCTCTCACGCAATTTTTTTGTGAAAGGTGGATGGTCGAGGGAACGTAAAAGTTCATGCCAAAGCTTGCAATCGGCGCCCGTAGTGCTTGCCATGCTTTCCACAGACCAACTCAGACGAGCCAATCGTAGATTTTGTCAGGCCGAATTGGCTATGGAAAAGCACAGCGATCATTCTGATGCAAGCGTACGAACCTGAAATGTGCCACGAAGGCAAAGTTCTTTGGAAATGGTGGTTTTATGTGCGATTGTTCGTCGTCGATGATCTCGTAAAGTTGTTGCTGCCGCTTCAAGTTGCATGCGCAACCGGTCGCAGGCACTCACCCGAGGCGATGAAGTTTAGGGCAAGTGGTATGCCTGACTTTCGGTTAGTTGATCTTCGCGAAATTCGACGAGGGGGCAGTGGCTCATTGTGCGTGACTGTACCCTTCTGTGTTCGGTTTGCTGAAAGCCATTCGCCTTTCGACTGGTGACGAAGACGCCACGCAATGGCTAAGCCAAAAACACTGGTCAGTAGTGATTAGTAAATATGACCATAGTTTTTGAGCTTGCTTTTCAAATTCCCACATACAGAAAAGCTGCATATGTGCAGTAGATGAGGGCGTTTGATGCTGGTTGCGATGGCTGACCCATCTTTGTGATCTGATCCTGGAAAGCGGGTCACTTTTGTTGCAAAGTAGCTGAAGTGAGCAGGAGTAGGAAACCAGCAAAGAAGAAGACTTCGCGCAACACTGGCAAGAGATCGGGAGCGAGAGCTTGATCAGATCTGGTCTCGTGGGTGAAAGATTGCTGTCAGAAAGTCTAATTGCCAGCTTCGCGCAAAAACTTTTCATTCAATTTCATGCAGCACAACTACTCAGGCAGTAACCCCACCACTAATAGAATATCGTGGGGTTTGTCCGAGCTAATCAAGCACATGTCTTGGACACCGATGGTGGAAGACAAGTTCGAGATATTGAACATCAAGTACTCTAATCGAATCACAAGTTGCGCGTCCTCTTCATCTTCCTTGTCATCTTCTGCCACCCTTCACACAGCTCATACACGACTGTAGCACTAGCGTTTATCATCGATGTGATTAGGTTTCCAGGTTTGGTCCGCAAGGATCTTCCACGAACGAGAGCTGAGTCGCCCATGTCTGGAAGCCACGATGCGTGGCCTTGAAAGCCACCGCATCACGAATGTTGGTAAACCGAAACACCACGTTTCGACTACCTCGACGGTAAGAGTCCACGATCATCTCGATCTCACGCACAGCAGAAGGACCCGTGGCCAGTTTGTTGAGGTCCCTCATGGACAACTCATCGTCAACTTCTTCAGCAGACACCACTCTGGTGGCGCCACAATCGAGATAAGCTTGCAGAAGAGCTTCAGCTGGCTCGATTCGCTCTGACAGCTCGACGTAAACAGTGTGTTGCTTCCGCTTGTGCTTGAATTGAATCATTCCTCCTTGCAAAGAGTTGAAGTATCGACGGCACTCCTCAGGTTGTGCGAAGGTGACCTCAGCTGCATGCTGCTCCGGAAGCAACTTTATCTTGTCGAGTGTGCCACCACAGACGAGCGACTGAACGAAGGTATAGTCGCATGACGCTGGTAGATTTTTGATCACCACAGTACGGTGCCCTTGACGCTCAGCAGTACGGCTCGACTCGTCCACTGGTACGTCAGCAACAACATGGTCTGCTACCGTTGTGACACCAGGGTTCACGAGTGTTTCCTCAGCCTCAGTCACAACTTTTGTTTCATGTTGTGTGTTAGTGTGGGGCTTATCTGCTCCATTTGCCTCTCGAGCTTCCCCATCTGGTGTCAGTGTAGAGTCGGTATGTGAAGCTGCTGAGTGGGCTTCGGAGGCGCGTGGTGTACGAGCTTCCAATGCCGTCAGTACTGGAGCAAGATCTATGCCACTCTCTGCTTTGGCGTCCTGATCATCTTCACCTTTGTCTACTTTTGTCAGGTCGGGTATCGAATCCGGTCGTCTTGAGTCTGGCAGGCCGACTACGGTATCTATTCCCTAAATTAGCTCTGTTCATTTAGCGAGAGTCCAGATAGGGACAATCTACCTGTACTCGTGGTCTCTTTTCCAGCACTTGCTATCTGTTCCTGTTCAGAATTACCACTGGCCTCGCGCTCTGTTTCGGTCTCGGCTTGGTTGATTAGTCAAAGCTCGTTTGGTGATGAAGGAAACTTACCATATTCTGCTTCTGGGACCTGGGACTCTTGGGTGGCAGGGTCAAGTATGAGTACATGCTGCTCGTTCAGGACAGCTAGCTGTTGCTCCCCGCCACTAGGAGGATCACACTTTGGTTTCGGAGTCTCAGGATAGAATCCCTTCTTGAGCTTTTCGTACATTGCCATGGGATCGTATTTCTTGCCAAAAGCAGCATCTCGGGAATGAGGGGTGATTGCGGCAGGTCCGACCCTCGACAACGTCGGTGTCGACCCGTGGTGAACGTTCGCGGCTCCAGTATGTGAGACGTCGGTTGTGCTATCCATTTGTTGTTCTTGACCTGACTGGTTTCCAGTGACGGCTGCGAATGCTTCTGATGGTGTTTGAGCAACCGCTGGCTCCGACCATCTACTCACGCCCTCAATATCCTGTGCGTTGATCTCTGCTATTATTTTCTTCTGAGTTGGAGTCAGATAAGGTGCTGACTGGGTCTCATCAAGCTTGTTGACGGCACACAACTTAGATGGACATTGTAAAGGAGTCTCGTCGGATCTCCGAAAGGCAACACTCACGACTGGTGAAGGCTTCGGTGAGGCGCCGGGGTATTGCAAGGCTTGACTTAACTCGTGCTGCTGAAGAGGTACAATACTTGATAGTGTTTTCTTCTCCAGTTGTGCCTCCGGCTCGGGCTTAACAACATCTTCAGAATCAGGATCCACTGGAGCAGACGATACATTTGACTCTGTGGATTCCAACACGATGGATGCTTTCTCGAAACTAATCGGCTGTTTGCGTAGTGGGATTACGGCGTCGCCCGCATCGGTAGCTGTATCCTACTTTGATTTAGATGGGTTTCTGGAAGGCAGCATCCATCATAAACTTACCTTGATCTCGACACTTGCTTTAGTCCATGGTTGACTAACGACTCGATCGCCTCCCCTCAGGTTAGGCTTTCCAGCAGTTCGCTGTGCCCATAAGACGAAGTGATCGAGGCTCGATACATTGTCGTAAGTGGAAAAATTAGCAGCCTCTCCAGCCATGGTTTGAAGGTGAAGTCAAAGCTACAGGTTGACTTCACAGGTCAGTCACTTCGTCATTCATGTCATGAGAATGTTTGCTTACCAACGAGTATAGCTGTCGCTGGTGACGACGACTGTGGTTACAACACTGCTTGTCGTGTGTAAAATTGCGAAAATGGATATTGCAGGGAGATAGAAGACAGGTGAAAGAAATTGACGCGTCGTAAAAGACAAATAACAGGGATAGAGATGTAGGCAGGTGCGAGGGCAACGTGATCTTCACTGTGAGCCCTGCAAACTTTCTTCTACCCTTCACCACGAATAGCAAATCGCTTCACAAACCAGTGGGATTGCTCTGACTCTGCTGTCATGGTCATTCCCCCCAACAACAACGCCGTCGCTATGCTTGAGACAAACCTAAACAACATACGGTGGAGGATCAATGTGCTCCCAGTTCTTTTCGCCATCTTCTGTTCGTTCCTTGATCACTTGCAAGCCCCTCCTCCCACAGAACCCATCGTGTTTTGCCATTCTAGCAACGTTGCGCCACTCCCCTTGCCCTGTCCCTGAACCATCATCGACCCAGACTATCTCGTCGACGGGCTGCCACATTACTTCGTCACGTCTAGAATTAAAATCTGGTAGGTTTACAAGCAGATCCGCAATAAAATGTATGGGAGTATACAGTTTCTCAAATCTCCTTGCTAACCACAACCAAGACAGAGTCCGGCTGTCATAGGCAACTCTCACGTAAGGGTTCATGTAGATACCAGGATTGCGGACATCTGGACTTTGTATATCCGCCTGAATGAGGCAGCACTCTGAGGCATCCCACCATAAATCCGTCTCAGCTCTGAAGTGATAGGGCGCTGTGAGATTCGATGGACTTTCGTTAGCAGCTGTTCTGATGGATTGTGCTTCGCCATCCCAATTCTGAAAGAACCTAGCATCAAAAGCAGCCATCCCACCCCAGCAGCTCCTGACTCGGACTGCGTCACTGTCGCTGAGTACATCGTCAAGAGTGCTGTCCCCACCGATCGCCGGAAACCACGGAAAGAACGGCACTCCCATACTGAAACCATCCAGATCTCGTGTCGCAAAGGTGTCGTAGAACTTGAAAGGGTTGATAAAGTCCACTGCACATGCTGAGCGGTACTGTGTCTGACCATCGGCATTCACATTGGTAGAAAAGAGAAGCTGAGCTGCATCGATCGGCTTGAACATAACATCATTCAGGTAAAGCAGCTTGTCAAATCGTGTTTGAGCATCGTCCAGTGGTTTCAGAGCTCGATTTCGGACTTCGGCCAGATACTCTATCCTCTTCACGCGCCTAGTGCCATCGTGTAATACGACATGAGGCAGCTCGTCAAGATCGAGATGTGGATCAGACACGAGGGTATGGTTGCAGGGTACGTGTGTCTTGAGCGCTGCCAAAGCATGCGAGGCCAACGGACCTGCATCGTTCTCGTAGATGCTCAGATAGACGTTCTCAGGTCCCAATATACCTATGAGCTGCAAGACATTCCTAGCCCAATCACCACTCGCAAGTTTGCCATTTGGGTCGAAGATACTAGCGGCAATGAAAACCTTCTCATTGTTAATATTGCCGCTGCCGGTCTTCCATCCGTCGTTGACACGAGCTTGCAGTGCCTTGTAATGTTTTGGCAACCTCGTATAAGCAGGAAAGAAAGCTCCAACAACTATAGTGATGGCAAACAAACAGCAGATCAAGCCACAGAAGCACAGCTGTATCCCTCGAAGCCAGGTGGACTGGCCACCTGGACCTCTGCTTCTCCTCTTGACTCGCCTTACGAGATTTTTCTTATATCTTCGCCAATGGGAGAGGCTCGCAATGTTTTTGAGAAAGAGTATAGGGTGAAAGCGCTGCCGGGAGGACTGCCGTGAAAGGAGAAACGCAGCTGAATCGTCGTCGTCGGTTGAAGTGTAATTGCTGTCGCCATAACTTTCGAGGGAAAGCCCTCGTGTCAACTCGTCGCCGTCGTCATATTGTTGCATCTTCAAACAAGGTTTCCCTCAATCAAGGTCTTGTACTCGAGGTTGAAGGTTCTGATCCATTGCCCTCGTTTGCAATAAGATCACGATTATCTTAGAATAGCGCGTGCGAAGGTGCTACGGTATGTTCACTTGAACGTATGTAAGATGAGGCAGCGAACAAAACATAGTACATGTAGAAGACGTACAGAACTACTAGGCTGAAGGATTCTGCTCAAGAGAGTGACCCAGAACAAACGCTCTGAACTTACACAACGTAAGCAGCGAGGCCGCAGCAGCTGCGGAGTAGGTAAGCCCTTGACTCCCCAGACACTGCATGTCTGCGATTCTAGGCTTGGGCCCCTTGCGCGCCTTAATCTGCACGATTTGAACTGTAATGAGCTTAGTCCAGTCCTGTGACTCCAGGACAGCCCCACAGCGGTGCGTGTCCCCCTTGTCCTTGAATAAGAATAGGCGGATATCGCCGCTAGTGCTATTTTCTGGAGCTGCATATGTGAATCTGTCCACTGAACGCTTCCTGTGTGAATGGTCAAGCACTTTCACTCAGCTCTGCTGCGCACAGAAGCATCGATGGAATGGTCACTCCAATGCTTGTTTTTTTGATCTGCTTCCATACTGGCTAGTGACATTGTATGACCCAATAGGCCATGCCCCTCGTCTTCGCTACAGATATCGGAATCCAAGACCGAATCAGGTACATTGTTCTCGCTGAAATATGTTATGGACGGCACAACGGCGATTAATTTTCAGTCTGTGATCCCTGGGTCATACTGCCAATTACCTTGATCATGCAGAGGTTCGATTATGTAGAAGTTCTAGAAGACCAGTAATACAGTCGTCAGGAGGAAGGAATGGCACCAATCGTAACATAGTCCTACGCTCAAATGTATGCACTTCGGAGCAGTTCCTCGCTTGGGAGCTTTGCAGAGTCGGCAGGGATGCTGAAAGTGGCAGGTACCATAATCAGGTGCTGCTGCTGACTCTCGAAATGGCGCTCTTGCCGCCGGACTCACAAGCGAACACAACTCAAGCATAAGGACAGATGTGATATAAACAGCAGGATTTCTACTTTGTGCATGAAATCACCTTTACGAACTGTAACCATAGGCACGATACCCGGTAAGGTGGAGATTTGTCTTGCAAGTCTTAGGATTTTAGAGCAGCTTAAAGTCAGTTCGTTCTCCATACAGCTGTCGAAATGGCAGATTGGCAGTCTATGAACTACAACCACCCGCTTCCTGATGTACAGAGACCATTTTCTCTCATCTGCCCAAAAGGAACCGACATTTTCGAAAAGCCTCCCTCAACGTTCAGATTCGATGCTCCAGTGATCTATACTACTACCTCGGTAGGGGCTTTCAAATCGGCCACGATTTCCATCGCCGGCGACTGGAAATATCGCTATGATCAGGGCGGTCTATGTTTGATTGTAGAACTACAGGATGGAACGAGGAAGTGGATGAAGGCTGGCATTGAGTTCTTGAACGATACTGCATGGGCCTCTGTGGTCACCAAAGATAGATGGGCTGATTGGAGCTTGAGACCCTTGCTCGAACCGGCGTCAGCATCAGCTCGAATACACGTTGAGACACACGAGGACAAAAGTCTTTGGGTTTACTTACTAGGAGAAGATGGAAGCAGATATCCAGTCAGAGAAGTCACTTGGTGGGGTGAATTCGAGGCAGACACAAAAGTTCATATTGGCCCTGCTGCTGCGAAGCCATCGACTGAAGGAGGTGATCTGATCGTCAACTTTACGGACTTCAAGCTCGCCACATCCTGACACGGGCTTCATAGGTTGGTAAAGCAAGGACTCTGACTGACAAAAGTGCAAACCGTCATTACAGTGAATACCTTAGGTAGATAATGCATCAGGCGTCGAGACAAAACACGCTAGAAATGAAGTTAATTGACGCTCGAAAAGTAGGCTAAAACGCGTTCGCAGGAAGGCTAAAACGCGAAATGTCATCACTGCACGCGAGCAACTACTGGTAATTACCCCAACCTCGAATTTCAGATCTACCAAGATCTGCCCAACCCACGTCTTCGCGAGGCGTGCGCCTGTCACCTCGGCCAGACAGCACGTAGCTGTTGCGACAAGATGCCGACACGTTCCCGTCAGTCCAATGCTCGGGCGACGGCACAACCCGAGGCAGAGGAAGCGGCCTACAACATTACTGGTCTTGATTTCAATGAGCCTCTGACATGGCGCGCTGGCAAGGCTATACCAGTCGCAGATCTCTTCACTAGACTGCAGAAGTTGTCCAACGAGCTACGTAACGTGGATGACCAGGCAATCGATGTCAAAGAAATAGCAGGGCTCGCCCAAGACCTGGTACATCCGAACCTACTAGGCCACAAGGACAAAGGTGTAAGAGCGTGGACTGTGGCATGTGTGGTTGATATCCTTAATATATGCGCTCCCGATGCGCCATACCGCCCGAATCAATTGCGCGACATCTTCACCGTCATCATCAACACTATTTTACCTGCGCTGGCTGACCCATCGAACGCCTATAATGCTCAGCATCAATACATCCTCGATCAGCTGGTGGACGCGCAGAGCATTGTGCTCATTACAGACATCCAAGACGCAGACACGCTGATTACTCAACTGTTCACAAACGCCTTTGATGTTGTATCTGGTTCAGGCAAGAGCAATTCAAGCGTAGAGCTGGCGCAAAGCGTGGTTTTCCAGATCACTATGATGCTCAACACTGTGGTAGACGAAGCCAATCTCCCGCAAGAGGTTATAGATATTATTATTGCACAATTTCTCAGAGTCGATCCGAGGAGCCACGAGCAGCCAGCTGCGACAAAGAGGAAAACAGCAGACGCCAAGGACAAGACCCAGTCGACTCTGCTACTAAAGAATTACCCTCCAGCTTACAACTTGGCCAAGTCAGTATGCACGGCCTGCTCAGAGAAAATGGCTGCTGCCATCAGTCAATACTTCAACGTCATAATCACAAATGCTGGTGGTGATTTGACTGACGATGTTGAAGAGAAAGCAAAATCACACAGGCGGCACGTTTCACCCGATAGTGACAACGAAGGACAAGATCAAGACAGTCTAAATGACCTGAAAAAAGCTCATCGTCTTGTGCGTGAGTTATGGCGAGCATGTCCCGATGTCTTGGTCAATGTGGTCCCGCAGATAGAGCTTGAACTTGCTGCGGACGCAAAAGCTGTCCGACGCCTTGCAGTCGAGACATTGGGTGATATGATTGCTGGAATTGGCCTTGCCGGCTTGCCTGACCTACCGACTCTTGATCCAGCTGCCTTTCCCCAACCGACCATTGAGACTGCGGATATCACAATACTGTCCAATAACCCTCTGCTGCAACCTTCTGCCCCTAAGCCATTCATACACGTTCATCCTGCAACATACCAAGCTTTCCTTGGTCGCAGGATCGACAGGGATGTATCCGTGCGTGCTTCATTTGCAAAAGCAGTAGGCCGAGTTTTGCTCACAAGGGCTGCAGGTAGTGCTCTTCGAGATGAAGAACTGTCTGCTCTCATCGCGGCTCAAGCTAAGATGCTGAAAGATGTCGACGAACGGGTTCGTCTGAGTGCTTTGCAGAGTCTGGAGAATTTTCCATATCATACGGTCGTCGACATGCTGGGTAGTGATGGTGGTCTTTCAGAGCCATCGTCTCTGTTATCGACTATCGCAGAGCGTGTGACTGACAAAAAACCGCATGTACGTGAGAAAGCGATGTATCTACTAGGATGCATGTGGGGAAGTGCAGCAAGAGATGTTGGAAACGTCAATGATCGAGTATGCTCTATTCTCGGTCAAATTCCCACGAGGCTTTTGTCATCAATGTATGTCAAGGACAATCATATCGGAGCCTTACTTTCAAAGGCACTGTATGAGTATCTTCTGCCATTGAGCTATCCGCCTATCAAAGGGAATATCACTATCAGTGAGACACAAGGCGATGGGGATGTCGCACAAGAATCGGTCGACCCTGATTCTCTACGCGTACGCCGCATACTTACTCTAATTCGTGATCTTGACGAACGGGCTAAGCCTGTCTTCTTCGGTTTGCAGAAACGCCAAGCTGATTTGAGCAAAGCTATCACCACATTCCTCAGAGCTTGTGAGGAATACAATGCAGGCGTTGCTGATGACGAGAGTGACGAGAAACGACTCAAGGAACAATTGACCAGATTCATTGATTCACTCTCGAGACAGTTACCCGACCCTGCAAAAGCCGTGAATGACTTGTGGAAATTCGCCAGGGCACACGATAGACGGGCTTATCAGCTCATCAGGTTTGCTATGGGTGCAGAGCACGAATATAAGACCATGACGAAAGCGATCAAGGAACTCAACAAGCGTCTACGCGATAATGGTATGGGAAATGTCCTTGAGACTTTGATGCCCATATTGTATCAATGTGCTCTGATCAGCTACAACCGGAGTCATATTCCAGCCATCATGGATTATGCGAGATCTCCTGACAATGGATTTGCCGAAGCTGCTCAAGAAGTATTGAGAGAGATCTCGGAAAAGGTTCCGGAAGTAATGAAGACTCATATTCAAGTGTTATGTGGAGAGCTCGAAGATATGGCGCCGTCCCAGAAGAACACGGAACCAGCATCTGCGGTCGACTCCCTCAAAGCATGTTCGGCATTCGCCAGGAGGTTTCCTGAAGATTTACCTAAGGAGCGTCGTTTCTATACTGCCATGCTGGCCTTTGTACAGTTCTCGCAATCTCCGAAGGCAGCAAAGCATGCAGCCACCATTACCCTTCTCGCTTCAGATAAGAAGGAAATGTACGCAAAGGATGTTTTGACCAAGGCAATCAAAGCCTGCAGTTCTGGAACCAACAACAGGCTTACTCATCTTGCGGCTATCTCTCAAGTCTGCTTGATTGCGCCAGCTGCTGCCAGTGCACAAGAAGATCAAATACTCAAGATTGTCAACGAGACGTTGCAGACCACTGAATCGAAGTCAATAGAATGGGACCAGACTGCTTGGTCGGATGAGATAGATGATGAGACTGCAGCGAAGCAGTTTGCTCTCAGGATTCATGTTAACCGTTGCCGCGGAGAACGTGGAAGGGATAACAAGGAAAAGTTCGAAGAGCTAGCCAGCACAGCTGTCAAGACCCTATTGGATGTCATCGAGCACGACGGAATTGTAGGCGGTAGTGAGGCACCTTCAACCCAACGCAATCATCTCCGCTTGACAGCAGCCAAATACATCCTGAAGCTCTGCCGCCATAAACAGCGCTGTGAAGAGCTCATCACCCCTGAGATGTTTCATACTATCGCCTGGATATTGCTTAGTCCACCTCATGGTGTGCGAAGTGGTCTTGTCCATCAACTCAAAAAGTATCTATCACAAAATCGACTTAACGCCCGGTGGCTGACATTGCTGTTCCTTCTACCTTTCGAACCAGACGATGAGCTGCGAGTTTCTACCATTGCATGGCTGAAATCAAGAGCAGACTTCTTCGCACGCCAACAGAAACAGGCTCGAATGAACAGCGACAAGAAGCCTGCCCAGAATATCATAGAACTGCTACTTGCACGCTTTATCTCGTTACTGGCTCATCATCCGGACTTCCCAGCCAAGGGTGACGACGACTATGAGGGTCAGATGCTAGATTTTGCCAAATACATAATCTTTTACCTCCAATGCGTTGCCACAGACGACAACCTTTCTCTGATCTTTCATGTAGCGCAACGGATCAAGCAAGCTGCAGACGCCACAAGCAACAGCGAAGAGATGGATGAGCGACTCTACATCTTGAGTGATTTAGCTCAAGCCACGATTCGCAACTATGCTGACCAGATGCCTGGGAGCGCTAAGGGAACAAACTTGCTTCAGACCTGGCCTGGCAGAACACATCTTCCAAATCTGTTATTCAAGGCAATTAATGGTCATGCTAAAGCTCAAGACATAGCTGCCAAGAATTATCTTCCTGAAGATGTCGCTGCTGGCCTTACGCATCTTGTAAAAAGAATGATCAGAAATACTAAGCAGAGCACATCGTCGCGACACAAGACACCGGCATCAGACAGGAAACGGAAACTATCAATGTCCATTGATGCCGACGACGACAACGACAACGAGCCAGGATCGACGCGCAAGTCGGCGAAGAAAAACAAAAGGGATAGAGCAGCATCAAGCCTGCCAATCCGAAAGACTCCGAGTAAAAGCGCCAAGAAGAGAAAGAGTGAGCAAGCAGCATTGAGCGTCGAGCAGCCGAGCCGAAAGAGTGTGCGAATGAGCTCAAGCAAAAAAGTCAACTATGAGGAGAGCGATGATGACGATGAAGAAGAGGGCGATGCGGAAGATGTTATCCCGTACAAGCCGGCTCCGATGGAGAAGTACAAACACAAGACGACGAAGGCGAGGGATGAGACTCCTGTCATTGAGGAGGAAGATGAAGAGGATGATGATGCTGGCGATGATCAAGAGGAAGAAGCTGCCTCGCCGACGCAGCAGAGGAAAAGTGCCACAAAGAAAGTTGGCCTGAGTGATGATGAGAGTGGCGTACAATCCGGAGAAGCTCAAGACGACGAAGTCGCGGCTGAAGAGCATGAAGAAGAGGTCATTGAGTCTGAAGACGCCGCAGACGTCGAGATGACGAATGGTGCTGACAAGGAACATGGAGATGATGTTCCGACCAACGATGAGCAGGATGCCATGGATGAAGATGAGGAGGAGGAAGAAGAAGAAGAAGAAGAAGCAGAAGAAGGGGAAGAGGCTGAAGCCGCTCCTTCGCCTCCGGCACCTAAGCGTAACGGAAAAGCGACGCGTGCCAAAGCTACACCACAAACTGCATCAGCATCAGACAAAACGTCAAAGGCGAAAGAGAAAGCGTCAAGTACGAAAAAACCTGTCAGCACTATCAAAGCCAAGCCTTCCTCGAAGAAGGACGTTGCGAGAGACAACTCGGCCACGACATCGCCTGCAGCGGTGACAGAGTCAACTAGGAGAAGCTCTAGACGGCACAAGGCGTGAAGTGCTGGGCTTCGAGGTCAGTGGATGTATGTAGATGTTACGAGAGTTAATGTTCACATAATGGTAGTGATGACTGTTTACAATTCATGTCAGTTGTTGCTTTGAAACGGCTCTATACGAATAAGAAATGTTTTGAGCCGAAATTTTTGTGTTCTTTTCGTACGGGTACAGCATGAGCGGATTAGCTGCTAGGTTGAACAGGTATATTTAGCTGCCTCTGTGAACTTTCTTAGCTTCGTTGTGTTTGGGCTTGTACCTATTCGTCGGGCTGGATACTATAGAGTTGCAGATTGTTCATGTCTTTTCATCGTACTTAGCGAGGATTGCAGCACTTTACGACAGCCTCGCAGGTGGGGTGCTCCTTGATCTGTTGTCGCAAGCAACTCATCAATGAGTCCCTCAATGTCCGTGGTCATGGTTGCGCGTGGCAGAGCTGGCAGTCCTGTGAAACTTCTTCCTGTCGTTTTGTCGTAGTCGTGTCAATATGCTCACGGGTATTGGCATTTGTGAGATATTGACCACATGAAGCGAGCTTGTTCGAGTCGATTGTTCTTGAAGGCATGTGTGCCTTCACCCTCCACAGATTGTATCGTCCGGTAAATAGTCTAAACGTCTTCTTTTGTGATATTCTCGTAACCTCGTCGTGGATTTCATTATTTTCTCGGCAGCCATCGTGGCTAGAGCTTGATCGCGGTTGTACGGTTCGGCCCTGAAAATTTGGACATATGCTTGCATGAAGTCTTCGTCAGAATTGTAGTTCTCGTAGGCTAGTTTACGAAAACGTTGATTAGCCAATGCGGTGGCATCGAGTTGTCGTATCCTCTTCAACTTCCGTGTATAGACTTCTGTATCCCAAGTACTACTGGTGTAGCCGTAGTAGACGTCGAGAGCCAAGTTTCGGAATTGCTGAGACACATATAGCAGCGAGTAAATCGAGGGCCCTGTATTGCGAATGTAGGGGCTCCGTAATTCTTTGACAATCATGTAGAGGATTTCTGGCGGGAGTTCTGACAGTGTTGGCATTCTGCTTGTGTCTTTGTCAGCTGTTCTCTAGAAACCATGCCTCTGGTGTGCTGAAAGATAACGAAAGTACATATGTAGATCTGGGGCGTTGGTTAGACATGGCACGTGGAAGCGTGGTTGAAATGAAGTATGTCGATCAAAGTGTCTCTCCACACTAAAACAAATATATCTTGGTTTTCATTGCAAGGCTCGACATTGCCACCTCCTTTAGACTCGCAACCAGACCCGCTGCTGAGGTATAGGACTCAGCACTTTGATGCTGGCCATTGAGCTGCTATCTTCAGAGAAGTGTAGCTTTGTATGTGTTTGACAATCTGTTATTGCTTCGATCCAGAACATGTTGATCTTCAAGGTCCATGCACAACTCCAACAGTTGAAGGACTCCTGACTCGCGAAGTGGGACACTCTAGCAGGGCTGTAAAAAAAGCGACAAGAAGCGAGGACATCAAACTTACCGGCAGTCACAAATCTCGGCACCAGCGCGGTCAAACATCAATCAATCTCCGGGATCCACAACCGATATTGAAAGTGCTCCTCACCTCATTCATGGCCCCATCCTATACCTCTCATGCAGCCATACTAGACCACAACAACGTCTTAACACCTCTGTCAAATTAGCGTGGCGCACAAACCCGATCTATAGACGCCTCGCGCCATTGGCACCAAGACCATCATGAGTGCTGACGGCATTCTCGCTACGGCCATGCCTGCTTTCGCTTCTGGGGTTCGGATTGCTCTGTGAAACAGTTACCTGCAGTGGTCAGTGCTGCAGTCTCAGACCAAATCTATCTAAATGCTTAGCCATGCCATTCGAAACGCCTTTTCCGTCGCCGGATATGTGCATCTTCTCCTCCATGCCAGCTGCAGCCTTTGACCTCGCAAACTCAACTTGAACGTTGCTCCTCGATGCACATCGTGTCGCTTCCTAATGCTAACTACCTTGTCGTTCAACGGTTCTGTCAGATGCTCCTTCATGCAGCTTCTCCGTCATTGATCAGTGATCTATTCCTGTGTTGTTACTGCTCGAAATATTTAGATCATCCATTTGTACTTCCTCTGCCACATTATTGAGCTGGACTTGTGGTCTCGTTGAATCGATATCATCAAACCAAGTGACCTCTTTAACTTCTCGAATCCACAAGGAGATCTGGACCGTAATGAGCAGCGCACGGGATCCAGCGTTCTGGCGACGCTTCTCAACAGCAGTCCGCCTTGATGAAGAGAAGGCCACCACACTTACCACTACCAGTACAACGTCTGACATGACAAGCTCTTCACGTCCTACGTTGAAACATTCGTAAGCGCGACACACAAGCCGTGAAACAGACTCTAACTTTGGTAGCGAAACATGGCTTGATCGACAGCATAAGAAACAGAAAAGAGCCTTTTGCTATGGCTGGACGATAGTCATTGTCGCCTTGCTCGTGATTCTGGGTATTGCAGTGGTATGCCTCTGGATCTTCAGGGTTGGCCCTTTCGACAACATGGGATGAACAAAATACAGAGCTTTTTTTTCCCAGCAGACCTAGAAACGCCATGTCAAAAACCAGCATCTAAGCTTGGACGATTGGACCTCTATGTGCACCCAATTTTCACGAGACCACGATCAGGTGACGATGACGCAACGACGACATGAAACCGAGTAGCTGAATGACACGAACAAGAAGAGACATCCTCCAGCCATATCCAAGGACAATACGAGATGGACGCGTCTACTGGGAAGGACCACGAGACCGGTGCTACAAATACGCAAGTGTCAAGGGACTGTGCCCGATCCTGGATGGATGCTCAATACTCAAGCACTATGACTGCTTACAAGACGTTGTGAAAGGCTTGATTGCTGTTTCACTGATGGGTGCTATCCAATACTCGCTCTTGACATGGGAATTGGCGGTCTTGATGCCAGAACGCCCAGACGTTCATGCACAAGCATACGGTCTTCTCATAAGACGTGTCTGTGTGATCAGCTGGCCATCAGAAGTCTTGCGAATGCAAAAGAGCAATTTAGACTTCGACTGATGCCACTGGAAGCAATCACGTTTCTTATCGATAATCGACGAACAGAACGTCGGCAGGTTCACGAAGAACTTGACATCTCACATATGCGGCCGCAATGGTCAGGCATCTCGTAATGCCTGAACTCAAGTGTTATCCCAGTGATACAGAGCTGTACCAAACACAATTTTATGACGCCTTCCGAGCAGGTCTACCAAATGTCGATGCCTCATCCTCGTGATCAGAAAAAGATCACAGCCAGCAACATCAGTTTGCGAAGTCCCTCAAGTTTCTCAAGCACTGAAAAACGTGAGCCCAGTAGACCAGATGTTCAACCTTGGAGCCATAACAATAATTAAACGTAGTGGAAATTGATGAACAGTTCGCGTTGGCCTATTTTCCTCGTTAGGCATAGTCTGACCTTGGCTTTACCCCAAATTCAATACAACTGCTTGTTTTTCTTCTCCTTATATTCTCGCCCAACAACCCCGTCCTCACTTTCTACCGTTCTCGTCGATTCACGACTCCAGGAGTCGATACGAGCTCGTTTCTAGCGGCAGCCTCGCGAAGTCAAAAGCTTGACGAAGCGTGACTGAGCTTTTATTCAGACAAGATTCTCCGTCATGTGGCTGCTCTAGCCTCGGTTCTTCCTTTTTCGAATGAAGAGGTCTTCCCATTTCACGTAACTAAAGCCTAGAACGACTCGTGCTCTTTACGATGGTTCCGAGTCAAGCACACTACAGACTGCCGTTACGATTGCTCTACGCCCTTATTTCGCGAGTCTCGTACCACAAGGCGACGATGCAGTGGGCCTCCGTGCGAATGTCACTCAAACATGGCAACTCCCACCATGTATACCAATTCCCTTCACTACTTTCTTCCTGTACTGTCCTCAGCTCGTCTTTGAGTCTTCGCCATACTATTGCAGTCACTCGTTTCGCGTGAGGTGTATACCTCGTTCACTCTTTTTGTCCTTCTTTCATTAATATGCACTTCACTAACCTTCCGAATGCGGCGCTGCTGCTTCTCAGTAACCTTGCATTGTGCGCCACGTCTGCCGAAGCTTACCAGGCTCTCGATGAGAACGTCACTACGACTGTGACAAGATTGCACTTTACTTGTCCTTGCGATGATTCTACCTGGACGACTATTGTTCCTGGCGCTTCACAATCTACCACATCCAGTTTGAGTCTCAAGGATGGTTTGCCAATCATCACTAGAACGGTTTACCCTGTCGAGGCCTCTGCCTCGTCATCCACCACGTCAAGCCAGGAGAGTAGTGGTAGCACGACCACGACTCAGACAAATGGAGCATCGTCCACAAGTCTACTACCTGACCACCCTGGTCCAAGCTCGACGACAACGACGACCATTTCTGCAGGCAGCACCACCACATCTCCTGTATACGGAGATCAGTCGACTACTTCGTCTTTAGACGGATCTCCTACTCAACCAACCACATCTGGGTCATCGTCTACTATGTCAGTCATATTGAGCACGCCTAGTTCATCTCAATCTACTACATCCAGCTCGTCCCTATCTCCCACGTCCAGCACAATTACAACGACTACTCAGACAAGCTCTTCAGAAGAACATCATGGCTTCTCTTCAACGACAACCCACAGTCGGGGATCCACACCAACTGGCAACCCTTTTAAAGTTCATGTCGAGGTTGCCAATGGCTTGAACAAGCGTTCGATTCATGCTCTTGCTATCGTCGGCGAAGAGGTATTCGTCACGGACGCATCTTCTGCCTCGAATTTCTATCTTGCGGCAAATGGTTCTGTAACGACCAAAGATGACAGTAGGCTCGGCGTTCGTGCTGTTACTGGACTACAACCAGTCAAGACTGCACATAGACAAGCAGCTCTCGCTCGTATTGCCTCTCTTAGTGGTGGAAAGCTCTTCATTGACTCATCTGCCACCTTTTGCGTCCAGAATAGAGTCGAGCTTAAAGTTGCTTTTGGCAACGTAGGGCCAAGTTGTGTGGCTGCAACACTGACAGCACATTTCACCAATAATAGCACAAGCGTTGTGGTAGGTGCAACGAATTCGACATCGAGTACTTCAGTCGTAGCTGGCACAACAAACACAACATCGACCACGTCAGTCGCGCGAACAACGACATCGACCACTTCGTCTACCTTACCTGCACTGACGACAACCTCTGCTATAACAACTGCAGCCCCTTTCACAAACACTACATCAACGACTTCTTCTACCTCAGCTCTGCTAACGACAACCTCTACTACGACAGTTGCAGGACCATTTACGAATACTACGTCGCAATTGATGACTACCACAATGACCACTACTAGTGTTTTGTCGTCAAGCAACAGCTCCACTACCAGTGTTGCACCAGCAGACCCAACTCCACTTCCTCAAGGCAATTCTACCGCACCTGAGAAGGGTACGGACCAGGGATCCAACAGCGGCTCTGCCGGTCACGAGACAAATTCCACGGCGCCCCAAACCGGTTCTGAAACTTCTCATGGCGGTGCGTCTGGTTTCAACTCGACGGATGGAGGGTCCTTCCAGGGAGCAGGCAATAACACAGGGCCATTGGGCTCACCGCAGGGCGGCACATCAGATGGGGCTGACTTCCCTCCAAATTTCGACCGCCCGATTCCTGACACGAACCCAAACGGTCCCGCTGCCAACTTTCCTCGACCCATTGGTGGTGGAATCTTCACCATCCCGTCGTTGTCGGGTATTCCTGGCGGTAGCCCAGCGACATCATCGTCATCAACACCGGCGACCATTGCAACAGCGACTACCGATTCATCGACATCGACCACAAGCGGGATTTCTTCGACTACAACCACGGACGTCTCTTCGACTGAATCAAGTACGACAGAAGCACCATCGACAACGGAAGCCGCCGTTGTTGAAACTACATCGTCAAGTGAGGTTATTACCACCACAAGCACTGACGCTTCGACAGCGTCTCCTGGTGCTACCACACCTGGCGAGGGCAGCGGTAGACCAGTCGACAACGCCTCTGGTGGGAGTGCAGGCGTACCAAACGGCAGCGGATTCGGTGGCGATTCATCAAGCCCCTCGTCAGGTCTTCCTTACAGCGGCACCAATAACAACAACGGCTTTGGTGCCGGTAGTAGCGGCGGCAATGGTAATAATTTTGGCATTGGTACTGGTGGCAGCAGCAGCGGCAGCGGCAACGGCTTTGGCTTCGGTACAGGCAGTGACAGCGGAAACGGTTTCTTCGGCCAAGGTTCAGGCCCAGTCGCGGGATCATCTCCTTCCACACAAGCAGCTTCGACAACCAGCCTGGAATCAGGCAATACTTTGGAGACACCAGCTGCTGCTAGTGCCACAGAAGCAAGCACTACCACCACGTCCGATGCAGTCAGCACCACAACTACTGTTGAACCAAGCACTACCACAACCACGGAAGAGACTACTACGCAAACGACAACGACTGTAGAAACGTCGACCACCACTCAAGATGCCATCACAACCACCACTACCACCACCACCTCAACCACCAGCACTCCTCCAGCATCAACAACCACATCCGCATCCCGCAACGATTCCTCCAACGGCACAAACAACGCATTCCCAGCCCAACCAGCTCAGCAAAACGGCGGTGGCGGCTTCGCTATCCCTGCTCCCGCTCAGCCAGCAGCAACGACCACACGTGCTTTCGCAGTAGGAGTGGGAGTCGGTGGCGGTTTCGATACAGGTGCACGAGCTACGAATACGCCTGGTGTCAATTTTGTGGATTTTAGTAGTCCTAGGAACTAGTATCAGGGCTCGGTTAAGGGTTAGGGTTGTGTATGAGTTAGTGCGATTATATAATCTATGGAAGCTGTCTTGGGGGTTCAGTCGATAGTGCAACTGAGGCAAGATCATGAGACTAGATGTATCTCCAGAAGAGCGAGTTCTATACGTATCGACTGGATCTCCTGGTCATATTTCTAGTGAAAGACTAGTTCTCTATTGCTAAATGATGCTTCATCTGTTCAATAAAATGCTAGGCGGCACGCTCACTAATATGGACGTGATAGTGACTCCTTAACTCCAGATACAAGTCAGAGTTGGCATCATCCACTTCTATGACGAAATGAAGACTTTGGTTGAAGTACGCCAACCTTGATCGTCTTATCGCAGGAACATCAACACGGTACCGTTTGCGGCTGACAACACAGCAGTTTCGTAGGATGCGTATGACAATCTAGCACGGCTCAGAATAACACGATTGTGCCATTATCGAATCGTGGATCGCATCCAGAACGGAACGGGATTGCCAGGGAAGGCCCTGTTGGCTGTTCACTTGATGAGCTCCCTAAGCTCGGTTCAGGTGAACAACGAAGACGACCTTGCTGCCAGCCACGTGCTCAAGATAGGCATATAGCTCATCGTCGCCATCGACGGGAAACTCCATCATTCCTCCGCCTGGAGCCTTAGTCACACCCTGAAGTTTTGCAATGATTGAATCGGGCCACTTTGACAGAATTGCTTGTTCCAATTCTGTGTAGGTACGCATGGCTAATGTGGTCAGAAACATTTTGTCCTTGGCATGAATATCTGAATCAGTATGAGGCCTAACGTAGACTGCAATCGGTGGTAAGGCGGAGACGATATCATGGCCTTCGTCTTGCACTACAGACTGGTCTGCATGCTGCTCAAGAGGCTGTAGCAGTGAAGGATCGATCTGCATGTCGAGCTCGAAGTTTCCAGGTGGGGCAGCAGGAAGAGGAGGCGCAACAGATGGACTAGGAATTCGCTTCTTAGCAGGAGTTGTCACCGGGATCGAGGTTCCATCGTCACGTTTCTGAGCATCTCGCAGTCTCTTCATCACATCCCGACAAAGAACCTCAAGAGCCTTTTTCTTTTTCGCCAAGATGCCCAGGTCTTGGTCTTCCCTCATGATCTCTTGCAGCATCGGTGTGGACTGGATCCATTGCTCTTTTAAGTCGTTCCAATGGTCCGGACCAGTTTCGAGCTTGCTGGTGAAATGATCGTTCTGTAGAATACGGTAGAAGGAGTCTCGTATCTGGCGGCTTTGCTCTGGGTTGATTGTGAGAATATTCTTGGCATCGACTATGGTCATACGTGTCTCGACCGTACGCATTCTCTTGGTCACGTCTGTACAAATAACGTCCAAAGCGAGTTCCTTTCCGGGCCGATCTATTGGGTCTGCAAAGACGGCGTTGAGATGTGCGTTCTCTTCGATCAGTCTTCTCTTAGCGGCAGCCCATTTATCAGTACCAGCCAGAGTTTTCTTGATGATGTTCTCGTCCTCACAGATGCGCTGGAAATCCATCCTTGCTTCTTTGTAAACTTCAGGAATCATGGAGAGGTTCTGCATGCTCTCACCAAGAGTGAGCTCGGATGGGAAACGAGGAGGACCGGGAGGATCAGCAGGAATGCCGGCATAGTCTCTAGTCCTGCGACGTCTCTTCTTTGCCGCCCATCTTTCATCGCTCTCAGCCTGCATCTTCTCGTGGCGCTCCTTTCGTTTCTTGACAACTTCCTCAGGGACTTCTTCAGTGACTGCTGGTATGACAGTCGTGTCGTCCTTTGACACGGCATCTCCCTGGAGCTCTGCAGCTGCTGCAAGCAGCTCGTTTTCGAATGCGACTTCCGCAGGGGTAGCCTTCTGGCCGTTGGGAATACGTAGAAGCCATCGGTTCTTGGCTCGAACGCGCATCAATTCGCGCTCCTTGATCTGAAAGCCTTCCTCGTTCAAGGTGCGCAGCATGTCGCGTTGTGAGTAGTTCTGCTCCCATAGCTCTTTGACGCGAGTGACCAGGTCGACATTTCGATGGGCAGGGTTCTGCTTCGAAGGGAAGTTCCAGCGCTTGAACTGGGTTTGGAATGCGCGCTTCGAGGGTGCAAACTGGTGAGTTTCTTTCATGTGCTGCATAATATCCTCGAGAGACTTTGACATGTTAGCAAGGGCTGGTCGGAGTTGAAGTTGTCTTACCTTGCGCTCCGTGATATACAGGCGGTAGCATTCATCCTTGAAGTTGTCCCACTCGTAAACCTATTGTGGTCAGACATATTGGTCTTGAGCATTGCAAGCAAAAGTCTCACCATCGTAAGAAAGTAATGCGCTTTTGGAGTGAATGATCTCAATTACCGGTACGGTGAGCCAAAAAGACGCGCTGTTCAAAGAGGTCGAGGGTGAGAGTGGAAGTGAGGTGCCGTAGCTTTTCTCTACGGAAGACACTCTTGGCGCTAATTCGATTACGGACGATTCGGTGAATTGGCAGGAACGTGGCCGCACCTGCCTGTACCAAATCTCACGTGCCTGTCCTTCCTGTGCAACAAACGAACTCATATACAAATTTCGCATCCATTGAAACATACAAACAGACTATCCGAAGCTGTCTTCGTGTCTTGCTATATCGAGTAGCTCTGTATTTGTACTAGCTCCTTCTTGCAGCTCAGCCAACATCGAGTCCGCTGTTAAGCTGCTGCGATGGAATCGTGCTCTTCCGTCCTCATATTCCAAGATGTGCTGATTACATATCCATGTTTCGCAGATTGACGCTGAAGATAGCATGCAGTCTCTGCTGTCGGTCGTTCACGCCACAACTCCACTACCAATGATCGACCGATCATAGCTTAGACTGCTTCTTGTCCTTCAGTGCACCTCTGTCCTTCTCGGTTGGTTCGTTGTTCGACTTCTCTGCCTTCAGCGAGACAGGGTCCCCAAGTTCAGTAGGATTCTTGTCCTGCGTGGCGTTGGTGTCCTTGCCAGCTGATTCGGCTCCCTTCTCGCTATCTGCCGGTTGGCGGCTGCTCTGCTCGGCCTTGAGTGATACTGGATCTCCAAGCGAGCTGGACTCGCCAGAGTCGAGCTTTCGCTGGGCCTTCTCTTTTAGTGTTTCGCCCATGTTGAGGATACTGTAAGGTGTGAGAAACAGACGGAGGACGATTTAGCAGTGTTGAAAGTATGCTCTTGTGAACAAAGGAAGGTGCTACCCTGTAAACATAAGCATCGAGGTCGCACATGCTCAAGCCGCGGCCTCGGTGCGTGCCTCAGGACCTCTGACGTCTTTCATTTTTCGAACTCGATCGATCGTGGTAGGTTACCCCAGCTCATCGGGGCTTTATACAAGTTGACGACGACAAGCATTGCTGAAGGATGACCTCAAGTAACGTTCAGTCGCACTACACCATGATCCTTGGTCAAGGACTCAAACATATACGCGTTACCTCGAGCTACTGGTGACAGCCTTCCTGATAGCAACAGCATGATACTCGAAGTTCGGCCATAAATTGATTGGTCTTCCCCGCACAAAATGTTTCCGATCGTTACTGGTCACGCAATGGCCTGACCATTTCGACATGGAAGAGATGAACATAAAATACATATCAAATTGACTCGCGTCGCAAACCTGTCAAGCCAGAAGTGAAACTCACAGTGATTTTGACGCACGCAGCTAACATGTCTTTTGACTCAATTCCCATCCTGGATCTCTCGCTTGCCCAAAACTCATCGACTAAACCAGCCTTTCTCAAAGACTTGAGGCATGCTCTCCTCGAGGTTGGCTTTCTTTACATCAGAAATGCACCTGGAATATCCGATGAACTGGTGCAAAAAGTTATCACGCTTGGCAAACAATTCTTTGAGCTTCCCGAAGACAAGAAACTCGAATGCGAAATGAAGAATGCAAAATCTTTCCTTGGCTACAACAAACTTGGTATGGAAGTCACGAGGTTCAAGACTGATTGGCGCGAACAGATAGATCTGTCTACGCCACATGCCGTACCTGGACCGGACGAGCCATTGTACAGAAATCTTCTTGCTCCTAACTTATGGCCAGACGAATCAGCACTCCCAGAATTCAGACAGACCTATGAGGAATATATGACTAAAATGGGCCGAATGTCAATGTGGTTCACAAGTCTAATCGCCGAAGCAGTTGGACTGCCGAGCGATGCATTCGACCAATTCTTTGATGGAGACGCACAGCAGCATAAGTTGAAGATTGTTAAGTATCCAGACCTCGCGGAATTAGGAGTCGAGGGCGAGGCACAAGGCGTAGGACCACATAAAGATAGCATGCTGTCGAGTTATCTATTGCAAGCCTCGCACCATCGCGGGTTACAAGTCCAGAATGGAGATGGTCAATGGGTCGATTGTCCGCCCATCGATGGCACGTTTGTCGTCGCTGTAGGACAGGGAATGGAGGCGTTGACTCAAGGTGTTTGCCAAAGCACTACCCATCGAGTCCAGAGTCCACAAAGAGGCTCAGGTGCTCGATACAGTATTCCTTTCTTCCAGGGCGTGAGCTATGACGCGACATTCGAGAGTATGGAGGTTCCTCAGGAGGTTAAGAAGCTGAGAGAGGATGTTCTCGCAAGAAGAGGTGGAAGGCTGGACGACATCGAGTTTACTTTCGTGAAAGGCATGTGGAAAAGTCTTGGTGAAGCAACGTTAATGAACAGAATCAAATCACATCCCGATGTGAGCGAAATTTGGGTAAGCCGAACCATTCGTGTCCATACTGCTTATGCTGACCACAGTAGTATCCGGATCTATTAGCGAAAATTCGCGCTCAACAAGCTGCAGCAACTGCTGCCTGACGTGTTTCTAGTAGAGCCACTCTTGAGCATGTGATCAACCTTGAAATGTAATCAAGCTTAACTATTCTGCTTTTTCCCACTCTTATTGTGCGTATTCTCAGAACTGCAAGCGTGCATGCGTGGTATGACTTTTCCTGCGTCTACACTTGTAAACCATTCAGTCCTGTTGGATTCTTCTTCTCTTCCTTTCCCTGGTTTGCGTGTTGCTTTCTGGCGCTTCAGACGCGACGAGGTCGTCCACAGCCTGGCTCAAAGCCGCCTGGCCTACGACTTCCCGAGATCCACGCCCAACAACTGCCCCGTCAGCATTGACCAAACTCGCCGGTCTAGGAGCAACGAGAGAGTGACGAGCCGGACCAGCTCTCGTGCCAGGAGAGATCTGGCTCCTAGAGTGATTGCTAGCCACAGAACGGCTACCCTGATATCTTGCCGGATCAAACGGCTGCAGCGTCTGCAGGCTCGTCATGCGACCCTCCGATATACTCAACAGCCGGACATGCCATCGCAGCTGGCCCCGCGAATCCTTTCGAAGCCCGATGATGGTTTCCCGCCGCCTCATTTTGGAAGAAGGTTTTGTGCCATGCGTGGTCGCCATCCTTCTCTGTTTATCAGTCAATTTCCTCTCGTCGATAGGGATTGTCATTCCGTGATTTGCCCTGATATCATCAAGAAAGACTTGCGCGTCGCTCGTAGGTTTGCCGTCGTAGTCGTGGAGTATTCCGTTGCTGATTGTGTCGAGCATTTGTCCCTCCTGCTGCACAAAGCAGACAAAGTTGCCGTAGAACATGTCTGCTGGGAGATGAAGTCTGGGATCGATGGGAGGGATGGGCTCCATGGTAGCTTGTTGGCGGAAAAGGAATTGTTGGTCGCCTAGTGGAGCGAAGCCTGTGTTGTGGCAGACTCGATATCGTTGCTGGAGGAGTGCGGCGCTTTGACGGCGTCGAGGTAGTCGACGTAGTGAAAGGGCCAGGAGAACTCCACGGATAATGGTCTGGTAAGCTCGAGGTAGGCTTCAGGTTCGGGTTCGTACGAACCCCGGATGTACAAGGACCTGTCTGTTGGATCTGGAAGTGGTTCGGCTTCGTACAATTTCTTGCTTCTTGGTTTGATATGCATGGAAGTCGTGCGTAGACGAGTATATTCGTAGTCGCGAGTTCTCTGGTCGAATATAGGAAGCGTGATCATAGAGCTCCTGAAGACAGCAACGATTACGGCAAGCCGTATCCTGGGCACGATGCTGATGTCCTCTACCCAAGGTATGTGATTAGGATCTGGAGCATGATTAGACGGCACGATTGGTTCTACATGTGGTACTCTGATAATTGTGCCGCGTTTCCAGGCACGTGGATCTGTCTTTCCATATTTGAGGTGCGGTCTGAGTAGAGCCTTCTCTGTCGCGGACCTCTCCAGGTGTTGCACTATCGGATACGAGGTCATTGTGTCGATGCTTGTTGGTGTGGTATTCAACACAACGGGTATCCTCTGATTTCTAGCAAGACGTGTAGACGTCGAGATATCATGATCGATGAAACAGTCGTTGATCCCAATCGTGTAGAAGCCATATCCGGCGACCTGCTTTGTCAGAGCTCAAGGCTTACTCAGAAATAATTCTTGCTGAGGGTTTGAGAGAAGCAGAGCACACGTGACAAAGAGAAACAATGCTCGACGCCTTACCTTCTTCGTGAAGTCGATCACAATGCGTGATATATGCGAACAGCAGAGAGATGGGCTGATTTTCCTTCCTACGAGTTCTTGAATTCGGACGTGACGATTTTGTTGTAGTCGCCGAGTATCTCATATATGGTCAGCTTGGGAAAATGCATCTGCTCGAGGCCCAACTTGAGAACAGATGTAGCCAAGTCTGCTCAACTGGTCGGAGTTGTTAGTGTGGTTCTTATCAAGTCCTCGCCGTCGAAATATCGATGGTCTGTAGCCAGACTTCCGATGGGCCAGAGTTGCTCAGCAGGGCAGACTGGGCAGAACATTGTGGTTGCTCCGAGTACGCGCGACTGTTCTTCGTTTCGTACTTCATTGTTTGCTTTCGTCGCCTGTCCTTGCGTTCCTGCTAAGGTGCTCCGTACACTACATTGGACCATGCCATTAGTGTCACTTGGGCCAGAGCATGTCAACCAAGTGGCTCATTCTGGCGATGGCACACGCCAGATAGGCGTCAGCTGGTGATTCGTAGACCCTCGGTTGAAGGCGCGAACGCTACAGGTGCATTTTCGGCACTTTGGAGTGCATATACGAGGAAGACAATGTGAGAATAGCTGAAGATGGATGGGGGTGATCATAGTTGGTGCCGAGTGCGACACCATTCTTGAGGAAAGGCTTGCACGTAATCGAAGAAGATGCTGGTTGAGCGCAGTAAGAAATTGAGTAAAGCGGCTACTCTAACCAGTCCTGGACATCCACAATATCAAATACAGATTTTTATTCTGGACTTCCGAGCATACCTGAACACTGATCTCTCGACAGATCTTGATGAAGCAGTGACAGTGCGGCCCCGTACTTGAGCTCGATCGTCATATCGACTCCTTGAAAGTCTCGCTTAGTCTTCTCCTGCTCTATGGCCTTAGTGCTTTTCTTCTTCATCAGTCTCCTCATCCGGGTACCAGTATAGATTGGTCCAATCAGAACATCTCGCTTGAAACCTCGTAAGTCAGCAACTGCCAGGTCCGATGGGTGTTGGCAAAGAGCTTCATCCAGATCGTCACTTTTCCACATAGAAAGACCATCCTCGATAACCTGCAGCAATGGAAAAAACGAACCGAATCTCCAAACCTCGATCAAGTCTTTCACACTGCTTTCACACCTCTTCTGGTTGACGTATGTCCATCGCTGCATATCCCGGGCCTTGTCAAGGTGGTTTCGAGCAAGTTCGAGCTCAGTCTTGCTGCCATGGTCCTGCTCGACGCTTGTCAAATGGCCCATGAACGTGTCTTTTGTGGCGGCAAGGCTCGCTCTCCCTAATGCCAGTGCGAGCAATGCTCGTGCTTGTACGAGACTCACCCACAAAGCTGGCTTGGCTCTACTGCATATGCAATCGTAATCAGTTTCTTTCGTTATGTACTGCTTGCCTTTTGCCTTCCCATCTGCTATCTTCTTCTTCAAAATTTCGTCGGCCTTGTCGCAGACTTCGCCATATCCGTGTTCTGGCCCCCCACATACACGGGGATCGTCCTTCAAAGCTAGCCAGTTAATATCAAACCAAGCGATGGCGGCTGCTAGGCCGTGTCGTGTCGAAGGGTTCTGAAGCAGGTCATGGCCGTGCACAGTGGAAGTGTTGTCGTTGCGGAGCAGAAAGTTTGTGAAGAGAGTGAAAATTTGGACGATGGTTGCAGCAAGCATACCGAGCAGTATTCTCTTCTGGTTTATACTCGGCAATTTGTCGAGTACAGTCATCACTGCATCGTCCTTGCCTGCTTGAAGAAGACTGGCGGCCTCGGGCAAGGTCTCTCTGAACGTGACGAGGGCTAATTCGAGCGGATTTTCGATAGGAATGTTATCGTCCTTGAACTGGTCATCCACATCGTCTACAGACCTTTCCAGCTGCCGCGAGATGGCTCGAGCTCGATCTGCTTGCGAAATTGCTCCTCGAGCAGCTCTTACTTGATCCATCCTCCTCTCACGATACCTTGATCTATGCTTGTCCACAGATTCCATCGTTTCTATAAAGTCCTGATTCTCATAGTCCTCGTCTACCTCTTGGGTTGGATGTTTCTTGAGCATTTCCAGGATCTTGTCTTTGGGCGCATCCTTGTTCCACATTGTTGCGAACAATTCTGCCAATTCTTCTGCCTCTGCTGAGATGGCGAGCGCTGGCAAGTCAACTGGAAGGTCACCTTCTGGGCAAACATCGGTGTCATTGTTCTCTGTGGAAGTCTCCATTCTCGATGGCAATAGTTGTTACCTTTCAACGTGCAGAGATACTTTTTAGAATGCGAGAGCAGCAATTATGAAACGTTTCAGACGTGAGAAGCTCGTCCTCGAGCTTGCAAGCATGCGGCGCAGAGGAGGCTTTCTTCCGTTTGAAAGACACTTCCTGGGGAAGCACTTTGTAAAGAGAGTGGCTCATTGTTTTTGCCTTGTGTTCACCGACGTGAAATTGGTTCAATGCCCTTCGCTGATCTCTTGTGACATTGTCTGACCACCTGTTCCACCTTCTGATTGAATGTGATAGTACCATGTTGTTCATACACCCAGGTCACTGATGGAAAGCCAACCACAACAATGTCCTAACAACGGTATCGCTCAGGGTTCGTGGAACATATTGAGGACGGGTGTAAGAGCAATGTCAGATAGTAAGGAAAGTGTTAACAAGAGCTGGTCCGTAAGAACTATCTGCCAAACAATCAAGCTGATATATGCATCCATATCTGAAAAAGATGTAATCCGAACCGCACCGACTAACGTTGTTTCGCCAGGAAGGTTGATTGCATGCTCGGAGTCTCCTTCGATAATTTATCAGAATCTTACCATGTGAAACAATTACACTGCCGCTCCATAATCAGTGTCGCAGACGTATAGCCCAAAGCAACTGTTTCCGTCGATTCGCCCGCTCTTGTTGTGCACTCCATAATACTCACATTTTTCCATTCAAGTGTCTAGGTACTGTCTGTAGAACTCGATCGCTGTCAGTTCATGATAAATCCGTCAAGTATGCGGTTCAGTTCAAATTTCTCGATCTGTTCATCCGTGTTGCGTGTCCCTTTAATCAGCATTTGTACACATACATCCCCGTGTAAAGTTCCTCTCCCAATGCTTGAAGCAACATCAGATCCTATGTTTGCAGTGCATGGTCAGATGGCGAAAACCGGAGAAACGTACAGCAAACCTGTGCGGTCATGCCGTAAGAAGTTAATCCACACGAGTCGATATCAAATATCTCACGCAATGCAATTCTCATTGCGACAGCCCGGTGAGCTCTACATCGTTGTCAACAGCGTATGCAATCCTTTCACAAAATCACCGATTCTCCTGTCGTCCTCGGGCTCTAGATGCAATGTCGCGGTCCAGCATTTCGAGCAGGAGCAGGAGGAGGGACTTCCGCTCAGCCCATTTGTACCTGCCACGTCGAAATCCGTAAAGGCGTCCGCCTTCGGAATACTCCTAACAATGCTGTTGCAAGGTTTCTTGCCATCGTTGACTAAGGTCTTTCGCTCATATGTGCATTACAGTGGTTCTCGCTCACCTTATTAGGACAGCAGGATCAATTGACCCGCCAGGCGAAACATTCAAAAAGACTGGCTGAGATGATCACAACGATATATCAAGCTGCACTGCGGAACACAAGAATTGCCTTGTTACGGCCCTATAGTCACTTATGCCGAAGCTGAATTGACAACTGATGCCGGACTCGAAAACCATCAGTTGCGGACTCCTTGCAGCTTTCTGCCCCAGTCCGCCCGTCTGTGCAACCCAAAAACAGTGAGAGTCCTATCACGTGTCCATGGTGCTCCGAGAACCAGCTTCTTGTGGTCTAGTCAGGGACTGCCGAAGCTTCTATTTCCGTCATACACACACCATCCGACTCCGGAGTAGCGCCAAGTGTCTCAATCGGGAGGGGCATATGCAATGTCCATAAAAAAATGGCGGTCTGTTTACTACGTCCCAACATCTTGCCTGAGACTATACTCTCTATCTTTTTCTATACTGTACTCGTCAATAAGGTCTCAGGTAAGCTACTATTTTCTTTGTCTCAAGTCTTCACTCTTAGTGGTCACCGCGGGGAATTTATTGGGAGAACGACCATGTCAGCCGAACTTGCTGATAGGAAGAGGAAGCGAGTTGACACCGTATCCGAGCCTAAGCATGTCCCCTATTGTGTTTGAAGCCAGATGTTATGAACCTTTGTTGTACGTAACCACAAACTAACAGATCACGCCTACAGCATGGCATCATCGTCTTCATTACAGGGCAAAGTTGCCCTCGTGACCGGTGCTGGTCGAGGTATCGGAAAGGGTATTGCCCTCGAGTTCGCTGCTCGAGGCGCCAAGGTCATCATCAACTACAGAAAATCAACTCAAGATGCTGAAGCAGTCGTCAACGAGATCAAGAGCCTTGGCTCAGACGCCGTTGCCATCCAGGCCGATGTCACCAAGATTCCAGAAATCATCAAACTGTTCGAGGAAGGCAAGAAAGCCATGGGCAGAATCGATATCGTCATGTCCAACTCCGGCACAGAGGATTTCACCCCTCTTCTCGAAGTCACTCCCGAGAAGTACGACGAGGTCTTCAACACCAATACCCGATCTCAATTCTTCGTCGCCCAACAGGCATACAAGCACTGCGAGGTTGGTGGCTCCGTCATCCTGATGTCCTCGATTGCAGCTGGTACACGACGACCAAAAGACCACTCGCTCTATGCAGGCAGCAAGAACGCCATCAAGGCTTTCGTCCGAACATTGTCGACTGATATGGGTGACAAGCGTATTCGCTGCAACGCTATTGCTCCCGGTGGTGTCAAGTCTGACATGTTTTCTCATGCTGCTTGGCGATATGCCCCAGGTGGTACTCCGGACATGAGTAAGTGAATTGTGAATTGTGCTTTGAGACACGTTGAGATGCTAATTTGTGATTACAGAGGTCGAGCAGATGGAACAAGGTCTAGCCACCATCACTCCACTCGGTCGTGTCGCCGAGCCAGTCGACATTGCACGTGTCGTCTGCTTCTTGGCCAGCAATGATTCTTACTGGGTCAATGGTGAGACCATCGGTATTTCTGGTGGTGCACCAACGTAAGCATTTCACGACAATTCTTGGGGGAAAGCAGGCTTGAGGTTGTTAGTAGGCACATTTAGGAGGTAGATAAAAAGGCAACCTGGAATGCAAAGCTATGCTTACATTGATCTTCATCCCAGCATGGCAATATACTTGTCTTCCTGTTTTACCGCTTACAGTTTCGCCTCCCTGCCCTGCTGTATTCCATCTCTTACAACACGATCAACCAAACTCATCACATAAGCCAATTTCTCATCCTCCAGCCTAGCAGTAACACACTGCACACTCAAAACACTCCCAAGATAAACTCGTCTGTCCGTCATACTTTCATCCCACAACTCCCTGCTCTTCTCATCCCAGCTCCCCAGCATCTTGAGTTTCTCGTCCAACGGCTTCCCAAGCTCAAGATCTTCCTCTTTGACCGGGCGCACTGGTACAGAACCAGCGGGATAATCGAACAAGACCCATGAACTGGTGTAGCCTACAGCATTATACCGCTCGATTTCAGGTACAGGATGTGAGGCGAGAGGACAAAGTATAGCGTCTACCGTCCGTCTCTTATGGCCCTTGTCATCTGTCGTTACTTTCCAGACATCTCGGATCATTTCCCGTTCGAGCTGTGAGCGTTGAGCCTGGATTTCCGCCACTCTTTCTAGAGGTTGAGATTTGCCGCCGTGTTTGAAGCGGGTTGACATCCATGGTACTAGGGGCTCGTCTGTTGCGAGTAGCATTTTGCTCATTTCAGCACCACCATCGATACCCATGAGTTTGCTCATTACGCTCTGAGATCGTGTCCATGCTTTTGGTGTTGGGAGGTCCACGACTTTGATGTTCAGATTCTTTCCGTTGGCCTTGAGTAATGTGGATAGCTCATCCATTAAGTTACGTATGGGTGGCAGTAGTTGACAATTTCCATCACTTCTCAGGATGCCGATCACAAACTCACCATTCGGACCACTTCCTGGGTGTTTATGTCTTGCAGCATTAGGGTCTGATGCTAATGATGCTCCCACCCACTTCTGCGCAGCATTCCAAGGCAAGCAGTCTTCTCCGTAGAGACTCGCTTTGGGCGCTAGCTCTTTCGTTACTACCTCAATGTCCTCCATACGTCTTGCGAGAGGACCAGCGACAGCCTGAACACCTGCTCTGGACATGCCGTCCAGCCCTGTTATTCTTTGTCCACCAAAGGGAACCCTGCCAGCGGAAGGCTTGAATCCGTAAAGTCTATTGCACATAGCTGGTATGCGAATACTGCCTACGAACATGTTAGCTCGAAAGACAGGGAATAAATAGCCAGTAAGGCCATGTCCTGACCATGCTTGATGCAGGTTTCCCGAAGTACGTACCACCAATATCTGTGCCGAAACCAATAGCACTACCACCCATTGCTACAAGTACTCCCTCACCTCCGCTGGAGCCACCTGCTGTCAACAAACGGTTGTAAGGATTCATTGTTCTGCCGAAGACATTATTCACACTATCAAGCGAAGCGAGAGTTTGTGGTATGTTAGTCTTTGCAACGATCACACAGCCCAAGGACTCCAAGAGGTCAACAAGTGGTGAGTTCTTGTCAGCCGGCTTGTTACAGAGACTGGCGATGCCAATGCTGCTGTCAAATCCAGCAACGTCAAAGCCATCCTTGATACTAACCGGTAATCCATGCAAAGGGCCTGTTGCCCCATTCTGAGCACGAAGGGCATCGAGCTTTTCTGCTTTTTGAAGTGCTCTTGTAAAGAGTGGCTCGGTCAGGCAATTGGTTAACTGCTGAGCTATACTTGCACGCCTGATGTATGCTGTCGCAACCTGGACTGATGTGTAAGTTCCATTACGAATCCGCCCCAGTAGATCAGCGATAGAGAGGGTGGTAATTGTTTGTTCTTCATTGCTGAGCAGTTGGTCTGTAATTCTGACGACTGGCTGAGGCCCATCAGATGGCTGAGGAGGGTCTTTGGCTAATAAGTTGGAAGGAACTGTGATGGAAATTGAGGACGGGCTGTGGAGTGCCTCGTCTCGCGCCTTCTGTTTACGGTGAGCTATAGCCTGCCATGTGGCCCCTTCTCCTTCTAGTGCTGGCATTCTCGTTGTTCTGATTATCGATGATGTTATTGTGTAGTGTTGTAACCAACGCCAGTCCCTACGCAATCTCGCTTTATAGTCACACAAAATGTCATACCAGGTTGAGCACAGCAAAGCGGGAGAAATATTGACATTCTGCTAATCTATACTCGATGTTGAGCCTCGGTCCTCCTACTGTCGAGAATCGCTTAGCGTGATATCGGTCGTGTTCTGCCCGTGAACGCGTCCGATATACAAGGTGACTCTCTCTTCATTATGTAGCTGAAGGGCGAATTTACCTACAAACTTATCCCATCTTGTTCCCGTGGCAGTACACAGATTCCTTTCTAACGTGGAAATCTGCAAAAGGGAAGACTTCGACTCAATCTCGGCAGGCTTACCACCATCACTACCAAGAAATAGAAACGACTAAGAGCCTGGCACAAGTCACTGACTAGGTAGTGGCGATGTACTCGTGTTGACCTCTAGGCACCAGTACGGTTCCACACCACCATCATTAAATTGCCATCAAACCAGTACGTGTTTCAATGAATACGAAAAGAAATAGGCAACAACAGGCAAATTTCAAGGACAGGAAGATAGCTAGAACAAGAACTTTTCATTAGAGTTGGCCTTCTCTAAAGTGTTGATGCATGGCTTGAGATGTGTTTGCCAAAAGACGAGCTCGATCTTGAGACCACCACCGGACCACGGTCCAATGATGGGAGAGCACCTACCTTGTCCGCAGATTGACACACTTCCAAAATACAACAACGACCCCAATCTGTGGCTGAGTTGTTAGGACCATTCGAGCCATCGACACAATATGCAGATCACAACAACAAAATTTGATGTGCATGCTTGCCAATGGCCTTCATTGTTGCAAGTCGTAACCCAGGGTGAACCCAACAATACTGAGGTGGAGGGGAGTTGGCTTGTAACCTGTTTCCTGACTCTTTCTATATGTGGAAAACGAACGTGTAGTTGTGCAAACGCTGTGTCATATCCAATCAATCATTCCCTCAATTATCTTTCTTCTTACTATTCGTTCAATTTGCTTGCCTAATCATCAACCCATTCCATGCTATCGAACATGTCCTGCATCTTGCCGACTAAGCTGTAATCTTCACCAGGCTCGCCTCCAAATGTTTGCATGGCCCTTGCCTCCAAAGTACTAATAGAATGAGTAGAAATTGTCGGACGTGTAGCTAGGTTGCCAGGGCGCGTCGCTAGCAGCGAGTAGTCCTGTGAAAGGGGCTCTGGGCTTGCAGTAGACTCACGCGACGAATGACTTGAGCCGACGGAAAGGCAAGCTTCGGACAGCGAAGAGATGTTGTGATAGCCATCTATTTCCCAGACAGTGGGGAGGTCGTGTTCGTATTGATTGCGGCGACTGCGATGCCTTATGCGCCTGCGGTTGTGCTTGTGTGCCATCGTATATTGGGGAGGAATGCGATTTTTTGCGCTGTCCTGAGACTAAATGAGTGCCAGCTAAAGATGCAATGTGAACGATCATGCAAGGTGAACTCAAAGGGAGGTTAGCAGATACTTATACTGTGACGAACAGGCATGAGTCTTCATATCAGTCACACCATTTCACAAAAGAGTCAACTGATTCGTTGTCCTAGCAAACGTCCGTATACGCAGCCTACCGTGCCTGAGTCTGACCACGTATTCGAAGGTTTGCTGAAAAGAAGTTTCTTTCAGCACCAAGGCGCGTGACTCATTGGGTACTGAGGTGTGGGCTGAGACGTCTCGCCACATTCCACCTTCCCAGATAGGAGACATTCCCGGACCATGGAAGGACGAAGTCTCGCGACACTGAATATGGTCCTTCTGTCTCTTCGTGCCTTGGGTAAGGATGGACGATGCTTTTGTGAAGACAAGGGCCAAAGTACTTGAGAATATGAAGATCTGCGGGTTTTGGTTCTTGCCCGAAGATTGCCTCAATGAGCACAAGTGGCCGTTGAGCGTGTTGAAAACACCAACAATGTCAGATATGTATGGCTAGAACAAAGCTGGCTCGGTCTACTCTGGCCACAACTCCTGCTTCATTACTCGAAGATCAGAAGTCAACAAACGGCTGCTGCTATTTTTCGTAGAGATTGACCTTGCTGATTTGCCTTGGTTCAATATATTGGCACAAAATCGGTGCGCCTGGATTGATAACAGTAGGAAGTGTTGCTGTGAGCGGACGATCAGCACTCAAGCCAGGGAAGAGTATATCCGATAGTGGCTGAGCACAAGCTAAAGAGATAGTGTCTCAATCACCTTGCAGGTGATTGGCTTGGGAGCAGAAGGGCTTAAGGACGATTGTGCCATGTATAGGACAAATTGCCGGTGCCACCGACGTTTTGGCACCAGATACTGAGCCATCTTTGCATCTTGTAACAGTATGGTCTGTAGTTGCTTCATATTTCCTGCTTGATATCAAGAGGTGAAGAACATTCACAAAAAGCGATATATTACTTAGGTTTACTGTGCTATGAGACGATTGCACGTGCGTTGGCGATCATCGTTTGAACCTTCCCATCCAATGATATGACATTCACTGTTTAAGCTTGAATGTGGCTTAATGACTTCACTCCTTGTCGCATCCACTTCTATGAAGTAATGCCCAGATGTCTTTTCTCTCGGCATCCAAGATTCGCTTGTTTGAGACTACTACCATTCCACTCCAGCCGTAAGACATAGACAGCACACCTTCTCTCATTCAACGAGACCACAGCATGAAAAACAGTCGTCGCTAGTCCTCCGATTTCTGTACTTGATCACAAGAATTCGACCACCCATACCCAGATCAAGATGCGTGAGGTGATCCGCGGATCCCGCGCGCACGACACGCAAGCTGATGCTCACCAAGCACTCGCAAACGTTGATCCTACAAGTCCTTCTGTTGAAAGAGTTGCAAGACTTGACCAGCAAGAGGCCGATAACGGGAATCCTCCAGAGAACATCAACATACAGAATCAAACGTCGAACGTAACACGAGCCGATAGTGAGACTGCCGTAGCATCACCTTCGCCCGGCCCTTCTAGACAAGTCGCCTTTCGCACAGATTCGAAAGAATCAGGTCCAGCTCGATCGCCCCTGTCGCGAGATAGACGGAGAAGTAGTTCCTTCTTCAGAAACAACAGCGAAACAAGACCTGAAGCTGAGGCCTACTACGATAGCAGAGCTGCCACGAAAAGAGAATGGAGGCGCAGAGCAACTACATTACAAGACTATTATCAACAGAATCCTGAACTCCTCCCACAACTCCCTTTCACATGGCACCGTGGCAAGAAGAGATGGCGACTGATCTTCTTGATCGTGTTGATGTGGATCGATGCCTGCATCATCCCTATCGCACTCTACTATGCCATGCGCTATGGTGGAAACATTGAAGGATGGATCATCTTCGCGATAGTTACCACCATCTGGGGCGGACCGACCTACCTCGAATTCGGTGTTCGAACAATTAAATTGATGAAAAAGGAGCGCTTCTATCGACCCCTGGGCACGAACAGCAGATGGTCCTTCGACTACCTGAATTGGGTTTCTGTCGCAACTATTACAGTCGTCACGTCACTCTTCATCATAGGCTCAGCGCCACATGAGGTCTGGCTTCGAGTCCTCTGCATGCCAATGCCTGCGCTCCTTTATTGTCTTGGAGGCTTTGCTGGATTTCCGACCTTGTACAATCACATGGGCTGGAAAGCCCCCTTTCGAATGTCCTCAACCGCAAAAGGCGAAATACCCAAGCCAGGTGTCTACTACTTCATGGAAGATACTGTCGCGGTCAACGCAAACGCTGGTCGACCATATCGGGAAGCTCTTGCTGCACGGTACGAAGCAAGTCCTCGGTTTAGGGAGATGATCTACAACCAAAGTCTCTTCTGGTCGATACCGCCTATCATCATCGCAATTCCACTGACCATTATCTCCGTTATTAATCCTGTGCCAGCTACGGTGGCATATGGTATCAGTAAGTACACAAAGAGCCTTCATAAGGACTTTACTAATTCTTCGTGCAGCCTGGGCCATACCCTTCATCTGGGCCACTATCTGGGGTCTAGTGAGCCTCCGGTGGTGCAAGCGCGATATGGTGCGAGAGAGAATTGAGTGGGAAAGTACCAAAGGACCACTGGACGGCAAATTCATTGGCTTGGAAACCGACAACTCGAGTCAAACGCCGGAGCAGGCGGTATAACCACGTTAATTATGTTCTCGCCTGTACTCAATAGACTTTCATTCGCTCCGGAAACTTGTGTTGGAAATTAGCGTTGCATATATACCAAGAGCGAGGTTCATATATCAATAATATTTTTAGAGGCAGTACATTCATGCAAGGCTGCTCAACCCAGACTCACGTGAAGCAGTTGCACCAGTAATCACAATTGCTCTCATCTGTCTTCGATCTATACGTTGATGAATGTGCCTTTGAATACCGGAGACTCGTTCCACAGGAACTTGTCTGTGCCGACTCTATGCACCAATACTAATCTTCAGAACACCATCAACGCACATGATACATATTGTAGCTGCACAATTATAGCATACAATCCTGAAGCTCACAGCATTGAGAATACTGTTTTCATACCGCATCAGTGCACCACACAAATGTATTATCCTTCTGGCCCAACCTCAGAGGCATCATATCGAGGTCCACAAGCTGCACACTTGTCGTGGCTTTCTCAATCTGCTCAGCAGTGATGTTGAAAGGAAAGTCATGCCCTTCAGCGCCAGAGAGAAACGAGTGTACTCTCGACGCAACGCTAGGGCGTCCGGTGTTTGCGTGAGTGATATTCCAACCTGAATTGTCTTTGTTGTTCGAGAAACTGCCGTTCAGGGTGATGGTGCGTGATTTGTTCAGAGGTAGTTTTCCTAGTTTCCAGAGCGTTCTGATGAATGACCCCGTTGCTTGGCCCTCACTCGTGACAGGCATTGACCAGTCGTCTAGGGAGAGTGTTTGTAGCGTTCTGCTGTGGTGATGGACAAAGCCAATGAGATCCAGCTCTGTCATCATGGCGTTTTTGAGCTCGAGGTGCGAAAGCCTCGGAAAGTGACGCTGTAACACGATCTTGATGAGTCGTTGTGGAAAACAGTGAGGATCTTTCCGGAGACGCAGTGAGGTAAATGAGCTGAAGTCGAGATGTAAGAAACGCAGATTGTCACATGCCTGGATAAAGACATCATAAGTGCCTTCCACCTCAAGTGTAGCGACAGTCTCGCTGAAGCTCAACTTGAGGTATCGCAGCTCCGAGAATCTTGCTTTGACAGCCTCTACACCACCTCGAATAAATGTCATGATAGCCGCAAAGTCCTCACCTTCAACACCCTCTAGGCTCAATACCCTAGGTCGAAATGAAGGCCCACAAGACTCGAATATCTCATATGGTGCAAAATAGTTCGGGGTAGCACTTTGGTGTGTAAGACCACATCTCTTTCTCAGATATTTAGAGTTCAAGTCCTCATAAGCCCATTGCGTGGTCAAGTGTTCCAGCTTCGGGAAGCGCGAGCAATTTTTCTTCATGGACATACGCCACGATAGTTCTCGGTTGAAGTTTGACTCTGCTTCGAGTTCCTCGCAAAAAGCTGCGTAGCACTGACTAACTCTCATGAGATCTGATTGAGCTGGACGAAAGCCAGCTTGCCCACGTACCATGTATTCCTCGAAATCGCCATAATCTCGTGCTTTCAAGGATAGTCCGTATTGTGACATTTTGTGGCCAGAGAAAGTGCCGCGATGGTAGACGAGCTCCTGGACATGGACTCTGAGACGATCGTTTTCTGCAACCTTCCTGACTCTGTCGAGACTCAAATTACTTGCACTAATATGAAGTGTTCGGAAGAGATAGATATCGGCACGATCTCGAAAATAGCGGTTGGATAACCGAAGTCGTTTGAGCTCCCCTGGGTTTGAGTCCAGGACGACATAATGGAAGATGAGATCCTGAATCTCTATGGGTAACGTATCGAGTAAGATGCTTGGGGCTGCGTACGCAGGAACCCTGAAGGGCGCAGCAATGTTGTCCATGGTGGTTTCTCGACCGAGGAAGCAACTACCCTGGTAGACGCTTGCACACCAGTGGACGTAGACGCGTTACGTCTATACTCGCATAGGTGCTTTGACTGCTGTCAAATTAATGGCAGAGAATATATACCCAAACAAAGTGTGTAGGGAGACCAGCTTTTCGCAGTACTGCAGCAGGCCTATCATGTATTTCCTGGCGAGGGATGCCTTCTCGTTCTGTTGACTTTCCAAGCAAGAAACGTCGAGGCCTGATTGATACGCGTCGGTTGGTCATGAACCGCGTCAGCCCTCGCATCAGCGAAGATAGTGTCTCAATACTCCAAATATATTACCATGAATCACGACAACATTTCGCAGCAAGCACTTGAAGCAGGTACAGCTTGAAGCAGTCCCATTTAGCGAACTCGAGGGCTCATGTTGCGAACATTTCGAAGTAGTCTAGCCCAGGCTAAGCTTATCTGATAACTCGAATGGAAACTGAATTGCAATACACGCAAGGCTATTGCATAGAGTGCAAACACAAGGTGCTAGGTCTACTCATTTGCTGATGCATATTCGAAAAGTCGAGGGTCTAAAGTTTAATGGCTGGGAACTTGGAGGACGACGAGATGGCACTGAAATAGGCGAAGCTTCAAATACGACCTCTCGAGTTTGCAAGACTGGCACCCAATGTGAAACAGGTACCATTTTTAACGACTTTTTTTGTTATTTTTCTTTTCTTCTTTTGCTTTCTGTCAATGAGATGTTGACTGAGGCAAGGCAGCGACTATGATCCGTTTCGACTAGATAAGCTAACTCCCTGTTTTCACGGAGCACTTCCTCAGAACCTCGGAATCGATATCGCTCATGCGAGCGAGTCAATTCATTGTGATTCTACTGTCCTTCGTCTATCGACTCGTTAATTCATCGCCAGACGCCTATCCTAAGTGACCACGAAGCCACCATAAGGTCGTCAATACCTTACCCCATGAAAGTATGGGAGGCAGTAATTCCACCCCTGATCTTGGTACATGGTAGAGCCTGAAAGCGGATAACCACATCAAGCTGTGAACAAAGATAGTACAAGGGTATCTTGAAACGAAGAGCACTAATTGTAAATGTGTGGTGAAAAAGAGAATATGAAGCGAATATGGGGGTCAAAGGTCGGACTGTAGAGCAGGGATCAAACCTATTTGTTAGTCAGGGGAATTTTGGAACCTAAAAATTAGTAGCAACGAAAGTCGTCTTTGCAGGACAACTGATAGTCATCCTGATCGAGGTAATGGAGTCAGCTGTCGTGTAGGTTTGTCGTTTGTGGTGTTGCTTGGCATGGTCGTCGAAGATAGCCGTATTTGCTCTGTTGGCATTACGATTACGAAGGTCGCGTACGTTTAGGCTCCGGAGTTGAGAGGTCAAGGAGAAAGTCATCGTCATCCTCAGCCATTTTGCGCTTACTGGGAGCGATTTTCGAAGGCGTGATGGGAGCTGGCTCAGGCTCTTTGTCACTATCCCAGTCATCGAAGAAGAGGTCGTCCTCAACTGCTGAAGCGGTCGTGCGAGGATCTTTAAGTTCGGTTCCTCCAGGAGCAGTGCCCAGGGACTTGGCTGTGCTAGGTTTTTCGAGATCGGCGAATATATCTTCATATTCAATATCTGCACTGTGTGTTTGTTTGACGTGATCGTCATGACTATGTTCAGCTTTGGTAACATGTTGAGACAAAGTCTCGTTGACATCATTGGTCGTAACGTGTGGAAGGTCATGGTTGTCGCCTATTTTTGTTTCGGTCGAATGGTCATTGCCATGAGTATTGTCTCCAGCCGTAAAATCTTCCTCATGGCTAGGTCCGTTAAGGTCGTCCTGCTCAGATTCAGTAGGAATTTGACGGGCTCCTTCGGCACCCTGATGAGGTACAGAACCATCGAGATGGGTCTGTGCGTCTTCGTCAGCATCAAGATCGTATTCAACGGTCGTGACGTCTAAGTCGACATGGACTTGTTCGTCAGCTTGGCCTTCAGGCTGCGTGGTGTCGGCTGTGTCATAGTACTGCGTTGTTTCGTCGTATGCTTCCTCCCCAGCTTCACCAGTCTCTTCAGTAGCTGCCACCTCGGAGAATACCACATGCTCTTCAACAATCGTAGCGTACGTCTTGCCCTCACGAGCAGAAGAACCCAAATAGTTCATCTGTGTTCTAAGGCACACGCGGTGACTGAGCTGACAGTACAATGGGTCGATGTTAGCGAGCTGCTGATTCTGAGACAGAAGCATGTAGGTATCAATAATTTGAGCCAAAGTAAGCTCGAATGAATATTTTGAGTCCTCGCAAATATGCAGACCAAGAGAAGGAATATCCAACACTATTTCGTCGCTGTGACCGAGATATTCGGCGAAGGGACCATGCAACTGCTGGAGCAAGTCGTTGATGGGCTTGAAAGCAAGACTAGAATCTTGAAGCAGAGGTTCAGCAGAGTCGTCATCAGGAAGAGGAAACAGGTGGAAAGGTTCGCCCGCGTATTCGACAAGGCAAGGATGAAGTTGAGACGGAGTTGCGTTCGTCAAGCCAGAAATAGCTTCTTCATGATTGAGAATGGTCTCGCCATCTTCAGCCTCTTCTTGTGTGGGGTTTTCTGTCCCTGGGCCAGCCGTCAGGTCGTCTTCTACATCGTGATGAGATTGGAGTTCGTTGGCTTCTTCATGGAGAGAATCATACAGGTCCTCCGTCACATGAGCCTCTTCGGTTGAAGTCTGAGGGAGCAAATCTGGATGTTCAGTTACTGAGTGTGCGATCGCAGTAGTATGCGTCTCCTCAGAAACGTCGTTCATTGCTTGGGTGGCTTCAGTGTACATTTCGGATACGGGGTTGTTAGCTTGTTCTTGGTTAGCGTCCTCCTCTTGCCACTCGTCCACAAGTTCTTCTTCTTGCTGATCCTCGTCTTCCAACTCTTGCTCGAAATTGTCTGCTGACAGCTCTTGGGGAGCCACGTTCTGTTCTGAAAGGCTGTGCTTGTTGTCATCATCCAATACAATACTAAGAGACTCCTGGATCTCTTCTTGGGCGTCAGTGACGGCAGTTGGTACGTCCTCATGTGCAGCTGCATTCATATCGAAATCATCTTCGAAGTCAATGATGTCCTCATCATACATAATATCGTCTTGGTGATTTGTACTGTTGTCCGCTTGCATGACGTCTGCAGCGTCTGTGGCTTCATCAATCATGCTATTGTCTTCTATGTAGTTCTCAATCGGATCTTCCAGGTCGAGGTCTGAATCTTCAGCTGGTACATAAGGAGAAACACCCGTTTCCATCTGGTCTTCGCCAACTTCAGCCAGAAGGGGCGGCTTGGTCATCGATTGGGTAGTCATCATCTCGCGAGTCGTGAACCAGATATCCTATCTGTAAGGGGCGTGTCTGGTTAAGTCTCGTGGTCGTTACCGCAGGAGACTTTGATGAGTATAAAACCTGTCTTGAGCGTCGGTCCTTCTCAGGTGGTATGCTATGGTTCCTTGTCAAAGGGTCAAGCAGTGGGTAGAAGGCGCTGTTCAAGTTGCGCAATAGGTTTGTAGGCAGCGCAGCCGAACAATGCGGAGGCGTGGCTTGCTGGTAAAAGTCTCTGTCACAAACAAATTGACCTTCAAACAATGGTTCCACGTGTAAACGCACGTAGTTGTACACAGCAGGCCGAGAGGTCAGAAACCCAGAACGATACGCGTCGTGGCGAGACAGGTTGTCTGGTACAGGTAAAGGAATGTTTACAGCGGACTCGTTATAAAGAGACGAGAACAGTCGCCAAGCTCTCCAGGTCTCCCTTCATTGTCCAAATTAGGAAACTGAGGCGAAGCATGGGGCCCTGGCCATTGCATGTGCGGACATTGGTAGAGGCCACATTGCTGGCGAAGGAAGAAGCACCCTCAGGCTCTCGAGGTGCTGCAAACGTTCAACGTCTGAGACATACACTGTAACGACTCTGCAAACAATCAGTGACCATGGTGAGTGGCTTTTGTCTCGCGATTGATCATTGCTCACATTGTCCAGGTGGTCCTTGCAGCCTCCATTATTACCCGGGGAGGAAAGGCTATCCTGTCCAGACAGTTCCGCGAGATCAACAGATCGAGAGTCGAAGCACTGTTGGCGTCTTTCCCGAAACTGGCAGATGCTGGCACTCAACATACAACCGTTGAGCAGGACAATGTCCGCTTCGTCTACCAACCACTGGACGAATTGTACATGGTCCTGATCACGAACAAGCAGTCGAACATCCTGCAGGATATAGATAGCTTACACCTGTTTGCGCAGGTGGTCACCAGTATTTGCAAGAAACTTGACGAGCGGGAGATCCTTCGCAATGCTTTCGAGCTGCTCAGCGCATTCGACGAGCTCGTCACTATGGGCTACAGGGAAAATCTTACTATGGCTCAGATAAAGACCTTCCTCGAAATGGAGTCTCACGAAGAAAGGATACAGGAAATCATAGCTCGAAATAAGGAACTCGAGGCATCTGAGGAGAGAAAGAGGAAGGCTAAGCAATTAGAGATGCAGCGCAAAGAGGCTGCGAGATCTGCCGCTTATGGAAGAGGTGTCGCACCCAAAATGCCACAATATCCTACATACACTCCGCCGCCACAACCGACTGTCACAGATTCGTATGACAGCTATCAAGCCGAGAAGAACAAAACTTTCAACAAACCACTGGCCTCGAGAGGTAAAGGCATGCAGCTTGGCAAGAAAGGCAAGAACACAGATATCTTTGACAAGGTCAAGGCAGACCTTCCTGAAGTTGAAGAGCCAGTCGTGGCAGCTGCTACCACTGCTGCACCCTCTGCGTCTACAAATAGAGTATCACAGGACGTTGTTTCGGGCAACCCTATCAACGTCACCATTACTGAGTCTATTTCGGCAAAACTTGGTCGAGAAGGAAATCTTACTTCTTTCGAGGTCAAGGGCGATTTACAGCTGAAGATTACCGACCCTGCACTTACCAAGCTGAATCTCTCTCTTTTAGCAAACGAAGGACCACTGAAGGCGCAATTCAAGACACATCCAAATTTGGACAAGAATCTATTCACATCCCAGAAATTAATCCAGCTCAAAGACACCAGCAAAAAATTCCCCACAAACGCCTCTACAGCCGTGCTAAGATGGCGAGCCACAGCGCCAGCCGAAACGCCAGACGTCCTACCCATCAACTTCACAGTCTGGACCAACAAGTCAACAGATGACAGCTACACCGTCACAGTCGAGTACCAATTAGCAGATGCTTACGCCGACCTGCCAGAGCCTGTTCTATCAGAAATGACCGTCACGATACCATACCAGACCTCAGAGCCTTCAGTCTCGAGTTTCGATGCTCAATATTCAGTGACTGGTGACTCGCTGGAATGGACTATCGGTGCGATAGACTCGTCCAATAACTCTGGCAGCTTCGAGTTTGAAGCTCAAGCAGACGATGACGGAGAGTTCTTTCCTATGCAGATACGGTTCGATATGGCGAAGCCATATATCGATGTAGACGTGCTAAGTGCTACGTTGCTTGACGAGGACGAAGCTGTAACATTTGACAAGGTCGTCAGGACGAGGAGTGATGGTATTGTGATAGAATAGATGTTGACGGAGAGAACATGCTGCTGCCATGAGTTTTCCCTGGAAAACACTTTCTGCAACAATAACAAGGTCGTTCCATTTTGTGACTACACAAATACTGCTGTGCCATACGCTTGATATTTTGTCCAACCTTTTAAGCCTTTAGTTTACAGGTAGATGTTACTACGACCAACATGAAAACATACAGGAGCTGTCCACTCAACCATTCTCTAATTCAGCTGCTCAACCTCAATATTCGTAGTAATATTCCCCTTCGTTGCCCTGCTATACGGACACACCTCCTTCGCCCTCTCAATCACCTTTGCCAGATCCTTCTCATTCAACCCCTTCACACTCACCTTCATATCCACCCTCAACCCCATATCAAGCTTCTTCATATCCCCAACCAGATGCACCGTAGTCTTCACCACACTATCCTCCGGGTTATCCGGCATCCGTACCTTCAAGCTCGCAGCACTCGCGTTCATAGCACTCTGGAAGCACGCGCCGTACCCAGCGGCAAAGAGCTCTTCAGGGTTTGTCTTGCCTTTGTCGCCGGGGCCACCGAGGGCCTTGGCCATGGTGAGGTCGACTTTTAGGTCGTCGCCGTCGACGTGGCCTGTTCGGGCGCCTTTAACAGTGGCATGGGCGGAGTATAGGACTGGAGCGGTGTCGGTGTTGAGGAATCGACGTGTGTTGTTTAGGACGGTGGTTCGTGGTAGATAGGCTCGAGTAGCTGTTTGAGCTAGAGGTCGGAGGGTTCTAAGGACGGACATGGCTGCTTGTATATTTGCTTGTACTGGCAATTTGTAGTCTGGTTTCTCAGTGTAGATGGAATTATGTGCCCTTTTTTATAGCAGTTATGGTTTGGATTCTGTCAATTGCAAAAAGACAAGGTCGAAATGCCGTGCACAGTATTCAAGCCACGGAAACAACATGCGGCTTCGAGCTCAGTGCCCTGTGGTCTCCTTTGTCTGCCATAGTGACGTCGAGACTCCTACCCGGAGTTAGTCAAAGCTTATATGCGCGTCCATCTTCAGTTTGAGCCATGAACATAACATGGTTGCGATGTACAACAGTAGCTAGAGCACGACTTGCTGCAGGAGAGTCGAAGACATTTCATATCGTCGCTTTGTCGTTCCCTTGGATGATGTATAGGACGAGATAAGTCGAGGTCGATGCGACATGATAAGAACCACGCCAAGCTTGCGGCGAGCTGGTTGCGGCAAGCGCGACCGACGTTGTTACTCTCGAGCTTCAGGCATGTCTTGCTTGTTTCCTACAACTCAATGAGTTCACGGCCTATATTGACGAGCAATAAAGCTGCTTAACTAATACATCAGGTGAGTGTCTTCAAAGCCTTTGTAATTGAGACCCTCATATCGCGCTCGGTGCGGAACATACGTCATAGCAGATGTCTGAGGTAGAAAACAAATATTTGACTAGATCTTTAATTTCAGTACCTTTTACTGTGTGCTCAGTAGTCCCTCTATTCATTGCCTCATGCCACGACAGCCAGCTCTACCAATCTCCGATCACGGCAGCGACATACAAACGGCAAGAGCTCAAAGATGGCAAGATCTCATGGTGAAAAGGAAAAGCCTCAATCGGACATTAATATTGAAGAGATCATCAAGATTCTTAAACTACAGCCTCACCCCGAAGGTGGCTACTTTAAAGAGACCTTCCGTGACTCCTCGACAGACTCGGCAGGCCGCTCAAGGAGTACATCCATATACTATGTCCTCCAAGCTGGCCAACATTCCCAACTACACCGCTTGGACGCTTCTGAAGGTTGGCACCATTACGCTGGTGGTGCTCTAGAGGTTGTCGAACTTAACGAAGCTGGACCGAAGGTGACGAAGCTGGGAAAGTCCCTATCAGCTGGTGAGCGACCACAATATGTTGTGCCTCCTAGGACGTGGTTTGGTGCCAAGCCTGCGGATGGTACCGATTGGGTCCTTGCTGGTTGTACCGTATCTCCTGCGTTCGATTTTGAGAAGTTTGAGATGGGCGACAGAATGAAACTGTTGGATGAATTTGGCGATAACGAGGGTTGTAGAAAATGGATCGAGGAGCTAACGCCGGACCAGTGAGAAGAGAACCATGTTGCCCTCTAACTTCTGTCTTCCTGACCGAGCTCTATATGCATATGCCAGTTAAAAGGTGTGCCTTCGAGCCAGACCGATCGTCTTCATCTTGGCAGTCCCGAGCATAACAATCACTTCGTTTGTGGCATGTGCGGCAGCAACAATAGCGTTCATAGTTGAGGTGGAACTCATAAGAGACATATTGGCTGTTCTATCGCTGGTCAGATGTTGTGATGGAACAAACCCCTGCGATGTCAGCTCAAACTCGACTCTCTCGAATCTCTTATGCCTGTACCCAGACAAAGAGGCCATCTCAATTACGTCGATGAACCCTGTGTCAACTCCGAACAAAGGCATGGTCCCCTCTTCCTCGTCTCGTGCTTCCATTTCGCCTAGTACCGGCTATTGTGCAAACGACGAACAAGGCGGAAAACTGCATTCAGGGTTCAGTTGCTAGAGACCTTGACCACTATCGTGTCGCGTGGCTCTGGACATGCTCTGAGCCATTCAGGCCTCGCCCTCCAGAACTTCCATGTATTTTCCAACAAAGCGTCGTTATACATGACGCAGATATCGTGCTAGGACGATCAGTGCTTACCTTCTAGTTGTGGAGGGTTGACCCTGGCCCTGTTCTCACACATCGTGCACGTTCAGTACATTCCTGCTTTCCAAAGTATCGGATACATATACATAACGGATTCCAGCAGCTTGGAGGACTTCTGTGAAAGTCTCTCCAGCCAGGTCGACGTGCCTTAACTACCAGTCCCTGCTCTGGTAATAACACTCTTGGCTCTTCAATTCCGCCTGACATCTCTGTCGCCAAGCCAGTCACGAACCTGCAAGAAATCCCTTTCCAAACCAAGTGCTGAAGTCAGACGATCAGTTGTCGTATGTATCAGCATGGCAGTGTCTAGATCTATCAGGCTAATTTTGTTGAACCTACCACTCCATGCTCTAGCAAGCGTATCATCTGCTGCGTCAGCGATAATACGAACCACATACTACGATGCAGCGTTTCGAGCGTTGGGCACTTAAGCGAATCGGAAATGAAAGCCTCACTCCGATTTGCGAAGCCGTTATGTACCCCGCAAACTCTATCACGATATTGCTCCACACTGGAGCTCAAGTCCCGAACTCACAAAACGTGAAGCATTTCATGAGCTATTCTGCCATAGGCTGGAGGTGTAGCAGAAAAGCTGCTGCATACCTTTACTCAGCATGTGGGATAGGGAGGGGTCGTTCGATCGTCATCATGAAGGTGTTGTTGCTCTTTCGTCAGCTTCGTGTGAACTGAGCATTGTAGCTTCGTAGCTAGATTGTGATCCAAACCTCGAGCAGTCTATTTCAAAACCTTCGTTCTGCTAACCAGATATCTCATATCGTGAACTCTATACGTGAGCAATACCGTTTCAAGATGTCGAATCCATGGCCGTTTCAAGATCGTCGTGGTATGTTCCAAGCGGGCAAGATGGTGCACGAACCTAGCAGTCCACCAGCACGTCGTTCTTCAGGCAGTGGAGGCGTCACCGAAGCCATAAGAAGAGGCTCAACGAGCAGCAACAGCGGCCTTGATAAGACTACCAGCAATACCAGCACGAACAGTGCATCGTCTCCACCACCAACGACTCAAGGCCAACGCAGGAAGGTACGTCACAACCTCGTTGCAATCACGTTGCACAGATACTGACTCATGCCGGTTTAGTCCTCGACCTCTGGCGGCCTCTTCGGTAACCTCACAAATATGAAAAGGGGAGCTGACAATCGAGGAGAAGACTATCACGAGCGTAGGGAGAGCCATGGTGACAGCCAAGCTGGTGGTGCTTTCAGCGGCTGGTACAACAAGACATTCAGAGGTGTCCAGCAACCGCAGTCAGCGTCCACGAGTGATGCACCAGAGAAGCGAGGGGTGATGGAATGACTAGAGGAATCCAAGGAAGAGCCTAAACAGCTGCCAAGTACACGACCGAAGGCAGTTGGAAGGGAAGAAAGGAAGGGATTGTCGATGGATGAATTGAAAGAGAGTTGGGTTCGATCACTTTAAGTTCAAATTTCAACGGTATATTTATTTTGGCAAGAAAGGAGGAGCTCGGGAGCATGGATAATGGGTATCGAAGATGCTACTCTCGGAAATTCTCACGTGGGTGGTTCCTGCTACTACTGTGGGTTGGCGAGTAATTTGTCCAAGCCTTCACCTTCTTTCTTGAGCACCACATTGATCAATGAGCATATATCAATCTTGGAGGTTGCCCAGCCACGTCTCTTCTATATCCAAACGTCTATGTCCGATGAAGCTGACAGACCGGTAGAAATCCACAGAAGGAATGTTCCTCCTCGAACGCAATGTGAGTAGAGTACAATCACATGTATCATAGATCATGGTCAGATTCATCGATGATACTCGTCAAGCAAATGATTGGGGATGACAGCAGACGATGCCTCCCACTTGAATATACGTGACCTTCTGAATTCATGCACATGCAATGGCGATCAGCTGAACTCCTTCTATTCCTGGGCCAGAAGCATGAATGGTATCGGACCATCATTGGCCACGTGAAGCACAGAAGACGCACAAATAAATTGGGCACAAGACACTGAAAATGCTTCACGACACCATGTTCTACATGAAGACTGGTCCGATGCGATACTGCGACACGGTGGTTGCCGAAGTGTACCAAACACAGCCGAAGTCAATAACATACTCACCTGCCACCTCCACACGTCAAAAGTATGGATAACACAAGCAAGCAGCATGGGTAAGTCAACAGGTGAATTCTTTCTAAGCCTCTCTGCCATTCACCAGGTCCAACTCCTACCCCCCTCCTATCTCACCTTCGCAACACAAACAAGCCCACAGCATCTCTACAATGTCCAGCCTCTTCACTCTCGGCCTCCATCCAGTCCCTACAACATCAACCCAAGCACCGCCAATGTCCAGAATCACCTCAAACATCTCCTCAGCCAAACACAAATTCAAGCCTTCCAAGAACAAAAAACAGAAATCCCAGCAAAAACATCGAAACTCCACCGAAACAGCATCAACATTCTCCTCCGATTCCACATTCATCTCCTCATTCAGCTCATTCCCAAGACGTCTAAGTGCACGGGTCCGGCGCCGATGGCGAAGAGCATCTCAGAGTACACAGAACTCATCACCCGGCGGAAATTCGAGGACAGTGTCGAGCAGTCATATGCCGTCATCGGGGTCTGCTACCGGTGAATATGTCAATGCGTCTCATAGAGCGTCTGGGGCGAGCACTGGGTCTACACCTGATAGAGAGGCGCCGGTTGATAGTGGGACTAGGAGGAGGTCGAGTAGATTGTGGGAATGGCTTAGTGCTGGAAGTGCCAGTCCGGATGCGATTGAGACGATGAGACAGCAAAGGATGGTAGATGAGGAAATGAGGCGTGATACAGATATTGTGTACTACGCGCAATTTGGCTTGTAGTTAACAAGCACATCGCTACGACAAGATACAGTTGACGCAGGTCTAAACATCTAAACACGAGAAAAGATGAAGTCATTCCGATATGTACTATGAAACCATCTTGCTTATTTACAACATAACTAGAGCAATATTCTGACCACCAACGCCTTGCTTGCTTTGAGCATGAATCTATCTCACCGAGCATAAATTGCAATTCGTTCGCTTACCACGTAAAGCTTTCTTCGTTCATCTCCAATGCTCCCACCCAAATGCGTTCACGAACTGCCTTCCTCACCTCGTCTGCAAGGGCACCTGGCCCACAGACACTGACGAAGCAAGCTCCAACCCTACCACCTTCGCTGGGTGCTCTGCGTAAGACCTTGTCGAGGATCACACCAGGTTGGCATCGGGCTCCTTTCAACTCGATACTTCGACTTGGACTGACATAATCTGCTGGCCCTCTAGCTTTAGTCACAAAGAGATGCATGGTCAGCATCTCTCGCCGGCCCGGCATTTTGAGAATCTCGTCCATCCAGGGCGCGACCCAAGACAATGCCTCTAAATCACGTACCGACCAGACAAGCACGATCTTTCGTGTTGCGACTGTTCGTGCATGTGCGCATGCAAGCAAGTGTCGGATCTGTACAAGATGATGTGTTATGCCTGCACCACCTGCAAACATGACTACTGTGCCGTAGCTCGCAAGATTATCGTGTCCAGCATATGCACCCTCGATAAAACCGGAAGTGAAAATAGTACGAGCAGGAGCCTGCATAGCCGCCTCGTATATCTTGCGAGTCATGCCTGTCCGAGCAGCGCAGATTAGAGAGAGGCTGGTGGGCGGGATCTTGCGCTTGGTGATAAGCGAGGAGTAATCGGCTTCGCGTTCCAGGTAATTCGGTGACTTGAGAGCAGCAGGTACGAGACCCTCTTCTACTATCGCGTGGTCGAGGGTTTCCTTGTTGAGGAGCGACGAACCTTCGGAATTTTCATCGCGATCTGCCACAAGAGGTCCTGTCGGAGGTTCGGATTCTGGGTTTGTCCACGCAACACTGAACGGGTGCGACATCCACCAACTGAACTTGGGCAGGTAAGCATAGACATGCGAACCAGGACGAATAATTGTGTGACGTGGTAGTTGGAAAGTAACTCGACAAGCCTCACCAGGTAGTGCCTCGATGATGACCTTTGTTGTCTCTCGGCGTTTGTAGCCAATGTTGAGCCAAAGGATCCATACGAGACGAAGAATTCGTTCGACGATCCAGCCACCCACCACCATATTCATGTATGGAAGCGCAGGAAGTTTCTCAACATCCAGATGGATGTAGACTCCACCAAGGACAACAAATGCCATGATCTGATGTCCATGCAGGAAAGTCTCATAGAATGCGTGCCGAAGAGCAGACAGTGATTGAAACAAGAGGAATATCATCCCAAGGACCGCGACCAGGCCAGATGTCAGGAAGATGTTGCCACTGAACGAGTTCAGGGACTTATCGACACCATGTCTGGCACTGTAATTTGCGTACCAAGCACAAACGTGCACGATACTTTCAAGTATGACGATGCGTCCGATCCAGCGGTGAAAGAGGTTGAAGTTGTCGAAGCTGATCCTCAGCAGCTTGATGAGTGGATTGTTGCGTCCGGCAAGCAGGACGAGTGGAATCATGTTGACAACCGCTAAGACTCCTGCACGACCTCGCAGTTCGGCGATGGTCTTCGCAGCCTCTTGCTTTCCATAGGGTAGGAGGGTACAGTAGACAATGTTACTGAGCACATAAAGTGTCAAAAGTATAGTATGGGCTCTTCCCGGCAGAGTGCCATAATTGACTGCCTGACTAAGCTGCCATTCCCGATTGTGCCTCTTATTGCCTAACGGGGCATATATAAACTCTCGCTTCAGCCACGGTAGCCACCACGTACGATCGTAAGTCCAGTAGTTCTGCTCAAGGGAGCTCGATTGCATCGAATGTATCTGCCGTGTATAAGCTGTAAACAAGTGGAATGCCCTCATGGCCAAGACCACGAAGAGCACAGCACATATTGAGGATACCAACCATGTTGAGAGTTTAAGGTCGAGTTCTAGGTTCACTCCAGCTAGACCACTAGAATAGTCTGGCCTTATAGAACTGTTGTATGTAGTCGTATCTGAATGGGAATTTGATGTATCTCTTTTGTTTCCTGTAATTTCTCGAGCCAGCCGAGAAAAGCCCTGAATGATAGGCATGTTTGTCGTGAGAAGTTGAATTGGTATGTGAAGAGGCAACACAAGAAAGGCTGTGGGAATGTCTTGCTGTTTTCAGTCGATCACGAGCAGGAGTCGGCTTTGTTGAGACAGAGTTCATTCGAGGGTGCCTTTGTTGATCAACGATAATAGAAACAATCGAGGTGGGTTTTGGTTGCGGAAATAGGCTGGTCGGTCTTTGTACCTAACAAGTGTGGTATAGCCACGATCAAGGTAAGTCGTGGCTTTGTCAGCCGAATCAATGAAGGACGATCAGTCAAAGAGTGTGATCGATTGAACAAATCTACGTCAGTGAATGTGAGGAAGATGGGAAATGTCAGGCTTGCTGCGGGTGTACGCAAAAGGAAGAAGTATCTCAAGTCAAGAGGGAAGTCACGATCATAAGGCAGGCTTGAAGGTTAGCAACACGTGGACGACCTACATGAATGCTATTGAGGTTCTTGTCACCAACCTCAATGAACTTGCCCGTGTCGGACTCATCGATATGAGGCTAAACAGCTGCCGTCTGTCACGATAGACATGACTGTGCTTGCGCTACACCTAGCCTGCCATCCGAGATCCCAGAAAGCTTGCCTTTGTCAAGGAATGTGAAACTTGGCCTAAGCTTGAAGAATGAGACTACTCCCGGGATCTGTGTAGCGTGATTATGGCTCTGGAGTTTTCTGCCACGTACATGCGTGGTCAAAAACGTGTACGGAAAATTGATATTGGATGATGATCTACTGCACTCGAGTAGATCTGAAGAGTAAACAGCTCTACCAATAAGAAGCGAAATTATTGGAATTCTGAAACGCGGGAGTCACGCGTGTGGATCCAAATGACGGCACGCGTCAACTGCGACAAAGAACTTTAGAGCCAATAGAATCGTTCCGATATTCTCGACACCAAGAAGTGCGAAAAAGTATGTTATTAAGAGTAAAAAAGACAGCAGTGTACTCTAATTAAACGCGCAGAGTGGGAAGTCTCGCTTCTTCACGTATGCACGCTGCTGGGTTGACGTCTACCTTCAAAGCATCGCCCTGCTCACGCCTTCCGCTGGCAGTACGCCAAACAATCTGTTTATGAGCATGACCGCAGCATCCCCGTCCCATGGACCGTCTGTCAGCGTCGTCACACACCTGGCAACCCTGTTCCCTTGTCCCAGCTATCTAGACATCAATCGTAGTGCTTCAGCAAGTATTCTTTGACTGAGCTCTCTGTTATCAAAACCAGCGAGTCAACTTCATCGAATGCTACAATCTGGTCGATCAGGTGTGTTGAGCTTGAGGTTCCTGATAACCCTGAAAGCCTTGAGATGCGCTATCCACCGATCTCACTGGTTCTTAGCTCGTATGTTGTGAGTTCAGCCTTTGAGAGCAGAGGTTACCCAGCACAGTGGCCTCATGGGTCGTGCTTGCACTCTGTGTACGTAGAAAAACTACTGCACAACAGTCACAAGAAGAGCGTCCCTTGCTGGTTCCTTAGCAACGTGCAGTGTTACCTGCGTGAGAAGCTAAGCACACTGAGAATGCCGGGAGATCTTTGGCAATGCAGTGGTTTAGTGCTTCCGTCTTTGATCGTATTTCCGTATTGGCGGTTGTGTAACGGACTGGTTGAGACTTTCAACTATCTTCTAGCACCTGTGGTCTTTGGTCGTGGTTTGACTTCCTCTTGATTGACTTGATGAAGCATGATCTGTGGTTTATTTGTCTGAAGGTTGTGCTGGAATCCCTTGCTCCAGTCGTAGCAGCTTGCATAGGCAAAGACGGTACCTTGGTAGTTGAAAGCAGTTGCGGTAATGGGTTGACCGGTGGTGGGATATCCCTTCAGTCTGTGCTTGGCGTTGCCGTCCCAGAAGTGGAAAGTACCGTCAGCGCCTGATGTAGAGAATGTGCCATGCACTGGATGGAAAGAGATAGCATTGACACTGTAGACATTGCTACCGTCTTTCATATTTGGTATGGGTTCTCGGTGGCATTTGAAACTGAAATTGCTGCTAGCATCCTTCTCTTCAACATATTGGATTGCACATCGGCCCTCAATACTACCAACAGCGAACCCGTTAGCTTCCTTGAAGCAGGCAACGACTCGTGTCTGAAATTTGAGAGGAGACTGGATCGTCTTGTAAATAGTCTGTGGATTCTGTAGGTTGATAATGTTTATGTAGCGGTCTGCTGTCCCTACCACAAGTAGGTTGTCCTTAGCGTCCATAGCATATACTCGCTCTTGTTGCTCGAGCTCCGCGATCGGCTTGTCAGATCGTAGATCCCAGTACTTGACTTTCTTGTCCCATGACCCGGTAATCAAGAATGGCTGCTGGTTGATTGTCGCAAACTTGCAGGCTCGAATCGGTGCATCGTGCGCTTTGAGAGACTGTGGTGGGTTACCTGCATTGTTGAGATCGAGAAGTCGGATGTGTTGGTCTGCGCCTACGCCCGCGATCTTGGTGCCATCCGGTGACCATGCGCAGCCTAGAGCAGGTGCCTCGAAGTCGATGATCGCTTTCCCTTCACACTGTCTCTGCTCACTGACCGCATATATCCTGACCTTCTTGTCCCATGATGCCACTGCAAGAAAGTCCGCGGTGGGAGAGAATTGTAGGTCTGACACGCTATCATCGACGGGTGGCTGTAGAGGAACATCGTTCTTGAGATCTCCAGCGGTCGTGCTTGAGCTAGAAGAAGACGCACCTCCAAAAAGACTAGACATTTTGGACTTGAGGTGTAAAGAATTTGCGTGTCGAGACAGTCGAGTTATTAAAGGATACTCCTCGTCAGGTTGTGTATGCGGCTCGGCAGCAGGCTACCTTCCAGCGCAGTGAGCTGTAGTCACTTGCATTCGACACTTTTCAATCGTAACGCGCTTTGACGCGGTTGCTGCCTAGCTTGGTGATGCCAGGCAGAAACGCACTAGTTCACTATCTGCATTCAAGTTTCACCTCTAAACGCAGTCGGGTGTCACTTCAATAAACATGCACACGAATTCATAAGCTGAGCAGAACAGGCAGGAAAAGTTCGCTGTTGACTGGGTTGTTAACGCGAGAAGAAGAGTCTTTTACTTGCTGCTAAAATTATGGGTGATATTGGTCTGCAGCGTCCATAATCCAGCAGTGATAATGGCCTGGTAAAGGTAGTGGTGGTGAATGAAAGTGACCTTCCACTACAATTTACCAGAGGTTGACACATCCGCCCCGGAGTGAGTTGTGATATCACAGCAAGTCAGCATATTTTGAAGACCGTCACTGTAGAGGTCGGGTTGCAAAACTTTCGCCCTTCTGGTCCTAGAACATTCTCGCCAACGCAGAAGGGACAGATAACGGGTTTTCTGCTTTTAATAGTTCGATCAATTCCCACTGCAAAAAAGTCATCCTGGAAAGAGTAGGGTTGTGTTAAGAATTCAATTCAGAATGGTAAGATCGAAGAGAGCAGTCAACATGCTAGAAGACTGAGAAACACTATACAACAATAGCTATTACGCACCTGAGGAGAAAACAACATAGAACGAATTCGCTTTTGAGCCAGTGGCCGGTTGGTGCTGCTGCAAGTCGTGAGTAGAAGCCACATGTGCTACGTACCATCAAGACTTTGACCCTCGCAATCTTCGCTCCATGGAAAGTGGATAAACCAAAAGTCGCGCCTGAAACGTACGGCCGATGTGCCCTAGAGGAAGTGCAGCACAAGCTCTCGAATGATCGTAGTACTGACCTTGGCCTCTCCATCGTGTCCTCATCTCAATTTTAGTCCTCCTCAATCTCTCCTTCTTCTGAGCCACTGTGGACACCAGCTGCCTCAGGCTCCTCCTTCTTGATCTCAGGCGTCTTCGTTCTTCGACGTTCTCGTGAACCTCGACTGTCGCGTCTACGTCTCTTCTGTCGACTGCTGTCAACACTCTCTCCAGGACTGTCGCGACGACGCCTCCTCTCACTGGTAACACTACGTGATTCCTCCCCGTAATTCAACTCGTCACGACTACCACGAGGATCGGCTCGCGTTCTGTACAGGCGTTCTCGCTCATCGTCACGATCTCTTCGATCTCGATCATATGGTGCAGGTCTTGGTGGTGGACTACGCTCTAGTCGTCCGTGTCGTTCGTCACGGTCTCTTCCATCTCGGTAAGCAGTTCGAGGCGGGCTCAAACCGAAGGATGGCTTTCTGTATTTGTTTTCGCGTGCTGCCATAGCTCGTCTGCGTTCCTCTTCATAGGGGTCTGCTTCAGGAGACTTTGACAGCCGTGACCGTCGACTTTCACGATGGCCATTGCGATAGTCACGCTCGTCACTGCGTCTAGCTCTTCGCCTCTCTTTTTCTTTTTCGGCATCCTCGTCCTTTTCTTTCAGACGCTTGATGTACTTCTCGAAAGCAGCCTGGCGACCTTCTTCGTCAAGGGATCGATACTCTTCGGACTTTTCGATGCGTGGCTCAATCTCTTCGTACGATTCGGTAATCTTGACGGGAGGTTCTAGGTGTTTGATCCGCGAGCGAAGAGCATCGATAGCGCGGCGACGGTTTTTGTCAGCGGCATACTTTTCTTCTTCGTTTCGTTTTTGAATTTTGTCCTGTAATCGCTCGAAGATGAGCTGCAACGTGTCATTATCGATATTTGCTGTTCGGCGATCAGTGAGCATGATTTTGAGAAACTCATCGAATGTGGTCTTGCTTGTAACTTCATATTGTTTGTCCTGTATCACTGTTAGTGGGTTCCATAGTATAATTGGGACAGCGACTAACCTCCAGCACATCATATGCGGCATTTTTCCGACCTCGTAAAGCCCTTTCTTCCTCCTCTAGCATATCCCAAAACAAGTCAAGTGGAGATGAGCCACCCTGGCCCAGAATATTGACATACCTCGGGTCCTCTTCAATGTGTGGGAGTAAGTTACTCCACTTCGTTGAAGCTGTGATTAGACCCTGTGCTCGCTTTTCCTTGAGCAATTCAATAAATGCATCACGAGCCTGGCGTTCTCGTCGATTTTTTTGTGCTTTTTGCTGCTGACGAGCATCGTTGAAAGATCTCTCTAGTGATTTGATATGATTTTCAAAGGCATTCAAGACATCTGACTTACTGAGAAGCTTGAATTTGGCATCATTCTGCACTCTCTCATTTGACTGAATCACTTCTTGAGCTTGAGACCATCGAGTATATGGTTCGAGATCCAGGGCTTTCAAAATGTCAGCAAGTTCGGTATTGGCTGACTTCCGAGCCATGACCTCCTCTTCCAGATGCTGCTTTTTTAGTTCGACAATGTACTCAGCAAAGAACTGCTTACGCTCTTCTTCATTGTCCGTCGATCTGAAAACAGTCTCGCCTTCGATGATGGGCCGGATCGTCTTCCAACGACTGTAGTGCTTGATTTCAGGATGTGTTCTCAACATAACGGCGAAATCTGTTCGTAATTTAGCCAGACGTTCTTTGGCCTTTTCTTTTTCTTGTTCGCGAACCTCGACAGCGTATTTCTCGAACGCAGCTTTTCTGTCCTTCGGGTCTTTTAGAGCACGATATTGTGGATCCCTAATTGTTGAGCGCATAGCCTGTTCCCAGGACCAGTCGGGCTGAACATTCGAGCGCTTCAGTAACTTCATAAATGCAGCTTCGGCTTCTTCAAAACTAGAGTAGTCTGGCACGACTTCTTTAGCTACGGCAGGCAACGTTATGGTTTCTCTGCGTGAGTCGAAGGTGCTGGAGAAGTCGCGTGGCTGATATGCAGAGAGGGCCGTCGAGGTGCCTGCACCAAAACCTGGCGTACTAGGCGCTGTTGGAGTCGCAGGTGGTTGCTGAGGTGCAGGTAGGGCATCTAGAGCATCCTTGTATTCGGCTGGCATCTCCCAAACGGTTTGCTTCGTCAGGGCATGTGCATAGTACTTGCGACCATCTGGCGCAGTATATTCTTTCCATGGCTGCGCAGCTAAGGCACGCTCGACAGGCGTCATAAGGTCCTGTGGTTTCTGCCATGAGGTCTCCTTAGTTTGTGTATTGTAGTAATATAAACGGCCATCAGGTGCTCGTGCCTCTTGCCAGAGGCCTGCTATTGGGGGAACACCGTTCATCTTTGAATGTCGCGCAACCTAGCAGTGTGAAAGATATCAGAACAAGTACTGTTCCTGCAGATACTATCGCGACCCGAAAGAAGGCAGTAAGAGCAAAAGGAAACAGGTGCTGGTAATCGTGACTATGGTGTTTTCAAATTACAAACAACAAATTTGGTCAACTCAGCCCGTCGCAAGGCTAGTCTCGGCTTACTTGCTCTCTGAGGCGAATAGAACTTATCGACCACTATTAACTAGCAAAGACCCCTGCACTGAGACAGTTACTGTGATCCATATAGCCCACTTATGCGTTGCAGAGAATGCCTCTTGATCAAAACGACACAAAGCTACTACACGATGTGACAGCTAGTATCGTTGTCCCAGCACATCCCATTGCACCCCCTGCTGAAATACTCTCGAGACACTCAGGCGTTAAGGAAAGGACTACATTTTTCTATGGTAAGATTCCTATCTTAGCTTTCGAGCCTATTCTTACTCATTACTAGACTAGATGAATCGCTGAAGATTCTGGTTTTGCTGGACTGTCCAGCCTGTCCAGAACAGAGGCTTGAGAAAATCCTACAGAGGCTCGAAATCAGAGTCGATGCTTGGGCTTTGACATCTAGAGATGGCGACGAGAAATCACCATCTGAGGGGGGCACAACCCGCGATCTGATTGCGTCTGAATCAGTAATCAAAGCCGATGATCCAGTCACTCTTGTCAAGCAAGACGATCAGACTGACGGAATTCGACTTCAGTTAGTATGGGAATTGCATTTGACTTTGGGAAGACCACGCGTGCGCTCGCCCGACCAGAAGGTTGTATTCGTTCCAGTAGCCACTGTCATCGACAAAGATCTAGACGATGATCAGGAAGAGTTCCTAGAACCATTCACCTTGCTGGAACCAAATCTGTTTCAACCTCTTGGAGCACTTCCCGGTGCGGCAAACCCATACCTGCCTCTATCTCGATCAGAAAGGGTTGCTCCACCACCACAGAAAGACAACCGCATACGACTCAAGCATCAGTCAACGGAGCCAATACGTGCATTTGCAGCCATTATGCCTCGATTGAAGTACAACAAAATCCATACACTACCTGCAGTGCCTAAAACCATCGCATCCTTGGATATTGAGATGAATCCATTCGAAGATCTCAGAGGCAGAATTGAGGAGATTGAAGTCTCGATGACTAATGGGACAGTTGCATCACTCATGCCGGACCCACTGCCTATACCTTGCCAGTCAAAAGACTGTGTCACGTTCTTGTATGATTTACAGTCCACTCGCAAGTCTGGAACAAACATTCCCCTTGAGCAGACAAATATCCACACCAGTTCATCCTCAAATCAAAGCGTCGATGTGCTTAGTGTGCGCATCGTGGTCAGCTTGTTTATCGACTCCACTACCACGGCCATCATTACTACGTCGTGGACCTCCAACATTGACGTCTCCCTAGCGCTTAACCCTGCATTTGGCACACCATCTCAAACTTTGCAACGCACAAACCGTCCGACCTCACTTAACTTCGCTCCCTACCCTGATCCGGGCAAGTCTCAAGCTCGCGATCGGTCGAGTGTTGGAGGCGTACGAACCGCTTCAACATCTCTACAGCATCAAGTAATACCGACCTCGATTCCGAGACAATCTCCATCAGCAGGCTTATCAATCTCCTTCGAAGCGCCCGACGAGCCAGTCCACGTCGGCGTCCCATTTACATGGCGTGTGCTGATCGTCAATAATACCCGTACTTCCGCGAAACTAGCCATCGTCCCACTACCTCGTATACAACGTCCCACAAACCCCAATCAACACTTTGCAAAAAGATACGCCCCAAAAGCAAGCAGCACATCCATCATACCACTAACCGCTATCAGCACCACCAAGCAACACTCCCGCAGCACAACAAACCCACACAACACTGCAAAAGCCGTCGTCGACGAGCACGTCCTGTACGCTCTCCACCACCAGTCACCTATGGCGGGCGCTACAGCTGTCCCACCAGAGACAGACCTGATGAGTCTGACGGCAGAACTCAGAATCGGCCCCTTGAGCCAGAGGGCGTGTCATGAGGCTGAGATCAAGTTTATTGCGTGTAAGACCGGGACTCTGACGATTGAGGCTATGAGGGTAGTGGACTTGACGAGGGAGGGTGAAGGTGGAGTTGGTGTGATTAGTGATATTAGGGAATTGCCGGAGATTGTGGTGGTGGAGGGGTAGACGGTTGAGAATGAGTAGATTAGGGCTAGATAGATTTGAAACGTACTACATGAACAATAACGGGTTGCATTGAGTAGCTAGTATGCAAGCCTTCGTTCCTGCTACTTGCTATTGACATCTTCAATAGCTTTTGAGAGACCGTGCGCCAATTGCAAGGACCACAGTCCTACTCGTGTCGTTGCTATACACGTATGAACTCAAACACATCAAACAAATTTCTAGCCTATCCGCACAACAACATTGACTGCCCATCCACCTACAACTTACTCTTCATGCTACTCCTCTCGTCCTTCTTGAACAGCACACCACTATCAGGGTATGGATCGAACACGACCTTGTTCAGCGGGTTATCCTCACTCGCCCTCTTGAACATATCCTCATACACAGCACCATCATATCTTCCCAAGCTACTATCGAGCAACCAGTCCGAGAATTTCCAGCTGTCGACCAATCGTACAGCATGCGGTCGGATATCAGTCATCAACTGAGGCACAGTCTTGGTACGAGCAAGCTGGATCTGACGGATTGTGCAGGCAGCGCTCTGAAAGAACTCACTACTTTCTTTCTCGAGAGTGTGGAGGGCATAGAGGCGGAAGAGGCTGTGCAGAACGTCCTTGGTCGCGGTAGGGAGGGACGACTGGAGAGATGATGAGGCTAGTGCGCCGTGAAAGTTCTTCACAACCATGTATTGAGCGTGAGCTGTGGAGAGACGGAAGAAGTCGACGAGGAGAGAGTTCCAGGATCTCTTCTCTTCGTCTCGATGTTGTAGGGCTTGGAAGGTGAGGTAGCCGACACGCCAGGCGTAAGCTGCAACGAGGTCTTCGTCGTTACCGAGCACGTCAAAGCCTGCGCCGATGTCCATGCGGCGTTTGTATGTCTTGAGGATTGCTGTTGTGTCGTTATCGCCTTTGACGGCGTTGAAGTTGCCGGCCTTGCTTGCGTTCTTGAGGACTGCTCTGGCTGACTTGAGCAAGTAGCGAGAGACCTGTTGGGTGAGCATGTAGTTGTCACCCTCCCATGTCAAGGTTGGCAGGTAGTCAGCATACCAAGAGCCGATACCCGAGAAGGACGAATAGCCGTGGCCTCCACAGGCACGACGGCAGACTTCAAGACCTTCACCTGCAACAGTTGAGGCGTAGGATTTCAAGGCACAAGACGTGGAATGTAGATCCGCAAGCAGGTCCGCGCCAGGGTTGAGCTCTTCTGGACCAGCACTTCGTCCTGTCTGGTTGCTGTCCTCGGAGACTTTGCCAGGATTCTCCTTCCTCTTCATGGCTGCCTGGTTGGCATCGTATAGCTCAATCATACCTCGACCAGTGAAGTGCAAAGCAAAACAAGCGGCAAGAAGTGGGAATAGCCGCTGCTGGACCATAGTGTAGTTGATCACTTGGTTTTCTCGAACCTCATCTTCAGGCGCATCGCGGTCAGTGAATTGACGACGGACGGAACAGTATCTCACAGCGATGGTGACACCACGAGCAAGGACGGAGCCAGACTGGAGAACAATATTCGAGCGGACCCAGGTAAGAGTGCCATAGACGAGAGATGGGTTCGAAGGTCGGACGTACTTGTTGGAGTTCGGATCAACACCTGAAAATCGGGCGAGCATATTCGCATGTGGGATCTTTACCTTGTTGAACAACAGGAAACCATTGTCCATTGTATTGTAGCCGAATTTAGGACCAATATCGCCAACATGTATATTTTCAAGTGGCTCATGAGTTTTGAGGTCTCTGATCTGAACGACGAAGGGGTGAGGACCATATGGCTTGCCTCCGATGATGAGCTGTGCCATGACAACAGCATGGTTGGCGACCTTGCCAAGAGACCCGATCCACCACTTGGAGGAGGTTAGATGGGGCGAATGCAGTATGAAAGTCTTGTCATCTGGATTCCATGTTGCAGTGGTCTCCAGGCCTCTTACGTTGGAACCGTGACCCAGCTCGGTCTGAGCATAGCAGCCGATGTACTCATAAGCCTCAGCTTTCTTCAAAAACCTCTCGTGTTGTTCAGGAGTACCTTGCTCTCGCAGAGTGATAAGGAACATAGACGCGTGTAGTCCGTATGGAGTGGGTTCACTAATGAGTTCGTTGGCTGTGTTGTATTCTTCCTTGGACCAATTGTGCTTGACTTGCAGCTGCCTCAGTCTCTTGCCGCGAGCAAGAGAAGCCTCGATCCGGGCTTCGCGTCCACGAAAGTAATTCTGTGTTTTATCGAACACCGGGTCGGCCTTCAGGACGTCTAACAGCCTTTCATTTCTCTCCATAGCTTCATTGGTGAACATGAAAGAAGCCAATTTGTCGACATCGACGTTGGACTTTTCTCGCTCGAGCTCCAAGCATTTCTTCCCTGACCTGCCGGACTCGCGCAGAGCTTTGACCCAATCTGGATTAGACATATTGTCCTACAACTCGAGTTAAGGATCGAGATATGGACTCTGGTCTATTACTTTGACAAGTAGATAGAACAAGACAGAGAGTCAGGGCTGAGAGAGATCAAATCGCAGCTCTGACTTCTTCAGTGACGGCGTCACTTCACATGGACCGAGGCATCTTGGAGGTCTAACGTCTTTTGGAATAGCTCTTCAAACTCGGAGCTAGGTCATTTACCGTACTTACTTCCGTCCATTTTTCTTCACATCAAAAGCATGAGCCGCGGCTCGTAAGGATGTCGTACTCATGCAGATAATTGTTCTGATCTGTCAATTGTAGTAATCGGATACTGGAGGCATATGTGACACCCATCGAAGCGCTTGCACAATTCGTGATAAAAACACTCGAGTAGTCGTGCGACTAGGAAGATTCCGTCCCATGATTGGCACATCATCGGCGAACGCTGCCCTGTTTAGGCGAAGACCTACAGGCAAGCTAATCTACATAAAGCCTGGCGCGATCGATCTTCGTTGGTACCTGCCGCTGCCAACGCGTGAATCGATTGTACCACGCGGAATGTCCACTTGATCGTCCCAGGTCAATGGTCATGGCGTTTCTATTGACTCTTCCATGCCTGACAATGTAGACAAGTCTTTGTATAATGACGGTCGTGAAGAGGTGGAAATGACAGATCTGGACACCTCGTATGTCGAGCGAGAGCCAGCGTCTACCGCCCCCCTCATCACACACGAGCATCAGTATGAACAAGTTGGTACAGTTCAGACACCACAAATTTCAGGCTCAAACAGCTTCATATGGCTGTTGACCATCGCAGCTTGCGTTGGTGGTTTGTTGTTCGGATACGACACTGGAGTAATCTCAAGCACTCTTGTCTCTATTGGCACCGACCTCTCCGACAGACACCTTACGAGCCTCGATAAAGGTCTAATTACTGCCTCGACGAGTTTCTTTGCTCTGGTCGCGAGTCCAGTTGCTGGTATACTGGCCGATCGATATGGCAGAAAGAATGTTATAGTAGGCTCAGACGTCCTCTTTGCTGCTGGCGCATTATGGCAAGCCTCCACTACCAGTGTCTCAGGCATGATCTTTGGTAGATCTGTCGTGGGCCTTGCAATTGGCTGCGGATCTTTGATTGTTCCTTTATACATTGCTGAACTCGCACCTGGACATCTGAGGGGACGTCTAACCACTGTACAACTCCTATTCATTACCGGAGGACAAGCTGTAGCATATATTGTTGGCTGGATACTCTCCACCATGCCCGGTGGTTGGCGTTGGATGGTTGGTGTGGGAGCTTCGCCAGCTGTGTTGCAGATCTTCATGGTGGTAGTCATGCCGGAAACACCAAGATATCTCGCGCGGATGGGGAAGGAAGAAAGAGCTAGGCACATACTCATGAGGGTTTACAATAAAACTACTTCTGATCTCGAAACGACAGTCGATACCACATTAGGTGCGATCAGGAAAGAGATCTTGCAAGAAGAGGAAGCTGCTGTATCACTAAAGTCGCATGCAGATCTGGACTCAACCAGCTCGAAGTTCATGGCTACATTTTCTTCCCTGCTATTCCATCCACCACATGCACGAGCTTTGACCATTGCATGTCTCTTGCAAGGTCTGCAACAAGCATGCGGTTTCAACTCGTAAGTATCTATCCCGTGTCGTTGGACGAGACTAAGCCCGCGACTTTAGGCTCATGTACTTCTCCGCCACAATCTTCAGCCAGCTTGGTTTCCCTTCGCCGACTCTGACCAGTCTTGTCGTCGCCCTGACCAATTTTGCATTCACAGTCGTGGCTTTCTATCTCATCGATCGACTTGGAAGGAGAAGGAGTTTGCTCTATACTATACCAATCATGGTTGTCAGTCTGCTCCTGGCTGCTGTGATGTTCCGCTTCGTTGATCTGCCAACCCAGGATGTGTCTACTGTGCCTACACCTGCAACATCTGACACTCCAACATGGCCAACCCATCTCATTCTAGTTGCAATCATGCTCTATGTATCCTCTTACGCCACCGGTCTAGGTCCTGTACCATGGCAACAGTCCGAGCTCTTCCCACTTTCTGTACGCTCTCTAGGCTCAAGTCTATCAACTGCAACCAACTGGGGCTTGAATACCATCGTTGGTTTGACCTTTCTGCCAATGATGCAGCACCTCACACCAAGCTGGACGTTCGCAGTATATGCTATGGTCTGCGTTCTTGGTTGGATAGCGATCTGGTGTTGCTACCCGGAGACGATGGGTATGGAAATTGAGGACATTGGTGGTCTTTTGCAGACTGGATGGGGTGTGAGTGAGAGTATGCAACGACTGAAGAGGCTGCAGGCACGTTAGCTCAAAGCTAGAATAGAATATCGACTACTCTCATCCGCGTCGCTCGTGATTGACCTACAGGATGTCTTCTTCCTCGAAGCTTCGCTGTTTTCACGGTGACGTATCTTGTTTAGGCAGTCCAGTCTACCATTTGCGGATGGCATAATCACTCTTTCGTGATTGCATGACCACGGGTAGTGTTCAATCGAGCTCAACTTCTTCAATCGGCTCAAGAAATCCACGAAACGTAAGCTTCTCAATTCTCCAATGCTTTTCCGCTTCGGATTTTCCCTGCTCGTCAACCTTGCTAGGGTCTTCTGCTTTAACTCTGGCGTCACTGTCATTTGGCTCTACCCGATCTTGGCTACCCTGATGAATCTGCTTCGGTTGAACGTCTCCATTGCTCTGGTCCTCGGTAATATGTAACGTCCATCGCATGCCATAACCTTGACCATTCCTGATTTCGTATACTGCTACTCCACGATGTAGCATCATCACGTTCCTCCAAGCCACAGTTTCCAGCATTCTCTGCAAGGCTTCTGATGCGAGTCTGGTCTTATTTTCGTTGCTACCTACAGGTAGTGGCCAATAAGGATGCTTCCTCCCATGTTCACTTGAAGCCCCACCTCTCTCAAAGTGTTTGCAAAGAGCACAGGCACCTGAGGACATCCTTGTCTTCGACCTTGGAGGCACGTTGAACGTGTCTCTTAATGCATCGATACCCGGAGGAAGTAAGTAGATAGTACCTTGAGTCTTGACAAGTCCGGCAGCCCTATAAGCAACTTCTGCTCGAGACGGAGTTGAGGACCATGGTAATTGCAACCGTGAGTACATTTTTTGGTATCCTTTTCAAGACGGAATTCACGTCTGAGAACATCTGAGATCTGGCAAGATTGCCAAGTGTATGCGTCCTGGTAATCGTGACTAAAGATATGCCGTGAAGTGAAAGGAGAGGAAAGGCCGACCTTGTCGTCGTGTGACAGGTTTAGATCACGTGAGCTTCTGCTCTGGGGGCAAGCACGACCGCTGAACAATTGTGCCTCTTTGAAGGCCAGATGTCAAAAATCGACAACCAATCGTGCTTCAACATTGCTGTGCGACATAGCGAGTTCTTACTTCTCTGTCTGACTTGGATATACTTGGATAGCGCACAAGTGCTGACATATGAGTGCTTCCGACCAGTCTCAACTGTGAGGCGGATAGCCTATCCATATCCCTCATGTGGTCTCCTCCAGTGCACTCTTTCGTTCGTACCTCAATATCCTGGACCAAATAAGCATTGAAGATGAACGACAGGACGAGTGCCGAAATTGTGAGATATGTATTGGCCATATGGCGTGCCTCAGGTTTTTGCACATCACCTAGCAGAGACTCATTCGAATGCTGGTGATAGCACCTCGCCTGAAGCGCGACGCGAAAATGACAGCGCAAGCAAGGAATTTGAGTCCTCACAGGATGCTGCGCGCGCTTTCAAGACGGACGAACACGAGCGAGAGTCTACGACAAGTTCGATCATTGATGTGAGGGTTACTAGGAGTGAGCACCTCTTTGCGACTCTGACGAAAAACGTTCTTGCTCTATGGTCAGTTAAACCAACTGTACTGTTGGTATCTTTACGACGTTCTGAAAAGTCCGTGGCCAGTTATGGCGATAATATCGGAATGCACTTCCGCCCAGATGGCAGTCTTATTGTGCTACATACGTCTTTAGGATTTCTGATTCTGTATGCGATTGAAACTGATCCCAACGTTCGAGTACTCCAACAACGTACGCCAGAAAGCCAGACAAAAAAACAGAGCGTTGCACGCACTTTTGGCACGTCCGACGCCTCAGGATTAGCAGAGGTCGTTCTGAGATTTCGAAAGACAATAAAAATTGACGCTGGCATAAGCTCTATCATAGCCACTGACCAAGATCTCGTAATCGTGACTGTCAAGCCTCCGGCTGTGCAATGCATCAAATGGGAAACTCACAAAGGTCTCCATCAGACCTCAACCCAGCTCATGAGCAAGATGCAATGGATCGAGAACAAGACGACTATCTCACACATGACGCACGATCGTGCTATGAACCTGTCTGTATGGATAGGCGACCATGGGTCAACCTATGCTGTACGAAGAGTTCGTCCGCAGATCCTAAGCAGAACGTCCTCTGCGGAGAGCTCGCAGTCATCAGCTTCTTCAGTGGTACCAGCATCCAGAATCTTTGATGGGTACAGATTTCATTTACCGTCTGGAGAAGGTGAGGAGGCACTGATTGCTGCCATCAACGCTCGTTTCTCTCTCATCGCAGTAGCTACCAAGAACGGCAAGATATTATGTTTCGCAGCGAAGGACTATGCGGGAAACATACCACTATCCCACACGTTCAAAACCAACACATCACCAACAGGTACACTTAGAGTCACTAGCTTAGTGTGGTCGCCGGATGGGTACTGCCTCTTCGCTGGCTTTGAGTCAGGCTGGATGTCTTGGAGTGTGTTCGGGAGAGAATTGGCTTCGACATTCACTGCGAATGCTGCACATGCTGAGAACAACAACGAGAACTGGTTGCTACATATACAAACTGCCAATTGGCTCAGTGGCGGATCCGAGCTGCTGCTGACTACTCCTCAAGACTCACGTATCTGGAAGCTTGACTTTTCAAGAAGTGCGGCAGTAGGATGCTTCGCCTGTGCGAACTTGGTCCGGGCTCTACACCAGACTCCGCGAGAGCTGGCTGTATATCGTGGACACGAGCTGCCTGATCTCACCTCGATATCCAATGAGGCTTCATTGTGGCATCATGCCCAATACCCTTCGAGTTACCTGCATAGTCAGTGGCCAATCCGGACAGCAGTGGTATCGCAGGATGGCAGATACATTGCTGTCGCCGGCCGCCGCGGCCTGGCTCACTACAGTGTCACTAGCGGTCGATGGAGGACTTTCTCTGATTATGCTGTGGAGAACTCTTTCGCTGTGCGTGGTGGTATGTGCTGGTTCAATCACGTTCTTGCTGTCGCTACAGAACATGCGCAAGGTTATGACTTACGACTGTACTCTCGAGATCAAGATCTTGGTCGTGCTCCCTTGCATGCAGAATCTTTTGCCATGCCTATCGTGTTCGTGGGACCATCGGGAGAAGATTCACTGCTTGTTTACACGTATGAGAACGTGCTCTACCATTACATCGTCAATGTTACAGACCGAAGTGCACAATTACTTCAAGTTGGCCAAATCGCCTTTCATGGTCTTGTACGAGCACCAAGTAGAGTTAGATCAGTCAGCTGGGTGCTTCCAGAGCAGCAATTGCGAAACGGAGATCCTTCCAGGGATGTTGAGCACGCCGCGGTACTATTTCTGATAGACGACAAATTGGTCCTTCTGCATCCCTCGCGAACACCTGAAAATGCTGTGAAGTATGACATGAGGGTCATTGCACATCAGGTCGAGTACTATATCCTCATGAGGGATCAGATTTACTTCAATTTTGCGAATGTACTAGGCGAGTCTGCTCCACCGACGCCATCGCCCGGCTCAATCCTTGGTTTCAGACAGAACAGTATGCATTACTCTTTGCGAGACTCGCTCTGGATCTTTACAGGTGAAAATCTCTGTTTGTGGTCCGATGTACAGGATCTCTTGCACTCCATGACAGGACTTGCGACCTCGAAACAATCGTTATTGTCGATACCGCTTGACTTCTACCCACTCTCTATCCTGTTGAACAAGGGAGTAGTCCTTGGCATTGACTCTGAAAATTTACAGCGTCGAGATGTGAACTTTGCACAATTCAGGACAACGATCAGAACTCAGCTTTTCCTGCCTTACGTCCTCAGATACCAACTTTTGGAAGCGAATGATACTTCTGTCGCCTTCGCAATCGCTCATCAGTATCAGGACTTGACGTATTTTCCGCACGCATTGGAGATCCTGCTTCACATTGTGCTTGACGACGAAGCGGATCGTAGAAGAAACGAAAGCACCTCAACTGCTACCCAGGAACCACTACCAGCGATTCTTTCTTTCTTACAGATGGCACTGTCCCCGGAAACCTATCTCGCGACTATAGTACAATGTGTACGAAAGACCGAGTTCTCTTTCTGGCAATATCTGTTTGCCCATCTCCCGTCGCCTGAAACCATGTTCGAACAGGCACTAGCTTTAAACGATTTGAAGACAGCCAGTGGATATCTCATAGTCATGCAGACTTTTGAAGAAGAGCAAGAGGAGACGGCCGACGAAAGACAGGATGCTGCAGATCCTCGAGGCTTCGAAGAGCAGGTAGTGCGCCTGATGAGCTTGGCCAAGGCGAAGAGCGACTATGAACTTTGTTCAGAGCTAGCTCGGTTCATGATAGGTATAGATCCACGAGGAGACACATTAAGGCGAGTGGTTCAGAAAGTAGGCTTTCGTGGGAATAACGTGTACCTGCAACCTCAACGGGCGAGGTTGTCGAGCCGTAATATTGCTTTACAACAGGCGGAAACAGCGCATCCTAAACCACAGACACTGGGTAAATTGGATATTAGACTTACTAGGTTGCTGGCGGAGGAGCCGAAGTCGGCTGGAGCTGAGAGTGAAGGTGTAGTTAGTCGGAGTAGTGCTGGCGATTATTTTTCCGCCAGTCCACAGGACTTGTCGTAGCTGTATATGTAGGCTATCAGAGATCCCTGAAGTGTTGTGCACCGCAATGTCCCGTTATAGAGCTTGTGTCGATGACCTTTCATTTTTGTTTGTTCGAGCAGAAGAGGTACTGTGTGTCCTGGCTCGATTTTTTGGTTAAGGTGAAGGTTTTGCTCAGACACTGTACTCGTCTGCAAGTTCAACGAACGCCTCCACAACCATTTCAACATCCACTTTCTTGATCGGTATCCGATGTGGTCCGTCCCATTCTACAACCACGGTCGTGCCCGCAGCGCAATAATCCTCGACACATCGCCTATGCAGTTCAAGTCCCTCGTCCCGGAGCCCATGCACATGAACCGTTGGCAATCTCAGTTTATGTTCCGGCGCCTCAAATATCGCATCCATATCAGCCTCATCTGGCAATCCAGCCGCACTCTGCAAGAACTTCATCTGCTCCATCTCCTCATTCAGTGCCAGTAACGGCGCTCGTCCCGCCATAATGATCCCAAAACGAAATTTACCTAGCAGACTATCTCTCGGAACCTCAATTCCTGCAGCCTCATCCAGCTGCTGCTTCAATAGCAGACTACAGGCCACTTTGGCACCCTGACTGAACCCCAGCACACCGACGAACTCGCCCTTACCCTCGTCAGCCTTCATGCCCTGCTCGACTCCGTATATGATCTCATGCATGCAGGTTGAGGCATCGATTTCCTCATGGGTTTTGAGCCAGCGACTCCATCGTCGGAAGGGACCCCAGTTCGCGTAGACCGGGTAGATTCCTATGCCCTCATCGCAGAAGAACGGGGCCTCGACGAAGACGAAGCGGAAGCGAGGTGCTAGTTGTGGATGGGTTAGGAACGCGCGCATTTGGTTGCGGAATATTGATGCGTTGACGCCGCCGCCGTGGAGACATAGTATGCGTGGGAGGGTGAGGGTCATTGAGGGGTCGGGTGTGTTTGATCGAGAGGCTGAGAGAGTTTGTGATGATGGATGTAGCGATTGTGGCATGGTGATAAGTTTTCTTGAAACCCTCGAATTGCCTGAATGTACCCGTGCCTGGCCAGAGAGTTTTGTAATTCCAACTTATATATTAAGATGATTCTGCTTTTCTGATAATTATTTTTAGAACATCTTGCCTGAACTTCTGGTCATGGATGCTGGGATCTTCGGCAGTATGTTACTTGCGAGGATCTAGCCTTTATCCTCGCCAGCGTCAGTTGTGGGCCGTGAAGACTCTGTTGGTGGTGATTGTGTAGAAGTTCCAAGTATGTGTTTGTAAGAATGAAGTCTCTTGATTCGTGGTTGAACCTGGATATACTGGATAGTACTTGAAGCACACACGGGAAAACAGTGAACCCTTTCCGGCTGGATAGAGGAAGACGTCCGCAATACACTTTACGATTTCGTCCTTCTTCCTCCTCACCCTGTCAGACGTTTACCAAAGCTGTAAAATAGCGATAGTTTCGTGATATCAACACCTTTGTTCACTATGGATCTCGAATGTGCCCTGCTCGCTCTACCCTTAGAGATTCGCCTACAAATATGGTCGCTCCTACTCGCTCCACCAGCCCCATTAATCATGCGCTCATTGTTCATTAGATCAGGGTTTCAGAATATCTTTATGAGCCAGCAAGCTAAGCGCATCACAGTTACGTTGCTTCTACTATGCAAACAAATCGCTGCCGAAGCTCTCCCGTTGCTGTATGCTCAGCCTACATGGAAGGCGTCCTGTCGTCTCGAAGCACTCGCAAGTCAGATAGGAACCGACAATTTTGGCTTGATCAAGCGCATATCTGTCGACGCGGATGACCTCTCCTCGCTTATTAGCAGTTTGATCTTAGACATACAGGAGAATGAGCCGAAGTTGCGCTCTTCTCTCGTCCTACCTGGCGTTGAGCTCAAAACTGAACCAGGGTTTCAAGGTCGAATAGACTCCATGATAGCAGATTCGCCTGCCTCAGGGTTCGACCTAGGCGCAAGTCCTCCCAGATCCAGGAGACTGAGGTTCTCGAACCTCGAAGCGCTAGAGGTCGAAGCATACCAGACCATAGCTCTCACTAATCGTGGAAGTAGACGGACTCGAAAGGAGGCGCTCCGACTATGCGACTTTGCCCGCCAGATATTATTATACCATCCTGTCCTAAATCAATTGGTGCAGCAAGGTGGATTTGGCCGAGGAGGGTCTGACGCGATCGACCTTGAGATGGGCCGTGTTCGATGGCGATTTCTTCGCAATACGGGCAAGGAACGTCCTAGCATGACTGTTCATGAGCATGAGGTTGACCTTGATCAGCTGGAGGATATGCTGAGAGCCTTGATTGAGATGGATGACGAGGATGAGATCAATAGACGGCGAGAGAAAGAGGGCGTTGCTGGGTGGACAGATGAGGGATTTCGACAGTATCCATATCTGTCATCATTGTGAACTATGGACGAGATCTTGCGACGAATATCCAGGTCTTTTTGATTTGAATCTAGCACGAAATCGAAAGCCTGTTTCTCGCAGGATATCTACTGTTGCAAATCTATGCGGGGAACCAGTAGTCGTAAGGACGAGGAATGAAGCATCAAAGAAAAACCGGACACTGGAGGGTTTCTTATAGTAGGACTTGACCGTATGCATGTTCCTGAATCTCCTGAGCTCTGCTGTAAGGATAGGAGGAATGGCATGCTTTAGCCAGGAGAATTGCAGAGACGGTATTATAGCCGGATATACAACCTCCTGTTCTGATCCATAAATAGTACAACATGTAATTGCATATTAACCCAGCCTCCTGACGTGAGGACTTCTTGCACCACCAAATTTGGACCTTGTAGCATCAGTTACTTTCTTCACTATTGGTTTAATCATCCTTCCTTCTTGTCCCAGTAGTGCTTTCTGGAACGCTTCTCTTCCATTGCCATAACCGCGAAATATCAGCTCAATCCCTCTTCTCCTGACATCTGGGTCGTTGAGAGTGATTGGTGTGGTACCGGCCTTCTTGCCTCCTATCCTCCAATTGATTTCTGTGATTTTGCGAAATGTGTATGATGCTAGCTGATACCCGGCATCGTACGTGCCTCTCTGAGCCTTTTTGAGACCAATGTTGCCCGACGAAAACGACAGGATAGGGTCGCGCGAGGGATGTGTGAAGGTGATATGTGTGTTGTGCTTGTGAGTGTATAGATTGAGGTGGTATGGCTCGTCAGGACCAACACCTGCTCGTGGTCTGTGTCGTGCTTCGCTTTCAGCGACTCTGGCTAGCTCGTCTAGTTTTGTTGATGGTCTGGTGCCAGTGCCTTCGGGTGTGTATGTAGTAAACTTGCCTCGAGCAGGTGGATCAGCTTGCTGTTGTGATGAGCTCGAGAAGAGGCTGCGTTGGACTTTTGATATATGCGCTCGACACCGTTGGCATGTTTTCGAAACTACAGGACGAGACATGACTGTCGATATATATCCAGTCAACGACCTCCCAGAACGAAGAGGTTGATGCAGCCGCTTTTGCTTGAGATTAAATGAGCATGCACAATCCGCGATGTTTAGGACCGCAGTTCATGCCTGAGGCATCCTGGGTCCGGGCACTTGACGCGTTGCGCTCTCGTCACGCGAATTGATTGCACTTGGAAATTTACCAGCCAAACTGTGAAGTGATGGAAGTCAATACAACGATACACTGTTGACAATCGTCCTGTTAGGTTCTTGATCTACAGAGACATCTCCCCAGTGTGGCACTCTCCTTCAAAGTATGCAAGATCCTTAAGTACCCGCAATCATGCTCAACCTCTACAAAGAGACAGCTATTGAGGTCAAATCAACTACTTCGCCTAGCCATACAGATATCCAGATACCCAGAGCGAATGGTTCCTACGACAGATCGAAGTTCTCGAAGAAGCCTGAAAGACATGACCGATTGGCGGTGGACGAAAAGAGCTACGCCGCAGAATACCTAGCTGCCTCGAGCTCAGTATTCATTCGACGAGAATCTTCCTACCCACGCTCTTTTGCCTGGCGCGTCGTCTCGCAACAGAGAGTGCTCGAGATCTCCAACGTCGACTTTGCGCGCAACGACAAAGATCGTGAAGCCGACAGGACATTAGCCTTCGAATTCCAGGATCAGATATCACCTCGAGGAGTGAGCATCTGCGATTCGAGTACGGGCAGTGAATTCCATATCTTTGTCCTGACGCAGGAGAACGAGGTTTTTGAACTTCGTCTACAGATCAAGTTCTTTCAGGATGCGAAGTCTATTCCGCCAGACACCAGTTCCTGGTGCACACCCATTCGAGCTTCCTCCCTGTCGATAGATCGAGCATTTCAGCTTCATGTGGACAACCCTCACGACCTGTTCGTGTCCTTTGCGAGCGGCAAGGTGCAGCATTGGAAAAGAGACGGCACTGATTCACAATGGACGCACATTAACTATGATGACAAGACGTGGGGCGCAGCACTATTCAGCATTGTCAGTCGGAAAGTGCATGCAGATATTGACTTCGAAGGCATGCGTCTAGCACACAATACCACTCATGCCATGATAAGATCTGGTCAATACCTCTTCACTGCCTGCCTCAATCATACTCTTCGAGTTTGGCACTTGGATTCAGGTAGACTGGTAGATTCGAGGGATTTGCTAGACCAAGCTAGAGATCCACATGATAATGTTCAGCTCAACCCAGCTGAGCCAGGTTACATACAATTCCTCGAGGGCACCAACAAGCAGGAACGAATTCTTTTGACATGCTCACCTCTCAATGGAGGTCAAATCAAACTTTGGCGTGTGAAGAACGCCTTTGCCGACGAGGCTGAGTTGTTCAGCATTGAAGATATGGCGCCAAACTCAGTACTTTCCCTACCAGATCCAGATCCTTCAGGCAGTAGTGTCTGGTCTCTCACTGGTCTACGTCTGATCTTTGACAAACATACCAAGGATTGGCAGGCCTGGGTTCTGTGGAGGAATCACAATTACCACAAGGTTTATACCTTAAATTTCAGCTTCACCGATATCTCCAGCCAGTGGTCGAAGGAGTGGGTGAGCGTTTCAGCTGTCAGCACTAAATCTCCAGGACCTGATTTTGTGCCAACTGATGCGCACGACGTTAGCTCTAAATGGCTCGATTACCTCTTGTTTCCTCGTCGTTACTCGAGTGCAGCCATTGAGACTGCACTTGCCCAATACTCGACTGCTTTGGACACTCGCTTATCGGCTAGTGATCGACGAAAGTCACTTCGAGAACGCCTCGCTCTCCTGATCGGATCACAGGTAAAGCTTCGCAGCTATGATGAGTCCACCATGGACTATGATCGTTATGCTGTGGACACTGATCAACAATGGCGGCAATTCTGGCGCATTCTCGAGAACCTGAACGAAGGTAGATATGCACCGCTGGCACTGGCATTGGACGCGAGTAGTGGCATGGTCATGATTACAATGGCCGATTTATGCTGCGAGGTTCGAGAGTGCAACAACCTGGAGTTGTTGGACACCAATGAAGTTGCTGATATAGAACTAATGCCTCAGATAGTCCGCAGTCGATGGCCTTATCGAAGGCTTCTGTTCAATATACAAGAAGCAGTGCCGGCTGTGGTGGTTCTCTCAGCAGCCCAAAAATTTTTCAGCTCTTTTCCACCAGACTTGGCTGTCAACTTCGGGCAAACTCTCGATGAGGATCTTTACACCAAATCAGACCTGCCAACATCGGACAGAATCGTCAACTTCTTCAACGAGATCGACTTCGCCAACGCTGTCCCCGATGATGTTGAGAAAGAGCTTAACAAGAACCTGTCCGAGATAGGAGGCGCAGAAGCTATTTCAAACGATATTTATGCGTTGTTGTTGAAGCTCATCGTCGAGCATAAAGTTACAAGAACAAAACCGCATCACACCAAAACAGAATTTGGCCTCGATCTCACTTTTGCGGCTCTGCTGAAAGAAATCGTTGCTACTCGGCAGGCACTTCTTAGCCTGCTTGCTGTGGTCATTTTCCTTGACGGAAACGAACAGTTCAACACATGCCGCTTCTTTGACGAGTTAGTGTTACGCCTGCGAACCCAGGAGCGGAACTTGTGGCTTGCAACGCACTACAGATCGAAGAAATCAACGTCAGGAGACAATAAAGCAGCACCTATGTCAATCTTGCAGGACATATATGCACAGATATGCCGTCCCCAATCAACCGACCACCATCCTATGCCTTTCGTGCTTACTCAGCACATCATGGACAATCTGGAATTTGTGTCTGGTGAGTCGGATCTTCCTCCTGGAGAAGCTGCCGTCTATTTTCAATGCAATCTGCTGAAGCATGGAGAGGTCGAATTGGCCAGTGATTTTCTCAAGTTTCAACCACCTACAGCATTCTCAACGTACATAAAAGGCCGACTCAGTCTCGCCCTTGGCAACTACAAAGAAGCCAGCTTGTACTTTCAGGAAGCAGCTGATAGCCTTGCCAGAGGCAAAGCTTTGGGTAAGCTAGATGAATTTTCGTGTGGCCTGCTCACTGCTCAAGAGGCAGCATGCTTTTATGGTGGTCTACCACTCTACTTGCAGCATATAGTGACACTCTTCGAAGAAGCGAAGGCGTTCAACGAAGCTGCTGATGTCGCTCGGCGCACCTTAGACGCCCTCGAGTCAGAAGACGGTGAGCCTCTGCCGAACTTTAGACAGAGCGTGCTTCTGCGGTTGTTTAACTCGGAGCTCAAATGCGCCCGTTTCGAACAGGCTTGTGACGCACTTGTACGATTCTCGGATTTAGTACTACAGCGAACTTCAGCGACAGACCTAGTCAACACGATGCTCGACTCAGCCTCGTCACTTTCGGACTCCCTCGGTGTCGTTAAACAAATTCAAGACCTGCCACTTTCAACCCATCCGAACCTTGCGAACCACGTTGACCACCATCTTGCCTCATTGGCTAAGAAGCAGACCTCGATCCCTTCAGCTGGCGGCCTGTGGCTATCGAACACGCCCACCGACTACCTGAGTATCTTGCACGCGTTGAGACTTTTCAAGAAGGACTATCGAGGTGCTGTTTCCGTGCTCTTTGATCGACTGCGCCTCATACAGAAGTCAGGTCGGGCTAGAAGTGACCCTAAGGCTACTAGCCTGAGACATGCACTGCTAGCCATTATCAACACTATGACCTGCGTGAAAGAGGATGAGGCGTATATTGTGACAGACAGTGCAGAGAATCCACGACTTGCGAGTCATGCGAAAGGGTTGAAGAGACTACATGAGCCGGACAGTGACGACCAGGATCCTAGGCGGAAGCGCACAAGAGTTGTTGTGACTCTGGACGATTTCAGACGAGAATATCAAAGAGTACTGGATCGGTGTAGTCGAATTGAAAGAGGTGACTTCGAATACGGCCACGAAAGTGAAGACGAAAGTGATGAGGAGCCGGAGAAAAGCTACCAGGGGTCAAAGCTGGTCATTGATCGCAGCAAGAAGGATGAGACGTTGCGCCTGACGAATGGTGATGCGATGCAATTGTCATGAGGTGGGAGCAGAAGCGTCAGCATATTCGAGCTTTTTCTAATCAAGGACCAGGTTGAGGTTTACTCAAATGCATAGCGAGGAGTTCATTCAGGATTTAGGTCACGTGGTCTATCGTGATTTCAGCCAGCTCACAGTTGATGTTTTCTCCAGTGGCTCAATCAGCTGCCATGCCCTCTACAATTTACCATATTGTGAACTATGAGATCCACTCTGCCACTACAGCTATCACTTCGTAGTCAGATCTGTAACCGTTCATCACGTGAGTTGGTGACGAGCTAGCCTGTATTCGATCACGCATCAGCGAGTGACATCAAAGCGCAACCCCGAACAGAAGTTCGTGGGCCATGTACCTGTATCTCGACCAACGTTTCCCGATCCTCCATGTTCCGCAGCGAATCTCTTCTTTGCGCACGACGTTGCGTCTGCGCCTTCTTTAGCACCCAATAACTCCTTCAATCATGGCGTCTTCGATACCAACCATCAAGTTCGAGGGCGACCACAATGTCAAGATGGAAGATGTCAATTCACCCTCAGCTGCGTCTGAGCAATACGCAGACGATGTAGAGGATGACCCAGAACTCAACACAGAGAACGCGCACAAGATACTATGGATGTCAAAACTACCAAAGTACCTATGGGAAGCTCTCGAGAACGCCAACGACGATGACGAGATCGAAATCGGCACGATACGAGTGGAGGGCGCATTCGACAATCCTGAACGAGTCAGCTTGATGCTGAACAATGCGCAAAACTTTCAGAGCCTTGAGAAGGAATACGTACTGAAGAAGCAGACTGGTCCAACAAGGAAGATAAAACGACCTGGTCAAGTACTGATGTTCTCGGAGAAGAATAAGCCAGGTTACAAGCCGAGAGCAAGCTTCTGGGACGATATTGACGAGGATGGGAACCCTGGGCAGGGTCGGTCACAGTTGTATGAACAGGGAATCAAGGATGAGAAGAGAAAGGAGAGTAAAGGGAGATATACACCTTACCAGCGCAAACCAATTCCTAAAATCACGGCGTTGTCAGGAACAGTATTTCAGGAATTCGAGGCTGCAGCTGTAGACAACGCCGAACACAGACGTCTTGACGGCGAAAGGACACGAGACGCGCTGAAAGTCAAGGAGAAAGCCGCTATTGAGATCAAGGACGATATGGATGCTAAATTGCACTATGGCTCCATGGTCACTGCTTCGGAAAGACAAAACATTGTCAGGGTCAGTGTTGCGCGTCTAGCTTGTCGAGTCATGCTAACGAGATCTAGTCTGGACAGAACAAAAGAGCTGCAGCCAAAGAAAATCGCACAACACAAGAGGATAAGGCCGTGGTCATTCCCAAAATCCTCGATCTCTTCCGTCAACACAAATACTGGGGTCTTCGAGATCTACGCCTGGCGCTCAGACAACCCGAGCAATCGATCAAAAACTGTTTGGAAGATATCGCAGTCATGCACCGAGCTGGCGATTTCAATGGTAAATGGGAGCTTAAGCCTGACCTCAAGGTTGATGACGATGCTCTGTTGAACGCTCTTGGAGAAGCACCGAAGATGGAAGAGTCAGATATGGACATGAAGAGTGAAGGGGAAGATGATGACTTTGAGGATGTTGACACGATGGGATGACGGACGGACGACCGCCTAGATTTTGCTTTGGAGCATCAGAAAGGACGGCGTGCTTTTTTCTTCTGACATTGAGCTTACTTGCATTTCTGCCACATTGACACTAGCACAAGGGGTCGGCCAGTCTTTTGTGTGCTTTGAGACAGGCACGACGGCATCTTGGAACTTTGAATGAAATTTGAAGACGATTCTACAGCATAGCGAGGCGTTTTGGGAGTCAGATCACTACCCGCTATGGATGACCGGCAGGCTGCGTGGATGAAATTACAATTCTTGGTTATCTTCGTATCAGCACAGCAGCAAACACTCTGAACAACAAGCAGGACGATCACTCTTGCTGAGTTTCACAATTTCAGTTTCTTCAGTCGTACCTGCTTCAACTTCTTTTCACACCCCCCTGCCCCGCACCTTCAACACTTTATCACTACCGCGCGCGCTTGCCACAGCGTGGCGATTGGAAGTACATGTTCTTGTCTCTTACGCTCTCCTTCTTAACTTTTTTTTTCTTTGGCGCTCTTCTTACAGACCTCGTCTTGAGCAAAAGATTGTCACCCACTTTCGCATTGCGACATCGCGTATCTCGCAACATGACTGCTCAAGTTGTTAAAGGCAAGGCAGTGATATTCAAGAAAAGATCGAAGAATCGACAACCGACCATTCGTTATGAACCGTACCCAACCGTCGTGGTAGAACCCAACAAGTCGAAACAACAGAAACCGCTCGATGGTGACCTTGAGGATGGCGAGATACCTGACAAAAAGGAGGGCCACACTAACAACGTAGGGAAGGCTAACCGAAGTAACGACCAGGGTGTGCAGCGAGAACAGCTTGTCACAAACATGCGACAACTCACTTCCATCAATGAACTGTGCCACAGCTATTGCAGAAACGGTATCGACATCCAGGTCCGAATCCCTTCTTTACTCGAAGCTGATACAACTTAGGTACTTGTACAGTCATATGCCCCCGAATCCACGATCCAACCAAGGTCAGACTTTGCCAGTCAGTGCTGCTCAAGAAGCCATGTCAAGACTTCGCAAGAGGCAAATGCAGATTCAACCATTCTTGGGACTTCCATCTAGCTCCTTCCTGTCTCTGCTATTCCACGGGTTACTGTAGCACTATCCCATGCACTTACGCCCACAACGACAGAGTTAGCTTTGCATCACTGCAGTGTGCACAGTTTCGGATTTGTGGATACTGTGCGCAGGGTGCTTCGTGTCTGAACATACATTGGTTTGGTGAGTTACCTGCCATGATCAAGCAGGCAAGGTTGGAGCATGAGAAACGCTTGAAGGAGGTGGAAGCACAGCGGAAGCTCGAAGAGGCTGGGGGCAAGGCGAAGAAGGCGTTACAGAGTCGTCCGGTCAAGCCAGCAACTTTCATAGAGGTCAAAGAGAAGGACAAGCCCAGCTCTAGGAGATCGTTCGGTGGACAGACATTGGCGAAAGAGGTGGAGGAAGTGCTTGGTGGTGCGGTAAAAGGCGAGTTGGCCATGCAGCAGGACTTTGTGCCGCTCTTTTAGACTCGTGTAGATGCATATACAGCTTTGCAGTGCTGAGTAGCACTATCCCTCCTAGGACTTTGTTGGTTTTCCCCTCCGACCTGAACAGTACTCCTGCCACTCAATTGTAGTTGTTTCACCCATCCTTCTTTCCTCCCAATATTCCACCAGACTGCTTACTTCTCCCCTCACAACTCCCCCTTCGCATCCAACTCCGCAATAACCTGCTGCGTCCTTGAACCACTCATCGGATCCCTCCCCTCCAACTCCAACAGCTCCACCACCTCCCCCGTCTCCTCCATCCTCAAACTCCACTCCAACGTCTCAAAATACCCATCCCTCCTCCGCCTAATACTCACAAACCTCACCAATCCCTTCCCCTTCGTCCCTTTAACCCAAAAACTAATATCAATATGTCCATGCAACTGGTTTAATTCCCCACTGATCCACGGAATCCTGCTCGCGAAATATATCTCATCGCCGAGGAGGGAGCGGACGGTCGGCGAAGTGCGCATTGCGTAGAGGATGGAGGAGACGGTACTCGACGAAGATTTCTGGTAGTTGAAGATTGAGAGGGAGCCCAGGGCGCAGATTGTCAGGAAGATGGGGAGGGTGAGGAGCCAGGTGCGGGTTGCGGAGGTGAGGCCCGGAGTGATGTTTGGGAGGGCGCGGTTGGGGAGGCGGGAGAGGAGGGGGCCGGATGTCGGAGAGGGTGGAGGGATTAGCTGGTCGGGTGAGGAGGACGAGGAAGGTGGTTGTTGGGTTGAGTCTGTGGTTGTTGAAGAGGATGATGCATGGCGGATGGAGATGGTAGAGGTAGAATTGCGGATGGCTTGTTGGAAGACAGTTTGTCGGAGGGAGAGTGGGAGTTGTCGGAGAGACCGGAAGAGTCTATTGCTCGTCGCTGAGGAGGACGACATTGTGATGGGAGGTGATATGTCCGTAATGGCTTGTGGTAGATGATTTGAAGATGTCGCTAATACTGACGGGTCGGTGTTCTGCTTGAGTTAGGTATGTGTAGACGTAGAATCGGAAGAGCTGCCGTGTATGTTCGATAGTTGTGTCCAGATCATAGGCTACTTCCAGTCGATGCTGCTCAGCATGAGCTCGGTTTCTCTATTCTTCAAGTCCTACCGTTTCTCAAGTATGCATACTACCACGACCACTAATTGAATGGAGCTGCATACCACGTATCAAGTCGCTATCTTTACTCATGGGATACTTAAAGAACAGCAGATTTTTATTGTTTGAGCAGTAATCTGGTAAGACCTGATGTGTGGGATATTACGATAGTTTGCATGGACATTGCAGATCCAACCTCAAATTTATCCACGATGTGCTGACGAACCACGTGGCAGTTCAAAAACATTGACATCGCAATGATCGTATTAGCATAGGAAGCATAGCACAGCAAATACCTACTTGAAGAATTTGAAGAGGTGTCTCGGTTCCTGGTCCCGTGCATTCTACCAGTACACATGTATTCCTCATGCTCCCAGTGCCTTGGTCTCTACTACAACCTCAGATACAGGCCTACTTCCTTTCACAGGATCAACAACCGCGTCGTGATATTTCTGTTTCCCAGCATCGGTAACGCCCTGATAATGCACGACCGTGACCTCACCAAACGCCTCATTAATATCCTCCAAGCTCTTCTGCCTCGTCTCCGGAAACAAGAAATAGACCAAGAACCAGTACAGCGCCGTCGGCACTACCAGAACCAACAGGAACTTCCAACCGATCTCAGCCAATGCAATCGGACCTGCGACAAGGATGATGATCTGTGCACTGTACCAAGCACACATCCCGACAGCAGTGCCTTGCCCACGAACCGCAGTGGGAAAGATCTCGCTAAGATACAAGAACTGCGAAGCGTCCATGCATGCTGACCAGAAGCATATGAATAGATAGATGAAGAACACTGCTGCGCGTTGACCAGCTTTGTTGTCGGTACCTACGTATTGAGCTTGAAGTGCGGTTTCACAGATCAGGGAGACGAGGATACCACCGATTCCAACGAGCATGAACCCACGACGGCCCCAGCGATCGATAAACAGGGCCGTGAAGATATTTCCGAACAGGGAGATGGACACCCAGAGTGCGAGCAACAGCAGTGGAGTTGAGCCGCTGAGGCCGAGATTAGTGAAGATGATCACAGCGTAGTTCGCGATCAGGAGGCTGCCTGCACGACGTTAGTGCATGATCCTCGACTTCAATAGCTCTGACTAACCCGTGAACATATTGAAAAACATCATGATACAAGCAACGAGACATCGTCTTCGATTGCTTGGAGTCTTCGCAACCTCAAACACTGAGATCCTAGCTTTTTGCGCGTTGTCGTAGTCGACCTGGCATTTGAGCTGGTAATATTCTCTTTCAGCTTGTTCATGAAGTTCCTCCCCTTTTCTAGCATGTAGGCGTTGCAGGACGGCATGTGCCTCCTCGTACCGTCCTTGTTGCATCAGCCAACGAGGTGAAAATGGCAGAACCTTGGAGCCAGCTAATAGCAGAAGAGCTGGTGCACCTTGAAATGCCAAAGGAAACCGCCATGGAAAGCTAGACGTAGAACCAGAAGCTGTGATGAAGTACACACTGAGGACGTATTAGATTGGCGTCTTGAACACAGAACTCGTTTAGAAGAACATACCCATAGCCAATCCAAGCAGATAGCATGTAGCCAATAGCAAAGCACACTCCAGTCATAGACACCATAAAGCCTCGAGTTTCTGGTGTCGAGACTTCCGATTGATACATCGGTATCACACAGGCTGAGTAGGTCAGTATCATTTTGAAGTTGATGATGTCGTGCAGACATACTCAAAATGCCTATTCCAATACCAGCTACAAGTCGAGCGACAACAAACATCGCAACATTCACAGAGCCGGCGCACAGGGCGGCTCCAACAACCAAGATCGCTGCGCCAATCTGAATGGCATACTTTCTCGAGAACTTGTTCGCAAGCCAGGCATTAGCAAGGCTGCCGACAAGGGCACCTGCACAATTGACGCCTGAAGACTTGTCAGAACTCACGTCTGCTGCCATTTACGATGACTGTACCATTGAAAGCGCCGATTAACGAGGCTGTACGCGAATAGCCAGGTTGTGTGGTGTCTGCTTCCAGACCAAGTGATGTGTAGAACGACGGTTGTCCCACAGTCGACCCAATAATGGCAAGTCCATATGAGCAGGCAATTGCTCCTGTAGCAACGTATAGCACAACCCCAAAATTGAAAAGATTGGGGATATAGCCCATATTGGACGTGTGTAACAGGAGCTCGTGAAAAGAGCACAGTGCCAAAGGACAAGTTCAAAGTATAGCCTTGAAGAAAACGTGGTGTACTCCAGCTAATAACGTTCGGCAGATAGTCACATACATCGAAAAGAAGGTTCACGAGATCCACCTTGCAACGTGTCAATCATATACAGTGAGTTGATTGGTGGTATATTTTGAAACACGCGGGGTTGGGAGATACTCGGGCGGTGTGGTGGTGTATGAAGCCCTGAATTATCCTCAGCACCACCCAGAGCATCTCCCGCCATGCGTAGAGGGTCAACGCAGCAGATAGAGAGGATACCAACTTGAGCTTCGGGTGGTGTCCAGTAGTGTCTCTTCAACTGAGGAACTCGAGCAAGAGACAAGGTCTCGAGCGTGCGGAGATCAAGGTAAAGACTAGTTTGCATTAGCATCTCGGCATGCATAACATAGAGCATGGGAACGATGGGACAACGGGAGAACGTGCTCGACAGTTGGCGCATCTGGAACAGTATCATTACGCAGTATTATAGTGGTCGTTGTGCTTTCAGGTGTGCACTTCTCGTACATCCGAAACAACAATTGTTCGTGGCCTGATGAGGTTCGCCAAAAATCAACTGCCTGCAGTAAGAGCCAGGCAGGCATCTACCGCCAAACCCACCCGTCCTTGCTTCTGTCGAACAACATCATCGATGACTTCGCGATCAAGGTTCGGGAACATGCCACAAAGCGTATCGACAACCGACCTGTGCTCTGTTCGCTGCATACGACGAGCTTCAGCGGTTTCAGCGCTGGCCTGCCTCGCAGCAGCTTCTTGAGCATCATAATGTTGTATACGACGTTGCTCGGGATATGCACGACTGCGTTGATCTGGATCAGGTCGGTCTGCTTGAGAGCCGATAGGACTGAGTCTGCCTTGTGCTGTTGAACCTTTACTTCTGTCTTCAGGTATGATGTCTGTGTCAGAAAGGAACCTCCCGATTGTCGAGAGAGGTCTTTGTATGGTTCGCAAGAGCCCACCGACAGTGTCGTCAGAGCTGCCATCGATGCCACTAGTAGATGCACCCGATCTTGAATTGCTCCTCCGCGGAGTAGCCATAGTTACCTCTGTCGAGTTTCGAGGAGTGATTTCAGGCTCAGATAGGCTTGATTTCTCCGAGAACTGCTGAGCAGGAGACATCGGCTCTGCTTCGCGGTTCTGAGCTGCAATAGCAGAGACTGCTGCTTCCACGTTCTTCTCGAATTCTTCATCGGACACGGTCAATGAGGTCCGATCTAAGCCTTCAACGAACTGAATAGCCCCTGAAAGTGACGACAGGTAATATCCTGCTTCACCTGACAACTTGTCCTGGTTTCTAAAGCGAAGGATGTATTGAATGTTCGAGACAAGATGTTCCGGGTTCGCTTGAAGAACCACATATATTAATAATGGCACGAACGAGTCAGCTGAAGTGTCAGATGATTGAGCATTCTTGAGCAAGCCAAAGATCACCTTGCAGCAATTCAAGATGCAGATGATTTTGTCCCTGGGAGCACGATAATTTTTCATTTTCACGAGTTCTTGCTGTGCCAGACGTAGAAATCGCTCACCATTAGGACCAACAGGTGGAATATCCAGATGTTCTTCGCGGACCCAGCCATAAATACGGATCTTTTGTGTCAGGATGTCATCACGTTCGACATCTTCCTGATGCTGACCACGACGACTGGGACCGAGCACTTTATCTATGTCTTTCCGTTTGCCTCTGGACGATGAGCGAGGTGGTTGAGGTGGTGGTGGGAGTGCAGGAGAAAAAGTCTGGGTGTACAAGCGATTCATGACTAATTTCTCCATACCTTCTTTTGCATTGTCGAACTCATTATCTGAGACCTCTCTCCAGACATCGCAGTGAGCCATTTTGTTAGTGATAAAAGCAAGAAAGTCACCGATCAGCTTTACCTGCTCGTGAACCATCCATTGTTTCTTTCCAAACTCGGTCAGGAAAGACCTAAGAAACCTAGCCACGGGATCAGCCGACTTGTGGCGTAGCTGTTCCAAAAAGCGATGAAAGTCAAAGGGAAGTTCCGGTTCGGGTTCTGGCACCGGCAGTTGTGAAGCAGAAACGTTCCTCAACGATGCCACTGGGCTCTTGAGCGAACTGAGATCTGGCTTTGGTGGAACAGGCGGAGGTGAAGCAGGAAAAGCCTCTAGTTTCTCCGAGTGTGCCGCTACAGGTGAGGTTGCTATAGCATCCATGTCGCGTGATCGAAGAGGCTCGAGACTGGACCTTCGTGTCGGGTAGCCAGTGGTAGCAAACTGCATAGGATCTTGGTTTTCTTGTCGAGGAGACATTATCTCTTCTTTCGTTGGGGCAGCAGATTCGTCCGCAAACTGGTCCATGATGGACTGGATCTCGACGGTAGAATCGTTGTCGTCGGACTGTACCTTCTCCGGCGCACTTTTTGCCAGTGGTCCTGGCAGGTGGCCATCGTGTTCGTTGTAGTCGAGTTCTGAGTCTTGGTGGGAGGGACGCCTCGAGAAGACTGGTGTCTTTGGGGTAGGGTCTAGATACGGTTTCTCAGATTCGGCAGGCGGCTGTGGTGGAGGCGGCGAAGCAGGTAGTTCTTTTCCCTGCACCGGTGGTGTCTTGTATCCGTTGTTCAGTGAGGTAGCGCTCAGTTCCTCCGTTATCTGCTCGGTCGAAGTAGAGGAAGCATTCTGAAGCTCCTGCACGGTAACCCCAGTAGGAGGCGCCGATATTTGTGTCGATGGCTGTAGGGGCTCCGTGGACTTTATATTCTCCGTAGGGTTGTTGATTTCTGTAGAGGTTTCATGTTGGGCTTCGGACATAGAGATTGAGGTCGTGATTGCGAGGCTGCAATGGCATGAGGTAAAGAGGTGTGCTGGTCGAGATCGAGTCGAGGGTAGGGGTCCTGATCAGATAGTAGGCTCTTAGGTCTATGGAGGGCGGTATACGAGATGGACACAATGCTCAGCCACTTCAGTGAACGTGGTCTACAGTTTCGTGTCAACTGACTTGAAGTAATCCATGTCTGTATGCAGTATTGCCCGACTAAGACGACTGATTTGGCGCCAACTTAGCCTGCGGGAACTCCCAGGCTCGGCGTTTCGGGCAAGCCTATAGGTACCTGCCTCATGACGTCTTGGGTATTAATTGTGAATTGTTGCAGCTTGCAATTTATCCGCCTAGTCAATACTATATTTTGCCAATACCCTAGACTGACGCTCGAGATTGTTAACACGCTCTTTCAATGGCTCTAGATAGAGCAGCGACAACTGCGGGTGGTCAGGCAGATTTCCCCACTGATCCAAATGAGTTCCAGCTGGACGACCGTATATCGTGGTCCAAGCTAGACGGCAAGTGGCTCCTCGAAACAGAACAGGGCACTGAGTTTGAGTGGGATACAGCATTGCGACGATGGGTGCCAATGGTAAGTCACGACACAGCAAGAGCCCATCTGACAAGTCCCTGGGCTGAGACTCTATGCTTCTACGTGCAAAGGACATCGCCATTCTGACATGATGCTCTTTCCTCGATCGAATAGCTGGATGAAGCAGACCTAGAGCAACAGCAACAGATCTACAAGGTCGAAGGTGTTGAAGACAACGACGATACTGCAAACCTGAAGAAGAAGCGCAAGAAGAAAGCTGAGGATGTAAGTCAACAGCTATGCCGTCCTCGATTGAATGCTGAACATGGACAGTCCGAACAGCAGCCGAAGAAACAAAGAGTCAATACTGCCGTGTATGCGACTTCCCTTCCACTTGATGCGAACGAAGATGAAGTCAAACAAGTCTTCTCACGATGTGGCATGATTGCCGAGGAAATCGATTCTGGCCGATCACGTATCAAGATGTACGAAGACAATCAAGGCAATTTCAAGGGCGAGGTGCTGGTGGTGTATTTCAGAGCTGAATCAGTCAACCTGGCCGTGCAAATGCTCGACGATTCCGATTTTAGGCCAGGCGAACGCGGGCCAGATGGCAAGATGAAGGTTCAGGTCGCAGATTACTCCTACAAGAAACATTCAGAAGCTCCCGAGAAGACCAAGACGAATAATCGCGACAAGCAGAAGATCATCAAGAAAACGGAAAAGATGAACCGAAAACTTGCCGACTGGGACGACGACGATCCGCAGGCTATGCAGGAAACTGGTTCGAGATGGGACAAAGTCGTCATCCTCAAGCACATGTTTACTCTAGATGAGCTCGAAGAGGATCCAGCAGCCATGCTTGAAATCAAAGAGGATATTCGGGAAGAATGTGAAAAGCTTGGTCAAGTGACGAACGTGCAGCTTTTCGATAAAGAGCCTGATGGTGTGGCCAGTGTCAGGTTTGCAAATGCTACAGCTGCCGAAGCGTGTGTGAGATTGATGAACGGAAGATTCTTCGATAAGAGGCAGCTACAAGCTCATATTGCGACTGGTAATGAGAAATTCAAAAAGTCCAATACCAAGCATGCCGATTTGAACAGCGAAGACGAGGAAGAGGGTGGAAGACTTGACAAGTTTGGATCGTGGTTGGAAGGGCAGAAGAAGGAGAAAGAGGAGGTCTCAACGCCACAATTGGACGCTGGAGCAGCTTGAGGCGCAAGTCGTGGCACACGCTCGACACTGGGTGTACTTGGGTAGCAGTTGCGGCTACTGTTAATTCCTCAGGCTGATGAGTAGCTTCAGCTACTATATCGCAGTCTTGACAGCGATCATAACTATGCTATGACAAGAACGATACGTCAGCAGTATACTAAAACCTGTTGCCCCTTTTGTTTTTTGAAGGTACTTGTTGAACGTGAAAGTGGTTGCTCCCCACTCGAAACATTCGCGGACCAGCACTTTCCGCATACGGCTATCTCCTACACCAGTGCTATCGATAAGCTCGCGTGCAGGATAAGAAGAGAAAAAAAAAGAGTCACCGACTGGCATGTAAACACGGCACAAGATTTTCCTGCCAGCCCTGCTGATTGTGCAAATATCTCACACCACAACATAGTCGAGGTAGCTTATAGCTCTGAGTACTCATTCCCTCTACCTTTGACCTTCCTGAACCTCTACCACCTCTCCCCAAGCTCTGACCACAAGCAAACATGCCTGACAAGCAGCGAGTATGTCTTGCTTACTCTGGCGGCCTTGACACTTCTTGTATCCTAGCATGGCTTATAGAGAAAGGTTACGATGTCATCTGTTTCATGGCTAACATTGGTCAAGAGGAGGACTTCGAAGCTGCCAAAGCAAAAGCTCTCAAGATTGGTGCCAAAGCCTGCTACGTCGAGAACGTGATCGACGAGTTTGTGAAGAACCTCTGCTTCCCCGCTATCCAATGCAACGCTTCCTACGAGAACGTCTACCTCCTCGGTACCTCTCTTGCCAGACCCGTCATTGCTCGTGCACAAATCGCAGTCGCTCAGAAAGAGGGTTGCCAGTTTGTATCGCACGGCTGCACAGGCAAAGGTAACGACCAGGTCCGATTTGAGCTCGCATTTTACGCTCTGCAACCTGACATCAAGATCATTGCCCCATGGCGGATCCCCGAGTTCTACGAGACTTTCAAGGGCCGAAATGACCTCCTCGACTATGCTTCGAAGCAGGGTATACCAGTGGTGTCCACAAAATCTAAGCCATGGTCAATGGACGAGAACCTGGCACACTGCAGCTATGAAGCTGGCATTCTTGAAGATCCAGATACAACAGCCCCATCCGATATGTGGAAGCTGACTGCAGACCCTATCACAAACGCTCCAGACGAGCCAGAAGATGTCACGATCGACTTCGAGAAAGGCATTCCTGTAAAGATTTCCTCCAAGAGCCAAAACGCTTCAGGCCCTACAAAGCTCTTCCTCGCTGCCAACCAACTCGCACGAAAGCACGGTGTCGGCCGAATCGACATTGTTGAGAACCGATTCATCGGCCTCAAGTCACGAGGTTGCTACGAAACTCCAGGTCTAACAATCCTACGAACAGCCCACATCGATCTCGAAGGTCTGGTCATGGACCGAGAAATTCGCGCCCTTCGTGACCAATTCGTCACCATTGGCTATTCTCGAATCCTCTACAACGGGTTGTATTACTCGCCTGAGCGTGAGTTCCTCGAGGCCAGCATCGTTGAGTCACAAAAGCCTGTCAACGGTACAGTTCGTCTGCGATTGTACAAGGGCAACTGCTTCGTTGTCGGTCGAAGCTCCACGACTAGCAAGCTATACGACATGAGTGAGAGCTCTATGGATGAGATTGGTGCTTTTGAGCCCAGCGAGACTGGTGGTTTCATCAAGGTGCAAGCCATTCGATTGAGGAAGTATGGCGAGGCCAAGAAGGAGGCTGGTATTGATCTAGTTCAAGAATCGTAGGGATGTGATCAACGGATGGAACACCGCTTGTTCATTGAGGCATAGACGGCGTTGGGTGGAATTACGACAGGTCTCTAGACATGAATGCACGAAAACACGGAAGCATAAGACACGCTGCAAAGCTCGACGATAGATGAAATTGTCTATGTTCAAGTGTGTGCCATGGCAATGCCGATATTTTGCAACTGACCTTCCCATATGATCATTCAACTCCTACACAAATCAACTTGAGATGTGTCGCCAAATGACACTGATGCATAAACTTCGTGATTAAATCTCGCATGCAATTCTACACCAAGTTGTTTCCCCACCTGTGCGCTCAATTCCTCTCAACTGATAATCGTAGCCGTAACCACGATTTCTTCCGCTGCCAAGAACAAAATCTTCCAATTGAAATCGCCAACATCGATCGCCAGCTACAGGTCTTGGATAGAAACCGGGAATTGTACTGCTTCGGTGGTGGCACCACCACTCTTTCGTCAGCAGGGTACCAGGCTAGCTGTGTATTGAAGTCTTGGCAGGGTGTTGTGGTGTATTCATGCCGCGAGTACGTCAAGTCTCGGTACTTGACAGGATTTGAACACTTCAGAGAGAAGTCATAGGCGCGGTTCGGAGGAAGATAACGTGTATGGTGTTGTTCGCAGAGCATCTGGCGGCCTGCCTGCCGCTTCCTTCCAGTCTGAGTCTGGATTTCTGGATCCGTAGAGGCTGGTAAGCAGCGATGATGTTGAGCTGGCGGTGCGGACCAGATTGAACTGGGTAGTGTGCAGGAGCTGTGCTCGAAATCTTAGTGAAGGGAACTTCAGTTCCAATTCCTCGCTTGAGTATTCGCATCAGCTGCCCTAGCTAATCTCTCCTGTTCCGATCCAGTATTCAGCGTCTGAGTCTGAGTCTGCTTCTTCTGTGCAGCTAATTGTCCAGAGAGCTTGCCTCCTGGCTTATTAGCTGCTGTGGCACGTTCCTGTCGCAATCTTGTCAGCTTCTTTCCACCGACGGTCGTGTCACAATGCTTACCTCAGCTGCTCTGGCAGCAGCACTCCTCGCACCATCTGGCGGCGCAGGACTTGACGTCCCATCACCGCCTGCTGAGCCTAGTGGTCGGCCAGATGTACCTGCTATAGTTTGCTTTTTCGTTACTGGGACTGGTCGTGGGGCATCTGAGCTCGAGCCGAGGGTTTGGCCGGGTCCCGAGAAGTTATCGTCCTTGTTGGCGGAGCGAGAGCAGATGTTACCCATATTGGTGAAGGGATCACGATGTGATGATTCTGCTTGTCGTGCCGCGTGAGACAAGAGGTAAGGATTCTTGTAGGAGAAGTATTCGAGTATGCGCTCGCGATAGTTGCGAAGAGCTTCATGCTGGAGTAGTAACCAGAGGCTGGATGTTCTTGGCATTACGTGTATTGATTGCCACGTGCTTGGGATAAGAGTACTAACTTAAACGCGAAGAGATAGGCAAACAGATATGCGAGCAACAACGACATTCAAATATGCAGACGGTGAACTTATTGTGATTGTCTCCTCTCTTTGAGGACCTGTGCCCATGAGCAAGCACTCGCCTTGTGCGAGTTCCAGATGCTCAAGATGCGATGGCATTGTCACACGATGTCTTAGCAGTTCCAGTAAACTTCTGGCGAGACACACAGTACAATCAGATACTAGCCAAATATGCAAATTAGGCCTTCTGCTGACATTGATCGAGGCTGTGCCTGCAGTTGTGTGCTTATCGTGACACGTATAGAAGGTGGTGTGCACGACTCTCGTTCTAGAGAGTGGATGTGTACCAGTGGAGACAGTACTACGCAAGAACATTGCTCGATAGCTGATTTTATACAGCGTTCTGCTCAGCTCATTGACCATTACAATCACGCACAACTGTCTCATGAGACTACGTCGTCCATGTCCTGCCCAGGGTAAACTTAGAACAACCGTGACACTGCAGCCATATTGAAGCTCCAAACCTAACCTCAGGCACTAAGGCATCAAGATCTGGCGTTTCAGATCTCACTCTCGAAATGCAACAAGACTCCAAACTCACCGGTCCCTTCTTTTGCCTGATTTGCAACTACATACGTAAAACGGCGGATTGTTACAAGCACGAACCTAAGATAGCAAGATTTGTTTTGTGGTTGAAAATCATTCGTAGATGGTCGATAAAATGAATCTTGCATGTACAAGTTCGCTAGCACATATGGTGATGGACAATCGGCAGGAAAGAATGCTGGGGTGTGCACGCACAACGTAGCAGATACTGCAGCTGACTCTTCAGTAAATCAGCACGAGGAACAGTTGCAGTTGCAGAAAAGACTGCGAGTGACGTATTGACGTTTCCGAACTTCGGAGTTTCTGATGGAAAAGATTGTCCGCAAGTCATCGCTGCATATTCGACCAGATTCAACCCAGATTCCAACCAGACTTCTCTGCTCAACATCACATTTTCATTTGCCTACACTGCCGTGAAATACCGATTTGCAGCTCTGTATTTACCTCGTCGAGTGTCCGACCCTCCCTGGAATCTTGGTGTAGCCAAACGCAGAGAAAGATCAGGATCTAGCAGATACAACCTGGCCCGAAATCGGCGTTGTTTCTGGCTGAGCAGTCAAGGCAATTGTCTCGTGACATGAGTTCTGCTCCCAATTTGCACCGGCTTGACACTTTCGTCTCCTGAGGCGAGAGTGAATCGTCCTTTACCGCTCTCCCCAGCCCTAAGAGAATAATGTTTGAGGACAACCATGCTTGCTTTCTGCTCATTGTCAGAGATCCACAGATCGATTTTCGGTTCAATGCAAAAGTTACAGCAGCTGACAAACGATCGCAGATTGGCTGGCCAATTGCGACACCATGTTCTTTCTGCTGTTAGCTCAATATTTCGTCATGATCTGCAGCGCACAGACATTCAATCCGATTGAGGAGGTCGAGGCGATCTCTGAAAGAGGAATGATATTGAAGAGCCGCCATGTAGATTGTGATTGAGGAAACGGTTCTCTGGTCTTTGCCTAGTTCCAGTTTTCATGTAGTCTCCGCCACCGACATCGTTGTTTACCTCAATATGCTCATGTAGACTGTCAGAGAAGTGTCATCGCTATTGTACGTCTTGACCCTCGTGGCTTGTTGTAGAAGCGGCCATTCCTCGAATATTTTGTGGTAGACGCTAGTCGTGTGCTGCCCTTCAGGATGCAACGTATAATGTGCTCTCAAAGCTTCCATCCCGCGATCTCTAGGCAGTGTGACAAAACGACTCTCGTGGTGGCTGCTATGTCTCCATGGAAAGTCAAATTTGACTATGCCGAGGGTCTGTGCTTATCCAATTCAAGCTCACTCAAGAGTCCACTAGTCATCCAAGCAGTATCAGCACAACAGCTTGGTTTGCAACGTAGTACATCCTGATCCTCATGCTCCTTGTACTCATCTGTTTCGATGGATAAGTCTCTGAATGCAGTCGCCAGATGACTGGTCTCACTGCTGTGTCACCGCTGCCAGTTCAGCATGCAAGCATGATTCCCCAACTCCACGGATTTTTCCAGGGTCTGGTAAGCATGTGAGCTAACCCGAATATTACGTTTCGAGGTCGTGTTTTGAGTTTCTCGAGAAGCACCAGGCCAAAACCTAATATCAAGGTCGTCTGAGAAATCGTCGATACTTTGATCCCATCTTGCTCGCTCTCAGTTACAGTAGTATCGCACTGGAAAACTGACTGAATATGTCCACGTCGTCGCGGTCAGATTGACTGATGTGTTTGTACTGGCATTTCACACGAGAAGCTCGTGCTCGTGCAAGCAGCAGATTCAGTAGCTCGTGAGGTGAACGGTTCAGACGTCGCAAGCCCTACACCGGTAACTCTAGTCCACCATCCACTCTTCGAAACCGGCAGAGACAAAAGGGAAAACCCTGTTCCCCATAGCGCGCAAGTAATGACCCGCATCTCGTCAGGGTCGAGGCCACATGTTTGCATGCGGAAAGTTGTTCCCGCATCAGGGTACGATAATGTTCAATGGAGGTAGCGAGGCTTGATGCTGTGTTCAAGTGCATGCTCACAGTAGACATGTGTCAGGAGAGTACAATATCGAGCAACGCGATGGGGATGGTGGCAGCTGTACTGCTTTAAAGGCTTGCAAACAGTCGTAGTCATGAACACACACATGCTGCTCTTCTCCGACGATGTTCCCTTGACCTCTGCGATAGCTTGTAGCAGTGAAGGCACCGGCTCTGAACTTTCCACTTTCACATCTTCAAGGTACTCAGATTGTGGTAATCCTGCTCAATGTGTCTCTGCCAGCAGGCACGCATGTTCCTGAACACCTGTGAGGGTCACGGTGGGGACTCCACAGCTGGGCTATCCGATCGGTTCGAACGTGGGAATCAGTGGTAGGTGCTGTACCACTATGAAGTAGGTTTTTGAAGTTGTAAACCTTCACGTTGAGACTCACAATGAGCAAGATAGAACCGTAGCAGAATGAGAGGTGCCTGCATCCCAATAGCCATAAAAGCAGTGTTCTCTCTCCCACAAAATGCCAGTCTTTCTCAACTCACACATATACCATCCAGTACACATGAATGCAACGACAACTCAACAAGACACAACCTTCAGTCTACCTTGAGAAGCATTCAGTAACAATATATTAACCTCCTCAATCATAACTCCAGTAGGTAACCATGACTTTCATATTGGAACATGCTGACTTCAATATAGCTTCAATATGCCTGCAGTACGAACCAAGAGCCACTCTTGTGAGGTTCGAGGATGTACAGCCGCCTTCTTCAATCGAAAAGATTTGGAGGGTCATATCCTCGGGCTTAAGGACTTACCCCACGAGCAGCAGGTCGCACGCCTGGACCTCCAGCGGGTGAAGTGCAAGAAAGCCGGCTGTCCGTGGACTTTCACCTGCCACAGTAATATGAAGCGTCATGCCAAGTCACACGATCAACCCACTGGTGGTGTGCAAAAGTTCAAGTGCCCTCACTGCCAGGGCACCAAAGTTGGGAGCACCAACTCCCGACGCGACAATTTAAAGAGGCGGCACATCCTCCAGTGCCAACTTCGCCCTCCATACCTCGTCGAGGGCGTGGCAGGGCCAGAGGATGAGCCCGTGGAGATGCTGGCCCAGCAGCCAGAGCAAGCTGCTGGTGTCGACTTGTCACCTGTCGAGCAAGCACAGCGGCAGGAGGTGGAGGCCGAGGTGCCTGTCCAGCCAGTACAGTGGCAGGTTGACGTCGAGGTGCCTGTGGATCCGGCACTTCCCCCTCCTCAAGCAGCACCCGAGCTTATGGTGCCCTCCTTCGTGACTCCCCAAGGCTTCCTTGTGAGTCCTCAGGACCTCATGCAAAACGAGGTCCACAATGCCCAGGTCGACCCCATCCTGCCTGAGGTCGTATCAGATGCCTGGGCCAACCTCACTCAAACAGGGTTCGATCAAGCTCAAGTCGGCTTCACTCAGCCCGATTTCCCCACGCCCTGGGCTGCGCTATCGGGCTTTTCAGATGCGCAGACCCAAGACCAGTACTCCCAGTGGGAGATGGACTATCTCTCCGACGAGTACCATTCAAATACCGTCGATTCTTACAGCTTTCAATGAAGATGGCTCCTCTTGACGACGTCCTATTATAACGTCACACTCTCTTTCTCCTCACTCAATCATATCATTCCTCACAATGACACAACACATATCAGACCTAGTGGGACTGCGGCAGTAGATGTCGCAGTCATCGAGAAGAGGCGGGGTCTAAGAACCCTGGGTTAAGGGGGAGATCTTCACCGCCTCAGGATTAAGGGAGAGGCACAGCCGGTCAACAACAACAACAAAATACACATCTTCGTCCTCCTGCTGCCTTCGAATGCACTCTCACACTACACCAGCACAACACTACTCACACCTGACCGCCGATGAATGCACCAGCACTAGTTCGTCAATGCTAGCTCGCTGTCGAATGCACCGGCTTCCTCATATTGACGACAACAACAAGACATCACACAAAAACTTTCACAAACTCTCTCATGGCAAAATCATTGCCATCCATCAATATGATATTGTACCTACAAAGCTCATCGTCACAACGAGCTTGTAGATCGCTCGGCCGGATCCACATCTTCATTTCACTCTCGGGTCTTATCCACTTCGGTGGCGAGGCCTAACCTGAAGATGCGCCGAGGTCAAGGGGAGTAGACATGACTTGACGGAATATTCGTCCTACCACATCAGTGAGAGTCATGTTATAGCCCCTTGCTCAAATCAATTCAATTCAATTCAACATAGCGGTCGACGTCAACGATGTCGTCGTTGGGTTGAACATGGCGACGTGTAGCTCAATAGTTGGTGTGAGCGCATACCGTGTAGTTTCTAGGCTTGATTAGGCGTGGTTTAAAGGTGGTGTGTGTGATTATTGTGGTAAGAGTTAGGCTTGGTTTAGGCGTGAGTGTGGTGTACTTTAGGAGTGCGATCGACCTCCAACTAGGGGCACTTTAGGGACGAGGGACTAGATGTTCGAGTCTAGGCGCTAAAGCGTGCTATAGATCGATCATCGTGTTCTTCTTCCATTTCACCTTATTCGATGCATTAACAACTCATCGTGCGGACTGGTGAGTATATTGTATGTCCTTTCGTGTGTGCGTATTGAGATTGTCGACAGTGTCGATGAACAAGGCTTCGAGATGCTGATGTGTTATCCTTGTCCTCGTCGCCGGCCGCCATCGATCCAAGCGGTGCCTTGAGGTCACACAGTGTGGTCGACCGTGAAAGAGCGAGGACACCAAAGACTATGAAGTACTTCGTGAGTACAAGTTGCTTTTCGAAGATATTGGATAGAGGCGCCAAACTTTTCACTGCATCTACACCTCATCCTCGTCTTCTGCTAGAGACATTACTTATTGTGACAGGAGCGACAACAGCGACATTAACAACGACGACGAGGACGCATGAGTACAGTATACAGAACAGCTTGGAGACGAGCTATCATCGCATACTCTCACGTCTCGCCCGATCAGCGCAGCATCCTTATCGTCGTCCTCTCTACCTCGACCTCAAGCCTAGCACGAACCATACAAGTCAGCTGACTTGCGCCCCTTTTCCAGCTTCTCAAGAGGTTAGATTTAGCTTTCAGGCGGCCGATCACAGTCTGGTTCAAGCTAGGGAGATTGCTGCCGGGTTTTGGTTTTTGAGAAGAGCTGGTTCAGGGTCTTTCGCGTGTCGGAAAGCTGTCAGCTGGAAAGCTAGAGGTTAAGCTCAGCGCCTAATATCAGGGTTCAAGAGCTTGAATTAACTTCATGATGGGGCTTCAGGGTTTCCTGTATACGTGGGGATCGAAAGACTGAGCTGAGGACAACACTGAAACTGCAGGTTATGCTCAAGGGTGGTTCAAGCACTTTCGAATGCAAGAGCAAGCGCAGATACCGGTCCCTGGCAATTCTCGGTAGCTGATCTGAGCCAAAAGCTTGCAGTCTTGAATTTCGAGTCCGAGCAGACTCGTGGTTGGTGGCTCCTTGTCGTCGTTGATGATTTCTTCGGTGGCTTCGAGTGCAAGAGCTGGGAAGAGACGACAAATCTCAAAACAGTTGCGAAATGACTGATCTGACATCGTGCAAGTCATTGTTTGTGCACGAATGCTCAGTGGTGACTCTATGTGGATGGGGGAGCTGAGGCACTGCAATACCAAGGCTGAGTGCTGCAGCGTCACTATCATCCATACGAGGAATAGTTTCTGCCGACTTCGTGCTTCCCGAAAAAAGAGAGCGTCTCCATTCGAGAGGCACAGATGAAACTGACACAAACTGGAAAAAGTCCGGAAGCTCGCGAAGAAGTGTTGCAAAGTAGCCACGAGGCACTGTAAATCATGGGAAAAGTGGCGTTTTGTCAAAGGGTGGTGTAGGACATTGGGGAACGAATCACGAATACCACGAACACCAGCCTTGCATCCGATGCTTTGTATGTCAGTTAGTCAGCATCAGTAAAAGGACGAGTTTGAGCTCCTGGAAGCGCTTGATGTCGTGGCAAGGTCGTGAGGCAGCGAATCGTCAACACGTGACATGGATGAGAAGGATGGTGTATGCTCATTGACGAGTTGGCTGATGTGACACGTTCTTAAACCATCTCAGAAATTGGACGACTCCTCAAGCCTGGAATGTGGTCATTCGAAGGCTAGGGGTGGTAAAGTAGTGCGTAGTTCAGGGGTCGAAAACTGGTCACGCTTCAAACGTCATGAAGACTGGACCATAAGTGCCATACCAAACACATAGTGTATTGCCGTGGCAGCGAGAACGGAAAAGCGTATTGCAGTTCGGCGAGATATGGTTGCGGTCTACAACAAAACGAGACTATGCTCACAGGCATTGCCACCTGTACATCTGACTCACAGGCCTTGAAACAAGAATCAGGATAGCTTGGAGTGGATGATCAAGCTCTGCTTGAAAGCTAGCAGATTTTATCGAGATAAAAGATCCTTGTCAACATCAGCTTCATCAACATTGCATAGTCAATCATGATGATGAGTTCGTCGGGTTCCGAACACTCGATGAAGCTTGGTTCAGGAAAGCCGTGTAATGGAGTCGTTCGCGCAATATCTGGTGCATCACCCAGCTGGATTGACCTGGAAATTGCTCTTGAACCCGATACTAGATGCTAGCCAGGTGATCACACCACAGAGTATCTACCAGTTCCTCTGCCTTCACCAGCTGCCGCAGCGCTCATGGCACCTTCTTTGAGCAGTCCTAGCAATTCGCGCATGGCTGTCTGTACCTGCAGCTCAGTATCACCCTCGACAAGAATATATAGCTTGGGCAGATCGTTGGGTCCAGGTTCTTTGCCTGTAGCATAAAAGTTGCCCTTGGTGGTAATGGAAGTACCTGTCGAGTCGAGAATCTTCGCAACGTTGGTGCGATTCGTGACAGCCCATCTGGCGCGTTGAGGGAAGTCGTTGATTTCAAGGGTAGCGTGGAAAGCGCCAGCGTCGGGACCTTTGTTGTCAATAGGTACACCAGAACGCATGACACCTGCTTTGGACAATTTGGCGTTGATACCAGCGACGGCAGCAGCCACTTTGTCCATTTGACTTGCATTGCCTGACGAAGCAGGCTTTTCAGTTTTGTGTACGACAATCTTCGGCTCGTACATGTTAGGTAAGGCCGGTGCTGGTGTCTCGGGCTGGTCACGCGCAGCCACACTCGAAGCGGCTTTGGCGAAGATCTCGTCTCCGACCTTGGCTTCTTTGACGTCCTCCTTGTCTTCCTCTTCTTCCTTCTCATCGCCGGTCTTGTATGTTTTGCGTTCTCGTGCCTTCTCAGCATCACGTTGTTGATCAAGTCTTTCTAGGCCTTTGCCGCCAAATCCGCCAGCATAGCCCTTCTCCTTACCAGCTTTGAGCTTCTCAGCAAAACCGTCGACGAGCTTTTGTACAGATTCTGGTATGTTCTGTCCACTCTGCTTCAAGGCTTTAGCGATGTCCACAGCGTAGCGGTCTTGTCCTTCTGTCAAAAACGTCACAGCTGTACCTGTATTGCCAGCACGACCTGTCCGACCAGCGCGATGAACATAGTCCTCAAGATGGTTCGGTGCGTCGTAGTTGACCACAAGTTTGAGTTGCTTCACGTCAAGACCTCTAGCTGCAACACTGGTCGCAATTAGAATGGGCACTACACCAGCTTTGAAGTCATCGATAGTGGAGTCACGGTCAATCTGGTCTTTGCCTCCGTGTATTGACATGCAAGGATAGCCTTTCTTCATTAGATCGCGAAGAAGGCCATCAGCAGATTCTTGCCGGTCAACAAAGATGAGGACTCGGTCGTCTTCGTGCGACTCATCCTCGTACAATTTGCCCAAAAGCTCCAAAAGGCGATGAAACTTGGTATTTTCGGCACGAACTTCGACGATCTGGGTAATCTCGGGAGCAACAACACTGCGACCACCGACCACAATCTCAACAGGTTTGTCCAAAGTTTTTCTTGCCAGGGCTTCCATCTGTCTTGGAAAAGTAGCTGAGAACAATACTGTTTGTCGATCAGGCCGTACGTTAGCGAGGATCTTCATGACTTGAGGCTCGAAGCCCATATCAAACATGCGATCAGCTTCATCGAGAACGACATAGGTCACGCGTTTGAGGTTGGTCACCCTACCACCATTGGCTGCCAGGAGATCTATCATGCGGCCAGGTGTACAGACGACAATTTCAGCACCACGTCTGAGGTCAGCGATTTGATCTTTGATTGGAGCTCCGCCATAAGCGCAGACAGCTCGCAAGTCCAACGCTTTTAGGAAAGGCTTGCACTCTTTGTGTATCTGGGTGGCCAGTTCACGTGTTGGGCTGAGCACTAATCCGATAGGACCGTCTTGAGCATCAAGCCGTGGTTGATCTTTGATATGGCGAAACATAGGAAGAAGGAAAGCAATTGTTTTTCCCGAGCCAGTCTTTGCGACACCAATCACATCTCTGCCGGACATAATAGAAGGTACAGCTTGGGCCTGGATACTGGTAGGCGATGCATATCCTAGATCTCGAATGACATCCAGGACCTGCACACCGAGACCGCATTGAGCCCAAGTCTGCACAGGCTTTGGCACATCAACGCCTCGAACCTTGATATTTTCGAGCTCCATGCGAAGATTTGCGACATCTTCTTCGGTCCAGTCTTGCATGTCCACGGGTTCCGAGTAGAAATTGCGGCGAAAGGATTTGTACTGGACCTTTGCATGGTTCACAACTCCGATATCCTTCTTTTTTTTCTTGGCTATTTCTTCGGCTTTGGCCATTATATCGCCGGGATCGTCTTCGTCTATGGCAGCCATCTCGATGTCGTCGTCGTTGAAGAAGGATTCGGGTTCTTGGAACTCGGATTTGGCAGCAGTTTGAGGCTTACCTTTGTATGTGCTTCGGCGCACGGGTTTTGCGGATAAATCCTGCATGAAAGCGTCTAAAGGATCGACTTCGTCCTCCTGTGCTGGACTCTGCTGAGTTGGCTCAGGGGCATCCGTCATGGCCATATCTTCGACCTGTTCTGCTCGACTACGCTGTTCTGCAGTAGCTCGTGCAGCAGCTAGAGCCTCCTCTTCGTTCTCCACTTCGTCAGCTACGTCGTCGTCATCTTCGTCGCCCCGGTCCTGCACAGTCTTCTGATGAGCTTCATCATCAGTGGCGGACAATGTTGGCAATTTCTCGAGCTTCATCTTCACATCTTCGTCATCCTTGAAGTCGAAGGCTTTTCTCCCTACGTCAGCATCTCCTTGTGTCTTACCAATACTGAAACCACTCAGGTTGCCTTTGGCCTTTAGCGGTACGGCAGAAGTGGCTGGCAATACTTTTGTTACAATGTGTGGTGTGACACCATTAGGTTTTTTCAACAATGCTGGAATAGCAGCATCTGCTCCCAGAGGTTTCTTCACTGGTGGTGCAACTGTTGCTGGTTTGGTGGTGGTCGCTGCAGTGGTAGTAGCGAGTTTTGGTGAAACAACAGATTTGGGCGATACAGCTTTCGTTTGCTGAATGTTTGCTTGCTTCCGCTTCCATTCTTCTAGTTTCCTCAGCTTTGCGGCCTTGCTGTCCTCAATGATGGGAGTAGCGGGAGCCGAGCTCTGTATGGTCGTGTAAGTGATATTTCCAAGCATGGTGGATGGTGGACATACCTGTTTAGAAGCCGAGGCGGAGGCCGAGTCTCTTGTTGTGGGCCGTTCCCGGCTATCTTCTCTCTTGCGCTTTTTCGCGTCAGCGGAATCATCTCGTTTCTTGCGATCTCTGTCATGGGAGTCCTCCCTCTTAGTACGATGGTCGCTTTCTCGACTCAGCCGTCTGGTGTCACGATCTCTCGATCTTCGTCGGTCTCTAGAGCGGTCCCGACGGGAAGAATATTTGTCTCTGTCGTAGCGGTCGTCATGGCGTCTGTCTGAGGAACGATCTCGGCGGCGGTAATTATCGCGATCTCTGTCTCTGTCTCTGTCCCTGTTGCGATCGCGGTCTCTTTCACGATCTCTCCTACGCTGAGCAAGGTCAGCCAGTAATTACGCAGAAGAGTGGACTCGGATAGAGCGTACCTCAGGGCTTCTTGAGCGAGAACGCTTTCGGCGATGATGACGGTCATCGTCTTTGCGACTCCTATCATAGCGATCTTCCTCTCTTCGAATCCGCTTTGAGGACGAATATGTGCTTCCTACAGGTGATGGTGAGCGAGAGTGCGCATACCTTGCCATCTTGAAGTGGCAGCGGACCAAGTGAGCTTTACTGCAACGTCGGCCCGCGACTGTGCCTCCTCGCCTTGTTCCCTTTGCCGTACGTTAGGCCCAGTAGCTTACTGCGCATAAAATCAGCAGTCGAAGAGAAAAATGATTGTGTAAAATAGTGCGTAGACGTCAACGATGTAAGAATGTGCTCTTTAGTGCCCCAAGTGCGCTGTGGACGTGCCGAACTTCTGCTGATATTTGGGTCGGGAACCTCCATAGCGGAAGGAATAGAGGGACGCTAATGCCACGTGATCTGACCCCATGTGCCTGGAGGAAAGTGCGCCTTCGACGTACACGATCCCGCCGTAGCTTTGGTACCTGTTTTGAGTCGCGCTTTCCTAATTCCCAGCCATCTCGGAGCTGAATCAACGTCGACTGAGAGGTCACCGACCTCACGACCATTGTCGCCCACAACATCTCGACTGCGACAATGACTATCTTGGTCCCGATGCAACGAGCGTTATCGACCAAGTTCGTTGGCCGAAGCTTTAGTGTTGTCACTCGCGCTGGGAACAATCCGTGGTTGGCACGTGTCAATCACAACTACGACAACCACAGCCATGACAAGACTGCACGGTCACACTACCTCTCCGCTCATTCCAACTTCTTAGGCACGAGATCATATGCAACGAAGACGGGCTCTAAGCCTGCGAGCCGCCCGAAAGCCCACACAGGTCGCACCCCTGCCAGACGGACTACTAAAGCTTCAACGTCAAGCAAACCTGGCCCCAAGACCACTGCAGGCAAGAGCAATGTTGGTAGGCCGAAGGGATCGAAGACGACAAAGACAAAGACAGGGAAAAAAGCGAGTGCTAAGCCCAAAGCACCACCGAAGAAGCCAGCAGTGAAGAAAGCGCCTTCAAAGACCACCCTCACCCGCGAACGTGTTGCCAAGGAAAAGCAACTCAAGGCCACCGCTCTGCTGGACACTCCCAAGAATCTGCCCGCCACCCCCTGGACCATCATTTTCGGCGAAACCCACAAGAATAAATCAAATGCTTCCACGGCTGATAGAAGGAACCTGTCCAACGAAGCTGCTCAGAAGTACAGAAACTTGACTGCAGAGGAGAAAGAGGTAAGCCTAAACGGTATTGCTGAGCTGTACGTCCTCTAACGATGTCCTCGTAGCACTACAATCATTTGGCCCATATCAACAAGGAGAAGAATGATAAAACTTTCAAAAAATGGCTGAGTCAATACACTCCCGATCAGATTCGAGAGGCCAACAATGCGAGAAGGCAGCTGAAGAAGATTTGGCAGTCAAAGCATCCTACCCCCAAGCATAACAAGGAGTTCCCACTCCTCAAAGACGACAGACTAGTGACGCGACCGACGGGTGCTTACGCCTATTTCACCCGGGACCGTTTCGCTAGCGGCGACTTTGCTAGGATGCACGTCCCTGAGGCATCCAAGCTGATCGCTAGGGAATGGAGGGCCCTATCTGCTACTGAGAAGGAGGTAGGGCTAATCAAGTCATCTCGATTCATGCACAATTACTGACAGACATATACAGAAATATGAACAGCAAGCTGCAGCAGATTTCGGCAGGTACAACGAGGAGGTCCTCACTGTCTACAACAAGACTCCAGCCACGAAGGCCAATGCCTAATCTTGTCCCTTTTCCGAGCTTCATTTGTGCCACTTCACAGGTAGAGGCCAATGCATCTACGTCACAGTAGCACGCTCGCGCCATCTGGTTGTCCTGATCGTCACGTGGCATTGCCATTATCCTCAACCGCACCTTCGACGCCCGACACCAGCCATTGCCTGAGTCGCATCCAGTCCATGTACATCACCTCCCTCAACTTGTGTGAGTTAGTTTACGACCATTTCCTACCACTTCGCCGGCAGACCTCCGCACGTCTTTCCAGATTGGACGAAGAAGAAAGTAAAAGAGTCAGAATAGCAAGCGTTATCGATGCTGATGAACTTTTCATTGTACTTATATCGAGTTATGCCACGCTTACAGTCTACGAAGATACCCTCGGTTTTCTTTTTTTGGTATATGTTTTTGATTGTACATGGCCAGTAAACGGTCAAAGGTGGCATTTTCTGGAATGTTGTTGATACAATGACTTGCTAGTAGGTAGGTAGATATCTCAGCTCTCGAGCGTGTCTGATCGACGTTGAGTACTACTCTGGGTGCAGTTAGATGAGGTAATTGACCTTCTACCTTGCCATGCTGTTGCGAGTATTCTCGCGTGAAACATCGTACATCTAAATAGGCCGCAGCACCTTGTCATTCAAACAACCTACCATGTACCATTACAATATGGATAGAAGTACAAACAGTCTGAACATCCTCACGATCACGTCGCCTTCTCCCCCGTCGACTCACCTCCCACTACCTCCGCCCCAGCCTCCTCCTTCTTCGGCGCACTCTGCTCCTCCAACATCCTCCTCCTTCCCTCCACAGTAAGCCACAAATTCCTACTCGCAGCCTCCAACGTAGTCGTGATACCAGCACCAAACCCTTGCAACATACCCACGAGCTGTGCTCTCAACCCATCAATTCCACCCTCAATCCCACCAACCCATCTAACTCCCTCAGTATCAAAGACTTGTCCATCTATACGCGCGCCTAGCATCATCAGTTTCTTCAGGCCTTCCTGCGTCGCTGGTTCGTGGTAGCCCGGATTGGCGCGGCGTGTTGGAGCAGGGAAAATGGGAGCTTGAGGGGCGAGGATGCTGAGGGCTGCACGAACGTGTTGAGGGCTGACGGTTGGGAAGGTTAGGACCGCGAGGGGGCCGGTGAGGAGCGGGGTCAGGGGGTGTTGGTTCCTGTGTTTTGCTGCGATGTCGTGGGCGGCGCGGGAGAGGGTGTGGGTGAGGGATGGGTCGAGGCGTTCGTCTTCTATGCCGTGGGGTTGTGCGGGTACGGGCATACCTTTTACGACGGTGGGTTTGTAGTATTCTGTTATACGGAGGGCGGGCTCGAACATATTTGTACGAATGACTGTGAGCTTGATGCTGTCGCTGATTGGTATGTAGGCTTCTGGTCCCCTGTCTTTGAGTTGTGTTTCATCGACTTTTTGTAGCGCGTTGGCTAGCTCGCGACGTATGGATGCCCATTCTAGGGCTCTGAGGTTGTTGTGTTGGAATAGGATGATTAGTGGTGTTGTTTGCAGGAGGGAGACGTATGTTCGTAGGAGCTGCGATTTCCGGTATGCTGGGTCGCGATGTGAGGGGGGTGTGATTTGGGAGTATCGCTGTGTTGATGGTGCACTGTTCAGTATTTGCGACTCAGTTGGTGCTGGGACTGTGGCAGCAGCTGTTGCGTGTCTGCATTGCACACAGACGAAGCGAGAAGGGGACTGAGAGGATGATGGTCGAGCAAATGATTGAAGGTGTATTCGAGGCGGCATATTGGCTGTATGTTCAGGGTTATATGGTCAACACTACTCCCCCTTCACGCCGAGCAGATGTTCTGACAATGATTGAAGCAACACGTTCACGATTGATGCAGTTGCTGCGACTTCAAGGTGTTTCTCGGGGCTTGTCCAAAGATCTACAGCGCTAAGAGTAGTATCTCTTTCCATGTCTTGGCGCGATTTGGAGTTAGCTCGGGAAAGTGCATTCGGTCGCAGTTTCCTTGAATCTACTGTCTTGCAATATACTAATAGACTACCAGCTTACTGCTGATCAAGAACAACAGCATGTCGACGAATAGAGTGGTGCCCCTGACTGCCGAGAATGTGATTACACGTGCAGCACCTACAGACGAGCAACCTCATCGAATTTCTATCACACCTCTACTGAAAGCCCTTTCTACCCCTCCACCATACACTCATGTGCCAGCCAGGTCAATAGCTCTTGCTTGGGCTCGAACTTTTGAGAACCACTTATCGCATACACAACTTGCCGCCCTTCTTACCTTACTGTGTTCCACAGGCCTCGACAAACATCCCGATGTCATCGCAGAATGCGCCGAAGCCATGCGGGATGCTGCTGCCCCAGTCGACTACAAACAGATCTCACAGGTATTGGGCAAGAGGAAACGAGAAAGAGGTGCGTATAGAGGAGGACTGTGCGATATTGTCGGGACAGGCGGTGATGCTCATTCGACCTTCAACATTTCCACGACTTCCTCGATCATTGCATCTGCACTCCTGGCCATCGCAAAGCATGGGAATCGAGCTCAGACAAGTATGGCTGGTAGCGCTGACGTGCTGAAAGCTGTGACGCCGAGACCACCAATCTTAGAGAACCTCATGGCAGAGCATTTACCCAAAGCATACGAGAACAGCAACTATACTTTCTTGTTTGCTCCCAACTTCCACTCAGGGATGCGCTATGCTGCAACTGTTCGTCGAGAGTTAGGCCTGCGCACCATCTTCAACTTGATGGGTCCTCTTGCCAACCCTGTCCATAATCTTATCGAGGTCCGTGTCTTAGGGGTGGCGTATCAAGAGCTTGGTCCAGTTTTCGCTCAGGCACTGCAAAAGAAGGGCATCACAAAGGCTATGGTTGTATGTGGTGCAGAAGACCTGGATGAGATCAGCTGTGCAGGTAGGACAAATTGCTGGTGGCTGCAAGAAATATTAAATCCAAAGTACCAGAAAAGTGGAAGCGAGGACAACGACACAAGCGATGATGATACAGAACCAAAGTATACCTCAAAGCTGGAATCTTTCTCTCTAGAGCCTGCCGACTTTGGCTTATCTACCCATCCTCTATCTGAAGTGGGTGGTGGGAAAGGACCGAGAGAGAACGCCAAAGTGCTTCTAAGCATCTTGAAGAATGAAATGGACCGAGATCATCCTATTCTGCACTTCGTCCTCATGAACGTCGCCGCCCTCCTCGTTGTGAGTGGTATTACTGAATCCGACTCTTCTGAGTATGGAGAGGTCATTCAAGACCGAGGTCCGGCTGGGGGTCGATGGAAGGAGGGTTTGCGCTTGGCTAGGTATTGTCTCGAAAGTGGTAAGGCTTTGCAAGAGTTTGAGAAGTTCATCGACTTGACCCATAGTATTCAAGTCTGATGCGTATTTGAATAGACAATACTAGAAGCGATAGAGTACTCGCTGGATGTCTGGTGAAAACATCCTGTACGATTCTGCGACCGCATTTCGCCTATCTCAACGTGCTTCAAATTGAACCATGCTAGATTTCTAATCAGTCCACAATTTCATAGTGGTAGGACTAAAGGTGTTTTACCGCTTAGTCCGCTCCTTGTAGAGCACACGATGACCACAGCTGGGACATCTGACTTTGTCCTCCTTCTCCAGCGGGACTTTCGCAGAGCATTCGCCGCAGATGTATGTGACCTTGGGACCAGTCGCCGTGTCGTAGCCAGCGTAGCCAGTGCCCGCGCCTCCTGAGCTTGATGGGAATTGGTATGCTTCTCGTTGAGACATGTTCGGAAAAGTAGTACTCGTGACGTACGATTATCAGTGGTCTTAATGCGAACGATTGCTGGTGAGGAACGGATATCTAATAAGAGATGAAAGCACGCGATAGTAAGAGAAGTGTACGGCTAAGTTTCCTAATCAATCTTTCGTGCTTTTGCAGCAACCGCTATTTTATTCGAAATCACTTATTAACCATATCACCACTACTCGGGCCATCTTGGAAACAGCAATCGTCCTCACGTTGCTACCTCCTGCCACGCCCGTCTAACACTTCAATCTTCGAAATATCGATCAGTGAGCATCGAAGGAGAGGAAACAGTTTCCACATCAAAGCTCTTGCCTGCCGGTGTCGTAAACCCTTTTGAGGTACGCGAGTAGATGAGTACTAAGTCATCCCGACTGGATTCTCGTTGTGGACTGGGTTCGGCCACTTTCTTGGTACATTCATTACTGAAGCTTGCGGGACATCGATGAAGCATGGGAAGGAGCGTACAATGTCGCTACACTTTTTGCAATCAGCTAAGGGCTATTTAGACTGAAGTTTAAAAAGAAAAGACAGGACGACAAAGGTGTGCTCGTTTCCACTTTATTAGGCTTGGAGTGCAGTCTGAAAAGCTCGGTCGTGAGTCCTGCGAAATGGGTATCGTAGAAGGGACTGTGTCAGGAAATTCGTGCAGCTACCTATGGCAGTCCTGGATGGCATCGTCGCGTACCATCTCGTTCTTGGAAGTGTGCAACGTTCAGCACCATGAAAGAGGTTTGACTCTTTTCCCACGATTGTAGTCTCGTAGTGGAGCATTAAATTATGTCACGCTCCTGCCGCGTCGATTATGTTGAGCACCGGCCACAATATCGTCACTGCAGTCGCGTCGACAACATCAAGAATTCTCATCTGGCAGGCAGTATGGAACTGCTTTCTAGTCCTTCCACGGTTACTGCTACTTTGATGTAGTCAGAGCAGAGTACAAGGTTCGATCTTTCCACAAACATGCAGTGGAGATGAATTCGTACCCTGACGACTATGTCGTCCACAACTTACCACTGGTCATCCTCACTGGCCTGGAAGCCAATTCAAGTGCTGAAACACCTTTCGGTGAAAAGAGTTTCCAGTTCCTTGGTGATGGTGGCTTTCGAATTCGTGCAGAGCTTCCACCTCTATACCATCCATTGACTGCTGATCTTCGTGCTGCATTGCTTGCCCACGATCACTCGAAAGCAGCATGGCACTCACCGTCTACTGACAAGACGGAGCAGGCTCATGTATTCAAGATCAGAAGTGTTGGTCGGGTAGGTCAGACTCCCTGCTAGACCTCTAAGCACGGGCTATATTGACTGGTATAGGCTTACACCTTTCCTCCACGTAAAGCACCACCACCTCCACACTCCCCCCGAATGAGGCCTAGCGACGACAATGGTGCCTCTCCGCCTCCTCTGACCCTGCACTCGACCCTCTCTCCACTCTCGCCTAGCTCTCCTCTCTATCCCGACGGTATTATCACGCCTTTGTGGATCACCAAACACCAATATCGACTGCCGTCCGTACTGGTGTCTTTCTACAATCTGGTTTCTGATCATACCACAAGCTCACTCGAGGATAACAAGATCAAAAGTGAAGTGAATGCTATTCGCAGTCTCATGACCTCCACCAACTACAAGACAAAATTTGTAATCGTGCTCGTTGCAGATGGTCCTATCAATCATGCAGCACTTGAAGAACGCCTAGTGAATATCAGAAGAGGCACGAACTTTGACAGCAAAGCTTTATACTATCTTCCTAGCACTTCTTCTCCCGCAGATCTTCAAGAATTCGCCAAAGTCATGCTCAACACCTTGCACCCAACAGTCATTGAGTACTATCGAGATTTGTCCAAACATGCTCGTCGAAAACGGAACAGGAACACTGTCCCTCAGCCCACTATTCCTCCCACTCAAGGCACTTCAGCAATTCTCTCTCTGCAGGCGTGGAATGCTCGTTATGAGTTCAAGTTAGGTATATTTGCAGAGACTAGGCAGGAGCTGGAAGCAGCTTCTCGAAACTATGAGCAAGCTTACGAAGGTCTTTTTCACCCCGAATTGTTCGAGACCATACCTGCACGCAGTCCAAGATTCAACGAAGCTCGAATGTTGGCCGATGTCATCGCAATAAGGATAATAAGATGCGCCTTGTGGTCATCACAAACCGTTACTGCTGTAAGATGGTGGTCAAAGCATAGAGCTCGTATACGTGACCTAGTTGATAGACGCGGTATGGGCACCAATGACTATGGTTGGCATGCCTGGCTGGCTATCTGGTCAAACGTTATGTTCGAGCTCATCCAACGAGCAGAAGTCTTTCAGACTGCTCACTCAGAGCTGCCGCCTGGCCATGGCCTTCCAGTACAAATCGTGTCGGATAAGACAACCTTAAGTCTTGACCACACTACACCTTGGGAAGCTTTGCACCACGAAGGCTATTGGTTGGACGAAGTTCGCAGGCATATCGAGGCCAGAAGAGAGTTGGCCAAGCAAATTTCTCCTGATGATCGATCGATTGAAACCACATCAGCTTTGCAATCCAGTAGAAAGCACCATTACGACACTTATCTAGTACCAGAACCACCAATCGAATACCGTCTATTCGACAGAAGAGCCGGAGAGAATTACGGGAAACGTATCTGCAACACTGTGGATAGCGCTTTGAAGCACTTTGAAGCCCGTGATCAGTACCGCATGGCAGAAGTACTCCGTTATCGTCAGGCTATGGAACAGTTCCACTCAGATTCCGAGTCAATAGTCATGCTCACGTCACTCTGGCAACAAAGCAGCTGGCGCAAGCAGGGTTGGTACTCTTTACTCGCCCGAGTTGGCAAGGTACTTCTTGACAAGCCACTACAGGACGATCCTGAGCTGCGTCTGTTGCTGCTGTGGGAGCTACGAACAATTGCCTCTGACCAGGCAACACCTATTGAGAACCAGATGCTCGAAGGTGGTAGTGCAGCTTTGACCTTGACGTCTTCGTTACCCCAGATAGTCCCCGGTCTTGCATTTTCCAATGACACTGGTCATGTTGGTGAGCCACTAGCTATACAGTTGTCGTTACGTTACATTGTACCAAGTTTGCAAGCAGATTTGCAAGTCAAGGAAATCAAGTTTACTTTCGATGGTGGTATCAAGCCCATTCTGCTCAAAGCAGAAGCTGCAGATGACGATGCTGAACGCAGTGGTGGTGCCACAATATATCGTGTCGAGCTGTCTGAAGCTGATGCCAGTGTGGAGAAAGTATCCAGGAGATTATCCTTGAGTGGAGGGTCTTACTGGACAGGCACTATCAAAACAAACCCCTCTGGTTCATGCTATGAAGTGTACAATTTCGAGGTGATACCTCGAGAGCCTGGCCCGGCATCCGTGGCATCCTGTATGCTTCTTTTAGCCAATAGCACACAGGAAATCACGCTCAGTTCTGGCGAGCTCAACAACGTTGGTGCTCAGTGGTGGGAGCTTCGCGATGGGAGTCCCATAAGTCGAGATTTTGGTATGCATCGAGATGTGACAAGCGTCAATGTTTTACCAAAACCACCAAAGGCTGCTATCAAGTTGCCGAATTTACTTTCAGCTTATTACACCAACGAAAAGGTGACTTTGCGGGTCGACATCCTCAATGACGAAGACGAAGCACTGAACGGCAGTCTGGACGTACGACTTCTGAATCCCTCCCAGGGTACGCTTCAGTTTCACTGGAGACCCGAAATATCCTCTGGAGAAGGTGATTCAACCCAGTCTGAAGTCGCCTCTCTCAAACGCGTGGGACCTATAACACCTCAAGAAGTTGGTCAGTTTGAGCTTTCACTGACTGAGATACAAGACCCTATGGAGTGCGAGCTCGAGTTTAAGCTGTCCTATCGACTCGAGTCTGATGGAAGCCAGGAAGTCGTCACAAGTGTGATTGTCAACCTTCCCGTTATCCGCCCTTTTGAGGCCACTACGTTCTTTTTGCCCAGGCTGCATGTTAATGCGTGGCCCAATTTCTTCGATGCAACGAATGCCGCAACTGTCGACCAACCTCAAGGTCTAACGCAAACTTACCTGGTAAAGGCCGATATTGGATGTTTCACTCAGCAGCCAGTTGTCGTTAGATCCTTGAATCTCGAAGCACGTCGCATCGTGGGCGGAGCTGTATGTACTAAAAGTCTTGGTAGACCGAAGACATCAGGACTTGACTCCGAGCAAGCGAAGCAAGTTGAACCTGACACAACGGAGCAATTTCTCTTCGATCTCGAACTTCAGAAACTGGTTCTGGGCGAAAGATCGCCTGTGGCTATAGATTTTGTCATTAACATCGAATGGTCGAGAATAGATTCAAAAGACGTCAATATATCTACACTGATTCTGCCGAAATTCCTTGTGCCAATGTCCGAACCACGAGTACTACTACAAGCTGCAAAGGTCGAGGGTGTCTCGGCGACATGTCTACTTACCTACACTATCGAAAACCCGAGTATGCACTTCCTTACATTTAACGTTAACATGGAGAGTGGTGAGGGGTTCGCGTTTAGCGGGTCGAAGGCGCAGTCTGTCAGTCTAGTACCCATGAGTAGATACGAGCTGCGATATCGCGTTCTCATGCAGCGAAGTGGAGAGTGGGTGCGTGTGCATCTTGATGTTCTTGATGCATTTTTTGGTCAAACGCTAAAGGTTCAGCCTGCTTCCGAAGGAGTTCGAGTTGACAAGCAGGGTGACGTGCAAATCTGGTCTGGATGAAATGATACTGGAAAAACCATCAAAACCACAATCTATGCAGCAACTTGCAATACAGCACGGCCAGGAAGTTGCCCTTTCGACATCTGTAGGACTGTCAGCACACGTCAAGCGTTTCGAAGGACGACTCACCTTCTCCATAAAGTCGTCAAGTTCGGTCAATTTGCCTTTAGAAAGGATAGGCTGTTACGGTCAGTACACAATCGGACCTCTGAATGGTGCTGCTCACATGGACAAGACCTCTTGCGGTGAAGTCTAGAGCTTCCTCCACATCCTTCAAGGATCCTACAACTGAGCCTACAAAATTGAGCCTCCTGAGAGCCATCATGATCGGTGGAGCGCCAGCGACAACGGACGGGTCCTTCGGCAACCCTACTACAACGACCGTGCCGTTAGGACGCAATAAACCAGGAGCCATATCATAAGCCTGTTTTGTTGCTGCAGTCACCAAGACACCTATCCTCATCGTTAGCGATTGTCAGGCAGGAAAATTTGGTACATACCATGAGCGCCAGCACCAGTGACTTTCATCACCTCAGCAGCAATGTCGCTCGTGGCTGTGTAGTCAATGAAGACTTCAGCACCGAGCTTCTTGCAAAGATCGCGTTTTGCATCCCCTCCGTCGATAGCGATCACTCTCATACCCATGGCACGAGCGTATTGCACCGCGAAATGGCCTAACCCGCCGCCGGCGCCCGGAAGCACGATCCATTGTCCAGGCTTTACACTTGAGCTGTGGAGATAAGTCAATATTGTCCAATTTCACTTTCGAGGGTAGGGGCTGCGAAAAGCATAACTAACCGCTTACACGCCACATATGCTGTCACACCTAAAGCGTCTCTTGTCAGCCGCGTATCGTTGAGAGTACACACGAGTTTGCGAAGCACGTCTCTGACTTACCACCGCACATAATTGGTCCCGCCTCCTCGTCCTTAACACCATCGGGTATCTTGCTTGAGTACCTTGCGTCGGCGACAAGGTACTCCTGGAAAGTGCCTTCGGCAGAAAACCCTGAGTTCTTTTGAGCTGTGCAGTGTACCTCGTCTGTGCCCGTGCTACGGACCTGTCAGTCACAAACACTCATCCCACAAATCTGGAACATGCGATTTGTCTATCAATTTTGGGGGCGCCACGCCGTGGGTCTTTTTCGAGAAAGGAGTACTCACAGACAGAACTCGCATTCTCCACAGGTTGATGCAATCCACTTGACCCCAGCCCTGTCACCAACCTTCCATCGACTCTCAGCTCCCTCACCTACTGCGACGACTACACCTGCTCCTTCATGGCCAGCAATACCTTTTGTGGCATCCTGCATGGCAACGCCGAAGTCTTTCCATTCATCGTGAATGAGCGATTTGTCACTGCAAAGAGCCGTGAGGTCAGCAGCTGTCAACGAGCCTGCCTTGCAACGCAACGTCCGATGAGACATCTTGGGATAGCCAAGAAGCAATGACCGTTCGCAACGTACTCACCTAGCGCACAATCCAGTCCAGTTGACCTTGATCAGGATCTCACCAGCACCAGGCATGCGCACATCAATTTGTTTGACTGGTGCCTTGGCAGACTCGCCAGTTCCTTCACGGACAGCAGCCGACTGCTTTGACGGAATATCGACGGAGCCCATTGTGATTTGATCAAGATATAAAATGACTCGACAAAGAGGATCCTATGCTTAAGCTGACAAGCAGGATATCTAGTGGTACCACGAGGCGAAGAAAGTGCTCAGTGCAATTCCTAGGAACAGGCCAACAATGCAACGACCACACGAGGTACATTGATTATGCCTTACTCTTATATATACCATCCATACCACTTCTGTACCTCTCTCTCTCTCACTCTGTCCCAGTCCCTGTCCCATTCCCCCTTGACCCGACGCCCAATGAAATGCGTGACACCCAAGCTAGCCATGACAATCAATGCAAAGCGTCCCCCTCCCCTCTTTTCCTTCCGTTCCCCTTCTCCATCAATCGTTGGAAGCATAAGTCCCATAACTTGGTACGAGTCAGTCATGTCGAGCTTATTGTGCACGCATGTAGAAGTACTAACCTAAACTATATGGAAAGTTACTCTTTTGGCCGATGTTTCTGCGGGGAAGCCACTCGAGCCTCAGACTTGAAAGAGGGTTCCAACGAACCCCATAATTTACCAGTGTGGGGTTAGTGGGATGGGGTGTGGTCGGATGAGTTCCGCGGTGGTATTGCTGTACTGTACCCTCTTCTGAGTCAGTCAGTCAGTCAGTCTTTTAAAGGATTTACTAAAGATACAGTATCTAGTGAGTAAAGACTATTGCAGTCGTAAATGTGATTTAGTTTTGAGATTGCTTGTACATGGTTTTGAAACATTCAAACATGTCCTGCTTCCATCCCTCCCTCCCTCCCTCCGTTCTATAACCTCGCTAAGCAATTGACACAGATCAAACTCCCCTATATAGATTTCACGAACCGTTAAGCTACTGACCAACACCTTCTATGCTTCTTTAGAATCAAAGATCTCACATTTCATACATGTTCATGTAGCCTTGCCAATTGTTTCACCACTCTTCCGCGGCCTGACATTCTGCGCGCTAACTCGATCTTTACCTTTCGTGGTTGAAAGTGCCGAGTCCGCTTGTAAGCTCGATCCTACCAAAGTGGTATCACCCTGATCTGAACCTTCGCTGGCCTCGTTGTCTTCAGTGACTCTGCTCATCCTGTACAGTTCTTTCTCTCTTGCCTTATCGACATCTTGCACAGCCTCACTTTGTAGAGATGTTCTCGAAGCATCTGTGTTGCTTCTCGAGAGCATGCTCAAGTTGTCTGCGTTCACAACACGCAGTTTCTCCTTGGGTACAGTGAACATGACCTGCACGACCCGTTGTTGAACTGCAGTTTCAATATCCCACTCGCTTGCATTATCCTCATTCTGGATGTCTTCGTTGATCTCAAACTTGTTTGGCCGTTGAGGTCTTCGCCGAACTGTGCCTGAGCTCTCGCCCAACGTAGCGGAGTCTTCCCAATCTTTGGCTCCTTGCCTGTGCTTCCAGAATGCAGTTCCCGAACTCGAGACCTGCCGGGGGTGGGGATCTAAAATGTCGGGACCAGATCTTGCGTGACTATGCTTGGTTGGACTATTCTCTCGACCTCGTTCTTCGATATTCTCCACCTTGTCAGCCACATTCACGTTTGCTGTTCCCGATAAAATGCGTCTGGCTCCCTGACTCAGCGCGCCAAAGGCCTTCTTACTCTGACTAGTCAAGCTATTCGACCGCTTCCGCTCATGTATTTTGTAATCTTTGCTTGGTGGCTCGGGACGTGTGAAGTATTCTCCTGCCGCGTTCATATCTTCTCTCGATTGTGGTGTGGTCAGTATCGAATGGTTGTGGTGCTCCACAGAGTTGCTACGTTTGCGAACTGCCATTTGTGCTAGGTCACCCGTTGACACTGCACGTTTGCTGGCTGATCTCTCAATGCGCATGTTGGCATGATCTTGTCTTCCAGCTATCCTACCCATAGCAGCGGCAGCGCTTGAGAAAAGAGCATAGCTTGGGTTTCCACTCCGCTGTGATATAGATCTTGATACAACAGCACTCACTTGAGCAGCTGCGGATAGGGTTGAATAGTTGCTTCGATCAGACAGATTGCTGTTTGTCCTGTCGGATGTGTCCTTTCCACTGCTAGAGCTGGAGGACTGCAATGCAGAGAGGTTGGAATATGTTCGGTTATAGCTGGTGGCTTTGCTTGGCGATCTTGACATACTCATGGACTCTGCAGCCGACTGCCAATCCTCGACCCACTTCTCAACTTCTTGCCTTCTCTGTTCGGCTGGATGCTGGTTTATACTGGGTTGAGCTGCCTGTGTCGTAAGTGGTGGGTCTTTGAATGGGTCGCTATGTGGTCGACTCCCAGCACTTCGCGGTCGTGCAAAGGATCCTCGATCACTTCTCTCCTCGACCTCTTCGATGGTAAACACTCCTGGAGCCGTAGAAGAAAAGTGATTACCAAAGCCGGCAGGACCTCGTGCTCGTAGATTACTCCTCAGGCTGGCGGCTGGAGCAACGATGTGGTGCATGTTGTCCTTCTCTGCAAAATCTTCAACACTACTGACCTGTCCATCATTGCCGAGAGATCTATCGCCACTGTATTGTCCACTGCTCTCGATTTGCTGTTCTTGTCTTGCACCCCAACTAGCAGACCTGAAGCTTGTGAAAATGCCTTGCTGACTGCTACGTCTGGAATACCCGATGGTAGAGGGTCCCTCTTGTGTTCCCAATGCCATTGCTCGAAGCTCCTTCTCTCGAAACCTGCGTTGCTCGCGCCTCTTTCGAACATAAAAGAACCAAAAAATTACAAGAATGGCAGCAACCACCAGGCCAACGCCCAGACCAGCACCAATTCCTGTCTTCTGCGAAGAGGTCAGACCAGAATGTGAGCGATGAGTTGTGGTGGTGGTTGAGGGATTAGTATAGCTCTCCGTCCAGGTCGATGATGACAGATTGTAAAACATTGTCTTCAAGGTGTCTCGCTTCCCTCTTCTTGATGGCCCAGTCGTGATGGAATAGCCACCAGTGACCATCATAACGTCTCCTGCCAGCATGACAGCGCCGTGACCATACACACCACTCGCAGAGCCTAGGTATTGATCTTCTGCTTGGGGCACTGTCCAGGACCATGATGCATTCCCACCAAAACCCTGACCAACCTCGAGTACCACTAGCTGTGGACTAGCTGGGTTTGTAGTGTCTCCTACCCAGCCACCTAAGACAACTATTCTGGAACCATCAGCAGAGACAACAGCTGTATGACCTGACCTCGGCTCGACGACATTATCTTTGGGTTGAGCTATGTCCACAAAAGCCCAAGACTGCTCAGGCAGGGAGAAGAGCGCAACTTGCGACATGTTGATGAACGCTCTTTGTGTATGGCCGCCAATGAGGACAAAGTTCTGCTGCTGAGCGACGTTTCCGCTGAAAATAGCAGGGACTAGTGGCGTGATTGACAATCCTGCTTCAGCGACAGGAGGTGCTCTTGTACCAGTCAGAGAAACTTGAAAGTCCTGTCCCTGCTCTGGCGATATCGTCAACATGGTGTTCGAGTACATCGCGTCCGATTGAAGTGTGGAAGCGTTTGTCGCACCACTTGGACACATGCCACCAAAGACGTAGAGACTATCCTGGTTTGGTAGAGCATTGCTGGGATATGCGAAAGCAGCAGCCAAATAATTCGCGCTCAGATCGACATCGGTCGAGGTTGTCCTCATCCGGGTCCAGGTCCTGTTACTTTCACCAAAGCCATATGCCCACAAATTTAGCTCTTGCTCTCCTTCAGCACATTCGCCCGAGAAGACGGTAAGTCCATTCCGAGTCGCGACAGGAATAAAGGAGTCATCTTTGTCTTCGAGGAAGGGTAGCTGACTCGTCAAAGCTTCGGGGACATCGGCGCTCGTCAAGGTGTTCGTAGTGTCATATACAGAAAATTGAGGGTTTTCATTTGGGTTAAACTGGTATATTCTTGAATCCTGACCTTGCACGAGAAAAATTGGATTGTACGGCAGAGTCTGTGCCAACACTGGAGTAATACATGCAACCAAAGTGGCCAGGAAGACCGTTGTTTTTGGGAGGGTCATTTTTTGATTGTCTTAGACATGTTGTGATTGCGATTTCGACTAGGAAGTGGAACGTTGTGAACAGAGCAAACTTGACACGAAGCTCAAGTTGATGTGGTAGATGTTCGGAGAGATGAGAGACGCCTCTTCACCTACTTGTCGCACCAAGTACCTCTGCTTTCCTTCCTCGATGAATTTGAGAAGGCAGGAAGAATCGAGGAGTCGCAGGCATTATCTCGTGGTATTGACCAGGATGTAAACACTTCGGTTCTGCTGCCAGCCACTCTTCCCCAGACCTTCCTAGCTTGCGCAATATGTTCACGGAACATGTGCGATCTAATCAAGCTAAAACAGCCGACTCGCCTATGTCGTGCTTAGCATCCGCGATTGCGCTTGATAGCGTTCTGCCACGACCTGACTGCGGTATTTGGCTGAACGTTGTCTGGCCAACGCGCCAGGGTCTTGCACGCCTAGAACACCCTGCACCTCTTATTGGTCACTGTCTCGATGAAACTTTGCGATATTGCTGAACTTCCGTGTAGAAAAGGGCTACCGTAGGTGATTGACCTAAAAATCAATTCGTCGACGAATTGACAATCAGCATTCACCTGCACTACTACTGCAGCAGTCAGCCTGTCGCGCCTTCAAGCGAAACTCAATGTGGTTGAAAATACAAGCCGCGGCCACGATTGTGTCGTAATACTCGATATGCAAGTCATCCTCAGATGAATTGAGATCAAGTAGAACCGGATCAAATATCTGTTGTCCGCCGGTGATCTTAACCTCGAACTTCGAATTGACAGAACCATCAAAGGTTGGGACTGACTGCGTTAAGACAGCCAGATGAGAGAGGCGGAAAGTGGTTAAGTACTATTTAGGCAAGTACGACCTTGCGCAGGATAGAAGTGGTAGTAACGACGAAAATGCGTCACGAATCTATGTCTCCTACCAGTCCTCCACAAGGCCTTGTAGGCTACCCTTTGACACCGTTAAGGACTTCCTCTACGTTTTGCCCGCTCGCATTTGTCCCTGTATCTTTTACTGGCAAGCTTACACCCTTCAACATGGGCAACTTGGCTCTTACACCTTCTCTCGCGACTTGCGCCATGAGTGCATCCATGACTACCAACGCGGCCATAGCCTCCACGATGGGCACTGCTCTGGGTACCACACACGGGTCATGTCTTCCTTTCGCCTCGAGCACTCCATTGTCCCCGTCATATGTTGCTGTTTGTTGTTGTTGCCCGATTGTCGCTGGCGGCTTGAAAGCTGTTCTGAAGTATATATGTGCTCCGTTCGAGATGCCACCCTGTATACCACCGCTGTTGTTCGTCTTTGTGACCAATTTTCCTTGCTCATTTCTGACAAAAGGATCGTTGTGGGTGCTGCCAGGTACCTCGCAACCACCAAAACCACTACCTATCTCGAATCCTTTTGTCGCCGGTAGAGATAACATGGCATGTGCAAGATCTGCTTCCAGCTTGTCGAAACAAGGCTCACCAAGGCCAATGGGACAGTTGCGGATTACGCAAGTCACGGTCCCGCCTATAGAGTCATGCGCATCTCTAAATTTTTCAATGGCTTTGGTCATTCTCGAAGCCCCATCAGAATCTGGACATCGTACTGGCGCGAAAGTATCGACCTGTTTTCTCGTGATAGTATTGATGAGTTTCAGGAAATCCGGATGAGTTGAGTATGCCGGGTGTTCTGCCGTCGTAGGGAACTGATGCTCCGAACCAACACTGCTGACCCATGCGACTATCTCAATGCCATGAGCTAATGAGAGATACTTTTCAGCTATGCCCGCTGCTGCTACTCTGCCTATACAAGAATTGTGTTAGTCATTGCCCTCGTCGAGGACTGATGATTGCAGTACTCACCAATTGTTTCACGGGCACTACTTCTACCACCTCCTGAACTAGCTTTGACGCCATATTTCTCCAAATATGTAAAGTCAGCATGGCTTGGCCGTGGAAAGCTATCCATATCACTCTTTCCTCCACCACCATAATCGTGCGGCCTCTGATCCTCGTTCCGTACTATCATAGCAATAGGCGTGCCAAGTGTGATGCCGAATTCTGTACCTGACTGAATTTCGACCTTGTCTTTTTCATTTCGAGGCGTGGTGAGAGCTGACTGACCTGGTCGCCGTCTAGTCATCTGGGGCTGTATGTCTTCCTCCGTCAGCTGCATGCCAGGTGGCACGCCATCGACTATGCAGCCAACACTACGGCAATGGGATTCTCTGTGAGGGTCAGTAAAAGTACACTCTGAGGCATTGGTCCTTAATCACCCATAGGTCGTAACACGAAAGTAGTGACCAAAAGTCGACATGATGGCGATTGATCTTTGACCCAAATAGAGGGACGTCTGTGCAATCCCAAGGATCACTGGAGCTGCTTTATTCCTTGCCAAGAGTGCTGTATGGTGTTGGATGAGGAATCTCTCCAACGTGTTACAGCCAAAATTCGAGCAAATCCTGAATAGCTGTAATACACGCAAAAGCGACTGTGATTGTGATGCTTCTCGATCTAGGTGTCAGGTGGTTTCAATGTCCTACGATATTGGCCTACAATTCGCAGAAGACGCTGGTGTAGTAATAGTACAACGACCAAAAAAAAAATCTAGGATTATGACTGGACAGCGGATCCTGATTTCCCAGAGCGGACAGGGTTGTCACCGATATTCGGATCTAGATCTGCGTGCCGGAACACCACAATTCACTGAGAAGTAAATTGTAGCTTCGCAAACTAGTATGATATGGTATAGAAAGGAACGATAGCATGTGCAGCAAATGTCATATGTCAGACAACGAGTCGTCTCAAGAAGCTGATTTCATGGTTGCTATTCGTGGTAATACCCTGATTGCCTGACGCGCCCGACGTGCACTTTTATTCATCAAGTCATTTCGATCGTTTCCGAGAGGCTATAGTTGATAGTACCTCAATAATCATCGCCTCTGGACACAACCTCTTTCACGGTCGGTCTCAAAAGGATAGTATGCTCAAACTGAGCTGTGTAGCATCCCTTCTGGTCGACCAGCGGTGGATAATCCTGCACAATTCCTGAAGACACCAAATTATTCAACCCAAGCAAGTACTTTTCCTGTCCCAATCTATCCAGATACCTCCTGCACCATGGCAAAGTGCCAAAATTCTTCTTGATAACGTTCAGCAAACTCCTAGCACTACTGACCCGCAACGGAACATTTGGCGCATCAGGTCGCAGAGCATAATGCGAGACTTCCATGTCGTCCTGCACGTAACCTCGCCCGGTAGAGCCAAAGGTCTCGATGGCAAAGATCTCTCCTTCTTCCATCTTGGTCATATCATTACTTTTGACGATGGGGACGGACTTGCCGCCGTGGATGGAGCCTTGGACAATGTCGTGGCCGTTGAGGTTGCGAATGGCTTTGACAGGGTATGTCTTACCGTCAATTTCGACCTCGTAACTCTCCATTGCTTCTTGTATGGCAGCACCGATCTCGCCAACCCGGACATCGATTCCAGCCTCTCGCACGCCAGTGTTCGTTGCGTCTTTCACCGCTGCAAGGAGGTTGTCATATTTTGGATCCCATGTCATTGTGAATGCGGAATCCACAATACGCTGATTGATGTGCACACCAAAATCGACCTTGAGCACGTCTTGTTGACCCAACACCCACTTCTTACTGGTGCTATTAGGTGTATAATGAGCAGCGCAGTGATTAATGCTCAGACCAGTAGGAAAGCCAACTCCAGCGATCAAACCATCACCCTCCTCGAGACCCTGGTGGCCAGTAAGCGCACGAGTGCAATCTTCTATGCCCTGAGCGATCTCATGTAGATCCATGCCCGGCTTGATATTCTTCTGCGCCCATGCTCTTGTCTGTCTGTGTATTTCCGCACCCTGTCTGTATTCCGTGAGGAAGTCGTTCCTCATTCGATCCAAATGTCTCTTCTCTTCATTGGTGGTTCTGTACTGTTGGTCTCCGACATATTCAACCTCTTGGCCAGCAGGATAGGTATTGTTAGAGAACAATTGTGATACAGGCACCCGAGGTGGATCGCTCTGCACTTTCGCTCCAGCAGTTCCAGTCTTTTTCTTCTTGGACTTCTTCTTCTTCTTTTTCTTCTTGTCTCCTGCTATAGCTACATTTTCAGCACCGTTAGCAGCTGGCGCATCTTCATCGTTATCGTCTGAATCCTGATCCGAAGCGTCAGCCGTTGTGCCGTTCTGTTTCGAGGCCGCACTGGAGGCTTTCTTCGAGTCTGACAAGCCGTTCAGCTTCAGCTCCGAGAACTGATCTGCTGTCTTTGCGGCCATGTCGTGTAAACCTAAAAGATTTACCACAAAGCAGACTTGAGTGGTTTCAAGAGAACTGGAATACTGGTGGGGCTTTGGTACGAGAAAAGAAGCAGGCGGCTACCAGAGGATAACGAAAATTCAAGCCTGAACTACAAGGCAGCATGTTCAGCTCCTAAAAAGTGAAGACGTCATGGCCATGACCCGAAATCGCATATTGCTTCCTTCGAAAGATAGTGCAACTCCCTTTTTGTTTTATTAATGCCAGCCCCAAGGTGATTGTGCAAGCTCGATAGACATGAGGCATGATCAAAGGCTGCTCTCCCTCCACCCCCAGGATACCTTCCCTGGCTCATTTGACACAATGGCCTCTCAGCACAGCTTATAACACGCGACGAGCTGCAGCATTCAGCCATGCAAGCACACGCATATACCCAGTCCGAGCACTGGCTCAGCACCCACACCGTCGTCCCTTCCACAGCAGCCCCCACCTCTTAGCCCAGCGCACGCACTACGATGTCCTCGGCGTCCCACCTACCACCACAAAAGCTGATCTAAAAAAGCGCTTCTACGTCCTCAGCAAAGAAACCCACCCAGACATGAATCGCAACGACCCAAAGGCCAGCGAGCGTTTCGCCGAAGTCTCCGAAGCATACGCCATCCTCGGCAACGATGAGAAACGCAAAAAATACGACCGCGAAGTCATGCCGCGACCCTCACGATCCTCGCAGCGCAGTGGTGGTGCAAAAGGCACATACGCAGGCAGTCGACCAGCGACAGGTCTAAGCACACGAAGAGGCACGTTCAGAGGTCCACCCCCAAGTTTCTACGCACAGAGCGGGCAGAGTGCGAATCCGAGTGCGGAAGAGTATGCAAGGAGAGAGCAGCAGGCGTACAATCAGGGCGCGCCAGCCGGTGCTTTCGATCCGAGACAGTATGCGGCTCCTGGACATTGGGATCCGACTTTCAACTCAGATCCTGTTTATAAGACTCAGACTGCGGAGGATTCGAGGAGGACACAGAGACGAGCGGCCGAGATGGCTGCTGCTCAGGCATATGCAGAGGAACAGGGTAATTTTTGGGCACGTTTCATTGTCGTCAGTGGTGTTGTTGCCTTTGGCGTTGGCGTGGGTACTATGATCAACAGGATGAGTGCCAGTCCAAGAGGTGGTCTGCTGACTGGTGACGGTACGAGACGGGACAAATCAACTATTGGACGTTAAGGTTGATGACATGTACGTAATTGGAAGATCTGTCGCGAATAGAAGTCACCGTCATGAAACCGCGACCAGCAATGTGTACAGCGTAAGAATTAGCATGGATTGCGAATACGAACAAATTTTGTTTCGCCTAAAAAAGCATTGACCATTTGAAATCTGACGCACAGTTTCTACTAGCCAGGAATGACTCAATCATCGCCTGCCATATGCCTGCGACGCTCACAAAAACGAGCAACTCTATAGATCTTCTTTACAATCATCCACCAAGAATAACGCGTTTAACCCTCGAAGGTGAAGGAGGCGCCAACCTTGTGCTTTGGCTCCTGGAAGTTTTGGGTATCGAGGGAAGCTCCGAGACCGAGAGTGACACCAGTGCTGAGTCTGACGTTGTAAGCGAGAGCAGCAATACCCTTGTCGTTGATCTTGGCCTATTGAACGTACATTAGTCTTTGACAAATAATACACTGGAGCAAATTTACCTTCGCGAAAGAGCTTGGGTCAAGCTTGTACTTGGTAGCGACCTCAAGGCCGACATTAGAGCCAGCATTGGAATCCCATACTGCCTTAGCGCCTGCCTCGACCTCAGTGTTGACCTTGTGGTAGTAACTGGCCGAGAAAATGCTCAGGTTGTTGGTGGCAGTGATGGACGCAGCGTATGTTGGTTGCGAGTAACCTGCAGCAAGAGCGTATCTTGTGATAGCAGCCTTTCCAACATCATATCCACCCTCAGCACCGACAACGAAACCTTCATGGCCGACAGTGGCATCGAAGGTCGCAATGGGCCCCTTGAAGAGATCGGTGAACAGACGTGTGTTGAAGTTAGGCTGCTTGTAGTAGAGGTTGAGGTTTCCACCGTAGGTCTGCTTGGCTGGGAGGTATTTGCTGAGAACCTCTGCCTTGAGACCCTTGGTCAGGTTGTCCTCAAGTTCGACCTTGGTGTCGAGCGAGTTGGTCGTCGTCCATGTTTGGGTCAAGGTAAGGCCTATCGATCACGTTAGCCTCCATACGAACTTCTCGCATTAACTCCGCATACCTGAAGCCTTGTCTGAGTATTTTCCTTCGAGCTGGAGGTTTTCTTTAGTATGTATTATTCGGAAATTTTTTCGTCTGATGAGTATGCCTACCGATCCGCTGATGGGGCCATCGTGTGCTGAGCGTCCCTTTACGTTGAAGTTAACACCGTTGGGTGCCTTGCTCTTGACTTCAAGCGCGGCGGCTGTGGTGTGGTAGAAATCTTTGTTCAACAGCTGTAGCTCATGTTAGCTGTTCAGGATCGCTCGTGGAGAGGGACGCGCTAACATCGTTGGCCGGCTTCGAGATATCCGAGAATGGGACTGGAATAGACATCTTGGACGAGGTTGTAGAATTGACGTGTATACGAAACACAATATATGAACCTGGTGATGATTGTTGTTGACAACTGGAAAAGGTTTGGGAAGGTGCCAGCTGCGCATGCGCGGTTGCACTCGGATTGCAGGAGAACCAGCCGCCCAGCCAAAGCTCCGCGAGTATTTTTCGGAACTATCAGTGGATCACCAGCTTTATGCTTCGATCAACCAATCGAATTTCAGCTCTTCATCCACGTTAGCTTCACTCTCACTGATTAGTGCCTACAAATAATCTGACGAGCATACGAAAGACACAGAGGGCAAGAAAGATATGGGAAGTCAGTCAAGAACGGCATGGATTTTTGTTTGTGTTCTTGATGCAGCTATCAGGCACTTACCCGGCTTGCTAGCTGGCCAGGTAATTCTCAAAGCTTTTCCTCGTTGTCGCCGCCAGAAGACCAAGCTGTACTAGATTCCTTCCAAAGTACTTTGAAAGATCTTCATTCAGCTTCGTGTCTTCTCCTTGTCGTTCTTAATTATGGCATGTACATTGACGCCTCCTATGCTGTTGTTTAGCTCCTGCAAATCCGGCTAACCAAATTTTGTCCCATATACGCCCCTCCATACCTTTATCCTGAGTTTTCGTATTTGGCAACATGTGTTGCAATAGCTCTGCCCGAAGGGTCTGACTGGTGTGACCATGTGGGTGTCCATCTCATAACGGTGCTGGCGCAGTATGGTGGGAAGTGCTCATCAAACATTGTGCGGTACCAGTATGCCTCCTTGCTATCTGGGATGTCGGATCCCCATTCGGGCTTAGGGTTCTTCATCATCTCATCTGTGACATGAAGCTCAGCGTTGTCTTTGAGGGCATCAATCCAACCATAACCGACACCATCACTGAATTGCTCCTTTTGTCTCCAGAGGATGTGGTCGGGAAGATAGGGTTCCACGTCAGGCTCGTCCGTTGTGTCGAAGGCCTTTCGCAGTATGTATTTCTCGATTCTATCTTTCGTGATCATCTTTTCTTGTGGGTCAATGTTCATGCAGACCTCCAAAAACTGCTTGTCCAAGAATGGCACTCGAGCTTCCAGTCCCCAAGCTGATGTGGATTTATTGGCCCGCAAGCAGTCTGCAAGGTGCAGATTCTTAACTCTTCTCACAGTTTCCTTGTGGAATTCTGCCTTGTTTGGCGCAGCGTGAAAGTATAGATAACCCCCGAATATTTCGTCAGAGCCTTCTCCTGATAGCACCATCTTGACCCCCATTGCTTTGATCTTCCTACTGAGTAGATACATCGGCGTGGAGGCTCGGATAGTCGTTACGTCGAAGGACTCGAGGTGGTAGATGACATCGCTCAAGGCGTCTATGCCTTCTTGAATGGTAAAGGTCATGTCGTGATGCTTGGTTCCCAAAAACTTAGCGACTTCGAGTGCGGCTTTAGTGTCAGGTGCGCCTGGCAAGCCGATTGAGAAAGAGTGCAGTTGCGGAAGGAATGTAACAGTGGTCAGGTCGTTTTCGTCGTCAATACCAACCAGCTTATCGTTCTCGCTCTTGTGACCGTTGGTTTGTGCTCCTGCAACTGCTTGTTGCCGTAATGTCTCTCGCTGCGCAATAGAAGCAGTCAGACTCGAATCAAGACCCCCAGATAGGAGTACACCGTACGGGACCTCGGCCATAAGTCGTTTGCGCGTTGATCTCTCCAGGGTCTGCCTAATTAGCTTGTAATCAATTGGCGTTTCTGGTACACGATCCCCGTCCCACCAGGTAGGCTCGAAATATCTGGTAATTTTGTCCGTCTTGGAGTCATATACATGACCTGGTGGGAAGAAATCTATTTTATCTGTAACAGGAGCAAGTGCTTTCAATTCAGATGCAAAGTAGACAGCGCCAGGCACTTTACTATCTCGACCAATGTAAAAAGATGTGATGCCAATTGGATCTCTGGCGGCTATCGTGCGATCCTGCTCCTTATCATACAGCACGAACGAGAACATGCCATCCAGGTGCTTTGGCGCGTCAATTCCATACTGTTGATAGAGTGGAATGATCACTTCGCAATCTGAGTTGGTTTTGAAGTGATAGGGTGACTTGAGGGTTTTCCGTATTATTCTGTGATTATAAATTTCGCCATTGACTGCTAGAGCAATGGTATTGTCGTCGTTGACTAGTGGCTGCGCACCCGAATCCACACCCACTATACTAAGGCGTTCGTGGCATAGGATAGTGTTGTTGCCAATCCAGTTTCCTGACCAGTCTGGCCCTCGGTGTCGTAAACATTTTACACACTGGAGGGCTTTTGTCTTGAATTCGGTGACCTGCGGGTGGCTTGAGACCAGTCAGCACATGCAAAGACAATGGCGACCACCAGCTTACCCATGGCAGGCAAAGATTCCGCACATATTGGGAAACCAGTATGCTAGTGAAGAGAAGAAGAGCAGAACAGGGCAGAGAGAAGGTCAAGAACGGCGAGCGCAGCAGTGAGTCAATAAATCGAAAGTGAAGAGAATACAAGACCGGCAGCGCATGGGATCGCGCAAGATGATAAGGAAGCAGTGGACACCGTGACCGTGGGATGTTTGAGTGGCAGCAAACTGATTTTGTCTTCAAACTGAATTCGTTGCTGGCAAAAAATGTGTGGAGCGTCATAGTCGGCGGGAGGTGAGGCTTGGGATTTTACGACGGGACCGATCATCGGGCATTAAATGTGTACAGAGCACGCGACAGACTCCGATTTGAGCTGGCGAGTGAGCACGTTGGCCTCACTCCTGCCGGATCATGAGCTTTCGGCAGCAGAGGAGGGAGAATTTGTCCTAAATGCATGGAAAATAGCAAGGCTCGGATTGGATTGAATATTTACTTGTTCTTAAGTAAGAAGCCCCGCAATCAATAGCGGACGTGCCTATCTTTCCCACGCTATGCTTCTCAGAGGCGTCGTGAGCCCCCACGCCCGGGAATGTCCCGTTCCAACCATTCACTACGGTTGTTCTTAGGTGTAAGATTAAGTTGTCATTCAACTGCAGCACTACGACGGTGGTGCTGTTGACATTGAGATCCGTAGAAGCCTGCCGCTGGTACGATCCGACCTTGATGGATGTGTGCAGCTCGTACTAATCCCTTGCAACCCATGCGCCTCGCTTAAACGACTCAAATCAATATATATCTCACTGTTCACTGCTCTATGGCGCCGGATTGTCCTTCACAACAGACTTGATTTTCCTTTCATAGGCGACCTTGTCTTTCTTGAACAGATTGTAGGCTTCGGCCTGAGCAGGCGAGTCGGGATTGGGGTCATTTAGCAGGTCTTGAATGCCGAGCAGAATCTGCTTGATCGTGATGGCGGGTTTCCAGCCTTCTTCCTCATTCAAGATTGACAGGCACACAGTTCCAGACGGATAGACGTTAGGGTGAAATAGAGGGGGAGTAAATTTGCCTAGGTGTGTTTTAGAAAGGTCCAAAGGCAGTAGTAGACCACTCACATTTCGGGGGCTTGGTTGGGTATTCGTCGGGAAACGAGATAGTTAGCTTGAAGAGACCTCCTGCCCAGATGGTGTTCGCCCTGCCCGGAATACCCACTTCCCATACCTTGAGATCAGTCACTCCGTTCGCACTTCTTGCTGGTTTAGCAAAGAACCCAAATGGATGGTCTTTGCGCCATTGCTTGCGCTCCTCCTGGAGCCTGTTGATACACAGAGACATGACCAGATGTGCGGTACAGGTTCTCGGATTTGCAGACTGGAAGGGCAACGCACGAATATAGTGGGTTAACACGGCGGTAAGACTAAGAGACAAGAAACACCAAGTCTCGGAGGTGGCTGCTGACTTCGTAGCAAAGTCGCGGATGAGCAAACAATACAAACTTGCCGCGATCTTACAGCGCGTCCGGTGTGGCAAAGTGGCAGGCGGGTTCCTGTCTTGGTAAGCGTCTAGTACCTGCCAATGCCTTGGCCTGACTTCGCCTATCCTTCACTTTTATTTCGACCTTGGTCAAAGTTCACTCTATCGTCCAGCCAAGCTCTATGTAAGTTCCCAAGCTTCTTGGTATACACGGATGACGTTGCCTGCATCACAACAGAAGTTAAGTTTTCGAATAGATATAGCACTGAATATCATCGCTTCCACTTCCTCAAATATGAATTCCGTCAGTGTCATAAAATTCTGGACTTACTCGTTTGGACTGTACCCATATCATGGCTAACATCCAATATCTGACTCAGAAAGAGATTGACGATTTTGTCACCCAACTGGACAAGGACAACGACGGATGCATATCTTACCTTGAGCTCGAACAGAAGCTTGACCATGTTTACAAGGAACTGCAGCCGGAAGCAAGAGCTCATAATCTGCACCATGAGTCGCGCAAAGACACGCAGAGGCACGAATTCTTGAGGTCCATGCTTGGTACAGACAAGGACAAAATCTCAGCCGAAGACTTTAAAGCTACGGTGAAGCAATGGCAGATCCCAAGCATGGAACAGGATCAGAAAGCTGAGAAGGAAGAGAACGACTATCTCAATAATATTTCATGGCCCAGAAAATTGAGAGCGATGTGGGAAGTCGAGGGCCCCGAGTATTGCTTCATTGCTTTCGTGGTCAGTGCCCAGATTGCACTAGGAGTATGGCAATGCCTCAAATATGCCACTGGCCCTCAGTTTCAAGCAGCTTTTGGCTGGGGCGTGGCCTTGGCCAAGTTCAGTGCAGGTGCTCTCTACCCTACTTTGTTCTTTCTCATCCTCAGCATGTCGAGGTGGTTTCAAACCTTTATTCGCCGCTTCTATTATGTCAGCCGCTTTATCAACTCGGACAAAAGTCAATCCTTCCATATCTACATCTCAATATGCGCTCTCTGCCTAGCTACCCTCCATGCTATTGGACACCTTAGCGGCACCTTCGTTTTTGGATCACGACAAAATCGTCAACCAGCTGTTGCAGCACTTCTAGGTCCCGACGCTGTTCCACGGCCTTATGTCGCTTATATTCGTGCTGTACCTGGCTGGACTGGCTTAACAGCCTTGGGGCTCTTCTATGTCATTGGTCTCCTCTCCATGCCGCGAGTCCGGACAAAGTCGTATGAACTCTTTCAGCTTGGTCACCTCCTAATGTATCCATTCATTGGTTTGCTCATGGCTCATGGCTCTCTTGGCTTGTTGCAGTTCCCTGTCCTGGGCATAATACTTGCTTTCCCTGCCCTGCTCATCCTCAGTGAAAGGTTGACTCGATTCTTTTCAGCCTTCCAGAAGATCCCAGCTAAGCTCGAGGTACTTGACGAAGAGACAGTGGTGATTACTTGCACGATTCCTGATCGACGCATTTGGAGATACGAAGCTGGACAATACGTGTTCCTGTGTGTGCAACAAATTTCATCCTTCCAGTGGCATCCATTTACGATCTCGACTTGCACTGGTCGGGAAATGCAACTGCACATAAAGACAGACGGTAACTGGACCTCGAAGTTACGTGACCTGAAATTGGAGTACGTTGGTATTGATGGTCCGTTCGGAGCTCCTGCTCAAAGGTTTTACGACTTCGATCAGACAATCATCGTCGGCGCTGGCATCGGCGTAACACCTTTCAGCGGTATCCTCACTGATCTCCAGACGCGCGAAGACAACCGATGGGCCCAGCGACGGGACTCTACCTCTACCAACAATTCATCGTCGTCGGATGAAAGTGAGGTCACAGCTATCACGCAGTCGCACGGTCCCACCATGACCGAGAAGACAACATCACCACTTCCACGCAACGATAACGGCAACGAAACACCACCTCAATTGTCATCTCACACACCTGGTTCAAAAGCCAACCCGGCTTCAGATGCTCAGACAGAAAAGGGAAGTCGTGGTGCTATTAAGAATGAACTTACAGACCTGTCGCATTATCGTCGCACAGACTTTCACTGGATCGTCAAGGACAAGAACTACCTGCTCTGGTTTTCTAGTCTCCTTAACGAACTCTCCAATGAGAAGCACTCCCCCAACTTCGACATCCGTATTCATCCACATCTTACAAAAAAATTCAAATCACCACCCATTTCACTGCATATCTACCGATGCCTTCTCGAAAAGCACAGAACAGAGACTCAGCCTATGTCACCTCTTACTGGCCTTGTAGCACCAACACACTTTGGACGGCCTGATTTTCCAACCATCATGAACGAGCATTATGAAGAAATGTTGCAGCTCTTTGCCAAAGATCCTCAACGCAGACGAAGAGTTGGTGTGTTCTTCTGCGGCACTCCTGTGATTGGCGCCCAGCTTGCCGATTTGTGCCACCAGATGACTTTAAGGGGACGGGAAGACAAATCTGAGATTGAGTATTTCTTCCAGATAGAGGTATTTGGTTGAGCTAATGTTGAGAATTGTAAAACGTGCGTATAGCGATGAGTTTTGAGCGTTTATAGACTATCTTTTGATATTATGCTACATCACACTTTAATGCTAATTCAAGCTACCATGATAGAGCTGCCTCTTACAAGGAATTCGTGGCAGCTCACATTGCTCCTCGAATTCCATCAAATCACTCGTCTACAGAGCACAACCCAGTATCTTGCTCTCCTCACATTGTGGTGTGGTGAGCAGTTGCCTGCAGTTTTTATGGCTCCTTGCTATCCTCAAGTTATCTTCACACGACGTATCAAGCAGGACTTAGCAACACTCCCGTTGTCTCGTCGTATTACAAAGCAACTCCATGATTTGACGTAATGGATTGGTCCGGGCAGAGGACGAGACTGTTCCTGTACGGGTACGAATACGCGAAGCGCTAATATGCAGTCGAGTGTTTAGCCGAGCAAGCATGCATGAACGTGGGTTTCACCTTCCTACAGTCTTGCAATTGATCCTTCTTGAATATATCTACTTGAGTATATCTAGAAGCAAGGTGAAAAGTCGTCTTCTGCCACGAACACTCTCGGGACCTAGTGACCATACATCCAACACTCGCACAACATGAGCTCCAACGCACTCTACGACTACTCCGTCAACATCTTCATCAGCAGCATCCAAAATCTCCTAGTCTGTATGACCAAGGCCGAAAAATATGCTGAAGAACAAGGTGACAATGTCGACGACTACGTACAGCTACAGATTCATCCAGATATGAAGAAGTAAGTGAGTCTTCTAAGTTGAATGACCATTCTTTCACGCAGGTTTTATGATATACACCTTCGCCCACCATTTCGTCTCCCACTAACCCTCCTAGCTTCGCCTATCAAATCCAACGCATCTCAGACAGTTCCAAAGGCGTCCTCGCCCGCATCGCTGGCCACGACGCCGAAGCAATGGCAATGCCCGATACCGAAACCACCTGGGCGTAAGTAACCCTTTCAGACAATACTCACTCTCCCCAACAGTCTGCCGAGCCGTGCATTTTGGTAACATACATCTCCCAAACTAACACCCACTCCCACCACAGAGACCTCAAAACCCGCCTCAACCGCACCCTCACCATCCTCGAAAAGTCCACGCCCCAAGACTTCGAAGGCAAAGAAGGCGTAGAAGTGTCGCTGCTGAATGGGAGGTTCAACTTCAAGGCCGCAGAGTATTTGCAGAGGTTTGCCATTCCAAATGTTTATTTTCATGTGGTTACTGCGTATGATTTGCTGAGGATGAAGGGGGTGCCTGTCGGGAAGATGGATTATTTGGCTGGTGGCAGTTCAGGAGGGAATTAGTGGGAAGAGGTGGTGGGGTACGAATGAAGATGTATTTTAGTGAAGGGGAGGCTCAGAACTTTGATACACGACAAAGAAATGGGTGCTGAGCACTAGAGAGAGGTAGAGTCGTGTATAGTCATAGTAGAACGTGACAAACATTCATGGAAGCATTTGTTCAACGCTTATTCAAATCCCTAGTAATCTTTGCGCTAAATAATCCAATCATGCCTCAGTCCACGGAATATGGAGTATCGGCGCACAAATCGTCAATGTCATTTTTCTCTCCGACAGCACCACCAAGTCCCATGTTTGCTTGAGAGATACGCTGTTGGCCCAGACGAGGCGCCCGTGCATTGGACCATCGATTGCTGCCAGCTCGAAGATAATCCATCTGCATGCCAGTCGCACTCGATCGATGGTCAATCATATCTTCGTCTTCTTTTATGTCATAATCACGTGCACGACTGGACGGCGGTCGAGCGTCCCTAACCCAGTTCTTAATGTCTTGTTCGTGCTCTTGTGCTTCCACTCCGTCACGATCGATATCGTAGGCATCGGCAGCACCCTTGTTTGACGATTTCTGAGGTGTCGATTCGTGTTCAGATGACGAGGCTTTCGGCGAGTCTGATCGCGAATGGGTCTTCTCATCCAGAGGAGAATCGCTTGGAGCGCTGCTGTCTTTCTCTTGTTCGAGTTCGTGCTCGTGCTCGTGCTCGTGCTCGTGCTCGTGGCTATTCAGGGTATCAGTCTGCTCATCTTGGACTTTTAGTGTGCTCTCATCCAAACCTCCACGGGAAGAGACGCTGAGTGTGTCAGAGTTGAACTGCTCATGTTCGTTCGGAGGAGCTTGCTCTCCTGTATCCTTATCCATCGATTCGTGCTCTGCCGGTGTATTATCGACGTCTTTGCGAGTTGCAGATGGACTTCCCACTATAGCGTCGTCGACTTCGGTATCGTCGGCATGCGTTTGCGAAGCTGTCGAAGGCGTGATTTCGGGGTGTGAAGATATCGTAGGGGATAGTAGTTCCTGCTCTTCTGATCGTTCTTGGTGTTCAGGTAGTTCTCTTGAGATTGGCAAGTCCTCCTTCGTCTCGCCTACCACTTGGCTCCCGTCTGGCAGGTGTCTCTCTTCTGATATGCTCCGGTCCTCTCCTTGCCTCGACTCTGCTTCTGAAGACGCTATCTCCGGTTTCACACTATCAGAACCAAAGTCGTTCTCTTCTAATACATCACTGTCTTCTTCGATCACAATTCTCTCGTTATCTCCTTGTCCTACGGGTTGAGCTTGTGGGGAGCGTGTTGTGACATACTCATCTTCAGAATCTTCGTGAGCAGCAGGCGAATCCATACTAGGAGTTTGGACATCGTAAGCTTTGCTGTCTGTTTCAGCTCCCTGATACTCTTCGATAGGTGTAAAAACTGTCTTCCCTGCAGGAGTCTGGGGAGCTGAGTCGTCGTTGTTTACTGTTTCGTGATGCTCGGCTCGATCTTGCGTTTTGTTTTCGGTTCTTTCAGGCATCCCGACCTCCTCGTGAGGGGCTGCTTGGTTTTGTATCGTATCGAAATAGACAGATTTCTGTGGGTTCAATGTCTTTGCAGGGGCAGCGTCTGCAGCAGGAGGTTTTGTCTCGGTCTTCGAGCTGATAAGAATGGTACCACTGTCCACTCTGATGGGTCTGATAGGTATATCTGCATCGTCTATCTGCCTGAGACGTGAATTACGACGTGTGTCGGAACTTTCAGCGCTTCCGCCAAGCATATCACTGTTGTACTTGTTCCTGGAGTTACCTCGAGCACCTATAGTGTCATTTGTTCCTCGTGTAGGTGTTCTTGACGGCCCCTGACTTCCTGATCTAAATGTTTTTACTTTTGACTTCTCACACACAACACACATCCAGACACCTATTTGATCCTCTTCTCCGATAAGAGGAGTCGCTGAAATCCAAATTGCTCGGCCGTGATGTCCGTCCTCATGTTTTATGCCATTCCTCAACGTGGTTCCATACCTGTTTTCACCTCGTTCAGTTGAAAAATGGATTTTCGCCGACACTGGTACACCGGTTTTTAGACTCTCAACCAAACCTGACAACGTAGCATTTGGCGCTGATACGTGCGACAGAAACGGTGTTTGGAGTACATCCTTATACTTGTACAGTTTCGGTGAAATGAACACAATTCTCAGTGATGGCGCTGGTCTGAGGAGCATGAACGAGTCGTAGACTCCTGGTAGCTTGCCCGAAAGTCTGCCGTCACCTGCCTGACCAAGTTTCCACTCATTGTTGTCTTCTCCCACTGTTCGGTCGTCGCTCTCTTCGTCATCGTCGGAAGCGTCAGAGTCGATATAGACACGCCTCGATATCCTGTCGGTGCTTCCTATACTTCTACTATCCTCGTCATCGCGATCCAAGGAATTCCCTCTACTATGTGCTTGGACAACTGCTGATTCTTCCAGATCGAACATTTCACTCAACTCACGCAGCTTCATGAGTGCTCTCTGCTTTCGTTCCTGATCGTTGTTGGGGTCTAATCGCTCTAGTTCTGTTTCCTTCTGACCCTGATCTTCGTCTCTAGAACGCAGGTATCGTTGAAAGCCTTCCAAGCCACGTCCGCCTTCAACCAAGCCCGTAACGTCGACTTGGGCTCCAATGTGGTATTTCAGCTTGCCGTATCTATCGTGAAGTGGGGCAACCATAAGCAGGTTGATGAAAGGTTTCCCATCTCTTCTATAGTTCAGCAATGTTTCTGTGATCTCCTCCCCGTTGTCGATAGCAGCCCTAAGCCGTTTCACAGATGAGGGATTGGTTTTTCTGCCTTGTAAAAATCGGCAATTACTGTTGAGAGTCTCTTCCGGTCCATATCTGGTCAATCTGTAAAACTCCTCGCTTGCATAGATGATAGGGTTATCCTCTTGTTTAGGGTCAGTCAAACAGAAGACTTCCGACAATCCTCCGACCAAATCGCTCATAATCGGTGTCGCTCTTCCGGCGATTTCATTCGTGAGGCACTCCGAGGCAATTCTGACAAGTGAATATGAAATGAATATCGGCAAAGCATCACCAACGAGATTGTTGAAGGAAGCCTGAGAAATTTTCTCGAACTCTTCATCGAGCCTAGCAGCTCGTCCTCTCACTTCGGTTGACGTGCCACTAGTTGTGGACTCTGGTTTCAGACCTTCAGCAACGGCATTAGCGTACTCGACAGCCTTTATGGCCTTTTGGGTTTCCAGATACTGGGTCAGCAAGGCATATGCTTGAGGCAGATATCGCTGCAGGAAAGCGGAAAACCTTGCGAGGGAAGGAGGGTGGTGGAGGATCGCATTGAGATGTCCTGAGGAAAAAAGGAGCTCAGCAATCGTCTCGAAGGAAGGTGGCTTAGGGCGAGGTTTTGGAGGGTTTAAATCGAAACTGTCAGCCTCGCTGCCTGGAGAACCAGTAGACATGTGTGACTGGTTGGTTTTGTGAGTTGTGTCGACAGGTGCTTGCTCATTGTTTGGCAACGAGCCGGTTTCGGTTGCTTGGTCGCTGGTTGGAGCTGTTGTCGTACCTGACGAGCTCGGTCTTTCCTGTAATGAACCACTCTGCGTACTAGGAGCATCTTCGATCTTCTCGTTATCTCCTGTTTCTTCTTTTACAGTGTCACGGGAGTCTCCGTTCGTGGATGCGAATACCTCTTTGTTCTTCCCTAGGTCTGACGCCTTCTCCTCTACTGCCGCTTCCAAAGAAGTCGATGTCGAAGGGCTGTCGCGTGACAGAGATGAGGTATGTAGCGACTGTTGTTCAGGTGTCGGTGCGACCACTGGCAATCTGTTCTTTTTCTTGAGCTGCTTAGATCGACCTGATCGATGGCGAAATTCCTGTTTGATTCTTTCGAGATCCATAGTGTGTAGTTATCAGTAGCAAGCTCAATCGAGCAGTACAGAAAGAGGCATGGCCGAGTGACCGTAGGCGAGACAGTCACAGAATACTGGCAGTGTTTCACGCCTTTAGGCCAGGTCCAGTGTAGTATAGATGACCTCAGTAAGGTGTAGCTGTCTCAAGTACAAGCAGTGCTCGCATTGCGACACGAGATGACATGACACCACCATTATTCTGACTAGCAGGGAACCGCCCGATCTGCTAAAGCTTATAGACAAGGATTTGAGCCACAGCAGAAGCTCCCAAAGCTCGATGGGCGCGAATCAGACAACACTCGATCTGAGGGAGTCAATCGTGGGCTGAACTCTGCGCGTCATAGGCAAATATACCCACATCCCTAGCGTCTCATAGGCTTTCGATGCTCAAAGTCCTTGCTTCCCTCGCAAGTCAATCGTATGAATACTTGGTAGGAGAGCAAGCGCAACAATCTAAGACTCGGGAACACTGCAAGGCAGGAACGCAGAAATGCATAACAATTCAGCTCTTCGTTTTCTCAATGGTTGATGAAAAACATGCCTCGCACGCATGCAGTATCTTGGACAAGCTACACTAATGATTGTATGTCGGCGAAACAGCTTGCTGTAGTTGTAATGTCACACCAAACGAGCCACCAGCGATCAGGTTGAACTCGCGTACTTCAAGTAGCAGCGAAATGCTACGAGTATCTAGGCAGACCCTGATGCACGACCTGGTCGTCCCCTCCCCACTCGCGAACCGTATGTTGCACATCTCTTGAGGTTCATGTCCCTTCAGCAAGTTGACAACGTGCACTCTTCCGGCCCGTATCGGTCCAGCTATTCCGAGAGTGCCAGTAGACGAGCTCATGGTTGTTTTGGACGACGTTAGAAATCTTTCCAGCCTTGCGAATAAGTTGAACGTCCACGTTGATTGACCGGGTAGCCATTGCTTCAGTCACCACCACGCGTTGCTGTCGCGCCATTATGATGGCTCCGTAAAGGTTGCATGTTCCTTTGGCTGCAGATGCAACTCGTCAGATCCTCACAGATCCTCTATTGCTGAGTAGGAGTGCTGACTGCATGCTCATATCGAGAATGATCCGCAGGTAGGTCGGTACTTTTGTCCGTCGAACTATTTCTTGTGCTTACTAGTATTGATGGGGTCGCACCACAGTTGCTTTCTGATTATGCCCATGAACCCAAACACATCTTTCAAAGCATTTTAGAGGCCGAGTTGCTCTTTCAGGACGCGCCAATAGCTCCATTCTTTGCCCACTCTGCGAACTCTCGCCGCTTCGCCCGAATGTCAAGGTAATTGGGTCGGTCCTCGAATAGTCTAAAAGGATTTGCTGCACCGCCTTCTTTTTCAATGTTCCCTGCCCAGACGTTCCATGCTATGGGTTTCAGCTGATCGGAACCAAGAACCAGACCTAGACATGCTAGAAAAACTGCCACCAAGGTCTCTGCTTTGATGTCAACAGGTAAATCAGGCTTCACGTGTAGTTGGGTGGCTATAATCGAGACTTCTTGGGCTGAGTATGCACTGTAGCGGTTAGCGGAACACTCGTTGGCTGAGTCGGAGACGTGCTTACGCATGAAACAGAGATAGCAAGCCCACAGAGACTAACAGCCTGGAGAGCGCAGACATTGTGAAAGGAGTGGTGTATTTACTGTGATGCGAGATGTGGTGGGCTGGGACGAAATGTACAGCATCTTTAGATTTGGGTAGCATGTGGGGACAAACCGGGCGGCCGCTGGGCTAACCCCGAACAGTAATACAGCGTGTTTGTCCCTTGACGCCTCGTTTGCGATGAAGCCTCATCTACTATGGCTCATGGATGTCCTTTTATAGGCTCGTCACTGTCAACCCGACTCCTCTTCCTACCACTCTTTCTGTAACATTCTCTTTCATTGTTAAGCAGGCGCGTCCTCGACTGCAAAACCGGAAACCCTCAGCCTTATTGGAATCACTCCTTGACCAGACATCTTCTTCGACACAAGCACGATGCATATACGAGTGACACCCTTGGCAGCCCTTGCGGTCACAGCCTCTGTAGTCCGTGCTGCTGGTCAGCTTGGCTTCGCTGTGGGAAATGTAAATCCCAATGGCTCATGCAAGAAGCGAAGTGATTTTGAGGCAGACTTCAAAGCAATTACCGATAATACCCACTCGACCCTGGTAAGAACATATTCTTCCTCAGACTCATTTGGTAATCTATGCAACACACCCTCGGAAATCCTCCCAGCCGCGCAGAATGCTGGGGTAAAGGTTCTTCTTGGTATGTGGCCGGATGGAATCGACGTATACGAGAAGGAGAAAGCGCCCATTGTGCAAGCCAATGTCGAGCAATATGGAGACACCCTCTTTGGAATCACGGTAGGCTCTGAAGGTCGCTACCGAGGAAGTAAGTAGTCTCCCAAATCCACATCGGAATCACCAAAAAAAAGAAAGACCACGAATCCAACTGGAAAGGTTTCAGAAGCTAAGTGTTTCGCAGCATACTCCGAAGGCGAGTTGGTGAGTTGGATAGACGATATGAAAAAGACCTTTCCGAACACGAAGATTGGCACGGCGGACTCTTGGAGCTCCTGGAACAACGGCTCGATGGATGCAGTCATAAGAGGTCCAATTGATCTTGCGTATGATTTCAACAACCACTCTAACCTGCCCATCACTGATATAACCCAGTCTTGCGAACGGGTTTCCCTACTGGCAATACCAAGACATTAGCAATGCCACCAAAACATACTTCGAAGCCATGGCCCAGGCGCTGGCGCATATTCAAGAAGTATCAGGAAGTCTCGATAGAATTCATTTCATGAATGGTGGTATGTCTGTCTTCTCGCGGCCTTGATGCACAATACTGATTCGTGGTCCGTACAGAAACAGGATGGCCAGGCGACGGTGGAACAGACGCTGGTGCTGCTTTGGCAGGAACTGACAACGCGAAGATTTACTGGGATTCTGCTGTTTGCGCATTACTCGATTGGAACGTTGATGTCTTCTGGTTCGAAGCTTTCGATGAGCCGAACAAACAGGACGCCATTAGTGATAACAGTCAACGAGCAACCGAGAAGTTCTGGGGATCTTTCACTTCCGATAGAGTGCCCAAATTTGATATGAGATGTGGTTGAAGGGTTACAACACCATATGATGATGTCAGGAAGCCGACAAGCACAACCATGCTCATTGAACCCACAATGAGATGCTAGCGTCCGCGAGCCATGTTACTGTTCTCAGATATCAATAGCAAATCTGCACTTCCCAACTTCTGAGCAACTTGGTATACATGCACTGTATCTAGGTTGTTCGGCAGTTATCTTGTACAGGCACAGCTTTATGCACGCTTATCCTTGATGTTTTGATCCGAAATGACGAGACTGAGAGATTGACTTTGCACAATCGATCGGCGCCACAGACGCCGCGAGCTGTGCCACTAAACTATATTTGCATGTCTAATCTGCGAAAGCGACTGCCGCCATTTGGACGTGTACCGTGTGTGGCCTCCAGTACGAGTAGCCGAGCACGTCGTGGAAAAACCAGTATACGTCCATCAGCTCTCGGAGCATGTCAACGTCGTCCCTGCCGTGCTCAGAAGCTGCTTGACAATGTGTTTCAGTAAATGTTCTTGAAACTGGTGATGAGTAGCTGCATTGTTGATGGAGGAGACATGGACATCAATATGCCATCGAGCCAGTATGAGAGGGTATCGTGTCTCAATGAGCATGGAAGTTCAGCCTATGTCTTTACAGGGTCAATACATATATGGCAAATCGCTTGTCACTACAACACAGAATATCCCTCCACTTTGTAGTGGTACAACACAACCCGAAATTTTCAAGTTTACGAACGGAGAGAAACACGTGTCTATTACTGACGTTCCTCGAGTGGTGTTGTTCCATATTAGCGATGCCCTAAATTTAGGTGCCATCATTCTCAACATTGGCGTCACATCATACAGGCAGAGTTTATGCGCGTTGAGAGCGCCGTTCTCGAGGAGCCACTAACGATGTGACAGCCACTTCCGAGAACGAGGGGCGATGGCGCTCAGGTACATTGAACTTGAAACGCGGATTTTCCACTGCCCTGGCAGAATGCAAGCCTTTGGCAGACACACAAACGCGAGGCAGAATTGTTGGAGGTCGTTGTTGCACTGCTAGCAACCCTTTTATGTTCGCTGCTGTTACTTGCCTTAACAACTATCTTCCCATAAGTCGAAAAGATGACGTATGCTTGATTGGACGACATACATAGCAAAGCTGGAGTTAGCAGTCACGCAGGGGAAATCGCATCCCTGCACAACGGTACTGGAAAACGCGCATGCATACTGTATATACGAATCTTGCCACCCTGACGTGTTATTGATACTAAAGCAAGGATTCAAACCGGAGATCAAGTCGCCGAGCGGCAGAAACACCAAGAAGGAGCTTGCTGCCAGCGCTGGTACAAGTACACTCTGGCTCCTGAGCATTTCGTGACAACGGCAATGCTGGTCATATCGCTGGCCCAAGGAATTCACAGATTGAGTGCTTGGAGTTACAATATGTTCTGCAACTGCATATGCAGAGTTCGTCTGACCTAACGCCCATGCTTCAAACACGATGGCAATGCACCAGTCGCGGCTCAGCCTTAGTGCTCCGCATGAAGCTACCATATTGTTCTCGGTTCATCTGTGCCATGCGAAATTAGTGCCAAGGCTGGTCGTGCGATCAAAGTACCCAGAGGAACTACTGTGTTATGAGCTTCTGAGAACGTAGGTGGCCTTCGACCCGAAAGTACTAGGTTTCCTGGCATGATTCGAGACTTTGTCCTCTCCATCGTGGACGTCGATAAACACTTTACACTTTACGCTCGATACAAGGAGAAGACGTCGCAACCGATTGTCGACAGATGTATTTTCGATGGTGACGTTCGAGTGCAATCTTGCGGAAAAGCTTGGCAGGTTAAAAGAGGCTTAGAGACCTCGCTTATCACCTCCAAAAAGGACTTTAAGCTCGTCTTAGCTCCGTCCATACTCAGGGGCTCCCGAAAGCGTCGACGTTCCCCTTTCAGCAACCCGTTCAATTGTAAACCCTGCTAATCGAAGCTCCTGTCTCACAAAATCTGCGTGTCAGCACCCGCATCTGGGCAGTTGAGATTCAATGTGGATCGAAAGTCTTGTCATTGATGTTTATCCAATCCCGATGCGTCGCAAGGTATACTAAGCTCATAATCAGGCGAAGCCTCCAAATGAGCTAGAGGCCAAAGGTGAGCTGGGCGGCACCATATCATCTGGCTGCTTTCTCCTTCACCATCATCTGCTTTCTTTGCAAACTGCGCTGCATTTTGAAAGCAATTGCTTTCGTCCCTTCTTTTCTGTTTATTGTCGCTCTTTACACCGACCTCCAGCATGAGGTCGCTAAAATATGTGCCGGCAGTGCTGTCGGCTTCTTTCCTTAATGTACTTGCCAAAGGCAATTTTGACGCTACAGTTGTTGTAACAACTACTCGAACGGTAACCTTCTGTCCGATTGCCAATCTTTTCGATTGTGCCGCACCAGAACCAACGGAGCATTGGGGTGATTGGAGTCAGACGGTGACACCGACTACTGCTGGTACAACCACCACCACAAGGTCAAACGCTGCTACCACGACGTCTTCGAGTGGCAATGGACCTAGCACACGCACGACATCATCCACATCGGGCAATGGTCAGGGCACCGGCTCAACAACCTCGACTTCGGGCAGAGGAACTAGCTCGACCTTGACTACCACATCAGGTAATGGTCAGGGAACCACTTCGACCATATCGACCTCGGGCAATGGCCACGGAACCGGCTCCACAACATCCACTTCCGGCACAGGATCAACGACGTCAATCATAACTTCCACAACCTCTCGAGAGAATGGTGTTAATGGCACAACCACCACAGCTGGTACAGAGACGACAACATCAGGTGTGACTACTACTACATCCCGTCTAGACGGTGTCAATGGCACAACCACCACGACCGGTACTGGCACAACCACCACTACTAGCGGAACGGAGAGTACCACCAGCACCACTGTCACTACCTCTCACTTTGAAGGCAATGGCACAACCACTACGTCCTTCACAAGCACGACCACTCCAATCTTCGAAGGCAACGGCACAACTACCACGTCTCTGACGAGTACCACCTCGCATTTGGACAGCAACGGCACGACCACTTCCTCCTTGACGAGTACAATGACAACCACCACAGCTCCATTTGACGGCAACGGAACAACTACCACATCCTTTACGAGCACCATGACGACTACCACGCCTCCATTTGGTGGTAACGGCACCACAACTACCAGCAACTTCGGAGGCAATGGAACAACGACTACTACTCCATTTGGTGGCAACGTAACTACCACGACCCCTATAACAAGCATGACCACTCCTTTTGGCAATGTTACCACCACTCCCTTCAACAACGGAACAACGACTACTCCTACTACTACTGCAAACACAACTACCAGCACCACTTGCGGAAATGCTACTTCCCCCCACACTGCCAGCCCTACACTGGCTGAGCCATTGTGCAATAGTCCCGAGGATCGAAGCACATGGTGTGGTGGTCGATCTGTCGCAGATGACACACACAGTCATCTCTTATTCGCAGGACCGGTCAAGAGGTTCACATTGGTGCTCACTGTGTCTAGCTTCGACTTCGATGGTACTCCCCAGTCGTCCTATGCTATCAACGGCAAGAGTCCTGGCGAAGCTATTGAGGTCAATTGGGGCGACAGAGTAGAAATTACAGTCGTGAACAACATGAACATTGCTACGTCCATTCATTGGCACGGTGTCCGTCAAGAGGGTACTAACGACCAAGATGGTGTTCCTGGCGTTACCGAGTGCCCACTTGCACCAGGCTCTACACGTCTCTATAGTTGGACTGCAACCACATACGGTACTGGATGGTATCACTCCCATCTGGCTTCTCAATATGGTGGTGGTATTCGTGGCCCTATCATCATTCACGGACCTGCCTCTGCCAATTATGACCTTGACATGGGTGCGATCATGATCAACGAGAAATTCGCCTCGACCATCGACATCGTCGCAGCTACCGCAGCCAAGACTCCTGGTGGACTCGCTCCATCAACCAACTATCTCCTCAACGGCAAGAACCTGTCTCCTAACGGCCAGGCGGGTGAGAGCGCGAAATGGATTGTCAAGTCTGGCAAGAAGCATCTCTTCCGCATTATCAACAGGTATGTTCGACCTCCCAAGTGACACTTTCTCGTCTCTAACTGTTCTCTAGTTCTGCCCAGAGTGGCTATGCTGTCCATTTCGACGGACACAAGATGAAGGTCATCAGCGCCGACTTCACTCCTATTGTGCCCTACGAGACTGAATGGTTATACATCCAGAGTGGTCAAAGATATAATGTTATCGTCGAAATGAACCAGGTAGGTCAAAGCAATCATGCTGTTAGAAGATCAATCACTGACATCATTGCAGAAAGCTGGCGCCTACTACCTTCGTGCTGTTACTCAAACTGGTTGCGGTACTAGCTCTGGTAACAATGGTATGAGCACATCGAATGGCGTCTTCGAATACGAGGGATCTTGTGACAAGCCTACGCCTGGTAATCTCACCTTCAATGCCAACGTCTGCCAGGACGAGCCAATCGCAAGCCTGGTTCCCGTCGTGCCTCGAGGTGCTGGTGATCTTGCCAAGTTCACGGCGACTTCCAAACTCTTGCCTGCTGGTAACGCTGGTACACAGGCCTTCAGCAACGTGAGCATCGTCCGATGGTTTATGGGTCCTGTCGATGATTTGTCCACCAACTCAGCCACCAAGAAGGGCAACAAGACTATCATGGTTGACTTCGACCTACCAACGCTCAGAGCGATGAGTACTTTGCCCAACGAGGGGTTCAACAGCTCCATCTACTCCAACGCTGTTGTCCTTGACGGTCCTGCCAATGACTGGGTCTACTTCGTCATCCAGAACAACTTCCAGACTTCGCATCCAATGCATCTTCACGGTCACGATGTCTCAGTCGTGGGCCAAGGTCATGGTATCTTCACTGCCGATATGGCTAGCACACTGAACTTCGGCAACCCCATCCGACGAGATACCGTCCTCCTTTGGGGTGCACCTGTCATCAATCCTGACACAGGCAGACCTTTCACAGGTCCAAATGCACCTGCACAATCTGGCTGGACCGTCATCGGCTTCCAGACCGACAACCCAGGTGCCTGGGTCATGCATTGCCACATCATGTTCCACGCCGACGGCGGTATGGGTATGCAATTCATCGAGCGACCAAGAGACATCAAAGACTACTACGACTCTCAATTCCAGAACACGTGCTCGCAGTATGAGGCATGGGAAGCCTCTGGTGGCATCGGCAAGCTTGAGTACGAGAGTGGTCTCAAGCGAAGATACCAAGATCATCTCGAGGCACACAAGTTCTCTGGCTACTCCCACAGCAACGTGGTCCGAAACTTTTAAAGAGTCAACGTCGTAATAGACATGTGTGTAGATAAGTTGAGTTGGGCAAGGAGGTTGGATCTGGATCCTGTATGACATGTACTTTGTTTCTAATTCACATAATTGGAAAAAACGCAAGATGTTACAGCCATATAATCGAACTCTTGCTTTCGTACGGATCCGTTAATGCTAGGACGATAGAATTTTACTTACTCACGTACTACAATATTTATCGAATGTGCGTGGTTACGTCTTCCACTAGTGGGTTGTGTATTATTTGCTTTGTCAGTCGCTCTAGCCATGATCTCGTGCTCGCCCGTGGGTAGGTAGAGTGCAGTCTCGAAGTCTTGCCATTCGTATTGTTTGCGCTCTGGTGGTCTTATTGAGGCTTTCTCTAGCCACTCTCCTCCTTCTCTGACACTGATAGTCACCTTCTCGATGGCTGACGCACCCCAAGCACGACCTGCAATGACAACTTGCGGGCCTTGTATTTCACCTTCGGATGACGGTGTTGTCAGCAAGAAGGAATTAGGCTCGACGTCCCAGCAGGGTCTCTTTCGTATTTCTCGGGGGTCAGTCGGGTCCACCTCGTTGTAGTAGATCGTTGTAAACGGCCCCTTCGACCTTGTTTCTTGTAGCGACAAGCGAGTAAGCCATTTTACAGAGTTGGTTCCATAGTATCCAGGCACGATGAGTCTTACAGGACCACCTCGCTTTGCGCTTAGTGGCATTCCGTTGAACTCATATGCAACAAGGCAGCCCCCACGCAAAGCCTTGGTTAGTGGCATGTCTTTCTGATACCTATCCACATCTTTAGCTTCGAAGAAAGAGCCATGCTCGAGGCCGTCACTCCAGACATACTGGGCTTCAGGCTTCGGCTTGGCCATTCCAAGTAGGGTGTCCAGAGACACTCCAGTCCAAGCAACGTTGCCTATACGCCATAGGTTCGTGTCAGGCGGCTTGATCGGACTACCATAGCATTCATGGAAGGCTGTGACTGTGCTCTTCGGGAGCTGGAGTAGTTCATCCCAGCATATCGTGAATGGCTGTTCGACTAGACCGTCAACAACCAGCCGCCAAGAAGATCTATCGACTATCGCTATTCCCATATGGGAGGTGATGAAGAGATCATCTTCGTCAGTAATGCTGCTGGTCAATTGGTTGGGAAGCTTTGGTGGTCGGTAAAAGAAACCTTTCGGCTCAATTCTGATTAGAGCATCGCGTTCATTGCCTTGAGTCTCGCCGGCTTGTGGCATCGTCGTGTTTCGTCGTAGTAATTCTTCATCGGCGTCAGAGTACATTTTATTGGTCAAAGTGATGAATGCGACATATTTATTCGAGCTCCGGCGGGCGTTTCCAGCCTACATAATGACACCGGCAAAAGGCAGGATATCCTCCTGTCGAGTCAATGTGAAAGTATGCGCAAGACGCGATACGTCAATGCTCTGGAATTGATCTCGAGCTTATAGTAAAATGCTGTACCCTGGTCCGCAACGAAGGACTCGAGACGTTGATGCAGTCGTCCAGTTCTTGGCATACGGAAGCCAGAAGCACCAGGGTCCGTAGTCAAGGTCGCAGCGCAGCGCAGCAAACGGTATGATCTCACTTGTACAACATTCATTGCGAGGTCAAGGCGTTCCTGTATCAATTTTGAACTCAGACAGGCAAGCTCTTATCGAAGTTTCGCTTTTCCAGGATGGATGTGCTCCGTATAGGGTTGAGAGCTTCGCGACTGCAGCTACCCAGACTGCAGCAACGTTCTACTACCAGCCTGCTACATTCATATACACAACCGACCTTTCGCACGAGGCCCATCGCTACCTGGCAAACAACATCGAGGCATGCTCAAAACACGAAAAACATCCAGTCAACACGGTTTTGTGCAAAGCGCAATCCGTCGAGAACTACGCGACGCTGGAAAAGCGAAGATGCCTCATTAGACTCTAAACCAGATTCCCAGCTGAGTCTCGGTCAGCGATTGAAGAAGTTGTCGCGTGAGTATGGATGGGCCGCCGTCTATATCTACCTTGGCCTCTCCTTACTCGACTTTCCTTTCTGCTTTCTGGCAGTGAAGACGCTAGGGACAGACACTATAGGCCATTGGGAACACGTTATTGTCAGCTATGTCAAAGGCTTTCTTCAGTGGCCTGTCAGTGGCACAGTGCAGGAGCAGATTGGTGATGCTGTCGATAAGATCGTCGAATCGACCGGTCTAGAAGAGGGCCGTAGAATCCTCGAGGAAGATACTCGGTCTACTGGTATCGGCGACCATGGCTATAAGGAGGCCGAGCAAGCGAACGGCGGGAATAATGCTAGTAGGTACCCGTCTGTTCTCTTGCGCAACGTGCATTTATGCTGACGATTGTTCCAGGTCTTTGGACGCAACTTGTCCTTGCCTATGCCATTCACAAATCCTTCATCTTTGTCCGAGTCCCACTGACCGCCGCTGTTACCCCAAAAATTGTGAAGACACTACGAGGTTGGGGATGGAACATCGGTCGGCCTTCACGCAAAGCACTACAAACATCAACAGGCAGTGGGAAAACTGGTGTCAATACTAAAGGCTCAGGGACAAAATCTGGTGACTAGAAGATTGCAACTCGTGGGCCTTGCCAGTTGAGGAAGATCGCACAGCTCCGAGCTCGTGTTTCTGTTCATGCGCTGCATAAGGACGACCATGGACGTCGAGTCTTTCTAGAAGGAACACCATGGCAGTATTGAACCTGTACATTATACCCTAGTACATCAAGATGGTGAGTGATTGGTCGTATGTGTTACACTTTCGACATAAGCAGCGAACTCCATCCATTGAGCATGTCTGTGTTTCTGTAAGCTGATGCCAGAACAGTCGGTTGGTGTATAAATGCATATGATATACCGAAAGGTAGAAGGTGTTTGGTTTTGGATTTAAACAACCGTCTGTTATGGTCTTTCGTGGATGCGAACTGCTGCATTGACACAGAGAAATGCCCTAATATGTGTGTAGGTAGAAAATGACTTTGTTGCAATGAGCGAATTGAATGCTTTTCAAATCTAATTCTGCAGAAACAAACAATGCTCTAGTACGTTTGCTGGAGCTGCTATAGAGGGTACGGCACGTCCCCTCCCATAGCTACGCGAGCCTACTGAGGCATTCTAGTCTGCTTGTAAGATACCGTCCGTGACTGCCAAAGAGAATCGCCGTATGTACCCACCGCTCTCACATCAACCTATTCGATTCATTGCATCGTCTGCCGCAAAGACCCGAACATATACGTAGAGAATTGCAAAACACCAGCCTGGTTCTTCTTCACATACTTTTTTTCGAAAGCGACATATCCCGATCATCGAAGTGTGAGAGGAATAGCGTGGGTGGCTTTTGGCTTGGCAGTCGCAATTGGTGGTCGTTGCTTCCTCCTCGAGACATGACCGTTGTTCTGACCTTTCTTCAGTCTCTGGTCTGTAGGCACGATACACGCCTCACTGCCGAGTCCTTTAACCGTACTTCAAATTGGACTGTTTGTGATGAAAATTGATGCCCAACAAGGCCGTTGCCCGTCATCTTTGCAGGTCAAGATCGAGGCATCCAGAGCCATCGGTCCAGCTCATGCAGCTAAGACATGGCCGCATAACAAGTGACCGTCTTGGAAGGCCTCCGTATGGAACAAACTGCGACACCTATGTGCACTTTCTGGGCCAGCCCACTCGATCACAATAATGCTATTCGCAAACACTTTACAGAGCGATGTCGTCTGAGCGGCCTTGGTCCGTCCTCACTGTTTCAGCGGTCATCTGCTCCCTAACCTCGTGCCCACTACCACTGTCACGCACCGCTACACCCTCTCTCTCACTGGTGAACGCTCTCATCATCCGTCTGCATCACGGGAGTCTCTGCTCTCTCCAATCCTCTCGGTCTTTCTTCCAAACTGACATTCGACCTGCCGCTCGCCGCGAGATTGTTTCCTTCCCAAGCTCCATCCTCTCCACTTGATTTGTTTGCTCTTCTTGGGCCTTTGTTCTGCCCCATTTCCTGTTTTCTGCCTTTTCAAACTCGAGTAGGGCGCGAGCTCGTCCCGATCCTGGCCCTCGGTATTGTATTGTATTACTGTCTCCACCGACCCGGCAGACTACTAAAGCTATCTCAACTCCCCACCCTTCCACGTCCGGTTTCACACATCAATTCTGGTATTTGCTTTCACAACATTGCCCTTTGGAAACTGGTCTTCTCAGTTAAAGTGTCGATGTTTTCCTCGCTGTGGTGGTGACGACTTCCCTCGAGTCTTCTGGTGTCACGACCCCACCTTCTCACCGCTCTTTTGCCCACTTGCAAGCTGGAGTTAGATATGGATTTGTCTTACCAGCAACCACAACCTTATCGGATGTACGAACACCCACAATGGACTGAGGATTACAAGCCAAACTATATCGAGGCTGAGCATCACATTGAGCGAGACGAAAGACCGCCTGCTTCAACAACTTCTACTTACAATGCCAATCCTCACAGCCGGAGACAATCCGTGTTGAAAGTCGAAGATGAATATTCTCCCAATGACAATGTGCCAACATGGCATGAGAGGCAACACCAGGCTCATTATCCAATCAGACACTACTCGCATTCAAGTGTACATTCACACGGTCATCCCCAGCGATATATGCGGGCAGATCCCAACTTCGCAGCATCATATGCTCAACCAGAATGGTCGATGCCACAGTCAGGGACAAGCACTCCTACCCCAGCGTATAGCAGCGTCGATTCCTACAGTGCGCCCGTGCAGTACGCAAATCATGCAAGCTTTGATTTCAACCAAGACCCGATCTCAGCCGTTTCAATGTCACCACAATCGAGCCAAGGTGGATGGGCTTCTGCAACCTCATCCGACGGCATGGAGCAACGATGCATGATACAGAGCCCTGTCTTTCGTCCCATGTCGCCACAGTCAACACATCGAGCCGATGGACTTGTTCAACGATCCGACGGCATTCGGAAGAAGAACGCTAGATTCGAGATACCTAGGGAGCGAAATCTACATACGATCGATGCACTGATAATGTCGACCACTGATGAGACCGAGAAGAAGGAGCTGAAGCAGCAGAAGCGACTCCTGCGAAACAGGCAGGCAGCGTGAGTATAGACACTTTCCAATTACTGACCAATACTAATCACTTACGTTAGCCTCGACTCTCGACAAAGGAAGAAGTCCCACACGGAGAAACTCGAGCAAGAGAAGAAGCACCACGAGAAGAGGATGGTTGGTCTAGAAGAGGCTGTCACGCAACTGCAAGAACAACTCCAGATAGAAAGAGAGCAATGGGCCACTCAAAGACAACAGTACGACATACAGGTTAACACCCTTCTGCACGAGCGTAACGAAGCCATCCGACAAAAGACAATCGAAGCTGCAGATACGCGAAGACAATTGAACGCGATGAAGGAATACTGCAGAGAACAATCCCAACGATCACACGGCTACACTGCAGCCTCAGACATCAACAATATGGCCTCAGACTTTAGTGAGATTGGCTTTGACGACGATTGGGAGCATGAATTCAGCTTGATCGACAACAGCGAGCTGGATAATATGCAAAGACAAGCCACGCCAAAACCTTCCACCATGGCAGTAGCAAGCAAAGCAGACACGGATTTCAGCTGGAATACTCTCTATATGTGCCTGTTGTTTGGTGCTGTTGTGGTCTCTGCAGGTGGACAAATCTCGAAGCTAGGTCAGAGTACAACCGAGGTCGCACTCCCTGCTGTATCTGATCTCAACCGGGCTGATGCTCAGAATGTCCTCAACGCTCTATCTTCAGACAGTCAGTCAGCACAAGACATGGGCCCCTCCAACTCGGCAATGGCAATTGCCTGCACTTCCGCGCCACAACCATCTGCGGCTGGCATCGATTTTTCATACACTCCAGCTGAGTCTCGATCTAGCTTCGAAGAACTTTCCTCTGCCCTTACAACACCCTCTCGACACCAATACATGCAACAAGCGCTGTCCATGACACCTGCTTCTTACAATCACATCACAAACCCGCTCGCAGGGTTTGATGACGATGCGGATGCCGACCTTCCTGATTCACCGCGACCTAAACCAGCTGGGAGCCGTCTTGAGCAGGCCATGCGAGCCCTCAATGCCAACAAAACTCCTGCAGAGAAGGCTGGTTTCATAAGTCGAGCACAAGAACGGAGCGCACTTAATGTGCCTGACTCTGTGATGGTCGAATTCCGGGCGTTCGTCCAAGAGACAAGACAAAGTCAGACGGAGAACCAGCAGCAGAGCGGTTGACGTTCGACAAACCACTTTCGAGTTCTATGATACACGACGCTCGTCGTTGTCATACAGCAGTTTACACAGCTTGACATGAGTATGGAGCTCTTGAAGCGGGCACGATTTTCAGCCATCTCCTCGATTCTCGCTATTCTCGATTGACATGCGAGGTGGTATCGACTGATCTTACACATCTATAGACTAGCGTACGCAAGCAAGCCAAAATCTTATCAGGCTACGATCACGACCTACACGATACATTTACAGCCACTGGTACACACCATTCGACACGAATTTACGGCTCATTTCCTTTTACGTTAACGAATTTCCCGTGACCTCCAAACTATTTGGAACACTTGTTTCATGGATATAAATGCCTTGTATTTAGCCTAACGAAAATCTCATTCCACAATATCGAGAGTTGGACATTATGCTTAAACCAGCGAAACAGTGCTGCCTTTCACCTGAGAGGGCATAGATCCAAGATCAATATTGGAATGAATCAACGAACTACTCCATGACCTAATGAATTATGACTATCATGACACTTCAAAATAATTGGAACGAAAACTACGCGCAGAGGAAGATGTGCAAGATGAAATTTAGCACGCCGCAATAAAGAGAGTGAGCGTCTGAACGATCGGTCTTGCAGCAGTGACGATCTAGAAGATATGGCTAGTAAGAATTATCACGCACAGCCTGGAATAGGTCCTCTATGACTCTCCGGGGACGGTCACTGGGCCTGGTGAAACAAGGACTCTCACCTTAATAGCATAGCACGGATTTTACATCATGACGATGATGATGGTTGATCAATAAAGATAGCTAGATACAAGCTTGACGCTCCGAGTCGTTCGTACCATCCATGGCACGGCACGGCTTCAGCCCCCCAAAACAGATTCTTGCAATAAATCACTCATAGAACCTGGCTGCTCTCTGTGATCAAAACGTTTTCACCCCTAGCTCCCTGCCAATGACAATGAAACCATCAGTCATAACCATACTATACAAGCCCGCTACCTATCGAGCCTTCGTAACCACTGGTTCCTGCCAAAAAAAAAAAGCCACAGAAGGCAAGTACGTATATCCTTCGTAACGTGATCCAAAGCATCTGCCTCATTTTGGGCAGCAACTGCATCCTGGCTCTCCATAGGCTAGATCCTGAAATGACACGAGCCAGCCACAGCACGTTACGGGACAGACAAGGGCCAGGGAGATCAATGATACAGTACAGTACAATGTTGCAGGATGTGAATGACAAACAAGTAATCGAGTCGGCTCGCGTGGGGAATAGAGGGAATCTCTCAAGGAAGAGGGATGCGCCAGTCGGCGATTCAATGGTACTAGACATGGGGGCAGGCAGGCAGGCAAGGACCCAACATACTGTAGCTGTGGAAGAGCTACTCGTAAAGGATGAAGTTACACGAGCAGACCGGTGAAGTTCTGGCTTGCGGGCAGTTTTGAAACCGGTTCGCGGTAAAGGCGATGTACAGCCGAAGTCGATATACGACAACTGGAGAAGGTGCAAGGAGTGGCAAACGGGACAATGCTGACCAAGGAGAAGCAGGTACGGGCATCATGACGGTTGTGAAGACAGGAACAACCAGTCAATATGAAGTGTGTGCTGCCGGAGGGAGGAGCAAGACTGGTTTGGCCGCCTTGGCTCGAAGGGTCTTGGTAAGAGGTGACAATTGATATGCAACTCGAGCCGTGGTTGTCACGTCAAGGATACGAGTAGCTTGACCGAGGCGTAGATCGGTGATAAGATGGCCATTGCCCTGCATGTGCGCCAACGGCATCGGAGGTATTGCTGTTGAATGAGAGGTCGTGTCTACTCCTCCTAGTGGATCAGGACTGGGAGAAGATAGAGGAAGGAGGAGCTTGGGCGGCCTGGACCTTGTCATGGTCGCAGTAGCCATGACGACGCTCTGTTTCGTGCCGACGGAATATCCAGATAGGAAGATTTGAATGGACGTACTGGTCTCCCTCAAATGAGCCGTCACACAGAATGAGGATCAACATAGCTCTCGTTATCTTGGTACATCAAATTGGTCGTCGATGCTCCAGTTACATACCACCGGCCATCGATGATCAGGCCGGTTCCATCCACGACACTGAAGCGTCCCTGAAGGAGGTCTTCTGCCCATTTTACTCAGCGCGATACTCAACTCGTAGGCCAGAAAGATCGAGGTAGGCTTGAGACAAGGCCATAGATGCGGCCACCTCATTAAGCTGGATTGTACTTGTCTTTCCATATCCTGTAATGCGTCAGCAACGATTGTGCTCACAACGATTAGCAAGCGACTATTCTTTCGAGAAGGCCGATGTTAGATATTCCAGCCCCCAGAATTTGTGTGATTGGCCGGTTTTGAGAATAAGATGCACTCCACAACCTCAAAATCGGACCCCGCCGGCCGCATGGCTGTGGCCGCTTCCGGGACCCAGACAACAAACCACGAGATCCAATGGATTTCGAGACATAAAATATGTCTCGGAATCCATTGAGCGGTGTGACAGAGTGCAGGTGTATCAGAATCGGTCAAAGAAGTCACTTACCATGAATTGCCGACTATCTTTGAACCATTCTTTTCAGCCAATCGAAGCAGTTGAGCGGCCTTGAACTGTTACAAAATCACGTGTCAGCATCCATAAGTATGCGGGTCGTATGCATTGCGGTCTGACAAGGTCAAGTCATTGGTGCAATGATATCCTAGGCAGCCTAATGCAAGGAACGGCTCTTTGACGGGATCGGTAAGATATCTGATTTGCTTATGCATTGATGCCCAAAGTGATGCTGCCATTTGTGGAAGGCTGTAATGGGAGTGTACTGGTGGTATTGTGACTATTACCAGCAATGAGGTTGCGAGGCTCAATGTTGTGGTTCATGCACCCTCAACTCAGTTGCAGTGCCGGGGTTGTTCGTGACGGAGTGTGGTGACTGCTGCATCTTTGCATGCTATTTTTCGGTCTGATCATGTTTCGGAACTCGTATCTGGTGGTAGAACCTCGGAACGTGGCTCGTCGCCATGTGTTCGGTGCCGCTTCTTGCTTACTCATAAGGGCAAATACTCCTGACGATAGATCGAATGCGGATAGACTCTTGCCCGAAGATGATCGAGATAGAAGGGGCAAGTAGATGCTTACCTTGTCTTTCTTTCCACCAAACCCTTCTAAGTAGCACCAAGCTGCCTCGTTCCTATACAGAAAATGGTTAGCGCCCATTGGCTTAAACCTCTTGAAGTCCGTTCCGAGATTGAGGACTTACATCGCGTCGGTATCACCCAGATTTGCAGCTGTTTCGTAATATTGCCTGCGACTACCGTTAGTCTGTGCAATTGCTTCAGTCATGGATGTACTACCTTGCAGCCACTTTGTCAATGGGAGTTCCCCAGCCGTATCTGTAGCAGTTTCCGAGCTCGAATATAGCCAGGACTAATTCACCCTTGGCGGCACCACCTTTCTTGAGACCAGCTTTCAGTGCTTCGGCTTCGAGAGCGGCCGAATCCGAAGCAGCAGAAGAGAGATAGGTAAAGGCACCTGCCTCGTCCTTCTCACAACCCCATCCATGGCGCAATGAGAGGCCATACAAGACCTCGGAAAGTACGTTTCCACTATCTGCCAGTTGCTTGAAAGCCCGAGTTGCTTCGGTAAGTCGTCCTTCCTCGTGTAGTCGGATAGCTTCTTGGATGCTCACATCGCTTTGAGCGTCACTTATACTTCGTGGGCGGCCGGTCGAGTTATCGATGCTCAATTGAGATATGTTCTTTGTTGGCATGCCGGGTCTTGGGCCTGAAACTGGGCTCTTGCTTGTGTTAGCTAAGATAGTGGCGCGCTCCTCCCATTGTGCCTCCTTATCTTCCTGGTTGCCTTGGTCTCTGTACGTGCCTGATAGATCGGGAAGATTGGATGGTAGATTCGCAGAACCCACGGTGGAAGTGCGCGACCTGTCTTTGTGCAGGTGCAATCTGTCGGAAAGCGATCTGTGTATCTTTGGCGACACATTACCCTCCTCTCCCACATTCGAGGATCCTCTAAATCGGCCTGGCGACTTTTGTGGAGAGGTGGGAGGCAGCTCAGTTATAGGCGAAGGTCCTGGAGGACTTAAGATCTCTTCAGTATGAGTGTCGCTGCGCATTATCTTGAACTGTGGAGGCTCAAAAGCCTGTTGCTGAGCATCTCCTGCGCTGCCATCGTTCTCGATCTTCTCTTTCTTCTTCAGCAAATCTCGAAAAGGCATTGTATGTGGTCGGGACTATTCAACGTGCTCCTTGTCGATGCACGAGTCGATGCGCTGGACTAGGAGCAAGCCACGACGATAGTTAGGGTATACATGAACTATAGTCACGCAGCTTCGTATATAACGCAGCGGCTTCGAGATTATTCATGCTGAATTGTTGCTCTGCATGGGGCTGAGCATGGCTGTGAGCAGAAGTGCTCGTAGTGATGTTCGCAGCGCTAAGGCCTCCATCGTTTTGCCTTAGAAGCCCCTCAGGCTTAGGCTCGCTTGTTTAGCTAAGCGATCCAACTACAGGTACTCCACCTAAGCTTAGTAGTGCTTCCCCAACTTGTGAACTAAATATAGTACGTATAGATTACACACTCGACGACGACAACCACAACAGGCATCTGGCTCTCATGTTGAGTAGCAGGAAACTGGTTCCTGCCAAAGTGGATATATCGAGCTTGTTGTGCGGAAGTGTGGCGTGCGGTAAAGACGAACCACGTCGCAACCAACCTTGAATTGTCTGACGAGTGCTTCTACGAGACCAGCACAACTGAAGTTGGCTTGAACAACTCTTCGGGTGCGTAGCAAAACGGGCCGACTGGACCTCCCTGTTCGTGCGCACACGAGGTCCAGAGCCCATACACAGAACCCGACCTGATACCACCTGGCTGTACTCCTTCGAGCTGCCACTGATCGCCGCCACTGTAACTGAGTCGTGTTAAAAAGATTGCTATGTCAGCGATATGAAAGCAAATACTCACTGAACAATGTATCTCCATCTGACCTCCTTACCGCCTGGTGCTAGGCAAGCCATGCCGCGGATGCCAGTTGCCATCCTATATCAATGTCAGTTTCGGTATCTGGCTTGCTCGTATCAAGACCAGCTTCACGGTACGTAGCGATATGACGCTTGAAGAGTACTCACTGAAAGTCATAGCTTCTAGACACACCCGAGAAGTAGAGAGGCGGCAAGTCCTCACAGATGGGCAGTCGAGTTTGCAGTTTTGGGTCGTCTCTAATGCGATCGTCAAGTTTCAGTTCCAACTTCATAACCCCGCCACAAGCTTCAGGACCGTTCTCCAAAGAGGGTCTGTCTGTCGAAGTGGCGTTGAAGTCTACCAGGTCTTCCCAGTGTAGAAAGCTTGAAAATTTTAGCATGCATTTTTGCAAAGGTGGTGCATCAAGAACCTACACATAGGTCCCACACCAATTGCCCTGAACTCTTGCCCAATCGTTCGGTGTTGTAGGGTCCAGCAAAGTTCTGTATGGCAAAGAGAAGCAGAAGCCTTGTGGAGGTGTCATTCGACCACGGATAGCATTGCCAAACTGTCTAGACACGACAGAGCATACTGCCTCAAGTCGTCTCCAGTCGATTTCGCCAGAACCATCATTCTTGAATGGGCCGTAATCAGTAGCTGAATTCGTCAAGGTCCAATCGTACGTCACCCGCCTAGCACGACCCAATGCTCTTTCATCTTGCACCTCGTACTCCGTAAGTCCACAGAGCACATGTAAGCGACTTCCGGCTGCAGATCTGACTGCCTTTTCCATCTCGAGTGCAGCTCGAAGGCGAGTCGTAGGCCTTCCTGGCGTGCGCTCCTCGTTCCAGCTGCCGGGCATGCTTCTTGCATTCGAGGTATCACCTTCGTAGTACTTGGGTGCCGCATTTCTCCTGACCATACTGGCTGGTAACCCTCTCACTAATCCGTCGAACTCACGTGAGAAGTAGTACGGAATTGGCAGAAGCCCCAAGTTCAAGCTCAACTCCCTATCATCGACCTCTGGCTTCCTACCTGCCTGAATTTCCGACGGCGTCGGGCATGTCTTTGCCGTGTCGATAATGTCAAGTAGTGCCTCAATCACACTCTCCGCTTCTGGGTCATTGCTATTCTCAAAGGCCACTTTGCTCGATTTCACGAACCTCAAGGCAACAATTCTCCTTCGCAATTCATTATACCAATCCCATCCTACCTCACGATCCTTGCCAGCCTGACGTACTGTGCGTGTCAAGCTGTCCCAACGATGTCGCGGATCGTCAAAGATCTGCAGAAAGACAGCTTGCCAGAGCAATTGGTTTTGAGGCGATGCATGTTCGCGAGCGTCACGACACGTAACGGAGAATGCAAGCAGATCAGTATGAGATAGTCGACAAAGGACCTGAGAGAGGATTTCTGGTGGGAGCGAGATTATCGAGAGTCCCATTTTGGAAAAGCGAGAGAAGTATTGTTCCGGGTGTTTCTGTTGCTATGTTAAGGACTGTGCAGCAGGAGAATTGCCAGAGTTGATTGTAAATCGTTCCGTACCCGACGAGCTCAAAGATCAAAGTCCGTGGTATAGCACTGTAAAGAGACGGACTTCCCTTGTATGGCGCTATCTCACAATTGCCACTGTTTGACTTCCGAGAGTAACCTGTTAGCAGAGTTCGTTATGAATACAGCTAGCGATGCCGCACTATAGGGCTGGAAGACTGCTCGCTGCTTCAACACAGAGCATGCTACGGTGTCGATGGGTGACTTGAAGGCTGAGGGTTGATGACCTTAACTTTGATAAGGTCTCATTTGTGGGTGCAAAGTGTAACCGAGAGCTTCGGACATTGTGATTTATGTCCGTTCGGCCTCGAGCTACCAGATTGTTTGCTTACTGGTCTTCTCTTGCAGAATCGATTATGTGATTAAATATATTCGTCTGTTAATTCTCGTCATGATCTATACCCCAAATTCGTTAACGGGCTCTAACTACTTGTGTGCTACTGCAGTGTATCCTTCAGGATACGCTTACTCAATCCGGTGGCCCCTTGCTCTGGATCTTCCCCACCAGTCCCATGAGAAAAGGATTGCTTGCAATGCCTATTACTCGACGCAATATGTTCTTCCCATGTGTCTGCTTCTGCAGAATTCGCGTAGGGTTTCCGGGCTATGTACGTAGTGGGTATGTCGAGAGAGTGAGGGGTCCACTACCTCTTTCATAATGTTCTGCCCATCGGGCTAGTGATTATTCCACGCCACCGGAGCCACATAAGTCAGCTTCCCGACTCTATGTACCGAACCTGCTCCGCGCCCGTTGGTGTACGTACTTTAATACGTATGCTTGCGTGGTCATTGCGACGTCGCAAACATCGGAATCTGGGAGTTTGGAGCACGTCTTTGATAGACGTTAAACTCCACTGACTCTGGACGTAATAGTGGTCGTTTGTACGAGAGTGATGCAGCGTATGTACAGAGTCGGCCGCGTTTTTCGTTCTGATGACTCGGAATGCCGGGATGCTTGAACGTAAAGGGTTCAGTACGTGGCCATGACTGCTGGCCTTCTATCTGAGAAATTATCGATAGCTTTCAATCGAAGTGCTCAAGCACTGGGAGCGGCATAATGGAGCTGTAGTTTTTTGCTGTGACAGTGAGGCATGTGGTTCAGGTTTGCGAGTGTTGAGGCAGTGATATGGTTGCAAGCGTTGTCTTCCATCAGGCTGGCCTCAGCTGTAAGGGTGGTTTTCAATGTGGAAGGCTCGTCCCAAAAACCATCATTCGCAGGAGCAGCACCGAATCCAAAAATGTTAGGTAGTGTGAAGCCAGAAATCATGGCGCTCATTCTATACCGTTTGAGGATCATCTTAGACGTTGGGCAGGGCGAGGACAATTGCACTTGATCTGCAAGATGCTCGTCCATCTGGCTGGGACTCATTATGTTTATGTACATGTTGCAGGTGTACCATTTACATGCCGATAGACCGCCCCATGATCGCGAAGCTCGCTCCTAGGGAGATGCATGGCGAAGCCGCTATGGACTATTCTAGCTAAGGGGACGTTGAAGAGACAACCTGGCATTCGATCGGCTGTTCGAGACAGCATGGTTAAGCCACCAGACATGAGCGATGTTCCAAGAAAAGCTCGTGCGGCTTACGATAGCCTCCCCCTGCGCCCCACACTTTCAGGGATAATTGGTGCTAAAAATGCTAAAAAGAGCTGCACAATTCAGGGCGGTGCAATCCCTTACTGCCATAATTCTTTCAACACCCTTGGCGACAAGAACTTCTCCTTTTCGCTGCCGCACTGTAGCTCGAGTATTATTGACGATAGACGGCAGAGTCTGCACATTAAACTTTGACACGAAATTGAAGGCGTTGACGCGTCCAGATTGGGGTAGCTGAATGACTGTTTTTGACACTGCGCCAATCGATAGCGTGGGTCTGGACGTCCACGAGGGAAAAACGACTCCACTAGGCGGTCTGTCGCAACTGAGAGCACATCATCCTCGATTCAATCGTACAATCGTACCTTGTCACGATAAGGCTCGATAGCTGGCCTGTCGTCTGATACATACCTGGTAGAAATTCGAGATATTCAGGCGCCGAGTCGCAATATGGCGCGTCTTTGACCTTAGCCAAAGACATGCAATACTGTGTGTGATGGTGTGGGATATGCCACGAGACAGAGAGTTAAGTTGCTCGACGAGCGTCTGCGGCTAGGCTACTGACTTGTGGCGTTACGCACTGGGACAGCGGAAGCACTTGCTAGGTCAATGCTGTGAGCTCAGGTATTTCGACGAAGCAGAGACGGTTGATGTGTGCAGCCGGGGTAGTGGGGTTGTCTGCCGACGTAGATTTGTAGGTCACATCGAGTCACCCCTACGATAGATAACAGCCTCGACGACGACCTTCCCTTCACAAACTATGTCAAGATTCCCCGGAAGATATAAGCAGTATCCTTGTCCAAGACGCTTCAGAGATGACAGCTTCAGATAACGTATACATACGTATCAGTCCTCAAAGGAATATTCACAGGCTCAGGCATGATCGAGTCTGCTTGTGTCCATCTTAAAGGCTTTGTTGCATTTCAGTAAGCAATTTGCGAAGTTGCTCCTTCATCTTGTACTGGTAGTCCTCAACCGCCTGCAGCTAGCGTTAGCAGGTATACCCAAACAGACGTGGATCACATATACCCTGACTGCCTTTTCAGTATTGCCTAGAGCCTTGCTTACTGTACCCTCGATCTCCGTTTCGAAACCACTGAGCTCTTCCAGCGCGTGCTTGTAGCCACGCTGGAAGACTTCTCGTCGCTTCCTGGCGGCTGCCTTATCGATACCGGGACAACCCTCCTCGTGGCCATCGTTGTGTTGGTGATCGTGGTCATTGGGACAAGTCACAAGTATTTCTTTGTCGTTTAGCATTACGACAACAAGCTCCACAATTTGTTTCTGCACAGTCTCATACTGCTGCCAAAGCTCTGCCAGTCGTGTCTTGTTCGTTTCGGATACCTCCCTGAAACCTTCCATATGTTGACCAAGAATCACGTTCTCTTTTGTACCTTCCTGATCAACCTCGAGTGTCTCGTTGCTGAGGTCCTGCATCATGCTGTTGCTCGAGTCTTGCATAACAAGGCATTGTTGATCAACGTGATGAGCTAGTTTCATCACAGCCTCGCTGACTTCGCCGTCCGCATCTGCGAGATCGCTGTTTAGGTGGGCAACAAGCTGGGTCTTGTAGTTGTCTAGTTGTCCTGTATGCTGTGAGTGAACGAGTAGGACAGCAAGGCGCCGTTTTGGAGATCTATGTCGTACCTTGGAAGACATCGAACCTGCTTCTGGTTTCTGGAGTACCTTTTCTGGCGTCCTTCGTCTTCTCAATTCGGAGTGGCTGCCGCTGCCCTATGTCCCACTGCCTGGACGGGATGGCAGGACGATTTTGTGCTCGATTAGCCATAGAAGAGTGATGGCAAGTCAGAAACAAACACCAAGTATCAGCAATACTCTCCTCGCGCTTGTTACTTATTGTCGCTGTCGTGAAGTACAAGAGCTCTTCTCAGGTAGAAATGCCACACCGGGTAAGGTTGAACGGCAGGTACGACCCATGCTTTCCCGTGAGCTTCAACTACGTTAATATTGATCACTCGCTTCTGAATCATAGATACTCTCAGTATTACCAGTACTGTGAGCTGGGAGCGAAAAGTTTCAGCAAGTATGTTGGGTGGACTGACTGCGTGCATCAACAATAGTCTCTCCTGAGCGAAGACACCATTACTTACTAACAACCAGATTGTAAATTCCAATGACAAAGAAAGTGCTCAGCATAGACAGAATTCGAGTACGATGACCATGAATATTAGGCAGGAATGAATTTAGTGGCGGCTCGTCAACTCAACTTTTAGGAAACAGGTAGTCAGACTCAATGTCGGCTGTCGAGCCAGCGTGACCTACACCCTTTGACTGCTGGTCGCACTCAGTCGTCCCTCCATGTAACCTGCCAGATATCGGCGCGAGCCCCATAATCTCCACCAGCGGCAGAGGGCTTTCCTCTACGCACACGGCTACCACCACTACCATGCTCATTAGCTCTCAACAACGCTTGACTATCGTGGGCAAACGCCGTTACCAGCTCCTGCATACGTTTGCTTTCGACAAAAGCACTGGTCAAGGAATCATTCTTCGCCACATGCTGAGCCAACTCCATACATTGCACCAAATGAAATCGAGAGATGGCATGTCCACCGAAAAACAGAGCGCTGTTGTATGCTAGAACGCATTCTGGCAGGTAGTGGTTGCGAATCTCAGTCAGGTCGTGGTCCTCCTGCTCATCGTTCGGTTTGTTCAGAAAGTCAGTTTCGAGAAGAGGCTGCATTGCCGAATGAACATCACCCAGAACTTCGGACAACTCTCTTTTGGCAGCTTTCATAATGTTCCTATCGTCTCGAGGTGAATTCTCGACTTCGTCCGCCTGATATTGCCAGGTCTCCAGGATTTCAAGAGCATGCACAAGATGTTCCAGATGAGCCCAGACCAGCGACTGTTCCGTCAATGTTGATCGGTCTGTCGTCGCTTTGGTGAGAGGATGTGACTTTGACCCCTTTCGCCGCTTCGATGGGCTGGCAACTCGTTCGGCCTCCTCATCGGACCCGTCTTCCTCTAGACTCACATCACCAGCCTCCAATATCATTGCTACTAGGCTCAGATTCATGCCGGTAACTTTCAGAGAAGTCTTGCCCAGATCGACCCGGTACGCAAGCTCCTTTGCCGCCGCGATCTTACCAGAAAGAAGCAAAATCTTAAACAACGCGGTCATGAGCCATACAGCCATACCCCAATTGTTAGCATCGATATAATTCACCCATTCATGTGCTTGCACGACGTAGGCTTCTGCTTCATCGATCACCCCGCCCAGGAAGCCTGACCTGATTCTGACGATCTTGTCCTTGTATTCGGTGATGCGAGCAGGACTAAGATTATTATCCGTGCTTCGAAGCTTCATAGTCCATGTTCGTCTTGCATAATCGCAGATGGAATAGATGACACGATATACCGGAATGTGGTACTGTTTCATCAGACGCATCTGTAGGTCCCTATCCTTTGGCACAGTGACTTTGGCCAGGATCCGACCCAGTACTCGTGGTTGTCGATTCGCAGATAGTTTGGAGGCATATAGCGGCAGCAGTGAGAACTTTGCATGGCGTTCCAGAAGAGCAATGTAGTTGATGATGTTGTTCTCGAGCGCAATGGCGTTGTCCGATTCTCTGTCCTCAAGGACACCCAGAGGTTGTAGAGCAAGCTGTAGATGTGCTGCCATACGAACGAGGTCTTCGTCTTGAGCGGCCACTTGAACAGACTTATTCACAGGGGTTTCGTCTTTGTCAAAGAGTATGTTGGACTGACCGGTTGAATGTGCCGTTTGAGCTGCAGCATGACCTAGCTCGACCAGAAACGTAGCAAGCCCGTCACCCATCAACATGCCTTGCAGGTATTTAAGTGGCTGGTGGCATTCTGCCTTTGTCGTGCTGTCGTTCTGTGCAGAATCTAAATACTTGGAGATCTCGCCCATTGTGGATTCCGGAACCATGTATGCATTGATCCCAGGATCTTTCAACTTCTTTGTATAAGCAGCGATAAAATCTTCATACCTCTCAATCAAGAGCTCATTGACAAGGGAGAATAAGTGGTCGTCAAGACTCTTGCACACGGGCGCAGCAGCGGCATAGTTACCGCATAGTATGCCATACACAGCTTTTTCGTAGTTTGTTTGGTAGCTATCCTGCTCACTTAGTTCCTTGCAACAAGTTAGGTAATCTCGATTTGAAGCAAGGTTGATGATCCGTAGCCAGGTGCTGTTGATGGGCTCGTCTGACCGCGGACTTGAGTTTCGGAGGACGAGAGATCGCCAGAGCTCGTTTCGCTCTTGCCACCAGCTTCGGACGTCCTCGAGAGTATTACCTCTTCGCAGCAGCTCCCAGTTGGCATGCCACGCGGAGATCTCGAAGGCTTCATCCTCGGGTTCAAGGTTAGCATTTTGGCGTAATGCAGCATCTGGATCCATATGGGTAACAAGAATTGCCTCGTCTGTCTTTCTGGTGTGGAGACCACGAAGTCCTCCGTTCAGATCGAGTGGGCCAGCATGTGCTCGTTCGACTTTGCGCCTCTTGATGGGTGCTTGCGTAAAAATGTTGCCACCAGACCACAGCCCTTGACCTCTATGTGATTTGGTATGAGAGTCGAGGTCAGTATCCTTCAGCTCGCTTGATGTTCTCTTCTTCCAGTCTTGCAGCCATTCTAGCAACATCTCGTATTGGTTGGCGATAATGTCCACGTCGAGGAAAGCACTCCAAATTTCGGAGTTGCTCGAATAACGATGCAATTCTGCCAGGGCGCTGTTTTGCTTGAAACCTGTATCCTGGACCATGTCAGGACTTTTGCAAGGCAAGAGTTGCGCAGTCAATGTCCACAATTCGGATTCAAGCACCAATCTTTCCTTCTGAGCAACTGAGCCTTCTAGCGATTTGCGATTTTTCTGTGCTTGCTTGCTGCCAGACAGAGGCTTGACCTGGTTCGCACTGGTATTGGCAATTTCTGAGTACTTGTCCATTAAGAGCCATGTTTTCCTCCACAGTTCCTGACCCTCGACCTTCTTTGAAGAATTGAACTTGTCCAGTGCCTGTGCAAACTCTTCCACTTGTCGACTTACTCGATCTGCAGTCTCTTGAAGGGGTCGCAACAATTCCTGTGCGGAAGTCTGCAGTACTGGTTCATCGTGATCGTCGTTATCATCTTGTTCTAGGTCATCATCGGCGTTGGACGAGAGCATATCCTGGTCGGACATCATCTCATCGTCCTCCATGGTAGCGGTTGTCTAAACTGGCCGTTAGAATCTCAAAGGTGACTACAAGATGGTGATTGCCTACTTCATCAGTGGTTTCTGGAGGTTTAGAACCATAAAGAGAGGAGCGTGTAGTTGGCGACATCTGATCAGCAATGTTTTGTTTGCTGATTCAAGTACGAACTGCGCGCGAATGTGCACTGGCACGTTAAACTCAGTGATACTACTACCAGAGCACGGGCAGCTACGCGTGAGACGCGCCGGTCTTGGCGCGCATCTCGCTTTTACTAAAATTTCTTGAATTTCCGAGAGACCTCTTTCTTTCTTACCAAATGTCTTCAGGCAGTCATTAGAGTCTCGGAACGAACGATTCAGTGCTTGTTCAGGTCAAACGGCCTCTCGCGTGCTCACGACTGTCTAAGAGTAAGTTAGCACTAGGTATTCAGCTGACCAGATCTCTACGAGAAGTGACGGTTCAGGTAAAAGAAATCGGTTGCTACAAACGCTCAAGTTCGGAATTGTACATGAATCTATGTTTGCGGTATGCGATATATCGAATTGATCGCGCTCGTATGAGGAGGTCTGGAAGATCACTGTCCTTCAGCACGCTGCTTCAGTTTAAGCTGGAGCAGATCATACTTGGGACACGACGTCGTCTGGGCGTCCTGGCCATTCTTCTTATAGAAGGCATTACAACACTCATACAATGCATCCACTAGGTGCTCGCATTTCTTCTGCTGATAGTTGTTTTTCTGCAGGCAGTCTAAAGGTGTCAGTGTTTGCAGCTACCGAGACATCGTCCACTCTCACTTTGGATCTCGCACTGTATTGTATCAGTACTCGCTACCATGGACGCGAACGAACGGTGGCACTTACTGCACGCGAGTGACATGGTGGATCTTGCTTGACTTCATCTTCGACGTTGCCCTGTGATATTGACTTAGTTGTAGAAAGCTAATGAACGTTTCGCCTTTACCATCTTGTTGTATACCACAAAACGCGTTGAGTACAGTCAAAATCCGAGGTCTGAAAACCCGTGCTGAGCTTCGATGTAATTGAACGTTGAAGAAAGTGAACTTGCTGTAAAGTATTTGTGAAGTTGGTCGGATATAGCTCACCAGAGGTAAAACCCAAGTGCCAGGCATTCCTGCCTCCAAATTGTCGTCAGTCGCCGCCTCGCTTCATTGTAACGCATTTTAGACAGCAGCCGCGCTCAGACTGTTCCTCTCTACTCCCATTGCGTTGTCCTTCCACAAAGTGCTTAACTTGTCTTCACTGAGAGTAGTTGCCGCGCATACGCCTGTTGCCTAAACTCACCAAACGTAGGTACCTATGCATCTTCATCTACTGGCGCAAATAAATTCATTTTCCTCCGACTTAGATATCTCAGCCAGACTGATTCACCTGCAACAGAAGAACGTGATTACCTACCAAACCTTGTTACCGATACGGTCCAAATGGCTGACCAAGACCAATCACCGAATGGTGCGCAACCTGAAGGCAACCCACAATCTGAGCACCTAAACATCAAGGTTACCGACAACAACAACGAGGTCTTCTTTAAGATCAAGAGGAGCACGAAGCTAGAAAAGCTCATGAATGCTTTCTGCGAGCGGCAAGGGAAGGACGTAAAGACGGTCCGATTCCTCTTTGATGGTACCAGAGTAACGGGCCAGGACACACCCGACATTGTAGGTCAATAGAGTGGCTGCAGGAAATGGTTGCTAATATAGGTAGCTCGAAATGAACGACGGCGACACTTTGGAAGTCCACCAAGAACAAATCGGCGGCTCAATGATGGTTTACCGACGAGAATGGGATGAGGTATGAGAACGAGAGAACAAACGGATGGTCGTGTCCAGGCTGTCTGTGGATGACTATATGAGCTACGATGATGACGGTGATGGTTGCTAGTTTTACGCGGAGCCTGACTTCAGGAGATGGACATGCAGGATAAGAAATGCATGGTAAGCCATGACACAAAGGTCGATTGATCACAAGCTGCAAGTCAGCCCGCAGGTTCAGCTCAGATAAGGAATACAGCGACAAGAAAAAAACGTATTTTACAGTACTTCTCTAGCGCAACAAGATCATGCTGCGCCTTGCGTACAGGGAATCCTGAGACCATACCATCTCGCCTGACTTGTCCTTGGTCAGGGTACGTCCTACAAGTAGTAGCCTCCTACTACGTTCCAAACTAATTGTCCCAGATCGCAGCCTGAGCCTTTTCGTCGTTGATGTTCTCCTTCTCACGTTGTTCCTTCTCACGATTCTTGCGCTTGATTTCAGCCTCCTTGGTAGCCTTCTCATATTGTCTTTGTTCTTCAGTCTTCTTTGGCGCCTTGATACCTAACGCTCCAGATATCATTCGGTTGGCAGTAGACGTGGTCTTCTCAGGTCGTCTGTCTGTCGAATGCTGGTTCGCGGCAGCAGATCGTGGTGTAGGCCTTCCACTGTCATTGAGACTACTTTCCCACTTCCGTGACATCGGGTCTGCGTCTTGAGGTGAAATTGGTGTAGGCGGAGGCGGCCCCGGATTGTCATTAGAAGTCATGGGTTTCAAGGATGGTCCAGGTGCTTCAACAGGTGTGTCGTCTGTAACCTCGTCCTCCCACGATTCTGGTGCTTCTTGTGGCAAAGTGCTCAGCGAAGTGGTCGAACCCTTTGGGGTCGATGTCGTCTTAAGGTCCAATGACAATCGAGAAAGCTTTGATTCAACAGACATGGTTGCTGGAGAACTACTGATCTTCAGGTACACAACCTTGTTTCAGGAACAACCAAGAAATACGGGTAAATAAGTTTGTATCGAGTGCAGGATTGCTGGATGCCGTAGAACCTTGGTCACGCTGGCAAATGGTTGTACATTTGCCTTCGTAGGGCTTTACCTGCAGCACTTTTGATTGGAAAGCTGACATCAGTCTCTTGTGCGCAGTTACTTTAAAGACTGCCCATCACAAGAAGTGCTCGTGTGAGCTTGAGGACGAGCGTCGCTGACGGCAGCCAACAACAAACGCAATGACGAAGCTCTTCTCCAATATACTGAAACAAGACGAGTGTCAAGCCCTCAAATGCTGGAGTGTGGGGCGTGCCTGGTCACATCGCGTAGCAATACCTTTCTCAGAAGCTGAAAGCCAAGGAAGGGGTAGCCGTGGCCAGTCGCGCTTTCATCGGCTGCGTTCTACTCGGGACGTTTCGCTGCAGCTGCTTGTTGTGTAAAATACGCGTATACAAGCAGGAACCTCTGATGGTGAACAACCATTGGTTCACTGTCTCACAGGCACACGAGCTCAAGCTTCGCGAACGTTCCTGCAACGCTCCCATGGTTCGCATCGTGTCGAAGTGCAATGCATGGTCCCCGAAATGCAGCTTGCCGTGTCAATGAGACCTCCTCGTTCTTCTCGACAGCCAAACTTTGGCTTAACCTGATTGCCGAACACGCTTCTATAGAACGAAGACCGGTCGGAACCGGAAAGTGTACTTGGCTCTTATTAGCAGGTAACTTCCGAGACCTTGCCAGACCGGAGCATCCAATTTCGAGAACGCTACTCGAGTAGACGCGTCTCGCATCTGGACCCCGAGCTCGGAGATCTGTCTGTGTTGTCATCACCGCTTGTAGCATGCACTTATCGGGACCTCGGGACCTCCGTGAGCTTTATTGTCCCCTCACGAGCTCGAAAATGTTCTCTACAGCAGCTCTACTCCGGTAACAATAAATCGCATACATTGGCGTTCGCATGACGAGCTGACTGCTCGAGCCGCTCCTTACAAACACCACAATGTCTCTAACAGCTTTCTCGCAGGGTTGGCGAGCTTCCAGCCGCATCGTCCACTCGGCCACGAGATCATCTTTCTCCACAAGCACGAAACTCGGGGCATACGAAGACACGATCAAAAACCTCAAGATCGGGAAACACACGCGCGTTCTCTATCAAGGCTTTACAGGAAGACAAGCTACAGCAAATGCCAAAGAGTCTATAGCATACGGCACGAATGTAGTCGGTGGTGTCAAGCCAGGTACTACTGGCGAACATCTAGGACTACCTGTCCTACCCGATGTCCGTACAGCCGTCAAGGAGCTCAAACCCGATGCAAGCGCCATATATGTACCTGGAAATGGCACCGTCGCTGCCATGGAGGAAGCAATTGAGAACGAAATATCTTTAATCGTAGCAGTCGCCGAACACATTCCTTTGCACGATGTTATGCGCGTCCAACAGATTCTCAGAACTCAATCGAAGACCCGTCTCGTTGGTGCCAACTGTCCCGGCATCATCAATACGTGGGGACGTTGTAGACTTGGCTTCCAACCTCTGCCATTCTTCAAAGACGGCAATATTGGTATAGTTGCAAAGTCCGGCACCTTGAGCTACGAAGCCGTTGCATCGACCACTCGAGCAGGACTCGGTCAAACCTACTGCATCAGTATGGGAGGTGATATTCTTGCAGGCACAAACTTTGTCGAAGCACTCGAGATTTTCGAACATGACGATCAGACTGAGGGTATCGTTTTGGTAGGAGAGATTGGTGGTCGTGCCGAAATAGACGCAGCTGAATGGATCAGAGCATACAAGAAACGAACAGCCAACCCTAAGCCCTTCATGGCTGTTATCGGTGGAGTCGAGTCACCCACCGGTCGAGTTATGGGTCATGCTGGTGCATGGAGATCGCCAGGCGATGCTACTGCTCGAGAGAAGATTGCGATCTTAGAGAAAGAAGGCGTCGTAGTAGTCGACCACCCTGAAAAGCTGGGTGAAGGCATGAAGAAGCTCCTTGCAGGACGAAGCTCTGGCGCAGGCGGGAAGGCTGCCTCTGGACCTGGAGCCATGCAAAAGAGAGGATATCATACCATGCGGACAAGGCCAACGATTGTTGCAAGCAACTCACCCACAGCCGCACAGAAGAGGACGTTGATTTTGAAGCCACAACAAGCTCTCGATATGCTACGTGATAGAGGAGTCAAGATCGCAGAGTCCAAGGGAAGTGGCAAGATGCTTGCTGTGTCTATCGATCGGTCGAAGCGAATGCCTGCTATTGTTGCCTCACCTACCTCCGAACCGAGCCAAATGTTTCCCCAATCCCGAAGATACGAATTCGAATATGGCAGCAATGACGCGAGTGCGGATGAGATGATAACAAAAGTTGCAGAACGCTTGCAGGTCTCCGACAATGCAAAGCCAGCATTAAAGGAGTTGATTGGCAATCTTGTAGATCTTTACATGACAAAAGAGGCTCAAGCCTTACGAACAAATATTGCAGTATCTGAAACCGGTGAGATCGAGGTCACCGATGCTCAATTCAGATTCGACGATGCAGCATTTCGAAGCTCGAAACGTCAGCAGGACATACACCAACTGCGAGACATTGAATCCGAGGTACCTGAAGAGGTCGCCGCTGAGAAAGAAGGAATGGCTTATGTTAAGATGTCTGGTCCGGGTACATTAGGCACGATAGTGAATGGCGCAGGTCTTGCTATGAACACTGTCGACGCTTTGATTGCACGAGGTGGCCACCCTGCGAACTTCTTGGATACTGGTGGAAAAGCTACCAAAGAGACTATCAAGGCCAGCTTCCAAATCGTCACATCAGACCCAAGAGTCAAAGCGATATTCGTCAACATTTTCGGTGGACTTACGCTGGGCGACATGATCGCAAATGGTATTCTTCTGGCTTTTAAGGATCTTGACCTGAAGGTTCCTGTGGTTGTGAGAATACGCGGCACGAATGAAGCAGACGGACAGAAGTTGATTCAGGAGAGTGGCTTGAAGATTGATGCGTTTGGTAGGTCTACCCCTCGTACGTTCGCTGTGTTGCTAACCAGTGCTAGACTCGTTCGAAGAAGCCGCGGAACGAGCAATCAAGCTCGCCAACGATGCCTCGTGACCATCAAGATGACAAGTGCATCTCTTCAGTGGTGGGCCGGACGTTTTGTTTCTAGGAGAAATAAACAGCAGCTTCCAGCTTGCACTGTCTAGTGCAGGCTGATGCAGCTAAGACGAACCCCGAGACGACCATGTGGTGCTCTGTATCGCGCAGGATCGTGATTGTCCTGCTGCTGATGCCCAAACAGCCTGGATATATGTTGAGACTTGTGAAGCTGGTCAGACATGGCATACGTGTGCAATACTGTACGATTCAATCGTGTAGGTTGGTGACATACAACGACGAATTGTCTGCCTTGTGCGTTCGTCGCTGACAACTCAAACTAGAGGCATGTACGATGCAGCTTAGATTTACCGGCGCCATAGAAAGTTAGATATAGTCTGGAAGAAGATTTGATAAAGTTACTGCAAAGAACATGACTTCAATTTCAACTTGAAAGGTGCTTGCCTGCGCCGTAGCTCGAATAGGTTCCATGGAGGCTCGAACTTACGCTGAGGTGGCTGCCGGGAAAGTTGAAGAGTCGACGAAAAGTCCTGGATTTTTTCGTCGTCGTCCAGACTACGGTCCTGTCTTACTGTATATACTCGACAACGCCATAAGTCTTTGTCGGCATTGGTGGTTCTACATTTGTCTGCCAATGAGCGTTCTCTAAGTTGTGCTGTCGAACCACAACTTGGGAAAAGTCAGGCTATGGAGACGCTAATGCGGACGAGGACTTACGGCATTGTTGAGTAGTGGTAGATCGAGTAGTAGATATTCCTATCTCGAAACACGAACTAGTACGATAGTGTTACGTTTGTGGTTGTGCTAGTGGAGGCTTTGTTCTATAGGCCTTTTGTTGATCGAATCACAGAGCGATTTCACTTTCCGCCTCATTGCTTGGCGATCTTTGAGCAACTTCGGCCACACCGAGGAACAGCCTACATCGTCAATTCCACATGGCCACTGCCAATATACCAATTACCCACAATGAGTCAAGTGAACAAAAGTCCTGTTGATAGTCATTGCGAAAGGAGTCCTCCAAGAGACATCTCTCAGCTCCAAACAATATTGCCGATTCTGCAGTGGTCTTCCTTGCGCAGTTACTGGTCTGCTTGTTAGTATGGAACGCGTATTCGACTACTTGCGCAGGTAACATGGCGTATACAAAAGTGCAAGTCTAAATCAAATTAACACAATTGCCGGTCTCCAACATAGTCGTTAGACAACCTCACGAGGCTCTAAAATTCCACGGTCAATGCCAGGAAATGGTGAAGTATTGGAACCACATCTATTTCTTTGAGGCCAACTTTACATAATGCAAAATATGTTGCGCTTACCAGTCATACTCAGCAGGCAGTGTCTAGACACTAGCTCTACACCATAGCTACGGAGTCTTTCGCTATGACCTATCCACACAAGATGTCTGTGGTTTCATTGCCTCCACTGATACGGCAGAAAGCTAAGATGCAGACCTATATGAGCTGCATGCTCATCACCCTCACCTGCAGCTGATCTTCTATCAGGCAACACCCAACCACTGAAGTCCCTGGTCGAGTTTGTGAGTTTCAATTTGGAGGAGGATAGCGGTATGCACAGACACACTGAATCCGAAACTGAAGATGACGGTTTCGAGCTTCTTGACGCGGACTTGGCAACGAGGCTGAAGATTGACAGCAACCTCAACTGCGATCCCTTGGACTTGAAAATCGATCTGCAGCCGACTGGAGCGGCCGGTGAGATGTTGCTGTCCATATCTCCCCCCCGGAAACCGTATGATGGAAGAGAGCATACATCTTGCGACATTGTCCTCGTTATCGATATCTCAGCCAGCATGAATACATTGGCAGAACTACCCGATCAACATGACATGGAACAGAAGGAGAGATCGGGTCTAAGCATACTAGACCTAGTCAAGCACGCCTCAAGGACAATCTTGGAGAAACTAAACGATCGCGATAGATTGGCTGTCGTAACGTTCTCGACCACCGCAACAATTGTGCAACGTTTGCTCCACATGACGGATGCTGCGAAGGCAGAGACGTGGCAAAGAATTGAAGAGCTTGAGGTAAAAGACTGCACGAATTTATGGTCAGGGCTGCATGAAGGACTCAAGACCTTCGAGGAGACAGAGAGAATTGGCAATGTGCAAGGCATGTTTATCCTCACAGACGGCATTCCAAATCACATGTGCCCGAGTCAAGGATACGTGAAAAAGCTTCAGCCAATACTCGATGGACTACAGGCCAAAGACTGTGCAGCACCTACAATATCGACGTTCGGTTTCGGGTACAACTTGCGCTCAGCTCTGATGCGGTCCATAGCAGAAGTCGGCAGAGGACACTACGCTTTCATTCCAGACGCTGGGATGATTGCTACGGTTTTTGTACATGCGGTTGCGAACCTGTTTTCCACGTTCGCAGCAAGTGCGAAGGTTCTGCTCGAGTGCTCGAATCCCAGAGCTTCTGTCGTCCTTCCACCGTACCTCAAATTTGATCAGGATCAATTGATTGGCACTAAGAGGACGCTTCAGCTAGGCCCTTTGCGGTATGGGCATCCACGAAACATTATTGTGAAAATTGATATTGCTCGACCGAAGGACCATTTGAATGCAACGCTTCGATGCCATGTAGGGGGAGATGCTACCTACACCAAGACTGCCACGGGTCACTTCAAGTATCCCACCAAGCTTCACCCAACTACAATCGACTACCACGTATCTCGCCATGAGCTCTGCGTCTTCCTGGCGTCACTACAAAGCACCAACCTAAACGACGAATACGTTGCACTTACCCCAGCGGCGGTCGCCGCTCGTGCTCCTGCACTAAAGGCCCTCATTTCGAGCATAGAATCTCGACTCGCAAACGCCCAACCAGACAATGAGTCCGATACCGACAATCTCACTGCTCTTCTTGCCGATCTTAAGACCTCCGATCCTCCAAACTCTCACAATGGAGGGCAAATCTCTCACGCCATGAACACTGAATCGTCCACCTCCCGTCGACCATCTAGCCTCGACACCTCTTCACTAGCACACTTTCGCCCTCATGGCTACCAAAGCACTTATTACAGTCGATGGGGCATCCACTATCTCCCCTCAATTCTGCACGCCCACATGCGCCAAATATGCACATCCTTCAAAGACCCTGGACCTCTGCGCTACGGCATAAACAGTCCACTATTCATCAAATGTCGCGATGAGCTCGACGCAGCATTCGATAACCTTCCAGCACCTAAACCAAGTTTGACAAGGTACAGTCATTCTTTTCGGTCGCATAGTCCGACCTCCAATACCTACTTTGATACGTCCACGATCAGGATGAGCAGGTTCAATAGTGTGAGTAATCCGTGCTTCAGTGGGGACTGTCGCATTCGAATGGCCAGCCATGAAGATAACGCCGCTGGCATGACGGTGGAACAACTGAGAGTCGGTGATTTTGTCTGGACTCCTGCTGGTGGGAGAATGGTCAGAGCGATCGTGAAGACGAACGTCAAAGGACAGCAGATGTGTAAGATTGGCGGTGATGGAACTGAGCTCCTGATCACGCCTTGGCATCCTATCTGGTGGAATGGGGACTGGACGTTTCCTTATGATATATGCAAGGCCGGCCACGGGGAGAAGAAAACTATGCCAAAAGGCAACATCTATTCCATCATGCTTGAGAAGGACGACATACCTGATGCTCATATGGTCTCAATCGAGGGTGTGAGGGTTGTCACGCTAGGTCATGGTCTGACAAATCACAGACAAATATCCGATGTGAGACATCACTCCTTCTTCGGGGATTACGACCTCATCGAGAAGAGCCTGTCAAGGCTGAGCAAAGACGAATCTAGCAGGAGAATTAGTGGCGGTATTGTGAAGAAGGAGACGAGCTCACATGGCGAAGCTGCATACCGATTTGTGACACCAGAGGAAGCAGCTGTAATCAGAACACAGGCAGCAGAAGTGAAGATGAAGTCGAGGCTCTAATGGAGAAAGAAACAGCTAAGCCCAAGATTGGTAGCAAGTAAAGAACGATAGGTTTCTGATCATATATATGTGCTTCTCTAACTTGAAAAATCAATTGTGCCTGCGGTCTCTGCTTGGGTATGCACAAAGTTGTCATGAAGTGCTAGTCGAATGAATCGTGACCATTAATATAATACAATCTATTGTCATACACTTGGTCGTAGCACGCAATCGCTGAGTTCGCCTGTAGATGAAATACCGTAAACACCAGTGCTCTTCCATGTAATCATCAAAATTCTTGCGGGACAACCCTTTCGCCTGCTCGTCACTGCTTACGACGTTCCGCCTTCTGAATAATACCAACCACCACGGCGGCGGTTAGAAGTACATTCATCACAGTCGCGAGTATGATCGCCACCTTTTCGACTCTTGCCATTGGCGTCTTGCGCGTGTATACTATACCCAGGCTGAGTAACATGCAGATGAAGGAGACTACAACACCAATCGTTGCACCGACGTCGACCTCGAGATACTCCTTTCGGCGTCCAGTCGCCAGTAGAGTCGCTGACATCAGAAGAAGGACATAAGATAGTATGACGAGTCCAGCAGACATGCGACTGCGCGTTCGTTCAAACCCTCGTTGGCGACGCGAGAGTCGCATGCGATAGCGCTCGGCAGGTCTAATATGACCTTTGAGACCGTTATGTTTGGGTCGGCTAGGAGCTGTCTCTCCATCAGACTCTGACGATTGCTCTCCCTCATCCGCACTGGAACGATCAGTCAGAAGAGGTGAACGTTCGCTTGCACCTCCACTCTTGTCCCCACCAGTAGTCGTCCACAGCTGATTCAAGGTCTTCTGCGCTGAGGCGCGAATTTTCTTCAAGGTAGCCATACCTAGTGCTTCTGCGTCCGGGTCAATGTAAATGGTGTAGGCTTCCTGCTGGTACAATTCGGAACCAGGGTCGTCATACTCACTATAATAGCGTGCTGTTCGAGTGGGGCTTTCGGCGTCGATTCGAGCCTTCTTCTTTTTTCTAGTGGTCGGTTCTGAGGTCGACTCTGCAAGGCGCAAGTCGTTCATCGATGTAACTGGACTGGTCTCTGAGCCAGCTGAGTGTTCTGGTACAGCAGAAAAGACGCTGTCGCCAGTTGACGAAGGTCCAGATGTTGTGCCAGACGCAGGTTCTGTGGTGCGCCGAGTACGACGAGACTGTACAGGTACTTTGCGGATATCCTTGGTCAGTAATGGAAGCCAACAAGGCTTAACTAAATCTGGATACTGGCTGCGTATTGCAGCAGCCTCTAGAGCAAAACCCGTGACCCTTTCAGCTAGATGAGTTGTATCAAATGCCCTTACAACTTCAGGCTTTCTTCCAAATTCCCATCGTATCTGCAAGACCGCATGGGGAAACGGTTGTTGTTCGGCGATGTCATTGTTGGATGCCTCCAGAATGTCCTTGTTGAAGGGCCGAAACGAGACATTTGTGTCGAGAGTTGCGAACGTTCCTACCTCGGCCGAGTTATTGAGGCCGACTAAGCGCAATCGTCTTGTGTCTTGTAGAGCCAAAGCTTTTAGGTCACGATGTTGGGACAAGAAATCCTTGACTGTACTGACGTTAGCAGCACTACTGGATCGTTCTTTTGGTGCAGGTAGATCTCTGTCCAAAGCCGCTTGAAGGTCTTTCCGTCTGATGGCTAGAGTGGAATTGTGGTCAGACTTGGGGGACATATCGGACAAGGTAATCAAGGCCTCCTTTTCGTGTGACCAGAGAGCGCACATAGCTATCTTGGAAGGACTGTGCGTACTCTGATCTTGTATAAAGCGGTACACGTTGTCGAAGTAGCAAGTTGATACAGATCGTTCGCTTGCGGGGGGAGCGACATCCTCAGTCACGTTGTCCATGGAGTGGTTTCGAAGCAATGTATATGGGAGGTTCAAGTCCCGCATGTACCGCAACAACAACACCTTGGCTTCTTCCAAATCGTCCATGTGTATCCAGTACGTCGCCGTACCAGCAGCCTCACCAAACGGAACTGAAGCCACGGCTGCATCGAAGTAAAGAGCCCCGGCTTGAGCATGTTTTGTGATCCGAGAGACAGGCGATTCTATTTTGGTGGTGGACAGGTTCTGGCCTTGGTCATGTGAACCAGGCTGGAAGAGGTCAGCCTGGAGACGTTCGATAACCGAGATTTGCGCGGCAAGGTGCTGCATCTGTTCAGAGACGTTGAGCTCTAATTGTCCGTCACAGAAGACGCCAACCTCCAGGCGCGCGCGCAGAGCGTCGGATTTTGTCCATTTCCGGTATTTCTTCAGTATCTTGCGGAAGGCAATCTTTTGTACAGTGGCGAATCTTGACAAGGCCTGTATGTCTTCTCCTATGCTTTCTGCTTCCTGTGCCAACCGTTGATACCTTCGAGCCTGCAAGGAGGGTCTACCAGCATACTGCTTGGCTGCACGTTTGGCCGACTTGACTGTCTTGTCCAAATAAGCCAGACGTCTCTCAGTCTCGCCGTATTTGCTACGCAGGAACATGCCAATGTTGTCATATTGCTCTTTCAGTATGCCATAGAATTCGTCTTCTAGAAGGGACCACCTGTGATCGGACTGTCCAGGAATGGGTACAGGTGCGGCGGCGCCATTTGTGGTCCGTTGCTTTATCAGTTTCTTGAGCTCGTTGTAGTTGAGGTTATATGCTGCCCACTTCGGTACCGATCGTTGGTACAAGGTCTCTCCAAACTTCATGATAGCTGTAGCTTGGAGTTTTAGGTCAGGCGCAGGTGCAGCCCTGAGACATAGATCTTGAGATCGCGGACATATAACGAAGTCAGAGTCTTATGCTAGCAGTCTGCTTGAATGGTTGAACGAGTCCAAGGAGCAATGACAACGTTAACCAGGGTTGTCTCTATGCGACTTCACGGCTAGAACCCTGCTGCAGAAAACCTTAATGACCAGGTTTAGTGACCGGGACGGCTCCCAGGCAATGATGCGCGTGAGCAGGAACAAAGCGTTCTGGCCAACTATCCAAAGCAGCTATAGTATGTACAATGCGAAGGACAATTCCAACGTTGGTCTGGCGGGCAGTAGTTTATGTTGCTTCACACTAGACGCAAGTTTTGCAGAAAAGCAGGAACGACATCAAGCCATGAGCGAATCGCGATTCTGTGCTGCTGTACAAGTACCTGCCGCTTCCCGCACTACCAATGATATCGACTCGAACCAGTACTAGCACAGCCGCACTAAAACTTGAATGTGGCTGCAGAGCGAACTCAAACCCACGTCTGAGCCTTGCTGCACGAGAAATGCTGCGCTACAGTATTGGACAGACCTGCGGAATTTGGATGATCATTCGATATATTTGCGGTTGTAAATTTCCGTATTGACGATGCGCAGTGCATTTGCGAAGAACAGTTGATGAAGCACGAGTCAGTTTAAACTCAACGCACGAGTGGCCGACGATCGCCCGTTACTGCATGTCAAAGTCGAAGGTAAAACGTTGAACACGGAGGGTTATCCAAGCAATCAAAGAGCGAGAAGCGGACGTCAGAGGCTGTGTTCCTAACGGTGCTCGGCCGCCATGCATTCGGTACTTGTGCTTGCGCTCTTGGCCAGACAATATGTAGACTCAAATGCTCGAACGCAGAAGCCCGTTGGCGATCCTGATAGAGCTCATGCTTGTGCTAGGTTTCGTCGACTGAGTATTGCATTGCCTGTGTATTGCTTCGGACCGAGTTCGGACGGTGTCGGAGTCCGTCCCAATCGGGAAGCTTGTCGTGTGACCAGGGGTTGCTGGTTTACAGCTCCATGTCGATGAACCGCTTTCGCCACTCAATAGCTCAACCTACAAGTACAGTATATACAAACTACTTGCCTGCTCAGCAACAGCCGCCAGCTGCTACTCGAAACGAGCAATGCAACGCAGTCGGTGTTTTGTACAATCGTGGACATAAAGCTGGAAAATATTCGGAAACAATATGTGGGGAGTAGTGACTCTTCAATCCGACTTCTGTGTTGTCAGGGCAGCATCTCTGTATCCAAACACTCTTGTCAAGTTCTCGAATTCTACAGTGTTTCCGAATCCCCATCGGGATGACCAGAACAAGGTGAAGATAGAGTTCGTGGAGATAAAGCAAACGTTATTGGCGACTTGAGATTGTGTTCTTGACGCATCAACTTGACTCTGAATGCACTTCCAATATCAGCAGCCACTACTATACGTAGAGCATGTCATCGTTTGTAGCAGCATCCCGTTACTTTCTGTGGCAGTGTTTTTTACTTCAGAGGCCTTCATTATCTGGGATCTAGATGTGCCATGATCTAGTAAACTCACATCTTCCACGATACGTGTGCATGAGTACAAGTACTATACAACGGTCAGTCGAGTTGTTCATTAACCGGGTCAACCCCTCCTTCTTCCCTCGCACCAGTCTCGCATCTTAGAAGCTGAAACAAAAGCACACAGGGAAGGTAGTTGAACTCTATTCAGCGACGAGAAGTCTTACTCGCTGGCACCTCGTACTGCAAATGCAAACCACTAGCCAAGATACAGTACATTCTGACAGCGGGTCCTGACAGCCAAGCCGGGCCGGTCACCAGTGCTTGAACAGGCAAAATTGAACTTTTGCACTCACAAGTCCAAGACAAATTACGAGTGGAGGTCGATAAGACAGCAATTTCTATCAGCATTAATCAAAGATTATCGACATCAAAGGATACTCACCCCAACACTTCTTTAAACGTACGTACATAGGTAGAGTCACTGGTCCTTGCTTCATTGAGAGCGAACGGTTTCGTTATCAGGGTGAGTTGGGACCCCTGCCACTTTTGTGCTTGTGTATCAGAGCATCGACGATCAAGATATGCCTTCTCAGGTAGCCACAGTTTGTGTAGCATTTGATCGTAACTGTTTTCCAGACCTTCTTCTACACGTGAGCCACAAGTCTCCGAGACTAACTGACTCACCACCTGCCACATCGTGAGCGTGCCGATGTTTGTTGAGCGTATTGCTAGACGGTGGCACTTGCCGTTCTAACCTCTGCAACTAATGTCTTGGCACAGACTCGTCTGCGGAGCCGTGCTCGAGCAGACAATGTTGCCGGTCAAAATTTCTGGACACATACCTGACAGAGATAGGCGCAAAGGCATGATTTTATGATCCAATAGCATGAGGGCAAAGATTTCTGCTGCAGAATAATCACAACCTATGCTGCAACAACATCGTAACTTTGGCAGTCGGCGCTTACCTTCCCACGTTCAAGAATGGCTGCAGCTGTAGTAAACGGCAGCCACCATGCTTTCAGTCTGACTTCTTTTCTCGAACATGAGCCACAGCAGTTTCTGCAGCCGACACTCGAGCATCAGCAGGCTGCTATTGCTGCTGTCAAGGCTATACTCGATCCTCTTGCAAGTCACGTCGTAGACACCCAAACCTCGAGGCGCAACGAGAACAGAAGGAAAAGAAAGAGAGGAAGTGATGAGACAAACGATCCTGTATTACAGTTGCGCCAGATCTACACCAATGGAGTACCCGTCAAACAAGTCTGGGAACAGGCACGAAGAGTGCTAGATGCTGCCTGCGCTGAGATTGAGCTAGGTATTGACGAGCACCTCCAACAGCATGGCGCGTCTGGAGGGCTTCTGAATGGCAATGTGTCTGAGGATGGAGTCGGCTACGAACATGACGGTATGGAGGTTGACGAGGGTATGGAGATCGATGAAGACGATGATATTGGCTCGGATCCGGAAGAGGAAGACATTGAAGGCGATCTGGAAGTGGGTGGAGCAGAAGAGGAGGAAGACATTGAAGACGACATAGATGTCGAGCAAGATATGGACGAAGACTTTCACGAGACGCCACAATCCACATACCGTCCAGATCCGAACAATCTCAACGACGGCTTTTTCTCCATAGACGACTTCAACAAACAATCACAGTTTCTTGAGCAGATGGATGCTAGAGGTGACGACGATAACCCATCGGACGAGGACGAAGTTGACTGGGATGCTGATCCCCTAGCACAACCATCGCAGAAGTCACGGACCAGTCGAGACCTTCGTAAGCAAGAGCCTGAGAATGAAGATACTGAGGACGAAGAGGGAGGCCCTACCTTCGGCAATGCAGATCTACACGCGCCAGAAACCGATGAAGAGGGTGCGAACAGCGAGATCGACGGGGGAGAATTAGAAGGCATGCTGTCTGGCCTTGTCAATACGAACGACATTCGTTACGCCGATTTCTTCGAGCCTCCACCCAAGAAGCCTTCCAAATCGAAAAGAACCAGAGCTTTGCCGAAGACACAGCCTCCTCCCGTTCGCAGTAACACAGGAGCTGACCAGCAAGAGCAGGAGAGTGACCTAGAAAGAGCAATGGCTGACGTCCGCAGAGACCTACTGGATTCGGACGAGGAAGTAGATAAAGACGAAGAGGAGGTTGAGGACGACTCAGACGTCTCTGATAGTGATGCTCTGCCTCGCTTATCAGCTTCGAAGATCAGAGATAAGAATTTATCAACGCATGAAAAACAACGCCTCCAGATTGCCGAAGAAATTCGTCGGCTTGAAGCATTAAATGTGTCTAAGAAGCCATGGACATTATCTGGTGAGGCATCAGCTCAGGCTCGACCGTTGAATAGTCTAGTCGAAGAAGACCTAGACTTTGAGCGCACTGGAAAACCTGTTCCTGTCATTACAGCAGAAATAAGTACAGACATTGAAGCTCTTATTAAGCGACGTATACTTGCACGAGACTTCGATGAAGTCGTGCGTAGACGGCCAACATCTCTAGACTCTGCGGCGGATGCTCGAAGAGGTCGTGCAGATGTCGTGGTCGACGATACGAAATCCAAGGTCGGGCTTGGCGACGTCTACGAGTCTGAATATCAGCGAAAGACCGATCCTACCTCCTATGTTGACAGCCGTTCAGCAGCGACCAAGAAACAGCATCAAGACATAGACAAGTTGTGGAAGGAAGTACGAGACCAACTGGACATTCTTGCAAATCTACACATCAAGCCCAAGAGGACAGAAATTGAGATCAAGACTGTCGAAGACAAGCCGAGAATTGCCATGGAGGACGCACGACCCGCCATCTCGTCAGGTATTGACGATAACGGCACGATGCTGGCACCACAGGAGATATACAAACCAGGCACAGATTCGCGAGCTGCCACCGGAGAGGTGCTGAGCGCTAAGAGTGGTGAGACGAGAAGCAAAGAGGAAATGACCCGAGAAGAAAAGACCAGAAGACGCCGTAGAGAGAAAGAGCGACTCAAGAAAGCTGGGCAGCAAAAGCAGAACAGTAGCACAGGACAAGCTGGCAAGTCAACGAAGCGTTCCGAACAGGCAAAGGTGCTCAAAGATTTGCAGAAAGGTGGTGCAAAGGTGATCGGAAAAGATGGACAGCTGCAGGAGCTATCTGCGAAGAAGAACAAAGGAGACAAAGATGCAAGCAGGACCAGTACTGTCAGTGGCGGAGCTATGAAGTTGTAGAAACATCATATACGTCAACATTCCACAAGGACTAACTACACTTGACGAGAGAGCCAAGATCAGTTGCCAGAAGACAAGGCTCTATTTCCCCTCGTCCCATTCCTTCATCAACCCCTTACCATTGCTCTCAATCGTCTCCTCGAACCCTTCAATTCGACTAACCATAGCCCAAGGCTTCAACTCCTTCTCCTTAACAACAGTATCTCGAAAACAACCACTCCACCCTCTACGATCGTAGACCTCATTCACAGCCCTGATAGTATCCGGATGCACCAACTCCTTCCCAGCACCAATATTGTCCAACAACGTACCCATATGAATCAAACGCGTCAACAACGAGATCCGCCCTTTATCTTGCACATCCTGATGGCGTATAATGGCCTCCGCGATACTCTCCGCTTGCTCCCTGCTAGCGACGCCCCTACTCTGTCCAACATCATCACCGTGGTGTGGTGCCGTTGCGGATTCATTCTGCAAAATCTCAAGCGCGTGGTATCCAGCCCAGAACTCGTAGCTAAGTTTTGTGCTAACGATGTGCTCGGGCGTGGTGCCGATGTCGTGGAGCATGGCTGTGATGAACCAGGATTCGTTGAGTTTGGCGTTCGAGTCTAGGTTCCATTGTGGGAAGCATTGGTTTGCGATTGCACAGCCGTAGGTGTAGACGCGGAGAGAGTGTGAGTATGTCTGGGGTGGGAGCTTGGCTTTGGTGTAGTTGTTGATACGGCTTGCTAGAGATGTTGAAGGGACGGGGAATTGGGTTGGTGTTAGGGCTTGGGGTTTGTCGGTTGCTGGTTTTGTAGCGGACTGATCGGCTGGGAGGGTTGGTGTTAGACCGTAGAGGGTGTTCGTGTCTGTTGACATCTTATCTGTGAGTTTTGTGCAGCTGCTGTTCGTCTTGCTTGATTTGTTAGCAGGTCAGTGATCTGTAGGTGGTTGTACTAATTCAGTCTTTCAGTGCTTGGCTATGGGTGAACAGACTCGGTTACAGTCTCGGGTTTCAGTACGAGCGAGAACATGGCTTATATGTCAACAAAACTCATATTACTCTCATTATGCCGTTTTGCCATCAGGATCTTTTCAGATTGTGCTGATGAAGAATCTATCGCCAATCAAGGAGCTCCGAACGACAGGGACAGAAATCAAGCGCAAGGCGTGTGTCGGTATAAATTTACATGTTCTCCGCACTGTTGAAGCTTACTACCTCAGCAAATTAGCCGAAAACGTTGCTGCAAAGATTCCTGCTAAGACGCTGTCCATAAGATATTATCGTAATGTGATACTGATGGACGTTTTCATGTCTTCAGCAAGGCGCTTGTTTATTCACATATCCACCGTCCAAGCATATTGTCAGGTTCCGAAGAAGTTGCTCACATGAGGCTGCTCGTGAAGCGGTAATGCTTACATCCCCTTAGCACGACTTTTTCCCGAACAGCATTAGCTTCACACTGAAGGAAAATGCTACGGCTGTATAGAGGACCAGTAAGACGGAAACAGATGGATGTGGATGGTCAACAAATCGATTCTACAGCAATGACTGGCGAATGAGCCTCTACATGCTGACCCTGACAAGCCACGTGGGGGATATCCTCGCGACATTCATAGCTGTGTAGTCAACCCTAAGATTGTTCTTCCTCGTGTAATGTTGGATCTCGCGGTCTGTCGCTACACTATGCACCTGAGCTCAAAGAGCAGGAAATGATCCCCATTGCAACACGAGGCAACCGAGCTGTGTTAACGATGCAGCTTTACGTCATAACAACTCAGTCACGTGACATTGATTAGCTTTCGTAAACTCGACACTAGATTTCGCTGGCCTGACCAACCACGACGTAATGCGCACGACTTCGTGTTTGTTGTAAGAAACTTGCCTGCTACCTCGTGATCGACATGCTCGCAAGAACTAAACCTTTTTGGTTGAGCTATACCACGAGCACTTGTAAGTTCCAAGATCGTTAGCTTGTTATAGGTGTTGGCGCGTCGTATGCAGCCATCTGTAGATTGGAAAAAGCGAGACAAAACAAGTTCAAATCAGGCTTGATGTCACAACCCTGTGCCGTATCTTGGTAGTGACCAAGCTCGGCCTCGTCTGGTAGTCCTGTTATATCAAGACCGTTCCCATTCACTCAGAGTTTCTGATCTCCAGATCTTCGTTTCTGCCCCAACGCTCCGAGACACTCACACAAGCTTGTAACAAACCTGTACAAACCTGTACAAACCAGTCATTCCCTCAAGAACAAACCAAAAGGGAATCCATTCCTCACACAGAACACAAGACAACCACAAACCAACCAAGAGGACGACTAAACTGTTGCCGATATGCCTCTTACTTCCACCCGCAGCACACGTCCATCATTGATGGCTCGTATTCGCGCCAAGACAGCCCCGAGACATAGCACGCGAGCTCATCACAGTACCACGCATACAACGACAACGACAATGGGGCCGCCACGTACCAGCCGTCGCTCTCGTCGTACCCATGCGCCAGTCACGACAACCACCGCAGTACCGGTACATCATCACCAGCGTAAAGCTAGTATAACTGATAAGATCAGCGGAGCCATGCTGAAACTGAAAGGAACCTTGACCAGGCGATCAGGTCAAAAGGCAGCTGGTACCCGAAGGATGAGAGGAACTGATGGTAGGGGAGCAAGGAGATACTACTAAACTCTCGTCCCACAAGGACAACCTGGATTCCAAAACTGTTGGAGGAAACCAGGTGACTGTTGTACAATTTCTATAGCCAGTGTTGGTGTGAAGCAAGACAATGTACTCATAATGTTATTGAATAGTTCAGGCTCCATGGTGCTCTTGCCAGTATTGATAATGCACCATACTTCGGGCAAACCACTCCTCCTCAGGAAGTGTGTGGTATATTGGTGCTCCTCGTCGTATTTGAGGAGTAAGTCGCAATCATCTTGTTATTGCTATCACACATCGCGTGCGGTAAGTTTGTGGAGAAAGACGGAAGCCTGTCTGTCCTGATCGCGATCATCGTATTCGACCTCCTCGACCTTGAATGTTTTGTTCATGTCACGGATGAAACGCATATCAGCCTTTCTTCGTTTCTTGAAACAAAAGTAGCAGACAGTGGAGGGTCCAATGAGATCCTGGAGCGTCTGCAGCAGCAAGGGAAATGCAGGCTCAAAGTATACACAGTCAGCAGCAAGAACCACGTCAGGACAGTGACTGCTGTCAGCGCCCGACTGTGGTAGATGCGATGCAACCGCGACGGGTATTGGCTCACCCCAGTCGTAAACTTCAGCCTGTACCTTTGTATCGAGGGCGTTGAGAGCTACATTCTTCTGCATCAGAGAAAGCATTGGAATCTGGTCGGTGACAAGCAATTTCTTATCGTTGTCCATAAGGCAGCCACTTGCCACAGCAAGACCAACCAGTCCTCCACCAGCTCCAATTTCCACTATGCTCTTCGATCGCAAATCACGATGATATGTGAGCATGTATTTGGCGAGCGTCATTCCAGCTGGCCAGAGCTGACCTCCGCATCCTTCTTTGAGGTCTTCATGAAGAAGAAGTGGTTTTGGCAACAATCCATCAAAATCTGTGCTCGTAGTGCCTGCAGCTTTATTCTGCCTCTCTGGAACAATACCTAATGCAAAGACATCATTCTCAGGCGATGAGGATCTTGAATTCATTGTTGTTACGAAATATATCCGTACAAGGCATAGCGATCCCGATTTACCAAGGCTGGAAAAAACGTGGGAAATTACGAAGCCTAGGTTGTCTCACCGATATCACCTGTAATTGGTTGGGAAGGTAAAGCCCGGGAAAGATAGACGGTGGAAAGAACCACAAACTCGTGCAAGACCATTGTTTAGGATATCACAACCAGTGCTGCATTTCTATAATTTAAAACAGTATCGAGAATCTAGACAAGTGAGGTTAAAAGAAGCCAACCACGTTTAGTATTGCACTTGAGACGAATTTGAAAGTGTCAGGTGAAGAATCTGCTTGGTTACATCATACTTCGCGTGTCGTCATTGCTTGGAAGCTGTTGGACCTTGCAAGCTCGTGTGTGACTTGAGCAGGGCAAGCACAAGCCACTAGAGGCTAGGCCGAAGCATCTCGTCACTGCTTCAACCTCCTTCAAATTCGCAGTTTCTAAACACAACTTTGTTTACTTCCCATCATCCATCTCATCAATCACCAAAACATTCGAAATCAACTCTCCTCATCTTTCATCTACTAAACAGACGCAATGGCCACTCTTCACTGTAAGTTGCTTCGCGGAAGCTCGCCAGCTCCAGCTTCGAGCTTGCTGATAAGCACTTCCATCCTATGTAACAGAGCTGATCTTTCATCAGACCTTCCACCTGTCAAGCCATCGGCTATCGCCCTCGGCATCGTCTTCAACCAGGTCTCATCCGTCGCCGTCCTCGCACCTCTGTTCGGTGACACATACCACAGAGCCAAGGCCGCTGACAGCAAGGAGGAGTTTTTCAAGTCAAAGGAAGCTGCCACAGCTGCCGCCAGCTGGGGTTCGTCCATTGTCGGATCCGCAGTGCAGACATACGGTGTCGCAGCTTTGATCAATGCCACTGGTACCCTTAGCTACAAGGGTGCGGCTTACCTCGGCTCGCTGATCTTCTTTGCATCTGCTGCTCCAGCTGTAAGTTTCGCCCATGCACTACAGTCTTACGAAGTCTGACCGCCTTTAGCTCGTTTCTGCTGTCGTAACTGAGAAGAGACCTATTGACACTGTCGCCGTTGGTGTCGTTACCCGAATCTTTGAGACTGTTGGCCTCAGTTTGTTCCTGACATACTGGGGTACCCGAACCAGCGTTTTCGACTAAATATCTGGGATAAACTTTGCCTCGAATAACAGGATGTTTGCAGCGTGAATGACTGTGCAGGAGGATTGATGCATCAGCCAAAGCAGCAAAGTAGTCTTGGAGTTGTATGATAGCTAGCAAGAATTTTTACCGGTGTCTCAAGAATGAATAGTAACCGCTGAAAACAAAAACTTTTATCCTTGCCTCTTGTTATTGTTTGATTTCTGCCGAACTTCACGTCTGCTGACAGCGTCCGAGCAGGAAATTCTTGCTGTGTCTTGCTCATGGCTTGCAAGGCTGTTCCAGAGACAACAGTATTAACGACCATCCATTCTCACCGCCCTAAAAGTCTAAAGCAATCATCTGTACTGTATACGACCATGCTGCACGACAGGCATTCACTCAAGCCACGACGTGTGTTGTATACCTCAATGCCTGAGAAGTGCAACTTGCGTGTTCTGTAAGTATCACGAACGACAGCATTGAAAGGGCGCCAAGTTGCGTCTGAAAATCCAAGAGAAATTAGTTCCTTGCAACTTGATGCTTCAGTTTGCACAGATACCAGCAATGCTGAGCCCATATTTTGAACGATTACCTCTCTCTACAAGCTCACAATCTCTGAAAGTCTTGGGCGATCACTATACTGCCGGACTTGAAGTCTCTCAGATATATTGCTCGAGAGGTACTACTGTCACATTTGACATCTATTCGCGATCTTCTCGCGCGTATTTTGAGCTGAGAAGTTGACTGCTAGTGTCCCCTGGTCATCTGAGCCATAGTGTGTCGAAGTGGTAGATTGTATACAGAAAGAAGTGGACGCATCTCTACTGAAAGGTCGATTTAGTAGTAGTAGAAGAGACTGCAGTCTAGCCATGTGTCTCTCAATCCAAGAAGAGGAAGCAGCAGTGGAAGAGTTAGCAATGACCTAGACGTGACAGAGGGATCATGGCATGTACTGGCCTCGAAAGAGAAAGTAAATTATGGATACTCCTAGTCTAACACAAAACCGTCAGGCACTGCAGCATTAGATGTCGATGGTTTGTGTTGTCGCTGCGGAAGCTCATTTCCATCTGCCTGACCATTATCATTCCAATGACTTCCATACACCAATGATTGCTGTCGTACATCATACATAGCCCAAGTTCAATGTTAGGCTAAGTCAAGATATGTATCCTTCTGATATTGCCTGTGCACTATGCACCATGCGCCATTTCCCCGAACGCCGCCTGACAAAGCAGCACCGAAAAAAAAGGGATCAAGAGAACAAGGGTGTCCTTCAACCATCGCTTGCTGAGTACGAAACGTGATCTGCACAATCTCTTGCTCCTTGTATGTTACTGCTCATTCTTCGTCCAATTCTCGCTTCACTTCCTGTTCGTTCCCCTCCTTTTCAGCAGTGATGTCGCTTGACTCCGAGATGGATCCGACTACCAAGCCGAAGAAGCAATAGTAAACGAAGAGGCAGAAGAAGGCGGCCATGAAGATGGTGAAGCCGAACATGCCGTCGTATACGAGTAGTCGGAGCCTTTCAATCATGGCGTCCTGCCAATTCCTATCCCCTAACCACGACTCGTGGAAGATGTGCGTCAAGCTGTAATCCATGTTGTATTCAGTGATAGTCGCGTGATGTAACGCGTCGAAAGATTACTACTGAAATGAGTGCCCGTGGACAAGAGGTAAGGTTTTTGCTGTGATGGGCTGATGATGTCGCGGGACCGTTTGTGAAGTGGTGAAGCGTCACGCAACAAAGGATGAAAGCTCTACTAAATGATTGTCAGCAGGGCCTAGACATGAGCTCACAGCATGCGAGCGCAGATTGGTCGCATTCCACAGGGGGGAATCGGGACCTAGTCACGTCTCAGTCCTATCTTTGAGCCGCACGTGCTCAAGTACATCACGTAAAGGCACTCTTTGTGCCGTTCATGAGTGAGGTAGACCCTGCACCTGTTTCACAAATCTATCTCCCAGTGATGTTATCATTGTGTTCAATTTAGGTCGCGACATTATCGAAGTCGCAGGAGGAGCTCCGCACTTTCCGTTCCATATGCTTAAGTGCTTAGGTCATCAACACAGGAACACAGCGTTCCGAGGTGAACAGCGAAGCCCGCCAAAGTTCTCAACCCCACCGTGTCCAAACAGGAGCCAAAGAGACATCTTTCCAAGCTGCAGAGAAGCTTGTCCAGGGTTACTTTCGAAGCCATGTGGTGTTGTCATGGTTTGTATAAATCTCTCGGCGCAGAAGGCGGCATGCGTAGTAATCAAATCATGCTTGATGGTTGCGTGTTGACGATTACACGGCCTCTCGAAAGAACGTTCTGTCGGCGTACAACTTTTCGTGGTTTCTCGGCCGCAATTAAAACTTACTACTCTCCACGTCGAAAGTCTTGTGTCTAGTGCTTATCTCCTGCGAGTTACGTAGATTTCTGCACATATCCACGCTATGGCGCAACGACCAGCAGTAGAGCGGACGCAGACAAATACAGGCAACCCTCTTACCTCGCCGATGCCACATAACTCAAACCCAATGGAGAAACAATTTGCGCCCAAAGTGCCTGTTGAGTTGAACGAGCCTAAGCAGGACCTGATCAGCAAAGAGGAGCTGGCCAAAGCAAATGGTGCGGAAGTAACGTTCAATAAGCCCGTCAAGCAGAAGCACGAGACTGATACGAGCTGAACAAATAGGTACCGACCATCCAGAAGGCAAGATCTATGTCGCGATCAAGGGCGTGGTATTTGATGTGACCAGGAACAAGGCTTATCAACCAGGAGGTTCCTACCATGGTATGTGTGAATCTTATCGGAGGGGGAACAGTGGTGGAAACTCGGCGAGCTTGATTACTGACGAGTGCGTGCAGTGTTCGCCGGCAAAGATCCTTCCCGTGCTCTCGCCTCATCCAGCCTGAAAGCAGACGAATGTGTCCCAGATTGGTACGATCTAGAAGAGGAGAAGAAGACGGTGCTGAACGACTGGTTCAAGTTTTTCAGCAAGCGATATGATATTGTTGGAAAGGTGGATGGTGCAGACAACTTTGATCCCTCGACGTGAGGACAGCCACTATAGGAGAGCATAATGGAGCACACGGAAATGACAACTCAACAACTCACGCACGAGAACTGGTGCTCCGGACATGATCAATTGCAGCAATTGCCTATTGTCCGCTGCCTCAATTTCAAGACAAGAATTCTGAAGGATTAGAACGGATCATCTCATGCAAGCTCAACTAGTCTATATGTTGGCACAGACGTTCGCATCCATCATCTCCTGGCCTTTCTCTTCTGTCTCTTCTGCGCAATTATCCTGTTCCGAGCAGCAACCTTATTCTTTTCATCTTGATCACCTTTTGCCACTCCGTTTTTATCATCAGGAGTGTCCTTTTTCAGCTTCTTTCCGGGAGACCCATTCTTGTCACCATCCGGACCTCTCTTCCTCTTCTTCCCTTTGTCGACACCCACTTCATCCATGTCCTCATCGTCAGCTTTCTGGTCGTCACGATTCCTTCTGTCCTTTACTCGCTTCTCCCGATCGTTTCTTCTTTGCACAACCTGAGCATTCTCGATCGCAAATTCCACGATCAGTCTCTTCCCCCTCTCGTCATCAACATCCTGTTGATCCTTCGGCTTCTTCACCATGTGACCGTTCAGCCACCTCAGACCCATGAGCGCACTGCGATGGCCCCAGTACTCCACGAATCCATAGCCTCGACTCCTGCCACCTTTGCCTTCGCTGATTTTAGTACCAGTCTTGTCAGATTCATACACAATCTTTGCTTGCTTGACCACGCCTTTACCTGCCGCTTTTCGTTGTTGTTCAGCAACCTGTCCAGCTGCGCCATCACGAGCTAACTCTTCTTTACTGATGGGTTGACGAAGTCCTGTTTTGACGTCTGAGGCAAACCCAACAATTGCTTCTCGAGCTAATTGTTTCAGTGCCTTACCGTCAATCCAACGAGGTAGGTTTCTAATGCTCAGACGAGTGAGAGACAAGCCCAGGTTTGGATTGGACTTGACCAATTTCTGTCGCTGTTTCGCACTCGAGGCGCGGATGTCTAGTTCTGTTTTAGACAACGTGGAGTACAAACTGCTGCTAGGTGACACTGTGCCCTCAGAGAGTAGGTATAGGCGCCGTTTGTCTGACAACTGTTTGGCACGGCGAGTCTGTTCGGATTCTGAGGCACGAGTATCGGCCTCGACCTTTGGTAAAGCACGGGTGATGTATAGTAAACGCGAATTGAGCGTGTATTTGCCTGTCGGATCTGCATTTTCGTTCTGCAAAATCGACGACTGTTGTCTTGAATGAGTTTGACCAGCTGCAGTAGCTGATTCTGATTTTGGACAGTTCTTTACGCAAGCTTTTGCATCGTCCTCGAGCCGGAAGCACACGAAGGCTGTGCCTCTCGGACGCTCAGTTTCGTGATCAAAGACTACACGAGCATAGCGAATGGGTCCAAAATTCTGCTTGAAATGTTCGGCGAGAGTTTCATCGTCCGTGTCATACGGTAGGTTGCGTATAAAGACTGTAGTGCTCTCGGTGTTGAACTTCGAGGCCGTTTGTGTAGCATCTGCATCAGCGGCAAGATCAGAGATGTCGTCGGCTGACAAGTCTGCGTCATCCACGTCTTGTTCGTCGTCCGATCCGTCTTGTTGTGCCTCGTCGCCCTTAAGGTTCGACTCATCTTCATCCACATCTACCAGTTGTGCTCCCTCTTCACTAGCCTCATCGTCTGAACTAGTAAGTGTCTCTTTCTGCTCGATTGAAGTGACAGCAGCCTGCTTGGTATCCTCGCCGTTTGGTTGCACGTCTTCCTGCCTAAGTTTTTGCCATGTCTCCTTGTCTACTGCCCAATCAACAGCCAGTGTACGTCCATCGACAACTTTGCCATTAACACCTCGCAGTGCATTCTCAGCATTCTTCTTACCTCTGATTATCACGATACCAAATCCAGCCTGAGTATCCTTTTTCGTGGGTATTTGTGGCACTACAGCATGCTTGACCTTGCCATAGCTCAAGAATAACTTTGTCAGGTCTTCTGCAGTCTTGATACTCCACGGTAAATTTCTGACTATAAGCTTTGGTGGTTGATTATCCTGCTGCTGCTGCGCTCTCTTTGCTCGTAACTCTTCCGCTTTCGCGTTCTTAGATACTGCTCTACCCTGGGTGTGTTCGTCAACTTCACGGTTTCGTGCTTCAGCAGGCTCGACCTTGATCTTCCGGCCATCTAAAACCGAGTTATTGAATTCAGCTAGAGCATGTTGCGCATCCTCGGCATCGGCAAATGTTACGAAACCAAAGCCTCGAGAGACTTTTGTCTGTGGATCCAAGACGACCGTAGCATGTTTGAGGGGGTACGATTGGGAGAAGTGCTCGATCAGTCGATCTTTGGTGACTGATGCTGGAAGAGATCGAACGAAAAGCGAATGTCTCTTGTTCGCAACAGCGGCAGCTTCTGTGACATTTTCTATGACTTCGTCGCTCGCGTCTGACAGCTTGCGCCGTTTTAATACCGGCTCCATATCTTCTCTTTGTGAATATCAGGATAGACTGGAGGGCAGCTTTTTGTATGGATAGTCCAAAATTTTGTTATCTCCAGGTAACATTGCTAATCGCCGACCAGGGTGGAGCATTGGCACATCGCGACAAACGCGCTTCAATTTGTGACAATCAGGTTGCCTGTTTTTGTGCCAGTATAGCAGGCTTACCGGCATACTTTATCAGTCACGATGGTACCAATGTATGGCAAGCAACGTTTGTGACTCGACGAATATAGAACTTCGATATGGCAGAATTTGATAACCCGAACTTTGTGACAGCTAATCTAGATCGCCCCGCTGGCAGAAATCCCAATGCCAGCAACAGCGATAGACCCAAGGTTGTGCAACCGAAGCCACAGGCCCTACCGGCACGACAAGGACCTTCTGCCATTCTAGTCTCAACTAGACAGAAGGGCAACCCGATTCTCAACTATGTCAAGAGTCTACCATGGGAATACTCGGATATCCCTTGCGACTACGTGCTTGGTGCCACGACATGCGCATTGTTCCTGTCATTGAAATACCATCGACTTCATCCGGAGTACATCTACAGTAGAATCAAACAGCTTGGCAGGTCATACAACCTGCGGATCATGCTGACTATGGTGGACATCGAGAACCATGAACAAGCACTACAGGAACTTTCGAAGACATCCATGATCAACAACTTGACCTTAATTCTGGCGTGGTCCGCACAGGAGGCTGGTCGCTATCTAGAGCTCTTCAAGTCATATGAGTTCGCCTCCCCAAGTTCAATCCGTGCTCGGCAATCAGAGTCATGGCAGGAAAGTCTGACTGAGTTTATCACTACTCCACGCAACATCAACAAAACTGATGCTGCAAGTCTGATATCCAATTTTGGCTCCCTTCGAGGTGCGGTTAATGCTGAGCCTGAAGAGCTAGCACTTATTCCAGGCTGGGGCGAGAAGAAGGTTAAATCCTGGTATACGACAGTACGAGAACCTTTCCGTATCAAGCGAGCCGCAAGAGCCAACCCGCAACTATTGAGGCATGAATCAAGCATGGCAGATGGACAACCCAGCAGCAGTACATTAGAGCGACCTAATGCAATCCATGTCAGTAACTCAACAGGCGCCACGAGCGAAGACCACAGTCGTATCACTTCCGCGGATCAATCAACATCTACAGGCAGTCACAAACGGAACCGACTGGATGATGTTCTACCGGAGGACGAGTTCGACAAAGATGACGAAGCTGCCATGATTGCAATTGAACAAGCTGCTGAGCCGAGGCCTGGAAAACAGGACGCTGACAATCGTAGGTCAGAATCATCAACAGCTAGGAAAGCCGATCCAGCACTGCCACCTGGTATTGCAGATGCCCTTGCTAAATATAGAGCAAGCACATGACCAATGATCGCCCTTGCAAAGTCAAAGTTGTCCCGGCGTAGCAGGGTTCGCTCAGAACGCTGTTTGTCCCTACCAGCAACCGACGAAGCTGTGATTCGCTAAGAATTGCACTAGAAGCCAGAGCATGCATTACTCCGCATGACCACTTCGGTATTAGGTCCTGGCAACAGAAGGACGATCAGACGAGTTTAAGAAGGGAGATCTCGAATATATTGATGAGCGCCGCAGTTGTTCAAGATAATTCCCGGATATGACTCCTGGTAGAAGCTGTTTTCCCTTCGACAGCGACAAAATATCGATATCGCGACTCGACCTACAATAAGGCAGTTGGACTTGTCTCGGCTTGGGTGCTGCAGTACTTGACACTGACCGGCACGAAATATCACGCTTACAACCTTCGACCTGCAGCTATTGACATCTCCCTTGAAACCACAAAGTCCACTGAAAATTAATAGACTCATGGATAATTCAGGTGCTGCCGCAAATGAGGCAACCTCGCAAAGCTTCACAGCCACAGGTAGACCGCTGTCTCTGTCGAAGGGCTCTGGCAGTGGCAGTGGCATGCATGCCTTGTTGGGAGCCGAGTCTTTAGGAGCAGGCCCGCCGAACCTTCTACCGGCACGCTTCCACCCCGAATCCATCATTAGCGTTCCTGTAATGGCGCCTGAAGACGCTTCAGATGCAAAGCTCTCCGACTTCCATGAGGACGACGACGATAACCCTATCAAATCCGGACCGAAATCGAAAGGTCGATTCAGCTTCTTCCGCCGCAAATCATCATCGTCATCGAAGTCGAAGAAGCCCGAGTTCGTGATGAAGGAAATGACCATTGCCGAATACTTGAAGCGTTATGCCAAAGATGACGACGGCAATTACGTCGGTACTCAAGATGCTGCGCCTGACTGTATATTGCGCAATGAGAAGGATAGGACTAAGTATAGGAAAGCTCATGCTTTTAGAGAGGCGATGGCGACAGGAAATGCTCCCACTTTCATAGTCTGACTGCGAAGGAAGGATACTGATGGACGGAGGTAACAGACCCAGGCTATAGCTCGCTTCAGGTCAATAGTATCGTATCTGACAGCTCCCACTCTTGTGCGTGAGGAATACGCGAAGCAGTGAGCTTATGAGCTGTCTTAGCCACACGCAAAGTTGTGATTACAAAAAAGTCTAGTATCTAGCGATTCATCCATATAGTAACAGCTCTCGTCTTTCTGGCTTGTTGTTGGGCATCAGACGATATGCGATATGCTCTTACTCAAGCAAATACTTCTTCCTACCCGGGTAGTGCCTGCCTCGCATACCTGCAGAAAATCCTTGCCTGACTGCCTGGGCCTGACGTCGATTTGGTGCACAGTCGCGCTGAGCGCCAAACTCCAACTATTCGTGATTTGGAGAGCCATGTGCAGCACTTGAGCGATGTGAAAGGTCTCTGTTGCCATATCCCCTGGCGATCAGAATATGGTTACAGTCGCAAAGACGCATAAGGTACTTTGATTCAGACATTCGAATTTCTTGAGTTCAGGCCTGGCACAAAAGTAAGATTGGGAAGTCAAGATATCGTGAGCAGCGCACAGCGTCTGCGAAAACAACAGGATGGCTCCTCAACACGTTGAAATCGCAGAAACTCTTACAGCTCTGAGGAAGAAACTGAGAAGGGAGAGAGATTGTAAGCTGCACCCATCGACCCTAAGAACAGGTTAATATTAACAAGTAACAGCTAATCAGAACGAACCTACGCAATTTGCGACGAATCGAGGTAACAAGCTGAAGCCCGGCGCGAGATATGTCCATGCTGGAAGTTTACCTTATCGGCATCTCAGAGATTACAAAGAGGTATGCTACACTACGAGAGACCACCTTAGTGCCTTGTGGAGTGACTGACATATGCGCAGGAAATCAATCATGCTGGCTACTGTCGACACGTCCTCAATAGAAACCCCAAGCGTTACAATGGTTACGGGGATGAGCTAGAAGATAGTGAAAGCGATGCAGATGCGGATGCGGATGCGGAAGAGGAGAATGCGTACAGCGACGTAAAGATCGAAGGTTCGTCAGACTTTGCGCAGCAATATTCTGGCCTTATGCATGTACTAACACCACAATAGAACTCCTGAGACCTCTGACGCATCCTTCCGAGCTCGCCACTCATCCTACCCTCTCTCTGCCGTACCTCGATCCAGCACTGCCAGATATGGTCGTCGCTGCCGATGCTAAGATCAGGGAGGAGCGGAACAACCTATGGCGTGCAAAGAACTTGTACAGATTCTTCACTGGTGATGAGTCCTGGGTACCATGTGAGAGGGTTGAGGAAACCGAAAACTGGGCGCTCTTCGAGCCCAACCCAGGTTTTACTGAGGTTTCTGGTAGAAGATTGCCTAGTGGAGAAAGTCCAGGGAAGAAGAGGAGGCTGAGCGTCGATAATGAAGCAGATGATCACGACGTGCAGGTAGCAGACACGATCGACGAAGCCTTCCGGCACACTGCTGACGGATTGGCCAATGGCACTTTACAAGATTTGCAAGATGGCGTTCGACAAGTGGCTGCAGATGACGAACGGATGGCTGAGAAAGAGCAGAGGTCTAATCAGGAGGACGTGGCAATGGGTGAAGCCGAAGAACAAACCAATGGTATTTATACTGCTGACGGTCAAGGACCAGAAACCAGAACGAATGACATTTCCACCATCAACCAAGTAGAGCTGATTGTTCAACCGTATGAAAACGGCCTGCCTCAAGATCACGAACCGAAAAGTGACCAAGATATGGAGGACGACACGACTGCCAAACATGAAGAGGGCGTACCTGGCGAGAATAGAGAAGGGGCCAGAGACAACGACGAAGAACGACCATCCGGAGCCTCAACCACACCGCCGCCACCTCGACGTATCACAAGAGCTCTTGCAGCAGAAGCGGATACGAACAGCAATCCTCAAATCGTATCACCTCCTCCAACGTCGCCAACAGTATCTTCAGCACCACAGTCGCCTTCAGCTTTTGAACCACATCCCATGTTTCTTCTCCCGGCGCATTTCGCTGCCTCTCATGCTCCACATCCTGCCTACCCGCCACTTTCTCAGTCGTTGGCACACTCGGGCTTGCCGCCGGAGGAGCTTCTCGAAACAAGGAAACTGCTCAGTCTCTACATTCAGAAGTCCGAAGAGACAATCAGAGGACTCGAGGGCATACTTGGCAAGCTGATCAAAGCCAAAAGGCGACGTGAGATGGTCTGGGAGTGGTGCATAGCTGAAGGTCATGTAGGTGAGATGAGTGATGGAGAGGATTGGATTGACTGTGACAGATGGGGTTTGCAGCGTAGTGAATTGAGAAAGGGCAGGGATGAAGACAGTGGTGCAGCAGAAGGTGGAAATTTGATTGTTGGCACGGAGGGTGGAGATGATGCGCCGGCTGGCGTGCAGATCGGTGGACGAAAGGGCAAGAGGAGGAGAGTAGCAGGGAAGGAGTAATTTGCCTGGAGGTCAGTTCTAAGTCTTCGTGCTATGTTTCGCAAGGCGCTTTTGGAGGAACACGGGCTTGAAGTCCCTTTTTCAAAATACCAACGTTGCTTATTGGGAAGACCAGTCTAGATAATCATACTTTTGTGAGAAGTGTTGAACTCCTTGGCTGAACTGAATTGCGCGTGCTGAGGAAGCTTTAATCAAAATAACGTGTGCTGGAAACCAGTGTGAGTGGCGTGCTTCAACGAGCTAGGTCGAAGTATAGGGCTTTGAGCTTCGAGCTTCGAGCTTGTCGTCTGAGGTAAGATGCATAGGTCCTCAAGCCTTCTTCTTGCCTTCACGAATTTGAATGGCTCTTTCTTTGTCACGCTTTGCATATATCTGAGCAGTGAAAGGACTAGATTCTGGTCAGCCATATTATCATTCCCAACATTCAGAGAAGCATACTCCTCGAACTGTAATGCTACCAAATACATGAAAAACACTACAGCACTGAGTACAACACCTGCAGCTCGGCCTTTGTAAAGTGCCGTTCCGAGGAAGCTGCAGGTACTGCCCCAGTACATGGGCGCGCCAGTGACATTGAATGGAAATCCAGTCACTGGTTCGTCCATTAGAATGCCGAAGTAGTCACCCAAGTAAGTCCCTGTAACGCCGAGGGCGTACATTGAGGACAGTACCAGCAGGTTACCGATACCGAGAAGAGTTATTCCGGTCGTTGGCATATGGAGTGGTGGGTAGAATGGCTGTTCGTCTAGAGCCTCAGTGTAGAGGTAGTCGCGGAAAATACCGAGGGAAAAGATTGTGATAGCTAGGAAGTAGCAACCTAGTTTGGGAGAGCCGAAGGTGCGAGTGAGGAAATGGGTCCTGTATTCTGAAGAGTGGTTGCCTGCGTTAGTTTGCTCTTCGACCAGGGTGAAGCAATGGATATGTGAGTAGTGCTGGGCGTAATTACCTGTTTGTGCCACGACGCTGAGCACAGTTAGCGACCGTTATTTGCGAGCTGCTCAAGCAAAGTCCACTTACTTCCAGAAGATCGGATTGAATGCTATTGCCATAGCAGAGACTGTACAATGTCAGCGGACGCCCGGGGTATGATAGCTGCAGTGTCTGGTCGCAGTAGGTTGGTTCCCCTTACTGTAGAAGGATTGTTTGGACGTGTCGATGAAGCCTATCTTTTCTGCCCCAGTGATGGGAGTCAGGAGGTTGTGAAGCTTGTCCATGATGTGTGGATACTGCGTGGTGTAGCAAAAATGATTGCACAATGGCGGGAAAGAGTGTTAGAAGACTAGGATATCGGTCAGATGGTTGGTGCTTGCGATACTGGATCCTGGCAGCGGGTGAACCACGTGTTCGGGAAAGTTTCCAGCGCCAGAGTAACCCCCCTTGGTCTGCATTCGACCCTCATTTTACTAGATCTTTCGTCAATCAGCTGACCACGCTCACGCTGTGCTGCGGTAGTCCATTCAGTTCCCTTGCCAGTGCTAGACTTGAGTTGGTTGTCTACCGTGCTCTCGCATTCAACAACGGACGTGCTCGGGCTTATCAGGCATCCAGGCCAAACTCGAACAGCTCGGCCATCGCCGGACATTGGTCATTCTACATGTAATAAATTTTCTTAACTGTCCTCCACAATCACCACACACGGCTCAATGGTCTAGTCGTATGATTCTCGCTTTGGGTACCTGTATCTGTCTGCGAGAGGTCCTGGGTTCAATTCGTAAGTTCCCAATTCATAATTGGCATTAGATTCTTCCATTAACACCTATCAGCCAGTTGAGCCCCAACTGTTGACATGTCAATGCTATCATTAGCTTCTTTTTTTGTTCCTCGTCAATTGTTTTTACCTTTTCCTGTGTGTAACCTCAGTGATTGTGCAACTCTCACTAGATCTTTCTTCCGATTCCTCTCAACACCTCAATGGCAATACTATAGGACCGCTTGTTTGTCAGCGCAAGAACAATACCGGTTGCCTCTAGCATGACAAACATTATACAAGTTCAGTCGCTGCTCACATACCATAGAACTAACCTAATGTATCAGTTAAATTGGTCGCAGATTCACTTTGGAAATTGCTACAGGAGCGAAACAGGTTGTAGACCTCTACCAGTACATCAGTACTCCCCCTACTTCAAGTCAGTCCTTGCCTGCTGCCCAGCTAATCATCCATCTTATTACAGAGTGTCCTAAGCAACCCACATGTCTTCTTTCAGTATCTAGTATAGCTACGGGGTGCGCGACCGTTGCCTGTGCTCTTCCCTCTGCTAACTGCTTCTTCGTGCTCAGAGGGAAGCAGACTCGGCAGATTGTCCGTGACGAATAACTGTAGTGTCTGACTCCGCAAGGCTATCATGCCGTGACGTTTGAGTCCTTGAGCTTCCTGTTGTTGCTGCTGCCAACAACCGAGCCGACTTCCGCCCACCTTCTCGCACATCATCGTGGACGACGGAGCGATTGTTGTCACCTCCCAGGTCGTCTTCAGTAGATGCAAACTCTGCTTCACTCTCCTCCTCATCCTCCTCTTCATCACTGATTGCTTCAGTTGCTGCAGAGCGTCCCGTCCTGCCAGAAGTTCTAGACTGCTTGCTTGGTCTTGAATCATCGTCATCGAGCCCAGGATACCTAAACTTGTATCTGGAGTCTCTCATATGCCGGGCAAGGGCGAGCTGGAGATCTTTCTTGTGCTCTTCGTTGTCGGTCATCGTCTTGAGAAGAATGCAAACTTGCTTGTGCTCATCGTCAATGATGTTTTCTGGGTCGTCCCAATCATCACCAAATTCCGCCCGTAGTGTGTCAAACATTTTGTTAGCTGCACGTAGCAGCTGGGTACTTTTGAGCGCGAGAACCAGACCATAGCCTGTCTGAGTCTGCCAATTAGCAACCACGTCAACGAGAATTGCAAGGTAATATGAATTTTCGATAAGTCGGCTGACAATGGCTGCGTATTGGGGCTTGTAATCTTTCGTGACCAGATCGAATGGCATATCAGCTGCAAGGTCTCGACGAACCGCCTGTAGCAACTTGATGAGAACCGCCTGATTATGTAGCAATGCATCAAGAAATGGACGTCCTGATGTCGTGAAGCGCATGAAGTAAACTGTCTCAATAATTTCCACTTCAGGGGCTGGCAGTGCCGCCTGCAGTCTAGGTGCCATGTGTTGGATAACAGTTTTCCGTTTGAGGAGCCTAGGGTCTGATCACTGCTGGGAGTATGGACTCTGAAAGGATAACTGAGCAGTCCGCAGACAGCACGCAGTTGCCCTCTCCCGAAGCTGAAATTCTGAAATCCGCGATGTTTATGCATTTCAAAGTATCTGGGGGACCTCACATGGACGCACTCCTGTACAATCAAGCCACGATCATGAAGATGATTCAGGACATCCGCTTAATGCAGTCTCGGGGCCTAGGCAAACGTACTGTTGGCAGCGACGACCAGGTTGAGATGGATGTTGATGCTCCAACTACGTCAATCGAATTCGCAAAAGAGGTAAGCCGTATGTTGTGATTCTTGCAATGTCATGTTAATACGCTTAATACACATTGTCGCCCTCTTTCGGCACACAAACCGAGTGCTTTTTGATCAACAACTGCCGATTATCCAAGCAGCTAACAATTCTTCGAATAGGTCAAAGAAATGATGGCCGACGAGGAGATTAAGCCACTGCTTATCAATCTTCTTGGTAAATGGATGGCCAATGATAAGCCAAAGAACAAAGTCGCTGGCAATCGTCGAAACAAGAACCTTGCCGCCTAGGCTCGGTCAATGTTCGAGTTTTTCAAAGACAAGCTGACTCAGTACTGGGATCGTGAGAGTGACCAGTGGGACTTCGAAGACGTAGACGAAGTGGTCTACCACAGAATGACGCAATTGCTCAAGAAGATCGAGGGAAGTGCAATGGCGATCCAAGAACTTCACATTTCGTTGGGCAAAGCTCAAGCTGATAAGGGAGGCCCCAAAGGCACGAAGCGCAAGAGATCGACGGGTGCAACCGGTGCACAGGAAGCTGAAAGCCTCGTTACCGCGGCTGGCACAAGTCCTGGTACACGTCGACGAACCACCGAGCCTCTGTCAGTCGGAGATGCAGCTATTGACATGCCGGATGAGTACGATTACGACGACCTTTATAATCTTGAGGAGGAGACAAGAATGTTCTCACGCCTCACAATGAGGATGGTGAAGCCTCGCAAGGCCATTAAAGAGTTTTTTCGATCTGGTGAGCTCAAGAACGAAGAGGATGTCAAGGCTGCTATTCAGGAAAGCAAGGAAGATGCTGCATTGCGAAGAGTTTACAGTCTGATGGTGGACTGAGAGCACTCTGGTGACGCGTGAGGCGACGAAGGAGATACTAGTAGTGACCGCAACTGTGATGTCGTGGAGGTACGTTCTTGGGTATCGAGAACCAATACTGTGTAGCTCAGACAGTTGAGCAAAAGAGTACGAAGGCTTACTCCCTGGTATAGAGGATTTCATCAGCTACATCGAGCTGTAGTGCTTGTAGTATATTGAAGTAGTGGTGTGATTGATTGCAATCTCCTCTTTGACTGGTCGTCAAAACACGTGAACATGAGCGGGATCTTCGATAGTGTAACATTGTGTCATTGCCGCAATGTAATTGATACAATCAGACTCTAACTGTGCCGATTCCAGCATACAGTACCTATTATTAGGCTCACCAGTCTCGGAAAAAGCACCCAATCGTTCCCGATCGGAGCTGAACTTTCCCACTGCACGACAGCAACACAACGAACGCCAAACATATCCTTCCGCCGGATCCCTTCCCTTAATTTACATAGCATATGTCCACTTCATGTGCTGAGCGTGTAGCGACTGCACGACGCTTTTCTACCTTGTAATCTCACATGGTAGCTAGCTTAGGATTGATTGAGCATTTTCATGTGTTACAGAAGTTCGCACGTGCAGCAGTTACCACTCCTAGCGTTTCGCTCGATGTCTACCCTTCTTACTGCACTGACAGGCAAAGTGCCGAAGCGATTTTGTGAGCAATCATGGTGACAACAAGGCCAAATCATGCAGGGCTCACCCTTGACGAATAGTTTGCTATTGAAACAACGGCGATAGTGCGTCTACGCGGCAAGGCATGATGACCCGCAGATATGTCAGTGGTTGCTGCGCAAACATAGAAAGTGCCATCATGCTGTCCAATAATGGTCAGAGAGGCGGTATAATCGCAGGCAGCTGCAGATCTCCTGGGCGGGATTGAAATACCAGGCAGATTGTGGACAGTCAGCTTTGATTACGAGTAGACTGTACCGGTCTCATGTTGCCAGCTTCATCCAGTATGATGCTGACGATTGGGTGGAGAAGGAACTTCACGATTCTTATCCTGCATAAAGATTGACAATGTGCAGTCAGGCAGACAAGCATGTCGTTGTCGTTTGTCCTGATGATTGTGTGTTTTTAGGATTCTCTGCTACTGTATAACAGTGAGCTCAGCTGCCCGAAACTGTCATCAAAGGCCTGTTGATATAGCTCACTACAACCTGTGGGTTGCTTGCATTGCTTACACATTTCTGTAGTATTCCACGTTAGGCCGTGAAAGCTATACACAATCTCTAGCAATGCCGCCCACCCTGAGGCCCACCCGGGGCGGTTTTGAAGTCGGTATAGACGACTTTCTTGACAATTTCGACCCCGACGACCCAGAGGCTATCCGAGATTGGGAAGAGAGATATGGCGATGTGGACGATGATGCTCTCTTCCGATCAGGCTCGGCTAGCCTTCAGCAGCGACAGGATCTGCATCTCAGATTATTTCTGAAGAGTATGAAAGCTTACAGTGCGAGGTGAGTCAAACGCTAGTAACCTTGTCACTAGGTGGTGCAGTGTTGATCACATCTCAGGTATGACGAAAACTACAAAGACTTGACCGACGACCAGATCATGGACCAAGAAATCAGGTCTGCGAGTGAGGAGACAGTGCTCAGAAACGTTCGCATCTATCTACGTGATGCCTGTTTCTTCACACGTGGCCGAGCGATGCAAGACAATAGACCCAGATATCAAACACTTATTCAGCATCGTAACAGCATGTTGTTCTGGGTGAGATGGGAGATGCCGTCGGATAGAGGTATGTTGTCAACCTTCGTTCTTTGATCTAGGTCTCAGGAGTCGCAAGTACTCTATGAATGGGCCAACCGTTGTGCAGCCGATTATAGATTGTGCATTGTGTCGAACGAGCCTATGTGAATACTCTAGTTGTACGCACATACTGACATCCACAGTTCCTACTGAATGGGAGTTCCTCAACGTTGCGAACCAGACGCTGCAGAATGTCGCGCGTCGCTGGGGAGTTAACAAAACCAGAAAAGTCAAGACTTACATGGGTCATCACGAATTGAAGCAACTCATAGACGATGACACAGCCAAAAGCCCTTATATGGCTGTCACTGAAAGCCATCACCTTGCTTGGTGCTTGGGCCTTATCTGTGGCGTGCGTCCTGGTTCTATTGGTTGGTCAAAGAACTGGCCTCATCAATTCCTGACGTTCAATGAAGTTCAGATATCCCGCGGTCATTAACGAGGAGTCTTTGACGCTACGATCACCTTTCTCTATCTGAAAGGAAACCACGATACGATGGAAGCTCAGGACGGTCTCAAATTCAGTGTCAATGGTGCCACATCGTCCGATTTCTTGACTGTCTCAATTCCGCATCGTCTCTTGATCATGTTACTGCGTAGAGGCGGTTTGCAGGACCACGCAACCCTGGAGTCACTTTTGCAAGGCAACGAGCACGAAGTCCGAGTCAAACCAGACTTTCTTGGAAAACCTGTCTGCAGAGCAGCTGGTCCTCGTGGATTGAGTATCACGGAAGCAGCCGTCGGTGGCAGGAGCCTATCCACCTTTCTTGCTGACCATGCAGTTCAAGCTGGCTATCCATTGGGTATCACCATGTATAGCTGGAGAAGAAAAGCTGCCACGACTTGGACAAGAGATTTGGGTCACGACGTCGCGCGTCAACTTATGGGTCATGACTTGAACTCACATACATTAGAGCAATATTACGAGCAAGGGTTGTATGACCGGCCTGTCTTTGAGATAGCAATGAGACTAGATACTCAGTGGACTCAGGTGAGGTTACAAGAACAATCCTCTGAGATACTGCGACGCATGGAAGTCATGGAAACCAAGCGTCTACGAGGAGCGTTTGTTGATCGACGAGTGAACGAAGTTCTGAACGAAAACGATGAATACCAGCAAGCAAAGCAAGCCTCCAATCTCAAAGCTATGTGATTACTGGAGCGCCGTGCACGACGACTTGTTACTCAAATTCTTCATGGTGAGCAGAAGCGGTTGTATAACAGCAGATTGACAACGCAGGAGCTCCGACGACGTGAAGAAGCATTGAAACGACCTGGAGAACTCGTCAATCGTATCCGTAATGCGGCAAGAAACAAGCTGAGGAATCAGGCTACAGTATCTGCAGCGCAACGACAGCCTCAACAGCCCGTCGTACAAACACCTCCTACAGGCACCCCAGCTCAGCGCACATTACAAGGTCAAGATCAGAGTCGAACAAAATGTCGTAATCAGCACAGGTAACGAGGCAGAAGGTGGTACTTTCGAGCATCCTGCGAGGCCTACTGCACAGAATCGCGCCACATTACAGCGGGGCGACGAAAATGCTCCCTACGTGCATCCTGGCGTTTGGCAAGAGACTTCTGAAAGCTACTGACTACTTCAAGTCATTTTCTCAACCTATGTGGCTACAAGGAGCTGTGCACATGCAACATGAGCACGAAATCTACGACAGTAGTAGGACAAGGCAGTTGCCGAGTTGGGTAACTTGCGCATGATGTTCTTTGACGTGGAGAGGAAACCTGCTTATCCAATGCAATTTGCGTTGTGTAGTAACGACATGTCGCTTTTTTCTGATCTCTATCGCAAACAATCTAGCTCGAGCTTGTATATGCCGACCTTGCTCTCCATGTATGCCCAAATTTGTAGATCAAAATGGGTATGGGCGCAAGGGCGAGACTGACCGCTCCGAGTACTGCAAACCCCCATCCATAGCCCAATTTAGCTGTCAGGGGAGTCGCTGCAAGTGGAAAAAATGTTCCCATCAAACATCTCGCCACAATGACTGCTGTCATGCCTGATGCAGAGTATGACCCGAGAGCATCAACCACATAGGACAGAATGGGAAGAAAGCCAAGCATAAGCGAAACGCCAATCAAGCCTATCGCAACCAACAACACAGGCAAAGGAAGATGCTTCTCAGCAACCAACCCATACGCTGCAATGGTGGCTGGCAATGTGAATGCTCCCAGTATGGCGAGTGGAAGTCGATATTCAGGACGATCAATACCTTTGTTTGCATCTCGAAGACGAACATATATTCTGTCGAGAACTCTGTTGCAAACGAGGACGGCGATAGTAGAGCCGATGCTGAAGCAGATGAAGCATGATCCAGTAAGAGCAGGTGAAAGTCCGTACACACCCTCCAGAACATCTGGCAGTGTTGTCGCCATGACATAATAGTAGGTGAAAGTCATTCCACCGAACAAAGAGAGTCCTTGCAGAACTACCGAGCTGTAAAAGACGCGAAAAGGGCGTGCGATGGACGCCCAAAAGCCCCGTTCGAAATTTTGATCGTTATCGTACGCGGTCTTTATACTAGACAACCTATTTTCATGCTGTATCTTCGACACCCTTCGTCTAAGGATAGTAACCTTGTAGGTTTCACGAAAATAACACAAAAACGCGATCTCACAGGCCAGAGCAAGGACCGCCGCGATCCAGAGGACCTGTCGCCATCCTATACTGTTAGCAATAGCGCCAGCCATCGCTGGCCCGACCGCACCACCAATCATGGGAGCGATCATGATCATGCTCATGGCTGATCCTCTTTGCTCAGGCGGGAAAATGTCTCCGACTATGGCAGGGTTGAGTACGTTGGATGCCACAGCAGCACCAGTCAACAATCTGGCGGCGATGAACAAGTTCGTGCTTTGACAGGATGCAGCGAGGACGGTGAACGCTACGAAAAGCATGGTAGCCACATTCAAGACTCGGCGTCGACCGAACATCTCGGATAGAGGACCAATAAAGAGAGGTCCTGCAGCCTCTCCGAGCTCCCAAATCGTGACGAGGAGAACACTCGCGGACTTGTTTGGACGGTCGTTATGGCTGAGGTCTCGAACGATGCGGTTCGCTATTGGGACGACGGAGATACAGGTGAATGTGCTGTTATATATTAGCAACAACCACAAAACGTTCAAGTGTCGCATACACTGTGAAGGCCATGAAAGCCAGCAGATCAACGATTGCCCATTTGAATGTTGCAGACCATTGCAAAGGGTTTTCGGGGTCGTCCGCGTGAAAATCAATGACAGTGACATTGTCACGAACGTCTTTGCAGATATCGTCTGGATGATCACTCTTAGGAAGCAGTGGCTGCCTCTCAGCGTCCGTGCTCATGCTCAAATTGTCATGGGATTGGACATAGACTGATCGTGTCAGAGACAGTGGTGTGTATAAAGACTGCTAATCTCATCCGGCTATGTGGGCCGCTCAAAACATAGTTGCCACAATGGATGTGGAAAGTTCGTTAGACAATGTCTAACGTGGACGCGTGTATACCTATAGCCTATCTAGATAATATGAATTAAATGGTCTTAACTCCTCAGGAGCGATCAAGAATTGGCATAAGGAGATCGTGGATCTGTCCGTGGTTGATGTGGCACTTACCAAATAGCGGAAATATAGAAGTCTCTGACGCATGGCTTATATAGCTACAAGCATTCTATGAGGAAAGTGTACTCATACATCTAGACTGGAGTCTGTGCACACAACGGTCTAGCATGTCACTCGTCTTGCTGCTTGTTCCATTATGTCGCTGGTTCCGTAATCACAACAGGAAATTTACAATCGGAAAATCAGTAGCACTCCAGTGCATGAAATGATTGAGCTCGAGGTGAAAGTGTTATGCCAACAACGTTTCATGTAGTCGCTCTTGGAGTGTGGTAACTACAATACTCGGTTGGACACGTATTGTCCTGCATTACCGGTGCTTCAAATTCAAGTTGTAGGAGCAGAGCACGTAGCCTTGAAGAAGTAGTTAATTCGATATCAATGTCAGAGCGTCAACAATGTGTCTTTGCTCTTCCACCTTGAAGCGTAGGAGAAAACACGCTAGAGCTTTTTAGGAGTAGGATGCCCGTGTCCGTCGAAACAGCTTCTCAGAATGCTTCTTCACCCTTCTCGGGAATATCGGTTCCTGAACGCTCTGCGTGTAGCCTCCGCACGATCTCGTTCATGCGTACACTAACCGGGATATGAATCTCAGATTCCAATCCGCCAAGTTGTACTTTTTTCATGCGGAAGGTGCTAACAGCAGCGGAAACGTCATCCGTTAGTGACGTTTGGGCGAATACACTGATCATCATATTCACATCGGAATCCATCAACGCGTCGTGGAGAGCATGTCTGTCGCGACTGAGCAATCCATTGCTTTTCATTCGCTGTAAGTGTTTGAATCATGCTGTCATGTAACTGTGCAACACCATTCACGTTCATCTTATAGCATAGCTGCAGCTTCACTGTGCCTGATTCCCTGCTATTCCCGATGTCTTCAAGATTGCTTACACGCAGGATCTTCTGCAATATCACATCCTCCAAAAAATTCCTTCCCACAAGCAGGTTCCAAGCAGTGTCCTCGTTATCTACCTGCCGTGCATCGCAACCTGTACACTCTAGAAACCGTTCACCCATCTACTCTAGAGCCATGGCGACCGTGGCCCCCTCAAGGACAGTCAATGTCTCGGTTGATCCAGAGCATTACATGAAGACCTCAGGTGCACTCGATCCTGTATGGATCAAGACCATGCCCTACTCGAAGTTCCCAACTTTTCCTAAGCTCGAGAAGGACATCGAGACAGATACTCTGATCATTGGTTCCGGTATCTCTGGTGTCTCGATAGCCTACGAACTTGTCAGACAGGGCGCCAATGTCACTATGATAGAAGCTCGAAACATCCTCGGTGGTGAGACTGGCAGAACAAGTGGTCACTTAGCCTCAGATCTAGACGACGGCTATACTCAGATTGGCAAGAAGCACGGGAAGGAAGGTGCAAAGATAGCAGCTGAGAGTCACACGTGGGCTGCAAAAAGAGTGGGTGAAGTCAGCAAAGAGCTAGGCATAGATTGTGAATGGAGAATGCTACCAGGTTACGACTTCTCACAGTTTATGAAGGGTACCAAGGAACACGACGATGACATGAAGGAGATTCTCTCCGAGATGGATGCTGCGAAAGAGGCCGGCCTCAAAGTCGAGTATCTTGAGGGTTACGCTCTCAAGGGTTGGGACGGAAAGCATGACCAGCGTGATGCCGTCAAGTTCCACGACCAGGCCACCTTCCACCCTACCAAGTACGTCGTTGGAATCCTCGAATGGTTGAAGAAACAACCAAACTTCCAAGCATTTACCAACACTAGAGCTGTGACAATCAACGAGAAGGGTGTTACTGTACCTCTGGTTGACGTTCACCTGGGCTCAAAGGGTGTGAAGGTTGAAACTACAGGTGGTCAAACTATAATGGCCTCACAAGTCGTCGAAGCTACCTGTATCCCACTACAGCGCCTCAGCATTGTCGCAGAGATAGAGTACAACAGAACATACTGCATTGCCATCCGTATCCCCAAGGGCGTGGTCGAGGACTGCCTCTTCTACGACTCCAAGGAAGAGTACAAGTACGTCCGAATGACAGAATGCGACGAGAAGGATGACTACATGGTCATCGGTGGCTGCGATCACCCAGTCGGTCAAGAAAACGCATGGGACGAGCGATATGACGAGCTTGAATCCTGGGTCCGCGAGCGATTCACACAAGCCGGCAGCGTCGACTTCAAGTGGAGTGGTCAGATCATGGAGCCACTTGACTACATGGCATTCATCGGCCGAAACAGCGGCGCACAGAAAGTCTACGTCGTCACTGGTGACAGTGGTAACGGTCTGACACACGGTGTCATCGCTGGCAGAATCATCAGCAACATGATCCTCGGTCATCCAGATCCATGGGAAAAGCTCTACGACCCACGACGACGAGACTCGACTCTCGCCAAGGTATTACCAGACATTGCTCAGCACGCCGTACAAATCAATTCGCAATACCGACGGTTCCTGAAGAGCGATATCCAGGATGTGGAGGATCTTGGTCTCGAGAAGGGAGGTGTTTTGAACTCGGGCACAAGCAAGCCTATTGCCGTATACAAGGATGCCAATGGTAAGGTACACAAGTTAAGCGCTCTGTGTCCTCACTTGAAGGGTGTGGTGTGCTGGAATGACAGCGAGAAGTCTTGGGACTGCCCGGTCCACGGTAGCAGATTCTCAAAGGATGGCAAGCAGATTATTGGTCCTGCTAATGTTGATATGCATCCTGCTGATCAGTCCGAGCTCAAGACGCCTTTGATGAGATAAGTAGATATTGGTGCAGGCGTTTTCTGAGTTGTGTTCTCATTGTATACCGCAGACAAAACTTATAGGTAGTCATAAGGTAATGCATTGGTGTTTCGAAAGACCATTCAATACTAGAAACATGGCTTTACAAGACTTTCATTAGCTACACAAGATTTTCGAGTTGTCCATCAATAGGCATCGGATCCTTGTGGAGCGATGCTCATGCTAATCAAGGACATCTGCTCCATAGTATGCTAGAAGATCGCTTCTTGAAGAACTACCTAGCCTTTTTGTAAGCAGACCATCTAATGACCTCGCGTGCACTATATACCCCAAGTCCACAGTCCAAGAAGGACACCGGCCAAGAAATAGACATTCGGCAACAATGCTGCGATCGCGCCGTTTGCGGACGTGGCAGGACCTCCAAATGCTGGTGTAGTCGTAGTTGTAGTCGTACTCACGATGACCGAGGTCTCTGTGTACCCCAGAGTGGTCGTAACATCAGATGATTCAGAAATGGTGTTATTAGGGATGATCGTAAGAGTTATACTTGGCATGCTAGCGTTCGAAATCGAGACCTCGTGTATGGTGACAGTATATGGACCTAACCACGTGGCGTTTCCGGGTGCAGGATTTCGAGGTGATGCCGACGCTGTCAAGGTGGAAGTGGTTGTGGAGGTCATCCTAGTCGTCAACAGGGGCTTAGATATGCCAGGAGTGGTAATGGTCAGTGTGCTTGTGGTCGGAAGTGTGACCGTCGTGCTGGGCAGGATGAATTCCGTGGCATCGACAAAGCCAGCGGGAGGTAGGGCCTCATTGACAGTAGTCAGAAAGGGTAAGAATCCTGCTTCGTGCTGGTGATCGTCTGGGGTACCCTGTGACGTGGCCATGTGTGCATGGTACAACAACTTCGTCAGCAAGACGAGTAAGCCATGTGGTTTTAGTTTATTGCTGGCGGAAGTGGGTAGTATGCCTTCAGTGTCATTCGCTGATGCATGACTGGTATTGGAGGCAGAATAGCCCGATGATACTGTAGATGTTCCAGACATATTTTGATTGTGGACGACCGCAGTGAAAGCAGGTTTTCTGTTGGAAAGGGGACTGCTTGGTGCTTGAACGAGTCCTTCGCTAGGGCAGGAAGTTTTTGTGGTATTCGCCATCGGTCTTCGCATTGTGACAGAAGTCGACGCCAGGTTGCTGGACGCAATTACCTCCGAGCTCTTGTTGGCAGCTAAGGATCCGGTTGCAGGAATAGGATACACCGTACGAGTCAAGACAGGATATGGAGTTCCATTGACGGTTGTAGCATATGACTGACTGGGCAAGGGAGTATGTACTGAAGATTGTCAGTATGTGTGGTCTCTTGTTGAAAAGCAGATAATGCCTACAGGAGGGGGTCCAATACACAGTCGTTGTAACATTTTGACCTGTGGCAACTATGACCTGTGAGTATATTTGCTGGAAGATTTGTAGAGGCTCGTACCATCAGTGACAGTGAGAGTGGACGAGCTCGTTAACCTGATTGTCTCTGGAACGGATGTGCTATTCGTCCATAGAGGTGATGGACCTGTAGACGTTATCAAATGGTCCCCATGTGTCAATGCTCTAGCATACCTTGAAAATTGCAGCCAGAGCTGATGCAGGTGCTCGAGGAATTCGCAGTGCTTGGTAAAGCAGGCACCGTGACTATGGTTTTGTAGGTAACAGTTGTGGTAACGATAACGGTGGTGCTGCTTGTTGGACTCGGTCCTTCGCTGGCGCAATAAATCAGAGTAGGCGCGAAGGCCAAGAGAAAAGATAGGACCTTCATTGAATCTGGTAATGGCGGTCTCGGCCAAGGTGAGTTAGTGAGGAAGGAGCGATGACAGAAGTTGGCGAAAAGACTTAGTAAGATCTTCGAAATTAGGGCTGCGGGAAAGACACCGCAAACAAACTCATGAAACAACAGCGGGGTCGAGATCAAAGTGAAGGTCAAGAGTGTAAGAGTTCATTCTCCTTACACTTCTGCACTTCGGTTTTCAGCCTTGTCCATGACTCTGAGTTCGTGTTGCTTCTTCATTGCCTTTCGAAATAGTAACACAGATGAGGATGGTAGCTGCATTCATGGCAAATTGCAAGGTAATTGTGTAACCCGATACTTACGTCTACTGTTGATACCAAGCGGACATAATAAGCTGAGAAGGCTCCATATACTGACACCATGCCACAAGAAGTACATGTACTCTGCTTGACGTGAACCTTCACACAAAACATAGATTCATACTTACCACTGTCATGGAGAAACGCCTCCACGCCAGGTGCTATTAACGCAGTATCTCCATGGAGAACATCAGATGGCTTTTGTATTCACCTGGACCGATATGCCGAGTACTCAAGTCGTATTTTAGCATGGAATTCCGTGAAACTTTCCATAATCCCAGTTCGACATCTAATTGTTGCTATCTTCTCCGTCTTCGATGGTCTTGTTCGAGGTGAAGATAGGGCCGAATCTCGAAGCGCTGAATCCTTAAAGTGTTTGCATCATTTGCACATACGGTATGATACCTAATCTGGCTAGCGTTTTGTTGCCCACACCCGATTGACCAATACAGTGACGTCGAGCCACGTTGTGTCAGGAAACTGCTGTTCCAGAGTGATACCAATCCTGAGCCATTAACAACCAGACTCAGAGACAGTCTTGCACCATCAGTATTCTGTCGACAAAAGTAAAGATGTCTTGTGAACACGAGCATCACGACCATCATGGAGAACACGATCATTCTCACGACCTAGAGATGGCTCTTCAATCCAATCTCTACAAACAGATTCAGTTCGACCAGATCCGGACACTTAACGAAGCGACCGTTCGGTCGGGAGCAGCAATCGTCCAGAAGGAATGGCGTGACAGACTCCAAGATACTCCTGTGCTCGAGAGTGATGCTGACGAACAACTGCTCATGCACATTCCGTAGGACCAATTCTGTCTTCTCTTGGGTAAATGCTAACCATAACTAGGTTTGCTGGCTCTTGCAAACTGTATACCCTGCTGATTCGCACGTCTGATACAGCTTCCGCACCTCGAAAGCTCAAGCTGTTCCGCAATCGTGACGACCTTGATTTTGGTAGTGCTTCAGATCTGCAGCCTACTCAGACCATCGAGTTACCACGTACCAACGAAGTGGCGGAGATTGCTCTCAATCGTGCCCATTGGAACACCACGACGTCAATCGACTTGTTCTTCGAGGACAACCATTCCGATGGAGAGGAGGATGTGACTATGCTGTATTATCTAGGCTTCCAGGGTGACTTCATGGCTCTGAATCGCGAGCCGATTAGTGTGCTGTATGAGGCTGCGGCTAATCCCAGTGATCACAAAGTGATTCAAGGGTTGACCAACACGAATCAGCAGTCGTTGGGTCAGTAAAGTAGTGGAAACTCGACCGGTTATATCCAAGAAACGTTCGCTCACGCTGCCTGCAACTGTGCTCTTCTCTGCTTCGCTCTTTCCTTCTGCTTCTGTTCCCTGTCAAGTTCCGTTTCTGGTGCATTGGGCAGGTCACCATCAGTAATAACGGTCTTATTCGGTGCATCGGGTAGGCTGACACCATTCATCTCTATTTCGAGAGCTTCCAGCTCATCCTCGACTTCATCCTCCTCCTGATTGCTCAACTGACCAGCAAGGGCCTCACTGATCTCTTCCTGTTCGCGTCTGGCTTCTGCGCCTTCTTCCATCATCTTCTCAACAGCAGCCAGACCACCCATTTCCTTGTTAATCATCTTCAGAACTTCGGTACCTCTTTGCAAGCCAAAGACAACATCTTTCTGCACTAACGAAAACTCAACATTGGAGGTCAGCTTCTCCAGTTGCTCGAGTTGAGCATCGGTCTGCGATAGTAGGGATTCTTGAAACTTCTTCCGCCGAAGAGCTAGAAGAGCTTTGTCCTTCTCTCCTTTTGCGAGACATACGCGGGCGATCTCCTTTTCGCGGTTTGTAATAACAGTAATCTTCTTCTGGTATTGTTTGAGCTTATCTCGCTGGTTCTTCATGTCCAGGATAGCCCTGCATTTACGTTGTCAGCTGCGCTTTGGCTGTTGAGATTGAACGCACCTGTCCTGCGAGGAGATCTTGCTCCCTGAGTTCCCCATCTTCGCTGCATGACTTCAATAAGTTCGCGGAAATGACTCAGGATGAATGAGTTCAAACGGCGTTCGTGTTGAGCGCCGAGTTTCATTCGAGGCACGCTTATTCCTGCTCAGCTGGGCATTGACATCACTGTCTTCTTCTCGCCTAATCTCGGCCCGAACGTGCCTAGCCATTTCAAGTCACAGTGTCGAGTCGTCCTTCACAGCAATACCACTGATCCGCTGGACTTCTCGTAGTGTCGATGGCAATACGCAAGATTCGACGGCCAGTAAGCCTGAATGTGAAAAATGCACCAGTCATCGTCTCACGGATCTGCTTTACTTCTATGGGATTGACAGTCCTGACGTGTCATGCTTGCCTCACAGTTCCAATTTGATATTCGAACGCCGTCCCGCTGGAAGATCTTATTCGTCTCGAGATTCTTGTTAAGCAGTTTTGATGTATAAAAGTCATCTAGCTACCCATTACCCAGCCCGTACCATCGCCTAGGCCAGCCTGACCTTTCTTAACCCATCCACTCATCTCAATTCCCAGCCAATCAGCTTCAGTACGATCCAGGCCCTCTTCAAAGTCATAACATTGCGCTCCCATAACATGCAGACTCCTGCCGTTCAGACCCTGACTCTCATATTCATCCCAGGCCATTCCGCCCGCACTTGGCCTGTCTTTCACGTTTGGTGCCTGCTTGCTATCGTACCTGATTGCACGATTGCCTGAACTGGCAGCGCAGACAGCAACAATCACACGAGCAATATCTTCAGGTCCATTGACAGGAAGTCCAGCTGCATGCCAGCCATCTCTGATCCCAGCAACCATCCGCGTCTCAGTGAAACTCGGGCAAATCGCGTTCACTCTGACGCCAGGATATGCTTTCGGTACGTACAGCCGCAACGATCGTAACAACCCAAGTACTCCGTGCTTGCTCGACTGATAAACAGGCATACCTGGCGTCTCCTTCCAACCAGCAATGCTGCTTAGCAACGTCAAGCTCTTGTCTCTCCGCACACTCTCATTGCCATGTGCAAGATATGCGCACGCAATATGAGCAAAATGCAACACAGCTTTCAGGTTGATGTCAAGAACAAGCGTACTCGGCTCGATCTCGACCCCTTCAATGCCAGGTCGGGGATCGAACCAGCCTCTCTGCTCCACCAATCCAGCATTTGCAATTGCATGGTCCACCCGATCATACTTCGACATTGCAAGCTTGAACAGAGCTAGATTGTCCTTGTAGTTTCGCACATCAGTCTTGAGAAAGTGGACAGTATCTGCTGAGGTTGAAGAAACGACGTGCTGTGCTCGAGTGTCGTCCAAGTCTCCAAAGATGATCCTGGCGCCGCGGGCGTGTAATTGCTTGACAGTGGCTGCGCCTATGCCAGATGCTCCACCAGTTAGCACAACTACAGAATCTTTCAGCGTTCCAAACGCCAAAGACTCGTGATTGGGGTCGAAGCGAGTCATTGTTCTTATTGGTAGGGCCTAACTAAGCCTGCTGAGAGTGTATTGAGATCAAAAATCCAGAGAGTTGACATACATACAGGTTCTGGTATGTACCTTTCACGGCTCAGTATGCTTAGTCAAGCTGAATAGTAAATAAGGATTCGCATCGGAAGTAGCACCGTATGAAGTAGCTGGCTGTCTTCCGAAGAGATCACCTCCAGGAATTAAAGAACCTTTCCCCGCACAAGTATTCATTACCTTCCAAGCTTGCAATGCCCCTTTTCCAGGGTGAAGTGATCCTTCCGTGATCCGTAGAGCAGATTGATCAAGGCATAAATCATTGCTGCGAGTCCAAGTATATCAAATGCGTGATGATAGACCCATCCCTCGCTGGGAATAATGCCCTCCTGCTGCTCTGGCATGCATGTCAGCCGAGCCTTGATTGGAAGGTATAGTGGGCATGCTGTTGGCCTCAATCCACAGATACTGTGAAGTGAAATTCGAGACCTTTAGATTTATTCGTCGAAAGCGCATTAGCTGGTCGATTGATTTTTGCTTCGACTCGGATCATAAGGTCCGACCTTCATCAATTTCGCCACGTACTGCTTAATAGTTGCGTAGAACTGCACACCGTACTGATAGTAAAGGAATCCAAAGAGCGCTCCACCAAGATGTGCAACATGGTCAAACGTTCGCCATCCCCTAATCCAACCTGCGACATCTAGAGCCAGTATTCCCATAACACCATATTTGATTGGGAAAGAGAAAAATGGTAAGAGAATGATACTCAATCGTGTTTCCGGATCTGTGCATGCAGTCATCGCCACAACCGCGTAGATCGCGCCTGATGAGCCCAGACTTGAGGTACGACCGACTGTCCTCTTGGCTTCGTCGAGACCTAGTCGTTGAGCAATGCGTCCAAATCGGATGGCGCTCCCGATGTGACTCGTCATGGCAGCGAAGACACCAGCAGTCGCAAAGAACGCCAGGAAATGAAGAACTGGCGACGCTTCAGGTATGTTCCCTTTGATGTCTTTTTGCTGAATGGCATGGTAGAGTGTCGCTCCTCCAAAGGTCCACAACGCGAAATTGTTGAGAATGAAGTGAAAAGGTGCTTGGTGGCTGAATGCGGAAGTGAGCATCGTATGCGTCGAGCCACTGGAAGGGCGATGTAAGAAATTGGTTCTTAGGAATTGGGTTAGGCGGGCGCTCCATGGAGACCTGGTCCAAAGAATGAAGACCACGGTGTTAACGAACAGAATCGGAAGAATCATTTGCTGTGAAATAGAAATGTTGAGCACCTTGTTGGCAAGCGTCTGGTAGGCCTGAGTGATAGGCACCTTAATGCTGGCTGGTATATCTCGATCGCGAAGCCATTGCAGACCTTCTGAAGCCTGCTTCGCGCGCATCAGATGCTCCATTTGCATCAATTTGAGCTCATCAACGCCTATCCCCCAGCAGTTTTGCGCAAAGTCGTTCTGTAGTGAATCATCGTGCCCACGGTTCAAGAACGAGGTGATCTTGCCAGGTACAGCACCTCCCAGGAATCGATCTGATAACCGCTGTAAAAGTGAACCTTCCCTTAACTTCTCTGCAACATCATTTGTTTGCTTTAGAGAGGAGTACGCCGCCAAAGTGAACGCAAAAACGCCGAACGATACGAAGTAAAATACAGCTGCGCTAATGGAAGGCTGTTGAACATGCTGTGCTTTTAGAAACGCCTCTTCTTGCTCGGCTTCTAGCACTTCATTCTGAGTGCGTCGAGGGCTTTCGCTGCTACTCTGCCATCGTTGTTGCACGAATGTCAGCGCTGAAGTTGAGCTGAGCGGTTTCGTGACTCGGCGGGAGGTGTGCAGAAAGCGGCTAGTCGATGCATGTTTCAATTGCAATAGTTCCGAGTCTTTCGGACGACTATCTTGCAAACGATAGCTGTTTCGCAATATCAACAAGCGACTGTTGGTTGAAGGATGTACTTTCTGACAAGATTGGCGTGCAGCAATACGAGATAGTGTCAGAAATGCCTCCATGGTGGCCCGACCACGACTCATCGAGGAGCAGTCAACAATTCATAATCGAGAATGTGTTAAGCTTTTTCGAGAACATACACAGACTGATGAAATCCATCTGGCATTGATGGGAATTCGACCAGGTACATAATCTCTTCGAGTTCTGAAAAGGCAGTGGGCTACTGTTCTAAAGTGGACACCAGCCACCCATAATGAATAGCGGAGTGGATACCACTGACATTTTGGAGTCGAACAAGATCTGGTTAGTTAACTCCAGCTTTCAGGTCGATTTGCAGAATTGGTGGAGAGAGCATGGATGAATTCTGTTCACTTCTATATGTCGGGTCTATACAATCACACCTGCTATACATCTATGCATCCAATCACAAACGCTAGCGCTATCAGAAAGGCGATCTTCCAAGGTTCGATCACGGTCTTCTGACCACCCCCAGTACTAGCACTTTGCCCCAGAGTGCTGTCAGTACTTTGTGTGCTTGAAGGCTGTGCTCCATTGCTTGTTGAAGCTGACGATCTTGAGTTTGAGGTTGATGCAGACACTGTTGCTGTTGTAGATGAGGAGATCGTCCCAGATGTGGCGTCTAGAAGGGTTAGCAGGAGGATCATCGATGGAGATAAGAAAACTTACTTGACGAGCTTGAGGCCGATATAGAACCGCCACTGCTAGGGAATCCAAAACCTATTTGCTTACCATCGAAATCGAACACAGCGTAGACATTCTTGAGGAAGACATCGCCTAGAATCCACTGCTTGGGGCCAAATGCTTGATGACCAACAATATTCGAACCACAAATAGTCGTGCTACCTTGCACAGGTTTTCCAACATAATCTCGGGGTGAAATCTGGTAAAGCTTGCCATTGATTTTGACTTCGAGATTCGCACCAGTATTACATGGAACAGTAAAGCTTTCGCCACTTGCGGCAGATCCAGGTATGAGCTTGTGCATGGCTTGTGCATCAGCTGGAGGCAGTAAGATAAACGAAGTCCCTGTGTCAATTATGGCTGTGCGATCGGTGAAACTGCATGGAGCACCACCAACCAGTATATCGTCAACAGGTATCTCCCAGGAATTGTCGTTGGCAGTCTTTGTATACGCTAAAGTGCCGGCGAACTTGGCAGTGTCGATTCCCCCGAACAAGATCTCTCCGTCCTTGGAACCATCTGCCGCTCGATGCAAGTGCACACCAACGACGTTCTGAGCCAGGTTCGCCTGATCATCAAGGACATCCATAATGGTCGGCGTACCCAGATTGCCTGAACTGCGACGGCCTAGTCCTAGAATGCCATCCATAGGATACCCATCGAAATCGCTGCTTGCGTTCGTGGCGAGTCCGAAGCCAAGGTTGATACTGAAATTGGCGAATTTCACAGTGTCACTTCCGACAATGCCGCTGACCGCACCCGTGCCGTATGCAAGATCCCACGTGTTCGTGGTCGTTTTGAGAGTGGTGCTGTCCTCTTTCCCGAATGTATTGTGAATGCTGCATGTTTCCGACAGACAATCGGATGAGAAGACCCATGTGTTGGCTGACCCAGTATCGATCAGCATAAACATCTCTTGTCCTTGACTGCCAAATCTGAAAGTGGAGAAATACGAGTAATCGGAACCATCTTGATGGATAGCGAGAGCATTCGGGCCGCTTGTCGCAGGGTTAGAAAGTACAACGGAGAACTGGTTATCGCGCTTCTGTACAAAAATTAGTATTGCATTCTGAGTACTCGGAGGGTGATGCCTACCTGTACTGGGACCTTGTGAACGTCAACTTTGACTACTCCATTTCGAGATTGAGCTGCTTGTGCTATGGGATAGAATCGTTTCTCGGCTCTCTGTGATTTTCCGTTGTTGTCTCTGTTGTACGGATAGAAGGCTGAAACATAGCTAGACAAGGATAGGACGGCCAGTAACCAAGTTTGGGGATAATGCATCACAGCTGGAGTGACTCAGGCGAAACACACAGAATCGAGATGAGCTGCACCTAGCAATGAGCAATTGGTACAATGAAGAATGATTAATATTATTTTGTTGATCAGAAGACCAGCTTCCGTTTGCAGGTAAAGGATTGTGACAAGTATTGGCTCTATTGTCGTGTTGCTCGGAGAACGTATCAAACGACCGTAGGAACGACAAGAACGAACCGCGAGAACCTCAGCAAAGAGGTCCTTCGAGACAGGGAAAGACGCGTGAATCGGTGAATGGTCGACGACGAAGTTGCACGATTAATTACGCTTGCGAAAATGATGTCGAAAAGGAGTCGTGACAAGTAGAAACCTGGGTCACAACGATGTTGATGCTGGCGACAGCATTCTTCGTCCACACTCAGCTCTCGTCCTGTGCGTGGTAAGACGCTATTTCTGGTGGAGGCTCGACCGCGACTAATCTGGTACCTGACGATCGCTTTTGTGGATATTCCAAGAGAACCGTGACCAGTCAGGTCGATCGGATCTACGTCTCTGGGTGTCCATTTCTCCTGGCTTCAGGATTTCACATGTCAATAACGTCGAGACGACATCGAGGCTCGAGGAGGACACGCGGTTTGTGCAAAGGTAGATATGTCTGGGTGAGACGATCAAACAGCGGAGAAATATCTGATCTCTGCACCGAAATATTTTACCACAGATTCAAGTTATCAGGGAAGGCCCTGCCGGCGCAGTAAGTTTGCCTGGTCTCTATAGTGGGCGCCTCAAAGCCACGAACGAAATGCAGTCTACCACTTGCTCCACGGGAACAATTTCAGCATGCTGTAGCTGTACGTACTCTTTTCGTAGCGGCCTACTACCACTTTCAGCTGCCTCTTCAATACACTGCTGTCACAAGCAGCCGTTGAACCTTGTTTTGTAGCGTAACTACAGCCAACGCCACCTTCCATCAATTGGGGATAACACATAAAGTACAATTCTCGCGTTCGAACAAGCGAGATGCAGAGGACATCATAGCGTAATCGACCTGTTCAATCAACAAGTCCACAATGTAAGGTTGGTAGTAGCAGGGACAGTTGTTACTGGATCATGTATGAGTAGTGTTACGTGTCATGGATTGCAAAAACGAAGTTTAATACCCAAACCACTTCACCACAATTGATGTGCCGTTCTACTTCTTCTCGAAGGGGTTATGATACCTGTAGTTGTGGCGATCCACGCCACGAGCAGAGGTCATAGAGACTGAGTCATATAACTCGTGCTGAATACCCATCCTGAACTGGCTCAAATTGGTGATTGGTGTGTGAGCAGCAGTGCCCTGGGTCTCCTAGACCTTCGGCACTGGTTTGTTTTTCCAGAATTCCTCTTCCGATGACAAGATCTGCCTATGTAAGTCACTGGTTCCAACCATATAGTCCGACATAGCAATACTGTCAGGAACGAGAATATCCGTAGCGCTGGCATCGTCGTTGCCAACAGGATTTGCTGCGCCACCAGTTGCAACTTCATCTTCATCGTCTGACTCGATGAGATTGCTGGAGTCACCTATTGCAAGAGCGACGTTATCATTTCCATTGGCCACAATGGTCGCGTTCATAGATTTAACGCTTGGTATATTGGAGACCGATGGCTGGTCTTTGATGCTGAATCTGGCGTAAGAATCAACAAGACCAGCAATATAAGGATCCTCGTGGGTTTCCATCTCAGGGGCGCTGGTGTCTGACGACGCAGTGCTGCCATTACTCGAAAAGTCGATGGAGACGGGACCTCGAGAACCTTGTCTGGATCTGTCTTCTTCGATAACAATGAGCGGAGCAGTCGGGGTTTCATCAGCAGCGGGAGTGATGTCGGGTGGTGGCGCCTGTGCGACGCTTTCGATAGATGGACGAGCCTCTGTCGGGGCAGTGGGCGCTGTAGCGCTCAACGAAGGTTCGCGAGCGGCCAGGTACTCTCTGATCTTAGCCTCAGGGGTCAAGCTGCCAACATCGCGATTGACTTCCAGTCTTTCGGGAGCCCATCTCGGGTCAACAACAGCTGTTCTATTTCGTGCTCGAGTGCTAGAAGGCTGCTTATGGGGTTCTGTGTTGTTTTGCTGGATTGGACGTCTTCCGCCAACGTTGTGATTCCTTCCTCTGCCAGCATTACCTCCAATGCGAGAACCATGTCCGGGCACTTCACCACGGAAGGTCGAAGGAGGGCCCTGGTGTGCGGCACGGTCGGATTTTCTCGAGCGTGTCTTACCATACCCTCTTCTTGTATGCTCGTCAGGAATATAAGCTGGATCGAGTGGGACTTGGCCTCCAGCTGCGACAGCTGTTTGAAAGGGGCCCGTACCACTAACAAGAATTAGTAATGTCGATTGTGGAGCATTAGCATGCTTACTGAGCTCTGGCATCGTTTGAAAAAACTCTCTGATTAGGAACTTGATCCACATTTCGAGATGATGGTAGTGGTCGATTCTGGGTATTGGTGGATGGTAATCTACCTGTAGCAACGGGAGCGGTATACTGAAGATGTCGAACATCGCCCCGACCAAGTGCGATCCGCGAAGTCTCGGGATGCTCCTGCTGTGTAAGTCTCAACCGATGAGTTTGACCACCGGCAATGTCTACGTCGGTAGCGATGTGATCGTCAGGTTGGAAGACGTTACCTAGCAACATATTAGCAGGAGTCACGGTCTGTATTGGTCGACAACGTACTGTGCCAGCCAGCAATCTCATCTCTGTCCTCGATCGCAGCTGGAGCTCTTGGAGCAAATTCTGGACGACTCGTTCGAGCATTTTTACGGCCACCTTCATCGGCTGTAACGATCTGTTCAAGGCGACTGTTGCCGTACATTGCCTATCACAAGTAAGTAAGGAAGTCATGACTTGCGGGCAGACATACTTCAGCTTCTCTACGTGCCCTCTCATCCTCATCTGGATTATTGACGTCGCCCATGTTGTACTATGTATCTTATCGGATGTCGTGCTTGAGCGGATCAGAAATTGGTCAAATGGCGGGTACTTGTAAGACGATTGGACTTGTAGAATGGAGAAGCCCTAAAGGATGAAAGTATTGACTGTGCGAGGCCGGAGTGTCAAGCCACGTGAGGCAGGTACGAGTAAGGCCCACTTATGTCTGTTGCTAAGTGAGAACTTCACTGCTAGTAACAGGATAAATTTTTCGGTGCCAGCCTGAGAAGCCCTTAAGAAGAGGCAGGCAAGCCGTGCCGAGCAAGCACAGGTGCTTGTATAGATTGTGCAGCTTGAGAGGATAGGTCCGAGACATGATGTTCTTAGAGAGATAGTGTTGAGCTGATTGTGCTACCACGTATCGTATTATTGCCTCGAGTCACAGTGAAGCTTTTCTGAAGTCAGCTCGAGCCGTGGAGTGTATAAAGAGTTGTGTTTTCCCAGCAAACCCAGCTCACTGACCGGCAGGCTGTTTTGCGCCTGGCAGGACAGCTGCAGGTCTTTCAGTATGCATAAGGACTGCCGGCTTCCGCCCATGAACCTGGACAAACAATACTGCCTAGATCTTTGTCAAGACGGTTTGTATATGTATGGATAAGAGGGGCTGATGCGCATGTTGTGTAAGTAGCTATGCAACCTTGCTTCTTGTGCCAGGAGCTTTAGCAGTCACGCGGAACTCCAGACGACCTTCGACGACGCAGCACAATGTCAATCCACCTCGTTATCGAAGCTCTTCAACCGACCTGCTTCTTGCGATAGCAAAACGATCTGCTACCTCCACCAAACTTCACACCGGAATGGTATCCAATAGGTAGGAAGGCTGCGCTGCCAACGACTTTAGCCAACGTTCGGGCAGGAGTCATCTGCTGTGATAGCAGCCAGAATCTGCTGGAAGAGCATGAGGGGGGGGGGGAATTACAAGCTCTACGAGCAAGCTGAACCATCACCTTGAAATCATGACTTGGTCTCTGCCTCTGCTATACCTTAGAGGCACACCTTGTTCCACGAGGAACTTGAGCGCTCTGCATTACACCCTTGGGCTGCATCTTTCTCAAAGAGAATGCACTGAACTTCAGAACCACAAATTAGCTATCAAGAAGCAAGAGATTCTTGTTCTCTTCGAAGCATGAGAGAGGGCATTCTGAAGAAGACATCAGCCTCCACAAAGACGCATTATAACCGAACGTTTCCATCTGAAGATGAAACAAGAATTCTTGTGGTCCAGATCACCTCTGGGGGCCGAGCAGTCTTTCGTAGTAGGCGAGCGTTGTACCACAGTCAACAAGATGTGCGTTTGGTCCGAAGAGTCACGCAATGCAGATCAAAAGACCAGAGAGACCTTGTCGAACGCTTGAACATGACCGAAATTGCAGACTCTCTGGTTCGAAAACGAGTGCCCAGCCCGTCGACACAACCAAGCAGGTCATTAGGAAATGTGGCAATTCAGTCCTGAATCCAAGATCAGAACACTGGACAGACTCAATGGCTAGAGCCTCCTTGGTTCTTCCTTTGTGGTGGGCAAAAGACCTAGATGCAGACACCGATTTCGGTAGCTATGTCCCAACAAAAAGCTAATAAGCATGGCTAGCAAGGCGACAGATATTCAGATCTCGATGCACTTTTGAGGTGCATGGCCGTAGCTGCTCGTGTGGGCTGGTCGAATTCAAGGTGATCGTGGTCGAGGCACTGTCATCGAAGCAGCAAAAAGTATTATCTCAGAGTCCAGAGAGCTGCCTAGACTTCAACAAGGTGAGCCTACTGCTGACGAGCCCTAAGATATGAACAGAGGAAGCTTCAGGTCATGGACGTTCAGAAGTGCCATGGGGAAGGCACTACCCATTGCAGATGCTCCCCCTAAGTCTTTGCTGAACTTTTCGTCAATCCGGTCGAACATGGAGTAGCCAACTGAATGTCAGCATCTATCGTATCGACCATGTCGTCCAGGCGATGGATCTAGCGTTCGACAGAACTACCTAGATTGACCATTTTCGGTGTGCTGGAAGCAAGGATAGATGTTCCGTTGACATCGCAAACTTGTATTCCACGGGATGTCCTGAGCTTAATCAGGCAGTTGATTGAACTGGAAAAGACATCCCCATGTTCGCCAAGGACCATCAATCGTCCCTCATCAGGAGTGAGCAGAAAAAGCATAATGCTCTTTGATTTGGGGGTTTCTCCGAACATTGGCTGTCAACAACATCACGACATTATCAAGTATCGCGCGTCTTCGGGTTCAGCTAGTGAAGTATTGCTTCGCCGAGAATATATTGCTAGAGATTGCCCTTATCTTCGTGCTAAGGCAAACATCGAAATTGCTGTGATGTTGTGCAGAGCCGAACTACCACGTGAATCAGTCAGCGTTGGTAGCTCGGAGTGAACAGGTCGTGCCTGTCCTTCTAATCGAAGAGATTAGCTCTAGGTCGGACTATGCATACACGCGAGCAAGACCTGATCTGCACGTCTGGCGTTCCTGCCGCGTGCTATCATGACTTGGTTGTAAACTGGTGGCATGTGGAGAATTGTTGAGGTGAACCAGAATATGCGTCGCCTCAGCGATAGTCATCGATCAAGCCATCTGTGGACGGCACGTGTGGAATACACCCCAGTCGTGTATTGCTTCATGTCAGGTTGTTACGACATACGAAATACGTTGTGTCGTTGAGTGATTGCAGCCCTCTCTCCCAAAGGGAGCAGCGCAGCCCGACTTCTGCTAGTTTGCGGAGCATTGACGCAGCCTCCTCAGCCCGGTATCAGCGTGCCAATTTTAGCAGTACGATTCAATCACCAGCCGGATGTGCTCTCGAGAATTTGAAAGCTAGGAAAAAGTTCACAGATGGCATCTTGATATCGAGGAGCTCTCCGGGTGTGTACTATGGTAAGTACCTCTCGAGCTTGCATGTGGCACCGTTGATAGCAAACCACGTTGGAGGAAGTGCATCCACGAGAGCAGAACTGCAGTTTGCGGAGTTAGAGTTATGGACAAGCAGCCCTTGCTGACACAAGAACGGCATCTTACTCTTTGTGGGACGGTTGAGTACCTATAAACCCAATCAACCTGCGATGGCGGACTCCATTGGAGTTGCTGAGCATCCACTCAACATCTCCAGATGCCGGTGTATTAGCTTATCCTGCAGCATCTCGGTGTGTATCACCAGATGTACGTAGAGGCTTGACAAGCCAGCTATACATAAGCTCCTCGACTCTGTCTCAAACTTGGAAGTCGCAGACCGCTCTTTCCATACAACCCTTCTATATCACTAAGATATCTTCGTCCTTTCTTCGAACTCTCCTGCCTTTCATGAGCCCAGTTGATTACATTGACCATACTATCGTGCATCCTATACACTAGATAGCAGGCTTCTACTTGACCTGAGTCGTTTCGGTTTTCACAGCATCATGGCAGCCCCACGCGCATCCTCATTCAAGGCACTGAAGAACCTCTCAAGGCCATCTCAACGCAGTCTGCATATGACAGGTTCGCAGTCCTCGCCCAGAGCACTAGATGGAAACCACAAGACCACGTATCTTCCGTGGGGTCTACAAGAGCTTCGGCAGGAGTGCGGGAAACGGACACTGTCAGCTTCGGGCACAAAGCACGAGCTGATCGACAGATTGGCTTCACACGACACTCTGCAAGCCAGAGCATTCTCGATTGCTATGAGACGCATCGCCAAAGAGCAGTCTTCCAAGCCAGTCAGCGGGTAAGTCGAAGAGCCCTGGATTTCTGAGGTGGGATATCGCTAATCCAGGCATAGACCTTCCGAGACAACGAGCACTCGTAGCTTCAACACCTCTCGAGCCAATAAAGCCGTAAACGACACCAGTACAGTTGACTTTGCATACCTGCCAAAGCTCTTCTCGGAAGAGTGGAGCGTGCGACCAGCCGTCGTTCGAGTGCCTATACTGCCCACTATCTTTTCAGACGACGCCGAAGCGAGGCTCGAGCAATATCCAAACCTAGACGCGGCAGCTGGTGGATATCAAGCCAGCGATGGTGGAATGGCCAAGATCATGAAGCCTCAAATCGAGACAGTCGAAGAGAAGACTAGCGCTGAGATGAGCCATATGAGCGACATTGGCGATGGTCAAACCACAGAGATGTCGGTCGAGACATTGGCTGAGCTGACAAACATCCTTGGAGATGACGCTAAGAGATTCGTTGAGAGCGTTAAGGACAAAGACGAGGGCACGATTAGAAAGATCTGGTCCGGTTTCCTAGACGACTTGCTTGGTGCTAAGAATACTGGTGCAAAGGCATGAGCTTGTCTAAGTACATGGACTCGTTCCCAATGAGCTGGCTGATATTTTTCTATAATTCAGCAGAGAAGTAGCGGCATCAAGTGCTGAGTCGCGAAACTCTAGCTAGGATGGAGCAGACCAAGCAATGGGTTAGTTAGCGTCAATTTAATTCGTGTTGTGCTTGAACCGTCCTGCCCTCTCGAACTTCATCATGCTCCCGAGTCCCGACCGCCACTGTCCTTGATGATATATCGACAGAAGGGAAGAGAACAGGCAAGAGGTTGCGTAGATTCCTCTTACAGCAGTTCAGGTTGGGTTTACTCGCTTTAGTGGTACGAAACACATTCACGCACTACACGATGACCAGGAATGGACAGCGAGTTTGGGTGCATGTCAACCCACGGAAACATCCCCTAGGATCTAGTCTCAAGAGGACATCAACGTATTGGTCCGCTGCCATATCTACAGGCAATGTAGTGTCGTCTGAACGATCAGCATGTCGTTGAGTTGTTCTGTCAGTATGAAACCTAATAAAGTCTGATTGAACAGTACTCCGTACTTCGAGTGCCTGCGAAACGATGCAGGAACATCTCAACCAACACCAGGCCACCTGCACGAACGTATTTGTTCGTATCATTCCGGCCAATGATTGTTCTCAATCGACCCCTGACATGGAACTTCACCCAGCTTCCACACGCAAAGAGACGTGCGCGATGCATACGAAAGACGACTTGGGATATGTGCATATTACCCAACACAGAAGATATCTCGATGGCACACGAAGTTTGTGTAAGGATTGTATTCGTCCTTCGCTCACCTTTACCCCTTCTCAACTCAGCACTACTACCCCAGATCGTGCGATGCGCGGACTGTCCTCCAAACCGTCAGTATGGTCAAGCCTAAGATGCTCTGGCGAGGTTCCGAATCATCTACTGGTGCTGAGTGCGAAAGAGATACGGGCGTGGACCCACTCCCATCAGCTTCATACGGGTGAGCGATACGACTGCAGCACGAGACTTTCGACTAGCCATACAATACTGTTGATTGACAAGGCAAATTGAAGGATACCTTCGCGGGTACAATCTACGCAGCAAGTCCGTCCCGAAGTCCCCATCAAGACTTCTCGGTGAAAGCCTTCACTCACGTCGAGGGAGCAGCTAGAGCCAACAACGGTGTGATTTTATCGTTGTTTTTATCCAACGTAATCACGAATTGATTGCCAGGTCCGTTGCTCTATCACCCTGATTGACAAAATCACCATTATGTGTTTATTACTCAGGTTAAAACTGTCCCCCTCCAGCTCACCCAGTGGTTACCTTTCCCTGCTATTCAGCACATGAACATCGCCCTGCCCTCGATTACCTTCATCGTTCTTCCAAAAGCACAGAACACACCTTTGACTTGACCTCAGAACGATGTCAGACAACCCATCTCCCCCATCAACACCAAACACAACACCTCCCACATCCCTCCCCACCCCCACAATCATCTCGCGAATCCGCGACGCCGACCTACTCATGCAAGTTACCCGCCATCGACGCGGCAGCCGACGTTACGACCTCATGATGCGATTCCTCCTCCACAGCATTCCTATAGACTTGATGACGGACTACAACCAAGCCTTTCCCTTCACTGGCCCGGACCAAGTCCATTCATCGAGCCTACATTGCTATTCACGTGAGCAGTTATTGGTCTTGATGCGGTTTTATGAGTTTGTTGCGGGGGAGTTGACGAGGTTGGTTTGGCAATTGAGGTTGGTTGAGAGGGTGTCGAATGTTCCGTTGTTAGTGTTGAATTTGATAGGAGATGTTTTGAGTTGATGAGGGATAAACAATATATGTAATTCGTATACGATAATTAGTTTTGGCACACGGAGACTACAAAGTATGTGCCTGAGCATTTGTAATTGAAATAGCAGCACCTAGGTGACAGCAGTAGCTCTCTTTCAATAAGCAATGTCAATAAAGATGGGGATGAAGACCCATTGAGTGATGGTGCAGATACAGTAGAAGAACTCGACAAAAACAACGAAAACGTAAAAACGGGCTCCAAGCTCTTGTTGTTCTCATATCTTGGTTTCTCCAAGGTCTTGCGATCTATATCTATATCACCTGCTCTATTCTTTTGACGAGATTTGATTCGCCTCTCTGCTTAAGCATATTCAGTACCCAACCCTGTTGATTACGGTGTAATATCTTCAGCCGCCGTACGTATGTACTCAAGTTCGGATCCGACTTGGCTTCCTGCAAACCTGTACCTATCAGCCATCTTTGTAATCTTTGTGGGTTATCTTCTATGTCTTCGTCTGCTGCGAAAGTAGGAGGCGGTTGAATTGTGGCAGGAGGTGGAGGAACAGCTGGTGCTCTTGGAGGTGGAGGAGGCTCTTCATCATCAGAGTCAGCATTTCTTATCACAGGACCGGAGACAGGACCTCGAGTCGCTGGTCGTAGAGCTTCATCGTCTGAGTTGTCTTCATCGACAGTGGTCGCGTATGGACCACGTGGTGCTGGCGTAGGTTGATCCGTGGTTTCTTCGATATCTTCCAGGCTCGGCATACTGTCACCGCCTTGTGAAACCTCATCCTGCTGTTGGTCATAGTAATCGAAACCCCCAGCCATGTTTCCAGCAGCAAATGCTTCCTGCAACTCCTCGTCGTCCAGCTCACCAAAGTCCTGGGCTACCTGGATCTCTAGCATCCGCTGTAATACGTGGTCGGGGATCTCGGCAGCTTGTGGACCCAGGTGTTCTCTGAGGGCTCTTAGGTCATTCTCTCTCGCGCCTTCAGCTTCTTGACGGTTGTCTGATTGGGCCGGGGTGAAGAACCATCGCAAAGCTCTCGAGACGACGTCGCTGGATAATGCCACCAATCCTTGACCACCAGCTACTGCTTGCGGGGCGTCTGTTGGCGCACGTCTAGTGAAGTCACTTTGTTCGCTGCTTGGTGGTGGTAGGATATCGGCACCTGAAGTGGGCATCGTTGTAAATTGTCGAGGTAGTAAAGCGATGAGAGAAGGTATTTCGAGGGCCATTATGTGGCGGGCTTCTTCGAGCGATATTTGCAGGGCAGGTGCAGATGCTTGGTCGTCGATCTTGTAATACTGTAGGGTGTTTGCGACTTCGGATATCAGTCCTATGGTTTCGGGAGTGTTCCAGAGATCTTTCGCGCGTGTGACGTAGAGTTCTGTATAGAGTTTTTCAGCATCAGTCCGGGGTATCTCTTTCCACAACGACTTTGGGATTGGTGAAACCTCGAGAGCCGATGCAAGCTTGTTCAGAATGTAAGGGTAGCGCTCCATCGCCAAGGCAAGTTGCTGTCGTGCTTCGCGAGGGTTTTGAGCTCGCAACAAGGCAAGAGATTTAGAAATGCATATGTTTGGTAAGTGCGACCAAGCTGAACCATATGCTGAAGGCGAGGTCATATCGAGGAACTGTTGGTGTTGTCTACCACGAAGAGCGAGTTGATCGATCATCATAGTCACACCAAACGGGTCCGAAGCCGTGTTGAGCTGAAGGAGTATTTTGGACCATTCGTAAGCGGTTTTCCAAGTACCTCGTTGTTCAAGATTGCGAATATATCGCCATATCGTCAGGTAAAGTTCACGGTTAGCAGGCTTGTTAAAGTCGAGCCTGGCAACACCTTCTCGCATAGCGGCGGGGAAAGAGGAATGGACAGATCGACCCAGGGTGAAAAGAGCTCGTTCGAGCAAATCTCCAGACAGAGAATTGTCTCCTTGATGCTTTGCGATTTCGGAGACTTGCAGCAAGCTCGCAACGTGATACGGGTGTTTCTGAAGCATGCCTATCATAGCTTCAGCCTGCATTGAATCGACGGCTAACTTGAAGTCCCACTGGGCAGACTGGTATTGTTGGTTATGTATCAGGTTGAAATGCTTCTCGAAAGTGGTAACAGGCAAAGCCTCCATGCTCAAACCACCACTCGTTGCTAGAGGCCATTCCTCCTTTCCTACCATAAAGCAATTTCGTCTCCTAGCAAGAGCTCCCAGTTCCTTTCCTTGACTGGTCCGATTGTATCGTCCTGTCAAAGCAGTCTGTAGATCGACGCCACCTTGTAAGTTTTGTTCTCGTCTTCTTGTAGGCTGTGAGCGTGAGCGAGAGTCGTCCTCGAGAGCAATATTTCCGAACAGACCGCGCATCTCATTGACTGGATCCAGGTTCTTAGGCTCAATAGCTAGGTGCTTAGTGGCATCGCGTTCCCAAAGACCTTCCTGTACAGTATCGTCGCCACCTTGTCCTTGAGGCTGCTTGAGTGCTAACTCCTTCAATGCTTTGTCTATGTCGTCCTCGGAGGCATCCTGTGATTCTGCCGGCTGAGTATCTGCGGCTGTATCCTTAGGCTTTTTCTTGGACGTTTTCTTCTTCTTCTTGTTCGATTTCGCTACTGATGTCGAGGGTTGTGATTGTGGTGGTTCGACAGGTTCTTGCTCTTCTTCCATGTCTTTGTCGTCCTCCTCGTCATCGTCGGTAGCGTTCAGCATATCAAAAGCATTTCTGGGTCTGGATATGACAACAGGCTCATCTTCCTCCGACTCCTCCTCGTCGTGGTCGCGTGTCGCAGCCAATTGCTTTTCCCATTCCTGCTCACGCAATTTCCGTAGAGCTCGAGTACCCATCTCGACGTAGACCACACGGCAATTCTTGAGTTACAAAGTTCGAAAATGCAAGGTCTCTATCATAGAAGACATATGCGAATTTCAGTTATCGATTGCCCTCTAGATCTACTCATAATTCTTGTAGGTTACGTCATATTTGATGATTCACCGCTAGCGTGTAATTGGTCACTATAGACACCGGCGAGGATCTGCAAACTGAACTGAAGTTCGATTGAAGTGGTCTGAAAACTAGTACCATAAAAGGAGAGGAGGGCACTTGAAATTATGGGATCAGTACGAGTAGTTCTCCGTGATATGGAAGAGATAGGTAAACTGTACGAGAACAAGTTCTGGCCTCATCTTGTTTGCTCTCACGCGTGCACTATAAGTAGATGACGCGCCTGCACTAAGATCTAGTCTCAGTCCGTCCGTGATCCAAGTCCTACAATCTCTTGTCTCGCTTATTTGTCGTCGATATTTGGATGAGTACCAGTCAGAGAGTCGAAGATCGAACGTCCTTATAGATTTGTGCTGAACCAATCGGAGAGGAGCAGAATTTATTCAGCCTGGCGACGATTGCGACGATCATCCGCCTCGGAACCAATCCTTGTTCAGCTCTCTTCATTCTCTCTTCCCTTTCCTTGACGTTAAGGCAAAGATGCGTCGGGCTGTAATATCAACCCTTCGCACAGCAGCTCGACGCTCGGCCTTTCGAAAAGCCATCAGCAAATCACCACTCTTCTCACGCCATCACCCCGAGCATGCGATCAAAGCCTCCTTCTCTACCACTGCCAGAAGGTATAGCCAGAATCCTTCCTCCATGCGCTTCAATTCCCGACGACCTTGGATTATTGGTGGCTCGATCGGTGCGATAGGTGTGGCATATGTAGCGTACAAAGGTCCTTCTCTTCAGCAAAATCCTGCTCAAGCACGCAGTCTGACAACAAATGCTCCACCCCAAATCACTCCTATCGCTGCAGTTACACATGACAGGAAAGCGCTGGTGGTAGACAACGATCAATTCTTCACAGGCCAGATAGTAGGCGACGGACCATTAGCCAAAGATACTGATGATCGTGGAAGAAAAGTGCTCGAGATGCTCTCCCCGGACCAGGCCACGGAGCGCATCCGCAAAAATGAACAATCATACTTGGTGGGCCGAGGTAGAGGTGTTGTGCGATATGATGTTGTGCAGCTACCCTCCAACGACCCCATCGAGGATGATCACGCCGAGAAGATAATAGAAGTGCCCAATAGCGTGGCTGCCACAGACGATGGCGCTCCTAGCAGTGACTGGATGTTTTGGGGCGTGTTTGATGGTCATTCAGGCTGGACGACAAGTGCAAAACTACGACAGGCTCTTATCTCTTTCGCTGCTCGAGAGCTCAATACCACATACAAGGCGGCAGTTTCAAGCACAAAGTCTCCATTTCCTGACGCCGCCAGCATAGATGCAGCATTGAAGTCTGCCTTTACTAAACTCGACAACGAAATATGTATAGAAAGTGTCAACAAGGTCTTCGCGAATCCTCGCAAGCCGTTTGGTGCTGAACTTCTTGCACCTGCCCTCAGCGGCTCCTGCGCCCTCCTTTCGTTCTACGATACTCGTTCAAACCTCTTCCGCGTCGCCTGCACAGGCGATTCTCGCGCCGTACTCGGTCGTCGCAACCCAAAGTCAGGGAAGTGGTTCGCTACACCACTTTCCGAGGATCAGACTGGTAGCAATCCTAATGAGGAAGCTCGAATGCGTGCCGAACATCCTGGTGAGGATAAGGTCATCTGGCGTGGTCGAGTTCTGGGCAACCTCGAACCAACTCGTGCCTTCGGCGATGCAGCATACAAGTGGACCAAGGACATCCAGGAACAAATACAAAGTAAATTCTTCGGTCGAACACCAAATCCCCTCCTCAGGACTCCTCCTTACGTCACGGCCGAACCAGTGGTGACAACCACCAAGATTGAGCCACGCAATGGCGACTTTGTAGTTCTTGCTACTGACGGTTTGTGGGAAATGCTCACCAATGAGGAGGTTGTCGGTCTTGTCGGTCAGTGGGTTGAGGCTCAACAGAACGGCACATCTCCTGCCAAGTCCTCGGGTACTGCATGGCTCACATCATGGTTCAGTGGTGCTAAACCACAATCACAGCTCCCAGTCGAAAAAGGTGGAAATACAGACAAGACTGGAAAACCAAAATCAGACATTGCAGGCAAGGAGGATCTACCAATCAGACAGCAACAATGGCAGATTCCGCAAGACAACAACATGCACAGTCGTTTTGTGGTGGAGGACAAGAACGCTGCCACTCACCTGATCAGGAACGCACTAGGTGGAAAGGACAAGGACATGGTATGCGCCCTGCTGACACTTCCGAGCCCGTATAGCAGGAGGTATCGTGACGACTTGACGGTTGAGGTTATCTTCTTCGGAGAAGGGGCAAGTGATGGTGCGGTACGGGTCAACGAGGAGGCCAGTTCGCAGAGCAACAACGATAAGTTGAAGCCGAAGTTGTAAACATCCATCGTGATTGTGGAAGAGTTGAGAAAGAGACATTAGAACATGAAGGAGGCTTTGTGTGTCATTTGTATTATATAGAGTGTGATCAATTCTCGGATGTGCATTCGGTGGGCACCATCATACAGCAAGGCGTTATAACGGGCAAGGAGTGTTGATGTCGAATGAGGCAGTCAGAGCCACCAGCTCTACCTGACTTACCTCATGTGCACTACGTAGACTCCTGGAGTATTTCTGTATCTCCGGGCCAGTCAGAGAGTATAATATTTCCCGGACCTACATGCTGTACTCGAATCGTTGTACTACTGCACTCTACAAGGCCGATCACTTACTTTCTCACATGTCTGTTGGCAACGTCATCGCAGCGGCGGCCAAACACGAGGATTCAGATTCAGGACTTTGTTGTAAACGTTGACAGCACCCCTCTGTCTCAATCATAATGTTGCTCAATCGTGCTTGTGTTTCTTCTTTCTGCTCCAGTCAGAATAGCAAGGGCAGGCATGGCAGTCACTACTATCGTGGGCCTGCTGGTCCTTGTGCCATTGCTGCTCCTAGCGCTGGCTAGGCTGTCCCTCCTGCTCTTAGGGAGATACCTACTCTCACAAACAAAAGATCGACGCGACATTTTGCAAGCTCTGTTCAAGAGAGATCTTGATCTAGGTTCACACGAGAACGTCACCGAGGTAGACAATGGCTGGGGCAAAGTTGACACACCGCCTTCAGAGTCAGATCAAGAGAAGTGGTCGGGCATTATAGGCTTCTTTCACCCATTCTGGTGAGATTACTGCCATACTACATCGTGCCACGACTAATTCTATACTAGCAACGCAGGAGGCGGTGGTGAACGAGTTCTATGGGCAGCTATTGCTGCAACGCAGACAAAATGCCCTCGTGCCATCTGTGTTGTGTATACGGGCGACCACGAAATCGAGCGAGATGCAATCATTGACACGGTCAAGAAGCGCTTTGACATATCCCTCCAGTCGCACTCCCTACAATTTGTGTACCTCTCTCAACGCCGTCTCGTTCTTGCCTCCACGTGGCCACACTTTACACTCCTTGGTCAGAGCATTGGGAGCATGATTCTCGCTTACGAAGCCTTCAACATGCTGGTGCCCGACATCTTCGTTGACACGATGGGCTATGCCTTTGCTGTTGCCTTCGCACATTATCTTTTCCCTCGTCTGATAACTGCGGCATACGTGCATTATCCCACAATCTCAACCGATATGCTCGAGAGCTTGGATGACAAAACAGGAACCAAGGGCATACATTCTGGTGCAGGCTCAGGCTGGCGAGGCAGAGCCAAGAAAGCCTACTGGCACGGCTTTGCATGGCTTTATGGTTGGGCTGGCAAGAGTATCGATGTGGTTATGTGCAACTCCACATGGACCGCGAACCATATTCGCAAGCTGTGGAAGCCTGCACAACCAAGCATAGTCTACCCACCCTGCCCGGTGAGTGAGATCGGGAGAAAGATCAAGATAGACGGCTACCCAGACGAGCAACGAGACCCTACCACTCTCTACGTGGCGCAATTTCGACCCGAGAAGAACCATAGCCTCATCCTCAATGCCTTTGCGAAATTCTACCATAGCAATGCTGAGTCTCCTGCTTTCAAGAGCTCCAAGAAGCCACGTCTGATTCTGCTTGGAAGTGTTCGTGCCAACACACCAGATGAAAAGTACATCTACAAACTTCGCTTGCAGGCGCACGAGTTGAAGATTACAGAATGTACAACTTTCATCACAGATGCTCCTTTTAGCTTGATACTAGAGCATCTTCAGTCGAGCAGTATTAGTGTAAATGGCATGTATGCCGAGCATTTTGGTATAGGCAACGTCGAAGGCCTCGCTGCTGGCCTCATTCCTGTTGTTCACAATTCTGGTGGCCCAAAAGAAGACATCGTCGTACCTTACGAAGGACAAGACATCGGCTTTCTATGTGAGAACGAGTCGGAATACGCAGACGCTTTCAAGAAGGTGCTAATCGGTTTGTCCACACAAGAAAGGCAAGATATGCGGCTCAGGTGTAGGCAAAGCGCGAAGAGATTCACCGATGAGGTGTTCAACGGTAGATGGAACAAGGAGATTCAAACGCTGGTTCATATGCAATTGCGCAAGTCTGGACACAGGTGAACGTAACATCAGAGGTCAGCAAGCTTGCGATTTTCATTTAGAACTACGATACTCGTATGCTATGAAACGGCGAGTTGATGGCAAGAAGCGTATAGCGAAGCTAATACTAAGCACTTCCTTGCCACAAAGCCGTAAAGTACCGTGGCAACGACGTATGTAATTGCTGCAATTGCCCCAACAGTGCTTGAGCAGAATCCTGAGGTGAGGATCGCTTAGCGCCCGTCAGTACGGAGGTACTAGCGTTGTATGTCTTGTAATGACCAAACTTCGCGACCACGAAAGTTTGACCTGTTGTGTTTAATAGCGGCTCACATTCAGTTGTACCACAGCCAGCACGTGGGTGGTGAATATTATCATACACTAAATTTCTTGTTTTCACTTGCCTGGTCAACCTTCACCAAGCAATTGGACCCCTTGACACGAGACGTAATCTTTCTTGATACCATACGACGGCGGTGAAGATGCCTGCATCTGTTTCATTGCCCAGGAACAAGGGTGCGTCGCTATGGCCAACCACGATGGAGTTGAGCGGAGAGCAGGGAAGTATTCTGTTTCAAACATTTCCGTCAGCGTCAACAAGGGCTAAAAACAGGCTTCATGCGAATCTGACCCGTACAACCACCACACGACATCTGATTTAACAATTGGGAGTCCGACGGTCGGCTTCGTTTTAATTGCTATTCAACAATGAATGTTTGCAGTCCTGGCTAGTCAATGCTTGTCAGATGCAGACGTCAGAATGATAGCGCCACTCCGAGCGGAAAAGATATGGCTGACCGTACCATTGAAAGCTTTATATGCCTTTAAGCGACAGTGGTGGCAATTGTGGTATTTGGACGATGAGTCTATTCCGGCCTTGATGGAATCTACTGCCTGGGCAGATGTAAGTTGGAAAACTGAACCCAAAGAAAATTGCTTATCTTTTTCCTAGGGACTAAGAGGCATAGCAACGCTAGGCGTTGTGTCTTCACATCTCGTCCTCTGCTTTGCCCGGTCACTGGCACGACCATGCTGCGGGCACGATGATATGACTCCAAAGCTTTTTCAGCGACCAATATTCAGACTCATCGCAGCTGGACACTCCTGGGTAGCCATTTTTCTTGTGTTGCTGGGCTTCGTCAACTCGCTCAAACCCTTGAAGCTGGTTCGGTCGGGCAAGGTTGATACTGCCTTGAGCAGCGTTGCTACCGCCTCTTTCCGCCGAACATTTCGACTGATATTGCCATGTACACTCGCCACGACCCTGGCGTGGTTTGCATGCCAGCTGGGATTGATGGAAAATGCACGTTACAGTGATGCATGGTGGCTTTATGTGAACACTCCAATGCCGACTCCTAGCTGGCACCAAGCAGTCAATGACCTATTTATCGCACTGATGCGCACATGGCTTTTCAGGGGAGGAGAAATCGTCTACAACCAGCCGCAGTGGACTATGGTGTTCTTGTTACAAGGAAGCATGCTGGTTTTTGCTACTATATTTGTTGTGGCAAACCTGACTGGCAAGTGGCGTGGGATAACGCTCGGTCTTCTTGCATTGTGGTCAACAAATTGGAGTCTCGTTCTTGGTGACCCTTTGGTTGGCTTCACTTGCTTCAACGGCATGATACTTGCCGAGTTGGCCTTGAGCAAAGTACCAGGAAGGCTTGCGGAGTCGAGATGGACAATCATGCTGTCTGGATGGCTCATCATGACAGCACTTGTGTTGATGTCTATGCCGGCAAGCTTGGCTCAGAACGCAATATGGTCACAAACTCTCTATCGTGCTGCGGAGAAGTATTTTCCACACTCGGCGATCGACGACATAAGTCGTACCTGGGGCTCTATTGGAGCTGTGATGCTCGTCAGTGGGATCATACTCTCGCCTCATGCACGATACCTCCTTTCAGCTCAACCTTTGGCATGGTTGGGCAAGATCTCATTCCCAGTGTTCCTTCTGCATCCACTCTTCATGCAGACAGTCATGCCAATATTTGCTTTCTCATCGGAGACGACACACGAGATAGTGCCACTTCCTGACTCTTTCGATGCAGATGGGGCGCCACTGATGCAGGAGATCCGCAGATATAGACAGAGAGGGAATGCAGCCTTGGCTATGTCAGTGGTGGTTGTCTTAGGTTGCACATGCGCTGCAGCACATTTTTGGATACTGAAGATTGAGCCTTATTTGGGTAGAATCACGAGTGCGTGCGAAGAAATAATGACTGGCAGGAATTCTATGGAACAACCAATGGAACTGCCTCGGGTCCGACAGGATCATGAAGGACAAGGAGTACGATCGAAAGAGGGACCGGTCTGCTGATAGAGCTCACCTCAAATAAGATGTTTTTTCAACACGTTGCTCAACAAGGCTCGGAAACCCTGCTCAGTAACCGAGATACAGCCTAACTATGCAGCAAGTTTACATGGACTTTCTTGATGGAGATGGGTCTCTAGCTGAAACGTTAGAAGTACAGTCTCCCCACGATCGACAGTTGGTGTTCAAGCCACACTCCATCAGTGTCAGGAATCTGGTGGCGCAGTTCATTGGTTGATAGTCAATAGCGGCAGTAGCCACGTCTGGACGTGCCTCCGCTTCACGTGGAGAAGTGGCGAATTGAGCCTGCACAGGGTCCAAGAACAACGTCAACCCTCAATCACATCTTGTCTTCCTGCAAACATCTGCCTGGTGGGTAAACATCATGGCATCTTCAGGAGGTCATCTGGTCACAAAGACCATGAGGCTCTTGAGGTAGGTTTGCTCCCGACGTTTTCAGTCAGTCTCTAATTCGAAGCAGGTTTGGCCTCGACAAGGCACGGAATGTTGTACGTGAACGACTTGGCCAAGTCGGCCAAGTCGAAGCACGCGCAGAACGAATCTACGCCAGAGTCCACGATCAACCATTAACTCGTCTACAAGCTGTCAAACAAGGACAACGCAGACAGTACAGCACACAACGAGTGGTCAATAATGCTATCCGCTACTTCACAACTGAGATATCGCACACCGCTAAGCCGTTGCGTTCGTCATATCCTCAATCTCGAACAAGGACTGCTGTCTCCCACCTCACAAGTCGCACCCCATTTGCCTCGACCCTGCGACCGAATTTGACGGGTGGCACTTTATCAAGATCTGCTGGAGGATATACTACAGGCGGAGGCAGAGTTGGAGGAGCAAGATACTTCTCACATGGACCAGCTCAACCTGCTGAAGTCATTCAGAACGTCTCTCAGGCTGTTCGAGCCTTCTGGCTACAAGGTCATAAGGCACACTTTGATGGCTACGATACAAAGACTGGCAACAAGCGCTTTCGAGCTGTATCTCCAACCCAAGACAAGGCCCGAAATGCCTTTGATCGTTTCCACTCTCACTCGGCTGGCAGCTACGTTGATTTCAAAGTCAGCCCAATTATCACAGCCGTTGGACCCCTGAGCACTGTCCCACGATCAGAGACATACAACTCCTACTGCTTTGAATCCGAGAGCTCTACCTCCCCAACAGCCACGATCGCGGATGAGGCCATCATGACCACCCTTGCCGTTGATTTCGCTCGAGCACTAAAACATCTGGCTGCGATCATGAACGATCTCAAACGTCTTGCAACTCTTGGTTCGTTACCACTTATCATGCTCGATCCCACCACACTCCGAGTACGTTTCCCTGGCTGCGATCAGGATACAGTCGAACAGCTATGTACTGAACTGGGGATACGTCGAGGAGTAGTAGGCCAAGACGAGGACTTTGACACGCAGCACGGTGCGGATATCGCCCTCCGCTTTCCATTTGCGCCCTCCAAGACTGCTTCCGAAGCCGAGCTCGAGCACATCTACGATGGCTGGAGACCAGCAAAACGCACAAAACGTGAGAATGTTGATTGGCATGGCATGCTCTCCCATGGTCAGCATCATCAGTCGACTCATGCAGATTTTGAAGTTCCTCATCCTTTGGCAGAATCGGATCGTCATGATCAGGAAGAGCTCCATTCGATCCTCGACGATGCCGAGATCATCAATAACCCTTGGCTCGCCTCAGCTCCTATCTCTGCACAGATGTCCGATTATTCTTCTCTGCACCCCTCTGAGCACATAGCCCACGAAGATACAGGCAAGCCTTTCGAACCTGATCACCGATTTTATGCGACGGAGCAGACTGTCCCTGCTGATCATACGGGCTACGACGGAATCGAAGGAATTTACAGATTCATCGAACACTGCGACCGGGCCAGGCATTAATGACGAGTTTCGTCAATTTATGGGTACGGCTTGGATACGATTGGAATGATAAGAAGCAATACGCGCCTCAGAATGTATATCGATACCCGCATTTTTAGTCAGTTGATTTCATACAAATGTCACAAAATGAATGAATTAAAAAGGTCCTGTGACTTTGGTTCTTTTTGAAACGTGCCAGCCCACCAGTATTTCGTGTTCTGTTCTAGGCTATGCGCCTCAGCCAGGTCAGTGAACCCCTTTTCAACGACCACTAGTCGCTGATACTGACCATAATTGTACCCAGCTTACCACATCTTCATCTAGTGCCCACCCTTCCTTCGCCATAACACAACCAGGAACCACAACAACTACCGCTGCATCTCCCTCCTCAACTCTCCCAACAACACTCCATTCAACGGATGATCCCTCGTCACCCTCCTAACCTGCCCTTCCCCGAATCTCACCACCTCCTCCAATAAAATCTCATAATTCACATCCTGCTGTATCAACCCTTGAAATGAGTACATTCCTCCTCCTCCTTCACCACCACTACGCTGCTGTAGCCTCCTTCTCTGCCCCACAATCCAGTCTTCAAGCGTGACGGTGCCGGCGTTGGCGTTCATGAAATCGCCCCAGCGGCGAGAAAACGCGGCGTGAACGCGGACGGAGAGGTCGACGTTGGATTTAGGGAGGTTAGGAGGGGATGTAGGGAGAGGGGGTAGGTTGCGATTAGATGGAGGAGGGTGGGATAGGCGGAGGGTTCGTAGACGAGGTCTTCGATTATCTGTGGGGGGCTGAAGCCTCGAAGGATGTCTGGGGGTGTGCCGGTGAAATTTCTGAGTTGATGGCGGACGGCTGTGAGGAGCCTGGCTGGGAGGGAGGACAGGGTTAGCTGAATTCCAGAATGGGTGGTCTGGCGGCTATTGATGGTTTACCTTCTGCCTTGTGCAGGGCTTTCTTGTCTTCTAGATCTAGGGCAGGCGTGCTCATGCGTGATTATTGTAGTAATCGTTTCAGATATTGTCGAGCCATCAGTGGTTTCAGAAGAACACATATCATTGTAGCTGGCTGGTTTTGGCAGCATCATTGCTATACTTGTTGTGCGAGGCAAACCGTTTGGTCCTGCCAATCATACTAGTAAAACCACCATGTAATCTGTCTCAATCGAACTGCTTCATTAGCTATTGTCGAGAGCACCGTCTCCGTCAGCAGGTGTGTTGTGTTCCCGCGAACACGACTTCAGCCTCAGCAGAAGCGAAGTTGCTTCGACCTTCAGCAGACTGAGATGAAACTGAATGACAACAGTCACGGCGTCCGGTCCATCCATAAAAAGGCTGATAAGAATCAGCAATTTAGGATAACAGAAGCTTGAGCTGGGTCACTTCCAGGGGGCAGAAGAAGATGAGAAAAGACTGAAACGATCATTCAAGGGACTAGCCGTAGTGAATGAAGTCAAAAAAAGCACAACACGCCCTCAACGTGCTTTGCAAGACATACTGAGACGACCGCCAATGGCAACCCATTTTGGTGGCAGGAGTCCATCGATTTGGGGAACCGTGAACAGAAGAGATTGATGCTCTTCATGCAATCGAGTAATGGAAACTGGCTGTGTGCAGGATAGCCAGATTGAATTGCTGCATGTCAGTATTTAAAAGGTGCGAATCAATAAGAAGCACGAATGAAAGAGTTCCGTAGGTTAAGCTTCATTAACGTTGGCCGGGTACAGATACCACAATAGTGTAAAGGTATACGTGAACACGAAGTCAGAAGGAGACTCGAAAGATTATGCTAAGGAAACAGAAAACGATTGGGGATCCCCACGTCAATTTTTGCTGTGAAGCATAAACGGATGGTCGCTCATTTCAACCACTGGTCATATCAGGATCACATCTGATCAAGCAGCAAGTATGTAAGAACAACAATCTCTAACCTTGCTCGCCTGCTCCTTCACGTGCAGTCAAAGAGAAACAATGACGAGCATGTCGAGCTCAAGACAATAGCAACACCATTGGCAATATCGCAAAAAAACACAAATCCTCCCCTCTATCGAGTGCCGCAAAATCCAAGAGGCACTATATCCACTCACTGGAAATTGCTGAGCGATGTTTGCTTGGAGGAATAACGAGCAGTATGCGTTGTCGTAACCCTTCATCCTTTCCCCTCACAACGCCGTTGTGATCCGAGGCGACCATGTTGAAACTCCTTTGCCATGCTCCGAAATCGCAAAATGGTATTGTAATCAATAAACAATAGACGCCGGTAACGATGCGGAAAATAATGTATGCAAATCGTATTGTCATCGAAGTCAATGTTGGCAACAAAGATAGGCTGTTGTATGTACAGCGTCAAATAGCAAGTCGAAGGGCCTAGCTAGATTTGATGTCGCCAACAGTGATGCCACCACCGTTTCGCGCTGTGTTGGCGTACTCCTTGGCCCATTTTCGAGCCATGATAGATGCTGAGAAGATGTTAGCAGAGCATTGATGTTAGAGATGGGGATGTATACCTTTGAGAAATTTCTTGCTAGCGTACTTCTTAAACAACGCTTCGTGAGCAACAGGTCCTTGCAAAAAGTCGACCATGATGTCGAAGACAGGGATGATATCGTCCTCAGTGTAACCAGCGAACTGGGTCAGGGTCACATCCCACGGACCACGCTCCAGGATCATGCGGGCTAGGTACATTGCTGCGGCGGCGATGTGACTCTGTCTGTACTCGAGGAAGCGATGGTCTACTAAGCTCAACTCGGTTAAGTATTTTCCGAGCGTCCTTGTCTGAATGTCGTAGTTGTCGGCCTTGGATATACGACGAAGGAAGTTCATTGGGTTAGGATAGCTCAGGTCATACTTGAGGGTCGACAGCGTGTATCGCTCAGCAGCCAAGACTTCGTCGACTGAGAAGCCATCGTCAGCAACGTGAGTGAAGTTGCCGACATGTGGCGAGAGGACTTCTTCGTATTTGGAGGCAATGAACATGGCAGTGATGCCCACAAGTTGCAACTTGTCCAGAGGTACCACCTTTTGAGACAGGAATCGGTCGATGATGTTGACGGCCAGAAACAGTGTCTCAGGCAGTAGGCGGAATCTCATGTGAACCTCGATGAGCCAGTCGACGAGTATGCCTCGCATTTTCCATTCTAGGTCGTCTTGATGGTCCATGTACTGAGGATTTGGCATGGTGTTCTTCTCAAGCTCTTGGTAATACTCGAAGATTTCTCGAACATATTCGGCACACATTGAGGGGTCGTCTAGGTCTTCAGCATCCAGGCTGGCCATGATATCAAAAGCATCTTCCGTTTCCTGTTGAGCCTCATCAACCATAGCTTGTGTGACAGACTTCTTCCGTACTGGCTCCTCGATCTCTTCGACAGGTTCGTCAATGGATGTGGTGGCAGCAGGTATCGATGGCTGAGGTCGTTTCTTCTGTACGCCTGAACCACTGGCAGGCTTCTTTGAGTCAATGACTGGTTTTGGTTTTGCATTGTTGTCCTTGACGCCCAGAGCGGAGCGGGATGAGTTGGTGCGAGTGAGTTTAGCAACGCCCCCTGTGGTGGAAGGTTTGGATGCAGCGACTGATTTCTGACCAGCAGCCTTCTTGCCTTCTTGCGCAGCTTCAACACCTTTGGTAGCATTTGTGACATCACCCAACGCTCTTCGACCTCGTGTACCATTCAGTGTACCTGTTGTTGATTTCTTGGTCTGTAGTGCCTTCTTGACAGGCAGATTGGATGCATCATCCGAGGGACCTTGAGCGGCTTTGGCACGCGTTAAACGGGTGTTCGCTGCGACCACATTCTCATCGTTCTCGTTGTTGATACGCTGTCTCGTACGTGGCTGCGCTTGGTCAGTCATGGTCCAGACGTAGTCGACAAGGATATAGTAGGAACACTTACAACAGGCATGATGGTAGAGAAGAGCAGCTAGCTCGACGGCGACTGATACAGTAGGAATCAAGGAAGGAGAACGTTAACGTGTATTGAGAAGGTGCAGTGCCTGGAAATTGTCAGTATAAGATTGCCCATCAACTAATAACGCTCGTGGAATGGACGCACGGGCAGCAGCAGATTATGCAGTCGATGTCAGCTTTTCAGGGTTGCTGACGACGCGAACGATCTTGTAGAGGCTGCCGTGTTGAAGAAAGACACGGCCGTCAATCTCAGGCTAAACTCGGGGTGTCGAGGTCGAGATGGTGATATGACACGCAAGATAGTGAGCGCGAAGTTGGTAGTGCTTCGCGTCGTGTGGATGCCCGATAGTGCAGCTATAAAGTGATTATGATGAGTATGTGTATACAAGGTGAAGCTCAGGGTGGACGGATGTTGAGCTGTAGGTCGAGCTTGGTAATTAGAGGAAGCTGTGCTGGGAGAAGGGCAGTCGAGGTGTATGTAAGAACTTGTAGCTGCGAGGGTACCAGGAAGCAGAGTCGGCAAAGGCTTGGAGAGTTGTTTGGGCTTGGCGGGTCCATGGCGCGCTCTGCGCTGGATCAACCCGCCAGTCTTTCAATTCTGCCCTGCCATTGGTTTGACACGACACGCTGCACCAAAGTCTTTGCGTGATGTAATGCTCCACGAGAAAAGACGTGACTTACCTCGACGCTCAGTTTCCTGCTCTTTCTTCTTTTCGATGGAAATACTCGTGACAGATGCAGTCTCCAAGATGTCTCGAATGTCGCATACAACAAAATCTGCGTGCAAGAGGTGGTTTGTAGGATATTTCGATGTGGTAGCAAAAGACGACATGTTCATGAAACCGGCTGGGGGAAAAGTACACGTTAATTGACGCTAGACAACCGAGATCCACCGGAAGGCGCGTGAAAATCGTGGTTGCTATAGCAGCAAGTGTTTTCCGTTCAACTATCAGAGAGAAGGTGCGACCTCAAAAGGCAAGATGCTGCTGACTTCTACTGGCAGGCATCGGTTGCTAGGTCTTGCTCGTGTTGGCAAGGTATTCGGAGTCTCCAGTTCAGAACTTTGCCTTTGCTACCACTATACTCTCGACTTACAACGTGTCTATGTACCCGAGTACTACTACTACTCACTCATGTGCGGATGCGCCTTGCCTGTCTTGCATCTATTTCGGTACGCTCAGCTCGGGGAACCCATTGGACCTCCTATGCCGACCGAAATCAATGCCCTTTCTCAAGAGCTATACCGCTCGACGATATCGTGTCTTAACTGGCAAGAGTTAAAGCCTTCACAGCGACCGTCAAGTCCCGCGTCCTAGAAAGGTTACCTAGCTTGTGAGGACCTGCTTTTGCCTGAGCAATGTTCGTTGGTCTGACTTGTAGCTCCTCTTTTGATTGCTGGTTCGTTCTCTTCCCGTAGCCCCGTTTCTATCGGCCTCGCTGGAAGACTGGTTTCACAGCACCTTCCACCTCTTTCATTCCGGGAATCTCCTTGCTTATAATACTGTTGTCCTGGCCATCTGACTCAGCCCACCTCTTCATGAGTGCATTCGTTTCCACGGGCTTGATGCCATCCCCTGCCGTGCCAATTGTGATATGCGGGTACTCGTTTGCACTACCCCAGATTGTGCCACTGGACGAAGGCAGGATCCTGACCATGATACCCATGACTCGATCGTCCCAAATGACGCGTTCCAGTCGCAATCGAGCAGGTCCCAGACTAGGTGTTCGGTCGGCTGTCCCTTGCTTCTCCAACACGTCCTTGTACAGATCCGCGTAGGTCTGCCAAGTGTGGTTGTTGGTCGTAGAGTTTGCTCTATGCATCAGAGTGACGTGGAACTCCTTCTGGATTCGGTTCGTGCCCTTGAGCTGTTTGTAAAATTTGCTCTCTTCAGCCGCGGCGTTCGAGAAAAGATTTGAGAGTACAGAATTGACATTTGTAGTGGACAGTGTGATTCCAAAGTACTCCAGTCGCTTGAGACATTCCTCTGGTGTCAACTGTTTGGGCTCTGGTGTTTTCTGCTTACTGCTGTTGCTGCTCGGTTTGTTCTCCTTCTTTCCCTGGAAGGTACCAGAAAGGTCATGCATCTCCTCAGCTGTGACAGTGTGATTCATGGCCCAGTCGATGGCAGTGTCTATTTCCTGATGTTTTGGCATCTCTCGTCCTTTGAAGATGCTCGGATAAGCGTGGTACAGATGTGTGATGACGGTTTCAAGGTTTTCAGCAGATGAGCTTGCGACATCAAGGTCGATCACTTCGTCGAATTCCGAGTCTGGCCGCTGGCTTGTGTCGCATCCTTGAAATCTTTGCAAGAAGCCCTCCATAATGCCAACAATCTCGGCTTCGCCCTTGGAACCTGCATGAATAGTCTGGTGGTTGTCTCCACGCTCAAGCACTCTGCTTTGTGTAATCTTACGGATGCTACCAAGCAATTTGTCTTTTGGTTCGTGGACATAATGCAGAGCGACAAACTTAGTATCAGGTATAACTTTAGACACATCTTCAATGATCTGTGCTCTTTCACGCTTCTGGTGGTTATTGCGGTCGGCAATAACCACGGGATTTGTTGCCATGGCGTTAGTGATTTGAAGGACGAAGCGTTGAGCTCGGTTTCCCTTGCCTTGAACGTTGTCGTTCTGAAAATGAGCCCAATCGAACAGCTTGACCAGTGCCTTCGCGACTGTCGTCTTACCGCAACCAATAGTAGCGATAGGTACAAGCAAGACATTGACTGGTCCATCTGCACTACCGTTGGCCTCTTCTTCCGCGATAATATCTGAACCTCGCTTGCCAATCTCTGCAAGGAAGCCATCTCTCATCTCGATGATACCATGGTTCAGATTGTATTGCTTGGCTAGTGCTGGATTTTGTGCCAATCTCTTCCTCGCGTAGAGGAGGTATGCCTCGGTAAATTTCTTGTGCTTTTTGAATCGAGGTGGCCTTCCAGCAATGACGGCTTTTGTGCATTCCCGCCACTGTCTGTACATTAGGTAAGGCTCCTCGAACTTGTACTTGAAGAACCAGTCCAGCCCGGCATTTCCAGAGGTATCCTTGAGTTTACATCGAACAACAAATCCTTCCGTATCACGACCGTTCCACGATCCTGTCTCTGCACATTTAGCCAAGAATTCTTTCACTTCATCCAATTGCTGGATTATCTGATACTCCGCCTTCTTGAAGCCCCATGCATCGGCAAACTGGTGCACTTCGGGACCGGATAGTGTAGCAAATTCTGGTAAGTTGAAGTTGATGCCATGCAGGTAGAGACCAGCCACCTCAGGAGGATATGCGAGAACATGCTCCTCGAACTCGTCGTCACACAGCTCGCCTACAGCGGTGGCATTCATCGCTCGAAGCTGTTTGGCTAGATCTGCTGTAGTCTTGCCAACACTCTCTACATGTCTCTTGATCCACTTCTCTCCCACCAAGGCATGGCTCTGTGCAGCATCGTCGCGTGCTCCCGTCGAGTGCTTACTGCAGACCAATAGTGTGCCGTCTTCAAGACCAGACATGAAAATAATACATCCGTTCTCTTTGACACTGAGTTCGTAAGGACCGACGGTGTCTCGCTCCACGTTCCTCCACTCGGTTGATCTGACCTCATCCACATTGAAGAACTTGTCGTATCCTCTGATCACAATCTCTGGATTTCCGTGGGAGTTCTTAGTTGTAAAGAGTCCTCGTGCGTAGGTTGGTAGGTCGCTCTTTTTGTAGTCCCAGTCATTCATTTTCCACGAGTCGACGGTGATATCACTGTCAGCAACCGCAAAAGTCGATTTTCGGCAAGAGAATCCCGTCTTGCCTTTTCCTTTGCCTTTTGCTGCCTCAAGAGCCTGCACCATTCCGCGTATCGCGTGCTGGTGCTGTTGATGATCCATGTCGTGCGGCTGGTTTGTATATGACCGTCTATGAACGTTTGGTGGTTCAGTATGACGACAGAAATTGGGTGACTAGTGAGTGATGGTGTGTGGAGTGAAGGCTCACGCTGCAACCCCAGAATACCTAGTCTCTAGAGCTGGGTGTTGCTGAAACGGCTCAGGGTGGTTCACAACACATTTAACAAAGAAAGAAGTCTCCTCAACATCAAGCGTGAACACAGTCTCGGTAAATGCTGACTGAACGAAAAAATACAGGATTCACGTTCGGCAGGTGCCAGGCAACTTACCTTTTTATTCACCAACAGTTTGAACAGGCAGGAGCACAGTTAGGTGAGTCTTCGCTAGAAAGGTAGCTCAAGCGAGACTGTACATGAGTCATGTCAAGTGACTGTTACCACACATTGAATAGGTACCTAAGTGCGCTCTTGCAACTCTTACAAGCAAGAAAGCTTGCCTCACAGATGCTGTGCAAAGCACAGAGAATATCTTTGATGCCTGTCAGCCTCAGCTTGTGACGTTGCGCTAGTGTTACTGCCGATCCAATCATTTACGAATGGCAAGGTTGAATTCTACCACAGTAGACATGCTCAGAAAATATTCGAGCAGGAAGAGCATCAGATTTTAAAGAGAAACGACATTCCATGGTTTGGTCGTATTTTACAGACACTCGACTTCTGCCCAGAGCCATCACCTCCAGTTTGGTCTCGTAGTTCCGAAGCGCGCACAACCAGAAGTGACTCATTGATCTGAGGTAGGCAGCAAGTCAACTAGTAACACAAAACAGGCACCATGGCAGAGCACAATCCATTCCTACTGGCTGCGAACACACCAGACCTTGATGCACGTCTTCTTCCACTGCTTCGGTCAAAACCAGAGTTAGCGTCCGCTCAGGATTCTTACGGGTACAGCTTGTTGCACGCGGCAGCGTCTTACAATCACATTGATCTGTTACGCGCACTGGTGAATGAGTTTCATGTCGACGTGAACCTACGAGATGAGGACGACGAAACATGCTTGTTTGTGGCCGAGAGTGTCGAGGTCGCAAGATGTCTTGTTGAGGAACTGAATGTGGACACTGCAGCACAGAACGAAGACGGACAGACCGCAAGGGAAAAGATAGAATCAGAAGATGATTATCCAGAAGTGGCAGCATATCTTAGTCAAGGCAGTTCAGCAATAAGGGAGGTCTCTCAGAACGCTCATCCACCACCACTACCCCCAAATGTGAGGCTCAACATAGGAAGTCAAATACCGGAGGAGGAAGCAAATGCACAGGAGCCAGACCCGGAATTTCGGAGAAGAATAGAGGAGTTGGCCTCCAGAGAAAACTTCCACACCGAGGAAGGTCAGCGGGAGCTGCGGGACTTGATTACTGATGCTGTGAGGGATGTCAGTAACGATGGGCAGGCAAGCCAGAGAAGAAGGGTAGGTTGAATGAAAGGTGGGAACCGGGAACAATTTGCACGTCTCAAGGCAGGCACCTTTAAGGCAACCGCAGCAAGTGTATACAAGAACCACACGTGTTGCAGGTACCAGTGGCAGCACGGTCGCGTATGGTAGAATGGCAAAGGCCTTGAAGTCGCAAGCTGGAGGGTTAGGAGACTTTCATCGCACACCGTTCGGAACAGACATTGCCAGGTCGGTTAACAGAATGCAAGTAAAGTCGGACCGGTTCTTGCGTCAAAACGCATTCATTTTAGCCATTCATCCAGGCAGCGACTCTCCCTCCACCGACTCTTGCGGCAAATCGGAGACCCGTGCTTCCCATTGGGAAGTAGCTGACTAAATACCAAACAAGGGCGACAAGCTGTACTATTGATGAAAGCAGGGTAAGGACAGTTGAGTGCAACTAGGTCTTGTCAGTATGGTAGTCCTCCGGTGCAGATGTCAATATCTTACCCCAACAGCGAAGTATATGGTGAGAACAATAGCTCCAAAGTATGTGGCAGTGAATGGTAGTCGAGGTCCAGACATAAGATGCGTGGCATATTGATACGGACCCATCAGGATGGCCCATGAGGATAAGAACATCAACGAACCAATCGACCATCTTGCAAAGAGGAGTCAGTAACTTCAGGCTAACACGCATACACGAGGAACGGCCAAGGCAGCGGCGAGGCCAAGGGAGGCAAGGGTCAACTGCAAGTCGAAGACGACTGATGCTAGTGGACGGAAAGCTGACATCATCACAAGGTGCATGATTACCACATGCCATCGTGTTGTTATGTGAGGGTGTAGAGGTGACGCGGAGGAGATCGGCGGAGATTGACTTACAGTATGGCAAACTTGCGGGGTCGAAGTGAAAGAACAGGGAACAGAGCAAAGCAGATCACAAAGCATGCCAGTGCTGCTAAATTGCAGCCACCAAAGATTAGTATTCGATCCCACCTGCTCACTATCGTCCGAATCTGTCAGTAGTGTCTTTTAGTTAGTCTCTTTGTTGACGACTTACGTGCAAACCAGCCTTCCTCTTCTTCCCTTCGTGATGGTGCTGGAAGAGGTGCGCCTGGTGACTCGTGTGTAGGTAGTTGTACGTAGCCTCTATTTCCAAAAGGGTTCAGCCCTGATATCTTTGACAAGAGCGGATTAGATGAGCTGGTATTGACAGGTACTTCTGCATCTCTTCGAGACCAGCCCAAACTGCTCATGGAATCGCGGAAAGAGGCCGACGTCATGTTGCTTTGTCTGACTTGCTGTGTGACTCTAGCATGCACAAAGAAAGCAGAATATATTGCGAGAAATATGATACGTGATGGATAGAGATGTCTGCAACCTGTTGAAAGTGGTGAAAGGGGTCGAAGTAACGTTTGATGGCACTAATGCGAGTAATCCTGCAGACTGCAGATGCGGTAGAAGTGACGATCAGGGTTTCTGCCTTCAACCCAAACCAGACTAAGGTTGAAAGATAGAGTAATGGTTCGTCTGGCTCTTTCAAATTGGGAGCAGACAAAGGTGGCTTCTGTCCTTTTGCCTTCTCTCCACCTCACTGTCACCTCTAGCTGCCACGTTGGTCCGCAGCAGAATGCACCGTCACGTCTTCAGTAAGACGAAGCCAACGGGTAATCGCAGTGGAAGTCGGTCGTAGACCCAGCCTAAGAGCTACCTCGATGGAGACAGGTCCTGCGAACTCGTGCGAAAAGCTCGATGTCGAATCAATGAAGCGGGGTCGACGCAGTCCAATTCGAAATACACTCTTGTTGCAGGCTGGCCGGTGTGGAGTGTGACAATGCTACTGACTTCGAAACATAGAAGTGGCAACGCTGAAGGTATGCGAGAATAGCGCAGCCTGCATACAAACGCCGGGACGCGTTGAGCCTGCGGTCAAGTTGTGGGAAAATGCAGGTTGGTGGAGATCCTTCGCAAAGCCACACGTCTTCCACAGCTGCTCGTAATTATCGCGCTAAACGACTTTAGTCGCTGATCACGCATGGCTGATCATCTTCAAGGCCCGTGGACTTACGAACCAGCAGCCCTACTCTAACTTTGTCCAGTAACATCAGATAGCTCGACACCATCATCTAAAACAATTTTCTGGACTCGTCTTTGCACAAGTGGCCCACGACTCGCTACGGACCCGCCAGATCCGTGCAGCGTCCTAGACTACGATTACTCGTTGCTGGAGCCTCGATCGAGGTAGTTTTGATGAACTTGCCCTCAAAACATGCTTTCATGGTTGAGATTCAGCTAGTGCGGGCCGTGGTTTAACTTCCGTGTCTATGTGGAACAAGGTTGTAGTCTATATCGACTCTAACTTTGAGCTGCAGCAGCGTCGTGCAACCATCGCCATTAGACACTCCTGTTACATCGCACAGAGTTGGGGTTGGTCTATTGCCAATGAATCCATCTACTGCCATGCAATGAAGCTCTGATAGCAGTACAACCGTAGGGCTTTCATTTAACTCGGAAAATCTCCAGTGCACCGACATTGTAAAGGAATGTGGATGCAGGCTATTCCTGGCTCACATATCAGACTTTCGCTGCGACTGAAGATGATTACCAAATTCAAAGACGTCAGCACCCCTTCGAAAGGGTGGGCATGGTGGACAATGTCGACTTGAACGTTTTGCCCAAGCCTGGGCAAATTCATACGTTTTCTCCAAGGTACTTGTCGCGAGTTAAGTTGCACTAGAAGAGGGTGTATCTATCAAGCAAAATAGCAGTAGGCAGGAACGTCTTTCCCTGAATGCATGACCTGTCCGGCATGTCTTGGGACCGCTTCTCAAGTCTGATGATCCAAGGCGGAAGGCTATGTCGAGAACAAAGAAAACGAGGATGTGGTGCACTCTTTCAACCTGCTGTCTTCCACCCACACCTCCACCTCAGCTTAATTGCCTTGCATGTAGTTTGCGTTTAGACCTGATTGGGCAGTGCTCCAAGCATGCTGCTGGGTATAGCGTTGCTTGACACTCTCTTGAGCAGTCACCCGGCAAGTCGAGGGACCTTTGAGGGCAACACCACTCGCTCGCTAAAGAGGAGCACCTGCATAAGATAAATATTGCGGCTTCCCTCTGACTAGAAACCTAAGTTTTGTCCATCAATCGCATCTCGTTTCCGCTCCGCAAAGCTGCGCCTATTGCGACTTTCGACTTCAGATTGTTTACATCACCACTGGCCACCCCGGCTTCGTATTCCCGTGAGCTGGACGAGACTCGACCAGAGGCCTCTTGTTTCCGGAGCTTGCACCGCCACCTTCGCCACTTGGCAGTCCATCAAGGACGGAAAGCTCGGCCTGCAGCTTCTCTCGCTTGAGGTGCACCAATCAAACTTATAGGCGTGCCGCAGTTGTCTCAGGTGCCCTAAGGATAGCCTTTCAAGCAGACCCGGGACGCTGGCCAAAGCCTAAACATTCCAAGCAAACTCCTTGCAAGAAAACACGACTCAAACTCTCCTCAATAAAGATCAACGTGGTTGCTGATACATTGTTGCCGCTCGCATAGATCGCACATCAGCAATCCTTACACCGTGTCACAGTATCAATCACCGCCAACATCGCTACCTCACATCCTTACGACGCTCAGCCAACCACGATCTGCAGTGTGTCGCTTATTGCTGTCCCCGCATTGTGACCAGAACATCCTCGAGTCACTCAAGTCGGTGAGTAGCGACAACATACCAATCAAGCCATACACTTTCCTACGAGCAACCAGACCAGATCTACTCCTCACGCCAAATCCGATAGTCGCTCCGTCTGCCATCCTGACAGGTCTTGTACTACCCCGAAGACCGATTATAATACCTTGCACGTCGAACCATTCCACCCGCAGTCTCCGCCTTACCCTCAGCCTGAAGCCTTCCAGTCTTCCAGGCTGCATGGCTTGCTGATCGCGCAAGACATAAGCATACTTAGTTAGTCGCGCACAGGAACATCAAACAACAGCAACAGCACAGTATAGTGGAGGACATTGTGTCACGGAACATGAGTCGGAGGAACAACATGCCCTACATCAAATCTGAGCCAGATGAATTCGACACCCTGTCTAATGGGTACAACAACTTCGATTCCAACCACGATTTTGCTGGGTTTCAACAGACTTTCAGCGGTGGTATCGACCCTTCGGAACTATCAATGGGCAATGGCAGTTTCAACCAGGGTTACAATTATGGTGGGCAGAACATGAGCGGAAGTTTTATGACGGGTGGTTCGGGCTTCATTAATGATGACGAGCTACTCGATGGTATCGCCCCTGACTATACAGGTCTGCAAAGCAACGGAGTGCGGGGCATCAGCAACAACCAGGGACAGATGAACGGGGTGTACTCCCATACGCCGGACGGTGCGCCGATTCAAAGTCCTTTTGTCGGTGGCTTCGATTACAGCCAATTTCGGCCGATGAATTCGATTATGCCACAACATATGTCACCACACCAAGGTACTTCCTTTCTTAACAAGCGACCGAGCATGCAAGCACAAGGCCGGAAGTCTTCCGCCGAGCAAAGACACTCGATGACTCCAAGAACGCCTGCCATGGCTGGCCTACATATCGGCACACCAGAATCGAACGGCATACAGAACGGTCGCGCGATCAGAGCACCGAATGGCAGTAGTCGTCATCAGAAGACCATGTCAGGTCAATTTGATAGTACTCCGGGCAGTGGTCATTCTCTTCTCGATTCTCCTCTGTCGTCTCCGAGCAATCTCGCTCATCATGCAGGGTAAGTCCGTCACGACCATTGCTTAAACAAGAACTAACATGGGTGAAGTATCTCCGAAACCATTCATAACAAACACGCGTCACTGCCCAATAAGGTTGAGGGAACTCACAGCGCAGAATCGCAAGAGGCCAAGAAGCGAAGACGGCGAGCGTCGCACAATGCTGTCGAGCGCCGAAGGAGGGACAACATCAATGAGCGAATACATGACCTGTCCCAGCTTGTCCCAGGTCATCGACTTGATGATGATAGGGTCAAGAAACAACTCGCCAGCAACGGTCCGCTCTCCCCAACAATGGGCCCTACCAGCATGAGCCCGCCTAATGCTGCAACATCCCTCCTCGCTGGTGCTAGTGGCCGTCGTGCTGCGAGCACTGCGGGCAATATTACACTTGGTCTGCCCATCGAGGAGAAGGAGAAGGGTCCCAACAAGGGTGATATCCTGAACGGCTCGGTGGCCTGGACCAGAGACCTCATGTGGGCGCTCTACAACAAGTACATTCAGGAGGAGGAGCTCGCCAATTACATCACACAACTCGGCGGTCAATGGCCGTTCCAGGTATCCGAGGATGACAAGCGTATGCGTACTGAGGTCATGGATGCTGTCGAGAGAAACGATCCCAGCAGCTTCTCCTACTCCCGATATGACGGCAGTGGGCTTCGAGTACCAAAGCATACTACAATAGGCGGAGACCGTATCCAGCATAACAGCGGCAATAGCTTGAGCCCACAGAGTAACCTGGAGCTGTCTCCGGGCTTTCACAGTGGAGGCAGCGGTACCAACAGTGGTAACAACCCTGTCCAACCTCAATTCTGGCACTCTGCTGGTCATGCTGGTATGAGCTTCAAGGAGGAAGACGAACTCATGGAGCTTAACTCGTGACATGTACCAAGCTGGTCTAGGTGCATTGTGACGGTCTTGCCTGAGATACTATTACACATTGGAACAGACTGAAGGATATTTGACCATTTACGCATACAAGGAATGCTGGTAATGTTTTGTTTTTCTTATCACACTAGGGTCGCGGGTTTTTGTTTTGATTTCAGATTACATGATGATACCCCTCTTTTCGTTTTTCGAAGTTACAAGAGCAGATGTTTGAAAGAGACTGGAACAGTGTCGCAATTTTGTCCAAGATGAATGGCAACACGATACTACAGTTAGTTCGTGGTAACATTGGCGTGGGTTATTACCATACTTTCGATTTTAGCATTTACAACCTGTTCAACATAGCACGGCTTCCTACCATCCTATCCTGGCTTGTTCTGTGGACGGAAACAGTAATATCTACATTATCTTTTGTGCTCGAAGCTCCTCTGCTCCGAGATTGGCCCACCACCGAATCCAGTGCCAGGACCCACCTGATTGCCAAGCGGCTTCGGGACATGCCCGGAGTCAATCGCCAGTAGGGAGTACGCAGGCACGCAGGCACGCAGGGACAAAGCTTGTGAGGCCCGAGCGGAAGTCTTGCTGGAGAAAGTCAAATATTCTTGATCTTGAGCTCAAAATCTTATTGACCATCCCCGTAATTCCTCCACGTCTTCTCCATACTATTCATTCACACCGTGTCATTCTGTTGGGCTCGTCTTCTCCAGCTAGCACTTCTGGAACTCTCTGCAGCACATTTATTCGTGGTCCCTTAATTGATCGAAACCTCACTGGTGTATCTTCAAAAGCTTACCGAGATCCCTGCCGCCCGATCGCAAAGTCACCAAGAGACGCGTCTTAATCTCCAGACCAAGCGAGTGGAAAAGCGCTCAAGATGACAACCGATCAGAAGCCGCTAGGGTTTCAGTACCAGTTCGCAGCTGGTGCTGTGGCTGGTGTTTCCGAGGTATGGTCCTTGCGATAGCGATAGAGCTCGTCGTTCCACTCGAGAGTCAATGCTGATACGCGCTGTAGATCCTGCTCATGTTCGTATCTCGATCTAGTACAGCTTCTGCTGTTCGCTCACGACCCGATGCATTGCTGACGAATACACCACAGGTACCCTCTCGATGTCGTCAAGACCAGAGTTCAGCTGCAGGGCAAGGTAGCCATACCTGGACAAGATCACTACACCTCGATGATGGACTGCTTTAGAAAGATCATCAAGAACGAAGGAGCATCTAGGCTGTACCGAGGCATCGGCGCCCCCATCATGATGGAAGCACCCAAACGAGCCACCAAGTTTGCGGCCAACGATTCCTGGGGTATTTTCTACCGCGGTCTGTTTGGCGTAGAGAAGCAGACACAACCGCTCGCCATTCTTACAGGAGCCACTGCTGGTGCGACCGAATCCCTTGTCGTCGTACCTTTTGAGCTTGTAAAGATCAGATTACAGGACAAGGCAAGCGCTGGAAAATACAACGGTCTCATTGACTGTGTTACGAAGACTGTCAAGAGTGAGGGACCTTTGGCTCTATATAACGGCCTGGAGTCTACAGCCTGGAGACACATCTTGTGGAACGCTGGATATTTCGGCTGCATCTTCCAGATCAAGTCGATCTTGCCAAAGCCAGAGGTAGGCAACAAGTGGCAAGCCACGCGCAATGACTTGCTCTCTGGTGCAATTGGTGGTACTGTTGGCACAATCCTCAACACACCTATGGACGTTGCAAAAACGCGTATTCAGAACTCGCCAAGGATAGCTGGCCAGGCATTGAAGTACAACTGGGCATGGCCAGCACTGGGAACGATCATGAAGGAGGAGGGTCCCGCCGCGTTGTACAAGGGTTTCCTGCCCAAAGTGCTGAGATTAGGTCCAGGTGGAGGTGTATTGCTTGTGGTGTACACGAACGTCATGGATTGGTTCAGAACAATGGGTGCTCAGCCAGTCGCGTGAGAAACACTTGTACAGTAGGGACACAGACTAGACTGGACAGGACATTCAGGTTGTTGGCAGCAAGCATTGCTGACGTTTGAAGGCGAAATATGCTAGATGGACCGGATGTTGTACATATGTGGATCCTTGGAGATACGTTTCAGAACATCACGAGGCCCAGCTTAAATTCTGTAGCGATCGAGGGAGTGCACGTACTGTTTTGGATCTGCTAGCCTCACGAATCGATGCAGGGGTGGAATCGTTGCCAGAACCTCACGTCCTATGGTGAACTTGGTAAAGAACCTCACTCTACGACCTATCATGCTAGCCACTTACAGTTGACGTGTACAAAACCGGCATACTGTATGTGCGGAGGCGCAGTCAAAATGCGAACATGAATCCGTGCCCAACACGAGAAGAATGAACGATAGAGGAAAACTCCGAAATCCGTTATTTATGTGAAGACTTTGCTCACGTGGTAGGGGTCTTGTTGTTCGAACATAACGAGTAAGGCACGCGTTCAGTTCGTTCCCTGTCAGTAATTCGTGGCTCTTGCTGCATCTCTCGCGAAACTCGAGATCCCGGACCGATAACCTGGTATTATGGTCAGGAAATTTTACAAGTAATCTATCGTTATTCTTTGGCACGAGCTCCTGACTCAAGTATGGAGCTTCCCCAGATCGACGTGCCAGCGCGGTTGGGGCTTGCAACTCGAAAGTTTTCTTCGACATGCTGCTACTGCTAGCCTGATGGTGACGCGGGTACTGCTCCTTTGTCTTGCTTCTGTGTATTGAGTTTCTGTCTCTACCCATACATGTCTTGCTTATAGCTTCGTCCTTCGTTAGTCTTATACGCCTCTCGCTCAGACTCTGCTCGTTCGAAACAATCGCCACACTTCTCGAAAGCTCGAACTTGAGTCTCATTCTGTACTAAAACCGAAGCAAGCAAACAATCATGTTGCGCATCAATAGATCGCGCCTTGTAGGGTTACTTTGTCTAACATTATTCGTATACTTTCTCGTCTTTACCGAGTCCGGATCCTCTGCAGGCGAATTCCGTGCAAACACTGAAGCAGGCCTTGCGCGCAAGCAGCAAAGAGAGCAAGAACTTCCCCTGCGAGGCCATCTATCAGACGAAGACTTGACGAAGAAAACGAACGATGAGCTTCAGGGAATTTTATCAAGCCAAAGTAAAGAGCAGCCGGCGAAGGACACAGATGGTAATTCTGCAGGCAGCACTTACAGAGAGCCACAGCACAACAAGCCTTCTGTCGAAGATGTCGCAAAGCAAGGCTGGACAAGAGAAGAGCCTGGCGCTTGGAAGAAGACAATGAACGAGCAGCTGCCAAATCAGGAAGCAGAAGATGCCAGTGCAGCTGGGCAGAAGGCAATCCAGAAACCAAAGTCAAATGCGCCTGACACCACTTCAAAGGCACATGCCGAGGACGATGAAGTCGAAACTGGAGGTGATCCAGGCAAGGACTTTGCCAGAGTGAAACTTATGGAGTACCTCAAAAACCCTGTCGTCATCTTTTCCAAATCATACTGTCCGCACTCGAAGAAAGCCAAACACCTCCTTCTCGAGGTCTACAAGATCAACCCCAAGCCTGTAGTCGTTGAACTCGACATGCTTGGCGAGCACGTCCCATCATCTCCGTCTGAAGATTTGGCTCATGATGACCACAATAAAATCACACTCGGAAAAGCGCTTCAAGACCTCCTTGCTGAAATCACGGGCAGAAAGACTGTGCCGAATATTGTCGTAGGTGGTGGTCACAGTATCGGTGGAAATGACAACATATGGGAGATGCACGAAACGGGTCATCTGGCTGAAGAGATCAAGAAGTTTGGTGGACGAAGAATTGTTAGTGTTGATGTGCAGGAAGAGTGAAATACCACGTCGTTTCGCCATCTCTAGGGTGATTGAAGGTCGATACCCATATCCGACCTGACCTGCTATCGAAGTGAAGGTCTGGAGATCGTTAATAGCGTGTCAAACACCATCGGGGGAGTGACGACTCTTTGGCACGTGCGTTAACCGTCTGTCACTTATTGGTTCGAAAATGACAGAATGGAGATAGTTTGCATGTCCAAGTCTGCATCGTGGTCAACCTCCCATGAGTGAACACACTTTTGCGACAATGACCCATACCAACCCAAAGTCTCGGCATGAGAATGAACGACCAACACCTCATAAAACCAATCAGTCGTCGAGCCAAGAGTTCGGCATGAAGCTAGAAGATATCAAAGACGATGATCTCCGACAAAAAACTTTGACCCTCTTGCGCACTGTCCCTACAATCGAGGTAACGGAAGCATACGACGCCCTGAACAAATCAAACAAAGACGTCGAAGCTGCTGCCTGGTCCATCTTGGAACAGCAACAAATTGCAGGCAAGAAGAAGCTTCAGCTCAACGAGTTCGTCGGCCTCGACGTGCGAATCGCAGTGATCAGATTATCCAAGATGTGTCCGGACGTCAGCACGCAAGATTGTTATGTCGCTGTGCGCGCAGCGAGTGGGAACCTTGACGATGCTTTCAAGCATATTCAGTATATGAACAAAGAGAAGGATATGAACTCCGACAAGGGTGCTGTCGCCTTTCTGAACATATGACGAAGACGCTGGTGGAGGAGTTGAGTGGGACGTGTACATGCAGCTAATTTTGTATACACGGAAAGTCAAATTTTGCTATGTGGTATCGAAAGGATGACATTACCAACACCAGTGACCTTGAAGTGTCTGATTCTTCGAGTTGTTGCGAGTGTAATAGCTTGGGAGCCTGACTCTACGATCGAATGTGATTATTTTCCGGAGGTAATCTCCAAGAATGCAAAAGCGTCTCTACTCTTTTTCTTCTCTCGTGTCTTTACCTTCACTGAACCCTGTCGTTATTCCTTTCAAGCCGACCTGACACATCAGGCGATGAAGCCCTGCTGGGAAAGAAGAACTCCAACTCTGCATATAGATTGCGGCTAGTTAAGTGGTCTGTGTTAGACGAAAGGCCGAAGGTTTATTCCTTCCGATAAGTCAAATCAGGAATTGGACGGGAATCCGAGGACACGGCTGTGCGGTGTCTTACCATAATTGGATGACGATTTACTTTTAACGGCGTAAACAAACACAGGGGGACACGACGCGCTGCTGAAAAGTGCTTCGTTCTTGGTCACACATCGCACCAGTGGCACGTTACATGTGCCACCGGTGTGTTCACGTCGTATATGGCGCAGAAGCTGTGCGTCACATGTTGGATAAACAAGAAGATCAAACGAAAGGTAATGAGTTTGAACAAGTCGAATTAATTGAGTATTAAACGAAGCTGCTATGCGCCGAAAAGTCTACCTATACCATTCTGGAACTCCAATATCTTTTTGCAAAAAGATTCCTGCTGTCACACCTTAAGGCGCTGGCATGGTTCTGTGACCTGATTCCATCTCAGCACCTCTTGCATACCGTGGATCGACAGGACCGGGAGTTGGACCGGGGGTGGGACCAGGAGCTGGGCCCCTAATACCTCCTACACGTGTTGTGTCCGTACCAGCACTTTGTCGACCAGTAGGTGGTATAGCGTATGTCTCGCCGTTGGCAAATACTACCTCTTCTTTGCCGCTGACGGGGTCAAAGCGCTTTCCTGCAACTTCACGAGGATCTTGATCTAGGTTGACGGTCTCGTATTCGAGGGACTTGACGAACATGTAGAATGCTGCGGCGAGCATAGCACCGAGGATGGGTCCTACCCAATAGATCCAGTGGTAACCGTTGAACTGGTGCAAGATGACACAAGGACCAAACGATCGAGCTGGATTGAGCGAGCCTCCAGTGTAGTAGACACCAAGCAGTTCGGCGATGAATAGGGATAGACCAATACCGACAGGCGCGATGAAGGTGGCCTGGTGCTTCTCGGTAGCAAGCATGAAGATGGTAAAAACCAGCTGAGCAGTGAGAAACATCTCGATGAATAGGCCCTGAGTGACGGTTGTACCACCTCCAAGCTGGGTCCTAACATTGAGAGGTCCAGGCAACATGGCCGAGACCACACCGCTTGCACAAATACCACCAAGAATTTGCGCAACGATGATCAAAGGTCCACGAATGTAATCTGTAGCACCGACGATCATCATGCCAATCGTGACTGCTGGGTTGAAGAGGCCTCCTGAGATACGGAAGAACACCCAGGCGTTGACCATCAAACTCTATGTCAAGAGTCAGCTTGGTTCATACGTCAGATTGTAGAGACACTTACCATGCCGAAACATAGAGCAATGTATAGTAATTTGGCAGGATTGGCAGCCAAATCGGTGGCATTGGCACCTTCTGCTGGGGCAGTGTTGACGACATTGGTACCTCCAAGAGCGAACAAGAGAAAGAGGAACGTTCCAACAAATTCACCTGCGCAGGCGACGACATGTCCCTTGACCTTTGGTGGAAGAAAGTTGAGGAGCGTCAGTCGACGAGAGACTGTTGTTTCGTGGTCCGAGGGAAGTTGGTCCTCTCGCTTTTTCCATGGCTTGCGAATGCCCCTGGCTGGTCTGTCTACGTTCATGGCTGCTGAGGAGGAAGGATAGCCTCGATGGATTCAGATGAGTTTGATTGGTGTGGTAGGAAGACGTCTGGCAGTAATCTATGCAATAGGATATCACAGTCAATCCCTGAATGTGCGGCTGTATGTGATCAATATGTATGTTTGGGTTAATCCTTGTATGCTGTCACTGTGCATGGGCAATCAGTAATGACGAAAAGGATCCTCCTTGTTGCATCTGGCAGAAGCTTATCCGTAAAATCCCATACCCATGCTGCAGTCCAGATGTCGGAGTGTCTACTGAACCCATCGTCAACTTTTCGAACAAATGGCCGCCTCGTAAATTGTGTTTCACGCACAAACAGGAATGTAATCTAGGCTCGAAATTGGTAGTGGCAGTGGATCTACGAACCAAAAAGATCAACAGCATCCCTGCCACGAGACGCGGGAAGTGTCACGTACCACTAAGAGTGGCTGGAAGCTTTTCTCTGAGGAAACTTTTTTCAGTATCAGCGGCACGCAAACAACGTTGATGACATTGTGGCTGAAGCAAACGCGGCTGCCAGGCATGATATCGGATGTCGAGCCTTGTTGCATGAAGCGCGGCACTTCTGCATGTTCTTGATGGTCATGAGCTCGAACGTAGTGTAACGACAGTATCTCAGTGCACAAAGTCGCACTCTGCACTTCAAGAACATCTGGTTCGTGTGGATCTGAGGATTTGAGGAGATGAAGAACCACGCTGTGATAATCACCACTGACGTATTCAAAGTTTTCCCTAGCTTTGTTTTAGCTTTGAACTTCCAGGCTTTGAGAAGTTTGGTGTTTTGATGACACCTCGTCAGTGCTTACCACAACGTTGAAAGGCTTGCCATCGTGCAATGCATTTAGGATCGTCAACTATTGTGAGCGGCTCTAATGCCGCTCTCTCGACGCCCCTCTCTGGCTCAGATCATCAGGACTCTTGAGTCAACCAACCTCTGGCTTGCGAAACTCTTTCATACAGCTGCGGAAAGTATTGCTTGCTTGAGGGAAGGTGTCTCACAATCGTGATTTCCTTTTTGACTTCAAGCCTTGGTTTGAGGGTATGATTGCTTACCCAGGGCCGTGGTGGATTTCAGCCACAGAGGACCGCCACGAGTTTTCCTACTCCTCCTAGCCACGCCACATCGGATACTCAATTTTACAGACGACAACAATGGCGGTTTACGAAGTCCTTCGGATGTCCAGAGCGCATTCTGGAGACCATGAGAGTTTTTGCACGTGCTACGTGCTCAACGTGCAAATACTGTAGTGGTGTCGTTCGTGTTTGTCGTCGCGGTATCCACTTATGGGTATGTATACATGTATAGCTTCGTCCACTTTGTTTATACATGTTCAAGTCTACTATACTGGTAGGTGTAGGTCTATAGTGACATGAGGTGAGGTTGGTTTTTGCAGTTACCCCAGATTCCCGATCCTTGCTGGCTCCCAATGCTCTGACCAGGCATGATCCTGGCCATGCTGTTTCAGCAATATTCCGACGTATGCCTCATTAGTCAGGCAGCATTCTCTCTTTCCAATAGTAAGGCTCCAAGCCGAGGTCTTTCGGTTTCGAGACTTCGGCTGTCACATCGAGCGAGTCAGTGCAGATATCAACTTGCTCTACTTTCGAGTGCGGCAGTAAGGCTATGAACTTGAGGTATTCGTCCGACCCATCAGCCCTCGGCAACCGATAATTTTATAACATTGATCTTTGCAAGCTCTGATTGATCTTCTTTCTCGAATATTGCTGTGATACTCATACTCTGACCTTTTAGTCCTCGCCTCACGCTTCACTCCAGCCCACAGTCATCATGTCTTCGCATAGCCCTAGCAAAGTCACAGACACAGACTCCCAGCCCATCATACCATTCTCAGAACCGCCATGGTTAGCCGGCCTTCCCACCGCATACTACAAGCCTACCCACCGCAAGTTCCAGAAAGCATGCCGCGCTTTCGTTGAGGAGCACCTGATGCCTCAAGCCTTCGAGTGGGAGACGGCAGAGACAGTACCAGACCATGTCTTCCCTCTCTTCGCCAAAGCCAATATGCTCATTCCGAATCTACCCGCCCCTTTGCCAGTACAATGGCTGCATCGAGTCGGTATCAAGGATATCTTGGGCACACCGGTCGAAGAGTGGGATTACCTTCACACCGCAATCTATCTAGATGAGATGGCAAGAACAGGTATATCAGGTCCAGGCTCTAGCATGACGGCTGGCATGGCATTTGGCGTTCCTCCCGTATTGAAGTTCGGCAGTGAGGAGCTAAAAGAGCGATTTATCCCTGATGCGCTCCTCGGCAAGACGAAATGGTGTATCGCCATCACAGAGCCCGGTGCCGGAAGTGACGTGGCCAACATCGCGACTACAGCAAAAAAGAGCGACGATGGCAAACACTACATCATCAACGGAGAGAAGAAATGGATAACCAACGGCTTCTGGTCAGATTATGCTGCAATGGCAGTACGCACCGGCGGACCAGGAGCAAGTGGACTAAGCATGCTCGTCTGCCCACTCAAGAACTTCCCTGGCGTCACCATGCGACGGCTCAAGGTATCGGGTCAAATCGCTGCGGGCACGACATACATCGAGCTTGACGAAGTGAAAGTACCTGTTGAAAACCTGATCGGAACAGAAGGGCAAGGAATGAGATATGTCATGACCAACTTCAACCACGAAAGACTCACGATCGCTGTGGGTGTAGCTAGACAGAGTAGAGTGGCACTCTCCAGCGCTATGGCGTACGTGCTGAAACGTGAGGCGTTCGGAAAAGCACTTATCGAGCAGCCTGTCGTGCGGCATAGACTGGCAAAAGCAGGTGCAGAGCTCGAGACACTACAGGCCTGGGTAGACCAATTCGTGTACATGATGACGCAGCTCAAGAAGGAAGATGCAGATATTAAACTTGGTGGCTTGACGGCACTGGCAAAAGCCAAGGCTGGCATGGTATTTAAAGAGTGTGCGGAGTGTGCTGTGTTGTTGTTCGGAGGTAATGGGTATACGAGATCAGGTCAGGGCGAGATTGCTGAGAAGACTTACCGCGAGGTAATGGGTGCAAGGATACCTGGAGGTAGTGAGGATGTTATGTTGGATCTTGCTATCAGACAGCTGGTGAAGAATTACAAGAATGCTACTCAAGCGCTGGATAGACCGAGGGGGAGTAGCAAGCTGTAGTAGGGTATGTACATGTAGATGCTTGGCCATATATAGTGACGAATCGGTCTCCAGGCTACTTCGAGAGTCTCGATGCCACTACTGTTTTGAGGCGCAACACATCGTAATCTCGTATTCTTGAAGCACCGATTCCACGAAGTTCCCGCATTTCAAGGTCAGGGAAACTGCCCACACGACAGCTGTTTAGAGCGCTACTCTTTGTCGATGGTGTTTCGGGTTCGTGCACTTCCGAGGTCGGCTGGACTATCTGCGTCCAAACTCTATATTGTCTCAGCGGTTCCATGTCAGTAGTCTCTAGGCCTATGTGAGCACAGAGGCAGTCAAGTGTCCAACTGCAAGCCAACGGTCTCTTCGAGTGCTGCAATAGTATGTTCATCTCGATTTTATGGATCTTATGTCAATTTCTGTTTGATAAAGAACGACCTCAGGTGAGACAGCTGCCATGCACATGTACCCCCCAAGACGACTAATTGAATGAGTGTCCATTTCACGATCCTTGAATTGACCGATTCGGACTGATCGCGAAACTCAGCCTCTCGCTCCTGTAACACAAAACTGTCAGCATGTCTCCATAGACTTGTCACATACGGTGCTTCGGAATATGATGTTTAGGGTACAGCCACTTACTCGTTGAAATACCTGCTCTCGTCGAATATCAGCCAAACGACTATTCAACTCCCTAACCTTTCCCACAATACTGTCAATCTTGTTTTTGTCGTCGCTCTCAATTTTACTGCTCTCGCCAATTGCCATGTCTAACCATATCTTCACACCACCCTTTGCCGCATCTTGCCCGCTGAACCAGCCCTGTAGAGATACTGCGGCAGGTCCAGATGGTGTAAAACACAGCCTGTGTAGACCACTGTCAGCCGCACTGAAGGTGAATTTCGAGGGAACATCAGAGGATGTAGAGGTTTGCGACACAACTCGATGGTCGTTGTCGAAGGTTTCGTCGACTGTTATTTGGACTGCGAGGTCATTTGTCGTTATGTAGGATTGTGAGTTCTGGTTGAAGGCTTCTGCCTTGTACGTGCCTACACGGACATCAGTGTTCCTGGTTTTGAAGTGTAGTCTTGTATGCCATACCAACCACAAGAGTGTCTTTCGGTAACTCCTCATAAAAGCATTTTGGAGTTGTGCCGTCAAGGTAGAAGTAGAGGGCCTGCGACGAGGATACCAGCAGGGCACTCGTGGTCAATAGCGAGGTCAGATGCATCTTTAGCGATTATGTGGTATGTTTAGTCGTGGGTATCTTCGGGAGTACCTGCTCGAACAGTTGTATAGATCAATTGACCACTTTTTGACACATGTCCCGCTCGCCAGGAGTGCACGCTCCTGCACTTTCTCCGACGACCCTGCCAAGATCTACCGTTCGGCTACTAGGGGTAAAGCCGTGCTGGCTCAACTTCGGCTTCTCACGCGTCGCGTAGAATCGTGTCGCATGGTTGGCTGTACGCGTGACTCAACTTGACCCTGCTCCTATTCAAATTCCTACACTACTGCTTCCAGCCTGTCCGAGGTTCCTCTCGTCATTTCTACAAACATTGCTCAGAAACAGGGAAAGTGTTTTGCACGAGCATATTATGTTGATCTGCCTGACATGTTTTATCAGTTTGCAAAAATCATATCCATATATCTAAGGTGTCACGAAAGCATGCAGCAATAGCATTGTGGCTCATCCATGACTCTTGCGGCCAGCTTCGTGAATCAGAACTTGTCCAAAAACCACATCAAAGCGATACCATTGGGAGAAATGTACAATAAATTTCAATTTACATCATCAACAGATCGGAATCCAGAAGCTCAACTATGTACTGTCTCAAAAATCAGGTTGGGTTGGCTCGACGCCGGTTGCACGACTCATCTCCACTTCTCAACGACTTAAAGCATAGATCACTTACTATCCCGCCTTTTGTGGTGTGGCCTCATGAATTTCCTCCACTGAATGTACTTCTTGCGCCTGCAATTTCATACCCTCTCGCTTGAAATGTTTAGGCTTGACTCCAGCTGCATAAAGCTCATCCAAAATCTCGAACGAAAGACCTTTGGTCTCAGGGTAGAGGAAGTAGCCACCGACAGCGGCGATCATACCCATGCCAAAGAAGATGAAGCCCGTTTTGCCGCCGAGATGACCGGCGTCTGGGTTGATCATATATGGTACAGTGAATTGCATGATCAGGCCCCATACACCATTAGTCATTGTGACGAGTGCTTGCGTAACTGCTCGAAGTCGTAGAGTGGCAACTTCACTGGCAAGGACAAATCCTGTGGCGCCGATGGTCATTTGGTAGATGATGGCCCAAAGATAGGTGAAAACCACGATCGCCCAGCCAGCTTTTGTTTGATTTGGGATGCAGCCCATGATACCAATAAGAAGGAGGAAGAAGCACAGGATGAATTGACCTGGTACAATGAGAGTTCGGCGACCGACCATCTCGCTGAGAGGAAAGACTGCGATGGTGGCGAGTAACATGACGACGTAGAGGATGATCGAAGCGGTGAAGAAGTTCTGAATGTTGATGAGGTCGAAGAAATATGTAGCAAAACTGTAAGAGTCAGTATACTGTCCGGCCGACTCAGAATGATACATACCCAATAACGAATGTGGCGCCGATCATCTGTTGACCTGACGCAGCGAAGATAGCAGTGAATGTTCGCTTTCGGTGCTGCTTTTTGAAAGCTTCAGCTTCTGGCAGAGAAATGAGTCCAAAGAGCTTGTATGGCTTAAGGCCCTCGTTGAGCTGAGCGCATGTTCGAATGTCGTCCTCGAATCGCCTGATCTCAATGTCGTAGAAGGATTCATCAAAGCCAGAGCCGTACATCCTTCGAAGAGATTTCCGAGCCTGGTCAATCTTTCCCTCACGAACAAGCCAATAAGCTGACTCGGGAAAGAAAGGATAGACAACAACCAGCAAGAATGGCCAGATGTACATACTGCACACAGCGGCCTCCCATTGCCATCGGTTGGTGAGCTCCGAAGTGCCTCTTGTGACAGCGACAATCATGAATTGACCAACGACGATACTGGTATTGAAGAAACATAGCCAGAAACCTCGCAGTTCAGGTCGGCACGTCTCACCTATCCATAGAGGAGAGATGGTGAACAAGATACCAATGGCGATACCGTTGACTCCACGACCTGCTAGAACCATTTTCCAGTCCGATGCAAGCTGTTGCAGAAGAACACCGACAGTCGAAACAACAGCAGCAAAAAGAATCTGAGGCTTTCGTCCATACTTCTCCAGAAGCGGCGCTGCAATAGCTGCTGCGATAATGTCGCAAGCAGGACCTATAGCGGCCCAGGCTGAAAGATATCGAGCTGGAATAATCCAGTCACCGTTGGCTTGTTCGTAACCGAACTTTCGCTGAAACTCAGGAAGACTGGCGAGTTGACCCCCAATAACATAGTCGTAACCCAGAATCATCGAGCCGATGGACGTCCAGAAAGCCCAGAGACCATATCGTTTCTGGTGAGTAAGGATGCGCCATTTCTGAGAAGGGTTTATAGTTGAATAATCGATACTGATAGATGTCAGTGAGGCTCAAGATAGGATGTGATGGGCATACCCAATGTGTGATTGACCCATGATGCCGATTGATGCGTTATTGTCAATTGTAGTATCCAAGTCTAGATGATCGTCTTCCTCAGGAGCGACCGCAGCATTTATACACTCTGGTTGAGTCTACACCTGATTGTCCCGTGATACCTCGCACTTGCCATGGAGTATAGCCTCATGATCCGGGGTCGTGTGGGGAAAGTTCGGGACAGTAAGGTTGTCCTCCATGTGGTATAGATCCAGGATGAACGCGGTGCCAGGAAAATTCTTCAGTGCGTGCATAGCAGCTACGTTCCGTAGAGGTCAACACCGAGCTAACGGCCTTCGCTGTTTGGCTCCGCGAAGTCCTCGAGAATCCACAGCCGAAGCTAGAATTCTTCTCGCGGTCGTAATTTCTCTCCGCGAGGCCACTGACCCGACACTGTTCGCGTCAAGCTCGGACTTTCTGACCAGAACGGAACTCGTAGAGTACACTTTACGAAGACGTGTCGGCTGTTGAGGGAACAGCTTGGCAAATATCGCTATGGCCTGACAACATGGTGGAGGTGAGCACTTCATCGAGTCAGTTGAACATGCTGCAACAATACCAATTTCCCAAGATAAATTGTGGTCATCGGCATGTAGGGACAGCCCGACTACATGGACGAGGACTACGACACGATTTTGTGACCACAAACTTCTCAGCGAGCACTCTAAATTGTGACGAGGCTGCATCACTCCTTAGCTCACTTGTGCTACAAATATGGACACCAACAAGAAGATCCGAAACGCACCAGTATATCATATTACTGCTCCTTATGGCTGGATGAACGATCCTTGCGCTCCAGGCTTCAATGCAGAGACACAGCAGTATCAACTCTTCTATCAATGGAACCCGTTTGGCTGCGAATGGGGCAACATGTCGTGGGGTCATGTGACAAGCGATGACTTGGTTCACTGGAAGTACGGCGCCGAACAACCTGTCCTTTCTCCTGATCAAGCATACGATCACGAAGGAGTGTTCACAGGATGTATGGTACCAACCTCGATGGATGGGCATAGCCAAGGAGCGACAATTTTCTACTCATCCGTATGCAAATTGCCATTCAGTTGGGAGACTCCGCCGTATCCACGTGGTGCAGCTGGAATCTCTGTTGCCAATCTAGTGGAGGATGGTAAATGGGAAAAGTTCCAAGGAAACCCTATCGTGAAAGCCGAGCCTGAAAGCTTGTCAGTGACAGGCTTTCGAGACCCATTTGTCGCTCAGTGGCCAGCATTAAAGAAGGCGAGAGGTACATCAGCTGATCTTTTTGCAGTCGTTGCAGGGGGCGTCGAAGACAAGGGCCCTTGTCTCTTTCTGTATGAGGTCAAAATGGGGAACATGACAGAATGGGAGTATGTGGGTATGCTGATCCAGAAACCATTGCACTGGCGTCTAGATCGGCACTGGAGCGGAGATGCAGGTGTCAATTGGGAGTGTCCAGGTTTCATGACTCTTCGTGTGGGGAGTAATGAGCGACACTTTGTCCTGGCGGGATCCGAAGGCGGTCTCGACCGGGATCACGTACTAGCACCTGACATGCAACTTCAAAAAAGCCCACAGCGGAACGCCCGGTGGTGCATGTGGATGGGAGGCGATTTCTCAGTCGATAATGGTACTCCCGAATTCGAGCCTAAGTTCGCTGGTTTACTAGACTGTGGCGTGTTCTATGCTGCAAGTACCTTCCACGACCCCAAGAGCAACCGTCAAGTGCTCTGGGGGTGGATCATCGAGGAAGACGCCACCATTCAACGTTGTAGAGAAAAAGGGTGGACTGGCTGTCTAGCCTTACCCCGAGAGATCTTTCTTTTGGAGCTACACAACATCGAGGGCACCATCAGCTCCCAATTAGAGAGAATTGCAAGCTTCAATGTGGAGTCTGTGGACTCCCTGTCCACTGTGCGGACAATGGGAATCAGACCAATAGCGGACCTGCAGGCATTACGTGGCAACTCAGTACTCGAGGCTGGGCAGGTCTTCGAGCTCAAACAAGACACAGAGCAACATTTGTGTTCTTGCAAGAACACTAGATGGGAGTTACGAGTCTCGATCAATCTCGACCAGCAGTGCTCACGCGCAGGAATTCGGATTGTCCATGATCGTAAGTCTTCATTGTTCACCGAGATTTTCTTCTCGATCAAAGATGAAGAGATCATCGTCAATCGACCCAAGCAAGCAGGAAGACGCCAAAACTTTGAGACGAATAACCGTCAAGAAAGAGGTCCACATACACTGCTTCGTCGGCAAGAAGATGGAAGGTCAAAGCTAGAAGCACTGGACCTCAGAGTCTTCAGAGACGGCCAAGTGCTTGAGGTCTTTGCGAATGATCGTTTCGCGTTGGCGACTATGGTCTACATTGACGTCGAAGATAGCAAAGTGCTAGACGAAGTTTCTTGTTTTGTTGATACAAAGACCTCCGCCGAAGCAAAGGCTCAATGCTGGGAATTATCGCCCTTCATTGCTAGAGAGTAATCTCTCTGTCTGGAAATACATTTTTGACTAAGAAAGTAACACGATCTTCCAGTAATTCCTGTAAGAAGCCAAGAGATGAACTTTCGTGCTTGACAGGCTCGAAGATTTGTGGTGCAGTGACTACCACATCGATAATGTTGTGTGGTATGCTAGCTCCAGGACCACTCGATTTAATGCTTTCTGCTACCGCAAGAGTTAGAATGAATACTGTGGCATACAGAGTCCACGTATTGACGCGGCATCTAGCCAGAAGACTGCTAATATTTGGCACGATGTACATGTATGATCGGAAAAATTTCTGGCAATAAGGGTATAGTTCTGGCCTGGCATAACCAGTCCTGATCACTTCCCATACGGCCGGCCAGTATATCGAGGCCCGGCAGCAATCATATTGAACGTGCAGGAATTTGAGGAGTGGTTCGTCCGGTGAGTAGTCAAGCGAGCCGGGCGTTGTTAGGAGATCGTCGCTCTTGTCGAACCGTACAGCCTGTGGAAGGTAAGTATACCATTCATCTAGTTGAGCTTCCAATTCGCGTGCGATTATGGGCGCAAACCCATAGTTAATACCCCTGTCCACTGTGCCGCTTGGTCGTATGGCAGTCGTGCAACGGTGCAGCATGCGGCGCATGGCAATAGCAGCGAGAAAATAGCAGTTCACTCGGTCTGAGCGAGGTGTTGTAGGTGGCGCGACATCAGGAGAGGTAGTCGTCTGGTAAGGCGAAGGAAATTGTCCTACTGTAGAGGAGAACCGCCATGGATCTCGCATGGTTGGTAAAGGTACCTCCTCGTCGAGTGACCACAAACCACTCTCCGGCAATTCAAACTGCACATCGAGCTCGTTCTCAATGAGCAGAATTGTCCAGTATGCACGTCGTACCAATTCCACCTGTTCTGACTCCAAGTGTCCTGTGTAAACTCGTAGCAGGCTTTTCACCTTGTACGAAGCTGCTATAGCAAACTCGTGCGCTTGACAAGGTCGATAGAGGCAATTGTGATAGATGCTGAGCATTATCAAGCTCTGAACACTCTCAATACTATTGTCGAACATAACACTGGCCAGAGATGCCATTGCCATGGACATAAACGTAGGGCTAGACTCCTTGTCGGCCGTAAAAAGTGACCCAATTGAGCAAATCAGTAATGCTAGACAAGTTTTGGAGGATGGGATCAGGCTCCCTGAAACCTGACGCTGAAACTCTGCAGTGTAGTCTGCAGGGAGGATAGGATACCACTGATGAATCTCGTCCGAGAATGCAGACAAGGCACTACTTAGAATCAGCCTTCCATTACCGCAGAAAGTGGTACTTGTGCAATATCTCAGAGTGCCCAAAGAACGAACTTACCTCATAACTTTTTCATGTTGCATTATCACGAACCCTGCTTGCCTGATTACTTGACCATGTATATCCTTCCTCTCCAATTCAACGAGCTTTTGCGATAGATCTGATCTGACTTGAAAATTGATCATCGTGTTAGGTGTCTTCAGATCCAAGAATGGAAACGGAATTTTGCTCTTGTCATTCTCAACCATGGCCGTATTGCTATGGCTTGTGCCATGGTTGGTAGACTGTATGTCATGTTGGTGTGGATGAGACTGCCTTTCTGTGGCTTTGGTAATGATGTAGATTTCGTTTACAGTGGCAGTGAGAGTCTCTAGCTGTTGCTTGATACCTGCGACACATTGTTCAAGTTTTACACCTTGTGATTCGGTAACTGGCTGGTAGAAGCAGAATTGCTCCCCACGGCTCTGACAGTAAGAACATCGTGGTCGAGCGCCATCACATTTTTGCTTTCTCGAACGGCACGTATCGCAAGCGACGATCAACCGAGTTCGTTTCCTCGGTGGCGGAGAATCTCGAGGAGAACTTGCAGGCATCGGAAATCTTTTCTGACTGTTACCTTGTCTTCGCGCCAATATTGAGCTGTGTAGACGCAAGGTCGCGGACGTGGGAATGTACCCCGGGTATCAGTTACTAGGTCTACCTACAGAAGTGGATGCTGGCAACAAGGCAGTGGACAGCTTCTCGGAAGACAATTACCGTTAGTTCTGGACTCGGGGTTCCGCACGGTTAGTGAACAAAAGACCAGCACAAACGGCCTCGCGGACACACTCGCACATCCGCGAGAATTTCTCATGACCCTGTAGGCACGTGATCACATCCGGGGTTCACTACCCAACTACTCGAAGACACCAGTACGGTTCAGGAGCCGCTCCCGCAATCACGGGTATTGATCTGGGGGCCGTAGAATGCATGATGGCGGTATATGAAGGAGGTCACGTAATCAAAATACTGTAAGTAAATTATTTTAAGTCTTGCATTGTTTTCTTCACCTCCCTCCTTGACGATCGTGACACCACCAAGTACAAAATTCAGCGATATGACCTCCATTCTTGGTAGTGGCCTGATGGCCGCAGCTGCTCAGCACAAAGTGTGCCGAACAGCTCGTGTCTCGTCTTGGGATCAGTCTGGTCTCAACGAGGATGCCTTTGTGGTTCTTCCAGGCCAGTCGATTACTCTGGCTGATATCGAGGGCCCAGGAACCATCACTCATCTCTGGTTCGTTCAGACATGTCGGAAGATTTTGGGACCTGGATTAATCCCGTATTCGAAATCAGGTGTTGCCATGATGGAAGTTCACAATGCTCTTGGACTCAACTACGAGATCAGTGACCCAGATTATTACCGCAAAGTCCTGATCAAAATGTACTGGGATAATTCAGAAACACCCTCAGTCATTGCTCCTATTGGCGATTTCTTTTGCCTCGGCCACAGCATGGCAGCAAACTTTCAATCCTTGCCATTCACTGTCAGCGTGAAACCCTCGGAAGAACGAGCATTTGGCGGTTCGGCAGCTTTCAATTGCTATCTTCCCATGCCTTTCAACAGCCGAGCACGCATCGAAATTGAGAATCAGAATGACGAAGCCTACATTCAATATTTCTACATCGACTACGAGCTATATCCTGAGCCTCACCCAACGGACAAATTACTCTACTTTCACGCTTCATGGAACAGATCCAATCCTACACCAGGCTGGACCACAGACCCATCAGTTCAGACCAACAGCCTAGAAACCCAAATCCCCAACCTCGACGGCGCAGACACAACCCGGAACTACACCATCCTCGAAGTCGACGGCGCAGCCGGATCCTACATCGGCTGCAACCACTCCGTTACCCATTTCCAAGGCACCTGGTGGGGCGAAGGCGACGACATGATCTGGGTCGACGACGACTTCGACGCAACAACCGACACCGCAACCCTCAGCAAACTCTCCAAATTCCAAGGATCAGGGAGAAAACTCAACGCCTGGCCACCAAGCTTCCACGGCACCGGCGGAGAAGACTACTTCTCCCAAGGCTGGGGCATGCAAAAGAACGCCTACCCCTTCTGCGGCACCATCATCCACGAAGAAGACAGTCCCAACAAAGCCTACCAAGTCAGCTACCGCTGGCACCTTCCCGACCCCGTCCGTTTCGAGAACAAAATCAAAGTCACCCTCGAACACGGCCACGCAAACCACCTCAGCGACGACTGGTCCACAACCGCGTACTGGTACCAGACGCTAAACAAGAGCGGTAAAGGCCTCACAATCCTGCCAGTCGACCAGCGCATCCCGCGAAAGACAGAAATCACGCCAAAAGCACCTGAGAAGAGTACCGTCAGCGAGGGTCAGCTCAGCGAACTGCAGAGAAAGATGTTGAAGCAGAGGCAGGACAGATTCGATGAATTTGTTGCGGATCGCAATTCGTGGTTGGAGAGACGCGCCAAGGATAGCAAAATTCGAGCTGAGAACAATGTGCAGATAGCAAAGGATATTCGGTCAAGGTGGTTGGCTAGCCGATCTAAATAGATTAGTGTGGGATTCATGGTAGACCTTCAATTAGAATTCATGGCATGCCTGCCCTTTCACTCCTTCATTGTCGTTGGCTCGAATGACGTTCCTGGGACGCTGGTCGACGGGATCCAGGTCTCCGTACATGAAATGGCAAGCTTCGATTTCTAGATGCATGATGAGCAGCTGAATTTCAGTTGTATCATTCATTCACTATCATAACGGACAGAACCACGGAGAACTCACAATTTCGAGACTGATCAATGATTGGAGCTGGATTAAACGAGTTATACAAGTTCATCTGCGCTAGACTACCTAAACCACATAACCGCTTTTGATCAAACATGACATGAGATTTGTTACGATCGAAACAGATCGAGGTAGAAATAGACACTCCTGGGTATATGCACAATAATGCTTCCCTTCCAACGCCATTAACTTGCGTTCCAGATTTACCGCCTGGTATACTATGCAAAGGCTAGTAGTAGTGTTCGAAAGTGATACTGGCCATATCGGCCAAGAAACATTGTTATTAACTGTAACAAAGGAAGTCGTCTTGTTCTTTACATCGTGAGTCTTTTGCTGTCGGTGCTGTGAGCTGACAGAGGTTCCCGTTCGATGGTAGCGCCAAACGTGACGGGTGAGAGACCAGAACTTGTAGCGCTCGCTGGACTTTGATTCTCTCTTAACCCTCGTGGCATAGTATGTAGCTGAATATCTTCCAGCTTTGTTTGTGGCGTTTTTGTGCTCAACGTCCTTATCAAGTGTGATTTACTGATATTACTGTTACCTGTTCGCCGATTCTCGTTGTCCTCCATGTCTTCCCCTTTCTGCATCTTCTTAAGCTGTTCAGGGGTAAATTGTTTGCGTGCTACGTCGTCGAGGAGATATTGATAGAGCACTTTCGAAAATCGGCCTGATTGTCACGCAGGATCTCGCGGATCGCCTGGTGGTGGACCGCCATGTACGTGAGCTGGTGTGCCCAAGTTCAACCAAGACATGTCGTTACTATCATGAGGCCTGCCACCAAACGTCCCTTGAGACGATGCTGTGCCGGGTGGTGGACCAAAGTAATCCTGTACCGGCGGTCCACCTTGCAATCGTACTGTGTTACTTGGTTGTCTTGTATGTCCAGAAGTAGCTTTGAGCACAGCCGGCGGAGGGGGTCTATCTACTGTCGTAAGCCAGTGATACTGGTCCGTGGTATCTGCTCTGCCGATAGAAGCGGTGGGCAGTGGGAAGGCCGGAATGGAGGATGCTCCACTTGTGGATGTGTTCGTGGTCTCTTCGGACATTGAGGTAGGTGGTGGGAAGGCAGCAGCTCCTATTCTCACACTGGGCGGCCTCAAGGGTCTCGAATTAGGGCCTGACCAAGTATTGCCGATGGGGTTCCAAGCATTCTGCTGATATGTGCTTTCTCGGGTATCGGAATAGGCGTCCATCTCCTCGTCCTCATATCCATCGTCAGAGCTATGATCAGTACTAATGGAATCTGCGCTAGATATCTTGGCTTTCGCAGGCGCTGCTACTGACAAATCGCGTGTTTGTGGGTTCTGGTGACCAACAACTAGACTTGGGCTTGGTGCTGCAACAGTAGCATGAGTGAGCAGATTGCCAGCACTGTCCCTTGTAGGTAGCTTGTTAGACCTGTTGGAGGTAGGTACACCAGTGCCAGGCCAAAACCCCGTCCCGCCGCCTTTAGCTGTGCTGGGCCTTGAGGTCGAACGTCTCGGATCATCTTCGTAGTTCACAGTATAACCACTCTCACGTTGCGGCAACTTCTCGTCCTTGTCTGCTTGGAAATACTTTGCCCAGCCCTCGTCTGTTTTCCTCTGGTCTGCTTTTTGCTGCGACACGCCACCAATAGGAGGCAATACAGGTGCGGCAGGAGTGGCTTTGCCAAGATCAACACTGGGACGTTCCTGATAGTCGCCTAGATCAGGCATCATAGGCTTCGAAATGGTCAGTGGAGTCTTGTTATTGCTCTTAAAGAAAGTGATGTTGTTATTTACGCCATGGCTAGGGTTTAGTTTGGAACCACTCGGAGGCTGCATTCGTGGTTCCATGCTCTTCTCTCCATCTTTGCCGAACAAAGCAAGAGAGTCTCGATCTGCGATGATAGCTGAGGGGACAGGACTTCGACCCATAGGTTGCGCCTGCTGTGATAATGGTGTGCTTCCATTACTACCCTGCCCACCAGGTGAGAGATGTCTGTGTTTATCGTCAGGATACGCTGGATCATTTTGTTTATTCTTGGCTTCGAGAGCCTGCCTCCGTTTGACAGATCTCAACCACAGTAACGTGATAATTAGGATAGCTGCGAGACCACATATACCACCCAGGACACCTCCAAGTATAGCGAGACCATTAGTGCCGCTACCGTCGGACGGTGCAGCGGCTGGGGTTGACGATGCAGCCGATGTAGCAGCACGAGTCTGACTTGTGGTGGGAGTAGAGGTCGGGGTGGATGAGGATGTGCTAGATGCTGTCAAGATGGATTGCGTATCGCCGAACAGTGCCCTCGAATCTAACCAGCTATTACTTGTTGAATCGAAAACTGATACAGTACTATTAGCGTCGCCTCCAACGACAGCAACAAGATTCGAACTAGACGCCAACGACGCGCCTGTCCGCTGCTCTGTGGGCGCGTTGGTGCTGTTGTAAGCAGGATAGTTACCCTGAATCAGTTGCCTGCGAACCATCCTCGCGCTAGTAGTTGCGGGCTCGCCGATAGTCTGACCATATGGTGCAGGAATGAAGCCAGGATTGGTGATTACATTCCTTGTGATGCGGTTAGGAGTCTCGTTCGTGTAAAACGTTTGCAGTATCCTTGTGCCGTCCGCCAAGGCTTGCAAGTTAACTTGAGCTATCGAAGGATCAGGAAGTACGGATGGAAGCACTACTCCAAGATTGACCCAGCCAGGATCAGGATGGAAAGCAAAGACCGCTTGATTGCCGTTGCCTCCACCAACCAACAGTGCCTTATCTTCCGTGAAGGGGAGGAGGGAAGGATTCACCACGGCTGGTGCTATGGATGAATATGCTTGGACTCGATATGGAGGATACATAAGCATGAGGAAGGTTTCAGTCGAAAGTCCGAGATTGTTGTTTTGTGAGCCGCCGTACACAAGTAAGGCGGAAGAAGCATTCAGATACGTGGCACCGTGATACAATCGGTTTGCGGTCACCGCCGACATAGGAGTGATTATCTCCCATCTCTTCTGGGCTATCGAATATCTTTGTAAACCGGGGTAGTCTGAGAATGAGCTGTTGGTAGCACCTCCCACAACGTATAGTGCCGGGTTGTTGCTATCACCATCTAGGCCACCTTTTACACACCGTGCACCTGTGACCGACACTCCGTTCTCTTCGGTACTCCAGGTAGCATTCTTCGACAGGGGCAGAGTCAGGAAGGCAGTAGGAGAATAGACGTAGAGGACGTTGTCGTGAATAATTGAGCAGTGGTCCTTCAAGGGCACTGGCGGTTCAGGTGATGCCATGGATTAGAATCTGATGTGGTTGATATTGGTCACATTTGTCTCAACTGTCCATTGCTAAAGAAATTGCGTCCAATGATCAACACCTCACGTCAGTCGACCAAGTACCCGAGCTTGTGAACCGTGACGTGTTTGCAGTGTAAAAATTCCAGGTTGATGGAATATTGGATGATGAAAAGTCGAGGATAGAGTGAATCACGGTCAGACCTCGACTCTTCGAGTTTTGACAACCACCCCAGATACAACTAGCTCCTTGCTCAACCCTGACCAAGGCGTTGGTTGGATAGAGGTCACTCGACGAGTAGCTCGAGCCGCGTCAATGGTATCAGGTAATCGAGGTCTAGCAAAGAGTACGCGATACTCTTGGAATGTCGAGCGTCCGAGGAGCGGAGGTCGGTGCGTTGCACGAGGAGTACACAGGGGCGCTTAGCTATTGCAAGCTATAGACGAAATCCCTCGCACGAAAATTATGTCGAGTCGACACAGTGATTGCTCGTATCGAAGCTGAAAGGAATGGACGTCACGCAATTGCAGCGACAGGTGTTGTGATGGATACAAAAGATGAGTGTAGGCAGGCACAAAGACCGACCGACCTTGTACAAACACGACGGGGGCAACAGAAACGCGGCAAGGGCAGACCGCAGCCAGAAGATTGGCCTGGGGTGGACCCGTTCGCTTCAAGCAGTGCCTGCAGCTTCTGCGCTGCGAATCACTCTGTCTCTCGACTCCAAAATCCTGGATCCATCCTTTCGCAGTCTCCAATAGTCAGGTACCAGTAAAGTCTATATACAAGAGGTTGTTTTGAAGTACTGACATCGATTTCTGGTTGGGCCTGGCAGAGACGACAGTGGTCTCAATCGTGCTAGCCATGAACCTCGTCGTGAACAGCAGGCCATATGGAAGCCACACGATTGCACGCAACTGTAACTTCCTTTGAAGTCCCGCAGCCTTTGCACACCACAAAGACAAATAGCTTTTTTTATCTGCAGTATGAGCATCACCTTCACGGCTCAGCAGGCAATACAAGTATATCATCCTATCTCCTGCCGCTTCACGTCTTGATTGCTTTCGTTTTCTTCAGAGAAGTTACGATGAAGGACCCTCACATCTCTCAATCATGCTCCGTCTTAAACATGTGGCATTTCGAGGATGTATGTGGCTAGCTGTAGGAGCACACTAGCGCACATGGGCGCACTCGGGAAATAAGATCATCAGGGGCGGATTCACATTTTCCACTCCGCTTGCAGCTTTCTGACCTTAGTACGACGCTACTGCAGACACTCTGTCATCGTGCAACAACGTCCTCCAATAACATGCTGTGAGCACGAGACCAATAAAAGTGGTTTCCTTTACTAGTACGTGATTTTCTTCAGGCTGTGTCCTTCGAAAAGATGCACGATGTGCTCAGCGATCTTCCAAAAAGTAGTCACTGCATTGATGGGTTTTCAGAGCAATATGCAAAATGCTTGGTCATCATTCTGATTAGTTGACATTGGGGAATTAATTCCAATATTCATACATAGGCGCAGATCTACCGGAGAAGTTACACTACTATACCGAATGCCAGATTGTGGATGAAGTGTCCAAGTGAGATATGTATCCCGTGTCTGCGAAAGTAATGCTCCTGCAGACTGTTTTTGACTCTATAGCTGGCCTGGGCTTCACCATACGCATTTCATGCTTCGCGAAATATCAAGTTTCCAAAACTATCAATGGTCAATACCGTTCGTGCCGTTCGTCCTCTGCTCCTGCTGTAACTTCCACAAACGCGCTCTCTCCAGCAATTTCAAGTTCTTCGCTGCACCTTCGTCGTCCGCAGGGAATACGTAATCGATATACTCCTCAAAGCGATCCTCTTCAAGTCTCCTTCTCTTCTTGACCTTTCTAGGCATCTGTTTTTCAATCTTCTCCTGATCCTGGTCACTGCCATGAGCCTGTTCGAAGCTCTTCCATGCATTGAGTAGCTCAACTCTTTCTTCTTTCATCTCCTTGTCCTTGAATATCTCATGTGCACGCTTGAAGATGTTGCGGGCTCGTGTCTTTGCAGCTTCACTGACTGTGGGCTCTGCTAATTCTGTGACTGTCCCTGTGTCGTCGGGCACATTGATTTCGAATCTTGCATAATTGATCCACACTTTGACGTGGTCGGTCTTGGTCAGAAGAAGTTCATAAAGAGCTCGCGCACGATCGTATTCTCCTTCATAATCCTCAAAATCGATATAGGCTTTCCAGACCAGCTCCGGCATATCCAGGCTTGGTTGCTGTATGCCCAATTCATAGATGGCTCGTGCACGATCTAAATCGTCCAGACCGCGCTCGAGCTCAGCAAACTGTATCCACGCCTCACTGTTAGAAGCGTCCCACTCAAGTTGCTTTTGAAACAATGTTCGACATCTCTCAAACTCAAACAACTGCTTCTCAAGCTCAATGTAACCCTTGAACAGCCTTGCTTTCGGGCACATACCTATTGCTTGACCCATAGCCTTGCGTGCTGCCATTAGCTGTAGTTGACGGACTTCGAATTGTGCTTTCATCAGCCATATCTTAGCAAATGTCCACTTCTTGTGAGGTATCAATTTCAAGCATTCCTGGTAAATTTGCCTCGATCGATCTGGCTCATTGTTGCTGATCTCCTCCCATACTGCGTAGAATATCCACAAGTAAATATATCGTCGCCAGTCGCGCTTTTGCTGACTTTGTGGCACTTGTGCTATCGCTCGCTCGTACGTGTCGCGGATCTTCTCAACATCACCTCCACTTTCCTCTAGGCGTGCGAGATCAATCCAAATGTCGTAATTGTAGGGTTCCGACCTTAACTGTTCCTCATACTGCACTCTTCTTTTGGCCAAGATGACATCTTCGACACCCTCTCGACTACCAAACTGTTTTTCGAACTGAGTGTAGGATTTGTGCAAGGCCACAGCACGTGAGCGTGGCAAGCGGTCCAACGCATATTTGTAGATAGCTCGGGCTCTTTCGTATTCCTTCAGTTTCGCTTCGTATCGTGCGTACGCGATGAATAGCTTCTCGTCCATGAAATCGTCGCCAAGGGTCTCTATAGCCACACCAAAGACATCTCTGACTAGCTGACTTGTGCCATTCTCCTCTTCAAATTTGGCCCACTTGATCCAGTTTCTTGGCTCAGGATGCACAACTGTGAATCGCTCGAAGATAGCTCGTGCTCGGTCGTACTCGCTGTATCTGACTTCCATCTTGACATATGCCATCCATGCAGCCTCATCCGGCTCCCACAACATCCAGCGTTCAAAGACTTGTCGAGTACCTGGCACATTACCAAGAGTCTCCTCCATGTACACATATTTGAACCATAGCTTGTCGATCCTAGGCAATATCGTAACGGCACGATCAAGAAGATTTCTGGCATGGTTGATGTTCCTCGTTTTCATCTCAGCCTCGACATAGCGTATCCAGAGCTGAACGCTTGTGCTGTCAACGTCCAGTGCTCTTTCGAACACCGAACGTGCTCTGCGGTACTCTTTCTGCTCCAATTCCCACTGAGCATAGCGCATCCAGTTGCTCATGTTCATCCGATTCCTGCGGACATAATCCTCGAACTCCTTCCGTTTCCTGCCTTGAAATTCATGAAGTTCCTCGAGGTCGGCGAATCGCTGTGTTGGTGCCTGTAGTGATGGTTCCTGTCTGTCAACTGCTTCTCGAAGCAACTGCTCGGCTGATATTTGAATAGGCGCAGCAGCCTTGTTCTTGACTCTGGGAGGGCCATTGGAGGACGACATTCTGAGGGAGACCACTGCGTTCGTGGTGGGCAGTCTCAAGTGCTTTGTGCTGTAGTTAGTTCAGGAAAGTGTAGTGGAATACGCGAAACCAAGGGAATGTCTGCACGGACAATTTCGAGATACAGACAGGAGTGACTCGTGCCCCCAGAGCCTCATCTCAGGATGCGCTCCTGATAAAATGCTGCGCTGCCCGGATGGTCAGATACAAGAATTCTGAGAGAATGCGGAGATGCCTGGAAAAGCTCATCGGAGAAAGAGGTGCGGCATAAATACACGCCGCCAGAACTGCGATTTATATGCAGTGCAAAGCGGCCATTATGTTGGCCCACCTGTCGACCACTTTTACCGTCCTGAATCAAGTCACCTTTTTATTTCGCGAACATCATACGCGATAGTTGCGGCCTTTCACTGCCGTCGCATTCGCGTTGAGACATTCAAGTATTAAGAAATTTGGAGAAGGTGGTGGTCTTGCTGTTTGAATGTCCTTGTATTCAATTGTCGATCACTACACGTGCTACGGTGGAAAGCAATAGCAGGTCAGTACCACAATATGGCTACACTCGCGGACGAGTTGCTCAACGACTTCGAAGATAGCGGAGATGAGAACAACGATGTCGAGAACGGCTTCGGCGAGAACGAGCAAGATGGTGACAGTAGCACGGCCCAAAAAGAACCTTATGGGCTGGAAGTTGATGCCAACGAGGATGCAATGTCAGAAGACGGTGCTGCAGATGCAGATGAGATTGCGCGCATAAAAGCAGAGGCAGCCGAAGATGAAGATGAAGACTCAGAGGACGAACTTGTGCGGAAGTCGAGGGTTGAGAAGATGCAGCTTAGCGGAGTAAGTGATGTTCGCAGTGTTGCTGGGTTGATGAAGACCTTACAGCCCGTGCTAGACCAGATCTCATATTACCAAAATCTACCGCCTGAGAAACGGCTTGCCAATATAGGTTCGATTGAGGACGACCCTGAGTACAAACTACTCACCGAATCAAATTCGCTATCTACCCAGATCGACGGCGAGATTGTACTGGTACACAAGTTTATACGTGACCATTACAGTAAGAGATTCCCAGAGCTCGAAACACTGATATCGAATCCTCTCGACTACGCGAGGACAGTGGCAATCATCAAGAATGGTCCTTTGAAGAATATAAAATCGCTTGCTACCTCCCGTGAGAACATAGTTGGCACACCTTTACAGGCTATACTGGATGGACCCACGCTCATGGTCGTGTCGGTAGAAGGCACTCAGACCAAAGGACAAGAAATGAGCGAGCCAGAACTACAGACTGTCCTTCGCGCTTGTCGATTAATGCTCGACCTCGACAAGGCGAAAACAACTCTTACAGACTACGTACAATCGAGGATGAACAATTTCGCTCCCAACCTAACTGCGCTTATTGGTTCTCTGACGGCTGCGCAGCTTCTCAACTTTGCTGGTGGACTCAAAGGGCTGGCAAAAACGCCAGATCGAAACATCCCAGCTATGGGCTCGAAAAAGCAGCGGCAAACGGGTCTTGCTACCAATGTAGGACTACGTAAGCAAGGATTTCTGTACTATAGTCCTCTGATGCAGGACATCGCAAGTGATCTGAAAGTTCAAGCCATGCGAATCATTGGTGCTAAGATTGTGTTAGCTGCACGAGTCGACAGCGTACACCAGTCTCGAGATGGCTCGATGGGTGAGAAACTGTATGACGACTGTGAGAGAAGACTGGACAAGCTCAGAGAGCCACCTCCGAACCGAGGCACCAAAGCTTTACCAGTACCAGATGATAAGCCAAGCAGGAAGCGAGGTGGTCGAAGAGCTCGGAAAGCTAAGGAAGCCACAGCCATGACAGATCTGCGAAAACAGCAAAACAGAATGGCTTTTGGGAGGGAAGAGAAAGAGGTTGGATTTGGCGAAGACTCAGTGGGTCTCGGCATGATCGGACAAGGGAACGATGGCCGGATTCGTGCTGCTGGTATCGACAAGAGGACTGCTGCGAGGCTCAGCAAAAAGAATCCAGGCTGGGGAGGGTCAGGTCTACAGTCCAGTTTGAATACTGGCATGGCATCTTCGCTGAAAGGATTCGGATCTGGAGTGGGCGCAGGAAATGCCACTACGTTACGAGCACAAGGACTACGTACTTCTGGTGTCAATGCGGCCTCGGGTACCGCATCCTCACTCACTTTTGGGGCTGCTCAAGGTATTGAGCTGGTTGATCCGAAAGTGCAAGCAGAACTGAAACGAAAGCGAGAGGCAGAAAATGCTGGGTATTTCTCCGGCGGCACGTTTTCGCAGATCAACACTGGAGGCAAGACAGATGCTGCTGGGTTTAAGGTGCCGACTTTGCCACCAGTCAAGAAGGTCAATACTGGCATGGGACCACCATCAGTGCCTAAGGGTTGACGCAGTCTTCCTATGTCACTGAAGGACAAGACTTTACATGACTGGTTGATGATACTCAAATATCTGGTGTTGTTCATGGATTGAGGCACATGAGAGTGACTTGACTCTGTGTGCATTGTTCGAAAGTCGTTTGTTCATAGGGTTGTGGCTTCTCATCCCAACGGAAGCAAGTTTGCATAGGCTGGCCTTAGCAAAGGACACAAAGGTTCGCCCTACCCGAACATGGCTGATCCCCAACGCATACGTCCTATCGATGAGGCTGAGATCCATGGGTGGTCATGGGGTACTTGCAGCACCAAAGTGGAGAAACACCCTATCGTCACTGCCACTCTTCAGCAGCAGTCACGCGAAGAGTACGACATAACGTATCGCGCTTGCCAACAAAGCCATACACTCCTCAAGAGAGATTATGGATAGAAGCTTACCACGGATAGCAAAATTGTCCGAGCTCAAAATTGCAAGCATATCGAAAGAAAGAACGGTCCGTGTTTCAAGAGTGGTGAAACAGGCGGGATCCGCAACGCTGATTGGCTCAGCGACCATCCTCTGCTTGGCGCTACGTATAGCTCAAATTCACGAACACCAGTCTTTGTTCTCCCTTGTTACCACTATCCACGTATGGTCAACTGCTGGTCTCAAATCATGGTCATTCAAACGCAAAAGCTTGTCCGAAGCTTGTCCCCTCCGAGCCGGGATGCTGAAGGTCACTCATCTAGCCTCTCGACAGTCGCTCGATGCCATGCTCATGAATAAGGTACAAGAACAAACGACTTCCCGTTATGATTACTCCTGCTGTACCACGCATTCTTTATTCTTTGTCACCCTCACGCGTCATTGCGACATTGTTTGTTTGGTCTTTGACAGGTCAGGTCATCTATTTCCGAAAGTCTGGGACTTTTGATCACTCTCTTTCTCTCCTACCAACCACAGCTCTTACCTTTAGATAAATCTTAAACAAGGCAGCGCCTTTCGGAAGACACCTACAATTCAATAACTTTGCCTTTACACAGCTTTCAATCAGGAACATACTACTCACACTCTACCTGTTCTTACAAGCAACTCAATCCGACCACAATGAAGACCTCCACCTTCATCACCGCCAGCCTCATGCTCGCCGCCACATCAGCCATCCCCGCCGTAGCCGACGCCAACTCCGTTTCAATCGTCCAGAAGATTGCACCAAAATCCAATGCCTGCGCGGGTGTAGAATTCCCAGACGAATGCGCTACATCTGACCAAGCCACAAGTGCTCTCATCCAATCCTTCATTGAATACAACATCGTGACGCCAGGCGAGCAATCCGCCCTCATCTCGCTCATGGCCTTTGAAACCGGCGACTTCAAATATGTCCGAAACCACTACCCTGCCCCTGGCAGACCTGGTCAAGTGAGTACTCTTTCTTTCTTTCTTTCTTTCTCAAACGTGTAATAGCTTCTCACACAAAGGACCGTCTACGACTTCACATAACCGATAACAGTATGGGAGTTTCTGAGCTAACATTTTTCTTTTTCTAGGGATGTCGAAACATGATGATGCCTGAATTCGTCGCCGAGTACGCCAAGGCAAAGTATCCTTCGATCACGACCACTGATCCTGGTGCCTTACTGAATGAAGTGATCAAGCAGGGCGGAGAGTGGGGCGCTGCATCGTGGTTCTACACGACCAAGTGCTCGGACGCCGTTAAGCAGGGGTTGAAGAGTGGTTCAAAGGCTGGATTTTCGGCTTTCATTACAGAGTGTGTTGGAACCACTGCGACGGATGAGCGACTTAATAACTGGTCGGTTGCCGCGAAGGCTGTCGGCCTTGCGGGTGTCTAAGGGTTGAGCGAGCTACGTAGAGGATTATGATGGCGCATCAATAAATGCTTTGCTTTGTTTGTGGTCGCTGTGCTAGACTATGTAGCTATTTCTCAAACGCGTCACTGAAATATCCTCTTGGTGCTTAGCAGTGCTATAACAACCTTCCGATCGATTTCAATATCGAGCAAGACCAAAACAGAAACCAGGTTATTATGCTGTTCCACAATATACTCGTGATATCCACCGTCCACATCTCCTCAAGCAATGTGTCTCCCTCTCCGTACGATAACTTAATATGACGGAGCGACCAGTAACTTTCAGTAAAGAAGACCGGTATATGATGTTTGGGAAGACTGCCTCTTATGCTTGATAGTTGGTTCTGAGATTCTCCACTAACGCTTTGTTGTTGAAGGAACGTGTCAGACATTGGTTGTGTCTGCTTGTGTTGTGTTACTAAAATGTTGTATAGAAAAGTGGTGTCGAAAGGAGCGACAATGAAGTAAAGATGTGTTGAGCCTGTCAACATATAGAAGTGTGGTAAGGACAGTCACCAGAGATGCCTGCTACTGGTCCAAATGCTGTCAAGGAAGGTATATCCAATAAAACACATCGAGAAGGAGGTGGCTCCAATTGGTAGCAAAACCGAGCCAGCCAAGTCATGCCGGCTTCAAGGTCGTAAAAATCGTCATAGGAGTCATAAGGTGAGAGGTCCCAAGTGTTTGAAAGCCGGTGGTTGTATCTCTTAGATACGAAGGAATGTGCCCCCCAAATTCCGTTCTCCCCCTTTTACCCAGCTAGGCTGCTAGCTGTCTTTCGTCCTGAACGCCGATCATTGTTATTATTACATAGATCCCAAGCTAAGAAGAGCCTCAACTGCGGCTCGTTCCTGGGAATCGTTGATAGCATGAAAGCTATTAGAGGTTTTGTTGGTTGGCCGAGCCTTGACAGGTACCGACTGAGCCATATTGTACGACCGTTGTGGTCGCGAGGGATAAATAGGTTGGTAAATTCGACCGCCACCGGATGGGATACGAGCATTTGGCAATGAGCCCGGAGGCAAAGACCTTGCCCGGAGAGCTTCTGCACCAATGCTTTCCCAGTCTTCTTCGTCGGTAATGTCATCGTCATCGAACACATCGAGCATTGGATCAGCAGGAGGAGCTTCAGAAGATGCATATCCGCCTTCATCTTCATCGAGGGACATCTTGTCAGCTTCGTTCTCCAGCATATCGTGATCTTCGTCTGAGCCAGAATACCGACCGGACGCGCTCGCTCCAGAGAGCTCGCCGCGACCAGTAAGGCCATGCATACCACTCCGGGATGAGGTATAGCTTGCAGGCGGGGTACCGTCGCGGGTTGGCTGACCACGGCGACGAGCATCCCATCTGCCCCATCCGACCTTCTCGAAGATGACCTCAGTCTCTTCACCAGTCACGTCGATACCGGCGCCACGTCCTTCCAGAGCAGCGACGACCAAACGTCGTGCTTTGGCAGAAGTGATTCGGGCAAACCCAGGCACAGTACTATTGAGATAGCTCATGATGTGCCGGATAGCCAAAGGGCCATTAGCAAGCAGAATCTCAGGAAGATGATGCTTGGACAACATGGCCGGAGTAATAGCTCCTGCGCTGTCCAAGTCACCCAGACTGTCAAGCGCTTCTGCAGTCAAGGCGCTTCCTGGCACATCGTGAAGGTCAACGTCCGACTCTTGCGCATATCGAGCGTCCTGGCGCTGCGGCAGGAGGTTCGGAGACATGGAGTTGGGGGGTGTAGGCAACATCATAGAACGAGGGACAGAATTCCCAGTCGATACACCAGTGAAGGTGTCCCGACCCTGCTTTGGAATCTCAATTGCGGATTTCTTCTTCAGTGCTGAGCCGATGGCTGATGCGCGTTGATGATTGTTGATAGCCATTGTTTGACGTGGTTTGTCAGAAGGGTTATCAACTGTGGCAAGATGGACATGTCAGTGTGGGTCAACGACAAGCAAACAGGCGACCAACAGGAAGCCTTACTCTAAAGCAACGACGATGTTGCTGTAGAGAGAATGCAACGACTTGAATTGGCTTACCTGAACGTATCGTAGCGATATCGGCTTGAATGAGTCAGTGGTCGCAAATGTTGAGCTTGCCTAAGCAGCGCGTTCGTAATGAGTCGAAGTTGTGGTAGTTGAAAAGAGGACGACCTAGATAGGCGGTACCTCTTGCGTATATCTCCCTCTTGATAGTGGGAAGATGGAGGAAGGAGGGAGACATGGCAGGACGGAGTGTGAGATTGAGGTGCGCCAGAAGGTGTTGGCACTGGCAGCAGCCACGGGGCCATTGAGCCCAGATAATGAAAGCGGGGCCACGAATACAGTGATTGGCCCATTGAGCGCACGCCTATCAATTGTTGGTTGCAAAGGGAAGGCTCGGGACTGCTGCTCAATCGTGCGTGTTCATGCACGTCACATTACGCTTGACTATCTTTCCCCATCTGCCTGGAACCTCCGTCCTTCTTCGTGTCTATGACAACCTTGATATGCTTACTCAAGTATTACCTATCTGTTCCGATAGCATTAATTCTAGCTCGTCCTTGTTGCCAGTGCCTATCTCTATCGCACTTCTAGCAAATCTAGTCCGACTAGCTCAGAACATTCCCAGCGCTGCTCCACGCTAATTGCCAATTTCCAAGCTACTCTTCCCCAAGACGATCACTCCACATTCGAGAAGCCTGTTCTTTTGAGCATCCTTTTCGTCGGCCTCTGAAGACTTACCTTCACCCACGTGTCGCAACAAGGACTCTGCCGTGGTAATTCTGTAGAGGAAGCTTTCCGAAGGCCGCACACAAATGCTCGTGAAATTATCGCATGCTCATGGGCTCGGTTTCGTGAACACTCCTTCAGAACCTCGTGTCAAATCGTTTGTGTGCGTGCATTCAAACCAGTTCGCCAATATTCGCCGATCTGTTATGCTTCTTGCGCAACATTGCACGATCTATGCTGTTGACACATGATTTGAAGCCATCCATCCCACATTCATTTTGTATTGAGTAATTGTCCGGGCATGTTGCCGAAATGTGTAGAAAGTCACCGACAGGACTCGAATTCGTGGAACCATGTAACAAATGCAAAAGCGTTGAAGAACATATTACAATATACCACAAATTATTCACTATCAATTGAGACCACCCAGGAAAATGACCGCGAACCCCAAAACACCAGCAGTGAAAGCCAATCCAGCCCGTATGTAGTTTTGAATCTTCCACGTCTGTAACCGATCCACGACTTCCGTCTTTGTGACGCCTTGGATATCACTCCCTCCCATGTTGCTGATCTCAAGCAATCTTTTGATGTTGGACATCATCAACCCGGTATAGGCCAAACTTCCGAGGGCGGCAGCTGTAGCAATACTTGTTACCAGTTGGCCGCGCTGAGAGGCTATCATGTAAGCTGCAACCCCATTGAATGCTGTTGAGCTCAGTACCAGTGGGACCATCAAGCCTGCACCAGAATGGTAGAGATCCGAAAAGACTCGAGTGCTCTGGTTGATGGGTAGTGGCAAGATGGAATTTATTGCCAGATATGATGAGCCGAAGTAGATGCCCGAGCTGAGAAAAGCTGTCCCAATGCCTAGAGCTTGTGCTGTTGATCTGACCGATAGGCGATCCATTGTGTCGCAAGAATTATGTAGAGTATTGGTGAACTTTCTCGCGTTTTGGTGAGGCACAGATGCTAGAGCTGAACGTTGTGGTCCCAAGAATCGCTTCGGCTTCGCGACCTCGAGGCAGTCTTATCGATGAGCGTGTTCACAGCTTCCCCAAGAACACTCTATTTGTATTCGCGTATGTGCTTTACAGTGTAAGCACTTTGTCAGTATCGATTCCCACGAACGCGACAACGATCTCTGTAGACTCATGATATATGTTACAGGTCAGCTCAGCTTCGGAGCCGACATTACGGTTAGCTTCAAGTTGGTCAGCCTCAACAGCACGGGTGGATTCAGGTTGTTCCGGCCATGAGTGGCCTTCCAATCATGTTGAACCACTTTCCCATGTCCCTCTTCCTTGCGTACGAGAACCGTGATATTCCAGTAACAACAGGATAAGCCACTCGTGCTTTGCATAGCACTACTGGCTTCCTTCCAGCCTATCTTTCACGTCTATCACGATGAGTGCGTACCATTATCAACAGGCAGGATCAACATGCGCTGCTACGTCAATATGTTGATGGTGAATGCTACGACAGCAACCCCTGACAAGCTAACGAGTATGACATCATCTTTTCTTCTCAAAGGAAGTGGCTGTTGAAGCCCATCGAGGTCATGAAGCACAGGTCCAATTGAATTCAGGCGACGGATGCACAGTGCGGAACATTGCAGCAGAACTGTACTCCTATCCCGCGAAAGGCAATGGTCCAGTGAGACGGGTGATGCGCAGCTCATGTAGTGGAATCAGAGGCATAGTTACTGGCGATAGTGAAGACCGAAGTGATGGAGGATATATGACACTATCGAATAATAAGTGTGACAGGTAGGGCTCGCAAAGCAGGAGCAGTCGCTCGGAGCTAGCGACCACTTTGGTGCCTTTCGATGGTATAACGATGAGCCTGCAGACAGTGTGGTGAATCGCCAGTCTTCACGTTACAGTCGCAACCACGCCTTGCACACAGCAATAGCAGCAAATAACCGTCCTTCGGTCTCGTCCTGGGGCACGAGAGATGATCCATTGGCGTTGACAACTGGCAACCGTTGATGGAGGGACACGGATTTTCTTATTGCAAATGCACATATTGGCTAAGTAGGCACGGAAAGGCCCGAGTTGAAGGATACCCGTCGTTTTCACTACCCTGACGCCCATCCATGCAGCATCACATCATAACTCATTCGTCGTTCTTGTTTGATATCAATCTCTTGGGAGCTAACCTAGAACATTGAGCCCTCTGGAGGTTGCGGTAACTTCTTATGCTGAGGCAGAGCCATATATCTCCTTAATTCGATCAGCACTGTTTCCATGGTATAGTCTCTTCTCCAGTTCGCAAGGCATGGCAGTTTCGATGGGTCAATCTTGCCTGTCCTGGGATCGACACATGGCAGATTGACCTTGGAAAGGAATTGCAGGGTGGGTGGCTTGTCAGGATAGTTATCGTCGCAGTAGATCTTGACGCTGTAAATTCTGTTCTCATGTACACTCTGCCACACATCAGTGACAGCCTGAAATACTTTTATGCCCAGCATACATGAGGAGGACCAAGAATAGTGCCGTTCCAGTTTGACATCATTAAGTCATCACCGTCGGCCAAGCCATACGAGCATGCTTCTAAGAAAGAGTCAGATAGTGTGGCACTTGCACATCGCGTGCAACTTACCTGCACCCAAGCCTTTCTCTCCTTTCTCTAACTCCTCTAGCAACCTGAAGTTGCGCGGTACCTTTGCTGACATCTTGATAATATTGACTCACCTGCGCTCCTCTCTACGATCTAGGAAGGATGTATTGCAGTCGCTGTTGCCAGCAAGCCGATCGACAAACAAGGCAAACAGTCGCAACGACAGCGTGGGCGATGGGCGACTGGTAAGGGTCTTTGTCGTGGGCTGTTGCTGCCTGAACACCTGGTCTCAGATGTGGCAGGGATAGAGTTCGGCAGTAGTGATTGGTTGTTCCTTCCTACTACCCTTCAGATCTGTCCTCATTCTAGAGGTGTATCGTGTATGAACCTGGATGCATCGTCCTAGCGCGCTCTCTTCATGCAGGACGACATGTCAAGATCACCATGACCGCAGCTTTTCTGCAGTCAGAGTTGGCGAACCTCATATCAGATTCCAAGCGCAAGCATGTCGAAGTCAAAGCAGCTTCGGAAAAGTCCTTGACCGAGCTCAAGTCAATCTCAGTTACATCAGAGACTCAATTAGCAGGTGACCTAGTTCGGAAGCCTTATTTTATCGAGCCCTTCATTCTTGCGTTGCAATCCTCCAATGTAAAACTTGCGAGCACAGGGGCTGCTTGCCTGCAGAGGCTTGTTGCCTCTACAGCTATACCTCGAACACGCTTATCGGACATACTTCAGGCGTTCGAAATTGCACTTCCTCTTGCACTCGAGGTCCAGTTGAAGGTCTTGCAGACACTCCCTTCTCTACTACAGCTCTATGCGGCTGATTTACACGGTGAAGCTCTAGCAAGGACACTGAATGTCAGTGCTGATTTGTCTGGCAGCAAGCTTCCCGTAATCAGCAGCACGGCGGGCGCTACGTTTCAGCAATTGGTTACCACTGTGTTCGAACGTACGACTACAGCTGCGAGTTCAAAGACTCATCTGTCAGAAAATGGCTCGGAAGCTGCTCATGGTTCGGATGATGCTCTCAAGATCTTCCTCGACATTTGTGCCTTACTCGCAGAGCAGAAGCCATGTTTCGTGAAATTAGGCAATCTAGCACCTCCTGCTGTCCTGGAGACAATTGAAACTCTCTTATCTGAATATGGCGCTTGGGTATTGCAAGATGCCAACATTTTGAAGGCATGCTCTGAATGGTTGGTTCCTGGTATATGTACGTTGATTGAAAACAGCACGAACTATGGTGTTGTGGTACGAGCATTTCGTATTGCCCTTATTTTCGCGACTCAGCACGTACAGAAATTACCACAGGCTGTAGGTGAACTTTTGAAAGTCATTCACAGGACCACTGATCGTGCGGCAAATAGCAGATGGAAGCGAGTTCTGTCACTAGAATTTTTCAAAAACTTTTGTGAGGACTTCGACGCCCTGCGGACGACATTTGCATTATTCGACCTTGACAGCGATCAGCCGAGTATCGTTTCTGATCTTATGGCCTCTTTGGTTCGTACCGCTTCCGAGGATCCATCATTGATTGGACTTGGTCGGTTTTCAACCACCCCATCGACTAGTTTACACGGACGTGATGCCTCCACAGACATTGGTGCACTTACTCCCAGCATTTCTACACCCGGAAAACCTGCGACGGGCATCAGCACGGAGTGGAGCAGCGTCACTACCGCTTGTCTCGATATGGTTGACCGTGCCAACCCTCCAGATGTGCCTGGAACTTACCTCTATACTCTCGTTCTTGGATGTGTTGCGGCCTTTTCAGATGGATTATCGAAGTTCATTATGCCACTCAGCCTGCCCAACAGGAAAAGCAGTAAGCGCGAGGAGCCGGAAGGAGAAGAATCAGACGACAGCAACATCTTGAGACGTGCATCTATGCCAAACAATGCTGCATCTCAGAAATATCAACAACTAATCAATCCCTTGGACAGGAAAGACTCGAGTAAAAGCGATAGTGTTGAACTCTGTGCAAAAATGATTGAAGTTTGCTGGCCTGCCATTCTTGCCATTTGCTCAACCTTCTTGAACGCTAAGCTCGATTCATATTACTACCACATCTTGGTTCGCTCTGTGCAGAAGCTGAGTCAGGTTTCCGGCGTCTTGCAACTGGACGTGTCTCGCGATGCTCTTTTGACTACCCTGGCTAAGGCTTCTCTTCCAGTGAACGTTTCTAGCCTTATGAATGCATATTATGGGACAAGGCCAGCTCTGCAATCCGATCTCGATGCTCACTCCGAGGAAGATGATCCGCCAGTTAGGTCGCCTATCGCAAGTACTTCCCAGAACGCTCTCGGTCCATCGATCCAGAGCGTCAATGTTCGCAACTTGCTATGTATGAGAGCGTTACTCAACTTGGGTATTGCTCTAGGACCTACGCTGAGCCTAGCTGCTTGGACTGTCATCTTACAAGCGCTTGAACAGATAGAAGCTCTCGTAGCTAGTGGACCGGGTGCAAGGACGAGTCAAGCTTACCCGAACAAGATCGATGATCCGGAAACATCAGCCTCTACCAACCTAGTAACCGAAACTACCGCTGTTGATACAGCCAAACGCAGAATGGTTGAAGGCACAAGAACTTATTCAAACCGAGCTTTCAGCACTTTCTGTCAAGCTCTTTGGCAGATGATAGAAGATGTCATGCCTTCTGGTCAAAGAGCACCTGTGTCGGAAGAAACTTCAAATGACGAGAGGAGTGCTATGAATGGACTGCCACGACCCAAAATGCTGACACATAGATCACTGCGAAGCATATCTAGCGCACATACGAAATCTGCTGCTCTGGAAGTAGACGTTCGTTTTGTTCTTGGAATGATCGAGCGACTGGCTTCAACAAACTCGCAAAGATTCAGAAACAGTACCGCTGCCTCGACGACCTGGAATCTGGTCGTTGATAACTTGCTCTTGCTTCATAATTCTTCATTGTTGCCTGAGCTCCGGCTACAATGCGTGCATACCATCAATACGATCGTCGTTGAAACATGTACTTTAGCTACTAACGACGACGACGAAGTGGAAGCCTCAGCACAATCGTTCGTGGTCGTACAGTATGGAATACCTGCTTTACACAAGCAAATCCGAAATTGTCAAAGAGATCTAGCAAAAGACTCCAACAAAGCCGATATTGCATTGAAAACAGCACAATCAGTGTTAGAGGCTTTATACAATGTTGTGGGTAGTTGTGGTGAAAGCCTTGGCAACGGATGGTCCGAAGTCTTCAACATACTCGATACTGTTCTTAGTGGTAGTCAAGAACTCAGCAGCAATATCGAAGTACCGCTTTATTCTGCTGCATTCAAGGTGGTACTATTGGTTGTCTCCGATTTTCTTGCCAGTCTCAATACATCGTCATTGGCTGCCTTGCTCAAACTGTTTGATCGTTTTGCAGGTCAGCAGGCGGATCTGAACATGTCACTGACGACTAGCGCACTTTACTGGAATGTAGCCACACTCATCATCGATGGGACCGATGTCCTGGAGCCATTCAATTTCGATGCGGGTGCATCAGATCGTCTCGGCTCGTCTTCGACCCTATGGCGAGGCCTGCTCCTGGGCTTGCAGAATCAGAGTAAGGATTCTCGCACAGATATTCGGAATGCAGCGCTGCGCATGCTCACCAAGATCATCGAAGCATCTGTAACTTGCATGTCATCAATGGGTCTTAATTCATGTCTGGGTGAAGTCATGCTTCCTCTGCTTGAGTTCTATAGTACTGAATCCGGTACCACATGGCATGAGTCTGCTCAGCAAGAATTGCGAGATATCGTGCGTATCTTCCAGGCATATCACGAGCTCATCTTGGACGAGAAGGAACCTTTCGTAAAAACTTGGCTAAAGCTCTCAAGCTCTCTGGAACAGCTATGTAACCTCGAGGACTTGAAGATAACCACCGCTGTTTTCGACTGTCTCTCCCAAGTAATATTCTCATTGTGCAAGTCAAGTAAAGCCTCCACGTTCGACGAAGATGAAAGGGTACTGGTGTCGACTTGGACTCTATGGCAGAAGTCGCACCCAGCCTCGTTGAAATCTGTCGAGCCTAATGAAACAGCTCTTGCCTCGTATGAGACCCTGCTGTTACGAATTTTGGATTGGAAGTTTGAGGCAGTGGTGAGCTCCGCAGAGATCGGAAACGAGCTTCTCAAATCTGTACGGACGTCGGTGTTTGCAGCTCGTCACGGTCAGTACACATTAGATGTCAGAAAGATGTCTAGTGAGCAAGAACAGAGCCTCGAGGTCATTAGAAAGGTGAAGTCAATTTTCCATGGCCAAGAAGTTGTGTTTGCACAATTTATTGTCGAGCTCGTCAGTGATGTCGTTGAGAGAACAATCCCAGGCAAGCTGAAGAACGACTCCTCTTCAGCTAGTGGTCGAAAGCCGACTGGAATAGCCTTTGCCACGGCATGCGTCAACGAACTGCTAACAATACTGCAGGCAAGCACACAAGGACAAAAAGTATGGTTCCGGTTACCTCTTGAACAGACCCTCGAGCTCAGTGCCGAGCTCGCAAACACAAAATATTCACGGATTTCGCTGAACGACAACGATCCTTTGTGGCGGAAAGGCTGCTCTCTTGGCGTGGAATGCATGTCGACCGTGAGAAGAGATATCGAAAGCCCCTCGTTCTCAGTAGCCGATGCAGCACACATCGAAGCACTAGGTCCTGCTATAAACACATTAGCAACAGCAACTTTGGAGGCTACCAACCTAGATACTCTGCCATCCGAGCGGAGACCTTCAGTCGAACACATCCAACAAGATGAGCAATTTGACATCTCGAAACTGTGGACAATGCACACATCGACTGTTTCTGTTCATACTCACTCTGAAACCCCAGTAGCTTGTCAAAAACAATACGTTTTGCTCTTCTTCCACCATTCTCTGGTAGCGAAACCTTGGTACAACGACCTTGCTCCAGCTTTTGAGGAAAGTCCATTAGCAAACATTACTAAAATCAGACGAGGTTCCATTCGCAGCCCGGCACTACCTCTGCGCCGCGAAATTTGTTACGAAGCACTAAAATGCCTGTTCGACTTCGTGGACAAGCGCCGTATGACGGAAGACTGCACAGCCAAACAAAAGAACACGCTGGAAATCGCCAAAATTGCAGCACCATATGTTCTCCTTCGTGTTGCCCACACTCTCAAGACTTTCATCGCAGACCAACCACTTCGAAATCTTGAACATCCCCATCCCGCACTTCAGAAGGAACTCCATCTCGTACTCCGTGGATATGTCGACCTGTCAGTATTTGATGAGGCATTTGTTCAGTCTGCTCGCGATCTGGGTTGCAATGACGAGTTTGGCAATGTGATTTGTAAGGATGGGAAATCCCACTTGAGATTACTTTTCCCATTAGTGACTAATTTTGAACAAGTATGGCGATCGATGCCGCGACTAAAGAAAGGTCTGGCATGGCAGGATCACGCGCACGGCCAAGGAGTTGAAGAGTGCATAATGGCTTGGAGAGGGAGAGTCAGTGAGGGTTGGGGACCGCAGTTCTGAGAGGTGGTTGAGCGCGTAATCTAGTGAGACATTGTGCGATGTTTGCGCGTCTGTGAGAGACAGGTATGACGGACTTGGGCGCTTGCCAACCTCACTTAGATATTTTAGATATTGAAGTACAAAGAGATATTTGAGATGGAAGACCAAAGATGAAACTCCATCTAGATGTTCGTTCACCAGCAATAGCTAGCTTTGTTACAAGTGGCTGCTTCCCCATGTACACAATGTGTACCAACAACGGTAAGTTATAGCCGGCCCGATTGTGAGTTCCACATTGCGAAATAAAATATTAGTTGGAACGCTTGAAGTTTCGTCACCTGCCATCACCTTCACCACACACCGTGTTTTCGATACTGTTTGTACCAGTATGCACGACGAGTTTATACGCTTCGTTCCTCAGCGATGTACTGACGCGTGTCAGAACCGTCATGGTAGTTTTTGGGCGTCATTGTGAATGATCACATGCTGTGAGCGCTATTTTCGCATGCAAGACATGTTCACAGTGGTAAGACAGCTTCGCTGCCAGAAACTAGGGCTATTGCCTACCTCGGAGAGTGCAAATGATGTTGCCCTTTCGCGATGGAGGAGGAAGACCAGATCCGAAAATGGTTCAAGACCTTGAAGACTTTGACGGATCTCAGATTTTGACTAGTATGATTCACTACGCAACGAGCTTAACGGCACGTCGAGCTCAGACGTTGGTGTCAGGCCTTTCTGCAAAGTCAAGTATCAGCCGTGATATTTACTGGATTCGGGATCTAAACGAAGACTCTACGGTAGCAATTTCAGTGACCGTGGAGATCATATGCCATCCCCAAATAAATACGTCTTTAGAAATACAGCGCCCCAACGCATCGCGGTCTCGTTATCAGTGGGATTTGTTGATTTCGGTGTAGCTGACATATGTCCTGTGGCATGAGCCCTTTTGTGTACCATCAACATGTTGCGACACTGCGCGCAATACATATAGCCCGTCGATGCTGGAAGATGTACAGCCCTGTGATGGTGTGTCGCATATGCAGTAACCTTGGGGCGATGCTGGTTGGCTCGTATGACGTAGATGGCCTGGGTTGCTCTTCTATTTTCTCTAGTCGTCGATTTGGCCAAATAATCGACCTACCATCTTCTCTAGACATGTTGGCAAACCTTCTGGTATTCTTTCAGTTTGTGGCATGTGACAGTCACAACAGGTAAAGCACACCTTTGACAGGCACAAGAATATGGGTCGAGACTGCGAGCGAGGATGTGCTAGCGGTGAGATTCTGCCATTTTCGGACCAGCCTGCTTAATCAGGCAGGCACCGGCGGGTTCAGGTCGGGAAGCTTTCCACCTATAGACGGCTCGTCAATCTGCAGATGTTGTGCATTCTCAGGTGCTTGTCTGAAGAGGACAATCTCCGATTGTTTGAAATACCGACGGGCATCTATCGTGAACCAATTAGCACAAGTAACATAGAACTAGAGCCTAGACGTGACCATCGAAGCCTGATATTCCTGCCGGCGGGCATTTCGAGGTGTTTTACGTGGGGGTAGTGCTTGGCATGAATCGATTGCCGAGCCGATCGGAGCTGGACAGGTACCGGGTCATAGACAAGGCTGCGGAGGCGGAGAACATACCTTCATCAATGAGAACCAAGCTCAGGTAGTATCGAGTTGAGTACTTCTTGTTGACTTCCCTAAAGGTCGGAGTGAGGTCGAAGCCACCTAGGAAGAGACGTATGGGTATTGTTTCACCTGCGCAAGAGGAGTCAATATTATGCAGGTGTGAGATATAGGTCGAACCATACCTCTCGAGGGCGAACCGTCCATGATCTCAAATCTGACCAGAGTCTCGCTTTCATTGTACTGGTTGGGAGCAACGCCTGTTGTTTCTCTCCGGATGATAGATAGCTCCATATGCTTGATCTTTAACCTCACTAGGAGGAAGTATATGCGGCCGACAATGACATCTTTGAGATGGTATTTGCTTTTCGAGTACTCGAACTCGATATGTAAACAATCTTCAATACCAACGTCCATTTTGATCGAGCTGTTGGTTTCCGGAGGGATTCGGTAGGTATAGACCCATATATCCTTTTCTCTGATAACATCTTGCATACGCCGTGATACTGTGACGCGTACAAAGTATCTCAGCCTGACGTTGATGCCGTTGTATGATTCGTATTGCTTCTCAACATTCTTGAAGTTGAAGGGGAATGTCTGGGGATGCTGCAGTTCGCCAGGTGCTGCGAGCTCTTGGCCCAGAGAGAGGAACTCGTAGTGGTTGCCTCGATCGAAGAACATCTCTGAAAATAGCATTAGACCAGATCCGCAGCTTCGCAATTGTGCAACCCACCAATTAGCCCGACGAACTGCACCTTAATGCCAGTGTGCTCCAAGCGTCTGCCATCCTTTGGTCTCACAGTAACTGCGCCTTTTATAGATTCTCCATCGAGGTATAACGGCGCTTTTTCTTTGCGATTCTTGTCAAGCTTGACATCAATAGTAGATCGTTCGTCGGTGTCCTCTAAAACTATATCGATATCGACTGGAGTGGAGAAGAAGAACGAGGTCATCTTCTATATCACAATGACTTAGAGTGTTGGGGAATGTTGCATGCAGAGTTGTCGTTTGTAACTTCCGACCGGATCGTGTAACCTGAAGATGCTTCCCTATGTTCTGCTTCAAACGCGCCTGCACCTCCTCGTCGCAGCTGCTCTCACAATGTACACATGTGATCGAAGTCTACGGCGCGATTAGCTGCAAGGCTTGGCACAGCCTCGTCGTTCCTTACGATCAATTCAGAAACGCGGTTCCGTCTAAGAAAACACCAGTGCTACAATATTTCTCCTAGTCTAGACGAGAAACAGGCTCGTCAACTCCGCTGCAGGCCGAGCCTCCTCTTACCAGATGAGATGTCGATACAAAGAGTTGATCACCGAATGGTCAGCCTAGATACCACGTCCTCGAGATTGTACGGTAGCTAGAAGTGTTTGGTAGTGGTGACAGTGTCTCCTCTCTCTTCGCAACCACGCAATTCTCGTTTCTTGATCGTACAAGCTAGCAAAGGTCTGTATAGCAGTAAAGAGTTTACCTCCCAATTCACACCAATTTGGTTTCCCAAGACGCACAACCACTAGTCCTATGCAGCTCGCTCTCTGGCTCCAGTACCACCATACAATGACCGACCCCGGACAATTTACTAGTCAGATAGCATCTGCACACGCAGTCGTGTATGCGCCATGGCCCCATGGAATTGCAAGGAAAGCTGGATTGACACTGCATCTTGAGGTCGGCAGCCTTGTCGGCAATTGAAAGACCCGGCAGACCACATCCCCGCAGCGGAGTCAATTCCCATGTGTTCACAAGTCTTCGACGTGGAGAGGCAGACAAGAATACAGTATGTTTGTGTCGTCGCACGTTTGCAGCACAGCGAGGGAGAATGGCTTTCACGAGCGCGGATCTTCCTACTGGTTCCAGCTTGAAAGAACCCTATACTGTTGCACCTGTGCCCGACCTCAGTGTGGCCCAGTTTCGGCAATCAAGGACTGTTCTCCGGTGCCTTACTCATTGCGCACACTAAAAGGATTACAACACATGTACGCAACGAAGCAGGAGTTTACTCCGAACCCGACCCGTCATTTTTCGGCTGTCTGCTTTCACCCTTCGGAACTTTCTCCACGCAATTACCTGTATTGTACTTGGAAATTCATGAGCACCACAGCCAACACAATCCGACATACACGCGGTTCAGGACGTTTCCACCGGGTGGCAGCCGCTGCATTGAAGCCTCGACTTTGCTAGGAGCAGGTAGGTCTATATGTCACCGCCTTTGCCATCGTTTTCTCTTAAGACATGCTCCCCTGTGCGCAAATCCTGTGGTTTGACCTATATTGTTCAACTGATCGTTTTTCGTTCTGAACAATTGGCCGCCACGCTCTTGTACTCGAACAAAAACTTTCGCGTTCTCCAATCTTCTGTTCTATAACGTCGTGTGCTTTACTTTGTCTCCACGTCATTGTCCCGTTTTTGACCGCAATGTTATCAACAGAACATATACCACGACCCCATCTTCTCTTTCGGCCAATCTCACCTCTCAGAAAGACAAAGCCATTACGGATGGACCAATTCAAGCCAAGCCCAGACGTACAGTCTCACGCTACAGTGCCTCAGGAGTTCCAACACATCTTCTTGGTTACTGGCCCGGCAGGATGTGGTAAGACGACAGTGGCCCAACATCTTGCTAGTCAAATGAATGTGCCTTACATTGAGGGCGACGACGTGAGTAATGTCCGGATCATAGCATTCTTAGCACTAATCCATGCGGCAGTTCCATCCACCAGCTAATAAAGAAAAAATGAGCAACGGCATTCCTCTGAACGACAATGACCGCTGGGACTGGTTGATAACGCTGAAGGACGAAGCCGTCAAAAATCTCGAGACTTCAGACGCCTGCATCGTTACGTGCAGCGCATTGAAGAAGAAGTATCGGGATGTCATTCGTGTTGCTAACTATGAGCATCCAAGTGTCCAGATTCATTTCGTCTTCCTCAAAGTTGATGAGGAAGTACTGCAGAAAAGGGTGGCTTCACGCATCGGCCACTATATGAAGGCGGATATGGTTCACAGTCAGATGGTGGCACTCGAAGAACCGGATCTGGAATTAGAGACAGACGTAATCAGAATAGATGTGCGCCAAGACAAAGAACAGGTGCAACGAGAAGCTTGGGAGAGAGTTGAGGCTAAGATGAAGGAATACGAGGAACTATTGAAAGCTAGGAAACAGCAGAATGGACATGCTACTCCTGCGTATTCGTGAGACAAGGCTCACGCCAGCAATGAATTCCAGAGACGCAAGATTCAGGATCACCCTCCCCGAACGGCTAGGAGCATACTCTACATTATCGACCATACACCAAATCATACGGCGGATTTGAGAACTTTCTAGCCTACACTGACCTAGAAGCTCAACTGTACATAAGATACGCATGCTCTGGTGCTTTATACAGTCCGACAACGGTTATGAAGTGCCAAGCCCTCTCTATACGACGAGTCGATAGACAAGGCTCAGGGAACTCACTCAACCGAGAGACTGCTAATTTTTAATCGCCAAGCAATTTTGATATCGCAGACACTTCGGGCATAACAACACCACAACTTGCTAGTCGTGAACATGGGGGCTCACAAGAAAGAAAGATGTCGTTGCTTTTGCTCAGCCACATACTCAAGTTTAACAACGAAAGGGAACGCCTTTTAGTAAATAGCATTCAGGTGGCCGAAGAAGCAGTCGACCACGAGCGTGCGCGCGAGGCATAACGAAGCGTCCACAGCACATGTCGTGCCTGGCTTGGCCAAACATCGCAGCGCTGTTTGGAAGAGCTTCACCACATATTGGTGGAGCTGATGGGAGGATTGAGTCGTATTGGGCGAGCAATGACTAGAATTGCCTGACGAACGTCACACCACGAAGGTATCAAACAACAACAGAACGCTTCTGTATGAATTTGGCTAGGCGCATCACCATACAGTGCTGATTATGGACCGCGATTAGTACCAGAAACTAAGAGCTTCTTTGCAGAGCAAACTTGTGATTTAATAACATTTTCTATAAGAATTAGATGGGTACTCCGCGCCTCAGTGAGGCTCCATCCTGTGTTGCCGTAGTAACGCTACTAAAACTTGCTTCATCTTTAGCCGAGCCTACGACCAAGGTTTGTGACACGACTTTCCACGATTTATGAGAGACGTTGACTGCGAGCACTTTGGCGTATCTTTCAACATGCTAATATGTTGACTCTGCTGCGCCTATAGAAAAGTCCAATTATAGCTGTAATAGCACAATTAACCGCAAAGTGTGGTCGCGAACACAGCACTCACCTTCATGGTTCACATCCAGCAACTGCTGGCTCTCCCAGCTGCATTGCTTGGACTGATACTCAGCCACGAAAGCATGGTCATAGGCCAGGAACTAAAATGGCCATACAATTTACCGTCTCATATGAAGGTGAGTTCTGTCGCATCTTAAGAGGTGCCAACCGGGTGAACCAGTGACGCTGGTCCATTTCATGCTGATACCCGCTTGCTAAGTCTCGCAGTACTACCCTGAAGACGAGAGACGCGTAAGAAGAGAGCTAGACATTCAAAAGAAGTTACAGCAGCAAACACCGACTGGCATGAAAAAGATGAATGGCGATCCTGGAGAAAAGTTCTTCTTTGGTGATTGGCACCTTGCGCCAGACGTAAATGAGTTGGGCAGCTATGGCAATATGTCGGCGGCGATCGACTTTGTTGCGCCATTACAGCGACACGGCCGATCAACGACTGCAAGAACAATACCTAGAGCCTTGGGAGGAAATTTGTTTGATAAGAGAGATTATCAATGTCCTGCAGATTCATATGCTTGTGCCTCGATTGAGAGGCCGAACAGCTGTTGTGCCAATGGTTCTACATGTCAACTTGTGCAGGACGTTGGACTAGGTGATGTCGGATGTTGTATGAGCAGTGAAGTTTGTGGAGGCTCCGTTTCGAATTGTCCAGGAGAAGGGTATACTAGCTGTCCGCAGAACCCAGGAGGCGGCTGCTGCCTACCAGGATACACATGCGATGGCATTGGGTGCATACAGGTGATGACTACGATAGTTGTGGTCGTGCCTACACCTTCGAGGAGCACGTCATTGACACCCTCCACCACCACGACTGCAACTGTTACTGTGCCTCCTCTTCCTCCACCACCAAGTACAAGCAGTATAGCACCAACAATTTCAACATCGACTTTAACATCGACTGCGACGGTACCACCGCCTAGTACTTCGACACCACTTAATACGCTCGTCTGTTCTGCAGGATTCCGGTCCTGTCCAGCTTCACTTGGTGGAGGCTGTTGTCCTACAAGTCGTGCATGTGGACGAGATGTTTGTCCGGAGCTCAGCAGCACGAACAGCTTCACAGCGCCGGGTAGACCTACTTCAAATTCGGCTCCTGCCACGACTTCCGCCACGGCTTCCGTTCCTACAACCTCATCCTCGAGCTTCTCTAGTATACCTGGTCTTTGCCCGACAGGCTTCTATGCATGCAGTGCTTACTATCAGGGTGGCTGCTGTCAAACTGGCCGAAATTGCGACACAACATCTTGTCCAGCAGGAGCGAGTATCACTGTCGTGGATGAAAGCAGTATTACGGTCATCGCATCGACTGGTAGCGGCGTCAGCAGCGTACAGACGTTACTAACGGGGTCTTGTGCAAGTGGCTGGACAACGTGTCCAGCAGATGTGGGAGGAGGATGCTGTGCTTCAGGATATGCTTGTGGCAGATCGGCTTGTACAGCGACAGCCCCAAATGGCAACAACAGTACGATCGGAAAGATTTCACCTAGTGAAGGAGGTTCAGGCAAGGATAGTTCATTGGCCTTGGTTGTGATAGCGTTTGTTCTGTTTAGCGTAGCGGTATAGATTGTCCACTGGGCTTGACCCCTAAGCACGACGAGATTAATGTGACATGAGCAACTTTGAACAGCATGACTATACGAAGGTACAGACGCAGAGTCGAGACTGAACAGGAAATTTCTGCTTGTGGTTAATCAAGCGCAAATGTACTTAAGCCTTGAGAAGCACTGATAACTTTCATTGACATGGACTTTTGGGGAAGACACGAGTGCTCGGGCCTCTTCGAAAGAAGGTTCGGGCGCTAGAGAAGCGCCCCACGGACTCATGATCGCTTGCGGCAAGCACGATGATCCATCCCCAATTCTCTCGACACTTGCGCTTGATGTGCATCGTTCAGCTAATTCATCTTCAGCACGATTCATGCGCGTCCAAGAGCCAGTTCCGTGTTAGACAAATCTCTATCATGTAATAGCAAGCTACTACGAACATTACAAATGCGAGCAAATCAATAATAGCTGGAGACAGCCCCCGAACCGTCAACATTCCCATCAGCCATGGATACGCAACAGCAACCACCTGGCCAAACACGTAGTGCTTCAGGCACGAGCACAGTGAGCCGTGGGCATGGCTCTAAAAGCTCCAATGTACGTGTTGGCCTCTTTAGGAGCAAGGAAGCATGTTGACACAATCTCTAGCCCGACAAGCAGATATCACAGATCGAAAAGAGTGTTACTCACCTCCTCGTCGCAACGAAGCAGCTCCTCGAAACCCTGACGCAATGGTCAAGAGGCAATGCGCAAGAGGAGGAAGTCTCCGATGTCTACGTACGCCTGGGGTATGAGTTCAACCTGGCCTGTCGTGCCTTCAACTCAATAGGAGTCGATACCCAAGATCTCGGTCCTGTTCCAGATCTCCTCAGGACCATTCTCGAGGATACATTGAGTCAGCCAGCTTCACCACAGGCACTCGACAACTACCTTCCTCGTATACGAGATATCATTATCAATTTACTGCAAGGCCTGAAAAGAAAGCAAAGTAAGCTAAGGACCAGACCACCGAAAGATGTGCAGTCGAGTACGAGTACAAGTACAAAAACCGGTCCACCGTCCTCCCGACAAAGCAGTGTGCTCAGTGAACCTGCAGGCACTACTCTGCTTGACGACAGTCCTGTCCAACAGGCTACGAGAAGCGACGGTAGGAGAGACAGTCCTTCTTCACTGAACGAGCAGATGCAACCCGCACCCGACGCTGGCTTGCCCTTACCATCGAGCTCTAGCATAGAAAGGAGAAATTCGCTAAGACGAAGCATAAGACGAGAGCCACAACAGCAGATACCTTCTTCCGACTCCTCTTCAACCATGTCGAGCACCACCGCCCAGCATCTTCCTGTGATGTCGCCTTCCTCGCACCCTGAGTCGAATAATATAGTTGCAAACTTCCCTCATGCGCCTCCTCCGCCACCGAAGCAAGACGCCCTGACTGCTCTCCAAAGAGGTGGCGACCTGGAAAGAAGAGCCTCAAGACGATTTTCAGCCTACCAGATCCAAAAACACCTCGGCGCCTCTCCGAATGGAGTGCCAGTCATACCCGCTGCGCAGAACTCGCCAATCCCTAACAGGGGAAGAGTGGGGGAAGCAAGAGAATCAATGCGAGCCGTCACCTCCCGTACGTCCTATCAAGCTGCTCGGCAAAAATCGAGTGCTGGCAAGCTGAACGATCTCTCTCCGAGCAGGAACGGGACAGTCAAGGGTATTAATAGGATATCTGAGGAAAGAGAAGAGCCTCCCATCTTGGATACTCAAAACGTACCAAAGATTGGATACTCGCAGGAGGATGTTCAGATCGATAGCCCAACTACTAAAACACCGGATGAGTTTCATGGTACAAGCTTCCATGAAAGCGTGACCAGTCCAGTGGTTCAACTAGACGCGACAGTCACTGGTCCTCTCAGTCCTACCAAGGCACCGGTGGAATTCATACCAAGCAGCGAACAAGACCCAGCGGATTCAGCAGGCAAATTACCTAGTCCATCGAAAACACTTTCACCAACTTCCAGATCGATTACTACGCCTCCTCCATCCAACACCGTCGAATTGGACTCTTCACCTGCATCTGCTAAAGAATTAACACTCTTCCTCCAACACAAGACTCGGGTAAAGAAATTTGTGCTTCCTGTTGGAGACGATTTGACACTTGCACGACTGCAGCTGGCTTTCATCGAAAAATTTGCCTACAATACTCATAACAGTGGTGTCGATCTGCCCGAGATCTATATTCAGGATCCTATATCTGGTGTTCGCCATGAACTCGAGGATCTCTCGGACGTCAAGGACAGGTCTGTTTTGGTACTGAACTTCGAGGTATTGGATGAAGTGAAGAAGCATTTTGACGAGGGCATTGGCGGTTTAAAATCCACCCTTGATGGAGTCAAACTTTTGCTCGATGGTCAAAGCACGATGATGCAACGATTTGCCGACCGACAGTTAGAGGCATCGAAGGAGATGGCAAGAATCTCTACTGCTCCCACACCTCGCCTTACCCGAGCAGCCGTTGTGAACTCAGACAAGACAGGCACTATACCAGCACAAGCCACGGAAGGACAGGTACAAGAGGTGCAGAACCTCCGACGCGATATTGCTGTTCTCAGACAAACGTACTCATCAATGTCTGCCGACTTTGCAGCCTCGATGAAGGAGATCAAGCTCAAAGCTGCAAACGTGAAATCCGTTGCTGAGGCTGCTGCTATGCCTAGCTATGAAGGCAGTGCTGGCCGAGTGCATGTCAACGAGGGTAAGAAGCAATTGATGAATGACTCCGAGGCGCTGGTCAACAGGGTCGATAATCTGTCAGACACCGTCGAAGACCTTAGGAAGGATGTCGTCAGCCGTGGAGTTCGACCACGACCCAGTGATCTGGAACATTTGAGCAAGGAGATTAGTGCTGTTAGCAAAGACTTACAACGTGTCAAAGAGTTTATGAAGCGAGAGAAACCAGTCTGGACAAAGATCTGGGAGCAGGAACTGAACCTTGTTTGTCTTGAACGAGACGAGCTAACACAGCAAGAGGAGTTGATGGGTGATCTGTTCGGCGATCTGGAGGATGTGCAGAACGTGTTCAACCTTGTCGAAGAAGCTATGAAGCAGCAAAATCTGCAAGGTAGCGCTGGCAGTATGAGACAACCAAGTAAGAACATCGACATAGATCCGAGTGTCGATCCAAACGAGGCCAAGGAAGGTGTTCTTGACGAGGTCAGAGCCTTGAGGCCAAACCACGAGAATCGCCTCGAAGCTATCGAGCGAGCAGAAACAATGAGAAAGAGAGAACTCGAAAGCAGGCGGCAGAATGAATTCCAGAAGGAGGTCGAACAATTCGTCGAAGAAGGAAAACTGAAACGGACAGGTGGTATGGACGAGGTTGAACGAGTGAGGAAGCTAAAAGATGAAAGGGCCATGAAAGAGAACTGGGAGACGCAACTGAAGATCGAGGAGGAAAAGGTAAGAAAGAGAGCCGAAAGAGAGGCGAAGAAAGCCGCTGCCGCAGCGGCCTCAGTCCATGCAGAACAAGGTCAGACGAACGGTGAAGTAATGGCTGCTGCAGCTGCACAAGTTCCTATACCAGCTGCTGATGGCTTCCACGAGACAAGCTACGAGAGTGAAGCCACTTTTCAAGACGCACCTACAGGAATGACACCACAGCCTACCCCATCTGGCATGGTAGAGCAGCCTCCACTACCTCCTCTACCGAACCACGATCCAACGGAACCAGACCTCGGGAGTGGACCACCTCGGTTACCTGAAGTCAATATCAGCGGAAGGGATCATGGTATGTAAACGTCTCTTTCAATCAATCAGTTATTCATATATAATCCGTGTTCCGTGGGCAGAGTGCTGACATCGTGAATTATGCACAGAAGCAAGAGATGAAAAGTCGAACGCTACTGACACGAGTAGTTCCTGGTGGAAGCCGGCTGTATTCTAATGGATCGTGTGACTATATACTTACAATGGTAATTATGGACATATTAATGAGATATACTACTACTAATGCTATATTGCTTCTCCAAAGAAGTGTGTATAGATCTATAGTATTCTATATGCCTATGTCTATTCTCGTAGACTCAAGATAAGTATCTTAGTCGAGCAATCGAACGTCAGATATCCTGTTCTTGCAATATCTATACAAAGCAACACAACCTGATCGCACGGCACGTGCAGTCGTCATGTATGGTCCTCATCGTCTCCTGCAACCTTCTCAACACCACCACCATTCGCATTCTGTGGTTTGTCGGATCGCGTCCGTTTCGGTTTTAGCCTGGCTGCCGTGGCGGGTGAAGCGTCGGGATCGTCTAGTAAATGTGGCACTGTTGGCGGAGGTTGAGATTGCGAATGTGCCGGTATTGCTGGGCGTGTGGGTGGTGGTGCTGTGTTTGATTTGGAGGATGATGATGGCGATGGCGTGTTGTGTTCGCTAGGGTCGTCGGAGGTGCCGTCTGTAGCAGGTTTTTTACCCTCGCTCTTGTCCTCCGCTTTGCTTTCCTCCTTGGCCGTTTCGTCCTCTTTCTTCACGGCGGCTTTTGTGGCGGGCGCTGCGTCTTCGGGATTTTCCGCTGCTGGTGCTGCGGGAGCACTGGGTTGTCCAGCTGCTTGTGGTAGCGCTGGGGCAGCAATTGGTAGAGGAGCTGGTGCTCCTGCGGCCATTGCCCTACTAGGTCGAGCGCCACCACCAGCATTGCCGTCGAAGCCACCTGCGCCAGCCATGTACATGTCTGGGTTGTTCATGCCGTTCAAGCGAATAGCTCGATCGTAGAGACGTGTCAGTCGTGCTACCTCGGATCGAACAGTGACTTCGTCTGTATCGATCTCGTCGTAGCCATGTATACCTTCGCTAATGCCGCGCCACATAACTTCGGAGTTCTCGATCTCATCGACCAGTCTCTCTAAGTCGTCACGATACATGCGTGCTCGCATGGGCTGACCACGTGATTTGAGATAAGCGACGAGTCCTGCGATGATAGTGTTTGTGGCTCCGAAGATGGTGATCAAAATGTGGGAAGATGCAGAGGCACCGAGCGCGGTAAGAGCCGCACCAAGGACGACTTGCGACAATAGTAGCAGATTGTTCAACGAGGCACTGAAGTTATAGGCACGACGCTGAGATGAGAGTTGTGACACCACACGGCCATAGAGGGATTTTTTCGGTATGCTGATCTTGTTCTTAGGCCCAGCATTGGAAGGTGGACAGCCCGTCAGTGCACAGAATTGTGTGTGAGCATTGTTGCCAGAGATATCCTTGTGCGACAGAGGCTGGTGATCATCGTCCGGTCGATAATAAGATAGACGGGGTTGTGAGTTGAGAGGTTGCTGATTGTATTGGTATAATAAAGGGGTAGATTCTGCTGGTGGAGGCATACCAGATATTGCCATTGTATCTGATGGTGTAGACGATGTTGATGAGGCTCTCGCTCCGTGTACTGAGTAGCTTGGACTTTGAGTGCTTGAGTATGGTACCTTGATGCGCACAGATATCGGATAGTGTACTGGCCTCGACGACCGTTGAGAAGCCAGCTTGACGGATGAGGGTTGTAATCACCACTCCATTGGAACGTTATGTTTCGCCCTGCTCACCTCAAAGTCGTTGTTATCCGAGTCGATGAGTCTCTGCAACACAGTCTTTTGAACGATTCAAGCTCAGTTGCATGGGTGTTTCGTGGAAGGTTCGATCCACTCCCCCGACTCACATTGATATACTTTGACCATACCTATCTGAGGCAGGCATTTCCAGACTTGTGGCGCGCTAAATCCGATAGCGCGTTGCCCTTCATCGTGGCCAGGTCTTGTAATATGGTATACAGAATTGATTGAGTACACGCGTTTGTACCACTGAGCTGGGCGTTTAAATAAAAGCACGTCGCAGAAAAGGCGTAGGTGGTTTGGAGAATTTGCCAAGAACTCGTCTGGTCAGTGTCTTACAAAGCATTACCATTACTAAATCTTCTTTGGTCAAGTCTGTAGCTATACAATGCTAGAAGGGAAAGGTAATGCCGATGCTACCATAGTTACAGAGCCAAAACTCCAGTTTTCCCAAACCAAACGCCGTGCAGATACATGGCGCATTTTGATGTCGCTCTGTCCGATGATCATGACTCGTAATCGTAACTCGTGGGCTAAGTACCTGTTACGTCGGACTTGCCTTTGCTACCTGGGTGTGGAACGTTTGCTAGCTCGCTACCAGTTCCACTTTGTCCTCGACGGCGACCGGGTAGCAGAGAAAAATGGTGTTTTCCATCTCCGGAAGGCTCTTCAGCTGTTTCACCGAATCTTGATAAGAAACTCTTCTTTTTTGGCTTGTGTGCTACTTCGTCCTGTAGTTTGACATCCTCGAAGCCCTCATCTCGTTCGTCTTGAATAGGAGGTGGTCTCGTGAAAGTGTCTCCGCTTAGAGAGCTTCGCGGAGGAAGGCCAGATCTCCTGGAATCAAGTGAGGTACGAGAAGTATAACTGTCGGCGTGTATTATGGGAGAACGCCCTGAGATGTCCTAGGATGCTCGTTAGCAATTTCCTGATCCGATACGACTGAGTCCACCCACGAAAGATCTGCGGTAGGAGTCAAAGGACTCTCTGGATATTGAGAACGGTTCAGTCTCGCCTAAAGCGTTCCGATGGGTCGGAGCATTGGCTGTTGTTGTGGACTTGTGCCAGAAAGATTTCTTTTCTGTCGGCGAGGGCTCCATCGTGTCAGCAACAAGCTATGAGGAGTAAAGTGAACTCACAGGCAGGTACTGTCCGTCGTCGCCAACCGCTTCAAGTCACAGTTAGCAATAGAATTGCACTGGCAGATTTATGGCTTCATACAACTCAATTTGAACTCGTTGGGTTCTTCACGGCGTTCTTTGGTGCCGAGTGCAAGGGAAGGCTTGTAGGGACTTCCAGGAGCAGGCTTAGCGTTCTCATCGGTAGTAATGTCGACCACTGCAGGAGTAGGTCGCTTCGAGGTGAAAGGTATTCGGAAGGGCGCCATGGCGGTTGTAATCGTAGCAGGCTTGGAAATCTGTTGCGAGACTGCAGTACAGCTAATTGTGAGGCCACTACAATGCTGTAAATAGAATGCGACAAGAGCAGTGAAAAAGACTATACAACTTCAACAACTACATTGTCGGCGGGCATGCAGCTAAAAACATGCAGTCAATGAATCAGCCACTATGTCGGGAATGGATGGTGGGATGACCTGAGATCGTCTTGGGTGCTGCCGGCTGCTTGCCGATGGATCCGGATCGCAACTACGACTGGCCAGTGAGACTGTACCTGGGTTTAGCGTCGAAATAAAAGGTTTTGGTGTCGATTACTGAGCTCTCCTTGGTCCGAGCTGTCCGAGCTCAACGAGCGTCCGTATGATCCTATAACACTACGAGTACATTTTCCCTTTCTACAGCGTCCAGCCCTCTTCCACATGGAGCCTTGAGAATGGTGATCTCAGTCTGAACCATGTCACATGTACGATGAAGAGCCTCTGCTTGGTACCTCTATCGGAAGCGTTCCTTTCAATCCTCAGGAATAGCCACTTTCCAAACACAGCTTGGTCTGTAACCGGTCTCGTCAAGGAAGGCGATAAGAACCTTGCGCTTGCACAAAACGTAACGTTGGCAGCTGTAGGTTTACCTTGCGCTCACGAGAAGCTCATGTATGTGAACAAGACCTTCTGATTGATGAGCGACAAGAGACGCTATGGACGACCATTCGAATCAATACAGTTGTCCATCGCATACCGCTGCTCGATCGGATTGTGCCGACCCATCTTCTACAGTTGCCATACTTACTTTCTCTTCCAAGTGTAACCTCTTTGTCACACCCTATGCACGTGTGTTGTGCGCGTGTTTCTCGCTTAGCCTCAGATATCGATTTGGGTCGTCCATGGCGACGCAGGCGAGATGAACTTTCCTGCTCCTCACTCCTTTACAGTGTAAGTAGTGTTGTACAAGTGACACCAAGTAAGTCCTCAGCGGAAATCGCTTGTGGCAAGTGAGATTGTTGGAAATCGATTTGTTTGTACGTAAGATCGATGCTGGTACGGAATGGGCATAGGTACGGATATCTGCAGAATATTGGTTTCTCGAGTGATTTTAGAGATCGAAGACAAACAAAACCATCGTCTCGTCAACCAACAAGATGTACCGCAACTTGAAGGTTCTTTTCGCGAGATCAAACTTGGATAACTGCATCAACATTTCCACTGGCGTCCTGCGTCAAGTTAATGATCAAAGAGGAATTGCCGGACGCGCTTAAGATCAAGCTTGGATACTCATATGCCAGGTACGCCCGAACAACACTGTGATAGAGCGCCTTCCGGGCGCGCTGTTAGTGACGTGCACCTGCCGTCGACGCTCAACAATTCGGCGTTGAAGGTCAGTAATTATAGCGACGATCAGCAATTGCATCAGATCCATGGTACGCTTTCTTCCCAACGTCTATATTTTGCTGCTCGAAAAAGCTTCACGACATAGTGTATTACTTGAGTTTATGAGCATGATCCACTACTGCTGTCCCCCCCCTTCAGTCTTATTGATCCATCGTCGCCCAGGATGGGTCACTTCATATTCTTCGTCGAGTGGCCGATCTGGGCAAAGTTGAGCTTTGTAAGTCGGTTCAACCACAAGAACGGGCAAAGGACTGACATTTATAGGTGCTTGGTGCCTCGCTAGTGCGTCCAAGGCGAGCTGGAATGGGAACCAGGCTAACCTGTTCAACAGGTCGTCATCATCACCCTGGCAGGCTTGGTCAAGCTCCACAAGATCTTGAAGGTCCGAAAGCTGACAAAAGCACAAACTGGAGACATCGAACGGGCAGAGGTCAGAGAAAGAATCAGGTCCAGTGATGAGATACCCTTTGGAGCCAAGGCCATGCTTGAGGATCCAGAAATAGAAGGAGTGTGGAATTCACGAGCTTCAACACCACTACAATCTCCCATACTTGCTCCCAGAAATTTTAGTCCTTCCAGAATGTCCTTTAACCTGCTCTCAAGGTCGAGGAGGAACTCATCTATATCGTCCAGTCCATCCTTGTCTGGACAGACTCCGGACACATCCCCAGGCTGTCGGAATTCGACCTCAAGGAAAGAGTCGTGCTCACAATCAGATTGTGACACTGCCGGTACATCTATCAGCACTGCTCTCCCGTCGAAGTCAGATTCACGTGATCATCCATGGCAGCAGCAAGTGCCTAAATCGCATTCTGAAGGCACCATCGTCCCTCGTCGCCGTTCTGTTACTATCAGGTCGGCCTTGAGACCAGATAATTTTGTGACCAAGAGCTTGCCCGGTAAGCCCAAACAAGCCCAGGGTCACGTCTGCTAACAGAGACAGTGGACGATGAACCTCTTGTGATCATAGGTGATGAGAGGCGACGGACTAGAGTCTCCACAGATCCGATGCCAGAGACGCCAACGCATGCCCGACACGAACAATCGCAGCGTGCATCCGGGCCAGTACACCCAGGCACTCAGTCTATGGAAAGAACGCCCACTACCAAGAAAGCGTTAGATCGTATGGAAGCACATCGGAAATTTCATGCTGCAGAGAGTGGCCAGTTACGACCACGAACGCGCAGTTCTGAGCACAGATCTCTCGGCCACAAGCATAGTACTTCGGAGAACGGCATTATCACAGAGCAGGAGAATACACGAGCTGTCTCCTGGCCCATCACTTCAGGCGAAGTACTTGTTAACTTCAATGCAACTCAAAAGGTGCAGACGCAGACCAGCCCGCATGTTGTACCCTTTCGAGCGTTTGTCGAGATGCACCCTCCACCAAAGTCTCCCCTCAGAAACCCTCCGTCTGCATGGACCGAAAAGACTCAAGGCCTGCTAGAGGAAAAGCTGGAGGCAGCACAAGCATCCAGAAAGAGGGTAGTAATTCGAAATAGCAATACTACTGGCGAAATCCCCAAGAAGCAACTCTACGTTGTCTCAAACAGGGAACCTTACAAAAGTGAGCAGGAAAGTGCTTCTTGGCTGGGAGATCAGTCCCATCGAGTCAACCATGGTTTCGAAGTTCTGCCAGTGGGCAAGCTGGAAGAACCGTCACTGGTCAAAGAATTTGGCTATTTGAAAGAGGCCTTGCAAGAGACGTCCAACGATTCGAAGCCTAGGAAGCTTCAAAGAAGGAATAGATCTTCGTCCAGAGAACGTCCTGGACTTGTCGATGGCACGCGGCAAATCATGGTGTAGCCTGTTTCAGTCATCTTTTTGACTCAAAGATCATTGTCAGTAGCCGCTGATCTCCACATCAACTAATGCATAGACGACAAAGATTTGGAAAAGAGGAACAATAGACAGATGGGCTGAGATACATAACATCCTTTGGATGTGGGCTGCATGAGGCTCGTATTTGCCCACACCTCGCATCATTACTCCTAGGGACTACCGACAAAAGCTATAGTGGGTATTCTTATGACTATCATTACTCAAGCTTACAATAAGATCATTGTTCAACATGTATCGATTCTCGAATATCCGCATTCTAGTGTTGCACACCTTGCTTCTGATATGGCCTGGGCACTTGCGCCTCGTGATGTGACGTGCTGATCGAGGTCCGAATTGGACTATACGGTATACTACGAAGCATCCAGCTGAATGCCTAAAGAAAACAGCCAACCATCACATTGAAGACTTGTCTATTGCCACCAGAAATAACCCATAATTTAGGTACCACGATATAACAACACCACTCAGCCCTTCCCACCAAGTTTCTCCTGTAACACCTTGAACCGCACATGCTCCTCAGCACTCACACTTGGCTGCACCTTGTCCTTAGCCACCCGAAAATCCTCCAACGTAATCAAAGCACCTCCCTTACTCGGTACATTCGCTGCTTCATTCTCCCTACAAAACCGATCAATAGCAGCATAACTCGCCTGTCGCACAAGACTCTCCAGATCCGCACCACTGAAGCGCGTGCAACTCCTCGCCAACTCGGCTAGCTGTTCCGAGAATTCGAGGGTTTCAAAGCGTTTGCAGAGCGTTCTTAGGATGTCGACTCGATCTTCTTCGCCTGGCAGGCCGACGTAGAGGAGGGTTTCGAGACGACCGGGGCGTAGCATGGCTGGATCGATGACGTCGGGACGATTAGTGGCGGCGATGATGTAGATACCCTCTCTGCTTGCGCCGACGCCGTCGAGTTCAGTGAGGAGAGTGTTGACGACCCTGTTACTCGCTTCGCTGTTCATGCCGTCTCGTCGCGGAACTAGCGCGTCCAGCTCGTCGAAGAAGATGATTACGGGAACGCTGCTGCGTGCTCGCGAGAACAATGTGCGTACGGCTCGTTCGCTCTCTCCGACGTATTTGTTGAGGAGTTCGGGCCCTTTGACGGAGATGAAGTTTGCGTGAGAGGCGTTGGCGACTGCTTTTGCGAGGAGGGTTTTACCGTTGCCTGGTGGACCCCAGAGGAGAACACTGGCGGTGCTGCGGAGGCCGAGGGAGGCGAAGAGGGAGGGGTAGATGATGGGACGGATGAGGGTGTTTTTGAGGGTGTCGATGTGGGATTGGAGGGCGCCTATGTCGGCGAAGGTTGTGGAAGGGGTTGTGGCGAAGCCTTCGCGGAGGGCGGAGGGTTGGATTCGAGGGAGGGCGGTGAGGAAGTCAGTGGAGGTGATTAGGGTGTTTGTTGGGAGGTTTGGAAGGCTGGAAGTGGGTGTTTCTGAGGTGGTTGTAGATGATGTTGAATGAGAACTCAAATAGCTTAGAATTCGTCGTGAGGACTGAAGGTCTGGATGGACATTGTGATGGGAGGAATTGTTCGCGCTTGTGGGTAGAGAATCGATATCCATGTCGTTTCCAGCAGCTCCATCTGTTTTTGAAGTGCTATCTTCCCGTGCTGCAATTTCTTCGACAGTGTCGAGATATCGGTTGATCGCTACATTCACAGTAGTATTCACAAGATCTCTCAAATCAGCTCCCACGCAGCCCGGTGTTCGCACAGCAAGCATTTGAAAGTCAATATCATCACTGAGGTTCCAATCCTTGGTCAGAGAACGCAAGATCTGCTCCCTTACCTTTTCATTGGGTACAGGCATTATGATTTCCTTGTCAAAGCGTCCACCTCGACGTAGAGCTGGATCGAGACTATCGACACGATTGGTGGCAGCTAGCACTACCACTGGCTTGCCATCAGTCTTTGCAAGGTCGAGGTCGTCCATGCAAGTCAGAAGTTGAGCAACGATTCTCTTCTCCATTTCTCGCTGCGCGTTCTCTCGCTTTGGTGTCACGGCATCGATTTCATCAATAAACATCAAACATGGCGCGGATCGCTTTGCTTCTTCAAAATGGTCACGAAGCGCTTTCTCAGACTCGCCAGACATGCCTGATACTATAGACGGTGCAGAGATATTGATGAAGTTCACTTTTAGTTCTGCTGCTAAAGCGTTAGCCAGCATAGTCTTGCCACAGCCTGGAGGTCCATGCAGGAGAATGCCTCTTGTAGGCTGTAGTCTCTGACTTGTAAAGAACTCTGGCCTCTTCATAGGGAGTGCAAGAAGACGAATGAGCTCTTTTGCTACCGGCTCTACGCCTCCCATGTCGTCGAAAGAGACATGAGTAGGATATGATTTGTCAATGATTCTTTCTTTCTCAATCTTTCTCTTCTTCGGTACGGGCTCGCCATTTACCTGCCGATCTCGTCCCTGCTCTCGTTCTCTTGGTTTACGCTCCGGATTCGAGGCTGCACTGCCAGATCGCGATGGCGCGCCATTGTTTGAAGACCAAGCTCCGACAATACTTCTATTGAGGCCATTTGATGTCCTGGCGACTGTACTGTCCCTTTGCGCAGTCTCAGGCACGTCTAAAATCTCGTCCGACTCATCCTGCTCGGCATCTTCATCGGCGCGAATCGTGTCAAGCACGCGTGCGACACTGTCCTCGAGCAATTTCTTAGGCTTCCGGTTCAAACTCGAATTCGAATTTCGGATTTCATCGTAGATCTGAGCGAAATTTAGCGTTTTAGATGAAGGCGCACTATTGTCGTACTGAGCTCGTTCGTCCAAGATCCTGCGAACCACTTGATAGACTTCTTTGTCAAGGTTGGAGGATAGCCTGCCTCGCCGGGCTGACATTGCTAAAAGTCCCGTGGTGTATTACAATGTGATAGTGATGAGCATGGTGGCCGTGTGGTACGCAGATTGGCTATGATCAACGCTGGAAAGTTTTCCGTGAGTGTTGAAATTAAGATTGGAACTTAGCTCTTTTTAGTGGGAAATGAAGCCCCGCGAATGAGAGCTGCACGAAGCAGGTACGCTAATACCCTGCAACAACTACTTGACGGTCAACTCGAACGGACGAGCAGACGAGAAAGCCTACTGACATTGCATAGTAATAGTTGACTATCCATGGTGTGGCTGTATGAGTTCACACCGAAGATATCGTGATTGAGGTTCAGATTGGCCTACAGCGAGCATAACTTGCACGACACAATTTGTGTGCAAGCAGAACTGTGGTGCTACAATCTGATGGAAATCCGCTATGAATGCTTCGGTCTTGGGGAAACCGCACTGCTGATCCTGCTGTCGAGTCATTCGTCTAGGGTGAATATGCCGGATTGACTCATAGCATTGAGGTACCGATCAAGGCGTTCATGGCTTTGAGTCAATGTATGTTCTGATGCCTGTTGTGCAAATTGCAGAAGACAATGCGAGGAGGCTGTGCAACAAAGGCGCAACAACGAATGTAATGTGGATCGATCAGATGCTGGCCGGTAGATCTCACGATATCTCCAGGTCAGCCACGTTCAATAGTCGGCGGAGTGGTTGTGGAGAACGTGCAAGGGACCAAATTCAAGCCCTTGGTACTGCTTACACGCCTTCGAAGGGACAAGCTGGACTCAAGAAGGAAAATGAATGTCGACGGTAAAATTGTACGGTTCACATCTACGTAAGAGGTAAAAAGCCAGGGTCGTCATAAAAATTGAAGTCCTGCCTCGACGTCGATTGCGCACGATCGAAAGGCAGTTAAATGATAACAAGGTCTTGTTTGAGCATTTCAGACATTGCATCGTGATAAGAAGTGTACAAAATTTTGTGACCATAGAATCGTCGAAAATCCCATTGTCATTGTCTTCAAAAAGGATCGAAAGCTGTTTCCGATAGTCACAATCATGGGTGCTTTCGGCTTCTCCTAGCTTGTGGTTACTTATGCCACATCGCAAGCCCAGATACCACCTGCAACACCGCATCCAATCTTCGAGTACTTGCTGTCGACCAAGATGTCGGCGTGACCAGTCTGGCCATTGTAAGCCCATCCCTGAGACATGGTCGTGCAGATACCGTTCAGTCCAGAGAGTTCTGGGCGTTCGCAAAGCCATCCGCCGACAAAGACCTTCTCGAAATCACCGGCGTCACCAGGTGCAAGAACCTGACCCATCGTGCCAGGGTTGAGCTCGTGGACCATGTTGCCGTTACCGTCCTGGGCAGTCTTGAGAGCATTGCCTTCGAGTTTGCTATCATGGCTAAGTGCGCTCAGACCCATCTGGGATCGCCATTTGGAGATGACACCCATGTAGGTGCCATCACTGCTGCCAGTCGAGGGGGTAGATGGTGCAGCAGATGGTGCGGCTGGGGCTTGCGACTTGCTGGATGGAGCGGCCGAAGGAGCTTGTGACTTGCTGAATGGGGGGTATGTGACTGCTGGCTGGGTTGATGTGACTGTGACAGCAGGTGCTGAAGAGAGAGCTGGAATTTGTGTTGGGCTGCCACCGTTGGCAAAGACGTAGGTTGTGGCAGTGGCAATAACCCATTCGGTAGAAACGCCAGAACCGCGGTTTTTATCACCACCACGGTTGTTGTCGCCACCACCCATGCCTGGACCAAAAGGTACGGCGAGGGTTGAGCCTGCAAGGGCAAGAACAGAGAGAGCCTGAGCGATATGCATTTCGACTTTGTATGGACTTTGTGTCTCTTTGAAGAAACTGAGGTTTTCTTGAATTCAATCGATATTTACTGAACGAAGCAGTAAGGAATGTGGTGTCCCGAAGGTGAAAAGAGTGTGGTGGTTTTGAGAGAGTGAGTGTATGAATGAGTGTAGTCACAGACTTAGACAACAAGATCCAGCTTGAATGATCGGGAAAGAAAGCAAATAAAGACAAACAAAGCAGCCAAAGTTATAGTGTGATCAGGGGCTGCATCACCACGCGGACATTGAGATTAGAGGTTCCCAAAACGATCGAGCCCAGAAATCCCAAGGCCTCCTGAACGAATCCAACGTGGAGACCTGATGCAGCGGAGTAAGCTTATTTCAACCTGTTTGCGGTAAGGTCGATGTAAGTGGCGCTTCCATGAAACGTTCCTGATCCTCGACTGCTGCGCTCAACCAACACAACGCGGCCCGCGAGAGCGACGGCAAACAAAGAATTCTCATCTCGTGGTTACCCGATGCAAGCGGCGACACGCTGTATCAGTCTGAAAGCGGGGGTTACAAAGAAAAGAGTTTCATCGCTTAGCTGACGAAAAGGTGTATCACCTACTGAGACACTGTTATGAGGACCACCACTTGCCAGCGACGTTGAATCTTGACAACAGTCATGTCCATGATGTCGATTTTTGCCGAACTCAGCATGCTTGGCTCGTATTCGTGACTTTGAGACGGGGGCTTGGCTATGGATTCAGTTGAGGACGTCAAGGTTGTTGCTGCTAATTTTCGAGTATTTGAAACCGTGACCGTGGTGGATCCAGCTAGCATGGCTGTCACAGGCTTAATAGCCGTTTCGGCAGCCTTGGGAGCCATGTTTCGTCCACGAGGCTAAATTCTCCAGGTCGATCGATCCTTTTTCCGTGCTCATCCTGGTTTCCTCGTACTCGAGTAGGCCGACATGCTTGCGGCAGTTGCTTCCGATACACGAGGCTTCCATGCTGCATCTCCCAACGGGTTCCTTGAGCCTCTTGTCATTTCCGCAGTATGAGATTGGGCAGGCAGACCATCCGGAAGATCGATTTGTTGCCCGTGAAGCGTTGGCCAGAGCGCAACCATTTTTACACAGTGCTACCGCAGGCCGTGCAGTTCAGGCTAAACGAAATATGGAGGCGCATCACTGCCAGCCCACATTGATTTACCACCAATCTACCAAACAGGACTGAAAAGGGTTTGTAACGATTAACAGCAAGTCATGTAGTCCCATGACGTGGCAGCTGTATGCTGTCTCAGATCTTGAGGCCCTGAAGTGCTCGTCCTCGAAATTCTACGTGAACCAGACGCCAGCAATCGCAAGGCATGGCATAATTAGCGTGTACAGAAAGATGGCAATTTGAGTCTCAACCAATTATCGCTGTTTCGACCAGTTGCACATTCATTTGTGCAACTCAGCGTTCGTGTATGGTGCTGCCACGAAACTTGGTGCTATAGGAAGACAATGCCGGCGCATGATTACACAGTAGCCGTCTATTTCAACCCGGGTGGAACTGAGTAGCGAAACGAACACAAGATCGATATCGCTGGCCTGCGCCATCCATGAGAATGACACTTACTGGCTAGTTTTTGTACGATGTGTTTCAAGAACAGGCTCGAATACACCAGATGCCATAGCACTACCCCGCAATCGTCCCCTACGTGTACCCGTTGCTTCATGTCTACACTCAACCCCTACATCAGGCCATGGCCATGCCGGCGACACCTGCGCCAGCAACTGCAACAGCAGCAGCCGCTGTATACATCGCACCAGTACACCTTGCTTTGGCTGCAGGTCCCAGATTGGCTTGAACAAAACCTGTTGTCGCAGTGCTGATGCCACTGCCAGTGCCACTACCAAAGCCTGAACATATTGTCGATTGGATATTGTAGCAGCCTTGCGCACTTAAGCTGCTACATATACTTGCAGCACTCTGTGCCACTGTGCCCGTTACGCCGGCTTGCGTGACACCGAGACTACCCACACCGGAGATAGTGACACCAACCTGACCAGCTAGCGAGTTGAAACAAGCAGTACTTGCTGACTGACACGAGCTATAGGCATTCAAGCACTGCTGTGAGTTGGCGTATGTTGTCGGTATGACCAAGAAAGGAAACAAGGCATTGGAAAGAGTCGAATAGCCAGCTGCGAGCGTGGCAGACGCTGTTATTATCGGCGCAGAAGTTTGTGTCGTTGAGCCACCCAACACAAAAGGTGTTGTTGAGGATGTGCCTGTGCTTCTTGAGGCCGTGCCAGAAATGACGCCAGTACACACTGCATTGTTTGGGCAGCATGCGACGTTACCATTCTGATCACGAGTGCAAACAGTTCCGCTGGGACAGCATGTACCTGAAGCACCCAAGGCACTGCATGCGCTATAGCCACTTGGACATGATTGTCTCTTCAACAATTGTAAAGGCCCTCCTGCTTGATTTGGTAGCGCATTGAGATATGGCTGGGGTATAGGATCGGCCTCAGCAGTAGCATATGCTGTATAGGACAGGGTACAGGTAGCCGTGAACAGCGCCAAAAGGCGCATCCTCAATCAGTGGTGCAAGCTCGTAGTGGTGTCTGTGCTGAGGCGGCTCAGACTTCGGATATTGCTGCTGAGCGCCCACTCGTGATCGCTCGAGTCCTGTATCGATAACGGTGACGATGTGTCGATTCCCACAGATGTTCTGAGCACGGTAAGGGTGTGGCAATGGTGAGCTCAATTGAGAGTTGACATGAGTCCGAGTCGTTGCAACGAACAGCACACGTAATCTCGAAACTTGTATGACCTGCTTCCGCAAGAGTCGTCGCATCGTGATTGGCTTGCAGCACTCAATGTGCCCGGAAAGGCAGGCCCGCGCGTCGCCCAGGACACCACAAATAGGCTAACCCCATTCGTACAGGCGCGGATCTGATATTTCTGCAGAATTTCTGGACAGACTCGTTCTTGCTTCAATTTAATGCACGAACATTCAGAGCACAACTTGCAGCACCTGCATTGATGAGAACAACGTAAGTCCAAGGCCCCTTACAGAACCTGCCTACAATAAGATGAGCAACAATTCTGCAATTCTGAACTCGCCACGAGTGAGTTTCGTGTTGACTTCAAAATTATAGCATGTATTACCTGATTGTCAATTTCACATCTTTACACCACTCCGCACGTTGCTGAAGATATCCAATATACTGACCGGAAGTCTGATTAGGTTCTCGCGGTCTTGTCCTTGCTCAAGTAGAATACCAATATCAAAGCTCGAGCAGTAGCTGGTTTCCATCAATTGTTAGAACCTTTCTGATCTCTGTACCAAGAAAGCATCTCACTTTTTACCTACTTTTCCTCTTCGTTCTTGTTCGCAGATGCATTGCGACCTACGGTCGCAGTGTAGGAGGGTTCAGCGTGACAACTATTGCTTCGTTTGGTAGTAACTGCACTGCATCAATCTCTGTGGTAGTGACTCTGCCGAGGCGTGCTATTCAAGTTGCAACCACGACCCCGAAATTCGCCGTGACAAGACGCCCCACGGGCAAAGCTCAACGATTGACTCCGCAGGAGATGCCAGTGGTTGTCCTCGACGTCTACCATCTTCACTTTAGCGACGTGAACGTCACTGTAGGCCTTGTACATACTATTAAATTCACCTTGATCGATAAAGTGGAGATATTATTACTCTATTTCCTCAGTTGTATCGTCAGTAGCTGGAAGGCGCTACAAACCGCTATGCAGTGACCTGCTACCTTTCACTGCAAGCTCATCTGCAGGATATATTATTGCCATCAAACTTACCACCATGCGTCCTAAGATACTCACCAGACTCTCTCATGTTACGCGACAATGCTTTCTACAACAGCAGCGTGCATATGCTACCACGAATGAACCAGCCTTACGAACAGCTCTCTTCTTTCCTGGCCATGGAGTCCAACGAAAGGGAATGCTTCAGCCATGGCTCGAAGCTTTCCCCAAGACCTGCAAACCTTTTGTCGAAGAAATGAACGATATACTAGGCTACAATCTAGCTGAAATAATAGAAGAGGGCCCCATTGCAATGCTCGATAAGACTCAAAATGCGCAGCCAGCCATCATGGCTACCTCCGTTATGATACTACGCGTGCTAGAGCAGGAATTCGGTTTCGACACTGACAAGAGAATAAACGTGACTCTTGGTCACAGTCTAGGAGAATATGCCGCTCTGGTGGCCGCAGGCCAGCTTGAATTCGATTTCGCCCTCAAGATCGTTCGCAAACGAGGCGAAGTCATGGCTGAATGCACAAGGAAAGCGAAAGAAGAGACGGGTGAAACATTTGGCATGATGGCTCTTGTCTGCGAACCCGAACAACTCGATGCACTTACCGCAGCTGTGACAGAATGGCTGTCCTACAATGCAGAAGGCACACGCGACGACTCAAGTCATTCCCCAGCTATCCGACAAGTCACCCTAGCAAACAAGAATTCTAGAAACCAGATCGTCCTGAGCGGCAGTTTCCAACGTATACGAGAGCTTCTAACCCATATTCGTGAATTTGGAGGACACGACCCAAGAGCCGTCGAGCTTAAAAGTCGAAGTGCCTTTCACAGTCCCATCATGAGACCTGCCTTTGAGTATATGAAGAAAGTAATGACGCCGGATGTCGTCAAATGGCCCGGGAAAATGCCAACTGTCTCCAACGTGACTGGTCTACCATTCGACTCTGCCGACAATCTCAGAAAGAACCTTTCCCGACAAGCCATTGATACTGTACTTTGGTGGGACTCCATCAAATATCTACATGAAAGAGCAGGCACAAAGCGATGGCTCGGACTCGGGCCAGGCAAAGTCGGCCGAAACCTTGTGAGTAAAGAGGTCGGTCGAAGTGGTGCAAAGGGTGGTGGTGTCTGGTCGATTTCTGAGCCAAGAGAAGTTGAGGAGACAATGAAGGCTCTTGACGAAACTGAAGGGGAGGCCAGGAATTAGGTCCGGCCCTTCGCATGACTACCTGTCGTGCAATACATGGTCGCTTATACCGTCGTGTTCATTCTGTCCTTCTCCCTCGACTTACTTCCGGCATCGTGTTTGAGCTCAGACCAAGCGAGGGTGTTCTGGATTTCATTAAAAACACGACGGGCTTTTTAAACTTCATATGATCATAGCCAGCCCCACTTCTTATATTGCCTTTCGGTACCGAAGCTTATTTCTCCGCAAAGTCATTGTCAAGAGATGATATATCTAATCAGCGTCAGGCAGTGAGAAGGTAAAACAATACAGTATCTGTCAGGTGGGAAAGAGTCTGCAACTCCCTCTGACCTCCTCGGTTGTGTACCAAGAGGTATATGGCATAGTACGTCCTCTTGAATAGCTTCATTGGAGGTACTCGTGAACCTGCTTGGTACGTCATCACTTGAGCATCCGTTGGAGGGCCTTGCCAACTTCTCAAGTCAAGTTGTCGATACTCTTTGAGTCTCTAAACTATACTCTACCAAGACGATTACACAATGCCATCAGCAACTGGCGCTCTATCACCCGTCGAAGCTGCTCAAGCGACCCTCGACACCGGCGTACAACACCTTTCGGAACCCATCCTCCTCGCCTTCGTCAAGAATGTCTATGGTGCTCTGCTCTTGTCTGCTGGCAGCCTCCTTGCCCAAATTCTTAGCACTGGCATTCCTGGTGTATCTGAAGAAAACCCAGGATTTCAAAGACTACTACAAGGCTTGGCTTTCCCACTAGGCCTGATCTTCGTGTATCTGGTTGGCGCAGAACTGTATACTGGTTACCCGATGTGGTATAGCATGACTATGCTAGCTCGGCAAGGTTCACCACTGCAATACCTTCGATCTATTGTTGTCGTTTGGTTGGGTAACCTGATCGGTGCATTATTCTTTGCATTCTGCTTCTCTTATGCAACTGGAACACTTGAGCAGCAACCTTGGCATAAAGGTGTGATCGATCACATCAACGAGGAGATTATCGAAACCCCGTGGCATCAGATCTTCATCCGCTCCATTGCCTGCGGATGGCTAGTCACCGTCGCCATGTTCCTTGGCACCCAGAACCAAGATGGCATCTCAAAAGCCTTAGGACTTCATCTGCCCTTCTTCGTGGCGACTGCTGCACAATTTCCGCACACTGTCAAGTACATGTACCTTGCATCTACAGCGATGATGCTTGGCGCTCCTCTGTCGATTGGTGGCTACATCTGGAAATGCCTCTTACCTATTACACTGGGAAACACCATAGGAGGAGGTGTCCTGACTGGAGCGTACCTCTACTACGTCAACATACGGTGTGAAAATACTCGGAAAGCTAAGCTCCATAGACCTTTCCAATCTCTGAACGACGAAAGCTACCAGGACTGAGGATTTTCCAGAGACAAGTTTGTGCCACGAAGAACATTCTAAAAGGGAGAGTTTATTAGGTCAAAGATGCAGCATCGATCGACTTGGTGGAGTTCATGGAGTCAGCATCAGGGACAAGAATCTTGAAGGATCTTCTCATGTTATTCTTACACACAAATGGCGTAACTGAAACATTAACATATTCAAGGTATCCGTAAATATTCACAAGACACAGGACAACCGTAGTAATTCCCTGCTCCATCCATCCAAATCCACACCCCTCGTAAACCCCCAAGTCTCACGCCTTTATTGCTCCTCCGTTGTCCCCCCCTCCGGCTCTCCCTCCCACCTCTCTACCCCCTCAGGCACCCTGACCACTGCCCCCCTGGTCCAAATATGCACCGCCCCATCCATCATCTCCGCCGTCAACCCCTCCACGCACCCCTTCATCGCCACATACGTCTGCCCCTCGACATGATGCAATATCCGACTCCCACACTCTGGACAAAAATAACACTTCTTCTCCCTACCCTCGAAAGTCGTGCGTGTCCAGACTTTTAGACCGGGAGGGAAGGGAAACACAGGAAAGACGAGCGTGATGCCGTAGGCGGAGGTGGATTGGAAGCGGCATTCGGTGCAGTGGCAGATGTAGATTTTGAGGGGGGTGGGGAGGGGAGTGGTGAAGGTTATGTGGTGGCATTGGCAGTGGGCGTTCATGGTGTTGCACTTTATTTCTTTCTTTCCTAGGCTCGCCGCTGGAATGATATAGATTCTTTGATTGTGTGGAAGATAAAGCGAGGCTCATTTAATGGCTGTGAATCAGTACTCGTAGAGGAGCTGAGCGGCACAGGACTTCTAGCGATGAAATTGATTGTGTTTGGGAGAGAATGCCGTTGTTCACAGCTCGTGTTATTTCACGATGTGCAAGCAATATAATACACGTCGTAGAAGCTGACTTCAAGCGTTAGCACTATACTACAGCCTCGAATTACGAGGAAGTGTCGCTCGTATCTCCACCTTTCGTCCATCTCCAACATTCTCGAGCACGGATCCGAACATTACGTTTCGTAGCGACCGCTAAGGCTCAGCATAATGCATGCTGTGGTAGAATGTGAACTCAAGGCATGCAGGCAATGAAACTGATAAGCTCAAGTGAATGGTGCCACAGGTGGATCACAAGTCAAATACATCTCGCTGTAGTATGACCTCTTCCTTATGCTTGAGATACCAGGAAAGGAAGGGCATTAGTGTGTCTCCATGCACCATGTCGGCACGTTGATCACAGGCCACAAGACTATCCCTTACTGTGTTAACGACAACAAACCCTCGATCCACTTCTTGGTGTCAACTCCAACTCCTTCGCTAACACCTCTAGCACTCGCAGCTCCTACTGTACTAGCACCACTAACATCTCGTTTCTGCTCTCTAAGCAGCCATTTTCCTGGACCAGAGCTTAGGTTTCGAGATTGAGCGGACAAAGTGGGTCGATGGTCAGCTGCCTTTCGCACAAGAAATGCTTCTTTGTGCGAATCAACATAGGTACGCAGACTCGATGTGGTTTCAGATCTATCGTCGTCGTTCATAATGGTCCTCTTATCCTTGTTGGTCCTGAGAGGAACGACCTTCGTCCATATCACCCACCAACCCCGTGCAGTCTTGACAGTGTGTTCTTTCTCTTGGCCAGTGCGTGTAGCGATGTACGTGTTAAGAAGCTGAGTATGTGCATTCAATGCTTCTGTGCGTGACCATGCCGATTTGACAAGACTATCTGCTAAGTGTTCAGTATTTTCAGAAGAGGTACCAATTGGGATGCCGAGTGTGTACCAACTGCCAGACACCGACAAGAAGCTTGACGTGCTTGATGTAAGGCCTTCTGCAGCAAGGCTGCCAGGCACAGGGATATTGGGTATTGAGGTTCGTACGATGAGACGATTCGGATCGTAGATCAGATCATAGATCGGATTCGTTGACTGTGAAGCATCGCTTGTTCTTGATGCTGTGTTTTTCTCTCCCAGACCCTCTGCTATGCGCTCAGTGATCCTGCTAGGGTCAGTACTTCTGAGAAGAGGTCTTTGCAGTGGACCGAGCTGGTTGTGGATGCTGCGGTAAAATGATGGCATGGTCAGATTAGGTGTATGTAGTTGAAACAAAAAGACGAATATAAATGGCTGGTGGACATAGACCGCAACCTGTGCCTTTTGGTGTGTAATGTTAGGTTGAGACCCATCTACTGATGCAGCCGCACTAGTCTTCGGTTCTGGATTTCCCTGAATAGTAGCATTGCTGTCTGTACTCTTTGTAGATTCGAACAATCTCGGACGAATCGAATTTTCGTGACTTTGCTGCTTTGGTTGTGCCATCTCGACAGTCAACGTTCTTAGGAACAATCTGCACTCGGGCCGCTCCGAGTCCTGGTTTGCTTGATCGTCATCACCTTCGTCAATATCGAATTCTGCCTGCTCCAGATCGCCAGCCAGACCTATAACGAATCTGCCTATAGACTGTTCCAATTTCTGCTTGAAAGGCTGCTCATCCTCAGTAACCTCAGGAGTAGGCTCAATTTGTTTCAAATGGTCTTTGGTCGTAGTCACATTTGCGCTTTTCTGTTGATCCTTGTTGCTGTTCTCGGCTGGTGTGATGGCTGTTTTGTTCGATTTGCGACCTTTAGGGTTTAATGTCCAAGACGTGCCGTATCCCAGGGTCAAATATTTCACCATGTTCTCAGCCCCGAACAGCGCTGGCTGGTTCTCCGTTGTTGTCGGTGCTTCAGTCGAATTCTGCAATTCTTTGTCCTCAGGGACATCTCTGGAAGCATCAGCAGAAGCTTTGGCAAGGGCGTTCTCGAGCGAATTCTCTACTTGACGGACCAGCGGCGCAGGAACACCAGGAGGAGGGGTATTGTTCTCAAGGGCTCGTTTGCGTAGATTGGTAGTACGTGTTGTGGATTTTGGTGTTCTTGAGTGTGTTTCTTGAGCGGTGGTTCTGTCGCCGCTAGAGCTTGAACGTTGAACGTTCGGTCTCTTTCGCCTAGGTCTTCGTCTTGAGCTGGGATTCTCGCTTACACCATAGGCGTCTTCACCATATTTGAATATGGCCTCCATCCATTGCGAGACGGTGCAGAGCGACCTGCGGGACAATAAGCCTTTACCAGAGAATATCACACCGTCAGCTGCGACGGGATCGTTGCCAGTGCCGAGCCACATGCCTAGATTGTTCTTGTGGGCTGACGCAGGTCGATCGGTGGCTGGAGGTAGACCATAGCGGCCTACCACCAGATCCTGTAGCCCTTCAGTCCGATCTATAAAGCCTTCAAGCACTTCTCTTTCACCACTGCCCCATTCTTCCTCGCCTACTCCTATACCAAGCTCACCTCCACCAGCAATTTTGGTCGCGCTGTAAATAGAGGAAGCAGGATTGCCATGAAGAAGTACATCCCAGGCTCGTGCAAACTTGGTCCAGAAGCGATCTAGTGTATTACACAAGGCATCGCGTCCACTTCGTGATAGCAGTTCTGTAAGGCTTGAGGCATTGTGGAGGAGGAATAGAGAGTTGGCTTGGACGAGCTGGGCTATCAGTAAAGGAGCAGGTGCAACTTCTCGAGCCGAGTACTCGTATTTAGTGGTTGTATTGTCGTCCTGGCCTGGTTTCTTTGAAGCTGGGAGTCGCGTCAAGTCTATACAAGCAAGAACCCACCAGTCTCTCTCGAGTTCGTGTAGGACGATACGTGACTTTTCGGTTTCGATAGTGTCGACGTTTGAATCTGAGAAGTTTCTGTGATCGCAGTCAGCGAGTGTACGCTTCTGTGAAGCTATCTAGTCTCGTACCTACTTCGCAAAGTTCACCATACCCTGAGCAAGCCCTACCTGCCGTAACTTCTCATTCTCCTCATCTTCTGACTGTATCGAAGCCTGCTTCTGCTTTACGTCCTCTGCTTGGCCACGCTTTCCTCGATTTTGGTTGGAGTGGAAGAAGACAATTTGGTCTTTTAGCGATTCGTCAGAGCTACTAAGGGTAGGGTTGTAGATGGCAAGAAAGTCGAGCTGAGCTGGCACAACCCGAGCTCCTTCGAGTACTTGTGCCATGGGAAGAGCTGTTGCTGAGCCTCAACGAGGGCATGGACGATCAAGTGCCAGCATTTCCAGGAACACGTCTGCGATTACTGGCAAGTTCGAAGCGTGTTTAGCCTGTAGCACGTAGCATATGAAGTGCTGAGTGTCAAGCACATTGCGTTCAGTGTTGCGCATGAGGCAATGAGTTGTGAGAATGGGCAGGTGTAGTTCACATAGTGTTGCTACTTGTTGCGCCGCGAAGCACTGCATGTGAGGATCACGTCACACCATCTGAACATGAGCACGATCTCGTCAAGTCAGCTTCGTGTACTGTATGAGCAGAATGTCTCGTTCGAATACATGTTCACCTCTAAAGAACTGTCCTCGAGCTTTAAGAGAAGATAATACAAGCTTATTGATGCCTTGTCTTTTCGGTGATTATATTGTATCGTAACATTTCAAATTCAGCTCATGTGCATTGCAAACCTCATGTATTACTGTCTGAAGCTCAACCTGAGATAAAACGCCGTGCATGAAGCTGTTCCTCAAGGCTTGCAAGGCCCGAATCTCGAATCAGAAACGCCTTCATGCTTCCATACAACCAAGTCCATAGACTCTTTGCTCTGCAGGTTTCGGTATTCGTAATAACCACTGACCGATCCCAAATGTGTAAGTACCTCGGGTCTTTGTCACAGAACATCCCTTTCCGACCAGCCGGCCTGTAACATCGAGGCGCAATAGACAATGGTGCCAGATATTGCCCGAACAACAATCTCGTGTTTTCGACATAATCTTATTCAAGGTGCCTCCAAGCCTGTCGCTCGTCGTCTATCAACGCTGAAGGGATGTTTACAAAATCAAGCACTTCTTGCTCTTTCCACCCTTTCTGGTCAAAAGAGCAGCTCGGGTTGCTGATTCAAACACCTCACGGACACCCTGGTTGGTCTTGGCTGAGCATTCGAGGTACTTGTAGGCACCAATCTTCTTCTTGACTTCCTCACCCTGCCAACCATATTAGTGTGTACTATACATAAAGCAAGGAGCCATGGACTTGCCTGTTCAGGAGTGACTGGCTTCTGTGATGTCTTTGCAAGCTCTTCTATCGTCTTTTGATCGTGTCGCAGATCGCACTTGCAGCCGACAAGTATGATCGGAAGACCCTGGCAGAAATGAAGCACCTCTGAAATCCACTGCAAGGGTTGTTAGTGCTCACGTGCCTCGAACAGGCTGTTGGTAAGTTTGTCTTACCTTCTCTTGGACGTTGTCTAGGGAGTCAGGCGAGTCAATGGCGAAGCAGATAAGGATGACATGTGAATCGGGGTACGACAGTGGCCGGAGACGATCGTAATCTTCCTGGCCAGCCGTATCCCATAGGGCTAGTTCAACGTGCTTTCCGTCAACTTCAACATCGGCGACGTAGTTCTCGAACACGGTTGGGACATAGACCTGCGAGCATATATGTCAGACCATCTCTTGGAAAGATTTGACGTTATCAGTAGCGAACGAGGATGTTTGCTTGTGAAACATTGGGGTCGTTCGTTGAGCTCGGGATGAGTGCATACCTCTGGGAATGTGCCTTTCGAGAAGACACTGCAATTTTATATTAGCATGGCTTTGTGTCGTTGGTTGTGAGGCGAACCACTTACATCAACAAACAAGTCTTACCGCAGGCGCCGTCACCGACAATGACAAGCTTGCGTCTGATTTCAGCCATATTGGCCTTGGATTAAAAGTTCCTGGTAAAGAAGTGGTCGAAGCAGTTGGCGTGCTATCGAGGAACAAGTCGGCGATGATTGCAGAAGGTGAGCGTTGAGGGTTATAGAGGACGAAGGATAGCGGTGATGGTGGAAGAAGGTGTGAGGTCGACGTTGAGTAGTCGGGGAAAGCCTTGACCGAACGCTGCTAGTGCCGCTATTTAGGCAGGGTTGGGTTTAGGCTCCAAAGGACCGTCCAGGTTCGACCAGGCGCGCAAATCTAGCATAAAGAACAGACCTGGTGGCTGTGTGACTATCAACCAGTCTCAGCCACAGCACCTTTCGTGGCAGGTCATGTACTACCAATGACGCCTTCAATTTATTTATTGCACCTCAACAATGAACTCAAAGTCGTGAATTATTTCTGTCGAAACTGCATTGCACGAATGCGCAATCGTCGGGTCGCGGAGTTGTTTCAGATAGGGCGAAGCAGAATTATCCTGATTTCTTCGTCGGACACGGGGTCGGCCAAGCAAGCTCCTGCATCAGATAGGCAGTCAAAGCGTGGGAAGTCTCTTGATCACGAAGACCAGTAGCTATAAGTACTACCTAGAATTCGTGTCGGTAATCAGGCTATGGCGAACAACCCACAGTCCTGCTGCTGCACGCAATATTGACTCCTAGTCAATATTTCCAAGCAGACTGGTTTCTAGATAGCGCTAGTGTCTTGATCTTCGCCGTCATATAATCCTTTCTAGCCCAAGACACAATCATGCGTCAGATGTTCTCGTTGGCGACGCTGCAAGCACTCTACTAATGGAGGCACTTGCACTTCACAACCAGCTTGAGTCAAAACTTCTTTCTGCCAAGTGAACTTATCACTTCTTTTCTGCCATAATGGCCATGATCACCGCCGATCACAATCTTACATTTTCTTTCTTGTCCGACGACATGACAAGCATTGCGTGAAGACATCGTTTAGATCAACAAGACTTATATGGTCTACGGCTTTGCCCATAATCTGGATTCATGTTGATATTCATCACATCTTGGACTTGGAAGCATTCTCCCGCTTCGTTTGCGCCATCTTCAACAGCGCATACATTGTCTGTAATCGCGGCATGTCCACACCCTTCTCTCGAGCAAGTCTGACGGGGTTTCCTAGGATTACCTCCAGCTCCATCTTTTTGCCGCTTTCCCAGTCGAGTTGCATACTTGGTTTACTACCACTCGTGTTTCTCTTCGTACTGTTCAGGATTTGTTCAGCTGAAGCAAAATCCTCGGGAAATGGTTGGCCCATCACCTTCTGTGCTGCAGTAAATACTTCCTCCATAACAGCTTTGAGGTGTTCATATAGGTCTGGGTCTTGCGCCATCGACGCGTTGTCCGCACCCTGGGAGAGTACCGAGGAAGGATTGAAAGCGGCATTGATTGCAATCTTATGCCATCTCAACAGCTGCATCTTTGCTGCATCATAAGGCGAAGCATCCTTGATTCCAGCCTTGACCAGGAGCTCATTCAACAGTCTGTTCTTCTTCGTTGCGGCTTGACTGTCAGAAGGATAAGGACCTGAATTTATTCTTGTCCATTTGTTGTGTTTAATGACTCCATGGTCTGGCTGGGCGGCTGATGTGATTGTCACTGCACTTAGTATACTGGCTTGAGGATATCGACGATAGTATGGTTCCTCCACCCCTAGACCGTTCTGTATTAGTACAACCGCCGTGCCTTCACTGATCAATCCTTGCAACAGCTCAGAGTCATCGCTAACATCAGGAAGTGCCTTCGTGCTGACGATCACATAATCCCACTTCACACCGGCTTTTTGAGCTTCCGAAGCATTGCCAAAAGTCCTCGTTGGTTGCCACTCATAGTCCCCAAACTGTGGTGATGTTACTTTGAAACCACTAGCTTTCACAGCCTGGTAGTTAGAACGACATACAACTGAGACATTGACGTTCTTGTCGGTTGCAAGACGCGAGCCATAAAAAGCCCCGATAGCTCCTGCGCCAAAGATCAGTATTTCATTTGACATCTTGGTAAATTGCGAAGCCTGAGAACACTTTGAAAGGTGGAAAGCAACTGCGTGATCTGTAGTATGTAAATTCGTTATCAGCCTCGGCAAAACTTTCAACCTGTTTGAATGTCGCGTATAGACAAGATTATGTAGAGTTGTTCTCGCTCGAGCACCTATCAGTCTGTGACAGATCTTGTGAAGGTTGTATCGTTGCCCGACAGCATTGCAGCACCACATTCAACACAACACTTCTTCCAGCTACTCGAGGCGCTGCACGAACGATGACTCTCAACCCGTCGATCTGAACCGCTTTCAAGAATAGAGCTATACCCAATTCAGAGATCGTCCATCACTGCAGTTCAAGTTTGTCGTGTTTGAGATTCTCAAATTTGTCATTAAGATTTCGGCTAAGTTGCGGATTTGAACTGCTTCATCGACTGCTACTTCTCGCTTCAATCATGGATCTTCTGGACATGTATCCATGCAAGTCATACAACATTGCATGTGCAGATGAGCAACGTATAATCTCTGCTCCTTGCTTGTAAACATTTTGCTCGTTTCTCGGTACTCACGTGGTCTGAGTATGGGTAGGTCAGAATACATGGATATCGTTTCTACAACTCCCTATATTGCTTGTGAATTGTCAGGAGAAGATCTTCATGCTAACAGTGGAGGTACGGCTTGCATAGGCAGCACACATCGAGGTGAGTGTACGACTGATACGTAACTGTCGTTTTGATTGATCAACTATGACTGAAGCACACCATGTTCGCAATTTACAGCAGCATTCAGGTTCAGACGCGTGATGTCGGTTCGTGCAGGCACGTGGGTGCGTCTTCTACATCGCAGCCTGCAAACCTGGTACACCATCCTTCCAGTTTATATGCGCTTGGCTCCTGATTGGCTATTCCACGAAACTCATGATATTCGACCTGACCTCCTGTGTCCTCACTGCCGGCCCTTGGGTATCAACAGACGACTTTCATGCTTGCTGGGAAGCGTTGGTCATTTGCTTGTAGCACAAATCACGACTCTTGGTCGCATCCTTGGATGGTCCTGGTGAGCATTGTTATCACCTAAAAAGCAGACCATGGATCCACCACGACCAGATCTTGCTCGTCAGGAGTCTACATAAATTCATCTTGTCCACATCCAAGAGAAGCGCACCTGTGAGACTTGTACTTAGGTAGGCGAAACAGCAACCATGCTTCGGTTCCTTGTTTTAGTCGTTGCCTCGCTATGCATATGCTTGTATGCCTTGCCTGTCGAGTCTCTCAAACGACAGACACCCTCAGCAGTTCCCCAATATGTGCTTGACTACGGTATGACGATCTGCTGTTAGCCGCTTCTTTCCTAACCCACACAGCACCATTGGTCTGGCTAGATCTTGAAGAACAATTCTTCCCCTCAGACATCGCGAACCAGCTCCTCAACACTCATCCCCAGAGCAGTTCCAGCTCCGATGATGTCGGCGCAGCACCTAATCCACTGAACCTAGAGAACTTGGACCAGCTAAACCGCCTAGGAGATGACAACGTCTACCTCACCGCCAACGACGATTGGACCCAAACACCAGAATGGACACGCGGAGTTAGACCTGACGGCTCTGGCAAAACTTCAGGAGCTGTCACTTGTGCCATGCTAACTCACAACAAAGACAACACCACTCTAGACGCTTTCTATTTCTATTTCTTCGCCTACAACCAAGGCAACACTGTTCTCGATCAGGAACTAGGCGACCATCTCGGTGACTGGGAACACGTCATGGTCCGCTTCGACATTTCAACCGGCACACCGCAAGCAGTATGGCTAGCCCAGCACTCGGCCGGCAACGCCTTTGAGTATGCCGCGCTTGAAAAGCAAGGCGATCGTGCAGTGGTCTATTCAGCAAGAGGCTCGCACGCGACCTATGCCACGTCCGGCAGCCACGATCACACTATCCCAGGCCTACCTCTTGAATTTGGTTTTCTACAAGACTACACCGGCCAAGGCACGCTCTGGGACCCCGTTCAAAGTGCATATTTCTACTCCGTGTCTTTTCCTGAAGTAACAGCGCCTGGAGATGCATCGAATCCAAGCTTCACAGCTTACGATGACTCCCCCACAAATTGGCTGTATTTCCTCGGCCACTGGGGTAACGCACAATTAAGTGACGATGACACCAGGCAGCAGGACTTTTTCGGCCAGAAGAAGTACACAGGTGGTCCGACGGGGCCTCGCGACAAGCAGATTAATCGAGACAGCGTCTGTGGGGAGTTCCTGCCTGTCTGTGTTGTCAACATACTCCTGCCGCCAGGTTCGAAATGAGATTTGCCAATAAACTTAGCCCCGGTGTAGAGGAATGTTTCTGTGCTGTCTAGCCCTAATTAGCATATTTGAATGGCCACTATAATGCAGACTGATAGAGCTTTCAGTATTAGAAGGCATTTCAATTCAATTTTCGTCATCTCTGCGACTCATCCCACCATCGTTCAAATTCCTCTCTGCCATCTCGTACCATCCTGAGAACATTGCTAGCCATATATAAGCTTCCAGCCATCACCACAAGAGGCTTTTCAGAACCCTTTTTGCCTTCGTACTTAGCGAGGATTCCTTCAGCTGTCTTGAGTGCTTCACTGATGTTAGTCGTGCCGTGCTCGATATTGACACTTATTGGAAGATTCACAGCGTCGTCTATCGCAGACATGAGTAACGGTACAGGCGCAGGCCTAACCCACGGCATGTTGTCCACAGGACCGAAGGAGGTGAAGATGATCGTTTGCTGAGCATGAGCAATGAAGGTGTCATGTGCATCCACAGGCTGCCTGGGCCCAAGCAGAGTCTTGAAAATACCTTCGGGTGATTTCGTGGAGGATAGAGCCAAGATCCATATCACTGGTCTTCTCGATGTGGTGCTGGTGGAGCCAGTTGCGCGGTCAACGTAATCTCGCAGTACTTCGGCTGACTGCTCGTTGTGTGCACCGTCTAGGAGGACGGGAGTATCGTTCAACAGAGGAAAGGTGTCGCGGTCCTTCTCATTTAGCCAACCAGGTGATAAGCGCTGCAGTCGCGCAGGGTAAGAGATAGAGGCGTCTCTGAGTACTTCTTCGAGAAGCTTTGGCCACGAGCTCGGTGCCTCGATGGCTTTGCTGTATGTTAATGAGTCATAGTTCTGGTAGTCCTGATGCAGTATGTGTATAGTTGCCTGTTGTGCAACTGCTAGATTTGACCATTGATGTGGCATTAGACTTTGCAGGGTTTCTGGAAGGGTATTGTTAGAGCCAGCAGTTGGGTGGTTCTGTCGAGTAATTGTGCCAGGTACCAGTGATTCGTGCAATTCGTTCCCATGCACTATGGATACCATATCTCCTGCTGTCTTCTCGTCATAGCTGCATTTCGTCCTGATTGCATCCATGATCAGGCGAAGTATCTCTGGTTCATTGTCCCCATCGACTATCACTTTGATACCCCTTCTGGAAATACCAGCCTTATGGCGTACGATATCCTTCACATCGTTGCCCAATATACCTAGGTGATCAAGTCCGATCCTGGTAATGACACTCATACCGATGGCACTTTCTGGAAGAACATTGGTGGCATCCTCGGCACCGCCCAGGCCACATTCGATAACGGCGATATCACAGGGTCTCGGATCTGGTTGGGAGAAGATGTTGAAGGCTGTTGCTGTGAGTAGTTCGAATTCTGTAGGCTCAGTCTCTCTACGAAGCTCATCTTCGGTGAGTTGCTTGTCGGAGGTATGCGAGGCAGTAGAAGTTTCTCCACGCAGTTCGCTACTGACGGTGTGCTTGAGCGCGTAGACCTGCTTCTCGGCTTTTTCGAAGACGTCTCTGCTCACGGGCTGATCATTGATCGAAATGCAGTCCCAGCGATCTATGAAGTGTGGTGACGTGAATCGTCCTATTCGGCTGAGATATCAGTCAGTTTGTGCTTTAATGGTGATGTAGTGCGTGTCTGATGGACTGATCGACAGATATAGTCAATCTTCGGGACCACTTACATTGGGAGACCATCTTTACGAGTCACCGCCCTCCGCAATAAGGAGGAAGTATATGCTGCAACGCTTCCTTTGCCGTTCGTTCCAGCAATATGTATAGCCTTCCATGGAGGATTGAAATTGACTTGCTCAAAGATGTTGCGAGCAATATGCTGGAGTAGTCGCTCAATTCGCTCTAAGCCAAGGTTGATCATGTCGAGGTCGAAGAACCATTTCGTTGAGGGTGTGGTTATGGGTTTAAAATCGTTGCACGGGCCGACTCAAATATTGTCGATTTGCGCTGGTAAACTTATGGCTGCTGGTGCAGCGTTAAACGACCTCGTTGCGGTCGTGTTCTCTTGCAACAATTTTATCAAAAAGCAGTAAGGGGTAAGTTCGGAATATTCAAAGCGTCGAGGAATAGAATGGGTTCCGTGGCTTTGGAGTAAAATTACATCTCGGTAGGAGATCAACACAAAAGACAACACTGCGCGAACATTCGCACACAACGATTGTCACTTTGATATGAAGGTCCCGTCACAGAGAGTACAGAATCAAACAAGGAGGAGAGAAGTTAATATTAAGTGGCACATCGAATGGCCAAAGAGTAGCTATTCAGGGTAAATATCCAGGAATACAATGATGCGAAATGTGCGAATAGATGAATCGAAGTCAAGTACGCCCAAAGATGTATATCCGTCCGAGTGCAAATCACGCAATATATCTTGCGCCAGCCTATGTGTGCAATCCAGTATGCATCAAATCCCAATTTCATGCTTGCTCGCCGTCCATATGCAAATCAGAGTGTGTCAAATTTTAAAATGTCAAATATATAAAGATGTCTGCTGCAAATCCGTATAGCAATTGTATGCTGCCGTGGCAAGACTGTTGCCTGTCGTCTGTACGAGGCAGTCCTTTGCATCGAGATGCTTCCTATAAGGATAACCAAACTCACATATCGAGATAATCTCTCGTGGTGTACAGCAGGCGACATGACCAAGGCGATGCATCAGCCGAAACCGTTACCCATCTCAACAGCAATACACATATGTTAGCAATGATCAGTCAAGCCGTAGGCAGGTCATGCATCTCTGTATCGACGAGGCGTCCATGGGTCCCGTAACACTGGCACGTAGTCGCCATAGCCCAAATGGTATGTTGTGCTCGTATTCAAGTACCCGACTACGCTCACTTTCTTGACGGTATTAGACCTGGCTTGAACGCAGTCGTACTAGCGGCCGTATTGGGGAAGAGACATGCTGGCGTTGTTCGTCAAAGATACATCTTGACGTCCGCAGCGAGGGCAGACAAATTCTCAGGTCATGTATTTGTGCAATGCCTGCTGTCCTGAGCTCACGTCCAGTGGTAGGGCTTGAGATTGTTCCCAGTCCGGTCTCAGGGCTCTGCGTGTATAATAATCAGCAAAGCTCTTGTCTGACCGATTTTATTGGTTCCTTGCACGAACTTGTCTTGTTGCTGTATTCACCACGTGATGAACCTAGCAGGATTTAAGGTGCTTGATCTGGTCAGATCTATTGGTATCCTTGCTGCCATTGCTGCCCTGTCCAGTTTTGCTGAGGCTGACCGCCATGATGCTGCTGCTGTTGCTGCATAAAGTTCGCCCCCGATGCAGCCATTTGATTAAACATATGCTGCGGCATACCCATACCGCCATATCCAGCTGCACCCATAGCTCTCAAGCCACCGCCAGGGGGAACAAGCTGTTGGCCACCACCCATGTTCCCCATTGACAATTGTTGAAAGCTTGGGGAAGGCTGCATCTGTTGCTGCTGCTGTTGTGGATGCGACGAGTGACTGTGACCACCTGGCATAGGCGAAGGTATCTGTGTATGGCCCATGTGCGGAGACTGCTGCGAGGAATTATACATACGATTTGACATGGCTGGAGATTGTTGTGGTTGTGGAGGTGGTTGACCCCATGTCTGTTGTGACTGCGAGTTTGTGGGCGAGTATCCATAGGCATTGGGGGATATCTGATTGGCCAGCGACGATGGGTTTCGTGGATGGTACACGGCTTGCCCTCCATAGAGACCTACATTTCGTGACGGCGAATGTGCCGGGTTTTGTGAATGCGGAAAACTGGGAGGAGGGTTCATTTGTGTCTGTATAGCTGGTTGTTGAGGAGCAGGCATCGTTGCCTGACTTAGAGGCTCGACGGCGTCGTAGGTAGGAGACTGTAAAGACTGCGACGCTGTGACAGGCTCTGCATTGGTCTGTTGTGGCGTTGAGACAGGAGGATCATGAGGGCGATGCCAGTATTCCTCCACAATACCTCGTCGGAAGCGCCCTTGAGCATTGACCTGCTTGCTGTAATCAGCAGCATGAGCAACTTGACTGGCCATATCGGCATCACTGCTAGTCCGCACGACATCTGCGTAGGCTGGCCCAACGTTCTCCATTCGCGGTCTTGGTACGTCTCGATATTTGGCATCATATGCTTCCATGAGGGGTATTTGAGCCATGGTGGATGCGATACCAGGTGGCATTGGAGGGGGCTGTAGGTTTGCAAAGTTCGGATCGTTCGCATATACAATGTTGCCGTACATTTGTAACTGACGGTTTCCAAGTGCCTCTGCAGCAGCAGCTTCTCTTGCTCTAGCCGCACCAGGTCTTTTCTCGCCTGCGGCATCCTCTTCAGTGAAACCCTGTTTTCGAGCCTTAGCTTCCCAGTAATCATCTCTCACGCGTCGGCCATCTTTGACAACGCGACTTCCGAACTGTCGAAACATTGATCGAGCTGTGACCAAAGCTATTTGTCTAGATCTGTAACTGTACGGCAGTATGTCGTGTTGAACCAATTCCTCTTTCTCCTTCGGCGATGCAATGATCTTGTATAGCGACCGGTTCTTGTTGAATAGCAGGTACGAGTCGCGATATTGAAGTGTCCTGGCACACTCTGTCGCAAGCATGAACAGTTTCTCGCCTCGTCCAGGTAGAGTGAATGTGCGAAGCTTGTACTCTCGACCACCTTGTAGATAGCCCAGCTCGTCCACCTTTTTCTCGCCCTGGTCGTCATACTCGCGAGCGATGTATTCATCTCCACCTGGACTGAGTTGATCGCTGGTGTGATCTCTGACCGTAGGCAGCGCCTTGAGGGTAGACTTAGGCGTCGCTCGAGCTGGAGGCGAGGATTGCGTTGGGGTCACGGCAGACTGTACCGGACCACTCTGGGTCTTGATTTGAGGTGTTGTGGCTAGGCTTGGTGAGGTCTGACTCGAAGGCGTAGGTAGGGCGTTACTCTGATCGTAGGTGTAGTCGCCGGACGTTCGAGGTGTCTTTGTGGGACGCCCGCGCTTTCGAGGCTTCGATTCGTCTGGTTTCCATCGTGTCAGCCATGAGTGGTGAGTGAAGCAGGTAGTCTTACCATTCTCGTCTCCATGCGGATGATCGCCGTGGTCATCTGGCGAACGACTTCGTTTTAACCTGCGAGCAGTCGGATCGACATTCGATTGGGGAATCAAAACTGTTACACACGCGCCAGATTAGCCTAGGTACCAATGTAGATGAGGTGCAGGAAGCGAAAGTAGGGCTGGCGCATGGACTCGAAGTGACGGGCAGTCAATAGAAGAATGCTTACCACCACCAGGACTATTTAGTGCAGCTGGATTGATGGTCCCAGAGCCATCAGTCATGTTCCCTTGACCATTGACTCGGTTGGAAGACTGCTCAGCAGGCGAGTAGAGAGACATATTCAGAACGGTGGACAGGTTTTGTCGAAAGAGGACAGCGCAAGTTGTGTGAGGTGTGGCATCAGCGGCGATACCAGAGCTGCCCGGTCGCAGCACTGAGTTGTGCGCAGAGAGCTCGCCGGGAAGACGGGCAGTTCGGCTACTTGCTTCTGTGACTGCCGCGCTCGGCGACGGCGAGATTGGTGTCACGAGCAAGGAAATTGACGCGCGATCGTGGCAGGGCGGTGTGTAGCATCAGCTAGCGAGGATGGTTGATGGGCGACAGTACAACCTCAGCGATGGATGGTGTGGCCGTGTATGGTGGTGCAAAGCGGCAGCAAACGAATTCGAAGATTTGATGGGAGCACAGTGGAGTCGGGGCTATTGCAAGTCAAAGCTGTCGCTGTCGATGTTGACTTCGTAGATCTCTCTGGATGCTGATGTTGTTTGGCATATGCTTCCGTGCCTCTGCTCGTTGATGCAGCCGAAGCGCGACAACAACGTCGGGTGAAGCAGTAGGAGTAGACGCGATGCCGATGACGATGCTTGTTTAAGCCTAGATTGGCGGCGGGATGAAATACAGCAAGCAGCCCGTGATGGATAATTGGGTAATTGGCGGATCGTTCGTTCTAGTACCACGACTCACGCAAGTCGGAATCTTGTCAAGATGACTGGATAGCCGAATCGAATGTATGCAGAAGGTAAGTGGATGGGATGGACGTACATCCAGCAAGCTGCAGAATGCAGAAAGATGGCGATATGCGTCAGGCTATTGAAGGTGAAAAGCCCCAGCGTGTCGTACGTAGCTTCGAATGGCGCCGGAAGCAAGCGATAGGCTCATCACAGGAATAGGAATAGTCCACTGAAGGATGGCACCAGATGATAGATGGACGGTCCCCACCTTTTGTTGCTCACGAATGGTGTAAAAGGGTACTCTCCATTCCAAGCTCGTATTCCGATGAGAGCGCAAGATGTGGGAGACACGAATTTGGCAGGAAGAGAAGGCGTCGAGAAGACCATGAGACCCAGCTTGCTTAATGCTTGTGCAGCGCAGTAGTGTCAGATACACTTTGTGGCACATGAGCATTTGACTATGGGTCCTAGCACCACCTGCTGCACTCTATTGGAGCAACTCACGAACTGTATGCAGAGTGCACGGGTAAGGATCCCAGTCTGCCAGGCTCCAAGCACCCAACATCCTGCTACCATTCTGTAATGGAGGGGTGGATTCGGCTCGCCATCAAGGAAGGCAGCATCCACGGTTCGCACCTGTTATATGCGCTATCACCTGTTCTGGAAGACTCCCACGCCTCTGATATAAACTACCAGTCTTCTTTTCTGTTCGTCAAATCTGAATATCCTGTTTGGCTGGATTTGTGTCCCTATACATTATTCTCTGGAAAACACAATACCGAGACGACGCCACCATGAGGAGTTATGGGACAATCAACCATATTGACCTCACCATTGGCTAATGCGCTTCCTCCGTCTTAGGGTGTTCTAATCTGTGCGCTTGAGCCGCACTGTCCAATGACAATTCCTCAGACAATGAGACTTATGCCTGCTATAGATTCCTTCGACCTTCGAAACAATTCCTGTCTGCTTTGAGACAAGATCTCGAGCTGTCTAAGCTCGGTCTCTTGTAGATGTCGCAGTCAGCCTGAGAGACCAATGAGGATGTGATCTACCCCGGTGTGACAGCTAGGCGGGCACTGTGATGGCTTACTCGTTATACCAATCAGGCATTAGGTTCGCTTCTTGGAGCGGTCGAGTGCGTAAAGCACTGACCTGGTGATCGATGCACTGCAGCGTGCCCACGCGAACTCCTCTTCTCATTGCATGTAGACTTGACCTAAAAGGGTATGGCTCAAAGATCTCCTCTCCAATCCTCTTCCTCCCAAACCTTCTGCCTATAGGTGCCTTTGCAGTATTTTCGTCTATCGAGCTCTGCTAAAGAATCACTGAATTCTCCTCGGTGCCAGCTTTGCGTTTCTTCTAATTTCGAAATCAAAACTTTGATGAAACGTAACTCGAGGCCGCAGCTTAAGCAAGGACTCAAATTCCGAACAGAAGTGTCATGTGGTTCACTACACTCGACCCGGGCTTCAGTTTACGGACTAGTGACTTCCAATGTTGGAGTGGCGATCACTGACTAGAATTGACTTTTGTTTCCATCTCACTCTCGATCTGACTTGATGCAAGCTGCATGCACGTTTCAGCAAGCTTTCCAGGTATGATCAGCATATGCAGAATGATTTGCAGATACTGGTCGGCTTCGGCTCTACTCCGATCCAACGTGGCTCAAATCGTAGAGCAAGCATGTGATAGGTAGTTCTTTTGAGCCAATGTGTTGTGCTATCGAAAGACGACTTCAGCATAGCCAGGTACATACCGTGACGACCACAGGCCTGCGCTTCTCTGATGGAATCTATAGAGCCTGGGCCAATGCTCGCAATGAGGTTCCCTTGTTGGTGTCAGTACCGCAGCGGCCCGAAGAGCTGCGCGCTGCAAGTCTTTCAGAGCCCTTGCAAGCTCATGCTGATACAGCCTGCCGACCGGCCGAACCACAACATAATACTCTGCTCCAGACCACCAGTGAAGTGGGTACAGCTCGTTCCAACACTCGACCACCTATTGGCACCAGGATAGCATCAGCCACAAAAACTGCGCGCTGTTGCACAAAGGGAATGTCGAAGGCTCGAGGTGGACTAGGAGCATCCTGGAAAGTTGTCTCCATATCTTCACCATGCCACACTTTCACACCCCCGTCAATCATCAAAACTTGGTGGAATGCAAGCATTGTCGCAGCACCTTCCGCTATGAGCTCAAGCACGAAACCAAACAACTGTATGACCAAGTTCTACTCATACGACAAGGCACACTCGATGACTTGGCTACTGCCAAGCGGCATCTGGAATGGATCTTCATTTCGGAAACATTATGATGTTGATCATGCTCAAAGCGCCGATGGCCAAAACGCCGATGTCAACCATGTGCAGTGGTGTGGTAATCGTCAGCGTCCGAGTGCTGTATGATCTACAGTTGATCTACAGTGAAGATCCATCTTGACTCCGCGCAGCAATGCGTTTCAAATCAGACCGACAATGACACCAACCTCGCCTCAGCACGCCAGTCAATTTTTGTGCTACTGAGTAATCGGCTGCCAGCATATGTCCATGTTCACAGGTTTGGGCCAACTGACGTCTTGCACCGCTAGTATGAATCATACAGGACGATGGCGACTCCGTTACCCATGAACGACTGCACCCCAATCTTCTAATATGACCTGTATACCGGTTCGGTGCAACGATGGATCTCCGAACGCTGTGTTTCTGTGCAGCATGATCGAGTTCAGCTGTGCAGGGTATAAACCGTTCCTCTTTGCTCATGCCGGTTGCCATTGTGTTACTAACCTCTACATATATGCACCAGGCACTGTCACTGTTCGACAAGGTCACATTAAATAGTCAGCTATACATTCACCGCCTTTTCGACAGCGGTTGGCTATGTTTCATCGCGCCATCCATTATCATTCAGTCACATTCTGGCAATGCTCAAACCTGCTCGATGGTTCCTCATCACCTGAATGTACACAGAACGACAACCATGTCGTGTTATGTGATTCACATCCTGAAGCAGGAGACCGATTATGTCTGCTCGATGTGCGATAGAGTTCTCGTGAGATGCCTGATGTATAGCAGTTGCCAAATTGACCTACCTCTCGAACCAAACCAGAGCCTGACAGTTGCGAGCAGTGCACAAGCGGAAAGCAGGTAGTATCAGCGTCGTGACCCTCCTCTCTCCTCGATCCTGTTTCCTCGATCCAAGATGGGCAAGATCTCAAAAAAAGTGAGAGTGCTGGATTAGTACAAGAAAACTCGAGGAACCAAAAAACAGAGGCAAAATGTGTTCAATGGAATATTTGTCTTCATCTCGAACCAAGCTCCTGATCGCTCTCATCAGTGCTGATATATACGTTCATGTATTCATGTTCCCATTCCCGGACGTCTTTTCATGCATGCTATTCTACGAAACTCCTATGTCTAAGCGCCAACCAACCATTTACCCAAACGCCTCATACCCATATATTGTCGTTGTACATGTTACACATTTCCCTTTCATATCTCCTATAACAAAGCAGCAACAGCTCCAAGTACAGCCAGCAACGCACCACCACTCAACACCTCCCTACTAGCACCACCCGTACTCGACTGCGAGAACCCACTGCTAGTAGCACTTCCACTCGCGCTCGAAGTCCTGCTGGCCGCACTCGTCGCCATAGTGGTATTCGCAGTCACAGCAGCAACCCTCGTGCTCGTCGAACTATACAGACTAGCCACCATGCTGGACCAGCTCGACTCCTGCGACAGGACACTGCTGCAGCCAGAGCAGACGGTCGCGACAGCGGCTTGACTTGGTTGAGAGGTTACGACTGCTGGCATGCCGGTGATGACGCCGCGTGAATCTGTCATGGAGGTGTAGGAGGTGAAGGGGTTGTTGAATGGGGCTGATGAGGAGGATGTTATTAATGCGGCGGCGACTGAGGTGGCTGATTGTGATTGTGATAGTGCTTTGGATGGGATGGAGGTGATGACTGTTGTTGCTGCGACGGCTGCTGCCGTCGATTGTTGTTGTGTGGCTGTTTGAGCCCAGGTTTTCCAGTCCCATTCTGCTGCTGATGGTGTCCACCATGTTGGGGCTGTGGAGGCTGCTGCGTCTGCGGAGAGGACTGGCATTGAGCTGAGGGCCTGGACTTGTGGTTGTGGCAGGGCGAAAGCCGTTGTGAGAAATAGAGATGTTGTGAAGAAGGTGTTTCTTGATGGTGCCATTGTGATGTGGTGTAGTGGTGGAAGGTGGTGGTAGCAGAGCTAACAGTTATCTCCGTAAGTGTCTCGGTATGAACTTGTTGCGTTCGTTGTAAGTCTTGTTCTCAGTGTCTGTGCTGTAAGATGCTTTGGTTGTAGATGCTGAAGATAGGTCAGGAAGGTCTGTGCTCACAGCAACGAATAAATATCCGATCTCGAAAGTCTGTATCTGACTCTCTGAGAAGGCTGGCTAAGCATGAGGTACATATTTCGAGTGGCTTGAGCCACGTTTTCGAGACGCTTGCCTTTGCTATTGGTCGACGGCACTTTCAGGCAGTGGCTGGACAGACAAAAATACGAAGGCGGAAGCAGTCGAGATGGCTGGAGGCGCTAATCTCGGAGCTAGGAGCGATAAAAAAGAGGCTGGCGAAGTGTCATTGGTTGGAGGCAAGCACTAAAAATACGCTAATTGTCGATCTGTTTACACCTGGACGGTAGCAGCCGCGCAAACAGGATTTCGTAGCTCTGCAGTTTCAGGTTCATATGAATCTTTGATAGTCTCTGGCAGATAGCAGGAACGCAAGCGATTTGTTGATCTGCCAGATCAGCCCAGGGACTTGAAGAAATCTTTTCGTGTATACCGGGCTAGACTCATAATCTTCGTATACCAATTCTCGCTGTCTTCGGCGCACCTTTGCTCCATTGTGCTCTGAAAATGACCTTTGTAGGAATGATAGAAGTAACTTGCTGTAGAACATCATGCTGTGGTGCAAGATGGACAGTGATTTCTTCGTTGACTCGTAGCTCTTCCTCGCCCAAATGTTCGTGTTTGGAGGACTTACGACGTCTGCCAGTCTGTTCAAGTAGTGCGTGTGAAGGATCGCTGTTGTTCAATAAATCTGTTATGGGGCGTTTGAGAGGCTTCTCTTTCTCGTTCCTGACGGTCTCTATATTTTGCGACGACTGATTCTCTTTTAATGAAGGGTGGTCTGTAGGATGCTGAGGAACATTTGCACTCTTTTCTGCCGAGCTTGCTTCTTCCCCTCGTCGTCTTGCTTCACAAGCTGCACTCTTTAAATGCTCTGGTATGGGTGCATGAATCCTTGTCATCAACTTTGCTTGCCTTGCGAAAGCATCGTAATCTTCTTGTATCAGTGCACCAGCTTTCTGGTTCAGAGCTGAATCCGGGTTCGGTTGTATGAGCAAACATGAGATTGTGATTAAGATGTCTTTCAGTGTCAAATTGGGGTCCCAATCTCTTTTCAAAGTCTCGAGGCAGACGGCACCCGTCTCTTCTGCTACATTAGGATGGAAGATTCGTGTCTTGAAGGCAGCAGTCGGTGGACTCTGAGGGTAATCTACCGGTATTTCTAGTCGAAGACTCCATAGGCCTTGCGAATATGGTGTACCTTCAGGACCAGTCAGGCATATTAGAAGTTCGGTAAGGTTGTCCGGCAGTGATTCTGCTTCGAGACTCTCAAACAGGTAATTCGGTGGTAGGGACTTCCGAATTGCAACTTGGTCTTTGGCTAATCTTTTCATTGAGGACTTCATATTCGTTGTATACTGTGCTGCTATTGACTGTGAATATTTGGCAAGGGTCAGCTAAACAAGTAGTGGAGAATGTTCGATAGCTATACTTCGACGCGTTAAGACGCGTCGCGAAATCTAGAGATCTCATTGGTCAGAAATTTCCGTAGAATCAGTCTATACTGCTTGTAGTATGAATATTCGTAGTATTGAGCGACGGACCGTTATGTAAGTTACAGCACAGCTTCACCAGTTCGTTCACCTACATGGCTACAAACCTGTCAGATCATGCTCTCAGGCTTGCAATATGCGACCAAACTTGTAGACTCAACAACAATCTATTGCTCCCAGAGTATGCACAATACGCCAATGTTAAAGACACACCAGGTTCGGAAAAGTGCTGACATCAATAGCGAGCACAGTACTATTGGTCTAACAAGACGGCAACCAAACAGGTTTGTGTTGTTCAAATGCGCTACAGACGCGCAAAGTGATCAGCCCAGCCAGAGAAAAGTGTATGCCATCATGTACGTGCACAACTCGGAGCTGACAGAATTATCTGGTCGGAGCTGCCACCCAGCAAAGTTGCCAAGCCCCGACACCTCGGCTTATTGACGAATCGAGGTTCTAGACGACGCCGGGCTGACGGGAAATAGTGTAGTTTTTAATGGTCGAAAAGCAATATCCAGTGCCAAGCACAAATGAGATCAGCGATCAGTAGCAGAGATAAAGAAGATTTATTTGATGCTTCGTTTAGGGGCTTACACGTGCTAAGCATGCCAATTCGCATTGGACTGGTGCTTGACAGAACAATAATCTCCTCCGTGAGGTCATCCGCCTTGGTATTTTTTCTTGGAGGTCTTGGCTAATCTCGGTGTCATGGCGACAGACTGCAAGCAACCTGGTGGTCCTTGCGACGCAAAACATTGGGAAGCAGAAATGATGTTGCTATAGGTAACAGGTGTCCCTGAAGTTGTGAGGACATAGCCCGCAGAGGATGTGCTGATAGGAAGTTCAAAGCAATTGATCAGGAACGACAAGGCAGTGCTGCCAAGCCGCATCAATGAAGCCGGAAAAGGTATAGGTCATTGGCTGGCGAGACTCAATCCTCTCATCGAATGTCTTCGGACTCCGTAGTTAGGTTGCTTTGTCGCCAGGTGTCGTTCGCTACAACAATAAGCAGAGTCCTTGCAGCGTCAGCAAGGCTTCTTTCTCAAGGTGGTATCATAAAGATCTCACGAATTAGTGTTCGTTCCTAGAGAAAGAAGGAGGCGTGGTGGTCAAGGCAAACTCATGAGTGGATCAATACTGGGAGGACTGAAGCAAGACTAGCCTAGTTTTAGAGACACTTGACTAACGCCAAACTTGGAAGTCTCGATCCATTCGTGTATGCGCCCAATGCATTTCACTTGCCCCAGGCCTGTGTCGACACCTCATCCTGAGGTAATGGTCTCTTGTGAAACTTCTTTCTTGTTCATGTTTTCGTTGTGTCATTACTATTGGCAAGCATGTCAGTAACCAGCAGATTGAATACCTGAGTCTGCTGTGCCGGTCCTTTCATACTATTCACATCTTCCACTTTCGTGTCGTCGTTTGCTGCAAACCGACCAGTTTCGAAGTTCGATTGCCCTTCAGGCTTATTACCTTCAGTCCTGTTTGTTCAATTATATCGTCTATAAATCCATCACTCAACGGGTTGCGAGGGAACAATAATTCAGAGTCATAATCTTTCAACGAAATACCAGAACCGCCTTTCAATAATTAGCACACTCACTCGGCGATTAAGCGAAGGTTCCAAAGATTGGGATAGCACATACTACGTCAATAAACCCTCGCGGGTAAAGAGTTGGAATTGTTACAATCCCCAGGGCTGCTGTGTAACCATACCTTTCCACAGTCGGTAGCGAGGCGCTGCACTACACCGTGCACTGTTCCTGCCCGAACACATACATCCTGAATATCTGGTCGCCTTTCTTGAACCTCTACAAGCTTGACGATGTCGTCTCCTATGCCGGACGAGAAAGTCACTGCAGGTGGCACAGCCCAACCTGGGCGACAAAGAGCCCCTACTATCAGTATAGATGATACTGCAACAACAAGCGCGCCGATGTTGTCAGAGGCCGACGGACGCAGTCCTGTCTTGCCACGACTCCAGACAGGAAGTCTTGACCAGCCTGGTTCACACCCTCCAGTCTTTGCGCCTTCACCCACTGATAATAGAGGCAGTCGGCCAACTTCGCCTCATAATATCTCCTCACCTCGGGCTTTTGGCCTAGATGGTGCTCCTTCAAATACGTTCTTGGCTGTTCCTGGTCCCAGAGAGCCAGCTAGCTCTGTCGAAACCGACTCTCAATCGACAGCCTCGTATGGCGGAGACACGAAGGTGCCCACCAGCACCAATGGTGATACCGTACCCGAGGAGGCTCCTCTGAGCAACACTGATATCCTCAATGATTCAGACGCGCTCAAACCAGATCCTGGTACTGAAGCCGACTTCAAGGTCGAGAATAGCCCCTTCGCTTTCTCAGTTGGCCAGCTGAACAAGATGATCAACCCCAAAAGTTTGTCTGCCTTCTATCATCTTGGTGGTCTTGCTGGCATTGAGAAAGGACTTCGAAGCGACCGCCAAAGTGGACTTAGCTCGGATGAAGTCGGACTACAAGGTCAAGTCACGTTTGAGGAGGCTCTACAAGCTGCGGAGAAGTCGAAGGAGGACTTCGGTCCGGCAAAACGGACGACTAGCAGAGGTTCCATTACTAATGCGACCAAGGCTTCATCTGACGCCTTTGCCGATAGGAAGCGAATCTACAGCGACAACCGCCTACCGGAGAAGAAGACCAAGTCGTTCTTGCAGCTCGCTTGGATAGCGTACAACGATAAAATACTCATCTTGTTGACAGCAGCTGCTGTCATTTCACTTGCACTTGGTATCTATCAATCTGTTCGGGCACCAACACAACAAGAAATAGCCGAAGGCACACACGAAGCACGTGTTGAATGGGTCGAAGGTGTGGCTATCATTGTTGCCATCCTCGTCGTCACACTAGTCGGTGCATTGAACGATTATCAGAAAGAGCGCCAATTTGTTAAGCTCAACAAGAAGAAAGAGGAACGCATGGTCAAGGTTGTTCGATCTGGAAAGTCTCAAGAAATCTCGGTATATGACATAATGGCTGGAGATGTTGTTCATCTTGAGCCAGGTGATTTGATCCCAGTCGACGGTATCTTGATTGATGGTCATAATCTCCGCTGCGATGAGTCCTCAGCCACTGGCGAATCTGACATCATCCGAAAGCAACCTGCAGACGATGTCTACCAAGCAATCGTGCAGAATCAAGTTACCAAGAAACTAGACCCTTTCATTCTCTCTGGTGGCAAAGTCGCCGAGGGTGTCGGTACTTTCCTTGCAACGTCGACTGGCGTCAACTCGAGTTACGGCAAGATTTTGATGTCGCTGAAGGATGAAGGCCAGACCACTCCACTTCAATCGAAGCTGAATATCCTGGCCGAATATATCGCTAAGCTCGGTTTAGGTGCTGGCCTGCTGCTCTTCCTGGTCCTCTTCATCAAGTTTGTAGCAAGACTCGGTTCTATCACTGGCGGCGCCGAGGCAAAAGGTCAACGCTTTTTGCAGATTTTTATTGTCGCGGTTACCATCATAGTCGTTGCTGTTCCTGAAGGTCTTCCACTCGCTGTCACGTTGGCTCTGGCCTTTGCCACTACGCGTATGTTGAAGGACAACAATTTGGTCCGTCTACTTCGCGCCTGTGAGACTATGGGCAATGCTACTACTGTCTGTTCGGACAAGACAGGTACGCTTACACAGAACAAGATGACTGTGGTAGCTGGTACCTTTGGAACTTCATCTCGTTTCGCCGACAACGATGCTGCCCCTAGCAAGGTTGCGGCTACTAATCACAAACTAGATGACGATGAAGAAAAACAGGACGATATCACCTCGATCGTGTTCGCGAAGACCTTGGCAGATGACACAAGGGTACTGTTGAAAGACTCCATCGTACTCAACTCAACTGCTTTCGAAGGCGAAGAGAATGGACAGACTGTCTTTATTGGGTCCAAGACAGAGACAGCATTACTTACTTTCGCCCAGACTTATCTTGGCCTAGGTCCTGTCGCTGAGGAGAGAGCCAATGCTGAAATAGTGCAGATGGTGCCGTTCGATTCTGGTCGAAAATGCATGGCTGTGGTTATCAAGCTCTCGAGTGGTAAATTTCGCTTGCTTGTCAAAGGTGCTTCTGAGATCTTGATTGCGAAATGCACACATATCATCAGTGAACCCACGAAGGGCACCACTGATGCCCAAATCACATCTGAGCAGATTGACACCTTGGGCAACGTCGTTAGCAGCTACGCTTCTCGATCTTTGAGAACGATCGGTTTGCTCTACCGAGACTTTGAGCAGTGGCCTCCTCGTGGTGCTGCCTCCCGAGAGGATGCAAGGCAAGCTGATTTCGACGCTGTCTTCCGCGATATGACCTTCCTCGGCGTGGTGGGTATTCAAGACCCGTTGCGTCCTGGTGTGACAGAGGCTGTGCGTGATTGTCAGATAGCTGGTGTATTTGTACGCATGGTCACGGGTGACAACTTGATGACTGCGAAGGCTATTGCGACCGAGTGTGGCATCTTCACTGCTGGTGGTATTGCCATGGAAGGTCCAATCTTCCGTCGACTTACAGCCAAACAGCTTAATCAAGTCATTCCTCGTCTTCAAGTGCTTGCTCGCTCCAGTCCTGAAGACAAAAAATTATTGGTCGGACACTTGAAGAAGCTCGGAGAAACAGTCGCAGTAACAGGAGATGGCACAAATGACGCTCCAGCACTGAAGACCGCCGACGTTGGCTTCTCGATGGGTATCGCTGGTACTGAGGTTGCAAAGGAAGCTTCTGCTATCATCCTGATGGATGACAATTTTGCATCCATTGTCAAGGCTATTCAGTGGGGACGAACGGTCAATGATGCAGTGAAAAAATTCTTACAGGTAAGTTGGTGTAGTCAAGATTGAGATTCATTCTAACATCTTATAGTTCCAAATTACAGTTAACATCACTGCCGTCCTTCTAACCTTCATCTCTGCCGTTTCGAACGATAACGAGGAATCTGTCCTCACTGCAGTCCAGTTGCTTTGGGTGAACCTGATCATGGACACCTTTGCGGCTTTAGCTTTGGCGACTGATGCTCCTTCTCCTCACATCCTAAAGCGACGTCCGGAACCTAAATCGGCTCCACTCATCAGTCTGACCATGTGGAAGATGATCATCGGACAGTCTATATATCAACTCGCTGTTACTCTTATTCTCTACTTCGCAGGCGCTAGCATATTAGGCTACGAGACAGAGGATGAGATGAATCGACTTCAGAGTACTATCTTCAACACATTCGTTTGGTCTCAAATTTTCAACCAGTGGAACGCTCGACGTCTTGACAATGGCTTTAACATCTTCGAAGGTATGCTTCGAAATTACTGGTTCATTGGTATCCAATTCATTATTGTCGGAGGTCAGATTCTCATCATGTTCATTGGTGGAGCTGCATTCTCTATCTATCGCATCAACGGCCCGCAATGGGGATACTCGATAGTGTTGGGTCTGTTGTGCATACCTTTCGCAGTTGTAATTCGATGCTTCCCTGACGAGCTGTTTGCCAAGCTCATACCATCATTGCCTCGACGACACCGACCTAGTCCGGACGTAGTTGTCCAGGACGAGGAGGACGGAATCACACAATGGAACCCAGCCTTGGAAGAGATCCGAGACGAGCTCGGCTTCCTCAAAAAGCTTAGAGGTGGCCGTATGTCAGAGCTTGCGTTTAAACTACAGCATCCAAGACAATCATTCCTACCAAGATCTAGATCGTCGTCCAAGTTGCATCCTAAGGGTGATTTGGCAGAGGACGACCCGGAGAAGATTGTCGCCAACGCTTATGCAGCTGCGAATGCTGAGGCAGAAGCAGCTAAGAACAAAAACGCCACACCAGACAAGCAGAGGAAGCGGACGCGAGCAAGCTCAAATTCAGTGTTTGGTCCGGTCACAGCCATGGCTGGCATAGTAGCTGGCAGTGTTGCTGGAGGCTGGTCACCTATTGAGCGTAGGGCAGAAGACCCAGAATCAGTTCATTTCCAAAGATCGAGAGCACCGTCAGGAGTGGAGGGTACGAGTGGAATAGAGATCCACCCAGCCACTGCCACTGAGGACCCTGTGTTTTCGCCTACTGAGATCACCGACACAAGGATACCACCATCTCAAAATCCATCATTAGCACCTCATTTCGATCACGCACCACCACCTACTGTTGACATTCCATTTGGCAGGAGGTCTCATTCCAGGCATTCCTCCACTGCACCGAAGGAATAACTGCTTCCAGGTTGGAGACGAGCTTTGTGTATAGAAAGCGAGTTGTATCATATTGCTTGCCTACTGCCATTGGTTTTCGCCTTTTTGATACAAACAAATGCGTCAATACCCATGTACATGTCTTGAAGCCAAGTAATAATATGCTCATAAAGTATTTCAAACTGTTACCATCCAGTAGAGTTGCCATTTTTTGTTCTGCTTCATTCTCCTTCATAACGCTTTCCCCACATTCACACCTTACTCATGCACCCCATAGTATGCGTGTGCCGAACCATCAAGCAAGCCATCCTGCCGAACCACTAGCGACCTACATCTACATCACAATGGCTTAGAGTTCTTCGAAGTAGAACAAAAGGTTTGGTTGACGTTTTCACTACACACTACTGCTTCGAGTCTATCTCAAGTAGAAGAGCACACGACGAGTCATCAGCATGGCTCTAACGAAGCTCACCGCGATCATCACCAGCATAGTATACGCACTTCTTGCCCAAGCCGCTGATGCAAACTTCTGCGATCCTCCATCTCCAGCCTTTTTCCCACCGAATATCAGCCATCCAGCACACACCAAGCTTCTCAGTCACACCACCGCGAAGCTATCATCTCACCTAAACCGGCTAATTTCCAGCTACGAATACAACACCACATCATTCTCTGTCGAAGTCACATCACAAACCGAAACCCTCCTCAGTCTCCATCACACCGCACGTGAACGAAGCACTCTCTACCATGGCGGCGCCAAGGTCATCAACGACACAACATGCTACCGCATCGCCAGCATAACCAAATCATTCACCGTCCTTGCCCTGTTCCAGCTCCAAGAAGTCGGCAAACTCAATCTCGACGACTCGATCTTAACATACTTACCCGACCTAAACGGCACAGGCCACCTCCCCTGGAAAGACATCACCATCCACTCCCTCGCAAGTCAAAACGCCGGGCTACCGAGGGACTTCGCACAAGACGACTACGTCAATCATCCTGAAGTCCCGGATAAGCTCGGGTTGCCAAGGCTAGATCCTCATAGTAAACAGTACAGAGATCTGCCGAGCTGCGATGAAATGGTAAATTATACGAGAAGCTGTGATGAGGATGATTTTCTGGATTGGATAAAGAGGATCCAGCCGACTTTTGCGCCGAATCAGAGGAGTAGTTATTCGAATATCAATTTTGATCTTCTGGGGTTGGTAATTGGGAATGTTACGGGGATGAGTTATGAGAGATATGTTACGGAGCATATTTTGGAGCCTTTGGGACTTACGTCTGGGACGGGGTTCGAAGCACCGCCTGATGCTCAGGCAGCTATTGCAAAGGGGATAGAATATTACTGGAGCTTCTACATTGGTGTGCAAAATCCAACAGGTGGGCTTTACGCGAACACGAAGGACATGAGTATATGGCTACGTTATGCGCTTAGCACTTTCAATGCCCATGCTCACGGAGCATTGAATTGGTTCCAGCCAACGAGCTGGAGTGATGGGCTAAGTACTTTCTACGGTATGCCGTGGGAGATCTTCCGAGCAAAGACCAGCGATATCATTGACAGCAAGAGCGACAGAGCACTCACGTTCATAACCAAAGGCGGCGGTCTTCCTGGCTATACTAGCTGGATCGTCATGATCCCGGAATACAGCATAGGAATTACGGTCCTGGTCGCCGGAAACAGCAAAGCCATGTCCGAGATTGCGCACATCGTGATTAGGGAAATGGTTGCTTTGGCAGAGGAGATCGTGTTGAAAGAGCTACACTCTCAGTATGTCGGACAATACGTTGACCATGTAAACAACGATACTACCATGGTCATCAAAGTCTCCGAGACTAACGGGCTATACGTCGACAGCTGGACATCAAACGGCACAGACGTGAAGAAAGGACTGAAAGACTTCTTCTCACAGGACGGCAGCGACATCGTCTTGCATCTTTCTCCCACTCTGCTCTATGCTAATCAGAAGGGACAGCAGGGAGAGAGATGGAGGATACTACTGAGGAAAGCAAGTACGGGGAGGCCTGAAAAGCCAAGTGTGTGGGATAAGTTTTGTGTTGCGGACGTTGAGCTTTTCATGTATGGCGGCGTTGCGATGAATGAGTTGGTATTCTGGAAGGGGGAGGACGGTGCTACAGATGAGATCGAGCCTGTGGCGTACAGGACCAGCTTGAAGAGATCGGCGGCGGTGGGAACTTACAGCCCCTACGAGTCTGGCGATCAAGCATATGTCGGTTCCTGACTTGGGTGGTTAGGTGACAATATTCTGGAAGATGAACTCTGTTATACCCTTGCTCGGCTTTCTTGACAATCACATCCAGTGCTTTTCAGGTACATCTGTCGTATTACTTCAGCCAAGCTGCTTCAAGAACCACAAACGTCTCAGGTAGGCTCCTCCGGCTCTCCCTACGCAACGCAATTCGCACTGCTTATCTTCACATCTCCGGACTACCAGCATTCAACATACTCATAAATGCCCCCTAAGCCCTAAGCCTCGTGCCTGCATCTGTGGAGGCTCCGTTCTCCATCATCTTGCACCATTTCTATTCCGCAGCTGGCACCTCCTCTTCTTCGTCTGCAGTGGCAGCACCTTCTCCCGTGCTCTTACGACTCTCCTCACGTAAGATCTCAATCGCTTTGTACGGCGGAACTAAGACGTTGAAATCAAGTGCATCCCTCAACTCGTATCGCAAGTCGTCAATAGCTTCCATGTAGTCCCGATCATCATCCATCGTGTTACTGGACGGTACATTGACTCGACTATACCTTCCCACAATGTAGAACAGCGTAATCTGCGCCTCCATCGCATGATCTACCAGATCGAAAGTCTTGTTTCCTTGCTCGCACCACCGTTGCGCGTCTCTTCTTTCTTCTTCGTTCCTAGCTGCAGCGACGATGTCCGTACGTGCGATAGAGATTCTCTTGACTTTGTCAAAGGTAGTGACGACTTCAGCGATGCCCTTCAGAACCTGATGCTTGATTTCTTCAGAGTGTTGTAAGATAGGTGCACCGCCCACCAACCTGTCCATAACGTAGTTCATCCCGGCTGGATCATAGAGGTTGAAGTGTTTAAAGGTAGATTCCATGTTTTGGTTATTCACGAGCGGCTCCGGTCGCTTTTCTCTAGCTTCTTTCGAACTTTTGGTTTAGGGAATTGTTTGCAATCACCACAAGCAGATCTGAAGTATCGGTATGTCGCTCTTCATATATGGTATCGCAATTGAAGACATCATTACTGATTAAAGACACACTCACCGTGTCTAGTCCATGGAACCAAGGTGACAAAGGATGTCTTAGTCAGGAGGAACCATACCGAAAAGAACGTGACAACACTGTGAAAAAGCATTGTCTTTCACTCACCTGTTTCAGCCCAAGTGCAAGTGCCTTTTGATCGACAAATATCGCTCATATGTGAACAACTTAAGTTCAACTCGTGCAAAACTGAGCCAAGCTCTTACTAGATCAGCCCAATTCCTCGGACTGAAGAGGTGGCCTCTCGCTCTAATAATCTCTTTTTGCTCCTCCCAGACTGTGCGACTTGCATACTTCGCCAGAATCAAAAAGGATCTAATAGGACCTTCAGTCGTTTGTAGTGATTCGTCCAGACTACGAGTCAGGTCGTTCGTCTTAAGTATAAGGAGGATCATGCTCGGAACACGACCGAGCAGAGCTACCAATTGCTCCAGCAGGTCGTCGCCGAAAGCTTCGCTAATAGCTTCCTTCTCCGCATTGTTACGCGCAGTTGTAGTTGCTTCGTGACGCAGCAGGACCCGATAGTCGCGACCAGTAATAGCGGATGCAAATAGAGGGAACTGCTCATCTGTTATGCCAGCCACTTCATAGGAGTACTTGCGCATTCGCTGCTCGTCGGCATCAATGACAGCCAGCCATAATTTAGCATAGTCTCTTCTCAGTTTTAGCTCTGGCACACGGTAGAGTCCATGATCGTATAGAACAAGGTCGAAATTATATGGGTATCGTCTGTTAGGGTTATGTCTGACTGCAATATTGCCTCCATGTGGATCGCAGTGTAGCGGCGCATCATTTGCGAAGATCATGGTGTTGAAGATTCGTGCTAGGGTAGCCGATACTTCGTCTCTTGATATATTGTGGGAGTCGAGGTATTGTAGGTTGTCTATCCTCGCACCAGAAACCTTGTCCATCACCAAGATACGTCTGCTGGCTTGTATGACATTCGGTATAACGAGAGGGAAATTCGTGTTCTCGTCAAAGTATTTTCGCGCACGCGTGGCGTTTTCACCCTCAAGGTTGAAGTCTAGCTCTTTTGGTAAGGAAAATTCCATCTCGTGGCTAAGCCATTCCAAGTCGTATTCGGGAAAGACGCGCTTCAGTGTCATGAAAGTGTACCTCGTCAGAGCTATGTCAAGTGGTACCCATTCCTCGAGCGACGGATGCTGAACCTTGACCGCCACGCCTTGCTGACTTCCTTTCAGCTTGGCTGTATGTACCTGAGCCAGTGATGCCGCGCCCAAAGGCTCTTTTGAAAACTCATCAAAGTCGTCCAGGAGGTGTCTGCCAGTATCACGAAGGTACATGTCTTCGATAGATTCGTAGGAGGAGACTGGACACTTGTCCTGTAGCGGCACAAAAGTAGTGGTCCATTCGTAGGGGAGGAGATAGCCCATGCTCGATATATGCTGTCCAAGCTTGACAAAGATAGAACCATTCTTTTCCGACACTACCAATACTCTCTCGGCGCACCTCTTGTGACATGCTTTGAGGAAAGCACTCGCCTCTTCGGGATCATCGTGGTCCTGCTTTAAAGTGGTTCGATAACTGCGCTGTGGTCAGTTTTTTTGCGAAGCTGGAAAGATCATTCACCACATACTCTTGAATACACACATACAACGTGCTAACAACCCTGCCAGTCCTTACCGCAGCACGATACCAATGGCTAAGCTCATCTCTGAGCAGGTAACCTGACACACCCAGACCAACAGCTGCAATAGTGACGAAGATGGCGTTGACCTGCCGCCTTCCCTTAACTAGGCGAATAGGCTGTGGCTGTCGCGACCGACTATATGCGCGCCGTGCTTCATATCTGATCTGTGAGGTTGTGTATTTGCCGGTCCATGGCTGTCTCGGGACAAAGGTGCTGTTTCTCCCCAGCTGGGACAGAATATTGAGCCGCATCGGCCAGCTACGCCACTATCTCAACATCGATACAGTCAATATGCGCAGCTCTGTCCTTGACGACGACAGAGTATCGGAAGGCGATACGCTTAGTTCGGGATATAGCCTTTGTCGTTGACCACGTGGTATGTCGTCGTTGGGCTGGCGACTCGTATAGTTTACGGAATACAAATTTTGGAGCCGAGCTTTGGTGGCGCCGCGACAAATCCACATTCACCCGAGAGAAAACGGAGGTAATGCGATCCACGTAAAAACATCACATACTGAATACGAGTAGAAGCGCCATGGGTCATAATGAGAAACTGATCAATTCAACCACTATGTTCTAGCTATATTGTACGCCCGCTAAGGTATATCAAAAGCACAAATGAAAAGCTCAAGGCCGTGAGTCTGTGACAGGCCTTGTTCTATTGCATGATCGTTGTTGTTGTGAATCCGAAACTCATAGCTGACCATGCCTGTCCTGAGGATGACTCGTCCGCTTCAAGGAACCGTTGACTGCACCTGTACCAAATCCAGGCCTTTGGTGAGGCTGAAGTGCTCTGGGCAAGCGTTGTGGCACCATGTCAAAGTTCATGGCCATCTGCATGGCCATCTGAGGTGAAAGCACAGGACGAGGACGCTATCCCTGCCCCTGCCAATTCACACCTAACGACCCATCATCGTAACCACTTCCGACGTCATATCCAGCGTCGCTCAGATCTCCATCATCAGCCATGTTTTGACTACTAATCGCATCCCAGTCGATATTTGCTAGTTGTGGGTACTGCGCCATCAAAGCAGCAGGGAGTGCGAAAGCTGGTTGCGGGGACGCATCAGGATCCATGGGTATGATGATTCCAGGATGCACAGGCTGCAGGCTGCTTTGCATATACTGCTGTTGCATGGCGGCCGCCTGTTGATGGTGCATTGCTTGCTGATTCCTGTATTGCTGGTTCCGCCTTTCGTTTGCTTCTTCGTCGAGTAGTGGCTTGATACACACTCTGCCCGCTTCAGATCGAAAGTGTCGACCTAGTGCGTCTGCTCTAGCAAATCGTCGTCCGCAGCCCCATGTTTCTCCTGGCTTCGAGTTGAGCTCTCCTTTGCACACGAATTTCTTCTCTCCACTGTGCAGACCCTCGTGCCTTTTTCGATCGTGCTGTCTAGCGAATGCCTTGCCGCAAACGGTGCAGACAAAAGGCCGTTCGTCGGTATGCGTTCGAAGATGAGATCGGAGGTTGTACGCGCGAGTAAACTTCTTCGGACACAAATTGCACTGGAAGGTGGCCGGGTGCTTTTGTACTCGACTGCTGCCACCCGCATTCGGTGAAGCATTCGGTCTCGAAGGATCCGCAAGATCAAGGATGTAGTCACGATTCTGCACAGACGATGCGCTGTATCTCCGGTTCTGAGTGTCTTTGCTGATGCGCCCAGATTGCACTCCAGGTGACGATTCTCGGGATCTAGGACCTGGTGAGGGAGAGCGGACGGACAAATTATCGTTATGCTCTTTCTTTACGGAGGGCGATACCGATCTCGAGTTCACAGGGCGAGTCATTCCAGTCACGTCTGACTTTGATCGATTTCGTCCTCGGCCGAAAGAACTAGGTGGACTGAGAGCGTCGTTTTCGTCCATCTCGCCTCGGTCGCCGAAGCTGGGCTGTCTTGATGTTGGAGCAGGGTCGATTTGTATGTTTGGAACAGCAAATTGATCGGCTTGTCCCATGTCAGATACAGATGACAAGTTGCGGTTGTGTAATGAAGGCATCTGGGTCTGGAACGCGGGCTGATCTGCAAAAAGGTCCGCTCTCATTTCCTGCTTGCCAATTTGCGAGTCAAGAGCAAATGCTTGCTGCGGTAGTAGTCGTGGTGATACATATGTCGCACCCGACTGACTCGAAGTATCGCCAATATTCACTGTTTCCAGGCCAAACGTGTTATTGTCTTGCGGATACAAGAAGGGCGACTTATTAGGGTCTGACTGATTCAATTCCGTTTGCGCTAGATATGGCGAACGTTGACTCGGCACTTCGGAGTACTGATCTGATGGCATCCTCCCATGCTGGAATTGCATGTTTTGCCAAGTGTTTGACATGTCATATGCGCTCGATGGATCGAGGGAAGCGTGTCTTGAATGTTGAGGCGTGTGGTACTGGCCGTTTGTCGATGTTGGTGACGTGTTTTGCTGCCTAGGAGAGTTGTGACTCTCGGCTGACAACAAGGCGTCACAGGAGGAGATATGATCTGGTGGCGGTCTGCTCAGATCTGCCGGGTTGACGTTACTTTGCTGGGTAACTGGAAAACCCGAGTTGAGGTATGACAGGTCGTCACCGTAATCGTTTGTGCTCATGCCGCTCGCAAAAAAGTCGTTCGTATTCAGGTTCTGCGTGAAGGCTGGGTCTGAGTATTGGTTCTCTTGAAAAGCTGTAGTATTGAACTGATTATTGGTATACATCTGTTCTTGTACGCCCTGCATGTTCTGCAGCTGATGACCCCCCCAAGGATTCTGCCATGTTGTGTTGAATTTGTTTGTGGTGAAGGTGTTCGAGTCTACACCAGGGTCTAGGCCTTGCTGGTGGTGTGAGAAGTTGTGGGAAGGAGGTTTTGGAGTAGGTTGTCGACTTCCTTGCTGTGAGGACAACCTCCCGTGCTGTGTGTCCATGGCGTACTAGCACTGCGTCTATCACTCGAATTATGCCCTCAGGCACCGCCCGTGACAGCGAGTGTCAAGTTGCCACTAACTTGTCAAAGTGTTATTCTTATGCCCAACAACGAGATGACGTGAGACTGATGAGGAACGTAGCGCCTCTGTGAACGCTCGATTTGATTGTGATACGGTAAAGGCGAGCAGTAGTGTCCGCGCGTCGGGCAATATTGTCGCAATGGGTAGGAGGTGGAATGTTCTGCAAGCCTTCAGATCATTCGCTTCCAATCGAGTTTATTTAACCAGCGCAAACGTCGCAATGGAGGTAAGTGATATCGCTTGGGCAGAGTATTGAAAACAATCGGGACAAAGAAGATTCCACGCGCGACAAACAACCAGAGGTGAATCCTCGAACAATAGCAGCAAGAGTCGCAAGAGCCGTGCAGTCAGAAGGTATTGCGTATTCATAGGAAGACAGGTGTATCAGTGCAGGTTTCACGATGAATAGTGGTGGGCCAGTGGGAAGGTCATATCCATACATCGGGATGTGCTTTACCCTGGATTCCGCCGGCCTTCACTTTCCCAGCTCAACTTGTCCGAAGCAAGTTTAGACTCTCACACTAAGCTTAACAATGAACTCCGAGCATCCAAATCGCGGGACGAGAACTGCAGCTTTTGGCCCTCTTTGCCCAGGCTCGGGCAACGTGCGATTCGTGGAACTCTTCTTCATTCGTCGAGGAAATGGTCAAGCCGCTGCAGCATGATGCTGGAATACAGCTTGAACGTTAAGATTAGAATACATCTCGGGCCTAGGACGAAGCTCGAGTTCCTGCTTTTCGCTTTCTATACTTGTTCTTGCGAGCTGTCTCTCAACTAACGGTATATCGCAAAACAGACGCTGTGCCATCTCTTCTCGGCTACTGATATGACCTTGTACCTGACATGTATACCGATACCGAACCAAATCAAGATCTGGCCCGGTACCGCTTTAATCGACCTATTTGGTACGACTTTGACACATCAAGAGCCGATCAATAATGTAAACCTTTGGAGAAAGCGCTGCAGCTAAAGTAAAATCAGGCATCCAGGAAAGGAAACTGCGTTCCTATTGCTCGTGGTGGACATGTACAAAAGCGCCTTGTGAGGCTGTGCAGGGGATTTGGGACTTTTCTCAATGGAGTGACTCGCACTCTTCTAACGCGTCGTAATATCAAATAGTCATCTTTCGCGCACAGGCGCTGGAGAACGATAGTCAGCGACAACATCCAATGCATCAAGCTCTATTATCCAGATACATACTAGGATACACGAATATGTTACCAATTAACAGTATAGGCCTACGTATCCGTGGAGGCATGCATCACTCAATAACGTGAAGCCTGATTTGTATTGAGAAGGATCATCATTGTGGACAATCAACCAAATAGACGGTTCCGTCCTGCATTGTGCGACAAGATCTGTCGACCTTCCTCCTGGTAATCATATCTACGATACCCACCTTTATAAGAACATATCTTTTGCATCACTCTCTGTTTCCCCCATCCTTTTGAGCAGTATGCATGCTTCCTTTCTTCTTGTTTTTCTGATATGGTTTTGCTATATTACCACCTTCCTGCTAAAGCTCTCAAACAAGACTGTCCTTTATTAATGCCTGTTCATGTATATGTGTTCTTGATGAGAAACGAGTGATGTCCTCCTCCCTTTGACCAATCACAGAGAATGCTTCCAAACGCCTGGCTGTCGCACTCGTACATTACTCCACAAATGAAAATGAAGCCTTTCGCTCAAGATCGTTAATCATAATCGGCCGTCTCTAATGTTGTTCAAGACCAGCTTCAGGGTAGACGTTGCGGCTGCGTACCCGACTTTTTGAATTCGTTCGTCACACCCACGACCCAGTAAGTTGTCTTAGGTCGAACTCAACGCATATGCGTTGTGAGAATGACGACGTGAAGTCCTCCCCTAACCACAGCATAGCACCTTCATGATTTTCTGCATGAAGCTAGGCTGCTGTTCCTGTTGTGGTGGAACACGCCCCTGGTTGCTCTGGAGATTTGCTGCTGCTGGACTTTGTCGACTCTGAGTTGGACCTAGGTTAACATTGCTGCCATGCAGTTGTTGCGTACTTGGAGGTGAGTTGATGTCAACCTGGTTCTGAAGGCCGCTCGTCCTCTTGGGTACGCCTCCTGCGCTTGTTCGGTTGCCTGGCGTCTTCGAAAGAGCCGCCACTCCTGGCTTTGCTGGCGATCCCGGAGGTGGCGGCTGCGCGGCGTTTAAACGGTCGCTAGATATGGCTGCTCGCTCTCGTGATGGTCGGCCGTCTTGTCCCCTTGCACCTGGTGCGTGGTGCAGTGCTCGTGCTGATGCCTCAGCTGGTGCATTTGGGTTGTGTAGATGATGTGCGGAAGGATGTGCCTTGACAGCCTCCCAGCCACGTCCTCCATTCAATTTCATCCAGTCATACTCGCCATCTTCGACTTCGCCAGTATTTTTCAGGGCCTGTGTAAATAGATCTCGTAAAAAGTCGTAGTCGGGCGTGTCCTCGAAACCAAGATTTCTAACGTAGCTCAGATACTTGTTGAATTCTTCTGAGGCCTTGTTAGCAGTACGCCTCCAAACCTTTGTGCAAGTACTGACCTGGTAGACCTTCGCACAGGTCTTTGATGGCGGTGGTCTGTTTCTTCTCCCCGATCTTTTCATATTTTTGCTTGTTTGTAGCTGCTTTCAAGCCTTGCCAGGGCAATCCTCCTCGAAGGAAATACATGAAGACGTGGCCTAATGCTTCAAGATCGTCGCGTCGAGACTGTTCCCTTCCTAAATGTGTGTTGATGCTCATATAACGTGCTGTGCCGGAAAGTGACTTCCTTTCCCTGTACGGGATATGCTGTTTAGTTTTGGGATCTCGGTACTGCTTGGCCATTCCGAAGTCGACCACGTGAATAACGTTGGCCGATTTTGTGTTTGGTCGTCCAATCAAGAAGTTGTCGGGCTTGATATCTCTGTAAATTAGGTTCTTCTCGTGTATCGTCTGTACTCGAGAGAGCTGCATTAATGTTAGTTTCGAATCTTTCATGAATAGTACATTGATCCTACCATTTGTTTGGCGACCATAACGACTGTTTTTACAGAGAATTTGCGGTTGCAATGATCGAACAGATCTTCCAAGCTGGGACCTAGCAGATCAATGACAAGGATGTTGTGCAAACCCTCCTGGCCAAAGTAGTAGACATTTGGAATCCCGGCTAAGCAAAGTTAGACATCGGTTCGCATGCGAGATACGTCGTTGCACATACGACATCCTACTAGTATCTTATATGTTCTGTATTCATCGCGGAGTTGCGGAGCATCGCTTTTTCGAGGTTCCTGTGACCTGTTACTACCTGTAAACCCAAAGTTTACATTATTGACGTACGAATTTGATAGCGACTTGTTGGTTGTTAAGCAGGTTGGTGCCCTCGAAAATAACGCCGAAAGAGCCTTCACCTATCTTCTTTCCAACCCTGTAGTGGACACCAACGACATTCGATGAAGAGGTAGCCATAACGGCTGGAGGACGAGAGGTTCAACAACGAGGCGATCGGCTGACTATCGTGGGTTCGTAGTTGGTTTCGAGGAAGAATGCGACAATGCTTGGATTTCGGAGGTGTTGATTTCGGCCACCTGGACCACGGTTCCCCGGCTTCCCGACAGTCAGTAATGCATAAAGAGTGAAATTTTGTCAGCAAGCAAATGGCAGTAGCTGGCGGCCAAGTTGATGGAAGCAAATAGAGAAACAGGCTGGCGGTGTCATACCTAGGAAGGAGGAGAGAAGACAAACGGCGTAGAGTCGCAGGAGCCGCAACTCCTTGCCAAGCTCAAGTACTAAGCACGGCCGCAGGTAACAAGGAGCGATAACCTGTTTGCTCCACGCTTTGAGCCTTGCTCACAACCTCATCGCCTGCAGGCCTGAATATGGGAGAATGCAACCAACAAAGGAAGGTCCAGATATTCTTGACGCAAGGCAGATGCACCTGCAGTTTGTTTCCTTTGGTCGAAGCGTTGATGCAGGGAGATGTGAAGGATTTGGAGCAAGAAAAGCAAAATTGCAGCAAGAGAGGTCGGAGTGACCGCTGCGGGTATTCCGTCTGGCTGATTAAAGCTTAGCCTGACTCGCTACAGGCCTTCATTGTCGCATTCGGCCTCCACCTCGCTACCACCATGCACACCCACACTGATCATGGTTTAGCTTTAGATTCCTTTCACCTACCGACCAGAAAGATACGACCTTGAAGACTGCCCTCTTTGAGGTAAATTCGTCTGTTTTCGAAGGCAATGCATATCTCCAAGCCAATGGGAGTTGTACGACGCTGACAGACGAGTTGTGGTACTCGTGCCCCAACTTGTCATCTTATGTCCGAGTTCTATATAATTCGTTACTGCTGCACCATCTAGGTCAACTGACATGGTATAGCGCGTGTCGATCCGGCTGCAAACAGCTAAATCATATCGACTATCACCTGTCAGTGTACTGTATGTCAGAATCCCAAGTTACCTGCACACAGGAGTTCTTCCACTGTAGAAATTTGCTAGCGTCAACGAGGTCCCCATTGCGCTCTGCAGGTACCCGCTGAAGAGCTGGAGAAGACGCCAGTCATGCTTGCTAAACTTCCGATACTGCTTCTTACGGCAGCACAACCATCTGTGTTTCAGAGAGAGATTTCGACTGTCTCGAATTTAACCAAGTGAAGCACTCGAGGATTTTGAAATCGAGGCAATCTGTTTTGCGACATCGCACACCAATCAATCCTCGATTAATCAATTTAAGAAAGGGCAAGCATGTTTGCTCGAATTGCCCATTCCAAAAAGTAGTAATATAGGACTACACGAACCCTGGAGCTCAATCTCAAGTGCCGACGAGCTAGGGATTAGACAATCGGAAGCTAGACCCAAGAACGCCAATCTCGCACAAATAATGGCTCTTTTTGTTACAGTGAAATCGCATAGCGATATTGAGCGTTTCAAGGAAGACTGTTCTCTCTAGCTTATCAATGCAACAGCCGGTCAAACAGCCACAACGCATTTCGCGAAGGTCACCATGAAAATCTAGGCCTCGTTAAAGAGCGTGAGGTTGTGGCATCTCAGGCCGCCATAGCGCGTTAATGGCGGTGAGTAGACCGCCTCAACATCAGTTCTTCGGGTTTGTGGCGTGCACGCATCAGTACAACTTGCATCGTACAGAAATTCTTTAGTGTATGGTCGAGTGACAGGCAGGAAGAGATATGAGTAATATTGTTACAAACTTGTCTGCTATAGAGTAAGAGTCAACTCAGGAAAGCCACCAAGCCTTGAGACAATGCCATCTCCCCAGACTCTGAGCAAAGCATGCTGGACGTGCTGGTGCTCTATATATAGTACAGTAATATTGTCTCGATGCATGCTTTTCAGAAACGAAAGTGTATGTGACTCAGTCGGTAGTGGTTCAAGGACAGATGGTGTTTTCTGCGGAATGCCTAATATACCTTGCGTATCGCTTCTCCGGCCCCAGAGACGGAGCTTGGCTTCTTGGTATGCGTGATGCCATGTCTTCAGTAGGCATCTTGATAGGGGTTGTCGTTGTCAATGCTCTTTGGCGGCCGCCAGGTGTTGTGCTCACTTTGGTGCTTTTGCGAAGAGGTGAAGGTGTGGTCGGTTGGTAGTCCCAGACAGCTCTCACACCATCAGTGCTGGACAATACAGGTGTACTCATGGATCGTTCTCTGGGTCTGTCGATAGCGATACCCTTGTTTTTTAAACTCAGACCATGTGACCAGCTCATACGGTCTGAAGTAGTGGCAATGTTCTGCTCTGTTTTCGACCTCTTAATGGGAGAGAATCCGCTGAACTTTATTATGCTAGTCGACCTTCCAAAGAAGGTGCTCACACTCTTTCTGAGAATGGACCCGCTTGACTTATGCAAAGGCTTCCTTGTAGGCGTCTCCTGCAGCTGTCGCTCTTTTCGAGCCGCAAGCTGTGCTTCCAGAGCAGTGGGGGACGGCGTCCTAGAGTATACACTCAGATCGCCTGTGGAAGGTGAGTAGATGACAGCTCTGTCTATTAGTGCTGAGCCATCTTGGTCGTCATTATCTGCCTGCTGCGATCGCGGATGTGCTTGTCCTGGCGTGATAGGAGTATTGACCCGCTGAGACGGTGTCACAAATGATGTGACACCAGGATGGACTCTGAGAGGATCAACATGTTGGTTCGCTCGCGGTGGTGGCTTTGGCTTGATCCACCTATTCTTTCTGGCAGACCATCTCAGAGGACGAGGCTTGGACAGTGCCCGTGCATCTGGTCCCGCTTGAAGTTTGAGCCGTCCATTTGCTGCGGACGAGATTTTGGAGACATGAGACCCTGATGCGGTTGAACTAGGATCTACAGAACTCAGTTGTGTTGAGGACTGACCTGCCGAATATGTCAACACATGTACGTGTATGCACAAGTGAGTGTATAGATTCAACTCACCTGTCTCCAGGCTGCTACCAGAAACATCTCGTACAAGCCTGTTGAGACTCCACAACGACCTGGCTTTCTTGAGCCTCGATGTTGGTGTATTGTGAGAGACCAAGGTCGGTGATGAATCAAAATCAATTTTCTCGACGGCGCTAGCGAAAGAACGACTCAACGAAGTAGCAAGCAAATTGGTCGTGCTCTCTGTGTAAAGGCAAGGAAGACGTGGCACTCGCTGCTCATTCTCACCGGTATCAGCACTGTGAACATTTGCAGTAGAAGCCTTGCTTCGACTCAAAGACTGCGATAGACTTGCATCACTCCGCATTTCGACTTGTGGTCGAGGATCTCGCCCCGTCCAGTGGTGCAGCTTGTCCTTGTAGGTAGTCACAGAACCCAGCATACGACTAGAGCCAACAGAAGGTGTAGCAGCGTGACCTTTCCCTCGTGCATTTCGGCGGGTCAAAGGACCATCCAGCAACAAGCTTGCGCTGGCTCTTCGAGAGTGGCTAAGTTTCTTCTTCACGCTTCGGACAGTAACAGCCCAGGGGTTTGACTTGTCAATATCGTGTTGAGGTTGAGGTGAACTTGAATCCGTGTTGGTAGACATTTGGACCGAGCCAGCTTTCTTGGACGAACAGTCTGGTAGGAGAACATCACTGCATTCGACACTCTCGATACCTGCTACGCGAGCATTGGTTGTGCTTGTTAGCACAGGAGTACCGATTGTGCTTCTGGATACGGACGACATGCTGTTGTGTTGAGGCAGCGGCATGGAAAGGCTCTTGGTTGTATGCCATTGTGTTCTTGACCTTGAGAAAGGCAACCAGGAAAGAGGTCTCCTTCGATGTTGTTGTATTGAATTGTCTTCTGTCACTTGTGGGACTTTGTTGCCCCGTCTGAAATATGAACTTCGTAGAGTGTTCGAGGTTGAAGTCTGTAATGACGGTGAGTATTCAGGAGTTGCAAATCCAGTTTGAGAGGGCTTTGGTTGGCGTGCAGGATCACAAGATAGGCTCGAAGCTGCTCTCAGGTCCAAGTCGGAGCTCGAAACACCCATTGCTAGCCATACAGTTAGTCAATCACTTTGGCAACAGCTTGAACAAACCTGGCCTTGAACGCGAACGGTTTCGTCCAATGCTGCGCCACAAATCAGCAGAGAATAATGACCTAGACCCACGAGAGGCATCTTTGCGGTGCTGTGGTCTGTGAGACATCATTCTGGCGTGGGATTCTGATCAAGTGAGTGGCATTGTTGGTTGCACGGACTGTGCAAATGAGCCGCAAAGCATCACCAAGTGCAGGAGAATACCTCAAGCAAAAAGAAAAGAAGCCCCAATTTGGACGTAGAAAAAGAGGCAGGAACATTGCTGGGTGGTACGAAAAGTCAGTGATGTGGCAAGAGCCATGCGTCAACACGGAGGTCGTTTATGATCGCTCCTGCCTCTGTAGAGCAAGTCGGTTCTCTCCTGAGCTGCCCAAGCACCCAATCTGGTTGATGGTCATGTTGAGCAAGTGCTTTTCACAGCCAAGCTCGTGTTATGATAAGCGACGACGGCATATCTTGTGTCTAGAAACAACGTTGGTAACACATTCTATCTTGAAGGCCCGTTCAAGGTATTTTTCTGGTTGTAGTGCTGCAGTGTAGGCTGTTGTGTGTCATTTTAGCCAATCGTCCGCATAGGTAGGTAAACTGTCAATGAGTTCAAATCGCTTGCGCGACTTGAAACTGGAGAATTACTTCCATATGACAATGTTGTAGTTGAGGGTCGAAAATTGGTGGTAGATATCCGTATAAGAAAAAGTGAGAATTTACCGAGGTTGAGTAAGTGTTCATCAGCAGGACGACCCCTGTAGTGGTAACTTAGTTTGACAGATCGACTGTATCTGCACACTCTACAGTCGACTTGTGAGTAGAGGCATTACTACTGTGTCGCCACTTACAAAGAGAAGCAGCAGCATGCCGTATACCCTCAAAGGCCGTAATGTGCTCGTCACAGGAGGGTCAAGGTATTGTGGATTGAACGGTCTGTTGCATGAGATGACTAATATAGACTAGAGGTCTAGGAGCTTTGATTTGTGAAAAGTTCGCTGCGGAGGGTTCAAACGTTGCTGTAAACTATGTCTCAAGTAAAGACCGGGCTGAAGAAGTTGCCAAAAAGGTGGAGTCATACGGAGTGAAGGCTATATGCATTAGAGGAGATTGCGGATCATCTGAGGACAACACGAGGCTGGTCAAAGAAACGGTCAAGGCTTTTGGGGGAATTGATATAATCATCGCAAACGCTGGATGGACGCGATTCGCCAAATTTGGTGACCTCAACGACTTGTCGCTCGACGAGTGGAATAAATGCTGGGCAAGCAATGTGATGGGTAAGTAAACTTCATGGATCTGTACTGAGATCTGCCCAGACTGAGCTCCAGTCTAACAAAAGTTTTTCCGAGCTAACAACGTCTAGCTCACCTGCAACTCATGCAGGCAGCTGGTCCAATATTCGATGCCAACGACGAAGGTGGCGTCTACATTATCACATCATCGGTAGCGGTACGTTCGTCGTCGCGCTGTTGCCAGCAGTAGGTACTGATGAACGACAGGGAATCTCGACTGGTGGCAGTTCGATGGGATACTCAGTCACGAAAGCAGCTGGATTGCATTTGATGAAGTGCATCGCCGCCACACAGGGTTCGAAAGTCCGTATGAATGCTGTTCTGCCTGGCCTCTTACTCACCGAGTGGGGACTGAGATATTCTGAGGACCGCATCAAGGAGTTGAAGGACAAAGCTGTGCTAAAGACGGAGGTAAATATGGCCCTTCCGCGGCTCCTGTTTATTGCTGACATCATGATCAGACAGATCTAGACGACTGCGCCGACATGGTAGGTGAACCTGAATAGAACATACAGCTCGTGTTTTTGCAGAGCTTCTTGCATTAGCACAAAGATGTTCTTCGATCTAACCCAGATACAGTTTATCCACATCGCAAAAAATAAATCCATGACAGGTCAGGAGATTGTTATTGGTAGGCATTCTCTGAACCGCACAGTGCCTAGCTGACGATACACCAGATGCTGGTTTGAGATCTGGCACGAGATAAATGGGAACGTGATTAGCATATCGGAATCGAGTCGTATTCATTTGCGTCTGGACTCAAAGAAGGTTCAACTCGGTTGTTGAGCAAATTCATAGACTTTGATATTGCCATTCTCTGCCGCAGGAACTGTACTGAAAAGTCGTGCTTGAGCTGCCATCACGGATGATGTTCCAGGCTTCAATCCGGAGATGGAGATTTCAGGAATGCAGAGGTACTTTCCATCATGTGCACGTACAAACAGAGAAGGTGAATTGATAGTCTCGTTGTGGTTGTAACGCGAAATTCTGAAAGGTACACCAGGTCTAGCAAGATTGAGCAAATCTTCGGACACTCCACCTGCGAAGTCGTCTGTTTGCGCCAAGCGGATGTTGTTGCTACAAATGAGCCTCATGTCAGAAGAAGAGGGCGTCGCATGTGTAGAGGAGGCAACCCTGACCCACAGATGCCCGATTGCTCTGTTCAACCTCAAGATTTGAATTGAAGTCATGTTCTCAAAGCTGATGTGTCGTGATTCTGGGGACAATTTGGGAGCATGGTTGAGGTTGATTGGATAGGCTGGACCGATTTGAGGGCGCGGACTGAGATAGAGGCGTTCGTGTAAGCTCCTGACCAGCATCTTTGATCCTATCTCCGCCAAAATCTGCCGTAGCTCTCGCGCGGTAATGTGATCGGGGTCTGGTATGGCTACACCTGGAGGTGGGGTTTGCAGCACGATTTGACCTTCATCGAACTTCGATGGATGGAGCGTTTGTATAGTCACTCCTGTTTTCTCGTAGCCATGAATGATGGCGTGCTCAATGGGTGCAGATCCTTTTAGGTCGGGTAGCATTGATGGATGGACATTCAGTCCCCCAAAGTGACAAGCTTTAAGTATGCGAGGTGGCACAAGCAAGCCAAAAGAAACAGCTATTACCAGGTTGATGTGATCCTCGTGAGGTAATGTAGGCAGGTTCCATCCGCGAAAAGTATCGAATTGATGGATGGGCAGACCTAACTGCTGTGAGACAAGCTTGATAGGTGGCGGCTTGATGACCTTCAGTCCTCGGCCAGTGCGTTTGTCCGTCTTTGTAGCGACATCGATTGAAGCAACATTACTGTTGGGCGACTGGTGATATCGGTGCAGCGCTCGGAGGCAGGTTATACTGAAGTCATCTGAGCCACAAAATAGGACACGTAAAGGGGCATCGCGCTGGTTAGACGAGAAGAAGCGGCACGCCCTGCTCCGCATGGAAGAGGGTCTACATCTCAAGCAATTCTTCGTCGCGTCTGCAACGAAGGTTTGAACACGACCAAGCATTTGCTATCGAGGCATATTGATTGTGGTAGAAAGCTATCTCAAGCTCAGGACAACAGATCCAGTCACGTGGAGCGTGAGGAACTCTTCCAAGCCGCGGCTTTGTTGGATGACCGTGCCAAACACTCAAGTTGAGATGCGATAATCATCAAAGCGTGCACTTGACTATTTTCACGATCTCTCTGTCGAACATAGAAAGCGAGTTGCGATATACAATCAAGAACTCTCAATATGGCTGATAGTGCCGCAAATAAGCCTACAGCTAGCACTGTCCACGAGCAAGCAGTAACAGAATCAGTACCGGCCCCACCTACTGTTGGTGGTGATGATTCAGATCCTGACTTTGACGACCTCGATGGTTCGTGAACAGCCTGCAAGCTCGATACTTCCGCTGACCGCATCAAGATGTACTTGATCAATTCTCCGCCAACGCGCCAACCAAGACCACGACAAAAGCGACCGAGCCAGATGCGAGTCGAGCGCCAGCCTCATCAGGGCCTGGCAGACCCGAGAAGGATGTGTTGAATCTGAGTGATCAACCACTACCTGACGGACCTAAGCCAGGTGAGTCGGAGGAAGAATTTATCAATAGATTGTCCTCGGAAATGTCCAAGCTATTCGCGAATATCCCCAGCGATGCCGACATAGCAGCCCAGAACCCCGACATGACAAAAATGGGCAAAGAGTTGGAAGAGTTTACGCGCCAGATGGAAGAGCAGGGTGTGAAGCCGGAAGATCTTCTAAAAGCCATTCTCGGCGAAGAAGGTGCCAAGGTCGCGAATGTCGCGACTGCGGAGAGAGAACGCAGAGATTCAGAGAAGGAGCAGTCTAGGTCGCGACCCTCTTCCTCCACTGCACCGCAGGCAAGTAAAGCCAACAAGTCGTTCGAGGACACGATACGGCAGACCATGTCGCGACTCGACGAGTCTGATACACAAGCGAAGACAGCAACACAGCAATCTGCCTCGAAATCAGATGAAGATTTGCTTGCAGAAATGCTCAAAGCCCTGGATGGTGGTGGCGGCGAAGGTGGTGAGGAGGGAATATCGAAGATGTTCTTGGACATGATGCAGCAATTGACGCAGAAGGACATGCTGTACGAACCGATGAAAGAACTACATGATCAATACCCAGACTGGCTGCAGAAACATAAACCTCCTACCATCAAGCAGGACGACTATGACCGATACGTGAAGCAGAGTCAGGTCGTCCGGGACATAACAAACAAATTTGAAGAGCCGGGCTTCAAAGACGAAGATGAGAAGTGTAGACAGTATGTATGGGATAAGATGCAGGAAATGCAGGCTCTAGGAGCTCCGCCTGAGGAATTGGTTAAGAACCCATTCCCGGGGACGGACTTTGGTGCTATACCAGGTCTTGGAGGTGGTGGTGATGGACTCAAGGACGAAGGCTGCCCCACGCAGTAACATTGCCAATCGGCCTTATCGTCCTGCATACCTATACAGTATTTCTTCCTGCATAGCAACATTTGTCAATGGAGCTGTAGGTCTACGTCAAGTGCTTGCATAGGAAAATGTCCTCTCAGACGCACTTTGAACACTTCAAATTTCGGCAAGTCCGTCTCAGGCTGTTGGAGATACTACTCGCTAGGCAGACTTGCGGCTTCGGCAACACTATTACGTTGATTGCTCTCGCTTCTTCAGCTAAGCAGGCGAAGCATTGCTTGCTACATCTTAGCCACGGCTGATCGCGCGCAAAGGCCTCGATCGGGCAGGATTAGCGGAGATCACACAAGAGAACATGGCAAGATACGAGCACAATTGGCGATCCTCGCCAAAACTGCCCCGCCAGTCTTGGAGCTGACGCAAGACTCTCTTCATTGACGTCGCGATCTCGCCAGATTCAGTTCGTCTTTCGGGCCATTCATCAACCAATTTCTGATCACTTGCGCGGCCGTAACTTCCAGCGGTCGCATGAGCTGCCGGTAAGGGAATCATGCTGCGCTCTGCGCGACATGACATCGTACAACCCAACATGAAGCAGATAACAATAGCTATAGGCTCTGTTCGCACATCGCATAGGGATTAAACGTCTTCGCTTCCTCCCTACGAGCTTGAAGAATACTTATAACACTCTTCTCAAACTTGCTGCCTACCAATCTAGCATTATTTTACCTAATACTCATCTGTCAAAGTCGATATTGCTGAAATTAACCTAGACATAGGCCTTCCCACAGTACAAACGTTCCAACATTACACGCACGTCTATAGGTCACACAACGAGTGCCACAGTACTTAAGAGCTGCGGTGGTTCGACGTTGGTCTCAATTGAAGGTGTTTTGTGCCGGGTACTGCCCACGCAGGCAATTTGATAAGCATGGTTTTCTCAAGCTTACGCTATCTTGCAAATCCTACCTTTTCGGCTGCACAAGATGGCACTCCTGACGAGAACCCTATGGCCTCGAACAAGTCCTCGCTAAAAGACTTCCTTGCTTCTATAGCATCTATGACAGGCGATCTGTCCAATATCACAGCGCCTCCATTTGTGCTGGACCAGAAGTCAGTGGTGGAGATACCTGCATTTTGGGCCGAGAATCCTGACATTTTCGTATCGCCCTCGACAAGTGAAGAGCCGGCGGAAAGAGCGTTGTTGGTACTCAAGAGCTTCTTAGCAGGCATGAAATCCCAGTGTTACCTAGGACATTCCCAAGCCGAAGGCGTGAAGAAGCCCTTGAACGCTTTCTTGGGCGAGTTGTTTATCGGACATTGGGAAGACGAGAAGATAGGGAACACATACCTGGTGTCTGAGCAGGTATCACACCATCCACCAATTACTGCCTGTCGTGTGTGGAATCCAACATGCGGAGTCGTGGCCGAGGGATACAATCGCCAGAAAGTAACTTTCTCCTGGAGCTCGATGCAAGTACATGTTACAAGTACCGGGTTTGCATTGAAGTCAATCGAGAAGTACGGTGAACATTACCTGATACCTTTACCTGATTTTAAGGTCAAAGGCGTACTCTCCGGAGCACCCTATCCTGAGGTTGAAGGAACCTACTACATTCCAAGTACCAACGGTTACATGTCCAAGATTGAGTTCGCGGGCCAAAGTTTCCTGGGCCGTGGTAAAAGGCACGGCTTCTCTGCAGCTTTGTACAAAGAGGAGGAAGGACCTAAGCACCCGATTTACACTATCGAGGGCAGTTGGGGCACAGAATTCACAATTAGGGACGTGCATGCTGGGAAAGATATCGAAACCTTCAATATTTCAGAGGTCGTCAGCAATCTACCGGAATTGAAGCTGCCAAACATAGAAGATATGGATCCTTGGGAGTCACGTCGAGCATGGCATGATACTCAGGAAGGCATTCGTAACAACGATTTCAAAGCTGTGAATGCGGCCAAATCTTACCTCGAGGAAGGCCAAAGAAGCATGCGAAAGGAGGAAGAAAAGAGTGGCACAACGTGGCAGCCATTATTCTTCAACCATGGCGACTCGCACGAAATTGTCGCGTCGTTGATGGATAAAGTGCCTGGCGAAGATTTTGCAGCGATGTCACAGGAGACGGACGGGACTTGGTTTCTTGACACGTCAAAGTATGAGAAGACAGAGAAGCCGTACCATCCTGGCCTCGAACCAGACAACTTGAAAGAAGGTGAAGAGAGGATATACAGGAATGGCTCGAGATCGTCTATGTCACTGAGCAGATCATCCACACCAAGAGGCTCGGTCGATCTTTCCAATGGTGCTGCTGTATCACCAAGTCGCAGCTCATCGCGAAGGAGCTCGGTTGACGTTCGAAATGGTGTTAACCGCGACGGTCGCCGTACTAGTTTGGAGCACACACAGAGAAGGAATATTGAGGATAAGGGGAATGGTCACGACAAGAGACGTGACAGTACCCACGGCGACTATCCACGTGCCAGCTTGGAATACAAGCAGCGGAGAAACGTCGATGAGAAGGTAGGCGCAGTTGACAATGCTCGACGTCTTAGTGTCGACAGCAGGACGAACGTTGGAAGGCACCCTGAATCGCAAAGTACCCCATTGCGGAATGTGCAAGAGCTTGGACAGGATGTTGAGGGTATTTCCTTGAACGACAAGACAGCTGTGGAGGATATGTTAAGGGATGTGTACAGTTCTGGTGGCCATTCGAGGCGTGGATCGAAGAAGCAAACATAGTCTTGATTTTATACATCTGCATAGCGAGCGAGCGATCATCTCTAGAACCCTGAAACACACTTTCCACCTTCGAAGACCCTTGTCCGTCTGCATCTGCGCTATGCAGCAAGACTGAAGTTTGAAGACGAGCGACCATTTACTGTACACGTGACGCCGCGACGAGTACTTGTGAGTCTTGATACACATTTATTTCTTGCAATGGCCCCCCAAGTGTATTGCAATACTTCGCGGCGTCTAAGCCAAATCCAAAGCCATGCAATTGAAGGTCACCCAGCGTATGCTATCCCGAAGTGTATCGAGGCCTGAACAGGAAATATCTCAATATACGAGCAGGGCACGAATGCACCAATAAAACCGGCACAGAATGAGCACCACTATTACGCTTGACGACGAGTCTTTACCGTCCAATCCTTCTCATTCCTTCCTGTCTAGCTACTGCACCCTCATTCTCACTATCCTGAGTCTGTATATCATATTGTCCACCCTCCTGACTCTGGTCGTATATCGTGTCATCCGTGTCCTCAACCGGCCCAAACCAAGACGTACACCCTCGAACTCTAAAGATAATCCTCACCAGCAAAAAGACCATCTTCTCATTGTACTCGGATCCGGTGGCCACACCGCCGAGATGATCAGTATCCTGCAGAACCTAGGCACAGAGTACTTGAACTCGAGGTTCGGCAGAAGGACATGGGTGGTCAGTAGTGGGGACGGCTTCAGTGCAGAGCGAGCGAGGGAGTTTGAGGCACGGCTCGTCAATCAGGAGGGGACAAGGAAGGGCGAAAGCAACGAGAGTATGGCTGGAAGTAGTCCCATGACAGAAACCGAACCAAACGCCCAGGACTCACGTCTATACGACATCGTCACAGTCCATCGAGCACGTAACATTCACCAATCCCTCCTCACAACGCCTCTATCAGCACTCCGCTGTCTCTGGGATTGTATCCTGCTCCTTCGTGGTAAGCACTCTGACCAGAAGCAGAAGCACAATCACACCGCCGCCAAAGCTGGCAATACACCCATCCCCTACCCAGACCTCATCTTGACCAACGGTCCTGCCACGGCTGTCATTCTGGTCCTCGCATCTCTGATACTGCTCTTCTTGGGAGTCGCACCAGTCCGAGGCAACACAGGTAGTGGCGCAATGCGAACCATCTACATCGAGTCGTGGGCACGCGTCAAGACACTCAGCCTGAGCGGGAAGATCCTCCAACGGTGCTGTGGCGTGAATCGGTTTCTGGTACAGTGGAAGGGGAGGGAGGATGTTGACTTGACGTTGGAGGAGGAGCAGACGAGGCAGGACAGGGATGGTGTGAGAAACGGAAAGGAGGCAAGAGCTCGGCTTGAAGGTCGTGGTGGAAGTGGGTTTGTGATAGGCAGAAAAATAGAATATGTAGGTACTGTTGTGACCTGACCTGACCTGACTCGATCTCGATTTCTCTCAAATAGAGAATGAGGAGATAGATCGATAGTTCTAATGGTATCTACAACTGATTTGCTATACATTCGCAGCTTCTTAGCTAATTTCACGGCGTATAAGCCATCCCGAATCTGTACATTTCGAAGTGACAGAGACTTCGTGGTCATTATCCAGGAACAATCATAATTTGTGTATATGCTCTTCGAGCAGTAAGCTCACATCCTAGCCAAGCGCTTCCTAAACTTCGCGTCCGGCTTCTTATAACGACGCGCAACAGTCAACTGCTGGACCTCGGTGATAAGACTCGCAAAGTCATGTACCTGCTTGCTGCCGTGAGTCTTTTTGGTAGCCAATAGCGAAGCTTCCTGCTCTTTCTCTTTCTCTTTCAGCTCCCGTTGCGCCTTGATCTCACTTCTGAAACTCTCCAAGTCCTGCATGTGCTGCGCCATAGCCTCCTGCCGCTGTTCTCGTCTCTTCTGCACCTCTTGCTCAATCGCTTGCGTCGCGGGGCTCTTGCTCGCACTCATCATCCGATCTTTCCACCAGATTGCTCTAGCGTCCTCAAGCATCTTCCTTCTCACCCAGTCGGGGTCATCGTGCATTGTCGCGTCCCGCCTGTGCTGAGGTTTCAGCTCTTGCAAGATGCCGCGCACGATTCGCTGCTGTCGTTCCATGGCCTTGTTACTGTTGACGAAACCGTGTAGTCCGGCTCGTTCGATGTTGCTGGCGCTTGGTCGGTTGTCCGGTTGCAATGCTCCAGCCGTGTATCGTGTGCGTGGGTCGTTCTGGTCTGGAATGTTCGATGCGTTGGCATCGTGTATAGGGGGTACGTAGCCTAGTGGAGGATTGAGAAGTTGGGGTCTCCATGTCATGTCTGACCTTATCTTCTCTTCTGTATCTGTGTCTGTGGCTTGAGGTGTGTCTTGCATGGTTGCGCTTGGCCAGGGTATTTCGATGGGCTTGCCATCCGAGCTCCATACTGCGGAACCAGTAATGTAGCGGGTATGTGCAGGGATGTTTGTGGTAGGAGCTCGTTGAGCGTAAGGAGCGTCGCCATGGACGTGTCTTACTATCGCTTGTCTGACCTGACCAGTGGCAGGGTCTATCATCTCATGGCAGAGGCGGACCCATGACATGGGGATGGGGGCTGTCATTGTCTCGAACTTGGGAGCCTCAGCTACATTACCGAGTGCCGCAAGGTTCATATCGGGGATGCGCACATCAGCCTAATGATTATAGTCAGCATGACAGCTTTTGTCTTTTGCAGGGAACCCCAGCCAACGTACCATATTCACGGTTCTCAGTCTCACAGACTCACTTTTTGGGTCGATTGCCTGGACATAATCGACCCGACCTCTTAAGTGTTCTGGACCATGCACAATAACGACACGATCGTTCTCAATAACGTTTCCCACAATTGTTTCTCCTTTGAATCTATCCTCCTCGTCTTGTTCCTCCCAGTCTCTAGCCTCATAACCAGCAATTTTTGGACCACCTCTTGTTTGGAAAGGAATTTCAGGAGGGTGAAATAAGTCAACTTCGATGGCCCCATATGAGCCTCTGTTTGTGCCACTGTCCCTATTCGGAGCCAATGGACCCAGCAACCAGTCTTCACGACGATTGGAGCGCTCTTCTCTTACATATTGACCACGTTTAGCGTCAACGTTGTTCTTTTGGCGCTTGTATTCATGCCATTGCTTATTAAATTTGACCCTCTCCTTCTTATGAAATACTTTAGCTGCTTGGTTGCGGGCAAGCAAGTTGATGCGGAGGGTCTTCTGCATGATGAATGATTGTAGGGGTTTGTAATGGTGGAAGAAGTGAGACTACAGGAGTTTCTCGTCGTTCATCGCCGCAGCTTGATTCTCAGATTATTAGCTTCGTCGCAAGTATTTGGTGAGATGGTTGTACGCTGCAACTTTGTACGGCGATGTGGTACGACCACAATCTTCCGTTGATGTTGATGTACAAATTCTAGAAACATAGTTGTTCGATGCGCGAAGCTGCGACTTGGACAAGGCTGAACCTTTGGGTGGAGACTTAGAAGACCCCAATTCCGCAGTTTCGCACCTTGGGCTCCCCGTTTACTGTTGAATAACACGAGTGCATTTCCAGCAGTGCCTCGAGACGTCCTGAAGAGTATTCCACCATCCGAAGGTGTTCCAGCACAGGCTGTGTGCTCGCAAAAGCACCTATCCCACAATTTCCAGGTTACAGTGTCGAGCTTCCACCAGCGATTTGATAGGCGGACTCAAGTGTGGCAGACAATTACGGTGCAACCCTCGTCACTGAGGAAGGGGCAAGAATGTGCAACTCGAGCCTCAACAGATCAGACGAAACAAGAACTGCTTACAAGTGGTGCAAGGAGCAGATATGGAACTGGATGAACCAGGGACGAAGAGGATACCGCGCCAGGTCTAGCAGAGTTGTTGCACAGCAGCTGTGCTGTAGAAAAAGTGATTCATTCATGGCATCAGCAACAAGCTAATGCAGATGAGTGAATCTATCATAAATCGTTGTCGTTCATTCTGTTGTTTCAAGCACTAATACCTCCAGCATCCAACCGTTAAGCCCAGTCACCATCGCTGCGTTATACATCTCCAGCCAACGCCATATTGCAGTGACACCACCTCCTAACCGTTGCTCGCTTGCTGGATTATCTCAATGCCATTCATGGGTTCAATCGACCATGGCCATATTATACAAGTTACATTCTCTTGATACCCTCGTCGGAGGTCTCGGAGTAGCTGCTGGACTGACTGTCTTCCTTACTGAGGGTGGATGCCTGCTCGACATCGTCGTCAGTAGGACCGTGAAGCTCTTCCTCGAAGACGGGCTCTTGGTCGAGCTTCTCGAACTTGGTCTTGAAGTCGTTCAAGGTTTGAGTGCTACTATTCGATCGTCGTCGGTTGTTGACAAAGTTGTAGCCGGAGTCGTCGGCTTCGTCAGAGAGTGTGCCCCTACAAGCTTTAGCACGAGTACTCTGGAGTAGGACCATGATAGACTTACCAGTTACCCCGACCAGCACCTTGTTTCTTGATGCCCTTTGGATCAGCGTCAACGTGACCACTCTTGGCAAAGTATCGAGGAAGTCGATCTTCAGGAACAGCAGTACCGTCAGCAAGGCCAGCGTGGTTTCGATCGTTGTTCTTGACGGTACGAGTCACTGTACAGTAATTAGTATTATATCAAAGGGGTGACGTTTCACTGTAGTCCTTTTATAGCTCACGTGCGGAGATGCTACAACTTACTTATCGAAGGTAAGATGGTGTGGTACAAGCAATGTGCACTCTGTGATCAAAGTGGTTTCTTGTGGTAGAGAACAGTTACAAAAACGTGATGGTTGGTTGTGACGAAAGGAAGAGAGGGTGTAAGTAAGATGTGGTCAACAAAAGCAATGAGTGGTGCAAGAACGGTGTCGTGACCACAAGGGTCTATAGACTCCCACGCAGATGGACCCTCTGAGGTGAAGCTCGGACCACTAAGTGCCGCAGATCGCGAGTGAAGAGTTCCCTAAAATTCAGCTAAAAGTCTCCTGTCTATCACCTGATGCTATAAAACATTGCTATACTGCACTACTCGCACCATGCTTTCAATCCAACTTCACGAAGAGTCCTCGTTGAGAAGTTGCAATACTGTGTCTCTTTCTGAGAGAGGCAAGTGTGCTCGCGGGGTGATGTGGTCTTTGTCACTCCCCTTTGAAGCACTGGCCAGAAGGCCAAAGTAGCATATCCGGTGTCCAGGGAATACGACCAGCACGCTATATTCTCGGCAGCGAAATCCAGCTATCTTCACCTTGCTCTTGGGAGTGAAATTAAGAGACGCTGAAAGCACCAATGGAAAATGCCAGAGAACGCCTTGGAGAGGCGAGGTCGTGTGCTGCGCGCTCAAGTTCAACGTCAACGCTCCACTTGCCCCAGGCTTTAGTGGCTCTCGTGCAGGTGAGGGGCACGCTATTTTGTTGAAACTGGACACTTTGCCTGTTCCTGCCTCGTCTCGTTCAGTCATCTTCGAGCTTTTCTACTCTCTGAACTCTGTCTCAAGCAATACATTCTGTATAACAGATTTCCTGTGAGAACTTGGAGATGTTTGTCTCGGAAAATCATCAGCTGTCATATCAGAGTGCTTGGTGTTGAGAGCTGCCTCTTTCCAGCTCATTGTGGTACTTTCGATACCGATGCTTTCTTCTGCTAAAGTCGAGTCAGACCGACAACGTGAATACAGTGGTCAGACTGTGTGTAAACTCGCGAACACAGACAATGCAGGAAGTCACACATCTCTATCTGTAGTAGCACGACTAGCCATTACTAGCTCCTATACCGACGCTCGGCAAACAATTCAGGTACACTCTGCATGGCTAACGACTGCTCGATATGCTCGCGTGATCTCGATGATTTGTTCCTGACCATCCATTCACTTCTTTCCGAGATATATCTGAGCTCCTTTTCCGTAGCAGAATCAGACCACGTTCTGAATGAGACGGCTATCTAATCATAAGTGGTGCTGAGCAGCAACCGATTGGTAAGCTGGACAAACTTTCGTCATCCGGAAAGGGCCCCGCACTGTCTGCGATTGCAACAAATTTTGTACTCCAAACTTGCCTCGTATCAGGAGATTTGAGCAATAAACAGCTTTGTGAATGTTACTGTCTTGTTAATACTATACAAGGTCTACGACTGTTGAAGTATGCCTCCCACTATCGCCATGGACCTCTCCGACGACTTTGCTATGCCTACCAAGGCTGCTGTGCCAGCACCATCGCGACAACGTACACTCCTACTCTCGCCGCCATCGCTCTCCTCCCACCAAGAAAAGCTGACGCAAGTGATGGCAATGCACGATAGACAGTCGACAGATATGCAGATGCTGGACAGGTTGAATATGGGCCTAGTGTCTCTCCCTGAAGCCACTTATGATCTGATTGTGGTCCTTTCCGATGCCGACAACACCAGAAATGAAAGTCAGTCTTTGCTCGGTCGCAAAGTGTTCGAGCTCTTAGTGAAGTCGCTGAAAGTTGGTGGAGTACTCCAGAGTCAGGACGAGCAACTCGGTGCTAGTGAGGGTGTTGAGAAGAACGAGGCCATTCTGGCAGGACTATCGTACGAGCCTGGAAAAGGCTTCACCAAGCAGGACTTCACACAGGCAGCCATTCCTCTAAAATTAAATCGCAAGAAACAAAACGGAGTCGCACAAGCAGCAGGTGGTCTTGGACCCTCCAGCAACGGTTCTGTCTCCCTGCCACTAAACGGTAAGCGTAAAAGCGAGGACATGACCAACAACGCACCACCAGGCGTCGGCTTCGACGACGGCTCTCTCAACGATCTCGCCGAAGACTCAGACGATGAACTCATCGACGAAGACACACTCCTGGACGAAGAAGACCTCAAAAGCCCCGTCAAAATTCGTAAGTCCACTCAATCTAGCCCACCCCCACACTACCACACAACATAACTAACCCTTACACAGCCACCGAATGCAAACCAAAAGCCAAACGCCGCCGCGCCTGCAAAGACTGCACCTGCGGCCTCGCCCAACGCCTCGAAGCCGAAGACAAAGCCAAGCGCGACAAGGCAGACGCCACACTCAACTCGATAAAGTTGCAAGCCGACGACCTCGCAGAAGTCGACTTCACCGTGCCTGGAAAAGTAGGGAGCTGTGGGAATTGTAGCTTGGGAGATGCTTTTCGGTGTGATGGCTGTCCGTATATTGGTTTACCTGCTTTTAAGCCAGGGGAGGAGGTGAGGTTGTTGAATAATGATATTCAGTTGTAGATGCGGAAATGGGATCATTGGGAATGGATCGTTAGAAAGAGCGTTGGCGTTCTTGGGATATTACATGTGCCTTGACAGAACGGCATAGGTGCGATCTTGTTGGCTTGGGATGAAGGACTAAGGTGGCTCTATATCTGGTCAAATGACAGGCGATGAGACTGATTTGAAGAATTTTACTACATGCATTGCATTTTTATCCTCTCCCTGCCTCTCTCTCTTTTCACGGATTTTCGCAATATGCCTATGTACTCGGATGAACCACTATATGTCCAAAATCCATTTTGAAAAGGAGCAAAACCATCATTTTTACCTAAGAAGATCTATATCGACAAACTAAATAGGGGGTATCATCAAACAAATGCGCATAACACACCACTCTCACCAGAGTATTTTCTCACCACCAACACCTCCACTCTCCACACTCGTATTCATGACGTAACACTGCCCATTTGCCCTACCGCTCCCTCGCCCTGCTCCTGCTGTATATTCTGCTGCTGCTCTACATCCCGCCACCCCCTCGGCCCCTCATACTGATAAACACCCGGCGTCCGACTAAGCACAGTCCCCAGTCCTCTATGGATCTCGACTTGAAACGGTTGCCAGGGCAGTTGTTCGCCATCGACGGAGAAGAAGCCTGTTTTACCTGATGAGGCGACTTTGGCGAAGAGCCTTTGGAGGAGGCCTGTTGGTGGTTTAGGGGCTGTGCTGGTTGGTGATATTGTTGTGGTATCGTTGTTGTTGTCATTGCTGCTGCTGGTTGTTGTTGCTTGATCCTGCAGCGAATGGCTACTAATCTCCTCCATCGGCCGCCCAAAGCGCGGAATTACACGTACAGCACTAATCTTCCGTATCCGCACAATCTCGTCATCGAAGAATGTGCCGTTCCCAACCGCGAGCATGAGCTTGAAGGCTTTGAGTCTGCTCACGTCACCGTCAATGGTGACCAGGTCGAGCATGCCGTCGTTGGGGAGGGAGGCAGGGAAAAAGGGCGCATCCGCGGCCATCCAGCACATGTTGCCGCAGTAGAAGTTTCCGAGGTTGGGGTAGGATTCGAGACGTGTCCAGCCGGAGTTTTCGTCTTTGGGTGGGAGGGGGTCGTTGATGGTGCCGAAGCGGAGGGGTGGAAGACCGGATCCAGATTGGGCTTCTAGTTCTTTGTTCATGTGTGAGGAGGGTAGTGTTTCGGTGGCGTGTTTGAGGTGTGAGAGTTCGCAGGCGTAATGCTTTTTAATGTCGTCTTTGGATTCGATTTCGGTCTTGACTGCGTATTCGATGGGGTAGAGGGTCTTTCCGAGGAGGCGGACGAGGAAGCCAAAAGTGAATCTGAAGTCACCCATCCAGCGGATGTTTTCTGTTCCCAGGTCACTTTCGGCGACGATGCCGAGACTTTGTGAGAGGAAAGAGAGGGTTCGCTTGTTGCCTTGCGTCACACTTGCGAGGTCGATCGGAGTGCGAATACCTTTGATGATGCAGAGTGCTGCTAGGCTGGGCTCGTCCGTGCCGTTAAGATTCCACGACATAGCATTACCAGTTCCGCAGGGAAGTTGAACGACAGCAATCTTGCGTAGGGCTTCCATAGCATTGCGCTTGTGGCCCAACCCGTTGAAACATTCCATAGGTAGGCCATCGCCTGAGGCGCACGCCAGAACATCATAAGCTTCGACATCAATATCTCTTGCTACTTCAACAGCGTGTCCTCTATACTTTGTCGGTTCAACATCTACTTGACAGCCAGCTGCCTCAAAGAGAGGCGCAATTTGCTTGTTGTATATGACTTGTGATCTCGTAGCGCCAGCAAATGGATTAATCAAGACCTTTATCCTCTTGCTCCTCTGCGCAATCCCATATGCACCGTCCAACAACCGTGCTATCCACCGTTCAGCGGCATCGGCAGAAGCAGAAACAGGATAGATGAGTGTACGTAAACGGACTTTGGAATTTGCTTTCGGACGTTTCGGCCTGACATAGTGAATCGAGATGGTGTTATTCAGCAACTGAGCGTTGAGGATATGAAAGAAGGGTATCGTCTTCGCGTGAGTAGTCGGGAAGAAACCACATAATCGAGGTTCAGAATCGTTGAATCCGTCGTCTGCTCACACGTATAAGCTGCGCACTCGTGAAAGGCAGAGAAACACTAACCCGTCACTATAACCCCGTCAGCGCTCAGCGTGAGACTGGCATCGTCGCCGACAGGTAAAGTCGACTCGAGAATGTTATCGTGGTCACCCTCAGAAAGAGCGGCGGCGTCTGTAAATGGATCGGTGTGGCCGCCGCATTGCGAACTCAACGGATTCATCTCGTTCTCGGCCTCAGCTTTTCGCAGAAGGAGAGAACAAGACAGCCAGGTATAAAGATTATAGCGAGTGACAAGGTGCTGCTGAACAACATCTTTGTGTTCTGGCAGACAACTGTTCTATGAAACTCTGCTTGCGCGTCGCCTGATCTCTCGGTCTCCACGTCTTCCGTACCAGGTCAGGACTTTTGCTGGAAGGAGACTTCCTCCGATGTACCGAAATAGGCACGATTTATCAGCTATTATCTTCAACCCATTTAGTAGTATATTGAATCGTGCTCGTGCTACTTATCGCAATCAGTCTCAAAGCAATCACGATCTTAACATGCATGAGTTTCCAAAGCCCACTATTGCTGCAGCAAGCACAGTCTAGAGGATCGAATCGTGTTCTATTATTGAAGTATGAAAGTCAACTCATAAAAGTCGACCAAACTACAAACGCTCGTGGTATATCGTACACATCGCTACGACATGGTATCCTCGAAATCGCTGAAAGACTTCAAATGCTGCTATTGGACTCCTCCACAAATATGCTACATTATACTCCATAATGCTCAGTCGCTTGAACGCTCAAAAACCGAGAGAAGAAGGCAGCTCAGTCTGTTACTGCTCATTAGACTTCATAGCTGTAGCTCGACCAGCGAGCACAGTGTCGTTCCCTCTTCCGCTAGAAGAACTTGCCCAAGAAACTAGTTCGCTTCGTCTGTTGAGGTCTTCCATCGTATGTCTTCACTGGGTCTGCATGAGCGTAAAAGTCGTCCTCGTAAATCTTGCTGTGTCGCTTGGATGATCTTTTTCGATCTGGATCCTTCTCATCACTGCCACCACTGCTGCTTTTTTCGACGATGCGTCTTTCTCTTCTCTTTGCTCGGGCGATGGCGATTTCGTCATCCGTCATACCAGCATACTTGTCCTTGCGACGACGACGTCGCTCAGAGTCATGGTCATCCACTGGTCTTGCCCTTTGTCCACTCTCATCAAGAACTGTAGGCTCTACCGGAGGTAGCTCGGGTGGTTCGTCTTTCTGAGAATCGATCCACGAGCTGGTCTTATTCTCAGGTGGTTTGATGCCGCGACCACTTCCAGACCGAGACTCGTGGTACTCGGCCATTAGAGGTGTTGACTTTCGTGCTGATGTCTTGGTCCGAGGCTTTCGATCTTCGTTTATGTCTCTTCGTGCTTCCTCTTCACCAGCAAAAGTTCGACGGCGGTCGTCCTTGCTCAATGGCTTAATCCCGTTTTCAGCCTCAAGTTGCGCTCTCAACTTTCTTCGTTCTTCTCTTCTTCGCTCAGCGGCAGCTTCAATTTCAGCCAACTCTCGTGCTTCTCGTTCGCGTTCGGCCACCTCTTTCTCTCGTCGTCGTGCACGGCGTTCTTCCTTACGTGATTCCTCCGCTTCCCTCTCCTTTCTAGCTTGCTCACGAGCTTTTTCTCGTCGTGCCTCAATGTCAGCCTTTTCACGATCTCGCCTCTCACGACGACGCTGCTCTCGAGCTAGGCGCTCTTCTTCTTCGGCTCTCTCAGCAGCGGCTCTTCTGGCTCGACGCTCCTTCTTTACCACATCAGCATCTGTTTCACCTGGTGCATCGGCAGCAAACCCATCAGCTGGACTGATAACTCGTGAGCGTCGTTGTGAATTTGCTCGTGATCGTACCGGTGTGGCATTATCCTCGTTGTCAGTAGCTGGAGTGGATCGCGTTCGATCCGCCAACTTTGCACCACCACCGAAAAGGCTGCCGAACAAGCCACCAACCTTCTTACTGCCAGTATTGCTGCGTTGTAACCTCGGCCTCTCAATGTCATCGTTCGCCGAATCTATTGCAAGCGGTGAATCGACCATGACCATGTCCTCATCGCCTGAGATTGTCTTACTGCGTGGCTTTGTCGAACTCTTCTTGACATCAGTGACAATCTTGGGCTTGGGCTTAGATTTCGTAGGAGTCTTTTCGGCATCCTTCGAATTGATCATGACCATATCATCGTCATCTATCGGATATGGATCGACGTACGATCTGCTTTTATCCTTAGTAGAAGATCGCCGAGAGGGCTTTCCACTGGTAAGACCCATTAGCTTTGCTGCCTTGGACGTAATGATACCATCATCATCAGGTGGCGGTGATATAAGTCCGCTATCAGCCATAGATTGTCGCCTGGAGGACGACTTCGATCCCGTCGTGCTACGTCGGCGTTCGGTGTTGCCGGGCCGCATCGCAGATGGTGGTGCAGCACCTAGCATAAAACTTGCGAAGCCCATGCCCCGGCCAGCTTTTGGTCGCTCGGTTGATTTGGCGCTGACCTCTTTGTCGGACCCGGATGTCTTTGAAGCCTTTTCCTCAACTTCTTTCTCCTTCGATACCTTCGTGCTCTTCGACCTAGACACGCTTTGGGCGTTTCTCGTGCTTGGTGGCGAGATGTCCTCCAGAGTCTTTGATCTGACTGGCTTCTTAGGAGTTGGAGTTGGCGCTGCACTCCAGAATCCCCATGAAGTTGTTGCGGATCGTTCAACTCGTGGCCGTTCTTTCTTCGTTGCCTTCTGCTCAGATTCTGGCGGCGGACTGGGCCCTTCCGCTGTTTCCCCAAGAAGATCTGCGTCTTCAACAGGCTCAAGCTCAGGCTCGGCGAACGTCACAGCCTCGGAAGTCTTCTTCTTCGCTGGTTTCGTTGTCGTCTTCTTGTCGACTTTCGAGCTCTTCTTGACCTTGGGCTTTTCAGCTTCTGCTTCGACTGCTGGAGCTGGTTCATCAATCAAGAGGTCGTCGTCATCACCAAACCCGCCTGGAAAGCTTCCAGGCACGGAGTCTTTGGACTTCTTCCCCTCAATCTCGACGTGTGGTGGCGAAGATGGTTGGTCGACCTGTGTCTTCGAGGACTTAGTGGATGCTTTGCCCTTAGCTGCCTTCTTGACCTCTTTCGGGGTTAGCGCGATCTCTGCCTCCACCTCCTGATCGAGTAATGCAGCACTAGAGGTCTTCGACTTTTTGCCAGTAGGTTGTGCTGGAGTTTCCAGAGCTTTGATACGATCAGCGATAGAAGAAGATACCTTGGATTTCCCGTTGCTCATGGTCTTTTCAGGTTTGGTAGAAGTTGTTGCTGGGGCGTCGTCCAGAATTGCCTGAATCTCGTCCTCATTTAGCTCGGCCAGTAGCGCGTCCTCGTCATTGGTCAGTACGGAAGACCTAATTTCCTTTTTACTGCTCGTGTCCTTCTTGCCAGCTGTCTTCTTCGTGTTGCCGCTAGCATCCCAGAAATTAAAGTAGTCAGTTTTGGTATTCTCCTCTACAACATCCTCAAGCTTTTTGTCGCTGCCTCGAGTGGAAGTCTTTTTGAGCTTTGATGAGGACGAGGCTGGAGTTGGTAGTGGTTCGTCAAGCAGATCAAGCAAGTCGCTGCTCTGCTTCTTCTCTTCAACCTTTGGAGTTGCACCTTTGCTCGACTTACTACTCTTCGTCTTCTTTGCAGCCTTGGCGGCTTCCTGTTCGGCAGCCACCCGTTCCTCTTCAGCTTTGGCTGCTGCTTCCGCTTCTTCAGCCTCATGTTGTAATCGCTCATCTTCTTCTCTTTGAGCCTGGTCTTCTGCCTCTTTCTGAGCCTTGGCCTCTTTCTCCTTCTCTTTCTTGGTCTTCGTAGTCGAACCGCTTGAGCCAAAGCCCCACAGACTGCTCGAGCTTTTCTTGGCTGGTGGATCTTCCACTAAGGATTTGTTCGATTTTCGACCAGTATCGAGACCACCCCATGAGAAGTCGTCCACTGATGGAATTGCTGTTGTATCAACATCTGGCTCAGGAGTAAGCCCAAGTGCGGGTGGTGATGGCACTGGAGGAGGAGGAGCTTCCTCAGCTGCTTTCTTGCTCTTCTTTGTAGACTTTTTATCTGCTTTGCCAAATGCTGCCCACATATCGTCTTCCACTGGGGCCACCGGCGTAGGGCCAGGATCTTCCACGACGGGTTCGAAAAGATCGCTCTTCTTCGTACTCTTGTCCTTTTTCTTCTTGTCTTTGGAAGTCAGGCCAGAGCTCCAAATGTCGCCGATCTTGTCCTCCTTCACAGCAACAACTTCGACTGGTTCGGGTTCACGATCCGGCTCTGGGATATGCTCAGGTTCAGGCTCAAAGGCCTTATCCTTTTTCTTCTTGTCCTTCCCAAGGCCGAATCCCCATCCACCTCCCCAACCATCTTCAGCTTTCTCCTCAATCTTCTCCGGTTCGGGTTCAAACGCGGATTTCTTCTTAGGCTTTGATTTTGAGGCACCCCATCCGAAACTCCACCCACTGTCTGCAGGTTCTTGAACAGCTAGTGCCGGCTCCGGCTCTGCTTCTGGCTCAGGTACAGCCTGTTTAGCTGCAGCTTCTTCCTCGTCGATTCTCTCTTGCGTCAGTCTATCCTCCCAAGTATTGTCAGCCTTCATCTCTTTTTCTTTCTTTTTCTTCTCTCTCAATGTGAGACCATAATCCCATGGTAAGCGAGGCTCGGCTTCCTGTATCGATTCGGGTTCAGGCTCGGTTTCAGCGACAGCCTCTGTTTCTAGATTTTCGGTAGCAGCTTTAGCAGCAGCAATCTTATCATCAATGATCTCTTGAGTAAGCCGGCTCTCCCAAGTGCCATCGAGCTTCATGACCTTCTCACTTCTCTTCTTTTCAACCTTAGACATGCCTTGATCCCATGGCACGAGCTTTTCAAGCTCCTCAAGTGACTCGGTCGGCACATTGCTTTCAGGCTCAAGTAAGGTCTCCGGTTCGACCTCAGGGTCGACATGAGCATTGGCAGCTGCTTTTGCGGCAGCAATTCTCTCGTTGATCATTTCTTGAGTGAGGCGAATCTCCCATGTTCCCTCTAATTTCATCTGCCTTTCCTTCTTTTTTCTGTCTTTGGTAGCGACATCATGATCCCATGGCACTAATTTCTCGGCTTCCTCTAGGCTTTCGGGAAGGGCGGCCTGCTCGGCATCCTCGATACCCTCTGTAGGTAACTCAGGCTCTGGGTCATCATTGACAAATGTATTGGCGGCTGCGATCTTCTCATCGATCATTTCCTGCGTAAGGCGATCCTCCCAGGTAAGAGCTGCTCTCATTTCCTTTTCTCTTTTCTTCTTTTCTTTAGTGGACAAGCCATAGTCCCATGGAACTAAGTCCTCTGGACGTGTTTCTGGTTCTGCTAATAGGTCAGGCTCAACGATAGGATTCATGTCGGCTTCGAAGTCTCCTGCTGCGTTAGCATCACGATCGGCGATCATTTGATCAATCTTCTCCTGCGTGAGGCGGTCATCCCAAGTGCCGTCGGCTTTCATTTCGGCCTGCTTTTTCTTCTTCTCCTTCGACGTAAGCATGTAGTCCCAAGGCAACAAGTCTTCCAACAGGGTTGCGTCTTGAGTAGAGTCTGCTGGCGCATCTTGCTCTGGCTCGAGCTGGTCATCGAGATCTGGCTCCACAATAGCCATCGCTGCAGCTGCTTCCGCCTCGGCCTGTTCCTGGTCAATCTTTTCTTGCGTTAGACGATCTGCCCAGGTATTATCCATTTGCATTTGCTTCTGCTTTGCTCGTCTATCCTTTGGAGAAAGGCCGTGATCCCACGGGAGTCTCTCCGTAGGTGGTGGTGGAGGTGGTTCTGGTTCTGGGATAGGCTCTGGTTCAGGTTCAAGAGCAGCTGTCTCCGCGGCAGTTGCGGCCTCCTTTTCAGCGGCGTCGACCATTTCTTGTGTCACACGCTCATCCCAAGTACCATCGAGTTTCATCTGTTTCTCCTTTTTCCTCTGAGCGCTTTTATTCAGCCCGGCATCCCAGGCTACAAGCGGTTCCTTTGCTTGGGCAGGCACTGGTTCAAACTCCGGCTCAAAAGAAGGTTCACTGAACGTGGCGATCTTTTCGGCCTCGGCAGCATCGACCATTTCTTGAGTGACACGAGTGTCCCACGTATGGTCATTTCTCATCTCTTTCTCCTTCTTCTTTTTCTCCCGCGTATTCAAGCCAAAATCCCATGCAACAAGCGGTTCTTTAGCTGCTTCAAACTCCGGATCAGCAGCTGATGGAGGTTCAGGAGCCTCGGGAAGTGGTGAGAACTCATCGTCGAGAAGGCCTTTCTTGCCCTTCTTTTTGTCTTTCTTGCCTGCTCCAAACGTGGCCCAAGTATCGTCATTCGCTGTGTCGAACGTGTTCGTCGGTGGATCATCATGTCCAGTCAAATCAACAGACGTGGTCAAATCGTCCGCCTTCTTCTTGTTCTTTTTCTTTGCAGCAGTGCCCCACGCGCCAGACATCCAGTCGTCGCCTTCGTCTTGTTTCGCTGCAGGGGTCTCCTCGACCTCGTCAATAAGATCTTTTTTCTTGTCCTTTGAGCCACCGAAGCCCCAGTCGAATCCATTGTCAGCGGTAGTATTCGTGGAAAGGGTATCTTCGAACGTGTCCTTCTTCTTGGTCTTGCTAGATTTCTTAGCACCACCCCAGCCTCCCCACGTGTCCTCTTCTTTCTGCTCCGGCTCCGGCTCTTCTTTGATCTCTTCGATGCCTCCTTTCTTCTTCGTCTTCTTTCCAAACCCCCAAGCGTCGTCTGCTCTAGTGTCAACCACGTCATCCGTGCCAGCAAAGGTGAGATCGTTGTCGGTACCAGTGCTGAAATCCCCAAAGTCGAAGGACGATGTTGTCGTTTTCTTCTTAGATTTCGACGCACCGAAGCCCCAAGGATTGCCTGACCCAAGATCGGTAACGTCCTCCTTTTTGTCTTCCTTATCGGTGCTGTTGAAACCCCAGGTCTTGCCCCAAGCACTACCAAAGCCACCGCCTTCATTCTTTTTGTCACCACTGAGACCATCAAAGCTGAAATCGAGCTTAGGGGCAGTATCGTCGAGGCTGATATCCTGGAAAGCTGAGGTTGCCGGTGGTGGGTCAGGTACTGTAGGGACAGCATTGTTCTGCGAGTCGTCAAGTTAGTACATTTCCGATAACATTTGAGCAAGGTTAGGCGTAACCACATACCTTCTTCTTCTTATCCTTGTTCTTTGCACCTCCCCATGACATGGTCCAATCCTCATTGCCTTCAGCGTTTGTGTCGTCAGCCCAGCTCAGAGGGTCGGCATTATTGGTCTGAGCGGCCTGTGCCTCTTCCTCCTCTTTCCGCTTGCGTTCCTCCTCCTCTTCCTCCTCTTGCTTCTTCTTGCTCTTCTTCTTTGACTTCTTGCCAGTGCTAAAGCCCCATGCATCATCGTCGTCGTTGCCCCCGTTGTTTTCGTCGCCACCTCCACCAGCATCAGCAGCATCTCCACCATCACCACCACCTAAGCCATCATCGTTGCCACCAGCACCACCCGAAGGAGTATCACCCTTCTTTTCGTTGCCATCGTCACCACCAAATGGATCGAACCTGGTAGCAGCAGCCTTCTTCTTCTTCGCGTACGATTTGAAGCCTGCGGTACTTCCGAAGTCTATGTTGAAGTCCATGCTGTGGACTGAGTTGGCAGGACGATCCGACTTACGCGTCCTCAGGCACGGCGCATTCGAGTCTAAGACAATACATGCACGCGCTAGGGTAGTATCGTCGAACAAGGCTGAGGGTTGCTCATTGTCATGACGTGACAACAGTGAGCTGCTAAGTACTGTGGAATGAGAAGCAATCGACTGTAGAAGAGCCGCAACCAGTGCAGCTGCTTTGAACTGTAGATCGGAATGATAGTTTGCGGTCTGGGGAGCACAAGAGTTAGCAGGATACGATGGCTGCAGAGATGCAGTAGCGTGGATAGTGGACGTGACAAGGTCAAGGGCCGTGAGATGGTCAGTTTTGGGTTTGTAGATAGGAGTCTAAGCCGAGTGAGTGAAAGTAGAAAGGATGGCATGCATACCCGTAAGTTTGGTGTTGACCTAGCATGAGGAGATGAGTTGGCGGTGTGCCGGGCATGGCGCGTCTGGCCTTTAGCAACTCCAACATAAGTAGTGGCTGTAATTCGCTGCTCGATCGCAGCTTGAAATTGCACCTTCTCAGCCCACCCAGTCGTCGAATGAAGGATCCTTTGTCGACAATACTCGTTCTCTTCGACCCTTGGTCCCGGTCGGACGACGCATGTGGCGGCCATCGCTTTGAATATGTGTTCGAGCCGAAAGTCCGTGCGATATCATTTGAACGATGATGGTGGGATGCGCAGGCGTTCTAGGAGCGCGCAAAAAACAGTACAAGCTGAGTGATGAGGTTGGTAGCGAGACAAGAGAATGAGCGACAACGACCTTGTCACTTGCAGCTCTCCTTGATCACGAGGATTTGTTTGGTGCAATGGAATGGAAGCTCGTTAGGGAAGTGCAGAAAGCCGAGCGCCAGTGGTCGACAGTGCCAGCGTTTGTCGGCTTTTCCTTGCGTCCCACTGGCTTGATTGGCGTGTGAGGTGTGGGTGGAAACACTGGTCCCCTGAAGATCCACGCCCACAAGCTCAGCTCGATAAGAATGCCATCGATATTTTTGTTAGATACACACTGGTATTTGAGAAAGAAAAGCTCGGACAATATTTGCGTGTTGAACAACAAGAACATTCAGAATACCCATCGCCTCGACTTTCAAGCCTTCGGAGCCTGAAAATTTTCGAGGTGTTGCCCTTTACACGCGATCAACAACAGAGCATGCACCACCCACGCCTTCCTGCAGGGCTAGCCGGTCCATCTTGAGCACCGGTCGAGCTTGACATGCAGCGTGATAGGTTCTCTGAGCGACCACTGAGAAGTAGCGAAGCAGGGCACAGATTTGCTGCTCTCACCGCTCACACTCTCTCCATTTTCGTACTTTTTTGAACTTACCCATCTTTACTCCAGACGAATGATCACACTTGTTTGCAGCGGATCAGCCCGCAGTGGATGCATTGCAGCACATGATTCTAACTTCGACATTTGCTTATGTTATGGATATTAGAGTTGACCTGTTAGCCAGTGTTGGTATGTCGTAGCAGATCAAGCGCTCGAAATCTTCCGAGGAGGCTATGCAGCCCTTGCTGCAGTGGTGACGGCATTCTAGACCGTGCTTGAACCAATACTGAGGGGCACATTCGACCTCATCGTAATCGTGACTGAGTCTCTCCTGGGTAGAAACCAAAGCTTCGGGGTTGGGCAAAGAAGCAGAAAGGCAAAGACGATGCTGAAAAGGTAGAAACAAACCACTAGTTGAGTACAAAGTGGGCAGAATAGACAACCTACATCTAAGCTCAACTGAGGATACAGCCAGCAAGGCGTTCATGCCCAAAACGACTGAGGCTGAGATCACTCGTGGCCTGATAGGGTGTAAATAGTGTGAGACTCATTGGACGGGAGCAAATTGCTTGGACATATTGTCTTTGGCAGCTTGGAATCAAAAGCGTCAAACAGCACTGGCTCGATTTTACAGAGAGTGCATAGCTTGAGCAGCAGAAGAGAAGACTGCCTTAAAGCAATTTAATACACTCTTCAGAACATTTCTACCAGAGGTGGCAATTAAACTTGACTGCTTTTCACCTGGAACCTGCGTCAAACCTTACCCTACATAGCTCGCGAGTAGCCACTCGATACCCTTCCTGAGTGCCGTGCTGTCAGTTCAAACAAATCAGTAGTAATATTTCATATATCGGCTAGGGTGCTCCGCCCCAGGATCGTCTCGTCGCTCATATGTCGTTGTGAGCTCTGGCTAGGCTAGCGGGCAGGCCTGCAAGACTCCACCAATCATCAGGTATGGTCTCGTGGTTTTGTTGCCTGTTAGCTATAGCTTGCAGCATGGTCAACTCATCCTGTCTTCTCTGTCTACGATTTCTAGCTCTTTCTTCCTGAATAAGAGTAGCTAGAGATGGTTCTCCTCGAAGGGATGACATTCCAATGGCAGTGTCCGTGTTACTGTCCACCAGACTCTCTAGGAAGCGATCATGGTGGTCAGACTCGGCAATGTATCTTCGCGAAGTGTTTGGAAGTCGTCGAGCACTGCGTCGATGACGGTCCCGGATACGGCGCACATCGTCCTCTGTAATGCCTGGAGGGAGATCACACGTGTCATCAGATGAAGATCCTATTTCGCCGAAACTGGTCGAAGCGCTCTGTATCTGGCGCTCCAAGGTGGAAAGAGCGGTCGTCGATACGGTTGACGTGAATGATGTAGAAGCGCTTGCAGTATTCGTGCGAGTGCTGTTGTCCATTGTAGTAAGTAGATGATTCCAGGTAGCTTCTTCGGGTGTTTCCGACAACAAAGGGCTTGGACTGCGGCGTCTATCTCCAAGACCATCAAGAGTGGTGCGTGGGAGTGGACGTGGTGACATGTGTGGAACTCGACGAAGAGGTGGATAGGAGCCTTCCCATGATTCTGGCGGAGGGGTTTCGAGACCAGGCGCACCATCATCTTCTGTCTGTCGTGTAGTAGTGGTCGCAGCTGTCGAGTCTTCTCTTCCCCTTAAAGTGGCTCTGGCGACACGGGCAGGAGCAAAGTCTCTCGTCAAGGATGGAGTAGTTTCCCATGTCTCCAGGGGTCCATCCACAGGTCGACGTCTTGAAGCGTCACTCAACGAGAGTGGTGGACTTGGAATGAAATTTGCTTGCTGCCTAGGAGAAATAGGGATGGCCGCGGAAGTGGTGTCTAATTCGAAGCGCAGATTGGACTCTCTGGCAGGGCGAGGGAGAGAGATAGCTTCAGAGGACGCCTGTTCCTCGACTGTTTCGTCCGTGAGTGGTGGCAGATATATACCACCGTGTGACGACGGCGAGCCAGCGCTTGCTAGATTCAAGGTGTTTTCAATGTGACGAACAAGACGGTCGCGAGTTTGTTCGTTCTGTCGTGCGATGGTCCTTTCACGTTCTCTGCGCAGACGCTCTATCTCAGCCTCCAGGATTTCAATTTGAGAATCGGTCTCTGGGAACTCCCGATGTGCTCGCAGACGTGCTTGTCGCATCTCATGGCGACTGCGTATTATATTTGTAAGTCCGGCAGTGGGAGATTGATCTCTCGGACGAGCCACAGGATCGCGTCGTATACCAGAGCGTCTCCACGCAGCAGCCCGATCGAGTTTTGCGGCTGCACTGTTGACCTCATCCTCATCAGGGTTGCGATAGAAACTGTTTGCGCTACTGTCAGTTTGCTGTGCCATACTTTTTGTGTCGTGTGGAGTGGGTCACACGCGCCCACTCGGGGTCAAGCAGGGACAGAACGGGTCAACTTACTGTAGGCCCATGTCCCCTAGACGGCCCAGGGGTGGTGAGGGAGAAAAAGCAAGAAGCAGAAACTAGAACAGAAAACTTAGTTTATGAGGACATGAAAATGTTGGTACAAAAGAGGGGAGATTGTGAGGACGCGACAAAGCCCAAGTTGCGACGGAGATGTTTGTGAAGAGCTTTGGTCACGCAGCGGAAACCCGAAGGACGCCTGCTCAAGACTTTTCCGCAGCCAGCTGGTCTAAGCTTCAGCCTTGCCAAGCGACCACGGCAACCAACCACGCCATCTTAAGTGCTCCATATGCGCGTCATCCAGGGTTCGCGTTCGAGCACGCGTTAACATGAAACAGACACGCTATGCACTATCTATACTCACGTCGATGTTTGCAGAGTGCGTGACTTCGCGACAGTCAGCAAGAAGACAGTGCCGGACAGCAGTTGTTCACTGCATTGACGACGGAGTGCTCTACGGTCGTTATCATGACCATACGTTGTGTGTAAATATTCAAGCGGGCGATGAATTTGGGTCACGGAATTAGTTCTCTCGGCGGACCTTCGATTGTGTAGCGGCACCGACCTATCTGCTCGCACGACCGGCTCGGTGTATGCGGATTCCATCATGAACCCAATACAAGAAATACTATCCCCTACCATCGCTTTATCGCGGTCAGTTCCAGTTTCACCCTCTCGTTTACAGAAAATGTGCTAACACGAACGATGACAGTAGCGAAATGTAGGGCTTGGGGTGCCTCTAATTAGTCAGTAAAGATCCACGCGTCTGTGCCACAAGATGTGTTGGCCTTAGTCATAACACGAAAAATATCAACACTTTTCCCTTCGCTCTGAACACGGGAGAGCCATCAGTGATACGTCCTTTCAGGCTGATGTCTGCCTTCAGGAATATGGATTTCTGTGCAGCTTCAGCTGACTGCGTACGCCGCTGATGCGGCGCGTAGATTCTTTCCACTTGTTACCGAAGTAGAGTCACAATGGTTGAGCGTGTTGGACGTACCGCTCTACGGTATAGCTCCCAACCCTGTTTGTTTTTGAATCAAACCAGCAACTCGATTTCCAGGTGAAGCTATTGACATCCGTAAACTCGGGGTTGGCACGTCTGGAAATTATCCGTGTGTGTTGGTGTCTATATATGCAGCAAAGAAATTGACCGGAATGACAGGGGTTTCGGGGCACATGTATTCATCGAAACCAGTTCTTTGACTCACCTTGGTATTCCCGAATTTGGCATTGCCAGTAAGCGGGCAACCGTGAGTCGCATGCTCACTACAGACTCATCGACTTTCACTTACTAAACATAAAACTTGTCGTGATAAGGCGTGCATTAGAACAATCTCACATCGCGTAATGAGAGGAGCCCTGATTGCGGCCGTGTACGATAGTAGCTATATGCTCTCAAGTAGCCCGGAACGTGGTTTGTCGTACTCTAGTAAAGACGAGAACGAGAGGCTGACACGATGGTGATATATGTGATGGTAACAATACGGGTTAAGGTCTGAGTTCCTCGTCTACAAGTGTCTGGATGATAGGCGAGATCGAGTTTCAAGGAGGCTCGGCAGCGGTCAGGCATATTGGTGAATTTAAGGGAATTAGTTGTGTTTGGCGGCCTGACAGTAATGCACGTCAACTCACTAGTCCACTGCACGCGAACCCTTGGACGATCTTACATACTGGCGTTTGTGTTTGTTGCAGGTCAACAGACACCGGATCTCGCCCTATAACCTGCTCCTTCAGAAGTCGTGGTTGCTTGTACACACTAAGCACGGTCAAACCTTGTAATATCGAGGTGCTTCTTATTGACAAGCACCAGAATCTCCTCGACACCACATGCTGAATCTGGGCAGTTCGAGCCTTGGTGAAGTATCTTGCTTGATTGACCTTGGCTCAAGACGCACTACCTACAATGAGAAAACCAAGAGCTTGTCTATAATCACTTCGCCAACATGCCATCCCGTACCGCGGACCCTGTGAGCGAACCCCCATCGGCAAGACCACCAGACACCAATCCGGCACGATCGAAATCCTCCAAAGCTCCAGGCAGTCCCACGAAGAGAGAGGACAAGCCCAAAGCGCAAGATGTGGCAGAACTTAAGGACTACCAATTGGGGGACTGTTTGGGCAGGGGTGCGTTTGGTTCCGTCTATCGAGCCCTCAATTGGGGTACTGGTGAAACAGTCGCCGTCAAACAGATAAAGCTGGCAGACTTGCCCAAGAGCGAATTGAGAGTGATTATGCTGGAGATTGATTTGCTCAAGAACCTGGACCATCCAAACATTGTCAAATATCACGGCTTTGTCAAAACTCCCGAGACCTTGAACATCATTCTGGAATACTGCGAGAATGGCTCCCTACACTCAATATCCAAGAATTTCGGTCGATTCCCAGAAAATCTCGTTGGCCTGTACATGTCCCAAGTTCTACATGGCTTGTGCTACCTGCACGACCAGGGTGTTATTCATAGAGATATCAAAGGTGCCAATATCTTAAACACCAAGAATGGCCTCGTCAAACTGGCCGATTTCGGTGTTGCTAGCAGAACGACTGGCCTGCATGAATCCAGTGTCGTCGGTACACCCTACTGGATGGCTCCAGAAGTCATTGAGTTGACCGGAGCTAGCACCTCATCTGATATCTGGAGTTTGGGATGCACAGTCATTGAGCTACTCGACGGCAGACCTCCCTACTACAATCTTCAGCCCATGCCTGCTCTATTCCGAATCGTGAACGACGATCACCCACCACTTCCTCAGGGTGCTTCACCCGTAGTTATAGATTTCCTCATGCAGTGCTTCCAGAAGGACCCGAATCTCAGAGTTTCAGCTAAGAAGTTGTTGAAGCACCCGTGGATAGTAAACGCTAGAAGATCTGATACTGAGGTTGCCAAAAATGCTACAGATTACCAGGAGGCTGTCAAGAGTGTTCAGCAATGGAATGAAGCTCTCAAAGACTCCCCTAATGGACATACGATCCGGAAGAACTCCACTACCTCCTCTTCTGACAGTCCCGTGCCAGGTGTAAGGGACATCTTGAGACCCCTAAAATCACCTACAAAGCAGCCACCTCTCAACGGCAGGTCGAGAGATGCCACCGAACGTTTTCGTTCTGCTGACGACGACGATAGCGACAATTGGGACAACGATTTCGCTACAGCAATTGCTCCAGGTGCTCTGCATCTCCCTCACCTCAAACCGATCGACAACTTTGGTGGTATGCTATCTGCTGATCGTCTGAAAGCATTCGCTGCCATTGACCTGCCACTATCACATCAAAATGAAAGACACGATGAAAATGTGGCGACTCTTAAGCCCATCCAGAGACTTACAGAGAACGATGACCTAAAGACTGTTAAGATTGCTGCAAAACTTTCCAACCCACAGCACAAACACAACAGAAACAAATCCGAGGCACCGAAACCACGGACGATTGTTCCACAGACTACACGAAAAGTCTCACTACCAACATCTATATCAACTGCGACTCCAAAACATAAAAACATCGAGCTGAAAGCCACTCCTCAGCCCAAAACGAAAACACTATATAGAGAAAGCTCTATCGAAGACTACTCGGACATTATAGAAGGAAACGAATCCATTTTAGACTCGAGATTAAATGCACTGAAGCCACAAAAAGAAAATGTTCCATCCAAAGTCATAGACTCCCCTACTGTGACGGACCTGATGAAGAGCATGAAGCTTACAAACGGTACTGTAAGCTCTCGTAAGCCCACGGAAGGCCGGAAGCGTGGTCCTATGAGGAGGACAAGGTCCTCAGTTGAGATACAGAAGTTTGCTGAGAATGAGGACGATGAAGATTTCTCTGACGTCTTTGGCCACCCTGAAGCAGCTGCGACCCCTGTAGCCCGTGATGCCTCAAGTGGCTCGGATCCTCTCACACTCAACTCAAAGATTTCTAGCCAGTCCTGGTTGGGCGAAGACGGCGATGAGGATGATCCATTCGCCTCCCTCGAGGAAGGTCTTCCAGAAGGCGATCTTGAGTCAAACATCGCTCGCGACAAACACGCTCGAATGCGGAACGAGGTCGAGATGCTGGTTGGACAATTGAAAGTTGTCGGCAACGAAGAGGATGCCTTGCTACAGATATTAGAAGAGCTAATACACTGTTTCGAACATTTCTCGGAAACAAAGAGTGTCATCGTTAGCGCTCACGGGCTATTACCAATGCTCGAGATACTCGAAGATTGCACACGCTTCGATATTATACTCAACCTGCTGAACATCATCAATACTATCATATACAGCGACGAGGATGTCCAGGAGAATCTTTGTTTTGTCGGTGGTATCCCTAAGATCTTAGTATTTGCATCCAAACAATTCCCAAGAGAGATCAGACTCGAAGCAGCAGCATTCGTACGGCAGATGTACCAGACAACGACGTTGATTCTGCAAATGTTTGTAAGTGCTGGAGGTCTCAATGTGCTTGTCGATTTTCTGGAAGATGATTATGATGAAGACCGTGAGCTCGTCTTGATTGGTGTGAATGGTATCTGGAGTGTGTTTGAGCTTCAAGGTTCAACACCTCGCAACGACTTCTGCCGAATCTTGTCACGCAGTTCGGTGCTCGAACCTCTAAGTCAAGTCCTTGCTAGAGTATTGAATGAACCTGCAGACTCTGGCGAGCAGCGAGAGCTGGCCGAATTGTGTGAAGGTCGCATATCCAGCATCTTCTTCATCTTCTCACAGGCTGAAAATTATGTCAAGGAGAAAGTGGCAGAAAGGTCGGTTCTGCATAGACTGCTCAAAAACTTGAAAAAGATGTCCCCCGTGCACCAGATAACGATGCTGAAGTTCATCAAGAATCTTTCCATGTTGGAAGCCAGATGGGAAACCCTGGCAAATTCCAATGCCATCGACGTGCTCGTGGAATTATTGAGTGAAGGTCTCAAACAGCCACATTTTCGCGAACTCTCGAACCAGATTCTGGGCACCATATACAATCTTTGCCGAGTTTCAAAAAGACGGCAGGAGGACGCGGCACTAGCTGGAATCATACCCGTACTCATCAATATCGCTAGGCAGGACAAGACTCCAGTACGGCAGTTCGCGCTTCCCATACTCTGCGATATGGTGCAAGCTGGCAAGGCTGCACGTAGAGAGCTTTGGCAAAACAAAGGTCTTGCCTTCTATGTCTCGCTTCTGTCAGACACGTACTGGCAAGGTACGGCGCTCGACTCAATCTTTGTGTGGTTGCAGGAAGAGACCGCTCGGGTACAGGACCAACTACTTGACAATCAAAACTTCACTAAAGCTGTCGTCAAAGCCCTAACGACAAGCAAATCTGTCTCCTTTGAAAACTTGCTTGAACCTCTAAAGAAGTTGTTACGCTTATCGCCAGCTCTAGCAGAACAGATGGCTTCAAGTCCCGAGCTCTTCGAAAGCATCGGTCAGAAATTACAGCATAGCAAGCCAGCTATCAGGCTCAACTTACTCCATATCATTAGCAGTATTCGCGACGCAACTGAAAGCGGGTCGTTCTTGCTTGATCAGCACGGCCTCTACGATGTTGTCAGCGATCTCCAGTTCTCAGACCCAGCAGTACTGGTACAGAGCATGGCTCGCGAGCTCATCCGATCGTGTGAAGAAATGGATAATATATCCAACTACAGTGATCCACGAGCCAATATCAGTGTTCCAAGCCGCAATGGCCGTAGACCAGTCATGATCCGGCGACAGAGCTCGAGCACAACACCGCCACACCTGATCGAGCGACAAATTATACCAACGTCACCACAACTCTCGCGCCCCTCAATCAACTATTACGATGGCTCCGAAAGAGTCGCACAAACACCCAGACGTCAGCGAAACGGCATAGGCTACACAACCGGTGCTAACGGCATCCGCCCAGTCAGCCGCGACGGCTCAACAACATACATCCGCGAAAGTTCACCAGCCCTTCCAGCCCTGACACGCGCACACACCTCCACAACATCCCTAAGCGACATGACCGTCAGTCGAAGCCGCCTCCCTCGCCAATCCGCAGCACACAGATTATCAAGACAATCAACGCGTGAACCTATGAACGGCAACAACCCCCTCAAAGACGGCGGCGGGGCTAATACCCCCACTTCCCTGACACCCGTTGCTGAAACGAGGCGGAAGGAGAATATCCCTAGTGGTGATGGAGCGGCAGGCAGAGAACGCATCCGTCAGCAGAGGAATGTCGAGATATCGCAGGCGCCGTCGAGAAGGGTACCACCGACGACGAGGCGTCATAACACGGTGCCGCCGTCGGACGAGGGTTGGGCTTAGGCTGTCGCAACGACTTTTCTGTGATTTGGAAAATGAGGGGTTGTCTTTCTACCCGGGCGTCTCGGGGAATGGAAACACAAAACTTTCGTGGGAGAACAGCAGTGTTTTACTGTTGGATTACGGACCGAAAGATCGACTTGGGGGGGGGGGGCAGAAAGTATTATATAGGATGTATGTCTATACCAGTCAGTATACGTAAGTTGGTCTACCTGGGCAGAAGAAGACGATGTAGAAAGTATCTTATTCGTGTCCTCCTTCAGAAAACATCAGTTTCATTCTTGGAATATATCTTTCTCTACCTACCTAAGACGTTTTTGAGTGTCCAGCTGCTCGTGCGTATCGTGTGCAATGATAACGAGCTGTGGCCGTAAACACTCTTTGGTCAGAATATCATCACTGACACGCAATCGCAGATTTACAAAGTGTGAAGGGAAAATCGAACTCTGGAAAACGACGCTTCTGAAAGAAAAGATCCAATACATTAGAGAAGGAGGGATGTCAGACTCGTATTTATAAGTATAAAGGATGTACTGGTAGATAGTATCGTGGCTCGTCTTTCCAGGAGCAAGGAGAGCAAGTAAGTGAAGGTTGCTAAATAGCAGCGGCACGAGCGTAAAATTACAAACTGGCCAAGTCGTGTAACAATCAATGTATATCGATAATCCAAATGGACACGCCACGCTGAACACTTAAGCTCGCAGAGTTGTTGTACTGAAACTTCCGAGAAGTCGGCCGATCTCTTAGTCAACCACATCCAAACTCTCTACACTTCTTTCCAATCCAGTTGCCGTGCTGCCGTTGCTCACAGCACTCGTGTTGCTCGCTTGCTTACGTAGTCTTGATTGAGCTGTGAATTTCTTGGTGCCTTTCTTTTTGGTGGTGCCACCTTGGGTTGATGCACCTGGTGGAAGGGCTTCACGAATCCATCTGGCGATCATCTCAGCGCGTTCGGTCGCGGTAGAGAAGTCCTTCTCTTTGATGGCATCGTAAGAGGGCTTTCGTGAAGATATTGGGCTTGCTCCATTCTCGGTGGTTGATGCGCCATTGGTCAGGGGTGTTGCTTTCGCACGAGAAGGAGAAATGTTGTTGTATTCTTTGCGCATCTCCTCGTCCTCTGCAGCAATAGCACGAGCTTCACGAGCACGGACAGATTGGCGGAATGTGTCTTCGTCGACGACTCTTTCATCAGCCAGAGCTTCGCGGACAGCATCCTGTTTGATCCGCTCGATCTTGTCGCCACTGCTGACGGTATCCTCACGCCTCTTTGCCAAGACTGCATTGCTCGAGCCTTTTTTGCTGTTGCCGTTGGTCTTACTAAGCATGCTACCGCGTCTGCGTCGATCCTTATCCAACGAAGGCATACACAGTCGTTCCCAAGTCTGCTCAAGACCGAGCCAATTCTTAGTTTTCCGGAGTACCTCAATCCAATCAGCACGAGATGGACTACGAGTAGCAAGAAAGATAGGGTAGCCGTCACAGACTCGGGCAACTCGGGCAGCCATATATGCGTGACGTTGGTGTTCTTTTACACTCGTCTGAACAAGGCAGTGGCAGAGCAAGAGACTGTGCAAAACGTCAGTGAGCAAGGGGTGATAAGTCACTGCTTCAGAAAAGTCAGGCAGGCTGAAAATGGGATGTGAACGAGTCTGAGCAGTATTCGGGTCAGGTGGATATGGCGGCATGCCTGCGGGTGGGACGGGATTGAAGAGGTCGCTAACTTTGTGGACGGCCGGCTTAGGGATTTGAGGGAACTGGTCATTAGTATTCTGGTTGCGACGACGCTCGTACTTGACCAGGGCTTCGGAGAGGCCATTTTGGGAATGAGCGTCTACGTCAAGCAATTTCTGACTTCGCGAGGCACCATTTGAACCATTAGTCATTGAGGCGACCTTATCGAGAAATGCTTCGGTGAACTCGGCCGACAGCCCTGGTGTGTAATCAAAATGAGAAAGAAAGGCCGTGTAGTCCCTCAGAGCACGTTTTGCGTAGGTGCGGACGAGCTTGCGAGCCTCCATACGAGCTCTGGCTTCTTCTTTTTGTTGATGACTTTCTGGCAGAGACAGTTCTTCACCAGGAGGTTGTGCGGAGGTGGCAGCACTACGGTGAAGAGCAGCAGCAATGTTCTGACAGGCCAAGGTTAGATACACGTTGGCTCTCAGAAACAGCAGCTGGGGTTCCATGCTGCTCGGGTGGTCCTCATCATCCAACTTTCCTTGAGTTAATTTGGCAGCATCCTTGGCGAGAATGAGCTCAAGCTGGTCACTTCGGTGGCCGTGATAGAGGCGTTGGATAGCCAGGCCTTCGGTTAGATCTCTGGCGGCACCATGGTAGTCATCCTTGAAGATGCGTGTGACAGCTCTGGTACGATAGGTGGCAGCCTCAGTCGGACGTTGGGCGATAATGTCGGACAGAGGCTTCAGGCTCGTACTCTCTGCCATGGCACGAGAAGGGATCTTCTCATGGAAAAAGTGAACATATTGAGCGTCGGGGTCATCTTCGTTCCTGGTCAAGACGTGCTTGGCAACCTCTTCCAGTGCCGAAGCAGCCTGCATAATTGCGACGCTTGCAGCTATTTCGTCCAGACGATAAGCGTGGGACAGCTTTGAGGTGGCATGTTCACGCATTCGAAACTTCCTCTCGCGACTCAGCTTGGCATGGCCCCCTCCGCCTCTTGACGCGCCAATGCCCAAGAGCTCTGCATCAGCGCCATTCAGATAACCGTGACTCGAATTGAGGGAGCTGGTCAAGGATGCCGCAGTTGTGCCATTAGCAGCTCGAACAGAAAGGCTGGTAGCATCGTCGATGAGGCGTCGAATCTTGACTAGGTCAAAGAACACAGCAGGGTCTATTGGCTGTGGCCGAGGGGAGTAATAGTTGCTGTGGGCGAGAGTTTCGAGGACTTCGGGGGGAAGGTTGAGCCATGGACCGTGGTAAGAGGATATATAGCGCCAGTGCCTGACTCTTGGTCAGTGAAATTGAAGCAAATGATTGTATGGGCACATCGACTGACTTGTTGCGACATATGACCAGGGTGGGAGGTTGTGGTTGTGAAGGTTCCTCTTTCTTCGAGGCGTCAGTGGCTGGGGCCGCCTTCCCATGCTCTACTGCAGCGTCACCTGCTTCCACACCGGCGCCTTGACTCTGCGACTTCTTCTTTTTCGCCATATCAATACTCGATCATACTGTGTCGCGACTTCCGTATTGACATTTTGTCTGGAAAAGTTCATGTTATGCCCTCCCCGAGCACAAGGCTGACGAGGCTGTTCACAGAGGAAACAACGTGTGAACTGGAAAGTGCCACCAAGGCTGTCGACAAGCGGGATATTGGAAGGTGCAATCTGTGTGCATTTCGATGCACTATCCGTCCACCGTACACTATGCTCGTACGCGTGCCTGAGGGCAGTAGAGCAGGTAGGGATGTTGCAGTTGAGTCTCGTGCCACAAGGCCTGAATAATCTTCAGGCACAACTTCACGCCGCAAATGTTCTCCACTGCATGATGCATTCCGAATGCTGCCCCACTAAATTTTGTGAGTCGCTGTAAGTCGAAATACAGGCACTGTGGCCTCGATATACACGTTTTCGTCTGAGAGAGCATTTTATTCCCAAAGTCGGCATATTCTACGTCCACAATGTCTGACAAGCCTCCCAACCCAGAGGCAACTCTTCCAGTACGAGCACACGACAATCCAAATATCCCTAACTCAGCCGACGGAGCACCTTCGAAGAACGCGTTGAAGAAGGCTCAGAAAGACGCGGAGAAGGCTGCGAAGAAGGCTGCCTCGAAGCAAAAAGAGGAAGAACAAAAAGCTGCTCAGCAAGCATCTGCCGACGTCGACAATGCAAAGGACAACTATGGTCCACTATCCACGGGCAACGAAGTGGAAATCACTCATCTCAAGAACATTGGGGAGGAGCACGCCGACAAGGTCATCAATGTCATAGTCCGAGTACACAATAGCAGAGGCCAATCTGCTAAGCTGGCCTTCCTCATGCTGCGCCAACAGGGCAGAACCATTCAATCAGTTCTCGCTGTAGGTGACGACGTCTCCAAGCAGATGGTGAAATGGGCTGTCGGCATCAGTATCAATTCCTTCGTGAGAGTCTCCGCTTTGGTCAAGAAAACCCCTGCCCCCGTCGAATCAGCTACAATTAAGGCCTACGAGCTTCACATCAAGAAGATCTACCTCATCTCTCAAGCCCAACAGATGCTTCCAGTCCAACCCAAGGACATAGAGCGACCAGCACCAGAAACTGCCGAAGAAGGCCAGACTGATGCCAGTGGTGCTCCTGTTGTCACCCTGAAGACTCGCCTGGATAACAGAGTTATTGACCTGCAGTCTGAGTGCAATCAGGCTATATTCACAATCTCTAGCGCCGTTGAAGGTCTATTTGATGAATACATGCGCAAGTCTGGCTCCAGAAAGTTTAACACCTCGAAGCTGGCCGGTGCTGCGACTGAAGGTGGTGCTGGTGTCTTCGAGGTTTCAAATTATTTCGGCAAGAAGGCATATCTCACCCAATCTCCTCAATTCTACAAGCAGATGCTTATCGCTGGTGATTGTGAAAGTGTTTTCGAGGTTGGCCCTGTTTTTAGAGCTGAGAATAGCAACACCCATAGACATTTGACTGAAGTATGTTTAATTCCTTGCTCAGCCCCTGCTCGTCACTAACTTTTGTCAGTTTACCGGCCTTGACTTCGAGATGGTCTTCGACAACCATTACCACGAAGTCCTAACCTTTGCAGAAAACCTTATAGTCTTCGTCGTTACTGAGCTACTATCCAGGTATGAACCTGAAATAGCCGTCATTCAAAAGTACTTTCCAAAAGCTGGAGACTTCAGGATTAAAGACAATAAGGCGTTGAGACTAAAATACCTCGAAGGTATTCAGCTGCTGAAGGATGCTGGCGTCGATACAACAGAGCAGGACGAATTCAAAACAGACCTTACCACAGCCATGGAGAAGCAATTGGGCAAGATCATCAGAGAGAAGTACGACACTGATTTCTATGTTTTGGACGAATTCCCCATGTCCGTGCGCCCTTTCTATACAAAAGGCCACCCTTCCGATCCTAATTTGAGCAATTCTTACGACTTTTTCATGCGTGGTGAGGAGATCATGTCTGGTGCACAACGAATTAACGACGCAGAAGAGCTTGAGGCAAGTATGAGGGCCAAGGGTGTCGACCCATCAGCAGAAGGCTTTCAAGACTATGTTAACGCTTTCCGACAAGGTTGCAGACCTCATGCCGGTGGTGGTCTCGGCTTAAATCGAATTGTCCAGTTCTTCTTAGGTCTGGACAACGTGAGGCAAGCAACGCCCTTCCCTCGTGACCCACAAAGATTGAGGCCATAGAAACCCGAGACGGAGCCCTTTCACCACAATATTGGCTGGCTAGTGGATGATACTCCTAGTGATCTGGTACCTGTCATACACGCTGGGCTTAGTGCCTCAGGATGTCGCTACAGAGGACGTTGAGTTCAGAAACATGAGAGTTCGACTTCGTCTTTACTTCTTTGGTCCCCAGACGGCTGTCTAAGAGTCTCGCTGGCAAACCTGATTACGGTTGAGTCATAGCTGATTCGTGAGCAAGCAATAGCTCAGTGCGTGTTCTCTCCCTGAGAATGGAGCATAGCAACACTTCATTGTTTACCGTAGAGCAGTGCCTGGGGGAGCATTGAAGTTGGTTAAAGAGTAATTACAACAGATCTTACGAGGGAGAGCTGAAAAGACTATTGCGTAGAGGCAGGAGTGTATAAAGCCATAGCTGGTTCAACAGGCAGTCAGCTAGTGAAGGCGCCAACAAATGAGTCTACGCACGTCTGAGCTTTGCTTCAAGCGATTCCTAAAACGTACCCGCGGTATTATTGGACACACGAACTGACAATCTAGAGTCACGATAAGTGGAGACTGGTCAGGTACTTCCTGTCTCAATCGCCGATGAAGAACGATCAGAGACATAAAAGCTTGCAAAAGCGCTGAAATACTTCAATTAAAATTCTCTCACTCTATACAGACTTCTTGCTCTTCTTCTTCTTCGGTTGCTGCTCCTCAGCATTATCTGCCGTGCCAGTAGTCTTCTTCTCCTTCTTTGGTTTTTTGTCCTTTGTCTCACTCATCTCTGACACTATACTGTCTTCCTGCTTCGCACTCTTACTCTCCTTCTCAGCATCTTTCCCACCACCCTCAACACTACCTCCAATCCTCTCCAACAACACTTTCGTCCCAGCATTAGCAGCACCATCCTCCTTCGGAGACTGTAGGTCCCCTGCATGCGTCTGTAGATACTTGACCAAGTCCTCCTTGTGCTCAAACTGCTCATTCTCCAACATCGCCACCAACGACCAGGAATTCGAACTCGTCGCCCAGGAGAGTAAGGTATCGTCACTGTGACTTGAGAGTGTATCGAAGAGTAAATTGCCAAAACCCAGTGGTGGATCGCTCGGTGTAACTGTCTTGGTCACTGGGTCAAAGCGACCACCCTGAACGAGTGTTTTGTAGAGTCTGCCGGCGTGAGGGGTGACTAGTGTTTCGGCTGTGTGTTCTTCGATCGCGAGGGAGCTGAGAGTATTTAATGAGGCTTGTTTGTCGCCAATTGCACCGAGGAGGACTTCGCCGATGAATTGGCAACCGTAGCTGGATTGGAGGAGTGTTTCGGCTTGTGACGCGATGAAATCCAGGAGCGGCTGGCTGAGTACTTTGTTCAGTTCGGTGCGTCGCGTCGACGGGTCTTTTTTGCTGGTTTCTTTGCGGATTTGTCGGATTTCTTTGAGCATTTCGTGGTCTGCGGTGTCGAGGAGCCATTTTGGTGAGTCTTCTGCCATTAAGTAGAGCAGTGGTATGCGGGCGTTGATGTTTAGTGCCATGTTCATTGTTTCTTGTTGTTGTGCTTCGGAGTCTAGGTCTTTGCTTGTTAGTTCAGGGAAGATGGCTTTTGCGGTCATGACGGTGTCGTCGATTACTTCGTAGGCAGCGAGAAGTACGATGTGAGCCCATGTGTCGGCCGCCATCAGCTTCATGTGTGTCTTGTAGTGTTTGAGGATGACGCGGCGATCTTTTGAGCTGCCGTATGCCAGAGCAAGACATACGATTCTTGAGCCGGATTTTGTAAACGCCAAGTTCTTGAATAGATCGCCTTCTTCGTCGTCTCGTAACATCTCGAGGAACTCACCGTGCTCAGGACTTCCGACGTTACAGTTGAGGAAGTACTGCAGCAGCGCGTCATGTAGCATGGTGAACCCAGTGGTCTTTTTCTGCACCAGCTGGTTCGTCATCTCTTTTAGCTGTTGCATTATCGGACTTTTCTTGCCTGGGCTCTCCTTCAAGATCTGAGCAAGGTCAGCCGTAACTTCTTCATGTTTGTTCTGTAGTGACTGTAACGCAAATTCTCCACCGTACCATTCCCTCAGCAGGCGTGCTTTCTGTTGAGGCGAGGCAATCGTCCTGTATATGTCGTCCATGATCCAGCTCGCTTCAGGATGTCGGATCATTCTTTTGACGTGTCCGTAGAATTCAGGAACTACGACATCTCGCACTTTGTTCTCGCCTTTTGCGCTCGAGTCACTGGTGATCAATTTAGCAACCAGGAATTTGGCGTATTTGCTCTCAGCTAGTTCTCGATAGCTGCCCTTCAACTCTTGAGCGATCTGCGTCTTCTGTTCTGGTGTAGCGTACTTGATCGCGCATTGAACGACTCGGACACTATCGTGTTTGAAGACAAAGTCCTTGACGCGGCCAGTGATGATGCTAAAGAGTTCTTCGACCAGCTTCTTGCGTTCATCTTTGGGCACAGCACTCTTGATCCTCAACCGTTCCCAGATCTTCTTGCTGCGAGCTATATTATCAGCATTTGGCTTGGCTGCGACTCGTTCGGCTCTGAGTTGTTTTTGCTTGTAATGAGCTTCTTTCGAGCTGGTTCCTGTTCAATGAGTCAGACTAATATATTAATTCGAGAGGGTCAGTAGGTACCGTTCAGAAATCCATCTTTGCCGTCCTGTGGCTTTCCACTACCATTCTGAAGTCGCTGTCTGTCTGGATGCACGCCGTTGTGGTCGCTCCTGACCTTTTTGTGTGGTGGTCCAGCATCTCCACTGGATTTACGCTTCTCGATAGCCATAGTGAGGCCAGAAAGTTGGTAGTCTTGTGTGCAACACGTCTTTCGACTAAGTCAACGATAGTGAGGCACCTTTCCAATCGCAACTCGTCCAAAATTTTTGGATCAACGCCGAATATGAGCCGTTCGAGAGGCAGGAAGCGGACTCGGCAGACCTTCCGTCGCTAACGGGATTGAAACCACAAGCATGGCTGGGCTACCTTCGAGTCAATCCTATCTTTCTCGGTCGAGATCGTGTGTAGTTTGATATGTTCATGTAAGAACAAGGCAGAAGAATTTTAGCCTATGGTATGAAAAGAGTTACATTTATTTGATACCTATGGCTGAACGCCGAGATTCCATGCTGACCCTACGCTATGCTAAGCCTGTACCTTATACCGTGTCCCAGACAAACATGATGTGCTAATGGTTCGACACGCCTCACAAGCGAGGAGCAATGTTGGTTGTAAAATCAGGGACTCTAGTGAACCTTGAGCTGATGACATTGGTAGAGGCTATATCCAGGATGTCGGATAAGATGAGCTGGCTGTTATCTTCTGGGGTAGACGTGGACTCCTTCGTATTACGCGTGTCTCTCTGAGCAAGTCGGTTGTCGATATACTCAGCGCATCTCTCCCAGCTTATGCTGACTCGTTCAGCGTGAGTAGCTATAACTTGCGAGCTTTCTTGGTTCAGTAACCTGTTGAAGACTTCGAATGACAGGTAACCTGTATACCCGACATCGAGAAGAGCATCAAAGATCTGAGTGACTGGCAGATAGCCGGCACGACGACCCTGAGCGGCTGCCTCTTTCGAGTCCGTCTCAAACGGATACAGCCTAGCATTCCTTGACCATGTCATGCGAGATGGCTGGTTCGCATCGTACCACTCATGATCAGGATCGAGGGGAGCATCAAGCCTCTCACCATCACAGAGCTCAACATAGAAGACTTTTTTCAGCTTCTCAGGGTCACTGAAGGTATTTTTGAGTAATTGTATTGACCTGCTCATGTCTGCGTCGGCATCTGCATTCTTGCCATCGAGAGCTTCCGGGTCAGCATGTACTCTTCCAGCGATATTGAACGTGTCAAGGCATGTGCCGAAGTTCAGCATATCGACTTCTTCCACAATACTCCAAGCAGCATCCCAGGTATTGATGTGAGTACCCCAACATAGTGCTTCATAAGCGAACCTAATAGGAGGGCTCTGAGCGGCGCCAATTTTTGCTGCTTCTCTCAGGTCTGCAATCAACCGACTTCGGTCGCCTGTGCATTCTGACTGTGATAGGAAATTGCTTGGTATCTGGATCAGATCTGTACCAAGCTGTTCGGCAACCTGAATCCAGAAATTCAACTTTTCAAAGCGAGCATGGCGTTCTTGGGGATCAAGCAGACCCTCAAAGTGCATGAAAGGTTGTAGACATATGATGTCTAGCGGTCGTGCCCCGCGATATGCTTCTTTGCACCATCCTCTAATTTGTCTAGCACAAAGAAGTTGTTCTTGCTGTTCTTTCGTGAGGTGTGCATGCTGGGTATTAGTGCTTCTGGATAATGATCGAGTAGATTGTGGTATCATCGAAGGATTGCTTCGTTGTGCAATGGCTAATTGTCGAATGTCCTCAAAGAATATCTCCACCGATCGTAGGCCGGCTCCGGCTGCTGCTTGCAGTTTGTCATGTATGCCGTGGTACTGAGGACAGCCCAGAGACTGCGACGCTATGCCTGGCACGAATTGGTGAGACATCGTTGGTGAATGCTTGTTGTGACCAGGTGAGATACTTGAGCACTCTGATACTCAAATTTTCGGACCAATAGAGTCTCACTTCACGTAGTTTCGACACACGATCTTGAGTAACTTCGAGACCGGTAGACAGGCGACGCAGGTATAAGAATGTCGTGTTCGCAGTAGGTCAGTGAATGCTCGCGACGATCCTTTATCAGCAACATCTGAATCTGTACAGACAACGTGGAAGGAAGAATCAATAAAGAACTTTGTCTAAAAGGAAGGTACATTCACTCGCCAACCAGGGTACCATCATTGAAATCTTCCGAACCATCTTCAACGCAATCATTATGCCATGGAACAGAACCGCTCATTGCCGTCGTAAGACATCGTATCATCCCCTCGAACCTCGTGTTCAACCTCAGATCGTGCCCTGCCATTGCGATGATGGAAACAAAGTGTGAACAGGGATAGTCATCGGCAAAAGACTTGTCCGCCGGCGGGTTACAACTAAAATTGTGGAGATGGATAAGGTTCGGACTTTCGAAGAAGTGATAGACATGTGTTGTGTTCTAGCCAGGATATTGCCGACCTCTTGCGTTGATCCCTTGCTACAGTCTCCGCATTCCGCTATTGCCTAGTGGTGCATCGTGGTGTATCTTGTACATGACTCGACGTGACTTGCGGCAGACCGTCGCCTCGATCGACGACTTCTACGAAGAACGTTTGAGGTTTGAGATCCTGAAGGGAAGGTCGATCTTGAGTGCCATGATCGTTGCGGGGCGAACTTGATACAATCCGCTCATGGACCCTCGAGTCTTTCACATCATTGAGGTATGCTTGCCTACCGCTCTTCAAGTTTCTTTACATGAGACCGAGCGGTAGTGATGACACGGTATTACACTGAACAAGATCTCCTCATCTTGTGGTTGGTCGGCATCGCAGGGATGTCTCCTTGGCATACTGCTTTTCCCTCACGGGAATCTATTGACTAGTGTTCAATGTTGTCTCTATCGCGTGCACTGAGTCTATCATGCTCAAGGTTGTGAAGGTCGGATCTGCCATATAGCTCTCGGCCAGGTTTGCCGTTCTTGTGTCGGTTGTAGAGCATCAGTGATACATTGATATTGTCCCGCAGACACATTGAAGCTTAGATACCTAACCAGGATGATGCGACAATCCTTTCAGGTAAGCTGTGAACGTTCTTGGCGTTTCGGAAGCAATCAAACGGCAGATTTCATAGTCAACAGGCACGCAGTGCAAGATGAACGACCACTTTAACGTCACCAAATCGATTTCAAGATATAAAGATATGGATTTATCTACCGGATCGCTTTAAAAACAAAGATCATAGCTTTCTCTTGTGCCTCACCTTCTGCCATTTATCCTCTAGACTGCCTCGACGTGCTTGCCTTGGACCACGTACTTTTGTGAAGCAGACTCAGAGTCTGATCCTTTCTCAATCTCAATGTTTGACATCCTTCTGAACTGTCTGTCAGCCTCCTTCATCTCAGCGAGGACAACAGCATGTGCCTTTCTTGCCGGCAGATCTCTGCTGAATAGTCTGTCCATGGCCTCGAGAGGGATACCTTTGGTCTCTGGCACGAGGAAGAAGGTGAAGATAGCCGCACAGATCATGAGAGTAGCGAAAAAGAGATACACGCCGTATCCCATGCTGCTGAACATCTGTGGTGTGAAGCGGGCGATCATGAAGTTCCAGAGCCAGTTGTTCGATGCTGCAAAAGCTTGTGCGAAAGTGCGCACATTCTGGTCGAACATTTCCGAGTTCAAGACCCATGGAGTGCCGTTCCAGGATGGAGTATATGATACAGTCCAAAGATAGAAGAATACCATGGCTGAGATACCACCGCGTGAGAGCTCCTTTGTAGGGTGTAGAGCAGGTTTGGCAATGGCGATGTAGCTGGCAATGTAGTACATGCACACGGAACCAGCTAGGGCACCGTACATGAGTAACCGACGACGACCAAAATTGTCGATAAGGTAGAAGAGCCAGATGAGTGTGACGACAGTCTTGATAACACCGAAAACTCCTGTGGTCAAAAGACTGGTGGAAGTACCAGTGACACCGATAGACTTGAAGACTGTGGGCGAGTAATAGTTGATAGCGTTGATACCGGTAGCATTCTGCCACAGGAAGAGTGAACCACCGAGTAGGAGACGGTACAAGACTTTCTTCTGCGTGAAGACGCTTTTGATGGGCTGCCAGAAGCCCATTCCGACGGTTGCCTTCTGGTGCTCAATAGCATCATCCATATATTTGACCTCCTCTTGGATATAGACATCACTGGGTTCTAGCTGTCGCAGCCAGCACAGGTTTCTGATACCTTCTTCACGTCTGCCGCGCATGAAGAGCCATCGTGGAGATTCTTTGATCAGGAAAATACCGCCGAAGAGCATACCAGCCGGAATCAATTGAACGGCAAAGGGGATGATCCACTGACGACGAGAAGGCGCCATTGTCTGATCAACTCCATAATTGATCCAGAAGCCTACAAGACCACCAATCTGCCAGGATAGTTCGTAAAGACCAACAAGTCGACCTCGAATAGCGGGAGGAGCAATTTCGGCACAGAAGATAGGTGACAGATTGGAAGCACCACCAACACCAATACCTGCAAGCACTCGACCACCATATAGGAGGCCAAGACCGCGGTCGCCGTTCACTCCCAGCATGAGACCAGCACCAAGTGTGAAGATTGCAGCGAAGATAGCAAGACCCTTCTTTCGGCCGAGGAAATGACCAAATGGATAGGCGAAGAAAGCACCAAAGAAGGCACCTGCCTGGTAGCATGAGACAATATTGGCCTTGATCAAATTGAGGTGTGACGTTGACATTGCGGCAAAGTTGAATTCTGTCGTGAAAGACTTGAGTGCTAGTGTACCACCAATGAAGGCTGAGTCGTAGCCGATCATGATGGCAGCAGAACCAGCCACGAAGGCTGAGAAGTAGATGCGCCAGTTGTAGACATTGGATGGCGTTGGTCTATCCTCGACCTTGTTTAGAAGACCCATGATCGCAGTCAAGCTCGAGGAGATTCAGTGTTTAGAGGTGTGTAGATGTTGTATGCTGCTAAAGCTAGGATTCGAAATATTATGATGTTGAAGGCAGCAAGTCCTTCTTGTATTGTGTAGACTGACAGAAGTGGAAAGCTCTGGAGAGAACGAACAAAAACGGTGTGTGCTTCACATGTATATAAAATTCTGCTTCGTCGAACTGGAGGCAAGAAATGGGGTCCCCAGATGTTCTAGTTCGTTAGCCTCCTCCGCAGTTTCAGGAAGTGTGCTTTTCGTCCACTGAGACAGGCGCTCGGTCCGAGTAACGTAAAGGTCTGATTGGTTGCTCTCGAACGCCATGGCGGCAAAGAGCTGCAAAGAGCTGGAAAAGTATTCTGCCGCTCACGATCTGCACATTCTTCCAAAGTGTTTTCCCGCAGCAGCCAGGGCTCGAGCTGGCAAGGTTTAATCGTACAACCTGGGCCCCGAGGAACTCCTCAGTTCATGTTGCAAAGCAGTTCTTCTCCGGGTCGCATCGCTGGCTAAGGACAATTTTTGATCTTCAAACACTGATTGACCTTAAAGTCGGCATTAAACTGAGGTATCTCAGAAGTCGAAACGAGTTTCTATTGTACGTGCTTCACAAGCAAAATCAGAACAAAGGTCAACGTTTTGTAAAAGCTGTATTCCAAGAAAAGTCAAACCATAGACTTTCTTGTAGCGCAGGTCGCCCACTCTTGCCCAGACTACAATAGGTGCCGTCCGAAGATGGCAACTATTCCTCATATAAGCAAAGCTGCAAGCTTGCACGAGAAGCAGATTAGGTCCAAGTCCGATTTCGAAGAACCATCGGTCCTACATCTCGACAGACGCGCCTACCTGGTTGGCAATCCCATTGCACATTCTCAATCGCCAACTCTGCACCATGCCATATATTCATCGATGGGCAAGAGGTGGGGTCAAGTGCTCGCCGAAACCGACGACCTCGCGGCATTCATGCGATATCTAAAGTCAGACACAAGGTCCATGGGATCTGGCGTGACAATGCCTTTCAAGGTTGCAGTAATCCCATATCTTGACGAGCTTGAGGCAGCTGGGCAAGCTGTTGGAGCCATCAATACTATCTTCTATCGAAACGGTCCAGATGGCAGACGACGATATATTGGGACCAACACTGATGTCATTGGTATACGAGATGCTTTTCTAAACAATGTGACTGGTGAATCATGGCGTGGCAGGCCAGGTCTTGTTGTCGGCGGTGGTGGTACATGCCGAGCCGCTGTTTATGCACTACGAGATCTGCTGGGCTGTTCCACAGTATATATTGTCAACAGAGACAAAGCCGAGGTGGACTCGGTCATCATGGAGTATGCTTCAAAAGGATCAGCACAAGGGCTCATACACGTCGCCACAGTACAAGAGGCTCGGTCTCTGCCACCGCCAAGCATTGCAGTCAGTGCTGTGCCAGATTTTGCTCCGACAACAACAAGCGAGTTGACTGCCAGACAAATATTGCAGATATTTCTGCAAAGAGGAGCTGCCGGTAGTCCATTGCTAGAAATGTGCTACCACCCAAGTCCAGACACTGCCATCTCGACGCTTGCGAACAATGCCGGTTGGCAGGTAGTTGGTGGCATCGAGGCTATGATTGGCCAGGGATTGGCTCAAGCACGTCTCTGGACTGGCGTTGAGATTGATGATCACTTAAGGCAAAGCATTAGCCAAAAGGTGAAGGATGTGCAAGCACAACGGCACAAACTGTGATGCAAGTGATGCTTGTATGTACATTGAGCAGTCCATCTTCTCAAGATTCACGTAGCAAATTTTTCTAGATTTCACACTTTACCACCACTTGCTGTGACTGCATCTTGGAGCGCGTTCCACATGACCATCCGTGGAGCATTCTTGCCGGTCATGATCTCGAATTGTGCTGCGGCTTGTTCATGTAGAACCTCCAACCCATCCACGACGACCCATGGCTTACCAGTTGTCGCACGCAGCTGCTTGATCTGTTCGGTAAAAGGAGTATTGATGTAGTATGCTTGCTCAACAGCCGTACCTCCAGTTTCTGAGCCAAGCCACTGTTCTGGGACAGTGAAATCGGATACGTGCTCCTCACCAGGCAGCCTCTCGTGCGTAACACACGATATGATTGTTGTGGGTTGGGCAAATCCAGCCGGCCACGGTTCATTGGTGCCCTTAATTATCCGTACCTGAGCTGAGCTAGAAGAACTTTGAGCGGCAGCCCACCGAGAGAAATATTCGGACAATATTCGAGCATTAGCGACAGTACGATTGTAAACAAAGATAGCACGACATCCCATTTGGAGCAGCGCGTAGACTGCTGCTCGTGCCATGCCACCAGCTCCAACAATAAGCGCTGTGCTTTTATTATGAATAACGTTACGAGGCGACAAGTTCTTGCTCAGCATTTTCTGTATAGATATCCAGTCACTATTGTCTCCATGAAAGCCGAAGACGAAGCCCGCCCTGTTTCTGTACAACGCCTGATTGGGGTTGTGATTCATCTGACCATGCTCACGACGAAGAGGAATGAGGGTGTTAATAGCACCGATAGCTTGAGCATGTTCGCTCAAACTGGTGAGTTGGTCAACGATCCTCACCTTGTAAGGCTGGGCGATACTGGCCCCACCAAAATCGATCATCCGTGCTCGTGACTGAATTTCTTCCCAGCCGTCAACATTGATCGGTGTGTAGTCATGCCACAATCCTATTGCTTTGTAGGCCGCATTGTGCATGGTTGGCGACAGCGAGCTGGACACATTGGCGCCAAATACATAGAAATGGAGGGGATCGAGGCTGAAGCTGGAAAACAGGGCTTGTATGGCCTCATAGGCGGTAATCTGCGGTACTAGGTCCATTGTCGAGCTAGTATCGACTCTCAGTGCCTTGTGAGTTACAGGTGTCAGAATATGGTTGAAAACTTGGGTCGTCCGTCCTAGTCTATCCTCGAGATAGGCACTGAAGTGTACTCTGGATGAATACCTGTGTCTAAGACCACGCAAAAACTGCTCAAAATGGTCACTATCAGATCTGGTGACTGCCGGCGCTGAAAGACGCACGAGCTTTATACCAAGATTAAGTGCCTTCTCTACCTGGACAATTACCTGATCGCTCGCAGCAAGCAACAGATCGGCCCTCGGAGACCTGATCGCACCAACGATCTGTGTACAGCATCTTCTTTCGACGAACTCCGCAAGCCAATTCTTTTCGAGTGCTAGGTCGACAACCATCGAATCTGGTACTAGCCTCAGGCCATGCCTAAGAGCGGCGAAGTAGGTGTTGACGTGAAAATGCGAGTTGATGGATGTAGCTGAGCATATGATAGGTACTCTCAGATATCTTCTGATCTCTGCAACGAGTTGACTGATCAAACGAGGTGAGCCCTCCTGCCACTCGTCAATCCTGACCTCGACAACATCGCCGCCACCTTGCAGAGCTGAGAAATCGATTCGACCATGCCTATATGTCGACAGATGAACAAATAAAGCATGGGTGAAGAGTTTCTCCTCTATGGGCATGGTTCTTGAGAAGGCTGACGGTTTATCCTGGTTACTCGCCTCCTCTTGCGCAGTCAAACGTTGTACAAAATTCGAGAAATCGATTTGAGCGTCTCGCAGCTTGAAAGAGTAAGTAGGTGAACCTCGATCATCGTCACTCTCAAGCGAGTTCGTGGTAACATCTTCCAAGTTGAAGAATTCGAAATTCGAACATTTTCGGTGACTGGTGTCGCCAGCTTCGAGCATCTGTGCTGATCTTTCACTCAATCGCAACAATTTCGTGACACTAGCCATGTCTCTTTGCACGTAGATCACCTGGTTGGTCTGGCAATAGGTTTTCAAATAGTCCTGTAATGCACGAGTCAGACTACCAAGACCACAATCGATGACACATCCTGAGCGATTTTCCTCGAGCATGCTTCTCGAGATCTCCACATCTTGTTTGTGAAACTCTTCGCTACCGTGGATTCGTAAATAGTCTTGTCGTGAGAATCCAGTGGCATTCTGAAAGTAATGATCTTCCGTGACAAAGCGTCGTCCTAGAGCAGCGGCAGCTATGAACCCAAGCGAACGTTTGCCTGAGCCCCGAATACCGACCAGGACAATAGAGGCATCCGCGGTGAATCTTGGTCTTTGAGCACTCCCTGGTTCAGCAGTGATTGGGGTTTGCATACCACTGTTAGCAGTAACTTCGACGGCTTCGCCATTTCGTTGTCTTTTGTGTCCAACACGTGGCGAGGTAGGATTTGGCGAGCTGCGACGACTACTGGATCGTTCATGATTGAGGTTAGGGACAACTAGAGCTGACATGACTTGCAGTCGTTCCGCATAAATAAAGGTATTACTTTCAAAACAGACATGCTTTTGGATCGTTTATATGTTTTTGTATACGTGTTGAAGCCGCTGAAGAGAGACGATGGACATGGCTGATTGACCTAATGCAAGCGGACTGCTGGTGTATTGAGTGTATTTGGACTGGAGCTGTTGGAAACGAGAATCGAGTGCTCTGCTACATCAAGGGCATGAGCACAATGTGAATGAAATGACTCTGGCCGTACTTGAGTAGTGCCTTCCTTTCCCACACGACCGTGTGACCTTCCGGACGAGACTTTCCGCCATGTAAAGCCCCGCAATTATGCTCCTTGGTACCTGGAACAGCTACTCAGACTGGTTTTCGATGCATCACGAATTCGGGATATATGCTAGTCATCAGCCTTCGTAGGCGGATGACATCTGGAACTGGCGGAAACATGGCCGTGAGGTTGTACGAATTCCACGAGTATGTCGACAGGTCCTGTCATTAGGTCGACCGAGCAGGGTAACGACAACGAGGATGATCGTAAACGTGTTTCGAAAGCCTGCAGTCGATGCCGTCTACGCAAAGATCGCTGTGACGGATCTCAACCATGCACGAATTGTCAGACTGCGAACAAGCCTTGCTCGTACGAGGCCACCACGAAGAAACGTGGCTTGCCCGAAGGTTACGTGCGAGGCTTCGAGAAGCTCATTACTTTGGCGTAAGTACACTCAACGGTCAAGTCACTAGCTAAAACTTTGCAGTTGTCAAACAATAGACGGTTTGGAGCCAGTCCTGACAAGTCTACTCAAGGACGAAGAGCTTCGCAAGCTATGGAACACCTCGAAAGGAGACGGCTTATACTCTAGTTGGAAGGACTCAGACTTGTATCATCAACTAGACGGATTCCTACGAGATACTGCTTCGAACTATAGCGGTCCAAAGCGAAAGCGTGACGACGATAGTTCCGAGAGTCCACCTGAATTAGACACAGTACTGCAACAATTGAGAGCGAACCAGTTCCGAATTACACAAGAACAACTACTATACACGATGACGGGACAACATGTTACAGACGGCCAAGAGCAGACGGCACAGCCCTTACCTACAACAAAGTTGCCATCGAATAGTAAAGGATTGATTGACCTATACTTCACTCATGTTCACTGCTGGTTTCCTATACTTGACCGGCCATCAGTTCTGAAAGAGTATTACGCGTATTCGAGGAGGACCCTGGGACAGAAACAGCACGATGGAGGACAAGCACTGATCTGGGCTATCCTAGCATACACTGTCCAGTTAGACGCGGATATGCAGGACAAGCAAGCCCTCAGTCGGCGTTACTCGGAAATTTCACTGAAGTACATTCCAACTCCCTACACTAATGCTGAGGATGTCCAAGATTTCGACGTGATGCAAGCTCAGGCGCTTGTGATCTTGTCTCTGCTGCGCCTTGGGAACGGACAATGGGTAGGTGCGTGGATGTGCACTGGCAGAGCAGTCCGCATTTTGCTCGCCAAGAACGTTCAAGCTGAGCACTCACAGCAGAGGAGAGGAGCCTTCCAAGGGTGTTTTATTCTAGAGACTCTGCTGAACGTACACTTTGACAACACTCGACCACTATTCTTACCCAGTCTGGTTGATCATATGCTAGATGAAGACGGATTCGAGGAGTGGGAGTCTTGGGGCAGCAGTCAAGGACCATCGTTCGCTCGCAGCATCTTCAATCGCCTAACCAGCGTCTTCCTCATTCTGCACGACGCTCTCACAGACAATGCAGCGTCTATGGACCCGTCCTACATTCAGTCCAAGCTCACGTCAATCCACAATTTGGCTCAAGAACACTTCAACCTCGGTATTGGTAGCCCGACAGTCGAGAGTCCACCTCACCACGTCTATTTTCAAATCGGCTTGCTGTTCGCTCAGCTGCGACTCGTTTCACGACTGGCCGAGCAGGACGCGGTCCAGTTCGACCTTATGTCGTTAACGATTAACGTATTAGGGTTATTTGAAATTTGTGAGAAATCTGTCAACATTGGTCTCACTCGCATGCCACCATTATTTGCTGATATTCTGAATCTCGCTATTGACGTCGCCGCAGGTGCAAGAATTTCATTCGGCTCCTCAGCATCTTCTCCAACTTATCAAGACTTCGTATTCACCATATCTGACTTCCGAGCTCGTTTGTCTAATATCTGGGCTTCCTTCCATAGCAGAAAGGCCATATCAACGCCTGGCACTGAGTCTTCTGGAGCACGCCGAACCATGTACAACGACGATTATGTTGTCACAGATGTGGCAGTGCACAGCCAGACAGAGCCTCAGGAAGCTTTTCCTACCACTATCGGGACTCGATCAACATCCCAGATCCCGTTGGCACCCACGCAATCGTTCTTCCCGGAGGCCAATCAGAATGCCCTCGGCCAAGGCCCTTGGTCCGGAGTCGATCTGGTTGGTGATAGCTTAGTCTCTGGCGCAGCATTCCCCATTACTTCGCCAAGTTTCGCCGGAGATGAAGTTGACGCCATTTTTCACGAGATGGCTCAACTTGACACAAGTGAATGGGCAAATGAACGTGCCATGGGGCTGAAAGATTTTGGCTTCTCAGACGAGTCGGCTTTCATGGATTTCTGTAACGACCCTGAGCGGCTCTTACCAGTAGACAGCAGCATGCCTTTGTCAAGCAATCGACAATCCTGGACCTTTACTGGCCAGCCGCCTTGATGCCGCTCGAGGCCAGTTTACACTACACCAGGCCTCGAGTAATCGAGCTTGTTTGCTCTCTTCCAAACTTCTCGAATCGCTCTCTCCTGTGACTGTCTTGCCGTTTCCTCTGGTCCATCAAATGCGGGTCTGACAGCAAGATAAAGCCTTCCACCAAGCTTTGCTGGCTCAATGGTACAGGTCCGCCAGTCATTGGGTGGGTTGGCAGTTGTGATCAAACCACCAGCCTCTTCTACAAGGCAAATACCGGCAGCGACATCCCACTCCCAACACCCACCTTCCCACCACAGATCACAAGATCCCATGGCGATATAGGCTAAATCGAGTGTGGCACTTCCAAGACTTCTCACACCATGTACCATTCCACCTTTGCCTCCTCGTCCGTTGGGTTCTGAAGCCATGTTCACGAAAGTGTTGACTTTACGATGCAGATTGCCTTCGGGCGAATCTCTCCGATCTTTGCCCCATTCACAGGAGAAGATGCATTTTCCGGGAGCATTCTTTGGTAGTGGTCCAATACTCTGGCCGAGCAATGGTAACCGTGTCCTTTCATTTAGCCAAGCACCTTTGCTTTGACACGCCGAGAACAGTTGGTTCAGCATCGGCGCACAAATCACGCCGATGACTGGCTTTTGTCTCACCACCAGTGCGATACTAACACAAAACATAGGGAAGGCGTGAGTAAAGTTGACTGTGCCATCCAGCGGGTCGACAATCCAGGTTGGTCTATCTGTAACAAGATAGTCTTTTGTAGAACCTTGGGAATAGCTTTCCTCGCCGACGAAATCGTGGTCTGGATATCTCTGAGATATGGAGGCGTGGATGAACTGCTCGACTTCTGTATCGGTCTTGGTAACTATATCGACAGCATTGAGCTTCTCCGTCAGGTCTTCTCTCGAGTCAATATCTTGCCTTCTGGAGTGAAGCGCTTCTATGAGCAAATTACCAGCATCCTTAGCTAGCTGTATTGCAAATGAATAGATTTGATTTAGTTCAGTTTCCGACATCTCTACCAGGCTACTCATTTTGGCATTTCTATTCCAAGGTCGAGATCAAACACTCGCCAGTTTGGCTAGAAACGTATTCCGTTCAGGGATCCTGCTTACTCGTTCCGATAATGTTCATTGACTATAAATCAACACGTACTTGTCCTTGAGAGACACTTCATTATCTTCTTTGTGCCCGATGTATATGACCTTGGAAGAAACGTACTGTACGTCTCTGATTTCATACCGGCTATTGCCGTGCCTAAGCGTCATCCATCGGGTAAAGTCTTCGCAGCGCAGTGCGCTAGCGTGGAATTGCTGTTTCGATACCCGTAACCTTCCCAGGCGTGATAAAAGCCAAATACAGGTCAAATATCCAGAGAAGTAGCACGTTTACTGCTTGCTCAGAACGCTTTGCTTCGTCTATTATCACGGCAAGAGATTGTGGGAAATGCTCATGTCATCTAGAAGCACTTGCGACCGTCTCTCATGGGAACGTGCACAATGCCTCGAATTCGGTCAGGAACGTGGTTGAGACTGTGCTGGCCGAGTCGCTCAACCGTGCACACATGTGTCTTCCCTAGACGCCGATCTATAGATGAGTCTTTGCTCATGTTGGCACTCTTTTCTGTTTTGGAGAATTTCATCAAACTTGGCTCTTCAATGCAGGGGCATGAGACAGTGCTGCAGACACTTCTGTACCTTGCAGTAGACGCAGGTTGTGCACCAACATCAGCTCATTTGAAGACAGAGATGGTGGGGTTCTGGTGCGTGGGCTTCCCGAAAGACTTTCATTCATTGGGCGACCCAATTCAAACGGACTGGTTAGCGGACATGCTGCGTGGCCACTGGTTCGCCTGATGCTTCGCTAGCCTCAAAGACTCCTCAGTTCGTGCGACTCTTGCTTCCAACCTCGACTAATAACAATTTACCGTGCTCCTGATCACCGCAATTCTTCAGCTGACATGCTGCCATCCTTAGAGACACATCATTGTCAAGGTAGCAGACACATTGAAAGACAGTTGAAAGCTGTTTCACATCCCAACAGCATGGCATAGCGTATCTAGAGCTGCGACTCGCTCGGTCGCGACGACTTGCTCAACATTGGTACGAGTAGCGTGAACCTCGCGACGTCAATATTTGCCCGAGTATACAATAACCTTCCACATGGCTCATCGTGGAGCCATGCACGCCCGCAATGATTCCGGAGTATCAGTAAACTCCTTCATCATCCGTGACAATCCACCTTCTCCTACTCTGACCAACCCGGACATGATTGTGCCTATTCCGCCCTGGGCACGCAGGCCGGCTGTTGGCGACGATGATGACCAGGGACCACATCCTCTACTCGAACCCGAACACGATACTCTGACCCAGACTTTGTCCAACAGCACGACTTCTACACCACGACATAGCACAGGAGAGCTTGGAGTCGCAACCGCTGTTCTCATGCCCAGCCGCCTCACTGCTCCTCTCCCTACCTCAATACACCCTCACGGCTCGGCGACCCAAGTCGCCATGTACACAGGTTATGAACATGGTGCACCCTTGAGCGATATCTACGAGGAGAGTGAAGCCACGGCCACACCTAGGTCTAGCCGGACTGTGCGTAATCACCAGGAACAACCTCAAAGTCCCACACCGGCAGAAAGAGACAGGTCTACGACACCCACGCGGCCATCTTTACGACACAAGAAGAGGGTGAGTTCGCTCAGCACGAGCTCCAGCGGCGGAAGCGATGTAGGGGACTGGGAGAATTTTGATTCCAGTATGGTCTTGTCGAGTCGTGTCGCAGCTGATCTGGCACAAATGAAAAGAGACGATATGCTTGAGATTGAACCGCAGGAAGTAACGAGCAGACGACAGAGCAGAGAGGAGGAGGAATTGGCTGCGCTTAATGCGCGTGCAGAAAAGATCCTGGAAAATGCTCGGAAGAGGTTGACAAACATGGAGGACAATCTGAAAGTCGCAAGAAACTCAATAATAATGCCTCAACGGTCTCCCAATCTAGGTGGAGAGCACCAGCCAGTGGGAGGATTGTACAGGAGCATATCTGCCGCAGGTGCGACAAAGCTGGCAAAGAACAGGCAGATCGTTCCAATCAGGACAAGTGCAAGTCTGCAGCATCTAAGAGGCAACAGCGAGACTGGCATATCGAGCACAAACAAGCGTTTCTCAAGGCTCGAAGAGAGGTCAGCGAGCGCACTGGAGTATGGCAGTCCCATGCGTTATAGCCTGTTTCCGGACACCAGCCAGACCACACCCAGTAAAACACAACCAAGTCCATCAAGCTCAAGAAGTTTTAACTCACCACTGCGCCCACTGCAGGAGGAAGAGAAAGCCAGCCCGAGCACTGCTGAGACAACTCCTGAGAGTATGAGGGTGCCAACCATGAGAGGTCTAGGCATACATAGAGCCGCCACCGTGAGTAGAGAGCATCTAGCAACGCCTGTAGAGCAATCAGCGCCACGGCAGCAACAAACCCCTCCGCAACTTCTTCGCTCCACAAGCTCGGGAAGCACCAAGTCAGCTAAGGAACTGAAGGAGCAGATGATCGATCTCAAATCACGGATAGCAGATTTGAGGTCAAAGGCAAAAGCCGATCACTTAAGGAGAAGGAGTCTACAAAGTAACAGGAGTCCGAGCCCACTAGCAAATGCTGAACAGTGGTACGCAGGGTCGCCAGCATACAAAGAGTCTGGTAGTCCGCTCCACGCCAGTGCTGGTGTAGGCGGGGAGACCCCAGCTTCCCCTGTTGTGCCGCAGGATGAAGCAGAGCTCTACGACGAACAGATGGGAGTTGCTCCTGAGACTCCTGCTGATTCACGTTTCTTGGACATTGGCAGGATGACTCCTGATACTGAAGCTCGCATGCTTAGCTCAGCAAGGACTGATAGAAACACACCTTCCCTGGTCCGAAAGAGATCGGACTTTACCAACGGACACGAAAACAACGACTCGCAGAACGGTGATTCGCCCATCAGACAACATTCAATAAGCGAATATTCGGACGGGCAGGACTATGCCGAGAACGAAGGGAACAGTACAGGCCAGATCGCCGAAAACGAAGAGGAACAGATATACCTCAATGAAGTGCTAGAAGAATCACTTCGCGAAGCAGAAGTCGAGCCAGAGGTTCCTCCTATCCCTAGTTCCTACTTCGGCAATGCGGAGGGCGATGGTACGTTTGAGAATACAGCAGCTGAAAGACATGAAGATCGTCTGGATGCATTTGACTACGAGAACATGTTCCTCCATAGTGCTATGGGCACGTATACCGGCAAGAGCATAAATGGTAGCGATAGCGGAAGCGACGAACAGAGCGACGACGATCGAAGCGTCGAGACGAGCCGAGCTGGTGCACGTACGCCCGTCGATGTATCGAGTGCGGATGATGAGCCTGAAATTAGTGAAGGCCTAAACGATGTGGATGAGAACGAGCCTGAATTTAGGAGATCATTGGTTGGATCTAACTACATCCCTCAGAGTCAAGTGAGGAGTCCTCTCGGAGTCGATTTACCTGCGCCACCGATGCCACGAATACATACTAGGAGTAAAAGCATGGACTCGGTGAGCACGTCGGCGACTTTTGAGACAGCTACAGAAGGGGAAGAGTACGATGAGACACCAAATGAGATATTCAATTGGGATCCTGTCCCGAGCAGTAGCCTAGGCTATTCTCCAACGTCTCATGCAGCGTACCGTACTGCTCAAAACACTCCAGCACGCAGTCGATATGGTTTCTCATCTCCACAGGGTGGAGGACGGAGCACGCCTATAGCAACCAAATCGCCAAACGGCCGATCGCCTCTGCGACCACGACAAGGGGAGCACTTTGAGCCAATTTACGATCACAAAAAAGCGTCTGCATCACCAGGGATCGGGTTGGGTGTCATGGGAGGCGAAAATGCTCAATACATTAATGACAATGGCGTGCCACAACGGTTCCAGGGCAAACAAACACCATCTCCTGGTCATTCGCGACAGTCTTCGATGGCGACTCCGGGGCCATCGTCCATGAGACCAGAATCCCAAGCCACGGTTACGGCAGCTTCGCCAGCAAAGGGACCAGGCCACAAACGCCTCCTTTCAGCATCTCGAATCCATGGCGTACCACCTCTTCTGTCATCGTCAAACAACAAGGGCAGTCCGATCCTCGTCACAATAGCTGCAAGCCCGCAACGTAAAGTTGTGATTAACCGCAGCTTGCAACAGCCCGAGTCCTATATACTTGAACCGCACACTGTAGACTCATCAACCATGCCGCCGGATGGTTCACTTCCTCCCCCGCCTACTAGTTCGACTGTACTGCAAGCACAAATGGCCAGCCCGGAAAGGATAGACAGTGGCACAAGCAAGATCCGACGGTCTCACTCTTTGCCAAAACGTACTGCAGCACAGTATCAGCAGCAACCACTACCACTACAACAGACACAAGCGCAACCACAGACTACCTGGAACGACACAGCGTCCTCAGCAGCAGCTCAGCCTATACCGAACGTCGAAATCTTGATGGAAAGCCTGATCAAATTGGCCGATCCATCCTTCACGCTTGCGCCCGGTATACGATTCGACGAGGTGGACAAGAACCTTGTGCTAGGACTGCTGGGTGCGGTTGGTGGAGTGTGCAACTCGGTCCTAACAGCCAGCATTCAGTCAGGCAGTCCAGCCATGGGCAGGATCCAGGCTGGAGAGACAGTTGACAAATTACGAAGACGGCTTGAGGCAGCTGCACATGTGCTGGAAGGGCGAGATGAGGGCCGAACCAGCGTGAGTCGTCAAGGATTGAGGATTAAGGAGATTTGATGTGTAATCGAGGCACATGGTTTCGGTGCGATGGCCTATGGTCAATATCCTGGTATGTGTCCGCAGAGCTTCAAAGTTGATATGTTTCCAGTATACATGGACGATCACGGTATGGTGGAGTAGCAGGCGAGGTGTAGACGTTCACTCTTCGATGACAGGTAGATATTACGTATATAATTTTATATATCTTTTACTTCGACTCTAGGTATTCATCCTCTTCTGGAATTCACTTACCACGTTCGTGGGATGTGGTTGGCTTTGTGCAGTGACGATGAGCGGACAATGCAAGTGCAGGTGGGTGATAGTTTCGTTTGTCTGGACTTTTGCCGCTTTTCAATGATTGTCGCATGCACAGCTCGGCAAGTACTTAGTCACACGGCTTGGCTATCAAATAGCATCACGCGTCGATCGTCTGTCACTCCAGGAAAGTATCACTAGTGGACTCCTCAGACTGCACCTTCAACCTACACACTCCACTTTTGCTACCTGATACCTTCCGATGACTGCAACGTACCGCGTACAATATATTGCTCTTACACGATCCTCTTCTTTACTCATCCGACACCAAAACGAAGCACGCCTCGCCCCTCCGCTGTCCTGAACACCTCGTCCGATCTCAGTACAACAACATCTCACTCTGAGAGGTTCGCTCAATCCAATAATCATGAGTAGCCTAGCTACACCCCCAATTCCTCCTCACTTCCACGAGTACCAACGTCTCTCTCCTACAAGATCAAGTGGGTATATTTCTACCTACGACACCAGCAGTTCTAACATCCAGTTAGTGGCCAACAATACTCCTTCTAATCCTCGAAAGCGGAAAGCGTCTCCATCCAGCGAAGACGATGAAATGAGCACATCCCCACAACCAGCAAATGCAAGATTACCAACACAACAGCCGTTCTCGAGGAAGAAGGCGAGACCCAACTTGACCGGCAGACCATTGACTGTCGACCGCCTATTAGAAACGCTCGAGAAAGACAGCTTGAGATCGGTGCTGAAGACCTTGGCCGATCGAAACCCACAACTAAGAGATGAAATCCTTCACATCGCTCCTAGACCATCCGTCAATAGCACACTAGAAGTTCTCAACCACTATCTGCAAGAACTACGCTCCTCCTTCCCTCTGGGCCCCAACCCACGATCAGACTATTCCTACGATCGAGTACGGCCACAATGGAACAACCTACTGAACGCCTTGACGGATTTCACTCCTCACTTTCTACCACCTAATGAAGGTCAATCCTCAATCAGTCTCACATACCTGGATGGGTTGACCCAGATAATACATCAACTGCCCGAATGGGATACAGCACAGTACAACTTAGCCAAACAGGAAGCCTACGAATCAATCTCTAGAGCCTGGGCCACTGTCATCAAGGAAGCCAGCAAACGTGCCGGTGGTATACAGTTACAATACGGTGGCTGGGAGGAGAAGATACGTGAGCACAATCAGAAGAGCCGCGGCCTAATGCAGGAAGCATACGATGAGTTGGCTCAGTCTATGTGGCTAAGACCTAGCTCGCAGGCTCAGTCTAGCGCCGGCTTATCTCAATCGAGACAGGATGTCAGGAACCAGTTGTTTGGAGGAACCTACGGGTCAGATCAACAACAACAACAACAACAACAACAACAGCACCAACCAATCATGAACATGAGAACAGGCAATGGTGGTTGGTAGTCTGGATCCAATCTTGGAGAAGAACACGAACAGGCAAGGAGCATGTTGGCGAGCAGGCGCCCCTAACTTGACCCTCGTTCTTATTTGCTCTATGGGGATGGGGTCAGTGGATGGCGGCTTATGCTTCAATGCAAATACAGTTTCGGTCAATCATTTCTATACCCATACAGCAGAGCGGATATCATGCTTAACGTGGCGTGGACTTCATATATTGAGAATGTAACGAATGGGCAGCAATTGCCACGGTGTTTGGTAGGACTTTGTACGGAGAAATGGGCTGACTGATGGTAACGGCTGTGCAAGTACATAGATTGTGATGGTACCCATGAACGATACTTGTTTCTCTAATCTTCGTTTTCTATTTTGTCTTTGACCTGATTACACTTGCTGTGCGTAGGAGGTCAATGTCCATTGTGCCAACGCAATGCTGTGTATGTATGTATTTATGAGGACCTATCTCACCACGACAACCCTTGGCCGAGGAGCCAAGCATGGAAGTGCATTATCTGACACTACTGTACTAGTAGTGCAATATCCTTCGAGAAGGACCAGTTCACAGGAAAGAATACAGAATTGAAGGACAGACTCAAAAAAAGCCATGCACGCTCTATAATCTGCCGCTGTCTCCACGCGTAGTGTATTGATAAGTTCCTGTTGATCCGATGTAGCAGTCGTCTGCATACAAGCCATTGCTTCTATGAGAAAGCCAACCACAGACGGCGGACAGGGAGAGAGCTTGGTTCCGTCGGTCTCACAACTGAGAGCATGCCATATAGAATCTAAATGATCAATGCTTCTTAGGGAGGACAGAGGTAGCAAGGAGCCAGTCAGGTGTTTTGTTGCGTCAATGTATACAGGCATAGACTTGAGGTAACAGCCTAGCACTACGGCGAATCTGGCATTCTTTGCAATAAATTTCCAGATGCCAGGAGGGTGCAGGATGAAGAGCTCAAGTCCTGGTCTCACAGCTTCTAGTGCTCCGAAGTAACTGGCTAGGGCAACAAGATTAGCTGCAAGCCGCATGCGCTTCAGGAGCCGGAAGCCATCCACAGAATGTAAGGGGCGGCCGTAAAGTAGGCTAGGGAAGCTTCTCCACATCAGCTTGACATAGTGCTGAGCACGCTCTGCTGAGGGCGCGTATCGATCGTCAGCCCATGAATGCGAGTCCGAGATCTTGACATCGTTGGAGAGTGAAGGGATCGTCTGCTGGTACGGCACTAAGTAGCTCGCATATGTATATAATCTGTCACGGACCGGGTCTCCATACACAGCAATTTCATGGGATATCTTTGGTTGCACGCTCGAGAAGAGGAACTGAAGATACGGTAGACCTTGAATCACGTCGAGAGTCCACGAAGAGCCAAGCAAGTTCAGATAGTCATCATCGGATGAACAGTCCGACCACGCCGTGAAGGGCTCGTCGTCGATTGGGGGTCGCTCGCGCTTGACTTCGTTTATAGCACCGTCCTTTTGACGAGTTAGCCTCATGGAAAAGGTTTCATGTCTGGACTTTCCTTTCGTTTTAGCAACCCCAAGCAAGTCTCTCTATTAAAGAAGACCTCGAACTCCCAGACCTTTCTGCATATGCCCTTTACATTAACTAATCGTGATTGATTCCAGTTTGTCGAGAGCATGGCCCGAAACCAAGAGGAGTGCTTGGCCAAAACCTCAGCCTGTACGATGAACAGTCCTGTGCTATGGTCGCCAGCCCGTATGACTACATCTCCATCTTCAAAGATTACTCCAGCCGCTGGAAGTGATATAGTGGTGTGAGACATCTTGATGTAATGCGCCTTTCTTAGAGACTGGAGGAACTGAAGGGAAGATATACAGGTAGATCAATCCTGTGTCTTGCAACGAAAGAAGACTGAATGATATACCCATAACCTGAAATGTGGTGACACATTTTAAGTGACATCGGATACAGTAAGGACGTATCGATCCGTGAAATGAGGAAACATTTGATCATGGTGGAACGACCTCTTTTAGAGATAGGAAGATGTGTCTACTCTCTCCTGGAGTGATAGGGACTGACGGCTTGCTAGCTGATCAGTGGCAAACAAACTGATTCTCAGGGCAAACACTACCATTACGTTTGACAACAAAATCGTTCACTAGACTCTAGTCGGACCATGGTTGAAATTTGCTGTGTATCAGTGCGGATTGTTTCACAATTTCGATTGTTTGTGAGGCCTTACCCGCAGCTCGTCAAGCTTATCAACAAGCTCCAGCTCTAATCGCTTCGTATTGACCATGGCGGGATTCAGCTGATCTATACTCGTCGCACCAATAAGCCGCATGGTAGTCTCGATCTCGTCACTGAGCACTAAATCAATCGTTAGTTGATTACCTAATGCGAAGTTGTACCGCTTCACTTACGTTGTATAGCTTTCAGGACGCCATCATCGCCCATGGAGACCGAGTACATGAATGGACGGCCTAAAGCGACAGCAGTGGCACCCAAACAAAGCGCCTTCACAACATCTGCACCACGTCGAATGCTGCCGTCCAGGAAGATATCGACTTTTCGCTCCTTGACAATCCATGGATAGAAGCGCCGTATCTCCAGCAGAGTATGAATTGAGCTCGGGGTGTCATCGCACTGCCTACCACCGTGGTTGCTGAGATATATAGCGTCAATACCGTGCTCGACTGCTAATACCGCATCTTCGGCAGTCTGAACGCCTTTGAGAGCAATAGGGCCCAAGTTCTGCCATGCTTCTCTTATCCATTTAAGGTCATCCCAGCGGAAAGTTGAGGAGTGAACACCTCGCAAAGGTAGAGGTCCATCACCTTCGTCGTTAGTGGCGTCCTCCGGTGGTGATAGTGGTGGTTCTTGAGCACTCGAAAATGAGCTAGACAAACTCTCGGCGCTGGTCTCGGCACGATATCGTTCGTCTTCTTCGCGCTTCCCAATGACTGGCGAATCGATTGTGATCACTAAAGCTTTGTAGCCACCCTTCTTGGCAGCTTCGATACGCTCCAAGGTCACCGTCTTTTCGTTTGCAATGTAGAGCTGGAACCACAATGCGCCGTAGTTGCTATTAACTCCACTCTGTTTGAGTTCATTATAGTATGCACGACTGATGTCGTTATGCGGAAAACTCGCAACACTGCTGACACAGTACCCGATGCCCTTCCTTGCAGCGCCACGTGCCAAACACTGTTCACCGTCTTCGTTGGCCAGTCCAGCCCGAGCTGCAGGAGCGATGAAGAAAGGATATCTTAACCGACGGCCAAGTACAGTGCGGGAAGTGTCAATTCGCCGAACATTGCGCATCAGCCGTGGGCGTAACACAACCTTACGCCAGTCGACGGTATTATTCTCAAGAGCACCAAGACCGTCAGCAGCAGAAGAGTAGTAGATCCATGCAGGCTTCGACAATAGTTTTTCGGCTGTTCGTTCAATGTCATGCAGCGACAGACATAAAGAAAGTAGACGTGGAATATCGATCTTCTGGGGTTGCTGCTGAGGATCTTGATCCCGACTTTTACCCTCGGTCGGAGTCGTAGGAGTATACGTTGTTGGGTCAACAGGTCCAAGGTGTTGGTCTTGTTCGAGAAATCGATCAAGAGTCCCCTTAGGATGGACTGGTTGGTAGACTGCCGTTGCGTCCTTGCCAGCGTACTGCAGCAAGATTTGTGAGCCACCTGGATGTTTTTCGAGATATGTGGTCACGTCGTACACATGGGCGTCGATTATAACCCAGCAGGAGGACCGAGTGTTATGACTGGCGACGTCCTTGCCACTAAGCATCGTCTGCATTTTGAACCGGTTGTTAGGCCTTTAGATCAAAATGTTAGACTTCTCTCTCTGATCAAACTTCAGGCTAGGTTGTCCTCGCAGTCTTTCGAGCGAACACTGTTTTGATCGACTTATTCGTGGTGTCGCCTCCGGCACATCGGGCACAGCGCCGTGAGATGTATCAAGAGGGACATCTCCGGCTTAAGAGGCGGCTATGCCGAGGCACAACATACGAAAGCGACCGCACGGCGTCTTTTCCTGTACACCGTAAGCGACTGCAAGGACTGACAGCTTGACCGTGTGAAACGCATACCTGTCACAGATGAAGATATCCGAGGACTGCTGTTCGATTACTCTGGCATTAAAGTTGAAAGATTTAAGGTCTAGTAGACTAAGACTGGTTCTGCCATTTCATATGAACAAGAGATCACGAACAGACAAAAATGTGTGGACACTACTTTAGTGTGTGAAATGAATGTCTAGCAGATGAAGTGGGTGGTCAGGCAGGCGATGGTGCTGTAGTCAGCTTGAAGCGTAGAAATCGAGATTTGTAGTCTGTCATCGAGCCTTGCTGGTTTATACCTGTCAAGGCGTGATAGGTAGAGTTTGAGATGAGTTGTTGACAGTAACTTGTGCATGATGTTGGTACAATGAGATGCAAGATTTTTCGGGTCATCTCCAGCCCATGTATCTTTCAGCTCTCATTTTCCAGCCTTCGAAAGTGTTCAATTTAGGCCTAACATCGAGGTAGAAGTTGAGTTCCTGAGCTCGGCGTCTCGGATCAACATCTTCTCGTTCCTTGCCTTGGTAGAAATCGATAATGTACTCTACTTGTTGGCCTCCACAACGTTCAACGATCCAATCGTGCCTGTCGAATGGCTCCAAGGCACCCATGACTGTAGTCTTCCATTTGGCCTTTGGTGATAGAGCACCAGCACCAAGGCCCTGGAAACTCAGTAGCTTTGGTCCGCCACAAGCTTTTGAGGAATCGCCTTCCCACTGTTTAATCAAATGCCACGCGCGTTCGTTGACTGCATTATGTATGGGTATTATACTTGAGATGGACTGAGCAAGGTCTTGAGGAGATGTGCTAGTGGTCGACTTGCGCATAACAGCGTTGAAAAACTGTGTCTCAGATGGATAGATCCAGTTGCCACTTTTGCTCTGGCCTGTCTCTTGTTCAGAATTGGACGGGGTCGATGCTGGGAGACCGAGTTGTGCTCGCGGGATAGTTGAGACCTCTCTGTCTTGTGACAGAGTCCTCGTAGTCCGACCGTGAGGAACTGTGATGGATTCAGTGGTCGGAGCTTGCGATATACGATCAGAGGAGCACTCTTGCGATTGCGCTGCGGTGGTACTGGTAAAAGTGGGTGCCGTCACTGATGGAATTGTAGACACGGCTTGCTCTTGTTGCCGCTTTTGCTGCTGTCGTTGTGCCTTTGCTTGCTGCAGCCATATTTCCCGAGTCTTGGAGTCTACAGGGCAGGCATCTGCTTGAGAGGTGCTCGCGACGGGCGGATGAGATAGAGGTAGTGCTGACGGCAATGGTGGTGGTGGTGGTTCGGTAGAGGCTGGTACTGGATCTGCTTTCCACCAACCCATGTTGAAATATTGTTCGAGGAGTGAGCTACCTTGATGACTTGAATGCGATGCAGGTGCGATGAAAGAATCGTGGAAGAGTGATCGCAATGGATCCTGCACCAGTCGATCCTGCAGGGTCTGAAGATCCGGGGAAGCGCATCGCTCTTTCCCGTTCAAGAAATTTGTGTACATCCCGCCTTCCATCTTGAACTTCGACCCCTGCTCATCGTCAGATTGTCTTGATAGCAAAGAGCTCTCTATCAACTGTGTCAGCCGTCAATTATGTCTGACAACACAGTCTACAGAGCGAGTACCACTGCTCCAGTGAACATCGCGGTGATCAAGTAGGTACGCATTCAACTGCTCTCCGCTCGAGCGAGAACAAGCAAAAACTGACAAGACATCCGTTAGATACTGGGGCAAGCGAGATGCAGCTCTCAACCTGCCGACAAACTCATCACTGTCCGTCACTCTGTCTCAGAAGAGCTTGAAGACCCATACCACGGCCTCATGCTCGGCCTCTTATACCGGAGCAGACTCTCTACTACTGAACGATGAGCCCGAAGATATACAGTCAAACAAACGCACACAGGCATGTCTACAGCTTCTCAAGAGATTCAGACATGATATCGAGGTCAAAAATCCTTCGGCGCCAAAGCTGTCTACCATGCCACTAAAACTCGTCTCTATAAACAACTTTCCCACTGCTGCGGGTCTGGCCTCTTCAGCTGCTGGATTTGCAGCACTCGTTAGGGCTATCGCCAATCTATACGAGCTACCTCACACCCCTACACAACTAAGTTTGGTCGCTAGGCAAGGCTCAGGAAGTGCTTGCAGGAGCTTAATGGGTGGCTATGTGGCATGGCGAGCCGGAACTGCAAGAGATGGCTCGGACAGTATCGCTGAAGAAATTGCTCCGGTTTCACATTGGCCAAACTTGAAGGCGCTGATTCTGGTTGTGAGTGCCGACAAGAAGGGTGTTGCATCTACTGCTGGAATGCAGACCACAGTAGAGACCAGCACCTTGTTCAAAACTAGAGCTGAATCGATCGTTCCGCAACGCATGGAGGAAATGGAAGCAGCCATACATGCTAAAGACTTCGCCAAGTTTGCTGAGATCACGATGAGGGATAGCAACAGCTTCCATGCTACTTGTCTCGACTCGTGGCCACCCATTCATTATCTGAACGACGTGTCAAGAGCCGCAATGAATGCGGTAGAGACCTGCAACAGGAAGGCTGGTAAGTTGATTGCAGCATATACTTTCGATGCCGGGCCAAACGCTGTGATCTACTACGAAGAGGAAAATGAAAAGTTGGTCGCTGGCGTGTTTAGGTATGTATTGCAACAGGTAAAAGGTTGGGAGGGCGAGTACGGTGCCCAGATTCCATCCAATGAACAAGGTGGTTTGGAGGCCAAGACCGTAATGACTTTGAAGGCTGGTGTTAGTCGAGTCATTTGCACAGGCGTTGGTGATGGCCCAGAGCGAGTCGAGGAGCACCTAGTCGACGACCGGGGCAAGCCAGTCAGAATCTGAGAAGAAGTCTTAGCTTGTTCCTGCCTGTCACTTCGGTCAAACGGCATTAAAAATTTACAGCTCCTACATCGTCTTCTTCGTGACCTGCGTGGAAAAACGATTAATACGCGTTTTACTTGTGCAAGTAGTGTGGGCAGACCATCATCGACTCAACTCGCGCTGACCTCTACGAGTTTGGCTAATTGTATCCATATGTCGTCATCAATCAGCCATGATGAAGCAGCGTGACCAACACAACCAGCTACGAGTGCAGATGTAAATGTGCAACAAAATTCATGTTGCTTGTTGGTAATTGCCACTACGGCTTCCATAACTCTTACTTTTAGCCACGTACTTTGGCCATCAATCTCTTCCTATATTGAAGGTATACAGCGTCGTGACTTATTATATCTCACACTGACCCCCCACTATTTGCATTCAAAATCTCTTTAGTGTATGCGCTGTGTCTACACAACCATCTGAGAGCCCCTGCAGTGAAGCACGGCCACCATCATGTCAACCAAAATTTACCTCATCACAGGCGCCAACAGAGGTCTCGGTCTCGAGTTCGTCCGACAAATATCATCAGAATCCTCTCAAAACACAATCCTCGCGTGCGTCCGCTCCATGCAAGGCGAGCTAGACGACCTAAAAACACTCGCAAAGCAGAACTCCCAAATCCAAATTCTCGAATGTGACACAGGCTCCGTCGAGTCTGTCGTAAAATGTGGACAGGAAGTCTCCAAACTCCTTGGTAATGGTCAACTGCATTACCTTATCAATAATGCCGGTATCAACAGTGTCCCTGCACGCACAGCTCTAGACGTGACTCCTGAGGAACTTCGGCAGCATTTTGAGATTAATGTTGTTGGGCCGAATGAGCTTGTAAAGGCTGTTCAGGGCCATCTGCGGGAGGGGAGTACAGTGTTAAATATGACTAGTGGTCTAGCGAGCATTGGACTTAGTATGGTGAAGTGTACTGCTTATGCTGTTAGCAAGACTGCGATGAATATGGTTAATGCGCATCAGGCGCATGCCTTGAAAGAGAAAGGTGTCAGGGTGATAGTAATGGATCCTGGATGGGTTAAGACAAGGATGGGTGGTGATGGTGCGATTCTTGAGCCACACGAGAGTATTTCAGGTATGTTGAAGGTACTGCGAGATGAAAGTAAGGGATTGGAGGACAGTGGGACGTTCTATCAATATGACGGAACGACGAAGCCGTGGTAGGGTTTTGTAGGGTTTTGTTAGGGCTTATCTGGGCTCATTTGGGGTTCCTTGGGTTTATTTGGAAACCCAGAATCAGAATAACCGCGATAAACCCAGGATAACATTTTGGATGTGTTGGATAGAAGATGTATGCTTGACCTGAGAAGTCCAAGTCGAGAAAACCATCCCATCAACGTGGTCGTCAGTACATCGTTCCTGTTCCTTGCCGTCGTGTTGCCAGCGAAAGTATCGAAGCATCTCATCGAGAGATGAAACCTCTGACGCTCGCAGCACGAAACTCTGAAAACAAAAAAGAACAGATCAACAAACGCACCAAACACGCCAAGCCAATCCCATCCGCGCCCATCTTTTTCTCACTTCTCTCAAACAAACACCTGATCTTCCTTTTTCCTTTCTCCATATTATTGTCAAGGCACTCATATCAAACCCTTGTTGAATGCATCGACTACTGTTCACTACAGTATTAGTCTCAGTTGCGTCCACACATTCCCGAGTGACCGAGAAGGAACACAAGCCTATCTAATCTGGTCAAATTCTTTGATCTTTTCCTTTACGGGAGTTGATCGTGGTTGCTCAGTTCGCTTTCGGCTGATATTGCGCATCTATGTTACTGCGAGATTGATGTATCTCGATGAATGCGAGTCGGACGGTTTGTCGTTTACTGCTTGTTGAATTGAACAATGTAGGTCAGAATGCAATGCGGTTCTTACTTTGTGGCAAAACCATGCATTTGTTGTCTTTGTGATTGAACGTTACACGGGCACTTTCGAAGCTTCATCAGTCCATTTCCCTCAATGATAGATGTTGTCAAATTTGTGCCGAGATGAGAAAAGTATCAAAAATGTCTCTGTTCGTGTTTCATTGCAGTCCTTCGCATCCATGGCTGCAGATGCGTCTCTGAGGAGATACATCTCTGAATCCATATTTGTTCGCCGCTCGTGCTGTGTTTCGAAGTAGGCTGCTTTTCGGCCAAAGTCCTTCTAAAATAGTACGTATGTATCTAGGCTCAAAGAAGAACTCAAGGCCGGAGAACATATAGCAAGAGCAATTATTGATGAGCTCAAATGCGGAAAAGAGACACTATCCTTGACAATGAAAGACGCTTCGTAGACAGAAGCGTAGACAAAATTGGATGTCAACTCATTTCGTAACGACAACCCCACGCCAATAATCCCAACCTGACTGCTTGACCTTCTTGATCGCAAGCACATAACTACTTGACTCTTCCGTATCTCATCGTGATGAAATTTGACCACACACACTCATAGATCACACCGCCAGACCGAACACGAACAAAACAAACGGAGAAACGTGTAAGAATAAAAGTCATGTATCAAAATTTCCATTTCAGAAAAAGTCTACTAAACTCCAATCCTATGCATACTCCTCCTTCACCAACGCTGACAGATAGCATCTTGTACATATCTGTTTCGCCTGATTGTTCCATGCTATGCTATGCTTGAGTGCTGAAAGTGGTTGATACATTTTGCTAATGACCTGCGTCGAATATTCTTCTTCTAAAGCTGGGTACATGAAGTTGTCTAACCTTTTTCTAAATCTGAGAATCCAAAAACCGACGCCGTGATATGTCTGGATTGACGTTTTGTGTTGATGAAGTATCTGCCTGGGCTGCCAGGAGATAATGTCGTTATGTGTTGTGATGTGCGTATATGGTGCGAGGTGATGCTTCAGGATCGGGATGGCCAACAACTTAGTTGAACCACCACTGGAAGCCACTGCATCGGCCATCGCAGCCGTTGCCGACAGCAGCGAAGAGAGCGTTGGTCAAATCGATGGAGCGACCAACGCAACCCATGCACTTGTCGCCAACGGTGGCCTGGACAGTTACGCCAGTCTGTGGGTTTAGCACAGTCAAGCTTCTGCCGCAGTATGGGTTGCCATTCGATTGAGTACCCATAAAGGCGTGAGGAAGGGCAATTTGGAACTCTGAGTTGGAGTCGACGTTCCAGCCGCAGGCGCCGAGGCCACCGTCCCAGTGAGTGATGTCGCCGACACAGGCGTTGCCTGTGCCTTCGCAGGAAGCGGAATCGGAAGCAGTGACTTGTCCTGATGAAGCTTTGTTAGTTGCTGGTGCTGCTGAGGCTGAGGCTACTGGACTAGAACTGCTTGAAGGAGTGACGGGAGTTGGAGCTTGGTAAGCAGACGAAGCGATTGTGGTTGTTGGAGCTACAGCAGGGGCTTGGGTTGAAGTCGAAGTCGAAGTCGTAGTAGTTGGTTGAGCTGGAGGAGCTGGAGTCGTAGTTGGGACGACTTGGGCTGCTGCTATGGGAGAGGATTGAACAAGCATGGCACTACTGGTTGAAATTGAAGTTGACGAGGGTAACGCACTCAGTTCCAGACTTTTGGTCTGTTCAGCGAAGTTGACGCCTTGAGCCTCAGTCTTGATAGGCTTGCCATTCTCATCGACCCAGAGGGTGACTGGGACATCGACAGTGGTGTAAGAGGTTTCAGTGACGACTGAGGTAACGTCTCGTGGGATGTTCAGTGGAATGGCGGCGGACAGAGCTGCGAATGCCGAAACGGCGAAGACGATCTTGCTGAAGGACATGTTGTCTATTCTTCGAGAATGACTGACTTGTGTTGAATGCTCAAGAATTGTCGTTTGGACTGATGTTGCGTGGTCTAGCCAGCAAATTCGAAGGGGTCGAGGAAGGATAGGATAAGAATCACTTCAAGTGTTTCTTTGTTGTATGGCGATGGCCACGTGGATTTGGTACGTCGAGTACACAATGAATGCGCGTTCACAAGGAGAGTGTGATTGACGGATTGGGAAAAGAAAGAGAAGAGTCGTGCGAGACGAACGATTTTGTAGTTTGCGAAATGAAGAAAGGACCGGATGTCACAACGGACAATGTGAGAGAATGAAATGGCCTCGAACACTGCCGGAACGAAAAGTGTATGGAAAGAAAGAGCGAAGTGTTTTTCTGAGCACGACTCTGTATACCAAGTATTTGTTTGCGAGTGAGGAGTCTACCGGGGGTAATAGAAGTGGACATTATGCAAGTTAGGGACGACTTTCCCCTGGTGCGCAATATGGATCAGGAGAATCAGGTACCCGGTCTAACGCGTTTCTAGCGAGGCGTACAGAGCTTCACTAGGAGTCCTCTCAGCGCCATCCACGTCAGTCCAGCCCTGCAATTTCAGGTACCGCAACGGCCGGCAGCGACACCGCATGCGGTTGAAACGCACAAAAGAAAGTGGTGAGCTGTGGATCAGGATGGAGTTTGAGACTGCTCCTTGCAGACCCGGCGGCGCAACGCGAAACAAGGAAGGTAAACCCAATTGAGCCTGAGCATGTTCTAGCGGAAAGCTTGACCTCGGGTACCTAGACTCAATACCCAGGCATTATCATGCCGATCTTTTCCCCAGCAAATCGGTGTATCGCTTTTAGCCGCAGTCGACAGTGGCCGGGCCAAGCGGGTCCATAAGCGTTGTGACATCCTCGCGCAGAACGGACTTGGTTGGCCAGGTACGGATGTTGTCTGATTGGATCGATACAGGCTATAGAGCGGTAGATGTGGAATTCGGACCTTGTATTCTACTGACCGTCTGAAAATTTGCGTTACATGCAAGCACTTCCATCGTCTATACTTCTGATATCCATTATCTGGTGGAATTCTCTATGTTCACTGGTCGCGCAAACAGTGGACGACAGAACAGGTCGTGCTTATTCGCTGGCAAAACCTGCTGTACCTGCAGCATTTGCTCGTCTAGACACCTGCATTCTGATGAATGCCGAGGGCGCGCACATTATTCTACCTCTTTGTGCTCGGCGTTGATTGAGCGTAGTTCATATCACACGTGGCAGCGGTCCCTCCTCCGGCGTTCACCTCATACCACAGGTATTCACCTCGTCAAGCCCAAGACTTCACACTGCATGAACTTTCAATTTTTCCAGGTGCATGCGCCATTACACTCACCTGGTTCGTCCGATTCACTGACTCGCGACATCTAGAAGTATTGTAGTGATCTTGACTCTTCGTCTGGCGACAATACCGATGGCCTCTGAGGTGCGATCGCAGACTTCAGAATGCAGATCAGATAACAGCACGAGAACGTAATTGCGTCGAGCAGAAGTCATGACGATTGTGGTTTTGTTATTCTGTCGGTTGTTCTTACCACACACCGTAAGTTTGTAGACTGCCAGCTACCGGACATCGACGCCGTAACGGAATGCGACAAAACCTGGGTCAATTGTGCGGGTTGTGGACATTCGTGCGATACTTCGATAGTGTTTCGTGCGCACGAGTGACAGTACGGCTGCTGTCGCGGTTACCAGCCACCGAGTTTCGCGACTGCCAATTCTTACATTGACACTCAAAGCCTGAAGTTCTCTACAGCTTTCCACACAATGCGCTCTGCAGAACCATGGAGCGTGCTGTCGAAGACTGTTGTGTACATGTGGCTTGCAAGTGAACGTGATATAGCTGAACCACAAGGCCTCACTTTTTGGGCTTGCTATACGAGCATGTATGATTTGCATTAAATCGTGCTGCGGCGAGTGCGGCTCGTCGCGCAGCATACGGCAGTCTCGTTTCTGTTTGGAACATAACGAATCATTAATCGTTGAGGCGTCAGCCACAGTTTCTCTTGCATGAATACCGTATCAAAAACTCAGGAACACTACAGCAAGAATTGTTTGTCCAGTAAATCAAGCTGATACTCATCAAGCAAACAAGACCGAAACAGCATTCGGAGTGTATCATGCAGCGAGCAAGTGAAAGCTTTTGACAAAATATGCAGTACTGTTTTGTTGCTATCATACATAGAATGTGAATCTGTACACAATATGAGAGTCGTGGGAATCGTTTTCGCTTGAACGCTTGGCAAATAAAATCACAAAAGCATTTACGAACAGCGACTCTCTGGTCAGGCCAAAATGGTACAACTTTTGGTTAGTGTCATCTTACAGCCATCAGAATTTTATGGTAATCATCGCGCACATCGTCCTCCTCGGTCCACTCCCGCCTCGGAGGTTGGGGTGGTGGCACACCTAGATCCTCGCCACTTCCGCCTGACATGGTGAGGTCTGGCGCATCAGACTCTTCAATGGTCGGTACTTCTTCGTGGCGTGCATCTGGCTCGATATAGTGTACATCTGGTTGGAGGGACACTCGACGTTGACGATTATGCACCTTCGCTGGAGCTGGCGTTGTTATGCTCGTGCTAGTCAAGCTGTCATCGTCCTGACGGCTCTGCTTTGGACTTAACGGAGACATGTTTGGATCTGACTCTTCAATGTGTTGCGATGATGGCAAGAAAGACACGCCTGACATGTGCTTTTTGTGATTCTTTCTTCGTCTTGCGATAATACCTTGAATGCCAAATTGCTTCTCTTCTGTTATCTCTGACACACCTGTCTCGGAGAACTGGCTGTTTGTTCGTGCAGTGGTTGCTCGTCTAAATGTTCTCCGTCTACGACTCCGGTTCTCGTGGACGGGGTCGACTTGACGTATAGCCGCTGGCACAAGGTTGAGGTAAAGGGCGAAGATGGATCCGAAACAGTATATCGCCAAGATGACACTGTAGCTGTATTTGAGACCTCTTGCATTCCTGACCGCCCAGACAATTGGCGGCACTACAGCACCTGAAGATATGGTTGCGGTCATTAAAGCTGCTGCGTTGAAGGTCTGATCGCCCATACCTCGCATACTGATTGCGTACACTATTGGGAAAATGCTGCCTTGGAAGAAATTTATCAAGTTATTAATGATGATACCAGTTGCCCCATCTGCATTCATCTGAAGAGCGACCAGGATGATACTGCCTGTGAAACAACTCATGAGCAGCCAGCGTGGTTTGATGACGTAGTTTAGGAAGGATCCCAAGAAGCGACCGAGGGCGAACGAGGTACGGTTCAACGTCTCGAAATCGAGAGTGTCCAGCTGACCTGTTCTTAATCTATCGCCACCAAGTTGAGCTATCAGACTGCTTGCAGAGAAGCCATTGCCTTCCTGAGCACCAACATAACACCACTGAGCAAAACAGCCGAGCCCAAGTGTAACCCACACGACACGTATGTTGAATGGTTTGACACGCGTACGATAGACAGCTGACCGCCGCTCGGCTTGCTCCTCGAGTTGCTCTTCTGTGGCTTCAGGGAGAGGTATGTAGTAAAAAATGAGGGCGAGAAGGAAATCGAAAAGTGATATTCCAAGATAAGCCCACTGAACACTGACCAAAGATGATGTACTATTAGCGACACTCTTGAACAAAACCTTTTGGGCTAATAGAGGTGAGCATACAGATCCAACTGCCTGAAACGCTTGAGAGAAATTCAGTCTGACTTCTGCATATTCAAGCGGACCACAGAGAGCGATGTAAGGGTTCGATGCCACTTCGAGGCAAGACAGACCACAACCGACAATAAAGTTTGAGACGATGAAGGCTGGGTATGACAGAAGGACTGCAGATGGCCAGAAGACGAGAGTACCACACCCGTACAGGCAAAGGCCGAGGATCATTGTGGATTTGAAGCCATAACGATGGAGAAAGAAGCGTCCCAGGGTCAGAGGTCCAACGAAGTAACCGGCGTAGTAAGCTCCATGCAGACCGTGCGCTTGACCTTGTGACAAATTGGCGACACTCTGGAACTGGGAGTTTAGGACATCCAACAAACCATATGCGAAGCCCCAAAGAAAGAAGATCGCGGTAACAACAAACACAGCCCATAGACTCTGTCGGTTGGTCAGCTTTAGCATATTCCTGTTCTTGTCCATCTTGACGAAACCAAAGTCGGATGTGGCTGATACAGCTGAGGTGGTTCGTGTCAGAGCCCGCGATGTGATAGAAGACTTTCGCGGTCTCTCGCGACGCTCAGGCTCATCAGCAAGCATGTTCAAGAAGCCCATGAAATCCCCATCGTCGTCGCCGGCATACTCTGCAATGGTGGGTGTTCTGAAAGCGGCAGGATGAGTGAGGACATTGGCATTGGTATTCATTGTGCTCAGCGGTTCCTGTTTATCGAAGCCATCCATGCTGCCTCCAGAGTCGATGCCTGAGTCATTGTCCTTAATGAAGCTCGGTGCAAACTTCAAGAACAGTGCTTTGAGACTAGGGACGCAGGCGCAGATGATGCCAATGTTGACCTCGATTGCACTCCACATGAAGCTCAGACTAGCGTCCCAAGAGAAATCAGATGTCTCAACAATCCTCTGAGTACCACCACCTGTATCGATTGTCGTAAATCTGTCAAGAGACGCATTTTGCAGGTAAGCTATCCTCACAATATCGACCACCACAACAAATATGCCGGCGCTGAATGTACAGATGAGAATAATCTTTTGTTTTCGCGGAAGTCGCAGTCCGGTAAGGATGGGCATGGGTAACAAGAGGAGAGCCAGGTCTGTGATAATGTTGACAGGTGCAGAGGAGAGATAAAGAGTAACGATGTCGGTACAGGATGCATCTTCCGGGGTTGGGTAAAGGTACCCCGCAGGAATGGGACGACACTGGAAGATGTTCAGACATGTCAAGGCCAACCCTGCTATATTCACCACGGCCAGTGTAATCCAATCACACCACTTGAAGATCGGATCGGCATCTTTGCTCATGACCGACAGGTAGAAGACGATGATTGAGGTTTTGGTGAGCATCAGGCATGGATTGTAGAGGATCGAGTAGGCGTATTGAGCTCTTCTGAAGTCGTCCCGTGTACCGCTTTGTATGTCATCCCAATGGACACCGAGGCCGTCCGACACGCCTATACATATGGCGATTGAAAAGGCAAGTGCACATAACCATGCTGCTAATATCCACCAATCGTCTTTCTTAACTGATCGAACGATGTAGATGCGAGTAAAGAAGCGTGCAGCGACGAAGACTGTGGCCAGCACGCACATGGCCACAGTGACACTGAAGGTCACTGGACCTCGACCAGCGATCATGCTGGCTCGATTTCGAAGGCGACGGGCGAAGTGCCAAATCGTGTCACACTATGCTGGCTCGATAGCGCGTCATTGTCGAGAAAACTTGTGGCCCATTACCGAGACTGGCGAAAGGTCCTTGCAGTGTGGAAGACTCGACGTCGTTGAGAAGAACAGATGCGAGGTTGATGTCGTCGAGACTGTGAACCGCAGCTTAATTGTGGTGTTGAATTGCTTCGGCAGCAGATGCCGCAAGATCTGGACTTTTGCCTGCATGATGAAGAAGGTTGGAATTGGTCATCGCACGCTACTCATATCGCAGGTGAGTTTTCGCCGAGCTTCAAGCCAATCGTGGGTGAGTATCGGAACCAACATTTTGGTCCTGCAAACTTTGGTTATCTTGCGGGTGTTTGGTAGAGATGGAGCTGTTCACGTTCTGCTAGTACTATGGATGCAATGCAGCGCACTTCCAAGTACTACTCGTGTCTAGATGATAGTGCTCTTCTCAAGAACAGATATTTGGAACAATTCATCGATCTTTGGTCTGGGATTCCTGCACAGACCACACAGTGGCAAGCGCGCCCCGCAAAATCTCAGCCCGCTCATGCAAGAGGCGTTCGCATGCAAGCACAACCTAAGCAGAGATTTATGCCATAGTTTGCGGTATCTATACTCCGTAAGGCGGTCATTATTCCTGTTTGCATGTCCTTCTACTGACAGCAAATGAGCGTGGGAGCTTCGATCGTGGAGCCCCATCACACGTGGGCGGCTTCGAGTCAGTTGCACCAAGCTGTTGGGAGCTTAGCTTCGTGCTCCTCCCAAGTACTTTTACAGGCGCTCTTCTCTAGTGCGTTTCTATACGAGTAGTACTTCCTCTCTTACAAGGTGGAAGAGCTTCAATCTCTTCATGCAACCACCTCAGATGACTTGCTCGCTTTCGCCTCGCTCAAGCGGCTGCAGATCCACGAATTTTGTTTGTTAATCTCGACCTGCCTGCAGTCCGACAGCTTCGTCTCTGTTTCTTCTTCCCGAGACAACATTCGTTACTCGTCTAGCGCAGTTACATGTCAACCTTCCATAGCTTCACCTCAGTGGGTGGCTTTGCACGCTCTTGTACGTCAATCTGACCATCATACAGAGCACCGTCTGTACCATTCGGCCTCCCATCGCCATTGATGTGGTATATGCTATTCTCCTCCACTCTCGCTGTCTCGGGCCACACTCTCAACCGCGCATCTTCGCAAGCCCCATGGATTTTCAACATGATTTCGTCAACCTTCGCCGCCTGCTCTCTCAATCCGCGTCTTCGAAGACCGGAGACCAGTCTCCTCACCTCGTCATGCGTCCCATTTACACGGTCGATCAGTCGCGCAATAGAAGCCACAAGATACTCCTCTTCATACACACTTCCCTTCTTACCTCTAGCACGCTTGCGTTCTTCTCGACGTTTCGTTTTGCTCGTGCGTCGAGACATATTACTGGCCACAGTCCCCGCGAATTTAGTACTGGCTTGGCTTCCACCTGCACCACCTCCGTATCGCGTGAACATGCTTTGTCCTCCTTGTGTGCTGGCGTCCGTTGGCGCAAGACTGATGTTATCAGGTATATCAGCTCCTTCTCCGGGTGCTGCGTCCCCACCATAGAATGCGAGTGGATCCTCCGCCTTTTTAATTCTCAGCTCCTCAATCCGCGGAACCTGTGATGCTAACTGAGTTTGGCAGTCTGCGATCAACTCGATAATTTCGCCAAATTTCCTCGTTAGCATCGGATCAACGATATTAGATACCTGGCTGGCAAGATTACGTGCTGGATGAGACAGAACACGTGTTGCCTCGGCGAAATATGAGGCTTTACAGAGCAGTTCCGCCGCTGCGACAGGATCATCGAGGTAGTCCAAATGGATAGTGGCTGCAGACCTGTAGTCACGGCTCTCCTCCGTGCATGTCGTTGCGAGCGAATGCGCTAGGCTGCGTATCCGATCAGGTAGCAGTGGAGGTTGGATAAGAGCAGCACATGACAGTGACTCACGCCACATATGAGCTAATGCATACAAAGGATATGCTTCCGTGTAGTCAAGCAGTGATTCGTACAAGGTAGCTGCAGCAGCATGATATGATTGCGAAGTCAGAAAGTCGGCATGCAGCCGTACAATTCTATGCAGGTGTGGCGCGTCATGTTTGTAAAGGTCTTCTACATGTGCATAAAGGTTGTGTTTGACAGTATATGCTTCCAACTCGTCGTGCTCGTCCATAGCATGAAGACTATTAGTTGCTTTGGCGTATCTCTTTAGGTGGTTGTCAATGGTATACTCTCGACGCAATCTAGGCAGTGCCTGAAGCGACTGCAAAAACGGCATATACTCCTTCGGATCGCGCTGCGCATTCTGAGCAACTAACAGTGTCAGCTCCAGATCATAAAGGCCTAGTGCCGTGTCATAGAGACGATTCGTATCCGATAGAAAGCATAAATGTGCGATCGTCAGATCAACTTCTTCCTCCGACACTTGACGGAGAGACGAGACAAGACGCAGTGCCGCGACAGTATCTGGTGGTTTCTTGCAAATATGTGCTGTGATGATGTTTTGCTGATACTCTGCTGACTTTGTACCCAGAATTGTAATAAGCGCATCGCATATTCTATTGACCTTGCTACTAGCACTGACAGCTTTCGCACTCATTCCAGCGTCTTCATTCTCCAGACCATGCTTGCTAGTATCGCGATACAGCGTCTTCGTAACATCTTCGTCCTTAAGTTTCTGAATGAACTCGTCGATTCGACTGGGTTTCTTCAACTGCTCCACGAACTTTTTGAGATTACATGACCAGAGCTCTGGATTATAGTCGTAGAGAATGTTGAGGTCGACTTGGTGGTTCCGACAGGCTAGGAAAGCTTTTCGATATTCTAGGCTGTCGATGTGCTCACGGATACCAGAAAGGACCATGATGCGCGGGTATATTGTCTCGAGATTGCCTCGTGGCATTTGGAGGATGACTGCGTAGCTGGAGGGTATGATGGTGACGATCTGTGCTCCTCGTTCGATTGCTCGGCACCGCTCGTCTACTTCGGGGGTATCATTGGGAAAGACGAGCTCGGTATCATTGGTCAAGTGAACGAATTTGAGCAGGTGGGTGGCGGTGGTATAGATGATGTATCGGTTGGTGACTGCGTAAGAAGTGACTTGAGTTGCCTTGACGACGTTGTTGATGATCAACTGCTGCGCCTTTGAAAGAGAAACCTGACAGTGTGGCTCTAGAGGTCCACTAGGCAGATCTATAACATCTGTGGCTGGACCAGCTGCGGGAGGCAATTGTGAGGAAAGAGATATGTCCCACAGCCCAGTGGCTGTCCGAAACCATACAGATTCCTGGTTCGTGCTGAGCAAGATTTGCTTGGTGTCGAGAGGTATCTGGATATCCTGTGTTTTTATCTCGGGATTCTCTGCATTTGTGTTGACCCACGTGTACTTGTAGCACAAGGCTCGAGGGTCAGATATGCTTGTCGATGGTGCGAGTAGATAGACAGCATCATCATTGTGGATGACTATCTGAGTTGGCCGAGGAAACATATCCAGGTTCTTCTTCTGCATGCTGATGTTCGTGGTATGCCGTATAGAAGTCGTCGATCCCGGGCTGGCTAGCCGCATTTCCCATTTACACAGGTAGAGATGACTGTGCGTCAAGAAGGCTAGTCTCTGACATGTCCGGCTGAATGTGCAGCTGATAATGTTCTCTGTAGCTTGTACCTCTGCATACGCCATTGGTGGCGGGACGTTAGCATGTTTGAGTGGCGTAAGTTTGAGGCTCTTGCCGTCGATCACGGAGACAAGACCATAGTCAAAGGGTGGACAAATGGAACCTCCGTCTGTTTTCGAGCTCAATGAGATCGACTGATTAAGTCGCCCATTTGAGATGCAGAACTTCAAAGGATCATGTTTGTGCCACTCGAGCGACAGCGACTTGAGCCGGAATTCCTGTTTTAGGTAGTAATGATAGTTGCCCATCGTCCAGAGCTGTACACGGTCAAGCATAACGACAGCCAAGATGGATGAATCACAGTTCCATAGCAACGAGATGTTGGCACCAAAAGAAGCCATCTCCTGCTCACTCAATCGTAAGTCAAAATCACCATGTCGTAGACCATTCCTCTCGAAGAAGACAACTTCGAGCTTCGGCTTACCCCCGATCGTCCTCTTGATGCCTGCAAGAAGATTACCGTATGGGCGCCAACTCAAGGCAGATTCAAGGCCATCAACGGGTTCAGAAACACTGTCGAGGACACCGTCAGCGCTGTACACCCTTATGACCCTGCGGTCACTAGCTATCGTGCTATTGACGGCTACGAAAGCACCGTCACCTCTCCACGAGACCACAGTCTCGCCGTTGTCATTCGGAGTTGGCTTGCCTTCTTCTATATGCTCTGGCATGGTTGGGTCTTTCATAGCTTTTGCTCGCTTGCCTTGAAATTGAGTCTCCTTCTTGCCCCAGCCGACTGAGACATGCTTCGAGAGTCTCAGATCGTCCCTCTGCAAAGCCACTTCGCTGACCGGTTCGAGCTGTTGACTCATGAGCACAAAAGATCCAGCTCGGGTTATGATTGCCAGGGTAGCAGTGGTAGACGACCACTGAGCCGCTGAGACGCCAACATCTATGCTGCCAACTATTTCGATTCGCTCTTGGTCCGGCAACGGTTTCTCGCGGACGACAATCAAGTCGCCACCAGCAAGGACAATGCATATTGAGCCAGTGTCATGCAAGTAGCGTAGAGATAGAATACGGTCACAATCAAGTTCAGATAATGGGCTTGGCGCATCCCAGGAAGTGATGAGAGTGGTTTCAGCTTCTCGCGCCTCTAGCCATGACTTGCATCTTCGCAACTCTATGACTTGCTTCTCTGGCGCTGGGCCAAAGGCACATATGACTTCTCCTGTCGAAGTGTCAAACGCTGTTGCGGTTAGAGGCAGATCATTATTGTCAAATTTTGTCTCGACGACCTCAGACACGATCAAATTGCGCATCTCGTGAAGGTGCTCGTATCTTGATAACCAAATGATCAGAATCAAGTGTTAGGCGTCGTCCAATCTCACAAATTCGTGGCGCGTTCATATGCTGCGAGTATATTGCAAGAAAGTTACGACAAATTTATTCGACCCCAATCTGGAAATTTCACTAGCGCCACTAAATGGTTCATACAATGGTCGATTGCGCACAGCATTGCAGATGCTTGATATCGACAAGTCACAGAGATGATATCTTCTGCCTCTAAGGGCAGAATTGCTGACAGGAGGGAACTCAAAACACTTTCTGAGCCACTCTTTCAAATTTCTAGAGCTGCATGTGCACGCGTGTATGTACAATTCTAATGGTATCCGAGTTGTCCATGAAAAACACTGCTGAACCCGTTCCTGCGAGAAGTCCAGAAATCCACACCCTAGTTCTTGTATGTTTGCCAGACTGTAAGATGTGTTAGTCGCCCTTTCTATGCACTTCGTGTGAGCTTGCATACCAGCCTCAAGGAAAGGAAATCCAAATCCTGCAGCTACATCATGTTAACATTGGATCCTTGAACAGTCAGATTTAGCCATACCCATGAAACCCCAGTATCTGACGGCAAAGTATTTTGTCTTAGGATTGAATGGCAAATTCGATCGAGGGCCCTCTGGGTAATGGAATGGACTAGCCATTTGTGTTCGTGTTGTGGTGAAGGTTCGTCTGGCAGCCGGCGCTACGCCTCGGGCAATCGCTCGTGAGTACATCTTGTTGTTATGGTTGTAATGAGCGCGATGGTACAGGTAGATGTCTGGACAGCTATCACGACAGTGTGGTAGTAGTGGTGTGAGAGTGATAGCTCCATTCGGCGCACCTTCCACGAGAGCGGATGGAAGACGTCATGTGATCTCAACTGCCGCACCTGCCGCGTCAATTTTCTTCTTCGTGACTTACAACGATTACTGCTCATAGTATCGTCCACTAGAGACTCAAGGTATACAGATACTCGGCGCATACACGATGGACGACTTATTCGACGTTTTCGACGAAGCGCCCAAGGCAGCAGCGCCTGCCACGAATGGAACTACCAACAGTAATGGTACTCGACGCCTCAAGCGCCAAGCCAATGGAGAGCTCAAAGAGAATGGCGAAGCCAGCTCACCGAGCGAGAATGGCAACAAGCCCAGTTCACCTGATACTGACATGCAGGATGGTGATGCGCCACCACCAAAGCGACCTCATTTCGAGCAGGAGCCAGAACCTGTAGTGACTGACACTTTCGAGACTGAGAAGTCCAGAGAGGTCCAGGCCGCTGCTGGTCTACAACCAATGAAAGAGACCGGAACCGTGACACTATCCCATCAAGTGCGCCACCAAGTTTCTCTTCCTCCAGACTACAACTATGTACCTATATCACAGCATAAGCCACCAGAGAAGCCAGCTCGAGAATTCCCTTTCGAGCTTGATCCTTTCCAAGCAGTTTCTATAGCCTCCATCGAGAGGAATGAATCCGTACTTGTGTCGGCTCATACCTCGGCGGGAAAGACAGTCGTAGCTGAATATGCGATCGCTCAGTGTCTAAAGAACAACCAGCGAGTCATCTATACAAGTCCTATCAAAGCGCTCAGCAATCAGAAGTATCGAGAGTTTAACGAGACCTTTGGAGATGTCGGTCTCATGACAGGCGATGTGACGATAAATCCTACAGCTACCTGCCTTGTCATGACTACTGAGATTTTGCGGTCGATGTTGTATAGAGGTTCTGAAATCATGCGGGAAGTAGGCTGGGTTGTTTTCGACGAGATCCACTACATGCGAGATAAGACTCGTGGTGTAGTATGGGAAGAAACGATTATCTTGCTACCGGACAAGGTTCGATATGTCTTCCTCTCTGCCACAATTCCGAATGCCATGCAATTTGCTGAATGGATCACAAAAACTCACAACCAACCATGCCACGTTGTCTATACCGACTTCCGGCCAACTCCTTTGCAACACTATTTCTTCCCAGCTGGCGCGGACGGTATTCACCTGATTGTTGACGAGAAGGGTGTATTCAGAGAAGACAACTTCCAGAAAGCCATGAGCACAATAGCAGAAAAGCAAGGTGACGACCCTGCCGATGCTATGGCTAAGAGACGTGGCAAAGGACGAAATAAGCACACGAACAAAGGAGGTCAAAAGGGTCAATCTTCCGACCTGTACAAGATAATTCGCATGATCATGACGAAGAATTACAATCCTGTTATAGTCTTCAGCTTTAGCAAGCGAGATTGCGAGCACAACGCCATTCAGACAAGTGCGATGAGCTTCAACGACGAATCCGAGAAAAACATGGTGACTAAGGTCTTTAACAGTGCCCTTAACTCACTCAACGACGAGGACAAAAAGCTTCCGCAGATTGAGCACCTGCTGCCATTGTTGCGGCGAGGTATTGGTATTCATCATTCCGGTCTCCTTCCTATTTTGAAAGAAACCATCGAAATCCTATTTCAGGAAGGTCTTATCAAAGTCCTCTTCGCTACCGAAACCTTCTCTATCGGCCTCAACATGCCTGCGAAGACAGTCGTCTTTACAAGCGTACGAAAATTTGATGGCGTTAGTCAAAGATGGCTCACTCCTTCAGAGTTCATTCAAATGTCTGGTCGAGCTGGTCGAAGAGGTCTTGACGACCGAGGTATTGTTATCATGATGATCGACGAGCAGATGGATCCTTCGGTAGCTAAAGAGATTGTGCGTGGTGAGCAGGACAAACTCAACTCTGCATTCTATTTGGGCTACAACATGATTCTCAACCTGCTGCGGGTGGAGGGCATCTCTCCGGAATTCATGCTCGAACGATGCTTTCACCAGTTCCAAAACACTGCTGGTGTTAGCAGTCTCGAGAAAGAGTTGCATCAGCTTGAGAACGAGAAGCTTGACATGACGATCGAGGACGAAGCAACAATCCGAACATATTACGATCTGAGGAAGCAACTAGACAACTACGCCGAGGATATGCGGATGGTTGTCATTCATCCATCTAATTCACTTTCTTTCATGCAGCCTGGTAGGCTCGTTGAAGTCAAACAAGGCGAGCATAATTTTGGATGGGGTGCTGTCATCAACTTTTCTCGAAGATCTCAGAAGGATAACTCAGAACAACTTCCACCGCAAGAACAATGGCAGCTCGACATTGCTTTGCAAATTGCGGATGGGGCAGCTATACCAACCAAGGCCACACAGGCTCTCCCTTCCGGCATAAGACCAGCTGAGGAAGGCGAGAAGTCTCGAGTCGCTGTAGTGCCAGTATTGTTACAATGTGTGCACAAAATCTCCCATGTACGAATCTTCCCACCGAAGGACGTTACTAGTCGTGCCGAGCTTGACAAAATTCAACGAGCTCTCATGGAAGTTCAAAGACGATTCCCAGATGGCCTTGCAATTCTTGATCCTGTGGAGAACATGGGCATTACAGACAACTCTTTCAAAGAGCTGTTGCGTAAGATCGAGGCCATGGAGTCAAGGTTGGTGAGTAATCCTCTGCACAACTCGCCCCGACTAGAGGCACTCTATAACCAATACGCCGACAAGGTCGCTCTGTCCGAGAAGATTCGCACTATCAAGAAGAAGATTCAAGACGCACAAGCCATCATGCAGCTTGAGGAGCTCAAGTGTCGCAAACGTGTGCTTCGACGTCTCCAGTTCATAAACGATGAAGAGGTGGTGCAGATGAAGGCTCGTGTGGCGTGTCAGATCAGTACTGGTGATGAGCTGATGCTGTCTGAGCTGCTCTTCAACAGATTTTTCAATGATATGACCCCAGAACAATGTGCAGCTGTGATGAGTTGTTTTGTATTCGAGGAGCGAGTCAACGAAACACCTGTCCTCACGGAAGATATGTCCAAGGCACTTCGAGAGATCCAAAGACAAGCTAGGACCATTGCTAAGGTGTCTATTGAATCAAAACTGCCAGTGAGCGAGGACGAGTACGTACAGTCTTTCAAATGGCAGCTCATGCCTGTAATGTATGCATGGGCCACCGGGAAGTCATTTGCTGAAATCTGGTAAGTTATGCAGTCTATCTTTCACGTTGGCGCAAAGAAAAACTTCAGGAAGTATGCTAACTAGATACAGTAAAATGACCGATGTATATGAGGGCAGTCTCATTCGAACCTTCCGCCGACTCGAAGAAGCGCTACGACAGATGGCCGAAGCCTCGAAAGTGATGGGAAGTGAAGAGCTGGAGAAGAAGTTCGAGGAAGCGCTCCTCAAGGTGAGACGTGATATTGTGGCTGCGCAATCGTTATACCTCTAATGTCTAGGACGATCTATTCCACGTACCTGTACACAATCCACGAGGCTCCGAGTCAAACCCAACACAACTGCGCCTTTTCTCTCATCTTTATTTTATGTTTTTATGGTTGAACAGAAGGGTTGAAGGAAGAACAATAGAGACAACGAAATAAAAGAAAAACGAGTATACCTTGACGTTGTGTCACATTGAATGTCATGCACGCCCTGGCCTGGTGCCGAGCATGCGAGACGAACAATATATGCGCGATGGGGTCTGTCGTGTCGCGCAATCGCATCATATCTAGTCCGTTACTCACGACGTTGGACTAGAAATTCGTGTGTCAACAAGAGATCTTTTGTGTCCGTACTTGTTCCGTCTATGCGAGCAGCCACCATGCTGCAGTGGTACTGATAGGCAAATGTTGTGAGGTGCGGTCTCTCATTGTCTTGATATATGCGACTATCCTCCTAATAAAGACAGACCCTCCAGACAGGTCGAATTGAGGAACCACAACCTAGGAAGACGTTTGCTCAGCAAACAAGGAATGAGACAACAAAGATGTCTTCTATCTCGCTTCTCCTTTCGTGGATGTTACTTCATGTCGTCCCAGCGCACGTGTCATTCTGCCCATACAGGATAACTTGAAATTTTCTCAATCATGGCTCGCAGTGACCGGAAATCTTCTGCTCGACCTCTACGTGGGAACAGAAAATCCATTGGAGATGAGCCGCTGAGCCGGGAAGAATGGAATACACGAATGAATTTTGGCAGAAAGTGGAACGAGTTTCTGGTGTGCATCGAGCTCTATCTATCCCGACTATCAGGCTGACCTAGACAGAGAGACGTTCAAGAGGCATACGACGAACACATCGTTTCTGCTGGTCATCAAAAGCCACGATGGACTTCTATATCTCAGGACGCCCGTGGTGTTGCAAGGCTGGCGGTTGAGGATGAATGGCGTTCAACGGAAGTGTATAACTCAGCCCATGGTGATGATTTTAAACTATGCGTGTCAGCGTGTATGAGTACATTGCATCAGGTGTGTAATCTACGGTTGGGCTCTGGCGAACTGGGCTGACAGGAGAACAGGAAATAGTTGCGCCGCAGGCAGGCAGGAACACAGATGAGAGCCGGGGGCCTGATGCGAACGCTGACGAAGATACTACTCAGTTGCGCGCTGCATCAGAGAATGGTCTGACAACAACAACGGCACCAGAGCAACGACCCACTGAGGGCGGACAGACGACGGAGACACGACCTGTTAGTGCTTCAAATGCAGACAACGAAGATGAAGAGGAAAGGCAATCAGCACACACAGAAAGTGAAGCCGACAGGTCCAGCGTCCTCCAGGACGACGAAGTCTCAGCTGCAGCAAACCTGAATGTTCAACCAGTAACACTTGGCCATTCGAGTGGCGCCTCAGATGCACGATCGAGTGACGAAGAAGATACTTCACCTCCGCCCGCAACGGCTGGCACTAACGAGGCGAGGCTTAGAATGCGAGGCGACAGGTATAAGAGGCAGAAGCAGGTAATTGAAGTAAGGTACAGCAAGCTTCAAAGGGAGAATGCAGAGCTCAGGAGAAGAAGGGCTGGATTGGAGAACAGATTCAAGAAGTTTCGAAAAGATGTTCGGAAGGACCTCATAAGTGCTCAGACTGCACTCAATAGCTTGAGATGGCACTTGAAGCGAAAGAGACGGATGGTCGATACAGACTCGGTCATAGAGGTCTAGGAATATGTAAGATGGGAAGGTGGGTGTCGACTTTGCGCACATATAATGCAAACGAGTGATTCTAGCGGTATACCACAGTAAAGTGTCGTGTGTGGTCAATCTCCTCTACAGTATCGGCGTGAAATGCACCGACTTAGACAAGGCAACTCTGGCGAGGTACTGCTCATCGGAGGACTTCCGCGGCTTATCAGCATCGCAGTCCTGTTATGCACAATTGAAGTAGTCTTATCAGCAGCCACAATCTGCCTGCAGTATATCACATAGATAAGTAGCCAAAGTGCGTCGACTGCTTCCTCTTCGTCTCCTCTCTTTCTAGTAGACACCTGCTTGCGCCCAGGAATGTTGTTACACGACAATGAGCTTAGTTGTTGCTTGTGTTCGTACACGACCCAAGCCTCATGCCACGGAGATCCTCAGCTCAAACTCAGAAGTCGCTCCACAAATCTAGCATCGTCATGCCGACTATCCGCCTCTCTACAAGTACCTAAGAACAATCTATCTATCTCGAGCGATTCTTCTGAGCAGACAATGAGATTCTACGAGAAAGATATTACACCATGTCTTACCATTCTCACAGAGAAGAGCAAGAGATCTATCGGAGATGCACAAAATCTACCTTTTCTAACAGCTCGAGAAAATGGCAGTAAACACCTTTCCGGATCGATCAGCGATTTACCCCAGATTTCCCGCTGCGTCAGCTTCCAGCTTCGTCATTGTGACCACCTCCATCCAATTCCATCATTTCTCTTACGAGAGATTGTTCACCTCACGCGCACTAACGTTCCCTCTCTGCGGTTTCCCTCCCGTCCTGGGATTTTTGGCTTCATGCAAATTTCGCAAATCTGTTTGACTTCGTGACTATGACAAAGAATCAAAGGTTTGAGAAAAAGGATGTCGCTGCATACAGCGTTCGCGTGGAAGGCGCACCTGATGATGGTTTGTATAGTAGGTGGACTTCTTCCCAAATCCTTCTGCTGCATACAGATACTTTGGTGTGTTACTGCTCTGCTTGCTTTTTCATTCAAGTTGCGACTGTTCCTTGCAATATCCACAGCCCTACGACACTTCTCATTTTCCGTCTGCCTTTGTGTTCACCCTCTTGTGATCATATTTGCCCAGCTAATACAAGCTCGGGGGGTATTCCACCTCACCTACTCATTGAAATAGAGGATGGCGGCCAATCAACGGCACCCGGCACATAGCTTCGATATAGATGCCTACCTGAATCACATAATACCGCGTCCTCGATTCTACATCCTACCTCGACCCATCTCCTACTGGTTCGGATATAGAACACCACCGAAGAATGGTGAACACCAACAGGCGCAAAAGCCAGCTACCTCGGTACTGCTCGTATGGCTTTTTTCTTTTCTCGGTGCTTTCATAGGTATCTCAATCATTGAGAATGTCTTCCGCAACTTACCTCTGCTTGGAGGTCGCCCGGCGCCGCTGGTCATAGCATCTTTTGGTGCCGCTGCAATCCTCGAGTACAACACAATTGAATCTCCTCTCAGTCAGCCAAGGAACCTGATATTCGGACATTTTCTTAGTGCCGTGATTGGTGTGGGCATTACCAAACTGTTTCGTCTTCTGCCGGAAACAAGGTTCGAAGAGTTGAGATGGCTGGCTGGTGCGTTAAGCGTTGCTTGTGCCAGCACGGTCATGGGCGTGACAAAGACGGTACATCCGCCTGCAGGCGCAACAGCTCTGTTGGCCGCTACGACAATAGAAGTGACCGAGCTGGGTTGGTGGTTACTACCCCTGGTACTTCTAGCTTCGGTTCTGATGCTTGTAAGCGCTATGCTCGTCAACAACCTGTACAAACGCTTTCCTCTATACTGGTGGACCCCTGTTGATCTTGCTCAATTAGGAGGCAAGGAGAAAGTTGTAAGTGCGAGAGATGCAGAAAAAGCCGACGCACAATCAGATTCAAGTTCTGCCAGCAGCTCTAGCATAAAGAAAGGTGGTCAGTCAGAACCTCAAAGGACTGGGTCCGATGCTGCAGCTGCGAGCCACGACGAAGGGAGGGAGCTTCGGTTTGACACCAGCGAGAAGAAGAAGGCCAGGAATATACATGACAATCCAGAGTTAAAGATACAAGTTGAGATGGACAGGATAGTTGTACCTGATTGGATGTCTCTGAGTGATTGGGAAGTCGAGGCTTTGGAAGGCTTTCAGAACAGATTGCGTGAAGGAAACCCGGAACGAGAGAACTGATCTCGACTCGTATAGCCGTGATGAATAGCATTTCATGATTTCATGCCAGTTCACTCGTCCACTAGAGACACCCAAACCATGTACCTGAATACCTACAAATTCAATTTCTCCTTGAGCATGCGTGTAGCTCAGGACCTGGTTTGCGCAAGATTGGTTCTCGGCGCATGACTTACATTCCTTCAACAACACAAGACCGTACCTTCAGAGCAGGTATGCCATCATTCTTAACTCGAAGTAACAAGTATGCCACTTCAGGTCCAGAATACAGATATGTTCACGATAACGACAACGATTGTTAGTAGTAGTGGTATTATCCAGCTTATACAATATCGGCTGTCAATGAGACTCATCACCGAACAGTTTGAGAAGTGTTAACAAAAAAGTGCCAGCTTCGATGCTCAATCACTCTGGTACGGCTTGGCGTTGGTGGCTGGGACTTTTGTGTCGAAAGAAAAGTTGCCGCTCTCTAACCTGCTCAAATACTTAAAGGGGCGGAGGTTAGGGGCTAAGAACAGCTTTAAGTATAGCTCTAAGCACTTACTCCAGCCAGGCGATTTTAGGCGGCCGGCAACTTCATTCCACAACTGCCTAGACGTCCTCTTATTCCGCGAGCTGAGATTCTGGCGCTTCCCCCTTTTCGCATCACGATCTCGACTTGAAACATTACTCTCGCAACTTCCAGTTCTCCTGTCATTTACCACACAACATGGAAGTGAAGGCAGGTAGTTTCGTCTACCGCGATGCTTTCTTTGCAGAGGTCGCAGAAGGAAAACGTCACGCTCGTGCATCTGATCCTGAGCTCAGAAACTTGTTACTACCCAAGAAAGGTAGCGCACCACCTAAAGATCAGGTTGCGCACTGGTATGAAGCACAACTGCTGCACTATGGTCTACCAAGAACGAAGGATAAGAACACCGCGAAGGTGAGGTTGATGGGAGCTCTAACCTCAGGCAAATTGTCTGTGCCTAGCGACGTTCAAAAGGTAGAAGCAGACCTGAAGAAGGAATACGCCAATAATCAGAGAAGAGCAAAAGCAGCTGCGAAGAAGGAGCAGACTCAGGTTGTCAATGTACCTGCTGCGGGGAAGAAGAGGAAAGCTGGTGATCTCGAGAATACATCCAGCTCAAAGTCTGCCACCACGAAGATATCAGTCAAGGTGGGCGATATGACCTTTGAGATTGATCAGCAGACTGTTTCCACGGCTCAACCCACGGCAAAGAAGCAAAAGGCTTCAGCTTCCTCAGCGAAGACTCCTGCAAAGAAATCTGCCACCAAAGCGGCTAAGGTCAAGCCAACTAATTCCACAACCCTGCCCAAGTCGAAAGCATCCGCTATCAAGCCGACAACCAAGTCGCAGCCGCCAACCCAGCCTCATACAAAGCCCAAAGTCGCAACGCCTGTCAAGTCGTCCACGGGCCACGGACGTCACCCTAGAACCAAGCAGACAGCCAGACGAAGCGGCCATGTCGGGTACGCAAATCGTACCGGTGGTCGACCTGTAGCAGCACCAGAACCCGTCTCGATGTCTTCTAACACATACTATGATGACGATGAGAGCGAACCTCCACCACCCTACACTGAGTATGATGCAGAGGAGGAGGAGGAGGAGGGAGAAAATGATAACCAACCTCGTGAAGTCCAGATATCGGGATACTACTCGATCATCAACATCAATTCAGGTGAACAGGGTGATCTCTCTATTCGCCTGTCCAACGAACGAGGCCAACTCTGGGGAGACTTCACGCTAGGCGAAAAGACTGGTGTGGTTCGACTTGACAATATCGATGGTATAGGCCAGGGTGTTCGAAAGTCTTTCGGCTGGCGAAGTCAGGATATTGCGACTGGAGAATGGCGCTTCGGTAAGGGCTGTGATGGTTGGGTCGAGTTTGATGGTGAAGGATCGGTACGAGGCGTTTTCTATGGCTTGGCAACTCGTCGGGATATTGAGTTCGAGGGACAGCTTGAAGAGACTTTCAACTACGAGTGGAGCTACGAGTGGAATAGTGCTATTGGCGATCTGTCTGCGAGGTGGCATGATATTCCTGATCGAGCATACAAGCGTAAATAGATCTGGACGTCACTCACTGTCACCAGGTGCAAAGGCCACCAAAGACTGCTAGTGCTGTCGCGGGATCTAGTGCAGCAGGTTACGGTGCTGTTAGTGTGTGCGTTTGCTGCGGGAGACTTGGAACCAGGAGATCAATGCCCAATTCCTATGCTTGGCCTATATAGAGCTTGGATAGGGATAGCCTTCAGAGTATTAAGGCCATGTTGTACATGAATGTCAATCGCATTCTGCCTTCCATTCTCTTCCTTCCTATAAGATGGAGTGCCATCTCGTGGGAAAGAGAAAACAAACGTAAGGTCCGACTCTTTTTGAATCCCAGTTCCAGAATTCAGGAGAACGCTTCACACGTATTGTCAGAGCAACTTGCCTATGTCGTCAAAAAAGCGGCATAGCATACTGGCACGCGCGACCATGGTGCTTGCTTCGCCTCGACCCTGATGGCTGAGTCAACCCACACCTGACGCTACCTGTTTGCTCGTGCTTTCGTTGCCTCTTGTCACTAACACTGAGCTCGAAGTAAGGACAGTCACTAGAGCAACACTCTTTGTATCAACAAACAGACTTGACAACGGGCATTATCACCAGTCATAATGTCTCTAGCACTCGTTGCAGGTTCTGTGAAGCTGAAAAGTCTTCAGCACTACCGAAGCGTCTCAGATTCGATACTGTGAAGTAATCGCACATAAAAACGAACCCAATTTTCACCAGAACAAGCACAGAAACTTGACTCATTCTCATCCCCTGTTCACGACGATTCCTGCCTGATAGCGGTTGATGAAGTACTCGAGCATCGATCACCACAGAAGGTCAGCGCAAGATGTCACGTTTTGAAATAGAGTTAGTGAAGGAGAACGAGAGACTGAAAAGAGAAGTGGCAACAATGTTTGATGAGCGTAACTGCCAGCAATCCGCATACAGAACCTTTATCGCACAAGCCGAAAAATTGAACCAGCAGCTTCCCCATGGTACTATGCACGACCAGTACTTCGAGGCTTATCAGAACCTTATTCGTTGCAGCAACGTGCATGTAGAAGCTCAAAAGAAGCGAGCAGATGAAGGACAACAAGAGATGTCAGACCTAAAGGTGCGACTGATGCAGATCCTGCTATGGCTGCGCGCAGTGTATCAAAATCTGCAACCGGCCAAGGTAGCGCAAGATCCCAACTCTCACAGGTCAGTACAACAAGTCGCTCTCACTGCTGTTCAAAGACTAATAACATACCTAGATCTCAATTAATGGCACAGGACCAGCTCAATATGGCCATTACAGACCTCCAGCAGAATTTGCACTCACACGCTGCAATGGTTGTTATTTACATGGACCAAAGACATCAATTTCTTTCAGCTGGCTTACGGGCCGAGATTGGAAACCTCCTAGGTCCGTATTTCTGTGAAGCATCGGACTTGCGGCAGCTCACCAGCAAGATCAGTGCCGCGGTCGAGTCTGGCCTCAAGCTCGACGAAGCGGAGGTGAGAGGACTATCCTCCGACTTACAGAAGTCCTTAGCTGATGCTGTTGGTGCCCTTGCAAGCATCTTAGACGAGGTGGCTGGTCATGTTGCGGATCAGGAGGGGGCATGAGCTCGATTTAACCATCGGCCTTTGAAAACTATCATATGGCAAAAGGAACTTCCAGGAGCTTACCAGGTCTACAACGAGTGCTACTTCATTATGAGGGTCTGGATGAAGTAACGTTAAAGTTGAACCTTGTCAGATGATAGCCAGAGCTACGCCGACAAAGTTTGCATCTTCGGCGTTCTGCATCACCGTATCTAGGTAGTAAACCTCAATCCGTTACGATCCTGAGATACATCCTTTCATCTTTATCACCTGGAGTTGCCAAACTACCAATACCGTAACTTTCTAACAGCCTACCACTGAACAGATTTTCGTATGTCGGCGTGCTATAATAGGCGCTCCTCAAGCCGACAAGTCCACCAAGCTTGGACACTGCTGAAGCTATTGTCTCATTAATTTCAATTCCTGGCACTGACCAGGAATTTACGCCTTTTTAGAGCTGGTCATGGCTAGACACTTGCAGCAATAGCAAAATTAACTTCTTATTTGCCTTGTCCTTGATAACTGGCTACAGCGTCGGTTTCCAGTTAGCTATTTTCGCAGCTGTAAATTTGGCCCCAGCTGGGTTTAAGAACTTGTTCAAACCAGGTCAAATAAGTATTCAAGGTCAGGCCGGTGATACCGCTTTACAGTGCGTGCAAAGTCTTCGACATAGGTGCTTGGGCAACACGCACGGTGAGTATACTCAGCCTCTATTGAATCCGCCACTAAGTGACTTCTGGTCGGGCAAAAAGAGCTCAGCTGAGTGGGAACAGCCTCTGGATTTTACAGACGACTCAAGCGAAGCGTGTCACGTGTCTTGTAGTATCTGAAAGCTATAAAACCACAATACTGAGAACCGTCTGTCCATTTCCACAATTCACATGCAAACCAAACGACATGGCGTTCAAATACCGTTGGCGTCTGCGGCGCAGAATTAGTCATTTAGCAGCGTCAGCAGGGAGAAGCCGGAGCCCGAGCTCCCGACGTTGCGAGAACGCAGCGTAAAGCGCGCGACGTCAATACTCTGACCACACTTTCAGGGGAGAGTCAGAACCAACAGCAACAATCACGAACGAGACGAGACAGTCGACGTGCGGATCAGTGAGTTAAGTCTCATGAGCGATCGAGAAGGCGGATGAACCAGATTGTACGAGACTGCTCTCTCCGTCCTGTCAATCTCGGCTGCGAAGTGTATTCAAAGTCCTTTGAAATTGATAGACGTCAGTGGAGAAAGTCGCTGATATGTTTGTGCCAACCTGGATCTTAAACTTATGTGCTATGGTAGTTCTTGGTGTTCGTAGATATGCTCTTGGGCTCTACATTTTCAATTGAGAATAAGATATGGTTGAATAGGTCGTTTCTGGGCAGCATTTTACTCCGAGAGGTGCTCAGATATCAGAAAATAGATGCTTGACGATATGCAAGCACTACGGAGATGGATCGCAGCCGATCGTGTAAGATTGTTAGAGATTGGTTGTGATCCAGGAAGATTAAATCAAGGCGTAGCAATTTACAGAGTTGGGTAGAGTAGAGGGGAAGGACTTCTATTGCTCTTCCCGACCTAGTTATCACGAAGACTTCCTAGCTTCGCAGCTGAATCGTGGTATACGATCGGACATCCTGAAAGCCTCATGGCTATTTCCGCACTCTGGTGCAGATCTGTATACTTTTCCGTCTCAACCAATCTCGTTCGTCGTCTCATTTGGTGTCTCTTGAACCATGAGATCGTGCCAAAACCACTCTCCTTCTCCAAGCGCAACCTTCACCAAAAGCTCTATCCATGAGCAGAAATATCCATAGGTCTGGCCCTGCCATCATTCCCATTTATCTAAACTCACGATCCTTCTCCCCTAAACCCCTCTATTGTGTCGTGTTTCTCTCTCCATTATAGCTTGAATGAGTCGCAGATATTCATCCTGGACCAGTTTCAGCTGCACAGGTGGCATTGTAGCATGTCCGACTGGCCAAAAGATAATTCTCGCAAGTCTATGAGCTCGCACACCGTAATGTCCAGACAATGCTGCTTGATCGAGTACACCAGGTCTCATATTGCGTGCTGGAAAGTCGTTGTTATTCAGGTAGACAGGGTTGATGAAATGTGACAATGGTGGACGTCTCGTGTTTCTCGACGGGAATGTCTGTGCAACCTGCTCCTCACAGGCTTCTGACGAAAGCTGTGCCAAATCACTTATTCTTGGTAGTTGTGTTGGAGCATTAACGCTCCGATTGACAACGTTTGACGATAGAGCGCTATTAGACGAAGGGGTTTGTGTGTTAGGTAACGGTCTGGCCGCAGCCGAATTTGGCCGAGGTGGAGATGCCATTATCGAAATGGACTGAATTTGTGGCGCAATGCAGGCATGGTTTGTGGTGAAGCCGGAGGTTGTTGTTTGTACTATGGATAGGGATCGGTTTCCCCCAGAATTTGAGAGCGGCAGTAGAGCTGCGGTGTCATCAAATGACGGCAAAGGAAGCTGAGGCACGGTCTGATTCAGATGTGAATCGATCTGGGTGTGTCGTTTGTTCGATCTACGAACAGAATCGAACGACGATGTAGACTGTTGTCTGGAACGAGATCGTTCGAGGCGACCTGGCCGCTCGTTGGTAGAGGCCATGGAGGCAGGAGAAGTTGTTGTGGTGATAGTGGTAGTAGTGGGAATGGGAGTGGGGTTGGATGCAGTCGACGTGGACGACTCGCTGCAAACAGATGTATTACGACGGACTGTGTTCTCATCGTTGCTCGGTGGAGGCGGAATCTGTTTCGGTTAGCCTTCACCGCACTTTCTGTTGGCAGCCTCGTCTTGTTGATATCCAATATCACTTACATCTCTGTACTGTTCATCATCTGTTCTGACTACGTAGTCGTACACAAGACGACTTCGTCTTGACAATTCCTCGATCATCTCCTCACGAGACAGTGGTACATCTTTGCTCTTTGGACTAGGTGCCTTCCTGTAATATCGATTACACCATTGGTAGACAAACTCCTCCTAAGAGTCTCCGGTACCATAGTCAGGATGTTTTTTCTTGAAATGTCTCTGTGCAGACATGTTCTTCTTACTCTGTTCTGGGTCGTCTGGTTCTCTCTCCAATCGAAAATTCGTCCAGATGTTACACATCCCACATAGTATACAGCGATATCTTCCTAGACGACCGCTTTTCCATTGACCACCATCATAGTTCTTAGCCGTCGTCGCAGTCTTTGCGTGTTTGGCCATGTTGTCGACTTGACTGTGTCCTATTAGTAACACTTCGTAGGAGGAAAGGATAAGAGAACGAACCTTTGGTCAATTTAGACGCAGCTTGTGTATAGAGATATTGGTCGACTACTAGTACCTAGGTATACCAGCCTTGCAAAGTCTTGAATATGCTAAAACTCGATAGCCTGTCCGCGAGATTGCAAGGCTGGATTTGTGCCTTTCTGTACTTACCTTAATGAAGAGTAGGTAGACAGGACGTGTGTAAAGCTGGCAGAGTATGAGTTGTAGTGGTAGAAGGTATAGACTGGCGGACGAAATTTTATGGCTTCAGAGTGAAGGTAGTGTATAAAAAAAGTCCTACTTTTGTGGATTTTTTTTGCTTAGCGTCGTCATGCCTGTTCGAACCTGCCTGAAGCCTGTGGCATTTGATCATTTAGGTCCCTCAACAGTACTCCAGGACAAACTTACAAATGGCGTATAAACACCTGTGGAATGAAATCTGTCCTGCCGGGTACTAAACCGGTGTTACCCCGCAAAGAACACCAGCTTACTGCTTCCTCAATCCGAAGAAAGAACGAGTACATTGGCCTTCAGATTGATGTGATTACGATCAACATGTGAGAGGCGCGTGTGGTCAAGCACGGTCTTGTCGACACATGCCTGTTCGTAGAAGGGGTTAGCAAAACCACGGTGAGCTCAAAATTTCCTCAGTAGCTGCACTGGAAAGTGGCGAATGCAGCCATAAGAACCTCAATACTCTCCAAGGTCTTTACAGCCACATTCGAGCCATCGATACGTCGATACTTCTCTTGTGTCGTCCTGATGGGGTGCTGAAAAAGCTCTTAAACCCTTGTATAGCTCCTGAACCACCTGATCAAATTGAATCGACCTATAAACACAAAAGACCTTTCGCTGCACAACGGCATCTCACGTGACGCACTTTGAGTAGGTAGGCAGCCATAGCTGGGCTGTTTCTTGCTTCGCACACTGCTTCGATGGAGGACAAATATCTGCCAACATTCTTGACACGATTGCTTTTTCAGAACTTGGGAATGAGGATAGTGCTGAGCACATTCATGTGTCTTGAGACAGTGACCGGGGACGGGTATGTAAGTCGGCCAGTAAGTCGACAGGACACAAACCGAGAACTCAAAGGAGCAAAGATGTAGGTCGACATTGCAAAAGTGTGTCCCAGATTGATACGCTCATGAGCAAGATTGGGATTCCTGAGCGAAAGCATTCACTGATCAGCGGTGGCCAGGTAAATCCATCAAATCCTCTCCCGCATCGTCTTCGTCATCCATCATATGTTCGTCGCTACTGCTGCTACTTGAGCCGTCAGAGGCATCAAGCTCCTCCATATCTGCATCTTGGCTTCTCATGCTACGGCCACCCCAGAAATCCATTTCATTGTCATCGTTGTTATGTCCTGAACCTTGTGGTGTAGCTGGCTGACCGGCACTAAATATGCTGAAATAGCTATTTCGTCGATCCGGCTCAACCCTTTGGCCTGTTCCGAAATAGCTTCCCACCACGGGAGTGATTGACCTTGCTGATCTAGTAGGAGAGTGAGGAAGAAGATGAGGAGATTGAGGCGACTGCGCTCTAGTATTCTGCACGGTATTGAGTATGTTCGGAGGCACATCCATGGCTGGTGAGGTCAGTTCGTTGACAGGAGTTTGAGTTTGACTGGCTGTTAGACCAGCTTCACCAAACTCCTGCGCACGTTCAGTTAGCTCGCGCATTTGCTGAGGAGTCTGCTCTGGACCTAATAGCTCAAGTTGTGTTGTGTTGTAGGAATCACAGATTGAGCATTTGGTTCCAAGCCAGTGATGTTTGGTAATACTCCTGCTATTACAATCATTACAAAAGACATAGGCACGATTGTTCTGATATTCTTCAGGCATTGGCTGTTCTTCAATGTGCCTGTCGAGACGTCTGAACTGGCTCTCCATGTTGGCTATGCTCTTTGAGCAGATGGGACATTTGTAGCTAGTCTTGCACCAGTCATTGAAGCATGTCTCATGAATGCTGTGACCACATTTCATGAAGGCCACAGGACGATTGGAAGTGAACATGTAGTCGCCGCAGATGGGACAGTCACTCTTTGTACTCTTTTCAATACATTTATGGGTGGTCTCGGCCTGTATAGACATACATGCGGCACATGTCTTACAGTGGAAAAAATCCTTCCCGATGCCTTCACCCAGGCGACATATCCCACAATCATCGCAATGATAGATTGATTTGGAAGGGTCGTTGTTCCACAGCTTGCAGATAGGACAATAGTAGCAAGCAGCTTCAGCCATGCAACTTTTGCAGACCTGTGCCACGGGTTGAGGAGTGCGGCAGAGCATACATACCATAAATCGTGTATCCCGTCTAGGTAGTGTATGATCTTCAACCTCGTCGTGGCAAAGCCTGCACGTGTACCATTTCTCGCAAGTGGCACATTGCATCTTGATATTCCGCTTATAGTGTTGGCAGCCCAGATCAGGTTGTTGTTGTACTGTTCCATCTTCGTCGACGTCTGGAGGAGCGCAAGTCGGGTTGAGGTCAGCTGCCGAGAGGTTGAACATCGTGTGGCCCATCTGGCTTGAGCTAGGGGACGTGAGCAGTGTTGAATGCTCGACATGCTGTGGACGTGGTCTGCCCCTGCTCGGTGGTGGAGAATGAGCATTTCTGTACTTCTCGTTCATCAGGATATGGATTAATTTGGACTTCTCAGCAGGGTTGCCCTGACCAGCCATGATCGCGCTTATCCTTTGCCTCAGATCACCCATGCCATCGTCTTCTGGCAATTGTCCCGATCCATCTCTTCTTCTGTACTCGTCATCCTCCCCGATCGGCACTTGAGGATCGAGGCGGGCAGCTGGCTGCAACATTCCAGGATGGGAGATGGGGTCTGATTGCGAATGACCACGGTCGATCTGAGCCTGGGCCAATGCTCTTGATCTGTAGGGCAGTTCCTCGGCAGGGTTGAGGGAGGTTTCACTGTCCGTTCGATGTTCTTCGAGTCGCACAGGTCGTGCAGGCGTCGGGACAGAGAAATCGAGTGGTGGGAAAGCCACATTCGCATCATCTTCGTCGATTGCACTCCCCGGCATCGCATCGAGGGGAGGTGAAGGGATGACGTCGAGATTGTTTATCTGGTTAGCCCATAGTTGAATGTTCCTGGCCAATGATTGCCAGGTGCCTTCTGTTGTCTCGTCCCGTCCATGCGGAGGAAGAGTGTTGGTATGCCAGAAACGTGAAGGGTAGAAACGTTGAAAATCAGGCACTTGAACCATAGGGAAATAGCCTGCAGCAGTTGGCGGAGGTTCGATCAGTATCCCTGGCTGCTCGTCTGCAGGCGCTCGTGACGAGAAGCGCCTGGCTTGGCGCAAAACTGGTTCGATGAAAGCCGGAAATGTTGGAAGGTATTCACTCATTGAGTCGCCGGGCAACTACACGGTCTGGGACGATGATCTGGAATTTTTAACGTCGAAGAGATGGGCGACGGTTGACCAACGCTGTCTCTGGTGTTTCGACGGTATTGACTGTGCCCAAGCGTGCCCCTGGCTGCTGCGAATGGGTACTACGTCAGTGCGTTCCCGGCACTGCATGTGAACCTTGAAGAACCCAGATCTGGGGTGCATGTGAAAGTGGACACTGAAAGCTGCTTTCTCCGTTCGGTTGTGACTTGCTGCACCGACTTCCTGTGTCTTACATGTTCCTAAGGTAGGAGCAAAGGCGTTTTTGCTGATATTTACGTCGAAGGATAGTCGGCTCAGCAGAATTGCAACGTCCACAGCCGAGTATCTATTGTGCAATGCCTTTGACTGGTTGTACCGTTCAGTTTTCACAGTGGAATTGTGGAAATAAGATCTTTAGCAAGTTACCCGAACCATGTTTCAATCTAAGGTAGATTTCGACTCATACTTTTGGCCTCCATGTGTACATTTCCTAAGGTATCATATTCTACTCGAGTAGGACCTGCGGCGCGAGGCAAGAAGTCCCACTTGAATTCGACGATGTGTACCATCTATGAGAAGGCAGGCAGCTGCGCCATTTACCAAGCTAGAGTCCCCGGATGGTTTCATGCTCGCCTTACATCTTCTTTAAGATTGACTCACCATTGTGGTTCCTCAACAATTACTTAATCCATAGTGAGAGTCACAACACCACTACGTATTCACTAGCGCGGAGACACCAGGCTGGCATCTCGCGACACTATTACCACTATTATCGTTGCTAACAATGTCACTTCTGCCATGAGCTTTACTACATAGGCTCACGCTAGTGACGTTGGGACAGTCACGACTCTCTCTTGACGATCTCAAAAGAGGCAAGAAAACATAGTGACACCGTCACGTGCAGGCACCTTTGTCCTACAAATGATTGGTACACTTTACCACACGGTGTTATTGTGGGGTTTCCGACTGCCTCGTAGAGACCAATAGACACATAACCTATGACACAGATAGTCACCTGCAAAAGTTCGAGCAAACTATTAAACAGGATGTTACGATCCGCATTTTTGTCCGCAACATTACCATCTACGGCTTGTGTTGCACTCATGGCCTGCAAGTGGTCGACATGCCATACTCGGCACTACAGTCCGTGTCAATCTACTCATATGGCTCAATGTACGACACCATACAGTACAATCACTTGAGTACTCTTCTCCACCAGCAGAACCTCGTGTATCTTGCCTTACTGGTCAAGACACATAACTACTCCCTTCCCTTTACCTGGCCATTCGACGCTCGAAATCGATCGATCGATCAGCCATCTCACCCTAGACAGCAAGACAACCGGTCATTGTTTCCTGGGCCTGGTTTTATCAGCAGTGGCAAGGATCAAAAGATTATCTTTCGTCGAAGAAAAGTCACGCTATGAAGCAGTCCAAGCCCGTAACAGATATAATCTTGGTGCCAACGGGGACGAAGACGTACAATTTGCAGCTAATGTTTCAAGGGCGATCTCGAGGGTTAGGGGGCTGGAGTTGCACGATACCGATATGCCCGACTATGAAGCCATGGACGGAAATCTTGTACTACGGCAAGTGCTGCGCGATAGTCACAAGCTCAAAACACTTTCAGTCTTTCCGGAGGTCCTTCTCCCAAGGAGGTCAATAATGCGGCCAGGCCTGAAGCTGGGACCACGCACAAGACAGGACTTTGCATCGCTTCTGCCTCAATCCTTGGAACGGTTAATTCTATTACTGAGACCTGGTGGAGTTGTGCCGTTCAGACTTTCATTCATGCTAGATGTGCTCAAGGGCGTCTGGAAGAACAGAGCGAAACTACCCCATCTCGAGTATATCGCTATTCGAGAGTCGTCATCAAAATCCCTTGTATTCGTTCCGAGGGACAATCATTTCAATTCCAAGCTGGCTGAACATTACCGCATGAGTTTTCACTGCGTCAAGAAGATGATAGCAGGGACCAAGCATCATATGGGTATCGACTTGGAACTCACGGTGAGCGGTATCGACAGCACCGACAGGAGATGCTTGAAGCACCTCCAGTTTCCAAGAACACTTCACAGCCATCAGAGATGGTGACCATGAAATAACATATAAGTCACTTCTCAGCCGCTAGCATCTCGTCCTGTATCTGTGCAGCTGGCAATGTCCGTTAACAAGTCGTCTCAGATATAGTCGCGATAGAAGGCGATCAATATACCACGATCTTCGTGAGCAACTTTTCATAGACAGGGTATGTAGTGTCCCACAACGAGAAGTTAATCATCGTACCGCCTTTGAGGTACCTTTCACCCTCTCCCTAAACCCACTTCGTCCTGAGACCCAACCCAAGTGATATTGCTGATTATCCATTTCTAGCCGTTGTTCAGCACGGACTGGGAAGACTCAGCACAAGTCATTCTCACCCCTAGGTAGTTTGTTGTCGCTGAACCTTCTTAGCTCGTATGTATCGCCGTGACACCACATCAAAATACAGTAGGCATCTAGGTAGGTCACTGTTGGATGGTCGCTAGACCTTCCTCTCTTGGATTAGACATTGTCCCCGGGACAATATGTCGCTGAACCTTCTTTTGTTGTATGAATCATTGTAGTGCCACCCCTTTAAGAACCTCCGCAAGATGATACCACCAACAGCGAACATTCCAGTGCTTCGAACGTATTTCAACGGGGTCCAAGTTTGTAAATAATAAATCCTGGCAGCCTTTACTTCCGTTGATCAGCTTTCTCTTAACCTCAAGAACTTCGCTGCATCCTCCTTGCTCACAGTACTATTCTCACTCTGCTCGCTGTCAATCAAGCCCATCTTCAAAACCCTGACCTTCCACCAGAATTCTCGTCTATCACCTCCCAACTCTTCCTTCACGATTTTTCCTTTCAAGCTATGCATCATCTCGTTATAGAGCTCGCTGAACTCAAGTTCAAGCATTTCCTGCCTCACTACGCCTAGCATCTCGATGGCGAGGTCGTAGTTACTGTCGCCTAGACTTGTCCGCACTTTGTCCTCGATGATCTTGCCCATTTGCACAACGGCTTCTTTGACGAGCGCGTCGTCGTCTGGTGCGGAGAAGAAACGTTTGAACTCTGGAATGGCGTTTTGTGGATCGATGGTGATAGTCTTTCTGGGTCCGCTTCTGTCAGCTCCGGGCTTCTTTAGTAAGGCGTCGACATCGAGACCGGATAGTGGTTTGTCAGATTCGCGGTCACGATATCGGGCACGACCTTTGACTTTAGGTGGTACTTTCTTGACGTCTGCTGCTTTGATGAGACGAGCTAAGGATTTTTGGCTCTGCGCTTGCAAGTCTTTCGGTGGCTGGGAGGGTTCTAGCAGGATACCCGACTTAGGAGGAAGTGTTCCATCTGGGTGAACAGCTCGGTACTTGATTGCGCTCTCAATGGTGTGAAGTAACGGACTATAGACGTCCTCGATAGCGAACAATTCCTCTTTCGTGTCAGGGTTGATCAGAGACATGTTATCGATGAAGTCCGACATTGCCTCCATCGTGTCGTCGGACGGCAGATTGCGGTGCGATGCAAGAGTTTTGCCTGAAACAGTGAGTACTTTGTCTAAGGGTGGAAACCGGTAGATACGTAAATCTTCAGCATATGGCAAATCGTTCTCGACCAGACATTCAATAGTATCATCAATGAGAGGGCTTAGACAAGTAAGCATTGGCTCAGCCATATCCTTCTTCACGAAGCGAGCAACTGCGACACTGCCGACTTCAAATAGTGCACGAGCTAGGGACGATAGTGCATAAGCAGCTTTGTCATTGAGCTTTTGTGCTACGAGTATGTTGGTAACACCAAGGAACATGTAGCGCTCGACATTTTCTGCGGGTATAAAGCCGAGTATTTCGTAAGACTGATGCGTGTCAAGTTTAGTGATATTTTCGTCCGACTCTGAGATGTGTACGGCTGTACGACCATACTCGTAGCCTTTCGCAAGCTCTTCGCGTGGGACATCTCGAAAGCCACCAGGAGCGTCTTCGTCTTTGATCTGGTATGAGTAAGCGGCTCGAACATTGGTCAAAGGATCTGCGCCATCTTCCTGCTGCTGAATCGGAGCTGCATCTCTCTGAACATAAGAAGAGGCGCTGGGTGGTTTCCGAATCATGACCTTTGGATACCGCTCGATATCTATGGTAATAGCAGTGTCGTATTTTTCAGGATCTCCAAGTCGTAGCTGACCTTTGTAGGATGTTATAGGCTTGACCTCTTTCACAAATGGTCGCTGTAAACCCTCGATGGCTTCGTCCATTACGCCATAAACACCATCACTGAGCTCAACAAGCTTCTTTAATGCCTCCTCGTTCTGTTGCTTCTGGAACGGTTTGTTCTCCTCTTTGAACCCATATTCTGGATCGTCAAAATCAACACCAAGAATGGTCAATTTGATATCGTTTTGCTTGATCTGCGCAGCCACCTCTTCGATATCATCGGGGTCTAGCTTGCCTGTTCCATTGGTGATGAGGTATAGCCTTTTCGTGAATTTGAGGGTCCTACAATGCTTCATAAGCAAATCAACGCCTAGAATGACAGCACTTAAAGCGTCGCCCGTGTCAGTGCTGCTGGTCTTGAGGTAATTTGGCAAGCTTTGCAACTCTGGCATTAGTATCTGCTGGATGCTCTGAATCACCGTGATGTGCTCATAACCTCCTTCTTCTTGCATATGATTGTTAGTCTTGTCAGTTCGCAAGCCAATAACTCCGACAACGAGCCCTTTACGGCCTGTGTAGACAATGTTTGCAAGCTTGTCCCAGACATATTGTAGGCAGTAGTCGAGGTCTGATTCCTGGCGACCTTCACGTACACGGCTCATCGACTTGCCAACGTCGATGATGAAGATAGAAGCCTCTTTCTCGGCCATGGTTGCGTCGTGACCGTGGGATGGTGTCAAGTAAGGAGCAGGTAAGTTTTCTATACGAAACTGCGATGGAAGAACGTCTGAGCAGTTGTGGAGGACAACATTAGTCAAGTTAGCGAGCCAGAATGATCAGTCTAGTGATGTTTACATCGCATCTCAGGCACACAATCTTGCGAACACAGGCAACACGGCATAGGCAATGTCGAGGAACTGCATGGCTCGACCATCCTGCCATTCGAAGCTAATTAAAAAGATTAAGGCAGGACGCAGGCAAGAACGTGCTTAGCAAACACGCTTGAAAGGACGCGCAGAGATCGCGAGGTCAGGTGAAGATAAGCCCGAGTGTCTGCGTTATCAGAGCTCGCTGGCCTCCATTTGATGATCTCATCAGTCTTTCTGGTTTGAATACAGTCGCTGTTATTCAGTGCCACATCAACCACCTTCATTCTCCCTCTGACCACGAACTTGTGTTACTTCGGTACCACCAGCGACTACAATATGCCGAGCTCATCCATCTTCTGGTCACCAGCACCATACCACATTATCAGGTAGATTCACATTCCCACCACCCAATGCATTCGGACTAACACTCAATCCAGCTATGGTACCCTCCTCGGCTCTGAAATGTTCCAATCCTTCATAGCCGGAATCATAGCCTTCCGCGCCCTCCCACGGCCACAGTTCGCAACTCTTCAATCAGCCCTCTTCCCCATCTACTTCGGCATGCAGACAGCACTCCCTCTCCTGATGGCCCTCACTTACCCAGCCGAACGCACCGCAATCGGCATGAGCCAGTCCTCTATATCAGGCGTCCTTGAAGAAGGACATCGCCTCCACGTCGCAACACCACTGTTCTTGACGCTGCTATGTGGCGCAGCAAATATGCTGTTCATTGGTCCTGCAACAACGAAATGTATGAAGGAGCGAAAACACCAGGAGACGAGAGATGGGAAGAAGAGTTATGATTCGGGTCCACATAGTGAGGCTATGCAGAATTTGAACAAGAAGTTTGGGATTTTGCATGGGATCAGTTCGTCGGTCAATCTGGTGGGATGTATAGCGACTGTTTGGTATGGATTTTACTTGGCTGAAAGGATGTTGTGAGTACGGTGCTTTGATGACCACAGGACACCACAGATGGACACGTTTTGAGATTACATTGAAATCATCCCAGCTGGTCTGTGACGATTGGGTCGAGCATAGAGCAGCTTTGCTCTTTCAGCAATTGGGCCTGCTAGAGCCTTTTTTGGTCAACTGCATTACCATGTGAAATAACGAACGTTTACGCTCTAGAATGTGTGATGGAAGAGAAGAAAGCGTGGCAAACGGACTTCGACTCAACATCACGTCTTCTTAAAACGAGAAACAGAACAGCGCTTGCTCCAAGCTGGTGTGGAAAGCAACAGCACTAACGACGAGTCAAGCATGTTGTTGACGAGGTGGTTTGTCTGTTCAGGAGAAGGCGAAAAACTATAGTAACGAGGCAAGAAGACGGTCTGAAGAACAGGATAGAACGAACAGTGAGATTAGAGCGATATAACGGCTAGGTGTTTGGCTTTACTTAGGCCTGTTTATAATTTCGATACTGTAAAGATGGATCTGAGCCAAATCCAGATGTGATGTTATGCAGATTCACTTATATATGCAAAGATCTTCCAGCTTCCTTCTGCATTTAGATTCTCTTCTCACTTTCTTCAATGGGACTGATAGAAGCATCATCCACTGCCGACTCCTCTTGAGGCGCTGTCTTGCCTTTGTCCTCTCCTTCGAGCGACTTTTCTTTCCCATTTTCTTTCTCAATTGCTTGGACCTTCAGTATTGGTGTCGGTGGCTCTATACCCGCTTCAGCTGCCTGCTGTGGCGTTAGATAGTGCTCTTGGGCCTGCGGTTTAGGCTCAAAGTCTTTAGGAAGAGTATTCACTCGTAATGGCTGAGTAACGGATGGCGGTCTCGCAGTTCCTGGCTGGATTGTCGGGCTGTCATTCCTACTTATGTCTGCGGTAAATGAGGGCTGGTTTTCTTCGTCTGTGGTGGTGTTTGAGGCGATTGGTGGTTTGTTGAAATTAATGGTAAATGCGAAAAGAGTGGCAGTGTACAGAGCACTAGGAAGGGATCAGTCAGTATTGCCTTTTCGGATAGAAGCCTGTGAACTCACAACATGACACCTGCCATTCCCGCAGATATACCTGCCAGTACTCTTGCTGCCTGATGAGCCTCTTGACCGTGTACTCGTATCGATGTTTGTGCTACTGCAACTGCTTGTCTCTTGAAAATACCTAATGGCGATGAGCACAGTGCTAATGACTCGTAGATAGAGGATCGACGATCGAGGTTGACTGTGCTGCCGTCCATGGCTGGATCAACTAAGACGTACGGCGTTTTCCACATCCATCTCTGTCCATTGATGCTATCGTTTGTCCACGCAGCTAACAAGACCAAGCTTACCAGCCAGAACGTGGTGAGAAATGATTCCAGCACGAGGACTACTCGTTGGTTGTACAACTCTGGCCGGAAAGAAAGTGCCGTAAGGTAATACCCAAAGGCACTAAGAGATAAAGAGGCCTATAACGGAGATTAGACTAAGATTCCATACATGCTCATAGCTATAAAGAAATATGTTTGGATAAACACCTCAGTCGTGTCGTGGAGGACTCACACTCAACATTGTCATATTAAATGCTGGATGGCTTCCATATACTGCTGCGCAGACCGCGACGAAAGTAAGCACGACGATGGACAAGACCAGCTTAGTACAGCCAACCGGTGTTGACCAACGTGGCATTGGTACGACAGGTGTTGTGAACACCATGGTGATTCTGTAGACGATACTAATACGCTTCCGTTTCAGTCGAGATGTTGTGGTGGAATTGTGTTCAAGTAAATGCGCCGTTGTGTCTGGTTGAACAACTGCAATTTCGTGGTATTGTGTTTGATCATAGCTGAATGCTTCACGACCGAGCGCGGCATGGTAGCCATTTCTGATGCGAACATGTATTGCTGCTTGAGAAATCGAGGCTGAAGACAGGCAGGTGCGACTATATGTTGTGGTGGATACTATAGGTCCGTGCTTCTATCGCTGCATGCGTGTTCGATCCCTAGAATGCAGATCTTCATGCGCACCTACCAGCGCCTACACATGCTGGTTAATTATAGCAGACTGTTTTTGTGCTGTCATGGGCTGAATGTGGTTAGTGAAGAACCATCTCTCTATCTTTCCAGAAATTTTGTCGCGCCATTGCGCAGTGTGACACCACAACAGCTCGTCCATGAATTGCTGTTGGTTAAAGAAAGCGTTCAAGTCAATGCCTCGCTTCAACCTTGACCTCCCATAAACTGATAGCTTCGACGTGGCAGCGAACCAGCAGGTAACTGAGAATTGCCAGATGATGTGAAGGGCAGTCCTGGATTTGATTGTAATGAGTCAGCATTTTGCATGCCATACGCAGTATGGTACCCATCTCTTCCAGATGTGAGGCCATGCTGGGATTGAAAGTCGAATATGTAGGAATGTTCAGACGGCATCTGAGCGTTTGTATACTGATCGATGTGCACATGCTGGTCTGTTCTCCTCATCTCGGACGGAAGAGCAGACGAATATGGTTCCGAAGGAGTTGTAGTGGTTGATGATGTTTGACTTGCAAGCTGTTCTTGTTGACGTGTCTGAAGACGTGCAAGCAGTACAGCTGACTCCTGCTCGAAAATCTCTTTTAATGCACTTATTCCCCATCTCTGCTTCGGCCATTCCAAAATCTGTGACATGTTGCCAAGGAAACAAAGAGCTCGATTGCAATTGTCACCTTGTCCTGCGTCATGTGGCGGTGAGTATGATCTGACATCGCCTTTGATGAGCATGTCAAAATTATCCCACAACAAGTTCTGGAACTGTCTCGAGACGTAACGAGCACGGCAACACTCAACGTAGTTCAGACACGATCGAAGTTCTTCATCTCGAACCATTGTTCGCAGTTGCTCGGAATATTGTACAGCGTAGTGAAGTAGCATATTCTTATGAGTATCGGGGATGATTGCTGAAGGAATAACCTGACTTGGCGAAAGGACCAAGACCTGCGAGTACGTAGCTTCCAGCTTAAGCAGCCTCAGGTGCTTTACAGAGAACGATTCTGGAAGAGTTGATTGCCAAGCACGTATGTCTTCGAGAGTGGATGCAACATAAGTTGTGGCAAAGTCTGGTGCCCAGGTGTCCCGAGACGACCACCGAGTCTTTTGGTAATATGCTGATTCGACTCGGCGAATATCAAAGAGAAACAAGGACGGACGAATCGAGCGCAGAAATACTTGTGTAGGAGACCGTGCTTCTTGATCAGTGGACAAAGTCGGCAGTAGCACATTTGGAGCCGAGTCATCCGTGAACGAGAAAGCAAAACCAAGTGCCATACTGACGAGACGATCAAGAGCGTAGGTGCAATAGAAGACCCTGCGTCTCAGATCGAGCATTTGCTTCGAGCATTTTGTTTCAGGTGAGGGTTCGCAATGCAGGCCAAGGTCAACAAGTAACCTAGACGCCATACCGATGACATACCAGCTGTCCAGATATTCAGGGTCCACAAGAGCATACTGAACCAGCAGAAGAAGAGCCTGGATACCAGATATTGAACCAGGGTGGATTACATGCTCGTCAATGCCCATGGCTCTGGTCAGGTTGAAAACCGCGACGTCGTGGTGCTCATCGCCTCTGTTCTGAGATAAGGAGGCAGACGCAACTGCCAAGACAAGATGAAAGCACCATAGGTCAAAAGGCGATACAGCCGAGATATTGGAATGTTCTTGATAGATCCGGGATAGCGAGCTCATGAAGTCCGTCTCAGAGAAGAATGGAAGCAGAACGTGGAAGTTTTCGAAGTAATGACTTATGAGATTGGATATGCTGTATCTTGGGGGAAGTGACATGTCATCAAAAAGTGGTAGTGGCTCTTTCAAAGCAATCGCCTTTAGCATTTTTGCAAAAGACATAGTTGATGCAAATCCCTGGAAATCCCGTGATGTAGCATTGACTGTGAGGAAGCCAAAATCGCTGACAAGCTCGTCTACATTGCCAGCCTCCTTGCGTCGACTGTTGCTTATAGGTTTCCTTTGTAACACAGGTCGATCATGGGCGAAGAGGCTTGAAGACTCACGTCGAGCTGAAGCCGTCTTTGCCTCCTCAAGTCTTCGTTGAAGGCGCTGTACAGCTGTCTCTAGTGCACTGGCATAGGACCTTTCCTTGCCACGAGCAAATTCGTCGCTCGCGCTCGAGCATTCTTTAGCTTTCCCAGCTCGCTCGCATCCCGAGCAAGCAGGTAACCTGCCATCGCATTTGATCTTCGCGTTTCGACATCTGGCACAAGCTGCAACAGGTCGAGATACTTTCAGGAAGGGGTTCAGGAGAGCATCAATGCTTTCTTTAGCCATTCTTTGTGGGTGAGCTCCACTAATCTACATAGAATCTTGGAAGCTGTCGGTTATTCTGACTCCTGGTCTTGCCATGGAATCGTGGTCTATGATTGATCAGCATAACTTCTTGAGGAAAATGCAAGGTCCATGTGACGAAAAGTCTTGTTATCAGATTTTGCACTATTCCCCGCAACAGAGATATTGATACTTGCTGTTTAAAAAAGAGAAGACCGAACATATACTCGGACACGTACTTCACCCGCGATCACGGTCCGTTCGGAACGTTGTGCTGATCCTCAAACTCGGAATTGATGAGCGGAGTTGTAGGCTCCCCACAACTCAATCTTTCTGATTAGTTAACTGATGAGCCACTAGATATGTTCTCTACTATTAGCAAGCCGCAGAATACAAGGATAAGAACTGGTGTGTACAAGTACTTCCTTTTCCACTATTCTAGAAATAGCGCCTCGGCCTCTTAAATAAGCCTTGTGTCCCGCTATCTACAGGACGTTGCCGTAATCTATTCAAGATACGTGATGAAGTATGCCGTGGTTCTCCGAAACACCATCGTTGCTCTTTGATTACGAGAGAGTCAACATCCGTTAGAATCCAGAGTTGTCAAAAGGCTAGTCCGTACTGAAGCAGTCGATCTTTATCTCTTTACCTCCCTCTGCCTGCGCTGTCGTTCCTGTACAACTCCTAGAATGGACTATGTATCTACTTGCTTGAACCACCTGGACCTGTGCTTTACTTGCAGATGACTACAATAAGAGGCGCATGGCTGACAATGGACCTCAAAGGACGCAAATGGCTTTGGGAGAGATTGAACCCGACTTACCACGAGGCACGAAGGTGTGGCACACTGTGAATGCCTGCACGCGATGCAGGAGTGTACGTTGACTCAGAGCCGTCTGATAGGAAACTTGTTGACAAGGAGCAGAGGAAGACTCGATGCGATCCTACCCTTCCTCGTTGCGAGCCATGCGAACGAAGCAATTCCCAATGCGAGTATTTCGACTCGGCCAGGAACCGCATCGTCCCACGAAGGTATCTGGTGGACCTGCAGGACCTCGTTCGCAGATTGCAAGCTGAGCTCAAACTGCTGGAGAAAGATGAGGAAGATGAGGGGCCTGATCCCGAAACCATGGCTAGGGCACCGGGAATGGTCAAGTTCAACGAAAGCAGCGAGTCCAGATTTTTGGGTCCGTCCAGTGGCATCGCTGTGACACGGTTTGTGATGAATTTTGCTAGTCGCAACGCAGATCGAAGGACAATCCGAGATGTTGTGCCCGACCGAGCCGCTCAGGAGATCAAGCAGACGAACAATGCCGAAAGTGTGAAGCCAACTTCCAAGGTATATCCGCTGATCAGCTCTGTCGCGGCGCCCAATCTACCCAATCGAGATTTGATGGAACAGCTTCTCGATTTATACAACTACAAAGCTCAGTACATGCTGCCTTTACTACACGAACCCTCGTTCCGTCAGGATGTAGACGCTGTTTACGAGGGAAGTAACGATGCGACGCTCAATTTTCAGGTTCGAATGGTGATAGCGATTAGCATGCAGAAGCTGGACGCACAGTACGCTGGCTTAGCTGACAGCTATTATCTTGCGGCATTGCCATATCTCTCCCAAGCCATACACCGAAAGGACATATCAACACTCCAGTGTTTCGCTCTCATGGCTCAGTATTCGCTTCTGACGCCAACTCGCACTGCTGCGTTCTGGATGGTTGGTCTGGCTGCAAAATTGTGCCAGGATTTGGGGCTTTGCAACGAAAGCACCATCGATAAGCCACCGTTGGGAAATCGTCCCAATTTTCTGGAGATAGATATGCGCCGCAGACTCTTTTGGATAATCACGTCTATGGAGTACGGGCTATCTCATAGCTTGGGCAGACCAAGTGCTTTTGGTGTTAGCGTCGAGAACATCGATGTACGCTTCTTTCACCTCTGTGATGATCGCTTCATCACTTCGCAGGGGTTAGCAGCCGGAAACCACCCTATCATGAAGAAAGCCATAGCCATTCACTTTCTCAAAATGCGACTGCTGCAAGCTGAGATTAGAAGGACACTCTACTTGAAGAAACGAGAAAGACCAATTACAGACCAAGATCCATGGTTTCACAAAATGCTAGGCAACATCGACAGTTGGGTGCGCGACACACCAAAGAACGACGAAGGTAGTGGACTTAGTCCAGCTTGGTTCGAGGGACGGAGAAATACTATGATTGTCATGATGTATCGACCATCGCCGCAAATACCCAATCCTTCCTCCTTGGCTGCTGAACGCTGCTATCACGCGGCGGTCTTCAATATTGCTCTACAAAAGGCTCAGGTCGAGCGCAGGCTCATTGATGTGACCTGGATATTTACACAAGCTATCTTCATGGCACTGAATACTGTACTCTGGTCCATATCTTATCCGGAGATTCGTGAGCAACATCCAGTCGAGGAAGTGCAGCAGCATATTAGTGATGGCCTTGCGGCTATAGACCTTTGTGCTGCTAGGTGGCCCGGTGTACGATCTGCGCATCAACTATACGGCAATCTGGTCTCAGCTTGTCTCAAGGCATACGACATGCAATCTGCTACGAGTCCCAGTTCGATCAGATCAACGACTCAAGGCCTCGATGGTAATGCCGGTGTATCTTCATCTCGGATCTCGTCCAGTTCAGTAACCACGCCGTCTGCGTCGATGCAAGGTCCGCATACACCACAGTCCTACACATCTTTCCCACCTGTTTTGTCCCCAGGAAAGTCATTGTCATCCCCTTACAACCCAGTTGCGAATCAGCAGCAAAATTTTTCTAGTCCGCATGCCTCACAAGTCTACGAGCAGCAATCATCTACTCAATTTAATCAATCAACATATTACGGTGCTCCCCATTATGACGGTCTTTCAACGACACACCTCCCAGGCTCAGCTCAACCGCTACCATCGTGGGAGTCCATGGCTTCCATTCCCTTCAATCATGCTACCACGGCCTCTCTTGACATGCCTTTAGAAAGACCACCATGGCTAGCACCATTCGGTGAGGACTTTGCTCAACTCGGATCCGTGGACACTATGATGCCATATCAAATGCATTCACTCAATCAGCAGGAGCAACTGGATCTCCTAGCATCACTTGAGCAAAGTCGACTTCCGGAGGTGACTGCGATGGGCGGTGATAGCACTGTCTTCTATACCGTAGGTCTACCTTGAATGATCATACGCTGCATCGTGCGATGTCATAATGCTGTTGTTGAAGTACTGAAGGTGTTTCTCCACCATGGGACCTACAATGCGACTCTCGATATCGCCTCGAACATTATCGGACTTGTGTTGTCCATCAAAAACAAATTAATAGCCCTACCCCAACTGTTCGCCCATGAGAATGAGAACTACCCTAGTCGATGTCTGAAGCAGTGAGTAGAACTCTGTGAGTCTGACCGCCGTTCCTCTTGCAGTGAGTCATCTGCAGCATCGCAACGGAAGGTCGACCTTTGGGTTTACGACAGCTGAGATCGGGCTGTCCGAAGCCTATATAGGAAGATTATTGTCACTTGTGAGTTGCTTGGTGCAAAAGAAGATTTTAGGGCTGAACAAGGATTCCGAGTCAACATATCTTTCTGATTGGTTTCGAGGATCTGCCTAAATTCAGCCCTAGGCAAACTCCAACTGGAAGTTGTGCAGTTATGCATGGTGAGCTCAGTGGTGGTTTCGGCACGATTACCCTATAGACACCGGTCCAGTCGCAAGCTATACCGGCTACTTTACTCCCATGTACATCCTTGTATGCTGACCCATCTTCGAAGGCCCCCAACTCCACCACAATCTCAGATCCAATCAGATGACAAGAATGCCATTAATCCAGATATTCGACTGAACATCCAAGCTGAAGCATGAACATCTATGTTCGACCTAGTCATGCCAATTCTACGCGCGCCCACAAGGCCCCAGTCTAATATTTGCCTGATCTAGTCTAGTAAGATCTTTGCTGCACGAAAGTCGACGGAATACCCGAATTTTGGCTAGCAAGGCCTGGCAATCTGGCAAGTGTCATTTCCTGGCGATATTCAGGACCATCTATTACTGATTTTCTGCACAGTCTATTTGTGGTTGATACACGCTTTGGCACGAGCACTAATCGGTATTACCGGACTAATCAGACCACGTATTCTCCTCGAGAACGTCTTCGGGCTGATCAAGAACATGTGCTGGGCGAATACATGTGATCACTTGATTGGACTGTTTTGTATCACGACTCCTGCCCGGACGCCAGTTGATGAACCCGTTCGCACCGCTCAACTACTTGGACTGAGCATTTTGCATGACTCCGAGTTATGTGCTTCCAGTGACATAGTCACGGATGTCCCAGGACAAGTCATGCCTGATGCACCGCCTTTCGAGAAGACTGCCTTGTGACGAAAGCGGCAGGCTTCGAGAAGAGAATGCTTCCAAAATTATTGAGGTCTGCGGAATGGTTCTGTATCTTATACAGAATGACTTCCAGCTATCTGACCTCAGTTTCGTCTTGATGCCACCTTCCATTCGTTCCAGTCGCCTTTTTCTTTCGTGTTCGTCAAGGTCTTCTTCAAATCGTTTCTGTGCTCAATACTGCGATACATCACCCTTTACAACATAAGCGAGTATAAACTTGCGTCAGCCATCAAGATTCAGCAGCCACATTTCAGCATAGCAAGCATGGAGTTTATGCCGCATTTTAGCCAGGGACGATATCTGTATGAGGGGGCAAGTCATTTACATCAACATAGTGCCGTAATGTCCCATTCTGCTGAGCAGAATAGTCGTTCCAGGGCAGCAAGCCCAAGGGCGAACCAAGCTGTTAGCGACATTCAGAGGAAGATGTCTGAATTGGAAGAAGCCATTCTACAGCACCCCAGTTTGAAGTCCCAGTATAAAGTCGTCCGCACGTACCTTGTGCTTGACTCCTGGGTTTTAGAGCCTATATCCTTCCTCAGGCAAGATGGCTTGTGGGCGGTGGATATGGCACCCATGCACGACACTTCTATGAAGCTACCGAAGCCTGAGCAGATAGACCATCTGGCGAATCTGCATGCGTCACTCTTTCAATCTCCACCAACTGATCTATTCAACATGATTTGCAAATACCGACGATACTCCGATTTCAAGGACACGGGCATCATACAACGGCTGGAAGAGCTCAAACAAAGTTGGTTACCAGCAAAGGCCGTCCAGGCTGAGAACTCGAGGACAGCTCCTCAAGGTCAGAGGTACAAGTGTCCATCTGTCAAGTGCAGGCGGGACTTTCGAAAAGCAGGACACGCAGTGAACCATATGGAAAACCATCATCCGGAATATCTTCAGCTGCATCCAGATTACCAGCCACATCATTTTACGATTGAGATTGGTGACTCACGATCGACTTCACCTGAACTGGATCGCCAGGTACTGCGACGGCTTGATGAGACGAGAGGAGATCGCCACACGCAGCGCATGCAACATCGCTTACCAGGAACTCTCAGTAGAGAACGTGTACCACAGCGACCTATCTCAGTATATCTTGATGCACTGTCTGCAGACTACTGACAGTAGGGATCATCTCGGTACTATTCCTCGACTATCGACAGGCATGGATTCATGTCTCGATGTGTACACGAAGGACGTTCTGTGGTATATTTGACAGCTACAGCGAACCACAAAAGTGACTTCGGCAAGGCATTCGGTCTTTGCAGCGCTCGACATGTGATTTATCAAGTGTGGGTCATTTAACAGAGCGCATATCCGATTAAAACAGTCACGATTACTTTGAGATACTATGAGCTAAATGGTTCTCAACGTCAAAGACGGTTCTTGGAGAATCTCAAACCATTGGATCGACAATTGGGTGACTAGTCGAAGCAGGCGCATTATACGCTCGCCATCCTCGTTGTTTTATGAACGTTCAAGCATCTCTTGAGAGACGACTAGAACATGGGCAGCTGGGTCATGATTTTTACATGCGACTTGACATAACGCAGGGTTATCGTTGTCTACAGGCTTTCATTGGACGTTCGTAAAGGATCATCCCGCTGGATACGGGCTTGGGTCTATGTCTGTACTATATAGAAAGTCGTCTACCTATAGCAAAGGTCAATGAGGTATCACGAATTAATGCTTGTCACCAGCTCGGTCAGGTTAGAACTGTATGCAGCTTCCAACCACCTGTAAATCTGAGACTTTGTGCAACATACGAGGTTTGCATCATATAGTCTTTCAGAACCTGCGTCTTTGATGAATGCTTCAAGTTCTCATCGATATGTCCTGTACCTGCGGAGCGTGTATTGATTCCATTCGCATTTGGCAGAAGGAAGGAGCCACCATGCCGAGCACCTTCCCCAAGACGACGGTGTGGAAAGGTTGCTCCAAGAGCGCAACAACTGCCAATCATGTTCTCTCACATCCCTGTAGCACATCGATACAGAGAGTTGTTGTTGTGGACTTTCCGCTTCGATCGATGAATATTCATTCAGCAACTTTCTATTCTAGACACGACAAGACTGGCTAATCACTTGAGTTGTTTTCCAAAATTGTGAAGCCTCACTTGGAGGACTACACCGACCTTTTCGCACATTCATTAAGCTCTACGACAACAACAATTCGTCTGAGCAATACTAAATCTTCGAGCACGTGAACAATCTGTCCATCAACCCTGCCTTTCTGCCGGTCGTGCAGTAGCTTTTTGATCAGCGAACGAGCGTCGAAGCCGTCGAACCAGCACTATGCGCATAGCCAACTACATCATCAGCATACATTAGCAATCGAGCAACATGTTATGGCAACGAACCTCCTCCGTCAAGCTTGACTCCTCTCCTGCCATGGTGCAAACTCGATGTCGCAATTTCTCCGATATCGAGAAGCGCCGGCTGTCACACGAGCATGAGTACAGCGATGAAGAAGATGAAGAACCAGATTCAGCCGCGGCTTCACGATCGGTATCCTCATATTCCCAGCATGCGCCCATGCTGAATCGCGCTTACTCCCACAGAGATCGATCTGGTTCCCTACTACGGCTACGGCCATCGATGATGCGCTATGCTTGTCTTGCTGTGGCCGGCATATTATTGCTGTTCATGCTGTCGCTGGTAAGATTCAGTCAGCAGTCCCAGAAAGAAGTACAACAGGCAATAATAAAAGACAAGCAAACACCGAAGCCAGCTGTATGGGAGGACTTCCCTTTTCTGCAAAGGTACTACGGTGGCATCAGGAACCTAGTGCTCAAGAAGGACAACAAGCCTGAGTATCCTGTCGCGGACGATGAAGCGCCAGTACAGCATACCTCCGATACTGACTCTTCCGATACCGATACGAAACCTCCTGCTGCAAAAAGAGATGTGTTGGATAGAGGCCATGTCCCTGACAGCATCGAGTTCGATCCTTACCCTAAATACACGACTGAAGAATACGTAGCGGAATGGGGCGACAAAGTTGACTGCTTTTTAGATGAGAGGAACACTGTACAGATCCCGCGCGTCCGCATATATGAAGCAATACCTCAGGGCTTTCCGGACAATGTGATGGGTTCGGCTGATTTGCTCGGTATGCGAAACGATATCTGTTACGATCGATTTGGCAGATGGGGCCCATATGGTCTGGGATACAGCCTCAATAAGGGTGGTAGTGGTGCTCAACAGGGTGGTGACAGAGACGGTGCTGATCTCGTATGGCAGGCTCATCCTGAAGTTGATTTCAGAAAAGTCAACTGGGCCTCAGTCCAGCAAAGGTGTAATGCTGCCAACGCGCATCGTTTCAAGGAGCTGCCCGAGCCGAAACTCGAAAGATTTCGAAGTATGCAGCCCGGCGCGCTCACAAAACGTGTCAGGCTTGACGACGATGTGCCTGCACATGTTGCAAAGCCCAGGACTGGACGATCTAGAATCTCACGCACAGCTGTTGTCATTCGTACGTGGGCCGACTATCGCTATACTCCCGAAGACCTCATCTATCTGAGATCACTAATAGCAGAATTGAACGTGCTAAGTGGTGGCAAGTACACAGTGCACTTTCTCATCCATGTAAAGGACGACAATGCTCAAATCTGGTCGGATGATGAAGTCTATGAGAAGTACCTTCGCGAATCTCTCCCTGAGGAGTTCCGAGGTATGGGCACATTGTGGACCGAGCGCCAAATGTTTCTCGTTTATGGCGGACTAGAAGAATCTTGGGTACGGGGCTTGCCTGTGCACGGTGTTTATCGCAGCACTTTTATGCCGATGCAGTATTTTGCCTACCAGCATCCAGAATATGAACAATTCTGGCACTGGGAAATGGACATTAGGAGCACGAACCATTGGTATCATCTCTTTGAGAGCGTCAGTAACTGGGCCAAGAAACAGCCGAGAAAGTATCTTTGGGAGCGGAACGCGAGATTCTACATTCCTGCCGAGCACGGATCTTATGATGATTTCTCCCACATGGTCCGCATTCAAACCGACCAGGGCACGAACAGTGCAAACAACGTATGGTCAGGACTGCGAGCCGGCGGCCGAGAACCTGGGACGGAAAGCCAGAAGATCTCGGGCGACAGACCAGTATGGGGTCCTGAGCGACCACTTGATGACGATGTTTCCATGCCTGGCATTGACGCAGAGCCTCCCACAGCTTTCGAGAAGGACAAGTACACGTGGGGCGTGGACGAAGACGCGGACCTGATAACGTTCAATCCCTTATTCGATCCAGATGGAACAAGTTGGCTTCTAGCAGACGACACCACTGGCTATAACATTACCCGAGGTCGACCTCCACGGCGCGCAGCCATCATCACCGCGTCTAGGCTTTCTCGCAAACTGCTTATGGCCATGCACCGTGAACTTAGTCACAACAGGCATAGTATGTTCTCAGAAATGTGGCCGGCATCCTGCGCTTTGCACCATGGTCTCAAAGCTGTTTACGTGCCACATCCAGAGTTCATTGACCGACGTTGGCCAACTTCGTACCTCGAGAAGACCTTTAATGGCGGCAGGAATGGTGCTAGTGGTGGTGCGAGGACTTCAGTATTTGGTGATCGTGAACACAATTTCCGAGGCACGACTTGGTACTACAATGCGGGCTTCTCAGAGGTGCTCTGGCATAGGTGGTTAGGGATGAAGATACACAACGATGGTGGCGAGGTATTCGAAGCTGAGAACGAAGGCCGGATGTGTTTACCTGGGATGTTGTTGCATCCGATCAAAAGAGTCGAGTTAGTCCAGGAAGGCAAGAAAGCGGACTGAGACGTTGCTGAAGTGCCTGTGTAACATCTTCTGCAACCAATATGGGCTACATATATTGTGGGATTTGGCAGAACAGATCTGTCTTATTTTTGCAAGGCGCTGTAGGAGTACTTTGTCCATTCATGAATGATCTGAGGTCTATTGGATTTAGCAGGCTGTCATAATATGGCTGTATGTTAACGAACTGTACATAAACAAAAGTTCACGAAATCTGAGCTTTACAGATTTCATGCCGAAGCCTCGCATGTCTCAGGACAATTTTATTCCTCGCACTTACGTCCTCAACCAGCCGCTCTTGACCGATTACCGGGCAACCTCAACGCCTCATCTCGAATAGATTCCTACATCTTCCAACGTCGAGGAAATCTATAGGTGTGCGAGCCTTTCACGAAGGGCTACACTATGTGCAAGCAATATTCTCTGATTGAATATGCAGCTCGTCAGGCACCAAACTCTTTTCGAACTGTCCACCTCCTCTTTCCCCGCAAACTTGGTTCACTTTTCCACACTCGACCTAGCTTACTTCTATCAGGCGTGCTCAATGAAAGCCATCTCGCAGCAGGTACTGCCATTGATGTCATGCTTGAGTCTTGTTCTTTGCAAGCTCGAGTTCTATGGCACCTATCCGATATATGTGCTCGGTAGACCACGGCTGGCCAAGATGCTTCTTCTTGTCGCATATCCGACCACTGTAAGGTCATACGAACATTCGAGATTTCATGAAGCAGATAATCTTCGCGACGTATCTCGTCCTAGCAGGTCTGGCTAGTGCCCAGAATGGGTCGAGCAACGCCTGCAATGTGACGACGCAGTACTTGGCTGATCCGCCATACGATAACTACTTCTATTCGGACTGTAATGTTGACGCACAGGTGTGAGTACTTCCTGGGTCCTTGTTGTCTAGCAAAGCGACGAGCAGCTTTACCCTGACCTGATGCGAAGTTTACCTGACAGTGTTTCAGTGTAGTGACGAGTCCATTGTCTTCGTCCAATCTTTCAATAATTGGACCTAGAGTTGTTGTGGCCTGGCCAGCAGGAAACAGTGGCATAGCGGTCTTCTTTGCTCCCCAAAACGGACCCAACGGAACGCTCGCTATTGAGCTTGTCAATTCCACTATTGGAGAACCTCTATCAGTCTACACGAATACCGACAGCAACAATGACTTTCCGTACGTGGGCGTGCAAGGAGTTTTATCCTTTAACTCATCGGCGATGTTGACAGTGGCCATTCTGGGCAGTGTCAGGACAATTCGTGATTTCACAGAAGGTCCAAGTCTATTACGACCCGCGATACAGGATGCCATCAATGTCACACAATACAATAATAGCGGCGCTTCCTATGGGAGAATGTGGTTAGATAACACGACTGAGTCGTACTTCAATCTAGTACCGTTCGAGAACGACAATGGCACTATTGCGATGAATGCCCAGGATCGAACTGTTAGCTTTGGCGCGGGCTTCTACCACTTCGAAGCATATTTCAATTATCCTCAACTACAGCAGTTGACGTCCCAGGAGGTATTGAACAATGCTTCGCAAGGACTCATCGAGCAGCAACCTTCACAGACTACGTCACTATCATTCTTGTCGTACTCAGAGAAACTGTTAGCTGGAGCATGGCGCTTCTTGACATATTTCGGTCGAGATAGCATGATCTCGGCATTGTTGCTTGAGCCAGTTTTGAGCACTGGCAATGCATCAGCCATGGAAGCTGTCATTGGTGCTGTACTTGAGAGGATTAATCGGACCGGTGACTGCTATGCTTGAAATCGTAGCGAATATAGCTAACATACTACAGACGGCTCAGTTTGCCATGAAGAGACGATCGGAGATTATGCCACCTACCTCAATATGCAGAACAATATTACAGGCGACAACGCGACAGCTGCGATATTCACTTATCCTATGATTGACACTGATTACTTCTTGCCCATCCTGATGGACGTATACTTTTCCCGATACCCTGATCGCATCGATCCTCTGCTATCGACCGAAGCCGGATTGATCGACACAACCAACGAGAACCTGACATATGCTGAGCTTGCGCTTTTCAATGCTCAAAAGATTGTCAACATCACTACACCCTTCGTCGACAACCAAACGGTGGAGAACTTGATACATCTCAAGCCCAGCGAGGTGGTCGGACAATGGCGTGACTCGACGTATGGCCTTGGTAATGGTCGCATCCCATTCGACGTGAATTGTGCGCTGGTGCCGGCTGCGCTCCGAGCTATTTCGCGACTCTCCCAACTGGGTGGTATCTATCCAAACACATCATCAGGAACATCCGTGTTGACCAACTACAGCAACTGGGCTAGCTTTGCTCAGGAAAGCGCTATAACATGGGAGGAGAACACTTTGTCTTTCTTTGAGCTTAACTTGACCGTGTCGGAAGCCTCGTCCAGGGTGAATAACTTCGTTAATACTGCCACGTTCTACGATGGCCCAACAAATAATGCCAGCCTGAGCACCAATAGCAACGATGCTAATGGAACGATTACCTTCTACGCAATAGCTCTCAACGGTTCCATGTCAGCTCTCGAGGATGATGACCTTGATACCTACTCGGAACCAATCCCCATCATGCATACCGATACCGCATTTCACCTGTTCCTGCTCAACTCCACCAACACTTCCAGCACTGCATATGCTCGCGAGCACACTCGTTTCCTCAACAGTACCGCAAACACTATCCTACGCGCCTTTCCTGCAGGTCTTGTCACACCATCTGGTATGGTAGTAGCCAATCCAGCTCTGTCAAACTCCGACGTCCTGATTGCTAACTTCACAAACTCCGCTTACCACGGCACGGTAATTTGGAGCTGGCAATTGGCTCTCATGGCGGAAGGTCTGCATCGGCAATTGGCAGTATGCAATTCGTCGTCGAGCTTCACTCCTGCATACTGCGAGGATGCCTACGTGTACAACGCAACGAGGGCGGCCTACAATGTTCTATGGGACAACATTGAGCAGAATGAGGCACAACTGCAGAGTGAGGTATGGAGCTGGACGTATGATGGAAATAATGAGGCCAGCAATAGTACGGACAGCTTCACGACTGTGCCATTAGGGAGCTTGCCGCCTCCGCCTGGGGTGAGTGGTGGTACGGAGAGTAATGTGAGGCAGTTGTGGAGTCTGACCTTTTTGGCTGTACGGAGAGATGCAGAATACGCATGACTAGCCGACTCGAGCGAGTCGAAAGAGACTCGATATCGTGAGCATGATGAGTTGTAAGAAGATAGTCTGCAAGCAGATGCAAGTCGCCTTGGACCGCATGCGAAGGCTCAACCGTGCACGGCTTATTATAGAAGATTAAACGCGAAGAAGGCACGACCGCGACGCGCCAGTTGCACGTGATCTGGATCGATTTTTCTGAGCAATTTCAACACCTGTATTCGTGGAAGCTTCTTCACAGAGAGATCGGTCGTTAGACAATACAGCTACTCTGCAATGTAATTCGCGGCGACGCCGTGTACGTGCAACGCAGAACGTCCAGTCTTGGAGTGGTCAGCTCTGCCTCCAACTCTTCACCCGGATAGCCAGATGTCCAAACATTGCTCTGCGCCATTCAAGCATGGCTCACCGGACGCCTCAGCTCCAGATCTTGATACGTGCAGCATTTTTGCTCTCAACTAATGTTGTACATCTAAAACATTGATAGCAAAAAACGGCGGTATGCCTGGACCCGTATGTTCTACCCTATGGCGTGAAGTCAAGATGTTTTGCGCAGTGCTAGAAGCACTGAACAAATGGCATCAAATGGACGTACACCCTATACACGCATGGCTTCTGCATGGCTTCTGTTGATTGCGTTATCGAGTCGGCTTTGTCAGTTGATCTTGCTTTAGTCCTGTCCTGCTAATGAACCGAAAACGGCTGCATGCAGCAACGAACAAAGGAAGTTACATTGTGTTCGAAAGCACGCAGCATGATGAGCGCAGCGACTTTGGTCATTCTGTCTTCCTGCTGATGTTCCGATATTCTGCTTGTATTGCTAACAAATAGCTGCGCACACATCACCACCGCCAACGCTCGTGCTCGACCAGAAGAGCGATGTGGTAGATACACCAAGGTCGTGTAGATCAATCCGTCGAACATTATCTCGTCTTCATCACTAGCACGCTACGGGCGCTCTACACGTTTAGCAAGCTCAATTTTTACGCTAGTCAAAACAACTCCGATCCGCAGCTATGGGCGACCAAGCAGCATGGATCTCGAAGCACAAGTCAGACGAGCGGAAATGGTCTCGTATTTTTAAGGCTGAGTCTGAATACGAATCAAGATCAAAGGCGGCAATTTCGAGTTCGGCTAAGGAAGCAAGGTTGGCAGCTGCTCCGAGCACGATTACCACAGAGATAGCTTACGGCTTGTGTGATGCTTCCTGGTCCTGGGTCCTTGGATATCTCAAGATATGCCCCCGACAATTTCCTTTCAAGAGCCTTGCTGGTCCAACAGAGACTCTCTATCTGAGTCCAGAAGACATGGTCAGGGTTCATGAGAGTGGTGTTCGAAAAGCAGCAGCAACTACTCCCAGTAAAACCAATATGCTCACGCTGTATGACATCGGCAAGACGACTACGACAGCAACACTACTTGAAACCATCACCGAGCATCTGAACCTTACTAGCACTGCCACTGTGTTCGATGACACCGTGACAGAGACCGAATACGTAAAGGCGAAGCCTACTACTAGCACCACAACCCCCATAGTTTGGGTGACTCGCAAGAAGCCTGTGAAGAAGACAACAACTACAACAGAGTATGATACGACCACAAGCACGAAGACACTGGACACTCCCGTCGTTGAAGTCGAATACGGAACCACTATCACGAAGCCAAGGACCGCCACGCGAACTATCCACCTATCAGAGACAAAATTTGTCACAGCTATGGCCGAAACTACCACCACCATCTATGACACGAAGACTGTTAGCCTGTCGATCGATGAGACGTTCTATACCACGAACACTGCCACGTTAACTGATTACGCTGCCACAATTACATCAGATTCCACATACACTCATTATCTGCCTCGTCATACTTCGGGGGTCATATTAGATGCAGGGACTCCAGGTACCTACTCATACGTCCTTGTGGTTCCGCAATCCCTGATGTGGCTTGTCGACTTGCTAGACCCCATCTGGCAATGGCTTAAAAGCACCTATCTATCTTGGATGTTAGACACCGACTTCAGTGCACTACTAAATCTTTTGATGGTCCTTACGGTTGTTCTTGCAATTGTCGCTCTCTTGTGGCGTTGCTGCTGCAGCTGTTGTCGTCCGAAAAGACAGCGTGCCCAAGGTGGTGATGATGGGGACAATGATGCTGGACATCACGTTAACGAAACAGGTCAGACTGAGAATTACAAGCAACCCAACCACGGAAGTATTCCAGGTGAGGATGGATCGTTATGGGAAGATAGTGATTCTCCTCTCGAGACCACTGGTGAATCATCCAAGGGAAAGGAAACCGCCAAGACCGAGAAAACAAGCCCTAACCAGACGAGCCGACATGACGTTGCGATGAGCGACAGCGAGACAGAGGCTCCGAAACCTACAGAGTACAAAATGCGAGCGAGATCTCTCTTTGAGGATGAAAAAGGCTATCCGGGTGAGATCTTCGACGCCCCAGCACCAGATCAGAAGACTTCTCACACACGCGTAAAAAGAAGACGAACCCGTCAGTGGCTATCGGCTGAAGTTATTGGTCTGCTTCGTTCCAACATGAAAAATTCTGCGAAAGCTAGGAAGATCCTTGAGTTGTTGGAAAAAGAGGCTAGCAAGCAAAGAACAGAGGGGTTGACAGAATCTGAGGCGAGGGAGGAACAAGCTCACACCGTCTGGGTTTGGATTAACATGCTAGAAACAGAGGACAAACATGAAGGTGGAGCGATCGCCCGACTGATCAAAAAGTTGATTCCAGAGTTCAATGCAGAGGACTATTACTCGGGAAGTGACTACTATGAAGATGAAGAGCCTGCCTTAGAACCCGGCGACGTTGTCGCGGAGAGCGACCATACGACGAACCCCGTGGGTGACTCTATCGCTCCAGTAGAGCAGTCGAAGATATCACTTCCAAGCCCTACAAAGACTGAAACCATCATTGACAATGTTGCAGAGCAAATCGATAAGCTGATTGAGCAACAACCACAGGATGCATCGCTCACTACTGATCCCGTGAGTCTACCAGCTCCATTGCACGAACTCTCTGACTCGACAAGCTCACCAAAGGACTACAAGGAGATTCAGACATTGGAGGACGACGAGAGTGTGAGGGAGGATGAGATCGCAAAAGAGGACCAGGCTGTACAGGAGGATCAAACTGTGAAGGCAAATGAAACTGTGGAGGAGGACCAAACCGCAACGCGCGAGCAGGCAGCAAAGGACGACACCGACGTGCCCGCCGTTGATACAGCTTCCGACAAAGACGACAGACTTCTTGAAGACAATGATGAGAAACCTGTAAATGTCTCTGATACCAAGGCTGCATCTCCTCCACCTGAAATCGAGGCCGATGTGGTGGATGCTAAACAGTCTACACAGCAGACCGAGCAGCAGGCACTAGCAGCTCGGGCACGTACACCCACCAAGGAGGAACTTGAGTCTCTAGAAAAAGACTTTATGGACGCATTCGAGCAGCAGGACGCAGAAAATGCCGCAGAAGCAGCAAAGGCAGAAAAGAATTCAGGTGCAGCGGCTGTTCAAGATAATCCAGAGGATTCCAAGTTACCATCGGAGCCTACGGATCAGAAAGTTACAGACGTGTCCAGCCAGCCGAAGATATCTCAAGCTGATACAAATGCGCCTGGAGATGTTGCTACACAACAACCCTCCAGCACCGAAGTAAAAGCATCTGACTCTACTGCCATTGAGACGCATGACACCAATATACGCACCACGGGGCTGAAGGTCATCCCTCCAAGAAGAGGACAATACCTGCCAGACGAAGACGAAGAACCCAGAGAAACTCCACCTCCGACCGTCAAGTTCACACCCATACCAGGACGTAAAATCCTCCAAGTCAAAAGGAAGCGGCCTGATGGGAGTTGGTTTTTCTATGGAGAGGGTCCGAAAGAGGTTACTAAGCAGGACCAATCTACCGCACCAGCACCAGCTAGTAAGAATGGGCAAGAGGGTTCTACAGGTATACGTGCTGAGTCAGACTCGAAGAACTCTGAAGAGGAGTGAGGGTTGCATTGCGGGACGCCGAGTAAAGACCAATATAGAAGATAGGCAAAGTGATGTCTGTATTTGTCTTGTTCATGCTATTTATTAGCGCCCAATTTGAATGTCAAATAGTGTCCTGAACCAGCAGATACCATCATATTGTTTAAATGCTCTTCTTTTGCTGCCAGAATGATGGTGCTGCCAACCAAAGTGAAATGTTTGAAAAGTGCTATAGACTGTCAGTTCGTGACGAGAATGAAAGTATAGAATTTCATTGAAGCTTTGTCAATTCCGGAGAAGAGATGTCATTTGTCTGTAAATCCTTAGTGACTGTGGTTCTCTCAACTGGTGCTTTCCCAAAAGAGAAAACTAGTTGTGTCGAGGACTACACAGGAGGGTTTCGCAACACCTTGTCAGAGCGGATAATCGATCAGGACCACTTCAACCCCACAGGCTGAGACTGCGAGAATAAGCGGTAAATATGGACTCAAAGGTGAATGAAACCGTTACTCTGCATGGTCCTCGGTAGCGCTGATATGATCTATTAGCAAAGAAAAGACGGGCCAGATAGCTCTGTCAAGAATACAACCGCAAGCTCAATGTCTGTGCAGAACAACGGCGTGGATGAGAACATCACATTGCCGCAAGCACCAAAAGAAGGTACAATCAAGCCTGACCAATGTGAGTTCCTTCCATACAATTGCGTGGTAGCCAGCTAACACATGTAAAGCCTCAACAATGCCAGGTCAAGAAGCAACCGCGGAACAACCAAAGATACAAAGCAAGACTGAGGAGGCGACCGAGCCAGATCAGCTCTCTGTACACGGCAGAGAAGCTGTTGACGCTCTATACGAGCAATTTGGTGAAGAGCGTGGTTACACGAAGGAAAGTCTGACTCGAGCTGCGAAGACTGTGGACGATCTTTTGCCGAAGCTCGTTGATGGTGATTGAGTTGGTAGATGGGGGGCTTCATCAGTGCCAACACTAAACAGGGATGGTAATCGGTGAGTCTGAAGTATTGACACAATAATTCAGCACAACGACTTCGAGTGCTTGCAGTCGTTGAAAACTGAGTTGCAGTTCGTGGCTTCGATTTTTGATTTGGTATACTCGCCACGCCGAAACAGCCCGCCAGGGTCAATAGAGAAAGCCGAGACTTGACCCTTAGTTGCGTCATCAACCAATAAACATGAGGGCGGAAGTAAGCTGACGCTGGAAATGGTCAAGGAGTATTTTGTAGACGAGGTTCGAAATAATACCGCACTTTCGTTCGCCTCTTCCATCTTAGCTAATAGTACTTCGAGTTCACCTACTTTTGACTTTGCGCATTCACACTCACCGCTCGACTTCCTTGCGACCTTTTGTGACCTCGAAGCTCTGCAGACCTCGGTGCCAATAGCTACTTGACTGGCGCAGGACGCCACACAACATCTACAAGAAGACACACCACACCAGCAAATATGTCGTTCTCGAACCTCGTCAGAGACATGTCCTTCAAGGATGGACCGAACAACTCATCCGAATCCCGATCCACGCTCTCACGAGCAAAAAGCTACACCTCGACTCAAGCGACCAGCGTCAGCATCGCAGGCGACATCTCTTCACAACTACATGCCGGCTACAGCCACCCACTGTCTCGTGCATGGCAAGCTGAGCGACAACTCACGAAAGCGATGCTAATATACCCTTTGTTTATTACCGACAACCCCGACGAAGTCACACCTATACCGTCCCTACCTAACCAGAACCGCCTCGGCCTGAACAAAGTGGTATCCTTCCTACAGCCTCTCGTACAGCAAGGTCTACGGAGCGTGATCCTATTTGGTGTCCCACTCGCACCTGACGCGAAAGACGCACTAGGCACAGCAGCAGACGATCCAGAAGGCCCAGTCATACAAGCCATTAGACTCATCAGGCGCTCCTTCCCACAAATCTTCATTGTCGCAGACGTCTGTCTATGCGAATACACCTCCCATGGCCACTGCGGAATCCTCTACGAAGACGGCTCACTCAACAACGCAATGTCCGTCGAACGTGTATCGGACGTCGCGCTAGCATACGCCCGGGCCGGCGCCCACTGCATCGCACCCTCAGACATGAACGACGGCAGAATCCGCGCAATCAAGCTCAAGCTAATAGAAGAGGGAATAAGCCACAGAGTCAACCTAATGTCCTACGCCGCCAAGTTCTCAGGCTGTCTCTACGGCCCCTTCCGCGACGCAGCTGGCTCGTGTCCCTCGTTCGGCGATCGAAAGTGCTACCAGCTTCCACCGGGCGGTCGAGGTTTAGCAAGAAGAGCAATTAGACGGGACATTGACGAGGGCGCAGATATCATCATGGTTAAGCCTGCGAGTTCCTATTTAGACATTATTAGTGACGCGAAGGAAATTGCAAAGGATATGCCGGTTGCCGCTTATCAGGTGTCTGGTGAGTATGCGATGATTCATGCTGGTGCGAAGGCGGGTGTGTTTGATCTAAAGACCATGGCGTTTGAGAGTACTGAGGGTATACTGAGGGCTGGGGCTGGTATTGTGGTTAGTTATTTTACGCCAGAGTTTTTGAAATGGTTGGATGTGTAGGACTGGAATCCGAGGAAAAAGTACGCTACGGAATGTTTTGATGATATGTTATGACAAATTCTGGCTGTTTAAGACTATGCAAATGGACGCCGGAGGCCTTGCAATGAATGGTAGGAGCCATACAGAAAACAAGACGATACCCTGATGCATAACTGCTTCTTCTTTCAGACTCTTTTAGCAGCAATCTACTCGTACTTCTCTGACATGGTATAGGTAGCCCTTGTTCATCGCTCGCCAGGCTGTAGACAATATCTCCAAGCTACTTGATGTCATGCTCAGTGTCTTATAGAATCTCAAGGCCTAAACTTCTCCAGTCACGTGCTCTCGTGCACAACAGCTCACATCCCACCCAATCTCATTCGCGCACATTTGAGGGCATGCAGACAATAGCAGATGAAGTTCACCTGGACTACCTAATTGAGAAATACTACTTGAGCAGCTATACACGTCATGATCTGGCTCTGTTCTTCCCCGAACCAATCAGTGCAGCGAAGTTATTCTCGCCGGTGAGGACCTGCAAAAGACGAATCGGGGATAGAGTTGAGCTGCTTTACTGCTTCGGGAAGGGAGAGTTACTTGTTATGGGAATAAAGATTTTAGTTTCTTGTTATTTCATGGTCATTCGTCTTTTTATTTTTGTTCATTTCCTGTTCATTTCCTGTTAACTTTCTGTTCACACTCACCAACACCTTACGTAACCAGGCACCTATTCTCAAAGTCCTTCGGATGTGGAGTTGCTGAAAGTGCTAAAGGAAATCAACCATTAGTCAAAGTATTGACCTCACCAGCATATCGATCTCCTGTGGTTGGAAATTTGTCAACCAAGTCGTCAAGCTCTTTCATCTCTTCTTCATTTAGAATAACTTCCTTGAGATTCTCCTCTATTCGAGCGATAGTAGTTGCTCCAGGAATGGGTATGACCGATGGCAGCTTCACAGTCTTTTTACTTCCATCCTCAAGCGTTACTTCGCGTGTCCTTCCACTCTGACCACTAACCCATCCAATTGCGATCTGAGCCGTCGTGGCACCATGCTTCTTAGCAATCTCATTAACAGCATCTGTGATACGGTTGTTCGCTTCGAGTACATCGTCCTGGAATTTTGGTAAATGCTTGCGAAAGTCGTTCTCTGGGATTTCTGCGTTGCTTCGAATAGGTTTGTCAGTTAGAGCGCCACGAGCTAGAGGACTATAGGCGAACACGGGAATGCCGAGCTCAGCGCATGTTGCTAGGATGCCGTTTTGCAAAGGATCAGGACACCATAGGGAAAGCTCAATCTCAACGCTTGCTACTCCTTCAGGGTAGTCCAATTCCTCCTGCAGCTGCTTCTGTGTCTCCCGAATCGTTTTGGCGGACACCTCGCTGAGACCTAGGCCACGAACTTTACCAGCCTTAATGTACTCCACGATCACTCTGTGTGCGTCTCGGTTCTTTCGCTTTGGGTCGATCCGTGCCATTTCGAAAATGTCAATGACTGGTTTGGAGGTGTCCTTGAGCAACTCGAGGCAGGTGTCTAAAGATCGACGAGTATTCTGTTCAGAAGCGTCGGGCATTGGTGTGCCAGGAAGGCCGCCTCCTTTGATAGACAAGGTGAATTTGCTGGCGTCATCAGGATACTGAGTGAGGTAATCCTTGAGTAAGTGTAGAGAGTTCTTCTCGATAGTACCTGGGCATGACTTTAGCTCAGGTCTCGAGAACATGAAGTCACTTTGAGTGCTGTGTGGTCATTCTCACCATAGAATTCTCCTGCGTTCCAATTGATGTTATCGTAGCCTAGCTCAAGGCTACGTTTCATGGTCTGGATGCTTTTCTCAAAGGCTTGTGGTTGCTCTCGCCAGGTAAAGCCCATCAGGCCGAAGCCAATTGGGCCGGTCTGACGACCAAGAATACTTGGCTGAGTAGGCATTGTGTTTGTGGTTGTGCTTGAGCAACCAGGAATGTAACAATCAGTAGGTTGAAGTCTCTACTTTGTATTAGCTTGTTAGAGGACGTCGTTTGTGATGAGGTGCCATGAACCGTTCCTATTTGTACACACTGAGCATATAGACAGCTTGCATCAACACGGACTTTACCCAGTTTGTTTTGTGGTGAATTGCTGTTTTCGGTAAGACCGATGCCCGACCTGGATCTGGTCTTTTGCGCGGTGATAAATCTATTCTTCCGCTACCGTGCCCACTGGTATCCGGCTTGACAAGTGCTATGCCCGCGACCCTTCGCAACGCTATGAGTCAGCTATTACTATGGGGCGATTGCGAGACCACAATCGTCTTCTTGATGACTTCAGTTGCTGCTCGGCACTTTCCAAGAGCTTCACCAATGCCAAACGTTCAAGCCTTTTCCTTGGCGGACGCCTGGTATGTACAACCTGGTTACTGTAGCTGGAAGAGCATGCCAAATCGACAACTACAAGATTGCCGTAAGAGAAATCTTCTTAATTACAGCATGACATCAATAATAGCACCCTCCTCGCCGTGCTGTAGAAGGCGCAGTCGTTCAACAAACGAACGTCCTTTACGTTGGCTCTGCGATGGACCCAGAAGGAGGAGCAGCACCCCATTAAGCTACAAAGCACTATGGTCCTCGACCTGCTATCGCAGGACTTGGCTCAGATCAGCACTAGTAGATGCTAGGACACCATGAAACCTGAAGCACACTAGTGAGATGTGATGATCCTCAACTTTGATGTAATTCAACAGCGACACGGCTCTATTGATCAACAGAATATCAACAACGTTGCATTAATTTTGCACAACTGCAAATCGACTAGTTCCTCATACATGGTCGAAAAACAAAAACAAATTTCATGCCCGTGCGAGCTTTTCCCATCGTTTGATACGCCTGCTGGTTTCGAGATTCGAATGCTGGGTCATGCTAGCAATCCTCCACCACACCTCATCTCCCTAATGTACATACTCGTAAAGGTGAATGTTCTGCCCGCGCCATACCGAGGGTATATTCTATGCTGGTAATTAAGCAATTCGTTCCAAACAAGATAATAGCTGCATATGTAACGTCGTGACTGGGTGAAAGGTCATCATGAGCTGTTCCGAGCTGCGATCGATGATTTCGAAGTTTGCAGAAGAAGTAGATGTCGGTATTCGTTATGATCAAATACTCGAGTATAGAAACCAGGTGTCCACCATAGCTCACTCAAATTGGTCTGCCTGATTGTCTGCCACGTTATCGCTCAGATTGATCAACAATTGAGCGAGACATCTCTTCGTGGCGGCATCATCTCTTAGCACAGCAGAGAAGGTTGCATCCCGGAGAGGCTCTGGCAGACACTGTCGAAGAGCTTGCCGAGCTCGATTGTTATCGCTTAGACGAAGAAAACATCTGACGACGTGCTTCAACAATCTGACGGTCTGTGTCTCAACAAGACCAACGACCATATTACTGAGAACGGTGCCGACTGCGTAGAAACGCTCGTAAGTGGCGCAAATATAGCCGAGACCGGTGTCGTCAAGCAGGATTTTTTGTACAATGAAGATAGCAACTGTTTTGGAAAGTTCAGAGCCAGTCTCCATAATTCGAAGGCAGAGAGGTATGATCTCGGTGGAAAGAAGAAAAGTAATAGTCGGTGAGGAGTTGGTTCCAGGTACGTGGTTAGGGTTGCCGTTAGGGTTGACAGCGGCCTGCGAGGCAGGTTCGTTCTTGACCAAAGCCCCAATCACACCGAGACTAGTAAGTCGAAGGTATTCGAAAGGTCTCGATTTAGAGGTCGTGTTGAGGAATGGATAAAGGAAGAGAGGAATGTGCGCTGCAATAGATTAGTGGTAGGATAGGCTAAACTGGACCTTCACTCACCGTTCAAGAACAGAGTCCTCGTTTCATTGTGGCTGGCAACGCATTGCAAGAGCGCCAGAGCATTACAGACTCGATTAGAGGCAGCCGCAGTCAACTGGCTGGGGTTGAGCAGGGGATAGACGGATATTATCTCTTGCAGCAGACTGGTCATGACACCAAAGCTGTGCCATAGAATCAGCGCCAGCTCGGGGACCTGCTCGCGCTTCTTGCTGAGCTCCATCAGAGCGCCCTCACGACGTGCGGGTTCCATCAGCTCTGCCACCCATATCAGCACCTTCTGGTTTTCCTCTGATAACTGCTCCATCCCTGGTGTACCTTGCTGGTTCAGACTGCTCAATGACGCTCCATTGCTTTCTTGCGTGTTATCGTTCAGATTCGACCTAACTGTCGGGTTCTGGTTGGTGTGATTCTGGTTGACAGCTATCCGTGTATAATGCTGGTCTTGATTCAGCTTTGACGACGATTGCGAATACGCATTTCTATTTTCTTGTTGAACTCCATGCTGCCACGCCTGCTGATCGTTGAATTGCGGTTGATAATACTGCTGTGCCCCTAACATTTCGTTGAATGTCAACGCCGCATTCTATCGAGGAGCGAAGGAGGAAGAAGACTCAAGGCGAGTGCTCGCTGTCAGAGGTCGAATGGGGAGGGTATCGTTGGTCAAGCAAAGTCAAACTAATGGTCGGCGGGAGGTTGAGCAGTACAGATAGGTGTAGTCTTTGGTTTCAAGCCCGAACAGCTTGCGCGTGAAAGTGGAAAGTATTCTAGATGCAGGTTTAGTGGTGACCTTGGGTTGGTTTGAGATGCTCTCGGTTTGATTCGGTGCCTGATTTGACAGGTTACGCGAGTCGCGAAGCAAGAGATCTCTTGTCCCCATCTGCGTTGGTTAACTGTTACAACTTGGCAAAGCTCGTCCATGCAATTGCCCGACGTATACAACAAGATTACAGCAATGCCAGGCAGATGATGTACGGAAGTATTTATTGACGTGAACCATCAGGATATGGGCGCCTGTATTTCTTGCATATCCATACACAGTATATACGTGCTAATTTCTCTGTGATTCACGACACGCGCATCCTGGGGTCAAGGCTTGTGTTCTGTTCAATGTGGTTACAACACTTCAATTGCTATCTACAAAAGTATATACAGCAGCAATTTCTCCAGTGTTTTATCTCCTAGATCTCGACCTCGATCGGCTACCTCTTGTTCTGCCTGCTGACGAACTGGAACCTGATTCGAGTTAGCAAATTCACAATTGATCTGAGAGGTGAGTTGACTTACTACTGCTTGTGTAATATTCCGAGTCGTAATAGCTGTATCCGCTACTACTCTTGTCGTCCCTGTGATCTTTCCTCCTCTTCAGACCCAGGATGGCTGCCAGACCACCAAGGAATACAGCAGCTTTTCCAAATCCGCCAAGTCCGCTTTGTTTGCGTTTCTCATTGACCACTGTGGTCTCAGGTCGTTGTGCACCATACCACGTACGGCCGCCATGGTGATGTCTTTCCTCATATACCTCCACTTCCTCACGCCTTCTTCGACGCCGAGGACCGAGGCCGAAGATTCCGAGAAAGCCGTCGATAAGACCTTTGGCGCAGCAGCAGAGGCATAAGAGGAAGAGCAGGATGATACCAGCGATGACACCAATGACGATGCCAGCAATGGCGCCACCACTCAGACCTCCGCCACTTGATTCTGCCACAGGACCTGTGAGGACAGCTCCACCTGTGCCTACTGGGGTCTGATAAGGGACTGTTGAAGCAGCGGTACCTGTAGTTGTTAGAGTGGTGACCGTGTTTGTGGTAGGACGCAGGGGCGCACCAGCTGTGTTCGTCGCCGTATTGGTCACGGTCACTGTGGCCAGACTGCTGTAATAGCCACTGCTTCCTGGCACTGCCACACACATTCCTGCTTGTTGACAATACTGGCCCGAGTTACAACACATGTTTCCGCAGGGTGACTGTCCTTGAGCATAGGAGCAGCTGATTCCCGTAGCCGCTTGGGTTACAGAGGAAATGTAAGAGCTGAAGGTCGCTGTGACTGTCTTTAGATCTGTCTGGACATAGGTTGTGGTGTAATATTGCCAACTGCCAGCGCCTACTACGGTCGTCGCTGCAACTTGCGTTGCTGCTCCGGCTGCTCCACACTGAGCCTGTCCACTGGTATCAGTGTAGCAGTACTCGCCGCTGGCACAGCATAGTTGACCATAGTATCCACAGGGATTCTCGCATCGTTTGCCGAAGTTCTGGAGGTCTTCGAGGCTACGAAGTAGATCGGGTATGAGGCCACCTGCTACTGGCTGTAACAGTGTTGTCGCGACCAGGGCAAGAAGTGAAGGAGGCAAGCATTCGAGACGCATGGCGATGGATGTGCGCACAGAGCGCCGTGCACAATCGTTTGTAGTATCTGTGCGTTGAACGTGCTTTGAAAAGTACTGGTCAATGAGTGTTCCACTTGGTAAATCTTGCTGAGCTTCACGTTTGCTGATTATAGATTATAGAACTGTGTCGGTGGTGCAAAGCCTTCAGGACAGATCAAGACGTATGATAGTGATGAAAGAACAGGAATGGGAAGGTTACTTGCCGTGCAGATTCAAATGGTGGATTGAAGAAGTGGTTATACCAACCTTCCGTTTTTTCCTATTTCCAGCCACCACGTTTGTTTGAGACACGATACAATTTTCCAGTAGAGTATCAGCGAAGCTCAAATCGAATGGCTGGACACTCGCGCAGCTCATGCGATTCTACCAAAATGATTGAGGAGTTAACTGCGCCTGGTGATGACTCTCGTAAGTCATGCGTTGGGTATCACTGTCCGTCTGGCGGGGATGTATGACTCCACCAACCAAGCTCTTCCCTTGGCACATCATCGTCAATCCATACCATAATGCTTTTCACCCTCGTCGCGTCTTTCAACTCGGCAATCTCTACTACACGTCGGCTTTCTTCTTCCTGAAGTGTGTTTTCGCTGAACGGGTGAAAGACGTGAGTTGATTTTCAGTGTGTACCCTGGTTGCCACGGAGACTCGAAATGCTTGCCGACTTATCGATAACGGCATACCGGAACAACCAGTACTTTCGAACCAATACAGGATACAGGACTAGCGAGCATAATCGACACAAGGATTGTCCGAGATAGCTTCTCGAGATCAGGTCTGTAACGCTTATTTGCATTAGTGCATTTCTCGAGGTGTGTCATGTGTATTGATGCGGTCCAGCAGAGCCTCGAACTTACTCCTGTTCGTCAATGCAAAGCGAATTTGCGCACCTCAAGCAGACAATGCTTCAGCAGAGTGTTCTGGTGTATGGCCTAGCAGTAGAATTCTACCTGTGTTCTCGATGCGCTTTCTTACCACAATAGACAGCTTTGACCAGAACTTTGTTTACCGGGACACTATGGTCTTGTTGAGGAAACAAAGTATTCATGTGGACATAATCAAGACATGAACAACGAGCAGTGACAGGGGTTCAGTTAGCAAGGACTGTAGAAGCTGTAAATATCATGATCATATGCACGGCTTGTAGAATTAAACATGGACTTTCCGACAGACACAATGACGGCGCTGATCTATCTACAATGATATAGTCGAGAGAGACATCCTTTGACTCAGGCATGGCCGAGTTTGTGTGGTAGTGGTTCATGCTGAGTAGGTGCTGAGGTGAACCCAGCACAGAACGTGAACAAGTACAGCACGATATGTAGCTGAATCGGTTTTCCTAGATCCTAAACATGGTAGCAAGAAGGTATGTAAAGATCGATTGATGACTTGTCGGGATGGAGGAAAGGGGATAGAAGAGCACGGCTGGAAGCGATCCACTTCAAGTTGGTCCCTGCCAAGATTTTGTTGCAGTGATGGTGTTCACTTCCCCATAATGGTCAGGAGCGACAGAACGCAGCAGTATTCACACGCCGACAGCCACAGCCACAACCCGCAACTTTACGTCTACCTTTACACCGCAACACTTTGGCTAGTCTCTCCGATCCTCAAGATGATCTTCAAGTCGTTAGTTGGCGCATTTGCAGCCATTAACGTTCTCAGCACAGTCGCAGCACACAATATACAACTGCGAGCGCATTCTCGAGAATGCTTTCACGAAGAATTACACAAGGACGACAAGATGACCGTGACTTTTCAGGTCGGTGATAGAGAATTTGGTGGCTCTGGAAACCTTGATATCGACTTCTACGTTCGTGCACCTTCCAACTGGCAAAGTGCGATACTGACGATTTGAAGATTAAACAACCTTCAGGCGCGTACCAAGTACAACAAAGTTCGGTTTCATCCGGCGATTATACATTCGAAGCTGGGTCCGATGGTAAATATGTTTATTGTTTCAGCAATGAACATTGGTCAGCAAACAGCAAGGAGGTGTCCTTCAATGTACATGGAGTGGTCTACGTGCCAGAATCAGACACACCTTCCGATCCTCTAGAGGCCGAAGTTCGCAAGCTTGCAGAAACACTAGCTCAGGTAAAAGATGAGCAAGCATATATTGTAGTAAGAGAACGGACGCACAGAAACACTGCGGAGAGCACGAATACAAGGGTGAAGTGGTGGTCCGTCTTCCAGCTTGGTGTATTGATAGGCGAGGCCGTTTTTCAGGTTTGGTGGTTGAAGAGATTTTTTGAGGTACGCAGTCTGTAACAAGTCTTCGGCCATGTCATATTGACATCTCTCCTTTGCAGGTCAAACGAGTTGTATGATCACTTGCCGATACGAGGCGTACGCATACCAGTCCCACACTACTTCGAGGCCAAGCTGTCACGGGAGTGGGACTGCACGAAAATCAATAGCTCAGTGGTTGACGTTGTGGTTGCGGCCCGAGAGTAAGAAATTATACAAGTCACCAAAGGTATCACGTGAACTCACCATCGAACCTCGAAAGACCGGTATGAGGGTTGTCTTTCTGAACTCCGTTGCGCCTGATCGCATTCCTGTCTGGCTGCGATATCTCAGGCATCCATCGCAAGAACACAAGTGCGTTATGTGTACAGAGAGGCCTCCGGCCTGTCAATCCTTTGTGGGTGCTGAGCAACAGAAAGGTGAAGGTGTGCCTGTCACTGCTTGTCTTCGTACCACAATGTGTTCAATAAGCACTTGTATTCTAAGGGGCAAGCCGAGCCATCAGCTGCTCCAAGTCACTTGGGCACCATTAGCGAGAAATCGAAGCCACAAACGGCATGGTTTTCGAGATCTGTTCCCCATACTTGAAAGGTCTAACCACATATGGAAAGCTAGATTCAATCATCGTCCCGAGGCTTCGGCTAGACTCTCTTGTCCTCGAGTATGAACGAATCTAATTACCTTGATTGGTGAAATATCCAATCCCTTGCCTTCGCTTCGAGACTCTTATCTGGGGTCGTCGTGATCCTAGCGTATCGCGATGACCTTCGATATAGTATGCATAGCGTTCTCGGGATGTGTGTCTTCCGTGATGATGCTTGAAGTCTTTAGCTGCATGGCTTTTTTGAAAACATTTTCTGTCAATCTCTCTAACCTTTTCCATTCATCTATGCTCAGATCCGCGGCCATCGCTTGAGTACACGACAGAGATGCGGCTTCCGTATTCAAGAACAAAAGAGGCTGGTAAGGGACTAACAGAATCCTCGACCGCCAGCACGGGTCAAACGACGCCAACAGAGGTCGAATTAGCTCGCGCGAATGGAAGCGCGGACATCAACACAGACGCTGCCCGGGACGATCTTGCTCAGACAAACAGCGCTGGAAAGGACGTGGGCATTATACAGGACGAGAAAACTTCAGCCTTACAGCGAGTGAACACAAATGCGACAACATCCTCAGCTGGTGACGATGAAGACACAACGATGTACAAGACAGGCCTACCACTATACTTGCTCACCTTTGGACTTGCGCTAGCCACCTTCGTTGTGGCCCTTGACAATACCATCATTGCCACAGCGATACCGAGGATCACCACTGTTTTTGACAGTCTGAATGATGTTGGCTGGTACGGGTCGTCGTACTTACTCACCACCACGTCCTTACAGCCCAGTTTTGGCAAGATATACTCGTTCTTCAACATCAAATACACGTACATAGGAGCAGTCTTCATCTTTGAGGTCGGATCTGTGATATGTGGTGCTGCTGTGAACAGTCGCATGCTTATCGTCGGTCGTGCTGTGGCTGGAGTTGGTGCTGCTGCTCTGTTCAGTGGAGGGATGATCATTGTTGGTTATAGTGTGCCTCTTCACAGAAGGCCGATCTATATTGGCATGCTGAGCAGTATGTTTGGTAAGTGAATCCAGCTATCCAGGCGTGAATGTTTCTTCATTTGTGCTTGCAGCTACTGACCAGGTGTACCAGGCATTGCCTCTGTTATTGGCCCTTTGTTAGGTGGCGCGTTCACAGATCGAGTCAGTTGGAGATGGTGCTTCTACATCAACCTGCCTATCGGAGCTATTGCAATAATAGCTGTGTTCTTCTGCTTTCAGAACCCAGAGCGCAAGGAAAGCAAGCTAACCCTCAAGGAGAAGATTGCGCAGATCGATATTCTCGGAGCTTTGTTCCTGATTTCAGCTATTGTGTGCCTTCTGCTAGCACTCCAGGTGAGCCTTCACAATTCATATTCTCTCGGATGCTAATGATGTTCAGTGGGGTGGGTCCGTCTATCCATGGTCCGACTCGAAGGTCTGGGGCTCTCTCCTCGGCTTTGGACTTCTACTCATCATCTTCATCGGCATTCAGATCAAGCGAGGCGACATGGCAACTCTTCCACCTCGAATTGTCGTCAAGCAGCGGACAATCCTCGCTTCTGCACTATTTTCCACCTTTTTGGCAATGGCCCTGTACACACACATCTACTATCTTCCATTCTATTTTCAGGCGGTCAAGGGCACGTCCGCAGAAGGAAGTGGCATCAGAACCATACCTTACCTAGTCAGCAACACGCTCGCAGCCATCGTAGTAGGCGGTTCTGTGACGGTCATGGGTTACTACGTTCCCTTTTTGTGGGTCGGAAGCGCAATATTCACCATTGGCGCTGGCTTGATCTACACTTTAAAGGTCCAAAGTAGCGCAGGTATGTGGATCGGCTATCAAATTCTGGCAGGCGCAGGAGCAGGTGCATGTGTCCAAATTCCGTTCATTGCGGTTCAGGTTGTATTGAACAAAAAAGACATGCCGACTGGTAACGCGATCGCGATCTTCTTCAACAGCCTGGGTGGTGCACTGAGCATCAGCATCGCACAAAATATCTTCAGCAATGCTCTGGTCAGTGAGATACCGAAGCATGCCCCTAGTATGGACCCGCGGGTTGTTATAGCAGCTGGTGCGACACATATTCGACAGGTTACACCACCGGATGCATTGGCGGGAGTACTGCAGGCGTACAACAACGCACTTACACAGTCTTATATTCTGCCTATCGCCACGGCAGGACTAGCGTTTCTGTGCAGTTTCTTGTTCGAGTGGAAGAGTGTCAAGGGACAGAAGTTGGGCATGGCAGCGGCTGCTTAGAAAGATGGTTGATAGATCAGTGGAGAACAGTTTCAAAAACAAGAGAGTGTATTTAGACATTATACAGCTAGAGTACAACCGCAACCCAACTCCAACTCAATGCTCGCTTGCTAAATGACCAGGTCAACAAACTATTTCTAAAAGAGTGACTTCCCCATGGGCCAATTGTCTGACCAAGCTCAAGCAGTACAAGTAATCGCTCCAGTCTTCAGACTGACAGTCTCAAGCATATTTGGGTTACCAAACTTTGCATATGTCTTCTGAGCATTCAACTGTCCTAGCACGTTACCACCAACGGCTCCAACAATCGTGCAGGAAGGGTTATTTGCAAGGCCACCAACTAAGGAGGCGGAGCTAGCTGTGAAGGCGCCACCCTGAGTAATGCCAGTGTTGGCAAAGGCGCTGTTGATGAGGATAGTGACACCGTTGATGGGAATTTGAGCAGAGCCGTAAGCACCTGTCTGGTCGTTGGAAAGAGCAATGGTTGCGAAGGTGACGTCGCGCTCGGCGATGGAGGTTGATGGTGCTGCTAGGGAAGTGCTGAAGAGGGCAAGGAGGGTGGTTGCGATGACAGACTTCATTTTCGCTGAATGTATGGTTTACTGATTACTTGAGTGAGGATGTGTGGTATGAGTTTTGTTTAGGAATTAGCTGAGTGGTTGTTGCTTGCTGGATGGTTGTAATGGTTGATGGCTCTGATATCCTTTCAACCAGTCTTTGGGAGGACTATATACACTCCGTCGTCTGCCCATGATGCTATTCATAGTATTGTAAGATTCAGCTTGTTAGTTGATTGTCTTCCACAAACTCAACATTCGAATTCGCGATACTACCTCGAGCTGAATCCCCACTTTCGCGAAGTTTTCGGTTACCTTTTTCACAGTAGGCATTGCAAAGGCATTACGAATATGCCACAAGGGTGAATGAGTGAGATTTGCCTCACGGCTTCAAGCTGACTGTAGCGGATAAGAAAAGCTCGTGTAAGACTGCTGCGGCTGAGAGAGAGCTATCTTTGGGTGCTGACGGGAAGACTTTTTGTTCGGGTGTCACACTCTCAAAAGAGTAGCCATAAGCGAGCCCAGCTATTCATCAACTCCCACTACACGAGCAGCATTGCTTTTCTAGGCAGTGCTTATACAAGCGAGCTTGTCAGTGGTCACGTTCCTGACTGTTACCACTACTGCACCGTGTCAATAGCTCCAGACTCGATGAATTTCGTGTTTTACATGTACTATAAACCCCAGATTTTGCCTCCAAGAAGCACGTTTAATCGAACTAGCTGGACACTTTGGCCGAGTGGTTGTAAGTTGCTGCACTCACCGCTGTTTCGAACAGTTCCTAATAGTCTTTCAGAAGGCGTGTGACTAGAAACTTCTAGATCATCACATGGGTTCGCCCGCACAGGTTCAAGTCCTGTAGGTGTCGATTTGCTTTTTTGCACTCTATTGAGCTCTCGTTTTGCTTCTTCTGCTCTGTGCAGTGCAACAAGATGTGGGAGGGCACGAAACTTGCACCTTCCGTACGTATTTTGCATGTAGTCGCTATGGTGCTCCAATATTGTTTGCATCAAGCGGAGCACAAACATTGCTGAGCATGTGCACCTCGTGCAAGAGACTAGACTCGTAATATGTACGTGGTAGTCTTTCTCTAAGGTTCAAGTGCACGGACCACAGCCCGAAAAGTAATCAATCAAGCATCCGTACGTGATTCGAAGCTACATTCTTCACAAGCAGGTCGTTAGTAATCTTCACCTCAACCTCATCACACAATTGAGATTGACGGGCCTTCTTATTGTGGTTTCGGTGACGTGTTTCCATACAGTGTCACTATGACTCCCAGTACTGGATCAGGAATGCTTGTCAGCCTACCTTTAAGTATTTTATTCGATCGCTGAAAGTACCTACGACTTGACTGGTCGATCTTTCCAGACCTTGATGTTCGTGAATCAAGTGTGTTCGATGCTCATTCTGTCTGAATCTCGATCAGAGCACGTGCGATATGTCTGTCACGCTCATGCGATTCAAGGATGGTAAGCCTAAGCCTATCAAGCTATCTGTCTGGGACGCGTTCAAAGGTGTACCAATTCCGAAGCCACGACCACACAGGGTAAGTAATTGCTCTGAGAGATTGTTGCCAGATCCACTCTGGGACATCGAATTAGACTGAACTGAAGCTTGCACACGAAATTGTCAAGATCAGTCCCGGAGTTGTACCTTGGGTCCTGCTAATTATGCATAGTGTAGCTGCTGTAACCAGATTCACGCACTGACCAAGCACGAAGCCGAGGAAGCAAAGCCGCCAGAAGACGTACCTAAAGCTGAAGAGAAGAAGCCTGATCTTCCCGAGTTCACAATGGAGGAGGATGCCAAGATCAAAGAAATGAAGGCGGAAAATGCAACTTGGAACACGATTGCTGAGGCTATTGGCAATGGCAGGACGAAGAATGATATCAAAACGCGCTACAAGCAGCTCGAGTCCGGGGATGAGCCGAAGCCAGAGGACAAGAAGGACGATTCGAGGGTCAAGAAAGATGATGCCAAGGACAAGCAAGAAGAAGGCAAAATACTGACCAAGAAGGAGAAGGCAGCGAAGAATCGTGAACAAGGCCTCAAGAAGAAGCAAGAGGCGGCTAACGTGAAGGAGGCCGCTGACAAGGAGAAAGAAGCAGAGGAAAAGAAGGAGGAAGAAGAGAAGAAAGCTGATAGCAAGGAAGAGGCCAAACCAGAACCCACGCCAAAACAGACAAAGGTCCGTATAGACCTCGCTCCTACACGAAATACAACGGACTGCTAACTTAACCATAGCCCGCCGACGAAGCAAAAACAGAGGTCGTACCGGTCAACGCCAAACAGAAATGGATTGCAGCTGCCTCGAAGCACTTCGATCGCACTGGTCATCGCATCACACCCGAGCAAGCTCGAAAGATGGCGGAATCTTCCACATGAAGATGGACCTGAAACTCGTGCGGGGTATCGAATAGCATATCCCGTATAGCCTTTCAGGCTAAAGTGCATCGACCTCTTCAGCTGCCTCATTTGGCAAAAGAGCTTGAGTTGAATTTGCCTTGACGAATCCTGGTGTTGCGCTGTGTACCTGCAGGGTACTTGCAAAATCCATGCAAGATTCGGTGCATTGTGATCCTGGTCGCGCAGTAAGCTTTCACCAAGCTCGATGATCATTACAACTCTGTCCCGTAACCGATAAAGGTTGGCTTCTGCCGTTCAACGTTCTCTTAACGCAATCTGCACTATAAAACTTGTATCGTTACCAAAATGATCACCAAAGCTCTACTTGCATTGTCGCTAGTTACATCAGTCTTGACTTTCAGCGTCCCTAAGCGCCAATCATCAGTTTGGAATGTTGCAAACTTCAAGTCTTTGATTACATTTGGTGATAGTTACACAGACGAGAATCGATTGAGCTATATACTTGGAAATAACGGGACACTGCCAGCACCAGGCACATATTTTCCCGAAGGTCTGAACACAGCTTCTGGCGGCCGGACATGGCCTCGATTTACGGTTCAATATACTGGGACGACGACCAATGGCATTTGGATACCTCAAGTCGATTTATACGATTATGCAGTTTCCGGAGCTGTGTGTAGCAACAACATTACTCCTCGGTGAGCCAAAACCTCACATGCACTCTTCTAGTACTGATGATGCAGAAATGTTTCGGGACGTGACTTTTTGTTCCCAGCTGTCCTAGAATACGAAGTACCTGCCTTTCTCGCTGATCGAGGTACTGTTCGAAACGGCACAGCTCAGACATATTTCTCTACAGCACTATCCGCTTCTAATGCTGTCTACAGTCTTTGGATTGGCACAAATGATTTGGGTGTTGGCTTGTTCCTCACTGATGCTCAAATTCGCGGTTACACATTGACGGACTATGTCGAGTGTAACTTCCGTGTCTTCGACCAGCTCTACGCCTCTGGCGGCAGATATTTCGTCCTCTTCAATGACGCTCCACTACAGTTAGCACCTTTGTACGCGAACGACACACTGAACGGCACTGGCAGCAATCAATACTGGAATCCAAAGCCTGAGAATCACACAGCTATTGCCGAGAAAATGCATGAATATACGACTTCTGTCAACACAATGTTCCGCTATCAAGCACCATACGAGATGCTGATTGCTGGTAGATATCCTGATGCTCATTTCGCCGTCTTTAACGTCTGGCAATTACTCTCGGATATTTACGACAATCCGACGTCCTACTTGAATGGCAGTCACCCTGCGAATGTGACTGGTTATGAGAAACACTGCAACGTAAATGGTACTGCTTGTACGCTGATGTACGATGGTACAAGTTCTGACAGCTTCATGTGGTTTGATGAGCTCCATCCGAGGTAAGTGACAATATCTGGCGAGGTGAATGTCGATCCGCTGATCTCTCAAAGTGAACAAACAGACAGAATCATCGCCAGAACATTTGTCGATGTGCTGAACGGAAACTCGTCCTACGCTAACTATTATTGAGGACGAGCTAGAACCTGTAAAGATTGAACAAAGACGTGCTGGTATATTGTTCAATGATTGAGCTTTCGTACTGCCTTGTATCGTTTCTATGCTCAGCCTATATTTGAAGCATCACCACATAATCTCGTGTTTGAATAGAGTTCTGAAGGTGGAACCATAGCATGTTCCTAAATCGTCATGTATTGCAGGTACCACATCATCCAGTGACATCACTACCACTTCAAGCACGTGCTCTGGTATATGAAAAAAAGATTCAGGTCGATATATGCCAGACTGCTTTAAAATCACGATTCTCAAGAAACAAAACAGACCAACCAAACTACCCCACTAGACTCACAGACATGAACTCCCACTCCAAGACCCCAGGCGGCGCAGGAGCCAGCGACAAGTTCAAGAAGCAACAAGCTGAGAGTGAGTTATCCTCGCCTCCCAGCCTCACACGCAACACCAGTATACATTCGCAACAGCAATACTAACACACGTCTTCAGAACACGGTCTCGGCGCCGACAATGCACCAGGCCACAAGGATGCCGCCGCGCCAGGCGAGGCACCTGTAGCTGGTGATTCTTACGTTTCAACGGTTGGAATCGATAATGGCACCAATCAGCCTGGTGAAAAGGGCAATGTTGGACAGCCGGTGGGTCATATGGGGAGCGAGACGATTAATCAGGGGAATCAGAAGTGAGCTGTTTATCTGAATGGGGAATGGCGAGCGAAGGCTGGATTAAGGACACCTGAGAAGGTGTCTTGCAAACCAAGGCTGGGCCTAGCAATGCTTGCAAGCGTGGATTGAGCGTCACCACAACGATGCATAGTGGCTGATCCTCGGTGATTAGACGAGAGACGGTGTGTTGGGGCTCTACATCTACAACAATAAGGATCTGTGCTCTAGGCATCTCGAGATTTGCTGGCCTAAGACACACGACGATGGTCAACGGAGAGAAGGCATCGTGTTGCTATACAGAGGAAACAGTAGGCAGTAATATTAATAATACTATCTACTTGGACCAGGCAATGGATCTATCCATGTGCCGTTCGCATACCAAGTTCCAGGCTTTGTGTAATCGCCATACCACGTCCCACCTAGAGGTTTTGTGCCCGTGAAGGCAAAGCGAAAGAAAGCGGGATCTTCTTGGTTGGTTCTTGTCCAGTTGAAAGAGGACGCTAGAGAAGTGCCGGATGCCTGGTAGCGTTCGACATCGTTGATCAGGATACTAAGGCCGTCAAAGCCAGCTGCTAATGTGGGCATGGTGAAGCGAATGCTATGAGCACCCATTATAGGTGCAAGCATGCTGGGTAGAGCACTTCCAAGCTGGCCATCTCCCCGGAGAGCGTCTGCTGTCTGTAGAATACTGGCATAGCCCCATCTGGCCACACCATTGATGAAGAGTCCGACTAAGATACCCTGGTACAGCAAGCTTGGTCTGGTCTGAAGTGATGTGCCTGGGAGCAGCAATAAGGCGATGATGTAGTGGTGAAGTCGGAGCTGAAGTCCAGGCACGAGGGCTAAACAAGCAAGTGTAAGACCAATTGCGAGGTAGAAGGCCAAGTAGTATGGCAACCTTCCCTCAACACGGAAGGCCCAGGCTTGCCCAATTGCTGCAGCTAGTATGACAAATATGATAACAAGCAGAGCCAATATGGCGCCGGGTTGCTGTTGTAGGTCATGCGGTGTCAACCGTGAAATAGGTATGTTGTCGAAGGTGTAGTTGTTCAAGGCGCCGATCCAGCAGCCACCCAACCAAAGGACAGTTTTCTCCAAAGAAGTCCCGATCCCTTCCAATGTGTATTGCACACAATACTTGTAAAGCAGGGACGCCACGAAGATTGTAGGCAGAAAACGCTCAAAAGCAACCGAGATAACGCTATAGAAGTCGGGAAAGAAAGGAGGATCACTCGCAAGCGCGACTTGAAAGAAAGTTATCGCGAAGGTTGAAGCAAAGAAGATGGTGGATGAGTGTGTTAACGTAGATATTATGGCGGTGAAGAATACCGAAATCAACAGAAGGCGCCATTGGGGATCCGTGCAAGTGGTACTGGCAGGTGCCACTGAGAAAGTGAGTGGGAAGCTTGCTGGCACTCCGATGCTGGAAATGCCGTTGTGGTCAGATGAGACAAAGTGATGTTGTTCCCCCGTACGAGACAGAACTCCACAGCCGCCATCACGATTGCTGATGATACCTGCGTGAATGGCTGCAGCACAGATAAAAGAGTCTCCTCGATAGACTAGTCTATCTTCGTCAGTTGATGTCGGTCCGCCAATCACCATACTGCGGTATATGATCTCTTCGCCACCAATTGTATGAGGCTCTAGGACTTGTACGGAAGCGCAATGCGACGGACAAGCAAACGTAAAGGAAGAGTCTTGGAAAGGCTGACAACGATTGCCATCCAGGCCACAAAATGTTGCATTTGGCCACAGTCTTGTTTCGCAAGCGAGTCGGACAGGCTGTACTGCAGAGTCCGGTCGAATAGAAACTGCCAGTACTATGCTAAAGACCACCATCCAGCAGGCGAGGCAGCACGCAATCGCCAATACCAGCGAATTACCAGGTAGCCAAGTGCACAGTTTGCGTTGAACCCAATCTTGCAGCTTAGGGAACACAGGTTGGAATGTGTATCGATGTGGATGTGGGGAACCGAATAACCAGTTGACCAACTCTGAATATCTCGAGTTTTTCAAAGCACCTTCTATACGCTTTCTCCTAACGTTTGACGATCTTTCAAGCCATTTCGGGCCTTGTCCAGGTCTTTCCAGCTGAATATAATTGTCGGAGTTTTGAGGTTCTCGGTATCCAACAGGAGAGTTCGAACGTGTAGAGCGCGTCGAGAGCGAAGGCGAGAGATCCATATATGCCTCGGCGTCGTCAGTCAGGACGTGATTTTGATGTTTCGACATGCCATGTACTGATTGCATTCGCTCCGCCAATGCCACTCTTGGGTCGTTCGCTGACATCTCTGCACCACGTCGCAAGACTCAATATTGTACCAGCGGTCGAAAGTTCCGCATCATACTTGTGATATTTTCGGGTTTGTGATTCCCATTCTCGAGTTAAAGACATGGTTGAGCAGATCGTTTTGCGACGTGGACAACAAGCCGAAAACTACGCATGCAAGTTTCTGGGATAAGTGGCCCGGCCCCTGACGGCCTGGCTTAGTGTTGCCTTTAGCTCTGAGTTTCGGAAGTCGGACGCGTATAGTGCGCGCTTAGACAGCCAATCGCCGGATCTTTGTCTACTACCTGAACATGCCTGCCTAGAGTACTGGATCATTCTTTTTCTCCCACAACTACTATGCCAACCTTTGATCGTACAAGCATCAACAAAAATTTGGAACTGTTTCATACCGGTCACCCTTCAAAATATTGTCGAAGCTCATAATCCTGTATCCGGTAGTTGAGGTCTAGCAACCCTGCTTAACGGAACAGCATGGCATGGCTGGCTCACCACTACTACAGCCCCTTGTCCAAGGACAGGGGTCAGGTGTCTACGATGAAGGCACAAACGCCAGCGCTTATCAGAGTTCTAATTCTGGAACTAGCAAGTTGACGACTTTCTTAGTCGTGAAAGCCTCATCCTCATAGCCTACCATCGCCGAAACAGCGAGCTAGCAACCTAGTCTCATCAATGCCTTCTAGCGACGATGGAACTGTGGCGTCTATTGCCATTGTGCAATTCTACACCTTACAGAGTGAGTCCTTCCTGAGAACCTTTCAAATCATAACAATATCTTGGGTGAGAAGATTTTCTTTAGTTGTTGATCGATACGTGTGAGTTTATCACCAGGATTTGAAGTTCTAGAGGTGCACTATGAAGCTCTGGCCATGGACATTTCCTGGCCGCGCATCGACTTTTTGGGCAAAGCGAAACCCATTTCTTCGTTCCCTCGGATTCGAGCTTCCTTTTATCTTCGGTATTGCAACAAACACTGAAGAGAAGCCGAAAGAGATTATCCAACCTTCTCGGCCTCTAGCGATAGCAAGGTGCAGTATCCATGTTCTCCCAATCTGTGTCTCTGTTACCATTCTCGTTTTGAACTTCGGTAATTCTTATCTGGGTAGGGGTCTGCCGGGCAGTATCATTGATCCCTCAATCAACATTGCACTTCTGCAGGTGGCTGCAAAAATACAGGAGCTCTTGATCGTCGCTAGCGTAACGACAATTGTCATGCATGTTTTGAGGTCCGAGCTTGTCCATGGTGAAGGCTTGCCACTAGGACTTCTTGCTGGTGGCTTTCTGTACTCTAGCCTGAGTTACTTCTGGTCGCCAGAATTTTGGGGCTCCTTCTATAGTAAGGCGCCATGGATCACACATCTTCGAGTGTATGGCATTATCGTGCTTGGCGGTCTGATTGCAGTATTCGCAGGACCCAGCACGGCTATTCTACTTGTCCCTCGAGAACAACCATGGCCCGCAGGAGGAACCACAATCTACTTGCCTGGACCTGCCGACCATTGGTGGCCGACATATATCAACAATACCAAACTCGCTTTGCTAGATGGTTGCGCACACAGCAATTCCTCTGGCCATCCTTTATGCCCAAAGGCTGCATTCCCCGCAATCTGGGGTTCTAGAAACTCGATTGATATTCTGGACAACCGGGGTTTTGCTCCCGGCACATACCAAAACCTGACGACATCGTTTTCCTTCGGTCCTTCTACAGTTGATTTGCCTAGTAACCTCGATTTGTTACCCAATTTACGCTATCATGGCACTCATAGAGGTTATGCTTGCGAGACTTCCATGTGGGGTCCACGCGCGGCTGAAGCGGTATACGGGGCGCAGCTGAAGCAGGACTGGATTGACGAAGCTTTCGCTCTACCCTATAACATCATCAGGTATGGGCCTAGTCTCACTCAATACAAGTATTTCGGCTCGATGGAGGTCAAGACAACCTCTCGCATTCCTACCGTACGCGCCGCTTGTAGTGCTTCACAGATACTGTCGACCTCCGAAAATAGTGTTCTCTTCCCAGTCCTACCACAAGATACATGCTGGACCTCAGCCAATGTATCGTCAGTGGTAACAGATCAGCTGAATCCAACCACTACAGATCGAGTACGTACTACGTGGGTGTCACTGCCACAGAACCTTGGCTCAGTCAGTGGAGGAATAGTGGTGGAGATACCTTCTGCAGATGAACATGCGAGAGTGGTGGTTGGATGCACACTAGACGCTCGCTGGACGGAGGGCAAGATAATCACTTATCACCTTGAAGATGCTAGTAGTCTTGAGAAGGTCGCCAAACAGATACTGATAACTACGTCTTTACTTGAAGAGCCTGTAAGCGCCAGTGGGAGAGTACCAGGGTACAGCGATTTCTCGCCCGTCACTTCGAGCCCTTCAACGAAGATTACTTTCGACAAGTCCTGGCTGGAAGCCCTCACGCCAATTTTGCCCTTGGAGAGCTCGACCGGCTCTACTCATAACTTGACAACACTAGAAAGCATCTTGAGTGACCTGAACTTCGTCAGTGTAAACACTCCAACTGCACAGGAGCAAGGCAAGCTGTGGGACGGGGTACGAACAGATGTGGTAAACAGAACCGTTGCTCTCGAATGGTGGCTCGCACTTCTAGTCACGGACGGCTTAGCACGCTTGGGTATTAATGAAGTCCTCAATACGACGGGATCACAGGCAGCTTGGAGTTTGTTGAATTACGTAAAAGCTGATGATTTTCGGAACAAGCTCTTCAAAGGCAGACCTGCCCTAATGCAGCCAAATGCACAAACAGTGATTCAGAGGCGGGTAAGTCTTACCATCGGTGGCTATTCCTACAAAGCTAGCTCGATCACGGACTACGCATCAGCGGTCCTGCTTCTTACGCATATGCTACTGGCCTTGGCCCACAGCCTTTACATTGGCTGGTGGACAGGTCGATCTTCGAGCTCCTGGGACTCGTTAACAGAGCTGATGGTCCTCATGCAGAACTCAACACCAGCAACAAAAGTGCTCCAAAACACAAACGCAGGCATTTCGGAGCTGAGAACATACTCCAGAAAAGCCAAAGCATATGCTGTACGAGACATCTCTGACCTCATGGGCGAGGCTACCGTGGAGCTCTCGTTCGACGATGCTAGGACCACTCGAGTTGAAGATATTGACGCCATTTGCTGCTATGGACGTTCTACCCACGATCAGAGGCCAAATTCTGTAAGTAGCGTCAATTCCAAGAGTCCACTCTTGCTGGATACAGAATTTGTCACATTGCATCAAAGTACGTTCCCGATGCATGGAAACCATAGTGCACATAGCACAACCCCACGTCGTCGTCGTATGTACGAGCGTATTCTGCCGGACGTCAAGTATCGTTGAAAATACTCGTTGAAATATGCATAGATTCATTTTTGAGCTTAAGCCTCAAATTCTGTGATAGGTAGTAGCAACAAGACTCAGTACTAGCAGCAATTGTTGTGGTTAGCGCTTTCACCAGCATGACCATATTCCTCAAGAATGTCACCCGCAACCAGCTTGATGCTTCTTGTTTCGTCATCATCCTTGTTCCATATAATGAGACAAAAGTGTGCTGAAGTACTACTTGAGAGAACAGTATCAATTCAGTTCTGCTGCTGCTCCATAGCAGCCATCTCAAGTGCGCAAGGATCACTCTCATCTCCAACGAAATGAATCGAGAACTTCTTGTTGGTGATGAACAGAAATGTCACATCCTGGTCTGTGGTCGCGCCATGGTACATAACGCCGCCCTCAGGAAACCATACGAAACTGCCAGGTCCATATTGACCTTGATGCGTGTCGAGGACGCCATCAAGCACATAGAAGCCATGTCCACAGAAGTGGGAATGCCAAGGGTTAGTGAAGCCAGCGCGATAGACCATTTTGAGGACCATCATACCAGTCTCGGCGTCGTTGTGCAGCATATTGTGTTCGAGCTGAGCATTGATGTATGGTACTGGGAAAAGATCCCATCCGACCTTGTTAGTGTCGACGACGGTCAGGTCGACAGGCTTGGCAACGGTCATGTCGTTGATTCTGGTTGTATGGAGGACATTGACACATCGAAGCATGCTCTGAGCCGGAAGGAGACGCCATATTTATAGGCATAGACCTTGGAGATATCTTTGCAGTACTAAGTTTCCGCTAGGAAGTGGTGCTGGGCTGAAGTGAGGAGAGATAAGTAGCTAGGTCACAACAAATCATTCATCTTATTATTCATGCATCTCTGGCAGGTCAATGCGACAGCCTCTCACATACGAGACTGTGGCAATCGCTGCGACCATCCTCGATAGTCAGGCTGACTGTGATTTACGACATTATCATAGTGTAGAGAAGGACTATGTGTATACTGTTCAGCAGACTGCAGTGGTTCTCCAACCTCGGGTCACTTCCTCCATTAGCTCATAGGCGGAACGATGGCACCAGCACCTCAAGCTTCCTCGATCGCTGAAGGACTAACAGTAAGCGTGGCCAGTCTTCTTTTCTAGAGAGAGCACCTGATCGACTGCCTCATCTTTCACAAGCGAGCTTTACACACGTGCTAATACCGTGATCCACCCTGCTCCACCTTCACACTGAATCAGAACGAACCATGCCTACATGACAAACACCACGATCACACCAACATCGGACCAGGACCTTTTTCACAACTGCTGGAGGCTAGTCAGCTGTGAAGCCTGTCTCTCCACATCCTACTCATGTTCGTGGTGCGCAACGTCGCAAGTGTGCGTTCCAAATAAACACTTTCGATATCCGTTCGCTTTACTAGCGCCTATCAAACATGAAGATATCTGTCCGCTTGGCTGGCGCGAACGATGGGAAATGCGAGCAAAACCGTTCTCATGTCGATGCTCAACAATGACGTTGATGAGTATTGTCGTCGCGGTGCTATCGACGCTTGTTGGAGTTTTGCTGATACATCTGGCTGTATTGTTGAGCAAGTTCACGTATAGAAAGTGGAAGGCTAGGAAAGAGGGTTGGTGGCGAGTCTCGCGATGGTGGACTTTGCGAGATGCTGTGCCTGCTTGGTTTAGTCGAAGTCAGAAGTCGCAGTCTCTGCCTGATGAAGAACAACGACCATTGCTAGCTCCTCCTTGAATTCTCTGTCAACACCGAAAGAGTACCGTAGAAACTTGATCACATGTAAAGCACCTTGGAACAACACTTGAAGTATAGCAATATTAGCAACGACTACAATGCAAGAATCAAGAAAATAACACAAATTCAATTCGTACTTCAAACATATTCATTGTTCTCTTCATATTCTAGAAGTGTAAGGTCAACAGGGTCAGCTGTCAGCGCCAAAGCTACGGCTGCAAGGCAGTAGCCAACGACCACAACTAGAATCAGCATCAGCATGTATTTGCTCGGCTATGGCTCCGGGCCAAATCTTTTCTCAAAGTGCTTCGTGCTATAGTCCAGCTATAACAAACGTAACGTCCTCTTTGTATCTTGTGGAAATGTTTGGAGTACTTTCTATAAGTGCTTGTGCTTTGTCTCTGTAGTCGTCTGTTAGAAGTCAAGCAGGATGAATGGGAAGTCTTCGATATATTGAATCAACAGCAGATGGTGGCTTTGTTCTTAAGACGACTTTGTTAGCGAAAGAATGCTGGAAGGCAGGTGAATAATGCAGTCTTTGTCAAACGGCAAGGTTGAACAATGCAGGCACGATGTTGCTCTGTCTAGACGACGATGACAATTGTAGACCATTATGCTCAGGCTTAAACTGCTGCTTGCATAGCAAGAAGACGCCACGATGAGAGTGCAGAGCATGGCGTATTGCTTATAGAGCTTCTGCGTTATGATGTGGCTCATCCGTCCAGCTTGCTGAATTCTCACCCATGCTTGTTTGACATACTCGTTGGATTAGCTCCGTGCATGAAGTGCTGATTGCATTTCTTGGTTCGTACCGGATGGGTCTCGAGGTAGACGTTCACGGGTGTAGTTCGTGGTCGGCAAACAACGTAAAATAATGCTGCGGATCGGCGTTCGAGAGAATGGCGGTTAGTGCTTCTGCTGCTCAGTCAGATCAAAGTCAGATGCAACGCAGCTTCAACGTTGAAAAGAAGGAGGTTTCGGCGAACGTGTAATCTTTGAAATTCTCGTCACTGTCCCACGTCTGGCTCCCTCAAGGTTGAGATGTCGATCAATGCTAGGCCATGGCATAATATTCTGAAACAGCCAGGCCACTGTTTATCAATCACAAGCCGTCCGTACGGCAAAGAGAAACCCTCGGCGTCGTTGTTTGACTCAACGTCCTGGACCTAGTCGATGCCTATCCATGGCCCTTCGTGGCATATTGTATTGCAGACACCTCAACACACCAGTATACACAGTACATCCCTGCGACTTGGATAGAAACTCATCTCTTCTAAAGACATGAAAGTCTATTCGTCAAGGATGTTGCCCCGCTCGCTCACGTATAGACCGTCCAAGAACTTTCGAATATCCTTGTTCCTCACTCGGCATATTTGCTGGATATCGGCCGCGGATTGTGATACCCCCTCCAGAGAGTTACCGGTCAACTCTATCTGATCCTTGACACCTTTCGATGGCTCGACGGTTACACCCTCTTGCATTTTGACATGTCGAACGAGCTTCTCGCCCAAGAAGTTTCTATCGCAATAAATTAGCCAGTGTCCCCTGTTTTGCTACTATGTCCTTCACAGGCGCTTATTTTTGCGTATTTGGATGGGCATACCTGATCTCGACCATCTGTACACCATCGTCGCCCTTCTCAATGTTGACGTTGATTGGAAAGTGAGCATAGACGTATCTCATCTTGTATTTGTAGCCTCTCGTTACACCGGTGATCAGGTTGTCGATGATTGACTTTACTGTGCGTAGGGTGGCAACGTTCTTTCGGGAGCCGTGGTGAATCTCAATCTTGATGAGTTGCTTGCCATCCTTGTCCTTCTTTTCGGGGAGAGAGAAAGTGACTGCGATATGCGAAAGATCTTTCGTGAGCTTGCCTGCATCGCCATAAAGTCAGCAAGCGAATTCTAGTCGTCCATATCCAACTCTTGTGCCCGTTTTGGTCCGATAAGTTCGTGCCTCAACGGGTCTTCAATAGTCTTTGGGGGTGTGCGCACCTCTTGGTCCTTCGACTGAGACAATTCGTGATCTGATATGAACCTTGACGTCCTGTGGTACAGCGACCGTCTCCTCGGAGAACAGATACTTCATTTTGTGCGGTCGTGGAGGGCGTCGTAAGTAGAAAGCTGCTCAAAGAGTATCGTCGTCGCAAAAGTTGTGCAGACTTCGATGTGGTTGGAGCATCATTGGGCCGACTGTGTGAATCTTGGCGAACCGCCTAAACTTGCCTTTCGCCTTGGCATGCTATGCCAAACCGTAGTGCATACCCTCGCGCCAAGGAGGTAATCATGCATGCACTACGTTTAAGGAGTCTATAATAGCCGCTCTGGTGCAAAAAGTCCCCAAAACCAAATACACGCTTTATTGGGTATCATAACGTTGACTATCATATCTCATAAATCCATTCCGTCACGACATTCTGGCCTGACTTGACTGCACAAACCTCGCAAAGCTCTTATCAGTCTCGTTCATCTGCAATCCTTGCTTCTTCAAAGTGTCAGCATACCTCTGCTGTAATGCCTCATCACTATCAGGTCGCACGTCCGGGTACTGATCTGGATCTCTCGCGTCTTCAGGGTCGATTTCATCCTCATCATCGTCCTCGTTACCATTTTCTGTTTTTGATTTACCTTCCATCCTCATTTCAGACATGACTCTCGCCAAGTCCTCTGATTTCTTGTCTTGTCGTTCCTTCATACGTTCTTGTTGGCGCCTCTCGAGTTCGGGCTTATAGTCTCTGGTAAACTCCTCTGCTTTGCGTTCGACAGCATCAAAAAACTCATCGATACCGTCACCGGTCATACTCGACACAGCCACCATCTCCAAGTGGGAATAAAACTCCTCAAGCATTAGACTCATGCTGTTCAATAGACTAGACATATATCCGCTGCCACCACCGTGACCCTCTCCACCAAAGACACCTTTCTCTTGTTCCTCTTGTAGTGCCTCCTGAAATTTCTCAAAGTCCGTCATCCAGTCTCGGGCAAAATCCGCATCTTGCACGTCTGTTTTGTTAAACACCAGAATCATAGGCAACTTCGTCTTGTATAGAATTGAGCAAGCATAGAGCATATTGGACATGAAAGTCGAGCAGGAATGTGTCCTTGGGGTGTCTATGATATATGCGATGACTGTAGGAAACGAGGACGCCAAGGATTCAAGTAGAATACTGCCTGATGCTGACCAGACGAAGACTTCAATTTGGCCTGGTGTGTCGACGAGAAAGTGCTCAGGTGGTACTGCCTTTGAAGACGGATCTGGGTTTGATCTTTTCTCAAGCAGACTAATGATTTGGTCAATCTTGGTTGCAAATAGATTCAGAGATGTTAGGATGCCACCATTTGGGCCGAGATTGTATTGCTTCATGACTTCTTTGTAGTTTATGCTATCGCGAATGTCTATGTTGGCTTCGAAAGGAACATTGAGGACAGCTGGGTCTAGATTCAGGACATAAGGCTTTTTCTTGTTGATGTGTAGGTAGTTATTGATTCGCTGCATAAATGCCGTCTTTCCTGAACCAGCCATGCCGACGCACACCACAGCTGTTGGATTGTGCGCCATCTTGACCACAGTATGCTTGTTTGCGGTGCTTTTGGAAGAGGTGTGGTCGAAATGTGGTAAAGAATAAAAGTTGTGCCCGTCGAGGAAATTATGGAAGTCGCGACACGAGACTCGTGCCTGCCAAATGGCGAAGAGTGACGCAATTTCTGGAGTTTCGAGGATGCGATTTATGCTAGCGACCGACACAACTTTCTATGCTACAACGCAACAATGCCGTGGGAGGATGGTCTAGATGAGTTTGAGAAGCAGTTGGCTACAGAGAAAGAGCAGCGAGAAGAGAAAGGTGCACGGAAACGCCATTCACACCGCGATAAAGACGAGCGACGACATCACCACCACCATCATCACCACAAGTCTCACCGAGACCGAGACCAAGATCGAGATGAACATAGGTCAAAGCGTAGAAGGCAGAGCAGCGATGATTATGAGAGAAGAGAAAAATATTCACATAGACAGAACGCAACAGTGACCAACAATGAGCCGCCCACGGACATTGACGATGCCCGACCAGATCTACGTGGTGTTAGGCGTGATGCCTGGATGGAGGGACCTGATTCTATCGATGTTGACTATGTGCAAAAGAAGCGAAAGGAACCTTCTCCACCACGACAGGGTTCGCTAAGTCAAGACTTCGAGATGAGGATACATAAGAACGAACTGAACCACCATCTCAGAGACCTGCAGAATGGCCAGGCTCTTGATGATATAGAGAATGAAGAAGCACAGCACCAGGTCGATTACACGTTTGGCGATGCTAGCTCAAACTGGCGCATGACTAAGCTCAAGGCAGTATACAGGCAGGCTGAAGTGCAAGATCGCAAGGTCGAAGATATAGCCATAGAACGGTATGGTAATCTACGTGAGTTTGATGACGCACGAGAAGAGGAGATTGAGCTCGAAAGACGGGATAGACTAGGTAAGGACTATGTTGGTAAGAGCAAGCCAAGTGGTGAGCTCTTCCAGGAGCGTAAGCTCAATTCGGGGGTCAGGCGCTCGAACCAACCACGAGCAGATGCAGGCAGTGACGACGAGTTCGACACCATCCTTAACAATGTTTCTGTACCAGCACCAGTTGCCCCTTTTCCGCCCAAGCTTGATCAAACTCACATCAACAAACTCAAAGCTCAGCTGATGAAGGCCGAGCTCCGGAAAGATCCAAATGTGGAAGAATTGCGCAAACAGTATGATGCGGCTGTCGCTAGCAGCTCATCTTCGGACCCGACTGTAGTTCAGCTGTCAGCAATGGACTCTCGCATGCTCTCATCTGCGCCTCGTAACGAGACCAAATCTGCTACAAAGCGTCGAGATCAGGAACGCGGAAACGTTGAAGAGAACGAGGACATGACCATCGAGGATATGGTAGCTGAAGAACGACGGACCAAAACACAGGCTGGAGGTGAAGCTCAACGCTTTGCGGAGCGCATCGCCAAAGACGCTAAGTTTGACAACGACCTAGAATATATGGACGAAAACGCTACGAAACTTGCAAAACGTGTGCACAAGTCAGATATGAATCTCCGCAATATGGCCATCAGTGATTACCAGAAACTGAATCGCATTCTCGAGACTTGTCCGTTGTGCCATCACGAAGACAACCCTTCTCAGCCTGAGCCTGTAGCTCCCGTAGTCAGCCTTGCGACACGTACCTATCTGACTCTGCCGACCAAACCAGAGCTAGCACCTTACAGTACCATGATAGTACCACTTCAACACCATACTAATTTACTCGAATGTGACGACGATGAGTGGGAAGAAATCAGGAACTTCATGAAAAGTCTGATTAGGTTCTATCACTCCAGAGACAGCGATGTGATCTTCTACGAGAATGCTGCCTTTCCAAATCGACGGCCCCATGCTGCCCTCGTCGCAGTACCGCTGCCTCAGAGTGTAGGTGAGACTTCACCAGCCTTCTTCAAGGAGGCCTTCCTGTCCACGGAATCAGAATGGTCACAACACAAGAAGATTATCGATACGTTGGCGAAAGCCAAGTCAGGACACGGCAGGGCTGCGTTCAGAAAGACTCTAGCCAAGGAGATGCCATATTTTCATGTCTGGTTCGAGATGGATGGCGGCCTTGGACACGTAGTGGAAGATCCAGACAAGTGGCCTCGCGGAGATCTATTTGCCAGGGAAGTGATTGGTGGTATGCTTGGATTGGAGACCGAGACCATCAAGAAGCAAGGTAGGTGGCATCGTGGCGCTGAACGCGACAGGGTTGAAAGCTTCAGGAAGAGATGGAGGCAATTCGACTGGACAAGAGTGCTTGTCGAAGGTCAGACTTGAGCAAAGTACTCATCGTTTGATCATACCCAGCAACTCGGACATAGTTGCAGCCACTTAGTGACCAACAGCACCTGTCTCAATGAGGCTCGCTTTGTCTTCAGACAAGCATCTTGTGCAGTTTTCTTTGTGTCACTAGGACGAAGCATATCTTCGTGTTGTTTACACATGCAGACAGTCGCATCGTACGTGTTCACAAACAAAGTTGGTTCTTTCACTATTCGAAGAAGCCTGTTACGCCTTCATCCCTGGAGTACGTATATATGATACTCAATAAAAGACCGGAACTGCATAATAGATAACCAAGTCTTTACCGAATCACGAAGCATGCACGATACAATGTCAGTACCCGATACAACAGCGGCCACAGAGATCGCCAGTATCCCACCAAAACACACGAAGTCTGTTCGCTTTGCAAAGAAGGTGCAAGTTAACATTGTGAGCTTTGAGGATGAGAGCTTGCAAGAAGCATATGAAGATACCATCCAAGATACCCTCCAAGATACCCCAGCATCAGCAGCGACCCGGGGACCTGCGCAAGAACAAAAGGACGCTCCACAAACGTCACCTTGGAGCTTGATAAATCTCACTGGCTTTACGATAGGACATCTGAATCCCATCCAAACAGTAAAACAAATGGAAAAACAGAAGAAGCTCGATGAAGAGTTCAAGCAGAGCTTACCTTGGATTCAAGAGACCCTCACCCAATTCACGATCGAGGTATTGAGCACTGAAGGGAAATCCGTCCGCCAAGGCTGCTCGTCCGAGTATGAAGCCATGTTCGACCACGGGATGCGGAGTATGTCGTTTCTTGTTAAGAATAGTCGGCAAGAGAAATGCTCTCTGCTTGGAATCATGTTGCATTATGCGAAGAGGATCATAGTGTTGGATGCATCTAACTTCAAGGAAGTAGAGATCCTGAACGATGAGCTGGACTTTGCTGAGATGCTGAGTGTGACGGGGCTCAAGATGAAGCCGCCGAACCATGGCAAAAGCATGAGTAAGCCGGATCTGGATCTGATGAAGAAGAGCTGGAAGAAGGCTGAAACTCAGTGGTGGTCAATGGAGGATTGGGAGGACCAGAAAGCGGCGAAGGCAGCATCTGTTTCGCAGAACGAAGAATCAATGTAAATATTTGTAATCAAAGTTCGTCTAGAAATGGGTTCTTGTTCTCATCAGTAGTGTTGCATGAATTATAATATAAATTTATACACGTAGAGTGGTTTTAGTCGTGCAAGACATTCAGGCCGTCACAGTACGTGATCGCCCTTGCGAGGCACAGATGTTGACGACAACCTTGACAGATGTCGACACAAACATACCAGCTCCGCAAAAGTCCGAGCACACAGAAATAGTAAGAATGGTGCAACTTCATGAGGAAAGAATACAGGGTGAAGGTTGATCAGCTTCCGGGCATCGTAAGCCGATCAAGCACCTAACCGCGTCGGATCGACCGCTAAAAGAAGGTTAACGGGCCTTAGGAGTCCAATAGCCGACGTAGCACCTGTATCATTGGTAACTGTATCATCCTCAGGTTTCAGCCTTTGGCATGATTCTATACATATCTTAAGCATTACAAACATGTCGTCGAAGTCGCAACCATCACAGAAGATCCCCAGACATGCTGGGGGTGCCTTCAATCCACGTGTGAGTTGACTTTCTAGCTGTGACGACTCCAGAAATGGCTGACCTGCTCAGAAAGCGACGGCACCTATTGCGGCTGCCGCCATGGCACTTATTCTGTATGCCTATTCCGTGACTTCTATCAGAGCAGCCAAACGAAATGCACAGCTACATCGCGAAGCAGACGGAGGACAAGTTGATATGAGGAAGGAAAGTCTGCGACGACATGGTGTGCTCGACAAAATTGAAGGCACAAGTGACTTCGAGCTCTTTCGCAATGCTCGCCGCGAGCACAAAGAAGAAACTGAGCATACTGGAGCGAACCAGGCTAACGCTCCACATCTTTTGGGACCACGAGAGGAATTGGGCACTACCCGAACAGATGTCGAGAGTGGGTTGGAAGAGCATAAGAGTCTCGGAAATGCTTTCAAGAAATTTCAGCAGAAGAAGTCGGAATGAAACAGGGGTGACCAGAAATATGCTTCTTTCCATCCAACGCGATTGTCCTTGGCCTAGAATCATCGAGGACCCGATATAGAGACATGGTCTTCAGAAGACCGAAGCACCCGAGACATTCCTCTTCAAGTCTCATACAATTTCGGTGGAAGCCTTGCTTGTGTGTACTGAGCCCATTACGGAGATGGAACTGCTTCGGGATTTGGCTGACTGCCAGTCATTTGGTCATTGACAAAGAAATATGTCTTGCTTCTGTTTAAATCAAGGCTTATTTGCCTAATGAGACTCTTCAGTCTAAAGAAGCTCGCTAGACACACATAAGAAATGGAGAAGAACCATAATCAACAACGGCATCCAAGCGAAAAGAAGACTACAAGAAGCATCTAGACGTCCATATAAGCACCGAGACAATACAAAAGATGTCCGACAAGCACAATGCCTTACAGAGAAGCTTCCACCTACGACAGTTCCACAGTCCACCGCAAAATCTGTACTATGGTCAAGGCCTTCGGCATGTTCGCAACATTGCATCACACAACAGAAGTCGGCCTGCTTCCAACGGATCAGCTGGCCTAAGGGAGGGAGATCTCATCGAATTACAGTTTGGCCGCTCTCGCGACTATCACTACCTTCCGCCAGCACGTCCGCCAATTGTGCAAGCCCACAGATCGGCCACTTAGCCGTGTTATTATGCTGTACAGACACGGGATTGCATTTTGGGGAGTTGCAAGGATGTGAGGACGGAGCGGCGGTGAATTGCTTGTGTACCAATGTCTCCAAAGAGGAGGAGTAGTGAAGTACGCGAAAGACGAAGATGGTTGACTTTACTCAATCCACAGCAGAACAGGATGTTTGAGGACAACGACTGGTTCGTTCCCATATGAGCTGACGATGCTTGCCTGACTGCGATTCGGTCGGCCTCAATCAAGACTTGGTCGTGAAAAGAACTTGAGGTTATATGCTTGTCTTCCCACGAGGACAAGGCATGGACTGCGCGTCGTGGCATTGCGAGCTAGGAGTGGAGGAGATATACTACGTTGACTCTCTTGCAACAACCATGTGTCCTTCAAGGTATTGAATAGATATATCTGTTGGACTTCCATCCTGAATCCCAGCTCATCACACATCCGCCCTGGTGACTAGTCGACGCGCAACCTGCAACCCAGGACTCGACTTCCTCAACGCCTCCACCATCTCATCAGCCGCCTCCTCCAGCACCCCATCCGTAATCGGCTCCAAAGCATCAAAAACAAACAGCGCCAGCGTCGTCTCATCCGTCAACGCCGTCCTCGGTCCCTGCCGCCAATTCCACCTCCGACAAGTAACCCCAGCATCATCACACCACACAACCTCGCCCTTATTTGGATGTTCCACGACCTTCTCTCCACCAGCCGTCGTCTCAAACTCCTCCTGCCCCGTCGCCCTCACACATCTCGGCCTCCCAACATACTTCCCCAAATCCTCACCACCAAGCGGAATCTGCCTCTTCACCGAAATCGCATTGTAAATGTCCGTAAGGCGATTTACCCTCGGCAGACCAGCTTCCACGCGCCTCGTGAGTGCCTCGAGACTATTGCGGTATTTTTGCGGTTTGGAGCCGAATGCTTTGTATGTGTCGCGCCATGCTGCTATGTGAGGGATCTCGGTGACGGGTTGTTTGGATAGTGTGTCCTTGGCGGAAGATTCTGCTTCTTTCAGTAGAGTTTCGCTGGTGATGTCGCTGGAGCCGGGGATGATATCGGTGACCACTAGCAAAAGTACGCGGTAATCAGGGCGGAGTTCGAAGACTTCGGGGGCGACGTGGGCGCCTTGGAGGTATTCTTGCCAGTGTTGAGAGTGGGTCATTGTTTCCTCGTGCTTAGTACTAAGATAAGATCTTGTTTCGGTCGACACCGTTGCAAATGGATTTGATTTAGTAGGTGAAGAATTGCGACTTAATGAGAGTAGATGTGAATTTGTTCCTCGCTATTGCAGCTGTCGTATTGATATGTTTTCGCGAGCGGAAAGTTTGGAGACTCAATACTTTCTTACGCCCTGTGTGTCTGTAGTTATCGAGCAGTGTCGCCACACGCCCTGTGCTCGACAATACTGTACTCGTAGCATCTACATGGAAAGGACGCTTCTGGAACGGTTTGGCTGCACCATAATCTGCGAGTGAAATTGATTCACCTTTTGACGCGGAGACTCAATCTGTAGAAAACATCATAGCTTGGATCAGCCGCAATGTAGAAGTCCAAGAATAAGGAGTGACTACTAAGGGAAAAGTGGCTTTGAATGGTACGAATAATACTGCGACGTTCAGACGTGCGTTTTGAACAGAATACTAGACAGATACTGACTGATGTATAATGTACATTTCAGTGACCATAAACCTCCAACTCCGACCCAATCAATATTCCCGCCAACCATTACACATAATACATGCTCAGAAATCATCAACATGCCGATGCTCAGTAACGACTTAACCGATCAACCTGAGCACATGACACAAGCCTCTCTGTTCTCGATCGAACACTGTAATACCTTCTGCGAGTAGATGTCTGCCTCCCTCTCTTCTGTTGTTCTGTCATCCTCCTCTTGCGTCTTCTTCTTATCAAGGCTTTCCTCCTCCATTGGGCCAGTAGGATCAGTGGGCAAGACTCTTGGTGATGGTTCGTTGCTACCCTCATCATCCGACAACTTGCTTCTGCCTAGCTTGGCAATCAACTGCTTCTCGGAGTCAACTGGGGGCGTGGCTGTGGGGGTCGGAATGCCGGTAGGAGTATTCATGTACTGTGATGAGCTGTTCTTCTGTTGATACATGGGTCGGGGTGCAGCAGTATACGAACCACCATAGCCGATAGAGCTCCGCTTCTTGGGAGCAGATCGAGCCGCGTTGGTGTCAACGACCTTGAGCTGTTCCTGATCGACAGTGAACTGAATGGGAGCAGAAGCAGCCATGGTTCTCAGATAGTACATGCCAGTCTTAAGGCCCAACTTCCAGCCAGCGAAATGCATAGAGGTAATCTTGCCCATGGTAGGCTCCTTAAGATGTATGTTAAGCGACTGAGACTGATCAATGAATGCACCTCGATCGGCAGCCATCTGGATGATTGTCCTCTGCGAGATCTCCCATACTGTCTTGTACAGCGCTTTGATCTCGGCTGGAATATTGGGAATGTTCTGAATTGAGCCACCATCAGCAATGATTCTGTTCTTCATATTATCTGACCAGAGACCGAGATCGACCAGGTCTTTGAGTAGCCAAGGGTTGACAACCTGGAACTCGCCAGCCAGCACACGCCTCGAATAGATGTTCGACGTGTATGGTTCGAAGCATTCATTGTTGCCAAGGATCTGTGATGTTGAAGCAGTTGGCATTGGTGCAACTAGCAAAGAATTTCGAACACCATACTTGGCGATCTTGTCCTTCAGAGAACCCCAATCCCAAAGATCAGATGGAGTCACGCCCCAGAGATCATATTGCAGCTGGCCTTGAGAGATTGGTGAGCCTTCGTATGTCTCGTATGGGCCCAACTGCTTTGCAAGATCACAAGAAGCAGTCAGTGCTGCGTGGTAGATTGTCTCGAAGATCTGGACGTTGAGTCGACGTGCTTCTGGCGATTCGAACGGCAGTCGAAGGGCCAGGAAAGCATCAGCAAGACCTTGTACACCAAGACCAATTGGTCGATGTCGGAAGTTACTCTTGCGAGCCTCCTGCACTGGGTAGTAGTTGATCTCAATGATCTTGTTCAGATTTCTCGTCATGACCTGTACAACCTCGTGAAGTCGTCCAAAGTCGTATGTACTTTCAGCCTGATCAACGAAAGATGGGAGCGAGACCGAAGCAAGATTGCAAACAGCGACCTCATCAGGTGCAGTGTATTCGATGATCTCGGTGCAGAGATTGGAGGATTTGATCGTGCCCAGGTTCTTCTGGTTGCTCTTCTTATTGCAGGCATCCTTGTAAAGCATGAAAGGATTACCAGTTTCGGTTTGTGCCTCCAAAATGGCGTACCACAGCTTTTGAGCCTTGAACGTCTGTCGGCCACGACCTTCTTTTTCGTACTTCTCGAAGAGGGCCTCGAACTCCTCACCGTAACAATCAGAGAGACCCGGAGCCTCGTTAGGGCAGAAGAGTGTCCAGTCCTGGTTCTTTTCAACACGCTTCATGAAGAGATCCGGTGTCCACAAAGCGTAGAACAAGTCACGCGCACGTACTTCCTCCTTTCCATGGTTCTTGCGAAGGTTTAGCCACTCGAAGATGTCAGCGTGCCAAGGTTCGATGTAGATAGCGAAAGCTCCAGGACGCTTGTTGCCACCCTGGTCGACGTATCGAGCAGTGTTGTCAAAGACTCGAAGCATGGGAACGAGACCATTGGATGTGCCGTTTGTGCCAGCAATATACGATCCTGTGGCTCTGATCTTGTGAACGTTCAAACCAATGCCACCAGCATTCTTTGAGATCATGGCGCAGATCTTCAAAGTGTCGTAAATGCCCTCAATAGAGTCGTCCTTCATGTCTATCAAGAAACACGAGGACATCTGTGCATGTGGCGTGCCTGCGTTAAAGAGAGTAGGGGATGCATGGGTGAAGGTCTTCTGAGACATAAGGTTGTAGGTCTCAATGGCACTTTCAATGTCGTTGCCATGGATACCGACAGCGACTCTCATCAACATGTGTTGTGGTCGTTCCCAGATCTTCTTGTTGTATTTGAGCAGATATGATTTCTCCAGCGTCTTGAAGCCAAAGTATTGGTAGTTGAAATCTCGATCATATACAATAGCAGAGTTGAGCTCATCCGCGTGTTTCATCACGCACTCGTAGGTCTCCTGTGATATCATAGGAGAGGGCTTTCCGTTTTTGGGGTTCACATAGTCGTACAGGTCCTTGATGACTGCACTGAATTGTTTCTTGGTCTGCTTGTGTAAATTCGAAACAGCAATACGTGCTGCAAGAACAGCATAATCTGGATGGATGACGGTCATATAAGCGGCTGTCTCAGCAGCCTAGTAGAGTCAGTATTAGGACTACAAGTTCGAGGGATCGTCACTTACCAAATTGTCGAGTTCGATAGTTGTCACACCCTGGTACACACCAGATATGACTTTCTGAGTAATGGCTGCGGCATCGACGTGTTCTGGATCCAGTCCGTAACATAACCGCGACACTCGCGCTGTGATCTTGTCGAATTGAACCCGCTCTTTGCGGCCATCTCGCTTGTAGACGAACATCCTGTTAACGGCTCAATTGAGCTGTGCAGAACACAGACTGTGCTCAGAAAGTACGAGTCAATTGAAGGGATGTCGCTAAGGGTGGCGGCTCAGGTAAAAGAGATAAGAATTAGGATATATCCACTTCAACGATCTCTGGAAAGTTGTGCTGAAAGAAGCAGTTAAGTTCGTGTCGAGTGTAGGAAGAGTGAGAGAGCAAGTCGAGTTGCTCGCGCTGCACGAACAATATGTGAACTGCAATGTTTGCGGGTCCAACGCGAAAACGCGCCTTCTACGCGTTAAGAGCCTAGCAGAGACACGCTAGACGTCACCAAATCTCGCCGATGAGAAATAGAAACGAAGAATTATTGCTGTATGTATCGATCATTCGTACAGTACTGGCAGCAACGTTGATTCGGAACAGCATGATCGCTATTCCTGTTGCCTGCCACTACCACTCCGTATATTGCCAGCCCATCGCTTTTCATCTGAAAGCTTGAATACTGGTCACGGAGTAGCGCTCAGCATGTCCTTGTCATCCAAGATCTCTCTGATCGTAAAGTGAGTTGCCTGATAAGAAGGCAGCAGGGTGCTCTGGTTACTTTCGAGACACACCCCCGATGCGTTTGAAACTTAAAGCCTCGCCAAATGTTCAGCTTTACTATTACCAATTCCACAACTCATAGTGGTTGAGGTGCCGCACGACATCTTGTGTTTATTCTCTTGCAGTCAAGTTGTAAAGGTCTCAGCACACCCTCAACAGATTGAACTGTCTAAATTGTGGCCTTGGTCGTATCTGAGGTGAAAGAATATGCGGTATAGATAAGGCAGACAAGGCAGCAACTGTTCTCCCCTCAACCGATGTTGCTTTGCACGTCATCTGCGGCTGCCGCACGCCGGCAGACTCCCGATGCCGCATGCTACAAAAATGTCAAGAGCCCCACCAATGTTTGTACCTGCTTCTTTCTTTTCTCGTTACTGATTCCGGTTGATCGCATCAAGGTCAGTCCGATCGTGCCTAACCCATGCTGCTTTCTAGACGTACTGGAATCAAATTCAAACTTCCTGAAATTCGCACGCCCTCAATATCTGGTCGCACAAAACAAGAGCTGAACAAGACATCTGCAACTCCCAAGAACTTTGCTCATAAGGGCACATAAAATGCCTGTCAAGATAGTTCTTGGCTCCCAATGGGGAGACGAAGGTAAAGGGAAATTGGTCGACATTCTGTGTGCCAGTGCCTCCATGTGCTGCCGCGCAGCTGGTGGAAATAATGCAGGTCACACAATTGTGGTCAACGGGATCACCTATGACTTTCACATCCTCCCCAGCGGCCTGATCAATCCCTCTTGCAAACTCAACCTCATTGGTGCAGGTTGCGTTGTCCATTTACCTTCATTCTTCAAGGAGCTTGGCGCGCTGGAGCAGAAGGGCTTGCAAGAAGTCAGGCAGAGAGTCAAGATCAGTGATCGTGCACAGGTGTGTTTTGATCTGCATTGTGCTGTTGATGGGATCAGCGAAGAGATCCTACGGAGCAAAGATGCCAAGAGCATGATTGGTACCACAAAAAAGGGAATTGGCCCATGCTACAGTGACAAGGTCGGCAGAAGAGGTGTTACAATGGCTATGCTGATAAGTGAGAACGGACAATGGGAGAAGAGGTTGAGAACGTTACATCAGACCTACACAGGCACCTACGGTTCAGATGCTTTGAGCCACTACGATTTGGAAGCAGAGATAGCAAGAACGAAAGACTTCAGACAGGAGCTGATCAAAGGGGACTACATCATTGATGCCACTCCACTGCTTTCGAAAACGATTGGTAATAATGGTAGAGCCATCACGACAAGCTCACAATTTCAACAGTCTCCAGACCAGGCAGCCAAAACTTTGGAGAGCAACGGCGACACTCCAGCCGCTGGAAGTGAACTCTTCTCAAATGTGCTTATCGAAGGCGCGAACGCACTTCTGCTCGACATCGATCACGGAACTTACCCTTACGTGACAAGCAGCAATACTGGGCTAGGCGGTGTATTCACAGGTCTGGCTGGTCTTTCGCCTTTGTCACTCAACCATCCTGATAGCAGCATCATTGGAGTAGTGAAAGCATACACGACCAGGGTCGGTAGCGGGCCTTTCCCAACCGAGCTCGGTACGGAAGTTGCTAACGTGTCAACCGAGGACGCACATTCTGGTGACCAATTGCAATCGATTGGTCGAGAATTTGGCGTTACTACAGGCCGGAAGAGACGATGCGGTTGGCTTGATCTGGTTCTCGTCAAATATTCGTGCCAGGTGAACTGCTATACTCACCTCAATTTCACAAAACTCGATGTGTTAGATACATTCCCTGAAATTCGCGTGGCGATGAGCTACAAAGATCGTCGGACTGGTCAAACAATATCTGGCTTTCCTGCCGACATAGATCTGATTGCGAATGAGAATCTGGACATTGTTTACAAGACTTTTGAAGGCTGGCAAACGGAGACAACAGGTACGAGGGAGTGGGATCAACTGCCCGACAAAGCCAAGGCGTATATTGAGTTCGTAGAACAGGAGGTTGGGGTGCCGATCAAGTGGATTGGCACAGGACCTCGAAGGGAGGATATGGTCGTGAGGTGAAAGCGTGACACACGTTTCTTCAGCACATCGAGCGGGAACTTAGGTCAAGCAAAGTAATTGGCCTCCTCAAGAGGTGGATGAAAAGACGTGAGCTTTTCAACCGGGCAGTCCATGTACAAAATGCCTGTTAGCATGCATGAATAGCAAAGTCTTAAAACTTGATATGGTCCAATGCGACAAAAGTTGTATTTCAGGTAGCCGGTGAGATTACCCTACCACAATTTCACTGTCTTGCATGCCTGTAATAACTCGCTCCGCACACTTCGTTACTACAATGCCGCAACAGCTCCAACCAAAGCAACAGCCGCAGCAGCCATAGGTCCCATGCCATCACGATAACGAACATTAGCGCCAGCAGTAGATTGCGTCGAACCAGCCGAGCCAGTCGTCGAGGAAGAGGAAGAGGAAGAGGATGCGGACTGAGTAGTACCTGAGGTGAACGTACCAGAAACTGTGCTGATGGACGTAGCAGATGCGCTAGAAGACGTTGCGCTCGCAGTGTAGGCAGCTGGAAAGAAAATCATGGTTACTTCCACTCCAGCTAACCAGAGGGACTGATTATTGACTTACCGACAACAGTTCCAGCAGCGGAGCATGTGGCAATAAATTGTTTCTGAGCCTCTTCCTCGATACTACCGCAGTTGTTGGCCATGTGCGCTTGAACAGTTAGAGCTCCATCGCCGCAGACTGCGCTCATATCACCAGGCTGATTCTGCGTATTGACGGCATGGAGGAGGCACCCAGGTGGAATGGCGGTTGTCAGTTGCGCAATAAAGGTGAGGATAAGGCTGAGAAGGAGGGCACGCATTCTGATTTAGGTTCCTGTCAAATGTCGGATCTGGTATATAGAGTTAAAGTGCTTGCAGGTAAAGGCTAGTTCGAATCTGGCGGATCTTATCAGATTTTGAATGAGTATGAAGAAAGTGGGAAATCTGGAGAAGGAGTGGCTAGGGTCAGTGACTGGAAGCTAGAAGCGCTCAAACGACAAGACCGCAAGCGAGAGTCATCAGGCTGGTTGCGCGACAAGTCATGGTCAATAGAGACGTGTATCACCCTTCGGTTGTGAATCAGCTCTTTAGGCCTCCAGGCAGAAACGACTGCGGTCTCAGCCGCAAGCTAGTCCGATCGGGCAAGTGAGGGGCCACCGGTATGAGACGAGGAGCACATTCCAAGCTCATCCACCTTTTCTAAAGATCCATCCAGTGTATGCACAATGACACATTCCCACAGGAGATAAGACGCCGATCTGGCTATCGCGTTACCTTAATTCGTAACGAGGCGCCAAGTAGATCTTCAGAGATAAGATTATGGTCTGAACTGGACCACTATGGCACGAACCTCTACATCTAGGTCAAGAGCTCACTGAAAGAACGCTTCGTAAAGCTTAGACAGAAAGAAGAACACAGCCTAAATTTCCAAATGGCGGAACCGGCAGAAACGACGAAGTTGGCTGTGGAAGGGGTACAGGTAGACTCGCCAATGGAAGCACAGGTGCAGAAACTGGCTGAGAAAGTGTGGAGTGAGTTCAGCTATCCTCCAAGCATTAAGTACCAGTACAAATCTGTTGCGATTCGACGATATTGTGACGCGTGAACACTAATAGATCGAAACACTCCAGATAAGTACCAAGCACTAGATGAATCACAGCGGTATCTCCTAGCAATTGCTGGTATACCCGGCTCAGGCAAGACGACTTTCGCAGCAAGTCTCGCTTATCACCTGAACCAACGATATCAAGATGAATATCACAAGAAGTACCCAAATGCACCTCTTCAACCTGTCAGCCGAAACCGAGCACTTTCCAATGGCTCCAATCATGGACGTACCATTGCAGACACGAGCTCACCACAGATAGCACGTGTCCTGCCCATGGATGGCTTTCATTTTACTCGAGCTCAACTATCCGCGATGCCAAATTCAGAAGAAGCCCACTACCGCCGAGGAGCTGCCTTTACCTTTGATGGTGAGGCCTACCTGAAGCTGGTAGAGAAATTGCGGAAACCAATTGAGCCCACGACCAGGACCGTATGGGCCCCATCTTTCGATCATGCAACCAAAGACCCCGTGAACGATGATATTGCCATACCCCCTTCTGCAAGGATCGTGATTGTGGAAGGACTATACACAGCACTATCATACCCACCTCCATTGACCGAGAGCTCTGAGCCAGGGACCAAAGCTGCTGTCCCTTCATCTTGGTCGGAAGCTTGTGTACTAATGGACGAGATATGGTTGATCCAAGTACCAATACCTGTTGCGACAGAGCGAGTCGCGAAGAGAAACTTCAAAGCAGGTCTATCGCCCTCTCTCGAAGCTGCGGTCGAACGAACCTTGAACAACGATATGAAGAATGCTCGAGAGATTCTGGACAATTTACCACCAGATGACAAGCTAACAGAACGCATTGAAAGTGTTGCTGACGAAGCTTGGATGACTGAAGAACAGAAGGTGACGCTCGAGAACGAGCAACAGCAAAGGGACGAAGAAGGCCACGAATCTACCTTGCAGCGAATAAGGTTGAATAGGATGGGAAGTATTGCTGAAATGGCCGAGGCTGGTGTAGGTATGTGAGGTCCTAGAAGGGCAGTTACCCAAAAGCTCGGTGGGACCACATCACCGGCGCCGTGATCTTCATCTCGATTAGGAAAAATTCTGATGTCTCGATGCTGGCGTGTCAAGACAGAATGTGCATCGCTCAACCGTCAGAATCAGAATCGTAGCTTACGAGGCCTAGCGCTGACTTCGTAGGTTCTTTCTTCATCGCAGCCCCTGAATCTGTGACCGTCGACGTTGTCGTGGGATGACTTGGTTGTTGCGTTTGCAAGGAGGTGACTGGTTCGTTCGAATCCGATACCTGCTTGACACTTGTGTCTGCGTCTTCATGGACTTTAGGCGAAGATACCTTTTGACTCTTCGGACGTTCAGTCTGTTCGTCTGCATCTAGTCTTCGTCTTTTCTTTGTGGCTTTCCAAACACTCTTTCCATCGTTCGAAGTATGATGCTGGGCTTGACCCTCTACAATATCTGGACCTAGCTGTTCAGCTGCGGCTTGTTCCTTGCGAAAGGCGCGGAGCTGCTCGGCAGTATCGTTCCTGACACTCGCAAGCTCGACCCTTTCCTTGTGCTTGATGCCTTCGAGAAATTCGACCTCGCTCTCATCTAGTGGTCGAAACTGATTGCGAAGCTTGGTGGCTTCCTCAAACGCTTCTTGCTTCGCAGCTGTAAGTAGATATGGTCAGAAGTGACCAATTGAAGAAACATCGTTATCCACAGTGCATACCCTTCTGATCCTGTAGATGCTCATAGAGACTTTTTCCCCCTTCCTGTATGCCAAGGACTGGACCTTCATCCTTGGGCTTTTTGCGCTCCTCCACTTGTTTGCGCGCTGCTTGCCATGCTTCGTCACTTGCAGAGGAGAGCCCTTCTGGAGCTTTGATCTCAGCGCCACCCGAAGATACGAATTTCGAAGTCATGTTTCCAGGATATGTTTGCCAGCTAATCAGGACCGTCGGGCCCGTGCTTTGCTAGGAAAAGGCCGCCGGGCTTGGCACCGGTTCAACAACGGCTGTCCGGTGGGGGGCATTAGACCACTGGCAGGCGCAACCCCAAAAGCAACCAGGACCCAGCTGGCGAATAATAGTTTCACTTCCTCGCCTGTAACTTGAACCTCTTTTACATGCCAGCGCAGCCAGCAGGCGATCGTCCTTACACCGAGATGAACATTTCGTGCATGAAGCACAAGGCTAAACTTGACACCTGGCCACCCCGACTTGAATTTATCCCACCGGAATATCCTAGATTAGGCTCTTTCAGGCTAATTGCGAATGAAGACTGTTCGATGCAGGGAAGATCTTGAAACCTTCCAGCAACTTTTCCAGGCGCTCATTCGTCCCTCAACTTTGCCATGCCACAGAAACGTCTGTGGAGTCGTCGCGTGGTCAATCATAGACGCGACTGACGTGCCCCTCGTGCTCTGATATTACGTCGAAGAAAGTCGAAAGTCCCCACCAGACGGGCGTTTGTGCACCGAGATATTCAAGTTGTCTAAATTTCCTGACCAGTTCTTTTGCATATCTATTACTGCTGTTTCCTCAAGAATCACTTCAAGATCATTACTGAAATCTTCTCATATCCAAACCTGCATATCACCATTCACAAGAAACAATCTGTTTACTGCACAGGTCAGAACCATGGCTCAAAAAGGACAACAGCTGAAGACCTTCAAAGAGGGCAAGGGGACCAAGTAGGTGTTCCGGGCTCTAAGTAGAGGCTGTCATACTGACTCGATGGTAGGACGGTCTTCACCCTCAACACTGGCGACAAAATGCCAGGTGTAGGTCTAGGAACGTGGCAATCGAAGCCAAATGAGGTCAGAGAAGCAGTCAAGCACGCTCTGCAGTCTGGCTACAGACACATTGACACGTACGTTCACCTCGAATTGTAGCACCGGCAACAGGCTAATCGCAGACAGTGCCCTCGCTTACGGCAACGAGAGTGAAGTCGGCGACGGCATAATCGACTCCGGTGTACCCAGAAACGAGATCTGGCTTACAACCAAACTCGACAACCCATGGCACAAGCGCGTCCCAGAAGGCATTGCATCTTCTCTAAAAGACCTAAAGACAGATTACGTCGACCTATACCTCATGCACTGGCCCAGCTCAACAGACCCAGACGACCTCAAGAAGTCATACACAGACTGGAACTTCATCGATACATGGCGCGAGATGCAGAAGCTTGTCGGCACCGGCAAAGTACGCAACATCGGTGTATCAAACTTCGACCAAGAAAACCTCGAGAAACTCCTCGCTGCCGACTCAACCACCATCGTCCCAGCCGTCAACCAAATCGAGCTTCACCCCAACCATCCGTCGCCCAAACTCCTCAAGTACAACCAGTCCCAGGGCATCCATAGCACCGCCTATTCCTGCCTCGGCTCGACCGACAGCCCTCTCTACAAGGACAAGACCCTACTCGAGTTGGCCGAGAAGAAGGGCAAAACGCCACAGCAGTGCATGCTCATGTGGGGTTTGCAGAGAGAGACGAGTGTCATTCCAAAATCAGTCTCGCCGAAGAGAATCGATGCCAACTTCGAGCTTGATGGTTGGGAGTTGACGGACGAAGAGATGCAGACGCTGAGCAGCCTGAAAGATCGATTTAAGGTCTGTGGTGATGGTTGGCTGCCGGCTGGTGTCAAGGTCTTCTTTGGCAATGACGAGTAGATAATTGACCATAGTATGGAAAACTTTACACACAGAGACTTTTCTGTCAAAGTGTTTTTCGTAACAGACACGTTACCTTCTGTCCACAACATTCTACAACCAGACCTCGTGGCAAGCGTGCGTATTAATATGGTACAAAGTCAACCTTATAGTATGTTGGATGAGTGTAAAGATAACCTAAAGAGTAGCAGTAAGTGTTATAACGTTCTGCTCGCTCATATACAATCACTATCACACATAAACGTCTTTCTTTCTAATTTTGCGCGCTAAACTTCTGGCTTCAACCTGACCTATTTGATATCCTTACTGGCCCTGACCTCGTCCTCGCCCAGCACCACCCATACCACCCATGAACTGATTCGCAAGATTGGCAATAGCAGGATCACTCATCATCTGCTGAATCTGACTCATGTCAGGCATACCACCTCCACCACCCGCGCCAGTCCCTTGCTGCCTCTGATTCATCATATTTCTCAACATGGGGTTGTTCATGATGCCTGAAAGGGCTTCGGGGTTCTGCATCAGGTTGTTCGCCATCTGTCTCATCATCGGATTTTGCATGATCGAGCTTAAGTCTGGCATGCCGCCGCCGGCGCCGCCGGCGCCTCCTCCTGCACCACCACCACCACCAAACATACCAGCCAAGCTCGCTAAGTCCGGCATGCCACTTGCACCAGCGCCGGCACCTGCTCCCTCTCTAGTTGAACCGGCGGCATCGTCGACTGGATCGGCTTCTAGGTTGTCTTCTTCCTCTTCCATCTTTTCTAATTCACGTCTAGCTGACTCGAGACCTTTCTTCATTGCGTCGCTGCCACCGTTGCCTTCATACTCGATGCCCTTCTCGTATGCTTCGACGCTACCACGAGCGTCGCCCATGGCGAATCTTGCCAGACCTAATCTTGACCAAGCTTTTGTGTATTTGGGATCGGATGCGACAGCTATTTCGGCGTCCTTTACGGCAGAGGCATGGTCGCCTGACGCACTGTAGGCTGCGGCTCGGTTCGATAGGTAGATTGGATTGGTAGGCGCCATCCTAACTGCTTCTGTATATTTATCGATCGCAGTCTTGTAGTCTTTCTGCTGCATAGCTGCATTACCGGCCGACTTCAACTTCTCCGCTTCGGGACTTGGTTTCGACGATTGTGCACTGCTAGGCTGCGACGGTGTGCTCGAGGAGGCTGAACCAGTAGACGATTGTGCTGCAGCAGGAGTTCCTTTACCAGACATCGTCTCGTAAACACTGAAGATCTTGAGCAGAGACTGTGAGCCTACTGCGGCTTTGACTGCCGCTTGGTCATTCTGATCGACTTTGAAGGCATCTGCTATGCATGAAATGGCAACTTCTATGTTCTCATTGTCGTCTGCTGAGAGTGTGCCGTCTTTACTTGATTGTGAGAGGTAGTCGATTATGCTCAGGGCTAGCCGCTTTTTCGTGTCGTTGAGTCCAGACATTGTGTCGCCTAGTGTTGGATACCCGAATCTAGAGGATGTGTAGAGAGAAGAATCTAGATATGTTGCTCAAGGCTCTACACTTTGTCTACGCGTCTGGAGAACCACGTGGAGGGACATCGAAGCAGTGGTGGATTGTAGGCGTGTATAGCGTCATGGCGGGGCGTTGAGCCTGCCAAGCGGAATAAGAAACAGGTATCAAAGGACACATACATCACAATTGAACGATTTGGTTTATTGAGGACGTCGGTCTACTGCCGTGTCTATAGGCGTCCGCTTTCTTGATGGACGAAGACGTTGCTTGAGCTCGTGGAACGTACAAAGCTGACTTGGCGTCAAAAGGAAAGTTATATTTCCGCACCATGTAACGCGTTGTTTGATGATCACTGCCCTGAAGGCGTGAGGCACTCTTTGTTACCTCAATACCAGGTGGACCTTCGAAGTATACATCGAGTCCAGCTTTTAAATACGACCATCACTGTCGTTGACCACAACGTCTTAATCGCGCTAGACCAGCGTCTGATGAACCCCAATGTGTTTCCGCTTAGCCTCAAGGATGCGCAACTTTGAAGGTGTGTGATATTGTCTGGGGCTCCGAGTCCGAGCGAAGGCCCCCTGAGACCATTTTGGAAAGCAACAATCGAAAAAGAATCGCATGCTCACGAGTCAAGAACAATGATAAGGCTCCCTCAGCATTCTTCGTCGAGTGAGCATTCTGGAAGGCAGCTCAGATTGTTGCTCCATCCTGTTACGACCTCGAGTCGTACACCATGACATCCGGTATATGTATTGATTGACTCTTCCTCTTGAACTTCGAAATCACCAATAACCTCTTCGAGTCTTGGTTCGACCAAATCCACGACACCAAGCCCTACTGGCTTTCCATTATTCATACTCATTATCATCTATAATTAACCAAAAGCCGAGGATATCTTTTCAAAACGCCGCGCTAGAAATATTCGCATCTGGAGTGCTGTTCTTCAAGCTCAAAGAAATTCGTGTTCGTCGTTGCGATTCTCAATCACGTCCTGACTGCATCTCGCCGTTGCAGAGATATTGAGTTCTGCCTTGCTCCTTGTCCACCTTGGTTGCTTTTCGAGCCTCGTCTTTGACTGCTCGGAGGGTCTATCGATCGACTGTCGTTGGCTTTCATATACATTCCCCAGGACGAAAATCCTTTTTCGTCGGCCGGCTTGATGTATTTATCCCAGGCGTTAAAGTCTCGGCGGGTCGACATATCTGGATTTTTATTTTGTTTCTTTGGTCAAGTTTTGGGTTATTGAGTTGTGCTGATCAGGTAGAATTTCAATTCTAGGCGGTCCGCTCTATGGTTGAAATGTGATTGCAGATCTGTGAATAGGAATGTATGATCCCAAAGTGGATACGAAACTCGAGGCTAAAATTGAGGTGTGCACCTCAAATGTGACACCACGACAGAGATTTTTTATGTCATCAAGAGGCAAAGAAGTAGAGTCATCGCAACACTTATCTCGTTTGAACCGTAAATGAGACTTGAAGGTAAAGAATTGAGCGGTCACAAGGTTGCTCAATGCGGCAGGACAACGCGCCCTATGAGGCTAGTAATACGCGGCTTCCATACGACTTTCTGGAAGACTTCCCGGTTGCACACCAGAGGCTCCACGGTTTCATCGGTTTCTTGGTGTGTAGATAAAGCTTCGTTCACTTCGTAAGCTGAGTATGACTCGTTGTTTGAGGTGAAGTAGGTTCGTGTGCATTAAGCCCAAGAGTTTCAACTTCGACAATTCTTCAAAGGCACTGCTTCCTCATTGTCTATACAAAGCTAGGCCCTTGACCTTTCATAGAAGCGAAAAATCACCAGGTCGAAAATGACAGCGCGGAAAATATTTTCCGCTATCCTGGCTCAGCTAGCGCTTCAATCTCTGCTTTGAGTTTCGAACCCGCTATGCGGCTTGAGGCATTTTGTGACCGACTCCTGCTGACGGACGATGTTCAAATTGAGGTTGAAGAGCAGTCCAAGAAACTGTTGGTAATCTCAGAACCAAATCGTCAGCGAATGTGCTTTCTACTCGGGCCACTGCATCGTGCGAACATGCAATACTAGAGTGATTACAACAGTAACCGAGATTGGCGATTATGCATTTGTAACACGGTCGTTTTGATCTGGGTTTCAGCGTCTGAGACGGCAGTCACGCCTCGTTGCACGTGTGGAGGGCAAATGGCTTATGGTCGGTATGCTTGCGGCTCTGCATGCCGTTCCGGTACTGAGCCATGCAGAACAGGCTCAGTATGCCTTCGCGGCGAGTTTGCGCTCGTGGCATGCACTTGAGAGAGGAGCTGATCCGTTCCAGCTTCAATATCCGCCCTACGCTGGCTTGGGCGTTGTCTAATCCTCATTCTGAGTTTTTCTCTTTCAAACTTAAGGTTGTCCAATAGTTGACGCCGTTCGTGATCATCCCTGAGAACTTCCACGAACGCATCATCTTCTGACCAGCCCGCATCTGGATCATAATGCGCGCGTTCGATCTTCTTGATTTGGGACCCGAGCTCCTTTTCTTCTTCGTTCAATTTGCGCAAACGTTGACATTCCTCTTCCCACCAGAACAGGAGATTCACTAGATCACGTTGTCTGGGCTGACTAAGGAGTGAGACTTGGTGCGGAAATTTCTTGCCCTCAATTTTGTATGTCCGAACGATTCCATTCTCATCCAGTATCCCAGCCCGACCAAGCTTGTGAAACACCTTGGTCGAGGTACCTTCATGCTCACATATACCTCCAACAAACAGTGAGTGCTCGTCGAGGCCGTAAGGTGCGCCTGGATGAGAAGCTGCAAGCTGGTGTGCGTACAGCATGTCCTGACCTAGTTCTGGACACCAATCCATACGAGTCGAGAATGCTGCCATGGTCGGAACTGCAGCATTGACGAAATTGGAGAAAGAAAAGCCGATAGAGCCATCGCGTTTGCGAAACATGCTGACAAGCACCTCACGACCCTTTTGACGACTAGGAAACCATGGAAATGTCTCGAGTGTGGTATATGCGCGATGCGACAGAACTCGAATGTTGTACTGTGTAAATGATGTTGATGTCCAGCCTAGCTAATTCAGCTTTTTTCGAAGGTATGAAATCGTGCCACCTGCTTTGGTCAGATCGTGATTGCTTGCTTGCTCGAGCGTCGCGAATCCTCAGTTTCGAACCAAAGCAAACTTCGTCGTGGTAATGCGATGGCGATACGTGATGATCAACACGATGATGGGGTTGAGCATTGCTAGTGATCATATCACGGTGCTTGAAAGGAACTAGCATGAGGTAAAACCTCGGAAGCTTTCTTGTCTTTATGCTGATTGGTGGTAATGCAGCGCTAAAGAAGAGAAGCCCACGTGCTTATAAGACTTCAATCGTGAACCGAAGCATGCTGAGCATCGTCGTTCAGACAAGATGCTCGCTCAAAGACCTGCGCTACTAACACCTTGACGTAATCTGAGATTCTCGTCTGTGTGCTGGACTGTCAGCGTCCACGAGGCATAGCGAGCTGAGTCTCTGGTAACATCAAGGTCATCGACCCCGTTCGAACTGCGCATCAAGCAATAGGCGCGTCTTTTTCGAGGATTGGTATTGATGTGGTCAGCTCTTGTGACACAGGAGTGAGAGTCAGATGCTGGTGGTGAAAAGGCTGAACCGTCTGTATACGACCTACCTGATATCACAGTTGACGAGTGGCGAAGGCTTGCATACAAGCTTGGTGGTGTAGACTATGTAAAGGTTGAGACGCACAAGCAGTGTTCAGTCAGCTGCCATGGGATGGGCGGCAGGAGTATGACCAGAGACAAGAATAAGAACAGTAAGTTGAGCTTTCGTGTTTGAGATGGTCAGATAGCAAAAGTCAGAGGTAGAGTATGAGACAATGAATGGAGCACGGTCAGGTTTGGGAGCTGCTCATAGAGGGCTTCCTGCTTATCACTTATCAGTACGTGCATCTATTGTGTATTCTCAGAGGAGAGGTCTCTATGAATGTCGAAACTCCTTTTGTTGCTCCTTTTGGAAGGCACTCATGGAGGTCGAATTGATAGTGGTCTTCCAGCCTCCCGCGAGACGAGATCCCTGCATGACTCAGACTGAAGTCAACATCTTGAACGTGAGACTGAGTACGTTGATGTAGAGTAGAACGGATGGTAGTGATCTTTCGGGACGATTGAAATTCGATCTCGAGGACACTTGCGTAGATACTGACGACTATGAAGATACTGAAGATTGTTCAACATGATGCATGTCAATGTTGTAAGCTCCTCCTCCTCCTGCTGGTAGTGAGGATACTGAGATAAACTCGTTGTGGGAATTGGCAGGGGCGAAGCGAAGCAGGACTGGGTTACACTGCTATAGCAATAGATAGCTCAAAGGAACATAGCTTGCACCAATCCAACAGTTCGCAATCACTGTGATAAGGCAGGTCACACTTGAAGTTGTACTACTGATAGACGCCAGTCAGAGGAACCGATAAACTTTTTCAAGCCTGAGGCAGGACACCTCGGCAGGAAGCTTTTTCGAGGCATTCTCGGAGGAAAATGACATAACTTTTCGTGGTATACGAGAAGTACCATGTGTTATCAAGCTCAAAAGCATTTGCGTGTCTGACCGCCTGCTTGTCGCGGATCCGTTGAAGCATCAGCTTCGTTATCATTCGCCGGACCATCACGAAAATTCGGTCGCGTTTCTATTTTGGTGGGCCGTTGAGCGCAGGCGTTCAGGGACACACTTTGTATAAATCAGCATGGCTTCACTATTTCGGGCCTCGTTGAGAAGTCCTCACCTGCAGCTTGTGCCCAAATCTACAAGCGTACAGGATACTATTCAAAGACATATATCTAGGTCGATACAGCCCAGGCATCAGCACCACTTCCCACGGCATAACAACAACCACAATAGCATTGCAAAAAGGATATACTCAACAGTTGTAGTGCAGGACCGACCTCGTGGACGAACGCGTCGTATCGTGACTACAGTCCTTCTCGGTTTGGGCTCGTTCCTTGTTGGCGGGTACGTTGCGCTCAGCTACGCGCCTCCCATCCTCACACCTCTCATCATGGGGTCAATGCCTACAGATGCAGATACGCTGCGCTACGAAGCACCGGATGAGTTCACACGCGAGATCGACGAACATATAAAGAACTGCAAACTGGCACAATTCTGCCGCACGAGGCCGGACTATACCGAATCGCGACCTCATCTGAAAATACCGCAGGAAGTGCGACAGCACAATTTGACAGCAGGGACTTTAATGGGTCCTGATATGATTGTGGTACCGCCATACTGCTTCAATGAAAAAGATGGAAAATCCATGGTATGCATATTCTATGTGGGTACTCATCTAAGTGGTCATCCTGGTATTGTGCATGGAGGTTTCCTGGCGACTATGTTGGACGAGGGACTAGCACGCTGCACATTTCCCGCTCTACCTAACAAGGTTGGAGTCACCGCACAACTTAATATAGCTTACAAGAAGCCAACCATGGCTGGGCAATTTCTGGTTCTGGTAGCAAACACCACCAAAGTCGAGGGTCGAAAGGCTTGGGCTACTGGTGGAATTTGGCCTCTAGAAGAGATTGAGCTCGATGCGACGAATCCCGCCGAGCCAAAGATACTCAATACATCTCAACCTTTAGTCTCAGCAGAAGCTTTGTTTATTGAACCAAAGCATGCCAATGTGAGTACTTTGTCGAATTCTTCATGAACGTAGCTAACACTAGCGACAGATTCTCAAGAGCTTGTACCGACAAGCTACATAATATAGCTGCTCTGAAGTACAGTATCTGCTTCTCCTTGTTTTCAGTTTGGGATAGAATTGCCTAGAAAGCGTGGTAGGGTTTTGGTGGCTTGTATCCATTACAAGATCTACCTAGGCTGGCGTAGCTGCTTGTTTACATATTTTGCAAAGGTCGAAGTGATAGAGAAGCAGAACCTGTTTTTTTCTGGGGTTCGAGTCTGTTCTCTGCTGTCCACATGTTGTCAGTCGATACCAACTCATTACACTTCACAATATCTATGTCTTATTTACTGCATGTTCAGCCCGAGAAGGACCGAACCATAGGAGTACTGCAAATGAATTGTGGGAAGCAGATCGCTGGAGGTTGTTGGGGCCGTTGGAGGTTACCAGAGTGGACTCCAGAACGGCATCTTTGACTAGCTTACATTTTGACCTGGCATGCGCCGATGATGCAACAGTTGATAGGCATTCGACAATCGTAGCAGTCGCGAGCTTAAACAGCCTTCTATACCCTCTGCGAATATCAAACAAAGGCAGAATTGACCTATCCTTTACCACCTTCAGCAGTTTCAGTCACTACACAACGCGAAGGACCGACCTAAAGCTTTACTCAACTTCTGAAAATTGGCTAGGCACAACGAGGAGGATGCCAGAGCACGCGAAATACCTGTTTGTTGCGCTACCCTCCTCGATTACACCATCTGGGCACAAAGACGATGCGATAGGCTCGATACAACGTGCTGTGAAGACTGAGAATGGCCAAGTCACGCCATTCAATGTGCCTGACTTCAAGGTTGGCACTCTGGATGCTTTGATACAGCAGTCTGAAGAGCTTGGAAAGATTGAGGGACTATGCAAGGGTGTGGTGTCGAAGGTCGGGGATACCCTGCGGAATGTTCTTGAGGGAGACGAGGAGAAGATAGTGATGCACAAGAATGTCAATGACAGTATGGCTGTACCCTCCATGTTTTGCTGAACTGGAGCTGACCTACGAGCAGAGCCATTGGAACAGTACCTGAGAACTTTCAGCTGGAACAAGGTCAAATATAGGTCCGAAAAGCCTATAGCAGAGCTTATGGACTTACTGCAGAAGGTATATAAACCGGACAACTCCCACCACTTCACTGACCACTACTCCAGGAAGCCAACTCAATAGACAATGACGTTCGCACAAAATACAATCAATACAATGGTTTACGGCAACAGTCCCAGAATCTCCAACGGAAGCAGACCGGCAATCTGAGCACGAAATCCCTTGTCAGTATCGTCAGTCCCGACATGCTTGTCTCTGACTCAGAGCACCTCGAAACTCATCTGGTCGCGGTTCCAAATTCTTCGGTTAAGGACTTCCAGAAATCCTATGAAACTGTCTCGACCATGGTAGTACCAAGATCGGCCTACTTTATACAGAAGGACGACGAGTTCAGCTTGTTCGCCGTCACTACTTTCAAGAAACATAGCTCAGAGTTCGTACACAAATGCAGAGAACGGAAATGGATTCCACGTGACTTCAAGTTCAAAGAAGGTGGCAGAGAAGACGAGCAGAAAGAGCTTAGCAAGACTGAGGCTGAAGAGAAGAGAGTATGGGGCGAGACATTACGGCTAGGACGAACTGGCTGGTCGGAAGGTGTTATGTGCTTGATCCACGTCATTGTGCTAAGATGCTTTGTCGAGAGCGTTCTGCGGTATGGTCTACCACTAGACTTTGTTGCAGCTTCGATAAAGGTAAGAGCGACTGTTGACAAGCCCTGACATTTGCTAATCCCAAGTAGTCGGACACGAAGAAAGCCGATAGGGCCAAACAAAACCTGGACTCAGAATATGGGTATTTAGCTGGCAACGCTTTCGGCAGAGACAAAAAGGGTAGAATAAGCAAAGATCAAGGGATTTCGCAAACGGACGTGATGGGCGGTGCTGGAGGCGATGCTTCGGATTACTCTGCTTATGTTTACTACGACGTCGAGCTTGATTGAGCGGTTTTTTTAGCATGCGATGGAAAGGGTATGGTAGAGACGCAAGTATAGATCCTTGGTTCCTCCTCTGCGGATGCGGCCTCTAGGGCAGTAACTCTCAATATAGAGCAACCCGCCGCCATGGCGGGTGTCGCGGCTTTTGGTCAGTTGCTGTAGTCACGTTCGTGTTCTTACAATCATTCAAGATACCTCCGAGGCAGCAATTGAGAATTACCCTACTAGGTATTAGTTCAATTGGGCCGCTACTCACCGCCATCTGTAGGTATTTGCTTTCATGTACCCCTCTGCCTCTGTGCATCATACAAGCCCGAATAGTATCCCGCCCAGTAATAAGCCATCTTGATGTTTTCCAGTGTCTGGTCAGCACTACTAGAAGCTGCTGAAGTCCCTGCTGTTTTCGGGAGTTGCGCTTCAACCCCTAAAGGAGCAGTGGTAGCTGGTGCAGGACCTGCACTACCAGTAAGAGCTGCCGATGAAGCCTTAATAGTAGGCGGCAGTGGTGGACCAATCCGTACTGGCACGTCGTCTTCTATAGGCAAAGTGCCGGTCGTCTGGGTGACATCGTCGACTTCGCCCTCTTCCGCCTCACCCTCATGACCTACGTTCACGTGCACACCATTAACATCTACCACCTCCTGCTCATCTCGCCGTGCCTCCCCACTCTCCTGCTCCTCCATCTCAGCCCGTCTCAAAACCTCATCCACATCCTCCCCCTTCGCATGAATAGAATGATAAAACTCATACTCGGCTACCGCATCGTTCCATGACCTGATCAGCGCTGAGTCGTCCCAGATTTCTTCGTGAGTTATATCCTGGGATGTTGATTGGTTGTGGTGGTGATGATTGTGGTTGTTGAGTTTCCTTTTTTTGTTTTTGGGCATTGTCGTGTCTTGAGACGAAGTCAAAGGGTTGAGAGAGAGGATGAAAAGATGTTGATAATTTTGTGGATGAAATGACTTAATCAATGTCGCGACTCTTGAGATACTGTGATACTATCAGCGGTTGTAATCGAGCGCTCCGGTCTCTACGCTTCGAGGAGCCAGATTGATAGCTTCGAGAGTTCTACCTATGAATACTCAGAGTGGCAGCTGTTTGTTTCAGATGTCGAAGATCGGAATAGTGTAACAGACTTACGCCTAGAAGTGAAAAAAGTTTAGGCATGATGAATAGCCACCATACCTCCAGTCTGGAGCCGATCCGCATTATTGGGAAATGCTATTTGTAATGACGAAGATGTTAGTGGAATAATTCAAGTATAACCAAAGCGCTCGGTAGACTTAGCCTAGAACGCGCGAGACACAGCACCCGAGTTTGTACTTCTTTTCTTAGTTGTATCGCATACTAAGCATTACAAGGATTGTTTACTGAGACAGATTTCACACGCAATTTAGTTCAGGTTCTGAGAAGGAGGCAGAGTATTAGCAAATTATTCTGCTGGTCTATATACAAATCATTTTTCATGTAGCACTTCTATCAAGACCCAACTCCATCCTTCACTATGCTATACTATGTACCCAACACTGATACCATTATAACACAGTGCTTCTATACCTGTGGACTCTCCGGGTTGTTACTCCTCAAGGCTTGCCCATCCAATTGTCTTCGACTGTACTGATTTGTGTATATTTGGTGTACGATCCAGTCTGCATTGGAGATGGTGGAAACGAAGGCGCAGTGTTTTGGTAGACAGGAGGCTGATAGACCGACGGCTGAGGGCTGGCTTGACCTGTTGATCCCTTGCTGATGTTCTTCTCGTGTGCCACACCCAGCGTTTGAAATAGCTGGTGAGATGTCGTGTAAGGCATGGCTTCATAGTCGTCGCTCCACGACCCATGCCCTAGCTCCTGATTTAGAAATCGATGAAGCTGGAGCTTGTCATCGAGCAGCCAGCACATACGAGCGTGCTCACCAATGCGGCATGTCTTCTGAATCCACCCAACAACGGTATCAACAAAGAGCGAGATGAATACAATCGTGCCACCAATGACGAAGAGGATGATCATGCCAAGTATTGAGAAGGAGATGGTGTCCGTTGTATCATTGATCACCTGGCTGTAGCACATGGCCTTTGTGGCGAGTGCAGTCGCTGAACTATCGTCTTTCCATGGCTGTTCGACGTAGCTGCCAGGAACAATGTTTGGGGGACCAGCAGCATATTCAACAATCTTGCGCTGGTAGTCGGCAAGTCCTTTACCTAGCCAACCTTCCACCTCGCGCTGCCATTGATTAGCTGGTAGGCCCGAGGACATCAGTCCGCCCACAAGTAGATCTTTCGCAAGTAGAGCGTTTTCCGCGAGCGCAAACAGGACCTGCCTGATTGAGCCTGTTTGGGCACTGCGTATTAAGCGTGTTGCAATAGCTTCCTGAATATCGTCGAGGTCGAGTTCAGCATCATTAAAGCCAATCCAAGGCAGAATCTGGTTGATACCGCCTAGTGGTGTGCATTTGTCGTTATCAGGATTGCAGATCTTGTACTGATCTGTGCAAGCCATTGTGGTTACATAATTGTCGGCACCATAATATTTTGCTCCAGCTACAACCGCGCTCAAATCGTAAACATTTGTAGCAGCAAACATCGGGTCGTCCACAGGCTCGGAACAGGTGACTGCATTCTGCATGAGGCCGATTATCGTAACATCGGCATCAGTGCGGTTTAGCTCAGGTATTGGTTGCCAGGTATTGCTTGAGCCTGCATTTGCGGTTTCCATAGACAGCTTGTAACCAACCATATCCATTACCGTATGGTCGTTGTATTGTAAAGTGTAGTTTTGGCTGACCACATCGGTACCACTGAAAACGCTATGTCCATAGTTGAATTAGTAGAGTGTATCGCCATCGATGCCAGCTCCTGAACCGCCAGCAACAGACTTAACAAATCTTTTCTGGTTGATGGGGGCACATGTAGAGACTCTCTCGATTTGCAGACGATTTCCATGAGGCGAATTGATGCCAAGGTCGTGCAGTGAATCAACTCTCGAGGTCAGCTCGTATGCAGAGTTCTTTCCACTGCTGCATATATCACCTGTAAATGGACAAGCGGCGTTTGCATTGGCCGTCAATGGAAGGGAAGGCTCCAGAAACTTGCTGCACCTGAGAACGTCAAAGCTACCACCATAACAAGATCGAGCATAAGCTGCAGCTGCAAGACTCTCATTTGCAACATAGCGAGCAAATGCTTGCACAGACTCTACATTGGTGTTATCGTTAGCTGTCCAATAACCACAAGTTTCGCCAATAATTAGCCTGGATGTGCCTGGAGTCTTTGTGATTCCCGAGGAGAAAGTTGCTGCTGCAGCGAATAACAAGGCATAAGCCAAGCAGAAGAGAGCCCAAGGAATCGTCCTCATGAGGGTCATTCTTGTTTTGCCGTTCCACGTCCATCCTTGCATGAGGAATGTCCAAGCTGTGGCTCCAGGCGAAGAGCTGTTCCGGAAGACGACTTGTTGCTGATGGAATAGGCCATCTTGGGCTGAAGATCTGCTCCGTGACTGGTGGAAAATGTATGTAAGAATCTTAAACAGTTGTGCTCCGACTAGGGTCACGAAGAAAGCGATGAAGGCTGTGAGGAGGGCACCACTTCTATTGCTCAAGGTAAGAGTGGCACCACGAATTGTGCCGTGTGCCCAGTTGACCCACGGTCCATGGTAGACGTGCTCGCTCATGATCGATGGTCTGTCGTTGTAGTGAGGTAAGGGTAGGTGAAACAGTTGCTGGCTGGGAGCTTGTGATGATGAGAACATTCAGCAGCAGTGCGTTCGTCCCCTTTATATCCTCCTTGGTCAGTATAGTTGGAGTCTCAGACATACCTCAAGCATTGTAACCATGTAGTCAGGCACATCAGCCGCATTGAAGACTGGGCCAGTTGGTAGATGGCACTAATCCAGATGAGGCAGGTATAGATCGTATCCGTGATGTACCTTGACCTTGACTAGGACTTACAAAAGGTCAACATCGAAATGGCGCCCGTAATTGCAACCTGGCGGTCTGGTCCCCACAGAGCAGAACTCTGCCAGAACGACTTCTGTCGAGAAGTACATTCCGAACAGCAGTACCGAATCAGCGAGGCAGGAATGGATTCGGTGCACCACGAGAGACACGAAGTCTAGCCATTGAGTAAGCAGGGATGAAGCTAAACAGGCACGCTATCGGAAATGTGGCTGTCAACCGCAGCAGGATGGGTACTGAAACAAGTACAATAGAACTGCAGCTTGCGAGATGAGCACTTCGCGTTGCGGAGAAGAAAACCAAGCAACGCTGGAACATATGGGACTCTAGAAGAGATGGCTTGTCATTGTGAGAGAAGCTCCCTCAAGCTCTCGCGTCGTGCAGGACTTGGCAAGAGCGATACCCAAAACGACAACCATAACTCGGAAACTGCTGGCTATTTTAGGCGCGTTGAGGGCAAAGTTAGGCATAGTCTATGCCAAGATGCAACCATGTGGCTGTTTCCGATTACAAGTTCATGTTCCTCACTTGGACAGTTCAGGCGAGCGTGTTTAGGGTAGGTACTACCTGGACATTGACGAAATACTCAGTATGGTCGCCATGCATGAAGTGATTGGCTGTGTGTCGATGTTGACAGTAATCCATCGCACCAGCTATGTAATCTGAGTGTTTGAAGAGCAGCACTTATTCGAGGAAGCTGTTTGCCGTAGCAGTTGCACATGTTCACTAACTCTTCTTGTGATGGGGGGTGCAGCATGCTTACAACACTGCTTACTTAGCATTACCGCACCGTGGTTGAAGGTGGCGGCGCTTCAACTGTGTTTGCCTTAATGATTGCTTCCTCGTTCGTCTCACTGTCTTGACCATCGATGTCCTCAATGAACAGTTTGGTCGTGTCAAGCCCGATGTTAGCGTCTTTCAGGCGCTTCCTCATGTCCGTCCTCTCCTCCGCCTGCCACCTTGCTAGAGCAGCACCAGCATGAACGCGAAAGCCAAAGACACGAGGCTCATATCTTCTGCGGCTCTTCTGTGGTATCAGAGCAGGGTAGACCTGGAAAAGTATGTTATGAAAAGAGGTACCGAAATAAGCGCCATCGATCTGGGCATGACGTGAGGATTTTGGGTTGTAGATGTCTTCACAACGTCCACAATATAGCTTGACGGATTTCTGGTAAGGTACATCTGACAAGCCCATTGGGAGCAGTGGTTGTGAGTCGCAGTGCACACGGGGACACTTGCCGAAGTCTGATTTCTTGAACTTTTCGACCTGTTGATACGTGTTAGCGGAAAATAATAAAGTCTTGCACAGCAAATCTAACCATTTTCACCAGTCCCCTCGTGGTCACTATATACCTCGCATGTACCAGTCCGTAGAGATGTCGAGCCGATTTTTCAATAGTCTCTCGCATATCATCCTCGCAGTCAAGGTCGAAGACATCCGTAATCAGATCGAGAGCGTGCTGATAGTAATGTACTTCTGTCTGCAGGCCTGTAAGGTTGAAACGATCCGTGAGGTATTCTTCGTCTATCTCGCAGAAATATTCATTTCCTCGTGATGAGATAAACTAGAAAGATTAGAGTTAGTGAGATACACATTTCCGCTGGCAGAATGGTGTCGACGCCTGTCGATCAAAGTAGAGATATTTTGCTAAGCATTCCTGGAATCGTAGTTGAAGCCACCGTATTCTACTAGCTCTGCTCTCAATTCGGGGATCGAAGCGTCTTGCGATTCAAGCTCCTCACTCAAGCTTCGATATATCGCTTCAAAATCAACACGACCACACAGATAGGGTAGTTTTGGCAGACATTCTGTTCGAGATATGTGTGTACGTTTGCACTGGTGAGTCAAAAACAAAGGCATCACAGAGTCGATCGCAAATTGGGAAGACGCATGAGACTCACCCAATCACGCCAATAACTCGTGTAATCGCTGTCTGTTTCGGACGCGAAGTCATCCATCATCGCGGGCACATTGGTTCACGATGCTTGCGCTGGCGGTAATTGTGTTGTCAGGCAGATGACAAAGGGTTGTGCTGTAGGTGTTTTTGTATTGTGTTGCGCAACGGTATACACCAGTCGAGGTGATAATTCAGATGTGCTTGCAAAGCGTCATGTAGTCCAGAGGAGTGTTAAGACAAGCAAGGCTACCCTCACGTTCAAACTTCCGGGATGTTTGTCGTGTTTGTCTCATTGACTCAACTTTTAGTTATACAGATGTACATGCTATATAGCCCGCATAGTGCATATTAAACTCAACTCGCTGAAACAGTTTCAGGCAAGTCATCCTCCTGGATTCTGAATGTACCTGCAAACAAAATGGACATACCCCCATACGCTCGTCTCAAACATGGACCTTTCGTCTTGTGCTTCCTCCTCCTGTTGATGTGAGAACGTACTGCAACTCTTAGTGATCTTGTCAAACTTCGTGTTTACGAGCTCTCTCCTTTAGCATCCTTCGATCTCGCTCCCGTGCTTTGTTCTGTGGTTTCTCTGACCGCCTCCGCCTTTTCGCCCTCAATGTCACCACTCTCCTCCACAATCAGCTTGTTCTTGCTCAGCAGTTCGGCCAGCGAGCCGTCTTTATGCATCTGCATCAGAATGTCACAGCCTCCAACGAAGTCTTTGTTCACGTATAGTTGAGGGATCGTGGGCCAATCTGAATATTCTTTGATTCCTGCAAGCCATTAGTGTTGATCTCGGGGAGAGTGTTACAAAGTCCCGCATACCTGATCGTAGATCTTCGTCTTCTAGCACATTAAAAGCAGTGAAATTCCGCGGGTCCAGTCCCTGCAAGCTCAGAATCTGTATACTCGTTCTTGAGAAGCCACATTGAGGTGTTTCTGGAGTGCCCTTCATGAACAGCACAACCGGTGCCGAAGCGACAGCTTGGTCGATCGCTGTCCTGACTTCCTGCGACAACAACCTTGTCTGTATCAAGGACTGTGAGCTACGAGGAAGGAGTGTAGATGCTGTAGATGATGGGTGCAGCGCTGCGACCGCGCCACGGAGAGCCTGCGCATTAGATGAGCTTTAACGACGTTGTTAACCAATCAATGCAGTGCTCACCGGTGCTCTTAGACTTCTTGAAAGCATTTTGTGATGTGTTACTGTATGATTGTATAGGTCGACAGCTTTGGGTGTAATTACAGATCGCTTCACAACTCGTACGGGATTTGGAGATGGCAAAGGCCGATGACGTTCACTGCTGTTGACAAATGACCGCCGCCGCGGTTCAGATTACCTAAACTTCCACCGATTCTTATGCATTAATAAGCCATGCAAGCACCAACTGTTTTCCACACAAGATGAATATGTTGTAAGGTCCGTATAGCAGGTACAATCAATTTTGCGGCAGCATGAATCCTGCAAAGCGCTTCGACTCTGCAGCGCACCTTAACGATGGGAAGGTGCACATCCTCTTGGCGGCAAGTGGCTCCGTCGCTACAATCAAGTTACCTTTGATTGCCCAAGCACTTGCTCGATACGAGAACGTGTCTATTAGAATCATAATGACTGAGAACGCTCGAAACTTTCTCCAAGGCCAAGCTGAGGAACAGCCACATCTAGATAGTCTCGTCAAGGTTTCAGGTATCGATGGCATTTATTTCGATCCTGATGAATGGTCAAAGCCGTGGGTGAGAGGTGACAAAATATTACACATTGAGCTTCGGCGATGGGCGCATCTCTTGTTGATCGCTCCACTGTCAGCTAACACAATGGCAAAGATGGCAAATGGCATGAGCGACAACTTACTACTGAGCGTTATCCGAGCATGGGACACCACAGGCATGATTGATATGCAGAAGAAACACATCATGATTGCGCCAGCCATGAACACTGCAATGTGGAGGCATCCCATCACGAAAAAACAGCTAAGAAGTATTCAGCAAGACTGGACCGACGATGAAGAGAGCTCGGTTATCACGCTGAAGCCTGTTGAGAAGGAGCTCGCTTGTGGTGATACTGGTGCTGGTGCCATGATGGATTGGAACCAGATTGTGGCTCGTGTTGTTGACCACTTTCAACTGCAAAAACGGATAAACGGTGTTACATGAAAGTGAAGAGTCTATGCTAATGTCGTAGTCAATGCGCTTTTGGCCTCCTTGGTTCTGCGATGCAGATAGTCAGCGAACAGGCCTGCTGATATCACACCTCCTGTGAGCCAAGCGCCGTTCCTAAACCACCACCAGCAATCCCTGGGATCTTTGAGATTGACCCGGCGGATGATTGTGCCCAGAGACAGTGCAGCACCACCACAACTGACCACTGCAAAGACAGGTCCTGCTCCGGAAAAGTATCCAGCGGCCGCTAAGAGACTGACCTGCATAAACGTTAACCCAGAGAGGACTGCTTTCGTATTGTGCTCATGAGCAAGGGCAATCGATTTTATTCCAGCCTTCACGTCATCCTTGATGTCCATGTGAGCATAAATCATATCGTAGTTCATGGTCCATGCCCAACAACTACCATATAGCAGAGCAGCACTAGCCAGTGCATCCGTGTTGGAGAGAAGGTCGATCCCCAGCGCTGAAAATCCCATCCAGGCACCCCAGGTGAAGGTTAGGCCAAGGACGGCCTGAGGATAGTTGGTGACACGCTTCGCCAAAGGGTATAGCACTACAAATATCAAGCTGGGTGTTGCATAGAAGAAGCATGAAGCTGGGAAGGACAAAAGTATTCCTAGGCCCGCAAAGAGCTGAAACCCGAGGTATACGATTGCTTTGGTTGGTGAAATGGCACCCCTCGCAATAGGTCGAAACTTGGTTCTTTCGACATGAGGATCTAGGTTCCGATCCCAAAGATCATTGATGGTACAGCCCGCTCCTCTCATAATCAATGATCCCGCCAAGAACAAGCCTGTCGTTGAAACAATGTCGTAGAGGGAAGCCATGGGTACAGCCAGTGGTGCTGCCATGAGAGTCGAGTACAAGCATGGGAAAAACAGATAGTATGTGCCTGTTGGCTTGTCCAAACGGATGAGCTCGGCATATGGTATCCACGAGGCTGGAAGTCGGGAAATCAATCCTTTTGGTGTAGGCGTGTATATCACTGGAGAATTAATCTGTGCTGCATTTGGCTGTGCTGGAGGTAGAGCTTGGTGTCTATTACTGGTGAATGGTCGTACGCATGGTTCTCTTGAACAATATAATCCATCTTCAGGTCCCACTGGGCGTTCAACGAGTATGGGTACTGCCGTCCTGACAATAGTCGCTGACTTGCAGTTTGCTATTACGCGTGGTCGTGCCCTGATCAGCCAACTCCTGTGATGGCTGGCAAGCATTCGTGCCAATCTGAAACGCTGTCTTTCCTTTCACAAACGAGTCACAGACTTCCCAGTGTAGCTAGATCGAAATCTGCACCAATTGTAAGAACGATGCAAGAGAAAGCAAACAACCAGGCATAGCTGAAACTATCAGCGATGGAATGTGCCTTCCTCGTGGTGCAATTAGCTTTATTCGAAGCAAACAGTAAAGTACAGAATAGTTGCCGATTATAGCCCGTATCAACTGTCGATCAGCAGCTACATATTTTGGTACCTGCTGTCGCAAACCACGAACCATTCGCGACTGCCTTCACCTCTCCATTTGTTTCTTCACTCTACCTTCGATGCGCGCGAACTTGCTCACATCTCTCCATCGGTCTTGATCCGCCTGCAGAGAGGATGCTGGAGCAGTGTCTACGGATCTCAAGTTGACCATGCAAAATACAACACATCACTCAGACGGAATAGGCTGACTCGATATCCATTCAAACCTACCCACCTGCGCCCAAAATGCCGTCCACGCGACCATGCGCGGCCTTTGAGCCCATCGCCCCGGACTTCGATCTGAAGTCGTTGGTCGAGACGACGCCGAACTTCGAGTACGCTGTGCGCATACACTCGGACATGATAGAGCACCACGGCATTGCGGCTTTCGAAAGATTGGTATTAATGCACGTTATACTTGGAGGTAAACCACTGGTTATCGAAGGTTACGAGACGAAACTGGACAGCTGGATCTTTGCCATTCAGTGGCTTCGAGACAACTGCGGCTCGAATGTTGTCGACGCAAGGGACCTTACCAAGCAGGCAAATGTCCCCATGTCAATCGGTCATTATCTGAAGCATATGTCTTTGCTCACAAACCAATGGAATACTACAAACTACAAAGACCCCGAGCGCCAACGCATGTACCTGAAAGATATCGATTGCCCTCCTATGTGGAAAGAGCGTGTTGGACAGCATATTCCACCTTTCCTATTCTATCTGAATGACAATACTGGTGAATATGGCGGAATGGGCGCGGTAGAAGAGCCAGGCCCCAATAGCTCGGGGATGAGGAAGGGTCGTGGTATAGCAAAGGCCGGCGACCTTATGAGCAGTTTACCGCCACAAATGCGTGCGGAGAACCTTATGTGCTATATCGGTCACGAAGGCACTTACACCCCTGCTCACAGAGAAATGTGCGCATCGCTCGGACACAATATTATGGTTGAAGCTTCTATAGAAGGAAATGAAGACGACCAAAGGACCAAACCTGGTTCTTCGATCTGGTTTATGACAGAGACTAAGGAAAGAGAAGTCGTCTCTGAATACTGGTTATCACGCCTCGGCCACGACATCGAAGTTGAGAAGCATTTTGCACAGATAAATGCTTGGAAGAATGCTCCTTTCCAAGTGTACGTGGTCGACCAGAGACCCGGTGATTTTATCCTTATACCACCTCTTGCGCCACACCAGGTTTGGAATAGAGGTACTAGGACGATGAAAATAGCATGGAACCGAACTACGGTGGAGACGTTGGAAATGGCGATGAATGAGGCTCTCTTTAAAGCTCGAATGGTCTGCCGTGATGAGCAATACAAGAACAAGGCCATCATCTATTATACCCTCGAAAAATACGACAAACTTACTCTACAAGCAGACAAGCACAAGCAGAAGAATCCTGCGTCGAAGAGGGTACAAAAAGTAGACACACAAATCAAACAGCTTCAGAAAGACTTCAAACGTTTACATGCTCTTTTCACCAGGATGCTACTCGATGAAAGCTTCTACATTGATCGTGTTGAGAAGAAAGTCGAGATGGTACCCTACGAAGGTGACGTTACGTGTTCCTATTGCCGTAGCAACATCTTTAATAAATTCTTGACTTGTCCTTCATGTGTTGGTGACCTGCCTAATGGCGACAAAGACACCTACGATGTGTGCCTGGATTGCTATGCTATGGGTCGCAGTTGTGCATGCATCTCTAAGCTTCGTTGGGTTGAGCAGTGGGATTGGGGTATGCTCGTCCAGAAGCACGAGCAGTGGCGGCACCTGATCATTCAAGATGAGGGTCAAATCAATGAGAAGTCACCAAAGTCCTTGAAGCATGAGCTTGATCGCAGAGGAAAGCGTCGAACCATAGCTCAGATTTGTCAAACCGAACTCTTGAAACGTCCCTGGCGGGATATTCGAAAACCGATCTCTGTAGCCGAACAGCCCGAAGAGGAAGAAGACACTCAGGTTGACGAATTTGGTAATGTGAAGAGGAAGAAGGTCAAAAAGAAGTCCGAAAAGTTCATGAGAGACCATGGAAGATGTCACGTCGACTGCTATTGGGAACCGCGATGGAAGCAAGCTCAATGTACGAAATGTCACAAGAACTATTGCTTCGGTCTCCTCTTTCGAGCGTACGACATGATGCCACAGGACATACTCGCAGATCCTGATTGGACTTGTCCGGCATGTCTGAAAATATGTAACTGCCGACAATGCAGTAAGAAGCCAGGATACAAGAGATATACTCCCAAGGGTACTCTTCTGGGGCACAACACGAAGGCAGTAGCGGATCCTCGTTCTGTGGAAAGCTTGGTCGATTTTAGTTTCTCCAATATCCAATGGATCAAAAAGGCTGATGATGACTATGATGCTGAAGACACACGCAGATTGCAGAAGCGCCGTCGTGAAGCAAATGCGGCCATGAACAGAGATCCAGACCTCGGGGACAATTATGTAGATGAAGATGGTCAGAAATCGCAGGATGTCGAAGGTGGAATTCTGCGACTCGCTGAGCAGGAGGGCATACCAATTGACCCTGCTCTTTCATCAGGGTTTATAGCTGTGAATGGAGCCAACCATGACTCACCTGATGAGGATGATGTGAACGAGAACCCTGAGGAAACCCTTCGTCGGCCACAAGATAGAGGCGAAGAACCTCAGTTTGCACTTCCTGACGGAGTTGTTGTGCAGGATCCTCAGCACCCGTCGTACGACCCAACTGACTTGATCACATTCACATACCCAGATCCAGTAGTGGGCCCAATACCGCCTGCACCTATGGAAGGCTACCAAGAGGCGGCAGCAGAACTGCCGTACCAGGACGTTGAGCCGCCCTCGCCAACCAAGATTGAAATGGTTGAGAGAAAGCGTAAACGTAAGTTTGACGAAGGAGACAAGGCTTTCCACCTAACCGCAAGCAAGTCCAAGAAGAGCGTATCAAAGAAGCGTCAATCCTTAGTCGTGCGCCTCACAATTGACCAGGATAAACTTCAGCAATTTGGATCGTCGGCTGAGGCTGTTCAATCTGCTGCAGATGGTGCTGTTTCACAGGCACCTGTGGTAAGTTCTGACTTGCAGGCACTGAATGTCTATCCAAACGAGGATGGCCAACCCCCAGCGAAGAAATTACGAAGGGATGAACGACCTCCACCAATAGAGGCTGACGATGAATATGCTCCTGGTCGTCCTAGGGATCGTAGGAAGGCTCCTATCGATGGCACGCCATTACCACCAAAGCAGGACAACGTCGAGAGACGAACAACTAGACTGCAGAATGTTACTTATGCTGAACCTGATGAAGAAGAGTTCAACGAGATCGTCGCGCCAAAATCGCGGATTATGGAGCAGGCTGAGGTCATCGATAGTGTCGAAATGGAGGAGGCCATTTCTGTCGACATCAGCGATGCCGAAGATGAAACACCTTCCACCAAAGTCGCCGGCAAGCGTCCCGCGCTGACAACGCCTGCTGCTGTGGCTACCTTAGCAAGAAGAGTGGGCTCAAGTGCAAGAGATGACCGTAGCCGCAATGGTGTTCGAATCGCGACCATCAACGGCAGTGGGTCTAACACGCCTTTGTCGTCAGTGCAACAATTTGCCAAAACTTCTTCTGAAGTGCAAGCCTCGGCGAACAGACGGGCAAAGATGGCAGCTTTGGAAGACGTTGAAATCGACGATATCGATGACATCGAAGATAGCTCTATCGACAGTACGCCTGAACCACAGAAACAGCAGCAGCGACCGATTTCTGTTTCTGGAACACCCAAGCACATGGTGCGTGGAGACAGGATACAGGGGTCGAGCGCGTCCGGCAAAGAAACTTCATCGCTCAGAACAGCGCCTGCCAATAAGTTTTCTGCTATCCATCACAATCGACCTGGACCCAAAGCTACATCAACAAACAACGCAGCTGCGAAATCGGCATCACTACACAAAGCTTCCGCAAGAGATTGGGATGACGATGATAGTGATTGATGCTTCATTTTGGAGGGCCTGCTTTGTGACAGCAGTTCGTAGAGCTTGGTAATCACTGTTATGAATTCTTGTACATGTACTTTCGATAGCATGGCGCTGGAGGACGTGGTTGTTTGTGAGGTAGTGGTACTGGACAATGTGAATATGGCCGCACGGTGATTATTACTTCATTAACTGTGATACTCTGTGCTTGTATACATCTTTCCGCTTTGCACAAATCAAAGACTCATTATCCTCTTCGTCCAAAAGGCCCGTTCTTCTAACACACAAACCCCAACTCGCAGGTAGGATGTGATACCTAGCCTACCCGCATATACGCCAGCCATTACATTCCCGACTCCAGAATTTGATTATTGACCCATCTTCGTACGTCGGAGGTGGCCGAGAAAAGGTCACCTTCCGCGAGGTAATATGCCTGCATCCTCTGCCGCGTGCAGTATCTCTTTCCCACCCATCAGACCTAGTGGACGCATTTTGAGGAGGTTGCGGGCAGCTGGACGCACCAGTTCAACCACATTGGCGGGCTGGTGGAAGTGGTTGAGTGCTTCTGACCGGCTAGAAGAGTCCGGTAATTGCGACGCGTTTAGATAGGTAGATCGAGCTACATGTAGACCTCATACCATTCTTAGCTTTCCTGTCACGTAGCCTCTTTCTGCTTCTGTGCTTCTCTAGCATCTTCCTCTTTCAGCACGACCTCCATCGCTTTTCTGATTATTCGTGTCATGGGCATTACCACTGGTCTCTCAATACCATCCTTACTCCATACTCTTTCTACCCAATCTTCCTCTGGCGTCACTGTTCTAGTCCATCGCAGTTCCAGGATGCGCGTTTTGATCATGCTGTCGACCTGTGCTGTTCCAATCTGCCGACAGAGGTCGAAGTATGGCATTGAGTATGGCGATTCGACGAGCTTGCGCATAACGTAGACGAGGTCTTTAGGTGTGAACTTTGCGTCGTCGTCTTCGGAGGATGTGCCTGCTACTGCTGTTGACAAGGGGCTGAATGTCTCGAATCTTGAGTGTGTGAGGTGGAATTGTAGGAGAGTATAGGCTTGAATGAAGATGTCGGATTGGTATGGTGTTGTTTCGCCGTCTGCGTTGACCCAGTTGCTGATGTAGTCGTTGACGTGACTTAGCTTACCACCAAATGCATTCCAGATGTCATCGAAATGTGTGGATAATTTGCTGGCAAGTCTTTTGGGTACGGTGGGTAACATTCGTTCGTGGAAGTAACGTAGTGTATCCTCGTATGGACAGTCGCCAACAGTGAGTACTTGAGTATGGTGGCCAACGTTCATGCTTCGAAGAAAGTGGTGGAAGAAGCTGTCGCTGGAGGAGAAGATGACGTGACAGAGGCGGTCCTGCTTGGTAAGGACAAGCAACGTGTCGAGGAACACCTTGAGCGAGAGCTGGTCGTCAACGAGAGCTGGCAGTTTGTGAGCTTCGTCAAGAAAGAACACGATAGGGCGTTTCTTGAAGACTGGTTGTTCGGCAGGTTCTTCAGACTCTTCGGATTCTTCGTTCTCAACCTTGCGTACAGCAGGTCGCTTATCGGACGGCTTTTCGCCATTTTCTGCTGTTTTCTTGACCTTGGCACTAGGATCGTACTCCCAGTAACGTAATAGACAGCTTTGGACAGATTCCATGAGGCTGGCAAGATCTGCCACGGTGACTTCGTGGCCTCCTTCTTGTTTTTCGCTCTCAGCGAGTTGAAGAGATAGATGTTTAAAGGTCAAAGCCTGCTTGTTCATCTCATCGTCCTGCATCTGGGAACATCAGTTGGTATGATCATCTTAGGAGTACCACTCAAACCTTTTCGAAGAATGTCTGGAACTGCTCACACAGAGCAATATACAAAGTCCGCAAATCGGCGAAACCACTGATCCTCAAATCGAAAGCTACGACAAAGTAGTCATCATCAGCCAGAACTTGTCGTAGTAACGCAGTCTTGCCCACACTCGTAGCACCAAACAAGACAGTCATCCTTGGGTCGTTTGCCAGGATCTTCCTGAGCAAGGCTTGCTCTACTTTTCGACCATGAAAACCTGGTAGCTTTGCGAAAGTATGCTTCTTGGGTATCTTCTTGGCTTCGCGACTTAGCTGCATATCTTCCTTGGCTTTCTGCAGCATCTCTCTTGATTCATTGAGTTGGCGGAGAGTCTCGGCAGGATTGGCAATCACGCCAGCTATCTCCCCGAGGCCTAAGAACGATCTTGTGGTGCATTTTTGAACTACCAGCTTGCATGACTGTTGCTTAAGCGATGGACGACGAAGCAGAAGTCTGAGGGACGAAGACATATTGAGAAAGGCGATATCACGAAGGACCTCCACTCATCAGTCTGTAGTTTCCTCTGCTAACATTCACTAGCATGTTGGTACTAGGCAGTCGTTTCACTTGAGTGGTTTTGTCTATCGAAGCCGTATCTATGCAGTAGACAGACTCAAACGATTCATCTATGATCAATACCGCAAGATTATCGACTGAAGATAGCTCAGCTTGCTAATGTCACGCGTCACGACTCTACGAGGCGGAGTGGATACTGGGGGTGGCCTCGGAGACATTTCCCGCCGGTAGCGTGCCTAGTTAGGAACGTGAAGATCTGACAGTTGCTCTTTCCACAACCCTCGACAGCGTTCACATGGCAGTCACGACTAAGAAGTCAAATTCGTGGTAGCGAGGGAGTCACAAATGGCACTGCTTGATGCTGATTCAAGGTTTTTCTGAGATATTTTATTGCCCTACAAAATCGATAATCGAGATCTATGTTACACCTTACTCCTCATGCCGCCTATACTATTATATGGTATCCAATCTGCTCCATACTGATGATGAGTGTTCAGGTTCTCATCACAAAGTTCTCATGAGCACTGCCACGTCTTGCCCGCTCATCCTCGAAGCTGGACTTATGGTGAGAGGTGTGCTCTGTACCCTCCTCGACCCATCTCACATATGCTCGAGCATAAAGGTCTCTTACTGATGCTGTTGGGCGTTGGACCTTGTGGTCTGCTGAGGTAGATGAAATGTTGTTCTTCTTTGTGCTGTGGAAGAATGCCATTGTCGTTGATGATAGTGGTTGTTTCTATTCTCTTGTGGGACTGTTGATCAAATGTTCCAAGGTGAGACAGTGAGTTTGCTTGTAATGGGTTTAGATGATGTGGGGATGTGTTATTGATGTTGCTTGGAGAGTGTTTAAATTCTTGCTAATGGTTTATAGCTATTTCTGACAAGATGCACAATTATTAATCGAACGAGCAGGGACGAACTTATACCTTTAGATCTCACAATTGCCATCGCGACTTCCCGAAATCTTCAGCTCGCAAACATTAATTGACGACGTCGAGCCAACAGCGTTGAAGAGGGGATTTTGGCAACATGAAGTTTGACGGCAACGAGGTAGCCAAGCTGGGCAGTTTCTTCTCAGGTCAACCTGCCTGAAATATCAGGTTGATTGGCCGATCAAGCCGGCAACTTTCTCCAGAGAAGACACGATGTGGTCGACCAAAATGCCGCAAGGGAAAACTTTGCAAGTCAGCCGAGCCTCCTCAAGCGTCGCGTAGTGCCTCAAATTCAGCACGCTAAGGCACCAAGGTTTGAGCAATTCACCTCCCTAAAAACGAATCAGATGAACGCAAACTTGGCTCGCTCGAATTGGGACCAAAATGCTTCGCCTGTGTACACAGGACTGGGTCGTAGTCAATAGTCATCAAACAGCAAACATGGGAATGTACGTTCTTCTCGAAGATGTGCCACGTTGTGAACACGGCGGACAATTGCCACCTGTTTCGTGGCCAGAGGGCTTGTTACAGCTGCATGACCAATTGACTTTATACCACGCGCTTTGACATTGCAGACTCGGCGAGGACGATGTAGCTGTGACACGAAGGTTGTACGACGGGATGAGTAGACGAACTCACGTGCAAGCAATACTCGATCGATGACATCTCAAATCTGTAACAAGGCAACCTGCTGGATCCACTCTTTAAGTGATCCACTTCCGACAAGGAGTGGCATTTCAGACGACATCCCATCGAGTGGGTATATTGTTTGTGCACTTACTAAACTGTATTACGAGGAATACTTCCAGCTTGTGCAAACTTCGTGAATCAGCTCACAACGCTGGTGAACTGGATGAGAAATAGAAGACGTATTCTGACTTTGAGCCTCTCACAGCCAGACATCATAAGAGCTTTGTTACGGGTATAGCCAGCCACCTATACTAGATGGCATTGGCTATTGGGTGATCATGTGCCCGTCTCCTCGAGCGAAGCATTCACTACTGCAATCCAGCAGGCACTACTGACGCCGCAAGATCGAGGAATATTCTATGACGTATACATAACTCACACCTGATCTGTTCGCCTCCCTCCAAACGAGGTTGCTCAATGCTGATAAGTACATCATCTTGTCGTTATCTTGTCTTTGTTGTTGCGTGAAGAGGTGATACGTATTTGACACAGCTGTTACAATCGCAAAACAATCGACAGATAAGAGGTCACTATGGCTGCTGTAATCGTGGCGAGCGGATTTTACCTAGTCGAGAAGATCAAAAACAAGAAGGAAGCTAAGCGCGAAGCCAAGCGCAAACAATACGAAGATCGCTACAAGGAATTGGAAGCTGAGCACAAGATCACGCAACGAAACGGATCCAGAGACGAGAAGTATTCACAAGATCAAAGTCGACAACCAGAAGCAGGCCACGAAATTCGGAGGTCAACAAGTCGTACCAGTGAAGACGAACGAACATCACATTTGGATGATGGGCCAAGCCGTTGGGTCAATGAGTCCGTGATGGCCAGAAAGGTTGGATGAGTGTTTGTTGACGACCGTGTGCACACACGTCTGACCAACACCTCGTGGCCGCCTCTGATAACACGAAGTCGTCGATAGTGTGGAGATCATAACCCAACTTGCTGCGAACGTGTCGTGGTTGCTGACGAGAGAGCAGATTCTTGCTTGCGCGCACAAATAGTACTAGCTTTTCTATCCGTTACGAACTCTGCTCGCTGTGCTGCGAAGGAGGCACTCTCGTTGGTCAACCAACATAATGCCCAACGCTGCAAGGCAGAGAGAGTATGTCTTGCGCAACAGAAGAGTCAGAGCGTTCTATATAAGCGTCGCAATGATCATGTCGCAGTGCATCTCAATAGGCAAGCCAGGCTTACATTCACGATCAAGTTCAAGTCTTCATAGCATTGATACCTCTTTCCAGTCCACCCGATAGCACCATGTCGAACGGGCAACCCAGCCAGGGCTCCCCAGGAGGTTACATACGTGGAGTGCACCCCAACGTCCCCGGGTTCACGTTCCCACCTGGTCAGCTTGTTGTTCAAGTACCGCAACAGCCTCAACAACCTCAAATCAATGGCATCATACATCAACCTCCACCTCAACAACCCAACGGTTACATGTATTACACCGTCTTTTATCACCCGGGAGGCCGGCGTTCATGGTAGACTGATTCTGGAACCTTCAAAAGAGGCTCAGAATGCACCAAGCTCAATGCGCGAATTCACTCACTATGCTCATGTACTTCGTGGCGGCGATCTCTTCGGTATCCAAGAACGCCTACCTCGTGCAAGATCATTCAGTATCTTGCGCAGGAGGATTGAGCTGTCGGATGCTGCGCTCAGCTTCTGAGGCTTGGGTTAACTTCGTTCACCTCACTCCGTGGATGAATAGAGCAGCTCTTATCGCATTAACGAATGACTACTCAAGAACGAGCTCTGTGCCAGAATCAAGGCAATGCGGCAACATTTCGGCTTCTGTTGCACCTTGTGATGAACAGAAATCACTCTGTCTGGATATCAACGGGACAAAATTGTGCACGATCTGTATCTCTTCATAGCTTCGTCAAGTATGTCATTCGTGTACGAATATGTCTCAGCCTTAGAGAATGTCATTTTTACATCAAACTCCAATCTCTGCATCGAGACCATTGAACCCGTACGTGATGAAACGAAGGCACAGCTGTTCAGTATGTGCACATGACTTCAAGATGTATAGGCAACTATACAATGCACAACTGTATCTTCTGGCTGTGCGCTGTTTCTCCAGGCTGTATTTCTAGGGGCCTTCGTTGATAAATCTACCTGGGTGGAGACGCGAATGTCCGGGGTCATTTTGCGCGGCGCTTCGCCCAAAGTGCCGAATGCCGCCTCCAAAGAGCTTATTCGACCCCCACCATATACGACCTGCTGACGGGGTGTTTTCCAATGATTTGTGGATGGTTCTCTTTTTCATAAGCCTCGGGCAGTTTTCGCGCGAACAATGTCCGTCATGAAGCTGGAAAAGTTGCATCGTGACTCTATCCTCTGTGTGAGCATGTCTTTGCAACTGTTCTCAGACATCAACGTCGTGTTTGGGTCATTTGCTGTTTCTCTCCAAGAATCAGTGTGACCACAAGCTGTCCACCTAGCCATATGAGCCAGCATCGACATTGCCCAAGTCGTTAACGGCGCCTCCATCAGATTCCATGGATCAAACGCTTAATATAACCTTGAGGATACGTGAAATATTGCAAAGTCGGCACGGTCAAGATGGTCAAGCGTGATGGTTTGGGTAGTGGCCGAAATGCTCCCCGACTACCCAAGCAGCAATTGACCATTCTCGCAATATGCCGTTTTGCTGAGCCTGTGGCTATGACTTCGGTTGGTATTGCGACTGGTTCCAAACCCAAGGCTAACGTCCACAGGTCTACCCATACATACCAGAGATGATCAAATCCTTCCACGTACCCACAAACTCCATCGCGAAGTACGCCGGATTACTGTCATTGGTCTTCTCACTGTCTCAGGCGCTGGTTGGTATATCATGGGGCCGAGCCAGCGACAAGATCGGCCGAAAGCCTACAATCATGATCGCATTGTCTTGCACTATGATGTCCTCGTTGCTTTTCGGTTTCAGCACTAGTCTACCAATGGCTTTCCTTACCAGATCTATGCAAGGTCTTTCAAATGGTAATGTTGGAATCATACGCACAGCAGTCGCCGAGCTTGTTCCTCAGAAGGAGCTGCAGCCCAGAGCATTCAGTATAATGCCTCTCATCTGGACGATTGGGTCGATTTTTGGACCCTCGATTGGTGGCACGCTCGTATATCCTGTCGAGCGCTTTCCCAATATCTTCGGAGGTGTCAAATTACTCGAGCGATACCCATTCGCTCTGCCAAATCTACTCATCAGTTTCCTCTTCTTCGTTGGAATTGCATCTGGCATTTTATTCCTTAGGGAGACTCTCGAAGACAAGAAGGATCGCAAGGACTATGGACTTGTGCTTGGATCGATGCTCACAACATCCTGCAGCGGACGCAAACGACCTGCTTGGTATACTCGAGAAACAGACGAAGCAAGAGAAGCCTTTCTCAGAGACGACAATACTTCACCTATAGCTGCACGCCATTCAAGTGCACCAGAACCAAGAGCCGGGTGGGCACAAGTCTTCACCTACCAGTCCAGCCTCAATCTCCTCGTCTACACCTTCCTCGCCATGCACAGCGTCTCCTTCGACCAACTTCTCCCCGTCTTCCTAGACTTCAGCCCCGTCCAAACCATCGACGACCCCCGCGTCAAACTCCCTCTCAAATTCGCCGGCGGCTTCAACCTCGACTCCAGCCGTATAGGCTGGCTATTCACCATCTACGGCATCTTCGGCATGGTCGTCCAATTCGCCATCTTTCCACCCCTCGTGCGCAAGCTAGGCGTACTCAACTGCTACAAGGCCATCGCGGTCACGTTCCCCTTCGTCTACATCGCCATCCCTTACACTTCGCTCCTACGAACAGATACCCAGAGGCAAACGGTAATGATGGCGCTCATGCTAATCAAAGGCTTTTGCGCCATCTTCGCATTCCCCTGCAGCACGATCCTGCTTACGAACAGTGCTGCGAGCTTGAAAGTTCTAGGTACGCTCAATGGAGCCGCAACTAGTATTTCGGCTTGTGGCCGGGCGGCGGGACCGGCGCTTGCGGGACTGATGTTCTCGTTGGGAGCGGAGAATGGGTACATGATATTGCCGTGGTGGACTTTAGCATTCATCGCTTTGGTCGGCGCAGTCCCAGCTTGGTGGCTAGTTGAGATGGATGGGTTTGGAGGGCCAGAAAGTGATGATGACGATGACGAAGATATGGCTGTTGACAGCGGAGACGAGGGAGACGAAAGCACAAACCGCAGTGCCATTGGGCCTCAAATTGACGCTAAAGCCACAAGCACCAGCCTCGCAGTCAGTCCTGCGGACAACGATACTCTCCCAGATAATCTCCCTGCGCTTGCACACACGGCATCTCGTGGGTCAGCGGGCCGATCGAGTAGTAGGCGGGAGAGCTTCAGTCTTCGACGGATGCATAGCCCTGTGGGTATGGGGGAGGAAGGACTTGCGACGAGGAATCAGCGACGGTATAGTACGGATCTGGGCACGACGATGACGGGGCAGGGGACTGGTGGTAGCTCGTTCAATTAATTAGTCTTGGTGTATGGGAGTGTTTGGCAATCTAGCTTTTTGAGATATGCTTCCGTTTGAGCAAAGTAGTGGTATTGGAAAAGTGTTGAAGCGACTATTGTATAGCACCTTGCAGTATGCGTTCAGATCACAGCTAGCTGTATGATCCTGAGTTCTTTCTGGAACCCCTTCAGAAAACAAAAAGTAATAAAAACAATATCGCTGTCATGCCGTATCTCGCGCGAGCATGAAAGCATATCTCACACCACGGTCTCTTCGCCATCCCAGCACGGGCAGCTTCCGAACACTTGGTCCGATGACCAACGAGCAATAACAACAGCCTCGCCGCATCTCCTTGATCATGCCATTGCCCATCCTCACTCACTCACTCACTCACTAATATCCATTGCTTCACTCTCTTCACCCGACGACCCTTCTGCCTCCTCCTCGTTGTTAACCTCCCAAGGCCAGTTCACCGTATCATACACAGTCGGAGTGCCAGTCTTGTCAAAAGTCCAACCATACTCATGGCACAGTTTCTCCCACCTCTTGATCAGGTTGTAAAGGTTCTGTCCATTCCGCTCACGTCTCGGCTCGACTTCAGATGGAACGGTCTTGCCAGCGAAGCGCGCGTTCCACTTCTTGCTCCACTCATCTTTGAGTGTGTCTGTGACGGCGAATGAGCGTGAAATTCTGATCTGGGACTGGCCAGGACGGGCCTCTTTGTGGCGCGCGAAGGAGTCATCGAGGAGCTCTTTGAGAAATTTCTGCTCTTCGATTGATAGTCGTTGACCAGCTTCTCGGAGGACAGTCTGCGTGACTCTTGTAGTTTTCTGAGTGTGCCATCTTCTGACGTGTTGGATATCGTCCTTGTTGCTCCAGTCGAACATCCTGGTTCGCCTCTCATTTGCCTTTCGTGTGCCACCTTCTGCGATTGTTCTGTTCTCGCCAGCATCGGCCAGAAGGTATCGATTGTTCTTAAATGGCTTCCAGAAATATCTTCCTTTCTGAATATACTCGAATCGAAACTTTGTCCAGTCTGGCACTCCGAGTTTCGCGGGCTGCACATTGTAGTTGATGACACCTCCAGGTCGACGAACTCGCAGCTTTCCGTTAGGGCCTTTGACTCGCTTCTTGATACCGCCAAAGTGTGGGAAGCTCCATGAACCAGTGGTCGTCTTACTAAAGGAGGAGATGTCGGTTTTGGCTCTGGTGTCCTCGTCCATGAACTGCTCCGTCTCTGGATCCCACATATCATCGTCGTCGTTCTCAACTCGACAGTAGCATGATTCAGGATCTGGTAATGAAGCGTGTTTCCCATCGAAGTCAATTCGCATCCCTATACCTGCCTTACGAGTACCTTCTTTGTCCTTGGGGTGCTTGCGTGGCTCGATACCATCTCGATGCCAAGCTGCCAAAGCTTTGACCAGATTATCGTCGTGGACGGAAAGATGTTCTTTAGCACTATACCAGCTTGGAAACCCCGTGTATGTTATGAACAGCGCTAGTCGTTGATCTCGTTCAGACTGCGCCTCGCTTTCCGATGTGCAGAGGTCGGGTGATGGACGCATACGGTCGAAATACTCAGACAATACTGCGGATAGCAATTCCCTGTCTTGATAAAATACCAAAGCCCCTTCGAGGTCCCAGCTGGCAAGTCCTGCTAGAACTAAGACTGCCTCACCACGCGACAACAGTACATCGAAAGTGTCGAGGACAGCGTTGGTAAAGACAATGACCGCACTGCGACGTTCGAGGTCAGCATTGCCTGTGTAGACGAGCGCGTATTCGTCAAATTTGAAACTAGCCGGGACAAAGATTTCGTCGAGCGAATTATCCTGCACATGCTGTAGCAATGTGAAGCCTCCAGGGTATTTTGGGCCTAGAACATCTTTGTTTGACAATCTAAGGATTTTGAGGTCGCTCTCGGTGTCTGCTATGTCTTCTTTATCTTCAGAAGTGGCGTCGAACTCCCATTCGGTTAGCTCGCCATCGTCTTTAGGTCGATTTCTCTGAATTGCCTCCCAGAAACGAAAGAGTGCTTCGCTTTTGTCGACATCCCAGCCAAGTTTGTGAAGAATCATCAAAAGCAATGAGGTGTGGTGTGGCGTCGGGTATATTCTGTTTTGCAAGGCACGTAGGCGCGCGTCTTTTTCGACCTGTGATAATCCGCTGGGTCGTGTTGGAGTTTGTGTCTCGTTTCTCTGCTCATTCTCTGGAGTATCGTCGGATTGCCGCTCCTGTTCGTCGGTCATATTGATATCGACCCCAGCCCCAGACTCGGTCGATGGCGAGGCTGTTCGCCGTCAGCTTGAACAGGATAAATGACTTACTCAAATTCACTCACTGGCTTGCCCAGATATGACGATAATGAGCTTAATAGTATGAAGGTAACTGAGAAGGGAGATCTCTTAGCTATTGGCAGCCACTGTGTCAGAGTAATGCGTTTCAAGGTTGGTTAATGAAGGCACTGTTTGCAGTCGAGATTGTCGAATCGATAGAAGTGGTCATCCGCTTGCCTGGGATTGCAGACACGTCTGGGAAAACCGATCACCTCGCTTGGACTGCAAAGACCTAAGGAGAATGCCGAAGATTTCAAGAAATATTCAAAGGATTAGGTACAACAGTGAAGCAAAATACTTGTCACTTTGGAAGTTAGCTAAACAAATGTGGCAGTAAATCAGGCAAACATTGCATCCAGTGCCTCGAAGTGCGGCACTACAGCAAGTGCTAGGTGATGTATTCTGTAATCGCGTTTGACAACAGTGATTGCAGTGCAGTGCTCACCTATATTCGACCCTGCGACTGCTATTTCAATGAGGGCGTACAAGTTGATGATTAGTAGTGAACCGTCCGAGGTCAATGGGCAGATCTTGTTTCAACACTGACACAACAACAAGTTTCGTTCCTTCTCTTGCAGCTGTTCCAGGACGACGGGAAGCTCGACTGCAGTCGACGACCTCAGTTACGAGCTGACATTGCATCTCAGCGGAGAGGCATGGCTTCGCAAGATTGCTCCCCAATCACGGTAATAACTTTCGTTCGTAGGTGTGGCTGCAAAAGCTCAACCAGCCAAAGGAAGTCTTCGACCTCGTTGTTGATCCTATCCTGGAATCCGCAACAGCCTGTTGAAAGTCGAGCTGACCAGCCCTTCTAGGAACCTCGTTACCTCTAGAAGAGTTGACTCCGTGTCGCGATTGTCATATTGTCTTCTGGGGCTGTCAAGAGACAACGAGTATACCAGACACAATCTTGAATTAGGAGCTCACCTAAATTGTGGGTATCCAAACTTCCATCGGAAAAGCAGATCGGGACAAGAGGACAACACAAGGACAGGGAAAAGTTCATGAGTTCAATCCGAAGAGAGCACGTCTCACTCACGAAGAAATAAAGTGCAAGAGGAGCAACACAACGACAGTAGCAGCGGCATACCTGTGGCTGCTCCAGGAGGCATCCTAGCAGGGAATATGAAGTCATCGCGAGCATGACTAGCTGACAACGATTCTGCACTGTGATGATCCGTGGGACGTCTGTATGCTGGTAGAGCCTGACGATAGTCGCGTCGCCAAGGTGAGCACTAGACGCCATTGCCGGAGCAGAACCAGCGCTAGACATACCCGAAGCTCATGATCTGCTGTGTGGTCGAGAACGGCACCTCAAGACAAGTCGGTCTATAAACAGAGAGCATTACTCACCGTCCGAATGACCGAGTATCATCGCATACAATGGTCTGAGCATTAACTAATGCTCGGGCTGTCATGGTGTGCTATGCTCTTCCAGAGGAGAGCGCAAGTCCTCCTTCGGAAAAGGTCTTACATCCTCCGTGCCATTGACAGAACAATCTGCGGACATGGCAGTCCACAGTTCGGCTATATTGAGAAGTCACGATGAGTGGTTCTTGAAGGGTCTGCGAGCAGACCACGGACATATCTAAGGGTCCGAGTAAGTCATCTTAAGACCTGCGGTGTTCTTCTCCTTCAAGTCATTGTGTTTGCGGGAGGTTGGCTTCCAGAAAAGTACTGGAAGGAGTGACTCGACGCCATATATGTCAGATTGTTTTTGCGGGTACATCACGGACTAGATGTTCTTGCAGCAGCAACATCGTTCCGACAAGAGCGTGGCATTCGTACTCTTGTTCTCATTTTCAACCTTGATGAGGGTCTCGGTATAGGTAAGGAGGTATCGCTCGGGTAGATGTCTGCTGTGTGAAGTCCTCTATGAGGTCCGACGGTGATGTACTTGACGCGGTGTGGTGGAGAGCATTAGAAGGTGCCGATGCAGCTAGCCGTGAAACAGGGCAGGCGTGCGCACCCGAGTGCAAGACGCATGCAATGTCTTGTTGCAGGCAACGGAGGGTCATTTTAGCCACACGTGTTGCTGATCTGACATTTGGATGACGGCGACATGATGGGGAGTCGAACACTCGGAAGTGAGCTTTCGGGAGATATCAGACTCGAGCATCGGCTTCGTATAGAGACTTGCCGATGCGGTCATACTTCCGGTACAGAAAGAGCGGCAAGGCGATTTCCAGATAATGTGCCAAGATACATGGCGGACATGCAAGGATCGACGGCTACGGAATTGTCTGTCTTTGCGCAGATCAATATACTTTGTGTAATTACAATACTACATATTGACAATGGTTTGGACCGCAGCACACATAGCTTTGTCAAATTCATCAAGCGATGGAGGATGGTCTCCGGTACTCTTTGTCCAGGGTCGTTCAATCCCTTTCCTACATCGACGAAGCTTGCCTGATCCAGCATTCACTAAAGGTGGATGTCTACTTACATATGCTGTGGCCAAAAGCAAAGCAATACAAACGCAACGAGGTCTAATGAACAAGAACTTGGTCGTGGAAGAATTTTATGATTAAGAAAAGGCTATTACTGATAGCTCCGTAGATCGGTTGCGATGCTATCTCGGACGAAGCAGGTATGTTGATATACTAGAAAGAACGTGGTGGTTGTATCAGGTAAATGTGGAATTGCCAAATCTGCAAAATAGTATGCTACTTGTCCGGCCCTCCCAAACTTGAAGACGGAAATGGCAGGTCTGAAGCTGAATAATTCAGATGGAATAAAATGACGCTGCATTGACGTCAAAGCCAATGGCAGACAAATATAATGAAGGGCTCACACGACAATGACTTTCAGGATAGACAGGCAATAAGAGATCATATAGGTTCTGTAGTCTTACATTCCTGCCAACTTAAAAGCCCATCCGTGTTACGCTACACCACAATTCACTATGGCTCAAGCCAAATTCTTCTCTATGGGCACGCATCGATTCGCTGATATCACATCCGAGCCAGAAGTGGTACGCATAAAATATGTCGATACTCAACCAGCTAAAGGTACCTCGAACAAAGGCACAATCATGCTGATCCATGGCTTTCCCCAGACTGGGTACCAGTTCCGCAAGGTCATCCCTCTACTTGCCGACGGCGGCTATCGTACCATCGTACCTGATTATCGCGGATCAGGAGATTCCACCAAGCCGATGAATCTTTCGGGCTACTCTAAGACCAGCATGGCAACTGATTTGCACACCCTTGTCAAGACTCACCTCCAGATACAAGACAAAATCCATGTTGTCGGCCACGACATTGGTGGCATGATAGCTCACGCGTATGCAGCACTGTTCCCAGCAGACACAGCAAGTATCATCTGGGGAGAATGCCCTCTCCCAGGAACCAAATTCTATCAAGAGACAAAAGACAGCTCGATGCTCTGGCATTTCAATTTCCACAAGGTCCTGGACTTGCCGGAACTGTTGATCAAGGGCAACGAACGAGCGTACTTGAAACACTTCTATAACAAACTGAGTCATAATCCTGCGGCCATAACGCCGGAGGATCTTGACCATTATACAAACCTGTATGCGCAACCTGGCAGTATGAGAGCCGGTATTAATGTTTATCGACTGTTCGAGCAGGATGCAGAGGATAACAAGTCGATTCGAGACCGCAATGGGAAGTCGAAGGTGAGATGTTTGACACTGAACGGGGCGAAGAGTTTTTTGAAGCAAGCAGCAGCCGATGAGGCACAGGAATTTTATGAAGACTTTCGAGTAGCGGAGGTGGATGAAGCCATGCATTGGATCGCTGAAGAGAACCCACAAGCCTTCGTCAAGGAGGTGATAGAGTTTGTAGAGGCAGGGTCTAAGCTTTGAGCTGAACAATATCACGAGACGTGGTCGCAGATTCGAGAGTGGTATTGCCCAGTCCGTCCTGATCGATCAGTGAGCTCATCGCGAAGCACTACCTGTTTGACTGTATTCATAACGATTAGATTGGTCACAGATTATCTGCAGCATGTTGCTTCCGCAGCGCCTCGAGCGCTTTAGTGTTCATGAAGGGTTCAGCAACGGCACCTGAATCAAAAACAACCACTATAGATCAATATTAGCGACCTGGTAGGCAGGTGCAGCTTTCGGTCGTGGTACACGGTACTCACCTCGTTGTTCACCAGTGTCGGCCTCGAATTTGATCTCATTATGGTGCTTCATGGAGGTTTCAGTAGCCACGATTGGCGATACCCGAGTCTTCAATAGCTTACGGTTTATCTTTGTAGACATGCTGCCCTTCACTGCGATTGAGAAACGAAGTGTGATGTTTAACGAGGTCTGAGGAGTCCTCCCCGCGTAAAAAGCGGCAAGCGCTCTCCACGGGGACGCGCGACTAGTCCCGCTGCAATGTGGGTTAGACATTCCATGCCAAAATCCTGCAGCAAAGTGCAACACCCAGCGCAGCGATATCGGCAAAGCTGGCTATCATTAACTCTCCAGCACACCGCAGCGACGGCGGGCTCTCGAGTCCTGTCCAACTGCACCATCACAAACGTGATGCCTCGACAGCAGGACTCGACACATCTCCCGGCAGTGCTGAGTCACCAGACCACAATGATGTCGACCCACGCAAGAGACCTGTAAAGAGGGCATGTAACGAATGCAGACAGCAGAAGGTAAGGATTTCTGGTTCATCCTACTAACAACATTCTGACGCGCCCTAGCTACGCTGCGATGTTGTGCAGGAACCATGGCAGACCTGCAGCCGGTGCCGACGCCTTACCCTCGAATGCAAAATTGAGGACAACTTCAAGAGGATAGGAAAGCGGTCACGTAATGCTGAGATGGAACGTGAGATCATCGAGTTACGGAAACAAGTCGCTACCCAAAATGCACAACAACAGCTTGGCCTACCTCCGACGTTGACTCAAACGACGGCCGTCACCAATGAAGCTGCTGCTGGTCTCCTTGACCTTAGGGATGGTGGGAGCCGTGGCGGCCTGAAGCGACTCGGCGATGTTGTTCTCACCCTTGATCAGATACATGAAGTCTTCCAGCGATTCTTCAAATTCTGTCACCCGTTCCTACCTTTCCTGAACCAGGATCGGCCACCAGAAGATTACTATTCGAAGTCCCCTCTGTTGTTCTGGACAATATGTTTGGTAGGATCAAGACATTGGACATCGGAACAGCAGCTGTTCCCAACCTTGGCGAGACAAGTTCAAGCCCTGGTTTGGTCGACACTCGGTGAAGTTCCACAAAACTACCACCATGTGAAGGCTCTCATCCTACTGTGTGCTTGGCCATTGCCCACTAGCAGTACCTCTACAGATGCAACTTTCATGCTAGCAGGGATAATGATGCAGATAGCCTTGCAAATTGGCTTGCATAGACCTGACCATGCACAAGATTTCACAAAGTTTAGGGTCGAACTTCGACAAGCAGAATTGCAGGATCGTGTTGTGACCTGGTGCGTATGCAATATGGTAGCTCAGCGTATTGCTACCGCATACGGTCAACCGGCTCAGACCATCTACGACTGGGCTTTAGGTCCTAAACCCATCGAGTCAAACCCGAACTACGAGTTGCCAGCTGACATATACGCCCGTCTACAGATCGAGAAATTCGTCGACAAGGTCTCCAAGACGATTTACACGAATCCCACGGATCCTGTAGGATTGCCAGAGGACCACATTCGTTCCGAATTGGTGAAGCTTCTGGACCAAGATTTGAAGGAGTTGGAGCACAATCTGGAAGCTGATCAATCACAAAGCTCGGCTATGACCAGGATATATCTCAAGTCGGCCGCACTTCACCTTCACATGAGTGCCTTCTTCTCTCATCGTGACCTGCCGTCCTACAGAACCGACATGCATGCACTCTACCAAGCCACAGTCGACGTGTTGGAAGCCTGTCTCAGCTTGGAGTCTGAGTATAGCATCAACCTGCCCTCTAACTATTCACACGGGCTGTCCTTGTCCTATGCTACAAACTACATATTCCATATCATGTTGGCCGCAGGCTTCTCTTTACTGAAGCTAATGAACCATTTTCTACCACAAAACGGTCTTGACATTCAGCTCGATGGAGCTACCGGCTTACTGAAGAGGACTCTCTGGGCCTTGAGAAGTGCAAGCGTTCTAGAAAATGATCTAGCCGAGAGACTGTCAGAAGTACTCGCTCAAGTTTGGAAGACTGGTATCAAAAAGCTCGACGGGGGATCAGCAAGTGCTTCTGAAGAACCATCTGATGATCTCGGAATCCGAGTCCGGTGTCGGATGTCCATGTCGGTTGTCTTTGATTCGGTTTGGAGATGGCGAAAGAAATTTCAGGATCAGCGTCCGCCTCCAGGTAAGCTTGTTATGCATAGTGAATGATACGTACTGACAGATCCAGCTCGATTTTTCAGAGCGAATGGCGAAGCGGTCGCCACAGACCCTACAATAACGGCCACGGCCGTTTCTATGCCAAACCACAGCGACACAATATCTACACCCATGATCTCTGGTATCGCACCTGTCATTCCTGGTATGGCAGGTATGCCCACTGGCATTGCAGATGATTTTGTGACGGACCCTTATGCATCGTATGAAGTTTTCGATTCCCTTAATTGGGTATTGGATGGCACAGCTGATTTCCCTTTCACCTTCCCGAGTACTTCAGACGACCACACGAAGTTCTTGTCCACTGACTTGTAGCAATCCTCAAAGCAGAATTGTCGTTACCCTCGGTTGCGCAGCAGAGCACAAAGTTGATTTACTCCTCACGGTGGTGGAATAGGTGACGATCCGTGATTATACTGCCATTGGTCGAAAGTTGTACCTGCAGCTTGAGTGCTTGACTTGTACACTGGTAGTAGCTATCAGGAGGGATTTCCGGTCCTGGCGACATTTTGTCACTACGAGACCGGAGAATTCGTTTCGTTCACCACGTGCCAGAATCCACATGCCGATGAGCAAGTCAAGATCACATTGACTACCACGCTGACGACCTCGAAGCTGATGTCCTTGAAGCCGACAAGCAGTGGACTTACAGGCAATCAATATTGATGCTTTGCGTATGCTATACCAGAAGGGAAAAGCAGTAGAAGGCAACCATGACGAAATGGTAGATATCAACAAGGACGACGGCATCATTAGTACCGACGCGATGGCCATGAAGGAATATGATAAGTGAAGAGAAACCAGCCTGGGCAGCTAAATTTGCTACTATCATGTGGACCAGATTGTTGCATACTGCCCTTTCTAATATTTAACAATTGTTGCAGCCACAACTGTATTGCTTCTGTCCGGTTACAGATTTCAGGCACGTCCCCGGATGTAAAAGCAACCCTCACGCTAGTGCACCGGACGTGTCAGGTACGCGTTCATAAATGTACCGCCATCATCATTTTTAACTACCAGCCACGTCCCAATCAGCAAAAGTGTCGGGGCCACGCCCGCAGTTTTGTTGTACTCGAGTAGGAATCCCGATACTTTTGCTGACCAGGACGTGCCAGCTTCGTAGTTGACGGGACACTTTCTCGCGCCTTTGCTCGTCGTGACACTGCATTCTCACCATCTCCACACAGGCCTGCCCATCATGTCACCTCGCGCATCTCGATTTCTCCCATGTTCCTTCGTGCCTTTCCCACCAAAGACTGGGCCCAAACGTTGAGGCATATGTCAACGACTTCTCCTCAGCCTTGACCCCGGTATATTGTGATTGCGATCGAGGCGCGAGTTGCTCGATTCTTCTTTGATGTCTAGAATGCTGTCGATAGTACGGACGTGCGATTTTGCGCCGAAGAATGTACGTATGCTTGAAACCGGATAGTTTAGATGCATACTGTACTTTCAACTATCGCATTGAGTAGTATGAGGCGCCCTCCCGGATGAATACACGTGGATCAGAAGGCACCTTACCATCTGCTATTCGGAAAAAGGTGACTGGCAGGCATTATAGCTTTGAAACCATGTATTGTGTATCTGTACAATCTATCAGGTTTATATATACCTCTAGAATCTCCCCTTCCACAAATCCTTCCCAAACCCAACCCTCGTCATTTTCGCGCCAATAAATACCGCCGTCGACACCAAATAACTCATACCAGTAAATAAAATCAAACCCCAATACCTCTCACGCCCATTCTCATTCACCAACAACCCTCCCGCGAGAGGTATTCCCGTCAACGTAGCAAAACTCACAATCGTATAACAAGTCGCATAATACCGCCCATACTCCTCCGTCTTACACAGCTGACCAACACAAACCGGCACGAGCGAAATACCCGCGCCGGACCCGAACCCAAAAATCAGTGAGAAAACGATCAGGAGCGCGAGGCGTGCGGTTTGTCCCGCACCAACGAGCATTTCCGAGGGAAGCCACAACGCAAACGTGCCGATCCAGCAGATGACTGTGGTGAGAATCATGGTGTTGAACCGGCCGACTTTGTCTGCGACAAGACCAGGGAGCCAGCGTCCGAAACAACTTCCTGCGTTGAAGATTGCGATGATTTGGTAGCTGAAGGTTTCGTCGACGCCAATGGCTAGAGCGAAATTTGTGAGGTAGGAAATGGGGACGAAGAGTCCCCACTCCACAAAAAAAACAGCCAGAGTAACAAGGGCGAAGGTCTTATCTCGAAAGATGCGAGGGTCGGGTAGGATCTGTTCTTTGCGTACTGGTCGTGTTGGAGGTAGTCGGCTTTTGATGAAAAGATTTGCACAGATGGCCAGAGGCAAATTTATTAGGGCTAAGATACGCTGGGACCATGCCCAGCCGATGTTCTCCATTCCGAAGAGTGCTTGGAGTGTCAGCGGGAAGATGATACCTCCGAGTGAGCCGCCTACGCATGCGACACCTGTGAATGTTCCTCGTCGAAGGTAGAACCAGTGCCCTATGGCGGCGATGCTCGGTGTGAACACCAGTGCTGTACCTGTGCCTCCGAGACAACTAAAACAAACTATGAAATGCCAGTACTGGGTACACCATGCCAGCAGGATATAGGTCAGCAGCATGAGAATACTGCCCGCAAGAACCAAGTACCGTGGGCCGAAAGCATCGAAGAGAGGTCCTATCTGCAGACCGAGAAAGAAAGAGAGGAAGGCATAAATGCCGAAGACCCAGCCTGCAGTACTCGTAGGAAGGTCTGCTAGTTGATGTGTGGTAAGATAGGCTGTGTAGGTCGACAATGTGTTCATGAAACCAAGAGAGATCATGCAACCACAGAAAGAGCCAAAGACGACCAGGTAGGCCTCCTTTCCCCTTTCAGGATAAGTGTTGCCATGAGGATCTGTAGAGACACGAGAAATGCTATGCTCAAGATCATGGCTCTCAGTGACAGTTGGGGCTGTGGAGGAAGTCGACGTCGATGTACGGTGAAGATCGTGGCCTGAATGCTTCTCGTTCATCTGTCCTCCCGCAGTTTCGAGACGTCGGCCATTGAAGTCATGTTGATGATGCTTTTCGCTGTGGGTCTTCGAGCCAGGTGGTGCTAGCCTTGACTGTTCCTCTTCATGGTTCGAAGCAACAGGCGCGAGTGGTGCAGCTGTCGATACAGCAGGGATATTGCCGACAGCAGATCTCCGCATGTCGGATAGACGAGCTTGTTAACGTGCAAAGGTGTTTATTGGAATGATAAGAGGATGTCGTTCGCTTATCGCAAGCTTAATGTGCTTGATATTTTAGCTATAGTATAACGAGTAAATGGATTGAGTTGGTAAATTTCCGCGGTTTTATCTGGCCACTTTCGTCCTTCGCAGCAAATTGAAACAGAGCGTGCCGTTCAATGTAAGTATATGAGAGAGACATTGCATTGCATTGCATAGCTCACCGACTGACTCTCAAAATTCTGCATTTTCATCATTGTACGAGTAATGGTTTCGCTCAACTCCGTGTCTAGCGGCAGACAACCACGCCGCAATGCTTGGAAAAATCTGGCAGAATTGTCATGGGGGCCTCCGATGAGATCTACCGGGAGGGCACCCCAGATTCAAAATTTGCCCGAATAATAGTCAGGTCTACGGAATGCATGCTCGTGCTTGATGGGCGCCCTTCGCCTCTTTTTTACCTCAAAGGTTGTACGGCAGTTGATGACTTCAATATGATCATTATTCGGCGAGGTCATTGAAACGGTGATTGGATAACACGTGACAGACGTCGTATTTTTGGGGGAGGGCCCAGCAGATGAAATAACAGTGCTAGAACTCCAGTATTCCAAGGAGAGACCACCCAACATCGAGTTACGCAGGTATAACATGTTTTTTCTGTAACATCTCAGACAACTAACGAGCAGTGTTGTTCTACAGAAAATAGCTCCGAGAAGCAAAATCAACGTAGACTTGCGAACCGCCTTTTAATGCTTCTATCCAGCCTTGACTTTGGCGTAAGCAGCTAACTGTAATTGGCCGTTATCCCATTTCAATACATACAACGTGTGTGAAGAAATGCCTGTTTGGGATCGTAGAAACTTGGTGCTTCTCTGGAGCATCAGCCCTTCCGCCAACAATTTCCCTTTGTACACGGACGTCCACCTGAAAGAGCCTCTACCAAGTTGCGAGTGTAGTCAGCCAAGCAGTGTCTTCGTATCAGACTTAGTTAGTTTTTCGTATGCATCTAACTTGTCTTTGTTCATGGGAGCATCTTGGGACGAAATTTGGAACTAGACAGATACTGAAACTCTCTACTAATCTCCTAAGCAGTTTCTTTTTTCGATCACTACGTGCTAGAAGCCACATGCCGATGAGTAAGTCAAGATGACATTAACTACCACGCTGACGACCTCGAAGCTGATATCCCTAAAGCCGACAAGCAGTGGACTTACAGGCAATCAATATTGATGCTTTACGTATGCTATACCATAAGGGGAAATTATCCTCGTCACCTACTAGAACGGCGTATACTTCACCTAGTCGTTGCTTGATCAGCCCCCCTTTAATATAATCTTTGGCACTAATTATTTCCAGTCCTTCTTTACCACGGACACGGTCATCAGAAACCGGGATGTAAGCTATGTTGTAAAGGCATACATCCTCACCAAAGACCACTTCCTTTTCGGCCCTATCGCTATCCGTCATTTCTAGCTTAAAGAAGTCGGAGCCGAGTCGCGCAAAAACACCTGGAACCGCCTTTTCGATTGTCTTGTTGAACATATGATCATTGAAAGTGCCCTGCGTATGATATGTTATAGCTTCAACCATAAAGTCTTGACCAAGTTAATGAACACGACCAACACACTGATCAAGTATTGACTGGTTCATACACGGATCCATGAAAACGACCATATGGCATTTCTTATGAAGATTAAGACCAACACCAGCCATTACAATCGTGGTCACCATGACCTATGGGCGATCTTCTTCGTTCCAGTTCCTAACAGTGCTTTGTTTCTCTTTCTCTTTCAAACCAGAATAATAAGCAGTAACAGATATACTGCATGCTTCGAGGATGCCATTAAGGTAGAGCAGTTGACCAGAAGAGCTGTAGAAAACTAACAGTTTGTTCTCCCAGAGCACCTAGAAGTAGAAACCAATGAGAACAAACAGGTAAGATGTGAAGACCAGTAAAGTCGCAAGGACTGCGAGGCCCTGACCTACGCATACGGCAAACTTCGAGTGGTTTTGGCGAAGCTTGGTGTGTGATACTCTTGTCCTGGAACCTGCCAGTTTTCTTTTGGAACATTCCACTTCAGTGTCTGGTTGGGGCCAAAATGAGTGGGGAGGGCAGCAAACTCAGGCGCGAGACCTCGAGCTTTGGCGATGTCCCGTCTGCTACCACAAAGAATGAAGAGGTTTCTGGCACAAGAGACAAGAGTCGCTGTACGACGAGGGTCGCCCATCATACCCATCTTCTCCGAGATGGGAAGCAAACCGATGAATATGTCAGCCTCTTGACCTTGCAATTTATCAATAGTGTCGCAGGTGAGGTTGTGGAGATTTTTGACGCCTCGAGCCCGCATGGTGACGTAGATCCGATCCAAGACTTCTTTGTCCAAGCTGTAAGGCGCTGGTGATGGATGTGCGAATGCTCTTGTAAAGGTCGTACTTTTGAGCTTGTCGTGGCGTCGGCCAAGCAAGACATCGACCAAGTTGCGGTTGTAGTCGGTCAAAGGTAATTGGTCGCTTGGGTTGATCAATCTGTCGTAGGAGTTCAACTCGTCCTTATCTACAGGATTAACTACCTTGAGACGTACGACATTACCAGATATGTGCTGAATCTCCTCACTAATCTCCTGAGCAAGTTTTTCCCGATCACCTCCATGTCTTGGCTCAATGACCTTAGGCTCGTGTCGATCCCAATCTACGGTCTCGTTCTGTACGTCCTTGATCCAGGCTCGGGAGACGATCAGGGTTCTCTTGCCTGGTGGGCTGCAACTTATTGGTTTGTCGACGATGGCAGACCAGTACACCTTGGTGCTCAGGAGTAGCGGCTGGTCTCGATCGAAGTTGATCTGGAAGGCATCACTCTGTTGAAGACAGCAACTTCCTCTTCTGGCTCATTGATAAAGCCATAGTAGACTTGATCGATCCTCCTTCTTCGTTTGAGAGAGGGATAAGGTGTAGCATGTGATCCTTGATTTCGAAATTATCGATCCGTGACTTCGCGTCTGCCTGCTCGAGGATGGATGCAGCGTACATGACAGCGCAATATTCAGGACCATCTCCGAGGATCTATACTGATAGAAAAGCGATCGGAAATTGATTATGAACAAATTGCAAACCAACTGGGAACTGACTAGAAACCAATTAGAAACTGATTAATAACCAATTCAAAACCGAGCTTTGTCTGAACTATCTGGCTCAGCTTCAACAACGACGCCAACATAATCTCCTTGAAACACAGCTTCACCAAAGGCCACAGCCCACGGAGGCGCGCTCGTGCTAAGGTTCTCGGCTATAACATGATCCGAAGTGTGGAAGACGTTTAGAAGTAGAGGAAAAGCGTCTCGAACATCCTTTATCTGATGAGCAGCATCCCTCAGTTGTTGAGGCAAGCGAGCGTACTCGTCTGGCTTTGCTTCCATCAGTTCTCTTGTCAGAAGTATGATTTGGGAGAGGACGGCTGACTGGTAACCAAATCGATCGCTGACCAGAACTGCCATACGTTGTCGATATCATTCGACAACGTATGGACGAACGAGATGTGGGTTTGCTCTTCTCGCCTCTTTTTGTTCTTTCTCGCCTAGTTCCTTGGAGACCATGAACTGGTCCGCCAAATTGTAGTCCTCTTTAGACTTGCGGGAGGCGACGATGTGGATATGTGGTCTAACCTCGTCGATCCGAAGCTTGACGCTGGTATTGATCTTCTCACCATCGTGCTCGGTTATTGGTCCAAGGTCTTTCCCAAGGAGGATGGCGGGAAAGTTCTTAGAATCATTACGAACTGTCTCCCTCTCTTCGGCATTGTTCGGCTTGAAGTTCTCACGAATGCGAGCATTCAAGTCGTCTGGCTTCGCGAGATTCGGGGCTAGAGGGTGGTCCAACGGCGATTCTGGGGCGGCGATGCTAGAACATGCTTGTGCAGGCGCATCTTGGTTTGGTTGGAGAGCACCGACTTGGATGTTCTCAGACGAAGTTTCTGTGTTCTGTTGCATAAGTATGCGGGCCTGAAGTGTCTGGTGCCGGACAGATCCAGGGGAGGGGCGTCTTCGCCAGCGTCGTTCTCGAAAGGCAGTGGCGGCTTTGGACGATCGGTGGAAGTGGTGAGGATATCCCTCGCCTTCTTCTTGTTCTTGCTTTTCCTTCCACACTTTCGTTTCTTCTTAGGAGCTGACAGTTTCTCACCGAGCTCTTCTCGATTGAAGAATTCTCCTTCGTCGTAGAGCCGAACTCAAGCATCGTTAGAAGAAAATTTGTCAGAAGAACTACACAACTGACCAGACACTGAAGATGCGTTTGTGGTCGATCCAGGATCGGAGTCGGAGTATATGCTGTGCTCTCTACTTGCCTCTTCCACAGCAACCTGCACTGTCGTTCTTCGAGGCGAGAAGGCTCTGGTAAGGCCAGTACCACCCAACATGATTACCACCTTGTCGCTTGAAGTCGCACCTCCTGGTGGCAGCGTGGCTGAGAACGTTGGTTGATGCCGGCTGTTCTCTCAAGAGAACGATCGAATATGCTTACTTGGTGCCATTGGCGAAGAGTTTGCCTTACACTCGAGGGGGCGCATCTTCACTTTGTTAACTCTCTGGAACGAAACGAAAGGACAGCATTCCATTGATATAGCAGGGTAAATTTGGTGAAGTGTCAGTAAAAACAAATGGTTCAATTCCAGTGAAAGTGACAAATCCTCAATACCACAGTCCCGGGTGTAGCCCACGCAGCAACTTCAAGGAGTGACGGCTTTCGACCGCAAACACTCCAAGGCACTTCTGCGCACTTGCTAAGTGTAGTCTCGAAGCTATAGACTATATGCACGTCGGATTTGCACACGTGTGGCCATGGTTCAATCCTTGTTGGTCTCAAGCTGCCTGGGTAAGGGTCCTAAGGGTGTTAAACAGATGAGCGGCCTATGCTGGCTGCTTGTAGCATGTGAAGTGTTGCTTGCGCCTAAGCTCTATATGCTCTTGCTTCCATCTCGTGTTGACCATCATCAGACTCTGGGCTGAGGAAGTGGGGAAGACAGTGTCGTCGAAGCGAACGGGGTCCGTTGTCAGAGAAGTAGAGACATCAATGCCTCTCCAGACTCTCGACTCGTTGTAGTGATGCCGACTGAAGATAACATGTCAACGTGCCGTGACCGGTTCTACAGGAACCAGCCCAGTGTAGTCTGTACAGTTGCTGGTAAAGGATGTAGCCGAGCAGGAACACAACTCATAGCTTCTTCGAGGTACGGTGGACTGGCAAGAGTGGCAGGCATTCGAGCAAAATCATTTTGGTATCAACTTTGAGACACTCATTTTATGACGAATCTCTGGAACGGCACGACTGGAGGACTGATGCGAACAAAAGATACTGCACTAGCGGAAGCTTCCGGAGCTAGTAGCCAGAAGGAAACTCATCTATGTTGCCTGAGGCACTAGGCTATTGGGCGATTCGTTTGGTGGCGGGAAGCCTCAGGCAACATTGATTACCCCGGATGCTTTGAACTCCCTCACGAATAAGGACCACTGATACCTTTGACTGGAATGACTTGATATGGATAGTAGGGGAATATTGCAGGTACAATAAAAGGTAGGCAACCATGTTCTAAATACCTTACGAGGTCTTAGCCGCCTATTGTGGATCTGGGAGGACGCCCTGGACCAAATCTCGAAATCCAACGTCAAACGACCATTGGACATGTAATTGTACAGTAACGAGATATGTATGCTAGGACCTAACTCTCAGGTCGAGCTCACATCGGAAGTTCTCTGAACAACAGGTAGATAACATAGATATTGACAATCCTGTGGTGTGGCCCAGTTAGGCACAAACGTTGGAAATTCGTAAGCCTCACTTTCGAGGTACCTATAATGTCTTGTAAACGTGCTCTGAAACTGATGATCACTCGGTCTTTGTGGGTCCGTAGCCTTGCTCGACCACGCTGCGATCACTTGCTGCCTCTTGAGGGGTGTCACTCATAGGCACACCTTCGTGTGCTGTCACATTCCCTGCCAACCACTCCTCCGCGTCATTCAGGTACTTGAAATCCAGACCCCTGATTTCGTCTTCCTCTTTCACTCTTAGATGCATGCCAGGAATTTTGTTGATAACGAACAACAGGATGCACGACACAACAAAAGACCAGCTCGCACAGTAGCTCGCAGCCGCTAGTTGGTAGCCCATTTGTTTCCAATTGCCTTCCCACCAACCACCAGCGTATGTACCCCCACTAACGCCATCGAGCGCAGGTACCCAGGATGCAGCGAAAAATCCAGTCATTATATCACCACAAACTCCCCCAATTCCGTGTATCGCGAATATGTCCAAACCTTCATCTACCGACAATAGATACTTGAAACGGTTGGTGTAGAAGCAGCAGATTGAGGTAATAAAGCCGATGAGTGCAGCCACGTAAACTGGCACAAAGCCTGCAGCCGGCGTGATGCCTACTAGCCCTGAAATTATGCCGCTGCAAAAGCCAATGATGGAAAATTTACGGCTGTGATAATATTCGAGGAGAGTCCACCCGATGCCACCGCCACAGGCTGCAAGGTCTATCACAATGTTAGCGCAGATCTGGTCTAGCTAGAAGCCTGGCCTTACTCGTGTTGACCACGACGTAGACTGATCTTAAGCTCAGATTCGCTGTTGAGGCACCATTGAAGGCGAACCAACCAAACCATATGAACACTGTTCCAAAGGCAACCAAGAAGGGGTTATGTGGTTTGTAGTGAATTGCGCGTTTCCTCATACTTGTTGTACTGTCGGAGATTCGAGGTCCGAGCATCATTGACCAAGCAAGAGCCGCAAAGCCACTAGCGATGTGTACCGGACCAGAACCTGGTCAAGATCAGTCCTCCACATCACGAAAGTCAACTCGCGACAAACCTGCAAAATCGTAAACTCCCATTTTGTAGATCCAACCGTTTAAATTCCATTCTTGGTATGCCAGTGGGTAGTAAATGAACGTGTTGAAGCACAGGAGAAAAAACATGCTTGGCCAGAGGCGGCCTCGCTCCAGCACTATCAGGCGTTAGCTCGAACACCATACTGAAAGAGAGCTGTCACTGGGCTGAGGGCCAACGGCAGTATACAGTCGAAGTCACTCACTTGCTCCTGCCAGAATCATCGCGGTTGCAGTGACGAAGGTGAAGCCAAAGCAGGCATAAAGAATGTCAGGAATGTCGGCATTCGCTATGGATGGTGAAGCCAACACGTTGTGAAGACCTGCAAGGGACAAGTCTCCAAGGAACGGATTGGTGGTTCGACTCATGTACAGAGAGTAACCATAAACCCAGAACTGGATGCCCGCTGCTGAGGCACAGAACAGTGACTGGAAAACCATTGTCAAAGCCGATTTTCTTCTATGCATACCAGCGTAGAGGAAACCTATTGCCGGCGTAATCTGCCAGCAGACGACGGTGCAGATCAATATCCAGCATAGATCGCCCTTGTCGTATGGGGAGGTCAAGTCTTGTGTGATGGGATCACCACCCTGGGGGTTGACAGTGTAGTCTGGCCATTCTGTAATCTGCGCAACCTCTGCCATGTTGCTAGACGTCTGAAATGTATAGGAACCAGCTCAGGTGAGAGTAAGCAAACGTATTGAAGGTAGATTGGAAAGTACAGTGGGAAGCATTGTTGGTCGCGAGACAACCGCATACCCGGACTTATCAACATCCCCCATCCTGCTCGCGAGCCTTCAGCAGAAGCATCAATCAACCAGGGCCCGACTCAATGCCGAGAGATAGCATTTCGGCTCAACAGCAGACACTATACTCAAGTGGGTATTGTAATGCGAACACGAATCCTGGTCCACACCTCGACATTGCCAAGCTGTACGGATATCACCAAGTACATAAGGCCACGAGGAAGCCAAAGAGATTGAGCTGCAGATACGGGTGTCATTGGGGGAGTGGAAGTCCTTATCTGGGTGGAGAACGACAAGACCATTAAGGACGCTTGGCACGGCCCAATTCAGTAGCTATGCACTTTGGATTCTATAGACAGGCAATATAGCAGTGCTCTGGCAGGTTCAAGCGAGCGATAAACCTTGTGTGAAGATATGCCAGGATGCAGCATTCTCATCAAGCCTCCCTAGGCGCGACAATATCGTGACATCTGGATAGCCAGGTGTTGTTGAACAGACATCGCGCTGGACGGACCCATTTTACTAACTCAAAGCTACGCAACATGCATGATCAGAAGACCCTGGACATCCTCGATAGATGGCCAGCCTATAGGAACAGACATCAAGCAGTCATTTACTGAACGTGGAATTTGCGAATTCAGGACGGTAGAGGAGTGCGAATTCTACGAGCACGTCAAATCGGAACCAGTCATCTGGGACGACGACAAGCCTCGTTGGAGTTCTGGCAAGCTGAGGCAACTCCTGCTCCGAGCTGCTGGTCTCCTGCGCGGCGTCCCGTAGACGGTTGCGGTGGAGGTGGTGCTCGAGCGCAAACTGCTGGTCATCCGCAGCTTGTCAGGTCAATTACGCTGTAGGTGGGAAATTCTCGAAGTGAGTGATATTGAAGAGAATTTCTCTCACTTTGGCTTCACGAACAGAGAATGAACAAAGCATAAACCGAGGCTAAACCAAAATCGAACGAAAACTCTTCGAAGGAGGTATCTCTCAATTCGAAGTCACTACGTCCGACCCCATTGCTAACTTCAGACTTGGTCTTCGCAAGAAAGAAATGTCACCTGGTCGCTTTCCTTGATCCATATATGAATCAATCGGTCTTCGACCCGCGTGTCGGTCACGTCTATCATCTCGGTCAACGGTCTATGGTCGAAGTCATGACATTCCACACAAACGGAACGTTCAACGAGTACATGTTCAACAAAACAACCGAGCAGGCGTTCCTAGGTGTCCTTGCCTCACTCAGCCACGACCTGTTTGACCTCGAGAAAATTGACGACGAAGAGGGTGAGAAGGAAGTGGTCTTTGGGGAGGACAATTGCCTCTATCACGGAGGCTGCTATACAATCTCGAACGAGAGGATCCAAGGAATTTAAGGACTGCCGACAGGCACTGCGAAGGAGTTCATCAGAAGCTTAATCGAAGTACGCCTAGGTCAAAGTTCCTCGATCCCTATGGGTGACGAGGACACAGAAGAAGACACAGCGTTATACCCCCGTGGACATAGCCTAGATGATCCGAGATAACGTTCTAACAGTCCTCTTCAGGGCCCGGCCTCTAGGCTGTCATGGCGAGCTCCCTGTCCTTGTTCGAGTCGCATAAGGAAATCGGGTATCGAAGGCTTGAAGTGTAACAGCTAGCCCTCTACCACCTTATGAGAGGCATATCGATAAGGATCAAGCATGACGTAATAAACAGGTTGCAAACAACGTGGAACGGCTTGGTGTATGCATGAGAAGAACCAGGTTGTGGCAGTTGATTTTTCCTCAGCTATCTACAACGGCTTGTGCTATCATGCCAACAGTGAGATAATGATAGTCAGCACAATAAGCATCATACCTGCGCCGACTGATATCCCGCTCGCAATGCTTGCGCTATTGCTGCCACTTGCGCCACCGGATCCTACATTGCCCTCGGACGCATCAGTCGTGCTATTATTCACCCCCGTATCAGATGAGGTACCGTTTGAGGTGCTATTCGAGGCAGTGCCGTTCACAACCGCGATACGTCCATCGAGTGCGATGTCCACTGGGCTCTGGCGAAGGATATATTGTGTCAAAACTTCATCCTGAGTATCCAAGGTGACAAAATCGGTCACCGGCAAGAAGAAGTTGTCACCACCGCCTGCAAGGAAGTCGAGGGTGACGACCTATGATACGTTAGTCCAAGATCAGTTGTGACAAAGAGAGCGCATGTCGAATACTCACCTGATATTCTGCTTCTCTGTCGAGCGGCTGGCCACCGATAGTCACATTCACCAGTTTCGTGCCGTTAGAGTTTGCCGGATTGTAGCCGACTCGGATTTGTTGAGATAATTGAACGCCAGATGTCACCGCCCGACCATTGAACTGTGAAACTCGTGTAAAGATGCCCTCGAGCACCTTCCAGATGTCGTCACCTGAGAGTGTGATCTCGACAATGGCGTTACCAAAGGGAAAAGAGGTAAGTACCTCGCCTCGCGTGATCGGACCCTCGTCAATGGTCGCACGAATACCACCAGCGTTGATCAGGGCAAAATCTGCCTCAGAGGAGAGGTTTGAACGATATGCGAACATAGCGTCTGCCATGAAGTCACCCAGCAGGCATTCTTGCCTCTGACAGGTCGACTGGTCAAGTATCACGTTCGACTGGCCTAGTTCCTCTGCTGCGAATGCTTCAAAAGGCACACGCCAAGCATCTATTTGAGCCTGCAAGCCAGGATCCTGCTCGGTCGTATTAGTGAGGTGAATCGGTGCCCCATGATATTCGAGGATTCGACCTTCGGCATCGTAGAGGACGTCGATGTAGCCCAAGTATTCTCCCCATCGATAAGCAGTTACGACAAAGACTTCTTCGCCGTCGCGGTTGTTGACTATTGTTGGGTACTCACCTTCAGCATCTTCTGCGTCGGTATCGTTAGCTGGCAGTAGGAGAGTATGACTGTGACCACCCATGATAAGATAGAGTCCTGTTGTTTCCTGAGCCAGGCGCTGATCCTGTTCGTATCCTATGTGTGTAATAGCCGCAATGCGAGTGATGTTCGTCGTCGATCGGATGTAGTCGACAGTCCTTTGTACAGCTTCTACCGGATCTTCGAAGGAAGTCAAAGGACCAACATTGGCGATTTGAGGTGTAGTATCCGTTGTTACACCAATGACCGCCAGCTGATATTGCTCGAAGATGTGGTAGGGCCTGATTGTCGCGTTCAGCTGAGGCTGTGTTGACTGGATGTTGGCAGATACGACGGGAAATGTCAAGTTCTCGAGAAAAGCGCCAAGCTCATCGTCACCACCATCGAATTCGTGGTTTCCCAATGTCATCGCATCGAACTGAAGTTGGTTCAAAGTTTCTGCGATCTTCTCACCGCCATAATAGGTATAGAAGAGAGTTCCTTGAAACTCATCGCCCACGTTCAAGCTGTAGCTACATCAACACATGCCAGGCGGACGTACAACAAACCTACTTACAAGAGGCTGTCACCTACAGTGGGGCGGATGTCATCGATAGTACTCTTTACTCTGGCATAACCGCCATAGCATCCACGAGATGGATTCGTGCAATCAGTTCCGGAAGACGAGAATTCGTCGAGATGAGCATGAACGTCGTTGATGTGGAAGAATGCTGATACCATCAGTATTAACCTAACCACGAGCTCAAGCGCTTAACATACACATATTGTATTGGCCCTCAGGATTGAGCTGACGTTTCGATAGTTGACGTTTGCTGATGAGTACATCTTCAGCTGTTGCATTTGTGATTAATGTGGCTAGAGCGAGTGCAGCAACGGGCGAGACGCGTTGCAGGAGTTTCATGCTGGGCGTTTACTTCCGTGTCAGGACGAACAACGACCACAACCTCGATGCACACGAAGAGCTGAGAATTGTTTTGTAGAAATTGAAGCACATATATTATGAGTGCACCAATATGGATTGCTCATTTCGAGCTCGACACTGGTGGGGTTGTATTGCCGAACAATCGCAGTCGACGCGATGGCAAGCAACAGGGAAGTTCTTGAGATTGTGAAAAAAAGAGCCTATGGGAACGGCGCTTCCATGGGCATGCGCGGGTGGAACCAAGATCAAGTGGCGGACAGTCTCTTGGCATAGCTTGGCGGTAAGATCGATGACCGGATATAGCAGGCGATCGTGAAAGAACTTGATTAGTCTGACTATAACTATTAATCGATCAACGTGTATAGTGTAGAAGAAGCTTGTCGGTCTTCAAGCTAAGAGAAATACAAATAGCCAAGTACTTCTTTGTTGCGTTGTTGCTTATTGTTTTTCTCACAGTCCTAGGAAACTGCACTGAGGATAGAGCTCATTCTTCTATACGATCGAATCATATGGAAGCACTCGACCCACGGAACTTCCATAGCTGTCGCGTGGTGGTAGTCTTGGGGGCTCATGAACAGTTTATGAGGCGCGCTCAAAGACTGTCTCTTCACAGACGACCACACACTTCCTCTTCTTCGGATCATCACTTTGGAGTGCAAGATCATCCTGGTGTATCAACTCGTACGCAATGCGGCCTCGACCGGGATACTTCGCGGACTCTGGTTCTCCGTACACATCTGCATCTCTCGCTTTGTGTTCTCCCATTAGCTTAACAAGATGAGCTAGTTCGAACTGCTTGCTAGTGTGTTGGCGCTTATAGACGCCTTTTTTATCGCCTGTACACCAGATCCCATACTCCCTCTCAAATGCCTCCAAAGCTTCGACCTGCGACTCGAAAGATCTTCGTATAATGACCTTTGTTGGTTTGGAAAGATTGGCATGGAGTTCGACGTAGATGAGGTAGGATTTGACCATTGCAGACTTTGGTTTGACGTCTCGGACTAGAGTACCAGGACGTGGGATTGCATTTGTTACTTCCTATCGAGCGATGTCAGAGTGACACAGCCTTTGTTGGAATCGGGTGGTCTCGTACATGTCTTTTCCTCATCGGTGGCACGTTGGTCGACATTGATTGTCTGGGTACCATGTTGAGTAATAGCAACTAAGTCTTTCGAAAGGGTTGTTGATTGCTAGGCAACCTTAATCTACATGACAGTAAAAGAGGTGCTGACTGATGAAGTACGTGAATAGATCTGCTACCTTTTTTGAGGTGGTCAACCAGACAAGCCAACCCGTGAGTGACACTCGCCTCTGACTTTGCACTTCCATTTTAGTGTAGATAATGCTGTACAGCAATTTCACTAAACAGTCTAGGATGCGCTGTAAAAGGATTGCTTTCGAGGTACACTGTCGACCGATTAATGTAAGGCAGACCAGGATAGAGGTTGTAACTGATGATGCGCTCGAGGCTGATTCTGCCCACGACTTCCTGCGAAGTCGACAAACTTCTAGCTTAATACACAACGACCTAAGCTCATCGTCATGCGATGCAAAGCACACGATCTATATCTCCTGACTACCAAACAGTTCCAAGGTCCGTATGGTAATATTATAAACATTGCTGGGTCGAGGCCTAGAAAAGAACCGCTGGAAGTTCGGACACTGACATCGTTCGAGGCATAATGTGTGTGAGCAAGGGAGCGTAGTAAGGCTCCTCCAGTATAGGTCTTCTCTGTGGTTCGCAGCCTTATCGGTGATCCGAGGTATGGGATGGACAATATCTGTTTACAGCTTCTTCGTGCTACTGTAGGGTCTGCCCTCGCCTGTGCAAGCAACTTCGACAGCGCGGACAAGGTGCCGCATCTTCCTGCTCTACGGACTTCGTTGTGATACAACAAACAATGCCTGATCTCTTCATCCACGAATTACAGAAATGAACGGGGTGGTAGGATGCAGCAGTCAGCTCTTGGCGTGGACGACTCCGCAGATCTCGCCGACTGAAGAAACCGAGGAAGCTGGGGTTGGCTCTCCAGCTCTAGATTGAGAAGTGCTGCGACTTGTGTATATCAACAAACATTTCCGTTATGGAGTAGTCGAGGAATTCACATCCTTCTCACTTGATTCCTTGCGTTATGGCGAGCCCCAAGGCTGCATTTCGCGCAGCTCGAGCACGAATTCCGTCAGCTTTTACATACCCTCGAACTCCTCTTCAACCTGGAGCCATTACAAGGACATTCTCGACATCGCCACTCGCCCTTGAGGATAAAAAGCCCACCTCGCCTAGCAATGAAGAAGATCCCGTATCTTTCAGACTTTCTTTATACGAGTCCACGTTTCAGCGAATCTCACGAGAGAAAGCAGAAACAGAACGGCAATCCAGAATCTATTCAAAGACTTATAACGACACTGGACGAAGAACCATAGCGACTATTGCAGGTATGATCGCAAACTTTAGGACTCAATCTGTAGATTTCTGACACCTTATAGCATTTGGGGTCATTGCTGCTGCTGCTTACTACCTAGGAAAGCACAGACCCAAGGACCTCGCACCTGAATCTACCACGCCTCTATCTCTTGCTCAGCCTCCACAGCACGATACACGCAAGACAGTGCTTCAAGCTGCCTGGGTCGATTTCTGTCAGATTGTTGGAAAGGAGAACGTGTCAGACAATGTTGACGACTGCAAGGCTCATTCCGGTTCAGAATGGTCTTCCTACACTACCAAACCAACCGAGGTTCCTTTTGCCATCGTCTATCCTGCCACCACAGAAGAGGTATCCAAGATCATGAAAGTCTGCCATAAGAGAAAGATTCCAGTGACTGCTTTGTCAGGAGGAACCAGCTTAGAAGGGCACTTTGCTCCAACAAGAGGCGGCATCTGTATCGATATGGGTCGTATGGACAAGATTTTGGACTTTCACCCTGAAGATTTGGACATAACTGTACAACCTGCTCTTGGCTGGGAAGACCTTAACGAGCACTTGGCTGAATCCAACATGTTTTTTCCACCCGACCCAGGTCCAGGTGCAAAAATAGGTGGTATGATTGGCACTGGCTGCTCAGGTACAAACGCTTTTCGATATGGCACAATGCGTGAATGGGTAGTTTCGCTCACAGTCGTTATGGCTGACGGAACAATTGTCAAGACAAGACGACGCCCAAGAAAGTCCAGTGCTGGTTACAATCTCACTCAGATGTTCATTGGGAGCGAGGGCACTCTGGGCGTTGTCACTGAGGCTGTCCTAAAGGTCACGATCCTTCCTGCAAATCAGTCTGTTGCTGTAGCGACGTTTCCTACCATTCATGCGGCTGCTGAATGTGTCTCAAAAGTTGTCGCTCAAGGTATCCAGATCAACGGCATGGAGATACTGGATGATGTACAGATGCGATGCATCAACGATAGTGGCACCACCGAGAGAAAATGGGACGAGGCTGCTACTTTGTTCTTCAAGTTCGCCGGCACCAAAAACGGAGTTAAGGATCAGATCGATATGGTTAGGAAACTTGCTAAACAAGCCAAGAATCTGAAGTTCGAGTTCGCTCGTGATGAGGAGGAAGCTCAATCACTTTGGAGTGCACGTAAAGAGGCTCTGTGGAGTGTCATGGCGAAACGAAGAGATGATACCGACCATGTCTGGACTACTGATGTCGCCGTGCCTATTAGTCGACTTCCTGATATCATCCAAGAGACGAAAGACAAGCTGAAAGAGAGCGGTCTGCTCGGAGGAATTTGTGGTCACGTTGGCGATGGCAACTTTCACACTATACTGCTTTACAACGATGCTGAGAAAGAAACAGCCGAGCATGTTGTCAACTTCATGGTCGACCGAGCTATTGAGATGGAGGGCACGATTACTGGCGAACATGGTGTTGGCTTGAAGAAGCGAACAAATTTGATTGCCGAGCTTGGAGACGATACTGTCGATGCTATGCGCAAGGTAAGTCTGAGGCCGACATCCACCTATTTTGCAAATTTCGACAATTACTAACCACTTTATAGCTCAAACAAGCTTACGACCCATATTGCCTGTTAAACTGCGACAAGATTGTCCAGATGGAAGCTGGTAAATAGTGGTCAGCCCCAAATTCCCATGCGGGTTGAGGGGAAACGTGTCGGGGTGCGCTCGACTCCGATATGCTTTCCCGCTATTTAGGCTAAACGTCGCATGCTCTTCCGGAGATGTGACGGCGCTTGAAGCCCGGCGGGGGATGTGTGACGATACAAAGCACAACGATTACATCTGAGAGGATGTAGACCTACGTTCCGTCGTTGTACTTTTGTATCTTGGGAAGAACAACTCAGTATGGCTGCCCAGACAGAGACCAAGGTATGGTCATCCCCCTCCCATTTTCGGTCAGTGCTAAGACTATTCAGAACAACTCCTTCGTCCTCTCCGGAGTCAAGAACATCGTTTACGAAGATCGTCCCATCCCCGAACTCAAAGAACCATACGATGTCCTTCTTCAGGTGAACTTTACTGGTATCTGCGGTAGTGATGTCCACTACTGGCAACATGGCGGCATTGGCGAATTTAAGGTCAAAGATCCTATGGTATTGGGCCACGAATCTTCAGGAACAGTTCTAGAGACAGGTTCATCAGTCAAATCTCTGAAAAAGGGCGATCGTGTCGCCATGGAACCTGGTATACCCTGCCGACGATGCATACGCTGCAAAGAAGGCTACTACAATCTCTGTTCAGATATGCGGTTCGCAGCAACACCTCCATACGATGGCACGCTTGCCAAATACTACATACTACCCGAGGATTTCTGCTACAAGCTTCCTGAACACATCAGCCTAGAGGAAGGTGCTCTCCTCGAACCCCTGGCGGTCGCCGTGCATATTACCCGACAGAGCAAGCTCAAGCACGGCGACAGCATAGTCATCTTCGGTGCAGGTCCCGTCGGTATTCTATGCGCAGCAGTCGCAAAGTCATTAGGCGCCAGCAAAATCATCTCAGTCGACATCAACCAAGACCGCCTCGACTTCGTCAAGAAATTCACCGCACCCATCTGCTCAACCTACGTATCTCAAAAGATCTCAGCACAGGAAAACGCAGCCAACATCATCCGCGAAAACGACCTCGGCGACGGCGCCGATGTCGCCATCGACGCAAGTGGTGTCGAGCCCTCGATCCAAGCTGCCATCCACGTCCTACGCCGAGGCGGCTCATACGTGCAAGGCGGCATGGGTCGTGATGAATGCACATTCCCCATCATGGCTGCCTGTATCAAAGAACTGCAGATCAGTGGAAGTTTCAGATATAGCCAGGGTGATTATGCGACGGCGTTGAATTTGGTGGCGAATGGGTCTGTGGATGTTAAGCAGGTTATCAGTCGCAAGGTGAAGTTTGAGGAGGCGTTGCAGGCTTTTGAGGATATTAAGGATGGGAAGGGGATTAAGGTGCTGATTGCTGGGCCGGAATGATCTTTTGGACTGGCAGAGTTGAGAGGTGCTGTCCAGCTAGGATGGTAAGACGGATTGAAACATTCTCGTCTTGGACCCAAAAATTTCATTGCATCGTCGCGGTCTGTCTTTGTTACGAAAAGCGCTTGAGTTCCTCGAGATTCACCATGTAGCAAGTACTGTTGGTATTCAGATTTGTTGCATTACATAAACTCCACTTGCAACACCTCTAAGCTTCCTGATGAGTTACAAGAACTTCTCAACCATGTGCTTGAACCCTTTCTTCTCCTCGTCACTCCCATAGCCCTGAACGACATGCTCAACAGGCTCGCCTTGATGTGCGAAGATCTCATCAGGTCGAATTGCCCTTTCGATGAAGGTTTCTTTAGCAGGCAGCACCAATGAGAGAACAGTGTACACGAACGCAGTTGCCACGAAGCCAAGTAACCAGCCAAACTGGTAAGGATGTACGCCAACGCCTACGTTGACGTTCGGGTTGATGCCGTTGATGAAGCCAGGCAAGCTCGGCGCAACTCCAACTAAGAAGGCGACGACTGCACGCCAGTTCACGCCGTAAGTGTAGCGGTAGATTCCCATCGGGTTATATAGTGCCAATGTATCGTAGCGACGTTTATGAACGACCCAGAAATCGAAGAGCATGATAGCGGCGATTGGACCGAGGAAGATCGCGTACGCTGCCATGAAGTTGAGGAAGCTGCCGGCTGAAGCGAGAATCTTCCAGGGTACCAGCGCCCAGCAGAGAATTGCTGTGATCAATTGACCTCGACGGATATTGACAAAGCGTGGCATGAGAGCCATGAGATCATTGGCTGCGGAAAGCGAGTTGGCTGAGATATTCACACCCAGGGCTGCCAACGCGAAAGAGAAAGCCGCAAAGAATCGAGCTGCACGGTTGTCCCAGTGGCTGACAAGTGCCATGGGATCCCATTCCAGCACGCCATAGTGTGCCGATCCAGCGCTTGAAGAGGCAATACCAATGAAGGCGATGAAGGTGAAGATCAGAGGCAGGAGAGGTACATAGATTGCCTGCCACTTGACACTAACACGCGAATAGCGAGAGAAGTCGGACTGATTGACCGAGAGAGTCGCATAGTTCCCAATAGTCGATGTCATTGACGACAAGAAAGCCCAAGAATATGCTGAGCCTCCTATTGTTGCTTTCTGATTGAAGATCTCGCGGCTGTTGGTAGAGCCAAGAGCCCAGCCCATGATTGCGATCCAAGCCACTGGGACAATTAGAGATTTAGCCATGAAGAGAATTCGTAGTTGATTGGGATGCATCAGCAAGAAGGGCACTTGCGCCAGCCAGAAGAGGAAGAAACAGATCATCGTCTGAGTATCGATGTCAGCTGAGGCTGGTAGCGAATTGTGAAGTCTGAGGAAAGACGGCCAGATTGCTCCTATCATCACTCGAAGTGTGTTGGCACCGTTCATGGTCTGTATAGCGAACCAGAAGACGGCAAGGATCGCACGAGATATGATGGCGATGTAGCTGCCCCAGAAGCCCCAACTAGCTCTTGCGATAACTGGAAATGGGACATGATGTAGCACACCAATTGCACCATTGAATGCGATAACCCAAGAGATGATGAAAAAGCTCAGAGCGACAATGCCCAAGCTCTCTCGCCATGTCAATCCAACGGCAATGATACCAGCAGCAAACTGCCAGGTCGCTGCGTTGAAGGCATCGGATATCCAGTATGCAATGAAAGATGTCACTCCCCATTTGCGACGGTTTGGTGGCACTGGATCAAGATCGAGGTTGGTCCATCTTGAGTTGCCTTCACCTTGCGCGAAAACTGATCGCGGCTGCTCGACCTTAAGGTGAGGCTTCCTTAACTTGATTTCTTTCATCGTGGTAGTACTATCACTGCTGCAAGCCCAGATTAATGGCGAGCAAGGGCATGCTCACCACAAGATGTGGGGAGCGTTTAATCTTATGCAGACTTCCATGTGCGACATTGTGAGTTACTCGACCAGGTTTGTGATAAGCAAATGCATGTGAGTGGACTGATCGATGTGTCCAGATAACACGAGTCGGGACCATTCCTTATCGCTTGGCCAAGCCCACCATGAAGGCACATATTGCTACACTAGAGTTGCTTTACATTCTCTGAGTAGTATGCCAGCACTGTCTGTGCTTCAAAGTCAGACATGGCGCACAACACATATAGCAACCGCAAGCACCGGTGGCGTGTTGTGTATGAAGGAAGTGGTCTTCTACAACATCAGGAATCGCAAAATAAGGAATGGGTCACGATCTCGTGGACGCGCTAGGGCGCCTGCTGATTTGTGGGTCTGCACTTGCCTGTATCGGCAACCGCAACCAGCTCTCAAGCTTTCGCGCAGCAACGACCCTCTTCCAGACCCTTTCATCAATGGCAAGCACACGACATCACTATCGTTACAGTGGTCTTCGAAAGCCAACTCGGATTATGCTCAATTCTTGTCTCATGACAACCGGACGAGGCTGGAATACTAAGATCGATTCACAATCTATGAACCACAATGAATTACCGTCAATTTGAGCCTGACTTTTACTCATCCTCAATGCCAACCAACTTACAGCTCTCCTTCCACAGTCGCATCTCACCTTCGGGATCATAAGCCCACGTTGCGTGTCCGGCTGAGCCAGGGTAAGCATATTCATCAGCCAGTTTGGCAACCTCACAGTCGTTAAGGTATAGACCGCCTTTACCGTGTAGGTCCTTATCTAACGCAGCCACCAGAGTGGTCGCCGCACCCTGCTCCGGACTCTTCATCATTCTCTCGACCTGTTTATTCCCCTTGTACTGCTCAACGTCCATGTGTACCTGTAGACCAGTCCAGATTCCGCCAGGATGCAACGAAAATCTATGCAGATTTTGGGAACTGTACCTACGTTCGACCTCGTTCGCCAACCAAATGTTTGCAGTTTTGGCTTGGCCATATGCTTTCCAGGGATCATAGGCACCATCTTCATCAAATCGAAGGTCATCGAAGTTGACAGGAGCAGTCCGGTGACCAGACGACGAAACGTTAACGATACGAGAAGGAAACTCGGAGGTGGCAGACGACAAGAGTGTTGATTTCAGTCGCTGGAAAAGAAGGAAGTGAGCGAGATGGTTGACTCCAAATTGAGCTTCGTGACCATCTTTGGTGAGCTCCCACGTTGGAACAGCCATAATACCGGCGTTATTGATCATCAGGTTCAGCTTTGAGCTCTTGCTGAGGAATTCCTTGGCACAGGCTTCGACGTTGGTGAGCGAGTTCTGATCACAGTGTAGCATTTCGAACCTGCCTGGTTCAAGAAGATCCGACAGTGCCTTCTGTCCCTTGTCAAGATCACGAACTGTGACATAGACAGTGGCACCAGTGCTCTTGAGCGCTCGTGCTGTTTCGATACCGATGCCGGAGGAGCAACCAGTCACAAGAGCGACCTTGCCCACTAGCTTGTCATTGAGATCGTTGTCATCGACAATCTTTTGAGCAGTAGGTCGAGCGTCTCCTGGACCATTCCAATTTTCGGGCTTATGAGCTTCTTCGTATCTGGTGGTCATGGTTGGTGGTTGAAATGTGATTGTTAACAACTTATCTGGGTTGGTGTGACCTTGCGTTTGAGCATCCTGCGAGCTGACCGGACATATATAGATATCTTGCAAGCTCTCAGAGTGAAAACAAGCATGTTTGTATCCGTGTACTGCATGGAACATCTCTTATTACTATTCGATGAGACCAATAGAGTTGTGTGAGTGGGGCCGGACGACTTCGCACCAACGCTGCGGGAAATCAAATCAATTCAACCTCGATCCTACGGGACTTCTCTCTTCGAGTTAACCATGCAACATGTTGTATGTAACAGAATTACGTATTGAGTGTGCTCAACGCCGTATTAAAGACTGCGCACGCAGCATGACCATTGGACAGCCGATTGAGCCGAGCCTTTGACTATTCATGCATATCTGGAGATCGTGCTTCTGTCGAAGTTCGCCATAACGTTGGAATTGCAGATCAACCACCGTACGAGTTGAATGCTCCTCAACTCATCAGACTTGTCATCAAATAGACATGCTCATCGCCGGTCAGACCAACAGGTCGCTAGAACGAAGTCCACACTGGGCTTTTCGTGGTTACCAAAAATTCAGCTGTAAATTGCATGATTGAACCACAATACTCTTGTTCACGAAAAACGACTTGGCAACGGACCTGGTTCAACGTATGAATATTTGTCCGTCAGGCTTATTACTTGGAACAAATCAATAGTACTTCTGGCGGACCTCAAGCATGGCGCAAGAGATCCCATTGAAGACGCCTTGAACATCGTTTAGCAGAACAAGTTCTTACAAACACTCAGTCACTGCTTGACCACTCATGATCAGTCGATCTCAGAGGCTCTGCTCGAAAAGCTCTACACCTCGCGAGGTCCGAATTGACTCGGTTCCAAAGAGAAGAAAGCCTTGACCTAAGCAGGACCAAGCTGTCGGCGTGCATGCAGCAGGGATGCATCGCTGAGGAAATATTCCAGAATCACCATCTTGAATAGCGATCAACACCCTGCCCGCAGTTATCGACTAGTGACATGCCTGTCTGCACCCAGAACATTCGCCGGATCGTGAGATACTGGAGATTTCGTCCATTCGCAAGCGTGTTGCTTCGAAAACTATACCAACAACGGTGGTATGCTATTTCGGTTGAGTGGTTCTTGCAAGGCAACCGCATTCTTGATTGATACAGTATGTTGCCTCTAGAAAGGTGATGTGCATTCTGAAGCTAGCTTTGGCGAGAAATGTCTTGGAGAAAGCCTCGTTGGGGCCGAAACGACGTCATGTTCAGGCACCTTTATTTTTCGACCTCGAAAAAGTACAAGTGATGTTGCAGCGCAGGACCGAAGTCATGTGGCTGAGCACGAAAATAGATCAATCTTTGTGCTATCAAGGCTGTCAATCGATGACTCCGTGGTAGAGTAAAGACGAGAACAAGAAGGAAATGGTCACCGTCACTGCTTTCCAGTCTCCATGAGCCATATGTTAGAGCAAGTCTCTCAACGGTCACAAGACCTGGCCCTGAAAGAGCCGAGATGTCGAGATCTCCCGGATAGTGCCATGTACTTGACACTACGGTTGTCATTTCCATCGTACTCGTGATTTGAAGCTCCATTGAGACAGTCCTTCTGGCTCGTTCCTGATATAGCCCTTGTGCGTAGTGTCTCGATCTGCAGCATCAACCATGTATTTTCAAAAGAAGGGTTTTAGAGGCCCTGCATACATGATGGAAGGGGCTAACTACTTCGTTGTGTAAATGCTGCCAATGATGATGCCAGTAACAAGCACAGGCTTCTGGTGGTAACGTCAAGGTCTGCTAATATATAGCAGTACCTTGCGAGGCGTGGTTAGACAACTTTCCAAGACTCACTCATTATGCACTATTTCGACCCGACTCTCGACTGGCCGAAAGAACTGCTAGAGGATCAGATGCCTGACTTGATCATCATACAATCCAAGAATCTCAAAGACCTCGGTGCACCATGGCAAGTTTCTGACAGTGGTTGGACGACATGTTGGGTCCAGTATGCGGCTTCAGGAAGTGAAGCTCGTTTCTTGAACTGGATTTTCCTCGACGGTGTGTTCGCTAGTGAGGACGATAGAAAACAGGTTGCAGCATACTTGGGTGGCCTTGCGGATCAAGAGGTGTCTATACATCGTTATCGAGGCTTGTCTGTAACCAGTAATCTGCCAATATTACTGACAGGTAAGTCGTCGTCAATTTTTTGTAAACACTGAAGCTGACGATCTTCCCTAGCGCCGATTGTCAAATGTCGTCCGGCAGCCCCTGAGACTGCCGCCTCACGGAACTGGTCGTTAAGGTACAATCTGATGAGTTCTTCAGGCTCTAGTTTAAGCGATCTCGAGGCATGGTCGACTTTGCTCGTTGAGTCCAATGAACATGATCAAGCAATTCCGCGACCAGCTCATGAGAATCAGCTGGGGGTATACTCGACATTGCCCTTCGATGATTCGAGGGTTACGGACTCTGTCGATGGAGTTGAGGTTGAAGGTACAACCGTAACTTTGTATGTTGTGGCATCCTCATCGAACCTGCAGCAGCACATGATATGGTCAAATTCATCTGTGCTCATTCCAGATTCTGGCGCTTCGACGATGTGGTAGACACTTTCGGTGTGCATCTCCGGAATTGGTCATAAATCCCAACTATTTCTGTAGCCATATAGCACAGCTAAGGAGTTCCCTGCATCGGTGTGCAGGTGAGATCCTGGGGCGCATCTGGTATAGTCACTCAATTTTGTTCATAATTCGCGTTCCCATTGAAGCCGCAATATTGTTCAATGTCATGTACCACGAACTGGTTGAGATCTACCGCAGCCCACTCGCAGATTTCGAAATGATAGGAACATGGCTTATGGCCATAGCATGATGAGGCGAACATGTAGTGTCCGACTGATGAAAGAGGACTACTTGCAACACGACGATAACAAGCGCGACAGAAGACTGGAAAGACGCGACACTGGAACACCGAGAACAGTTTAGTGTGTCTTGGCGGGTGCAGAACATCTCAGGCTTCGCGTCTGCGAGTTCCTAATGCTCGACAATGAACTTACATACAAACAGAATCAATGCAGAACTTCGTCATGGAGCATTCACAGGGCTAGCTTTGCTCGTCACAGCCCCGGCTGAGACTGTTCGTCGAGATCAAAGTCTCCGCCTCCACACCATCTCACAATCTGAAAAACATGGAGGGTAGGGTCTGGAGGCTCAGCACGACCCGACCGAGAAGAAAAGCGTCTGGCATCAGGGAGTTCACCAAAGCGGCGATTGTCACCGTACGTGAGGTGCTCAGTCCCGCATTCAATGGCAATAGCAATTGCTTGGACCATCACAATAAGTGCTCCTGGAAGACCTCAAGATCCGTGATTCACACCAACAATTGTGCTCGGTAAGGTCAAATTGCTGATCAGTCTCATCTCCTCCTTCCCCACTTGTCGAAAGGGATCTTTCAAGCCGACAACAGGCACTATGTAGTTCTGAGAACAACCGTCGTGGCAGAGAACACGTCGCGATCGTCCAACCTTAAACATGTTAGATAGCATCACTAACAGTCAATTGATATTGAAGTAAAAGACTACCTGCTTTCCGCAGTTGATCTATGATTTTCTTCCTTTAGCTTTCAGAGTCGATCTTTGATCAGAGATCTGTCAGAGAAGTCGATCTATTTATCTGTTCTATCTGGCCTGTGACAGCACACTGCGAACCTTTATCAGATCTACCGCAATGCCCGATGCAGACCCTCAACAGCTCACCAGTGATAGCGACACTAACCCCAGCCGTACACTACTCTGGGAGCCCAATGACCAGATACTAGCACAACTAGAGCAATGGAAGCGCGGTAAGTGGATGACCCCTGCACGATGGAAATTCTCTGATATGAGGCTCAGAAGGCAAAGTCCGAGATGGCACATGGATTACAGACCATGGTTCAACTTCTGTGTGTCAACGAGTACCACTACCAGTGCGGACTTCAGAGGCCACGGAGAACGAGGTAGCAGGAGTTGTGGTGGGCAATATGTCGAATTCGTCAAGTGAAGAGCGAAGAGCCAGTGGTAACAAAGGCAAGCAAAACATCGGAGCCGAGCAGGCGGATTCTGGTATGCAGCACCCCACGTCTACCCACTGCCGTTGCTGACAATGTCAGTGCCTCGTCTCTCTCGAGGCTGGAACGTTGATATGAAACAGTATGCTCGAAATCGTCGCACAAACCCACCTGCAGAAAAGACGGCTAGGCGGTCGGATGCGCAGAGTAGCGACGACGAAACAGATGGCGAATACGAAAGAATGGTAACTGATCTCGAGCTGAGAAGACGCCAAGCCATCCAGGATGCTCCGATTCAAACTCTTGTCATTCATCATACGGTGTCCCCACCCGCTGCAGTAACCCCCAATGCCACCACGGAATGTCAACAACTATCTTCGGCAGTCAAGCTTCTCCGTGATTACGAAAGCACAATAAAGTCGCAAGCAGAACGCATTGATACTCTTCAAGGCTGTATCAATGAGCTGGAGGTCAACTTGGAAGAGCTGCATAAGACAATCAACGAACTTCACGATCTGGTCTACAAGGCAGGAGAGCTACGCGTTGCATTCGATGCTAGCACGTAGGTTCGAGCCTGGGTCGCTCGTTCATACACCACAAATTTGGCTACGGCAGCATCTCATGATAACCAACCCATACCAAGATTGAGTCTTGCAGTGACGGCGCATACGTCGATGGCTTACGCAGCACAGCAGAGAAAGCCCATACCCCATGAGCTTACTAAGGCGACAACGAACGCGTCTCAAGAGGGTTTTCGGTGTTTTCGTCTCGGTCCATGCCTCAACAAGGCTTCTAAAGTTTTCTATGTAAAGGGGCAAGTTTCACATCGCTATCTCGCACAGTCCCTAGAAGCCAAACTTTGAGAATTTAGAAAGTCCACATCTAGATATCTTTGAAGCAATGCTCAGAATGGTTCTTCCGTCGATGAATGTTGCCTATATACACAGCATAGTATCATCGTGATAAGGAGAGAAGGAGAGTTGGAAAGGGGCTGTAGGCAGAACGATGTGCCAAGCTGAGCGTTAGGCTCCTCAGGCATTTCTTTTATCTAATCAGGATCTCCGCAGTGCCTCGAAACACTCTGGTTAAGCCACCTAAACTGTGTCAAGAAATGTCACTTTGTAAACCACATTTCACTATTTGACTTGCATTCTGCCTGACGTTCACAATTTTTTATTCTACTGCTGATCGCTCGTTCCTTCTCATCCACGTCAAAAACTCCATTTACTACCTGAGTTAAAAGTCCAGATAGCGCGCCATAGCCCTGGTGGTAGCGCACCAGACACCACACACCCCTTCTGAGAGAGAATGGCTTCAAGTTATAGTTATGACGAGGAGAGCACTCACGCACCGTTTTTCATTATCACCTTGGCCAGCATTTTCGCAGTGCCAATCACTTACAGTATCTTCAAAGCTTCTCCAGACCTCGAGAACACTGGCGCCAGAATACAGTCAGACTACAAGCCACAAGATGAGGATATAATACAAGCACAAAGAAGGAAGCAGAAGAGGAAGGAGCGCAAGACAAAACGAATAGTGTCAGCATGTGTTCTTTGGGGCGTAATAGCCTACATGATCTACTTGATCATAGTCACTCAAAGAGTAGTACCGCAAATATGGGATCCCTACGATGTGCTGGGAGTATCGAGGAGCGCCAGCGAAAAGGATGTTGACAGACATTACAAGAAACTCTCCATCAAGTACCACCCCGATAAAGCGAGACCGGATCCCGCCAAGAACGAGACAATCGAGATGATTAACGACCGATGGGTAGAAATGACTAAGGCGTACAAGACTTTGACCGATGAAGAGGTCAGAAATAACTATCTGATGTATGGCAATCCGGATGGCAAACAGAGCACCAATGTTGGAATAGCTATTCCACAATGGATCATCGAAGGAAGCAGCCGGTGGGCAGTTATCGCCTTCTATGCTACACTGCTGGGCATTCTGTTGCCATATGCTGTTGGCAAATGGTGGTACGGCACACAAAAACTCACGAAAGACAGCGTGCTGCATTCCAGCGCGGGCCGACTCTTCAAGGAGTATAAGGAGGATATCACCGAAGGAGGAATCCTTACTGCACTTAGTGTTGGTGACGAGTATGGCGAAGTTTTGACTGGAGCCAGAGCTCACCAAGGCGCTTCCAAGGTCGAGTCCGCGGTCCTTTCGAGTGGCGTCCTCTCAGAGGCAGATATCGAGAAGCTCAAGGCAATCGACGATCCCTTGCGCCGAAAAGCCCTCTGTCTATTGTGGGCGTACCAAGCACGTATAAATCTAGGCGACGAAGAGCTCAACCGTCAGAAGTACGAGGTCGCTCCGATCGCATTGCAACTAGATCGTTCATTCAGCAGCATAACCCTCCCATTCCTCCTAACTCAACCTCTTTTCAATACCTACAAGACGGGCCAGAACCTGATACAAGCACTTACGCCCTCCTCTGCTCCTGTCTTACAACTGCCACACTTTACTCCAGCTCTTGCAAAGAGTATTTCAGGCGCAAACAGCAAATCTCCTCTCACCATACAAAAACTCATGTCTTTACCGGCTGGACTTCGGCGAAATCTGTGTTCACAGCTCACAGATTCGCAATACAACCAAGCGATGAATATTGCTTCGCAAATACCAGCCTTAAAGATCGAGAAAGCTTTCTTCAAAGTTATTGGTGACAGAGTTGTGACGCCTGGCTCTCTCGTCCAGTTGGTAGTCAAGTGTCGGGCTATTCCTCCGGGGACTCCTGCCGCCACAGTACCAACGGTTGACTCGGCGGATCTCGAAGATATTGACCCAGAAGAGGGTGACATAGACGCTCTGAAAGGACGCAAGAAACCGGTGAACAGAAAACGTCGGAACAGCGAGGGCAAAGTCATTGATTCGAAAATGACAGAAAAGGACACGCAGCCTCCTCTCGCATATGCTCCCTATTTCCCAGCAGATCATGCTCCACGATGGCACATATTCCTGGCTGAGAGCAAATCGGGCAGAATAGCCGTTCCACCATTCACATTCACAAGCTTTGACAGGCCGATATTCAATGCCAGTGGGAAACCAACGTTTGAAGTCGTAACGATGAAATGCCAATTCCAGGCTCCACCACAAGTTCACGCATTCCCTTTTACGATGCATTTGATCTGCGACTCATACGTCGGATTCGACCAGAAGATGGATGTTGTGCTTGATGTGAGAGACGTAGGTGAAGCGAACGTCGTGGAAAGCGACGGAGAAATTTCGGAGCCTGATGAAGGTAAGTGCAATGTATCCCTTTGCACGCCTTGACGAACAACAATGCTAACATGATTACAGATTCACTCGCTGGTCAATTGCAAGCCATGAAGACTGGTGAGGCACCTAAGCCCAGGAAGCAGAAGAAGACTGTAGAGGAAGAAGACAGCGATGAGGATGAGAGTGATACGGAGGGCGAGCAAGATGATACGAGTGAGACGGATACAGAGACTGAAGACGAGGCCGACTAGGTATTTGTCCGAACTAGTAGTAGGTCCTGGATCTAATGAGATATTTTGGACGTCGTTCTGTGAAGCAGACACGGGACAATGTTCTGGATATCTGTGCTTTCTTCACGACACCTCTGTGCTCGTCATGGTGCTGGCAATAAAATGCTTTACCCAGTGATCGAATTCCACAACTGCCGGTGCGCCTGTTTCAACGTTTTCGGTGGCTGTGTAGTTCAGATTCGATTTGTGTGCACAATCTGATGATATTCTACCAAATCCATGACGGAAAGAAGTGCCGCTATTTTTCACAGTCCTCCCTCTTTCAGCGGCCAAGTTGATGAGAAAACATACACTAATGACTAAAATTGCACTCGCGCAGGAAACCTGTCCACAGTTTGTGCAGTGGGAAATTAGCAACATTTACTTCGAAAATTGCTTTGAGCAGTTGCTATCTTCTTGTGTACAATTCGGAGCAGGAAGATCGTTCTATGGCAGAGATATAAAGGCGTTGCAGCAGTCTGTATGAACGTAGCTAGTCAGACAGCGCAAAGTCAATGTTGAATCAATGTGCGATGAATGTTGTGATCGCGTAACAAAGCCTGTTCATGATCAGTGTCCTTGGAGTTCAGGTATCATACGTGACAAGGGTGTTGAAACGATTCTATCAGTATGCTAGGAGTATAGAGACTCGTTCTGGAGAGCAGTTATCCGAGCTTGACAGCATGCCAGGGACGCCTTCGTCTAGGACAGCGTGTTACGAGTCCTATTGTGCGCGTCTATTTTGAGTTCTGACCATGTAAGCGTGCTACACACACTTACCAATTTGGTCGTTCGAATTCGAAAGTATCTTGATTGACATAGAACATTCGTATCGTGGTTGAAATGTAGATTCCCTACCATAATATGTAGTTGTACTGTTGTGACAGAGCTCTTGGTCAAGCCACACAAGAAAGCGTGGTGATCTTCACTGCAGGTCCTCAGCCAAGCTTCACGGAAAAGTATGCCGGAGATGAGACCTCGTTTCATCAACGCGCCTGCGCCCAAAGAGTCACTCTCAAACAGGACACGCGAGAGTGCTCCAGGCAATCCGGTCCTGAGTGGTTGGTTGCTCGCAGTACTGTCGCGCTTGTTAGCTGCTTCGACATGGCTGCAGAAAGTGCTATGGAAACTGAACAAGTTTGACCAGCTGAAGAATCTCCCTGAGCTCGAAGGATACTCTGCGAGGTATGATGGGACGGTGATTCCGGTCAACGACAAACACGACGAGCCCTTACCTCTCCTCGAGTTGCCAAAGCCACGAAACAGAAGGAACGCAAATTCATACTATACTGTCGCTGATTACCACAATGAATACCTCTCTCACGATCTAACTCCGCTTGATGTAACCGAGTATCTCCTATCATTGGTCACAAGAGTGGGAAAGACTTCAAGCAAATACTCTGTGGCTTACCTTGATGTTCAGCCAGATATTGTTCGAGCTGCTGCTCGCGCTTCGACGGAACGCTACAAGTCTGGTCAACCATTGAGCATGCTAGATGGTATCCCTATCGCCGTCAAAGATGAGGTCAACCTGAAAGGCCACCAGAGATCCCTGGGCAGCAACCTCAACTTCAAAGACAAGCTGGACGCAACAGACTGGTGTGTTAGAAAGTGGGAAGAAGCTGGCGCTATTATCATTGGAAAGACCTCCATGCATGAGCTTGGACTGGACACCACAAACAACAATCCTACTTGGGGAACGCCCCTGAATCCTCACAATGAAAATTACTACACTGGCGGTAGCTCTGGTGGCTCCGCTTGTACCGTTGCTCAAGGGATATGTCCCATTGCACTTGGCGTTGATGGAGGTGGTTCCATACGTATACCCTCTTCTTGTTGTGGTCTCTATGGGCTGAAGCCATCGCAGAATCGTGTCTCGTGCTACCCAGCGCAAGATAGTCCCAACACCCTTGCAGTATGTGGTCCCATGTCCCCAAGCATAGATGACTTGGCTCTGGCGTTCCGTATCATGGCTCAACCATGTCCTGATGATCCTGTGAATCTGTTGTTCCCTCTTTCCAATTCTCTTGAGGCTCTCAAGGAGAGTGCTACTGACAAGATGTACCTTGGTATTGATCGTGACTGGGTAAAGCTAGCTGATCCTGACGTCCTGGATCGCTTTAATGCTGCAGTACAGTATTATGTACAGATCCATGGATACGAGACTGTCGACATCAAGATCCCCCTACAATCAGAGAACCAGAAGGCGTTCTCTCTGACGATTTTGGCTGAAACAATGAGTGTGCTAAAGCCTGGACAGATGTCCGAGCTACAACATGCTAACCAGCTTGTGCTCAACGTCTCTGGAGTTCATGCCACTGCTCAGGACCTGATTGCTTGTGCGAGACTGCGAGAAAGAGCCATGCGCCATCTCTCTTGGTTGTGGACGCAGTATCCGGGCATGCTTCTCTTGACACCAACGATGCCCTTCGCTGGCCTCAAGGTCCAGAAGCCAAGTGATGTTACTGACGGTTATGGTGCTGCTGATCCTGATACAGAGCTTCGTTCCATGGAATTTACTTGCTTTGGTAACTGGGTTGGCGCACCTGCTATTACCTGTCCCGTAGGGTATACGAAGGACAGTCTCCCGATTGGTATTATGGTATGTCCATCTTCCTAGCTCTTTCCTGGACGGTATTGACATTTCTAGGCTCTGGGCGAATGGGGTTCGGAAGAACAATTGATACAATTTGCTCGAAAGCACGAGGGTTTTCTCGAGGCGGAAGGCGTGAGAAGACCAATGAGAGATGGAAACTGGATCGATGTTCTCGCGCAGGCAAAGAAGATGTAGAGAATGCAGGAGGCTCTGCGTTTTAGATGTGTTGGCGAATTTGAAGTTGCGAAGCGGGGGTTATCTAGAAGAAGCTGTTGTCTGCTTCCTGGTCCCGAACATGATCGCTCCTGCGTAAAAGTTTTCACGCATCGGTAACGTCCTTTGGGTGGCTAATTGTTAGCATGGGCCATCTTGTCAACTATCTCTACCACGAGCACATACGAGACAGATCTCAGGACTGCTGGGAAGCTGGTTTTTGATGAAATTCGACTGTCTTCACCGAAAATCATGGTCAAGAATGGCGAAATTTCAAACTGGCTTTCTAGGTTCAATTTTGGTCTCAAAAGATACCGACAGGCAACCTCGTTATCATGCTATCAACAAGATGCCTTTACAGGCGCTGATGCCTCTGCTTTTCGCTCCCATTCAATTTACTGTTCTCGCATCTCAGGAGTTCTGACGAGGCTACGCAAGGCTGGATGCCTTGTTCTTGGGGCCAAAAGCCAAGCACCAATCAGTGATGAGTATTCTGCCAAGCGAATTCTCCTTTCGGGCTAGCACGAATCGATCACTCTGAGAAGTATAAAAACCGCTCGACGTTCTGCTTTGTTGACATTCTTTCCTTCTCAGGTGCATACATCTGCACCTTCTCAGCTTCTCAGGACCTCAGCCTTCCTTTCCCTCAGCCTTCCAATCCTTCCATCTTCCCACACAGACCTGCGAAGTCGGTAAACTCATGCTGACCGCGCAACGTCAGTAAAAGGCCCGACCTGGGACGTCGGTAAACTCATTCCCAACCATAACGCATCGTTGTAAAAAGGCTTGTCCCCTTCTACTACCACATCCAACCATCACCTTCAACACCCTCGACCTGGGAAGTCGATAAACTCATCCGTCGTCAGCGTATCGACCTCAGTATCGTCGCTAAAAGACTGCTCCAATACTACCTCACCACCATTAACCTCCTCTCCTTCAAAACCTCAAAACCTTCTCTCCTTTCAATATCTCTCAAAACCTCTCAATATCTCTCCTCTCTCTCAAACCCTACAAACCTTCTCTCCTCTCTCGAAAACCTCAAAACCTCACTATCATTATCACTCTATTCTTATCAGACCTCGTAGTCGTAGTCGTAGTTGTAGAACCGGATCACCCTCAGGTGTGCAGGTGCCTCTCCGGATGACCACAAGGTCTGCAGGAGTAGGCCATCGTCCTTCTCGCTTCATGCGAGAAGATGAAGGTCTATCATAGTCAATAGTAGACAGCAAGTAGCAAGTCGTCGTCAATGCCATATCCATCTCATGCTCGTTGCTATCCGTGTGAGTATTGGCTTCGCTGTCGTGCTTGCCGAAACCCTTATCATCGATGCCGTTGCCGCTGTCTGCCTATTAGGCTTCTATGCACATCGTCAACTTTCGTACTTGTCGTTCGTTGCTGTTGAAAATTCTTCGTGCCCCACCGACGTCATGTTAGTGTGCATGCTTGCTGACACTTCTCTCTCGCACAACTCAGGCTGCTACCAACCCCTCCTTTCGTCTTAGCGTTGGCTCGGCTCGCCTTCCATCTCTATCACGTCGCTCCCCTGTTGCTGCCCTACCTTTTCGTCTCAGTATTTCTCCTGCCTTTGACTGGTGCCTGCATACCTCAAAATTTTCGGACCTGCCTGCATCTTCTGAACACAAGTGTCCATACCTGCACATGTCAGTGCATCAGCGTCCCATGCGTCTTGATACAACGATGCAATTGTGTCATCATATGTCTTCTTGCGTTGTGCATCCATCATGCATGCCTTTATCCATTAATGTCATTCGCTTCATCCGTGCCTACATCGGTCCTTCCTCGTCCTTTCTCGTCCTTCTTCCTTACGATGCGCGCACCTTCAGTCGCTGGTCAGCAATTGTCACTGCAAAGAGTCGTTGAGTCGGTATCAATGGTGGAGAGGTCGTTTATGGTCAGAAGATCGTCGGTCAGCATTCGTATTGTGTACGAGGACAGCTGACGACATAGATGCTTCCTTCATACCTTCGAGCATGCCTGCTGGTCCAGTCAGTCAACGCAAACCATATCAATGCTCCAAGTCGCAAAAGCAGTCTAGATTTTGAAAGAGTTTTTTGGCACAAGTCGTGTTCGTCGCTGGGTCAAGAGTTTGGTATCCTGCGTTGCCACACTCGGTATTGAACGGTCCTCAGAGTCCAAGACATAGTGCCTCAATCATGAGTCGCCATGTAGAGAAAGACATCAGCTTCAGTTGGTTCTTACAGTCGTGGTTCTTCGCCATCAATACATTCATCAAGGTTGGTCGTCGTTGATTTGTTTCGTTATCGCTGCCTATTGATTGTGTCAGCTTTTGCATACTTTCGATGATTTCGGGAATTTAGGAAGAAGCATGGATTCGTTGATGACTCAGAGTGCTTGCCAACAAGCAAAAGTTTGCCGGATTTTACGCTAAGGATTGTCATGCCAGCATCGCAGGCAGCAGATTCTGGAGCACGATGAAGGTGATACTTGGGTTGTCTTCAACCTCCGCGTTCCAGTTCTGGGCAGAGTATACAAAGCTCGCATTAATCACGTCGCTCGGCATCAACAGAGCTCTGTCTGCCATGACGTTTTGGTGAGGCGGATCGACATGAGAATTGTATCGGCAGTATTAACGATCCAACGGAGCTCGGCTCATAATCCAGCGATGCCTGTCTACAGCAAGATGTTGGTATGAAAACTTGGTGGATAGTGGCCTCGAATCAGGGCAGTGAGAATGTCGCATTGACTGTTAAAAGGGGGAGTTCAGTGGCCGACTTCTAGGAAGACATAATCATAATATCTGGTACGATTGTCCATTTCGAGGCTTCTATATTTAGTGTTGGCCTATATCTGCAACGGCATGGGGGGGGGTTATGCTTCATAACGTTCGGCTCAATACTAGAGACAGTCTGCAAGGAAGTGGTGGTTGTGGTGTCTTCGCTCGAATTGAATCTGTCTCTGGTCCCTGAGAATCTCGATGAGCTACTTCTTCTTACATTCACAAATCAAGGGGCTGAAGAAGCAAGCTCAAACCCAACGGCAATGACGTATCTGTGGAACTTCCTCTTCCAAGTAACAGCAAAATCTACACCCTCAAGGTTTAAGATTTCGCAGCTAGGCAACTGAATAGAAACTCTTTTAGTGTTGTACTGCTTCTCATGGTTATCTTCTTCTCTGGTGGTGCTGTTTCATTCGAGTTTCGTTCAGGTCTCATGTTCATGAACTGCTGCATTGCCAGAAGATGGACACGCACATTGACGCAGCTCACAATGGGCCATTAAACGTGCTACAGGTACGCAAGATTCGGATTATTCCTGTTCAATAAAGTTTCTATCAAACCAATGATCGTCGTTGTTAACCGATACCAAATAGAAAACAGGCCCAGCATCTTTAAATACGATCGTTGGAGCTCTAGTACCCGCGACCCTCGTCGCAGCGGCCTACGTCTGCGGCTTCCTCACAATTCGAGGCACATTCAGAAGTCAATATGCTCCCAGAACCTTCAGTCAAATTATACCTGAGAAAGACCGGACACCATCAACATCGACGTCTGGGTCGAAATGGTTCAAGGATTACCGCCAACTCGATGATACCTTTGTCCTTCGACATCATTCCTTCGACGCCTTTCTATTCCTCCGCTTTTTCAGAATGCTTGTTCTGATCTCTGTTGTTGGTGCTGTTCTGACATGGCCGACCTTATTACCACTGAACGCCAATGGTGGCGGCGGAGCAACAGAACTCGACAGACTGGCCTTCAACAACATCGTCGATCCAAAGTACTGCTGGGGTACGGTAGTGGTCGCTGTCATTTTTCTTACCTTTGTGATACTGATTGTGAACCGTGAACGACTCTTCATCATCAACATGAAGCAAACCTACATCACAACTAAAGCGAGTGCCGAGCGGTTGTCAGCGCGCGTCGTACTCTTTCTGTCAGTCCCACCGGAAATCATGAACAGAGACGACTTCGGAGGTGTATTCGGAGAGGGAATCAGGCGAACCTGGAAGGTCTCCAAGCTCAACGATTTGAAGAAACTCGTTGATGACAGAAATCAAAAAGTCTATGATCTGGAATCAGCAGAGATCACGTTAGCTCAAAACGTCTTGAAGCAGCAAAACAAGATACAAAGCAATGGTCAGACTAATGGAGGTTCCCTGGAACGTGGCGATGCATCCGTCGATCATCCGCAAAATCGACCCGTCCATCGACAACCAGTTCTAGTAGGGAAGAAGCTTGACAGTATCGACCATATCCTTAGTGCTGTTCCAGATCTTACTCAGAAAATCGACCATTTACGAGAGAAATATACTTCTGACTCTACACGGCATACAGGTGCATTGTTTGTTGAGTTCAAAGATCAAGTCGAAGCGTATCGAGCTTTCCAACAAATACAGCATCACGATCCTTTGTCTCTCCAACCGCGCTTCATTGGGGTAAGTCCTAGTAATGTCAAATGGTCGAGCTTAGCCCTCGACCCAGCGCTGCGCATCACATACAGTCATACAGCCATTGCTCTCATCATTGCCATCACAATATTCTGGTCGATCCCCGTTGGTCTTGTGGCAACCATTACAAACATTGAATATCTGGCAAACAATTTTAAGTGGTTGTCATGGATCAATCGTCTTCCAGATTGGCTAGTTGGGTTGATTTCTGGGTACTTGCCACCAACAGCATTGTCTTTTCTGGTCTCGATGGTTCCATACTGGTTCCGTGACATCGCAGAGCTCAGTGGTGAGCCTACTGCCCAAGCTGCCGAAGAGATGACGCAGCGATGGTTCTTCGTTTTTCAGTTCCTTCAGGTATTTCTTGTCACCACCTTGTCCTCCGGAGCAGCCACAATTGTGAGGAGAGTTGGTGAGGAACCTAGCAAAATACCAACTTTCTTGGCCAACAATCTCCCGAAGTCAGCCAACTTCTATCTGACATACTTCACCTTACAAGGACTGAGCACGTCAGCTAGCTTGCTAATCAAGTACTCCGACACTTTTCAGTACGTGTTCTACAAGAAGCTTACGAACACTCCACGTCAAAGATACGAGCAAGAGACCAAGATGAAAGGTCTATTCTACGGGTACCAATATCCCAAATTCACAAATTTAGCAGTCATCGCCATCGTCTACTCCTGCATCGCACCTCTAGTCCTAGGCTTCGCAGCCATTGGCTTCACTCTATTCTACGCTGCTTACCGCTACTTGATGCTTTACACCAACAACGTCAGACTCGAAATGCGCGGCTCCTGCCACACTCGAGCTCTTCAACAGCTCTTGACTGGCGTCTACGTTTCCGAGCTCTGTCTCATTGGCCTCTTCGGCGCACGTGGTGCAAAAGGTCCTAGCACTATCATGATCATCTTCTTCGTCCTCACCATTCTACATCACTACACCGTCAACAAGTACCTGTCACCCCTCGAGGAAAGAGTACCATTGGATATTCTCCAAGCCGCCGAGGCACGCAACCACGAAAGCAACGACGACAACAACAATGGTGGCCCCGAAGCCAACACCACAGGTGAAGGCGACGCCGAAGAACCGCTCCTCTCCTCTACCGAATCCCGCGACGCCCGTTTAATCCACCATCAGAACCTCTCAGTCTCTCAATCCCTCCCACCCCGCCTCCTAGATCCACTCAAAAGCATCCTCGAGAACTACAGTATCCTCCCTTCAATCGCTGTGCTAAGGCCATACATCCTCCCCTCCAACGCCTCGAATGTCGACTTACGCGAGTCAAGTCTTACCACAGTGACGAAATACACTGATGCGCAGATAAAGAACGCCTATCTACATCCTGCGCTTACGTCGAAGCCGCCGCTGGTCTGGCTGGCTAAAGATCCAGCGGGTGTGAGCGAAGAGTTCAAGAGACGGAACAAGGAACGTGCGGACCTTGAGACGAGTGATGAAGCTGCGGAGCTGGATGAGCAGGGGAACCTGCATTGGGATGAGAGTGATCTGAGCAAGGCGCCGATTTTCAAGTTACCGACTCGGTATTAGGAGGCAATAGGTACATATGTAAGGAGCGGGCGGTGCAGTTTCTGCTTTTTCGTATACGTGTGCAAGGTGTTCAGGATGTATATACAGCCAGTTGGTTCTGACCACAATGGTAAAAAGTTTTCTTTACAACAAACTAATCGTCCAACTTCTGTCAGAAGAGGTGGGCAGCCACGTTGCTCATACTCCGATTCTTAGCTACTGGCCTCGCGCAATCACCAATATGACTTCTCTACGCACACTAGTAGCCCACCATCAGCCTCATCAGCCAACGACCTCCACATCGGTAAACCTACCTTCATTGGCCGAGTTTTGGATCGCACCATGTCTCGGCCGCTGCCTCGGGCATTAATCGCGTACTGTGAACGTGTTCTACTCGAACAAGCGTCTAAATGGGAGACACGCGTAGCATTCAGAAACAATCTATCGTTCGACGTCTTGGGTACACATATCTCAACAGATCCGAGCTGACAAGCCAGTATTTTGGCTAGCCCTTCCAAGTAATATGAATGGTTGTCAGCTAGACCTGACACTTTCGAGGCAGTGCCCGGCCTGTATCCTTCGTCAAGATGAAGGGCATGGTCCCGCTTCTCTTGATGTGTGGGAGGTCAACGAGCGCGCACGCACATCCATGCATGTTGGCAGCAGAGTGACCCTCCACAACTCTCACAATTAATCGTCGAGGTCCAGACTATCGTAGGCGTGGTGCAGAATAGTTGAACTCCGTTCCTTCACGGTTACTAAGTCAGGTACAGACTCTCAATGCGAACCCTCAATCAGTCCAACACGCGCATCTTCAGGATGCATACTTCGGTATCTAATTCCACACTTCAAACGACTTTCTCGTCGGTATCGTCATCGTCATCGTCATCTTCCCCGAACGTTGGCCATAAGTTGTTGTTATATAACGCTGCGAAGCTTCCTTGCCTAGGATCTGCAAACCAGGAACTCTGTGTCAGAAATGTACTATCGTCTGCATCTGTGATGTCGCTTTCAGCATCATTATCGAGGACACTGTTGTCACAACCATTCGAAGCATCTTTGTCGGCTCCAGTAGCGGTCTCATTGTCGTCGTCCGTATCACTGTCGGGGTTGGCAACATCGTCATTTGCGGTAAGCACGTCGTTCCGCTCATTCTCTTCGTATGAGATAGTCAAGGCAGCAGCATCTTGCAGGTCAGCATCTTTATAGATCTCGCCACTGAACCTGCCGGTACCGCCCATAAACCAGCCATCTTCTACAGCTTCCCAGCGACTCATATCGTCACCCCAACCAAATGTCATACCCCACATGCGCTCTAGTATTCTCTTCTCAACTGGATGAATACATTGTGTAAGATAACCAGTCATCCTCGCAGATTGTGTGTTGTCGTCGTTAGCGAAGACGGAATCACCTCGAGTATGACCGGAACGGCCAGAAAGCATGATGAACCGTGAGCTCGACGTCGGTGCCTCGTTGCGCTGTTGTCTTTGTGGCGGCGCAACGTTATTTCCTGCAGCAGCATTGATGTTATGAGTCAAAGACGTCCTATGCCTTTGCCCTGGCTGAGTCGTCTGAGCGTTTCGGCCAGGAACATGACCTTCAGCTTCAGATGGCCGACCGCTTGTCGCGACTTTGGTGAAGGTGCAGGCGCGGGCTTTTAACCCTTCGTCCATCGCAGTCCAAGAAGAATTTTGAAAAACTAGCTCGTTTTGGTTGAAGTCGTTGCTTGCAATCCCCAAGATTTTGACGTAACCACAAGATTTCAAGGTAATTTGCTGGATGTTGCCTTTGAAAGTTGTTTCAGGCCTTGGATTTTGTTCTTCATCGACCATACCAGCATCGTGTTTGTGGTCGAGAATTGTTTTGCCTGGGGAGACCTTGTCGAGGACATTGACCCAGGCGGCATTCGCAGGTATTTTTTCGTTCAGCCAAGCTGAAGGTGAGTGTTGACATTTGAGTTGATTGTCTATGGTCCGTAATGGTCCGTCAGTACGGGGCGAAGTGATCTGCGCTGTCAGGCTCACGGAGTCGAGAACAAGATTGTGTAAACTAGTATCGCGTGACTTTATCATGAAATTCTCCAGCATCAAAGGGCTGAACCAACAATTCTCGAAGGTCAACGTTCGAACGTGCGGAAATACGAAGATGGTGTCCATACTTGGCTTTGGCATCGAGGGGTTTTGAGCGGTTAACCACTCACGTGGAGTCGATGTTATTGGTGCAGGTAGTATGTGCTGGTTACGTCCAAAGATTCCTGTTTGATGCTCACCAGAACCAAGATAGCCGATACACAAACTGTTGAGATTTTCGAGTGGTGCTATACAGTCTCGAAGAAGCTGTGCAAATTTATATGCAGCATCGACTGGTTCGATAGCCATATTTGACTGGAAGAACTTATCACCAGGAATATGCTCAGACCTCCAATCAGGTTTCACCAGAATAGTGACCTTTCTTAAGCCTCTTAGACATGACCAGAAGGTTTTCTGGGACAACATTGGCAACAACCCGGAAGAGATCTTCGCGATGTGTAGTGAGTGCACATTTTTGAAAGCTGACGAGTTCACCTGCACAGCATCTGTGTAAGCTGAGAGAAAAGTTCTTTGAATCCAGGAAGTCTCCATGGTCCATTGAGCCTGTGCTTCAGTAAACCAATTAGGCAGTATGGGAAAATCCGAAGGTCGTGCTATTCGACGCTGGACAAAGTTAGAATCGCCCTTTGATTCAGCAGCGAGGTTGAAACCGTTGAAAATAATAGGCCATTGAGGCTGAATGACCTCGCGACGCTTAGTGAGCTTCTTCGTTGAAGGTGGTGTAGCCAGAGAAGTATTGTTGCCGACAAGGTCCATAATATCTTGGAACCTTTGCCGCCTGGCTAGATTCGTGCTCGTCTGGACCGCGTGTTGAGCCGTGTTCAGTATTGGATTTTGGTTGGGTACTAGTGGTTGAGTTGTTTGGAGGTGATTCTGGAGTCGCGGCTGCGCTGCGAAGAAGGCGGCAGTGTTCACTTGTCTGAGATGGCGTGGTGTTAGAGGGGCGCGCTGCTCTACGATGCCGCCTGTGTGAAGATGCTGTGTATAGTCCGGCTGAGAACCAGCATCACGATAGCTATCGTAGTCACGAACAACAATCGAACGTAATCGGTCGAGTTCTTCTCTCGCCTTCTTCCATCGGCAGTCCAGATACTTGATGTTTTCATTAATAGTATTAGTCTGTGCCCACTTGAAGAGCTCCTGCATGCCATCTTCGTAGGCGAGATCCGGAGCGGTGCATGTTTTGCCAAACACCTTTGATCCACCTTGGACCTTGCTTCGATAGAGAGCAAGATCTGATACATCAGGCCCCTCGAGCCATCCAAGACCACTATCAACGGAAATCGCGAGCTCCCTACACTTGGTAAGTTTTCTCATTGATTGAGTCAGCAACCGTCTGTCATCGTCAAGCAGCTTATCGATCTCCGACAAAGGTGAAAAGTAGGGGTAATCCTTGACAGGCCAAACATAGCGACCAAACCAAGCGTCCACGACCTTTTCTGTGATTTTGAAGGGTGCATGCATCAGGCCAGGAGCATCATACTCAAAAGAGATACCAAACTTGTTGATCTCAGCGCCGTGCCTGTCGAGCATTGAATGTGTACTGTCGATCTCAATCCTACCGTGCTCATCGTACGAGGGCTGAAGACTGAACAATGATGGTCCAAAGTTTGTCACGACATTGCGGAACACGTATGGTTCGAGATCCTCTGCTAAACTTTTGCAGACGAGCCTCAGGTTGCGTACTTCTGACGATGACAAATACTGCAAAACTCCACCTGGTGTTTTGCCCGTCTCAGCATCCCATATCTCAACTGGCAATGTTGTTCGAACCTCCATTGCTGAAGCATAAGGTGGTTCGGGACCGGAGTTCCGGTTGCGATGCGGCTCGTAACGTCGTGGGTAGTCGCCATCTCCATCGGGCGCACTGAGAAAGTTTTTCTGCCGAGGATCGAGTTCGGTCTCGCTGAATGGGCCAATGCGATGTGAAGGACGTTTTGGCCGTGAGGAATGTCCCCGAGCATCAAGACCATGGGCTGCCCAAATCGAACAACGATTAATCTCTGCTTGCCGGATGTTAGATGGTATGTCCTCTGGCAGCATGCGGTAGTAGTCATAGTGAACAGGGTCAAGTGAGCTTCGTCCGGAGCTAGAAGCTTTCGATAGCTGTTTCGCCTCCTGAACAGATTCCAAAATTGCTTTCTGCTCACCAATCTCTGCTTCCCGGCGAGCGTCTGTCATGTCAATGTCTTCATTGTGTCCGACTTGTAGATCAACCAAGGAGTGCAGTGGATTGGTACGCGAGGGGTCCGGAAGCTGATCGGTCGATTTTGTTACAGAAAGTTCGTCCGTATGTGATTGCACAATCTTGGGTTCAACCTTCACGATAGAATCATCCAGGAATGTTGTTGAGCTCGAAGCTGTGGCAACCGAGTCGTCGTTCTGCGGCTGAGCAGCCGACTGACCATCGAATGTCTGCATCCAGGCTGACGGGAGAGGCGACCATTGTAAGATCGCAGGCGTCTTTCTACGCCGCCGCGAATCGTCGGGAGAGTGATTGGTAAGGCTTGCTATCTTGTTGTTCGGTCGCAAAGAATCTCGTGAGAAAGAAGCATGATTCTCGAAGCTTGATGTTCTGGATAGTCGCACTTCTGATGTCTCGAGGAGATCTTCTGGCTTGCTCTGCATGACAGTAGCCGTAGAAGTCTGCGAATTACTGCCATCGGGTGTCCTACCCTCCTGTATGGGTCGAGCTGAATATTGACTCCTGCCTTCGATCTGACTTGGCGAACGACCGAGGGCTGGTAGAGTTTCCGTGTGAGACTCAGTGGCCTGTGGGGTAAGTGATGGACGACTTGTCGAAACTTCTCTCGTGTTTCTAGTATATGGGCTTGCTACGGCCTTGAACATATCGCGAAAGAGGTTATACGAGCCAGCTCGATCAGATCGGTGAGGTGGTAGAGTCGACCTTCGAGCGCGCCGATAGATCAATGGTTGATCAGAGTAAGACGTCCCTTGGTTCTGCGACGGCGAAGAAGTTGAACTTTGAGGTATGTTCAAAGCAGCTTTGTTTCTCTTTCGTATTGGAGTCTTGCCCTTGTCAGTTGTCTGGTTTGGCAACGATAACGGCTCAGCATCTTCAATTCCCAGTAGCTGTCCATTTGAAAGCTGGAACCTATTTTGTCCACCTTCTCTAGTGATTTTGAGGTTGCTCTGGGCTCTAACCAGAACCTTGGCCAGGTCTCGCAGTGCCTGCTCTTGCTGGTTGTGCACTCGTCCAACCAAAGCGTTCAGTCTATCCAGTTCGTTCTGCAAGAATTTTTGTAGAGTCTCTGGACCGAAATCTGTAAGGAGTGGATGAACAACAGGTCTTCTCGAGAAATTCCATTTGTGGTGACCTAGATAGTCATTTATGTCGTGTTTTGTATTTGATTTTGTCTTTTTCACAGTAGGCAGCAGCTCGAGAACATTGTCGGCGTCCGACGAGGAACTCTGCGAGAATTCCACATCGTATGGCACGTTCGAGGGACTTCTTCTGCGCGAACCCATCCCGGCGCGGGCTCAAAGGGAAGTGCCTAGCATCAACTCAGAAGAAGAAAAAGAAATATGGTAGTGGATGTATCTGGCCGGATTGGCAATTGAGACGGTGCACTCGCATCCAAGAAGAACATATGTGATCAGAAAATTCAGTACTTTAGTGTTTATGGTATAGTGTCTGTGTCTTTCTCACATAACACATTTTACTGTTCCTCAGACTTGTTCGTATCTGAAACTCGCTCGTTCGCGAGCAGCTTTGCAGGTCCTGGGTTACTCCTCCAATCGATTTCTGATTATTGGCGCAGTATTTGGGTCTAGAGTTATGACGTTCAGGCTGTTTGTGCCGTTAACTTGAGTACATGCACAGTTGTTGCTTAAGTAGATCTGTAGGTCGACCGAAGGTGCAGTGTCGCAGGCTGATGCCAGCGTCAAAATAATGGTGGGGCCACCTTGATGCAGGCCCGGTACGGCACTCACCAGGCCAGCGCTAATAATGCACGTCACTCGGGGACAAAAATGCATGTTCAGCCACATTCGAACCGCATCGACTGACTGGTGCTTGAAGATACTCAGTCTTGCTTTCACTTTCAAATCTCCGGGGAAGGACAATACGTCGACATTATGAGGCTAAACGATGATGGCCAAATTGACTCCTCGTACCCAACCACACACCGTGCTTCTGACGTTTGGTCGCGTACTCAAAGACCATTTCTTCATAATCGTCCCAACTTAATCTGTCGCTGAAGACCTCTTCCAACCTGAGTGCATGAAATGCTGCTTGACTAGTGCTTGCCGCAGTATGAGGTCGGAAACCTGCAAGTGCGTCACCAACAATCACGGCCTTTCCTTTCATCTGTCTTGCGACCTCCCATTTATTCTTCGGTGGTTCCAGATCGGTAATAGCCTGTACAAAGGGCGCATTCGTCTTGAATACGAGTTCTGCAAACTGTGGCGGGAGACGATCTTGAGCTAGCTGTCTTTGTCGTTCCCACACCCCAGCCTGCAAGAAGCCTCCCGTTGGAAGTGTGAATCGATGCTTACTCCCATTCTTGTCTGTCATGATCTCTGCATACTCCTCGCTATCGAATGGCACATTATGGTACCAGACCCAATTGACGAGCCTCTGACCCTCAACGAGAGTTCCTTGTGCACCAGGGATCGTATATGCCAGAATCTGTGTATTCGGATTTGTACCATGGAAGAAACTGAATTTCTCCACAAACACATTGCTAGCTGAGTCGGAAAGCTCTGCTTCGGGCACAGTTCCTCGAAAAGCGACATACCCTGCATATGTTCGTTCTGCTGTTGCTTCACCAAGAAGCATCTTTCGCAAATGTGTCGATGGCCCGTCAGCGATTATCAGAAAGTCTGACTGAATAGATTCGTAATGTCCTTCCTGCTCGTCTTGTTGACGGCACCTCTCATACTTGAGCTCGATCTGATCACCCTTGTCCTCGACGCCTATCACCTTTCTTCCATATTCGTATCTAGCATTCTCGTCCTCTCGTCCTCCTCCCTGGATATTACCTGGATCGTCAAAATTCTCGCGTCCCAGGTTGTAGAGCACTCCCCAACTAGTCATCCTCTGATGGCTGTTCTCTTGGTCAATCACATTACCTTGTCTGTCTAGATAGTACCTCCATTGACTCAAAGTGCTTATGTCGTCGGCTGTGTGTTTCGATCTGCCGTGTCGTCTCACCCACTCAAGAGTGTCCCCACCAGCCACGACCCCTGCACCCTGATCATGTAGCAGAGGCACAGGTGAACGCTCAAGGATCGTGACTTTGTGGCCGAGTCGCCTGAGTGGTATAGCAGCCATGAGTCCTGCAAGGGAACCACCTACGATCACAATATGCAGAGGCTTGGACGAAGCTGCCATTGTGTACTGATTCAGTGTCCGAACGTATAGGCTCGTCCATGGATTTTGCTGATCTGGTATCGTAAAAGTATGTTCGACAAAGCAGTCAATGACGTTGGCACTTGTGGTTCCTAACAATAATTCCGCCCACTGATCAATATTTTGATCTTCGTATTCGAGCCGTAGGACTGTTGGCCATCAGATCTACGGTATATCCTAGCGTGTTATGCCCAGCATCAGTCTATATCTTCGTTAATTTCCATTCCTCCAGCTTGACTCTACAGTCGACAGCTGATCGTCCATTTCGCAGGCCGCAACTCATTATCGTTATGTATCATATGACAATCGTTTTCGCAAGTAGTCCTTGCACGAAATCTACCCCACAACAACAACAACAACAACAACAACAGCCTGTTCTGTCAACATCCACCTACCAGTAGACCACTCTAGTTTCAGTCTACACAGAAAACTCCCAAGAGTCTGCTTCGATCTGCCAGCCAAGAGAAGCAGATAGTGGGGCGCGCTATAACTACATCAGCTTTACCGATAAAGGTTTATCATCGTCCATTTTATGCCCTGATACACCCTAGCACACTTCATCTGTCTCGAAAGGAGACTTACTGATCAATCTATCGCCTCTCACTTTCCAGTGTGATTGAACGGTACAGCTAAAGCGGAAGACTCGAGTGGCAGATCTGTGACAACGCTGCATGTATGCATGTAGCACCCGACGATAGTTGTGTATGTAGCAAGATGACCAATGTCATCAGCTATGAAGATCAACAATCACACTTCTGCTAGAGCGCTGTAAGACATCTTACAGCTCTCCCACCAAGACTGGTCAAACTTTATTGTACGAGTCAAGTGAGTCTTCCCAATCTCGTTTTGCCAATCATTAGCAGTATCATACCCGCGAGGCGAACCTTAAGATGTCCGAAAATTCAGACTGCATATGGTCGCAACAAAAAGTATCATGGACTGCACTACCCGATCGCGAAATCCAGGTAGCCGAGCGCATGGTCCTAGACTCAATCGAACAGGTCCCAGCGAGACTCTGCAGAAGCTACTCGACAGGACAGAACAGCTTGAATCCGTTGTGATTAATCGTCTATATAATGCGCGACGCAGCTGGCGGCATGCTAAACTCGAGAGACAATGTCCAGAGGGACGTGCAGGTGAGCCTGCGACTGACTCGAGCACAATCAACCAGGATGCCCTTGGTTCAAGAAGAATGGATATATCTTCTCTACTGCAGCCCAGTTGAGCGCCTCGAGCTTCTTAAGCTCCTTGATATAGTCGTTGATACGAGGTTTTGACTCCTTGCCCTACTCTGCAGACGAGTCTTCCAGCAAATTATTGTTCGACTACTTACGGTAGATATGGTCGTTCCTGTCAACGTGCCCCGAGGGCTCAGTGACATCGAGAGTGAGTATGAGATCGTTCTCTTTATCCTGTACGGTCTACACATCGACGTAGCCGACTTCTTCCTTCCCTTCATTGATGTCCTCGTTATTCGAAGATCTGCCGCTCCTTGAACGTCTAGATTCTCGCGCGCTGGCATCCAGCTAATGTCTTCGCGCCACCATTCTTTTGCATCATTGCCGTCAACTTTGGGAAGCACTGAATTTAACACCTTTAAATCGTCATCGAGTGTGTTTAGCTGAACTGCGTGGGTAGGACGACTTTGAAAACCTTTCTTAAGACGATCACCGTTGGGGTGAAGGCTCAACAAGTCAACCTTCTCGGCGTATACATGGTCTTCGTTCTCGTGTCCAGTATAATAGTCATCGATTGCCAAGACACATACTACATACCTGCTGTAGCATCTTTAGCCACACAAGTAGTGCTTAGATTGTTCTCCAGATGACTTCCGTCGGGCAGCTGAACGATAGGCAGGATTGCATTGCTTCTCCTCATTCCTTGTCCCGACGTCTTATAAAACTGCTGGATGAGACTATATGGACAACTTCACCATGTAGGGAGCTTGTGCTGCATGGTGAGGCCAGGGTGATGTGCGTATGTCTTGGGTGACTTCATGGACGGCAAGCTCCAAGTCGAATTAACACGCGATCGTCATCGATTCAACTTGATTAATAGCAACATACTATCACAAGGTACGCCAGAGTTGACTCCTTACATATGTACGTTGGATCTGGTTATCTCTGATGCACGACAAACAGCAATGTGAGATCGTGAAGGCTTGCATAGACAAGCCTAATTTAACTGGAAGAGACTGAAGATCACAGCCTGGAATGCAGTCTAGGCAGCTACTAGTCCAGGATGCGACCCAACCACAACAAATCGCTTAGGGCTCCCCCGAAAGCGTGCTAAAACACATTGAACGCATCTTGGGTGCTTTGCAAAGGCAGCGACAACGACCACATGCGCCCACGACGTGCGGGCTACGAAAAGTCTAGAAATGGCTGTTCAACGTGCAAGTATGCGACCTGCCACGAAGGTACTGCACAGAGCTCACCCAGGCTAGGACACGAAAGATAAAGTGCGACGAAACAATACCCTTCTGTCGACGGTGCGTGGAATCTGGCTGGAAGTGTGAAGGGCCAACTGTACACCAACTTCGATTTGTTCACGACCAAAGCACGAGTCAATCGAATGCTCCAACACCACAGCCGGAAGTATCCCTTTTCATACCGCGGCATAGTGAGGACGAACGTCGTGCCTTCCATTACTGGACGCATTGTGCTGCACCTTTCTTCGCAGGGACTATCGATGCCAGCTTCTGCTTAGACACAATTCCTCAACTTGCTCAAACCTATGGATTTGTCTGGGATGCTGCTGTATGCATCAGCATCCTGCTTGAACACATCCCATATGCATCACTAACCACCACGTTTGATTCGGCATGCCTATCGAAAGTCACCAACGAACGGCATAGACAGGCACTGAGATTCTATAACAAGGCCATTGCAGACGTTCGACGATTAGCTGAATGTCAGCAAGTCGATGACTCTTTAATTGCGTTGAGCTACATAATGTTTGCATCAGTCGAATTTCAACAAAGAAACGTCAAGACGGCGCACGATCTCATGAAAAAATGTTCTGCGATCCTGAAACGAAACTTTATGTCAGTTCGTGAACTGCCAAATTCAGCTGTCGTGAAGGTGATACATGAAGTGGTCACACCGTTTGTATTGAGGAAAGCTATCGTCATAGCTACACTAGGAGACAACCTAGCACTACAGTCCCTTACTACTGGCAAACTAGGCAATACAAAACTCCCTGCGACATTGGCTAACTTTCCTGCATTTGACGAGGCGAGAGCTCGGTTCTATACCCTAGTATACGACTCATATGAAGTGGTTAGACTTGCAGATTTTGGAGACAACCTCAAGGACGACGATCCAGGAAAATTGATCGTCTTGTTCCAGCGCCAATTATTACTTGACGAACTGAAACAATGGAGAGCATCCTTCACTGCTATGAGCAGTCTGATCTCCGACACAGAAATCGACTGGATGGCTTCATACCTCCTGCTGTACTGGTCGGTCTGCTACATATCCCTGACGGCCTGTGTCAGCCCTCGACAGACTATCTTCGACGACCACATAGATCACTTCATCGACATCATCAACCACGCTATAATCGTCCTCGGAAACAGCGCTCTATACGAGCCAATCCACACTCTGTCCAGCGAAGAGCCCGGCGTCATCCCAGCCCTGTACTTCTGCGCAACCAAGTGTCGACACCCAATACTAAGACGACAAGCACTACATCTAATACGTCAGACTCCACGACTAGAAGACCTCTGGGCATTTGTTGCAGTAGATCGTGTGGTTGCACGAGTCATCGCTCTCGAAGAGGGCGAATATCCGTTTACTTCGTCCCAGTCAGTCTCCCAGCATATTCGCTTCCCTCCAGAAGAACGTCGCTTCGCATACGTAAGCATCGCAGGTTGTCAGGGATATGAGAGCAAGCACCGCCAGGCACTTGAATTGAGCAGGTTTATCTTTGCGGCAGGTGGTTCGAAGAGTTTGGTTACGGAGCACTTCTGGCTGGAGGATGAGGAGGATGTGTGGGGTGATACTCAATGTCAAGATCTGGGTGTGGTGGCACGAGACAGGGAGTTGTACCTTGGTGTACGACCTTGCCTTACAGCACAGGGTGAGCATATGGAAGATTTGTGGAAGTATTTGGGCATGGCTTTCACTAAAAGATGACGAGCAATCTTCTTGACACAAGTGGTGGTAGTGGATAAAGGAACCGGCGTTGACATATAAACGACAAGGAAGTCTTACACTCTGTTGGAAGAACCATATTGGGATACAGACAAGCAGTAATACACGAACTTACATTCAATGAATTCTAGGTAACAAGTAGTCTTACACTACAAAAGATGTCTCTTTCTCTTTGTTTGGTTCGCGTCCGCTCCCTTTTTGTATGCTCTCTGATCAAGAGCTGACTGGCCGTAGTCGGCTCATCTGTCAGAAGTGGATTTACGTCATCCCTTTACCTACGTCTGAATTCATCTTGTCACCTTGGATCCGATGACCTTAGCCAGCCTCTGTACACCATCATCCAGGGCATCGAAGTCTTCCCAAGCAAAAGAGAGACGAAGATTTCTGCTTAGATCCAACCCACTTTCATCGTCGCCCTGAACCTGGCATTGCCAGCCAGCCATAATGGTCAAGTTCTCTTCCTCAAGCGCGGCAGTTCTAATATCCTCGGCGTTCAAACCCGATGGTAGCGTCAACCATATGAAATAACCGCCTGCGGTGTCTTCGTGAAGCTTGGGAAGTGTAACACCAAGCGGAACGAGCCTAGCCTGGATGGATTGCATCAGACGTCGGTATCTCTTCTCGTACGATGGCAAGAGTGTGCCGCGCAGGTGTTCCTCGAAGCTTCCACTTGTTAACATTTGATGGACCATTGAAGCGACCAGCTGAGAAGGTGCACCGCCAGACCTCGACGAGCCACACTGGCTGAGACCCCAAGCTAGTTTCGGTGTTGCTTCAGCCCATCCAGTTCGACAGCCTGGCGCGATAATCTTGGAAAAGCTACCGTTGCTCATAGTGTTGCCCCATTCAGATACAGGTCCACCATCGAGGTAACGGTCTATATCAACCAAGCGAGGATATCTAGCCTGAAAGCGATTTCGTGCCGGTCCTGATATCTTTGACGACCACTGTAGCATGTCATATACATCGTCTGTAATAATTAGTGCATCGTATTGCCGTGCTAACCTTACCAATTGCTCGCGTCTTGCTAAGCTCATCAAGCAGCCAGAGGGGTTTGCGAAAGTTGGCACAGCATAAATAACATGTTTGTATATTTTTCTCCATGAGTAGTGGGTCTTCATCTTTGGCTCTGTATTGCCATTTCTGACCGCATCTTCCTCGCTTTTAGCAATATGTGTGCTTAGGTAGTCGATATCGATGCCTTCCTCGCCCTCAGGCACACCCTTGATGCGACCACCGAATCCATTATCATCGATGATAGGACAGGCGCGGAAATATGTTGGAGCAACCATCCAGACGTTACGCGTATAGACGGGATCTGTAAAAACCTGAAGAGCGCATCCCAAATTCTGTGAGGCACCACCAGTTATACAAATTCTTTCAGGACCAATTGCATCTTTTGGACAATAGAATCTTGTAAGCCATCTTGCGATCTCTTCAATCAAGGGATGGTAGCCCTCGTCCGGACCGTATCTGAGGGATTGTTTAGCAAGATATGGATCTTGTAGAACATCGTGGGCAGCAGTTTCCAGGCGCGTGGGCGGGAGTAAGCCAGGGTTGGGCCAGCCAGCTATCAGGTCGATAGGTTTCTGCTCCGTCGACATCGTCTTCCTTGTTATCCTCGTCATTATGTTCACGGTGCGCTGGCTCGTTGCTCGCTGAAGAGCAATGGTGACGCGAAGCAAACACATTGATTAGGTAAAACATAGCGGAGCATCATTCGTCACCTTTCCAACGTTCACCTTTCACGTCAGGACAAATTTTCGTCCTCGGCAGCGGCATGATGTTTGCACCTGCATTAGCTCGAGCATCGATATTGGAGTTCAGATGAGCTTTCGTACACAGTAAGGACATACGAATCGTTGACGGTAAAGATTACGGCTTTGAACCCCTGATCACTCTGATGGTACAGCCGGTACCATGGGTAGAAGCGACCCAAACCATCTGAAGCAAACCAGCAATTGAGGCCACGCTTGACCTATTAACGCTTAGTGGTAGTACCAGCCACAACTTCAGCGAACAAGAGGACGATAGCTTGGCAATGTTTCGCTTTGGTTGCCCCGCGTAAGAATTAGCGCTGTATTTATAGCAATCTGCAGTTTCAGTTCCAGGTCGACGTCAGTGGGTTGGATGAGCCTGTTGGGCGCGCAAGCCGACACAAGGTATGAGAATTGCCTAGATACAAGCTTTGCAATTCTCAATCCTGGTGGATGCGACGCAGCATCCATGTCCTCTCAAAGAATGTCCTTGACTGCTTTGCTGATTTCCCAGTCGCAAACGCGTGGTCATTCTCCACACTCACCTTTGCAGAGTGTTCAAGTAGTAATTATGCAAAGTGCTTTTGCATTTGTTTGACTAAGGCTGTAGGCCCGGAACCTGGCTAGCACTTCACGCAAAAAGAGGTTGTCCAGTGTGTAACATCAATTCGAAAGCACGAAAAAGAAAGCCTACCAAGTCAGAACCTGGTCCGAGCTTTGAGAAAGAGCTTCGCAAGGGCAATATATCAAGTCATTCCGTCCACACTGCGTGAAGAAGTGAGCGATGTCTAAGAGATTGTCCTCTTTCTTTGGACATAAGAAAGAAAAGTCAGAGGAAGGAGCGATCGGCAGTCCTAGACACCTGAGTTACAGCTCTGACGCTTCGCCAAATGCGAGCCCGTCGGCAGGTAGTAGATTACAGAAATACAGACCCCAATCGCCGTCACATCTCTCACTGAATACGCACGAAATTCCATCTTTGGAACCTCCTCCTACTTTCCGCGAAAGCGCTTCGGGCATCACTGCAAGACCTTCGAGTCGTCCAGTCAGCAGGCATGCTGCAGGACCTGACTATCCCTCCAGTAGGGAAAGCAGCCGCAGCAGACCGCAAACACCAACCCTGTTGACCATTCCTGGCCAGCCTACCTCTCCTGCACCTTTCTCACCTGCGACACCCAGCTCGGCCGCATCAGGGAAGTTGGCAAAGAAGAGACTTGGACTGTCTGGTCCGAAGCAAGACAAGCTCAAATTCGGCGATGGAGACTCCCAACAAAAAGCATGGATATCAGGCTTGAAAGAACATATTCCGTATGATCTGACCCAGCTATTACATGGCGACAGACTGGGAGAATTGTGGGACGTGAATGGCGATGTGGTTGTCCATCTGTATCCAGAGAGCTCAGGGCGAAATCCTACTTTCCGTGTTCATTCTGCACTCTTCGCAGAATCCAAATCACTGGCCTATCTTGCGATACCTAGCATCAACCAGTCCATGCAGGATATGTTTCTGGGCGATGATGACTCTTTCGGTCCACCACTTCGCGCCATCGACCCTGGATATGGTCCGCAAAATAGCAGCATCCCGCAAATAATGCCGCCGATGTCACAACCAAAGGTCGTGTATCTACCACTGGACCTGGAAGGAGATTACAGCATTCCCGGGTCAACTCCTTCTGGCGACGACCTTGAGCTCATTGTCTTGTACCGCAACTTTTTTGCTTTCCTAGGTGGTGGAGCGCTGATTTCGACGCCACGTCAGGTCTCCTTGTTCTCAGTTTTCATGGGTATCGCTTCGATTTTGAGACGACTCGCATACACAAACGCAGACGGCTCAACATATGGTGAAATTCCGGACAACAGCTTCGCTCGATACTGCGACGAACTTCGACTTGGAGACGTACGATCAAGCAGGGAGAAAACCATCGAAGCAATTGTGCTGGGTGAAGCTATGAAGCATTGGCCTCTTTACAATGAAGGTTTCGTGCACGCAGCTGGTCGTCTCGACGATATCAAATTCATCAAGAGTCCGAAGTTTGCCAAGATATCTCCCATTACTGTGAACCGACTGGAGCGAGCTTCACTGGATGTGGAGACGAGGTTGAAGCTGCTTCACAGCAGACTTGACGATTTCGAGTTTCCATCCATATTCAGCGGCCTAGCAAATTCTCAGACATCGACAGAGGCCAAATTGATACGCTTCAAAGCATGGCGCCTGGCCTTTATTGACATGCGTAAGTTTGTTATGGCACAATACAGAAGAAGATATGGTGCCTGGCCGCCCAAGGCCAAGTCAAAGAAGAACAATTTTGATCAAGACGGACTGAATCGTCTCCTGGTGAGAGAAGTCTACGAGGACTTTTGCAATCTTTACGATATGCTGGTAAATCCTAGAGAAATGACAAACCGTACCATCGACCTGCAACCAATGGTTGAGGAGAAAGGCACAACTGAGACGATTCAGCACGCTCTTAGAAGTATGGAGAGTGAGTTCGACCGCAGTACACCACCCGTGATACCACCAATCCCTTTCGATACACCACTTATACCGAGTCTTGACCAAAGTTTCAAAGGGGGAAATGCACTCACCGCACATGGAGGTGGAAGCGCCAAGCTCAAAGCGAACGAGATCAACGAGCTCCTTCTTGGTTCCTACAACAGAGAATATATCAAACCTTCAACATTTGTTCAGGAATTTATGGCGTACGAACGCAAACTCGCCTCCGGCGCAACTCTCGACCAGATCGTCGATAACAGGTGTGGTCAGTGGCTCTTTGTGTATGTCATACTTCAATCCTTGCCCATGACGGCGGTTGATGCTCGAGGCGTTATTTTCAACGAGGATGTCGAGTACTTCCTTTTTGAAGCGCCTAGGGGTGGCAAACCTTGGATGCGAGAGGACACTTTGGTTAGTAAGGCGTGGTACAACGTGAAAAGTGCAGGTCAAACAATCAGTTTGTCTGCTGATGTTCTCGATCATCAGCCAGAAGGTGTGTATCGACGAAGTCATTGCTGGTTAATCGCAAATCAATGGCTCGCCGCTGCCGGAGTTCTACCGCAAGGACAAAGTCCGGTACAAGAGAACTATGAGCCACAACTGCCCTCACACCACCCACCTGTCGAGCTTCGTGCGAGCTCACCAGCACAACTCAGTCCTGCCCAGTCGCCTATGATCCGTCCCATGACCCCGACTGCTCCATACGATGGTGTCAGGTCGCACCTAGGCAAGTCATCCAGCTACACAAACCTACAAGTCGATATGGAACAAGTCGCTGCGCCAGCGCCGAAGAACCCTCGTCCTATGTCTCAATACAACCCGAGCATAACGTTTGATTCAATCCTAGGAGCAGCACCAGTTCAGAAGCAGGAGAAGAAGAAAAAGAAGTAGAGTTTCTTTTCCAAGCTGTAGGATATCTTGGATCTTCGACAAGGGCTGTGCTTTGACAAGGACGCTCATCTTGAGACATGACATGAGTTCAAAAACAAAGCTCTGACCTTGGACAGCCAATTTTGGTTATTCTAGATAGACCTTTTGATTGGTTGTTAGGCCAATTCAGGTTTCGCCGATAATACATTGCAAAAGTTTTACATTCTGACCTGTCCTCTGTTCAATATGTTGGCCTTGGTTCTGTCTGACTCCAAGTGGTAGTATCCTGGCAAGGGAGATAGTCTCGCGCTTGACTCTAGGTGCGAAAAATTGATTGCAAGCTCACTTCTGACGTCGACTATATGTAAGTACATAGTCTCGCGCCAAAACATAATGCATTTTATCATAGTTCACTTTGCTAGTTTCGGCTGGGTTCCAAGGTGACGAGGCGATCTTGCTACTCACAAACAAATAGTGATATGACCTGTACCATAGTGCCTGCCCTTTCTCAGCTAGTTCTGTTGAGCATATCACACCGAGTCTTCGCAATACGTAGTAATATCTAATTTCTATTCACGTCCTCAAGGTTTTGCAACGAGGCAAACAATGATCTGCACGTCCTCATACGGGTTCGCTCAGTCCGACCTGCTAGATTTTTTGCCCGCTCATCAATTCCTGCCTAGGTTTCTCTGCAGTCGATTGTGTTCTATGGAAGCCTGTATGCCCAATACTGTTCAAGCGCTGCGTGTACAAGGACGATTCTGTGAAACAGTCGCTGCCGAGATACCAAAGACCTTGGCCGGACACAAACTTGGAGTGCGGAAGGATAGTGGCTAACCGCGAAGCGACAAGAACCGGAAGTTGTGAAGAGCGACCAGTGAGAAGAGTTTCATGGAGGAGATATGAAACGGCATCTCGGTCGTGTCTGGGAAACACCAGAACCAATCGTTGTACCAAGTCGCAGGAGCGAGGATGACTCCGTCTTCTCCCGCTCCACTAAAGCTCCAAGTGCCAACTCTATGAAAGTCTTTCCTCACCACATTCTTTGTTTCAACACTGTGTGCATTCCTGAGATTGAAGCCGACTCCCTTTTTACGTGTATATTACACGGAGCATTCTGGAGCCTCCGTCTGCTGATCCGATGGCAGGTCACTGGCCCCGAGCTCACGCGCCACAGTCAGCCAACCACTATGAAGCAGTGGCACGCGTTTCTGGTTGATGTTTGATCTTGACCACGAGGACGTTCACACCTCCTTTCGGCAAACAACATTGTTGAGGATGGTTGGAGCTCCACCGTGACCAGCCCTGGTTGGAATTATGGCCAGAAGGTGGTGTTTGTAGTGGCGGTACAGGTAGGTGCTCATGACACGTCAGACTGACCAGCACAAATATGTATTCTGAATATTCCACCTTCATCTGGGTTGCGCCTACCTCATATTCCTCTGTTCGTTCGTGACTGTCGTTTGCACCTGATCATTCTTTCACTGCCTGGTGCAACGTCTTTCCTAATTTCTTTCCCGTTCCGGTTGTTTACCCAACAACGAAAACTCTAGCCGCGCAGGCAGCAACGACCGAACACAAGGCTCATCCGTTGATTATTGAAACAATACTGGTTGTCATAAAAGTTCTCAATTTCCGGAGCCAGCTCTCATTACGCCACCAGTATACCTTCCTTTACCCTGTTTATGAGAAAAGTCCTGCAAGGACTGACCAGCTGTTTCGCGCGTGGACAATATTGTCACTTAGCAACCAGCTGATTCCACGTCACCAAGTAAAACCCTTCGTCTTGCAGGTCGATTTATTCTGTGTGCTGGACACGCGTTTACTTTGCTTCATCATAAACCTACCAACAGATTCACCAGAAAAGCTCATATAGCTTTCCGATCAACTACAGATTCAAGATGCGTCAATCAAATTTCCTCAGCATAGCAATGCATATAGTTTTCCTCCTCGCCGCATTTGCGCTGGCCGCGCCTCGACCATGGCTGGCCACAGCCGATACCATCTCCTCTACTCTTTCTCTCGATAAGCGGCAGTCCTCAGGCTTCTGGATGGAAACCATTCAGCGTCAAGGATCGCCTGCCTACAACGATGATAAATCATACAAGGTCTTTCGCAACGTCAAAGAATACGGTGCAGTAGGTGATGGACAAGCCGATGATACTGCAGCCATCAACAGAGCCATCTCCGATGGTGATCGATGTGGAAACTCTGGCACAGCCGACTGTGACTCTTCCACCATTGAGCCTGCAATTGTGTACTTTCCAGCTGGCACTTACAAGGTCTCTTCTTCTATAATCATGCTCTACTATACTCAAATGATTGGAGATGCAACCAACTTGCCAACCATTCAGGGCTCTGCAGACTTTAGCTTCGATACAGCCAACGGGGGTCTGGCCCTCATCGACGCCAATCCCTACATTCCTGCGGCAAATGGTCTGGGCTACTACACGAACCAGAACAACTTCTATCGACAAATCCGCAACCTGATCATAGACATGACGCAAATGCCTGAGTCAAATCCAGGTGGTGGAAACGTTAACGGTCTACACTGGCAAGTCGCCCAGGCTTCCAGCATGCAGAACGTGGTCTTCAACATGAGACCGGCTTCTGCCACAAACAAACAGCAGGGCATTTTCATGGAAAATGGGTCTGGTATGTTTATGGCTGATATAGTCTTCAATGGTGGTGCTACAGGCGCTTTCCTCGGTAGTCAGCAGTTCCAGACCCGCAACCTCACATTCAATGGCTGCACTACTGCCATTGGACTGCAGTGGAATTGGCTCTGGAACTTCAAGTCTCTCAATATCCAGAATTGCCAAGTTGGCCTAAACATGTCAACCACCAACTCATCCATGGAGACTGTCGGGTCTGCTATTGTCATGGACAGCAAGATCTCAGCATCGACAGCAGCCATCATCACCACATACAAGGGCGCTGATACTGTGCCTGAAACTGGCAGCACTTTGTTCATTCACAACGTGGATTTTGCAGGCTCTGCTACAGCTGTACTCGACGGTTTGACTGGAAACACGGTTCTGGCTGGTAATGTTAAGGTTGCAGCATGGGGTCAAGGAAATGCATATGTTCCTGCAGGCACGAACTCCCCTGCCAAGCGTGAGCCAGAACCTTCGCCAGCAACATGTAGTGACATGGAACCTGTAATAACCACAGTCACCATCAGTCCCCTGCCAGTATCGGTCACCGCTACCGGCACAACCAATGGGTCCGTCACATTCTCCTTGCCTTCTAGTTCGTCAACAGCTGCTAGACCTAGTGGCAACGCAACTGCCGCAAGTGCTCCAAATTGTTCAGCCTCACCAGTTATTCCGGCCAAGTCCAAAATTCTCCAACAAAACATGAACGCTGCACCTATTCCGTCAAGCCTGCTGACATCGGATGGATCAGTCTTTGAGCGTAGCAAGCCACAATATATCGACGTTCCAAAGGAGAGCTTCATCAGCGTCAAGACCTTTGGCGCTACTGGAGACGGCACGACAGACGATAGTGATGCAGTCCAGAGAGCTATGGATACTGTTACTACTGACCAAATCCTCTACTTTGACCATGGTGCATATGTGATTACAAAGACTATCAATGTTCCTGCCAACGTTCGTATCGTGGGAGAAATTTGGCCTTTGATCATGATTTCGGGTGCGAACTTTCAAGACCAGAACAATCCAATTCCAGGTTTTCGTGTTGGACAATCAGGCGAGAAGGGCAATGTGGAGATCTCAGATATGATGTTCGAGACCAAAGGAGCAACTCCTGGTGCAATCATGATGGAATGGAACGTCGAGGAAGCATCACAAGGATCTGCTGGCATGTGGGACACGCACTTCCGTGTGGGTGGTTCGGCTGGTACTGAACTCTCACAACCTCAATGTGATTCACGAACGAGCAAAACGTTCCGATCTGAATGTGCCGCTTCGTTCTTGATGATGCACATCACTCAATCAGCTTCAGCATACTTTGAGGGTACCTGGTTCTGGGTCGCTGATCACGATCTTGATCTCCCACGAGGCCCGAGACTGAATGCAAACGATACTCAAATCAGCATCTTTAACGGTCGAGGTGTCCTTGTCGAGAGTCAGGGTCCGGTGTGGCTCTGGGGCACCTCATCCGAACATTCCGTCCTCTACAACTACCAGTTGAACAATGCTAGAAATGTGTTCATGGCTAGTATCCAGACCGAGACAGCTTATATGCAGCCTGCGCCTAATGCTTTGGACAGTGGCTTCACGCCAAATACTGCATGGCACGATCCAGACTTCTCTGACTGCACCACTGATGATTGCAAGAAGACCTGGGGTCTGCGTGTGCTCAACTCGCAAGACGTCTTCATGTACGGTGGTGGTATGTACAGTTTCTTCCAAGACTACAACCAAGATTGCACGAAGACAGAAGATTGCCAACTCAATATGGTCGATATTCAGTGCTCTACAGGCATTTACCTGTACGGCATGACAACCAAGGCATCAGTCAACCAACTGACTGTCAAAGGCCAAGCTGCAATTCTACACACGGACAACGTGAACAACTTTGGAGCTACAGTCCTGCTTTACCAGCAGGAGTAAGTCGTCGTCAAAACATACCTCCACGTTTTCCTTCAGTTGAACTATTTGAGATTCAGATTGTGGTTGTTGAACTGGGATCCGATCGGGCTTAGGCATGGCAAAAAAGCAGCACATATGGGACACATTAGCGAGCATTCTTCCAGCGGCGTTATGGTACAAATCCGTTATTTCAGGCACATTTCGGCCATGCATCGAGCGAACATAGAATATGTATTACGGAGAGATACCCCATAGAACGTGTGTTAGGTTGAGCATTGTCCAAATGAAAGTTATTAGCACAACAGGAACCTGATCATGAACGTCAATGTATTTAGATCCTGTGAGAGCAGATTGTGTATTGCTATGTATCCTAGATAAATTGCTCATCGCTAGCCAGCAAATCAACAACATCCGCACCATCTTCTCTCTGCATTCTATCCTCCTCATGCTTCCTCCTCCGTCGCCCCTCTCTTATTTCAATCACCCGTTGTACCGCCTCTTTAACCTCCGGATGCCCCCTCACACCTCCCAACACCATCCCCTCCTTCATCCCCCTCCTCAACTCCCCCACGTGCCTTGCCTGGCCTCTATACGGCGCAAACTGCAACTGCAACAACGTACTCGCCTCCCCATCCAGCCGCTGCGATGTAGTATTCAGCAATGACAGCGACGACGTCAACTGCGCCATCCAGTTCCGCATCTCTGCTGCGTCGGTGATGGACGGCGGTGCGGTGGAGGGGAAGAGGACGCTGACCTGCGATATGAAGATGTTGAGGCTGAGGGTGAGGCGAGATGTGATTTCGAGGATTTGGTAGGGGAGGAGGTGCGGTGGGAGGATGCTGCCGAGGGTTGTGTAGGTGCGGAGGTAGGTCAAGGCTGTCTCGAGGGTTGATGGGAGGGCGGGGATGTCGTGGGTGAGGAGGTAGAGTTCGAGGACGAAGGAGCTGGTTATGATGAGGTAGCGCCAGAATTTGCCGGAGCTGCGGGCGGGGAGGAAGAAGGTGTTTAGGATGAGGACGAAGAGGATGTTGATGATATAGGAGGGGATTTTTTGGCGGAGAGCGGTGAGGATGAGCTCTGCGGTCTGGAGGGAGATTTGTTTGGGTGTTTGGGTGGGGGAGTTGTCCGTTGGACGAGGGAGGTGGGTGACAATGCTGGGTCCGAAGTGGGTGTAGGCGTATTTGTGGGATGGGTTGGTGAGAGTTTCGGAGGCGAGACGGAGCTTGACGAAGAGGCTGTCTGTATCTGTGGTTGCTTCGGAGGAGCTGATCTTGTCAGGGTGGAATTTGGCTGCTAGTCTGCGCAGGCGGGACTTGATCTCCTTGTCGGTGGTTGTGTATGGGTCGACGGACAGGAGGGTGTAGAAGTCACCTGCGAGCTTTACGTCGTAGAGAGATTGAGCAAGTGTGTAGAGAAGGTATAGGCTTAGGACGATGATGCGGGTCCTCTTGTGGTCACGCGTGTAGATTGCTGTGCCTGGCTGTGGTTGAGGCGAACCTGCTTGGATTGTTATTCTGTAGTAGATAGTCTGTATCCAGTTTGTAAGCAGGTTAGGGAGAAACGTCCACCCTAGGTAGGAGACCATGGGGACAAAGCTGCTCTCCGACATCTTGAAGTTGTGCAACGAGAGTGCAGGGAAGTCTTATGCCAAATTCCTCTGTATCGTGGGACGTTGACTGTCCTTGTCATATCCCTTCAATCATGAGCCAAGACGCAGCCGGTGTGGTACTTGAACACACTCCGGACCACTGCAGCATGGGAATTTTCGGTATAGTATGCGGCGTGCAGGAATTCGAAGTTCTCGAGTATCTACACTAGAAACATTGTACAACCTTGATCTCTCGTTGATCCAAGACGCAGTTGTTGATCGACAGGAAGACCTCATGTATCTACGGCTCGATCAAGGCTCAACCGTAGCTATGGCTCCGCTCACTTATGATTCACCGTAGCCGGGAAGGCTAACCAGAACGAGCTCGCGAATGGTCGTCCGAATAGAGATGCGAGCAACGTTTTTAGAGAAAAATAGTGTCCAGACAGTTGGGTCAAACGATTCGTGGTCCTCGTACAGGTAACGCGCTGAGTGCCTTGAACTTTGTTTAGACAACTATCGAGTGAACAAGCAGGAGGCCACGAAAGCATTATATGACGCGAGAACACAGCAGGAAACCTACACAAGAGAGCATAATGCCCCCACATGCTGGTCCCCTGCTTAAATACATCATCGTGTGCAACACAACACTACTATATCTATTCCTGAACACAGCCGCCCCGTGCACTATTACTCCGTGACTCCCCCAATGCTCATAGGCAGTGTGACCTGCAAATGCCACATGAGAGCATGCATACATACTGCCAGCTATATGATGACATATAGCTCGAGTCCTCCCTGGTATCACTAGCCAAGCTTACAGCAGCCATTATGGCGGTGAGTGAACAATCTAGATCTTCGTATCTTTCAGTTGAATTCAGGCGTTCTTCTGCTCTTCACGGTAACCACACCGGAGGTGAAGATATGTAAGACGATGACATGCAGGAGGATGACATGCAAGAGGATGACTCGAAAGAGTCACTTGAGTAAGTAGAAGCCGTCGATGGCGTAGGTGACGATATTGAGTCCATTTGACTGCTTTGTGACTCTTCCCAGGCTTCAGGCAGTGGTATGCGCTCTTCGCGGGTGTTCGGGTTAATGGTTAGCCACGCAATGGGCTGTACTTCACCACTGTCCAGGACACAGTGGTCGAATGACGACCATATTCTATCCCAATTCTCTTGATTTCTCGTTTGTCCATGTACACCATCGAACCTTTTCCACTGCAGCCAAGGTAGGGGAGCTTTGGTCTTGAGAACTCCTTTCTGCCTGTAGCGTGCGGCCACGCTTTCTCTGACACAGTCGTTCTCTGCCTTCTGACTATGAAACCAGAAGAAAATTTCATCGAAGAGGATTGTCCGTTCTTTCATGTTAGATGGAAAGCGCCTGGTCTCGACTGAAGAGCGGCAGTGATTGACGCGCTTGCTCGGTCCTCTATCTCTGTGACTTCGGATGGCAATGTAGTTGCAATCTAAGGAATACTCCCCAGGTATGATTGTATGAGGTGTTCCGCAGTTCCGGCATGGACGTGAGCTGATCCAGTCTTTTGCCATCCTGTCAGTTACTTCGGCCGTATTATGGTGTGAATGTAGTTCCTAAAGTTTTGCAGAAGAAAAGACGTTGCTATGTCGTGTTGACCCGAGATATTGAAGACTTCGATGACAACTGCCAGGGAGTGACTAGAGTTGTAAATGTGGATGGGGTGGCACAGATGAGATCGTAAGTGTTTAGGTCGTAGAACCATCAACCTCAATGCTAATACAACTGGAGTTCTTATAGGCAAAACGGGTTGAGGACCGCCTGAAACAGCTCGGAGACAAATCTGCTCGCATGTATCTTGCTCATCACGGGCATCTGCATTCGCATCTGCAACATACAACTAGCCACTATGCTTCGACGATCTGGACGAATTTCATGGCCGCATGCCACTGGATAACCACGAGCTAAGCAAGCAGGTTCCTCTGAGTAAATTGAGTCAGGTTATAATTCATGCATTCGAGGTTCAGGGCACAATAATCAGGTGGCACAGCAGGTCCTAGTCTTGGGAAACGAGAACCATAGTCGGATGGATCTCTTCGCTTATTGGCGCTATACACAGTTGCATTAGCGGGCACGGAAGTCTTTCAGTTGGACAATGAGAAGATGAGCATGGCGAACCACTAGTGTGATTGGCCTTGCCGTGGTAGCTCGACACCGTCCTGCCTGTCATTCGGTTGCAATATGTGTCACAACTCACCGTGGAGCAGCTAGGAAGGTATGGAAAGAAGATGAGCTGAAAGAAGTGATGACTTGCGGATTGTACTCAGACGCCAAGGACTGATTGTGTAGATGTCCCTGTCCTGTGGCTAGTCCCGGCCAGGCAAGAGCTAAAACCTAAAAACGTGCTCAATAAGTGTGTTGAGCACGTTTATGTCCTGTTAAGGGTCCTGGGGTAATGCGCACTCCTGACAGCAGGCTGCAGATAAGTCTCGCCAGATACCCAGGAAGATTTGAAGAAGCAGCTGAGGATGTTGATTCTGTCCGCCAGCAGGTCGACAGAACAGCGATCAGGTCCGTGACTGCAAGGCTCGAAGTTGCAAGACTTGAGGAGGTAGATGCCAGTTACGACTTCGTGTCCACATCTCATGATTGCCTTGACAATAGTGACGGTGCATCGATGGTTAACTAATCGAGGCTGAGTATTTCCTGGTAGAATTCTGATCGTTCTTGATGGGGTGGAAGCGGGAATATATATAGCTGCGGACGTGGTATCTGTGGCGCGCCGCAACGTTCTGCGGATGGAAATTCGTGCCGAGAACGAAAATGCACAACTGCTGCTGCACCACGTTTTCAAGTAAGACTGAACTTTGTACTGTTGTACTGTAACGAGAAAGGCCAGTTTCTTACTTGCTACTGCCTGGCGCTTGACAATCAACGGTGTATTAGGCGCAATTTGGAGCAGGATATGCCTAAGGCATCCAGCCGTCCTTGAGTCGCCAACTTTTTTATCCGCAATAATTTCGCAAGCAGCGTTCGCGCCCCAAGCTTCGGCTGTGGTCGAGCAGACAGTATGTCTTCTCAATCTGGTTCAGCAGTGAAGGAATTCAGAAAGAGAAAGCATGAAGGTGAAAGCAAAGAATCGACAAAGAAGCGCAAACAGCAAGACAATACCAACAATAATGTCGAGGAGCGCTCGCCCAAGGTCGACAAGAAGAAAAAGAAGGGACAAGAGCACATATCGCTCGACGATGGCGCGATGTCTAGCGCTGTTGCATCGACCGTGAATGGCGACACAGAATCCAGCTCTGTTTCTAACTCGAAGCGGAAGAAAGATACGAAGCGAAAGGACGCAGAAGGACATGAGGAACAGTCGGGCATTACTAGTCAGTATGAGGATGAAGAGATGATTGACGTACCTGCGCCTGACGAACGAGTCGAAGACGCCAATGCGGAAGAGGAAGGTCCGAGTAATGAGCAACTGCAGTCAGATGCAGAGACCTGTTTTCAGACATTACGGGTGTCACTCTACGTGCCGGTGCCTGCGATAGCGTCGCAGAACCAGCTGTCAGCCATCTTAGCGATACACCTTTCACCACTTCTATTAAGCTACTTCCCACCAGCTGGCGGTGTCATTCTCTCCTACCACGATCCTGTGCTCTCGGCGAAACCTGAACCAGGGCCAAGTCGACCTCTTCTACCTCCGACTAGCGGCGACATAGAGACAACAGAAGAGTTATACTCGACAATAGGAGAAGAGTTCGGCGCGTCTTGGTTATGGCTGACAGTGACTTTGCTGGTATTCAAGCCGGAGCCAGGTGATCGTCTGCAGGGATGGACGAACGCCATGTCAGAAGGATTCGTGGGGTTGGTCAGTTACAACTATTTCCAAACTTCAATCTCAAGAAGCCGTATACCTAAAAGCTGGACTTGGGACGGACCGACCAGACAAAGGCATAAAGTCCGGAAGACCCCAAAGAAAGGTCGCCTCAACGATAGCGATGATCCCAGCCAGGACACGGCACTCGATTCGCAAGAAACCCTTGTTGCATGCCAAGACGATGCAGTGGATGGCACAGCCGGTACATTCCTGGATGAGAATGGCTTGCAAATCTCTGACAATCTTGGTTTTCGAGTATTAGACTTGGAAATGATTCAGGCACAGGACAGAGGACGACGGTATGCGTTGCAGCTTGAGGGAACCTTGCTTGGAGAAGAGGAAGAGCAGCAAACAAGAGACGAGGAGAAACTCAAATGGGAGAGCAGGAAAGCAAAGAGCCGGCCCAGAGCAAGGGCTAGCACACCCATGATGAGCGGAGGACTTCGCAGCGGTAGTATCGCGTCGACACCTTGAAGAGTATCCAATCATGATACCTTCCTACCTCCAAAAGTGATACCCTCGAACTTCAGGAATCTATCGACTTGAACTCCGCACGACTCTTTCGAAGCAGGACGCGGGTTACAATCTGTAACATTCTTATTGGTTCGTACACTAGCGCGTTTCTGCTATGTGACGCCATTGCAGCGATTTGTGGTCTTAACAAGCAGTAAAGCGCGACAATGCGATCATGACACCTTCATTTGAGTGGGTTGTTCGTTACTGAATACCCTAATCAGGCCAGCTATATTCGCTGGAGGTTGTGTTTTGCCGTCGAACTGCTTCGTCTCGTCACCCGCGATTTCTCATGTTCCAGCGAGCTTTTCTACGATCTTTCACTTCTCAAACAAACCTTTTTAGAACTTTTACACCACGACCAAGCTTTTGTACTTCTCGGCCGTTCTCTGTAGCTACTATCAGGATGGCTCAAGAATTCAAACTTAAGGACATCACCACGCTGTCCAACCTCCAGAACTGCGACAAGCAAGAAGCTGAAGTTGAGGGCATTGATGGTGGAAAGGTCCTGGTCGTCAAGGTGAATGATCAAGTACATGCTCTCAATGCAAACTGCACACATTTCGGTGCTCCTCTAAAGAACGGTGTCGTCTCTCCAGAAGGCAGGATTACATGTCCCTGGCACGGAGGTGAGCCACACACACCTTCCTTTAAAGATGGCCATCTAACTTTTTACGGCCTGCTTCAATGTGAAGACTGGTGATGTTGAGGATGCCCCAGCGCCGGATCATCTACACAGGTTCGACGTTGTCGAAAAGGATGGTGCAGTCTATATCAAAGGCTCGGCAGAGAACGTGAAGGCAGGACGACGCAAGCCTACCTTTAATGTCAAGTCCTCCGGTTCCGAGAAGGTGGTCATTGTGGGAGGGTAAGTAATTCAGTGCTTGCTCATATACGTGCTAACTTTCGCTGTAGTGGATCCGGCACTTTCGGTGCTGTGCAGAAGCTGAGAGAGCATGGTTTTAACGGCAGTATCACCGTCATCTCGAACGAGGGCCTTCCTATTGATCGAACAAAGCTCTCGAAAGCCCTCATTACCGATCCATCGAAAGTTCACATAAGAGATGAGCAGTGGTACAAAGATGCGGATATTGCTTTCGCTAAAGATACTGCAACCAGCATCGACTTCAAGAGTAAGAGTGTGTCCACAAAGTCCGGTTCTTCATATCCTTACACAAAACTCATCCTGGCCTCCGGCGGTACACCAAAGAGTCTGCCCCTGCCCGGCTTCAAGGATCAGAGCAACATCTTCCTGCTACGACACATCACAGATACAAGAGCAATCATGGACGCTGTAGGAGACAAGGGAAAGAAGATCGTCGTCATTGGATCATCATACATTGGCATGGAAGTTGCAAACTATCTATGCAAAGAGAACGACGTTACAGTCGTTGGCATGGAATCTACACCACTAGAAAGAGTCATGGGTTCAAAGGTTGGTTCGATCTTCCAGAGGATCGTCGAGAAGAACGGCGTCAAATTCTACATGGGTGCCTCGGTCGATTCAGCCGTGCCAAAATCGCAACTTGCCAATGCTGTGGGCCTCAGCTCTGTGGGCGGTGTCAAGCTGAAGGACGGCACTGTGCTAGATGCTGATCTTGTCATCCTTGGTGTTGGTGTCCAGCCAGGCACAGAATACCTCAAGGATAACAACGACATCCAGCTTGAAGAGGACGGCAGTGTCGGCGTGGATGAGAACTTTGCTGTCAAGGGCATGAAAGACGTCTATGCCCTTGGCGACATCGCAACATACCCATACCACGGTCCAGGTGGAAATGGCAAGCCAGTACGCATTGAGCACTGGAACGTAGCTCAGAATATGGGCCGCAGTGTTGGTCAACGAATTGCTAAGCCAGATCAGGAACAACATCCATTTGTTCCTGTTTTCTGGTCAGCACTGGGCTCTCAGTTACGGTACTGCGGGCATACACCAGATGGCTTCGATGATGTCATAGTTACTGGTGAGCCTGATGCTGACCAGCCGAAATTTGTGGCATTCTACACAAAGGGTGAGGACGTTGTCGCTGTGGCAAGCATGTCGAAGGACCCTGCCATGACAAAGGCTGCTGAATTAATGAGAGCTGGCAAGATGCTTACCAGGAGTGATCTGAAGAGTGGTAAGGATTTGCTGCAAGCGAACCTGTGATCACAGACCAATAAAGTAGCACAACAGAAGAATCTCTTGCGCCGCTGTATTGTATGTCAAACCCCCTGTTTCCTTGGCTGCGCGTCTTCCGCGAAGAGATTTACCATCGTGGCTGGTGTACTTCAGGATATCATGCTTGGCGAAACCTCTAGCCGAGTCACAAGACTTTCAACTGTGTTCATCCCATGCATGGGCGCCCAAGCCGTACTCGAGTACAGCATTGGAACCAGTCAGCACGAGGAATGGTCTTCACATCGCGCGAGTTGCTCAACCCCACATCAGTCTCGTACGTCCTGATTGGAGAACATCGCTCCCACCGGTTGGCCGTGTATGGCCAAGGCAAAGGTAAGGCAAATTCGGCTTCTGGACGATCAGTCGCCCAAACGATGTCTGCCTTGAGATGTCGAGATGAATATTAGTGTCTTGTGTTACAACACAGTCGACTACTTGTGCACTACGTGTTCTTCAAGTATCTCCCTCTTCATACGCGCTATATGTATTGAGCTATTCGTGCTTCTTTGGTTCTCTGTTGTCATTGTCCTTTGGCTATATCTTGCTGATTTGTAGCTGGCACAACTATTATGACTATGGCGCAAGCAAATCAGACACCCACAATACTCGATGCCTTGGACCTCAATGACTCGGAAGGCGACTCTTTGACGGGTAATGTCGAGGAAGTGCTTTTCGGAGTTGAACGCATACTTAGAAAGACGCCTCTTCACCACAGAATTAAGAAACTACGTGGTGCCTTTACTTCGTGGCTGTCCAACCTGGACAGCTTTATCCCAACTGAGCAGCAACTGCGACTCGCAGAGTATGAGGCAGCCACCGCTAGTCAAACCTTGAGCCGCATGGTCCAATCTGCGACGGACCTGGTGGATGCTCAGGGCAAACCGGAGTATCGAGATATTGTTGAACGCGAGTTGAGTATGCTGGATGCGCAGATGGTTGTACTGGCTCGCCTCTTCCCCGCAGCTTCAGCAACGCGGCGTGCAAACATAAGCAGCTCTCGAGGACCAAGTACTGAAGCGCTTAGCTGGGCGGCTAGTGAGCCAGGGTCCGGCAATACCATATTGCCTCCTTTACAGTCCACGAATACTAGCCCTCCACCACGTCCAAACTACACGAACTCACATTCAGGCTCAAGCTTCCCTCGGCCGCAGACTCGTCAATCCACGGGATTCAGCAACTCTGGTGCGGAAGCCCGTCCTCGACCCGAGATCTGGCGCATCAATTCCCCTAAATCAGGCCAATTTGTTACCGGGAACTGGTACCAAAGCCCCGAAGATGCTATGGGTGATCATGGACCCGGTATGCTGGTGCATGAAGTCTTCATCGGTGGAACCTCCAGGGGGATTTTGGGCAATGTTCATGGATCTCAAAACCCCATAGGATCACCCCTGCAGGAACCGCGACGAGAGGAACAAGGAGGGCGATTTGGTTAGTGATTGCATGTGGTTTTCCTTCAGGAATACTTACTCGCTGGCGCTGGTAATGGCGTTGGTGATGACACTGATGATGATTTGAGTAGATAACACAATATTTGAAGTATTTACCAAGTCCTATTCCAGTAAGTCATGCAGTTTAAGATCTTCTCAGTTTCTAGCGCTGAGAATTAAACACAGCTTTTATAAACTGGACGAGAGCACGTTTGCAAAATTAGCATATTGGCCGATATGCTGTTCCATTGAATGGGATGCTGTATATCATACCTGATATTCTACTTTGGGTGTAAGGTAAACACGATTGAAGATACTCGTAAGTCATAGTGTGCAGTGGATGCAATCGACAAGAACGCCCCAAAGGTCATAACAAAATATTAGAGGTATCTTTGTGTAGCGACTTCTTGCCAGTGTTGTACTAGGATGCGAGGATCAAATCAATGAAAGTGTAAGTTGCGTCCCCGTATAAAACTGTAGAGATAGTTGAATTTTGCATGAGAGCTGCAAACAGCATACCAGACACAAAAGCTCGGTAGGCTTCCCGCACATTACCTCGGAAAAGTCAACAGGAACATTTGCCGTTATTGTCTCGTTACCAATGAGAATGAAATGGTAAACAAACCCCCCAAAAAGGATGCGCTCGAAGTGAGCAATGATGGAGCAACAGCGAGTCGAACACTGGACTTTTTCGAGCTTTTGGTGCAAACGAAACACTCTACCACTGAGTTACAGCCCCGATTTTCAGTACACAAATCTGTGCGCCGATTTGAGCCAGAATTTTCGACTGATCTCTATATAATATCATCATCCAGTCCCGACCGATAGCAAATTTGGGTTGCAACAAGCGTGCCATGCGACATCACTTTTGAACGACTTTTATCGTTATCATAAATAGAGTCTCAATTCGTATCTGCTAATAACTGCATACTTGGTTCAACACTTTCCAATAATTTCTGCTTAATACATCCTAGTCTCACGTCTCGCAATAAATCCACAAATCAAACCATCTACAAATAAGTATGAATAGCCTGCTCAATAACCGCACCAGCAGCCCCAGCACCAAGCACTCTCCACAACCATCGATTATCATACTCCTTGGTGAAATCAGGCCAGAAAGCGTGTTTCTCATTTCGATACTTTTGCAGATCAGCGTGCTTCTCGGAGCTGGAGACTGAGTATCGTCGTTCCTGGGACGACTCGGTGGCTTTGTCGCCGCCGAGGTAGCGGAGGAAGGCGTAGTTGGCAACGGAGCCGAGGAGCTCGATGGGTGCGAGCATGTCGGATGCGTAGAGGAGGAGGGGGAAGGAGAAGTGGACGAGGGCGTCGCCGAGATAGCTGGGTGGGTGTTAGTGGCTGTTGTTTGTGCTTGTTATAAGGCAATAGCGGGAGCGCGAGGGGAACTTGATAGGATCATGCCTCATGTGCTACAAAGGAGGGCAAAAGTGGTAGTGGCAGAAAAACTTACTTAGGATGACGGCACAAGCTCCAGACGCCGTCCTTCAGCATAGAGTGCTCATCAAGGGAGGTCTCCTTATGCTCGTCCAATTGCCTGTCGGCAAGAGTCTCCAAAGCAAATCCTGTAAAGAAGAGTCCGACAGCAATCGATTGCATATATGGGTGGTAGCCACTCAGGACAGCACCCTGGTGGTAGAAAGGTGCTGTCATTGGTAACGTGATAAGGACTTGGAAGAGTGCCTCTGGCAAGTAGGTGCTGAACAAAGCTTTGTTCCAGAACCCAGGCTCAGACTTCATCTCATCATAAAGTGGGTTGTCCTTGCCTCGTCTTCGTGACCTGGTGAAGATGCGGGTGAAGAGTCTGCCACCCCACAAAGTCACACCACCGAGAATAAGTCGTTCTGGTCGAGAGAGAGCACCGAGAGCCTGAGTCATGGGGATACCTCGCTGGAACACACGTCGACCAACTGCACCCCACCATGCGTTGATGATTGGAGCAGTAGCCCATATGAAATCCTTTGTCTCGACCTTGTTGTTCAGTCGGCCAAGACCATATGCGACGACGGAGAGACCACCATGAAGGGCAAGTGATGGATAGATACAATCCTTGAAGATACCAACATCGTACAAGGTCTTCTGCCAGGGATAGTGCTCTGTGATTGTTGACGAGACTGGAGCTGAGTCAATGTCCAGACTGCTCAAGTACGTTTGACGAGACATGCTGCCGGGTCGTCCACTCCTCGAGTGTCAATGGTTGATAGCAGCAGTGCAACAACCAAGGACTCTTGGACAGGCAATAGAGATGTTGTCGAAGCTCTGAGGTTGTAATTAGCCCCACGTCATAGAAGGAGGAGAACAGCTAGACTAAGCAGTCCGTAACGGCAGCTGATTCGCCTACTGCTCGCACGTGGGGATACCGGAGCACTCAGAGTCCGGGGAATCTGACTATTGACAAAAAGACGAATTCCGATTGGAAAAGTCTCAAAGTGTAAGAATACACGCTATTTGGGGGTGTTCATCGCGTTTTGAGGTTCACGAACACCAAAGCTTACCGTCTGCAGAGATAGGATTGAGTGTTGCAACTTCTGCATGTGAGACACAGAGCTAACAAAAGCGCTTAACAGCTATATGAATCAGCGTTTTGGCAGGTATTGCCAATGAGAGATTCCATAAACTCTGCAAATGCAACCTGATCGACTGCTTCTGTCCGTTGCTGCACAGAGCCTCGCCCCGTGCAAAACAAGCCACCGCTTGTTTGTATGTGACTTACGAGTGCAGACCGGGAAGTTTTGTGCTGGGCAGGGCGAGAGAGCTATTGGTTTCTTCGAATGGGACTGCAACCTTGACTTGTGTTGGTGTACAATAGTTGTGCGACCTTCCAGTTCGAGTGCTGCTGATCAAGGAGCACAGCTGACCTTCCGAAAGACTCTTAGAGTATTGCATTGCCAGTTGTTGTGCATGCACTGTGTCAATACATACACCACTATCCTCTGTAGACAAACCATGTGCAAACCAGCTCTTCCAGGCGATTTACCTCACACCAGCTCTTTTCGGTCCAATCCAGCCAACAGGAAGTAACAATGCGCCGACTCCAGCACCGTCCTCAATACCTCTCTCCTTAGCAAGCAGGTTATAAGCCGCAGCCGCATTCGCGGTGTCCATCACATCCAACCTGCATCCTAGCACCTCATTAATATACCGTCTGGTCTCACGCTCCAACATCCACAACTTTCCACCAGTACCCACAATCAACAGGTCCGGTTTAGGATGTACAAGCTCGAGTAAGCCCAGACTCGCCGCGGGAAAGCTCAGGATGCCCTTCCTACTATTGAGTAAATTTCCCAAATGTGGCGATGTGCCCTCGGAGTCAGGCAACATAAGCCACGGCTGCCATGTAAATGCTTCTCCTCCGACCAGGAGTATGCCAGCGCCTCCTTCTGTTTTCACGCCGTTGTCCAAATGGAAACCGTCGCTTGTGCATGCATCGACTGAAGTTGCGGGGGCGGCAATGTGGCCCAAGACGTCCATCACGCCGAAGTCAGTTTGTGTGTCTTCTGAGCTTTTAGGGCCTCGATCGCGATGGGTCGGTGCGTAGGGATTGCGAGCTCTTGCTGCATTTTGTAACAAGCTTGAGGTTGTGTAGTTTCGTGCTTTACTTTGTAAATGAAAGGAGTTCTTGGGTAACGTTTGCGAGCAGGCTCGTTGACGGGTACGAGCTGGTAGTGGGCTCAATGTTGAACGAAGAGCTCGGAGGAGCTCGATGGATGGTGGTCGCATTGCTTGAATCGATTCGTTTTCTGGGTTTCGCCTCCAATATCCAGGCTCTCGGGAGCGAGTGTGAGTATTGAAGGAATCCCTTTGCGGTTATAGTGTCATGCGCAGTTTTTGCCTCAGCAGAAGAGATGCAGTTGCTATTTTCCAAAATTGACTATAGTGAAGTACAGAACCGAAATCATGACGTTATTTTAGCTCCACGGCACCAAACTCGCCTGACGCAAGCCAATCGTAGCCAAGCTTTTTGTCTGGAATACTACTGACATCGGCTTGGGCCGTGATGTGGGAAGACACATTTCTGGATGTCTTCTGTGCAACAGTTCATGCATACGTGCTCCACCTAAAGCCCAGCATCTGGGTTACACAAATGATACGTGAGTTTGTAGTGGCGGTTCTACTGAGGCTTTCAAGAGCGTTAGATTCGTAGCTATCCCAACAGCTGCTCGCTAGCTAGACTTGCAACAAACGAACGAACAACCACCATGGCTCAGATGCAGCAAATTATCGACAAACTCATCACAATATGCACAACCCTATGATAGCCACAACCACTGCAAACAGACTTCCACTGAGCACATGCTCGGGCTGCACGTTCGACGAAGCACCGCTTGAGCCTGAGCTTGAGCCGTCTTGTACGAACCCTCCTGATCCGCCTGATCCTCCAGATCCTCCACTACCAGATGAAGTGGATTGCGAACCCGGTGCCGTGCTTGAGCTGCTCGAGTCTCCTGCATGGTTGTCGTTACCTGGACCAACACCACTCATACCTGGCACAGTGTTTGCTGTTTTGCTGGCTCCTGCACTCACACTAGCCGATGCTCCGAGATCCATATCGAGACCTGAAGCAAGGAACGAGCCGAGCACAGTTGGGTCGTCAGTGATTTCAAAGTCGCCTTCATTCGCATTCTTGCTTGTCAATTTGTAGGATGTCTTACCATTGCCCTTTGCGTCGGAGGGTGGGTCGTAGCAGTCAATGCTGACACTGTCAAATTGCGAATAGTAATATCCATTGGTCATATACGGCGAGTTCCAGCTAATCTCGCCACCTGCCCAATTTATGGTTCCTTGTGGGTTTGTTGGCAGGCCAGCGGGCCACAAGGATAGCTGCACTCGAGCGGGAGATTGGGGATATGAGAATCTGTTTGAGGTCGAGTTCCACGTATCGCTCTTCTTCAGGGTTCGAACCTGTTTGCCATCGATAGACCATGTAAGTTGATCCGGAGTCCAATCGATCTCGTAGTCGTGGTAGTTGACCATGGAGTCGCTTGAAATGGTAGCGTTCGCGCCATTGTCGTCTATAATTCTGTTAGTGCCATACGAATGGAGCGGAATATAGGTCTCGGCTCACAATTTGTTATGCCCAAGGAATAAAAGTTGGTTTGTGCTGTTAGTAAATCGGTACCGACGAACTCAAAATCGATTTCGTCCTTAGTATCGGACAAGAGAATGAAAGCAGTGACTACACCAGCGCCAGCACTGGTCTTCATCCTTGCTGAAATCTTCCCATACCAGACGTAATGTGTACTGGCCAGTAGTGTTCCAACGGAGCCTCTGGCCATGGTAAGGAGCACTGAGTTATCGTATTCAACAGGTTCACCAGATGAACTCCATGCAGCTTTCGAGGCATCTCCAAGATACTTTGTGTTGGCTTGTATGTTGTTTATACTACTGAAGTCGAATTTAGCCGATTGGCACACCGGCATAGGGACGCATGCGTCGAGGGAATATGAGTTGACGGCGTCGCAGCCGCCCAGGCAATATGCGCCAGTGCCACATTGTCCGTACTCTACACCAGTATTAGTATCGTTGCCACAACATTGTACTTGCTAAGTAAACATACGGGAGCAGCAAGGAGTGTCCTGAGGACAAGTGCTTCCACCTCCACAGGTTTGCGCGATTGCTGGTACCACGGCTGCTAATAGGACAGACGCCCTCAATAATCGCCCCATTGTGTCGATGCTGATGTGGTACGGGTTGGGTAGTTGCAGGGAAGGATGGTAAGAGTCGCTTCCTCAAGCAACGTGGATAGTGGCGTCGTGTGAGACAGTGATTAATGTGACAGAGATGAGTCTGATGGTGGTTACAGTTTTCGTGGATTGGCCCCAGGAATCACGATTATAGCAAGGGTCAGTCCAAGAATTGTGGTGGTAAAAACGAATGTTGTACACTGTCTGTACGATAATACTGCGCAACGAGTGACAATCGGCAGAAGGATGATGTAAATAGACAAGTCAAAAAGAGATAAAGGACAATGAAGTTGTAGTGAACGCAGGTTACAGAAGTTGCCAACGCAGTGAAGTTCTTTGCCCACGAGTTATTAGAGGGAGCAGCAGGCGAAACTTCCAGGGCTCCCTGTCAAATGCCGCCAAGTGGATCTCATCCAGGAGCTCATGGGGTAGCTAAGTTTTCTCTGCACCTTGGCTTGCGTGTCCCTGGAACATCGTTTTGCAGTTTTGGGCCTGGTGCTTGATCTAGCTTTGCTCACGAGACCGCCGATTGGGCCATTTGTGATCTGGTGGGCGCGGCAAGGTCCAAAATAAGCCATAAAAAGCTCCGCATGGGTTTGCCTCCAAATCGCGAATACCAATGTCGCGCTCGAAGGCGAGCTCGAGAATGCCACTGGCAGTGCTGCGACATGAACATCGAAGAGGCTATACACAAATCACGTGTGGATTCACTCACTTGATAGATATATCTCTCAGGCACTGCGAAGTATACCCTCGTGCGATCGTGCGATGGTGTGCATATCACCGGAAGGGTAGTAATCAATAGAGGCTTTTTATTCGTGACAATTTCCATTCATGGCTCTGTTATAGATTACCCTCGAAAGGGTACCTTCCAAGCTTCTTTATCGTAACTACTTGGCCACACCCCGTTCTTTCCTGGTGCTAAAATTCCTTTCGGATCGAGCGCATCTTTGATCTTCTGATTCAGCTTTGACATCGCATTGTCGTTGAAGGAATACGTGCTAGCAATTTGGTCCATCAGCGCTAGATGCGTTCTGTATTCGCCCCAGCCCTGTTTCGCAGCATCGTCCACCAGGATGCTGATAAGTTTGTGAGCTCGTCGTCTGCTGTCAGGGTCCTTGCGGTCGAAGACGATGCAAACGATATGGTGCATCTCGCGCATGCCCACGACGAATGTGCCGATGAAGTCGAATCCGAATTCTTCGCTGCGCCTGCGGGTGAGCTCATATTGTGCTACAGCATCGTCACCTGAAACTTTGGCGATAGGCGAAAAGAATAGATGAGCACCATTCGGTAGCCAGTCCACCCATCTGAGCTCAGTGACGCTAGGAATGCCTTGAAGCGTATCATGCCGTGTCTGGAGCACAAGATTGTCGGGCATCTCTTCCGGAAAGTAGAACTTGGCGCCCTTGATCTTGCCGAAGGAGGCCTTGACTACCTGCCACATAACATCACGAACTGGGGGAGGACCATATCTAAATTCGTCAGTTCAACATCGACAGAACCTAGGATCAAGACTTACAATGCTCCATAAAAGTTCCAACGTCCCAGGTTCAACTTTTCAGCTATCGCATCTATCTCTGGATCGGTTAATGGTTTGGTCGAGCTTGTGTAGGTCTTTCGGTCACCCATCACAGCCGCATCCAGGAGCACATGACGTAAGGTCGGTACATTCTGCAAGATCATTCCCACTCTCAGAGGTCGGATTATCTCAACCGCTTGGTGCAGGTCTTCGTCTCGTGGAATGGTTATGAGATAGCTCTGATAACCACCTGGATTTGTCATAAGCTAGCAAATATTAGCCTTCTGGGTCAAACTCGTCGACGGCCTTTGGTAGACACCGGAACGTGTTTGAGAGAGTACCTACCCATATGCCGAGCTTCGTCACAATTCCCAGTGAGCCTTGGCTGAATATACCGTCGTTATATGGCCCAAAGCCATAGTTGAAGAGATGAGCACACTTGTTCCAAGATTGCTCATGTGGTGGCAGGCTAGGGTCAGCGTCTGGATCAGGAAGAGCTCCCATGCCAGTTCTGATCAAAGAACCGTCGGGTAGCACGATTTCCATTCCACAGTGCATCATCCAATGGTCTCCGTATGGCGTATAACCGACACCTCGCTCAACCGTATTCCCTAGCACTGAGCCTCCACCTAGATCGGGCACATCACACCATAAGTGATCCCTCAAGTTGTTCTTAACCAGATAATCATGCAAATCGAAGAAGGTTACCCCAGGCTCGACAAGTGCATAAGCACCATCGACGTTGACCTCAAGTACTTTGTTCATATTCCTGCCCATGTCAATGCCAATACTGCCTGGTACACGCGGTGCTGAACCGCCATAACCGACATTTCTTCCAATGCTGAAAGGCCAGGCTGGGATAGTGAACTCATTACAGAGCCTCATGATAGCCTGCACATCTGGGACATTTCTTGGCGCCACCACACAAGATGCCACGAAGTACTCTTTCTCCAAGATATAGAACATGTCGTGCACCTTGCTAGGGTTCAGGTAGGAGTCTTGTCTCAATTCATCCGCCTTGTCAATGATGGTAGTATTCTCCTGACCCACAATGTCAGCTAAGCGTAGTGTAAAGGTTTTGAATGTGCTAGAATCGACGCCTGGTGGAAGACACAAGGGGTCTCCTGCAATTTGTGGTGCAGCGCCATTAGGTCGACGATAGGCTGAGGCTGGAGTTGGCCCTCCAACCGTCTCCTCTGGAGTGACCTTCTCAGGCTCCTTCATGTTGTAGTTTCCGTATGTTAGAGACTTAAACGATTGAAGGGATGGCGATTATCTGGTATGGTTCTCTGCTGGACTGCGCGTGCGCATTTATCTCCATACTGTACAGTGATATTCCCACACCAAGCCATTAAAGAGGAGGTCCATATCCGAGGTCCCACATTGTTCATCGGCAAGCGTTGCCTCTCCATGCTGCAGCAGGACATGATCGACCTCAGCTATGAGCAGTGGAGATTAGACTTCTGCTGTAAGCCCCAGCTGTTCGGTACTTCATCAACTGAATCCACTCTCTCGAGGACCCTGCTTGGATCTAGCAACGCTTTTCCGTGTATGCCCACACTTCCGCAGGGCCGACAACCTTCAGTCTTGCAGTCGGGACTGTTCATCAGAGCATCGCCTTGACTTGAAATGCGCGACTCGAGGCGTCTCAAGTACACGTTGAAGAGTGAGAAGAGGCCCATCGTCTTATGGTGCCGAGTCGCTGTGCATCGCAAATTGGCCTGCCTCGAGAGTACCGCAACCTGGATACATCGACCCTGAAACAGGCACAGACTTCTCTTCAAAGGTCGACCTACACTGTTCGAAGTCGGCAATACACCAATACAATGTATCTGCTTGCTTCGCTTAAACAGCTTGGCTGGTGCCATTGCAGGGACATTTGCTCGAGTATACGAGGAAGCGAAACTGCCTATTTTTGCATTACATGGCTACAGCTCCAAATGCCGAGCGCAATGACCTCCACTTGATCGCAGCACGCGCATGTGGAGCCACATAACGCGTTCTTTCTCAAATACAAATGAGTGTACACTGCATCATCAGATTCACCCAACTGAACTCACTGAACCAGCCAGGCTAGTGCAGCTAATGACACACGGCGATAAGGATCAATGAGTACACGCCGACTTCGACCACTGTCAATGAGCTTCAGATCTACATCTATACACTTATGCAGTGGAACTCAGTTGAGAATGCAGTAACACTTGTAGGATGTATATGCTTCAGGTAATTTTTAGCATGTGAGCACCATCTCTTCAGTCCACGCTCTATCGTCCTCTCGGTGTTCATTACGCCTTATGCTTTGTCTTTCAATCCAATCAGCTCGAGCACTACGAATGCGCAGTATTCCTGTTTTGCGGGGGGTCTTTAAGCAAGACTGCAGCCTTGCACAACGCCTTTGTATTAACCACACCATGCTCACCGATCGTGGTACGTGTGACATGAGGCATTGCACCAAGTCTAACATGCAGGTCCCTTGCTGCAATTGCCCCGGAGCTTAGACTTCTGTACTCCTGATCGAAGTTCACCATTGTGTTAGCGTCGAACATTTGGTTGTATACCGGAAAATAAATCTGATATTCCGCAGAATCGGTGAACCGCAGCTCCGCGACCGAATATGCTTGCTTCATCAGGCCTTGCAGCCTTCCGAAATCGCCAGGCACCCTCTGATGCATGATAGGGTGAACAATACTCCAGAGGGCATTAGCTCTTTCCCATGCCTTTCGAGATGTAAAATCCTCCCAAGCAGGATGGTTTCGGAGCTTGTTGTGTTTCTCAGTGATCTCTCGCAGATAGAGTCGACGGATTTCGTTAGGGGTGTTCGGTTTTAGCTTTTGCCTTATCGCCGCAACAGTTTCATCGATACTAGCGTCAAGCCCGACAAAAGTGAGGACGCCGAAGACGACATCAATTATATCACCTAGGATAACCTTGGCCACCAACCAATACCGTGTCTGTTGGCTTTGCATTAAGCGAAAGGCTGTAGTCTGTGTGGCCTTGCTCATTAAGATGTCTTTAATGTGCTGTGGCATGGCTTTATCAGCTGCATTGCTTGGAAAGTTGGCAAAAGTGTACGCGAAATCGACGGCTTCGTCGAAAAGTACTGCGAGCTTTTTACTAAGCTCGTCTTCCCTAGTGCCCGTCGAGTACGGAATAACGGCGTCTTTCATACTCCGAGGCCTAGACATAGCGGACTCCGTCCTCTGAACCGGAGTTTGTGGCGGGACTGGTGGGAACATTCGACCGCTTGCTTCTGTGCTTGTAGCAGAAGTACCGTAATTGTTGCTACCGGTACTATCAGATGCAGGATGACCACGAGGTGGTGTTCGATATTCGTTATCTTGGGAATTGACGTGATTTTGGAGGGTCATGTTTCTCATCTGATTGACAGGAAATGGAGACCCTTGCCTGTCGGCACCTCCTCGAAATGGTTGCGCAGGATTGCTAATAGAAGGCTGACGCACAACAAGAGTTTGGTCCGGGTTGGAAGAGGCGTTCGGAAATTTGAAGGTACCCCACTGAGTATGATAACCCGGTGGGAGAGCTACTTCAGAATTTAGAGGTGGACCGAAGCCATTTTGGACTGGTGTTTCGTGAAACGGTGAAGAACCTGAGTATCCAAGAGTAGTAAAATGGCTGCGTTGATGGGAAGGGGTTGTGTGATGCGGTTGCTGGCGGTCCTGGACCTTTGACAACTCTGCTGAGTGGACTCTGATCGTTCGCTCTTGTTGCTGAATTCTGATGTTCTGGTTATAGATTTCGCGGTCTTGCTGACTTAATCTTTGTAGTACTAAACTAGCATTGCTCTGATGGAAGGCTAGCTCCGCCTTCAACCTTTCAATCTCGGCGTCTTTCTCTTGCAATAGTCGCGTGTCATTTCCAGGAGTACGTGATCTCTGGGATATGGCATCACCAAGTTCAGACTGTACTTTCGTCAGATTCTTTTCATTCTGCCACAAGTAGTGTAGATTTTGTGACCAAGCCACAGGACCCTGGTTGGGTGCAAATTCAGACATGTCGTAAAGTCTGCTGTTGAACCTAGAGCAAGTCAGTCTTGGTTCAAGGTGGACAAAAGGTCGATAGGTACTTACATGGCTGTTTGTGGAAGTAGCTGTTTGACAATTCGGAATTAGTTGCGGCAGTTGCGTTGAAGGATGCCACGAACCTTATCAATATTTGATCTATGACAGTTTTTTTCTGGCGGCAGCTGGAAGCTGTGGAATGAGACGAGTGCTTGCCTGACTTTGCAATGTCTGCTATAGAATCCTGTGGAAGCCTACGTTCAATTGTTAGTCGGTGTTCCTGTAAATCTTCTGGGGTATGCAGTAGTAGATGAAATCTAGAACTAGCAACGTGCTTCAAGGTAAAATAGCTGCAGAACAAGTTCCATGGTGTTTCAAATTGGTAAGTAAAACTGCTAACTTGATAGGTATCAGATTTGCTGTTTGTAAGTTTCAACGAATGCTGAAGTGTTTGCTCAACAGATGCTTGAAGTGGCACATTCTGAATCGATTTTGTTTTCGCGTCGTCGTAGCCTTCGCTGTCGTGCCGCTTTCACCGTTGTTTGTTGTAGCATTGTTCTTGTGTCCTTCGGCCTTTCGCTTCTCTTGATCGACCGACTGCCGTGAGTGACATCAAATTTGTGGAGACGAGACAATAATCAGGCAGTAGCATGTGCCGCCGACATGCTTGGCCAATCTCAATCGATCGCACGGAAACATACCTTGCAATATCTGAGTTCCAATGTCGCTTGTGTTGTGTGAGTTATATCGACTGTGTCCTCGAAAGTCAAGATCAGAGTGGGATAGCCTTCTGCAAGTGGTTTTGGCTGGAGAGGTGTCCTTGACGAGAAGAAGATCCTTGGACGTGAGTATCGATGAGGAAAAGGAAACCGCGAAGAAGAAGAGCAGTCGACGCCAATAGATACCCTTCAGTATCTGCCAGAATGGATCCATAAAGATCTCACCATTGAAGTGAATTCACCTTGTGCTCACCTCCGCCACAGAGGCACGCGCTTCCATAATCCTCAAGCCCGGAGTAAAGATGACTGTCATTTTGGACTTGCAGTGACTCTAATCTCAATTGATACCACTCGACCATCTATCATTCCGTGTCGTTCCTCTATAGCTTAGGCTCATAGTGTCGCTTAGTCTTAAGAGACGGTTTTTGCGTGATCGACATCTCGCAATACCCTGCTAACGGCGTACTGGACGTTTTCTCGACATTTGCATGAGAACAAGCAGCTTGCTGAGCATATAGTGGCATGTCTTGCTATACCTCAACGTAAGCTATGCAGTATTTTAGCAATCATAAAGCGGTGATTACTGAAAAGAGGGATAGATACTGCGGTATCACAGTCATCACAGTGTCAACTAGGACAAAAGTACAAGAGGCCACCTCTATTGAGGTGATTCATGCTTTTCGAGAGCTTGCTTGAAGCCTGACTATTCACATGTGTGTAGCCTGGGTTCGAAGACTTGCTCCTCGCTGCCTGCCTCGTTGAGCCCTCAGATCCGTCGATTGTCCTTTAGTCAGGGGAAGTGTTCGGCCGAGGTATCCAGGCATTAAGGCACGACTTCAGCTTTCGCAGAAGAAAAAGGAAATCGGGAACTTCAAGTTGGCTCTGGAGCTCAGGTCTAATTTACATTGCATGTCGAGGATTATCGAGGCAGTATGTTTACACTGTGAATTATTGCCTGGAAAATTTTGCTTGCGATTCAATTTCAGAGGCTTATAATTGTTTGGACATCAGAGACAGGACAAATGGCCTCTGTCGCATCCTGCTGCAACTAACTACTTGTGTCCTTTGTTGCCACCATAGATTGACACGATGTGTTTGAAGTAACCTGGCACCAATTTTGACACGATCCGTGAGCCTGGCGTTTCTCCCTAAGGGACTGAGACCACCCTTTGACCTGAGTCTTGCGATACTAGCCGGTCTCATGATTGTAGGGTAAGTTCGGGGCGAGGGCGAGGTATTTGTTAGATCAGAGGTACTAGTGCAGATACAGAACAGGAACCAATTTGCGTTCTGGCAAGCGTCTAGCCTACGCAGGAAAACTGTGCACAAAGAGAACATTTTTGCAAAGGTTACAGGACTTCATATCGTCCTGGTGTTGAGGCAGGTACTATGCGCAACACTAAGGCACGACTTTCGTGATGCAGATGTGTACAATCACTTCGTAGTGGGTCACAATCTAAGAACAGTCAATGAGCTGCCTATGCAAGGCTTGTATACTCAATTGTAACTCAGGAACAGATTCCCTCATCCGACTTCGTTACAAAAGCACCCTTTCTTATAGTCCTAGAGACAGTCAGATGCCGTAGCGTGGAGCGTGCCTAGTTGAATGATGAGCTAGGGTGAAGACAGCTCAAAGAGCTTTCGTTCTCGAGAAAAGAGAGCTGTAAACTGCGTCAACGACTGGCTGTGCGCTGATCATCCTACCGCCAAAGAATCGTCCGTTAAGACCTTTGATTGCATTCTCGCCTCCAGATACTTTATCGAATTTGAGGTAGATATCGCCCTGAGTGTTAGGATCCAGCGAAATGTGGACGACATGGCCGTATTTCTCGTCGCATTCTTGTCGAACATCGTCTTCGAGTTCTTTGACCCAGACATCGCCTTCTTCTCTGTAGAGCTGGTTAGCAACTTGCAACTTTGATGAAGGGAAGTACTTACTCGGCTGGGTCGAACATATTTCTTAGGAGCACGCATCGGCTTGCTTGGCTAACACTGACAGGCACGGATTTGGCTTCCTTCTTGGGAGCGACAACTTGTCGAGGATCTGGCTCGGGGTCGTCAGTCCTAGCGAGCTTTCGCATCAATGCATCTCGACTATAGTTATTGAAATTGACACCTGCCACATCCGTATCGTCGAGAGCACTTGCACCGCCTGCACCTTTCTGGTCGTCTCTGCCTCCCGCTCGGTCGAAAGTGCCACCGGAGCCGCCAGCGTGTGCACCTCTCCCTCCAGAGCCAGAAAAGGCGGAGCCCTGGTAAATTGATCGATCTTGGCGATCTTGTCCTTGAAACCGCTGCAGCAGATTAGCTGTTGATTCAGGTGTGAACTTATCGTTTCCGAGCCCGACTCGAATTGGACGGCCAGCCAGTTCAAATCCGTTCATCTTCTCAAGCGCCTCACGTGCTTGGTCAGGATCACGAAACTGAACAAAGCCGTAGCCACGACTTCGACCCTGCTCTTCTTTCTGGAGCTGTACAAATTCGAGCTCGCCAAAAGGTTCGAAAACGTTCTGTAAATCTTGTTCAGTAATGCTGAAATGGATGTTGCCTACATAGAGGCGATGGAAGGGAACTGAATTCTGGTTACCACTAGTGGCAGTTGTGTTTCGGGCTTGACGATTCTTTTCTGCTTCAGTAAGCTGAGCAATGATGGGAATGCCGAGTAATTTCTGTCCTGTCAGCTGGATAGCAAGCTGAACAGAAGATTCCTCCCTGAACTCAACGTAACCAACACCTTTGGATCGACCACTGACTCTGTCTTTGACGATCTGGGCTTCCTTGACGGGGCCAACTTTTTCGAAGAATTGGATAAGCTCTTTTGTACGCAGTCGAGCAGCCAGCTGCTGAACGAAAACTGTTCTTCGATCTCGTTCGTCTTCGTTAGGTTCAGGAGTCTTGGACTTGCGATCGTCATTGCTTGGGCGCGGCTTTTCTCGTTCTTTAGGCTCTTCGTCGCGATCTCGCTTCGGGCGGCCGTCTCGTGGTCTGTAATATCTATCGTCTGGAGAACGTGAGCGCCTATTGCTTCGATAGTAGTCACCACTTGTGCGGTGGTCATCACGATCACGTCTGGCTCGTCTGTCATCGTCTCTGGATCGGCTTCTGCGTCTGCTTCGGTGACTACCGTTCTGACTTCCTCGGTCACTGCGAGGGCTCCTCAGATCATCGTCTCGATCTCTTCGATGCTCACGGCTTCTATCGCGTCGCTTCCTGTCCCGGTCTCGATCACGCGAGCTGTCACGATAGCGATCGCGGTCTCTACGTTCCGATCGATCGTGCTGATGGCGATCACCCTCGTCATGCTTTGCGCCATTGGTTGCTACCGCAGTCGAGTCAAGGAGCGCTTCAACATCAAGAGCGGACATCTTGGGACAAGGTTGATCGGAAGTCTAGCTGGCAAACCCAGAAATGCGAGAAATTGTATTCCACCTATCACAGCAGAAGGTATTAAGCTGTTTCGTCTTGGTTTTAGCGGTACAAGAGACTGTGAAGCTATGACACACTAACACAAGTATCCTTCGCTGAAAACACTGCGGAGTGCACAAATGGTGCGACTGATGGGGTGACAATGTCAGATCACAGGAAGAAAAACTCAAGGCATCTCTGCAGGTTTCAGTCACGTGACCTCGAGTCACTATATGAGACCAACGCTGAGAATTTAACTAGAGTGTAATGCTAAGGTAGGCACGCGTCCTGACGCGGTCGTGGTCGGTCCTGCTCCCGCAAAATGTCGAAAGTTTGTTCATAGATTCTTGCCGCCAGACACTCACTCACATCCTTGCCAGTGAAGCCTGTACAAGCACTTTACCCAATGCACAGGAGAATGTCCCGTGTGTACTGTAGTGAAACGTTGATACAGGGAGGACTTGCATGTGATCTAGCCCGTACGAGCTAAGGATACTCGCTGGTGCTTAACTCATTAATGCAATTACCTCGTTGGCTGGCACACAGTGCTTCGCTTTGTACAGGAATCTCACCCTCACCATGACGCCAACTCTACAAGAACTTCAGGACGACATTGACTTGTACCAGACATTATTGCGCAGCCTCGATGACGACGCCCAAAGCAATGGAGAAGATCATAGCGATGATAGAGAGTATTACAAGACCAAGTTGAACGAATTAAATGAGCAGGTGGCAAGCCTAGCGTCCCGACCAGTACGTTCGTCTACTTCCGTCCTTCTCGACCTGCCTAGTCGCAAGAGAGATCGTGGTGAGTTCGATAATGACTTGGACAATCACCGAATGAAATCACGCAAGCCCACGCCCGCTGATTCTCCAGCACTCTCCGGTCAAAGTCCAGCGCCCTCCAATACTGGTAGTAGACGTGCCGATAGTGTCGGTTCAGAGTTCTTCGATGACCCAAGCCTCGGTAACCTTCTAGGCGACAATTGGCAGGACGATGTACGCCGAAACCGCGAATTCCTTCGGAAGCAAGAGGCGAAGAGACGACAAGAGGAGGAGGACGCCATGATCGCGAGACAACTACAAGAACAATGGAATGCTCCAGCACTGTCATCCAAGCCACAATCATCGAAGGCTACTTACCCTTCGCTTCAACAAACACAAGCTACTTTTAACCCAAATGGTTCTTTCAAGAGAATCAAAAGCGAATTGCCCGATATCAAGGCCGAACCTCTTGCGAAAGACCCTGCCGCGACTCCCGTCTCTATAAGCAGTTCCGCCTCTTCCTTCGACGACGATCTTACTGCCACATCTCCCTCCGAATGGCAGAGGCTCAACCCCGAGGCTCCTTCGAGGGTGTTACCAAATTTTACACAGAGTGCATTATCAGCTGGTTCTTCTCGAAATGCCTCACGTTTCACTAGTCAACCAGGCACCTCGGTGTATGGTAGTGCCCTCCAGCCTTGTCTCAGCGGCATCCCATCCCTGCTGTCTTCGTCCTTGCCTACTATGGACTCGCTTCGAGGACTTAGCAACTTCCTAGGCTCCCAGATGCAACCCTTCGATCTTACACGAATACTCGGCGACGATGTTCTGCCACCGAGTTGGGAAACTCCTCTTGACGCTCGTGAGGTCCAGGAAGAGATCAGGCAATTATTGCACAACATTCGACCCGACGAAGAGATAGATATCTCCGAGGCTGGCGAAAATCAGCCCGAGGGTCTTAAGGTTCGTCTCATGCCACACCAGGTCAAAGGTCTTGCATGGATGAGGAAAATGGAAGAAAGCTCGACCAGAGGCGGTATATTGGCTGATGATATGGGTCTAGGCAAGACCGTTCAGGCTATTTCCTTGATGCTTTCGCGACCACCTCCAGATGACAGCAGAAAACCCACGCTCATTGTGACACCCGTCGCTTTGATGGATCAATGGAAACGGGAGATCAACAAAATGGTTCGAAGCAGGTATGGGATGACCATCGAGATTCTGCACGGCAGCGGGTAAGTGATTCTGGAAGCCATATTCACAATGTCCTTATGGTTCGTATGAAATTATCCGAGCTGACATTCAATAGTGCTCGCAGACCTTGGAGGACTATCAAACACTACGATGTAATATTGACAAGCTACGGCACCTTGGCCTCAGAATTCAAGCGGAAGCTCAAATGGGAAGACAAACTTAGACTTAATCCCGATGCCACAAAGACCAAGAAGGAAGAATGCGCTGTTCTCGACGACGAGTCCAAGTTCCACCGCGTAATTCTTGATGAGGCCCAAAACATCAGGAACAAGAACACGCAGGCTTCTATTGCCGCTTGCCGCATACAATCTACGTATCGATGGTGTCTGTCCGGAACTCCTATGCAGAATAGCGTGAATGATGTTTACTCTCTCATCAGATTTTGTCGTATTCGACCATACAAGTAAGTGCAAGTTCTTTATTGCTGAATATTTTCTGGCTAACTTTACTGCAGTGAAGCCGACCGATTTAACAAGGACATCGGCAATCCGCTCAAGCGGCGCCGAGAAAGAGACCAGGAGCGTGCCATGGAGAAATTGCAAGCCCTGTTGAAGGCGATTCTATTGCGGCGAACCAAAAAATCAGAAGTGGATGGCAAACCCATATTGCAGCTGCCAGAAAAGCACACCGTGGAAACAAGGGCTGTTTTCAGCAAGGACCAATGCGAGTTCTACAAAGCTCTGGAGACTCAGTCAAAGGTCCAGTTCAACAAATTTGTGAAGACAGGTACTGTGGGCCAGAATTATTCCAAAGCGCTGGTACTACTTCTTCGGCTTCGACAATGCTGCTGTTCACCTCAGCTAGTTACGAACTCGGCGGATTTTGTGACAGATAGTGGTGTCGAAGGCACGGACATAATAGCCAACGCAAAAGCCCTACCAGCAGCTGTTGTTAACCGCATCAAAGAGCAAGAGGACATAGAGTGCCCGATATGCATCGACGCTGTTGAGAATCCGGTCATCTTCAACCCTTGTGGTCACGCACTTTGTCACGATTGCTTTAGTAGAATGATCGACAGTGTTCATGTCGAAAACGCCGAAAACGTCAAGTGTCCTCATTGCAGAGCTAAGATCGATTCGAAGAAGATCACAGACTACGCGAGCTTCAAGGACGTCTATATGGGCACGGACGACTCTAGGCTTACCGATGCTGAAGGAGATTTATCATCAGATTCAGACCCGGAATCGGATGTGGATACCGATGGTAGTGATAGTGACTCCTTCTGGAATGGCTCAGATGATGGTGAAGATCTTAAAAACTTTGTTGTTCCCGACGATGAAGAAGAGGAAGAGGAGGATGACGACGACGACCTAGATCGCATTAAGAAGCCCAAGAAAGCAGCTGTTCCAAAACTTGAGGAAGGAAAAATTACTGCCAAGAACGTCAAGTCCAAGTCGAAGAAGCACAAGGGTACCAAGAAGAAGTCCAAAGGCAAGAAAAAAGAGAAAGCAGTTTCCTTGGCAGACCTCCGTAAGGAAGGCCTAAAGTCGCGTGCAGCAAAGAAACGCTATCTCCGACAGCTAGGCAAACTTTACGAGCCATGCGCAAAAATTGACAAGACACTGGAGCTGCTCAACGAGATCCACCAACGTGGTGAAGGCGAGAAGACTATAGTCTTCAGCAGCTTTACTTCTTTCTTGGATCTAATCGAGGTACCCCTAAGTCAAGAAGCCAATCTATCGGATTACACCCGATACGACGGGTCTATGACAGCAAACGATCGCAACGCTGCAGTGCTCAAGTTCACAGATGATCCACGCTGCCGAACAATGCTGGTGTCACTCAAAGCTGGCAATGCTGGCCTCAACCTTACCATCGCCAACCACGTGCTTATCTTGGACCCGTTCTGGAATCCGTTCGTGGAGTACCAGGCCGCCGATCGTTGTTACCGCATTGGACAGCGTAGGGAAGTGACTGTACACCGTGTCCTGATCGGTGAGGAAGGCGTCGATCATGAGGCCAACCCCGAGCACGTCTTCACTGTTGAAGACCGAATTCTTCAGCTTCAGGAGAAAAAACGACAACTGGTTGAAAATGCACTGGACGAGAACGCAGCCAGTCAGGTGAGCCGACTTGGTGTTAGAGAGCTTGGCTACCTATTTGGGGTCAACGATATGCCAGCCACTGCTCGAGGCACTCAGTGAAAAGCTGTTATCCCTGGAGGATTCTTATTTCGGTGTTACAGGAGGATATCGTGTTCCCAGTTGATCATGTTTCAAGATGTGATCGGTCAAGCATGGCGTACCGGATATGTCTGTGGTTGCATTGTTTTCAAGAGTTGGAGTTACGACGTGCTAGAAGATTTCTAAATGTGCATCGCCGCAAGGCAGATGGAAATAGTGTACAGTATTATGGTCAGCTCAAGGCCTTGCATTGACATCACTGGCAGTATATCACGACAGTAGCTTAGCTAAGAAACATTATGGTTGTATCATCGCAAGAACTCGCACGTCGGAGCTTCAAAGCAGAATCTTCTTACATGATCACCGAACGTTATGGTCACCTCCCACACCTGCAACGCCTGCTAATATCACGTCCGCTGTGCCTTTAGCCTGATTTGCTGGCTTGGAACCATCAACCTGAATACTCCATTGTCCTTTGGTCTAGCGGTTTGGTCATTTGGTCGACCTCTTCCTATGAAGCGGAAACGAGGGTGTATTGCCCTCGTCATATGCAGAAGTGATCTCCGTATTGCTCCTCAAGGAGGGCGCAGAAAATCGAGGTTTAAAATGTAGGCTCGAAAAAGCTGCGATTCGATCCTTTGTCTCATGGCTGTATTACGTTGCCAACTCTTTCCCGTCACGATCTTGAGCCAGATTATGCCTCGGCCTTTGATCTGGCCTGCATCTTCACAATATTTTTACATATACTCTTTCGAATATTTCCTCAAGCAGCTTTGATTGGCTGAGCTTGCTTCACGTACGACAACTCTGTGTTGAAAACCCAGTCCCAAAATCGGCTCGTCACACCGAAGCCATTCTCGAAGTCTGCAAAATGGTGCTGCAAGTGGTATTTCTTCAAACTCCTCCAGTAGGCTGGTAGTTGCTTGTGGTGTAGGAAGTAATGAGTCAGATCGTAACAGATATACCCGAAGATACCACCACTGAAGACCATTGTTGCGACGTACCAATTGTAGGCGAAGACTGTGTGCGCCAACTTCCAGAATGGAGTTGCCAGGACGAGGAAGAGGGCGGGCGGCATGACGAGGCGGTATTTGTCCATGGGAAGGTAGTGGTGGACGCCGTGGAGGAGGAAATGGAGGGTGAGGAAGAAGGGGTGGTCGGGTAGGGCGGCTTCGATGTGGAAGAGGAAGCGGTGGAGGACGTATTCTGTTAAACTCCAGAGGAAGAGACCGAGAGCCCAGTAGAAGGAGGCTAATGGGAGAGGTTCGATATTTTTAAGGCCAAGGAAAGTGCCGTAGGCGACTGGTGGGAGCCAGACCAATGGCACAACCCACCAGGGAGTCAACGAAAGAGGCTCGAGTATGGGATGAGGCATGAGAGGTGCGGAGGCGCCACCTTTGCAGTGGCGAGGGCGGTGGACTTGTTGTAGATAAAACTCTTTGCTGAAATCACTGAAGAAAACCTGCGGTATCAGGGGTTTGCTAAGGTCGAGAAACTTGTGGGTGCGATAGTCGGTTACGGCATCTGTCTCCTTGCTCAGGTCAGCTTCGTTGGACATGCCTGTTGCCTCATATATTGGGCGTCCTTCGGCATCTCTTTGTGCTTCTGAACGCTCTGGCAGATCGTCTGCGCCGCCTTCTTGCTGTATGAGTTCGTTACCATGCTCGGTGGCGGGTAGAGGAAGGACCTCTGTGGGGTCTGAGGTTTTTACTGCGGCTTTGACGACAGGCTCGTCAGCTGTGAAGCCTATTAAGCACTCGTCCAGCATCTCGTAGGCTCCTTCGCTGTGAAAATGTGAAATCTCATCTTTTAGAATCTCCTTCACGTCCTTGCCTGCATATTCGAGGATGAGATCCCCACCACCTGGATGATCGTCCAAGAAATCAGTAACATCGTAGACCTTTTCGTCGATGGTCACGTAGCATGACTTCTTGGTAGTATGCGTTTGGACTTCGCGAAGCGGAATAGTTGGTAAAGTACGGCCTGGAGACATGGTCTGCGAATATTGGATCGGAGGCAGCAGCAATCGACTAGGGGTTTGGTGGTAATGGTATTCCAACACAAGTTCACAACGTCGTCAGTATAGCACAGGCAGCTGGTCGAACTTGAAGGAAAGTACTGCTAGATTGAAGTCAACTATGTGCAAACAATGGGACTCGTGAGGCCAAAAGAAATGGAAAGGCAGCTGTGATATGATGCGACAGCTGACAACTTTTCTGCTTGGTCCATGGATCACTCCGGCACGCTGCGGTTCTCTTAGATTTGTGTCTCGCCACCCATGTGAGAGATTTTGGGGCTCCACGAATCGCCGGGAACCTTGAGCCAATTAAGCAATTCTCGACCACTCCTCGAGCTCTTGCCCCTGATGTAATCTCTTCACTGGTCATGGCAATCATCCGACTTCTGTTCTGTATCTCACAGCTGTTGTTGCTGCTACTGCTTGCTCCATTTGACAAAGGACAATTTTCTCTTATGTGAGGCACTGCTCATAGTCAGGCTAGGACCTTGAAGCAACTTCGCAGAGTCATACCTTATCGAACACTTGATAGGGAACCAACCTGAATATGCGTCTAATATTTTTGTACTACTCACTGTGGTAATCTTTCATATCATTCGGAAGGTGTTGAGAGTGGTTGAGGTATGGACAAGTATCTCTACCACATTTTGAAACTATGTGCCTTAATCACATTATTGCATGTTTTCACAATCCGATACGTTGCACTTATTCAGCATTAGAGCCAAACAGAACCACAATGTTGTTGTCCTCTCGTCTCTGCTTATTTTGCGACCGCAATATCTGCTTGCAACATGTCTTGTTTGGCTAGGAGCGTTGTCGCTCAACACAAATACTGGCATACAAGGTAGGTGACACTGTTGCAACAGGCACCAACTCTTTATTTGTGCCGAAAACCTTCACTCCTCTTTCCTATCACTGCTTTTACTGATATACACTAATGAAACCAATAAACCCATGGAACATTCGCAAAGTCGTGCGACTGTTGTGTCAGCGTTTCTTAACCTTTTTACATACCTTCGTCTATCGGTGCTTGAAGTCAAGCTTTGTCTACTTCCACAATGGACGATTATGCTTCGAACGCTACGAGACTCGACGATGTTTTCTATCTGTCTCTCGATGCACACCCCAGCAGCTGGGCGGCATCTCTCACCGACGATGATGAGGGCATGTCCGAGGCAGAGGTCGTGGACTACATCAAAGATAACAAACCTGACTTGTTCAAAAAGCTACACAACTTGCCTCTGAGGAGTTTCGACATTCCCTTGGGCTTTCATGGTCAACGTACACTTCAACGTCTTTCACGACTTACAGCTCGTGGCGCTACCAATGCAAAGGCACCTTCAGTCCCCACCACAGGCCACTCACATCGAGAGGTGGTCAAGGTCCCAGATCTTGAAGCCGAAGGCTTCAGGCAGGAAACGCGCGAGGAGATCGAGGAACGGGTGTACAGTAAGTGTTATTCAAAAATGTTGAGATTACCCACTAACAATAACCAGAAGGTCACCATCTCCGCGAGCACGATTTACCTCCATACGTTGATCATCCCCCTTGCAGCTACTTGTTCTGCCGCGAGCAGACTGTAAGATCCGAGGCAACACAGGTTTACTACTCGCTGGAGTGCGATGTGACCGACATCAACAACGATTGCACTACTCGCTCGGAGATTTACAAGTATTACTGCGCGAAGTGCTTCGATGACATATTCGATGATCGTCGTCTGTATAGATCTGGCGATCACTTTTACGATAGAGCCGCGGAAACACAAGACCAATTGCTGCTCGATGGTATTGATCAGCAAACCGTCCTCAATACTGCCGAGAGACTCTACCCACGTATTACTCCACGGAAGATAAACCACAAACGTCTAGTCAATACGGAAGGTGCCGGTCATCAGCCATACGATTATCCCTCGAACTCTTCAACGGCTAAAGCACTTCGAGCTCATAAGCAGCACGAGATACACGAGTTGCTCACAGAGGTCTCTAGATACGAGAAGACCGTTACGTCCCGCACAATCCCTGACGATTTGCCGTCGAGGTGCTCGTCACCAGATGCTTCGGTGCTCATCACTCGCCCTGTCTACATGGAGACTATGACCGATCGCTACAAGAAGCAAGGACTGAGAGAGTATGATCGCAAGAAATATCTGAGAACACAGAGACAAGAAGAAGAGGCTGATAAAGCCAAGTCATCACCAGTAAACGCACGAACACAAGAGATATCTGGATTGGAAAGATTCTGCTATTGTCGCGACTTCGATGATGAGACCGAAGTGTTACGGTGTAGTGCTGCTCAGTGCACTATCGGTTGGTTCCACTTCCGATGCACAGGACCTGATCGACTTCCGACAATTGGTGAACGATTCTTGTGCTATTATTGTAGCAACAACGTTCAAGGCTTTGTGACCAAAGCAAGCTCTGATGAAGATGACCTCGAGACTCCACTTCAGAGCCCTTCTTTACAACAACAAAACGTGCATTACGACTACGGACATGAAGCTGAATATGCAACTGACAGAGATGAAGAAGCTCACGAAGAGGACGGTGTCAACACTGCTTACGCTTGGGACAATTCCAAGCAGGAAGGTTTGCAGGAAAAGATCTCCAGGTGGACTGCTATCAACAGTTCCGGACCAAACACACCAAATCCAGCTCATACCAATTCCATCCTCTCCCATGACACAGCACAGGCACAGGCAGACAGTTCTCACGGTGACGAATCAAGCAACAGCCCCATCACACTTCCCACAAAGTACCCCTCAAAAACCACCGACTCTACCAGCCGACAAACCACGAGCAGTCTCCCGTCTTTCCACACCAACAATACAGCCACGAACCTCGACGCACCGCGTACACCTCCCTCACAACCCACATACAAGTCATCAAAACCATGGGGTACACCAATTAACGTCATAACACCAGCACTCAATAGACTTCCTCTGACCTCATCACCTCTGAGTCCGAGTCCGGCTACAAAGCGCAAGTTCAGTCAGATTACTCAGGACACAGAAGAGTTGAAGAATCAGCGTGGTCTGGAGATGGCAGGTTCGGAGGACGAGGATGAGGATGGGGAGGATGAGGTTGGTACGGGAATTGTGGTTCCGTTTATTCCTGAAGGATGATAGCTGCTTGATAAGTATGCATATTGTGTTGCTGGAACGAAAATGTGCTCAGGACCTCTAAGATAACTGCGTGAATGTGAAGGTGAATGTGAACTTGGACGTGACGGATGATTTAAATGCCTCTAGTAAACCGGCTGGCTGAGGCTTTCATCGGCATTGCAGTTGGTATCCTAATCTCTTCACAGATGCCGTTACCTCTTTCTCCATTTTACTTTCAAGCTATAATCGTCGAACACGAGTTATGAGCTCACCTCATTGTACAAAGGCTTCACACAACTCGTTATAGACGAAAGAGCAACGACGAAGCACGAATTGAATATTGTGAAATGCAGAGAAAATCCATTCTTCGGGCAAGTAGAGCCCAGATCATCTTACAAAAAGTCAAGATAAAAACACTACCATTGAACATGCTTGCTAAATTCGGACGGAATCAGCACAGAATCGCTTCGACAGCACATGCAGCGTCCAAAATAGTGACCAGGGGATAGTTTCCTCCAAGCTATAGCGATTCTTTTCTCGGCGAAGTGGTAGAAGAATACAGCGATCGAAACGTTCTGAACTGGTTTGTTGGAGCAAGTCCGTGCCTGGAAAATACTAGGTTGCCTAGCTGCTCACAATGACCTGGTTGTTGTCTGCGTACAAGGTAGATCCGGCGATTGATGCGCTTGACTCAAGGATGCAATGCTCTCATTCCGAATAGGCGAGACTGACAATATTGTATGTGCGTGAGTTCGAATATTCGTTGAGTCGACTCAGAGCGCGATATAAGGACCCGAGAGCGCCGCAACCACGATACAAATCCTGTTGCTTGAGACTGATGGTTCTTTGCGACGTCGTAAGCTACCCCGAAAGGGTTCCCAATCGGGTTGGTCAAAGTGACTCGATATAGCGACTGAGCAATGGGCTTCTGTGTCTGAAGTCTTGTCAATCATCATCCTTGACCAGCAAGCCTCATCGCTTCCTAGCCCGCTTCGCCTTTCCAGGTGCCCATAGTCGTTTCCGACAATTTACGCTACCGCAGCGACATTGTACAACCAAAGAGTCTAGCGGTTCCTCTTCAAGATTCTGCAAATCCGGATCATAATCAATAGTTATCTCGATACCTTTGGGAATGTCCTTGATGGCGAAGAAAGCGACGTGGTAAAGATGCTTTGTATCCTTAGACAAGACGACGGGCACCGTCTTCGCGTTTGGTTCGCACGAATGGTTGACGAATCGCATGACAGAGCCGAAGTTTGCGCCGTCAACAAGAAGTGTGGAATTCTCATCCGTCGTGAATACGTCCAACGACATGAAGTAAGACATCGCATTCTCTTCAACAGCGTCCTCTCTTCTTTCGACTTCGCCAACAGTGAGTACTTCGCCTAGGTATAGGTCAATAAATTGACCTCGGGCAATGTCCCTCATGGGTTTGACACCAAACCCGCGGTTGTCTGTGTCAAATATCTGCAAGAGAATGGTACGACCATTTTGTACAACACGATTCGTACATCGCTGATCACATCCGCAATAGTCGTTGCATTCATATATGATCCTGACCTTATGCTCGTCTTTCTCGGCAGCTAGAAAAGCGTCGCTGAGCACAACAGGGCCATTTTGGCTACGAGAGTAAGGTTGTAGACCAGCAATATCGACGAACTTCGAGCCGAGCTTCTCCTGAACAACGGCACACCTGCAACCATTCTCACAGCGTCTATCGGGACATCCGCATTGTCTAGGTGAAAGCAGCATTGGTTTGCGCGATCGTACCTTTTTGCTCAAGACATAATCACTTACAAACTGAAATTTTCCACTCAGTTGACGCGTACCATGTTGGTGTTTCAGGCTTAAAGCTGGTGACACCGAAAGCTTAAATCGTTCGTTTAGGATTCTGCGAGCTGCTTTGCGAGGGTGGACAATTCCCGAAGAAGTCGACGATAAGGCCTGTGAATTTGTCGACGACGTGGTGCCGAAGTCGAGTGGTATAGCCGAACGATCAATCTTAGCTTTGAGTCTCTTCTGACGAGCTCGTCTATTTACCTCAGGACTGGAGTCATCGAAAGGCGCGATATATATGACCTCGCCCACCTCTTGTGGGTTGTTCTTGACGTACTCACATTTTTTATCCTGCTTGAGCCGAGTCAAGACTGCTCGCTCTTTAGCTACAGCCTGAGCAGGGGTAGGAGGTACCTTGACCTGGATTAAAGGAGTGTTCTGCTGACTTGTTGGTGGAGTAGTGGCTGTGAGAGTCGCTTTGAACGCAGAGGACATAGATATAGCGGGTTTTAGTACTGGAACGTCATTCGAAGTCCCTCCCGGTCCTGATTGCGTTTGGGTGATTATGCGGCTATCGAAGCGAATGGGTCGCGGCTCGGTCCACTTCGACAGATCTGACGGCTCTTCCTGCCAAATGGGACTCTCAGATCGTGCAGCTTTGGTCGGCGGTAATACCCTTTTGCTGGCCGTAGTGACTGCAACATCCTCCGAATCGCTTCCTAGATCGATTACGGTTGGCGACCGAGATTTCCCTTTAGCAACGTCGACCTCTAAGAGCTTCGGCTTTTGAGCTGGCGACGGAGGGCGGATCGACAGGTTCGCAACTCCACTGGTAAGCGCCTGAGGTCTTTGTGGTTGAGCTAACGTGGTGGAATGTCCGTTTGTTACTCTCTTACTTGAACTGCGGTTCGTATCCAGGAACGGATGCTGATATCGAAGCCAGCTACGAGCGTTTGACGGAGTGTAACGTGGAGGACTTAATTGCCCAGAGAATTTGCGAGGGCTGCCTTTGACGCTTTTGGTAACGTGGGTTGAATCGATATTGTTCTCCAGAAGACGCTTGCTTAGGGTCTGGACATTCGGTGCTTCCTTGGGACGTTTGTCTATGGGTGGACTGATAGTACCGGAGCGCTGTCGCTTCGCAGGGTGTTCCTAGCACGATATTAGAAGGAGTGCAGACCGACGAATGAAAGACCAAACTATTACTTCTTCATTGTCAGATGTGAGGTCCACGAAATTATGGACAACCTATTTGAATGAGTCAGTATAAAGTGCCGCCAATAATGGCAGCGAAATGGGCTGCCAATAGAGAGCTGAGTAGAAAGTCAGAGGCGGAGAATAGGGCAACCAGATCACCGCAATAAGCTGGCTTGATGGCCGAGCTTCGCCGCGTGAAGGAACAGCAAAACCAAAGAACATCTCCATCGACGTAAATGGCCTAACAACATTCAGAATGCATTGTTCCTGTGGAAAGTCCGTATGCCGAATATCCTGCTATACTCATATATTGGTGGTGATGAGTTCTAAGTCAGGGAAAACGCGCTTTGCTTACCTGTCGACTAAAGCCTAGAGGTCTTTTCGCTCCTATGCTAGTAGTCATATCCTTCTTAATTCTCTCGACCGTCACAGACCCTTCGCCATGTATACCTCTGTGCATGTCTCTACACGCACATGTTCGCAATTTTGTTATTCTAAGGTTTCACTTATTATAGAATGGTTGTTGTCATTGCACGAGTGGTGTTATAGGTAAAAGGGTAAGATAGCGTAACCTGATTTACTATTTATTTACTTCCTTATCAGCGCCTTCTCAAGCAAGCGCGATGACGTCATCTTCTTTTGAGGAGGGAAAAAGCTAAAGATAGGAAACTTACTAACTTATATAGGTTAGAAATCCTATAATAAGAAGTATTATATAATATTATTCTATCATTTTCATCAGAACGACGCCTACTGATAGTAACAGATAATTAGGTCGATAGTTATAGACCTGTTCTTATGTAGATCTACGTCTATAAAGTAGAGGCTGCTGAAGCGCGGAGCGTAGTACGATCCGATGAAGCAAAAGTCGCAAGTCATTGTTATAGAAGACGATTTCAGTTTCCGACGACATAAATCAAGGATGGATAGACGCGACAGTGTTACGACCATGCACACATTAGTCGGAACAGACCACGTGTTACTAGGGTGTACCATAGATAGCCAGTGCGCGGTGCGCAGGCACATCACCTGCGTACCGCCGACGCTACTGTACTTGGAATTCTTCCAAGTACTGAATCGTATAGATCAGACATGTAACATTACTCAAGACTCGTTCCTACTGGCCGTTATCTGTTGTGGTCCTAATAGACAGGCAATTACATTCTGTCTTAGAAATCTGTAGACTGCAGTAAAGTATACGGGATTTCGACGGACGTGCAGGCACGGCCGGTCAGACATACTTGACTCCTTGAGTCGCGCCTGCATAATCGAATATGTTTTTTCCTTTGATAGCGCGCGACAGGTCAGAACAAAAGCAAACAAACTTGTTCGAAAAGAGCGCCAGCTTATCATATAATTGGTGGACGCGAAGCAGAAAACGCGCTATCTAGGTTATGACGTCAGATACAATGCAAGTAGCCTAACAAGCGTGTCGCATTACTATACTACATACAGTGCTTACCAAACACCAGGACGCTTGCTGCTGATAGAGCTTCTATAAAGGTTCGATTGCGACTTGGTCGATGCTCCAAATATCATAGAGTTTGACGTCGAGCCATTATGAATATGAAAGAAAAATCACAAAGTGCGGAGCTCAATTCTTTCTACTTTCTAGAGCCCACTCCACGCTCTCTTACGCAGCGTCACTCAAAACTCCTGGCTAGCCACACGTACCAATGCAATACAACGAACCACAGGTACCTTTTCCCTCGGATGAGTAAAATTTGGCTGGTCTTCAACACTAGGAATATTGCGTATCTGCTGCGAGTCCAGTTGTCCAATTGTTCACAGCGTAGAGACGTATGGTTATCGCAAGCGTAGTCCCTAGAAATCTCCAGGCTGTCCTTTTCTGCTGGCACACTGCTGTTGGTCGGCTGGACTGGGCCGCCATTCGTGGAAAGCGACTGCGAGACCGTTTCAGTCGAAAGATAAGAAACTTGGAACAACCTCATAAAATGAGTTGTAAGCTCGAAGAGGTTGTAAGAACTCGTGTTGCAGCCGATGTTGTGAAGTCGTGGAGAGGAGTGTGCTAAACGTACTGCTTTGCTGCAAAAGGATGTCTATCGCTTCGATTTGAAAACTCACAGGCAGACACATGCTCTCCGGATTGCAGCCTTGGTCGGTGCAGGCGTGTGACTTCAACTGGCCGCCATCGACCGAGGCCACGCAAGCCAAGCATCCCAGTGTCTGCCGAGATGAGTTCCGATAGCATCTATCAAATATTTGCCAGCATCTCCTACAGCCCAAAATGATCTGCGGTGATGTAGGACAACAGCATAATAGGACAAGATGATAAGGGCTTCTGGTCGCCGAGCTGAAAGCAATTCCGCATATTCCTGTGGCGCTACCACAAGCCAGGCAAATATCATATTTGCAGATTGGCCTACTTCGGGTTCCGGGAGCCCAGCTTCCATGGCGAACAGATGGCCAAGTTCGTCGATGGTTTCGCGATAGATTTTGCGGGAGGCGTCGCTGATATCAGCACCACTGACCAGTCGTTCAAGGTCTTCATTTCGGAAAGTGTTGTCAATGCCTCTCTGATGCTTCGAAGTTGCATCCATGAGAATGACGTCCAGTTCCGAAGACAGCAAGTACGTCCACCAATTGCCAATGACCACACGTACACCTCGGAGAAGGCTCATGCATCCTAGCAAGGCATCTAAGGTATGACTGAAGTCAGCATCGCGGAAGAGGAAAGTGTCACAGAAGACGTGCAAGCCAAGGAGGGACGACATTAAAAAGGCTGCTACTATATTTGATTCGTCCAGCTTCTCCAGGATCGAGTTGTATCCTGCCGCAGCTTCGGATTGTAGTTGGGTGGCATGTTGATGGTAGAAATTCCTCTGTTCCGAGCGGGTAATACTGAGGTGTAGCGCTGAGGTAGATAGGATTTGCTTCATAAGGAAAGGAAAACGGACACCATGGTTTATACAGATTTCGGTATAGGCCTGCGGGACGTTGGCGTTAGCGACGAAGCTTTTGTATAGAGTAGTTGACCACCAGTACATCAGCTCGAGATGGAGCATATTCAGGGAAGTATTGCCATCGTCACGGTGTTCTGATGTGGAAGTATAAGTGCTTACGGGACTCCGTGCCGGCGTCGAGGTTAAGGAAGCAACGGTGTTCTGGGTTGTTTCGGCAGGTGTTTGTGGGAGTGAGGTGTCAACAGGAAGCCCGTCACGTTCGTAAGGGCATCTGAGCTGAGCTGTCTTGCAGTTGATGCATGCAGGTCTTGACTCATCGCACTTTAAGTGCCTCCGCTTGCATTGCTGACAGCCTCGTCTTGACTTCTTATGGCTTCTTCTTGGCGGCATATAGCTGATTTGTGGTTAGTTGGGACGGAGATAACTACGACCCGTATCGCCAGGTGTGTGTCTGATGAGAGCACAGATAGCGGCAGCATCAGGCATTTCATGGAAAACGCAGGCAGTAATGAGTTCTGAGATCCTGGTATCGTTTCAACAATAATCTAAGGGGGGTTGAGTATTCGGAGGAAATCAATTGCGACACATTACACGCCAGGCTTCAGTCAATGGTTCCAGGGCCCTTATCGAAGGAAAAAAGATACCGAAGACAGAACTGGTCCTGCCTGTGAAGGGCTACTTCCTGCGGAAACCGAAGAACGGAGAATCAGCAGAGTCGTTGTTTGAGGTTGTGGGGTCCAGTGGTTTTCTGCCAGGCCGTTCTCAGTTCAAGCCAGGGCGAGGTTGGGCCAATGAGAGCTTCGGTGGCTCTGGACAACCAATAAGGAACACGTCGCAAACAGACCAGTCTACGCCGGCGATCATTAATCGACATCGTCATTATCGACAAGCAGGAGGTTGCTCTTCATGTATATCCTCGCAACTCAAAGACCGATGAAATAGGAATCTATATCGGCCATGATGGTCGACGAGGCCGACGACAACAGGGTTAACCACACTACGCTTCGCTTTCGGGACTTTGTTGGTAGAAACCCGGCCCAGCATTCAATTTCCCAGCTGGACCTAGCGCGCCGTGACCACAACAACAACATGAAATGCTGCTGCGGTAGAGCAGGTTGCGCCTACCTTGAACACAATACCGCTGCTCTGGGCGACCTCGAAAAGGATCTCGAGACTGCTGCGAGACTTGGCCAGGTACGTGTGGCCATGTTTGTATAATGTTTGATTCTCTTTTCGTTCTCCACCAGGGTTGATATTTGTTGTGTGGCTCCAAGTGACACACAAAACGTTGCACGAGCAAAGCAGGATCACGTCAGATATGGACGATGACTGCGCCCATTGCTCGTGCAAAAGCACACAGAGAAGGAGCCAGTATCGCCGAAGTCTCTACGGCACCTCGTGCCTGCCTTTACTTATGGAAGACCGTGTCCAACAGCCTTTACACAAGCACAAACAATCGGATAGCGGACTGACATTCGCATTACAGGCACTGCTCGATCGCCACGAAGCCTATGTCAAAGAGTCGCAGGCTGAACAGGCTCGACTTGCTAACTATGTCCACGACCTCGAGAACGAAAAGGCGAGTCTGCAGAATGAGAACTATAGAGTGCTCAACGAGAACAGAGAGTTGCTGCAGAGACTTGAGGACCTAAATACCGACTTTGGAGAGAGTGGACAACGGGTGCATGACTTGGAACATCTTCTGCAAGACCGTGAGCAAGAGGTGAGGCGACTTAATGGGTTGACACATAAAGCACAAGACCTTGAGGTTAAAGTTTTGGACATGGAGAAAGAACGTGCTGAACTGACCAAAGAGGTCGAAGAGAAACAGCAACAGACGCGCAGTACAATCGTTCGATGGAAGGAGAGCGAACTTAGAATACGTCAGCTCGAGCAAGAGGTACAAAAGATTGAATGGGCTGCAAGACTTGACCGTGAAAGACATGAAGAGCTGGTCGCGCGTATGGAACGAGATCGTGCTCTTGATCGAGAACTTGGCCTTTCAGAGGGCCGCCTGAAAGCTTCAGCAGCTGTTCAAACTATGCAGAAAGGTGGCGTTCAGAAGCAAGTCGTCAGCAATTTTGTGAGGGACATCTTGCATGACAACGCAAACCTGCAGACCAGCGTCGCCGAGTTGAGAGAGCTGCTCCAGACAAGCAACGACGAAGTCCAAGCCCTCCGCGATCAGATTATGCTGCATCAACCCGTCCACGAGGACGAACTAGCAGTGCCTCAACGTGCAATCTCTCTTAGTGATGAAATAGGACTTAGTCAACCATTGCCGCAGAAACAGGTTCAGCAAGAGGTTCACGTTCACCATCACTACCACACCAAGACGGGGGCTAAGAAAGAGAGGACTCCTAGGAAACCATACAGGCGGGCAGGAACGCCTGCAACAAGTCTGCTGTCAAGTCCTTTGATGTCGGGGCGATCCACTCCAGTGCGCGGGTCGCACCGGTACAGTTCCAGCCCCGCTGCATCACTAAGCGTTCGACCGACACGATCCAGAGTCGATCGATGGTCTACACAGTCAACGGCGACAACATCAACGTATCTGTCTAGTATCGCGAGTTCTCCAACATCCTATCATGAAAGAAACGGTTTTATTTTTGACCGACTTGAGCGTGGCGAAGAGAGCTCGAGACCGACAAGTCCTGAATCTTTTAGTATAGCTTCACCACAACCCTTCAAGCGACAAGACAGGCGAATAGATGGGGTTCCTAGTGTTTCAGAAGGAGACGAAAACTTTATCTCTGATGACCAGTTCCCTCCGCTGAATCCTGAGGGATATATGGAGGCAGATGAATGGTGTGATGAGCACGAGGAAGTGATGATGCTCAATACAGAACTGACACCCAAACCTAGTATGGCGCTGAGGCGGCAGAGTCACTCAGAAACAGATGTCTCTGATTCACAGATCCCAGAGCCACCGCCGCCTCCTGATAATGGCCTCGAATCAGTTGAAGAAGACCTTGACATCCATACGTCAAATTCTGTCAACGAACCAGTCAAATCAGAACAACTTGTCAACTCCAATTGTGTTCGTGAGAAGTTGATGTCATCAACAGCAACCAACCCTACCAACATCGAGATCAGGCCATCTATCCGTCGATCAAATTCGCATGATTCCCTGTATTCGATCTCAGGTATGGACATTCATCTCGCTCAACAGTCCTCTCGGACCACGTTAGCTCTTCTGCGTGGCCACGGTGCGAACAAGCATCACTTTGCTCCAACTCCAGCACCAATCAGGCAGGCAGCAGCATCAGCAGCAACACAACCTCTTGCTACTGTTACAGAATACACAGCTACCTCAAGGCCAGGGCTCGAGGCTACAGCTAGCCCTAGCATGCAAGCATTGAGTGGAATCCATTCTCACGCCAACCGCAGTAATGCTGTGCAAACCCAAGGGAAAGGTCTGATCGGTTCTGTTGGTGGATGGGTATCAAGTAAATGGGGCAAGACGCCGACGGCCACGAAATCGGTGGCTGATCTCAGATCTGTCGCTTCTAAATCCGTGGCTACAGCTTCCAGACCTCCTACAGTGCACTCGACCACGTCGCCAGTCATGGCATCAAACAGCGCAGACGTGATACAGTCCAATGCAGGGTCGTCTGCATCTACGGGCAAGCGCAGTGTTAGTGCCACTGCCTTGTCTGTCTCTGCAGCAGTCAAAAGCGCCGACATTCCTTTCCCAGGTTCGATCACAAGTTCTGGTTTCTTTGGACGAGCTCCTGGCATCAACCAGTCGGGTCCAATACCAGGCTTCGCAGCAGTTATAGCTACGAGAAAAGTACCCACTGTGGTCAATCCCTCCACTGTGGACATTACAGGTCTAAAAGAGAGTCTTGCAGAGCAATAGCTTTGGCTTTTTGTATGGTCGATGACTACTACTCGTCAGCGTTGAGATGATTAGATTGAGCGATAGACCAAGACTTGGGCGATTTATGATTGACGATATCACGACGTGATGATCAGGGAAGGAGGAGTGCAGCCGCTCCGTGTATTTCTAGGGTGTTGGTTTGGCATGTGACTAGCTTTCAGCATAGTGAACTGCAGAAATCACTTAATAGAAAGATAGCTAGTTGGATAGACAATAAAGCCACCAGCATGACACTTTGATCCCGAAGTATCGAGAATAGTTGACTAACATTCGTTCCAGTTTGTACCTGTATGCCAAGTTCACCCTGCCAAGCTCAAAAGTCCTCCGCTCAATTTTATTCAACAAGCTGTTCCATCTCTGTATAATCCTCGTACAGTATGGGTTAAAAAAAATAAAAAAAAACTACTACTACCCAGCAACTACGATCACTACCACTTCTACAACCATCGAAATCATTTATGCCTAGCACAGGATGCTAGTATTGCTCCAACTCAATGCCGCGTGATGCCACGTATCGACTGCGTCCCAATGACCGGCAGATGGCCAGCATGCATGTGCAGGCCTCCTTGAAGCCGCAGTGCCGCACCACGGGGCCAAAGAAGCGGCGTAACGGTCTCCTCGTCTGCCACGTGGTCGACTCACAATGCAAGGAAGAGAAGAGCACTGGGTTTGAGTAGCACTGATAGGATGTGTGCACTTCCGAAAGACAGGTAGATAGGTGGACTCGAGTGGACTGATAACATGGTTCAATAGATGATGGCACGTTCACGAAGAATAGACATCATACATACAGACTATGTTCGTCATGCAGAAAAGGTGCAATTGGAATCTTGAAGCATAATATATATGTACTTGGAGCTTCGCTCTTGAGCGGATATGAGCTCGCTCAACCACACTAGGACGTTAGAGAGTTCATCTCGTACTCCTCGTGCCATGCATCAACAGCAGTTTTCGACCGAGATAGCCACCCAAAACACCTTCGCTGTACAAGCTCTAAACAACAAAAAAACATGCCATTGGTATCTCGTACAAACAAAAAGACGACAGTGGTTGAAATGATCTGGATCGTTCTCATCCAGATCATTAGAATCGATGCTCAACACGTAGATCGACAGCCTCTGAGACGCTGTAACACGGGTTTGTTACCTCTGTGATGGAGAAATTTTCTTTCCCTCGTTACCAGTGCTAAGATTGCCATTGCTGTTGGCAATTGTGTTGCTCCTGCCCATGCCTCTTGGCAAGTCCTTGGGCGTCTTCGCCACTGTAGGCGCAGCAGGAACCTCTTTGGATTTCATGATGATCTCGTCGACGTAAGAGCCATATCCATATTTGAACAAGTCTCTTAGCCAACTCCAATCGGTTGTGTTGTCAACCATTCCCTTCAGAACAGTAGCAATATCCTCTTTGCCTTTTTCGGGATCGGCTCCGAGGCCGATAGTCATTGCTGTGGTTCCCAGATGTTTGAATGTTGAATCCTGAGCGACTGTTTTCTTGTAGTGTTCGAGTAGATTCCTGTGCCTCTCCTGGTTACCGAAAGCATTGTCGGGTAGAGATCTGACGAACAATGGAAGAGATGTATACATGGCATTGCCCGAAGTGTTGTTCCTCGGATCTGGTGCGAACCCTCTACCTGTCTGCACTGCTGCACGCACGAACAGAGCTTTCAACAATGTCAGGCTTGGGTCTTCTGCAGGCGTCGTGATAGTGTGTTGAGAAGACGGGATTGAGGAAGCGACTGACCTATGGCTGGAGGATGCTCTGGAAGACTGAGACAGGGCGCTGGTTGGTCTCGATAGCGTATCTTCTTCAGCAACAACCTCGTTGATACTGCCCCAGCGATTTTGAGATTGACGCGCGACCACACGAGTCATTCTCTGAGTAGTGTTCGGCCTTGGGAAGGCGGGGGGTGCCGAGGCGGTGGACTTGGTCGAGATTGCAGACTGCGGAATGCCATTGTTCATTACGGAGATGGTGGGTGGCGGCGGTGCCTCATCGGGCGAGATAGTGGCAGTATCGTCGAAAATTGTAGTTGGAGTCTCCGGGGTGAATTTTAAACTATTCTGATCTTCGATATATCCTGCCTGCTTAGCCAATTGTACTGCTTCGGAGAAAGTCGTCTGGGTAGCGCGTGGTGTTCCTCGATCAGGTCGCACTTGAGTCCAGCCTTCACGAAACAGATCACACAAGTCCCAACAAGCTTGCATAGCATTGCTTAGCAGCTCCTGATCAGGCCTGCGATTCTCCCTCCTGCTTTGCCTGAGAGTAAACAGCATCTCTGCCAGAGTCCAGCATGTTCGTAAAAGTGCATCAGACTCCTGTGCCAGCTTCGACTTCTGCTTCATCAGTCGATGACACAAAGTGACATAGAACTCGAGGGTCCTTTCGCGAAAGGCTTCGGGCAGGGTCCTGTCGTGAGTATTGAAAAGATGGTTGTTCAGCTCGAAGCTTACTCGTAATACTGAGTCCGCAGTATCATCCTTACGTATACGTACGTCGAACAAGGCTTGACATAACTCACGGCAGAGACTTAATGTAGCTTTGGTACCACTGGCTGCATGTATGTCTTTTGCCTCGTACAGATTCTGACAGAGTTTCCAGCAGGTTTTCCATGCCATCTCGTGCATGTTGCCTTTTGAAGAGCGGCCTGTCAAGAACATGCGAACTCGATGGCGATTACTGAGACTCTGCAAAGTATTGCAAAGTGTCCAGCATTCGGCAAGAGCATCCTCCAGGAACTGAGTTTCACTTTCGATCTTGCGGGCTTCCAGTCTTTCGCGGACAGCAGCCTCCAGGTCGTCGGCCGAGGCTTCAGTAGCCGCATCGAGATCTAATCGAGGATCGTCATCACCCTCTCGAATACCTGGTGAACTTTAGTGAAGAGTCGCAGAAGAGGTCTAATGGCATACTCGCTAAGCTTGAGCCCGGACGGCTGAAGGAGAGCTCTTGACGCGTCTGAGCTCGTGGAGTGCTTGCCCAATCTTTTGAGGCAAGACTCGGGGCTTGGAGAGGAGATCCCATAGCTTGCGGGGTGGGTTGCTATATATGATCAGAGTCACGTCTAGAAGAGAGGCTTATGAACCTACGTCGGTATTAAAATCAGCTGACGCTGCTTCTGCTTCTGATTCGGGACGCAGTGTTGACTCGGATGGCGCTGTCGACTCTGTTGTGGTGGAAGCAGCTGTGCTTGGTCGCTCCGGAGGCGGGAGAGGCTCTCCGGCAGGCTCTGTCTTGGACGAATGTGCTGAGGTGGAGCTGGATTGGCTGGCAGATCTATTTGAACGTGGAGCTACATGACTCTGTGACAAGCGCGAGAAGGACCGGGTTCCGTGTCCCTGGTGGAAGCGACTGAAGCCTGAAGGGACGTGAATAACGGATTGAGGAGGTTCGTCTTCTTCGGTGTACGGGTCTGTTATTGGAGTTGTATCTATCTACATGACGGTTAGAGCAGGCGGAGTGAGTTACGTAGGAGCAAGGCATACTTTCAAGCTAGTGGCAGGGCTTCTCAACAGGTTGAGGTTGAGGCTGAGATTGGAGGACGCCACATGAGAGGTCTTGATTGTTTGTGGTAGAGCGCTTTGTGGCTCCTCCTCTCCATCAACGTCGGTAAAGACAGTGCTTGTCTCGGAGGTGGATGGTGAAGGAGCAGTAATATCCGAGGGAGTGACGGCCTCTTCGGACTGAGGCTGGACTGTGAGATGGCGACCACTCATGCCATTCGGAGGAAATCTGGTCTAGTGAGTGCTTGCTTGAAGATGGTGAGGAAAGCAACATACATATCGTTATGCGCGGCACCGTTGCTGGGAGTCATGGCGGAATTTGGCCAGGGCGAGTCCGGGACTGGAGAGAAGCTGCGAGGCAGTAAAGCTTCAGCAGCATATGGAGCCTCGACAGCAGCCATGACTTGCAGACAACAGCTCTGCTATTTCGAGCAGTCGGGGAGCTCTTGCGTCCTCATGCGAGGAGCAATGACATGTCGAAAGTCAGTACTGCTCACGAGGACATGAATAGCAACCAGCAGTCTAAGTCAGTCAATCAAGAAGAGGGCAGACTTCACTAGGGTGGTAGTGCCGCAGGGAGGATAGAGGATGGGATGACAGCGCGTAGGAAAGATTGTTGTGCAGTGGTTGCTGTTTGCAGAGCAGGACCTGTGTCTCGCAAGCGACGGTCGTGTATCTCGAGGCCGGTCAGTCTTGCCGCGTCAATGACCTTGTTGTTGCAGCTGTTGGTGCTCCACCTCTTCAACGTGAGCCGACTGAAGGTTATACAAGGTTGACACGGTGCTCTTCAAGAGTCTTACTAGCCACAGCTATGTACAACTGGAAGCATTGAGTCGAGCTAGGCAGGACGAGTATGCATGCGGCGGGCAGGAGAGGATATGCCGCTACTGTTGGCGAAGCGTGGGCGCTTACAGAATGCTGGCAGGCAGGAAAGCCGGCGCGAGATGCGGCTCAAACTTGTAAACTAGGATCGTGTTAATATTGTGCAGAGATGATGAGCAGGCACGCAGTTTCGTAGAAAAAAGACAGCTTCGGGCAATAAGGCAAGTAAGCAAATGATGGAGCACTGGAAAGAGTGACACAGTTGAAGAATCAGATGAAGACAAGATCCGCAGCAAATGTCCCAGTGGTTCATCCTCTTCGCACCGACACCATGGCACACAACTCGGGACCTTAACTAGCTAGCGGGTTGCTCCCTCGAGCCCGAGTCGTTGGCGCTGCCAGATTGATGCGATCGAACATGAATGGTGGACGCCAACATCAATAACGGCGCGGAGGAAACTTGCACTCTCCACGGCGGCTGGAACGTGCGCGCTATCACCGAATTAGCCAAGCGACTGCACGCCTAATCCAGCTTCAGTTCCGTCTCCTTGGGTACGCGTTATCGTAGATGTGGTGACAAACTGCAGCTGCTTGCAGCTATCACCTCGCTCGTGGTCTGCTATTGGATCGCAAGGGGCGATAGTAGTAAGCTAACTTAGTGATCGATCCAGACCAAGCATTGGACGACTTCTACGCGCCCACGCTTTCTGTCGCTGGGAGTGCATGCGAAGGAGTAGAGAGGTGGAGGACTCTGTTGGCGTACGCACCAAATTCAGCAGCACGCCCAATCACCGACAATTTCTCGATCAGCGACTCCAGATACTCGCGCTCTTGGAAGGCACAGAACACGCTAGCTAGACCAGCAACATCTCTAACCTTGGTAACAAATGTACGCTACGTTTCAGAATTTGAATCATGGTTATTGGTTAACGTATTATCCACTTATCACAACGTGGAATATCTCCTGCATGGTCGTGATCACTCATCAGTGATTACTACTCGAGTACAGTCTTGCTAGAAAGTCGTAGCTTACATTCAACCACATGTTCAATAACCGGTCAGACATTATAGCTTCGTCACGCCCGTCATCACTGGTCAAATTGATACAGTGATCCACCAACGCCATGCTTGAACGCAGTGCCGCCAAAAGATGAGAACTTGACAAACAAGTGGGTTACCGGATGGTCATCTGTTTGGCCAACTGGCCTCCCTTGCCAATTCCTCCTTCTCGCGAAGCCGAGGCACCGACACCCGCTTTTCGTTCAAACACCTTCCAAAACTTGAGGCTCTCATCGGCAGCTAGACAAACTTCGTTAGTCTCTCGAGCACAATATTTCTTGGGAGGTTGAGTACATACCTGCAGTGGCTAGCATCTGTCCGTCTGGGCTCAAGCAGCTGTGCAGCACTCGTGTTTCGTGTGCTGGAATTTCCACGTTTCGGACCAGAGTAGGATAGCTCCAAATGCTGAGGGAGTTGTCAGGAAAGCCGCTTGAGCTGACCAGCTCCCGATAGTGGTTGCTGAACTTCAGGCTGGTTACCTGCGATCCAGTGTCGATGCTGTTGACACGAGCACCAGTGGTCGTGTTCCAGAAATGAATGTGTCGATCGTATGAACCACCTCCAGTAGCGAGAAGATTGAGTTGCCAAGGACACCAGCTAAGTGCCTTGACGGCAGCACGGTGATTCTTCTTGGCAAACTTGGGGGCAGCAAGTGATCGGGCATCCCAGATGGACACGAGGTTGTCGTTGCCTCCAGTGGCAAGTTGGGCCCCGTCAGATCTCCATTCAAGGCCACAGACCTCGGATGTATGAGAAACGAGCTCAGCAACCTTGTGGTTGGCGATTCGGACGTCGTGGTTAAAAACAAGGCCCGATCGGGCACCAGTTGACAACGTGTGCTTGTTCCAGCCCATGACACCAACTCGAGTTTCGTGACCAAACATGCTGCGGAGCTTGGTGCCCTCTTCGACATCCCAGATCTGCACCTCTCCGGAACCTAGACCGACACCAACGTAAGCACCGTCGCCTGACCATTTCACACTGCTGACATATGTGTCGGCAGGAGTCTCAAGTAGCTGGCTGACTGTGCCACTTTCTGCGGTCCAGACGTATACATTGCGCTCTAGTCCGATTGCGACCTGGTTTTGAGAGCTCCAGTCAAGAAGATTGAGGTAGTAGTCATCGACCAGGCCAGGAGCGTCAAGGACACGTTCTGGTGCAGAGGCAATGCGTCGGCGGAACTGAGCTGACTGAGCGCTAGCTTGCTTGAGAGGTCGGTTGTACTGTGTTCGGAGGTCAATAGGCTTTGATGACTCTGGTGGGGCAGGCTTGAAGGCGAGGATGCGTTGGTTCGTTGAAATGCCGCAAGCGGAAGCTAGAGTAGACTCATAAGTCGACGCACTTGACTTTGGTCGGACAGTTGTGCTTTCTTCGTCCTCTAGACCCATATTCTCGAGAGCTGAAGCGATGTCTCCATCTGCGCCGCGAGCAGAGATGCCAAATGCTCCATCGAGCACAGAAGTCTCAGTACCACTGGACTTTGGTCGAGAGTTCTCGTCAAACTTGGCAGAACCAGCGGTAGCAAGGCCTTCACTTGCCGTTCTGTTGGGAATGAACCGATCTCCAGTCTGGTGTGGGAGACGTATTGTGGTCTTTCCTGCTCTTGAGCGGATCGCGCCATCCTTTCGGGCTCGTTCTCGCGAAGGCGTTGTTGTGCTTGGACCAGTACCAACCAGTGTGAAGTCTGATACTCCTAGATCAAGGTGCTTTGGTGGTCTCTTGCTCTTTGCAATGTTCGATTTCGGCGATTGTGCGTAGGCGAACTTCGATACAGATCGTGTGATTGATCGTGAGTAAGCTGTTGAGCCATCGCGCTTGTGTATCGATCGCTCTACGGCAGGTGTGACAGGTGATGAATTGGTTGAGAAGTTTGTCGCCAGGCTGGTTGTTCTTGGTCGAGGCGAAGGTGTCAGAGGCATGCGACCGCCTGCTGTCTTGGTGTTGAAAATGCCATGATGGCTCTTGAGTGGTGTTGATAGCACTGCGGTAGCCATTGTGTGTGATATTGATGGTCGAATGGGCAAACTAATGCTTCGACCGTAGTCCTGTAGTTGTCTCGAAGGTCAGGGAAGACTTCGAGGGGTTAGTATCGTGGTCGATTAAGCAATCAGAACTTGTCGTTGAAGATTCTGTGCTTGGAATCCAGCAATTCAGTGATATCTCAAGATGCTCAACTGAATGGGTCCTGAGAAAAGCTATTGGTTGGTGGTTAGTATTCTTTTCGTTGTGGTCCACTGAAATCGTTGGATTGACTGAATAACCGAGTCCAGTGTTGCAGAGTCAAGGCTTTATAGCAATCGAGGAGCGATCAAAGCTAGCTGGTAATGCGTAGTAAGATCTAATGGATTGTCTAGGCAATGCTCAAGCAAGAATAGTCTTTTGATGTAGAGGGGGTTTTGAGAGAGGAATTGGTTATGAGAAAAAGCAGAGGAAATAGTTCTGTAAAGGAAAGCACGTTCTTATGCCATTGTTGACGAGCTAGTCGTTAACAGGGCAACGTTTCTAGGCCCTCTTCTGCTCGAGGCTGTAAGATAGCCTTGCAGACTCCGCGGGGCAGTAGGACATCTTTTGACGACAACCACCGTGTCACCTCATTGGCCACTCCTGCAGCGTAAGCGCCAGCCGCCTTTACAGGCGCTTTCCTGCTTTTGCGAGGCCTCCTGCGCTTGAAATCCATCAAAATTCTGGGCTTTGTCCGCTTAGGGATTCAAGCATCACTGTTTCGCTTTTCACTTCCAGTCCATACTCTTGGTTGACGATCTTCTGCCATCCAGCCTCACTTTGATACGCGTACAACACATTACGAATACTGCGACTTTCAATACTTCTATTGTCACCTCCTTCTGTTTCTTGGGCTTCAATTTATCACTTCACAGAGTCGACCCACGCGCAATATCCAGCGCTCTCGCTTTTCACAAAAAAGCATGTGTTGAGTTAGCGTAAACAAGCGGCCTCAAGTCCTATACCATGAATTCCCCAGTCACTCCACAACCACAGTTTTTGTCCCATATGTCGGCTACTGCTCTCGCTGCTCAGCCCTCCACTGCAAGTTGGTCAAATGCACCGACCGGACCATTACGATCTGCCACGAACACACCAACTGGATCATACTTGATGCCGACAACTCCCGCCAAGCCTGGCACTCGAGGCGGCGACCGAGAGGCCAAGAAGCCAATGATCAGGAAGTCCACAGGTCAGAAACCAGCATGCTTGGTCAATGCATCGGTGACTTATTGCGGAAATGACCAGATATATGCATTCGGCGGCTTCGACCAGTTTACTGATGAGGTTTACAACCATGTCTTGCGATTAGATCTAAAGTCGCTTAATTGGGCTCTTGTCGACAATTATGGCGACATACCTGGCGTGCGCATGGGTCATTCAGCTTCTCTGTATCAAGGCGACAAGCTTTTAGTCTATGGTGGTGAGAACGAGCATCGAGAGTACTTGTCAGATGTGGTCATCCTGGACCTCAAGACACATCACTGGACTCAGCCTGAGGTGCACGGAGTGGTGCCAAAGGGGCGAGCTCGCCATGCTGCTGTGGTCTACGAGGACAAGCTGTTCATCATAGGAGGCCTGACAGGAGAAACGAATTACATCCTGGACGATATATGCTACCTCGATCTGAAAACATGGACTTGGTCAAAAACTTGGACGTTTGTGCAGCGGTTTGATCATACTGCATGGGTATGGGGTGGTCGGTTATGGGTCTTCGGTGGACTAGGCATGGACATGGAACGCTCGTCCGAAATTTGGTGGCTAGACCTCAAAGGCAGCTCCGCCTCAAGATGTGGGACTGCTACTGGACGGATGGGTCCTCCTCTTGTTGGACAACATGGACGAGCTGACCCTTTCGGCAGCCACCCTAGAACCGAGTCCTACACAGCAAACTCTACAAGTGTGCACATACGTTCGAGAAGAGGTGGACCAACAGCACCTGGCGCTATTTCCACCCTGAGATTTTTGTCGGGTCCTTACGTGCCTATGCAAAATTCAGGGACGCATTTTCACGTCTGCTCTAGTGGAGCGCTTTTGGATTTTGTGTCTCCTGCTGCGACTATTCGTCACAGTGATTGCAATTTGTCGACCCTGGAGCTGGATTCGATGCGATGGCAGAAGCTCGTGGAAGGACCGGAATTGTTTGGTCCAGGGTACAAATGGCATTACTGCACTATGAACGAGGATGGAACAAAAGTCTGGCTACTAGGTTCACCCACAGAAGAAGGAAACAGCAATGCAGGTGGTGAGCAACAACTGAGTGAGGTCCTCTCAATCGACCTCCGGAGATATGGTCTGCTAGGCAACGACAGCACACCATCGTCGGAACAGAATCGCATTCTGGCAGCTGAAAGAATTTCGTCAGCGAGTGTTGGTCTGGGTCAGGACTTGGCTGCCATGTTCGATCAGCCGCCAAGTACAGGTAGTATGGTCGACTTTGAGATTACTGCTGAAACAGATGGATCGCTGTTGGACGACGATGAATCTGACATGGGGTCACTTACTCCTGTGGCAGGTTCTTCCGGACTTGGCACGCCTGTTGCCCGACCCAGCTACAGCTCGAGCAGCAACATCCCACCACCAATCCATGTCCACAAATTTATTCTGCAAGCTCGATGGCCACACTTCAAGCGACTACTGAGCTCAAAAATGCTTGAATATCAAACGAACAAGCTCCACATTCCAGAGCCATACTCCGTGGTGCGGGCATTCCTCTACTATCTGTATACCGATGACATCTCGTCAAATACGGCCTATTGTCGCGATCTGGGAGACGTCGCTGGTATGCTAGTTCTAGCAAACCTGTACGATATGCCGAAATTGAGACTTTTATGTGTCAATCGTCTATCCCGCGAGATTGACACCGAGCATGCCGCTGTTATCTGGGAGCGCGCAGGTCGTACCGAAGAAGAGTGGTTGAAGAACCGAGCTGCCAGATTTTGCATGATGAACTGGGGCCGTGTCGTCCGTACTGATGGTTTTAGAAGTCTCAGTCGCACGTCGCTTATGGAGCTCTGCGAGGTAGTCGATACCGAAGGAAGAGTTGTGGGTGGCGAAGAACTCGACGATGGCTTCAACATCTCAGCAGGATATCCTGGTGCGAACACCAGTGGTCGTCGCCGACATCGAGATAGTACCACGGAGACGGAAGACGGAGTTGACGACGATGATGTCGATATGAATTAGGATTAATATGAGCCACGAAGAGCATAGCTATGGAGTTAGAGGATACGTGGGAAGGCGCATCCGTTATGAAGTGCTAGGGAACATGGTCGAGCTGCAGAATTATGGCGTATCGTACTCTGAATTTATGATGGCAAGGAAATACCTCGTTTCAGGTCGGGGAAATGTCTATGGCGCCGAAAATACTGTATCTATTTTAGCATGGGGCTCAATTGTATAGACTCAAAGTCTTCGAATTCGCATCAACACAATAGGAAACGCTTGCTCGTGGAAGAAGCCTTTCTGCTCCATCACACTCGAGCAGCGCAAATCTACATTCTCAATTGATAAGCCTCGCTCTTCGCACGCTTTTCGAAAAATGCTCAATGTCCTTCCGTTCCTTACAGTTGCCGAGATCAAAGCCTCCAGCCCTGTGTCGGCGAACATATCGAAAATCAAAATCTTGAGTAATTGAGCGAGCACAGGGACCACGTCAGGACTATATGTTATGTCCGCTCCTAGGATCAGGTTGTAGTCCGGAAGTCCATCATCGGTCGCCAGGTTGTCTTCGAGGTCGTCGACGTCGCCCCAGTCAAGGACTTTGGACACAAGATTGGAACGCTCACTATTAGCATTCACTAGCAGATGCCGGTTGCGATAGGTATTCTTCTCCAGGCTCTCGACTACATGAGGCAGACCGTCCGTTCCTAGCACGAAGTCTGCACGCAACGGTCCAGCACAGATGATGCTCACCAAGCCCGTCCCAGCGCCAAGCTCGATGATCTTCTTGCCATGCACCAGGTCCGGGTTCGAGTGAAGGTACTGCGCGAGATGTAAGCTGGCCTCCCACGTTCTAAATCCGACATTTGAGCCTGCCGCAAGGAGATTTGGTGCTTCCTCGATGAGGATGCGAGGAGGTGGTGGAGATGCATCAAGTGGTTCTGGAAGTGTATAGGTGATGATTTGAGTTTGATATGCTTGGTCTGATGGGTCGCCTTGCGGAAGGCTAGATAAGTAGCCCATATGCTCCATTAGTTGGTCGGAGACGGCCTGGAAGAGGTCAGTAGCACAATGAGCAACGCAGAAGACGAAACACAAGCCACGCCACGCAGCAAACAAGCAGTCTTTCTTACATCTTCTTCGGGGTCGAGAATGGCGCGCTCAATGAGCGAAATGATTTGTTTGAGGACTTTTCGCTGATATGCAGGTGGGCCTTTTAGAGGGCCATCAAAGAAGTGCTTGTATAGCTGATGTTGTATGTCAGCCTCTAGCAGCAGCTTCGACGGCGGATATGTCAAGTTCGAAATCTGTTGCATGTACTGGCGGTGAAATCTTATTAGCAGAGTGTCCATGGCTGGCAGTAAGTTATGTGCTAGCCAGACGTGAGGATTGAGCTGGCTCATCCCCCATGCAAGAATAGACGGGAGTCTTTATTGCATCGACGTAGGTGCGGAGCAAGGTGCTAAATCTGCTTGTAAGCACGTCAACGGAGCAGTTCGTGGTTTTTGATGCCTTCAAACCGTGACTGTGGTATAGAGCTCGGTTTATCAGAAGTGCAGAAAAGCTGTCATGTCTGGCTTAATTTGTTGAAGCCTCGTTCCTAAGGCTGCCATAGGGTAACAGCGACTCGCGTTCACGTGAGCATAAGCAATCTTGGCGTGCGATCACCACTTTGGCAAATTAGCCGACAAAATGCTTGCCAAGCCACTCACGTTTGTGCGGGTTTTGACCATTTGAACGTCGACGCCGAGTACCTCGAACCACATCTACAATAGCAATCATGGCCACTCCATCGAGCGCTGACCAGCCGGTCACCATTCGAACACGAAAGTTCATCACAAACAGACTCCTGTCGCGAAAGCAGATGGTCCTGTAAGTTGAGATTGAGCTGCAACCACGACAGGCCCAAGTACTGACCGCAACCAGTGATGTCCTACACCCAAACCGCGCCAATGTCTCCAAGAACGACCTTCGAGCCAAACTCGCCGAAGTCTACAAGTCCAACGCCGATCAGATCAATGTCTTTGGTATGCGAACACAATACGGTGGTGGCAAGACTACAGGTTTTGCTCTGATCTACGACTCAGTTGAAGCCATGAAGAAATTCGAGCCACGACACCGACTGGTCAGAGTGGGACATGCAACCAAGATCGAGAAGGCTTCCAGGCAACAGAGAAAACAGAGGAAGAATAGGAGCAAGAAGTTCAGAGGCACTGAGAAGACAAAGGGTGCTGCTAAGAAGGACAAGAAATAGAGGTGACGCCTATCTTGTCTGCTATTTTTGCGATGTGGAATGGGGAGGTCTGATGCTCGTTCGTGGTCCGACCCGCAACAAGAACAATGGCTCATGGTCATTGGGACGAGGAGATTGTGTGGTTGATGATTGCAAGATAACTGAGTCATGCTCGACTGCAGAGGGTTGAGCTGAACGGAGCAATTCAAATGCGACCGAGATCGTGATCTACTTGCAGGCATATCTTAGTGATGAACCACTTGACAAGAGCATGTACAACGCAAATGCATAAATCCTTCAGAACCACGCACATTCGATCGCAATGCAAGCTTGACATGATCAGCGCACTGACAAAAGACAGTTGAAATCGGTCGAGGTATACGGAGCCTTCAATTGCACGTCCCAATGTTTCGAGATGATTGCTAATGCTACATGAATTTCACACAGACCTTTTTATGCCTGCACACTATTGGCCATACTCAGCCAAATCTGTCAACAACTGTGACCAGCATTTTCCAAGACCCCTGCCCATCGCGTCCCCTATGAAGGACAAAAGCCACAATATTCGTAAGCTATCAATAACGCAATACTACTTTTCGTCTCATATTGTACAAATCCGTGAGACAATCTCTCAAAAGCAGGTGATACCGATTGAGCCATTCCCATAACTATAACACTTTTTGACCACATACCAAATCCTTAAGACGTGGTGCTGTGGTGTGAGCAACTCTGTTGAGCACAACACCGAATATCATTACTCCGATTGTTAGGGGAGTAGGTATTAGCAGAAGACCCGAAAGCTGGTTTATCTGCAATGTAATGATACAAGAGCAGATGCTGTTTGGTGCAGGCATTAGTATGGTGTCATACTTATCAGTGAACTTGTTGAGCCTTGGTGCTCCGAAAATTGGTCGGGTTCAGCAGCTTGCTGGCCAACCAATGAGCTGTTTCTGGAGCCAGAAGTCTGCGGCACATTCCAGCTTGTCGCGAAGCCACTGGTCATCAGCCTTGACGGGAGCATCGTATGTGAGCGTCGTGAGGCTCTGCTGCTACCGCTGCTGTACCCGTACAGTGTACTGACTGGTGATGTTGTCCGCAAACTGTCTCTTGAAGCACGAGTATGGAGAGCAAGGCCGGGCGGCTCAGTGGACGATAGTTCTATGTTGAGAGAAGATATGCTTCGCAGGCGTGGTTGTTCGTCATCGTTGCTGTCCGTAGCGATTGGAAGCGCTGATGCAGGTATGCTGACATGTTGGCTGGTCGGTCCATCTGAATACGGATAAATTGCCGTTTGCTCCTCGCAAGTCGTCAACTGCCCGACAGAAAGGTCTTGACTTCCACCACAACTCGTTCTGCTTGAAGCATTGCTGATATGCGATGCAGTATCTGTATTCCAAGTATGAGATGAGCGATGGCTAACCGCACTTAATGGTGGTGTATCGCGTTCTTGAGATGGAATCGGTGGTAATGCTGTGGCAACGATAGGAGTGTGGGCGCGCCCCAAGGACAGTATGCGCTCGTTGCTCAATTGATGCTGTCCAACATGGGTACCAAACATTGAATAAGACTTGGTACTGTCGGCTGGTGTGAGGGGATAAACAGGTGACATTTGCGTATTCTGCTGCGATACTGATGCACTGTGTAGCTGGTCTAGCCACATCGAACTTTGTGATGTTCGAGGCATTGCACTCATATAGCTTACGTTCGATCTAGTTGCGTGCTCGTGATCTGGAAGCATATATGATGGCGGTTGTGTCACAAAGGACGCTCCGTTATCTGATTCATACAACGAATACGCTGATGCATGATTGCTGGGATTCCAAGGTAGAGTGTTCGTCGCGTGCATCCCAGAATAATCCACGCCATTAGACCAGGTCGAATACGGAAATGGTGTTGATTGGATATAAGTATTTGCTTGCTGGACTGCTGGGATACTACGGCCTCTTGAGTACGGATGATAGTGCTGGCTGTGCCAGCTGCGACCAGTGCTTATTGTGGGATGACAGTCCAGCAGTGACGAGCGTACCTGACATGTTAGTATCAGGCGATGAGCAAGATGATATGACTAACCCTCAGAAACTGACAACCATCCCATCCCGCACCTTTGCAATTATCGCAGCTGGTGCCGTCGCCCTGGTCGCCACTGCATTTTATCTTACGCTTTCGACATCTATCACACTATATCAATATCAGCTGTCTTGGTCAAATTCCTGAGAGACAACAAAACTAACGGCCACGGGCACACGTTTGCGATGTGATACAGACGCTTTTGCTTCAAGATCAAGCTCCGGGGTGTCCCTCTTGCTGGAGTACTGTGAAGAATAAGTGTCTGGAATGAGTTGCTCATGAAGCATTGGAAGCATTGCTTGGCCTGATCGACGATAGAGCGCATCGTATGGCCGGCCTGCTGTAAGCTGAATATTTCACTTAGCATTCGAACCACTTGTCAAGCGGAGGACATACCATATTCGATATTCGAGACGAACGGGAGGTCGAGAAGGAGCTGATGATGACCAATGACGGATTGTACCTGGTCAGGTCTCGGAATATATTCAGTGACTATCACTTAATGATTGGGATGACCTAGGAGCTAGAAGCCGTCTGCAGATCGACTTCGCTGCCAAGTGTACGTCCGGGTCAGGAGCATCAGAAACGGAAGGGAAAAGACAGGGGTATGAGAAGGTATAGTTAAGAACCTGGCCCTGTCAGGAACTCAACACGTTTGCTCACTGGCCCAACCCACATCGTCATGAGCTCGATATGTGTCATGCTGATTAAAGTCCGAGGTGCTCAAATGAACACCGAAATGGTCAAGGCAATGTCAGAGAAGCTGATGGGTGGCGTCACTGAAACTTGGTCGTGAGATTTTGTCTTTGTTGCGCAAAGTAGGCATCCGTGTTGCACATGAACGCTACGACAACCTGATGCTTCTGCATTAGCAACGCCCTGGCAGTCTCAGGTTCTTGCATAAGTCGTCCATCGCTCTTCCCCGTCTGCAGTCGAATACGACCTCGCTCATGGAAGCCCACATGCTCTCCAACTTGTTTTGTGCTGTACTTGACCTCGATAGCTGCCTTCAAAGGTCAATGCAGTTACGCAGTCGAGGGCATGCTGCACACAATTTGTTTCAGGTGGAGAAAAAGTGACATGTCCCAGGCAAAAAGGACAGAGAGAGGGTGGATATGTTTTGATTGCTCTGCCCCAATCGTGTGTGGGTGGAGAAATATTGAGAATACTAATCCCAGGCAAGAATTTGTTTGCTGTCTGCCAGGAAGGCTTGTGGTCGATCTCAAACACAGGACTTGCTGCAGACCATCATGCAGCAAACACCCACACAACGTGGCTAGCTGGTAATTCGACAATCTTGTGCAAAATATCCCGAATCTGGCTCCATTATCAAGCCAGCCAGGAAGAAGATCGAGCAAGCCCTCTTCACTGACGTCGCACGACGTTCTTTGTATGTTGTCGCATCACCCTGATCAATGGTTTCTCAGGCACTCGTTCCTGACATCTGAGTGACGATCTCACGTGGCACCTGACTTTGATCAAACAAGCAGCGGAGGATCTCTTGCATCAGACTTGCTCCTGAAGTTGAATCAGAGCAATTGCACGTGTGGTAACAGGGATAACTAGGTAGAGAATGTACAAAGAGCTGTCATGCCTAGTCCAGATGATGGGCTGCATTCGCTAGAATCTGTTGCGAAGGTCTGTAGCGACGGCCCGCGTTCTGTTACACATGTGGCAGTGGTCTGTTCGTAGCTAGTGACAATTAGTAGCGCCCATTGAAAACTGTATTGACAAATCAACTAACAAGGTGTGCAGCTGTTGTAACACAAAGAATTCGCACCAGGTCAAATGTGATCTAGCACGTCTAGAAATTCTCCCAGACACTTGTGACACACTGCACCATCTCAAAGTGCACCAAATTTCTTCAACATTGCTGTCCTTGGAATCGACTAGAAGGACCAAGCTGATTCGTAGATTTTACGCTGGGCCTCAGTTTCTGCATCTTCGGAGAACAATTTGATTCCATCCCAGATCTGCCGATCTTTCTGTGAGCTTTGAGAGAATCAGCAATTCTGGTGAAAAACGTACGATTCAAACTCCGCAGAAGTCACACTAGCTCAGCACATGAGTACAAAGCACCCATGTCAGTCTGTACGTGGACATGTATCTTCAGGTCGTCTAGCGCTATCGAAGCTCCTCGGGTCAGTCGATGGCTGTGCTCAGTTCGGGGGATTTCAGTGTATCGTGCATCGAGTTGATGTGCAACTATCGTGTTAGACATTCGTTGTGAGACTTTCAGCAATACCATTTTGGAAGCGGTCCTCGACAGGCCCTTGCCCCTGAGAGCCCCAGTTCTGTCACCTGATTCGCTAATCATGCATATTTTCCAGCATGCTTTCACTGTCCCAGTTTCAGGCGGAGGTATGACAAGCTCTTGTACGACCTATGGAAGCTTCGTTGAGGCAGTCTTCACTCGTTATGCAAGTGGGACACCGAAGTTCAACATTAAATCACAGCGAGCAATCCGAACCTGGGTTGCAGCCTCAAGCAGAGACTATATGGCTCCTGGTCCAGATCTTGATCAGTTTGTACATTCATGAGCTGCCCATAAGCTATGATGAAATCACAGCTGGAAGAGAGGTTGAGGGTGTGCTGAACTACTGGGTACAGCCTATATCTGTGGCCAAGTACTATACTTCCTGTAAATAGCTGCATGCACAACGTCAGGCATACCAAGCCTTAGACGAGTCATGTTATCAGGAACGAGGCCTGAAAGAATCCACTATCTTTGGGCTGTCGATGCAGGGCTTTCAATATTAGATGCCACGATATCGAGGCATACTTGTACATTTGCGTATTCCGGTGCGAGTGTAGCCATTGGTCGGTTGTTTTGAGAGCAGAGCCGCAAACATATCAGGAAGTGATTGGAAGTTTCAGTCCAGTAAAGAGGTAGCACGCCGCCTTTTCATATTTCATCTCCTTCAGTAAGGTTAAATGCCGATTGGCAATGCTTAGGACATTCTCAAATCATCTCGTTAGTCTAGAAAAGCCCATATTGAACTCGAAGCGGGTGTTTCGATCCTGTTAGGTGCATCTTGTGTTCTTTTGCAATATGGAGTGGAAGGAGCAAGCCCATAAAAGTACTTGATGCATCTGGAAAGTGTAGCGAAGTCACTACTTGTCGCGGTTTGTCTCCAATGAATGTCGCGCATAGCAATCGAAAGTCATCTAAACGGTACTTATGGCTTTGAATCTCTGATTTCACAGCACATCGCAGTGACCAGCAAAGGGTTGCTCATGCTGAGAGAAGGGCTACTACCTGCGATCGTTATTTCCCGTCGCTGCATAGTCCCCTACCACTCATCAGGAAGTCGGGCACTCTATTGAGGTCTGGAACAGCAGCTTCAAGATGAGCGTGCTTCTAGAGACATCACTAGGAGATTTGACCATAGATCTACTGCTTGACAACGCACCGAAGGCTTGCGAAAACTTCCTTAAGTTATGCAAGGTCAAGTATTACAATTTTTCCCCTGTGCATAGCGTTCAGAAGAACTTTTCCTTTCAAACTGGCGATCCCCTTGGCCCAGACTCACCAGAAAGTGACGGCGGCAGCTCCATATGGGGTGTATTGCAAGGAGGTTCCAAAAGAACTTTCCCAGTCAAAATAGACCCCAAGATCAAACATGTCGAGCGCGGCACTGTCAGTATGGCAACAGTAGCCTCGGACCGAGATCCAGATGAACGACTTGTAGGCAGCCAGTTCCTTATCACACTGAACGATCATATTGACTACCTCGACGGTAAAGCTTTAATCTTTGGCAAAGTAGTTGAAGGCTTCGACACGTTGGAAACGATCAACGAAGCATTTACAGACACCAAAGGGCGACCGCTGAAAGATATCCGCATCAAGCATACAATTGTACTAGATGACCCGTACGATGACCCTCCTGGACTCGTCGAGCCGGAACACAGCCCACCTCCAACCAAGGCACAACTAGCCACGGTCATGATTGCGGACGACGAGGATTTAGATAATCAAATGAATGAGGAAGCATTAGAGAAGCTAAGGCGCGAAAGGGAGGCAAGGGCTCAAGCCTTGACACTGGAAATGGTAGGTGACCTTCCGTTTGCCGAAGTCAAGCCACCCGAGAACGTGCTTTTCGTATGCAAGCTCAATCCTGTAACACATGACGAAGATCTAGAGCTTATATTCTCAAGGTTCGGCAAAATCCTATCTTGCGAAATCATCAGAGACAAACGCACTGGAGACAGCCTGCAGTATGCCTTCGTTGAGTTTGAGAACCAGAAGGATTGCGAACAAGCTTATTTCAAGATGCAAGGCGTGTTGATAGACGACCATCGAATACACGTCGACTTCTCCCAGAGTGTGTCAAAATTATCTGATACATGGCGAAACGCGACCAACGCCAAAAGAAAGACGCAGGGGGGCGGGTTCGGTGGGATTGACAATTTACAGCGCAAGCGTCATTACCGAGGGGAGGAAGAAAGAAGTGCCAACAAAGACTACCGGATGGTGTTCGACAAGGGGGATATCAGACGGTCGGAACAGATATCTAGAGCACGATCTCGGAGTCGTTCTCCAAAGCACGAGGAATATCGCAACAACTACCGTGATCGACCTCAGCACGATGGCCGTCGAAGACAAAACACCCACCATCCCAGTTCGAGAGAAGACAGAAATCGTGACAGACGTCGGTGACGCGAAACAGTGGCTGTAACAATGGGCGTCGTGTGAGGGTAATATTACTTGAAGCAGCAATACAATTTGTGGTTCAAAACAATTTCTTTCTCCTCGACGTACAACTTGAGAGGCTGCTTCGTGCAACCTGATGTACTCATCGATCAGAGACATGATTAGATGCGCTTGACTGGTGCAGTGTGATCGCTATGTTTTCATATTTTAGTTCTATCATACTAGTACTCATTGCGAAACCAATATTCACAGTGCTCGATTTGAAGTACTCGTGCTATACTTTGACACACCGTTGGTTACTGGGACCGCATGCCCATAAACTTAGCCACCCGAAGCTGAACGTCATCGAATCAGAACTGGCGGGGCATGCTTGTGCACTCTTTGTTTGAGTCAGTGCTTACGCTCCCCTGCACGTCAGTTACAGATCCAACAACACATCTCCCATGAGGTTGTCCAATGTTTCTTCCCAATTTTCTAGTGTAAGAAACAGCCATCATTTGCTTTTCATTGCCCTCGGTAACAATGGCAGGTCTGGTGAACAACCTGCTCGAGAAGTTGAATCTCTCGGGCAGCCAGCAGGCTCCTGTGCAAGCTCCTAATCAGGACGATGTGACGAAACTCCGTGAGAAGTACCAGAAGGCTGGTCAGGATCATGTCTTCAAGTTCTACGACGAGCTTGACGTGGAAGGCAAGGCGAAGCTTTACGACCAGCTGGAAGGCTTTGACCCAAATCGAATCAATGTGCTTGCCGACAAAGCATTGCACCCCGCGGACGAGGACAACGACAAGACACCTAATATCGAGCCCCTGCCCGTCGAAGCATCTGAATCTTTGCTAGAGGCAGAGCCCACCAAGATCGAAGAGTACTACACATCGGGTCTTGCCCTGATTGCAGAGAACAAAGTCGGGGTCGTTCTTATGGCTGGTGGTCAAGGCACACGGCTAGGTAGTTCAGATCCGAAAGGCTGCTTTGATATTGGCTTGCCCAGCCACAAGTCTCTCTTCCAAATGCAGGGCGAACGCATAGCCAAAGTCCAACAATTGGCTCAGAAACAGTCTGGCAAGGACACCACTCCTACCGTACCCTGGTATGTCATGACCAGTGGCCCTACACGTGCGCCGACAGAAAAGTTCTTCAAAGAACACAACTACTTTGGTCTTTCCCAGGAGAACGTGCTTGTGTTTGAGCAAGGTGTTCTACCTTGCATCTCTAACGAGGGCAAAATCCTGATGGAGAGCAAGGGCAAAGTCGCTGTTGCACCTGATGGAAACGGTGGTATCTACAATGCGATGATCACCTCAGAAGTACGCTCAGACATGCGGAAACGTGGCATCGAGCACATTCATGCTTACTGTGTTGATAATTGCCTGGTCAAGGTTGCGGATCCCGTGTTCCTTGGCTTCGCGGCATCAAAAGATGTGGACATTGCCACCAAAGTTGTACGAAAGCGTGCAGCCAACGAGTCGGTCGGGCTTATTGTGCAAAAAGACGGGAAGCCTGATGTGGTCGAATATTCCGAGATCAGTAAGGAGATGGCGGAAGCTACAGACTCGCAAAATCGGCTGAAGTTCAGGGCTGCCAATATCGTCAACCACTACTACTCGTTCAGATTCTTAGAGACGATCGAGGACTGGATGAATACCCTGCCTCACCATGTGGCGAAGAAAAAGATTCCATACCTCGATACGGAGACTGGCGAAAGCAAAAAGCCGGAGAAGGCAAACGGCATCAAACTCGAGCAATTTGTGTTCGATGTTTTCCCCTTCCTCCCCATGGAGAAATTCGCTTGCCTTGAAGTCGAGCGGAAGAGCGAGTTTTCTCCACTGAAGAATGCTCGAGGCACTGGTGAGGACGACCCAGACACAAGCAAGAAAGACATCATGACTCAGGGTGCAGAGTGGTTGCAAGCTGCAGGTGCCACTGTTGTTAGCCAAGGAGAAAACACTGGAGTTGAGGTATCTCCTCTGGTCAGCTACGGTGGTGAGGGACTGCAGTATCTCAAAGGCCGCAGCATCAGTGCACCTGCCGTCATCGAGAAGAGCAACGACTAGACATCTGATACCATATGCCCATCGTGATAGCTCCTTGACTGGTGCGTTTGTAAGTTTGCTTGGATGGTGCACGGACTCTATACAGGCACGAAAGATAGAGGTAGCATATCATTGCTGTTTTCATAGACTGCAAAGCACGGTATTTATCGTTCCTTCAAATTGTGTAGCTTTGATTTACTGCTACTATTGCGTGCTCTCAGGGGAGCTAGCCTGTGGAGAAATACAAAGTGTGTTAAAGGGTGTGTTTCACTCGCACCAGAACGCTGCAGGCCCCTGACCAATACAAGGTTTCGGTAATTGTCGACTTCGCGCATCACGTGTCGGGCCACGAAAGAGGTCTCGAATTCCCTGCGCAAAAACTGTGTGAAGTCTGTATCCTACTGTATGTACTCGGGAGCAACATTTCGGAAAGAGTAGCGCGAAGGAAGGACGTGAAGGAAGAGGTCGCGAAGGTTGTTCAGGTACTGTGAGCCCCATGAAACCCTTCACCTGGCGCATTTTCCCAGAACCAACTTCTTCTCCCTTTTAGTGACAACTGGCTGACTATTGCTCTTAATTAGGGAGAAGAAGCAGTCGCAGAGTATGTTCTACCTTTCTCACACCTCAGACATGACAGATATCCAACCATTCGATCTTGAGCGACAACATCCATAATGCCTCGACTAACTTCGCACATTGTGGTATGCGCCTCGACATGGCTGACCAGTGTATAGCAGGCCATCCTCCTCGGACACCATGTCTTCTATCGCGCGTCGAGCCTGCTACAAGTGCGGCAACGTCGGTCACTACGCAGAAGTGTGTACTTCCTCCGAAAGGTTGTGCTACAACTGTAAACAACCTGGTCACGAGTCCAACCAGTGCACCCTTCCTAGGACGACTGAAAGTGAGTGAAAACAGGCAAAGAGCAGGAAAGGCGCTGATGTCTTTCAGCAAAGCAATGCTACCACTGTCAAGGTTTAGGTCATGTCCAAGCTGACTGCCCGACCTTGCGCATTAATGGTGCGCAAGGTGGACGCTGCTACAGCTGTGGCCAGGTCGGTCATTTGGCTCGCAATTGCCCAACGCCAGGTATGAACGCGGGCGCGGGCGCAGGCACTCCTGCTCCTGCCCCTGCCCCAAGAGGCCGTGGTGGCTTCAGGGGTGGGTATTATGGTGTACAGAACAACCGAGCCGCTACCTGCTACAAATGTGGTGGTCCAAACCATTATGCTCGTGATTGTCAGGCGCAAGCTATGAAATGTTATGCTTGTGGCAAGCTGGTAAATCACTTCATGAGTTATTATTCGACCTATCTAACATGCGCAGGGCCATATCTCTCGTGATTGTACTGCACCTAACGGAGGGTCAGTGAACGCTGCAGGTTCAAAGACCTGCTACAAGTGCGGTCAACCCGGCCATATCTCTAGGGATTGCACCGCCGCCACCGTTGATGCGCCAGGTAAGCATGCTTCTCTTCGAACATTGAAGTTGGAGACTGACTTTCAATAGCTACTACTACACCTTCGGCTGTTCCAGGCGACGTCAATGGTGCAGCAGTCGTCGCTACACCATCTGCGGCATGAGCAGGTTTGTAACGCTGACCACAAGCCGCGACCTCATATGTCTTCCTTCACGACTCGAGTGTACGCGCTACAACTAGCCGTCGAACCTATTCTTCTGACGTGCTACTTTAACGTCAATATCGTTGTCAACTTCCATTGTTCATTTTGGAATAATACTGGCGTGGCTGTCCCCCAGCTTTGACGCCCTTGGAATGTCTTCCTTATGTCCTTGACGAACTCAACGCGACCAAACTTTTCACGATTGGCATGATTGGAGTACCCAAAAGTTCTATTCTTTACCACTACGCATTGGTATAAGCCAATAATTCCGAAATTGATATCCCGCTGCTCGAAACTGAGGCTCGAATTCTTCCGTGGCTGCAACCTGAGACGAACAACAGCAGGTATGGCGATCGAAAACGGCGGACCGGAAATATTACAGAAGATCGATGGAGCAAGACGACTTTATGAGAAGGACGAACGTATCTGGCTTTTTTACGAGGACGAGAGTGCAGCTTCAAGATTCGAGACTTGAATGGGCAAGGTGTGTTTATTAGCAAGTATAAAGTCAGACAAGACCTCGAAAGTTGATGAAGCTGTTTACGTGTCGGTGAGGGCTGTCGTAGTATCAATTTTACCAACAATATACTATGGCAGTAGAAGACCTGTGTATTTTATTCCGTTCATGATCGCTCCCAGTTGCGCACAAACGCTAAGCAGGTGGATTCAGGTCCAATCCCTGAACGCTGAGATTGAATTGGTCTAGCCGAGAATAATGACCTGCAGCATCAAAGTCGAGCTTTCCTCTTACACAATCTTCGAAGTCCACTTCAGCGATGATGAGTTCTGAGGAGCTCTCCCAGGTTGGTTCTCGAACGTAGTTGCCTAGGGGCGACACAATGCAACTTCCGCCGCGTGAAACGTATTCATCTGGTTCATCAGCAGACACGGCCGAGCCTCCGTTGACCTGCTCCTCACCTGCACTGAGTGGTAAAGCGATTTCATTGTTCTCTTTTGTTGGCACACTTTTCCTCCTGGTATCCGAACGATTTGATACTGATGCAGAACCATTAACTGCCGCTCTGCCTGTAATCCAGGTAGGTAACTGCGATCTCTTCTGGCACTGATTAGCACTCATTACAAAGCACCTTCCCTCCATTCCAATAGTCCTCATCAACGAACCCCAGCTCTCTCGTGGATCTGCAGTCGGGGCCAGCCAAAGATTCACGTTTTGGGCATACAGACTGTAACGCAGTAATGGCATTAAGTTTTCCCAGCAGATCGCAGCTGCCATAACGACTTTGACACCTTTGATCGTGGCAGTCACAGCTCTCAATGTACCCGCTTTGCCTTGGCTCCATACCAATCTCTCACTCCCAGTCGGCATCAGCTTTCGTCTCTTTCCTATCACACCTCTCTTCGGACATACATATAGAGCGGCGCAGAAGAGGCTACCACCAGCTTTCTCTACAACTCCAGTCACTATAAACACACCAGTATCGCGTGCGACATCTTCCAGGAATTCTCTTGTGCCGTCACCTCGTCGTCCAGTCTCTTGATTGATGGCCAACCTCTTCTGTAACCAGTCGTCTTCAGCTCCTCCTGGTGTGTCTCCAAGATCTACCGCGCTCTTGAAGTATTGCAAGAACTGTTCGCGTCCTTCATCCGATCGACTACCGATAGCTGCGCCAAAGGAGCATGTCCGCGGATAGCCACCCAAGTATGCCTCGGGGAAGAGAAGAATATCAACACCTTTGTCAGCCGCTGTGCGAGCAGTCTGTTGTAATTGATGCAACGTTTCGGTAAGAGTATTCAAGGTGTACGACTGACACACCGCTAATGTAAGTGATTCAGGCATCGTCTAGGTGAGCTTCGACCACTGACACGACTTGTGAAATCGGGCACGAGGCTTTTGTAACATGGTACCTGTCTTCACAGCTCTGGGAGCTTCACGCTCAGTATTTTGGAGAAGCTCGGTGGATGCGCCTCGGCACAAACTGCGGACTTTCGAGCCAACAGCTGTCCAATCGCAATACGGGAACGCGCTATCGACGCGTGGTACTATACAGGCACTCGATTTTCAAGAAGCTGGTATAATCTACAGCATTCTTGAATTATCTATTTGACCATGTTCAGACAGTCGAGACGACGATCCTTGTTCAAAGCACTGGAAATGCTAAACACTATGTGAGTGGCAATTCTGCTACTGCGTTCAAAGAACGTATCCGATTGGTAAAGGTGCTACTGCCGACGTATCGTACCGAGATTGTGAACTTAATCCTTGAACGTGTTCCGAGAGGTTCGCCTTTCCGAGAGACAATAGCCAAATTGGAAGGAAGAGAGGAATTTAGTAGAAGTTGAGGACAAATGATAATTAGTCCAGGTAATGGCAACAGTCTTCACTTGATACGGCTGATACTCTCTTGGCCTCATTATCGATCACGACAACAAGGTGGTTAAGACGTGGGAAAGCTATTGGGAGTATCGCCTGCTCAAGAAAGAAAAAAACAACGCCGAGCCTCAGACACCTGCGAACATATACTTGCAGCCCCTCTACAAGATGGCGAGCTTCGATTTCGTTGTGGGCACATTCGCAACGCCATACTTATTTACCTTACGGTTCACACCTGCTTCAAGCACTTCAAATGAAAGTTCCTTGAAGATATTGAAGCAGCATGAAGGGCTTGGCTCACATTCGTGGTTGCATCTCAGTTCACCTGGCACAACAGGCACCCAGAACCTTTATGCAACAGCTTGGACTGAACCGTCTTCACTAGCAGCATATGCAGTCCATACTCCTACCGACATAAAGTTGCTGAATACAGTCGCAACCAAATCAAGATCGGGCTATGTATGTGCGTCGGGAACTCATGCGTACTCCGCTGGTGGTGCCACAGGAGAGGTATTCGCGCTCGATTTCAAAAGTGGTGCATTTACATCTTCGTCTGAGAGCACTGAGCACAGTAACGACACCAGCAGTACAGACATCCAGCCAGTTCAGTTATTGGACTTTGTCGATACATCTGGTCAACGAGATAACGGCTCAACCATGGACTTTGGCGGTCTCCGGCACGGAGCCCATAGCGCTGACCTCTCGCCAGATGGTAAGTTGCTTTACATTGCTGACATAGGTCGTAACTGCATATGGACATATTCGATTGGTGCCAGCAAAGAGCACATGAAATTGGCAGAGAAGAAGATATCGCCGAGGAAACATGACGGGCCCAGACACGTCTGGCCGCATCCGAATGGCAAATTCGTGTATTGCTTGCAGGAGCACTCCTCAGTTGCTGACGTTTTCGAAGTGGTCAAATCTTGCAATGGATCCGTCAGGCTGGTGCATAAGCAAGGGGTCCGAATTATACCCCAAGGACTACCAGTTAACGAGTTCTGGGCCGATGAGGTACGGACGTCGTTATCTAATGGTGAGAATCCGAAGTACTTGTACGCTAGCACAAGAGGTCTCAAGGAGGGGAGGAAAGGCTTCATGGCTGTATACAAGTTGACACCAGAGGGGCTGATCGATGGAGCTGACATAGTGCCTGAGGATCACGATACAGCAATAGAGTGGCGAGACGATGATCAAGGTGGTCTGCTCTGCATGTATGAGACTGCCACGTCTGGTGGATGGGCAAATGCTGTTCAGCCTGGCCCAACGATTGGTGATGTCGAATACATTGCAATGACTGATAGCGAGGTTGGCTACGTATTTGTCCTCGCCTGGGATGGCACAGAGATCAGGGAGGTAGCACGGACGAACTTGAACGAGGGTACAGACACATCGAAGGGCAAGCATGGTGCTGCGACTGCTGTTTGGCTCTCGACGTGAGATAGGCCGTGTCTTGAAGTTGCCACTGCAGTATGGTTTACACTGGTGTACGCCATGTGTAGCGCATTTATTAGGCCTCTAGTACTTTACCTTCTTGTCCAAGATTCGTCTGCTTCTCGTGCGTCCCGTATTGACTTGCAGGTATCCCTCTGTAAACCTTTACATTGAATGAAATGCTTGAGGTTCTTGCAGGGCATCAACAGCGTGCGCCAGGTAGGTGTGGTGATGCTGGCACGCTTTCAAAGACCGGAATGGATTGGAAATGTCGTGAGCAGCTCGGGCATTTTGCCGCATCGTGATCCCAGTCTTCGAGTAAGCGCGGCTACTATCAGCAATGTGGTAATAAAATTGTCCGTTAAGAATCTGCGCCTCTTCTGAATGGGCTAGGTCGCCCTGAAAGATAGGTGACAGATTAGCAAGATCATCTAAATATTGTGAGAACAATACTACAGCACAAGGTCGGAGAACGACAAGGAACGTATAAACATTAACAAATATACACACAGTATCCACAATTGCAAAAATCCTGCAGGCAAGACACGCCAGAATTCCACCAACACCCTGCTGTCTAGAAACGATGAAACCAAAAACAAAATTTTCTATACCAAATCGCTCGCTTAGTTGGTCGTTTAAACAAGCGGCACTCTCACCCACCTCATCTCCTTAATCTTCTCCGTCAAAATCTCATCCTCTTCCCCGTTCCTCATCAAGCTCTTCACAGGCAGTCCCTGACCTTTCATGACAGCCAAAATCGCCCGCAAATTCAATTGCAAAGTCTTTTCAGGCTCAACGGCTTTCATGACGTATTTCGTGAGATTCGGGAACAAGACGCCGAAATCTGATTGGGATAGGTGAGCTGAGTGAGGGACGTGGTAGAGATGTGGTTGGGTTGCGTTTGTGTAGGCTGAGGATGGGATTGATTCTTCGTCTTGTGTGTTTGGTATGAGGGATGTGGATGATGAGGATGCTGGCGATGGTGTTTCGGAGGGAGGATCGGGGTGGGAAGGTGTTGGGGATGGTGTCCTTGAGGATTGTGTGGACGTTGTTTGGGATGTGTTGTGGTGGTGGTCTGCTACGCTTTCTTTTGTTTCTTTGGAGAGTTCAGGTATTGGATTGCTGGGTCTGGTATTGTCTTTGATGACCGGTGCCTGTTTGTCTCGATCCTGCTCCTGTTTCTGTTTCTGCTTGTTGAGTTCTGCGAGTGCGGCTACTGGAGTCCTAGAGAGTAGGGCGCGGGTTCTTTGTAGCAGTTCTGTCCACTTGTAGAACTCTGCAGACATGACTGCTACTGTGTTGGGTATTTCTTTAGAGTTCGACTGTTGCTTCCGATGATAACATGGCATTGGAAGTTCCCAAAGCCATTTGGTCGTTTCGCTGCGTAGTGGCATGGTCCACAGATCGAGTAGAGCAACAGGACTTTCAGCTCGAATCTGGCGTACCAAATCACTGCCTGAGGTGCATTTGTATAAAGGTGTCCAATCCCATGGCTCGCGCGAAGTACGGTCGGACTTGTCTTCAGGAAGATATTGATGGTAGAATACAGATTTCACAAACTGAGTTATCGTCGCAGCGCCGAAGGAATGTCCTGCCCATGTTACCTGTCCAGGTGATAGATTCAGCTTGTCTTTAAACGTGGCTCGCACATCATGCCATTTCTGTTCGGCTTTTTTGTCTGTATGCGTTGCATAGTTTGTGAACGACTTCCCATTATTGAGGGCCGTCACAGCTGCATACGTCAAGTCTAGCTCCCAGAGCCTAGTACGTAGTTGTGCATTACGCGCATTCAAAACTTCGGTGCTTGGAGCGTGTGAGTGCTTCTGGTAGGGTATAGAAGAGGCATTCTGGCCTTTGTCGTCCCGGATGAACGAGATCGGCGCACTACCATCTCGGTGCTCCGGCGCAACGCATATAACACCACAGCTGGCAAGGGCTCCCACTATCGAGCTATAAGTATTGAAATTACCTCCGAGACCATGACTAAAAATGCAGACAGGATATCTTTGTTGTGTGGAGAGTGGCGCTAGATGTGCATCCTTCACAGCCGGCAGCTTAGCATAATTCCAAACAGAAAGAGCATTCGTGGCAAGTAAAGAGGTCCATCCAGAACTACCACCCATGAAACTTGCGTATGCATCATTCCATTCCTTCTGAGGTTCGGGCAGCCAATGTACAGACTGTTTCGACGATGCGTCGTGTGTTGTAGGGTAATAGAGTCGAAACTTGATTGTCGTAATTTGCGGGTTAGGACTCGATGTTGTCGAATCGATCTCAGACACCGGTATTTCAACCTCTGCTGTACCAACTTTACAAGGTCCTGCGTAGGCAGGTAGATGTGGCAGGGGATTTAAGAATGAAAGCATTCTTAGTCTGCTTTGTGAATTGATCAGAAATCTCGTAAGAATGCTCGCCAGGACGCGAAGAACAAGAGGATGTGTCGAGCTACACGTCTAATATCATATGAACATGAAAAACGATGTTGAGGGACATGGGCAATCAAAAACAAATGTGATAAGGAGGCGAGTGAATGTGGAAAGTACTCGCGTGCTTGGAAAACTTTCGGTACGAAAAAATCCTGGTTAGATGACGCTGTGGCACGTGGCACGTGGCGCGGCACGATTTGCACGGGCTGGCCGATCTTCTGCATCATGATTTTCACTGAAACAATTTGGCCTGTTATAATCACAACCTTGGTACTGTCGCCGGCATTGATCAATACCAGAGTCGTCGGAAACGACGCTTCCGATAGGCACAAGCCTCGGTTGGCGCAGGAGTGATGATGATGATTTTCCCTTGCTGCCGCTGTCCTCAATAATGAGGGCGATAGCGATAGCGATAGTGACCATGCCGCAATATCATCGTCTAGACTGGTTGCTGGCATGAGAAAGATTGTAGTGAGCCGGCGATGCGCCGTCGATATTGTCCTCTGAGCCGCGCCTCCCTTCGACCCCTGGAGAAACAATCGCTGACAGCTTGCAATGACTGTGCCTGGAACCATCATGGAAAGGCTATGATGTCTGTTGGGTTGAACTTGTATGATGTCCGGAACGATCGAGTGTCGAGTCCTACATCCTAGGCTTACCACTCCGGCGGAGTGCTTCTCCTGCTGGTGAGTCTTGCTGAGTGAAGCAGCCGCCAATCCATCAATACTCTCAAAGCTTTGTACGTCGTGGAACTACAGCTTTGTCGTGGATACATGTAACGGCGACCTTACCATCGAGTGTCTCGATTTGACCTTTGCAATGTGCCAAACGTTTCCCACCAGCGACTGCCTGGTTCTTGGTCAGTATCGTTGTTTGAACAACAGCAAGATAGGTGGCGCATGTGAGGCCAAAAACGGATCCAACAAGAAAAGGTTGCTCCGACAGGATGACAATGGGACAGTGAAGAAGACGTACCTCGCAGACTATACGGACCTTTGTGCCAACTGGGACTGGCCTGTAAAGATTAGTATAACCATGTTTTGGGGCTAACTTTACTGACCTTAAGAAGGTCATAAGAATTGTGCGTGAGACTGTGCCCTGGTCCATAAAACCCTCCTTCGCAACGGTAAGAAAGGTCGAAGAGGACAAATTATCCAGGATGGTAGTAGCACAACCGCCATGTAAATTGCCGCCCTTGTTGCACATCTCAGGCCGTACTGTCATCTCCCATTCGGCACGACCCGATGTTGCTTTTATGAATTGAGCATGACTGATAACATCTGTGTCCCATCCGTGATAATCAGGATCCTTCCAGCTTGTTAGCACAGTGTAAAAGCACAGGATCGACATGATCTACCAAAAAGGTTGACACTCCATGACGCTAGATCCAATCACGCACCTGAGTGATTGAGGCTGCAACAGCCTTGAGCCGGTCTTGTATGGACTGTGATAAATCAGGATTGTGGTATGCGCTGACGTCTTTGGGAGGCATTGTGATCGAGCTCTAGCGAACAGGTACGACACCAACAACCAGGAGGTAAGTACGATGTCGTCGCGCCTTTGCGGATGTGAAGTTGTGTATCGCAAGCTGTACTAGAGATAGATAGTAAGAGAGCAAGAGTTTCATCGTCAACCGAGGTATGGTTGTGGCCTTATCAAAAAGTCCATTGGAAAAAGTGGTGCCTGAGCTTGCTATTTTTGGCACTCAATTCTGTCGCATGAGGTTAGGCTTGATTCGTGACAAGCTGGAGCCGGTGTGAGGTGGGACAGAAATTCGTGGCGCCCCAGCCAGAGCTAAACACGAGCAGGGTTTCAGGGACCACATGCGGCAAAGTAACGTTTCTGGAGTCCTTGCTCGAATATTCTCAGACTTGTGTTGAAGAGCCATGGATGGCGGTTAGTGCACCGTGTGCTTGTTTGATGGACGAAAGCATGCATCGATCTGTTCGCGAGCTTTGTTCTCTGAACATTCCAGCGTAACAAAAAGCATGGGCGTTCTCGTTCAATGACATTGTCCTGCAGCTGAGAGTGGGTTGCTTGAAGACACCGGCTCATGCACGCCTGCTCAACTGTGAATGCGCAGCTTGTACACTATCTCACCCACTCTTATTAGACGCTGTAACAGTCGCCAGCTTTCAGCTCCAGCACGACTGCGCACAAACACCTCTTGCGTGTGCCATATTTGACGAACACCCGCTTGTTTTTGTTTCTATTTCGTAGCACAATGGTCACGACCACCATCTTGGAGGGACTATCGATATGACTAACGAGGACGAGGACTCGACTGACCAGCACAGCATCCGTAGCGAAGAGGGTGGCGAAGCAAAGTCCACGCGGCGAGGACGTCTGAAAGATGCACTCAATCGTACAAAAACCAAGCTGAATAAAGTACGTGAAGAGAGGGGAGTTAAGAAGCAGACACGAGACCAAGACAAACCAGATTACCAACTCAACGACGACGTGAATGACTTCTTGGCCGCTGGCCGTGCCTCCTTCGCCTCATCGCTGAGACCGTCCATTGTCGAAGACTCGTCCATAGCATCTCCTCGACCCTCTACCTCCGACTCAAACGTACAGGCGTCTCCTCGCCGTGGTCCTTCTAAAACAATTCCCAGGATTGATGTCTCGAATTCTATGCGCTTCCCAAATGCAAAAGACGTTAACCCCGACGCGCTCGTCGAGTCTGGTGGACTTGGATTTGGTACTGCTCCGAGCACATCATTGTTGAAGCCGGAATACCAGACACGAAGCCAATCTGCTAGCTCGTTAGTCTCAGGGAAGCGAAAAGATCGATCGCGAAAGCTCAGTGTTGGCTTCGTGGCCACACCACCAGATATCATAGGCGAAGGAGGCGACGAAGCACAAGCACCTCCTGTCGAGATTTCGAGAGCTAAACAGGCTCGTGCCAGGTCTGCTTCACCACAGGGACAAAAACCATATAGCAACGCAGTTGTACAACCCGGAGCACGCCGCCAAATGCCAGGCCGGGGAATCAGTGATAATACTGCTGATGTATTCACTCCAAAGCCTTTTGCACGAGCGCAGACGGGTATGCTACCAGGTGAAAGAAGTCCTGGATATCCTCAGAACATGCACGACAATCCACCAATGCCGAGACCCTTTGTACGTACACAGACTGGTTTATCCGGCCGAGATCCTGTTTCAACTATTCCGACGACTATATCCACAAAGCAGGAACGTGCGTTTCTGCCAGAACCTCTAGCTCGTATTGAAACGGGAAAGCTGGATCTAACCAAGGAATTTGAGATGAGCTTGGGTTTAATCCCTCAGGTTCCACATGCATCCAAAGCCAGTGCTACGGAAAATATCATCGCTCCCAAGCCACAAAGAGTACCACCATCGTACGATCTGATTGAGAAGGGTGGAAGTAATGTTCAGCGGAAGCAAGTAAATGGACCCTTACACGAGGCCCGAGTAGTAGTTCCTAAGCCCCCGTCCGCAACAAGATCGCATCAGCGTCAACTGTCCGATCACATGCGATCACAACCTGCAGCTACCTCACAGTTTTCTTCTTATCAACAGTCTCCGCAACAATCACTAGACAACGTTCAGACACCCTCTAGCACATCTCCAAGCGCTCGTCCAAGCCTTCCACCACGACCCAACCCTCCAGACTATTTCCCTCCTCCACCACAGCGACAACCCTCACACATCGTCCGGAACATCCAAAACCTAGAACCCATCCACGCTAAGCACTCTGCACCGCCTACCACGCAGCAGAACGACTCCATCGTAGGGGAGATGAAAATCCCTCTCAGTATCGTGACCGAACAAGACAACGACGAATACCAGTCATTCGCTCTGCGGTCACGGTTCAGGTCAAGCAGTAATTCACCCAGGCCAGAAAACAGAAATATACCACCACCGCATCTCAGTACGATACGGCCGGTTCCCAGTACACATTATGATATGAGTCCGAGCGAGTATACGGGCTCAAACGCTCTCTCGCCGCGTAGTCCTACGACTCCGGGTGTAAATAAACCGAGGTTTTATGACAATTTGAGTCAGGGGAATAGGTCGGGGAATTTTATATGAGCAGTGAAGGTTTCTTAGATTGAGGCGGTTGTTGCGTTCAAGATACCCAGATTTGTAGTTAGTGAGCTTGAGCTTTCGTCGACATCAGCACTTAGCAAGCAAAAAGAATTCAGATACCACAAAAGGTAGAGGTATCATTGTGGTTTACGGCTCACAACTTGAACTCTTCTATCAATGCCCTGAAGCCCTGTACCAGATCCTTCAACAAGTCCTTTGCATCCTCTATGCCGGTGCTCACTCTGAGCAAATCCGGGCCAACAGTAGAATCGGTCATGGTCCTCCACTCTATCAGACTCTCCACACCGCCGAGACTGGTCGCATGGTGGAACAAGTATAATTTGCTTGGTAGATGTCGTGCTAGGTCGCCACTCTTCATGGAGATGGCAAAGACTGGGCCAGGACCGTTAGGCATCTGCTTCTTCAGCCAGCCACTTTTGATGTCCTCAACTTGAAGACTGGCGTGCTGGACTTTGGCTAGAACTTTGCGTATTGCCTGGCAGTCTTCTGTGTTTAGGATATCGATCTCTCCAGCTGACTCGTGTAGGACATCGTTCAGGGTCTGGACGAGATATGCAGCTGACTCACTCTGGCGCATCACTCGTAACTCTAATGTCCTTACTGAACGTACACCTAGCCAGCCTTCTAGTCCGCCCATCACGGAGCCAAGAAACTCTCGATCCTCGAGCATACGACTCATCCAGCCTTCCTTGCCTCCTTCTCCATCTGGGAATGCAAGCTCTTTCCGAACAGAGATGACACCACAGAGCATGTCGCTGTGTCCGCCGATGTATTTCGTGCCACTGTGCATGACGATGTCCGCACCGTGGACAAAGGGATCTTGTAATGGTGGAGGAGCGAATGTGGAGTCCACCATAAGGTATGCACCTCGAGAATGTGCTTTCTGCGCATAATGAGCAATATCTACTGCTATACCGGTAGGGTTGATAGGTGTCTCGAGGAGGACGAGGTCTCCCTTCTGTAGATCTTCTGCTGGACAATCGAGAGGTAGAACTTGCATATTGTTCATTCGAACGTGCAAGGCAAGAACACCCTTACATCCATGGTAGCCGCCGCCAATAGACACACGTTTTGGACATAGGTGGACCAGAACTGCATGAAGAGCGGATAAACCAGAAGTATACGTGATGCACGGATTGTGGAGCAGCGAAGTCAAGATAGCTTCGAGTCGTGAGGTCGAATGTGTAGTGAGACGTGAGTAGCAGTGCTCCGAAGGCGTTTCTTGATGTGGGAAGAGCGGGTTGTCCGGTCGACTATCGGGACGGAAAGGACGTAGTTGAGATGGATCAGTTGTGTAGCGGAAAGTCGTGCTTACATGTATTGGTGGCGCCACGTCAGTGAGTATGTTCAAAAGGTCGTCAGCATGGATTGACAATGTCGATGGTGAGTACAGGTTGGCCTGTTGAACTTTGTGAGTCGGCAGGGTGGTAATCGCTGGTATTCGTGATCCCGTGAGCCCGTTTGTTTCCTTCATCGTGCCGTTACCGTTAAGATCTGTCATTAGGAGCGTATATAGAGAGCAGAATTTGTTTTTGGAGTCCCTAGTTCGATCAATGTCCAGCGGCTTGATAGCTTGCTTTTACTGTGGGTTTGTGTCAGGTGCAGGAAATTTCGAAAGAGTTGCACTGGACTATGTACCTGGCGTGTCGATGTCGTGGGTTTTCGTGCGGAAATCTCCACATCTACATCGTAAGCTCAGGACGTGCGTCAATTCCACGAGGCAGTAACCATACGCACTCCTGCCCTGTTACGAGGCGCTGTTACGGAGTACTCTTCATCTCATATCTTTCTGGACGTACTGGTAGTATGTTTCAAAGCACTTAAAGCAGAGGTATTGCTGGAAGAGCTACTTCTATTTCGTCTTTGTTGATGTATTTGGCGAAGGCTTCTAAATGGATGTTTCACTCATCGCGTGATCCAGCTACAATATTCTCCGCTCTCCATTGCCGCTGAAAGAGTATGTGCGACGACGAGCAGGAACACTCGATACCAACCAACAAATCCTGGACGACCCTTATAGTGTAGCAAAAGTAGTCATAGATAAAGTTTCCGAGTAGCAAAAATGATGGCTCTCAGACGTGGTCTTATCGGAGTGTGCTACGTCTTTGCGCTTAGATGTCCGAAACAAAGATCGAGGATGGAATGGCACACGAGTACCAAGAGAAGCAGCGAGAGATGTATACAAGTACTGGCGGAAGGAGCCAAGCTGGGTTGTGATTGCCCTTTCCGGCGACACGGAATGTTGCCAACATATCCTGTCAGCTTGGGCAACTATGGGGCTAGTACGCGTTACAGGCCGCACTATGTAGTACTAGCTCGATATAACGCGTTTCACAGGCTGTCAGCCATATCTTCAACGTGCCTCAGCCAGCCAAGAATGGGTTGACATGCTGTCCTTCAGTCTTCCAAGGGTGAATGTCACTTCTACGGCTACAGTACTATCCCAGAAATCGTCAGCGATGTCGCAGAATAGATCTCCATGAGGACTTCAATGCATGCTGCTGACTGCCTCTTTCTGCTACTAGCACTTGGTGTCTATCAGGTCCCATAATTCGCATGACCGTTGTCCTTGAACATCGCCCATAGGCCAAGCAACGAGCGATGTACCACCTCTTCCGCTCTCTCTACCTTCATGCCACCTCGAAAGAGGAGTACTCGGTGCTCCTCCTCGGCCTCGATAATGCTGGCAAGACGACCTTGATGACCCAGATTCGTGCCCTCTATAATACTACCTCCTCTTCAGTTGATCCAGCGGCAGGCTCGACAGGCGATCTACCAGCAAGCTCAACCGCGGGCGATACTGTTCCCACCGTCGGTCAAAATGTGGCTACGATCGATCTACCGAACATGTATCTAAAGATCTGGGACGTAGGAGGACAGATGACGCTAAGAAGGTTATGGACGAGCTACTACAAAAGCTGTCATGCTATAGTATTTGTGGTTGACAGCAGTGATCTGGGACAATTGGAGAAAGAGGCTGATGCCCTGCTCACGCCTCAAACACCTGGTGGCCCACGTCAATGGCATGCTAGGCGGAAAAGCAGCTATGCCATACCTCCTGAAGCTGATGCGGAAACGCCTGAAAAGCCACCACCTACTCCCATCACACCAAGCATAGTTTCGAGCTCATTCGAACGTGGCCGTTTTGACGAATGCAGAGCTGTGTTAGAGAACGTATTGGGTCATGAAGACACGAGTGGTATCCCTGTACTGGTTCTAGCGAACAAGCAAGATCGAGAGGATGCGGTTGAAGTCGTGAGGATTAAGGAGGGGTTCGTAAGGCCGGTCTTCGAGGGTGAAAAGGGCGAGATGATAAGGGACTCAAGAGTCTTACCAGTCAGCGCATTGAAAGCTACAGGTGTGAAGGAGGCAGTCGAGTGGATTCGAAGCAGGGTGGTATGGAATAAAACGAGTCGACCACCTGTTATGAGATGAAGGAAGCGGCGCCACTTCTTTATCAGACTCCTTCCCGACAGTCCTTCACAACGAGTTAGTCGGGCTCGATGTAGGATCTGCCTCGAACATCGACGGATCCCAGACATCTGCAGACTCAATCCTTCGGCTAGGCCATACATCCAGCCACTCAAGTCGCCGCCGATTTATTCGAAGCCCTAAGCTTCCCGTATCAGAGATATGACGCCTAAATACCATCACACCACCAGATATCAGACCTGCCAAAGCAGCTGCTCCTACGCAACGTGGTGGATGGGCGCAAACAGAACCTCTTCAGCTGCCAGCATGTCCTGTTACAGGTCACAAGCTGCAAACAAGCTCGCAGCATATCATGATATGGAGGAGGAAGAAGAAGAAGATACGTGAATAGGTCTTAGAACGGAAGAAAATGCTGTGGCTGATTCCTGATACTACATGTGCCGACGATTCAGGGACAGGAGTACTGCTCTTCGCAAAGACGGCTTGACTCCTACGGCATTTCATGCTCGTCGGACAAACGGCTCCGCATTCACACTCGGTCTGCTATACCCTCGTAATGGATAGTGTTTGGACTGCTTGTCGAGATCCACACATCTACGAGGCTGGTACTGATACTTGTTTCATTTTGCTCTTAATTTACTGCCAACACATGGCATGGTAAACAGTAGTCCAGCCGTATCAAGCTACAAGTTGTGCAATTCTGTCTATCAAGTTCTGAGGGTATCTTTAGCACTAATCTCTAACATGTAGCAGATCTTTGACATCGTGGGGGCATATTGCCAAATTTCATATCCTACTTAAGATCACGACCATCTGTCAATGATGCAGGGACAACTCAGTCCTCAGCATCAAGCTCTTCGACGATGAGATTGCCTCCACGACCTATTCTGGCTCCAATCGTACCACCACTCTCTAAATCAATCACGTTCCGGGGCATTGGTGATACAAGCCGGAACTTGTATTCGTGATTGTAGTCATCCGGCGGTTGTGAGGGAATTGTAAGCTTCTCTTGAATACCAAGCAGGTCGTGGCACTCAACAAAAGCATAAAGGTCTTCCAGAGGGGCATCACTTTCGAACTTTCTTATCAAGCGCTGCCCGTCCGCTAAGCGTACGCTCAGACGTACTGTGCCAGGGCTGTTCGTGTCTGGTTCTTCGGGTATGTGACTACTTCTCCATAAGCGCCACGATTGCACTTGTTCGGCTCTCTTCTGTTCTAACGCGGCAGCTTCAAGTGCTTGCTTCTCGGCTTGGGCCCTTGCCTCTTCCTCCTCACGCTTCCGTCTAGCACGCTCACGATCTTGTGCCAAAGATCTTTCATAAGCAGAGTCCTGCTCTTCTCGGAGGCTACGTTCTGCTTGCTGTTCGGCTCGCTGTGCTCGGGTCGCGGCGAGTTGTGATTGTTGAGCGGTCATGGCGGTGCCTAATTTGGCAACAAGCTCGCTCGCAGGCATGGGTCCTGCAGCACGCATGACTACTGTCATTTCTCCAGGCCGCGAGCCTGTGCCTGTGCCTTCTGTGGTCTGGCAGATTAGCGCGGCGAAAGGAAATTTTGTGCAATTGAGAGAATTGGAAACTTGATACCCTTCCGTGTCTTGAACACTGCCACCCCACAATGTCAGCTCGTGCTGATGCGCTTGCAAGAACTGGTGCAGCTGCGATGACATCAAAGTGTCCCTCACCCAAGTGTAGGTCTCATCGTGTGAAGGGGATAGAAGTACGGCAAGGAGAAACTTGCTGTCCCTTTTGCAGTTCTCGAGAGCAAGATTGAAGCCAGATTCAATAAAGGGCAGAGGTGGGTTAGGGGTATAGGTTTCTTCAAATTCCCGAATAAATCTTCTCGCAGTATCTGCGGGTGGTAATTGTCTTCTGCTTGATCGTGGTTGGGAAGTAAGGAGATTTCTAATGATGCTTGAGGCGAAAGATGGAACGAGGAAAGACAGAGGTGATAGAATAGACCTGAATAAGCGGAACAGCACATTGAAAGGCGCGAAAAAGACGGAGAATAACGGCGGAGGTTGGTAAGCTGGAGTTGTGGTCGCAGTTGTGTCTACTCTCTGGACGACATCTTCTGGAGGAGTGCGTCGTATTGGGCTCGAACTGGCAGCCAAGAGGGACTCGAACTGAAGATTGGCAGCGTGCCGTGAAGAAGGTGCGGGTAAAGACTGTGCGGTCTCGGCGGCCCTTGCCTCTGCTAAGAGGTCAGAAGCTGGCTCGCCGTCGAAGAATCGTGATATGGCGATCTGTACATTCCAGTCTGAGCGCTGAAGCAGTGGTATCGCAGTCGTTGGGTCTTGATCTGTGACGGCAATGTACGTCTGCAGTGCTTCCTGTTGCGTAGCATTTAGCTGCGCAATGTCAGAAGTCGACATTCTCCTTGCTGGTCAGCGCATTGGTGGTGCCTCTAATTAGGCGGATTTAGAAGTGATCCAGCAAATGTACAAGTAGGACGATATTGTAGTGTATGCCAGGTGTGCTCCAATGAGGACCAAACGTATGTGCAGACTGTTTTAGATTTGATGGACAGAATCCAAGATGTTTCCAACCTCAAGGTTACTGCAGTATTTAAAAAAGAACAGGTCCCCATTATCGATGTCATCGTTAGGCATGAGACTGCGTTCCGAAGCGCGAACTTATTGGCGCGCTATCACGCGTAATTAATGGGTGGAGATAACTCGCGCACCTCAGTTTCAGGCTTGCCCGCTGTCTCCATGTCCCACCACTGGCTGCCGCACTCGCAGTTGCGTCTTCCCAATCGAACGACAGTGCTCTCCGTCGTTAAAATACACAGCTTGTCCCTTCGCGCATCTGTTTCAGTGTTTTGATAGCTTCGCAGTTCAAAAACCCTCTTGCTCTGCCCTCCGCCCGTGCGCCGCTTCTACTGCTCAGCACGACACTTCTCATTGACCAACTACAAGCCGAGAACAATTGATACTATGAGTCCTCTGAAAGTAGTCACCGACGACGCATGACCTTTCCAATGGGTCAAGAGTTGGCATGCGGCAAGGTTTGCATCTGAGCAATGGCCGCTGTCTCCAGGACGAATCATGCAGACACCAAAGCAGTCAGCAGTTCGTCCAGGGCTAAGGGTAAGGGTAGGTCTATAGTCCTTCCCACTCAGCATGCCCTTATGGTGGGTTGTAGTTTTTCTGCAAACCAGGATGGCTGATTCCAATCAGACAACGCGAAAGATATCCTATGTCGGAATGTAACTATCTACGGCAAGTGCAGATATGAGGACAAGGGTATCTAAACATATTGCTGAACGCTACCTGGATGCGAGACTGAACAATGCCAGGCTGTGCTTTCAACCATAAGCTAGAAAAGTCTTCAGCATCAGATGGGTCTATTGTGGACAGGTAGGTCGCAACAACTACTATGGCCGATGGTTCGTTGACTGTGCAACTGAAGTCAGCCAAAGAAGACCTTGAACGTCGACAGTCCTAGCTTCACTCCGGTCTTCCTTTTACCTGGCGATGCTAAGAGCCCGCCAAAGCCAGCGAGTACCACTATTTCCCCACGAGCCGCGAGTGCCGCTCCCTTCCTTCCTAAACAGATAATATCGAGTACGTTCCACACTTAGACTTCCAACTGCTTCGGAATCTTATTTCAACATTAGGACATAACAACTTGACGCCCCCAGCTCGTCAGGATGTAATGACGCCAGACTGGGCTATGCCCGGTGTCCAAGAGTTTGTACCTGGGAAACTGGATCCAAGCGTCCTGGTAAGATGGTGTTTACAAGCTCTGTCTTGCTAGTCCTGCGTCAGCAAGAACAGTTTCTTCCGGCCGGGTCACTGATACAGCTGTCTAGGCAGTATCCGATGCTGGCGATCCTCGTACGCCTCATTTCGATTCCTTCCTAGCCAGTCATCAGCACCAGCAGCCCAATCCTTATCTTGAGCACAATATCAATGGCGGCTTCCTTCAGACGTCATCAGCTTTTCAGCAACCTGTAAGCAAACTTTTCCATCTCCTCGTACCACTCTTACAGGACAGGTGCAATACCACCAATATGCCCCGATCGGACCACATAACCCGAATATGATGCCATATCAGCGGAGCGTACACGACTTGTTCCTGACCAATGAACTGCGAGAAGATATACAGAGAAGAATGGCAGCAACTCTTCAGACACTACCCAACTCCCAGCTGCCACAACATATCGAAAGTTATCATTCACTCGTCCCACTTGACACAACTCACCACAAAAGCTCCTCTACTTTCGGTGGCTACCACTCTTGGGTCTACAAAGTTCAATCAAGCACCAACGGCCATTTCTTTGTTCTGCGTCGAATTGAGGGTACGGAAGCCTCCGCTCCGTGACCAACAAGCAAAACTGACGAGTATAGGCTTCCGACTCACTAACGAACAGGCAATTCGATCAGTGCAACCCTGGAAACACATTGTCAATGCAGGCGTCGTCCGAATCGTCGATGTCTTCACCAATCGTAGTTTCGGAGACAGCTCCTTGTTCATTGTGACCGAATACCACGCACTATCAAAGACATTAGCGGAGCACCACCATATAGGACATGGTCGACATGTCAGAGCACGCAACAGCATTGACCAGGTATCAGAAACCGTTCTCTGGAGCTACGTTACGCAATTGGCCTCTGCACTTAAGACTGTTCATAATAGTGGTCTTGCGGCTAGAGTACTTGATACGTCCAAAGTTCTTGTCACTGGTAAGAACCGAGTGAGATTGAATGGCTGCGCTGCACTTGATGTGATACAATACGAAGCTGCCACTTCCTTGGCTCATCTACAGAGGCAGGATCTAGTCAATTTCGGGCTCACCATATTGTCCGTCGGAGCGAACATGGCCGACGCCAGTCAAAATTTTGCACGGGCCATGGACCAATTTAAGCGCTTCTACAAGCCAGAGATACAGACAGCCGTCGTCTGGCTTTACAGTGCCCAGCAACATACTGATCGAACGATCGATCAGTTTATCAATCTCATATCCTCACAAATAATTGCTTCTTTCGATGCAGCACTGCACGCAGACGACAGCCTCCACGGCGACTTCGCAAGAGAGGTAGAAAACGCCCGCCTTGTACGCTTACTTACGAAACTGAATTTCATCAACGAGCGGCCAGAGTTCGAGCACGATCGGCAGTGGGCCGAAAACGGCGAACGCTTCTTCTTAAAGCTATTCCGAGACTACGTTTTCCACCAGGTCGATGCACAGGGACATCCCGTCGTTGACTTGGCGCATGTCCTATCATGTTTGAATAAGCTAGATGCAGGAACAGACGAGCGCCTGACACTAGTTAGCCGGGACGAACAAAATTGCTTTGTTGTGACTTTTCGAGAATTGAAGAAGGCTATCGAGTCAGCATTCCAGGACCTAAGTAGTAATTCACGTCGTCTTTAGTTGAGACACTTGCGTCACCAAGCGTCATGGTTTGAAAATAATGGAAGTGGCAGCCTCCACGAAGGAAGTGAGAGCAGCTGGAACACAGCCTGATCATAGAACATTTAACCTCCCAGGAAAAAAAAAAGAATAAAATCTGACCCCAACCCAAGTCGTCTTCATCCTAATCTTCGCATGCATCCGGTAGTAATCACGGCTATTTCATGCTGATGTGTGCCTCGAGCAAAGCTGTGAAATGCGTCGGGTCTTAGCTTGGCCGTTTACGAAACGCACATTGTCAAGGCCGAATATGGATGGCTGGTCAGACATTGTGGACGACTGCCAGTACTTTCGCGGCTGAGGAGATTTCTGCAATTGGATCTCGGAAGCTCTTCGTCCTGATGTCCTCAGGTCTAGTCCTCGGCTGGCTGAGCAAAAGGATTCTCTATCTCTTCGCTTCCGTCCATAGGGGAGATCAGCACTAACAAGGTGCCTCGAGCGACAATCAGTCCAAGATCCCGTGTAGTCTCGTTGCCTTCGTCGTCTGTCTTACGTCAGTATCGTCGACATGGAAGTTGAGAATTCACCACTTGCCTCTCATAGTCTCCTTGACGTGATCTAACACCAGGTTCATGAGCTGATCGTATCCCTCTAGCGTGCCAACAACTACCCTTCATTAGCCTAGCCGGAACATCACCAACTCGAGATTTCTCACCTTCTCGTCCGCCATTGAACTTGACTTGTACTTGCTTGTGCATATATTTGGTCAGATCCAGGATATTTTCTTTCTTGGGTTTCTCCTGCTGCTCCCGTCCGCTCTGTGCATTGCCTCCACGCCCTCCTCTATCATAACCTCTACTGCCCCTTGACTGACCTCGACCACCGCCGCCTCTGAAATGACCCCGCTCAGACATTGCGAGTGTTTTTGGTGGTGATATGGTAGAGCATGGTCGTGATTGGTGAAAGAAACGAGACTGTGGTGCATCGGAGAAATGTGGGGTAAAATTTAGGCAGCGGAAAGTTTAGGCGCGAAGTGGCCTCTACGCTGACCAGCTGAGGAGCGGCTCAAAGTTGTTACACCCGCGGAAAGCGCGAGGAGGGCAAGCCGCTCATCAGGATTACGCTTACGATGAACAGCAGACGATCAATGCCGTCCCTGCTGGTAGAGAACTAGTTATAGCTCATAACAACAGAAGTTATCCAGACCTGTTTTTGTAGCGTCGCAATCTATACGTTGTGTAATCCCGAACTGAGAGACGCCTGGCAGAACATTGCGTTTAGCATTTCAGGAATATATGCGGAAGTTCGTAGCGAAGGTGAGAGAATATGACTCCGGGCAAATACTGTGCTCAAGGTCAGAAGCCGTGTGATGGTAAGACAAGTGTGCGGCCTACGACAACCCTCAGCTCCGATCTGACGTGTGATGCCAGAAGGTGTTCGATTACCGCTCCGGACATTCGCACAACCAAGAGCAAATAGCAGGACGCGCATCGGAAAACTGCAACTTAGCTGTCGGCGCTCGCTTAAAATTCCACTCCAACCATGCTCGTCATTCCTCTCGACGCAGTTCAAATTGTCTTGGTTCCAATACCCTCGCGATTTCTACGCATTGCCCTTGGTGCGCTGAGTTCCCCGGAATAGCCAGAACCTCCGACCAGCATAGAGTTGAAGCTTGTTCTGATTCTGTTTGGCTCAGGAGTGCCTACCTCAATATTAGGAGAGGCATGTTGGAGGCTAATCTCCAACTATTTCTGGGCAAGTCTGGTCCCATTAATTAATTAGCTGGACGAGCTGGATCCCTTCCCGCTCTCGCCGCTGTTGCAACCGCAAATGATGAGACGCAATTACGACGCCTCAGGCTTCTCCTCTCGCTCAGCTGCACGTCCACGCTCGTACCGGCTTGGACTCCTCTGCTCCTCCCTCGAATTCGATCAACCTTTCTCCTCCGCTCTTCCACCTTTTCTGCTTACCACTTCTCAAACCTGTTCCCACATCACTCTTGCTCCTCAAAAATTGCATTCGTTTCTGCTTGGCCACATTGCTTACTGAATTGTTGCCTATCGACCATAATTTCCGTGTTCTAGATCTCGCCGAGGCCTGCATCTCGATTCCGCGTACCCAGTTAGCTCCCCACCCACACCCGAACCAACACTCGGCGCGGGCACATCTGCCTGCGCCTTCAGTTATTGTTGTTACTTTCAGATTTACTCGAGATACCACTCGCACTATTGCGACATCGACATAGCTGACCATGATGCCCTCCGGCGCCAACATGGGTGGTGAAGGGAATTCTCACAAGCGACCTGGATCGCCGCCGGGCGACCTGTCAATGCCTCCAGCAAAGATGTCTAAGTCTGGACACCTTCAGATCAACTATCTGAAGCGAGAAAAGAAGGAGGTCATACCTCTAGCTACACCAGAGGAGCCAATGCCTCGCCTGATCAGGCTGCTCCAAGAATATGATGCCGTCTTGCAGCGACACGAGAGTTTAGCTGGCAACCTTGGAGCTTGTCCTGTTGGTCCTATCCTGTTGAAGAGGTTCGAGCGGTTGTTCGAGGGGCCACCAAGGATACTGAAGTCGAATAGTCGTGACCCAAACATATCGTGGCTTGATGTTGTGGAATTTGCGCAGAATAAGCCTGAACAATTTGATCTCGAAAAGACACGAAACGGCATACGAGTTTGCCAGTTCTACCTCAAACAGTGCCGCGTTGAGATTTCTGAGGAAGACTATGTGCTCATCCGCAGCGGAATGCCACAGAAACTAATTCCCCCACAACCAATTCTAGAGGATGAAGAGAAGGAGCTCGGAGTTATAGATGTACTTGACCGTAACTTGGGGAAAATTTGGCACTCAGCCGACCAAGGCAAGCAATCCGGACCCAGTCTGCAATTCCTACTAACTTATCGACAGTTTCCGCTCGAGCACGACAAGTGGCTCATCGTATCAAGAATCGACGTACAGCAATTCTGGCAAGACGAGAAGCTGAAGGAGACGTCGCTAGGAACGTGCTTAGGTCAAATGACCTTCCACCATCGCCGGCGTTTGAGCACAATGGCGTGCTTCCAGCAGCGCCTGAGCAACCATTACAGTCGAGAGCTCCGCCTGTATCATCAATTCCTTCTCCTACCATGCCTTCTAGTGGTTTCACCGCTGTAAATACACGGCACTCTCTCCCTCCTTCAGAGGCTCAACCTTTCTCCATGATGCGGGAGATACACCATGATCACCAGCAAGAGCCTGTCAGGAGAGAGTCAGCAGTAAGAGAGCCCATTTCGGATGGGCCATCCACCCACACTCCGGCACAACACCATTCGCATCGGATGTCCGACCCAAAGCCTACAGCTGCTGTCGGCGATGATTGGATGAGCAAGTTCTTGACACCAAGCGAACGTGCCGCCGGTTTGACAGTCGATCAAGTACGACGAGAGAACCTTACTTCGCCATATCGAACCACGTCTCGAGGCGAGACCGGCCCCACCATTGATGACAGCAATCGTATGTCGAGCATGCCACCAACTAAGCAGGAAACTCGAAGACAGTCCGAAGGAACCTTGCCGGAGAAAGCCGTCTCTGTTGCAAGCACTGAAGGCCAAGGCCCGTCGGTGCCTATCCCGAACACTCCTGCTTCCTTGATGCCGCAACAGAAACCACAAAATTGGATCAGAGATGATGGTGGTCCTCACAAAGCTGAAATGATTTCACGGATGGAGACAATGAAACGTGGTGAGCGCGTGATTCCTCCTTGCGATAGATGCAGGAGACTTCATATGGACTGCACTAAGAACTTGACCGCGTGTCTTGGATGCACCAAGAAACATGCAAAATGCTCCTGGAAGGATGTGAGTATGGATGAATTGGAAAGTACAGCTCCAGCTGCACGTGAGAGGGAGAAGGAGCAGGACAACATAGTGGCTACAACCGCGTCGGATTGGGACAATATGCTGAAGTACAACAAGCCAGATCAGCTCGAGCAAGGCAGAACCAGTCCAAGCTCCAGCTCTGTTCCGACAGCAGAAGCCGCACTTGACATTTCCTCTAATAAAGCGTCTACACCCAGGATGCACAGTCCACCTCAGAATGGTATTGCAAGATCATCCAACCACCTCCAAGAGTCTCCAAGACTGGATGTTCGCCCTCCTCCCTTAGAACAACAGCTTCGTGATGCTACCGAAGACAGGACACATCAGCTTGGCGCGACGTCGAGGTTTTCACCCTTTCCACGACCGTTTTCACAGCACCAATACTCGAACCAGTTGAAAGATGAGTCGGCTGATACTGGTGATCGATTGGCGGCCATAGCGAACCAGGTCTATCGATCTGCTTCGCAAAACACGAACAGAGTAGGTGATGTGAGGATGACTGAGGCTGCATCTTAGCAAAATGCTCAGGAGGTTACCAGTACGGAATGCTCATTACCACCTTTGGAGATACAGTCTACGCCATAGCAGGCAAAGTCATCTTCTCGAAGCAAAGTGATTGAGTCTCTCTGTGTTCCTGGCATAGAGCCTGGCAGTCACGTCTATGGTGGACAGTCAGGCCAACGTCTGCCCAGCACGATCCATGGCAAGCCTAGGGTAGTGCCTTCGAAGATGTTGTTGGTGCCACTCGATCGACAGGAATTCCTTCAACGAATGGCAAATAACGTTGGCAAGCGAAGATCAGCGATCTCCACATCCTCCCCATGTTCTTCAACTTGCAAAGACGAGACAGAAATGCGACTAATTTTACTGTGGGCTGGCTGGGGTCGGCCTCCTTCTGTTCTCGATTTCGAAGTTGCGAAGGGTAAAAACACAAGATCTTGAGCTTGTTTGAAATTATTCTTGAGGCAGTTGTTAAGTATTTGTAAATCACGATATTATTGAATATGGTATCATTGTTCCTGCAGACTCATTCGGACCTTGCTATTGTTTCTGCTCTCCTCCTCCCATATTTAAGCTACTTGTATGTGTGCATCCCAGATTTCAACGAGGGCTTCTTGTTATGAGATCCTGATATTCTACATAAGAAGTTCTGGCCGTTGGTCAAATAGTCCATGCTCTGGATCTACTGTATGACTATTGCGGCAAAATTGGACTCTGATATAAGTGCTTTCGATTACAGTCACTATATTTGAAGAGCTTGGGGATCATGCACTGTGGTTTGGCAGGGTAAGTGACAGCATGCATGAATCCGACCATAATCTATTTACCACCGTAATTAACAGGCAGCAGATTGTCGAAATATACGTCGCTATTCGATGAGTAGCAGTAACAAAATCATGTCTGACATTCATCAAGCTAACAACCCGAATTCCGCATCTCGTACCCCTCTATGCCGATACCTTAGCCGAAAGTCCAGGCAGAGTGCACCAAACATCACCAAACCCACAACTGGAGAAACATGGAGATACGCTGAGCAGTTACAGCCTTCGGAACATGGAGAAAGTCGTCCACTTGAGAATGGTCATCGACGTATCGGAGCTGAGCAGTTGGAAAGCTTAGACTGCCGCAGTCTGCTTGACAACCATTGGCTAAGCATGCAGGTTCTTGATATGTACTCATGCTTCAGGCATTTAATGATTGTATATCTAACTGAAGTTATTCAGAACAAATGCTCGACAGGAGAGTAGAAGAGCTTCTCAATAGCTGCTAGAGCATTCAGCCCGAGAGTGTAGAGACTTGCTGTTACCTCTGAGAATCACGGGAGGACAAATACGGGTTTCCACAAAACCCTAGGATAACTCGTTTGAACAATATCAAGATACTCGGTAAGTCTCCTAACACATTACGGATCAGATACACTCGAGCAGCACATGCGAATGGTACTCAGTACCACAAACTATATGTGCAGCATCTAACGAGAAACTAAGCTCTACAGACTTTTCACGCACAAGATATCAGGTCAATCTGAACAAGTAATAATTATACCTTCGACTGAATAGGTCTGGAGAAACCGTAACACACTCAAAACAGTAACATTGGGAGCTCTACAACAAGATGGACCCCTCCAAGATCTCTCTTCCTGAGCTGAAGAACCTGACTACAGACAACATCACAGACAATGTACACCTCATCAACACCCATAATAACCCTTCACCACGCCTATCATACATACTCGACCGCCTAGTGACCCACCTCCACGACTTTGCTCGCGAAACTCGCCTCAGTACCGGCGAGTGGATGGCCGGCATACAATTCCTAACTCAAACCGGCCAGATCTGCACCGACGTCAGACAAGAATTCATCCTATTGTCAGACATCCTAGGCTTAAGTCTGCTCGTTGACAGCATGGACCATCCCAAACCGACAAACCTGGGAGTCACAGAGGGCACAGTCCTTGGCCCCTTCCACACACACGAGGCAGAACACATGGAATCCGGCTCGAATATGTCGCAGGACACCGAAGGTGAACCATTACTTGTGATATGCACCATTAAGGATACAAAAGGAAATCCCATAGAAGGTATCAAGATTGATATCTGGGAGACTGATAGCACGGGACACTACGACGTTCAACGACCGGAGGTGAATCATGGAAAGCCTGACGGACGCTGTGTCATGACCAGCGATAAAGAGGGAAACTTTTGGTTCAAGGGTATTGTCCCTGTGAGCTATCCTATTCCTCATGATGGGCCGGTGGGGAAATTGCTTGTGAAACTTGGGAGACATCCGTGGAGACCGGCGCATATGCATTTTATGTTTGAGGGGGAGGGGTGGGATCGGTTGATCACGTAAGTCACAATCCTCTCTACTTTACAAGTTCTTGTCCCGCGGCTAGACGACGAAGAACTGTACTAACATTCCCTCCCCCACAGAGCTCTATACGTCCGCGGTGACCCCTACGAGACAACCGACGCAGTCTTTGGCGTCAAAGACTCGCTGATCGTGGATATCAATACTGTGACTGATGAAGCTATGGCGAAGCAGTATGATGTCAAGGTTGGCTCTAAATTGCTAACGTATGACTTTGTGCTCGTGAGTGAGCAGGAGAGCTCGGCGTTGAGAAATGAGAGGGCAAAGGCGGCGCTGGAGAAGCTGGGTAGAAGAGTTAAGATTGTGGAGGGGTTGCCTGTGCCGGACGTGGACTGAGGGCGGTGGTGATGTGAAGGCGCGCACAATCGTAGACCAATTAATGCTTAAGTCCGTGGCACGCTGAGGTGAACTCAGGGAAGATCAGCAGTCGTAATCGTGGCACTACGCAGGTGACTCGCGACTCCAGCTACTCTTGGGTCTAACAGCAAGACTTTGGGTCAAGAAAGGCTATTTCCATATTGGCACTATGTATTTCTTGCAGGAGAATATACCAATCATCTACCGCCACTGTAATCAGGCTTGTAAGGCGCGATACCTCCCCTCGAAAGCTCCCTTAGTGCCATAGTCGCATACTGACTCGCGCCTAGCTGAAACTTGAGTACAACAGCGAGCTTGCTGCCTCGCTCCTCGTCTTTCCCATTCGTGACTTTAGAAGATGGCCGAGCCTCTTGGTTTTCTTTGTTAGAAGAACTCGGATGAAGTCCACTAGCCTCCATCTTCTCGCGTAAAATGTCGAGGTCGGTCTTCACAAACTGCTCATCGTCTTTGTCGTAGGTATGTACATTGGCCTCGAAGTCCTGGCCAATTCTTGCGAGTATTTTTCTATAAGACCCACTGAGACTGAACTCGCGATGTCTACGACGCATATTATGCGGGTTGATGCGACCTCCTTCTTCGCTTTGCATGTAGGTTTCGTAGTACTTGCCAATATTGTTGTCAGGGTATAATATATCGTAGCCAGGTTGCGGCAGGACAACATCGAATATGGAGTATTTGCCTGAGTTCGCTTCCTCCTCGGTCAGTGCTCGAGCACGTTCGAACATGTCGTCTTCTTGCGCGGCTCGGTCATGGTCAGCTGGCTTAACGATTTGCTCACCATCCTCGTCGATGGCCATATTTTCTGATCCATTGGTCTCTGATACGTGCACCTCTTTCTCTTTATGCTCATTGACTAAGACAAGGTCGCCCTTGATGACTTTGTTACCATAGACTTTTAGACGCTGGGTTGCAGCTAGATTCCAAATCAGTGACTGGTAAGCATGAACATACATCAACCTCAAATTTCGCTGTATGCCAGACAATGCACCGAAGTAGTCGGTGGGATCTCTATTGAGATGCCGCATGATCTGCGTTTCTGCTGAGAACTTCCGAGGCAGGATACTTAGTGCTTCGTCCAGGCTCGAACCTGTATGCCACTTGTGAATGGCAAGAGCGCGATGCTTGTCGTCCTGACCTATAGTTGAGGTCAAATCAGAACGGAGAGACGCTTCTAATGCATCTGCGTGGAAAGAGATGATTGCATCACAAGCACTTTTGAAGTCTTCTCTCAGTATGTGACGACCAATGGTGTCTGTCCTCACTGAGAACGTGCCAAAACGTTGTTCGCCGTAGTAATTGATATAGCCGTTGTCACGCAGACTTTGCAGTCTCTGTTCAATATCCTGCTGCACGATATCTAGCTTCGAATTCTGGTCTTTAAACAGAGGTGTTTTGCAATCTCTCAGAGTGATCACGAACTCATTACCTCGTAGATCTCCAAGCTCGAGACCACGTTGATGATACTGGAAGTCACCAATTTTGGATCCTCGCAATGTCTGGTTTTGGGCAGCCAGTCGCTCGGCTTGAATTCTGTACGCGCTACACCTCTGCGTGGTAATCGCTCTTCTGTCTTTTGTGCCTGCAAACTGAAAAACTTTGGCATTACATCTGAGCTGCTTTGTGAGCCAGGAAATTGCTTCCATAGTGTCCTTGTTCTCCTTGTATAGAGTAAAGTGTACGTGATCACCACCTCTTTCCTGCCAGACAGACTTGCCTGATCGCGAGTTGTTTTGGGAGGGTAAGTTTCGCGATCTCCATTGCTGTTTGTCACGCCCTGGCCCTCCAGCTGCCGAGAGGACAAGAAAGCCATCTTTATCTGTGGAGCTGTCGATCTTAGAGTTGAACGTCTCGCGTATGAATTGATGGATTTGTGAGCGTACTGATCGATCCGAGGTGAACTCTGCACGAACACTTGGTAACCCGCTCAATTGTAGCCGCGCAGTGTTCTTGATTGTCTCGTGAAGGTCTATAATCTCGGACGCAGCCGGTTCTTGTAGATACTCAACCAGCTGTTGACGCTGTTCTTCAGATATTTGATTGTCGGTATGGGCTCCGTGCTCTACCTTGGTCATTTCTTCATGCTCAGAAGCTCGGTTCTTGGCCTCGATTTCGATTGGTGCTGGATTGTCAGGTCCTACAACGTCCTGCAAAGTCGCATCTCCTCTCCCTTGTGGCACTGATTCTGGTTCACCTTGTGGTGGTGGTGGTGGTGGTGCTGATGGCTTTGTGTTTTGCAAGTGAACGACCTCGCCACTTGGTAGAATCTCATTCACAATAAAATCTGAATACCTAGTCTTTAGGACACCAGCGAAACTTGAGATATTGGCGTTTATGAATGTCTGAATACCCACTTCTGATTCTCGACTCTGAACGGTAGCCTCTGAAGCCTGGACCTCAACTGGAGGCGTGGCAAGCATGGGTTCGTCTGGAAGGTGAGCGCCAATACCAGTCTCGTTGTTAGACAAGCGTCTGCGCTTTTGAGGAGGTTCATCAACGCGATCATTCTTTTCAGTGGTTGCCATCACGTCAACTATACTTCAAAATATGTGAGCTTGGAACAAGGAATCTAGGCGCTTGGATATCGAGCGTAGTTGGCAGCAGAAAAGGCAGTGTATATTCAGATCAAAATATGAAATTTCCTAGCTCAAAAAATAATATTCCGGCAGAACATGTCATGGCCGCTATTGCACACCCTAAGAGGGTGAGTTCTGGCAGCTGCTCCCACGCATACTCAAATAATATGATATCGAGAACGGGCTATAGCGCCCCGGCAAATTCATGTGAGAAAGAATATGGACAGTTATGCGTCGACTGGGAGATAGCCATCCTCGAAGTCGAGAAGTGATGGGTAGAATAAGATCTCGTAGACTTCCGCCAGGCGCTTTCCTAATTCCAACGATCGGCTACTTTTCTTCCGCCGCAAATCAGTGCCTAGTGGTAGTCACGAATCTGACACGGTTCGACGCGTTCACGTCCCCAGAAATTTGTCCAACAGGCCATCCTTCATATCAATGTGGCAATCGGGCTATCATGAACTTCAAGCCTTTCAAGCCACCCGGACTGAAGCGGTTGGATGAGCGAAACTCTTCCAGCACATCTCAAGGAGCTGGCAATCAGTTCAAGAGACGAAAGCTGTCTCCGGACGACGATGAAGAGCCCACCATTTCTGTGAAATTCGAACGACCTCCCTTGAAACCTGTCTCGAACTCATCAAATGCTACGAAGATTGCTAAAAGCGAGAGTGAAAGTAGAACGTTCTTCTCTATCGTGTGGCGAAAGATTACACCTAAGAAAAACAAGACTTGGGAGGACGATGGCATCTTGGTCTACAAGAATGGAGCGATTACAGCCTACAATAGTAAAGGTCACAGACTAGGCGGATGTGTACGAGAGAAAGAACCTGAACTCGAGGACTTGCTGTCACTAAGTGGAAAAGATATACAAATTGAAGCCAAGGTTAGCTACGAAGACTTTGCTCGCATTGTTGGTAGAGACAACTCTGCTCCAAAGGATGAGAACGTGGTAATACACCATGGGAAGCCACAGCAAAATGGCAGCACGCAGAAGTCGTCCAAGGCCCCTAAGATGAGCTTACAGGACCAAATGCGTCAGCAGATCAAAGAATCGTCTGCTCAGAAGGCGGGTCTAAGCTCCAAGACTGCTCTCTTGCCTTCAGCCAGGAATGCGGCTTTTCGACAACCTATGAAGGATGCCGTAGTAACCCCCCAACAGCCTTCGGAAGTTCCTGTACCCAGACACGATCCCACCACACCTAATGCAGTCGTGTTCAAGCGACCACAGACAGCACTTCCAGGAAAGCAGATCGTTGATGTTGTCCTTGACCCGTTGCTTACAGCACGACTTAGACATCACCAGAGAGAAGGTGTCCAATTCCTCTACGAGTGTGTCATGGGTTTGCGAGATTTTGGAGGTCAAGGTTGCATATTAGCAGATGATATGGGATTGGGAAAGACCTTACAGACTATTGCACTCATATGGACCTTAGTCAAACAAAACCCTGTCTACAAGGACGAGCCTCCTGTCAAGAAAGTCCTCATTGTTTGTCCTGTGACGCTAGTTCAGAACTGGAAGAAAGAGTTCAGGAAATGGCTCGGCCGTGATAGACTTGGAGTCATGTCTTTCGGCGATGAAGGTAGCCGATTGAGCATGTTCGACGGCAGAAACTTCAAGGTCATGATAGTGGGCTATGAGAGATTACAGAAGATTGCAGAAGACTTGACAAGAGGTTCTGGCATCGACCTAGTCATCTGCGATGAGGGACATCGGCTGAAGAGCTTGCAGAACAAAAGTGCCAAAGCTATTGAGACCCTGAACACAACTAGGCGCGTGATCTTATCAGGTACGCCCATTCAAAACGACCTAGGCGAATTCTTTGCCATGGTCAACTTCGTCAACGATGGCGTCCTTGGAAGCTGGAAAGGTTTCGTGAAAGACTACGAAAAGCCAATCATGAAGAGCCGGCAACCCAAGGCCACGGAGGAAGATATTGAGAGAGGGCAGGAAGCTAGTGATGACCTGGCTAAAACGTAAGTGTCTCCTGAAATATCCCTGCTGGCCGGACCAGGCATTCCACGAACTGCGAAATGGGCTTACAAAAGATAAAGGACATCACCCTTCATTTTACGTCGAACAGCTGATATTGTTTCAAAATACTTGCCACCAAAGACTGAATATGTTCTGTTCTGCCGGCCTACACCTGATCAAGTAAGTGACTGACCTGTACTCATGTGGACCGAAATTCCATGTCATGTCTATGTAATTTGAAATTTGTGCTGACACGACCAGGCAAACGTCTATCGCAGTGTCCTGAAGACTGCGATGTGCCAGGACGCACAAGGCAGCAAACAAGCCGCTTTGCAGATGATTACCATATTGAAAAAGCTTTGTAACAGCCCAGCCCTGCTAAGACCAAAGAGTGGTGCAGACGAGGACACTACGCCTACCTCTCTCGAAACATTAGAGCAGATGATGCCTAGAGGGACATCTCGATTTTATCACAATTCCTACGCCTCGAAGATTCGACTGCTCGATGAGCTACTTCACCAAATTCAACAGACAACCAACGACAAAGTTGTTCTTGTGTCCAACTACACAGCAACTCTAGATATCATGCAGAATTTGCTTACCTCCCTCAACCTAAGCTTCCGTCGTCTCGATGGCTCTGTTCCAGCTGGGAAACGACAGGCCATGGTCGATGAATTCAATCGCTCGAGTCCTACAGCATGTTTTGCATTCTTACTTAGTGCTAAGGCGGGTGGTGTTGGGATCAACTTGGTCGGAGGAAGCAGGCTTGTTCTATTCGATGTGGACTGGAACCCTGCTACCGATGACCAAGCAATGGCACGTATTCATCGAGAAGGTCAAAAGAAAGCGTGCTACATATACCGCTTCGTAATCAAGGGCGGCCTCGAGGAGAGAATCTGGCAGAGACAAGTCGTGAAGAGAGGTCTTGCTGATAGCATTATGGACAATGGAGCAAATTCAGGTGGGAAGCAAGGTAGCGACACCGCTGCTTTCAGCATGGACGAGCTGAAAGACTTGTTCCGATTGGACGAAAGAGATGGCTTACGAACTCATGACTTAATCAGTTGTGATTGTGGAGGCAAAGGTTATATCTCGGCCAACAACGGTTCCGTTTCAAGCGAGAAAGACAGTATGGAAGCGTACGATATCGACCACCTAGAATCTGACGGGGACGAAGAGCAACCACTATCTACATTCTCATTCGTAAAGGCTTCAGAAATCAGTGAGCAAGTTATCGAGGATCAAGAGGAGAGCATACGGGCTGGCTCGAGCCCGCGGAAACCATCGAAGAAAAAGCAGCGCAAACAGCAAAACGCGAAGCTAGAGCAGGAACTCATGACATATACCCATATCGATACCTCGATCGCATCTTCGCTCGATGAGACCGAGCTTCAAGCCTTGGGAGATGTTGTGGACGACCCTTGTCTGATGCATGTTCTGAAGCAAGGTAGAAACTTGACGTCAGGAGACATTGCGTATATCTTCATGAAGCAGTCCAAGGTTACTGTCCTTGGAGACGATCCTGTTGACGAAGCTGGTTAGAAGTCAGATGAGCCCTCACCAGTACAAAAAAGTATTGCTGAGTTTACGCTGCCAGGGGCTGCACAACATGAGACATGAAATGAGGACCGCGACTGAATAGCCAGCACATATACAACACAGATCACGAAGACTAGATAGACGCGATACCTTGATAAATTCCTTTCGGATGAACCACTAATGTGTACATTACTCATGAGTCACGATATGCAGTACTTTCAGTGTTCCAGCTTTAGCAGATGAAACACGAACTTGGAGGTCACAACTAACAGCTATGGCTTGAAGCCTAACCATTTATATAGGCACTCCTTTTAGGTCTCGTCATGGGATCTCTTTAGGCAGGTGTGACGGGGCTCGCATGTCATCCACACCACGCTGCTTCTGTAAAAGCACCAGCGTGGTCTACACACTCTTCCGAGCTCTAATATGACAAAGCAAGGGTTCCTTGGCCCAAACAACATACGTCTTCTGCTTCGCCCAATGTTGCTCCTTGTCCACAAGCTCCAAATCGAAATTCCACAGCACTCTAGCCAATATCTGCCGCATCTCCGCAAAAGCGAGATTCATACCAATACAATTTCGGGGCCCAATCGAGAAAGGCTGACGAGCATCGCGATTATCGCTATAAAAAGGCGATTTTTCGTCCGAGTTCAATTCCGGCATCCATCGCTCTGGCTTGAAAGAGTCTGGCTGACTAAAGTTTCGATGGGACATGTTCGCTGCTAGTTGGTGGACGCCAACGTGTGTACCTGCTGGCACGGCGTAGCCTGAGATTGTTGCGGGTTCTGGAGTGGTTCGGACGAGGCAGGTAGGTACTGGTGGGTACATTCTTAGACCTTCTTCGAGACATGCTAGTGTGTAGGGGATCTTGGCTGAGGCTGAGGTGAAGGTTATATCGTCTTGGTTCTCGAATGCGGAGCGGACCTCCTGCATTGCATTCTGGATTACGCCGGGTGTTTTGAGCATGTAGTAGGTTGTGCCAGCGAGTAAGGTAGAAGAGGTTTCTGATCCTGCCACTGGGACGAGGTTAGCCCGAGAGGATGAATCTAGGTATTGGATCTTTCTAGCTGTAGCGGATCATTGTGATACTTACTAAAGAGTATATGCGCGTTACTACCTAGCTCCGCATCACTGATGGGGTCTTTCATCTCACTGTGCCTGAGCAGAGCCTCCATGAAATCGCCTCTCCCGTCTTTCGATCTGTCGTTCTTGCGTTTCATGGCTGTATCAGTACCAATTTTGAATAGGTTTTCTCTCTTGGTCTGAACACTCTTGCCAATAAAGAGGCTGATGGTCTTCCAGATAGAAGGGTAGAATTTCGCTAGCTGTATCATTGGCACGACCTGAAGGAATTTGAAAATCGTAATAATGTATTCAGTGTATGCCTTGTTCTTCAAGCAGTTCGATGGTTCTCCAAATGCAAGATCAGATACTTGAGTTGTGTTAGTGCTTTCGATTCCAGGCTGGGAGCAAATACTTACTGATATCGAATGTCGTCAAGTTGTACCACATCGTCATGTCAGCATTCTGCCCCTTGTCTGCCTCCTCTCGTAGACTCGCGATGAGGATATCGACATAACCTTTGATCAAGTCTTCTTGTAGTCTCAAGCTCTGTTCGGAGAAGGCAGGTGCCAAAGCCTTTCGAAACCTGGCGTGTTCGACATCGTTACAGAATAAGATGTTGTTCACGGAGCCAGGAGGCCGGAACTCCTAAGCACTGTTAGTTCTTAGTAATGTCAAGTCGTTGCCACAACCGTGAAATATGGTGATCATCAAAGGCGGCCTTCCAGACGTACGCAATCACACTAAAGTGAGTTGCCAGTTTTGCAAACCACCAGTCGCGTGAATGCATCTGAGTGCGGCATAGTTGAAGAATACTCACTTCCTTTGGCCATTGCTTGGAACCATGGCCATAACCATATATATCTTTCCAAGCTTGTGCTGTGGTGAATGATAGACTGTCATCTGTGAACCGAACGACTTCACCGAATCGCTGATGAAACTTTATGAGTTCACGATCAAGATTACCCGTCGCGGCGAAAATGCGACGGAGGACAGGGAAAGCAATCCATAATTTCGGACCTGGAAAGGAGGCTAGTGGGTGAAAATAGATATTGTAGATTGCACCAAAGATCTGATACCCTGTATATGCCGCTACAGCAGCAACCACAAGCCAGGGAAGCATATTGTATGATGGTTTCTGAGTAAGTGGGTGCTTGCTAGAAACGACACGGAGTACAGCTCTTCTAGATCACAAAATCTTGGTGTGCTTGGACTTACAACGATGATCAGGCAGCCGAGTAATCTGACCATGCACGATTAACATGAGCTGTATCGGGCATTGCGGGAGCGAACAGGCTGAGAACAGTCAGGCCACCCAGGATGATGTGTGTAGTGTGCAGCTCGTGATGGTAGTTGAGGTTCAGGTTCAAGCTTGATTGGCACCTGCCTCGGCACTACCACGAAAAGGGTTTGATTAGTAGATATTGAGCATGTCGTAGAAACCTTAGGGGTCAATTTCCTAGCCGATACAGTGAGATAATCGCGACTTCAGAATTCCAATTCAAGCCATGGGGGAAAAAAAAAAAGAAGGAAATTCCGAGTTCTAAGCACTCTTAAAAAAGGCTTGTGATTCAACAGCTGTTAAAGAGAACACCCCTGGAGTTTATGATCTCTCGCAACATAACCTGGCAAAATAATCGCATCCAGCCGAGAACCCTCTATATTCAGAGATGCACAATGCAGGCTCTCTTGACAGGGTCGCACACAGCTGTACATTTCGAGCCTGCACCTGATCGTACAGGTTCGTCTTCACTACGCCTCTCGGACCCCATGAATTTCCAACGTCCTAGGAATGTAATCCAATATGTCTTCTGAGGAGCACACCGTTCTGCGTTCTTGCGTCCAGCTAATGCCCATACAGAGTCACTTTTGCATCACGAGAATCGGACATCTATCCAGGCTCGGAGCTGTCGACCCTGGGTTGGAAGATGGGGGCTTCAAGGCCCACTGCAGGGATCAAAGATCACAATGCCAGCGAACCCAGGTCGCGTATTCGTCGTAGGAATACGACAAGCATACGTAGACTGACACTATAGACGAACAGTAATCTTTCAGCACCTCGAGAACGTTCCGCCTCACATGGTGTCGTGTCCAACTTAGGGGCAAGCGAGGTTGTCCTTGTAGATAAGTAGACCACAATTTTGGTTTTTGTTTGGTCATGGGATTGCTACACCCCCATGCTTTCGCCATGTGGCATCTGTACAAGGACGTTCGCCAACAGGCCAGTTTAGTGCCGGGTTGTGATGCACCACATGTCAAAAAGACTTTTAAGGCTTGGTGCCGACACCCTTACAAGGTGTGGAGCATGAGAATCCTGCCATTGATGCGTTTGCGAAAAGTGCATGTTCGTTGATCAGCACATCATCAAAGCCGTCTGGGACTCACAATTGTGTTGTTCAGGACTGGCAGAGCCTGCATGTCGGATCAAGGTTTTTAAGACGTTCAGCCGCTTATGGGGCCGGTCATGAATTCGCTCGTCTTCATGTTGCCCATATTGCCGGCGAAAAGACCATTTTTCTCAAGTTCTCTTCGACGACTCTTCAATGCTAGCAATCCTCCAGCACCATCTCTCTCTTCCATTCGTTCCTCTCTTTCCATACGCCTCGCTTGATGCTCTTTCTCAGCCTCTTCGCGCCATTGGTTCACTTCTTTGGGGATGTAATTCATTTGTACTGATGGTGCACCTCGTATATATCTCATTTGTTCATGCACTGATCGCACAATCTTATCAATATCAGCTCTTGTGTTAAGATTCTGTCCTTTCCAGCCTCCGAGGTTAGGAAACAAGGTCATGCCCTCCCTTCTGAAATGTTCACGATACGGCATGTCCTCCGGCAAGTCGGGATCGATCTTGTTTGCAGCGCCAATGGTGATCGAAGTCTCGTGAGCCCAAGCCCGGGCCACGTTGCGAGGTGTGTAGCCACCACCACCAAGCACTAGCAGTGGCTTCTTGAACTTCGTACAGTAATCGGTGCAATATTGCACGCAATGTCCATGACCCTTAATGTTGAGGTTGAAACATCCAAGCCGGTCGTGGCCTAAACTATCAGCTCCACATTGTAGAACAATCGCGGAAGGGTCATAGTTCCGGGTAACTGCTCCAATAACTGTATCAAACAGGTAGGCATAATCTGCGTCCGTTATGCCGTCGTTGAGAGGCACATTGATGGTGTGATTCCGTCCAGGATTATCGGGGTGATGCGGACCTGTACTGTCTAGTGGGCCTGTTCCAGGGAAAAATACTTCCTTATCGTATTTATGGAAGGAAACACAGAAGACTCGGTCGGTGCTCCAAAATGCAGATTCCACTCCATCACCATGATGCACGTCTATGTCGATGTACAGGACTCGTGGATGATAGGCTAGCAGTTCAATTATAGCTAGGACGATGTCATTGACGTAGCAGAAGCCAGATGCCTCGCCTTTCTTCGCGTGATGCAGCCCTCCCGTCCAGTTAAGGGCGATATCAGACTGCTGATTAACCAATTTACTGGCAGCGTCGATTGAGGCACCAGCATAGAATGAACAGTACTCAAAAAGCCCGTCGAAAATTGGACAGTCATCTCCCACGCCGTAGACAGATGAGCTGAACCCTGTTGGCTGGGCAAGTTCCGGATACATTTCGATGAGATTCTTGGGAGTCGCGACTGACAAAAATTCGACGTAGTCTTCCTTGTGGAAACGGGCAATTTCCTCCTTGTAAGCAGGACGTGAGGAATAGAGATCCATAGCATTGTGCATTTGATAGCCCATTATAAGGCTTTTGGTGAGTGTGAGGCGCCATACTTTCATAGGGTGCAATTGACCGAAATGATAGCGCTCAACGTCAGGGTTATGGTGCCACGACACGCGATACCCTTTAGGCTTTTCGACCGCACCATTGCGGATTTCGTCTTCGATTTTGGAAGAGTACGTGAACGTCGATTGGTGGTTGTACTCTTCGACTATGTCTTGCGCCATGATTCACGGTGATCGCGATCACTTCATCACGGTTTGTGAGGCAGCAGAGCTCGTGTTAACGCGAAGTTGCTCCCAACACATTCTAACCAGAGATAAACATTGGAAGGCCAGGTTCATTGACAGACAGTAGGCGATGGAATTTCCAAGTGCCGCGATGTTTCTATAAGAGTACGTTTGAATCTCAACCTTGAGCTGGACTGGGATCTGCCAGCCACTAATGCATCACGTGGAACGCGGCTCAAATTAGTCAGGCACGACGCCTCTGGAACTCCACTTACAGACTTGACTCCGTGTCACTCTATTTCTCAACCTTGTTCTCGAAATCTCCATGTGTCAGAACAACAAGCAACTACACAGTCATTTGCAGTTTGCAACAACATTTCAGGCGCACCCAAATTCTGCAATATGGCAGGAGAAGTAGGCGATTGTGCGACTCTACTCGAACAATTCATTCATGATGCGGCCAATTTGCCAGCCGAAATCAATTACATGATGGAGGAGATCCAGGCTATTGACAAAGAGCAGCAAAAGTCACTGTCAAGCATTACTAGCAAAGAAGCAACATTACAAAAACAGGTGAAGAACCATGGATCGCTAGTCATGCATCCTAAAGAACAAGAATTCGCAGCTTACAACCGAAAACACTATGATATCTGCCTCGAATTCCAGGACAAGAAAGTGGCTCATAGCGAGAAAGCACTTTCGATACTGGATCGCCAACTTAGAAAGTTTGACGTGAGGTTACAACAACTGCAAAAGGCCGGTCAGCTTGACGAAGACGAGTACTTGTCCAGTTTGTACAGCCGCAAAACAGACAATCAGAAACTGCCATTTGACATACCACAAAGCAATATACCACTCCAGGCAGCAAAAATAAGTGCGCTGAACACTGGCGCGGCTCGTGCCAACTCTCAAGTGATCCCAACCATCCGCCAACCACCGCCACGGCAGGTCCAGCAGATAGCGACATCGATAACACAGCCACAACGGAACTCAACGCCGGCAACTCCAATCGCAGTTGTAGCACAGTCCCAAAAGCAAGGGCAAGAGCGAGAGCAATCGATAGGGGCAGATAGTAAGCGTCGAAAACTCAATCTCTCAACCACAGGCATCAACATGCCTTCACAACCTTCAGGCTTGCGTCAATCCTCCATCGGGCCTGGAACTCCAAAAGCTGGTACACCAACTGGCAGCCGCGCTGGCAGCATTCCTCGCAGTTCAGTACCAGTAAGTAAAAAGGTCGCAGCAGGAGTTACGAAGAAAGTGCCTCATCAGCAAGTCACCAAACTAAAGAACAAGCACACTAAGCATGTCCGCTTGTCACAGTCTGGTGGCCGCAAGAAGGCAGGATCTCCCGCTGTCCGGGGCGTGAGAGGTGGTACCGAAGCAAGTGAGGATAGCGTTCTCTCTTCAGCCGATGCCTCAGACACAGATACCTCGCAAGCCAAGCGAAGAAGAAAGAAGCAGGCCCACCAGCCCGAGCCTCAGAGCGCTAGTGAAGATGAGGAGGAGACGGACGATAAGAGGTATTGCTACTGCAATCAGCCTAGTTATGGAGAGATGGTTGGTTGCGAGAATCCTAGTTGTAAGAGAGAGTGGTTCCACATATCTTGCTTGGGCATGAAGCAGGCTCCTGACGAAGAGCAATGGTATTGTCCTGAATGCAGAACAGAAGAGGCAGCAAGAGGCAATAAGAAGAGGAAGTAGGAGTATTAGCATTAGCACAATGACATTCGACCGCCTTCTCAGGTGCAAAGGGTTGGTACTGCGTTCCCCAAATAGCTTGCGGAATCCGTCCTTCGCTCAAGTAACCATACAATTAATTCCCACATCTTCTTCTGCTTCGTCATGATTGATTCGATCAACCTTATCCATTAAGAACACATTCAACCATCCCATCGTCCATACATCCATCATGTTCAGGTCAGGGCGTCGTCCAAAAAGATGCACAGATCTTCGCAACGGTTTCCCTCCCTTCCTGCCCTTCCTGCCCTTCCTTCCCTTCTCCCACCTCCCCCCTCAACCAGCACTAACAGGCGGCACAACCCCAACCTCATCCCCCGCCCCAACAACCACTCTCTCCCCCTTCTCGCCCGCCCTCTCCTCCCACTCACAATCCACATACTCCAAATTCACCACGATTTGACTCCCTCTCAGCACTTTCTCGCCTACGCCAGGCCATCGCCGCTCTAACTCGTCAAACAGTGTCCGTAAAGTCATGGGGGCGGGGAGGGTGAGGGATTCGGTATTGGAGCAGTAGGATTGGGCGGAGGCGAAGAGGAGGAGGGTGAATGTTCCTTTTTGGCTGGGAGTGGTGTTGGCACTGGGGTTGGGTGTGGTTGTGGGTGTGGCGTCTTCTGATGATGATGGGGGTGGAGGCTGAGATGATGACATGGTGGTGCAGTATTAATGAGTATTACTTCCGCGTGGATGTGCAGTGGTTATATCTGATATGTGAGGGATTTAGAGGCAGTGGTGATGGTTGATTAAAAGGAAGCTGTGTTGCTTAATACGATCTCGTCAGTGTAAGGAAGATGAAGACGCTGATTAGTCAGACTCTTATGATCATGTCCAGAAATTCGACTCTTGATGGGATCAGCGAGTGTCGTCGAATTCAGCGCGGTGGCGTAAGTCGATGGTTGACTCTATCTCATGCCCACAACAAGGGAAGCACAGACAGGTTGATTACTTCACGGACATGCGAGGCTGCATCCGACGGGGATGGAACAAAGCACGAAGAATCGAAAAGTGGAAGTGACTGGAAGTCACAAAAGGATCATTCGCTTAAGATTTGATTCATGTTTTTGATTTTATGCCGAACACATTCTCGTGTAGCAACAAGAGCTGACACATATACCATGCGAGCTCAGTCGCTTGTATGCACCCACATCCGATAACTCTATAGTACCCATTCCGTCATGTATGCATTAAGCTCCATCAGTCAATATCGCTACCATAATGTTCACATACTCGCTCTATGTATCACGCCATAAGTTGCTTGCTTGCTTGCTTGCTTGCTTGTCAACGAGATTCAACAGTAATCCGATCGATAATGGTACAGCATTTAATGCTCGAGAATTCTCAGGCTGCCCTGTACAACCACGTTCTCCAAGACAGAACCGGGAGGAATATCAATGGTGCTGTTCTCGGTAGCCACAATGATGACAGTGCCCTTAAGAACGATGCCTCGACCGAAGTTGACATCACCAGTAACAGTCAAGTGGTCAAGCTCGACGATATTTGGAATGCTGCCAATTCTCTTCTGGAATTGAGCAACCTTCTTGAAATCACCACCCAACTTGATGAGAGGGGCAGGACCAAATCGTGAAGCATCCATTACCAGCTGTCCGTGGCTGAGTGTATAGAGGTTGGACTTCACGAGCATGAGATCAGAGCAAGTCTTGACAGGCAAGAATCGCTTTCTTGGGACGTTGACACCGTGAGCGTTCTTGAAAAATCGAATGGCAGCGCCAACAGCAGTTTCTAGCTGGAGAACAGATAGATCGGCCTCACCCTTCTTGTCAGCAGGGATGGACTTTTCATTGGGAATGATCTCAAGCTCAAGAGCGTTCTCTTCGACGACTCGCTTGATGGCCTTGACGTTCATCCAGATGTTGTTGGTGTTGAAGTACTTGAACTTCTTGATCGACTTGAATTCATTGACGTATTGCTTTGGAACTTGAGCAATTTCCAGGAGACGAGCCTTGCCCTCGTAGTCGATGATGGTACCACCCTTGACGTCGGCCTTGGTCTTGTCTGTCAACTCCATGATGTACTCAGCCTTAGTTTCAACCATGTGTTGCAGGATTCGCAGATCAACCACGGCACCCAAGTTGTCAGCGTTGGACATGAAGATGTACTCAACGCCTCTTTCAATCAACTGGTCAAGCATGCCTGAGTTGTACAAAGACTCGAACACGTCACCGTGACCTGGAGGATACCAGTCTGAGAGCTGCGACTTGAAGGATTTTGGTGCAGGTAGAAGGGAGTCCTTGAGGACACGAGGATATCGGGACTGGTTGAAGGTCAGGATATCAATGTTGTGACCCTCGTACTTCTTGATAATGGAGGCAGTGTCGTCGTCAGTGTTGAACGAGTTCATGAGGACAAATGGGACGTTGACATCGTAGGTTCGGTTGAGGTATTCGATTTGTCTGACGGAGAGATCGAGGAAGGACATGCCGTCTCTAACCTCAATGACAGACTTGGGACCTACGCAACCCATGGAAGTACCGAGACCGCCATTGAGCTTGACGACTGCGAGCTTGTTCAAGAAGTCGACCGCATCACTGTTGGGGAGCTTGTCATAGTTGACCACCTGTTCTGGTGCAGGTGGATTGATTTTGTTCCAGTCAATTGTATTGCTCTTAGCTCGATCATTGAGATATCTTCGGAACAAAGCGAAGAAGTTGTCCATCTCAGCCTCAAATCTCTTCTTCTGGGAAGGGTCATCGACCGTCTCAGACAACTGGTTCAGTGCATTTCGCATCTGACTGGCTGCGACATTCGTAGATGTGTTCTCGAAAGCCTGGCTGGGCATTAGTGATTTATCCGTCATCTCTGAAATGGACTCTGAATCAAAGTCTGGTGGTGTGGGTGGTAGGGTGTGGTAGGAATGTAGGTGATGTGAACGGGAAGAAAACAAAGGTGTGCAGTCGCTGGATTTCGAGTAATTGGCAAACGAAGTGCGGGACGCGGCCATCGTTCCTTCAGAAGTGGTAAACACTTTGAAGTGCGGAAAGTGCCAGGCCACTCAAGCTGATCTTCACTTTCTATAGAATTATAGAATGGTAATCCTCAAGCTAGAGCCGCACGCAGCACACAACTGTCTTTATACAGGCATGCCTAGCTCCTTTGTATGCAATCTTCATCCACTCGCTTGTCCAAAAAGGATTGGAGGAGAAAGACTCACCACGTGGGATTGTGTCTTTCCATGATGTCTGGGGGCTTCTGCAGAGCCGTTGGCGGCGGCCTGAGGTCGCAGGTGTGAAGGAATTGCTTTGGACGCCATAATGACAATTGTATGTCTCTTGTCTCAGGTGAATGTCTAGAAACGGAATTCTGTCAGACTTTATACACAGAAATGGACGATAATGACAAGGGTGGAAAAAGGCAGTGGTGATAAGAACTCTCTACTCCATCAGACTGCGAAAGGAGTGACCGAAAGAGTCTGCTACCTGCGTTCTGGGATCGGAACAATCGCGAGTTCCAAGTCCAGCCACCAGTATGAACACGTTGCCCGGTTCCTGTGCACGATGTGGCTTTTTCCACCTGGTCACACAAGGCGGTCTGCAATCACTTACCACAAAGCTCGATAATTGATTTAGAAAGTGGACCGTCGTAGCCAGGAACAGACGGAGAAGGTCGTAGTGTTACAGGGAATCAACACAATGAGTTTGAGGTTATTGATTTTAAACTGATTATGGTCTGAAACAACAGTGGAAATCGTAGCTTTTTATTGCCTGGAATGACATCGTCGGGACTTCTTTCCTCTGACCAACACCTTCCACGATCTGACAATCCCAGCTCCCCACCGCTTGTGAGGGGCATGTCTTTCAGCAGTGCTTCGAGCGAAAAAAGTTGTGTGATCTGCAAGCTGATGCAGGGGAGGTTTTTCCCCATGACAACTTTTTTGGTCGCAGTCTGTCATTCGTAGCTTGATTGAGAGAACCAATCAAGGGGAACGTCGCGACTCGTGGACTCCATCTTCCGTGAGCTCTCACCCTGAAACACAGTGCCACTAGTGCCAACAACTGTTAAACATTGAGCCAATGGCCAGCTTATTTTTCCCACCTGCGGAAAGTGCTGGCCTATGAAGTGCTGCAAAATCTCACCCAAAGCCAAGACTTCCACGCTTGAACCAACAGATTGCGCCTTTTCCAAGATGGTCTATCGTTCGGGTCAGGTCTGGAAGGCTTTCTATTGTTGTCCGTTGGGAACGTAGGAGCGCCGCGACAGACTCTGTTACGACTAGTTCGCTGGAATAGTGTGTGCTGGCGATGGTAGCAGGACGACGTTGCACTGTACACATAGAGCAAAAAGCCAAGAACAAGCAATCAAATTAGCCCTAGAATTCCGCAAGATCCGGCAGCATCGAACAGCCACGAGGAACACCATATCACCTATCTACCTATCTCTATTCTGCTGTCCGTTGTCCTCACTCTACCCTGTAATTGTGGGTATCGTTGAAAGAAAGCACCAAACGCAGTAGCAATGCCCAACAACAGCTCTGAACGACCTCGCTAGAACGATAAAAAGCCCGCATAAAAACATCTTATACCTTGTGGAAAGGATTAGCCGTCATCTAGGCAGGCTCTATCCTTCCACTCGCGTCTCGCTTTCCGAAGAAACTCCGCCTAGGTCCTCCTTCCTTTCGTGATACAGGACTTTCTGCACCACTCGTACTCGGCCTCAGCAGTGAAGCATCTGCAATACCACTGTTTACACCGGATTCAGGTGCAAAGCTGCTGCGGATTACAACCGTACCACTACCACAATTGACTGTCTGTTCAGAGCCACTTCCCTGGTCGGAGACGAAAAACATACCTTCCCCGAGCTCCTTGTCACGGAAAACTTCATGATCCTTGACAACCATCTGGAACGTGGTGTCAGCAGCGCAAGCCACCTTGAAATTCTCGTCTTCGCCGAACATGACAAGACCGTCCTTAGGTTTGAGATGCTTTGTCTTGTAAAGTTCTTTCGTCTTGCCCTTGGCGCCTTTCATACTGACGTGAACTTGAACGTCAGCCTTCTCAGGGAAGCCTGAAGCAGAAACGATGAGGAAATGTGCCGTTCCGCTGTCAGTGCCCTGAGCACCTCCAGCGAAAGTGGTCGATGTATAGCTCGAATGTCGGTTGTGTGTTGACACAGGGGCCATTGGTGAATTGTTGTCACTCAACGCCATGCTCCTAGCAGGTGTCGCTGGTGCCTCGAGCACGTCAGGTACAGGACTACCTTCTCGAACTCCGTTCACAGCCAACTCGGGCTCATCCTTGCTACCTCTGTGCGTGAAGTTGCGTTTGAGGAACGAAGCACCCTTGACCACTCCTCCACCAACCTTGGCTACACCTTTCACTGGTGCACCTACTACTTTGCCAGCTGGGGCAAAAGTTCCTTGGAAAGTGGACGTGCCTTGCCGCGATCGAGTAATGTAACTGGGCTTGAACACCATCTTAAGGCGAATGACACCAGACTTGCCATCCAGAGGATATGTGTACTCTTTCGCTTCGAGAGGCTTCAGCTCTGCAAGCTTAATGTTCGCGCCACCCAGAAAGTCAGCCTTGTCACCAAAGTCCCAGTCGTAGATATCGACACGGAAGTCTGCCGCAGTCCTTGAAGAGATCAACGTCTCAAACGTTTCATTCCATGCAGGATGTAGAGTTTTCTTTTGAGTTTTTGTCTTGTGAATCTCCTTGCCGTTGAGTTTGAATTTGCAATAAGGATCGCTATAACCATTGCGATCAGCTGCAGGTAGCTCTGCCGCGTCCAGTACATCGACACGAAGCGTGCCCATGTTGTTAATGCTTTCGCTGGGGTCAAGGTTCATTTGCACAGGCAAGAATCTGAGGCTAACAGTCACTTTGCTTACACCTCCATCGTCGCCACGTATGGTCAATTCTGTAGGTGTGTACAAGCATTGTGACAAGACCTGTATCGTTTGTCCGGTCAGCTTTGCGATGACATGGTCTTCGCCATCGTCACCTTCCTTATCAACCTTCTCAACCACTCTCAACGTGATACGTGACCAGTCAAGCTCTCGTATAAACGCATCTCCTGTTTCGCCGAATGTGTGGTGCTGTTGACGAACTTTGCCGGAGGAGTACGATGGGAAAATGTGATCGTCCATAACGATCTCAAGCATGACGTTCTTGTGCTGGAAGTTTCCTTCAATGAGCTTGAACACCAATAGACCAGACTCGTATTTAGGTAGGTCGTCCACAGTCATACGTATCTTGGGTGGTTGCTTCTTCTCTAGCGACACTGATTCTTGTAGCGATGGCGCCTTGACAGAAGGAGCTGCAATGCTTTCTGTACGGTCAACAGGAACTGAGAGGTTGCCGGCAGCTTCTAAACTTTTTTGTCCTTCCACGCCGGGCGCCGATCCGTTCACACTGGTCGACACTTCTGGCAGCGCTGTCTCCTGTTCTTCCTTCTCTTCTTCTGGGTCTATCACGTTAAGTGTTGGGAAGAACGATACAGTGTAGGAAAGAACTCCTTTCGCGCCACCTTTTCCTTGCAATCTCAAGCCATCATTGAAGACTTGCCTAGTATCATGCACAAGATAGCCACCGTCCTGCTCGTTCTCCTTGATGTAGTCTGCCAGGGAGACATCGATTTGACCTAACGACCTGTCCTTACCCAACTTCTCCTCGTCCATAACCTCGAGCGTGATACGTTCACGAATTGTGTGGACTGGGACATAGATGACTTCATCCCAGGTAGGTTCAAGGTTGTTCTTGAATGTAACGGTTCGTCCTTTTGGGATACCATTAAGCAATACTCGGCCATATGAGTCCGATTTACCGAGAGTCTCCAGGTTCCTGAGGTCGGAAGCCTTCTGCATGTGAACTCGAAGCACACCAACTGGGGTAATGTAACCACCGGAACTGGTGACGCCAGTGAGAGCGACAGGTTTCCATTCAACCATAAGCTTGGCACGACCTGACTGCGTACCGTGGAGGTTGAACCATTCCTGTCCTTTCTGCATCAGTGTGAGCATATCATCTAGTTTAATCTGGTAGGTTCCCAGGACAGCGTCTGTGGCCAAGTCTCGGTCATCCTTGATGACAAGTCCGATTCGAGCCTTCCTCTTATCCGTGACCAGGACTGAAGTGCTGGGTTCAGGAAAAATCGGATTGTTTGTTCTCTTTAGCTTCTTGGTGATATGCACCTCTTTGCCATTGAGCAGCAGCACGCCATAAGGATTTAGAGCTCCGACCATACTCTTGGAAGAGTCCAGATCCTTGGCTTGTTCAATTGTTAGTCTAGCAATGCCAGTGTTTGACTCGGGCGCAGGCAGAGCATTGCCCTCTGCATCCTTGCCGCCCTCGAGCACGGGGAAAAATCGAACATCACAGTTGAGCACGCCTCGTTGCTTGCCTCCAGCGATAACTTCCAAGTGCTCGCTTTCATGCTCAGCCACAGACTCAAGCCTCTCAAGAGGAAAGGTTGCAGCGCCCAGCTCTTTGTCCTTTCGAAGTTCATTGAAGTCGAACACTTGCAGCGTCAAAGCGTCTGTGAAGTTGGTGATGATGATGTACAGTGTCTCGTTCCAACGTGGATCCGCATTCTCATGTATCGTCTGAGTTCGGCCAAGCTCGTTTCTGCCATTGATAGACACAACGACATAGGGATCAGGGGTGCCTGAGAACTTGTCTGGGTTGCGTAAGCCGTGACCACCATGCAAAGTGATGGCCACCACACCAATGGCAAGATCCACAGGATTACCTGACAGCATCTTGGCAACCTCGATAGGGAAGACGTTTGGTGCATACATCATCGGTGCAAGATTGGCATGAATTTGTTCCATAATGAAGCTTTGCAGACCTGGTATGAAGTTGATATCGAAGCCTAATGTCTCGCCACCTAGAGGTTTGCAGACATAGTCGATCTCAGGTCTTTCGAGAAAGCAGATATCAATACGGTCGACGTATGGATAAGGCAGCTGAAGCTTCATCTTGACACGCATTATGCCGGAGAAGGCGAAATCCTCGACAATAATTTTCATGGACTTACTGACCATTGCTTTTCCAATGCGAATGGCAAGCACAACCTTGGGATTGATCTTGTTCTTGAGCTGTCTGGCTGTCATGTCCATCGTGTCGGTGGGAGTGAAGCTGAATCTCCAGTCCATCATTACAATCTCAGGATCTTCCCTAGGATAGGTCTTGACATGTTCCATTCGAGGTGGCTTCGTTCCAAGAGTGAACGTCTCCATGCGCATACTGTCGAGGAACGCTGGTGTAGAAGTGCTGAGGACCTGATCAACAGATTGGACGATGCTGGTCGCGAGATTAGGCGCGAAGATGGGCCAGAACTTGACCAAGAAGCTGTTCATCCACTCCAAAGATTCATGGTCTGATTCAAGACGACCTTTGGCCAACTCCCTGGTAATATCATCTCGGAAATTTCTGCGTGTTCTTCGGATTGATGTTCGGTAGTAAGTGCCACAAATAGCCATGACAATCGTCACCCATGCAAGCCCACCTCCGCAGATAGCCACCAGCCAGGATGCGAGGCAAGCAAAGACAATAACTGCAGCGTTATGGTACCAATCCCCAAAGAACTTATCATCAAGCTTGCCTTCGAGAAAAGTCTGGTGATCGGTTATCAAGGTTGCATCTTCGTGTTCGTCCTTTAGCTCGAAGCGAGGTGCCCAACCAGTCTTTTTCCATTGATCGTCCTCGGGGAAACTTCCATTCATTCGAGGTTGCTGGTCTTCAGTCGTGGATGGTACTACAACACCAGCGGTGGAGGGAGGAGGCAGGTCGTAGTCGTCGGGACCGTCGTTGATGTCGGATTTGAGGCCAGCACCTTTCGGTCGGTTTGTGTGCAAGGCATTTCCTCGCTGAGAATCTATCAGCAACACCACAAGACAATGCGTTCTGTACTTACAGCCCTGGCCTGTGCAGCCTTCTCTTCTGGAGAGGCAGCTGGATCGAAGATGAAGGTAGGTGCACCAGCCTTACGGCTTTCTTCCAGGATTGTCTTCTCGACATCTGAAGCGGAGACTCTCGAGTCAGGATCGCGAGCGAGATCCTCCACCGCCTGCTGCTTAGCCTCGTGTTTGAAAGACGACAGCATGGTCATGACTGTTTCTGACGCGCTCGCCTAGACTCAAGTCGAGCTGGTTAGCTCATGCAAGCTCGTTAGTTGCGACACGCGTCAAGTACTAGTAGAATGGAAGAAGGGTAATGGTAGAGAGGTTTGAGGTTGCAAAGGAGTGTGGTGTGCCAGGAGCGACGGTAAAGATGAGTGTGGTCAGACAAACGTCAAAGGTGCAGTCTGCAGTCAATGCATCTCGTTAGTTGTCGCGGCCTGTTGCACAGTGGGCTGTTCCCAGGAGGATTGGTTGCACCGCCAGACAAACGCTAGTTACGACTGGCTCAACCACGCAGCCAGTAGTCAACTCCAGCTAGCTGAATGAGTTAGATGGAGACTCACTTAGTGGCCTGCTAGTGGAACCGAGATCTTAACTCTGCTTTACTTCTCCTCTTATTTTGCACATGTGCAACGACAGAGCTCAACGACCTTGTCAATACTACTTTCCATTGGCATGATTTCGTCACGACCATAGAAGACAGATGTTCTGCAACCATAGAGTGGTCATATAGCTGCAATCGTGGATGATAGGGTTTGTAAACACGAACAGCATTGAGCTGAAACGTGCAACCTCAATCCAGATTCGATCAGTGCCCCATTCAGATAATCCACTAATGCAAGCCATCGTTTTCCCGATGCGCAACGTCGGCTCCTCCGCGCACCAGCCACAGTGCCCTCGACTGCCTGTATTGTAATTACAGCTTACAGCACGGGTGGTAACTTCTGTGGGACGCGAGTAGTGGTACTGCTTCGGCTTCGAGTTATGGTCGTTCGTGCTGTCAAACGCTCAGAGAAGCCTGGGCGAAGATCATACAATAGATATCTGCAGGACACATCCACGTCTCGAGGTGAGGTCGAGAAGAGGTTCAGTAACACTTTGTCCATGATTTACGTGAAGGACTTACTATCTATAGTGATAAGCCACCTCGTACTGTCTCGTGCTCTTCTTTTTGAAATAGTCATGCGGTTCGAGATACACGGACCCTGGGTCAGTCCTCTTGTCCATGGAGGAGCAACTCACTTCACTCAACGTCTGTGGTCAGTGACCTCTCCCAAGTTACCGACCTCGGCAGGAGTAGGTATGTGGTGTCCTGAGCCAACACCAGTCCCGACTCCTGTACCAGCTCCTGTACCGAGACCAGTTCCAGCTCCTACGCCAGTCCCTGTGCCATATCCGCCCATGGTATTGCCACCCACCTCACTATGACCAAGAGGTGCGGCGTCGGTACCTCTGCCTAGACTCGTGTCATATCCAGGTTCGCGGCTCAGGCGTCGAGCTGCTTCAGGATCTTTGGCAGGGTCATATGGTAGGTCGGTGACACTGTCACGGGACTCGTGTGTCGCCGTGCCTGTAGCTGCAGAACCCAAGACGTTCCTATCCTTGGTACTGCTGTGATGTTGAGGTACGTGATGGCCTCCACGGCTGGCGTGGGCAGCTTTATCCTCCTCGTCGTCCGTGGAGTATTCCTCATCTTCACCAGTATGTTCGTTCTTTCGGCGCTTGAAAATTCTCTTGAAGATGCTTGGCTTCTTCTCCTGATGACCACTCTCCTGCTCCGACTGGTGATGATGTCTCTGATGGGCAGCCTCCGGTTCAGTACTGTGGTGATGTTTTTCATGAGCTGATGCACCAGCTCCGGTAAAGGCAGCTGTGCCAACTCCGGCGGCAGCCTCTCTCTCACGTCGTCGTCGATTCTCCTCCTCGTCTGCTAGACGAGCTCGTTCGCGTCGCTCTGCGTCATTACCATGAGACTGGTTGAGTGGCATAAGAGGCTCATATGCAGGATACTTTCTCTCTCCTGTAGTATCGTGCCTGTCTCGATCGTGGAGAGCGTGACCAACACCCGCCGCCGTGGCTGCACCTGCACCTGCACCGAGAGCTGTGTTACGAGTGGTCTGATCGTTTCTGTCGTTGTGGCCGGTCAAGGGTGAGGAGTGTGTGGGCTGAGCGTCTTGGCCATGTAGACGACCTGGAGCTGCTGCTACAGCGTCTATTGGAGTTTCTCGAGATCGATCAGGAAGGGTAGTACCAAGAGCACTTGTGTGGGGCTGATGGTGACGAGTGCTGTCGCGTGTACCAATATCGGATGTCGTAGATGGTTGCGTTCCCACACCAGAGGTTATCGTGTACGTCTGGTTGGGGCGGGATGTCGACGTGGTTCCTAGAGATCCGGTGTGAGACTGAGTTGATGGCGCATTGTAAGTGCCTGTCGAAGACGTCAACGAGGTGTCATGGGTACCACTCGGGGAGAATGAGGATTGATGTGTACCGGTGGTTGAGCCAACAATTCCATGTCGGCTGTGGTCATGCGTGGAATGTGATCCCATGCCGGTTCCTGTTATTCCCGTACCACCAGTCGTGAGACTACTGCCAGTTGCGCCAACATCAGTAGTAATGAGATCATGAACAGTAGACCTCGGAACTCCAGCTTCTGGATCACCAACCGCCTGACCGAATGAGGAACGAGTGCCTCCGACAGGAGCTGAGATAGGTTGAGCAGAATTAGGACCAGGATAAGCAGTTGTTGGGATAGATTCTCGTCGGTAGTGTTGCGGAGGTCCTGTCTCTCGAGATACCCCCGATCCTGATTGAGTTGTGGTAGTGTCTCGTGGCTCGTTCACGCCTTCGGATTCTTGTTGTCCATATCCTAACGCCGAGCCTAAACCAACAGCGCCCAATACCTTGCCAACCAGACCTTGTGGCTGCTGACTGCCTTCATGTTGGCTGTCAGTTCCTGTCAGACCTGTACCAGTGTAGCCGGAGGTTTGAGTGGCTGGAGCGCCTCCATAGGTTGCGGACCGGTCTGATGGATCGGCGGTACCTGCCAAACCGGTGTGACTTTGGTAGCCCGTTGTGTTGCCAGTAGTAGATGTGTCTGCCAACGTCGAAGAACCTTGGCCGCTGGGCTGATAGTCTCTGCTGGTGTCATGGGCATGCGTGCCTGTGAGGCTTTGACCAAGATTACCAGATGTTCCGCCGAGAATATCAGATCTTCCTCCGACGGTGTCGGATCTTGCACCAAGCGTATCATTTCGTCCGCCAAGGGTATCGATTCCGCTGCCCAGTGTTTCGTTGCGTCCACCTAGAGTGTCGTTACGTCCGCCTAAGGTATCCGTTCGTGCACCTGGCACATTACTCGAGAGCCCACTGTCGTGGTGATGGGTAGATCTTGAGGTGTCGCCAGCGCGACCACCATCGACTCGAGGATCGAGGTCGTGCTGAGCCCTGTAGGGATTCTCATGGCCCGCTGTCGGAAGACCGCTCGACATGTTTCCGCTAGCTAAACTGGTGTTAATGCGTGCACTGGTACCGCTGCGTTATTTTCAGCATACATGGATAAACTTACTATTGTGTGATATCCAAGCTGAAGCTGCTGCTCGTGCTGCTGCGTCTGAAGATGTAGTAGCTTCGGGACGACGATATTTTAAAGGGTCAGAAGAGTTATGGTCTACAACACTTCCGACTGGATCTCCTGGTGGTAATGGACGAGAAGAGTAGGTCGATGTCTCAAATATGGCAGCTACACCTTGGTCATCTGTTGAACTCTCTCCAGCTGGAACACGAATGTCCTTGTTTAAAGGCTGTGTAGCTTCGGGTGGTGACGTAGAGCTGGAGGATATAGTTGCTGCATGTCCTTGATCTGATCCAGCAGTACTGTTAGCTGCAGGAGCGTCGTCATTGCGGTAGAAGTGAGAGCCTTGTCCTCCAAGAGGAGTATCAGACTTCCTGATACATGAATTAACTCTGCATAATTACAATACAAGCATGTTTATTTACAACAAGTTCTTAAAGACACTCGTCTCGCATAGAACATGACGATCGACAGTGATCACGGTTAGCTACAGCAGTATAGACAACCTAGTAGAACGGTGGAGTGAGCCTGCTCGTTATAGCAAGGCAAGGCGGTTTCTTGCACTCGTTGCGTCATGTTGCAATGCCAGGCCAGTACAATATCATTTGTGCCTCGCAGCAGTAAATCCATGTGGTTTGACGCAAAGAGGGGAAGCTGCGACGATACCAAAACAGAAAGTTTAGGCGAGTTTGTGCACGAAAAGCTGGAAGGTCACTTGAGATCCAAATGGGAGGTAACGACTATTTCGTGTAATGGTTGATGATGATAATAGAAATGAATGCTGAGGTTTGGTTCTTATTTCATATGGTGGATATCATGTGACGGGTGGTATCGTCCAGCGTCTCGATTATACACTATGGATGAATCTCGAGTCCTAAAATTTGTTGGCGGACTCACGTAATTGATAGGATACAGCATGATCTTCACAAGCACTGAGTTATTCGAGGACGACAAGGACGACCAGCACAGACACAAAATGTCAAACAAGCTACTGTGGCATCACATGCAGGTGCCTTTCAAACTCGCAACCGGTCACATGGAGAGGACGTGCATGCTTCAAGATCCGTATCCCGCTCTGCCAGGGGTGTATTCTCACAAAATAACGAAGACACGGGTGAACACCGAGTAAGATACGTGTCGTCGCGTAAGAGACGTTGCCACGGCAAAGTTTTGCTGGTCGGTGTGCTTCTGACGATTATCGGTCCGACGCCAAAGCCTTATATTGTGATTGTGACGTTCAGCTCCTAAGTCAATCGGCATTTGTGAAGCGATACACGAAGCTTGGTCGTAAATAGTGCGGCGAAATTTAGGATCCACAAGAACTTAGTTGAACTGAGTTTTTCTAGAAGGCTTCCACGATTCCTTCCGTCTGGGGATAGCCAAGCAGCATACACGAGATTTAGTTCTTGTGACATCCTGAGATGCACAGCGGGGTTCTTCAACAAGCAGAAGCTGGTTGTCTGAAGCTGTAAGGCAAACAGCGAAGCACACGAAGTAGCGGTTCCAACAAGCGCAGATTGCAGCCTCTAATAGCCAGCAACGAGCTTTGATCCAAAGACTGGCTTGCTGCAGGTACCGTTGCTGCAGATCGCGCTCCTGGTCTCCCTCACTCCGGTCCGACTCAGTCGACCAACCGCTGGTATCTTGCATGTCTTTGTTTCTTACCATGCATGTCAACGTTGCAATTCTCGGACGGCTTGTTTGCCTGGTCTTCTAACCGTGTGGTGGCCTCAAGAAGATGGACCCGCTTCGAATGGGGTCTCCGTAATGGGATAGATGGGGCACAGGCTTTGTTCTTTGAGTCCACCTCATTCTCGCCGGCATGATTTATCCAAGGCCTGTGCTCTCTCAATGCTACATAATGAACGTTTCCAGAATTGACGCTAATCCGTCCATGGTTCTGGCTTATCTACTACGACGTTGCTCGACCGGATCTCTCTTTCGCCAGTGATCCTCTGCACCACTCTAGTAGCACATCAAGAATTGCACATAATCGGAACAGCGATCATCTATAGCCTTTGTCTCGGTACCAGCACTACACTGCGATCCACCTTAGATACAGTATCACTTTCATCACACCCGAACGATCCGTTCTCGATACTCCTGATCCTGAACCACCTTAACCCAGGTCTTCGTTCTTTGTGCCACCATCCCCTTACCCGCCACTACCTGTTGCGACGTCACGAGACAATAATTCATTTTTGCGAGAATGGGACTACGAGATCGTGTTCGTAAAACATTCAAGAAGAAGGATGGATCCTCGTCAAATAGCTCGACCCCTTCCACAAGTTCAGACCCCAGCCATTACACTGGTCGGACAGATATCGAATACTACAAGCCAAATGAAATTCCCAAGTCCAAGTACCGAGGCAAGGTCGATCCAGAACACAAAGAAAAGCTCGATTCATACTCCTTCGCGGATGCTTTCAATAGTGTCCGACGCAAATCCTCCCAAGCCCTGTCGGGGATTATGAGCCCTGGAGGTACCAAGTCGCAGAGCAGGAGAGCGAGCTATATGAGCCACACGTCAAAAGCGTCGAAAGATGGACGAGCACACGAGCCCGCGAACACTGTGAGCAGAAGAGGCACTGTCTCAGAAAACCGACCTGCAAATATTCGGGAGAATTCGGACGATGATACTGACGTGCTGAATGGTGGGCCTTCCTTATTTTTGCATCAATCCTTTTTGCTAATCATTACGGTAGCTGGAATCTCAAAACAGACCACTGTTAAGCAAGCACAGCCTGTGGAAAACCCTACAAATATACCAGAGGTAAAACTCGAAAGACAGGCGACCGTCCTTGACCAACCATTTACGACTCAAGAGCTTGAGCAAGCGATGAAAAGAGCCGCGATACAGTCTAGTGACGATAGTACGCTTCGCCACAGTATGGCCATTGCGGCACACTGAGGGTGTAAAAATTACGACTTTACGAATTACGAACTCTACAATCGGTGGTACTTGGCGAATAGAATAGAGTGGCAAGGCAGTAGAGGGTATGTTGTGTTCACAGGAAATGTCCTTGCGTCCAGGAAAACAAGGCATCACATATAAAGGAATATGGTATGGCTGAAACAATGCAACCATATCATGTGGGTGGACGCTGTTTGGTTTGACAGCCCTAGATGGGTATTGTGAATCCACCGAATATAGTCGTGCCGAAGCGCAGGGCGACCGTATATAACTATTGCTTACAGTAGAAGTACTATACATTAACATAGAATCTCAGGAATAGATAGATTGTTGTACTGTGTATGATCACAATCAGTTCATGCGATTGTCACAAGATTGGTGGCAGCGAGACCGCTATTCCTAGGGAAGCAGGACAGTATTTCCACCAGCCTGGTTCGAGTCCATCATTTCATGTGCTTTGACAATATTCTCGAGCCCGTAAAACACCTTACCGACCTGAATCTTTGGTTCGTGATTAATGACCTGCTCCGCTATCGACTTGAGCGGTGTACGCCTGAAATCTAGCCTCCGTCAAACATTCGACCCATTCCACCCATACAGGTCGCCACCACTGCTCCTTTGACAAACTCATTGCCTGGTGCATCCACAACTTCGCCGACAGCCTCGATACCTAGCACACGCGGAAACTGAACATTTGGGCTATGGCCTTGCCGGATGAAGAGCTCACTCCGGTTGAGTCCAAAAGCGCGGACACGAACGAGGACTTCGCCTACGGCTGGAGTAGGGATGGGTAGTTCTTCAGTGGCGAAAGACTCGGGGCATCCTGGGCTTAGAATGACTGCCGCTTTCATGGTGTCTTTTCAAGACTCTTCGCTCTTGGCGAAGGGAAGGGGTCTAGTGCTTTAATATTTAGTATAAGCAAGGAAGCTTGACTTCGGACTTCGACTTCCTGTTAGAGGTACTTGGAGCCGTGGCTAGTCAACAATACCCGTCCTTATACTAGGGTGGCTGCTGTCAGTATAGAAGCTGTCTGGTAATATCCTGGACTTAGGCCACGTGAATCTCGTCGAACAGCACATCGCAAGTCTGGGAGACGCGCTCTATACGTCTCTTATGGCTCGTAGGCTGCCACTGAACCAGAGAACATGCTTTATTTAGACTTCATCTCGTGATAATGCCATAAGCTGTTTTGTGGCTCTAAAGCACAAGTTTTCTTTTGGGAGACTTACTAATTCATTCATCGGTTGGCATGAGATAGCAAGACTATTATTCCAGCAGCGAGTCTGTGCTGACTGAGGTCCGACTAATGAGTACTATCGAGACATTCTCATGTGAGGAATTCACTAGATGAGTAATGCCAACATCCGCAAGTTTAAACAATGCACTGGTGTCATCGTGCAGCTTCGAGGCAGCTTCGGCACTGTGGCTGTGAGGGTCTCTTTTGCTTTGAGTACACCTTCTTCATTTTTCATGGTAGCACTGTGAGTACTGCCAGTGATCCTAGAATGCGTGGGCTTTGCTGGACTTGAAATGCTGGCACCTGTCCCTGACATCCTTGTGCTGAGGCAGGCGCTGATGTTCTTGCCGCTTATATGTGGTAACAAACATAACAAAATCGGCAATTTGAAACACGCATTACTCCCAGCAGACAGTACTCGAATAGTACCTGCATCACGCCAAGCTTACAGCATATCCCCGCGATCTCGGAGAACTACGATAGTTTGAGTATCTGAACGCGTCAGAGCTTCACCGCCGAACAGCTTCCAGTCTTCTGGTCGCGAGCTACACTCTGCCAGCTTGAAATCGACGACAGCAGTGGTCACAATGTCGGCGGCTCTACCTGGAAACCGTGACCCGCCAGCGTCGCGGTACGACCTCTCGTCGTACTGGGGTCGCGTGCGCCAGTCAATAGACATAGCTGATCCGAGGTAGGGACATGCGTGCAAAATTCCTGCCGGACGCATGGTGAGTGGCGTTTAGAGCTTCAGTTCGAGCTTCCCAGCATCTTTCAGCAGCCGCACATTGAGCAGAAGGCTGACGATTAGGACAGAACGTTGTTCGTCTCCTCCTCCGGCCTTGAGCATGCGAAACAATTGGTCACATCGTACAAGAAGGGAGAGATACAGAGCATGACACCTGAGCTATGGCAGGCGAAGAAGGTGATAGATTCGACTTTGCATCCTGGTATGATCTGCTATCCTGGTATATTGGGATTGTGCTAAAACCTTGGTCAGACACAGGTCAACCCGTCTTCCTACCGTTTCGAATGTCCTCCTTCGTGATATCGAACTTGATTGTGACGGCAGGTATGCTGACTCCAGGCATGGGAACTACCGGCACTCTGCTTTGGCAGATTACGAATCAATCTCTGAACGTTGCTATTAACAGTGCCAATGCAAACAAATCGACGGCTTTGACGACAGGACAACTGGTACAGAACTACTTTGCTGCTGTAACAGCGTCTTGCACAGTTGCTCTAGGTCTTAATGCTATTGTGCCGCGACTGAAAAGCGTTTCGCCGAACACGAAAATGATCTTGGGACGGCTAGTACCTTTCGCAGCTGTCGCAAGTGCAGGTGCATTGAACGTTTTCCTCATGAGAGGTGAAGAGATTCGACGAGGTATCGATATCTTTCCAGTGCAGACCGATGAAGAGAAGGCAGCAAGAGAAAAGACAGGCAAAGAAGTGCAAAGTATAGGCAAGAGCAAGAAAGCTGCGACACTAGCTGTGGGAGAAACTGCTATCAGTCGGGTGCTGAATGCAACACCTATCATGGTCCTACCGCCTTTGATACTTGTAAGGCTGCAGAAGACGGACTGGCTGAAACAACGGCCAAGGATGGTTTTGCCGGTCAATTTGGGCTTGATCCTTACTACGAGTATCTTTGCTCTGCCATTGGCACTGGCTGCATTTCCTCAACGACAAGCTGTTAGCGCATCGTCGCTGGAAGAAGAGTTCCATAGTAAGGGAGGTCTTGGTGGTATGGTCGAATTCAACAGAGGAATATAGCAGGACTGTGGGTCGATGTGTAATACCAGGTACACTGAGGTACCACATGATGTTTCCGCTGTAACGTCGCTTTCATCTCAGGCGTTGATGGTCCGCTTTCGCAGTCATGAAAGCGTAAACAGTTTAAGAGCAGGAAACTGAGTGATGCAGACCACGGCAGCTCAAAGGTAAGGAACCACTCGTTTGGCCAGAGAGTGGAAACAGCCTGCAATAACCTTCGAGCGAGAGAGTCAGATGCCTCATTGACCTTAAGGAAGATGGATGATGTCCTTGATAGAGGAAGCACAAGAATAAGAACAAATCTCGGCATGAGAATAACAGATCCCGCCTACAGAGACACTCAAATACGTGAAATCAACTGCAGCAAGTAGATCATGAACGACTTTGTCTCATCGTCTTCTTCCTTACTTCGACCTAGATCAGCTGCTAAGCTATGTCATGAAACGTGAACTCCTGACTTTTTCAATGTGCCAACTTTAAGAGTAGGTTAGACAATCGATCCTTTTCCGGATGCTTGAAGCACACCGAGTGGAACTTGCGTAATCCCACGTCGAAACCTGTCGCTGCTTAGATGTCATTGCAGCAACGCCCTTGATATGCACTGCGCGGATCTGCATGGAAAAATTTCTGTCTACCGCAGCTTAGACCTTATATTCTTCAAGGCCATACTTCCAGACCGTGGCATATGGGGTGACACCGTCCTCACGAAAGTCGACGAGGACGTACATCGAACCTTCTTCCATGGACTCGCCCACATATAGATCATAGTTATCGTAGTTTGCTAGGATCTTCTTGACGGCATTCTGGGCGCCTGACTGGAAAGCCTTGATTACATCGTCGGATGTACCCTTGGCTTTCAAGGCTTCGTTGACTTTCTTCATATATTCTAGCGCAACGTTAGCGAGCCGCACTTCTGACCTACTCTTTTGATTTCTTACTTTTGATGTCGGATGTGAAACCCTTCTTGGAGGGTTTAGACTCGATCGCATTCAGTCTGAATTGGTCGACAATATCCAAGACCCTTGTTGTTTCACCCTCACCACCTTCATCGGCGTCCTCGCCTTCTGCCGATGGGTTGGCGCCCGCCAGCACGAAGTTCTCGCCACCCTTGGTGATCAGTCGCAGATCAGCCTCCCAGAGGCCGTCACCGACGTCCTTGAGGACGAAAGTGTCGGAGATGATCTCGTCCTTGTTCTCGGTGGTGATGTCCTGATTATGCACTTAGTCTAAGAACAGTGGTCGTACGATGAGGAACGCACTCTGTAGATAATCATGTTGACGGTATTTGTGTTTGCGCTGAAGGTTGAAAAGGTGCGAAGGAAGTCAATCTGGCGTGGAAAGTAGTTTGCGGTTTGCGTAGGAAATCGTCAAAATATTCGCAGCAGGCTGAACTAGGGTGGAGGGGCTCGACCAACACTTTCGCGTGCAAAAAGTCAGGAAAATCACATGTTTGTGGGGTTGACCGAACGAGCAAAGATGGCCGGATTTATCCTTTGGCCGAGACCGAACGAGAGCTCAATTTCCGCCTGGAGAGTTTCAGGGTCTGTCAGTGCTTCAAAATTGCCTGCACGGCCTCGATCGGCTCGTTATGTCACCAACCACGAAAGTCAGGGCTCCCGGCTCCATCGAATGATCAGGAGAGGCAAAATCGCGTATGAGTGAGCAAGAAATACGCTGTGCTTCGTCACAACATAATTCAGAAATAGCTCTTTGTCTTCTCTCTGTCTTTCTTACACTACACACGATCCCTGTACTCTTTTACATTCGACATTCTCGACACTGGTGCCCCGTCTCATTGTTGTCAGGTCACCTTCGCCTCGAACCATTTCCTCAGAGCTTGCACCTGCAACAGCCACTCCTTGAACAAGCAGCTCCTGCTGATCACGAATTGTTACCAGCCAGTGTGCTGGACTGAATGTTAAGCTCGATAATTACACCCGTTACGATGAATCATACGACATCTATTCCTGACCTTCCCTCGTACACCCTTTCTCCTCGTCCTTCACTCCTTCCGGGGCTATCCGATGTCTGGCTACAGCTGATCTCCCCCATTGCGGCGTACTGGATCGTGTCCCTGTTCTTTCACATACTCGATGAGCTTGACTTGTACGCGCAGTACAGATTGCATACTCCGGCCGAAGTTCTAAAAAGGAATCATGTGTCTAGATACGAAGTCTTCAGAGATGTGATACTTCAGCAAATCGTCCAAACCATGGCTGGTTATGCAATGGCTTACCTCGATCCTCCAGAGATGGTTGGTAAAGAGCAGTATGATATTGCGGTCTGGGCAAGAAGAATCAGGATTGGAGAAATATACCTGCCTCGAGCACTGGCCCTTGTTGGTCTGAATGCGCCAAAGCTTGCTAATCAGCTATACGCCTCTTACCCGACACTAGCAAGTGCCCTGGCTGGTGGACAGTACGCGTTCAGTGGATTTGCGCTTTGGGAGACGACATTAGCCAAAGTCATCTACCATGTTGGCATTCCTTCTATCCAGTTCGCGATTGCCATCACGATAGTAGACACATGGCAGTACTTCCTCCACCGAGCCATGCATATGAACAAGTTCCTCTATACTTGGCTTCACTCGAGACATCATCGACTCTACGTTCCCTACGCTTACGGAGCACTCTACAATCATCCCGTTGAGGGCTTCGCACTGGACACATTGGGAGCAGGCTTGGCATATCTGGTAACGGGAATGTCTATTAGGCAAGGTTTGGTCTTTTTCACCTGCTCTACGATCAAGACAGTTGACGACCACTGCGGCTACGCTTTCCCTTGGGATCCTTTGCAGCACATCACCTCGAATAATGCCGCCTATCACGATATCCACCATCAATCTTGGGGCATCAAGACCAACTTCTCCCAACCATTCTTCACATTTTGGGATCGTCTTCTCGGCACGACTTGGACTGGTGGCGATGTTTCCTCCAGATACGAGCGCGACAGGATCTCTGCGCAGAAGAAGGTCGATGCAGACAAGACCAAGTTAGAACCATCAGTCACGAACTCGCCAGCGGTTGACCTAGCGAAGGCTCAAGAGCAAGCAGCACAAAGTCAGCAGTCAGTCATGGATGCAGATGGTCCGGCACCAATTGTAGAGGAACAACGCGAAGAACAAGAAATAAGGAGAAATCTTAGGAAGAGTCCGAGACGCCGGACAGGCACCTTCGACCCTAGATCTTCTCTGGCCGCGAGTGTGCCGAGTTTGCACGGCCGCAGCACACCTATATTGCACGCGGATGGTATGCATTGAGGATAGGGGAGCCTTTTTGTTTACATGGTACGCATTGTATGGATTACGACCTTAATTACAACCTATGTTCTATTTCGATATCTATGTACAATAACTTCAACCTGTTGGTTTCTCGACCCTGGCATGGGTGACGGAAGCACGATCTTCTAGCGAAACAGCCCATGGCAGCCTAATTCAATTACTCAAACTTTCTGAGATCAAACACGTCTGCGTTCAGCTCCTTTCTTCTCCGTCGTGACAGTGTGCGTGTATGTTTGCCCGTCCTGGATATAACCATCGTCTTGTACTCGAACTGTTTGTTCACAGTTCATAACACGCTCTGATTGGAACGCAGCCCGCCGATTTCCGGAGCACTACTATTCAGGCATTTGCTCGTCCGATCGTCCCTCCTGTCAAACCCGCCCCACATGACTCGTAAATATACAACAAATTTGGTTGTGCAGACCTGCAAAGAGTGTATTCACCGTCGAAAACTCCAGTCGTAATACCCATATCTGTAGTGTAGTAATTCACTATCAATCATCATGGGCGATGCATCAGAAAATGAATCCATCAGTTCACTGCAAGAATGGGAATTGGACGAGGGTGTCCCTCAGCGCGAGGACCCGTTCATACAGAAATACCTGAATGGTCGTGCTGCACTCATTGAACAGGAGAAGAAGCAACGACATGATCGGGCGTTCCAAGCGACTATGACCCCAATGGCAAAGCGGGCGGCCAAAATTCTGCAGTCCATTCGTAAGCGAGAATTAAAGGAGAAATGGACGAGTGAGTACGAGGAAAGTCTGGCGCAGCACAACGATGGCAACCTCTATCCGGGAATGATGTTCAGCTTGGCTAGGGAACGAGCTGAGTCGACTGAGCTCTGGCGCTGTCTGGAAAGGATGCCAAAGGGGTGCTTGCTGCATGCACATATGGATGCTATGTGCGATGTTGACTGGTTGGTGGACGAGAACTTGCGAGAGCCTGGTATTTGTATGCTCGCGGCTGAGGCGTTGACTGTTGAGCGAAGACGAGATGTTGGCCCAGGACGGTTGTCCCCGCCCAACTTTCAGTTACGGTTTTTCCCCGAAGCTGAAATGACGAGAATCGGTAAGACGAGCAAAAGTATGAGTATCTGGAAGAACAGCTATGTGGCTAATACGCCGATACCGATACGTGAAGCCCAGAGGAGTTTCCCTGATGATGACACCACGTTCAAGAAGTGGTTGGCGTCGAGGTGTCGCTTGACGCCTGAAGAGAGTTTACACCACCATCATGGCCTGGATGCAATCTGGCGACGCTTTCAAAGCACGTTCCCGATAGTCGAGCAGCTACTCTTCTACGAGCCGATCTTCCGAAGAGCGATGCAGCGGATGATGACAGACCTGGCCAAAGACGGTATCATGTACGTGGACATGCGGCTAGCGTTCCTCTTCCAGTTCTTTTCTACAGGCAAGAGCAAGCCCGATGCTCCAGGATATATGCACTTCTTCCAGGTATGGGGTGAAGAGATAGAAAAGTTCAGGAAGACTGAGTTGGGCAAGAACTTCAAAGGCTGCAGAATGATCTGGACGATCATAAGAGCTTTCGACAACCGGACGATCGCAGAGAATATGAAGCAGTGTATTGCCATCAAGAAGAAGTACCCACACTTGATATGCGGTTTTGATTGTGTTGGACAAGAAGACTTGGGACGAACGCTGGAAGACCTAACACCGTTATTGTTCTGGTTCAAAAAGCAATGCGCCGAAGCAGGAGTTGATATCCCGTTCTTCTTTCATGCTGGAGAATGCTTAGGAGATGGAGATAGCACAGACAACAACCTGTTTGACGCAATATTGCTAGGCACAAGGCGGATAGGTCATGGCTATTCACTGTTCAAGCATCCTCTGCTGATTGACATGGTCAAGGAGAAGAAGATTCTTGTGGAAAGCTGTCCAATATCGAATGAGGTCCTAAGATTGTCGAGCTCGATCCTAGGTCACACATTGCCCGCACTACTAGCTCGAGGCGTTCCCGTATCGCTCAACAATGATGATCCCTGCCTGCTTGGCCACGGTCGAAACGGGCTGAGCCATGATTTCTGGCAGTCGTTCATGGGCTTCGAGAACCTCGGACTCGAAGGGCTGGCAGCGATGGCAGAGAACAGTGTTAGATGGTGTGCTATCGAAGATCAAAAGCAGGCTGATTGGCTGAAGGGGATCAGCGATGGGTATTTGGGTAAGACGGTCAAGGCACAGATGATAAAAAGCTGGAGGACGGAGTTTGAGAAGTGGTGTCAATGGGTCATTATGGAGTACCCGTTGGAAGCTGAAGAGTCTGAAGAGGAAGACGACGATGACGATGAGGATGAGGACGAGGACGAAGAAGAGGAGGACAGCGAAGATGAGGACGAGGAGTAGGGCATAGACTAAGACTGAAATAGGCGATGGTCAAGGGGCCTCCTGCAGGCTAACTGACCTGGATTTGGTAGTGAATATGGTCTATTGTGAAGGATGTGTCGGTTGAGTACGCCTATTGACTGAGCGTTCGTGGCGAATCCTTCGTTCTATGTCGAAGTCAGGGCGATCTGAAGGCTTGATATGCTTCTCTACCTCAGCCAGTCGTGTGCTGTAAAGAAATTCACTCAGGCTAGCCTAGGCTACTCTTACGGAAACTCTTCGGGAAGCCCCACCAGGACGAAGCCTAAAAGAGCCGATGACCGACACGTCGTCTGACTCAATCGATCAGTACCATTGCGCGACGACCCATCATGTGCACTGCACAACTCAGCGGTCGTAAAGCGTTGGTGCTCATCACTTCCAATGCATTAGTGACACGAGCATGGACGCTGTTCGTAGGGCAGGTGTCGATTGAACAGACCATATCACAAACGACGACATCATCGTGCTTTGGCTCAAATAACACAACTTCTCAACTGCGCCATGCCAGTCGTCCGCTGCTCTTACCAGGCACCTAACTCACTACATTGTGCTCGTACCTGAGTCCAGCATTGGTTCTTCGTAACTATGTTCTTGCCGTCATCGTGAATGCTTGCCACATCCACCCAACCACGGCAGGAGGGACAATATGGCAGCATACTTCCTGCCTTCCTACTTCCAGAAGCGCCTGCTTAGATATGCACTTAGCCGCCTCGACTTTATCGATAGTACTGCCCTCGATCTCGACAATCTTGGATTTACCATAGGTCAACGTTCAGTCATTGAGCTCAGGAATGTTGGAATCAAGGTATCAAAGCTGCTAGATAGGGTCGACTTACCCAGCAATTTCCAACCTAAACACGCCTCAATTCGAGTCCTGCGAATTACCATTCCAGCCGATCTTCATGTCAGTGGTATAGAAGTTGAAGTGGACAGAATCAATTTTGTGGTTGAGACAGACCAGACAAAGCCACCAGAGGACAAGAGACAAACAGGAACAGGCAAAGGAGCAGGGAGGGTACCAAGTCACAAAGATATAGCCAACCGACCACGGATAGCTTCGACGACTCTACACGATCCAGGCGGAAACCGCTCACTTCGAAGCCATGCAGACCCTGAGTCGTTGCATTTTATACCCGCACCTGAAGACCTTGCTGCGTCTTTCCTCGAGGCTGAGCCTGAGCAAGGTAGGCAAGAACTACAAGCTGCTGTGGCTTCCAGATCACTTCATTTACAGCAGTCGTACTCTACACTTGAATCTTCTACCTCAGTTTCAGATCATGGCATGGGCAATCCAGAAGGCTTCTCCTTGCCAGGATTCGTGACAAACTTCTTTGCTGGTATTGCTGATCGTCTGTCTATCTCGATCAAGAACGTTACCGTCAGGTTATCTATTCCGATCACAAACGGTTCGTCGATACCTGACCCTCAGGAATTCGTACTGGAGGTGGACAGTGTTGAGTTACCAGGCGCTGATGCTGGATCTGGTGTTCCTGCTGATACCAATCTTCGACGCCATATTCGCATCCTCGGTGTCAGATTCTATGCGGTGATCGACGACGACTTTCTATCACAGAAGTCCTCAACCAATTCTCCTGAGTTGAGCAAAAGCCGGTCAACAGTCTCCACGTCCTCGAATCTCTCCACCAAACAGGATCCTCATGCTAGAGGTCTCAATTCATCCTCGAGCAGTTCATCGGCTTCCTACGACGATGCTCATCTCGAGTTAGGCATACACGAATCTATGCTGGAGGAATCGCAGCTGTTCGAATCAACCCTAGATCGCTCACGTGGCGTTTCCTCTATCGGTGTTGTCCACTCCTCAAGATCATCACCAGGCAGCAGTCACGACGATATTAATCCACCCACATCATTCTCTCAACGATCCCACAGCTCTGACTCTATACCTGATGATCTGGCTCAGTCGACTGTTTTTAGTCATCATGAGGCAGAAAGTATGTTCATGAGCGCCATGAGCCATGTAAACTCGCCATCCACAAGGATGCCCGGTGGTTTCAACCACTTTGAGGACACAAGTATGAGTGCTACACCAAGGCAGAGCGCAACGGGCCCGCGTACACCACGAGCGATTGCTCGCTCAACTGAGAGCACGGCTCTCCCGCCAGTCAGCAGGTCCTCGACTGTCTTCCCAGTGGCCAACATGGCTCCTCCTAGACAAGCCCTGACACGATCCACTGAGCCTTTGAGGTCAGAGCAATGTACCAAACGTCTTTTCTACATTGACGAGATGACCCTAAGTGCTCCAGCCAAGCAAACGATCCCTCAAGATAAGGAGTATATGCAGAGTTCCAGCTACGAAACGACTCGTGGTACCGCAGGCAGAACGCTATCTACGCATGCATCTCATGCTCGCATTCCATCTGACCAAAGTGTTTATGAAATACCAAAAGAGCAGTCAGTAAAGTTCGAGGAGGACAAAAGCTATCAAATCGCTGTGGGCAACATCGATCTGTCCATAGACATGTCTTTGTGCCATATTCTACTCAAGTCCGCTAGTCACCTCTCTTCTACTCTCAAGTCATCAGACAATGGGGGACAGTCTTCTTCGACGAAGAAGCCCGTGGATACTCAGCTGCACCTCTCTGTCGGATCCTTGGTTCTCAACGTGATGGGGAACGTTCTCCATGATCAGGGACTAGTTGAACAACACGCACCGACCGAATCAACCTTTTCAGTATTTGAGGCCGAAGCTTCTTTGTTGCAGCTACAGCTTTTGAAGGTTCAGATGTACATGGCCACGCGTGGTGGGGTGCCCGACCAGAAGCTGACTGTCAATCGACTTGGACTATACAAAGGACAAGACAAAATAATATCGTTCTTCGATGCATCTAATCTACAGGAGTCGGTACTCGCACCTAGTGTTCTGCTGGAGCCAGATGACCTGGTTTATCGTCAGCTCGGTAACAGAGTAGACATAACAACCAAGCCACTTCATATCAAACTGGATCTGCTTATGCTTGACGAGGTCTTGAGCCGTAGTGGTGGACTTAGCTCTTTGCTAGATCTTGGGAACTCGGTTGCATCAGCAAGCACAATGAAAGAACAGAAGCCATCGACCACTTCCAAGCTAACACGGCGTCGAAGTGTATATTTCGACGATCCAATGAACCGAGCTCGGCCTAGTGATGAAGACGACAAGGGGTTGAAGTTAAATACCCGTATTTCCGCCTCAATTTTCGATCTTGTGGGTTCACAGAGCTCTTTACAGATCAAAAGTTCAGCCATCAAGCTTGTTTACCGTCCAGCTAGGTTAAGGACTAACATCTCATCTGTTTCGATTCGGGGACCGATCGTGCACAGAACGGTCACAACAGATATCTTAAATCTGAAACTCGGCGATCTTAAGCTTCATCACATCGAGAGTCCTGAGGAAGAGGACTTGGATAGGCTGCTCCAATTGTTAGCACCATCTAGCAAGCGTCAAGGCCAGGATGACGATATTATGGTCGACACTCTCCTACGACAGAGACGAAAAGGTAGCGTTCTGCGACTTTCGGTCCAAGACGTTCAGGCCACGGCTGACGGTGTTGTTTGGATTCAGCGATTGAGCAGGTTGGGCGACGAAATCTCCAAGCTCTCCTCTGTCACCAAATATCTGCCGGAAGACGATCGCCCAGGAATATTGATTTTCGGGTTGGTCAGCAAGCTCACGGCTCGTGTGGAGGTAGACAGACAATTTGGTCCCTTGCTATTAAAAGGTAACTTGCTGGAGGGCGCGCTTATTTCTGTGCCTTCCCTCATGGCCGCTCAGATCTCGAGTATCACTCTCAACCGCGATCAGAAAGAATCTCTGATCCGTGAATTGATTCCAAACATACAAGAAAGCACGATCATGGGCTCACCTATGCTCTTATGTCGATTCATCCCCGATGAGATGGAGCCAACGATCAAGCTGCAGCTATCCAATGCCTGTTTCGAGTATAGTGTACCTCTATCGTTGGCGTTCACTCAGCTCGTGGAGGCCTTAAAGGCAGAGTTTGAAATTAACCCCAACGCATCTTCGCCTCGAGCGAGTGAAGTCTCTTCCAGGTCAATCGAAGCTCCTGAACTAGCTCGGAAGATCAAATTGTCTCTGGCCCTCAATAGCTCGGCGATTTCGCTACGACCACTTGACTCCCCAGCTTGTGGAATCTTCTTGTTCAGCGATGCTGTCGTCAGTCATAGCGCCAGACACAACACTACTTTGGCAAATATTGAGATCCGAAAAGCTTCGATCATGATTGTTGACGATGTCGCAAGGATTGGCAAGGAAGACAGCGGCCTCGATTCAAGACTTTATTTCGATCGTAGCGGTCAAGTACAAGAGCTCATCAAGTCAGGCTTTGTGCCGGTAGGCTCCATTTCTGCTGCGTCAGCAGATGTAAAGATTACCGAGGAACGGTTGAGTAAGAAGCAGTTCGTTGACGTCGAATTCCGCAACAGCCTCCTGTTCCTGGAAACTTGTGCAGATTCAACACAAACACTGACCCAAATATTGAGTAATCTCATGGCTCCTACCCCACCATCGAAGGCTGAAAAGTACAGAACAGAGGTGGTGCCTGTCGAAGACATGTTGGCTTCTTGGACAGGGAACGTATTTGTTGCCGAGCAAGGGCCCGAATTGGGCTTACAAGTCGACGAAGGCGACACGACTCCTACCCCATCGACGATCCTTGCCCCTGAAGCTCAAAGCGAGCTTAATCAGGTTTTGAATGATGATTCGATCGACGAGGATGAAGAGGAGAATTTTCAGAATGACCTATATGTGGACCAGAGTACATACCTCGAACAAGATGAGATGTCGGAGAGCTCTGTAATGTCAGAATCCACGCATTCCTCTGTAGGCGGTGGTTCTGTCCATATCGCTCCTGTGAACGTCAGTGCAAGTGCCGAGCCGCCAGTCAGCAATATTACGGTCAACAGCCTCATCGATTTCCGTGCAGGTCACTTTGTGCAAAACTCTTCAGTCGGTGGTACGGCTCATCGTTGGAATTCCTCGCAGAACACATACGGCATGGGAAGTGAGGCAAGTGTACGACAGTCCCCAGTAAAAGTGAGGATCAGAGATGTCCACATAATTTGGAACCTGTTCGACGGGTATGATTGGCAGAATACACGAGATGCAATCACCCAAGCTGTCCGTGAAGTTGAGGACAAAGCTCTAGCGAAGCAGCGACGACGCGACATTCATCGTTCACCTGCGCTGGACGAGGATGATGAATCAGTAGTTGGTGATGTACTCTTCAATTCGATCTATATCAGTATTCCAACAAATCGCGATCCTCGAGACCTTGCGAATGCCATCAATATGGATGTGGGAGATGTTGCAAGCGAGACTGGCAGCTATGCGACAAGCACTACAATTACGGCGGCCACTAGCAAACGTCACTCAGGCACACGACCTAGGCAAAAGAAGCTCAAACTAAGTCGGAGCAGGTCGCACAAAATTACTTTCGAACTTGAAGGTCTCGCAGCAGATTTCATTACCTTCCCACCTGGTTCTGGTGAAGTTGAAAGCTCTGTCGATATCCGTGTGAACAATGTTGTGGTTTTTGACCACGTTCCTACGTCGACATGGAAAAAGTTTGCGACATACGATTACGAAGCTGGCGAACGCGAGGTGGGCACGGACATGGTTCATGTCGAGCTGCTGAACGTCAAACCGGTAGCCGACTTAGCTGCTTCAGAAATGGTTGTGAAAATCACAGTCCTTCCGCTACGATTACATGTCGATCAGGATGCTCTTGACTTCATGACTCGTTTCTTTGAGTTCAAGGACGATAGAATCGCCCCTTCGGGTACGCCATCCAATCCACCATTTATTCAACGAGCCGAAGTGAACCCTATCAAGTTACGGCTAGACTTCAAACCGAAGCGGGTTGATTATGCTGGACTGAAGTCGGGCAAACTGACCGAATTCATGAATTTTATCATCCTCGAGCGGTCCGACATGGTGCTGCGGCGAGTCATTCTCTATGGGGTATCAGGTTTTGATCGACTTGGTATCATGCTCAACAACATCTGGACACCTGATGTCAGGAACAATCAGTTACCAGGAGTGCTTGCAGGCCTGGCGCCAGTCCGCTCACTAGTAGATGTCGGAGTTGGCGTCAGAGACCTCATTGCAGTGCCAATTCGAGAGTACAAGAAAGACGGCAGGATAGTGCGCAGCATTCAAAAAGGCGCGATTGCGTTTGCAAAGACCACTACAACTGAGCTTGTTAATCTAGGTGCAAAGTTGGCTATCGGCACTCAAACAGTGCTGCAAAGCGCAGAGGGTGCACTCGTACCTCAACCCAAACAGCATTTAGCCCATACGTCCGACTCAGAGGAGGAGGAACACCAAATTTCACACTACGCTGATCAACCACTCGGCATAATTCAGGGTCTCAGAGGGGCATACGCAAGTCTTGAGCGAGACCTTTTGCTCGCGAAAGATGCCATCGTTGCTGTTCCAGGCGAGATCATGGCTGAGGGAAGTGCTACAGGAGCTGCAAAGGTTATGCTTAAGCAAAGCCCAACAATTGTTTTGAGACCTGCTATTGGTGTTACTAAAGCAATGGGTCAAGCACTCTTGGGTGCTGGTAATACTCTCGACAAAGGGAAGAGGAGGAGGATGGAAGATGTAAGTAAAATATTCTTTCGCGACCATAGTGCATTCACTAACTGATTTATAGAAGTACAAGAGATACTGAATAGCATTGTTGCATTGAGCTTCGTGGTAACGATAATGGTATGGCTGGTCGCGAAGGCGTTTTGGCATGCTACACAAAAAGCACAGTGGGAGCAGGCTCGTGTGTGAGATTGCATATTGGCTCACCTAGACTACACATGGGAAGAGCTTGGCGTTACATTCCATGGCATGAGTAGCGGAGTATAGCGAACAGTACTAGCGAAGCCGTCATCTCTGCGCGAGAGCTGCGACAAGCTCTTTGCTAAATAGTCATATGCATTGCCTCTCTCACTTTTTACCGTAAACCGAACTTTTAATACAACCTGGCACGCCTCGTTGTATGCTTGTGACGAAACAGTAAAGCATGATTCCATCACGGTCAGGTTGCCATATCCCAAGTCATACTTACAAGAGTCGAAGCGTGGTTCGTGGATGAGTAATTGCTGGGACGATCAATTTCTAACTAAATCGATAAGATACCTTTGCACAACTACTTTTCCACATATTCAAAGATGCCTATCAATCCTTCTACCTCTGTACTATCTATTCAACCTCCTTCCACCTCTCCTCTAATGCAGCCAACGTCGCCAAAGCAGATTGCACAACAGCTGTCTCGTTATTCTGTGCGTTCCCGCCTCCTCCTGCTCCTCCCACAGCACTCATAACCAATCCCTGCTGGGCCGCATTATACTGGATCTGATACGACTGATACCTCGAATCATACCACGAATTGTACGAACTTCCCTGGCTCATCAGCCCGGACATGGCTGCGTTGGAGCGTCCGTTTTGTGCGTTGACGAGGTTCATCATATTCATGCGGAAGGAGTGTTGTTGCGAGAGGCGGGCGCTTAGTGATTGTGTAATGTTGCAGGGTTGTTGCGGTTGTGCTGGTGCCTGAATCTGAGCCTATGCTTGTATCTGCTGGACATTAATGCGCGTCTGTATAAGTTCTCTGTAGATCTGCTCTCGTGCTTTACAGTATTCGTTAAATTCCATCAAGTCCTGCTTCTGACATGATTCCCAGTACCGTCTGCGCATGTTCTGTGAGTGCATGTCGCATTTTTGGTGTTTGATCAAGTTCCCTCGCCAGCGGAAGCCTCGTTCGAAGACAGTGTCTTTGCCGAAGTCTTCGTAGCATTCAGCGCAGAAGTTGAATTGGTCTGTGCCCCACCATTGACGAATCTCTAGTGTTTCTGAACCTGGACAGGGTGGGGCGAGCTCCATTTTGCAGGCGTATTCAATGAAGACGTTGGGGTTGTTTATTAGTACCATCTCGCAGTACTTGCCTATGTATCTTGCGAATCGTGGTGCGGTGGGGTGGAAGTCGCATTTTGCGACACCTGGAACTGAGACCTTGGCGAAGCGGCTTTCGAGACCGGCGCTCACGCAGTAGCCTAGGTAGCAGCGCTCGCAGATTTTGAAGTCGACTTGACCGGCTGTGTATGGGTTGTCGAAGGTGTAGAAGATCACGTCTTGGACCTCACCGCAGGGGCTGGCGGTGGTCATACGGCTTAGTAGCTGAAACCAACGAGGAAAGTCCTTCTCGATTAGTTGTGCACTGACAATCTGAACGGGAATCTGGGCGAAGCCACAAGACGTCCTTGGATCCTGGTGCCACTTCTGTTGGACTTGATGGGAACGATGAGGCGACTGGAGTATTGCTGACGTAGTCGAGGTGACATGATTCGCATATACGCATGCCATCCAAGCCGTCAGGTTTAAACCAATTTCGAGAAACAGCATCCACCTCCTCAGAGCCGGGGCAGGAGGGCACATTGCCTGCATATCTAATCCAGCCTGTGAAATTGTTCCAGTCGTTGGTCTGAGCACATCGAGTGAATGTTCGACGAGCAAAGTGTCGCGCAAGCGTACAGGCTGGCGCCTCTCTTGCTGAAAGGTGTGCAGAACTCGACCCGAAAAGATGTGCAAAAGGACTGGCGAGAACGCACTCTTCGTAGCAAGCGCCACAAACAGCAAGGCCGGGTAAGTCTGCAATCCTATACCACCGAGTGGCATTATCTCCAGCGCAGCCTTGAGTGCTGTGACGCAGACCCAGCTTATCGCGTCGCTGGACATAGGCATATAACTCGTTGATATTCCCGACTTGCAAAGCTCGCTCGAGAAGCTGTCTTACTCGTTCATTGTTGAAGTCACAACTTATTTCTCCACTAGGAGGAGGGTTGTAATGCAATGTCTCCAACCGATCAGTGAAATGTGTATTCGCTAATTTGTCCTCGGAGCAGCGTGTGCAGACAGCAAACTCGGTACAGCCTTTGAATCTGTACCAATAAGCAGCAAACATGATTCCTTCCGGCCCTTTTGCGGATGGACCGGGTTTTGAACAACTCACCAGGTGTTCACGAATGTTCGACTCGTCTTAGCAGGTAGCAGGGCTTCGTATTGACCCTTGCATTGAAGAAAGTGCCAAGCTTAGCTGGTCGGATCGTGCAGCAGGCTTGCTTACACTAGCTTAAACAGGAAATAGACATCCATTGTTAACTCATGGCGTAGAGTGTGGAACGACCATATTGCAGATACTATTGCCTTATGACTTCTGAACGTCACATACCGTGACATGTACTGGAGCACGTAGACTATGACCAAATTAGCATGTTGGAGCCACAAGCTGTGCCAGAGACACAAGACATTGAATTAGTGAAGCCCAATGCAACAAGGTAAGAAGCAGATGACTGGGTACTTGGCTGAACATATTGAGGGCATTCATTCCAGTCTGTGCAACATGGACATTGTTACAGTAATTCCGTCGAAACGGCACCTGGGTAGACAGGCATGAGGTGTCCACTAGGTTATCTGCTTGTTCTGACAGGGACATGGCCATAGGCTGAGCTCGCAGCCTGGGTACATCATGCGAGGATGGTGTGTAAGATTGTGTAGGGGTTGAAAACGATCCAAGTATACTGTGTCATACGCTGGAGAATATTTCGCGGTTCAAATAGCGATGCATTCATTCTAAGCTCATTGGCAATAATGCATAGTACAGGACATTTGACAACCAGTGTTACGATGAAATAGCTGGGAGATCTGTCAGCTGATGCTTGGTTGTGTCTCTTCCAGCTGCAAGGTGATGGCGAGAATACGAAAAGTGGCTGAAATCTCAACTTCAGACCTGAGCTCGAAAGAGCCAAAGTGCTCCTTGTGGTTCGCCGGAGGTCAAGTGCGACTTGAACTGCGTGGTTGCAGGCTGCCTGCGTTACTTTGTCCATTCATCGTCTTATGAAACACTTGAGCACGCTTCTTCTGATCTTCTGTAAGTGCAATGGGACTCACGATGGATGAGTCCAACCTAGCAACAATACACGTTCCTAGTGGACCATCTTCATATGCTCAGGATCGCCCAAATTATGATGGACTTACTCTCCAGCAACTGGTGAACCGCAAAGACAACCTTGAGGCAGAGCTAAAGGCATTGGGAGCAGTCCTTGACAGCCATGGAGTGACAATGCAATCCACCCTCACTACATTTGATGGATTCCCTCGAGCTGATATTGATGTCGCACAAGTTCGAGTGACGAGAGCACGCATCATTCATCTCCGTAACGACTGGAAAGAGCTAATGGACAAGATCGAGAAGGCTCTACACCAGCATCATGCTAACATACAAGCTGAAGAAGCCAAAAAGCCAGCAACAGTGAATCAAGACTCAGCATCTACAACTTCCTCAGGTCCTCCTCCTGCCCCCGAAGCACCTTTTGCCAAAGTCAACTCTGTCGAACCCGAAAGCCCTGCCAACGAGGCTGGTCTGAAGGCTGGTGATCTGATCCGAAGATTTGGAACTGCTATATGGTCGAACCACGAGAGGTTGAGGAAAGTCGGCGAGGTTGTACAGCAGAATACAGGTCGGCCTATATTGGTCAAGGTATCGCGGCAGACTGGCAATCAGACACAGGAGCTCGACTTACGGTTGACACCGCGTCAAGGTTGGGGAGGAAGAGGATCTCTGGGTTGCCACATATTACCGCTGTAAACCAGGATACGTGTATAACAAAGACTTGCCACTCGTAAGTCCGGAGCTCATTACGGCCTAGGTCATACGAGAGTATGAAGGAAGCAATAGCATCTCACACTGGCTATGCCAATAAGGTCATACAGACAAGCACTTCTGTGAATAGATGATGTACGTAAATCCAGTTGAGCTAAGTTTAACACTTCTCCCTTCTCATCGATAGGCAGATAGATTATACGGGCTCAGGCACAAGACAGTACACACAAGTGTAGGCGTATCGTGCTGTAACACAAACCTTTGGTCATTTGTTCCTCAGGCTGGCACCAGGCAAACGGTCACGTGAGAAAGTCCACTACCGAAGAAACGGCGGCAACCACGAGGGAATTGGCGGCAACATCCCGCCAAGCAAGCTGGAGAATCTTTTGTTTTGTTGCCTCACTCAACCCGCCGTCACCTAAACCCAGCAGGCTCTACAACTTTTTGGCCTTCTCCATTCAACCTCAAACTTCACCTTTCCTCCACACCACTCTTTGAGTCTACGTACAAACTGCTAGTCTCTTGTTCGAGCCTCCGATCTACATCAACTATTATTGTACACAATCACAAGCTCATTCAACATGGCCGAAGCTGCGCAGGCCCCACCTACTTTCAAGCTCGTCCTTGTCGGTGATGGTGGCACAGGAAAGGTAAGAACTACCACCCAGTTCTCTTTGCGATAAAGAAAAGACATACTGTAGTACACGTTCTTGAGAAAAGCTTCTGCAGTGCCATTCCAGAGTATCAAGCTGACAAATATCTTAGACTACCTTCGTCAAGCGTCATTTGTCTGGAGAATTCGAAAAGAAATATATCGCTACACAAGGTGTAGAGGTTCATCCTCTAGGCTTCACAACCGTACGTTGTGCCTCTCGGCAACTTTTTGCAAGGCTAATAAAGGCATAGAACCTTGGTCAGATTCAATTCGATGTTTGGGATACCGCAGGTCAAGAGAAGTTTGGCGGTCTAAGAGATGGTTACTACATCAACGGCCAGTGCGCTATCATCATGTTTGACGTCACATCCAGAATCACATACAAGAACGTACCAAACTGGCATCGTAAGCTATACAAGCGAAAGCAGAAGAAATGGCCTTGACTAACAATCTCTAGGTGATGTAGTACGAGTCTGCGAAAACATTCCAATCGTCCTCTGCGGTAACAAGGTCGACGTCAAGGAGCGAAAAGTCAAGGCCAAGACAATCACTTTCCACCGCAAGAAGAACCTGCAATACTACGACATCTCAGCAAAGTCAAACTACAACTTCGAAAAGCCGTTCTTGTGGCTGGCACGAAAGTTGGTTGGCAACAGCTCTCTCGAGTTTGTCGCCGCTCCAGCTCTTGCTCCTCCCGAGGTTACCGTCGATCAAGCGACTCTTGATCAATACCAGAGAGAAATGCAAGACGCTGCTGCCATGCCTCTACCTGATGAGGATGACCAAGATCTGTAAAGCAGTTGCACGATTATAATGCAACTGCGCACCTCGAATGGGTTGCGATATTAACAAGGACCGCGATGTGTTAGAAGGAAATGGTGGAAAGAGGGAAGCGAGAGGGTAATGGAGACCTTTGCATTTGAACTCAGCATCGCGTACGCCAAAGCCGCAGTCAGCTGACTGGCTTTTTACAATTGACAAGCTGGCACCAAGTCTATTACAACTGAGCCGTGGAAGATGAGTCTGAACCACATTTTCAGCATAATATGGTGTTCGATATCGCAACCAATATCCATCAGTCATTCAGATGACTCTACGATAGATTTCTCTCACTTACAGAAGCATAGCGAGGAAATAAACGTCATGACAAGTGAGCGAAACGAAATGTTTCACGATTCAGGTATCAATTTGCGGTATCGTGTCTCTAAGCACAGGTGTCTTGGAGTCTCCCGTGCTCATCAGAGAATCTGTGCTTTCGTTCGTTGTTCTACACACCACTGTGTAGATCACTAACGCTGGCTGAATCATGTTGCCAATTTTAGACTGCTACTCATGCTAATGTGCCTCAGCCGCAAATTAGGTCAAAAGTCAGGCACGGAAGACTGGCTGGACATGTTGAAAAGATGGCCAATCATAGTCGCAAGGCAGGTCTATCCGGAATTGGAAGTAACGTGAGTTCCGGAGCCGCCAGCCTTCCTTCGCGATTCATTGGCTCGTGCTTCGTTACCAATAATGCTCTAACTATTTGCGGCCTTGAAACAAAGCTGAATCCGCGATTTGTGATCCGAGTCTCAGGAGATCCGCTCTGCCTGGCTGAAGGACCTCGAAGTGTGAGCTCCTGAATGTGACTTTGGTACACGCTACGCTTAGTCAGGGAAGTGTTAGCAGTATACAAGATGGCGTCTGAGCACAGTCACTTCACGCTTCGACCTTTTCCTTCACCGCACTGCATTGCAAGTCGCTCAGCCATTCTTTTTTCCACATTAATCAAACAGTCGCTCGTTAAAGCCCAGTCGTTCTTTCAGAACAGTCATTCACTTTACATCCAGAAGTCGTACATCCTTCGACACTCATTATGATGAAAACAGTCGTCTCTGCTGCTGGCCTCGTCGCCGCTGTCTCTGCCTTCACCCAGCCAGTACAGCCACCAACCTATGGCTCGCTTTTGCGTCCTGACTCGAACACTCCTGTCACAACTGGTCAGACTTACGAGATTACATGGACACCCACACCATCGACCCCAGATGGCACGGTCAGCTTGGTACTTTGCAATGGCCCAAGCTCAAACTGTGTCCTCCAATCATCTGCAATCATCGAGCGCGTCCCAGCAAGTGCTGGAAAGTACTCATGGAACGTGCCTTGCACTCTTGCAGAAGGGGTTCAATCAACAGCCTCTGGTTATGGTATGCTTGTAATTGAGGATGGTACTGGTCGTTTCCAATGTGAGTTAAATCGTCATTCAGCTTAGGATTTGACTAACAATGACTAGACTCGACACAATTCTCTGTTCAGAAGGGCGCATCCTGCTCATCTTCGTCCTCGTCCTCGAGCACAACCACTACTGCCTCTCCCACTTCCACCGCATCCTATACACATGCAGCATCTGGCTGGTTAGAATGGAACAGCACCTCGAGTGTTTCAACCTTGAGCACCAGCACTACGTCAGCAGTGCCAATCACAACCACAACCACAACCACGTCCGCTCGGACCACATCTGCTGCACCAGTGACCACAAGCTCAAGCGTCAGCTATACCACCATCAGTGTCCTTAGCTCTTCAGCAGCTGCTTCCACGTCTGTTTCTGCTTCGACGTCTGTCACTGCTTCCACGCCTATCACTGCTTCCACGTCTGTCACTGCTCGTCCATCGACCTTCACTGGTGCTGCTGCACTGCCAACAGCATTTGTCAATGTAGCTGGTCTGGTCGGTGCTGGTTTGGCTGTACTTGCATTGTAAATGTATGCGCCGAGTTATCAGCTACGTGTCGGCAGTCCCGTGGAGACTGTCTAGATGAAAGCAAGCTTGATGGGACCGAGTCAGGCGAAGAAGTGAGGAGTAGTGTACAAACAGGAAGTGACAGATGAGTCGCCAGGAGGCCCCCAGTTATCCTCTGGTGTTGGTACGTTATCGCTTTATGATCGACAGATATTGTCGAGCATGTATAAACATAATGACGATTATCTCTTCCGCAAGATACATTTCCGTGAAATGCAATGGTCATGTTAACTCGAGCGGATTGCCGTGTCTACCGCACTCGTCGTTTAGCATCACATCCTGTCATCTCGTGGTCTTCCATGTCCCGGCCGGAAAAAGTGTCAGGATCATCACATCACATTGTGGGCGTGGCCCCGACACTCCTGCTGACCAGGACGCAAATTTTTATATCAATTTCGGTTTCCGGGTCCTATTAGCTTTGTATCTCGTGTTCTAGCGACCATCGAACTGGGATCTGTGTTCAACTCCCGGTGCACTAGCCATGTCAATCAACACAGATCCCGGAAGATAGGTGAAATCAAAAGTTAGTCATCGAGGTGAGCACGTCGTCAAATGGGAAACGTGGACTGAGTGATTGATAGTGTCGCCTACTGGTCGTTAAGGGTGTCCCTCCGAATATACGCAAACCACACCAAAGTGAGCGGTTGCTTTTGCTGATCACCACGTGAGTATCAATTCGATTTTATACTACATCTGTGAGATCAAATACGAAGGCATGTTCCGGCTATGAACAAAGTGTCAGGGGCACGCCCGCAATTTTGCTGTGGTACTCAAAAGCATGCTAGAGGCTCTCGGCGTTAAGGATGAATAACGGAGCTTGACCACTACCTTGAACGAAAGCTAATAAGCAATTGAGTCTACTACCAGATCAATGGCCATGGTATATTTAGGCATTCAACAGTCTATTGCCCTGGGATTCCTGCTTGCCTCTTATCTGCGTCTTAAATCAATACATGAACCTTGTTTCTCCAAATGACGTTGTCTTATGTGCAGATCGAAGACTTCAGATATGAAGAAACGCCCGTCTTATTACAGCTGCCCTTGCTATATACCGTTTGATTGCGCAACTATCTGCCTGTGACCACTGTCTAGCAGCTACTGACGGAGAGACGCAATAATTGACCAAAAATATCCGCGATGGGGGTCGAAACACTCACTATGATATCGGCGACGCCCTCACCGTTCGCACGCATGAATCGCATCGCGTTACACGAGAAGGGCATCCCTTTTGAGCTGCAGAACGAGGTCCCGTGGGACAGCACCACGGCCACTCGAAATTATAACCCACTGGAAAAGCTTCCCATCTTGCTCTTTCCAGACTCGGAGGTAAGTGGCTCATTCTGCATTGCTCTTTAGCTCGTGCTTGTCTCTCGACGAACCTGGAGTGCCCCTCCGTGCTATTGGGATAGCAAGAAGATCACGTGGGACACATTTTTTGACACAAAAGATACCATTGTTCAAGGAATTCAGACAAGCTGATAATGAGACAGAACCAGGAACCAGTCTATGACTCCGCTCATATACAAAACTTCATCGTGACGAAGTATGCCGACAAATCGCCAAAATTGGTCACTGGCGACATCAATCTTGATCTCAAAGCACGTCAACTCCTGACTCTGTCCGAAGGCGTCCTTGATGCCTTTGTTCTCATTTTTTGGGAGTCAAAACGACCAGAAAACAAGCAGAGCGCAGAATGGTTAGCGCGTCAACAGCGCAAGATTGACGGTGGGCTTGCTGCTTTCGAGAGTTTGTGCCAATCGCGGCAGCCAAAGTCGAGTGAGTACATTATTAACGACACGTACACCATCGCAGATATCGCGATCGCTTGTGCGACTGCGCAGATTGATTTTGGTAGTATGCGTCCTGGGTGGAGGGAGAAGTATCCAGGTAAGCAACCCTATCTGTGTATCGCTAAGCAGAAATAGCTGCTGGCCTGTAAACCCGCACTTTCTGAGACTGACGTCCACCAGAACTGGCTAAATGGTACACGAAGATGGAAGAAAGAGACACATTCAAGAAGACGTATCCCGTAATGTTTGAGGTTAAGGACAGTGTAGTGTGAATGAGCAGGTAACACCCCTTGAAGTTCTGAAATTGGTACAATACGGGCGTCCTCCCCACGCGCCGGCCAGGTCTTGATGGAAACAGTTCGACAAAGAGGTTTGTGACAGGCGAAAGAAGTGGAAGATTTGTTTTAGTGAGGGTCGAAAGTAATTGGCTGTCATTATACATTATCATTAGACTCGGTTAATGCCGAAAGCGACGTCAGCTGAACAGACCTCGTAGTAACTGTCGCATCTTCTTGAGCATATTGGGTATCATAAGATCCGTCTGATGGCTGGATCGCACTGCCAATCTTAGCAACAATTCCGTCCTGGAAGGCCGTTGAGCAACACGTTTCCGTTCCTCTTGCGCCTTCTGACAGAGCCGTCTTCGAGATGAGTCAGTCCGGAGCGCACACTGTTGCCGTCCCAGCTTCCCATCTCACCATACTGAATTCCACTCTGTGGATCACCTGGATCAATCTCGCCCAATTCGATTTTCGTGAGGATCATTCTCGCTAATCTGTTGAATATTTCTTCCACGTTCTCGCCAGAAAAAGCGGATACCTCCATTACTGCTGGTATACCGGACTTGGAGGCCCACCTCGAGGCGATGTCCTGTTGCACCTCTCTTCCTTCGCTTGTCTTAGTCGCAGTCCACCTTGATCCTGGTATGATCGACCTTACTGAGCCTCCTCCTCCATCTGCAGGGAACGTAGACTGCCGACTCGACACACTAGAAGGAGTAGGATCTGGTTCCTGCTGCGGTTGTGCATCTGCTAGATCGACCTTGTTTCCTGCCAGTATTACCGCAAGATTAGGTGAAGCTAAAGCCTTCGCATCCATAAGAAATGTCGGCAATGCATTGAACGATGCTATCGAAGCAATATCGTATACCAGAATAGCTCCAGCAGCGCCTCTGTAATATGACCGTGAAATTGACTGGAATCGTTCTGTTCCTGCTGTGTCCCACAACTGTAACTTCATCCTCCTTCTAGTTGGCCCTGATCCTATTTTCACGATCTTTGAGGGGAAGAACTCAACTCCTAGTGTCGAGCTGGAGAGGACTCTCCATTCGTTGTAACAACATCGGTGTAGAATACATGATCTGAAGTCCCCTGGTCAGAGTGAACTTTGCGCATCGGTGGACGTGGTCGCGCACCTACTTGCCAGAGCCCGATGGCCCCAATAGTATAATCTTGGCTAGGTAGTCGTACATGCTGCTCAATTCCTACCACATTAGCTTTGAATGCGACTGATAGGCTCATATTTGTATACCTGGTGACCATCGGTACCCTCAGAAGTCTCAGAGACCACTGAAGACTTCCGTGGACGTGCCATTATACTGTCAGATTTTGCACCAAGGTAACAACCACTTTGAAGACGTCGAGAGCGAAGCTGGACGGGTCATGGGTCCTGTATAAGCTCCAGGACTTGATAGTGATAAGACATTGCGTATCACAGCCTCAGGCTGCTTGACTATTTGTGAAACACGCTAATACGGTCGTAATTACTCCGGGTTTGTTACGCCTACAACGTCAATGGCTCCGTAGTGTACTCGTCATTACTCCAACAGGCTTTCGCACGACTACTAAAGTAAAAGTCGATACAGAAGGTTGCGTTGAATGTCTACGCGTGCTATATCTCCAATGGAAACTGATCTTTTCTGGTTAAACGGATCAACGTGATAGCGCGGGTGGTCATGTCGAAGGCGGTAGGCGGACAGGCAGTAACGCCGTGAGGAAGCTTCTAGCTATTATGCTAGTGACAGACAGCAACCATTCGGAACTGCGAGACCGGTCTAAGGCAGAACCTTCTGCGGTAATTAAGAACAACTTAAACGCTCAAGATCAGCAAACGAGCGACTTCAAGCAGAAGCTCCAACAATTCGGCTTTCGTCTTGAAACGTCTGCCATGGCACCGAGAACACGGCAAAGTGTAGCAGCTTCGCCATCTCAGAAGCTCACCTCAAAAGTGGTCAAAAATGCATCTGCGAGCAATTCAGACGTGACTTCAAAGGTAAGAATCGATGGCAGCGAGTCCGCCACCAAGGCGGCCTTGAGCAACTCCAGGAAGCGCAAAAGAGCTATGAAGAATGTCGAAAGTCCTACAGTCAAAGGTTCGGCCATGAACCCGGTCAACAACCTCAAGGACAGCCTTGAAGAAGGGCTAATCCTTGTCTCGATTGGTGTCAATCCTGGCATCATGACGGGTCTTACAGGTAATTCGTCCGACAAAGTCCCAACTCATTAGCTGACCTAGATCTAGGAGAGGCGTATAGCCACCCAAGTAACCGCTACTGGCCAACCCTATACGCATCAGGGATAACTCCTGTACCACACAAGCCAAAAGACACCCACAGTTTGATGGATCTCTATGGCCTCGGACACACTAACGTAGTTGCTCACATTGCAAGCCGAGCAGCAAGCGACCTAACCAAAGAAGACTGGATGGTCGGCGCAAGAGACCTCGACGAAAAGATCCGCAAATTCAAGCCAGAGGCTGTCTGCCTCGTGGGCGAAGGTATATTCACACAGTGGTTCAGGTACAAGGAAGGCCGGCCTCATAATGTGAAGAAGGACGGTCCTGTCAAGTTTGGTATACAGGATGAGAAGTACTGGATTGGTCGAAAGGAAGGAGAATATAAAGGATCAACGACATGGGTCGTCACGACTACTTCTGGAGCTTCGACGAAACATTCGACACAGGAGAGGGTGGCTATCTGGAAGCCACTTGGGGATTGGTTCGCGCCGAAAAGAGATCAATGGATCAAGGAAAGAAAGGGGCAAGAAGAGACAGCCGATGTAATCTGAGTCTGACAGCATAGAGCTCGGAAATGCGAGCGATCTGAAGGACTTTCCTACGCCACTTCACGTCTGATATTTTAGCTTCGCGTTGTCGACATGGTCATCGTCTAATAAGCAGCCTACAGCAACGAAACAGGATCTTGCAGTATATGAAAGGCAAAGAACTCATGAAGTCTGGAACAACTTCCGGTCCTTGTTGTCAATCACACAAATAATGTAAGCAAGCTTCAGCATCCCACGAATCCACTTTTCGAAAATACATGGTCATCAATTGGGCGCACCAAGTGCTGAAGGATCTGTCGTCGAGGAAGACAGCCTGATCCAAGCGGATCAATAAGAAATTTCTATTTCATGTCTGAATAGCCAAACAGATATGCCCGCGCGAGCAACATCACTATATATTCGCTATACTTCATCCTTAATGATCACCATTGTGCTCAGCCAAGACTTGGATGGGCTCGCCATCAGAGGCTTGAGCAGTAGCTGTGACTTTGTTAGCCTCGATGACTGCTTTCTCGGTCTCAGTGCTTGAAATTGTGTCAACTTTGCCGTCCGTAGGTTCCGCTGCCTCAGTAATGGCGCTCTTAGCAGGAAGAACCTCGTCTATATTATCGCTTCCACCTTCAAATCCTTGCGTTGCACCTCCTGTTCCTCCGACAGTGCTCTGTACAGCCGCGCTCCCAGATTCCGGCTCCCTGACAGCAGGAGCAGGCGCAACACTCTTGGCCTTGGGTTCTAGGATACCAAGAGCCTCCATACGGAGCTCCATTGCTCGTTTGTGGGCGTCGAGACCTTCTACGCGAGCTAGCTCGACTACTGCAGAACCAACTGATCGGACACCTTCTTCCGAGACAGCGGATGAGGTGATGTGCTTCATGAAACTGGCGAGGTTTACGCCAGAGTACTGTCTGGCGTAGCCGTAGGTAGGTAGTGAATGGTTTACACCCGCGCTGTAGTCGCCGACTGATTCTGGCGTCCACTGACCGATGAAAACGGAGCCAGCGTTCTGTACTTGGGTCAGTACAGCATGAGGATCGTCGATTTGGAGGATCAAATGTTCAGGCGCGTAGTAGTTGCTCCACTTCATGGCTGTTGCTAGATCGGGCACTGAGATGCTGACGGAGTGGTCGATTGCACCTCGAACGATGTCTACTCTTGGTAGAGCATGTGCTTGAGTATGGAGCTCGTCTTCAATGGCTTGTAGCTGGTCATCTGTCAGGTCAACGGCCAGAAGCACTACTTGGGAATCAACGCCATGTTCAGCTTGTGATAACAAGTCGGATGCCACGAAGGCGGGATTGGCAGTCTTGTCTGCGATGACAAGGACTTCGGATGGCCCTGCAGGCATATCGATACTGACACTAGCAGTCGTGTCGTTGCTTACGATCATCTTCGCAGCTGTGACGAACTGGTTCCCTGGACCAAGAATCTTGTCCACCTTCGTGATGGACTCTGTACCATAAGCCATGGCAGCCACAGCTTGAGCTCCGCCGGCAAGAACAATAGCTTCCGCACCGATTTTGTGGGCTATGTAAACGATTTCGGGTGTAATTGTGCCATCAGAGCGTGGCGGTGAAGCCATGACAATGTTCTTGCAACCCGCGGCCATAGCGGGTACTCCTAGCATCAAAGCCGTCGACGGAAGAACAGCTGTACCTCCGGGTATGTAAAGTCCAACTTTCTCTATCGGCCGGCTGAAACGACTGCAGACCACCCCAGGCATAGTTTCAACCACAAGTGGTGCTTTCTCCTTCTGTGCAGAGTGGAAGGTGAGGATATTGTTGTAAGATGTATCAATAGCTTGAATCGTCTCAGGAGGTAACTGCATCAGAGACTGCGCAAATGGCGCCTTGAGCACAGGCGCCTTGAGTGAAGTTGCTTTCTCGAATTTCTGAGTATACTTGAGGACTGCAGCATCGCCCTTTTCCCTGACTTCTGTTATTATCGGATTGACAAGAGACATAATCTTCTCCGTGGAACGCTGAGACGGTCGTTGTAACGCCGCCTGTATGGCGTCGTCTGAGAAGGCTTGTGCTGTGCTGTAGCGTCTCATCTGAATACGGCCATCAGCAGCCACTCCTGCCGGATCGGAAGACTCCTCAGGTATTGATGCAGCTTCCTTGGTTTGTTCCTCCTCAGGTTCGCTTTTACTTGTGCCATTGACCTTGGTTTCTGATTCTGATTCTGTTTGTAAATACTGTGGTTTAGCGTCACCTCTGCGTCGTGGCTTGGCGCGCAAGCTCTTTAGGTCGAGACTTCTTTCGATATCGGACAATGAAACATCGGCTGCTATACATCTTGTCAGGGCGAAGTAGAAGAGGTCTGCGGCTTCCGAGGCTATTTCCTGCTTTGTTTGGGCCTCGCACAGCTCATCAGCTTCTTCCCGAATCTTCGCATTGATCATCTTGGGATCATTAAATAGTCTCGCGGTATAGGATCCTTCCGGAGCTGACAGCTTTCGTGCCTTGATAGTTCTTTCGAGTTTGGCAAGACCAGAATCAGGTCCCCAGCAAGTCGTTGTGCCCTTGTGACAGAAGCCTCGACCTTTCTGCTTGACTCTGAAGAGCAAGCAATCCTTGTCGCAATCAAAGTCTATGCTTATGAGCTCTTGCGTATCTCCACTAGACTGGCCTTTGTACCACAACCCCCTCTTTCGACTTTGATAAACACCAGTTCCAGTCCTCAAGGCTTCCGCAATGCTTTCCTTGCTGCTGTAGACCAAGCCGAGGGCTACTCCGTACTCATCTACCACGGTGGTCGTGTACAGACCTGTCTTGCGATCCGTTACAGCATTAGCTAAGATGAGATCGATAACTGGTATCAGATTGTCGTTGCCCTCTCTTGTGCTATTGAAGGTCAATCGGCTAGCAGGCACGATGTATGCGCTGCCGGGGTATCTAGACAGTACGTCCCCCGTGTATGTCTTCTCTGTTATGTGTGCCCATACAACTTGGTCTGGCGAAGGAGGATGGTTATCCAGCTCAGTCAGCACAGCATCGACGTATTCACTGCCTCGATCGCCGTCAAATGCCCATGGGGAAGTCTTCCAAGTCTGGTTCTCGGATAGCCATCCTTTCAGCTTCTCGAGGTTCGTTCGTGGGTTATCTGGATTGATAGTCAGGACAAGTCTTTCTGGAGCAAGCTGATCTTCAGGATAGCACGACAAGACTTTCAGCTGTTCGAATGTCACAAAGACCTTGCGAACACCAGCATGTAGCACCTGAAACACTTCATCAAGACTGGAAACCTGTCGAACGTCGGCGTAGATTTCCAGCTTGTTGAAGTTGTGCTTTGTGAAGTCAAGTGCTAGCTTTAGAGAGTCATGATCGACAGTAATGAGGCAGGACCCAAGATAGGCGACTTGGTCTAGCGTCAGACCTGATGTGCTAGAGTCAGAGGTAGAGCTGCTGCCAAGCTCGATCGAGGGCAGAAGATCGAGGACCATGTTGCTGCGACTTGCAAAGCAAACAATATGCGTCAGCAAGATCCAATATTGAAACCTGCGCGAGATCGCAGGCCAGCATAACCCACCGATGAGTCCCGCCAAATTTTGCGACTTCCGAGACCTTTTTTTATCGTTATCAGTGACGCATTGTTGCAGCTGGCCAATCACAGTTGAGCGGTTCCGAGCACAGTACAGCTCACGCATGTGGTGGTCACCAAAGGCAGCCGCTCACTTTGATATGAGTTGCTTATACTTGGGAGGACGCCTTTGATCACCCTTGATGCACAATCCTTTCCCTCTCCGCGTTCCAGTCAGCAAAAGCAGTCGCTCACTTTGGTACAGTATACAGCTATCGGGTGGACGCCTTTGCCGACCACCACGTATCACGGTATACGATTGTTATACCACAGTATACTTAATGACCCAAACTCGTTTTGTGCGACATCGTGGACAGAGTTTAGGCCCCTCCAATCAGTATTGCGTTATTCACTGAGGATCACATTGGTAGGGATAACTCAACGGGATACGAGACTGGTTCTGCTATTCTCGAAAAAAGAGGCACAGCTGTTGTAGAAGTACTTCGCCATGCTAATTAGCTAACACAACCATCACACGATACACGACACGAACTGCGCATTGCTTTGACCAGACTGTGTGAGGCAACGCAGTGCTTTTCCTAGATTCGTGCTCACATTGTAAACCCACTACGAGATGTTGATGTAGCACTTTTAAGGTGCGTACCTGAAACCTGGCGTCTTCTCCAAGACGTACTCCCTTCCTGCCGCTTGTGCTTCATCTGCCAACCGATTTTGTCTCTTAAAATGCATGGACAAGCTTAGAGTGATGCAGATGTACAGAATGAGCATACAGATTGTTGACCACATGCCAGGGAGGTACAAGGGTGCGTCCTGTGACCTGAAGATTGTGCTGCCTGCGATAGATATTAGAAACGTCGAATCACGACAGGTATTTCATGGCTTACCGGCGATGCCTCCTGCAGCACCAAACGATATCATGGCCGCAGCCACTACGCCCTTCTTCTCATTTCGTCCAGTCTGGTTGTTACCATAAGCTAGGGTTCCTGGAATGTTTGCTTGGCAACCGAATATAGCCAAATACAGACCGAAGTAGCGGACACCGGGTGGTTTGGCATATAGAATTACGAGTAGTCCAACGATACCGACCAAAGCCTGAGAGCAAAGGATTGGCCATCGCATTCGTAACTTGTCACTGATGTATGCCATGATGAGGCTCATGATGATGGTGAAAACATAGGGTGGTGAAGAAAGCAGCTGTGCTTTCGCATAGCTGAAGCCCATACCTTGCCTGAGGATGATTGGCTTGAAGAAGGCAAGGGAGTACACCGAAGATGCACAGATGAAGTATTGCAAGCCGTACAGCACCAGTTTCCAATCGCACAGCATGACTGTGAATTCCTTCATGCTAGGATGTACGACTGCCTTGCTGGATTTGTCGATTCTGACTCGCTCGAGTGCGATGTGCCTCTCGCGTTTGCTGAGGAACTTCACTCGTTCGGGAAACTCGACAAGGAACCAGGGTGAGACGATGCCAGCAACGATCGTAGCCACACCTTCCACGATGAATATCCACCTCCATCCTGCTCGATACATACTGCCTGGTCCGCCAACACGAATGAGTGACAGTGCGTAAGCGAAAATGGGTCCAAATCCGGAGCTCAGGAGTGAAGCCATATAGAAGATGGAGATTCTTCTCCCAGTTTCAAACTGTCGATACCAGCAACCGATGATATAGATACTGCCAGGGAACAAACCAGCCTCGAACACTCCGAGTAACGCTCGCAGGACGGTGAGGATTTTCCAATCGTGGACGAATCCCATACCAAGAACGCAGCCACCCCACATAACAATCAGGAAAGATAGCCACCATCTGGCACCGATCTTACGGATGATATAGTTTGATGGAAGCTCGAACAAACAGTACCCGATGAAGAAGATCAAAAGCGCAATCGAATATCTTGACCCTATCTGAAGTTGAAGATCCGTGGCAAGTCCAGCGATATATGCAGCCGAGATGTTGGTTCTGTCGAGTAGAGACAGGCCAAAAACGATGCAAAGCATGGGGAAGACCCTGAAGTCAATCTTCCATCTTAATGGCTGTCAGCCTAGATGGTTCAATAGAGACGACACTACTTACACTAGCTTTCTCTCCTCTTCTGGTGTCCAGTCTTGAACGACTGTGGAGTGCTGCTCTTCATCTTTACGTAGAGAATCGTCTGACGAGATACGCTCATGCTCGACGTGTTGAGCGATGGCGTCCTTGTTTGCAGCCATGAATAGTATCGATTGCCGTACGGGCCTTAGCAAGCAGTGTTACAGTCTGATCAACGCGAGAAAACACTGTTTCTATACCTTTCACTGGTGCCCTCCAGACACTGCGAATGTCTTGGTCCTCGGATGTTGGTTGAAGATTAGCCGATGTAAAGTGTCTTTGGTCTCAACGAGGCCAACCGCGGCAATGGTCGACGACTGCATGGTTCAAGAGAGCTAAAAGCACATGTAGTATGCATCGCTACAGAGTTCTCCGTCCTGTAACAGGAACGCTTGCTTTGAATCCAGTAAGGATGATTCCTGAAGACTTCGCTCAATTGGCGGAAAGCCTGTGACAAGACCGGAGAATGCATGCCAAGCTTGTTGCCAAGAAAAGTCGACTCATTTCCCCACGTTTTTTCTGACTCGAAAAGTAGACGCCAAGCAGAAGACTGGGGTAGTCGCAATCTCGAATTTGACCTTCCATGTCTGAGACCTTGCCTGACTGCTACATTAGGCGAGCAAGGAACGAAGTCTGACTTGCCAAGCCACAGCAACAGAAGTCCAGACCTTTGTCCTGAGAATAGTAGAAAAGTGGTGATTGAAGTGAAAGATCATAGATTGTACCCAGACTACAACCTGCATTGAATATTGATTGTCACTAACGTATTCTGAGACCGGTCAGCTAGTTGACCGGACCGGCGTCATTAAGGTGTCACTTTGTGTTTGAGTTTCTTCAGATAGTCCGACGTTCTGCCAGCGCGTTAATTGCGGTGAACCATAAAATGTATGCAACAGCCGAGCACACCAAGGCATGGCTTACAGCAGACACATTTCGATGTGTAAGGATCGTTCTCGAGCTGCAGGGGTGCACTAGACCTGGCGGGTTGTTCAAGCACGAGATTAAATGTGAACGAATACACCATCCCATCTTGGTTCGAGACACAGGATTCGAGTCTGCCAAAGTGCCAAGTGCAGGCTCTCGAACCTGCCAAGTCTGTCGTGCAGTTGACCAAGAGTAGTACTCGTGGTGACTATCATTCCGTGGCAATAAGCCACAGAGTCCAGTTCCCCGCACAACAGGCGACCGAAACGACCTTGAGCCATTCCCATGTCTGACTGAGGCTGGGCAGAGAGATTGTTGGAATGCTGGGCATACAGAAATCGAATACATTTCCGAGCACATGGCAGCAAGCTTGCCACGTCTCGGTCAGTAAAAATGTAGGGGCAAACACGACAAAACTGCGGGCGTGCCCCCGGGCACTTTTATTGACTGGAGCGTGCCTGCATGCTGGTCAAGACACCGTCGAGTCCCTCGAACAGGCACATGCTTTGATTAGATCTGATGCACCTAACGAGCGATCCCAGCAGTCAGGATCTTCTATCTGTAGAGTAGATCATGATAATTGGCCAACCAGAGAAGAGCCGAATCTCTTCCTTGTGACGTCTCTCTGCTTGCCCTTTCCTTGTAAAGGATGGTCTTTTTCCCATTGCTCATCAGCTCTGTACGCCTCTATGGCAGCCTCTAGATCATACTGGCTGGCTTTCAGATATAGCTGAGCCACGCTGTAGTCAGCACACTTTGTGCCGATCATCCATCTCCTCAATTTGTTCTTGCGCTCCTCCTCTTCAGGATCTGGTGGTGTGGACAAAGGAGGGCCAGTGTAATAGCTCCGTGGAACGAGAACGAACTTTCGAGCAGTAATTAGAGAATCTGAAAACAAGGCATTATATTTTCTGAGAACGTCTTGTGGCACTTTGTATGCTAGTGACAGCGAATGAATCGAGTCGTCAGAGGAGAGAAAATGCACTGTATCCTCCGTTTGTTGTGGCGGTCTTATAGCACCTGATGGACTGACGAGACTTGATTGAGTAGTAAGGGACTCGTAGGCTGGAGGTAGATCCAACGCTCTCGTCGCATCCTCGTTGTCTCTGTAAGAAGGTGGCAACCTGAGTCCATCGGCAGGTAATGCTGAAGGCTCGGAACTGATCTGACAGTAAGGACAGTATGTCTGAAACCTAGAATTCTTGTACTGACACTCGGCGCAAATCGTCCTACCGCAACATTCCAATCTACGATCCAGGCATATGGGCTTTTCGTTCACCTCATCGTATGGAATTTTCGTGTCAGTAAGTACAGTCGCGCATGTGCAGCAAGCCTCGTTGACAGTCATAGCGATGGTATCACTTGGATATCGAAGAAGTCAACTGCACTCTAGGGAAAGGATGATTGATCGAGCCCATGATATTGACAACGAGGCGCGCAATGTCCGCCTCCCAGATGTGACCGAGAACATTCAATGAGGTCATTCACTCCGTCGTTATCTGATCAGCAAGTATAGCAGGTTGGCCGAAGCACTCTTCCTGATCCCTCACTGTTCACATACCATACTTGTACATCAAAATTTTCTTGTAGATGAGATGCCCACGAAATTCCCGGGTGCTGCTTTGTCAAGCAGAGCAGTTGGCTACATAGATCGTTCCTTGACTTTAAAAGATGCCATGAGCTTGTGGGGGCTGTAACTGCGCAAGAGTGGACTGGCGTGCTCCCGAGACGTTCACATTACGACTCGTAGGCGATAGAACAATGGAGAACAGAGATTGATCTGATCTGATGCTTGATGATTGATGCTTTTCTATTTGCCAGGTTCATGATCTGAAGTAGTAGTGATCACCCTCCGCTCGGCTTTGCTTGGCATTAATCACTCTTTACAGGTGAGTGACAACTACCACATTTGGATAATGCGTAGTGAGGTTGTGCAATACGCATTCTGGTATCGTCAAGCTATCAAAGCCATTCAGGAGGACTCCCGGTAATCTGTAGGTCTGATATGGGTTCGCCATATCGCATAAACCAGCCGAGTGGTGGGTTACACTCAGGAGACATGCCCCTTTTTCGCAATTGAGCTACAAATATCTGTTCATACAGAAGACCAAGGCAAGCTGTAGTTGACAGAATGCTGTCTTTCATCTGGGTTGTAGTGTGTGCTATAGTTTGTGTCATTGCCCACAAGATGTAATGAAGTTTATAGCACATATCTGTACAATGGGCTTCTATCCCCCAGATCCAAAAGCTCTTGCTCGGTATATCTCGCCCGCACTTCCTCTAGTGGGATCTGGTCTCTGCGCTTGTTCTCTCGCAGGAATGCCCACCTGAGGATCAAGGTTCCGCAAATTGCAACTGTCAAAATTGCAATGCAAAAGCCGTACCCAGTCCAGTAGTGAGGTCTCTCGTGCTGCAAGAAGATATTCGACCCTACAGCTCCCCCGAAGTTACCGATGCTGATTAATAAAGCCATGCATAAAGCGTCGTCAGTAAAGGAGATCAAGAAGAGAGCTTTGTTTCAACATACCTGTGGCTCGTTTCCAAGTAGGGGAGAGATTGTTGCCAATCCACGAGATGAGGGCAACAATAGGAGGATACACTCCGATTGGCACCAGGAATAGCGCTGCATAGGTTAAACCTGGAAGTCTGGGGTGAGGGATGGAGATGAGTGCAACGAAGCCGATGAGCGCGATCGAAAATGGGATCACGATGCTGTGCCAGCGTATCCTCTTCTTATCCGAGTAAAGAGAGAAGCCGATGGTTGAGATCACTCCCCCAATATACAGTGGAATAGTGAGTAGTTGGGCTTGTTCACCAGTATAGCCGAGCTCGACAATGACCGACGGAACAGTGTATGTGAAGCCATAGACCGGAATGCTGCCACCGTTGTAGATGATGCAGCAGAACCAAATTCTCCAATCTAGCAGGGCGGACTTGATCGAGGAGAACTGGTAGCCTTCATGAGTTGCAACTCGGCCTTGTTGTGTGCCTGCATCGTGAGCCAGACGGCGGTCCACAAAGGCTTTCTCTTCGGGCGTGAGAAAGCTGCAAAGCTGTGGCGAGTCTGGCAGAACCCATGGGACTGCGAGAGCGACAGCAACTGTGACGGCACCCTCGATAATGAATATCCAACGCCATCCTTCAAGCCCTCCTGCGCCATCCAACTTGGCCAACGCAAATGCAAGCAGGCCGCTGAATGCCCCTGCAAAACTGGCCATTGTGAAAAAGACAGCAAGTCGAGTTTGTACTTCCCATCTACAATACCAGGTAGTCAAGAGGTACGTAGCCGCTGGAAAGAAACCTTTTCGCATCGTCAGCATTTCTCGCAAATTGACACCAACCTTCACTCACCAGCTTCAAAGACGCCAAGTATCACACGGGTTATCACCAAACCGTGATAGCCCGATAGAGCACCCTTTCCAACGAAGCCCATGGCGGTCATCGTCAGTCCCCAGCAGATCGTCAATATAGCTATGTAATGCGAAGGACGTTTAAAGAGCTTGAGCACAATGTTGGAGGGTACCTGATCAAGCGTTAGTCGAATCTTTTTGTGCCTTGCATATAGTACTCGCCTCCAAGCTTGCATATGTCAAAAAGAAAACAGTCAAGGCCATATTGAATTGTTTTCTGTATATGTTAGTCTCCTGGCTAAGATGTTGTCGGACAGGATAAGTAAATACCCTGTCAACTTGAGATCGGCGTTCATGCCAGCAACTCTGGCATTTCCGATATTGCCTCGATCGAGGAACGCCAAAAGATAGAGCAGGGTAAGCACTAAGCAGTAAAATGAGTTGAAGGTTCTTTCACCGTGACAGTGGCTTTGGAGGCGTACCAGGTAGCAGTCGATAGTCGATCTTTCGTAAAATCTTCTTCGTCTCCTTCTCATCGTATTCGACATGCTGTGCTGGTCAGCTCGCTTCACTTTGTTATACCATCGTTCTTACGAGCTGCTCATCACTGGCAGCAGCTTGCAGCCCAAGTACGCCACCAGTCTTCTCAAGGTGGGAAGCATCAATCTTCTCGAGTGAGCTCTGAGGACTTGCCTCAACAACATTCGCGATACCAGCCATGTCGGTGTAGCTGATACTGCACCAGTGGAAAGATAGAGGATGCAACGAGAAGCAGTCAAATGCAGTCAGAGAGATGTGTGAACCTCATGTCCTGCCTTACCTGCCTACTTCTGCGGTCAAGCTCGTGACGAGGCGTACTCCCGAGGTACCAATATCAGATGCTCGTGGCTGCCAGGGACAAGCCCAGCTACTGCACGCCGAGTAAACTCTGAGTGTCTGGACCTTTCCGAGATCCAATGGTCACAGTGCAACAAAGGCTCTTCGCGGCGGCATCTCCGTGTACCTCCTCGCAATGAGGAGTCGTCGGATTCGAGACGGCGGAGGGAGACTTGCACTGGTGATACGACTACCGAAATAGGCGATAGCAGTGCTTGGCAATTTGGCCTTTAGATCCTGCTGTACGGCATTCGGAAGTGCTGTTGGCCTGCTCCAGAAGGACAAGACTCTTGTGGTCTTGGCTGTTCCACATTGCTCCTTCACAAGATGCTGGAGCAAAAGTTGGGGAAGTCTGGAGAGCAATGGACTTTTGGCGTGGCTGGCTGGAACTTTACTGGGGGTCTGGCTGAAGTGCTGGGAATGGTCTTGAACATGGTATGTGATCACGTAGACGAGATCTCTCATGCATTTGCCCACGTGTTTGTCAAGGGAACAAGCTAGGTCATGGCTCTGCGAAGAGAGCCAAAGAGTCATCACTAGCTTTCTTGGAGACTTGCTGCCATCAAGCAGTTATGAGGTAACGAGTAGCTTGCGAAACACACACAGAGATACCACTCGAGACGTCGAAAGACATTGCTATGCTTCAACCATCGCTCAACCTCGAGATCTCCCGTCCTCCGACGACTGGCTTCAGATAGTGGGAGTACCAAGCCGATGGACACCCTCAAGGCACATTATGACTGAGCATTTCTTGGGCAAATCGTGAATCATGACTCAAACTCTGATATCAAGGGCTGAATAAGTGGGACTTAGATGAACTTGTTTCAATTCAATCTACTCTCACTACAGCAGTTGTAATCCAACTTAAACCAATTTGGAACTAGACTTGAACAGAGGTTAACAGAGCTCGAAGCGAACCACTACCGATGATTTAGCAATTCGTTCATCACTCATCATTCACTGCTGAATAGTCGTGCGTGCACACAGCTACCTCAGATGCCAACGCGTGCCGGCGGACGATGATCAGCATCGTCGGGTCAAAGCTCGCGAGCGTCTTCATTAATACCACAATTCTGTTTGTGAGTTGTTTCGTATGTGCAGAACTGGCATTGGAATCGACCATATTCAGAAGTATGAATTTGCATCTCATGATACACTGCGCCTCTAATATTGCAAACTTGACGTTGCAACCCTCAAAGGTGCATACGAGAGGCTGGTCTGGGTGTTTTTGCAGCATATGAGAGTGCAATCAATGGTCCGGAGGGAGATTCTCGTTACAATGCTTGCGACTGAGAGCAAAATAGCGACACTCATCTTTCCTCAACGTGATGTGAATTGAACACCTCAGATAATACCATTCACGGTCTGCACCATAATCGAAATATCATTATCAAACACTTTCGGGAGAACACCCGTTCATAAAACAGGAGACCACTAACCCAGCACGTACGTATTGACCCTTCATAAGTGTTGAACAAATAGTCCTCAACAGCATATTGCTTAAGTTCGTCGTCAGCGTTGTCCCGTTCACGGTCCCATCACATATGACGTGAAAATAGCTCTCCGGTGCCATTTATTCGAACCAAGACCTGTGCTCCATCGCCGCCCCAGTCCCACAATATCCTGAAATTCTCTGCGGCTTTGATACCTCTACTGTCTCATAAGACACACCTTCGAAGCGAGGAAGATCTAGCTTGCGAGTCGTCAGATGTCTTGATTCCTCGGCAAGAGCAGTATCCTCGGCGGAGACATGTTCGTACACCAATGTGGCAGGAGCTGGTTTTCTCGAGCCACTTTCCATCCTTGCAAAGTATTTCCGCAAGACTTTGCAACCGTCTGCATTCATGGTTACAACGATGACCTGTTACAAGGAGATAGGTTAGCTGTCAAAGAGCGAAGAACAGGTAGATGAACGTGACAGCGCCGAAGAGGGGAAACGTACAAGGATATTTCCAGGAAAGTTGTATTTCTCGAAGGTAGTCGTCCATAAGTCGCTTGCTCGCTCTATCTGAAAGCGGAAGGGCATCTGTAGCGACACCTTCTTGAGAATTTCGTGGTCTTCAACACAAAGTAATGAGTCGATCTTCCGTCTTGCTAAATGCCCGAGATATGCATCATCGTCACCACTCAAGATCGAAAGTAGATCTCTCCCAGCCATTGCAGCCATCATGTTAATTAGTGTATGTGGTCGCTCCACTCTCCTTGTGCAAAGACGAGAACGTTCCCAAGAGTGTGTCCCTGCTTTCCGGACATGTACCTGTTGGAGATTGGGAAAGAGACCGGCTATGCTTGCCAATCCACCCCCAAGACTTGCGTCGTGGAAGTGCACCGTTGTCACACTGTCGTGGAAACGTGCGCGAGTCGTCGAAGGTGGCTGCTCGGACAAAGACCACGAGAACACTTGACTGAGATCCAGCGTTATCTGTCTCTCCCCCAAAAGAGCTTTCAGCTCTTCATAAAAGAAAGAGTTGACCAAGAAGGCTGCTTTGGGAAGGTTATAATGGTATTGAATGGCAACTGTCCAGGTGTTGTCGGGACGGCGCAGCGATTGAGAATCGACCTTGACCCACGTCTGCGTGTCGTCTAGAAAACTCTTCAATACCTTTCTTTGCAGCTCCTGAGGCAGGTCGAGGAAATTGAAGTGCTGCATGTGTATTGTACCTATTCAGTAAATGCAGGTCAAATTGTGGTGAAACAAGACTGTGTCTGACAAAACAAGGCAGACATGCATCAAAGATTACTTGCAGCTCTCATCAATATATCAGCAACCACTTTACTCAGATGTGGTTGTAAGATGTGATAACAGCCCGGACTGGTGCCTGCCGTTTGAGCAACATCTCCGGCCTTGGCAGTCTCGGGGTTTCTTCGCCAAAACAGATGATGCAAAAAACATGCTTGCGTTCTTTATCTGCATCTTTCCGACATGTCGTGTCAATTCTCATCTGTGAAGCTACCCTAGAAGATCGTCCAGGCCGTTACCTAGTGGTTTCTGGTTTGGAGGTGGACTCAAAGGAGAAGCAGTTAAAAGAGGGGTCGTAGAAGAACTCGCAGCTGGTGCACCCCATATGCCAGCAGAGCTTTTCTCTTTCTGCAGGGCTGCTAGACCTGGTCCTTTGCCTGGTGCCGTCTTTTGTGCGACGCCTGCTTTTGTACTTGCTGTGTTCCATAAGGATCCGAAGGCATCACCTCCATTGGACGAGGGAGCAGGCTTTGTTGTAGGTTTGCCCAAAGCAGCCATACTGGTGCCCGAAGTGGAGGAGAAGGCTGTGCCTGAAGCTGTGGAGGCCGATCTGGTGGTGAAAGCAGAGTTTTTAGCAGCAGATTGGCTAGCAGGCGGTGTGTTAATGTCAGCTCGAACAGAAGTAAAATAGTTAGGTCCGGTGGGTTTGTAGCCGCCAGCTGGCTGCATTGTTTTCTGTTTCGATATGGGAGATGTGACTTGAGACGTCGTCGCGATGGAAGAAGTGGCCGATGGCGTTGGCGAAGGCGATGAGAGGATCGTGTTCATCTGTGGAGGAGCGATTGGTTGGGGTGCCGCAAAAGTGGTTGCTAATGTCGGGCCTGATCGTGCGGGAGACGACAGGGCGGACAAAGGATTTGTACTTATCTGCTGTGGCGCTGGAGAAACAGCGCTCTGGAAGTCATCAAAATCGTCATCTTCAGTAGTCGTGGCGTTCTGGAGTGTACCAAAATTGTCCATCGCTGGTACAGCCGCGGTGCTAGTGGTAGGTTTCGAGCTTGTCGCGGGCTCGTCATCGAAGCTGAACAAGTCCTTCTCAGGCTCTTTCTTCTTCTGTACTGTTGGTTGGCTTTGCTTCACACTGCTTGCAGGTCTTGTCGTGATCGTTCTTTTTGGGGCAGATTTTTCTTCGGAGTCTCCTGCGTCATATTCTTCGAAATCATCGCCTCTACGTTGGGTACTCTGGAATCTTAGCTCGGGATCCTCCCCACCGAATCCACCACCATCGCCATAGACCTCTCCCGTATGTCCGCCGCCCCCAAAGCCGCCAGTTTCGCTGCCGAAACCACCATATCTGCTATTACTGCTTGAGAAGCCACCTCCAATTCCGGCACCACCTTCGACCCCTCCGTATTTGTTTCTATTAGTTCTTGCTTTCTTGCGCTCAGCTCGGATCATTTCCACATCGCTCAGTAGCTTGCCTAACTCGGCAGCCCTGTTTCGTACATTTATGCCCTGGTCTTTACCATTTTGGTCAATGTAGTGGAATTGTTTGAGCATTTTGATCAAGGAGAGGTGTGATCGTGCGTCGTCAACCACTCGTTCTGATCCGTTTTTGACTAGGAATTCCAATAGTTGAAGAGCCTGTATTGGTGAGTCCTTGACTATTTCTGCAAGCCAAAATTCGCACCTTGTAAATCTGCCTCCATTCTTCGGCGGTCTTGTCTGTAAACCTCTTGTATATCATAGGCATTATCTCGTTGAGTTGCTGGTAGTTGTGTGTCCCTTGGGCAATTTCTAACATGAGCGAGCCTTCTCTCGTTAGCCTCTTCCTCTTAGCCTTTCGTTGGCGACGTGATCGTACTCGGCGCTCCCCAAGGGTCACCATTAGTGGCCTCACGTGTCGCTTGTTCTATAGGGGAAAGATTTAAGACGGCTGGCAGCAAGGTTAGCCAGCAATCCTCTATCGCAAGGACTGATCCTAACCATTTTGGACTTTTCTCACACCCGCTTTGAGGTCGTACAACGTCAGACCAGCCACCTGGCTTTTGAGGCTTTCGAAGTCCATATCACAAAGTGCAAGGTGGGGATCGCTTTAACGTTGCGGTTGAGAGGTTGTTGTGTGCACCAGTATTAGACACAAGACGCGGGAAACAACAGAAGCAGCGGAATGATCTTCTGAAATGTGATTGGCCGGAAGTTCACATCGTAACCCCACACTTATGACAAGAATCCAGCCGTGCCTCAAATTCATTTCCATGTTTGACGCCTATGCTGACGAGTTGGCAAATAGTATATACACTCGTCAAAGAACTGCTAATTCAATACTTTGTTCACTGGGCAGGATGCTAATGACATTTGCATCGACTGTATACCGTCCCCAATGTCAACCACACGATCGAGGACCATATAAGCAACCACTCCGGTATCATCATGAAATCCGCCACTGCCTGCCATAGTTCTAACGCTCCATACAAAATCCAAATTAACAGCGCGAACAATACCTCCGTCGTCCAATCCACCATCATATCGTTCATATTCATCCACGAGACATAGTTGATTATCTGGATTGTCGTCCTGATGGCCATTAACGCATAGTAGGTTACTCTCGCGCTCGATGTATAGACACACCACAATGGGAACTCCAAGGCCTTCTGAAAGTTCCAGCAGAACCTGTTCGAGTACGTCGAATCTTGGCATGGGTTTTGACCTTCGATGAAAGTGGTCTTGAAGACTGCCCAGGTGAAAGATAGAGAGAGGAAAATTGGTAGGATTAAAATCGTTGGGATATCCATTGCGAAGACGATAAAACAATGTTCGAAAGCTTACCTAAATTCGACCTTCTGAGAGACTGCGAACTGGAAATCAGGTTTATTTGCTGGTTGAGATCTGTTTATTCTTTGGTAAGCGGAGTTTATTATGTTGCACCGAGAGATGCATCGTGTTATGGCACAAATATCGAAGCAGATCTGAATGAAATAGAAGAGGCTGTAGCAAGGCACAGATCCAAAAGACCAGGCCTGTGCGCAACTATTTCGAGTCAACGGGACAAAGGACGTAGGGTGTGGTAATATAGGAATCGCGTGCCTTCGCCTTGTCTACCATTGTCTCGTCGTATAGCCTCGACCTCGAGATCATTGTTCAGCTGAACGACATTGCCTGCTCGTCATGTTTAGCATTCTCTACAACTTCACACTTTGACTAGGCGCTGCATTTAGGCCGTATATTTGTGTTCGAAGTGGGGTGCCCATCAGTAAATCGTTGGAGAACTCAGATACTCAAATTCACAACAATTGTCGTGATCGATTAACGCCCGTTCTCTAGGTCATGATGTACCACCAGCCAACAATCCAATCCTAACGGCCAAATCTTCGTTTCTCTAGGTACCTCAGACCACAATAACTGATAAATGCAAAGGCGAAAGCCAGCTCAAATCCAACATCGCCACCAAACTCGCCACCAATGAGCTTACCGACCGGACCCAGCCACCATACCTGAGCCATTCCAATTACAGCGCCTGCGATGCCACAGCAAAATGCTCCTAGAGCTGCAATGCTGGGAGGTAGCTTGTCCGCTTGGTCATATGTCTCCGGAGCATAGCCAGTGAATCCTCCTCTGAAGATGAAGTGCTCTGGCAAAGCAATACCTTCATAAATCGCGAGCCAGTACGCGATTACGAGCATGAAGTTCTCCAGCACCGATTCGAAGTGGCTGTATCCTGGAATGGCAATAGCACAATAGATGACAGTACCGATCAGGGTCCATAGAAAGCGTGGCACGTATTGAGCTCGACGAGTGAGAATTTGTATCGAGAAGGACAGAGAGTAGATATTCGGACAGTTGTTCCCGATGATCGACAAACTCAAAATGCAGAGGCAGACGTAACCAAAAGACCCTAGACGAGGTACCAAGACCTGGTGTAGCAGACCACCGATATGGTTGTTTGCGTATGCATCAGAATATGCAGTATTTGCAGGAATGGCAGTTGCAATCGCGAGGCCCAGTGCCTCTGTGAAGGTCAAAGTCAACACCAAAGCACCATAAACCCACAAAAATATCTTAGTTCGAGGGGTCTCCCGTGGTTGATAGCACGTATAATCAGCCGCATAGCTTGTCCAACCTGTGGCGAAGCCGAAAACAGAGGCGGCAAACGAGAGTATTGATCCAGCTTCGACAGAGCCACTGCCCATCGGGAGGTTTGAGAAGTCACCAGAATGAGCAAAGACTCCAAGCACGATCAAGAAGATGATCAAGCATGGGATCCACGAGAACATCTCATAATAATGCACAACTCTGTACCCGAAGCAAGTGATGATGAAGGTGCCAGCTGCAATAATGATGATTCCTGCCCATCCTGGAAGATCGCTGTTAATGGCGTGTAGGAGCTGAGCACCGACAATAACGTTCACTGAAGACCATCCGAGACAGGCCAGGCAGTTGAACACAGCAATGACTTTTACACCGTGGTAGCCAAACCAAAACCGTGACAGAATCATCTGTCGCATACCGAACCGTGGACCAAATGTCGAAAAAAATGCCACGGGGAGTGCACCTAGGCAGTTGATGAAGAAGATCGTAAGCAGGGCATCGACAAAACCAAGGTAGAAGACTGGTACTGCCAACACGCCGATGGCTAACGACGAGACGACCATGTTGGCGGCAGTCCACATTGTACCAATCTTGTAGACGTTCCTGTCGGTGCGCTCGTCTTCGGGCACACGCTCGATGCCTCTTTGTTCGAGCCTCAGTTTTCCTGCATATCTTTGCAATCTGGCGTACAAGGAATCCCCGACAACGAATGACTCTCCATGAACAGCACCACTCTCGTCTGGCGCGATGATGCTGCCATGTCGATAAGGTGATACAGAGTCGTAGCTGTCGTAGACACCAGCCTTTTGATCATGTGTGGCTTTCTCTGCCATCCTGGTTGATACCCAATGTGAGGTCGGGCTTTCTACACTTGACCTGCAAGTTGTATGTCTGTTTGAGTTGTTGCAAAAGTATAGCACAATGGCATGAGGAAAGCTAGGTATAAGACGATTCGCAGAAGTCCGTCACACGACGTTTCTTAATAGTCTTTGGAAGATGCAAGTTTTGGCGACAAAATTTGGCGGTCGCTATCACATCGTTGCGTTCGGCCTAGATAACCGTTTCGTGTGCTGAGAAGCAAGTAATGTTAGGTGGAGGAGGAGGAAAGCCGAATCCCACTTTGTGGATCAAAGATAAGAGGGAGATTTCCGGCCAACCACAACGAAACCTCTGTCGTTCGCATTTCCAGCACTTGAGTTTCGAGAGTCTCGATCGTACGCTCGCCTCCAATTCTCATCAGCTCAGAATGGCGAGACAGATCCTTGGGCCGGAATTGCGATGCATGCCGGCCATGTAACAGAGATCGCGGTGAGCAATTACTGAATTTGTGCACGAGAGTCCACCTGGTCTTGTACTTGATTGCATGAAGCTTTGCCGTTGGGGGACACTACAAAGCTTGAGAGGCTTGTTGATCGCAGGGACTAAACGTGTCCACTTCTAGAACTTGCCACATGAAGATCGTGATAGCGGAAGAAGGATCGTTAACTATCATGCGAAGCGAACTCCACAACATTCGACTGTGCCGCCATGCACTACGGCTTCCTTCTTCCACCAGAAAGCGACCATTTCCTGTATGAAATGTTTGTCCGACTCGCTCCAGACATTAAGACCCATAGCTCTGATGTCTTCTTCCGTAATGTCGACCAAATCCTCGTTTTTGTCGTTCTCTTGGGACAGAAGTGCTGCATCCTCGCCGTCATCGTCACGGTATCTTTCTTCACCGTTGGGAGTACTCCTGTCGACTGCGTTTCTGAGGACCGAAAAGATCAGCGTGGACAATTTCTGAAAATAGGCTACCATAGCGACTTCCTTCGTCATGATATCTCCAGCGACAGCATCGCGTAATAGAGCTTCGTCCTGCTCATCCACAAGCTCCTCTGCTTCTAGAAGACCTGAACGCCTATCACCTGCTGAAACCCACCAGATGAGTGAAGTGTACGCGATAACTGTCCATGACGCAGGCTCGACTGCCTCTCGATGATCGGCGACTGTAGAGATCGATGAAGTCGTTGACGCATCATCGTCGGAAGTGACGCTGTTGATATGATTGCTGACCAAAGCACTGGAATCCAGTCGTTGTATGTTCTCTTTCAACCCCAAATACTTCCTCGCGTCGCGCTGACTCGCACGTACTCCCTGTTTGGGAAACTGCTTCGACAATTGTGGAGTCGAATAGATCAGCTTCGGATATACTTTATTGCCTACTTTACCCATCGATGTCGATGTCGGAAGAATAACGAGCATATCAAACAGCTGAGGTTTCGTGGCTAGGACATCATCTGTGGTGCACGCAATCCATGAATCTTGTGCTTCCTGTAGGTAAGGAATATCTGCAACTCCAATGTTGAACAGAGGTTGGTATTTCGGTTGCTCTCTCTCAAAGTGCGGTAGTAATGCCACGGTCGACCTGGGTAGAGAGGACAGAACCGAGAGGCTATAGACAGCGTTGCATATGTGCTCGACTGGTGCTTCTCCAAGGATCAGGATCCGCTTTTGTAAGAGTGCAGCGCGAAAGAGAGGAAACAGCAACGGACCAAACATGGTCAGTAGTTCGGGGAGTGCCAAAGCTGGATGATGGGCTGGGAGGGTAGGGCTGTTGCTCGGCGACGTCAATATCGAGATGCTCGGCGCACGAGTTTTTTGATAGCCATCCGAATCATGCGATTCTGATCCATCTCTCTGCTCGTTCTCGCTCTTCGAATGGTGCTCCTCCCAGAATTTTTCGAGCGGATCATGGTTATTGAGATTGTCGATCAGCTGTCTATGTCCATTAGCTAGTGATTGGCAGTCTGTATTGCTTGGCTCACCTAGCCAACTCTTTCAGCTCTTGTGCATAGACGAAGCTCTTTCCCAGTTTCCGCGCATCTAGAGGTACCAGAACACCTACTGCGAGCATCCGAGCATTTCGTGCTGCTTCTGTGTCATCTTGCCGTAAGAATGCACTGACTCCGGCACAACCATCGTGCACAAAATACCTGCAGGGTTATTCAACCAGCCTGCACAACTTTGGTTATGCACTCACACTAGATCTTCAGTTACATTATGTAGACCAGAAGGCAGCGACTTGAATTCGACCACTCCATCGAGTTTGACTAACGCTAGAATTAGCAATTGTACTGCTGAAAACCTGCCAACACCAACTTTGCTCAATGCACCTCTGCCACGCGATTGTGTAACTGAACCACTTTAGCTCTCCTGCGCAATAGCCGTCGGGACAACACAGCAGACCCTTTGCGATTGTCGAAGGTCACAAGGAACGCAGCTGCAATGGAAGGAGAGGCGGACTCCACGCCTCTGCTCCCATCCTGCTCACCAGATTGAGCCATAACATGCTAGATGGAACACCTTGCTCTTCCATGGGTCGTTTTACAAACATCAAGATGAGCGCTACGTTCTCACTGGTGAGGCGCAGACATGAGCCGTTGGTAGACTACGGTCGTCTGTGCGGCCTCAAGCGTAGGTTCCAGAGCCGCTCAGGAAGTGGTCTGTGACACTACAGATGTGACTTTCTAATTTCACGATACATTCACCTCTGAACTATATTCATACATCTGAGCCACGTCCAGCTCTGCAGAAAGGTCATTACTCGAGCTTGACCACCACGATTGACTTACTCCTCACAGCTTCGACCGAGTTTCGTCCCGTAAGTTCTTCTCGTTAACTAGAACGTACCTATACCTCGCCTTCCCCTCTTCCAAGTTTACTACGGCGACATTGGCATCCGCCATTGACATATTGTTGTTCCATGTCTTTACACCTTTTTCAGCAAAAAGCTTCAGCATATCCTTGATCTCCTGAGGACTTCCAATCATCGAGCCAGTCAATTTCACTCTCTTGCTCATGAGAGCAAATGCATTGAAGCCCGGAATAGGGTCTTCTGGAGCTCCAACTTGTACGAACGTGCCGTTGAAAGCAAGGAGCGAGAGGTATTTCTGGAGTGGCATCTTCGGTGAGCTCACAGTGCAAACAATAAGATCGAGGCTACCCCTGTGTTTTCTGTTCCACTTCGGATCTTCGTCAGTCGCAATGAAATCGGTTGCGCCCATCTTTAAGGCGTCGTCCTTTTTGGTACTGGTTCTCGAGATCGCAACGACTTTCTTACAGCCGAGAGCCTGTGAGGCGCCCATTAGAGCGAAGTGACCCAGACCACCAATGCCAATGACGCCGACCCTGGTATTTGGGCCCGCCTTGTGCTGTGTTAAGGGTGAAAAAGCAGTAATTCCCCCTATTATAGTATTAGCACGACAAGAAGAGTGAGAGAGTAAGGACGCCCTGACCACAAAGCATAGGGGCCGCGATGTCAGAATCGATGCTTTCGGGAATTTTTACGACAAAGTTGTGCTGCCCACGCCAGTAGTCGGCGTAACCCCCATACGATTTCGACCCATTTGGCCACTTGCTGTCATATGTACCAGTGTTTTTAGGACAGTGCTGTTCGAGCCCGTCGGCACACATCTCACAGTCGCCTTTCTGGTTGACACAAGAGCCTGACTGCGCGCCTACTCCAACACGATCACCAACCTTGATGCCTTTCACCTTGGAACCCACACGTACCGCATGGCCCACGATTTCGTGTCCAACACCTAACAGAAGACAGTCAGATAAAGTAATGAAACAGGCGAGGCCAGACTTACACACTGGGTAGTTCGTTGGGCCCCATCCTGACCTCAAAGTATGAATATCAGAAGCACAAACACCACAATGAGTGATCTTGATGTCCACGTCCGTTTCTTCAAAAGACTTCGGCTCATAATCTTGCCAGACCATTTTCCCATTGGCAGAGTCTTTATCGAGACCCAACCAACCTTGAAATTTATACTTGGCCTGCATGGCGAATTGGGAGATTGTAAACTTCTGGTCTGATTCTGATATGGCAGTCACTTCTCTGCTGGTAGTCGCTTCAAGTTTGCTTCGATCTGAAGATAGGCTATGGTTTACGTGTTGAGGCAGGAATCATTTCGTGGTTCATCACAAAAGCTATAGGAAGCTATTGCTTGCAGTGGTGCTTGCGTACAGACTGGAATTTAGCCGAGGCATGTTTGGATAGATGCGATAATCGAAATTTATCATGTTGCAAGCACGAGTACAGCAGTACGTTCACAGTAAAGATGTGACCTTACGGGCTTGCGACCTCCGAGCTTCTCATCCATGACCTTTGCGTGATGCCACACAAGCATTCTCTGCGAGAAAAAGGTAGGTCCAATTGTTAAGGTCTCTCGCATGCGAAACACAGATCTTGTCGATATTCACGGCCTCGAAGCCGATATAGCCATAGCCACACCTTCACCTTTCCCATACCAAGCAAGCTCAAGGAATTCCTGATAGTATTGTGTGATCATTGCTGGTCTGTATCACCACGAATTGCAATGCTGACAAGCCTGAACAAGGCATCAAGGTGAACAAAAGTTCTTCGGCATAAGCTCGGCAGTCACGTCGCATCTGCTTCTGCGCGTCCTGCGGGAGTGAAGGTTCAACAAGCAATACGCGACTGACTGTAGCAGTGATAGTTAGCACACTTTTCGACCTGCACTATTTCCTACTCGCTATGCGCCTCGAAGGACTTTACTGCAGACATCTGACTGACATCTAGTCGTTAGCGAACATGAACCGATTTGGCGCGGATTATTCTTCGAGCCCTGCTTCTACACCAGTCGCAGCCTCAAAAGCACGATATCGTGCCCGAAACGAGACACCAGATCTCGTCAGTACCACTCCGATAGCCCCGCCTCCTTCAAGACCGTTTGGTAGTTCTCAGTACCAAAGTGTCTCAAAGCTACGCTTTACTGAAAATGCACGCGATCTTCCCCAGCCGAACAGCTTCGGGCTCTCAACAGACTCGCAACAGCCGCACGTCGAAGACATGCTAGGAGACGATGCGGACGACGACCAATATACACAATACACCCAAGATCACGCTCGCAGTCGTAACCTTTATCCTACACAATCTTTGATGAAATTTAGCACAGACGAACGACCTCAAACCCTACGTAGTTCAGCTGGGCGGTCTACAAACCGATTACAGCAGTACTCGCTACTACCAAGAAATGGTCAGGAGGCATTTGTTCCAGGACTTGCAAGGGATTTGAAGAGGAGGACTTCTATCACGAACCTCGAGAATGATCCAGATCCTGTCATCGTGCAGACCGAGCAGGTCATTAGAAGCGTTCAGGAAGATGCAATAAACACAAACAAGAATGTTCAAGATGAGGTACTCGCTGAAGCGGCAACCGAACTCGAAACTGTATGGGAACGCTCGAAGACCTCAAGACGGCGGAGAAAAGACGAGGATCTCTCGATTGGTCCAGGTCCAGGTGCCACCCCTTTCGAGAACGCTCGATACACTGCCGTCCTTATCCTACGCCTCTATCATGCCTCGAAGATACCTCAAGACGAAGTGGGTGTTATGAGCATGCCCCAGATCTTATTGGACTGGCTAAACGAATATCATATGACCATCGAAACTGCATACAATCAAGTCATAAACCACCCAGACAATGTCACAGCCGATGTGCTGTTCTGGGACGTGATAGAGGCGCTGACGGCCCGTGGTAAGATTGAGGAGGCAGTACGTCTGCTGGGAGATGCAGATTTCAGCTATGCGAAAGTGGACAACGAAGCTGGCCTTGTCGACGCTGACTATACTGGCCCACAGCTGCAAGCTATCCAGACAGCAGTCCTTCAGGTCAGACAGACACTGAACGCAAGCCCTGCCATACAGACCCAAGATTGGTCCATAGATGGTTATGAATGGGTTGCTTATCGAAAGGATGTGCAAGCTGCGCTAGAAGAACTTCGAGAGTCAACTGACATCCACGACGACTCGGAACTACTTGAGGCTGAGGCAGATACTCATCTAGTCCGACCAGGAAAAGGTCTGCCTTTCGAAATATTCGAGCGCCTCCAGACTGTCTACAGCATCATGTTGGGATCATCTGCTGATTTGATCACAATCTCACAGGACTGGCTAGAAGCATCCATCCTGCTGACGGTGTGGTGGAATGGCAACCAGGATAACAAGGTTCAGCAATGGAGTTTTGATGTAAGCAGAGCACACCCGACTGAACAAAATACAGAGCTAGAAACCCAAGCATATCTCAATCGGCTGAAAGAATCTTTTCTTGCTGTTACAGATCCTTCATCAAGAGACACATGGCAGCTCAACCATCAATCACCGCTCGAACTTGCGATAGCTCTCACCTTGCAGGGTGATATGCCTTCAGTGCTTTCTCTGGTTCAGATAGATTCACTTTGTTTGTCCTCCGCCCTGGCTGAGATAGGCTCATGGTCGGGATGGCTTAACTCAAATGCTGTGCCTGATGGACTAGACAGAGATGACCTTATGGTGCTTACGGGTGGGACCAGTAATGCAACGATCAGCAAAGACGAGATCCTCGAGCGATACTCGCACGAGCTGTTCAAAAAAACAGCCCTTGAAAACTCGCAGAGTACAGTAGTAGACGGATGGGAGATTGCCATATCGGTCATTAGCAGATGCGACAACCAGTCACTTGCTAGTCGGACGGTACAGCAGTACATCGAGGAGCTGGAAGTGACAACAGCGGATCGCGCTGAGCGACTTGTCACGTTGTGTGGAGAGTTGGGCATGGCAGAAGAAGCTCGAAAAGTGTCAGAGCAATACGGAGATCATTTGGTCGACGAAGGTACCGACTACGGGACAGCGCTCCTCTGCTATGCTCGTAGCCAGGCGGAAAGCAAAGTCCGCCAGTTGATTGATGTGCTGAACAGCTATTGCTTGGTGCAGTCGAGAGCATATCCTTCAGAAGCAGAGATCGACCATGCATTGTCACGGTTGGTCAGCAATCCCAGACAGGCTCTATCTGGTATCGCAGATATGGATCCGCAAGCAGTGGGAGTCTTACAATTCTATCTAGTTGGTTACGCTTGCATACGACGATACTACACCACTAGAGACAACGCAGCTGGGTTGTCAAAGACAGCTCAGAAAAAGACAGCAGCTAGAGCACTCGTGGCAGCCATCAACAGTGCAGCAGACAGTATTTATGGTGGACTATACGACCCCACGCGTCAATCAGCAATCCAGGTTGACGGATTATTAACTTTACTTGCAGAGGCAAGTGCACTGACAGCAGAACATAGCGATGGTGTTAGGATTTTCACATCAGATCAGCTGTACGCTATCTTAGCAGCAATCGAGGATCTGCAAAGCGTCAATGATAGAGTGTATGCTGCCATCGAGGATTGTCTCGATGCCTCACTGAGACAGTTTCGTGGTAGCCAGCCACCTAGTCCACATGCTATGCTGAAAAAGAGCATCAGTTCAGGTACGAACTCAAACTTCAGTTTCAGCATGATGGGTAGTGAGATGCTTGCTCGTTCTTCAGAAAGTCTGGGAGGAAGAAGTACGGGTAGCGCTGTTCTGGTTGGAGGTCGCATGGGAAAGTCAATGGGCAAGGAAGATACAACAAAGGGCTGGGATTGGCGTTCATGTTTCAAATCGGCGGACACGACTGGTGCAGATGTGCTGCGGTATCTGAGGACGGAGATTGCTGCCGAATTGGCAATGGCTAACTTAGAGGAGGGCTTCAAATGAGTTTGCCACTCATGGTATTGAGAAGGGATGGTCGTCAGAAACTTGGGCAGTGAAGGTTCCTGCCGATAGTCTTATTGCCAATATTTTATCGTGGCTGGGAGGTCGCAGTACTGTCTGAGGGTCGTCTTTAGACTGAAGCACAACATTCGGACCTGTTTCTATTGTGTTACTCTCTAGCAGTTCTATTCAGCCATATCAGCTCCGTACAACCACATCCTTCTGTGATCGTCACATTACATCGCTAGCAGCCTTTGCTCATCTCTTCGAGAGACCAGGACTATGTACAGCAATATGCCTACTGTGTTGGGCAGTCTTCGTGATATGGTTCTATCAATTATCACTACTCGACTGGGCGTCATGGTAATTTTCTGTGTCTGGACCGCTATCTATCTGATACGCACCTGGCGTGCACGACGTTGGCTATGGAGGCATACAGAGCATGGTTGGCAAGACGTCCCCCTGGGCACAATTGATGGACCTCGCCGGCACAGTCGTTCACCTGACGATGCAACAGAAGCAGAAGGCGCCCTGATCAATAGCGCTGGAGGCGCGTCGTGAGAATGAAGCGTCTTCGGCTTCAGCTCAGACTGGGAACAAACACACAGCCTCAATTTGAACGAGGATTTGGAAGTATAAGCTTCCAGCCAAGCATTTTCGGCATGAGGCTTATCCACAGAAGCAACGGCGACTTTACCAGATGAGGAACGGGATGTGCCGGTAGCGAAGTCTCAGGTGGTCGAGATGCAATGGTAAAGAGCTCCAACAATTCGCTCATGCTTGGTTGTCTTCGTCTAGGAAGCCCAGTACTATCGAAATATGAGTGAATCAACATTCCAAATAGTTTCAGCGTTGCTTACCACATGTGGCTGACACTAGTAGGGCCACGTTGACATGAGCCACGCGCCTACGGGTAGAGAGTGAGATCTACTGTACGGTGGCTCTGAGGAGGGGCCGGACCCACGAAGCTGATTTGAGAGTTTCATGCATCACTGCAGTTACCTGTCTTGCAGGACGTGAATAAATAGTCCACACTCCATATCGCTCTCATCTTGAGATTCGTAACCTTTTTATTCTCTCTCATCCTCTGCATCGTTGATTGCGACCTCAGCTACACTACTTTTCGTTCGAAGCACGACCAAGATCCTAAACTCGAATTTGTTCTCGTTGTATTCTCCACACAGATTCACACCCACCATGTCCTTTCTCAACAACGTACTAGAACAATTCAGCCATCACAAATCCAGCAACCAACAGCAGCAATACCAGCAAGGCGGATACCCACAAGGCAACTACTATCCTCAGGGCGGCTACGCTCAAAATGATGGGAGACCACATCCACCAGCTCCCTGGATGGCCGAATTTGACCAGTACGAGAACAGGTGGGTCTACATTAATCGAGAGACGGGTCAACGAACACACGAGTTTCCTCAAGGAGGTTACGGCGGCTACGACAATCGCGGCTATGGACAGCCAATGGACTATCAACAGCAGGGGTATCAGGGTGCTCCAATGCAGATGCAACAGGAGCAGCAGCACAAGAGTCATGCTGGTCGCAACGCAGCATTGGCTGGAGCAGCGGGATTAGCTGGAGGTGCGTTGCTGATGCACGAAGGGGAGAAAGTTGGTGAGTCAATTTAGCTCTTCCATCGAGTTCCTGGACGGTAGTCTGACACTTCTGGTACTACTAGAGGACGATTGGAAGAGAGACGAATACCGAGCTGAAGAACGTTTCGATGACGCACGTTACGACATCGATAACGAGGCTCGCAGAGCTGGCAATTGGGTTGAAGATGCTCCGGAGCGACTGGCGTACGATGCTGGGCAGGACGTTCAACGTGTTGAGGAGTAAGTGTGGCCGAGCATAGTTGTACACGACTTTACTGATGGTGCATAGTATCCCAGAAGATATTGACCGTAAATGGGACAATTTCAGAAAAGATGTCGATGACATTCCAGAAGATATTGCTAATGATGTTGGAGACGGCGTTGGAGACGTGGAAAGGTTTGGTGATCGTATGGACAATGCGTATGACGGTAAGAAGTTCAGCCTCGTAGCTGGAAGCCTTTTTGGCTAACTCGGGCTAGATGGTCGTGACGACCGAAGATACGACGATGACAGGGGAGACTGGTAAGACGACCAGGGACAGTGTCAGGATGGGGCATTGAACGTACGAAGAGCTCGAAGAATTGGCTGGGTCAAAGAGCTTGCAACACACTGTCGTCAATTTCCCCTGAGGACTTGGTCGAGTGGACATTCTCTTGCTTCGGTAGAGTAGAAGGTGGATGGACAGGAGCTACGAGGCTCAGTATGAGGGATGTCTCGGCTCTAGTTTTTTGAGACGGACTTCGCAAGGAGACAGCGACGAAAGGATCAGCTCACTGAAATTTTTTTTTGGCTTTTCTGAGATCCATTGCTGTGTTCGTAGTTTGTGCGAGAGTCGCAGCTTGTCAATGAACCTAGTGACACATCTCATCATTACCTCGCTGCCGCCAAGCTCCTGATCGTGGATCGCAAACAACCACATGATCTGTGGAAGCAAGATACTTGACCTTGCTTCTCGACAGATTTTGGCTCGACTCCGGCCAATTTTCGAAGTGAGACTCCCAAACAAAATACGAGGACCGGGTTGCAGCTGATTCGCTGGTCGAGTTGGACCGAGCTTGCATCGCGCATCATCGCGAAAACCTGCTGAGTCGCGTTCACCAGCCACTCGAAAGTGACGAAGGTCATGAACACTTTTCCATTCATTGTTGACCAGTGCGTCAACTTTTTGCGTTGGCGTTCCTGAGAGCTCCAACTTCTCTTTCTGCCTGCTACTCAAATCTCAGGTTGATTCCAGGCAGGCGCGTCGCATAATGCGCTTTTGAGACGAATCGAAACTTATCCTTTCCTTAACTTGTTGCTCGTTGTGCTTCCTCTTCGCACGCGACTCTATAACCCTGCCGAACACGCGCCTTCGTAATGGAGCGCGTAAGTATGGCTTACCACAGCAGCTCGAGCTTTGGCGAAGCTCTTGCAAAATTAAGACCTGCCGTTCGACTGACTCTTCCACCTCTCTGGTTCTTCAACTTCCCTCCCTCGATTGAGCCACGAACACTACCTCCCCCACCAAATGATCCGACTCTGGCGCATCCCTTCACCATTCCAATTGATATCTACAACAAAGTTCTCAATGCGACGGTACCTGTCACAATCGCCCTCATCTATATTACCACTGTCACCTTCCTCAATTCGGTAAACAAACGAAGAGGCTATCGGCCATGGGCTTTCAGCAAGACCAGATTCTTCAAGCTCATGGTCATCACACACAACATAGTCCTCTCCCTTTACTCAGCCTGGACCTTTGTGGGCATGCTCAATGCGCTCAAGATCTCCCTCTACTCACCCTGGGAACCATATGGCCTCGCAGGAACAGTAGACTCGCTGTGCAAAATAAACGGTCCAAGAGGTGTTGGTTCAGCTGCAAGATACAATCCTCAAACATCCACGTGGGGGATTGCAAACCGAATATACCACCTTGGCACCGACACGAATCCTGACGCGACTGACGTGGGGAGAATGTGGAATGAAGGTTTAGCATTCTACGGCTGGCTCTTCTACATGTCCAAGTTCTACGAGGTTATTGATACTCTCATCATCATCGCCAAAGGCAAGAAGAGCAGCTTTCTGCAGACATATCATCATGCTGGAGCCATGATCTGCATGTGGGCTGGCATCCGCTACATGTCTCCTCCTATCTGGGTCTTTGTTTTGGTTAATTCCTTCGTTCACTCGATCATGGTAAGTTAAGCCACAATCTCTACCTACCAATACTGACCAAAACCAGTACACTTTCTACCTCTTCACTGCCATTGGCGTCAAAGTGCCTAGCTGGTTCAAGCGCACCCTGACCACTCTTCAAATCACCCAATTCGTTCTTGGAGCATCTTACGCTTTTCTACATCTCTTTATTAAGTATCAGAGTCCGATCAGCGTACCTTACTCATACCATCTTGGCTCTGCCGCAACCGCCATCGCCTCGGATGTTTCTTCTGTCGCTTCTGCTGCAGTCGCGACAGCATCCGCCGATCTTGGATCACAAATCAAGAAAATTCTGCTACGTGCTGCTGGCAGAGAGGGCCTTGCCGAGAACGTTCACAACAATCGTGGACAGCTCTTTGGTATTGATGCAGTCAAGGCAGCTCAAGACGAAGCCAGAAGAGAAGAGATTCGCTACAGAGACGAGCTCGACTGGACACACTGTCTCGATACTAGCGGCCAAGCTTTTGGTATTTACCTGAACGTTCTCTATTTGGCACCCCTCACCTGGCTTTTCGTCAGATTCTTTATCAAATCATATCTACAGCGACTTGAACGCAGACGCAGTAGTACTGCCAGCCAGAAGGCAAACATGGCCTATTTGAGTGTGAGAGATGCACAGCGAGGTGTTGATCGTAGACTTAGTCAAGCTTTCGAAGATGCACAAGGTGGCGAAGAGACTGGGGACGAAAGTGCCATTATCGACGAAGAATTTGAGGAAGAGCTAAAGGTCGCCGCTGATAAAACGAAGGATGCCGTATCCTCAGCCGCTGAGAAAGCTAATCGCGAGGTCAAATCTACCGCTAAATCGACACAGCAGACTCTGAAGAACGCCAAAACCAAAGTCGAAAATAGCCCAGCCGCTGAAAATGCGTCGCAAAAGATCAACTCGCTCACTCAGAGCATTACGGACGCTGCCGACAGAATTCAAGAAGAGGTCAAAGCTATCGCCGCTGGTGAAAATGAAGATGCCAACCATGCTCTCGATGTCTTGAAGCAAAAAGCTGATTCCCTCAAGACTCAGGCTGAGAATGCGTCCCAGGCTGGCAAGGAAAAGGCAGAGGAAGCTTATCAGAGCGTCAAGGAAGCAATCTCGAAGTTAACGGCTGATGCACCTGATCGGGAGCAGGTTAAGGAGGAAGCTTCGAAAGCATTCAATTCCACCGCTTCAAAGGTCAAAGAAGGTACTGACGCTGCAGTGGAAAAGGGCAAGGAAGTGGCATCTGCTACCAAGGAAACAGCTGCTGGTAAACTCGAAGAAAGCGCACAAGAATCGACATCCAAGGATCAGTCTGGGCAGAAGTCAGATTCGAGCTCGTCAAATAGTGGAGAGAAGGACTCTACTTCGAATAAGCCTCAAGCTAATAGCGATAGTGCTGCTGACGAAACACAGACCAATGAAACCTCAAACAAAGGGTCTGATAAATCAAAACCTGCAGATGCTACAAAGCGTGAGGGAGATGATTCAAATAAGGAGGAAGATCAGAAGCCGGCAGCAAAGGAGCAAGAGCTGACCGAAAAGGAAAAAGTGCGCGATGTGATTTCTGACAAAGACTCAAAAGCTGAAGCAAGTACAGGAGATGCAAAGAAAAGTGCAGCTGCTGCAAGAAAGTCAAAAGCAAGACAGTCCAGCGAACCCAACACCTCCAACAAGCCCAAGCAAAAAGAGCAAACTACCCAAAAAGAAAAACCATCAGTAGAAGATGACGAATCTTCGTCCGAAGCTCCAGGTGGTAGTCTCGACAAGGCAGAAGGTTCGTTCCCAATACAAGAGAACTCTGAAGGAAGACAGCAATACTTTCATCAAGAACGTGAGGATGCTATCAAGAAGCTAGACTCTACCAAAGACGAAGAAACAGATGTAGTTGTACCGGAGGAGACAGAGGACAAGACGGAAGATGATCACAACGACGAATCAAAAGAGAGTGAGGTCAAGAGCGCAGATGCAGAGACTAAAGAGGAAAGACCCTCATTCGAAGAGACACGTGCACAGGCTCTCGAAAAGCTGAAGTCAGCGAGCTCAGAATCCAACAAGCCGGACACTCAGGACTATGAGGACCAGAAAGAGTCATGGATTCAGGTTGATAATGAAACAACCCCATCTAAAGACAAGAATGGCAAGTCAACAAGAGCTCACGCAGATGACGGAGATTCGGATCAGCCAACCTTCGCCGACATCGTTAAGCAAAATCCCGAGGGTTCGGAAAATGACGATGCACAGGACACTGCCGAGAGCAAGGAGGACCAGGAAGCAGAAGCAGAGGAAGACAAAATCATCGACGAAAGTGAAACTCTCAGAGATGATGTCAAGCCTAGTGCATCAGAACAAGATACAGCTAATGAGGGAGGAAAAGACTCGAAAAGCTCAACTTCAAAGAAAGCTGCAGAAGCTGGTGCGTAGAATCATCATCTCCCTCTGCCTGCTGGCCAGAAGTGCACTTGTTTATTCTGTCTACTGAACGACCTCAATCAGTTTAATGATTCAATTGCTTATTCATTACTCGCTCAATGCAGATCTTCATCGACCTCCCTCTACTCCGACGAGTCCGTACACGAAATGGCACCAGAAGCGTCGCGGTAACGTCGGTGGTGGTACGCCTTGATTCTCTCTGCACACGATTGTTACGTTTATCTTGCATGGGCGTTTTTCTCCCAATGCAGTGAGGTGGAGGGGGGAAGAGCTGTATAACAACATGATGTAATTACTCGACAGGAGCAAGCGGGAAAGCAAGCGTGGGCAGATCGGTCATTTTATTTTCAATTCAATTCAAATTCCAAGTGTTTGTTGCAGGTATACCCTTACAATGTCCTCAATAGCTTGCTGGTTTCGTAGATGTGAATTCAAGGAAGAGTCTCGAATGGTTTTCACGTTTTACGACGAGGCTCCCTCTTTCACTGATATGCTGTTGACGACGCGCTGGCGCTGAGTTACATTGCGCCTATAACACGCTGGGAGGAACGTGTCTTTTAAAACGCGTTGTTAAAGTCGAACATTGTACACTTTGATCATACTAGTATATGTACATGTACGTCGCATGAACATCATATCTGTGCGGAAGCAATGCATCAAGGACAAGGTTTATCAGGACTTTTGATGCAGGGGTTTCGTGGTAAGTTAAATACTCGGCTAACGAACCTCGTGAACCGGGATCGTGAAATCTGGGGTTTAGGTTTTGGACTTACCTGCTTTGGGATTTTAAAGGTCTATAAGTCAACGTTGTAGGTCGGGTTGGAGGTTGAAACTTGTGAGTATTGCAGATTTATTAGAGCTTCACTGGTATAGTGTTTGATGGTACTGTCTTATATGAAGAGTAAGTACTGCAGAGCTAGAGTCGTGGTAAGGAAGAGAAAAGCCGGTGTTTACGCTTTCTCTTCGATCGTGTCGACACTACAAACCGTCTCGCGATCTGGATCGGACAAGCCAGACTAGGATCCTGATCTGGTTTGCTCATAGAGAAGAGGACGTGAGTCCCTATCAACGCGATGTACGTAAACTGGAACACTGCGTTTTGCGCACAGGCATAGCACAGCACGTTTGCCGGAACAAAGCGGCCGAGTCGAACCCGATTGTTCGTTGAGCTTTGAATCACATCGAGTGATCAAGCCTATGAGCACAGCATGTAATCGAGCACAACGACGAGCAGCTCGAGCCACCTATCACTGAGGCCATGCAAAAACTCTCATTGATCGAATCTTGGCCGCGTCAGCAGAAAAGAAACGCTGCAGGAACCCAACGTGCTTACACATTGGCCTGCGAAGATGCAGGGTTCAATGCGCAGGTAGACAAGGACAACATTCGTACCTGCAGAAGTGAGCTGCAGTAGGAAGTGGGGCAGCAAGGGCACGGACAGGACATAATCCGTAGATTGAATCGTGCTGACCAGGAAGTGTTGCAATTTTGTAAACTTGATTAAGTTTCAGCTCCTTGGAGTGTCAGAGATTATACCGAATGGTACCATTCAGTAGTCGAAGGGATAATATGATCAAAATTGGATGTGTAGGCGAGTCACGTCGCACACGTCGGAGGAAGGTGCTGGAGCTCCCACATGTCCAACAAGAATTCATGTGGTCTGACTATCAGGAAAGAAAGCCACATAGTGACGGGATATCAAGCCGTAAGACCAAAGCTTACTGACGAGCTGATCGACAGGTACTGTGTAACGGAAGCCTTCTCGATTACCACACTGTATCTGAACGCCTAAGCTCGGACGACTGGCGACCGTCAATGCTTCTGCCAGTCTGCTCGGATATTCAGATACAATAGTTGACCTCATCGTCTCAACGCTTCTGGCTTTGACCGACTCTGTATCTCTGCTTCTGGAGTAGTCGCAATTTGACAGAGTTGAGGATGACAACTAATCAACGTATTGGAAGAGTGGTAGTCTCATTTCATGAAATGAATGCCTCATTGACGTGATTTGTGTCCGAGAGGAAAGCACGCTGCATGGTGGCGCGCCGTTGAATATGTCTTGGCAACAGCCCCGGATGAGTTTGCACAAATCATATGCAAGTCGGCCTGAGCAAGGTCCAGATTCAGATTTCGAAGCAGTCACGTATCGGTCGATGTGCCTGTAGATGACTTCCATATTCGGACGTCTTGTGGAGCCTTCCCAGCTTAAAGAGATTCCACGACTACTGTAGCTGCATATGACTTGCAGGGGACTCATCTGCAGCATTATGACACTGCTGTCAGACTTGCGATCGAGTCTCCACTACACGGCATACGCGTTTGATTCGGAAAGTCCACCATCGTCTGTCATGCAAGAGCTTGCATTTGATGCAAGACTCTGGTTGATATATTGCATATGTAGAGAGTTGCTGTAACAACCAGGACGACCATATCCTCTCCATAATAATACTAAGCTGTGTTTGAGTATCAGACTCGGCGTGGGCCGGTCTGCAAGTGCTGTTACGAGCATCTGGCAGCAGGACCAGATGAACGACTGATCGAGTTACGATACACCAAAATGGTGTTTGAGTAGGCCCACCAAAGTTCCACATCTGCTATCTCAATCGCGTTTTTGGAATATTGTAAATGAGACTAATCCAAACTGGTCTCCAGAAGACAATGGCATGTATCGACCTCAGACATAAGAGAGTTGCCAATACCCCTTGATCGGCCGTGCTCTGCAACTCGCCTCCAACCTGGAATTGAATGTCTGGCTTTCTCGTGCCTGGATGGTAGGCCTTGTGGGGATTTTGACGCTTTGACTCATTTCCGGCCACTCAATGGTGAAGCTCATGTATCCGCAGCTCAGTGTCTTCAAGAGTACATTCCGCTACCTTACGTTCGTCTCGGAACAGCTCTCTGGCACATGTTCAAGACACTCGAATACATACTGAACCTTGGAAGCATCGATTCCCATCCTCGCAAGCTCTGGACCATCAAGAATTCTGGAGCGTGAGCCGTAGGGTCACATTGCAGAAGCAATTAGCTCTCAGCGGCGGCTCTTGCCATAACAACACCATAACGGGACAGGATGGATTCAAACAACTTCGAGAGTACTTGCATCAACCCAAGTGCAGAGTTCTTACATCGGGTCGAGCCTGAGTATGACCAGTTCTCCCAGTCAGAGTCTTGTCCCTCCTTGTCTTCCAGCTTCCTCTCAATCGATACACAGCTTAATTTTGAGAATGAAAGAAGTATGTCGCTAGGAGAAACCTCTCTAGATGGTTTTGAGGCGATATCGGCTGGTGCCACCAGCCCGATGACACCCATGGGACACATGCCAATCCACAACTTTTATGGCATGGATGGATGGGTCAAGACAGAGCCTCAAGATGCATGGCACATCCACAACACAGATTCAGAAGGCCTGTGGCTTGCTCCAGACGGTTCGACAATGGCCAATTGTGTTATGAATACCTTCACCACTCAGACATCCACGAGTCAATTCCAGCCAGGGTACTTTTGTCCTATGCGACCTAAAAGTGCGATCGATCCACCACTATCGAGGGCAGTTTTCCCTCATGCTCTTGCCGGATGTAGAGGAGTCCCGATAGAGGAGGATTTGCCATGGCCAACTTCAGCTCTAATCACTCAACCTCAAACAGTTGCACCAAGTGCCACGTTCCAGATGATGTTGCCGAGTTCCCCCATGGGCAGAGTCAAACCAGTCACGCCGTTACAGCATTACCGTGACAGCTCGTATTGCTCAAGCAGTCCGCCTTCGTGCAATTCGTCCTCGATCCTTGCATCACAGTGGGAGACGGAGGAATCCAAATACGACCTTCGCGATGAGGTTGAAGCTTTTGAAAGAGAGGTAATGCTGCCATATGAAACTCGTGATTTTTGCAATTCAGCAACGAAGGTGGAAGACCAGTCACCTAAGAAGTCGTTACCTGCCAAATCTGGTGTTAACTGCGAAGCTGTAATCCGTCAAAACGAATTTGCTTGCAGTTTCAAAGGATGTATTGATAAGAACGGTCGTCAGAAGCGCTTCAAACGACAGGAACACCGAAAACGACATGAAAAGACCGTTCATGGCGAACAGGGCGGGCATGGGCCGAGGCCGAAATACCCTTGTTGGGTCGTGACGGGTAACAAGAGATGCGGCAGAGATTTCTCAAGAAAGGACAACCTCAATTCTCACCTACTCAAGACTCATGGTCGAAAGTCGAATAGCCAACGCAACTCGTATGTTGCGACACTCGATAGCAACTCCAAGTATTATGACAAGGATTGGGTAGGATCTCTGACTGCCGAGGGCCTGCCCATTGACCCTGCGAGATGGCCGGACGTTCAATTGAGATCTAAAGTCTGATTGTGGCTATCACTTCTGGATCCCGTGCTTGGATTCGGAAAGTCTTTTAGCAGTTTGAATCTTTTTCATGGTCGAAGCTAGATATCATGCTTCAACGTCCATCAAGTTTGCCCTCGACATTGGGGTGCAGAAGCGTGGTATTGATAGTCCTTTGGGAAGAATGTTAAGATCGGATCACAATCTTTCCGTGGCAGACGAGGGAGGATATGTCGATATATCGGTTGAGGCAGGAGCGGTATGGGAAATTTAGCGCGACATTTTCGTGGCAGAGAGCAAGCAACGCGCCGGTTTAGCGCGTTTGATTGGCTTGTTACATCAACACCACAAAAGCAGGGGAGGGTACATTGCAGCTGCCAACCAGTACAGAGGAAATTGTGTTCATCAACAGCCAACGTGTTCACGCGATCTGTTGACTAGTCCTAGTACCTCTATCTCGAATTGACTTGTATTCAAAATCAGCTTCTCCCACGATGTGACATGTGGCCATTCTTGGTTTTCTCACAACGCGCTCTGTTTACTTGTGGCGTATACCTTTGAGTTGATGTGACATTCGAGACTGGAGTGGAACTGTCTGTACGCAAAGCCGTGGTGTGACTTCATGATTAAGAAGCACTACCTTTGTCGACATGAGTCGAGATACGGAGATAAACATCGCTCTTCGCTGATGCCTCAGGCCACAATATGCTTGAAAGATGGACGGTGTTGTGGCATACGAATGGAAAGGATCATTTGTCGAGGGGCATAGGGGCATCTTTGTGATTACAGTATTGCGACATCACCATCGTCGGCGCCATCTCCGCTACGACTAAAGATCATTGTTGCCGCGCTGTGCAAGCCCGCAGGGTAGAATTGAGCTCCGGGGCATACAGTGCAGCGACGCTAAACCCCAGCTTTCAACCCAAGCAGTTTTCTATTGGCGCTCAGTTGTCCTTAAGTGCCCGCTGCAATTCGATAACGGTACAGTGGTTACCGAGGCGCCATCGATTGGACTTGACGTTCAACCACTTCGTTAAATTTGGAATCATTCCTGGACATTGTAGACCTCTAATGTCCATGTATTCGATTTACTCGGTCGCTGCGCATTTCTGAGAAGACAAAGTGATTGGGCAAAATGTGTATCGATGGCATCGGGACACAAGCGAGACCATGATGGCAACGTCGTCAGCAATCACGCATCGGAATATCCTCCAGGAGGCCATGCTGTAGCCAACTCCAGTAAGCCGACACGGCGGTATGAATGCAGCTTCGAGGGTTGCGGCAAGTCATATACTCGCGCCGAGCATCTGGGCCGACATCAACTGAATCACAATCCCAAGGACATCTATTCTTGTGATTTTCCTGGCTGTACACGAGTCTTTGTCAGGCAGGACTTGTGTGTGCGACATCGCGAAAGGCATGATGCGCCTCCTAGTAAGAGCGGTGGTGCCTCGAGTGAGGAGGAAGACGCCGAAGCTGGGAGTACCACTCGACGTGTAGGTCGGCCACGGTTGTCTTCTCTTAACCAAAATGGCTCTGCTACGAAAACGAACCTCCATCACCCAGCAACGATTACACAATCTTCTTTGCCACGAGCGAAATCCATGTCAACACATGATGGTTCTGAACAGATAGAACAGACAACAACCTTCTCACCGCGTGCCTCTGTGGGTTTGATCAGCAACGTAAGCGCCTTCTCAATCGACATGCATGACTCAGGACCATCTCAACACGGTACCGGTATAGCTCCAATACAGTCAACCCGTGACTTCCAATTGCCCGTCCTTGAATTCAATGAATCGCCAGCGTCGGTTCGTGACGAGTTCACGTCTTGGCTATTTGATGAACAGTTTCCAAATGTAAACAGTGGGCCGTTTTTGTCGACTGCGTTGAACACATTGGGCTTTGGCATGAATAACTATATGGGCTTCGGGACAATGCCAATGTTCTCCGATTATACCAACGATAGCCTGCTAGATATTGGTGTGGACGCTAGAACATCGAGTACAGGCGAATTCGAATTCATGCCTGACGACGATACAGCTTGGCTTTCATCAGCGAAGAGGCAAAAGTTGATTGAACTGATGCGGACTCGTTTCATCGATGCCGAGAACACAGATATCACTTCTTTAAGGTTGGAAATCTTCTCTGGGGAAGACGCTGACGCTGAAGAACACATTCTCAGCCTAAGATCCATGCAACTCTACCTGGGCTCTTACTGGAAGCATTTCCATCGGCAGATGCCCATTCTACATCAGCCGACCTTCTCAGCAGATACTGCAAACGACCTACTTGTGCTGGCCGTCATGGCACTGGGAGCGTCACAGCTCGGCAGTCGTTATGGTAGACTGAAGACGACCGCTGCCTCCAAATTCGCAACTTTTGTAGCATGGCATCTGCGCTGGCAGATCTTCATGCATGCTGATTTTCGCCCTCCTGCCAAGCTATGGGTCTTTCAGACACTAATTCTGCTAGAATTCTACGAGAAGTCAGGCTCGACACGCTTATTGCACGAGAGAGCTCATGTACATTCTGCCACTCTAATTAATCTCATGCGAAGAGGTACGACCTTGACGGGTGAAGATGAGACCGCCAGACGTACCCCGAATCCAACCACTCCTGATGAAGCTTGGCACAGATGGATAGAGACAGAGTCTACACGAAGAGCGGCCTTCGCGGCATTTTGTGTCGATGCATCTCATGCTATAATGTTCGGCCATGCCGCAATAATGGTAGTACACGAACTCAGGTTACCACTTCCGTGCGACGATGCTTTGTGGTCGGCCACATCAGCTCCCGAGGTTGGGCGTATTCATGCTAGTCTGCATACTCATGGCATCAAACCGACGACTTTTATCGAAGGTCTGAAACGTACACTAACCGGCAAGAAAGTCAAGGCAAACAACTTCGGCAGAGCTATCCTTATGGCAGGACTCCAATCAATTACTTGGCACCTTCATCAAAGAGACCTACAAGTTTCGAGCTTAGGTGCTTCCTCTTCCCTAGGAATGCCCACAATATGGCGCGAAGCTATGGCAAAGTCCTTTGATTTCTGGAAGCGCGATTTTGACGACAGCATGATTCACATGAAGAACGTAGCACTGCCTTGGCAGCAGACTCTGAATTCGGAAGATCGAGACGCATGTGCTTCCGCGGACGTGGTACACCACTTGAGCCATATTGCCTTGCACGTCGATTTCACCGAATGCCAAATATACACTGGTGCTCACCGGCTGTTTGGTAGAACAATCACAAGAGCAGACCGCGAACGAGCCAAAACGAAAATGCTCGAATGGAGCAAAACTCCCGGCGCAAGGAGTGCTACTTTTCACGGCCTCCAGATTCTTAGAGCGGTCATTTTACAGGTAAGCAGCTCAAGACCTTCACTAACGTCATCGTTGAAACAGCTGCGCACAATCACTCTTCCAACTTTGAACTAACATTTCACAGACGACGAGCTCCGCCGATTTCTACACATGCCATGACGACCATCTACTCAACCGCAGCTGGGCTATCTATCACGCTCTACTGGTCTCATTCGCTTACGGCTTTGCCATGGATGGGCCACTACGACCTTGGCCGGCCCAACTTCCGGCACATGACACTCCCTTCTCATCACCCACACCCACCCTAGGTTGGCCAGGTATACAGACGTCAACATCTGACAACCAATTCCATACCTATCTGAAGGACGCCAGGGCGTTCCTAAACTCCACAAGCCATGTCAAAGCCGCAGACGATCTTCGATCGATGCATTCTGGACGGAACAGGTTGGCTGGCATGCTCCGACTTTTTGCACACGCTTTCCGCGACTCCAGATGGGAGCTTATGCAGGAAGGTGCGCAGAGACTTGAAAGGGCTGTCCAAATCTTACGCGAAGGTGAAGCATGAGCTCGTATTGAAGCGCTCTTTACGTCTCCCTCCAAGGTCTTGCAACAGAGCACACATACTTTTGTACGAAGCACGTTCTTGATGAGACGTCCAAGGCCATTATTCACCTCGAGTCATTGCTGCCGAAGTGAATCCCTTCCACAGTAGGAGCGTCCACGCCGGAGCAGTCGGCCTCAGGTTCTACCACACCCACGATGATTCCCCAGCTACCCCACGCCATCCCCGCACGAACCAATTACAGACTAAAACAAGGTGGAATGACAGAGACACTGCCGACCACAATGCAAGCAGAAGTCGTCCCTCGTCAATACAGTTTCGGATTCACGCTCAACATCAATTGAGTTCATCAACTAATCCGCAGCAAATCATCAGAGGAAGACGATGGCAACGGACCAACTCAAAGCCCTGAGCGGCCTCAGCAATGGCGCGAAAGCACCGGTTGCACCTCAACAGCCACTACCTAAAATCAGGACGGTAGAATACTTTCGCGTAAAACCCCGATGGCTATTCGTCAAGATCACCGATGACCAGGGCGGTTATGGCTGGGGCGAAGGCACTTTAGAAGGCCACACGAAAGCTGTGGAAGGCGCACTAGATGAGATAATTGAGAGAATCATAGGTATGGAAGCGGATGACATAGAACACATCTGGCAGCTCATCTGGCGACTCGGATTCTACCGTGGAGGACCGGTGTTCATGTCTGCTCTATCTGGCATAGATATTGCGCTATGGGATCTGAAAGGCCGAAAGCTCGGCGTACCTATTTATCGTCTGCTTGGCGGCAAAGTGAGAAACAAGGTGCAGGTCTATGCCTGGATTGGCGGCGATAGACCTAGCGACATTGAGAATGCCGCGAAAGCGCGAATTCAGCAAGGGCTAAAGTGTGTCAAGATGAACGCAACCGAGGACGTGAATTGGCTGGACTCGCCTCGAGTCCTAGAGGGCACCATCGAAAGATTGAAGATTGTAAAAAGCCTAGGTCTCGATGCAGGCCTAGACTTCCACGGCAGGTTACACAAGCCCATGGCAAAGCAACTTGCCAAAGCATTAGAGCCATACCACCCACTCTTCATCGAAGAGCCGCTACTAGTTGAGCATCCCGAGGCATTTAAGCAGCTAGCCGGTCTCACCACAATTCCAATCGCTACAGGCGAACGACTTTACTCGCGCTGGGACGTGAAACGGTTCCTCGAAGACGCATCCATCGACATCCTCCAACCTGACATCGCGCACGCAGGAGGCATCTCAGAAACCAAGCGAATCGCACAAATGGCTGAAGCCTACGACGTCGCAATTGCGCCTCATTGTCCGTTGGGCCCGATCGCTCTGGCAGCATCCATACAGGTCGCTTTATCGACGCCGAATTTTGTGATTCAGGAGATGAGTCTTGGGATGCACTACAATGTGGAGGCTGGAGAGGAAGATCTGAACACATATCTCGTGGACCAGACTGTTTTCGATATCGAGGAGGGATACGTCAAGGCCCCAATAGGTGCGGGCTTGGGTATTGAGATTGACGAGGAAGTTGTCAGAAGGATTAGCAAGGACGCGCAGCCGTGGCAGTGTAAGGAATTTTATGGGCCGGATGGAAGTATTAGAGAGTGGTAGAGGGTTGGCCGAATAAGAATTCAGGTACGTATTATTGGTTCTTCTCGTGCACTGAATCGTGAAGATGAGGTGCTCGAACATCAGTCGGTCCCCATCTAATCACAGCTTTACTCCTCCAAAGACTTCCATTTCCGCTCTCATAGTGTTGATCATATCGGGAACTAGCTCATCGATACTTGTCGCTCCTATCAATCCCATGTTGACTAGGAGCTCGCTCTTCAAAATACTGATCATGTGTTTGACGCCCTCTTCACCATACCCGCCAGTCATACTGTACAAGCAAGGACGGCCGATACCTACTGCAGTTGCTCCGAGTGCGAGGCACTTGATGACATCAGTGCCACGTCTGATATTGCCATCAACATATATCTCAATCTTCTTGTTCTTGATCAGTTCTGGCGCATGTTTCCTGATCTCAAGGAGCGTGAGAATAGGTGCCTGCGCGGTGTCCTGACTACGACCGCCATGGTTGGATAAGTAGATAGCATCGAGACCATGCTTGTATGCCAAAACGGCATCCTCCACAGTCTGCACTCCCTTGAGAACAAGTGGGAGCTTAGTAGCACTTCGAATCCAGTCTAGGTCTTGCCACTTCAGACCAGGGTTCAGCAATGTGCTTGAAGCAATCTTCGCAACGCCAGCATTTGGTGCCGATGAACCTAGTGACAGCGCCTTGAGTCGGTCGTCTTTTTCTCTCTTCCCAAGGACGGGTGAGTCGACAGTGATGAAAAGGCCCTTTACTCCCGCCTTCTCAGCTCTTCGGATCAGCGACAGAGCTTTCTCTTTGTCGCGGTTAACATAGACTTGAAGATATTGGGTTTGGATTGGTGAAGATCTTGCTTCTGTGATCTGCTCGAGAGACATTGATGGACTAGTAGGGATGATCTGATGCACATTCTCTGCACCCGCAGCGGAAGCAAGATTGAGCTCCGCCTTCGCATGTGCATACTTCGCTAGTCCAGTTGGGCAAATGAAGAACGGCACCGACGAGTCACTGCCGAGAATCTTGGTACTTGTGGTAATGGCACGAACATCTCGTAAAACTCGTGGTCGCAGCTTAAGCATTCTGAATAGGCGAGCATTATCCTGTTTGCTGGTTTCGTCCTCAGCTGAGGACGAATAATAGGCCCAGCCCTCTGGACTGAGGTACCTCTGTGCAACTTGTTCGAAATCGTCAACATTGATGATGCTGCTCAGCGCGGGATATTCACTTTGTGCTTCTTGTTGCCCTATCGAGGCCACATCAGATTCCTGTTGTTCGACAGGAATTGTTGATGTGTCAACCTCGCCTAGCAGGGCCTGTTGAGGTAAAGTTTCGGATATCAGCTCTGGATTGTGTATTGATTGGTACGCGGACGTCGCGTCTTTGCCAGCTGACTTCAGGAGCAGACCAGCACCTCCCGGATGATCGTTAATGAAACCCGTCACATCATAGACTTTGCCGTGAACAGCCAGCCAGCAGGACTGTCTGGACTTGTGCTCGGCAAGTTGGGCGCCGCTGATGGTCCGCATTATGCCACAGAAGTTCGAGCTTTGAAAGAAGTGCTGAGCGCTGGCTTGAGTTCCTGAGGGATTCCGGGTACACCTGAAAGTAACGATGTCTTGTGGTCTTTCAGGCTGTAACAACAATGTTCGAGGCTGTAGTAGGTCTCAAGGAGTTGTCTGTATCGATGTGACGAGGCAGAAGCGTACATATCCTGCCTCCGAATACGAATATTTGAATGCATTCGATCTCAGGTAACGGCGAGACATTTGAGCTCATGTATGGATTTCATGCCGGTGACAGGGCACACCGTGATCGAAAGAGGCGTTGGGGATACATTGGTGTGCGGGCATCCATCAAGAGCAGCAGCCCATCTCCAAATTCTGCCTCCAGAAAACAGGCAGCTTAGCCTAAATTGCTATCGGCCAATGCTCCGCGGTCTGCCTGAAAGAGGCAAACTTCTTGAAGTCGAGTCTCCGTGCAACCCCACGGTAAGGGTCTGAAGCCCGAGGCCGACCAATGCCACCACGGCCACGTTACCGGCAGAAAAAGTAACCGCTCTCAGCATACCTAAACGCTTTTTACGATCCAGGCGTACTTGCCCAATTTTTCCACAACGTCTGGTCCATAAGAAAGCCGAAGTTGTTGATACATTCACAGTCTTCGTGCGAGTGAGCAATTACCAAATCTCCAAAATGAGTCAGCAACTGGAAGTTATCTTGTATGGTCTAGGAGCCATCGGTTCCTTTTACGCTTTCATTCTCAGTCGTTGCAAAGGCGTACGGCTAACAGTAGTTGCTCGGTCGAATTTCGATGCGGTCTCCGTAAATGGCCTGAAGATCATTAGTCAGAACCACGGCGAGCATGTTGTCAGACCATACAAAGTTGTTAGGACGCCTGCCGAAGCCGACCTGAAATTTGATTACATTGTCCGTGCGCACAAAGCGATAGATCAGGATACAGTTCCTGAGCAGTTGAAGCCAGTAGTTGCAGAGAAAACGACAATCGTTTTGATTCAGAATGGTGTTGGAAACGAGGATCCTTTTAGAGCGGCTTTTCCTCAATGCACAATACTTTCGTGTGTGACATGGGTGGGTGCAATTCAACATAGTCCTGGCATAATCAACCACACTAAGAGTGAAGATATGCAGATAGGCCTGTTCCCAAGCCCGGACATAGACCACACAATCGAGAAGCAGAAGCTAGATGGATTCGTGTCTTTGTTAACAGAAGGTCAAACTGTGTTTCAAGTGGTCGAGAACATTCAAATCCAGCGCTGGGAAAAAGTTGTCTGGAACGCAGCATGGAATTCTATCACAACGCTAACAATGCTCGACACTCAAATGTGGCTAAAATCTTCTTCAAATGCAATGCCGATGACCAGGAGGTTAATGGCCGAGGTGATTGACGTCGCTCAGAAGTGTGGAGTGCCCATCGAGTATGAACTTATCGATCGACTCATCGACAAGATCCTGGATATGCCAGGGATTGGTAGCAGCATGCGAACGGACTGTAAGAACGGTAAACCGCTTGAGCTAGAAGTTATACTGGGTACACCAGTCAGAAAAGGTCGTGAACACAACGTCAGTATTCCGACACTGGAGGCAATATATACTTTGCTGCTCGGTGTCAACCGTAGGCTGGAAAGTGCAAGGTCTGCCAGTCCTTGAGGCCGAAGCTCAGCGCCTTCAGGAGAATATTTGTCGCATGAGCAGACCTAGTAGAATCTGAGTCGATAGCACAAGGAGAGGGTCCGGACATACTGGTGTGCAGGCGTCCGCAAGCGCGGTTCTTGCTTCGATCCGAGTGTAGCATTGTGCAGTGAACGCAGATACACAGTTGTTAATGAAGTCCCAACCTGCAGGCCGGAACTCGGCACACTTAGCGCCGCCGCCACGTTGAAGAAGTACTCGAGTGACCCAGGCACTCGTAGGACTTGACTTCACATCATAATTATAAGCTGTAAGACCGCAGCTATTGGGGTTCATACTGTATCGATGGTCCCAGATGTTCTTGATCAAGGTGCTGCGAGTCAATTGCCAAGTGCAATCAATTATTTGAGAGCATTTGCAAATGCAAAGACCATCGTAATCAGTTGTCAGACTTTACATGGCGCAAAATACCGAGGTTGCACAATATCAAGATGTCGAGAAAAGTCAACAAGCAGCAGCTGAACGGCCACCAGCAATGGCACCATTAGAGTATGATGACCCTTTCAACTGGTCGAACCGACGAAAATGGTGCATCACGGTTCTTATGTCGCTATGCACCCTGACGGCTACCTTGTGCAGTTCAATCTTCTCGTCGACCATTGTTGTGACGGCTCAAGAATTTGATACTAGTGAAACGGTAATGCTGCTTGGTGTTTCTCTATTCGTAGGCGGTTTCTCTTTTGGTCCCTTGCTTTGGGGCCCTATGAGTGAGCTTGTTGGTCGGCGAATACCACTTTTTGGTGGATATTTTCTGTTTGCATTGATGCAAATTCCGACGGCATTGAGTCCTTCTCTTGCGGGAGTTTTGATATCAAGATTTCTGGCCGGCTGCTTTGGAGCAGCACCAATCGCGCTCGTCTCAGCTTCATATGCAGATTTCTGGGATCCGTCGAATCGCGGTATTGCCTCTGCCTTGTACTCAGTGGCAGCGTACGCTGGCCCGACTTTGGGTAAGTTCATCCTCTCTAGGCGTACTTCAGCTGTCTGACACATGCAGGACCTATTCTGGGCTCTTTTGTGACGGAAAGCCACCTTGGCTGGCGTTGGACAGCCTGGCTTGTTCTCATACTCGCAACTGCAGTTGGGATACCTGCATTCATCTTGGTGCCTGAGACGTATGGCCCGGTTTTGAAAGAGAGAGCGGCGAGGAAGCAGGGGCTGTCAGTAACAAAATCGAACCCTTTCCAGAATTTCATTCGAAAATACCTCTCGAAGCCTATGGTAATGCTCCTGCACGAGCCAGTGGTAAGTTACCAACATGGATGAGAGCAAAAATCTTTCTAACTGCGAACAGCTCGACATCATGACCATTTACATTTCGATCGTCTATGCAATCATGTATCTCACCTTCTTCTCGTTCCCATATGCCTTTTCACAGGAGCGAGGATGGAGTCGGCAGATAGGATCACTTTCGTTCTTGAGTATGCTAGTAGGTATTCTCACGAGTTGTGCAGCCATTGCTATTTACTCTGCCAAGTATTATCAGCCACGATACAAGGCTCGAGGAAAGGTTTTGCCAGAAGATCGACTGCCACCGATCATGGTAGGAGCAATATGCCTACCAGTGGGCTTATTCTGGTTTGGGTGGACTGCGTCCCCCTCAATACCATGGGTGCCGCAGATGGTCTCAGGCTTCTTTATTGGTGCTGGAGTCATGCTGATCTTCACGAATGGAATCGTATATATTGTCGACATCTATCTCTCTTCGGCAGCATCAGCTATGGCCGCAAACACCTTTGTCCGAAGCGCCGCCGCTGCTGGGCTCCCGCTGGCTGCTCCAACAATGTACAGGTCGTTGGGAACGTCCTGGGCGACGACCATCCTAGGCTTCGTATGTCTGGCCCTTGTACCAGCGCCATTTCTCTTTTACAGATATGGAGCTGATTTGAGGAAGAGGTCAAGGTTCGTGCCTAAGGGAGGCCGGTAATCGTCGCGTCCGATGTCGCCCTAGAGCAGGGACGGTCGTTTGAAATCCTGTCCTTCATGTAGCTGTTGTCGTATCACTAATGCCATTTTGAAGCTGGGGGAGCTGAGTTGTCCAGACTGCTCCTCAGATGTTGTCGTAGATATCGTAGTATACTTTGTCGGGACTGCAGTGATGTCGACGTGTTCTAGTCGAGATACACAAAGCACGATTACGAGCAGCAATGAAGGTCACGAGAGACACGTCCTGGCCAGCAAAAGTGTCGGACACACCCGCATTTTGTTTGTGTAGAGAGTATCAGAAACCAGACAAATTATCAGGGCAAGGCGAGGCGAGTGCGACCAGGTTTGAGGGAAAAGGTAGCCGTACGCAGCACCAGAGTTCATATTTAGAGATGGTCATTTGCTCCACGTTTCCCTTCACTTTCCACACCTCAATACACTCATTGCTCACTGTCCTACTACATATCTTTTCTCGGTATCTTACAACCCGCCGAGACGTGATAGTATACTCGGCTGTAAGTAGCTCTGGCAGTGTTCCCTGCCACGGTCTGCCTTTATGGGTCAACACGAGTCAAAACCAGAGCGTCGCGACGTACCAATAGGTGTGATGACTTCATCCCTTCGAAGGTCGCCCTCCTGATGTGAGCAGAAACACTCAGTCATGAATTGGCTCTTCAATTCGCCTCGAAGTGCTACACACATCTTGAGATAGCACACTTCAAGGACAATTTTAAGACACTAGCCGACCATCAAGACGATGTCGAATACTGGAAAGAAGAGACGTTATGTCGTTTCTTGGCTTTACCAGACTCAATTCGTGCCGGATCAGTGGTCTATGCCATGACTAATTACCTAGGAGCCTTCCCATTTCCAAGCCTAGCTCCATGTATTGTGACCAGGGAAGCTATGTTGAAGGTCGTGACGCTGCTCACTGGCAGATACAAGAAGGTCTTGAAGAGGGGCGACCAGGACAAGAACAAACTCTTGTTCCGAAGTCTGGCTGTGTTCGATCGACGCAACAGTGTTGTGGTGGCGTCGAGCTCAATTAAAGGGACGAGTGCTACGAGTGAGGAAAAAGGAGGCATTGAACGAAGCAACTCGAACCACGAAGGGGTGCACACAGCAGGAGGAGGGTTTCCAATTGACCAGCCCGTCAACGACGAAGAGGAAGAGGATGATGACGACTTGGCTTTAGCTGCACTAGACGCGCTGGATGCTATTGAAGTCTTCAAAGAGGATCAGAAGAAAGAGCGCAAGATCCACTCTGCTCACGTTCCTGTTTACAATCTAGAGAGGCTGATCATGCTCATGCTCGCGTTCGCTTCGTTGACGCCACAAGACAACACCACGCAAGTATGCGGTGCCCTTCTCGAACATCAACTCGCTGCACTTGAGCGTGCTGCCAGGTCCATCATTGTGGCTTTTGAACCAGAGCACGAAAGCATCAGCTATACTAACTTTATAAGAACAATAACCACTGTCACACCACAACTCTTCCGACCTCTTAATCCGTTGTTTGAGCATTTCTTGTTCAGCAAGCACCTCAATCCAGGTAAGCATCAGGACGAAGGGAGCGAACAGAAAGCCTCAATTAGGACGCCTCTGTACGAAGTTCAAGATCAGTCTACGAACATACTGAATGACGTGCTTCTTGCTCAGCTGAGCTTCTCCTTTGAGATCACGAACACTTCCTCACCAGCGTCGTCCAGTTTCTTTCACTGTGGCGCCCGGCTGAACCAGCTTTACTCAACTGCGTCCCATGGCACATCTCTAAGCTCTTTCGGGCGTCAAGTCCTTTCTTGGCGTGCAGGCACTCTTCTTGTCCTCAGAGGCACCGACGTTAAATCGCGTCAAACCCATATCATCGGTGCATACCTGCCCGATCACTGGAAGGAAGCTGGATCCACCTCTCAAGCAGAGAGTCCTTCGGAGATTAAAGCAACAATGTTCCAGTTGCAGCCACGGCATGCAGTCTTTCGTGCCAACAAATACAACAAAAGCACACCGATATCATACTTTTCAAGCAAGACCGGCATGGCTTTAGGCGGCATCATTCCTGCTTCGAGCCGGATCAATGCATCTGCACAAAGACCCGCGCTAGGTCCCGTCAGCCTGGTGATTGACGAAGATTTTGCTACTGCTACCTTTCAGCACGACGGTGATGCAGGATCAGCAGGTGCCTTCATGACTGATCCATTACTAGAAGAGACGCAACGCACGAAGTCTACGATGTCAACCTCAACCGATGTTCAGCCCACAAAAGTTACTCTCGACATAGATGACCTAGAGGTTTGGGGAGTAAGTTTCGTCAATGATGGTGCGGCAGGCGAAGATGAGATCACCAAGCAAAAGAAGCGGCTAGCATGGGAGGAAGCTGAAGCGGCTAGACGCAGAGGTGTCAACTTCGGTGGCGACAAGGATGGAGCAAGACACTTGTTGGAAATGGCTGGTGTTGTTGGTGATGGCAATAGAAGTGGTGGAAGTATGGGCTAAAGCTCTCGACAAATCAACGCGACCGGCCACCAATTTTGATCCTTGTAGCTGTGGGTGCTTGAAGCCCAAGATGAATGCCTAGGACATCGAAGACCCATGCCTAATGTGTATTTTCTTAGCATGGGTCACGGTCAAGTGACCGGCAATAATCATATTCTGTCTAGTACCACTTCACGATCCTGACTGTACGTCGCTTTATCGAGTCGCTACCATGCACGTTGCATGAAGGCGCGATTACAATTCACCCGACAATCAACGCTGCCGTGGGCAAGCTCAATCCTTGCAGCCGTACAATGCTGTAGCCAGGAGATGCTCGTTGATGGTTCCCAGTTCAAGACCATAGAGCCTTGTTGTGCGACGTAACTTCTCGGCCGCCCAACGATAGAACATTACTCACGGTCTCAAACTTAACGATTTTACGTATGCAGCAACCATGCCGCATGCTCGGACTGCAACGATATCAAATCTCTCGCATGTCAACGTCTAGCAACATGGCACGAACATACAGCGATGCCATCGCATCGCTCAACAGTCTTCAGACGAACTTTGCGATTGTAGATGCTATACGCAAATCGGGTCGAAAGATGAATGAACAAGCGATACCCGAAATGGTAGAATGGTGTCGCAAGATTGGCTATCAAGTATGCTTCAAGTGAGCTTCTCAAGCTACCTGGCCCGCGCAGAACTGACTTGTTCTAGCCTTCAGATTTTGACAAGCTGAACACCATACACATCGCCGGCACCAAAGGGAAAGGCTCAACGTCAGCATTCATCTCCTCAATCTTGACGAAGTACCTGGGTACAAAGTCTACCAAAGATGGCAGGATACTGTCGAAGGTGGGCCTGTATACCTCACCTCACCTCCGATTTGTTCGAGAAAGAATTCAGATCAATGGGGAGCCACTGAGTGAAGAGAAATTTGCGCGATACTTCTTCGAGATATGGGACAGGCTGGAAAGAGCTGCGGAAGAGACCGGACAAGACCCCAAAGCTTCAGGCACAAAGCCCGTCTACTTTCGTTTCTTGACCCTAATGGCCTTTCATACCTATGTGAGTGAAGGCGTCAGTGCTGCAGTAATCGAGTGCGGAATAGGTGCGGCTTATGACAGCACCAACGTCCTCCAACGACCGTCCGTGACAGGCATTACGAGTCTGGGCATTGATCACGTAGGAGTCCTTGGTGCAACGCTGGGGGAGATTGCATGGCACAAGGCTGGTGTGATCAAAGTAGGAGCGAAGTGTTTCACTACAACCAGTCAACTACCAGAAGCCAAAGAAGTCCTGAACAGAGTCGCACAGGAAGTCGGCTCAGAGCTTGTTTATGTTGACGTCGACCAGAGGATCACTACTGGTCAGATTCAGCTCGGGCTTGAGGCTGAGTTCCAGAAAACCAATGCGAGCCTAGCATTGGCCATTAGCAAGGACTGGCTCCAGAAGCACGGCTATGACAGTATGGATGACAACGACTCCAGACAACGTCAAGGTCTCCAGGACGTCAAATGGTCCGGCAGGTGCGAGACTCGCTATGAGAAAAACCTCACATGGTACATCGACGGTGGACATACTCTCGAAAGTATCAATCTAGCTGGTCAATGGTATGCTGCCACGCAGAAAGAACGTCGTCAGACGCATGCGAAACGCTACTTGGTCTTCAACCAGCAAACCCGAGATGCGAATGCACTTGCTCACGCACTGCACTCTACCCTTGCGACAACCCTTCAAGACTCGCATCCTTTCACCCATACTATATTCTGCACGAACACGACATTCAGGGATACAGGGTATAGACCTGATTTAGTCAGTACTAACACGAATGCATCGGACGTTGAGGCTCTTACGGTTCAAAGAGGACTTGCAGAAACGTGGAAGAAGATCGATTCAGAGGCGGAGGTGAGCGTTGTAAGAACTATCGAAGAGGCTGTCGATCTCGTGAGGCTGGCTGCCAGCACTCAAGAACAGGTCACGGCATTCGTTACAGGAAGCTTACATCTTGTGGGGGGCTTTTTGGAAGTCATCGAGAGTGACAAACCATGAAAAAAGGAAGCAGGCGTCTGCTTGTTGAGCTTTCAGGTGGTATTAAAGGAACTTCATAGTCTCTTCAAGCAGGGAGTTACATTGCAGCTGCTTAAGTGTAGAAGTGGTGTAAGCGAGTACTAGACCACGTGTAGACCTCGAAGTATCGAAGAGGGACTGGATAGAAGAGCTTCGGGTTTGGCGCTAACCCGTTTGAGTATGGTGCGAGCTGGTGAAGTAGTAGTGACTGAAATTCACAAAATCAAATACTCTTGCCGGGAGACTGCCGTCCTTCTAGTGCAGACTTCTTACATTGAGGACCAACTATACGTGCTTAGGGATTCTTGATCATACCAGGAAGGTCTACCGTTTCCTGAAGATGCAAGACGAAGCTTGATGTCTACTCCACGGAATAAAAAACGCAACGAGGATACTGAACCACGACGAGAAAACAGAGAGAAGCGACGAGAAGGCACTCTTTACGACGCGGTCGCTGGCAGAATTGGTCGTAATGGCTTTCTGACATCAGTACAACTGCAGTCAGATACTGCTAGACCTTCTGCTCCCGAGGAGGTCTTGCACAGACGACTGAATGCACCTGCAGAAACAATACTGAATCACTACGATGCTGACAAAAGCCTAAACCCCAAGACGCAAAAGCTGCCAGATTCCTGCCTGCTGAAGGAGATTCATGCCTACGTGTCTGATTTTTACGAGCTTACGACAAAAGAGAAGTTCGACTTTGAGTCTCTGGATGAAACTGCCTTGCTGGCGATGGGTATTCTGCTTGAGGAGGCTTGCAAAGAAGCCCTTGGTGAGACTGGAGATATGGTGTTTACCGAGCCTCAGTCGCGAGATCATCAGCGACCGATGGACAGAATGGCACAGCATCAGATCATTGGCAGAGTGGTGCCGCAAACGATACATGAGTATCAAAGTTCATCGGAGGAGGAGGAAGCACGTGAACAGCCAAAACCTCGCAGGCGACAACGTAGAAGATACACAAGTCCTGGAGAGTGAAGTCGGCTTCAGGGTGAAAGCGAGTCTTGCTGGCTGACAAGGCTCAGTCTCGATGACCGTGCTCACGGGTAACGGACAAGGGTTGTGTCGTTGTTTGCGTGTACCGTGATAAACGATCGAGGTCATCATGCTGACGCGAAGAGGTGATATACTTCCGCTACTCGTGCAGGTGCGAATAGCGCACTCGGAGTCATGTTGCGAACCCGCCAATCATCCACCTACGCTCGCATCTTGGTATGCTCTGGCAGGAACAGGATCTGCCCAACAGACTGTTGGGTACAGGCTGTAGTACAGTAGGAGTTGGCAACGTGACTTTTTCTTTGTGCGAGTTCTTCGTCTTCGTGCCGTCCTTTAAGCCAAGAGCTTCTACAGTACTTCAGTGCTTCCACTTATTGCTGGATCTGACAAGAAGTCGGAGCTCGATTCTAGATCCCTGGATTAACCAAAGAAGCTTGTTTGAAAAGCTTCCAAAACCCTGAACGCAATCGGTCACGATGCTGGTCCAACGAGCCGAAGCTTGGATGGATGAAAAGCATTTGAATGACAGAGGAGAAGTAAAGTCCGTGATTTAAAGTCTACGCTGAAACATATTGGGTAAGCGTCGCATTCTCCAGGGCGCAGATTTGGCAAAGTGCCTGAGGAGCTAGCGGCACATAACCGAAAATTGCCCGTGACGTTGAGCTTGCCGGGAACTCTTGTTCATGAAAGACGCGATATCGACATCGTCGCTTTACCTCGCTCATGCAAGGACGGATCGAGCGAGGATAATGCTGTATGTGTCAATTCATGCATACGCACAAATAGAGAGGGAGGGGTGACACAATGTATGTAATGATTGGCCGCCTCTGATTACTGTACACACAAGATTGCATGATCGTTCAAGCCTGGAAACCAAGCCGAGTATAAGCTTCGTGTCACACCCAAACAAGCCTCTTGAGGTGTGGTCATTCCTACGCGAGTATCGTCAGATCAGCGGTCAGACACATCCATTCTGGCAGACGACAATGCAGAACCATGGCTGCCTTGCTTTTTGACGTATCAACGACCAGTTCTTAAAGCATCGTAATTGTGGTGAAGAACTTTGGTGCTGGATGATTGGGTGCTTTTCTAGACTCGGATGTTCCTAATAGAAACCCCTGTCGCAAATACGGCCCCCGCGAATTCACCGGCTTGCCGCCAGTCGTCTGTCGTCGTCGGGGTCGTCTGAGTTCTCTCGTGCTTTTGTGTCGATCACGTCGCTTCCTCGCTATCGTAGACTTCTGCAAAAGATCAGTCATACAACAAGATGTCGCGCGAATGAAGACGTTTAGGACTTCACCTATGTCCGGCAAATACTGAACGGAGTCTGCGCAGCCACCTATCGACGTGCGACAATTTGGCATTCCTCGAGACTCGAAAAGCGTCGATCGAACTGAGAACAAAACCGAGAGACTATGCTTCGCCAAACGATTCGCTGCCTGCGGTGATGCCTTTCGAATCATTGTTTACCAATCCAAACCCGCCGGTCGAACGTTCCAAGTCAATCTTATCGCGCTTCTCAAATCCTTTGACCACTCGAGCAGCCAAGCTCTTCGACCTGGAAATTCACCCGGAGCATCCGCATAAGACATACAGGCCGGGAGACAGTGTCAAGGGGCAGATTACGCTTAGTGTGTTCAAAGGCTTCGACATCACCCACCTAGCTATATCGTTGCATGGCTATGCCCGTGTCTTCAAGCACCAGTGCACGCCTGGTGAGGCCAAGATACCACCCGACCAGCTGATTAATGGAAAAGGATCTCATGGCTTCGAATATTTTGGCAATGGTACTGCATCGCTTTTCCAGGACGAGCAGGTCTTGTGCGGGTCGGGTTTCTTGAAGAAGCAGGTCTACAAGTTTGGGTTCGAATTGCAGTTCCCAGCCTACAGCCTTCCGAGTACTCTCGTGGTCAGCAAGGCACCTCCCCTTGCTGCTCTTGCGAAAGCTAATGATGTGACAGTTTGAGCGGGGTGTTGTCAATTACATGATCTCTGCAACCGTAACCCGTCCTGTTACCATCGGTGCGACCACGAACAAAATTTACAAGGTCGACTTCAAGGACCGTATCGATATCGAATCTATGTACACGCCAAAATCTCGAGCAATATATTTGGAACCTATGTCGAGACTTGGAAAAGTGAAAAAGGTCAAACAACCACATTCGGCAGGCACACAGTCGACATCTATAACAGCACAAGACACTCCTTCAACCAGAACATTGTCCAGACAAAATACCTCCAACAGCACTCGAACACGCTCGAGCACTGTCTTGCTTCAGGCTCCGCCTCTCAGTCCATCTCCTAGTGAGGATACTGTGGCGACAAACGCAACCACGAGCACGCCTAGTCTTCACATAGTGGACAGAGAATCAGCAGACCAGCCGAAGCGCAGTGACGATAGTGCCCCTCGTTCGAGTACCACGTCGAACTCTGCGCATACTATCTCAGCTACAGCACAAATTCAACGGCATGGTGCATTACCTGGAGACTATCTACCTGTGCGCGTCCGGGTTGAGCACACAAAGCCTGTACGTGGTGTAGTGATAGCCACGCTATATCGAGTTGGACGGATAGACATGCTGCCAACCCTACCGATTGCTAATCGTTACAAGGACAAGAAACCAGAATACGAGGATGTCTATCCAAAGTCCAAGACTGGTCTGGGAGGACTCTATTTTACTAATGGAGCTCCAAACATGGCCTTTCGCAATGACTTGACACAAAAATCCACTATGATGGTTGTCAACCCACACACAAAGACTGCGGACGTGAACTTTAAGGTCCGCATACCAAACGAAGAGGTCGCGTTTCCGACCATGGATAACATTCAGGGTGGCATGATTTCTTTTACCTATCACCTCGAAGTCGTAATCGATCTGACTGGCAAGCTGGGGGAATCGCGCCTTCTGCCAAGTCTAACCACTAATGGACCAACCTTTTCAAAGGCAGCGGACGATCGCCGGAACTTGACTCATGAGTGGACGGACATCAACATACTTGATACTGCTCCATTACGACGAACCAAGAATGTCGCAACGTTCGAGCTGCCCCTCATTGTTGGGACTGATGACTCCGGCAGAGCCAGAAGGACCAACCTTCAGCGTGAATATTCGTATCATGACAGAGAAGCTGGATTCGGAGGCTCAGATCCTGACGGATATGGCATCGAGTGGCAGTCGAATGGCCACAACGGCTATGAAGAACATTACGATTACTATGGGTATGATCCTAACGGCTGGTACGATGAGTACGGCAACCTGGTATACGACAACTATCACGATCACTACCAATCCCTACACTATCCTCCGGATACAAACGACCCATACCACAACCGCTCGACCTATCAATATCAACCCCCTCCTCCCGAGCCGGAAGAGCACATCGACGAGAAGTCGCGATTGAGACGTCAAGAAGAGCTGCTACTGCCGAGTCAGCCGCCAGAAGCAGAACCTTCTTCGAGTCGGTCGGCGACATTAGCACCGTCCGCGCCGGTGCTTGACAACGATGGTGTGCCAGCTTCAAACCATACTCAACCATCCATTCCAATTACAATCTCTCGCGCATCGGCGCGCTCAGGAGATACAATCGTGCCAGACCCACTTACACCACCTCCAAGCTTACCGACTCCTACAGAAGACAAGCAAGAGCTTGAGAGACGAAGGCTCGAAGCACAAGCGAGTGCACCGCCTTTGGACGACGACAGCCCGTCTGGATCGAGCCACACCAGGTCTACGGACGCACCGTCAGCACCTGTGATAGATGATGAGGCTGAGTACATTGTCCAAGTATTAAATATGGATGCAAACGATACTCTGCCTCAATATCGCAGGTGACAATACACCTTTTACTTCATTTGAGCATATATCATGTCTGTTTTTGAGCGATGGCGTTGGTGGTGTGATTCTTTCAAAAGTAGATAAAAATAGTCCACGATTGGATGTGAGGGCTTGTAGCAGCTCTACGCTTGCCTAACGAACACATGTCCTACTTCCTCTTTACATTACGTTGCCAGGTCTGGACAATTGTGAAGGAGCTGTAACAAGCCTGTCTGAAACATGCCCTGACCAAGCAATAACCAACAATCAGTGGAGCGAAATAATAATCAGCACATGCAATCTTTGTGGTCCCCACCCAGCCATTCTTTATCTGACCTACTCATTAGTAACTGTCGCAGATCCCCACTACGCACATCATCTTGCAGTGTGCGACACAGCTCATCTTGGACTTTGATTATTGTTCATCATAAATTAGTGCTGACATATTGAGCCGCGCATTGTCGCATTCGCCTACAGACCTCTAATCTCCAGCTGGACAGCTCGCCAACAGACAATCATAGCCTTCTTCTTCTTCTCACTCTCAAGACACCCGCCAGCTCGCGACACGCGACAACCACCAACAAGATGCCTCAAATCAGCTTCGCAACCTTTATGATAATATGCCGTGAGTCGTTCCTCTGACACCAGCACCCTTTTCTGTTATTCAAAGCACCGCTAACCACTCCCTCCACCCTCCAGCGACCTCATTCTTCCTCGGCCTCGTCTTCTCCCTCTTCCCCTACGACTACCCCCTCCTCTGGGCCAGCAGCCTCCTCACCGAAACCCACCTCGACAACGTCGAAACCCACCTCAAACTCCTCCATAACAGCCCCAACCTCATCGTTCGCATAATGCACATCATCACCGCCGTCGGCCTCCTCGGCCTCGTCATCAAACTCTACAAACCCTCCGAGTCAAACATGCTCTTCGACGGCGGCAGTCTGGTCCTCTACATGATCGCCGTGGTCATTTACATGACCAACATCGTCAAGGGATTGCGCATCGTGTCTCTGGGACAGTACGGCGAAGGTCTCAAGAACGCGCTTGGCGATCAAGCGAGAGCGGATGACATCGATGTGGGTACTGGGGTTGATGTGGAGACTGGGAATGATGTGTTGGGTCGAGAGGATAACTTGAAGGTGCTTAGTGCGAGTAATACTATTCTTGCGTTGGTGCTTGTTGGTGTGCTGGTCTTGCAGATTGGGCAGTGGTATGCGGAACGGGCGGAGGAGAAGGAGAAGGTTGCTCTTGCGAAGCAGGATAGGGAGAAGACGGATACTCTTACTGTTGAGGTGAAAAGGGGGGATGGGAAGAAGGTGTCTAAGAAGACGAATTAGGGGATGTCTTGTCTTCAAGAGTGGTTAGCCTCGGGGACCGACTTGCTACTTGGCTATTCTCCATCAACGAATGCAGCCCAGGAGCTTTGGTTCACCTTCCGTCACGTTGCAACACAAGTGATCGGTATTACCACTAGTTTTCAAGAACGTGAAGCCATTGTTCGACGATTTCAAAGGCTACGAACTCTGCATGGAAAACCCACTTCCGACGCTGGTAAACTTTTCGTTCTTGAGCCAGGACAAACTTCAACACATTCGATTTGGATGACCAAGCGTGAGTTCCAGCGCCGAGGCAGACGTCACCATTGATACATTGCTAGGACGATACTGAAGAAGCAAAACTCTCGTCCCAGACACCAAGACAAGTAGCCCAAGCAAGGTTGAACAGATGCAAGGTCGTGCGAAAAGGCTCATAAAAATGAAGCACGCCCATCCTCTAAAACCACATTGTGCATCTATGCAAAGATCCACAGGAGAAATCTACGTTATGGAATTTGTTGATTTCTTACTTCTTCACATTAGAAGAGGTGACGGAGCGACGACTACCCGACCTAGGATTTTTGCAAGAGAAATGAAACGAGCTTGACGACTACACCGTACTACGTCTCAAGAAGAGTCCAGGTGGCAAGAAGCATCACTACATAAATGGTGAAGTTCAGAAGCGTCAGGAAAAGGTTCACGCTCAAGACGAGTGCTCGGAAGAAGCGCTATTTGCAGCTATCTAGGCATTATTGCACTGATAGGAGCTGACATTCGACGACGTGTAGGCTCCGAGGAATTCCCTACCTACGGAGGATTCTATATACCCAGCTTGATTCTATTGACGAGGTTATAAGGTGCCAGACAAAACGCAGGTCAATCTTCAAAGAAGTTATATGGATCGATCAGAAATATGTCGCAGCCACCCAGATAAACAGTGTTAGATAATTCCTCGCCTGTAAATACTCTACGAAAATGTCACAGGCCGTTTCGTCAGCCCTTCGACCAAGCCTTGTATCAATTGTCTCTTTCTCTTGCTTCTGCGCTCCTCATCGACTTCTTCTTCTGTCTTCCTCTTTGTTGGTGTGCTGATTCCTTGTTCTTCACCTTCGTCGCCTGAGATTTCGCCAGCCACTTCGTCCTCATCAATGCCAGGTTCGAGTCTTGGTTTCCACGCGTATATCCTGCCGTCCCCATGTGCAGAGTACATCTCCACTGTCCCACCATAGCCCTCCTCGCTTCTCACAGGTCGAAAAGCCAAGGAGTTGATCCGTCCTCCGCTTGTTATTTTGTTGACGTTCTGAATTTCTGCGGCGGCGCTTTTCTTGCCTCGTCCTCTACGTGCTGGGCCTGCACCGGGAACAACTTGGACTATACCCTGTGTCTTGAGTACTCGTAGGAGTGATCCCTCACGCAGATCTTGCATGAAGATCTCTCCTCGGCCATCGTCATTGGGCCAGAACAATGTTTCTTGCCCAGCTTTGATACCGCTTGTTCCTACTGGAGCCAAAATGGGCTTGAACTCCCCATGTCTGCTGTTGCGTATTCGCGGCCCGAAATGGACGAGGTCGTTGCGTCCCGTCTTGACGTCCCATACACGGATTCGCTGGTCCTGACTAGCGCTAATCAATTTGCTGCCGTCGTGGTTGAATAGAATCGCCGTAATGGCGTCTCCGTGTGCACGATGGTTGTAGTCTAGGACAGGACGAGAGAATGTACTCTCTGCGTCTACGACACCGAGGGAGTCATCGACGTCGAAAGATGCGAATGCTGGGCTGGCACGACGGATGTCGAAGCAGAGGATTTGTCCACTGCTGGAGCTAGAGATTAGGACATGAGCTTGCCGTGGATGCCAGGCCAGGCTATAAATGGCGCCCGAATGACCTGGGAGTGCGTGCGTTGCCAATGCGGATCGAAGATCGATGAGCCTTGGTGCTGGGTGGGCGGTACCAACAGCTACAAGTCCGGAAGCGTCTGGTACGGGCGAGACAGCATGACAATACGTCGCAAAGTCGAGCGGGAATTTGTGCAGAGGTGTCAGGTCGGTGGGTGTGATCTGTGTAAGGAGAAGAGACTGATCGTAGGATGTGGATAACAGGGTGGTTGGTGTCGGGTCGAACGGATATATGCTCAAGCTGGTGATTGAGTGGCTGTGTGATGCCTGGTTGACTCTCGATGTCGAAGAAACCGGACGGTATGTTGCTGCTTCACCGTTACTCATGCCAGAGACCTTGGACTCCTGCTCTAGATCCCATAGTCTAAGTGCTGTATCTGCTCCACCAGAGACAAGGTAACGTCCCAGAATCTGGTCAATTGCTAGGCAACTCACGCCCGCTTTATGCGCGACAGATTGTCGTGCCGGTGCTGATGTTGTGCTGGAAGTACGAATTTGGTCTTCATGCTGAGTGGAAACTATCTGAGCTTCGAATGATATGCTTGTGTTGTGCTCAAGTGATTCCAGCTGACGGTGAAGGTAATATCGTTTGAACGTCGGCGCGTTGATGTCGCTGAGGCGCAGACCTAGGTAGAAGGTATTCATGCATGCTGCGGATGCTGGTGAGTGATTGCAAGAAAGCTCTGGTCGCAGCACTGTTCTCTGAGCTCGATCGCGTATTCATCCTAGGGGTGAGTTCCCCCCTCGAGAAGTCTTGGCTGCTCGTGGACGTGCCTGCCAATTTGTTGAAGCCTACGGTTGAACTCGTAACCTCCACTAAACCGTATCTACCAGTGCCTTTTGCAGAGCGAATCTTCGTCCAACTTATCCTCCTAACCATTACAGCGAGAGCGGCACGACATTGAGGATCGAGGATAATGTGTAATGTTCTTATCTCGATAACCTTTCTTAGGGAGTTCCTCAGATCAGGCTATACGAGATCTCGATGTTCTTGTTGTGGTTCGATTTGTGGGTCTAGAGACGATGTCCCCTCTGAGTAACGCATCTGTTATTGAGCCCTATTCCGTCGGACTCGAACCCTGCTTGTGCGATTAATTGTCGTAAGATGTTCGAACCAAGGCTACTGACCATGTCTCCAACGACAACCTGCGGCTGGCCATTATGGTTGACGCTCACCTTGTCGGTTCAGAGCTACTTCCCCTTATGTGTGACACTCCATACGTGAAGATGTTTTTTGATGCTGAGCGGCAAGCAGCTCTCAAAGATACTGATCTGTATCTCAGATGACAGGAACAGCTACAGACGTGCGACAGTCTTCTGACTCTGCATGTATATACTGCAACTGCTGCTGGCCTGGCGAGGTACGAGCAAGACAAAGGCAAGGCGTCGGCAACAACGACTCGCTATGCTTGCTATGGACAATCACAGAGACGAGACGTCAAACAGCACTCAGATGAGCATTGTTTGTACTAATACAAGCAGATGTGATGCCATAACATCTCATCCGCGATTATCTTGCAAGCTCTTTTCTTCCATTGCGACGTGTTAAGTACGTCAATTGAGCGTTTACAACCTCGACCTCCTCACCAAAACTTACCACCGATGGTAAAAATTGATTATCTGCCAGCCGAGCTATTTCAAAATACACTAAGTTTTCGAGTGCACGACCTCGATCCGATCAATTTCAGTAAGAGCACAGGGAGCGTCCCGGAGCTAGCCCGGGTGAGCTGGCTATGGTGCGAAACCGTGTTTAATATATGCTGGGTGAAATGGGGTTATTGGCAACAGAGCTCGGAAAAGAGAATTCGCAAGCAAAAGAGGAGATGGCTACGAAGAGTCATGGGCACGAGCGCCCACATCCGCACACGAAAGCGCAATGAGATGCCATGGACCCCGAACAGATTTTCAATACTGGCTTCCACATCTAGTGCGTAGCCCTGCCATACCTAATCGTGTGTACGATCTCTTCCTTCGTCAGAGCTCGATCCGTGTCAATCTTGGTCACACCAGATTGTCGGCACTATTGCTTCAGTGGTACAATGTATTACACTTGTTCCCTGCTAGACCACACCAGAGATTTTCGACCTTGATGAAATCAACTTGACTTCACCACAGATCATGGCGCCAAAGACACATGATATGCAAAGACCTGACGTCCGTCAAGTACAGGCCGGTCTATAGAGTACACCTGCTACGTCAGCCACATAGCCTTTATGGTTGCATTCGACACACATGTCTTCATATCTTTGCACCGACTTGAACGAGTTGGCAGCTGTCCCAATCCTGAATTTGCACCCGTGTGGAACTTATCCTATCTCTTCCTACACTACACCAACCGACTTGACATACCTACAAAAGTCTGCTAAGGTCAAACATACCAAGCTCGATGTTAGCTCCGACTTGACACTTCGAGGGTATCTTTGGGAAGGTCCCTCTAATTCCAAAGCAGCTAGCACTGAAGACATCGCTTACTCACCAATTTCCGAAATCAACCCCTCAGCAACTGAGCTGTCCCAAGACCTATACAAAATGGCTCTCCGACGACAGAATACCATGCCACTGAGGAATCCTTCAGAAACACTTACTCACAGCACAGACTATGAGAATCCTCTCAGGCCAGGCAGCGTTGAAGGTGTGTATTTAGTTTTGCCTCAGTACATGTGATCAGCTAGCTAACCTTATTCACAGAGAACCTAGGTCACGAAAATGAGAAAACACAAGACCATAGCTCTCACATATGGCGCACGCCCACAACGAAAGTCTTCTTCATCACGCTCTCGGTGTCGTTATCTGGTATTTGTATATGTTTGGTCGTGTTCATCTGCATTGATTCAATTCGTCGGAAAGGAGGAAGTAATGACCATGCATCGAAGATACGATAACAGACTTCCCAGGATTGTGCTGCAAATAGCTTAAGAGCAGGAAATAGAATCACACCGCCTTGTTTTCATCACGCACTTATTCCTAAGTACCACGTATCGTTACTACATCGCAACATACAGCTTAGAATGTGGCGATGACTTCATGCGAAACGCTTCGGGTTCCACATCGTTACAGCCTCGCCCGAGCATTTCTCAATACACTGGTCTTCTCCAGCGCCTCCTCCGCTTCCCTCTGCAGCCTCAAAGCCAGCTCTTTACAACTTGGAACATCGTGTATCAGGCCACTACACATGCCCAAGCTCCCTGTACATAGTTAGCCCCAGCAGTACGCCATCGATCTGAAGCAAGGACTCGTCCTATGGACGAGTTCTTGACTTTCGTAGCACTTACAGACGCCAGCATCAACATCCCCGGTCTCATAAACACCCTTCCCCCTCTTCCCACTCATCAAATGCGCAACATCCCGAAACTCCACATCCTTCTTCGTATTCTCAATCTTGAACACTTCCATGCTGACTTTATTCTTATGCAATCGCGTCGTATTACGAAATTTCCGCAAAACGAGTATCGTGTCATTCTCCGTCGCTTTGACTATGGCGTCTTTGACGTTGGGGTGGATCGGCGCCTCTTTCGTGGTCATCCATCGAGTGCCCATGTTTACGCCTGCGGCTCCTAGGGCTAGTGCGGCGGCGAATTGTCTGCCGTTTGCGAAGCCGCCGGATGCCAGGTAGGGGATTTGTAGTTGCTCTGCGCAGAGGGAGAGGAGTACGAGAGAGGTGCTGTCGTATTCTCCTCCATGGCCGGCGCATTCGATGCCGTCGATTGAGATGCAGTCGACGCCGAGTTTCTCGGCGCGTAGTGCGTGCTTTAGAGTTACGCATTTGTGGATTACGGTGCATCCGTTGTCTTTTATGTATTTTAAGATCTTGCTTGGGTCACTGTACGAATTGTCATTTTGAGTAGCAGTATGAAGTCGAGCAGCAGATCAACCTTAAGCTATACACTGCCAGACATGTTGCAAGGAGCACTCACCCTGCCGTCTCAATGACCCTAACGCCCTCCTCAACTGCAACTTTCGCATACGCCATATAATCAGGCGGATTGATGGCAGGCAATAATGTGATGTTGACGCCAAATTGTACAGCGTCCGCCTCGAGCATTGATCGACACTTGCGAATCTCAGCGCGCAAAAGCTCAGGTGTTTCGAAGGTCAAAGCTGTGAGGAATCCGAGGCAACCTGCGTTTGCGACAGCTGAGACCAGGTCAGCTTTGCCTACCCACATCATACCACCTTGGACGAGAGGGATACGTATCCCGAGTTGAGATGTGAGCCATGTATCGAATGGCATTTTTGGAAATGGCGGCCACGAAACAGGTTGGTTGGTTGGTTGGTTGGTTCAGGAGAGATTTTGGGTGTCCTTGCAGGGTATTCCAAAGTTGTTGTCACTTGAGCACCGACATCTAGCACAGAGCACCGCACTATGATGCTCCCTTAGAAAACGGTAGTCTTATTGGGATGAGCTTAATTGCTTATAGAGTGTTGGCAGATAGCAGGTACAGTAGGAATTGATTGGTGGATGGAGCCGATTACCGAGGCTAGATGCCGGTATTGAGACTCAAGCAGTTGCTGCTTCTCAATTGCATAACTCATGGCCTCCGCCCACGCCAATCCTCAATTTGTTGTTTCACACGCATGCTATCAATGTGGCATAGCATAGCTGAAGTAGAAGGAATCGACGTTCTTACTCGACTTCACCAAACGGCCTTCCATGAAAGCTAGGAGCCAATTGCGCAAACCCTTCTGCACAGAATAAGGGAAGTGCCTGAGCAACCAGACAAAGCTTGCACATTGCCATACACGAGTGTTATGTTGTGAGGACTGGTCATGAATCTGTATCAGCCATAGATGATTATTGCATGGTTGTCTAGTCAGTTGAGCATCGTCGACCATGTGGGAGATATTCGACATCCATGACTTCAGGCTCTCAGGACGATTCTGATGATCTAGAACCACATGGCAGAGAGTGAGTAAACATGTCAGCTGGAACGTTAGTTTCATCCTGTCTTGTGGCGTCAGATCTTCCTCTTCACTTTTGAGCGGCCGCGACAAAGCTTCGTGTAGGCCGGGGTATGAATGTAGGATGAATGCTTTGGCTAGTGGCGAGGACATTCTCTGGGTAGTAGTGGCACCGGAATATTGACTAGATGAAGGTCTGTTTGAATTTCGAACGTTGGTGCTTCCTGCCAGTTGTAGCCAAAACTTCCATATATCGTCAAGAAAGACGTTGGTCTTCTTGAGTAGAGACTTCGTATCGGTCTTGTCCCAAACATAGCTGGTCGTGGTAGAGGAGTAGAGCGTCTCGAAGTGCAGCATCACTCTAGATAGGAGGACGGATTTGATTGATAGTGGACCGCCTATGGATCGCAATAGCTGTCGTACCGCCATAAAATGTACCGCTATTTACGTTAGTTGTGGAAAACGTCCTGGTTCACACCACTGTCGGCTCTTTCGGAGATGGGTGCATCATGCGTTCACTTACATGCTGTGTCCTTTGCGCCTGTCCTGGTGTCCAGCGTACCGAGGCTCACTATGGCAGCTATCAACATATCTATGCCCTGAGTCTTTCTTTCGATGGCTATCGACATGTGCTTGACCAATCGAATCGCCTCACCTTTGTGTCTCATGACGGCAATCTCGAGCTCCTGTTTCTCCGTATCATTTGAGTACTTCTTCAGCGAGATGCGGTACAGAGCTGAGCGTGCTAGAGCCGCCTGGAAGTTAGGGGGATTGTTGATCGCAATGCTGAAGTTTGTTGCTACAGGATGTGGTTTAAGACGTGGACTCATGCCGTATATGAGTAATGGGTAGGCTTGTAGGTAGAAGCTCAACAGATGCTCCTGAAATCGATTAAGCATGACCGGCAGCTGTGCAAATGGGTCTAATCTGTCTGAGAATTGCTCGAGACTGCATCGAGCCACTTCAAAAGCCTGCTGCTCCGAGGTAGAGCCTTGGCCATCCTCATCGAATTGTGTAATATGTGCATCTCGCTGAGTTGCAGCTGGATTCTGCCCTTGACACTGTCGTGGTAGGATACTCCTCGGAGACCAGTATTGCGTGAGGCTCCTGTCTTCCAAATTGATATGTTGTACATTTCGTGGAGACAAAGGCTCGCGCTTGAAAAGAGTTGTGTTAGATTTCCCTCGAAGCTTGTTGGTCTGTCGAGAATTTCCTGTCATGTTCAGTCATGCCTATGACAGACATTACGAGCGTGATTCATGGCCAACTATGTAAGTTATTCATCCACATTGTTTAACGTGGCAGAAAGAATAGGCCTTGTCCGCTTCAGGCGAGATTTAATCACAGCCTTGGCGGCCTGGGTCGGTTTTATGTCGGAACTCGATATTCAACTGCCCACCAACAGACGAATTCTCTTGTCATAGCAGGCATGAACACCGACTTTAGACCGTATCTATACTTTATACAGCAAACCACCATATACTAATCATGCTTTAGTTCAGTGGAAAGCTATGAAATCACTACTGGGACGCTACGACGATCCGACCTGAACGGGGGGTGGTGGATAGAAGCTAAATGGGGTGATGTGAAGCCTAAAAACGTCATGTTCAGGCGTCTACTAAGCTTCTAATACCCCTCAAAGCGGTGGCAGAAAAGACGTGAACATCGTCTCACTTGCCCGATCTGACCATAGGCATGGTAGCAGCCTCTGCATTCAGCAATAGGTGCTAAACCCCGAGCACTCAGAGGGGCAGAGTACCTATCGTCTAAACGGGCAAGTGAGACGATATTCACGTCTTTCCTGCCACCCCTCTTGCCCTCAGCGTCCCCGAGCAGACGCTTTTTCCATAAGAGCGTGATTTTTATGGCGATCAAGTTGAGCACAGCGAAGCGTAGGTATCGTTGATGTCTGTATACAGGCTCGCTCATTCACACTTGAGGAGAGGTAGATATGGAGTAAGAGCTGATACGTCCGGTCAACCTTCGCAGAATTTAAAGAGACAGAAGGATGACGGAGATGAGGAGATGAGAAGACACTGTCTTATGCGACGACAAGAGCAATCACAACTGGCGATGTTCGAGCAGGGACGGCAATATCTAGCAGTCTTGGCACATCTCCATCAGAAAAGGCCAGCACTCTGGTGGACGACCTTAACCAGTAGACTCGAGCACCCTTTTTTGACCGGACGTGCACGGCAAACAACGGTTAGTACGCAACCTAGGACAAGCCTGCTTATCCCTAGTTTTGCCTCCATCTCGCGCTCCTCAAAACCTCGTCTATAGCTTGGCCCTCCTTTTCGCGACAATGTTTGCAATTTCTGTGGTTGGAGTATTGATCTGTAGCGGTAGCACCTTTTGCCTGACCTTCGTTCTTTGCTCAAACGCGTAAGCCATGCCAATCAGCTTCTCTTCACTCCACTTTTCCGCCATGAAGCTGATCGAAAATGGGATGCCAGGTCCAGTAGCATTGAGGTCTCCCCGTCTGTTTTGCGTCACGTTTGCGTCGGTAGGATATGCGCCCATAGGGACTGTCACAACAGGTGTCCCTAGAACAGCAGGAAAGTGAGAAGCGAATATTGTGGGCGCGATAAGAGCGTCAAGTGAATAATTTGTCATTGAGCCAGTAAGACCAAGAGGGCCAGCGAGCTCTAGACCAAGAGTGTAATTTGACCAAAAATTGGGAGACGTATTGCCTTGGCCACCAAAATAATCCAGCGCCTGATCCCATACAGCAGTATCTCGATCGGGGTAATCTTCAAGTGGGAATGATTGCGTGAAAGCCCTGACTTCGGCTAAATTAGTGATGTTCTCGGGATTGTATGACAGTTGTGCAAGATATGATGCCAAGTTTGTCACAAAATCTCCCTCTAGAACGACTGATGTGCGATTTCCGCCTTCAAGATCGTAACCTGGCCAGCTTGTGTTATCAACAATGATTGCTCCTGCGGCTCGCAGAATTGGAAGTACATTGTCGAATGCTTCAATAATAGGAGCATACGGGCTCTCTCGAATTGCACTCGAGTCAAAGACGTTTCGTGGGATTCCGATGCGCTTGCCACGAAGAGCAGAAAAGTCGCAGGCCGCTACATAATCGGGAATTGTGTAATTAGGAAATGGAATAGCAGAAGTGTAATTGTCATACTGTGAGTATCCAGCGATCGCATTCAACAGATACGCAGCGTCCTTAACCGTGTGAGTCATAGGTCCGATCGTGTCTTGGTGCTCCGAGATTGGAATCACAAGATCTCGGGATGTGAGGCCCACAGTTGGTTTTATCCCGACCAGATTGTTGGCATCACAAGGACTGATGATACTGCCATCGGTCTCTGTCCCAAGAGCCGCCCAGGCAAGCCCGACAGAGCTGGCCACACCGGAGCCTGAACTGCTGCCAGACGGATCTTGATCTGGGAAGTATGCAGCGTAGACTTGCCCTGCAATTGCTGACCAACCATTAGAGCTATTATCTGAACGAAAATTGGCCCACTGAGACAAATTTGTTTTGCCGAGTATTACCGCACCAGCTTTGCGAAGCTTGGCTGCGATTGTACTGTCTCGTGACACTCGAGCACCCGCCAGAGCATACGAACCAGCTGTGTTGTTCATGGCATCTGCTGTGGCTATGTTGTCCTTTACGAGAACTGGGACGCCATGGAGTGCTCCTCGAACGATCCCGTTAGCGCGCTCAGCGTCAAGCTGATGTGCAATGGTAATAGCATCAGGATTCAGCTGTGTGACTGCATGTAGAGTATTGTTGACCTCATGAATGCGAGCAATGTATGCATTTACTAAGTCAACGCTGGTGAAAAGGCCAGATTCCAGGCCAGTGGCCAGTTCTTCGAGAGTGACATCGAGCAATGATGGAAAAGGTGTGCCATTGATGCTCGAGTTACACGATGACTGGGCTGAGACCAGCAAGGCAAACGCCACGGTAGACACGGAGCTAAGTAACGAGAGCTTCATGGCTTCGTAAAAGTTTAGAATAGCGGGTGTATACCAACTGAGCACAATAGTAGTGACGAAGAGACATACTAATATCTTTGACTGTCGCGGACCTGAAGCCATCGCAATTGTAGCAAGGGTATCTGATTTGATGAACATGGGTCTGTATTGCAGCACAATCAACGGATTCAGTGCCCAATGATGTTAGCTGTGGACAATAAGCGAGCCAGCGCGAAGTGAGAAAGAGGCAGGTAGATATTGCGCTAGCGCTCAAAGAGGAAGCTCGTTGATCCGTGTGCTCCACCGAAAAGTATGGTAGATATGTGACAATCAACCTTTATCTGTCGAACAGTAGATATCTCATTCAGCCAGTGCACACTGATCATGACCGATGTCTTGTTCGTATGATTGACAGGAGTCTCTTTAGCAAGCCACCGACTTGTTAAACGATATCATATATGGGAGTGTACGAGCTTCTGGGCAACGTCGAGATGGTTCGACCACCTTTTAGAAGTCTTGTGGCGCGTAGACGATACTCAGAGTCGTTTAAGACTCTGTCTGCTGTCTCGTTTAGAAATTGTTCTTCCGACTAAATGTAGAAGTAAGGTCGACTTGGGCAGCTTCTGCTTGTGCAATGTCTTCAACGTTTCCTCCTTCCAATGATAGATTTCATTTCTCCTAGTAAGCCGACTACTAGAGGAACACCCACTGGACCAAGCAAAGGTAGGTAGACAGCGACCTTATGTTCATCTGGAAAGTAGACCTGGCCAACCATTGATTTGTCAAAGAAGGCCTTTTCAGATTCAACGAAAGCTGCTCTGGCCGAAGTAAAACAAGTTGACCACGATTCACCGGTAGTACTTGTTGTGAGGCATTGCTGAAAGACGCTGAGGCGGGCAAGGGCGCTGTCGACAGAACGCAATACATGTCTCGGTATTGGAATATTGCTCAGACGTTGAGCCAGTCTGGCAAGTGAACCTAGGTTGGAAGAGGTACGAAGGTACAGCGATAGAGCAGAGAGTCTTTGGAAGGATTTGAGTCGTTCTTGGAGAGGCAGCTTAGTGGATTGAGGTACACCAAGTAGCTGTAAGAGTTGGGTCTGAAAGCTCTCAAAAGCCGGCACAAGCGAGGCATGATCAAGATGATCAGGAAGAACTTCTGACTCGAGCTCCGACTCTTCGTTGCTTCTCAGAGGAGGATTCAGTATGGTAATGCCGCCCCATTGTGGCACAAGCCAGGAATTTGTCGAATTGTCATCTAGCAGCAAAGGAATGAACTGCTTGGCTGGCACATAAGTAATAAAATTGATAGTCGGGCCTTGTCCGATCGAGGGAGATAGCGGCCACTCAGCAGTATTGACGAATGAGGTCAGGTCCTCCTTCTTCAATCTCCACGTAGAATCTCTCTGCTGTGGCTGTACCGAAGGTGAAAATGAAGAGTAAAGCTGGACTTGGGAAGCGACAGAAATGTTGCTGGTCGAGGACAAGGCATACACGATCGGCTCGATATAAGTGTCAAGAGCTTGTCGGATGTCCCAACTCGAGGGAGCTGAGCCAGCGGTGAACAGGGAGATGGACAGATGGTAGTTAGAGCCCGGCTTGAAAGCCCTATTGGCAGCTTTTTGTATATTGTTCGTCATGTCCTGTGGCAGAGTTTGTATAAAGCTCTGTATGTCTTCATTGCTCTTGCCACTCGTAAACAGCTGATATGCTACTGAAGCATGTTCTTCGAGGAAGGCCGACTGCAGGAAGGTGGCTAGGTGGAAAGGGAGGCTCGGCATGCCACCTTCTGGGTAGCGAGCTTCGAAGGATGCGGACCGAGACGAGTACTGGATATCATAATCTTCCCCTTCCGCAATGGTAATAAGAGTTGTCACAGCGTCTTGCTGGCATTGATTCTGCGCCTGGACATGGAATTTGAATAGAAATTGTTGGCCTTTGGCTAGCTTCTGCGTCTCCCAGGCCAACTTGGCGAGCTCGTTTTTTGCGATAGAGGCAGAACTGAGACACACAGGTATTGAGTACCACAGATCATCGTGGCTCGCCAACATCAAGTCAGAGGGCAGGGAGGCACGTTCGATGGATGTGGTTGCCCACCATGTCGGAAGGCCGAGTAAGAGGATGATCACCCAGAAAGACCAGACGACGCGAGATCTCAGAGACACCTCTCTTTGTGTCTCAACTGGTGTCCCCATAGCAAGACTCATATGTGTTGACCAAAGGTACGTTCTCTTTCGTGAGGCCTACACAATACCGTGGAGGATCGTCAGGCACGCGCTCGGCTGATTTCGCGGCGAGGTGAGTAAGAAAATGTTGGTGACGAAATAGGAAGAACAATCAATACTTCCATTACATCCTTGTCACCTTCAACTTCGTAGCAGGATTGCTAGAATTTTGGTGTGTATGAAACGTTAGGCAACTACGAAGTGAAAGTAGCAACGATGAAGCATTGGGGTCGCGCCTTCCCTGCATTACTATCACGATCCTCACTATTGCTACGCCCAGAGCATCAGACTCGTACCTTCCTAGACTCAATTCTGAGCTCGGCTCTGGGTGCTTGCCCATTAAGAAACCTCACGCATACCAAAACACTACCGTACTCAGCATCTTCTATATTCAAAGCAGTGTCAGATGTGTCAGGCTATCCAGCATTCCTACCATTCACAGTCTCTTCAAACGTCGCGAATCGTGATGAAAGAGGATACCCTACACGAGCTAGTCTGAAGATTGGGTACGAAAAGTTTGGGTTGGAGGAAATCTGGGACAGTAAGGTCAAATGTGATCCCGAGAGTGGAACAGTAGAAGCACAGAGCAGCGAGGCAAACAGCCAGGGCTTGTTCGAGGTGCTGCAGACGAAATGGCATATCAAGCCTGCCCAAGGAGCGAACCAGACATCCGTCAAGCTGGACCTGAATGTAAAGTTCAGAAATCCTGTCTATGACCAGATGTTTGCACAAGTCGAGGGGAAAGTGGTCAATGTCATGATTTCAGCTTTTGAGAAAAGAGTAAAAGAGCTGGAAGCTGCGAAAAAAGCGACTTGAGGTACGATTTACAATGTTACTTGCTCTATCTCACCCATGACCCTCGCTGATCGGGATGGATGAAGTGACTCGACCCTGGAATGACCTCGCCTGGCACACCACTACTAGCCACACCAAAATACTGGTCATGCAGATATGGATCCTTCGCTTGGCCTGCTCCAGGCCCGACATCGTCTCGAGGCACAGCACTAAGTGGCACGTCCTCTTCCTCGTCATCCCTTGTCGCATGACTCCAACGTCCTTGGGAAATCCCTGGACTCGACTTGTTACCGCTTTTCGGCGTATGCAAGTAGCTGATTCTCTCCATCTCCTGTCCAGCTTCGTCCGGCATCTGCCAATGGTACTGTGAAGGTGGCGTCCGTGTGTTGATGGGGCTGATGTATGAGCTTCCTGGTTCACCTCCCGGATGCCGATCGTGGTATGTCGACATTCGTCCATTAGCTGCCATCTTCTGTCGTCGCTTCTTGGTGAATTTGAAGCAGCAGAAGCACGTTAATCCGAACAGTATAACTCCTCCGACAATTGGAAATGCAACCACCAACCCCAGCTTCCACCCTGTGATACCCGATCTATGTGCTGTGTGGCTGCTTGCTGGGGCTGGCCCTGGTATTGCTGACTCGTTGAATATCGCCCTTCCATCTGGGAAAAACGTCTGGCCTATAGCTGGAGGTTGTCTACAGGCAATGTGCAGCGCCTGCATGAAATTGCCGATAAAAAGCTGCTGCGGTATATATGAGTAGCAGAAGGAGCAGTTGTTGATCCTGTGGTCTCCACCAAAGCCCTGCTTGCAGAAGTCAAGGTTGGGCACCGTCTCGTCCGTCGCCGTTCGCACATCAGGTCCAATCCCAAACGTTGTCGCATTCATCAATGGTGCACATGTTACCTGGCACGGGCTCGATATCGAGACAATCTCTGCCGGATATGCAAACATGCATTCTGAAAGTGTATATCGAAGGTTGACTAGTCGATGGTCAGTGACGTATTCCATCCCATTTGTCTCAACTCTTACATAGTCCCCAGTATACGTCGGATATGTTTGACAGTGTATCAACGGCAGTGCTATTTAAGAGACAGGTTGTACATTCCCGGAACTGATGTCCTGCTCCTGTCTTAAATGCATCGTCCAAGCACACGGTGCCATTCGCGAGGTTGACATCATCCCGAGTACATATCTCTGCGCACGGTGAATCTGGTACGGTCTGTAGGGCTGAAGCTGGAGTAGACAAGGATAGCGACAACAGCACCGTTAGGATGGTGGCGGCGGATAGACTTAGAAAGGTGGAGGATAGGCCATCCCGGTCGGCGCAAGGTCGAGGGAACGGCATGACTGCGCATGCGGTGCGAGATATGAAACACAACTGCACGAAATCAGGAGCGACAGAAACGCTGTGCCTTCATTTCTAGATATCTTGATCTCTCAAGCGCTGATAGATAGTCCGGCGACACAATGAAATGTTACCACGGGCAGAAACGCTTGCAAACATGTCAGCGAGGTGGAAGGTAGTCTGGGCGGCTAATTTGGACCTGACAGACGTCCATCACAGGCACGAGGAGGCCTCCCATGCGGCGGTGGACTAGGCGTGCTGTCTGCATTGCACATCGCACAACTTGCAGCCAGTCGACGCTCATTTTCAGAAGCAGGGTTGACGGACCAAACTTACGGAATAGACATGATTGGCATTTGGCAGGAAAGAAACCACGACAGAGCATTTCACTGGCTCAAACTGATAATCCTTAGCGGCAGCTAATGAGCATATCACAAGCTAACCGAAGCCAGAACGATCCCAGCTCCTCTTCCCTCCCCACTGTCTTTGTACTCTTTCTTTCCGAGCATCAAATTTCCACCACTTGGCTTGACTCATGCTTGTTACACAACTACCGCGAGGTGAACATGCAATGAAACTTGACGTAGCTAGCACTGACTCAGCGCGGAGTACAATCAACGGTGCTACATCTTGCTCACGAATCGTGGACAAAATGTTGCCATTCTAGTGTACGCAACAGTCTACAATTACTTGCTGGTTTTGTACACGAATAACTATCTCACTCGGCAACTCTAAATTCGTACTGGGCGTCAGCCGGTGGAAGTCATTCCTGGATATACGGCATGTGATTCGAGCTCTTGGCGAAAATTCCAAAGGAGCTTCTTCATCGGACGCCACAAGCTCAACCTGGTAAGATGAGCTAGGCGGCGGAGATACGTCAAGATGCTGTTGGATAATTTTCGCCCTCTACTCATGAACTCATGCAGGAACAGATTCTAGTCCGGTGCAAGTCCGCCCATCATAGCTGAAAAGACTACGTAGCCTATATCCCAATTGTCTATCTACCTCAGCGGCGCTCGTTGACTCGGCTGATGTGGTTTTCTCACGCGACCTCTTTTTTTGCACAAGTCCAACTTGCCGTTCGTTCTTGCCCTATGTCTTTAGCAACTGCCTCACAACATGAGCACTCAGCCCAGATTCACACATGAAGTAGGACAAACAACATTTGATGACTTCCACTACCCTTTGATAAACGCTGATGCGATACCGTATGCCTACGATCCTTCCTCACACCCAAATAAACGTGTACGACTTGCTACGACTGGCCTACATGTCGACACAGGACGAGCTTCACAGCTACAATGTGATAGCGTGAGGTCTGCAGCCTCTCTGAATGGTGCCTTTCCAGTTCAATCCGTGGAAAACAGAGGGCTAAGGCAAGAGCTAGAACCGCGCTCAGCATCCGTTCCACCACGCAACAAACCAACAAGAAGGAAAGAGACCGAGCCTGTCACTCAGGGCAGTACCTTTATTCAAGAGTCTTTCGAATTCCCAGAAAAGCAGACATGGCTCAAACCCAGGCCCAGACAACGAAGAGGTGTCATGAACAGCCCTGACGACACCACTCTGTTTCCACTACCACAAAGCAAAGCTCCCGAGAAAGGTGAAGCCCTTTCCCTGGACAAGCACGCAGATAGAATAGCAGCCTTGATTGCTCAGAAGAGGCGGGAAAATGACTCCAAGCTATTTCGAGAACGAATGTCGACGCAGCAGAGGTTACATCGCGGTGTCGACGACCAGGACCGATTGATCGCCGCAAGTCACGATGAGCTTAGAAGGAAAATGGAGCTGAGTGCGAAAGGCATATTCGAGGAGAAACCACCGGATGGCAAAGAGCTCGAGTTTGTATTGGTAGAGTCCTCAATACCAGCTGTACATGAATCTTTACCTATGGACTCGGTAGGGACGACTGGACAACCGATGCTGCCTGAAGATTACTCTTCGGACGACGACATTGATACGAGTGGTCTTCAATATTCGTTCGAATCTGACTTTGTAGAAGAGACTCCCTCAACACGCACTGACGATTCCGATATCGATGAAGAGATTGTGACAGCACATGCAATTGAAGCCTCTGTCCCGCTACCGCAGCCCAATGTTTCGATGACAGCTCCACAGAAGAACCATTTGCATCACAGCACGGACATCGAAACAAATCTATATCAAAGTCAAACAAGCACGACAACCCAGACCCAGATCCACGCGATATCTACATCTACCCGTACAGTTTATCCTCAGTCTCAGCTGTTTTTTGCTCAACCGAGGTTTGCCAACCACAGATATAACAATCCACATATTTGGGATCCATTGCCGACACAGCAGCCTGCACACCAGCAGTGGACAAGTCAGATGTGGCAAGCTCTGCCTTCGGCTCTACCGCTATCATATCAGGCACCGCCTGTTTTGGGAAGCGTCGATACACCACGACCGGAATCTCAAAGCCTTCCGGCTTCCCTGCCACAGCAAACACAAAACCCCGCCTACTTGCAGTCAATAGGCATGACTCAAGACTTTATGCATTCAGTCTCGGACAATTACATCTCCTGTCCACCTACTTTCGCATCCATAGAAACAGATAACAACGTCTACAACCACGGCATTTCTCAGCCTCAGGCAGCTTCCAATTCCCTATCCACCTTCGACCTTCCAAGTGAATCGCATCCAGCTGCCTCCCGATCAAACGTCAATATCTTCACTGGTCAAGCGCGAGAAAACGGAATTATAGGCGGTAACAACAATTGGGCGGAGCCAGTCGGTGAGAAGAGGAAGAACATGTTCTCAAATAGGGCTTGAGTTGGTTAACGAAGCCTTGGGAACGGGAAATAACCTAATTAAACAAACGTGTGTTTAGCGATGGCGTTGGCGGATTATACTGCAATTTCGACATATTTAGAACCAAGTTAGTACTAACATATAATTACTTCCATAAACATTAAGACCAGGATATTGGTAATTTGATAAAGCTAAATGTACATATAACACAAAGCTGTGCTCAAGTAATGAATGTATAGATTCACTCACACAGTGCTCGCTTGCTATACATACTATCTACCACTCATAACAGTACACCTACCACCTTCAAACTTTGACCCGAAGACACACATCATAACACAACGGACACAGTCTCTTCTTCCCGGCTCTTGTCTCACAGACCATGCGTCCTCTTAACCTCCAAGCTCAACCTCCCTGCTTCCGGCCAATTCAACTTCTGCCACTTTTCAGATTCACCGACTGCTTCTAAATAATGCTTCATGGCCAAAACACACTGCTTCGCCCATCGCTCATCGCTTGCTTTCCCGGTCGCTGTTCCGAGAGGAGTCATGAGTATACTTTTTATAGGACTTGCTGCATCTCCGATACCGCCAGTAGCACTGTCACTACTCGTATGTGCCTCCGCACTTACTTTTGGAAGGGAATCGTTATGTTTCTTAATAGCATTGAGGAGTGCCCAGATACACTCATACACCACCTCGCGGTCCCACCTACAATCACTCGGCACTCTCATAGTTGGACATAGTGCCAAGTACTTCGCGCCCCACCCGTCTTTTTCGTATCTCAGTGCTCCCTTCCATTCGTCTGCCATGCGGATGATGTGGCAGTTTCCTGGCGGCAGGAAGCCTAGACATGCTTGGTATAGCTCGGCTTGGACGTGGCGAGTTAAAGCGATGTAGTTGTTCTTGGGACTCCAGGCGCGGGAGATGGCATCGTCGAAGCCGCCGTCGAGGATGCCGTAGCTGTTTGCGGGGGAGACGATGAGGTCGAAGGTGATGTCATGGGAGAGTTGGGAGAGTGCGGTGTTGTGGATTGTGTAAGAGATTTGGTCTGTGAAGTTGTAGTGGTTGAGTGCTTCTTTTAAGGCTTCTGAGGCGGACGTTTGGAGGGCGAGGAGGTGGATGTGCGGAATCAGTGGAATGGAGGAAGCTTCTGAAACCATTTCTTAGCGGGAGGAAGAGACTGGGTGAGAGATCAGGCGGACGAGCAGATGGTATTATTCGATTGTGGTTGATCGTAAGGACAAGTGTATATAGTTGCTCGAGGCAGGCTCCAGTCTTGGCCATATTAGGCAAGCGCAAACGAGCCTTGGCATTTCCTGAGGATCTCGCGGTCTGCTTCTAGCGAACGCCAGCCTTCACAAATTGCTCGAGGTTCAGATGGTCGTTGTATCGCGTGCTGCCATCCTGCTCAACTCGGTCGTTTGAAGCCCATCATGGCCAGGTTGTGTTGTGTCTGAAGTGAGTCTTGCAGCGCCTTTCCGCGACCCAAAGCATCATCCATTCCCAAACCCTCCCCACCAACGGGGACAAACTCTGCATCTTCTGGATCCTCATAAGCATTAACTTCCTTGCCAGTGAAGAAGCCATCCCAAATGCCAGTCTTGCATATCAGAGCGCCAACAAGCACGAGTGGCAACTGCCATACGCTTGCCCAGAAAAGACCCCGAGCGGAGCCTTGTGCACCTTGATGTCTGTAGAAGCGGACTGCCTCTTTTAGCATCCATGCATTACAGCCGGTGGAAATGACAAGATACGCTGAATTGACAATGTTGTAGTAGTACAGCCCGAAGCAGAGTGGGAACATGAGTATACTATATCGCAAAGCAACTCGTGCATTCCTCGCTGGGTTCATCCAGGCAAGCATTTTGTGGCCGGCGTTCTTGTAATCATTTCTGATGGTGTGCGATAGACTGTTGAAGTGAGGAAATTGCCAGGCAAATAGCAGACCTGCAAGCAACCAGCCACCGATGCTGGATTCCGAAAACAAAAGATCCCGCCACGAATGATGCTCGCTTGTGGCTGTTTCACCTGCTGCAGCAGCCCAACCCATCAGTGGGGGGATGCCACCAACTATTGCGCCGACCCAAGTGTTTAACCACGATACTCGTTTCAGAGGTGTGTAGACGAAACCGTATAGGAAGATGTTCAGCCCCGACAGACCCGCAACAGTCGGGTTGGTTCCGAATCCCAGGAGGGCAAGGCCGGTAAGACCAGTGAAGACGGCGAACAGGAGTGCGCCGCGAGATGAAATGAGACCACGAACTAGCGGACGATTCCTTGTGCGTGTCATAAGTGCATCGTACTTGGGTTCGAAGAGCATATTGAAGGCATTGGCAGAAGCACAAGAGAGAAATGTGCCAGATGTTAAGAAGAGGAAGGTCAGAGTACTAGTTGACAAGGTTGTGTTCGTATCAGCCAGGTGAGTAGTGGTCGAGAGAATGTCTGGAATAGGGTAAAGGGAGTAAGCAGAGGTTGTGGTTAACAGGATGAGGAAGGATAGACGTGGTTTCGAGAGGGAAAGGTAGGTTGTGAGGGTGCGTCGAAGCGAACCTGCTTGTAGGGAAGTGGCGGCAGTAGCAAGACGCGAGGAAGCGTCCAGGGGTAGCTGTTCTTCAGTCGCAGAAGAAGTATCAGGAACGTTTGGCTCGGCAGCCTTTTTCTGTAGCCAGCGTCGTCTGTGAGGGCTAATGTGGTCGTCAGGTGCAGCTTCGGCTATTGCGATAGGAGTGACTGGTTCAGGCGTAGCAGTCTCGACGACGACTTGCTTGATCTCGTCTCCCTTCACTTCCATATTCCCTGTCTCTTGCGCAGCTTGGGGCGATCTCTGTATAGTACGCTGCACAGCCAGTAAGCCATTCTTCAGCCATCCACGATCTATTGAATCGTTGGCGGAGAAGTATTCATGGAAAGATGTTTGGGAGTGCACTTGCATGCGCCTCTGTACGTCCTGTTCGGGAATAATTGCGCCATGGATTTTCCTCTTGGTGTGTATTGATGATCTGAACAAAGTCTGGGTTGAGGCTGATATCGATGGTCTGGAGAGCTGTGCTATACCTCTCGAGCAGGCTCGAGTTGCGATTGACTGCATAATGAGGCTAACGAGACCTCAGTACGAGGTCGCTCCGATATTAGGACAGCATGTCTCGATCTGGCGCAGGCGTGCGAGACAGCAACAAGTGCTGTACCTTTAGCGAAATGAAAGTATGGTATGTGGCACACTTCGTTGGTAGATCAAGGAATCTGAGAAGATCTGGTGATGTCGCTGATTGCATGTCCCGAAGTTTCTCCCCGCAGAGATGCGCAGCCACGACAGGTGCGATGCATGCGCGTGCCTGCCCTTCCAGAATACTGCTTCAAGCCACTCTTGCACTGAGAAATCCTCATCTACTGGTGCAGTAGGCCACCATGTCTACACAGAACAGCAGACCGGCAGGCGTTACGACAGAGACACAGTCTACAGACCCGACAACCAGAGGATTGGAAGACCTGTTGCGTCGAGCACAAATACTAAATGGAGCGCTCAACTCGTGCGCAAGAGATCTGGGTGCTAACAGCCCGTTGCTTTCCTTCCCTGTTATGCAGGCTAGACTAACGCAGATCCAAGAGGAGTTCAATCGATTTGTGACGGCCATGAGTAAACATGCCCAGCTACTTCAGACTACGGTGGTCACGCCAACCCCGAACTTTCCAGCTCCATATCACGCCGGTATAGTTGATGTACTGTTCAGGACACTCCACGATCCTCAAGTCAATGATTGGGAGGATCGCGGAGTCAAAATGGCCATAGACAGGGAGAACAGGCAGGACAGAGAGCAGAGAGATGGTAGGATGACTACTCTCTCCAATACAGACCGTGAGCTGTTCTGGCAACAGGCTCATCGTATTTTCAAGAGAGAAGGCAACGGCCACGCTTTTCCTGCTGCTGACAACAACGACTTCACCCTCGAAGAAGTCCGAGACGGTATCGAAAATGTGAGGCATGGCCTGAAACGTGAACTTGTCGTCCCTGATCCTGACGATTATGTCTTACCAATGGAAGATGAGGACGAGGACGAAAACAGAGGCATTCTTGGGGATGATGCTGACGACGACAGCGAGGGTGAAGACGCCGCCGTTGACGACGATACCATGGCTGTCGATCAGCCTGCATCGCGTTCTAAAGCATCTGCAACTTCACATCTTGCTAATCTTCCAGACTCCATGCCAATCGACAATGTGCTGAGATTCATGACCAAAGGCTGACCGTAAAACTGAACAAATGGAAAGCGTTGTAAATGCTTGCAAGATCAATAATCCGACGCGTCTCCGAGCCTCGGCTATGCAGGGATTTCGCGCCTGCAAGAGCTAATTTGTCCATACACTGCTTCTTCAAAGCAGCAGTTCTTTCTGTTTGCGCTACTTGCGCTGTCGTGGAGTCCTACAGTCTTCTCTGGAATTGACCCTCAACTATATTGTCGCTGCAATCAATATGGCTGAAAAGCATGGTCAAGAGACGTCCCTCCGAAGCATCACTCGCGACGAGGTGGCCAAAAACAATACTGAAGACTCGTTATGGACGATAGTAGACCACAAGGTCTACGATCTGACCGACTTCCTTGAGGCTCATCCTGGCGGTAACGTCGTCCTCCAGCAATATGCTGGGAAAGATTCCACCACAGCCTTCTACAATCTGCATCGCCATGAAGTCCTGCAAAAGTATGCCGACCTCTGTATCGGTCTTATCGAAGGTGAAAAGTCAGAGGTCGTCGACATGAAGCCCGGTGATCTCTCGCCAGTGCCATATGCAGAGCCGATATGGTTGACACCCGCCTTCAAGAGTCCTTACTACAAAGAAAGTCATCGACAGCTGAGACGCGAGCTACGGGTATTTGTGGACGAGCATGTCAAGCCCGAGGCACAAGAGAAAGAAGCAGACGGAACCTACATCAGTCAAGAATTGACCGACAAGATGGCTGCAAATAACCTGCTCGCTATGCGCTTAGGCCCCGGCAAGCATTTGCACGGAAAGAAGCTCCTTGGTGGAGTTAAAGGAGAGGAGTTTGACTACTTCCACGATTTAGTCATTGCCCAAGAATTCGTGAGAGTGAATTCGCGAGGTTTTCAAGACGGCGCTTTCGCCGGCATGATGATCTCACTGACAGCTATCCAACAGTGGTTGAACAACGACAGTCTCAAGCAGAAAGTCACTGACGAATGCCTGTCTGGGAAGAAGTTCATGTGTCTCGCAATCACAGAAGCCTTCGCAGGTTCCGATGTCGCCGGACTGAAAACAACCGCTGAAAAGACCCCAGACGGCAAGCACTACATAATCAACGGAACCAAGAAATGGATCACAAACGGCATGTTTGCAGACTACTTCGTAACAGGCTGCAAAACATCAAAAGGTTTCTCAGTCATTCTCATCCCCAAGGAAGGAAACGAAGACAACATAACCGTCAAGCGCATCAAGACCGCCTACTCAACCGCCGCAGCGACAACTTACATCCAATTCGAAAACGTCAAAGTCCCCATCGACCATCTCCTCGGCCGCGAAGACAATGGCTTCATCGTCATAATGTCCAACTTCAACCACGAACGCTGGATGATGGCCTGCGGCGTCACCAGGTGGATGCGCACCGTAACCGAGGAGTGCATGAAGTGGTCTAACCAGCGTCTTGTCTTTGGAAAGCCTCTCAATCAGCAACCAGTCATACGACAGAAGCTCGCAAAGATGATCAGTCTGACTGAGGCGTGTCAAGCACAACTCGAGATTATTACGTATCAGATGAACAACATGACTTATGCGCAGCAGAACAAGCTTCTAGGAGGACCTATTGGGTTGTTGAAGAGCTATGCGACGAGGTGTGCGCATGATATCGCGGATGATGCGGTTAATATTTTCGGTGGTAGGGGTATTACACAAGGTGGTATGGGTAAGGTAGTGGAGCAGTTTCACAGGACGTACAAGTTCGATGCTATCCTGGGAGGCACAGAGGAGATTCTGGCGGATCTTGGCGTGAGGCAGGCGATGAAGTTGATGCCAAAGGCAATGCTGTAGGTTAGATAGAAGCCAAGGATTTCTTATCGTCTCGCGTACCTAGGTACTTGCAACAAGTTCATGAAGTCTATCAAATAAGTATCGTCTCTCTAGGGTTGAAGTCTATGGTTCTCTAAGCTTTTCATCTGGTTCATGCAGACTGTGTCAGTATCAGACATCCAACGTTATGCACAACGCTAATCCACCGTGGAAGTCAATTTGATCAATGCGCAACACCATTCTGGACACCTGCTGCCGCCGCGTCATGGAAGAGATCAATGCAACATCCAGCACTCCAGGCCTGTGTCGGACTTGAGTCACCACAGAAACTGCCGTCTTTGTTGGTGAGCTCCGTCAGACCTCTCCATGGCGATTCTTTGATGGCGGCCTTGCAACCAGCAAGCCGTCGGGCTACTTGTTGGAATGACTCAAGCCTGCCTTCTGGAGTATCCCGTCTCATAAGGTCGAATTTCAGCAGTGCACGGAGGAAGAATCCTGTGGGCCATAGCCATTCAGGCCCTTGATGGTAGTTTCTGCCTTTGCTAGTGGCGAAGTCCGTGCTATCCTCGGAGTTGTTGTAATAAGGTCTGTAATTCATGTCAGACGGGTCCAGGGTGGCCATTCCAGTTGGACCTCGTAGCGCCTCATCTGCTATCTTCAGTGCAATTAGAGCTCGTTCTGGAGTAAACAGATCTGGTGCAACAGTCATGGCAATTGGGAAATTGCAACGCAGTTGGTAATCCTCATAGGGCTTGCCTGACTTGTAAAGGTCCTTGTAAATGCCTCTTCGGTTGACGATGTTTGAGTCAACGTCAAAATCACTGTCCTCTGATGCGTTCGCTGGTACCCAGTAGCACCTCTCGAAGGACGACTTGATCTTGCCAGCCCAAGACTCGTAAGTGACGGCTTGATCTGTTGGATCCTTGACACCTGACCAGGGGAAATTTCCAGATGCGTTGAGCTCGGCCACCCAGCGTATGGCACTGTATGCAAGGCCTGTAATTTCAACAGCTGCACCATCTCGAGGCGTACCTGGAACACCCTTACTGCCGGCTTTGTCTGATTCGCCCATCTTATCCATCCATGTACCACAATTGTGTTGACTACCACCAAATATCATACCAGTCTCCCAGTCAACATTGATGTCGATTTGGAATCCTTCCGGCTTCATCTGCATATCGAGGTTAGGCCCAGCGTTGTATTCCTCGAAGGAAATGCCAGATGCGTGTCTTTGCAGTATCTCTTGAATTATCTCTTCAATGGTGGATTCCTTTGAGTATGCTTGTGGATCATCGTGTGAAAACCATGTATCGTCGTAAGGCAGAAAGCGTCGTGGCACCTTCTGCTTGAGCAAAGACATTCCATCGGGCACGATCTTGGTATAGTCTTGGATGTTCTGAAGAAACCACCAAGGCCCATCTCGGCAGTTGTAACGCGGATTGGCTCCGCCACTTAGAAGATTAGGTATGAGACCATGCTTCAAAACACTTCCAAAGGCTATGATATGTTCTCTTGCTTCGTCATAGCGTCCAGTGCACAGGAAGAGGCCTCTGAGGGAAATGAAAACATCTCTACCCCAGCATCGTGCCCACTCCACAGAGAAATGGGGCAGGCCCGCAGCAAGGGAAGGTACTTCCTTGTTCGGCCACAATGAAGCAGATTTGACGTAGCCAGTTTGCTGGGCGCTGACCATTGCCAGTTGTTGTAGGAAGAGCTGGCCATTGCTGATATCTGCATTGAACAGTTCAAGACCTCGTCGAATAGCAGCCTCGTACGCCGTTTGCATGATCATAGCAAAGTAATGAGGCAGAAGAAAGCTGGGCACTTCGCGCACAGCCTCGAACCTTTCTCTAAGCCATTGTGCGGGCTTGTTCAGTCGTGAGAAGCGCTCCTGTTTGGCGATACGTTCCATCCTGTTCACAATGAAATCAAGCGCCCAAGGTCCATCTCTTAGATGATTGCATAGTGGATGACCTAGGTTGTTCTCTTGAACGATAGGCTCGAGCACACTCCACCAGCCTTGTAAACCAGCATAAACAAGAGGACCATGATCAGGAATGGTGTATACACCATCTTGCCCGTTACTGGAGTCTCGTTCTTCGGCTTCGCATCTGTACAACACAAAGTTGAGGTCGATCAAGTCTAGCTCACCAAAAGCTTCATCAGTACCACTAGCAATGAAGTTGTTCAGGCCGGCAGAATGCTCGGCTGACGGTACCCATGTCTCAAAGAGTGCAACGGAGCCTGGTGGGAAGTAGTCATCGACATGTATGACTGTGCTCCCGTTCTGAGACTCGATCGTTGCGCCCTTAATATTCTTGACCCGTGCTGGTAATCCACGTAGAAACTTCTCATCGCTAAGAGCCTTTTGTTTAGCATCACCACTTTGATCGACTTCAAGAGTCCAGGCGCCAACTTGCCTAGCTTTCGTGCCGGCAAGATGGACAGGTCGCAGTCCACCATTACCATTACCATAGCCCGGAAATGCTGTATGCGCTATCAGGAAGTATCCTTTCCGTGAGCCAGGGTGGACACGATGCAAAGTGATCAGCTCACCCTGATGATCTAGGAAAGTCTCAGAGTAGCCGTCTTTACCCATCAACGTATGAATATGATTGAACAACTTCTTGACACCGGCAATACCACCCTCGCCAGCACCAATATTGACTTCACCTTCGGAGCTAACAGAGGTGTATAGTCTGTGCTCTTGCACAATCTCTACAATTTTTGGGTATATCTCGTCAAACCCTATCACGCTACCAGTGGCACAACCACACATGTTGACCAAGGCTGCTGTTGGTAAGGTGTCTCGAGCATCTCTCTTTTGAGCAGGCATCTCGTTGTCGTGAGTGCAGTCCATGAACAAGGCATGCACTGGGCTTTCTCGAACGTGCTTTACAATCTCCTTTGTGAAACACGAGTCACCGTTGACAGCTCCATTCATTGGGGATTTTGATGGCGTTGGCAGGTCGATCTCGAAGCTGCCTATTGGTCTGCCGCAATGACGATGAACAATTCGACTCAGCTCTTGGGTGCTCCAACACTGCATAGCCTCTCGAATAAGAGCACTAAGACCCAGTCGCTTGATGAAGACAAAATCAGTTTGCTCGTTGTTTGTGAAAAGCTCGGCGAAGATGGCAAGATCCGACCTTTCTTTGCGTGCTTCGTCGAGCATGTATTCTGCCACGTGGATCGGCGTAGAATGGCAATTGTCGATTCGAAAAGCTGTAAAATATTTGGCCATGAGACGACAATACTCAGCCATAAAGCTCCACAACCACGGATTGTCCTTTTGGCTCTTGCCATATCTGAGCTTGACGCAATCGCTCCAGGGGATAAGTTCTCGTCGAAGATATGGCCGCCAGTCTGGACCTGCGTTGTCTTTCATGGCGTCAGCAGCCCAGATCCAGCCATTGACTGCAAGTGCCAATGCTCGTGGATCGTGCTTCTTTGTTTTCTCGTTATGTGGCAGCCGTGCAAAGTATGTCTCAATAAGAGGGTTTTCTTTCGTGATTGGCCCGAGTTGCGGACCATGATCATCGAGTCGGGTGTACTGGAGACGACCCTTGGTCTGCTCAACTATGGCGTTGGAGTCTTCATCATATTCCTTGTAGAAGGGCAAGTTGAGCTCGTTAAGCACTGACTTCATAGTCTGTAATGCCTGATCTTCGGCATCTGCGGAGTGCGTTCCACGTAGAGCCGTCAGCAGAGCTGCGGCGACCTCTGGATCGACCTTTCTGGAGAACCTGCCATCAATTCGGAGACCATTTAGTAGTCCATGGTTCCTCAAATAGTTGGCTTGTTCATAAAGAGACCAAGATGACGCAGCATCTGTCGAAGGACCCGATTGCTTGGTTTTGCCTTGCTTCCAGCTGTCGACGGCAGCTTGTGCATCTCGGGGCACGTCGCAAGCAAAATACTCCCACAACCTAATCTTGTCTATGACATGCTCCTTGATTCCTGTGCATACCTTGTTCAAATCGTCAGCGTTCTTCAGCTCGGTAGGCATACCAAGATCAGCCAGTTTGTCACTATAGCCAAGTAAAGCATCATCCACAGCAAGGGCAGACTCTAGCCAAGGACAATCCACGACGTTATAGCCAGCCTCCGGATGATCCTGTAACCATTCACTGTTGTTTGCTGTATGATTGAGCACGATATCAGTCAGTGAGAGAAGCTCGTATTCATCCTCCATCTTTTTGATCATGGCTGCAACGTCCGACTCGCCTGCAGGAAACATATCGGGATCCCAGGACAGCTGATCGTAGAGACTGTAGGGCGAATTTGACTCGCCTCTTTTTTGTAAGGGCGTGAAATGTACCATGTTGTAGCCTCTTCTGCTGATACCTCGCAGGTGTTTATCCCAGTCCTCCGGATATTTTCCCAAGAATTTGGAGACGACTGACATGATTCCAAGCGAGTCAAGAGGCAGCTTGGAGCCACCAACTGACAGTTGCGGCTCGATGTCGATGTAGTAAGTGTCTGTTCTCGTGGGATCTGGGGTCTTGACTGCATTTGTGTCAAAGGCCGGCAGAGGAGTGTACGTTATATAATAAGCGAATGCACCGGCCATGGTAATAGGCAAGTCGAAATGCAAGGTCTTGTTGAAGTCCGGCTGCAGTTTGAATTGGCGGAACTTGTTCCTGTCGAACTGTTCTCCCTCCGCAGGGATGTTCACCCACAGGCTGCCTTCGCGACATATCGAGCTCGTACCCTCGATAGCAATTCGGAGGTGATAGGGTGGATTTGTCGGTGCTGGGAGGTAGACGTATTCGCGAGGGACATCAGGCGCACCAACGTCGGTGAGTGGCAGCTTGTATATCGTCCGACTTCCTTGTCGAGTCTGCGGAGGTGCCATTTGTGTAAGATATAGATGTGGCTACTGTACAGACACAACTGCCAATGACGACGACTGAAAGAATGTGGTAAGTCCCAAAAGCTGTGACGAGTACTTTGTCTAAAAATGCACAAAGAAGCGACGACGAACAACTTCCAGCAACTTGAAGCCCACAAAGCTGAATTCAATGAAACTCAAAAAAAATGTTGGAAGCTGCGACGCGCGAAAAGAGTGAGTCCACGACTGCGGTAGGAATCCTTCGCGAAAGCTTGTGATGGAAACCACGTTCCGCTTCTTTCAAACTCACGCGTGCCTTGTGTGCCTTGTAGGTGCTGTATTGTACCGTCGCGTAATCATTCGCAGCTTGGAGAGAGGTGTAAGGCTGTTTTGAGTATAGAAAAAAGCTACTGTTGTAGATTTGCCCTCTTAGGCAAGGATCGCTCCAATCCCCAACTGTCAAGCACACGAAGTAATGTGCCATGTGCACGGAAATGCACAACTCCCACTAACGATGCCATCATGATCCGATCGGCTACCGGATGAATCACCAGTGGACGGGCGGCACCGGCTCAGTTGAACGAGTCATGGTGCATGCACCAACTCAAACATTCAACAGCTCAAGAAGTCTGCATTTGTTGCTCTCACCTCGTGGGCGATTCAGCGGAGCCAGACTCTTTTGATGTGTCGAGTACTGTATCGGAACTTGCCATGGACGATCGTTGAGCTTGCAAACGATAGAAAGTAAAAGCTGTTGTTAACAAACATTTCGAACAGGAACTAATCGTACAAACCCAATCTGTCTTGCACTTGCAGGTGGTATATTGCTGCCTCAGGCGTCAGAACAATGGTTATGGCGCAGCTTTCGGCAATAGCCATAACGTCGGTGTAACACAGGTTCTTTTGGTTCCTGTAGTACTGTACATAGACCCTACTTCACCTGTTATTCGGCTGCTGTCCCACCAGCTTTCTAATAATCCATACTTTTTTCGGGCTTGCACACATGGCAGCACGACTGACCATTGTGATTGCTCGTACCCAATGTCAATAAACACTCTAGCTCGAAACGCATGACATTACATGGAAATGCTTCTACTCTACCATAGTACCACACGTCCAAAGAATACCAGATGCTCATCGGCTTTAGTTCGTCTTTGGAAAGCTGAGCTAGTTAGGATCAACATACATCGGCACTTCTGAATTGTCACGAATTTCCTTGGCTGTCATATAAAGTTCCCAGATTGTGCTGTTAGAGTCTTCCTTTAAGTTTCACCAGCACACGGAATGGATGCTCTGCCGCTGGCCCCTCTTCATACAAGGAAACTGGTGGAGCAAGGTGCTCTGGAGGAGCAGGCCATAACCAGCCACAACTTCGTGCCTGGCGCTGGTGCGAAGCGCTTGCAACCTCGTATCTGAAGATCATCTCGGTTGAGCTCGTCATCGCGCTCTCATAAGGTTGCGTTGCGTACGAGATTAAAAGGACGAGCCGCCAGCGCCGGACTGCGAACATCGCTCCAGTCACGGTAGCGAGGACTGCATTATATTCAGTGTGACAGCCGACGTGTCTGCAGCACCTTTGTGTGGACCACCAGATCCCAGCTAGCATAGGACAAAGTGGAATCCCTACTAACTGCATCGATTGTGACCAACATGCCATTCTTAAACTCCTTTTCAATCAGCACGGTCGTGACCGGGTTGATATATGTGCTGCGACTTCCGAGCATTCGCTGAAGAAAATTGCTTGACGTTAGCCTTCAGCCCACTTCAATCACTACTTTATCGTCTTCCTATCCAGGCTCTGCATCGTGAGCTGCACGAAAAACCTCCATCCTAAAGTTCACGTTCTCACAATCTGTGGGGCACTTTGGAGAAAGGTAGTATCGACCCTTAATCCAATATGTCTGCTCCAAACTCCGACTCGAAGGAAAGTGCAACATCGCAAAACATCCATGAACATGACGAAGATCAATTCTGGAAGGCGGCTTCGGTAGACATAGAATACTGGAAAGTTTACCTGGATGCTCGACCCAAATACCATACTGGTAAATTCTACGATCTCATCTTTGATTACTATCGCTCCCACCGCAGTGGATCTCCATCACTTCCGAGTGTTGCCCACGACATTGGTACAGGTCCAGGACAAGTTGCAGGAGTCCTGTCGAATCAATTTGGAGAGGTCATAGCAAGCGATTTGAACAAGACCCATCTGAGTGCTGCAGAGCATTTCCTCAAGCTTGATGGAAAGAAGAATATCACCCTACAACATGCAGGTGCAGAGGATGTTTCAAAACACTTTGCACCCTACTCGGCCGACTTTATTGCTGCTGCAGAGTGTATGCCTCTCTTGAACATTCCAGCTGCCCTCACTGGTTGGGCTACCCTGCTCAAACCGAATGGCACCCTAGCTATGTGGTTCTATGGCCGACCTACCTTTGCAGACGCCTCCGACTTTGACGTGGCTGCCTGCAACGAAATCTATGGCAAGATTGCGAACAGAGCTTTTCGACCTTTCTACGATGTGCAGGGTCCGAGATTGGTCAACGTTCGCAAAGCAACGGACACGATGGTCAGCTGGCTTGACAACATCGAGCTCGACTCAAGCATCTGGACCGATGTGCATAGGTGGAAATGGAACAGCCATCTACGGATGGAGTTCTCGGACGCCGAAGACCTAGGCTGGCCTAGAAATCACATTGACAAAATTCAGCCTGGTGAGAAGGTCGAAAACATGTCTGATACATCCCTCTGGAGTGAAACTTGGAACATTGAGGATTGGAAGTCGTTTCTGAAAGTGAATCTGCCTGCTTTCAGTGGTGAGTGGGATGACACAACGCAGGGGATGTGGCAAGAACTGGCGGATAAAATGGGTGGGCCAAGCGAGAAGCGCAAAGTCATCTGGCCTGTAGTTTGCATTGTTGCAACACGTAAAAGCGATCGAAGCGCTTCGTTCTGGGCATGATAGCTGCTTGAACTCTTAAGCGATGCGGTGTTCATTGCTGCTCACACGTTTGCTGTGGGCGCCTCGATGTCTTTGCAATATTCACTACTGGCTGAGGACCTAGCTAAGTCGAAGCCTCTAGTGTTTGGACAGCTGAATAACAAAGGTCCTGTGACAAATCTGATTACTCGTAGTTGAACATCCAATGCTTCTCTAGACTATATCCATGCAGTACATTGTACGGAGTCACTACGGCATAGGTCAAAGATACTGTATTCTAATGGGGCCGAAACTCTCCCCTCTTTACTGGCGGAGAATAAAATTAACACCTTTTTATGTAGCTGGTACACCTAGCAGCTCATCTGCTCAATCCTCTACGATAACACACTTGATTTGTAGGGCATTTCTTTTGGGCAGCCGTCGTTGCATAAAGATTCCATTGAGTATATGTAGCGAACTGCTCAGATGCTAACGAAAGAATTCCGCCTGCTGATCGCGTGAGTCACAGACTGGTTGAATACAAGAATGCCTCACTCCCAGGGGAGATCTGTGACTTCCAATCGAAGAAAATTGCTCTACATAGATTGCTTACTCTGTTTCTGACCTGCATGAGACCCGGCTAACTGAATCTGCCATGATCGTTGTGCATGCTACCTGAACTGGTTGTTGTTTGCTTGCTGATTGAAACAAATAGACCTACTTACTACTGAAGAAGTGCAGGACTATTGGTTTATGACATTTACACTCTATCCGACAGGGCAATATATTGACCGTACGATCATGGGTGGGCATGCCTTTGCCCTAGATGGCCTCTCAACACCACGTATTTCCACAGCAGTGTACGCGAGAATTCTTCCACTGATCGAGCATCGACTGGCTGCTCACTTCGACATCGTCACACATGCGATAGAAGCGCCAGCGAAGCAGGACTATGGTGACATTGACCTCCTGACGGTACCACTGCTGAACTCACGACCGTCCACGATAGAGATTGCGAGACTTCTCCATGCAGAGAGGTACTATTCAGCTGATCGATCGAACGGCGTCCTTCACTTCGCTATACCCTGGCCAGATAATCCTTCAGACATTGACAATCTCTTCACCTCCACAGAGAAATCTGACTGGAAAGGAATGGAAAGTGTTCGAGCAACAAGGGAGCTTCAACCAGCTCAGCCTAGTAACATAACCACAATCGAGTCTCCCCATGCACGAAAGTACTTTCAAGTCGACCTCACAATCTGCGATTCTCGAGACGAACTCCACTGGCGCCTATTTGCCCTTGGCCATGGCGATGCAGTCAATATACTCAGCAGCATGATCCGCCACAAAGGCCTCACACTCACAACCAAAGCTCTCTATCTTCGAATCCCAGATATCGACACTTCCAATCCCAAGATCAAGCGCATTGAACTCTCACGAAACTCAGACCAGGTCTTGAAATTTCTGGGAACAGATACGAGCAAATTCTGGAAAGAGTTCGGGAATCTAGATGACTTGATGGCATATCTCTCAACCTGCCGATTCTACAATCCGCAGAGACTGAAGGAGGCCACTGAGGAAAAGAGGCAGGAACTTATAGTGGCTAGCCTTAATTCCAGGGACAAGACTCACTTGGACGTCAGACCAGTGTTTCGGTTTTGGTACGAGAAGTTCTTACCTGAGCACGAGAACGATACGCCAAGCGTTGATGCGCTCATGAGTAGGGATGAGGCCAGAGTTGAGACCTTCAAGTTCTTCGGCGGGGACACAAAAGAACGTTATGAAAGTACCAAGAAGAGAGTTGGAACGTTGGTTGCACAAGACAAGCTCTGGGTGAACTTGAGACGGGATATCCTTGCGCAGGAGGGAATGACTGAAGCAGACATAGATGTCACTATCAGGGCAATAAGGAGGGAGATCGTACCTGCGGCTTCTACGACTTTGACCAGCCAACAATTGAATGGTCTGCAAAGAGCTTACTTGGAGTGCGATTGGGCAACTGTGTACGACTGGGCAATAACCTACCACACTGCTGCCGTTGCTCGATGGTACGCTGAGATTGAGGAAAAGCGAAAGAAGCCTATAGCGATCGATGTGAAGAAGTCGAACAAATTCTCACAATCGGAGCTTGAGATTTACTCCGCAGAGGACGACATGCTCATCGTGAGTATGAAGGCTGCAGAAGCCACCTGGATTGATATTCTGGCTGCACTTGGGAAGACGAGTAAGAGTCAGTTGCAGGCGCATTGGAAGAAGAGTCTGCTGCAGCAGAAAGTTGGATCTTGAAGTAGACATTCATAAAGACAAAGACAGATCGTATCTCACATATCAATAGCAGGGATTCTCCAGGTTTTCGTTCTGCATTCCGAGCTCCCAATACCATGTTTGCAAGTAACTCCTTGACACTACCAGTCGTGATACATCGACCTTATCAAAATAGTACACACACGGAACTCCTCCATTCTTGAACACGTAGCCGGGTCCGTCAAGTGACCGCCAAGTACTTGTCAATACTTGGTACTCGCGCTCACAGAGACACATCCACGGATATACAGCGTCTGCCACAAACTTGGCAGAGGCTCGTTGAAACTTGGCAAAAGACGACGCGGCATGCGTCAATAGCATCTCGGCTGCAACCTTCGCTATCTGTGGGCCCACGGTTCTGCGACAAAATGCCGATTCGTGCGCACTGTCCATGTGCAACCACTTTTGGACTGCAGGACGTTGCCGTGGTGTCCGAAGCATGCAGGACCTTACATGATATCGTCGGCCTCGAGTCTGTGTGATCGAAAAGCTAGGAAGTAAGGTCTGTTACGTCGCAGAGGCATCGCATGCCAGTCATATACGAATTCGTCATCACACGTACCGGCAATGGCAGGGTTAGATTGCCATCACTGATATTCCATATTTTCTGGGGTGAGTAATCTTACAATGCAATCAATTTCATGGCCATGGTGGAATCGCGACTCTGTTAGCCCGAGGCTTGTCTTGCGATCTATCCACTGAGATCGAAGTCCGACAGCTTCAGTGACGACATGTCGCTCGCTGCAAGGAACTGGAAGGCCGCTGCTCGCACCAAAAAGAGGCTGGTGGATGGCTGTCAACGCCAAAACCATCGACGGAAAAGTTAGGCTTGCTTTCTCGTGGAGAGCGTTGTTGATTGCGCGTCAAAATTCAAAAGATTTCCAAGCCTGAACCCAAGAGCTCGCCACGCCGCTACTCGTAGTAACCGCTTGTTGATGGATATCTGGATTTGACAAACAATACTCAGCCATGCGCCATATCTTGCCCCCAGCTTCTTACTGTCTAAACTTCATATCATGATACGGCGCCTGTTGTAGCTTCCTATCTATTAGGTGGTGGAGAGTTCTTTCCTTCGTTGTTACTTTGAGGCAGAGATAGCACTCATTGTCTGCCGCCACACTCGCTGTTCGTCTCATTGACGAGGTCTGTCGTGTTTGGAGTTGAGATTTTGGGAAGCAGACCATGGCTTCAACCTCATTTTGGGCTCTTGGCTCCTCATTATTATCTATCGCTGCTGCACATTCGACGTTGCAGTTACAACTATCAGACTCGTTACCGGAATCACATTCTGCTTTCATAAGCCCTTCGTTTGCTGGATTTGGTATAGAACCATCGAACCTCTTCTCCTTCACTGGCTACGACACTCCTAATGAACTGACGTTCAACCTGATTGACAACCTGGTGAGCTATGCTGGAGCTCCACCACACTTGCGAATAGGAGGAAACACGCAAGATTACATGGTGTTCAGCGAAGATCAACAACAATACACATGGATTATCAATCCCAATGCGGTAGGACAGGGTGCGTTCGCCAGCGACCACATGTTGATTGGCCCAAAATTCTTTGAGGTTGCCAACAGGTTTCCAGAAGGCACACCAGTAACATGGGGACTGAACCTGGCATATCAAGAACCAGACTATATTGAACGATTAGTCACAATGGCACAGCAAGTGATTTCAGGCATTCCACGTCTCAATCTTGTCTCGCTGGAGATTGGAAACGAGCCAGATCTGTTCGCGCAGAATGGATTCCGAACAGGACCTTGGGGTGGTGATGTCTATACCGATCAATGGTTGGACAGAGCAAGCGCATTGTATACTCAAGTCCTGCAGCCGGCTGGTCTCCCAAGTAACTTCTTTGAGCCTGGCGCTACCGCATCCACCATCGGCACGTCGTTTCAGATCCAGGAGCTCGAAACCCTCGGCATCGCAGTCCAAGCTAATGGCTCGAGCAATTCCTACATCCGGTCCTGGAATCAACACGATTATTACTACTACATTGGTGTGTCGACATATCCACTCACGCTGAATCATTTCATGACTCTGTCGACGACCCAGGACCAGTTCAGAGATTGGGAAAGACAGATTCAGCAGGCACACAACACACCTTATCCTTACGCGTTGAGGGAGATGGGTGTGGTTGGCCCTATTGGTCTGGAAGGAATCACCAACACATTCGGTGCTGCTCTGTGGACGTTGAACTTTTTCCTCTACACTGCCACTCTGAACATCACCTCAGTCCAGATGCATGTCACCGACAACAGCAATGCCAGTGCTTGGCAGCCAATTGAGATGTACAACCGACAGCCATTTGTGCGTCCTAACTATTATGGATTCGCAGCTTTCGATCAAATCATTGGACCGTCGTGCCAGGCTCAAATTGCTCCATATGATATTGCGGCATACCCCGAGAACTACGGTGGTCGCATTACTGCCTACAGTGTGTACCAAAACGGAGCTTTAGATACGATTGTGGTGATTAACGCGAATATGGCCAACTCGTCCGAGTCAAATAAAGCCAGCGTTACAGTCCAACTGAGTCTGCCTAGCTCACTTTCGGGGCAAGTATTGCACCTCGCTTACCTCAGCAGCACTGGCGCTGATGCAACATCTGGCACAACTTGGAATAACCTTGACTTTGAGCAAAGTGGCAACGGCAGGCCTACCACGGTGAATGATGGTCTTTCTGGCCAAACAGTCACGGTAGCCAGCGACGGTAGTGTTAGCATCACAGTACGTGACAGCCAAGCAGTCGCAGCCAAGATAGGGTCTCAAGTCGGTACAGGGACTGCCAACCCATCGGCGTGTGCAGCCATCGCCTCGCAGTCTCCTGGAATAGGATCCACGTCGACTACGAGCTCGAGGTCTAGTGCTAGTAGCACGAATGCTGCGTCTAGCATCCGTCAGCCCAGCATGTCTATTACTGGTTCGTCTGCAAGCGCTACTGCCACGAACGGAGTGAGACGCATTTCAGCAATTATCTTCAGCACAATGGGTGCGGCACTCATCAGTGGCGCCCTTATACTTTGGACTTGATCAGTATCAACGACTGACTTGGTAACGACATAGCCACTCTTGGTTCTTGGAGGATATCACTAACCTCGAGGATGGACGATATGAATACAAAGTAAGAGCTCGACCAGAGAGCCACAACCTTCATGTGAATAGTTTGAGGGATGATAGCGTACTGCATTTGAGGAAGGGCCACGCAACCATTGCGCAGTTTGGAGTTTGGGTTAGCATGAGGAGTGCTCAAAATAGACGATAGAAGTAGCTATCTAATGATGAAAACTAATGAATGCCTGATTCATTTTGAAAATCCTGTGTCTCGAATTTAAGTTCCAGTTGTTCACGCACGGTTCGCATGAGCTGTGGGTGGTGGAGTCCTTAGTTCCATACCCCCACAATTTGGTATGGGATAAGTCTGCACATGTCGAAACGTAATATCTCGACAATCCAGACTTCGAGGTCGACGATAACCACAATGTCGTCCCTTCCGTCCGGTCATCTCGCTCAACGAGACTTATGTCACTTGTCGCATACGAGCTAGCGGCTAGTAGCATGGCACCTTGAACGTGACCGTACGCCCCGACACCAAAAAGCCACGAGAAGACCTGTAAGCTCTACGACCGACAACTACACCAGTACCACGATGAACAACGAAACAAATGAGCATGTTACCAAGCCCCGATATATCCTTGGTGGCCTCTCGAGCTTCATACCTCTTCAGGATGAGCACAACGCCATAGTGTCGCGCGGGCAGCGTGTACCTTCACTGATACAGTCTCGTGGTTCAGAACGGAACCTCTTCTCCCTCGGCAGGCGCAATCGTGCCTTCTCTACGTCTGATGATGAATCGATAGAAGCAACCGCAGCTTTGGACTCTCCAGCTAGACGACCGATTCTCCGGCATGGCCACACAACAATCGATCGCGATCGTGACCTCGACCTGAATGAGGAGCGCAGGATGACCCATGCTGCTGAGGTTCTCATGACGCCTCATATGCGCAGCATGCGACTCATTGGATCCAGTAATCCACGGTACCGCTGGCAGCAATACTACAAGACGCCGGAACAACTAAAACAGTATCGCAAACCACTTCGTCAGTACTACGAGCGAGTGAACTTCCTCATTGCGCATTACCTTTACATCGATCGGTTGCTTGATTCGAGTCTGATACACAAGCTGATGTCGGAGTATCAAGATGGCGAAGCAGAAGAGAGACAAGAACTACAGCCTATCAAAGAACAACAAGAGGAGGCTGCGTCACCAATGATGAATGGTGATTCGTTGTCAGACATTGATGATGACAGCAAGAGGGGTGCACGTGCAGAGGACCAGCGACAGCGACAGCGACAGCAATCCCAATCACAGCCACAGCAAACCAAGAAGATGAAGCGGACACCGAAGAACTTGTACAAGATTCCTGATGAGCAGTCGCCTTTGCTTCAACAAGAAGAAGAGGGTGATGTCGAGGCTCAGGAAGACGAGGTCGAGCAGATCGACGTGCCATTTGAAGAAGACGAAGACCTCGAAGCTGGGTCTAGTATCGTTACTGTGGCTATCTACATCAACCTGGTAGCCAACATTCTGCTTCTTGCTGGAAAGATTGCGGTTATAGTGTTGACTGATTCACTGTCAGTTCTCGCCTCGCTTGTTGATGCAGCGCTTGACTTTTTGTCGACAGCCATTGTTTGGGTCACGACTTATCTGATTCAGCGACAAGATCAATATGCCTATCCAATTGGCCGACGCCGTCTCGAGCCCGTGGGTGTCCTGGTCTTCAGCGTCATCATGATAACCTCCTTCTTCCAGGTCGGCCTCGAGTGTCTTTCTCGTTTGACGTCTGGCGATCGCTCCATCGTCGAACTGACAGTACCAGCGGTTGCGATCATGATATCCACAGTCGTGATCAAAGGGTTCTGCTATTTCTGGTGCCGCCTCATCAAGAATAGTTCTGTACAAGCACTAGCCCAGGATGCTTTGACTGACATCGTCTTCAACACCTTTTCCATCATCTTCCCATTGATTGGCTTCTATGCATCAATCTGGTGGCTCGACGCCTTAGGTGGTCTCCTCCTATCCTGCTACGTCATCTTCAACTGGTCAAAGTCTGCATCGGAACACATTCGCAACCTCTCTGGTGCAGCAGCTACGGCTGATGAGCGCAATATCTTGCTCTACCTGACTATGCGCTTTGCGAAAACTATCAGGTATATCCAAGGACTACAAGCGTACCATGCTGGAGACAAATTGAATGTGGAAGTGGATATTGTGTTAGAGGAGAATACAAGTTTGAAGGACAGTCATGACTTGAGCGAAAGCCTACAGTATGTTCTTGAGAGTGTACCTAGTGTGGACCGAGCATTTGTGCATAGTGACTATAAGAGGGTGAATCTGCCGAGTCATATGAACCAGCAGGGATGAGATGTCGTTTATGTAGAGATGTACACGTAAAACATAGATTTGATGAACATGTTATGAAACCCGTCTTATTTTCGTTCCTATTTGAGGTTGCTCAAGAGGAGTATTCGCGAACTTCAGCCATGCTCTTCATAAGTATGGAGATTGACTCTTATTGTCGCAGGAAGGACCAAGACTGCATTCCCTTGACAGTAGCTGTTGATGCCTAAAGCATCAGGCATACACATGACCATTCCGTATCATCGTCTCTGCTTCGTCAAGCCACTGATACAATCCATCGTTCCTAACCAGCCCTCTTCATACAGACATTTCGCAACCAATAACATTCCAAAGCAATTCTACAGAGCCTGAAGACCTGATACACGAACCCTCTCCGTCCTTGCACGCTGCCACAACACAGGACAGGGCACGCAACGCAACATGTTCTTCACCTCCCACACAAGCCTCCTCCGGCTCCCAACACTATCGCGCAGCCTCACCAAATCACTACAATCCTCCTCATCACCATCACCATCTTTACTATCCAAACTCCCCACCCTCCGATTCTTTACCCGTCTCTCCCTCCTCCGACCAGCAATCCGCTTCCCTTGGTCAAAAACCACACCAACGAGGGCCACCGCAAACTCGACATGTATACACCAGACACAAATACAGACGCGAGGCATGAAGACGCGCAGTTCGGTCAAGAGGCTTTGTGAGGGGTGTAAGCCTGTCAGGAGGAAGAATAGGGTGTATATTATTTGTGATCGGAATCCGAAGCATAAGCAGAGGCAGGGGAAGTAGAGTGGGTGGATGAGGGAGGGACATTGTGGGATAGGATAGGTTACGTGCCGTTTGATAAGTGAGAGGGAGGGGGAGGGAGGGAGAGTTGGTAGTGTGTGGAGAGGCAGTATTCAGCTCAGCTGTTTGGGCAGGCAGGCAGGCAGGAAGTGAGAATATGGGACAAGAAAAGCGGTAGGAGAGGTGTATATGATTGAAAGCAGCTGGTAACGACCTGGGAAGATGACTGTACTGTGAGCTTGCTTGCTTTAGCGATCGAGCCAAGTGGGAGAGAAGAAAGAGAAGCGAGATGTTCGTTGGCCGTCTCTTACACACTCACTACATCACTTCACCGTGAGCTAAGATATCTACCTATGCGTACGTTGGCGAAAATCAGACAGAAGCCGTTGTGTTATGAGCTGGACCTTCAAGGTGTGGTTGGTATCTACAACATGTATATAAAACGTTCAAAAGGCCGGCCCTTCAGATTCACATTACACTTGGAGGTTCAAACGTATAGTAGAAAGAATACCCAGTGGCTCTGACGTTCCTTCTCGAATCGTGGTGACCACAAATGTGTTGTGTCTTTCGGGGGAATGGATCTCAAGTGAACGTTTATGTAGAGCTACAATTATGGCGACCTGTACAGCTCCGAAATACTAGAAAGCTGCATACTAAGCAATGGTAATGCATACGCCTAGGACAAGTTAATCTGGAACCGCTGTTATGTGGTGCTGTCGTGTATATATATTAGCCACGCGGAAGCGCGGTACTCGGTAATGGCAGAGGCTCTCATTGCATACTACAACTAAAACGAAAGCAATAACAAAGATAGGTTGAGATCAAAGATGTGGCATCATATAAAGCGAATCATCTATCGAGTATGCAACAATCACAAGGCTGCTTGTGATCGTTTTGTGATAAGTTCTCTTCGTCAGAAGAGGATCGTCCTGTCTGTTCGTTCGTTCATTCCTTCGTTCTCTCATTCATTCATTCATTCATTCCGAAGCGCTGTGTGGATCACCTCGCCATTGCAGGATGTCCTTTCAGCCAGCCGTACTACCGAGTTTGTCGGTTGCACGACAAGGACATGACCGACGTCTAGGCGCTCTGAAATCAGATGGCAATCTCGTCGTTCGGACCTGTGTTTTGTATAGTGCGCAGGGCTGGTCGGGGGTAGACCTTGCGTTGTCGTTGGCTTGTGAAGACACATCGTCTGAGTTTGCAATAAGCTGAGGCTGAACAGCTAGCTATGACCAATATTGCTTTGTCCACATCGTTGAACACGTGTGGGGTAGAATCAAGAGACATCGTCGTCTTTACTTCTGTAGATGCAGTTGTAATTTTCATCGAGACGTGTGAGAAGTCGCCTCATGGTGATTCGCTGTCAAAATCATCTGTGTCCTCGATCTCAGTCACCACCACACAAGTTTGAGCTGGTCGTTCTGTAAGGTCCGCTATCCAAGATGGTACTTCCTCCGTCGATTTCCTGTGCTCAGAGCCACGCCGCTGCGCTGCAGGTCGTTGGGGTTGAGGAGAAGGAGAGGTAGGCATGTTATCCGTCGGTGTAGTGCGTTGTAATTGTACTAGCTGCTCTTCGAGACACCTCGTGGTCTTGTCGAATAGATTGACGTGTGCAATCATCTTGTCTAGTCTCGGACACTTTTGTTGTGATTCCATATCGAAGTTGGATTTTGATAGTCGACGCATTCGTGAAATAAACATTGGTCTAGCCTCTGTCTCAGTGAAGGTAGTCATTGTGTTGCTCGTATCAAGTATCAATCGATTGTGTATTAAATAAGGTCGTTCCCAGTTTGCTGATATACAATGATACGAATGCAAATGTCCGGGGTACACTGGGCTATGTACAAGCTGTGCTGTGTACACATCGTACACGAAGCCCGGTTTGGATCGACAGCCAAGGGTTCATCTTTGTCGTAAACAGTGCCCGGTTTGCGAACACTATACCGTTTCAGGATTCGTAGGTTGTCCTTATTCAAGATAGAATTCCTGGGCAGCCAACAATATCGTCGCGAGACTAGTCGGATCGCACGGATCTGCCAGGTTCAGCGCCTCAATCTGGTGACGTTTGGTTAATCATGATGTCGATCTGCCTCGGAAATATGAATCCAAACTGGTTTGAGGGTCTTTGACTTCTGCCTCTGCAGTACCGGATCTGCGTTTTACACTGCGTCGTGTTTCTGCTCCAAGTTTGCCCAGAGTACAGCCGCACCCAACAACACTATACGTCGGAAGAATGCTGGAGTGAAAAGGTCTGGATTTGGACACCGTAGACCGCGTCATAGATCATAGAGAATCGAAAGACTTCGCTCTCACTTGGCACGACTCGGACTCTTCTCCCTCCGTCTGGCGTACCTGGTACACGAGTAACGTGGTTCGGATTGCCGGATTTATGCTGCTTCGGAACATTCGTCACGAGTACTGCTGGGTCGCTGTGCTGGAGGGTTGTCGGCAATCCAATACAGCAGAAATTTGCTGCAGGAACGATGTTTCATTCAAAGTACAGCAGGAATTGCAAGGATAGCGCCAAGCATTGGTTCGCGAAACCTGCTCCCACATCATTGTGGCGCAGCAATGCTCTTCTCCAGCATCAATCAAGCTTGCTGTCCTCGCTTGCAATATCATTGAACAGCAGGAAAACCGGCATCAAGATGCACAAACAACACCTCCATGCATGCTCTGATTTGCTTTTCTTACAATTTCTTGCAAGACCATATTTACCAGCACGTTTGAGGATGTCCTTCGATCATACGATCCAGTGGAGGATCTTCCATAGTTGCCTGGAACATACATTGTTCCAAAAACGTCAAGATACACAAGACGCACTGGCGTATCGAGGGATAGTCTGCTGGGTGGCCAGCTGCCCGTTCTTTGAATCTGCTTCTCGTTACCACTGGTTTCATGAGTAGTTTCTGTGTTAGTAATGCTCCAATCTCTATGTTGAACAGATAGACGTAATAGTAGACGCTACGCAAGCTCGAGAGAAGAGGGCCGGAAGGAGCTCAGACTCATCGGTGAAAATATTCACACAAAGAGTCCTATCACGTCAAGGCCAACAGAAATTTTGTGACAGATCTGGCACATTTTCATACCTAATCTGAGGGATATGAAATTGTACAGCACTATTTTATCCGGCCAACAAGCTGATTGTTCTGAAAGCTCGAACGAGATGCACAAATTTTTCCGGTCATGCAACGACAAGCCGTCTACAGCTGTGCTAGAATCCTGCAAAGACATCAAGTCCTGTAACAGATCGTATGACAATCGAAAGCGTGGAGCAAAAACAAATGATATAGATACGCAAACCACAATACATGCAAACGATGGGTATCTCTAAACGAGTATGAATAGACCAATTGCCCTGGTACTTTGTGCATGACGAGCTTGCCGTCTTCTTGCACAGAATCTAATCTACCCAAGCAAATTTCCAGACGCCATGCTAAGGTAAAGACTGACTGAAACGACAGGAGAACCTCCACGGTACTGTACAAAGAACGATTTTCCAGCCACCTTGCCCACTCCCTACTGCCAATCATTGGTATCGTTCTCATTTCTCATCGTGAATCGTTAACCTACTACTCCTCGCCAACCTCGATTCGTACCAGCAATTCTTCCAGGAAGGCTTCGAGGTATTCTTTCACACCACCACCCATACCAACCGGACTCTCGGTATCTACTCTTTGGATTTCTTGGAATATCTGTGCAGATTTGCCAACCAGTTTTCGAACTCTTTCGTGGGATTCTAAAAGCTTGCGTTTCTGCATCGCGTCTATCGGTTGCTGAGTTGTTATGTCTCTGAGCATAGCTGTGCGTCTTCTTAAGGAGGCATCTAAAGCAGGTAGGACGACAGACGATAGTGCTGATAGGTCTTGTGGCTGAACCTGCCCTTTGGTCGGATTCTTCGGATTCTGATTGTATTGATCTTCACTCGTTGGCTGAATCTGCACGTCTCCCATTGCCTGCGAATTGTTTGAGTCCGTCCGCACCTGATTTGGACTTAACGGTAGCACTTTCTGGTTAGGTGGTTGTGGGACGGGCGGTAGATCTTGTGCGGTGAAAGATGGTAACGGTTTCTGTTCAAAAGTCAAGGAAGAGCTACTACCTGAGCGTGCTGGTTGCAATATAGGCTCTCCTCTGCCAGGCTTGCCCTTAAAGGGAGGTATATCGGGTATAGCAAATTGTGTTGGTGGCTGCTTCGATTGTTGTGGGATAGACGTGGCTTCTTGTAAAGTGCCTGGTTGTAACAGCGAAAGAAAGCTCATATCGCTCGATAACTGAGCTTGAAAAGCTTTGTTATATTCCTCTTCGCTCGGGCTGTCCTTGTGAGTTCTTTGAAGTTTGCTATTCAATGCAGCAGGCGTTTGTGGTGCCGGGCGCTGTGGTTGTAGGTTCGGTTGCTTGTTCGTACGTGACGGGTCTTGCTTGATCGGTGACTGTGGTAATGGTATCTTCGTTGGTGAGAGAGGTGTATCTGGAAAGGTCTCCTTGACTGGCGACCTGGGCGGAGAAATGGGAGCCTTAACAGTATTGTCAAAACCAAACTTGGTTTGAGCACTTCTAGGCTCTACTAAGGCTCTGGAATTAGTTTCTGAGGACTTCATTTGTCTAAGACCGCCTGATCTAGTTCCTCCTGCAGGCCTGACTGTTCCAAAATCCCAGAGATCTTCATTCTCATTGTCGTACTGCTGGTTCTGGTTCTGTTCGTCTTCCTCATCCTCATCATCAGAATTCTTATTTCCGTATTTAGCCTGCCATCGCTCGTGTCGTTCTATCAGCTCTGTAAGGTATGTTGTCTTCTTAGCCCGTTTCACAAATGGATGTTTCAGCAGTTCCTTCGCGGTCGGTCTTTCTTTTGGATCTCGGCGCAGACACAGCCCTACAAAGTCTTTGAAGGATTGCGAAAAGGCACCCTGTAATATCGGAGGTGGATTCTTAGGTATCAGAAAGAGCACTTTCATAGGGTGGATGTCGGCATAGGGAGGTTCTCCTTGTGCGAGCTCGATGGCGGTAATGCCTAGTGACCAGATGTCTGCTTTATGATCATAGCCAGACTGCTTGATAACTTCCGGAGCCATCCAGAATGGTGTGCCGACGAAAGTGTTCTTCTTTGTCATAGTGGCTGAAAGTTGACCAGATACGCCAAAATCTGCCAGCTTGACTTGTCCGTTCGCACCCAGTAACACATTTGCAGCTTTGATATCCCTGTGTAGTTTCTTGTCGCTGTGTAGATAGTCAAGTCCCATCAGCAACTCCCTTACTATTATACTGATGTAGTCTTCGGTCATCAAACCTGGGCGCATAAGATCTGAGCAACTTCCTCCTGAGCAGAACTCCATAACAATCCACAGATCTGAGCCCTTGAGAAATGAGCCATGGTATTGCGTAACGTAAGGTGATTTCAGCTCGGATAGGATCGAGATTTCTTGAATAATGTCCTCCACTTCATCTTCAGCATTTTCCACATCGATGATTTTTATAGCCACTGATTGTCCAGTCCTCTTGTCTACACCCTTGTACACCTTGCCGAAACTACCACCACCAATGCAATTCTGCTTCGTATATAGTGTCTCTGGGTCAGCCATTTTCGACGAGTGCGATCGATGCTGCTCAAGATTGGGGTCGTTGATGGTGCTTCATAAAAGCAGGGGGTGAGTAGAGTGCCGATTAATGGCGAGGCATAGCACGCTATCAGGGTCGACGCGGGCGGAGGGTCGAGAAACAGGTCGAACGCCCGAAGACGATGCAGAGAGTGTTTCAAAATATTGCTTCTCAGCGGTAATGTTGTCATATAATAATCCGGGATGAATGGCTCGCGTCTCTGGCCTCGTGTCTAGCACATGCATTAGCCAGCGGTTGGCACGACTACAAAATCGAAACCCCGAAGTTATGCCAGTACAGTACGGTGAGGCAAACACACCGTAACTACAAATATCTTTCAATATGTATCTCCCGTATATGAGCCATGTGTATATACCACCAATCTGCTCTTGGTCGGTTCTCAAAAGCAAGTAGATATTCAATCCCCACCATCACATCCGAAACTCCATGCTGATATAGTGCAAAATCAATTCACGTTCTCCCTTCGGCACAAGGGTGCTATATGCCCGGACATCCTCCCTTTTCACCTTCCCTCCCAGTTTATTCTTTTTGTGAGTCTCGAGGTCTTCACCTAGCCTAGCGCCCACGAGCATGCTCTTCGCTGACTCGACTTAATGCTGGGCTTGCTGGCTCACTCGCAGATTCGATGTTGATTGTTGGAACTGCTAATCTTGCGCTTCTCTGGCTTTCTCTTCGCCGCACAGCCTCCTCGTAATCTGGCGCGTCACCCCAATCGTGTAAATCATAGTCTGGTGGATGTATCACATCATTGTCGGAATCCCTAATCATTGCGATGATCCGAGGATCAAGACCCTCACTCCCATCTTCAGTTTCATCAGGAGTCAATCGTGTTGCGCCTGGCGAGTCATCCGATGTTGAGGCTTGTTGATCACTCTCATTGCTCATTCTTCCTCCGGCTTCTCCAGTCGTCGTGGGTGTTGGTTGTGGTAGGTCGATGCTAGATACAGTCGATATAGACGTAACGCCACTATCTGAACGCTGTCGCCCACTAACATAGGTCAAGCTTGGCCGAGAGATGTTATCGAGTGTGAGTAGAGAGGTTACATCGCTTCCAGTCCTGCCATGAACATTTTCGCCCATAGGAGCAGCACCAGAAAGCAGTCCACGCCGCTCTGACTCGTGGCTGTTCGCCCGTACTCTGGTTCCGTCGTGTCGAACTTGGCCAACATCTCCGTATGCTACGCTGCTCACTCTCCTATCCTTCGGCCGCGACTGATGTTCTGCGATCAGTACATCAGCAGTCAAATTTCCAGTCGAGCCGTTCTGCGCTGGCTGATTGCGCCGTTGAGACTCGCGTCTGAGCTCTTCCAATCGTGCCCAGTCTCCTCGTTCTCGTGCTTCACGTCTTTCTCGTCTTCGTTCCTCTCGCTCGGCGATCTCCCTTCTTCGAGCTTCACGAATCTGGTACAATGTTTCCATCTCTGCGTCTCGAGTTGTTTCCTCTTCTTCGGCAGTCTCGGGAAACTCGACTACGGTATCCATGCCACCTCTTTCACCTTCGCGGCCAATAACCTGTTCAGTTTCTTTCGGCGCCTGTGAATATGGAGGCAGAGTCATTACACTTCTAACGCTAGTGTTTCTGTCTACTCCTGCGGTGGTAGCTGTGTTCGGGTTATTGCTTCCGGCTGCGCCATGATACTCGGTGGCTTGAGAGGTACTGCCGTGACGATCTCCTCGTTCTTGTAGGTTCACCGAGGCATACTTGCCCACTGGATGCCACTGGTCCCATCTTTGGCGCAGGAACCCGGGAATGAAATTGGGTGCACCACGATTCTTCAGCTTCCTGCGGCGGAGGTATATATAGAGGGCAGTAATCGCAGTAATGAGTATCGAGAGAGCCACGATAATCTAACATGGCATGTTAGTATGCTGAACTTAGCTACATGTGAGTGCGAACATACTATGATCGCAATCGTCTGCGCATTTGGTCCAGAGTTAGTGTCCGGGGAGTCATCCTCAGGCTCTTGGGGTCTGGTGCCTGGAGGAGGCTGCCGTCGTTCTAGTCTGATCCCCATGGCTTTGAACAACGGAAACGAAGACGAGAGCACATGCGATGTTGTTCAGTTCTTGCAAACTACTTCGCATGAAGTGGATATAAGCAGGACCAGCAAGATAAATTAGGCGTTCTGCAAAGGCCTATTACCAACTTTAGGCATTGTGCTAAACGCAGGTTAACGACTCCTCGAAGTCGTTGTGCTAATGGAAGCAAACAACGAAGTCCAAGTCGGCAGCGAGGTAGCAGTAGAGAATGTAAAATATGCAGTGAAACAAGCGCTCAGGGCACAATCCAGCCGAAACTTGATGGCGGTGCAGGTCGAGTAGCGTCGACAGGGGTGTAACGTCAGCCTCTGGGGATCGTACCTGTAAGCGTAACTTTCAGCGACGCCTCACCAGGATTTGTCCATTTCGGTTCTTGAATTCTTGGATGTAGCTGCATTTTACAGCGGATAATGTCGTGGATACTCGGCATTAACCGTCATGCCTCGTCCTCTCGGTCTGTCTATCTATATGATCATCCACAATCGGATTACAGATGACCACAATTATTTGCCTGTACTACTCGAGTACGCGCTTGAAATCAATGAAGCTAGCGGCTGCCTACGTAACGATAAGCTTTGCGCAGGGACTTGCCAGAGGTCCCAAAAATAGCAACAGTGTGAATTTGAAGCCCTACGACCTATGTCGCGTCTCTAGATCGCCTACCTCTACGTTTTGAGGACTCCGACGCGACAGTCGCGTTCCTGTACCAGATTGAGACAGTATTTAGCGACTCGTAGGTAGGTTATCTACACTGTGCCCTGTGTCGTCCCTGGTAGATGCAATCGTCCCTATTGCCCAGGTTGCAGGTGCTTCAGGATGTGAACGTCAATATGGCCAATACGAGGAGGACACAATGGCTGAAGGAATGAGAAGATAACGCATAGGCATCGAGTAACAACATCGAGAAACTAATTACTGTTCAGTACTACGAGCAAAAGATCAATTCACGAGGAATTGCAAAATAACCACGTGATAGACGTGCTAGCGCGAATGTTTCGGGGGACAATAACACGAAAGCCGATGTTTTGTAAACATTCGTTTTCCTCGATGCAGCTGCTTCGGACTCTCTTACTGATTGTATCTATTAACCACACAGCAGTAGTACCGTGACCAGAATGGCTCACTCTCCAGCTTTCCATGACAGAGGTACTCGATTTACCAATTACAGCAGTATTCACTCCGCCGACGCGTTCGTGGGAGAATACCAAGTCATGTACACGCCAGGTTCAACTTCACCACAACAACCAAGAGCGAACAGGAAGTCTTCACGCTTTAGTAGAACCGCTTCCTCTTCGAAACCACATCAGAATGTCTCGCAGTCATACCTGCTTCCTTCCGACATGCCAAACACTTCGCAGATCATGCCAGACCATGGTCCGTTGCCGAACATTCAGGTACACTACAATATTCCGGCAGATGAGAAGCAGATAGTAGCTTCGCTTCGAGCACTTCAGAGAGACCTAGCTGAAGCTGTGCAAACAATCGCGACCCTCACGCGAGAACGCGACGATGCTCTTCAAGAGATAAGAATGCTCAAATCTACTGCACGAAAGCTATCTTCGCCAGCCTCACGACCAAGCAAGACCTTTGAGGATGAGCTCTTTGATCTAAGCAGTCCTATTCAAGAATCTCCAAAACGTTCTGGACAGCGACTGCTACAATCCAGAAAGGAAGGCAGGGAGCAGAAAGAGACACAAGTTTCAGATGAGGCAAGGGTTATTTCTACACACGCTGCTCACCAGAGGCACGCATCTATCAAAAACGCAAGGGAGAGCAGCAAGCAACACCAGAAGCCAGTTGTGGATGACACTAAGCAGAGCGTGTTGGATGAGAATCCGACCGCTGCTTCCAACACGTCACGACGTAGGAGACGACACTCGTTGGACGAGAATATGACTTCTGCGTACATTATACCCGACATTACCGTTGAGGAACAAGTTCAGAGCCCACTCAAGGTCTCTCGAGCTGCTCAGAATGTCCTTCATAGCTTGGATCCAGAGCACATCAACAACTGTGATGTTTGTCATCGCCTTACCAAGCACATTCGAGCCACTGAAAGAGAGCGGAAGGCATCCAAGAAGGAGGTTGCACTCCAAGACATCGCTCGAGAACCTCCTTCCAAGGTCCAAGACTTTGCCTCTTTCGCGACCGACAAAGCTCGTCGAGCTACTCAACCAGACTATACTGCTGTACTTGCTGGCTTCACCCCTGATGACTCTGTTCTCCACGACCAAACAATGCGACCCAAGGTTTCACCTGATCAGGCTCTCACACGTGTCAGAGTCCTTATGGATGCCCAGTTCCGCAAGGCAAAGGAGCGACATGGTCTAGCTTGGGAGAAATACAACAAAATCGAGGCACCCTTGTCAAGCAAAAAGCATTCTGAGATCAGCAAGGAGATGCAGCACTGGGCCGAGAAGATGGAGGAATGTCGTGTTCATTTGGATTACTTGCGAGACGTCGAAGAGGGCATGAGAGATGGTGACACATAGGACTAGGACTGTACGTATCGTGTAGTATGGTATCGCACGACCAAGACGATTTTGATTTTAGCTGAGCAGCATTCAGCATGGCGCTTGGGTTTGCGATATTAGTTGTGGTAACGACTTTGTCGATTCTTCAAGGTGATATTGTTCTAAAAGTATCGTGTCTGATAGGAGTATTGGTATATGCTTGAAGTGTGTGAGATGGCCTGCTCTAGGAGCATCGATACCAAGCTTGAGATTTGTATAGCTCTACCTTCCGGTGCTGCCTTCCCAGTGAGACTTGTTGGAGAAGAACCTACCGGGCAATTCTGCAATATTTCGAAAAGTTAAGAGTGTTTGTTAATCGCAATCCGCGACAGTAGTAGCAGTAGCAACAAGGCCTCACGAACTCAATGACGATACCAGATCAGGCAGTTCTAATCCCGGTCCTTCGCAGTTGGCAGTCATTGGCTGGTGAACCGAGCTCGCTGGTTGCAATCCTTGATTTTGACACCTCGCGTGTTTTGTGACTCGAAAAGTTACGATCCATCCGTTCACCTCGCGGTATAAAGTTATGTGCTGTCGAACATGCGAGTCAGGTCGTCAGAGAGACCTGGCAGACTAGGAGTGCTGCCAGTTGCGAGTGTGTGCATTGAGTACGTTTCAAATTGGTGCTCTTCATAACTCATCCCTTTGTTGTGAACGTTGTAGCCCACTCCGTGGCCTTCTAGATCTGCCCACTTGCCTGTCCATAATCCCAGCTCTGCCAGGAGTATGGCTGCAGACCTCGACAGCCTTCTGGCAACGTAGATGACAGAACCTATCGACTTGACCCAGGTCAACTCGATCCTCGCATCACCGCCCTTCGTGACAATTTCAGGCACATTCAATGCTCGTCGCCTGCTGGACCACTCCCAACCTGCCATCCGATCTGACTACATCTTCCGCTCGGGCTCTCTTGAACACCTTACCCCCGAAGGACAATCAACCCTGAGGAATCTTGGCATAACTACCATCTTCGACCTGCGCTCCCAACGAGAGAAGGAGACAGTACCCACACCGGACATTCCTGGCATCGAGAACAAGTGGTATCCAAGTACGGCCACAAATTCGACCACTGCATCAGCGCGTGAATCTGAGAAGTCTGAGGAGACAATCAGTCTGACAGGAATGTATCTCGATATACTCGAGACGCATCAACCTAGTTTCAAGGCAGTATTCCAGCACATTCGGGATCATCCCGACATGCCATTCCTGTTCCATTGTACGGCGGGCAAGGACCGTACCGGTGTGCTTGCAGCGCTCATCCTCAGTGTTGCAGACGCAGACCTTGAAACTATCAATTGTGACTATGCGCTGACCAGGATCGGCATCGAGCCTGTAAGAGAGCTGTTAACAGCAAAACTTACAGCTGGTAATCTCAATACAAAGCTAAATAGTCCGAGGATGCGTGAATATGCTAAATTACCGTGAGTGAAACTACTTTTTGGACAAACTATGCGTGTTTGGCTGACTGCTGTCTATTAGGCTTGACTGCTGGGACGTTGTCTTTACAGAACTGGGAAAGAGGTATGGAGACGTCAAGGGTTACGTCAAACAGGAGCTGGGGCTTAGTGGCGAAGAGATGAACACGATTGTCGCGAATCTTAGGATAACTTGAGGCGCACCATTCTGGTAGATCTCGTAGTGAAGATTACTAGCTTCTTGAGACTTAAAGCGCACAGCCTCATGATAGACAGCCAATGATGGCAGTCTGACCTCACTGCGCCACATCGTGCGGCCCCCTAGAGCATGCGATCGTCAAAATAAACAGCTGTGGCAAAAACGCCAAGCCCTGCTCATGAGCAGGAACGAGCTCCGGTTTTACCTTCCTCCCGCCACTTGGCATCGAGATAGACTTGCCATGTGTTGTGTGAAATGATGCCTATTGGCGCGGCAAACGTGATGGACTTGAAGTGTCTCTACATCTCTCAATCGTAGCCAAGCAGGCCGCCTAAAGTAAAACGTCATGATAGACACTGTCTGAACCACGACTTTTGTTCCCAAATTACTTGCTGGTGTATATATTCACGAGTCACTCAGGAACATCTTGGACGTGTACAAAAAAGAAAAGAACCAATAATTTAACAATATGGAGTCTATCCAAAGCAAGATTCAGGCTGCTGCAACTCGCAACCGTGAGCTGTTGCAAACATTATCTGAAACAGATTATGCAAAGCCAGCCTTGGAACAACAGACACGATATGTTGCTGATCTCGAAAATCAGATCAAGCAACTTGATACAAGCCTCAAGACATTGGAAGAAAAAAGAAAGAAGGAGCTCAAAGACCATGAGAAATATAGAGACTCCGTTATGAAGCGCTTTGCATACAAGGTAGGCCGAAAGGAGGCGAAGTTCAATGAGAGAGCGTCGAAAGAAGAACGCGAGTATTTCGAGGTACTACAGGAAGAGCACAAGACCCAGGAGATGCGGAAGAATGCAGGAAACGCGCTCACGGATGCACAAAAGTCCCAGGCAGACCTCAAGAACGTGCTCGCCCACCATCAGCAAGCACAGAGGGAATTAGATGAGTTGTATGACTCGATCTTTGAAGGACCGACACCTGGCTTTCCTGAAGAAGATAATAGGGAACAGGCTGCGCACACTGCTCTGAACCAGTTTCATGACATGCGAGTCAAGGTTGAAGCGGACAGACAAATTATTAACATACTTGGTAACGCCCAAGCTCGAATGAACGCTGCCAAATATCACCTTGCTGAAGCACGCAGCCACTCTCAGATGGATCTTTTTGGCGGAGGTGCCATTACCGACATGATGGAGAGGAATGCTCTGCAAAAGGCTGAGATTGCTGTCACCGAAGCTCGCTACGCTGTAGAACAAGCCAGAAGGATGTCACCTGAAGTTCAACCTCTTATGCCAGTACGAATTGCTCAAGGAAACATAATGACTGATGTGTTCTTCGACAATATTTTCACTGACTTGGACTTCCACGAAAAGATCAAACAGTCGCAGGCGGAGCAGGAGAGGGCACTTCAGGGTCTGAATGCTCAACTAGCCGCAGCCAGACAGCGACACGATTCACTCAATCAGAACATGAAACGCTTGGCAACGACATTGGAAGACTCAAGGCGAGCATTACAGCAAACCAGACAAGAAGCATTCCAGAAGACTGCACAATGAGCGTACTACACCACGTACCCTGTCAACAATATTGTAGCCACAAAGACATGTCATTTTTTCTGTGGCATCATATCCTTATACCACGATTGCGCTAGACAGTCACTTGAGGGTGTGACTATTCGGGTGTTTTTGTCGCATGCGCTCACTTTTCATAGGTACTGACCTGTTTTGTGGTTTACTTCCATGGTCAACTTCTACCTCTGAATTTAGCTTTGGTGTACCGACCGATCTTCATTTCATTCATCATGCATTCCACGTGGCCTATCTTTTTGAGCCAGGCACATGGTTCAGGATTTTCTCAGCATGATTGATGACAGTTTTTGCCCTTCGCTACTTCGTCTAGCCTGCTACTAACAACTATCCTAATAACATTTTTTCTGGAATGATTGTTGAGACCACATATCGCAGCAGGTGAGTTGAGTCGAGCGCGGTAGGTTGTAGGTCTGACCCGAGGTCTCTGCATCTCCGCACAGCTACACCATTCTTGTGCTCGCTTACCATTGCCAACCGAGGCGAGCCCATGCCTTGTGTTGGATTGATATAATCACTCTGTTACCTCGACTTACCAGCTAGAATGGCTGTATCTTACAGGGTTTTGAACCTCTCGATTTTCTTCTTGTTCTCGACATCATTCTTTTTCAAGTCTTGACATATTGAGGAGGCGTTCCACCTTCACTGATCAACGAACCAGATTCAAGGCCCCCATCTTTGGTGCACTCCCAACCGAAGACCTCAATGGGCGACGCCGGCGCTAGCACTTCGCCTGCTTCCTCAGATGTCGACGTGGTCATTATCGGAGCAGGTTTCTCCGGCATCGCCACGCTATATCGTGTCCGCAAACTCGGCCTCAAACCGCTCATCCTAGAATCTGCGGACGACTTCGGGGGAGTTTGGAAGCATAACTCGTATCCTGGCGCTCGTGTCGACTCAGAATGGCCATACTATCAGCTTAACATCCCCGAAGTATACAGGACTTTCTCTTTTACAGAGCGATTTCCTGGTCATGTCGAGCTCAAAAGGTATATGGCTCATATTGACAAAGTTCTCGGATTGAGAAAGGATGTTCTTTTCAATGCACATGTCGATGATTGCTCCTGGGATGAAGGTAGTGGCAGATGGACAGTGAAGACACGACAGGGTCAGGTTGCAACTGGTAAATATTTGATTTTGTGCACTGGACTGCTACACAGGAGACACTACCCTGAATTTCCAGGCTTGGAGAATTTCAAAGGCGTTGTCCACCACTCAGGTTTCTGGCCAGAGGATCTCAGCACGAAAGGAAAGAAAGTCGCGCTCATCGGAGCGGGTGCAACGGCTGTACAGATCACACAAGAGGTCGCGAAGGATGCTGACCAGCTGACAATCTTTATGAGAAGACCCAGCTATTGTCTACCCATGATGCAGCGCTCTCTCACCGAGCTCGAAAACAGAGGGTTCCAGGCCTACTACGACACACTCCTACGAGAAGGCAGAAATAGCCAAGCTGGCTTTCCCGGCCCAAGATCGTCGAGGAGTGCTCTTGAAGGAACACCAGAGGAGCGCGAGGCATACATGGAAGACTTATGGTCAAGGGGCGGCTTTCAATTCCTCATGGCTTTTGCAGATGTGACCATTAACGAAGAAGCGAACAAAGTCATGTATACCTTCTGGCAGAAAAAGGTTGCAGAACGCATGCGGCCTGGCAAGAAAAGGGATCTGATGGCACCTCCTTTGGAGAAGATGCCGTATTTCATCGGCACGAAGAGATGTCCACTTGAGCAGGATTACTACGAATGTGTGGATCAGGATAATGTCGATGTTGTTGATATGAATGAGAAGAAGCTCAAGTCGTTCACGGACAAGGGCATTGTGTTTGAGGACGGCACGGAGACGGAATTTGATCTGCTGATTCTTGCGACGGGGTTTGACAGTTTTTCTGGATCGTGAGTATCAACACACCTGCTGACTATATGAGCTAACGGAGAGTAGAATCACAAACCTAGGTCTGAAGAACAAAGACGGCATCGACATCAAAGACATTTGGAAAGAAGGCATCAAGTCATATCTAGGTATGAGCTTTGGCGGTTTCCCAAACTGCTTCATGATATATTCTCCACATGCACCGACAGCACTATCGAATGGTCCGACTATCATCGAAGCTCAAGCAGACATGATCAGAGACTTCATCTCTAACCTTGAAGCTGCAAATGTCAAATCCATCACACCACAAGGTGAGGCTCAGGAGGAGTGGGTTGAAATGGTGGATAAACTCAACAGCTATACATTGTTCCCTTTGACTTCTTCGTGGTGGACGGGAGGTAATGTGCCTGGCAAGAAAGTTCAGCTCTTGACGTACATCTTAGGTATTGATCGGTACGAGGCACAGTGCAGGGAAAAATTGGACGAATTGAAGGGCTTTGATGTTGTGTATGCGGATAGCAAGGAAAAGCTCGTGACAGATATGCCTAAGGCGGCGGTGGCTTCTTAGCCTCTGATCAAAAATACTGGTTCTTCATGTCGAATTGCTGGAGCTATGCTGTGTTCATATTTGTAATGTTACATGAAACCGATGAAACCACTTGAGCCCGAGTACTCGTAACCTTTGCCATGATGTTTGATCAAGTGTCCAGTGCAGACTCATGAACTGCTGCTGCTGACACCCTGTATCTGGTCCTTCTTGGCCTGAGAGCCTTTGTCCTCTGCCGCACTGCTGGCGTTGTGGTGTTCGTCAGATGCTTGCGTCATCCCACTAGCATCGCCATGCTTCGACGCATGTTCGTTTGATACTTTCTGTGTCGACGCCGTAAGATCGCCCTCAGCCTTGTCTGAGTGGTTGTCATCAAGAGCTTCCTGAGCTCGAGACTGGGCAGTATTGACAGCTTCATCTGTGCTCGACATTGTCGATCTGCTGAATGGTCGTGTTGTGGATATTGAATAGTACTTGCTTGATAAGACTTTGCTGCTGCTGTTGCTAGCGAGTCTGAGCCGTGGGAGATGAAGCATTGAAGTTAAAGCGACAGTTGGTTTCAATGTCTGTAGCTAATTGAGGAGTACTGTGCTGCAAGATGATGTGGTCCTGTGACGATGACGCAACTGCAGCTTTTGGCGAGATAGGCAGGTGCTGAGGGACAAATTGCCAAGTTATATGGCGTTCTTCACGGGTTATATACTGGTCTCCCTTGTAAGCAGCTTCTGATGGTCGGGTGAGATATCCTTTGAGCTACGGTGTTGATCGACGTCATGTCTTGAATAATTACACGATTTGAGGAGAATATGGTGTGCCTGCGATTGCACATCTACCAATTCTCAGATATGATGGAATAAGTACGTAGTAGTCGCGGATCATCTAGGTCTTCATTGTGTGTTAAGTCAAACATAGTGGAAGAGCTCAGTCATGCTCGGAGCTGTGGAGTTCAAACATCTGAAGCTCAACCATCCTGAGATGGAACCTGGGTCAAAGTGACCATTCCTTACGAAGCGATACAAGTGCGCGCTCTGACCTATCAGAGCCTAGGACAGTGACCCACTCTTATACCTTGACGATCGTACTCGGTGATACCTATCAGCTGCGTCGCTGCAACACAGATCTACTAGATCACAGAGCTGAAATCTTGACAAACTGATCTCACGTAACGTGTCATTAATGACAGTGTATGAACACTGACGATTACGAGAGAAAGCGTAGTAGAAGATTAGAGTTTCTGCTGCTATATGTTGTCCATGGAAGGAAATACACAATCAGGCCTCGGACGTGTTTATGGGTCCTCGATCGGTCGAGTCCTTCTTCAGCCTTTCTGTCTCACACAAATTCTAGTAGCGAACGAATTGCATGATCGTGTGCTGAACAAAGCAGACAGTGAAATTGGTAAATAATAGGGGGCAATCAACGGACCGAGGACTTCCGATCTTAGCGTCTTTGTGTTCAACGCGTGAACGCGTGCATAGAAGCTGCTCGTGTAGATAATAAGACATTCCGAGCAAAGGCATTGTTTGCTGTGCTATTTGGGTCTCAGATTGGGCTTGATTTGAGATGAACGTCCTTACACATTGCCGTGACATTGTCAGTTTCGTCAAGAACTCGATCGAAAATGCTCTGCCGTCACCAATGTCGGCAAAGTCAAAGAAGAGAACTTTCTCGGCCATCGAAGATCAGCCAACGCCGTCGCGGTCGCAGAAAAGACCGTGCATTGATACAAGCTTATTGCCTGTTGGATTGCACTGCGGCCTAGATGTTGCTGCAGCTTTCTCAATATTTCCAGCTCATACCGACTCACTACTCAGGTTGCGTGATCGCTTACAGAAAAGGTCATGGCATTCGATACATAGCTTACCTGATGAGATCAAGGAGTTGCAACTAAACCATCCTGTACTCATTCCTGCTGAGCAATGTTGGCGTGGTGGTGCACGACGCGCTCCATCAGCGGACGACATATATAGACGTTGCGCCAAGAAACCGATCTCTAGGAAGGATATTATCGAGTTCGAAGGCCAGCATGCAAAGGACAAGACGTTGCGCGACGTCTTACAGCAGATGCGTTCGCCGCCAGTAGAGAACCCATTAGTAGCGCATAATATCGTTGTTGAAGGACGTCACCAGCTCATGGCGAGTGCTATACCCTTTACCCATCTACGGCCGTCGGATGCGGACGAAGAAGATCACTCCATGAACGTCACTCCTAAGAATAAGGTCGTCGACATTCACATTGACCAGGGATCTTGTGGCTTGTCGATAGGCTTAGGAAGACCTAGCGACGATCCAAAGCTCCAGGTCCATAAGATCTGGTTCTTGTGGCCCCCAACTGAGCACAACCTTCAGGCTTTCGAAAGGTTGTGCAAGTCGAAGAAGACGAAAGGATTGTGCTTAGCACGCAGCCAGATACTGAAGCATGGTGTCATTGCGACAGCAGGTCCAGAAGCTGGTATCCTGCTTCCGCCTGGGTGGCTGCATGGAACAGTCACAACCAACAGCGGATTTCTTGGCGGCATCACATATACTTTACCCACACAGATCAACATGATATCGAGGATATTTGCGATGGATATGAGGATCTCTCCGGAAGCTTTCCCCCATAAGGTACCGCTATATTGTAATGCATTGAGACAGGTTTATAATTCGGAAGATTATGGCGATTCAGCTCGGATTGCCATCGATGAGTGGCTTCAGGACGTAGAGCCGTGTCTGAAGAGTGTCGGTTTCAAATCTCATCTTAAAGAAAATGCTTGGGGGTGCAAGCAGTTGATGAAAGAGTGGAAGCTGCATCTAAGCGCGAAGAACCGCAATAATGTCGCGGCTCGCCTTCAGTGTCGTGCTTGTGGTTGGCGAAAGTCGAACGAGATGACCTTTGGCGAACATTTTTGGAAGACACATTTAAAGGTTGTTACACCTACTGGGTGCAAATCACCATATCGACGTTCCAAGGGCAAGAAAGGGCGGTGAGTGGGCAAGAGCCACTATCTTCCAGCAGGAAATGGATGGTCGAGCGTACAAACCAGCGCGCATGTAAAACTGAGACTCTTTCGACTTGTATTCGCATCTTCGACAACCAGCATAGTGACTGGCATGTTTCAATCCTCGGCTGAGGAAGGCGCATCACTAAGTTTTCGTCCCGTCCCGTTGAACCTTTCACAGATCGTGTAGCTTGCCTGAACAAGGCTCTTTTGCTTATAGACAACCTGTACTTGTACTGTAAAGCGACGGTGAAGTGGCGACGTGTAGATAAACAACAAGAGCACGAGCCAATAGCGATGACGGATCAAAGACCAATGTGAAGCAGTAACCGCGGTGAAGGCTTAGCGCAAGGCAAGAGCAAACATACCGATCGCGTGCTGTACCTGCCAAGAGTAAGATATGACATCACTGCAGCGTCGTGTTTGCTTTGTGGTGCATGACCAGCCCACGCAAGCACAAACTTGGACCTTGTTGTCCTGCGGATACTGAAGTCTTCTCTTTCGTGATTACAGTACAAACCACTACCAGCTGAATACAAGACCTTACAACACACATACGCTCACGCATCAACATGCCTCGAGGACAAGCCGGCGTCACCAAAGTCCATTACAAGGGCTCGACTGAGGACTTCATCGTCTTCGTCGAGTCTGTAGAGGACTATGAGAAATGGAAGGGTGATCGAAGCGTTCCACTTGCTCAAGTTGTTGACAGCTTCAAGATCTTCATTACACACAAGTAAGTCGGTTGTCGCTCAAGAATCACAGCACTAATTCGAGGTAGGCATGGTGCACAAGGTCAACTAGATGGAGCCTCAAAACAGACTCTGCAGAACGAGTTCGGTTCAAGCAAGGAGGAGGACGCAATCATCAAGATTTTGGAGAGTGGCAGTATGCAACAAGTCGAGGTCAGTATTGATCTTCCAGTACCTGTTAACCAACATCCCATGCTAACAAGTGCTTAGAACCTGCCAAACCACCCCGGCCGAAGCGGTGATCGAAACGAGACTATGGGTGGTGGTAGAATGGCTCATTGAGAGTAGATCACGAGCACAATATTACATGAACGGATATCAAGGTTAGCATGACAGTCATGGCAGCCTATATGGCGAGCACGTCCCGTAACACATAGGTAGTCCAAGAGGACATCTAGGAAATCCAACATATCAAGCTTTCGCAACATTGGTGCTTTGACGCAAACAATACCGCAGTCTTTATCATACACACACGTCTCAATGAGGAAGGATGACTGACTGGAATATTCATTCGGATTGCTGGGATATCTCATGCACGCTCGTAACAGTAGGTGGTATACACGGCTAAGGGACACACACAATGCCATCTAAAAATGCTCCTTCCAAAACTTGAACTTCACCATATCGTTGCTCGTCCCTTTGCAAGCACTCTTGATCTCTCGCGCAGCTGCGCTAGGTCCACAGAAGTACACACCGACTTGTGCCTTCATCTGGTTGACATGGAGTTTGCCCTGGCCGAAATCTAGGTAGCTTTGATCCATCAGGCCATCTCGCATCGCAGCGAAGATGCGCCTAAAATCCGGCCTGCCGAACTGCGTCTTCGTACGTAGTTCTGTCAACGGATCGAGATCATAACCTGCAGTATTGAGGTAGATGTTGGCCGCTGTGTCTGTATCGATCTTTTGCGTCAAGTAGGTATGGATGCGGAGGAACTCTGCGCCTCCGGTGGCTTCCGCAGCATCGGCAGATTGTGCTTCGAGACTCGAAAGAAGAGTCTGGAACCACTCGAAGGACTCAATGCTACGAGTCACCCAGATGAACACCACTCTGCGAAGCTTGCGGGGTGGATTAGGGCCAGCGCGGATGTGCCAGATCTGCTTCAGGACGGATGCCCAGGGTGTCACGCCGATGCCCGTACCGATCAGGACTGCCACTTCGTTGTCGAAGATGTCTTCGGCTGGTGCGCCGTATGGGCCGTCGATCTGAATTGCTGGCATTTCTTGGCCTTGTTGTAGGGCGATTTCGTAGATGCCATTTGGATCGAGGCCGTCGTATTCCTTAGCTTGGGCAGGACCGCAGCCGAGAGCATCGCCCATGGCTCGAGTGAAGTCGCCAACTTGGCGGATGTGCACTGAGATGTATGGGTCATAGGGACATGACGTGATCGTGAAGGGGTGCCATTGAGTCGAGGATACGCAGGGCATCTTGAGGAAGAGCCACTGGCCAGCTTTGTATTTCATGCTGGGCTTCTTGAATTGGATCTCCATGGCATCGTATGGATGGCGGATGACTTTGTAGATCTTGGTTTCACGCCGGGCACGAATCTCTCGCCAGATGCGCTCGATGAGGTAGATGCCACCGCCCCAGAGCTCCCAGCGCCACCCTTCGTAGCCAATGCAGTGGTTCCAGAAGTTGGCGCCTGCGAACGGCGAATATGGAGCTGCGGTATCTCTGACGAAGCAGCCGACTGCGTGTGTATACATGGCCAGAAGGAAAGGTATGAAGAGATGATGAGTATACCAGAAAGTCTCGAAAGATTGTTGTCGTATCTTGTGATGTGCTGTGGTGTACATCAACAGCATGCAGAGTAACATGATGTGTCCAGTAATGCCGCCGGCTTGGGTGTAGTGGATATCGAGAGCTGTCTCTGGTCTCAACTGAGCTTTCTCGACATTGAAGAAGTTGACATAATGAGCCAACACATGGATGCAGGTAAACAGTAAGATAGCATATGCACACTGCCGGTGGAACCACTGCGTTTCGTCGAGTGGCAGCCATCTGAACTTCGGTCTGACGAACCTCATCAGATTACGGCACATTGGCAAGAGAATCAGTGCCACATCCACAGACAGTACCAGACCTGCTCCACGAGATGACCACACGGAGAAGGTGAGCGTGTTCAAGGCTGCCAGCCGCTGGTCATCTGCCTGCTTCCACCATCCCAGCGCAAACAAGCCCCAGTGAAATGTCCACCATAGCACATAGAACAGTATTTTCGACGGCGCAAAGTGAGACTTCCACGTCGCCATTGCGGCGGTGACTGCTCGTAAAGTCTTTGTTGGTGCGGTTTTCGTTGTGTTATCTCAGTCGCATAGTCCTGTATTGTACTCTGGAGTCAAGGTAGGCAGAAACTACGATTGAAGAGTCTCGTCGTCCTGCCAACGCTGATGCTTGGCAGCGAGTGTAGGGGTCTTGCTACGAATCGATGTTGAGGTTCAAGTCGATATCAAGGGAGAATCGTCTAGTGCTGCAGAATTGTTGCGGGGTTGTAGCAGCAACAATGGATGGCTTTGATGATAATTATTGCTATGGTTGTTCAGCTCTGGCCTTTGCTGCAACAAGAGTCGAGCTTGGGACGTAAGACACTTGGTCGAAACGACTGTTGAGCGAGAGTTTCTGGTTAAGGTGTGTCAAAGGGAACGTCACAGAAGTGATCAGAGTTTCGTTCGATTAGCAAATTCCAGCACACTGGTAAAGTCTGAATCACGATCGAAGCGATATTCTCACGAGATTTCAAGAAAGATGACTGGTGGCGTAGCAAACACGAGGTGTCGAGCACAGGGTTAATGAATGTGTAGAGCAGTGATAGAAAAGAACTCAATTGCATTCGACATGTGTGACCCATGGAGCAGAGAGCATTTGAACAGTGTCCCCAGCTATGCCTAGAAACCGAAGGTCTGGGCCGAGAAACAAGGGAACAAATGAGAATCCCCATCTCAAACTGAGACTGCGTCTATTGGGCACAGTAATGTCAGAGCTGTAGCCGAAGCGCTGGCACCAGAGACGGGGTGAAACAAGATTAAGTTAGCAGCAATGTGAGCTCCTGCCTAGGCCGAATAATGGTTGGGAACTATGCCAAATGAGTTTGAGTAGACTCAGTACATACGTCGATTGGGCTTGATCTTTAGGGCTTACGAAAGCGTGCATAAATGTTGGTTCTTCACACAACTCGAACGGCATGAACTTTGTGATAGAAAGCGAGGTTGATAGCTGACTAGCTTCTGTCCATGGAGCGAGGCTGGGAACTTGGACAAGGAAGGAAACGTGCAGGAACGTGTCGGCTGTCGGTCACAACTTACGCTAGCGTCTACACCAATCAATGTAGAGGACGAACCGCTGGCCCAGACTTTGCATTTTTGAAGCACAACCAGTCACATCTCTGTTTCTACCTTTCCCTTCGAACACTGTATGTCGAAGCGCTGCGACATCCTGAGCTTCAGCATGTCCATTCACCTGATTCGTCCAAAGCTCAGCACGGTCATGTTCAGTGCTTGCCGTAGCTTTGCTGGCTCAAGTTACCTTTGTGCAGGTATTCCACCTCGATGTTCGAGCGCGATAGCTACCATTCGTCGATCTGTCTACGCTTGATCAAATGCTGTCTGCATTTTGAGCAGCTAGTATGTCCGCGCCGCACCGAGACTGGCCTTGACCGCCATCAGCCCTTTATCACTATGCGTTGCTAGCTCATCACCCAATAGTGCATAATCTTATCACGCTTGGCTGAATGAACTCGATCTTCAATTCGGGACTCATGGCTCCTCTTGTGGTGCTCGTGGCATTTCCCTCCCAGATCGAGTGGAGGCATCGAACTCTAAGCGCCGTTCAATCAGATGCATGGAAATGCATTACAGCACTTATGCGAGTCTCGAGTCAGGTAAGTACTCCGGTCCAGGACACAGGTTTCATGCTCTTCTACTTGTCCTTCGCGCTTCCCGCAACTTACGTCTCATTTATGTACATCGTCGACACAGTCTTTTGAAGAGTTCGCGGAATCAGAGACGGGATACCAAACAGAACTCCGGACGTGTAGTGTGTCGCAGCATTCTCGCAAGATCGACCACACCGTGACCAAATCGGAGACATCAGCTGTTTGGGAAGGACCTGCTATTCATGTTGTAACGATATCAACCTCAACTCGGAACCTTGCTTGAAGCAAAACGGCCCAAGCTTCATTAGCAGCGTCAGGAACCGGAGCATTCCTGACCTGGTCAGCAGCCGAACTATCTGTCCAGGATCAAAATAACACGTTCTGCTCGCAACACTGCCCTGACTTGCTGTTCCTTGCAAGTATAGCAGCTGGCGTGTGTGTCTCTACTCTCTACTGTCAAGCACACCGACCTGTCCCGAGAGCTGAGCTCGACGACAACGCATTGCAGCATTGGCAGTCTGCTTCCGAGCTCCAAATCTATACCTGTCTTCACACCTCCAGTGGACTAGTATGGGCAAGCTCATCAAGACCCACTGGTCTCGACTTATCCTCCTCACAGCCAGCACATACCAGCTAGCAGCAGCGATACACGGCTACTTCTGGCCCAAGATATTCTGGGATGTCCTCACCAAAAATCTGGATGCAGCGGTCAAGCCATATCCAGTGCTGCAGTCTATCAACCTCTTCTTCGCAATAATAGCTCTGGTCATGGAGTGGCCTCTACCACTCGTCACCAGATTCTTGCCCAGTGTGCATAGGAGTATCGAGGCTAGATTGGTCATCTATCCACTTGCGGCCCTATCTGCACTGTTGTTATACCAGGGCACGAACGCGGGTCTTTATTACCTGATAGGCATTGGGGTCTTATTCTGGGGCTTTTGTGAAGGAGAAGGAATTGCGCCAGAACCGTGGACTTTACCAAAGAACCCAGCTCTAGGAAGCAGGGTATAGCTTTGTATGATCACTGCCTTGTTAGGCCATTTTTTCTTATGAGTTAGCGAGCGACGAGCGATATTCAATTCCAGGAATAAAAACATTCCAGAACAGATGGTGTCTCCTGTTCCGCGTTTCTTTCGATTCCCTTCTCTATATACCACGAATCCACTCACAAGAGAACGCTAAAAAGCTGATATGCAGGTACGATCGAGTGTATGGTTCCCTTGATCTATCCACCGGCTTCGCACGTGCAGCGTCCTCTATGCTGCAGTGCCGCAAACTGAGGCCACGCGTGACAATCGTTGCGCTTCCGCACTCTAATGCAGGTGCAAAATGACTCTAGTACGACTCTCCAGCTGTTCGTCGTACCCATACAGAGCATATTCCACCAAGCTGTTGATCAATGGTCTCGACACTGGATACATTGGTGCGTCCAGTACCAATTTGCTGGCAGGCATGGGAGATGTCCTTCTTGCCTTCCCAACTCAAATTTTAAACTATCCTAGCAATCACCAATTTCGTTCACTTTCACTAAATCTTCCCTACCGAGTCTTGCCGTGTTATGTGACGATATTGTTACCGAAGCAAAGTATTGGTAAGAAGCTGTACTCGTGGTGCCAGTAACCCCTCGAGCAAGATTCGTGTTCGTACTACTACGTTGTCTAACCGCGGCTATCCGACCCAGTAGTCCTATCGCTTTCGCCGGCGATCCAAATTTATTCTCCTCCATCACGTCGTCTTCATTAGAGAGTAGACAATAGATTGCAAAACGAGTGGGACCATGTACCCTGCCTGTGCTAGTCACGGCCGTCAATGCTATCCCATCCACAGTCGATGGCATCACACTCATTCAAGAGCTTCAGCAGGCTTGATAATGTGGCTTGAGCCAGAACACAATAGTGACCACGACTCCTGCTTCTTGTGTCTGATTGTCTCATGGTACTAGGCTCGAGGTTTTAAATGCATTGATATGCGAATGCGAGTTAGTAAAATGCTCACCATGATAGCAGATGTGGGCTGTTACCCAAGGCTCTGTCGGTCGTGCCTGCCTTGTGCTCTTCACATCTACTTTGTCATGTTCTTGTGGCCAGCACTCAAGATCTTCTCCCACTAATTATCACCATTTGTACAGATCTTGGAATGGATTACGGTCTTGGTCAATGACTTCAATTTTGTCGATTGAGCTTGCTTGTTTTGTCGTTGAAGTCATTCATCTCTATCCTTTCATGAGCATCTCTTCCACACTATCATGGCAGCAGTCTTACATCCCAGCGTTTCCAATCCCTTCAGCACGACCCCAGGTCCTCCAACATGTCGACTGGAAAGTCCCTTCAGCTTTCCCGAGCACGCCCCCAATTTGGATACGATCAGTCTTAACACGATCATACGTGATCGTTCGCGTCAACCTTCGCCAGTCACCTCACTCTTCTCCGTGGCCTCTGCTCCAGCACATCGGAACGACGAAAATATCTCACCGTTCTCTTATCTGAAAGGAGAGGGCTTCCAGTTACGCTCAGTCTCAACACAGACACCCAAGGACAAAAGTCTCCATGGCGTCGATTATCGGACTCAAGGTCGCAATTTCTCCTTCCAGCCTATAATTCCAGACCAGAAGGCCCTGAATTGTATAGACACTTCTACAGCGGCAGCAACAACTCGATCGCACGATAGCAAGTTGGACGCGTGTCAGCCCGCTACGCAGTTGCCCTACGAACCTGACGAGCGAACCAAGGCGGTTCCATCGACCCCAACACCACTAGAAAAACGTACTGCCGAAAACGCTCAGGAGCTGTCTATCGCAAAAGCAAGGCCACTGAAACATAGCCATAATGCACTGCGGACGCCTGAGACTGGCTTGCTATCTCGAATCCGGGAGCTCAGAAACGAATCAAGGAGTAGAGATCGCGATACATCAGAAGCATCTCCAACTCCAGGCCAGTTGATTGCACACCAGCAAAGGCTTTCTGACAGTTCTTCTGGCTTTGTACACTCCATGAAGACAGCAAGTGTTACCAATGCCAGCTTCAGCATATTCCCAAGATCTTCTAGGATGGGTCGATCTACCGACAGTTACAACTTCCATGGCAGCCAGCCTCGATACTCTATGGATAGTGATCGGCCACTTTCAAGCTGCTCTTTCGACGACATCGCCCTCAGACGGGGGTTCAAGAGACAACAGGTGATCGATGAGCTGATCTCTACGGAGGAGTCTTATGTCGCCGACCTCAGAGCATTGGTATACCTCTACTCAACGTTATTAGCATCCACTTCTACCCTCACAAACCGTCTCAGGTCTGCTATCGAGCAGAACGTAGCGGACATATTGCACCTGCATGAGCGTATCGTCGCCAAGCTTCATAATGCGAGACTGCAGGCAGCAGCCAGAAGATGGGCTGATACTGCAATTCCTGCCAGACTGGTACAACACCGCTTGCAGATGCGAAGTTCTGAGCGTGCTGGATACGCACGGCCAGTTGACATGCATCGCTCCACAGGATCAGAAGAATCTGTACCTCCATTCGAACGACTTCTGCCACCCGGTGGGTCGGCTGAACCTATCGATGTGTACGAGCTTACGGCCATATTCAAAGAGGCTATCAAGGAGTTCTCTGCATACGAAGATTTTTGTGCTAACTTTGAAATCATCGGCCATGAATTACAGAAACACTCACCACAGCTCTGGCCAATGTACGAATCGGGCATGGAGTCACTAGCTAGAGCAGTTCTAGCGATCGATCAAAGACAAGCTCATCACAGGAAGGGTCTCACTGTCGGCGACCTTCTCATCAAACCAATTCAGCGATTGACCAAATATCCTCTCCTACTGGAGCAGTTACTGCATTGTACACCTGTGGCTGATGCACCTGATACACACGGTGAGCTCGATGTTGTTTTGCAAGCTATGCGAGACATGGTACGAATGGTCGACTTGGCACAAGAGAGCCCTTATACGCGTATACAAATCCAGAGACGGGGGTTGCTGCAAGATCGCATCGATCTCTCGAGGCTGAATGTTTCGAAAGAAGATTTTCGGTCACTTGGTCAGATCGAGCTTTGTGGTATCTTGCATGTAGCATACCAGACGACGGTGGCTATTACTGGAGGGTATGCTCTATGTTCCTTGATAGATGAGCACTTCCTGGTCGCCTTTCCCGTAGGGATCACTGGAAGATTTGAAGCAGTTGCCTTGATTCAGCTCTCCGACATTAGGATTGAAACGTCAACAGATGGCAAAGGTTTGTTGGCTTCCATGAATAAGATAGATACTGATTGTGCCACAGGCTTGCAATGTGCATCGAATTTCTTCACATGGAAGACCTCGTTTGCGTGCACAGGTTATTACCATGAGCTCATCTTGAGCGGATGCTCGAAAATTGAGGAAGACCAGTGGAAAGCAGGTCTACGTGGTGAGCTCAGCCAGCCAATGCATCACACTCTCGATACAGGTATGCCAGTCGCCACTTGTATGGCACTTGACCTGAAATCAGCTGGCATGGTGTTCAACTCGCAGAAATCCTTGTCGCGAAAGTCTTCCGTGCAACGAGCCGCGACAGTAGGAGGTCGACCGACTATTTCACATGTTATTGTTCGAAACACCCACAACGCTCAAGATTTGAACGAATTTCGAGACTCGTCACAGGCTAACAATCCAATCAATCGTTCTCAATCACATGGTAACACGAAAAGAGTCCCTGTTCTTGAGCCAAAACGCTCGGAGAGAACAAGGCTTGAGAATAACAATAGTGACATCTGGACCAAGGAGAGGTTGCCTTTCCCAGGCATAGTGGGCTCGAGAGGTCAAATGATCCGTGCTTCAGCTGGTACCTTGGCACGAAAGTTGAGCTTAGCATCAATCCATACACCGTTTTCGAAAGGTCGAACATCGAGTCTCTCAATGGCGAGCAGGAAGTCATACGAGCTCTTCAACGATGCCAAATCCACTTTCGAGATCCGCAGAAAAGATCCAGCTCAACCAATGCCAGCTCGGATAAAGCCTCGCGATATACCAGAGGTTGACGACATGCGAAGTGTGGTTGGCCGAATGATTGGTGCTGGTGCACCCAGGATAGCGCGCGACGACCACGATCTCGCAGTCAGTCGGACACGAAGCAGAAGATCTCGCAAGCCTTCCTACCGAGCGATAGGACCAGATGACCCTGCAGCGGTCTACTACGAAAGCTCTGCCCGTACCACTAATGCAAGTGGTTCTCATGACACCAGAGGAAGAAGAGAAACAGAGTCTCTGTCTATCATAGGAGCTGAAGGGCCACGACCAAGGAAGAAGAGGTGGAGTAGCCCAATTTCAAAGTTTCGAGAACTGAGATCTGAGGCGAAGAGTATACTGTATTCTAGCTCCTCAGGAGCATAGTTGACGAAGCTTGGTCATCAACATACTAGAACCATATGTGTAATATGTCTAGATAGTTAGTGTGAATACTGATATCGATCATTGCTCAAGCAAGTTCACATTATGTGTGTCAGCATCACATCCACAAGCGGACTAAATCGTGCTCTACACGTCTGCGCATTCATCTTAGAAAGCCGGGCTGTATTGCTGCCCGTATCAGCTCGGCTTCGACATTTGACATGGCAGTCTTGTTATCCATGGTAGGATGCCGATTGTGACCTCTCCTGTCAATATGGGAAACCGTCCTCATCCCAAGCATCCGCATCAGCTTCATCCCTGTCATCCTCATCCAGGCCATCTGAGTCTTCCTCCCGCCAAAGCTGGTCGACACCAAACTCGTCCTCCACCTCAACAAGAGACTCGGAACCATAAACCGGACTATCGTATGGTTGTCTAAGCATTTGTCGATCATAGCGTTGGGCATCATACACGATCCTGAAATTCTCGTTACCCGTCCACGCCAAGTCGATTAGGTCGTGGGGGACTGGGGTTTCCCGGAATTCTCTTCTGAAATCGAAATATCCGGGCTCGATTGTGAGATGATTGAGTGGACAGAGGTGGCTGTCTGTTTGGAGGATGAACTGCTCGACCTGATTGGAGAGGTTTGTGGTTTCTCCTACCTCGTCGTCGATGGGAGTAGGACATCGCTCTTGTGCTTTGTGGTTATGGTCGATGCGCCAGTCTTGCATGCCGCAATTGGTCAGCTTCCCTTCTAGGACGATGTTCTTGAGGTTGAGATTTTGTTGCATCCACTTGATTAGATCGACGAGACAGGATCTAGGTCCGTCTCGTTCTTCTGGCGTGATAGTCAGACTGTGGATGTAGAGGCTCTCCAGACTGACGGCGCAGTGTAAGAGTATTCGCTTCATCTCGGTGCTAGTACAGACCAAGTCCTTGAGCATGAGATCACGAAGGCTGGAGCTGAAGGTCAGCTGTGCAGAAACAGGTTCGTAGTAGTCTCTTTCTTGTTGGTCCGGTTGAAACATGGAACGATCTTGGACGTTCCCGAGACGGTAGGCTGAAAAAGATCTACCAAAAGCCAAATGCAAATTGTTAAGGTTTGTGGCTCTAGATAGAATTGTACAAAGGCGGTCAGTGAGCTCGCGTCCTGTATAGTCTGGCATGCCATCAGCTGATACAATTTTCAGGGAGGTTAGGTTGCATAATGCAGCTCCAAGCACATGGGAAAGATTCGTAGAGCTTCCTTGCAGTAAGTGCTCCCATCTGGTCTCTAGTAGCGTTAGGCTTCGTAGGGGATGCACAAGCTTTTGTGCTGCCAGCAACACAGTGTGAGCGTAGGAGGATGAAATTTGATCATCTCCCTCGTCGAGATGTAGTTGAGCAAGCAAAGTTGGATCGCAACCACACATCTCCTCCACCAGTTTGGCATAGAAATCGGGCAGTTCATCCAAAACGATATCCCCGTGCCGGCTCAGTTCCTCTGGAATTGGATCCACAACAACCACGGACTGAAGGTGAGGCAAGCGAGCCAATGCAGATTCTAGTCGTGTCAGCTGCCAGAGATTGTCAATCGCTCTATTAGAATATATGGTCTGATTGTTCAGAAAGTCTGCATGCTTGAGATTCTTCTTTTTCTTTGCACCAAATCCATCATCACTTGTATCGTGTTTCCACAACCACTGTATGGATCCGTGCATGCCTTCAGTCAGAAGTACATACGATGCATCGTACGTCAGACGAGTGATCAGTGGCTGAAGTCGAGGCGTTGTACAGATACGATCGAGTCGTTCGAAACTCCTCTGATGCGGATAAAGCTTGAAGTGCTTGAAGATCCTTGCCGTTGTCGAATCTAGTAGCCTTCTCGCAGTCAACCGTAAAGCTTTCAAGTCCTTGTTGGTGAGACTGTCTAGTATCTGATTGATCAGTTCGTCTGGTAGTGAGGGCAGCGAGGCTGCCGGCTGCAACAACGTGGCCTCCATTACGATCCAGGTACAATTTTGACTGCTTGATGCGAGGTCCAGATAGGTGCCAAGTGCGAGTTGCTGGGTCTAGATACTGTCAGTGGTACATCATAGGAGACACAGTTTGCGGCCACGATAGCCCGTCTCACGTCGGACACGTCTCACTTCCATTTCATTCGCACTTGCCAGGCTTGAAGTCAGGCAAGCACGACCCAGGTCTTGGTGATGGGAAGCCTGGGAGGTATTACATTAAATCAGAACACAAAGCACGTGACAGTGGTGCCGACCCGCTCAATATAGTCTGCCACTGGAGCACCGAACAGCGCACATTTTGGAAGTTATTGTCTGGCAGCACATTCCTTTTATGACTATCAGATTCAAGCTCAAAGTCACCGACAAGCATGTTGCTTTTGGACTGGATTGATGCCTCAGGCACAATGAGCGACTGGCGTGCCGCAAATCAGACGAACCAGGCAAACGAAAGTGTACGATCTTGCCAACAAGACAACGAAATACTGCTCGAAGAAAACAACAGAGAAAGAGTAAACATCATGCTGAATCATTTGGTCGACTTCGAAGACGCAAAAATGTGGCTGCTGTTCAAACGGGCAAGTAGTAGTATGCCCGCGCAATCGCAACGTGAGATCGAAACGGGAACATGTTGACATAGACAAGAGATGACAAGAAATCGAATTATGTCCTCCAATGATTACAAGCCTTAATCTTAATGTGTAAAGCAACAGCATGGTAGCCTGATTCTTCTCTTGATGCTTCCCTATCGTAAACCAACTTGGAGCATCGTCTTGCTCCTGAATAAACAACGTTATGCTAGCATCGAATGATTTCAAGGGAGGCCCCTTTCTATCATATTCGTGTTCTCAGAAAATACGCCGTTGATTGCATTGATCTCTGTAAATGGACCTCGCTGCTGGAGGTTTGCGATAGACGCGATTCGCCTTGAACACCATGCATGAAAATGCTGTCGTTAATCCAGTGATTGGCTTGAAGAATGTACATACGTGACAACTTCAAGCATTGTCGTCACGCATAAAGACTCGTTTGCAGAAAGCTCCCGAGTTTTCCCGTTTCTGCAGTCTACAACGACTCAACAAACAGTAACACATTCGGTCCGACGTTGTTATTATGTAAGCAACGACCTCTCCTAGAAGAAATGGGTGTATACTTTGGAGGACTCGTGGACTTCCATCTCCTGAATAAAGCATTAGCATATGTCACGTATTTGAAGTGAAACCAAACTTACCATTTTGAAAGAGTTAAGTTCCTCCTTGATTTGTTGAGCAAGCATAGGAGTCAAGCGATTGCAGGTCGCTATCTCTCCGCGGCGATCATATTCACCACTCGGCCACGTGTCATGAAACTGGATGCGAGGACTGAAATGAATGTTCTTCACAGGCGTGATGGGTTGTCCTGTTTTCGAGTCCAGACTGGCAAAGCGGGAAACGGAGCCAAAGTAATCGTCATTGTGGTCGTTAATCGTAACAGAGTCAGCTGCTCTCTGAATGCCTGGCAGCATTTCGTCCTTGGGCGTGCTCGGGGCACTGGATCGAGGCGAGTCGTTAACGTGAGGAACATTGGGCAGAGCTAGTTCTGGCGCACGAGAGTCGCTCGGTCGTAGACTGGGTGAAGACTGATTAGAATCAGTACGTTTGAGAATTCCCTTCTTGACAGCGGCAAGCACTTCAGCGCGCTCGCGCTCGCCACCCACGATACTACGTCTGGAGCGAGTATCTGTCGAAGCGGTGGCACTTGTCTTGCTGTCCAGCGACAGTTTGTTGTCAATAGAATTTCTTTCCAATTTGGGGAAACCAGTGCCACCACCTTGATGTGCATGAGGGTCGAGGTTGACATTGACCTTCTCTCGTTCGGCTTCAACAGTCACCATAGAGACTTGCGCTGCGCTGGCTTGGTTTACTGGGCCGTCAGCGGCAGGCACTCCAACAACCGATTTGGGCCGGAACAAGCCAACAAGCGAACGTGTTCCCTTCTTCATCCCCTTGCCCATCTTTCTCAACATTATAGAGGCCGATGAGGCAGTCGAGGATATGGAGAGGTTGTCGGTCGACCCGGTGAAGAAATGCCCTTGTCCAGAATAGATACTTTCACCCAGACCAGCCGCTTCCTGCTTTGCAGCGATCTTAGCTGACTCTGGATCTAACTCTTCTTCATGGCGCGAAATACGTTTGTTTACTGCTGGCTGTGCTGCTGCGTTACTTTTTTCTAGATTCGCCTGTGCAGTAGCTTTTCTCAGTTCAGCAGCACTCCCAAAGGAGAAGGCTCGTCTGAGTTTTGACTTTGACTTCTTGGTATCTTTCTGATTGAGAGCTGAAAGGTGTTCAGCTGCCGGGCTGAGATTGGGAGGAGGTTTCACCTGTGAAGGTGCAAGGCCCGCTATAGCTGCAGTCGACTCGTCACTGGGGCTCATGGGTCGAGAAAGTGGAGAGGGATTGTTGACTCCGGAAGGTGTACGTCTGCCAGAGTCTGCATGTCGACTTTGCACACTGGCCATACGTGAATCTTGCTTGACACTATGGGTGGGATGTGTAGGAGAACCCTGCGACATAGAGCCGGCCGTACCATCATTACGTGCAGACGAAGGTCTGGATGAACGTCCCGACAGATTAGAGCTAATACTTTCGGAGCTTTCGGTATGTCGATGCACAGGTGGTCTGTTGACCATCTGAGAAGAGATGTGGTTGTAGTTGGTGGGTGGCACAGTAGCATTTGAATGAGAAGTACTGGCTACGGTCTCGATGTTATTGACACTGCGTCGACGATATCGAGAAGCGGATTCTTTTTCCTGTGCACGAGCCAGGTGTGTATCGTCATTGGAGGGTTTTGGCGTTGAGGCATAGGTTGTGCCCCTGTACGACGAGTTTGAGTTGAGGCTCGGAGTGCTTGAGGATTGGCCAGGATGGTTGTACAATTGTCCAACAGCAGCCATTCCTGATCCAGATGGCAGGGCGGAAGCATGAGGTTTGGAGGTGGCAGAGTCACCCGTATCAGTGCGACGGATATTCCGATAACGACTGGGAGTATTTTGTGACTGACTTGAGGGAGTTTGACTCATGTCGTCGCTCGGTCTGATGACGGGTACGAAGTTAGTCGCTGGCGGCGAAGAAAGCGTAGACTTTGAGGAAGTGTTGTTTGACAAACTAATAGCTCCTGTGCTACCCAGATTAAGCACAGGCAGTTGAGGAGCAGTAGAGGCCGCCAGCATTGGGCTTGTCGGCTGGGATCTGTTATGCATGGCAGTAGGACTCAGCTGCGGCGTGCTAGTGAATGCATATGGAGCAACAGGACCAGAAGATGGTACTCCCCTGTACCCTGTACTCGAGGTACTGCCATATTTCTGACTCGATCTCGAAGCTTGGTGGTGATGGTTCGGGCTTGGGCTATAGCGGTCGGCAGAATTGGGTCTTTGTTGAAGCATTGTCGTTGTTGCTGTAGGAAAGGCTTGCACCAAAGCTGCCATCACTCTCTCTTGAAAGTGCCTGTAACAATCCCTTGCTCTTTTGCCTGTACCACGATGTCAGGTCTGATTTGCTCGCCGTTCTCAGCCAGATTAGGTAAAAGGGTAGAGTGATTAAAAAGACAGGCCAGCCTAGTGAAACTGTTCAACAGTGATTAGCGGAAGATTCGATCGTGATGGTATTGTCGTCAATTCGAAAAGGGATGGAGACAGCAATTGTTGAGAAGGGTACAGCGAGGTGTGAGGTGGACACGCTCGTGTTTCAACCACGTCTGCCACAACTCTAAGATGTGTGCATGGTGATGAAGGGCCTCGCGAAGACGAGATCAGAGGCAATCAGCACGTAAAAGTGTGGACGGGAAGGTGCAAGACGACAGGAGGAGAAGTGATGTTGCAGTACCAGAAGCGAAGGTTTTCCAAGGTTAGAAGAGAGCCTCCGAAAGAGTGCTAGACGCTCTCGTCCCGAGTGGCAAATTAGAATCAAAGCCGTCGATGAAACGAATGTCGTCGTGTGCAGACTCTATTCTGGGAGTATCGAAGTGAAGTGTTAGTGGTATTGAGCAAAATCAATCAAGAATACAGAAGCAAAAGTAAAGGCAAAGATGGCCAGCTGCAACACAATCCAAACCCACGAGGTCTCTGGGTGCAAGGATGGATGAATGGAGATGAATGGAGAGAGAAGCGAGAAAGCAAGGCTCGCAAAGGGTGCGCCGGCGTGTCTCATTGGTGGTCTTTGCACCTGCAATGGACGAAGCACAAACCCATCGGCGGATCTACTGCTGGATGCAAAGCACACCGACGACACTTTCACACGGTGATGCGCGAGCACAGGGGGATTTAGTGCAGAGTAGTCGGTGGGGAATCGCGCACCACTACGACCAGTTTGGCTCAGATTGCAGGCCTCAGCTCCTTAAACATGCTAAGCCTCAGCCTAACTTAGCTTTCATATTTCACCCCTTCAACCCATCCTTTCTTTACACAGAGAGTCGTCTGAAGAGCATGCTACTAAGATCGTGCCAATTGGAGCACTGCTTGTGTATGAAACTTCCTTCCTCTGCCACGAAATATCGAAGTCGTGTTCCCTGTGAGAAGTTTGCAAAATAATCGTGCAACACCACAACTTTGGCATCCTCCGAGATCCGTGGCACTCCCGGTCATACATAATAATGCATGTTAAACCAAGTGTCTTATAGTATAAAAAGTCTTGATCTCACACACTATCCCATTCCCTTGCCACTGTATACACAATATTATCGCACCAAACTCCTTCCATTGGCCAAATCCAGCTCTAGTGTAGAAGGCTATAAGTGCACGTTAAGAATAGCCCAGACTTTGATCCCACTCAAATATTCATGAGAAGCTATGGCCTCAATACGAACACCTATGGGTCTCCAATCCCAGCCTCTGTAGGACTAAATTCTGGAAGGCAGAGAAAAGACGCGTTCTTCCTTCGACCAGTACCCGCAGAAGGCATCGACTCAAGCCTCGTATTTGTAGCACAAACCACTTCATGTTGTCGTGTTCATTTTGACGCATGGATAGCCCATGCGAGTGTCTCGGAGCCTCCTTACGGACTCAAGCTATACGCTGCAGCGCCTGATGGCACTCCGCATTCGCGACAGGGGATGTCATTGTTATGCTCCAGTATGACAGGATGTTGTTTATTCCCTCTGCTTCGACGCGAACGCGTGGACTTTTTGGAATGTGACCTAATAAGCAGCATTCACCACCCCGTATAGACAATTCGAGTCCTGGGCAAAAGTACATTGCTGAACTGAACACAAGGTTCTGACTGCGGTTCTCTGCAGGCTATGCATGTGTATCTTACTTTATGTTATGTGCATTATCAGCTGTTCGAGTACTCGTTGCAGCGCGATGCCGACATCTCGTAACATAGCTCATCGTCAACAGTCGGTCAAATCCTCCTTGAGCACATGTCCGTTGCCTTCGCTTCGACTCCTAGGCGATTAGTGCGACGCAGAATTGTCTCATTTTCACATGATTGAAGAATTCATATCTTGATCATGATTTGCAGATATGCCAAGCTACATCTATCAGTATGGCGGTTTGTGAGCCAACCAATACACAATCGCTTGTGCATCTTGTTGCATGCTTCATCAAGCACTTGACAGTACTCTTGCGAAGCAGATAACGCAATTCGCCATTGCGTCCAATAATGAGCATCTGCAAGCACATTCATACAAATAGACCCTTGCACATTCCGATCAATCAAGCACTTTGCTAATCATGCCCAGCCACCAAACTCTACATCGTGTGTTGCTTTCTGTCGTACCAGGAGCCGCATGGCTTTGCCCTCACGGAGTCATAGTCCCGCACGGCACCATCTGCTATCATTTACCGATGTTTCTTAGCCCTGCTTTCCTCCGTTTCTTGCCAACCAGCTAACCACTTTGCACGACAATCGAGACAGGTGTTGTCCCGCAGCAGGTCGTACTCAGTGCAGGCTTTCCTGCAAGGCAAGGCCAAGATCCAGGTCTATCCAGGGTGCCAGGTATACTGGGCGCTCCGACATAGCTTCCTAGATTCTTGTGATCGTTGCCTCTTGCCACCTAGCCAAGACGATAAGTCTCTTCGCAATCGAGCTAGGAAGAAATGAGGGTCCATCTACTTCGAATCAACAGGAAGGCACAATGTTTGGTCGAACCGTTCTTCCCCGCAATCAAAAGCTCCGGCTGCAGATCACGCGGAGCTGCAACTGGACGCTAGACCGGACAGTTAACAGATCACTGACGTGTATCTTCAAGCTTGAAGCATCAATCACTGTCAACCGCATTCAGTTTCTATGTACTGATGACAACTCGATTATGCGAGATGCATCTTCCTCGTCGAAAGTGCGGAGCCATTGAGGAACGTACTGACAACATTCACCATCTCTAGTAGTCTTCTCAAGGGTAAGCGCGCTGTTCAAAAGCACTAACCTCATCACAATTAGTGGAATAAAACAATCTGTTCGATCGTACACTAAGCCGAAGTTCGAAAGCTAATCTCTCCTAGATCGTCTTTGAGCAGGGATCGACCTGATTTTTACCCGCTCTCCACCCCCACAATCGTCAATGGAGCTCCATCTCTACTCCAGATCTTCCACTCAGCATGCAGCCTGAAGATCTAGAGCTCGCTGGCTTTTGTTTTACCCCAGCCAGCCAACCACCCCATTATGGTCGATCATGCTCGAGGTCGATAAAGTGTCTGGACAACCGCAAAGTACGGAGACGCAATTCCATCACGACGGAAGAAGAGACACGAGATCGACTCAAACATGCGTTAGGTCCTGCAATGCTCGAGTACAGTTGTACGCGTATATACACTAGCTGATCCTTCACCGACTTCGCTTCTAGTCGCCTAGTCACCAATTATGGCCAGCGTCCCTTGTCTAAATTGTCCTACCTTCCCCAAACGGATAGGTCCTTATGTAGTGCTACCTACCTACCCCTGGTAGACCTCGTCACGGAACAAGATCTGATTCTCTCCGAACACTGCACACCAGAACAGCTCCCATCACATCAGAGCTCCAAAAGTCTGCCGCACGGCAACTGAGCCGTCGTATTGTACCCTTGATCATGCCACGACGTGCAGTCGTGAGATGCCGGTAAAGCTCACGTGGATCGGGTCGCACAGCACTTTGGAGTTGTGACAGCTCTGTCAGACACTGGCATCGGAAATAATCGAGGGTGCAGACATGCTTCGAGGCCACAGAGAACTTCTGTACCACCAGACATGGTGTCTCCGACTCGCTTTCCGACGTTAGGGTTTGTCAGTGACATTGGTGGCGAGGCACATTGTTCTGACATGTATAGTCACGAGCTGGTCGGGTGTATATCCTTAGGTGAGCGTGACGGACCAAGATTGTATGGTAAGAGTGTTCGTTGCGATATCTGAGCCATATATCAATCTTATGCATACACTGCCTGCTATTGTCTTTCGTTCTCGAGCTTGATTTCACCATATACGAAGCCGTGAAGCGTGTCATGCCAGGTAGCTGTGGACATTCACCGCGGGTTCAAAGAAGTCTTCCATGGTATGCTGAACCAGCTCCATACGTACGTACTCTACCATCTGACACAACCATAGCGAGCTCAGATCAGCAGCTCAAGTCTCCTTGAGCAAAGCTGACTCCGATGCCAGGAACGTGTTCCATTGAAAGTCCTTCTGATTGAGCAGCATCCGGCAACAAATTCTGTTACCCGAACAGAGGACTAGGTCCCTCGTCTCTTCCTCACCACCACCATCAATGTATTCAGCATGAAATCTGCACCACAGATATGAGCAGATGGTCACCTGTCAGTACCACACCGTCCTGATCTTTAGGCCCGTGCTACAACCTTGTTACGTTATTTTACCAGATCTTAAGTATATACCCGTTGCTCTCGGACTACTTCTTGCATCGTCACAAACATCGATCTCGGTTGCTCGTGCTAGAGTGTGGTAAACGTCGTCTCAACAACGACAATCCTTGGGCGTCAGCCAATGGCTGGTATTCGAAGCTTAAAAGCGGAGGGCCGACCAGTTCGTTGCTGCAACAGCCCTGAAGAGCAAAATCGTCGTTACATCTGTCGGCTAGAAGAGTTCCCGATTGATCGACTGTCTGATATGAGGTAGTGTCGATCCCAATCTCGCACATCTGCTGTGTGGAATTGCTAGATTAACTCATCATTCTGTACGCGATCTCAAGCACCGACCTGTCTATCTGCAGCCCTGCATGATAGTAGGAATGGGCGAACAGTATAAGCTCACAAAGGACGCCGCAACGATAATTCGCTGTCGGAACAACCTGTGACTGTTAAAGGGTTTGCGTCAGGCAAACTCGCGCTACGGAGAAGCAAGATTAGATTAGCTGTACGGGACCCGATGTGGCTGGAAGAGTGCTTTGCTCGAACCCATCTTGTGTCACCCTCGGTTTTCGTTGGTGAGGGTTCCTAATCCGGAAGCTGCTGTCGGTGATTGTAAAGTCCGATGTCTCGACTCCACCACGACATCATTCACAAACCTTCAAGCTAGTTTGAAGAACTGCGGTGTTGGTCTGTTTGCGAACTGTTGTGCAACATGTCAAATCCATACGAAAACACAAGCTCTTGGCGAATTAAGGAGGTCTGATGTCGTGTAACGGACACATTCAGCCGGTTCTCGTGTCTGTCGTTCCGGCATATGTAGATCATAGGTGTCCGAGCTTTTCGAACGATACTCTAGCGAACCTATTAGGGAGGCATTCCTCCCGATCACTTTTCCTCAGCCGAAGTTTGGTTTAGTTCCTGTAGGGACCGGCGGAGGAGCCTGTAGATTGGCTGGCTTTCTTGGTGCAGGAGGAGGCGGTGGCTTTCTGGCTATTGAGGCAGATAGCTCAGAGATAGGCGGTGACTGTACTGGTTGTGGTACAACGGCCGAGTTCTGCGAAAGCTGAGGGTGTGAGGTATAAGTCCCTGGATTGTGTATTGGTTGCTGATACTGTTGCCCAGCCGGCACAGACTGTGGTGGCTGCTGGGCAGGATTCGGATCGGATTGATCGTCCAGAAATTTGTTGATCTTTGATGTCACTTTGTATCTCTGATCCCACGATTTTGCTTTGGCTTGAGCATTTGCGATTTTATCAGCATGCTTCTCTTTAAATCCACTGGCAGATCTCTGAGCTTGGCTGGCGGTCTGGGCAGCAGATTGAGCATCTGCCAAGGTGACTGATTGAGGATTCATCCTCATATTTTGTGCTGCCTTGAACGCGGATTGTGATTGCTGCCATGACGGCAAAGAGGTTTCTACAGGAGGGTTTGCCTGAGCATTCGGAGCAGTTGGGATATCAGTGGTGTCATGGGATGGCGATTTCACCTTTGCGAACCTCGAGTGTAGCTCTGATAACTGATTGGTGCTAGATGTTTGGGACTGACTACCTTCGTTTGCCCAGGGATTTGTCTCAGTCTGGTTGCCGATACCAAGACCAGGAACAGATACACCAGCCTTGCCTAGCTTACCAACTGCAGCCTGATTTATGAAAGGGCTTGTTGCATTCTGATCCGTCACTACATCGTACGAAGGAGGAGGTGGCTCTTGGGCTGGTGGAGATCTCGTGTTCTGTCTGGTTGGTAGTCTTGGAGGGAGTCGTGGCTGAATGGTGGGCGCCGGTGACTGGGAGGATCGGAGCCCACCTGCGCGGACTGGGGGAGGTGGCAGATTGTCTGTTCTCAAACCAGTACGATCTGCTCGATAAGGCAGTACTGGTGGTGATGGCCTTCCAGACTGTTCAACCTCTTGCGCTGTTGGAACTGCAGTTGCACTCTGGGTACGAGAGAGATGGTCCTGCGGCAGGGGAGCCCCAAGGCCCTCGCGGTGGGGAGTAATCTCGTTGGGCAACGCTGCCCCTCCATGGTAGTTAACGTTCTTTGGTGGAGGACCAAAAGAGGAAGGATCTTTCAAAGTCGCCAGTGGCCTCGAGACGTGTTCGTTCGCTGCTTGTAGTTCGGCGTGTTTGCCCTTGCCCATCCAACCTGCCTGTCAATGTTTCCGTCAGCATCGCAGTCCTGGTACGAACTTTCTTTCCTAGCTCACCACTTGATTGATGCCCTTGAAGTCGCCGCGCCATGACTCGCGACCACCATCCTTTCCTTTGGGATGCCAGCCTCCTTTCATAATCCCCTTGAAATCACTCATTCTGGATTGTCGTACTACTACCTCAATTGATGCCTCTAATCAAAGCTTCAGGACGAGTACGTGTTGCAACGTAGGAACCGTCCAACAAGATAAACACTCATAGCCTTGCAACAATGAGTGTGCTGCATGCGCCGTTTGTGGCTCTGGTTGGAAGATGCTGACCTTCGCTTGAACATAACATGGTTACTGTCGTGGTTCGGCAGGCAATAATGAATCGGATGTACGGTTACGCACTGAGATGAGTTGAGCTGAAACTACGGTAAAACATGGGCCTTGTCTTAGTCATCATTGAGGGCTTCACCTGGATCTTTCGAAATCGACCTTTGGTACTACTAGTGAGCTTGACTTACAGCACAGTACGAGTATGTCGCTACAGTAGAGCCAAACCACGCACTCATTTCCACAGTGTCTTACTGCCGGAATAAAACAAGGTTCTTCAGTCGAGCCAAGGTATAGCATCTTCACGATTGGCACAAAAGATGTCTCACATTGTGCCAGCGAAACCTGCACGCACGTCACCCTGTCGAATCGCTCTTTCAATAATGGCCGCTTACGTTGCCTATCTGATCACGCTTGGCTACTAGTGGTACGCATGTGTGCGTCAAAAGCGTGCCATCGGTGCTTCGTGCTCCGACATTACTGCATCATACAGAACGAGATCGCCGAAATCGTCAAATGAGCATCAGGCGAGAATGCTACCACAGCCGATCAGCTTATGCCAATTCGACGCCATGTGCCGCCTAGCTGATCTTCAAATAGCAACCAGTGCCGGAACCATTGCTAATAGAACGAGGGATGCAAAACGCAGTCATCTCGTCTTTCGTGATTCGGACCATGCAGGGCAACGTCGTGAGCTCGCTGTTACAGAGGGGACAAAGAAGAAACAGGCGATGGCGTTCTCAAGGGTGAGGGCGTCTAAAGTATAGTCCTGGGGCTGCTTTTAAAGTTCTTATGGGCCACTGAGTCTCTATTATGTGGTTCGCTTCGGACCTCCGCTACCTGAAGCCCCTCAACCTTCGCTTTGCTTGCCTTGGTTTTGGCACTTGGACTGGAGCTAAGGTTTATGGGCTGTCAAATGTCCAAGGATTAGGCTCGTTGAGCGTGTAAGCTCGGAGTTGTTTCTGCCTCTTATGTATTGAACACCACTTACCAACTCATTGGCGGCTCATCCTTCTATGACAGTAAGACGAGTCCAAGCTGTCAGGCTCGCTCTCGGCAAGGCGCAGATTCGTCACTCATTCAAGATCCGTATTTGAGTGTCATCTGCTAATTATTCATACGTTCATTCTCGTCTCTGCACTGGGGGCCCAATCTTCGCTGCTTCGCCACGGACGCCGACATTCCCTCCAAGCAAGCAGTCGCACATAACCCAACATGTCGCCCTCTCCCCTTCCTCGTCCTCAGAACGAGCCATTCACTGCTACTTCAGACTTCGACACTGCTTCATTTGCATCCTTATATTCTGCGAAAAGCCAGGCTAGCCCCGGCCAGTCCAATCCGATGGATGGAATTATGTCTTCCAGACTGGCTTCCTTATCGTCGAATTTAGCGAAATCAAATCCAAGTAGTCAGCCAACAACTTTAGCAACATCGACTGTACCAACTTCAGCTGCTGCCTCTATTACCACACCTTCTGCTGCAAGCGCACCAAGCCTCTCAAGTGTAACGTCAACTCAGTCTGTTACCGACACTGCAACGAGTACGAGTATATTATCAGGTACAACAAGCTCACCGAGTGCTTTAGCCTCAAGCGCCGCCAACAATGCTACAAATGATCTGCAGAAGCAAGCAAGCAGTGGAATGTCCTCGCCAGGAATACAAGCAGCCATTGCGGTACCTGTTGTGGTCGTGGTTTTGGCTGGCATAGCATTGATATTCTTCTGTATGAGACGGAGGAAGAAGAGAGCAGCAGTGGTTGTCACTGACGAAATGGAAAAGACTCCTCAGACAAGCCGGCGGAGGGATTGGACAAGGCATCTGAGAGTCTTTTCGTTCGACACTGAATTGCTAATGGGAGGACGATACTCTAGTACGAACAGCATAAGGAGCCGACAGACAGGCAGTCTACGCAGTGCGACCAGAAGTCAGCATAGCGAGTCGCCCAGTCTACACAGTGTTGACGAAGTTGCTCCTCCTTATCGAGATGCTATCAGTGCCGCACAGCCCCCCAATATTGGCTCAGTAATAGCAGGCGCAGCTCCTGTTATAGGTGGTGCAGCAGCAGCAGGAACCCTCAACCGGTCCACGTCTAGTGCAACCGCGGGTACTGCACCACCTCCATATGGTGTTGCAGCTGGCAGACTTGCTCCAACAAGTCCTTCAGTTCGATCTCAGCACTCGGCCAGCAATCCTTTTGCTGACAACGAGAACTCGCCCATCAGCCATGCGGAAGGTTCGCCGTTCCAAGACCCCCCAAGTGCAACACCATCACGCAACTCCTCACTCTATCGAAGCGATCGAGACGACGCATCAACCATAGGGGGCGCATCAGATGCTGCCAGCATACGACAAGCGACCTTTGCCAGAAACGCATCAGTAATGTCTGGTGGAAGGATAATAGATAACGTCGCTCGAGGCACACAATAACAACACGGCAGATTATCAAGTTCTTTTGTCTCAGTATTGGCGATGTACGGCCTATTCGAGTCGTAGTCAAAAGGTGGAGGTTGAATTTATTTATATGCTCATGGAGCATGGTAGCAAATTATTCAGCTACTAACAAGCCAAGCAAGTTTGCCAGCATCCACACATCGAAGACGACGTGTGTGAGAACTTATTCATGATATGGATGTATATAGAGGTACGAAGTGTGTCGAAGCATAATGTATGTTATTGTCTTCATCGTCCTTTCGTGAAATCGATGTTCGTATTGGCCGCCAATGCTACATACCTAAACTGCTATCATGCACCATCGCAGTCCGGCAAGTCGGAGTCACGAAGTATGCAACCTCGCTGTCCCTATAGTAAACATGAAAGGTATAGGGTTTTGGTCAGAATAGGCTCAGCCCGGTGAGATAATGCTGCTCGCACACACTAGCAATCAGTGGTTGGTAGGGACGCTAGGAATGGATACTAATCAATGGCTTGCATCCTGCAAGCACTTCAAATCGTCATGATTCTGTTAGTATGTTCGAAATCTGCGGTCAAATCGAGATGTGTGCTACAAACGTTACGGCTTCTCGCAATGCGACAAGCACAAGAGCGTGTCGAAGAGACAGTAAGGTCAGTCAGTTAGGGCGTTCTCATAGGTTCCAGAGGCTTACGATCTCTTTCCCGGGGTTGTGTCGCTCGTGATAGGAAAGCGAACTTCACGAGCTCTGCGACTGTATCGGTTTGATAAACTTGAAGCCGGGGACAAGACTTCTTAGCGGCATTATGACAACCGAGCTGACGAATGATGGCCTATGAATTGCCTACGACCGTAGCCATTTGTATCATAGCCGTAATTGCTGCTTTGCAATATGTCGACATTTGTTACCACTTCGTCAAGCACGACTCCATACTCTAATCTAGTGCTTCTCACGGCGATGAACGCACTCCCTCTGTCTTGTTTGGTGCTGCTTCTTCCACAGGCGTTCATTTCACAGCAGCAGGCAGGTTCGCGAAAAGCTAATGGGCGGCTTGCGCAAGTTCAGCCTTCCAGCCTAGACCTGAGCCAATCACGCTGCGTCCAGAATCCGCATTCCTCTGAAGCATTTTAGAGTGATCCCGGCCGACTGGCTGTTTTGCGCTGCGCTGTATCTGTCATTCAATTTCGCTGACGGAGGGGCTGTTCTCCCCTGGGACTCAGCATTGCGGAGAACAAGTCCGTGTTGCTGATGTTCAAGAGGACACAAGACCTTGTTGTCAGTCGCTTTACAGGAGCGGATTTTGAGCATCGACGTTAATCCGGGAGAGGCTCCTTCAAGACCCAACCTGCTCCAACCTCGGACCTCGAATAAGCTACCTTAGCAGCAACGAACCCACTTGCTGGTTATTTCGGATTTTCTTTGAAGCTGGAGACAAGATATCGCACGTTGCTGAACACAAGCTAAGTTGGAAGGAACAATCGTAAGGTAGAAAGGACAAGGGTCTAATCTTAATGACTTGTAATGAGCTGGGTCTATACTCATCAGAGGTACGATTATAGCTCTAAGGCACACGAGCACGCATGAACAGCCAATTGATCATATCTCTCGCAGCAACGTTCCATATGTCGAGTCACACCATTCACCAGCATCGCTGCCAACCACACCTGCTCAGAATCTTGCTCAAAACTGGACTACCCCATCTACTCAACCCGGGCTGACTTCGACTTCTGCCATATATGCGGATCAAGAAGGCACAAGAGCAAGGATACATTCTAGACAAGCTCAAGAAGCACAAACCAAAGGGTTAGGACTACATGTCAGTCCTTACGCAGCAGCCCAGTCCACTTCAGTCTACGGTACACAAGGGCAACACACGTCTACTGGGCCACCGAAGAGACCCTCGTTGGCTTCGACGGCATACCAAACTCCCTATACACATACTCACCACGTATCTCAAGCAACAAGGTCGGCAAGTTTATATACACCACCACTCAGTGTAGAGCAGTTTCCGCAGTCAGCCCAATCTCACTCACAGATCAACATGACTCAAAGAAGGACGCCCTCTCAAGGTCACCGCCTCCTCATGGGCCCTCCCGAGACACCTAGCAGAGGAATGATACCACAATCGCCTGGCCTCTTCCCCAATATCCAATTTTCCCCAGACCTCTTTTCTCAGCAAATGATGGACTCCCAATCCGCACCTGTGTACCCTCAGCAGCGGCTTTTCTGGGATCCTGCCACCGCAACTCCTTTGCAGGGCACACCTCAACACTTTCACACTCCAATAGCATATCCTGACGACTTCAATACCTCATTCAATTCCAGTTCCACCATCGTACCCTTGAACTATGCTCCAACACAACAGGAAACGACTTATGATTTACCTACTACCAGCGAGCCTATGCATTCCTCTTTTCTAGATGTACCCAATTTTTCGACACAAGCCGCTTTCCACACGTCACCACGGCCACCTTTGCCAGCAGCCGAAAATCCCACACAATTTCTGAGCTCTCCTGCACGACGCTTCGGTGGAGACACTCAACTCGAAACCAGTACCAGGTGGCAGCAGACGCGTGATCTACCAGCTTACCACCATCAACTACAAGAGTCGAAAAGGGAACAGGAGATGCTGGCCCGGCAAAGACGCAAGTCGAGGACACAGAAACGGCCAGCAGAAGAAGACTTAGTCATGAAATCCGTTCGCAGAGCTTTGTCGCCGAGCAAAGTTTCGCGTCCAGCAGTTACACGAAGTAACACCCTCGCCGGGCATCCTCCTGCTCTACGGCGTAGCTCATCGACGATAGACAATATTTCCATTACGTCGAGTATAAGTTCGAGGTCAAATCGTGCCGGCCGATCGTCACCACTTAGACAGGTCAACGACAATGTGCGACGAGTCTCAACCCCTGCTGTTCTGCGGCCTAGCTCTTCCATGAGCCTCGAGATCGACAGGAATGGTGTTGCGCGGACTATCTTGGCTGAGCTTCCCGAGAGAACAAGCGAGGATATGGAGGAAGGATACTCGACGGAAGAGTTGAGTTCAGAGGACGAGATGGACCATCAAATGCTCTACTCTTTCGATGGCAAGTCCCAATTGGACAACGATTCTATATCTCGTGGTGATGCTCGAGATGAGCTAAGATCAAGTGTATATTTATCTATGGGTACGGACAAGTCTGCCCAGATAATCCGAGACCCTATCATCGATCCTAGGCTAGGCCTTAACAGCTCCATGAGCACCATAAAACGTGCACGTGGAGAAACTTTGACAAGCTCGAACAACGATAACGCCAATCCCACCAACGCTCAACAAGCACTGCGCAACCTCATGCAGGACAGATCCCGATCAGCCTCGTCTCATGCTTCTACATCCTCTATGCAATTTCATTCTTCCCCACCTTTACAGCAAGGTCATCTGCCTAGGTATAACGCGTCTCCAACCACCGCGAACGACGCAGAGCTGGCCACGCCAAGCACAGACGTTGATAGCATTGGTAGTTCAGGGCAAACACGGTGTGTCTGCAATTCTGCTTCAGCTGAGGGAAACCTCATGCTTCAATGGTACGTCACTGTTCTACAGTATATCTTCCCTCGTCTAATAATATAACAGCGATTCCTGCTCGAAATGGCTGCATGCAAGATGTATTGGACTTACCAACAAGAACATACCTGATCTGTTCATCTGTCCTTTCTGCGAACGCACACCCATACGGGGAAGTAGAATGCGCGGCACGTTGCGTCAAGCATCGTTCCACCAAAGTCCTCTTGCACACAAATCCGGTCGCCATCATTGAGTCGACAACAACCTTCTCAATACTGTATGCGTATAAGGAAGTACGTCTTTGCTTCATGTACTCGCTGCTTAAGATTGTACAAACAAATCTTGTTATCCTTTCTGAATTGGCGTCAACGGTAAATAGGCGGGACAGGAACATCATTAGGAAGGAGGAAAGCGATCATTTTGCACTCGATACATATACCCTGCATGCACGATCACATCGTACGAGCTGACAGATTCACCAAAAGTTATCAGCAGTTCACAATTGAAAATCATACCAATTGTTCCAATCATTTGTTATCGTCGCTAACTTAACTGAAGGTGACGCTGCTTCCACGCTAAATCCATTTCACGCCGACCAGGCAAAAGTGTTCAGTGGTAGTGAAGGGCTCACTAACCTCGACAGACACTACCATCCCTCGTCGTCGACCCCACCCCACAACCCAGCCACGTGTTATTTACCTTAAATACACAATGTCAAAAACTTATCACCAAATCACAGCACAACAGACAGCCCTTAGGTCGGAATGATAAGAGTAGCACGAGCCCCAGCCTCGTTTGCATCAGGTTCAATCCCCATGATGCAAGCAGGTTATTAACGAACCTCGACGCTGACGCCTAACCAAATCTGCAAAATTGTGACTATTCATCCATCCAAATCAACAAAACTACGGGTTTAGCAAACCTCTCAACTTGAGAAATGCGCGAAGCGTGGGTTACGTGTATGCAACGACCATAGGCGTAAAGCCGGGCCTGGATGCATCGTCCAGCGGAGTGACCTGGCTTCACCTACATAAGGATGTAGCCCCTTACAAGGGGTGAACCTTTTTATGTTTTGTTTCGATAAATTTGAGGGTTGAGTTCTTGGTTTTGTTTGTCTGGATGAGATGAAGGAGCGGGACTCGAACGCCTATCTATATACACAGCTTCGAAGGGTGGTTGTTTGTGGACAGGGTTTTCTTCTCCGTATGAAGAAGTCAATTCGGAAACAATCGTCATATCCTTTTCAACTGTGCTCTTGATGTTCCCTGCCTAAACTGACATCTCACAGCTACAGCTTTACTTCTTCTAGGGACTCGAATACACACTCTACCTTTCGGTGCCTACCTACGCCTTTACCTGTCAGCAGAACATTCTATTATCATCAAGATCAAAGGGATACCTCGCACCTCTTCTGCTCTAAACGATCTACCTGTTGACTTGCATTCCTAATCCGTGATCGTTTCGATTCAACCACTCTACCTACTGTGCACACAACTCATCATCATTTTCGGGGCTACGAAGCAATTACTCGATCAAGACAGGCGGCATGCTACACTCGCATAAACTTACAATCTAAAGAGAAGTGTGTCTCTTTTGACTCCCTCCGCGATCTACCTAGTCTAAGACCATGATAGCTGCAGGAGAAGGCATAGACTGTTGATCTATTTACCCCTGGATGTCAAAAAGAGTGCAGGATTTGGAGATGAGGTAGTTGTCTGGCAAGAGAATACTATGAGTGGGAGACAGGATCACATAGCGCAAGAAGAATATACACAATCTATACAATGCGATGGATTGCTAGACTCACAGTCCGGGGGTAGAGGTGATAACACATCGTCACGACGAGGGAAAATTGACGATATTGCATTGAGTATGGAACATTTTGAGAATTAGATAAATAGTAATATCTACAGGTTATATGCCTGCAGCCATTTCTTCTACCTATATGATAATGTCTCACCAAATGCTATGTTCAAATGGCACATACAAGTATATACTGGCTCAGCGCACGGCGAGAAATAATCTCAGCCGCAGGCAGTGAATTTGTGGCTGTGATCGCTTCTGCATTTGAGAAAGAGCAGAGATTGATCGCCATGTTGTCGAGCTGTTGGGTACTAGACACGATATAGTTTTGTCATGTGCTCGAAGCTGTTGCAAGATGGCCCCCAGTATAAGCTGTGTCGAAGACACCGTTCCCTTTTCGCTTCCTTCTTTTTTCCCTGCCGTGGTCCTACTGTTTTGTATTAACATACCTTTGAAAAACTGAGTGGGGTATCAGTTGAGATTATGGTCTCACGGGTGGTCGAGATCGGCCTGCAGCGTGCTTGTCCTCTGATACCTCGGAATCCTACCGCCAGGCCCCGAGGATGCGGAAAGTCGATGACATGTCGCCTATTGGCACGTCTTTCTTTACCATATTGTGAAAAGGACATCTTGACGGTGAGGTGTGGCCGGTTGCTGGCCAACCCGACCAGATGTTGACGTGCCTTCACTCCAGATGTGGCGGGGGGTGAGCAGGAGTCTCGATAAGCGTTGTCTTGTCGTCCCGACCTTCGAGGCAAGCACTTCACAACGGAAGTAAGCCATCAAGAAGGCTGGAGTGCTGGAAAGTCGTTAGGCAGACCACCGTGAGTCTCCCAAACCTATGCTCGTCTTTATAGCAGAGGAAAGCGTGATCTAAGTGCTGAAGTATGCGGAAGTGATCCTTTTCCCGAGGTCTAGCTCTCATCCACTTGCTCAACCCACCCAAGTGCTTGGCCAACCTGTACCTTCTGTCCCTGTTGGACGTTCCATGTCCAGCCGCCTCTAGCCTTACCTTCGTCGCTCGCAGATGGCTCGCCAGAGGGGGCTTCAAAGACCATGACGATACTGCTTCCTAAGGCAAAGCCACCCATCTCTTCGCCACGGGAAAGAGGATGTCCCTGAAGGAAAGCAGAAGCACCCTCATAGGTAGCTTCAGAAAATCCGGAGTATGCTTCGCCTCGTTCTTTAGCAGCATATGCTTGGCGATCGGCCTCAGTATCCGTTGTGAGGCTGTTGGTCCGTAGTTCTTTATCAAAATTGATTCTAATAGAGCCGACGTTCGTAGCACCAACAGGCGTGTAGCTGAAGAAACCGTACTTCCAATGTCCTAATAAGACAACACGCTCGTTGAGAGTAAATAATCCTGGTAAAGTCCTTTGGACGTAGGGCGAGACAGAATATAATTCGCCTGCAAAATGACGACGTGAAGTGCAGACCCAGGATACGGGAGAATGAAAGCGGTGATAGTCGCCTGGGGCAAGATAGACGACCAGATAATAGAGTTTTGTCGGTTCTTCAGCAGTGAAGCGAAAAGGATTCCACCAAGGTGCTTGTGTAGAGGCCAAGTCAGCAGAAACAGCGGCTTCTGACGACGGCTTTGCCTGGGTAGCTTGATCTTTGATGTCCTTCCGACCTCGTTGTGCATCGCCAGTGAACAGATTTGGAAGAGTGTAGGAGATACCGTTTATGCGAGCGAATTCTTCATGCTGTTCGATAGCGGCTGGATCAGCTTCTTTTCGGTTTGGTGTTTCGCTAGTGTGAGTATCGTGTGCCTGATCCTCCTGTCGGCGAGCAGGACTTGCGGAACGAGAAGGAGCTGACTGACCGAGCAAGGCATCGAGACTATATGTCATACCCTTGACCTGCTCAACCTCCCCATTCTGAATTTCACCAAATTGTAGAACTTTTCCATCCGCAGGGGAAAGGAGGGCTCGTGGGTTAGGGTCTAGTGGTCGTACATCCGGTTTGATTTCTCGATAGAAGAACTGAGCAAGGTTTTTAAACTTGTGCAAGTCTGGCTCTTTGATTTCATCGAAATTGACACCGAAGATCCAACCATATAACTTGAAACCAGGTACGCGCAGGTAGTAGGGTATGTCCATCTCGTTGAATTTGCCCCAGATTCGCGACACGGCTTTCAGTGGCAAGGTCGACATGACAGCTACCTGCCATCCTCCTCCACTAGGTCTGATACGTTCTCGTCTGGGTACAGGCTCTGCATCACCTTCCGCATCAGCGGCTTCTCTTCTCTGTATGCGCAAAAACTGCCAAAATCCCAGGAAGCCGATGCCCAGGGCTATAGGAATAGGCTTCCATTCGATCTTTGTATTGCGCCAGGCCCTGCCAGCACGGAAGGTGAAGTCCTCACCTGATCTTGAATTAGGACCTGGATCCTGCCTCCACGTCTGCCTCGATGAGCTGAAAGGTCGACGTTGCAGAGCTCTCCGGGTTATCGCTGAGCTGAACGAATAATGCCTATAGAGTGGCAAGAAGGGCTGCCTTCGGTAAAGACAAGTTCTCCCCACGCTCGTCGACATGATGCCACAAGCTCAATGGGATGAAACTTGAATGAATTGTCCTTGAGGTAATGGTTCCTCAATAACTTAGTCTTACGATAGAGTTAGCGGCGCCAGTTGCACGCGTTTAAGGTTGACTGCACGATGACATAGTAGCCCGAAAGTCATTCTCGGGGAAGGCGCGATGTGCATGGAAAGTCGTGGGTGCACGAAACAAACACGATGTCCTCTCACTACTATTTGACAAGAAATAGAACGAAATAAAATATTCCCGTCGCTTAATCCCCATGCATACATGCTATGTCTAGCCACACGAGACGGTAACATTCATTATATGCCAACATGGCCACCAACAACCTTTCTGATGTCGCTGCTTCTGATCCAACAATGCCAGACAATATCACCCTGCGCATAATCATTCTGGCTCATGGCAACCGTGCCGAAGACGATCTCTACCTCGTTCTGAACCTCGATACGACTATAGCTCAGTTGAAGCAAAGAATTCAAGAGACGCTATCGCAGCATCCTGTGCCAGACGTGCAGCGGCTGATCTACCAGGGAAGACCTCTGCTGGAGGACAATATACCTCTGCGTCAGATCCTGAGAATTGATCCAAGAGCTGGGAATGCAAACTCGTCGCATGTAGTCCACTTGGTCGTGAGGCAGCCGGCTGGTGGTGACGTCCCTCCCACAATCATGTCGCAAGCTGCGACTCTGCCTCAACGACCACCACCTGTTCCTGGTTGGCAGCAACCACATATACAATTGCCCTCGAATTTTGTGGTTCAGCCTGACCATGCGCGGATACACACTCAGCTGCACAACATGCAGCATCACGCCCACCACGCCCGTGCCCTGGCCAACGCTCATGGATTGCAACATCAAGTTGCACCAGGATTCATGCCTCAGCTGCCAGCGTTGAATGCTCAACCTACCACGACCTCCTCGATTCCGGGAGCAGACAGTACCCTTCAACCAGGACGAGTTGCCGCGCGTGTTGAAGAGACTATCGGCCCGAATGGAGAGCGCATTGTTGAGAGGGTGATCGATCAAATGGGCCCGAATGGAGCAATTACACGTACCAGGTTACGGGAAACCACCAACATTCACTCGTCCACAACTCTAAACACACTCAATCCCAACGTCAGGCCATCTTCTGCGCCTGGCTCATCCCCTGCTGTAGACTCGGATCCCACACGTCGTGCCGCCAACCACCCTCCTCTTCTTCATCCTCAGCCTCCACAAATACCCCTTCCTGCTGTTTTTCCTTTCCACCAGCAGCTACCACTGCCTCTACCCACCATGGTCCCACTACACATGCACCATTCGCCGATTGCGAATTCCTCTCACAGACAGCCTATGGCGTGGTTACTTTCATCGCCACAGGGTCCTCAGGGCCTAGTCTTCGCGCCGGGCCACGGCCTCTTTTCCTCAACACTTCCTCAGCAAGGACAGGCAACTCAGCTTGCACCGACCCCAACCGTGCCTCTTGTCAGACCACATCCTACATCTTCGGCTATACAGCCTCAAGCACAGCTCGTTATTCGTCCCGACGATGGTGTTGCAGAAATCCGCAGAACTGTAGGTCCACCACCACCACCTCAACCTGGCGCTAGACCACCTCCGCCAGGAGGACTGATACCCCAGCCCCAACCAGCTGCGGCTCCTCAAAATCGCCAAGCACACCAGCACAGACACAATCAAAATGATGTGCTGGCCTTTGCATTAGAGCGAACTTGGCTATTCATACGACTTTATGTCTTCGTTTTCGTTCTTTCCGAGTATGGTACCTGGCGACGCATAATCATGCTCACCGCAGCAATTGTTTTTTGCCTTCTGCCGCAGAACAACCCATTCAGTAGTGCCTTTCAGATTGCACGTCGCCATTTTGACAATTTAATTGGTCCACCAAATATCCCCCAACGACAGGCTCAAGAGCAGGGTCAAGCACAACAAGGTCAAATTCAGCCTCAGGTTCCAGGTCAGAATGGACAGACTGACCAGGCTCAAACGAGCAATTCGTCAGCCTCTCGAAGCCGTGCTGCACAAATGCCTACACCTGAAGAAGCAGCTAGACGGCTGCTAGAGCAACAGAACCGTCGCAACCCAAACCCAGTCATCAATTTGCTCTTTCGGATTGAGCAGGGTGTCGCCCTTTTTCTCGCTAGCTTGGTACCTGGTCTTGGTGAGCGACATATTCAAGCTCGAGAACAAGCGAGACGAATTCTGGAGGAAGAAGAGCGAAGGAATAGGGAGGAAAGCGAGCGACAGCAGCAAATGTCACAGGAAACCCCTGCAGCCACAAACGATGGCCAGTCTGGCAAGGACAACACAAGCTCTGCTCCATTGCCTGAGTCGTGGGCTACATCAGAGCCAACTCCAAGCACGACTGCAAGCTCAAGTGGTGTCGACAGGAATGTTGGCGATGACACCGGTGTACGATTACGAGGCTCTGGGGCGTAGGATTTTTCGAATAGATCGGAACAGGCGTTTTTGTGTTAGTAGGCGAGCTTGATCAGCCAGCAGTTGTAGAAACAGCGGAAAATGCAGAGAGCTGCAGAAAGGGCATTTGAGAATCACATACTAGACCTCGAAGAATTGTAGTGCGCAGCATTGTAATTTGCGAGGGTTTGCAGTGAACATCTCAGCTTTCAAGTTTTCCAAACTTGGAATTGTGCGTGCTACAATACCAGTTTATTCATGCTCCCGCACATCCCACAGACTAAGCGGCAGCCGCCAACTGCTTGCATCTCTGCATGATAGTCCTGCTCCCGCACAACAGATGAGCTTAGTGCAAACACCTGCTACCTCATGTACCGTGAAATTTATAGCCTGAGAATGGGTATCGAGGTTTCTGCTTCGTAGTAGCGGGTGTGATCCGAGGCTCACGACTCAGTAGACGGTACCGATGCACTCCTCATTTACCTGCCACCAGATCTTCCTAGAGCATATATGAGCTGACTCCCACTGCTGATGCTCTTTGACTACAGCCCAGCTTCTTGAGCGCCCGTATGCTCGTGTGCTTCTGCTGCAATTGTGAAGGCCCACTCATTATCGCGAAATGCTGTTCCCTGGCCTGGGTCTTCTCCTGCTTGTATCCTCGTTGTCCTCAGCAACCACACTTCTTATTTCATCCTATGCTGGGACAGTCACCTCCTTGTCACTGGAAGAGAGTGGTGGAAATTATACTCTCAGCGAGGTTGCTGTCAGTGGTGATTGCGGACCAAATCCTTCCTGGTTAACCCTCGATGCAAACCGTGGCCAGCTTTTCTGCCTCAATGAAGGCCTCAATACTGTGAATGGCTCACTGAGCTCATACACGATTAGCTCCAACGGTAGCCTAACACACATTCAGAATACTACTACAATCTCTGGTCCGGTCAGTGGTGTTATCTACGGCGAGCCAGCTGGACAAAGGGCTATTGCTCTAGCACATTATACGGGCTCAGCGGTGAGTTCATGGTACCTTGACGGATTTGGAAAGCTCAGCTTCAATCAAAATTTGGTGTTCAGTCTCAACGAGACCGGACCCGTTGCTGACAGACAGGATTCGCCTCATGCACACGAGGCAATCCTTGACCCTACTGGTCAATACGTTCTCGTGCCTGATCTTGGAGCGGACCTCGTGCGAGTCTTCTCTTTCGGCGAAGATCTCCAGCTCGACGAATTATCGCCTTTACGGACGACGCCAGGCGATGGACCAAGACACGCAGCATTCTACAATCCGTACGGGGTGGCTTGTGAGTCTTGTACAACATTTCTGTATGTGGTCAACGAGCTTGCTTCAACAATTACAGGCTATGCAGTAACTTATGAGCTGGACGGCTCTGGACTCAGTTTTGTGCGGGTGTACAACAGCAGCACATACGGCTACCTGGCTACACCTGAGGGCAACGCGCCTTCAGAGATACTTGTCTCAGTAAGTTCCACCACGCACACAACGACTTTTTAACAGCTGGACTAACCTTGCATTAGCCAGATAATCGCTTCCTGGTTGTCGGCAACAGGAACGATTCGTCCTTGCCGGTACCCAATCGAAATCCCAACAACTCAACCAACATCGATTCGGACACCATCTCGACATTTGCACTCAACCGCGATGGTAGCCTTAGTTTTGTACAGCTTGCTCCAGCTTACGGTAGTTATCCTAGGCATTTCAGCACGAACGCAATCGGCAATCTTGTCGGGGTGGGTTTACAACACTCCGGTGAAGTGGTAGTGTTAGAAAGGAATGTCGCAACTGGATTGATAGGCCCACCTGTTGCTCGATTTCATATTGATGGGCAAATCACCTGCGTGTTGTTCAACGAGCAGTACGGTCTGGGTCGGCTCGGAGCATAATGAGATTAGCAAGAGTGTCTTTGGCATTCAACCATGAATGAGATCCATCGAACTGTTTGCCAGCGGATATCCCACGCAACGCCCACATCAAGCAGACATTTAAATCCGCGTAGAACATACATTGACGGGAGGCAAGATGTGGATTCCGTCCTCGAAGCTCTCTCAAACCGAAACAAGGCGGGAGATCCGAGGCTCTACCAATCAGAACCTGCATCTTCTCAAACTTAGGCTCTGGTCGTTCTTGCTCCACTCTCTTTCCTATTCCGCAGGGGCCGCCCGAAGCCAATCCACCAATATACCACGAGGTTGGAAATTAGGCCCACTATCCAAGTCGCGAGATGCCTGCCTTCAAACGTCGTCGATGTCATGCAGGCCTTTCATGCAAGGCGTATGCATTTGTAGTATGCCAGTTCAACATCCTTCGATAGTTCTAGCCTAATACGTTCTTTTGTTCTTTTCTTCCTTCGCTCACTTCTAAGAGGAATATGCGGTAGCAATGACAAGCTGGCTCAGGCGTGGCCAGCATGCTACCCAATCAGCTGCCGCATCAAGAGTACCTGGGTCGGCTCTCACTCCTTCAACCAATAATGCAGGGCGTCCTCGAGATCCCAACGCACCAGATATACGGCTGGATGTTGAATCGAGATGTATTTACGAACGTCGATTGCCAGGAAACGCGTATATAACAGCTCATGTAACGCGTCTTCAGGACGGGTTTTATGACAGTGAATACACGCATGGAGACTGTATCAATAATGTACGTTTCTTGGCGGTCAACTTCGTCTTTCACCCCGAAGAGACCCTCAACCGCTTTCAAGCCGCTACGGTGACTATTTCTTTACACGATGATACAAATAATTATTACTCGGATCCTCCCAAAGTCCGAGCACAGAGGTTATCAGCGCATCGCTCGCTCAGACCTAGGCTCAAACCGCGGATATTGCGTTTCGCCCCTCATGTTTTGTACGGTGGTGTCAGCCCGGAGACATTGGATTGGAATTTCAACCTTACAGGAAGTCTCGGTGTGTCGCAAACCCCCGTCGCTGCGTCGTTGTCGCCTAGTGGTGGCATCAAGAGCAGCTACAAGGTGTACCAGATGATGCGTATTCAAGGCTCTAGTCGTACTGCTCGTCCACGCTTTCTTGGTCGGCCTGGGGATGAGTTGGAGGATGGTGAAGTGGTTTGGACGATGGAGGAGAATCCATTACAGAAATCTGGTCTTCCTAGGGAGATGACCTTCGTCATGCTCATCACGAAAGGCGACGTTGAGAACGTTGTTTTTGATATCAAGATTGAGCCCAAGATTGCGGCTTGGTACGGACATTACCCTGGTTGGTGGTGTAACCTGCTGAAACATCAACCACTCGAGAAGGAGCCTATCAACCTGGATGAGGATCTAGGACAGCGTTTCAAGCCTGTTGTACCCGGTCGAGGCTTCAACTTTGCTAATCTTGCAGGCAGTTTCAATGACTTCGTATCGTTGCCAGGTACAACATATTCCCTGACAGACCAAGGTGTCAAGGATCAAGTCTCTCAAGACCACACTGCTGCTGCCAACAATGAGAACCCCGACACCAGCTTCGCCGTCTATTCGAATAGACGACCAGGAAAGGAGCAAAAGTTACCGAGCAGGCAGAATACAGCTTCAGCACAACAAGTTCCACCACCGAGAGCACAATCGGTACCTCCTCAGCAGCCCTTCAATTCATCGACAGTGTCTCAGGAAGAGCCAATGGACTACCACATTTACCTTCACAATCCGAGAAGCATCAACTTGCATGCGACACCACCACCTCCCTCATCGTCTGCACCACCTCAACTTCCACCGATCTCTAATTTATTGCACGTTTCCGACCCGATCGTGCGGCCACAAACCACAGTTCCAGTAAGGACAATAAGCCCGGCAAATACGAAAATGAAAAGGAGGAGCATTGATATCACTTACAAAAGTAGTGCTAAGCCACCAAATCGTTCCGAAGCCGGACTTGGGATACGAAGTACAATTGGTGAACCACGAAGAGCTGAGTTGAGAAGTACTAGTGGCGGGTCTGGACGTTCACTTCGACGATCACGTTCACGTACGGATTTGAGATCTAGCCCGCTTGTTGAAGACGTCCATAGCAGCGAAGACTCTCAGACCTCAACACCACGAGCTCGATCTCGACGTCCGCGCTCACAGTCAAGCCCGCAACGGGACAAGGAGAACGTATCTACACATGTACCCACAGTTCATTCGCCACTATCGTCTGAAGCCCTGGTCGAAAGTGACGATGCAACAATACCAATGGAAGCACCTTCACCTCCGGATGGTGCATCGGCGATGCTCTCTCCGCCCTTACCCTCATTTGCACAACATTCAGTATCTAAATCGACCCGCGAACGCCTTCCCTTCGAATTAAGGCGCAACCATAGTGATCGCGACCGCGTCGAGCGTACACCAAGATCACGCGATAGTCCTAGTCCACTCAGAAAAAGGAGAGAAATAACGCCCAGTCCTGGACAGACGAACGAGAACAGTCCAGAAAGTCAGACAGACAGGCCCGCTACTACCCCAGTCAACGCTACCGCCAGCAGCGAAGACGAAGACGAAGACGAAGACGACATCATCGACATGCGAACCCCCAACGACACAACACCAATCCCCATCCGCCTCACAAGTCCTAGACGTGAGCCGAACACCGCACTAGCCTCTCATCCTCCACGATCATCTACCAAGAGCGACCTCGCCATCCCCGGTTCTGAACCAACCAGTCCCAACAATAGCAACAGCATCAGTACCCGCCGCGAGCGCACAGCCCTTCGAGACATCTCCCCCTACGCCTACGCACAAATGAACGGCAAGCTTCTGGACGAAGACTGGGACGAAGCGAAAGGTGATTTGAAGAAGATGAGGCAGAGGAAGAGGCTTAGTATGCCTGTTGTGCCGACTAGTGCTTACTATACTTATGTTGAGCCGGAGCCGGAGGTGGAGGTGAGGGTTGCGGCTGACAAGGATGCGGATAAGGATTGGGATGAGCGGTAGCCGGCGGGAGCTGTGCGGTAGAAACGGGAAGAAGAGGAGGGCTTTGTTTTTGCAATTCGTGTATATCACAGTTAGTATCATTAGGCTGGAGGCGTTCGATGGCGAATCTTTGCTATATTCACAGTGGCATTGAGATACCCAGGGATCTGAGAGGAGAGATATTCTTCTCTGTGTTTGTTTGCGTTGCAATATGGAATGGGAGGTGCTAGTGTACGACTATCAAGTTATATTTAAGTGTGTTTTATCAGCAATCAATATGTTCTATAGTTCAACGATGGAGATGGTCCTGAAAACCGCTGTGCTGTAGGGCCAAATAGACACTGACATGGTATTGACTTGTTCAGCTATATCTCATTTCCCAATCTGTGAGTCCCTCGAATGGGCTTCTTCGTTGTGAGACTGGTTCCATTGCCTACGACCTCTAGAGCTATACAACCCTCTCCTCAGTTGTACACCATAGCAGGCATACCCATAAGCTTCTCACCCATCGACGGTCTAAACTTAGGATTCTTACTAATCTGCTCAGCATCCTTACTAGCCTGCACAACCTCCTCAAAAGCAACCTTCCCTCCAGCACGGTTCTGCTCCGGCAATAAGTCCCAGATAGCCTTCGCATAGCTCGGGTCAATTAAGTACTGCTGAGCAAGATATCGTTTCTGGATGATCAGCTCGCTGACATGCGCTAACATGACGGCGGTGTTTTCGTGGAGATGTTGGCGTGCGGTGTCGTCCATGACGCGCTGGTAGAGTTCTCGCGCCTGGTCGTATTCAGAGAGCTTACCTTCGTGGTAGTAGTGGCTCTTTCGGGAGACGATGTTATCGCCGACTTTGTAGGGCGCCTCGGCGGCGTCTGGGCGGAACTTGTCCTTGAAGCTGTTGGGGGCGTATTGCGGGTTACCGGCGTGGTTGGCATCGACTCGTAGTGGGCCGTCGAAGTTGAGGGATGCGTAGGATTGGGCCATGAAGGGGCAGTTGACGGGGATTTGGTGTAGGTTCACGCCGATACGGTGGTATTGCGCGTCGCGGTAGAAGAACATTCGGAACTGGAGGAGTGGGTCGGGGGCGTCTTCGATGCCTGGGACCATGCTACCAGGGCTGAAGGCGGCTTGGTCGACGTCGCGGTGGTAGTTTTCGGGGTTCTTGTTCAGGACCAGTTTGCCGAAGTCGTGCATGGGGAATTGGCCTCTTGGCCAGACTTTTGTTACGTCGAAGGGGTCGAAGCCGAGGATTTCAGGGTCGGCTTCTTCTGGTTTCATGATTTGCACCTTGGCGGTCCAGGAGATGGGTTCCTGGCGCTCAATGGCTTCCCAGAGGTCTTGCTTGGAGAAGTCGGGGTTGATGCCGCCCATTTCGACAGCTTCTTGTCGGGTGAATTGTTTTTGACCTTGATCACAGATGAAGTGGTATTTGATGTAGACGAATTCACCGTTCTTGTTGACCCATTTGAAAGTATGGCAGCCGTAGCCGTGGTTGTAGCGCCAACCTTTTGGATGACCGTGGTCGGAGAAGAACATCATGCCAGCATGGTTGCCTTCAGGTGTGTTGCCCAAAAGATCGAACGTGGCGTTGTAGTCCAGCAGAAAGTTATCAGGTCGTCTGGACTGGGACCGAATAACGTCAGGACCCTGGATTGGGTCTCGACAAAAGAAGATAGGCCAGTTCAATCCGACAATATCATAGTTGCCCTCGCCAGTGTAGAACTTAACAGCAAATCCTCTTGGGTTTCTCGCAGTATCCGGAAACTCTCGACCCAAAGTCACGGTAGAGAATCGGATAAAGATAGGTGTCTTGAGGCCGGAGGAGCCAAGGAAGTTGGCCTTGGTATAGTTGGACATGTCTTTCGTGGATTCGAAGTGACCGAATGCGCCACTGCCACCTGGTGGGACCTGTCAGCGCTATCGTGTATCGTTGAGTAGTTGTCTTACATGGATGTACCATTCGCTCGAGCAGCTTAGATCTATTGAAAGTTTGTTGTTTTTGAAAGAGAAAGGTGTCCGAAGCCAATGGCATTCCTCCAACAGTTTTGCTGTGCGAATGGTCTGGGAATGGGTGTGCCTCATTGTTCGTGAAGTAAGGTGCGTTGTCCTCTCGCATACCTCCCGAAACCATGCCACTGAATAGAGTTAACATGCCAGTCTCGTAGAGGTCTTTCCTCCTTACCTGATCTTGGCAGCAACGGTAGCTGGTCCTTCATTTGCGCCCTGGAATAGTGTTGCTCGTTGCGGTAGACGAGGGTCAGCACCAACCGCGCCAGCAGCCTCTGCAACGGCTTGAAGTGGGTGAGCCATGTTTCTCAGCATTTGGTTAGCGGATCAAAGAGTGTGCGAGAGTGTGTTCAGAGCACAATTCGAAATAAGGCAGCAGGACACTCAAATATAGCACTTTGACAGAGCTTCGTTTCGTCACAGAACATGCACGGCCATCACGGATCGTTCTTCAGTTGGTGCTGTAAAAGGTGCCCAGTCATTTCTGACAGCAAAACGGAACTTCAGTCCGCGATCTCTCTTTTACCAGCATCTTATCGGCGTGAGTGACCAGTAAGACCAGCAGATATCATGAAAAGGTGTCTGCCGTGACCTGCGAGCATGGCAGCTTTCGTCACTATCTCTTATGCATGGGTTGAGGCGCTGGTGCGCACGGTGCTATATGCACGCGACGGACGCGAGACACGCTCTTTTGTCCTCGTGAAGGTCAGAAGGAGGGGCACGAGCAACTGATCCTGGTCAGTACATTTGATCTGTTGTGAAGGTGTGGACGGAGCAAGGTTCAGGATCTCAACGTTAAATGCAACGTCAGGTACCAAAGTGCATTTTAGCGTGAAACCCCCTGTACTGAAGTGGCTCCATTATTGTGATGGCCAATCTGCAGAGTTTAAATGGTCAGAGGGGGGGAACTCGAAGAATTCCCAAAACGCTCCAATTCAAGCAGCGGATCTATAATCCGCCGACTACAGTGATCTGCATTTTCGGATCGTCTACTCAAGGCTGCACCCAGATACAGGCGGTGCCACGTAATGGTCGCCGGGGATAAGTCCTTTGTCTAGAAGGGCAAGAGACCAGGCAATGCCTAAAGTAACCATTTCTTGTCAGAAAAAAGAACAATGTGATCGATTGCCTTTCGCCAGAGCAATGGGCACCGCTTCGCGCTTGCCAGCAAGAGTATTCGAGTAGTATACCAGTGATTACAAAAGATTGTCGGATGTCTCCTCCGCATTCACCGTTTAAAATCGAATTGCCACACGTCAGACGACGGACAAAACGTGCCTGCCCTGTACCCGAGTGCTATCTACCTGCACTACTCCTGCCAAGTTGAGTGCTTGCTTCGACCTTGCGGATGGGGTAGGTAGTCTTGAGGGAATTCATCAGAAGAACTCTGACTCTCCATGCGATGGCTGTGAGAAATGCCGTGTCTAAATATTGGTCTTGACCGTACGACAGAACAGATTGTTTATGTAGTGTATTTCTTTTGCAAGGCCTTCGCAATAGTCGTAAGTTGAATATTGCTGGTTCCCTCGTAGATGGCTCCAATCTTGCTGTCTCGGAACATCTTTTCTGCAATACCATCTCTTACGAAACCCATACCACCCATCCACTCGACAGCAAGTCCTGATACTCTGCCGGCGACCTGCGAGGCATACAGCTTGGCCATAGCAGCATCGGTGACAAAGTCCTCACCAGCCTCCTTCTTTCGTGCCGCGTTGTAGACCAATGATCGAGCAGCTTGGATTTCGGTCCAGCCTTGCGCGAGCTGGTGCTGCATGCCCTGGAACTCACCAACCAACTGGCCAAACTGTCTTCGGTCGTTCCATACGTATTTGGCAGCATTCTCCCAAGCACCCAAAGCAAGACCAGTCATCTGTGCCGCAATACCAATTCGACCTTCATTGAGCAGACCGATAGCATATTTGTAGCCTTCCCCTTCTTTACCTAGCAGGTTGCCCTTTGGTATATCAACATCGTCGAAGGTGACGACACAAGTCGAGCTTGCTCTAATTCCAAGCTTCTTCTCCTTCTTCGAGATCGAAAGACCCTTCATCGATTTGTCTAGCACGAAGGCCGTGATACCTTTATAGCCCTTCTCCGGATTCAGGTTTGCAAAGACAATGAAGAAATCTGCTTCCAAGCTGTTCGTAATCCACATCTTGCTCCCAGATATTCTGTAGCCATCGTCTGTTTTGACAGCCTTGGTCTTGAGTGCGAAGGCGTCCGAGCCACTGACGGGTTCGGACAAGCAGAAGGAGCCGACGGTATTGGTGGCGAGTTTAGGTAGCCACTTCCGCTTCGACTCCTCAGTGCCATATTTAAGGATCGCGGTTACGACGAGGGTGTTGTGCACGTCAACCATGACGGAAACTGAAGGATCAACACGAGCCAGTTCTTCGATGCCAACTATGGCGGCAGTAAAGTTCATGCCAGAACCACCGTATTCTTCTGGTATCTCGAAGCCCATCAACCCTTGCTCAAAACATTGCTCGATAATCTGCGGGTCCATCATTTCCTTCTCGTCCATTTCCCTGACTTTTGGTGCTATCACCTCGTTGGCAAATTTTGACACTGAGTCGCAAAGCATCTGCTCCATTTCGGAAAAGTGGGTGATGGGCGTAGGATGAAGCGAGGCGGTATCGACATCATCTGGCATGTATGGTTCTGCTGGACGCTGAGAGCTTGTTGACAGCTGCCGCGAGCTTTGGTAGATGTTAGCATCTTGTACGTCGATCTCGAGAGGTGTCTTGTGCGGCTCACCTTGAGCTCGTCTGCAATGATCCAAGCACATTGATCCTCCGTGGCTGTGGTCTTATTGTGCGACAAGTAGTGCAGATCGAACTCGCCCGGGCAGCAGAACGAGCAGTACGTGCTATAGAGGCCATCGTGGTCTGTTTGGTCGTTATGAAACGGCTTTGCGACGAAAAAAGATCGGTGGTATTCTTGCAAAAGAGAGGCAAGCCAGGGTTAATTCATGTTGCATACGATTTTCAGGTGCGGCTACACTCGGACACAACCATGACCTCGGCCCCATAGAAGTCACGAGTTTCCAATTCAAGCATGTCTAACCAGATATCAATCTTCCACGTCTTTCGCCTCGAGCATGTGCGACCCGTCGGGGCCCAGGCTTGAAAGAGCATGGAACGTGCATTTACTTTGTGTTGATTTATCGTTATCGATGTTCGCTCTCAATTTGCAAAGATCTGGTCGTGACATGAGTACTGAAGTAGTGCTCGCTCCGACCTGCCTCCGTATCGACCTTCCTTCCTGTTCCTGTCGCCACGGGCCCAGAGCGCCACATGTGGCTTGCAGGTTTGGATTCAACAGAGCTGGCGTCATCGCTTGAGGTCTCAGCCACACTACCCTGGAAGTTGCGATCAATCATGTCACAAGCTTGGGCTCTGTGGTCGCGCCTGCGTCTCACGACTTCTGTGCAACATACTTGGCATTTGCTGTAAGCGCTGCCTCAGCCCATCATGGAGGGGCATTGTGATAAAGGCTGTAGTGTAGTCATGTGTGCGCGAGAGCCCACCTGTGCGGACTTTGGCAACCTTTACACTTTGTATTGACAATCTCATAAGAAGCACCGTCCCACGAAGTGTAGACTCATCTTCATCGCGACTGACAACAAGGAAAACACAGAATAGAACATACGTCATATCTTTTTCGCTGTCCAAAGAACTGAAGGAGATCAAACTTACCTGAGTGTCGCTTGTTGACCTTGACAAACCACTCTCAGAAACAACACAATGTCGGCAGGACATTCGCAGCCCCACGTGTTGTACTCGGTGCAGAACATTCGTGCCTTCCATGTTCAGAATGGCGAGGAGGGTGAGATCACCACGTCGGGACCTCAAGAGTTGCAACTCTTGATGATACCAACCTCATCTCCTTTCGCCGATCTGTCCACTGCCCACCCTTCAAGTACTGCACAGGAAGAAGATTTCTATCTTCACCTCCGTCTCCCACCAGAGCTCGACCAACCTCTACCAGCAACGACACAAATCTACCATAAGCCTCCTTCCAGCTACCTGATTCCGAGATGGGGTCTGGGTCCTGACTCCGGCGCCTTCATCCGCATCCAGTTTCCAGGAATCGGTCGCGGCCCAGGCAAGGTAACCCAAGAGGAGGTTGACACTTTTGAGACCATTTTGGCACAATGTACAGCGTTTCTTGAAAGGGCTCCACCGCCAGATCATGCTCGCTACGATCCTTCATCCTATAGACCAGGCGAGGGATATGCAAATACCGCTTTGCCAGCCGACATCAAACCGTCTCACCATGGTCAGATCGTAAGTTGAAGCATTTGCACGTGGGGACAGTCACTAACCATCACCAGGTCTTGATCGACGAAGAGAATGGCAGTGTTGTTGGGGAGCTCTCTGGAGGTTATGCTTTGCAAGAAGCGGCCAACGTCAGACCAGGATCTAAAACCCCAGTCGAGATTCAGCTGCCCGGTGAAGGTCAAGGCAACAAGATTCAGGTCAACAACGTGTCCGAAGAATACCTAGCCTTGTCTAAGCATCCAGCTTACCAGAAGTCAACTATTGTGCAGACTTCGGCCAAAGCTTCGAGGTTGATCGTCACTAGCTCGAGTGCTATTGCCAATGCCATGACTTCACGTGCCGACAGCTTTACGAAAACGAGCCAACCGAACCCGAAACCGATGACCTTTTCACCTGCTACCCATGAACGGTTGAGACAGCTGCACAGCTTGACCACAGGTGCTGTCGGTATTAGTGCAAAGACTGTAGGCCAAATCAGCAAGCATGCTCAAAACATTGGTGCCAAAATGACAGGTCAGGGGGACGCACATAAGAGAGGCTACAAGGACGGCAAACCAGATACTGGTTACAAGCCTGGCATCTTGAACAAGTCGATGATTGCGTTCTCTACCATTGCCGACGGTATTGATCAGGCAGGTCGCCAGTTGCTTTCGTCTGGTTCCGCCGCTGCCACAAATGTCATTGGACACAAATACGGCGAGGAAGCTGGTTCTGCTGCTGCCAGAGTTGGTGGCGGTGTCAAGAATGTTGGCTTGGTGTACATTGATGCCGCTGGTGTTTCTCGCAAGGCACTGATCAAATCCGTTGCCAAGGGCATGGTCGTTGGCCGAATGCCGAATGGCCAGCAGCTGGTCGTGGGCACGGGTGATGGCGGTGTCGTACCAGCCGAAGCCTACAACCAGGACATGAAGCCTCCCGGAACCGCCCACGACTATTACACTGGCTCGTCGCAGGCGGGAGTCAACCAGCCTGGTTATGGTGTCGAATCGTACGGAGCACACGCTAATCAGCCGCCATCGTATACAGGATCTGGTGGATTAGGCAATCCTGCCGGCTCTGCCCTGCAAGGACAGCAGTATCCGCGAGAGAAGCATACCTACAACTAGGAGCCTCAAGGGGGGTGTGATCACCACAAATGATGCTTAGCTTCAGCGTGTCTTCTAGACTCTACGTATATCATATTAGCAAATTCACCTTGCCTCCTGTTTCTCTGTAAGCTATTTGCAAGTTGGTCGACCATGCGCCGCTCAGGTGATTGCATCCAGAACCGTAATGCTCTAAAGCATGAGCATCGAGCCTTTACAGCAGCCTTCATCGTCGCTATACACGATAGGAGGCGTCAAAAACAAATCCCAGAGGAAAGAGCCTCGATAGACATCTCAACCATTATCACAACGTCATTCGAGCAGCGAGCCATGTCTTTGTGCAACGACAACGTCGCAGCATGGACTAGAAAGGATAACATTCGTACCCTTGACCTTGAGAAAGTCATCGCGTGAATTTCTGAACATGGCTGAAAACAGATAATTGCATTGGCCAATTTGCTAAGTCCACAAGCCACTGGATCAGGATACAGGAAAAAAGATTGGACGACAGTCTCATCGCTGCCCATCCGGCCCGCGACATGACAGATCAGACAACAAAACTCGAGGGACAGCTCTGGCCTTGCAGCCTTGGATACTGCTCTGAGAGGAACCATTGTGTTTCTTGTATCGCAATTTAGGAACAGCGTTCTTCTTTGTGCAGGAAGGGATCCAGGTTGACGGGGCTTGGAACAGGGGTTAGCACAAACTCCTTTGTATTCATGGTCTCGAGAATAGTTCTCATATCATTATGATGTCCCTCTCTTTGTTCTATTGATAGTCATGGCCACGACCCAGGTCATCGTACCAGACATACAAATGGCGCCGATCGTTGAGGACGAATCTGCTGCTTTAGTGATACACCAAAAACCATCGTTGCTTATCAACATGGCTGACCGCCAAGCACGACCACCACCACCACCACCCAACGTCCGAACTCGGTCGATGTTCCGCACTGGTCGACTTTTTGACGACCGTCCAGCCCAAGATAGAACTCCTCTGTATGCAGGTATACAAAGAAGACGGCGCTCACGAACACCAGCGCCGACTTTTGCCGGGATGGTCGTGCAAGCTCATCCAAGTCGTGGCCCACGAACGGCATTGCCTCGGCCATTAACACCACGGCCTCCATACCAGCCACTCGTTCGACCAGTGCATCCCATCGCCGCACCTGCGCAGAACGACCAAGGCTCGCCACTTCACAGGGCGATGGCGCAGCGGCAAGTTGCCATAGGTATCATTGAGGCTATGCAGATGACGCTTTTCCAGTACAACGATTTGCGCACGCTCGATCGAGCCATGTCCAGGATTCTACCACCTTTCAGTGAGGTCGCTCGCGTTGCTAGTGGAGATGGTGATGTGAGTAACATGCCAGCAGCCCATCTGCACGTTGAGTGTACGAACAAGGGCTTCGGGCCACACTCACTGTCGGACATGGTTCAATTCCGCGACGTGTATGGTGTATTGACAACCATAGTCAAGGCCCAACCTGGGTCGTGGGAATATAGAACGTGGAGCGAGGGTACCCATCACCAGTGCGGCAACACTGTCGAGGACAGTCCAGAGCTGCGATTCTATGCCTGCAATGGTAGGAATGCCTATTACAGCGCCATGCACGCCACGGTAAATTTGCAATGGGACATGCCGCATCCTCCCATTATTGTTTGCGAGGACTGTGTGCGAGGAGACTTTCATGCCATGGATCCGATGAGGTTTGGTATTCCGCGTGTCATGCCTCTGTGTAGAACGCATTCCGAGCAGATCCACCAATCCGACGCGGTGTCGTCAGTCACTGGCCATAATCTGATTCATCGGTTACCAATGCGCTGGGAGCAATGTACTTGTCCTAACGACCACAGTCCGTTTCGATACAAAAATCACCCTAGATGGTTCTGCTCGTGGTGCGCCATGGGACACCTCATTCGCGTGGAAAGGAAGTGGCGCAATACGATTGTGAAATATATGAGCCAGCCAATCTCAACTCCTGATAGAATGTTTTCTTCGACTCGGGATTACGTCCACGATGTTTTTCCACAAGGTCCGGAGCGAAATGGCTGCCTTGCCTGTGAATATTTTGGGCAGGAGCCCCGTACAACGTGGCAGGATATTCTGAATGGCTACCCTGAGGTCGATATACCTGGTCAAGAGGACACTATGCGCGACTGCGAGCGCATGTACAAGCTATGTGTTGGCTGCTACAAACACGTCCCCGAGCAAGACATTGATCGCTATGCTTTGAGGGCGATTGGAAGACCGAAGTCTTCTTTGCCTCAACCATTGCCGTGAGTCATCTGTTGTTTCATGGTATTGAAGCCTCGTTCGATATATGTTGAAGACATCAATTTTCGTTCTACCAAGTTCTGTGCAGATTTTAGCGTATAGCTTGGGCTAGGGTTCTTCTTCCTGTTCGTATTTGATGTCTTTTGTCCTGTCTTGTACTGGCCTTGTCTTTCTTCTTTGAGTGCTGTTTGTTGCCAGCTCGGTTCTGCTCTATGTTGTCCACATACACGAAATACAATATGCAAGCCGCCATTCATGTCGGAACATTAGTACCAGCGTATTCTTGGTCGGTGAGAAGTCCTGTTCCTATACCTTTCGTCAGTCCTTTGAACTGTGGATAATCTGTTAGAACGAAGACACGTCTGCAAAGACGCTCATTCGTTGATTGACGCATTCACAGGATCTTCTTTGCTATCCCTGAGATTTGTCGAAGGTGACAACCGTCTGCTGCTTGCTCGGATGTCGTGGTAGGTCAAAGTTTGACGCTGGACTCATGGAAATAGTGCTTCTGGAAGAAGCAAGCTATTTCTTGGAGAGGCAGCAATCGTTGTCTTGCATAGAATCACCCCGTAAAACAAGCCATATATTGACAAGATGCTGCTCATCCGTGGACGATTGTTGCTTTTCCGAAGACCTCTCATCTACCACGAAAGCGATTGCAACCAAACTGACACAACGACATGCGGCAAGGTCTTCGGTATCTTTGCTGGAGTTTCATAGACGCGATGGCGCTACTGCGCCATGCAGCCTCACCAAGCGCAATATCCTACCAGGAACAGATCATTACCCTCCTATCATCCTTTGTGCTCATCTACTCTGGTTACTGTCGACTTGAGCCTCCCCTTCCTGATGAGGTGATACGGGCGATGCACTTCGATGAGAAATTCTGGTATATTACTGACGTCCTGGGCTCATGGGAGCAAGCTATCTAAGAATTGCATGGCTTTGATCGAACATGTGGTAAGTGCTGCAGCGTTAGTCATGTAAAAGACTCACTAATGATGGAAAGCGCAAATCGGCATGGTTGCTCTGGTTGCAGCACTTGGCTTCCGAGTCTGGAGATACTTCGCAAGGTGAAAGGACCTTGTCTCGCCAGTCCCTGCATGAGTATGCAGTGGTGATAGGTTTGGCGACAGCCCATACATCATAGTCTCCTTGCGTACAGGCAGACCTCATGACATGCCAAACCGGCTCTTGGAGCCATAGCTATTTGACTGGAGCAGCATGTGCATTTATCTACGAGCAGAACTGTCAGAATAGCAACGTGGTCATCTGAGAACAATCACTGTGTACTGCTGTCATAGACAGTAGCCCAAAGACCACGGTGCACTGTGAAGCTAATACAGAGGACAACGGAAACAAGTGTCAGAGAGTTTGTTTGTGAAATTAAGAGATTGACATTACTTGGGCAACCTAGACGAGCCAAAACAGATCACGTGAATTGCAGCCAAAAGTTTTGCGACAGTGACTTGCCTCTCTTTCATGCTTGTGTTCTATTGTCGCATTTCGTACTCGGCCTGATTACTATCCTCCTCTTTGACCTCCGTCTTCATTCTCTTCGAAACCCAGTGACACGATTGTTCCAATTCGCAAGTTCTGAAACGCTACACCATGATCATTCCAATTCGTTGCTTTTCCTGCGGCAAGGTAATAATCCCCCCTTCCTGCTTGAGTTACACCGGAGTCAAGTACCTGCTCATCTGAAAACAGCTGACACATCCCACAGGTCGTAGCCGATCTCTGGGAACCATACATCCAATATCTCACAGAGAATATCCCAGACGGCGACGCGCTCGACAAAGTCGGGTGCAAAAGATACTGCTGCAGACGAATGATCATGACACATGTCGATTTGATTGAAAAACTGCTTAAATACGATCCAAGCGAGAGAAGGAGCAAGGCGGGCGGTGCTTGAGACTGAACCGGTGTAGACCAGGGTTCATGATATAGAACAATGGCTACAGAACAAGCATTACCGATTATACAACGAACGAGAGAACGAAATCGATCTGTGTCAAAACCTGGTGTCTTTGGGAGCGCGGCGCAATGGTTGGGAGTAAGAGTCTTGCTCTATGGAAGGAGATTTATGGCATATCAAATGATTCAACGAGGCTATCACAGCGAACTTACAGCACCTTCTCTCATGAAAGGCTTCTCTTCAGCATTCACGAACTACAAGAGGCGACCACGAGTTGCAGAAGCAAAATGGGCCACACAGAGCGGGCAGTAAAGAAAACATACGGGAGACCTTTGATCACGACGGAAACAGAACAATCGAGCCTTCAATAGTGGACGAGTGAGGGAGCGCATCTGCAACACGACGTTCGCGTGTTTCTGTTTGGGGACCGAAAGAGTTTGGCTGTACCTGAACACAGAGGCGTCACAACGCACCTCAAGCACTCCGAGCCACCAAGCCACGGCAGCGTTTTTCAGATGCTTGAGACATGAAGAGATCAGTTCGAGCCCAGGACCTGGTGAAAGGGGGAATACCTGGGTATTGGTAGACCATTCGAAACGAAGAAGAGCTGACTAATTCTTCTCAAATTTACTACTATCATTATCACTTTCCTGTTTGTAAAAATTTGGAAGTAATGTACAGCTTAACACTGCTCACAACCTACCACGACATCACAGCATCCTGTCGAATTCGTGGTCTGCTCCGTTGTGACTAGGGTTCATGTTAGTTACGGGAACTCCGGCAATTTGAAGTTGCAGAATCTTGCACTCTTTACGTGCACCAGCAGGGATCGATAAACTCTAAACTAAATTCGCAGATTGGCAGGGACAAGGGTTTCACAGTGGCAGGGGGCCAAAGGTTGTCGAAAGCTTGAAAGTACGTACTGCATGAGTTGCATGTAGTGGATCAGTCGCGACCCAGAGAAGATTTTTGACAACATTGCAAACTGTTCAGTAGAACAAAGTAAGGGCTGATAATCACATACATTAGTGTACCATGTACATATATCATCAAGAGCTTGTAAGATAGTAGCCTTATCCGTTTTACATCGCTGCCACGTTGACTCGGCCTGTAGCCCGATGATCATATCTATATTACCTATGTCCAATGCGTGACGCAACTACAATCGCCCAACTAGCAGATCTAGTATCCTCTCATTCTGAGCTTAGGAGTGGCAGTGGTGGTAGCATCGCTGGTCGAGTTGGTGCTGGTGCTTGAGGATGGGACCTTGCACTGGAGACCGAAGCTGCTGAGCCACTGAGCATTGTCGAACTCAGCGTAGTTGGTCTGGATCTTGGTCAAGTCCTCGGTGAGAACGAACAGGTTGATACCCTGGACAGTAGCTCGGGACTTGGTAACGCCACTCCATCTCCATGTGATGGTGTTGCAGCTGTGGACGTAGTTGAGTGTGGTTACGTCGAGCTCGGCCTGGAGGACACCCTGGCCGTAGTCGAATTCTGCCTTGCTAGCAAAAGTGACACCGCCCATCTAGTACAATGTTAGCATCGATAGAACAATATGCGAGAGGATGTGGAGAAAGACTTACAGGGAAACCAGCCATCCAGTTGATAGAGTCGGAGTAATCCTTGAAGTCGACGGCAAGATATTTGTCCGAAACATCCTGGTGATAACCACGGCCAGCTGGAGTGAATGTGGATGGGTCACCTGCGTAGCTGGTGTATTCGAGGAGATCAATGAAAGCATCAATGAACACCAGGGCTTCAGCGTCGTTGATACACTTTGGTGCATCTGCATTAGTACCGTTGGGGAAGGTCCCCACGACTCCGGTTGTGGCGTTTGTGCCAGTTGTGCCTGTAGTGCCAGCACCAGGAGCGGTTACTGTACTTGTGACAGTTTCGGTGACGGTGCTGTTGCTGCCACGGCCGACAGTGACGGTTGTAGTGGCAGTGCTGCCGCTTCCAACAATTGTAGTGACAGTCTCGGTGACAGTGCCGTTGTTGCCACGACCACCGTTATTGCCGCTGGTGCCATTGTTACCGCCAAATCCTACAGTGATAGTCTCGGTGACGGTTCCTACGGATTTCGTGGTGGTTGAAGTGACGGTGTCAGTGACTGTACCAACTGATTTGGTGCTGGTCGAGGTAACAGTCTCTGTAACTCTGCCTACCGATTTTGTGCTGGTTGATGTGATTGTCGAGGTGACAGTGCCTACTGAAACTGTGGTCGTGTCGATGGCCGAGGTGACGGTGACGGTCGAGGAGTCGCAAGTTGCACCGTTTGCATTGTAGACGGTCTTGGTAGTGGTGGTTGCTGGGATTGTGATTGTTGTCTCACCAGTAACACCCCAAGCGGAGCAGGCAGACTTATAGTGACTCTCATCGCAAGCTGAGGCGTAGTTGGGAACCTCGTTAGGGCAAACAGTGACATCTCTCTTCCATTCACGCAGCTTGGACGCTGATGGAGCATCGGTAACGGTGGTTGTGACAGTGATGGCGGCAGGTGTGACGATCGTCTTTATGAAACTGGAGCAGTGCTCTTTTCGCAGGCTGTCATCGCCCAGAGCAGCCTTGCCAGTCACGGCAGCCAGACAGGTATCGTCACCTCGCTTGAAAGGGTTAGCCATGGCCACACCGGCTAGAGCCAGAGCGGCAGCAGATTTGAATAGTGAAGGCATTATAGGTATGGTTGGATTAGTTGTTTATTAACGAGTGACTGCGGTCAGGTGACCAAGACTTGGTGCTGTAAAAGAAAGGACGATTGAAAAATCAATCTGAGGTCGTGAGTGATGAACGTAGAGGTTGGGACACAAAAATCGAGGTGTGAAGTTACAGGGCGCACCAGACTTTTGTATAGACAGACAAGATTGCTGGTAGCTCATGAGGCACCAGCCCCGAATTGGCAAGGGGGTCTGCCACTAGATCAGGAGGAGAGACAGCGTCAAGAGCTGTGCATAGTCAAGCAGTCTGGCTAGTCCCAGATCATTGCTATCGAGCGTCACTGTATCAGGAAGTGGACTTACTGGAGATGAAGCGCCGTCTTAAAATGTCGGCTGCAGTGTTCTGCATTTCTTCGGTAGTAGCCATATCTGGAGATATCAACGCTGCCGTGGCTGGCCAGATGGGTTGTCAACGACCATGACTTTTTAGGTCCAGCCACAACTGCCACCAGCTATTGGAAATAGGGCTGTAGTGTCAACGTGTATTCCACCATGATCACTTCGACGTTGGCAGCAAGTGTTCTCATTCGTCGAGACAAATGTCAAAGTAGCCTAAATTTGTGTGATGATTTCCACATCCGCGTGGTGGTTAGTTTATTTTACCGGTAAACACATGAACCCACTGTATGTTGCTGTCTTATCCACAAGCCTAGACACTCGCCTTCCCAGGCGTTTCTGGCACAAATGCAGTGTTCAGGTGGTCTGGACAAGACCACTTAGGACAGAACGTGATCTCATCAAATCACCGAAGTATGTGGCGGGATTAGAACTCGTAGGGAATCCCGAAGCTCTAGGTGTAGTCTGATGATACAGGAGTTCAAGCGATCAAGGAGCACTACAGATGTCCTGACTCGAGTTGACGCATGAGGTCCAGTCGCCCAATGAGGAGCTGACCCACGCAAGCTTGTGATGACCCAACGATCGTGAAGTGGAGGTTTAGCGCTCGGGGCTTGACACCGGCTGTCCACCTTTTAAACAAGACTAGTCAAGCTTTAACTTCTCCTTTTCGAACGAGCACACCTGCGAATACGAAGCTACAGAAACGAAGGTGCTTGTCTCGCGAAACTATAAGCTCTCAAGTCGGGCATAAAGCAGGCAGGGTGTAAGCTTTCGCGCTTTGCTGTGGCGGAAGATGTGAGGCTCGAGAAACCATCTTTGCACAAATACTCATAATCGACCATAATTCTGTGCGACACCTTTCAGAGCAATACCAGGCCGATGTCGTTCTGTGCTGAGAATATTGGTCCAACCCCTGTAGACAAAGATTTGCAATCGTACATCTGATCAAATCGGCGCCGACGTCCGGCAAGCGAAATTGCTCCAGGCCAAGTACTGGAGAAGATCAACGACCTGAACTTCCACCAAGTGGCTGCGTTTACCACTTTTCGCTTAGCGCTTTACGTGTTATTTCTGTACCTGCGTCGTATTACTCCCACGTTTTACTGAGTACTCTTACCATGCTATTTGCTATACACATAGTATACAGCATATACCATCGAGAATCTAGACAAACACGCAGGATCGAGCTTCCGAATCTTTGGTTGCAAGAGCCAATTTCTAAGACACTACGCAGAGGGTGTTCGATGAGAAACAGATGAAGATGTGCCAGTTCGTGGGTCGGTGCTGCCAATTTTACCGGAGTTTTCCCCCCAGAAAAAGTTCAGTGGCTTTGGATAACCAGAAGAACATCCTAATTTGTAGCTCTTCCCGTTATATCCGGGTCGGACATGTGCTAATTAGATTCACACTCTGTCCTTCGGCGTCTGCGAGTCATGACCAGTCTTTCAAGCGCTACGGAAAATGACATATCCTGTCAAATTCTACACGGTGAGTGAACTGGCAGTACGACACGGATTTAGCCTTTCGTGAGCGCACTGCACACGAGACAGCATATCCTCTCCGGATTCTTGAATCGCTTCTAACGTGGATGCTACTGTAATACAGTTTATGATCTACCACAGTTATACACTAAGCCTTCTGCCGAAAGTCTGCTGAGTGTTTTACAAAGTCTCCGGAGAGGCCATAGTAATTTCAGCAGCCTTCCACTCTCGAGCTCAACAGATCAGTCTACAGACACGATATGGATCGATCCCGCAGGAGTAGCCGGATATCTGACAAGCATCATAGCCTCGTCGTTACAGTGGCTGACCGACGAAGATCGCGAACTGGTTTGGGACCAGGCCAGTCTACGAATCAGTGAAAGATCAGGCCGGTCTGCTGCCCCTGCTATAAACAGAGCCTTTATGATCAATAACAACCTCACCATCCACCTTCACGAGCCTTCGCTTACAGAAGATAACCTAGGTTTGAAGACATGGACTTCATCGTTACTTCTCTCGCGGCAACTGATAACCCTAGTCAAGCACGTTCCGTCCGGTACCCCTCGTATGCTAGAGCTCGGTTCTGGTACCGGCCTCGTCGGACTAGCAGCAGCCTCCATCTGGCAGGGTCTATTATCAGAAGTGCTACTGACCGATCTGCCTGAAATTGTGCCAAATCTACAGCACAACATTGACCACAACGCAAGTCTTTTCCCGGAACAACGTTATGATGGCGACTCCTCTGTCAAAGTGCACTGTAGGGCTCTAAACTGGGCCGATGCAACTGACACGCCCAGTGAACAATACGAAAACTTCCATCTAATCGTGGCAGCTGACCCGATCTATAGCTCCGATCATCCCCGTCTACTTACCGACACAGTCCACCGATGGCTGGCACCCTCCTCTTCATCACGGTTCATCGTCGAACTACCACTACGAAGCAGGTATCAACGGGAAAGAGCAGATCTCCGGCAGAAGCTAGAAGTGTTCATGGAGGTGATCGAAGAAGGCGAAGAAGTAGGCTACGATGACTGGGAAGGTGCAGATGGACAACCCATAGAAGTCAGGTGTTGGTGGAGCGTTTGGAAGCTGAGAGATGTCGCCGAACAATCTAAGCCTATCACATCTTCCACTTAATCAAATAAGAGCACAGAAACTGTCATCCTGGGTTTACATAAGCTTGTCGGCCCTGCAGAGCACCATAAAATACCATCCAACTCATGTCCAGCAGCATGGTCTGATCGTTCGTCTTGCCGAAAAGAGTCAACGACAACAACAACATCAGGGAAGTGGGCGCTTTCACCATCTGATGCTAAGCACGACAAGCAGCTACTGCTCAGCCTACAAACACTACAGTTGCCAAGCTCGTCACGAGATTAGGGCCAAGGCTGGCGAAGAAAGCCACCCCTAACCGATATCCCCACACAACCTACCTATACGAGGCCAAGATGTCTACTACTGTCCTGTGTCAACATTGGCATTCGAGGACGTGCATTTGCCAGACTCCAAACATGACTGATTGACCCATCAATTACAAGCCCGCTTCCACGTATGTAGTAAACTGATTACGGTCAAGATACGCGATACTTAAAGTATCAGCTACCTACCGACGTTGTACATAGCTTCGGACTACCTGCGTGATAGAGGGAGACAGGGCCATCGACAAGATCCTCAGAACGTCAAGACTGTTTTCTTGACCCGCAGCATGAGTGTGGTCTCGTATTGGTGTTGATATATTGTAATTAAACATATACGTCGTTGTGCATGACTCGGCCACTCTTGCCTCTACGTCCGCGTGTTCAACTTGTGTAGATATTAATAGCTCGAGGATTGCCAGACTGCTTTGAAAGTTGCATCGTTGTGTCGATATTCAAATGGGTGTTGTTTCTGCATCAGTAAAGAACACATCAAGGCTAAATACGCACCTATGGTTGTTCAATAGCCCTTACGTATTGTACAAAATGTAGATCTACCTATCAGTTCCCTCCAAGCAATTTATTCGCCCTCTCAAAACAGTCCAAGATTATGCCCTCCCACTTCCTCACATTCTCGAGATCGTGGTCCTCAAAACTCTCCACGAGACCAGGGAAAGTGGCCCCAGCATATCCTGTCCACCTCCCTGGAGCGAACACAACATGCTTGAACCAGCTCCTATCTCCGTCCAGGCCTTTGGCATACAGGAACTGACGCTCAAGCAGCTTGTACTGAGTATTGACCTTTTTGATCTTATACCAGAGCCGTACCGACTTCCAAAATTTCCACCATGGGACGTGTTCTCCAAGCTCGGCAGTCAGTGAAGCGGCGTACTTGTCGAAATTCTTTGCTGTTGCGTGTAAACTGCTGGCATTCTTTTCAAGAGCAGAGAAGGAGAATTGCAATTGAGACGTATTGCTGGTCTGTTCAGCAGTCGCCTTGACAGTGCTGATATAGTATTGGAGCCCTTGAGCGTACGTCGCTGCACTGAGTGGCAAGATAGGAGAGTCGCTGAGCTTGGCAGCAAGAAGTGCCCAAATCTTGGCGATAGTGGTGTGGTATTGCCAAGTTTGATCGCCATACAGGTCCATCCAGTGGAAGCTGTCGTAATTAGAATGATAGTGATACACAGGGTCTTCAGGTCCGTTGCTGAAACCTATGTCCAGCGATGCTATACCCGCAAAATCCTGAAAGGCAGTAAAATCACTACCTGAGCCCATTGTACGAATGCGACGGTCGTACCAGACATCGTAAACGCTCTGGTCGGGAATGGTCTGATTAGGACTGGGCACAAGCGCTGTGACGTTGTAAAGCAAGTCATTGAGCAACGGGCTGGCGGCGGCCTCAAAATGGCTTCCTCGAGCTCCGACATCGACATTCAAATATGTGATAGCTGAAGCACTTAGCCAAGGAAGGTATTCCTCAACCCATTCAGTACTACCGATAAGGCCATATTCTTCGCCGTCCCAACTAGCGAAAACAATCGTGCGAAGTGGTTTCCAGCCACGGCTCAGGGCGACACCGAACGACCGAATAACTTCATTCAACGCACTCGAACCTGAATTCGGATCTCCTGCACCTCCTGCTATCCAGGCGTCGCGGTGGTTGCCAAGTACAATGACTTCGTCTTTCTGCGTGCCATTGATGATGCCTATCACATTCCACAATGGTGTTGTAATATACTCTTGCTCGTTGACCAGGTTGAGCTGGATATGCGATGGTGAAGGACCAATATTGTACGAGACATTCTTGTGAGCCAGACCGCCGCCTTGCCAATACTTACTGAATGAGGAGGCTTGTGGACCGTGACCATTCAGTGCGCGGAGAAGTGGAAGAGCATCAGCGTATGAAATTGGAAGTGAAGGAATGCGCGGTATAGAGAGATTGCCAGCAGTGCGTGGTACACCCGGCTTTGAGGGATAGCCTGGCGTGGTCGGGTCACCTGGCAATGAGCTGAGGAACTGAGTGCTGCCTCTCTGAACACTGCTTGGGTTGCGGGCTGGACCATCTGGGTAGGGCTTGTGACCATTCAGCTCAGTCATCTGGCCGTCTTCTTGAGGATCCGAGTACATTACTACTCCCACCATGCCGAGCTCTTGTGCTCTCTTGACTTTCAATCCACGAAAGTTGCGACCATATTTGGCAAGTGCTATCTTGCCTTTGAGGCTAACGTTTCTCGCCAGCAGATCTTCATAGTCCCAATAAGTACCGAAATTGACGTAGACGTATGGCGCAGTGACGTTGCCGCTCGCGCTGTAGCCATGAAATGTAGGTATCCGATCCTTGAGGTTAGTCGTCGGGTCCTCTTCGAGAGGATCTTCCGTGAGGCTGCAGTCGTAAAGCGTGTCATATGTGCCATTCCTCCTTTTCAGCAATGCTAGCCGATGACCGACTGGATAGTTTATGTACACATCATATGTGATGATATCTGACTTGACACCAGCTTCCTGCCATCTATCTCGTGTCCATAGAGCTTGGGATAGATTCTTGCCTGCAAGATGTGGACCAGAAGTATAGTAGTGGCTGTGTGCGCGGGCACTCTCTTCCGATGGTGTCTCTAGTATTATCCTTTGTAACTCCTCGAGTGTCAAGCCATCGTTCTGCGAGGCTGCAAGTGAATTGCTTCGAAATGGATCAGAGCTATCGTGGCGGTGGTGGTGATGCGAGCCTTTGCCGTTACGGAGGTCGTCGGGCAGAAAAGCAAAAACTACGAGGAAGGAAAGAAGTACGAAGATGAGTAAACTTCCACATGCGATCGTACAGAACCGGCGGAAGGTCGAGTGTGGGAAGGTGCGATAGCGAGGCCCGCGCTGCTCGACCCGAACTGTGGTAATCAGTGGTGTCCGCTCATTGTTTGCCATTATTTTTGAATCATCCCAGCTTGGGACAGACTGGCTTCTACCTTACAACAGGTCCAAAATGTTACATGAAGGCTATACAAACTAATAGGCTCGTGGTCTTGCTCCAGGCAACGACGACAGCTGCTGCGGCGGTAATGGTTGGTGCCTATGATATCATTCTGGTGATGAAATGACACAGGGTACTACCTAAACAATTAAGCTTTCCTTCTGCCCCACGTCAAAGATGCACAACCCGAGGATGAACGTTATCACCATTGTCGCAATGCATCAGACACAATCACTTATATACATGTAGAAAGACACTCGGCGTTCAGCAAGATTGTCTTCGACTGATATCTGCGCCTCATAAGCATGGCGCGACCGAACAATCTTACAATAGACCAGTGAATTGAGGCAGTAGAATGAGTCGTCAGCAGCTTGCATATTTATTCAACATTCAATCTACCAAATTTGGGAGCACGCCCCTTCCGAGACCAACTCCTTGCTCGTGATTAATCAGAATCCCGTCCAGATTGCTCCTGCTGTCTCCAAACTCCAGTCATAATATCATCAATATCGTTACAAATCATTTTACCAAGCACAGAATCCCTGCGCCAACTCTTCATGCCAGTGCCTTCTCCCTGTGCACTTGTTTAGGTGAGAGCCAAGCTTCGATCCGGCTCGGCCTACTGGTACTGCTACTCCTCCTCCTACTCGATGCCCTCTTGTCGTAATATTCACGATCACTGTCTTCATCGCCAACATAAGTCGAGCTCGAGGTTCTCGAGTGCCTGTCCCTAGACGTTGCTCGGGACCCTGAAGACGTGGTGGTGCCAGTCGTACTCCAAGCGCCATCGCTTCGCCTCTGGCCACGAATGTGTCGCCGACTCTGTCTCATCTCGAAGCTGTTTGGACATTCTCGCCGTGGCATTCCGGTGCTCAATCGCTCCTTGTAATGATCCGCCCTGTGTTTCTGCTCATCTCTCTCTGACTCGACGTGGCTAAGACTGTCGCGAAGTTGATCTCTGCTGCCTTCTGCGTTGGCCAAGTCTGTTTTCAAACTGTGAATCTCGTCCTTTGCGATCTGAATTTCCTGCCTCAGCTTTCTGATTTGTGCATCACGACTGTTGTCGTGCACTTTGTCTTTGTTCGTTGCGTAATATGCCTTCCACTGTTTGTTCTCGCGAACTGTCTCCGAGTGTTTGACTTGTAGATTGTCCAACTTCTCCGCCAAAGCCTCCTTCTCGAATTCTGATTGCTCAAGACGATGACGCAGAGTCTGATTCTGATTGAGCAACTTGTCGTACTTCTGCTGTAGGTTTTCTAGCCGTGCTTGTTGTTGTGTCGTCTCCTGTTTCAAGCTCTTCATTCCTGCTTCCAGCTGCTGAAGCTTTTCGGACTGCTTTTGATAATGTGCCGACCACGACTTGCGAGCAAATTCGAGCTTGGAGATAGTGGTAGCGTCAGTGTCTATTTTTTGCTGTTGGATCTCGAGTCTAGATGTGAGCCCTTCGATCTGAGCTTTTGCATCACGAGCCGTCCGAGCTTGGTTGAGCTCAAGTTGGCGAATATTGCTTTCAGCCCAGTCATGTCGGGTTTGGTATTCGGTGACTTGACTTGCATGGTTTTGTGCTTGTTCGTGAATGTCTCGTTGTAGCTGCATAAACATGCGCGTCAGCTTTCGAGTGTCGGCACGATTTGCAGTTGCATCTTCGTGTTCGACGTTCATGGCCTCTTCTGGCACAACTTTGAACCACTGAAGGGCAAGCGTTTCGAAGGGCGCTTGTTGAGCTGCATCGGCATGCCACGTAACCGTGCTGAGCCAGAGGCTAGATACAATGAGTTTGTCGCCCAACCTGCGCTCTTCCCGAAAGACCAGAGCTTTTGCTTCGCTTTCCGCTCGAAGACGTGCGAGCTGATCTCGAATTGCAGCTTGTGCATCTTGTGGTGTGGCAGGAACTATGCCTAACGTCTTAGCATGGCTATTGGCAGATTAGCTTCGTCTTACGACCTTATCAACCAGCTGTAACTTACAAGGCAACACCCAGAATGACATCGAGCACAGAATTCGCATAGATAATCTGTTGCTGGCGCAAAATCGTCGTCTCACGAGTCAAAAAGGTCACCACCAGATGTGCACTTTTGTGTTTCCCACCAGGTATCCATCGCTTGTTTCGGAAAGCCGCATCGTAGGCTTGTTGCTTGTTCTTGACTTCCGCAAGCTGACTGCGCAAATCGCCAACAATTCTGGTATTGTCGATGAGCAAGCGCTCAACGATTTTGGTGAATGCAGGTCGTGCTTGTAATTGCGGGTCGTGTAACGCGGTCGACAGGTTGCTCCATGCTTTCACAAACGCTTTGATTTCGGCAGCAAAGTTGAGGCATCGTTGTCGCACGTGTCCGTTCGAGTCGCTGATCCCGACTAATGTGGTTGCAAGTGTATTAGCATGCAAGATCAACAATTCTAATTTTTGATCCATGCCACCGTCTATGAAGTGTATACGCGCGACTCAAGACAGTGACAATGTACACAGAATATGGACGTCGCACAGAGGCAGCGACGGCGGGGTATAACGCCGCATGCTTGCCAGAGTTGTGTAGTCGCATCGTTTCAACCTAGTTGGCAGTACTCTCGTATGCCCGAGGAAGAGCTTGCAGTAGTCTGCCCAAGCTTGCAGCTGTAGCGCGCTCGCCTGTCGCCCCCTCCACAAAAAGCAAGGAAAGTGCTTCTTGTGTCGAGTGAGTTACCATGGATGGGTGGACACAAAATGGTGCATATTTATGATTGAGACCAGTCGGAATAAAGCAGAAAAATAAAAGAACACCGTTCCTGTTAGCCTTTAGCTGAAAAGGGCAAATATGAAACGTGATTGGGAAAGTGTAACAGAGTTTCCGTGAGAAAGCAGGGTGGGTCGACCCCTCCCAGAGTACCGCTCCGCTAGCCATCTTGGCTCAAAGGTCTTCGTGTTCGAGGCTGCTGCACATACATACTACCCTGGATGCCATTCGAATAGGCATGAACAAGCGCTGCAAGACTTCCAGGATATGCAGATACTTGACAGGCATCCCAGAGAGGACGATAGGGAGACCATTGGACCTGGACGTTTTGTTGGCGATATCACAGCTGCAGGACCAACATTATGTTTGTTGATCCGTAGCACGGTCGGATGAACCAGTTCGTGTGCTCCAGACCGTTCTATCCACATCGGCTACAGCTTGCAGATGTTAGCAGAGTGCTGTGACACATCATACATGCCCGAAACCAGGACAATCTTCACTGCTGGGATTCCAAGCACGATTACCTGCAGAGCAATTGTATTACCGTGGGCAAAGACAGATACTGTGTAGCATGCATGAGGAATTGTTGAGGAAGGAATATTCTGAAGATTAATTATTATATGAATAATATAGTTATGGTGACATGTTCCTGTCTAAATGTGTCGTATTGGATATTCAACAGCAATGCTATTGCAACAAACATAGACCAAAGTGACTAAGAACGCGATCAGACATAGGCTATTCTATGTATAAACTGCGCAGACACCGAGCTTGGTGCAAGGCGCAATTTGAGGGTATCTAGTAGATCGATCCCTTTCGCTCAACATCGGCGATGAGATCGCCGTCAAGCTTGCCATCAGTGGACTTGCCCATTGCCTCAGCAAAGGTCTTGGTTGGTCGCCACTTAGCAGAGGTTCGTGGTGTGGACTCCTCCATCATCTTGTCGATCTGTTCGAGGGACAGACCCTTGGTCTCGGGGACGAGAAAGTAAGTGTAGACGAGGGCGGAGGTGCAGAGACCACCCCAGATGAAGAAGACGGACGATCGTAGGTTAGCTTGGTCCGCACCGACCATGTAAGGAGTGATGACAGCAATGATCTAAAGATATGTTAGCGCAGGCTCAGTGACAAGAAAGTCCGCAACTTACAGTGTTCCAGAGCCAGTTGGAGGCTGTTGAGAGACCAACACCACGAGCTCGAACGGGAAGAGGGAAGATCTCGCCGATGACGATCCAGGCACCTGGACCCCAGGTGGATGCGAAGAAGAAGATGAAGATGGCAATAAAGGCAATCTGGGCGTTGACAGCGGAGATGTTGTTGGCAATCGGGTTACCAGCTGCATTCAAGGTGGTGTGATTAAAACCGACAGTAACACCGATAATAGCAACAAGGAACTGACAGATCAACATGCCGAGGGCACCATAGAGGAGAATGGATCGTCGTCCGAACTTCTCGACGGTGTAGAAGGAGATGGGTGTCGAACAGACGTTGACCAAGGTGAAGATCAGAGAGATCAAGAAAGGGTTGTCAATGGCACCAGTTGACTGCAAGAAAGGAGTCGAGTAGTAGAAGATGAAGTTGACACCAGTCCACTGTTGCATCATCTGCAGGGAGGTACCCAAGATGGTTCGTCGAAGGTTGGACTTCTGGTGACCAAGACCGCCCTTGAAGCAGTTGGCCCAGCCACCGAACCAGCTGGTTGATGGAATCAGTTGTCGCTCATATTCTTCGTTGGCAATGATCTCAGCAACCTCAGCCTGAACGTACTCAGACTCGGCGGGTTGACCTCGAAGGCGGCAAAGTGCTGCTCGGGCAGCCTCAATATTTCCTCGCTTGACGTGGTATCTTGGAGAATCTGGCAGGAAGAAGAGACCACCGGCAAGGATAATAGCCCAGGCGAATTGGATGCCAATAGGGATTCTGTATCCAGAGTCGGTGTTGTTGTTTCTTGTGGCGTAGACGACGCAAGAGGCAAGCAGAATACCGATGGTGATACAGAATTGGTAACCTGCAACCAATGCACCTCGAACCTTCTTTGGGCAAATCTCGCTCATGTAGAGGATGACAATGGCGGATTCGAAACCGACACCAACACCAGCGACAAGACGACCGATGACGATGATGGCGAGGTTGCCGCTAGTAGTTGAGGAGGCACCTGTGATCATTTGAATAACCACACCAATCATATAGATAAAGCAGCCCATGATGACGGTCCATTTGCGACCGATCATTTCAGCTACATCACCACCAAGAATTGCGCCAAAGAAGGTACCAGCGGAGAGGATAGACACGATGAGGGACTGATTCGAGGACTGAAGTGCTTCTGCGCCAGCACCCTCAATGTGTCCGATGAATGGAATCGAGGAAAGACATCCGTTGATATAACCGGAATCATAGCCGAAGAAGATACCACCAAAAGATCTGGTTGTTGTTAGCAGGGCTCATCACCACGTTGTCATGACATCTTACGCGAAAGCGCAAATCAGGTAGGCCTTCCAGGTCACTGGGGCTTCAATGTGGTTGACATCTTGCGCAACAGAGAGAGATCTAACACCACCTCCAGGCATGATCGCGGTCGATGACAAAGATGATGATCGATGGGAACAAGTGAGACGAGATGGGAAAGAGAATTAGAAGACGTGAGGGAAACGAGCTGGTTGTTATGATTTCATATGAAATGGCATTTGCCAGCTAGTGGATCTCCGAGCTGATCTAGTCTGGGGAGCCACGCACTAGAGATCCCCGCTCGTCAGAAAATTTTTGTATCATCGTGCTGAAGCATGGGCGGGAAGCGCTGGCGAGGTGTTTGTTTGTGGAGTAGTGCCTTGAGGTCACCATCGACTCACGGTCGTCCTCTAAGCTGGACGGACCACGACAAAACGCGGCCAGATCAGATTGGCAGCAGCTGACTTTCCATTAAAACCTCATTTCCAGTTAGCGGTATGCAGCTCCATACTCGGCTAGGCTCAGAATAGTCAAAAGTATGGGCAGATGATCATTAGTTTTGTCCTCCACATGTCGGGGTTGCATTCAATTCTGCTCTCGAATGTACCCCACTATCAACCGAAGGCACAAAGAGGGACGATTCCCTCGGCATGCAGAAAGTGTAGATGACATCCCTACTCCGTGTTAGTGGACAGACTTGCAACTAGCCAAGTGGTGATCCCGGGTCTTATTGGCCAGCACCGATAAATAGGTGTCGCCTGCACATTCCACGTCCTGCTGAGATGACTCGCCGATGTCTTTAGGCGTTGTCAGCATCGAACACTTGACAACAAGTAGAGTTACACTCCAGCCAATGGAGTGGAAATTTGAAATTATGGCGTCAAAGGACTTATGACAGTCGAGTTACAAGGTTCGATCTGATCTGTCTGACGTTCGGTAAGGATTATCTGTATTTTTGATCACGATCTTCAGCCAGGACACGAGAGTTGAGATCATGATGATTGGGGGTAGCCTCTTGACGATCTTGCAGCGGCAGATGATGTGGCCAATAGATTGAGGCAATATTATTGATTCATTCCGGACGGAAACAGTGCTCATGTCGTCAAACGACCTCAACTGTATCTTGTTGAAGTGGACGAACTTCACAGTGTGCAATCCCTGTTCCGCGGCCGAAGCTATGACATCGACGTCCAATTTCCACAAGTCGCCACTGCCGTTGACTAGTAGGGCGTTGCCAGAGGCGGTGGTGGGTTACGCTTAAACACCGGAATTTTTATGCAACGTAGCGTGATCACTAGAAGTTTTAGATATCTCTCATCACCATGACTTTGATACGTTTCCACCTTAGAGAAGTCAAAGGCATGAGGAGAGCCAGTCTGACAGATGCACACGTTCGAGACCACTCTGAAAGGAGAGGTCCTTGGGCCTGATCGGTCGGTTGTCCAATATCGTTTCGTAGCATGTATCGTTGGTCTCGAAGAGCGCAGTACCAGCTTGCTATTTGACGGCCCTTACATTGTCTTCGGCTCGAATTATTACTAATCGTATTTTAGCAGCACATTGACTGCCTCCACCTCTGACAATTCCCATGTCCTTGCATCTGTCGTCCTGCTTCTACTTTCCTCTTCCAGCGATTCAATGGATTCCTTTGCCTGTCAGTACGGAGAAGCGTATACTGCAAGGATTCCTAAGCCAAGTCCCCGCTGTCCCTAATACCTGGCACTCTGAACCATGTGTTGTGTGACTGCACTTCCGGACCACTTTAAGGTAACGTCGCTTTTCCTCTTTGAACCAAGCTCCGTGATCTCCATCGTCTTTGTCTCACGAATCAGATGGTCTTCTTGCCTGTCCCGTTGCTGCCATGCACTTCGACATACGCGCTCGTACTTGTAAGCACCACGCTGCCTTCCACAACGGACTCGTAGGGGCACTCTACGCACACGAGGACTGTATCCCAACACCACGTGTACTATCTCCCAACGCTCCTGGATTGCATAAGAGCTATAGCAGAAAGAGTAAAATTACGCAGAACCCTGCAGGTTCAAGTGGTTGCTCCGGACACGTGAGATCGTTGTACGAGCAATGTCCGAGCTTCTATGCATATGCTTTTGGTCACATCAGATCTCCATACTGGAAGATTGCTATACAGCACGGTTGCAACGATAATAACAGCTACTGCCCAACCGAACCAGGGAAAAAATGCCAGCGTTGCAATAGATACTCGTCTAATGAAAAAAATGGCTAGCACTCTGGAAAGTTCCATCAACCTCAGTACTCGTCTACCGGAAAGCTCATGAAGCCTCGAGGCCACTGCTTTCATGCTGAGATCCTTTGCGGAATACGCATATTCGAGTACGCTCTACTATACACTACAACTACTGGATAGAAGCTGGCGGTTCATAAAACTTCGTCATCTCTCGCCTTTGTCATCTCACAGACAGAATTCTGTACGCCATCCATAGAGCAGATATCTGGTAAGTTTCAATGATAAAGCAATTCTCCATCACCATCTAATGTCCACCACGCTTTACAAATACGAAACCTTTGCCTTCGTTCATTACAGTACAAGTAAAACGTTGTTTCGCCATCTCTTCTATTCACAAGGTCAAGACTTTCCTTCTTAATTTTTTTTTTAAGGTTTCAAAACGGCCCAGAGATCTAGACAGATCTTTCTCACTCTGTAATTCCGAAAGATCCCAAAAGTCAAAAAAGCTTTTCTGGGAATGGTGGAAGTTGGTTGACCGAAAAAAATCTGCTTATGGTAAAGACTCTAAACTTTTCGCATGGGTTCTCCTTTTCCAGCCACATGGAAAAAAGCTTATAGTAGAATTGTCAGCTTGTTTGAGCAAGTGGTCTCGTGCGCGTTGCAGCTGGGGAGCAGGCGTCGAGATTTCGAGAGATGGGTTTGTGCTTTCGGGATCGCATATCAGTGGTGCGATGGATGAGGCAAATTTTGTTTGTTCATTCACATATTCGAGACGTACGAGTCTGGTGCTCGTACTAGACGAGCTATTGCGACACACGTGGCCAGATGTCTTGCTTACTTGACATCGTCCATGATGAGACAGCAAGAGGAACAGCATAAACAGAAGAAGTAGCGCTCAAAGCGATGGTACAGTATAGAAGCAAGACAAAGTGGCAACGAAGGCGGGTCATCAAGATCTACGTCGTCCATGGTCGTCAATGCTGAGAGCGAATGGACAAGGTCAAGCCTTGCGCTCGATAGTGCTTGTTAATGCATCTAGCTAGCTGTGTATTCATGTTAATATTTATGTTTGTACTGATCCAATGTCTTCTCTTGAAGATATGGTCAAAAGCCAGCAAGCCATCTGAGCTGAAACAGCCCTTCCATAATGTCACAAAATGATTTCGGCCGAAATAACTCGACCTGCAACGGAGCAGGATGTAGCCAGAGAACGTAGAGCTGAGTTGAACCAGCTGGTCGAACTGCGCTTCCCCCAATCTTCCACGTTCTCCAAGTTTGTGGCATGCGTTAAGCGACCCGTATTGTCCTTTACGGCACATCAGGTGCTTCGAGCTGCATCGTCATATGTAGACCAAGAAGCGAGTGCGTTGAAGGTATAATTGTGAAACGTGTTCATTTCCAAAAGCAAGAATGTCGAGATATGTGCCCGAAGCTTCCTCCTCTTAGACATCCTAATTTCATGGACATTCTCGAGGTTCGATAGTCGGAACGATCGAGAGGGCAACGCTCATGGCCAGACTCCATTGTCGAGGAGGCGGAAGAAATCCCATTCGGCCTAGAGATAGATTAGCTTCAATCTCCTTATTCCTCGACGATTGACATACCGATGCTTCAGTCTTGAAGTTCCAGAATATCCAACCTTGGGAATGTTGTTCGAATGCATTGATTTGAGCTTGGATGTAATTTCTTGTAGTATCTTTCATGCCCTGATCCCATTGATCGATGAAGTTCTTGGTTGCGCAGGACCCGACATAGTAGGAGGTCTCTCCAGGTTTCGAGTAGGTGCCGTCGTATCGTCTGGGTTGTAGGTCAGCACAAAAAAACATTTGACAGGGATCGTCACACTCACGCTCCAATACCGTAACCATTCAAAGCGGCAGCGCAATCTGTCATGGCAGCCGTCCATTCACCACAAATCAAAGTTCGATCCGACTGTCCCCAGCTCGCAGCTCGAGCATATGCTTGGTCTACATGTTGCTGAGCAGTCATAGCAACATCTCCATTGCTGAAGACTTGGTACTCGTGATGATCAATGATGGAGTCTGGAATGATACCGTTCCAGCTGGAAGGTGCTGCAAATCCGTCTGAAATCACTACTGGTACGCCGGTCGAGGAACGTACAGCGCCATAAGCTTGGTTGTAATAGTTTTCCAGAGCAGCTCTACCGCCTGGCAAGCTTCCTGTCAATGGTTCGTTGAGGAGCTGAACGCCCGATACAGCAGGGTGATTACCAAATTCCTGTGCGATCTGACCAAGTACTCCTGCTGTAAAACCAATCGTATCACCGCTAGTCCATTGAGGAGAGCTCGTTCTCTGGCCAGAGTTGTCGAAGCCGTTCTGAGATAGAGGAGCACCATGGAGGTCGATCCAGACCTTCAGTCCAGTCTGTGAGGCCCAGTCAAGGGCTCGAGCCAGATATTCCTTAGCACCTTGCACATACGGATCGTTGCCATATTTCTGAAATGCCCAATAACCAATCGGTATGCGCACAGTATTGATACCTTTGCCAGAACTAGCAATCTTCTGAAAGTCACCCAACGTCACCCAGCTCGACCAATGTGCTTGCAACACACTGCCTGCATTTGGGTCGTTTTGACAGAGTGTGTATTCGTCGACGATCGAGCCAACAGGGCCATAGGCTTGAAATATGGAAGGTGTTATCCATGGTTCGAGAACAAGCCAGCCACCCAAACTTACACCACGAGTTGGGCCACCTTGTCGCTTGTCTAGGATCGGAGCGGAAAGAGTTGAGCAAGCTGTTGCCAGCAGTAGTAGGGCCTTCCTCACGAGCATCTTGAGAGACTGGTAAGAGCAGATTTGGAAAAGATATGAAAGTTAGGGATAGACAACAACTCGGATCGTAGAAGTCACGACCGGAGCTGTAGCAGGAACGAAGTAGCTGAAAGGTCGACTTTGAAGTTCTTTTCAGTGTCTTCGTAGCAGGCACTATCCAGGTAAGCTTGGAGAAGCACAACAGCACCGATGACGGTAGTCATTGTGTTCGACAGAATAGGTACGTATCACTATGCACAATTGCGTTGGTTGTATGCTGTTAACAAATGGCACTAGAGTCGACACTGGCCGAAAGGAGCTCCAAGTGATGGTCGAGCTGGGAATTCGCCCTTTCCGAGATCACACGGCGCTCGTTTTTTGGCAATGATGCACATTGCGAGGACTCCATATGGTAGCACTGTGACTGCTGATCAGGTTGCGTGGGCACCGAGGCCGCATGTGAAAGGTTAATGTTTGAGAAACACTCCAGATGGAGAGCAAGGCGAAACAGCTTTACGCGATGTTGTGGAGAGGCGAACTGCGAAGAAAGTCCCAGCGAGGAAGGTAATGTTGTACAGCGGAACATCAAGCGCGGAGTGGTGCGCATGTTGTGCCCTGGCATTAGCGGAAATTTACAACCCTCCAGTCAACGCACAGGAGATGGTGGAGATGACTGTTTGTCAAGAGTTCTACTTCACCAAGTTGAATGACACAAGGTTGACCTGAAAGAGCATTCCACGTGTCTTGTCGAAAGGTGTACAACCTGCTGCTGAGCAATGGGAGCACCAAAGTCGGTTCCGAGGACGTCGTGAGATCAAGCACGCGTGGCACCAATATGGCAAATGTTTGGTCCAACACAAGATGTGGTCGAGCCCGCGGCTTGGAATCGAAGCTACCATCGTACGGGAGTTTCCACTGGGAAGGAGGAAGCTCGAACTCGCCTCACATTGATTGGAAGCTGACCTCCAAATTGCATGAGCTGTCACGTTGATCAGCCACTTTCGTCACAAAATCTTTAGCTCTACTCACCATCAACTCCAAAGCTGCTGATCGCGTACTCTCGCCAGCTGAAATTACTTTGACTGGCAGCTGACCAAATACTTTACAACAAAAAGCACATACGATGGGTTTCTGTCGCGTTGCGGGTGACGGTCATTGCGGCACCAGATGAGGTGATACTGGCAAGAACTTCCGTCAACTAAATGCTCCTCGGTCTAAGGAAATCAAACCGTGAAAATTGTGTCAACGTGAGCAGCTTGTCGCGAACACCTCCAGATCAAGTAGGCTCACTCGCTTCACCATCAATGTCCAGCTCTTGTATACTTGCCATATCATACTGGTTGAGCTTGTCTGCCAACTGTCTACTGAGAAGTGATGCTGGCCTTCCATAGTACCACACTTCCCGCTGCCTATCGTGTATGGATCCTGATCTTGGCCAGATCGCCCTGCGAAAACATTGACATAATGAGTGAGCTTGTTGCCCTCACTATCGCACTTGCTAGTTAGCGGAGATTGGGCCTCGTGAGCAAAGCGGTCATATGGACGAGATCATGACGTGCTTATGTTTAGGCGCATGCAGTTTTGGAGAGAGCAACACCAAGTGCATCAGAAGAACAGCTTTATGGGGGTATGGATCGTGTAACGAACATTGAACATTCGTCTCTGAGTACATCAGTATACATTATTTGCAGAAACAATCTACGCATTACAATACTATATACTTGATGGTTTACGCCGCCCGCTTGAACGCTGATATAAGCTCGATTAGGTTAGAGCCGACTGAATCCCAGCCCTCTCGTTGGTGTCGTTTGCAATGCTTCTCGACCAGCACCGTCAGGTTTACTTTCGCATAATTCGCAATATGCTCTGTTTTTCGATGACAGAGTTGTCGTGCTCGTCTCTCCTGACTATATAATAGTTGTCAATGAAGTCCTGAGCATTCAGTAACTCCAGAAATCGCTCGTCATGGGTGATAATGATGAGCTGGAAGTTCTTCTGATGTCGTCGTGACTCAATGATTCGATGTAGAGAAAGTGCTAGCGCTTCGATGTTTTTCTCGTCCAGATTTGTAGTTGGTTCGTCCAAAGCAATCACACCACAGTCTTTTGAGAAACATTCTGCAAGCGCAAGTCGAATAATTATGCTAGCAAGCACTTTTTGCCCTGCACTGCATCTGCCACGCATATCAAGTTCCACATCACGCTTCAGCATCACGACACGATAATGGTGTGTTCGGCTACTGGTTTTGACCTCGAGATCAGACTTGATATAGATTGTGTCAACGTCGGTACCCATATAGGTATTCCGCCAGAGCTCGTCCATGATAGCATTGACTTGATCCATCTTGAGCGAGTGGTATTTCGTAACAGCCTGATCTAATGCTGTGCTGTATTTGCCAATGTCTTCGACTGCGAGCTTTGTCGACTCAACCTTAACATGTGCTTGCCTATACCTCAAGGCAGCATCTTTGAGATCAGTGTCGTACTCCGCAAGCAGTTCTTTGAGCTGCAAGTCTTTGGTCTTTGACTCCCCAACAACGCCCTGCAGCTGAGCAGCACAAGCATGGCGATCCCTGGTCAACTGCTCGGACTCACGCTTGAGCTGGTCCTGGTCATGCTCCGCGTTGGTCGACTCAAGGGTTTCAATCTCACCTTGCAACCATTTCAGATCTCTACACAGCTCTCTGTAGCGCAGGTTGTCTGCATAGCGGCGTCTTGTATTGTCACTATCCCTGAGCTGCTCGTCAACTTGCGAAATCTCTTTTGTAAGCTGTTTCTGAGCTGCTTCGTCTCGCGCAATTTCTTGTCGAATGTGCCCGATTTCACGCACGATGCGGGAGAGTTTCGATTCACTGCCACCTTGGACGTATGTCTGTATCTGGTCGTTCACTAACTGTAGTGCACTAACCGTCTCATCTAAGCCTCTGGCGTCCTGGTTCATATCTCGAAGACGAGCATTGGCACGTTGATCGACATCGTCGCGTTTCGCGTTGGCCGCGTCAATCTGCGGACCAATGTTCTCCAGTTCTGTGTCGATTGTTCCAATGATTTCTCGCTGCTTTTGGTTCATATCCTTGAACTCTTGAACTCGATCTAGGAGTCCGGTTTTGCGGTCAAGTTGTCGGGATACAGTCTCAAGCTCGCTTCTCATTTCTCGTAGTTCCAATTCCTGGGCATAGGTCTCTGATCGCGCTGTATCCTGCTCTTTGGTCATCCTGGAAACATTTCTTTTCGTCTCATACACTTTGCCATTTATGGTAGTGATCTCTTCTTGAATGTCTTCCAGTGTTCTGATATCGCCGTGCTGTGATTGCTTCGCTGTTAGTTCATCGACTTTGGCGTTCAAAGATTTGATGTCTTGCTCAATCTTCGTAATGGACGCGACGGTCGTCGAAAGGCTCTCTATTTCATTCTGGGCTTCTTCCTTTGCCTCGACCGTCCTATCATGCTTCTCCAACAAGGCCATTGACCTCTCATGGTCTTGGTTGAGCTTCGCAATGTCAGTGTCCATAGTGGGAATCTCTTCTTTGGTCACTCGTTTCCAGTTCTCGTAGCTCGCACCTGCATCGACGATGCGTTTGTGATCGGCCGTAGCCTCTTGCAACTCCTCGTCAGCCGCCTCAGCTGATGCCCTTGCGACCAGAGTCTGGACTTTTCTCTTGAATACATTGAGGCGAGGATCGTCCGGGCCTTTGAAGGGCCTCTCACACAGCCGGCAGGCGTGCTTCGATTCAGCAATCTCGAGAACCCTGCCGAACCAGGTCACCAGACCCCCATATTCTTTCATGTTTTCCGTGGCTGTTTCGAGACGAAGCTCTGCTGCACTGGATGTCTCCTCATAGTCAGCAATATCACCATCAATGGCATCCTTGACAATTTTCTCGTATTGCTGTGCCTGACGCTTTCGAGCGCCCAGTTCGTCTCGGAGGCTGCGCTGCTTGTACTGAATCTGCTCAGCTTCGCGTAAGATGTTGTCTCTTTCACGTTTTGCCGATGCAACTTCTTTCACAGCATTCGACAAGATACCTTGGAACTTGGTGTTGAGGTTTGTAGGGTCCCAACCAGAGCCTACCAGAGTATTGATTTTATCGCTATGGACTTCTAGCAGTGTTCGCAGGCCGCGTTGTTGCTCTCTAATCTCTTGCTTGACGTGGGATAATTGTGCAACTTCTCCAGCACGCTTGGTACTCTGCAGCAATTCAGCATTCAAACGATTCAGCTCTTCATCGAACCTCGAGAGTTCTTGGTTTGCTTGCTTTATCTTCGCGGGATAGTCCATGGAGTTGAGGCTCTGGCGAGTGCTCAGTAGTCGGGCTTGCAAATCTTCCATACGCGATTCGATAGCGGCCTTACTGCCTTCGTTGACTTGAATATTATCGACATCCGATTGTCGCTGGGCAGCTTGTCGACTGTTCTCAGCCATTTGACGATTCGCGGATGTTCGATTGTCTTTGAGGACATTTTGTCGTTCTGTCAACTTGTTCAGCGTAGTGGTTGCTTCACGTTTTTGCTGATCAGCTTCAGCACGAGCCTGTTCAAGCTTTGTAGTACGGTCTTTCGCCAACTTCTTGATTTTGAACAAGAAATCTTCGACCCTGTCGTCGTCGCTCAGGTCGTCATAGCCCCGAAGCTGATGTTTTGCTGCACTTTCTCTGATCTGATTCTTTCGTCGCTCAAGTTGACGATTATGCTCAACCTTTTCTTGCTGGTATTGACCTTGTTCAGTCAGCTTAATATCCAATTTCTCTTTCAGCTGTGCCAGATTCTCCTTATATTCCAGCCATTGATCTCCTTTCGTTTGCTTGGTTTCCTCATACCCTGCTAGCGTAGCGTTGAACTGAGCCAGTGCATTTTCCAACCATTCGTCGCTTTCCCCAATTTCTTTGAGATGCACTTTGAGGTCTGCAACCATTTTTTCCTTGTTATCCCGATCCATACGATGAGCTTCGAGAACTGCGACCTTTTGACCAACTTGTTCGGCTTGCTTCCATTTCTCAGCTGCCCCAGTTGAAGCAGAATCGAATCGATTCTGCCAATCACGAGCTTGCTCTCGCAGATCTTCTATTTCCTTATGCAGTTGCTTGCAACGCTGTCTCACTCGGTTAGCTCGGTCTCTGTCCTTCTTTGCCGACTCTGCCAGTGCTTCTTGACGTCCAAGATCGTTTTTGTGCTTCTTGCGAATATCCACCAATTCTTTAACTGCTTTTGTATACTTTCCAGCTTCGAAAATTTCATCGAATTTCTTCTTTAGGGTACCGGATTCTGCAAGCGGCCATTGACTGTCCTCCTGATGACAGAAGATGACGTTATCAAGCAGTGAGGTTGATACTCCGAGATACAGAGGTACCTGCTCATCCAGCTCTGCGACACGGGTCGACAGTGCTGTCTTCTGTCCATGGCGCTCTATTAGCAGAGTGGCTTCCTTGGTTTTCTGACTACGGCTCTGCTTTTTGAGCTGAAGTTCTAGGTTGCGTGTCACCACGAGTTTCGTTCCATTGGCAGCATGAAATAGCAGCTTCACTTGAGCCAATACACTCTTTTCACCTTGTAGGCCTGGATCGTGGATCCACGCTCCTTTCAGACCTGCGCCAGGAGGCAAAGCACCTGTAGTGATAAAGCGAAGACATTCGATAATAGTAGTTTTGCCAGAGCCATTGGTTCCAGCGACGATGGTCAATGGTGGCTCAAACTTAATGGTCTCGCCTTCAGTCGTAGGAAAAGCACGAACGCCAAGAATCATCATTCTATCGATGGAAGACATCGTGGAAGCTTGGCCTGCGGCGCAGGACTCGTATTTCAGGATTAGTCCTTCATCACAACAAGGAGTGTGAGCGAAATCGAAAAATGGTGGAGAGATATCTCCTTCTCGCAAGGAGAGCAAGTTTGAGCGCACTGACGAAGTATTGATGCCAAAAGCATGTCTGGTACGATGTAAGTGCGACCGCGACAGACTAGGCAGACAAATCCACGCGCTCTCACGTGCCGTCCGCGTCTCTTCGCGACTTGCCAAGCCTCTGTCCCCTGCTCCATCGCGAGTTGAATGTCGTTGCCGCTTGCATCATCTACTTCATGATGAGATACCAGCAACCACCCTCACTCCGCAATGCAAGAGAGAAGAGTTCTATATCTGCCGTGTCAAGCCCTATTTCTTAGCATGTGGAGCAGCAATTGTGGTGATGAAGGCTCTTTGTATTGCGAACGGCCGATTGACGGCAATTTCCGTGTGCCTCGCGGTTGAGGCTCTCATCTCGATCCATGGTTCCTTCCGCGAAAGAGTCAAGAAGCACAATCGATCGAACGATTGTTCTCGCTTGTTAGCAGCTTGATGTGAGCTAGTCGTCGCACAACTTTATCGGTAAACGGTGTCATTCGTCGCGACAGGTGTCTGCCCTATCACGTCTCACGCTCTACCACAAACGGCTCTCCTGCAGGCTTCATGCATCAATAAGCGAATTCCCCGAGCACGAGACCTTGCAAGGAGGATCACCATCCTTAGCAGGGTTGCGCATTGCGCGTTGTCAGAGCCTCAAGTGAGCGGTCCATTCGGCAATATGGACCCCTACCAAGGAGATCCATCCATGATGGATATGTCGGATTCCAATGCCAATATGTTCAGTACGAGTTTGATGGACTCGAGTCAACTTGACATGAAACCCTACGTCGACGATATTCAAATGGACATGGGCGACCTGTCTGCTATTCCATACAACTCGATCGAGCCAATGTCCGGCACAATGGCTGAATCCGAACATATGATCATGAACAATGGAATGGGGGTCTCGGGTACAGGAGCGGGAGCAGGACCTCTTCCTACTGGCTTCGGAGCACAACCTGGCATAGGAAGTACCCTTACAGAATTCACTAAACGGCGAAATTGGTCACAGCGAGTCATCGAGGAGATTAAAGACCTCCTCTTTGTCTTAACCCCTGATGCGCGCTTCCTCTACCTCAGCCCTTCGAGCCGGTATCTGACGGGTTATGATTCCGCTGACCTAACAGGGAAATTCATCCACGAGTTTCTACATCCAGATGATAGCTCTTTATTTCTCCGTGAATTCAATGAATCCATTGCAACCTCTCATCGCCTACGAATGTTCCTTCGCTTTCGTCGTAGCGAAGGAGAATGGACTATCTTCGAATGTCACGGCCACCCACATCTCACAAATGACGTCTCTCATCTTGAAATGACTGGAGGACCTCGCAATAACGCAGGCTTCTGTGCGGGTTTCTTCATGATAGTACGTCCTTACCCAACGAAGAATGCTATGCTCCTAGATAGCTTTCTGGAGCACAAACTCGAGAACGAACGGCTACAGGCACGCATAAGTACTCTTCGTCGTGAAGAGGCCGACGACGCAGAAGCGCAGAATCGACGCTATCACAAGAAGATGAATGGTGCTGACAGCATGACAGCCTCAGGAATTGATACCAGCGTCACAGGATTCGGTGCTGGCGGCGAGTCTCCGAGCCTGTCAGATAGACAATCGATCGACTTTGGCTCGATGCCACCACCTGCCAAGCCTACAGTGTCCAACATGGCACTGACTCGTGAAGCACTGGATGAAGCGAACGCTTTCGCACGACCAGATAGTATCAATGACAAAATGGCACGTTACGAAGGCAGCAGTCATGTCGATTCGATCGAAATGCTGACCGGCCTGCACTATCGCGAAGGGGAACGGGCTCACGGCATATCGACAGGTGGCACGTCCCCAGCACTTATTCGTGGAGATGCAGGCATCGATATTCCTATCGAGAAAGCCGACCTGCGTGGAGGCACGTATATGGATAAGAAGCCTAAGAAGGTCAGGTCGGCCGACGAATACGTATGCACTGACTGTGGGACATTGGACAGTCCTGAATGGAGAAAAGGTCCGAACGGTCCGAAGACATTGTGCAATGCCTGCGGATTGCGATGGGCTAAGAAGGAGAAAAAGCGTACTGGCAGCATGAGTGGCCCGATCGGGTCCAGTGGTAACATGTCTCTAACACCAAATAATGGGGGCGGTGGCTCTGGACAGAATAGTGGTTCTAACACTGTGATGGCTCCAGGTGGCAATACACCGAGTATGCTAACAGGTCGTGCGAACGATGATTTCACAGAGCACTGAGCGCCCACTTACGTTACGCGTTGACCACGACAATGGCAACGTCCTTCTCGAGGCTCGTCTGTGAACTTCTATGAGCCACGGTATGGGCTCCAGGAAACCGCATCTTGCTGTAAAGAGGCCTTGCGGATCGTACCGCCTGTCACTTGTCTCATGGATACACCGTGCGCAAAGCTACTAGACAAGAGCCGAATGACAGCCACAGTTTACAGCAAGTAACTACGAATCGTACTGTGCTGCGATGGGTCAGACACCAACCAAGAAACTTTGAACCTCGGTGCAGTGACAACACAAGCGTCATATCGAAGAGCACGAGTTTCCATTCTCTATCGTCCGAGCCGCATGTACCAGAATCACTCTGTAAATTGACAAGTACGTCGCGACTACCTGGCTCGAATACTCAGAACAGATACGAGAAATTTCTCTACAGGCGACACCAGGCACACATCATGGCAGCCTGTTCTGGCATCTGGTTCAGCATGTCGCAGACAGAGATAGACCAGAGTCCAAGACATATCAATCGGCAGCCCCAAACCTGGTCCAATGGTGAGGACAGGCCATATAACAGCCAGGACTACAGCCAATTGCGATCTACCACCAACGTTTCCTTCGACATTTTATCGCATTCGTTCCGGGCGATATTTTCTCGGATGTGAACGTTGTCACACCTTCCTCTTTCACTCATAGGCAGCTGGTTTCTCAGGAGACAACCCTAAGTACAAGATCCAAGCATGAGTTACAGGTGGCAGGGCCCTGGAATGATGCCTATGGTGAAACGGGAAGGTGTGACGAGGTTCACATTCAAAATTACATCGCGCCTGTCGTCCTCAAATCCTTGCCACGCGGGAAATTTCACGGCAACAAATTCTATCTACAAGGAAGGAGAGACTGTACCATCGACTCTGTTTATCTACTGGCAGCATACAGATGTGCCGCGAATTGCAAGGTCGTGGCCAAGCATGAGCCATATATAGAGGTGTATAGTTCAGTGTTGCCTAAAAAAGTTCACGAATGTCATGTGGCAGTAAAACGCTATGCTTTGAGATTTAGCGGAGGTTGAGCAAGTAGTGTAGATGCCACTAGCGAGAGAGAGAGAGAGAGAGAGAGAGGAGTATATAGATGGCTCTCCATGGTTCTAGCTATTCAGTCGGAAAGTGCTTAGACAGGGCATTGGATGTACATTGAGATATTGGCGGGAAAGAGAGCAGATATTAGCAGGATAGCAGGATATCATCGAGATTGGATTTTAGGATTTAGCTATTGTGTTCTTGCACAAAATCTTGAACAGCAGGCGTGGTAAATACTTCTTCCAACAACGGGTCTCCTTTTATATCCTTCGCAAGTGATGCCTGTGTCCACATTTCTTCAGACATCTTCATGAAATAGACCCTGATGGCCTATGACTGTGAGAACCATATCAGCTCAGCTCTTAACCATATGCCATTCGTCCTTCTCTGCCCATCGAGATCACAAGTAACCCAAGTATCGTACACTTCGCCATCCAGAGAAAGTCACTCTACCTTATGACTTTTGCACTTGCGCCTTCAGCTTGCGCACCTCCTTTTCAAGTCTCTCGATATCGTGCTGCTTCTGCATAACAGTAAGGCTCAACTGTAATTCCATCTCAGACATGTTGTTTGCATCTCTCCTACCACTTTTGTCCCTCTCCTGAGGTTCATCATCAATAGCTACCCCTACGACGCTGTTCTGAGACAATTTGCTAATCAGCTCGGCGGCGGACTTGATGACGACGACTGGATCGTCCGCGTGGTATGTCTTTGCATCATCGATCAGACCGTGCTCTATTGCCATTTCAGCATCCACATCTTGCCAGACCGCAGTTGTAAGCTTTCCTTTGGTCATCTTCTTCATTTCGGACCGCTGTTTCTTCTCGATGATATTGGTGATCTTGAGAGTTTCGGCTGCAGCCAAAGTCTGCAAGGTAGTATTGATGATAGTCTGGGGTATCAATGGCTTGAGGGAGGTGAGAAGCGCCACGTCGACGTCAGACCGATCTGTAAACCCCTTCTTCTGAGTATACGAGCTTGAATTTGTATCTTGGTCTGGCAGTCTTGTATGATTGCAGGCCCGGTCACCATCGACATTTCTCTCAGGCTCGTGAGGGCTATCCTTTCGCGCTTTGACTTGCTTCGTCTTGTCAGCAGAATTCGCCTCTCTCTTCGATAGCGCACTTGTTATTTTCTGCTTCTTCAAGGTCCCTGTAGTGGTCTGATTCGGAGTCGCACCAGAGTCCTGGCTGGCTCGCTTGCGTTTTTTGGCCTTTTGATAGGGAGTCGTTCCGCCTTCTTCAGAATTTGAGGCGTGCTGATTGATGGCACCAGCTTCACAGCTGGATTCGTCTTGGTCATTAGGCTCGACACAACTTTCGTCGTTATCACATCCCGGAGGCTTTGACTCCAATCTGTAGCCACGTTGACGCTCTATATCGTCTAGCAGGTCGGCCTGCTTTCTTGCTTCGGCAAGCACGACGTCCCAGTTGCCTTGCTGCTTCGAGTTCTTTTTGCTTTTCCTCTTCGAACTGGAACTTTTGCTGGGCTTCTTGTTCGATTCAGACTGGCGAGTGGGTCGAGATTTATCTTTCTCGACCTCTTGATCAGACTCAGTGTCTCTACCAGGATCGGAGACATTGCTCGAGAATGTTTGGTGAGGCCGAATTTTCAGATGGTCTGTTGCTAACCTTTCTCCATAAGTCCTTGCAATACGATCAAAGCTGGCCTGGCGGTCTTTCTGTGTGAATTTATCTGAAGGTGTGACAACACTCGCTTGCTGGGGCACGGGAATCATGACTGCATCAGCAGGCTGTAACGCAGACTGTTTGGGTCTCGAATCCTGCCCAGGAGAGGAGGCAGGTGGAGGCGCATCACTTCGTTCTTTCCTCAGTTTTGGACCTTGTCTATTCACTAGCTCTTGGGAAGTGACCTGCGGGAGGACTGAGTCTGCTGGCTTGCCATCAGGTCGGACTGTCTCTGCTGCTGGTGTAGCACTTTCAGAATTAGAGATGGATCGCGCGTTGAAGACGTTCTTCGTTCGAGGCTCACGTGCATTGTTGGTCGTCCTCTTGTGAGATGCTACTGCGTCTTTCAGCCTCGCTTTAGCTGTACTTGAGAGATAAACCGGGGTAGGTGAAACCTGTGGAGTCGTTCCTGCTTCGTTCTTAGTAGCAGGCTTGCCATTGCCACTTTTGTCTCGCGGAAGAAGAGGAGTGCGTCTGATGCTGTGGCCAGCGGACTTGTCGGGCTTCGATCCTGTATGATCGGGCTTGATCTCCTCGTTAGCTTGCTTGACCATATCAGTCGAAGACATCGGGTTCACTGAACTCTGCTTAGCAGAATCGTACTTGGTGGTATCGCTATTCGGGGCCTGACTCTTGTCGTCGCTAGTTGAGCTGGAGATCTTTTGTGGTGTGCCCTTGTTTGGACACTTCTCATGGCTGTCCCTCGGTACAATATTCTGCTCTCCGGATTTTGTAGAGGCTTCATGCACAGCAACATCGCTGGCAGTATGGTTGACAGCTCTTTTTGGTTCGCTTGAGGGTGTCGGCTGTGATTTCGACGTTGATCGAACTTTTACATCTGGCCATCTGGAGAGATGGTTTGGTAAATGTATCGGTGTGCCACTCCATTTAGATGGCCGGTCCTTTCTAGACTTGGCCATTACAGGAACTCGTGCCTAGGCTTGTATGAACTAAAAGGTTGTCGCAAATGGAAGGGGGACTGTGCGCCTAGTCAATCTCGAATTGTCGGGTAGACTTCAAAATTTTCACCAGTGTTCGTATCGTGAAGGTGTCGTTTACGTACACCGCGACAACTTGTACTTAAGATACAAGAAATCAGACGGTTGGTGGAACTGTTTCAAAGCATAGTGAGGGAAGCAACGACCAGGTCAGTAGTTAAAGTTCGCTTGTCGGGTCGTCAGTCCTGCTTAGGGTGATGGAATAAGAGTCTGCTTACCTTTCACTCGTGCGGCACGACACTTCACTCGAACCGCCGAAGACGTCCACAAGATCAGGTCGTTATCTAAACTGAGTGATAGTGCAAGTTCCGAGAGCAAATTTTTGGCAGTGAAACAGAAATGTTAGCTCTCAACATGAAACAGAAGTGACGGACATGGATTACAGATGAGCAGGAAGAGCGTCTGCCCGCTTCGCAATACTCAGGTTGTTTGTCGCGAGGAGCGACCGGTTGTTTAATATCAAGGTCTTGATCTTCTGCAGGCAAGAGAATATGACAGGAAGTCGTAAGTGCGAGTCGTGAATTTACGATGATGCAAAATATCCTATCAAGCCATCTCTAGCAGTTCCTGTCTGGCCTGAACGCCACACTCGAATGTCCAGCATCATTTGTATGAGAAAACCCCGATATGACATCCCTGCTGATGTTTCGTTTCGTTTAGAGTATGCTCATTCATAAAAAAAGAGAACAGAAAATGTGGCTTTTAGGTATCGTTACTGCAATGTCAAGCCCAAAGGTATTGAGACTTGACGCCGTACACATGTATGTGCCAACCATTGACCGCCTCTCTCCTTGTATCGAGTAATGCTATCATCACGTTTGCCCGGCCTTTTCAAGTTTGTCCCAGTCCTTCCAGATGTTGTTCTTCATTTCCTTTAGTCTCAAATGCATCTTCCACACCTTATCGAGATCTGCATCGTCACGCTCCTGAGCCGGGAGCTTATGCAGCTTATCATGTAAAGTCTTGTACTTGTTGTAGAATTGCTGAAAGACCTTAGTGTCTTCAACCAGTTTGTCCTTCGTTTTGCTCTTTTCAGGCTCGGAAGAGCTGTCGGAGTCGGAAGTAGTTCTCTTAATAGGCGGTCGATCACGATCTTCATTCTCCAATGACTTTGGCAGACTATTGAAACGTTCTGGATCGTTCTTGCCGTTCGTGAGGGTTTTCTTTTTCGCTGGTGGTAGTTCTTGATCGTTTTCGGACTTCCTCTTGACGCCATTGATATGCTTCTCAGGCCTGTTTGCCTTGATAGTAGAAGGTGAGTAAGCTTCCCGTGTTTTCTGAGATGATTGCGTGGTAGAGGGTGGCGACGATGGGGCAGACGAAAGGCTAGTACCCTTACTGCTTGTACTTGTGCTATCAATGTCTCGAGAGTTGGTAGGGGGTGATGAACCTAGCGGCGACGGCTTCGCAGGCGAGCTACCATTTCGGGCGCGTGAAACGTTATACGGGTGTGCTTCGAGAGATTTGGATGGCTTTTCGGGCTTGGTTAAATCTGCTGATTGAACTGTGTCCTTGCCTCCACGAGTCCTGACCATGGCTGAAGAAGGTATTCGACCACGCTCGTGGTCACTAGTACTGTGGTTGGACAATCCTGGTATATGGCTTTTGTGTGAGGTGCTTTTAACAAGAGGTGAAGAGGACTTAGTGATATGTTTTGTGATCGGCTGTTTCGACTCCTGCCTTTTAGTAGTGGTAAGTGGCGTTGCACCTGCCTCTTCGTCCGAATCTTCGATCTTTTCCGATGATTTGTACTTCACTTCTTGCCTACTTGCACTGACCCCTACCTTGCTTATCACTTTTGCGACTGAAGTTTCCTTGCCAAAATTCTTGAGAGACTTGACAAGTTTTTCAGCATTCGGCTTGCCCTTTGGGTGCACGTCGGTCACCTTCGCAATGGGAACCTTTCCTTTTTGGTTCGTACTGTCGGAAGTCGCGCTCTTCATGCTCCTACCCTCGGTGCTGCCCCCATCGGTAGATCTCTCAGTCAGTCGTGGTGTCAGATTGCCAGTCGTCAAAGGCTTGTCGAAATTGAGTCTACTCAAGAAGATTCCTTTGTTTCTGTCCTCTTTCGCTAGCAGCATCTGCCACAAATTATCGTTCTTGTCAATCCTCAGTCTATCATATGCAGAAACCGCATGATCGATCGCTGATTGGCGATCGTTCTGTGATTGGTATGGAAACTTCCATACATCCAGGTCACGGTATGCTCTGTCGCGAAGCTCTTTCTTCCCTGCCTTGCCATCTTGAGCCACCTTCACAAGCACTTGATCAAGGTCCGCTTTCTTCACTCTAAGCTTTTCAGCCAATTGTTTAGGTTCTTGAGCCTCTATTGCCAACAAGTGTATCATAGGTATCTTGATTGCCGCCTGTTTGACCTTCTCCTCCTTCGACTGTCCACCTGACAGAGGTGCAGACGTTGGTCCGACCCGGGGAGAAAATCCTGCACTAAGAAAGGGCGATGAAGGTCTGGATCCTGACAACATGCCGGCCAAAGCAGATGACCTGTGCTGAGGCACAAGAAGTCTGTTTTTGTGAGCATGGTCAGGTGTGCCGCTCCGGTCCTCTTGTGACTGTTTCAAGTTGTTCTTAAGCTTCTCCAACGCTTCGTCCATGCCAGAAGTTGCTTCTCTGGCTTGCTGTATCTCCAAGGTATGACTGAGCTTGCCTGAGAAGTACAAAGGTTTGCTGCCATTCAGCAGACCTGAAAACATCTCTTGAGAGTATTTGTCTGCAACGTTGTGCAGAAAGACTTGTTTCGTGCCAGCGATGAGCTTCGGGTTTCTACCTGTCCGGACTCGGGTCTCTCCGCCATCTTTTATATGCTTGACAATAAGATTGACTTCCTTGGCTGGGAGGTTGAGTCGAATGATCTGAGAATGTGCTTTCGGGTCTTGGGGTGCATGCTGGATCTGCAGTCCTGCAGCAGGAATATCGAACTTAGCCATGGCAGTCAAGGAAAGCCTTTACGGTGGCCGCACCGAGGACAAAAGTCTGCAATTCCCCTGTTGCATTCCCAAAACTTCAGCTGAGGTTGTTGTGGGAAGTAGTAAGGAAATGGCACAGTTGCACAGGTGACGTCTAGTGCTGATCCGAAGCTGAGGAAGAGGTAGCGTAAGTCTTTGTTACCGAATAAAGTGAGGTGACATTGTGTGGTGTTGCCTGATCCAGTATGCTGCTGAACACCATACCAAGATAGCTCAAACACACAACTCTGGTACGCTTGTCTGGCATTGAGAAACGAGACAACGAGGTGACGGATCGAGGCGAGGCAGGGCAGGGCGAGGCACATCAAGCAAGTGGGACGAACTGCACGCCAGATCCGCTTCGTGTTAGATACTGGAACGTCAAGTCAGGGCTCGATGCCGGATGGGTCATCATGGCGCGTGAACAAGCTTCTTGCATGGTTCGAATGAACAAATTGACTGTCATCCAGGTCACGTTCTGTATCCGCAGTCCCGGCACTCCAGGTATCGATGCACTCAAACGAGCCTTAGTTTTACCTGGAATGGCTTAGGCTTCCCTGCCAGAGCCCATTCCCCAGCGCTCAGCACTGCTTACAAACGTAATTGATGCCTTTTTCCAGTCCTTGGGCAGGTGGACTGACAACAGGCAACGGAACAACTCATTCGATCATACGAGTATTCCGCCAGATGAGAAACACAACACTCTACCATTTCGTTGCGAACCTGTATCATCTGAGAACGGAATTGAAATACAGATGTCACATCTTTCGGCACTATTTACGTGGATTTCACGAAGCCAAATCTGAAGCGGAATGACTGGCTGGCTAAATGAGGCCCATCGCTTCAGATCGGGTGTGTGCTTTCTTCCCGTTGAGCTAATTACCAAGGGCCCACTGCAAACTCCGAGGATCAAAGGAACCATTTCCTTTTCCGAATGAGCTTGCAAAGAAGTTCTTTGTTTGTCTATAGCTTAAGCTGTGCAGAGTACACCGCAAGGATCTTGCCAGCAAATTGACCAAGCTTCCTGTGCCATATCAGGAACACACCACAGCGAAAGTTTGGGATCAAAACCTGGTGGCGGGGTGAAATAAATATCCATACAGGCAATTAGTGCCAATCTACAACGGACGCATTCCAACTTGGAGTGAGCGATAATTATACTTTGATCTGAAGCACTGCTTGCTAGACAATGAACTTCTGCGTATGTGTGAGTGTCTTTATATTGATGTCCTACTCAGACTCTAGGTGCTTGTGGAATTCAAGCGAAAGACCCAAGGACTACTTACCAATTGTACGTTAATAAGATGGGAGCTTGTTGCCTGTCATTGGCCTGGAGCAGCTAAACGATCTAGCGCTGATAAAGGTGCACGATCGATTTAGACTTGCATTACCCACGTTCTTTGACCGCGTCGTGAACGCATAACTTTCGCGATAATACACTTCCGCTCCAAATTGACAGCAGCGATTCAATGAGGAGAGTCGACCGAATTCACATTCTGATGAAATCATGTTAGTGTTGTAAAGGCTTCCTTCACCTAAAATGTCCTTCGGAACGTGTAGGTCTTCGAACACTTATTCAACTTTGTGGCTGTGCGCTAATACGTACTTTCAGATGACTCCGTCCTGGAGTCTTGCGCAGCGACAGGCGACATCGACTTACAAGCGTGGCCATCTGTACTATCACCTCTGATCGAACGTCTGAACCATATTGCGCACAATGAGTTTCCTATACCACGACCATACCCTATCCTAAACCCAGTACTACCGTCACAGCGATCTGTCGATCAAGATCGCTTCGCTGAGAACTCACACATACCACCAGCAAATACACCTAATACACCAAGAACGTTGCCACCAGTACCACCCTTTGCAGGTAGTCCAGCATCGAGCGTAGTGCCTGACTCCCAACCTCCATCTGTAGAGTCAAAAGAAGGAAGAAATGAAGAGGTGCAACTGCCCGTCGAGGTTCTCCAGCTGCTCGAGCAAAGCCTGAAGACCTTGCGCACATCTTTCAGTGAGGTACCTCCTCATACAATACAGCGTCTCAGCGAACTAGCCTTGCACCCAACCAGGCACTATCGCACTCTTCCTGCTTGGCTTCGTGCACTAGATCGTGTGGTCAGTGTGTCGAGTGGTGCAGACATCTTCCCACTCAGCGACGTACCCCCCAACATAGGCGTAAGCAATGGAATTCTACATGGACCAATATCTGCAGAAGGATTATCAATACCTGGTTCTTCAAACGACACTCGCAATGGCTACGATAGAGACTCTCTCGGCTCGGACGAGAGTCTAGGTGGAGCTCTATTGACACCGATCCCCTGGCTGAAAGACATCGACTCGAGTTCAGGCACAGATTCTAGCACTCTCGACTCTAGCTCGAAGGTCGAATCATGGCAAGACCAGTCCCCAGAAGAAGAGATGCTGCCAGTGAGCGAAGATATCACACCCACCGCAGATGCGGCACAAGCTATTGCAGCAGTGGCACAAGAGCAACTGGAAGAAGGACTGATACCAGAACGAGCAGGTGGAGCGGTCACTCAGGGTGAGCTGATAAGAATGGAGCAAGAAGCTGGTGTAGTTCCTGTACCACATGAGGACATCGGTCGTATTGGTGACGAAGGCATAGAGATCGACGAGCAAGGTGAACATATGCCACATGCTACAGGTCCAGATCTAATTGGAACGATCGACATGGGCAAGGTAGGTGGTGAAGAACGTCAGGTCCGCATTTCTAGCCCGCCAGAGGAGAAGGCAGGCAGTACCGGTATACCCAAACATGATCCTAACGATGCACAAGGGGTCTTGAGTGGCGGCGCTCCTGCGAAGAAGGAACAAGATAACACGACTAGTGAACCTGCATCTAGTGACGATTTCGTTAGAGTTGAGAAAGAAGACACGAAGACCAACACCAACAACATGGTCTCGTCAGGAAGTGACAGTGACGGCGATATTGTGCTTGTTGATGCTGATGGAGCTACCGCAGATGCTGAGCGGGAAGAGAGAGCGGATGAGAATGGCATAAACGTTGGTGCTGACGCTGCTGACAGTTCGACCCAATAGCAATGGGGGTTGTGCAGACGATTTGGTTTCGGAAGTGCACAACTATATACAGCATAGATATCTACTGCTTGCTATGTGACACAAGGTTGAAGAGCACACTGCACCAGAGCGATATGATCGCACTGGCATACGCTATTTCAGTACTTGACAGTGTTGGCTGAGAAGGACGCATTGTAGAGAAATTGGATGCACCTCGACAATCGACAGTTATGGCAGTGGCGGATAAGCATGAACCTCGTCCCACCTGCCCAATGAAATGATAATTAGGCATCACTCACCCAGGGGATCCTGCCTACCGTGACGCCTAGAGATGTGCCTTCGCAGCCTGTGAAAATGGTAAGGCTTCAACCTATACTTATTGCAACGTGTTCCGCGGCGATGGCTGTCCAATTCATGCAGATGTGAGCGACAATGTCTTGGTTGAAACCAATAGTAAAGCAAGTGTGACCTAATTGCCTTCACGATCCTCCCGGTGTAAACGATGGGTCTCGACGCACTACCTCCAGAACTTCAGTACCGGATAATAGCTCATGGTACCGCCGCTAATGCTCTGACTTTGTCCTGTGTTAACAAGCGCTTTCAGCGTATATGTACCGATCCACTGGTATACCTTGATATCGTCAGACACGGCAACGGACAACCAGCGACAACACAGCAGTGCCCAGACATAGACGAATTTTCCTGGTGGGAGAGTGAAGAGCATGACTGGCACACCGCTGCCCGTTGGGCTCTTGCTGATATGAAAGCACAGGAGGCCTTGTCTAGCGATACATCACTGTCAGATGGACTGCCGTTGTCGAGTTTGTACTGGCTGCCAGAGTTGTTGGTCCAGAACCATAGGCAAGCACGCTCGTCGTTCCTTCGACCTGGAGTTACGTCCTGGCCGTTCAAAACAACCATTAACGCGGAAACTCTTACGAGAGCTGTGTGGCACGGTACTTACCACTGTCTGTGTCTGGATGATCCTGAGCTGGAAGCCCTAGGCCCACACACAGCACAAAGTCCAAGTACGCCATTGTGCTTTCACTCGACTGTCTTCTTCGACCAGCTTCGGCGACTAATTCCGCGACTTCGCTACGATCCATGCCAGCCACGAATTCTGTTGACCAGAGGTGTACAATATGTTCTACAAGCAGGAGAAACGTCCGCTGATCGTCGTGAGGTCGAACAATTTTCTTGTCTTGCGCTGGGCACATTCATGATAGCAATTCTTCATCACTCTTTGCGGAGGAGGATGGCGCTGGCCCAGGTGCACGGTATATCACCAGGTGGGAACCTCAACCCACCTAGCGCTCTCAACATGCCTTTCAAGGAACTACACACCAACACAAGCCCTCCATTCGCGGATCGGATGAGCCACAAGACTATCCCACGAATCGAATCTTTAACCTGCTTCATAAGATCCCATCTGCCTGTTATGACATCGTCCAACTTCCTCGCAGAAGGCACCTGGGTAGGCTACTACTGCTACGTCCTCCATATGCAAACCGTCCAGTGGGACGCGATGATGGACCGTATCCAGTTCCAAGTCACCGCCGACTACCCAGACCACTGTACCGTGAGCACGCGCGACAGGGGCGTAGATAGTTGCGGCTCATTCATCATTTTCGGGACGGTCCTCAAGAGTACTGGGCTGGTGCACATGACGAAGCAATATGACAATGGCACGGTCTGGGCGTGGCATGGTATTATGACTTCTTACGGGATAGTCGGGTCGTGGGGAGATGAACGCTTTGGTGGGTGGTTTTGGTTATGGAAGAAGGAGTGGCCTGCGATTGAGGTTGTGTCTTAGGCACTGCGTGTATTAGCTAAAGCATCACCGCTGCCTTCTTCCTGGAAACCTTGATCGTTTGTTACCGTTACTATGCAGTAACCAGGTGAAGTAGTGGATAGACTTACGCACCTAGGTTCTGTTATGGGATATCTGGGTAATTTTGACCAACCTCGAATAAATCTGAGTTACTTCGAGCGACTTTAAGTAACTCTCAGTAGTCCACGACAACCTACAACAATTCACAGCAACTTACAGGAAATATTCTGAAGAATAATAGCTCTTGTTTCTATATCAAAGAACAAAACCATATATACCTTCCACTTCTCACTCAGCGCCGCCCACCAAAACCTCGCCCATCAAAGAGCTTCGACGACCGCGACCTCTCCCAGCCAGAACTGCTAACCCGTGGCCGTTCATAACGGCCAGTCTTTCCCTTCTTGACACTATCACCAGGACGATCATCCGAGTACAGGCTGCTCACACTGCTCGCGGTGCCTTTTCGACCCAACGTAGCTCCTCTAGTGCTAGGCGCAGAGATGGTGCTGCTGTCGTCGAAGGACATGTAAGTATACTCAGACGGTGCGGAGGGGCCGATGGGATTAAGGTAAGAATCCACACTGCTTCGATAGACGCCCTCTAGCTCAGACTGTGACATGTTAGCAGTGTTCAAGTCTCTGTGAGAGGAATGTGATTTCTTACTTCCAGAACGGTGGGAAGTGTTGGACCTCCTGGTTGCCACGTCGACTTCAGTGGCCAGTCCTTTTCTGTAGATGCTTGGTTCTCTGGGCTTTGGGTTTGGGTTTGTGGACGTAGTGTGATTTCGTATTTCAACTCGGTCGCCGCTTGTTCGGACTGGCCAGACGGTTGCCTGAGAATTTCGTCCACTGTCTTTGGCAACAGCGGATCGTGGGCTTCGCAGGTCTGCTGGACTGGTTTCTGCAGCTTCCAGGACAGCGAGCGCTGCTTCTCTTCCCAAGCGGACTTGTTCCTCATTCCGGATCGAGTTGACCGAGTATCTGCTTTCACGGTAAGCTGGAGTTTTCTTGGGCCTTTCCGGGTGTGGGTTGGTGTTACCTCGTGCAGTAGTGGGTGTCCTATCTAGTCTATCTCCCTTCGCAGCCTTGCGTTCTTGAGTATAGGCTGGTCGTGTGTGATTAGACAGTTTATTCGCGGTCAAATCTGTTGTCAAGAGAATCGACGCCCGCTGGCTTTGCCGCAAAGCAGCATATGAATCGATGATGTCGTTCTCGGCGTCGTGGAGAGTGTTTTGAAATTCTTCCTCCTCGAGACCTTTGACATATTGCTTGTATTCTCTCGAACTAGAGTGCTGAGTTTCAAGATTGCGACGTTGAGCTCGGCGTATGCGATGGTGCTCAAGTTTGATCTCCTCACGCTTTTCGTAGAGCTCTTCAGCTTGTCCAGTAATGAAACTGTCTTGGAGTATTCTCCTGTCGTGACCTTCGTCCAGAGCGTATCGACCTCGCCAAAGCTCAATCCATGCATCGACTAGTCTCAATAGTCGTAGTCGATTGGGATGCTTCGCATGCGACTCCAAAGTTATGCGACTCTTAATCAAGCACTTCAGAGCGCACAAAGTGTTGATGTTTGATCCGACACGTGCGAGTATACAGGCCTTGCAGCCATCTGCTTGATAGGTGACGTCCATTAGAGGTATAGAACGCTCAAACCCATAGAAGACGAAGTCGCCAAAGGCCTCATCAACCTCTTTCTGGGTTAACCACATCCTATGAAGCCGACTCAGTGGTTTGACAACGTTATCCCACGGCCACGCGCCAACGTGTTCCTTGTTGCTCGATCGGAGAATCTCCATCCTCGCGCCTACCTCCAGAGATAGGAACTTGAACCATTGAAACACAAAATCGGCATTGAGTCCTCTGTGCATCTTGCAAAGAAATGTATGTTCTGATTGCTTAGGCAGGAGCAGTTTCCGAGTAAGTGAGTTCGGTCTAGAGAGTGGAAAATTCAATTTCGGAACGAGTGGTCGAATGCGATTGTAATAGCAGCTTTGGGCATCTTCGTTGTGGTAGCCGTCACCAATGTCGCCGAGAAATCGAAGTATGTCGCAAAATATCTTGATCTGATTGTCAGGCACGAGCTTGCGATCAGAGAGTACATGCCTGCAGTTCACCGAATCTGTTCTGGAGGGAGACATATCGTCAGATTTTGTGGTATTGTAGTATCGTATCGAAGCACTTACCAGCAGCGCTTACTTAATCTGTCCAGTTATATGTGTTAGATTCAGCAATGTCTGTTTCGACGACTGGAGGACTCTGGGAGGACTCTGGGAGGACTCTGGGAGGATGGCCATATATGTCTGAGACCCTCGAAAACAGATAAAGAGCGACGTTGAAGACTATGCATTGTCTCTCAACGACCAAGCCATTGACATCAAAGACAACCACTTTAGGAGTATGTACATGTCTTTGTTGAAAGTCACATGCATTGTCTCAGCCTTGTTGTGTTTGTTCGAGTGATTAGAGAGTAGCAGAGTAGTGTGGTAGGGGGAATCATCCAACAAGCGAGCTACAGACAAGGTGATGACGGTAGCTGCTGGAACGACAATTAAAAGGGTCAGAATGCTAGAATTGAATGCACTGTATCTCTCAACTGTTATGTGTCACAATTTCGAGCTAGTGCTGGCTGTCTTTGCAAGAGTTGCTTCTGCCTCTTTCCGATCAATGACTTGCACTTCTCTAGGACCCTCTTTGCTGAACTTCACGAGCACGAAGTGGCTTGTATCTCCCTTCAAACCACTTTCCGCCAATTCTGGTCCTTGTTTGTCGAGTGCTAGAATTTGTCTGCCATCTATCCATTTCGTGGGTCCAGGTACGGGAGAGATAAACTTATCTGTCCAAGGCACAGGACTCTTATCGGTAGTAATGAAAGTATTGAGGGCTTCTCTCCTGCTCATGCGCTCCTCCTCAGGAATGTCTCGACTTTCAGCTGGATCTTCTGGCTTGTCCAGGAATCTGGAGATGAGGTATAGCAGAATATACTGTGGAGGGAAGAGTATGATCTTTCCAGCATCTGCTTCGGCAATCCATTCGGCGGGTCGCTTCCACTCTGGAGCCATAGTCTCAACCTGGTCAGCTGTCGCCAGAAGATGTCGACGGCGCTCCGTGACAGGCACGAAATAGACATACATTTGTGTTGAAAACCTTTTCGGGACATTAGTAGGCGTAATCCAGTGTGTGAATGGTACCAAGGAATCGGTGTCAAGGACGGCAGTTGGTGATTGCTGCTTCAGCCACTCTTGCAGGGAGAGCTTGCCTCCATGTACATCATTACGACCAGCAAGTCGTGTCTCGGGATCTAGGGAGAGTAATGGCTGGTTTGGAGCAGATGATTCGCGTGCGAGAAGCACTCCTGATTCTTCGAATAGTTCTCGAATAGCTCCAGTTCGGTAAGCGATACTGTCCAAGTGTCGTGCTGGGTCAGTGTGAGCAGTGGGTAGAGGTCCATCAGCAGGGTCGAGGTTTCCGCCTGGAAAAACATGCGCACTAGGGAATGCAGATGAGGTCTTCTTGCGATGAAGTAACAGTACTTTGTTAGATTGAGAGACAACGATGACGCTTGCCGATGGAGATGGTGGAGGGGGTGGTTTCCCAGCTTTTGCTGAGTCTGTTGTCAATGGTTTGTTCCCCGTCGACCACGGTATGGACGGCTTAGAAGCCATGTTCGGCAAGCGAGTTTTCAGTGTGTTCCGTTCTCTTGATCTGATATGCGAACAAGTTGGACGATGATAAAACTGCTGCTTTTGATTTACGATGCGGTGTTGAGGGCAGTACACTGTTCGAGAGACTGTAAGGGACGAATTCAGTCCTGGCAATGCCAATGTCTGATGTGTTATCGCAATTCTCAAGAGTAAGCGACTACTTTGCATATTCCTTTTACGAAAGACTTCGCAAGGTCATGGCAGAGACACGGTGGACGCGAATGCGCATCATGAACAGTGCATGGATGAAGAACCGAACCAGAGCCGAGGTACGTGTAAGTGGAGTGTAGTGAGCCCTTGTGTCAAAGACCACACATGCATCGGGTTACAGTGGCTAGAGGAAGAACGATACTAATTGAATATACAGCAGATGCCACCAACGCCACGCTAAACGACCGACAGATTCGTGGAAATCATAACCAGGACAAAGTCCACAAGGCAGGCAAGTTTGGCCAACGTTCCTGCCATTCAGCCAGAATGTCTGGCACTCTTTCATCGAAGCTTGCTCGAGCAGCACCCGAGCCAGCATCCCAGCCATTGACGCTATGCGTACCTCGTGCTTGATCAGCAGCTTCATTGAGCGCATCTGCTAACTCGAGAATTGCGCGGCCACCGATTAGAGCCTCCTCGTGGTTATCTCTAATATCGACGTTGAACACATGGACAGGTCGATTAAGAGGAGCGCCTCTGTCGAGCAGATTGTCGACTACAGCGTCCCAACATCGCTCTTCGCAGGTGAAGATAACATCGACGACACCCCCTTCAGCGCCCAGAGACCCCTTGTCACCTCGAGTGATGGCGTCAGTTCTTGCTTTGCCCACAATCCAATCATGGAACCTCTCGGGACCCCATTTGATGTTTCTATTGCGATCCAACATGTTCAGAATACCGTTAGCTTTATACAGTCTCGCGTCTTGTGCTTGCAACTCGTTGTACATCTTGTCGTAAGATGTAGTGTTGAAGTTATAAACTTGAGGCTGTGAGATGGTAGGACCAGGAAGACGCACATAAGAGCCCGTTCCAAACGAGATAACTGGGTATTGCCTATCTGTGGCCAAACGCAGATGGGCCTCCATACTCCGATTGTTGTTTGACGCACATACGGTGCAGAATTTCAATTTATAGGATTGCTCGTTTGGTGCTGGGGCTGGAGGTATAGGTGTAGTAGCTACTGATCTCAGATCTGCTGCTCCATCTACATTTGATGGAGGGACAAGTTGAGTTGTGGAAGCAACAGAGCTCGGTGCAACTACAGGCTGAACAGGTTGAGGTGGCTGTTGAGTTGGTGTAGCAGTCCGGACCTGCATTCGCGCCCTCCGTGGATCGACAGACATGCTGGCTACCGTCAATGGTGTAGATGAAACAGCAGTCGCACAATTTTTACAACATTTGTGCGCGGTGTCTTGAGGAAGGTGCGACCTGTTCTCAGAGAGATTGAGTTAGCTCAAATGTCTAGTTTCGATGCATAATAATGACAGGGGTTGACAGATGCATTTCAGTTGAACTATGCGTAAAGAATGGGTTTGTCCACATGGTTGGTTAGGACAGCTCCAATATGAAGTGTTCATCATTTGGTACAGTGCAGGAATGTGAATAGCTCAGGAATGCTTACACGTCTTCCCGACCTCTCGAGTGCAGTACAACAGCTGCGTAGAAGGTCTCTCAACGGAGCTGTGATGCTGCTCGAGAGGATCGGCTCGAAGGTTCAACGGTCGTGATAGAAAATTGACAAATTGTTCTAGCTTGTGAGTTTGTAGAAATCAACGAAAACTGCAGGGACGACTGGTGGAAGTCTGGGAAGGGACTAGCGTCGATCTGAAACACTGGTAGACGCCCACAGCTCCACCTTATCCGGCTCTGGGCTGTTTGCGCAGTCAATAGACAGACCGAATAGACGCTGGAGCGCTGAGGTGCTGTTGTTACAGTCAAAGGCACGGCACCTGAATCGGTGTTGTCTCGCTCATTTCTTGCTCGTACACTGACTGCCTCGATCGATAAGTGATACTGCTATCCGGAAACTGCTCACAGACCACGAAAAACACATTGGAATTCTCCATTGTCAGCTCTCAGACTAACTGTTTCATCGACTACTATATTTAGATTGTGCTGATCTGCGAGTTGTGTCAACTCGTTTTGCGCCTGTCGAACCCCAGATCTCGGGCCCTTTCCTTACGAACAGACTCTTCTCCGTGGCTTGACTCTGCTGTCTTGCGCCAACACTTTTCTAATAACAATTAGCAAGCAGCGTTGTCGAGTGCTCGTCGTCAAAAGTACATCAAACACAACGCTACGTCCTGGTAACGCTGCGGGGCGACGGCTCGATATTAGACGAGATCAAAGGGTTGAACACCAGAAGAGCTGTCCAGCGCATGGTATGTGATCGCGAGCATCAAAGACATCCCTCCTCGATATGGCTACCATGACTACCTCCCCTCCTAGCGACTCTCCGCATGCCACCGCCAGAACGAAGTCACCTGCCTTACCACCTCTAAACACCGCTACAACACCTCGTCGGACTGGATCGAATAGACCTACTTCGGTAGCACAGAGACGCATATCGACCTACTCAACTCGCTCAAAATCAAATGCGCCTGAGTCGCGGCCTGTCTCACAAGTCTTTCCCGCTCTTAATGCTAGCCTTGCCTACACATTTGTCAGGGACTTTGCCTATTTAGCAAGCCATCCTTTACACTATGGCCCTCCACTGGAATCATCAGGTCTGGAAACTCCGGCTAGTGAACGATCAAGACGATTATCTGACCCAGCAATTGGTGGATGGGAGGACTCGAGAAATCAGTGGTCTGCCACTCCGCCGTGGATGGCCGATACCAACTACAACTCGAACAGAGACCAATTGCCCGCAATGACCTTCCACGATGGCGGCCCACCCTATAGTGAAGACGAGGATTTAAGATCTCCTGTGGTAACGAGCAAATCCCGCCACAAGAAGAGCAGGTCAAATACTGGTGAACGAGGTCGATCACCTGGTGGTGCAGGGTTGGAGAGAGCTACAATGGCCGGTGGAAATGGACAATATGAAGAACATCGTCCTGCCAGGACTGATGAACTTGACGGACCTGGTGGTGAGATCGAGACATACTCGAAGAGACGGGAACCATACCACCGCGACTCAAACTTTGCCAAACCTCTACAGCGTCCTCATTCCCCTTACGACTACCGCGAATCAGTTTCAGAGGAAGAGCGCTCCGAAGATGGAGACGATGACGATGACGACGAGGCTAGATACAGCAGGCATTATCAGTTCACTATTGCAAGTCCCGACGAGGAGATGCATGGAAAGGCTGTTGCTCTCTTCGATTTTGTACCTGAACACGAGAACGAACTCTCCCTTAAAGAGGGACAAATCATACTCGTTTCTTATCGACATGGTCAAGGCTGGCTAGTAGCCGAAGACATGACAGGAGAAAGCGGTCTTGTACCAGAAGAGTTCGTTCGATTAGTAAGTCACATCGAAGGTGGTCTCCACAGGCTCACCACTCTCGAGATCGAGGAAGGAGCAACAACGGCCAACGACCATATGAGTCCAGTCATCAATGAGCCAATAACTACCACTGGTCAAACTCAAGATACTGGAGACGCTGGAGGCCGTACTCCTACACCCAACAATGGTGGAACTTGGTCAGAAAAGCATCCAGCTGTGCAATCCAATTTCAGTACAAGCTCAAGAGATTTCAGTCCATTGCGGAAAGAGGGCGCTGCTATGAGCCCCGATAAAAGTGAAGCTTAGAATTCACGAAGATTAAGAGAACGAGCTAATGATAAGTGGCTGATACCATTGATCTGGGAGACATGGTAAAAGTCGTTGCTGGAATTTTGAGCCTGCCATCTTTCGCGTTTGAGCATCAGGGTGTTGGTTGGTCGTGTTGGATTAGCGTGGATCTTCTTCATTTTAAACTGGACGCCATAGTTACCTGTGTCTATTGAACTTCTCTTCTGGTACTCTCGATAATAAGACTCAGCAAGCAGTGATAACTGTGTTCTTGGGACAACGAGGCGACTGACAAATGTATTCTCTTTTTGGTGTCCTCTCCTGCGCGTGAACAGTAGACGATCCTTCAGGATTCCCGTTTGCATCACCGATGTTAACCAACAACAATTTCTCCAGACGTAGCTAGCTGTTGCGTGCATGCAAGCGTTTTCTCCTGATCGTGAGACGATACACCGACCCTTTTCAGGCTGTTGCTGTGCATGATGTGATGCGATGCTCGCTTGCCAGACGGAGCTGTTACGCAGTCCATGCCTGCAAGCACATTACAGTAACAATTTCACAGCTTTCTCGTGACCCCCGCTTCGTCGTTACTGGTCTCTGTCGCTCGAAACAACCAGCCAGTTACGTATCGACCATGTTTTCAAGCAATACGGATACATGTTCCCGAGAAACATTCTTTGGAGAACAGCAATTTCTGTAATGATGTATCGCGACTTGGCTGGAGGTCGCTCTCCACCGTGCCACTCGGGGATCGACGATGAATACTTGCAGAGAAGACGTTGGAAGTAGTGCTACTAATGAAGGCGGCGTCAGCTAGCTGACTAGAATACTGAATTCAGGAGCTATCCCTACTGTGAGAAGGTCTTCGTCATATCTTAGCCAAGATGTCAACCAAAGACACCCCAAGCACGATGAGGCAATGGACCACTGACCAAAAAGGTATCAAGAATATCAAGCTCGAAGAAGTCAAGACACCGTCAGAATCAGACCTCAAGGAAGGCGAGGTCCTCGTCAAGATCACCTGCGTATCTCTCAACTACCGTGATACAGAAGTCTGCAACGGCACATACGGGCACCATCGCTCCCTATCACAAGACGCGAAAGTGGTACCCTGCTCCGATATGTGTGGCGCGGTCATCGCCTCGAAATCCTCAAGCCTGAAAGTAGGCACCCGAGTCCTCTCAACCTTCAACCAGTCCCACCTCACAGGACAAGTCACAGCCAAAGACCTAGCCACAGGCACGGGCTTCCCACTCCCAGGCGTCCTAACACAATACCGGGTCTTCCCAGACCACGCCCTCGTCACTGCACCAACCCACCTAACCAACTCAGAAGCAAGCACCCTCCCCATCGCCTTCGTCACAGCCTGGACCAGCATAAACTACTTCCAGCCCCTGCACAACCCTCACCACTCCCCAAACACAACCCTCCTCCTCCTCGGCACAGGCGGCGTCTCCATCGCCGGCGTCCTCCTCGGCAAAGCCCTCGGCCTAACCACCATCATCACCAGCTCCTCCGACCAGAAACTCCAACGCGCAAAAACCCTTGGCGCAGACCACATCATCAACTACCGCACCACTCCCAACTGGGACGATAAAGTCCTCGAGCTCACAGGAGATAAAGGCGCGGATATCGTCTTCGAAACAGGCGGTTCTCAAACGATAGAGAAGAGCTTCAACTGCATCGCATTTGGCGGGCTCATTAGTGCGATCGGGTATGTCAGTGGGAAGGAGGAAAGTGCAGAGAGTAAAGTCAATGTCAATGTGCTTGCTTTGAGACGTAATGTCACGCTGAAGGGGATACTAAATGGTCCAAGAGACAGATTTCAGGAAATGATTGATGTTGCTTTTCAGGAGGATAAAGGCGTGAAGCCAGTGGTTGATCAGGTGTTTGAGTTTGAGCAGGCAAGGGAGGCGTTGAAGTATTTAGAAAGTGGGAGTCATTTTGGAAAGGTTGTGATTAAGGTAGGATAGGGGCTGGCGTCGTAGCCTTTGCACGAGAGCCGAAGATGAATAGGTTTGCCCAATAAAGACATTTCCATGGCCTTGAATCAGTCACTCAACGAACAGAACGCTTATACCCCGTAATTCAAAGCTCTAAATTTATTCGTTGCTGTCCCCGCACTTGGCCGCTTACACTTTTGGATATATGAATAGATAAAATTCTAGGTCCGCAAAAGACCGGCTACAAAGCACTGGCGCGAGCACTACTAGCCCTGAGCATCGACAAACACATCCGTCTCACTCGTCTTGCTATCCGTTCGCCGAATTGGCCGACTTTGAGCTGAAGGAGCAAGTGGTTGATGCAAGCTCATTCCCTCCATACGACTACTCAGAGGCCCATCGTCGTGATCCATCAAGCTTCCGCCTCTAGGTGGGTTGCCTGCGAACGGTGCTTGAGCAGTTGGCTCGGTGCCAGGGATTTGCTTGGGGTTTGAGGTTGGATGCATGGGATTTCCTGCGATAGGCTCAGCTCGGCTTGGCGCTGGTTGGGAGCGTACTGTGTCGTATGGTCTGGAATCCAGGTCGATGAGGCTGGTGGCGTGGGATTGTGGTTGAGGTTGAGGTTGCGCTTGAGGGGGAGGTGCGTGTCGCTCCGGTGCTGGGGGAGCCCGTGACTGCTTTTGCGAGATTGCCTGCTGCTGTTGACCTGGCAAAATTGGTGCTATAGACAAGATTTGCTGGACAATCTGCTCCGGAGGTGCACGGACGTCACTGCAACCATGTTAATCTTGTTCTCGGTATAAGAACATCGATCCAGTACTCACATATCTGCATCGAGAACCCATTCGAGGTCTTCTTCGCCCTCATCTTTTCCACCAGGTCTCGCGTCAACAGCTCTGAAGAGCTTTGGGCGCCACTCAACCCCCTGTTCTTGTCTTTCGGCAGCTTCCTGTCTCTGCCTCTCTTCGATCTTCGCCTTTTCGTCTGTGGCAACAGTGTGGTCCGCAACGTGTACGGCTTTACAGACGTGTTGCCACAAGCGCTGTGACTCACGTTCGCCTTGCTCTTCCACTGGTCTGGCCTTGGGTGGTGTGTGCTTTGCGTGTGTGGCGTCGAAGAGGAGAGTTTTCTTGCCGGTCTTGAGGTCCTTCGCATACATTTCCCCAGTCCACGTGCCAGACAGCTCGTAATACTGCTCACCAGTCTTGTCGTTCTTGATGTAGCCACCAATGGCATTGTAGCCACCCGATACCCACCCCTTGACCTTGAACTCTATATCAGCCGATAGGTTGTTCTCTGGGCAGTGAACGTAGGAGTGATCGCCTAATTCGTACTTCATCTTACCAAACAGGATGCCTCGTGCATACATGTTTGGCTGAGTCAAAGTGCTGGAAACGTCAGTTGAAGTTCCAAAAAGTCCTGCTGCACATACTATTTTTCACCGCCCTTGCTTTTTCCTCGATTGGTGAAGCGGAGATATGAGATTCCCTCCATCAAACTGGCTGCGGAATTGCCCAAGAATTTGCTTCGAGGTCGCAAGGTGCCATCCACTCTTATATGATGTTCAGGAGCCATGAAAAAATACGAGGATTTGGGGGGATGGTGAGAGGTCTGCTCAGATATATAGTATCCACGAGTGTGATCCGGGTAATCCCACCAACCAGTAAAGACCTCTCCAAGGATGGGATTTAACGGTTTCTTGACCCCCCTGACTCCTGTTAGACACGCTCTTCAAGAATGCGAGGAGATACTTACGGTGGCTTAATATGCCATCCGCTCAGGTAGAACCCAACCACAGCGAGAAACCTTTCGCGAGGATCATCGATAGTTGGCAAAACTAACAGGGTTTCCGGATGTGCCATGAAGCTGTTTCTCTTAGCATGCTCGTCGTTATCTGCGAGGACTCAACGTACTTTGTTATCCTCTCAAGCATCGATCTCTCTTCTAGGATAAAAGTGGGAAGCGTAATCCTAGAAAGATCCGCACCAGGCCGCAGCTGGGAAATGATGTGTGAGAGAACTACTACGATTAGTATAGCTCTTAGACCACGCCTAGAATAGTTGACCTACCATTGTTCTGCTCCGGTTCAACCACAGTGGTGTCATCCTCCTCCCTCGCCTCTTCCGTCGACGATCGACCTTTCAATCTGGTTAGTACCTTACGGATTTTCATGATTGACAGAGCGCAAAGTACTCTTAATGGACTCACTCCGATTCCGGAGGTGACCTGTTATATGGTGTTTCATTGCTGGTGCCTTGATGACACCTAGGTGTCACAACAATGTCACAACGCAATATGCAAGCCTCCTTCCTACGAGGCCACGTCGTTTGTTCCTAAAGAAGAGGTTGTCACTGAGTCACGATTGCGCATACGGAGGAGGTGCCCAGTTTTACGACGGTCGAACAGCAGGACTGAGACAATATGATATGGAGCCAACGGATGCACATGCAGAGGAGTATTGTACAAGCGAACATATACAAACGCAGCTGGAGTCAGCCAGGCATCGGGCGGAAGAAACCAGCTGAGCAGTGGGGGAGAAGGACAGACGTCATCCGCAAATTCCATGAATAAAATTAGCTTTCTAGGCATGCACTTTCAGAGTTCTTTACACCCAAGCGTTCTCACAAAGAAATGAAGCGATGCAGTTGTTCAGTCAATTCCCTAGAAAGAAATGTCGCCGAGGTCACCAGGCATATTGGTTACTTAGCTTGTCAACCTCCTTTGCAGGACGTATCGTTCTATGCTGATATTGCTATACCCATTCTGATCTGCTGATGAAGTTTAAACAGGATTAAGAGTTTGGGACAACGGTTTATCACCGTTAGTGACCTTGGTAAGAAAATCTCCTGGTGCTTTATGGAGCATGACATGGAAGTGTTCAAGCGCATGGACACTCTTCAATGACTTCCAGTTCTTAAACCAAATCAGCTGGTCACGTTCGACAGCACCCGGTCCACAGAAAGTTCGCTTAACGAAGCTCTCTATCAGGTCATGGTACTCATCAGTCAGAAAGCCAGTCTCCGGGTCGTCTTCCAACAGAAATTTTGTCCACACAACCAGATGAGTAATATCCGGATCGATACCATAAGGCCAATCATTGTAAAGCACCTTAAAGTCAGCTGGGTTAACGAAAGGTGGTTGTCCGGAAGGCGATATTGAGTCCCATCTCAGACGTTCATTCTGTACGAAGCTCAGGACGGAGCCGTAATTTTGTTTCAACTTGTACATAAATTCCAGGTACCGGCGAAGCTCAATCGGCGAGCGTTGAAAATGATCAGGATGGTTCGTATCTGCATATACGTGAATGGATCAGAATCAAACACGGACATATCGTTGTTCCGTAGGAGGGGATGAGCTGCTCACCGACTATTTTCTTTGACTCAGCCCATGTCAGGCAATGGTAATCTTCATCCTTTGCGGACAAGATCTCGATGTTCTTCTCACTCAGGCCAAGCAGGAAGTCAGGACATTCTTCAGTCCATCTTGTCTTTGGTATATTGACGTTCCAATACCTTAGGTTTAATGGCAGACTGCCTTGCTGGGATGAGAGCGGTGTGGTTGAACCAGATCGTGCATGGACCGAATGCGGCATCTCTTTGTTTCGCAGTACTGATGACGAGAGTAGTCTGGATGATGAACAATTATGTATATTGTCTCGACTGACATGCGGGAGTGCAGTTGTTGCAATTTTGTGTAGTATTGCATTTCGACGGAACATCGTATTTGCAGAAAGAAAGAGTCACGCCTGTGGACCGCGCGCGGAATGGTTTTCATGGATGGCAAATTAAGCTTGTTGGGCCCCAAGAGCAGCCTAACAGATTCATGACGTTCCCAAAACTTACAGAACAGCTCTCAAAAACCTTGGATTTATCAACTCATAGAAATGTTTCACCAACCCATATAAATTGTAGTGGTACTGTATACTCTTAGGCTAACAGCTGCTGTACCTGGTCGCTGTCCTCGCTGACGACCTCAACTTGATTGGATTTGAAACCCTTGAGGACATTGGGCCAAGTGCTCGGGTCGACAGACCGTTGCGCTTCCTCAATTACAATCGTCTTGAAGCCGGCCTTTGCTGAATCAAGCGCTGTATAGTTGAGGCAATAATCTCCAGCTATACCAACACAATAGACATGCGTGATACCCTTCTCACGGAGGACTTTCGCCAGATCAACATTGACCCCTCCTTCGCCAGCTGTCATGTTGCCAAAGGAGTCTGAGAAAGCGGAATACATCTCAACGCGTGGATCTGAGCCCTTTTCAACGATAAGATCAACACGATCGATCTTGAGTTCTGGCACGAGTTCAGCACCTTTCGTGTTTTGCACACAATGCACCGGCCACAAACGCTGTTGCATTTTTTCGTCAGGCTTGTTTGCGATAAGATTGCTCATCTCGATGAAAGATTCGAACGGCTTGTTGTTGGGTTCGGGGTGGTTGGCAGCGAACGAGACATGATCGGGAGGGTGCCAATCCTTGGTCGCTACCTTGTATTTGAAGGCTTTGCTCTCCAAGAGCTTGTTGATGAGTGGCAATGTATCCTTAGCGTCCTGCACTGGTAAAGTACCGTTCTGTGATCAGACATCAGCATTTAGGGGCTCTATACTCTCGACTTGACGACATCATACGGGTGGGCAAAAATCATTCTGCATGTCAACAACCACAAGGGCTGGTACTGAGGCCATATCTATTGCTCGACGACAAGGCTTCGTAACGGAGACAGTGTTCTGGAAAACGAGGAGACAAGATTACCTGTTTGCAATTGAGGTTATAGCAGATTAATTAGAGTATATGTACAACTACCAGTTGGAGAAACTGCTCGTCACCATTTTGGTCTGTTATGCCTATGAGGCATGCCTATCCACGCAAGCATGATGGAGGCTGATACAGCACAAGCACTTGAGCATAGGTGTGCTTAATGTGATCTTGTTTGGAAAAACGCAGATGCGGCGTTCACTGTGTTCAGGCAAACAAAGAAAGAAGTGAGGAGTGATAGATGTTATAGAAGCAGCAGACCTAAACAGTCACGTAGCCAAGCAATTCTTAGCGTTGTCCCCAACTGGGGTCAACTACTTTGCACCTCTACTGATTGTTCACCTCTATCCTGCACCAACTGTTGCCTTAACCGACTTGGTATATACAATTATTGCATGATCTACTGCTCTGAGAACTCATGAGACCTGTCGCATAGGTTCTGGGAAGAGCAATCGATACCACTAGCACAATCAGCAACCGGGGCACTCCTCACCTCTACTACTGCCTATCCTGATCGTGGGTATCGCAGGCCTGCCACACACTCGTGTCGCCTCCCTTCATAATACCTACCTCGAACTTTCGACGCCCTGTCGCAACAGTCCATCAAAAGGATTGTCCAAGATGTCTAAGAGTTCAGTGGTATGTGAATGGCACCCAGGAAAGGCAGCCTGCGGAGGCAATCAGTAGCGAGCAGAAGATCGATCCGTGACCACAACCGCTACAATGGTGCATCACTAACATTTATCATAGCCAGAGGTGTATGCTCGAGTCATCAAAGAAGTTTGCGAGGCATCTCGTCAGGATTTTGAGGAAAGTGGTGTTGATCTAGCAGCGCTCGAATTACTGCAGCAGGTATGTCTCCTTGAACTTGTTGCATTTGTTATACGTCAGCGACATCGAGCCTCTACCTCACCACGTGCTGAAAGATCGAATGCGTATGTCTGAAAGAAGAAGGACAACATCTCTGGCACCGAGGGCGCACGCGCTGGCTACTCATAACTGCTGCGAAAGGCAGGCCAGATTTGGGCGGGAATTCCGGAGTTCTCGAGAGGGCGCGGTCATGAGCGGGCTTTGAGTCATGCTCTTATACGCAATATTGACGCCTAGCCCTGCGTCATGTCGTACTCTGATCCTTAGCGTTTCAGCTCATTCTTCCTATTGGCCCGTCACTTCAGCCAACCAGTCACTGACCAAAAATGTTGTAGGGCTGGCAAAAGCGCCTTAGCGCTGAACACATTGCAACATTTCCATGGGATCCTAAGCCTGAGCCTATTAAGACAGAACTCCCGCCTATACACAGCAATGCGAAAGCAGTACTTACAGTGCCAAGCAATGGATCAGCTCTTTCCCCACCGTCATCGAGCTCAACGCCAGGACCTCAGATCAAACAGGAGCATCAACAATATGCCACGCAACTGCCGCCGCAACTCAACTACGCAACACAGTATCCTCAAGGGCCAACTATGAGCGCTGAACAGCGAGCGTCAATGCATCTCCAACAGAGGTATGGCCAGCAAGCTGCTGCACAAATAGCTCAACTTCAAAATCAGCAGAGAGTTCCTGCACAACCGACCATGCACCAACAGCCACAACCCCAACAACAGCCTTACATCAAGCAGGAGTTCAAGCACGAAGACTCCCACGACCACAGTTATCCTCAACAAACCTATAATACCTCAGTCCCTATCAAAAATAGCCAAGTCGATGGTGCTGCTGATGCGCAGAATGAGTATAGATCTGAGATTGCAAGGCGCCGTGCTTTAGTCGCCCAGCACAGGGAGGCTGGCGATAGACTGATACGAGATCAAGTGCTCTCATCTCAGCAATCGTTAGAAGGAGGGGGGTTGATGATGCCCTTGAACGCTCATCGACCAATCAAGCACAGGCACATACAAGCGGAACCAGCGACGGATTCCTCATCTCTGGCGCGGAACCAAGGCGATGCTGCTGGTGACGAGGACGACGAAGATGCTATCAATTCTGACCTCGACGACCCTGACGAGCTTGACGAAGCAAATGCTGACGAAGAAAATGTGACTAACGTGATGCTCTGTACCTACGATAAAGTACAGCGCGTCAAGAACAAGTGGAAGTGCACATTGAAAGATGGTGTTTTGAAGGTTGATGGTTCTGAGTAAGTCACCTAACGATGTAAGCTCTCTCCTTGCTCATTCTATACAGATTTGTTTTCCACAAAGGTCAAGGCGAATTTGAGTGGTAGAAGCTCTCCTGCCTTTCTCATAGCAGGATCGAAGGGTTTACAGCAACACCGACAACTGGGTAGGTGTATCAGTGTGGACCGATCAATAGGTGCGACGAGTTCGAGGAAAAGTGATACCAATTGGCAGTTTTGATGGAGTTTTGACGATTTTCTCACATGGAGACGACTTCCAAGAAGTGCTGTTCAGAGCATCACACGATCTTGCAAGCGTGTGATTGTAATTCACCGTATAAATACCAAGGTATTTTTTCAACCTTATTCTGTCTGTTCGGTCTTGAACCTCTAGACTCCTGTCTCCGTCAGAAAACACATGGCGTTGACAATTTCTGGAACTGTCGACGTGGCTTGTGGAGTGTAGCGGCAGGAAAACAGGTCAAATAGCATGACGTAGTTGTCTGATATCACACAAACAAACTGGAACAAGGTAAAGAGCAGGCTGCACACCCAGGTTTTGCACACTTTCCTCGACTTGCACTTCCTTTTGACACGTTTACATCCCGCAACTTCCTATTCCTCCGCAACAATTCTCCTTACGACTTTCCTTCTACACGAAACCGCAAACATCTCCCAGATCAAATCCCCTCCCAAAATACCCCCTCCTTACAAAACAAAGATTACCAGCTGTCGAAATGACTCTGTACTACTCCTTGGTGTTCGCCCTCCTGGTGTTGGAGATGGCATTATTCGTCACCTTGATCATCCCTCTACCGCACTCAATCAAGCGGAAGATGTTCAACTTCATCTCTGAGAGTGTGATAGTAGCGAAATTACAATACGGGTTAAAGGTCAGCCGAACCAAAATTCGTTAATGTATAGACTGACAACAGATCCAGATAACATTCATATTTATCACTATCCTTTTTGCGGATAGTGTCAACCGAGTCTATCGAGTTCAGCTCGAGATGGCTGCTTTTGGCAAGCAGTCTAATGCTGCGTACATTCACTACCACAATATTGGAAGATCTCTAGCTAACGGTCCACAGAGCCGCAGCAGCCATGGGTACAGACCGCATGGAGGTCCAAGCCCGAAAATTCTACTCTCAGCGAAACATGTACCTCACTGGTTTTACTCTTTTCTTGTCCTTGATCCTCAACCGAATGTACCTCATGATTCTCGACCAGCTCCGAATTGAGGACAAGCTCATGCGCTACGAGGGCAACCCAGCAGGAAGCAGCAAAGAGAGCGAGAAACTTGGTCCACGATACCGAGCTGATGAAATCGGACAACTCAAGAAGCAGCTTGAACACGAGAAGCAGGATAAGGAGAACCTGAAGAAGCAAGCCGAGAGTCTGCAAAGAGAATATGATGACTTGTCCGCCAAGTTCAACCAGACAAACCCCGGTGACAAGAAGGGCAACTAAGGTCTTTGGCGCTGTTACCTTATACGATAGTCTACGACGCGATCTCGTCAGATGATTTTGGTGAAGTGACGAGGGGTTGTCCTCAAAAGTTAAGTTAGGGAAACCTAGAGTGTTTGGGAAAGGCAGCATGACAAGCAAGACAGTCAGCTCGATATCACTACAAGCTATATTGAGTCAACCAAGCTTGAGAGCGGCGAGAATTGCCTACGATGTCTCGGCGGTGACACTGTAGTTAGGAGATTTAGTTTTTAGTTCCGGCGTCTAGCCGGCACAGTATAGAGCTTCAACGGTTGTTCAGAACGTAGGAGAGTATGAATAGAAATTTCAAACGTTCAGCAAATTTCGTTCAATCCAGCTTCAATGAGGATGTCTATATCCGAGTAGTGCAGCAGTATTGCAAATATGGAGATATGATAGGATCCGTAACATGTCCATGCTCGAGGATCTTACTACTAGCCACACTATCGCCCACAATCGCAGGACATGGAACACGTTTCCACTAGCTACCTTCTAGGTCTACCAGTCACCATCACCATTCCCTCCTCACCCCTGAGCCTCTCCATCCCAAGCATGACTCTTATGCTTCGGCACCCACCCATAATCCTCCCCCTTCTTCCCCTCCACATCACCCACTTTCCCCAAGAACATCTCGCTGATTCGAATCCAATCCTTATAACTGTCACTCGCTAGCAAGGTCTCAAGCTCGTCACGACCCCTATACCGCGGCGGTCTCTCATTGATCTTCGGAGGCAGATACTCCAGAAGCCCCACAGGCACGTATCGGTGGGTAAAGGAGAGGTACTCAAGCAGGAAACGGCGCGTAGTGCTGATCCCGTGGGTATCTGTGCCCCAGGCAGAGAGGCCGTTACGAACGAAAGTACGGATATAGTCGAGACGCTCGGTGGCGGATTTATCGAGGTATTGGTTGAGGTGGATTTCTTCGAAGATCCATGGTTTGATGAGGGCGCCGCGGGCGACCATGCAGGCTGATATGGGTGCGTTTTCGAGGTGGCGGTAGTAATCTTCGTGGGAGAAGATGTCGCCGTTACCGAGGAAGTGGACGCCGTTTGGCGTTGTAGCTGACGATTGTGCGGATATGAGAGGTTGGGCGAGATCTCGTGCGTCGGGTTCGTGGATCGTGTCGCTGAGTGCGTTGGCGCGATTGTTTAGGGATTCGATGAGTGAGGCTGTTTCGGAGATGTACTCCCAGTCTGCTTCTCGCGTGTATCGTTGTTGGCGACTGCGGCCGTGGAGTGTGATCGCTGCGACACCACATGGTGCGTCTCGCTCGTCGTCGCTGCTCCAGTGGTTGTTGCGCTTTGCCCCTAGGACGAGTCTTTCGACTAGTTTTTGTGCGGTGGGATATCCTGTCTTCGTGCCCATTCTTATTTTGCAGGAGACGGGTATAGCTCCAGACACAGCGTTCATGCCTCGAAGCATTTTGTCGAGCTTGTTTGGAGAATCCATCAGTGCTGAACCAGCACCTTCCTTGTATACCAGGTCTATTGGACAGCCGCAGTTCATGTCGATGACTCGAAGGCCATTTGGAATCAGTGCGGCGAGGACCTCGGTGGTTTTGATGGCTAGCCAGGGCTTATTTGATGATATTTGTGCACCAAATTTGGTGTCCGTTGAGTGACTGTAATCGTAGACAATGTTACGTTTCGACGATTTCAGCGCTGAGACCGCGTCGTTTGAGATGAAGTTTGGTGGTTGGATCTCCGATTCATGTGCTTTTAGCAGTGCCCATTCGGAGCGTTGTCCTGACAGGAGTGGCATGGACATGGCCATTTCAGAGAAGGTAAACGTGGCACCCAAGGTAGTGCAGAGACGACGAAAGGGTAGATTGCCTTGGGTTGTGAGTGGCGCCAGAACAGGTGTGTCTGGACCATAGTATAGTCTGCGCTTCTCGGAGGGTAGAAGTGGTTGTTCCACGTACGCTGAACGTCGGTCTTGCTGATCACTATCTGCATCAGGTTCTGGTGACGAAGAGTTTGCTCTACCATTGGATGCCTGTTTCTTTGGCATCTTCTGCTGCGCAGGATCTCTGCTCAAATTTCCGTCCATCCATGGAATGTATTTGTCAGACTTTGGAGTTCGCAATTTCTTCCTGTTGAGCATTTGTCTGGATTGCGTGTCAATTATGTTGACTGTCTCGATTTCTGCATCTTCCACATTTGATGTGTCCTGAAGTTTAGCCACAAGCTCGGGAACCTCGACAAGTATGAGCTCTTTTCGTCCATCTGTATGCTTAACCTCCTTCGAATGAGATTTGGCAAAGCGACAACTCCAGCCAAGTCTACACTTACCTCTTGCTTTCCACACAGGACAAACTCCGTCGAACGTCTCAAGATCATCTTTCTTCACGTCTTTCAAGTACCTTCGTAAATCATGCTCGAACTTACATTTCTGGCCAAACGGACACTCTCGTGGTGAGAATTCTGGCGCATGACTTCGAGTAGCACATAAGCCTACCTCGTCGGCAGCAGCCTTGATACTGCGGTTTTTGTTCTGACCTCCCTGTTTTTTGCGCTGGTTTCTGTTGTCACCTTCATTGGTAGATCTATCTTTATGGTGAAATGCCTCAGCAGCGTCGTCATCACCATTCTCTCGATGTGCTTCGGGAGCCTCGAATGTCTCGTTGTGAATAATGAACTCTGCTTTGACAGGTGCAGTACCTTTCCGTCGCTTGTCCTGATGTTCTGTATGGCCGTTTCCGTTAGTCTCCAATTTGCGCTTAGCAGTTGGGCTCTCCGTCTTAATCTCGATGGTGGCGTCCGAAACGAGACTACTGGGTTCGTGCTGTAGCTTAGGGTAGCCCTTTGCTATATCTGTCGATCCATTCGCTCCTTCGTTAGTAGTCATTATGATGCAACTCGGTATGCAGACGAGTGAGTTGCAGATTTTCAAATATCCTCCAAGTCCAGTTGTAACTGTTGGAAAAGTGAAGTTTTCTCGTTCATTTTACTAGCGCTGTCATTAAAACTAGCTACATCACGTGGAGATTCTTCGTATCCAAACACTAGCGGTATGCTAGGGCTACTACTAATACACTACATATGTACTATAGTACTAGTGGTACCTCTTCATGTGCCCGTGGTCCTTCGATCGTGAGGGATTCAGACCTTGGGGAATGCTTCCTAATACTGCTGTAAGTATAGCTAGAGTGATGTGTCCCCAACGGTGCTTTGGACAGTCTAAGCGAATGGCCGCTTTTGTTGATACAAAGTCAGACTATCGGCAGGATCACACAGACAGTTCAATGCTCTGTGTTGCGAGTGGTTCATGTGGGAACGGATGCGCCGAAAGAAAGCCGAATCATTTGCCATTCAACAACACAACGGTCACTACTTCTCGGACTCGGTTCGCCCAATTTCCGCACTGGTCTGTTTCAAGGCTCCAGCACCCACTTTATGATTTGTGTGGATTTGCCCTTCCCTAGAAGCCTTCTAGAACTATTTGCTGAGCAAGCTTATGCTAATGCCACATCGTGGTCGCGTGCCACACGGCAGTTGCAAATTCCAATCCACTTTTGACGAACAACAGGACACTCAAACAAGCAAAACACGATTGGCGTGCGCCATATTAACGGTTGAGATCGAGAATGTACCAATATACCGGAATTTGTACGTAAGAGGTTCCTCCACCATCGAACCAATCGGGACCGTTATTTGATGCATATTGAAACAGTGCGGTCTATTGTCTTCGGCCCGTCACAGTAGGGTCGTGAGGTTGCATGAGAACCGTTCTTGGAACATTCCGCGAAACGGAAAGCTGTCACACTGTGCTGTACTTGTCGACTAATTGCGCCATCGGGCGAAAGGCATTCGTTCAGTGCTTCACAAGATTTACTTTAAGATCAGCGCCTTAAAGGAGTGAACGTCACCTCGTTCGGCACTCTGTTCGATATTACACTAATGGAAAGATTCGGACATTTGGCTTGGTATATTAAGCTTCGGAGCAGAGGTCGACGTGGTTCATTGAACAGCGGTCGCAAGTCGTACTGTAGTGCTCTGTTGCGTAGGATTTGCATGTACAGCTGACACAAACTTTGTCAATCAGTTCTTCGCAGCGTACGATATGAAGTGGTAGCGGAATATAGTCGGTATCAGGAGAATATTCGGTCATGCCAGACACAGTGCGTGAGCAGACAGGGTATAATACAGTACCGCAGTAATGCAGGGCTGGAGCACGTCTCGAACAATTGGTCCATGTACAACGAACACTCTGCGCAGAATGCAATCATAGAAGCAGCGAATCGTCATCATGCTACCCCTGTGGTGATAATCGTTAGAAGAAAAACTATAGCTAGATAGGCAAGCGGAATGTAAAACGTGTGCGCAACTCAACGGCCAAGAAACAGTTAACTTTACGACTGTACTCGATACTGCTGCCATGGATAAGGGTACAAACATATTGTCCCGCTGTCAACTCCTTGGCTGGTTGAAGATGCCATTTGCTCATGGGAAGCTTGTGCACCTTCTCGACACGCCAACCACCCAACAAAACAGTGATTTAGCCACGCCGTTCGCTAGCTGTGTGGACGTGAATTAGTGGTGCATGTGGTACCTGTATGCCGACAACTTACGCGATCCCTGCAGGGGGGCGCATTCGAGAAGCTCAGAGCAGTTGTGATATCTACTCTGCTCCTAGCAAGCTGACCTTCGTGACATGATAACAGCTCGACAAGCGCTCACCGCCGTAAGCACGATCATGCTATGGCAAGCATGGTAGACGAGGTTGAGCGGTCTCAGCCAGCAGGAAGTCAAACCGAGAGAACTCTCACATCGAGGATATGCAAGCAGGCACTTATCCGAAAGAATACTAGATCGTCGGCTTTTAGGTTTGGGTTTGCTTGGGAACAGGCTTGACTCCAAGTTGAAGCAACAGGGTGACAAACTGGCTCACTCATCCATTCGCGCGTGATGCGCCGCTCTTAGAGTAGTTCTAGACTAGGTGTGTGTTGTACTACCTATCCTTAGGCCTCTTGCGGAGTGCCACCAGGAGTACGCAGTATAGTAGACAGTAATATAGAAGTCGTGACATTATTGCAGATCGTATTGATAGTCCATGCACGCAGTAATAATGACGACACGGGTAATTGCTCGGTTCAGTGATGGTAAAGTCAACACCTGGTCCATGTTTCCTCGTTTATGCATGGCCGCCGTATTGAAAGTTTCCGGCTGGCCAGCGCAACCACAAGTTTCCGCCGGCGTCGTATGGAGCACGAGTTAATACAGCTTGGTGCGAGGCTCAACTAGTTTGTAAGCTAGGCGTAAGCTAATCAGAATCTATTCCGTTAAAGGCAGATGCATCCAGCGTCTCGGCTGCCAGGCCTCAATGACTACGGCGACGATCAGAACACTGGTGAAGCGAGAGGTCGAGTCATATTAGGTTCGTCTTTCTCGTCATCCGTTCTCTGAGGACGTTGAACATCGCAGACCTCTAGCTATCTGGTAATACTGTTAATATTGTAGCCAACTGTTATTCATAGTCAAACACTCCTATTGTTGGATACTGGCACGCTCGAATCAAGGAACGTCATTTGCCGAGTCCCGACCGCCACTCTCAACCCGCGCGTCCACTCTACTGAAACTAGACCGAGTACTTACCACAATCTTCTATGTTGAATCTTCGGCATACACCACCGCCTCTGCTCACTTCAACCTCTCCGAGCGATCAAGCGTCGTCGAGTTCTCGAGACACAACTCCTGCGACGCCGGTGACTACAATTAGGCCTGCTCCGGAAAAGCAGTCCGCGGGACGAGCAGGACAAAAGTCACTGCCGTGCTTCCCTCGTCAACCTCCTACAACAACGACCAAAGTCTGTTTCGATTCGTCCCTGAAGGATTTGGACTTTGGGGAGACACTATTTCCATTGTTCAGCGCTCCTTCACAGGACCAGTCTATGGAAATAGCAGCTACGCCTGATGAGAATCTTACAGTTCGACAGACTGCGACCTCGCCTTCCGCTCGGGGCAATCAACCTTCGGGCCTGACGGCTGCTTTGCAACGAGACAGTAGTGACGATTTCCTATCCCCAAAAGTCCAAGCAATGAGTACTCAGAGGCCCTCACTAGGCCTGCCGTCCGAATCGTCGGACATGTCCAGGTTCGAAAATGGAGCGAGGCCAATTTCGATGAAGGGAAGACCTATGGACAAGAACAGACGCGAGAGTCTTGCACAAAGTTTGGGTATGGGCATGAGCTGGGGTGGAGCTTCTGTAGGTAGCTGGATCAGAGACGAGTTAGTATCCATTTCTTCCTTATCTTACGCGAGCTAACTGGTTCAGTATGATTATGGCGGGTACCTCACCTTTCGCGTTTCACCAGTCACCTAGTTATCATTCTTCGTCCTATCTTCCGAAGCTCGAAGCCGATTTCATGCGAGATTTTGTCTGTTGTGGGACAATGTGGAAGGACCTCCATGCACTCCTAACACATTACGAAGAGACACATGCGCAGCAAGAGCCTATTGAGAGTCAGACGGGTGCTCAGCACACCGTGCCAGATCAGCGGGCCGCACTGGCCTCGAATACTCGAGCTCAGATTCAGCACGAGGCTCAAAAACGAGCAGCACAGGAGCCACAAGGTGGTGCAGTGCAACCAGCATTGTCGAGATCTGGTTATAGCAATACCTTACAAACAATACCAGACATGGATGCTGTAGAAGACATGGAGATGGACGATATCGATGGTAACGACGAGACAACCCCTCCTTCGAACATGTTTACATCTCTCTCAAGCCAAAATTCACCCTCCACCCAGTTTGCATCAACAGCACAAGCGCAGGTTCCCCAACTGAACACAAACCTTATGCAAAGCCACCAAGCTTACAGGAACTCAACACCAAATACACCGACCATGAACCGCAACTCAGCTGCTTTCCAGGGTGCCAACATTTCTTCGACCCTAAATCCAAATCCTATGCAGCAATTTCAGGATCTGCACAACCCATATCGAGATACGCCTGATTCTTCCGCGCCTGGCACTCCTGGCGAGCTAGACGAATCCATAATGGCAGGAATAGATGACATGTCAATGCAAGGCAATGCAATGTTTAATGGCATGAACGGCTTCGGCAACAATTTTGGGTTCGGCGTCAGCAACGACATGATCGATTTGTGCATAGACGAACCAGCCAAGAGGCTATTCCAAGCTAACACTTCAGGAAATAGCCAACAGGCTATACACCAAAGACTCGGGTCAGGGCAGTATGGACCAAATAGCGAAATCGCTAAACGTATCCGTGAACAACAAGTTGCAGCTGGACTGCCCGATACAATGAACAATTTACTACCTCACGAGGAGCCTAAGCCTTTCCGTTGTCCTGTGATTGGTTGTGGTGAGTCTTTGAAAGAAAAATCATTGTTGAGAACGTGGCTAATCGATTTCTAGACAAATCTTACAGGAATGCTAACGGTCTCAAGTACCACAAGACACATGGACACCAGAACCAGAGACTGCAGGAGAACGGAGACGGCACTTTCTCCATTTTAGATCCTGACAACAACCAGCCCTATCCAGGTACTGTGGGTATGGAAAAAGAGAAGCCCTACAAATGCGAAGTATGCCACAAGCGCTACAAGAATTTGAACGGGCTGAAGTATCACAAGACACATTCACCACCTTGCAATCCCGAATTAGTGCAACAGCGAGCTCAGCAGCAGCAATCACAACAAGGAACGACTACTATCGCGTCACCACCACCAACATCCTCCTCGGCGATGTCCAGTATCCTACCTAACCAGAATATGAGCATGAGTTTGAACAACATGAATTTTAATATGCTGGGAGGCGACCAAAACCTGTAGACGGGCCGAGTCATGAAACAGACCATTTTCCTTTGTCAAAAGATACCCAGGAGGCAGACGTGATAGCATTGATTTGGACAACTGTAACTGGAGTCTAATGGCGTCTTAGCAGGCTCATAGATGACTTGCACGACGGTACGATTTACACGAAGTATACAGGCTTACGACGCAGCTAGTGAAGGCTTTTTAGAGCCAATGCAAAAGTACAAAGGTGTTCCAAGGCACGGAGGAGGCTCATTGCTGCATTCAACAGGCAGCATAGATGACCATAGATTAGCTCGGAAGAGTTTGGGTTGTTTAGATATTAATCAGGATAGAGTTGGAGTTGGGTACAGGGAAGAGTTTGAGGGCTGTCAAATTCGTCGTTGTAGATGGTGGTCACGAGTAGCAAGAAAGAACTATGCTTGTTGCAGGAGCATTTATCAAACATGCCGTTGTAAGTGCCAAGTCTTTCGAACTGGTGTTTTAGAACACGTCCAAAAAGTACAGAACTTTGCATGAATACTGCTCTTCAAGGTATAGTCTAACTTCAACTTCTGCATGAAGCATAGGGTGGCAATACGCGTATCCGCTCGAGGCAAACCTCTGATTCGTCACAGCAGGATCAGGCGGGAGGCGGTTGTCTTTCTCCGTATTTGCAATCTACGTGATCGTCTTTGCATCCCATCTTCGAGATTGCAAGGAACATCGAAAACCCGGAGTCATCACCCAGCCACATTGGCATGCCACGGCAAAGGAAAAGGTTATCCACTACTCATGAGCATGAGGTCGGGAGCTCCAAGAAGATGAAGTCTACAATTCCTCCCGTTGAGTCAGATACAGAAGTCCTGGACGATGATGATCTCTGCAGTATCTGCAACCTTTTGCTCCTGAATCCGGTCACAACGACCTGCAGACACACTTTCTGCGAATCGTGTTTCTCGCATTGGGCTGATATTTCACTAAATACACAGCGTATTGGGCTAGGTCTTGATATAGATGAAGAAGTTGTATTGCCGCCACGTGAGATTGAAGCAAAATGTCCGATGTGTCGTACTGTATCTGCAGCGCCCCTCAATCAAGCCAGAAATGACGACCTGTTACAAAAGTATCCTTTGACATATGCTGCTAGATCAAAGGAACACCTTCGAGAACTGGAGGATGAGGATGGCAACCTGGTTGAACCAGTCACTATTTACATTGGCAATGAACACAACCTCATGCGACGAGAATCCGACGGTTCTGGTAATATACACTCTTGGAGGTTCTTCATTCGACTGAGCCGAAACGACATTGTAGAGGAGGTGCATGTAAGTTTTCACATAATGCTGGTGCTGACAGATTTATTGATCCCATGAAGGTTTTCTTACACCCTACTTTCCGTCAAAACCATGTCATTCTCACAAGACCACCCTTCGACCTCAGGAGGTTGGGTTGGGGTACATTTTTGATTAATTGTGCCGTGCTTTTACGAGCTGGCTGGTCATGGGTAAGCTCTGACGCCGAAGACACTCCCGACGGGGCACCAAAAGGCAAAATCTCCCTACAGTGGATGCTGGACTTCAGTGGTCGAGGCAGCCAGGCTCGTTGCGTTTTGAAGGTCAAAAGGCAGAAAGAAGATCAGATGCATGAAGACGAGAGGCAGTCCGAAGTCACTCGTCGATTGTGGAATCGACAAAGAGAAACAGATCCAGATTACGTTCCTCCTCCTGATATCTGACTCAATACAATATTATCAAAAGTACCATATTTCACCGGCTCCCTTGCCCGTCTTCAGGTCATCCAGATGTTCATCTATACCCTTTCGGAATTTTGCAGCGACGACTTCCGCAGGAGGTGCACCCTGAGGTTGCGGACCATCATAGCCAGGCTTCGTCGGCAGAGGTCGAAACCACGGTACATCGCTAGACTGGCCTCGAACTTCTTCGAAGTCAGCATTAGTAAAGCCACCGCCCATAGTGATAAACGCAAGATTCGACCTCAGCTCGTTTATGGCAGCCTTTGCATCCTCGACACTTGAAGCTGTCCTGGCGACTATTTGAGTTAGTAGTAATTCTGTTTCTAGGGATGTAATGCTGCTTACCCTCGAATTCTGGCTTGGCGGCATCGATACATGCTTGTAGATGGCCAGGATTCTTCCCCAACAGCAGGAATGAATTCGATTTCGCCATCTTATAGCGACGTCTCACTTTGTAGCAACTTGTTTGCCTAGACCAATCGACAACAACGATAAAAGACGGCTTAACTTGACAGCCTTTAATGTTGAAGATCAATGATACTATGAAATGTCCGTGAACGTATATAGGACGTCCGACCCCAGGAGATCTACTACGATGAGATAGTGCCAAGTTTATCGGAGAAAGTCTGGGTAAGCACCAATCAAATCTGTTTTTCCTTTTGGTCTATATTTCTCACGGCTCATAGGAGCTACGAGCAACATGCTATACAAGTGTTTGTACATAAGTTGTAATCTAGCGAGGTCATACACCTTTAAGGTCGAAAACTCAATAGATCGACAAGTGCTGGCACCAGATGTCTCCCTAAATATCGACTGTCCTAATGAAGGACAGCTGGCACTTCTTCGCACCCTCTACGCACCTCTAAGCAGGTATGCTCACGCCTGAAATGCTCTCCAATTCCTTCAGCAGCTTCTCTTGTGCTTGTACATCCGCCGCTCCTTGGTGGAAACTTTTCTTACCCTGATGATACCAATGTTGCCCACATGCACCTTGTGCTGTTCCCTCAGCTAGACTGACATAGGATTTTACACTGGCTTGGATATCTCCAGTTGCTCCAGCACTATGAAAGAGTTAGTATGTGTCTCTTGGTCACGTGGCTTACACAGTTCAAGAGCTGAAATACTACTTACCCGCCCATTTTCGTAGGAACCCAACCCGGATCAAGACTCGTGACTGTAACCCCCTTTGGACCATATCTCTTGGCGAACGCGAACGCCATCATTGTGTTGTGTAGTTTCGAATCGCCATATCCACAGTTTTGGATGTCTCTCAGAGATGGGTCTCCGCCTTGGTGTAGCATAGAGCTAAGGAATACCAATCGCTTTGGTGGCGGCTGTACCAGGCATGCGAGGACGTATGGTGCTAAAGTGTTTGTTGCGAATATTGGACCAGATCGCTAGAGCAACGGTAAGCATCAAATCGTGTCAAGATGGCCCCACATCACTGTGCTATAGTTGCCGCCGGCGATTGTTCCATGGATCACTTACCATCACACCGGCATTATGAATAATGGCATCCCATGGCCCTTTGTTGTTTAGCTCATCTGCGAGCTGCTTCGTTTCTTCCAGAGAAGATAGATCAGCCACTAGAGCTTCGTCAGCCCCAGGGCAAGCTTTCTCTGCATCTTGTGCTCGCTGGGCGTTCCTAGCGTGAAGAGTGACTCTATGTCCTTTTTTCACAAGTGCTTGTGCTGCTAGGCTGCCTAGACCGTCAGCTGACCCAGTAATAAAGATCTTTTGCGACATTGAGGTGAATTCCAAGAAAATAATTGAGAACAGGGAAATGAAGACAATGACAGTGAGGACAGATCACATTGCTGACATATCTCGAGCCTGACGAGCATCTCGTGGGCACGGAGTTAAAGGCGATAGCCATCGGTTCCTTGACATCACGATATGGCGTGGCACCGAGGATAGTGAGGATCATGCAGAGAGACTTTCAATTGTCGATCATGGCGTTAAAGGTGCAACGTAGAATATAGTACGGAGTACCATTCAGCAATTAATGCATTCACCATCTTTCAGCTTGAGATGCGGGAACGCATCTACTGGTGTTCAATTACACTATGGTTGTCTTCAAGCCATATACCGACATCAAATTCGTGTTCGTTGATCGCCGGTAGCTATACATTCATCTGCCAGCAGCCTGATCCTGCAGTGATGACTTCAAACAGGATCGTACACGCGCTCAATCGTTCTGAAAATGTCGTGCTTGGAGCTGTCGAGTATACGACGTGATTGTACGACTACGGATCTACTACGTGCAATTGCGATTGCAGATACTCTCGGTGCCAAGTATGAAAAATATGCTTCAGTGCTTGCGAAGGCAGCAGTCCAAGACCTACTCGTCCAATGATACTGGGACTTAACCGAGATCATGCAGCCACAGCCAACACTTTCGCTTCTACTCCAAGTAGAGAATGGGCTTCAGAGGTTGATAGGAAACTGAAAGATAAGACGCGGAGAAACATAAATGACAGGTTCTCACACTTTTGTCCACAGAAATTCTTCGCCGTTCTTCTTGTGATCACGCGACATGGCGGCAAATGAACCCACACCCACTGCCAGCGGTTCAGACTCAGCTGCATTAAACCGGGACACAATTGGGGATAACGAAAATGGGAACGGGAATAACGGCAACAATCCAGGCACTCAAGAGCCTCAGATTAATGGAGGAGCAATCGTGTCTTGGTTCGATAAGTTTTTTCAGGATGTGATGACCATCTCGTCCTTTGGCGCGGGCATCACCTTCACAGTCATCTTCCAACCCTATGATGAGTCTGAACAGGACGTCAAGCGAAATCTTTCGGCGCAGACAGTTAACAAACTCCTTTCCGTCAGCTGGTTCTGTTTCGTCCTGGCGCTCACGTGGAGCGCTATCTTGAAGAGCGCCTTCGACTTCAACAAGGACAACCTTGCGACTAGCCTCACTGGCCGACCACGCTCTAAAATTGCTCATGGTTTGACCGCATTCGCTTCCTTCAGTGTACAGGCATTGGTCCTTATCGGCTTCTTGATGTCTTCGCAGGCGATAATGGCGTTCAGCTCGACAATAGGCAAGGCCGCTTTCTGGACCACCGCTATACTCATTGGTGCCCTTGCTTGTGCTTATGTGTTTCAATGCGTGTATGTGATGTTCCGGACTATATGTTGCACAACAAGCACTAATTTCGAGCAGAAGATTTATTTCTGGTCACTGACAGTATTCCCATTATCAAAATTGTTATATCTGGCGAATCAGAAAACACTCTCATGCTAAAGACTTGGGATTCCGAACCAGCACGAAGTCGTGCACACTTCACTGCAATAACCTCTGTCCTCGACAAAGGGAAGTAAAAGTTCAAGTGGCTCAAGTGCAGACATACTAAGAGGTGGTTTCATATCCAGAAGTTACAGTTCCCAGCGAGCTTGCACTTCTTGGGAATGAGCAAAAGGCCAAAAGATCCAGCTTGTCGATCCAAAATTCATTGCATTTGTTACTGATCACACTTTACCACAGTTTGCCACGGAATTGTAGACATGAGTCTTGGTGAGCGACTCAGTGGACAGGACTTGTCGAGCATCGAGGCATACTGTGTGCAGAATCCCCAGCCCCATTGCCACCTCCATCGCAAGGCCTTCTTTAGATTTTGGCGCCCAAATAAGCGCTTTCATGCCCGGTTATGTCTTGGTCTGGCCTTCGTTACCAGACCGCTCTGCATTGAACTTCCACTCCACATTGATTGTTTCGTGCTAAGGTTGACAGGCAATTGGTTATTTTTGGACCTCAGTACGCTCATACTGCATGGGCCAGCGTCTTTGTCCTTAAATGCAAGCGTTAAGATCTTGAAAGCTACATGGCATGTTCTCTGGGACCTGGAGGTCACTTTTCGTGGGCCTCGTTGGTGGTCTCGCGATCGTGTTCACAATATGGTACTGCTTCAAGCGTGTAGGCTGCTGAAAACGCCAGAGAACGTCTGACGGGCCGGCGTGATTTCAGGAGGGGGTGGTCAGGCTGTCTCTTGGCTCACCTCCTTCTTTTGTTTCGATTCGATCGAGCTCGCACGAGCCTGCCTGGGCCAACCAGACCGTCTTCTCGGCAAGGTTAAAGTTAGCATAGAGACAATCATCGCCTGCCGCATTAACCATTGCCTGACTCGCATAGTGGTAGTACTTGCAATCCTGTGCTATTAAGGAAGCTTCTAGCCATGGTGCGAGTCACGCAAACTCATCAACTGGCGTCGGAAGTGGTCCTGCCATTTCCTCTTAGGGTCAATACTGCGACAATAGGAAGCTAGCAGTCGCAACAAATATTAGTGCTATCACTTCAGAGCTTTGTTCATAGCTACAATGCGATATCTTTACTACACTTCGAAGATCGACGATGATAATCATCCAGTTCGTGAATCGAAGCTAAGCCCTAAACTGTGCATCGACGCGCCTCAAACACGAAGTCGTACACGTGCTGGCTATAGAGTAGTTACCGTAGATCATGGGCTTTTAGAAGCGCAGTACGGCAAACATATCAGTGAATTCAATATGGTACATTCGGATAGACAATTTGTCCGCTTCAAGAAAGTGTCAAGCTTCGACAAGCAATAGACACGCATACCTTACCATCTAGCCCAATGGATTCGAGCATAGTCTCGCTCAGAATCCAGATGGGATTGCGTTCGCTTGTGGCAGTTCATAAGATGTGTCCATTGCCCACAGGAAGAGCGATCTTCTCGTGCAGTGTAAGCTGAGTGTAGTAGTTGACTAGAGATAGGAACGTCTCACTATACAGAGAGGGACAAGACACTTTCTCCTCCACGAATACTCGGATACAGCGCTCGAGTCCAACAATCAATCTGCCACACTCGATATACTGCCTAAATGACGATGGAAATTCCAACCAAAATGCGCGCCTGGCAATACGCAGCCATCACCTCAGGACTCGAGAAGTCCCTGAAACTCAACACCACCGCTGCAGTTCCCAAGCCCAAACCACAACAACACCTAATCAAAGTCGACTACGTCGCGCTCAACCCAGTAGACTACAAGCCAGCTGAAACAAGCTTGATGCGACGCTTCGTTATCCCTAACCCTGCAACTCCTGGTATCGACTTCGCCGGCACAATTGCACAACCTGCTCAGGGCAGCGATCTGAAAGTCGGCGATAAAGTCTTTGGCTGTGGACCTTCTCCTTTTGCAGGTGGTATGTTAGCGGAATATGCGGTGGCAGGCACAGATTCCACTGTGCGCATTCCTGAAGGCGTTAATTCACTTGATGCCAGCACGATTGGCGTGGCTGGCTTGACTGCATATCAAAGTCTTGTGGCTCATAACCCAAAACGGGTGTTGATCAACGGCGGTAGTGGAGGAACAGGTGTATTCGGTATTCAGATAGCGAAGGCAATGGGCTACTATGTTGTATGCACCTGCAGTGGGAGGAATGTGGAGTTGTGCAAAGGACTGGGAGCGGACGAAGTAATCGACTATACCGCAGGAAGTGTGACGGAAGCGTTGAAGGGGAAGAACTTCGATCATGTGGTGGACAATGTCATGGCAGACCTCCAGCTGTTCAGAAGAGCGTATGAGTACACCTCAAATGGCGCCAAGTACATCGTCGTAGCTGGAATGCCTACCTTGAAATTTGTGGGACAGAATCTGGAGATGAAATTTTGGCCTGCATTGCTGGGTGGTGGCAAGCGAAGGTCTGAAGGCATGTTTGCTCAGGCGAACGTGGCGGAATTGGAGAGGATAGCGAAGTGGATGTCGGAAGGTAAGGTAAAGGCGGTGATAGACCAGCAATTCGGATTTGAAGATGTCCCCAAAGCGTTTGAGAAACTGAAGACGGGGCGTGCTAGAGGCAAAATCGTCGTGGAAGTGTGTGCGAAAGCATAGCCAGAAGCAACAGTCGTCTTGTACTTTATTTTTCATAGTTTGTAAAGTCCCGCTCGATGTTTCGACATAATGTTATGCTCTTTCTGTCTTGCTAGAAGCACTATCTGCCTGATGTTGATACTACTTCTCGCGAACAACAGCAAAGCGGCACTATTCCATTTCGTGAGACAAGCAGCCGTCATCTAACAAGGTAGAATTCACCGTTAGCACCAGCATGGCAGACAATGTTGACAAAGCCATAGTCCGCCGAGAGCACAACCCTCATGAACCCAGGTTCTTGCGATCCATCGTAGACTTGTTGACACGGCAACAACGGAAAGATGTAATGCGGCGCCGGACCACGTAACGGCAGATTTTCGCGGTTCACAAAAACATGTGGGTATCGTTGCTGGCCTATCTGCTGCCTGTAACGTAGCCACAGAGCTGCTTGTTCAAAGGTCCGACGTTGTTGTAGATTCAATCCACCTAGAGGTCCGGCGACGATGTCAAACACTTGGTTTTCAATGTTGTGTTCTTCGTCAGTATCGGTTTCGCTACCAGCAGGATCTTCTTGCTCTTCAAGAGCTGTCTCGTAATCGGTTTCAGAGTCATTCGAAGTATCTTGTTTAGAGCAGGTGTCTGCGCCGGGTTCCTTTACAAGGTTGTTTTCAGTGTCAGTAATGGGACCCTTGCACAAAGCTCATTGAGCAGGATGTGTACTAACCATGAATGGCTGTACGCCAAGGGTGTCGACCTTCTCGTGGCTTCGTGTTTTTCTGATCGGGGATACTGCTGTGTCAAGCGTCTGTGGTGCTGTGGAAATTTGTGCTCGCTCGTTAGAGGCATGGTGAAGTTGCCCTGATGACGATATTGATACCAACGAGTGCTGCGAACTGTAAGATGTAAACGTTTGGGGCGGATGCCCAATTTTGGACGGGTCTGGTCGTCTTATACTGACCCCACCGAAGGTGGAAGCAGTGGAAAGTGAAGATTCACCTACAACGTTACTCTGCGTGTCGTGCTTTGCTCTTAGACTGGTAGAGCCACCGAAATGTATCGTTGGAGAATTGCTCGAACCTCCATCGCGGCTATAGCTTTGAAGTGTAGGCTGTGAGACCACATGTTCCAGGAATTGCCTTCTTTGTGGTGTTGACCAACGGCCACGTTCTTCGTGGCGGTGCTTTCGAACACGAGCGAAAGGATTGGGGTGAGCACAGTCACGGAGTGATCGCGTGGGACTGTACTGAGGTCGTTCTGCTGGTTGAACCATCGTGCTTCATGGTAATAGCAGGATAGCGGTCTGGTATGATGTGAGAAAAGATTAGGCAGTAGTGAATCTGGTAAAGTGGCTCAACCGATTGTAGCTGTCGAAGAATACCAGTGAGTGTGAAATTCGCGAGCAAGAGACGATAGGTATCAGTACTAGCAATGTGAGGAAGGCACGTCTTACAGCCTCGACACGCTCCTTCCATCTTGAAAGCAAGAATCGTCAATAGTCACGACACAGTTGTGAAGCTCAACCCTCCTCACTACTCTGCTTTTTTTCAATAGTAGGCTTTTCTGAGCATACAAGTTCATCCGCACAATTTCCTCCATCCGTGCCAGTACTGTCTACTTCTTCACTCCTCAATCATCTAGGTGTAACTGCCTCTGAAGAAGAGCAGTTGCACTCTGAAGCTGACCATCATTGATCTCGCGTGTTTCTGCCGGATATGCCTTGACGAGTTTGAGACGAAACGAGGTACCACACTGGTTTTATACTCTAGACAGAGATGGTCAAAAGGCTATACCATGAATTAGCCTCGGAGAGAGCGTGCTCGTAACATCACTCTTCCATAATTTTACTGGTTCGGAATATGCGGAGTTAATGACTTGGAGCTGCACTCTTGTTAAGCTGCGGGGCCAGCCGTGGCTACCAACGGCTGTTCCAGGTGCTATTTCCAGTTAAGTTGACCAAAATGCGGTGCTTGAGTGACGGTCGTTTGTGTCAGAGATCCTTCACTGGCCATACTCGTGCTGAATTGCACGAGCACTTTTTTACACAGTTCTCACTGAGAGGCGCATCCTGATCGGAAGTAATTCTTCGTTTCAGTATTTTGTGGTCGCACGCCGACGCGTTTGTCTATCCACTGAGCTCTATCCACCTTATTGCAGTGCATGAGGATTGCGCTCGTGCGAGATGCGAGGTTGTGCAAACGGATGCAGTTGAGGCGGCGCAATGGCACGGAATGGGATGGTGAATGGAGACGGCGGCAGCAGACATGAAGTAAATCCTGCGACGACCCAAGTCAATGGCCATACAACCAATGGAAACTACAGCAGTGAGGACTACTTTACCAGGACAAAGACCTCACCACAACGTAATGGTACCCGGCCGGGAGACCTGAGTCTGACAGATCGTTACACAGGCGAGCGCTTCCGTTACTTTTCACCCGTTTCTGGTGGTGCCGATCGACCTTTAATTCACCCTACCGAATACGAAGGAAATGGTCCTCGAAGACCTTCCGGTCCGTCTCGAACAAGGAGTGATGCTGGTCCACAAGACCGAATAGGTGCCAGGGTAGAGCAAGAGCATGATTCGCAATCGCAAATGCACCTTCGTCATGGCTGGGACAACGATTATGCTTCCTCTGAATTTCTGGCTAATCTCCAGGCAAACTTCTACATGTACTATACTGACAAGCGTCATGACAACAATGGCACTCAGTCGAACGAAGCCTCCCTGTATCCGAGCAAGGATTGGCGTATGAAAGACCGTATGAAGACTGTTAGTGCTGCTCTGGCTATATGTCTCAATATCGGAGTCGATCCCCCGGACGTGATCAAGACCAATCCAACCGCAAAACTCGAAGCATGGACAGATCCCACTGCAAATCTGGGCGGTAGTAAAGTTATGGAGCAGATTGGGAAAAGATTGCAAGAGCAGTATGAAAGTCTGAGCCTTCGGACACGGTACAAACAATACCTGGATCCCAGCATAGAAGAGACTAAGAGGTTCTGTGTGTCGCTACGCAAGAACGCAAAAGATGAGCGCGTTCTGTTTCACTACAACGGTCACGGTGTGCCACTCCCAACAGCCTCTGGCGAGTTGTGGGTTTTCAATAAAAACTACACGCAATACATCCCTGTTGGCATCTACGACCTCCAAAGCTGGCTAGCTGGTCCAAGTCTGTATGTTTACGATGTCAGCCATGCTGGCAATATTCTTCACAACTTTGACACCATGATCGAGAAGCATCAGAAGGACAATGATGAACTCCGAGAGCGCGACCCCAACGCACTAATTCAGAATTATGGTGACTGCATACAGCTTGCCGCATGTGAACGAAACGAAATGCTACCGACGAATCCCGATCTGCCGGCCGATCTATTCACCTGTTGTCTCACCACTCCAATCGACATAGCTCTAAGATGGTTCGTCCTACAAAACCCTTTGGACTGTCCCATCACGGTCGAAGATACCAAGATTCCCGTTCCTGGTCGCCTACAAGATCGACGAAGTCCCCTGGGAGAACTCAACTGGATTTTTACCGCCATCACAGACACTATTGCATGGAACATATTGCCTCGCCATCTGTTCAAGAAGCTCTTTCGCCAAGATCTTATGGTGGCTGCACTATTCAGAAATTTCTTGCTTGCGGAGAGAATAATGAGAGCCAATCATTGCCATCCGATTTCCTCCCCCAAACTTCCCGAGACACATCGTCATGCCCTCTGGCAGAGTTGGGATCTTGCCCTAGAAATGGTTGTTCGACAGATGCCTATGCTTATCAAACATGAACGAAACGAAATCCAGTACGAATATCAACACTCCGACTTCTTTGCTCAGCAGCTCACAGCTTTCGAAGTCTACCTTAACTCAGGACCAACAGAAGAACGTGCCCCTGATCAACTGCCAATTGTCCTGCAGGTGCTTCTTAGTCAGGTGCATCGGCTACGAGCCCTGATATTGCTCAGCAAGTTTCTCGATCTTGGTCCGTGGGCAGTGCATCTCGCATTGAGCATCGGAATTTTTCCTTATGTGGTGAAGCTGCTACAAGCTGCATCCATCGAACTCAAGCCAGTCATGGTCTTTATCTGGGCGAGAATTATGGCTGTCGACTATACTGTGCAAAGTGATCTAATGAAGGACAATGGTGTACAATATTTCATCAGCATAATGAGCCCTAATAGCGACATTCCGGTCGGAAACGCTAGCGAGCATCGCGCCATGTGTGCTTTCATTATTGCAACTTTCTGCAAGAACTATCCACATGGACAGACCGTCTGTCTGACAAGCGAGCTGATGAACTCCTGTATCATGAATATGGCTGAGCCCGAGAATCCGCTGCTCAGACAGTGGTCATGCTTATGTTTGAGTATGCTCTGGCATGACTACAGTGAAGCTAAGTGGGCCGGTATCAGGATAGGTGCACATATGAGGTTGACTGACCTCGTTTTTGACCCTGTACCTGAAGTTAGAGCAAGCATGTGTCATGCACTGACCAACTTCCTAGGTGTGCCGGATCTGACCGATCAAATTGAGCAGATTGAGGAGGGCATTGCACATGAGATGTTACTTCTCACTAATGATGGAAGTGCTCTTGTAAGGAAAGAGCTTGTAATATTTTGGTCAGCCTTCATGAAGAGGTATGAGAACAAATTTGTCATTGCAGCTTACGAACAGTTACTTGAGGAGAAGGATAGACATCCTGATAGTGGCTTAAGTGACGGCCTCAGTGGTGTGACCATAGCCGGCAGTTATTCTGCGAACACTGTCTATGGATCAGCGTGGTCTCACATCCTTATGCTGTCTGTCGATCCACATCAGGAGGTAGCATGGCTAGCATCAGCAGTTGTCGATTACATTCATGATGTGATGCTTACCTCACCGATGGCTGATCTTGCTTTACATGTGGTCAACGACCTGCTTAAATCGTCGAAAAAGTCAGCGGCTTCAATCAAGAAGGTGCCGTCTGTTGAATCACTCAAGTCTGCTGTCTCGAGCCGACCGAGCACACCGCCTGCAGAATTGAGGAAAAATGAAAGCTACCTTTCTCTAAGCATCAAACGTACCGCAAGCTCCCTCAGAACCCTGGTTGGTGGCGGGCCTAGTCAGACCACTCTAGTCGAGAAGGACACATTTTCAAACCCCAAGCAATATCCTGCCAATACACCACGAGGTCGATTGCCAGCAGAGTGGTCTAGGCCACCAGATTCAATGCAGCCACAAATAGGTCATTACCACCAAGCGCCCTTTCCAAAGACCGCAGGCTTCAATCGCAAAGGTGTTGACTTGGAACAACAGCCCTCGCTGCCTCTCGAAAGTACGCTACTGCAATGGTCAACAGAATACTTTCGCGAACCACAGATGCGTCCGAACGACCCAGACGAGCCAGGCTCTGCTGACTACAATCAACGTCTCTGGCGAAGAACTCGAAACGAGCGTATCATAGCGGACAATCAGCCTCTCAAATCGCGAGCTGCATCCTCGAAGTGGACGCGCTTAGAAGCGTTTATCAACAACGGAACTCAACCGACTAGAATGACCTTCCACCAGTTCGATAGTCATCTTGTAGTCGCTGATGACAAGGACACCATCACTGTCTGGGATTTTCAATCCAACTCTCAATTGTCTCGTTTCTCGAATGGCAATCCAGAAGGTACAAGAATCAGCGATGCGAAATTCATGAATGAAGATGACCAGCCTCTGCTCCTCGTTGGCTCTTCTGATGGCGTCCTGAAGGTCTACAGAAATTACGCGAATGGTAACGAGACGAAGTGCGTGACTGCGTTCCGTGCACTCAATGAGCTGATACCTAGCACTAAAAATGCCGGGTTAGTCTTTGATTGGCAGCAAGGCCAGGGCAAGATACTGACGGCAGGCGATCTGCGCACGATCAAAGTATGGAATGCTGCTACAGAACTTTGTGTGGGCGACATACCTGCTCGCACTTCGTCATGTGTTACCAGTTTGACCTCCGACCAGCTAGCAGGCCAGATCTTTGTCGCTGGCTACGGTGACGGTATGGTCAGGGTGTTTGACCAGCGACTCAATCCTCGAACAGCAATGGTGAAGGCTTGGAGAGAACACCAGCAGTGGGTCACTGGTGTCCACATGCAAAGAGGCGGTGTTCGAGAACTCATTTCTGGGTCGCGCAACGGCGAAGTCAAACTGTGGGATATTAGGTTAGACGACGCAATCATGTCCATTAATGCTACTGGTGGCGCTACAGCAGGCACATATCACCGCAGTTCGCAACACCCCGATGGTGGATACTATGACCACGCTCATTCACGAGTGCCAACACTACGTTCGCTTTCTCTTCACGAGCATGCACCTGTGTTCGCAGTCGGCACTGATCAACATCAAGTTCGCACATTCAACACCAATGGTGATGCGCAGGGTATCTTCGAGCCATTATCTTCAGGTGTGTGGTCAAAGGCGACCAGTTCAGCAGCCAGCGCGGCCTCGGCAGTAGTTGGTGGCTACAGAAGAAATGCTATTGTGGCAACAGCGTATCATCCTCATAAGATGCTGCTCGCAGTTGCTAGTGGTGGAGATGGTCACGTTAGTCTAGTTGGCTATTAGGAAGGGCTTGATCAGAATAGGAGAGACAAAGATTGGCTTGTGTCGAATGGGACACCTTCGAATTTGCTATCTAACAGCAGACCAGCCTTACTGGAGCGAACTTTGAGCGATATGGGGAGTTTAAGGTCAGCTAGGAAGGCATGAAACTAATGGTATCGTTATGCTCTAACAAAGGTGTTAGATATGGTCATAGGCGAGCGCACGGGCTATCCGGATGGAAGGCTTACTTCAGGAGAAGTTTTGGTTCTGCGAGCCATGGTCTGATAACAAAGCTGGAGACAGGAGGGCTTCGAGCAAAGTGACAACAAACTGTGCGTCACGCTCAATTGTATTAATTGTGTATCCTTCCAGTCCATCCGTATGGTAGCACTTGTACACAAATGAAAGAGCTATGAATGTAACCACTGTTCTCCGATTCAAGGCTTGAAAGATCGAGAGCGAGTAAAAGCTTATCTAGTCAGTCTGTCTTTCTCTGCCTCGTGGTTAAATGGATTGGAGATGAAAAGCCCTAAAATTCAAGGTCACTCTCCCTCGTGCCTTCCCCCTCCCACATCGCTGTGCAAAGAGTCGTTCCTGCCACAGTGAATGCCGTGGTAGTCTATTCGAGGCAAGCGCAACTGCTCGATCAGCGTCGTACCTTCCGCAAGACTGGCTGTGTAGCACTGAAGCGTGCTTGAATGTGCTCTTGAGAAGTGTTCCTCAAGATGGCCGAATAAAAATGCTGCGGGAGTGAAGTTGTGTTCGATACTGACTGCAAGCAAGCTCAAACATTACTCAATTTTCGAAGACTGACACTCCTCGTATCAGGTCTTTAGGACAATGCCCTAACCATTGCTTGCTATTATTCCCTCGTTGTCTCGCGTTACAATACTGGTTCTGTCGGCTAGTCGCTCGTTCCGGCCTATAGCCTGGTATCGATGCCAGCGGCCTCGCCATCAACCGACACATCACCTCCCCTTCTTGCCTCTAGCCTGCTTACGCTCGAGGAACTTCCGTTCAAGTGCCACAAGTCTATCAGCAATAACGTTGAATTTCGGAGGCATCTCTACCGACTCGATATGATGCATGACAAAAGAATCATAGCGCTTGGGGAGGCTTCGACCAATCTTGAAGATGACTTGTTCGTCGGAATAGGAACCACCGGCATCGATGATGTCCTGGGCACATGATTGGACCTCGTAGATGAAGTTGCACATGGTTTGGTTGGATGAGAGTCTCATGGCTTCCATGCGGTTGTATGATGACTTTCTGATATTGTAGTCGGTGTCTTTGTATTGGTCTGTCATGGCTTTGAAGGCTTCGGCGGGAGTCAAACAGTCGTAGGTGGTTCGTCCGACAGTGATGCCGACTGTTGAGCGGAGGATTGCCCATGCTCGTCTTATTCCTTCCTTCTGTACTTTGTAGTCGTCGTGGTCCTGCTCGAGGAGCGCGCAACCTTCTTCGGTATCCGGGTACTTGGTGTCGTCCTTCCAGTCTGGTTGTGCCTTGAGCTCAAATTCTCCTGTGAGGTATTCCCAGAGACCTTGACGAGTTGCCACGTAGCGAAGTTCTCGAGCCCATCTAGGATAGCCGAGGGACGATTCTAGTGTTGCGATTTCGTAGTCAGCCGCGACCAGAGTCTCGTAGTAAGACATGTTTGTGTATTCCTGGTCGCGCGAAATGAGCGGTATTGCTTCAGTTTAGTCTTGGCCTCTCTCCGAAGGTAGATCAAGTTGCAGAGGTTTGAGAAAAGAAAAGGTAGGGAGAAGAGAAGCAACCTTAGATACCTCAAGCGAAGTGCAGATCATGCGGGTCAGTACTAGACCTAAGAAAGAAACATCACTTCGGGACGCTTGAAGCAAACAGGATTAAGTGATATTCAGCAGTCAGAAGTTGAGACTGCACAAGGATGGCGAACGACGTGAGAGTGCAGGCGTTCTCGAGTGTTCGCAGGAATGCTTCGATCGTTACTGATGTAGCCTCCTTCTGCAATCTGTGAAGATCATTTTGACCTTCCCTTCCACGATGCCAATATTTCCACAATACTTGTTAGGGAGGCAGCAAATTTCGTCGCCAAAACAGGGCTTTTGTGTCCTACGAGTAGTAAGCTCATTAGCACAGCATATCACAAAGTAAGCAATGCGGGAGAGTTGTGACCAGGGAGTATGCTACACGAGGCTGGAATGTTTTGATTTGTTTGAGGTGACCGCATCTCGGCCTTGAAGACATCTAGCGCAGAATGGCAGGTAGAGGAGACCATATCGAATCGACTCTACCTCAGATGACGCGTCTGTAGTTTCGCTGAATCTGAATGTGCTTCGAGCGAGATTATCCAACAGGTCTCCTCCTCTTCGTTGCTCCAGTGCTCTTGCTGTACAAGGTCGCGTGTTCAGTGATGACAAGTGCGTTTGTGGTTGCGGCTGCATGGCCATGCGTGCAGTAAGTGGACTGCTGTGACCCAAATGTTCCAGACCTTTTCGTAGACTTGTTCACGAGAAACGTTTCGTTAATTTAGCAATCACTGTACACCACTTGGTTAGCACAATTTCCCTCCATAACCTCGAGTTTCCCCTCGTAAGCACGACCTGGCTGTACTCCTCCTCCTTAGACCTGGCTAGAATTTGGTGCACTCACAATGTAACGCGACCACGCTGAAAATAAAGCCCAAGCTCAAAAACAAGATAACCATAGGATCAACCTTCAGTCCCGGGCTCTCGTCTGTATATAACCTCAGCATCGTTCCTGAGCTTCCACCCGCACCAGCAGCTCTCGTTGAGCTCGGCCTAGCATTCTTGACAGTTTCTTTGTGATCAGCAGCAGCGCGACGACGAATAGCACTTCGTGGGCCACCAGGCGGACTCGAGGCACGCAGGACGGACGTCGAGCCACCTTTGGCAGGGGTGGAGGAATTCTCTTGGTCGGAGGTCACTGGGGAGGAGGCGTCGGCCTGTGAGCGTTGGTTAGCATGTGCGTGAGGTATCCTAGCGACTTTAAACCCAGCATTCTGGGATAGCCTGTAGTTTGAAGGGTTTCCTTCGTGGTGTAGGGCATACCATTGTGGTATTAGGGGCGCGCGAGCGCTTGGTTTTCTGGTAATCGTGCTTGTGTTGTCCCTCTGATGAGTCTGATCGCCAGCTGGTACCCTCGAATTAGAATAGAAAGACAGTGGTTGTATATCAAGTTTGTCGCGGGATTATGGCAACAATGGGACAACAGTAGTACTTCTTGAACTGAACACAGTTGCGACCCACAGAGTCCGGGGAAAATGAATAGGCATGCCAAGGCTCTAAAGCGAGCCTTGTGTCACCCCTTTTTCGAGCTCAAGTGACCATGTCGCGTCTGAGGCGTCTTTTTTGACCTTGCCTGAATGGTGTTGAACTTTACTATAGAATACTTGATCATGTGCTTGTGCGTTGACCAAAGCAACACAAAATCAAGTCGAACCGTGAGGAGCCTTACGAGGTTACGGGACGAATTCTGGGAATCATGGGAAGACAGGTCATGAACATAACAAAAAATGAGTGTATTTACTTCTGTATAAATATATCAAAACGTTCTGAACGGGTATCGTCGTCATCAGTCATGTCGCATTTCAGAAAAACTTCCTCTTTTATCCAGTCTTCGTTGCTTCCACAACAGACTTCTCTGTAGGAGTAACAGTACCACTGTACTCTTCGTTGACCTCCTGCACACGTCCTTGAATAGGAGGTCGCCTCTTTCCAGTAAGATCCAGATACATCGATTTGATGGTATGAGCGGCGGTCTTTCGTCCTTGCCAGACAGGGAAGATACCGACGCAGAAGCAACTGACGAGAAGCCACAGTATGCCTACGACCACCCAACCTAGAAGGCCGTCAGTAATCCGGACACAGATACCAAGAGACTCGCAACTTACCAGTAAAGAATCTTTTGCTAAAGACGTACTTGCTTCCGTACATCGGCATCGGCCACAGGACGAGCAAGGCGATGGTCATGAAGATGGTCAAATAACGTGCCATCTTGGCGACTTTGTTAAGGTGAGCAACCTCAGCATCTTCAACAGCTTGCGTTCGATGCTCAGATCCTGGAACGAGCTCAGGATCGACAGCACCACTGGCCACACTGCTTCTTCGAACAATTTCGCTGTCATCTCCTCGACGGATGTTTTTCATTGATAACCAGTCGTAATTCTGAGGCCCGAAGGCGTAAGTAAGAACTGGAACAAACACAATTGGAGAAAGCAGTGCAGCGACATTGCCTGGTTTTGTTAGCTTGACATGCACGATCAGAATCGAGAAGAGCAACTGACCTGCCAACATAGGGTTGTTCGAGCCAGTACATAGGACGTCCAAGGCATTACACTGTTTCTTTGCCGTGACCAGCCAAGCAGTGAGCGAGCAGACCAGGCCTAAGAGTGGTGAGAATGCAGCCGCGTACCAATTCTGACCCTTCCAAGTCAGTGTCAGAGTGGCTGGTATGACGGCTGCTGAGATTATAACACCCATCATGAGATAAATATAGCCCATGCCGACGCCTGCATAATAGAGTCCTGTAGAGAAACCTGCCATAATGATAGAGTACACCACACAAGAAACATGTGACATTCTGATCAAGAATCTGCCGCTAGCTTGCGGATTAATGTAGGTCTGGTAGATGTCGTAGGTGAAAATTGAGGAGACAGCAATGAGCTCGGCCGACATGGCTGATGTCACTGCCATGAAGATAAGTAGGAGTGTCGCCGAGGCACCTCCCTTGCCGAGAAGGGCTGTCGCCGCATGAGGCAAGACCAGACCTGCTGAGACCTCGTGTACAGGAATCCGTCCAGGATAAGTTGGAAAGACAGGATTGTTCTCTAGTGCCAAAGCTGCCAAGCCCATAGTCGTAGCACACAGCCAAGGTATGGCGAACCAGGAAATGCCACCCATAACATAGCCAGGTAGAGCGTCGACTGGTGACGCAGCGATGGCTTTGTTATAGTACCCGTTATCCAAGAAGACGGTGCCGAAGTTACCAACGATGTTGATGCAGAAAAACACGATTCCCTCCCTAGAGTGCATAGTTAAATAGCTGCCCTCTGCATTGCCCTCAACTGGATGGGCCTCTGAAGCAGCGACCAACGCATTGTATACAGCGCTGGGGGAGCCAAGGAGTTCACTTGTGGCGTATGTTGTGAACGCAAAGAGAAGAATGATAACGAGAATAATGACAGTGTGGACGTAATCTGTCAAAAAGGTCGCCTGTGGTAAGAATTTAGCCAATGCTTTCCCAATTAATACGACATATGGATCTTACCTTGATACCGCCAAACATTGTGTAGAGCACTACGCCAATAGGCAGTAAGAAACAAGCTGCAGCTGTTGGCACACCGGTAAGCGACTCCACTACAGCAGAACCGCCAGTGAGCAACATGGCTGTGACGAGGATGTTGGTCATCAGACCAAATATGAGGAAAACGATGTGAGTGAATTTGCCATATCGAGCTCGGACAACCTCGAGAAAGGTATGAGCATTCGGAGCCCGCCTTTTGAGCTCAATAGCGAGTGTTGCAAAGAGAATGATTTGGACTGTTGCACCTGAAGCGTACCTGTTGCTGCTGTCAGTATTTCGTAGTAGAAGTCTTACGTAGGTCCATACCAGAAAGGACCGGAGACACCATAGTTGTAGGCGACACCTGATGACTGTAATAACGTGGCTGCCCAGGTCCAACTACTGACGACGGCACTAGCCACCAGGCCAGACTTCACCGTCCTGCCAGCAGTCGAGAATGCCTCGGATGTTTGCACCTCGTTATGGTAACGTTTGAGTGCCCATGTCGTCGCGATCATACCAAGCGCGAACGCGAACCCTAGTCCAAGGATAATGCCATAACCAGTGGCTTGACTAAGAGGGGGACCGACTCTCGAAACGTCTGCCATTGCGACGTGTCCTTTGTGGAATAGCAGTGGTTGCAGAGCAGGAGAGATGCAACGAGATATAGATTATTTTCAGCCCGCACGACGGGTGTATAGGTTTATATAATACTCTCGATATCATGGTTGGACCATCCGATTGACAGCCGTTCCAGCACCAGAGACATCCCGTACGAGTCTATAGTTCGGCAGCACGAGGGTCTTCCTGTCAGCCATGATCTGTAGTTCTCGACGGGCCTAAACCTTGCTGGCCTTGCTTTGCATGCATATCTTGAGCCAAGCAGTCACGCGAGGTCGGAGACGAGCGCATAGTGCAAGGGTAGAGCATGTTGCGCAGTCTTACAGGAACGTTGTTTGTAGAAGTTTGCAGTCATATCAATCCAATGTAATCGAGCCAAAGGTTGAGGTTTGTGGTACATAGATAAGAGATCGATCCGACCAATCAGAACATGCAGCACCATGCTACTAAGATCGACGTTGGTATCAGGGTTTGTAGGTGCGACAGGCACGTTCGTACAGTTCACGGATTTGCCAATCACACGCGACTTGATGATAGGCGTGCAGGCTCGTCGATTAGCCTCGACAAATAGGAGATCAAGCAATATGTCAAACACGCTTGAAAATTTCCTTCTCCCACATTGCAGGGTTGGACAACAATCACTTGTTCAGAACAGCAGATAGCGAGAGCCGATACTCGGGTGCATGTGGTCAAGCGAATAATACGGGGCGGTATACTCTTATGCTGCTCTTTGACTACCAGTCAGGGCTAGCTGCTTAACCATCCTCTTCACAAGGCCTCTGCAGCCCGCACATCCGTGGGGAAGCATGTTCACTCGAGTGTCTGAGCGCTCTATCTAAGGGACATAGCATTCAGGTCGCAATGTGTAGCAGGAGAACTTTGTTGGGGCTCGGACTCAAATGTGTGTGAGGCATCTACTGTGCGCACATAAGTAAATTTGCAACAGACCATATCAGCAACCTTAGCATATCAACTCAGTGCAGGCCCACAAGAGGCTGATAGCAGGTTGATAGAGGAACCTGCGACAGGATTCCATGCCACGTGTAGATTTCCCAATCTCGCAATCGTACAGCCGATCTTGTGGTAGTTGTTTGATGACATTCGAGGGAAGGTCTAGGCCCTATTGTATCAAGGTGTCTTGGTTCTTGTGTCTGGTACGTTATCTCTCCAAGGCCATGGGACTTGCCAAAGGACCGATATGGCAATCACGAGTCCAAACCAACCAGTGAAGGAGAGAGCAATCCAGCCGACCACAGGACTGTAGGCAACCACGACCAAGCAGAGGAAGATAAAAGCTGCTACGACAAGGCCTCCGACAAGCCCACTGATGAGAACAGCATAAGCCTGGACCTCGAATTGACTGTGCTTGCCGTGCTGACCATCCCAATCTCTTTCCCAATGTGCTCGGAAGAAAGTGAGCAAGGTACTTCCTAAGCTGGCAAAGGCTAGAGCAAGAAGGAAAAGAAGCCAACTGATTGCGAGGAAGGTCTGGACCTGAGCCTGGCTATAGTATGCTGCCGGATTTGACAGATCTGTGTTAGCTGAAAGGATGAAAGAGAAGGTGACCGATGTGCCGAGAGTACTGATGGCGATAATGGTTTGGAAGAGCCCAGTGAAGAAGGTCGTAACACTCTTCCCAGCGTGTTTTGTCATTGGCTTGATCTTTTGCAGCTCGTGGCCGTGTTCTGAGACGACACCAGTTCCGCTCTTCACAATTTGTCTTCTTCCGGCATCTCTTGAGACATAGTTGTCTTTACTGTTTCCCGTGCCCACTCGTGAAGAGGTTTCGTCCAGCTCATCCATGTTCTGATCTTCTGGGAAGTGAAGATGATGCCTAGCAGCCGATGTTCACAGCTTAGGAGGATAAGCTGACCTCGAATCACGTATTTTGCAACAGTAGGAAAGCTTCGCGTGACCTGTGTACAGTGAGTGAACGATCAGACCGAGTCAGGTCGAACAGTCATCTTCGTCGGTCATGGTTGCAGCCTGTCCAAGCTACTGCTCGATCGACACGGAAGGCGCGTCTCTCTCAGTGCTATCGCTCCTGCTGCTTCGTGCTCGCAAAACAGGTGATCGTCTGACAACCCACAACCCGTAGATTTGGTCACTACATCAATTGCCAATTCATCGCATGCCATCTCCAATATATTAGACGTGTATTGCATACGACGAGTATAGATGGATCTTGTGAGTTGTTCTCGTGACGCGTAGATTGCCTACAGGGCCATGTGCTGATCCCAATTATCCAGTTGCAACGCCTCATCGCCGGCTCAGCCTCTTCAAAACAACAACGTGTTCCTAGCCAGAATGAGCGACTTGGAGCCTGCAAGAGGCTGTGTAACGCTCTACAGGTCTGTTGCATCTACAGTCCAAGCTGCTCGGCCTAACAGGATGTAGAACATCTGGCGTAGCTCTTCCTCGCTGTCTGAGGATGATGCCACCGCTAGCCATGTTGCCAACATTCTTCGTCGGTTGAACACGATTCTTGAAGACGAAGCAAGAAAGGCCGCACCACATTCATGTCTGCTCTGGACAGCAGCTAACCAGATCTACATCATCGTCGCAAAGCTTGCATTATCTTCTAGCAGTAGTGAAGTTGTCGATCATGCCGTCCACTTCTTCCATTTCCTCATTAATGGAGAAGTCGAAGGTGTGCTTGATAGCAAAATCTTCGCAAGGTCTTTGATCGACCTAGTACGACGAACCACATCTCCAACTACTAAAGTAGTAGACGAGCAAGGTGAGTCGGCACTCATTGAGCTATTGTTCGAGATATGTACCAAAATACGTTTGGATCCTGACATTCTACCGGCTTGGTTCTACCCGGAGCGTGTACCGGGCAAATCACTTTCTTCACTAGACGCAAGACGCAGTCAATTTCCGTTGTTTCATCTACTAGTTGATTTCGTTCACTACGATGGACCTACTGGTGACTTCGCTCGAACAGCCTTGCTGTATCTCACCGAAACGTCGCCGAAATCCAGGCCACTTGAGAAATGGATGATGGAGAGTGACCTAGCACATCAGATGGCCAGTGGTCTCAGTGCTCTGTACGCTCGACTTAGTAGACAGGCGCTAAGTATCAGTAAGAGAGCACTGCCGATACTGGCCTTCTCAGACGCAGCTGATGCCAAGGACGAGCCAGATGAGTTTTACGAAGACGCTGGGATGGACATGCGAGCATTTCTGTCATACCTAGCCTTTTGGCAAGATACACTTTCGCATTGCAAGTCTTCTGAGGTTCGAGATACGTTGCTTGATTCCTTTCAGGTCTTGTTCGTGGAACAGCTCCTGTATCCGTCTTTGCTAGAGTCCTCGGACGTCGAGGGAGGATCAACTTCAGCAGTCATGCTCCATCTTTGCCGATTCCTGGATGCCATCGACGATCCGCAGCTCATAGAACGAATGTTCAGTTATCTCTTCGCCATTAAATCGCAGCCTGCCGTGGCTAAGAGCCAGCGACCACGGACCAGAATTTCGATGAGTAGACGCAGGAGCATGGAACAGCTAGCGACGCTTGCCTCACTGACAGACAACCCATCACCTGAACTCTTCAGTCTCCTTGATCTAATTGTGTTCAGCTTGCGATCGAGTAACGCTCAGACCGTAGTGGCCAGTTTGAAACTCATCACAATACTTCTAAGACGACATCATCCCCATGTGAAGCATCAGCTATTTGCTGAGGAAGTACTGAGCCCAGGTGCCAGACAGAACTTGAGTGGATTGAACAACACTATGATGACCTTGTTTGACTGTGCGAGCGTCATCTCCGATGTTAGCACAATGGACCAGTCTTTCCAGGCCGCCTTGAAAGACGCCCAGACATCAATGGAGCACCATAGTTGCTTGTTCACTAACAACAACGATCGCGGGTCGAAGACAGAGATAGTGGCTATCTCAACCAGCTGCAAAGTCCTGGAGCATATGACCAACCTGTTAGAGTCGTGGTTCGCCAACGATACACTGGTCAACCTCGAGCTGACAGGTGCGCTCTCGGGTCTTGCAGCATGCGAACATATTCTCATGCGAAGCTGGCTTGTTCCCACACAGTCAAGTTCGACGGGCATTATGGCCATCATTACCCAGCTGGTACAGCAAGTCAAACTATGGCGAGCACAATACATCGAATGGGATGCCTTCTATTCAATCCAAAAGGTCGAGCTCGCAAGTGAGGACGAACTTTTCAGCCTCGGTCAGCCGTCTGGCCCGCAGAGCGAAGAAAGAACGTCGTGTCCCAAGAAGACCAAGGTCGAATCTTCGTCTCCATCTGTACAGGCAATGACCAGCAAGATGGCAGCTGTAGATATTGGCTCAATAGACGGTCGGATAGCGAGCAATGGCAGCACAGCTGTTGAGCACGGGTCGTCACGAAAAGTGTCAGATGGAAGCAATGATGCAGAAGGTTCAGTGACAAGCATGCGGAGCATATCGTCTAGCACCCTCAGTGCCACTTTACTGGAGACAAGGATTCCGGTAGGATCGTCTCAGATGACTCAGGTCGACTCATCAAGTCGTGAGGGAGCTGTATCGCAGGATGGCGAGGCAGACCGTGGAACGGAGGCAGTCACAAGTCGCGAGACAGCAGCAGAGCAGGACCAACCATCCACAGCATCATTACGACACGTACTGACACAAGCAATCATTCTCCAGGAATTTGTTTTCGAATTGGCAGCAGCACTTCAGATACGGGCTACGTTATTTGATGAAGTCGACTTGTCGTAGGGAGATTGAGTTCGTCAGTAGTGGTCGCATGGGCATTTGCAGCTCAATAGACTCGTGAGCATAAGTATAGATAGTGCGGAGGAGCACTTAGGCTATACCTCCCGCAAGCTTGACTGACGTGCATACAATAGCTTGGAGCTTTTATGCAAGCATCCTTCTTTGACTTCAATCATGCTGTCTTGAGACATCGTTCCACCAATTGATGTTTACAGCGACCCCTCTTGTCTTGTGATGGAGTTGACTGTGATTTGCATGATGGGGAAGGCGTCTGATGGATCGTGAGATCGTCATCGTAGAACCTGAAAATGCGTGAACATCTGACAAACAGCAGAAAGCAGAACAGCCGCACGTGCAACGCAAACGGCTACAGCCTTCGCTTCTCACCACGATACTGCGGCTGTTCTCTTCAGCTAACATTTTCGCTAACTCGAATTACGCGAGCGTGACCGTACTTACAGTTTGTTAGATATTCGATTCCTCTGTGCGAGCGAGCAAGGACGTTATTCTCATTACGTCGTACCGCATGTCTGGTCATGGACAAGCAAGACGAGACGCAGATCAATAGCACGTACAGAGACTACACTGAGCCACTCAAGGACACCGATGCACAAGGAGCCTCGTCTAATGGTCCACGTAGCTCATCGGGTTGGGATGGGAAATTACGAGTTCAACCACGCAATGCAGTCTTAACAAACCCAGAAGCCCTCAGTGACCCAGAGTACAGTGATCCGGATGCTCCTCCTGTTGAACAGATTCCAGCCGACGATGACTTGCTCGATGATGAGGACTCAGAAGCCGAAGATATCGACCTTGTGCATTGTCGCATCTCCTCCATCCCTTCGCTCCGACTCGAACGCTTTCCCAAGCTCAAAAGATTATGCCTCCGCCAGAATGCAATCGAGCACATCCAATGCCCCTCCGAGTTAGGCGAAACTTTGGAAGAGTTGGACCTGTACGACAATCTGATCAAGCACATTGAAGAAGGCGATCTGCAGGCTTTCAAACACCTTCGAACCCTCGACCTATCTTTCAACAAGCTCAAGCACATCAAGAATTTCCCCACCTTATCGAGTCTAGTCGAGCTCTATTTTGTGCAGAACCGAATAGCGAAAATCGAAAATCTTGATAACCTCACAAGCCTCACCACGATCGAGCTCGCAGCCAATCGTATCCGGGACATCGAGAACCTCGACAAGCTGACCAATCTACGCGAGCTATGGCTAGGCAAGAACAAGATTACAGAGATCAGAAATATATCGCACCTCATAAATTTGCGTCTTGTGGATCTGAAGTCTAATCGTCTTACTGCTATATCTGGCCTAGACTCACTGCTGGGTTTGGAAGAGCTTTATGTGTCTCACAATGCCATAACGGAAATATCAGCCTCCTCGCTACACCAGAACAGCAAATTGCGAGTCCTAGATATCAGCAACAACCGTATCACACGTCTTGAGAACATATCCCACCTCAAAGAGCTGGAAGAGTTCTGGGCTAGCGCAAACGGGATCAGCGACTTCAGAGAGGTAGAAAGAGAGCTTTCAAACAAGGAGAAGCTGGAAACAGTCTATTTCGAAGCAAATCCCTTACAGCTGAATGGCCCGGCTGTTTACAGGAACAAGGTCAAGCTAGCGTTGCCTCAAGTGAAGCAGATTGATGCTACCTTTGTGCGAGTGTGATAAGAAAGGGTTTAGGACAATAGTGCAGTGCTACGGGTGCTCGACTGGAAATCCCTGGATGATGTCGTTCAGAATAGCATGATTAAACTGGCTATTACATATAGCTTGCAAGGAGTTTGGTGTCATCAAGGCATACTTAGAAAACGATCTCATTTCATTGAGCCTCAGTCCTGATCTCCGGTCCGATAAGGTAGACAACATCTCTTACCTGAGAATGCAGTACCTTCCCACATCAGATGCAGTCTTTCAAAAACGGCATCCTGACCATTTCAAGCTTCGTTCGGTTCGCCCTTTTCCGATCAGCCTATGGTCGTTGCCTCTTTCAAACGAATAAGCAGCTTAACCTACTTGTCTTGCCGATTTAAATGAGTACTTTTGACCAGTATCGTTCGACGCAGAATGACCAAGGAATGAGGAGCCGCAATCCAATTCTCCGTTGACGAACTGTTCATATCAAACGTGCTCTGGCATGAAACCACAATGGAGGGCATAGAAAGAGTCACCTACCATACAGCAAGCATGGTTCACAGAACGACAATCACATCCAAAATAACTAAGAATCAGGCTGGACATTCATGACAAAAATGCTAAGAAATCCTGTGTCGTCCAGCATATTCATCAAGTACTTTCAAAAACGCATCCCTCCTCCAACTTGAAATCCAGCTAATTTCAAAGGCGTTCTTCATTAATCCCACTAGCTCCTTCCTGGTGACTTTTAATTCCTCTTCTCTTGCAAGTCTCAGCACGTTTTCGTTCGCATACCCTCGAAAGTACGCTGGATCGTCGCTGTTGATCGTGACCCTCGCCCCCTGTCGGAAGAGCTGCATGATTTCCTTCCCCTTGAAGTCGCTGCAAACTACCGAGTTGCTGATTGGACAACAGGTCAAACCGATCCTCTTCTCTCGTACCATGTCCACAAGCCTGGCATCCTCGACAATATTCGTCCCATGATCTAAACGATCCACCCCTATCTCTTCTAGCGCCTGCCGAATATGCTCAATACTCCCCACCTGATCAACGTCGCAATGCATCGTTCGCATGAACCCCTCCTTCCGAGCTCGCTCGAACACCTCCGCAAACTTCCTTGGTGGATTCCCTCGCTCGTCGCTATCGAGTCCCACACCAATGATGCAATCTTTGAACGGTAGCGCATCCATCAATGTTGCCATCGCAAATTCTGCGGACATATCACGCAGAAAACACATGATCAGACTTGTGCTGACACCGAGTTCTCGCTGAGCCTGGAGGACGGCGGAACGATATCCACTCACAACTGTTGGAAACGGCACCCCTCGACTCGTATGAGCTTGCGGGTCGAAGAACAATTCACAATGTAGCACGTTTTGCTCGTGCGCTTTGGTGAGGTAATCCATGGCCAGGTCGTGGAAGTCCGCGGCTGTTTGCAGCACGGTCATGGCTGGGTAATAGACGGCGAGGAAGGAGGAGAGATCGTGGAAGGCGAAGCCGGAAGACGAGGTGGTGGAGGCTTGTTTGACGCTGTTGGGAACGGGGACGTTGTTGCGCTGGGCAAGGGTTTGCGCGAGTTGTGGTGTTAGGCAGCCTTCGAGGTGGACGTGGAGCTCGGCTTTGGGGAGGTGAGCGATGAAGGTTGTTAGAGAATCGTTGGTGGTGGTGTTGTTGTTTGCCATGGCTAGGGATCACGTAGAAATGCTTCGAGACGTGTTGAGTATTGAAGATTAGGATTGGGATCATGGACCACAGGTCTATTAGCTGTATTGCCTGAACAGGTCTTCCTGTTTGAATATGCGTAGTTTGCTGGTCCTGAGATCAAAGAAGCAGCCTCAATTGACGACCTGCGCTGAACGTGGAATACGTAGCCTGTACCCTCACTTCACATTACTACCTAATTGAGTCGAGAGAGCACGACGCTGTACGGCTCACCGTATTGAGAAACTGATCTATCCAATGTCCACTGGTACATGGCAGACAGGGCGAATCCCAATAGATAACGATAGTAGTATGCCAAGCTGTTACACTGGGAGCGTCAGTTCCTGCTGATCTTCCGACTCCGCTCTAAACCGTTGCCCCAAGGCTGGTCGGCGAGTCCCTTCGCCACAGCTTCACATTACTAGGTCCCTACGATTGCGAGGAGTTCTGTCCAAAATTTCGCATACCACGATTGATTACCAGTGCTGGTCTCTCTGTCGAACCCGCTCAACCACGAACGTACTTCCGATAAGATAGAAACAATATACGGGCGCTGTATAGTTAAGCATGATGTCTAGCAAGCATCAGGATTTGTCACTGGCGAAGGATGCTGCTGCTGTTACAAGCAATGCACAGCGAACACACAGTGCATCTATGGCCGACATGACTATCGACTTCCTGCAGCAATGCCACTCGGAGGAAGAGGCCTGCCACTCGGAGAAAGAGACCATCTGAGCAGATTCGCACCTGCATACGAGGATCTGACGTACAGTACTGGAAGTACTGTAGATCGATTAAAAGATCTGACTTTCGGAGGCCTGCGTTCCGACCTATCCTGGTCCTTGTCGTTGTGGAGCCACAATACTGGCTGTTGCAGGGTCGTACACATCCTGGCAAACCAAATCGAGATACGCTATGGAAGGGGTGGTTCTTGTCGCTAACTCTTATTCAATGACTGAAAAGAACATCGCCAGCATTGAAATGCAGGGAGGAGCGGCTGATAGAAGGGAGTTCGCTTCTTTTGATAACTCACGTCGATCACTCGAGCTTCCCAAATTCGCTAAATTTGTTGAGCTTATGACGTCCTGAACCGATGGTCTGGCACCTATACGCGATCCAAGCTCAACGTCGCTGTCTATTTCCGCACAAGTTCATGCTGAATGAGGTAGGTGCTCCCACAATGTCTATCGTTTTATGTCAAGTGAAGTGAGCCTGTTACATATCGGAAATAGAAAGCCGTGGTTCTCCCATTGTGATGGTGGCCAATGTGAGCCCCTCCCTGCAGCCATGAAGTTTTTAACAATATACATGTCACCAAGCTTCAACGTTCAACGCTCCTGGTAGCAAGCTTTTCATTTAAGCACGGCGACCTCAGTGTTCTGGTCTGTGCTGTCCTTGTTGCTTGACTGATTACGCGTTGCCTCGAGTTGCTTGGAAATCAGATGGACTTCATCCGCACCACGACTTTGGGTCAGGTCCTTCACCATGCCTCTGGTCGCCGCTGGCTCAGAAATGCTGATGAGTCCGATGTCTCTATCTTAGCGACATATGTCGATCGAGAAGCGTCGAAAAACCTGGCCAGATGGGGCTCGATCAGTAGCAGACACGACCTCCCCTATACTGATGGAACTTCCTCTTTTTATGAAGAGCCGAGAATCAACATCGCAAGTGGTGCAATCATACATGAAAAACATGGCAAGGACATTTTCTTGGTGAAATTTACAGAACAAGATTCTGAAGTGGGTGCGCGAGGTCGCGATAAGATTATTGTCGCTGACCTGTATAGAATCCTCGGAATTGGTCCACTCGCAAGAGGGCCTTCGTAACGGCGGTAATATGTTTCTACACAACCTCAGTATATATCGGCTCTTCACTGTGGTCTTCCATGGTTCACAGCGTCGTCGAGGAATTTTCGGTAGCTCAGGTAATCGCTCAGCTCGGTAAGCGCAACCATGAAACGACTGATGGACCAAGACTAATAAGCATAAACAGGCACATCGTTGTTTTTGCTCGGTCTAGGAATTGGTCCCATGTTTTTCAGCCCCCTCGCTGAGATCCCGCGCATCGGCATGAACAACATATATCTGCTCACCAATTTGCTTTTCGTCCTGTGCCAGTTGCCGATCTTACACAGCAACAATCTCAGCACCATGCTCGTCTTTCGCTTCATTACTGGTATACTGGCGAGTCCTTGTTTGGCACAGGGAGGTGCATCGATTAAAGCCATGTACAGTGCTCGTGATATGGGCATTCCGATGGCGATATGGGATACTGGTATGTTGTGGTTCTTGCAGGTCACACAAACTTACTGACCGAAATCAGCTACAGCTGTTGCGACATTTTCTGGTCCTATCATGGGCAACTACGCAGCAGAGTATAGAGGTTATCTCTGGCCTATGTGGATCTCCTTTTGGTTCTCCGCCGCCGGCCTGCTTTCCATCGTTTCCTTTTTACCCGAAACTAGTCCTGACAACATCCTCTACAGACGTGCACGCCGATTACGGGTTTTGACCGGTAACAATAAATTCGTCAGCACATCAGAGTTGGCAAATTCAAACAGCACATTCGCAAGTATTGCAAAGGACAGTCTTATCAAGCCTCTTTCCATAAGCTTCAAAGAACCGGTCGTACTAGTATTGAACTCATATTTGGCCCTGGTATACTCTCTGCTTTTTGCAGCTCTGGAATCTTATTCGGTCATTTTCATCGACATCTATGGATTCAGTCCTCCCCACGAAGGTCTTACGTTTCTGGGAGGACTGACCGGGTCTCTCCTCGCATTGGCCGTCTACGCCGTTTTCTACCACTTCTACCAACAGAAATTGTTCAGCTCAGACGACAAAATCAAGCCCGAAGAGCGCCTTTTGCCTGCGTTCGTGTCAGCTTTCTTGGTTCCTATTGGACTGCTGTGGTTCGGGTGGAGCGCGAGACCAGATGTGCATTGGATCATGCCAGTCATTGGAGGAGCATTCATCGGGCCTTCGAGTGCGGGCCTCTTCTTCGCGATCATGAACTATTTACCTGATGCATACCCTACTGTATCTTCTTCGGTTCTTGCAGGTATGGACGACCCGCATTTCCTCACTTCCTTCTCACTTCTACTTTGTGCTAACTTGATTTTCTTTGTCATAGGCAACAGCCTCATGAGATCTGTACCAGCTGCAGCTCTTCCACTCTTCATCACACCAATGTACAAAGGCTTAGGTCCTGGGTGGGCAAGTACTGTCTGGGCGGTGCTGGGTTGTCTATTTGCGCCTGCGCCGTTTCTACTGTATCGGTATGGTGGTAGAATACGTCTTAAGAGTCCACGGGCTCGGCATGACTTTTAGGTAGCAGTGGGTAGCCACTAGATCGTACTTACTTCCTACACCTTGGGAATTCTTCTTCCTTAATTTACGTCCTGAGGATCTTTACTTAGATACAATCGGTGACAATCAGAGCTGAGAGAGTAGTAAGGATTGCGTTGGCGTTATGTAGTAATGGGACGGTGTTGTACGTCTTGTTTGTCGGTACTATTAAATGAAGACTTGCGAGTGAGACTGCAAACACAACGATCCTGTGAACCCAGATCGGATACAAGAGATGTGAAGCTTTCCAAGTCGGCATTGCGCAAGAGCTGGACAGGCTGACAGGCATCGTTGATATGGCTGACGAGGACATTAACGGTGACATATTACATGCTACAACAGACCTGATTGCGTCTCGTGCCAGCAAACATGAAACCAAATACAATTAACTGCTTGGTTTTTCCCTTGTCCCACTACCATTCCTCATGTCTTCCCTATTCAAGGAGATCGTCTTGTCAAAGCTCCAGGAAACCTTGGGGCGCTCCCAGGTGCACAGATGTCGTGAGATCAATCCCACCAGCGACAAAGTACACAACCATCCATCCGAGAAAGAACTACTGGCGTTCGAATCGACATATGCCGGAGCAAACACTGCCGAGCTGATGGAGAGATACACGGCGTGGAAGTCTGGTGCCGCTCGCCGAAACAAGAACTGTCTTGTATGTCTGAAGTCGGTTCGTAATGGGAAGGAAGCTTTATTGTGCACTACTTGTCCTCGAGTGCTGCACAGTCCCTTCCTGAACGGAAAGGCGCCGCATGGTGGTCACAAGATGCATTGTCCGCTTTGCATCAAGCGGAGGTGGCATTTGGTTCGACCGGTTACACCGACACAGAATGAAGGGCAGTCGGAGGATGACTCTCATATGAAGCGGATTAGGAGGTATCATAGGTGGCATCGATATAATTGTATGCATATTGTGGAGTGGTGTAAAATGCATGATGACGGATCCTTAGAGTCTGATCGGAGGCTGTTGATAAGCATTGGAGCTGCGAAAGTGAGTGACAAACAGCAGCAAATGGCTGGCAAAGTGAGTGAAGGTCGGGCAGATGACGAGCAGGAGTCGAGTGGAGCAGAAGGTGAAACAGAACATGCTGGGGAGAATAATTTCGATGCTAATGACAACCCCCCTAAACAACAAAGACCTCCTCAGGCAGTCAGCGAAGTACAATCGCAGAAGGAGGGAGAAGCTGCAGAGTACTACAACCCTGATGCTTCTGATCTTAACAGCGATGGCCGATCCGGAATACCAGGCGGTCAACGACAATCTAGCGTGGCCAGCAAGACACACAGCAAGACCTTGCCTTCTGTCGTGATATCTCGAGCTTCAACTCGCGAGGCACAAGATAGGGAACTCGACGGTTCTGCCCTTTCACCTGCAGCAGCATCCGAGCATGCAAGCACAGTTCACACTGGTTCCAGCTCGTCCTATATTTCATCAAGGAAGAGTCTAGCTCGGAACAAGGGAGGATTCCGTCGAGGTCAAGTGAACGACTCAGAGCTCACCTCATCCATTGGATCTGCGGCATTAGCTAATTTAGGCTCAACATGGCGCGTGAATGAGGCAGGAGCTGGAGAAAGTCACGTGCCAAGCCAGGTGGCCGCTCAGTCAGAAGAGGATGGTGAAGGCTCCGATGTGTCGTCGAGATCGGCTTCGTCTTCCAAAGCCACTCTCAGTCAGCGGGACGGTAGTCCGTCTAATTCTCACAAGAGTGACAGACTGTCATCTGTGGTTAGTCGTGGAAGGAGCAGAGTTAGCAGACAGGATTCAGCCACTGGTTGAGGACTTGACGACTGAGCAAGGCGTGGAACCGCGCTCTGAGGAAAGAATATAGCTTGTTGTGGGCAGTGTGCGTGCATTCGTGTTACTACCAGGTTTCGAGTATGCGTCAGCTTAGCTTAGCCACCCATGCGACCTAGTGAAGTTGCTGAGTGTAGGTCGCATGACCAATTGTACACAATTCAATGAGGAAGGAAAAATACTGCACCGCCTCATGTGGCGCTTGCATCTCCGCTTTTCTTGGAAGCGAACAATAATGCCGGATGATAGGTGAATTGACTCGGCAGGTCATCCTTGCTGGTGTAACTGGAGGAACGTACAGTGCGTAGACAGGCCTTTTGTGGCACATCATTGGGTCAAGGTGCAGAAGTATGTTCTGTCCAAGTCATTGCGTCGCAACAAGCGTAGTGTTGGTTCGCCTCACATAGAAGAATGCGAAAACACGATGCTTCCCCTGTATGTGAAGTTCTTTTTGTCCTGAATTTGAAACACTAGAGGAAGTCACACCCCGGGTGTAAGAAGGCCTAAACCCAACTTGGCGAAAACCTAAGAAGCCGAAGGACCCCCTAAAAGCGGTGTTGGTTAATTCTCGTTCATCACCTATCGATATAGTCATTATTGAGCGAGCACGTACCATCTCGAAGTTGTGCTTGACTGGCGCAGGTCAAGCGTAGCGACACTGATCGACCAGCCTCCCGAATACGAATGAGAGTCTCGCTCCTCCGACCCGATAACGCGCTCTCCAGCACTGTACGGTACTAGAGAAAGTTGTTCCTTAATTCCTGCATACCTAGCCTCAACTTTCAAGCCTCTTGCTGCATCTAGCTGCTTGTTCGACTCCCTACTGGTGCGACCACACTTTGTCGACGAGAACATTTACCAACGCGCGACATCGCGTCCCTGCTCTATTCGTGTCTGGACACCCGATATCTCTATTCGAGTCAACAGCAACAGCGACAAATACAGAGTCGCATGCAGCCAGATGACATGAACGCGCCAGTTGTGCAACGTCTTCCTATCAGCTAACCGACTCGATCCGTTCCTCAGCAAGACGACAGGGACGCTGCAGAGCGTCGTGATCAAACCATGTCGTTCCTCTTCAAAAGTAAATCGTCCAAGAATGCGCCGGCCCAACCTCCTCCGCAAGGCCTGCCTTCAGCGAACCGCAATATACATACCTCGGACGGTGCTTCCAATGCCGTCAAACCTCCATCGATAGCACAGCCTGATGCTAGAAAAGCACAATCCCCACCGCCCAATGCTGGCGCAAATGGCTCTCTCAACTCGCTGACAGAAACGAAGCCTGCTCCCATTCCTCCCCAGCAAATGGCTCCTGCTACTGCAACCGCTGTCTCTGGGACTGCCCCAGCTGCACAGGCTCCATTTGCTCGGAGGGACCGAGCAGGCTCAGAACTAGGTGTAAGTAGCAAGAAGATACTGTTGCAATACCCACTAATCTTGCTCGCAGGCTCGTTCTCAACCGCAAATGCGACCACCACATGCAGATCTCTATCCTTGGTCGCAGAAACCATTGGCCTTTCCAAACCCGCAAGCAAATCCCTTTCCTCGATACGGTGCCGCTGTCAACTCCATTGCTTCTAAAGAGGGTGACATATATTTGATGGGAGGGCTGATCAATGGAGAAACTGTCCGAGGTGACTTATGGATGGTCGAAGCTGGAGCAAGTCAACTCTCATGCTATCCAATCGCTACCGTTTCGGAAGGGCCAGGGCCTCGCGTCGGACATGCCAGTTTATTGGTAGGCAACGCGTTCATTGTGTTCGGTGGTGATACACAGCAGGAGGATACTGATGTCCTGGACGATACCCTTTACTTGTTAAATACGAGTGAGTTTCTCCGCCCATGCATTGTATTGGGTACTGACTCTACCAGCGTCTCGACAATGGTCGCGCGCTTCTCCTCCTGGCACGAGACCTGCTGGCAGATACGGCCATACTCTCAATATTCTGGGCTCAAAAATTTATATATTCGGGGGACAAGTCGAAGGTTCTTTCTACAATGATCTCATTGCCTTCGACCTGAACGCGCTACAAAATCCCTCGAACCATTGGGAGTTTCTTATTCCCAATACCAGTGCACAGCCAAATCCGAATGTGCCACCAGCAAGGACAAACCATACCATGATCAGCCACAATGATATGCTATATCTGTAAGTCAATCACCTGATAGCATCGATCTTCACTAACTTCGTGTAGTTTCGGTGGCACTGATGGTCAACAATGGTTCAACGATGTCTGGACATATGACCCAAAAACGAACAAATGGTCTCAACAAGACTGTATAGGGTATATTCCCGCACCCAGAGAAGGCCACTCTGCTGCTCTGGTCAACGACGTCATGTACATCTTTGGTGGCAGAACTGAACATGGAGACGATCTGGGTGATCTGGCCGCCTTCAGGATCACTCTGAGAAGGTGGTACACCTTTCAGAATATGGGCCCTTCTCCTTCTCCACGATCCGGCCATAGTATGACTGCTTTTGGCAAGCAAATAGTCGTCCTCGCGGGCGAACCCAGCACCGCTCCACGGGATACTGCCGAGTTGAGCATGGCTTACGTCTTGGATACGGCTAAGATTCGATATCCTAACGACGCGCCTGCAAACCAGTCAAAATCTCTTGAGAAGCCATCCAGTCCCACTCAACAGCTCAACGAAGCGAGAAATGTGGGTACAGTCGTCCAGCGCTCTATGTCGAAGGATGGACCAACCCCGAGAGGAGAATCACCAAGAGAGGCCATCAATGGTGGACCTGTGCAAAGGCCTGACCCTCAGGCACAGCGAGCCCCAGGCCCAGCTTCTCGTGCTTCGATGGGACCCGGCCCGGCAGGACCGACAGGATTGACAGGACCTCCACCTCTTAACCAACCATCAAATCCACGAGCCAACGGCATGGAGCCTGTCAATGTGGTTCCGAGGGAGCTGTCTGGTCCTAGACGAGAATTGCCGGCAGACAATCAGACACCGTCAGATTTGCCGGCACGAACAGACTCGACTCAAGCTGCCAGAGTCGCACGTGAACAAAGTCCTGGCTCTCAGGGACGAAGGACGCCACAGTCCGTGTCCAAGGCCAAGGCAATGGAGGCCAATGAAGCCGCACCTCTGGTCGGAGCAGCTGTTGCTCGACAGAGGTCGCACCGTTCTCAGCGTGCTCACGCCTCTCTGGACGGGCTAGACGACACAGCGATCGTTCGGTCTTCATCTGCTCGTCTACACGGCGACCATCGACATTCGAAGAGTTTCGCTGATGAGCCCCATTCTCCAAATATCACACCCCATCACGAAGCGCTCATGAAGGAACTTGAAACAATGAAGAGCAAAAACGCCTGGTACGCTTCGGAGCTTGCTCTAGCCAGAAAGTCAGGCTACGCTGCCTCGTCGAGTCCTACAGTAGACGAACGTGCTACACTGAATTTCGCCGACGACGATCGACCACTGATGGAAGCATTTATGACTATGAGAAACGAATTAATGAAAATGCAGCAAGCCATGGAACAACAATCAAAATCCACCGGGCAGAGAATAGCAGAGATTGAACATCAGCGCGATGCCGCTGTGACCGAGGCAGCGTATGCTCGAGCCAAGCTTGCAGCTCATGGTGGCAGTCAAAGAAGCACTCCTCAACTCGACAGAAGTCACGACAACGATGAGGCAGATAGGTCGACTGATATTAGCAGGCGACTGGCATTGTCTCTTGCTGCTGCTAACGAGCACAGAGCGAAATTGGAGTCTGTTACGCACGAGTTAGAGGCTGAGCGACGAGCTAGAGCGGCAGCAGAAGAAGCTGCTGAAATGGCTCAGCAGAGATTTGACGAGCTCAGTAACAGCAGAAATCCTGGCGAAATTGAGGCACTCAAAGCTGAATTACATGACACACAGAGCTTTGCTCGAGCAGAAGCCGGCCGAAGAACGGAGGCTGAACAAAGTCTGCGAATGCTGCAAGTTGATCATAAGGAACTCCAAGACAAACATAGCACTGCTTCAACTCAGGCTGCAGATCGCATGTCGTCGCTAGCCTCGCTCGAGGCTGCATTGGCTGCATCATCGGCAAAAGCGGCAACTCTCGAACGCCAACTCGAAGAAGAGCGATCAGCTAGGGATAGCATCGAACAAAAGCTCAGTCACCTCCGAGCTGAACATGAGACGAGAACACAAGAGCTCGAGAACACTACCAGACGACTGCGAGACGCAGAAGAGCTTGCGGACACGAATGCGAAGGAAGCAAACACGCATCGGGAGGCGCTGTTAGTCGGACTTTCCAAGATCTCCCGACCTGACTCAGCTCTTACCCGCGACGTCAGCAATGATGATCGAGTAGTCGCCTTACAAGAAGCCGCTGAGCAAGCTCGTAAGCTAGCGAAAGACAACGAAGATGCTGCCGAAGCTGCTGCACAGAGGTTGAGAAGTGCTGAAGAACGTATTGCTGGATTGGAAGCATACCAAGAACAATCCAGTCGAGAAGGCCTAAGCATCCGTCGTCAACTACAAGCTGCTCTGCGAGATCTACAATCGCATCAAACAGACAACCGAGATCTCCGCATTCAGGTCGAAACTCATCAGCGAAATGCCAGTGCCATCTCTGTGCAGCACAGAGCACTGAAGGATCTCCTTGGTGAACGAGGTGTGGATATTTCGGCTGCACGACGTTCACCTGGTTTCGATGGAGGGTCGCGCGATGGTACGCCAGATACAGCACGGTCTCGTGACCTCGAGCAGCAATTGCTAGCTAGTCAACGGGCGCATGACGAAACAAGGACCATGTACGAATCTCGGGCTGAGGAACAAGAGAAGACGTATCGCGAAAAGCTTGAGCAGCTAGAGAACGATTACCAGTCCTTGCTAACCTATGTCAAGGGTACAGAAAAGATGCTCAAAAAAATGAAGGAAGAACTCAACAAGTACAAGACGGCCAACCAGCGTTTGTCCTCGGAACTTGACGCCAGTAGAGATGGTAAGAGAAGCGTCAGCAGTATGAACACTGATGCCACAGAGTGGGCAAGCGAGCGAGATGCAATGCAAAATGCTATCAGCGAGATCAAGGTCCAGATGCAGTCACAGATACAGACACTGGAGAGCAATCTTCTTAGTGTGCAAGACGACCTCGAGACAGCGAGGTCTGAGCGTGACAAGCAGAAGTCCAGCTACGAAGAACTCTCACGATCCATTCAGAAGCGCGAAAAGGATCTGAATGACTTGAAGTCGGAGAACAGCATGCTAGAGACTCGTGCTCTGGACGCTGAGCACAGGGTCACAATGCTGTTGGATCAGGTTGGCACCTCGGTCAACAATTACCGTCGTCAGTCGCAGATGCAGCCGATTGCAGGTGTAAATGGGTTAGCGAACAACAGGGCGTCTAGCTCGATTGCCGGCCATAACAGACCCACAAGCGCAGGATCAGTTGCAGATACAAATTCCGAAGCCGGAGATCAGGATGACGGCCGTGGTTCTGTGGCACTTGATAACCTCGCCTCAGAGCTCGAGACGCTGAAAGCTCAGTGGGAGAGCCAAAGTCGCAGCTATAGATTAAGCGATCGATTCGACTTCGAAAGAACTCCTACACGAGAGGCACATGGTACTGGGAACAACACCAGTGGTGATCTGAGCGAAAGCATGGCCAGATGGAGGAATGAGCCTGAAGAAGACGAGCGGACACCAAGCGGCGGTGTTGAAAAGATACCGGTCAAGGGACCTAATACCTTGTCAATGACTCCAGCTGAAGCTGCAGCGAAGGCAGCAAACAGCAACTCGATCTATGCATAGAGCTCTTATGCGTGTGTGGTATCTTGATATCCTGGTCGTTCGAGGCGACTGGATTGGCGGAATGTTTCAGCAGCTGGATCATGGGTGGGCATTGAAATGATATTGACGACTGTACTTTCTAAATGTATTCTGGTTGCTCTCGGCTCGTGTGTACGACATTGGTAAACTATTTCAAATATATACCTGGGTATCAGAGGGAGTCCTGAGAGAGATGGAGTATTCAGTCAGATATGTAGGTTGCTTGAGTCTGTTCAGATAATGTAATCACGAACATGTTCATCACTAGTCGCATTTTCGCATCTCCACAAAAGTCATGGTTGTTGTTTGAGTGTAGCACGAGTCATGACCCTGGAATGTACCTGCATATCAGGCTGCTAGGCGTGTCCATCTTTGGTCAACTTGAACCTCTAAAAAAGGACGTACTTATCCTTAAAGCACGAAGGTGCTTGTCCTTTAACCACATAAAACGTTATCAGATATCCGAAGAATTTTGGCCCCAGGACGACGATGTGTACTTGTCAATAGAATTCGCGATCCACAAATCGATACATCCGCCGTATCGTGCTTGCTGCTTCTCACGTCCCACTGTGCCGAATACCCGTGTTGAATGCAGGGAGCAGAATCTGGCGACAACTCTGAGTAGCAGCTGCCTCAAATGCATTTCTCACTGGTATTCCTTCCCCATGGGATCCCCACAGATCTGGTTGTTCATTCGCTGGGATATAGAATGTATCGCGGAAAGTCGCACCTTCCCGTCTACTGTACAATCCGGACCTCGGGAGACTCTGTGAATGGGAAAGTATTCACGATGTGAAATTGTTGTTCAGAGTCACCGCTTTGCGAATACTCGGTGCGACACCCACTTACTCTGGCTTCATTACTGGTGTTTAGTTTAAATGCATGGTCAAATACAGATCTAGAACCTTTCCCTCTTTACCTACCTGTTCACCTAAAATATACGAAGCTGTGGCACTAAAAAAGATTTATGGACCAGTCGACCAACAAGCTGTGCCGACTGATGAAACTTATAGCTATATAATACACGTGTTTCTAGTCAATGTTGTATCACTGGGTGAGGATGAGACATCGATGCGAAATCTGGCCAGCACAGCGCTAATTTTGACAGACTTCATAAATTCGACATCCTTCTAGTCATGGCAGAGGAGAAATCCATGTTCCACGCCCTGTCTCGCGTGGGATCGACCGAGAACTCACATCCAGCAGTTTCAGTCTCATCAACGCCGTCGATAAGATCATTAGGTAATGCTAGCAGCAGTACACTATACCATGATCATGCAGACCCGGAGAAGAATGCCGATATCACTCAGCACGGACTCCCCGACAGCGTTGCGAAAGATGTCAATTTGGTGGATTGGAATGGTCCAGACGATCCCGAAAAGCCTCTCAACTGGTCGAAGCGGAAGAAATGGACGAACGTATTGATTATCGGGTTCCTCACTCTTCTTACGCCGTTCGGCTCTTCAATGTTTGCGCCAGGAGTACCCGATATGATGGAAGATTTCCACTCGACAAACGTGACTTTGGCATCCTTTGTCGTCAGCGTCTACGTGCTTGGGTATGTGGTTGACCGCCATGATTGAATTGCAACTAATTAGGCTTGCAGGTATGCATGCGGACCTCTCGTGATCGCACCAATGAGCGAGCTGTACGGTCGGGTACCTGTCTACAATATCTGTACTTTCTGGTTCCTAGTATGGACAGTGTTGTGCGGAATCTCAGTCAACATGCCAATGATCGTGAGTACTGGCTATGTCTGCCTGCAAGCAGATCTATCACTAATCGAGTCCATGTCGTTCACGTGAAGCTAACAGCGACAGATTGTGATGCGCTTTCTGGCAGGCTTATTTGGCTCATGCCCCATCACGATCGGTTCGGGAACTATAGCGGATTGCTTTAGACAAGAAGAACGTGGAAAGGTAATATCAGCTTGGACTTTGCCCATACTGTTTGGGCCAGCCTGTAAGTCATGTCCTAATCCAAGAGCACTGGCTGGGCACACGCGCGATCTCGGTCAATGTCTCTAAGGTATATTGTTGCTAACTTGCGCAGTGGGTCCAATTGTGGGCGGCTACCTCAGCGAGTACGTCGGCTGGCGGTGGAATTTTCATCTTCTAGCCATCTGGACCGCCGTCATGTTCGTCCTCTGCCTTTTCCTACTACCAGAGACATACCCGCCCGTCTTACTGAAGCGAAAGGCGCAGAAACTTCGCAAAGAGACTGGCAACCAGGAGCTACGGGCGCCATCAGAATTGACAGGCAAGACACCTAGCCAATTGCTTCTGCTCAACATCATACGGCCAACAAAGATGCTAGTGAGGTCACCGATAGTGTTCCTTCTCTCACTGTTCATTGCCGTCATCTACGGTTATCTATACATAATGTTCAGTACCCTGACTGTCGTGTTTGAAGGCCAATACAACATTGGTGGAGGCAACGTTGGACTGACTTTCCTTGGCCTGGGTCTTGGACAGATTGTCGGTCTGCTGCTATTCGCCTCAACATCTGACAGATACTTGAAGAAACAGGCAGCCGCGAACGGAGGAGTAATGACCCCAGAGATGAGGTTGCCGTTCCTCGTCTACACCAGCGGCTTCGCGCCCATCGGGTTGTTCTTGTACGGCTGGAGTGCAGAGTACAAAGTACACTGGATAGTTCCAATCCTCGGTACAATGCTCATCTCGATAGGTATGATAACCGCTTTCCTCCCGGTCGGCAGCTATCTCGTTGACGCGTTCACCGCATATGCAGCAAGTGCGATGGCAGCAAACACTGTGCTTCGAAGTCTTGGAGGCGCATTACTGCCACTGGCGGGAAGAGAGATGTACAACAAATTGGGATATGGCTGGGGCAATAGTGTGTTGGCATTTATTGCGCTAGCATTCATACCATTGGTCTGGTTGTTGCAGAAACATGCTGGAATGCTGAGAACGCATCCTAGGTTCCAGCTTCAGTTGTGAGTGAAAATGAGCACAAAAAATGTTGTATGGTTTGCGTTGCGTAGTATAGACGCATAAAAAAGGCAGACAAAGGGGTCATGTCAATATATGGAGCTCTGATACCACGACCAAGTGAGCAGCTTCTGATATGTTTGAACAGGTGGGCAGAGGATCTACCGCTGTACGTGACTGTCCTGCTCTCCAGCCAGCAATTCTCTGTGTTCAGAAAGAACAGCTGGATGGAGACGCAATCGGAGTGGTGCGGGGCTGTTTTATCACGGAACCAACACGCTCACACGCCTTTTGAAAAGCCCGAAAGCTTGACCATACGGAGGGCAAGAGAGACACGCGGATGATCACCATACTACGCAGGGACAGCGGATCATCACGAGATATTGATCTTATTCATCTGAAGGGCAAGTTCTTAATGACACGTCAAGGTTGGTTATAGCAGATTCAGTATTTTGTTTGTCCTTGATTGAGCTTGCCACATCGTCAGTGATCCGAGTCGAATCGACCTGCAGTCTGAGTCCAACACTGACACGTACTGTACCTATCACATGCCCCATCGTTTCACCAATACCACACGGACGACGGAACCTTGCTTGCTTATCCCGCCATCTCCGTTGCGCTGTTGTGGCATGTCTATCTGATATACCGAGCCTCAGCATCTTCCGTCCTTGCACCGTGATTGCGTCAAGACCTTATGAATTCTAGTCCGGAACAGCCTACACACTCTGAGCCCAGGGCATCTACCCTGAGGCAGACCCATCCCAATAACAGTCAGGGCGAATTTGCTCATCCTTCACTACCAAGACGTAGTCAATCGGACCGACTTCCACTTCAGCGATCCTCACACTCCTCCACTCACGAATATGACCTTCCACCCATCCCACAGGCTGAAATGTCGCCTGAGGCTCGGAGGGCAGGCCTCATAGCCATGGACCGAAAGAGAAGGCTTACTGCTTCAGCCCATGAGCCAGGAAGACGCAGGACTACTACTGGTGGATTCACGAACAGGGACAACAGATACTATTCTTCCACGCCACGACGGCCCTCCCAGCGTTCCACCAACTCGGAAGACGTACACGAGTCAAGAGCCAGAGAGGTCATTGATTTGACAAGTTCTTCGCCTTCTCAGCCTGAGCCCACGACCATACCAGAGCCCTCACGTACACAAAGAGCGCTGTCAAACAGCTCGGGAGGATATGTCATCCCGACCTGGCAGCCAGATGCTGAAGTCTCGGAATGCCCTATCTGCCACCGTCAATTTGGCTTTCTATTCAGACGCCATCATTGCAGGAAATGTGGCAGGGTAGTCTGCAACGATTGCTCACCACATCGGATTACCATTCCAAGACAGTACATCGTCCATGCCCCGGGTGCGGAAGAGACGCCACCTGGCATACCAACAATAGATCTCACTAAAGGTGACGAGGACGAAGATCGATATACAGGCCTAGGTAGTCCCAACAGGAGGTTACATCCAGCATTAGGAGGTGGAGAGAAAGTCAGGCTATGCAATCCTTGTGTACCAGACCCGCAGCCAGAATTACAGGCTGTATTAAGAGAAGGACCTCCTCCAAGAGTACCACACACTCCTGTAGAACCACTGCGTTCTGCTCCTCCAGGTGCAATTTCTTTCCCTTCGTTATATGGCTTCCCTCAGAGGCCGCAAGGCCCAGATCGACGTTATCTGGGTCACTTACCTCATCCAGGTACGAGAGTCCGTCTCCACGATGAAGATGACGATCTAGACTCGTCACCTGAAGCATTTGTGTCTGGTTCTCGAGGACAGCTTTTAGTGAGTAAACCAATGGTATATTGCTCTGCTCATACTGACAATCGCAGGGAATATCTGGTCGTCCTCAACAACTCCATTCACGTTTTCACTCGCTCGACTCGCGTCAGGCCCCGCTTCCGCCACTACCACCTTTTGCTGGCCGTCCTAGAAACCAATCGCTCTTCGACACTCTGAGCAGAACCTATGGCATTCCTCCGCCTCTCAGCGTCGAAGCCAGTCTACAACACCAAACAAATCAGCCGTCTTCAAGCACGTACCAAGGAAGAAATTATACATCAACGGCGCCACGGCGTCGAATAAAAGAGGAAGATATGTGTCCCATATGCCGTGGTTTACTGCCTGCTAAAGGACCTGATGGTGACGAAACAGAACGAGAGAGCCATATCATGCAATGCATAACTCAACACGACGCTTCTGCTGCCAGCCCTGCAAATCGTGTTCGTTCTCCTACAAACAACACCACAGCGCAAGCATCGACTTCTCTTCCTACTTCTGGCCCTCCAAGAACCCACCAGTTCGGTGCCAGTGGCTTAACCCTGCCAATATACACCCAACCACCTCCACCACCCGACACTCCTCCAGCACGCCCCGCTCAAATGCTCCGCTTCACAGCGACCGAGAAAGACTGCGGTCCAGCAGAGGGTACAGACGGCGAAGCCCAAGAATGCTCAATATGCATGGTCGAATACGAGGTCGGAGATGCACTAGTCCGATTAGAATGCTGGTGTAAATTCCACGAAGAGTGTATTGTGAGTTGGTTTGGAAGAAAAGCCGAGTGTCCTGTGCATAAGCTGTCTTAGAGGGCGGTTAGTGCGGGTAGTACTTGGGGTACAGGACATTCTTGGTTTATGTGGCTTGTGCGCTACTTTCTTTTGTAGGTTTTGTCTGAGTGATACAACATTGCCTACATGTCGAGCTTGACTTGGAATGGGATGTGGAAGGGTCAGCGTTTGTTTTTGGTCGTTCGTGCGTATGCTTGGAGTCGGGACATTGGAGGGTCATCAAGGACGAGGAGCACAACCAACGCTCTGCTTGGAGTTTCGGTGATATGGAAAAGACAGTCACGAGATCACCACGCCGATTATTATTATTTAGACAGCTTTGCTACGAGATTATGCATATTCTTGCTACCTGTTCGTTTCCATGCAATGCAGGAGTCCCTTCTATAAAATCACTGATGCAAACTTCTATAACAATTCGTCAAGGTATCTATTCTTCTAATGTCTGCGTATCGACATGGTTCTTTCTCTATATACATCTGCTAGTACTCCATCCCAATCATACACAATATCCTCATGAAAAGCCACATACGCAGACCCGCGCCTCAAGAATTCCTGAAGTCCCCCGACCCACGCCTTGTAAATTTATAGAAGTTCGTAAAATGCCGCTCAAAATACGGTGTGCCACACACTCCAATCACCTCCCATGGTCCAACACGTCGAGTTTCCGTCTCTAGAAAACGACCTGGTGAGCACACATAGTCCTTCTGTCTCGATACCATCAAATCCCTCGCCGTGCTCATAGGTCATACCGACGATATATCCTGTGGGAAAGACAAGACCCATCCGGATGAGGTCCGCGTTGATCATGAGGATCGTGCCGCCTACGCTGTCGAGCTGGCGGATATCGTCGTTGTTGGTGCCTTCGATCACTGCGTCGAGGATCTTGGTTAGGCCGTCGAAGCCCGGATGTGGTTCCCAGGAGGAGAGGTCTTTCCATAGGAGCTCTTGTTCTAGGTTGTTGGGGCCTGTGCGGCGGCCGGTCCATGCGTTGAGGTCGTATTGGCCTTGTTCGGTGGTGATGTGGGCGATGATTTCGTGTTGGCCGCCTTCGTGGCCGCGGAGATCTTCGATTTCGTGGCGGAGCTCGTTGCTGATGCTGACGCCTGGTGGAGGTTGGTTGGGCATTCTGTATTCGGGGTGGGCGCGCATCCATGCCTTGGCGAGTTCGGGCTCGCCGCGACGGCAGCGGGAGGTGAGGATGCCGACTTCGTGGTCCTTTGTGGTGGTGGTCTTGCTGATCATCGCGGAGACCATGGACTTGGAGGAGAACTTGTAGACGTCGCTGTCGAGCCAGAGGATGTGTGACTCGTGCTTTAGTGCGACGGATTGGAGATAGTTGCGCAATTTGGCGAGAATGGCTCGACGCTCGTGTTGAGGGATGCTATGGCGTTGGGCTCGGGAGGCGTCGGTATTGGGCTTCGATGCACTTTCGTATTCCGAGGTTGGAGGTGAACGAGTGGGCGCAGTATGCAGGACAAGGACTATACGGTGGAAGGCGTAATCGTAATACGTGGCATTGGCCCATTTCTCTTGACCCGATCCAGGTGCTTGGTCTGGTGTGAGGATTTGTATGTATCGTGCATATTCGGAGGGTGAAGAGGTCAATATTGCGACTGATGCTTGGTTGGATTGGAGGGTTGTGTTCGTGATGAAGTCGAGGTAGGAGTATACGCTTCTTCGGTCTTCTGTTGGGTTGCGACCCCAGGATTCTTCGTCACGAGTGATAGAAGCGAAAAGTACAGACTCAGATGGTGATTCTGACTCGAGCGAGCGTTCTAGTGTGTAGTGCTGGATGTCTCCATTTTGAGAAGCCCAGGAACTGATTGTGTATTCAGGCTGTTCTTTAGTCCACGAGATCGCCTTCTGAAATGCCGCAAGCTCTGCCGGCGGTTGATGATATGCTGAACGAGAACGCAAGACGAATGAATCAATCGCAAACAAGACAACGATGGCTGCGCCGACAACACGTGCATATGCTGGGAATGACTTCATGTTGTTTGCTGAAAGGACCTGCCTACAAAAGAGTGACTGCCAGAGTAGACTCTGGTGAACAATGGCAGGCAGGATCGGTCTCCGACCAGCTTGTTGGTAAGAAGACAAGCACAGGTTCGACGCTGCCACTGAAGAGTCAGCAGTCTTTCATGAGTGGCCATGACCCATGGAGTGAGCTAAAGCTCTGATCTGCTTAGCTCTATCAGATGCTTAGGTTTTCCACGCGGAAAGACTGTAGATCCCATCACCCTGTCTGGATTGTGAAAGTAAACATCGGGTGCAATCCCTGAGGGTGACGAGGCATGGCGTGTATCAAGTGGCATTGCGCTCTGACAAGGCACATCCATAATTGCTACTAGCTCGCCACTCGCGGCCTCAACCACCATAACTAGCAGAGCAATCACAGCTGTTGCATACACAGCGCGATCACTCTTGAAAAGCTTGCATATAGCTTGATGTGTGGTGGTATCTCATTGCTGTATTGTGGATCCTCAGGCGCGATTGTGCACGAGCTGAGGTGCTCTATTGGCTGGTGCTAGACAAGCAGGGAACCAAAGAAAGAGCTGATTTCGCAGAGAACACAGGAGTTAGCGTTCTTGATAGTGGAGTACAGAATTTCACGGACCCATGCTTCAAATGAACCACATATCGGTCACGGAACGATCTTATTTCACGCTCCAGCTCAGCCTGGCTTCTGCAAAGGAAAGGGGACGACCAGTGTGAGCTATGCTATAGTGAGAAAAGTAATGTAATCGACCTGATTCTGCGCACGGCAGACAGGAACGAGTCGGCAATTTGGAAATTGTTTTCAGCAAATTGCACCTCGAGATGGAGATTTCCAGCTGTCGGATTTGTTCTCCATCAAACCTCAACGGTATATGCAGTGACGATCTGGAATTTCAGGTACCCGTAGCTTTCTTTTAATGAAAGGAAAGGATTGTTGCAACGTGATGTCGTTCCTGAACCTACAAGTAATTGCAAATACCTGCCTGACGCTTCTGTTTTGTCGACAAATCAACATGCTCGGATCTTCCAGGTGGTATAGCGGACTCGTAGTGCCAACACAACATGTAAGACCTAAATATGTTATCAGCGACAATGGTTATACTGGCCATTCCAGACACCTTTTCAGCACATGCTTGAAATTAATATGCAATATGGTTTGTTCTAATGAGCTTCGAAGCTGATGAACTCTGCTGCCCCTGAACAACAGCAGAGCTTGGCCTGGTCAAGACAAAAGGGGTTACCAAGTACTGCACCGTCGCTTAATCTCACAAACTTCCGCACTATACTTCAACCTCACCCCTATTCTGGTTAGATCCATGTGTGGTCGTCATGAACTCGAGGTACAAGCCGTGGAGTATCGTTGGCTCTGGAGTGCGTGCACTACCTGGGCGGCCTTGACCAGTGCTGAGGCCTGCCACATGGCGTCGAGGAATACGCATAACAGAACCTAGAAGTATACGATACTTCCGGTCAATGATATGATCGATCAGATCTGCAGCTTCGCAGAGACGCCTCTGGCAAGATGCCGACTCGCTAAATTAGGACACGTACTCGGCCTTGTTCCTACACACTACTGCCGTCGGCTCGAAAGTCCACCATGGTGAGGCCTCAAGCCAGCAACTTGTTCGTCGCAGGCATTATCCTTCTCTGCACCATCTACTGGCTATACAAGCTCTCAGCTGCATCCGATACCTATACAGATACACAATACTTGCCAGACGAGGACAAAAGGATGCTTCAAGCTGATCATGGAGGTTCAAGAGTTCGGTTCGTTCACTCTCATTCTGCGGGACAATACGACGCGCACGAGGCAGACCCAATGGATGAGGTTGCTCAAAAGCTGGTGGTTGAAACAATGAACAAGCTGTATCACCTGCATCAAGACATAAAGGCTGATCTTGTCAACTCATGAGCAACGACGAGCTTGGTCAATGCACAGTGAGTGCAGACACAAGAGGATGAGGTCCTGAACCCCCACTACTATCTGATTCAATGCGACAGAACACCACGCTCGGAGCATACAAGATGAACCTTGCAGCAGGAACGTAATCATGGAAGACGCTGGACTAGAAGAAGAGCATAATTCATTTGCAGCTGTCGAGGAAGACTACGCGAACAAGCCGGTACTGGATTGTTTCTCTTGAAAACTCCATTTGAGACCAGCTGCAAATGCAGTAATACCTTCAGCCTCAACGAAGGCTCAACCGTGATGTTTTAGGCCTGGATTCCTTCACTGCTCAATATGGCCATTCATCCGCTCCCGTCTCATCCCCATCATCGACTCCAGGAATCCAATCATCGTCGTTCGCATCTCCAATCACCCGTAAGACCTGGTCGTCAGCAAGCGGGTCTCCATGTCTGGTCCATCTCTCATTGAAACCCTTTCCAAGCCGTCTTCCATTGTCGATTTGCTTCAATGTTGGGTATGGGTTCTTCTGAATCGGGCCAACAGTCCTGGTATTACTGACATCGGAATTGGGATGTGATGAAGCTTCACAGGCTGCAGATGTGCATGCACTGTAGACCTGAGTATAGTATGTCAGTAAGCTTCGCCTCGGTATATGCATCATAGACGTGAAAACTTGAAGCACCAATGACTCACAGTCGGAGACACTTACGTTTGCACTACTTTTGCCATCTCCGAGTTGAAGGTCGGAGGTTGGCTTGCGTTCGCCATATACTGAGCATGTACAGCTCGTACCATTGTTCGTCGAGGCCGCCTTGGTGTTGAGTGCAGAGTTGGCGCCTTCGTCATTGCTTGCTGTCTGGACACCCTCTCTGGCTGAGTCCATCACGTTACTCCCTTGCGTGGCTCGGGCCTCTTCTTTCTTTGTCTGCTGGGATTCGGCTCGATCAGTCGGAAGACCAGTCAAGGATGCCATGGCTGCTGGGAAGACTAGGCTGTAGGAATTACCACTTCAACGTGGTTAATGTGGAAGGAAACGATCTGGAAGATGGTGTCGTACTGGTTTCCACTTTGATACATACCGATGTTGGGAAGCATTTGAGGTTATCGCATGAGTCCTGGACAGAAAGCTGACATTGAGCTCAAGTGAAGATCACAAAGAGCCGTTGTAAAGCTCAAGTCATGGTACTTTGCGCCAAACCGTAACGTGTGCCTAACATAGCCCTGGAGTCGAGTCGCAGAAGGTGGAGCACATCTCAGATATGCTCGAGGGGGAGTAGAATAACAATTGAAGTTTGAGAGTTATATGAGAGTACTTCTTGCAATTCCCCAGGTATCTTATTTGATGTGTGCAGGTTGGTAGCGGAAAAGATGTGAGCCTCGTTACACTTTCCTTAGACGATTGTAGCCTACTATTGAATAAAGATACTTGTCATTTGTTCTTCGCTCAATCCAATTCCAGCTATGAGGTAACCGTTTCACGAAGCCGATGGTGTATTCACGGGGAAAACTGCTAATGTGTGTGGTGAACAATAGGAATTGATATTGCTAGTAAGCATGACTGTGCAGTTCCGCAGATGGAAGTACACACAAATCTTGTTAAATACACATGTCCGACCCCAACATAAACATGCATCAGATCCCGCCCAACCGTCCCAACCTTTCAGACACGCCTTGAAACGAAAGAAATCGTAAAGCATAATTCCCAAATTCGAAGACCCAAAAAGAACTTTCCACGTGTTCGAAATTGCGCACTGGTAAGCGCTGGATATGGGAGGTAGCGATCATGACAGCTCGTCTGATTTATCGTAACTGTCATCGTCCGTCATGGGCGGTACATAGTCGCGAAAATTCGCGTTGGCGGGCTCCCGGTCCAACAGGTATGCGAACTTTTGTTTGTGCTTCAGCAGATATGAGGGGACATCCATCTCATTTTCTGGTACTTTTTGATATGGGAAGCCTCTATCGAAGAGGTCGACTCCGGTGCGCACACGGCGGACGATCTGGTCGGGATCTTTGAATTCAGCTCTGTTCCACTCTTGATGACTGAAGGCGTTAATTTTGGCGACGAATTCAGCTAAGCTGGAGAAGCACGTTGTGCAGTGCCAGGCGGCGTTTTTGAACTCGTAGGCAACTTGTGTCATTCTCAATGACTCTGGTAGGATGGTCTCGTTGCCGCGCCAGTATGTTGCTTGAGGATGGTACCATTCTCCGTCTGTTCGGTGGAGCTGGAATGAGTATGGAAAGAATTTGCTCCGAATGTCGACGCGCTCTGGGAAGTCGCAATTCCTCAGCAGGTCGATTGTTTCCGGTCGTGGGATCTCATCGACGTCCGACACTATGATGACATCTCCCATATTCGGTGCCTTTTTTCCAAGCAAGTTGGGAAGTACTTGGGTGACCATAGCATTACGCTGGTAATGCTCTCGGTCCCATGCACTGGCATCCATGATTGCCTCGTCGTTCAGCAAGTGGTATACTTCCAACTACTTCGTCCAACCAGTATCCTGGTTCAAGCAAGCATTATGAACAGTTTACTGGATTCAGACCAGAAGCTGGTGTTTGTGCGGCGCGCTCGGACCTACAAGCATGCTATCGATACTAGGTAAGGGGAAATGATCCTTTGGCTCGGGACTGAATGCTAGGCTCAGCTGCAAAATGGAAATGGTGGCTTCTCTTGCCTTGGCCAAGAATCCCAGACCATACCAGTATACAATCAAATGTTCCTCTGATCAGGAGGCGTCGTGGCCCCTGCACACAAGGTCAATGCTATAGCTTCAAATCCTGGGGTCGTCGCAGTTGTGTTTGTGTTTTGACAGCAGTTCTAAGAGGGTCTACCGTTATCGACTTTACCTGCTCCAACATGGCGACCAAACACAATGCCCTCAAGTTCGGCTGTCTGGCTTTTCTGACAGTGCAGAACTCTGGCTTGGTCTTGACGATGTGGAAATCGAGAACAATCCCAGGCAACAGGTACCAGACATCTACAGCAGTATTACTTTCAGAAGTGATAAAATGTGTTTTAAGTCTATTGGGCTACCTTCTCTCGTCCTATACCCAGCGAAGTGACACAGATGATGAGCCCAACGCCAGAACAGAACAGGACAGCCAGAAACGCAGCTGGTCCAGCAAATTCAGACGACGAGACTTCATAGTCCTCCTAATTCCATCCCTCCTCTATACTATACAGAACAACCTGCAGTTCATTGCTGTGTCCAACCTCGAAGCAGCCACGTTCCAGGTCGCCTACCAGGGAAAGTTACTCACCACTGCCATTTTTGCAGTAATTTTCCTCGGCAAGAAGCTATCGATACAGCAACTCTACAGCATAATGCTCCTCTGCGCCGGTGTCGCTTGCGCTTCGGTACCTTCCTCAAGCACGAAAAACACGTCAACCTCTGCTCATTCACAAAATCACGCGTTTGGTATTGCAGCTGTATCAGCAGCATGTATCATTTCCGGATTTGCAGGTGTCTACACTGAGTCTATTCTGAAGAAGACCCAGCAAGGCGAAGAGAATGAGAGTAAAGAGCGGATGTTTTGGCTACGGAACTTCCAGCTCAGTCTTTCCAGCCTGGCATTCGCAACCTTTGGTATACTTGCGGTTGATCGAGACGCGATCCGCACGAACGGCTTCTGGCACGGCTACAACAACTGGGTCTGGGCAACAATAGTGCTGCAAGCTGTTGGCGGACTTACTGTTGCATTTGTTATCACCTATACCGACAACATCCTAAAAGGCTTTGCGACTTCGATCTCGGTCATCATCTCCACGGTGGCCTCGTCCTTGATCTGGGCCTTCCAGCTTACTCCACTCTTCTTGCTTGGAATGGTCGCTGTCCTCGTTTCTACTCGCATGTATGGCATGTCGGCCGTCAAGGCTCTGCCTGCACCTGCACCTCAAATCGATGAGGAGAGTGGCTTGGAAGAAGAGAAGATGGCTCTGCAGCAAGAAGAAGAAGGAAGCGAAGAAGACGAAGAAGCAGCAGAGGAGGCATTGGGGAAAGTATGAACAAATATCCGTGTTTCAATCTCGGAGTGTGTTGTTGGCATACTGTATCATTCTGCTTGAGAGCTGATGGCATGATGCAACGAGGGTCGAGTAAATTGTCGTTTGCATCCTTGGATGTATGGAACGCATAGCTCAAAGACTGCACGGTTGCTAATCTATGCCTTGAGTTCACTACATGACACCTCCATCGTCCAGGAAGCCATATACGAGCGACAGACTGTGGTCCAATGTAGGCTTGGGAAGAAGCCAAAGAAAAGCCTTGCCTTGCCAGAGTGCTGATCTTCTCCACATGCTAGGACACAGGGCGCAAAGGACAGAAACTCTCCCATGATAGATATTCAGGAAAGCGGACACCATGATGAAGCTCACGGTGTTAGAGGTAACTTGGTGGGTACCATTATCGGACGAAACCAGTGTCTGTTTGGAAGGCCGCCAACACGGACCACCGATGACAACACGGCCGAACTACCTGTCACAATGTCCAGCATCTGCTCTTTCAAAGAGTCTCCAACTCGACGGAGTTCACGTTATGACCGTTGTCGAAGCCCTAGGAATATTTCGAAATTCGAGGCTCCCATCCGATGGCATTCAGCACGGAAATGAGCCTCGGGGAGATGTGCTCATATGCTCCAGCCAGAGTTCGGGATCACCCTCGATAACGCAAGATGAGGCAACGGAGAACAGAAGGAAAAGCTGGGCCGCTTTCTGAGCATGAAGTCACCTGCTCTCGAGATTCGTGTGTCGTTCCATGGTGGGCCATCGGAAGGAGGGAGGGACGATTCTCTACATATTCATTTTGTACCAGTATAATCTTGAAACTGGATGTCTCTGAATTGAGAGACAGAGGGCTCGAACAGAGAATTTAGGACATATTGTGGTCTGTGAACCCATAAGTACAGGGTTCTGGTGGGAACTGCTTCGAATAGGAAGATTTACTTTGTCAAGAGATATCGCGTGATGCTCGTTTGGAAAGGAATTGCTATAGTCAAGTCAGATTTCATTTATGTTAGATCTCGCGAAATTCCTTGTTACGTGTAGGTCGTCATGAACAGGGAACACAACTTCTGGCGCCGTGGAAAACTTGGTGTAGACTTTCGCGGCGTCATACTGCACAATGCGAATGCGATCAATAAGCAAGACGTACTGATTTTGAGTCAAGTTCCGTTAGGGCAGACACATTGCTGCCTCCACGACACGTTCGCTCTGAGACTTGATCTGAAGGGTCCCGCTGTTATGAGCACTCAACAGTGCGGGCACTTTTCTGTAAAGGTTAGTCCTTGCACTCAGCCAGTTACCACACCCTCAGCTGAAAGACGTCATCCACCTAAACCCGTGAGGGATATTCTCAAAACGAACGTAAGTTGGTCCATGAAGAAGATCAGTTGAGCTGTTGCACTGTGGTGCGCCAGTCAGTAGGTTCCTTCCTCAGTCTAACGCACAACCGTTGAAACAGAATATGGTCGAAGATATATTGCTGGAAGGCGATGTGATCTCTCTCTTGCATATGGTATCTGCTTGGAACAATGCCCAGTATTTACAGTTCTTCCACTTCTTCCTGGCATATGCTCGCCTCGTTTCACCGGAAGTTCGTAGATATGTTCTCGTGTTAGGGGCAAACACTTCTTTGCATCACTGAACACCAAATCTTGCTCGCCACGAAGTTCTTCCACGATGGTTTCAGCGCCCATACACCTCCTCCTCCTCCTTCTTCAGGCCGTCTACCACTCCTTAATCGTATCCCCTCTCAGCTTTCCACGCATGTTATACTGGCCCTATATTTTCCTCGTTAGTCGCACGACCCATAGCACCACCACAAATAGCTGACATACATCGACGCTGCTAAACGTGTATAACAAGACTCCTGGCACGAATCCAGCGTACATGAATGTAATGAACGCTGTTCTAGGTGTCCATCTGAAATATCTCCACCTGTTCTTGCTCATGTCTATATGTGGTCAGATTAGTTCATGTTTGAAATCTATCGTCACATTGTCCATCTCCGAGCTCTTCTAGCGCTTCTCATGGGGTGCGAGGGTTTATCGTTGTTCGTCGTGTTATTGGGAGGAGGAGGAATTGCTTACACGAGAGTTTCTCGATTGCGGGATCGAACTTCAGAGCTGCGAACACGTCAGTAGGCTAGATGAGGGGGGCGCAAAACGACGTACGTGAAGGGCCCGCCATCTTGTCTGAAGTTGCGCACGAACTTTGAGAAGTTCCGGGGTCTATCTACTTGGTGTCTCAGACGAGGTAGTAAGCTCGAGGTCACGTGCAAACGATGTTCGATGCGGTACGGTCGAGCATTGCTAGCCTACGTACTCTACCAGAAGCTCGACATGCTCGACTCTAGAAGCGAGAGCTGGGTTTGGCAGATTTCATCAACTAACATCGTAAATCATTTTCGAACTTTCTCTCAAGAGCACTATACGGCATTTGCTAATCAGGATGCGAAGCACGCCGTTATCTAGAGCCCTATTGACCTCAGATATTGAGTACTTTCGTGTTGAGCTCTATCGTGGTCGAACACACCTGTCCATGTTCTTTGGCCGTGCGTGACACTATTCATTCGCCTTTCCGCTCCTTCTTGATCTTCTGTACCTCCTGGAAGCTCTTCACTTTCGTCGAGAGGTCGCCCAGTGGCAACTGGTAAGGAAAGTCGACAGATAACAGCATCAATGCAAGAAACTCGTACCAACCTATCAGTGATATGACGAATAAGAGTCCAGCACCAGCATATTGAAGGCGGTCTCCGGTGTGCACGTTACCACTTCCGTACGCGAAGTATGAAGCCGAGAGACAGGAAACTATATTTGATTAGCTGACTGTACAAATCAGTGTCTTTGTGTAACTTACATGTTGGAATTAGGAAGCCAAATATTAACACGAAAGTGACGTTCGTGCGAATGCTGGCGATGAAGTATACCGTGCAAAGCAGGGTCATGCTCACCAGGAAGAAGGCGAACGTCGAGTGGAATTGTCGCATGCTCGTCCAATTTGCTGCCACGTTATCGGCCTCAGCTCCGTAAGCACCGTATGCGTTGTATGATGGCAAAAGAGTCGCGCCGAACGTGAAGAAGAAACCCTGGGTTTAATAGTCAGTTCATATCGAGCCCGCTTCAAGCACCGACACGCACCGAGAACGTGAGAAAGACGGTTGCAGGGAAGGTGTTGCCTAATATCCAGTCGCCAATACCCCCAAGCAAGAGTAACAGTCCACCGATCCAGAAATAGGCTCCCTGAACAAACGTGTCAGCATACAAGTTACAGTGCCGATTGTCATAGCGCAAGGCTTACCACTGTGGCCAACCCAAGTTGATCTGAGCCGTGCCAACCAAGCAGTTGCATTGAAAGTGGCGTGGTGCAAAGCAGGAACCCTGCAACAGCTGGTGCCATTAGCTAGGAAGCCATGCCATCTCAAATCAGTTTCCTACCTATTCCAGTTGGGTTGCCCAATCTCTCCGCCAAGTCTCGCTTGAGTTCAGGCTTTGGAGCGAAGTACATTTGTTCAAAAGTTGCTGGTGGAATGCGAGTTTCGGCAGAAGACATGGTACCTCTCTCGAGACCATCTTGTTGGTTGAACATTGTTGACGCTGCGGTATTGGAAGCAGTCATGTTTTCTTGCTAGATTTCAGTACGATGTGCTTGTGTCTCGGATGAAGCGGTGCAAATGATGACTTGCAGAAAGGTGTAAGTGGAGAATCGGCCGTGATGAATGTAGAGGAACAGGTAATACAGGAAGCGACGCAATACAACTGTTTGCTTCGGACTTGGTCGGTTCCCAGTGAAGGTATACCAGTGACAAGGTTGGTGACTTGCCGAAGAGATGGGCAGGGATCCGGGTTTGATCGATGAGCAAACGAGTAGTCATGAGGAAAGAGAGACGAGGTAATGAACGTATCCCTTCGGTGCTGGTCAAACACGACAAAAAGTGATTTGATTATTGCCAAAGCAGGTATTTCATCGTTGCGGCAGGTGCGAACGACACTTTCATGATTTTGGGTCGAAATGTGCCAATTAGCAAGATCGTGTGTTGCTGACGGAGCTGCTACTTGTGTGGACGCAACACTCCAATACCGTACAAAGAATGTTGGCAGACTATTCCACATAACGTCCAAGCAATAAAGAAGCGAAGGTGATTGAGAACCACGCCCCGGCTAGTAAGCCTAGCCACCAAACTACGTGCTGCAGCCATCCGTGGTACTCAACCAAGCCTCAAACAGAACCATCGTAGAGATTCTGGAGAACCGATCACCGAAGCGGGATGGAAACGATGTGCTCTGCCGCCTCGTTCAAACGTGGTTCAAGAGTGAATAGAATCAGTTCATGTGTTCACTGATCTTACCCTTGACCTGATTGCAAGTACCCAAACAGTGATCAGCCACCACCACCCAGGAACTTTCGTCGAACGTTTCGAGCACGCTCCTCAGAAAAGGCATCTATCTTGACCGCTATGAATATTATCTCATACCCACCACGTACCGGGTCGCGCTCACTTTGCTGGACCCGAAGTCTCCACTGACCACATCGAATCACCCATTTTCCGTTTGTGTTCACTTGGGACGGGGGTGGGATTGTGTGTCGCTTTCTCTTCCTCGAAGTGTTTGTTCCTAATTCAAGCCCGGCTTGCGATGCACCTCGAGTCTGTGTCGAGGCTCGTGTGCGATCCGGTTCTGGTTGTAGCTGCGGGTTTTGGACGCTTTCTTGCCGGAAATGCTGCAAAGATACTGAGACGTTTGATACGTCTTCACTCATTGCATCGGAGTCTTCGCTAGTGTCATCAAGTCTACCTCGACCATGACTCATGTCTTGTCCTAATAGTGGTGACGCCCGGTCAATCTCGTATCGCGCACCATCTAACGAAATGTCGGTTGCACGCTCGAATCGAACTTTGATTCTATCTTGGCTCAGAGGGGTGTGTCCAGGGCTGGCACGAGCAGGACCTTCTCCTCCTTGTAGCAACATGGCACCTAACGGTGCGTTCGTAGGTAAATTCATCTTGTTCGCAACGACTTGGATGAGGCTTGATACCCTTGCTTTTGACAGGCCGTGGAAATCCAGTCGCATATCGTCGATATCCAGGACGGTCGTCTCGCCTCCAATTTCGACCACGAGTTCATTAAGGTCATCATCCACGAATGGCCGAGCATATTGGACCCAACCGCCTTTTACATCCTGTTCATTTTCCGCGTTGTCCGCCTTGTAGGAGATACCAGAAGGCTTGATATCCTCTATACGCAAACAAATTTCGCTCTGCTGTCGTTCCAGGTTGTAGCTTATATCGTGGGCAATAATTCTCTGCTCAAGACCTCTTAAGTGAAAGTATCGACAATCACGCAGCAATTCCTCTCGGTGAACCTCGTTCGTTATAGGCAGGGGATAACCCCTTAGCAAATGCAGCAACTGTGCAAATGTTGCGGCAGATCGACCGGGGACATATGGAGGTGTAATCGAAGGTGGACGTAGCAGTCCACGCCGATCCACGCCTGGAAAGACCTCTCCTGGCGTAGAAAAGAATACCGCAAAGCCGAGCGAGAAGAAGTTCGGTGAGTTGCCAGGATCTGAGAATAGGTCTTTTGGTATTTGGAAATGTTGCTCGCCTATTTGTATGAAGATCTCTGACTCGAAAAGTTGATCGATGAGGCGTGGTACTAGAACAGATCAATGGGATGTTCCATGGCAAGCTGTTCACACATACGACTGTAAAATTGAGCGTCTGCAAATAATTTTACAAAGTGACCACCGTCTCGAGGCTTGACATAATAGCCTAAAAGGGTGAGTTGTAGTTCTATATAAATGCAGACCGCCTTTACCTTGAAGATGACGTGCTACGTCGCGGAAGGTTTCTGGATCTCGGTCAATGTATAATGTTCTTACACCCCCAGATTGTTCATTTTGTCGAATCTGCTCCTCAAAGAATTGAGTGAAATAGGATGGGGCATCGGACGAAATTGAGGCGCCTGACAAACGAAACAATTCTGATCCAATTTGAACAGGAAACACTTTTTCTGGAGGAAGAATTGAAGGAGGATGCCCAGTAGGAGTTTTGCTACCTCTTCCAGTAACTCCAGGTGCTAGGCGCCCTGACGACCCATGCTGTCCTCGGGCCTGTGACGAAGTGTGACTGCCACCTCTCAATGCTCGAACTTGTCTCTGACCAGTCCCAGATCGACCAGGTTGCGTTTGTGCAGTGCTTGAGTGAGCTTCAGAAGACGAAGACTCTTCGTCATCAGCAGAACCTGGCCCGTTACCCGACATTCGTGCCAAGGCAACTCCTCGGATATTGTGAGAATAAAATTGCGAGCGACGCTTTTGCTGAATCTCACAGCCTTGTTTGCTAAAAGAAGTTTCGACCTCCGTTTCAGCGCAGACTTAGGAGGAGCGTGACCATTCTTCTTACCCTCTGATGAGCGGACTGTCGAAGCTACACTCTTCCCACTTACCAGCACTCTACTAGCCTGCGATTAGTCTTCGGGGTTCTGTTCAGGTGGGCGTAGTGCGAAAAGAACACCAAAGCTTTCAAATTCTTTGTTGGCTTCGTCCAGCAGCTCATCCGCAGGCTTGTACGTCGGATGTAATGCAAAGTCAAGATGTGGAGCAAGAGTTGCCTGCCATGGCTGTGAGTCCAAATTGTCAAGATTCAAGTCAGATACGATCTTTGCACTAATAGATTGTTTGCCTAAGGAGGACAACCGACTAGTGATGGTGTTCTGATCGTGGGTATAGTCCCACTACTTGAAATGGCGGCAAACCCGTGTAATGCAGTTTTTGGGAAGGATTTAGCTTCACAAGCAGTGTCTGTGTCCAGGTTGCATCTTGCTGCTCGGTTAGGCGTTTCAACTTTGGTCAGACTTGGAAGTTGCGCGTCCAATATTGGGATGTGCCGGCGCCAGGACTAGTCAGATTTCCTTGGTCGTAAATGTATGCATATGACGAGTTTGTCATTACTAAGTCAATATACTGAGCAGGGTCGTCTTTGTTTGTAAGCTTCAATCTCTTGTCTACGATCGAATCCTGCTTGTCGACTGTGGTAAATCCGTGCTTACTACTAGCTCAATCTGGACAAGCGTGGAGTAAGACTCGCGAGGTACTGGGTTGTGAAAATAGGTGGTCATGGGTTGCCCAAGGTTTGGATGGCGTCGCTTAATAAGCACTGACTCAGTTGTGACTGAATGTCGCGTGATACAAGGACTGTCAAGTAGGCGCACTAACGGTGGCAGGACCGAAGCAACGTGCTGCAGTGCGATCATCAATGACAGTGGGCATATTCAGATTGACACAAGATCGCGCACTATCCTTTCATATACTCGCAGATGGCCATCATCTATATGAACGTACATATTAAAGCGTGCTCGATCATGCTCGATCCTGCGTGCATGCTGCTTGAATAAAAGTGCTAACGTTCTCTTGGCCATAGAAACAGCAAGTACTCAGGACAAAACTTGAAGTCAGCCTTTAGTCTTGGTGTTCCCAGACACTAGATCAAGTGTGACACGAGCTAAGGTTCGGGGTAGTACTTATTTGAGATGCTTGGCCTTCCGGTGCACGGCTCTCTTTACCCTCTCGTCGCTTGGCTAGAGCCGATCTCAAGCCGAGATCCATTTTTCGTTCAGCTTAGATTAATTAGGCCGTCCATAGCACTGAATCCACGATATCAATTGTCCCGACCCCTCCATTAGGTATTTAAAGATTGCTCTTGAAGCTCCCCTCAACGGCTTCGATCTTGGCGATAGATCTTTTATATGCTTCTCGCTTGTATAGGTTGGAAACATAATCCCAAATCCGGGGACAATCTTCCTTGGTCAATCCCGAACGTCCCTTTCCAGCTTCCAATGGAAAGGACATGAGAATATCGGCAGCGCTCAGGTCCTTGCCGCACAAATACTCCCCTCCTGAAGTCGCCAGCTGTGACTCGATCCACTTGAAGTGTGTTTCGAAGTTCGGCTTGAGGAAGATAGAGGTAACTTTGTCCGCCACGCCATTCACAATTGGCCTAATGAAGAACGGTACCGAAGACTGTTTGATTCCTTGCATCAATAAGGTGATCAAGTTCAGGGGCATCAAAGAGCCTTCCGCGTAGTGCATGAAGGTTCTATATCGAATCCAGGCATCAGTCTCCTCCGCAACCTCGCCATCCTTGCCTTCAGGATATCGTGCCGGGACTAGCCATTTACCGTAGTGGTCGCAAAGATACTCGATAATAGTCGCAGATTCGATAAGGACTAGAGGATCTCGTCCATCTTTCCGGTCGATTGTCACCACAGGCGACTTGCCTAGAGGATGTATAGTTTTGAGTCTGGGATCCGCTCGCTTATCTGATCCTCTCTTGTATGTTTCCAAGGAGTATGGAATCTCCAGCTCTTCGAGCAACCAGAGTATCCTGTGCGCTCGGGACACCTCTAGCCTGTGTTTGATTAGCTTTCAGATAAGTATGAGGCCATCACCAGGCTCACCAATGCAAGGTTATTTTAGGTATCGTATCTTCGGTGGCCATCACAGCGACTGTATCGAGATTATCCTTCGTCGGATGACTACAGCAGAATAACGAACGCGTGATTTGCTCTCACTTTGTTGAATAAAAGTCAGGGTATAGTATAGCATGCATATAAAAACTAAGCCATGTGGTTATCGCTTGAAACGTGCCTCGGCTGACGTAACTATGACCCGAGTCCTACCTCGCAAATGCCAGCACAAGGACTCAAAGACAGGGCAACGATCACCCTAGAGGCGAAGAATTAGGAGAGCATGACAGCTACTTGAGTTTCTCACAGTGCTCGTCGGTGCAACGAAACGTGGATGCGAGGTGATCTGCGTGCGAACAGCGCCAAGCGGCTCCTGACAGCATGAACTGGTGTAGCTGTGCGAGACTACTTTCGAAACACGATCAAGAGTTGACGACTCATTGTTTGCGACTCTTCAAATCGAGCCTGCGCCACATGCCCAAATGTTCGATGCCTTCCTCGTACCACCTGCCCATATTCGGATCAGTAATAAAGCCAAGTTTTGCGTACAGACTTTCTACTTGGACTTGTGCATGAGTTAGAACGAGTCCTTTCCAGCCTTGGTTTATCAATGCAGGGTTGGCAGACAAGTAATCGAATGCCTCATCCAGCAGTTTCGGAAACAGACCTTGTCCACGAGCTTCTGCTACAGTAGCGACCCTAGTGAGCTTGATGAAGGGCTCGTCATTCACGTTGCCATGGTCGTTTGGATGTGGCGGATGAGGAGGCGGAACGATTCTCAATGTCGAGACAGGAACCTGTTGATCTTCATTCTCCTTGATTGACTGATAAGCCACCCATGACCATGACCTCGGATCATCCTCATCTAACTCAGGCTCAATCGCGCATTTTTGTTCATCGCAAAATACACGAATTCGAATATCCATTGCGTCTAGGAACACCTGAGGTGCAGCTTTCGGCCTAGGATTAGCTGGAAATCCATTAGGCGCAACGACGTCTCCAGGTGGACTCAACACCTCATCCTGAAAACCCTCGGACTGGAGAGTGGCATGATAGTATCGCAGGTAGTACCACTAAAAGCGTCTCTGGTAATTAGGGAAGGTGGTGCAGATTTACTCGTATCGTAAGAGTCGCTGTTGCCTGAGGCAGACAGAATTTCCCGAGAATCACAACCATGCACAGCGAGAATCAGTAACTGCATGTCTACCAGGCCTACCTACGTGTCTGCATAAGCTCTTACAGCTCTATGGCGTTGTACTATGATACAGCTGCAGTCTTGTCCTCTGCACAAGGACAAGGTTCGCTGAAATCCAGCATATATGGCGATGCAGCAAAGAAGTCGAGACCAACACAAATTTATGCTCTGATCTCACAGACTGCGAAACGCGATGTGCTGCTAAAGGAGGTCATTGAAAATGCTGAGCTGCTCAAACATGAACCGAGGGTATGTCTCTATTTCTGCCATCAGCGTTCCAAAGTCATGGCTGACTGACCCAGTAACTCGTATCTGGTTTACAGTTAACCCCATTACTTGCCCTTCTCCTCTGCCACGACCACTTCTTCGTGAAGTCAGGAATAGCCGCACCATTGAAGCACCCACTACGACAAGCCATCGAGAGAAACAAAAGTCGACTCTTGTCAGAACTTGCACGAGCACGATTAAAGAGAAAATGCGCCTCTTTGGACGCTCTCAAACTGCAGCTGGATGCAGATCACAGACGACAGACGAGGCCTCATCCTCGATGGATGAGGACGAATATTCTGAGATTTGAGGATGGTTACCAGCCTCGCCAGATGTTCCCCAAGTGGAATCAACAGAACAGTTTGGACCAAGTTCTGGAGGCCACAGAGCTCTCGTATTGTCACGACAATCACGTTCCACACCTCTTCGCTTTCTCGCCGAATATTGAGTTAGTCAAAGCAGAAGCTTACACTCGAGGCCAGTACATATTGCAGGACAAAGCATCGTGCTTTCCAGCTTATCTACTGCTTGGTGGGCAGTCGAAAGAGGATATTGGGGATGTACTTGATGGATGTGCGGCACCCGGTAACAAGACAACTCACATAACTGCTATCCTTCAAGAGCTTGGTTCGGACGGCAAGGTATTCGCTTGTGAACGCGACGTTGCGCGATCGAAGACACTCATTTCCATGGTTTCGAAAGCTGGAGCCGCTAACCGAGTTCAAGTACTGGCGAAGCAAGACTTCTTCGCTCTCGATCCGACAGACCCTCGTTTCCAAGAAGTGACCCATCTACTGCTAGACCCTAGCTGCTCGGGAAGTGGCATCCTCAACAGAGAGGACATACCACAGCTAGCATTACCGAACGATCCACATGCAGCGACCAAAAGCAGCAAGAACGACACAGTAGACCAAATGGTGGGATCTAAAAAGCGCAAGCGGGCAGATGACGTTGCAAGGAGCCCAGAGCCAATTCCAGCACCAATGGAAGAAGAAAATCCCGTTCAAGCCACAACCGAACGCTTACAGAAGTTGTCGAATCTGCAAACACGAATCGTTGAGCATGCCATGGCGTTTCCTGCCGCAACTAGAATTACGTATTCCACGTGCTCGATTCACGAGCAAGAGAACGAAGTAGTTGTCTCACGATTACTGGCGTCGCGTGTTGCCCAGGATCGAGGCTGGAGATTGTTACCTCGAGCGCAGCAAGTACAGGGTATGAAGGATTGGAAGCACAGAGGCTGTAACAGCGGTAGTGATAGCGAGAACACATTGACAGGAGATGACCTGGACTCGTGTATACGTTGTCTTCCCGATGACAGTGAGCGCACCATGGGTTTCTTTGTCTGTGCCTTCGTGAGAGACGACAACGTCCAGCATCAAGAGCGAGATGCCTCCCCGTTAGCTGCTCGCAACGGTCTACGGAATGATGACGAAGACAACGACGAAGCTTGGGAGGGTTTTGAGTAGTATAGCTCGCACGTGCAGCAGGAAGTACATGACATGAGAACATAGAGCTATCTGCCGCAACACGACATGCATTGCTGCGGCTGATCTAAGCGAAGAGGGCGCTTTTACCCAAAGTTTCGGGTTTTGATTTAGCATCTAGGTGAACACAAGATCTGACTATCACTTTTGGCAACATGATATTGTCCACTTCGCATGACCAAGATACGCTGTCAACACATAGCACAAGCAGCCACGACAATCCTCCAGTCTAAAAGTCCATCCGCAGTATACGAAACACCTTGCCTGTTCCTTTCCACTGCGCGTCCTTCTCGTCTCCCTCCTTGTGACTCGCCAGAATCCTCGTCTATCTTCGAGAAACCACTCCGACCTGGAGTAAGTGCGGCCTTCAACTTAGAAACGCCCGACCGAGTGGTCGTCCTCGTGACAAAGCTAGTAGCACAACTACCACGGCTTTCCCTCCTCCACGCCTCCTCGTCATGATCCTCAGTAAATCTGCCACATATTGAGCACCACCCAGGAAGCGACGATCGCACAGACGATTTCACATTGTTCCACCGCGACAGCCACCTGATTTTCCTTGCTTGCCGACGCTGGATTTTGTGATAGGATTCCGCGCGACATTTCGAACATGTTTCGCGCGATGTTCTTGATTGCGGGTCTGGTATTGAGCAGCTTTCTGCGAGGGTACTGGAGAAGGCAAAGCCTGGGTCAGGAGCGTACTTCCAGCAGGTATGCCACTGGTCTTGAGGATTAATCTCGTGTTCTGAGCTGAGACTTGGTGTGGATGCGTTGGTGATGTTTTCGTAGTGCTGAGATAAAGCCATGATGAAATTGTGATAGTGCGGTTTGGTATGTCGAAGTGAAAGTGATGCCGACTCTCAAATCGTAGCTCTGCATAGTTTCGTGATACATATAGGATCTCTTGAGGGGACCTGCCGTGCAATAGGCATTATGATCTCGAGCTGTTCATGGCTGGTGCAGATCATCATGGTCCTCATCTTCTGATGTGGTGCTAACAGTATCTGATACGCTCTCCAAAGTGTGATGCTACCAGCAGAGTGGTGCAGTTGTGGATTAGCACGAATAGTACTGCTCGAGGCTGGTGGCATCCATCTATGATTGGCTCAGACAGTCGAGGTTGGCAAGTAGTGGATCCATCGAATGTGCTCGTTTGTGCCAGGATCCACGTTCTCGAGTAGATGATTTGTCCGGGCTTACACGAGCTCTGTAAAACGTAGCGACAATCAGTACGAGCGTATTGAAGAAGCTGAAGCTGAGGGACAACCGTCGTTCGTGGAAACAAGCAACTTAGCATGCGCGAGCTGACCACAACGTGATTTAGATTAAGCTCGGGATGTTGCATTTGATGGCTAGGCACGTAGCGACGCAGCTTTGTCACTTCAGCCATACTTGCTGAAAGATACCACCCATTGGTTTCTCCCCTCGCATTTCTTCCATGTATTTCTCGCTGACGTTAGTAACCATGGCCGACCACCGCCCGAACCTCGTCTGAGCCCAATCGACCATAAAGTGATGTGTTCTGAGAAACTCCGGTATTTGTTTACGAGAAGGATCTGAGCCTCTAAAGCGACTTTCGTACACAGAAGGACCAATTGACAAAGTCTCGAGTCGTGGCATGCTACCACCAACAACATTACCAAATGTCCAATCGAGAAATTTTGTAGCGTGCTCCCTGATAGTGTAATCACCCATCTGAAGGAGAGTGTTAGATTCAGGGAAGTTGCGGATATGCATGGTCTGCAGATTGAGTAACTTTGGCAGGGGTGATTCGCGAATCCTTATCATCTCGTCGTTCCACGGGAACCCAACACTCAGCTCGTTGAGATTCGAACACAAGCGACAAATGTCGTCCGTGCCTTCCTCCCATAGTTGCTGAGTGTAGCCACCCAGGCCGAACGGTCGGCTGGTGTCGATCCTCAGCGATTCACGAGGCTGAATACGTGTCTCGAGAACAAGTTGCTTCAGTGTCTTGCTATGATTGGTCGCAATATCTGCTAAACGAAGGGACATAGAGCCGTTCTCAAACAACAGCGAAAGCATCTGTAGCCCATGGAAGGAGTTCAGGAACTGAACAATTGCCTCCTTGATTGCTGCAGTAGATATTTCGTGACGGAAGAGAAAACGACGAAGTTGTGGTATTGGTTTGGGGTCTGGCGCAGCTTCAGACTTGGCGAAGGTGAAGATAGTAGTCATAGCCATAAAAAATTCGGAACTGCTTACACACGATTCCACAACAAGCTCTTCCAGATTTGTCAGGTAAAGTGCACTCTCAACGTCCTGGGGCACAAGCGGTCCAAGATCGAGACCTACCAGACCAAGCTTCTTGAGATTTCTAATCTGCGCCAGACTCACCACAGTATGGAAAGCATGCAGAGGCTGTGGAACAACATCATAGATCGCTGTTCGCAAGCGATGGTATCGCTCGACCAATGCCTTCTCTTCTCCTATGTTCAGGGCTTTCAACGTGTCTTTGCTGGCATATACCAGTTCTCCCAAAGTTTTACCATCCTCAATAGATCTGCATTCTAGTGATTCCAGGGACGAAGGCAACGTTGTGGTCGGGAGAATCGTCGTGGCCATGGCGTAATAGGAGAGATTTCGGAGACTTCGCCCATGTTTGGCGTTGAGGAGTGTCACCAACCGGGACGATATAGGGCTCCTATGCATGAAACTACAATTCGTTAGCAGTATCCAGGTTCAGCACAATTCTCACTCACGAGAAGGACTTGAGCTGACTTTGTGGGATTTCTTCCACGACCTGCATTGCATAGGTTTCTGGACACCCTGCATCCGATCTTCGTCGCCTCGAGTATTGCGGCTGCGTATGGTCCATCACGCCATCTCTAATTGTGACCTCTTGTATAGCCTTTAGCACATGCTTTCTGAGTCTGAGGTAGCCCCCTGTGCTCCATGCCGAGCTCTTCTCTGCTGGTATCTGGAGGTCTACCACTTTATACAGTCTCTTCAGAGCTATATCCTCCAACCACTTAGAAGTCTTGGAAATGTTATAGAGGTCACGCTTCTGGTCCAGCTTGAGCTCGTCAGTACCTGCATCTCAGCTTGCAAGCAATTACCTACATAGCTGATGACAGCCAATTTCAATTCCGCCGGGAGCTTGAAGAAGTAACAGTTTGCAGGAATCATTGCTGCGTTGAAGAAGTCGAAGCCACATGGTTGAGATGACATTGAACTGGACAGTCGAGGTAGGCAGGGCTAATGTGGTGATGTTTTGGTGGACCTATTGATTAAAGCGCACGGACAACACTGCAGTCAAAGGTAAGGGCAGGGAGCTTGAGGAATAAAAAGAATTGTGAGAATGGATCATGAGATGGCCGTTCGAGCAGGGCGGTGAGCAATATGACTAGTTAGCAGAAGGAACCACCACGGTGAATTGAGGACACAGCTTATCCAATCCGAAACCGATTGGAGGCTTCATATCGTAACGGTCCTCATTGTCCTCAAAAGGGGCTTGCTCGTGCAACGGGAACCGCATCGCGTGATGAGGTATTCTTGAGCAATCTGGCTGTTTGGCAGAGGAACGTGCAGACAATTCGCATACGCGCAGATGAGTCGCGACAATCTCCTCTGGGTGACGGCATCGAGAAGTGGAGAAACGTTATCTCGCAAGAAGTCCGCTAGCATCGCCAACGCGTGTTTTAAGCTTTCAGGCCAGCATAAACCCGGGAGAGAGCCTAAAGATAAGGACTTTGCTTGCTGGTTCAGCTACCAACATTTTCATCTTGCAGTACCACACATACTGTGTGGGTCCGCGTAAGTGATGATTGGGACGGGACCGTCTTCACGGCTGGAATCATGCAATCCTAGTTCCAGATAGAGCACACTTGCGTGGCATAGGGCAAATGTTCTCTACTTGGTGGGAGAGTATATCACTCAGATTCGATTTCGCAAATTGAGAATTGTGCAGGGTCATGTTCTGGTTATTAAAGAAGCAGGTTGGTCCCACTGGGATAGTCCTGAATGATGTGACTCACGGTCAGGGCACTGGGCGATCAAACATTATCTTTCAAGGCCATTCTCTTTCACCGGTCCAGCTTGAAGTTGCAGCTTCCTTTTGGCTAGCGCGTTGAGTCTCTTGCCAAGACAACTACTCTATTGGCTAGCTTGTCCTGCCGTAGTGTGCTGCAAGCTGTACTTTATTCAAATTGTTATGTACAGACTTAGATAGCACAGCGCGACGTGTTTTTACTGTCGCATAGTAATACAGTGAAGCGCTATGGAGTAGAGAGGATACGGAAGTCATCAATTACGCTTCCTTTCGTGACCAAGTCAACCAGACGCAATAAAACTCCTAAGGTAGGAACACCCCCGAACTGATTGCAGCTGCGAGGCTCTATTGTTTTTGCTGCAAAATCCAAGCATTGGTCTTTTGACTTTCACTGCGAAACCTCCAGCGAAAGAATGTCACAGTTCAGACATGTCAAAAAAAAAAAAGGTCTACACAAGTGTACGCTGTGGACTTGCGATGGCCATTTAGCTCACTACAATGTTAGACGTAGGCCACACCTGGACACTAGACAAGACTGTTGCATTGCAACTGCAACGCTATATCTATGAACACACGTGCCTGATCGATCTCCAAGCTTGTTGGCAGAAGACGAACAGATACACACAGTGCTAATACAGATGCCTTGAGCTTTGCTACAACTGCGTCTCGGACCTTGCCTCGGATGCCATCTGTCAACACGGGAGAAGAGGACAAGCTCTAGGATATGTAGACTTGTGTTTGCTCCCCGTGCTTGTGCGAGTTTCTCAAGTTCTCGGAGTTCAACAGCTAAGGTCATCATCATCAGGTTCAGGTGCAAACGAGGTCGATTGACCAGTTTAGCTTTGCTGGTAGGACTATAGTATTTATTCAAACAGCAACTAACAATTCTCAGAGTCCCAGTCTAGAGGACAAAGTACCTGTGCATTCACGGACCGTGAAGTCAGGCCGCGATTGACTGTGGTGAAGCCTCATCGCGTTCAAATGGTAACCACGTGAAGGCACAACAAGATGGCCAAGAACACGCGCCAAGCCAAACCACGTCTGCTACTGATGGGACAACGAAGGTCAGTGATGAGTATCAGCAGGCTTAGTTAGACATACTGAACAGGAATACAGAAGTGGCAAGTCATCGATAACCAGTGTTGTGTTTCACAAGATGGAACCACAAGAGACACTTTTCCTAGAATCAACGACCAGAATACAGAAAGATATCATGAATTCTTTTATGGATTTCCAAGTCTGGGACTTCCCAGGTCAACTCGACTATTTCGATTCGACATTCGACACAACACAGATCTTTGCCGACATTGGTGCTTTGATATGGGTCATCGACGCCCAAGACGAGTATAGCGATTCACTTGCTCGACTCACCACGACTATCATAAACCTTCAGAACACGTTTCCTCATATCAATGTCGAGGTTTTTGTGCACAAGACTGACAGCCTGAACGAGGATTTTCGGTCAGACATCTTCCAAGATGTCGTGCAAAGGGTCGGTGATGACCTCAACGATGCTGGATATATCAATCCCAATGTGTCGTATCACCTAACCTCTATCTATGACTCGTCAATCTTCGAGGCTTTGAGCAGCGTCATTCAGAAACTGATTCCCGAACTTGACGTTCTGCAAAATCTACTGGATACTCTGATCAACAATTCAGGCATGACTAAAGCATATCTGTTCGACATTCTTAGCAAGATATATGTCGCTTCCGATACTCGGCCAGTCGACTCGGACATTTATGAGATCTGTGCGAACTATATCGACCTCACCGTCGATTTTACTGATCTCTACAATTATCCTCGAGACGACCCAAAAAGTCTGGGAGAGCAGATGGAGGAAGTCGAGTCTTCTATGACTTTCGAGGACGGTAAGATGGTCTACCTAAAGGAAATGAACAAGCATCTCTGCTTGGTGACTGTAATTCAGAACAAAGAGGCCAAGGACAAGAAGGGTTTGATCGATTACAATGTACACATATTCCAGGATGCCTTGAAGGCGGTGTTTGAGCGAGCTTGGGAGAAAACTGGAGGTGAAGTGACTGGCGAAGGACAATCTTCGGCTAGACCGGAGCAGAACTCTCTCGAGACGTAAGCTATACTGAGAGCATGTCACATCATCCATGTCTTTTAGTCCGGTATTGACACTTTACGAGTCAGAATCTTTGGCCCAAGCACATAATTGCTACACAGTAAACACTGGCAGGTAGAATTGTAAAATGCTTCACAGCCGTGCAGCGATCGAATGTTTGGGGCCTCAGGACCCCAAGAAGCTTGGAAGAAGCTTGAAATTTTGTGCCGTCTTAACCGTGTACCTTTCCCTCCTCGTCCATCGCTTCCCCAATTCGTGTCCGTTTTCAACTGCACCGAGGTCTTTCGCGCGCTCGACGAGATCATTTGGGTACTACTAGAAAGTATGGCTTGTGAATTGGAGTCAGCACGATGGACTCAAGCCTCTGTAAGTGGATAGATCGTCCAGATCCACTGACTTGCTTGCGTTCAATGAAATGATGATCATGGCATTGTGACCACGCTATCTGAGTGTCTTGAAGTATGCCCTTCTCCTTCTACCGCCGCTACCTCTGGTTATTTGCTTACAGGTCAATGAAATATGACCCTTGGAAAACCTCAATCGCCGAGCGCAGGGAGCTCGGACGAGACCCTTTGTGAACGAGATAGTGTCTCACAGAGGATGTCTGTCCTTGTATACAACGACGGCAGCGAAGACAAAACGAAAAAGCCATCAGGGCAAACATCTAAAGAAGAAAATACTGCCACACGCTTGCCGCAGCATGTGGATGAAAAGAGCTCAAAGCAGATACTCACCTTTCCCTTGAGCGATCCCGAACATCCAAACAACTGGTCAAAGGGCAAGAAGACACTCGTGCTAGCAGGTGGAATAGTGACTGTGCTTCACAGTACATTAGGCTCTAGCCTTCCAAGCAATGCCGTTCCTTACATCGCGCGGTCTTTTAATGTAACGAGCGAAGTCCAAATGATCTTACCGATATCTTGCTTTCTTATTGGATATTGCTTTGCGCCTACAGCATGCGGACCTCTGTCGGAACATTATGGCAGGAAACCAGTAATACTGGTTTCTTTTGTTGCCTTTATCCTCTTCACTATGGCATGTGCAGTGGCACCGACCTGGGCCAGCTTCCTCTTCTTTCGCTTTCTCGTTGGTTTGGCCGCTTCCGCGCCAATCGCCTGTGTAGGCGGAATCTTCGCAGACATCAACTCCGAGCCGAGAGCTCGTGGTCGTACCATGGCAATATTTATGGTGGCTACGACTCTCGGACCAATACTTGCACCACCACTTTCCGGATTCATCGCTGAGAATACGAGCTGGAGATGGGTTTTTGCAGTGGCGACGATGTTTGCGGCAGCCAGTCTACCTTTTGTCCTAATCATGCCTGAAACGTACGCACCTGTCCTTTTAAGCAAACGAGCTGCGCGAATGAGGAAAGACACTGGCAACGAGAACATCATCGCTTATTCGGACCTACAAAAGAAAAGCTTCAAATACGTGATGTCTGTGGTTATGACCAGACCCTTTCGAATGCTGTTTCAGGAGCTTATAGTGTCCACAACATGTCTGTACCTGAGCTTGGTCTACGGTGTTTTCTACTTGTATTTCGCGGCTTACCCAATCATATTTCTTGGACCAAACAGTGTGTACAAATACTCACCTGGCATCGCTGGCCTGACGTTCCTGCCAATTGGTATCGGAGCGTGCTTGGCAGGAGTTTTTTTCTTGTGTTGGGATGTCTTCCTTGCACGAGCCCAAGCACGCAGAGCTCCTTGGTCTCAGCGAGAAGAGTCGCGCCGACTGCCTCTAGCTCTAGTAGGCGGTCCCCTCTTTGCACTCTCGATGCTATGGCTCGGCTGGTCTTCAAAATCAGATGTATACTGGTTAGTTCCTGTCGCATCCGGAGTACCATTTGGGATGGGTTTCGTACTGATCTTCATGGCTATGTTAAACTACCTCAGTGATTCTTACATGACTTATGCAGCATCAGCTCAAGGCATGGCGTCGACTTGCAGGAGCTTGCTTGGGGTCCTGCTTCCGCTCGCAACTCATCGCATGTTCCACAGCCTTGGCATTGCATGGGCGTGCTCTACATTAGGGCTCCTATCACTAGGCCTCGGCGCAACACCCTGGCTATTTATGGTGTATGGTGAGAAGATACGAGCTAATAGCAAGTTTTGTCAAGAGCTGCAGGCCCTCCATACGAAAGAGCTTGAGGAGAAGGAGAAAATAATTGCATCAGCGTCTCATGGTGAACCGGTATAGATAGCATTCAATAAACTGTTTCGTTCTTACTCCGGAATTACTTGGTCCAAGCATACGCATTGTTACTCGAGTACAGCAGATTTTCGAGATTAAGTCCAAGACTCGAGGCTGCTGACGCAAAAGGCTTGCAAGATCGACCGTACTCTTAGCTCAACGCCAAGGCTGCGGACAATGTTTATCAATCCTCAAACTTTTCGTCCTTGTCTTCCTTCTTTCTTTTTTCCTCATCATCAGTAGAGGTGTTAACTACATGTTAATATCTTACCGGAGCTCCACTACGGTGGCTTGCTGAGGGTTATCATTCATCTTATGGGTTTCCTTCCGTTCCCGGCTTCGCAGACGAACGCTTTCTTCTTTTTCCCTTACACATATGGCTCTTGCGCAGACGGTTCGTGAGGTGCCGTGGAGGGGAAGCTACAAAATGTTCCGAGGACTTTCACACTTGATGAGAAGCAGAAAGAATCATACGCGATTATGGTTGGATCTGGCTCGCTGCTTGCGGCGCTGCGTGGGAAGGTCTTTCTGAGGAATTGTAGTTGTTGGTTATTGAGAAATTTACACCCAAACAGCAAAAACACCTCGACTGTGTCCAGCGTGAAGCAGTTGGACGCACAACGTATCGTTCACAGCTCATTCTTATGCAGGCAATGACAGCTTCTCCCTACGACCCTCGAAAGCAGCCTAAATTTTGCGTTGAAGCAGGTCTTGTAGCAAAAGGTAGGAGGAGGGCTAGGAAACGAGACACTACGATACTGTACCTAGCAAAATGCTTTCGCAATTGCTAGGCTAGAGCTCTTGTAGCTGCTAGTACCAGCAGCTAAGAACAAGTTATTGCCTTGGTATTACAAGGCTTTCTTACACGTTTCCGACACTGATTGACTATCTACGCCCTACTGACAATAGTGACCGACGATTGGAATCAGACAAGAGCTCGGCGTCCCTTATTTACACGCTTTCAATACACGCCTGTGCAACCAAATGCTGGAAAACATCGTGTGGGGCCAGATGCGAAAACCGAATATGGGGAGAAAGAAAAAAATAACAGAACAAAGTCTTGTTTAACATACTTGAGGAACAGTCACAAAGGTTTTGAACCATGACAATATGCTCAAGCTCGTTTCTATCCAACCGGTTGTCCCACAGGAAATGCGCCCTTGGAAAATTGACTTAGCGTGGATGTATGAACGCGCGCGCCAACAACGAATCCTAAGAGAAGCTACACAATACCAATTGATCCTGGGAATACTCTTACTAGGTATCTTCTTGCTGTGCCCGAAACCACACACTCGCTTTACTATTCTGGTATACGAGCAACAAGCGAAGGATGTCACGTGCTACCAATTGAAGAGGAGCAAAATGCAGATGCCTGGGACATGGGTGTTGACAGGCAGAGCAGTATCTGAGGTGCGAGATAGATAAGAGTTCAGTGAAACCCTGCCTGAATCCATGGACTCCTACGATACTCACCGAAACAGCAAACGGGCCATCTGTCCGACTTTGATCACTAATCACGTCCATACAACAGCCCCCGAATCACCAATATGGCATCAGACGCCTGTCCAGTCTACTCAGTCAGTCAGCCTCTCTCTCTACCTCACCCATCTCATCCCGTCCCACAACACAACCAACTAAAGAACTGACTCTCCCACCTGCAGCCGTTCTTCGCCGCCCTCGGCGCCGCAACCTCCATCACCCTAGCCAACATCGGCGCCTCCTATGGCACCGCCAAATCCGGCATCGGCATCATGGCCGCCGGCGTCCTCCGCCCTGACAACATGGTCAAATCCCTAACCCCCACAATCATGGCCGGCATCCTCTCCATCTACGGCCTCGTCGTCTCGATCCAAATCTCCGCCTCTATCGTCGCTCCCCTCCCCCTGGCTGAGAGTTTCGTGTATTTTGGTGCAGGGATCGCGGTTGGACTGTCGGCATTAGCGTCAGGGTTTTCGATTGGGATTGTGGGGGATGCGGGTGTGAGAGCGTTTGCGCAGCAGCCGAGATTGTTTGTGGCGATGGTGTTGATTTTGATATTTGCGGAGGTGTTGGGCTTGTACGGAATGATCGTGGCGTTATTGATGATTAGTAGGACCAGCCAGATGCAGGGGCTGTGTTGATGGGAGTGTTTGTCTTGTCTTGGAAGGAGAAGAGCAAAAGAGTAGATGTGAGTACAGAGGAGAGATGTAGTGCTCGTCGTTGGTTATCGTGGCCTGGTCATCGTTGAGCTCAGCCCAAGAAAAGTCAACCGTCGAGAATTCATTCAATGGTTTTCCAAAGCCTGGCTATAGGATGTTGTGGCAAGAAACACTCTGATACTATGTTTCTACTCATGTCAAGATCTGTAATAATTCTTGCTTCCAAACAAGACATCATCCTTTGAGGTTGCGTGAGCTTGGTATACACCTTAATTGCTGCAGCCGGTCGCCCAGTGGGCCTACTAGTCAAGATCAAGCCGTCAATCGTTGATCTTCGGCACGTTCCGACCCGGTGCATTTTACTCTCCAACATCTGAAGTGGAAGCTGACACGGACGCGATAGATACTATCTGTCTTGACTTTCGACCATTGCTCTTCCTTGAAACGACTGAGTTCCTCCTAGGGAATCTTGAAGACAGTGGTGAAGTAACTGCTTTGCCTGAAATGCCAGTCGTTCTTATTCTCACACTTCCGTTGTTCTTCAAGGATGTGTCGTCTCGTTTTCGTTTGGGTCCAGCTTTGGTGAGCGTGAAAGTGGTTTCTAGCACTCTTCGTCTTGTATAATCACCTTGTCCACCTCGTTGGAGCAATTCTTTGACTTTCTTAAGCCTCGCCATTTCCCAAACGTCGTCTTCGTAAACTTGAAAGGTGCGTGCCTCACTTTCCAGCTGCACATTGTTGTTTACCAGGAACCGCACGGTCTCCACCTTAAGCCCTTCAACAGCTTTCCCCAAAAGTAGAGATCCAAGCGTCTGATTCTCGTAGTCCTCGCAGACAGAATCCAGGCCAACTGTCATGGCAAGCCACGCCCATTTGTCAAGTCTCGTGCCATAATGCGGCATGAGCATCTGCTGTAGCTCACGTTTCGAGTCGACCAGATCCTGAGAGTAGTGCATTATGAGCTTCAAAATTGGCACTCTAGCCTCTGATCGACGATCAAGCTCGTCACAAATCACTAGTCCACGCATCCTCATGTCTTGAGCTGTGTCCGTGTGGGGCAGCAGAAGCTTTCGATTGTCCAGAAAAAGTTTAAGCATCTCCAAGTTGCCATGCTCTGTTAGAGCGAGCAAGGGTTGTGAAGCTGAAAAACTGCCTTCTGTGCCCCTCTCATGCCTAAAATAATGTTGTGACCTGAGGGCGCTGATGGCAATCTCGAGAAAGCTCTGTTGATTGTTCTGGCCTACCTGTATCAAAAACCCTTTCATCTCGGCGATGTTACGCCAGGTATCAGTCCAGTCAAAGAGTACACGCAGCATTCCTCCACACATCGCCTCATCGTTGTTTTGGTAGGTCTTGGTGTTCATAATGAGTTGCATGGCGTCAACATAAGAGCAGTTACCACTATTGAATTTCCATTGCCATTTGAGCAGTCTCTTAAGCACTTCACGATAGCCAAGGCGTATGGCTTCCAGGAGTGGATTCGATACGGCCGGCATGTGTGTAAGCTTTGACAATACTTCTTCATGTTCTCTTGCTTCGATGTAAAGCTCGTCAATTATAGACGGCCTGTCTTGGCGCGCAGCAACCACAGAGCAGTCGCAGAGAATGCTAGCAACCATGTCCTGTGAAACGCTATCGTCAGCCGTGTACTCCTCCAGTAGATCCTGTAATGCTGGCACATCCCCTCGATGGCAAGCTACAAGCAGCCGCCAATATCGCTCATCTCTGTACCACAATTGGTTGAAGTGGTCACTCGATCCACCAAGAGAGAACACAAGCGACCCAAAAACCGAAAACACGGCGTTCATCATATCGTGGTCATTGCAGGAAGAGGTCGAGGACGAGCCGACAACTTGACCAAAGCATACTTGCTGCGGTCTGTAGCACAGACAGGTATTCAGAATGGTGTTGGCATCGTGAGGGTCGTACCCCAGAGTCCGGAGGATTGCCTTGCGAATGGCTCTGTGTCCCTTCTTGCGAGGTTGACTACGCTTGTTAAGAAAACCTTGGAGCTGTAGATAGCCGATGTGACGAGGAATCCTTTTGTAGGCGACGCTGTCTTCGAGATCTTTGATTTGCAAGATGAATAGGGAACAGAGGACTTCGTCGTTAAATCAGCGGTTGACCTGACGGAGCTGAAGACATGCGTGGAGGTCCGAGTCAAGCAGATACTGTTGTATTATGTTCGACAATACATTATCTGAGAGGGTGGAAGCATTACCCCCGCGTGCGTTGGCTGACCCAGTGATGGAAGTGTTTGCCGTTCGCAGGAATGGAGTAGGCTTCGGCGATGCCATAGGCGAGGTATAGCTAAGACTGGCTATGGGTAGGTGGTATTGTCGTAAAGAATTCAAAATTGCTATAGAGTATCTATAAAATTAGTTTAACAATGAACGAGTAGGTAGGAAGCATGATAGTGACACTGGTGAAGATCACTTGCGATCGTGTTGGTTTCGTGTTGACCTGCACATCAATTTGGCATGTACAGACAGGTTGAATCAGGCTGCACCTTCCACAGAAGAGAGGGCGCGAGTGTGACCAATGACTTGAGAAGGGTATAGAAGCTCGTGCAGTGAGACATACGCGCAATGGAACAATGGACTACAAGGCTCTTTGCAAGGCAGATACTAGTAGGGAGTGGTTGGTTGCCTAGCCACGAGAAGAGCCAAACATCGCTCAAGGATAGTGCGTCTCTGGTTCGCTTCTGAGGGAGCGATATCAGTCATTGTTCCTGAGCAAACATTGGTCCACCACGACTGTCTGAAAGTACCTCCTCTTCGCCCAAGTTGGCTTGGCTTGGCGCGTCGCGCTCCATAGACCGGTCAATAAACTGAGTGGCTAGAGCCTCCACCCTCTTCAGTCCAAGCCGCTGTGATGGAACTTTATCATGCGGATGAAGCTGGCGTCGCTCTTCTATGAGTGGCAGCATGGCATAAGTTATCGCATGGACTCGTTCTAGGCGGAAGTCGAAGGTCGAGGTAGATGGCTACAATACTTGAAGGGCGACTTAATTACCACTAACCTGCTTTCCCAGGCCTGACTCCTGTCTGTAGAGGTCCTCCATACGTCGTCTGACAGCAACAGCCTGGTGATCCTCCGAGAATTCGACGTCCTGCCAGCTCAAGCAATGATCTTTCTTCACATCTTGCTTCAGCACCAGCCCATGAGCAAGACCTATCGGTAGACCCTCAATCTCAAGCGACCGCTGCGCTGGGAAAAGCTTGCCATAGACCATGAACCCACCTTCACCGTCGAGCTTTTCACCTGCTTTCAGATCACGCTTCGCAGTAGCTACCACATCCGCTTTCCACGTTTTGGTTTGTCCAGTAGGCTCTCCACGACACATGATGTTTGCGACGGAAACTCCAAGCTCGAGGCCAATCAAGTGGAAGGGTTTGTATTGGACAGCATACCGCCCTGAAGAATCTGTCTTCAAGCCATATTGCGCAAAGCATTCTCTTTGATATTCTCCTGGCGCCTCAATGACGACATACACGCCCCACCGAATATCGTTGTAGACATCTCGACCGTCAAGCTCAAGGCAAGAGACCACTTCGACCATTCCTTTCTTTTCTAGTTGTCCGCCATCCTTCCTTGGTCGTAGAACTGATGGTAAATCATGCGTGTCACATGGTGGAAACTTCAACCCGTCGGTGGGTGGGTCTAAATCACACGCATTCGCGACAGCTGCCATCTCTAATGCACTTTTGGTACCATCAAGGAACGAGTTGAACATCTGCTTGTTGAAGTCCCCTGTCGCAAGCTGCTCTTTAGTGAAGCCGTAATAGTCCCAAACGGTGGCAGGGGTACTATAATGAAATTGGGGCAGATGTTTAGTACCCTTACCAGCACACACCACCGTAAAACCAGCCGTTCTGGCCCAATCAACCAGCTCGGAGATCAAGGCAGGTTGGTCGCCATATGCCATACTGTATATAATACCAGCTTCGGCTGCTTTGCGAGCTAAGTATGGTCCAGCAAGGACATCTGCTTCCACATTGACCATGACGATATGCTTTTTATGCTCGCAACATAAAAGGGCATGGCGTACACCAGCAGCTGGATTACCCGTAACTTCCAGTACAACGTCGATACCTGGCGTAGCAATCATAGCAGCACTGTCGGTCGTGATTGCTGTTTTGCCCTGCTTGATGCCTTCCTCGATGCTTAGTGAAAGTGTGTTATCACATTTGCTTTCAGGAAACCCTGTACGCGTCAATGCAGCTGATGCCCGCTTTGGGTCAAGATCTGCAATAGCAGCGAGGCGCATACCGGCCGTGCCATGGCATTGCGACACGAACATACTGCCAAATTTCCCAGCACCAATGAGTCCAATCTGTATGGACTTCCCTTGCGCCTCCAGAGCGGCCAGCTTAGTTGACAACGAACTCATTTTGACGAGCGAAGTAATGGTATGATATTTGCGAAAACCGGGCGCCTTATCTCAAGGCATGTATTGATTTGGACTTTTGAGGACTGACTGGTGTGAGCCACAGTACTTGCTCACTCTTCGAGAGGACATCTCTTGTGCGGAGACGCTCCTCCCCACTGACTCAAATTGAGTTTGCTGAATGGAGCGGTTGTGCTCGGAGCATTTCCGGTACTCACAAAGTCGTGATTAGATGAACAGGCAAGAAGGAGTGTATTGATTGAGCCTCATGCAATCAAGCCTGCCAGCCTCGTACAACTTCGAAGAGAGTATCCTCCGAACCAACATTGCCTGGAAACACGATGTAAGGTATACCAGCCCATTTGCTTGTGTCCTCGAAGCATTCCCATAGAGGTACACCAGGAGCAGCTTGACCTATAACAGTAGCGCGCCTCATCTTAAGACCTTTTGTGGCCATGTCGCTCGATGTTATCCCACCTTTTGCAATCACATATCGTGGCCTTGTCTTCAGTTCTTGCAAAAACCGGACTAAGTTTCGAGCAATCACTCCACCAATATTGAGACTCTCACGTTCATCCTTGCCAGTAATCAATTTTCGAGAGGTCATCACAAGGACATCTTGACCCTTTTGAATTTCACCTTCAGCTTGATGGATAGCTTGGGAGACGGCACTGTTGGCAGAAGTTTCTGACTCGAGCAATTCGTCGACCTGGAGCTCGATCGTGGTCAATTTATCTCCAGCTTTCTCACGTAATGCTTTCAGTTGTGCGGTTGTTTTTGGCACATATGATCCGGCGATAATCAGTCCACCAACATTCTTGTCAAGATGTAGTGCATCAGCTGACTTGGGTGGTATCGGCTTGATGCCTAATCGTGCTGACACAAGAGCCGCTCCAGATCTGTAGAGAAACCTCCGTCCTCGGCTTGCTGCTTCCAAAATACCGAGTACGACCACATCCATGTCCTCCTCCGCTGCAGCGTTAACAACAACCACGGAGCCCTTTGAGAAGGACAGCAACTGTTTACAGATTTCATCGGGCCCTCCAGATCGAATATCTGTGAGCGACAAAGCTTTGACGTTGTTTGCATTGATAGAACCCCGAGATTTCTCCACAACCCAATCACGTAAATTTGAACTCTTATAGCCGAAGCTCGCGTCCTGCGCGAATGGAGTCTGTCCCGCTGGTACTAGCTTATCACCCTCCGCGACATAGTGAACATCGTCAATGGTATATCGACCTCCTTGCAAGAAGAACGGAGCCAAGATCCAGCAGTCTGCCTTGCGATCCAGGGCAGACTCTGAGACTTCTGCCTCTAGCGGAAAATGTCCTCTCAAGGTTGAATCGGAACGAAGGACAACCTCAAAGTCTGTGCCAGTGGCTTTTGACGCAGCAAGAAGATTGTTACATATCTCCGCGATGAGAGATTTTGCTTCTGGAGGATGAAGCGCGCGGGAATTGGTCAAGATGAAGAAACCGCGAGTTTTGGTTGTCAAATCAGAGGTGAATGTTGAGCTCAGTAGAGACACGTCCCACTGCGTGAGCACATTGATATCGTGACATGTCTGTGTACCTGTTGGATCATCGTCAAGGACGACCAAGAGCGGGATTGAGTCACCAGTATTGTTGATCTTGGTTCTGATAAGTGATCTAAGATCTCCACCATATACAGCAGGTAGACTAGATAGTGCATCGGAAAGTGAGCGTGGTTGAGCGTCAGAACTCATTTTAGTTCAAGTGATAGCAATGTCGAAGCTACAACGATACGTTGAATACAGAAAAGGTTCGAGGGAGCCTTGAGCATAAATACTTTGGACGGCTGAAGACCACGATGTCGAAACTAGACTGAACAGCACCAGGCCGAAACTTTCGTTCAACTGAAACTCCAACTGTTCTCTGGAGTCCCAAGCGACAGTCGGTGAACATCGGCCAAACACCGATATCATGCCAGCAGTCTGCAGGAACACCGTCAACATGCTCTTGAGGCTTGACCACAATGGAGATACAAAGGCCGCCGATTTTGCGTGATCTACTCGTACTGCGCTTGGTCGAACTTCTCCTTAGGCCAGAACCGTGCTCGAATCTCATTGCCATTGAATACTCGTCCTTCGAGAGCATTCACAGCTCGAAGGGCGGACAGAGGCTGTGTGAAGTAAATGAAGACCATTGCGCCCAACTCATTGCTAGTATTCGAGTGAATGTAGACTCGCTCGACATTGCCATACTTGTCACCACATTCTTCGCCAATCTCTTGCATAATATTACCATCTCCTCTCATCATCTCTGCCTGAATATCCATACCCTGAAGCATTCCTTCAAGGCGTACGATTTCTGACATAGCACCGAATTTGCCCTCTTCTGCTTCCTTGCCAAGTCGCGATTTAGTGCCGCCCATGATGCGACCAGTTTGAACTGGAGTGACATAGCCCCCACCTTCGGCATCTGATTTCTTTTTCCTCTTGTCGACCTTTGCATAGAGAGCTGATGTGACTCCAGTGCCTTCTTTACCTAGGCCTTGTCCTTTAGACCAACCATATTTGGCCATGAGTCGCTCAGCAAACTTAGCCTGACCTGGTTTGAGAGACTTGGGGGCATGAGACTGAGCTTCTTGTGGCTCTTCATCTACATCCATGGCTTGTAACTCAGCCTCATTTGCAGGAAGCTCAGGATCGGGCGAAGGGAGGTTGTAGCGTACGGGTGCCCTAGCTATTTGTCCAGGGAGCGGCAAAGGGACTGTTGCTGGAGGCGGTAGTTGGATATTCTTGCCCGTCATCTGCATACGGCGTGCCCACGCATCTTCGCCCCTCGTGTCACCAGGCACCTTGCCGGCAGCAGGCGGTTCGTGTTCGGTTTCTTCGGGTGGAGGAGGCGGAGGAGGAGGCTCTGTGAATGATGCAGGAGGCGCGAATGACATTGAAGGTGGGGGTACAAATTGTCCTGCCAAGTTAATATAATGAACTGATTGCTTGGTGAACTGCTTACTGTTTTTGGCTTCGTTAATGCAGGTATCACTGTCGGAGTCGTGGTCGCTCGACTTCTTACGCTGCATTCGATGACGATAAAGGAGATCTTTCCATTCTCTGACCTCACGAATTTTCTCGTCACTATGTTTGTACTCTTCATATGTGTTTGGTCTCGAAGGATCGTAGATGTCGTCCCAATCGTGCTGAATATGCTGTGAGGAGTCTTTATTCTTCTTCCGCTTTTTACGTCCTCCACGTTGGCGAGTGCTCGCATAGTACGCATTGATATCCTCGTCATCGGAAACAGTGGCAGTCCAGTCTGCTACCGTGCTCTTCTGAGCGGACAGAGGAGTGGACGCCGCCGCAAGTACACCGGTCCGCTCAGCCTTGACATCCGCGGCCGGCGGATCGTTGATACTTTCAGCTGGCTTTGGGAGAGCTGCTAGCTTGCTTGCGATGGCTTTTGCTTTTGCTTTTTGAGCAGCCAATTGTGGTCTTTTCGTAGGTTGAAATCGGAGAGAGGCTGTTCAAGGCGCAAGCAGAAACACGTGAGCAATCCATTCTACGTCGCCTTTCGACTTACGAGCATGTCATTTACCAGCAAGGGCATTTTGCTTCTTTGCAGCTTCGTCTTCGGCAGGAGAATCAGCTGGTTTGTTGTATGTAACAGGGGCACCAGAAATAGTGCCAGGAGCTTGGTTGTTTGGGTCAAGCAGATTCGCATACAGCGAGAGACCTGTTCGAGAGCCAGATGTAGGCGGCGGTGTATCGTTCGCCATGCTGACGTTCCAAATGGCGTGTCTGTGAACGAGACTTTACAGCAACGGGATCTCAAGATGGCAGTCACGATCCTGCACGGTTGCGCCTGCAGTTTCGGTATAGTTTCCCTGGATGATTGTCTGTTTGGCCGCCCAACAACTAAGACCAAAAATTCGACGTGTGGTAGCAGTAGACACTGACGATAAGTTGATGATAGGAAACAAATCGAGGCTCAATACCTTGCTCGGCTTATCACGTCTATCGCGATCGCGCGTCAGAGTGCAGATTTACAATATGCAGTCCGTTCAAGCAGATGTATAGCGGCTGGAAGGACCATGATGAAATCGATAAAAGGTAGGGCTCTGCTATCTTGACATCTCCATTGCACCATTTACGATCGTGTTGCTATCATCCCATCGTTCTTCCTTAGCTTTTGCATCTCTATTCGATTGTCCCTTTGCGTTCTCACGCTACCTACAAGATGGAATCGAGCACGACATTACCTACTGCAATCGACAAATCATCCCATGATACAGCAATCGTCGTGCCTGGTGCAGATCCACTCGAAGTATCGTACGAACAGTTAGCTGCTGACATACTGGAACTGCAACGGAAACTCGCCGATCTTGGTATCAAGAGAGCCGACGCTGTATCTATTGCCATTCCAAACAGTTACGAATTCATCGTTGCCTTCCTCGCTGCCTCCACTCAACGAGCTATTGCTGCTCCGCTGAACCCAGCCTATAAACAAGACGAGTTCGAGTTCTACATCGATGACCTAGCTTCCTCCCTATGTCTTGTGCCAAAAGGTCAATACGAGAGCAATAGCCCTGCAGTGAGAGCTGCAAGGAAATACAATGCAGCCATAGCAGAATGTTATCGGAAAGGGTCGCGCATTTACCTCGACGTGAAGGAAAAAGGAAAGCTTGAGCAAGCCGAGAAACCCTGCCCGATACTCGTCGCTGAGCCGGAAGATGTAGCACTTGTCTTGCACACTTCTGGTACTACAGGCCGTCCCAAAGCTGTACCACTTTCTCATCGAAATTTGACGAGAACCATGAAGAACATTCAGGAGACGTACGAGCTTACGCGAAAGGATCGGACTATGCTCGTTATGCCGTTGTTCCATGTCCATGGTCTGCTAGCTGGCTTTCTCGCTCCGCTACGCGCTAGAGGTTCTGTTGTTGTACCTGACCGTTTCTCAGCTGGTCAGTTCTGGAAAGACTTTGTGGCCTGCAAAGCAAATTGGTGGACGGCTGTTCCGACGATTCATCAAATACTCCTCAGGAGTCCAACCCCTAGTCCCATACCAGATATTCGCTTCATCCGGTCATGCTCGTCTCCCCTCTCACCTAAGGTGTTCCACGACCTCGAGAAGACGTATAATGCACCTGTCCTCGAAGCGTATGCCATGACCGAGGCAGCACATCAAATGACCTCGAATCCTCTCCCACACAAAGGCAAGCGTCAGCCAGGCTCGGTCGGAATTGGTCAAGGTGTCGAAATCAAAATCCTAGACGAGGCAGGTGAAGAGCTTGCACAAGGCAAAGAGGGAGAGGTTTGCATCAAAGGCGAAAACGTCACTAAAGGGTACCTGAACAATCCCAAGGCTAATAAGGAGGCATTCACTGCATCTGGCTTTTTCAGGACTGGTGATCAAGGTAAAAAAGACGGAGATGGATACGTGATTTTGACTGGTCGCATAAAAGAACTGATCAATCGAGGGGGCGAGAAGATCTCCCCTATTGAGCTGGACAATCTGCTGGCTACGAATCCTAAGCTCAGTGAAGCTGTCAGCTTTGCGATACCTTCAGAATTGTATGGGCAGGAAATTGGTGTGGCTGTTGTACAGAAATCAGGTCAGCATGTGACAGAGAAAGAGATCATAGAATATGTGGCCAACAAAAGTGCAAGCTTCAAGAAGCCTAGTCGAGTATGGATTTTGGAGGACATACCAAAGACTGCAACTGGAAAGACTCAGAGAAGGAAGGTAGCTGAGACTTTACTGGCGAAAGACACAAAGGCAAAATTGTAGGACCTTCAACTATTGTGCAAAGCAGCTTGCCGATTTGTGTAGATAAGAACAACCTTTGTTATTATGCTAGGGGGTATCAATGGGATTTGTTGAAGGACTGGAGAACACAGTCTACAGTGTTGATAAGATCAGCCGTGTTGACCGTACAATTTACATCTGAGCCGGCAATATCGTCCAAGCATTTCCACCTCGGTTTAACAATGCTGTTACCAAAACGTGAAGCGTCCAGCATAGCTCAATGATCATAGATGGAGACATTCCGATGTGGTTGTCGCATAACTTTGTTTAGATTGACCAGTCTCCTGTGTGTTCTGGTGCAAACATGATACTCAGTCTATCTGCGTCACATCCCATCATCAAGTCTATAGGTTCAATTACCACGTTTCACAGACTCTTGAGCACAACAGCCATCATGTCTGCGCCGAACAAAGAATGGCTAGTCCAGATACCCGACAAGCCAAATGCCCTCCAGAACCGCCTTCATGCGCGTCCAGCCCATCTCAAGAATCTCACTCCCAGGATCGAAGCTGGTCAAGTGGTCTTTGGTGGTGCTATGCTATCCAAGCAGCCAGTGGAAGGAGAAAGCCCGGATATGGTAGGCAGTGTTATGCTCGTCAAGGCTGAGAGCGAAGAGGAAGTCAAGGAGCTGCTGAAGAACGATGAATACACGAAGCAAGGTGCCTGGGACGTCGAGAACGCAAAGATTATCCCCTTCAGATGTGCTGTGAGGACTGCGATGTAGCTGTGCATAGCACAGAGGCGGAAAAGACGGCGCAGCAAGATATACTACTGCAATGAACAGAGGGAGGACTATCGATTCGAGCCTGTCCAATGCCTTCTAGCCCAGCTGGACCACACATGGCGCTCTATTCATGCTGAAGCAAGGTCAAGCTTAGAGGCACGAAGTGCTAGAACGTATGGAAAGAGGCTTCTGTGGTTCTGTTACGCATACTGTCCTACCAAATCCAGAGGTGCATAGCCCTGTCTTCACTTATATTGTTTGTGGACGAAGACCACGTCCCTACCCCTTTGAGTTACGTAGACTCGTTAGGAAGCTCGACTCTTCGCTCAGCCATGAGCTGTCGATTGACTACAAACATATCTTTCTTTCGGATAGTTCTCGAAAATAATCACTTGCAACAACGACAGTAATACATAGATTGGTGCTAAGTCCTTGGAAACATGGATGGTGCGGAGCTCCCCAGACCAAGCAGTGGGACCCCGGACGTCTCCATGTTTTGTCTCAATTTCTTGACCCCGGAGCTGATTCCGCAGTCCTTTCACGCTCGAGCCACCAACACCATTATGGCCACTTCTGCATCGCCGTCAGCCTCTGCGAACGGCTCTGATGTCAAGGCAGCTCAAAAGCGCAAAGCTGACGAAGACGATGGCAGTCCGCAGGCTCAAGGTCATGGTCGCTCTAAGCGAAGTCGGTACATATCTATAGCATGCAACGAATGTAAGCGACGCAAAATCAAATGCAACGGCCAGACACCATGCGCTCGCTGTGGAAACCTCTCGCTGGACTGCGTGTACGCTCCAAACTGCTGCACGAACTCGCTGAAGGACTCTCAGTGAGAAGGCCTCCAGACTACCACAAGCATAAACTGACCATCCTAGGGAGTTCAAGCAAATACAGGACCAAGTCTCAGCACTTCAAGACCAAGTAGCTGACCTGTATAACACTATTAATGAATTGCGTGGAACAGTGGCTTCCGCTCAAAACGACTCTTTCTATCAACAACCTGACAACGGCCGGTCTAACATCAACGTCGCGAGGACGCTTCCTCCACTTGTATCCCCAAAGCGTCAACAGCCTCAGCGCTCTTTGCCGCGATTCCACGGACCTACGAGTAGCATCTATGGCTTCGATGTCGCCAAGAGCAGTCTGTCCAACATGGGTATTACTCAGCCAATGGAGCTAGAAGGCCTGATATCAAGAGATCGCAGTCAAGCTGCTTCACCTGTACATTTGGCTCCCCACCCGAAAAAGGACCCTATCTGGCTCCTTGACCAGGCTGAGGTGACGAGATTGATCAGAATATATGATGAAGAGTGCTTTATCATGTACCCCATGTTTGACATGGACAAATTGTACAAACACGTTAACAACCTCTATACGTTCATCGGTGCTGCCTTACGCTCCGGATTTGGCCAGGTAGGCCTTCCCGGCGAGGACGCTTTGGACGATGATATGACCACTCAATTAAAGCTCGTGCTGGCTTGTGCTCTCATCATTGAGGGTCATGGTCAGCATGAGCTGGGCCAAAAACTCTATGATAGTGCTAAAAAGTCTGTGGACCTTGTTATTGTGGGTCACCTAAGTATCAAAGCGGTCGTGCTCGTCATCTTGACAGCGACATACCATTTCCAGAAAGACGAAGAGACCCAGGCCTGGCGGTTCATCGGAATTGCGGGACGAGCGTGCATCGAAATGGGCCTGCACCGCCGGGACTCTCTTATACGTTCCTTTCCAAACCAGACTGAACTCAAACAAGCAGTGCGAGTATTCTGGGTAGTCTACGCCCTCGACCGGCGTTGGAGCTTTGGCACTGGGATGCCCTTTTCACTACAGGACTCCGACATCGATGCTTCACTACCAGAGCCTGACAACATGTATCCCTACTTGAAGCACATTACTGTTTACAATCACATTGCGACCAGAATCTGGCAGCACATTTCTGCCTTTGAGGCTGGGAAACAGGGGGTTCGGCGTGACGATGTTGGCTATCTTGACTTTCAAATACTACAGTGGTATCAAAACATACCGGATTCCCTTAAATTCGACAGCAGTAACCTTGTCGCGGAGAATGAGGTGCCTGATCGCAAGACACGACGATTGCGGTTCCTCATGTTCCTGCGCAAAAACCAAGCTCGTATTAGCGTTTACAGGCCGATATTACATTCAGCAACGTCGATCATCGACCACCGCCACCATGCTGAGACAGTAATCGACATAGCTAAGGACACAATTAGGACCATAATTGGTATTGATCGCATCAGTGATATTTACCAAACACAACAGGTCTGCTACAACTATTTTCTTGTTCAAGCTCTTGCAGTGATATTCCTCTCAGTCGCTCATGCTCCAGCCATCTTTTCTGATCAGACCAGAGAGGAATTTTATGGCGCCATTGATCTGATCAAGGGATTCAGTACCAAGTCCCACACCACGAGAAGACTGTGGAAAACCATAAAAGGACTAAAAGAGCTTGGGCACAAGATTGGTCAGCTTGCTCAAGGGGAGGTCAAAGCGCAACAGACACCACAGCAACTACAGCTGGAGGATGATGCTCACTCGAACGCTGCACTGGCTATGGCTTCTCTCGGAGGACATAAGGTGACGAACTATCCGCCGCCACCACCACTTCCTCATAATCCTCTTAGCATTGATATGTACTCGCCTGAAGATGCAAGCCAGATGGGGAACGAGTTGACGGCGCTCTTCGAGTTAGCAGGTGCTTATGGCAACAGCCACCATGGAATTGGAGGAGCTAGCATCGAGCCATTCACAGGTTTTGTACAAGGGCAAGATGGCGACAGCTTTAATGCTATATTCGGAAACGAGCCAGAGTTCTCCAGGATTATGAACGAGTTACTTTAGCAGTTACGACGATATAATTTACTTGCGACTTTGTCGAAGGATAACAGAAAATGTATTCTAAGCGCCGTTTTTTTTTTACTGTGCCGTAACGTTGATGCCCTGGCTAGGCTGTAAGGCAGCCACTTTGCAGCCTCCACGTGTTGGGCGGTTCGTGCCAAGGCAGCATCGCAAGTAATCGTACATCGATCATGCCCTACATTGTTGTATGGAACTGCATGGATACAAATGCCTATTGACACATGTTCTGCAAATTCAGCAGTCGCACTACTGAGGCAAATCGAGACGCCTCGTTTTCAATAATACAACTCTACCTCCAACGCGCATACGACCCTCATCGAGAAACAGTGGGAGTTAGACGGGTGACAGTTCAGCGCTTTATATCAGATTGACTCCAGCGAGACAGCAGCAGCATGTACTCCTGAAACAGATCGTCACAAGTCACACCAACCGCCAACCGGTGCCTGAGTGCTCCTCCAACCGTCGACTAGCCCCTCCACTCATTTATGTATGCCCAAGCGAACAATACTGCCGTAAGCCTCGAGTATGCCCGAATTCGACCCCTCAGACATGTCTGCGACATCTTCTCAAGGAGTCGACAGCTGGATCGCAGGTTTCTGCAATCTGACCGGCCACGAATACTTTGCGGAAGTGTCAGAAGACTTTATCGAGGATGATTTCAATCTCACTGGGCTGCAAGCTCAGGTGCCAATGTATAAAGAGGCTCTGGAGATGATTCTGGACGTCGAGCCATCAGAAACGGGATCTTCGAATTTGAGTGAAGAAGAGGAAGAAGAGGAGGAAGAAGAGGAAGACGACGAGGAAGGCTTATTAGGGGAAGAGCTTGATCAGCCAGTCGAAGGTGCACAGAACGGAGGTAATCGAAATCAGAACAGAAGAAATGGCCGCACAAATTCAGACACGTCCGTCATCGAATCGTCCGCGGAACTGCTATACGGGTTGATCCATGCACGATACATAATGTCTCGGCCTGGCATACAACAGATGCTAGAAAAATACGAGCTGGCACATTTCGGGTACTGTCCGAGAGTGTACTGCCATGGCACAAAAGTTCTTCCAGTTGGCAGGACGGATACACCAGGGCAAGAGACGGTTAAGCTGTTTTGTCCAAGTTGTTTAGACATCTATACTCCTCCCAACTCTAGATTCCAGGCGGTCGATGGCGCCTTCTTTGGTACAACCTTCCCTGGCTTGTTCTTGATGACTTTTCCTGAGCTGGATATCGCGCCAGCCAAGAAGAGGTCACGGGACAATGGAGCTACAAACGAAGAGACAGAAAGTATATTGTCTCCGAATGAGGCCGCTCAACACCAAGGTATGACAGCAAGCAGGAGTAGCAGCCTCACACTACCTTCGGCTCCATTAATACCTGGCGTCAATACTGCCAAGGACGAACGAGCGGCAGCCCAAGCCGCCATGCTCGCTGCACTGCCCCCTCAGCCGGCCACGATCAATGGTGTAGCGGCTCAGAATCTTGCCCCAGGACTAGGAAGAAGCAAAATCTACGAGCCGAAAATCTATGGGTTTAGGGTGTCGGAAAGAGCTAAAGGTGGTCCCAGAATGAGGTGGCTGAGGTCGAAGCCATTAGATCTTAATGAACTTGACGAAGCACGAATATATCACGAAAAGTATGGTGGCAACGTGGATGGAGATCCCGACGATGAAGCTGATGAGGAAGGAGGTAATATTGAGGACAACGAGGAAGAGGAGGGTGACGGCGACGCGGTCATGCAATCTGCATCTACTCGACCAAGCAGTAAGCGCAAAGGCAAGCCGAATTCGAAGTCAAAGGCTGGGATCGCAAATGTACCGGGTGGCGGATAGAAGATGGCGACGTTCCGAAACCTCGAACAAGGCAAATTAGTACATCAGGCCTCGATTCTGAGGCTTCCGACACTACCACAATCCATCTAATATGGAGGTATGGGTTAACGTGTTGTGAGGTGCAGCACGATGAAGATCTGCAAACGCTATGCCCAAGGACTGGATAGGGCATCTCTCTACTTATCTGGGCTGGACCTTGGAGGAAGGGTGGGTGGCAACCACGTAGATCTTCTACAGTAGGGCACTCAAATTCTAACTGTCATGACAGTTCATACACATTTCTTGCTCGGCAGGAGCATACGCGGAAGCGGCAGGTTACATTTGTGCATGAGAAATGAGAAATCGACTTCTTCGGTATTCATTCATGGTCCTTCACTGTGCGATGATAATCACCGTGGCGCTCTATCACTTGCTTGTACAAGACAATTTCACCGCACTACTGAGCAGGTCCCGATAGTGGCAAGTATCGTTTTTTCATTAAGAGCAAGACGTGCTGTTCCTCTCCATGAAATCATTATCTGACCTTGCCACTTTCCAGGAAAGACGTTGATTCCTTACACATTCATACTGTTTCATATGTTCTACAGCTAATACGCTGGCTAAGAAGGATGTTCCCAATGAACCGCGATATGACCGCAGTTTCTAAGGTGTTTCTCCCAATTTCATGAAGCCAATCAACCTACCGCAAATCCTGCAGGCGGGCAACCTCAGCATGTCAGATATCATACAACTCACCTGCTACGAGATCGCATGATGCTGAGCACCGACCACCTGGGGCGTCCATGTTATCTTACGAGGAATGCCACACCAGGCTCACTGCGGAATGTGATCACCAATGGTTCGACATGGTATGCAACCATGTAGCCACACAGCCAAACCACAATATCTACCTCCCACAGCCGTGTCTCTTCGTGACGTTCTGTCGTTGGATTATCGCTGTTGTCCTTGTCACTCGTTTTGATCCCAGGATGCAGCTGAGAAACTGGATAGCGTTGGCATTTACTGCAGCTGTGCAGGCGCAGCTAACCACAGTCACATCTTGTGAAAGCTATAACTATACCACCACACTCACTTTTACGGAATTTGCAACGTATTATTACAGTAATGGCGCGATTGTTGGAGGCCCACGTGCCACAAGCAGCACCACATCATCATCCTCAAGGTCTTTGACAAGCTTTACTTTGCCATTTGCAAGTTCGAGTACAGCACTGACGAATGACGGAATTGGGGGAAGTCGGAGTACGACGAGATCGACCTTGAGTACGACCTCGATGACCACAACCTCGATGACCTCTCGAGTACCGGGCAATGGTACAGATGTGCTGATCCCTCCCAACGATCCTGTAGCTCCAAGCACACCAATTCCTACTAGCCGGAGCACCACGACCACGACCACAACTCTGACCTCGAGCCCTACGATTGCCATGATCTCAAGCACTTCGTCTTCCACGTCCCAGACCACAAGCCTATCTTCGAGCTCGACCTTGGCAACTTCGCTGACAAGTACCATGAGCATAACCAGCACATCCAGCGAGGCCTCGAGCTCGGTAGAGGAAGGCAGCACCTCGACCACCACTACGTCAAGCACGACGTCGGAAGAAGGAACTACCACAAGCGTCAGCTCTTCAACAACCACCTCCGCCTCGAGTGAGCCGGCAGTCACGAACCAAGCCTACATCGACACAATCTTGCGACATCACAATGCGCATCGAGCTAATCACAGTGCTGATGCCCTGACATGGGATGCTGCGCTTGCTGCTACTTCCAAGAAAACCGCCGATAGCTGCGTCTATGCACACGACACGTGGGTGTAATCTAACATTAGAAAGGCATTACTGAAAGTGCGCAGAGTAACAGATTGTCCATCGGCTCTAGAAGACCCGCCAACATCTTGCTAGTAAGTAAACCCGGCAGCCCATATTAGCATCGAGTTCAGGGCTGGATGTTTGCGAGGAATACCCCTAACTTGGTATAGTGGACAGAATATAGGCGCCGGATATCTATCGACTCAGATGGGCTATCTCATCTCAGACGGATTCTACAATAGCGAAGTCGAATTCTACACTTACTACGGAGGTGAACCAGACGTGACGACGCTAAGACAATGGGGTCACTTCAGTCAAATTGTATGGAGCGACACTCAGACGGTCGGTTGCTACACTACAGATTGCTCCGATACTGAACTTGTGAACATTGCTCCCTCATCTAATATCCGACCGGTCTTCACTGTCTGCAATTATGGACCAGCAGGTAAGTGGCTTTCCTCGGTGTATTGAGGCACTACTAACATGATCTCTCCCAGGCAATTTCCTCGACGAATTTGCGAATAACGTGATTCAGCCGTTGGACCGACCATCAATTTATGCCGGATATCAATGTCCGACCGCAGAAAATTGCGAGGATAATGCGTGGGTAGATATCGGTATCGAGGTCTAGGAGTTTGCGACAACCCGTCATGAAGACAGGGGCGTATTTTCGACTCATGCATATCTAAAGGATCTATCGAGCTATAACTCTCGAGGCGTGCTGATACTTCGTGGCGGCTGAGTTGGTATTCACATGACATGCACACATATACGGAAATAGGTTATTTTCTAACCAGTCAGACGAGGGGTGTTGGTTGAGAATCTGGTTCGAAGACCCTGGAATCTAATCCCGCCATTATTCAATGCCGCGCATGATCACATTTCTGGCCAACCACAACGAGCCACCAATGTAGACTGTTTGAGTTGGTGCTGAAGTCCCACAGACCTACGACATACTGCAGCGTTGGCTTTGATTACATACGTAGGTGACCACAATGAGAAGGCAGATAGACAGAGTTCGAATTCCGGAAGTATATACCCGTCGAAGCCGCCCCACTATTGCCCATATGCTAGTAGCTGGTGCCAGTCCAAATATGGTAGGGAAGCCACGACTATTCGTTTGGTATGACCTACACCGATATTCGTGTTAGGACACCAAGATTCGCCTCATGCCAGTATGATTACGCGATTGACATCGTGCTCAGATCTCTTCAAGCTGTTGACATTTGACATGAACGCCAAACAGCGAGGTTTGCTCCTACTGCCAGTGCCACGAGTGGAGGTATCGTGCCAGCCACTTAGTGGAGCCACACTGAACAGCTTTTGCCTTTCGCCAGTGGCAGCGAGTACTTTGGTGCGCCGTGGTGCCTTTTCCGGCTTCCAGTTCCGCTTTGCCTCGTCGTTTCTTTGGTTGTGTCATGGACACAGATCTGCATTGCCTGTCATTCGAGTTGTTGAGCCGGAGGGTTTCGCCGCGTTGTGCTCGATGCTGTTCTCTATCGTAAACTTGTCGAATCGTTCCTTCGAGCGGCCGATATGACGCCCAGACGAACAGATCTTGCGGACATGATCCAAGTCGGTGCTTGTGCGGTGCGAGCCTACTGCCCTGCTTGCAAGCAGCATATAAAAAGCTCAAGCAAGACTCGAGTAGTATATGAGGAATCGGTCAGTCGTGATCCAGCGCCATTACTCGTAACGGTCAACACACCCTGTAGCGTTCAAGTTGTCCTTCGCGAGTGGACCTGCCTTCCATGGCGACGACCGGTCCACGAATAAAATTCGCCTGTTGTTTTTGCCATGTTCTTGCACTGTACCATTGACGACATATTCGAACTTAGTGGTTCTCTGTCGTACCTTTACTTTGCACCACTACCAACCCTCGTCTCTGCGCCCGCAGATTTACTCGATCCTCACACTCCCAAGCATGAACCCAGGGCAACAGCAACAGCAGCAGCAACAACAGCCACGAGGCCAAAGAAAAGCATCAGTCGCATGTGGTGCCTGTAAATACAGGAAAACTAAAGTTAGTGTCCACAAGAGAGATCGTGCCTAATACCTGCTAATATTCGGTCGACAGTGCACAGGTGCTAGCCCTTGCGATGCATGCGCAACCCGAGGCACTCCATGTATCTACGATGTGACAACAGATCAGCGCAGGAAAATTGCAAACCAGCGCAACATTCAGCATCTGGCTGAAACTCGGTTGGTCCTTGAAAGATATCAGCAACTCATTGGTGGCATTGTCGCCATCCTCCGAGCCGACGATGACGGTCTCGCACGAGACCTCGTAAATGCTATTCGTTCTAATACCGACCTTTCCCAATTGGCAGCGCATGTTCGAAATGTGCGGAGGGACATGCCCAACGTTGAGCATGCTTTCTCTCAGATCAATTTCTCGATAGAAGACACTGAGGAGCGACAATCGTCTTCAGGTCTGACCGACTTTGACGGGCAACCCGATCCCAGTTTGCAGAACGGCGAACGCTCTCCTACAGACCGGTCCCACGGGGGGTCGCCCCCATATCCTCGCAAGAAGCGTATCAGGACAGGTAGAATAGAAGACATGGTCAACCCTCCTGTCTCCATCCCTGCCAAGCCTTGGACAACCGTCACTGACGACGACGATTTTGTTTCGCATTTGATATCTTTGTGGTTCACCTGGGCCCATCCTTGGTGGCATTGGGTAGACGAGCACGTCCTTCTGGAAGCTATGCGAAATGGTGATGTGAACGACCCCATCTGCTCTCCGTTCCTGGTAAACATGATTCTTGCTGATTCTTGCGTAAGTGTAAATTGTTCTGATTATTGGTATGGCCGATAACTAAGACGAAGCCACTAGCTCCTGGATGCTCTCGACGAGAACGATAGTCTCTCGAATACCGAGCTTCGCGATCAATTCTACGCCGAGGCTTTGAAAGGCTTGGACGCGGCCGATCATAGAACCTCCTTGCTGACTATAGTGCAAACCATGGGTGTACAATGGACATAGTGAGTCTCACTCTCACAGATATTGGTTTCCTGGCTGACATAGGGTTTCAGCCTTGTTACAAATGGTCAGGACAAGCATGGTCATACAGTCCTACACGAGCAGCACAAGAAATCCAAAGACCTGGACCAATGGCGAGCCAACATCGATCGTGAAGGTCTGTACTCCGCCGCCGAGCTGGCGAAGATCGACACATGCTTGGACAATTTGGCTTGGACGATGTTTGCTCTTGATACAATATCGTCCATGAGCTCTGGAGAGATGTCTCCTCCACCTCCACCTTCCAAACGTCGGCCTGCGAATGATCATCGAGGCGACGGACCCCACACTGAACCTCGCGAAACATTATGGCTACCCTACCCTGAACAGAAAAAGATCAAGTCGCCTTTCCATTATCAATGCCACTTCGGCTCCTTTTTGTCGTTAGCAGAGGCTGCAGCTAAAGATGAGTCTATGTTGCCACAAGGTCATACGAAAAACGATCCGCAGATATATCACGCATTCTACAAGCGATTCGAGGAGCTCGAAAAGTGGTCTCTGCCATTGCCTCCTTGCATGCAGCTTGGCCCGCATGCTACTCCTCATGTCATCACATTACAGTAAGTACAGCCCGAATTTTCGATTTCGGTGGAAATACTCATGTTTTACAGTGCATTACATTACTGGGTTATGTTAAGCATGTGCAAAGAGGTAGCAGCCGCAGAAGCCGGTCATGCTTCACAGTCGAAGATCATGAGCACCGGAGGCATCTGGCACGCTCGAGCCTTGAACGCAGCCCGTGCTATTGGTAACCTGATGCTACGAATGTATCGAGAGTGGGGTCACGACCACTTCCCCGTCATAATAACGCAGCCTGTATCCTTGGCTCTATTCGCCCTCCTCGATCATCTTCACGAGCAGGCTTCCCTTACGGCTTTTGTCAGTCTGTGTTACACAATGCATGCCGCAGCACGACGATACATGGTCGGCAAGGGTGTGATGCGATTATTACAGCAGACTGCGTGGGATCGTGGCATACAGCTACCAAGCGAAGTGATGCATTTGTTCTACACACATTCAATTCAACAACCGCATGCCTATCCAGGTGCGCCACCTGAGATTAGTGTTGATTATTTACTTGGCAAATGGGACGACTTTAATATCAAATGATAGCTTACCGTTGAGCGAGCACCGACAACAGCACTAGCAAATCGGTCCGACTAGTCTCTCCAGCGCAAGGCGGTAGTGACCAGTGAAAACGTTGTCGTAAAACGCTGCAAGCTGCGTTCGGATCTCGGATTGTGGCCGACCAAACTAGTGTTGTGCTAGACCAACATCTCTCTGAGGTCATACAATGCTCAGGCCAATCCCCCAACCTTCGACAGCTACTACCGACGACGGTCTTGGGCCGAGGCCGCGATCTCAGTTGAGCACCTTCGCCATCAGAGCTGTGCGCCAAGATTCCTCCAACATTTGACCCAACAAGCAGTATTCGACCTGAATTTTTCATAGGACGACCCTAGTATGGCAACCAGTCGGGAGGTGCGAACGATCACAGGTCAACAATCCATATCATTCCAGCCGATTAGCTAAGACACCCGTCAGTTCCATTCCCAATAGGCAGAGGAAGACATGACATTGGCACCTCAATAGCAGACCACAGTACGAATGGCTTACATGCATGAGAACCGTCTATCTATATCTACGCGCGAACGAAAATTGCAGAGGAGTCTCAAACAGAGAAAAGTTCATGGCACAGGAATATGAAGCAGACGAGATGGCTGCAGGTGGTCTGATCTTGCAAGAAAGGACGAGATAGAAGAAATTAGAAGAAATTACATACACTATTATACCAAATGTTTCTCTAACAGTCGATTCTGCCACTCGAGATAAGCCAACTTGAGACACGACTACGCATATATGCACTAGAGGAATGCATTCATTGTAGAAATAGGATCTGTACCGTGTCTTAGGTCAAATTCAATATTTTTTATGGCGCTGTTGCTTTTCTCGCTAGTCTATCTAGATTTCCTCGTCTGCTTCTTCATCTTCATCGTCACTGGAGTCCCAATCGAAGTGAATCTCTTCAATACCTCGCTCTTTCATTACCGCAAGCTTCTTCTTAGGTGCTTGTGGTGGTGCTGGCGTACCTAGATCTGGTACAGGTGTGTTGGCGAAGTCTATTCTGCTAGTCCGCCGTAGTGGTCGTGGAGGAAATAGAGATGGGAGTGGTGTCGTAGGAGGTGCAGCTAGCAGTGGCACTTGCACAGGTGTGAGGGGATGTCGCTGCACATCAAATGCGCGACGAGGTGGCGGTGGTGACGAGGTGGTGTATGGACTCACTTCTTCTCCGTCGTCACCATGACGAACGAGAATGGTGTAGTACTCGTCCTCATCCCACTGCCTCCTCACATCTTGGACCGCAAGCATTGGGTCTTGTGGTTCTCTCGACCTTGCTTTGTCAATCGCTGCGAGATAACGCGCGTCATTGTGCTTACCTTGTCGGCCAGCGCGTCTGTCTTTGACGGCAGGAGACGGCTATCAACGCCCTTGTGTCGTCCTAGGAGCTTGTTCTTTGTCTTGGTGACGACGTTCTTGACCTGGCTGAGTAAGGAACTCCCGCATAGTCGGTGTCGTGAAGATGGCGTTCTTGGGCGCCGAGGTGGGTACATATGCGATGTGCCTGTCCTGGCGACATCCGTGGGAATGATGAGGGTGAGTAAAGGAGCAGTGGTGCGAGCTGGTCGTGGCGGTAGTTCTGACCGCTGTAGACGCCTCGCATGCCACTGATCCATCGTCACTTCGACCGAGTTTCGTGCATTGCGGAATGTGTGGTTCACAGGCGTTGACATCGCCGTGTGGATATCATCCTCCATTCCAACTGGAGATTCGGTCAAGTAATCCGCGTACTGGGGGATCATTTCGGCTGGCAGCACAGAACCAGGTTCGTAGCTGGCGAAATCCTCTGCTACTGCGTTGCCGGGTGCTGTAGGATCGTACCTCAGACGAGGTAGTGTATAGTCTGGCGCGTGTGATCCATCATTCACGGCGAACACGACAGGCTCAGTGTCATCATCCTGTGACACTGGTCGGACCTTGTCTTGCTCTAGAAGGTGGTCGATATAATCAGCTTCTTCGGCTGTTTCTGCCCCTATTTGGGCATTTGGTGTCTGGTCTATACTCAGATCGTCAGCGGCATCGTCCAGCAGACCCTCCGTGGTTGCAGCAACATACACTAATTCGAACTCCGCGGTTTCGAACCGTGCACCATGAGGACTGCCAGTCGCTTCATCGACGAGCTGCTCGGCCTCAGCCACGGTGAGTGGTATCGCATTCATGGCTTCACCGGCACAGACTGCACAAGGATAAGGGCTGAAAAGGTGTGTGTATTGGATAGCGTGGATGGAAGGGAGGGTTGATGGACTCACAGGAGTCAGCAGTTGTGCGTCTTCACAATCTTGAAATCGTGTGTACGAGCAGTGGCAGGAGAATATGATCGTTGTATCGTTGCATCTGCAAGGTACTTGGCTTCGTGGTCGAGACATCGTGTTGTGAACTTTATGCGGGACAGGATGTTCTCGTTGTCGTCTTGTAATCTGCTGTAACTTCAATGTGTTTTTGGTGACATTGAGTCTGTTGACAAACCTAAAGATTTTATGTGCAACGCACTTCCTGACTTCACTCTGAAACAATGCAGTTCAATGCACTTGGCACTTTGTGCTTCAGACATCACGTTCTTTTGTGCTGATAAGGTGACGACAAGCGCTCTGTGAAGAACAATGTTGACCACTGTTTTAATGCACAAAAACGACGCATTGTTTCTTTGCCAATGACTGTTCTTTGAAGTTGACCACAGGTCGAGCAGCAGTGACGGGAGGGCACGAGCTCGATAGGTATGCTGAGCACATCCGTCGAGGCTTTGAAGAACTCAGTCGCTTGTCCCACCATAGAAGCCCAGGACATCCAACAAGCCTCGCTCCTTCAGCTTGAGTTCTTCAGCCACCTTCCTCCAGACTCTGCATCTAGCGTCCGCATCACGACAATGTGGCATGGCCTCCTCTTGCCATATCCTATTGAAATACCTTCCACCACCTCTGCCTCGCTCGTCTTTGCCTCCTTGCTTTTTCGGGTCTGGTCCACACTCAGGGGCGGTGGCTATATACACTAGCGCCATACTTCCCTGTTGGCAGTTGATCCCGAAGAATCTCGCCATAAGCATCAGAATCCACACAATGAGCCAGCGAAACCAGAAAGCTCGATTTATGTTCCAAATACCGCTAGCTACATAGCCCGGATGAAAACCATTGACTGTGATGTGCTTGTACTCGCCGTGCAGGAGAAGGCGTCGTTGAAGCTCAGTGAGCCATATCTGAAAGTAGAGCTTGTTGTTCTTGTACATTCCTACACCTTCTTGGCCCAGCTCAGTGCCGCCGTTGAAGTTGGAAATATCGTATTGACCAAGGTAATGAAAACATGATGTTGAGCATACGATTCTAGGCGCCTCTGCCTTGGCTAGAGAAGGGAGAAGCATCGAGGTCAGTAAAACGTGAGAGAGGAAGTTGATCTGGGTCTTGTCAGCACGATGAAGATCCCGTGGTCCATATGTATTCGGATAGGGTGTCGATAGACGACTGTAGTGATATCTTACCTGATGAATGAACTCAAAGCCGTCCTTCGTCAGATAGACACCTTCTTTGCCGTCCTTACCCGGGCTGCTCCCCACCCCAGCATTGTTGCACAACACGTCCAGGGGTCTTTCAGTGGCCAGCCATCTTCTGCCAAAAGCTTCTATGGATCCAAGATCTGCCATGTCAATTCGCCACCATTCAATAGTGGTACTTTCATGCCCTCCCTCGCGTGCAGCAGCTTTACACTCCTCGACTACCTCGACCGGATGAGGCTCACGACTAGCTGAGCCAGGCTCACGACACGCGAGAATCAAGTGAGCTCCCCACGATGCAAAGGTCAGAGCTGCCTCGCGTCCGATACCGCTATTTGCACCAGAAATGATGATCCATCTGTTCTTAAGGTCGACTATAGGAACGTCCTTGCCATAAACAAGCTTCTCTGTACGGTTGTTCTCACGCTCGCCCATCTTGCTTTTCCATGCTTGCGACGGTTCAGGAAAGGAAAGTGGTGCATCGTAAGCTATTTTGTCAATCTCTGTAGGGCTTTCGTTCGGCATAATTGACTATCTTGAAGTTTTCGTTGTGATGGTTGGAATGACAAGACGAACCCCAAGGAAAGAATATATACAAAGGCTGAAAAGGATTGTCGCGTCGGCAAAAGTGTGCCTATTTTCGATATATAAAGTGTACAAGCTGCTAAGATGTGAGATTCGCGACGGAAAAGTCTGATGATTCATAAAGAGCATAAAACATCGTATCCACCTAGCAATTGACCTCGCGTACAAGGACGGCTCCAACACGATTGTGCAGCAATCGATTGCCATGTTGAGCAAGACCGATACGTAACGGATCGTATTGGAAAAATTGAAGTTCATGTAAAGATGCAATACTGGGTGAAAGGAGGGGAGGAAGATACGGTGCAAAAACGAACGTATTTGCAGGTCAGGGAAGGATCATTGCTCGAGTTCGCGCATGCTCATCTGAAGATGAGAACGTCCCCATGCCATGATACAGCCACACACTATATTTGCATATGTTACAATGCTATTTTAGCGAGCCTAACCTAGAATCCGTAAACCCTGAAGTCAAACCGAGTAAGAAGGTTCTTCTCTCCTCGCCATCACTATCATCAAGAGTTGCACTAATGTCACTATCGCCAGTCTTCGAGCCGACTGGAACAGCAACGCGTGTCTGTCGTGCCACATTCCAACATACTTGACCAGTGGTTCTATGTTGTAGCACTGGCCTACTGGCAATGAAGACGTCGTTTTCCCCGTAGGTCTAAGCTGCTTCTAAGACGCCATCCACGTCCATGCGGTCAAGCCTGTTCGTAAAATCTTGGGAGGCTCTGGTGTCAGTTTTGTCTAGTATTTCTGGGCTCTCGCGTTCTGATCATGGCGATGGTGTTCCGTCCTTCTCCCCGAGTATCCTTTGCAGAACATACGTCGGTTTCAATTCGAGGCCATCTTTGGGGAGATTGTCTTCGATCGTGGTTCGATTTTCGCCGTCATATGCAGCCATTCCCTTCCCTTACCTTCAGTATCAGCGTCATGTTGTATAACTCTTTCCTGTCTAGCATGCTGTTAGTACAAACAGCGACGAGCTTGTTCCCCTCATTCGAGCCAATCGTCTCGCAGAGAGTAGTAACAGAGTACGGCAACTTGTGGAACAGTCGGCACTAAGGTTCGAACGATAAACCTCTGACGAAAAACTTGCTCTTTCAATTTCTCCAAGAATATCATGCCTCGTGTGGACCGTAAACACACTCGGACTAGGAAGACGAAACGCAACAGTGGCACGTTTGAATAGGTTGAGGATTGTTTCGCAACAGACCCAAGGTCAATCTCTAGCTCCTAAACGTTTCCATGCTCAAAGGAGATATGTTTACTCAGGGTGTCTGATTCGTCAATCTGTTGGAGAGAAGTCTGCTGCCAATGTATCGTATGTCACCTCATTGTCCAGGTGAGCGTGCGATTTGTCAATCACCAAGGAGCATTTCAGAAACTCATCATGAGGTCAGCCATCGTCTTACACATCTCAATGACATGCAGGAATTGAGACCAGTGTCCATGGAAGAGACAGGGCGTCTACCACAGGACGATGTGATAAAGGAGGGTATCAGCATTACAATCCAAGATCGAGCGGAAGGTATCTGGCACGCACGTGGTAAGATTGCCTGATTGGGATAGGCGTAAATACCACTCCGCAGCCAACTCGGGGAAATGCGTTGCAGAAACATTTCCACTCGCGAAGCAGCTGCGACGCGGGCCATGAGAGCATACTGCGCAATACACTCGATTCGAACTATAAAAACCCTCGAAGCAGTCTCGACCACATCTTGGGTGCAAACCTCTTCAACATTGAGACACGAATCCTTATCGTTCGCCCGAGAAGCACTTTCCAGCAGGACACGGTCTTTGGGGTTGCACACCGGACCCACCATCCAAAGTATCTCCTACAGCACAATCATGGCACCGGTCGATGTCACCACGGCCAAACCCATAGTCTTCTCAGGTCCCTCAGGCACTGGCAAGAGTACCCTGCTCAAGAAGCTCTTCGCAGCACATCCAGACCTATTTGGCTTCTCAGTATCGCACACCACAAGGAAACCACGAGCGGGTGAGGAAGATGGCGTCCACTACCACTTTACCAGCATGGACGAATTCGAGAAGATGGTTGCCGAGGATAAATTCGAAGAACATGCCAAGTTTGGTGGAAACTGCTATGGTAGTAGTCGAGCAGCTGTCCAGGCCGTGGCTGAGGGTCAAGGAAAGAGTATAGATGGTTCGCCAGCTCAGGGTCATAGAATCTGCATTTTCGACATTGAAATGGAGGGTGTGAAGCAGTTGAAGAAGAGCAGACTAGACCCCAGGATATGCTTCATTCAGCCGCCAGACGTACAGACATTGGAGCAACGACTAAGAGGTCGAGGCACTGATTCAGAAGACTCGATACAAAAGAGACTGGCTCAGGCCAAGAACGAAATAGAATACTGCAAAACAGAAGGGAAGGACGACAAGGTAGTGGTCAACGATGATCTGGATCGTGCTTTCAAGGAGCTCGATGAGTGGGTCATGAAGGACCTGAGCAGCCAGAACTAGGCAGTACAGCAACAGACATAGAGATAGACAAAGTGGTTCTTGAAGGTTCATTGAATTACTATATACCCCGACATGAAGAAGGGTATGAAGTGTACCAAGCATATGAGACCTGCTCTCCTATCACTGGATCAATGACTTTTGAATGAACATTCGCTTGCTCGAAAACACAAATGGCTGTCCACAAACACCTTCGCTCGCTTCAGCCTCATAACCACGACTCATCTCTAGTAACCATTCATGGTCATCCGTTGTGAATTCCTGCTGAGTTCGCGGTCGGCCGAAGGAGAAATGGGTCTGCTGCCTGACATGCCACCCGCAGCACTAGCATCCTTGAGAGCCAGCAGTTGCTTGGCTCTAAAAGTCTCGTAGTGGATTTGCGACGTCGTCTCGATTAGGTCTTGTAGGTGAGTTCTGGTGAGGAAGTTTCGCAGGTAGACAAACTCGCAGTGGTTCTCGTCCTCGACATTGATAACACCCCATCTGTTCTGTCGACCTCGAACTTGCTTGCCGCTGATAATGATGCTCTTCTCACTGCCGACAACAGCAAAGGGTATGATCTCTTTGATTGTTGCATTGGTTGCTCGCTCTTCGTCATCCAGCTCATCGTTGTCATATGGGTACATCTTAAGGTTGTGGAAAGCGAACTCCTCCTTTATTCGCTCTTTGAATGCTCTTCGTTCTTCCAATGTGAGGGAATCCGACTTTGCAATGACCGGCACCACGTTTACCACATCGGACAATTTCTTCAGTACGACAATATCAATAGGTTTTAGGGCATGGCCGGAGGGTTGGATGAAAAACAAGCAGCAGTGGATGCGGGTGTCCTGGATGTATCTCTCTCGCTGAGCCGTCAGCTCTTTCCGCAGGTATGCTGAATGCTGATCTTTGATGTATTTGACGATAGGATCCCAGCTACCACATCGTTAGCCTCACGTTCACAATGTAGTTCGTCACGTTGCCCTACCATCTGTCGTTGTTCACTTGGTCTCCATAACCAGGTGTGTCCACGATGTTGAGTCTGAGCCGTACACCGTTCTCCTCAATGACTGTAGTCCATCAGTACCTCTTTTTTGGCTCTGCATCAGGATACAACATACTATGCGAGACTGTCTGAATCTCGGTGGTGGCTCGTACAGGCTCGTCGGGTCGCAATCTGCCCTTTGAATCGATGAGGTGGGAGGCGAAGATAGTATTGATTAAAGTCGACTTTCCGAGACCAGTTTGTCCTGCGTCGATTAGTCACATCGTCACGAGGGACCTGGTGCTAACATACCAACACAGATCACGTTGAACTGGAAGCCTCGCTTCAACAATTTCTTCTCGATCTGTGAGGTGATACTGTCAAATCCTACGTGACTAGTTCAGAAGTTAGCCTGATCATGTAAAGTGGTGTGATCAGCATAGCTGTCTTGGAATCAACAACAGTACGAGTGTCCTCATGTACTCACCTGCGAGGAAAGACAGCATTCTGCGGCATCGACATCGCCATATTGGGTTGATATTCTTGGCCACGGACTTCCATATGAGCGTGAAGGATTCGTGATATATACGCGACAAGTTCGTAATCGTCGAGAGTGGTGTAGAAGGTGCGACAGTGGTAGACGTGTTCGCTCTTCCCCAGACAATTTACATTTGAGCCCTGGCCGACTTGTCGGGCTCCCCTATTCATGCCAAGCCGCCAGGGCGAGAAGCCGCTCATCACGCTTGCTTCTTTAATACAGGCGCATGAGCTTACTGAATATGGTATAGGCGTCGATCAGTGCAGCTGCGACTGTCGTTCACTGGCAGTTGATACAGTCTCGTGGGAAATATTGCCAACACAATCGTATAGCGGCCATGGCAATATTACAGCGGCAGGCTCATCTAAGCCTGTCTCGACTATACTTCGGACTACCGTCAGTCGCTACCCCGTCCCGACCACGTCTACCTCTACTATCAGCAATAGCTCTACCGTCGATATCGTTACAAATACCTGGTTTTCTTTCCGATGTATGGGAAGGTATATTGAAGGCTGTGCCTAAAAAGAAGACATCGCACATGAAAAGGAGGCACCGGCAATTGGCTGGTAAGGCCCTCAAGGACGTCAAGTCAGTTGTAAATTGTCCTGGCTGTGGCAGGCCGAAGAAAGCACACTTTCTGTGCCCATATTGCGTCGCTGGTATGTTCGCAATTCTGTCGCGAAAAACCATGCTAACGGTGGCCCTAGAAATGAAGCAAGGCGTCCTTGATAAATATCTAAACAAGATGCCTAAAGAGAAAACTGAAGGTCAAAATCAGTAATGCTACATGAACACTTATCACCTATCGTGCGCGAGAAAATGCCTCAATCAATCACAACCTTTTTCTGAAAGAAAGAAGCGACTACAATGTGCTAGCACACTCGATGCGGGGAGCGATATCCTTGCTAAGAGGCTGCGACAACGATTAGTGGACCAGAATCTTGCACAATCGGGATACATGTACACTTCTGACTTGCAGCCACAAAAGGGAATCTGGTCTACACTGAGAAGGCTCCCGAGTCCTTTAGAACAATTTGCGATGCTGAAGGCAGGATAGTCGTCGAGAGCTGAAAAGGATTGGTTAATGAGCAAGACACAAAGCCCAACAGCTCATGATCTCGAGAACATGAGGTATCGAAGTTGTGCCTTCGTGCGGCTCGAACGATACTGGTAGACGAGCAATAGGAGTCGACACGGAGCGATCACAGAGGCCTGGTGAAGACCTCAGTGCTTGTACCAAAAGGAGTGTATTTGGGTGTAATGATACTGGTCTTACAGTCGACGTCATAGCCCGTTGTACGTGTAAATTTCGTGTATAACACATACCAATGATCCATTCAAATAGTGTAAAGTGACTCCAATGTAAGTTCTGCACAGCTCACACTCACATCCTAGTAGTTCACCTTATATCACGTACAAGTCGGTGTACAAGCATGATACTACCCTGCCACAATGGTGCGTAGGCCAATGGACAGCCCATCTCCACTTGGCACCACAATACTCACTCACTCTTATAGTCCAAACAATACCTAGCCCAACACACCATAGATGATGCCCATCAAACCGATATCTTCGCCATAACAGCAACACCAGCGCAAATAATCACAGGCTCCGGCAGCCCTGATCTCAAAGTCCATTCGACAGTTCAATCGGATTTTCCTCAAGAGCAAGTCCTCAAAGACGCTCATCCACTCGGCACCCATCACGTTACAGTCTCAGCAGATCACTCAACACTTGTGTCAGTCGGCTTTGGCAGCGAAGCTAAGATCTGGCGGTTTAGCGATGGGATTTGGAAAAGTGCTGGGGACCTTCCTAGTGCCAAGAAAGCAGGTGAACTCTGGGCTGTAGCGCTTGACTCGGAGGGCAAGTATCTCGTCGGTACGACATATGATGGACGGGTCAACGTTTGGGAGCTGGCGAGGGTCCTTGATGAGAAGAGCGGAGAGGAAAAGATCACGGCACAGAAATTCGTGGAATGGGAGACCAGAGGAGGATTTGGTCTGGCTGTTGATGTCGTAAGTCCAGCATACTCTTGTTTCTCTGTTGTTGTCTACCGAAGGACATGAGCACTAATTGCAAATTTTCAGTCCCCCGACAACGCCATGACAGCGACCTCCCACCCATCAGGCAACATTTACCTCTTCAGCACCTCCACAACCCGACTCCTCCACTCTCTTCCAACACAGTCAGCTCCTGTCCGAACGATAAAGTTCTCCCCAGGCTCGACTCTCCTCGCTGCAGCTGGCGATAGCACTCTCATCTCCCTCTACGACGCCAAATCCGGCGAGACTGTGGCTCTGTTACGTGGCCATGATTCCTGGATTACAAGTTTGGACTGGAGTTACACAGGCGAATATCTGGTCAGTGCTAGTCTGGATGGGAAGGTCAAGATATGGAGCGTTGAGACTAGGACGTGTGTATGCACGATGACTGATGGCGAAGGTAGAGGAATATGGGGCGTCAAGTGGCTGCCTAAAGGTGAGACGAGTAGTGAAAGAGGAAAGGCTGAGCGGTTTGTGACAGGTGGGAATGGAGGTAGTGTAGGAATTTACAGGGAGGCTAGTGGTGCTAGCTAGAAGATTCAAATCTACCATGCACGGAAAGTATTGGTGCAGAACAGTGTAGTCTATTGAAGGCGGCTAGGGGCTTACAGGCGATGTCCTGCTATGACAACGAACCTGCAACCCATGGCAAATCCGTGCACCTATTCTCGTTTCAGCCCAATCTTTCCGATGTTACGCAGTCCTAGTACGCATATCACAGCACAAGTCACCGTCGCCGCGAACATTGCCCAAAAGGAGGCTCGATACCCTTGCAGTAGTGCTAACGGCGATGACTTATCGCGATACTGTGTGCCCTCGGTGACCGAGGTAGAGACGACTTGCATCAGATTGAGGCCGAGACTCAACCCGAAAAAGGCAACAGTATTAAATACAGCCCCAGCCAACGCCTGTGTCTTCTCTGGGAACACCTCACTGATGACAATGAGACCAATAGTGAAGAGGACATCACCACTAATAGGCATAAGTAGTTGTGCGAAAAAAGCTCCTCTCCAGTAAGAGAGTTGTGGACTGATAAGAGCCATCAGTAGAGGCGCCACTGCTGTTATAGTCATTGCAACCAGTAGAAGCCAGAACGCTGGTGCACGGTCAACGATATAGCCAGTGACGAGATTAAGGGTTATGCCCACTACCAGTGCAGGCAGGATGCGAAGCGACGCTTGTAGGGCAGAGACCTCCTGCACTTCTTGAAAATACTGCACCTATTAGCACTAAAACACAGAGGCGTTTTCACGACTTACTAAACTGCTGAATAACTCCATTCCATTGACCACAGCCCACGTAAGGATAGTCAGAGCACATATGCTCGTGAAAGACTTGTTCTTCCACAGGTAGTTTGGGACTAGTGTCGGGTGACCCCTTGCTTCCTGCCGCCACATCCATAGAGGAAAGAGAGACATCAATAAGAGGCTAATTGTCAACATCGCAATCGCTTCAGGCTCTCTGATGTTGTCGCTGTCAGCGCTGCAGATAGCCAACACATAGGAGAATAGAGCAAGTCCAGCACATGCAATCAGAGCCCCGACCCAATCAATTTCTCTTCGTAGCTGATGCAACATATCTCGTGCTCGAGAGTCAGCTGGAATGATCTTAAGGGTACCTCCGGCTTGTACAAGCATGACCGTACCAGCGATGTAAAATCCTGCCCTCCAACCTATCGTGTCGACGAATACCCCGCCGAGAACTAGCCCAAGCGAAAACCCGAGAGGCTGGGAGAGTCCTAGGCAGGCGAATCCAATGTTTCGGTTCCTTCCGCTTGGTACGTACTGCGTCACCAGAGATACGCTGCATGGGATATGTAATGCTGAGCCCACTCCCTGAAAGGCTCTGAACAGCACTAGCTGTATCCCTGTTCTGCTCAAACTACATGCCAGAGTGAACGCACCGAGTAATGTACAGCCCGCTAGCTCAACAGCTCGAGCACCAACCGCATCTGCAATTGCACCCGCGAGGAGTAGTGTACTCCCGGCTGTCAGACCATAGACTGACGATGGCCATAGATAGAGACGTGTTGGCAGATCGAGGTCTGCGGCGATGTGTGGCAGGCCAACCACGATGAGACCAGTCGTCAGAGACGTGAGAAAGTTGACTAGCGAGACCTGAAGAATAATCAAGTTGGCTCGTGCGGTCTTCACGTGTTTCTTTGCAGTGGGCTCCGACTGGTTAATTATCTCAGCTGGTTCAGAGTCCCTGCTCAGTTTGTGATCTGTTTGCAGCTCGAAGGTTTGAGACGGCTGAACGGTCGTAGTTATGCTCATGGTCAATACTTCTTGTCAGCAATATCGTCGGCTATAAGACATTAGCATAGGATGACAAGTCGGTGACATGTTGTATGTCGAGACCTTCAGTCAAATTTTCGTGGGTGTCGCAAGGCGCGCTGGAGCAATTCCCCTTCGCGGGACACTCCTAACTGGACTGACTGCAGCCATCGTCGTCTAAATGCTTCCTGTTATTGAGACTTCTTACCTCCTGCGCCAAGACGATAATCATCACGCGTGGTACGACAAGCAGCGCTAGGTTCAAAAACCAATCCCGGTTTCTAAAAACGAGTGGTCACCAACTTGAAGTTCACCTCAGGGTCCGCTCCACCTGCCCGGAAGAATCGTCCGCGACGCGTGAGTTCAACAGACGCGTTCACATTCTTCTTCATCTTTTTGCGAGTTGGCAATCAGTTGCTTTCTTTGTTTCGCCCTGATGTGTGGCTTCGACGTGATGCATCGTCATCGAGCCTTGGGAGTGAAACGCGGTCGAGTCACTGACCAAATTTCCTTGGTTAATTACATGCCATCAAGTCGACTGATCGAGCTCTGCACTCCTTAGTGCTACGGCACTTTCACATGCTCAATGCTGAGATGTACATGGGTTCGGCCGTTGACTGAAAGTGTGCTAGAAATCTTGAAGAGTCGGATTGCACAGAGCTCAGAACATGCGGGCTCTTAACTCGAGTATTGCTGAAGCTGATTGATTAGCTGGTCGACTAATCTCTCGCATTTACCGCGTTCCGGCTTTATCCACTTCAGACCCTGGTACTTTGTACATCTGGCAGCAAGGAAGTGACGGACCATGTTCTAGTTTACCATCCGAGAGTGCCACGAGGTAGAGGAGAGTCAAAGCAAGGACCAACCCCGAAACCACGCAGTCTCTGGTGGTCCAACCACGTTTGCATGTGGTGGTTGTGAGCACCAAAACTGTACAGATTTCCAAGACTCGCGAACAACAAATACGATCGTTCTGCACGAATTGAATGATACTCCCCTTTGACTCATAGACTGTGCTTGTTTGAACCGATCCGTGGATGCATTGATTCGAGCGAGCTAATCCGTGTCAAGCAGGCAATGAATATACGAGATACAGACGTCCAAGCTGGGCATCATGCATGGTGAGTGAAAATCTCATGCGTTCCACTGATTTTTCTACATGGATGAGCACCTCACTTACCGAAAAATACGTGCAGTCCTGCTCAGCGATCCACCAATCTCCTCTCATCTATGCATTTTGTTGCGGATTGTGATCACGGAACGATAAAGTTGGGAAGTCTTTGCAAACACCTGCCACTCTAAAAAGACCATTAAGGAACTAAAGCTACACTCTGCATGTGCATGCTAACAAGATGTGCAGGCCTAGGCTCAGGTTGGAGGCTGCTGCAATTTTAGCTGGTGTGTGGTATTCGTGTCCAGAAAGCCACCTCCACAATTCTGCAGAACAACAAGTTCTTTGTGCTGAGATTGGTGGATCCACGAAAAAGGTTTTTCACGAAGGATTCCGGATACAAAATTGTGGCCCAAGTGGTCGAGCATTCTTTGGTGCGTGTTTGGCCTACAGAGATTGTATAGGTATCAAGTGTTTTCATACGACCGGTTCGGTATGCGGGCCGAAGCGCTTTACCGAAAACATCACGCAATCTAGGGTCCATACTCGCTTATCTACCGAGCTCCTTGCACCGATCTACGCGTGGACTCCTCATCTACGCTGATCCTCTTACGCAAGGACAATGCGTAACATGACAATGTCAGCCAACAGCGTATGCACGTAAAGCGCTCCCAATCTCGTGCTGATGAATGCTGTTTTTGGCAGATTAGCGACAGCTGCCAAGTCGAACTGCTGCATGTCTGGAACCAATGATGCAGAGCTTTGACGTGATGATACAAAGGACCTCAAATCCGAATGGACAAATCCAATGTGCGTGCTTCATCTATGCTTGACAGTCTTGCACTTCGAGCAAAGTTTTCAAGAAGCCCAGTCAGCTCCTCAGATTGGTGGACAACATTGCCATGTGATGTGCAACGACAAGGATCAGGTCGCAAACATATCTGATACCCAATGTGAACGATCGTTCCCCCTCATGGGCCGGAGCTCACATCCATGCAGATATGCACACAGCCTGGACAAGCCACCAACACATCAGTGCCAATATCACAAGAGGATGTAGGCTAATTCAGAGATGTCATCCAGACTTTGGCCAATACTACACACAGATGAGGGACCACGTCACAACTACAACATATCGCTTGACGTGTAATCACCTCGTCAATCGCTTTGCTCGTCTGCATGCAGGAGGAGAGGGACTGACATGTTGCAGCTATATGAGCATTAGCTGCAAGCATCTGTACGTTTAAGGAGTCGAGGAATTTGTTGACCGGAGTGTTAGCAAGTCTTCACCATGAGGGGCAGGCGTAGGCCTGCTCAACGAACAAGGTGCATAATGCTTCTCCAGTACTTTATACCACATGAGGCAAATTCCGACATTTTATCCAGAGCTTCATGCTCAAGAATACACGAATTCGTCTCGGAGAAGAGGAGGAGGGGTCAAAGCTGCATTTTGCTGGAAGAGGATGCCTCCGGAGGCCATGGTCAACTCAAGTTCATATCTACCTCACGCAGCTCTTCTCATGACATTGCTGAGGAACCGAGTAGACCATCCTCCCTTCACGATCTTACACTTCCATCATGAAGCTCGAGGTCCTGCTTTGGGCGTCTGTTGCCCTTGCTAATCCTCTCCGACTTGACATCAACATTCACGTGGATGAGCAAAAGTCCTCCTGTGCTACCGAAGAAACACAACCTCTGACCACCAACCTTCCAGTTGTTGAGTTGCTATATGAGAAGCATAGAGCATCTCCTCCCCAAGTCGTGAGTGCATCAGGCTTTGAAAAGAAGGCTCTAACCCCACGCCCAGTTCAATCAATCCTTCTACAATTTCAGCAATATACCATATGCCCAGCAACCTATTGGCAATCTCCGCTTCAAAGCAGCAAAATCCATTGAGCCCATCCAAGGCGAGCTGCCTATGAATGATGGTCAGAAGTGTGTAGTTTGTCCTCAATCACAAGTTGGCTGGGTACCTCATGCACAAGATTTCTTGAAAGACTACCACGAATTCAATAAGAATCTCGACCAGAAGTGGAGCTACAAGATCACACCGAAAGATAACTACACATGGACCGAGAACATCGATGCAGTGCAAAACATGGATGAGGCATGTCTTACATTAGATGTCATGGTTCCTAAAAGAATCTATGACAAGAGAGACGACTGGGCAGGTTATCCAGGTTTGTGAAAGATGGCTGCCACACATTGCACGTATTGCACTAACACAAAGACAGCTCCTGTCATGGTTTGGTTCTTCGGTGGTGGCTATGTCTTTGGTTCTAAACATCTGTTCGGAGGACCAGCAGGGCTGTTTAATGCTTCGAACCAGCTGGAAGACATCGATGAGCAAGATTTCATCTTTGTAAGTCATCACCAACGACATGTGCCTTGCTAATTTGTGTTATGCATATAGGTCGCCGTGAACTATCGTCTGGGAGCTTTCGGCTGGTTAGCTGTAAGTACTCTCTCAAACTCGTATCGATTCCCGCAAAGAACCGTCTACGAATCTGGCCAACACGATTTTCTGAGCTAACATCTGGCAGGGTGACAGCTTTGAGAAGGCTGGTGGTTTCGAGAATGCCGGGTTGACTGACTAAAATGTCGCCCTTGACTGGGTCAAGGAAAACATAGCCTTCTTCGGCGGCAACCCATACGATATCACTGTAGTCGGTGAATCTGCTGGAGCTAGCTCAATCCTCCAGCATCTTGCTGCCTACGGAGGACCTCGAGCAGGTCGAAACAAGCCTCCCCCAAAATTTAAGCGAGCCATTCTGCAAAGCCCGGCTCTATCTCCCGTTAGTGACCGAGGTCGAATGGAGAATGTCTATCAAAGCTTCCTGAAGGAAGTTGGCGTGAAAGATTTCGATGCATTACAGAAGGCAGATACCAAAGATCTCATTCGGGCCAACAGCAAGACGACATACGAGTCTCCCTATGGCCAGTTCAACTACGGTATGTCTGCCTTCCGCGAACCTGTAGGTGCCGGACCAGGACGTACTGACTCAGAAGCCAGGTCCCGTTATCGACGAAGATTACATCAAATATCCTATCCACCTGCAGTTGAAGTACGGCTTTATGTGGCCAGCGGATATCATGGTCTCGTATAACCGCGCCGAAGGAATGCTGTTTACTCCTCCATGGGTCAGGTCCAGAGCAGAACTCAAGGACTACATCCTATCAGCATATCCGCACTTCCTTGATGAGGAAATGAACACTCTACTTGACTCTGTATACCCATACGACGCTAGTCTTTCAGCAGTCGAAGCTGTCAATGCTACATCACAAGTTCTGAGTGATTTCGTTGTGAAATCAAATGTCTATGGCTTGACCCAGCATTATCGTTACTCCGCATTTGAGTACAAATTCAATTTCTTTCCAGGAATACATGGACAAGACGCGAACTGGACGGTAAGTAGAGACCTCCCGACTTGTGCCGGACAATGAGAAGGTCTTTGCTGTGGGTCATCGCAGCCGATACTGATTTGCACTTGCAGTTTCGTCCCACAGGCGACAAAAACGTCAACAAAGAGCAACGCGAGCGCTTCCAACGCTATCTAACTTCTTATATCAAATGGTTCGTTCACGAGTTCGAACAGTACGTGTTTCCGAGCTAACGCTTGCCAGGGGCGACCCCAATACGGCGAAGCTCTCGGAAGACAAGGACTTTGAGTTTTACAGTGATGGGCAAAAGCACATGCAATTTGGCATTGCCTTTCTTGCGCCTGGTGTTCCTGTTGCGCCTGCTTTGAGCACATTCTATGGCATGCTGCCAGATACACTTAACGACACCACTTGCAACTTCTGGCTGAATGCTCCTTACTGGGACCCTGACAAAGATTCACCTGAAAACTCTGTCAACCTCCGAACCAAGTACGAAGACCAAATGAGTCAGGCTCATGTCGAGATTTGAAGCCAGCAGTAGCACAGGCTTATTGGCCGGTGGATTACATTGGCCGAGAGCAAACATAGCTTCTTGATCATTGGTCCACAGCTGAAAGACTTTGACAGCTTTGTCACCCGTAGTTCAGGTCCATTGGCACCTCGACGTGCCTCCCGGCACTGTAGTCAGTCTGATACTGGCGCCACATTCATTCAGCATCACAACAACTCTTCATCAGGGACACACTCCTGCACAGCTGGCGACCAAAAGAGCATCATAGTACTTGCGACGTACCAGAGCTATGTGGCTGTGTGCTTGGGATCACTTTCCTTCCCCTACGAAAATGCACCAAAGCAAGTCATTAGCCAAGCGGGCATAACTGCCTTTTTCGCTTCAAGTTCCATTTCCTTCTTCGTAGCTGTTCAGTCACATCCAGTATACGGCAACGGAGCTGTACTTTGAAGATGCCCAAAGTGATTTCTGGGGATCATTTGGTTGCCTAGTAAGCAACGACCAGCACACTCAAACGACTCTGGAATTATTAGGGTCGAGCAAAAGCACATGTATGCGCAGCGTGCGTTTGTGTTACCCGATTGAGCTCCGCATCGCCTCCCCGAGCTCGACTCCACTTTCCACATGTCGATCTCTCTCCACAATTCGTGGTCCTGTCCATCTCAATGCAACGTATTCAAGTCCACGTTCGTCATGGTCAGCTCTACTCCGGTTAGCCTTCCCTACCAGCCCTCTATGGGCCTTTACACAATGACTTCGGTCTGTTCTTTATCTTTCTGGGGTCCTTTCAGTGCTACCGTCAAAAGTGAAGCCAGAGAATATGTATGGCAGAAGTGGTAATTTCTTTGGCTTTCAAGGCGTCCGCCTTCAGGTCGCTGTCGCTGTGGTCGCTGGCGCCGACTTCCTTTTGTTTGGCTATGACCAGGGCGTAACAGGATCGTTGCTTACGCTCGAATCTTTCAGAAGACATTTCCCGTCGATTGATACGCTGGCAGATGGTATATCTCCATCTGAGCGAAGTACTCGGTCGACGAACCAAGGGATCGCGGTAGCATCATACAACCTGGGATCCTTCCTCGGTAAGTTAGGGCAAATCGATTGATAGAGAGGTCTGTTGACACCGTATAGGTGCTGTGGCATGTATCTGGCTCGGTAACGCCCTCGGTCGACGGAAGACGATTTTTCTCGGGACGGCGGTGATGATTGTGGGTGCGATATTGCAGGCCTCGTCTCACCAACTATCACAGTTCATCGTCGGTCGCATTGTAACTGGATTTGGCAACGTGAGTCGTCAGGCCTGAGCTTTCCTCTACTCTCTCACACCACATCAGGGCCTCAATACGTCGACAGTTCCGACGTGGCAATCAGAATGTTCAAGGTCGCATCGGCGAGGTCAGCTTGTCATGATAGAAGGAGCTCTTATCACTGGTGGTGTCATGCTTGCATACTGGTAAGTGACCCACCTTACAAAGCTTCAATTAACTAAAACTGCCTAGGATCGACTTTGGCTTTTATTTCCTGGATCCTAGCGAGATCTCGTGGCGCTTCCCGCTTGCCTTTCAGATCGTCTTCTGCCTCTTCATCCTTTCGTTCGTCATGAGCATGCCTGAGAGTCCTCGGTGGCTTGTCTACCATGGCAAAGAGGACGAGGCAATGCACGTACTTGGTGCGCTTAGCGACGTCGACCCAGATAGCCAGTACATCAGGGAAGAATTCCATGCCATCAAGGATACTGTGCTCGAAGCCTCAAAGGGCTCGTTCCGAGACCTCTTTACCATGGACGAGAACCGTCATTTCCACAGAACAGTGCTAGCATATATGAATCAGGTCTTCCAGCAGATCTCGGGAATCAATCTTATTACCTGTGAGTATAGCACATGACAATAGCTGTTGTCTGGTCTTTCAACAAAAGAGTCAATCTCCGAGCTTACATGAATACAGACTACATTCCGAACGTGCTCCAGAACGAAGTCGGACTCAGTCCCTTCCTAGCCAAGTTGATCGCAGCTTGCAACGGCACAGAGTACTTCCTGGCCTCCTGGATTGCTGTATTCACCATCGAAAAAGTCGGTCGACGCAAGCTCATGCTGTTTGGTGCAGCTGGTATGTCGATCTGTATGGTCTGCTTGGCAATCACCGGCTCGATAGGATCGTCTTCATCTGGTATCGCAGAAACAGTTTTCCTCTTCGCTTTCAACACTTTCTTCGCAATCGGTTGGTTGGGGATGACATGGCTGTATCCTGCAGAGATTGTGATACTGAAGATTCGAGCGCCAGCAAATGCCCTAAGTACGACAGCTAATTGGGTAAGTTGTCACTCGTGTCCCGCGGTCCTATCACGGCTCAGCTAAGCCTTTTAGATATTCAACTTCATGGTCGTTATGATCACGCCAGTCGCATTCGAAAATGTAAGTTCACGCAAGAATCACATATTTCCACTACAACAGCTTACCTCTAACAGATCGGTTATCGAACCTACATAATCTTCGCCGTCATCAACGCCGCCATCTTCCCCATAGTCTACTACTTTTACCCAGAAACAGCTTACCGTTCACTCGAAGAGATGGATTCCATCTTCGTCAAATGCAAGTCCGTCTTCACTGTTGTTCGCATCGCAAAGGAGGAACCTAGACGATACGGCAAGAAAGGAGAGGTGCTCATCAGCTATGATGAGACTGATATGTCACATAGACGGCAGAGTAGTGTTACAGCCACTTCGGCGCATAAGCAGGAGAAGGACGAGGAGAGGAAGGAAGTCGTTTGAATATGTAGGTACTAATGAGCTGTGCGGACTTTTATAGCCTGTTCGTACAAAGGTCAAACACATACATCCCATTGCGAGATTTATCGGTTTTGCTCTATCCCATATTGGGCTGATTGCAGCTTTAGCGTCTTGTCAGTCGTGCCGTGAAGTCGTATCATTATCGACTGTGCCTGGGGATCCCTGGGAGACATCTCAATGCGGGTTCTCGGAACTTTCCAGCCATGCTTACTCCAATTGTTGAGTCGTTGTCCTTTTGAAGTGGTCGAACACGCTAAGCAACCAGATCTGGAGGACGCACGCCGATTGTGGTTCGGTTGCAACAATTTACCACCTTTAAGGTTTGATACCTATATATGTATAGATGTATGCACAATAGCCTGAGTGAGCACGTTTCAGACGTGGTAAACGCTACTCCTCCAATTTAATTACCACTACGACATGTCGCAAGCATTTGAACTGCCAGTCCTCATAGTAGGAGGCGGTCTGGTAGGATTGACGCTTGCTCAAGCACTCCAAAAAGCTGGGATTGCTTGTATCGTCTATGAGCGAGATTACGCACTCGAGACTGAACATGGCGGAGGATGGGCAATCACAGTGCATTGGGCTCTAGAAGCGTTGAGAGAGTGCCTGCCTAGCAATCTGTTTCAGCGGCTAGATGATATCCAGGTAGACCGCGAGCAGGGAATCAAGGACACTGGACGGTTTCTTTTCCTCGACATGGCAACAGGAAAGCCCAAGTACGAGGTTCCACCGAGTCCTCGGAAACGGGTCAATCGTCGACTTTTGCGCAACTTGCTTGGAGAAGGAATTGATATTCGTTTCAACAAGAGACTCAAGTCTTTTGAGATTAAGGACGACAAAACTGTCATGGTGAGGTTCGAAGATTCCAGCTCTGTCTGTGGGAGCCTGCTCATTGGATGCGATGGTAGTAACTCGAAGGTTAGGCACTTGTTATTTGGTGACAGGCCTGAGGAGGCACGGTTGTATAGGCTGCCAGTGCGTGCGATGGGTGCCACTGTGCGGATGACGGAGAACCAGATCTTTCCGTTGCGGAGAATTGACCCGCTACTTTTCCAGGGCTGCCATCCAGAGACAGGTATTTTCTTGTGGTATAGCACGATCAGCACACCAGCGCTCAATGGCTCGGAAGGCAGGAGTGAGCCATACTATGAAGGCCAGCTTATCATCTCTTGGAAGTACGTTTCTTGTTCCGACGAGGTTCCCACTGGAAATATGGACCGAATACGGAAGCTGCGCTCGATGGTTTCGCAGTTCGAGGAAAGTCTTCGGGTCGCCGTTGAGAACGTTTCCGAGGACACGGAAATAAAGGAAATCAGGTTACAGGACTGGCCAACGCGACCTTGGCTCAACCACGGTGGACTAGTCACCCTTGCAGGTGATTCCGGCCATGCCATGACCATGTACCGTGGTGAGGCTTTCAACCATGGTGTTACTGATGTGGCATCGTTGTTGAAGCAATTAGTCAGGGTTCGGGATGGAAGTGAGAGTTTGCAAAGTGTCGTGCCAGCCTACGACACTGAACTTCTCGCAAGAACGCACGAAGCCGTTTTGCTGAGTAGACAAGCTTGTATCGATGCTCACGATCCAGATAACTTGTCGAGCGATTCTCCTCTGGTCAGTAAGAGGGCTAGGATATTGGTTTCAGCCAAAGAAGTATCTGAGGATGCTGTTGACACTGGAGGACACGAACATAGACGTGGGAGTAAGGTCTAGGGACCAGGTACTATTTCATCACGTTAATCTGTCAGTCCGAGGTGAAGAATTGCTTGGTTCCTATACAAAGGATGGTTATGCCTGGTTCATGCGCACAGGTACGTGTGAAATTGCTCCCCTAGACCTCGAGCAAAAGTGTGAGGACTACGCCCGCAATTTTGTTCTTACTGACCGGGACGTGACTGTGCTCGCATGCCGGGAAAAGTGTGGGGAGGGAGCAGAGAAACAACTGAAAACTGGTGGGTGGAAGCTAATCAGAAGTTAGAACCGCGGACTTTGTTGTGATTGGCGTGTAGGATAAGCTTCGTTGAAGCTTGTTAATAAGGTTGCAGGACTTGGTTACGGGCAAAGAACGCCGGTCGCTCTTCCAACCATCAGCAAGTGAGCTCAGGACAATGTCCTCGCAACTGCAAAGACGAGTCAGAAGCTGCTTAGAGGCGACTTCATCTAACGATTGAGACTTTGCTGTCGCTGCTGATGTTGAGGTAACATCGTTGAAATCGTGTGCCTTACAGCGTCTTAGGCGGCCATAACTGTCGGCAATAGATTGCGCGATCAAGCTTCACTAAAAATATTTTTCTCACCCCTTTTGATCCGACGCGTGGAGTACTATAGTAAATCTGGGGGAGCAGAAATTTGTCAATATGGTACCGACAGCAACGACGATGCCCTCTGGCATTGTATCCTCGCTCTTCTCACACTCTTTGCGCCCTTGTACGCGTCAAGCCCGTTCCTTTTTGAATCGACACCCCTCACTGGAGAACACGACGCGTGACGTGATAAACAAAATCGGTTTATGCCCCGCGACCCGGCGCACTTTCTCCCGGATGCCTCCCTCAAACTCAGGTTCATCAGCTCACTCTCGGTTGAGTTTGATATCGAGACACTTGGGCGCAAGACCTTTTCCTTCCATCAACACACCCTACACTGTCGAGCGAAACTTACATCCTTCAGACGACGTCCCTTACTCGCCCCAGACTCGAACTTTCGCAACATCTTCACCCAAGATGTCTACCCAGCAAGCACATCCGACTTTACTGATACCGGGGCCAATAGAGGTCTCGGATGAAGTCACACAAGCCATGGGCCGTTTCGCCCAGTCTCACGTTGGCATGCCATTCGTCAATCTCTTCGGCGAGACATTGACTATGCTCAGAGATGTCTTTCAAACCAAGAACCCTGCCTCACAACCTTTCGTAATAGCTGGATCAGGAACCTTGGGATGGGATCTGGTAGCAGCAAACCTGGTCGAGCCGGGTGAAGATGTTTTGGTTCTACACACTGGCTATTTCGCCGACTCCTTCGCAGACTGCTTCAGCATATACGGTGCAAAGCCCACACAGCTGAAGGCCCCAATCGGTCAGCGACCACAGCACCCAGAGATAGAAAAGGCCCTTAAAGAGAAGAAATACAAGGCTATTACCGTGACCCATGTTGATACATCCACCGGTGTGCTGAGCCAGATCGCCGCGCTGTCAGAACTGGTGCACCGAGTCTCTCCTGACACCCTTTTCATCGTTGATGGAGTCTGCTCGATTGGTGCAGAGGAACTTCATTTTGATGACATGAAGGTTGATGTCGCACTTACTGCCTCCCAGAAAGCTATCGGATGTCCTCCCGGTCTTTCCATCATGATGGTTTCAGAAAGAGCTATGGATGTGTTCAAGAACCGAAAATCTCCACCTGGGTCATATTATGCCTCTTTCAAGAACTGGTTGCCAATCATGCAGAACTACGAAGCAAAGAAACCATCCTACTTCGCAACCCCTCCTACACAACTTGTCACTGCCCTGAATGCAGCTTTGAAGCAGCTTCTGACAGAGTCGATGAACACTCGCTTCCAGAGACACAAGGACATCAGTGACCGAGTGAAGAAAGCTGTTGGCGATATGGGCCTCAAGCAGCTCGCTAGCGATCCAGATAATCAAGCACATGCTATGACCGCTATGTACCTTCCAGAAGGCCTTACCCCACCAGAGGTCCTACCAAAGCTATTAGAGCGTGGCGTCATCTTCGCTGGTGGTCTGCACAAGGAGATTGCTACAAGATATATACGGTTCGGTCACATGGGTGTGACAGTAACCAATGACCAGGAGAGAAAAGAGGTTGACAAAGCTCTGAAAGCACTCAAGGAAGTATTGGACGACGTGAAGAAGGCCAAAGGTCAATGACCGACCTGATTTTATGTCATTGTGGCATTACGATCTACCCTGCTTGAATTGTCTTTCGTCGTGTGGAACAAAACGGTCGCACTGCGCTCAGCCTGACGTGAGCGAATGCTCTTTGGCTCGAATGCTCTACAGAAAGGACGTCTGGTATTTCGCCGAGGGATTGGAAAAGCGTGTAAAGCATTGGTTGCCACAACCGTCCGCCTTTTGAAACTAAAACCTATACTGACTAGCTTCGGGAAGATCGTCCAGCTTAGCGGCCATGTATGCAGATATGTGAAAAAGCAGTGTTGACCATGCTTGCAACCACCAAGACGTCAAACGGGGAATCTTCAGCATTTGATCGGTCAAGAGTCCATTCCAGGAAAACAGACCATTCGTTGCGAAATATCTGGTTAGGATTGTCCACTGTATATGGTCGTTTTGACCCACCATTGGAAGTTTGTGTTACCCTCTTCGTTCGCGACTGCCTGAGTCGACCAGCATATGTCGTGCAGTGTCTACATTGGTACTCGCCTACACGGGGTTGCAGTACCGAGATATGCCTTTAGTCGGTATTGCCCTGATTCCTTTTGCCTCAATGTGCTGCAAACTCAGTCCTGTTGCCAATTCACAATCTAAATTCGTCCCTACTATCTCCCCAAATGATCCATTAAATTGGCATAACGGTTTTAATTTCAGCCGATTGTGCAGGTGATTGCAGCTGTTAATCCGTAGTGGCTGCTTTACGAGCATCAGGAACGATGTCAGCATTCTCCCTTGATAGAGTTCAAGTGAATATTGGCGAAGAAGATACAGTCGCTGCCAACGCTCCGAGTAGCTGAAACTGACGTCAAAGTTGTCCACTCTCAACCTACTGTTCACCCACTTTTCTTTGAGCCATCGATCAACATTACCACGTTCATGATTTCTTTCTATACTTCACAGAACATGTGCAACCCACATTCATGCTGTACGTACTGATGCTCCATCAAGTGCCATGTGTATCTGCCGAGTCTGAGATCCAACCACTCAGCTCGTGCACCGCCAATACTGCACCCCAGGATTCGGAATCGGGCCACACCTTCCCCACTTATTCGAGCTTACAAGTCCACCTTGTGGCCCTGGCTCGTCTCCACGAATCATCGACATTGCAAACTAACCCGTGATCAGCGCCTGCATTTTCGCGGTCCTCTTCTTGGCTAACGCAGCACTTTGCGCGCCCTTGGCAGAACAGCCATTTGTCTCGGCTGGTGCGGAAGATGCCCCAGAAGAGCGGAATTCGCGTGCTCTCCATGTTTGCCTCGGGCCCTGGGCAGCTTCAGCTGCATGTACAGAAGCACATTATCGGTTCTCCAGCTCGGTGCTTGCAAGTGAGGATGTGTATGTCAAGATTTACATATGACCCATCCGACTCCCGAATTATACCATCTCGTTGAGCTTATCAATTTTTGTCCTTCAACATTGCTGTGCTCTTTTCTCTCAACACGGATTCTGGTCTGTCATCATGGATCATCCAACATCTATTGACAACAAGTCCAGCCTCTCGACTGAGGCACATGCTGGTACATTTGAAAAGACACAGCTCGCTGCAAACACGAATAAGGAGGATGTCTTCTACAAAGGTGTCCTGGATGATGCTGGCGTGGAAGCTGCGGGCATAGATCCTGTCGCTGAGAAGAAACTGCTTCGGAAGATCGACTTACACCTGATCCCGATATTATGGCTCCTCTTCCTATGCGCCTTCATCGACCGTATCAACATCGGAAATGCACGTATCCAGGGATTGGAGCGATCATTAAATATGCAGGGGAGCGACTACAACATGTAAGGACGATTTTGAGATCCTCTGTATGAACGACCTGAATGAGCTGCTAACAATTTTCCGAAGTGCTTTATTCACGTTCTTCATAACTTACATTCTGTTCGAGGTACCCAGCAATATATTGCTCAAGAAGATACGTCCTTCGATTTTCCTTAGCTCAATCATCGCAATTTGGGGCGTGATCACGATCGGCATGGGTTGTACGGGCTCTTTCGCTGGACTCGTTATTTGCAGGTACGTTCGCCATGGCAAATACGGCCGCCCGGGTTTCGGGCGCCCCTTACGAATCTTCTGACGACTATCTTAGACTACTGATCGGATTCTTCGAGGCTGGTTTCTTCCCTGGCTGCATCTATCTTATATCAATGTGTAAGCTACACGGCCTGATGGCCCACACGTTGCATATATACTATACGTATACCCCCACTATACATATACTGACTAAATCTCAGACTATAAGCGACATGAGCTACAGTGGCGCGTCAATCTCTTTTTCTCCGCTTCTATAATCGCTGGCGCCTTCTCAGGATTGCTTGCATACGCGATAGCACATATGGATGGCGTGGCGGGCTACGCGGGCTGGAGGTACTATAAATTCAGAGACTGTTGATCGTGTCTTACTAACCGAGAACAGGTGGATCTTCATTCTGGAAGGACTAGCCACAGTGCTGATCGCGGCTGCGTCATACTTCGTAATCCCAGACTGGCCTCACAATGCGAAATTCCTCACCAACGAGGACCGTTCTATGCTTTCTCGGAGATTGGCCCTTGATGTCGAGCGTGCCACCATGAACCACTGGGACAAACACACAGCAAAGCGGTGCTTCGCCGACATCAAGATCTGGATCGGCACATTTATGTACATGGGCATTGTACAGACCGGATATGCAACTTCGTTTTTTACACCAACGATCCTCAGACAATTGGGCTGGACCTCAATCCGAGCACAAGTCATGTCTATCCCAATCTTCATCGTGGCCACCGTCGTTGCACTTGTCACTGCCTACTTCACAGACCGAATGAAGCACAGATTTTCGTTCATCATCGCGGGATGCTGTATCGCCACAATTGGCTATGCAATACTTCTATCTATGCTCAGTGTGCCAGTTGGCGCACGGTATTTCGCTCTATACCTGATTACAAGCGGTGGCTACATGGCGCAACCCGTTACGCTCGTTTGGCTCTCCAACAACGTCAGTGGGCATTACAAGCGTGGTGTCAGTTCTGCTATGCAAGTTGGGCTAGGAAATATTGGTGGTAAGTTCTCCCATCTCACATCCCAACGACAAATCAACAGACTAATCACAATCTACAGGTATCGTCGCCTCGAACATCTATCTCCCAAGACAAGCACCAACATATCACCTAGGCTTCGGCATGGGTCTGGGTTTCCTATGGATGTGTGTCTTGTGCGCAGTCGTCTTCTTACTATATCTGAAGCGAGAGAACAAACTGCGCGACGCAGGCAAGAGAAATGATAGGTTGCTCTTAGCTCCAGAAGTACAAGATAATTTGGGAGATGATCACCCAAGTTTCAGGTTCAGTTACTAATTTGTATACACGAGATGACGATATATAGAAGATATAGATGCGAAATTGGGGCGGGAAATATAGGGAAGCCTCTCCTGTCTACGTATTTACGTTGAATACGCGGCAATATGACAGGCGACAGACTCTGGAACAGGTCTTTCCTTTTCGCAGAACGCTGGCAATTCACCACGTAAGAGTGCCAGTCGTCCACTAGGGCTGATGGACGTACCGTGAAGTGTTACATGTCTCTATCATACGTGAATGTATAGAAACAATGTCTAATCCGAGGTTATATTGCTCAACAACGATCGCACTGAATTGACAGACTATCTCGTTAGTATCGAACGAGTCTATTGTCTTTCATCCAATGCACCTCAAAACATAGACGTCCAAATGTACCAATATCCAAACCCTGACGCTACCTCAACACCATATCTTCCTCCAAACTAGTCCCGCCATCCGCGATCATTATGTACTCTTCACTGTACCCAATTCCATCACAAACGGTTCATACTCCGTGTTCCCAGCCGGATCAAACACGACCTCCAATTCAGGCATTTCCAAGACCTTCAACTGCTCCATCAACTCGGTTTGATCTCCCTTGGCCAAGACTCGCACTTTTACCACGCATCGCTTTCCTCGAAAACACAACATCTCGCATTGTTCCTTCTCCAGAGGCAGCGGATCTTTCTGGTCTTTCTGCTTCTTGCGCAGGGCGCAAATTCTGATGGTTGTGGTTGGGAAGAGGCGGAGAAGGTCTTTGATCTGGTTGAAGAGGTGTTTGCGGTAGAAGGGTCGCAGTGCCTGTTTTACGCCGCTGAGTGTGAGGATCTCTCTTACGCTTCCCATGTTGTAGCTGATGTTGATTTCGCGCATGGCGAGGAAGTTTGTGCTTCCATTTAGTTGGGAGCGAGTGAAATTGACGAGCTGAGGTCCACCTGCGCCGTTGCAGAGCACTCTGGTCATCTTTGCGAGTAGGTGAGGTTTGCTGCAGAGAAAGGTGATCGGGTTACAGGAGGACATCTGGTCGCATGGGCGTAGGTCGAAGAGAGCGGTCCACAGGCAGGCGGCGAGAGCCTCGTCGTAGACCTGCTTGCTGGTTGAGAAAATCGCTCGACGAGAGAGCTTCCATCCCCAGGTAAAGTATGCGTTACTACTGTGATTATGGACTCGAAATGTCGCGTCTGAAAAGAGGTTGGAGTAGACCATGCAACGTATTTCTGCGGGGATATCTTCGAGCCATCTGAAGCGCATACCACTCTGTTTCGGCAGTAGTACGATGAGTTCTCGGGCTGATCATAAGTTATCGTGTCTCTCGCGTTCCTTGTTTAGAATATCTTGTACCGGAGATTGGGTAAGTCGTGGTGGATGTAAGCAGGTTAGCAAGCTGGGCTTTGATAAGTGGGTGAGTAGAGGTACATGAGTCACGGTGGGCACCCGACTACTTGAAAGCTCACCTAGTGCTGGGCCAGGAGTTATGAGTTCGTCGTCAATAATATTCTCCAGAAGTTGGACTCCGTGGCTGAGGGGTACGCTCACCGTCTCGAAACCCATCTTGGCCGGCAACAATTTGACAATTTAGACAAGTTTTGTCTTACAGGAGTAAGAACTCTATAAATGCGCTTCGTTCAAGCTAAACAAGTAGTAAGTGAACAGGTCCTCGTGTCTGCCAAGAAAGCTTAATCGAGCACGAGCGTTTCGGGCAACATAACAGGCAAAGGGATTGGTGTTGAAGTTGGCCGCCACAACCCAATCGATAAAAATGTCTAAGACACGCCCGTAACTTGAATGAGAAACCCCGACAGTTTTCCTGATCGGGACGTGGCCAACAGCCAGAGCGCAGAGCTGAGCACACTCTTAGATTTTTGAAGCTTCCGGCTTCTTCTTTTTCTGTATCTCAGGCACCCAAGCATGTCTTCGATGGGCGAAGAGCTGGCTTTGAGGCACAAAGTCCTTGTAGTTATCGTCAACGCTACCCGCGCATACCACGACGTTGTCCTTCGACTTTGGGTTTGTCACATTGCGAATGCTGAGGTTGGAGCCGCAGTTGGAACAGAACGCACGTTCTAGGGTTGATCCAGAATCTGTATCACGGTCCTCGTATATCCTGACAAACTCTGAGCCGGAATCAACTCTGTATTGCTGCCAGAAGTTTAACAGGTCTGTCAAAACATATCTCGGTGTAATTCTTACCTCGTGCTTGTACAGTATATTGGTCAAGAATGCTGAGCCGCTGGACTTTTGGCAATTGAGGCAGTTACATTGAATGTTTCTGGCAGGTGCACCTGTTAGCGTGAAGGTGATCTTGCGACAAAGACATGAGCCTCGACGAAGAGCGTTAGCAGCTGCCATTGTGTGTTGTGATGAAGCCCCGAAACTGTGCATACCCCAATGCAAAGGAAAGCAGCTATATCTCGCTATAACAACAGCAGGGATGTGTTTTTGTTTTCTAACTGGACCTCGGTTCACACACTCGAATAGCACAGCTGATTACATCATATTCGACTTATCGGTCATAATGACCCCAGCGACACAAGATGAGCTGGACGGTAAAAATATAGGTTCGTGAAACATTGTGAAGAGCTCAATGTTGAACTCCTGAAATGACAGGAATCGGGATGCCGGGCTGCTGCTGGCTATAGCACCAAGATATTTCTTGCAATCACCTCCTCGTCAAGTTGCAGATTACGCCTTCTTGTTGCACAAACCAATGATTACAGATACGCCAGTCCTTGTCCGGATGCGTCAATGTGACTGTGTATCGTCTCAACAATTCTGGAAGAACTTTCTGCATCTCAATCATACTGATATTTCGACCTATACATTTTCGGCTGCCACCTCCAAAGTTCAGCTCAAAGATGTCGTCCATTTGTTTCATTTGACTTTCGGTCGCTTCTAGCCATCTCTCAGGTTTGAATTCGTCAGGATCCGGAAAGACTGATTCGTTCCTGTTCGTGACCCATGGATTAATACCTACGATTGTGCCGCCTGGAATGAATTGACTGCTGATCTCAACACCCTCAGGCGGTACATGTCGCTCCATAAGAAATCCGACCGACGGATGAATTCTCATGGCTTCCTTGAGAACGGCGTTAAAGTAGGGCAGTGAAGTCGTGGACTCTTTGTAGGAGACTGGAGTACTCAATTGACTCTCCTTACCCGCTGCGTCAATCTCTTCTACAACCTTGGTCATTATTCTAGGATTGCGACAGAGGTAGTAAATCACGGCACGAAGGGCGATAGCAGTTGTATCAGAACCTGTTACTCAAATCAGCTTCGCAACATAAGTGCAATGGTCGTAGAGTCATACCTGCAAAGACATTAGTCGAAAGGTGTACAATGATGTCACGGGTGCTCATCTTCAGCGGGTCTGAAGACTTCACGTACGCCCAGCGAGAGAGCATGTCTCTTCCACCAGAATCCGCATTGATTAGCTCGCCGTCACGCTTGATGGATGCTCGACCATTGATAGCTTTCAGGGTAAAAACTAAAACCTGATTCCATGTCTCCATTGCAGGCATGAGCATTGAGAAAAGCGGATTACCAAGAAGATATTTGTGATACTCAGGTACCTGTCCACAAAGAGATGCATAGGTGAGCATTCCCTCAATAGCTTTCATCATTCCATCAACATCTGTGCCTCGCTCCAGGAAACCGAGCTTGCTGGCGAAGGTAACCTCTCCCACAACATCAAATGCAAAGTATTGGAGCCAGGCTCCTAGATCGACCGGTTTTTGCTGACTGGCAAACTCATTGAGACGGTCCATGAACAGGGTAATGCAGGAGTCAATCGCTGATTCGGATTCGAGCAAGTTGGGCAGAGAGTAAGCTGCTCCGACCTTCCGCTTCTCGACTCGGTGGTAGGATGGATCCCTGGTGGAGAAGAGATTCATCTCTGGCTGTTTCTTCCAGGAGATACTTTGGATCGGATAGAACCCCGTCTTAGTATAATTCTCTTTGATATTGTAGAATACCGGAATATAGGAGGGATCAGAAACCGAGACGTGATTAGGAGCAACGCGAACGAGTGGGCCATATTTCTTGTGTAGATCAATGGCTGTTAGATGGGCTTGTCCCTTCCAGACATCGTACACTCGCCAGAACTTGGTGTAGGCAGATGCTGTTGGACCAGGAATCTTCCACACATGAGGTTGAAACTTGTTCCACACCAGACGCGAGAACACGAAGGCAATCAGCACGAGCCATGGATGTCCAAGTACTAATTTCAAGCCTTGGGAAAGTATAGTAGAGCCGTCCGAAAGCGTCGTTGGTGCCATTGCGATCCTGGCGTTAATAGCAGACTTTTATGCTATCGTTGATGGAAGGACAGCTTCTTCATGGGTAGATAGCTTCGTACTTTCTAAGGGCGCTCACTCTCGGTCCCCAATAATGTCAGAGTCCATCAACCCGAGCCGAGCTGTGCAAGTGGTAAAGTCCCTTAGTCCAAATATGTATGATGATCTTAGTACACACAAGCTCTTATTGGCAGATTCATGGGTTGACCCCGCGGGGAGCAGCTCCAAAAGTGCGGTGGTCGATCCGGATAAAGTTAGAATGCTCATTAGGCAACCTGTTTGAAATTGAGAACCAGGCTGTGGAACATGTCGTCCTATACTCGAGGTCGATGTGTTCTCGTTCTGTTCGGTGGTGAACCAGTATCTCCTGCTCTTGAAACGAGATTCGGGAGTGGTACTTTTCCTACCCGTTAGCCTTGCAATCGAGAAGAAGACAAGTCCTCTGTTGGGTTACAAATCGTGCTTAATTTCCTAAGCAACAATTCCCGATCTCGTGAAGTGGTGTTGCTCAAACAAGCTGAAGTTCTGTCGTCTGGCTCTCTCTTTAGGCTGTATCTCGCCATATCTCAACTGACCGTTTATCAAGGCAATTCCTATATACAGGCAAGATCGAGCTTGTCCCCAGTCAACTATCTGGTGATCGTATCCTGGTATCTGACACATCTGAGGTTTCGATTCGGCAATTCAATGCCTTCATGTCCGGTGACCAGCTGGTCTGAAGGTGTGATACGCGGGAGAGGACAGCACGCGAAGACGCGTCAATTTCGTGTAGGGTGCGACAGAGCGCGCTGGCAAAAGCGACATACTGGTGATATTCAGCTTCGACGGTTGTAACATTGGTCAGACTCATAGACGAATACAGCATCCCAATCATCAACAACCGCATCAGTTGAAATAGCGACTTTCCGAAAGCTCACCTCAAATCATCACCAACGACGTCATCAGCACTGAATTAATATGCCAAGGAAGACAGGGGCGAGGTCTGAGGTGTCGTAGCTGGCGTGTTCAAAGTTGGTAAGCAGCTGTTAATAACATGTGCCATTCATGTATTGTGCTCATTCCGTGAGAGACAACTCTACTGGAATAGCTGGGAACGATTCGATCATTGTAGAATGTACGGGCAGAGCTCTCGTCTTTACAAGAATGTCACCAAGATGCCCATTCGTGAACATGCAGAACCCCTGCCCAGCCTGGTCCCTAGTCTACGAGTTCGACCCCTGTGAAATAGTGAACACATCTTACTTCTTTTACCCGATGGCCTCCAGACTGACGAGAACAGCATCAAACAACCGCAGTACTAACTCAGCAATATCGAATTGAACGATGAAAAATCAGACTACCACAACGCCAGTCCCTAACCCTATTCATCCTTCAGTCCTGCCGAAGCTCGATCAGACCTTTGTAGACTTATACAACAGGAACTTTGCGCGTATTCCGCCGCGAACACCCGTTTTGACCTCGTTACGTCGAGTTTACAGCACTCAATATGCCTTTGCGACAGGACCGTCTCCTGAATGCGCGGAAGAGTACGATGTGGAAGCAGATGCTTGGAGACGATATCCAGGCAAGATCTTGCTCCGTATATATGTTCCGCGTGGCACTCCGCCAAGCACAGGCTGGCCGGTCCATCTCGACTTTCATGGCGGTGGCTGGGGTCTAGGTGATTTACAGACAGAAGCTCACATTCTCAGACATGTCTGCACCGAGGCTTCCGTGGTGGTGATTGACGTCGAATATCGCCTCATCCCGGAGTTGCCTTTCCCAACTGCTATCTACGACTGCTTCGAAGTCCTCAAGCTAGTCCATGATTCTCCCGATTTCACGTCCAGGCATGGGATCGACGCTCGAAGCATCTCAATAGGCGGCTTAAGTGCCGGCGCCAACATAGCTCTTATCCTCGGTCATCTTGCCCGAGATCACGATCCTAGTATACCGCTCAGGGCGACGATCACTGGCACACCTGTTCTGTCCGACATCTCCGGACTTGACGATCCTAAAGCGAGCCCATTTGCAAGCATGTCAGAAATGGCCCTCGCACCGACCCTGAACTGGACAAGGTTAAAATGGTTCGACAATCTCAAGACATCGTCGCTTGCCGCCTCAGGAACTCCGCAACGCCAGCAACAAGAAGAAGACATTTCATGGTTTCGTGATGCCTTCACAGCGCCAGACTACCGACATCTTACCGGCTTGACCTTCGTTGGCACTGCAGGGTGCGATCCTCTTCGAGACGAGGGTGAAGCATATGGCAAGCTGCTGCTGGAAAACGACAATTGCGTCATCATCAAGCGCTACGATGGTGTTCCGCATCCTTTTCAACACATGGATGCTGTCCTACCACAGGCTAAGGAGTTCATCGAGGACTGCTGCCGCTACATCAAGCAGGCGCACTATGGAGATACAACCAACTAGCGTGCTCAACTCCTGCTAAGCAGTCCTGGCAATGCAGAAGCGTATCGTAGATCTATCTAGGCATGTTCACACATCAGCTCAATCTGACGCATCGACTGTTTTGTCCTTTTCACTCGTTGAAGCACCTTTGAGCAGTAAATACACTAGCACAAGTTTTCATGAATCCTGCAGACTGATACATTGGAGAATAGAAGCCTTGCCTCTTATTGCAAACACCTTACTCGACAGTGACAACACATGAGCGGGCATTCAACTGAACTGAATCCAAACAGACAAGTAGATAGAGTTTAGAATACAAGCATTTGCATTATTTTCGACGTGCAGAATTACCATCAGACGGCAAGCCAGCTCATGTGCCAGCTCTATGAGACTGTGCATGAAGCTCAAACTCAAGTCAGTCGTTTGTTCAACTCATAGGTGTCGAGTTTCCAAGGTAGTTGCACAAGATACTGGAACTGAGGAAATGAGGTGAAAACGATCTGACTTTTATATAATATGTTAACAAGATTGCTATTTTATTACATTCTGCATGCCAACACTGAATCGAGAAGCCCATTGTCTGCGTGTGAGCTCGCAATACTTTGGCAAGCTTTCTCAATCATGCCGTTTTAGTGTCCGGAATCACACGACAACACCATTCGCTCCGCTGTTTTTGCACAGTCGTATAATTGACTAGAGAGGATCTTCACCCATATGATAGAACGCCGGTAGGTGTTCGTACTCTTCTGGTCGATCTTGCTTGGGGCATGTGTGTGTGGTGTTTGTTTCAGGTACTGTAGTATCGGTAGGTGTGCTGTCGTCGTCTTCCTCGGAGACCTCATCGTTGTCTGCCGGTGGGCCGACGGCCCTATAGGATCCGTCCTCACTCTTGATCTCCGCTCTTGATTTGATGAGCAGGTACGAGAACCAGAGCGGTTCTCTGGAAGCCAGACCGTTATCCAAGCCGCATTCCCAAGCTTTCAAGTCTTCTTGTATGTCAAGTAGCAGTCGCTTAAGTAGTGTCTTTTTTGGCCATTGGTATACTCTCCGCTGCACATTAGAGTGTTCCTCAATAGACATTATACTTGCTTGGTAGCACTGGGCACTGATGTCGAAGAGTGTTCGTTCGAGCTGGCATGATGCCTTTGTAGGGTGACGAGGAGCCTCCAGGAAGGCTTTGTTCGGTCGCGCTAAGGTAAGAGCACCTTCTGCAGTGGATGCGAACAGATCTTCCGGCTTGACTCCTACTGGTGGTTCGAGACCTTTTCCTAGTTTCCATGTATTGATGGATTTCATCATCGCCGTAGAATACCTCCATCTACCATTTTTGCTTCGATAGACATCGTCAGGACTCGGGGCAACATGGTCGGGTAGGAATTTGCGGTAATTGGTAGCATCCAAATGTCGCACAAATATCGGTTGATCATGTTCTGGCCCGTCTCTTCCAGTGAGTAAGACGCATTGAGTAGTGCCACGCATCTCACGTCTTGACATTGTGAAGGCGCGGAAGCGGTTCCTGTGGTACTCAGCTATGTCGGCAGAGCGGACTGCAGCTCTCGCGGCACGAATCTCTACCTGCTTCTCTTCCCAACGTAGTCTGTCTTCGCCTCCAAATTGTCGAGCCAGGCCTTTCGAGCACCACAAACATATCCTCCTCCTATCCCTGTTGTAGTCGTCTATCACATCTGAACAATTTAGACCATAGCATTTCATCTCAGTGACTGCCGTGTCGATCTTGGACACTTCCCGATATTGTTGGTTCGCTTCGACAAGGCCTCGGTCAGCATCCATGAGTGTGTTATTGTCTGGACCCGAGACATTTTGTAAAGTTCGACAGTCCTTACAAAGCCAATTGTCTTCGGATACGGAACAACAACAATACACACCTCTCTGACCATAGCTCTGGCCGCGCCATATATGCTCCCGACTGATGTTCTCGGTTGGAAAACGAAAGTCTTTTCGTAGATTACCAGATTCCCAGCATTTGGAACAGAGATACCGTGCTCTGTAGCGAAAAGTATTCTTCGATTGCGATTTGTCGGCAAAGAATGTGCGAACGAGGCAGGCTTTACACACTGGTCGACTGCAGAACTTGCAAGGGCGGACCACGTTGTTTGTTGATCCAGAAGACTTGGGATCCCTGTGAGAAAAGGATGAACAGGTGAATCCAGCTAAAGACTTTAGGGTTGACCACTGTGGTGTCTGATGTTTACCAACGAAGAGGTATTGAGTGTTGGAGGCAACATCGTCGGTATCTTCGTCCGACGTGTTGGCAAGTGGAAAGCCATGAGTATGTGCTCGAGCAACGGACGAAGTTCGGCTCAAGGATATTAGATCGCCAACTGAAAGCTTGCACGCAAGTGTCGAGGCAATCGGCCAAATCGATAGAAGGTATTCTAAACTCAAGGTGTCAGTATCATGACTTCGGACGCTCTCGTCCGTTTGTGAAGATATATCGGACATTTTTGCCTGACAAGAATGGTCCTTCTTGCTGCAGCACTAGCGTGAGATATCAGACGGAAAGTGTTGTAGGCATACACAAACAGAAGAAGGTAAGACAAGATACAGCAGGGATGTAGCAGAAAGCAGCTTCTCAGATTATGTCCGTTTTCCAAGAGTCACACTGTGCGAAGAGGAGTACAATAGCTTGTGTTGTGAGCAAGTTCAAGAACGTTACCTTGGGTTCGTGAATGCTTTGGTTGGTGAGCATATACTGCCTCAGGCAGGTATGATTGGCGGTTAACGTCGGGACGTACTTGCAAGAAATGGCCTCCGAAAATATTTCGCTGCGACCTGTTCTTCGAGGCAGTCGCGCATTAGAGTGAAGCTTTGAGCTCAACCGAGCAGCTTGTGGTTGGACCTATAGCACTAGGTTTGACAGCTGCCTGTTGCAGTAAGCGCAGTCATCCCTGCACTATACCACCAGCAGGTACTCTGTCGCCATGGCCCTCTCAACCTACGTATCCAAACGCGTCTGTATAATTACAACCGATGGTCGTACCCTGCTCGGCACTCTGGAAAGTCACGACCAACAGACGAATGTCATCTTGTCGAACACGATCGAGCGCATAATAAGACCTGCGGACGACGAAGAACCAAACACTGTGGTCGAGCATGGGTTGTACCTAGTACGAGGCGACAATATTACGATAATTGGGGAGGTCGACGAGCAGTTGGATGATAGCATAGATTGGAACAAGGTCAAAGGCGAGGTCATTGGTGGGACGTATCACACATGAGAGTCTACTAGAGTAACGAAACAACCATCTTAACAGAGGAGCGGCTCGACGGATTCGCATCGACACAGCCAGGTACACATATTAGGGATTGCTCATACTCTCGAACAGGTTCTGCAGAACCACTCGCAGACGCATCCACATTCAGCATGCACAGTCGCACGCAATATCTGTCTTAAGGAGAGCTGCTATAAAGAGGTGTGGGTCACCGAATCGCGAAGAGAGATGCTCGATGAGCGCGTGGAAATGAATGTTTGAGACTGGGGAAGATACACCCGAAGTTCATTACCCTTTATCCTACTTGGCAGTGTCGTTCTTGACGAACCGGGCGTTGCTTCAAACATAACAAGTTCAGGAGAAGGTCGTATCAGATATTCAGGGTCAATCAAGCAGAAAAGAAAGGAGATAACGTACAGAGCTGCGGAGCAAGGAATTGTCTGTTGCGTATGCGACCACTAATATCGAACGACAGGACGACTTCCACGGCGGTTGGTTACATGAAACGACGTATTCTGGCCGTGGATAACGATGCGTCCCTCCGAAGGAGTGCGGTCGCTGACGAACCTATTGTTCGTGACACCAGTGCGATATTGGGGCGTGAGAGCTGCGCCGAGTGTTGTTAAGGCTGCTCCATGTCCAAACAGCCACAAATGTGCCGACCAGACTCGTGAACACCGATAGTATACCATATGAACGAGAGGTGGCCGAGCTGGATAGAGCGTCAAAAGACCTCTAGTGGGGAAGCCATGGTGAAATATACCGTTCACATTATTTGCATACACTCCATTGCTGGCTCTACATACAAATCCATTACTCCTGGCCGAAGCCCAATGTTTCTTCGACGGCCGTCGCCAACTTTGATTGTAGTGTATCGTAGCTCTTGTAAGGAGGCAGATCAAGTCGATTGAAGCTAGAAGTGCCGTTAGTCTGCTGGTTTTTCAGGTAGAAAATGCTGCATGAACTTACCAAGTATGCGACTTTGGCAACGCATTGACCTCTCCTGCCTTCTCGATTGTGAAGCGTCTTGGGCCATCACTGCCCTGTAGATCTTTGAAACCATTGACTGGTATTCGCGAGGTACCTGTAGCAAATTGCAAAAGACGAGATTTCTGCTCCGCGTCCCAGGTCCTAATAACTTTCCAGAAGTGCTGGATCACTTCGTCTGATTCTTGGTATCCACGGTAGTCGGTATGCTTCTTCCAATCGTCTACGTCGATATCCGCAATACCGCCGATAAGTAGCTCGAGTTCTCTCTCGTCAAAGACGTTTACGAGGTCAGCTGGGATGAGTTCGTTGAAACCTGTAATGAAGGCGTTGAACTGATCTTCCACTCGCTTCTTGATCTTCCATTCTGTAAGGAGCCTAAACCAGTTAGTTCATGCCACTCGCGTGTGGGAGAAAAACTTACTCGACGTATTCATGCTTGTTTTCGTTTGTCACTGGAATGTCTCTGCCACCAGGTTTGAGGTCAATCGTCATGGTTTCACCGAACTGTTCATCGTCGACCGAGAAAGTCTGGTCCAAAATGTCCGTGATGTCATTCTCTAACATCCAGGTCAAGTTTTTGTGGTACTCCTCGTCGACACCTTCCATGTCGTTGATCATCACCTTCTTTCTAAGCATCATCTTGTAGAATGCGCCGATGAAAAAGGAATCCAAAAAGCGTCGGTGGAAGATGGCAAGACCGACGACTCGGCCGATAAACTTGAAGTAGTTGAGATGTTCGGGGTTGATGCCGGAATGGGGATTGATTTGCAGGGTGTAGTTGTCGTGCGCCGAGTATTCGAAAAGACAGTAGAAGGGGTTAAACATCTCGTGGGAAAGAAGAAAGAAGAACTCTCGCGATAGGCCACCATAGTCGAGGCCGTCTTCACCATCAAACTTGATCATGAGTCGCTTCTTCAGGTCGGTGGCAGACTGTCGCATAATCTCAGCATAGGAATCCTCGAAAATGTTACCACGTCGAACTTTAACATGGCATTGTCCCGACAAAATCCTGAGAGCTGGCTGAGAGCGGAAGTAGATGAGTTTCCTTCTGAAGTCTCGTTTGTATTGTGGCACTCCTTGGTCGAGAGATGAAGGTAGTCTCGGGTCGTCCCAAGTAGTGGTTTTGGTATTGTGATCAACAAAGTAAACACGTGCCGTGTTAGTAAGTCGCATCTCCCATCCACTGGGTAGGGGTCCGAGCTGTGACACGGGTTGTTGCTGGATGGTAGTGTTGTTACCTGTTGGATTGTTGCCGTACATTCTAATGTATTGCTGTCGTCTTGGGTCCACCCATGTAGTTGTCCTCGTGTTATGATCGACATAGTAGGGACGACCTTCTGGAGTGTGCCTTTGCTCCCATCCAGCAGGGAGTTCACCCGTACCTGCGGTGGTAGCACCAGTGGCCATCATGGAGACTTGATTTGAGCTAGGTGAGGCTTGACGTGCGTCGAGGTTAGGAGAATTTGCACCAGTACGGTCTTCTGGCAGCATTCTGTTCTGGTGCCTGGCTCTCTCCATTGCCATGTTCTGATCCATGCGAGCTCGTTGTTCCTCGCCCGAGGCTGAAGGACGTGTCCAGGTAGTTGTTCTGGAATTGTGATCCACATAATAAGTCCTTCCTAGGTTGTCTTCCCTTCGCTCCCATCCTGCCGGAAGTCGTCCTTGAGAATCTTCAAAAGAACTGAGTTGGCCGGGTTGCCGTTGACCATTAGTCGAGGCAGCGCCGTTAAGGTTGGAGATGGAAGCTCTAGGAGGGTCTCCGGCAGAAGTAGGAGCTCTGGAAGGAACAGGGCTAGGCCTGCTAGCAACGAGACTCTGCTGACTAGGTGCACCAGCGCCAGGGAATTGGCTGCTGCTCGCGGTACTGGACATGGTATTTGCAGTAGTTGGGGGAGGTCTGCTGGCTTGGGTACTGGCTGGAACAGTGAGATTGGTTGACAGGTTGACAATGAGCTTGCCATGGACAACGAGATTGTCAGTGGATTTCTTTAGGTCGCGGGTCAACATTTCTTCACATGAATTAGCCTGCTAGTCTGGTAAAACTCAAACTTGAAGCCTACCGTCCCCTCCCATGTCCAGATCAATGACATCTCCTACACGGACATTGATCACACCAAGGAAACCCTGGTCCTTCTTCTTGAATTTCTTCTGGTCGAATATCTGTATCGCTAGCACGCTGTCTTCGTTTGCGCGCCTGAAACATTGTCAGTCGCAGCTCTTTCTATGGGAATTAACACTTCTGAGGGCACGCACATATCGAACGATTCATTCCAATATGGGTTCAGCGTCTTTTTAATGACCTGCGTCGTTTTGGTCTGTTCGCCTCCGATCGTCGCAACAGCGAATGGGTCCGGAAAACCTGTAAAATGTCAGCACGAATGCCTGCCTGCTCAGATAGGGCGGCATACGAAAGACATCTCGCTTGTATAGTCCATCAGCGGCAATGACTGGACATGGTCAGTAGGGTCGCTGGGGAGCGGTAAGAAGAGGCTGTTCGTACTGGTTACTCGCAAATTTGGGTCGCTGGACACGGACGATCAGCATATCTTCATGAGAGTACCAATAGACTCATACCCAGGCAGAGTGTTTTCTGGCATGACTTCCCCGAGTCGCCGCAAATGAGGCAGCTCAATAGATACCCCTCCAAGAATATATAGCTGTACTGTGCGAGACGATGGATTAAGTCAGGGCACCGGCGCTTGCAGAGGTAGGTGCGGTGTAACGGAGTGGCAGGATCGATGCTCTACTCAGTCATTCATAAGCAAGAGGTGACAGAGTTCGACAATCGACGTTCAAGTTGCCGTACCCAAAACACCCAAAGTTATGGCGTATGATGCAGTCGCTTCGGCTCTGGCAAGGCGGGCACTGAGACCCTGGTCGCTGCGCCTCGCGCCTACGGAGAGTCATTTTAGGGTTGCTCGAAACCCTGCCTGAACGTGCACTGTAGCAGTATTTCGTGTACGGTTACGACAGCTCAGCTTACGGTGAATCATAGCAGGAACGGCATTGTGTTGTAGATTGAGACTACCAGAACAGCATATTACACGAGCTGCGTGTCGGAACAGCCAATACTGAAATTGATAAGACGCCACGTCTTTGTGTATCTTCAGAATCGAGTGCGAGAAGGTAGCATAAATACTATCCAGCCGGATCATCTGTGTCGAATACGTTGCTCGCCAAATACTGTCATTCGTAAGAACACACGCCCGCAGGGTGTATATATTTCATCACTGTAGATTTCGAAATTTGTTTCTCCAAGATCGTGTGCCCTGGACTCATCGTCTGCAGTCTCCAGAGATAGACCAGCTTTTGAAACAACACTGAGCCAGATGACATGTCTTTCCGTGTTCGAAGGGCTGCGGTTTGTTCTCTTCTCAATAAGGTGCGTAGCCTCTGCTACCACGACCACCTCTAAATCCTCCTCTGAAACCACCACCGCCTCTTGGAGCACCATAACCACCTCCGCCTCCATAGCCACCACCATAGCTTGCACCGCTACCACCTGGACCACCTCCTCTGCCAAACCCTCCTCTTCCTCCTCGCATTGGTGGTCCGCCGCCGCCTCGTCCTCCTCCTCGGCCTCGGGTCATGCCCGGTAGGTTCGTTCTTTTGGGTACCACCTATTGAGGTCAGCGCAAAAACCTCTTTGTCGTATGCATTGTCTCTTACCTTGATGTTCCGCCCCTTGAATTCACTTTCGTTCAATACCAGAGCCTGAGCCACGTAGCTAGGATCTGAGAACTCCACATAAGCATACCTGCAAATTGTACCATTAGCTTGCTGTGCCCCCTCTTGCCAGGTAGCGTGATCTTGACAGAGTGGAATCGAGTTCTTGAGAGTACAGAATGAACCAAGCTCTTGCAGCACATCTTACTGATTCTTCAGCTGAATCGATGTCTTGCCACAACAAGCTGGACAAAAGACTTGTGTGCATGGTGCTTTTATGATTTTAAACATACCCCTTTGGATGACCCGTGAATTTGTCCAGGAGGATTGTTACTCGATTGATGGAGCCGGCGCCGTTGTTGAAGTGTGCCTGAATCTCTTCTGGGGTTGCGCTGTAGTCGACGTTGCCTACGAAGACGGAGCGAGCGTCGACATCTTCACGGTCTTCCCGTGACCTGCTGCCTTCGCCTCCTCGCTCTTCTGGGTTCTGGCCGTCGAATTGTGATTGCATTTCTCGTAGTCGAGCTGCTTCTGATTCCATTTCAGCCACGCGACGCTTCATCGCAGCGATGTCTTCCTGTTCAGCTTGTCAGCCATGTTCCAGCTGTGATCGCGAGAACCCATACTTCATTGTCAGAGCCTGGCTCATCTTGCCTAGGCTCATCCTTGTATTCTGTTTCGTCTGCCATAATGTAGGTATTTTGTTTCGACGTCTCAGGATCGCAAAGTAGAAGCCGTAATTTGTGGTGTTGGCAAAGAAGACAAGTACAGAATTGGAAACCAAACACGATGGACTAAAGTGTTCAGATCGAACGAACCAAGACAACGAACAACGATTATTGAGACAGATGTGAGGCTGCGACAGTCGCGCAGCATTCTCCGCCACCAAACAAAAATAAGGTTGGCGACCAAGCAGGGGCTTAGGAGGCTCCGACAGGCGTTCGCGCTAGTGGTAATGATTAAGAGCTTTACGCGGTCAACACTGTCTAGACAATGAACTTGTTGACCAATTTGTTTCTAGTTAAATCAAGCATGGTTGGCACTCTGTCTGCTGCACTGTAAGCTGCTGCGTCCTGTCCACACTATCTCCATGTAACCTCTTTCCACCTACACGAAAACTGCACAGCACGTCCTGTCCGCCGTCGTCCCAGGCCACCCAGTTCACAAATGCTTCAGCCAGTGCCTTGTCTGTAGCTTCTGGACTGACCAATGCACAAGCAGGGTTTCGAAGACCATCTCCATCGAGCTGGTACGCTCTGGACAGCGTCACATCATGACTCTTTTGATCTTCGTCCCATGTAATGCTTCCTTCCTTGAAGCACATCATCCCTACACACTCATTGTCATTGCACATTTGCAACCATGTGCCTCGGTCCACGAGAGTGTATGCTCCTATCTTGCATGCCTCTTTGAGCGCCTCAGCTGGAAACGCGATGTGCTTGGTATACCATTCTGATAATGTTGCTGGTTCGGCCCATGGGGTCTGCCCAATTGTACTCCAAATTCGACTTTCGAGGATGTTGTTCGCCGACTTGTCATATCGACTGAGAAAGCTGACCTTAGACCCTTCGTGAGCAGCTGCTTGAAAAATTGATGAGAAGAGCTCGTATATGCTAGTTTCGTTGTCGCTCGGCAATCCAGCTGGATTGGATACAGGTCCAATTAAATTGAAGGCGTCCTTCCACAGTCGAACCGCAGGAGAACAAGCCACTTTCTGACTGATGGCAATTTGAGCTGCGTAGGGGTGATAGACAATCGCTATATCTGCCAATCTGGACGCCAAGGCATTGAAAGACAGGGAGGTGTCTGTCGCGAGCCAGGCGACGCGAAAAGGAGGCCGTGGGTGAGGATTCTCTGAGGAAGCTGTGGTGATGCTACACGATGTATATCTCAGTTAGTGACTCGATTCGGTCATGCTTCGATCTGAGCATTTCCAGCCAAGCTCAAACTACAGTGTATATCTGTATTGCAGGTGAATCGTCGAAATGGCAATATAGACGTACAATTCAACAAAGGCTTCTGCCAACGCTTTAAGAACTCCAGTTTGGCCTGCTCCCCCAGTGGCTATTTTTAGCTTGATTGGGCCTTGCTTGCCATATATGTCGCTGGCCTCGACGTCTGCTGCTGGCTTGTTGGTTCTGCCAACAACAGATGCCATAGTATAGCTTTCGATCAGTGCAACCTGTCAGGTACTGGAGCAGTCTGGAATTGACCTGAACGAGGAGAATGAGGTAGGAATTACTATCAGCTGCTCGAACAAAACAGATCAAATGGCTTCGTCGCGATGTTCAGTGGTCGGATAAACTTGCATGCTTACCGCGACCAGCTGTGGTCACACCCATTGGCCTTTTCTTTCAACGCAGGAAGATATCCTCGATCAAGCTGCTTTTCTGCAGGCAAGCTGGCATACTGTAGTGCATCACAATTCTGGCATATTAATGTCAATATTCTGATGGTCTTCACTGTACATATCGCTACCGTTGTGCTAAATCATTTCTACCAATAGACGCAGGCCGAGACAAGCGTCACCATTTCGACCTTGCCCAGTTTCACGATTACCACTAGGACATCACCGATGGAAAATCGAGATTTGCTCCATCGGAACCACTGCCGAGCCGAGCACATCCTGACTACGAACTTGTAGATGAAAGGCGTGCTGAAAGTCAATATAGCCTTTCATGACAGATCCTCAGCTTTCTATCATGACATGGAATTACTGTGTGGCATGAGCTGTCTAAGGCGCTGAGATGGATCCGACTGCTAACCCTCTAGTTAAGGAGATCAGCACAGAACGCAACGTTACTGAGGACTCCAAGCAGAACGACACTGCGGGCGTCACACATTCGCACAATGGCGAACAGAACGAGAAGGCTGCCTCCACAGAAATCAGCTCGGAAGCTCAGAATGTTGTGATTGATTCGGAAGACGACTTTCCTGAAGGTGGCATCAGGGCCTGGCTTGTGGTGGTAGGCGCATGTCTTTGCCTGTTTCCAAGCTTTGGATTCATGGTCAGCATCGGTCCGGTACAGGATTACCTTCACCAAAATCAATTGTCGGAGTACTCATCTAGAGATGTTGGATGGATTCCCTCGGTCTTCGTCTATTTATCGCTTGCGTTGGGCATCTGGGTCGGGCCTCTCTTCGATCGTTATGGCGCGAGATGGATCGCATTGGGTGGGTCTATCGGCTATACCATCATGATGTTCTTACTAGCAGAGTGTGAGAAATATTGGCATTTCATGCTATGCCTGGGTTTCCTAGGTGGTATCACAGGTGCGGCGCTGACGACAACCAGTCTGGCCTGTGTTGCACATTGGTTCAAGCGACGACGAGGGTTGACGCAGGGAATAGCAATGATCGGTAGCAGCTTCGGCGGATTGACCATACCTTTGATCTTGAGAGCAACGTTTCCAAACTATGGATACAAATGGTCGATCAGGATTTTAGCCTTCCTATTTCTGGGCTGCTTCGTGATTGGAAACCTCATCATGCGGTCGAGGATCCCTTACAACAAGAACGCCAAGAAGAAGAGTATCATATCGCTGTCGATATTTGCTGACTTGCGCTTCTCATTATTGACAGTAGCTGTTTTCTGCTTTGAGGTCGTCTTGTTCGGCAGTCTAGGCATCGTGCCTACATATGCAACCATCAGCACAGACTACCCTCCCAACACCGGTTTCTATCTCATATCCGTGATGAACGGTGTTTCGTCTGTGGGCCGACTAATCACCGGCTATATATCGGACAAATATGGGCGGTTCAACACTCTGCTGGTTTCCGCAATCATCGCGTTACTAGCCATGCTCATTGTTTGGCTTCCTTTCGGTCAACACCACTTGGCAGCAATGTACGTCTTTATCTCGTTGTGGGGAATGATGACAGGTTGCTGGATGGCTTTGGTGCCAGCATGTATTGGCCAGCTGTGCAGAGCGGATGAGTTTGGTAGGTACTACGGGACATGCTACTTTGTCGCCTCGCTGAGTACTCTTGTGTGCATTCCCATCAGTGGTGAGCTTGTTGAGATCGTTGGCCCAACGGCGATGGTGGCATTCTATATTGCTGTTCTTGCCCTGGGAGTTGTGGCTTTCACAGCCAGTCGATGGGCTTGTCTACACTGGAAATGGGACTGGACGACGAAAGTGTGAAGTCGGCATGTCCTGTGAAGGACCACTGCGGGTTTGTATGAGAAAAGCATGTCTTGAGATATGCATGCTGAACACCAGAACGATCATCTTGAACAGGCTCAGTGTTCTGTGATGCTTGGGATTACTGGTATGGGGCACTACAGTTCACCTGAAAGGCGACCACGGGGGTATACATAAGCGCAAATATATGCATCTGTGTTGAAAAGGCTGCCCTATTCTGGTCGCACATCGCCAATCTTGATATGCAAAATTGGCTTCGCTTCACGCGCTAAACACGAATCCGATCAACCTACTGATTGTGTATTGTTGTCATCGTGAGTCTACTGGAGCAGTTGAATGAATAGAAAGGTCACATATATCGCGCAAAGTGACTGTCATCGAGTGCGGCCTACATCCGAAAGTGCAGCACTCAACACGTTTTCACTAAAGAAAGCATACCGGTTATTTGCAGCAGCAGTACCTCAATCGAACATAACCACAATCTGGACGGGAGTCGTCCATTGTGGGATATCTATCATGGATTTGACGCACTTTCCACATGCTATGGTTTGTTGTAAGCGTACGACTTCCTGCATTGAGTGCAGAGGTGATCATGTCGTCTGAAAATCGCTCATACGAATCCAAACATGGTTTAGGTGTAGCTTGGGAATTTAATGGAACGACCGTGTAGATACTAGAATTTGACGCGCCAGCTTGTTGAAGGGAGCTGAATGTCCCCACGCGACACGCCGCGGTAAGACGGTGATCACTTCTAGCGGCGATTCCAAATCAGCACCCTCTCATGGAACAAGTTGCCGCGAACAACACACTTGTTGTGAACAGAAGACAACCAGCAGAGGCTCGTGCTTTGATGCGAGTGCGAGCGCGAGTCATGCAAGAAAAGAGCTTAGGATGAGTTAAGCTTAACAGACCTGCGCCTTCATTGGCAGAAGGAGCCACCACTATCCTCAAGGTCCACCAGGATCCAAACAAGAACTCTCAGATCAACAATGTTCCCATCTCCTCTATCACTTCTGAGCACACTACGCCCTGGCCAGCACTGCCTCATTGTACGCTGAGTGTGCTGGAACGGCTTTTGAGGGATTTCTGATGCAAACGATACAGCCAATCGTTGCAGTGCCAATGTTGTGTGTTTCTATCGAGACTGGCTGCTGATCTGACAGTACTTTCCCTGCTCTTGCTTCTACTATTCCAGCAGTTTTGTAAGATCGGACGGAAGGGCCACCAACGCTTGGGCTTTAGGTTAGCCTTCGTCGTCAGGCTCGATACAGCAAATCGAGACGTCTCGCAAGATGGGCTGTGCCAGTTTTTGACAGGTCGTTCGCTTCCACTCGCGAGCACATGCTTGAAGATGTGGTGTTGGTTTCGAGCTTTGGCAAGCACAAACAAATCTTCACTTCAAGACGAGTATAAAGTCTTATCTTTTCGACCATTGTTCATACTTACCCTGCCTGCTTCGTTCTCTTCCTCCCTCTCTCGTGTGTGATCGTTCTCCTGCCACTTACCTCCCACCTCTTCCCTATGGACGTCAAGAACGATGTCGAGGCTGCCAAGCCTAGCTTTGCTGATAGTGATTCAGACTTGCCCGCGGCCATCACAGAGAAGCGCCGTATCACATATGCCGACGACGAGATATGTGAGGTCGGCCTCCCACTTCGTCACACAAAGTCAAGTCAATCAATACGGTCCCTGCATAGTGCTAATGGTCGACGCTCCATTGACCCCTACGTCGCTCTTCCAATCCAGTACCGAACCCTCAGCTACAATATCGAAGACAGTCAGCGCCAGGTCGAGGAAAGGAAGGCCAAGAGTGCTAAGGACAAGACCGTTGACGAGCTCATCGACGTCGATTGGCATATACTTTCTGAATCAGAAACCTGCAAGAAACTGCTCACAGATCCCGCTTATGGATTGTCTGACTATCAAATCCAGTCAGCACGATCTCTTTATGGCAAGAATGTTCCATCACCACCACCAAGTCGACTTCTACAGAAGATTTTCTGGTATATGTTTGGTGGATTCGGCACCATCTTGTTGATTGGCGGCATTCTGGTCTTCATCGCTTGGAAACCTTTAGGCGAGCCAAATCCTGCACAAGCAAATCTGGCCCTTGCTATTGTCCTCCTCGTCGTCTTCGTCATTCAAGCTCTTTTCAATGCTTGGCAAGATTTTTCAAGTTCTCGTGTTATGAAAAGCATCACAAGCATGTTGCCAGAAGAATGCCACGTCCTGAGAAATGGCATAAACAACACGATACAAGCCTCAGAACTCGTTCCTGGAGATATTTTATCCTTCAAGGCTGGAAGTAAGTTGTCAGCGGATGTACGTTTCGTTGAAATTACCTCCGATGCCAAATTCGACCGCAGTATCTTGACTGGCGAGTCTGCTCCGCTCGCCGCAGTCACCGAGGCGACAGACCAAAACTACCTGGAAACCAGGAATGTTGGTTTCGCTGGCACACATTGTACATCTGGAGGCGGTAGGGGTATCGTGGTCTCAATTGGAGATAAGACCGTGTTCGGCCAGATCGCACAATTGAGTAGCAGAGAACCTACAGGACGTACACCTTTGCAGAAAGAGATCATCCGTTTTGTGATCATCATCGTCAGCCTCATGGTCACAATGAACATAATAGTCATTGACGTCTGGGCTGGCTATATCCGGACTGCATACCCCAACTACATGCCGCCTACTCTGCTCATCGTCAACATCGTTTCAGTCGCTATCGCTTTCGTTCCAGAGGGCCTACCCATTGCACTGACGGCCTCGCTAACGATTACTGCCAACATCATGCGAAAGAACAACATTCTCTGCAAATCCTTGAAGACGGTTGAGACTCTCGGAGCAGTCTCCGTGCTCCTCTCCGACAAAACAGGAACTCTGACCAAGAACCAGATGACTGTAACAGAAGTCCTAATTGGCCTTACCCAGAAGGCCACAGACGATGTTCGACGGGACCGCGTAGAGGGTCAGTCGATGAGAGAATCCATTGATCAGCTGCGAGTCGTGGCAGCAATCAACAACGCTGGTGACTTCGATCCTACTACCATGCAGCTCCCAGTCCCACAGAGAAAGGTCATCGCCGACGCCACAGACGCAGCGATATTACGCTTCTCAGAGACTATTGTACCCGTGGCTGAATCACGTAGACTCTGGCGTAAGCGTTTCGAGTTACCTTTCAATTCGAAGAATAAGTTTGCTCTGCGCGTGCATTCAGTCAACAACGTACTAGCCACCAGGACTACTCTTAGCAGTGACGATAAATCAAAATTCGACACGATCACCGATCTTCTCATGACCATTAAAGGTGCTCCTGACGTGCTTCTACCTCGATGCACATCGTACGTTGGTGAAGATGGAGAGGTACACGATCTTTCGGATGGCGTCAATGCTACCGTCGCAAGCGTGAAAGATGAGTGGTCGGGCCAGGGAAAGCGAGTTCTCTTGCTGGCCCGAAAAATCCTCCAGAGATCATCTCTGGTTTACGACACGGCAGATGGCGAGTTTGAAGCTGAGGCGCTTCGACATGCATCCTCAGACCTTGTGTTTGTTGGTTTGGTCGGCATTGTCGATCCCCCTCGAGATGAAATACCAAGTGTTGTCAGTACGCTGCGACGTGCCGGAATTCGAGTCTGTATGGTCACTGGCGACTTCAAGCTCACTGCTCAAGCGATCGCACGCTCGTGTGGTATCATTACAGTTCCTGACAGCCAGGTTCACGATATTGCCGCTCTGCCACGAGCTCTCACCTCTTCTCGCGAAAACCTTTCATCCAGCACTCAACGCGAAGCCATTGTCCTATCTGGTCCGGAGCTCATCACCTTAAACGATGTACAGTGGTCGATCCTTACCACGTACACCTCCATCGTCTTTGCACGTACAACGCCTGACCAGAAATTACGTATTGTCAAGGAATTCAAGAGACGCGACAACAACGTGGTAGCAATGACTGGCGATGGTGTGAATGACGCTCCGTCTCTCAAGGAAGCGGATATAGGTATCGCACCAGGCACTGCAAGCGATATCGCCCTTGAAGCTGCTGACATGGTGCTGATGGACAGCTTCTCCGCCATAATCGAAGCTGTACTCTATGGTCGCACCGTCTTCGACAACCTGCGCAAAACAATCGCCTACCTCCTGCCTGCCGGTTCATTCTCTGAGTTCTGGCCCGTCATGACCAGCGTAATCTTCGGTCTGCCTCAAATCCTGAGCTCTTTCCTCATGATAATTATTTGCTGCTTCACCGATTGCGCAGCCGCAATCACCCTGGCTTTCGAAAAGCCAGAAGCCGACGTCCTCCTACTGCCACCACGAAACATCAAGAAAGACCGCCTAGTCGATGGGAAACTCCTCCTCCAATCCTTTGGCTTCATCGGCATGATCGAGTGCACCGCCTCCTTCGCCATGTCTTTCTGGTACCTAGAGCGCAAAGGCGTTCCTTTCTCAGCCCTCTGGTTCAGCTACGGCGACTACTCCGCCGTTCCAAACATGACTTCCGACGAAATCACTGCCAGACTCAACACCGCATCCTCAATCTACTTTGTCAACCTCGTCGTCCTACAGTGGTTCACTCTATTCGCACTGAGAACACGCAGATTATCAATCTTCCAACACCCGCCACTCTTCAACCGCAAGACACAGAACTGGTACTTATTCCCAGCGATTCTGTTCGCGCTAGTGGTGATCTTCATCTTCTGCTATATCCCGGATGTGCAGAGGGTTATCGCTAGTGCCGAGGTGCCGGTTGAGCATTGGTTGTTGCCAATGGCGTTTGGACTGGGAGTGTTGTGCTTGGATGAGGTGAGGAAGTGTGGTGTCAGGAGGTGGCCGAGGGGCGTGCTGGCTAGGATTGCGTGGTGAGGAGGTGTTGAAGAGGTGAGCAGGATGCAGAGACGTAGTGAATTGATGACTAGCAAAGTTTACCGGAAATATTCACTCACCAGTTACTTGAGTGTGTATCGATCTGTGCAAGCGTGTGTGGGAGACTTGCCTATCTCGTTTCCACTATGCAAGTCGTCCGTGTGTTCTCGGAGGTGAGCAAGCACTACCTTTATCGTCCGTGCCACTCTCTTCGAAATCTACTGCCCATGTTCTCAGCTTCGGAATATCTCTCGTATGGCATCAGTTTATGAACACAGAAGGAGGCCACCCGCACCAAGCTACAGGATTTGAAGATTCCTCCTATCCTCACAAGAGGTGAGCCGCATGGTGGAGACGCAATAGTGTGTATTCAAGTGGGATCTATGCTGCTAGCACTATGAAAGCTCGTGTTCCTAGTATAATATATGTATACCCATTATCTCTTCAGAAGGCAAGGAACTTTTATGCAATGCCAAAAAGAGAATCAAACGCACCGCCTTTACCCGTCCGTCCATCGTAAGCCATTATGCCTATACCATACCATACCATGCCAAGTCATTACATGTGATGAAACCAAACACCATCCCTTGAGCCAATGTGTTGTTAGTGACTCAGTAAATCCCTGACACTCATACCACCCCCCTTGACCCTTTCAACACCCCCTCGATCAGCCATCGATCTCCGATCGTTAGTCAACATCATCAACGCGGCAGTAGCAGTTGCTTCAGCGTGACCTTCTTGGATATGCTGGCCTGCTCCAATGGATGGTGAGAATCCTGGTGGAGGTGCACCCATAGGCATCGCGGCTTTGGGTAATGGGAGGATGTTCGGGCTGAGACAGCCTAATTGGTTGGAGTATGTCCGGCTCAGGTCGGGGTTGAAGTGGATGGCGTTGAAGGCCGGACTTATGCCTGTTTGTAGGGGTGTTTGTGCTGTGATTGGGGGAGGGGATGTAGAGTATGTTTTTGAGACTAGTGGCGGTAGTTGTCTTTGGCTTGCTAGGCTGGAGCTGGAGGTGTTGGGTCGTAAGGCGGGAGATGCGTTTGTGCTCGCTGACGCGGGTGTGGTAGTCGAGGCGCGTCGATACTCGAACTCTGAGTGATTAGGAGCTTGACGTGGTGAGGCGGATGGAGTTGTGGCTTCGCCGAATGTCTCTTCCATGTCTTCGTCGTCTTCGCTTTCTTCATCTTCTACAGCAAGACGAGGGGTTGGTAGTGGTTCAAGTATTGGCATGCCTTTGCGATCGCCTTGTAGCTTGTCGACGCAGCCCTGGAGGTACTTCACGTACTCAATGCCGGCTTGTAGTATGGCAAGTTTGTGCATTTCAACACCTTTGCATGCGGGTATCATGTCCTTTAGCACACCAAACTCCTCATTCATTTTCGAACGACGCCTTCGCTCGATAATTGAATGAGCAGTCTTGCGTGCAATCTTTCTTCCAGCAGCTGAGGTAGCGGAAGGCTGTTTTCTTTTCGACGTAGGCGAGGTCGGCTTGGTTGAGGTTGTTCCTGCCGTGCCTGTTGCAGGAGCTGACTGCGCATCCTCCTTTGGCTTCATCTGGATAATCTTTCTCGCTCGACTGGGCGGAGGTGGTAGTTCTTCCTTGTTCTTAGTACTCCCCGAGAGCGTCCGCTTGCGTTGTATGACAGGCGATGTGGGAGGTGAACGTCGATTAATGGCTGCTGGCGGCAGAGCAAATGTACCTTCCATGTCCGTCTGCTTGTCTTGCGCAACAGGACCGGTCGAGGTGCTAGGAGTAGGAGGGTACTTGATTCGAGGCATACTAGTCAGCAGGTCCAGCTCGTACAGTCAGTAAAACACCAAAAAAGTCCATTGCGAGAAGCACTGTTTGCAGTGTAGTAACAACAATATAGTTCAGATCACGAGCCAGATTGGAATCGGCTGAGGACCATCCTCGACTTTCACAATCGTCGCACGTGCCTACCTCTGTGGTCCTTACACCACTTGTTCGAGGCCATGAGTGTCGTGTGCTCACTTCCCCAGACGTGATAGGTCGACTGCTGCAGTTTCGGACGTTTCTCGAGAAGGCGTGCCGATCGTGCACAGTAGAATCTGAGAAACGTGTGAAGCTGCTCTACTGTGATTGGCCATTTCATCTCTCTAGGGGATTGAGCCTAGTCGTGGAAGAGTGCTAGCGGGATTGAACATCGTGGTTGAGTGAAAATGTTTCAAGGCATGAACGACCGCTATCTGGTCGGATTACATCGTAGCTTTCATGTTCAAACTCACAGAAGTCTAGTAAAACATGATGTGGCAGTTGCGCAGTAACTTGTTGCCCCAGGCAGACAATCAGATAAAGGTAGAAGGAGGAATAGACATGTCAGCGGAGAACTCTCGTCCACTTCTCAACAGTTTCATTGTCTATAGTATATTGACGCAATAACCTCTTCTAGACAGTCGGTCGCGATCACAAGGCATGTTGTGAATTGTCGCGGTTTACCATAGCTGAGCAATGCCCTTCCGCAAGAGGGGTGTACCCCGAAACGAGCTACTCCCTAGTGTGGCGGTCACTCAAGTAAGGCGTTGCGTAGATGGACGCATTTGCTGCAGGAGATATGCACGAAAAGCTGAGTGACAAGCGCGGTGTGGGTGGTAGGTGGGATGTCTAGAAGTGAACATTACTCGTAGTAGGTCTGAGAGCTACCGTGATGCATAACGGTGGTTACTTTCAGTGACTCGTCAGTGGTTGAGCTACAAATCCAGCCATAGTACTCCGTGGGTATCTCAAACATCTATTTAGTCACATGAATACTGCTGGCATCCTTGCCATCGCCAACGCCGTTCTTTTGCTCACCATTGCTGACACCTCGTGAGTTGGGGTTCTTCCAATGAACCTTCAGTGGTGTCCAGCTGTGTGCATTGTAGTCCTGTTAAATCGGTTAGCAATGATCAGTGTGCTGATAGAACACAAAGACTCACCTCCTGGACTTTAGCACAAGTCTTCAAGCCCCATTCAGTAACGCCAACCATAAGACAACTTTCAAACATAAAAGCCATGCTGCCCTCGCCGACTTTGGCAGGGGTCAGCTCCATCGTGCTCGCCTTCTCGTAGGTCTGCATATCAGGTCCGTGCCCACTCATGGTATTGTGTAGTGATGCCCCAGCAGGCTGGAATCCTCCTTTGCCAGCACCCTTGGCATCGTAGTTACCAGCAATCAGACCCATAAATTCTGACATTGTGTTTCGGTGATACCATGGTGGGCGGAAAGTACCTTCTGCCACTAGCCATCGTGGAGGGAAAATGACAAAGTCTGCGACAGCAGTACCTTGTCCATGGGGAAGTGACGGTGCTGACAGGACTGTGAAGATTGATGGGTCGGGATGATCAAACGAAATAGATCCAATGGTATTGAATCGTCCCAGGTCATACTTGTATGGATAGTACAGACCGTGCCATGCGACTACATCAAAGGGAGTGTGATGCTGTTTGGCTTCAAACAATTTGCCGTCGAATTTACCGTAGACAGTCCATGCGGTGTTTTCGTAGTCCTCAATGAAGGAGGCTTTGGGGATCTGGAAGTCTCTTGCATTGGCCAGACAATTTGAGCCGATGGGACCTAGTTCAGGCAGCTGAAAGTGACCCTGGTAGAGTTCCAGGATGTATCCTCGAGCTGGCTCGTTGTTTACCAACTTGACGTGGTATCGAATGCCTCGAGGGATGACGCATATTTCCATGGGTCGGACCAGCAGGTTGCCGAGTTCTGTTCTGATATCAAGCGATCCGTGCTGAGGTACGATGAGGAAGTCTCCATCTGCACTGTAAAATGCACTCTTCTCCGGCATATCCGACCCCACAGTGTAGATGTACATGCCAATACCTTGTTTCATGGTCGGATCTCCAGCTCCTGCGACCAGATGCAACGAGCGGATCCAGGATGCTTCTTTGTCGAAGTCGAAAGGATCCCATCGTAGTTGGTTTGGGATGGCGTTGAAATGTTTGCCGAAACTTGGAGAGGGAGAGGGAAGAACTTGTTCTGAAGTTTCCGCTACAGGTTCAAAGTTATCGTGGCTCGACGTGGGAAGGATGCGATACAGCCATGACTGTTGATTCTCGTGCCGAGGGCTTGTGAAGGCGGTGCCAGACAGCTTCTCGGTATAGAGGCCGTGCGGCGCTCGTTGAGGTGAATTCTGCCCTATTGGTAGGGCACCAGGTACTGCTTCACTCCTACACGGCTATTAGTGGTTGGTCTGTGCCAGATTGAAATAACTTACTCGTTGTATGTTGCAAACCCATGAGTGTATTCGTACCTTTCGGTCACTTCGAAGTGGGTTACAGGCATCGTCAATAGCTTGTTCGTCGACGAACGTGTTGATATTGCGAACTATATCCCTTGGTGAGTCGTGTCTAGGCGTAGAGGACAGCAGCGAACATACCAGTCAGTGGTGTTTTGTATTTGATGTTGATATCTTTGTTTTCCTTGTGCTTGACAATAGCTTCGCGAAGGCGGGTGATACCCGTCATTTTGGAGGGAGTAGGCGGTTGAGCTTCTGTGGGCAGGAAAGACGCGGAAAGTCAGCACTCTGGCAGTGTGGTAAGTGCGGAATAGAAACGTGAGGAGCAAGTGCAGCGAAACTTCTGAGAACGAGGAGATGCAGCTGGGGTGATCCGCGCATAAGAAGGCATGCAAACTGCCACGGCTGTCGTGATCTCGATACTTTTGTCTTATGGGTCCAGAATCAATGCAACAAAGGGCTTGCTTCGGCGGCTGCAGCTTCACACAAAAGTCTTGATCGATGCAGGTGCCCTTTTGCGAGCACCCACGAAATCATGCAGCTATTTCGCAACGCGAACAATCCACGAATAGAATGTGATCATCAGGGCAATTTCGCTCATGGACCGATGCCGTTTCCTCCACCAACCTCGACGCCAGACCCATTGAGTCGATCGGACTCGGAGCTGGGCTTGCTCGTGCATCCACTCACTGGACATGGTTGCAGCCGATTTGCCGTTATTGTCAGCGATGTCATGTCAGTGCATGAACCTCAGGCTTGTTTCTTCTGTACAATCTCGTGCCATAGTGCTTTCGCTAGCTAGTTTGCGTAGTAGCGTGGTGGTCTGCAGCAGAAAGCTCGCTCACAATTGAGAACTGTTACAGTAATGAGGGGAAAGTCTTAACTAAATCGTTGTGGCTTTTCCGTGGCTGTTTGATTTCGTCTTGCCGTAAGCCCAGAGACCGTAAGAGGGATCATCGGACGCGCGCTTCTTGACTTGTCGATTGATCCCGGTTTCTGATCGTAGGATCGGCGAGCCAAGCATTCTTTGCAACCTTCTAGAAAACTGGAAATCGTTCTTCGTTTGGGGTGTCTTCTTGGTTCAGGTCTTCGGAGTTGTTGTACGGTGCCCGTTCCTCGTAAGCCGGGGCTTTCCTCAACGAATGCCCGGTGTTATCCCATTACAAGATGAGGACTTCTACCTTCATTGAGTTCGATTTGCTCAGCCAGTATTCGTAACGCTGACGAAATCAACAATCCGGGGTTTGCATGACGAGCTGCATTCGAGTGTGGGATTTGTTATTGCGTGACTACGGCACGGGTACGCTCACCACGCTTTCAATTGAGGCCTTCCCATTCCAGATCAAGAATTTTCTACCGAATCCAGGCCAAGATGTGTCGGTTGTCGAAAGACGGCAACAGTCCTTACAGTAGTCCTCACATGGGCTGGTACTCGTACCGCAAAGGTAGAACCCATGGTCGAACCGCGCAGCACGGGATGTATGCAGGGAGAATTGAGTAACACAAACTTACTGCTGGTTCCTGGGCTTCCTTCAGCTCCATCCCGCCCGTCCTCGTGATTCGGCTCTTTAAGTTCTCTCCATTTGCTCTCCAAGCTTTCTATTGCCAATTTCTTTCTGTCTGACCATTTGATGAGATCGGTTTTACAGGCTCGTCCAGGTCGACGTGGTGCACGAGGGTGCAACGGCGCAGTGCTACCGTCTCGAGGCTGTGCTAGCACTTCATGCTGTTTGATTGTATTCGTTGTGTCTTGCATATTGCTCTAGGTCGATGTTGGCGTTCGTAAGTTTGTCTGTACGACTGCAACCAAAATGGTACTTTGCACTACGATAGAGCTCGAATGGTCCATAGAGATGCGTCTCTTTATATAGTGCATGGAACGTTTATGATTACTTAGCTTTCGAGGACCTGCGTATGTTTAAGGACGGCAGCCTCAGTCCAGAGTGATATGCGAAGCTGCGACGCCAGGTCCTCAGACGTACGAAGTCGGTCACCTATCACAGCAGCGCCTCATCGATGGCTATCATGGATGTTTGGTGCGTGTCAAGAGACAAAAATTCGCAGTTCCACATTTAGCATTCGAAAGATCAGTTCAATACAAGTGCTTGGCATTCTGCGACAGTGACCTTCACTTCTCATACGCAACTCAAAAGGTGTATACATAGTAGAAAGGCCAGTGACACGGACGACTCAATACTTGATTCAACACTCCAAGCAGGCGACAAGCTGCTGATGCCAACGCCGATGTCAATCCGTACTGCTTCACGAAAATGTAAAGATTCTCGACTAAAGATCCTTCGTCCTCTCATCACTTTCTCTAATCCATCTCTCTAAACTCTCCTTGTTGCGTATTCTGAAGCCAACTTTGAACGGCTTCGGTTCTGTGGTCAGTGCTGTTGGAATCGAATTGCACTCTATTGCGTCCAAGATTGGCCAATCGTTTTTATCCTCAGCTGGAACAACCTCGAATGCTGTCAATATTCGCAAGAACACAGTGTAGATCTCCCGATTTCCAAGATGAGAACCAACGCACATGCGGCTGCCAGCGCCATATCCATAGTGAGGTGTTCCGCTACCTTCCTGATCGTCCAAGTATCGCTCAGGCATAAATCTGTTGGGATCCTTGAAATGTGTGTCATCGTAATCAGCAGCCCACGCATTCATGTAGAAGACAGAGCCTGCTGGGATAGTTGCACCGTTGTACTCAATATCCTTAATGCTGGTCCTTGGCAGGCAGATAGGAATGACTGTCCAGAAGCGCAGGATTTCTTTAGTCAAAGCTGTGATATATGGTACTTTCTCTTCGTACAGGCACTTTTCCCATGCTTCGCCGTCATTAGGGTAAACTTTCATGATCTCTTCGTACGCTTTTTGCTGGATGTGCTGGCCTTCAGGTGATGCGAGATAACCAATGCCCATAATTAAGTTGCCTGGCACTGTGTCTATGCCTGCCGACACCATGGTGAGACATATTGACTTGATCTCGGCATCATTGAGCTTCGCTTCCGGATCTTTCAAAATGGTACCTGTAATGCAAGGCTTATCGGTGCCGTTCGCAATTCTTTCTTTCAGCATATCGAGAAAAGTCGTCAAGTACGCGTCTCGACGAGCTCGATACGATACTGCGTCTGTGTTTTGACGACTAATTAATGGAAGTCGGAGCAGGGGTATATAGTCTTGCCAGTTGTTGGACGTGCTTCGGAAATTCGACACCACCCTCTCTACGTGGACGACTGCTGGTTGTTAGCGTTTGTCTACTGAAACATTCCTGTAGTATCATACCTTCTCGCAGAAGTTTCTCGTCGATACCTCCGTCGATACGTATACCATAATTGAGAGTCAAGCTCGTGTTCAATGCAAATCGATGGAAATATTTCCTTGGGTCAAGATCAACCGTTCCCATCTTGCAGTCCCCGTACATATCCTTGATGGCAAAGGTCGATTCAAGGTCGACGTGTGGCATATAGCTCTGCACAGCTGGCCTGTTCAAAGCTGTAGCAGCAGCCTTTCTCCTTCGCTTGCAGCTCTCGTCCCATGGTGATGTGCCAATTGTGAATCCCTGACTGGTACTGACAACGCTGTGGAAAGTATACAAGGTTGGACGAGAGATCAATGAAGATTGGTTCGTCACCCAGAAGTGCTTAACACTGTCGAAAGAGTTCGCAAAGATGATGCGTCGGTTGCCGAGACGTGTCTGGAAGACAGGCCATCCATACTGTTTCGCCCATTTCCCTGCCACCCGCGCATGATCCGACCCTAATTGCAAAAGATTACCAAAGATAGGCACTCCAGGTATCTCTGGGAGCCCTTTGATCTTTGGCTGATCTGTCCGGTTCGCGAGCTTGACCAGAACGAAGACGACGGATAGCAGCAAGAAGGACAATGTTGTGCTATTGAGTCGGGAAAATAATGTCATCGCTTGACTCGATGGAACATCCTCCACAATTTCAACGGCCATGACTGGATATTGATTAGTGGGTGGATCGGTGCAGCTAGTGTGCTCAGTTTCGCCAGAGCTTATAGCCTATCTCCTGAGTGTTCCTTGTTTGTGGCAGATAGACTTGGTCCTTGATCGGTCTCTGACTTTTAACAGCACTATAAAACAGATATGAAAAGAAGTATAGCCAAGAGATGTAGACGAACATGTATGTCCCCGCAAATAGGGCAACGGAATTGCACCGCGTTACCTAAAACTGGGGTAGGAGTTGGATCCATGTTTGTTGATTGGTGGATATGTCACACGGAAACCTACTATTTGAGCAAACATTGTGCGGAATGGAAGGATTATTGATCGTCAGAGTGCTGGCTGCCAGGACCGAAATGCGTCATTCTCTGCCTTCGATGACTTCGTTTGCAGAACGATGAAACTGGGACTGAGATCAGCTACATGCATGGTGGGAAGTAATTACTGCGCACAACAATCGCCATTTTTATTGGTAAAGCTTGGGTGCAGGTAGGATTGTGGCTGTGCAGTCTCCGAAGCCAACAAGTCCATCCTCCTCATTACCACACACGCCGCGTATAATCATCGTATCACCGTCCTGCAAGAACTTCCGCTCCTCGCCGCCTTCAAGCTGGATAGTCTCCTTTCCACCTTTTGTGATCTCTACCATTGCACCTTGTGTGCCTGGGTCAGTGCCTGAGATTGTGCCTGAGCCAATGAGATCTCCAACGTTCATTGGGCAACCACCAATGGTGTGATGAGCCAACATTTGTGGGAAAGAATATACTAGATACTTGCCATTGCTGTTGGAGATGACAGAAGGTTTCCCCCCCTTTGGCGTCAACTCAACCTGTAACCGGATATCGAAAACGTTCTTGGTATTCCTTTCTTGTAGGTACGGCAAGAGTTCGTTCTCGTTCTTGATACCCTCCGTCCTGAAAGGCTCCAGCGCGTCGATCAAGCACACCCATGGAGAGATTGTCGAAGCGAAATTCTTGGCGTTGAAGGGACCAAGAGGAACATACTCCCATGCCTGAATATCTCGAGCCGACCAGTCGTTTAGCAGCACTAGTCCAAATATGTTTTCCTCTGCTTCTGCAATAGGTACAGGCTGACCCATCTGGTTTGGCTTGCAAATAAAAGCGCCGAGCTCTAGTTCGATGTCCAGCCTCTGAGTCGGCTTAAAAACGGGCTTTTTAACTTCTGCAGCAGGATTTTCCAAAATCTGCCCGTTCGGTCGCACAACTGGAGTTCCACTGACAACCACTGACGATGCTCTGCTGTGGTAAGCAACAGGTAAATGCATGTAATTTGGTTGCAACGCGTTTTTAGGATCTCTGAGAATGCAACCCATGGTGTAGGCGTGATTCTTGCCGGCATAAAAATCTGTGTAGTCACCAATCTGCATTGGCAAGTGCATGGTAACCTCGTCCTGTTTGAATATGCATGAGTCCTGCAGTTCTTGGTTGTCCTTGAGTATTTGCGGAAAAGGCGTATCTTCCCGCAGGAGGTCTTGAATGTACTTGCGTACAGACCGATGTACTGGTCGACCGAGCGCGGCGAAGCTATTTAATGTTGGTTGGGAAAATATGGTCTGCCATTGTTCCTTCGTTTCACATTCACTAAAGCCATCTCGTACCGCGAGACGTCCCAGATCTAAACAATGCTCGCCAATAGCCACGGCTGCTCGTTGAGTTGCATTGCCCGACGTAGAGATGATGCCAAACGGAATATTCGCTAGCGAGAAGCCGCTTGATTTGGGAATCGGAAACCACGATTTAAGACCCATGTTTGATGTCGCAGCGTTAGAAATGGTTTTTGACGTTATGGAATCACGGACAGTCTCAGGGGGTGTTCTTAAAGGAATGTGTCTGTTATCGTTTATCCGAGAAGTCTAATACATAAAGATGGCTGTTATCAGATATCCGGGGAGCGTGGTCAACGAGCTTCAAAGTGGCTGTTTGGTGGGCTGCAAGTTGTGAAGTGCGAGGTCCCGGAGACGGTGCTTGTTCCACATTCGGAATAGTTCCGCTTCCGCAAAAGCAGTACCCTATCTGCTAAGGGCCATCAGGAACACAGGTTGGGTTTCGTAGCTTTGGCTGTGTCTGCGACTGCGCGTTAAGGATGTTTATACAGTGAAGTCGAACTACCAAGCCGCACGAGGTCGCCGTTTTCGGCAAAATTCGACTCATCGCCATGGCTTGCCAGAACGATTGAAGCTCTCCCAAGATCGTCGACGTTGACCGAGCCCAAGAGACGTCCCAGGAGCTTCTGAGCGATGCTGGGATCTGTCGGCATAATCATGGAAGGTCGCATGACATATGATTGCCATAGACCACGCTGCTCTTCTGCTGTAGCGAATTCGACAAGCAGTGTTTCTGCTCGACCCTGAGATAACGTTAGGGATGTCCTCTTACAAGAGTCGAGATAATACCTTAGCATGACGGCCTTCCTCGAGAAACCACAATCGTTTGTTTTGATCCTTTTCTGCGAGAACGCCGCTGCAATGCACATATCGAAATGGCTTGGTTCTAGACGACCAATTTTGTGTCACAGCCTGACAAAACGCGACAGGATAGTCAACTTCAATATCAGCTGCAGTCCCACCAAGACACCTAACTTGTTAGCATTAGGTCTTGTGGATAATCGTGCACTGACCAAATACACGCATCGGCGCCTGATATAGCTGCAACCACTTCCGAAGAATAGATCCTAAAATCCGCCATCACGAGGTTCTGCAGCTTGTCGTGAGCCACTTCTCCAGCAAGCGGCCGTCGGGTGAGTGCAATAACCGAAGTTATCTCGGACGATGCGCAGCATTGTTTCAGCACTTCCGAGCCTAGAAAACCAGTCGAGCCTGTCAGGATGACCTTCATGATCGAAAATTGCTTGTTAGTTGGATTCTCTGAAGTCAATGAAGATGAGTGCTACAGCTTTCCTTTGACGAGAGACCTGGGCAATTTATACAAAACTGTCAGGTATATTGTCCACAAACAACATTATAGATGACCGTCATGGTCACTGCCGCTTTGTGATCTGTTCTTCCGTGAAGCTTGAGCACAGCGTTCGACAAGGTTGTGCCCGCATTCTTCGGGCAGAAGTTGAGCCGGAACGGCTCATCTCACTGCTGCTGTTGGCCATCTGCCAGGTGACTGCACACGTACTAAGTAGTGGTACCAATGACACCGGTCGTCAAAACAAACAGTATATGTATTAGTGGGTCTCTCGTAGTCTAACAAGAGCTGTGCAACGCGTGAATACACCGTTATTGAAGAGTACTCCTGTATGATAATTACAAAGCGTCAGTCTGTCACTGAACATCCCCTGATCGTTCGAGGACTCTTTGTCAGAAGCTGTCATAGAAAGTCTGATAACGCGCATCTAGACTGTAGAACTTTCAAGATCTGGCGCGATGACTGAAGTCTTTACAGAAAGGATACTGCAAAGTGTACATTGAGATCTACGCGTTTTGTCATCCCAGGATGATATGCAAATCAACACGTCATCAGACTCAGTTCTCTCCTTCAATTCGACCTCGAAAAGTCATGAATGTCCAAGACCGAGGTGCCTTCGAGCGGTACTCATGCTCAAGAAGATGCAGGTCAGCTCGGACTGCTAAGAATCAAATTCGCAACAAAGCGTCCTGTTTCGAAATTTTGATTGAATTAGAGTGAAGGAAAACCACATCTGTTTTCACAACACTGCGCGCTCTTCTTCATCGTCAGCTATTGGACTTACTGCATCTCGTTTTGAATTGTCTCTGACCTTATCCAATCAGGAAAATAGGACTCGGCTAACACAAATATGTCAACCTACAGCACACCAAAGTGGTGGAAAGAGGCTGTTGTTTACCAAATATACCCTGCTTCTTTCCAAGCACATCCTGGAGCCAAGAATGAACAGAACATTGGCTGGGGTACTGTCAATGGTATCACATCGAAGCTCGACTATCTGAAAGAGCTTGGTGTAGATGTGGTTTGGACATCGCCAATCTACAAATCTCCACAAGCCGACATGGGATACGACATCGCCTCATATACAGACATCGACGAGATCTATGGAAGCCTAGAAGATGTCGATAATCTCATTGCAGAGTTAGGAAAACGAGATATGAAGCTCATGATGGACGTTGTGTTCAACCACACGAGCAACATGCACCCCTGGTTTCTTGAGTCGCGGTCCAGCAGAGACAACCCGAAACGCGATTGGTATATATGGAAGGATCCGAAGTCCAGGTCTGAGGGAGGCACAACGGTTGAGCCGAACAATTGGGCACGAATCTTGGGTGAAGCATCAAGTGCATGGACCTACGACACCGAGACCGCTCAATATTATCTCAGCATCTTTACTGCTGAACAGCCTGATCTAAACTGGGAGAACCCTGAGGTACGAGAAGCTGTTTGGGACGTCATGCATTTCTGGCTGTCTCGAGGTGTGGCTGGCTTCCGCATGGACGTTATGTGAGTTATCCCATGTTATGCTGTTGTCATTGTCTTGCTGTTGTCATTGTCTTGCTGTTTTACAACTGATTGACTGACTTACTTCTACACCAGAAATTTCATCTCCAAAGTACCAACATATCCCGATGCCCCTATTGTGCTTGATCCGAAGACACACAGCTATCAGCCAGGTACGCAGTTTTTCGCGAATGGACCGAAGCTTCACGACTACCTAAGAGAAATGCACGACAAGGTTCTCTCTAAATACAACACCATCACGGTCGGTGAAATGCCTGGTATCAACTCTGAAGACGAGATCCTTCGAACAGTGGGTGCCAACGCAAAAGAGCTCAACATGATCTTCATCTTCACGCTCGTTGATATTGATAAGCCTAACGTTCGTATGGCGCTGAAAGAGTGGGACGTCAAGGAAATGAAGAACATCATAACGCATTGGCAAAGAGTGATGATCGACCGCGATGGCTGGAACAGTGTTTTCATCGAGAATCACGACAACCCACGATCAATCAGCAGATACACAGACGACAGCGATCACTACCGCGACAAGGGTGCAAAACTCCTAGCTCTCATGCAAACCACGCTCGGAGGCACAATCTTCGTCTACCAAGGCGAGGAAATCGGCATGCGCAACGCATCAATGGACTGGGACCCTTCTCGGGAATACAAAGACGTCGAAACAATCAACTATTGGGAGAAATGTCAGAACATCTACAAGGACAACCCAGAAATGCTCAAGCACTCCAGAAAGATCATCCAGATGAAAGCACGCGACCACGCCAGAACACCAATGCAATGGTCGACCAAACCGAACGCCGGCTTCTGCGACGCCGACACAAAACCCTGGATGCGCCTCATGGACGACTGGAAGACAATCAACGTCGAATCCCAAATGAACTACCAATCCGAAGATGAACTAAGCACATGGCAGTTCTGGCAGCGTGGATTGAAAGATCGAAAAGAGCACGCAGATGTGTTCGTGTACGGAGATTTTGAGGAAGTCGCAAAGGATAATGCGAATATCTATGCATATGTGAGGACGAGCAAGGCTGGGGAGAAGTGGCTCGTGGTGCTGAATTTCTCAGGAAAGGAGCAGACATGGGGAGTGCCTACGGGTAAGATGGAATTCTGGGCATGTAGCACTTATGTTAAGGGACGGCCGGATGAGCCGAAGTCTGGCCAGATTGTCCTGAGGGCGTGGGAGGGTGTTCTGGGCAAGATCGCTTCGTAGACTTCAGAGTAGTATTAGATGTTTTTGAACTGTATTAAACTATCCGACTACGAAAGAGCCTTAATCCACATCATGATCATCCCCATGAAAGAACCTTAGAATAGCTGCAGCAACCACTTCTCCATCATGCTTCAAGTGGGCACTTTCTTTTGCTTCCGCAGCACGTTCCGTCTCATCACCTTCGATACTACCACTTTCCTCCCGCATCTCTATTTGTCTGCGCACCATCTGCTCATCGAAACCCAAATGACCCTGAGTCGTGAACAGACGATCACGGATATACAAACCCTGAATCTCGGTATGTTCCGTACTGGCCCAAACGTGAACTTTCTGACCCTCTTTTAGGAGCGATGTGGTTTCCGAGGACGGCTTGGTCGTGACTTGATCCTGATGCATTTGATGTAAAGAAAGTTTCTTGTCATCGGTCCGGAAGAGCTTCTGGCCCACAGGGGTGAGACTCATCTCGGTGTGAGCAAGTTCCCATTTCCCGCTTGGATGTCCTTCGACTTTTGACCCGAGCATTCTGCTGAGGATTTGATGGCCGAAACATACACCGCTGAGAAGGACGTCTGGCCGCTTGGTCCAGACTTCCTCGAGAAGACTGAGTAGTTGCTTTACCCATTTGTCGTTGCCGTGGGCGTCGTACATCGAGCCGGTGATTAGTATGGCTTTGATAGACTCTGGAATCTCGTCTGTGTTGGGTACGTGGCCGTTGTGGCCATTATCGGGATCGTCGACGACATAGTGCATGGATGTTTCGATGGAAAGCGGGGGGTCGTGCTCTGAGCCAGCTTTGGTGAATAGTTCGTCGAACACTTTGGCGAATCCGCCGCCTTTGCGATCTTTCGTTTCGGGGTGTGGCTCGTCTGGGGCTTGAGTTAGAGACGCTCGTTCGGCGAAGATTGGTTGCTACTACTACTTACCAGTCTCGAAGATTAGCATGTGAACAGCTTCTTGATTATCTGCTTTGGAGGTAGTAACGTCCCCGACAGGGTTCTTGCTGTTGTCGTTGCTATCACCCATTGTTGTGTCTTGACTTAATCTCTCGAATCAATTCTAGTTGAGCTCGACGTCGTCTTCTGTTTGGATTAAGTTTTGGTGTCGCCTGGGAATAGGGACCCTGTGGTCAGCGTGAGATTTTCAGGTTCTTTTCAGTGGCCAATGTCACAAGGGGAAGACCGTGATGTAAACCAGTAAACAGAATACTCATATACCCAAGCATCTACAGATATAAGAGCCAAGAACGTAGCAAAATTCGTAGGGGTCACTGCTCGCTCGTCATGCAGGTACTGAAGGTAGTTCAAGTTCCTTTGGCTCGCGGCTTGTGGCTCAAGGCTCAAGACCCTGATGGCCACGTCACACAGGAATTCAAAGCACGTAGAAAATTTAGAGTTCATCACTGGGAAAGGACAGTGTTGCCGATAAAATTCAGTATCAAGCAGTTCGAGAAGCTGAAGGGAAGGATGAAACCTGGAAGGATGACGAAGTCGTGATGAATTTTAACGTAATACTTATTGCTTTCCGGCTGGCCGCATACTGTATTCGGACAGTACCAGAATACGGCAACTTATCCGCGTTTGCTTCGCTTGGCATATGCCCAAGGCCGAGAATGACCTTAGTACTGTGTAACGATTCACAGGTCAAGATATGAGCATGCTCGACCTCTTCACAAATTGGCCCTTGTCAGCTTCTTGGGAGAACTTGCGACACCACTAGGGATGTGTGCTGGTTGAGTCGTTGGCGAGCACATAGACAGCGAGCGCGGTGAGAAATGGATACGAGGCTTGAGTCGGTACTCCATCGTTTGGTGATGCATCACTATACTGCAACTGTTGCCAACACAAAGAGGAGACGATACTGCATTGGGCATGATGTGGTTGGTGTCGCTTCAGAGAGAAGCTGGAAGAGTGATTTGAACCCACAATAGTACGACGGAACCGTGGACGTTAGAGTGACAGAGCTTGCACGACCAAATATAGCACTATTGCGTCTATATTGAGCTCAATCTCAATCTCAGCTATATCTCGAGTTCTTAAGATGTGGGAATGGTGACCTGCGCGACGCCGTCTGAAACGCCCTTAAGAGCAGCGTCATCCCCAGGCTCAGTTGCGGCGTTTGCCATGTCCTTGCCATCTGCACCCCCTTTGGCACTATTCTCTACGCCAGCATTCTTCTTCTGAGCTTTCTTAGCTTTGACCATCTCTTTCTGGGCCGCTTTCTTGGCAGCCGCTTCAGCTTCAGCTTTTCTCTTCTTTTCTCGCTCTGCCTGGTTTCCGCCGAAAAGGTCGCGCCATTCGTCTGCTTTCTTCTCATCGATACGGGTGAATAGGTATGCTGCCTTGCCAATCTTGTGTCCAGGTTTGATATATGTTGGCTTCCATCCGTTCGCAATGTCCTCTTCTGAAGGAATCCGTAGGAATGGCATGTCAAGCTGTTCTCTTATCGATTTGCTGGTGGCAGGAAGATATGGTTCGAAAATGGCAGAGGTGAGATATATGAGGTTGATGGCTGTCGCAGCTACGGCCGCAGCAAGTTCCGGCTCGCTGGCGATTAACGCATTGTCTAGCTTGAATGCTTGTATCAGACCATTTCCAGCGGATGACAGTTTCATGGCTTTATCCAACCCGGAACGTATATGCACCGCATCCATTTCGACCAGGTACTCCTTTAGCCCAGTAGTGATTTCTTCAAGGTGTGGAGCAAAGGATTCTGGTAGGTTATCAGGATCGAAGTTGGGTATGATACTGTTGTAGGCTTTTGGTGAGTTCACCAGCTTGATGATACGGTTGACGAAATTACCCAGGTTCGCGAGTAGTTCCGAGTTGTTGGAGTCGATGAAGGAGCGCCACTCGAATTGTGTATCGGCAGATTCAGGTCTGTTCTTGAGGAGGAAGTAGCGCCAAACGTCTGGTGGCACGCCAGTTTCTTTAGCATTGTTGCCAAACACACCCACACCTCGACTTTTGCTAAACTTTCCATTCTCATAATTGAGATATTCTGTGGCTGAAAGGTGATGCAGTCTAGTCCAATTGTCTTCGGTTCCTATTTGACAGGCTGGAAAGATGATGGAGTGGAATGGCACGTTGTCTTTTCCGAGAAACTGGTATAGCTGAACATTATCTGGGTTCTTCCACCACTGCTCCCATTGCTCAGTGTAATTGGCAGTGATAGAAGGATAGCCGATGCAGGCCTCGAACCAGACGTAGAAGACTTTCTTCTCGAAACCTTGTAGTGGAACAGGCACACCCCAGGCAAGATCACGGGTGATACCTCTTTCTTGCAAGCCCTTCCCAAGCCAGTCTCTTGTGATGATGGCTGCGTTTCTTGACCAGGCGCCCTTCTCTATCGAGGCGTTGACCCATTCTTCGGTGCTGGGCTGCAATTTGTCGAGTTTGAGGTATATGTGTTTTGTCTCTTTCACCACTGGAGTGGCACCATCTACTTTGCATCTGGGGTTGATAAGCTGCAACGGGTCGAGCAATTTACCGCACTTGTCGCATTGATCGCCTCGAGCATCGTCATAGCTGCAGTAAGGACAGGTACCCTCGATGAACCGGTCTGCAAGGAATCGTTCGTGCTGAGGACAAAAAGGCTGGTTGTTGATGTGCTCCGCCAACAGACCCTTTTCGTGTAACTGGAGAAATATACGTTGTGATATCTCGGTATGTTGCTTGGTAGGTGTCCTTCCGAAGATATCAAAGCCAATCTCAAACCATTCGTACACTTCGGCGTGAATTTTGTTGTACTTTGCGCATAGCTCTTCTGGGGTTACCTTCTCTTCCAGGGCCTTTGTCTCCGTTGCCGTGCCATACTCGTCGGTACCGCATATGAACAGGGTTGGTCTGCCCCGGGCTTTGTTGTATCTTGAGAAGACGTCTGCGCTCAGAACACTTCCGACAATGTTACCAAGGTGTGGCACATTGTTGACGTATGGAAGGGCAGAGGTGATCAAGATATTCCTCTGCCCTTCCTTCGGCAGTATCTTCTCACTCCCCATCACTGGTCAAGGTTGTGAAAGCCGTACCAAGAATGCAGGGGTAAGAGGCACGTGCGATTGTTCTTGACTACCAAAACGTGTTTTTCTTACAGGGGCAGTGTATAACAATTTAGGAGTGATCGCAACTAGTAGGAGGGTGGATTGTTGATCGTTGTCTGTCCCCAGAGGCGCGCCTAATGTGTTTTTGTCGTTGAGGCCGAAAAAAGCGCACTCTGTGTGGTGTTGTTGTCAGGTTCTGTGGAAACGCGACTCGTGCTTGAAAGTGTGTCATAAAAGTATGAGCGCGGGGTCAGTGCAGAAAGCTGGCCCGGACTTTAGCCACTAGCGTTCAAACATTTGTCCTTCGGTTTCGTTGACCTCTGTGATTGTGGTATCGTGTACCATAGACGTCGTTTTCTATCTACAGACGCCGAGTCAGAGGGCAGCACCTCGATTCTGGCTCGTTTGGTCTCGGGAATCGAGCGAGCGTGAGTTGAACTTCGAAACCTCACGCAACATGTCTGCCGATCTTTTTGATGAGCTGCTTGGTCTCGAAGACAATTTCTATCAAGAAGGCTACGACGCAGGACTTGCTGATGGTGAGCATGCTGGTGTCGTAGAAGGCAAAGTCTTTGGTGTTGAGAAAGGTTACGAGAAAGCACTAGAAATTGGCAAATTACACGGTAGAGCTCTGGTCTGGCAGGCGCGACAGAACCAGGATGGTGCTAACCAGTCCCTACGGAACTCATCCTCAAATCGACATGCTATCATCAGTCGTGTATGCGACTCTGGGCTTGCCAAGAACAGTCGCCTGATGAAGCACATTGAAGCACTCCTTCTGCTGACCAACGGTGACTCGATCGCAACAAACAATTCTGATCCGGCTGTTACCGAATTCGATGATCGCCTTGCCAGAGCACAAGCCAAGGCAAAGGTCGTTGCAGCCATCATCGGCGAGCCTTTACAAGTAGAGACAGCAGCAGTCGCTGTTGGTGGTATCGAGGAGAGCAAAGGTTTGAGTGCCAGACATTGAGTCTGACTCACCAAGACCAGGTATGTCCATTAAAGAGCGAAAATTATACTTGAAGCCAGATGATCAATCTCTCGTCCATTTTTGTACTCGGGTGCACGCTAATGGCTTCCCCGCAAAAGCTTAATCGCGGAGATCAAGCTTGCGGCCATGCATGCTCGACGTATGTATCTTTCCAACTAGGAGCTGGTATATACCAACAACTGCAACGAAAGGTGACAGTCTCTTTCGACTGCTGATCTAGACAGTATGCCTAAACTGGCTGGCAAACATTTCGAAGGCCAGAATATTTATGATGCATACTTCACCACTTCACCGCTCTCGCGACTCTCCTTCCTTCGCTCGGCCAATGAGCTTCTCCATCTGGCTTCACAGCATAGGTCTGCCAAGTACCTTTGCATGTTTGAGCTCAACCCACTCAGAGGTACAGATGGCCAGATCGTGCTCCTCTCATATGAGGATGTGCAATCACTGATTGGTGAACCTTATGCTGAGTCTGAGAGGACCCGGATTGAGAAGTTTGACAGCACTCTCACTTCGCCAACACTAGTATTCATGGGACTGGACGTTGAAGTTCCTGGTGTTTCTTTGCCGACCGAGTCCTCTCAGTCGTATACTGGCACTCCCTATTTTGCTCTGGATTGCAGTAATTTACGTGAGGAAGAGCTCTCTATGCTCACTAGCACTCAAACATCCTTCCCACCCACAAGGGTTGATCTTAGTCTCTCCTATCAGCAATCCTCGCTGTACGCTCAGGCAAGAAGCTACCTAGATTGGGCTCAGAGAAATATATTTTGTTCTGCGTGCGGTTCGCCAACACTTCTGGTCCAAGGTGGTACTAAAATCATTTGTCCACCGAAAGATGCAGCTCATCCACATCGTCCACCACGCAACTGCCCAACGAGGACAGGTCTTCACAATACCGCTTATCCGAGAACGGATCCTACACTTATCGCTGCTGCCGTCTCCGCTGACGGTCGCCGAGTCCTGCTTGGTCGTGGGAAGAGGTGGGCAGAGAACTACTTTTCGTGCTTGTCAGGCTTTGTTGAGCCTGCCGAGTCGATGGAGTCGGCAACTCGCAGAGAAGTCTGGGAGGAAAGTGGTGTCAAAGTTCACAACGTACAGATCCACTCAAGTCAGGCTTGGCCATATCCTAGCACCTTGCTAGTCGGTACGATTGCGCAGTGCAATAGCAAAGAGGACGAGGTCATCTCTTATCCCGAGAATGAGCTCGGAGAAGCAAGATGGTTTGAGCTCGATGAGGTCAAAGATGCACTGGATCAGGGGCATGCTATGTGGGAAGACCCGCCGAAAGGCTGGACAGGAATCAGATTGCCGTCCGACAAGCTGATGGCCCATAGAACATTGAGAGGAGTAATCAAGCTGTTTGGTAGGAGGCTTTGAGATGGATGTGAGCTAGCAGTGAGCACAACTGCTGGTTGCTCAATTCCCATACTCGGCTCCAGGGCACGTACTACGCGGACGCTTACAAACTTCAGAGGCACGCAGGTTCGAAGGCCGTCGGTAGAATGAATGTCCAGGACTGTTGTTATTCTCGTCATCACCTCGCGATAGGAGCAGTGTTGCATCGGCAATACTCCGTGTGCCTTTAGGTATGCGTCAAATACTTGCCCCATCTTTGGCGGTCATAAGTCTGTCTATGTAAATTATGTATCTACCGAGTGGACCTCGCTCACAATGTGGAAGCGACTAATCTCCATCTGCTTGGTTGGGGCTGCGATAGCTTGGCGAAGGCCAATTCCTGCAACACTGGTTGAACATTCGTTACTCTGTGATATGCCAAGTCGTGCATGCAATACCAGGAGGCAAAAGGACTAGATATCAAAGCTCTGCTAAAGGGTAAGAAGCTTCTTTCCCCAGGAACCCCAGACCATACTAATTTTGGTCTGATATGTCCTTCCCCACCCCCACGTAATGCCGGAGTCTTTTGAGTCTACTTGCCGCCGACCATTGCAGCACGTTCGTGTGAACCGGCACAGCAACCATCGGCCTTGGTCCGATGATCATGCAGAACATGAGCTGTTGCTGCATTAGAGCTCTCCTCTTCCTGCTAGAGGTACCTTGACCAGGTACTCCTCAGACAGCGTCAGCTCGAGGAACCTGGTCGAACTGCCGGCATGAAAAGTCCTCCGCTCGGCGCTGAACAGTACAAATTCAGTCGAGTCTGCATCCTTTCGTACTTTTCAGAAGCATGAAGACTCAGCTCCGAAAACGACAATATCTATAATCATGAGACAAGCTACGTTGTCTGGAGCTTGGCTCTTCTTATTGACATCAAGCAACGTCTTGGCACAGAGCCTTCAACCATCAGGAGCAATCTCGCCCGTCGTTGAGAAATGCGGGCCAAACGACAATGTCGTGTGCGTGAACAAATATGTAAGTCATACCCTCTAAGCTACTGGCATAACCTGATTAGAAGCAGGCATCTGTCCTTCCCTACCACTTCTTTAGGAACACCTCGTACATCCCAAACATCTTTGACTTCAAGAACACCTCAGTTCCATCAGATCCATCATTCCAGCTTCTCTCCAACGCTAGTTTCGTGATCTTCGACAGAGCACGAGGACTCGAATATCTTGGAGGTACACCAACTTATGATTTCGTGTTCAAAGTGAGCGATGCGGTACACGAAGCTCCTGTGTATATTCCATCGCAAAACAAACTGTACCTCTCACAACTCGCACCTCCAGCAGGCTACCTGCCACAACTTGTCGTCGACCTAAATGTACAACCTCCAACTCTATCCGAGTACCTGCCTAACCCACCAATATATGCTCCCAACGGCGGCACGTCATACGCCAACGGTACATTGATCCTCTTCGCAGCCAGCGGCGGGAACATCAGCATCGGCAATCCACCCACGGAGCAGCGGGTGTCACTCCGCCTCCTAGACCCAGCAACCAACCAGTCCACCGTCCTCCTCAACAACTACTTCGGCTCCTACTTCAACTGCCTCGACGACGTAGCAGTCCACCCAACAACCAAGCAAATCTTCGTTACCGATCCCGATTACTCCTGGTTCAACTCCCTAACCGACACCCCACCCCAACTCCCCACAGCATCCTACCGCTTCGACCCAAACACAGGCGCCACCTTCTTGATCGACGACACCCTCCAACAACCCAACGGCATCGCATTCACACCTGACGGTTCAACCCTCTACATCTCCGACACCGGTGCCGTAGCAGGATCAAAAGCCCCCACCGGCTACCACGGCGCCAGCTATAACGCGACGGGCCCAGCGACCGTCTATGCCTTCGACGTCACGCACAACGGGACTCGTGTCTCGAATAAACGAGCTTTCTACCTAGCTCAATCGTGGGTACCAGATGGATTGAAAGTTAGTCGCGAAGGTCTCGTCCTCACCGGTGCTGGAAACGGTCTCGACGTGCTAGATGATGTAGGACAGCTGATTATGAGGGTGCAGACGAACTATACCGTGCAAAATTTCGCTTGGGTCGGTAGTGATTTGAAGGAGCTGTGGATGATGGGCAATGGAGGTATTTCGAGAGTTAGATGGAATATCCAGGGACAGCTCCCAACATGACGGTCGAGACTCGACCACTTCATCGTCATGAGTGCGATGAGCAGCGATGTTGGATAAGGATGGTTCCGTTGAGTCCGGTTGCCTTGCGGCCTGACTAACCCGTGTATATAAAGTAGATATCCATCGACTTTAGTGAACTTCTCCCCCTGAGGATATGCAGAACAAACATACTGGATTGCCCCATTCCTCTTGTCAGATACCATTCTCGGCGTTCCGTCAATTGTGTCGCCATCGCCTCCCGTCTGGCCTCGCAAAGGCAGCGCGGGCCAGCGACTCAGGACTCCGGCTTAGCTTATGAGATTCACTAGAAGTCAAAGCGAAGAGAGGATACGAGTCAGGTAAAGCAGAAACTTTGTCGGCCGCTGAACCTTTCAAGAACATTCACATGCAGCGCTCGTACTGTGTGTCTCGGGAACCTTTACAAAGGAGTTTACTCAACATCAATGTTCTCAGGTACTCTATGTACAGCTGCGGCTGCGCTGCTGCAATGCTCTTATCTTCGTATCTCTCCAAACTCCGCCGCCGGTCCCAGTCCATCAAAGAACTCCTCATCCAGCAGCGCCAACATAGTTCGCATGCCTGCCCACTGCTCCTCGACACTACCTCTGATTTGTGCCGGTGGCAGCACGAACCCGTAATCGCCCGTGTCTCTCAGCTCAATAGTATAGCTGAATTTCGCCTGGCCTACGCCGTAAATGTAGTCGACTGAACTGCCTGAAGTCGCGTACAGTGTCGAACAAGATGGTCCGAAGGTGAATGTTGTGCCGTTGGCGCCTGTGCGTATGGCATCGCCAGTCAAGGCTGCGAGCTTAGTGTGCTGACCGAGAGTTTCCGCGTAGACTGTGCAGTTGTAGCCCCAAGGCGAGAGGATGTATTGGCCGTCTGAGATTTTATTAGCATAGTCTAGCTGGGATGGAGTTGTTGAGGCAGAACCACATACAAGAATGCCAATCAATGTAGAGTTTGATGCCTTGCTGGTCTCTTAGCTTGTTAACGAGAGCTACCAGACCCTGATTTTCGGGACCGTCACTCGGCGATTCACCTAAAACGTGTCAGTACATGAAAGCAGAGTTTTGACTAGCACGTGATGGCTCACCTCGATACGTTTGGCTGCATGGATTTGGTGAAGAGCCACCTGGAGGAGAACTATCATTCCAACTCCAAGGCCACTGTCGATTGATGTCTCGACCGAAGCAGGTCTGGTTTTCTGCAGTGGGTGGTGGTGGCTGACGATTCTTCCGCCATAATCGATTCACGGTCTGACTGTGCACAAAGCCGTCAGGATTGACGAATGGGAAGATGTAAAAGTCGTAGTTGTCCAGGAAAGATTGTGTGACGTTGTCGGTAGCGTAGCCTGTGAGCAGGTTCAGTGTGAGGTATTCGATGACCTGCAAAAGTCAGTGTCTGTTGAACAGCGGATAGACCACGCATACCATGGCCGTGATCCATTCTCTAGCATGCACGGTTCCGTGCCATAAGACCGCTGGCTTTCCTGGACCACCGGCACCGTATAAGTGAAGACCGTAAAGATCTCGTCCTTCGTACGAAGTGCCCGAGGAAACGAACTCAGAGTTATTCGGGAAAGAAGCTTGCAGATCTTCAAAGTATGTACGATGGTCGTCGTATGGATGGTAGTTGTCATACCAGGAAAGATCGTCCGCTTGTCGTTTCCAGATTGACTTTGATACGGACTCAGCAGCGATCGATGCTCCCAAGTCTTCATGCATACAGTGGTAGTCCAGGTTGAGGTCTTTGAATGCCGTAAGCTGCTCAGGTGCCAGCACAATATCCATGTGCCTCGCAGGATCGAAATCCCACTGCTCAAATGACAATGTGCTCAGCTTCTCTTGTACGGATCTAAATTGACCCTTGGTATTGACTCGAAACACCTTGAACCCATCATAATTCACGCTATCAGAGCTTCGGACAGCTGCACCAGCGACCAGTGCTGCGACCAGCGGAGCAAGAAGAAAGGGTTTCATCCTGCTTGTGTGGTTAGTTCAACAAGAATTCCGCCCTGATAGTATGGTCAGCTCTGCAACAGAAACACATCGTAACGGAAGTGCTATCACTACATATAGTCGAAGGGATCAGCGGAATGCTGTTTCAAAGCGGAAGGTTGCATTGTCGAAGCTTGGCTGATCTACATTAGCATTTCAAGTTGGACGACTCTTGCATACAGTTCTCCGGATTGCCAGGTATCACAGTGTCTTGTTGCATACGACCAGCGGGGAAAGTTGGTCATTGTCAGGAAGTGCAGATAGCAGGAACACGAAGTGATGTCAGTCTTCCTCGCTCCTTCCTCTTTAGTAAATGGGCATTGCATGGCATTTCTTGTCGCGGGAGCCAAGATGCAACGTGATTGGGGTTTGGAGTCTGTCCACTCGAAGCTTCACCGAGCACGCACGTGAATATTGCTTGCTATCCGCGGCGATGACAATTGTGTGCAAATGACCATCCAGCGTGGGATACGAAGATCAGTAGAGAGAAAGAGACGTGGACGTGCAGACTCGAGCTATGCTCGAAAACGAAAGCTTGCGGCGGGTTTTCTAGATTACCCTATTTAACCTTTCTTGGCGCGACTCGGTCGCGTTGGGTGAGTCGCGTAAGCAAATACAGATGTGAATGTTCGGGCATAGTAGTATCTACTCACTTTTACTCTCGGGAGTACGCCCGTGGACGATCACTGCAATGAACCAGCCGCCAAACGCTTCAAGTTGAACATAAAATAATGCTAGTATTCACACATCCGCCCACTCACTGCATACGTCCTTAACCACTCATGCAAAAACGTCATCCCTATCAGCCCAGGTGTCCTCCAGCTCATTGAAGCTAGCGAAATGTACTGGTCGATGCACACCTTCGTAGAATCTCTTAGGCTGGTCGACCTTGACATATACAGCACCCTTTTCAACCCGTCCACTAAAGCTCGCTCCCATGAAGCTGTAATTCCAAACATCGTTCTCTGGAACCAGGAAGTAACCTCGAATCTTGTCACTGAGGAGCAACTGTGACTTCTCACCGAAGTCGGTACGGAAGCCAGATGGATTGTCTGATTGTGTATCCTTGTTCTGAGCACCCCACTCGTAGCCTGCTGGTGTTAGATTCCAGGAAGAAAGAGCGATAGAACCAGGAACGAATGACACAGTAAGGGTCACAGTCTTCTTGTCCCAAGAGGGATGGGCTTGCATCAACTTGGCGTGAGCAGTGACGTCTTGTGCTGGCATATATGGTGTTGCATTGCCGCTGGCTGTGTGAATGATACCCAATGGCTCGAGGTTCTTGAGGTATTCGTGCTGTGGCAGTTGGTGAGGTAGCTGCACATCTCTCGTAGAGCCAACTTGTGGTACCATGACAATGGTTTGGATCTCCTTGACGGAGCTGTTGTCTGGCGGCGACGAGCCGTATAGGTAACCGGCGATCTGTACTCGGAAATCAGCAACAGTGATGAACTTCTTGAGAACATTCTTTGGTAGGATGTAAGTATAGCTATCATCCGACTCCTGAACATCATCCGAAGAGATGTAAATGTTGTTCGCTCTCGTTGGTAGATTGGAGGTTGCGATTGCCCGAGTTCGCCATTCTGTCTTGGAGGCGAATGCCTGTTGCTCGTACTGAGATGTTGTTGTGACGATTGTTTCCTGTCCCAAAGCATTGACTGTCTTCGTTGTTACAGCTGTGAGTTGAGCTTGCTCCTGCTGCTGTTTCTCAATCTCTGCTGCTTGCTGCCGTTGCAATGACGGAGCTGAGATTTCCATACCGAGGATGATATCTCGGACTTCACTGCTGGTCAGCGACTGGACATTGACATTGTTCTTCTTTCCATAATCGTTGAGGATGAGATCTCGAAGTTGAACTTCCACCTTCTGCCAGTCCTCATCGGACAGTGATGGCCAGATGTGATGTGGCTGGGTAATGACAGTCTTATCAGGACGTAGGATGAGCTTAGTCTTGTCTGTATTGACGTGCAGAGCTCTTAGAATCAGCACAAGACGAGAGAAAGCAGTATACGAAGAGATGGTCTTGAGCCAGTCATCGAACAAGTTGAATAGCACCATCTGCGGTTCTTTGGCTTGCAGAATCATGTCAGCAAGCTTTTCGACCTTCATTGCAGCCTGGAAAGGCAGTTGCAGCTCAGAAGCACGAATTGAGATATTGGGGAAGTCAAGCAGATGCACTTCAAGAGGATCGAGGAGACCTTTCCTCGTCACGATCAATTGCTTTGGTTGCTCCTCCACTGGCAGTGACCGAATCAGAGCAGCCACTTCCTCGGCAGTCTTCCATTTAGCGAGCTGTCCGAGACGTTTCTGTCCAGCCCAGACACTCGTATGAATGATCTTGAGGAAAAGCTGACCTGTTCGAGGATTGAAGATGAAGATAGCGCCATTTATAGGCTTTGTGGTCAGGTTACCTTCGAAGGTCTTGTGTATCGTCACACGGTAGACGTTCGTGTCGTCGATAAAGAATTGTGTTTGGTTGCTGAAGAGCTCGCTATAGTTCTGAGAGTTGAGGAATTCTTGGTTGCTTTCGGAAGCATATAGTTGCAGGCCTTTTCTGATACGTTCGCGAAGCACGTACAGAGCAGGGTTGGCCTTCATGATTTTGGCCATGGCTTGTTGCAACAACGCCTTGAGTCCAGGGAAATACTGTCCGTATGCTGAATACAGGTTGTACGCTAGATCAATTGCGATCATGACACCTGTAGAGGAGGGGTAGATACTCATGCTGTCGGTCGTGTAGTCCAGATATTTGGCCCGGACGTACCGCTCGATGTCGTGGCTGTCATAGTCTCCATAACGCAATTGCAAATCGACCCAATACTTGTTCGTTGTTGTCGATTCAATCTGGTCCTTGGTATCAAACAACAATGAAGGACGAGTCACGTTCCACTTGTGACTTGCAAACAGCAAGATATCCGCGCAGGAGCTATTCATCTTGTAGGATTTGCGAGGGTGAATAGTCTCCTTCTGCACAGTCTCAATGCCCAACTGTTCAAGCTCTTGGTCGAAAACCTGGCAAAGATCCATGACGACAGACTCGTGGATCTTCTGCCACAAGTGAGCACGGAAGATTTGAATCAACGAGATCTTCAGTGTTGGGATCTTGCCATGCAAGAAGATACCAGTCAAGTCAAGTTGAACTTGAAAGCCAACATAGACGTTCGCCCTATTGATCGTGGGCGACCACCAAAGTGTGAAACGACGGTTAGGAATTTGGTTGAGACCGGATCGCTGAGCATTGGTCAACTTCTTGAACTTCATTGACTCTTCGAAACCACTGGCTCTTTCCCAGAAAAGACCTTCCCATGATGGAAATGCTGTTGCTTTGAACAGGGTGTGCTCCAGGATAGTCTCAACACCCCCTAGTGCTTGGATGACGTCAGTCCTGTATGCATTCAAATTCCACAGTTTGCCGTCATGTCGCTGGCTGGTCCACCAGAACGGGTTGCTCTTCATGAGTTGGTATTGCTTGAATTCTGTTCTAGCACGGAAACCTTTATCAAAGCTCAATGTACTTCGATCTTTTTGAAAAAGTGTGTTGATACGTGGCAGACCACGGTCCCAGCTGTCCTCGAGGTCCTCCAGAGTTAGTCGTCGGTTCTGCTGGTTAGCTTCCAGACGCTTCTGTGAATATTCAGTCCATACTCTCTGTGAGTCAATGAACTCTGCCTCCCATGGAATGATGTATCTGAAAATATTTGGTATCAGGGTCTCTTCATCGGAAGACATACCAGCCCGATAATGGGTGACACCTGTATCTGTCTGCTTCGACCATCGCTTATCGCTGGTGGGGATCAAAATGTGAGAGCCAGAAATCATACCAAGACCACCAAGCTCCTTCGGCGTGTAAAAAACAGCAGGTGGGAAACGACTAGGCATCTTGGAGTTCAGGCCTATCTTGACACGAGTCTGAATCTTGGTTTCGCACTTGACAATGGTGTCGAGCAAGTTGACAGTGGAGACAGCAGCTTCACGGTAGTATGTGAAGAGCGCAATGAGAGTTGTATTCCACTTGTTAGCAATCTTGGTGAAGGTCGTCGAGCCAGAAGACATCAAAATCTGTCTGATGCGGTTATTGAACTTGGCAATATCCTCCTCGGTGACCTGCAAGAATGCATAAGCTGTTCGCTCCTTCGTCTCATTGTTGGCCAGGGCCCAAACACTGTCCTTGACTTGGAATTCCTCGCTCGTGTTTCTGATCTTTGGCAGAATTCTGACTTCGAAACCACACATCGAAAAGAGCAAGTTTGGATTGTCTCTGGAATACACACTCGCGAAAGTGTCATCCCACTCAATAGTTGTGACTGATCGTGGTAGCCTGTTTTTCATGTCCCAGAAGACAGCACGACCCAAGTGGACGTCGTGTCGCATGAGCCGCATTCTCGAATCTCGTGGCCAGCACTTCTTGTTTTTGTAACCGATGACGTTCTCGAAATTGGGGTCAGGCTGCTCAGTTAGGAATCGTTGTATCAAGTCCTTGGACTCTTCCTGACTGAACCGCAAGAAGACCCATATCTTGTCAATATATCTCGTGTATAGTCTGATTGGATGTCTTGTCTCTGTTTCCCTGTCCTTGAACTGCAAGAAGTCGTTCGGACTCGACGGTGGTCCTGCCAAATCGCTAGCACGCTGAAGACCAAGCAAAAGCAGATCTACGACCAAGCCGTAGTATTGAAAGACAAAGCCTGAGAATTGAAGGCCTCGAATCATACCATAACTGTTAATGTGGTTCATGTCCTTGTAATTTAGTTGGACATTGTTCTTTGAGGTGATATAATCAGCCAAGTTGTGATCCATGATTAGACGCAGCAATCTATTGAGGAGCGTCAAGTCCATCTTCTCATAGACCTTCGATAGCTGCGTCTCCATCATGACGTTGGTCTCACCGTTTTCTGTCTGCCAGACATTGGTCAGGTTGTTGATACCTTGAGCCCATTTGTACACCAGCAAAGGTGGCACTTCAGAGTCTGATGGCTTAATCCATGATGGGAAAAGGTTTCTTGTATCTGCTTGATACCATAAGTACTGATCGAGATATGCATCGGTGATCTTCTCAATAGGCTCGATATCGTAGACAGGATTGATGCTGGTGTAGTTGTCGTTCATATCAATACCTACTTCCTTGAAGGCACGTTGAGTAAGGAGGAAACGCTTGATGCGAGCTAGGGTAGTGCCAGGAGAGTCGTAAGCCTGCTCGATAAGTGCGAGCTCTTCTCTCTGAGATTGATTGAGACGACCTTTGACAGAGTATGCCTCTCGCAGTCTCTCGAGAGCAAGAATGAGAATCTTCGTGTCATGCTTGTATGATACACTTGGGAATGGTATTGGTGAGAACTTTCTTGACTCTAGCCAATGTACAGTCGTGGTGTAGATGGCAACAGCCTCCTCTGACGAAACGTAAGGACCATCTTTCATGTAGTTGTGCTGTCTTTCTTGCTCGGACTTCAGCCACAATCGAGTCAGGCGGCCGAGGTTCTTCTTGGCAACAGTCTTGTCAACAGTCGCTCCTCTTCGTATTCTTTCTCGATTGTAGTGTGCGACAGAAATCCACCAATCTGCTTTACTCTTCACGTATCGGAGGATGATGTTCTCGATCGGAGCAGGAAGACCAGGTACCTTCCAAGGTATGTTACTCTTCCAGCATCGCCATGCTTCTGATAAGTGCTGCAGAATAGTGTTGACCTTGTTCTGCTTGATACCTTCGGGCATCATGTCAAGTAGGTCGGCCATGACTGAGGCTCGCAGTTCGAGGTCAAAATGTGATTCGACACGTTGCTTGGTAACAGTTTTTGCGACGCCCTTGCTATGACGACCCTCGAATTGTCGGGAGAGCAAGTTTCCAAGCCATCTCTCGAGCAAAGGAATGATACCACGTAGGAAGAACAACCAGACTCGCCAGGCTGGTGCCCAGAAACCACAACCAGGACCCTTGCCGACAGGACCAGAGTTGAACCGATAGTAGATCAAGTGCTTGAGATCCTTGCAAGATCGGATCTGGTGCATAAGCTTGTATTTGTATCTGTACATGCCAGTCAATTGACCGACATGATTGAACGCGTACAGAATGCCATCAGCAAGCTGGAATGCGTCTATGTTACCAAGACGATATTGGACCTGTGCATCGACAATGAGCTTTGTCAGCCGGAGAATCTCTCGCATCAAATGGAAAGCATTTCCGAACCGAGACTTCTTGCGCTCCTTCGTAGTCAATGTCTTGACAGGTTTCAGGTTGAAGTTGTAATCCAGGTGCAAATAGGTCAAGTTCTTTCTGTGAATGAGTAAATTGAGCATGTTGAAGCCTTGACGGCAGACCTGCAATCCAGCCTCAACCCAGTCAATTGAGGTCTGCTGGAAGAACTTTGTTGACTTGAGCGTCTTGAGTAGATCTTGCTTGTTTTGTGCTTTTGGTTTCTTCTTGTGCAACTCATTCAGCACATAGCTCTTCAGCATCTTCTGGTATGAGACTCGGACCTTGACAGGTTGTCCAGTCGGACAGTGTTCCAAATACCATTGCTTTACCAATGGCACGTCCTGTGCTCGCACCATTTTGCCCGAACGCTTGTTGAATGGGTATGGCGCCCACCACAAACCGATTGCTGAAGCAGTCTCGCTTGTGTAGAGTTCCTCATCCGCAAGCCACGGTTCAGCACTTGCTGGCATCTCAAATTCTTCGTCCTCATTATTTCCAACTCCGAATATTTCGTCCTCGTGGCTGACTGTAATGTTCTTTGGCGCAACAGATCGACTTGAGATAGGATTGATAACAGGATCGAAATAAAAGGCAGGCAGATCAGGATTTTCTGATTTGACATACACATTTTGAGGGTGCGAGTACCAGCTCAGCTTGACACTTCTGGGTAGAGAGTTGTACAGGTATGGAAACGCGACTCTGTATTCGGTTCGAATAGGAGCGCGGAAGATGATTCTGTCAATGGCGTTGAATTCACCAAAATCTTCGTCGTTTGGATCAATGTCCTTGTACAGCGGCTCGAATCTGGGACCACCTGGAATAGCGACATTCAGTGCCTTTGCAGTGAAGAAGCTCTCTCTGTCAAACATATGAAAGTAGTTCTTGTCCACGACATCACTGAGAAGCTGATTCGAAAGTCTGTATAGTGTAGCCATCTGTGGTAATGAAAGGTTCCAGGTCCGGTAACTCGGTCCATTCACATGGGTAGTGTCAAGCAGAGGTCTGTGTTCGTAGAACCACTCATGTACAGCACTATCTTCGTCCTCGTCGAGTTCTAGCTGAATCGGCTCACTTGGCTCAACGTCCTCGATGTTCTGCGACCAGTCTAGCGGTGGCTCTTCGTCGTCAAATGGTGGAAATCGCATACGCTTGAAATGTCTTCGATCACTCTTTTCTCGCCTCATGGCCACCCACATGGCTGCCCATTGTGCATGAAATACAGGCTCGATGACTCGTGGCGTCTCGTTGACTAGAGTCAGACAGCCATTTACATGGTACAGCACTTTAACCTCTCGTGCAGCCTCCCAAGGCATAGGCATGTTCTCCAGCAATTTCAAGACCGCATGGGGCATATATTTCAGCGCACCCAAGTAACTCCTCTTGTCACTACTGTACTTTTTCTGCGACACATCACCAATATCCTTGACTATCTTTCGCAAATGCTCCGGCGGCATATCAGCCTTCTGCGTCTCGACAAAACCACCTTTGCGCTTCTCCCCGAAACGGTTCTTCTGGGTCCGTAGCCATTCCTTCTTACGCTGGTCCAACTTGGCTTTCTGGGGATCGGGTGCAGGTCGATAACCTGGAGGAGGTGGCGGCGCAGCTGCACCAGTCATGCCTGGTGGTGGGGGAGGACCGGAGCCCCATCCAGGAGGAGGCGGAGGAGGTATTGAGCTCATTTTGATGAGCTAGACAGTAACGATTGCTACTGCTCAAAGATGAACCCCTGTTTTCTTTTTCGAGTTGCGATATAGGATCACCTTACCATTTGGTGGCGCGTATCAGCTCGCCTAGTCCTCGTGCATGTGCTCGAGGAAGGCTACCCAAAACACACTCGTCTCCTCCTTCAATTGCGCGAACACAGCGTGATCAGTCCTCGATCAGCGCTGATGAAGAAGATATCGAAGCAATATCACAGTGCATATTGATCTTCGAACTTTTGCGATGGCCTGCGGGCACACAGAAAATACGCTAGCTTCTTTCGTACAATTTCGGGCGGACAAACTCCGGCTCCAGCTCCGCCAAGACTACGCACTTTTCGAGAGCGCGATCTTTAACGGCGATGTCAATACACTCCCAACTCGACTGAATCATCCCAGTGTTTTCGCCAATTACCGCCAAAATGGTCAACCAACGTCTCCAGTACCGACGAAGAAACCCGTACGTCTAATGCGCACCCACACGTTCAGTGTTGTCGTCGAATCTGCGACGATGTGAAGAAAAAGTTCTAGATGGAAGGAATATAGCGGCTAACATGGTGGGAAACGCAGATACAACACACGCTCAAACAAGGTCCGAATCGTCAAGACTCCAGGCGGTGAACTCAGATATCTACACACCAAGAAGAGCGGAACTGCTCCAAAATGTGGTGATTGTGGTGTAAAACTTCCAGGCGTATGTTTCTCTCCCCGTTGATGTGATGGAAAGCACCTCCCTCGTTCATATCTGTGTTGCAAAGAGCAAGTCACTGACCAGTCCTCCGAATACAGATCCCAGCCCTTAGACCACGAGAATACGCCACAACATCCAAGACCCAGAAATCAGTTTCCCGAGCCTACGGCGGATCGAGATGTGCCAATTGTGTACGGGACAGAATTGTCCGGGCTTTCTTGATTGAGGAGCAGAAGATCGTCAAGAAGGTGCTGAAGGAGACGGCTGAGAAGAAGCAGGGCAAGAAATAGATTGTTGCGACTTTTTCTCACTAGCGATTGAGTTCACTTATGGCATGTCTTCTATACTATGACACGAGATATAAGGGGTCGTGATAGGAATGCTGTGTTGTACGCTGAGATCTTAACGATTTTACCGTATGTTGCATACTTTTCTCAGGAGTTCCTCTGAGGAGGGTGGACGAGCAGAGAGTGGCACACTGCAGAAAAGAAAGCAGTGCGAGACAACGCAGGTTGCCTGAGTAGCAAACCTACAGGAATCTTGTCCTGCTGGCTTGAGCTCATTAGGGTTGTATGAAATGAGATCAATGTCACCACTTCAGAACACCTACTTCGACCAGGTCCAGTCCAACGAGAGATCTGGGTTATTTTCTCTGGGCTCCTTTTCAAGACGTCTAGCAGTGCTGTTCTGCGAACGCTGAAGACTACTGTTTGTATGCGCACAGTCAATCGCCCGATCTGCCGTTCCTGTCTGCCAAATTTCCTTTTTCAGTAGTACTAAACATGGAGTCGCGGCAGTATAGTAAGATGAGCACGAACCACGCTGTGCCTCCATGTGCCCAGATTTTGACAGCTGAAGCCACCGAGTGTGCAACGACAGCCTGCGACACCTTTCCCAAAGTCTATGTGCTTTCAGTCTCCAGTTGACTTCACTTGTCTGTAAAGAAGTCTGGTAGTGCCGCTCGGTTTTCGGTGTTCCTCTCACCTTGACCAGTTACTCAAAAGCAATTGTTTCCGCTTTCTTCCTTTTCGAAATCCAAATGTCCATAGGAAGTCTGAAGTCGCAATTCTTTCCCACGACCCGTGCTTGTGACATAATGTCTATCGAGCCCGAAGTTCAGCATTTGTCTCGCTGCCGCGGTGCACGATACGCAACTCAAAGGCCATCCGCTGACGATGCCTGTACCGCTTCAAAGAACACCAGCGCTTGTAAATCGAGCCATCGATTTTCAACTCAATTTGATTGGTGGAGAAATGACGAATCGTGCCTTTGTACCATACTGTTCGTGAGATGTTTTGCACAACTTGTATCATATCGTTGGACAAATCTCCCTCATACGGTGATCTCTTGCTCGAGGTTCTGTGCAGCACGGGACTTTCAGCACTTCAGGTCGTGTCATTAGAGTCATCTAGAGTTTCACCACGCATACGCACTGTGTGGGGGCTTCTGTTCGTAAGCAAGCGGCTGCGAGTCGACCCTGAGCTTGTGTAGCTTCATTCATTGATTTGGTGTAGCCAACCCGATCCAGCATGCTAGATTCTGACAGCGGACACCACGGAGTGTACGACCATCAGCAGTTCGTCAAGCTGTCAATCTCTTCGATTGTATTGGGGGCGACCAAGAATGATGCTGTAGTCCGCCATAGAGTGCTCAGAGGTAAGTACTTAGTCAAAGGCTTAATGGAGAATAGATTGTCGAGCTTTGAACCATTTCGTCCTTGCTTCCCACATTAAACCTGCCAAACCTTCGATCTGAGAAGTTGAGGACAGTGTAAACTGCGTGACATACAGCTTCATCATACAGCAAGGTTTGTCGAGCTTTGTATACAGACAGTCTGTATCGACGCAGGTGCAGACGAGGCTTCCGCTGTCAAAACTGTCATATCTGCCTGTTGCCATATCAGCCGCGGGCTTGTGCACCAAACCGTTGATGCTCAGGGACGAGCGGGGCGACTTATGCATGGAAAGGCCACTTCAAAACTGCCCGGCCGTAGAGTGGCTACTTCACGGCCCTGCGGGTGGTCATGTGTAACCTTTGGTCTCTCCTCACTAAGAGAGACATCTGTACACCTTCAACGTGTGTGAGTTCATGCTGAGATTGTATCTGCCGTATGTACTCACAACCCGCGAAGATTCAGAGAGAGTAGATGAGTAAGTTAACTGCGGTTGCTCGACCACTCAGTCAACGAGAAGTGCAACAACAACGGGGAAGGTAGTCCGCGCACGTTTTGCATCATCGATAGTCCCTACGTTCAAAGCCGCACATGGTATATCGCGCAGAGTCTGTCTCGCGATATCGGTCAGGGCTGGAAGCTGCTTCCTCGACAACTCTGCACATCAGCAGGTTGGTGCCATTTTCTATTGTGCCGTCGTGCCGAATAACAGCGAGCAGCCTCCCTTTTCCAGGGCACCATAACCTACTAAACAGCATATGGAGACGTGAAGAGCCTGTTGCAGGTAGACACCGACGTCCATTCTGTCAACCCTGTCGATCCAATGTTGTCGGCGGTTCGAGTAAATTGCCTCTCGTCCGCATTAGAGTCCTCCGGTAGTTGTTGGTCGTTGTGAAAAGGCAGTCATGGTCACCCTCAAAGTTTATCGAGCCCACGTGTAGAGACAATGTGTTGTTGACACCCATAATGTGGCAATACGTAGTTCACGCCTTCCAATTCTGGCTCAATACTCAAGCATTGCTACATATGAAGTTAATCACTTGCTGGCCTCTCTGTACCGAGAAAAGTGACGCGATGCATTCTCTCGGCAAAAGTTCATCGTAAGTCTTTACTGTTTATGACTTATCGCCCTGCATGTAGTGTATTCAGTGGTAAGCGAGGAGGTAGCCAGTCCTGCACATTGTTTACAATGAGGACTGGAACGTGGTTTACCAGTACGTGAGGATGACGCTATCTGGTAACGGAGTCTGCTGTTACAGACTGACCGTTTGATGGTTGGCGTTGTGGCTGCAGCTGGTTGCGTAAGGACCAGGATCTACTGACGCATGTTCCTCCTCACTTCCGAAGGAGAGACCAGAAGAGGTCGATCTGGCAATCTCGGCACAAGTGAGGGAATCACGGGCGAGTCTCGCAATGAGCCGCTACTGCGAGGATCGTATATTCTCAGAGCGGATCTATCTCCATATGGCTGGTAGTGTCGTCGAGACCCCCGAATGTGAGAGACTCAACGATGGTGAGCGTTTGCCTCCTCTTGCCTTGTCATCTATGTGATGACCCAGGTTAATACTAAATTCGGAGATGTCTATTGGTGCTTGCGCAGCAGGAACGTTCCGGTGCCTCTTGCTGTAAGCTTAGACCCACATATCTGAACATTCATCTCCCTGCCACCGAGAGCTGCATCATCGTCACGAGCATTTGCGCGTGGCATCGATGTTTGGTGGAATCTGTGGCGTCTTTAACCCACCCCGCGGATGCAGGTTGAGAGGATCTCATATGCAGGATTGAAGGCTATAACCGTGGTAATAACACCGTTCGAGATCTTCTGCATTCTGATATCAGCTCATTGCAGCTGCGTTGACACGAACTTGTGTGTTGTCTCCGGCGTAGCGAGATGCCACGCTCGCTCCGACTAGCGAGGTTCGCCAAGCTTGAGTATGGGAGATGGTCTTGTATTTATAGGCGTTCGAATCTTCAGGAGACATGACTCGCTACAAGACTTACCAATCGGTCTAGAGAAAGCGAAACCAGGATCGTCAAAACCATCTTGGTTCTTTACGTCCTTTGTGCGGGAGCCGAAATGTCTTCAGACTTCGGACCGCACCGTCTCGTACCCTATTACGACGTATCTAATCGCTGAAGAGGCCAGGATAACCCGGGCTGTCAGTCTCTTTGCTAGTACATCCTTACCATATCGAAGGAGGCCATAGTGGGGAACAATATTGACTTTCGTCTGACGTGTCGACCCTTAGCATGCTTGAACGACATGACCGTTGAAGTTTCTAGGAACCCCAGGTCATTGCTGGTATTGAGCACTATGTCCTTTACCATTGTCTGCGTCAACATCTATCAGCTCGTTCGTTGTGACATTGCTCTCTTGTGGTCTAAGGAAGATCTAAATCTGACTTGCAACTGGTATCTGACCTATTGAGTCAACCTCAGCATTCTTGAAATAGGAACGCGACGATAGGACTGATCTCTCAAAGTGCTGCACGATCTCTGGCCCAAGGATCGGAACTGCACCAAGTCGAGCCTACATGGCACTTAAGCTTCCTAAGCCCAAATGAGAATAAAATGGCGGTAGCCGAGGATGGAAACGACGGCAACCACGACACAATATCTTATACGTGAATACTGATGGAAGGGACGCTGGGACTTTGTAATAGCGTTCGGTGCATTATTATTGAAATTCGGTATTGGCTCTATCGTGAAAACGAGACAGTACATTGTGTTCTCAGGACAAAGTCATTTTCTTCCCACAGAAACACGTGAGTTGGGGGCATGTTTATTGAGGTGCTCCAGTCTCAGTTCGGCTAATAATGAATGCATTAAGCTCTGTGGCCCGACCAGCGCAAACAAAACAGCCTGCTAAGCGGAAATGATGTACATGTTATGCTCAAGCTGGTCCAGCGCGTCAGTTCGAGCCCTTGCTGAATGACAGGGTCTATGGCGTCAGTCCGTTGCAAACTATGGAAAATCGGCAAGCAAGTATGTGCTGGACAACCTCGCCAATGTAAACACACAAGGATCGCCTGTATGAACCTGGACTCCGACTCGACACGTGCGTACGCACTAGCTGGCTATGAACGCTCCAGATCGTTCAGTGTCTGATTTGCCTGCTGCAGCATTTGACGCAGCTCCTCGTCCTCTTCAAGGAATGGCTCTGAAAGATGCTTCGCCTCTCCTCTTTGATCATGCTCGCAATGAGAGCGGTGTGGTAGAATGTATGACGACCCGACGAACTGATCCTCTGCAGGAGTGGTAGGACTGTAACTGTAGTTGGACCATTCGTCGTGTGGTGTTCCAGGCAAAGGACTTCTGATTTGATTGTAGGGTGAAGGTGTGTTGTGCATTGGCCGCATGCCTTCTCCTTGCCGCTTGAGACGTGCAGCTCGTCTTGCAGCTCGTCCTCCTTTTGCGCCAGATCTCTGTCTTTGGACAGCTGGCAATCTGTTTCCCGCAGCCTTTTTCGCCGCCCCGTTCTTGCGGTATCGTGTCGTGGATTGCACGCCATACTTCTTGGCATGTTCAGTAAGAACCCACATGCTGTTCGCTTTCCGTGCGCCTCTGCTAGCAGCAGGATCGTTTTTGTCATTCTCAAAAGCCTGCATGTCATTAGTGCTCGCACCTCACAAGGCTGACTGAGTTCTGCTTACCTGATTCATCGAAAGATTATGCCGGATGCTGTTTTGCCAACCGTTTGTTCCTGAATCGCGTGGTTTTCGAGTGTTCTGCGCGAACCAATCGTAAATATCTCTTAGCAGCATCCGATTGCCAGGAGCATGCAGCAATGCTTCATAGATCAGTTGAGCATATGGCTTGTCGTAGATGTCCTCATCATCCTCTTCCATGAGGTCGTAGTTCTCGTCGGCACTGGGGGTGCTTTCCTCCACATCTAAGCCACCAAAAGCCGGCTGATTATGGTGCCACATTGAGACTGGATAGTACTGATCGGTGGTGGAGCTGAAAGATAGTGGTGGCGTCCCCGTGCTGGCAGAGACAGGCTCGGGCGAGAAGCCCAACAGGTCGAAGCTAGCATCCTCATTCTGAAGAGGAAGCTGGCAAAGATGGTTTTCTTGCTTAAACATCATTTGAGGTTCCATCGTGTTACTTAGCGGGTTCAGCTGCAAGCTCGGTCTACTTGGTGGAAGGTAAGGCAAGCTAGGGAAGCTGTACGCGAAGGCATGTGGTTGCGGATGGTACGCATGTTGCTGCTGACTTGTCGGTAGAGCTGCCCCACCTTGAGCCAGCGGGTCAAACTCAGTGTCGTAAGTGAAAGGTGAAGTGAAAGTAGACCCAGGGAAAGAATGAAAGAGAGTTTGATCATGATTCCCAAACTGATGGTAAGCAAGCATGTCTGGCACCTGTGATGCACACGTCGTTGATGCAGGCTGTTGTCGAAATTTGTCCTCGGCGCAATCATCAGGATGTAGGAAACTGGTTTGATCTTGTGTCATCTGTGAGCGTCAAAAGATTGATTTGGTTATCCTGGACCTGAGTGTCCTGCTGTTTCAACAAAGACTGGACGCTGAAGAATGCTGAACAAGGCTTCTGTGTTGATGGTGTATGGGGAAGGACGTTGCGGGTGACAGAAACAATGAAGATGAGGAAGAAGACAACGTCTACTGCTGGTTGGCTTGAGCACAGAGAAGTACTGTGTAGGAGGGACAAATGCTCATATGGCATTATTTGACAGCAAGCGTGGCTCAAGCTAATCTTGCTGTAATATCTGGAGTGGTTATGCAAACAGGCAACTAACTGTAGCCACAAGCACAAACAAAGAGGATTTGGGAAGTGAAGATATTAGCATATGCACAATGTGAGGCTCCAAAATTTTGCCTGATTGAGCAGTGGTGCTAGAGTAGAGCTTGTGCGACTGGTTGTTCTTTCCTTAGGGCACAACTTGAACGAGTGAAAATATTCATGGTACGAGAGCCGTGGTGTAGTACGAGAGGCATGCTGGAGCTCTGCACGGCAATTTGCATGGTGCTGCATCCTTGGTCAGGCTTGAAATGCTGGACGCCTGCAGGATGTCGACCCACTGTCATCCCGGCCGGAGATATTAGACTCCAAGCTGGTCCTGACAGACGTGTGAGGGTATATGGAGCCAAAGCGAGCTTGAATCAGCATGCTAAACCTTCTCGAAAGTACGTTCTGTGGTACGTCAGATTACTGACCTGCCTCGTATGCATTATTACTGCAACCGATGTCGGTGTCTGACACAGCTAAAACGTATCATCTCTTGCCTGTGCGCGGCATTTGGGAGAGTAGTCAGGTTCGTTTAGAACTTTCGGGGAAGCGTTCCGAGCTCACCTATTGGTTTGATATTCAGCGGGTTGGAACGCTGCACAGTACTAGTAGTCTTCGTCATTCATTCCAATATCTTCACATTTCCATCACTTCCGGTAATAGACTTTCTTGAAGCTGAAGTGAAGAGTCAGTATCCCGCCTTCGAATGTGCTTTTGAAGCCTCGATCGTGCTTCGCCGAGTAATCCCAATCTCGATCTATGATACGGAAAGCGATGTCTTGATAAGGTGGACCAGACATGAAGCGAATAATACAGGTGTCCTCCTCACCAGCTGGAGCCACGGTCTCACCCTTCTTGCGTCCGCCCTCCCTTGTGATTTTGTAAGTTGGTGCTTTCGACGGGTCGATCAGGTCCGGGTAAAATATATGGAATTTGTAGCCCTGGACGACTTTTGGTGGAGGGTTATCGTAATCGTAATGGGTCTGGTTGTATTTGTTCCATTCATACCCCATTTGCACGCGGTTAAAGTAACGTGGTTTGCGTGGTTTATACTTGCCTGTCCATGTATGTGTGTCTCGTGTCTCGACGTGCTCTTCACCTGTAAAGACTTCTTCATCCTCTTCAACACCTTTCGCTGCCTCTTTGTCAAATAGTGACGATGACTTGCCATGGTCTGTGTCGGAAGTATGGACAAGGCCAAGGTTTCCGGACTGGCCTTTGCCATGTCTTTGTTCAGGGATGTAGCCTGCCTTTACAACCTTCCGTCGCTGGTTTTCCAGGTCATGGAGAAAGTGCTTCTCGTCTATAATGGTTGCCGACCTGTCCTGTGTGCCAAGTTCAAGCAGGGGCTTAGGATCTAAGTCCTTGATATATACTGAAAGGCCAGGGCATTTGTCTAAGATTTTGTTTTTCGACTGCTCCGCCAACAAGCTGTTCTCATTTCTGAGCTCTCTCAGCTTACCGTCCAGCACAGTGCTGTAAACTTTCTTCAGCTTCGCTTTAGCCTTGTAAACGAGTAAGCTATCAAGCAATTGCTGCCAATAGTCTGTATCGATAGGTTCGTCGGAATCGAGCTTTCGCATGATCTGTCGTTCCAACTTCTTGAGCTCTTCATAGGCTTTGGGTCGCAACAAATTATCGATATCAGCAGACACAGACCGAACAGCTCTACCACCAGTATCTCTTTGCTGCTCTTTACAAATGATGTCCAAAGTCTTCCAATACTCCCTATTTTCCGCGTTGCGCTCAAGTTCAACGTACTCTTGAATGTCCTTGCGCATATCTACCAGTTGAGCATATGATAGTCCTCCTATTACATTCTCCGGGTCCACGTAATCTAGCTCTTCCTCCCGAACATCTCCATTGATGAGGTCTTTGATAGGATCTATAATTCGTAGGTTAACAGCCAGCCAATCTATCGGCCGGGCACGGCCTTCTTTGAAACGAATTTCAGCAGCCTTTCTTTTCTGCAGCAACACAAACTGGCTCTCCTGCGCCAAAAACTCTCTGTGCCGCTCGTCTGCTTGAAGTTTATTTATTCGGGCTTGCTCAGAAGTAGACCAGGGTTTAGAGCCTCCCATCCGGTTGCCATTACCATAGCCACGATCTCGAACACGTTCATGTTGATGCCTTTCAGATGAAGGTGATGGGTCGCGTTCGGGCTGCTTCCTTTTCTTGCCACGTAGCTGTTCCATGTCTCATCAGACAGTACGACCAGACTGCAGCATGTAAAGAAATGGCTTACAATCACCTCTGCACCTCGTGTAGTGAGAAGAAAGCAGTGAGAACGCTCAACTTCTAAGAACGATAAGTGCCGGTATTCAACCGTCGAGCGGCACTAGTACGTGGCAGCTTCCCTGTTTGTCACCACGTTTGGGGTGACAGCGAGGTTGCCTATCGCGAGCATACCATACGACGCGTGCCACATTCTAACGTCACAACAAGATGAAAGAAAATGGTTGCAGAAGACGCGAACGACGCGTTATAACCCCTATACCACCACCATAATGCAATGGAGCCTGTTCAGACAGGATGGGAAGCACTCAGTACCGCCTCGAGTCGAAGATGTCCTAAACTTTTCTATAAATTCGCAGCCGATGAAGAAGGATATGAGCTTCAGATTACCGACATTACTGCGTTGTGGGCAGCAAAGTTTACAGCAGAGGAGATCTGCGATTATGCTAGAAATTCGAGGGCAAGTATAGATCCGTCAGAGTCTACTTCTCAGCTCAAAGTTTTGTATGAAAAGCTTGCAGAAAGCCTCCGTTCCGGACCAAACATACTAAAGCAAGACGAAAAGACAGAATGTGAAGCAATCTTCCTGCAAACAATTCTTGACCTACCAAGACCCCTCCAGCCACTCAGGTGGGAGTTCTACCTCGAATCAAAGGGAGCTCTCGACCTCGCTGAGAGCATTCTTAAACCTTGCCTTCACCAGGCTTCATTGGGGCTTAAGAAGATCGACTCACTGATCGATGTTATAGCGGCCAAGGATCGCGCACTGGCTCGGCTTCTGGAAAAGATTGAAAACTCTTCTATAGACTTGACGTTAATCTTTCCTGGTATTACTGGCGTTAGAGCCCGCAAAGGACAGGTGACTCTCAAGGATGCTCAGAAACATGTGCCAGGACTTGCTGAATTCAAGCGGGACCATTGGTCGACTCTTTTTGATGCTGATAGTCCTTACTCAGATTTTGAGTCATCAGGTCTATCCAAGCTCGTAGCGGGAAACGAAAAGTGCCCCAAGCATACTCCTGAACAACATCAAAAGTGGTATCGAAAGCTTCCCAAAGCGTCTGCCACCATCAGTCAGGTAGCACAGGCGTCCTGGCTCCGATCCTCCAGCCCTGTCAAGCAGGACAGCGAAGACGAATTCGAGACTCAGAAGAAGCGAGCTCCGGGTGCAACGCCGGGACGAGTGGTCAACATTCCGGCAGAGAGCGACCACGAACAGGAAAGACCCTCGAAGAGAATTAAGACTACTCTATCCAAACCACCACCACGTTTGAATGGACGCTCTACACAGTTATTGGCAAGATCTAGTTCACCGAACCTGCCATCCTCACCTCCACCTGTCCCACATTTCGAGACCAAGCCATCAGTTGATTCAGACGGTACCGAGACAGAGTCAGAACCCGATCTTGATGCGATACCAAAGCGTAAAGAACGGTCGGGCGCATTAGGCAAAAGAATGAATCCACCGCCTCGACCTAAAGTTGCACGCCAAGCAACAAAAAGCTCAACACTATCTTCTTCACCACCGCCTCTGAGACCTGAAGCCTCCATCATGTCTTCGTCGCCACCGTTGCAACCCCCTGCTCACGAACCAAAAAATGCAGACACCGAAGATGATTTCGAGGCAATTTCTGCTCTCCGCAGTCCCAAAACTCCTCGGAAAGAGGATAGGCTCGTCTCTTCTCCTCAGAAGACCGATTCGGCAACCCCAACACCAAGTAAGGACAAGAAGGAGGATCGTACGAGCAAACTACCAAGCACACAAACTACACCATCCCGACACCGGTTAGGCAGGCTAGGCAGCCGCAATAGTAATGAACCTGCAAGCACACAAACTACTCCGTCGCGTCATCGCCTAGGTCGACTGGGTAGTCGTCTATCACAGATGCAATCTCAACGCTCGCAAGCTCAAGAACCACAGGCAGAGGATGACAGAATGGATCTTGATATCATTGATGAGAGCAAAGATAAAGAGGAAGACTATCAGAGCGACGCATCAACAGCTTCCACGGCATCTCCACCAGCGAGTCCGACACCAAAAAAAGTTCGTGATGTGCCAACCAGTCAGGCCGCGTCACAACATGCAAAAAATTATGAAACCGATTCACAGAACGCGAAGTCTCAGATACAACCAGAACCTGAAGTTCCGGAGACAAACGAAGAAAAGCTTGCACGACGAAGGGAGGAGTTGAAGAACTTGCAGACTGGCAGGTCTGGAGTGGCAGGCGGTACATCTGGTGTAAGGAAGAAGCGGAAGTTCTGAAGTGCGGTCCAGCCATTTGTTTTCCAATCGTTGAATAAGGGCACAAGGTATTTCACACCTCTAAAGGTTCGTGTCTCTCCATCGATCCGCCATCTTTCATGGTATTCAGTATCAGTACAATCAATACCGAGGTATTCTGAACGTGACAAGCCTTTATCCGACATCCCTGCATGCTTCCCCACATTAACTTTAGGAGTGCCAGTATGCCATGCTAGTATTTGTTGAAGCAATATCTGACAGTAAGGGCAAGCAACCACAATGTAAAGATGGCTCTCAACTGGACAAGGTTCATCAACCCCGAAGCCCCAGACGTTCATTCAAAATACATTCCCACCAAAGCTCCAATCTTCAAATCACCATACGGTCGCTTTCCCAAAATCGATGCAGACCTCAACGTACACGACTTCTGTTTCCCTCCAGATCAGCCACTCCCTCCCGACTACGACCTCTTCATCAACGCCGTCACAGACGAAAGAGTGACTCTTCACCAATTCCACCAGCGAGTGTATTCCCTCGCTCGAGTCCTACGACACGATGGCGCGAACCCATTGGGTCTTACCAAGTCACCAAAGGACGATACCGAGGAGGGTGAGATTCTAGGACTCTTCTCGCGTAATAACATCCATTACCCAATGCTTGCGCATGCTTGCTTCAGAGCTGAACTTGTTTTTGGTGGGATTAGTCCAGGGTCGACATCGTATGAGCTGTGGCATGTATTGAGGAAGATGCAGATTACTTCTTTCGTGTGTAATGAGGCCCTTCTGCCGGTTTTGCGTGAGGCGTTGAAGCTTGGGAGGGGTCCTTCTGGTCAGTTGCAGCTTGTGCTTGATCCGAGGAAGATTATTGTGTTGTGGGATGATTCTTCGCTGGACGAGGTGCAAGGCTATCGAACGGTAGAATCCTTGGTGCGACTGGGCGCGACCTTGCCAGAACCGCAGAGGAAGCTTGTTGGAGGTGATAAATTGTGTTATCTCTTTCAATCATCTGGCACGTCTGGCCTTCCGAAAGCGATGATGATTTCCCACAAAAACGCCATTCACAGTGGATTACAAGGTATGATCACTGGAGTAAGGACTGCCCAGTTCGCTGGCGTAGAACCACTTACCCGTCAAACTCTCCTCGGCATTGTCCCAGCCTACCACTCGTACGGCATGATTCTCTGGATCCTCCGAGTCAACCTCCAGCCCGCCACGAACATCATGATGCCAAAGTGGGATATCGAGCTAGCACTGAAATCAATCCAGAAATACAAAATCACTATGCTACCCCTCGTCCCACCTATCGTGCGTCAACTGGCCCTCTCCCCTTTAACCAAGAAGTACGATCTCTCATCCGTGACCACTTGCGCAAGCGGCGCCGCCTACCTCCCACCAGACGTGGCATACCAGCTAGCAGAAAAACTCCCGAACAAGACGCCAATACCGTCCGGGTACGGACTATCCGAAGCAGCATCGATCGCCTCCCCCCCAGCAGCAGGAATGTTCGGTCTCAGCGCTTCCGAACCCGGCACAATCGGCTTTCTCCTCCCAGGCATGGAGGGACGTGTAGTCGACCCAGATACCCTACAAGACGTCCCGAAAGGTCAGCAAGGCGAGCTCTGGGCACGCGGCAACGTCGTTTGTATGGGGTACTTCCACGACCGAGAAGCCACTGCGGAATTATTCGCTGAGCCGGGATGGTTGCGGACTGGAGATCTGGTCATTCGTGACGCTGATGATAGAATCCATTACCTCGACCGGTTGAAAGAAATGATTAAAGTCAAAGGACTGCAGGTCGCTGCCACAGAGGTAGAGGATACACTTCTCAACCACCCCGAACACCTAGTCATAGATGCATGCGTTGCAGGCGTCGATAACGGCAGGGGAGATGGAAGCCTCTTCCCGCGTGCGTGGGTTGTCCTCAGCCATGAAGGGAAACGACAGGGTGAAGCTGCTGTTACTGAGAAATTGAACGCACATGTCGGCGAGCGCCTGAGTAAACACAAGCAATTAGCTGGTGGTATTGAGTTTGTCGATTCGGTAAGTCCTGCTCTGTCGCCTGGTGGTATATGTACTATGTGTAATATGTGTGGTATCGTGCTAATTTTGAGATCAAAGATTCCAAGAACACCTTCAGGGAAAATGTTGCGGAGAGAGATGAGGGATAGGTATCACGAATCACTCAAGGCCGGGAAGATTAATGGGAAATTGTGATCTTCGGAAAGTCTTTGGGTAGATATATCGTGGTCTTTCACGATATATTTTCGCAGTTGACAAGTACGACACTGTTCTTGCTCAAACCACATGTTCTCAGCCTATCGAACCATTCTCTAGGAAGTATGCTGCTGCAGCAATTCTAGAAGTGAAGACTGCTGTTGGAATTGGTAAACAAGTCTTTCTAATGTGCAAGCTTGGTCGTTAATTGATCACCATTTAGTTGAGACTATCTGATACGAAGCTCATTTTGAGCCGACTTTTTTTCACAGATCGCTCTGTTATCCATGAAGCCAAATTCAAACGCCTATCCATGTCATCTTTATCGTTGTAAGTTCTTCATTCACTTATCCCTAGCTCATTTCACGTAATTCACAAGAACTTCACTGCCTTGCTACTCATTCTCCAACTCTTCAAATTAATCTCGCACAACCTTCCGCATCCATCACGGATGTCCCTCAGGCAATCCATCATCAATATTCAATGCCGGCGTCCTCCTCAACCCACTCCCACCAGTCCCGCTACTCTGACTAAAATTGACTCTTTTATGTCCCTTCTTCACATTCCTCGCTGCCCTCGCCCTGTCAATCTCATCTTCACTGACCGACGCAGAGTCCAATTCCGCTGCTTCCATCGCTTTCCTAGCGCGAGTTCGCAGCTCTTCGGCCTCTGCAGCGGCTTTTTGAGCTCTCGACTGTTTCCTCCACATGCTTGCGTATTTGCCGTCTTTCTCGATGAGTTCGGCGTGTGTACCGCGTTCGACGACGGTGCCGCCTGATAATACGAGGATTTGATCGGCTTCCACGATTGTGGATAGGCGGTGGGCGATGATGAGCATTGTTCGGCCTTGAGCTAGAGTCTTCAATGCGTCTTGGACTTTCTCTTCAGTGTCCGTGTCCAGTGCTGCTGTGGCCTCGTCGAGGAGTGTGATTTTGGGATTTTTGAGGATGGTTCGTGCTATTGCGACACGTTGTCGTTCACCGCCTGAGAGTTTAACGCCTCTTTCGCCGACTTTTGTGTCGTAACCGTCTGCGAATTGAACGATGCGGTCATGGATGGATGCTGCTCTGCACGCGTCGAAGATTTGTTCGTCTGTGGCGTCTTGGTTCGCGTAGCGGAGATTGTACATTATTGATTCGTTGAACATGTTGCAGTCTTGAGGGACGACACCTATGTGGCTGCGGAGAGAGTCGATGGAGATGTCGTTGACGTCGTGACCGTCAACGCGGATTTGACCGGTTTCGGGGTTGTAGTACCGGAAGAGGAGACGCATGACCGTTGTCTTACCGCCGCCAGATTCGCCGACGAGAGCCGTGGTAGTGCCTGGCGGGCAGTGGAAGGAGAAATTGGTCAAGGCCTCCTGGCGCTTGTCGTAACTGAAATTGACATGGTCAAAGACGATGTCGCCGTGACACTCAGTGAGGGTCTTAGCATCTGGTCTGTCAACGACATTCGGCTGCTCCTTGAACAACTCCAGCATGCGCTCCGCGTTGATGAGGTTGTTCTGTATTGCTCGGTAAAACGTTCCGAAGAAGTTCAGCGGCGCCTGCAACTGAGCCATGTAGAAGAGTAATGTGACAAATTTTCCAACAGTCGAATAACCAGCCGCAACCTGATAAGCTTCGATAAAACAAACCGCCAAGAGTGCAACCATGAACAGAGAGCCTTGCACAACGTTCATAAGTGCCAACGTCATCTCAACATTGAACTCGTGCTTTTGCATCGCCATGATTGACTTCCTGTACCGGGTGAACTCGTATGACTCTGCATTGAAGTACTTGACTGTGTCCCACGAGTGTAATGAATCATTCTTGACAGCCTCCATTTCTCGATCGGCGTTCGTGTAATTTCGACGTAGTGTGACTCGCCAGGCTGCTAGGCGAATGGTAACGTATATGTAAAGGAAAGTAGTGATAGCGACGACTAGACCCAGATAAACATCGAACTCAGCGGTGAGGTACACTATAGCAACACCTAAGTCGAAGATCATTGGGCCTACGTTGAAGGTGACCATTTCCAAGAAAGAGTTGATAGAGCTTCCCTTGTTCAAGGCCGATATCAGCTCTCCAGTTCGCTTGCCTGTATGGAACTCTGCGCTCAGACCGTGAACATGCTCAAACGCGGCAGTTGAAATAGCTCGGTAGGAATACTGTTCGACAGGTACCCAGAGAACACTTCTAGCAGCACCGAAGACGCCTTGGTTGCCTTGCAACCATCTAGCTGCAATATACAAGGTAATAATGACCCAAGGTGCGTGAACACCATGTCCACCAGTCCCGGACAAAGCGTTTGTAATTCTGCCAGATAGTATAGGTACAAATACGTTGATAACGCGCTGGCCCGACATGAGCAGAAAGCAAGTCAGCGCGAGACCTTGCAGCTTGAGAGATTTTCGAGGCCACAGATACGGCAGCAGCACAGCAAAGCCTCGGATATAGGCGTACCAAGTGACCATAGGAGTTTCTGTCGGCTTTGCCCAGGCGTCGGGCTGCTCCTTGCTATGAGGCAGAGATGATGGGGTCGTGCCATATGCGTGGCCGTTCGTGTGACCATTAGTGTGTGAAGAGCCGCTAGCGTTGTTGAGAAGTGGCTCACGATCCTCTGTGCCTTCTCCTGAGTCTTTGGCGGTTTCTCTCCTCACGGCCAGTGCCATAACAGCATAGAGTACGACTAATCCAAACAAAAGCAACATACGCACGAAGTAGACAATTACTTCGAATATTTCCCATGGTGTAACATCTTCTCGCAGCATGCCACCTTCTTGATCTCCAATGGCAGGTTCGTGATGAGGTTGTGTGTAGATATGGAGGACAGAGCCCAAAATGATCAGTTCGAGGGGTAGTGCTATAGACCAGGTGGCAAGATGAACCCATGTCGGAGATGGCTTTGTGTCAACAATTGAGATAAAGACTACCCCCCAGGCAAAAAAGGAAGCAACGATGAATACCTAACAAAAGTCAGAACCTCATCAGGGCTAGTAGCACCACCAAGGCTTACCACTGCACTTTGACCAGGCCACCAATGATCGTTCATCAGCGTTATGACCTGGATTAGAGTCGCAATGCCATTAAGCACAAACGCAACAATGACCCCTCCAGTCAATATCGCGAAAGCAGCTTTAGTCCTTGGGGAGAAGTCTTTGGTGGCGACGGCTTCCTTTATCTGATTGTTCGATTTCCGGCGCATGGGTAGTGGTCGGCCACCGGGACCTCGCATCGCGTGAACAGTGATCTTGTCGCCATCGTAAGGACTGTTGATGACACCGAAGACGATGAAGGATATAATGAAAACGCCAAGGATTATTGCAGGGTATAATGTTCTTGCATAATTGAGGATTTGGTAGGTCTGTTGTAAGGACAAAGGAGTCGATGCTAGGAGTGCCATACTCGCGTGTTAGACATTGGAATACAGAGAATGTACAAGAGGAGCGTATAAAGGATGAATTTCTCTTCCTGTCACGAGGGTGGCGTTTGGTGATAGATTGATGGTCAGCAGATCTCCTCGTACTCCTCTTTGACGGAGGACTGCTTGGCCGGATTGATTATGAGATGGGAGACAAGGCGAAGAGCCGTGCTACTTGGAAACGAGGCAGCATTGAACAAAGTAACGAGCGTGGTAGAACGTGAAGCTGGCCAGCGACGGTTGTCACGTGAAAGAGTGGTGCTGCAGGTTGTGAGATTTCATCGATGGTCGGGGTCTAGGTTTTGTAAATGGGTGTAAACGGGCGGCAGTGGCAAACGCCAACGTAAGTCGCTGAGCCTGCGGATGGCGATATAGACGTTGATTGTCAGCTGCGCAAGTAGTAGTGGCTTGGAGGACGAGGTAGGAGTGATGGAACGGTGTTGAGATCTCAGATTTCGCACGGCAATTAACAATGGAGACTCTTTGACAGCCAGATTGTCAAATAGTGGGCAAAGTTTCGATGCAGAAATCTAAAAACGACCAACGAGAGGTTGCGCAGGTAGGGTAGAATGAAGTCTATAGGCGGAGAGGGTGTGAACGGTAATAGATGCAGAGACAAACCTCAAGCTGTGAAGCCATGATTCCTTCCGAGTGCTGTCGTTGCTCTTATGCTGTTTTGCGGTGAGCACATTGCTGCGTCTTTGTCATAGATGCACTTGGCCCAAGTCGCTGGATCTTGATTCCCAGTTCATCGGGTTTGTCTTTACAGTAACATCATAGCCTATAGTTCACCAGTACCTGTCCGCTAGACGGCTGCTACTGTAATAGTCGGACGGAGCCCGATTGTGAAGTTTTCGTTGGCTTAAGACCAGACGGCGGAACTGTGCCATAGTTTGGTGGCTTTCAGGAGTCTCCTCCAGATGGCGGTCGATAGGATCTTATGGGTCAAGAAACATCGATAGTGACAGCATGATGGAATTTATGCTTGTAGCGTTATGCCAACCTGCCCAAGCAGTCGTAGCTGCAGGGTTGGCGTAGTTAATGCCTGGCTGGCCGGAAGCGAACTCTGGTTCGGAAGCGCCAGCGAGCTGTTATAAGCTTTCGGAAGTCGCTCTGAAGCCCGGCCAAGCGTATTTTGGAAGCCCAGGCGGATGCAGGTTGGATCGTCCGCTTCCTTCCCACGATTCACGACCAACACACGAGACCGCAGAACGTGGCATTGGTCGCTTCCAGTTCATCCCAGGAAGTCAGCTTGGCCTGTTGACCCTGTCGTTGACTGGTCACTTTGGAGAACTCTTCTGTGACTGGTCACGTTCCTGCAATCGCTTTCACTCAACGTTCTTGTGCGACGCGACTCGCGGCGCTGAAACGTAGCCTTATCTGGAGCAGTCACCACGAGGAACAGCTTACAGACAACCTGCAGCTTGCGCGAAAACCCGAACACGGTGTTTAGCAGATACTGATAGCAACATAGCCCCAGCTAAGGCGATCACTCTGCCTGCAAGATGAACATTGGTGCTGCTGAACGAGAGCCAGTCCATTACTACCCGACATGATAATGGCCGGGCCGAACCACTCGTCGAATGGGTCGGAACCTCCTCCTCCTGCACCTCCTCTACCTCCTCCTTCTAGATCAGGCGTGTTCCAGCGGTTCATCGGGCCATTAGCCTTCAGCCGAGCGCCGCAGAGACTGCAAGGAACACCAACAGCTCTTTCAAGCAGTGCAAGCCCAAGAGACGACTCCCATGGTGAACCACATGCCAGAAGATACTCTGCCAAGGATGCAGTGTACCGAACAGGGCTACCTATTGCTGCAGTCGACATCAACGAACTTGGAAGTCATGCAATTGTGGCAGGAAGAGACATCCTTCGGACCGTCAAAGTCCAGGATCGCAACATCTTCGAGGAGCTCAATCTTCGCAATGCAGTCACAGCGTACGTCTCGACCCAGTCATTGAAGGCAGATGAAGCGCATAAGAGGCGCGAATTTCTTCCGGCCAAAGACGTCCGATGGTCTCACAAGCAGTACTCCCACGTCGTGGCCACAGCGGCGCAGAATGGCAGAATCGCCCTATACGACGTTTCGCGAATCAGCTCTCGAGTCGAGCTTCATCACCTCTACCAGCACACGAGCCAGGTCAATAAGATAGATTTTGATCCTCATGCAGGCTACATGCTCTTGTCTGGCAGTCAAGACCGATATTGCCGAATCTGGGACATCCGTGAGCCTAGGAAGCCCAAAGGTTATGCCCAATTCCATATTCGAGCTCCTGTACGTGACGTCCGCTGGTGCCCAACAGATGCCTATCAATTCGCTCTATGCACAGAAGATGGCACTGTTCAGAATTGGGACATTCGTCATGCTCAGCAGGCACTCATGAGCATTCGAGCCCACGAAAAGGCTTGCTATACCCTCGCCTGGCACCCAGACGGCAGGCACATCGTTAGTGGTAGCCACGATAAGTCGCTGAAGATCTGGGACTTCAAACTTGACAACCGAAGGCAGAAACCAGTCTTTCATCTGCGTTGTCCCGCTGGTATAATGAATGTTGCTTGGAGGCCTCCTTGTTGGTCTGATGAGTTTGCTGAACGTGGCGCCTGGCAATCGACGCAAATTGCAACGTCTTACACTGATGATGACCCCAGGCTGCATATATGGGACCTTCGACGATCCTTGATTCCCTTCCGCGAAATCGTTCGTGAAGACAAGCGCCCTACGGACATGCTTTGGTCGTCCAAGGACTTGCTATGGACTGTCGACGGTGCTGGAATCTTCGCACAGAACGACGTAACGAATGCGCAGCAACCCGAGAACTCCTTGCCCCCTGGAGCTATTGACTGGGACGTAGATGGCAGCTATTATGCTGTGACTGAAGATAGGACTGAGATGCGTAGCTCTTCTACCCCTGATCCCGCTGCACTGTTTCTGAATATTCCGTTAGAAAGGCTGAGTGGTACAGAGGAGGGAACAGTGGCAAGTCGCAGCCTGACCGACGATGAGGGCACCGACACGTCTTTTGCGGAGTATTCTAGTCGTCGAGTTAGCAGGGCGGCCTCCACCAGATCAGCGAGGTCTCAAGCAAATACTCCTCCTGTGCATGACGATCATCCAAAGATTCTACCACTTGATCGAGCAGTACTAGCAAAGCAAGACATGTTTGTGAATGGACAAATCGGTTCAATGACTCGATTACCTGGAATATACCTACCCACCGAGCTTGTCGAAAAAGTGGCCAACTTCTACACTCGTCCTATGACAGCTAAACAACGAGCCACCGAGCCAGGCATGATTCTTCCTAGATTACAGAAAGCCTTCGAAAGCAATGCCAATGTATGTTCTCTACTAGGAATGCACGATGAAGCAAACAATTGGGCTACCATGGAAGCCGTGATCATACCGGAGTTGAAGAATTGGGCAGACAACAACCGCAAGCATAGACTAGCCAAAGGCGCCGAACAGAAAGCCAAAGAAGAGGAAGCACGAAGAGACGGCGCCTTGAAGAACACATTGTCCCCTTTTTCGAGACGCAATCACAAAGACAAGGACGAGAAGTCGCCAAGCGGAAGATCAGACAAGGTTTTTAGCAATCTGTTTCGCGGCGTGACAGACATCCAAAGAGGAGGCAGCGATTCTGGCAGTCATGCTGGCTCTAACATGACAACTCCACGTCAGTTACCAACACTGACCACCCCCGTGTCAACAGCAAAGCAAGCCGACAGCACATGGTTCACTTTGGACAACGCAATCGAGCCAATTCAACCTCTTCCTCCCTCTTTGACCTCACCGAGCAACAACCACTCGACGACTACGAAAGTTAACCCTCATGCCACACCTCTGATAACAAGGAAGCAAGAGGACCGTAGAGCGGCTTTGCGAGACTACCGAGCAACTTCACGACAGCCATTATCTTTTGACCAACCTATAGCTAGCCCTAGAACGTTCCTCAAGGAGAGGCACGATTCGGCAGAGAGCTTCTCAATGTTCTCCGCAAGTACTGAAAACTCTGTCAAAGGCAAGGCTGTTGGTCAGCTCGCGAAGCAGGATGCCACACCGGACGAATCACCAAGAGTCGGACAAGATTCATACCAATGGGTACAAAAGGACAGCTACTATGATTCAGTCGGACGATCCGAAAGAAGTTGGAGCGACGAGAAGTCCAGTGGTCAAGTAGCCGACTTTGAAATGGACGAAAGCCCATCTTACAACTTTGGCCTTGATGGCAGCACAGAGTCAAAACCAGTTCCTTCTAGACCTGTTGAGCAGAAGTTCCGAGAAACCCTTGCTCGAAGCCCAAAGAGCAAGGGTGGAGTGATGGAAGAGGAAGCTTCGTTTGAGCCAGTTCAGGAACCAGAGATTAACGCCTCATCGACCAGAGCAGAACTACCTGGCGACATTGCTGCTCCTCGGTGGCCCTACATCAACCGAGTCATCCACCACCTCAATCCGTTTCTGAAGGTCGACGAAGAGGACGCTGACAGACTCAGGTTGATTGCTGACGATGATGTAAGTCTGAAGTCAGGTTACCAAGCCTCAGACTTCAGACCAATTGACATCACGACCTACGTGCCATTGACACCATGGGCACTCAGTGCCTACCCGACAATGTGCACAATTATTGAACTAGATGCGAAACTCGGTCGAGCCTGTTCTCAATTCTCCGCTCATCTGCTCAGTCACGTCCATCCTTTCTTCTTCCATCAGTCCTTTCGCACTTCCCCAACAGCCATGGATCTTGCTAGCATGCCTACACAAATGTCCGAAAAGCTTCAACATCCTGCCTTTGCACATAGATTCATTGAGGGCATTTTCACATCGCATATCTCACATCTAAGAAACCTGCAACTCTTCATATCGGCGGCAGAGGTGCGCAAGTTGTGCGTCGAAGAGTTCGAGTATTCTATGCTTGCTGGTCCTGAGGCTGGTGTCAGACAGTCACAATCTGCAGGCGAGCACCTTCAGGTTGACCATAGGAAACTCAAGTCTACATGCTCGCACTGCAAGCAATTGATGCCAACAAAGGCCACAGTATGCAATAATTGCAAACAATTACGTGGAAGATGTCCTATATGCGAACTTGCACTTACTTTCTCTCCTGACGAAGACCAGACAACAGCGTCCTCGCAGGTTCTCACATCATACTGCAACGCCTGCGGGCACTCCACCCATCTTAGCTGCATGTCTACTTGGCTCACTCTGCCTGATACGCATGGTGAATGTCCCACATCAGACTGTGGCTGCGATTGTGGACCTGGTCTCCTGCGAGATCAGCGCATTGCTCGACAAATTCGAGAAAGAGAAGAACGAGAAGCCATCAAGAGCTCTACTTCTTCACCAAATCTACGCAAAGACTCCCTACGAGCCTCCATTGGCCCAGCCGTAGACAAAGCAAGAGACGCATTACGAAAAAGCAGTACAGCCGGACGTCATGAGAGGGCGGTACAGAGCGGCGATGAGCGAACGCCGAGCAGCGGTGGCACTACTGGCAGTGCATGGAGTAAAAAGGGAACAAGTGCTGGTAGAATGTCCTTTGGTGCAGCACCACCCATGGGAAGAAGTGACTCTGGTAGTGGAGTTGGGAGTGCTGGTGCCACGAGCTTTGGGAGACGTGTCAGACTTGTTGAGCCGGATGAGGAGTAATGGACAGAAGTGCTGGAATTGTAATGTATCTTGTATCATCACTAGGCTCGTGCCTCTTGTATATTAGGATGATTGATGAGCTATGATTGAATGAGGAATGATTGATAATGATTATAGCACACGACATACGCTCGTTGTTACCTCCGAAGGAAGACTATCTTTGCTATCCAGGTTAGCAAGGTAAATGTGTTCTGTCTGATGTCAAACACAGTACATTGCCTATTGCAGCAAGAGAATGCAATCTACTGTAGCCTGGCACAAATGGCCGTCTAGTACACTCATAGCCCGCAAAATCTTCGAATTTCGTCGTAACCCTTGTTCATCGTTTTCCCATATGAAAAGCCAAGAAAAAAAAAATGAAGAAAGAAGAGGAAAAATCGCAAAAAAGAATAAAATGCATTCGTCGGGAATCGAACTGAACAGATCGTCAGAATTAAGGTGTGGTTGTGAAGATCCTTGAGAAACATACCCCGAGTCTAGTCGATGGCAACGACCAATTCTACCACTGAACCACGAATGCTATCGAGTGGCGCTTTTTGAAGCGATTGTGGTAATAGATTTTTTCTTATCATATATGTACAGCCCATCTTACGAGGCCGAAGATCAGCCTCAACTCTTAGTCCTGGCGGCACGTCCCGATGATGCATGTGATCGAAATAGGCATTTTGTTTAGAAGCTGCATTCGAACAGTAGATGACTTCACGACCGCTAGACGTGCTTCACCGTCGTCCTGGGTCTCGGTCGACAACGCTACACAATGGCTCCCAGCGACCGGCCGTTACTAGCTCGAGAAGACTCTCGTGACTCAGAGCGAGAAGCGACCGAGGAAGATGCTCTGCTCACAGGACAAGCCGCACCGAGCAGCCGTAAACAGCAATCGAAATGGCAGAAATACCGCGAAGCTGGACTGAGCGTATACGCCGTCCTGGCGACCATCACAATCATATCGCTCGCGATAGTCGTGAACCGCGAAGCGAGACGAGCAGACTCCAGACCTTCAAACCCTTCGCAACCGGACGATGGATGGGATAGAGATGGAAAACCCACTGGCAAGAGGAATCTGATATTCATGGTGTCTGATGGGATGGGTCCTACGTCTTTGTCGATGACGAGGAGCTTTCGGCAATATATTGATGTGTTACCTCAGGACGATATACTGGTGCTAGATGAGCATCTCGTGGGCTCGTCGAGGACGCTGAGCTCTAACTCGCTGATTACGGATTCGGCTGCTGGTGCGACGGCATTCAGCTGTGGGAAGAAGTCATATAATGGTGCGATATCTGTGTTACCTGATGGAAGCCCATGTGGAACTGTGCTCGAAGCTGCGAAGAAAGCTGGGTACATGACTGGATTGGTGGTTACTACTAGAATCACTGATGCGACGCCGGCGTGCTTTGCTGCTCATGTCGACAATCGAGGCTACGAGGACATAATCGCAGAGCAGCTGGTTGGCAACTACCCTCTGGGACAAGTGGTTGACGTGATAATTGGTGGTGGCCGTTGTCATTTCCTACCGAATACCACGGAAGGCTCCTGTCGTGCAGATGACAAGGATATCGTCAAGATGGCGAGCAAAGATTACGGATACAACTACATCGACAATCGCCGGGATTTTGATAGCCTTCGCTCGGAAGGCGGCGTCCAACTCCCTCTACTAGCTCTCCTCGCCGACTTTGACATCCCCTACGAGATCGACCGAGCCCACGTCAACGACATCTACCCCTCAGAATCCGAGATGGCAAAGGTAGCCCTCGACGCCCTCTCAGTCGCAACCCAAGACTCCGACAAAGGCTTCTTCCTCATGATCGAAGGAAGCAGAATCGACCACGCCGGCCACGGCAACGATCCCGCAGCTCAAGTCCACGAAGTCCTAGCCCACGACAAGACCTTCGCGACCGTCCTCGAATTCCTCGACAACTCCGACGTACCAGGCGTTGTAGTCGGCACCTCAGACCACGAAACCGGCGGCCTAGCAGCCGGCCGTCAAATCGGCCAAGCATACCCCGAATACAAATGGTACCCAGCCATTCTCGCAAACGCAACCCATTCCGCATCCTACCTCAGCCATAAATGGGTCGCCTATCTCCTCTCCACAGAAGGCGAGAAAGCCTCCAGAAAACAAAAAGCAAAATTCATACGACATGAGATGTTCGAGAAGGATTTCGGATTATACGATGTAACAGACGAAGAAACCGACAGTATCATCGACGCGACTATTTTCTGGCCGCCGGTCTGGATCATCGCTGACATCATCAGTCAACGTGCGCAAATTGGCTGGAGTACGCATGGACATACGGCTGTTGATGTGAATATCTATGCTTCGGATCCTCGGCATGTGAAGCCGCTTATTGGGAATCATGAGAATACGGAGATTGGACGGTTTCTTGCTGAGTTTTTGGAGGTGGATGTTGAGGCTGTTACGAAGGAGTTGGTTAAGAAGGGTGTGAGGACGCACGGGGTTGAGGGTGGTTCAGATTATGTGTTGCAGAGACCACAATTTCTAGACGATAATGTCTCGAAGAGCAAGCTATGGATTGATGCTCTGAGGGGACACCATGACCCATATAGTTCGGACCTGCATTCTGGGGCATATCTTTGGAGAAATGAATAGGTCAATTCAGAGTTGCTCTTGATTAACAACGTCTATATAGAGTGCTAAAAGCATTATGCTGCCGATATCAAATCGTCTTCTTGTTCCTTCTTCTTTCTCACTTCTCGTACTCAGAGGAAATGCTTCTTGAACGATGGAACTTCATTGACTTCGTTGAGCTGTGACAAGTGTGACTATTTTATACTAAGTTGTGGCGAGTTATATCAAGTTGCGAGTCGGCTTTGGCTACTACTACTTACTACTGTCCACGGGTATTGTCAGTATTGTACATCCAAAACGATAACAAAACCGAGTTGAGAAAATCCATATTTTACTAGTATAACAAGTAGATACGGTACTGGCTTGTTAGATGTATATTTATTGATTGTCCAGAAGAAGAAGATTGACAATCACCATCGGTCGATGACTGAGAGCCTATCTCAACGAAGCCGTGCAGGTACCACCAATGGCGTGCTATCCATACCAAATCCTCCCAGCGGTGGGAACATCCCCCTTACCGGCATCGGCATCGCGTCCTCATCGACTTCTTCCATTGCAGCCTTAAGTCTAGTCTTGACTTTAACAACGTGGCACCTTCTGTATTAAGGATCATTTATAGGTTCGCTTGGAAGCGTCGGTTGAATTGGATGGCAGAGAAAATGCCTTCCAAGCCGCAATTCTTGTCGTAGTACAGTGCTCCAGCGACTGGAAAGTGGATTCGAACCATGTCCATCTGCAAAGCAGTAGTGTTTACAAGGTCGTTAAACCTGCGACAGCTACGTTGTGTACCGATAATCGTCTCTTCGTCAAGGTCGTTCGCACAAAGAACGTTGAAGAAGATATCGTTGGGTAGGTCAAGGATATTTAGTAGCGTTGAGGACATGCTCGAACTGGTGTTAGTCGTAGCGCCAAGACGTGAATCCGTCATCTTGGCCTCAGCTGAATGTCTTTGTTTCTGAACGTGGACGTGGTCTCTGTTCGGCGAAGGTCGATTGAGAAAGTTGGGAGGTTCAATGTTGCACATATTTCCGTTGAAAGATATTGCTGCGATTTGGGTGGGAAGAAAAAGAGAAGAAGTGCAACTTTCGTCAATGAAATACACTTCCTTTTGAGTATGCGATACAGTTGAAGTGCAGAGGTGGAGTTGCACTGTCACTCCGCGTGTCACGCTGATGAGCTTCTTGGCTATTTTGTGGTCGTGCCACATTGTCAGTTGATTAAACACAGCAGGCTGCGCGAACGGCACACCGGAAGTGTTGTTATCGGAAGAATCTGTCAATAAATCGTGCCAACAATCTAAGAAGTGCGCACTCGGCTCGAAGTGAGCATGCAAAGTTGTGCGGGAGCAACGACATTCCCTCGTGCTGGATCAGACAAAGTAGCGTCTTAATATCTGTCTGGTTATTGTCCGTAATCACCTGCGTCCGGGCAAGTCAACTATCAGCACGTCTGTCAGCATTTCGTCATGATATATTTACGGCTCAAGAGCCAAGGTAGGGCGATTGCATCTCTTTCAGTCCACTTTTACACCACTGTAGATCTTCCTCATAAAGGCGTAACCACAAAGGAAGCCAATAGTGCCAGTCGCAAGTCCATACACCAAGCACGCCAACAACCCATAGCTGAAGAACAACAAACTGCTGATAAGACCACCAATGTGCAATGTCGTCCAATAGTACCAGTTCAGATAGACGAAGATCCAAAATGCAGAACTACCACCAGTGAGAAAGGAGGTCCACCACCAGTGGTAGTTCTCTGCACAAAGCTGGATATATAGTGTTATTATGACAGTTTCTCCAATAGTAATGGCAAGTAGTAACGTGATTATCGACAAAAAGCCAAAAACATAGTAGTACGACGACTTGTCGAGGTAAAGTGATTTGAAGACGAACATTAATTCGATGAAGAGAACCGCAAAGGGGACCAATCCAGAGAGGATGGATAGCAGGAGGTGGTTGCGAGTATACCAGGCAGCATTTAGGGGTTCCTTGGGTATATGACGTGGTGTTGAAGAGGTTCGAGTCGGATGGGAATAAGGTGCAGTGCGATAAAAGCCGTAGTAACTGCCGACGTATACTAATGGTAATTGAACGATCATCAACAGAAAGGCCAGAGCCAGTAGGGTCGTGAAAGGTATTGCCGTGCTTGATGATTGTGCCCACGTGAAGAGGTTGAGAAAGAACATCAGAGAGAATAGAAGGCCAGGAAACAGTAAGGCTGTTGTAAGGGTGTTGACACGGTAGTCAGTACCGCCAAAGGTCCTGTAGATACGAGCTGAAAGGTAGCCTGAAAGTCCACCTGCGAAGAAGAAAGTGAAGATGCCAATGGTAACGAAACCTCCTCTCCAGCTGGGATTGACCACGCCCAAACAGCTTAGAGCAAGGAGACTTGCTATCATGAAGACAAGTTGAGAGCCAGAACCGATAATTGGCGCAAGCAGCCCGGCGAAAGGTGGCGGCCGAAAGACATCAGCATGTAGTAGCTTCCAGCTCGTCACATCATCCACAAGTTCGTCGTCTGGAACTTCGTCCTCTGCAGATACCGCTCCCTCTTTTTCCAGTAGGCCGCTGCTTTTGTTATCGACTCGTTTTCTTATGGCGAACCTGGCGTCCTCGAGAAGTCCATCGCCTCGCACTCTCGTGTCTCCACTCGTTGTACGTACCCAAATGATTATGCAGACTGCACCGAGGATGGTCGAAATGATGATGGAATTGACAATAGCCAGCCAATGTGTTGAGGTGCTTTCAGTCTGGTCACTAAAGTAGAGGTCCCATCTGTTCGCCCATTCTATCTCGTGTTCTTCTCTGAAATAGACCGAGTAGGTGTAAGGGATCTTCGTTGAGATTTGGTTTAGGTCGACTTTGACTTCCGGTACATATGACGAGTCTGGATACTGCTGTGCGAGATCGGTGTTGTTGGGTCGAATATTGAGAAGCAAGGGATCCTGTCTCTCATCGAGGTTGTCTGAACATCCTGTCTCGTTTCTTGAGCCTCCGTTAACACTTTTCGGGTAGACTTCAAAGCCTGTGACCACTCTATTACCATTCTCACCAGCAGAACCAGGTGCTTTCCTCCAGCGTATAACCATAGTAAAGTGGTTGTACAGGTAGTAAGCTGGTTTTCCTGTAACCATGTCATAATCTTTGTAGCCCAGTTTGAAGCCAGCAGCATAGTATTTACGCTTTCTGTCCACGGTGACGAAAGACGTGGCTCCAGGAAGGTTGTCTAAGATCCATTCTGTAATATATCCGTCCTCGATCAATTGTTGAGCCCATTTGATGTCATGTCCATCAACGACCTTGCTGCAAAGATATGCACAATCCACATCTTGACCCATGTTCACCTCAAAATCCGAGTTCTTGATTCTGTCTCCACGAAGAACCTCGCCCAAATTTAGAGAAAGACTGTGCCCGCTGGTCCATTTCGAATCGTGGTGTCGTTTACCAGTGGCTGGGCAAACGAATGGGAGCTCGAAGTACGCGTACTGCAACTGAGTGTTGTCGGAATATATCTTGTTCACAAGCAGAGGGATATTATCGTCTTTTTTATAGCTCTGTATCGAGTATCCTGTTGGATTGTTAAAGTTGGACTGGATTGAGGCATGTTCGTCCTCACCTGGCACGTAAAAGGCGTCTACAGTGAAGAGCACACAGACTATCCATAGCCATACATGGTGAAACACGCGCGATCGAAGACTAAACGCCATGTTGGTTGGACAAAACAAGGACAAAGCGAGTGTAATTGGCAAAGATCGCCAGGTATAGAATACAGTGACTGTGTAGCCAGAAGAAATAGCTACTCAACGAGATACTGACACATTACAACACGATAGAACGAGCGACTGAAAGGAGTCGGATAGGCGTGCCAATGCTGGCGAGTACCAGATGAGTGAGAACGTTGAGTCGCAGCGCATGCAACGGTTACGGTCTCAACTGCTCCTCTCCATAAGTACATTGCACTAACGTGCAGGGTTTTGATCGTAGTGAGTCCACATAGGAGCGGCATGCGCTGTGCGGATGATGAAATTTTCCGCTCTCGAGCATTAACGTGGGCTGACTTGCGGCAACATGATCTACGTAGCGAGTTACTGTACTCGTATGCTCCTCCTCAGAAACGTTGCGGAAATAAAATCCCACGGTTCTGCTCCACGATGAACCTTGAGTTTGTGTAAGTCGTTCTAGTCAGTTCTCAAAAACATCTCCAGTATGCGTGATGAGTGTCAACATTACGATTCTCTATGTGCAAAGACTTTTAATCGATCTGCCTAGGAAGCCAAAGTACAAGGAGCAAACGCGTGTCAATCTTCGCCATATGCTAAAAACAGCCGAATTTGATATCCAACCTATCGGAACTCACCGTATCTCCTGTGGCTTACTAGGACTTTGTTTTTGGTGCTGTCGCAGAGCGCCATGTCAGCGATGGCGTAGTCGGGTCAATCTTGGCCTCTAGAATCGAGTCAGTGAGCGCTTCTGACATCTCACCAAGTACCATCACCTGGATGTTCAACAAGCTCGGTGGTTTGAAGCTCTCACGAATCTCAACGACTACACCAAGAACCAACCCATACGCAGCCGCTCCCACAACAGTAATACCGTAGTAAGCACGAATACATCGTTAAAGACCATCAGCACCTCTGGCTCACTACGTGCGCTCTTGCTGCGGCTTATGAGTTCTGCTACAGTATGGCACAGCTGTTCAGCTGTGTCGCATCGGCTTGTGAAGCCTACAGATGAACTCACGTATCCATCGTTCGTGATAACCTATCATCGAAATGCGGTATACTCAAGTCATGCCATGAAAGTGGCAGTAAGGATATGCGTGAGGTTGCGTTACTAACAGCACTTACCGACATCTCTCCTCTGACGAAACAGATGTCCCGGGAGCTTGATATGGCATGTTCGATTCCACAGTCGTCGAAAGGTTGGCCATACTACTCAAATGGGGATTCCTAGCACTTGCCGGCCAGACTTGTAGACCTCCCGTATGTAGCTGAGACTCTCGACAAGAGCCCATTGCTGACCGTAGAGGCTGTTTGCTATACTAACATCGGCATTGTAAAATCCAAGTGGTACTCGTGCTTTGCACTCAAAGCTGCATTTGGAGTTGACTCTCGAGACGAGGCATCTCATGCATGCCTGAGGCATCAGCATCAGCACTCTTTGCTCGTGCGTTTGACATGGGGTAGTATTTTGGTATTTTGGTATTTTGTGCCGATTTCATGTGCAACAAAATTGGAGATGGCATGTGATGTGGTAATTCGCATTTTACAACCTCTGGTACATCATCAGTGCTCCTTCAAAGGCATCTTATCGGTGGGAACATTCATGGAAGCAGCAAAAAAAAAGTGCCAGCCATTTGTGCGCTGTTCTTGTGTGCGACCACCTGTCCTCCCCACCTCCACGCTGCTGTCGCTGTTCATGTCTTCGATTAACCAGTAGTTGAATAACAACAAGATGGAAAAGTTCTCAGCCTACAGAGACAAAGGTCAGTCCAGAGCATGACTCCCACTCACCAAATATCCTTGGCGCATATCTTGTGGTGACTGCCCTGCTCTCCTGTCTAACAGCAGTCGCAACTCAACATGAATAGCTGTGCTAATACCGAGTCCAGGCAGCGGCATAGCACCCTTTCTACCTATCCCAGCTGAGCCAACCAGGCTATATCTGCCTTTCCACATCTTTCTATTTGCCATCCGCATCCCTTTTCTGATAGCCTTCATCCTCTCGTACTTCTTCTTCCTACAATGGCTGCCAATTGGCACGATCGGCAAGAAGGCCTCATTATGGTCAATTATGGGTGTGCCTGGGATCTGGTGGATTGATCTCCAGATCGACGGCGTTAGGAAGGGGTAGCTATGATCGCAGTCTGTTCGTCGCATCAGGCTAATCCGAGGTAGAACTGTCAATGCCCAAAGAGATCGTTTCCCACAAGAAGGCTCGATTCTGGCGGCCTCGAGCACATCGCCCATCGATCCCATCTATCTAGCCGCCATTTTCGATCCCATCTTCACCATCTCCTACCCAAACCTGAGACAGGTTCGGCGAATATCCCTTCTTCAAGCTGTGATTCAATGTTTCTTGTATCCTGAGCTTTCACCTTCCGATAACACAGAGCTTGTGGAGTTGAACACTCTGACAGCGCGCAATCCAAACAGGTACATTGTGGTCTTTCCTGAATGTACAACCAGTAACGGTCGGGGAATACTACCCTTCAGCCCGAGTCTGCTCTCCGCATCACCCAAGACAAAGATCTATCCAGTCAGCTTGAGGTATACATCTCCTGACATTACCACACCCGTGCCGCATACATACTCCAGATTTCTATGGAATCTGTGCAGTAAGCCAACACATTGTATACGAACGAGGATTGCAGAATATGTCACTATCCCTGCGCCAGGACAGAACAGCGCCAGGTCGTCTGCACTGGAGAGTAACGACGTCTCTAGCGACGCCGACACTTTGGTCAATGAAGAGATCGAGGATACGATGACGAGAGACCAAAGGCTTTTCCTCGATAAGGTCGCAGAAGCGCTGGCAAGACTCGGTCGGGTGAAGAGAGTTGGCCTTGGAGTCAAAGAGAAGCAAGATTTCATAGCTATGTGGACGAAAACAACCAAGCGGAGGTAGACCAAGCCCAACCGTTGATGTTTCATATTGAACACAGCATCAACAGCACTTGAATGGTACCGAAAACATGCCTGTTCGCAATTTCTTTGTTCCGCACCGTGCACAGACCAGCAAGTGTGTGATACCGTCATCGCAACCCCGTTCATTGTTCTATGATCATGACTAGGTTCATATGGAAGAGACACCATCCTATCATGCCCTTCGATCGCTATTGACAAGTCACAGCTGCAAATCATTGGCACAGACATGGCGTCAAGAATTCTGTCTGCCCTTGCTTTGGTGTTTTTGATACCTCAGCTCACGACAGCAACTTCATTTGAGTACTTTCGAAGCGTCTTCTGCGACGCACAAAGTCCCGACTTCCTCATCGAGAGTTATATCTCACCATTGCCCTTGGCTAATGACAAACTATGCCACCAGACACCTGCTGAGACGATGGGCATAAAACTGAAGGATGGAGTGAAAGGCTGTGTTGGTAAGTCTAAAACACCAAGTCACGAAATCTCGAAGGTGGCTGAATATTTCCAGTCCTTGCATACAATGACTATGGCTGCTCGAGCTTGGTAGGCTCGATTCCCAGTTCCGGCAAGTGTGTCGCGTCAACTAAAGCTCGCATCGGATCATGGCAAGCAGTCTGCAATAGCACTATTGTAAGCGCCGATGACAAAGCTACCATCCAGACTTTCGCACCAGGTGAACTCAAAAGACGAGGAAAACTGCGCTTGCCTGCTATCCGAGACGAAGTCAACCACACTAGCAGCATTACTCTTACGAACGAGAACAATGTAGCCACTGCCTCGTCTATCGTCAGTGAGATATCATCAGGTATCTCTGCTTCCGCTACTATTGAGGTTGCCGCTGGCGTTACATCTTTACCTTCGGCAGGTGCAGCTTTGAGCTCTGCCATCAGCTCCGGAGCAGGCATCAGCTACAACCTGACTTCGTATGTCACTGATACTGCTACTGCCAATACTTCAGCATCAGTCACAGGGGGCGGTAATGGTACTTACACACCACCAAGCATGACAACCGCTCTGAGCCCTACTGTCACTGCCACCTACAGCGGCAAAACGAATGGCAACGGTACAGCACAACTCCACATGGGTCAAGCATCATCTACCTTTGATAGCAGCAAGTCCCTGGCCACTGTCTACACTGGACTTCTTGTGGTCTTTGGCTTCATGGTAATGCTTTAAGAAAATAGTTTGGCTTCGAGTCCTGATTTGTCTGGTATGGTATTGTGGATAGTCAGCCCTTTATAGAATCTGAAAGTAAGACAAATATTTTCCACACTTCGTCTCTTTTGGTTCGATTACCATAGTACCGGCCTTTTCTGCAAGTCCTGACGCTTCCAAAATTCATGAACACAATGTAATTCTCTGATTCTCGAACTGGTCGCGTGAGACTCAAAGTCGATTTCGCCAAGACGAACCACCTCCTAAACTGGAGTAGTTCCAATAGTCACACTCAAACACCTGAAATTGCACTTGCTTCTCTCCTTTTATGAAAATTTATCTCTGCCGTCTTGACAAATGTTGGGATAAGTATGAAACCTGGTTCAGCCACTTCTTCAAGGAAAATTGCATAATGCTGTACCTTTTTTCTTATGCATTCGTGGCTGAAGGGAGAGCTTTACGAGCTCGTACTTTGCCAAACCACTGGGTCTTCGGCAATGCGTCTTTGTCATCACGATGTACGACATTGGTTGCATTGAAACTTCAATGGTTTGAAAACTCAGTTCTGTCCTGAAAATACTGTCCGTTCCTGACCTTGGATGTCTATCGAAGCTCTTAAGTGGACCATCCTTTTGTGCCCACATTCGTGCAGATTGTACAACATGGATAATGACTTGCATAGAGCTCCACTCACTACGTTACATTAGCAGCAAACGAGTAACTTTGCATTTAGCCTCTCCAGTCCACGACTTCTGCATACCGCTCCTAATGAGTTCGTCCACGCCATTATACGGTCCCAAGATATACAGAGAACGGCTCACTGCACCGAGCACAAGCGAAGGACGCCGATCACGCTAAGTGAGCCACGTTTAAGGCACGACCTTAAACCCGTGTCCACATCTACCCACAAGTGCTCTTGTTCGGGGCAGTTTGTGAAAGTGGTAAGGCTGCACCCTTGTCGTGACTGCTCGACGTCTGGTTCGGAGGGTCGTAATTGTGGCACTGCTTACCAGCATGGAAGAGGAGAACCTCTTCTGACGGTCTTACCATAATCAAAAACACTCGAGATCATAAAAATTAAGCCCTTCGATCTATTACGCCAATTGCTAGCTAAGCCTATAATGCTAGCGAGAATCGTTGATCCACCTTGAAAACCAATCTGGGAGTTCATTTATGCTTCGACCTTTCCTATGTTAGGAAAGGACGCCCAAGTTCAACCACATCAGAGCTGAGGTTGACGGCCTCGACCTCTTGTCGATACCAGAGTATGCAGCGGACCTATGTGGCCGAGGGCCCAAATGCAGGTCCGCTGGTGACATACACTTACAATAGTACAACCCGAGACTTTCCACAAGGGCCCATGGTATCGGTATACACCACCCAATTGTGGATGTCCCAAAGTTCTCCTGTTGACCTCACGTTGAGATACTGTAGGTATACATAAAGTCGAAGACGTACCTTGCCATGGAGCTTCCTGGTCAGCAACTTCTTCAATCACCATTCATTTACTTTGGGTAACAACCCGTCCACTCTCTTTACCATGCATATCAACACATTCGTTTATGGCACTATCGTGTTGGCAGCAAGTTCTGCCAATGCCAGAGCCTTGCCAGCTCAGCCTCTCACATCTCTAGCTAAGCGTCATGCCTTCGGCACTACAGGAGAATGTGCTCCCCAGCCTTTAGGCTCAGGACCGTCAACTAGCAATCCAGATACAGCTGATGCCTTCGTCGCGAACTCCGTCTACGCGAATTATGCCAACAACGCTGGCTTACCATCTGGATATTCTCTACAGTACCAAAACTTGCAAGCAGCTAGCACGACGGGTGGCTACCTTGGCGTGGAGGAATTGACTTCTTACGACACTAACTACTGTGCTTCACAGTGCTGCAATTTCTGGTCTTCTTGTCAATCGTTCAATATTTACTTCGAGAGGAATCCAAGTCTCGATCCTGGTGCTAACTGCACAAACCCTGCTTCCACTACACGCATCAAGTGTTCATTCTGGTCTGAGCCTATCACAAGCAGCGACGCCACAAACGACGGGCAATACTGCTCGGATTTCCACGTCGTTATTGCTGGGTCCAATGGGTACAACGTGAACTCCTGCCCGGCCTCTTCGACCACTTCTTTTACGACGTCTCTAGCTACCTCTTCAACCGCATCTTCCACAGACTCATCAACCACGACTGCCTCTAGCACAACCACTGATAGCACGACCACTGATAGCACGACCACTGATAGCACGACCACTGATAGCACGACCACCACCACCACGACTAGCAGCACTACGGCCAGCAGCAGCACGACAACCACGACGAGCAGCCCCACAACTAGCAGTACAACAACTAGCGCAGAGACCAGTAGTACCACGAGCAGCACCACGAACAGCCCAACTACCAGCAGCGTGGCCAGCAGCTCGACCACAGTTAGCGTTACCACAGTCATTGTCACCACCACTAGCACCAGCAAGCCTTCATCCTCGATGACTACGACTACAACCACAACCACAACCACAGCCACAACCACGGTCCCAGTCACCACAACAACCTCAACAAGCGCTACATCACCAACAACCACGTCGAAGACCACCACAACATCATGTGATGACGACAAGCCAAAAGGGAAGAAAACAAGCACTACCACCACAACGACAACAAAACAGCAGCCCTCGACAACTATGATGACCACGACAACCAAGGCCCCAAGCACGACCACGACATCATGCAAGACCACCACCACCACCACCAAAGCTACATCAACCACAAACACAGCCAAGGCAACAGCGACTGCTGATTCAGAATGTGCTGGTTGGGTTCTGTGCTGGAAGAACTGGTTACCAAACCTTGACCTAAACCTATAGAGAGGAGCAGCAATAGCAAAGTGGTAGCAAAAGGACCAAGAGAGACAAGAAGCTAGGTTTGGATTTCACCCCTGTATCTACCAGACGTTAGGTGAGATATGGAAGGAACATTAGAGTTATTAGACCGTTTAGTACACGCTAAGTATTATCAATACATTTGAAACCTGATGTTTTGTTGTATTCACTGTGTGATGTTGTGATTGATATAGAGTTACCTGACGTAGCTGTTCTCATAATCACTGGTCTCTCGTAATCGCTGGTGGCCTTACAGTCAATACTCGTCCAGAGAGTATAAGTAAGAAGCGGGAACTCCGGAATTGATTCTTTATGCTATCGCATCGAAAACCTCGTGGACAGCTCTGCAGTGAAGGAAGTTCCAATCCAGGTACTCATAATGCTGCCTGAAACACCAGTCTGGTTCAGTACGTCAATCATGCCTCTTCTATCTGGCCACCACTGAACAAGCAGCACTCGAACACACTCTGTAAGCTGACATTTTCCTTCTTGTCCATAGTCACAGGCTGCTCGACCGGCATCGGCGCAGCCTTCGCAGCCCAAGCCCACCAGCTCAACCACCCCGTCGTAGCAACAGCACGAAACCCATCCACACTCTCCTACCTTCCCGACAACAACCCATCCGTCCTAAAGCTTCAGCTCGACGTCACATCAGACACCTCGATCAATGCCGCGTTACAATCAGCAGTCGCACACTTCAAGCGGATCGATATCCTCGTCAACAACGCAGGGTACAATCGTCTCGGCGTGACAGAAGCGGTGCCTGAATCCGAGGTTCGCGATATTATGGAGACGGTGTTCTGGGGCGCTGCACGACTTACCACGCGTATCCTCCCTATCATGCGAGAGACGAATGCCCAGCAAGGCAGTATCGGCGGCACAATCATTCAAATCACAAGCATGGGTGGGCGCGTCGTATTTCCCGGAAACGCGGGATATCATGCTGCGAAGCACGCTCTCGAGGCCTTCACCGAAACGATAAGTCTGGAGGTTCAGCCGGAGTGGAACATCAAGTTTCTTATTGTTGAGCCGGGTGGAACGAAGACGCAGTTTGGTGCTGGGCTAGGTCAGGTCACGGGGCATCCTGCGTATAATGATGAGAAGAGCTTTATGAGTCAATTGTTTCAGTTCACCGCGTCTAGGGGGTTTGATGACGGGTTTGCGAAGGCTGAGGATGTTGTGCGGACGGTTTGGGGAGTTGTGAAGGGAGGGACCATGCCGCTGAGGTTGCCAACTGGTGGTGATGCGTGGAGTAGTATCAAAGGTTATGAAAGTAAGAAGATGGAGGAGTTGGAGGAGTGGAAGGAAGTGAGCGAGGGCGTGGGCGGTATAGTGTGGACTTGAGCAGTATACTTCAGTCAACTTGATGAGGTCACTCCTTCTCTTCTTTCGTCGAGGCGGCCACCTCGACGTCTGGCTATAGCATATAGAGATTGTTCTTCGACACGATAACACGTCATACGCATCTGCTTGGTAAAAACGAACTCTAGAGGTTGGGTTACAGTATCATCACAACACCCATAAGCTGAGACAAATAGAAGAAGTTCTCGAAGGTTGTGCTTCGTCAGGTGACACAAGCAAAATGACACGACGATCTGCGCAAATAAAAAAGCAGCATGTTGACACACTACAACTGACATGCTTCCTGCCCACCTCCTCGCAGTCTCCTAGAGCCACAAATGAGGAGGCTGATGAGCTTGGACAAGACTGGTAAGATCAGCCAAAATTGTGCATACTGGTAGAGGGTCGCGCGACGTTCAGAATACTTTGACAAAAAAGCTGGCTTGACACACCACAGTCAATTCGATTCTCGTATTTCACATGGCTGATCATCTTAGCGTATGGGGCCTAATCTCCACACGGCAGCTATGGCTCTGACGATCGCTTCGAGACCAATAGCAAGACAGATTTAATTTGACAGCCAAGAACTACTGTGGAAGAAGTTGACCATTCTTCTCTGAGTGGCAATACAGATACCACTATATCAGCATCATGAGGATGTACAGCGACAGTGCTATACAAGGATCCAGGCCACCAAGACTGCATGTTTGTGCAATGACCGAAAATCAGCAGCCACTCAAGATTGAGGCGTGTTTCAGTTGACGACAAGATCCTCCCCCCAAGACAAAGCTTGTCTTGATGCGATCTCAATTTAGAGGCACGAAACAATCCGAGACTTTGTGCCCATAGATCCAGCAGTAATGTTCTGATTGGCGAGAGTCGATTTTTGGAAAGATCTCAGCTCGGGAGCTACTCGTTTAGCTTCGTCTTTGACACGACAAAAAAGGACGCAGCAAGCACTTGCATAGCGAGGACAGACGGGCTAGCCGCGACGCGACATGGGGAACTTGGGAGGCCTTTTGGTAGTCAGTCCTGTAAATGTTTTATTCGCTCCTATCTCCTTCAGTATTATTGTGAACATACTCAGCTTCATCTTGCTCAACGTTGTCATTGACATTCATCACTTTCGTTAATCAGAATATTCTATTTCATCGTTATATTCTTATTCCTTCGTTATCACCCTTCTTGCACGAATAACCCTCAAGATGTTCTCAAAGACCTTAATCATCGCCTCCGTCGCTACTCTGGCTGTTGCTCAGTCAAGCACAGCATGTCCTGGACAAAAGTGAGAAGACGAACAGCATCTCAACTGATCACTCTGCTAACAACCCACCCACAGCATTCTCGACGCCTGCAAAGCCACCATCCAAGCTCAAGTCAATAACTGCGCCTACACCGACTACTCCTGCCTGTGCACCGCATACACAAACATGGTCGGATGCTATGCCAGCTCTGGCTGCTCGAATGACCTAACCGTCGGCACTGCTCAGCAGCAAAAGGAGCTGAACTGCAATAACGCTTCCGTCTACGGCAGCACAACCATCCTTGGTACTGCTACTGCAACATCCGCTGCTACCACGGCATCCTCCGCCTCTTCACGTGCAACATCTGCTGCATCTGGCTTCGCTTCAGGTACTTCGTCAGCTAGCAGCTCCAGCGCCAGCGCCAGCCAGAGCAGCTCTTCGAATGATGCTGGAAGCGTCGGCGCGGCAGGTAGCCTGCTTGCCATCGTCGCTGCTGGTATCGCTGCTCTTTTGTAATCATGTTTTTAGGATGCTCAAGGAGATTGAAAGAGGAGGAACAGAACCAGTCTTTTTATGGGTTAGCAGGGAGTCTGGGGATTTTTCAAGTCACTTGCCTCGATCTACAATTGAGTACATAATAAGACGAAAGCTTATTTCTGACAATTCCCTCTTCAAGCTTTTCTGCGTTTTGAACGCCTGAGGTCTGAGCTGTCTTTTCCATATGTCTCCGCCGTTCGTGTCTTCCTTGTCTTCGTGGCAGCAGCGTCGGATTCAATCTTGCGTGAGCCTGGTTCAGCTTCCGAGTTTACTTGCTTAGCTGGTGGCTCGAGTTGGGAGGCTTTGGGCTCGGCATCCTCGCCTTGTGCAGGTACTTTGATCGCGTGGTCGAGCTGTTTCTTTTGCTGGTCGGTCAATTGACCCTCGTGCATAAGTACATATGCTGTCTTCTCGAGCACGTCCGCCGTGACTTTATTGTCGCGCTCGAGCTCCAGAACACAATCTAGTAACATTTTGTACTCCTTCTTGTCATACTTCAGTTTGGTTGAATGTTCCTGGTTGAGCCAGTAGAACAGCTCATCTTCGAAGAAAGGTACTCGAGGGCTAAGAACGCTTAGCACTAGGGAACCTGTAGCAGGCCCAACGCCTTTGAGCTTGCAGACAATGTCTAATGCTGAGATGATCCTTGTGTTAAAGTCTTGCTCATCGGAGGTTTGATTGAGAACCTTGGCTGCTTTGCTGGTTTGCTCTTTTACTTCGTCTTCCGGATTCTTCTGTACCATGCCAGGCAGGAATGGCCTGTGGACGCCGTGTGTACTGTCGTGAGTATCAGCTGCCGCGATCTCGTCGATAGACTAGTTTCGCTGCGCATCAGCAGACTCACATTTTCCACTGTACAAGCCTTGCGAGTTGCTCCTTGGTCAGACCTTGGCTCACCTCCAGCGAACCAGGTAGCTCGTAGTACCTCCATTTGTCATCCTTGAGGATGGTCTCTAATCTCGATTTTGGGCGCGTCTCCTTGTATACTACCTGCAAAAGAGCAGGATACATGTCGTTACATGCTTGGAACAGCTCTTGAGTACAATCCTCCGCCTTTATGTATGGCTCAGAGGACATTGCGGCACTGTTCGACTAAAACACGGAAAATTTTATCGACACTTACAATAAGTTGACTTGCTGTTGAAGGCCCAGCAAGCAAAAGGCGTGAATGGTTGTGCTTTAGTTTGAGGAAAACCTAACTCGGTCCTGGCAACGAAGGTCTTAACGCGAAACACGTTGACATTATCGCGGCAGGGGTGGACGCGAGAAGGGTTTGATATCTGCTCGATCTGTGTAACAGTCTGAGGTCAACAATTCTGCACGTACACAAAGCCCATTCCACTGTCTTCCTCCCGACGACCGTTGGCCCCGACAGCCTCTTGTCGGAATATCTCTACTGACAAGCGGCTTAGAAAGTGAAACACCAGCTTGCTTCGGCAAGATATACAGCGAGGCAACTATGATTCAATCGCGACTGCCCCGCGTGGCCTCGGTATGAATTCGTGTCTCCAAAATCATTGTAAAAGTGCTAATCATTCCAGCGTAACTTTCAAGACGCCAACTCATCAAATTGTACAGGAAATTACATCGTCACAACTCCCTAACCTGCTACTGAACCATGGCATCTGTAATGCAAAAAGCAAATACGCTCCGGGCTGCCCTGGGCAGAGGCAACGGATTGTCTTTCGGAGCATGGCAGATGCTACCTGGTGCACATCTATCGCGAACGATGGCACGATCTGGCTTCGACTGGATCCTGATTGACTGCGAACATGGCAACATTGCTGGTATAGTCCGTCACATCGTGGCCGTGGTAACTAATCTGACGAACTGGCAGACAACGAGATGCACGAGTCTGTACATGCAGTGGCCTCCTGCGGAGTGAGTCCTATCGTACGGATACCAGCAAATGAAAGCTGGATGGTCAAACGAGCTTTGGACAGTGGCGCACATGGAGTGTTGGTACCACTGATATACAGCGCAGACGACGCGAAGCGACTTGTAGAGTCTACCAAATTTCCACCTCGAGGCAAACGAGGGTTTGGAAGCCCTTTCTCGATGGGCGCATTTGACAGCAAGGGTGACCTGAGTGGCCTACAGTACATGCAGAACGCCAACGACAACCTGTTGACGATCATTCAGATTGAGACGGCCTCGGCTTTGGCTGATGTTGAGAATATTGCCAAGATTGATGGTATTGATGTATGTCGTGCGGGCATGTCGAAATTGGTTGAGCACGCAGCTAACGGGTTTACAGGTTCTGTTCGTCGGTCCCTGGGATCTGGGCAACAACATCGGCCATCCTGTGCTTGGAGATTTCGATCAGGAGCTGAAGGACGCCATTACTCGTGTGCGGGAGGCAGCCAAAGCAGCTGGCAAGTGGAGTGGTATATATTGTCCCAATGGAGATGTTGCACGGAAGTATGCAGATGAGGGCTTCCAGATGGTGCGTAGTATTTTGTTCTCACCACTTCTCTTATGCTAACACACACTTCCAGATTTCGGTGATCAACGACATGACAGCGATTCCAGTGTACATGACTCAGTCTCTAAACACAGCCAAAGGCACATGGGGCCACAGTGCTGCACAAGCTGTCAAGGGCGCTGCATACGGTGCAGTAAACCTAGCTTCGAGGACGTCAGAGGATAAGCCTTGAATGCTGTCAAAACCTGAATGTCGATAATTTTAATCGTCTGCGCGCAGTGCCTTTCATGGTATACTCTCCGCACATTTCTTTGCAACCACAACAACAGCTAGGGAGTAGATGGCTTCACTTCGTCGGATAGTATTCTTAGATGTCGTAGGTGCTCCTGCGGCATCTTCATGTCTCTTGCGACTGCTGTTCAGCATCATCGATGAGCGCTTCCACCTCTTCCTCTAAGAATCGATGCATAAGTTTCTTTTCCTCACTCACAATATCCGGCTTCGAGTAGGTATGAAAGACGCGCGATACATGAAGGACGGGCACGTCGAAAGCATATGCGTTGAACCATTTCTTGTTGGTCTCCTCCATGATATCAACCTCATTATATTCCACAGTTCGTCTTTTCGTCACATTCGTGAGGCGAGCCTTTGCAGTATCGCAGAGGCCACAGTCGTGCTTGGTGAATAACGTCAAACGCGCTGAGTACATGCGCAAAACGTGTGTGGCCCGCATATCGATTCTGCAGACCAGGTGTTGTTCCCAATAATGCAGCAAGCATGTTTTGGAAGGAACGAAGCTGTTGATAGAACGGAGTAACGGGTCACGCCTGCGCCCTCGGCATGAAGCCTGAATTATGTCATCGCCAACCGTGATGAGCAGCCAAAATCACAATGCACCGCAGTGCTCATTCTTTCCTACAGTAACCTCGTTATGGATTTATAGCGTTAAATGCGTAGGGATTTCAGATCGAGGTCACTCGATTTTGAGAGTCTACCCTTCTAATGAGATACCCTGGTCCCTAGAAACATGAGTGTTACACACGGCACGTGCCTGCGAGAACCCTGTAGAGATGCACGAGCTGTCCCTGGTTCGCTAGCTCATAGCCATGGATTACGCTGGGAGAAGCTTCTCTACTCTCTTACTCACCACTCTTAAGCATTCTTGTGTAATGTTCCGGTTCGCTCGCATGCTTGGCATCGTTCGTTTGCGATATCAGTGTCCTCTTTCTACACAGCTATCAATACCCATCACGCCTGTTTGTTCTTTGGCTGTGCGCGATCGACGGCCACTGAAGAAACGTTCGAGCGGTTTGAAGCTCTAGTGCCTGCCAAGTCCATGCGCCGAGCAGGGACACGCTGCGCGATGATGTTTCTCCTCAATCTCTCCACATAAAACTATGGCACATGCCAGCTTGTATGGCTCTTTATCTTTAATCTAAATACAATACAATCCAAGGTCGCAATCTGTCGCCGTCAATCGTTGAAGGAACTACTACATCCTGTGCTTGCGACAACTGAATCGGTGTATTGAATGCGAGCAGAGCTCGCTGGCACCTTCCAACATGGCTGTAGAGAACGTAACAGGTATTGAGGGTCAACAGTCCACGTTCATACCTTACACAGATCTGTCCTTTGACATTCACAACACTGACTCGTCTGTTCTGAAATTGGTATTTTGGATCCGGCCCAAATGGAGAGAGTGTTCCCAGGAACTCAAGATTGTAAAATTTACCGAGGGCATCACGAACACAGTCAGTATGCCCATATGCGCCGAACACGTGCCCTGCTCACCTATTGCAGCTGCTCAAGGTTGCACGACATAGACCTGATGTCCCTTTGCACGAAGCAGATAACGATGCGATCCTCATGCGAGCCTACGGAAATCGTACCGAAATCATCATTGACCGCGATCGCGAAGCTGTTTCTCACCGCCTCTTGGCAGACAGAGGGATGGCACCACCACTTTTGGGAAGATTCAAAAATGGGCTTCTTTATGGATTCATCCCTGGCAAGCCGTGCACCGCTGAGGATTTGACGCAGGACCGTGTATGGCGCGGCGTGGCTCGAAAGTTAGGAGAATGGCACGCAAAAGTACCTATATCTGGCATCAGTTCTTGTTCGTCCGTTGGGAAGACCCTTAGTCGTAATGCTGACGGCTGCCACTGTCTCAACCAGAGCAACGGTGCTAACGGCGCAATTGAGAAACAACGAACGGTGAGTTCGCGCAAGCCCTCTCCCAACGTATGGTCAGTTATGCAGGGCTGGATAAGCGCATTAGACACAAACACAGAGAAAGAACGAGCAAGAAAAGAAATGCTTCAGCAAGAGCTAGAACGCTGCTTCCAAGAACTAGACAGCAGCAGCGGTATTGGTGAGCACGGCTTTGTTTTTGCGCATTGTGACTTGCTATGTGCAAATGTTATCCAGCTTCCGAGCCCACACGCGCCAGTCGCTTCAAACGTCCAACCTGTCACTTTTATCGACTACGAATATGCCACTCCGGCACCTGCTGCTTTCGACATTTCGAACCATTTCGCCGAGTGGGCAGGTTATGACTGTGATTATAGCATGGTCCCATCTAGACCTATTCGCCGTGGATTCCTGCAAGAGTATATCGCTTCTTACAGTAAGAATGCGAATATCAAACTGGACGAATCAGCTGTCGAGAACCTCTTTCAGGACGTCGATCGTTGGCGAGGCATTCCCGGGCTATACTGGGGAATATGGTCTTTGATCCAGGCAAAGATTTCGGCGATTGATTTCGATTATGCTAAATATGCTGAAGAGCGCCTCGGTGAATATTTTGCCTGGCGAGGTGAAGCAGACGGCAGTCGTGCTAAGCAGGGAGTGAACATGCCTTTGCGTGAGCGCAGATGGTCTGAAGACTGAGGTGCTACTTGCCCTGGCATTTTGTAAGACCAAGCGGTGTCCGCGACAACCTTTGACACTGTGTCGTGCAAGCCCTAATGGCATGACCACACAAAGAATGCAAAGACTTCTACCTGGTGCGCAGCAATTTGTCGATACTATGGCCATTCTATTCGTGGTTATGACTCAGCTCCATTCTGAGGCATATCCTGCACTGCACATTAGCAGTATGCAGGCGCCTTGTGTAGATGAGGTCAGGAACAAGCCGTGATCACAACAGGAGTGGTGCGCAGCGACGCGATCTGGATTGCATCATTTCTCTGGGAAGGCACGGTATCAACTACCGTGTAAGGAGTGCAAGCTGCCGGATGAAGCATGGGCAAGTGTGGACTATAGAGCTCTTCCTACAGTGACCTATAGAATTCACCTGAGGACCCGAACAAAATATAATTCAGCATGCTTTGTCAACTAAGGCGTCCATGAGCAGGTCCGGCTGTAATAGAACATACCTGGCACAACGCGTACCATGTGCCTCAAATGCGAGTTGACGGTTCCCAATCGATGGCTGTACATGAAGAAGGGCCCAGTCCTCGCCCACGACATCCACCGTGCTCTTGAGACACTCCAATGGTCCGGGCTACCTCATCCCGTGCCTCTCGGGAAACGACACTGCATGACTGCGGATGGAAGTAACGGAAGACTTCTGTATGGATTGCGACACATTGTTGTTGTAAACATCTTGCTCCACGAGGGCTTACTGTTGCCGAGCACGTCACGTCAATCACTCATGGTTGACAGGATCGGAGATAAGCTGGGAAGTGGTAATTGACATGTGGGCATGATCCAAATCAAGCAAGCGAGCAGAAGCAGAGACAGGACCCGACCAAGCAAGCCATTTATCGCGGAAACAGGATGGCACAACCGGCGCCGATTGGGTGGATAACGATGGCTTGGATCAGAATCTCTTGGCGTTGTAAGGAGGTGATGCGAGATGCTCTGAAAGATGAAGCTGCGCTGCGAAGTTGTGCTTGCAGCTGCTCATGTTAGCAAGAGTGTTGCTGTAATTGATGCCACTAAACCGAGCTAACAAGGACGATTATCCGTAGACTCCTGGCTCAATCCACACGACAGGCCCATGGGTCTCACACAACCCACTTAGTGTGCTTTAGTGACATACTTAGTGGCCATGCACCCTGCTGGAAGCTCCATAGAGTGGTGTCTCTTCCTTCCACTCTTCTGATCCTCTTTCGTGTTTCGTGCTTCCAGTTGGTTCGCTGCCTCTCGGAAGCCAGCATTGCACCTGTGCCATCTGACCTCACGCACCTTCCAGTGCTCCCCTTTAGGATCTTCCCAAACTCTGTTTTTCTTGCAAGTTGTTGTCCTTGCACTTCCATACACGCCGTTGTGGTTTGTTCGTGTCATCAACACGTCCACCTGCGTCCTTTATCGCCTTCTCCCCCATTTCATATTCCTTCGCCTCTACCACTCTTCTTCTATACTGTTTTCACTGGCTTTGTAATACAATTCTCTTCGTCTTTGTTTCTTGTATTGCCACCTACTAGGCACCTTAATTGGTTGCTTTGGTTATCGGGTTGCTGCCGGGTTTGATTCGTGTTCAACTTTGGATTAAGCGACTTTGAATTTCACATTCACACCAAATTGTACTATTTGCGCCGACTACTGCACCACCATACTATCGTTAGCCTTCACTGTTCTACCTACCACGGTACCACCCCAGGTCGGCTAGTGTCGCTGATCATCTTCTGTCGCTGGCTCGACATAGCTTCAACCGGTAACCATTTCACTTCTGGTGGTTTGCGCATCGACACACGATAATCCTTTGCTACGCGATCGCAGACGCCTTGTTAACAGGCTGAAGTGAAATTTCAAGATTGGGTGGACCGGCAGATGTTCATGGAAATATTCGCAAACACTGCTGCCTGGTGACTCGATCGGGCTGACGGAAGTTGTTGGAGTGTCGCAAGGCAGAACAAGGATTGCGCAAGTGATAAGACAAACATGTTGCGCATATTGTCCTGGAACTCGAACACGGGTTTTGAGAAGATGCCGTCCGAAGACCTTCCGACCTTGACTCACAACATTGCCAACCCTTTACCACAGTGTGGAGGTAAACGCAAACGTCCGGTAGATGTGCCCTCAGTGTCTTCTATCAATAGTCAGACAGTGAAAGCTCTTGTCAGTGACGGGCTGAAAGCACTTACAAGTCCTCTGAATGATCATGATTTCATCAAAGTTCAACCTGAGAAGTGCTCAGAACCTCCAGTTGATTCACATAAATCAAGTCCTCCCTCAAATCCTGCTGCTGACGTTCAGATGGAAGATATCCCCTCCTCGTCCTCATGTGAGAAGGTCAAGTCTTGTGAAGATGCTCAGTTGGCAACTATGAGACAGACAATTTCCTCCCAATTGAGTTTGGAAATCTTGATGAAGCACAGAGAATTGAGGCTGATTGACCAAGAACTAGCAAAGTGTCAAGTGGCGTTGGAACAACTACGCAGATGTACCGAGATACCATATCCAGCTCTTCGCCAGCCTTCAGAACAAGTATCCTTAGGTCAAGGGCCGGCAGTACGCAAGCCATCTGAGAAAAATCCAGCTCGCTCGCCAGCACCTTGGGGAGTCACAGACGGCCCGTATACTCGACACTACGCTAGGTGGCTCCTGCCAGATCATCAATTTGATGGTGGCAAGGCTGAAATGTCTGCTCCTCTGATGGTACCTCATCATGGCCGATCCACACGAGGTGTTCATACTGACTTTGCTCAAATGGTTGGTAAGACGTCAAGATCCCAGCGTGCATTATACCAGGGATTGCCTGCCGGTTTTTGCGAACCTAAACAAAAGCCAACTGGTCCGATGATTCTTAAGCGCAAGTCTGACGGGAAAATGGTCAAGCTGGTGTGTCCCGATTGTGGCCGATTGGACTTTGGAAGTGCCCAAGGTTTCATTAACCACTGCCGAATCGGTCATCAGAGGAACTATGCTAGCCACGATGCGGCAGCCGAAGGGTGTGGTGAGCCTATAGAAGTTGACGATGCAGGATTAGTGAAAGATGCTTCTGTTGTTTCTGCACCTCCTTCAGTGGTCACGACGCCGATAGCCGTTACACCGTCTCCTATCATCGTTTCAGCGACAACTTCTAGCACACACCCTCTTGTGAAAACAGCACACTTGATGTCCAAAGATACTCTAGCTCGGCCGATTGTCCAGGGAGGCTTCATACCCAAGTCAGAACGCAAATCTGCTAAGCCAAGGATACGCTCGCCGCAAGTACAGAACTCAGATACACCCCACTTGTCTGCGCTGGTTCAAAGTCGAGAAACTGGCATCAATCTCGAGGAAGCCGTTGCTGAAGCGAAGCGAAGAGATGATCTGCATGAGGAATGGGAATTCGACGCATTCGTGGACTTTGACTCACCATTGCCCACGCCTAAGAATAGCAGGCATCCACATGTTGCTGGTAAAAAGCCAAGTGGTAAGTCTGTCAATGCTGGTAGCAATGCTCGCAAACCAGCTGCACCGAACCAGGTTTGCGCGAGTATGAGTGGTTCTCTTTCCGCTGTCCAGACCCCGGCCGAAGAACAGTCATTCCACCACTTTATGCCACTTGTTCCGTCTCCAACGAACGAGTCAACTCAAGCACCAAGTCTAATCGACGACGACGAAGAGATGGATCCTCAATCACCGCCCAGTTCTGATGAGCACGACGAAACAGACGTGCACTTTGACATTAGGGATGATGATCATACAGAAGAGCACCATGAACTTCGTGGATCTGAGATGACCGCAAATGCGACGCCATGTTCACAAACTGCGACGACCGCGCCACCATTTGCACGACCTCTAAGCTCGAAAGGTAGCAGATCATCAAACTTTGTGGCGGAGAACCCAGTACCGGAAGGTGAAGGTGACAAGAAGAGACGCAGAATAGAACAATAGGCAGGGTAGGACCAATTCGAACTCACCACTCACAATTCTCGACTCTTCTGGTGGTCGACATCTAATTCCTATATGACCTTCCAAAGTTCCATACCCGTGCTGATTCTAGCATATCAAAGGAAGAATCGGGAAGGATATCTGCAACAGACTTTAGGTATGGCATTGACGAAGAAAAGAGTCAGCAGCTTGAATACTCACGAACAATTCTTGTATTATTGTATATACGTCCTGTTCATCGACACGGCCACTTCTATAGACTTACGAAGCTGTTCATGCTGACCTCTACTTAGAGGAGAGCATTACAGTAGAGGAGCTTAAGGCTCCTCAATCAAAATCACTACTCAACTCAATAGATTAATTGTAACAATAGATTACCCTATACTGTTCAATCTCGATGTTTCATGTCTTTTTGCTCGGCATTTCTATCGCATCAATGATGCAGTGCACGTTGTTCTTCGCGTACGAATTTCTAGAAACATCGAGGATTGTGCTTGCCTCAGGCACCCAATATTTTCATTCCATGTGTAACCTTTTGAATGCAGAACCTTGTGAAGCAGTGCCTATCTAGGGTTCTGACACGATCTCGCCTACTTTATAGCTCGAAGCACGATACGGCGGAAACGCTCAGAAAAGACGCAAGAGCCTTAAACTTCCTGCTCTGCATAGTTTCAATCAGCGCACCACAGCTGCTCCTCAACACTGAAGTATGGCACAGAAGTGCGTACATAAAGGGTGCGGCAAGGTCTTCACAGATCCCGATGAGGAATGTGTATACCATCCAGGACCACCGGAGTTCCACGAAGGACAGAAGGGTAAAACACTAACAGAGAAGGAAAAGTTCTATCGTACAACAGACTAATCTATGCCCAGGATGGAAATGCTGTAAACCTCGCTTCCTAACCTTCGACGAATTCCTCGCAATTCCACCGTGCACGGCAGGAAAGCACTCTACTGTCGACGACACACCGGCAGAACCCGCGAAACAGAAGCAGGAAACACAACTCGCAGCAGACCAGCCACGTCTTAAACCGATCTCAAGCACGAATACAGTAACGCCCGTTGTACCCAATCAAGACGCCACGACAGAGTCTCTTAGCTCGATAGCACCGCCCCAGAAACCCTCGACTCCAGACCCACGCCTCGAAGAAGACAGCGACGATCCTGACACACCTGTTCCACCTAACACAACATGCAAACGCAGATCATGTGGGAAGAACTCAGCAGATACACGTCGAGACACAGAATGCACATATCACCCTGGCATACCCATCTTCCATGAAGGCAGCAAAGGCTGGACATGCTGTAAAAGACGTGTCCTCGAATTCGACGAGTTCATGAAAATCGAGGGCTGCAAGACACGCACCGGACACTGTTTTCTCGGCAAGAGAGGGAAGAAAACAGACGGCAGCGCATCAGAAGAGGAATTGCAGGATGTACGTAACGATTTCTACCAGACTGGAAACACACTCATCGTGAGCTTCTATCTCAAGAAGATTGACAAGGAGCGGGCCAAAGTTGAGTTTCTGGGTGATGGAAGTGGTGTCGAGTTGGATTTGCCTACTAGCGACGGGAAGAGGTTTCGCAGAAAAGTCGAGACGTGGAAGGAGCTTGTGCCGGAGAAGTGTGAGAAGAAGATCCTAGGCACGAAGTTGGAGATGGTGTTGTTCAAGAAGGAGGGTGGTGTGGGTTGGCCGGTCTTGACCAAAGGAGAAAGGACGACGGGAGAGAGGATACAGATCGGAGGGCCTTTGAGGGCTTGAAGTTTGGACGGCCGGTAGTACCTGTTCACTACTACTAGGATCCCTCCACAACTGGAAATGGCCGATCCATAACCTCACCGAGGTTAGACAATGGCGATCGCGATCAAGAACATGAGAAGACGACGACCCACGTGTATGTTCACGAAATAGCAGAAACCCATTCCAATAGAAATAGAAGAAGACAAGCAAGCAGCCTTGCGCGAAGCCGTTCACCAAGAACAAAGAAAAGACTCGAAGAATGATACAACTTATGGTGAACATACTTGCACAATTTTTCCATAATTTCTCCACTTGGAACTTTACGAGTACTTTTTGAACAAAAAAGGCACCTGCGGTTGTTACCTGCAATTTTAATTGCAAAGGACTTGAATTGTTCTTTTTAACGACCGTTTCACCGCAGACAACACCATACCCCAGAACATTATCGTTATCAGTACAATATAGGTCAACCAGTATTTGGGCTGCGTGAGAGGAAAATGTAGATCGTCATCTGAGAGCGCCTTCTGTGCATACATGAACCACAGCATGACTTACGCAATTATTTAAGGTACCGGAAAGGACGTCTAGCATAACACTGATGGATGCTGAGCTTCGAGTAACAGAAAGTGCAGTCGAACATGATCACACGTCAAGGAGCGCAGATAATTGTTTCCTGTTGCTTTCTGTTCCTGTATATATCGTATCTAGTCATGTGCGCAAAAGACACATTTAGTATGTGGCAAGATGCCACCTAGAAACCTCCTAAGAGAAGATCTTGTTGAACCACTTGTCGAAAGCGTTCCTACAGAAGATTTAGCAAATGATTCGATCGCGGTTGAGTATAGGGGAGGACTTACTTTGGTGGCGTGGGAACATAGTTCCTAGTATACTCCTCAATCTCATCCAGATCCTTCTTGAGGTCAGCTTCCTCAGGCTTGACAATCTTGGTCTTATGGATGACTTTCCAGACGAGGTATAAAATCGGGAACACCGCAATCATAGTGTAGCTGAAGAGGAAGTCTGGCACGGTCCAGAAACCAGGGAGGAAGACGGTGTAGCCGCCGACGAATGCCATGATGAAGCACATGATGAAAGCGTAGTATGTGCCCCAGGGTTGCCAGAAGGACTTGTGCGGGAGTGAGTCGCGAGAGATGCCTTGTGCGGCGAGGGCGCGTCGGAAGCAGAGGTAGGTGAAGCACATGCAGCAGAAGTTGATGAGCTGGGAGGCTGTGACCTGTTGCGAACGAGTCAGTATAGTTGATGGAGAAGTGGAACAGTTGGGGAACGTACCAAGCTGACAAACCATTGTAGCACGATAGCTGCATTGTTGCTGACTTGCAGGAAGGCAAGAAGAGCAATGAGTAATGTTGCAACCACGCAGTAGATCGGGACACCATTCTTGGTGCACCTGGTCATGAATTTTGGTGCTTTGCCTTCCAGAGCCATACCATACAAACTTCGGCTGGCGCAGTAGACGTAGGAATTGCCGGCTGATAGTGCGGACGTCAAAACCATGGCATTGACGATGTGTGGAAGGACACTGATACGGAGTCGTGTCATGGAAGCAACGTAGGGCGAAGCTGCAGCACCTGGGGCACCTGTTCGGTAGGCCTCTCTGAGATCCGGGTCGTTGTATGGCACTAAGATGCCAACGGCGAGAGAGCCGAGCTATATTTTTGGTTAACCCAGAACTTCAGATCGGCAAGATCCAGATCGTCTGCTCAGAAGAGGTTCGGAAGAGTTGACTTACCATGAAGAAAGTGGTGAGACGATAAAACACAGCCCTGAAAGCACGAGGCATAACCCATCGTGGATTTTCTGCCTCACCAGCGGCCATGGATACGTAGTCAGGGCCCGCGATCGTGAACGAGGCCTGGATAAGACATTGGAGGAAACCAACGAACCGGCCAAGATTGCCTTCGTAGCCGTACAACGTCGTGAATGAACCTGGATTTTTCCAATAACGGAATCCGAATCGGTCGCCAAGTGGATTACCACCCAACATCACAACGAAAGTGTAAAACAGGAGACCAATGATGAGCAACACCTTGCCGAGGGCCATCCAGAACTCGGTCTCTCCGTACCACTTGACGGCGAAGAGATTAACAGCACTGGCGTTCGTCAGCTTCATTGGGCACAACAGGCGCTTTTGGGTCTTACGCATAGATCACAAGGATGATGGCAATAGTAGCACCGGCTGGCATTGAATCTGTCCAGAACTGGATAATGACGTTGCAAGCCACAATTTCGAATGGCACAAGGGCAGCCTCGAAGATGAAGAAATTGTAACCGGCGGCAAAACCAAAAGCATCGTCAACCCAGCGACCAGCAAACCGAATGAATGGTGAAGATATGGGCAGGTAGGTGACCATCTCAGACATGCCTGGTCACAAGTTAGTCCATAGTGCATGGGCAAGCAGAACTGCTTGTGGACAGAAAGGGGTGGGTGCTCTGGCTGTGACGATCCGGAAATGTTCCAATCAATACTCGAGTTTGCGGAGAAAGTTTTGCTGCTGGAAACGGAAGCCATTGTGCGCATCGAAAGTCTTACAATTTGTTACCATCATGATTACAGAACACCTGATGCCGCGTTAGTAGAGCGTGAGTCCGTGATGTGAAATCAGCTTACCATAAACTGAACGCTATGAACAGAGAGGCAGGACCTCCATTCAGGAGACCTCTACCGATATTCACGTACAAGGCGGTACCAATTGTACCACCGATACCAATAAGCTGAATATGTCGGGGCTTGAGCTTTCTGTGCGTGTAGTCGACACCCGCTTTGAGACTGGATGCCTCACTCGACGGGGCGTCAACCAGGCCATAATTATCCTTGATGGCAGCTATCACCGAGGACTTGCGGCGGGATCCTTTACGAGCGTGTTCGACATCGTCGTAGGGGACATCTTGTTTGACACCACTAGAGAGTGCAGTTTGATCTCGCAGATGCACACTCTTCTCGTTGTGATCGTGACTGACACCACTAGAGAGTGCAGTCTCGTCTCGCGAATACACAGTCTTCTCGTTGGGATCGTGTATGGTCACGTCGTCGTAAGCAAGAGTGTGCTTTTCTCCAGACATGATTAGCAACTAAGGGCGCTCAAAATCCAAAGAGAGAAGAAAACCACCCCAGCCGCGCGAATAAGGAATTGTATTTGTACTGGATCGCAAGCATCGATCGAAGCGGAAGGCACAACTATAGGCGCAAGAGAGCGATACCGTGATTCGCCATTCTGAATTGTATCATGGTCCAGCCCATGCAAACTTCAGCTTGGCCTTTACATTTGATCGATCATACTTCTGAGGCCAGGCTTTTGGTAGTACTATGCGAGCCCAGCGGAGTCAAGTGATGCATGGTATACCTTAGTGGTATCGTGCAGCAAGTGGGAGGTGAGGAAGAGGTTGCTTGCTCTACTGGGCAGACGACACGCTCCTCTTAGCTTGACTTGGCCAGCTTGGCGGGAGCTGTGTCACTGCACCCACACACGAGCCCCACTAACCACCACACTTGCCTGAGCTCAGTTAGAGAACAGCAGATTCTGCATGGCGTGAGCTTTAGAACAAACCATGTTTTCTCAGCTGTTCGGAGGCGTAATCCAGTAGCTCAGCTGTCAGCAGGAACAGCATACCTTTACGGATCGTGCTTATCGAAGGGTCTTCATCGCTAACGTAGAGTAGCTTATGCATGTGGAACTTGCAGCAAAGGGTTCGATAACGCTAGGTCCAGATAAATACGATCAACCAAGTCCATTATCGATGTCGTATGTCGGGAATCTCTATGTGGTTTGTCCGTGTGCATGGGCAGTTAAACTGAAAGGTCGAAACCGCCCCACGACACCCCAGTCTGGTGAGAATTTCACTGTCAATTAACGGCGCTCGACCGAGGCTAGCGCTGATTGTGGTTGCTCTGCCCGTGAATGATGAGACTACAGGAGCGCCTATATTGCAGAAGCTCTGAGCTTACCAGAAAGATGAGCCGATGTGTAGAGTGCTTCGAATCTTATGTGGCGTCCTCGGTTCCTGCAATCCAGTCTGTTCTGTGTGACACACTTCCTTGGGTCACAATTGCGAGACTGCTAGCGTCGTAGTTCCCGAAAAGCAATTCTCAACGCGCCACGAAGCTGAATACGGCCAGCCATGCACGTGGCAAATTATGCCATCTTTGTGACCCTGGTTTGGATCACTGCAAGCTGCATAGAGGTAACCTTTCCACCTGTGGCAGGGATAGCAGCACAAGGTCAGATTCCTATCTCCCAGTTATCCAGCGATTTGAGGCACGACGATGAAGTCTTCAAATTCGCAGGCCTGAGCACCTTTGCCAATTTACCCTGGGTCTATTGCCTGTCAGCAGAACAACATGTGGAGAGATATGATATTGCAATCATAGGAGCACCCTTCGATACTGCTACCACTGGTCGTCCTGGCACGCGTTTTGGTCCTGTAGGTATACGACGTGGATCTCGTCGTATCGCACCGCCAAGTGCGTGGAATGCTTATACTCATCGAAATCATTTCAAGTCGTGGGCGCACATAGTTGATTGCGGTGATGCACCGTTGACGTTTCTTGACAATACCGTGGCTTTGAAACAGCTTGGTGAGGCTCACAAGAAGGTGTCGGGTAGGACTGCAAATACCACGACTGTTTCGTCAGTACCTCGCATTGTTACCCTTGGTGGAGACCATACAACAACGCTCGCTGCGCTGCGGAGTACAATAGACCATTGGGGTCCTGTATCTGTGGTACATTTTGATAGCCATATCGACACCTGGGATCCCAGTGTTCTTGGAGGAGGGTTTTCTCATTATGCTGGTGTGAACCATGGCACCTTCTTGCATCTTGCCCACGAGGAAGGACTTCTCCTGAATTCGACCTCGATACATGCTGGTATTCGAGCACCAGCCATAAACAAACGACATGACTGGAGGAACGACGCTCGCTGTGGCTTTACGATCATCACCGCTCGAGATATCGACCATCTGAGCATTGCCGGAATTATCGACAAAATCAAAACTCGTGTTGGAAATACACCAACATATGTTAGTGTTGATATTGATGTCCTTGATCCTGCCTTTGCTCCTGGTACAGGAACGGCTGAAGTTGGAGGCTGGACGACGCGCGAGCTGTTGAGTATCTTAGACGGGTTGACCGGAATCAACATCATTGGCGGCGACGTGGTAGAGGTAAGTCCAATCTACGACAATCCTGGTGAAGTGACAGTCCTTGCAGCTGCGGAGGTGACAAGCAGTCTTATCGGTTTAATGGTGGAACAGCCAGTAACGCCACAACACTGAGCACAAAGAGCAGGTGCGATTCTGTAGATTGTAGCGAAGGCAGGTACGTACATTCTTGTACCTATGAATGACAAAACATACCATTGAACATTATCTATTGCGCCTCAGCTTCTCACTCAATCTTAGCACTTGCACCTACCTTGCTTCGTAATTCATCCCATGCAATGAGACTTTCCAAAAACTAGACACAGTAGCCTCTAGTAACCTCTCTCTTCCTTCGCAAGTTGTCTTCTAAGTCGATCGGCCTTGCTCTTCACGTCTCTTCTCATCCGGGCCATTTCTCTCTTGTGGTCATTCTCGCATGGAGGACAGTCACGCAGCGCCCAATATCTATCCTTCTTCTCTAAAGTAGACTTTAAGGTGCTGCAGCGCAATGGGTTGACTCGGGCAACCATGCAGTCCTCACGGACGGCAACGGCATGGCCGCAACCACATTCGTAGTGACGGTCGAAGCACATGACTGGAGATGGGTTGTAAAGCTTACCTTGTTTTGTTCTTCGTTTTAGTGAGGTTCGTGGTATCTGAACGATAGCTGAGACAACTAGCAGCAGTCTTGCAAACATTTATTGCATATCGATTTGTCTGCTGCAGTCAATAGTACATCCCAAAATAGCGCAGGCCTTTGAAAGCACGTCTTTGTCTGAAGCTAGAACAGCAAGTCATTGTTACAATACTTCTGTGTACCATAGAAACTTGATAGTCATTCGCGAACCTGAAGTTGCATCTCTTTGTTTCAGGTCCTCCTTCTGCCAGCAAACCTTGCACGCCAGTACGCCGGGTATCACACGCATAACTTCGTCACAATAACACGCTGTAAAGTGCTTAGTCAACGTCCATCTCGTTCTCTTCCTGTACTCCTCCATTGACGAGCATCCTCCTCTTCGTTTTCTGTCGTGTTCTTTCCTCTCCAAGTAGCTGACTTTGAGGTTGAAGTTGCTCTTCGGGCTCCAAACCCTGCTTGACTCGCTCCATATCTTGTAACTCCTTGGAGATGAGGTGCTCTCCAGTAGCAATGACCTTGAGATCCTCCATCCTCTTCTTTTCTCGTTGCGTCTTGCCGGAAAGCCGTTTTCTGGTGAATACTCTTTCCCTCTTCGCTCTAATCTCCTCAATCCTCTCCATCGCCTTGATTGTCGAAGCCATAAGGTTTCTATCATATTTCACTGGCGCATTTCTGCGTTTGGCAAACTGTGAGAGGAGCAAATTCTGATCAACAATCATTTCCTTGCCACGTAGAGCACGATGAGTCTTGGTCCACTTGAGTTTACGTGGTTGTCGTTTCATTTTGAAGTTTTTGTGGCATTTTGAGCGACAGAAACGAAAGAGTTTGGCATCGTTCCGTACGAATGTGATACCCTTCGAAGGGTACACAGGTCGAGAGCAAAGGTGACAAGTATCGATTCTAGGTATTTATTAGAAATCCTGCAAGCAGAAATAGTCCACCAATCATGCATACCTCATTTTGGCTGCGTTGTGCTAAGCCAGGTGAACAGAACGAACAACTCCTGCGCCAGATGTCCGGCGATCTACCTCCAGAAGTATACAAAAAGAATCGTGTCGGCCACAATGTTGGTAGCGCAGCAAAAACGAACCGCCTCTTTTTCTTTTTAGGCTCTTTTGCCGAAGTTTATCCAGTGAAGGTCCCTGAACTCGACTTTCGCCGCAGATCATTTCTCTCTAACCATCAAGCACTCTGTCCTACATCTCAGACATCGACTCTTTGCGCGACGTCTTGAACCACATCATCCAGCACATATATTCGACCACGGCAACATGGCGTCAACTCTAGCCGCTGGTGTCGGCATCGCGGCAGCTGCATTCTTCGGCCGCGCAGGTCTGGTCGCATTCCGCAGGTGGAAGAATCCAGACGCAGTCAGTGCAATTGGCAAAGCATTCTACAAAGGTGGATTCGAATCAACGATGACACGGAAGGAGGCAGCACTGATACTCGAGCTCAATGAACGAACATTAGGCAACCGCGAAGTAGCACGAGAGAAGATCAGGAAAAATCATAGGAAACTGATGCTTCTAAACCATCCTGATAGAGGTGGGAGTCCTTATCTAGCGACGAAAGTGAACGAAGCGAAAGAGTTGTTGGAAAGAGGTGGATAGTGCAAGAACCGAACCTTCGACATTCTCTCGAGCAGGAATTAAGAGTGAGGTGCAATATGGACGACATCTTGCAACCAGACCTGTTCATGGTCTTCTAGAATGTGCTTTAATATGTTACAAGAAGCATGGCGTTAGGAGTTGGGTGGAAAGTGTGGGTTGTGCCATCATACGGCATCTTTTGGCTCGCAAAGTTATGAATCTCTACCTACCTTGCAAAAAGACACTGTACAATCTATGTGTAATTTACCGGCCAAGCCGTCGCAGAAAGACGGGATGTAAGCAGGAACTCGCGTCTTTTGGGGAGAGACTGACAATATGGGAAACCAAGGACGAGAAGCGGTTGGTAACGGGTCTCTATCGACATCTTGATGGCCTCACCACGATCTGCAATTTCATCTTCCTTGGTTCGAACTGCGTTAGATTGCATCATATTTCAACTTCCGTCAAACCACTCCCAATGCACTTTCGGCGTTGGTTGTTTAGCGGCCACAGTCGAGGTTCCGACAATCGCAGCCCAAAGTAGTGTTGCGAGTCACTGTCAACATCTACTATATTGCTCACCGGGCCACTGTATTATTTGAGCTGACAGCTGATCACTACTACAGGACAACTGTGAAGAGCTTGTATACTATCGTATCCACTTCAAACATCGGCTCCTCGTGCACAATGTCTTGCAACGGATTGCTGTGTTTATTTCAGTTCAGACCATGCAGCATGTGGTCGGCTAACAGATTTTACATGGATCCCCACCAAACTTTGCAGCTCATATCGGCCGAGGACATGTTGGATCTCGTTTAGCAGGGTGTGATGCTGTTTAAATTCGGAAACATCCTGATGTGGTTCTCCTGCCGCAGCTACTTCGAACTCGAAAGCCATGAACTGATTTTCATCCACGCACCAAGCAACGGGTTTGACTCTATTTCCCTGGAAGCAATCTCGGCATTTCCAGGCTGCTGGTGTTCCACCACTGAAGACCAATCGCTCGTCTCGAGCGAGCTCAAGCGTTTTGGAGACAACAGAGAAGCCGTATTTCGTGGACATGTTATGCGCCCGTAGCAGGGGGTTCAAATGTTGCCGCACGATCGTGTGCCCACCACGCTTGGTGAAAAGTGTTTGGGCTGTCGCCAAGTTGGAGAGTTTATTGTATGTATATGGCGAGTAAGCCTTGAGCATATTTAAAGGTGCCAGAATGCTGTTAGTTCTCTTCCAGCATTGCGACAGTGATGGTTTCGTGAGTCTGAAGGAGGACATCGTTTGAGAAGTGTCTGTGTAATTTTATGTCTTGGAGACTATCGTCAAAAGAGCTGAAATTGCAAGAGGAGGAATAGGTAACCAACAACACGATGGACGTCCGTTTTAGGTCAATCGAAAATTGAAGGTAGTGTTTGGTTACTGACACAATCACCTGCCGATACCACGAACAGGCATCATGCGCCTTTCTGATAGGCAAAGCAGGTCACGGTACTACGTACACCTGTGCATGTCAAGGATCGCTCGCATCACTCGCCTTTCTATACACCAAGCGTCGTCACTCGCACAATTCTGTCCCCCTTCAATCCCTTTGTTATTTCACGGCTTTGGTGCCTGTTCGATCTTCTGATACGCGGCTTTCACCTCCTTCATCTCCTTCATATTCCGAAACCACTTCGCCAGATTTGGGTAGCTATCCAGGCTCAATCCCGCATACTCGTACTGCAAGATCCAGGGGTAGAAATGTACGTCAGCAGCCGTGATCTTGCCAGGCAAGATGCTCTCACCACCAGACTTGGCAAGTTGACCTTCGATCACACCGTAGCAGCGATAAGTCTGCTCAACATATCTCTTCAGAGCGTCCTCGTTCTTTTGTGAGTGATAATGCCTAAGTGTCAACCTAGTCAGCAACAACGCATCAGTCATCGTGTCGTACAAACCCACCTGAACCAGTTCACCTGTCCTGACATCGGTCCCAGTGTGGTAAGCAAGAAGTACTCCCACTTCTCTAAGTCGACGATTGCTTGCTCTCCCTTCTCCTTCGGGCCCAGTTTACCCTGTTTGTCGTACACACGCCTTACATAATTCATGATCGCTCCGCTCTCCCAACTGACGACTCCTGTGTTGGGATCTTCGAGAGCTGGCACACGTCCATTCTCGTTGATGCGAGTAAACGTCTCTCCTTTCAAACCTTTCTTTGGATCGTCACCAAATTCCCACATCTTGACCTCGTAGGGCACATTTAGAAATTCTAGGGCGATTGCAATCTTGATTGGGTTGGGCCCGGTGGCATGGGCATGAAGCTTGAGCGGCTTTGTGTCGGACATCGTGTCTGTTTTTGAAGCAGATATCTTGTTTCGTTCAGGACTTGAAGTACAAGCAATATAAAACATGAGCCAGCTACCTTTTAACCATCATGTTCGGACGTCCTCTGGGGTAGCATGGAGAAATGTATAAATTGTCGTCATAATGATGATCGTGTTGGTAATGTTTGTAGACTTCTCCAGCGCGACAACTTCCTCTGCTCCTCTTGCTTACAGATGTGTGGTATCTCGAAGTGTTTCTTATTGAAAAGGGTCAAAATCCACAATGCATAGACCCTGCAGATGCTCAAGCATACTCCCGAACTGGAGAAGGCCTTTCTTATACCTGTGCCTTTCTAGACAATCGGACTCCAGCCAAATCTGGCAACCTTCGTCTTTGGCAGACTTCGTTGGTATTGACGTGAGGCAGTGTTGACTTGAACCTCCATGAGAGTCCGAGTCATGCCTTCCTAACATGATTGCCAAGATTACGCGAGTACCAAGTCAGCGAGGGCTTCCTGGATAAGTTCTGCGTTTGAGTCTTTCCTGCTTTACTACAATTTCAGGTATAGAAACTACTTGCGGAACTGGTGAGAATCGCGCGATTGATATATACCCCATATCGAGGCATTCCAAAAGCGTGTCCGAACCTGCACTTTTTACTCCGACGACGTCGATAGAAAGCATCTGGACTGTTGTCTCTCAAGCCATTTCCTAATATGCGAGGTGCCACTCTTCGCATAGAGCTGTTTCCGAAGTCACTCCCTTCTGCCATTGGTTTCTATACTCGCGTGCTTGGTTTTCAGGTTCTCCGCCACGAACCAAACAAGGACGACCCGACTTCTACGACAGGATATGCTCACCTTGGTCTCGACACGATTCAGCTCGGCCTCAGCACGAAACGATCAGACGAGTATCCTGACGCCGCGCGAAAACCAGAAAACAGAGCACAGTTCAGAGCGTGGCCCACCGGTGTGGAAATTGTGATTGAGGTCAGTGACTTGCAAGCCGAGCACGATCGAGTCAAGAGGGCAGGCTGGCCACTAGATAGTGCGCTGAAACTGTAAGGTAAGTGGATTGGGAATGAGAGTGCGGTTGTATTTTTGCTCTAGCTTCGCATACTGCGCTGGCACTTAAAGAATATAACTGATCGAACATGAGCAGACTAGGGTCTCTAGGACTTCAGAGTTAAGGATTCGGATAGGTACTACCTTCGCATATCACAACGAGGAAGCTATAGTGGTTACGGTCACAAACGAACATCTGGAAACAAGCAGCCTGTCTGCTGCACAGTTTCAATCGTACTGGCAGGATGGCAGAGTTTCCGTGTGCCATAGTAAGGCAAGCGTGGTCGCAACTTTATCATAACAAAGGCAATCTACCATGGCTGAGGTTGTAGTTGAGCTCTTTGTAGTTCGGAATCGCCTCAATGCAGTCACTGTACTTTATTAAGTTGTTGAATCATTGACCTATGCCTTCCACCGGACCACGGCCGAGAATTGGAAGTGAGGATACCTCTGCACTGTGCAAACACTTCGTAATTGTGAAGAAGGTTGACCGAGTTCTTGGCAGACTTCGCAGATTCGTTGCAAATTTTGGTTCAATCCATGTCGTCCGGCCTCACATTTCGATCATGTTGGAGTTCATCTCAACCCTAACTTTTCTTCATTTCTAGTGGTAGCTCTTGCATACAGTCGCCTATCACAGGCGCCAAATTCTAACCACGTCTTTCTCCAGATCTTGCACAATTTTCTTCACTTCTATCCAACCTTTAAGAAAACACGCGACTGGTTTCGCGCTTGAACCGTGCTCTACTTTCGTATTCCAGCCATTCGGAACTTCTTTTCAAAAACGGTCATACGCCAAAAAGAAAAAGATGCCTCCGAAGAAAGCTGTCAAAGAAGAGAAGATCTTGCTGGGCCGACCAGGAAACAACCTGAAGAGTGGTATCGTATGTAGGGCAGCCTGATTTCTCCATAGAGACATGCGACTAACAGAGAACGCAGGTTGGTCTGGCTAACGTGGGCAAATCGACGCTGTTCCAATCCATCACAAAATGCCATCTGGGCAACCCCGCCAACTTTCCATTCGCAACCATCGATCCAGAAGAAGCAAAGGTCATAGTGCCAGACCCAAGATTTGACTGGCTATGCGACTACTACAAACCAAAGTCCCAAGTGCCTGCAAACTTGACAGTCTACGATATCGCTGGTTTGACAAGAGGTGCATCCACTGGTGCTGGTCTTGGAAATGCTTTCTTGTCACATATCAGAGCTGTCGATGCCATATTCCAGGTGGTGCGTTGTTTCGACGATGCTGAAATCACCCACGTTGAAGGCGACGTGAACCCTACTCGAGATCTAGACATTATTGCCGACGAGTTGAGAATCAAGGACATTGAGTTCGTAGAGAAGGCAAAGGATGCTCTATCGAAATTGACCCGACGAGGTGGCCAATCATTGGAGATGAAGAAGATGAAAGAGGAAGAAGCAACGGTTGACAAGATCCTAGAATGGCTGAAGGACGGCAAAGATGTTCGACAGGGTAATTGGGCTCCGAAAGAGGTAAGTCTTGGAGAAGTACTTGTCTTCCCTTTCCATGATGAACAAGAACTATACGTTCGACATAATCCCAGCTCGTCGAGCAATCTCACCTAAAACAACGCAAACGAGATTGCATGAGAAGAAGTCCCATCTGACCTACCATACCACGAAGATATGTGCAAGTCCAGAGCAGTACGGCTGCTAACCAGCATTGTAGGTCGAAGTCATCAACCCCCTGTTCTTGCTCAGCGCAAAGCCGGTCGTCTACATGATCAACCTAAGCGAGAAAGATTACCTGCGACAGAAAAACAAATACCTTCCCAAAGTCATGGAGTGGTTGAAAGAGCACGCAGCTGGTGATCCAGTCCTGCCAATCTCTGTGTGCTTTGAAGAACGACTGTCACAATTCGAGACTCAAGCCGAGGTCGACGAAGAATGCAAGAAGCTGAACACCAAATCTGCTCTGCCAAAGGCCATAACCACAATGAGACAAGCCCTGAACCTGGGTAGTTTCTTCACTACCGGTGAGGATGAAGTACGACAATGGACAATCCGAAAGGGTACCAAAGCTCCCTCCGCTGCAGGTGTCATTCACACCGACTTTGAGAAGACCTTCATTCAGGTCATTGTCTACAATTTCGACACTCTGAAAGAATTAGGTGACGAGGCCAAGGTCAAGGCTGCCGGCAAGGTAATGACAAAAGGCAAGGAGTATGTTGTGGAGGACGGCGATATATTGCTAATCAAGGCTGGTGCTGCTAAAGCATAGTGGTGTATTAGTGAATGCGATGTGATACCCATATAGGTTTGACTGAATTCTGAGAGCATAGCAGATCTTATCAAGTCTACAACAGATCCATTTTCAAATCACCATCTCCTACTGAACCGGTGCTGCCTTCCACAACTGTCATCGGTCGCAAGTTCTTTCCCGGCAGGCCTTGTCTATGTGAGGGTCAGTCTTGAAACCAAGGCTCAATCCAGCGTCGATAACTTTCTCTCGAAGAAGGTATGTTTGCTGTCACTTGAAGGCTGCAACAATTTGTACTGATCGCTGTACTGAAATGCTCGCGTCGCATCCTGCGTCCAACCTTGGATCACCACTCCACGGCTCGCGAGCATATCGACTTCATTGAGCAAGCAAGGTTTGCCTGTCGGTCGAGAGTATCTGCAAGAGCTTCAGCTTCGAAGTCGAAGTTCTCAGTTCCAGTAAATCGAAGCATAGGACGGCTCTTTGTCCCCGACATCGATTCGATGCGGACTTGCTGATCCAGGATCGCCGAAAGCTCGATCATACGTCCTAGTAATTATCAACTCTGTGTACGCGAGCAGCAAGTGCACTTACCTCCACATTCATACGTAAATGAAGCCGACTGCCCTCTCGACTTGGCCGCTGCCGATTGAATCTCTTGCTCGAGTCGCGCCTTCCATCTTGACACAAGTGTTACTGGCACTACGGTGCTAGCTCGGTTCAAAATGTCAAATTTCACAACCGTCGCCCTTGGTCCTTTCGGTATTATGCTTATCGTGCACCACAATCCTTCTTCGAGTTCTCTCAGCAAGCTCAACGGATCCAGCTGTCGTACCACTTTTTGCTTTCGCCAAGGTTGAGCCCAGTCGAAATGTGTCTCAGCCTGTTTTGCCTGCTCCTTGAAATCATTTGCTACCATGATCAGCACCTGGCTCACCTTCGTCTATCCAAGCTTACCGATCACTTTCCAATTCAGTGTCGTATCAATAGAAACACCGGTGATGGCGCAATGCAGATGACGCGTTGGCAGACTTGATTTGAAACCCACGAATGGTATATCTATTGTTCCAGAACTAAAGTTGACAAATAGCAGGCCTTCAGCTGTTGAAATGAGTTTGACCTCGAACAAGCCATTGTCCTCAAACCGGAAACCAGGCATCTCCTCGAACTTTGGTGCTTTGACCAGTTTACCTTCAGTCGAATACGACCAACCGTGGTATTTGCAGTGTAGCTGGTTCGAATTGCCAGTGGCCTTCCTGACCACAGTATAAGCTCGATGACGGCAAACGTTATGAAATGCTCTGAGCTTTGAGTCCTTTCCCAGAACAACGAAGAATGAAATTCCAGCTAGTTCGAACACATGATAGTCTCCTGGATTTTGAAAGCGGCTCAGATGACATACAAAGAGCCAAGTCTATGGTGGTGAGCACATGGACCTTTGCAACCTCAAATTGAACTCACCCTACCAAGAAATGCTCGCTTCTCCAATTCGAACACTGCATCCTGATCTCGAGCGCCGGCTGCTTGCTGGCTGCCTTTCTCAGCATCATCATTGCACTCAACGATGCTATGTTGGCTCGCAAAACCCTGGTATAAGAAAGCAAGAAGGAGACGACCAAAGCAATAGATCAACAAGGAGAGGAATGCAAACCATACTGGAAACGACATTGAGGCAAAGTCTACGGGCGCCATTCCAAATGTGCACAGAAGATCAGTCCTGTTTGAAATGCGTGCTGGCTAGTAGTGTCGAAGGGATTCCTGATACAGCGAAAATCAATGGTTATGAACACCCAGGACGTCCGGTCCGACATCATCTTGCATACAAAGTACACCAAGACACTGCCGGTTTCACCCTGTGAACGTGTCTGGTTCTCTATGATGAAGTATGCTGCAACTTCGAAACCAGGTGCGGAAGATAACGAGGGCGGACAAATCCACTGCCACATGTGGTTTTGGGAGTGCATGGTCGAGAGTCTGTACCAATGGAGCGTCCTTCACCAACCACAAATGGAAATAAAGTCCTGCCCGAGCGAATCGCCAATTGTGCCAAGGGCCTGCGACATGAGCTTGTCCTATATATGGACCCACATTGCATCTATAATTCGACGGCCTGCCATGTTGCATTATCATCATTATCATACTCTGACATAGATTTTGCCGGCTGACTCTTCCAGATTTGGCGGCTGCCGACATCAGCCGCCATATGATGAAGTAGCATGCGGGCACGTCCTGTGTGCTGACAAAAAAAGAGTTGAGGAGTGAAATATGGCTTGATGTGCATTCAGCTAGTCAAGTAGCGATTGCTGCTCAACACCTTGCACTCTCCCAGATCACCTTCAACAAGCAGGATGGAGGTGCTCAGAACGCTGCCAGCATCATGGTTTACCAACCAGAATGTCTATGATATGGAGAAACGGGCTGTGTTCGAGAAAAGCTGGTTCCTCTTGGGTCCAGTAGTCCGTTTCGCAGAAGAGACATCTGTGGATTATGAGTTTGCGGGTATTGCACTCCATGTGCAGAAAGCAGGCGAGGACAATTTCCACGTTACAAGAAAATCAGACGGCAGACCAGTTCCCCACTTCCTAACACCCACGGGCCTTCTGTTCACCGCTATACATCCAGACGCAGCTCCAATCTTCGAGGAATACTTCCCGCCGTCACTTCTGCCTTTACTTAACAAACATGATTTTCGCAAGCTACCACACCGTCGTAAGTTGTCATATCCAGGTGGCTTCAACTGGAAGACGATGGTGGATGGATATCAGGAATGTCTGCATTGTCAATACACGCATCGTGAATTTAGTGCCATGTATCCGCCCACCTTTTACGCTGTTCAGAACGAAGGAAACATCAGTCGACACTTTGCAGACGAGCGGCTCACGGAGGTCGACGACGGGCTCTTCTTGTTCTTCTTTCCTATATGCACCCTCAATCGTTATGCTGGTGGTATGACCAGCTTCCGAGTGTGTCCAGGTGAGAAGGTGGGTGAGTCAAGGATGGAATTCGACTATTACTACCTCAATCAGAAGGCCATTGACACTGTCAATGCCAAGGCGGAAGAGCAAGGACGCCAGGCAGCAGAAGAGGAGATAGAAAAGGCCGGTCTTGAGGGATTTGAGGAATACTATCGCTTTGTCAGGCGTGTGGCAATGGAGGATTTTGAGCTTTGCGAAGTCGCACAGAGCAATCTTGAAAGAGGGGTGTATTGTCAAGGTGTGCTTAACAGTGCTAAAGAGAATGGAGTGACACATTATCAGGGTTTAGTGAGGGAGAGGGTCATGGTGCAATTCAAGGCTGAGCAGGAAGAGAAGGAGATGAAGTACAGGGTGGACCTTGCTGTCGGTGCTTCGCAGCATGGCCAGGATGTGGTAGAAGTCATGACTTGAGGGAATCGAGCATAGATATCGAGATTGTGCCCTAAATCTAGTAAGAAGGAATGGCTGCACCTTGACAAGGAGCTGATACACGTCGACGCAACCATGCTTGTGTGGAACAAACGTAGAATTGATTTGAGACTGAGTGAGCGTACCTGAACGATGGTGGGTCCCTTTGACTCTCGTGGCATGAGCTGCTTGCGCTCCTTCCATTATTTATTGCGAATGACGTAAGACGCGTCTTGCCGCAAATTGTTTCGTGTTTGAACCCCACGATACCACATCGTGTTGCGGACACATGCGCCGAACATAGTATGAGTGTAAAGTACACAATTCTATAGCAGACTGACTACGAATTCCAATTCTTGTGAAAGCAAAAGTCAAGATGTTCAAGAAAGAGTAAGCAGTAACCTCGCAAAACTCCCAAGTACCCAAACTCATCCCCAGCTTACACACCCATTCTCTTTCTCAACAAGACGCACTCCCTCCTAACCACACAGCACCACCCACAGCCTAACCGCCAGCGCCAAAACCAAAGTAAAATCCAGCGTCGCTCGCGGCGTCCGCACCAAAATCTTGGAAACCTACCCCCTCCTCGAACCCTACCTCGACACCCTCATCCCCAAAAAATCCCAACTCGACGCCATCAAACTCCCCGACCGCGTGACCCTCTACGTTCTCTGCGACGCCAGCACAAACAACCATACAGTCCCGTTGTTCTGGCAACACATGGACGACCCACTGGTACCGCACCTGCGCGTCGTGCACATGTATCCGCAGTGCTTTAAGAGTCTGGGGATTGATCGGGGTGCGATACGGTTTGTTTTGAGTGGGGCGGCGTTGATGGTGCCTGGGATGACGAGCAAAGGGGGGAGATTGCCGGAGCAGGAGGAGGAAGCGGTGAAGGGGGATGTGGTGGTTATTAGGGCGGAGGGGAAGGAGGAGGTGTGTATGGTGGGGATGTTGGAGGTTGGGACGGAGGAGATGAAGAGGACGAAGAAGGGGGTTGCGATTAGTCAGGGGCATTATTTGGGGGATGGGCTTTGGAAAATGTCGTTGGATTGAGGGTGGGGGGCTCAGGCATGATGAGCAGAAATCTGGAAGAATAACTCTGGGTCGATTTGATGCAAGTGGTCTTAGCCAATATCAGAAGACAACACTGCGGCGAGGAGCAGTATCCGAGATCAGAGAGACTATTGGTAATGCGGGGACGAATCACGGCCCGAAATCTCACTTGAAACCTTCAGTTATACCTGAACTCGATCGAGTACGGGTCCAGCGTATATCTGACAGTGAGAAGCTCGAACTATACGAATTGAGAGACGAGCCACAACACGTACAGCTACACGCTTCAAGTCATATTGACAGGAGGATTCACTAGGACTGTCGAAAGAAGTCTCTACCATTCATAATCGAATTCATACGTACTTGAATACACTCCTCAGCTATGGTGGTATCACTAAAACAGACCCGTATGAAAAAGAACAACAACAGCAATACATTCATCAACGACAAGACCTCACTCAACTCGAGTCGTTATACATCCTTGAAACAACTTTTTGGAAAAAATTTACTGACACATGTTCTTCCACTTTTTTCCGCTATGCCCTTCATGAAAATATCTCTTCCGTCATTGTAATAGCTCATCTCCGAAAGGTGATTAAAAACTTGTTTTTATGCTTGGTTGTGAAATCTGGAGAAATGTGTCGAGCTTGGTATTTTGTAGCCCAGGTGGTATTGCCTATGTGGAATTCTGGACAGGTTGATAGTTTGAGCATGCGCTTTCGGCCTTGGTTCAAAGTCAAGCTCAAAGTACACGAGCAACCCATCTGGTTTCAGTGTCTTAGGCAAAATGAGCGGCTGACCATGCTTGGTAACACGAACGAGGCAGCAGTACCATCATCGACAACTGAGGATGTCAAAGGATGATAGTTGAGATGGGGCGACAATGTTGACATATGGGTGATTTCGACATTCCGGGGTCGAGCTCGCAAAATGTAGTCTCTTCAAGACGGCGTTACAGCATCCTGCACTGATATGCTTGGTGCCATGTATGCTAATCTAAAGTCAGATCTTGATAAAGGTTCGATCAAGCTCAGGCGGCTCCTCTTTCTAGCTCAGCTTGCTCCTCCGCGGAAAGGAGGTCAGTAAGTCGTTTCCTGGTCTTCATATTGGTAGCCCCGTTTCTCCATGCAGCACGAAGTTTGAGCCAGGTTGGTCGATTGCCGCCAGATTCTTGTCGAGCAATCTCAACAATGTCAGTAGCTAGACGTTCCGTCATGGCATTTCTACTACTGAGCATAGCGTCATAGAATCTGACAAGGTATCTCTTGCCATTGTCGTTCCCTTTCTCCTGATCTTCGATGGCCCAAGTCTTGAAGTCTTCATACATGCCCACGTTGAATTGGTTCGGAACAGTCAGGAATTCAGCCCAGAGAGGATAGAGTGGGGCGCATGCTCCGCCAAAATGACCTTCAGCTCGCTGATTGAGGGCTTGTTCTCGCAAGCTCACGTAATCCTCGTGAATATATCCAGCTCGTACATAATGAGACGGAGCTTCACCCTGCGTGAAATAGATGGTGTGCTGGTTGCCTTTACTACCAGGTCCACTCTGACCGAATTGCACGTTTCGAAGTCGGTCAAAATTCTCGGGGCTGCCAGCTCCACCTCGAAGTCCAGAACCACGAATTGGCAATGGCTCATCAGATGCGATATTATCCTCACCTTGGAAGTCTGGGTCCTTGACCACGACTTTCAGCTTCAAGACTTCTTCGTCCGGGAATGTATTTTCTTTTGCGGTAGAACTGCTCGACACTGAGTCTCTGTGTCCATTCGTCAGGTTGGCGAAGACACTCCTTGAATCTTGGCTGGGCGATTGCACTTTACTCAGAGGAGACGTTGTCGACTCTCGGCGCTCAACATCGTGTCGAGCACTCTCGACTCTGGAAGCCCATTGTTCGGTCGACTGAGGCTCTGTGATAGATCCAGGTTGGAATGGCGTGGCGTTTGTGGAGCTCGGTAGGGCATCGTGGAAGCCGTTGACGTTGGGAGGTGCGCTTCGCAAGCCATTGCTCATCTGAAAATCAGGTACCATACCGGTGGAATAACGAGGATGGTTAGGTTTGATCTTGGGTCCATCGTCCTGTGCTTGAGGCAGTCGTTCGCTCATCGGCAGGACAAAATCTCGCCAATTTTCTCGACTTCTCAACCGATCTTCACCGTCCTCACCTATGACGTATTCGGTGTTACGGCATTGCTGCGCCATATGTCGCAAGTGCTCGTGCGATGAAGTGCTTTCTCCAAGCAGAGATTTAATGCGTCGAAATTCGCCCAGCACTCGAAGAGGCACATAACCCTGGGAATCCATGTTCTTTCTCAAGAACATATCTTTGCACAGGTTGTCCAAAGAGAAATAGTATTCCCTGTCAGTGTTAGTATACATTACATGCGAATTTCTCTTTACTTACAACTGCGTAATAACCATAGAGATCAGGGCATATCCGCCAAGTGGATCACCATATGGCATCGCACTCATGGTTGTGCTGGGCATACCCGTCGTCATCTGCCCGTAATTGATTGCCATGTCCGTTTGAATTGGAGGCAGGTTCTGGGGGAAACCTGGCGTTGGTTGATAGAAACCGTTGCCAAGCATATACAGTGGTATCGATTGAGTCCGTCCGTTGCCACGGGTGGAACTATATGGGGAGCCATATGGTGCTCCCTGAGAACTTCGAGCCGATGGAGGTCCTTGTTTCTCGAAGCCATTCTGAGGCAGGGGCGTACTGAAGGCAGGATTGTTAAAGTTGGCATGGTTTCCACGACCGCGATAGACCCCTCGCCCTCTTTCAGCTCGCTCACCACGTTTCTCCGCCCGCCAGTTATCACTTTTCTGAGCATTACTGCCACGATCTTTCTGCCATTCTTTGGCTTGTGTCCTCTCGCCAGTCACAATCGAGATTTGATCAGATATTTCGCCGACACCCTTCATGTCATCACTCTGTCGTGGAGGTCGATTTGGACTCCCTCGAGAGTCAACTGATTGATACCTATTCGAGTCGACATTCTGTCTCTGAGCCTTTTCTGGTGCATTGCGCGACGATGGTCTAGAGGGATCATGCGTGGAAGGAGTATCTGTACCCACAGTGCGTTCGGTGGACAAGATACCAGAAGCAGTCATTGAATCTGTAGCAGAGTTGACGGGAGTGGCGGACTGCTGAGAATCGAAGGCTTCGGGACTTCGATGCTCTGTACTTGCGGCACCAGCATGATTGGGACGAATTCCGCTGCTTGTTCGACCTCTATCTTGATCGGAGATTGTCTTCGGTAGTGGTGGAGGACCCATACTACTCAATTCAGATTTGTCGGCAGGACGTTCGCCTTGAGTGGTTGAGCCACCACGGCCACGAGTAGCTGGGCGTCCTCCCCTTCTGCCACTCGGTATCTGAGTCTCGAATTTGACAGACGGAACAAAGGGGAGTGCTGTCCATTGGTTCTTGCGAGTTGCGGTCTTGGTGTCTGCTACATCGTTCTTCTCTACTTTATCCACAGCAGAGCTTCGCCGACCCATATCCACATTCGAGCTTTCGGGAGTGGGCCAGGATGCAGTATCAACCGGCGGCATATGTCGAACGGCAGGCTTTTCGTCTCGTTGTGGAGCAGGTTTAGGAGAGCTATTACTGCTGGTTTGATCTCGTGACTTCCTGGTAGTCGAATTTCCTCTTGTTGCGTCAATTCCGTTGACTGTATCAGTAGTGGCTGCTTCGCGAGTAGCAGATTTCTTCTTCGACTCTTCAACTGGCTGGGCTTGCGACCTCGGCTTGCTAGGCTGCGAAGTAACAGGCACAGGTTGTTTGTGTATAGTCTGGTCTTTTGCCTTGGCTTGAAGGGCCAGACTGCGCTGCTGCCAGAAGTTGACAGTAGGTACAGGAGCGGGCTTGAGTTCTTTCTCAGCCTTCTCAGCTGCGACGGAGGGCATGGATACCTGCTCCCAATCGTCGTCCACCTCTTTGCCTCTTTCATGTGAATCTGCTCCTTCTGACGATTGTTGGTCCTTGTGCTCAAGCTCGTCGGCTTCAGAAGCCTGAGTAGGTGCTACAGGTTCCGAGGATTTGGAGGATAAGGTGATATCGTCTGGGCCCGACGTCTGGTGCGTCTTGTCCATGCGAGCCTCGACTTCAGCTGACTGACTTGTTTTCTCCACTCCTGCGTCTCCATCTCCATTTGTAATATTCTGAGATGATCTCTGCGTAGAGAATGATTCCCTCTCCATTTTCGTGATATTTCTTCCTTGTCTGCTCTGTATAGCGGTCGGGTCTGCAGCTGTGATTGGGTCCTTAGCGCCATGCTCTGATGAGGCGGAACTTGTTGGGTTCGAAGACAGGTTCGAGGTTGGGGTCAAGCCTCTGGCAGCTTGTGCGTATGAGAAGCCTGAGCTTGACATTTTGATGGAGCGATGTAAGGTCTGTGGACCGATTGAGTCCTAGCAGGACGACTAATCCCCCAAACCAGCCTTAGCTGGTTTTCTTCTAGTTGACCCAAGCACTAAGCTGCTCGCTTCCTGATGACTCGAATAGTTTGAACCAAATGGTGTTGTATCGGGTAAACTCGTGGATCGTATAAAGTCCGAGTCGACAGCCGAAGACAAGGGCGAGTGCAGGTAGGCTGTTCTTGTGTAATCGTCGTTGACTGAATGGAATGATTATTGGTCTTCAAACTTCCTGTGCCAGTAATGATGACCAAGGTTGCTGAGAGAGATCGCAAAGCAGAATTAAGAATGATGGCGGGTTGTCTGCAGTGCCTGGGGCAGGGCTAACAACGCAGTTAGTTAGAAACGAATTGAGGACCACACGAATATGGCGTTCGCAAGGTCGCTTCGTTTCGTTTTGCGTGCAAGCGTACTGTTTCTGTGGGAAGGACGAGTTAAGGTAGACTTCTGAGCAATACGCCTCCAAGCACAGGACAACACAAGGCTATTGTTGGTCGACTGCGGGATGCTTGCAGGGATCAGAAAATGCGCAAGCAATGGCCAGTGTAAAAGTTGCCTCGTAGAGTACTCGTATTGCCAACCACACACAGAAGTACTTTACAGCAAGCGAGGCAGTCCTACAGAAATTCCCAGGCAATGAGAATACAACAGACTGGGTCGTGCGGAAGAGTGGATGTTGACAAGGAAGACTAAGAAATGAATTTGATGGTAGGCGATCCAAAAATTAATCGCAGAGTTGGAGCGAAAGAGGTCACTCCTCTCAAGTACCGCACTCGAATGCCAACGCCGATCCGACAGGCCAAGTTTCGAGCACCCCACTGCAAAGCAGCTGAATTTATGCCTACACATTATCGTCCATGCCAGTTCATGCTTGCAGAAATTGTAGCCGCGGATTCCACCGAGGCCTTTGCATAAGAATTACTTTGTCGCTCAATTAGCCATGGCTGGCAGAACACGTATACGACTTGAGCTTACTGCTGGAGCTCGGACTGAATGCCTTGAAGATGAGCAATGTGTAGCAGGTCTGTGAGCCGGGTGGAGAGCTCTACCTAGAAGCTTGTGCATACAGGACACACTTTCAGTGATAGATCTGTTTGGTGGAAACACTTTATTGGCCTCATTGCACGAATTGTCATTACTGGACATTAAAGCCAAACAGATCTGTTCAACAGGAACACTTCTTGAACAGGCGACCAGGAGCTGCCACTAGGGATGACCGCGAAGGAACTGTGGCCACCCTCCAGACTAGAGTTGCTGTAAGATTTGATTGAAGGACTCGTTACTGATCAATACCGTCGGTGCTTGCAAGAAATGATGCTAATGGTTCGGGCAGGCGCGACTTCCCAAGAATACTGTAGTGGCCAGCCGTACTTGGGTTACGTGATGCAAGTCTTGGCCACCTGGCAGAACGCGTTAAAATACGCCTCTCACAGCTTCGTTCATCTCTATTATCGAACTTGCCACGGTGCTTATGTGAAAGTAATCCCAGTCTACGCCAGCCGTAAGCCATTCGCATCTGTTAAGTGGTCCGCTGCTTCACCACAGCCACCATGATAGCAGGAACGAATGTCTTCCACTTCGACCATCCCTAATCCATGCTTGGTCGCAATTCTTCTGGTCTGCCAAACACGATCGGGGTCTGGTCCACAGCTAGTGCATCATTGGCCTCCTGACCCACTATCACAACTTTCAAGGTCAAGGAATCCTGCAGATCATCTACACGAGACGGACGAAGATTTGAGTGATGATTCGTACAGCTGGTCTTCCGATGATGGTGATCTTGATCCATTTGACAGAGACTTCAGCAAAAATACCTCAAACACGCACCACACTTCAGGCATACAGAGCGATGGGACAAGGACTGAACCTAAACAACTGCTCGGCCTAGCTGAAGATGGTCTAATCAGCCTGCTGACTCCTGATAGAAGCTGGAATAAGAAGAAATTTGAGCTGAGTATCAATGACCTGACCTTTGTCGGTCGCCCTGTGTTTGCAAGACAAAATGGCTCTTGGCGCAGACAGAAGGATGTCGACAAGTCACAGCAAAATCTCAGCCGGCTCGAGACAGAACAAAGCACAGATAACGAAGCTGAGCATGACGAAACAGATGGGAGTGAAGGCACAGACAAAGTGAAAGCAGTGCCCACCCACACGAAAAGCGAGCTCACAATGTTCCATATAGTTTTCGTCATGGATCCTCCACCACTTGAACATTCACACCGCTTAAAGGAAATGTATGATAACGTTGTCAAGAAGTTTTCGAAAGCTTTGAAGTGGGTTCAAGCACATCATAACTACGTTTGGAACCAGACAGAATTGTTACTGAGTAAGAGGCAGGAGCTCTCACGCGACGGTGAGGAGTCAGATGCGACCTATGCTTCGGAATCGTTAGAATCGTCCTCGCTGGCCAAGGCAATAACGACGGTCTACACGGCGATCGCTTCATCTCGCATAGCATCAATATCTTTATTGCCAGGAGTTTCCATGTCAATGCAGATACGACCCATTACATCGACACCCTACCTCCCCTCTCTGACTGATCCGCCCATCTTGCCTGGTGTGTGGCTAACCACTGCAGTCGAGCCGCCCGTGGGAAGCCAAGCAGGCGACAAGCCTACCTCTCGAGATATGGTTGAGCTTGCAAAAAGCTATACGTTGTTGCTCAAATCTCCGCCGCACCGGATCGCGAAAGACGCTCAAGCAGCTGGCGGACCTATGGCTTCACATCTGCCAAAATTCGTGGCTGCTCTAAGACCGACAAAGTCGTTTTTCAAACTCTCCAACGATTATCAGATTTCTCTTGCCCATGTTCAGCTCCTGGCTCGTCACCTGGTCTACTGGCGCAGGGCTGTTGCAATTCCACCTCTCAATCAGAGAGACACCTATATCGTCTCTCCCAATGCTGACTTTCGCAAGATCCGAGAGGCTTGCAGGAGTTACGAATCACAATTTCCTGCATCGCTACCCAGTCTCCCGAAACTGCTTGGCTTTCTAAGTGGTATTCCCCGACCTTTCGGCACACTGATCCCGAGTCCCGACCATAAAGACATATACATGCTGGTGTTAGCTTGGCTGATGCGCAATGGATGGGTCACTCAGCTGCGAACCTTTGCATATGTCAGAGTTGGAAACGATGTGAAGAAGCAAGCACGCGCTAAGGAGCGTGATGCAAGAACGTCTGTGTCGGTTTCTCAGAGCTCTGACATTACCAATGAGACCGGCAAAGCTGGCGAAGCCTCGAGTTCGCAAAGACCAAGTTTTATCAGCCGCCAATCAAGTGACGGACGTCGATCTCTCAAGGAGCCAAACACCAAGGGAGCTAGTTTGATTAAGAGCCCGCCTCGCGCCACCCCGGAAGAATCTCAATGGTTGACGTATCTCCACGATAGCATCCTCAACGGCAACGGACTATTTTCAAACCTCAATGACGAAGAGAGACAGGAGCTGCATTACTACTGGCCCTCTCTAAGCAAACACTTTGACGGCATCACTGCACTCGAAACTGTACCAGTCAGGGAAGGCTTGAAGCGCAAAGTCGTTTGGGGTCTGTACAGCAAACTCGGGTTGAATTTCGACGATGGTGTTGAGGACCATGAGGGACTGAACAACAGTATTATTGTGACCATTAGACACTGGTAGTGGTTAGAAGCAGACGGACCCAAGACTGTTCTGGGTAGTCCATCACTATTTCCCAGTATGCAGTAAGTGTGCCGACTCACCGGTGCGCGCGGCTGACGCGGAATCCTTATTGCAGCAGAGTCCACTGCAGGAAAGTCCGACGTTTTGCTCGGATCCGAACACACGTGATTCATCTTTGTAAAATTTCGGTCAAATCCTCCAAATCTCCACCACTATTCGATCCACAAACGGTCGGGATGCTGTCATCACCAAGCAATTTTGCGGTCGTCGTTTGTGCAAGATGCTGCTTCATTACGATGTCATTGGCGCGGCTCGACCATCAAGTCATGGCAGAATTTGTCCTGCTTGACATGATCCCGCGCGCCGTGGCCAAGCAAAGGCGAGTTGTGTAGTGTTTGGTAATCTACTCGTATGCTTCAACTTTCAGCATGGAGTCTGGGGTGTTAGATATATTGCGAGCCTGCCATGCTCGAGACAAGCAGTACTTCACCTGAGGCTACAATCCCCAACTCTCGCTTGGAATTTCATACCATGGCGTCACCGAACGAAGACGGTGTCTCACCACCACCACTCAGCAGCTCTGACATTCTGGCCGTTGAGGAGACAGAGGAAGAGAAGATCCAACGACTTGGCCGAGAGAGGCCGCCGTGTTTCAAGTCTGCATGGTCCGAGGTCGTCTTCGTGGCTACCGTTGCCATGAGTCAGATATTGACCGAGTTCTTTGTTTCAGGCTTCAATATCTTGTTACCCACAGTCACGAATGAACTTCATATCCCGACCTCCTCGAGCGTCTGGCCAGCTACTGCCTTTTCATTATCGATCGCAAGCACACTTCTTATCTTCGGTCGGCTGGGCGATCAATATGGTGCCTACATCGTCTACACTAGCGGACTAGCATGGCTTCTGCTCTGGTCTCTCGTTGCAGGATTCAGTCAGAATGCGCTGATGCTGATCTTTTGTCGTGCACTGCAAGGTCTAGGCCCGGCCGCCTTCTTACCTACCGGTGTGCAACTGATTGGCAGCTCGTATCGACCAGGTCCTCGCAAGAACATCGTCTTCTCGATATATGGCAGTGCGGCTGTAGGTGGGTTCTTCCTCGGCATCTTCTGTGCTGGCATGATTGCACAATTTACGCAATTTGGGTGGTACTTCTGGGTTGGCGCTATACTCACGGCCTTGACCTTGGCGCTCGCAATATTTGCTGTGTCAAACGATAGGGAGAAGGCAAAGGAATACCACAACGAGATGGACTGGGTTGGTGCCGGATTGATACTATCTGGTGTTGTGCTTCTGGTCTTTTCATTGACCGATTCGGCACACAGAGGATGGCAGACTCCACATATTCCAACACTATTCAGTGTGTCGGTTGTCTTGCTACTCATTGCGTTCTATTACGAGGGATGGGTCGCCAAAAGTCCTCTGCTGCCTTCGGACATCTTCACTGTCCCTCCTGCAACTCCTCTCTACTTGTCCATTTTCGTCCTATACGGCACAGTTGGCATGTATCTGCTCTATGGTACTCAGTACTTCGAAGCTGTGATGGGCGCCTCTCCGCTACAGATCGTGGCATGGTATAGTCCAATGGCCATAGGCGGGTTCGTTTTGGCGCTCGGTGAAGGTTTACTTCTGCACTTTGTTCCTGGTCGAATCCTGCTGATCATATCTGGATGTGGAGCTGTTGGTGCTCAGCTTCTGCTTGCACTGGTTCCAGTTGGAGGAAGCTATTGGGCATATATTTTCCCATCAATGGTACTGGGAACAATTGGTATCGACCTTTCGATCACCCTTGTCATGGTCTTCGTGACCACACAGCTACCATTGGCTCGGCAAGGATTAGCTGGTGGCTTCGTGAACTCTGTCCTGCAGTTGGGAATGGCTTTCCAGATTGGCTTAGCCGATATCATTCGTGCAAAGACAGAGCCTTATGCGGGGACCGTCCAGAGCTACAAGAACGTGTTTTACTTCGGTGTTGCTGCAGGTGCGCTTAGTCTTGTCATCTTAGCATGGAAGGGCAAGGTCGCTGCTGCATCGGCAGATCTGACAGCGGATGAGAAGGCGCAATTGCAGAGGGCAGCAACTCGTGAAAGTCAGAAGGTTGATGGACATTAGGATTGCATAGATCTTTGTGACCAGGCACTCGAGACCAGTAGGACGGTATAGATTAATGCAGAAATTTCTCTAGAAGCAATCGCTCCAATCTCTCTACTATCGTGTGACACCGGTCTGTCAATTCACTAGGAAGTATAGACTGCAAGGACTTTTTGTGAGGAATCTTCCCAGTGTTGCATCTTTCAGGGCAAGCGCGAGGCTACCAGCCGCTTGTGGCTAGACTTCAACTTAGCGGGAACATATCAATCAATAAGAAGTCTCGCTACACAGGCCCCTTGTTCCTGCCTCGTGCTCGTGAGCTCACGCGAGTATGACGCCCTTTTGCTGCCTCCCCCGTTCTAACTCTCTATCGCAAACATCTACTTTTGAAGTGCTTAGAGTGGTGATGCAGATCATGAAATCTTTTGTGTCATCGTTCGAGCCTATACCATACACTCTTGACAGCTGAATAGACAAGATCGTTGCAGGTTGTGGAACCATCCCGATCGCCTGCAGGGCACATAGTCGTTTAGCCCTCTGGACATACGATCAACACCACACACTTTTGGAACTGACCGCTGGCTCGAGTCCCAGTACAACAGGGCGCCAGGGAAGCTCCATTAGGTATACACGGATCTCAGACAGGTGACCCAAACACTCGACTGTAGCAGTTACAAATGCCAAGGACTAGTTCCAAGACCGTGGGCAACCGACAGCGGTGTGAATGCGAACACCTGAATTGGCAAACAAAGGACATATAGGTCACGGATGGTGGTCCTCCGATTGACATGGAACCTGAACCATCACCAGAACGAGAAGATGAAACAATGACTTTAAGGCTTTGTTTGCGCATTGGTCTCTTGTCACCATGGATCGTGCTAACATGTGCCAATGGCAATGGCGCCGCGCAGTGCAGGTCATCAACTGTCCAGTATCTCATTCAGCCAACGTGCAGTCTGTACTTGCGACCGTTGGTAATACATAATACGTTCGATGCTTGTTCTTTAACCAGGCAGCCTGCCTATTCCTCAACAAGCAAGCTGTTATCCCAGGACAGTTCAAACCACAACCTTTTGGAGGAGCACAGTGATCAAATGGATACGAGTGTGGCTATTAACGACCTCAAACATGCTTTCGAAAACAGATCTTTCTTTCAGCTGGGAGATAGGGAAGTCCTTGGCCTTCTGCATTCAGCATACTATACTGAGATCTCATATTTGACATCTGCGTATTTTGCTGGATGTCCTGCTGCCACCAGCCCTCGAACTCGCTCGCCGTCCGAAGTACTTTACGGCACCAAATATCCAGAAGTTGACAGGACTCTTACCGGCCTCCTGGCCTTGCGGTGGATCGAGAAGAATGCTTACCATTATTTCACCCAGAATCAGTCATCATCAACCAGACTACGTTATGAAAGTTTCAAAGAGCTACGGGAATACTTCCACGCACACACACGGCGCTTCATGAACCATGATATCGTGTTCACGCTCGTTACAATGCAGGTGACAAACGATTTGGGCAAGTCGGCCCAACTGAAAATTGACCTTGAGGGACATCTGCCAAGAGGTGTTCCGGTCAGCAGCAATCATGACATGATGATGTTGCAGATCCTTGAGCTCGATCAAAGCGCCAAGCTGATACCGTCTTTTAGCCATCTCCGTCCTGATCTCAGGAATGCTGCATACGAGTCGATACATTTGTCTGCAGGATTCAACCCAGGACAATTGGTACAAGGTGAGTGTGCTCCCGCAGCCTTGACGATCCTTACCAAGCTCGACTTGAGCGAACGAGATCTACACCTGAAATTCATGGAGCTCTTCCTTGATGTCGCAGGAGCTCGGGGTCATGTGAACCATGAAGGCTCCTTGACAATGACCGAAGCATGCTACCAAGACTACTGCCTCGTACGCGATGTTTCGCTCAAAGTCGCTAGTGGGGCCATGAGTCCTTGGGAGGCATACAAGGCAGTTCTTCGATCCAAGACCAAAGCCCTGCAACAATCAGGCTGGCGCGTGCCAAAGGGGTTTGACCTTGCAAGAGATGCCGCCGCAATCGCCAAAACTCGAATTTTCTGCATGGCACGAGTAATTGACGCAGAAACAGCCGACCTAATCAACTGTGTCTACGAGAACCTAACTGTCAGGATTCGAGAAGCTCTCGAAGAAGGACTATGTAGATATGGCACAGTCGACAGACCAGCCGTACAGCCGACCTACATGCCTGCCATGTTTGCGAATCTGAAATCGCACGCACATCCAGCTCATGCTTTTGCAGCTCTGCTGACGTATCTCGCGCAGGTTCTGACTCTGACGCGGGATGATCTAGCGCAACTCGAGCCAGGTACTGTTATCGTGGAGCGGGACGTACGTGAAATTCTCGAGAATTGCATGAGGTCTGATATGTTTTTGAGAGATCCTCATGCTGTGGTGAATGCAAGCACGTCATTACCTGCATTACAGGTATTACAGAAGACCCATTGACCTGCAAAGGACATTTCGGGAGCCCTGGAACATGTATTCTAATTACGTAATGCTAAAACACGAAGCTGAGCTGTGCGGCATTTTAATGAGCTCTTTGGCTGGAATTTGAAACTGCAAGATACGTAGTACGTATAACTTGGATTGATTTTCTCCCCAGATTCATAAACGTCCTGTACGTTTCACACGTAGCTACTGTCCTCGCCAATACCTTTCAGAGACACCTCTGCAGTGCCCTCGTCTAGTCTGCGCATGCTTATTCCTGCCTACACGTCCATCCAGTTTACCTGCCACCAAAACCCACGTCCTTGTCTACATTTTGACCATAGCTCGAGTATGCAGCCGTGAACAATCACAATGCATATCTCAGCCGTGATGTGTATGATTGAGGTCAGGCACCCCCTCAATAAGTTCTGATAGAACAGTTCCCGCTCGTGACGAAGAGTATAAGCGGCGGTGGTCCTAGGACATAATCCATACTTATCAGGTTGTTTGCAGGCTATAACGCCGAATCGTATCAGTCGATCGAAGAACGCCGTAAGATTGCATGCTGCGTTGCGTCTGGCTTGGCCACAAGCGTGGTCGCTTTCGGAGGAGAAATTGCTTCAAGTCCTTGCGTGATCGACTTTGATTTCGGTTTCGTAGGGCTATCGTGGCCATGGCCATATTGTCCTGCAACAAAAGACTTGAACATGAAGACCTGTGCTCGAAAGGACGTGGCTGAGAAGACTGCTTGTGGATTGGTGTGATATGCCGTCGTTGAAGTCGCCACAAACAAACAGCGTTGGTGTCTCCTCGAATGGCAGGGTAGTTTTCAGGTCAGAGTGGTACTCTCAACCAGGACCTCGACTGCTGCTCTCCGGTTGATCCATCTGTCCCAAGTCAAGCTGTGCATAGCTCTCCAGCACTTCCCCGATGCCAACAGGGTATCTGCTGTTATCGCTCGCGGCATAATTCGGATATGCACAGCTAGCGAATAGTCGGTGGTCTTCAGGGCCCCACTTCTCTACTGCACTCGATCTCAGCAGATCAAGTGTTGAATCAGGAAGTAGACTTTCGATCTCACGCTCTCTAAGGGTCAGCCACAGAGTTCTCACAATTCCACGGGCAAGGGTCCATCGATGACAGCTGGCAGTGAGAGCAACGATCATGGTATGAACAATTTGAGGAACGTCTGGACGATCGAGGAAACCTAGAAGGGCGTGCGTGCCCACTGAAGCGCCATGCACCATCGAAAAGGGACCGTTCGAGAGTCCCCAGCTCCTCTGACCTGCTTGCACGAGGCCTGCGATACTTGCGCAAGCGGATATGGTCTTCTGATTGTATTCTTCTCTGTCGGGCTGTGGCGAGTCTGTTTTGCACTGTATTAACACACCATAAAGCGTGATTCGCCAGACATTATAAGTGAGGCTGTAGTACTGTCAGATGATAACTGATGTTGTGGTTTGGTCGGACTTACTGAACATCAAGGACAGGGCCAGCGATGTATGAATCCTTTGAGTCCTCGGTTCTCGAGGTCTGAGGCAGGTTTTCGTACCACTGGATGAGTGCGTGCTCGATATTCTGCGCACGCGATAGTCGTTCTGAAGGCTCTAGGATGGTATGGCCAGGTAAAGGGCTGTCATCGGGACTGCCACTGAGCAGCACTAAGCAAATGTCTTTTCCAATCTCGTAAAGGCTGAAGCTTGTCAAGTTCAGTGATTTTGAAGCAAAGAGTGTTGTTGGGTCGACTTTGGGATACGGTCGCCACGGTTCAAGTTCTCGAAGCTCGTTGCCCGAACATATGTTCGCTAGGTGTACATGAGGTTTGCGAGGATCGAAGGGTCGTCTCCAAGCCATGCTTACCTCACTGACGGTGTTAGATAGGTTCTCTGCTCGCCCATATGACCTACACCTCAATGTTGAATGAGCCCCAAACAGCTAGAGCGTATGCTCGTTTGAACTCTTGATTGGCATAATCTCGTGAGCCAAGCTTTCGATTCTTTCTGACTTTCATGATCAGATCCCGACGCAGGGCGATCAGTTGGGGCGTGTAAAGCAAGCCTATGCGATCCTTCCCTAGAGCGAATGTACTAGTTGAGTTAGACGAAGTCAATCGGTATATCTCTAGACATACCAACATAGCATTGCCACAAGACCTTGAAGATTAGTAAGCGTTACTTCGCCTTCGCTGCACTCCCATAGCCTCATAGCTTCCTTAAAGAAGTGTAGACCTCTTGTTGAATTGTCGGAATGCTCAGCAAAGGCCACAGGATGATCGGTGTATGTCTAAGCGAACGAAGTTAATGTTGTCCAACCCTAGGCTGAGGATGACTCACGCATCCTATACATAAGATCGCATTGACGAGAAACTCGGAACAAAATTGGCTAGAAAGATTCTTCGACTTCATTTCCCGAGTGAAGGTGTCTCGATCAAGGATTGGATACGTCGAATGATTCCAAGCGAAGTAAGCTGACACTAGGTGCGAGACTGCCTCGTCATCCTGCACGACGTCTGTCCAGGGCTGAGCAGGAACACGAACGAGTGGTTGGTCAATAAGAGAGACAATGTCCAACATGTTGCGCCTGGTGCGTTTGGCTCTTGAAGGATTATCATTTACATATTGTATAATCTCGTCAGTCGTAGCACCACTTCGAATGATCTGCAACAACGCTTCGTTGCTTTTCGAGTCTCCCATTCTGAGCGATTCAACGATTTCGTCAAGCAGATCGCTCTTTGCGCACAGCTGTTGATAGTCTCGTTTCAAGATGCGACGGTAATCTGGTTGCTCGCTATATAAACAGTCACGATGTCTGGTGATGCATGCATGACAAGGTTGCTTGCCATCACACTTAATTCTTCGTCAGATACCATTGCCAATACGTCAACCACTCACCTTCGCTTTAGCTACACGGCACGATAAGCAAGCGGTTGTGACGTGCTTCTGATCTTGCAATTCCGACCGCATCTCTGCCATAGCTTGCGAAAGTGAGGCCAATTCCTCACTAAGATCATTCTATCAGGACAGAGATCTGATGGAAGTGCTGAGAAGCATGAGCGCACCGTTGTCAGATAAGGATTGAAAGAGTGGTGCGGACCTGTAACGCCGGCGGTGTGCAGGAAGCTAGAAGATCCATCTTGATCGTGGTCACGATCGTGATCGACGAAGATAGCAGGCTGGCTAGCCGATTGAGAGCGTGGATCCACTCAAATTTGCGCAGAACCATTTCGAGGTCGGCGTCTCGGTTTACCTCGAAAGGATGCATCGATTGATGAGGCCAACGAGCATAGTCATGAGTGAAGTCTAGCTAGATTCTTGACTGGATCTAGATGCGATGACAGATCCGCCCTCTGCAGCGTGCTGGTTAGTCAGTACCTTCTGCGCCCGGACCTAAATATGGTTCTTTGCTGGATCCTTGTATGATGCTAGGACGAAATCGACCGATGGGTTTGATGGTCGAATACGGTACTGGCTAGTTATTTGAATTTCTGATTCCAAAAGACAGCCTGTTGTGTGCCGAGCTAAAATTGACTCCAAGGACTGTACGCTTGGCTGGCCTGACTACCACGCGATTCGTACAGGATATCGAGAGTACATCACGAGAATGCGCTTTTTATTCACACGCTTTCAACACACTGCAAAAGCTACCCGTGGCATCGCACCTGCTGCAATTGGGACGATTTCCCGATGGAGATGAGCTCGATGTCTGATGCCCCACAATGTGCAACAGAAGGGTGGAACTGGCCAATGGCGATAGAGCGGAATTACATGTTAGCTTTGGCTGGAGACCATGCATTACGTCTTCACTGGCCCATGCATGAACAAATCCATGACATCTACGCACTGTACAACAAGCATCCCATGTTCCAAACAGGACGGACGAAGGCATAGGAAAGAATAGAGACACTTGCAATTATTTATGCACCAAACCGCAGACCAATCGCTGCACACACCATGGTTTGGACGTGATGGTCCAGATCGCTCTATTTGCGCCATCAATCCCTGGCTTCCGCAGAAGATACCGGCCCTTACCAATCAAAGTGACCACCACTCCCACTCGAGTAACTAGCTGTGCTCGAGCAACTTGATAGCATTTTCCCATCCCAACCACAATTTGATTCGTGGATCTCGCTTTGATCAATAGCACAATGTAAGCCACTCATATACCTCAAATACCTGATGCTTCTGCTTCTGCCACGCCATTAACATGTTACCTCAGTCAGTGACTCTTGTTTCCGACTTCTCGAAATTGACCCATACTCCGGCGCGAATGTCAAGACATGGATGCGCACCGCTAACCAAGGATCAGCGATCTCTAAATTCCGGACTGCCTGCTGCTTCGTGGCTGTGAACCTAGTCACGTTCTTCGGAAGCAGGCTCCTGTACTGCGCCACTCGTGTATGCGATCTGAGTCACCACACTTTCATAACTATCGTCATCGTCGTCCATGAAAATGGCTTTGCCGTCATCGTCGCGGGTGCGAGAGAAGCTATTTCTGCGAACAAACGAGTTGTGTTACGTGCTTCCAACAATGGCTTGTGGCTCGTCCAACAAGCCGCCATCAAATATGGCTCTTGAGTCAACTGTTGTAAGAGAAACCTCGACGCTGACCTGTCGACTCCGTACGCGCTGATCTTGAACACTGATGGCAGTTGTCTCCCACGCGTCTTCAACGTCCTCAGCAGCCTCAGCTCCAGATGTCTGGACGGAACTCTCATCCCCCTCTATGCTGTCCATAATTCGTTCTTGCGGATAGGTGTAAACCTCTGCCAAAGAACTAACAAGCGCTCCTTGTCCCTGCTTGTAGGTTGCGTATCTAGTGGTGACTGACGACGAAACATCCTAAGCATGGTCGCCATTGACTACCGGCCTATCCGCAAGTAGGTTTTGAGCTTGTTCTTCTCCTTGTCTGTCCTGGAACTTTCTTACCTCATCCTTGGCTTCCTTCACGAATGCGGCGAAGTGCTCTTTGAGTCGCGCCTTCTCGACGAACCTCTTCAGTAATTTGACGTCTTCTAACGCGCTTGCCTGTTCTGATTCATCCCGGTATGCAGACGCTTCCAATATCTCGTCAAGGGAAGGAATCCGTACTTCAATATCGTCCGTCATCGCACGTCGGTATAGGTCAAGTAGTGTTCTGAACAAAATAGTCCGCTGCATAATCTCCTTGACCTCCTTGTCTGATTTTCCAGCAGTATCGTTGACGTTCATCCAGCTGTCTCTAACGAGCAGGCGACGCCAGACAGACTTTCTCAGTACCTCTTTCTGCTGCAGACTGGCTTCTTGAAAAGGAGCAAGGTCAATCGCTTGCAGTGCGTAGGGAAATTCTTGGTCGGTGATGTCATCGACATCTGCGTCGACCTCCTCTACTTCAAGTGGACCTAGTTTGAGGAGGGTCAATGCATCGACGAGTTCGGACAAAGAAATCAGGTTATCCGTGGCGAGCTTGTGAAGTGTTTTGGAGAGGTACTTTCGTGTCTGTTGCGCCTTCTTGCTAGATGATATTGATTTCGGCACGAAACGTTCGACAGCAAGCTGAACTGCTGCTTCATCGTCAACCGCATCGTACAGAGCAGCATTGACATGGTAAGCCAGAGAGGCAACAATTCGCAAGTATTCCAGCTCGTAATTGATGTTGGATATTTTCACGTCATTGATGGCCGGAGCGTTCGCTTCTTGTGCGGCTAGACCGGCAAGTTTTGCAAGACATAGCTCGACCTGCTTGGACCAAATGTCGGTTTCCTGAGTACTGGCCACCGTCTCGAGGGTGTGGAAGGCCGCATCGAACTTGCTTTCCCCGACAACATTGTTGATCCAGGAAACCTTTCCGACACGTTTTTGTTCTTGAGCGCATGTGTCGAAAAAGTGAGACAAATATGGTTGCTTTTTACCTCCATTAGCCTGTCCTTCAGCGATCAGTGTGCCAAGTTTGCTGTGCTTGAGCAACGAACTAAAATGGGAGTATGCCCAGTCGTTGCCAAACCTCTCGAAATAAGTCTCAACATGATCCTGTACAGCCTCGATCTTCTTCTCAATCTCCTGTTGTTCAGGGTGTGCTTTCAAGGTATCATACAAAGCTGTAAGATGATCAATATTCAACGTGACAAGGAGGTCGGTATCGCCCTTGGCTTCTGCCAACTTCAGGGCGCCGTCTCGATTGAAGTTCGCTATGACTTGAAGGGTACTGTTGGTGACCTTTTGATGTTCTGCAGCCAAGGCCTTGAGCTGACGATCCTTCTGCTCCTGCGACACATCACTAGCACTGACCATGTTCCGCTGTTGAATATTTTCTTCAAGCACTACTCTGTTGACCAGATCGGCTTGCACTGGCAGCCTGTCAGCAAGCTTTTCCAACAAGGACTTTGGAGGCGCGTCATAGGGATTACCGGCGGCATTCGTAGGCATGGTAATAACCTTCTTTGACTTCGATTTGGCCGATCCATTCTGTTGTGTAGCAGGATAGTCCCACCATTCCTGCAAGAATTTGCAAACATCTTCTAGGTAGTCGTGGCCATGCATAACCTGCTCGTGCGTAGATGTCCAGGCTGGAGGTAACCTAGCAGGGTAGCCAGATTTCAGTATTCCTTGATCGTAGGTCTCATTGCCTAAACCATAAGCTGCAGCATTGTCTTCGCGAAAGCGAAAGGCCGTCTGAAACGCGGTGGTCCAGATTTCCGTACCTTCCAGATAGTAGTCACATACGATTCGTGGATCATTGTAGTCGTATTCGGGCATTTCATGCATAACGTCCTGTAATTCAACGAGTAGTCTGTTTATTGAGCCAACACTATAGATGAGCCAATGTCTTACGTGGTCTGTTTCACCCTTTTCTGGATTTGGATATCTTTGGCGATTCTCGGCAAGCGCTGACAGGGCGAAATTGAGAAGGGTCATAGAGTTTCTCTCGTCCTTTCTTGGATAGGTTGCCTGGATTCTCTCTTGTATTTTCCATATGGCTTGGGCAGCAGCAATCTTTTCAGCGTTCCATAGCAGCATGATGCGATCAGTTCTTCCCAGACAGTCCGGATACGTCTTCAAAGAGTACTCTACCAGATCCTGCAATACTCGAGCGCGATGCTGTAAGTGATCAGTGATCGAAGGGGCAGACTTGGAGACGTGCTTGGACGTTGACATGACAATCTCGCGACTCGTGTCGAGGATGGCCTTTGTGATTTCGTGTTGTTCGTATGCTTTGCGGTAGGAGCGCTTCAGATCGAGAGGATTTGGCTGCCGGGTGCCGAAGAAAACAGCTTGCTCGAGCCTAGCTTTTGCCCCAAGTTGACTGACAACATCCTCGAGCTCTACTTCATCGTCATTGGGTAAATGAGATGCAACTCTCACGATGCCAAAACCCTGAACTGCCAGAACACAGCTTGGACCAGACTCGTGCTCCTCTCCTGCAAAGTTGATCACTCTGTAGATAGTGTTGTCCTGGAGAGGAATGCAGTCTTGGAATGGAAGCGGAAGCGCGCTTTTTTCGGCTACCAGTTGTGAAGATGGTGATTCGGAGATCTTGATCAGCGACAACAAGAGGATAGCCTTTTCGAAGATGACAAAGGCTGTGGTCGAAGCAGGCGGAATGCATATTCTCGGACGAAAGGCGTGCTCATCAGCGAGGTCACGGTCGTAGCATCGGATTGGGTGGACGACTCGTACCTGCGTAGTTTCGTCGGCAATAGTCGCTTCAAGTAGGTAGTACTTTGATCGAGCTTGAGAGGAAAGAGCAGCGAGAATGACCAACGAACAAGAGTTAGTGTCGCTCAGCCGAATCAAGTCGTGGGATGGCGATGGAGTGAGAACGAGATCCAGGACTTTGAAGTGGACAGGCTGTTGCAGGTCATCCTTCTCAATCTGCGACTGCAGACTTGACAGCAGCTGGTCCTTGACAGACAGAGTTTTTGACAAGCTGTTGCCAGTGAGAAGATTATTGGTCCAGAACTCGATGACGGCGTCCTCAGAACATACTATGACATCGCGCTGAGCCCTCGCAGTTCTTCCAGGTCGCACTATTGCAGTTCCTTTGCGTCGATCAGCGCCAAAAACGCTTCTGATACTGCCGAAGATGCCACCTCGGATGGTAGGTGCAGCAGATCTGCGCATGAATTGAACACCAATACCAGGTCTCCCCACTTGATCTCTTATAGTCAATTGAGCCACTCTTCCAGAAGCTAGCGAGAGTATGAAGCCTGCAGGCTCGGCCGGGACCAATTGTTCAACGAGTTCGCCACGAAACATACCGGGAATGGAACCTTGGACGCCAGTGGACAATTGATTAGGCACATGTGAAGAGGCGTTGGTCAACGACTCCCAGTAGACAATTTTTCCCCATTTCGGTGAAACCACAACGATACCAGGTTCGCCGTTGGCAGAACTTGCAGTGAAGGAAGCAAGAGGTAGAGGGTCTTCGGCGATGGCAGGAGGAAAGGGTAATTTGAAGGTGAGCAGCTCCCTCGAGGTGGGAGTAGAGGCGCTAGCATTGTAGGACCAGATCAAGGCATCGGTATGAGTGAGAGCGAGGATATAGTCGTTGTCTGGGAAGATGACACACGAGTAAGGCACAGTTGGACGGATTCGTATCTGTTCAGGCAGTGCTGGCAGTTGAGAGACAGTGTAGAAATTGTTGGCTGAAAGAGTAAGCAAGCCAATACCACGTTCAGTCCGCTTCTCCGTTTTTTTCGCTCCTCTCAACGTCAAGTCTCGAGTCTGTGAGTCAGGACGCACTGCGGATTGTGCAGGTTGGGGTACATTTCCGCGCTCTTTTACATCCGTGCCGGACTGAGCCTGGCCAGCAAGCTCATTCACACTGGACCCCGTAAGAGGTTCAAAGGTATCTCGTCGAATAGCCGACCGTCTTTTCTTCGCGAGAGGCAGTTTGACTGATTCGTCGGGGGTCGACGTGTTTCGTGTTCTTTTAGAGCGGAGAAGATGGCTGTGAGAAGGAGTGTCTGAGGAATCCATGATGGTAGGAATAGATGAGGCCGTCTATACTATCATCATTGAGGATAGAGGTGGTCGCAATCAGACGCACAGAGATTACAGATGATTGTATGGTCCATAAGTGACACAGGTGAACAGCGTCGCGTCTTGGGCAGCTGGTTGCGTAGTTGCGAAAAGAAGCACTTGATTCGGTAAACACTCCTCGGTGTTAACCAAAAAATGCTTAGCGTAACTCCGAGCAGTTCCAAACAACGACAGAAGGTGCAGCCAGTGAAACAAGGCAAGTGGACAGTGCTGCCAAAGAATAACCAAGAAGTGACTAGTAGCTGGCTACGTCTTTCAGGTCCGCAAAGAGGATGAGCAAGTACATGCTACACTTGTATCTTCCCTGTGATCATGCTTAGCAACATACACCATCCCCATAGATATGCCGGTGACGCTGCGGAAGAGGTTGTACTGCCACTACTGCGGTAAAAGGCTCAGCACGACCAAACGAGACAACAACAAGGTACATTGCGATTCATGCTCAGCTGATAACTACCTGGACGCCGACAACAATATCGTCGATGTGCCTGCCACAATTGCCGCACGATTGGGAACCTCACTGAATGAAATCGAGTCGGAATCAGATATCTTCTGTAAGACGTGTCTAACCAACCAGGCCTTCTACGTCCAAGCCCTTGCCGAGTACCTCCCAGAGGAAACCGATTCCAGATACAAAGAATTCGAAAGAGCCCTACCTGAATTTAAAAGAGACCTGGACTTGAGATATCCAAGATGCTGCGCTCAATGTGAACCCAGAGTTCAGCTCAGCATCCAGCAAGCCAACTATGCTGCTAAATCAGATCATTTGAGAAGACTGATGCACCGCAAGCATGGCCGTCGGCGAACCCCAGAAATACAATTGCGCAGCTTGCTGATTTCTGCTGCTGGTCTAGGCCAGATCACTGGCTTGTTGATGCAATTGGCGTGGCATGCTGTATCCTCCCAGTACAGTGCAAATCAACCCGAAACCCGTCCTTCTCTCCATTCCTGCTTGACTCGGCCCTTGGGAACAAGAGAGTGCGCTGACTATGCGGGGAGCTGGGTGCCATGGTCCCTATTCATAGGACTACTCTGTATCTGGTGGAACCCGAAATGGCAGCATAGATTAATGGGAAAAGAAGGTCGCTTGACTGGCCTGAGGAAATACTACGTTGCTCAATCCCTTCTCATTGCCCTTCGCTTTACGGCTTGGACTCTCGTAAAAGAGGTAAATATCATCCATCAACATGCTCCCGCTGTTCATACTATATGCCTTGGCCTTTTTACCATGATTGGCCTCTACTCCTGGTTCGGCCTTGTTCGTATCGACACCACTCCTCTGGTAGACTGGCAACAAGTGCAAGCTCCTCTGGTCAGCCCCGGCCAGTTCCAACCACCTATGCACCAGATCAACTCACCTTTACCATCTCAAGTGGGTTCCCAATTCTCCATCGACACTCTAGCTGGACCACCACGGCCCACCTATGAGCCCTGGCGTCCACCGACTCCTCCACCTACCGAGGATGACAGCATGGACTGGGCTCCATCGAATCGTTCCTTCAACCCTCAGCCCAGGATTCCCAGACAGAAACTCGAGCAACCCAATCCATTTCATGGCACGTTTCCTGCTGCCCCGATGCGTGGCTCACTCAATCCGAAACAACCTGGACCTCCCCCTCAGAAGAGGGCTCCGGGTGTCCCTCCTGGATTCTTTGGTCTTTCTAAGAGCAAAGATCAATCGCAACAGCCTGGTTCTATCACTCTACATGAGCCTACCTTTGCACCTGCAAGATTTTTCGCTCATGAACGTGAGGCTGATACCGGCCTAGAGAACATCTTTGACAGAATGTTCTCCGTTCGAGATCCGTGGGAGTCACAGGACCAGCAGCCCAAGCCTGTACCAGGCCAGCAACAGGCCGACCCGAGCTCTCCTTCTGATGTGTCGTCAAGTTTCGAGCAAACTGGACCAGCTACGATGACAGCCCGCAACCAAGCGTCGCTCAAGCTGGTCATTTGCAGTGCATCTGTTGTTGCACTCGCTATCGTCGCATCAAGCTTATGCTCGGTCGAATTTGTATATGGAGACACCACCATCGCTCCCTCAACTATCCTGCCGTACACAGCTGTTGTGCCTGTTGTTCATGTTCTCGAAACAATTGCACATAGCGGACGAATCTTATCAGATGAGGTGGCAGTACCACTTCTGCAAGCAATTCTGCTATTTATCACACAGTTCTTCATACTGACTGACGGGTCAAACTACGTGCGAATATGGAACAAATTCGTTATTGGAACTGTCTGCTTCCTGCTGTTGCAAGAGGTTTATCGATTTTGTCAGCTCCAGAGCACTCCTGTTACTCAAGCAGCCGCTGCTCACATGGCTCAAAGCGTGCAGAAGGTCCAACAGCAACATTCTTCACCATCGTCAATGTACGAGAACCCTGCCATTTCCTACTCATCGGCTCCGCTACCGTTCCCAGCACAGCCATCTCAACAAGGCCTGTCGCCAATAAGTCAACAGACACAGCAATTGGGTCACGCACCACCATTCCCAGCTCAGAGACATTCCCAGCCTCAGCCGTTCTCCTATATGGATAACACGAACTCGGTCCGCAAACGTGACTCGGATGAATCAATAAGTAGTATCAGTTCGATCCAGACGACCTCCACAGCCCCAGGCTGGAGAACACCCAAGAACGACAACAGGACTTTCGACTGGCAGAATAGTCCTAGCGGCAGTAGAAGCAACCCACGAAGACCCGCTTCGAATATTGCTCGTGGTTTAGGTGGTCTATCTTTGGGGAATGACTTTAGTGGAGCCGGCGTAGCAGGACCACGGGCGAGAAATGGCCCAGGTGGTGGAAGGCAGAGATAGGTAGTGGATAGCTTTGAATATCGACATTTTGGTGTATGTTCGACATTGAACAGATCAATTTGAGAGTAACAAACAGTCCTTTTGCCTTCCTGATACTCTGGTTCGTGGCTTTGCACATCGGCCATGTGCTCCTTTGTCCGGCACGATAGGCTGGTTATCCTTTGGTTATCCTTTGAGACTGTACCTGTAGATTGAACTTTTAGTTTCTCTCTCGAGCTTTGTGCCACTTAAGCTCGAGTCTTATGTCGCTATTGTTTTAACGATTGTGCAGACTAAGGTCATTAAGTCCCAATACCTCTGGACCCGTATTGCCACCACTCAAATCTCTGCCAGCACGTAGAAGGCACATTAAAGCTGTTTGCCCACATTTTTTGTACATCGCCCGTCGCCTCTGTATTGTTAACCTTTGCCTCTTTGGGCGGCCCTACCCTGACTGTTCGCGTGTGATTCACTTTCTCGAGATCCCGGTTGGAACTGGTCACTGGCTGGCTAGGATTCTGCTGTTATACGTACTGGTCAGCCTCGGCAAGAGCCGTTTCAGCAGACATTTTGTGGCCTGCGACATATCCATGAGGGCTCTGTTGTGCTCAACTCAATACCCTTTCGAATTCTGTGAGTAGACAAGCAGGCGGTCGATACATCCGGCATGTCTTGAGGCAGGATCGTGTTATCGACATGGCTGTGGCTGATTTCAGTTGATGGGACGCTGTATCTGTGGTAGTTGTGGCCTGCCTGCTAAACGACCCAATATCTCCAACTTCTTGCAGACCAGGAATAGGAGAATGGCGTGCCTACCAATCCACTACTTACTCCAAAAAGAAAAAAACATTCCCATCAGCTCTCACAACTTCGTCTCTTTCCTCGCCGGCACATCATCTCCCCTCCCAAACTCCCTCACCCACTCCTCTCTCAACCTCTCCCTCATCTCTCCTACCAAAACCGCCGCATCCTCCTCATCAAGCTCATGCCTCTGCCCCCTGCCAAATTGAACATAACTCGCCTTCAATCCTGTCGGCACCTTAGCAGCCACATACCTCCTCCCCTTTGCCCTCTCACTCCCCCCTCCCTCAATCGAAGGCCTATAATCCAACGGCGGCCTCGGAATAACATGGAAATGCACATGCGGAATCACCTGCGCCGCCCCCGGCCCGTTATTCTGCACGACGTTATAATCAACTTCATGGTGCGGAATGTCCGGGTATGCGGCGCCAAGAACGGCGCGTGCGACGACGGGGAGCACGCGACCTATCTCCGCGGCTTCGATGGACGTTAAATCGCCGACTTTGATGCGGTGGTGGCGCGGGGCGAGGAGGACGTGGCCGCGGGTTAGGGGGGCGATGTCGAGGAAGGCGATTGCATGGGGAGTGGAGAGGAGGACGTAGGTTGGTGGGGAGAGGTGGTCGGGGTTCCAGGATGGGGAGTGGGTGGTTAGGGGTGAGATTGGTTGGTATGTTTGGGTTATGGTGCAGAAGGGACAGTCTGGGTCAGATGATGATGACGATGATGATGTGGTGGTGTTGTGGGAGTGTTCTGGGATGGGAAGTGGTGGGTCATCCTTGGCCATGAATTGAGCTCGATGGATATCGACAGCCTGTGTGACAATGATCAGGCGTAATCGTTAGCAGAACAGGAGAAATCAAGCTTGCGCGTCTCTAAAGAAAATAGAAGCTTCGTATACAGCATTGATTGTTATAAAGCTACCAATGTAAAAGAGACGATCCGGAATGATGGCCAGATCGAAGCTCGGCTAATCGTGTTCTCCAGATCGTTGGTGAAGGTGTTTACGTAACGTGACTACGCTCGCTCACTCACTCAGACTGACGCGTTCGCAAAGCTACACCCGTGCCCTCTCCCCAGCAATTTTAGAAGAAAGACTACGACAAGCACACACGTTCTAAACATCAGAAGGTATGGCATCCCATCAATACCATTACAATCTATAACTCTATGTCTTTTGCTCTAGTTGGGGTATCATTTCTATGTGTATAAGAAATCAAAAAAAACTCCAGCGCTTTACATCCGTTCAGGCCAACTCATTGTGAAGGACTCACAACTTTGCACCCTGTCTCCGTCTCCTCATCTTCTCATTATCGTCCTTGAGTGGCTTAGCTTCATGACCAACTTGACCTTTGTTCTGATCCTTCTCAGCTGCAGTGGCTGCATCACTCTTCTTAGGTGCACTCTTGTAGCCATCATGCTGATTCTCTTCATTGACGATATTGCCATTCTTGTCTCTTCTGATGCCCAGCTCAAGTAGCTTAGCAAACACCTTCGAAAAGTGATCGAAGAAGATGTCTTTATGCTCGGCGTACAGTTCGACCCAGGGTCTGAACGACAGGTCTTGAATGAGCGCGATATCGGTTGGCAGCATCATGAGCTCTTCAGGTTCTTCGCTAGCTTCACCATCCTCGTTCTCTTCCGCAAGATCCTCGTCAACATAGACGAATTGTTCCTTTCCATTGTCTAGTTTCTTCCTCTTCCAATCATTGACTAGGAGCATCTTGTAGTAGGTATTTGAGAATCTGGTGGGGTTGTTGACCCATTTGCCCTCGAAACCTGATCGGTCGCTGTGACATCGTCCGAGATTGTGGGCACCGGACAAAGCAACAATCTCCTGATCATTGAAGCCCATTCTATAGAAAATATGTCGTAGATGGTCTGCACCCTTCGAGCCGTCAGGGAGTCTGCCTCGTGGTGGAACTTTGTTGTCGTCTGTAAAATCTGTTCTGCCTCCGCGCCACTTGATTGATGGTCCACCCATTTCTTTTACTGCTACTACAGCTGCCAGTGTCCACAGATCCGCATACGTTATGAATGGAAATCGCTTCTTGATAGGCTCGAGGAAGGCTCTCGCGTGTTGCAGACCAGCATTGGCTTCGTCGCCACCTTCTTTCTCGTAACGCATGCCCGCGCCATTGGAGCCGCCGGTGTTGGTGGCACTACAGTATGTGCCTGCGGAGTGCCATGCTAATCGAACAAGTACTGGTCCAGCTGAGCCGTCATCGTACTCCGGTTGATGGAGTAGGTCTCTGACTGCTTGAGCGACCTGTTCAAGCTGCGACTTGGAAGGTGTATCGTGAACTTGTGGTTGTGCCATGCTGGTGTAACAACCCAAGCAATACGAATTGCGCTATGTGTTTCCTAGCTGATATAAGTTGTGAAAGAGCAGGACAAAGTTAGTGCAATACAAGTGATTAGTAGGCAAGCAAATCAGTCAAGGCGAAGGCGAAGCGAAGGACTATATATCGAATCAGTAGACCAACAATCTCTTACCTTCTACAAACACATAAGATAACACTTGGGACCGAGGCGCCACCCTCGCCTTCACCAATATTCGAGTCATTTTTCATGTGATAGTGTCAGGAACTTTCTATGATTGACGAAGATATTTACAAAAGCTCAACAGTGGATCATGGCTCCGAAGCTTTGGAAACGATCGTCCTGGAACAGATGATTCGATGACGGTGAGAAAAGCGAGAATGCAGGAACCAGCCTTGGCAAGCCTCGTAGAGTCCTGTTCGGATGTTCCCGGACTTGAATTCGAGCCTCTGGTTTTACTTGAATGCATCAGTAGGTGCAAACCCAATTGAGATCAGGTTCGGTGATACTTTCTGAAAGATCAATCATCCCGTTCCGGAGAATGTGTTGGATTCATGTTTCTGTAGCTATCCGTATACCTGTGGAACTGGCTTCCTGACACAAACCCATTGACAATGGTACCCTCGATGTTTGCTCGGCGCTGATGGCTTCAGCAGACAAAAGGGCTATCGACTGAGCGCCAGATAAATACTACTTTCAATAGATCCAGGCTTCGAAATGTTGGCTTCAAAGCTTTCCAAAAGACTCGCGAATCACCTTTCAGGCATAGACATCCAGAGATACAGCCGAGTTTCACCATCTAGATTGGCAGAAAGCGCTTTACCGAAGATTGGTCTAATCGAGCTGGTTTCCGCTGAAGACTTCTCACAGCTCTATGATGAGCTCTACACTGCCATGTTCCCACATCAGGGAGAACGCGAAAGATCAAGCCTCATCGTTGAACGTCTGCAGAAAGAATTCGCTGGATGTCGTCAGAACTTAGCACCCTACCGAATCATCGGCATTCGAGACTACGAGGGTAAAGCAATCGGTGCTGCTCAATTTTCGGTACTGCTACTGGCTGGCAACAAGTATGCGGTTCCCTACGTGCAATACATCTATGTACGTGAAAAGAATCGCAGACAGGACATGGCCGAGCTGCTTCACACTCTGACGTTGGCTGTGGCCACAGCGGATGCTGCGCAGCGTACAGTACCTTTCGAGTTGTTTGAGACAGAGCCGCCCAATCATGGAGACGATGAAAATCGTAAGACGAACGCAACGCAACGTGCATTAATTCATGCAAAAGCAGGTGCTATAGCGATCATGCTTCATAGACCCAATAATGGTGCCCTCATCAGTCCTCATGTGCAACCCGGCCTTGAAATTGGGGACCCTCCTTTGTCGTTGGTGTGGGCTATTCGACCCTCACCTGCTATTACTGACAAAAACATCGATATCGTGGAACTAGGTCTGACTCTGGTCGCAGCATACTACCAATCACTTAGGGACGAAGGATTTCCCGAAGCCAACATTCGAGTCGCAGAAGAGATTGTCGCACGTAGGTGTACTGACTGTGCATTCGTTACAATGTCACTGAACGATGTCGTCCTAGTTGAGGACGAATTATCGGCAGATTACACAAGTACCATGACTGCCTGATCAAGCTATCATACGCGATACTCGCCACTTGCGACGCGAACAACAAAGCGCACTCGACCATTTCGGTCTCTTCAGAAGTGCTCTGTCGATCGCTTATCAGGATCCATGCTTGTTCCTCGTGCCATTGGGTACTTTTGAAATGGTCCGCAGTGGCAGCCACGCCTCCGAATCTGGATTTGTCCAATCCTGATGGGCTGCCAGCACGCTAAACAGCATGTGCGGGTCTTCCACTCGCGCTTACCCGTTGCTTCTTTGCGATAAAGACTTTACAGACTGCTGGTGGGCAGATGTTTCCTTTGCATCGTTGTCCATACACCCACGAAATGTTCTCTTGCTGACATTAACGACGCTGGAGGCGTCGCCTTATGTATTTTCTGTAGCTATACACATTATATCCTTGTCTCTGTTTGTATTTGGGTCCACAGCATATTCATTATGGCTACACCTGTGTCGTATGATGAAGTTATTCCAGGCACGCGACGACTGTTTGACGAACATGGTCAAAACTTGCCTGGCGATGAACGACTTCTGAAGCATGGCGATATCGTGCTCGTTCCTCAACCGACAGAGTCGCCCAATGATCCGCTCAATTGGAAACCATGGCGCAAGATCTGGCACTCATTTCTTGTTCTTTTCGTCGTTGGCATGACGGCTGCGACCTCAAATGTTGCAGGCTCGGGTGCAGATGGTGTCAACGAAGAGTATGGCATCAGCTACGACGTCTTCAATACCGGTGCGGGCGTCCTGTTCATTGGTATAGGGTACTGGTGTTTGTTGAGCTCGCCTGCCGTCCATCTATACGGCAGACGAATCCTATACCTTATAGGTAAGCTATATTGGCACTATCAACCTCGAGATTTCTGACAGAATCAAGGCATGATCTGGGGTGTTATTGGCAACACTTGGTACGGCAGCATAAGAAACACAGGAGATACCGTTTGGAGTCAGCTCTTTGTAGGCGCTTCGGAATCTGTAGGAGAGGCTGCGGTTCAACTCTCTCTTCTGGACATCTGGTTCGAGCATCAAAACGGTTCCACCCTCGGTCTCTATACCCTCGCGACTGCTATAGGCACATACGTCGGACCATTGGTTGGCAATCAAATCTCCGCAAGTACTCTTGGCTGGCGTTGGATCGGCTACTGGGGTGCTATTATCAGTGCCGGTACTTTCGTGGTGCTGTTCTTTGGTCTGGAAGAGACTGAATTCCAACGGGATCGGTTCATCACCAATATTGATGATCGTCGTCGCTTGAGTGGTGATTTGATGCCTGAGAAGACACTCCAGCATGCTTCAGACGGCAAAAGTGCTGATACTGAACAGCCGACTATGGTCAACGACGAATCCGTCAGAGGTTCTAACGAGATAGGTGGAACAAAGAATGGACGGCGCTTTCACGAGGACCGTCATTCCTCCGAGATTGACCGCAATCGCCATTCCGTTTCCTTCTCACGCAAGAAGACTTACTGGCAACGGATTCAAGTCATTACCAAAGCGCATAACCTGCGCGACTTTGGTGCGAAGCAATTCGTGAACCGACTATGGCATACTATGAGAGTGTTTTCGTTTCCAGCTGTCTGGTTTGCTGGTCTTCAGTGGGGCTTGCAGAATGTATGTTTGACCTTCTATCTCACAGTAGAGGAAGACTACTGGTATGGTCCACCCTGGAACTACACCAACACAGAAGTCGGTAACATGAATATTCCTTGTCTAATAGGCAGTATCATTGGGGCTTTATATGGTGGTTACGGCAGCGACAAATTCCTTATCTGGATGACCAAGCGCAACAAAGGTATTATGGAGGCTGAGTATCGTCTCTATCTCATGTTCCTCTGCTTTCTCATCTTCCCCACTGGCATGTTGATCTTCGGCATCGGATCAGGCGAAGGCTGGAGTTGGCCTGTACCATACCTTGGTCTTGGCTTCATCGGATTCGGCTATGGCTGCGCTGGAGATTTGTCAATCACATATCTCGCAGACTCCTATCCTGACATGATCCTCGAAGGTATGGTAGGTGTCGCGACCATCAACAACACCCTCGCCATGATTTTCACCTTTGTAGCGAGTTACTGGCTCAATTCAAGTTTGCGGAACTGCTTCATCGAGCTCAGCGTGATCAGCTTCTTAGTCATGGGGTCCAGCCTGCCCATGATTCTCTATGGCAAGAGGGCGAGAAGGTGGACGAGGAACCGGTACGTGAAGTTCCTTGAGTTGAGAGATGGGCTCTCGAAATGAGTCGGCATGCTTCTGGATTTGTAGGACTATACAATACATCTTGAGACTTTGTGAACCTTCTATGTTGAACTGAGCCTTGCGGCAGTCGGTCTTTGATCAATCAATTGGTGTAATGATTAATCGCATTCTCAGCTACACAATAATTGATATAATTCGAAGGGGTTGCTTACAGTAATTACCCCCCTTTAAATTTTCGTGGCTCAACACCTAGACTGCGTCGATTAGGCATGCCTAAACTTATTTCCAGGCATGCTCTCCAGGCATTCTTCGCGGCACCGACAGACAATGAGTTTCGCTGAGGAACAGTCGACGAATAAAATTCCAGTCGATCCACGTCCTGCTCAGATCAATGGAACAATCCGTAAGACCGTCCACTTACTACAAGCAGAGCGACAAAACAAGAAGAAAAGAGTATCGTCGGTGTTGGGATATGACCAATTTCTGTACAAGTTCTCATCTGTCCTCTACGTACTATCAGCTGCGATAGATTATATGCGTAGTCTTGAAGGTGAGCTACTATACCTCACCTCACCTCGTTCTACCTCCATGTCTCCTCCTCCTTCTCTTTCTCGCTCGCTATAAACCAAGAATATCGCATCGCATCGCATGCATAGGGGTATCACTCTCTGAATCACGGTCTCGCAGTAAAGCAGTCTATACATCAATTTCCAACTCTGTCCTGTACATGTACGTGCTTGCACCTGTGTACCCGGTATGCTCGCTGAAGTGATGATCAAACTTGCAACACATCTTGCTCAAAAGATCGACAGGGCGAAAATATGACTAACATATGAAACGGGATTAGGACGAGCCTGCGTCCTTATATACAACTTGTGTGTTTGCGGGTCGATGGTAGGCGGGTGTGTGTGATTGTAGATGCGTGGTTGCGAAAAACGTCACTCAAGTTGCCTCCTTCATGCAATGACCCTGGCTTGCTATGCTGGAAACTTCGTTGAGCTCGTTACAGGTCTTGAAGGAAGATGCTTCGAGCTCTCTATTCCTCTTCAACGACTTCGACGTATTCACCGCGGTCCGAGGCAGCTGTAGCCTTCCAGGTTCCAGGACTGTCTAGCTTGCCGCTCGACAGTCTCAACTTTTTAGGACTACTGACTGTCGACGATCTTCCTTCATGCTTCGGAAGCTCATCGATCACATCAGCGTCGAAGGCTCTCTCTTTGCCATCGAGAGGACTAGCGTCTTCGTCCACGTCATCTCCAAAGTCACTTCCTGTCGCTAACTGCAAGGGCGTGGAAGGCGGCTCAACCTTTGTGCTCGATGGTTCACGAGCTACTGACCCTAAACTTCCCGAGGTAGACTCGTTCGTGTCTCGTCGGCCTAATGGTCGCGCACTTGAAAGAGTTCTAGGCTGGGAGCTGAAAGCTCGTAGAGGTCGCGCACCAGCTGATGGAGGACCAGGTCCAGTCACATTCCTAGCAGAAGCTGCTGCAGCCAGAGGTCTGGCAGCAGAAGGACGGGAGTTTGTGCCCGGCGATTTGTTCGTAGTTGGTGGAGTCATCATACTGGTCAAAAGAGTCGCGGGAGTAGAGCTTGATCGAGATGGCGTCTGTGATCCGATATTGCTTGCAAAGTCGCTGACTGCAGAGCCAACACCAGAATCTCGAACTTTGCGCCAATTGCCCCATGCTGCAGCTGCTACCATAGCACGGGGACTTTGAGTCAAATTTACCAGACCCGAAGTCAGTGAGGCGGGAAGGTTGGCAGCCATGTTCGCTCCTGTAATAGCTCTTTCCTTCAATTGCTGCTCCATTTTAATTTGTGTCTTCAGTCTGATTGCGGCGTCTTTGACGGCAGCTTGGCTGTAATCTGGCTTCTCTAGAGTGGCGACAAGCTCTTGCAAATCGTCAATACGCACATCAAGCAGCTCTCGTAGCATGACAATTTCAGTATCGCGTTCTTTCACTTTAGCGGGTGCATCTTTGTCGATGGCCAGAAGTTGAGCTTCGAGCTTGTCGATTTTCTGTTCTCGATTTTGCAATTGATCTTGCAATACCAGTATCGTCTCGCGCAATGCTTGTGGGGAAATTTTCTCAGGTAGATCCATTCCCTTAGCTAATGAAAGACTAGCGCCGTGTGGAGGACTTGCGATAACACCCGGTGCTGGAGTTGGCAGGTTAACTCCCTTTGTGGCTGCAGCTACCGCAGCACGAGCAGCCTGATTTGCTATCTCGAGACGTTCCTCCAAGTTCCGAACTTTCGCTTCCAGGTGTTCTATCTTGTCGTTGCTGAGCTCAAGCTTTCCGATATATCTATCTTCAAGTATCTTGCGATCTTCAGCTGCATTGTTCATATCTCTGCTGTGCTGATTCCTCAATTGAACGAGCTTCTCTTCATGCAAAGCTAGCTTATGGTCTAGCTCGTCAGCGTGGTCCTTGTTAGCCTTTGCTACTGTGCGATTGTGGTTCTCGAACATCTGGCCGAGATTAGATTCGTGCCTAGCTTTGTCCTGCAGTAGCTCAATTGCGGCATTGTCAAGTTGTCCTTGGAGCCGTGCAATCCTAGCATCCTGATCTGACTGCAAATTTTGCAGAGCGTTTCTTGCGGCATCTAGTTCAGCTTGCAGAGTAGCAGTTCGAGAGGCAACGACTTCATCATCCTTCTCTTTACGGAACTCAAGCTCCCGTAGCGAGTGATGAGCGGCATCCTGATGCTTCTTGTTCTCAGTTTGCAGGCCGATAATGATAGCAGCAAGCCTTGTGACTTCTTCCTGGGCAGTCTCGTGTCGCGACCGGTACTGAAGGCTCTCTCTATGCTCCTTGTTCATTCTCTCAGCCTCAAGCTCCATTCTCGCACGTCTGTTTGTCTCGTGATCAAGGGAGGCCTGCAACAGCTGGTTCTTAGTCAGAAGGTCGTGCTCTCGTTTCCGCCATTCAGCTTCGTCATGATGAATGTCCTGCATGACAGCATTCATACGCTCCTGAAGACGAGTAGCTTGATCTCGAAGCACGTCTCGCGATTCCATCTGGTTCTTATGTTGTTGACGAGCATTCTGCAGTGCACAGGCGAGGTCATCATTACGACCTCGCTCAGTATTCAGCGTCTCCCTGAGCTGCTCAGTAGAGATTCGATATTCGTCCAGAGTCTCCTTGAGAGCCTCGTTGTTGAGGCGGATATTCCTCAATTCAGCATCCATACCACGGTATTCCTGCTTTTCTTGCACCGCGATTTCCAGACTCTTCTGCATTTGATCTAATGCTTCCTTTTGCAGAGCAGCTTGATCCCGAGCTTCGTTTAATTGACGTTGCAACGCCTCGTTCGCTTCCTCAGCCTCCCGTCTTAAGCAAACTTCACCGTTAGCTTGCTTCTCCGCAACTCTGAGCATTGCTTCAAGGTCGTTGACCTTTGTTTGCAGCTTTTGGGATGAGTCGTGGTCCTGCTCTGCGCGTGATCCTCTGAGTCGAGGATGTGATGCAATGACATCTTCGAGGAGAATTCTAAGCTCGTTCGGCTGCTCTTTATGCTTGTTTTCGGAGAGCACTTTGAGTTCAGCTAGACTTTGTTGAATTGCGGAAATATCAACTGCAGGAAGAACATACTGTTGTGAGGCCATCTGCTTGATTTCCGTCAAAGTTGCCTGCATTGATTGCAAGTCGAGCTGTGGTTCAGTAGCACGTTGTTGTGTCAAAACCTTTATCTCAGTGACTGCATGAGCAAGCTCGTCCAGACCGAGCTCATGTACCTGTGGCTGCTGCTGTGCGAGTGTTCTCAACTCAAGCAATATTTCTTGAATGCTACCAAGGTCGAGACTTGGCGGTTGTGGTTGGATTGTCGTTCTCTGTACGAGCTCTTTCACCTCACTTAACATTCCCTCAATGGACACGGCGCTGGGAAGCGGTGCTGCTGTCAAGCTGTGTGCAGCGGTCATTGCTTCCAGTACAGCAGCTTTGAGCCTTTCTTGACGACGATCATGCTTTCGAGGAGATTGTGACCTGTAATGGGAATAACCCTCGTAGGCATCGTAGTCATCCTCGTCATCAGCGTCGGAGTCCTTATTGTTGGTAGAAGCACTACGTCGACTATGTCTCGTCCTGTTGCTGACCTGTTGAACAGACGTCTGAATGCTCTGCAAAGCCCTCTCCAGAGGTGCGAGTCGACTCTCAAGAGTGTTGTCTACCAGATCGTAAACGTGGTCGTCAAAGAAGTGAGCACGCGCTTCAAGCTTTTCTTGCTGGCCCGGTGAAAGGGCAGCATTCCAATCACTCACGTCGCCATCACCTCCATAATTGAGTTGGTGCACACCTGAAATCTCGAAGCCAAGACCTCGAGGAGGCCTTACTGGGCTAAGGTTGAATGGTCCATCGAGTTTTCTGTTCGGACTTGGGCTCGGTGCATCACTCCGAAGTTGCTGGGGATGTCTCATGTCAATGAGTGGAGTTGGCTCAACAGGCGAATCCTCGCGTATCACGCCAAGATCTGGATTGTCTTCGAATTGTTTCATCACGGCGTTGATCTCGTCAAGAGACATGTCACCTTCGCGTGAGACCATGGAATTCGATCTCGAGTTCTCTTCTTTGTACTCCTCTAATGTGTCAATAACATCTTGTGAACCGTTCCTGGTGTCTATATGGCCGTCATTGGTTTCAGACATGGTAGATGTATGCTCAGCTACTCCTGTTACAACAGCCTGGTCATCACCAGAAACTTCAATTCCTGATTGTCCAAAAATTTCTTGTGGTGGTGAAGAGTTTCTGTTCACCATTCTCACCTCTTCCTCGCCTCTACCTTCCTCTCCTTTAGGTGCAGAACGTGGAGGAGAAGATGCGAATCTTGACGCCATCAATCCTGCCTTCTTAGGTATTGTTGCTGTTGATGCCGTTGGCACCACGACTGCTTGCAGTTTGGGGACAAATTCTTGTGCAGCAGGATTGACCTCGAATGGCAGGGCAGTTGCAGAGAGATTGAACTTCGACTCTCTAAGACCCGGCTGTGCTGTTTGTAAGACAGGAGCATCGGACGCACTTTTTAGTTCAGAGTCTACAGCCTTTGCAGCGGACGTTCTCCCATGGTCAATTTCGTGATCACTGACGACGTCTATAGCTGGTTCGGAATTCTGTTCACATTGTTCTGTGATCGTGGGAGACATCGCTTTGCCGAGTGGTGATGATTCGTAAACAGCCGCAGATGCCTCCTCCTCTGCCTCATTGCCATGGATAGGCAAAGATGCATCGATCACGCGTAACACCGATTCTTGACTCTCTTTCGCCACAGTGACATTCCCCATCGCAGTACTTGGCTCTCCGGTCGTCTGGCTTTCATCATGACCAGGTCCCTTAACTGGAGCACTATCGTCTTCTGTAGTCTGATGCTCAGGATCGCCTGCGGACGTTTCCCTGATGGCAGCGCCTGCTTTCTGATCATCCTCTGACACATCCTGAGCGGGGTTTCCAGATGACTTCTCGGGCTGAACCTCAGTATCAGAACTGGCTGTCAGTTTCGAGGCCTTTGCCACAGCCTCGCTGTCGCTAGCAGCTTCGACAGGCTCGGATACATCTTGAAGTACACTGTCAGTTTCAGAATCAGCTTCAGCTGTTTCGTCGGGTTGCACCACATCATCCGCAAGCACCTTTGGTTGCTCGAGATCCCCTTCGTTCGCTAAAGACGCAAAAGGTGCTGAATCAGCAAATGTCACCTCTTCGTCACTCTTGCCAAACGTTCTTGCCCTCTTTGCACGCTCAGTGGGTGCCTCAGCTCTGCCGTCTTCTCCAAAACGTTCTTCTACTTCCACCGCCGCACTGCCTTCCCTGGATCTTGGCTTCTCTGTGACCAAAGCCTTGTTTCTTCTCTCCGACTTCGAGGACGGGTCGACCATGACATCGCCAAAAAGTACACTACTATGTTGGCTGAGTTTCTCAGGTGTATAGTCTCCAGATGGCTTGAACTCTGGGGCCTCGACGTTGAAAGCGGTTGAGCCAAAGCTAAATGTTGACGTTTGGGACGACCTAGGATCGAAAGTCGACTTTGCAGGCGTGTTATGTTCGGACTTGTTACCAGCAGTGAAACTGAAGGTTGATGGTACCGAGTCAATTCTTTGGCCAGCAGATGGTGCGGATACTATCGCAGGAGGCTCGTGAGAGGCTGCGTCAACAGATCGTGTGGATGCAAGAGGTAAATTTTGCTCATGGCCGTTTAGCTTGGTCGCGACAGGTGCGAAGGAAGGTTCGAAGGCTGGAGCGTCGACGTTTAATCCCAGAGAAGAGGGATTGTGTTTGTGACCCGATTTCGGACCAGGGAGGCCAGATTTCCTGGGACTGGAACTTCGTGAATCAAATGCATTACCATCAAAGTCGAAGGGGTTGGCTGGGGTTGGGAAGGTTGGCTTGACTGGACTAAACTCCTTTGCCTGCACATTAAGCTTGCTTAAGGATGGTTGGGCAGAATGTCTATATGCTGAAGTCGTCGTCGTTGTCGCGGGAGACTGCCGAGGCAGGGGGAACTGGTGAAGGTTGGCGAATGGATTCTGATCGTCCAGCAGCATAGGAGTGCCTGCAATGCTTGGATTTGTTTCAATTTCGTCCTTCTCCTCGGAGTCTTTCAAAGTCTCTGGCCTATGCAATATTGGAAGCTCTTCCTGTGCTGCCTCTCCTTCAACCTCGCCTTCCTCTTGTTCTTCGTCAACTCGCTCTTCCTCATCAATATTCTCAGGTTTAGCATTCATAACCTTTGACAAGTCTGCAGCGGCTACAGTAACGGATTCGGTCACTCCCTTCTCAAGAGCGGCACTCAGGTTGTGGCGATGGCTGCGAGGAGTAGGCTGCATGATCTCAGGTGGCTCACGCTCAGGTGATGCGGGTTTGGGTGTAAGAGGTAACTGAGAAACCTGCTCGGTAGACATAGCGCGGTAGGGAAACATTGACATCTGCCTCTGATGGCTTGCCATTCGTGCCTGGGCATCTTGCTGCTGTCTTTGCGCGGGATGTATTTGAAAGCTTGGTGAGAATCCACGTCGAAAATCCTGCAGGGACGGGTGGACCGGCGAACGAAGATTTGCCATGCTCTGCATGTTCTGTACGTGGCCAGGGGTCCATGGTTGTCTCGGGGCGAATTGTCCATCAAGGGAGCGGAGGTTAGCTCCATACATGCCTTGTTGTGTTGTGGGAAGAGCAAAAGGTGATGCACTTCGATTACCCATTCCAGGAACAGCCATGGATTGATTGTAACCGTGCATAGGCCGGCCGCCGTCGAAACCGGGAGTACTTCTCTGGGGTAGACCCGGAAAGTTCATTCCTGGTGGGACACTCAACGAAGGAGAGAACGGGCTGTGTGACATTTGGGGTCGCATACTCGTGGCTGACATGGTTGGAACTGGGGGAGATGGGACAATGCCAGGATAGGTCGAGGAGACACGGCTCATTGTGGAGGAGAATGGCGACATAGTCGATGGTGGTGCTTCAGTGGTGCTCGGAGTAACACCAAGAGCACGCAGTTTCTCTTCCTTCAGGTAATCAACCCAGGCCAGCCACTCATCTTGATCGGGTATTTGGACACTAGCTGGATTGTTCCTGCGCTCATGTTCCATGTCAATAGGATCCGGAAAGGTAGACCTGCTAGCACTCCCAGTTTCTGAAACAGATAACGACCAACTGTCTAGAGTAAAGCCATGTACAGGATAACCTGCATCAATCCACTTTTGTAATCGCTCTTGTTTCTCCTGCGCTGTCAATATTGGAGGCAGACCAGCCTCGTCTCGATCAGTAGGCGGCATCGCGATCAGACAGGACTTTCCCTTCCAAGGCACCTTCTTCTTGAGTCGCTGAAATGATTGCACAGGCGGAGGAAGGTTCGGTCGGGGTTGGACTTGGTCTTCATCACTCTTTGCTGCGACGGCATCGGGGAGACTTGGAAGAGGCTTCTCCTCCGCTGAGACGGGCGAATTTGTTTGAGAAGTAGCCATTGTAAGTAGGTTGTTCTGTGCTTCCAGGTTGAGTTCTATGCTAGAAGTACCATTGAAGGTCTCTGGTGTAATAGTGTCAACGCTCTCTTGAATGTGATGGCTTCGGGCACTCAACGGTACAGACCGCCTCTTCCTATGCTGTCTCTGTGTAGGAGTCTGGGTCGTGGGACCGAACTCACTACCACTGTCTTCGGATTCACTAAGCCAATTCCGTCTCTGAGAGTTTCCTTGGGTCTCGATCGGAGTTGGGGACGTGGGCAGATCCGTAGGCTTGGTCGAATCTTGCGTCGGTAGTGATTGTTGTCGGAAGTGTTTCGAAGAAGGTAGATTGGGGTCTGATTTCCTCGAAGCTAATGGAGATACTTCAAGGTCGAAACTCCTGTTCCTGTTCACGCGGAGGGCAGGTGACTGGTTCGGGCTTGGTGTAGCGTACGGTGAACCCCAGACAGCTGCGTAATAGGCACTACTACCAGATCGGTTGTGTAATTGGTCTTCTGGTGATCGATCTAGTCGACTGCGCTGTTTCCTCGAGATAGGTAAAGGAGGTAACGTGAACGGAGATACCCAATCGTTGTCGTTGTCCTCAGTTGGATGGGACGGAAGGCCTGCTCCTTGTGACAGTGAAGACCGCTTGATAGGCCTCACTCGAATGCGTCTCCCTGTCGAAGTCGACACAGAGGGACTGGAGGGAGAAGTGAGGGTATCGGAAGTCATAAGATCGGAACCTTGAAGAAGCTGCAAGTCGGACTCCTGCTAAGATATTAATGTCGAATCGACACCATCGACGTGAATCTCGTGCTCGCTATCTTCGTGGACTAGCAGCGGCGCCATGAGATAGCAAAGACACGTCGTGGAACGGTATGAAATGAGTATGTTAGCTAACATTCAAAGGACGAGGACGATAACCACCAAAGTTCAGGGAAACAACGCGCAAAGAGCTAAAATTGCTGGCAACCACGAGGCTACTTGAACCGTCCAATAATGCTCGGCATGGTGTCGGGAGCTGGTCCTTTTTAGGCGGTAGTCTCGATGCAGTCTCCAGCACCTTTCAAGATGTGGAAGTGTAAACATTCTAAGAACTGTCTTTGCGTGCGAATTGCACCTTTGCAGAAGTCTTGAAAAAGTTAAGGAACACATACGGCTAGAGGCTGTTGCTCACTGTGCCCTTCGAAAACTGCTACTCTTCAAAATCCTGGAGGCACAATTGAGAGAGCTTCCAAGATCTGGGGTAGAGAGAGAAAGGGGACCAGGATCTTGCAAGCCCCGAACCTTAAATCTTAGAGCAGAAAGATTCTGGAATGCCGCATCCTTATTCTTCTTCGACCTCCGAACTGGTGCCCAATGTGAGGCAACCCTTCAAACAAGTTCTAACACGGTCGTCTTCAGACATATACCTAATCAACACTCTGGAAATGTCACTGATCCTCACCGCTGATTGTCCAACTGATCATGCAGCAAAGAGCAAGATTCACGACCAAACACTTCGCTACTACCTTGAAGCAAAGACGAAGCTGATTGTTTAAAATGGTATTCCTTCGCGCAGTATTGTCCAATTCTTCCAGCTTGAATCCTGCGCCAACTTCATCTCAGCGTTGATGATGCGTTTATCATACTCTACAGACTTGCGAATCTCGTGGATGCGTTGTCCTTCCGGCACAATGATGCCAGGCTCGACTCCCTCCTCCTCGATTGCCGCAATTCTTTCTGCCATGACAGCCATTATCGGCCCCTCCCAGACTCCCTCCTTGCCACACTTCTTCAGCTCAGAGATTGCTCTTCGTCTGGTACTAGGCTCCCTGCATTTCCATGCAATGAAGAACAGAGGGTGAACAACTCCGAGCTCCATGCTGAACGGTATAAATTCCTGGTCCAGAGGCGCGGCCTCTTTGAAGCAGAGAATCGTGGTTAGATTCTCAACCCTCTTGACCATTTCGTCAAATTCAGGCGTAAACTGATCGTAGGTGCTTTCAGGTCCACAATCTATGCATGTTCGCAGCATAATCATTGCAATTCTGACCTGCAGAACGAGTCCGAGTATGCTCTTGGAAGCCACAATGCCGTGATTTTGTAAGGTCACTGCATCTGATGGAATCGACAGTTCCAAAGCATCTAGCCAACCTTGAAACGTTGAAAGTGCATTGTCGCGTTTCTCAATCCATGTAGGCGATACTTGACCCGACCTCCAATATCGAAACATGCCGAGATCAGATTTCAAGAGTTGATAAACTGCCATGAGCAAGTTATCCAGGTACCGCCGCACTTCCAGCAAGCCGATGTCATTCGGTGGTACTGCTGAGAGTTCTATGCTCAATGCTTCGACTTTCGGTTTCGAGAAAGTGCACGCCTGAATATCGTACCGGGCAAATACACGCAACATTACATCCAAATCATCCTGCGGTGCCGATCTGACCAATGCATTTTTATCCTTTGACGACACAGGTTCTTCCATCTGACGTTGGCTGCGCTCGTGTATTTGTTTCATCAGCTGTCGCATTCCATTCTGGTAATGTATAACTGCTGCCATGTTGTTCCGTCGAAGAACCTCGAAGCAAGCAAAAAGAATGCTGGCTATAATGGCAAGATTGACTGTCTCGCCGGATACCGTGTCAAGCCTTCGATAGAGCTTTCCAATGGCCCGACCATACAGCGAGGCTGCGTTGTTGTAAGCAGGCGACGCGACTGCAGCTTGATCGTATTTGCCGTTACAGTCCTCGTATTCTTCGTGCAGATTTCCAAGAGCGATGAGTGCTTCTCGGATCACTTCCTCGGAAGCTGCTGCTCGAAGGACGAACTGGGTCCAGAACTCGGTCTCAGACCCTCCAGCAAAAACAGGGACTGTTCGAAGTTGAAATCGATGGAATGCTCGTCGTTCTTGAGTCGTGCCTTCGAAAGCCCTGTTGATCGACTGCACAGCCAGAGAAGGTACAGATACTTGATGTGCTTGTGGGCACCGACCATTAACTTCCACACTGTCTTGTGGCGATGCAGATGGTGGACCGTCGTCTGCCTTCACCTTGCTGATTACCTGCTCCTTAGCAGGTAGCTCGTACCCGTCGCATTTGCGGCCAGTAGAGGTACATCGTAGACCTGAAACAACGTCAACAGCCGTATAGACCAAGGGTATTGTAACCTACATGAAGGTCTTTCTTCGCCACACTTGACTTTTCTTACCTACGCAATTCTGGTTAGACAACGTCGACCATGTGGTTGCCATGCAGTACCGCATATGCACTAAACGAGAAGGAACGAAACAATGTGGACTTCGATTCGTCCCAGTACGAGAGTGGACAACCTTCAATGCAGGTACCGGTTGACAAAAGAACATGACTGCTAATGAGCCTACCCACCTTGCAAGTTTTACATCCAGTGCGCACTTTGGGCCGGCTGGCCCTTTTGCGTCTGATTGGTTGTGTCCTAATTTTATTGACATATTGGTTGGTCTGAGTGGCGGAAAGCACATCTGCGTACGTATATTGATGGTGGGGACGAGTGAGCAAGACATGCTGACCATATGGGTGGAAGGATGGGTACGACTGCTGGTTCTGAGGTGGCAAAGACCAGATTTGATTCTGCGAAGTGCCAGACATGGTCGGAGGAGCGGCTAGTCGAGATTCGCATGCGAGGTACGAGCTTGCCAACTCACACTCATTGAGCCGACACCATTAGAACGGCATATTCTCAAGATATTTGATACACTTTGTCGACCATGGTTGAAGGAGCATTAACGTATTTCTACGTCCGCCAACTAGGACAATGAGATAGAATGGTTTAGATAAGAGGATTCATGATTTCACACAAGGCGTTCTCTAGGTATGAGGTAGTAGGCAAGCCTACGACAAAAGTACAGCGCAAAGTTGTTGGAGAGTGGATATGGAGCTTGCGGCAAGACCGAGATTGGTTACACGATTACATCCTTTCCAGTCTTACAGACACTACTGACGGAATAGGCAGAAGGTATTCTGTGCCTTCGTTGTCATTCGCTACATCGAGTCAGGCCCCAAATTAGCTACTGTACAAAAGCACAATGTGTCCATGCTACCTCGACTTCTATTTCCAGCTAGAACCACATAGGATCGCGTTTTTGGCGGTACAAATCTATGCTCGCTATAATGCTCATCTGCTCGACCCAACTGGCTTGAAGATGGGTTGTACACAACGATCTGTACTCAGGCAAGGCATGCTATGTTCGTTATCGCCGAACACGTGGTTCGAAGAACAGCATTGCAGATCCAAGCATCGGATGGATCTCAGTTCAAAGATCAGAAATACCACGATGACCTTTTTTGAATTCCTGCTCTGGCGAATAGACCATCCTCTATAACAGATAGGTTGCTGGTTGAAGGTGAGAAAGTTAGGCGGGCACGAAGGCCTAGGAGAATGCGCTTCGAAGAATCATCTGGATGAACCGCCTTACAACGTCTCAGAGAATATTCGCCCTTCGCTTCAGCTACGAAAGATGGAGTTGTTGAGCGTGGACTGTCCTCTGATGCAATCGACGATTCAGGTCTCCGACGCGTCGCTCGTTGACAGTGATGGGGGTTGAGCGACACGCGTCAAAGACAAATCCCACAATTTGGGGAAGAGGAGTTAGTCTTTGAGCCAAACTCTACACAACAAAGTTGAGATAAACCATAAACTCCCACAGCCAAAATACTCTGGTGTGTCTGGCTGGAGGAGGTCTGAACAAGACCAGCTGGTATCCGTGGCTTGTCGTCACGCGTACAAATAAATGTATATATTCGAGAGGAATGAAAATCATCTGCTTCTACTGGTACAATGATCCAAGAACCAGAACATCTCTATATTGTCTCATCTGGTATAGAGTGGTTGATGCGAAGTCCTTGGGGCAATCATTGATAGGATGAATGTATCAGACAGGCACCCAAGTCCTCAAGGGGCACAGCCAGATCGAGGCAGGAACGTATGGACTCAGAACGTCATGAAAAAGTACTGTAAACGTAAACACGACCTTGGTCACGAAAGTTCTGGATCATCCACGCAGCGGAAGTGTGAGAAACGGAGTCGAACAATTCCAGATATTTGGCAACAGTAGCTCCGACATTGGGTCATAGATCTTCCGCATGTGACGCGGATGATCACAAGGTTCGTGGCTTTCGTTGAGTTAAGGCTATCAGGAAGTCAATCCAAAATTTGCGGAAACCGTTTCCGGAAATTGCGAGGTCGGCGTGGTAAAATGCACAACAACAAAGCGCCTGTTATCATAGAGCAATGGGTAGATCCAAAGACCATCAAGCATTATTCCAAGCTATAGAATGTACTCATCCAAGTGCTCGTCCAAATTATCATGCGTGACATCCTGCTCAACGCTGCATCACTACCTCGGTCGCTTTAACCTCGTTGTGTCTGAGACAACTCATTGGTGCGGAGGTACGAAGGTGCGGAGCTGGGACGTTTGCTCGTGGCATTTGTCAATGCTGTAGTTACAAAATGTAGATATCAAAGAAAATGCTTGCAAATGAGTGTCATAAAGATTTGTCCAAGTATCCATCAAGAAGCCGGGTCATTCATTGTTCCATGTGGAACATGCCTTCTTCTTCTAGGTGGTTGTTGTGCCGATCGTCGTGTTCGTTCTTATCGGACCTATAATTTCTTTCATCCGACAACTGTTGTGTCAACGAGGGAGGGTGTAGGCTGAAAGGGTTATGCATAGAGTCTAGCTTCGCAGACCTGCTGTAGGATTGGTATTGTTGTGGAAGTGGAGGTACAGGAGGAATGTCGTCAGATGTGGTAGGTCTTGGAGTTCCACTGAAGGTCAAGCCGGCTGCAGCTGCGGCAAGTAATCCATCGTCTGTGCCAGAAGTTGTCGGCCGAAAGTCAACTCCGCTAAGTCGTTGAGGAAACAAGTTTGGAGAGAAGGCAGATTCGACGTAGGAGGATGCTGCAGAGCGATAAGATCGTGAGAACCCTGCACTGCTAGCACTGTACCGTTTCAGATCAGGTGTATCATCTTCACTCATTGGTGGAGGTGTCGTCTCTACTGAGCTTGTGTCGTCGTGAACTTCAGATGATCCTGAGTAGACAGGGGAAGCTGAGGATGTTTCGCTTGGATCAATGTGAACAGTGTCTGGTTCAATGACCTCGACATTTCCATCCACAGTCATGTTGCAGAGGACCGAGGCAGCCTCAAGCAATTGAACCTGTTGATGCTTAGAAATGAGCAATTTCGAGGTCACTGCCCAAGCTGGATCGTGTTCCCACCTGACAAGGTTAGCAGTCTTCCTCTAGAGCAAATTGTCGCCGATGGACGACATACATGTGCTTCGTCAGGCAACTGCTGTGTTTGTATCCCTTGCCGCAGGTATCGCAGCGAAGCTCAGTCTTCTTAGAGCCGCCTTTTAGCAGATGCGAGCCTTCGCTAGCACGCCTGTTGCGGTTCTTGACAAAGTCCTGGTCTGCTTGTGTCTCTTCTTCGTCCATAGATACATCCTCGAATGTGTCCTGCTCGATTGAGCGAGCAGTGCTGCCAGGGCCGAGGTAGGAGTGCATGTTTGGCCTCGTGCTCATCGAGTGAGAGTCGGCATGTTTCTTTGATCCAATGCTTCGCCGGTGTGGCACCGACGTTGCAGTTGTTTCGCCATTCTCTCTCAGCGCAGCTGCAATAGCGGCTTGGGCTGTGCTAGAGGCCGACGCGTTGACGCTCTTCCGTCGATGGACACGATGGATGGTATTGGTAGCGGACAAGGACAAAGAGTTCGAGTGAGACCGGTGGGAAGAAGACATGCGAGCAAAGCCTGCAGAGACTGGTCTGGATACGGAGAGTTCCTGTTGGAGGCAGTCAATACGCTTTGTTTACTCAGCAACCAGGGCGGTATTGCTACTTTAGAAGAAGCCATAGTTGTGCGCAGCCAACGAGACTTGAGACTGGAAGTCTTTCCAAGCAATGTAAATTTCGAAGAGGGCAAGAATCGACGCTGGCAGGGAAGTTGAGCTGCAGACAACAAATCAGTGGGGAGACGTGTCCGGTCTGCAATCGTCGGACGAGAAGATGCAGATGTGACAAGCCGACGGGAACCCCAGTCAAGTGCTTGCAGAACAACAGAAACCAAGACTCGCAAAGAATTAAAAAGTTGCAGCAACAGAAAAGAAAAAAGTAGCAAGAGCAATGTTTCCAAAAGTCGCAGCTGATTGACCTGGTCACTAAAGTCAGAGGAATGTGGCTGTGGATCAGCAGCGTGTTGGCAGTAACTACTCGCAGTGCGTGGTGGATGTACACCCTGACAGAGGTGGGTTCACGGAGCATCAGATGTCTGCTGATCGATGCCGATGAGCTGCTCACAAGGCCCATCAAGCGCGCAAGCCTAGCTCCAGCTATCTTGCGGGGTCGTGCCTTGATTTAACAATTCTACCAATCGTTCACCATCAGCGTGTTCGCACCGGCAACAGTAAACAATGTCGTTTCCACGAACAAAGGAGAGCTGCACATAGACGCCTGGACCTTCCAAGTCAACTTTGAGTCGTAGTGGCTTGAGTTTCCGAAGGACAACCAGATAGCCGCCCTTACGATCGAAAACTCTATAGAGAGAAAGGTCAGGGGCTCATCCTGGACAACCGAGGAGTTCAAAGCGGCTGCCCTCGAGCAACCGGGTTATTGGTGCAATGCGATTCAGGAATAGGAAGCTGCATGCATAGAGCAGTCGTGCTTTTGGAGAGGTCCTGACTAAAAGATGTCTGGCCAAACTTGTATCTCCTCATCCTGAATCTGGCCAGGTCGAGGCTTTCGAGACAGCAGGTGCTTCATGTCCCTGACAGATAAGGGACAACTCTATCTAAATCGCCAGTCTCGAGTGCCGCGATGGACTCGTATCCTTCGTCAATGTTTGTAAACAAAAAGCCTGAACCATTTTTGAGCAAAGGCGTTCCAATATGGGAAGAGGGGAAGCCTGACTTTTAGCTGGAAACAGTTTAGGGCTGGCACGATTGCGCATCAGTGGCTGTTCGCTTGCGATATCGTGATAGGTCCACTGCCGCACTCTGTGGTTGTTAAACCTTGGGTGTCGTGCTTGTTGGATACTATGAAGCCTTCGCGTACGAAATGTACCATTGGAGTTTGTCAGGCGCATTGATTCGCACAACATTCAAAATGGTGCTGCAAGAGCAGAGGGGGTTTGCACCTCCTCATGTCAACACATCTCCACCTTCGGCACTGTCAGATGATGCCGAACTCTACTTTGAACCTATCCGTTTGCGTTTCAATCTCGATGCACAGCCGAATGCTGCTTTTGCGGTACCTGAATTACTCAAGTAGCGGAATGCTCCGCAGCCGGCATCCATGCGATAGTCTGTCAAGGCTGATTTGGCTGGAAACGTGGCCTTACCACAGGGTGAACAAAGTGAGGACTTTCACCAAGTTTCATATACTACAATACTTGTATTGCCAGTGGTCCACTAATGAAGCTATTCTTAGCGCATGGCGACTGAACAGCAACGTGCTTGCCGATCAACAATGCTCCTCCTGCTGTCTTAAAATCATTTTCGGTTCTCTACAAGCAAGGACGCTGATCGGCACACCATATTCTGGTGGTGCACTAATTATCGTTTGTTCTTGTGGGGTCAAACTTCCAGGTCTGTATGGCTGTGATTCATGTTTCGAACTCTCAAACTTCAGGCTCAGCTACACCTTAGAATGATCCTCTTTGACTCGCTCGAAGTGTTCAATATCTTCATGTCTTGTACAGCCCTTGTTAGCCAGCTGGGCGAGATGGTCTTCTAGGCGAGATTGCAAGATACGAACCATGTGTTTCCGACGAATAGGCGTCCACTAGTCCATCACATGTATACCATAGACTGCATCCGAGTCAGGTCGCTCAAAGACTTCGTTCGTCCAACTATGAAGGCGACTTCTTTCGAACGTCTTTGTTGAAGTGATAGAAATCCTAGGCGGCAAGATGGTATTTTGCCGTATCTTCGTCTTAGACAAGCGCTGGTATTTGGTTCCTATAGACACAGATATAGATTGTGGTCCCGAAAGAACTCAGTTCAGCGCATTGTCCTTGACCACTTCCAAACAAGTGCCAACGATATTGCACCAGAGGACAGATGAGACTGCCAAAGAACTTTTGGAGCCAATATCCCGATGCACAATGACCATTCCCAATTTGAGCACTCCGTAAGTGGTTTTGATAAGGAACCACAACCCATGAGGCTTGGCCCACCAGCACATAATCGGACTATTCAATAGAGCCCGTGCTAGCGGCCGGATCATAGTACGCGAGGCGTTGTGGTTCATGGCAACCAATCTGATGTTGGTCCCGGATGCCAAAAGCGAACAGCTCGTGCGTATCAATTTTTAGGACGTCGAAAGTTGTGAGAGAAGGGCTGGCTGAACGACTTCCGTCTATCGGGTACTAATGGTTGAGTCATGACGAGTATACCCATATACTGTCGACTTTTCACTATGTCACTAAATATCTGTTGATCTTTGGTAGCTCCATCTCCTCTTGCCAAAAACAGGCTTTGTTTCACATCCCTGTCATTTGTCGTGCGACCAGCTTGTTCCCAGCACAAAAAAACGTGTAACACACACCTAAACCCCGGCAATTTCCAAACTCATGGCTGAACCTGAATTGCAAACTCAGCAATCCTGGGCTGCATGGTTTTTAGATGCATATGCGAGCTCCGGCGTCACATCGCTCGAAGACGACCTCACCGACGATTCAGCTTATGAGTCCATGTCGCCAACAATGTCAGAAGCCAGTGCCCCCGAAACGTCGCCCTATGGCCCATATGTAAGGACAGGAAGAGGAGGTGCAGGCAATTTTACGTGGCAATCGCAGCAGCCAGCAGATCTCGAAGCCCAAAAACCATCAAGTTTGCGGGAGAAGAGAAAGGCCGCAATCAAGATCGATCACATTGACACTTCGATTGCTGTAAGAGATGCTCAAGCAAGAAAGACGTCCCAGTACGTGCGCGTAGGGAGGGGAGGTGCAGGAAATATGCCTTATGTCCAAAGCAACGAACCACAAGCTTCTCCTACATTTGCGACTCTCAAGTCGCCAACTTCTGCGAACAGCCCTGTCGTGTTTGCTGGAAGAGGAGGAGCAGGCAATTTTGGCGCAGTCAGGTCAGCAAGTGCTCAGACTTCATTAGAAAAAGAACGACGCGAACAGGCCGAGATGGAGAAAACACGCGAAAGAGCTGAGCTTGAAGTGCAACATACACTACAACTACCTTCACAAGCCTATACTCGTTCAAGACGAAGGAGCGCGATGCCTGACGATATCGAGAGTCCGGCCTGGCCCTGAAAATGTGTCGCAGCTGATGCACGACCCTGCAACAATTCAAGCGTCCATTCCACAGTCTTCTTGGGTGGCAGTGCGTGACTAGTCAGCACCTGATCATGCTTAGTCATATCGTACAACAGCTCAATCCTAATAAGCAGCACATACGAACCATTCAGGCACCACCTCCGGCCAGCACCCTTTCCTCATCGATTTATTCTTTCCCAGCTCACAAAATCGCGATTCAATACTACCAGCATCAATGATCATGGAAGCGATCGAGTTACCACGGACTGCAGATTCAATAGGGTTGACGTGGTGCTTTGGCACGCTGCAGGGTGCACGCACGAAGATAGAAGGAAGCCATACAGAAAGAGATCATTGCCTTTACTAGCATGCATGACCGAAACAAGAGCGAGATTTGTCGCCAAAAAGCACATGAGTCAGAGCGTCGGGCTGCAGAACAATATCAACGATGCTGTTTTAATGACAGGAAGCAAAATTGGCCTCGTTGCTAGAGTCATGGTTGGTCATCTACAATCAAGCTGAGACTTTGATTCGACCACTGCGAGCTCTATTGATCTGCCATTGTGCAAATGCACTGCTGCTATTGACGGGCATGCGAACCCGGAAACAGCTGCCAACCCTTCTCTTATGTTGCAGAAGCTTACAGCACAGTCTTCGAGCATCGGTCGTGTACTGTACGAATCGACCAGATGCCAATGCTAACGGAATCTTGGATGACGACAATGGCTGGAAATCTGGTTGCGAGCCGCTGGATTACATTCAGCACAACTATCTTTGTATGGTACGGATATTTGTGTAAACATGTCTACATCACTATTTAGTAATACTGATTGCACGATCAAGCTGAATATACACGTCCAGAAATTTAGAGGACGTGGAAGCTGGCAATTGTCTCCAACACCATCTCCAAATCTTACATCTTTGTGATAGGAGCTGACGTGACTTTCTTTTCCCAGAAGAAGCACTATCGCCTCTTCACCCAGTACTGACCAAAGGTCACAGTAAAGTTGTCAATTCATCGACTTCGAGCTAACCGGTCAGCCAAGCCAACGAAACCACATTATAGGCATATTGTTTTCCGTCAACATGACCTCTGTCCAAGATTCGGTACGTGCCACGTGGGAAGCACTCTTAGTTGAGGCTTCTTGATATGCTATACTGACCTGCCAGCTAATATTCCGCAACATCCTATCTCACCCTCCCACGGCCGCGATATGGTCTGACCGCAATCGAACTCAATACTACCTAGATTTCGAGGCAGGACTCGCCAGAGCTCAAGCACGCTTATCGATCATTCCTAGCGAGGCTGCGGAAGCTGTCGTTGCATCTTGTTCGAACGTCGATGACTTAATCGATTGGGAATTACTTGAGGTGCAAACCCAGAACATAGGATATCCTGTTCTTGGAGTCGTGAAGCAACTAGTAGCGAGGGTCAATGCTGGTAGTCCTGAAGGACAGAAATGGGGCGAATGGTCGCATTGGGGGTAAGTTCTTCTGAGTCTGCTGTCTCAACTGGCATGGCTTGATGCGACTCGATGTACGACTGTCTAGTCGATTCGGGTTGCTAGTATGTGATTGACAATCGCAGGGCGACTACACAAGACCTGACGGATACTGCGAGCATTTTGCAAATTCGAGATACGCTCAATATCATCGAAGACTTTCTTGACAGGATAATTGCGGCACTGAGGGGTTTGTCGATAAAGTATAAGACGACACCCATGCCTGCACGGTCAAACCTCCAGCAAGCCGTTCCCATCAGTGCTGGCTTCAAATTTGCGAGATTGCTTGCTACCTTCCTACGACATAAGGAGCGACTCTTCGAAGGCAGGAAGCGTGTGCTAGTGTTGCAATTTAGTGGCGCTGCAGGCACCCTGGCGACACTATCACCAGACGGCAGTGATGATATTGGACTGAAATGTCAAGAAGAGCTTGCGAAAGAGCTTGGACTTAGTGTTCCAGATATAGCCTGGCATACAGAACGCGATCGCATCGCCGAGTTTGGTCATCTATGCTCTTTACTCACCGGGACCTGTGCAAAATTTGCGTTAGACTTGAAGTTGGAGATGCAAATGGAGGTCAACGAAATGCGAGAGCCATACGCGCCGCACCGAGGCAGTAGCAGCACAATGCCACAGAAGAGAAATCCGATCTTCTCTGTCTACGTTACAGCAGAAGCAGCCACTGTCCGCCAACTGAGCGCAGCGTTGAGCGAGAGTATGGTCAGCGATCATGAGCGGGCTACTGGACCTTGGGAAATCGAGTGGATCGTTCTACCGCAGATTAGCACATTGACCAGTTCCTGCTTGAGACACACGCTCGAGAATCTCGAAGGTCTTGAGATCGACGAGGCCAACATGTTGAAAAACTTGAATCTGAGCAATGGAACAATAGTATCAGAAGCAGTCATGATGGGGCTTGGACCGAAAATAGGAAGACAAAGAGCCCATGATGTTGTGTATGACTTGTGTCGAGAGGCGGTTCTTTCTGAGAAGTCGTTATTGGACCTGCTCGATGCAAGCCAAAAGATTGATCTACCACGGTCAGAGCTTGCGAAAATGTGTGATCCCAAGAACTATCTTGGTCTGTCAGAGAGGATGACAGATAGGGTATTAGCCATGTGTAATGAGGCACAATCCCAGTCATGAAGCAAACTGGAACACTCTTGTTGCCTGGATTGTCGGGCATCAATGAGTTGGTCGATCGACACGGGAGCTGCGCTCGAAGCGCCACTCCGCACGGAGTCTGTTCATGCTCATCATGATTGTCCGAAGCTTACTAGCTGCCTTCACGCGACAGATATAGACACAACTGCGAAACTGTTCCGAATATGATGTGTATCTATGTGCACGTCTTCCTAGGGGAAATATCTGTTTCTCAGTCGACAATCCGTAGTCTCTGAGCCTGCTTTCTTCAGCGAGCACGAGCTACCGAGCATCAGGAAAGCACGATCTGAGATATGCCGGCACCGATTGTCACTGCTTCTTTGCAAGCTGCCACGATATCCTCCTGCTCCAATGTACTCGCACAGCTGACTCACGCTTACCAGCAGAAGGTGCGCACAATAAGCGCTAAGTCTGCCGGGTATTGACGTGAATAGGTTCCGTTCATGTTCGACGTAAAGGAGTTTCTGCGATTCGTGGTCATCAGCTTTATTACCGCGCCACCAAACTTCAAATGGCAGCAACTTCTTGAAAGGTCAGTAGATCTCAATTTCACAGAAGATACTGGCGCTAAAGTCAGCCCTAGAGCCTTTCCAGCATATGAGCGCGATCGAAGCCCGCCACTGCCTTTGACACGACCGGCCGAAGAAGGTGAAGAGGACGAAAAACATGACACAACACCTAGGCCAAGGAAGCTCAATATCAAGAATACTCTGACCAAATGGTTCATCGACTGCATAACAATGGGGTACGTCCTTCTACCACACTGGCCGTACGAGTGTTGATTATGGTCGTTCAGGGCTCTGCTGAATACTGTTGCGTTCATTCTCCTCATCGGTGTCCTCAAAGGCCAAGCGAAGGAACAGATTGCACAGAATATTAGAACGGTCAGTCTGGAGTCCCATGCAGGAATTGATACTGGAATTGCGAGCCTGCCGTCCTAGGTGCAGTACTGACTCGGACACAGGAGACCTTCCCTATCATCTTCAACAGCTACAAGATATGGCCGATAGCTTCGATCATCAGCTTCAGTTTCGTCCCTGCTGAGAAGCGTATTGTATTCCTTTCTTGCGTGGGCCTGCTTTGGGGAGTCTATATGTCCTTGATTGCGGCAAGCATATAGTCGAAACGCACACGATGTGCTCGGAACTCTGCCAGTGATCTGAAGTGCCAGGTCGCATAAGCGATTCCCAAACAGGTGATGAAATGCGACGTGAATGCTCGAACGGCGGGATCATTTTATCGTCGGTTAGTGACGGTCACCACCATATCAGACTAATCTGTGCCTGCATAGAGAATTGCTTCTTGTGCTCAAGCGCCAACAGAGGCTAACAGGACAAGAAGTGCGGCTTGCATATCGCATTACCGAGTACGAATCGAGAAAGAGAATCAAGCGATTGCGCACAATGGAATCTCAAGCCACATCAGTCGCGATGTCACCTTCCTCTCGCCTCAGTTGTTCTCGAAGACGCATAGAATATCAATCTTATCTTGGCATAGATAAATCCGTGTCCCATCATTGCTCAAGGAGCCATGGCGACGACCTAGACTCGAGCGAGTGGATGTGTAACTTCGAGATGGCGGACAAGACCTTCTCAGGAACCCGCCCAGTACCGCCGAAAAGCGAGCGAAAGGACCCAAGCAAGGCCAAGCAAGCTTCTTCGGCCTTGCCAAAGTTTGCCAATTTGTGGGAATCTACACGTGCCAAGCTCGGAACGCGACCGTTTTTGGTATAGTCCGATCTCGAGATGACACTCTCCGACGCCTGCTCACGCGACGCGACCGAGGTTTCCATGTTCTGATTGGTCCGGGCAGCCAGATTTCATAATTCACTATCTGTGTTACTTCATCAAGAGCACTAGACCCCAGATCACAGTATTGCTAGGTACGACATATCCACTGCATCTAGAGCCTTTGGTGTGGCACAGATCTCGCTGGACAGATACAGCAAGCTGGACGAGCGAATACATAAGGCGAGCTCGAGCGCATCAACATATTCTCAGCTCGTCACGTCCATATATAACCTCTTCTGTTATCACTGCGGCCATGCATACCCCGCACGCGACCAGTGAGGTCGTCGACATTGAGAAGAACGACCATGATGAGAAGATCGTCCCTGTCACCACCGTCACTGAAGATGGCGTTCAAACGGGCCAAGTCAAAGGTCTGCATAAAACGCTTCGCAACCGTCACATGCAGATGATTGCAATCGGTGAGTTATGAACTCGATGATTGCATTCTATCCAAGCTAACGATCCCTAGGTGGTTCTATCGGAGCTGGTCTCTTCGTTGGTTCAGGTGGTGCACTTCGCACAGGTGGTCCTGGTTCTCTCTTATTCGGTTTCATGATTACAGGTTTCATGTTGCTATGCACCATGCAAGCGCTTGGTGAACTTGCTGTCCTCTATCCTGTCAACGGTGCTTTCTTTACCTATACCTGTCGATTCGTCGATGAGTCTTGGGGCTTTGCTACTGGCTGGCAATATGGTGAGTCCCTCAGAAGGTCTATGTGAATGTGATCTGCGGAGAGCTAACAGATCGATCAGCTTTCGGATGGCTTATCGTCCTTCCTTTCGAGCTCGTCGCTGCCTCCATCACTATCGAATTCTGGAGAACAGATATACATATGGCTGTCTGGGTCACTGTCTTCCTCGTATTCTTGATCGTCATTCAATTCTTTGGCGTAAGAGGTTACGGAGAGGTTGAGTGCTTCCTTTCTGTCATCAAAATCCTTGCATGCTGTGGGTTCATTATCTTCGCCATCATCGTCAACTGCGGTGGTGTCCCGACTGACGACCGAGGATACATCGGTGCTCGCTACTGGCACGATCCTGGTGCATTCCGCAACGGTTTCAAAGGTTTCTGCAGTGTCTTTGTTGTCTCTGCATTTGCCTTCGGCGGTACAGAGATGGTTGGCCTTGCTGCTGCTGAAGCTGCGGAACCACATAAGAGCTTGCCTAGAGCTACCCGCCAGGTCTTTTGGCGTATCGCCTTCTTCTATATCGTTTCGCTCTTCCTTCTTGGTCTGATCCTTCCCTCCAACAACCCAGGGCTACTCGGTTCTTCAGGCGCAAATACCAAGGCTTCGCCCTTCGTCTTGGCTATCCGAGAGGCTGGTGTCACAGGTCTTCCGTCCGTGTTCAATGCGGTCATCACAATCTCAGTCATTAGTGTCGCAAACTCATGCGCATATGGCTCAACCCGGACAATGCAGGCTCTCGCTGGCCGAGGCATGGCACCGCGTTTCTTAGAGTATATTGACAACAAAGGCCGTCCGCTCTACTGTGTGATCATTCAACTTGCTTTCGGCTGCCTTGCCTACGTTGGTGAAGCAAAAGGTGCTAGCGGCAAGGTCTTCGGATGGCTTCTTGCCCTCACTGGCTTGTCCTTCCTCTTTGTCTGGGGTTCAATCTGTCTTGCTCACATCCGTTTCCGATCAGCATGGAAAGCCTCCGGCCACACTGTCGAGCAACTCCCATACCGCGCCGCCATGGGTGTCATCGGCTCATATATCGGTCTGAGCATAAACATCCTTGCGCTTGTCGCATCGTTCTATGTCTCCCTCTTCCCTGTGGGTGGCAAGCCTGATGCCGAAGGCTTCTTTTCCAGCTATCTTGCCGGCCCAGTCGCCTTGGCTTTCTACGTTGGATGGAAGATCAAGGATGGTATGCAGACGGGCAGGTGGAAGCTTTACCTCAGCACTAGCGAGATTGATGTTCACGCTGGGCTGAGGGAAGGAACGCTGGAGGGAAAGTACCACGATGGGGTTGATCAAAGACAGCCCTTCTGGAAGCGAGCTGTTCGAAGTCTATTCTAGATGTTGAGCGGATTGGCGTGATGAAGTAGAGAATTGCAGATAGAGAACGACGACAACTATACTGCTTTGAATGTTTTCCTCCCCAGCCGCGTATGATTCTGAGGGCCAACATGGTAGCCTACACTGCTGAATTCTCCTTGGTTGAGATCCAACTTGTGGTGCACATAATACATGAGGCCATATGATACTGGTTCAGTGTTTTCATGACATGACACCGGCCTTACGCTTGTAATTACAGAATCCGCCAGTGCTTTTTTGTTCAACCACGACACCTTCGTGTTCCTGACTACTCATACCGCCTACATCTACGATCTCGCATGTAGTACTGATGGCTCAATCGACCGAACCTTTCGGTATATTTACATCCTCCAGGTTGACCACATAGAATGCAGCAAATTATCAAAACTGATGTTGGTACGAATAAAATTGCCCAAGTGAATAAGCCTCCAAGAGCATTTTTATTCATCCACGCAGAATTCGTCTTTCAGCTAAAACTCATCCTCTATTTGCCACGCTTCTGGCTCACTGTGAACTCGATGTGGATATGGTTGTAGTCATAGGAGGATTAAATATATAGGCTGCTGGACGCTCTTGGTTTTGAGCAGGTACAATTTTATGAACTCTTTTGAACCAGATACCAGCTGTATACACGTGGTCCAAATCCAACTAACACAAAACTGAGGAAGAAAGTCGTCTTCTACACAGGATGGCCGTACTCAGCACTCAGACGTCTCCATCGAGGCTGCTGGCTTTGCCTGCCGAATTGACCTGTATGATCAGTGCCTTTATCATGACAGATCTTTCGTACAGGCACATCCCGGAGTATGCCACGCATGTGCAAAGACGAGTATCCTGGCACCGATGCAAGAAGTCGTTCGAGAAACTCAAGAAAGCTGTCAGTCTGATTTGGGTGAACAAGCGTTTCCGCGACCAGGCCATGCCGTTGCTCCAGAACAATCTGGTCGTGTATGTGAACATGATTGTGGCCAGAACGCATAGTGATCCTGCAAGGATGCCGAAGTTCCCACTCCTTGTTAGAGAACGGGCGACGAGGCTTTTCGACATTGAACACGCATGGCTTGGGGCTCGGACCTTTGTGACTTATTTTCAACCACTTCTGCATGAACTCCTAGCTCTAGAGCACCTTATCTGGATCGTTAAGCCTGACCCTCGACCTCTACCAAACATGGAAGATTTGGTTGATCTACTGCGCGGAGATAGGGATCAGTCCATCATGAGACGTTTACCGAAAAAGGATGACTATCGAGAAGCAAATGGTGCGCTACCACGTTGCGCCGTAACCACCAGGATGATCATCGGCGCAAAAATAACTGGCGACTATGTGGCTGGTGAGTACGAAACTGGTTACATAGACATCCTATATGTGAGTATGGCTTTACGTACCTCGCGACCACTGCTAACGCGTGAAATTTCGGATGCTGGAAGTCGATTCACACACTGGACGGCTTAAACAGCGCATGGTAAACTTGTCAGACCACGAGGATGACCCCGAATGGTATCCAGCCAAAGAAGTCTGTCTGATGGTTGAAAACGTCTGCTTTCCTGTGCTCTACCACATTCCAAGTGGTGATCGACGAGCTCTGGTTGGGATTTGGCCCTGGTTCGCCTCCCGTCGTGTGTATGCGGAGGCTGAAGAAGAATTTGGCAATTTGCTCTCCAGGGACCAAATTGGGGACAACCATGCAGTATCAGAACTCGACGATGAGGACGGCGAGGACAATGCGATTGTGACTGACATGGAGGATGACGAAGAGAATCATGAGGAGGAAAGTGAATATGGAGAGGAGGATGCAGAGCTAAGCACGTCAGTTCCCAAGCGAGTGCTCAGCCTAGCAGAACAAGTTGGAGATGACCTAGATGACGGAATCTTCCTCGAAAGAGCATTGCAGACGGCACAAAGGCTGTGAATGTAACTTACCCGACATGCATTCTGGCACGCAAGGCTTTGGTAAAGTTCTTGTCGCAGCTAGACCGTCCCTAAAACTTTTCACCCGTTACCGTTATCAACATTCACTGGAGAAAGGTACACGAAAAGAAGCACTTTGATACGTCAGAAAAGACCTGAATATGTGTTCTTCCCTTCCTCTTCAAAGCTTACACCGGCAAAAATAGAGTAGAGTGCAGCAGGTATGGAGCTGGTCGACAGTCCGGAGAACGCGAAAGCATGAAGGACGAAGGTAAATTGGACGGAGGAAGAACTCGAGCTTAGGATATCAAAGAACTGGATTGAGGGATTTGTCTCCTATACAGACATGGGCGAACCATCGGCCTCACCACTATTGACTGTCTTCCCTGTCTTCTTGATCTTCTCTAGTACTTGTTCGTAGGATAGGCTCTCATCGGTCGTAACGTCGGCTGTCTGTGTGTCGAGCGAAACGTCGTATGACTTGACACCTATGGATACTGATCAGTGACAGCAGAGTAGACCAAAGGAGGGTACTCACCATCAAGCTTCTTCAATACACGTTCCACAGCGCCTGAGCAACCGCTGCAGGTCATGGTCACGTTGAATCTGTACTTGTGCTCAGACATAGTGATTGCTAATGTTGAGACTGTCGGTAAGAATGTGGAAGAGTTTCTGATTCAATTTCGAGGTATTTGTTGGTTGAAATGTATGACTGGGAGGTATCGCGGAATTGACGACCGCGCGACAAAGAGGTTTGAAAGTCAGTCGCAGCTTTTCTGAATATACTGCTATTCCTTTGTTCTCAGGCGGTCAATAACAGACGACGATCTATATTCGAGATTTCATACGTCTCACACAATGACCGGCAAAGGTGACACTGAGCACATAATCCTTAATTTGTAAACCTGCTCATTAATCAAACGATGTTCCTGCGGTGAAGATTGGTGGGGCTGAATTGCAAGCCAGGATGCGCCTGCATCAGCCTGTAAGTGCCCACAATCCGGACAACGGCGCCACCAAAGAATGGTGCAATGAGGCACGTGAGCCTAGACCCTGACGCGCCTGGATATCGGTCAAAGACGAATGATCATTTCTCCTCATCCTTTCATCGGAACGTCAGAGTCAGCATGTTGACCATTGCTCTTTGGGTTCCGAGCAATTACTTCTTCATCGCTTTCAGCATCGATCTCTTTCTCACGCTGCATATATGGCTTCATGGCTTCGTCACCATTCTTTCCAGCTTTCTTCGCCACAAAGAAAGCTTGTCGCTTCTCGAGACCAATAGCTTCCCGTTTAATCTTTCGAGCCATGTGCCTCTCGAATCGCTCTTGGTCAAGCCTTGCGTGCTCTGCGGCTTGCGCTTTCAGTGAAGCTAGTTCCTTCTCCATGACTTCGACTTTGTAAACATCGGAACTGCTAGGGCCCGAGTCAGATGAATCCTCATTCTTCGATTGTCCGCCTGAAGTTTTGTGTCTCAGCAAGGCTTGTACTGCGGCATCTAGCATTGATTGCGGGATTGAAGAAGATATCATGGCGAGGTCGATCTCGTCCAATAACTCTTGCTGGCTTGACATAATCTGGGCCTGAAATGTGTAATCGGCAGGGATGGCTAATGATGCATCGTGATTGACCGAACTATTGAGTTCAAGACGTGGTTTGACGACATTCTGTATCGAATATCTTGGTCCATTTATTGCGAAACCATCGGGTTGCAAGAGATGTATGTTCGTAACAGATTGACCTGATAAGCCAGGCACATCACCAAGCTGGCGACGCTTTGGCACGTCCCAGAGAACTATCTTGCCAGAGTAGTGTCCGGTAAGCAGTCTTGTGCCGTCGTAGCTGATTGCAATGCATTGTGCTGGTCCTGTTTCAGCGCCCTGGTTGCTGGAGAATACATCTGTTGGGGTCAGTTGAAAGGCATTGCTGGCGATTCGCGCATCATTGTCAAGAATAGACGAGGCCGGGTTGCTTTGTTGTGTGAGAAGGTCAATTTGCTGCACGCCTCCTTCTTCCGTACCAAAGTATACAGCTCTATCCCCAGGCTCAAGAGTAGCACATTGTGGGGCTTGGGCTAGCAAGAAGGTCCGCAGTATCTGCTGATTTGCCAGGTTCCAGACGTAACACGTCCTGTCTTCTGAAGCTGAAACGACGAAAGTAGTGCTAACTTGGTGTGAATGACTCACCGCCAGTGCTCGAACAGCTGATCTGTGTTGAGAAAAGGTAGAAACAGGATCCTGCTTGGCTGTCGACGTCAAGAATGAGCTTTCCGCCTCCCCCATCGATACTAGGTTCTTTATTGACCAGACATGGACAGTCGAGTCCGGAGATGCGGACAAGATATGATTGCCATCCGAAGCTATCGCTAGAGATGTCACTTCCTCGATGTGCGATGCAGAAGATGTGGTAACTCTGCCCGTCGCAGTCTCCCATAGCATGAGCTTTCCATCTTGTGTACCCAAAACCAGTACTGCAGCTTCGGCGGCATAAGCTAAGCTCGAGATCTTCTGCGGAAGTGGGACCGTCGCTTCCTGGTTACTTTTGGCTCTGTTGTAGACATTGACGACAGCTTTCCCAACTTGTGCTGCGAAAATGTGGTTGTGGCTTATGGCCAGGCAATTTTGCGCGGATGAGCTTTTCTTGTAACCTTGTCGCAAAGCGAGTTGTGGTTGAAACTCATGCAAGAAGATGCCTACATCTTTCAAACTTGAGCTCAGGTGAACTGCAGGCGGCTTCACAGTCTCGGTAGCTGCTACGAAGCTCTCCGTTAACATTATACTTGCATACCTAAGTCGTCCCTCATGCAGAGGCCTCGACGCAAAAATCCTAGAAGTTGCCTACATAAAGTCGGATCCACTTATCTGCCCGGAAGAAGATCATATTGTTGCCTGAGGCTCTCAATGCATTCTTGGCGCAACATTACCGCACCTCCACAAACTTCGCACATCTCGCGGACGGTCCAACACATCGACAATTTTGCCCTTACACGCTTCCATACATTCGTCCAGATAAGATGTCGTCCTTCGAGCCAGTCGTAAGTTTGCACATACAGCGAGACCGACAAGAAAGAGACAGGATTTAACGTGGACTCAGGTTGTCATCGACGGCAAGGGCCACCTGTTGGGTCGTCTGGCTAGCACAGTCGCAAAGCAGCTTCTCAATGGCCAGAAGATCGTCGTTGTACGATGTGAAGCCCTCAACATCTCCGGCGAATTCTTCAGAGCAAAACGTACGTCCGCAGATCTTGAGCGAAGGATACGAGGAGATCGCGAAACGCTGTGGCAGACTGAATAAATACTAACAATATCGCTGTACAGTGAAGTACCATGCATACCTCCGAAAGATCACCAGATACAACCCAACACGAGGTGGTCCCTTCCATTTCCGAGCCCCATCACGAATCTTTTACAAGGCCGTCCGAGGCATGATGCCACACAAGACCGCTCGAGGTGCTGCAGCCATGGAGAGACTGAAGGTCTTTGAGGGTGTCCCACCTCCATACGACAAGAAGCAACGAATGGTCGTCCCACAAGCCTTGAGAGTACTCCGATTGAAGCCAGGTCGAAAATTCTGCACAGTTGGCCGCTTGTCGCACGAGGTCGGATGGAAATACCAAGACGTTGTTGCAAGGTACGAGCTTATCCTGCAGAATGGAGAGTGGACGAATATACTGACCAGTGTCATAGACTCGAGGAGAGAAGAAAAGCCAAGGGCGCCGCATACTACGAACGAAAGAAGACTCAACGACGACAACTCGCCGAGGCCAAGAAGACTTCCAGCGACGACAAGACTGCAAAGGCTCTCGCCGAACTTGGTTACTAAATTTGTTTTGCTGGCGTGGGATTTTCTGTGGAGTGATGCAAGATACGACATTAAGAGATATACCTTTTCAGTCCCTCACGCTCTGCTCGGAAGTGGTGGACTGGTGTGGCAGGGTTAGCATTACCTGATTCTAATCTCGTTGTGGATGGCTCTCTGTGAGACTGACGCTGAGACTACATGGCAGCTCATTCGAGGACCGAAAACTATGGCTGAATATGATAAGAGCTCTGACTAAGAGGCTGCGTCCTCAGAAGTCGAAATATAGCAGGAGCGGAACCTGCTCATGGTGATGCTTTCAAATGCACAAAACAATTCCGAATCTCGCAGTTTCTCCTTAAAGTGTGTCCTAACTGACTCGAGTCAGTCACTATTGAGGATCACTATTGACACAATGTTGTTCTTGTCTAGCACCTTCTCATGAGCAGCAACTAAATCTACTAATCTTTCTGTGTCGCTGACTTGTTCTAGACAATCGCGAGCATTACATCTAATCACACTTCTACTCCAGCAAGTCTAACACGACATGGATGATACACACAGTCATGCAGAAGCCGACAACTCCCTCGCGAAGTCAAAAACAGAGGCAGTCAATACCTCGGAGCAGACTTGATCTCGACTCACTCAAACTCTTTTCTCACATATCCTCTCAACCCATCACCACCTAACGTCCGCTCAACCTCCGCATCATACCCATCCTCTTTCTCTAACCACTCCCCACCGAGCCACAACCTCAAACAGCTATCCTCGGGTTTTCTCTGAGGACTCTCCATCGGCACTAACTTATAGAAGTTCTCGTCTAACCCGGTCGCTTCGCAATCACACAGCCCGCTCCTAACTTCAGGTCTCGGACAATGCCTTGCAATATCATGTTGATAGCCAATATCGCGAAAATACCACGCCTTGTCTTTGCCGCCTGCGAACAACGCAACTGATAGCGTATGCACGGGCGCATCACCGAAGCGCTCGTAGTAAAAGCCACCAACATCCTCGCTATCCAGCCACTCAAAGTATTTCATGTTTGCCTTACCACGGAAGAAATTGAGATCACCAATCTCGAAGTTGCTGAAGAATTGGCAATTATTATACTCGCCTCCATTGCCGTATGTATCGACCAGCCACTCTAGGTCCGCGTCTTCGTGGACCAAATCCGGGTACATGTCCATGAACTCTCTCGTTCTCCTCCACAGACTCGCAAAACTCCTCGCATCGTCAAGAATATTCATGTTGAAGCCATAGGCTATCTCGTTGTCTCGGAGGAAGCGGAACGGGTCGTAAGGAATATTGCAGAAGAAATGGACGTCAGGCTCAACGCGCCAATAATAGTCATATTCTGCCAGGGCTGGATGAAGATAGAAGAACCCGCTATTCCATCGACACATATTGCGGTAGGACAGTAAGTGCCCTTTCCCGACCCCAAGCGTCCCCAGATAGGCTAAGGAAGAGTGAAAACGACTGGTCGAAATATGTTCTGGGGGCAACCAATGCTGATTCGGTATAAGATGGTAAGAAGTCTCAGCAGAAGTGACATTCCTCGTCGCAGCCTATACGTAGTTATCAGCACCGCACTGCCATAGTCCTCAGTATCTACAGCAGAAGACCATAGGCAAACACAACACCTACCCTAAACTCCTCCGTAAACGCCCTCTCCGAGAAAAAAATCCATGGATACCGATACCTCCTATTCCACCGCCGCTCAAGCTGCCACATACTCTGCAAGATACCCTCAAGCTCCTCATTCCTCACAAGACTGATGATCGCCGCTTTCGGACGGTCGTTGAACCACTCTTGACCCGTCTCGTAATGGGTCATATCTGAATGCTCTGCGAGCCATCTTTCTGGATCGTGCTTTTTGTTGCGCTTTTTGGTTGGGAGGCCGGGAAGGGGTTGGAGGACACGTGGCTGAGCGGTGTCGTGGTGGGAGGTGAGGGAGTCTTGTGGGTTGGTGAAGGAGTGGAGGAGGTAGGAGGAGAGGATTAGACAGGTTGAGATGAGGGTCCATCGGAGAAGAGATTTGTGTTGATTGAGGCGAGGAGAGAATTTGAGGGATCTGGAGAGTTTTGACATTTTTGTGAGTTTTTTCGTGTGCGGTTGTTGTACTACTAGGTTGCCCAGCGAATAAGGTGAAAAAACAAAACACTGTAGGTATTAGTCGGGTGAAAGGTGCAGTGAAACCACCAAACATCTAAATCATGATGTTAGTAACTAAACACTTGGATAACACCGCCTCGTCATGCAAAGTCGTTGATTTTTGAAATGCTTGTGGCTTTGGAAATTGTGTTGAATATCACCCTCAGATGTCTTTAGCTGCATAAACTGATCTCTCATGTTGTTACAATCAATGCGCCCAGAAGCGGAGGATAATCACGTGGGTATTCGTAGATGCAAAAGTCGCTCTTAGGATGCCATCGCATCAGCGTCAACATGCTCATTACCCTCATCTGCCCTGTCCAAGACACCCAGGTATCGTGCATATGGCACAGTAACACGCTGCATGTCTCTGTGTTTGCCTATTGACGACCATTAGTACTTTCGAAACTTCAGCAATCGTGTCCAACTTACCGAGCAGCATCACGACATCACGAAGAAGATCTTTCCTTTCCCAACCACAAACAAGCCCAGATTCGTCCTCCCAATTCCTACCTTCTATTACATTCTTCTTCGCGGCAAGCGAATGTGCAGAAGGATCATCTTGTTCCACAATGCCACCGATCAGTGTCCTTAATAGCTCTTCCGCCTTCAATCTCAACCCTTCTGCGCCAAGCCGTTTCGCATACATTAGTAAGTACAATTTGAACTCGTCTTTCGAGCCCAACATTAACGCCGCTGCTATCCTATTCTCGAGATGTGCTATTGATACACTTGACTCAAAGCTTTCGTATCCTTCTCTCGAGAGCAAAACTTTGATTAGCCTTTGCAGGAAATATGCCCTGCCACGTAATAATGTTTCGGTGGTCGTGCGCCTCTCCATCCAAGGCATAACGCCGGCAGCAGGATTGACCTTCCCGCCGTCCTTTCTTTTCGCCGACATGACATCCACCACGCCAGAGTCTGTCGTGTTCCAATATTGGCTGCCGACTGCCCACCATACTTCCGAAAGTCGTTGCCAGCAGTACATCTGAGGTGCGTAGGCATAACCTTCGCCGTTTGACAACGTAATGATGATACGACCTTCGGAGTTGAGTCTTGCGTTAGTGATAGCTGGTGCGCCAGTTGGATGGGCTGCCAATGAGTAGATGGCTGCATCAAGCACAGGCGCCACTGAGACAGGTGGATGAGGAGATGACATAGTCTTCACGTTCCATACATAGCACATTCCGACTGCGTTAATACATAGAAGCCACGAGTCGTAGCATTCGAGGATGACAGGTTGTGCTTCCATGATAATGGCACTGTTCAATCTTCTGCCGAACGGCGTCCACAGGAATATAGATCCTGTTTCGTCCGCAGCTGCCCAGAAATCCTCATTCCCAGTGACCAGAAGGACATTACGTGGTAGAAAGTCCTGCCACATAGGTTGATTCTTTCGAAGTAAGCAGATCCGGCACGGCTCTCGATCTTGAGCCCTCCCAGTCAAGGACGCTGCAGGAGGGTTTCGTGCTTCAAAGACGTAATCTGCTCTCTGTCTCAAAGTGTCGTTACTCACATCTGTTGGGTTGCCCGAGTGATCATAACCTGCTACGACGTGCGTGCGTATTCTTGGTACAGACAAGCGTACTTGAGCTGTTGTCAGGCTAGGATTCAATACAGCTGGACGAATCCATTCTGGAGTCTGCTCTTGTCCTAGTTTCGGTGGTCGTACTTGAGCTGGCACAAGACCATCAGCGGCGTGCTCTACAAGAGGCACTCGACCATTCTGACTTGCGGCGTCGATGACTTTTTGAGTATAGCCTTCTTCTTCGCCCTCCATCTCTCCAAATTTCCGTTTCGTGCCAAGGAGCAGAGCTTGGATTCCGCCTTTCGGTAGACCATCGAATGGTTTCGACAAATCCAGTATCGACTTCGGGGCATCATCTGCTGTGGTTGCCGTAGCATTCGCATTTACCAGACGTGTCTGAGGAAGTGAGGATTCAGCACCACCGGATGAAGATATCAGTAAAGGCTTTATCCTTTTCTTTCCATCTTTTGTAATCTCGACTCTGTTTTTCAGCCGTTCCAATTTCTCCTGGTCCTTGTCAGCTTTTGCTGCTGCTCCGTCACCATTCACGATCGTCGAGGCACTTGCGCCATTTGCTTTGTTGTCATGCGTTCCATTGACTGTAGTGACAGTGCCGTTCGTTGCTGGTTGGGATGCATCGCCCATCAGAGCACCCATTCTTCCTTCTACATCCTTCCGCTCCCCTGCCTTGCTCATTTCCTCGAGCAGGACGGCGTCGGTGGTTTCGGGAAAACCCATTCCCTTCCTCGATGTCCCGAATTTGCTTAAAGAACGGTCATTCTCGGTTGTGTCCTTTACGTAGCCAAGCTCACCAGGCTCGAAACCAACAACAATGACGGTTCCATCGGCTGAGCTTACGAAGAGGGCGTCCCCAGCTGGACTCCATGCTATGTCGGTGATCGATTTGTTTACAACGTCCGCAGCTACGACGAGAGGACGAGGACTACTAGTTGTCCATATGCTCAAGCTCTTGTCGGCGCCTCCGCATGCAATCACTGTGGTGTGCTGATCATGTGCTCCTGGCGCTAATGGTTCGCCCACTTTGTAATGACTATATAGTCGGGGTGAGAATGCGCACACTTCTACTGGTGCTTCGTGACCGATCAGGGTTGTCTCGCCTCCCCAGGTCCCTCTTTCAATGATGGCAATCGCACTGACAGGGCCATTGACTGCATTGGCTGCAGCAATATGGGCACCGTCTGGACCCCAAGAGCATCGTCTGAAGTATGTAGTAAGAGGTGAGCTCACGAACGGTGCAGTGATAGTAGACTCAAGGATGAAATTTGAGACACAGTCTGTTGCTGTGGTGTTTTGACCAGGAGATGTGAATCGAAAGATCTTGATTGAGCGATCGTCGCTTGCCGTCGCGAAGTACTTATTGGCCGGGTCAAAGGTAACACCCTTGACATGACTAGAGTGAGATGTTATGGTTTTGAGTTTCTCGAATGTAAAGCCTGACCAGACCACCACTTTCGAGTCCAAGCCGACCGAAACTACGATGGTCCCGTCGTAGGACCAACCTATATCTTGAACATCGTTGTCATGGCCTATGAGTCTTCGGAAGAGGCGCCAATTCTCGACGGGAGGGGATTCACTTGAGCCTAGGAGAAGTTAGCCCTGTCTTTACCCTTGTATGAGATTACTTACCAAACGTCGCTTGCGGAGGAGGGGACGGGTCGTGGTTGTAGATGCACACTATGCGATCGTCTGCACCGGATGCCAGGAATTTTCCACCAGGAGAGAAGCGTACCGCATGAATCGTGCCGGAATGATAGCTCATAGACGCCAGTTGTCTAGGCTTATCATATTTCGTGTCTGTCACATTGTAGATCGCGTCTGTAGACCAGATCCTGACATAGCCATCCCCTGCACCTGTGACGAGGCGCTGGCCGTCGGGTGAGACATGGCAGCTGTATATCTCGTGCTCTTTCTTCTCGCCTGGGTGGATGAGCCATGTTGGCTTCACTATGCGCATGGCTACCGTCTGTAGCAACAGTCTTCGTGCATAGCGCGGAAAATCGCGTGTTCAGTTCGATTTCACCTTGCTGACTCGGGGCGTATGGGAGCGGTATTGCCTAGCGAAGGGTCCTGTCGCTTGTAAGGATCATTTCAGTGGAAGGGGTTCTGCGTGTTTGGATTCGTGAACAGGACCCAAGGGCCTATTGAAGCGCATGTGAAACGAGGACAGGATGGTTATTGCCTCAGGCAGTACCGGACCTCCTTCGGACTCGCTTAGGTATAGAGCTCTATTCTGTTGGTTTTCTACGCGCTACGAAGCGAACTTCACACGATCACGGCTTCGTGCTTGTAAGATCATTACTTGGAGAGTTGTTTTCTTCTCTTCATCTACTTCACGCCTTGTACTTCAGCAACTGCGTCCCAGACCTTTATGCCCTTCTCCCACAGCCGGTCCTCAACATCCTGCTCAGTCACTCCTTCTGCGTTGATATACCTATCGATCCTCCTTGCTCCCTCCTCGCCCGTTCTTTGCTTCGTTTTCCATGATTTACCCTCAAGGAACTCACCGAATGGCCGCAGGAATTCGTCCGCAGCCTTTCGATCAGATTCCTTAAATCCTGCCCGATAGCCACTTAACCACCAGATTGGGTTATCTGCAGCATGACATACACCAACCTCGGGCCTGAGGTATCTGTCCAAGCCTTTTGCTCGCCATGCTATGCGGTATCGCAGCACTTCCGGCACGTCTTTTGTGCCGTTGCTAGGTGCAAGTAAACACTTTGTCATTCCACGCAGCGCTGAATGAACCTGCATGTCAGCAACTATGCTTGCAAAGACATCGGTAAATCTCTGTTCCGCTCCCTTCTCACTCTCACTCGGAATGTCATAGATTTCGGTCAAGCTCAGGAGTTGATCAACTACGTGCTTGGGGTAATAGTTCTGTACTTGCGTTTTGAGCCCTGAGTATGTGCTCGGTGGGTTGATGAGTTTGTATAGCAGAGCTTCGTCCTTGACTTCGCCCAGCATAATGCGGACACCATGTTCGGCGAGCAGCGCTGCAAAGCTGCCATCGTGTATCGTTCTTAGCAAGTTGTCGGGCACAAAGTCTTCGTCTGTACTGGTGCGGAAAGTATGCATCTTCAATTTGGCTATCGCCGCAACAATATCTTTAGCTGGCACTGCCCGCAGTGCTGCTAGTCTGCCTTTTGGTGTGTCCGCTTTGATGCTCAGAACATTGATCAGCTCATACCACTGATCGGTCAGGATTGGGGCTGTTGCTGTGTTTGGTTGCACTGCAATTGCATTCGACCAGAAGTAAGCTTGTTTGATGATTCTCTTTTCCGCTGGCTGATAAGTATCGTAGTATAGCTGCATCCAGGTAGAATGCGAACCTGCTGACAAACCACCCACAGTGATTAGGTCTCGATTGCCATGAAAATGACCGATATTGGCATAAATCCACTCGAGAGCAGCTCTTTGATCCCAAAGACCATAGTTGCCAGGTGCCGGCTCCTCAGGCTCTGCTTCTTGCAACTCTTTCCCAGCCAGAAATCCAAAAATGTTGAGTCGATACGTCGGAGCGACGATGATGCGTGGTGTAGAATTAGCTAGCAGATCGAAAGGATCGTAACTGTTCGTTTGATTGGCATCACCTATCTGAAGCCAGCCTCCATGAATAAAGACCTGGACTGGCCAGCCGCTTTCCGGGGGGGTGCCTGCTGGCACCCATATATTGAGATACAGGCAGTCCTCTGCCTGGGCGTTCTCGATTTCTGGAGCTGCTGCTGGATCGTCGATTAGGGCAGCGCCCATGTTGTAAACTGGCTGAGGACATATTGGTCCAAAAGAACTGTAATCACCTGGCTCTCCAGACTCCAAGGAGAATGAGAAGGTCTGAGGTAATGGCTGTGGTCTCCGCCATCTCAAGTTTCCAGTTGGTGGGAGAGCATATGGTATCTTAGCATATCGTTGTAGGACTGGCTTGCCGTGAAGATCTTTCTGTTCAATACCCTTCAATTTACCTCTGCTTGTTTCCAGTATGTACTCGTTCACAGTCGATTGCGTTGCCCCCATCCTGCTACGTGTCTAGTCTGATCCTCCTCTACTGGTGGTGGGAGGGTTTACAGCAAGGACTCCCACGGACTCAAATTTTAGCTGTGGTTTTGCATAGTCATCTCGAGATAGATCACCGCGGCCCGCTATTATCTACCCTTCTCATGCGGAGAGACCACCAACAAGGCTTTTCTTCGATCCTCCCTCCGCGCCGTTGAGCTCAGTAAGTCCACCATTAGGGATGCACAATGAAGCCGAGGCTCCAGTCAGAAATTTGTACGATTTCACGTTCTTCCATAACCTCCCTCAGTTTGCAACACAAATCACCGCCACTCACAACGAGCACGTTGCATGTCTGAGCAACGTCTTTCAAATGATGGGCACGACTTCTCACCGTGTCAGGCCTACGGACGTCAAGTTGTTGAGCTTGTGTGCTCCATCGTACCACGTTGCCAACCTATTCGGATTGCTGACGTGATCAGTTGACTTTTAAGGCTTGCCACCTAGCGAATAGGTTCAGTACGAACTTGAAACCTGCAGACGTCAAACCCTCATTGTCGGTAAAGACACATCGAAAACACGAGTCATTCAGGTTCATCGACGCTGTAGTGGCTGACGACGAAATGAACGTCTTGCCTGACAACCAAGTTCCGCCATAAGAAACTCTTTTACCAGGAAGTCCGAAGTATTAGATCCACATTGAATCTCGATCTATCGCGTATTGCTTCTGACAGCATGCCCTTGTTCTCGTTTCCTCTCAGTGCCAGCCTTCTGGTTGTGGTTCTTGCGTTAGGAGTCATTATCCGAGCTCACTTCAAAGCTAGAAAGTACAACCATCTTGTATGGAGCGGCACATCAAGCAGAACAGCATTCGGCCTGCTATATGCTAGGGTTCGCAACACGATCTACATGAGACAGAATTATCAGAGTGCTGTCGATAATGTAAGAAAATACCTACTCCTTCCAGAAGCTCATCACAAACATTCGCGGTGAACTTTTGCTCCACTGAACACAAGGCTGGTTTGTGCACTAGTAAGAAGGCCATGGCTTACACTGTTATAGTATCCCTCGAAAGGTCAAGCTTGCTTCATGCCCGACGTCCTGAAAGACACTATCATCCTCCCAGCCGAGGAACTCGAATGGGTGAGCGACCAACCAGACGACACTTTGAACCTACCTTTACACCTCAACGACAGCCTCGAGATCCCCACACGCTCACCGACCCATACATTGTTCAACGTCATGAGCCCCATCACAAAGGAATTTCGCGCGATCTTACACGTCGGCTCGGAGACTTGACACAGGACATTTTCGACGAACTATCCACGAGCATCGACGAGGAGTGGGGCAAACATACCGGTCAATGGACGGAAATCAACCCATACACAACGATGCTCAAGGTTGTCTTCCGTACAGGCAATCGTATCTTCATAGGCCCGAAATTGTGCAGAAATCAAGAGTTCATGGAAGAAACCCTCGGTTTTGCAAATTCAGTTGTGCCAAATGCCATCCTAATTCGACAATTGCCCAGGTTTCTACGTCCATCGATGATACCACTGATAACTATGAAGAACAAACGCCATCGAAGACGAGTTACAGAAATAATTATGCCTGAGGTACTCGCGCGTCAAGCGATGATCAGGGGCGACTCGGAACAGAAACTCAATTCGAAACCCAACGACTTTCTGCAATGGTTGACCGAAGCTGCAGAGTTATCAGAAAGAGATCGTGATCGAGTTCCGAAGGTGATCTGCGGCAGACTGAAAGTGGTCAATTTCGCTGCCATCCACACCACAACAATCACGTCCACGAACGTAATCTTCGATCTCATTTCGTCGCCCTCTTCTCAGGATGTTATCGATATACTTCGGCGAGAGGCAGCTAATGCCTTCGCTACCAACAACAACACATGGACGAAACAAGGGATAAACCAGATGTCAAAGATAGACAGCCCACTCAAAGAATCCTTCCGCCTCGGATCCCTATCAGCATACGGCCTCCTTCGAGCAGTCGTCAAAAAAGGTGGCATCACTACACCCCACAGCAATACATACCTCCCAGAAGGCGCAACAGTAGGAATCGCCGCACAAGCTATCCATCACGACCCCGAAATCTACCCTGAGCCGAATGAATATCGTCCCTTCCCCTTTGCAGAGTTGCGTGCCGAAGCTACCGCGAAGCTGGAGGGTGGCACAGCTGGAATACTCAAGGCTGCGAACCTTGCTTTTCCGAGCGTGTCGCCTACATTTCAGGCCTTTGGTTTTGGTAAACATGCTTGTCTGGGCAGGTTTTTTGCAGCCAGTATGCTTAAGCTGCTGCTTGCCTACATCGTGCAGCATTATGAATTTCAGATGTTAAAGAGGAGACCTGATAGGACGTGGATTGGGCCGAATATCATTTGTCCTATGGACCTGACTGTCAGAGTGAAGAGGCGGAGGTTGTCGTGATTTGCTTCACAGTGAGGGACCTCCGATGGGCGCACTCACTGCCACAATACCTCTGCCATCGTACTTGCCGGTGCCAAATTCTTCCTCGTTTTCATATTCACTGCCATTACCCACGACGACCCATTCAAGTCGTTCGAAGTACTATCGCATCCTTATGCAACTTTACACGCTACCAATTGCCTGTGAAACCCCAAGCTATCTCGCCGATCTAAGAGTGACCGAGAAAGTGACTGTTTCCACTACAGTGCTTTCACAAGCTGTGCTTCGCATATTTCCGTCTTTTGGAAAAGAGTTTGTAAGCAGCATCTGAGTAACTTGGAAGTGAAAGCGGCCTTGTATCGTGCCAATGCTGGCCCCATCGTGCACAACGATATATTCCCTCTCCCTAGTCGAAGTCCACCTGGGCTGACTGTAACCATGCACGGACGTCGCCTTCGCAGCGTCATTTGTTTTTGAAGGTGGAATCGAGAAACTGACCTATACAGCATCATCTTCAGCTCACTTTTGAGTGCCATCAAATGATCTTCCATATTGGGAACTCAGCCCTATCTGTAGTTGTGGTGGCAGATAGAATCTTCACTTGCTCGAATATGTAGTAACATGCCAGTCGTGGTCGAGTGAACACTCTGTTTACCCCACAACCAATAACACATGTGTTGGTTCAAACAAAATTTAGTCAACAATGAAAGGACTTGAGTTGTTGACGCAAAAACACACCACAACAAATGTGGCGTAACTGTAGGGTGCTGGACTGACATTAATTCATATCAGTTTACGAAAGATCTTCCTTTGGGGAGCAGCTCGAGGATTCACCACCTCTTAGAGGGCTTAAAAGCGCAACAAGAATCTCGAAAATGGTCCTTTCCCCTACGACTTCAACAACAAGAAAAGCCGCATCAAAACGGCGTCGTAGGTTTTTTGCCATTTCGAAGTCGGGGATCGCGGATTCAAATCGAGTGGTGGTATGAATTTAATTTTGTTTTTTTTTGGTCGCTGAATTTCGTTCCGGTAGGTGTGCAGAGAGACTTTTGTGATTTCATAATTTGTTCTACGCTCACGAACCCTAGTAGTGGTTTGTGGTCAAATTGCCAATCGACAACAGTTCCACATTCATATACTTGTAATTCCAGGATACCACGCTCTTCCGATCCTTTGCATCTCCGACTTGAATTTCTTACTGGTAATTTCCGCGCTCTTCCCTAACGCATGCATGGTCTGTGTGGGTGTCCGCATTTCTGGCGTGTAGAACGGGTTCATCAACAAGGCGATATACGCGTTTTGTATGGCTCGGAAAGCAGGCTTAAGGTCTGAGTCTCGCAGTCCAAGGACAGGCGGTAGATTCCTAGCTTGTGGATTCGACGTAATCTCAGCAGATGGTCGACCCATCATATCAATCGTTATTATGAACTTAATGCCGGTGTTCGTGAGCCAGCCATACGTAGCCAGTCGCTCATCTACTGCATGTAATAGTCCCAGATCTTGGTCCACCATCTTGTTCTTCAATCGAATGTCGAAGATGTCCAGGCTCGAATTGAGCAGGAATTGCATCTCAAGCTCTTCATGCTCGCGAGGAGGAAAGAGTGAGATATGGAGAGGATTGTCATATTGGCCGACTATACCTATGCAGGCAATAGCAGGTGTCGAGCCCAATGCCATCGAGCATTCAAGAGGAAGTTTGATTGAAGTTGAGGACGAATCGCAAGCGCGATCACTCTGAGGGAAAGGTGCACCAATCGGAGAAACATGGAAGGAGCTGACTCGTTCCTTCTGTGAATGTGGAGTAGTCAGGGAAGGTGAATTCGATCATCGACTCTTGAAACAAAGATCGCAGTGACGACCCTATATACACCTCGCGACTATTAGTCCTTCTCTCCTCTCCTCATACGCCTTCACCACAAGCATTGACAGTTACCTACAAGATGATGTCTCTTTCACGTCAATTTGCTCCTCGAGCGCTACGGGGTACGCACAATCGAGCTATCGCCACATCCATGTCCTGAGAACTAACGAGCAGCAGCAACCACATCTGTTCAATCTTCGATAGTCCGAGCTGCGCCAGCCGCATACATATCCTCTACGACCAGAAAGCCGGCCTCTGAAGTAGTCCCTACCACAAATAACGATGGAGGTCGGTTACCAGTAACTGGTGGGCTTAGACGAGAGGTTCCCCTCCCATCGCAAGAAGTCAAGAAAGGCGCTATGCAGTATGCTCTCACAACATTCGATCAGATTGCCAATTGGGCGCGACAAGGCTCGTTATGGCCCATGACCTTCGGTCTGGCCTGCTGCGCTGTAGAGATGATGCACTTGTCTACACCACGATACGATCAGGATCGAATTGGTATTATTTTCAGAGCTTCGCCACGGCAAAGTGATGTGATGATCGTGGCAGGCACATTGACGAACAAGATGGCGCCAGCATTAAGACAAGTTTACGATCAGATGCCGGAGCCAAGATGGGTGGTATCTATGGGTAGCTGTGCCAATGGTGGCGGCTATTACCATTACAGCTACAGTGTGACAAGAGGTTGTGACAGAATTGTCCCAGTCGATATCTACGTACCTGGATGTCCACCAACCGCTGAAGCATTGATGTATGGCATGTTCCAGCTGCAGAAAAAGAGTAAGTTTACTACCTCTCCACCTACTCAGACCAAATTCTAACAAAACTACAGTGCGACACACCAGAATCACCAGAATGTGGTACAGGAAGTAATTTGAACCAGCATATTTCTTTTGTACTCTTCTCTACGTTCGAGCATTTGAATTAGCACGGCACAATAGATGTGCCTATGACACTTTATGTACAGATCTTGTCAAGCAGACAACCACTGCTGCTTGTTTCCGACTCTAGCCCTAGGATTACGACTCGAGTAGAGCCTTTTTCAATAGAAAGCATTTACTCAATCATTGGACTCCGTGCCTGCGGCCATCCGTGTTGTGCCTGCCTCTGAACCTTGCTCCATTGCCGATCACGGCTTTTGCTGTATTCTGTTAACGGAGACGATATAGGTATCTATTTTAAAGACACTCTAAGATTGTAATACCACAGCAGCGCAACTTCGACCACTCATCCCACGCGGATGTGACCATTACCCTGAACAGCTTCTTCCTCTCCAGACGAGCTGTCGTTGAATTCCTCTTCGTCCATCAGACTTTCATCGTCTGCCATACCACCCAATCTCTCATCTTCTCCTCCAGGAACTGATGCTCTGCGTTTCGGATGACGACTCAAATGACCCCAGACGCTCATGGCTGCAGCTGAGAATCCATGTACCATAATTGACCCAAGCACGATGAAACTGACGACCGGCCAGAGAGCCTGTATGGCTTCAAGATGTGGACCACTCGTCGGAGGATGTGGATCGGGAGTCGAACTGTCATTCTCGAGTTGACCACGAGCTTCCATTGCTAAGAACATTGCTCCCACACCCATGGGGCCGAAGTGGCCTGCGAAAAAGGCCTCGCTCCATGTCTTTGTTTCTGGCAGAATTCTCTTCAGTGCCAGTATAGAAGGTATTCGTCTGAATAGCAGTATCAGGACAGTGCAAGCTAAGAGACGCCATCCGTTCAGATTGTCAACGTACTTAGTCCAGGGAATGATTGTACCGAAGTAAACGAACATAGATGAGTTGAGCAGAAGATCAATGATGCTGGGTAGCTTCATGCGCTGCGTCTTCTCGTGAAACCATCCGTCCCAACAGAAGGCAGTACCTGAGGAGAACGCGACGAGGAAGTCATCGAGGCCAAAAGTGCTTCCTACTCCCACAGAGAAGATTGCAAGCAGGAAGTAGAAGACGAACAATGTTGATTCTTGCGTGTATCCTTGACTCTCACTGTAGCGAAGTGACCTGTTTGCAACGACACCAATTGTGGCTCCGAGGACGATGCCTAACGTGCATTGCCATAGTATAACGTCCAGGAAAAATTGTTTGGACCAGTCTGCCCAGGTCTTTTGCGTGACAAAGAGTACCGCGGCGTAGAGGAAAGGAAAAGCTGTTCCATCGTTGCAACCAGATTCGGCAGCAAGAATGTGCCGCAGCCGTTTCGGCACCCTCATTGAGAATTTTGCTTCTCCCAACACGCTAGCTGACAAGACAGGATCCGTAGGCGTGAGTGTAGCGGCGATGATGAATGCGGTAGTCCATTGTAAACTGAGAACAAGCTTCAAAATGACAGCTGACACACACCATCCGAAGATCATGTTCGGTCCTAGTAGCACGGCAATTCCCTTCCAGTGTTTCTTGACATACGCACTAGGTAAGTCAAGGCCAACAGCAAACACCTGCACGCCAGTAATGACTCTCGCCATCTCCTGCGTGATATTGTCTTGAAACCGCCATTCTGCTGATCCGAAAATATCAACGGCAAGAGGTCCGAATGCTATTCCCGACAACGTTGCCAACGGGGGTTCCGAAAGATGTAATCTGTTGCGTATGAGTTCCGAGAATAATGCATATAGGATCAAAAAGAATGATAGAACGAGGTAGGTTAGGTGAGTCCCGGATGGCTCGAGGTCGGGTATTGAACCCATTGTTTTTCTTTTAAGAATGTCAAGTCGCAATTTTACAGAGTTAACCTGAAACGAATGATTAACAACGATAAATTGGTGGTGTAGGTTGGAGCTGTGTGAAGTCGTGTTGATAGATTTACTGTACTCTATTCGAGCAACACGGCTCATGGCGCCGTCCTACTACTCTACTCATCGGCATGAATTATTGACTTTTGCTGTCGTCATCAGATAGCTTTATCGTAACTTGACAGGCCGATCTATCGGGAGCCTCTGCTATCAATTGTGGCTAGTGTATACAGTAATTATACGAACGATCAAGCCACGTCTTGGTCGCGTGCTGGCAGATCATTTGAAGTGTCGCTCTGACAGTGACTTTTTTATGAATCAATGCCTGAGGCATCAGCGCCTTTCCACGAGGAAGTGCCAACATTTCTTTGATAAAGACATTGTTTAGCCTGGAAAAGTAAAATTACTGGGTACTCATCTTCTCGCTCTTTGGATGAAGAGTCATCTTGAGAGACAATATGTACTGCAAGTGGTTAGGTATCGAAGTACTATCAATCAAGAACTATCGTAGATTGATTCTATACAGTATTGCGTAGCCGTCCTCTTTGCAGTTCTAGACGGTCGCGAAGCAACCTGTAGGAAGTAGCCAAGTGCGGTCGGCAAGTAGTGTTGAGTATTGGCCGCTGACCGGTCTTTGAGACGAGGTCCATTCGTCCTACAAGTTGGTCAGACCAGATGACATATTTCCCAGCTCAAACACCTGTAGGTGGAGGTGAGTGATTTGCTGCCCAAGCTGATCTCATGACAAGACACATTTGTACTTTGTAGAGTGAGTTCACTTGACATTCTTGCTGGCTTACAGTAGAGTGGGGTAGAGGATAATGCAGTCCACAAAGACAAAAGGAGGGCCGCATGAGGGTGGAAGTCTGCTCAAAGGTCAAAAGGCGGAACTGAGGAAGCGCCTGTTGAATGGTAGTGTTCACGTGGGGGCGAAATCAGGCACTGGTTATGCTTTCTGAAACCGGGAGACAACGAAGCAGTACAGGAATTAATCAAAGCTCAGCTTCCCCTGAACGGAAACCGTTGATTGCACTTGTCCAGCTCAGTAGTTGAGTGAGGCCACTTCGAGAATGAAGGACTTTGAGTACCGTGCCTGGTAACAAGATCAGCAGGCCTGGCCATATTCCCAAGATCGACTCACCGATGTGTGGTGGAAACAGGTGAACCAAAGATGAGCAGTTGGGCTAGAATTCGGTAGCGCCAAGAAACAGATTTTGCCTGGTGACTGCCGCTCAACTTTGTGACCCACGCCTTTCGCAGGTCCCGTTTTAGGTGCAGTCCGTGACCGCCTAAGTTACCTTAGTCAGTGGCTTGCAACTCTGCTTCTGCACCCAACCTCTTCTCTACTACCTTCCCTCTTATCTCATACCTCAACATCCCTGACGTCCGTCGTTTGTGCAGCTTGTCGGGCTTGTTCAGATCGAGTGATTGTGCTCGACTGCAAGTTCGTGGCCTGCTGGAAATTAGAGACTGAGTGCATTGTTGGACTGGTATGTGAAGCACCAATTGAAGCCGCAGCCCACTACGAGTAACTCACACCGTCACTGTTGCAAACAACGACAACTACGATCTCGACCACGCTTTGTCACCTGCAAACTCTATTGTGCACTCTCTTGTTGGGGTTTCTTTTTGTAACCTGTTCAGACTGGTCTAACTTTAAACCCGACAGTAGGCCGAACCGATTAAGAATCACGACCCTTTCACGACTTCTCCTCCTTGAACCTCGAAGAATCACGGGCTACATCGTCCTACTACCATTATCCTACAATTCTACGCTACTGAAGTAGCTTTGCACCGACAAGATGACCACCATGGTGTGTTCTAGTCTACACGGAGAAGTAAACACGACTAACAATATGCAGGATCTCCGCGTTGGGAACAAGTATCGAATAGGCCGTAAAATCGGCAGCGGCTCTTTCGGAGATATTTACCTAGGCACCAATATCATTTCTGGAGAAGAGATTGCCATCAAACTTGAGTCCGTCAAGGCCAAACACCCTCAGCTAGAATATGAGGCACGAGTCTACAAATCCCTGGCTGGCGGTGTAGGCATTCCTTTCGTCCGCTGGTTCGGGACCGAGTGTGACTACAATGCTATGGTCTTGGACTTGCTTGGACCTTCCCTCGAAGATCTCTTCAACTTCTGCAACCGAAAGTTCTCCTTGAAGACTGTCCTCCTCCTGGCCGACCAGCTCATTTCTCGAATCGAGTACATCCATGCCAAGTCCTTCATCCACCGAGATATCAAGCCAGACAACTTCCTCATGGGTATCGGCAAGAGAGGAAATCAGGTCAACGTGATTGATTTTGGTTTGGCCAAGAAATACCGAGACCCCAAGACACACTTCCACATCCCATACAGAGAGAACAAGAACTTGACTGGTACTGCTAGATACGCCAGCATTAACACGCACTTGGGTGTTGAGCAATCTCGTCGAGACGATATGGAATCCTTGGGCTATGTCATGCTCTACTTTTGTCGAGGCTCTCTACCATGGCAAGGTCTCAAAGCTGCCACCAAGAAACAGAAGTACGATAGAATCATGGAGAAGAAGATGACAACTCCCACCGAGGTCTTGTGCCGAGGCTTTCCTAACGAGTTCGCCATTTACCTCAACTACACCAGATCTCTTCGCTTCGACGACAAGCCAGACTACTCTTATCTACGGAAGATCTTCCGAGATCTCTTTGTCCGAGAATCCTTCCAGTACGACTACGTTTTCGACTGGACTGTCTACAAGTACCAGAAGAATGCTCAAGCTATTGCTCAGGCTGCTGGAAACCAAGGTCAAGAAGACGACGAGAGCAAGCCAAGACGATCCAATCAAGCCACTGGTGCTCCAACTCCTCAGCACACCTCCGCTGCTGGCAAGCCAACCGCCGTCAATAACTCTCGACGCAAGGTGATGGAACGAGGTGCTGGCGACAACACTGGTAGTGATAGGATGTGAGTCTGAATCCCAAGGTTCCGAGTAAGGAATTTCCTCCCTCTGCGTTGTGCTTTATGTGATGCGTAGAGGTTTCGACATATCTCAGACTAACCATCTTGGTATTTTCAGGCTTCGATCCAACACTAGGATGACTGGTGATTCTGGCTATCGATGAATTCGGAATATGTGAGCTTAATGCTCTACAATCCTCTTTTTGTTAGGAGAAGACCGAGACGTCAACTCCGACGATACACTTCATCTGGCGGATCCGGCGCGGGGTCTGTCTCTAGCACATGGACAGATCCGGATTTGCGGCTCTTCGAAGACTATCCATACAACCAAATTCCTAGCTCACTCAAATCAAGACCTCTCAATACGGCTTGAGTATGAGTGACTCACGACTTTGATGAATTATTCTGGACACGAAGCAGCCAACAACACATGGGACATCATTCGGGAACTGGTGGAGTGGCACGAGCGCAGGGCACTGCCACTTCCGTACAGCTCGAATTTCTTTTTGCAAATACGTAATCCAGCAAAAACAGCCTTTGACGGCATTCACATCCTTAACACAACTTTGCAGTATGATTGTGCGGCATCTTTGATTACCACGAACGCAACCATCTCAGCTACTACGCGGTGTAACGAAAGATTCAGAATGAAGAAGACGGGTCTCGGAACGAAACCAGCTTCGCATATGTTCTTAGTGCTCCCGTCCCAGGAAGACTCCTGGGACGTATTAAGCTGAATACGTTGCCTAGTGAGTCAAAGGAAGGAAGATATTGGTAGGGGCAGCTTCCGAGGAGGAGAGATAGAAGAATACCTGTAGTGACGAGAAATTGGTAAGAGCTTCGAGCGGTAACACGCATGGGAGCTATTACCTGTCGAACTATCACAATAATATCAATGTGCCCAAAAACTTGCAACTTCAATGTGTGGTCCACAGGTTATACTCCCCATCTTGCCTTGAACGCCATCATTCCCAGAATAGCATCAATAGCGCTGCATAATCTGGGGATCCTTGCTTCGTGCTCGAGCATCCGCAAACCTAATTCACGTGCATAGAAATTCAAGTTTGTTTTGCCGTCAGAAAGGTTGACCGTACTTTGTACAGAGCGAAAGTGAGGAGGTTGGCTTGTACCTCCCCACAGCCAGAGTGTACTCCTGTTACACCTCTTCCAACGTCTTGAATAACTCGCCGTGTGTCAGATGGTTATTCATTGTTCGCGTATTGAAACTTGTATTTCCAAATATCATTGAGCTTGTTTTGATCTTTTTCCTAAGTAACCTCGGAGAGAAAGTTGACTTAGCAGAGCACAAGTTTTACACCTATAGTCTGAAGCTGACTGTAGTGTCTCGACCTTGGTTGCTTAACAATTTTGAAGCTCCACGACACAATCATTGCACCTTCTTCCAGACACCGGACAGTATCCTCACATCATGGTTGAGCTTCGCAAAAGACCACCACCAAAAGAGCCTCTAGACCCAGCTCCTGCAGCGAAGAAGAGCAGAGCCAAACCAGCAGCAAAGCAAGAATCTGTAGCTAACAAGGCGAAAGCGGCAGTGGCTAAGGTTAAAGATGCTGTTACAGGCTCTGGCAAGGCAGACACTGCTAACGATCAGTCAACAGCTACTGCAGACGAGGCGCTTGTCGAAACTGGCGAGACTGGAATGATCCCAGAAACAGCAGGGACGGCACCAAGCACGACTACTGTTCCCGCCGAAGTCCCAGCTCCTACTGAGGCAGTGCCCAGTGCTACTACAGGCAAAGGACGTGGTCGTGGAAAGAAGCCTGCAGCCCAAGGAGTTGCGTCTACTCAAGCTGCAGCCTTCACTGAGCCTACTGCGACCAGCACTGAAGCACAGCAACCACAGGACAATGCTCAAACATCTGGTCTAGGCTCTAGCATTGCTCAAACTGAACCTGCCACAGCAATGGCCCTTGACACACCAGCCTCTACCACAGCCAAGCCAGCCCCAGAAACCGAAGACCGACCCCCCACAACCGACGAACTCGAAAACCCTCCCGAAAAAGGCGCCGTCGAACCAGCCACAACCTCCACTACCGCCTCCTCCTCAACCATCGAAACAGCCACCCTCCCCCTCTCCGCCATCAGCGTCGGCAAACAAATCCCCTCCCTCTCCACCTTCGGCGGCCACATCGAAACTCACACCGGCACCAAAGTCTCCGTCTCCGACCTCCTCTCCGGACTGTCCAGCGGCGGCATCATAATCTTCACCTACCCCCGCGCCAGCACCCCCGGCTGCACAACCCAAGTCTGTTCCTTCCGCGACAACCACGACGCCTTCACCGCCTCATCCGGCTACAAGATCTACGGGCTCAGCACGGACAGCACGAAGGCGAACATGGGGTTCGCGACGAAGCAAAACTTGCAGTATGAGTTGTTGTGTGATCCGGCGGCGGGGCTGACGGGGGCGCTGGGGATGAAGAAGGCCGGGAATGCGAAGGGGACGTTGAGGGGGGTGGTGGTTATTGATGGGGCGGGGGTGGTGAAGGTGTGGTTTCAGGGTGGGCCAGGGAAGACGGTTGATGTTGTGAGGGAGTATTTGGAGACGTTGAATTAAAATAACTAGGTAGCAGAGAGGGACAGAACTGATGGAACGCGGGTCGAGATGCTGGAGAGTATTTTCGATCATGTGTGACAAAGTGTCAGGACTAGGGCAAGTAAGCAGAATGGGATTTACGAGCATCCAGTGGCTGGGTGAGATTCTGCATAGCTCTTTAGGCGTCGAGGGGGAACCATGTCTGGTATTGAGTGGGAGAAGTGCTACATAATATGGTTGTACAGCTCAAAAAACGACTTTGCCAACCAATGCTAAATTCTGCTACGTTTTCGCTGTCCCACATCATACAGTTGCTCGACACAGGAAACGAGCGAGTTGAGCATACAGGATGGAGTTTGTTGGTGTGCTTCCCATGCTTTTAAAATGTCCTATCTGTTGGTCGTACTATCGAAACCTTCCAGCATAGTCTCTGTTGGATTCGACTGCTCGCCCTTCAGCGTGGCATCGACAATTCTCTGACCTATATCATTTGGATTCGAGTTCGATCCGGAAGTGTTGTTGGAAGAGCTGCGTTGCCTATTTTGTCTTTGTGATTCATTTATCTTGCCGTATACTGCCATGGCCTGCGCAATCATTCCACCCATATCACCGACGTTACCTGGGACAACAACTGCGGTGCCCTCCTTGGCGAGATTGGCAAAGGCACTTACGTACTGCTCAGCAACGCGCAGCGAAATGGCCTGAGAAGCATTTCCATCTCTTCGAATAGAGTCAGCGACGGCATCGATACCGCCAGCAGTCGCATTGGCCTTTAGGCGAATAGCTTCCGCCTCACCATTTGCGCTATTGATTTGTTCCGTCATCAAAGCCTCAGAAGCAAGGATGACACTCTGCTTGCGACCTTCAGCAATATTGATGGCACTCTGCCTCTGACCTTCTGACTCCAGAATCTCGGCTCGTTTCGAACGTTCTGCAGTGACTTGTCTGTGCATGGCCTTGACTACCTCTTCTGGCGCGTGAATGTCTCTGATCTCATATCTTAGGCATTTAACGCCCCAATCCTGCGCTGCTTCGTTGATGGCTTGGGTTATGTTTGCGTTCAGGTTGGCTCTCTCTTTCAATACGTGGTCAAGTGTTAGCTGACCGATCTCGCTACGCATTGTGGTTTGCGCAAGCTGAGAGATTGCATACTCTGCATCCTCAACGCCATAAGAAGCACGGTAGGCATCGAAGACTCGTGTATAGAGAATACCATCAAGTTCGAGGGTGACGTTATCGGCTGTGATGGCAGATTGCGAAGGTATCTCAAGGGCAGTTTCCTTTAGTGATTGTACATAGGCTATTCTCTACACTGTGTTAGTTTAGTTCCTGTAAGGGCAAAGTGGCAGATTGACGCACGTCAACAGCAGGTATCAGGACCGCCAGACCTGGGTCTAATATTCTGCTGAACTTTCCAAATCTCTCGACCACCCATGCCTGTTGCTGTGGCACAAACTTGACAATCGTATTGGTCGGTAGCCGCTGGGATCGTTGGAAATATGATGATGGACCTCCACTCGATGCTGAGCTGCCACCAAAACTAAGAGGTGGTGGTAGTGAGAGGCTTTGTCCCGAAGAGAAGTGCTTCTTGACTTGTGCTGCAGCAGGCAACGTAACACTACTGGCTGGTAATCGCGAGGAAGTTAGTACTCTGCTGCTCGCACTCCTTACGAAGCTCCGGGATATAGTTGAAGCTTCCATCTTATAGCGTGGTAATTTCCAGTCGACAGAGCAACAGCGCTGGCAGAGAACAGTTCATATGCAATATGGAAGGCGCATCTCACATACCTCAGCACTTGCCGCTACCAAAGAAATAGTTCTTGCCTTTTGTTGCCTGGCGTGGCTCGGATCGCTCCAAATTGAGCTTACACAGGGATGAGGACTAACTTCCTGGGAGAAATTTTGACCCCTCGGAATATGCTGTACTATGCTTCAAGACGGCCACTCCATCATCCGTATCAGGTCAGCAGGTTGCCATGCTGAATAAATCTGATCTACAGTGCGAGTAGGTCATGCCGCGAACTTTATGCTTAAAGCATTATAACGTGTCGAGAAAATATCTCAGGAACGCTTTGCTGGAAGCAAAGACATTCTACACAAAGTAAGGGGCACGATGTCGTGTCATCATTCTCGAGTCAACCGACTCGCTGGCAATTCACGTATACCAGGTGACTGACTTGGCTCCGTGCAAATTCGGAACCTGACCCGCCACCTAGAGAACCACTGTTTTTAATCTTGCCTTCCTTCACCATGCAGCGTCTCAATACTCTCGACCTAGCCCTGAGGCCAATCTCACGATGCAGCTCTTCGACGATGCCGATGAAGACGATTACTACAATCTAGGCACCTATTGCCGTCGAATAAACACATCCAGCAAGGCGGCTCAGACATGGTTCGATCGTGGGCTTCTATGGACCTACGGCTTCAACCATGAAGCTGCCGTCGAATGTTTCGAGAAAGCAATCTCGCACGACGATACATGTGCAATGGCATATTGGGGATTAGCATACGCTCTAGGACCAAATTACAACAAGCCGTGGGAAGTCTACGATAAGGTCGACTTGGAGAAGACGTTGAGAAGGACCCATGATGCGGCGGCCAAAGCAAAGCACTTTGCGAAGGACGATATTGAGAAAGCCTTGACCCGTGCTATCCAGTACCGCTACTTGAAAGGTACTGCCACCGAACCGCCCCATGAGTGGAACAAGCTCTACTGTGATGCAATGGAATCAGTATACAGAAAGTATGGTAGTGACCTGGATGTTGTAACCTTTTATGCCGATGCGCTGATGAATTTGACTCCCTGGAAAATGTGGGACATTCATACCGGGAAACCAAACCCCAAGGCTCGCACTATGGAAGCAAAAGCTGTCCTTGACAAAGTCTTCGAGCAGAAAGGAGGGCTTGAACATCCGGGTTCTCTCCATCTTTACATTCACTTGATGGAGATGTCACCCAGACCGGAGCATGCCCTCCCAGTAGCCGATCGTCTTCGAAATTTATGTCCAGACATTGGCCACCTTCAGCACATGCCTACTCACCTCGACGTCCTCTGTGGTGACTGGAGACGTGCTATAGCTTCAAATTCCGATGCCATCGTTGCGGACAACAAGTTTGTTGCTCGAGCTGGCGCAGTCAATTTCTACACACTCTACCGCTGTCACGACATGCACTTCCGCCTCTACGCCGCCATGTTCGCAGGACAGTCGAAAGTCGCAATGCAAACCGCTGTCGAACTAACAGCCGCAGTCCCAGAAGATCTTCTCCGGATCGAATCCCCACCAATGGCAGACTGGCTCGAAGGCTTCGTCGCGATGCAAACACATGCTCTAATACGCTTCGGCAAATGGCAGCAGATCATCGAACTCGCACTTCCCGAGGATCAGGATCTCTACTGCTTCACCACAGCCATGATCCACTATGCTAAGGGGGTCGCATATTCAGCCACGGGGAAGATCCTAGAAGCCGAACATGCACGCTCCGACTTCCTCGCAGCCGTACCTCGCGTCAAACACTCCCGCGCCGTCTTCAACAATTCCTCTCACGACATCCTCGCAATCGCACTATCCATGCTCGAAGGTGAATTCGAGTACCGCAAACAGAACTACGAAGTAGCATTTACACACCTCCGTCACGCCGTACATCTCGACGACTCTCTGCCATATTGTGAACCCTGGGGTTGGCTGCAGCCTACACGCCACGCTCTAGGCGCACTTCTACTCGAGCAGAATCACGTCGATGAGGCGAGTAAAGTCTACGCTGCCGATCTAGGGCTGGATGATTCGCTCCCGAGACCTTTGCAGCACCCGAATAATGTTTGGGCTTTGCATGGATACCACGAATGCCTGAGGAGGTTGGGAAGAGAAGATGAGGCGAAGATAATAGGAAAGCAGTTACAGATGGCTGTGGCGAGTGCGGATGTTAAGGTTGGAAGCAGTTGTTTTTGTCGCGGTGTTACAAAGCAATAGACGCATCTAGGAGTTTTAACAACAGGAGAACAGGATAGACTTCAATTTGGGTGTTCAGGTCATAGACATGGCGTTTCGTACACCGATTTGAGCATACGTATTTAGCATTCTTGCCCTCTCTCAATATTACTCTTCACTTCTCAACTTTCAGAAGCTCATTCAATGCACCACTCAAACCCTCCACCGCGTCACTCATCTTCTTCAGAAAAGGATCCTTCTCGCCCGTTGCCAATTCATGCACCGACTTCCCCTTCTCCAACGTCTCAAGCAAATCCCTGAACTTCTGAATCCTATTCCTAATGTTCTCAAGCGTTTCACTCATTGACTCCGCCGCCTTCTCGATAGCTCCATCATCCTTCCCTAAGCTATTCATCTCACAAAGCTTTCCGACCCGAGCAGCCGAGTTCGTGAATGTTTCTAGGAGACGGCGAATTTGTGGCTTTGAGTAGTCTATGAACAGCTTCATGGTGTCGTTGTAATGTAATTCCCCAAAAGCTAATGAAAGGTGGATGTGAAGGAAGTGGATTTCGGCCACCAAGGCCTTCTCGAAGGTTGGGAAGGTGGTGGTTGGTTGGGTGTTAAGGGCCTGGTAGTCGCGGAGGCGTTCGAGGATTTCTGGGTCGAGGATCATGTTCGCGGGTTGTGTGAGGACGTGGAAGTGTATTATAGAAGGGAGGTTCGTACTTGATTGAAAAGATACACAATCTTTAGGGGAAGATTGGACGGTGAAGTGATAATTGATCAACAAGCACAAAAGTATTTGCTGCTGGTCTGCTTTTATGCCACTATCAGATTTAGCTATTAGATAGAAGGTTAGCAAGTGCGTTGCCATTGTTGAACATCACTATGTTAGCAACCCTGACTTTCACTCGATAGGACATACAATGTTCGTTGCCCGGAAATGCTCGTGGGAACTATCACTTTGATGGAAGAGTGATAGAGAATCGCAGGGATGAGCAGGGAAGATTTCATGGCAGGTATAGGGTGAATCTAGCAGATACCAGACGTCGAACATGAAGTAACTTCTGTAGTCGTTGACTGACCTTCCATGTCTCGAGTAGGATTTTCCTGGATGTAGTGGGTAAGCAACGAACCCCGACGATGTGCGGCAAAATTTGTACAACATGCTGTTATCTAAAACAAGAATCTGCTGTAGCAAAGCGCAGGTTGCAGAGAATTGATAGTTTCACAGCTGTGGCTCAACCACTAACGACTTGAACACGAATTGGTATGCTGTACATGCCTGGAATGCCTGACCTGAATACAACCTCGAAACGTTGAGTGAGGTCTGGCCAGGTTCCGCTAGCTCAATCGCAAAATGCTAAAATTCTTGGTACTGACCCTTCACTCGTCCTTACAGCACATGGCCAACTTGCCCTCACGCGTCGGTGACAGCCCAAAAGATATCGAGCTCATACACTGCTTTCCGTTCGAAGGTCCAATATATGATGCCGCTCAAGAGTTCTGGAAAGCGTTGAAAGCCTTGTAAGTATAGCCAATGAAAGGCAAGCTCATCTCTGCGTCCTGCTCGGGTGCAGTTTGACGCGCCTGAGCTCGGTGAATGGCAGAAGTGTCCTCTTGAGGAATTTCATCGATAGGGAAATAGCTAACATCAATGTTGGATGTCAGCTTGGGCTCAAAGGGAGCTCTTATCTTCCTTAATTGATCCCAAACCACACCTCTGAAGAATGGATGTCGCTTAATCTGTGAGGCACCGTCGTGGGCACCACCTTCTTTACCGATTCGATCGTTCGCGTCGCACAAGAATCTTGAGCATTGTTAGTACTTATGCACGTACGAATAGAGTGAAAATGACTTACCCTCGGATCATATCCTCGGCATCGCGACCCAAGACTAGCTCATCTGGGAAATACAGAGACTCGCGCCAGTTCACGATCTTTCGATATGTGTCATGAGTGTCTTCGGCACAGAAAGGTGGCCATCCTACAAGGCACTCAAACATGATAGCACCGACAGACCACCAATCGCAGAGATAAGTATAGCCCTGACCTAGAAAGATTTCGGGCGCAATATAGTCAGGAGTACCAACAGTTGAGTAAGCCATGTGTCTTCGTGACTTCCTCCAGGTGTTGACTTGACCTCGATTGCTGACTGTAAGATTGATCTGTTCGTTGAAAGCCATCGAGTTTCGGTTACCGCCTCGGTCATTGGCATTTTTCAGCAGTTGCTGATAATACGAATTTTCGTGCTGCTTGCGACCACCCGTTGACAAGCCAAAATCAGTCAACTTGATGTGTCCACCTCGATCCAGTAGGATATTGTCAGGTTTGATATCTCTGTGTAGAAAGCCGAGTTTGTGGACTGCCTCTATAGCCATAACGATTTCTGCCATGTAGAACCTAGTAATGTCCTCGGAGAAAATCTCGTACTTAATAAGCATGGTCATCAAGTCACCACCAGGTAAAAATTCCATAAGCATATATAGGTAAGCATTGTCTTGAAATGAGGCATGTAGCTTGACAAGCCAGGGATTGTCTTTAGAGTCGGCCAAAATATCCCGCTCTGCTCGAACGTGAGCCAGTTGATCCTTCTTGAACATTTCCGACTTGATGAGGGATTTGAGTGCATAGATCTTTCCATCTGTCTTGCGTTGAACCAGTTTGACCTCGCCAAAGGCTCCTTTACCAATGATCTTGATCGTGGAGAAGTTCTGAGGGCTCTCTCTCGTCCTGATGAATCGCAGGAATCGGGCCTCTTTCTGAGCGAGGTTGTTGGCTTCCTTCTGCTTCTGGAGCTCAGGAATGGAGGGATCCTTCAGAATAGCGTCCAGCTCCTTGCCTCGGGCATTCCGATCTCTGGCACGTTCGATATTCTCTTGGAAGAAGCTATTGACGAGTTGTTTGGCAGCAGTACCTCGTTTGCGCACATTATCAGAGTACTTTGCAGGATTTTGCACTTCTTCCTCCTCAGGTGCTTTCTGGGCTGCCCTAGATGGCATAGGCGGTTGTAAATGTGTCTGGTAGGGTTGGTTTCGAGCATCACCAGCAGTCCTCGGTCTAGGAGCAGTGGCAGGAGAGGGAGTTCGGTTTGTCTGGCCAGGGCGGGGAGTAGTGGAGAGGTCATGATTTTGAAACTGCTGTACTAGGCCACCTGTTCCATCATTGACTTGGTTCTGCATGTATGGCCTTGCGTTCATTTGGTAGGCAGCCTGAGGTGACTGAAGGTTTTGCTGGTAGCCATACTGCTGAGCGTATTGTGGGTTGGCTTGAGTGTAGGGATGACTCAGGAAATAACCTTGCTGCTGGTTTGGGTTGGGGGAGAGGGCAAAGTCATGCTGCTGTTGCCCATAGATGGGTTGGGGAAAGGTGGAAGGAGTGGTAGGGTAGAATCGAGGATCAGCGGCGGCCCCTTGGTGTTGGCTGTCGAACTGGAAGTTCAGTCGAAGGCGGTTATTGTCGTCCATGATGCCGACCGAGACGGCAGGATCCACCAGAAAACGACAGCAGTTATGAGGAGGGCTGATGTGAAAGAAAGATGATAACTGTCCAGTATCTGTCAAATCGTGCTGTCCCTAGGAAATAGTGAGGGTACAAGAAACTTACCCTTGTTCAATCACACTGCGCCAGACACACAGCAGTAGCGTTAGGCTTGGGAACCAGCAGCTCTCGCAATCAGCAACAGGAATGTGTTGAGTTACAATAGTAACCCGAACGTGAGGAGTTCATGGGAACGACAGCCTTTACATTCATGAATATAGGAAGCAGCGGTCTGCAATGGAAAGGAGCAGATCGCTCCTGCAAATACACAACCAGTGGAAGTGCGGGCATTCGCAGTAAAGTTTCACCCTTGGATCGACCACTCCTTTGGAATCCACCAAGCTTCGAGAACGTCGGCCTTGTGCTGGCAGGAGTCCCTAGCTTCAGACCGGGGACTATCGCTCTTGAGCGCTCTACAAGTGCTTACATATCGTATCGTATAAAGCAGTTCTTTTGGAATGAACAAGGCAACGCAAGGAAAGATCAGTGACCTTGTTCTTGGACTTTTCTTACAGTTAACGGTACCGTCTACCGAGCGCAGAGATCTGCAAAATCAAATGTCACTGCCCGGCTCTTAAAGTTGCGGAGCCGTCGGGTGCTGTACAGGGTCCATCGCTTTAGCCCAAGACTCTCTAGTCCTCCCGAACATTGGGACTTTTTTTGGTCGGTGTTATGGTTGGAGCATGTGCCCATCGTGTCAGAGCAACAGCGTCTTTGTACAGGACGATTTTTATCGAACAGCACGTCGAGAGGGTTGAGGCCATCAAGGTGGAATGGCAGAGCCTATCAAGCAAGATGGCGCTGCTCAGGCCAGCTCGGCTGGCTCAGCAGAAGCTCCAAAGCCGGCTGCGACGAAGCCTGCGAAACCACCAAATCCAGTTTTTCGAATGATGGGTGAGCGACATGCGGTCCATCGACGTTACTGTACTAACGGATAAGGCTTGCCGAACCTGCCTCGAAAACTACCGTCAAGGAACTGGATGATATTCTGGACTGTGCTTGTCTCGTTCACAGCTGCCAAAATGTACGACACGCGACAGAAGAAAGCTGCGCAGAAGAAGTGGTGCGATCTAGTCGCTCACATCGCGCAAGAGAAGCTGGATGTGCGCCAAATGCCTAGGAAGCTGACCGTCTTTCTGTCAGCTCCACCAGGAGACGGACTTGGTCCTTCGAGACAGTATTTCAAGGACTACGTCAAACCTATCTTGGTCGCTGCGTCCATGGACTACGAAGTGATAGAAGGTCGAAAGGAGGGAGATGTGAGGTATGGGACTGCAGAGCAGATACGCAGGCTAAGGCGGAAGAAAGGCGAGAAGGGCCTGACAGAACCTGAGATGGATACAGCAATGGCCATCGACCTGATGAGGGAGCGATTAATGCTTCAACCAGAACCAGGTGTAAAAGGAGACTTGGTCTTAGGGCGACATACTTGGAAAGAATATGTCAGGGGTATACATGAGGGATGGCTAGGTCCATTGGATGAGCCACCAGAACTAAATCCTGAACCCTCGCCCACCCCTGCGATAACACCAGAGCCATCCCCTATACATCCTCCTACTGAGTCACGGACCGAAAATCCCGGGGCAACCACATCCCCCGAGGCCGTGGAGCAGATTTCTGCGGACGAGGACAAGAAGCCTGAAGAGAAAAAAGAGGAGGAAAAGAAAAAGAAGCCATATCCGCCTCCTGCCTATCTACCCATTCACCAATACTCGGGATCACCATTGTCGCCTCACATTCCTACAGTCCTGGAACCATCCGAAGCAATACATCAACAACACCTGCTAGGCTTCCTCAAAACACCTCAGAGGATATACAACTGGCTCAACAGAAGAACATTGCAGGACCAAATAGGTCGACAAACAGCAGCCATAGTCCTCGCAAGTAACAGACCCTACCAGCACGACGAGTCCTTCGCCATGCCCGCGACACTTCCCTCTGAATCTAGCGCCCCAGTTGCCACAAGGGCACCTGAAAACGATCAGCTAGACACTTCACCACTCCAGACCTCCTCAAACTACGAACAACAAGGACTTTTGACAGAAGAAGAACATTACTGGCATAAATCAGTGCGACAAGCACCTGCGGATGCCACTAAAGAGCAAATATACATCGCAGATATCGTGTTCGATCCACGAATTGCAGACCGTATGAGAAAGTTTGAGCTCGATCATGAGCAGGAAGAACGAGCACAAAAAATCGCCGCAGGAGACGAAAGCGCCAAATGGGCAGTCCCTGTGCAAGACTTGAGGAGTAAGAAGCCGATTGTCACTGCTGATGAAGATTCGATGGCATGAGCGAGTCACCGCTGTTGTTCTTCGACAGACAATGGGTGGGCAGGGTCAACATGCTCTTGCTCATCTATCTCAGGCATCGAATCAACCAAACGAAAACCGCTCAAGGGGGACGAGGCCCCTATTCCACCTAAGTCATCACCGAGTCGAGTAGAAGCTTGGCAGGCACAATATACCGCCAGCATGTATATTCTAGCGAATGCTCGTTCCATCAATTGAACGAGGGAGCCCAGTGGACAGCACACGTCCATCTGCATCGAGGAATTGCTTGACCGTGCAGCCTACACACTATATGAGACAATTGGACGTGCGGGCACTAACATGCTTCATGAATTGAGGTCAGAGCGGGTGATGTATCGGTTCATGCTGAATTCTAATGTATAAACAATATTGTAAAAAGTTATAGGCGAGGCCCTCCACACTCTACTTCGGTGTACGTGAATTGACCATAGATATTTAAATTGCAAAGCATTCGTGGTTAGTCATGGTGTTCAGGCTCATCGATGAACATTGGCTGCTCGACACTCACTACCTTGGACCGTCTTTATGCTTGTGCATGCGAATATTACGTGCACTGATAGGAGCTTGCGAAAGCAACTTGAAATCGTCCACAATGCCATTCATTAAAACACGACTTCTGCCACAGCATGTGACCACCTGAGAGAGTCGAGTCGTTTAGCCCGCCCAGCTTCTCCTCGATTGGTGTAAACCTGCATGAACCAATCATCCACTCTATCGTCCGAACTAAGCTCTTTTGGCATTGCAAGCTGAAAAAGCTACCCTTGCATTGCTTCTTTGAGCCCGAGCACTTCGGCGGACACGCCTCGTCGCACATTGCTATACCAAGCCTCCGCTTGCTCGTGCTGGTGCCTGGCGATTCACCTTGGTATCCTTCCTTGGCCGCGATCCCGGTGCGACTGGTCTGCAATGCTGATTATTGTGGCTGCTCGGGAACGTCATATCCAATCGTGTTCCTCCTTACCCTGTGCTGCGTAGCATCTCGTCAGTCTGGACTGCAGTGACCTTCGTGGTCAGCGTCACAGAGCTAATACGAATCCTGTATTCGAACGTGGTTATTGGAGACCACATTCATGCTCACGGTGAGTTGAGTTAGTTTGCCAGGTATGCCTTATGGGAGAGTCTCCGGGAAATGGATTTGGTCATGTTGGGCAGCTATTTTTCAGATCGCGTCCATTGATTCGGTGTGGCATGAACCTATTCTGTTTTGCGGTGTGTCTCGATTGCAAGTGGCGACTGATGCCCCTAATTCATGTCAGTAGTATATTCACCGTCGTATAGACCTGCACTGCATGTGCAGCTTGATATCACATTTCCTCAAGCTGACACTTAGCTTCTCGATCCACCACTTCGCTACTCCTTTGTCAGATCTTGGTCTCGCAGCGACGAGGGCCGCAATCCACCAGTCGCGACCAGAGAGGTGATCTCCATATATGCGAGATTTCCAATACCTGGTCGGTATCCTCCACGATCCAGGCGACTAAACACCGAGACGGTTTCGAACGACCGAGCAGTTGGTCAAAGAGCAAGAGCCAGAGCCAGAGCAGGTTGGCAATACCGCAGACCCACGAGCTCGACATGAAGGCAGACGCAGAAGCAGTAGGATGGGTTCTGGTAGAAGCCATTGACAAAGCTGGGACTGTCGGTCAAGATGAAATGGTCGATGATTTTGTTGCTTTAGGTAAGAAACGATGAAGACACGTAGATCGCAGTCATTGGAGCTCACAAAAAGTAGCCTTAGGCAGCATCGATCTTAAGGCGGCCGATGGAACCCCTGTCCAACCTGGCAAGCAGCATGGCCACAATCCTGTGAAAGCAGGAGCACACATTGCCAACCAAGCCCATACCAAGGGAGGCAAGGAGTCTCGAATCAATGCGAATAAGAACAGAGCAGCTGTACAACCAGGTAGGCTGTCCAACCAATCAAGAACAGATTAGCTGATTTCGAACAGGTGTCCTGTGCCCCAAGGCCTGTATCGATATCGCTTTTCATGGCATTGGAAGCAGGTTCGACGATGGTGACGAGGTAATGACCTCAGGACCATTGCAGCTTGGGACATCAAGGCAAGACGATAGAGTGTAAGTCAAGAACATACTGTTTGTATCAGAGAAAAATCAAACGGCATTCGCATGTCGTTCCGTGGCCTTTTTTGAGGACATGAGGGAGAAATGAAGGAAAGCGAGAATTTGAAGACCTGCCTATGTGGAGTCGGGATTTATTTGTTTACACTTTGGCAAGCAGCCACGACTTTCTGCTTCCAGCGTCCGAAAAGGGCTCTTATTGCACCCGATTGACGATATAGTTTGACATTTGGCCGCGTGCAGTATCACAGCATGCGACCTGTACGTCGTCAATATTTACAATGAATTTGACCTATCACTTGGAATGGTCGACAGAACTTTGATTCTGATTGGCTGCACCGATTCATGCCTAGCTACATTACAAGTCCCAGAGTCGAGGTCTACATTTGGTGTGATTACTGTCAGTGGTAGATTGATAGCTTGCCTGTGTGACCCAGACCACGCACAACGTTGATGACCTGTGTTTAGTTGCTGCATGCATTGGCACAATGAAGGTGTGTCAGGCTCTTGGGTAGGCGGGACATCTTTCTCGCGACCACACCAACAGACACGCTCAATTCTCTCGGTAGATGTGACGGGTGCTTGTTCTCTTAGAAATGCCACACTCGGTACAGAGCATAGTACTCTGAGCCATTGTGTTCATATCCACGTGTAGCATATCTTTGTAGGTATTATAGCAATCCCGACCGTGACGGTGCACAGTCAACCGAGCGCTCCATGTTCTTGTTGAGGACTCCTCTTTTTCTTAGCACCATTGAACATAGCGAATCATGGTAAGATTTCTGGTTGTTGACGACATGAGTTCTGATGCATCCGTGCATGCCTCGTATCTCCACTGATAGACTGCAGCATACTAACAGAGTGGTCTTTCAGGTTTGACTGGATGAGATCTTCGATGGACAGCACTTTAATGCGTGATATATCCTGGATGGTGGGCGCTCGCCCAAACCGGGACCACAGGTCGACATGGCCTGTAGTTCCCTGTTTGAATCCAGCATCAAGTTTGGGCCGCAAAATTCGTCCGCAGTGAAGTAAGAAGGGAGTTTTCATCTACACTCTCAGACACAAACCCAGACTCTCGTTGAGCATTGTGAGTGTAGCGTCAAAATGAGCTTTGCTATTCTGGCGTAGATCGAGACCAACATCTGTATTGTCCCTTATCGCTCCGTATAGCTTGTTCTTATTGGGATAATCTCTCCAATAGCGCACAAACAATATGTTTTTCAATATCCTATGCTCTGTCCCGTTGTGCTCGCTTGCGGTTCTGAGGAATTCGAGTGTCTTTTGTATTCGTCTGGGGTTGAATGCAGAGCTCGGAGAGTTGCGGAAACCGTCTCGTAAGATGTTCCTTACACCATAGCGAGCAGGCTTCGAGTATCGAATTGCCTGCAGAGAAGTTCGCAACAGATGTCTGTACGCTGATTTAATCGCAAAGGTGGTAGGTACCATCGATAGACCTGAGCTTCAGAGAAGGACGCAAGAAGCGATCCATAACACGATCGAAGACATTCGAGTCATTTCGGATAATGTCTGGCCACCCTAATTATGGGTGTGACCCACCACATGTGAGCCTGGAACTTAATTCAGGCATGCCTAAGCTCGTCCCAAACTGGTGCATCGACACGGGTCACTTATGCGATCTGGGGCCACTGACAGTCACGCTTTTGGGCCAAGAGAGCATCTCCACTCTATCCTCGAACTTGAAAAACGCGTTTCGTGACAGTGCTTGCTACCTTCCTTCATGTCACTGACCGCGAACATATTGTTATTCATTGCTTGTCACAGCAGCGACTCACTGTGCCTGCAAACGTGCTGACCAGGTTGTGTCACAAACTTTGGGTCTTCTCAAGGCTATCACAGCTGCTTTCTGTAGATCTGTTGGACTGCGTCTTGCTGCTGCTGAACAACTGCGCCCACCACTGCTCTGGCATCAATCCTCAGGCAATATTGCAATTGAGCATCTGCAGTTGACGCGACCGATGTGATACATTTCATGCTAATGTGTTAGGCCGACTACTGTGACTGAGACTTTTTCTTCTGTCGATTTCCTGCTCCCAGCGCCTTTTGCTTTCGCGTCTCTAGACTGTGAGTATGGGTCGGATGGCGCCGGTTAGACCAAACAATAGGAACAATGTTGGTCCTAGTGCTGTACGCGGCGCAAAAATTCAGAAGCAACGGAAGAAGCACAAAGTAGTCCTTGAGAGCGCAGGCAATAAGGACGATGACAAGCTTCGCGTGGTGGTAAGAAACAATCGAGGTCATTTCAAAAATGCTGGAACTTACACCACACAGCTCTCGTTTCATGCAGAGCCACCTCCCGGCTATACCTTCATTCCAGCTGGAAACACACAATTAACAGCAGCCATGAAAGCCTTCGCTAAGAAAGGTGGTCACCAGATCATGGCAGTATCGGTCTGTATGTATATCCCACCCCGGATCGTGGCTGACAGATTCAGGCGACACCTCATGCTCAACGTCACGAGCTTTCGCGAGAAGTGCACCGCATCGGCTATCATGTCCCTACCGAAGTTGTGGCTCAAGTCTGCTCGCATTACGGGATACGTCTCGATAGTTCAGGACGAATAATCGGTGAGCAAGACTCTGAGAAACTTTTCATGAAAATCTCGCAGAAAGGCAAGGTCGTGCTCAACGAAAACATTCGTGACCAAGTGACCATCAATACTGAAGCCAAGGAAATCATTCGTGATCTGTTTCCCAGGATACCAGACAACGACCTGTATCAGATCATCAAGACTGCATTTCAGCTTGGTGATCGAAAAGTTGGTACAGCAGAGGAAATACCACTTGTGCGTAGAGCCCAGCTGTCTGTTGTTGCCCATATTCGTCATTCCTATACAAATTATGACCGACTTTTGCGCCAACTACCCTACAATGACGCCCGTCACGCGGTTGAGAAAGCTACGTTGCAGAAGCTGGTCGAATGGCGAGGAGATGAGAATGACAAAACAGAAGACAGCAGAAAAGCTGTTGACGACGCTGTACGTGAAATTGTCGTTCTATCTGATGAGGAATCCTCTGAATCAGAGATTGAAGAAGGTCAAGTATTAGAGAACGAGGACGTAAAAACAGAGCCTGTCCGAAAGCCTACTCGTCCAGAGGTGACAACAGAACATCGGCCAGTACCTCCTGACGACCCTTCGTCTGCTGAGGACGCTCCACAAGGATTTCGCTACCTGCCTCAGACGTCCAGACGTACTATAGTAGCACGTCAACAACCGGATGCTATTCATAGACAACAACAAAGCCGCTATGCCTTGTGGGATCAGGTTAGACATGAGTACCAAGCTGGCATGTATAATCAGGAACCTGCCCGTGTCCTTGCTAGAATCCCCATTGATGAGTCAACATCTTATAGACGTGAGCCCGTGATACGTGAGGCAATCCATGACTCGACGGCGCCTGTTCGCTATGTCGTTGAAGACCCTGCGCAGGTGAGCATCATCAGTGAAGCTTAAGAACATCGCTTCGTCTTCGTCGAACAGCGGAACTGACACACTTACTAGGTGCAATTAATTCGAGAACCGAGTCCGCCAACAGTCTTTCGAGGTGCAGATGGTCGGCTCTACGAACGACTTGCTCACAGAACAGACGAGACAAGCACGCCAACGAGACGCATATATACTCCTCTAACTGCGAAACCTTCACGGCTCCAAATTCACAATCGAAGATCTGCCTCACCTCGTGCTCAGCGGCCACAATTCCACCATCGAACACCAAGCCTCAACGATGACGGTACCATTGTCGAGTCCATTGAGCCTCCAGATAGTGCACACAGATCTCCAGCTATAAACTCAAGGCTACATGGTACCTATCATGGTCAGCGTGTTGTCAACAGGATGGCCGTTGAGCGCAACAACCCTGTTATTGACCTTACCAGTACTGCAGAACAGGCAGACGAACGCATGCATCCTTTCCATAACCTTCCTGAACCACATCACGAAAGACAGTACCAGGCTGATCACAATATGGCGGCCAAAATCAGGCAGCAGCCACCTCGAAACCCACAGCTTATTGACCTTGGTCCACAGGTACCGGTTACTGCATCTCCGACACGATCTGGCCAAAATCAGTATCACGTCCTTTCTGGTCAAAGATACGTGCCTATTCCGCGCGAGCAATTCTATAACGACCCTGCTACGTCAAGAACTCCTTACACGCAACCTTCTCGTGCACAAGAATATGATCGAGCTCCTGTGTATAGTCAAGTGCCTACTCGAGGACATGCGGTCTACGAAACCTTGGATGATCGATCCCCCTATCGAAACTCAACAAGATATGCCACAGGTCCGGTGCACGATGCTCGAGTAGCACAGCAGTACTACATCACTGGCGAACAGCTGCGTGACTACCCGTCCGGACATGCCACCACACAGTATACGGCCCAGGCAGGCAGGCAGCTTGTTGTGTTGGACAACGGCGAGCCGATGGACGATGTGCAGCATTCTCTGGACTCCAGGCCGCCGACCTACCGTACGACATATGTTCAATACTGACCCGCCATAGAAACGAGGGTCGAAACGAGTCTTTGCTTCGTTCACTTCCTCACGGTGTTGTTCCTGGTATTGCTTGCACCTTTCTTCGTGGTGACCCTTCAGTAATATTGTCTGTCGATTACACAAGGCGTACAGAAGCAGGACTAGATATTGTGGATGGATATGTATTGATACCGGCGCTGATCAGCTTCGAAGTATTAACGATCCATCGTGGTCGAAATGTTGGAAGACATTGTAAGACTACTAGTACATAATGAAATAATAATGGTGGCGCTCCCTCACTTGAAGCAAAGATCCATTCGAGCCGTGTGGAGTATAACTTCCCTCCTTGTGACCGTGTCTGAGATGCTATTGTCCAGCTTGTATGTCACACATAACGTAATACTCATTTCCACTTGTAGACAAGGATCCTGAAGTTGTAAAACTTTGGCGCCTACAGACTAAACTCCAGCCTATTCCCAGCATAGTCCCTCGCAAAGAACCGTTGCGGATACTCAACACCCTTCGACCCTACGTAAATTCTCATCAGCCACAATCCTCCCTCTAGCCTATCCACCATTATCACTCACCTGAATTCTCCATCCCCGGCTGATCCGCCGCCCTCGGACTCGCCTCATCCCCCCTCTCAAAATGCTCCCATATCCTTCTCTGCAACTCCATCAGTTTCTCTGGACTCTCCAGCTTGAAGCACGGATGTCTCGGTGATTCAGCTTCAGTCGGGCCGGAAGCGATGTGGACTTGTTGGCCGGATGAGCCGATGTCGAACCATGCTAGGCGGTCTTTTTGAAGATGGGGGACGGGGCGGGGGGTCAGGCCGAGGGTTGTGCCGTAGAAGGAGAGGGCGTGGGGGAGGGTGTTGGGTGGGACGATGAGGTTTATGTGGGAGATGGCGGTGATCATTGTGATGGTGGATATAGTGGTACGTATGAATAGGGTGAAAGGGATGTAGACTTGTGCTTAGTGTAGTGAGAATATATTGTTTCTGAAGAGCTACGTAGAACCGGGTGTTCACATTCAATGTCAAGTCGATAGGATCTCCAAGCTCAGCGCAAGGTTTAGTACTCCTCAGTATGACTCCGATTCTCGAATATCACCAGCTGTACTATTCACGTATTCCGGGATATATTCTTGTATATGCCAAGGAATACGCCGATGTTCGGTTCCAAAAATCAAGAATACGAAAGCAAGAACTCGCCTAGTAATGCGATCAACAAGACGAAGCATTGCTCGAGGTGCAGAACTCTACCTATCAGGCACACACGGCTTTGTTCCGACGTGCGCCTTGAACCAAACACGATACTCGTTCGTCCATAGGGATGTCTTACGCAAATTGACGGAATCACGAGTATTTCTCCTTCGAGCAGATCAACCGCAAAATGCGCCTCTATTGTCTCAAGCCAGGCTGAAGAGCATACGTACGTAATGTAAGACAAGCTGACGAACTTGCATGTGGTTTCACCATATGGTTATGGCGGTGATATATGTACCAAGTGGAAAAGACATGTAACCACTCTGAATTGACTAAGCTATTATCGAGTTCGACCAAACTAGAAAAAACGTCTGCGAGGTACGTAACCTCGCCATTGACGATGAAGGACCCTGGACAATTCGTAGCAACATGAAGCACTCTATTCATGCCTATTTTCCAAGCCTTGTCTTAGGCGCCCTGTCCACTGCCATCTTGGAGGATACACTTGAATATGGACTTCAGCCCCGGGGATAGGAAAATGATAAGAGATGCGAAAGGTAGTTCTGCCTCCTTCTGCTTATCTCCCTGATCTCGAAAACCACAAAGCTAACATCCACTTAGTACACATCATCAATGACATGCAAACACGCTGGACCACCTGGCCTGGCTTCGGCGACTTCTCCTGGACATATAGATACTGGGACAATCTAAGATTCGTCTTCCTCGAGGAAGTAAAAGATGGACGAATGAGCGAGGCATGGATAACACTGATCGACATGACCACGTTTCGCCCTCAATACATGAAATAGCCTTTAATTAGAATGCTCGCGAAGAAAAGTTGTAGAGAACGACTGGAAACAGCATTGAAAGAAGCTGCGTTTAAGGCGTGGGATAGAGACAGGCTAGAGATCGAGACTAAGTTGCCGGATTGGTTAAAGGTTGTCCGTGGCAGGAGTTTGACTTTCAGGGTTGAGGAGGATGCTGTTCGCGCTGGGTTTCATTATTTTCTGGTTGAGAAACTGGTGGAGCTAGGTCAGACGTATGATGGGGAAGATAGATCGCACGAGGCCGAAGTTCTTCTTCTGCAACTGTGGAAGCTTGCGGATATATGAGGCTCAAGGTAGAGTGAGTGTTGTATAGGTACTGAACATACACCGATGGACATGAGATGAAAGCCGAAAGCTAGGTATCGATCCTAAACTATAGCTATGTTTTTGTGGAATGTTCGCAGCACTATCGTCTGGCTGTCATAGAAGTATCCCTTAGTATTTGTATCTATGCTCGTACTTCGGACAGGATACAGTACGCCGGTCGAGGACTTGTAGCGGACGTCTTGAAAGGAGTTGATCGTGTTTAAGAGTATTTCGAGGGATTAATGGTGGAAATTTCTTCCTAGGATATAGATCCTCGTCTTCTTCATTGCCCTTTCTCTCCTCCTGGTTCCCACTGAAGTGATCATGTGCATCATGCCCTCTCTGGTGGTCACTGTGTTGCCAACCAGAGCCTCGAGCGTAGTCGCCGTGGTGGTCTGTGTTATCGTCGTCTTCGAAGTCGATCTCTATAGACTGCGTGATCTGTAGTGTATCATCGCAGCGTAAATTCAGCAGCACGTTGGCCTCAGACCCCTCATAGTCGTTTTCGTTGAACAATAGATGCTCACCGACGAATTCCTCCTGCAAAGCTATAGCGTCGACGTTCTGCGTAGCAGGGTAGGTTACAACATCGGAGACGCGATCTCGACCTGCACGTGACTTTCGGCTTTGAGGCGCATACTCTGTGAATCCAGATGGTTGCTCGTAGTCTCTTGGGGTTGATGCTTCGATCGAGCTATGCGTAGGTGTGTAGTCCGGGTGTGAAAGTGCCTTAAGAGGTTGAACGTGAAGGTGTCGTGATCCTTCTGAAGTTGGCGAAGAAGACAAGCTAGATCTTGCAGCCTGCCCGTCGTCGGTATGTTGTTGTAAAAGAGGATTTGAGGGTGCGGGTATGGGGTCGCTGGTCAAGAGCACTATGTCATTCTCACTCAGGTCGTTCCACGAGACTTCTTCCTCATCCAACTGGAAACTACTGTGTTCTTCTTTGTCAATAGCGTTAGGCATCTGTGGTGTAGGTTCGACTTCGACAGTAGGGCTTCGATTTCTGATTCGAGCTAGGGAAATGCGAGGTTCTTCGTCATCGAGTAGAACTCGCCGACGTTTCTTTGTATTCTCTTCCATACTCATACTCGCAGAACGCTTGCGTTGAGCCCTGGAGGTCAAGGAAGTTGGATAATCTAGAGTACTTCTAATCGTGCGAAGGTTGGATTGCATTATTACGGACTTCTAGATGGACGTGTTGTAAGGAGCAGAAGTTGTAGAATAGATGCTGGGAGGATTGGAAATTGAGGTATTGTGTCTGTCACGAAGGAGTGGAGATCAGTCCGGGCAGTGAGCTTGCATGTGTTTGTTTGCTGGTACTGGTATTTCCTGGTGTGGATTGACATCGGCTGGAGTGTCAGCTGGTATCTTGCTGCAGAGCTTGCACTTTACGAATGTGATCACACTAGTGGATCGAAAGGTTCGATTCTGATTCTCACTTCTTTGGCGCCGTCCAACCAGTCTCCCCAACCTCGCTTGAGCGCGTGAGGTATCTCCGTCTCTCTCCTCTTCCATCTACGACCTTCCTTGATGCAGAATTGACCATCTTCTGTCCAGTGCTCAGCCTCGGTGTCTGCAGAAGTAGTACTTTCTTGCTCATTGAGACGCTCTTCCACAAGCGTATCGGCATCCCAATCACCCCATTCTCTCCAGAGTGTTTGTTTCTCTTCCGCAGTAAGGGTTTTACTGTAAACTGCACTGCGAGTTGTGCTCTCTGCCGTAGTGTCGACTGGATCTAGCTCTTTCGACTCGTAAATGAGTTTGAATTGCATGGGTTTTAGATAAGCTTGTAATCCAGGCTGCCTTAATAATATAGATAGTAGACGTGTTACAGGGATGGTATCTGGAATTTGAAGCTCTACTTTCGCTTCAGACTTATTCCTGATGGCAGTGTTGGGTATGTAGAAAATCCCCTTCACAAGCCGAGCAGCAATTGATCCAACCGGATACAAGAGCTTAGTTGCTTCTATGGCACGTAGAACTTCACTAGAAGGATCACTCGAAAGTAACTGTTCTACCACAGATTCGCGGCTATATTTCTTGCACAGAGCCTCGTAGCGTGGGTATAGTTGTTCGACCTTGGCAATGAGCTGAGCACGAGCTTCTGCCTTTAGAAGATGTGCTTTGAGATCCTTCTCGACAACTGAAAGGAAGTAGATCTCACCCTCCTCTCTGTCCCTCGGGGTGATGCTCGTGTAATTCAGGGTTTTCAGGGTTGGCAATCTTGCCAGCGTCAGGAAATAGTGTTTATCGGAGGATCGAGAGTCAGTGGTCGAACTCGGCTCGCTCGGGAGGAAGATTGGATTGTTCGTAATGCGCAACGACGACAAATTTGGCAGAAGCTTTGGCAAGTAATCGATGAAACTGAAGGCAGGTATTAGATTATGGGACAGGTTGAGCGTTGTGATTTGAGGGAAGATATGCTTGTGAGCAACAACAGCAGGCCCGATGTCGCAAATCTTATTCGCTTGCAAAGACAAAGACTCGATATTTGGAAAGACGGCCACAGCAATAATGAGACAATCAAGATCTCTGAATGAGTTGTTCTCCAGCACGAGGGATTTGAGGCTCGATATGCAGGGTAAGTCTTCGGTCTGAGCATTGAAAAGGGTACTCAGCTGATTGGCAGACAAGAAAAGCTGTGTAAGGTGTGGGAAACCACTGAGGTCTCGTAACAGTCCTACGATTTGGTTCGAGCTCAGAAGACAATCTTCTAGGTGAAGCTCTTTGATGTGCGCAAACGGGCTTGGTTGAATATCATGCCCAAATGTGCGAAACCGTGAGCCGCTGGAAAAACATTAGCATACTCTTCCTCATCGCGAATACGTGCTTACCCTGCTCTGAGAGTTCTCAGCTTTGGTAGTGCACTACAGATGTCAGCCACATCCTGCCAGTTCTCGATGGTGTTGTAGGAAATATCCAGCTCGGTGATGTTGGGACATGATGTAGATAGCTCGGCTTGAGCTTTGGCAATTGTTGAAGAAGATGCACCTCGAGACGCTATACCATTGACCACCAGTTGATCGACTAGGACAATACGGAGTTCTGCTAATTCGGCTTGCTGTTGAGCAATCTTGTCAAAGCCTACCTCCTGAGCCACTTTGCCAGAAATAATCACAATTTCAGTGTTAGAGGAATTGTTAGTTGAGTCGCCACCGTACTTCGACTTGATGGCTTCTAACAGAGTCTGCTCTGCATCTGGCTTTCTACTGGGTCTGATGAAGGAGGCAGGAGTTGACGAGGACGACAAGCATGTGAAGACCTGCTCGTCCTTGTGCTTGCCATCATGCTTGCCGCGTGATGGATCATCCCACTCGACACCGAGCCACTCTCCCTTTGTGCCGGCGAGACTTCCCGTGTAGCGTACAGTACACAGGGAACCTTCGAAGGAGAGTCTCCTGCCAACATACAGGCTCGTGGTCATACCTGCTGGGCATGTAATTTGCCAGGTACCAGGCTCAGAGACCGGAGAATGAGCAAGCTGCGAACATTAACCAAAGACACACCTGCCAAATAAGCTCGGCTGCTTGCAATGGGGGCTCTGAGTGTCCTTCAAAGTTCATAGACGCGAAAGTGAGTTGGTAGGAACGATTGTAACGCGTCGCATGTCCAGCTCGATCCGCGTTCAGTACACGTAAAAAAGTGGCCGTGTTTCTGTACACAACATACTCAAAAGTCAGCTAGTTCCTCGATCCACTACCCGAACTGTGGTAGACGAGGCTACGCCGCAAGTCTCGCAGGAAGGGCAGCTTCGATTTCTAATTTCACATATTCGATCAAGCATGACCTAGTCGGTCATCTCATTCTGGCTGGATCACAGATGTTACAACCACGGTTACCTCTGCGGAGGATATGTTGTCAATGTCAGAGTTTTGGCAATGTTGTGCGAAAGGGATATGCTACTCGAGTCGCCGAACCTGTTACTACGAGTCGATCTACGGAGACAGCAACTCCTGGTCTAGCCTCAACGTCGCAGGACAACAAGCTTGCACAAAGTAAAGGAGATTCAGCGCTACGGAGATACATTCCAAGGACGCCTGGTACACGGCATTTGATACGGCCACGAGCTGATCATCTATGGAAAGGCAGACCTATCAAGAGCTTGACCTACCCTAAGACAGGCCACGCCCGAGGTGGACGAAACAGAACTGGTAGAATTACTGTCCGTCACAGAGGAGGAGGTCACAAGCGTAGGATTCGGACCGTCGATTTTGCACGTACCGAGCCAGGAGAGCAGTTTGTCGAACGGATCGAACGCGATCCTAACCGAAGCGCTCACATCGCCCTGCTACGCAATGTCAAGACCAAGAAGCTTTCCTACATTCTGGCGGCCGAGGGCATGCGAGCTGGTGATATCGTAACCTCATACAGAGCAGGTATTCCAGAAGAGCTGATTGAAAGTATGGGAGGTTCCGTCGACATGGGTTTGCTTGCATCGAGAACTGCCTATCGAGGAAACTGTCTTCCGTTGGGCATGATTCCTGTAGGAACACCGATCTTCAATATTGCGCCCGACAAAGAATCGTACGGAAAGTTTGCAAGAAGCGCTGGTACACATGGTATCATTATGGGCAAGGGTGAAGACACTGTGCAGAAAGAGATGGTCAAAGCTCTAGGAGACGCCAGCGCGCTTGACCTTCAAGCGCTGCCTCCTGATATGCTGAGAAGATTTGAGAAGGCAAAAGATTATGTCACTGTCAAACTCACAAGTGGTGAAATACGCTTGATCGACAAGGACGCAGTAGCAACCATAGGTATCGCGAGCAATATTCACTTCAAAGATACTTCGCTAGGAAAAGCTGGGCGAAAGAGATGGCTGGGTATTCGGCCTACTACTCGAGGTACTGCCATGAATACCAATGACCATCCTCATGGTGGTGGTAGAGGTAAATCAAAGGGTAACAAGACTCCAATGAGTCCTTGGGGTGTACCGGTATGTTTATTTATCTCCTGGTTCTCGATTTCAACTAACTCTTCTACAGACAAAATCCGGATACAAGACTCGGCGCAAGGAGAAGAATCCACTTGTCGTGCAAGAACATCCGCGCAACTATGGCAAGAGGAGAAGAGGTTATGCCTAGAACAATTATTCTTGGCTATGTACATCTATGTTAGAGTGATCTTGTGGGCTGTTCTGCTTGGGCTCCGAGCAGCATGGGTCACCGAATCTTCCAACGAGTCATGTGCGATTCCGTGCAGATAACACATGTGCGGCAAGCTCACTTGTTACTGCTCTTATTGTTGCAATCAAATGTACGAAGTCTAACATCATCCTTCCTGACCACGATCATGATGAGACCGTCACTCGTGGATGAATTCTTTCATGTGGTGGCCTCGAACATATGGCATTCTCATGCTACGACTGTTGGTGGACCGATTGAGACCTCATGCAACTGGATGCATTAGCATATCTCCGCTGTCACGTGCGTCCTGGTTATCGAGTGACTATTGAAGCTTTAAGGCCACCCACCACAAGTTGAGTGGGAAGAGAAGGTATCTAACATGAACGAACTGGCTGTCAGGACGAAGTCGCTAGGGCAAGAGCTGGCGAGTGTACACATAGTTCAGATATCAGAGAAATGTATTCAATCTCATTCCGAGTGGCTTACACCATCTATACACTGAGTCCAGATCTACACTGAAACTCGGCTCCGACATAGTGCTAGCGCTGCATCCATCCCTGTACATCTTGCTTACGCTTTACCAGTTGGAAGTATAATTGCGCAACAGCCGTGTCGAAGTCGTAAATCCTGCTGCCTTGAAGTCATGATTGACACCTGACACATCGCACGTCTTTGAACTTACTCACTCCTGCCCTTCCTACTCGCGACAACCGGAGGATCTTTCACTGCCGATATGACAGACGGTGCAAGCGGAACCGGGAGTGTTGGCAAGACTTCCTCGACGGACGATGCTGGACCCAAGAAAGCGATCGACCCGCGAAGAGTGCTAGCCTGCGGTACCTGTAGGAAGCGGAAGCTCAAGTGCGACAGCAAGAGACCGAAATGCTCGACATGTGCCCGACTAGGCCATCCTTGCGAGTACGATGAAATACGGAAGAAGAGTGGGCCCAAAAGAGGCTACGTGAAAGAGTTGGAAGCTCGACTGAAGCAGGTAGAGAACCTTCTGACCACACATCAAAGCGATACACAGCAAGACACAGCTCCGCAGCAGCAACAACAACCACTTCAACCGCAACGTTCCTTCCAGGCGCATAGCGCTGGATTGGACATGTTCAGCACTCCTAGCATGTCCACGAATGATACAGGAGTGGGAGGTCATGACAACAGTACCAACATGCTCGATCCTAATCTCGATATGAGCGACGCCTATGGTATGGGCGGAATTGAGGACTTCAATTGGGATATGATATCTTTAGGATTGGAAGAGCCTTTGCCAGATCAGGATGTCATGGACGAGCTCTACCAGGTCTATTTTGAGAAGGTCCATCCATCCTTGCCCATGATACATCGGCCACGCTTCATGGCTTCGCTGAACATGTCCCCGAACCAGAGACCACCTGTATGCTTGAGATATATTATGTGGGCACATGCTTGCTCGATGATTTCCAGGTACAAATCATCCGCCGAACAATTCTATATCAAAGCCAGGAAGTACATTGAACAGGACGAAATGAAAGGTCACGGAGAACACTTTATCACTGTGTTTCATGCGCAAGCATGGACTCTGATTAGTACATATGAGTTCAAAACCATGTACTTTCCTCGAGCTTGGATGAGCTGTGGTCGAGGTGCAAGGATAGCTCAACTCATGGGTCTTCACAGACAAGATCGAATTGGCTTGGATGTGAAGCAAACAATGGCTCCGCCCAAAGACTGGATTGAGCGCGAAGAGCGGAGGAGGACGTTTTGGATGGCTTATTGCCAAGATCGATATGCAAGTATTGGCACCGGCTGGCCTATGGCAATCGATGAGCAAGACATCCTCACAAACCTGCCTGCAAGTGAAGAAGCGTTCTTGACTGGTAAGGCAGAACCGACTCCTGCACTCTCAGACGTTGTCGCAGGAGATAGCGCCTCTGGTTTGTCCTCCTTCGCTGCTGTCTGTCTCCTCGCAACTCTCTTCGGTCGCAACCTTACCCACCTACATCGCCCAACCGACGATGACAATGATCACGATTTGAATGGAGGATTCTGGAAGCGCCATCGTGAAATCGACAATGTTTTATTGAACACCTCTTTATCCCTCCCAGCTCATCTACGACTACCTTATGGCTTGAATGACCCAAACACTATTTTCGCGAATATGAATATTCATACCTCCACGATATGTCTCCATCAAGCCGCGATATTCAAGTCTGATAAGCATAGACTACCAGTGCAGATTAGTGCTGAGTCGAAAAGAAGGTGCATCGTTGCTGCAGATCAGATTACCAACGTCATGAAAATGTGCAGCCACCAAGACTTATCGGCCCTCAATCCCTTCATTGCATTTTGCCTATACGTGGCTGCAAGAGTGTTTGTACAGTACTTAAAATCCAAAAAGGAGGATCTTACAGTCAGATCGTCCTTGACGTTCTTGCTATCAGCAATGATGGCTCTCAGAGACAAAAATCCGCTCACCGAGTCATTCCTTGTGCAGCTCGATGTTGATCTTGAAGGAAGTGGATTAAATATACCTTCGCCTTTAGGAGCGAACCGATACATCAATCGCCCTACTGGTGAATGCCCCGCGAACACCGATGCAGTAAAATGCACTGCGATATTCGAGCTCAGAGAAACCCAGAGTCTTGGTCAGCAAGCACGAGGTGTACAGCCTATTCTCCCTGATCAATTCGACTCTAACATCGAGTTCAACATGGGCCATAATTTCCTGTCCCATCACAAGATGGATGCGACCCGAGTACAATCTTTTTCGAACTCGAACTCACCCAATCAGCCACTGGAGCACAGCTTTGGCTATGTTGGGAACGTCAAATCGCCTTCCGGACAATCCAACGGATCACATTCGAATCTACCGACCCCATCAGGATCTTCTACGTCACATCGCGACTCTTCACATACCTCTTTCTCACCACCGAGCGACAATAATGATAGCAGCCAGCCCTTTTTCCCACGCCAGCAATCCGGATTGAATGCGAATGCTGTCTACGTTGACAGTGGATTTGCGCAAGGAATTCTACCCGTGCATCGGGATACTAACAACGAGAATAACAATCAGTACAATCAGAACACGCAAAATCTGAACAACAATGACCAGAACAACTTTGCAAGCGTTTTTGGAGGAGCAGGCTTTACACCGGGTCCGACTGGATTCACGCCTGGACCATCAGGTTTTACGCCTCAACCTACAGGTATGACACCCGGCGCCTGGAGTGATATTCTGGCTATGGGTGATGATTGGCAAGGCCAGCAGCAAGGCCAGCGCTGAGGAGGTGCTAAGATTGTGCTTGTGGACTTGGCGTTGAAAAACCTGATAAGGCAACGTGAATAGAATTCTGGGTTAGGCATGCACGACTGAAGTTACGCGATCTATGAGAGATTATTTATGAATGATACCCGGGAATGTTTGGCTTTGAGTGGCGGTACATATTTTGCAGATTTGATTGTATATATGTAGGTAATCTGTCATGCAATCACAACTCCAATTTATGATCTTTGTTTTTGATCTTCTTCTTGCAGTATAGCAACAAAGGACGATGGCAGCGGCGACTCAACTTCCGTTTCTACGTTTATTTGCAAGACAAGTAAGTCACGGCTGCCTGCCCTCAACGCACTCCATAAAGAATGTAATTCCCTCTTTTGGACATCTGCCTGCTCTAGACGCCAAGAGTTACCTTCTCGCAAAACTACTTCAACTCAGCACTCTCCTCTCCTCTCCGTTCCCTCCTTCTTCCTTTCTCTATGCATCCATCGCCACTTTCCCAGTACCTCTCTTCTCTCCCCAGCGGCAAAGGGAAAGCGAGTCACTGAACCATGGAAAGTGCTCGATCCCGCTCTCTCACACAAGAAGAGCGGTAGCTACAAAACCAGCAAATTGAATTACCTGGGTGGAGAGGTTGATGTGTTCAAGAAGACACTGCCTCGTTGGTATCCTTTGGTCGCCTCACATTGAATAGTTTTCGTGTCACCTTTTGAGGGACTGAGAATGCTTCGTGTGAGGAGGTAAAGGGGTACTGCTGCCTGAATTTTTGTCCTTGCCGCTTGCTTTTTGTTCTTTTCATTGTGGTTCGGGCTTTATGCTGGGACGCGAGGAAGAGGTTGTTGAGTCAACAGATGAGACGCGGACTTCATATCTGGACTGCTGTTGTGCATCTTAGCGGAAGCTCGTGATGACCTTCAGCTTCCGCAATACGCTACTCAGCTTGGCAGCGTCCAAAAAGCATACCACGATCGTAGCTGCGCTCACTAATAGGCATGATCCAGTGAACATCACTATCCTCCCATAAGCTCGTCCTTCGTATCGGCCGGCTTGAAGATTCGTGTTCAGTAATGCACCACCGATAGGACCCGCCAGTACGTTGCCTATACCTTTGCCGAAATTCAGCAATGCAAATGCTGCGAAAGCTGCGTTGGGCTCACTATCGATTGCGGTGCCAATGCGGCCCCACGTAGCTGTATATCCAGCACCAAAAAAGCCGTAGACCAAAGCGAAGATGGCAAGGGTGTGAAACGCGCTGGCCAGACCCCAACAAGTATATACTGCAATGGCTGCGACCAGCGATGAAGTAATGGTAAGCAGGGTCAAAGGAACTTTGCCGTCGGAAAGATATCCAAAGCTTAGCTGGCCAAAGACCTGGGCGAGGCTCATCAGAGTCAGAAGCAAGGCGCCCTTTGTGGCACTCATACCATTCGAAGTCGCGTATGAAGGGAGATAGAGTGCAGGAAAGAAGTAGCCCAGGCCCATTGCGAAGTTGGAGACACTGTAGATCCAGAACAGTGGTCTCTTGATGAATCTCCAGTTAGTCTTGACAGGGGCACTGACTCCAGTGTCAGGAAGACGTCCCTTCAGCAAGGGAAGCAGTGGACCGGTAAGAAGAAATAGGGCGACTGCAGTGGCTCGCAGTGTTGTAGGGTACCCATATCTTTCCAGCAGCGTCCTCAATATGACGGGCATCGCTGCTCCTGATACTCCTGAGGCACTGCAGAGAAGTCCATAAGCCATACCTCGTCTCACGACCCAGAACTCATTGACCATTTCAAGGATAGGATAATAAAAAATGATAAAGCCAACACTGTACATGATTCCTTGCGTAAATATCAGTGCTCCCAGCGTTTGAGCAAAGGAGCCAGCCACAAGACCTAAGATACAGAACGGCCCTATATTCAAGGTTAGCATGATTCAGACAGCGATAAGAATTCTGTGCATACAACCAAACCATATCATTTGACGCCTGTACTTGGAATAGCGCCTGATGAGAGGAACCATAATTGGGGCCGCTATATACGAGATACCAGAAGCCGTGGTGCCAACAATTGAGATGTATGAGTTGTCTTTGAATTGGGGAAGGGTTGAATAGTAATCCTGAAAGACACCAAAGGAGAGAGGAAATCCTGTAGATTGTGTCAGCAGCTACATTCTTTACAGTAAGCACAGTATGCCCAAAATACCCCAGAGCAAGGCCTCGAAAACGAAAGCGGCTAGAAGTAGTCTCCATGCTGCCAATCCCACATCGCATGGTGGTAGGGACTGAGTAGTGGGTGGTTCCTGGCTGCTTGCTTGAACAGTGGTATTGTCGTTGTCCTGCGGAGAGCGACGAAAGTCTGACGCATTTCGAAGCTCAGTACTGTCCATGAGTGTATACCAAAGGGGTTGTCCTGATGATCTGAGTGAAGGTCATCCTGAGCTGAGCGGATCAGGATATAAAATTGGGCAGTAGAACAACCGAGGCTGCTGATCGCCCGAACGGCTGCTTTCTTTTCATGTGCTTATCATTCTCTTCCTCACAAGCGTCTTGCTCGAACGCAGGGGTGGATAGACCCTATTGCAGCTCATCCTTTCTAAGATCATGCTAAAGTTTGCACAATCTCAGGCTCTTCAAGCTCTTGAGGTGTGGCTCAGGGCATTCCGGAGCATCAATCGGCATTTTCATGACGAGCTCCGACATGAGAACGTGTGTTCGAGTTCGAATATCGTTCATCAGCGAAGATGGACATATATATCACAGTTAAGTGCCCAAGTGAGTAGATACTGTCGGGAGTGAAGACAACCTGTCTCCTGACCTCGAAGTCACGAAAGGGTGCTTAGTACAACGTTTTCAGGGTCGCAATGGACTCAGGAGTATGCCCGGAGGACAAGGTTAGGATTTGATTTGTGCCCAAGCGTGCCTGAACGCTGGCCAGTCATGCACTAAGTGTTTGTGCGGTCAACCGTATCGTCGCATGCGACATGCTTACAGGCGCAATTTGTCCTCGATGTCGAGACAGAACACTCGAATTGCGAACATGCTTAGCGGAATACAGGTCAAAACACAAATAACATGGTAGCATGGCACCGCCTGCGCAGCGCAAGATCGTCCCCAAAAACGACTTTGCAAAGCACTTTGGTGGACTTAAAGTACAGCAATATGCCGAGCCAGTGACTCGAGGCTCGAGTAGCACAGTCCATAGAACGATTTCATGGAACAATGCTGGAGCCCTCATTGCCACTGGTGCCACAGACAGAGTTATCAGAATATGGAATCCAGAAAGAACAAACGTCAATCGACCACAGACAGAGCTGAAAGGACACACCGGCGAAGTTACCAAGGTCGTCTTCAACCCTATCAAAGAGTTCGAGTTGGCTAGTTGTTCGAAAGATGGCACCGTTCGCTTTTGGGACACGAGGAGCAAGGCCTGTACATCGAAGCTCGAACTGGGAGGTGATCTCTTCTCCATGACCTGGAGTGTGGACGGAAGTGCTATGGTTGTTGGGTCTAAGGCAGAAGTCCTCACTACAATCACAACACCTGTGCTAGGACAACCAGCGATTCAAGAGAAACACCGCCAAAAGTTGGAGACAAACCACACAACCTTTTCTATGACATATCCTCCACAAGACCTTCTCGTTACGCACGGAGCCGGCTCTGTCAAGATCCTCGATTATCCTTCCTTTGATGTCTTACATACTATTAGTTCGCATACCTCCTCTTGCACCTCAATCGCATACAGTCCATTAGGAAACTATGTCGCAGTTGGTGGTAGTGACGCTATGATTGCATTATGGGATACCTACGATTGGGTGTGCAAGAGAACAATGTCAAATGCGAATTCTGGCAAAGTCACTGGCCTCAGCTGGAGCTGGGATGGCAGATACCTTACGAGCTCTTGTGAAGACATCGGCGCTGGGGGTGGTGAGGGGAAGAGCGAGGGCTTTGAGATCTACCATGCCGAGACTGGAGATGTCGTTCATACCGTGCCTACGAGGACGAGTGCTGTGCCTGCTGTCGCATGGCATCCAACAATGTATGCCTTGGCTTATACAGTCATTGAGGCCGGAAAGTCGTCACTGAAGATCGTTGGAGGTGTCACTGCGACCTAGGAGGAACCACGACCAAGTGTTGTCGCGCCTTTGGTGGCACATTATAGAGATAGACGTGCAAGCATAACGTCCAACACAACAATAGAGACGCACTCCACGCTTTCACTCTTCGAAGACACGGATAATGAGCTGAGCGAAGGTCATGATAATTACAGCATCTCACCCAGCACGCCAAGAGGAGACACAATAATTGATGATTGCACACAGCCCGAGCTCTATCGATGTCCAAGACTAGCTATGAATGAGGTCGTTACATTGGCAGAAATTTTGCCAGTCGAGGATGTCTTCGAGTCAGATATGAACAGCCGGAATCGATCACAGTTACAGTGCTCGACTTTGATCGAGGCTTCGACTCAGTTCTACGTCGTTGGCAAATACCGAGAGATTGAGACGAGTCCAAACGAAGCGTTCTTTTGGTGTCGTGGTATACCACTCCCAGGACGTCTTCGGTGTATCGAGATGCAGGTACAGCAGGCTGTTACCCGAAGTAAGTACTGCTTTAGATGTGGGAGGAGCGACCATGAGATTAGAAGATGTGGGTCCTTCCATGGCCTTGACCGAAGACCACAGAAAAGTGTAGCCCAAACTGAAGCAGATTGGGAGAATAGCTATTGTAGCTAGTAATGATGAACTTATTGAAGGTTCCAATAGGAGCGAGTCTATCAGTCGTAGAGAGCTATCACTAGCTCGGAGCATACAATCTTCAGTTTCTACCATTTTTAGTCGCTCCCCGAACCGGTGATATTCACGCATCACAGATTTACAGCCTGGGCTGCTTGTGTTCTATTGCATGCTCTCGAAAAGACCGCAACTTCTCGCTCAAAGACAGCAATGCTTGCTTTGAGTTTTCGCAGGCGACTATGTGTATTAAACTAGTCATGCCAGGGTCGGCACCTCTTGCCTTCGCGTCACGGTACTATATCGTGATGTCTTCTACACTTTCGTATCTTCACTCTTTCCTAATGAGACGTGCAATATACAGCTAACACAAATTTCAGAGCCGTTCTGGCAAATAAGCCATAGTCGAGATGGCTACAGCAATCTTGGATTTACCATCATCTGCATGTGTCAAACCACCACCTAAGTGTCATATTTCATATACACAAATTTCTCCAGTATACCTCGATCCAGCACAGCCACCCACAAAACGCATTCCATTTCGCCAGATTCGCGGTGTGCCATTTGTGCGCAATGTCTCGATTTGTATGCCTTCTCGTGTCTACGATCGGCTCTACAGCAAAGAGCGATCTCACCATGGCTCATCGTCTGGCTCAAGCAAGCTCGGCCACGAGGTCACGTACCACAAAATCATCTCGACACTCAAAGATATTCTTTCGGACTACAACCTCCGAACAGGAAATTATATCATGCTCGCTCAGCCATATCCATCCTCAGGTTCGACAACTCTAAGTGCTAATTCGACAACGATGCGACTCAACTGTGGCAGACTAATTATCGAGATGCCGTACGAGGTCTATCAACGATCAGGTCTTACATCTCCCCACCACGTAAGTCAGGTAGCGGGTGGAGGACGGAAGCACGACAAGCGAAGCGCGAGGTATAAAGTCGAGATTGACTTGAGACAGACGAGTATGGTCAAAGGTAAGAAGAGCTTAGACAGGCTGGTACGAACTAGCGAGCAGGTTGATGGGTTGAGGGAGGGCAGAGTGTGGTTAGTGGCCGACCTCAACAAAGGCGAAGATAAGCAGGGCAAGAAGCGAAAACGAGGGGACAAGGACGATGACCAAGCAAGGGCAGACGACGGTAATACCACCTCAAACACGACAACTGTGCCCGACACTCATACCAAACCAGAACCTGACGACGAAAAACATCTATTACTGACATACCATCCGACCACGATCACAGACTCAGGCACATTAACCATACAAAAAGATGTGTTAGTCCCCTCAGTACTCAGCAACCATTCCTTCCTCAGCACACTCTCCCACATAGCTACTCCAGCAGACAGAGCTAGCCTACCGACCGTTCTCGAAGACGATATCCACGAAATATCCGAATACCTCTCCCTGCTCTTCTTACAATCCCCACGAATCACGAAACAGGAGTATGGAAAGGTCGACCCGTATATCTGTCGATATTCACTGCCAGATGCTGGGACATGTGTCGACCAGGCTACGGCAGAGCAGGAGGAAGATGTATTAGTCGAAGACGTGCGGATGATCAGCTATTCTGGACTTATATCTTCGGATTTTGTGACGCAGCTCGTTGTCGATTTGATTCGACGATCTCGTGTTGAAGACGAGAAGGGCATTGAGGGACCATCTACTTTCCTGCAGGACGAAAGTTCATGGGCAGCTGTGCAAGTCAACGCACATCCGACAGAGGTCAGAGGTGGAACAAATGGGTATACTATCCTGCTGCAGTCCGGCACCGCGCAAGAGATTGCTGTCGAACAGGTAGATCAGGACACTGGGGACAGAAGAGCTCCAGTCGACGCTATGGACGTTGATCAGAGCCAACAAGACACGACTCAAAGCAAACACGAGAAGAACAAGGAATTCAAGTACGTGACTTGCTTCGAGTTCGTGGATTCAGCAATTCACTAAGTGATACTGTATTCTAGACAGCATAATACTACCCACAAGCCATCAACGTAGCGCAAGTGTTGCTTACACTGTACCTCTTCCACATATCTAGTCCCTTGACGCCTCGCTCAAAAGCAATACCCATACAGCAATACCTAATACCTCATCATAGTCTAATCAAGTATCATGTCCTCATCATCGTCAAAATCGTCCGCACTAAAATGCACGGCAGGAGGTGCCATCGCATTCACCACATCTCGCATGATTGGTCTCTTATCCAACAAGTTTTCCACATCTATCTTTCCCTGAATAATTCTGTTTGGTTGCACCTTCTTCGGCTGGGGCGGCTTGAATGGTGCTGCAATTTTCGCTGAAGTCGTGTATGCAAAGTCTTTAACTCGGATACTACTGTTGGCGTCTGTCAGTCGTAGCGGTTGCCGCACACCCGTGCCTGCTTCTCGAGTGGTGCTTGTCTGGTTCTTTGCTGACGGTGCAGCAGATGGTGGCTGCGTCTGACTAGGAACTACTGTTTCGAATCTGTGGCCGCCCCCTGTGGCGTCTTCTGGAAGGTTTAGAACCCATTTGCGTTTGTCAACGATCCTGATCAAGCCTTCAAGTACGGGGACACCACTGTTTTCTAGCGTTGACTTGCTTCCAACAATGAGCAACTTGCTCTTCGCTCGGGTGAGCGCCACATTCACACGACGCCAATCTTTGAGCAGATCCCCAACACTACGTGCAGAATTCGATCGTACGCATGATAGGAGGATTAACTCTTTGTCGCGTCCTTGGTACTTGTCCGCTGTGTGCATCTCCACTTCACTTGCTGCAGTAGTGCCCGCAATGGCTTTGACATCGTGCCGGAGTAGTGCTAGCTGCGAGCGGTAAAAGGTAATAACTCCAATTGACTTTGCTGGTACGCCAGATCGGATAAGAGTGGTGAGTAAGTGGGCGATGATGAGAGACTCAGTAGGGTTTGTGATCCGTTGATTTGAGCCAACGAGCCGTTCGACAGCTGGTTCAGGTGTAACAATTGTATCTGTATTCAGGAACATTACTCGATTGCTTGGCAGGAGCGCGAGTCGGAGGTAGCAGTTAGCATGATTAGCTGAACACAGTGACTGCGAAGAGATATTGGAGCCCGACCTGCTGCTCGAAAAGGGATGGTGGTGTGCGTCAAGCGCTGCTTGCAAATTAGGTATACCGAGCGTCCGCGTCGCGACTGCCGATGTGCCACACTTGAGTCTGCCGTTGTAGATGAGCTCGTTCGAAAGAAGCATGATATCTTCAGCCATACGGTACTGATGCTCAAGATTGACCACCGAAGAAGGCTGAGCATCTGAAAGCAGCTTGAAGAGGCTGATGTCCAGACCTCCTTCTAGAGCTTCTTTGTTCTGCACGAGTGGTGGAAGCTGGTAGTGATCTCCTACAAGTATGAAAGTGTGGGCCATTCGAATTGGTCCTAGGCACACTGGCAGTGTAATCTGAGACGCCTCGTCCACGATGCAATAATCGAAGATTCGGTGATTGAAGATGCCATAGTTGATGCTTAGGCAGGTTGTGGCTACCACTTTGCTATCAGCCCAAGATCGTTCCAACTCTTCCATAGACTTCTTGGGAATACTACTCAGATCAGCAAATGTCTGCACATCTGGATGAACTTTGCCGTTAGAACCTAGTCGCAGGATTGGAATGTTGTCGTCTTTGATTTTGAGGAGGATGTTGTCTACCGCCGTATGAGTATAAGAGGTCAGTAGAATTGATTTCCCTTGAGACACCAATGCCCGAATGATGTGTGCAATCGTTGTCGTCTTGCCGGTACCTGGCATTCCCAGCACAAGAGCGTAGTCCTTAGCACTCATTACCTTCTCAATAGCCGCTCTTTGGTCGACGTTGATGCTTTGTTGTGAAGCTGGTCCAGAAAGCGAGTATGCTGTGGAGAGATGCTTGAAAGCAGGAGCCTTTAGGTCGACTATGAGCTCACGTAGGTCTTTCGCCCGAAACAGGTCTTTTTCCATGATTTTGATCAAATTGTTTCGCACAGTGGCCATACCATTGGAGAACTCGTCTTTGTCTATTCGGTAAAGAATAGGATCCTCGTCTTCCAGAATGGACGAGGCAGGAACGCCTGCCATTCGGACCTCCATGATACCAACGAATGACTGGTTGTGTTGAGCGTCAAAGTCCCTCGTCTTCTTCCTTGCATTTTGTAACCTTCGATCGACAGCTACTGTAATCCTTCTTGGCCTGACGCTGGTCACGTATCCGTTAGCTAGAGCAAAATGTCCTTTCTCGTCAGAGATGACAATCGGTTCACCGACACTAATCTGTGACTCAGTGAACAAGAATGTGGGCTGCATCTTTTGCTTGACGAAGGAATAAGTGTGGCGATTGATCTTTGGACCGTCGAGATTCTCCATCGCTGATCCAGGCTCAATTACTACACTTGAGAAGCATCGGCCGACCTGTTCTCTTTCCCTACTCAGCATGGTCCAGAGTTCTCTGCGAAACCTCATGCAATCACGTTCCTCCTTAGTAAGTAACTCGTCCCACTGCTTGAAGAAGACCTGATGTTGTGGTCGAAGATGGCTGACATTGTTGTCAAAGACGTCTCTCAGACCACTTGTTTCGGCAGTACCACCTTCGATGAGCTTGTGATACGTAAAGCATGCGGTTTGAGCATAGCAACTCTTGCAAAGATGCTCCTTCCTGAGCATTGGCGGTAGTTCGGATTTGTCGTGAGAATAGCTAGCAAGCAAATTCCGCCAAATAAGCATCTGGCGGATCTCATTGCGCACGCCTTCAACGCGATACGTTTTCGAGGTCTCCATGTAGTAGAGTATGCCACTGGTAACGTCTACATCGTATCGGTCCGAAAGGAGTAAGGTATAGAGGGCTGTTTGAGCGCGATGAGCTTCATTGTTATCTTTCATGCCTGTCTTCAGCTCGAGAGGAACGACGAGAGTCTTTGGTTGACTGTCCGTAGGTATGTGTAATTGTGCCTGCACTGTAGCATCAATATTGCCCTTCAAGCCATACATCGGAGACCAGACGTGCTCCTCGACTTCGAGCAACTTGTTGATGGCCATGGGGACTAAAGTGCCTTGTCGGTTCCGAATGACTGCGTCAGGATTGAAAGTGGCAGACACGAACAGCTCCGCCCAAGCTTTGAGCAGAGGTACTTTGCTCATCAAATGTTCCGTGGCGTCGGGGATCTGCACACCAATCTCGTACAAAGATTCGAGGTAGGTTGGAAGCAGACGATCAATGGTTTGCTGGAACGTCTGCCATTCCCAATCGTTCAGCCGCATGGCTTCGCCGAATATTTCGTGAAGAATGTGACCATAAACCTGCGACTTTTCTGGTGGGGCGGTTGCCTTTACTCTGTCTCTGAGAACAGCCCTTCTTAGACACGAGATGGCATCCCCAATGACAGTGGCTGAAATCAAATGGTCAGGATGTATGATGACCATGTTTTGATTGTCGTCAACAATGCATTGCCCTTGTCTATCAAAATTGCCGATGAGATGTATGAAAGAGCCTCTCACACAGCGGTTCTCGTACCACGATTGGCGAAGCACGACGGTATAGAGCTGTTTAGTCTTCTCGTCTTTGATAGAAAGCACTTTTTCTGGCCGCTTGCGACCTGGACCGATTTCGTAGGTACTTTCGTACACTTCGAGGATCAGATACCGCTTAATCGTTCTGTTATCTGGCCTATTCTACACGAAATATCAGCGTTGGAGATTGCCACAGCTCAATGTTTACGCACCTCGTTCTGGGCGTCAGTTCCAGTAGCTGTACGATGCACAGCTCCCACCACCAAGTCATTCATTAAATCTTCGTCATAGTCGTCGTCAAAAGTCCCATCCAAGGTAGTAGCAACAGCTGGTTTTCCAGAAACGGGGTCATTATTTCGAACAGCCTGCTGCGAGTCGATTGTTTCGACTAGTTGCTGCAGCTCATCGTTAAAGTCATCGTCGTCAAAGTCGCCAAGGAGATCGAAATCGTCTTTGGCCGGGCTGGGCACAGGTTCAGGTGTCTTTTCACGCTTTGATTGCTGTGATGTAGGTCTAGACTGTTGTACACGAGCTGGAGCAGGCACAACAGATTGACCACAGCGCGAGTTTTTGGTGAAGGGTACATGGGGTGGATTGGCGTCCGGACTTTGGACATTACCTTGCGTGAGTGCTTGCTCGATGTCGCCAAGCTCTTCGTCGTCGAAGTCCAAGTCACCGTAATCGGAAGATACATCTGTACGTGCCTTAAGTGGTGAACTACCATGTGGCATGCTGGCAGGCGGCTGCAACCTCTTCTGAGGTGATGGTGTTGGCTGCCTTGACTTGTCAGCAGCATGGTCGTGTATTTCCTCAGTCCCAGCTTTTGCAGGCAAGGGAGAAGAACTCGAGGGCTCGTCGTGTTCTCTGGCTCGGGCGACAAAACTTTGTTGAACACTTTCCAACAAAATGCTGACCTTGGACTGCTGTGGCAGCTCTTGCTTGAGAATATCCTTCCTTCTAGATGCAAATATTTGTTTTGTTGTGCTGTGTGGATCATAGTGTATCACCTTCCTTCTCTTTGCTTTTGAGGTTGGCCATTCGTTTCCACAGCTGGCAGTTCTACGAAAACCATTGTCCTTTCTGCTTTCACTGGAACCTGGCGAGAACTCGATGGGATGGATCGGCGGCAATGCGGGTTCGTGCCCTCTCTTTTCAGCATAGTGATTCCAGAGGACCGCAGCAGGATCATCGTGGTTTGGCGATCGTCGCACTGGGGATTTTTGCAAGGATTGACTGATACTCTTCAAGTTCAGGCTATCATCCGTGCGTGAGTTTTTCGCTTTCCTACCTTGAGAAGAAACAGGAGAAGAACTTTGTGCTCGTTTCCTGCTCCTTTGAGTCCTCCTTATCGAGCTCACGGAGCTAGATGGCGTTTCCAGTAGACCAGGGATGTGGTTCCAGGTGACCTGGTCGTAGGGTGTTGCACTTGGGAGTTGATCAAGTAGATCTTCAGGATTGGCTACTAGATCCGACAATGATATTCTTCCTGGTGTCTTTGGCGGCAACTGAATTTGCGATGTATTCTGTTCCTTCCCACTGTCATTCCTCTCAACGTCGTTGTCTCCTCTACTATTAGCTGACACCGGTTTTAGTGGTGGTCCATCCGTTGCAATAGGTTCTGGTTGGACTTGTATTGAGGCCTCTTGAGCAACAGAAGGCATGCCTGTATTCGCTCATGTTACTGTTGCATATTCCTCGGTTGATTGGCATGTGTAGTATCCGAAACGACATCAACAGCGCTCACATTGCCTAACGTCAAGGCCTTGAGTTTTCGCGTCGCGTACGACAGAGTGATGAGCAGACGCGTCGCGTGCGCGCCGAGGGACGTCTTCGGAACAACACAACCAGCTATTCAGCCGAGAAGCACATTTCCGTCGGCAATAATTATCGACCATCAGGCAGTCAGGCCAATACGTCATTTGACTCGACAGAGTGGATCTGAGTAGGAACACTTCACTGCACAAGGCTGAGTTCACTGCTTGGAACAATCGTCTAAAGTACTGCTCAATTACAGATGCAGAGATATCTCCAAAAAGAGCTGGACACAATTCTACTATCCAGCCTCAAGAAAGATGTATGAACGCAAAGAGCCCCTTTTGCAAGAGTACTATCACAAATCAAGAGTGGCTGTACCACTCACCAGGCAACAGAACCCAGAGCTCCTATGCAAAAGCCATCCTCGTAGTGGATGAAGCCTGATCCACAAATCTGTTGGTTTAGTCTATTAAGGTCGGATTATCGAGCTTAAAGACTTTGGTCGGCCTGTCGCTTTCTGCCTTCAGGAGGAAGTCGCGGCGGTCGCCCCTGCCAGTCTCTTCAATGACTCCTTCCACTCCACGTAATAAGCGGCTGGCCGCTGCTAGTGAGCATAGCCCACGAGCTTCTTCAACGCCTCCATATGACAGGCTCAATCCACATCTTCTAATTCCAGCAGCACTTTCACCTTCATCAAGACATTCTAGTCCAGGTATTGACAGATTGTGGAACGGCCGCCATTATGCTGACGACTTGATCCCACGAAGGCTAACTGCCTCCCCTATCATCATGCCTAAATCTAAGGAGAAGACGAGGAAGCGACTATCACAGTATCACACCTTTGACCATGCTGTGGAGCTATTGAAGAACGCCAAGAACATTGTTGTCCTTACAGGAGCAGGCATTTCGACATCACTCGACATACCTGATTTTCGTTCAGCAGGTGGATTTTATAGTAAGTTGTCTTCAACCATCGGCCTCTCTGCACCAGAGGAGTTCTTCTCTCTCGACTTCTTCAAAGCACAGTCAGAATCGTTTTGGGATAATGTCAAACCACTTCTGCCACAATACGTCCAGGCCAAAGACGGCACCTACCAGTATGTTGCTGGTAAATATTCTGACAAGAACTCCTCAGTTCCGAGATTCAGTAAAACTCACGCCTTTCTAAGCCTCCTACACTCGAACGACAAGCTCCTCACGAATTACACGCAGAATATCGACAACCTCGAGTTTGCTGCTGGTGTGCGAGCTGATAAGATCGTGAAGTGCCATGGCTCCTGGGATACCGCAACGTGTCTAAGCTGTAGAAAGACGATTTCTGCAAGAAAATACCTGCCCATTGTGTGGGAAAGTGGCTATCCGAGGTGCAGCTGTGCAGGCAAAGACATACCTAAAAAGAAGATTCCCAAGACCAAGCCAAAGAAGAGAAAGAGGGCAATCTACGAAGGCGACTCCGATCACGATTCTGATGACGGCACAACTATGCCTAGGGGACTCTTCAAACCCGATATCACCTTCTTCGGAGAAGGGTTGCCGCAGTATTATGTACCACGACTGGAACAAGACAAAGTCAATGCCGATCTGGTTCTTGTGATGGGTACATCTTTGAAAGTTCGACCTGTTCGAACTATGGTGGTAGACTTCCCTCCTCACATTCCGCAGCTGTGGATCAATAAAACTCGCTTCAATGGTTATGAATCCGACATGCCGGGCGTCTCGTTCGACATTGAGCTTATAGGCGAATGTGATGTTGTGGTTGAAGAATTATGCAAACGAGCTGGATTGCCCCTGCACAAATTTACATGGATTGGTGATCGAGAAGGCGAAAACAAGACGAGTGCTACCAGAATACGAGACACAACACCTACGGAGCATTCTCGCCTTGCTGAAGTTACTTACAACAAGGATGAAAGCGATGTCCTGACAAAGCTTACTGTTCGCGATAAAGCAGATGACTATCCTGCTGTCACTTCAGTATCAGGACCGCTGCTCGCAGTGTCACGTGCAGAAGCAGGTAGTGTGAGTGCTTCTTCAAGTGCCAGCAGTACCAAGCTTTCTAGTATTTTCGACCAACCAGAACGGCCAGATATACGTATCGAAGCCGATCTAGACGCTGCATGGCGTTGGAGATTCACCAAGAAGAGGACTTTGTCGACGAACTCGAGTGTAACTGGACTCTGATCACTATTAGTATGGACAATGAGGGTAGGTATACCTTCTTGGATACTCGTGCATATTGAATACATTGTAGATAGCAGTTGAATATGAGACAGTCATTTCGCCGTTAGCAGGTCTGTCACCCTCACGAACAAAAATCACCTCTCATGCAGGCTGCATTATGCCATTTCTGATTGCCATTACCATTACTATTACCACTACCAGTTTCTGTTGACTGTGTCTTGAACTTCGTAACTCACATCATACCAAAAGCCACGATCCCCTTCATCCAACTCGTTCCTTCGTCCAGCTAGTCCCTCATCCAGGTATTCCTTCCGTTCAACCATTTCGTCCATCCAACTGCGTCCAGACCTATCCATTCATCTCCTCACTAAATCCCCTCCGGTGTCCACAACATTCCAAAGATCCTACCTCCCAAATCCTTCCCTTCCCTATCGACCCTCCCATCCTCACCATCCTCCAAATCCCCATACGCCGTATTATCCTTCTCCACAAATTCAACCGGCTCGTACAACCTCTTATTTCTCGCACAAATGGCCTCCAAGTAAACAGGCTCATTTCCCGCTTTAATAGCAACCCTTTTTATCTCCTCCAGCAGTATCCTACCCAGTCCCATACCTTGTGTCTTCGGATGAGCCGCTAGCATCAGAACGTAGCGGCAGTTCTCGGGGAGCGGTAGTTGGATTCGTTCTTTCATCGTGCTCATCATGGGGACTATGTGGAAGAGGACTCGGTTGAGGGTTAATATGCCCATGTGGTAGAGTGGAGTTGGAGAGAGGAAGCCTGCGCGTAGGATTGTGGAGGTCGCGCTGAAGGACGGGTAGCTGGAACATGGTGGCGGGATGACGATGCTCAGTGCACTGATGCGTGAGTTTGCGGGCCGCTGGATTTCTTGCTTTCCGTTGGGTGTGGAAGTGTTAGTTGTGAGATCCTTCCCAGTATCCTCTCCGGATAGTGCGCCAGTCTCGTCCAGCACAGCAGTCACGTTGGCTCCCGCGATGAGTGCTGCTCTGACTACGAAGCCGAGATAGTGAGGCAGAGCAGCGATGTATTGTGCATGAGTGTGCTTTGGAAAGAGTCATCGTGTGCATGCATCTGCCGTGAACGAATGCGAAAAGAGTAGAATTATCTCGTTCAGGAGGGCTGAGTTTTCAGGGTTGAGCAGATGTTCCGAGGTGAATGTCTGAATCTTGTGATTTGGTGGAAGTCCAGTGGCGCTCATGGTTGCGAATCGTTGACGTGGTCAGGACGCTGGCAGAGTTCGTCCTTGAAGCCCAATCTAGTGTTTGCTGTGGTGGGGACCTGGTCGACGCTCTAGATTTGACGTTGGTTCTCTCTTTCCGGCACTCAGGTAGTCCTGGATGTAGTTGTGACTTGTGACGTGGTGTCACGCAGAGGCTTTCCAGCTTGAATTTCCTCTCGTCCTAGGGTGTATTGTCCACATATTGCGACGGTGGTTGAGGGGCCAGTTCCTTCATCTTGTTTCCAGCCTTGGTGTATGGTATGAAAGTCGGCCAGGCTGGTTGTGCGCTAGTGTGTCGCTGCCAGTGCCGTATTCCATAGCAGGTCCCCAAGCCACTCACTTAACACCAGTAAGTGTCTCGAACCAAGCACGCATTGGTCGAAGCCGCACATGTGCATATCTGGACAATTCGATGTTCTCCTCCTCCTTGACTGGATGTAGTAATGTGCTCTGACCATTGAACTACTCGTAGATCAATCGTGGAGCAGCTTTTTGTGGTACTCTGCCATCACTTGGCTTCAGTCTCAGTGCTCGAGAGCGACCTCCTACTGGCCGAGCATGTCCCTAGTCCTTGGTGCTGCTGCGTGTTGACAATAATGTGTGATATGGCTGGTGGTTTGCCTCGTGACACCATTTCTGACCTTCGAAAATCTTGGCGGAAATTCGCGCTTCGCTCCACTTCACTATAGCTGCACACAGCTCCACCTCCCTTCCAATTCGGTAAAGCGACGAGCGAACGAGCCAGTGAGTGTGCAGTCCAGAGCCCCTGAATCCAGAATTGGAAACCACATACTGCATTGTAATGTCGCACAATAATTCGCATCCTCGAGCGTTAGGACCTGGCAACGCATATTAGTGCAAAGATTCGCATGGATAATTTTTGTCTCTATGTCTTCTGCGAGTGCAGCCATGGAAGATGCTCCAGGATGCCGCCCTTCCTTAGAAGTCGCCTCCGCCTGCCAGCGTAGGAATCGACAGGAGTAAAAGATACGTCACTGTGTCGAGTCGCAGTTATGGAAGTCGCTGCCACCATATCCGTCGTCACTCTCGTGTCGTTGCATTTTCGATAATGCAGAAGATCGGTTCGATGATGTTTGGATCTTCTACTAGAACGTCCAGAACTAGAAGAATAAGCCCGAGCCCGTGGGATTGTATTGTGGCAACGTCAAATCAGCAGACTCGGGACTGTTGAAAGCTGAGAAGTACCCGGAATCTTCATGAAGTGGGCGCTGTTGGACAGGTTGCTGAAGCAGCATGTCACCAGCAGCGGCAGCATCTCCGGGAGCTGTAGCGTCCTCGAGATCTTCGAGGGGTGGGCGTTCTTCAACAGGTTCCTGGAGAAAGGCAGCTGGTTCCCACAGGAAATCCTCCTGGGGCTCTTCTTGGACAGTCTGGTGACGAAAGGCCGCCGGTTCTGGTGCGAACAACATCTCCGTGAAGGTGGCTGGCGCTTGTTGCGTAAACGGTTGGCCGAAGATGACTGGATCTTGTTCGACGAAGTGGTGATTATATATAGCTGGCTCTTGTCCAAAGACCTGCTGGTTATAAGCAGCAGGCCACTGTTCGAAGAACTGCGGGCCATACATCGCTTGGTCAGCGAAAGGCTGGCCATACATAGCTGGCCCCTGGTCGACAAAATGCTGGCCGAAGACATTCGGCCTCTGTGCGATGAAGTGCTGGCTCAAGCCAGCTGGCTCCTGCGGCGCGCCCGCCGCTGTGAGTGGCGCAGGTGCAGGTGGACCTTGCAAGAGTAAGTCCTGGTCGGCTTCAGTACCTGCCGACGACGAGGTGCGAGTTCGATCAAATTGAGCTTTCCTCTGCTCAAGCTCAGGTTTGGTGCATGTTTGCACCACAGGCCTTCCGTCAGCCCCTTCGGGCTTGAAGCTACATCTCTCCGTATGACGGCGGAGGTGATCTTTTCGAGTTACGATACTGCCGTGACACCAAGGGCACGCGTACCACACCTCTTTGTTAGGGTCGGCATGGTCGAGGTTTATGTGCCGAGTAAGATTGCTTTTGTGGGGGAATTCCTTCCCACAATTCTCCTTATTACATCGCAGCTTCTCTGCGCCATGCTGCGATCTCATGTGACTCCTGAGATCCTCCGGATTGGAGTAGGTGATGGTTGGGCAGTGGGGGCATGACAGATTCTGCCTCCGGCTCGAGATTGGTCGTCCGTTAGCACTCAGTCTGCCGGCAGGTCTCTGAGGAACTCCGGATTGAGACATAATGACGAGGCAAGGCTAATCGGAGAGGAAATTGAGGCAGATAGGAGAGTGACGGTGGTGAGTTCTGTGTCACGAATGGGCCCTGCACAAGGCTCAGTTGTAAGTCTGTTGGCCTATTGCTAGTGTTAGCAATCTCATTTTGAAGCCAGAATTAAGTGAGCTATCATCGATTGCTTACAGTATCGCTCACGATATGTCTATTCAGGATAATAATATGACAATGATGTTTTAGTGCAAGTGTCCAGCTGTCTATGGTCAACGATGTGGTAACATTGCGAGTGCGGCGGAATTCTGCAGCTTTTGTAGAAAAGCAGACTATCAGAGAGGGACCGCCAAGACTCAAAGATCGGTGTTGTGGGATGAACAACTCTAAACCACTAACAAGAGTCACAGAGAAGTGCCCGCAAAGGAAAGGTGCATCAAGGGACCACTAAAGAGAGAACGAGAATGAAGGGCTCCGTCCTATACTCTGGTACAGCACCCCAACACGGGCTAGGGCGACGATGGGAAAGGTCCTCACTGTATGTGAAGCGTACAAGCGTGCACATTGGTGGACCTTTTTGCGCAGCAGTGAATGGGACACTCGAAGAAATGCTGGCCAACATGACACTGAGCTGATTTCCAGCAAGTTTAGAGGTCAAGAATCAGGCAGCGCAACAAACAGCCCCATCGTCTCCCAACTTTGTCTCTGATACCGATATTCGAGCAGGGACAACAAATGACGACTATCGGGAACACGAATGAAGCCAGCGCAAGGAAAATAGGTACTCTGTTCAGTGATGGACTGACAGAAAGCTCTTTCCCAGGTCAACTTGCTGAGTCTTGGGAGCGTTGGGAGTCTTGTTGTCCTATTGAAAGTACTAGGAAACCGACAATGGGGAAAGTAGCACCTATTACGCACGCGTTCACTCGAGTTTCGGGGTAGCTCAACCACTAAACCTATGCCTAAAGGCACCGGAAGATTTGTGCACCTTTTGTGAGCGTCTCTGCATGGCAGCCACGGCTTCATGGCATGCAAAGAACGCTAACACGTCAGACCTGGCATTATTTTTGCATACTGGAAGGCTGCCCCACTGAGGCTTCAGCAGCTCGAGTTCTGGATGCAGGATGATATATGCTCAAGGAGAGATTTACCAGGAACGACCACGGCTTTCTAATGTCAGCTTCCCACAAGATATCTCTCTTGCAGTTCTTGCGACGTGCTATCGCATCATCAGCAGCCCCTATTCGTTGTGAACACCCGCAACAACACCCATCTGGCAACCGTTGGGGTTGAGCACTTCTCTCCATTAAAGCTTTTTGTGCTGTGTAAAATATACAGCCACGATTCTCCTGTGTTTCGTTGCACTCACCACCAGCTGTACCCTTTTTACAGAAGCCCGATCGCAAAGCTGACGGAAAACACAGAAGGGCAAACGTCAGAATGCAACACCCACCGAAACACATCTAGTCGAACACCCTCACAGTATGCAGAAACCAGGGATCGACGAGCTGGCAATCACAAGACCACAAAAGAGCATGCGAAAGACTATCAAATCGGTGGTTGGCAAACTTTTACAGCACGCACCGGACGAGCAACCATGCGAGATTGACAGTCAATCCGCGAGTACGACGGTTAGCTGACTCGAGTTGGACTCCGACCCGCGAGCTCGCAAGGTTGCTGGCAATGAACACCGATATCATCAAACACTTCTGGTGCTGAAAGATTCGATTGAGCTACAGCTGGTCCATTACATCTACGTTGAAACGGAAACGAGATGATCACTTCCATACCCCAGCTTAAGATCGAAGACTACGAATTCAAATGGACAAGAAGCTATTTCACGTAACAGAACAGCAGTAGAAAGAACTTCTGAGGAGTTTTGGCACTGATATAGAAACACAGCATGGTACAAAAAAGGATGACTTCAGAAAAACCTCCTCCTGCTCGAGCCATTACACGCTCAACGAAGAGCCTGATCGATTCCCACAAAACAAAGACTAAAATACCGATGCACAGGTATTCTTGTCCACAGCATGTTTTCTGACGCAAAACAACAAGAGATGAGACCTCTTTTTTAACATGTTCTACACGATCTCGAGCCTCAACATTAGTTCATTCTACTTCAATCGAAGAAGGGAACAAAGACTGTGGTCAAAATTGGGCACAATTGTCTTGTAATTTGGCAAGACGAGGAGATATTTGAAGACGTGAACATTGCGTTTGAGGGTGGATTTACCTAGTAAGAAATGATTCGTTTGCCAAGAACGTCGGTTAGATCCGATGCGGACCTAAGTTTGTGTTAGTGATAGAAGTGTGATTCGAGGAGGATGATGTACAATCTGTTATATCATTAGGTGTGTGCGAAGAAGGGTTGTTAGTTTGATTTCGCCAGAAAAGACATGAAAAGAGAAAACTTTCGAGACTCAGTAGGTGGATTGCTGAATGACTCCTCATTACGCTATTTGACGTTGATAACTATTCATGCCTCCTACAATTCATAAAATCTTGTGGCAATTCTTTCTGATACTGTGCCTATCACATTGCTTCTGAACGATTCTTCGTAGTCTAATAGTTCGTCTTATTGCCTCCATATGTCTTCGAGCCATCTCGGTCAGAATCCACGCGAGGGTCTAATTTATTGAGCAAGTTGGAGTTGTGTGGGCCTTTTATCCATTAGCATTGACTCGTAGTATACATACAGAATAGAACTTACCGGCTGTACCAGTGCTAGAGTAGTTATTATCTGAGTATCCGCCTGTCGCACTGTGGCCAGCACCTGTTGAAGAGTGAGGATGACTATCTGTCATGCCACTGCCGACACCGGTATTTCCGTACTGGCCTTGACCTACACCAGAGTGTCCAGGCATTCCACTTCGGCCGTCGTAATCGGAGTCGACACGGGGATCCATTCGGTTAGCCATGCTCGATTGATGTGGCCCGCCAGTAGAAGTCGAGCTGTATTGATCATGTCCACTTCCGAAGTTTGACGAACCTCCCATTCCACTTCGGCCATCGTAGTCAGAATCGACTCTGGGGTCCATTCTGTTGGCTACGTTTGACTGGTGTGGCCCTCCAGTGGCTGAGGACGAACCATAACCGCCCATACCACCTCCAACACCTGATGAAGTACCCTGATAGCCCGATGAGGGAACTGGGTTTGCACCACTCGATCCATAATTGCCCTGGGAGCCGTATCCTCCCACTCTGGAGGTTGGATCATTGCGATTGTCTCGGTCGCTGTCAACACGAGGATCTAGGGAACAAATAGTAAGCTTCAATTCAGCACACCAGTGATTTGAGACATACCTAATTTGTTGGCCAAATTTGAGCTATGAGGTCCAGAGGTGTTCGAGCTGCTGTGGCCTGAACCACCATAGCCTGAGATGGTGGTAGCATCATGCACAGGAGCAGATCCAATTTGGCCGTGATGTTGACCATGCTGGCTGTGCATACCTTGAGTGCTGTGGGTGCCCATGGCTGTACCGTGCCCAGATCCATAACCCGAAGTCGAGGTTGGGTTTGAGCCACTCACTCCGTAGTTCTCCTGACCACCGTAACCACCCACTCGACTGGTAGGATTGTTTCGATCTGGAGCATGTTAGCAACAATACAAGGCTTGTACAAGACGAAAACATACTATCCATGTCGCTGTCGACCCTGGGATCCATTTTATTGGACAAGTTTGAGCTGTGAGGCCCCGCAGTGTTCGAGTGCGTGCCAGTAGAGCCTGGGAATGCTCCTGATGTTGAGCTTCCGTAACCCGATGATGGGTTGTTGTGGTGTTCGATGCCTGTGTTGTAACCGCTATTGTGGCTTGTGTCGTGGGCACCAGTATGACTTCCAGTGGTGTGATGATTGTCCTTGTCACCAGACAACAACTCCTTAGCCTTGTTGATAAGTCCAGACATTTTGAAGGTAAGTTAGAGTACGGTAAAGCTATGCTTTGAGGTTTGATAAGTTTTGTGGATTGTGAATTAGGCTCTATGCTTTACAGCTGGAACTTCAACTCTTAAGTAAGTCTGTCTTGTGCTCCTCCCCGAGCTCGTTTAACCTGAAACTGGCAAGCACACATGTCATTATGGATTCATCCTTCCTGCTTCAGTCTGCACGGTCGCATAAATTTCGTCATCCAACACCACGCGGCAGGGACACGAGCTGGCAAGACAAATCAACACTGGGCAACCAGTACTTGACAACAAACGCCCCCCTGGTCGTCGTCAGCTTGTATTGACGACTAACCCCATTACGCGATGAGCCGTCGCTTAGGGAGGAAAGCTACGGTCAGAAATCCTGGTTCAAATGCCCCGCAAGCATAGGATCCTAGTCAGGATGATGTCGTTCCTGCGTCATGCGAGCGCTAACAGATGTGGCTGTGGTGGCTGGTGAGTCCTCCTCCACCCCTCCATGCCGATCACAACCTGATACAAACGATCCTATTTTGGGGAACAGGTAATAGCGTTTGGGCAGCAGGTTTGAGATCACCTCCCAGCTATGTAAAGCTTGATTTCATGCTCAGAGCAGTGTGTTGCGATCGAGATTCTGTTACGAGGTACCCACAAGCATGATTTTATTCTCGGCCATCGTTGACAACATATTTTGTGACCGAACGTTTCAAGGCATCGATCTCGCGCTGTGTTTTGACAAAAACTTCCCGGTATTGCTCTAAGCTCTCATCGACCACTTCTCTCCTGGATTTTCGACCCTCACAGATGGCTTTCATCTTGAGTTCCATCTCTTTTCGCAAGAATGGCTTACTGACACTGACGTCAAGGCCAACATTATCGTAGCCTTCAACTAACGCTACTCCGAGCACGGTTGGAATGAATTCCTGTACTTGATTTCTGCCACCACCAGCCTTAGAACGACTTTGAGCATAGTGTCGATCCTTGATTTTCTGGATATGTTCAGCCATAGTTGCATCAGTGCCGATGCCATTGGCGTCCATCAACCCAATCAATTCGGGCTCAGTAAGGTACGTCGGCGGAGTTGTCTTTCCATCAGTCATGTTGGCTTCAGTTGGTTCAAGGGTTTCGTTGAGAGTGTAGCGAGGTAGTTGTTGGCTGCTTTCCCACTTATCATAAACATAGACGTCAAGGTAGTTACGCTCCAGAACAACTAATCCATGAGCATGAAACGTTTCTGGCCCCCATTCAATCTCAATGTCGCTTGCTTCACCCTTTGCATCTTCTGAGCAGCATGCCAAAAAGCGACGAGTCACAAATTCGTAAACCTTTCTCTCATTGGCATCAAGAGCGTTGTCGCCGGCATGTATTACTGGATGGATTGGAGGATGCGCCTGGTCGTTATTGCGGCCGGGGCGTGGCTGCTTGAAAGCACCATCTAGCAGTCCTTGTGCATACTGACCCCAGCTATTGTGCTGCGTCTGCTTTCGAACAAGTGCCTTCAGGTCGAAGTCCCTTGAGAACTGGTCGGTTTCTGTCCTCGGATAGCTGATGAAACCTTTCTGGTACAGCTTCTCTGCGACAGACATCACCTCATGACTGTTCATGCGCAAGAAACGACTCCCTTGCATTTGGAGCTCAACTGTTGTAAGTGGTAATGGTCGCCACTTTGAAGTTGGTTTCTTCTGAACTTTGGTGACTTTGGCATGTTTGGAGTCTAGACATTGTTCAAAGAGGATGGTCACCGCAGCTCGATCGAACAGATGCACCCTTCTCCAATTGAAGTTGACCTTGATATTCTCACGCTTATGCATAACTTTGATCAGCCAAAAGCTCTCAGGCTTGAAGTTACGGACACGGTAGTACCTGTCTACCACAAAACCTAGCGTTGGAAACTGACACGAGCCATAACTCAGTAACTGGTTCTCAAGCTTTTCGGACAGGTTTTGTAGAGACAAGGTCTGGAACCTGGTAAAGGCCGCCCCAATGCGTAGATCAAGCTCAATGCGAGCAGCCACTGCGTTTGCCTGATGTTCATCGAGATCGATAGGATTACGTGCGGCTTGAACGACATGGTTCTTCTCGGTGTTGCTGAACCTGGCTCGCTTGACAATAATGCGAGGATTGCCCTTCAAAGCCTCATTTCGGACTTCCGTACCGATATGCTCGCCTTCTCGATCGCAGTCGGTCCAGATGAAGAGGATCCTAGAATAGCGAGCTTGTTGAGAGATGTTCTCGGCGATCGCTTTCTTGTCGTGGTCAATTGTCACTTGAATAGGTGCCTCGAACAGCTGACTTGGTGGACACGACGTCCACTTTCTATATCTCTGGTCAAAGTCCAGACCTGTCAAGTGGCCAAGGACACTTGTCATTATCACATCACAATCTCCCCATAGCGGAAAATTGTAGGTAAACTGATAGTTCTTGACGTATTGGTTACCTCGCACGTTACGCTAATCTGAAGTCAGAGTCTGTCATACAACACGGAAGAAGGAGAGCTGACTGTTTGCAACCGGCCACCAGCCAGATGCTGTGCTACAGCCTTTGCAATAGCGGGTTTTTCTGCCACGCATAGAATCTGCTGACCTGGCATCGCTCATTTTGAACTATAGAGCAGAATTTGCTGCGAATTCGATGCAGAGATCGAACTCAATGAAGTGTTGCACAGTGTAGAACAGATATTTGTGGATCCTCAAATATCGCGTCGAAACGCGCTTCGGTAGTGACTACTGAAAAGAGACAGACGAACGAATTATTGTGCTTGACGTCACTGCTTGGAATGAATTCGTGCCAGAACAGGACAGGACAGTGTGTGCGCTCGAGCAGTGGTAGAGCTTCACCTTGTTCTCGTTCTGCAATGGCGCCTGCCAACATCAGTATGGCTCTTCCTGTGGTGAAGCTAGCCACTGATTGCGCAGACTATGCAGATACTCTGGCGCCCTACCTCGACCAACTGCGTCCACTGCCATCACTAATTACCGAGCATATCACCAGTGCTGCAGCGCTCAAGCAGCTCTATATTGACACCAACCCGTTCGTTTCGGGGCTTGCTATCTCGTTGTTCTTGTCGCCCTTCTTCTTGTTTGCTGCTGAACTGAATCAGAATTGGTCGCAGATCGATCGAGTATGGTCTATACTCCCAACTCTGTACAATGCACATTGGATGATATGGGCGCACCTGTCAGGCCTCTCGACCGAGCGATTGGATTTGAGGCTCTTTGTGAGCCTAGTCTGGAGTGTTCGGTTAACATACAACTACTGGCGAAGAGGTGGCTACAACATTGGAAGTGAGGACTACAGATGGGCGATTATTAAGAGAAGGATCGGTCAGCCATGGTTCTTCATTCTCGACGTGACTTTCATAGCACTTGCTCAAAACGTCCTCCTATTCCTTGTCACGAGCCCCAGCTATATTGCGCTGTTAGTCTCGCGTCTTGACACGGCTAATAATGACCGAGCCCTTACGAGCCTCGATTACTACTTTGCCGGCCAAATCCTTTACCTCATCGGGCAGACTTGGCTGTCAGACCAGCAGCAATGGGATTATCACTCGGTCAAGCACCAATACCAGAAGACAGCAAGAGTACCAACGCATTGTGGTTTTACAGCGGAAGAGCTGGATCGAGGGTTTCGCACATCAGGCTTGTGGGCATATTCACGACATCCCAATTTCACTTCTGAACAACTTGTCTGGTGGTCTTTCTACCTTTGGTCGAGTCTGTTAGCTGGGAAGCCATTCAACTGGACTATCGTTGGTCCAGTTATCTACTCCCTGATCTTTGTTGGCAGCACACCCATTACGGAGTATATCTCCGAAGGAAAATACCCTGAGTACAAAGAGTATCGACAACAAGTTGGCATGTTCTTGCCAAAGTCGTTCTCTGCACCTAGATTCAGTGGAAGATACTCGCCGAAGAAGAAGAGGATAGCCGATGGGAATAATTATGCGACCAAAAAGAATGCAGAGGATTATGCGCAGGCAAAGACGAGGTACGATCTGAGATGAATTCACACGACTTCAAAAAAACATGCGAAATCTTCGTGTTTGCGAATGCAACAACCTGCGGTGATATTACGGCATGGTGTACGCGAACAACGGGTTCAGTTTCGTCTATTATGACGGTCTGAAGCCTGCCAGGGTCGATGATCCAGGTACGTCTCATTGACACTGTGGGCATGATTCAAAGTTGTGACTGCATGGCGTGTCACACAAGCCCAAGCCCCGGCCGTATGGTTGACCGAAAGAGTACTATGCCGTGTGCCCTGTCTCGTGTCGCTCCGGCAGTTTCGACTTAGGCCTGCGGCAAACATGGCCGGTCTGCAAGCAGTAAACGTCGAATGAAGGCCATCTAGAACGTTGTAGTTGAAGCAAGATAGAAGAAGAAGAACATCAAAAACTTAAGATTCTAGACAGCCATAGTAGGAAGGATAAATATAATCGAAACATCTTGTAGCAAGAATATTCAGGTTCGAATTCTCCAATCTGAAAGTAGAACAAAACCCTGTTAATCCAGTACACCACGAATGTATTCACATTCAGAACCCCAAGCCAAAAACACCAGCACCCAAAAGCACACCAAGAGCCATCAAACTATTCCCACTACTCCCTCTCCCCGCAGCGCTGCTCTCATAATTCAAAATCTCACTCTCGATGTTATTATTGTTATCATCATCTCCAGCAGCAGTGCTATTCGCCACCACACCCCTAACAGGATGCTTACTCTCCCACCTCGCCTTCTCCTTGTCACTCACACCCCTGACCTCACCGCCATAAATAGCAGCGGGACAACGATGCACTCCATTCCCATTCATTTCAGGGTTCGCCGCATTGCGCTTATACGCGCTCAACGTCTGTCTATTAGGGTCCTCCTTTGGCAGCGGATTCAACACCATCGCCATCCCCCTCTCACAAACATTCGCACCTCCACCAAGGAGTAACTCCCCATCAATGGCGTAGAACCACATCGTCTCCGTGCCAGTGACGTTGAACATGAATTTCTGGCGTGCGATGCCATCGTTGTTTGGAGTAGGGTTGAAGCCGCTGAAGATGGCGCGTTGGCCGAGGGGCTGGCAGGGTTGGTCGAAGGAGGATTGGACGATGGAGTAGTTTGTTGGATAGAAGTAGAAGGTTAGGCTGCTGCCTATGGGGATGTTTTTGAGGGTGGAGGGGGTGAATGCTGTGCCATTTTGGCCGACTGCTATGTTGTGGTTGCGGGGGCCGGTTGGGGTTGCTGATGCTGATGCTGAGGAGGAGGAGGAGGAGGACGTTGTCGTTGTTGTTGTTAATGAGGTCGTGCTGGACGTGATTGTGCTTGTGGTCGTTGCTGGGTCGACTGGTGCTACAGTAGAGGTTACTGCAGCGGTGGTAGTCGTCGATGTAGTTGTCGCGCTGAATGTTGATGGCTCCGATGCTGGTCATAATGTCTGTCCTTGAGGCTGTCGTGCAGCAAGTGGGTTGAGTTTCGGATTTTCTGGATGAGGTAGCTGGCGAGGTCTTGGGGCTGCCCGGCCATAGCAGGTATTTTCTGCTAGCAGTAGCGATGCTAGAATAAACTGTTGGAGTTGCATGTTCGCTTGGTGTTGCTGAGCTGTTGTACAGGTTAGTTCGAGGTATTCCACTAGGTTGTTCAGTCAATGATCGTCATGAAGGAGAAAATCATTAATTGTAGGTTCCTCTTGAGACTTTTGTTCGCAAGCATCTTCATGTTTCTGGACAACAAAACTGGTGAGCATTTTGCGCCTTGACCATTTATGGGGGACTCGTCTGCAACCGCGGAAACCGTATGCACCCATCGATTCATATTTTGTACACTATTCTGTCTTCAGCTTTTCCTGCGGCGCAGATCCCAGTTTTGCGCCGACTGCTTTTCTTGCCTCTTCAGCTACCTTTGCTGGTTTCGGTGGAGGAGGAGCATCAGGCCATGCTTTTTTCAGTGCATCCTGAATCATGACTACGCCGCCTTTCGGCCCGGCAACAGCACCTGTAGAACGCACGGATCAGCACCGAGCGCGGAATTGATGCATCGCTACGGTAATACAGCATAGAAGACTTACCATTCACCAGGACAATTCCCTTCTCGTCGTCTGTCTGCAGTACTTTCAGGTTCTGCACGGTCACTCTCTGGCCTCCCATTCTACCAGGCATCTTCTTTCCTGGATAGACTCTGCTACCACCGCCTTGTCCGTTACCTGTGGAACCTAAACTCCTATGACTGAGCGAGTGACCGTGACTCCTCGGTTGACCACCAAAGCCCCATCTTTTCATGACACCCTGAAAGCCCTTGCCCTTGCAGTCTGCACGCGTATCCACGAACTGTCCATCAAGAAACCAGCTTGCTTTGATTTGTTCTCCCACAGAGAGCATTCCCATCTCATCGCGGACTCGAAACTCCTGCAGGTATCGCTTTGGCGGTACTTCTTGGGCTGAAAAGTGTCCTAGTTCTGGTTTGGTAATGTTCTTGGGGTCTTTGCGACCCATACCCACGCAGACAGCCCAGTAGCCATGTTCCTTCATCGTCTTGTGATGTATGACCTGATTTGAATCGAGCTGGAGGACGGTGCAAGGTATTCTTTCGCCTGTTTCTTGGTTGTAAATTGCTGTCATGCCCTTTTTAATCGCTAAAGCACCTGTTCGTAGAGGCAGTACATCGGCTTGAATCTTCCTATTATATGCAGCTCGTGGTGTAGATAGCAGTCCTGGCAATCCTGGCGCATTGTTGTACGGGTTTAGTTTAGGAGGTTCTATCGACTTGATGCCGAAAGATCGTGTTTGCTGTGCTGCTCGTTTCGATGGCTGTAGGCATGACCGCGGCAGGAGAAATGAGGGAGGAAGCGGTACTGCCAGGAAGACAGTGCCTTTGGGTGGCATGATCGCACAGAGTTATCAGGAACGATGAGGGACACGATGAGGGTAGGATAGCAATCGTGTTATACTGATGCTACTCGATGAGGCATCAGCTATACATTTCGCGCTCAGCCTGAGTTCGCGGAATATTCTGCTCTCTGCACAACCGTACTACTCCTGCTCATTAGGCCCACCCTTGCCTTTATACGGCGCAACCACATTCAAGGCATCACTTTGGGGAAATCCAGTCTATGACAACTGAGGTCAACAGTACCTTATAACGTGGCTTTGAAGTCACAGTTCCCGGGAGCCTCGAGATAAGTAACGATCCTGCAGTGGTCGTGATCCTTCGTTATATCACGCGACAAGCTCGACCTTTCGTGGCGCTTTTTGCGTGTCTCAACCTTGACCTGCTAAGAAGACAAGGATTCTTGCGGCAGACTGCTTTCCAGTCCACTCCAACATGACTACGTCTATGCCGGTCCATATGCATCCAAGCCGCTGGGACTTTACGTCACACAAGTCCCCAGTCTCTAGTCATCCAGTATGTCGATCACCTGAATCTTCGCATTCTTTCGAGCTCGCTTCTGAGGCAGTATCTCTAGCTCTTCTTCCTCGTCTGATTGTGAGCGTTTCACTCGCTCAAGTTGTTCCATATCGGAATCCAGCTGCTCCTTCTTGGTAGCCTTCTTGCCCGCTTCGATTACTGTCTGCTGTCGTTCGATGAGTTGCAGAAGCTCTTCACGAGACAACGATTCGCGTGGCCTGTCTTCAAGGGGGATTGGCGAAGGTGACTGTGGAATGACATCTATCTTCTGGAGGGTCACTGGCACTTTGTTAGCATATTCTGACCACCGCTTGCCTATACATACCACGGGTGTAGTAAAAGAAAATGAACTCGGCCAATGGCTGGGATCCAATCCGAACTGTATGCCATACTGAGTGGGGTCTGCACTCTTCTGGTTCGTCAAGCCTGTCTTGCATTAGGATATTCGTGGAGACCTCAGTGAACGGATTTACGTAGTGAAGCTGTCTGTAGCTCGGCCTTTCATATTCTTCTCGGATGATGCTGGAGCTGTGAACTTGCCTCCATCCGTGTCTGTGTTGCTAGATTTTCTCTTAATTTTTTCCCGAAAGACACAAATTTTGATAGAACCTATGCTCTAAATTCGCTTCGGGCTGATGTCCGTGTTTGGGGGGCCTTCGTCTGCATTCAAGATCAACTTGCTGCTTTTTGGTATTTTTGGCAGACCTACTGAGTTGTAGATTCGCGAATCGAAACTTCCTCAGCTTGGCATTACCATTCTCCCGCACTTCAACTCCTCTCTGGATTTCAACGAGCGCTTTTCGACCAGGCTGATACTTTTGCTGCATCAAGAGAGGGATGATAGTGTGTACACCATCTATGTAGATGGTGCAAGCCAGGACATCAAACTCTCCAGGGAAAGAGAAGCCAGGATGCAAACGCATTTCCACATCGAAGTTCTGATCAGGCTGGCTTTCGATGCATTTCTGGATGACAGACGTTGTGTCCGACTGCAGTTCTACATTTTCGCTCGGTTCATCAGGCAGATCGTATTCGGGAAGAGGTGTTTTGGCGACACGAACTCTCATTTCGAGCTGCTCGATTATTGCCATAGCGTGCTGTCTTCACCGAACGCATTAGAGCTGTGGTTCGAATCAAGTTGATGGTAGTGGTATTATAGGAAGGAAGAGGTTGCGGTATATACAGGACAGAATCGAGAACTTGGCAGGTGAAGGTCGCCTCAATCCACTCACCTTCACTCTTGTCCCTACGCTCCTTTGTACCCGTACTTCATCCCTCTCAGCTCCTGTATCTCTTTCTGTTCATCCATAATACTTCGTCTGGCAAAAGTCGTCATGGTAGCCATGACTCCAGGCATAAGGAGATACAACCACATATACTCAGGCACACCCTTCAGATCCCTGCCACGAAGTGCCCAAGCCGCCACAGCCAACAGCATACACATAACACCATTAAGAATCGGCAGCGCTTGAAGCAGTGGACCTTCCACATCAAGATCAAGTCGTGCATCGTCAAGCTTATCAAGAACGTCCTCGAAGATTTTCTTCACGCGTACGGTAAACGAGCCAGACGTATTTTCCGCGTTCGCAAAAGTCGACCTAGTGACCTCCCTCTGCCGCCTATCCAGCCGTGCCCGCGCATCAATCCCATCAGCATTCGACAAGAAGAACATCGTAAAAGAGCTCGCGAGCAGACTCGTCAACGCCAACAGACACAACAACCGCAATCGTGCCGGCACAGCCGAGCTGAAGATCAAATAGTATACGAATAACGGCGCGATTGCAAGTGGCAGCAATGTGAATATCATCGTGTACGTGGCATTTGATGTTTGTGACTGCGATTGTAGCGACGAGATTACATTTTCTTGTTCTTCTTCGTCCAGTTCGTCGCGTGAATTGGTGGAGCGCTCATCTTCGGAAGGATATTTGAAGGTCTTTCGTAGGCGAGCTTTGTCCATTATGATCGTGCGGCATTGACTCAAGCTCTAAAGATCGTGCGCTTGATAAGTGGTTGACGATGAACAGTATATTCTGCTTCCAGCTTCTTGCAGTTCTTGTTTGTTCACGTCTGTGTCCCGAATTCTGCACCACAGTAAGACGTGCTATGGAGAATGCAAAGTCGGATGGCGAATAAAATTGGTCCGAGTTGGTGTTATCCCGTCCGACAACATCGTCACACAACTTCAAACGAAGGAAACCTATTCTTGTGCTTATCTTACAGTCCGCGTTTGAATTTCGTGCATTCTATTTGACGATGTAGGAGCATGTTCGGCTTCCGATCTTAGTCTATACACTGTTCAAGCCTATCACATATCAATGCTCTCATTGAACCTCAAGATGCCATTCATCTTCATCACCCCATTGACACCCTCAGGCATAGGCGTCCAGCCAGCGCTACTCATACTACTCTGTCTTGTATCTACGTTTTGATCAGACACATCCGAGACAACCACAAGACCAGCTTGCTTGATCGTCTCCATCAAGGCAGGCACTCGCTGTAGGATACGGCTGGTACACATCATGCCCATGAAGTTGTTGCTTTGTGCCAGTCTCGCGCTCTCCTTGATGGAAGAGCTTGGCACAATCGGAGGAACGCTGGTAGAAGTTGTGTGCATGACTTCGTTGTGATATTTGCTGCCACCAAGATCGTTGCATAACAGGACTGGGTAGTTTGGTTGTTTCCAGTTGATGGCTGTACATATTACTGGATTCCATGAAGAGAAGACAATCGACCGCGTCACATCTGGATTCTTAGCACGAAGGCTTCGAGCGTGGTCGAACACTTCGGATAGGACTCGGTCTGCGAAAGTATTAATGTCAATGGTTTGGTAATTACATATTGCCTGTTCCTCGATAGGTGTGGGGTAGAGTACATGCAGGTTGAGGTTGATATTGGTAGGTATTGTCGCAAGCACATCTTTGAGCGTTGCAATTGACCGCTCAAGTCTGAGACGCCAATACTGGATGTCGTTCGCTTCGGCCTCCGATGGGGCAGGAGTCGTACTGAAATCAATGGCTCCGAGTGTAGACAACTCCTCAAGTCGTCGTTGACTGATGGACACATCAAGGCCGTGATGTGTTTTTAGATAGGATGAAGCCACAATCGGGAATCCGTCTCTTGTCATTTGTACACAAAGTCTGAGGTAGTCACCAGACAAGCTTGAACCTGTAATGAGAGCTCCACTGTCGTCACTAGCACTCGTAGCTTTCCAGTATGTCGCAAATAACGTGATCTCTAGTGGTATACCACTATAGGCTTTGACGACTTGGAAGCTGAACTGTATCTGGCCGATGGCTCGCAACCTTGGATCAAACAGTGGCAGAGTACATATACCAGAGCTGCTATCAACCGCTTTGAACACATCTGACAGTGCCACAGATTTTGCTATAACTTTGGAGCCAAAGGTAGGGAAGATCTCGAAGTCGACCGCGAAGCTGTCAAGACTATCGATCTGAAACGATACAACCCGTGAATCCTCCTGTATTGGAAGCATGATATTTCGAGGTATGAGATCCGACATTTTTGAAGAAATGGTAATTCGAGCTGCAGGGTATCGACCTTCATTGAAGAATCGAATAGCCTGAGCACCCCGGTCAAAGTTCAAAGATACCAGCGTCTTAGTGTCGAGATAATTGTGTCCGTATCTGCGAAGAGGGATAATTGGTGGTGGTAGGTAAAGATCCGGGATACCATCCGCATCAACTGGGGCTGGAGATACTTCCATCGCGCTAGGCGGCAGCACTTGCGAGCTCGGTGTTGAAAATCGTGCTTGTTGTCGTGGCAGCACTACTTTGTCCCATAGTAGATCCATGCACTCTAGATGTCCTTCCCACGTAGCATAATAGGTAGCACTTAGACCCTTTTCATCGAGCGCTCCAGCATCTGCACCGTTCTCGAGGAGTAGCTGTAAGCACTTGACCTGGCCTTCGCTTGCAGCGTGAAACAATGGTGTCCAGGAATATAGCTTGTCTCTTTGATTCAGATCGGCGCCATGCTGGTTCAGTAAAAGCAATAGCTGTGGGTCTTTGCTGGACCTGGCTACTAGATGCTGTGGATAGAGACCTTCGGCATCTGGAAGTAGCTGTGCATTCATCTCGAGCAGCAATCGTACAATTTCGGTCAGTCCGTGCTGGCAGGCAAGATTGAGGGGGATGTGGTCATTTTCTCCCGCAGGGTTGATGGCAGCATTTTGAGACAATAGTAGTTGGACACAGTCGATCTTGTTCCTAACAATGCTGTGAATAAGTGGTGTGAAATTATCGTGGTCTCTCAGATCTATCATACTCGGACCGGCCTGTATCAATTTCTCCACCATGCCAAGGCGACCTCTCAGGCATGCGTAGTGAAGTGGGGCTCTGCCATAGACGTCAAGACGTGTGACATCCACGTTCTGACCCAAAGCGAGATCCAGAACATACTCGTTGCCGTAGATTGTAGCCTCGTGCAGGCAGTTACGCTCGTTCATATCGTCTTCGGCATGCAAGTCGACCAGGTTGGATTGGACCAGAGCATCGATTGACTCTTTCGGTGCTTCGCTGATTGAACTGAGAAATATCCTTGTGAATCGTTCTTTTGCACCTTCAGAACTACCGAGCCGCGACACCCACTCTCGAAGCGCATTGGTATTGGCAGCAGCTGCTGCTTGAAGGATTTGAAGGTCGACATCGCTGTCTTCTGTTCCAACTCTTTGACCAATAGTTCGATCTGATGTTCTTCCACCATCATAGTGCAAATTCTCACCTTCGGCCCAAGCTTCTAGATCTTGTCTTGAGGTTGTAGCTCGGTCCGAAAGATCACGAAGGAAATCTCGATTGAAACAAGGCTGTATCTCGACAGCGCGTTGCAAATATAGCTCCTTGGTCCTCGACTTTGACGTTTTGTCCCATTTCTTCAAAATCTTCGAGATTGCTGTTTCATTGACTTCGACGAAATGTTGGAGCTTGTTGAGGTCATTGTCGAACTGCTGAAACCCTTCTACCAGCGTGGCGAAGCTTGCCGAAACACGAGAATTGACTGACGCACGAGCCTGTATTACCCGCTTCTTGTCGAGGAGCGTTTTGAGCCGGAGAGAGAATTCTGCCTCCTTTTGCAAGTAGAAAGTGTTTACCTTCGAGATCTCCCGTTCCAAGCTGAAGAAGAAGACCTGTCGATTTGCGCGCAATGCTGATTGCGCATCTTCCGGTGATGGCACACCTTGCGCGGGGAGAGTCGGCGTCGCGCTTAGTTGCTTGATGAGTTTCTTGAGAGCTTTGTAGTTGAGGAAGCTTGCTGCATATTCCGGTAGGTCCAGCTGCTGACGCTGAATTTGTTTACCGAACTTCATGGTTGAGCGGCCAGTAATCTCCCGTCTTGAGCAGTACTGTGCTTTAAGTTTTGTTGTAGTCGGGTTGAGTTTCTATCACATGGGATCTAGCCGCTTAATCCTCAACTCTCTTCCATCTCGGGGTTCAGCAACGGCTTTCACTCATCGTGCCCGCCTCGAAATGATGCGCAACTTTTAGATCAGCAGGGAGCAAGACGTATACTCTTCTCTAGAACACGAGGCTCATGAAGAATTTTGTGAATGTGTAGTCAGAATTAGAAAACTTCGAGAACGGTCACTGAGGTCCACTATGGCTATGCATGAAGACGACCAATAACAGATCGTGTTTCAGACACGCCCCTTTCGGTGAACGTGTAGGCACGGTGAGAGTGCGACAATCATACAGATGCACTTGGGAGAATAGACCTCCAACTCAGGAGGGAGACAAGTAATCTTGACACTCTTTCAGGTGCCTTACGGCAGGAGAGCAGAGAAGACGGAAGCATGATTGACAGCTGTGTCAGTCGTATGCATAAGACTATTCCGATGAGACGGAACACGAGCAGAACTCAGTATTGATCAGGAAGGTCCGCCGCAACCCCGGCTGTTCACAGGAAACATCATGTTGTTGTGCAAAAGATATTATCACCGTTCCTCGTTCTCAAAATCAATGCTCGGCCTCGATGAAAGTTGTGGTCGCGCGCTTCACCCTGTAACAGCAGGACTACTGAGGTCAATATTGTGTCCAAGCTCAATATGATGGCATCGACAGCAGTTACATCATCAGGACCATTCATAGCGTGTCCTATATCTGGTGCTTCTCCCAGGTGAACGTGCTTGAGCATAGGTAATTACGGCCCGTACTTCGTGCAAATCAGTGCTTGCAGCTGTTTCGAAGAGTGGAAGTCCGTGCACAGAGCTGTCCTCGGTCATACGGCGAGAAAAGCCAAGAAGATGTGCACGATATCCCTTTGTTCATTTCCGCTGGCATGCAACAGTTTGCAGTACGTCGTGCTGGTAAGGTTCTGACAAAGAAATCTCAAAGGCATATTATGCTGTGTACTATCTTCGTCGATCTTCTCTTTGCAAACTGCTGTCAAAATATTGCTGAAAATGACAAGAATTAACATCCATAGTGCGTCACCACTAAGCGCAAGCTCCTCTGCGCAATCCCTGGTCGAACTCGACAAGCAAACACTTTCAACAGAGGAAAAGCAGATAGCGACCGAGCCAAAAGACATGGAGGAGGTACCGCTCATGCTCGCATCAGACTCCAAATCATCGGAAACACCACCTGAGCAAGCTGAACAAGCATCATTGCCCTCCATGAGCAGTACACCCAGTCGAACAGTCCCACGCCTCAACACAACCACCCGAATCAACACAAACAGTGGCCCTCTCCCATGGAAGATCGACGAAACATCATCGCCCTACTCACCTATATCAAGGAAACCCTCCTTCGTCCCACCACCACCACGCTCGCGAGCTTCTCGCACTAGCATCGGCGGCGCACAACATCAACTCCCAACCCTACAAACCTTATCCTCCTCCGCCAACTACAACAACTACTCCCCACCAACTCCCTACACCTACAGCAGCAGCCCAAACAGCCAGACCGTCGACCTCACAAGTCCCCCAGGCTACTCCCAAAACTCCCACGACTCATTCAGCGATCGCTCGCCCTACGAGAACAGCACACCATTTTACAGCAACAGCCACTCATTTAGCGTCTCGAGTCCAGTGACTCCAACACGACGCGGTGGAGGTATCCTTGACAACGATCCGGATATCTATCTGCGAGGAGAAGGCGATGCAGACGAGGAGACGATGTGGGATACGGCGGCCAAGTGGGCGAAGATTGCTGGGAAGAGGTTGAGTCAGGGTGAGCAGCAGCTGTGGAAGATGGTGAGTGCGGTTACGAACACTGAGGGTGAGGACTGAAGATACATTGTGGATAGGTTGTGTTGGAGTTTAGTATAGTTCTATTTTGTGTAAGCATGACTTTGTGTGTATCATTAGAAAGGAATGCCAGAAGAAATTATTCAAAGAACGTCCCAATCTCTTTTTGTACACGTAGGGTGTGTGCCGTGGAGAAATGAGCAGCAAGCATTAGCAACGTTTATGGTCGTAACTCAAGTTCACGCAAAGGCACAAGTTACGACTATGTTAAGGGGGTTATGAAAAGCGCATCACGGAAGAAGGAGAGGTGGTATAGGTGAAGAAAATCGACGCCATTCATTGAGTGCAAAGGCAGTATGAAGTACAATGATACACAAAGAGGCATGACACCTCAAGCCTGCGATATCGATGAGTCCGATACAACTGCCTTCATCGCCTCTGTATGCCTTGAATTCTTGTCTATTGGCAACACACCCCGACAACTTTTCACACCCTCCATAAACCTCTCAATGTATTATTTTGAAACACTTGCGCCCAAAGTCGCAGGGAGTATCTCGCGTAGACTGCGCACATTCCACTGCACGCAGTTGCAATTTTGCTTGGTTGAAATCGTAGTGGTAGGAAAGGCAATTTAGCCAGAGCCACCCTTGAAGGCCTTGCCGAACATGAGAAGCTGAGCCTCTGAGAAAATTGTTAGCGCATACGCGACATGGAAGTGTTGAGTCAGACTTACGATCGTAGATGGAGAGCACACCAGCACCAGCAACACCACGGAGAATGTTGGCACCAGCACCCTTGAAGAATGATCGGATACCTTCAGCAGCCATGATTTTTCGGGCAGCGTCCAAAGAGCCGGCGTACTTGACGGCCTCACCAGATGTCATCATCATTCGTCGTCGGATAGTGTCCAATGGGTAGGAAGCAATACCAGCACCAGTGGTAACACCCCAACCGAGCAAGAAGGAGACCAAGAAGTTACCCTCAAGAGGACCGACCAGGATGACAGGCTTGAGTGAGTCGTACATACCGAAGTACAGACCACGGTAGACCACAATACCAAGAACGGAAGGACCGAAACCACGGTAGAGACCAGCGATACCATCGGAGGCGAGAGTCTTTCTGTAGACATCGACAAGACCGTCGAACTGTCGACCACCACCACCCTTGGAAGCGGACTTGGCGTCGTTGGCTAGACGGGTACGAGCATAATCGAGCGAGTAGACGAAGAGGAGGGAGGTGGCACCAGCAGCACCACCTGAAGCCAAGTTGCCCATCATCCACTTGGCGTAACCATCTCGCTCCTTTTTGAAAGCGAACATGCTCTTGTCTGAAAAATGTTACTAATTGTTGCTGCTCGGTCAAGGTATGCCAACTTACAGGTGTCACGGAAAGCGAAGTTCAGAGCCTGAGTAGGGAAATATCGGATAACGTTGGCAGTGTTACCTCTCCACAGGGCCATAACACCCTCGCTCTTTGAGGTTCTGCTAAAGCAATCGATGATACCATTGTATTTTCTGTCGAGACGGCCAGCTCTCAACATTTCATCCTAAAAGACTGATGTTAGCGCTGTATCGTAGGCAAACTCAGGATCGAGGTAGGCTTGAGTCGTGGTATGTTGTGGTTTCGTGTATTTGAAGTATGAACAGGTTGCGCATCTGCAAGGCTGCACATGCAACATCGCATGGCATCTTACACGAAAATAGTGTTCGTCTTCTTCTACTGGTCTTTGTAACCTTTGTAGCGGACATCGCAATGACGGGAGAGAGCGGTCGCCGTGTCTTGCATATCGAGTTACGCAGATATAGTATTCTTTTGGACTCTTGCGGTGCTTTGCGGGCAGGAGGAATAAGGGGTTGAGGGCCGTGACGGAGACATACCTGATTCTGAATGAGAAGCTTGACTCGCTCGATAGGAGCAGCGGCAGTTTTCTGTCTTTCTGTCAGTAAAATGGTTCCGGAGACCCTTATCAGGGCTAAATCGGGTACTGACCGAGACGGCAGCAGAAACACCACCCATCAAGAAATCAACCACGAATCCAGGCCTGCAACGTAATGAGCTTCGGAAGCACGATTCTCTGAATCTACTCACATGCCCATGAAGGACTTCTTTGCCTGGACGACCTCACCCTCCACTTTGCCAGACATGTTGGCGGCTTGGGGTCAGGACGATCAACAAATACCAAACGGAAGAGGTGGTCGACTCTGCGATCCCAGGTGAATGGCTATCGACGATGCGATGCCAGAAGAGCGGAGAGAGAAGATGAAGAGGATAAGACGAGATAAATTATTGTCAGAAGACAAAATGTTCGAGAGAGGAGCAGGTGAAAAGAGCTCGAAAGCTCAAACCAGCTTTTCGGTTAGGCGCTAAATTTGACCTAGTGCGGTCCTTACCAAAGCAAGTTTTCCGAAATGATCCGATCGCCCAAGCCCGGCGAAGACCCTTTTGACCCTGTCGCCATGGCAATCTCTGCCGACAAGAAACATTTTCGTTGCGTCGAAGCCTCGTTCTCCTGAATGCTCTCACAAGTTTTCAAAAATGTTGGAGCGTTTTATCTAGCTTGGCCTTCAGCAGGCAAACACAAAGAGCTCGTACCTCGTGGTAATTGATGCATTTGCACGATGCGCCATTCCGCACGCCCGCTCGACCTACCTTTCGCAGTCATTTCATCTGCCTCGCCGACATGGCCGACTCTGTCCCTGGCCAAGACCCGTCGAGCCCTTGAACTTTTCCAAGAAGACCCACAACTTAACGCAACTCGTTATTGCCTCATATCCACTCAATTTAATATAGTCTATCCGTACTTCACTGCGAAGGAAAAGGAGAATTGGAGACTACTGTTGGTTGTTCACATCAGGTATCTTGACACACGACATAATGTCTTGAGCTTTGAGAATAGGACTTCTACGTATTGACCTTCTTACGCTGAACATTAAAAGCTCGTCCTCTGACCAACGTAATCGTTGAGTGGGCACATCACTTTAGCATGCAGTTGACGACCTAGAACGATACAGTTTCAGCGGTCTACTGGATCATGCATGCGACATCTGCTTTACATATTGAGCTGTGCTAGTCGATGAATGTAGCTGGGTCACGTCTCGTTCGATCTATCTTCAAGTCAAAAACATCGAGTCTTTGATAACCCCCTGTGACGTCGTGATACTGCTTTCCTTCGACGCACTGGTTCAGATCCAGGTCGGCATAGAGAATATCAGGCTCTTTCTGCAGAAAGTCTCTTGTTTGCTTGGAGCCTGTTGATTCGTCTATCGTAAAGCCAGGTAATAAAGCACCGGTGGGATCCAAAAACATCGATGCGGCTTGAGGTGCTGCGTCAAGCTGCGCTTTTATCGTGGTTGCTTGAGAAGTATGCGATGCGATCACTTCTTTGCAGGCATCATCGACGAGGCCAGCTGACACGATACCAAAGCACTTGGCCTCGAAGCAGTGAGCCGCTGCTCTGATTCTGTTGGCCGCAACGTTGTTGTAATTGACAGGCGCTTTCATGCTTTCTGGGTTGTAGCTCTGCGCCACATTCTCCTGCAGCCGTGTTGGCCAAATTCCAGGCCACGTCGATATATGAACCTGCTCCGCCTGTGTCATAAGTGCATATCGCGCGAGTGGATTCGTGTTCTCTCCACATATGAGTGCTCCTATGTTACCAAATTTGGTCTGCGCAACCCGCAATCCTGCTCCATCTCCAGGACTCCAGGTTAGCTTTTCAAAGAAAGTAGGCATTAGTTTCCTGTGATGTACCAGTACAGTGCCATCATCGCCAATCAGGACGTTAGAGTTATACATTGTCGCAGTGCTGTGTCGAGACTTCTCTGAAAAGCCCATGTTGACCATGACTCCAAGACGTTTGGCTGTACTTCGAATGGCCTTCAGCTCTTCGCCGTCAGCGTATATGGACTCCTGTGCCATGCGGAAAAAGAAGTCATGATTCTGGTGAGGTGCTTGAATAGCAGACCATACTGGAAAAGCAGGTATGAAAGTTTCTGGGAATACGACCAGGCTGGCCGAGTTCCTCGCAGCCTGCTGGATAAGATTGATAGCTTTGTGTGTAGTTTGGGTAGCTGACAAAAATATAGGTGATGCATGACATATGGCAGCTCGTAATCTGCAGGCGGGAAGTGCCATATCTATTGGTCGAAAGTCACTTGGAGGAGGCAGCGAGTTCTGCTTCTTTCAACTTGCCAATCATGCGAAGCAAATCTAGACGCGACATGGGCTGTGAATCATAACATAAAGATGGTGCTGAAGCATAATCACGTTTTTTGTTTCGAGCTTGGTTGAAACACAATACTCAGTAGCTGAAGCGCCTGGACCGAGGCTGCGGTTGGTGTCGTGGAGATACCTATATAACAGCCAAATTTACGCGAGCCGCCGGCCACTTTGGATTTGTCGTTAGATGCGTGATAGCTTGTGCACTGCGTATGCCTAGTGGCCAGTAGGTCCAGGAGGATAATATAAACGCTACGTTGAGGATCGCGTCATGAACAGTGCATTTACCTATGCTTGAAGCGCCAGAAACACTGAAAGAGTTGCCGGCAAAAAAAAATTGGGATTGGTCATCAGCATCCTAACAACGTCTCAAGCTAGGAGCCCTTGCGTTGTCCATTCATTGCTCGTGGTTCAGCTCATCATTCGAAGGCGAAGATTGAACTGTGGCGGAGTCATTTGCAAAGTATGATATTGTCCTATATTTGTGCGCAGACCGTGCAAATAAGACAATAACTATGTTTGGACTCCTAAGAAAGAAGCGAGTGCTGTACCACCACCCGAGAGATTCCCGTCTTTGTGTTGAAGCGACTCTGTGGCCAAAACTTTCGAGAAGAACTCAAAAGTTCTGTTGTTGCGTGCGTAATGTACTTCGTATCGGAAAGCTACCGATGGCTCAAGGTTCGTACCAAGTGTAGGGAATGCAACTGGAGCGCCATTCAGCGTCAACACCGGGATTGTTCTTTTGGCCTCTGGAGGGGTGGTTCGTTGCAAATCCTCCAAGTAAATACTTCCAAGATCTGTTCTCAACTTGTTCAATCTTGCTTTGTCCAAATCCATCGCGAATGGCCTGATCTCGACCTGCGAGATCAGGTCGATATCCTTCGACCATATGCGCAACCAAAATCGACCATCCCAAAGGAGGATGCGACTTTTGTATTCTCTATTGTTATTACAGCTCTTCGGGACGGCCGGCTCGAAGCGCATTCCCAATTGATGTAACTCGCCTCGTCTCATTGGCTGACGAAACAACTGGAAACGCTGGCGATGTCCATGCCCGCTTTCGGACGGCACTTTTCTTATTACCACAAGATCCTGCTGGAACTCTGCAGACGAGGTGGACGAGTTAGAGATGGGATGGTCTGGCTGGAAGACATATGGTATGAGGCTTTGTACAATGTCTTGTTGTAGAAGGAGAGGTAATGTACCTGTTTTCAGCGGAGAAACAAATTCCACGAGTCTTCCCATAAGATAGCTGAATGGCAACACATCATTATGGTTGAGACAGCGGTCAATTTCGACGCACAATAAGCCATATTGGCCATGTATGCAAAGGTGCAGTGCCCTCCTTGCTAAAGAGACTGCATCCTGGAAGGCTTGGTGCGATTGAGACTGCAACCGCTGCTGGAAAGCATGAAGTCCCTGGCTTTGGAGCGCTTTAGGCAAAGTATGTGTCCTCATTTTGCGTATTGCGTTTCGAGTTGTGAAAGTTGGATCATGGTTCGTATGGTCGTCCACATATGGTATGGCAAAATGTGCGCATGTCGACAGAATCTGTGACTTTCGAAAAGGCAATAGAGGTCGATGTAGATGTATGCCATCATGGAATGTCTCGGCAAAACGAAAGCGCTGATGAGCAGTGTCGACGACATTTGCATTAGACCACGACTGAGCACCAAAAATCTTTTCGCAGCAGGGTATTGCCGATTTCCTATCCATAGTATGGAGATTGAGCCAGCTAGGATTATTGTTTCTGGTCAGGCGATACAACAACGTTTCGATCTGATCATCGTGGTGCTGACCTACAAAGATATCTTTGCACTTTCGCTTTAGTGCCTCTGAGGCTATGAGTTGGTAGCGCTTAGCTCTAGCGACGTTCTCAAGACCCTTGGTCTGGTCAGGTGCGCAATCCTCCCACTTCATGGTAAGGATTTGGGCATCTATGCTCATCTCTTGCAAATACTTTTGCACCCTCAATGCTTCCAGCGTACTACCATCTCTCATCCCATGATCAACAATAAACGCATGCAAAGAGAAAGCACACCTGCTCTCATCCGTAGGATGTGCCGTGTGTCGAAGTAGATAAGCAAGAGCCATGGAATCGGAGCCTCCGCTAACACAAACGCCTACATTGTAAGGACTGTCTTTTCCCGTAGGTTGGAATCTATTAAAGATTCTACGAAAGCGCGTTTCGACTGAGAAGAGCTGTTCCGAGAAAGCACTCAATGTAATATGGGGTGATGTTAGGGCACCGAGCCGAGCTGCCATGCTCTGCTCTTCGAATTTTTGGTCAACTAGGATCGTCCACAAAGTGGTTCGCCGACTTGAACATCAAGGTCAATCTCTCTTCTCGACACAGCGACGCCAACAACGGTGCCATATTGTCAAAGCAAGCATTGATGATGTTCACATGTGAATGGAAGTGTCATTCAAGAGCGAAGAACGAGACGCGACCATTTCGCTAGGACACGTCGCACGCGTCAGCAGTTAGTTGTGTGCTAGTGGATCGACGAACGATGCTTATTCGCTGCAATCGAGAGGTAGTCCACTCCGGCGAATTAGAGAGGTCGGTCTGATTTCGGACTATAGCAGCCGTAAGTGCCATTCGATAACCTCTGCTTTCTGGGTGAACGATCAGGTGCGATACCGATGTTGTGTGATTTCGGCAATACTACTCGGAAATGCCTAAAGCTGGCCAGGATCAATACTCTACGTGACCGTTTTCCTGCTCGCTCAGTACGCCTAGTGGCGAGCGTGGCTAGCCTCGAATCATGGAGGCTGGAAACATTTCAACAACAAGCTTTCGATAGACAGCTACCTGCTATACTACCACAAGCGCTCGACAACGTCCCTCCTGCGTGTCATAAATGGTTTGAAAGCGTAATTCCTCACGATAGTAAGGATTTCAAGGAAGTGCGAGAAGCACGGCTTAAGTCGTCCTACTGGCAGGCACATTCACAAAGTGTCGTCCCACTAGAAATAACAAGTCAACTATCGGATGATCCTGGTAACTCTACATTCGAGACTATCAGCGCGCCGCTGGAACTTTTACTGGCTTATTTGGAATCAGGTCCTGACCAAGCGGCTTCTACAACGTCGATATACCTTGCTCAGCACGATCTACGAGACCTACCAAAACCGCTTCAAGACGATCTACCAACTCCAGAGCTGGTGATCAGAGCAGGAAGAGGTGATGTGTACAGTAGCTCTCTATGGCTCGGCAAAGCTCCAACATACACTCCCTTACATCGTGATCCTAATCCCAATCTATTCATGCAATTAGCTGGCAGGAAGACTGTGCGCTTATTCCGACCCGAAGTAGGTCATGCCATATTTGAACTAACACAGCGACTTCTAAAGCATCACCCGAAACATCCTTCCTCGATAACTCCTGCTGAAATTTCACCTATCTTCAGGGGAGAAGAAATGATGCAAGGATCGGAAAGAAGAATTCTGCACGATCTCGTTTGGGCTGATATTGCTTCGGAGCAAACAAAGGAGACTGAAGCAATCTTGCAGCATGGGCACGATGCGATTTTGCATCCTGGTCAGGCTCTGTTCATTCCGAAGGGCTGGTGGCATTCTGTCAGAGGCTTCGGAAGAGGCGTGATAGCTAGTGCTAATTGGTGGTTTCGATGAGTGTGAGTGAATTGGGAAAGTACATCAGCCAGTCGTGGCAAATGGAAGCTCAAGTGCACCTTCATGAATGGGTTTGAAAAGTTGTCGTCTTACGTAAGGAACGATTTGCGTGAACAATATCGTAAACATAACAGCAAGTCTGATGTTGCTTTCGCAACAGTGCGCCGTGAAGGAAATAGGTCCTCCCACCAAAGGGATCGCACTTGCCTTGACAGTGTCAGGCATCAGATCAGAATGAACGAAAAAGACAGTGGAAGGCGACACCTGTCCAGCTACCCAAGATTCCCGCTCGATCATCGCTAGGGTTGCTACCGCGCACACCTAGATCGACGTGCATCTGGTGCTGCAACTGACTTCGAAGCAATTTGCGTGCAAGTAAGTATCCAGCATTGACACTTGCTTTCAATGCTCAGGACTCTTCCCGAGAAAGAGCTTGGCAGCTGAAAGGCTGTCAGCTGGATCAAGCCTCAATTGGGTATCAGGTACAGCGTCCTTGCCTGCTACTAAGCCGTCTCAAGATATAGCAAGGATATGCTCATCAACCAATCATGGTTCTTCACACCTCATAGGCAACATCGGGAAAGTAGGCGTTGCTACACACCACCAAGCACAATGGTCACCTCGAAGGCGTGTCCCGAACATGACAGGTCACATTCACTAATTCGAGCAAGGCAACGGTGCCCCTTGCTCGCCGTAACGAGCGGCATCGACGCAGGCAAAAACGACCAACGAATGCGGGGGGCACAGTCCGTACTCGTGTGTGCACACATACTAGTGCATAGGACAACACTAATGCAAATCATGGGACGCCTCTCCAGAGATCAATGATGTTGCAGTATCACACCTCATACGACCATGCTCATTATGGCTGAGCACCACGGTCCGGACCTCCGACGGCTAGCTTGACCACATTTTTGGGGCTCGATCCTTTCATTTATTAGGTCGGTTTCGGCTGATGGGGAAGGACTAGCTAGCCTGCAACTCAGGATCATCGATTTCTTGGCCGACATGCGGTATGCTCGAACTCCCTGCCGTCAGGCCTGATAGTCCATAAGCGATCACGGCAGTATGAACTAGTAAGGCCTCTAGTGTGGTAGTGTCGGTCCAGCATGTCCCTCACGTTTGCCTTGGCACTCCAATGGCATGGTTTCGTGCCAACGGTCATCAAAAATATTGCCTATCGATACGTTGGTATTCATGGAAGCAAGAAGAAAGGCATCGATACGTAGTGCCACAGAGCCTAATCTCTGCAGCCAGAGATCATTGTTTCACAATCGATTCGTCTCGACATAGTACTATGGCTTGGCGTACCAACGTGGTCGCCCGCAGACAAGTGGAGTAGAACAACCCCTTAGCTCTGACGCTAAGCAAAGAGTGCAAGCACTACACTTCAAGCCCTACCATTTGCCAGGCTAAATTAGCTTCAAGGTACCAAGGTCACTCATCCCACGTACTACTAGCAGGCAATGCCTCGGCGACAAACTATCTCCACGCGTCCTCTCACTCAGGCACGGGGCGACGCGGGAAGGTCTGACAAATGCTACGAAGAGCACACCGCTCCTTCAACGCGAGATTGAAATCTCTGGTGATAGGTGAAGAAGCAATGACCGTACAGTAGTATTAGCATGCCTCGGCAGACTTAGGCTTGCCACGATCAAAAGCTGGGCTGCTACGATACATGACAATACACTCGGATGTGGAAATCAAGAAAATGCCCTTTCGGAAACAACACAAGCCTTCTATTTCGCCTTCTTCTTCGGCTTGTCCTTTGATCCGTGACGCCCACTAAAGCTAACCTCATCAAACAAAAAGCCAACCATCTCGTCTAGGACCGTGCACACCAAATGTTCATTCAGCCTCTTATTATTCATCACAGCCGCTAGCCTTCTCGCTGCACTCTGCGCGTTAGCACGCCCGACCACACTGCCAGCTAGCTCAGGGATTAGCGAGCTTAACACAAGTGCGGCCTCACGTCGACTGTGGTCTTTTTGTGCCTTCGTTCTAGGAGGATTGGGTGTTCGCTTCCTCACTTCCTCGCTCTGGTTCCCAGTACTGCCAGCCTCTGAGTCTTTGGAGTCAGAAGATGGCCACATTGTGGTCCTCGCTTTCTCAATGTAACGCAACAATGCCGACTCTGAGAACAGAGCAGAAAACGAGTCACGGACTTTGCGCTCCACCGTTCCACCAAGTAACTGGTGGATCACGACGACCACAGCGCGGCCTCGCAACCAATTGTTACCGCGGTTGAGTTCAAAGATCTCAAGGAAGATATCGCAGATGGGCTTAACGAAAGGTGCCAGTTCTTTGTCTTCAAAGGCACGTAACTCGGCTTCCGCCTCGGCGATGGAGCCTGGTTGAATGATCACATCGTCAGAGGATGAGGTACTACTGACCACGGTGTTTGGCATAGGCGAGGTCATTTGACTGGTTGCTGCTGAGATGAGGTTCTGCCCTGCAACGGAGAGCTGATCAAGCACGGCCACATTGCCTAGAAAGTCGTCCATGCCGTCTGTAACTGAATTGTAGATCCGTGTCACCATGTCTTGGGTGTTCACGGAATTAGGTGTGCTATCGTTCTTCTTCGGTTGACTAATAGCTTGTTGTGATAGAAAAGAACGGAATTCGCGGCTGCGGCAGACGTCAGGCATACGCAAAAGTTGTTGCAACCAGGCTTCGAGTGCAAGTCGACGCCCGTGCAGAAATTGCTTCTGAAGTTTCAAAACTACACGTCGTCTTGGGAAGTCCATATTACGCGTAGATGGATAGCGTCTTCGCAGCCTTTGATGCAAGCTGTGGAATTCGCTGTAGCGATGCGCTATGGCCCATGATGTTGCAGGCAGTTGGTCACCAGCGTGACGCCGTACCTTGATGATGTAAACTGCATACTCTTGACCATCGTCTTCACGTCCGACCATGACTGACTCTATATTGATAGAGGCTCGGCCATATAAACTGTTGTCGCTTTCCTGGACGATATACTGCTGCCTCTGAAGCTCCTTACGACGTATCTCACGTTGGAGACTCGCTTTCGATTTACCCAGGATTCGCAGCTCAGCGACATTGTTAGTCAGCTCGGCCTTTCGAGTTAAAGTATCAACAACGGCTTCTTGAGACACCAAACGTTCAATATCATCTGAGAGAACCGTTATGGCTTCTGTCAAGCCCAAATCACTCGGAGCTGCTTGGTGTATCTCCTCATCCGGCTGGTCCTTGTGCTCTTCCCCGTGGTCAGCGTATTCGTCTTCTACAAACTTTGCTTCATCGCCAAAGAGGTCATTGTCTTGAAACACACCAATTCTCCCAGATGTATTGACCAAACCTAATGTCGCGAGGCTGGGTTTAATCCTCGCGTTGACTGCATTTCCAGAACGAGCTGTATCTAACGATGGACGACTGAATGTTTGAGGTGATAAAGCGGCACCAAAGAGAGTGTCGTTCTCCAGGTCTGTTACGTCCGTGATCGGGCTTTGTGACATGATAGTGTTTAGCGCAGCTTCCATATTCTCGATCACCTCGGGCTCTGCATGCGGATCTCCGGTAGTAGAGTCATTGCCAATGCTTTGAACCGATAATGAAAGAGGGTCATTGTCGTATTCATCGTCAAACAGTGGTCGATCGACGTCTAACGACCGACGAACTGGCATGACCTCGTCAAATGCCTTCAGGGTAGCAAGTCCTTTGACGTCCGAGGAGGAAAGAGCAGCCCTTCGGAGATCTCGTGACTTGCTTATCTGCGCTTGCGAACTGATCCTGCTAATGGGTGGTGTATACGTTCTAGGTCGAGGTGAAGTTGGTTCTGTAGTGGATGTGCCATTAGCATCAATACTATGCCGTGATTCTCTCACAGCTCTGCCTTCATCAGAAGCGAGAAACTTGTAGTATAGATCTGATTCACAAAACTTTGGCCAATATTTCTGCTCCAATTCTTCAAGAACGGCAGATTGAGCGGACAGTATCGCCATTCGTGCAGTACGATACTGCTCAGGCGTAGCTCTTCGACCAGCTTGCAGGAAGTCTTGAACACCATCTTGAAGCTCTTTTGGCACATTTAGATCGCTCTTCAATATGTACATCTCGGCAATCTGTGCAATGTCTAGCCGGTCTGTGTTGGTCCACGTCACTGTGGCCGATAATTTCTCGTCCCCGAAGTCGTCTTCGAGCGGGTTGCGAAAGCCATCAACCACAACCCAGAATTGAACAAATGCCATCTTCTTCTGTCTTTCCATGAACTCCATGAAATACGACAACCCAGAAGAGGTGTGCATGATGTCGACTATTGTCCAATTTGATGCTCTAACTGGACGACCAGTGTCAACCTCCCCAGCCGTATTGCCATTGACTGCGACCTCCAATTTTGTCGTCTTCGCTATCTTTTGATCAAGCACACGCTTGCCCATCTCCAAGCGTCGTAGATAAACAGGATCTTGACCCTCGACCTGTCGCTCTCTGGCGAGCTGACTAGCGATCTGATTTCGGAAACGACGAGCATCTGCAAGTGTTTCTGTTTTCCGAATCGTCCGGACGAACCTTTCGAACGCCCGCTCACTGTCAAGAGGTTGAAGGCGTGGGATTTCGGCTGGAAGCTGTTTTCTCGCAGCTGTCGAGGTATGCTCGTCAAGTGCAGCACGCATCCTTCTGACAGTCTTACGATCCTGTAAGGTCGTTGTTCCATATGCTTCGACAATCTGATTCCAGGTATCAGAATCTGCAAGCAACTGCAATACTGGAAAGAGCACAGCGCAGGCAACAATCTCTTTAACGAGAATCAAGACAGTTCGGCTTCGGACCATGCTGTCGTCGAGAAGCAGGGGCAGCACACGGACAAGAATCTTTCTCATATGTTCCTGCTGAGGTGATTTTGTATCTGAGAACGTTAAGGATGCAGCAGGGTGTAATTTGCCATCTCTGTATGCGCCGGCAATAGCTAGGTCTAGCTCATCTGATTCTGGGAGGTTGCGTTGTAAGGCGCGACTTTTGATGGTTCTTTCTGCGTTCTCAAACTCGTGAAGGTGGTTCGTTATTATAGGAAGGATCCGGGCAACAAGCATACCAACCAAATCTTCGCGCAAGACCCTATCTCTTAATTCGACTGCGGCGATCCGTATATGCCGGTCGATCTCGTGAAGAAAACATGGTCGCGATGAGATATTTTTGTACCAGGAGCCAATGAATTCACGCAAGGCAAGGTCTATCAATTGGTCAAGGGATTTAGAGACAGTCAAGGAAGTTGGATACAACTGCATTGCTTCATAATGCAGACTGTTATTGTACCGTGCCAGCTCTGTAGGCCATGCAGTCGGGAGGGTAAAGGCAGGGTAGGTGCGAGAACGGCGGGGTGGAAGCGATGAAGAGCCCTTGATCGTTGTCAGGTTCAGCCAAAGAAGGACCAATATGGTGGACAAGGCCCCAATGAAGAAAGCATTGGCGAGATGCCATAGCACTGGAGCAAGCCTCACAGCAATGCCCCACGCAACCAGAGTAGCGAAGCCAGCGAGGAAGAGTTGCGATCGGTCGAGGGTCATCGTCGGTACTCATGACGATGCCACATCTTGCGGCTCGAGGCCAAGCGCGATCGTCAACTCATATTGGGACAGACATAAAATCAAGGCGCTCGTCATGTAGTCGAATGCAAATTGATATAAGATGTTGATACCCTATTTGAGCAGACGCGTCTTTCTCATCTATCACTTAACGAGCGGAAGCATGTTTTACTGAGAATCGATCACCATGACATCATACCTCTCTCCGACTGTAAATTTGGGCTTGAGGCGTTAACATCCGGATAAAAAACACCGTGAATAAAAACATACTTTCACTACCTCAGAGTAAGCGCCGACGATTCAGACAGATGGGCATTCTTGCATCAATCAAGGTTTTCAGTCTCCGCGAGGCAGGTCGATGGCCAGTTACCTGAATTCGTCCTCAACACATCACTCTTGAAACACCTTGAGCATTAATCAGCCAAGTATGCCCCCAATACCAAGTCTCACCAAGTCTGTCGAGGCGTGCGTAAAGGTGGTGCCTGCGATTGTGCACAACGGCCGCACGGCAGTGACTGCTAGTAGCCCATATCGTTTCGGCACCGTTGGATGTGAGAGAATCAGGTACGGATGCTTGAAGGCTTGTCGGAACAGATAGTCCACAACGTGCTTGCTCAGGGCATGAGCAAGCCACAGCAGAGTGCTAGGTCTATCCATACCGATCATACATCGTGCGTCTTATTCGTGACCATGTGTCGGCAAGCGAGGTAGCGGGGTGAGCGGATTGTCGGTAGAGCCAAGTCCTCACGAACATACTAGGATGAGACATGAATCGAGAGGACGCCATGCCACACACTCCTCAAGTCCTATAACAAGATAGATCATGCACAGACAAACATCCACAGCCGTTAACTGACGAATTTGAGACTGAGGAAGACCTGGCAACAGCCGACGCATGTGCGCAAGTCTTGTCAAACACTCATAGGCAATGTACAGGCTGGCGCGACTGCTGTGTGGCCATATAGGCTAAGAACAATTTTCTGGCTCAATCTAGCTCTTTAGCCGGCGCCATGTTGGTGTCAATCCTGGTAACATAAAGCCATACCTAGGTGCTAGCTCCAGACAACTCAGCGCCCAGGTGCTCGTGTTATTCGTACGCCATCATTGATAGTCTTTCCGTGCTCGATAGTGGAAGATGAATGGTCAAATAGTCGCCAAGATCTTTACTCATCTTCCAGGCATATTTTACGAACTGCGAGACTGCAAATAACCATGTCTTAGTGTGGCAGTGACGAGAAATGCATCGTTACGCGCTCACATCACGTCCGAGCAGCTGGTCGAAGTTTCCCTCGGTCTTGTATATGTCGCCTTCGAAACAAGGGCTCGTACATTTGACACGACTCCTCAAGCTAGACCTGCCCTCAATTTGGGGTCCTCGCACTCCATTGGTAAGCTCTCATTGACAGCAAGAAATCCATAAACCCACCTTGGTGTCCCTTAAAGATATGTTGTACAGCGCAAGTGCTTCAAGGACTATGAAATCGCATCCATAACTACAATCACTGACTTCTGGGTTTACGTTGTAGGCGTAAAGAACCGAGGAAATTCTGGTTGTGGTATGCGTGGACAGAGCAGCAAATTCTTCGAGCAACCTCAATCGTTGTATCTATATCGAGTATTTATAAAAGCTTGTGATGCCGTTGAGCCACACGCTCATCGGCCATTGTGCCCATGTGAAGAGGAAAGAGCAAGCATCTAGACGAACCTTGCTCCGCAACAGTGGATACGCAAACTACAGTATTTCGTGGTTCCAACGTGGAGACACGTTTTGCAAAGCGGGCGGAAAGCGAGCATCCCGCTTCCGCGCGTGGGCCATGTGACACAACTGATCGGACTGCGCTCTTTACGGCCTGATCGATTCATTCCTCCCGCAATTTGGGGATAACGGCATGACCCGTGGTGCCGCTGAAAAGCACGTTCAGGCACGCGCAATGCTTGCTCGGATGCTAGATCCATGGTAAGGCAAGTGATGTCGTCCACTGCCACTGGCTCAAAAATGCAAGATTGCAACCTAAGAGTTCAGAGATGCGGTAAATTGATGTCAGCTGAATGAACTGGTTCACTGGCATGAAATCCATGTCTCGATCGCTTGCGAGTCATGTCATACACCGCTTCCAAAATGGCTTACCCTACTTCCAGCATTGTCTAGCCTCGCCGTCTCTCCCTTCGACACGGTAGATCCGTCGCTCTTGCCTATCAACGCAACAATGCAGCCTCAAGGTATGTTCTTCGTACTCATACTTTCGGCTCAAATAAGTAGTCAAAGCTTCGAAGTAAGCATTCTGTTGACGTCTTTACGACCCGAAGGTCTGGATCTATGCACGTCCAAGCCACGGAAGAACGAGGAATGTGTACAGTCGTCCTGACTCGATGTGACACGCATCTGGCCTCGAAAGCGTCACAAAAGACATTGCACCCACAACGTATCACCTTGTTTCCTTACACCTCACAGTGTTCCACCTCAAAGTTTAACGCTCGTCATCAAGTAACGCTACTGGTGCAGGGCTGTGCATGGAACCGTGTGCTGTCCACGCAGGAACTCTGTTTGCGAAAGCATCAACCTATTGCATTCTTACCGCTGTTGCCTGAGCACCCATATGGATGCGTGTCGAGTATCGGGCAGGAGAAAACAATTTTGATCGGCACGAGAGTAAGAATCATGCAAGACAGCAGCATCCGAGTGTCTTGTTGCTGTCGTATTCCGCTCGTCGCCTTAGGCGGAGCTTCTAGCTCTAGCTCGAAGCCAAAACTGAGTTGCGGGACGCAATGAACTGAAAATGGCAGTACCCACAGCGCTATCACATTGCACTAAACAGGGCGGATCTGCCGCAAGGTGAGGTCCACGTATCGTAGATCCCACTATTGGGAGGACTTCAAGCTGTTATTAGATACCGACCGGCATGACTGACTGCTCTTTTTGTATCTGTGCCTTCAGTACGTGTCTCCAGAGTCATTAGACGTTAGCTCGCAACAAAGCGCTGGACTTCATGCAAATCTGCTCTACAGCAAACATCAAACAAGGCCAGCTTTCGACTCATTGACCATTGCCCTTCGACCCCTGTATTGGTCGTCTATACCAATGCGGTTAAGACACCACATTTGATCCGGATGGCACCAAGCTGGAGGTACTAATAAAAGCGTTTGCCCACGTCGTTTCATCTGCAGAAAGAATATCGCGTTGGTATATGATTACGTCTCCCAAGTACGACCTCCATTTCAGAAGTGGTTTGGAAATACTGTCAACATGCTGTTAGCAATTCAAAACGCAGCAGACCAGCCTTTGTTTCAAAATTCTGAGTCGTTAATACTTCCAAAAGTTACACCTACATTGAAGAGAAAAAGAACGAGTCACTGTACGAAGCTGGTCCACTGCAATCACTCCTACTGATCGTGTTAGTCTCGATCGGACACAACAGGATGAACAAGCCAGGAGCACTCTCTGTCGAGAACACTGATACAAGCCAGCTTGATGGTACACTTCTATCACCTCAACACCACCACTCTATGTCTGAGCCGGTCTCTTCTGAAGAAGGGTCGACTCCTCTTGACTCCACATCGGGAGGCAATGGATCGAGAAGCTCCTCACACGGCTCTGGTGAAAGTCTGCATACTGAGCATGTAGTCAAACTCTCGAGCATAGAGCATTGCATGCCACGGGCATACATCAGAATATGCCTCGCATATAGACTAGGGACTGGTCAGGATGTGCATAAGGCGGTGCAAGGCCTCGAAAACTACATCAGAGGAATCGTACGAGCGAAACCATACCTTGCTGGCAACGTTGTTGATGTGGATGTTCCAGGAAGCAATATCAGTCGGGCAGAAATAAGATTTACAGCTCAAGACTACCTGAATTATCCTGGAGTCGCAGTAAAAACCCTCTGCGACGAACACGGTCTGCTGTTGCGATACGAACAACTCGACGCAGATGGCTGTCCACCAAGTCGACTACGACCAGAAGACGTTTCAGCGTTAGCGCCCGACGTCGACCCTAGACAAGCGAGTCCTGTGTTTCGTGTACAGGCCAACCTAGTGGTCGGCGGTCTCATTGTTTCCTTTTACCTCCATCACTGCATCTCCGATGGGACAGGGTTCGACCTTATTACTTCCGGCAGGATCCTCAACGACGACTTCACATTTATCTGCCCACCGTCTCTATCACATCAGAATACCGCGACCTTGGACAAATTCCTAGAAGAGTTTGCGCAGCATAAGAGCAATGTCCGACGAGAACTCTCGAGAGCTCCAAGCACTGTCACCAATACTCGCCAGTTACGAGCACAACGCCTTGATCAGCCGCCATTGCCTAAGAATCAACCTGGAAGAGGTTGTGTTCTTATGCTTGCAGCCAGTCTGTTGTCCTCGACAAAGGATAATATGAACCAATATGAGGACCCAGGCTCAATGTACCACACCACGAACAGTGTTGTCATGGCACTACTTTGGCGGCATATGACTCGTGCTCGTCGACCATCACTGGCGCATATCTCGAATGTACAAACATCCAAACTCTTGATACCAATCAATATTCGTGACACCATGACTCCACCACTACCAGAGGGCTATTTTGGCGCTGCAGTCGATTCCGCAAAAGCGGAGATGGAGCTGGACTTGCTTATCGGAATGCAAGAGGACACCCTGTACAGAGTGTCTCGCACGATACGTGAGGCCATCAAGGGTGTAGACGATGGCTATGTGCGTGAACTGATCGCATTTGCAAATGCGGCTGATCAACTTACCGACGTCCACGACATACAAGCCAGTAACATGGATCGTGTCACAGGAGCAGACATGTACATCACGTCCTGGCTCGATTTCAAGACCTACCAACACGATCTAGGAATGGGGCTGGGCGGGCCAGATTGGGTAAGAAAACCTTGGAGTAGGGATCCGGGGTCGTGCATTATCCTCCCACGAAAGACAGACAATCCATCCTACATTGAGGTTGTCGTGCAAATGACTGGAGCTGATATGGACCGCCTACTACAAGACCAGTATTTCATGAAGTACGTTCTACGGGTTATTGACTGATATACAGAGGGTTCGAGCTCGAAACGGAGTTGAGGTTTGGAATCGTCTTCGGGTGTGTAATGGGCACGATTTTTCTTTTTTTCTGGGCAATGTATTATTAGGATGGGTGGCGAACGAACCGATGGCATGGCAACAAATACGGGAAGACGAAATTGGCTTGGAGCAGGATATTGGAGGGATGATTTTGAGCTTGGAAAGGATGTATGTGGAAATTTCATGCTACGAATAATCATTTAATCAAATCATCAGAGAATTTGCCAGGCTGAAAGTGGTCGTGCTTCAGAGAAGGTGTTATCATGTGACTTCGCGACTCGTGCCTGCCCACCGACGCGTCATTCGCCACTTTCCATTACTTCTTCCTGCTGCCACATTATCTCATCCTTGCACACTACGCGTTGACCACTACTCGCTCTTGTCCTGCCACACGAAACGTCTCCTCATAATTCATACTGCCCTTGTAGTTAACATATCAACATGACACAAAGCGACGTACCTCAGGACGAATATGAGCAGGGTGGGGGGCCAGGTGCACCTATTCCGGTCAGCCAGCTGGTGGTAAGATGAGAGCGCATGGATGCTTGCACTCAACAGACTGACAATTGTTAGGGCATCTCAGGCTTGACCGATCGAGATGTTAAGCTGGTTCAAGAAGGTGGCTTTCATACAGTCGAGTCGATAGCCTACACGTATGTACGCTCATCAACTTTGATGCGCTGTCCACTGACTCTCTCAACAGGCCAAAGCGTATGCTTGAACAGATAAAGGGCATCTCCGAGGCGAAGGCCGGAAAATTGTTGAACGAAGGTAAGAACGCGCACGAACATAGCATTACACCATAAACTGACGAGGTCCTAGCCATGAAACTTGTCCCTATGGGCTTCACAACAGCCACTGAAATGCACGCACGCCGTAGCGAACTGATATCGATCACGACCGGATCAAAACAGCTAGATACACTGCTGGGTGGAGGCATTGAGACTGGATCCATAACAGAAATATTCGGTGAATTCAGAACAGGAAAGAGTCAGATTTGCCATACACTTGCAGTAACGTGCCAGCTTCCATTTGACATGGGTGGCGGCGAGGGCAAGTGTTTGTACATTGACACAGAAGGTACATTCCGACCGGTCAGATTACTTTCGGTAGCGAATCGGTTCGGCCTCGAAGGTGAAGAGGTACTGGACAACGTTGCGTATGCACGAGCTTACAATTCAGAGCATCAGTTGCAGCTTCTGCAAATGGCGGCTCAGATGATGACAGAGACCAGGTTCTCGTTGCTCATCGTGGACTCGGCGACTTCTCTGTACAGGACAGATTACAATGGTCGAGGAGAGCTTTCCTCTCGACAGTCACATATGGCCAAGTTTTTGAGAACACTCCAGAGGCTGGCAGACGAGTTCGGCATAGCCGTTGTCATAACCAATCAGGTGGTTGCACAAGTTGATGGTGGACCAAGTGCCATGTTCAACCCTGACCCCAAGAAACCAATCGGTGGCAATATCATTGCGCACGCCAGTACTACGCGACTTAGTCTGAAGAAGGGCAGAGGTGAGACCAGAATATGCAAAATCTACGACAGCCCGTGCTTGCCTGAAGGCGACACTCTCTTCGCCATTCAAGAGCATGGTATTGACGATCCAGCTCCGAAAGATATGGAAAAAGACTGAGTGCAAAGTTCTTCAGTGTTTGGTTTCAGCGTGGTGTTCATTAGGGCTTTGCACATGATGAATTTTACATAATGACGATAAGGACTTACCATGTGTACGAACACTTTGACGACGGGACGCAACGGTTGTGCCTAGGAAATGACGCGTTTGAAGTGCAATAAGTCCTGCTTTCGTTTCTCAGCGCTAATCCTTGTTCTGATTTTTATTGCCCGAGCAGTCTGCAGACACTTCGAACGGCGGCATGAAATAATGGGGTGAATGGAGCGTGTGATGTGGCTGAAACGAATGAAGATGCAAGCGCATGGAAACCTCAAGCTTAATCGAATCTGATCGGCTACTCGCCACATCTGAGGAGCTTTCTACCGAATCAGAAACAAACATGTTCTTCTGAAAGCAAGTAAACCCGGCTTGGCCTTTTGAAACCTTTCATTCAAGCCGTCTTTATTGAGAATACTTTCAGCTCGATTGTCGATGATATGAGGTAGCCATTGCATGGTTGCGTGTACTTTTGGCTTGGCGAAGCTTAGCACGTTTCTTGCTTCCTCCATGCCTATTCGCGGCGCGCATTGTAGGATGGACCCCAATCTCCTGCGCTCGTTCAGCTACGAGTACGCTGTGTTGATGCTCATCATCGAAGCAGGAACATCGGCTGGTATCCGTTCGATATGTTCTCATAGACGTTGCTGATCTTCTTTCGCGAAGAGTGCTTGCCACACCTAGACTTGTTGCTTTGTTGTTGCTTGAGCTGGTCGTCCACTTCCCATACATTGTTGTCACTGGTTACTGACTCGACCTTGTCGTCACTTTGCGACACTTCCGCGGCTACTCTGAAGCATATTGACGAGGTCTCTTTGACACGGGTATACTCACCTTCTCGACCTGCATTTTCTACCGGAAACATGGCTAGTACGTGTTCAATCATGTGCGAAACTCGCGACGGGCTAACAATGATCCAGTCAACCAGTATGATGGCTATGCTCAGTCAACCCCTTCACGACAACGACAGCCAATGACCAATGGTGTCGGCGAGAGCGAAATACAGGTGTTATGTGGTCCATTGATCAATCTACAGCATATGAACTACACAGGCAGAACGCCAACATGGCATGGTACTGTACTGGTGGTCACAAAGCCAATCGGTACTACACCGCATCTCCATTACGGTCCGGCTGAGTCGCGAGGAGAGAGCAACACAGTGGAAGGTCTGAAGCTTTATGAAGATCCTGACAAGGCATTCTGGCGCTTCTCCCTAGAAGTCCCACTCAGCGAAACCCAAGCGCAATGGACATACCACATCCCCTCCGTTCGGTTCCTGTCGGACGTCAATCAGAAAGAGTGTACAAGGTCATTTTTCGTTCCTGGAGCCGCAGATTCAATGCGCATCATGTTTCACTCCTGCAACGGCTTCTCAGTCGGTACAGATGAGGACTTTTGGTCCGGTAAGCAGCACCCCAATGCCTACTCTTCATGATTGTACTAACCTAGCCAGGTCCTGCGCTCTGGAACGATGTCCTACGAACCCACGAGCAGCGGCCTTTTCATGTTATGATCGGAGGTGGTGATCAAATCTACAACGACGGAGTGCGAGTCAAGGGACCTCTGAGACAATGGACCGATATTAGCAACCCTCACAAGCGTCGACAATATCCCTTCGATAATAAGCTGCGGTCAGATTGTGATCAGTTTTACTACGAGAACTACGTAAGATGGTATAGCACGGAACCCTTTGCAGCCGCAAATGCTAGCATACCTCAAGTCAATATCTGGGATGACCACGACATCATTGACGGATTCGGCTCCTACAGAGATAAGTTCATGAAGTGCGCAGTCTTCCGAGGTATTGGTGGTGTCAGCTTCAAATATTACTGCCTTTTCCAGCATCATACCGCTCCTCCCGTATCGACTTTTACGACCGATGCCCCTCAGACCATGTCCGCGACTGGTCAAGGAACAGCCGGTGCTGACCCAAGACAAACAGAAAATACCTACGTGTACAAAAGGACAGCCGATGACCCAAGCTGGATCGTTGGAAAGACCCCAGGCCCATATGTGGAGGAACGGTCGCGCAGTCTGTACATGCGCTTAGGCAAGAGAATCGCATTCTGCGGTATTGATGCTCGAACAGAGCGAACGAGGCATCAGGTCAACTACCCCGAGACATATGAGCTCATATTCGGCCGTCTCGAACGAGAAATCGCCGAAGCAAACGGTGACATCAGTCACCTCATCCTCCTGCTCGGTGTACCAATAGCCTATCCACGTTTGGCATGGCTAGAGAACATTTTCACAAGCCCTATAATGGGACCTCTCCGATTCCTCAACAAGCGTTTCGGCGTTGCAGGTGGCCTCTTCAACCAATTCGACGGCGAAATCGATCTTCTTGACGATCTAGACGATCACTACACAGCACGTCAACATAAGACAGAGCGCAGAGAGCTGATGCTCCGACTGCAAAGATTTTCCCAACAACACTCAATTCGTGTGACTATACTTGGCGGTGATGTTCATCTCGCAGCCGTAGGACGCTTCTACTCCAACGCTGCTCACGACACACCAGCCGAGCACGACCCTCGCTATATGGCCAACATCATCTCAAGCGCAATCACCAACAAGCCACCACCAAAAGCAGTCGCAAATCTACTCGCTAGACGCAACAAGATCCATCACCTTCGAGACGGAAATACAGACGAAACGTTGCTAGACATGTTCAACGAACAACCAGGCGGACAAATGAAGGGCGCAGCCAACAACAAAGCCACCATGCCCTCGAGAAACTACGCCTGCATCACTGAGATTCCTGAGTATGGGTCACAGACAGAAACCAATCCTCACATGAACGGATACAGTCACCAATCAAGCGCTGGCAATACCGTTCCCGTCCAAATGGGAGACACCGGCGAGGAAGGCAAACAACGACCAACGCACGATAGCAAAAAAGGGCGTCATCCACTTCACGAGGGCGAGGTCAATGCGGGCACGAACCACGTTGCCGCTGATGGCGTAAGTAGCCAGGGCACGTTGAAGGGTGGATTGAACGTGTCTATCCGTGTGGAAATCGACAACCGCAGTCGGAACGGAGAGACGGCTGGATATGGTTTGGCTAGTAAGTTATAATCAAGTACCTACACAAGACACGATACTAATGCAGACGTAGTACCGAAACTCACACCGATCAAGGCAGTTGCGTAGGCAGTGGCTGTTGATGATCCGGATGTTGTGCCGCTTGAGGCTTTGCCTGCGCCCGCGCCTATACCTACTCCCACCAGAGGAAAAGTCATCCCTCGAGAGGACTTGCTAGAGTCTAACGACAAAAGAAAGAGTATATGGGAGACTGTATCTTTCAAAAAGGCCTTTGCAGCATCTAACACACACATTGCAGCCACGGGAAGTACCTAGTTGTCCTGCGAGGCACAATGTTGAATCGATAATGTTCTTGGACTAGAACAGAAGGAAGGAAATCAGAAATCAAAAAGAGAAGGGATGTGCTGTGAGCATGGTGTTTAGGGGGCGGGAGGCGAAGTGCGCAGCTATTGATTGCTATCGTGTTTCTTTTGTTTGTTTTGTCGGCGAATCGTATGTATAGATACCCCTTTCCTCTTATACTAATCCGGTGAATTAAGATATTTTAATTTTGGTGAGAAAAAAAAAGAGTGCTATTTTACAGTCACTGTGTGAATATGTTCGAGTTGCTTCTTTGACTGTATCAGAGATCGCTACGACATCCCGAATATGCCGTGCTCAGCTAATGCATCTAACGACTGTGTAATATCCCAGCTATTCAGGTAGTCCGCATTATTACTTCCAGGACCATGTCCCGAGGAAGCATTGTCACTGACACTAAAATCATCCCAGTTCAAGCTCGCCACATCGAACGGCGGTAAACCCATATCACCTAGCCCATTCATCGCACCATTATTCAAGAACAAATCGCTGCCACGAGTGCCGAATCTCAATTTATCGAGTTGTGCGGGGCCCGGGTAGAGCAATCTCGTCAGCTCTGCGTCTTGAGCTGGTCCGAAACTCGAAAGGCTGGGAGGTTTGTTGCTGAAGACTGATTCGAGCAGTGGGCCAAGGAGACGCTCGTAGATCCCCGCGTAGTTGCTGACTTCGTCCCAGCCCTGCATGGCAAGGGTGAGGAAGTTGGATGTGAAGACTTTTGTCATTTCGAAGATCTGCTGGGCATCGAATTTGGCGCTGATGGTGTCGAAGCCGTAGCGGAGGCAGAAGAGGACGACCATGCTGTTTTCGAGGACGTGGTGGGCGATTAGCCAGGAGCGGCGGTAGAAGCCCGTCAGGATGTGTTCACGGAGGGATTTTGCTGATGAGCACGATGCTTCGAAGGCGAGCATTAGGGAGCGGGGGCCTGGCATGGGGATCCGAGGGGAGGGCCGGTGGAGGTTGGTGAGGCCGTGCATGAGGGTGAATTCGGTGAGCTCGTGACCGTCGTTGTAGTCGTCGTACCATTGGCGGAGTCGTCGTTCCATTTCGTCTAGCCAATCATCCCATGTTTGGGAGTGGTTGAGTGGTTTGTTTTGGAAGTGGACTTCTGTCATTCTGGATTGCAATTGTCTGAACTGTACCCATTGAATAATAGGTCCTTTTGTCTGGATGCCATTAGTGTCGATGCCAGTGGGATGAATGAATCGGTCGTCAAAGGTGGAGGGAAACTGTGCATCAATCGAGTCGTCAGGAATTGATAGGGGTCTTTGAAGTGCTGAACATATTGATCTATCGAAGCAGTAAGCTGACCAGAAAACTCGCCGACGTAGATCAAGAGTAAGGTGATCAAGGGCTGTTTTGTCTGGAGGTTCTCGATGGAGTCCTAGCTCAAGGGAGGCTCGCATGACTGTGCCTGTAAGAACCCAGACGTTTGCTTGTCGAGGGTTGATAGAAGCGTACTGCAGTACTAGTAGAGTGACTTGTATGCCTGCGAGATCTGATGGTATCCTTGCTTTCTCCGAGAAATGTTGAATGCCTTCCTCGAATAGTGATCCAGAGAAAATCATGTGTTTCTGTTCGTGGCCTGTTTTAGCACTCCCAAGTGTCGCCGAGACCGACAAGCACAAGTATATGACAAGAAAGTCGAACGATGGTGGAATGCTTCGATGTCCAGGTGGTAGTGCCTGTAATGTTTTAAGAACGTTTTCTAGCTGCTGCCAGACCGAAGGTGCATGCAACACTGGGAAGATGGGGTACACTCTGGTCATATACTTCTTCATAAGACTTTTAATGATGTTGATCGGAATACTTTTGAGCATTACACAGCTGATTTCGTGGTTCGACGATCGAATGTTTAACGAAGATTTCCTCTTTGTCTCTTTTGGACTCGTCGCAGAAGCCAAGACGCTCGTAGATGGTGTCAAGCTCATACGAACTCGGGCAACCAAGCCAGTCATGCCCGGACCAGGAGCTAGAATGGCGAAGACTAGAGCTTGTAGTTCCTTACAATTCATGACTTCTTGTCTCACAGGGTCCTGCTCATCTGTCAAAGCATGCTGAGCTACAGGAACAAGCATCGAATCCTGTCTGATCTCTTCCCGAGTGGAGAGTTCTGGTATCGGATTGACATGGTCTGTGAAAGGCATGCCATTCTGAGTGGGCATACCAGCAAGTATATCCGATGCATTGAGTTCTTCGAGATGTCCATTTCGCGCCAATTCACCTTCAATCTTCGCAATCTCAGATTCAAGATGCTGTACTATACTCCGTGGTATAGATGCGTCTTGATCTTTGGAACTAAACCCAGTACATTCTGCCTTGGCTGCTGTGCACTGGGAACATGGTATTGCGCGGTCACATTTGATTTTCCTACGTCGACATCTCGCGCAGGACAAGACTGATCTTCGACATTCAGACATAATTACCAGTTACCATTTTCCCCGTTGAAACTATTTCGATAGTCGCCGGGAGGCATCAACATGCTCGTGCCCATCGTCGATAACGATGTTGAGCGCCGAGCAGGAAGTGGCTCGTCGATATCGCTTGCACCTTCCGAAAGCGCATTTCGCGGATTCTCCCCGCCTCTGACTATAGTCATTGGTTGAGCTGATAACGACGTCGTATCTCTACTTATTCGACACTTAATAATTCAAAGAATTGCGGTTTCAGAGATGTTAATGAGCTCTTGGTGGTGACAGCTCTTCAAGGGGTAAAAGGTGGTGGTCTCAACGCTCATGTCCTTGTGCGGTGTTGACCGTGGTGTCTGAGTTCCAATGATTCGACCGACTCTCCGGTCATTGGAATTATGGAAAATCTATTGACAACACTCACAGGCGCAGCAGAAGAAAATCTGACCAGACTGCTTCCAACTTGTCAAAGATGTCGTCGCTTACGCAGAAAATGTGACACTCAACTGCCCGCGTGTAGATTGTGTCAAAAAGGTAAAGCCGAGTGCACATTCTTCGACCATGCCCTGCAGCAAACACTACCTCGAAGTTATGTACATTCTTTACTCACCAGACTAGCCAGGTTAAGGGCGGTACAAACGGCTGTCAATGGCGGTCCGAGTGATCCTACGCCGATCACACCTGCCCTAAGCAGAGGTTATTCATCACATATGAGGTCAGAATCAGCAGTATCTGTGAATACCGAGAGGCAGAACCGAGACTGGCAGCAATATGAGAATGGCATCTCCTTCGATAAGCACTTCAGCCTCGAAGATGCCAATCCAACGTGTTGGCAATACTTTGGTAGCAGTTCTGCTTACTCATTAGCCGTCGAAGTCGTGGTCGCCGCTCAAGCTCGATTCGGCAAGATGACACATCCGGAAAACTACGCTGGTCCCGACTTCAAGCTCAATATGGTGGTATACGAGTCTCTTCAGCCAAAGGAGCGGACATGCCCCTCACGAGACGAGGTAGAAACACTAGTAGCCCTATACATGAACTCAGCAAATGTCATCAATGGATACACTGACAACGCTCAAGTCTCTCAGGAGATTAACACCTACCTCCACCACCAAAGTGGTGCTATCAGATACTTACAAGGTGTCGAAGCTCATGAGTTCTTCCGGATAGCGATGATTTGCGCCATCGCGTCAGCCAGCAGATCCCGTCATGATTCCCGTTTTGGCAGCGAAGCCTTCTCCTACTATCTTGAAGCCATTCAGTGTGCGGAAGAGGTCACATCCGATGTGTCCCTAGATTCATTACAGGCACTTCTACTCCTAGTACTCTTTACATTCTTCTATCCTCGACGCGGCGATGTCTGGAAGCTTCTCGATTATGCCTGTCGTCTTTCTGTCGAGCTCGACATTCACTGCGAGACCAACGACGAGTACGAGGAAGAGAAGTTTTCACAGCGCCGAAGAAGTATATTTTGGGGCCTGTATAGCCTCGAGCGTACCTTTGGTCAGCATATGGGTCGGCCATCGGATCTACCAGAGGAAATTATCACGGCTGAATATCCGACTGCATTCACGACATCGGCGGCAGACAACGTCCTCATTCAACGGGCCCTGATAAGCCATTACTATCGCCTCATCTACCTTCGCAGCGAGATATTTAGGATCCTCTACATGCCTGCCATAGCACCTGAGCTCCCTCGCTCTTGGTACGAAGATCGTCTAGAAGACTTTCATGCATGGAGAGGCGAGATCGCTCCGATAATTGATGCACCAAACCACGTTCCTGGCATGGGCACAATACAGTGCGAAATGGCATTCAATACCTCAATGAACTTCCTTTTTCAGCCGCTTCTGTTGCGAGCCTTAGCAGCAATCAAAGGGCCGGATACACCGATTCAGCAACAGTTGTTCGGAGACATGCAGTTGGTGATACCTCGAGAGTCGTACGATGCAGCAGTTCGTTCGATTATGTTCTACGACCGGATCTTCCATGCTCCTGAAGGGACACAAGATGGTGACTATCCTGTCACCATCATTAGCGCACATTATATTCATCAGGCTGTTCTGACTTTAATGGCCCACGTCCTTCTTGCGATCGATGGCCGTCTCCCTTTGGTCACTTTTTCTCGCGACCTGGAAGCATCAGGTTTACAAGTTACGCGTACTCTTGACACGAATGGCCGTATGCACGTCGATGTACAACCTATCGACTTCAGCAATATTCATGAGATCAGTGAGGCATGTCTCGGCTTGTTGAGGATACTAGCGGACCGTTGGCTCGGCATGGTGGGAATATTGGATTTGTACAGAGAGATGCATGAAAAGGTACTACCAGCCTTGACTACGAGGTAAAGTGGGCCTATGAAAGCGGTATATAGAAGTTTTAAATCTATGTCAGCTCGAGGAAGGAGCACTCGAGAATCACGTGTAGATAGCCAGCAATGTATGTAGGCTTTCGGATTTCAACACCAGCGTTCTCAGTGCATGCACTGTGGTGGGGTTTATGCAAGATTGAGAGCGTCCTACCGCCCGATCTGGGTTTGGGATCGCCTAAATTTGCTTCTATGGAGTGATGCTGCACGACCTCGAGCCTCGATTTTTGAGCAATAAACATGAGCTTTTTTTGCGCTCAGCAAATTGAAGAACAAATTCTCTTATCGGCTCAACGATTGCACATAAAATTTCTACTTGCCAACCAGCCATCTGTGACCAACAAAATGAGTTCATCCTTCTTCTGAGCGCTATTCTCTGCCCTTCACCCTTACACAAGATCTATGTGATGAAAAGATCGCGATACGTCATTGACAGCTGAAAGAGTCAGAGCACACGACCTTGTGCTCGATTGACACACCTCGACCTCCAACCGGAAGCAGCGACAATGTTACACGGCATCATCTCAGTGGCAGGCGCCATGCTGTCCGCAGACCAGGACGACATCCCCCTCACAGTCGCCGAAGCGTTTTCCGGCATTCTAGGATCAGTCTCTCTAGCCTGCTGGATCTTTCTCCTTGTACCTCAAGTGATTGAGAACTACCGTAACCAGTCTGCCGAGGCTATCAGTCTTGCCTTCGTGCTTACCTGGTTTCTCGGTGATGTTGCGAATCTGCTCGGCTCAGCATGGGCTGGTCTAGTGCCTACAGTAATTGCGATTGCAGTGTACTTCTGCATTTCCGATGCGGTGCTGGTTAGTCAAGTCCTGTACTATGGCATTCGAAACAAGAGAAGGGAAGGACAAGGTCTTTTGGCAAGTGTCAAGGATACTGTGGTTCAGGCCGATACCGGTACTGAGAGATTTCGCGAGGAGCAATCGACTGCAACAGTTGATGTTGAAGATTCGGAAGAGCTTGAGACATCAGAGACAGAACCATTGCTAAGTCGGAAACACAGCCGCGCAAACAGCTATGGCGCATACACCATACCTGGCTCAGCAAATCCAAAAACCGTCCGAGAACAAATTGCCCGCAGACGATCGAGCTCAGGCGCATCAGCGAAAGACCAAATCAAAGCTAGAAGAAAATCGTCCTCAGCAGCTGCCAGCAGTGCTCAACAAGAACCGCTTGCGAAAATCTTTGAAGAGACAGACTCAACCCCAACGATAGGAAGACCAAGAACTTCTCGAGTAATCAAAAATACACTATTGATTTTAGCTGTCGCTGGTATCGGCACTCTAGGATGGCTGATCGCATTTAAAACAGGCACATGGAAACCACAACCACAACCCGATCCGAATGCTCAGCCCGACCCAGATGACGACAGCAATCCACCAGGCGCACAGCTACTAGGCTACATCTCCGCAGTCTTGTACCTCACAGCTCGACTACCTCAGATCTGGAAAAACTACCGCGAACAATCCTGCGAAGGACTTAGTCTGCTATTCTTCATTCTCAGCCTGTTAGGCAACGGCACATACGGAGCAGGTATCCTGTGTCACAGCCTTGAAAAGGGCTATGTAATAAAGAACGTGCCCTGGCTTATTGGGAGTTTGGGCACGATGGTTGAAGATGGGATTGTGTTCTATCAGTTTAGGATATACAAGGATAATGTGGAGGATGTTGTGGTTACGGATGGAGCTCCTGGAAGAGCTGAGCCTTAGGAGTATCTATTGTGGAATTTGATCTTAGCATACTTAGTAAAGAAGATGTACATAAAGGAGAGAGTGCGAAGCGACAAATTACTGGACAGTCATCAGCAAGATTACATTGGGAAGAAAAAGCCCGCTCCACATCTGGGAAGCAGTACTCTTGAAGGCGCCAGCATGAGAGATGGGAAAACCCACTACGATGCAAGGACGATAGCTATGAGTCGTATCGGTTCGCAACACTGCAATGCGATCATCATGCAACAGTTGACTTCTATGATAGAGGGGCTGCGGACTGCGCCGTCTAGTGTCGGAAAAGAGAGTCTAGCAATATTAGGCATGCCTGGAACTGAAATTACAGGTACTGGCTCTAGGCATTAACAACCTAAACCACGCCTATTTCAAGACGGACCTCAGATACTGCAGGCACGACATTCAGCATATCTAATCTCTCCATCACGAAAACAAACGACTTTCACCTCACTCACCATCGACAACATATTTCAGCAGAGCCAAGGCAGGCAGTGGATATAGTCAAGGACAAAGTGAGGTGAAAGTCGTTTGTTTTCGTGATGGAGAGATCAGGTATCGTAGATGTCGCACCTTGGTTACTGATGGCTACGAAGAATACACAGAGCACGTCTTCCTCGCTGCGCTACAATTCTGATGCGCAACGCTGTATAGTCCTTGATTTCTACAGTAACATAGGCAATACTAAATAGGACACTCGACGTTTTATACCTTCTCGAAAGCGAGGAACACCTTGATAGAAGAGTAATAAGCTACATACGTATCTCCGAACTGAACTAGAACCCAGCCACTCGTTTCTTCTTTCTTGCTTTTGCCTTTTCGTTCACTGCACTGCGACTTCCAAACGCACCGCTTACGGGTTGAGTAGACGTGAATACACTCGTGTCCGGATTGGCCTGACCCGAGCTTCCTGCCTGCTCAACACCATCGCTGAAAACAAATGCGGGCTGAGTGTTGGATATTCTGGCCCTAGTTCGAATTGTACCAGACGCCGAAGGCAGCAGTCCAGAGCTTCTAACAGGTGGGGGTGCATGCGAAGACTCGGGTAACACGCTCGTCGAATCTGTATTTTTGACATTGGATGCTGTCCGCTCAGCTCTTCTTCGTGCTCTAGCCAGTCTCTCTGACGCTCGATCTTTGGCCGTTGTTCGATCTGTTGGTCCTCCTGACATTTCCACTGCAAGCGCAAGCTCAACTGCTTGCCAGTCGTAGTTGTCAGGATTGGCCTCGGCATCGTTCGATAGGTGAGCTAACAATGACATGATCTGGGACGAGGTCGTATCGTCCTCAAGAACGACCGGTGGTGGCGCTTTCTGTAGCTCTGTGTAGACGCCGAGACGATTAATGACTTCAAGCAGAGGAGAAGCTGTAGCGTTTCCTGGTTCTTTGTCTTCATGTTTGTGTAACTGAGGCTGAGGTTGACTCGCTGAAGTTTCCGAGATTGAACGCCGAACCAAGTCATCCTGCTGAATAGGATCACTCAGGACAAGGCTATCCATTGCCGGTATTGGCTGTGATTCTGGAAAAGCCTTCGATAAATTCTCCACCACCTTCCTGATAGTCTGACTGGCGAGCAGTTGGTCGAGCGCTATCTCACGCACAAGCCGCTCTCTTTGCACTCTTGGACGATCGGGAACGATTGACGGGAGACTCTTGACCAGATGGTCGAAGAGCTTCTCGTATTGAACAACCAGTGACAGACCCAAATCTCCCCGACAAACTTCTATCTGAAGTTTATCGCCTAGGCCGTCCACGAGCATACGAGTGCTTCTCTCGAGTGCGGCAGAGTCGGAGTCAATGTTTTCGACCCTCATGCCATCGACTGTCAGTTCAGACAACAGAAACGCCTGAGAGCTTTCATCGAGAAATTGCCCATCGTGGAGGCGCTCATGCAGGAGAGATAACACAGTAGAAACGTTATGTCTAGATCCTGCATTGAAACCACTTTTTGAGACGACGAGCTCGGTACAGGTCGCACTTATGTCCTTCACCACCGGTCTATGACCTCCGGACGCCACAATGGCTGGGCTTTCAGCATGCAAAGTATCCAAAGCATAACCTCCCACGACCTCATCGTCTGCAACAACAAAATCCGTCAAACCGTTGTCATCATCATCTATCTCGTCGATAAAACGCTCACTCCTGTGTTGGAGACCTCTAGTGGGTGGAAGTCGAAGATGGTAGTTTTGGTCAGCGCTGGCGGGCAAGCTTGCCAATGGTTGAACGACCATATTGATTGACACTATCGATAGATCTTCGTATTGTAAGATCATCTGTGCGATCGTTGGAAGTTCAGCAGCCTGTAATCCATGACCGTCTACTTCCGCCCTCACTAGCAAGACCGTCGTTAGTCGACTAGACGGGAGTTTGTCAGGTAGCTGAACCAACGACGGGCTAGATGAGGTAACAGTAATATGCTTCTCAGTTATTGTGTAATGAAGACGATGTAGCTTGACAGCTTGACAGCAACTTGAGTACAGTAGAAGTAAAGTTTCATTCTCACCATGCATGCATGTCATATTGAGCGACATGTCTGAAGCATTGTGGACATGCTGCCATGCACAGAGCAGTGCTGGCCCATGGGAACCTTTCCAATCTTTTCGACTCATATCGAACAACAGCACTTGAAATGTTGTAAGAATGAAAACAAGGTTGGACTTGTGTCCAGCTGTGATCCCCAGAATGTATGAAGCAACCTTACGTGGATTGAGCCGTACGTTGACTGAGCAAACTTCATCTCCATACTCGTTGAAGACCTTAACATCCTGTCGATTACAAACCAGTAAGCGATCAGTAATTGTGCTGTTACTAGACGTCCAGAGTATCCGATGCCAGCCATCAAAATAGAGGTCGATATTATTAGGGCGCTTTCTGCTTCGCCAAGAGAAAATCTTACCTGATGCTCGGAGACGTGTCTGGTGTAGTACACGAGCAGAACGAACTCTTTTGCCATGCACAGTCCAGATGCTCCAGTTGCCTTCGACGTCTATAATAGCCAGTCGTCGGTGATTGTGGGGATCGAAGGCGACGTCGGCATGAGTATGATCACCAGTTGCTGACACGGGTAGAGTGAGGAACCGATTCAAGTCGAGAGATCCTTTTGACGATGCAGAGCTCACTGCAGTGTCTCGACGCAAGAGCGGCTCGAAGAGGCAAGTTTGAGACTGCAGTCGAACGGCCAGATAGGTGTCGCTGCGGCTCCCAGCTCTTTTTGACGAGAATAGTATCTGCTGAATCTGTTCAATGCCCTGCCAATCAGTTGTGTCTTGTACAGAAAAGGACGGTACGCTGGCCACGAATTCGTTGCCACTTGTAGTGGTAGACTCAAGATTTGTTCGTCCGACACAAGCAACACGAAGCTTGTCATTGTTGCCAGTGGTGTAAGCTACCACATGAATACTCAAGTTTCCCGAGTCGACTCCGTCTACACCAAGCCAGACGGCACTTCCGATGGCGATGCGCTGACTCCACGCTTGGGTTGCATAGCTTGAAGAGCTCGAACGTGTAGCAACATCCGCTAATCCAGCCGTGGCCGCAAGCAACGGCAGACGACGGTGATGGGCAGCATTCGACTCTGGCAGTCCGTTTTGGGCAGGCAACACAGTTTCCGGGTTGGAACTCAGTTCGAGAATAGCGGCAATTTCCTCTGTCGCAATATCGAGGTGGCCAGTATCATCCTGCGAGTTTTGTTCTTCCTTCAGGAATGTCCATGATTGCTCTTGTTGCTGATACGTTGCTGCTCCATAAGTGCCATACGTTAGTGTACCGAGTTCATGGTTGTGTCGTTGGCGCCATATTCGCTCTTCCTCAGCCATGTGCTCTATGATGCTGTATTAATCGTAACAAGTAATGCTGTGGAAAGATTGTGCAATGCATGGTGTCCGGCTTCTTAACGCGTGGTTAGACGATTCATAGAACAACAGTGAAGGTCGAAAGTGAAGGTTTCACTTAGCCATAGGAATGATAACGAGCATTAGTAGCACGAAAGAAAGATTGAAAGTAAACAGAAAATATTGTTATACGAATTCGTGTAGAAGCTCGGCAAACATTTCCGAAGCTTTAGCGTCAGGCATTAGTAAGATGTAACAGAAGAGGCAGCTACAGCGAGAGTGACAGATATGAGTATGGAGTGGCTCCTTCGCCAGAGCAAGGGAGCGATACATTTCTGAAAGAGGTAGGCAAACCTCTTTACTCGTACGCAACGAGTACTATTCCTGCTTTCAGGGATTTGCTGATTAAAGAAACGATACAGCTTGCCCAACTCCTGACACATAGGTTAGTGGCTTTAACCGCACCGTGTTTCCGAGCCTGCATTACCTTTTAACGCCACGCTAAACAAGAACTTATTATTAGTTGGTCAAAACCAGCGATCATGCTAAGAAATCTTGCCAATCCGCTTTTTGGCAACGTTGATCTTGCCCTGTACTCTGTCGACGTCCTCGTCGACCATCTTCAACATCTCATTCTGGACTTCCAACTCTTGATTGATAGCGACACCTAGATCTCGCTGCCTTTGGACGATTTTCCTGATCTCATCAACGTCCAGATCCTGGTCCTTCATCTTCTGCTGCTGGAGTTGTAACAACCCTTGATTGTCCAAGCTCCTGGTCTCTGCTGTCTCTTTACCTAGTACTCTGCCAGATTTAGCTGGGCCTTTCGTTGAGGAAGCTGCAGAGGCTACAGACTGATTCGTAGCTGGAGACAAGAGATCGGTATGTTCTTGAATGTTAGCAACAGCACTGTCCAGCTTGCTCTTCTGCGACATGGCATCCATGAGTGTTTCCAGTGCCTCTTTGTCCTTCTTCGCAGCTGATAAGAGGTCCTTTCTCCTCCGTAGTTCGCCTGCGCCCAGCCTCTGACTCTCTGGTACACTAGCCTGCTGCATCTTTGTTAGACCATCCTCAAGCGCCGTAAGGATCGTTCCGGCTTTGACAAGGCTCGATTTTGCAGCAGCTGAAGCTTCATGTTGTTTTTGTGGTGTCGCAGCCTGATCTCTGTTCGTCAGGTTGAGTCTGGCGTCATGTAGCTGGGCTTTCAAATCTCGATGGCTGTCTAGCCAGACAGTAGGATCTGTTATTGACGCTCCGCCTGCGCTTGGCCCTGTTAGGACGGAGTGTAATGCGCCTGCTCTCGAATTCGAGCTTGTAAAGGACGACGGAAGGTTCATAAATGCTCGCCATACTGATGTGTTCCGCCATCTGTTGTCATCAACCTCATTTATTGTCTTCAGATAGCTCTCTAGTCCCTGGCGACGGCTCTCTGCTAGCTCTGGGGAGGATACGGTAGATTTGAACCACGACTTTCCAGGCAAAGCCGCTGGTGGTGGTGTTCCAACCTGTTCCGACAAGGACTGATGGAAATTCAGAAAATCAGAGTAGCGCTTTTGAACTGTATAACTTCGCAGAGGCAATCGCAATGTGATGTTGTATATCGTGTATGGTTTTGCAGTATTCGAGGTCGTGGTTGATGGTATTGAAATGTCGACTTGAGGCGCCATTGTTGTTGTAGCTATTGAAATTTTCTGAGCAAGCTTAGCATACGGGTAGTGGCGGGTGGTGATACGAGTGGATATTGTCGCTGATGGTAGATTGTGCTACTCGTGGTTGTTGAATACGAGTCGTGCCTACTGGTATTGAAGAACATCCCCAAGCCAGTGACGTAGCGGCTCCAAAATACGCGTATCAGCAGAAGCAGTCTGAACTAGTGTGAAACAGGTTGCGGGCTGTGTTGTCTATCACTCCTCAGTAGTACTGTCGCAAGTATACAAAGACTTCACCAGATCCAACATGTGAAAATTCTTTGCTAGGCATCAATAAGATGCCATCCCAACCACCGCCATTGCCGCCAAGGTCCCCGTCTATTGCATCCTCCATCTCATCATGGTCTAGTGGTGAGGGAAGGTCCTTCTCGCCTCATAGGCCACGTGAGAATACTATACATCTCACTCCACGTGCTGCCTACTCCTCGAACAACAAACAAGGAGTTCGTCCATATCCAGGAGGTACTGGTCTCGATGACCCCCGAACTTCCAGTACCCAGTCACTTCGACCAGTCGAGTCGGCGGGCCCAAACCGTCGAAATCTTCTGCTTGTCTATATCCATGGATTCATGGGTACAGAGACAAGCTTCAGGAGCTTTCCAGCTCATGTTCATAATCTTCTAACAATGAGCTTGGCAGACTCCTATGTCGTTCACACGAAGATCTATCCACGCTATCAGTCCAGGAAGAATGTTGCCTTTGCACGAGATGCATTCAGCAATTGGTTAACGCCTCATGAGTCTGATAACACCGACGTCATCTTGATCGGCCACAGTCTGGGAGGAATACTGGCAGCAGAAGTAGTACTACTTCCATCAAATCGCCCTGGAAGTAGGGACTTGTTTCAACATCGAATACTGGGACATATCTCATTCGATACTCCTTTCCTAGGCATGCACCCAGGCGTTGTTAGCACAGGTATTGCAAGCTTGTTCAGAAGTACTCCTGGTCCTCCTGAGTCTCCTGCTCCTACATCGGATAGCAATTCTGCTGGGCTGTCAACAAACCCCTTTGAGTTTGAATCATCGGATCCAAACTACAACCCTGCTTTCCCTAATGATGTCAGATTGCCTGTTCGGGCCACCAAGCTAGATCAAGCTTTCTACTTTCTAAATAAACATTATGGGGACTGGAGGAAGGCCACCACTTCTTATATCAAATCACATCTGGAATTTGGAGGCTGCTTGGCAGACTATGAGGGTCTAAAGAAGCGTTATCGTTCATTCCGACCGTTGGAAGATGTTGATGACCTGAGCAGCACGAAATCCCCTAGTGGTAAATTGATCCCGAGAGTACGATTTGTCAACTACTATACAGCCAGTACTGGTCGTATCAAACCACAGCCGAATCCAATAGACGACAAAGTTCTAGTGGCAGAAACAGAAATGGCCGAAATGAAATCCTCAAAGAGCCGTTTGATGAACCCACCCAGCCCTCAATCTAATACTCCACGTGTATCTCTTCAGGAGCATCGGGACAGTGAGATTGTAAGCAAGAGGCTGGAAGACTTCCATCTCGAACACCCCGACCAAGAGGACGAGGATGTCCAAATGCAGCACCTAGAACCACAAGCAGAGCCGCCATCTCCTGTACTGGTTGCTGATGAACCCACCAGTCCGATCCCTAGTGAATTTCCAACTACATCCAATGCAGAGACCGCCTCAATCACACCATCCACGATTTCTAGCCTACCACTACCTCCACTAGCAGATCCACCCGTCTTACCTACCCCCTTCGATCCGACTCCCTACACCTCCGCAGACCAGGCCACGCTCAAGCTCGCTCGCAAAGAGCACGAACGTCAGATGAAGGCATACGAACGCTCTAAGAAGGACTATGAGAAATCCGTTCGCGACCGCGAGAAACACATCGCCAAGCTCGAAAAGGCAAGGCAAAAGCAAGAGGAGAAAGAGACTGCAGGTCTCTCCGCACACGAGAAGAGCGAACGTGAGCGTCTAACGAAAGAGGCCGAGAGAATGCAAAAAGAAAAAGAGCGCATGGAAAAAGGTTCTGAAAAGGAAGACCCCAAACGTGCTGCAACACTCAACCAAGGCGCCTACGACGCTGCCCTATCTCGACAGCAAATGGAACAAGAAGACGCCAACTTTGCTCGCGAGGAGAAATTGAAAGCGATGAAATTACCCGTGCCGCCGAAATCACAGAAGAAGCAGAAGGACAGGAAATTCTGCACTTTGCCGTCTAAGGATTCAAAGACTGGAAGGAGAGACCCGACGTGGATCAGGGTATATATGGAGAACATGGATGAGGTCGTCGCGCATACTTCGTTGTTCTTTGTGAGTGAGACGTATGCTAAATTGGTTGGCGATACTGCGGAGCGCATTGAGGAATGGGTGCGGGATGCTGCCAATATTCGGGCTGTGAGGGAGGCACAGGATTGGGAATGAGGTGGACAAGAGGAGTCACGTTTTGTAGCGAGTGTGCTGGATACAAAGTGGGATGTGTCACGATGTCCTGATCATTTCCGAGAGTTCACTTCTCCTAGCTACTAATACCTCGAAATTTATCCTGTAGTTCAGACCTTAGGCAGTTTCAATTGACTTCGGACATACAAAACCAACATTTTCCATCTACAACTTCCAAACCCCTTTTATCGCAGCTCTCAAAACTCTACTCATCCACCACACCCCCTCCGTAACAGGTCCATTCTCATACTCCTGCATTCTCTGGCCAACGTCAGCCATCCGACAGACAACCTCAGCCAACTCTCTATCAAAATGCGCCTTAATATACGCCGCAACACAATCATGTCCATTCGTGATACCCGCCGACGTCCATAGTTCAGCGGGTCTTTCCTCTTCCTTCTCCGCACTACCCACGAGGACATCTCGACTCCATCTCAGATCTTCGAATTGTTTGACGTTTTTGAACTTGGCGCGTAAATCAGCTTGTAGACCTCGGGGGCCAGTAACGACTTGACCGTCGCAGATACCTGAGTAGCATGCTGGGTAGATACCTGTGCAAATTGTGATGATGTCTGTTTTGCCGGATGATGCGTGGGCTTTGATGAATGTCTTATATGCTTCGGAGGGTGTGGAGGCAGGATCTGGACCGGGGATCACGAGGACAGAGAGTTGGCCTGGTTGAACTTTGGGACTTAGGATATCTGCGGTGATGTTTATTTTTGCGTTTGCGGTTGTTGGTGCAAGTAGGACTGGGTTGTTATCGTTGGTCTGGGATATAGACAGGGAATGGTCATCTTTGGCTGCGATGTAAAGGATTTCGAGATTCTGTATAGCTAGGTTCTTGATTGGTTGAGGCAAGATTGGGATGTCGTTCAGGTAATCTTTGCTTAGCATATAGAAAAGGTCGACAGGTGCTAGGTCGAGTAGCTGAACAGGTGGTGGGGCTAGAAGTACTCCGACTCGAAACGTTGTTGACGTTGTATATGTTGTGGGTGGCATGTTGCAGACGAAGTAGGGCTCTGGTATGGAAGCGGGTAACTGAATTTTTGCTGGAGGGTGTTAACCTGTCAACGGATTATGTTGTCGAGCTCTTGGTCGTGGCTCTTAGAAACTCAAGAAGGCTTTTATTCTGTAAGAAGTCCCTGTGCGTTAGACAAGCAACAGCTTTTTATAGTCTGGACCTGTGCTCGAGCTACACCAGTAGACATTGAGGTGCTCGAAGCTAGTCAAAGCCAAGATGTCCGAAAGAGGCAATGTGCTCTGATGGTGGAGAATATCGCAGACTTTGTTGGTGTTGAAATCAGGCACCAGAATTTCTAGCATATAGCTGCCTCCAGAGACAAATCATGAATGAGTTAAAGTCCAAGTCAAGAAGAGACTACTATGTCAAATGTTAGCCATATTCTCTATCTGGTTGAATGGACATCCGAAAGCGTGCTCAGACTTGCCTTTGCACTTCATATCATCCTTGATAGCACATGAAGTCCTTGGCGGCTGAAGTGTGACAAGCACAACTCCGACCAGCTACAGGTGTGTACTGGACGATCAGCAGTATCTGAAACTGCACTTGTGCAGCCTCAGTCATCATAGCAACTCGACCACCTCAAGCAAGAACAGACACAACTTACCTATATGTACCATTTGTGCTCTTCTAATCGACAGAGACTATATCCGTCCCTTTCGTCTTGCCGCCAATCATCTTGGCTGTTCTAGCACCAAATTGGATCGCTCTCTTCTTTTCCGCCGCAGCACCCTTCATGCCGAGGTGCCACATTGCACACCTCAACAACATCTTCTCCGGGTGCAAGTCCTCGATTGCTCGCGCGGCAGGTGCAATCTCGAAATGCTTTGGAACAGGGTTACCTGTCCTAAAGCCACATTTTTCCCAGGCTGGTAAGCTGAGAGCGAACTCGACAAATTTCTCGTCGAGGAATGGATATCGCGTCTCTTTGCCCCAATGCGAGATGACTCGATCGTCACGACCCAAATTTCTTGTGCCAATGCGCATGAAGTCAATCTCGAGCTCATCGTTAAGTCCTTCGTAACCTGCACGAGTGAAAGCTGCTGTGTGTCGTGCATAGCCGCCAAAGAGCTCGTCGGCTCCAAGTCCAGATAGGAGCACTCGAGCTGTTGTTGTGTAAGGCTTGTAAAAGGTATCGTCTCCGGGAGTAGCTACACTGCCTTGACCTCGGGCAGCAAAGTATAATGCCGCTGTGATGGAGAGATCCATTTCTGTGTTGTGAGGATACATTAATTGTATAATGTTCGACCGATGTTCTAGGAAGTCCTCGTAAGGAATATTGATGACCACAAAGCGCCATTGCCGTTCAGAACAGACTTTTACGAGCTCGGCGAAAGAGGATCGACCAGTGAGACGATCTGGGCAAGCTTCGTAGGTATCAACGTCACTTGCACATCTCGAGGCTATCTTACTGGACGACCGGGCGTTGACGACCCGTGGATTCTCGAAGGCGACGTTCAGTAAATCAATCGGTTGGTCTTTCGGCAGGAGTTCGTGGCACAATCGAGCGATGAGGGTACAATCGAGGCCGCCCGAAAACAGGATGGCAACTTTGGCAGGATCTTCGCTGTCATTGATTGCTGTATAGGTAGGGATTCCCTGAACACGAAGTTGCAATGATGTCGTAAGCTTGTCCACTAGATTCGAGACTGCTTGAGTAGAGGGAGTATCAGACAGGCTTATAGGCTGTATAGGAACGGCTTTGTTTATGCGAGGAGAAAATGTTTCATAGCGCAAGGCAGTTAGAGCTAGCTGTGGTTGTTTCAGATCGAGGAGATACACTTGAGCCGTTTTTATTTCTTGCGCAGTGGTACCTATAGATTTTCCGACAACACTGGCTATCGTGAGGTTAGCATCGTTGTCACATCTGTCATCAACTGTTAGAGAACGTCTGCCGAGCGCATCTCGTCCAAAGTAGAGCTTCAAGGACTTAGCGTCGTAAAACACGAAAGCATAGGGACCTGAGATCTTGCTCAGAACTTTCAGGACATCACCTTCCACGTCTGATGAGTGCTTGCAGGCTTCGAACAGGATGGTAGATATGAAATGGGTATCGTTGTCAGGTACTGGTTGGCCATCGAAATTCCATGCCTCGCCATTCCAACAAAGGATGGAGCCACTCGGCTGGTCAACAATCGGCTGTACTTGTACTTGAGCGCCGCGCAAAGCGAGTACGCTGGCGGTGAATGTCAAGTACCACACATGTGTATCAGTAGTAATTGTTGTTTTATGAGTTGTCAACGCGTCAGGACCGCGTCGACCTAGAATTCGGGCATCTTCTGGGTCAAGCTCGCAATGGCCACGAGCCGATATACAGCAGTAGATGCCACACATTCACTGCAGTGCTCGTAGTTCTAGTCAGACTAAATGTCGGGAAGTGATTCAAGAAGGGGGGGAAACAATCCAGTCGGGGATTGTCAACGCCCATCGGCAGTGACATCCTGATGGGAAGGTCCACCGACGCGCCCTAATATTCAAGCTTCACAGGTTCTACTCTCTGAACGCATTAACGCCAGCATAACTACCAAGCTTAGTGCCTGCCTTTAAAAATTAGACGTGTTCCGTTTCACACCTTGGTCATCCTTTTGCATTGACTACGGGTAACGCTTTTCTCGACCCAACGCTGCGTTGCTGTCGACAGGTCCAGCACTCCTTCCGAAAAATTTTTCGTGTTCTCGTCTTCACTACGCACCAATGCCGCCTTTACCTCGGTCGCGTGTTTGCGTCGCCATTCATCATGCCACTTATGAGTGGATGCGCACTTTCGTTGTCAGGCTAGAGTGCCCTTGACCACTTCTATGCATTTGCGCTTCACTCCAATTCTACCAATGGCGTGGTACGTGCCATCTTCATCTGCGGTTGCTCGATCTCTTCCAGCTCGTCTGAATTGTACTCCGTGCGCTTTCTTGGAGTCATATCTCGGCCGTTGACAATGGCCTGATTTTCCTGCTTGATTCGCTTCCTGGCATCTTTGCGGGCATACTAACACAACCTTAGCAACGTTGGATTTGGTACAGGATAACTTACATGAACGATATCCAGCAAATCATCCACTTCTTCCTCGGTGAGCTGCCTTTGCCTGAGCAACTCGAACGGATCTGGCACTGCTGGCTCCTGGACAACACCGGCTCTTTTGAGACCGTCTGTACCACATTAGAGTCAGGCATCATGATTCCATAAGTCTTTACCAATGGTGAGGTAGCGAAAGTCGAAGGTCGCAAGAGCTGGACCTGGTAGTCGTGTGGTGCTCCATAATCTTACGTTTCCAGTCTTCTCAGCTGCATCTACACTTTTCTGTCGTTAGCTATGAGCCGTATCAGACTCGGGAGCTACCTACCTTGTTACGCAATCTTGGGCAAGACCTTTGAGTTCCTTCTCAGATATTTTGATATCCGGAACCTCAAAATTTGAACCACGTGCTGGTGCCCTGCCCTCTATCTTCATCCGATAAACAACGACATTGATGGAGCCTAACTGGGACACAGCGTTCGCAGACATATTTGTTGTAGTGACATTTTCGTCCAGCTGCAGGCTTCGGAATCTGAACTTCTGCAATTGCCACGAGTTCCCTACGTGCCCGCTGATACCTTCGACGTGGTAGCAAAGAGTCTCATCATCGGATCGTAAGTGTTTTTCAAAGACAAGCCTCGAGTCAGCAAGCTGACCGTCGATCCTAGTATCAAAACCAAAAACGCCATAGCGCTGGAACAAGTCTTTGTGACCAATTTCGAGCTTGACCAAAAAGTTCTCTCCGGAGAAGCTTTGAATATACTTCTTGACCGTTTGATCAGTTCCGGCTTCTGTACCGTTGCATTGGGTTGGTGCACCATCTGGATCCTCATATTCATGCGAGGGTCGTCCATTGCAGAACACTCGACATTCAAGCCTTCCTAGAATTGCCATCTTCGATCGTGCTAAGTGTGAGGACGTAGGACGTTTAAAGCTCGGATATGTGAGATTGAGGCAGCAGCCTGGGATATCTTTCGACCTATAATAGAGCCGCTGAAGACAGCATTTAGCTAACGCAGTCACAAACGACTCGAGACGATTGGACGAAATGGAAATGAGGTACATGGTGAAGTGGGGAACGTGTGCCTTTCCACAAGGAAGTAGCGCCTGGCTCGTCTTAATACAACGTCAATTGTGATATCACAAGTCTGATTTAATCTTCAAGCACAACCACTTCATCCTCACTAGCGGGCTTTCGACGGGTTGCGGGTCTTTCATCAATCATCTCAACCTCTCCTCCATTTGCAACCTCAAGTCGTTTGCGCTTCCTCTGCCGTGTATTTCGGTAGTCTTCAGCCTCCTCTTTCTTCACTCTGGCACGAAGTTCCCCGACTTCTTGCTGCGGGAATTAGCCCAAGCATCCAGCTCAAACTCAGGATACTTACCTTAAGTCTCTCGTTCTCGGCTGCAACATCCATGTCATCTTCAATGACGATAGTTTCTCCTGGATACTGGATGAATGGTGCTTTGACGATTTGTCGATCTTGAAGTGCTTCTGTGTACCGTCAGAACGAACCTCAGCAGTCAGTCTTGCAAACTTGCCAATAGTCCTGTACTTGAAACAGAAAGTTGCCATGGGACTCTCCTCTTTAGTTGTGGCGAAAGTGTACACAATCTCATGCTTTTCCGTCGTCGTGAAGCTGTCAGCCGTTAACAAAGAGCAAGAACTGTTGAGAGAGGCATACCTGGCTTTGGAAGTAGATCCGTTCTCCTTGACCAGACTCTTAGGATATCTCTTGTCCTGATTGTCTTCTTCGTCGTTCTCCGTCCTTATGAATGAGTATCCGGACACTCTAGAGATCTCAACCCGAATCGAGCCCTGGTCTTTGAATCTCTCTCGAAGGTCATCCAGTTGCTCGTCGCTTGTGACATGTCCTGGTGAGGGTTAGCCGTCAACAAAAGGAGCTTGGTCTGGGACAAACTAGTAGCTGTCTCAGCAAAATAGAAGTTCTTCATAATTGTTTTCCCGTCAACGAGCTTTGAGAAACCTGCCACAGAATCGGTATATGGTTTGCCTAGGGTGAAATGCGCCCTCGGATAACACAGAGCACCAGCATGTTCGCCGTCAAAGGTGATCTCGACGGAGAGAGCATCAAAATCATCAAGGCGGAAGGTCTCTTTCACTGTCAACCTGATTTCGAAATTCTTGTCTTCCCTGATCTCTGCATATCTCGTCGCTGAAGTAGCAGTCTCTTCTGCCTGGCTGTCCAGATGCTCCTTGGCAGGCTGGTCATCTTGAATGATATGGACGTCGAAATGATCGAGCTCGACCATGGCTGATGCAGTCTATATATATGTATTGACAGAGACAGTGATGACGATGAAATGAAGAGACTAGATATAACTGCCTACCAGACTGCCAATCTCCTGAGCTAAGACGAGGCGATTCGTCGTGCATCCTTTCGAGACGCCAGTGAGATCAGTTTGAACGAGAAGAAGTAAGAAGAACGATTGACTCGAGCCATAATTGAGAGAGTTGACACTAGCAGTCCTGAATTGATACAAATCGAGGCCTTACCAGAGCATTGCAGGACATTTCTGTTCAGATATGCTAGATACAATCGGATCAGCAGTAATCTGATCTGAATCAACTTGAGCCTTGTTCAGAATGTTGAACATGACCGAAGAGCAGCTCGATCAGCACGGAACCAGATATTCGAGACCTTCATGGGATGCAGATTGCAAAGTCATCTACGGCTCGCAAGTTGGACAATCGAACATGGCAGAAACAGCAATTCGATCTCAGTGCACGGTGAAAGAGCGTCCAGCGTTGTCAGCATGTTGCCGCAACGCCATTGAGATAGAACACTCTACTCGTGCAGGCTGCGAGGGAGTCCTCCAGCTGCTAAGCTTACAGCTGTTGAGTTCACGCCAAGGAAACGCATCACGATCACGCGCCAGCCACTCAACGCGTCCGCTGTCTCGACCTCGAGGACCAGCTGATACAATAACACAGGTCTAGGTTACTAGGCAACCTCTTGCACTCGTGATAGTGCCGTCTGTCTGTCATGGTCGCTGATTTGGCCATCACTGAATTTCAGCTTTGAGGTATTTGCGAGAATATAAAGCCATATCCTTCCCAGTCCCGACTGAATCCAAGCTAGAATCAGCTCGTCCATCATGCAATCCTTGCTCAATGTTCTGCTTCTCTTCACTACTTACCTCAATCTAGTCGCTGCCTGGGGCTCACTCGGTCACCGAACAACTACAGCTCTTGCCCTCCTTTACATTCCACAAGATCACCCAGCAGAACTACTCCTGCAAACCCTCCTCCACGGTCAAGATCCCACCACTGCCGCTCTCTTCCCAGATCGTATTCGATATATCCCTTCCTTCGCGTACACCGCACCATGGCACTACATCGACGCCCTAGACAATCCACCACATCAATGTGGCATCAACATAACGCGTGATTGCCTGCCCGAAGGCTGCGTGGTCAGCGCAATCGCCAACCATACAGATCGCGTCGCTAGTCCCAGTCTACCCCTGTGGCAGCGCGGACAGAGTCTCCGCTTCATGCTGCATTTCTTTGGGGATGTACATCAGCCTCTACATACCGACATTCTGAGTCGTGGTGGGAACGAAATCGAGATCACGTTTGATGGAGCTAAGCATAATCTGCATAGTGTTTGGGACACCCTCATTCCCAAGAAGATTGTTGAGATTGCGGGCGAGAAGAAACTGCTGAACAGCAACCAATGGGACCTGAAGAATGAGACTGAAGCTGCTTATGCTTGGGCTGAATTTCTCTACGCCAGATATAGAGGTTCTACCATTGCCGAAGAAGTATATAGTGTGTGCACGCACGATGCTGCAGAGTGTTCCTTGAGATGGGCTAGTGAGGCTAACAAGTGGGTCTGTAAATACGTGTTTGAAGGTGGGCTTGAAGAACTACAGAACAAAGACTTGGGAGGAGAATATTTTGAGGGTGCTGTGCCCATCATTGAAGAGATGGTTCTAAAGGGTGGCAGGAGGTTAGCAAGGTGGCTTATGATGATTGCTTGGGATCTCAAGCATGAATTAGCAGAAACTAAGACCGACGAAATGATTGTACAAGAGCTATAAGTACATCTAAAAACCATGGCACCTGAAAACCATGACACTCCATTGATTTCTCAATTTTGAAACACAAACCCATCCACGCTTCCTAGACTTGCCCCTTTCTCCCATCCTCTGCACATCAGACTACTCTTGCTTAACATCTCTCTTCCTCAAGAGCAGGTTCACAATCCACGGCACCTTTCTCATCTTTCCATCCTCATTTCCCACTGCCGCATTGACAAAAAGCGTTTGTTGTCCTGATTCCAGCTGTTCTGTGACAGATTGATGCAGGTCTGCATATCCTCTCGCCTTGTTCGAAGCAGATAGCGTAGTCATCTGAGGCATCACAATCAGGCTCCCTTCACCGAGATCACCTATGCCAGTCCACCTTCCTCGCACAGCGCCCCAAGACTTCTCAATGTGCCCAAAGCAGTGAAGACGTGGCTTGGTGCCGAGGACTGCCCGTCTAAGGTGCTGACATCCAACACTCGAGCCGTAAATATCGTCGCCTTGATCGAGAATCCACCTGGGAGGACCATGCGTCATGAGGATATCAATGTGGCCCGAAACGATTGTGTTCTGTGAAGATACGTTCTGGAAATGCTCTGGCGTGATCAGTGTGCCGTTGAATCTGTCTGTGTTGGGTAGATATCGAAACGCCGATTCACCATCACCTGGAGTGTATGGTGAAGCATGAATCAGAAATGAGCCGCCAGACTTGAGATGGAATTGATGCAGACCTTCCTCAAGATACTTTATGTTATTACTTAGTGCGAGCTCACTCTTCGTCCACAGGTCCTTGACGGTAGCAGGAATAGTCGTGTCTCCGTCCTTTGCTCTAGCATAAGATCTTTCGTCAAGGTCGATATCGTGATTTCCTGCAATAACAAGCTTGAGCTCTGCTGGAAGTCTAGCAAGTCCCTCTAGCGCTCGCATGTGGTTGGCGATGCCTCCCCTGTCTGTCAGATTGCCGCAATGGAGAACAACGTCGACTGGAGGTAGGGGTTTGAAGCCGAATTGGTTGTGTTCGCCATCTGTTGCAACTCCAGAGTATTGTCTGAGGTCGAGGTCACGGGTGTCTGAGATGATGAGGAAGCTTGTCTGAATTCTTTCGCTACCCATCTTGTGATTTCCGGACTTGGGCAAATGAAAATGAGGTTCAATCTGCAATAGGGAAAAGATTTGGAATCTGGCAGATCAGTTAACAGATTGAGGAGTCTCAAAAGCCCCAACTTATAGGAACTCTGTAGTCGCAAACCAAACACTACGCGCACCAAACAATTGCTCAAATCAAACCTGCAAATAAGCTGTGAAATCCATTCTCGATCTTAGTGACACAACATGCGACAAGTGTCTGTTGTAGTCAGCAATGTGGATAGTTATAATTGTGTAGTAAAACAGTGGAACTCTCCTATATGGGTTGAGTACGAGGCACTGGAGGGATCTGGTATGTTTTCACTGCGTCAATGACCTGGTGCAGTATCGAAGTGCAGTCTGGTCTCCGGCATATCTCGTCGTCTTGACTGACTTGTTGTGTGATTGCAGCATGAATTGCCGTCTACCTGATATATTGCCTCGATCAGATTCTGCATATTCTGTATTGATGGTGCAAAACTGGCGGTTGAATACTCAGGACGCTGTCGGCTAGTTAGAACTGGCATTGCACCTCACGAAACTAAGTGTTAGCCTGTATGGTTTCTAGCATGCTCGTAAGGAGTTAGAGCTTCTCCAGCTGCTTGCTGTATTATTGTCAAGCCCCATTGTTATGCCCTGAGTTCAATGACGAAACAAGACTTGAGCTAGTAGTATCAGCTGTAGTCCCCGGCAGCTAATTTGAAGGAGCGTTGAACGTCGTTGTGAACGAGGCAACAAGGCCTGCCTCAATTAGTCCTGTCCCATGACAACTCCTACTCCAACAAGGATGTTTGTCTCGTGGCTGAACAATTTCTCATCGACTTTACGACTCTAGAGTCTGGGCAAAAAACCGGCACTACTGAGTGTCCGGCATAAGAAACGTTAACACTCCTCAGTGATTGAAGAGAGGTGAGCGAGGTGATAGATGTCTGGAGGTCAACAAGGCTGTATGGTCGAGGTGCATAGCCTCGTCGCGTCAAAACGCGCGACTTGAACTTTTCTTACCCTCAACCATGTCTTCCAAAGGGAGGAATCGTGGTATGTACAGCCTCGGAATGTATGAAATCTAACTGCACGCATTGCTGACTTCTCTCACAGGTACGATGAGGCGCCTCGAACCGGGGCAGACAGATGTGTCTGGGGAGCTTCGAAACCTCAAACATGAAGAGAAACAGAACAAACAGCTGCCGAAGCTTCCTGCAAACACGACGATTAATCGTCGACCCATCAACCATGCATCAATCGCATCGCCTTTTGCAGGGTCCAAGGTACAGAAGGTAGTCTATATCTCTCGCAAAACACCAGTCATGAGTGCCGTGAAACGTGTCAAGAAGTTCCTACGTGAAATCGAGAAGCGTGCCATGCAGAGTCAGGGCGTGGACAACGTGCTTGGGAATGGCGGTCGTGCTTCTCGAGGTGAAGACAGAGAACTTCATAGAAGGCTGGACGATGTGAGTGAGAAACTGAGGCGGGATGCTGAGGAAGTGCTTGTCAAGGCATCTGGACGAGCTATGGAGCAGGCGCTACGCATAGCAGAATGGTTCAGAAACAGAGAGGAGGAAATCAGCACGAAAGTCGACGTCAGAACAGGTAGTGTCAGTGTGGTTGATGACATTGTTGAAAAGGACGAGAACGAAGATACTGAGGCTGAGGCCGCGGACAACACGGATGACGAAGAGTCACCAGAAGTAGCAGCTGCGATGACTGTGCTTGACGGAGGTGATACTACGATGGAGCTGTTACGCAATCTAGAAAATAATGTGACTGGATCAGCACAAGATCAAAATAAGAACCTGGCTCGCACGGATGACCAGCCAAGCAACAATCCTGGTCAATCTTCAACATCTGAGAAGCCAAAGAGCCGAAGGCGAAAGAGGAAGCGAGCTCAGTATGGGCCAGACGATGTTCCTGAGGCTCGACTGCGATGGGTTAAGACCGTTGAGGTTGCTATTAGTCTTCGGGCTTAATCTGTTTCAGAAGTATACGATTCGTTTGGAACAAACGACAAACGTGCTGACCATTCAGCTTGGCTTTGGAAACGATACGTGATTCATCGTAGGTTAAGCATCCTAAGCTTCAGCTTTGAAGGTAGTCAATTTGTAGCTGCACCGGATATCATTCCCGATCAATTTAAGCGAACTTCGGTAATATTCGAAGAGCCTCACGTGTGGGCCAATTCGATCTGCTACATTCTTACAACAGGTTGATCTGACCAATATTAGCTCCTCCTTGCGTGGCGGTCTACTGTTGCATCCAAAATTGAAGTGTCTGTGCGCGAAGCAACTTGATTCTCAAAATCCATAGGTCCAGGTGAAAGAGTGCAGAGCGCCCAGCATGGCGCAAGTACCTGGACAGCAATTGTCCAACAAGGACCTGGCCAATTTTCGACAGGTCGTACGGCATTTTGAGGGCAAACAGTACAAGAAAGGTACGATATTCGCAGAAAGAGTACTCAATTGCTAACAAATATCTCGCAGGCCTCAAAGTCGCAGAGCAGGTGCTCAAAAAGAATCCAAACCATGCCGATACACAAGCCATGAAGGCTCTGATATTGCATAGTCAAGGCCACAGTCAGGATGCCTTCGACCTCGCCAAAATCGCACTCAAGAACAACATGAAATCGCATGTCTGCTGGCACGTCTATGGGCTGTTGTGGAGGGGAGAGAAGAACTTCGAGGAAGCAATAAAAGCATACAAATTTGCCCTGAGGTTAGAGCCAGAGTCACAGCCGATACAGAGGGACCTTGCGCATCTACAAGTACAAATGCGAGACTATGAGGGTTACATTGAGAGCAGGCGTAATATGCTGCAACAGAAACCTGGTATTAGGCAGAATTGGACCGCTTTGGCGATTGCACATCATCTATCTGGAGGTTATGAGGATGCTGAGAACGTGTTGACAACTTTCGAGGATACGGTAAAAAACAACAAGCCTGCAAGAACAGACATCGAGCACTGGGAGGCTGTGCTTTACAAGAATTACATAATAGCCGAATCTGGTAATCTCGAAAAAGCTCTGGATCACTTAGATGCGATTGGGAAGAGAAGCCCAGATGTAACTGGTGTTATGGAAATGAGGGCTGACTATTTACTGCGTCTTGACAGAAAGAAGGACGCGGAAGCTGCATATTCAGCTCTACTGGATCGGAATCCCGAGAACTCGACCTATTTCGATGGCTGGATCAAAGCAAAGGATTTACAGGATGCCGAACCAACGGAAGCCAAGAAGGCATACGATGGAGTCGCAGCCAAGTATCCAAGATCAGATCTTCCGCGAAGACGTCCTCTCGATTTTCTTTCTGGAGACGCATTTCGTCAAGCTGTAAATGCTTACCTGATTCGTATGCTGAGAAGAGGTGTGCCTTCAACTTTTGCCAACATTAAGCAATTATACGGCGACAAATCCAAGTTGAGTACAGTCGAGGAGCTTGTAGAGGGCTACCACTCAAGCACGATGCCTAATACAACGGATGATTCGAAACCAGCAACAGAAAAAGAGCAGGAAAACTTCAAATGGTCCGTTCCATACTTTCTGGCTCAGCACTACAACTTCATCACATCTCGCAATCTCCCGAAAGCCCTAGAGTATGCCGACAGATGTATAGCGATCGATTCGAAATCTGTCGACTTTCATGCCGTCAAAGCCCGAACTTACAAATACATGGGCAATACCTCCAAAGCTAGCGAACTCATGACTCAAGCCCAATCCCTTGACCTGAAAGATCGCGCAATCAACACAAAGGCCGCCAAATATCTGCTCCGAAATAACCAGAATGAGGATGCGCTCGCAATGGCTGGCAAATTCACACAAAACAAGACGTCGGGTGGACCACTGGCGGATTTACTAGACATGCAATGTATCTGGTATCTCACCGAGGATGGTCAGGCATATATAAGACAACGAAAACTTGGACTGGCGTTGAAACGATTCCATCAGATCTTCAACATTTTCGAGGTATGGCAGGACGATCAATTTGATTTCCACAATTTCTCTCTACGCAAAGGCATGATTCGAGCCTACGTAGATATGCTCAGATGGGAAGACCATCTTCGAGATCATCCCTTCTACTCACGCATGGCGATCTCAGCCATAAAAGCATACCTCCTTCTCGCAGACAACCCAGACCTCGCACACGGCCCAATACTGAACGGTGTCAATGGTTCTACCTCGAACGGAAAACTGTCGGAAGTCGAGCGAAAGAAGGCTCTAAAGAAAGCAAGGAAAGAGCAAGATAAACTCGAGAAAGCAGAAGCAGACAAAAAGGCTCTTGCCAAGTCATCGAAACCCGTTCCGAAAGCTGAGCAGGAAGACGTGAAGAAAGAGGATGCAGATCCCCTCGGCAAGACACTTGTTGAAACAAAAACTCCCCTCGACGATGCCATGAAGTTCTTGGGACCACTACTCGAATTTTGCGGAGACCTACTGGATGCACAGAAAGTCGGCTTCGAAGTCTATATACGGCGGCGCAAATATCTGCTTGCCGCCAAATGCTTGCTGAAAGTACGTGAGCTTGCGTCAGTGGACGCTGATGCATTCGTTTTCGCGTATCAGCTGCGACATGCACTCGAATCGAATGCTGAAGGTATTGATGGAAAAGCTACAAGTTTGGTGAAGGAGCTAGCCAAGGACGCCCTTCAGCTCAACGTACCTGCAAAAGAGTTCATCGAAAAGTCTCGCAAAGAAAACGAGAGCAAGAGCATACGGCATGTACAAGCCTGTGCCAAAGTGAAGCAATTCGGGGATACATCTGCCCAAGCCGATAACGAAAAGCTACTTCTGGAATCAGTGTCAAAGTTCGAAGATGCGAGGCTGGAAGACCTAACGGCAGGTCTTGAGATCTTACAAGACTGGGGAAGCAGCAGCGACGTGCTTGAAAAGTACAAGACCGAAGCAAGAAAAAGCTGGCCAGAAGCCGCCGTCTTCCAGGATGGTAAAAATAGCTGATCAGGCACTGATGTAGAAAGCGTCGTCGCTTCGATGCTGTGTTTACGGGTCTGTTGTAGAGGGCCAGGAATCTTGTCAGATCGCATGTTGCCAAGTGCATGGGCATGTCCAAAAAAGTTCTTGTCAATATGGTGTGATACCACTGGGTAGATACGTAGATACACTTGCTTGTACTGTACTGAGCTATCTTGATGCACAAGAAAACTTTGCTGTTTCTATTTCTGCTATCATTTTGATGGACGACTCAACCCAAGACAAGGTCTATCGCCTCAAGCGACAATTCCTCCCAAGCCGTCTTGTCAACGCGTCCACTCGCAAGTCTATAGGCTATACCTTCCTTCCATTCAACCCAAAGAACGTTGTAGACTTCATTCCGTGTAAGAGGGTGGTCGTATCGCTTCAACTCCTCGTTGAAAGTTTTGTTGTATTGCACTGAACGACTTATCGCGACAACTTCAATACTTCGTCCTTCGGGTGGAAGGTCGCCAGGTTTGAATTCCGGCCACGTATTGAGTTGTTCGTCTGTCTGTAAATGTAACGTCCCGATGGACGAAGAGCCCATTTCTTTGCAGAGGTGGAGGATGTGGGCGTTAGGGCCGACGAACGTGTCAGGGTCCGCTCGATATGACCATAGCTCCGCCTTTTGTGTTTTGCACATGAGATAGGGCGTTTGTTCTGGTGTGAAGAAGGGAGTAGTGGCGTCTATTTTGGCGACAGGGAATGGGTAGTACCAGTACTGACTGTCCTTTGCTGGCATGTCACGATGCTGAAAGACGTACTTGCCGCAGCCGTCTGGGTAGAGTCTCGGCTCGTCTCTGAAGGTTCCGATTGAGTCTGCTTCAAGACGGGTCCAGCCGTCGGGTAATGGTTTGCTCAGGTCTTTGTACTGCTCACGATTCTCGTACCAAGTTGAGCGTATCCTGCGAAGTGGCTGCCCACTTGGCGCAGCACTTGTATACCACTCCGTAACTGGGATGATCTCCTCCATTGAGTACTGCCGATCATTGATTCGCATTGCTTCTCCGTATTGCATTGTCATCATTCCGTGCCAGCCTATCCATGACCACGAAGGTAAAGCCGAAGCCGAAACGCGAGCACTAGCGGGTCTATCAGAGATGACTCTTCTCCTCAGATTTGTGAAGTGCCATTGCGGTCTCCAAGCAAGAGCACGTTCGAAGAACATTTCGGGACAGCCGTGGAGGAAACCGCCAGTGAATGTTCGACTCACGACTGACAATAGACCAGCTATGCCTGATAAAGCATCTTCGTCGTACGTGAGATCCCGATTATTGTATTGACTGAGCATATGTGCAAATGAGTCGAGGTCTGGAAAACCAGCAAGCAAGACTCCAGGTCGTGGATCGATGTAGACATCGGCTTCAGTTCCGAAAGTAAGCTCTTCGTGCCACACGCTGCACTGGCACTGCCAATGTAGTTCTTTGGTATGGAAGAAGAGCTTTCTGGCCGACATTTTGAATTCTTGGTAGGTCCAGCTTCGCTTGTGATAGTCGCTGTAGTTTTCCAAGCTAAAGATGTCTGTATTTCGAACGATGAGCTGCTCATCTCCAAAAGGGTAGACCTTTTGGTTTAGACCTCTAGGTTCAGCGACATCCCGTACGCCTAGTAGTCCATCAGAGGACACTCCATCAGCAGCAACAATGGTGACGACAGCGCCTGCGTAAATGGCCGACATCAGGTTGATCTGTTCAGCTGTAGAACTGTGACCTCCATGCACAACACAGAGCGCATCTACCCACAAGTATCGCTCTCTCAGTGCTGCTGTCAAAGATATTGCGTGCTGTATCATGAGCGGCAAGCTGGCCAGAAGCGTAGGCTGGAATAGCGAACCTTCTCGTTGAAGCTCATGAAGGATGCTCTCGTCGAGTCGAAAGCCTGCCGTATTGCCCCATCTATAGCTAAGAGCAAGATAGCGATCGCAGTCCTGACCAGCTACCACACACTTCCTCTCCACATCGACAAGCCAAGCCGGTTTGATTGAAGGCAATTTCATGGGATTGTCACATTCCATACCATGGGACATAAGACACTGTCGCTTCCACTTATTGACAATCTCAATATCAGCCCATTCTGGATCCAGGATTCGTCCAGTGCCTGGATGTTCCATCAGGCCAGGCTTTTCTGCCAACAGGAACGACCAACAAACACCCAGCTTCGACAGCGACTGCGTCAATGTGGCACTGCCAGTCCCCGTTCTCATAAAGCCGACATCTCGCGTGTCTCTCACTGCACCTTGAGCGATGATTCTTTCCACATGCTCGCGGAAGGCTTTGACGATAGGAGTGTGTGCCTGGCATGGTGAAGCAAGAGCTTCGTCGAAACTGCCTAGCTTGATCCTGTGATTTGACTTAGGATCTGCGAAATAACGATATATATCCGTGCATATATCGCAAGAGGGCGCCGAGTTGCTTTCATTTGAGGTCATGTTTATACGTGAATTGGCTGGTATTGTTTTGTGTAATTCTTCCGAGCTCGAATACCACCGGGCTACTTGGAAGTCCGAGGCCGTAGCTGACAGACCGATACTTATATGATAGCATCTTTAATTTGATCTTCAGAGCTATGGGTCGTACTGCAACTCTTCGATAAAAAGTCCTTGAATTTAGACTGGTGCCTGGTTTCGTCCTGCAAGCATTCGATGCTCTGAATCGGTCTTGGAACAAACTTGCCACAGGGTGTGGTGGAAGACTGCTTCTTACTGGTGAGTTTCGATTACAGCTGAGCTTAGCGCTCTGAGATGATACAGTACTGTTATACCATGTATCGGAATTATTCGACTTTTCCGTATCCCCCTTGGAGAAGAAAACAGCAGATAGGGTGCCTGGAGCTCTTGCCAGACTTGTCGATACCTAGGTACAATTTAGGAGAAAGATGCAGTATGTCACCGTCATTACAGATCATACTAGTATTATGCAACATGCTTGTTCTGATCTAGCTCAATGCATTAGCGTACCGCTAGTAGAAGCAAATCTCAAGTTTTGAGGAATACACATCCTTGGAATAAGTTTGGCTGTACGACTCGAGGCAGTACTTGTTTGTGGCAATACGTGAATGGACGAGCTCTTAGCTGAAAGACCTGGGAGTACTCCAGGTGAGTAACACTGAATCGCAAGGAGAAAACTCATTGCTTGCCTGTGGTTGTCGCTAGTACCAAATGATCAATTGATCTACTGTAAAGCCTGCTTGTGCTCTTAGATCCACTCACTTGCATTCGGATCCTGCGGCACTGTGTTCAACTCTCACTCCAGAACCTCATTTCCTTGCTTAAACGCCATACCACTCGACAATGTTACCTCTTACTATGTCATCTCGGAAATGCTTGCTTGTCGTTGAGCTGCGCTTCTCCTCCATCCTTCAAATTATGTATCGTCCTCTGCAAGAATTCATATGTAAGCATCGTAGTCATTGCAGATGGAATGGCGCGTATCAGGTTCGTGCCAAGTCCAGCATAAAATCCTCTCCAGCCCTCTTCTTTGAGCATGATCTTACATGTCTGAACAAAACCGTTGTACTTGTTCGCCATCTTCATGCCGTCTGTGTTGGTCATATTGTACCGCCTCTGTTGTGTCTGCAGTCGTGTCCGCAAAACTTCATGCGGGTATGTTGCTGTGCTAGCACAAGTTTTACTGAGAAAAGTGGCTGCCGTGATGCCGACCCAAGTTGAACCCTTCTCGTCAGCCGGATGCTCTCCAATACCATAACCGGTGAATTGCGTTTTGAAGAATTCGTAGAGGGGAAATTGGACAGCCACGTGTGTAAGTCCGAGCATGGCTGGAGTAAGGCCCGAGTAGAACGACCTAAATCCCTCTGCCTTGTACATCTGCCGAGCTGCGTCCCAAGTATTCTTGTAGTGAAATCCAATTCTTCTTCCTTCGGACGTGCTCCTATTAGACTGAGACATGAGCCTCGTCTTGATAACCCATATCGGATTGGTTAGCAGGGTAGAGCATGCACCGGCTGTGAGAGAAGCATAACATCGAGCCAACCACCAGTTTTCGCACATCTCATAATAGGGCTGCCGACTCTTCTCGTATATGGTCAAATAAACAGCCCATGTTGGTAGGTAGCCTAAAAGCATGGGACCAAGCCCTCTATACAAGCCTTTGAAACCCTCCTCCTTTACAATTGTTGTAGCAGAACCGACGATTCCATGGTAGATTTGTTGAGCAGCTCTGTTACTCGATATTCTTGTTGAACCCGAGAAGCCACCTTGTGCTTGTAGTTTGGTCTTTATCACGTCCAAGGGACAGGTGACTATGCCACTGGCAAGACCTGCACCGGCACCAGCGAGGGGGCTTTCCCACGCCTTCGGAATCGATAACGAGTATATCTGTGCTTTCGAGACGAACTGGGAGACTGGTTCTTTTGGGGAAGCCATAGTATTGTAGCTTCTGTGGGTTGACGGTGTGTCTGCGAAGGTCGCATATTGTTGAGCTGTGTTACCAGTGTAGATTGTGCTGGATGTGGTTGCAATAGTCGCTCTGTCCAGGGACATTATCTGCAGGTGTGTCTACAGAGTCTCTGACTGAGGCGCCTTCATGTTTTGAACACTTGTACACACGACCTGGGAGGACCTTCCGCTGGTGCGCAGTCAACTCGACGTCGGCCAGCGGTGCGGGGTCAAGGCCACGCAGCGCTCACGCAGGTGGTGAGAAGCTAGAAGTAGAAATTCACCATGGACCGCTCCGCACTAGGTTTCAAGATAGACACCTCCTGTAGTACTTTTGAAGCTTGAATATGTGTGTAATTGGGTTGTGGGTCAATAATGAGGCAGTTGCTAACGTTGGAGTGCTGGCTGGTTGTTAGCGTCGAGGAGGGTTTTAGGGCAGGTGAGCCCGGATGACGGGGGTTGTGCTTTCCATAGCTGAGCTCCGGTTCTGACAAAGCTAGCCAACCAATCGCGATTGACCTATTTCTGCCAAGAACATAGGTCTTTGATCCTGCATCTGAAGACGACATTGATCTAGTACTGCACCTACCACCACAACTCCGACAGCATACAAAGCAAGATGTCGGGCCCCTCTCTCGCCCCGTATATTATGCGCCGCCCATGGCTGAGGAGCTGGATGATGCCCTTCGCCAAGTGGTACGCCAACGCCTCAGGATACAGGAGATTAGGTCAATAGCCCCAGCAGTACCGATCTCAATTCAGCTCTTTCTAATAAGCCGCAGGCCTGCGAGCAGATGATTTAATTCCCGAAGAAAACGATACTGTGCAGCTAGCACTTAAGAGACTCCCTCCCAAGGAGGCCTACGATCGAGTTTTCAGATTACGAAGAGCTTTCCAGGTACACGATAAACATGCTGCTATATAGTTGCCCGTTTAACAGTTCGATAGTGCTCTCTCGCTCACCAACTGCTGCCTCCTGAGGAACAGACAAAGCCAGAAGAAGTAAGCCTGCAACAATGGATTGACTGGGCCACAATTAACGCGACTAGGATACATCCTACCTGAAGCCGATCATCGAGGAGATCGAACGCGAGTACAAGGAGATGGCCGATCTAGAATCCATGACTATTCAAAAGCGCAAATAAGTGTACAATACTGTTAGCAGCGGAGTTGTTTCGAGTCTAAAGAGCTGTATATAGAGGTTCTGGTGCGGCAGCTGGCTAAATGAAGATGGGGTTCTCACCACACCATACAAGATCATCACGCGGAATGAGTCGCTCCCGATCTATGCTAATCAAGTGGGCGACAGACAGAATTATTTGGACATTTGCTGGAACAGCATAAGGCGGCAAATACAGTTTAGGAAAGGACGGCAATGAAGAGATTAAAGAACAGGCGAAGAACCCGACGTCGAGCTACCTTCTGGATGTTACGTGCACGTTTGCACCCAGCAGTTAGAAGCTCCTCTTGTGGCCATGATGTCTGCGTATTCATGCCTCAAAGAGCATAGAGAGTTCGCAACTCAGCCCCAAAAGATGTTTACCACGAGAATGTGAGGTCTTCCTCGTGCTGATTGCGTCTAGCACTACTAGCACGAACTCTACATGAGCTGTCGGGCACGTAAGACTGCACTGCAAGTTCAACGGCACACCTATTGGTGACAATCCAGAACTAAGGGCAACTCAACCTCAGCTCTGATAGGTTAGCCCTTGTCACATAATACAGTGAATACAGAGATGTACTTGTGTACCTTTGGAGTCGAAAATAGCAACTTGCCAAAAAGCCGCTGTGAGTAACAAAGCATGTACATTGTGCACTAACACAATCATAGGTCTTTGTTCGGTCACAACCATGACACTATTCTCAGTTGTGCTATTGAGGGTGATGCATCACTTTGTCGGTCATAAGAAAAGCAGGCCCTCGACATTGAGACCCTAATAGAGTTCTTGCCTGTCTAATTTATAGATACGTTACCCTTCTGAAAAGAGCAACACGTTTCAAAGATTGTACAGAAGGATTCTGTCGAGGACGTTCAATATGTATCGCATATCTGTTCAGCACCGACGACACTCGGAATATTTTCTACCCAAACCAGGTAAAATGGTGCGGTCTAATTCTACACCAATGGATATTTCTGTTCCAATGCACGACACTAAATCGCGGCCACTTTCTGCTATTGTCTCAAAATCAAAGAAACGATATTCATTGTATTTGAGGAAGCGCGTTCGGCAAAGTCGTCTCTCGTTTGCCACCACAATCCAGGAACGACGCAAGGCACGTTGCATTTCCAGTACTCCCAGTCAATGGGAGCTGCAACTGATTGAGGGACTGCTAGGCGACGACTTGGACGATAGCACCGACATCGAGGAGCTTCCTGAGATCCCAGAACCATCGAACCAACTACAGACTCAAAGGCTAAGTATACGGAAGCTACCCACGAGACCAACGCTGAAAATCCAGAAAGTTGAACCTGAAGTGACCGAGCCTCTGCCGAAAGTGCTTGAAGTGCAGACGCTACCCTCACGACCTCTACTGACCGTTTTACAGGCTGTGCAAGCAAATGAGGATATCCTTGACGATTGTGCTTCGTTCGAGTCGGAGTCCGAGTCCGAGGAGGACTTTGGCGATTTTGAAGCACCCAACGATTTGCAGAAAGTCATCACTTTTGCAGAGGTGCCGCAAATCAAACTCTATGCTGATGACTGGCCACTTCCCAAGGCAGAGAAACCAGCTCCGCCATCGTTGTACTCAGTGGAAAGCCACCCTCATCCGCTTAGAGGGAATCCACCCGACCATCAAATTCGAAAATGCGTTTCCAACACCTCTTTGCGGTCGGTAGCATCGAATCGTTCCAATCGCGTTGGATTTGTGATGCAGAACAATGATTCCAGCTTGTCGCTTCACTCACAAGGCACACTAACTCATGCAGCAACGGTACTGACACCCTCATCAGGTTATCAGCATCCAAGTTTCACAAACTTGTTGAGTTTGGGAAGATCTAATGCCACAAGATCCCGAGACGAAGCCCGATCCCATATGAAACTTTCACGTCCTAGCCTTGCTTCTCACAGACGCATGGCTAGAGTATCAGCGCTATTAACTCCAGTGACTGAATCCTTCGATTCGAGAGCTATTTGGCAGGGAAGCTTAGGCAACGGCAATGGCAATGACAGCGCTTCTGAATTTAGGAGACTTAGTACCGGCAGCTCATTGTCTGCTCACAAAGTTCAACGCTTCGGCCATTTCAGAGGTGCTATGGTAGGAACAAGTAGAAGGAATAGTAGGTTTTTGAGGCCATGATAACTTATAGTCGGGTACGTATGTTTTTGTTCTATGATATTGCTAGTGTCCAGAATTTCACGTGGAGTGTTTTCAAGTGCATTGGAAGGAACGATGAATCCAGCCAAAGTGCTGTGACCGTTTGCACTGGGAGAAAAGGTGTGGTAGGAAATCAACACCTTACAATGTAGGGTGTGAACGACCCAACTCGCCTGCGTATCAGGACACTTTTTACGTTGCTTGGTCTCCGGTTGTGTTAGAGATCCTATTCTCCTCCCGTATGAATGACTTGCACTATGAAGCGCAATTTGAGTGTCAGTATTGATTGATTTACTGCAGGCTACCGGCTAACCTGCCATATATGACCACACCTGGGCTGATTCAGTATCCAACCAACCAGAATTGTGGAATTCAATTTGTTCGTTCTCATCCTTGTCACTAGCGAGTTGGAACTTCTGTTCTTGCTGCGCAGGGCAAGTGCGTCCAGCAGACTTTCCTTCGTCAAGATCACGTTCCAGCTTCCTATGCATGGAGCCTTTGTGGCATCATAACGACTCAGCTTACGCTCATGGGTTGTGCTACTAACCATACGGTCCCAGAACGTCGGTCAATGAGCGCACAAAGCTACGCCATTTACCACGCGAGTCACTCTGCTCTTCGTCGAGAGCTGACTCAAAGCCAGTCTATCCGATAAGCGCTTACCTTATTGTGACAGATGTTCAGCACTTTTGATCACCACGTCTAAGAGCAGTCCTCATGTAAGAGATGAAAATCTCAGACATGTCATTGGCAGACAAGACACTCACCTACTAGATGATGTACAGCAGCAGTACACAAATGTTGGCTACCGAGACAACATGTCGTGGTGATGGTTGACGCCGTCAAGCACGTGGATTTTATTTTCAACATGCCCCGGATCTTGCGAAATGGGGACACGTTCTGGGGTACTCACCGCATTGGTGGCCCGTTAACGCCAAGCACTTTGGAGTGATTTCTACCCCGGAAAACGTCCATCTCCATGCATAAGAACCTATTCGAAAGCCCCAAATAATAGCCTATTTGACTTGGCAACAGGCATCTCGTCCAGATGAATCGTACTTTCCTCTCTCCAGAAGCATCAGCTGCGCCAACCAACGTTAGCCCACTCCTTCATAGCACCGGATGAAGCACCTTTCCAGCAATTCAGCCGAGCCCATCAGACAGTCGGAACGTCTCGACCTCATCTGCCGAACTGGATGACCAAAGCAGACATGGATGTGAGCCTTTTGTTACAAAATGGAACAGGCTGCCTTCCACCTCAGAATCTCTTTCTGCTGTGCTCAGTCAGATTTCTTGTTCGTTAGTCTCAGTTGCCGTGATTATTTCTGGTAATAAGTCTTCTTTGTTTGAGCAAGATGGATGCCGAAAAGACTCCAGGATATGTGGCAAACCATGTCGAAGAGCAGTCAACCAGCAGCAACGAAGAGATTACCTGGACTGAGGCCGAGGAGACTGCCATCAGGCACAAGCTAGATTGGCAAATTGTCCCAATTGTCACTTTGATGTACCTTCTTTGTTTTCTCGATAGGTGAGTACTACACACAGTTGTGTCCATCTTCTCTTGTTGCCATGCTTTCTAACAAGCCTGAAGGGCCAACATTGGCAATGCACGTATTCAAGGCATGGCCAAGGACCTTCACCTCGTCGGCTACCGTTTCAACATAGCATCATCCGTGTTCTACGTCGTATACTTACTTGTCGAAGTCCCCAGCAACATCATCTTGAAGAGAGTCGGACCCAGGTTCTACCTTCCTGCCCTCGTCGTTGGGTTCGGCTTTGTCTCCATGTGCACAGCTTGGGTCAAAGACTTCGAACAGTTGTGCGTGGCTCGAGCTTTCCTGGGTGTCTTCGAGGGTGGTGGTAAGCAACATCGTCGTCATATGATGCTGGAATTTTGCTGATCTTGCCCAGCAATGCCCGGCTTTGCCTGATACCTATCCAGCTTCTATAAACGCAAAGAACTGTACTTCAGAATCGGTATATACGTCTCGGCAGCCTCTATGGCCGGGGCCTTCGGAGGTCTCTTAGCGACAGGATTGTCTCGAATTCCTCGCTGGGGCACTGATTCCTCGCCAGTTCACACCTGGCGCAATATTTTCTTCTTCGAGGGCTTGATCACGATTTTCGTTGGCTTCGTTGCTCCGTTCATCATGCCGTCAAGCCCAAGCACATCCGCCAGACTCACCGAACGCGAGAAGTGGATCGCTGCAGAGCGCCTTCGACTCGAGCATAGAGCGGATCCAAATGAAAACGTCAATATCCAGCACATTAAGAAAGCCGTTTTCAACATCAACAACTATGTGTGTGCTGGTGGCTTTTTCTGCATTAATATCACTGTACAAGGTCTTTCTATCTTCATGCCAACAGTGCTAAACGATCTCGGCTGGACAGCGACTAAAGCTCAACTCTATACTGTTCCCGTGTACGTTTCCGCCTCGGTGGTAGCTATTCTGGTCGGATTTCTCAGTGACAAGACGCGCATGCGAGGTATCTGGCTAGCAGGGTTCACCTTCCTCGGCATCGCTGGCTTCAGCATCCTCCGCTGGAACACCGACGAAAATATCCGCTACATGGCAGTCTACTTCTGTGCAGTCGGCGCCTTTCCAGGCGGTAAGTCACATTTCCCTTCTGCCTAACCTGAACAATCAGACATACGCATACTGATAACCTAAACAGGCCCCGGATTCCTCTCCTGGGGTCTCAACAATAGCGCCGGACCCGCCGTTCGAGCCGTCTCCTCCGGCTGGATCGTCACCCTCGGCACCATCGGCGGCATCGTCGCAACATGGAGCTACCTCGTCAAAGACGCGCCAAAATACCCCATCGGCCACTCGATCAATCTCAGCGCGCAGGTAGTCGTGCTTGCGCTGGCAAGTTTCGGCATCGTGTACTGCAAGTGGGAGAACAGAGTCAGGGCTCGAGGAGGGAGAGATCATAGGCTACAGGGCTTAAGTGAGCAGGAGAAGTTGGATTTGGGACATCATCATCCGGATTTCAGGTACATGGCATGATCTAGCATACCTGACGAGAATGGGCGATGCGTGGATATAGCGTGGGTCTTGGCTCTTGGAAGAAGAAGAAGAAAGTCAGCAGTAAATAGGTATTTGGTTCTTCGTCAAGTTCTCTCCTGGATCCTTGATTTTTGTGCACAATTTGCGCTAATTGGGTATCCTTGGAAATCACCCTGATTGTGCGTGGGAGGACCTTGGTAGCTTGTGTCTTCGTTCTAGTAGTCATTGGAGACGACCGCTGGATTAGGATCATGAAAAGGGGGAGACGGGCTCGAGGTGGCCGGAAGAGACCTTTTTATTTATCCACTGCTGACCACGTAGGATCGCCCGTCATCTCGACAATTCGTGAATACTACGATTATAAGGAGGATGATCACAGACTACTAACGATCATGAGCTGGAACCTCAAACCACTCGATTCCAAAGACCTTTATTGACGATCAGATCGCTGATTATTGGTCATGAGCAACTGCTACTGGAACGGCCATTAGTTACTGGTCCTGGATTCTGTTGGCGGCTGAATTCTTCTTGAGTTGCCGAGTAGCAGAACTCATCTCGCTGCTGCTCCCATACAAAAGAGCATGAGACGTCTACATCTATAAAACAACCAAGAACTCCTGCTTTTCCGAATCACTATCTACTCCACAAACGCATGATCTAAAATCCTTTATCCACATACCCTGCCCATTGCTGAGTTCCAGGCTCAAGCCCAGGCACAGCTCCATCCAGGTTCTTACCACATTCCACCTTCCAATTCTGCGGCGTGAAACTATCTGCTATGCGCTTGAAGGCTTCCAGTGTACAGAAGCTGTCGTCGCCTTCCATGTGGTTTCCTGGCTTGGCACACCCTGGAACCTTGAAAATGCGGTCGTTGTATTTGAGCCGGACGTAGTATCCATCTAAGCGCTGACGCTCTGATTCTGAGAGATCTGCGACGGCTCGTCGGGCGATACCTGCTGTAATACCGTGGTCGACGGTCTTTAGACCTCCTGGTCCTTGAGTGGGATCCTGCTTCTTCGCGGGTCCTAGACCTCGCATTGAGGCTAGCCAACCAGGCTTGTTGCCAGGTATAGGGAACTCGGAATCTGTCTTTTCTGGCTGAGTGTTTGCAGAGCGTGAGGGAGGATATTGGCCAGTCTTCTCACGGAAGAGCTCGACTGCAATGTGACTTGTGTAAGGTGGCCACGCCTCGTTGTTGAAAGTGCCGAAGCTCGACAAGAAACCAGCAAGAGTGGTGTCGTGGCATCCGTTCAGTGCAAAGATGATGCCAGTCTCGCCGCCTCGTCCTCGACCTAACTTGCCATTCTCGCCTCCAATCTCGTTTATGGACAGACCAACGCCCTCAACTTTGCTGACCATACGTTCGACAATATCTCCAACTTGGGCGCCTATACCAAGGGCTCTATATTCTCTGTTCTCATTGTACCCAGCAAACCACTCTTCAACACCTATACGACCAACAATATCTCGCAGCTTTTGGTCGTAGAACTCCTTTGGCAAGCGTGTTTCTGGACCATGAGCAAGGGTGGAGTTGATCGTGTCCATGATACCACTCAAACGAGGATGACTATCAACAGCGACCTTCTTGCTGTGTTCCGGCATCCACTGTGAGATCTTACTTGTGATATATTCCATGTCATCGCTAGTGTTCCAGCGGTCTGCAGCTCTTTGTGCGAAAGCCCGACTTAACTGCGCAAACCTTCGACAATTGCCGTCGTTGGGAAAGAGTGTCTCGTCTGCTGGAGTTCGGGTGACAATCGTGGGAGGAGGAAAGGACGCTGTCCGTGCCGTGAGAGGGTACATGCCCCAAAAGGTCTGTTGAAGGCTCTCGAGAGCTCGTGGAAGAGGTGTGGCTCGTAGATAGATCATGTCCGCATCCGCGATCAACTTAGGCATGAATTGAAGTTGGTCGACGTAGAGATGCCGTAACCGCTTTCCCAACTCGTATGTCGTGTCTCTTCCTTTATCAGTGAGCTCTCCGAACTGACAGATTCCGTCCACCTCGCCTCCGACTCCTGCAGCAATTGTTGGACCGTCATCTTCACCGAATCTTTCTAGTCTCCGCCTCCATTGTAGGGAGTCCCAGGTAGTAACATCTTGGGGTGTATATGCCACGGACCGCAGTCTTTGAGCTGCATTACAGTAAGGCCAGTAAGGAGCTAGTCCAGCGTTCTGGAAGCGGGCAGAGACCGGAGCTCGCTCGCCATGTCTAAGGAGAATTTGTACGAGACGAAGTTCGAGGTTAGCAGGATAGAGACTTTGTAGTTCTTCCTCAGAGTAGGCTGCTCGAGGTAGGTGAGTTGTCATGATGCGCGATTATGTTTGCAGAGCATTAGACTGCTTTCCGGGTTTCGGTTCTAACAAGGACGATTGTGAATGACTGCAGACCGGCTGGACAGTCATACGCAATATGCCAGGCCGAGTGGGCAGCGATATTCTTAAAGTTTACCACACTTGCTGTTACCCAATGAAGTACGTACGGGAGGCACGATGGTGACTAATCCAAACAAGGAACCATTCCCGACGTCGTGCATTGAGGAGTATCCAGCAGCTCAATTAATACCTGTATTACACAGATAGCAATCATTGACGAGAGTAAGACATGCAAGAGATTAAAGACAAAATTTCAATGGATGGACAAGGTGAATTGTATGTTACATATTTGGCTAGGCTGCTAGCCTATTCATGTTGCCCATTCTGTCTCATTCTTTTGTTCCTGCTACTACGGTTGACTGCCACCTGATGTCATGTTGGCGTTAAACAAATACCATATTGGTGCGACAGCTACAGTAGCTTAAGAAGAGGTCTGACCTCCCTTGCGGCCTGCCTCAACTGGGTCGACCTTTCCACCAGCAAACTGGCCCTTGCCGCTGCCACCAGACGTGCCAGTTGAGTCATCGGAAGCATCACCACTACCGCCACTGGAGTGACCACCTTGCTTGCCGGCCTCGACAGGGTCGACCTTGCCGTAGGCGAACTCGTCCTGCTGCATTCGCTTGTCTGGGATATAGTCAGTAAACTGTTCAACATTGAATTGGGAAGAGTGACGAACCTGGCTGACCGTCCTTTCGGAGGCCGTCGTTCTCAGATGGCTTGTAGGTATCACCTTGGGAAGACATATTGTATGGTTGAATTGACTTGAGTGAGACTGTGTTGATTATTGTTCCGAGGGTTTGTAGGTTGTAGGATGAAGAATAAGACGTTGTGGGAGCAGGACCTGCAGCTTGTTATATAGGCACTTCGGACTTCACTATGCAACCACGTTGACCCTTCACAACGACCAATGGTAAACACCTGACGTATTTGTTACGATCTCAGACACGTTGTTTGCTCTACCCCCACTTTCACGTAACAATAGCAACCAGGCGCCTTGCATCATTGAACTTCATCATCACCTCACCTTTTGAGCTTTAGTTTCAGCTCACGTTCCTGCGTAGGTGCGTCAGAAACACCTCACAAGGTCGTGTTTGTGGTCCAGATTGAGTGGAAATATACATCTCATTTGTCTGTCGTGCTTCCCCAGTTTTGATCTACATCTCGCTTGTATAGACTGGGCTTAGCATGGACGATCGTACATCAGGTACAAGGTTCTCAGATCAAGATTGTGCTTCTCCCGCTGGTTCGATCGTGGACAGGGACCGTGAATGAGGTCCACAGGTTGTGGTCAAAAAGCAACGTCATGACTTGAGGGGAGTTGATGAAGCTGGTTGCCTTGTTAACAAACCAGTAGCCTCTGGTCGGTGGCGACTTCCGGCATCGAAAGTGGTGACGAAAGTGGTTGGTCGTCCGAAACCTTACAAGTGGTCTGAGCTTTAGCAAAGCACTAATTTAAGTATGCATGCATTTTGCTGTGCATAGAGCTGCTGTATATTAAACTCAGAGTGCACCAGATCAGTCGCTGTTTGCTTGTAGTCTCCCAGTGTCGCCTGCTACGACCAGAGAACAAGGACTGACTGCAAGAACAAGGAAATTTAGACTACTAGGTGGGAAGGAACAGGACGATAAATATCCTGAAAGAGAAGGAGCGACCAATCGGCGCCTGTACCTGACTAATGCAACCTCTGACGTTACGTGAATATCGATTGGTTGCAAGAAAGCAGGACACGTATTACACGCTTCTCGTGTAACGAACGTGCTGATGGCTGGTTCTTATTGCAGTGTGCCTGGCAGTTAGTATGACGAACTTCGTTGAAGACTTTGAGCTACATCCTTCCGTCCAACCACGACGAGACGCCCTGTGGCTCAACCTTTCCAAATTCATTGTTCATACATTGGCATTATCTATCTATATCGAACAGCTGTGGTACACTCTCAGCGGTCAACTTCATGTTGGTGGCTCACCCACCAACTGTGTGTAGTCATTCATATGCATTAAACCGAAGTCGTCTTCTCGCTGTCCCAGCCCCTGTCGTACTTTCGACTCCTCCTCATGATGGCAGTGGTATCTCCGTCTTTGTATGGATGTAGTCGAATACTCCTTGTAGCTATTATGACAACCCATGATTCTGTGTACATCCCATAATTATACAAGTTTAAATAGTGATGAGGACAATATATCGCTGAACTCCTTGCTAAAACGACCGAAAATGAAATAAGAAGCAATATATTATGACGAGATAAAGTCCTCCGGTTTGTGGTGTTGGAATGCGTAGTGCTTTGGTCGTGATTGGCTAAGCTGTTGAGCAGCCTGAGCATGTTCTTCCTTCTGGCCTGGAAATTCTACGTTGTGAAATTGCCTCTGTTTGTCGTTGGCTGATGCCCGGAGAGCGAGATTCGGGCTCTGATCAGACGAAAACATCCATGGAACTTGGCCGTGCTCTTCAGTGTTCAAATCGCTGATCATCACAGGAAAGGAATGCGGTTGTGGAAAGTTGGTAACGTCAGGTGATATTAATGGTGCATCTGACCAACTGCTGCTTGTCAAAGGTCCTGCAGAGTATGGGGGCGTGTAGTCTGGGAAACTTGCGAATTGTGATTGAGGCATCATACATGATGTTGGCAGGAAGTTTGTCTGGAAAGGTGTCACTGGAGGTGATTGAAGAAATCGTCCCCGAGTCGAATGCATGTCACCTTGTGTCGCTTGAGGCTGCGACATCGGTGGCTGCGAATGTACAGTAGAGTGATTCATGTGGAGGGGGTTACTGGATGTCAGCTGCTGCCTCAGACTGTCCTCAGCAGCTTTCTGTGCCATCAAATTCTGGAACTCGGATTCTGCGAATGTGGAAACGTTCAGCGGGGATTTCTGAGCCGCGCTAGGTTTGCGGATGCCACTGTAATGATTGTTAAGACTGTGTCCAGTTGATTTGACGTGCCTCAGAGTCTGTACGGGCGACGAGTACATGCCTTGCCGCGATGTGGGAGAAGCCGCGGTCAGAGCGCCATAAGAACGACTGCGCAAGGAAGCCGAGTTGATGGGCGCGGGTCGTGGTCTGTTCCGCCGAGAAGCAAGGTTAATCGTCCCATCCACGTTCCCTGTCGAACAAGACGTCGGAGTTGACGACCCAGTTTGAGAAGTTCCACTTGTGATCGCGAAGCCCTCGAAATTGTTGGTCAGAGCATCGGCGGCGGATCCTCGACGAGAACCACAGTAAGCTGATGTTAGAAGTGCAGGAGAATGCATTGGCGCCTGTAGCTCATGATGCTGTGTCGGCATAGTGGGTGTAAGCATAGGGTCCTCCCACGTTTCGGGTGACAGCATACCGGCTTTTGAGCCAGAATCCGTAGGTGAGGGCAATGAAGTGTAGTCATGCTGTGGTTGGTTGTGTGAAGACGTGAAACCGAAATCGAAGCTTATATCAGGAGTCGTGTGCGGAGATGGTGGCCAGATGTTCTGCGATCCTTGACGTGTATTCCATGCGTCCTGGCAATGCTGAACCTGAGGCCTAGTACTTATCTGTGGCTCAGACGATGATCCTGTATTCAAAGAAGACTGCTGGTACGAATCTGACAATGGTAGTTCTGCAACCTGTTCGCTACTTCGAGGATTCTGTAGACAATCGTTCGTGAGAGGACGAGCCGCTTGAGCCGCACTCAGCGCGCGCTGCAAGGAGGCGTATGCTTTTGCACGAACATCATCTAGATCGGTACCTGCTGGAGCACCATAAGGATTTGCTGTCCTGAATTCTGGTGCTACAGAGCTAGTACCAGATCGAATAGGATGTGGTTGTTCGTTCTCTCCTTTATTATCCGCCTCATCCTCCCCTTCGTCATCTTCTCTGTTGGACTGCGACGTTCCTGTACGCGAGCGTGCGGCTTGCTCGGACTGCTGCTCCTTTTCATATTCCTCTAGCTTACGTTGTTGCTTGGCCTTGGCGCGACGATTCTGAAACCAATTCTATGTATTTTAGTAAGTGCCAGGTCAATGCCTTGGAAAGGGTAACTTACTGCAACCCTGTTCAAGCTCAAGCTGGTGTGTGCAGCTAATTGTCTCTTCAACATGCTGCTTGGCTTGCAATTTTTCAGGAACTCGTTCTCGAGTACTTCAACTTGCTCTTTCGTCAGGCGCGGCCGTGTAGTAACTTCCTGGCCCTCGTCATATTCCTCCATATATGCGCCTGCAGGCAGGATATCGTAACGGTCCGTGTACGTAGGATAACCATTGAGTATCAGGTCATTGTAGATCGACTGTTGGGGAAAAGTGGAATACTGCAGATCTGGGTGGTGAACGACTGACTGTTGAGGCTGACCCATAGAATAGAAGAACTGTTCATGCTGGAACGCCATGGCGGTGTATGACCGTCCGTGGCTCTAGCAGGACGGAGAACCAGAGGGTGTGTCGTTGAAGCTAGGAGTGGTTCGACAAGGAAGACTTGTTGGTGTCTTATGCGGACAACATTGACACTCGAGTCAAGCCGACAACGACAAGTGGACGGAGCACCCAAAGTCAAGGGCGGAGGAATCGTGCGCCGGATTGGTGTCTATATGTTTTGGTACGCGAGGCGGACGCTAAAAGGCCACAAAGCAGATATTGTCCGAGTAAAGTCAATCGGCGGCGAGTTGCAGTAACTCTTTGGCAGAAACCGTCTAATCAGTGCCGTCAATGCTTCGATGTACCCGATAGGGATATTAAGACGTCGAACTAAGCTTGGAGGTGAAGGCTGGACATCGACTTGAGTTGAACACCGGCCAAAGGTAACTGTAAGATCGAACACACTGGCAGGAAGAGGCACTATGGGGGGAAGTTGTATAGACGAAATAGTGTGAAGATGTAAACGAGCGGACTCTTGGTGATCGAGATGAAGCGGGTCGTCTGGAGCGAGACATACAGGACCAGGGGTCTCGGAAGTAGCCAGTAGGTGGGCAGGATGACCCTTGTCTCCAGCGTCTCTGCTCGTGCCGAACAGGTTTGAAGTGTCAACCACAGGAAGTGTTTGAGCGCAGTCTGGAGGAAGATTTGTAAAGGAGACCAGTCGGAAGATTGACCCAAGCAGATATCAGCCACATCGCGATGTGTTCTTCCCCAGCTTCTCATCCAAGCCGTCTTGCTCTGCTGACCAGAAATCGTCCTCTGGCTGGTCGGCTGTAATTATGAACTATTGATATGGGATCCTCGTTATCGCCGTTCCACCTGGCGCAATTTTTTGACGGTGTGTAGATCAAAGTATCATGAAGACTTCAAGGCGGGTAGGTTAGCTTCATCTATGGAGCTTGATTGCGGATCGAGCTATTCCTAGAAGAACATCCGCTCAGATGTGCTATCCTGTTCCTGGACGAGCGGCATCCCAAACGGGCATCAGACTTTATGGTGGCTGCCAATCAACCACTTTCTGCTAAATTAGATGGATAAGAGTCCGGGATGGAAGATTCACGACACAGCCAAGGACAAGGATCAGGCAGGTCAGGTCACTGTACGAGTATGAGCTGCAACAGTGCACCCCTGCTCCCTTTGCGAACGCTTGAGCGAAGCTGCATGCGTCACTCGTGTTGTCTGTATACACAATTTCCTGGCATCCACCAGACCGTGTCGGGTATCTGAACGTGTAGGCGAGTTCGGTAGCACAGGAATGATTGGTTTGGTGCTCAAGGACGACATGAGGCACACACAGTCTTCTGCAGGAACAGTTGCTTGTCCTGCTGAAGCGCCGACGCTACTTATTGCAAATCGATGAACAGCACCGAGCTGACGTGACTTACATACCGAGCATGTGTGCGTATGGGAAGTCCCGACCCAATACTGTACACTTGTAGGCGAGCGTGAGGAGTCGTTCAAATCCGCGCTTCGACAGGTACACACACCCAAGCATTGTGGCGGATCACTTTCCAGCTGAAGCCTCCACTGGCAGAGTTCCTCGACACGCCGACCAGGGCGGATGCATTGACCGAATGCAGTACTTTTCTGGACCTTGAATCGCAGCCGCTGAAGGTGTTTGTTGAAGATGAATCATTCGTCGCATGCAATATGCGTTTCAGCTTCGGTCCTCCCATCAGTCATGTACGAGCAATGCGAAGTTTCATGGCACACTTTTATCTCCGCATACGTCAGAGATGTGTCTCTATCATCGTCCTCCCCGAATGTCTCGGTAGTAAATCTCACCACAACAGATCGAACTGATCAAGCTTGCCATTTTAATGCCGTGGCATGCCCACTTCGCGTCTACAAGGTTCAATGGCAGATGAACAGTGTCCGGCATGTCAGATCTTGGCTAGACTGAAGCACCAAGTCCTCTCCATTCAAATTTCCTGAGCATCCTGGTGGCATGTCTAGTGCGCCTGCGAAATCTGCCTCGGGCTAACAATCTGCCACTGAGAAAAACTGCGGATGTTCTCGCTTGGCCGAATGCTCTAGGTCACAACGCCACCATGCATATCATTGGTAATTGCCATAGAAACTTGTCTACGAATCAGCTGGTCAAGGTGCGTTCGTTCATGGTACTGGCGTTGAAGGAAGTCACTCTCTGGGAACGTCTAGTTCAGCAGTCCTGTAGTGTATGTCGCTCTGAACTACGAGAACACATTCACTCCTTTATCTCGCGACTTGTTTCTTACGTTGACTTTGTCCTACCTCCAGAGGGTTGTTGTATCTGCTGTGAAATCTTAGCTTCCCTGATGTTCCACAAGCAGGTGAAGTATTACAAACAGATCCTAGCAACTTCCTAGGCAGTGTCCACCGACATTTCATCAAGGATGGTTTGCGTAACATAATAGGTTTATACACTTTTTTTGTTGACCCGTCAGTCTGGCACTGGTGGAAGACCTAGTGCCAGAGAATCCTCGCTTGTTGTGCATTAGGAGTGCCACTCCTGTCAACCCACTGCCAGCTGAAGATCGTGCTTGGCTTGATGTAAGACTGATTATCGCAGCTTCGATGTGATCTTGCCTTGAACACGTGGCCAACATACAGCGCAGAAATATGATAGGACCAGAGAGATGTGTGTAGACACGTCCTGATCAAGATGGTGATCCCCTTTCTTATTACACCTGCCTAATTCGCTTTTGTTATGCATGAACACGTCGCACAAAAGGAGGATGAGAATCTTCAGTACGACCAGACTCATTGGCTCAACATGGCTAGGTCCATCAGCAGGCAAATAAACCTGGCAGCGAAATGATGGGTATCACTGCATGTTGTACAGGCAACAGATCCTGCTTTGGCAGCGACTCGAAATGCTCTGCCGTGTTGATCTCGATGTTCGTCAAGACTTGCATCTTCTGTCAGGAGACGTATTGCTCTACAGCTGTACTGGCTGCTTCGAGGTGCTCAGGCTTTCAAGCGTGTGAGTCCTGCAGGCCTCTACGGCCAACATCAACAATCTATCAGTGTTGATCTATTCTAAGGTCTAGTATGCAGCGTGAATCATTGTCGAACACCTGGTGCATTTCCTCCTACCTGTATAAAATCCATATCGGATGACTGTCAGGGTAGCAGGTCATCGTGTCAGAACATTTCTCACCTCAATCTCAATCCTCTTTTCCTGGTAAGTCTTCATGACGACGCTGCTGAGGTCCTGTAAGATCCAGTCTGCGCCTGCTTCTTTCACTTGTTCCAGGGTGTGGGTTGTGGTGAGGCCAATGACTCTGAATCCTGCAGCCTTTCCAGCCCTGATACCAGCAGGAGCGTCTTCAACCACAATAAGGTCTGTTTCGTTGTCCAATTCTAACCTCGATCGGCCAAGCAGGTAACAAGCAGGATCCGGCTTGCCATTATCGACGTCCTCTGCAGTAACCATCCTCTTGGGTTCAGCCAGTTTGAGCACTTCTAGCCATCCGTTCACCAGAGGTCTCGTACCGCTAGTAACCACAGCCCATGGAGCGTCGCTGGAATCCAAGCTGGCAAGAAGCTTGCGAGCGCCTGTTATCTCAACCGCGTCTTGACCGAACTCCTTCGGAATGCGTCCTTCCATTTCGCTAATATCTGATATAATGTTAGCTGGTCGACCTCATCCCTTTCATATCGACAGTCAATGCGCACATTCTATATTCGCTCGTGCCGGATCATAAATTCTCAACACATCTATACTCCGTCTACCATGCGAGGTAGCCAGAATCACGTTGGGGTCAACGCCCATCTCGTTCCCGATTCTAGACCAAAGCCACAGTCAGCATGTAAGTCACATTTTAGCTTGCTTGACTATCGATGGTTCGTCGGAGAATATTCACGGGGCCGTGACAGACAGGCGAGGCGCGAGGCTTTCTTTCGCTCCGATTTGGAACGACGGTACGGCTCATGACAGCCGAGCACCGAAAATCGGGCATAAAGGATCGAAATTGAGATCGCCGACGACTATTGCTTTGCTGGCTGACGCACTATCGACAGGCGAACTACTGATATCCATCAGGCTTAGCGCCAGGAACGAGTAGTTTAGTAGCGTGACTAGGACGTGGATGGATCTTGTATACAGAGTAGAATAGTTACTAACCTTTCCCAGTGCTTCACGATAGCAGCTGTGCTGTCTATGATTGTGCCTGAAATAGCAAGATGTAAGTAAGTGAAGCATTGCAGTTCGAGGCAGTACTGAAGACGAACCATCAAAGTCAAAAAGGAGGGCAGCACATCTAATTATCTCGGGACCGCCAGTAAACGAAGGTTCTTGCATGGATCCCATGGTAGTAACAGGTGAGCGAGATGATCGAGTCTGACGTACAAGATCGCAGAGTATGTTGTTGTTGACGGTCTTCCTGCACTTTTGTACTTTTTATCAAGAAGCATCCGAAACCTGGGACTTTTTAGCAATACTCGGCGGATAGTTTTCCCGAACGGGAAAGGCCTCATAGTTTACTATTAGGCTATCTTTGGAACAAGCCCCAGATCACGTTAATGTATAGATTTGCAAGTCATGGTGGACGTTGCATTGTCAGTGATCCTCTTAAATAGAAGATCAGAAAGTGGCAGCAGAGGAGATCATGATAACTTCAGAGTCGTTCTCTACGTGTAATGGGTTTTACGGTTACAAGATCTGGCTTGAAGCCTGGTCTGAGTGAAGTGGGAACCGTTTATGCTTATCGAGCGATAACGACCAGATACTCCACAAAATTTTGTCAGGAAAATGCGAAGCATGTAAATCAGACTGCTGGACTCGCCATTCACTAATCGCACATCCACAATATGGTGAAATCATGTATGTTTCCTATGACCAAACGCGACATGCTCTACTGACCAGAACATAGTCTCGAAATCGAAAAGAACGCCCGTGCGGCTTCGACACAAGATTGAAAAAGCGAGTAGCGCAAAGCAGAGAAAAGCACGTAAGCTTGCGAAACAGAACCCCGAATGGCGGTCCAGATTGAAGAAGGATCCCGGTATACCGAATCTGTTCCCATTCAAGGACAAGATCCTTGCAGAAATTGAGGAGAAGAAGCGAAATAAAGCAGATGAGGCCCAGCGACTTCGAGATGCTGCGAAAGTGAAAAAGAGTGGTGGCGCGAACGTAGCGGCCACAGAGGACGAGGAGATGGATGTCGAAGAAGAAGAGGAGGAGGACTCAGACGAAGACATGGACGAAAATGACACAGACGTAAATTCGTCTAATCCAATGGCAGCACTACTGGCCTCTGCACAAGCTCGAGCCGCGGACTATGAAAAAGACGGTCCTAGTGGCGATATGGGCAATGACGACGACGAAGATGATGATGTTGATGGTGGCGTTGATATTACAGCAAACATATCCGCAGATAACAGGAACCCCGACTCTTCACGTAAGGCATTCGACAAGATCTTCAAGCAGGTTCTGGAAGCCGCGGACGTTATACTTTATGTCTTGGATGCACGAGACCCTGAAGGAACCAGATCGAGAGAGGTTGAGAGACAAGTCATGGCAGCGCAATCTGGGGAAAAGCGACTGATATTGGTTCTCAACAAGATCGATCTAGTACCAGCTGATGTGTTAAATGGCTGGCTTAAACATCTACGGCGGTACTTCCCTACAACTCCGCTACGAGCATCGACACCAGCTTCCAATGCGCAAACATTCGACCACAAACAGTATACCATCAAGAACACTTCGGAAACACTATTGAGGTCACTCAAGTCCTATGCTGCGTCGAAGCAATTGAAGCGATCAATCTCAGTAGGAGTCATCGGTTATCCAAATGTTGGCAAGTCCTCGGTGATCAATGCATTGACTTCGCGTCTGAACAAAGGTACACAAAGTTTTGCTTGTCCTGTTGGATCAGAGGCAGGAGTCACCACGGCGCTACGTGAAGTGAAAGTCGATAGCAGGCTCAAAATTCTGGACTCCCCTGGAATAGTCTTTCCTGCGGCTGTAAACGACGAAGACAGGAACAACAAACAGAAGAAGAAAGCGGAGCATGAAGCACGACTGATCCTACTAAATGCGCTGCCACCATCACAGATTACAGACCCACAACCAGCGGTGACCATGCTGCTCCAGAGATTGTCTCAGTCTTCCACGTTATATGAGAAGCTGCTCCAGCATTATGGCATTGCAGCCCTGGGGCCATTCGGTCAAGGTGATATCACAACTGATTTCCTGGTACAGGTGGCAAGGAAAAGGGGTCGACTTGGCAAAGGAGGTGTACCTAATTTAATGGCGGCAGCAATGACTGTGGCTACAGACTGGCGTGATGGTAGAATACAAGGCTGGGTCGAGCCTCCAGTTCTACGAATTACTGATGACGCTGAAATGGGCGATAATGCCTCTGCTGAAGTTGGCCCGACTTCTGACCAGAAAATCATCGTCAAGGAATGGGCTGAGGAATTCAAGCTGGACGGTCTTTGGGAAAGCACCAGCGGACAATAATTAAAAGCATGGGTCGGCGTTGATTTAGCAAGTGGCACAATACCCACTAAATTGTTCGGTAGAGAGGCGTAGTTTGAGGAATTCTTTCTGCATATCTTCAACCTAAATCTGTATGTGTGTCGCCATTACTCTGCAAGGACTCTTGGTTTGCATGAAATTCTGAATTGCATGTCTCGTTGTCATCCCAAACACGCCTCATGAGTTGGAACCTTGTCTTGTATGCAGGTGCTATGGAGTCAGTCGGCCCATTTACACAACGCGACCGCGTCACAGTGATCCTTCGGCGAGATGGACCATGTGTACACCTTCACACCGAGCTGAAAATCACACGTGTAACCTGACCATAGGCTGTCCGTCGTGTTGACTAGTGCCCTGCTCCAGTCTTGTCTACAATCCTATTCAGCGCTGATTGTAAGGAAGCAAAGAAAGCCTCCTACACTCGAAAGTACCACATAACCGCGGTTGTTGCACTGCCCAGCTTTGCGCCTGTCTGTGGTCTAGAGACTATAGTACGACGATATAACGCAATACTCGGCTTAACGATGCCTCGCAAAAGTACAGCATCCGTCGCAACGACAGATGTCAATGGAGATGTCTCCATGATATCAGAAGCACCTACAATCCCTTCGCCCAAGGATCAGCAGCCAGAGCCGTCCAAATCTAGCAAGAAGAAAGACAAGACGGATAAGGAAGCAACTGCGCAACAACATGCGGATCCAGTCAGTTTAGATGTGAGTTGACTCTGCATAAAAGTGGTCGCATGCACATAACGACACTGACAAGTCTACATGATCTGCGACTACCTAGTCAGGACTGATACATTGTGCCACAGGACCTTCTACTCCCACGCTCCATTGTTCAGCGTCTAGCAAAGGGTGTCCTTCCACCGAATACCTCCATTCAGAAAGATGCTGTATTGGCATTGACAAAGTCCGCTACAGTATTCATATCACTACTGGCTTCCACATCGAACGAGATGACCGAGCGCAAAACAATACAGAGCCAGGATGTGATCAAAGCACTGCGCGAAATCGAGATGGACCAGGCAATGCAGATTGGCGTAATAGGCAAGGATGGCCAGAAAGGTGGAAGAGTGGAGCGGGAAGTTGAGATCTGGGAGAGTGAAGTCAGAGGCAAGCGGAGAGGATATAGAGAGCGTGTGAAAGCTAGAGAGAGTGGTGGAGGTGGAGATACGACTGTAGGAAGTCTAGATGTGGGAGAAGAGGTAGAACGGGAAAGAGAAGAGCACGAGACAAAGAGACTAAGAATAGATCCTGATGAAGTGACAGGGAGAGAGGGTTCAACAGCGCCGATCACGCAAGGAACGAACAAACTGAAGTTGGATGGTGGTAGGCGGCAATCGGACGAGCCGGAACCTGGGGACGAGGAAGGTGAAGATGCTGGTGAAGAAGATGTGGAAGAGGAATCCAGTGAAGAGGAGGGTTTTGAGGATGCTGAGGAAGAGCAAGATGGTGATGGAGTCCAGGGAGACAGACTCGAAGTCGAAGAGGATTCTGGTCGACGGAGGGACACGTTAGCTCCTGATGGGAGGGTTGAAGTGGGTGGAAGCGACGATGAAAGTGACTAGCCAAGCTTCTATACTTGGTTCCGCATGTCCTACGAATTTGATATAACACGAACATCCTCAACCACCGAATGCCGAAAGAAACCAGGCATATTTCCGCTCCATATAAGAGAAGCTGAGTTTCAGGCATTCCACGTGCACATCCAGACTCGCTGAGGACTTAGGTTTCCGCGATAGGTCGTGTAGCACTCACAGTACATGTCCTTCGTGTTCGTGCTCGCACCCCGAATACCAGTCATGCAGCTCGAAGCGTGGTCTGTATACTGTACTGGTTGTCGCTTGGCAAGACCAGCGAGGGTTGCCACCCTTTCGAACCAATTCGATACACTGCCTGGCTGTATTCGCGTCTCGTCGTTTCGATGTGGATCAACATGCAGCTCGCCAAGCATAGAGCGACAGAGTTTCGTGTGCAGGTTACTAATGCCACATCAGAGCATTACGTTGCTGTGCGCCATCGTGATCAGAGCATAAAGAGGGGTGCCTATCGTGGTAGTTGCAAGTCGTTCTTTAGAAGAATGATTGCTTTGCTCAAATACAAGTTTGTAGAAGAAACCCAATATTCGAGTTCTGCTATTCGGAAGTAGTTCCACCAGCAAGGAAGCTGCCGAGCTGCACGATTGTTCGGCGCTAACTGGTCTCGAACCTTGCCTATCCGGGCGTTGTGGGACCCTATAACCAAAGATACAGCCCACCCGCAGTTCGGTGATCTTCCTTGACGATGAGCAGAGGAAACATGAAGAAGTTCATCGGCTCGATAAAACGCAACACGACAAACGCTCGTTCCAAGAGCAATGACCGTCACAATGGAGCTCCGGTCGTTCAGTCGCTGCCTCAAGGTGACCATCCAGAGGCCGTCGTCGTGCGAGAATCGATAGCATTCTGTGAAGCTGGTGCGCCTGGGTCGCAAAGCGCCGGTGATGAATACCTTCACCTACCCGCCATTGTTGATGCTTGCGAATCCAGCCCTTCTGCTGCACGGGAAGCTGCAATGACTGTCCAGCGATATCTGTCCAAACAGAACTTCGACAGAGGCTATGCTCAGTACAATGCAATCATGCTGATGCGTATCCTGACCGACAACCCTGGTCGCAACTTCACCCAGAACTTCGATAAGAATTTCAACTCGACGCTAAAGACTCTGCTGCGAGAATGCAGGGACTCGAGTGTACAGCAAATCACACGTGAGACGCTGGATTACTTCGAGGTCGAGAAGCTGAATGGCAATGAAACTCTTATGGCTCTGATGGAGATGTGGCGCAAAGAGAAAGGTTCTTCGGCTCGGATGTACTCTTCAAGTGTAGGCATGGATGGTACTGCTGTCATAAGCCATGATTTCACTCACAACGACCAGGGTCGATCGCATAGCCAGCCATATACAAACAACCACCGAGAGTCGAGACCTCCTAGGGGTCTTCCACCCGCCGACGAGCTTGCAGCACGAATTGAAGAGGCAAGGACTAGTGCTCGGCTGCTCGTACAGATGTGCCAGTCGACACCACCTCAGGAATTGATTGGTAATGAGCTCATCAAGGAGTTTGCCGAACGAGCCAGACAGGCAAACAAGAGCATACAGCAATACATGGCCTGCGAGAACCCGTCACCAGACGAGCACACCATGCTGACTCTGATCGAGACAAGCGAACAACTCAGCATCTCAATGACCAAGCATCAAAGAGCCATGCTTCAAGCACGCAAAGCCACAGGACAAGCTTCTCCGTCTCCTCAACCTCAATCAAACCAGCAAGATCCTTTCTCCACCTCTACCTTACAAAGTGCTCTACCTCCACAGCAGCCACCTCGTCCTCAGCAAGCAATGTACCAGCCACCGCAACAACAACCTGCATATCAGCAATCGCCCTACCAACAGCCACCTCACCAACGGCAATTCAACACCAGATACGAATCAGAAGACCTCTACAACACTAACTCGCCCGGAGGTCTCGTCAGTCCCATAGACCACAACGAGCACTCCTACATGCCACCATCTGGACCTCCACCAGCAGCAATAGCAGCACGCAGACAAGAAAACGAGCCTCAACCATACCAGACACGCCCCGAATCTCCCATCTCCCCTCAACGTCAAACCCGCCACATGCGATCCGAGTCCGCAGCGAAAGACTACGACGTCTCTGAGAACCCTTTCGCAGATGATAATGCCTACGCCGCCCCAGCACATCCCCCTCCCTCTGCACAGACACAAACCCAACCATTACCACAACAGCAACAAAACACGCGCGACTCATACTCCCTGTTCAACCGTGCCGCCGGCCAATTGCGAGACCCCTCTTCGCCTAGCACTACGCGAAACACTCACTCTCATACCAACGCACCTTCCTCTACTCCTCCTCCCGTCAGTGAACTGGACTCCGGATCGTACCCGGCACCAGCACCGGCGTCGCATGGCCACCGGGACAATATTCAGGATAGGCCGGGATTGCATGGGTATAATTCTGGGTGGCAGCCAACGCCAAGTTTTATGGGGAGGCAGGCGAGTAGTGAGGCGCATATTACGATGAGTGGGGGGAGTGGAGATCGGAGATGAGGTAGTGTAGTGTTAGGAAGAGATGTGTTAGTGGTTTGGGTGTGTGGCTGTGGTTGTATATATTGAGCAGGATGCTTGGACGAGGGAGCGATATAGTCCAGTAAACAGGTCTGAAGTAGTAGATGGAGATCTTAATTCAAGTATTTTGCTCTAAACTAATTGCGCTGGGGATCGCGCGAAGAGCTATGTACTTAGTGCAATCTTCCCTCGCTCATAAACCCAAAACACCGTTCTCTGCCGTGTCACGTCTTCATTAACAGCTCCGCCAAAGACAATGGGTCCGTCTCAAGCTGGATCTCCTCGGGATTACGCGCACACCAACAATGTGAAGCCCAGGAATTCTGTTCGCAGATCGGGTCGATAGTTTCTTCGTGTATAACAGCTGCATTCTTAACCGTCATCGCTTTACCGACCAGCATTGTCTGGAACCCGATTTGACGTATTATGAGTGTTGTGTCCAGGCCTCGAAACTGCAAGATCAGGTCACCACGCTGAACGTCCGTGCATGCGAACCCTAGTCGGAGTGTTTCGGAGCCAGGCCTTTGTTCGAGGATTACAGGAGGCTTGAGGAGGTCGGGGTTGTGGTGTAATCGCTTGTCCGCTGAATGGAGTGGTATATGCTCGAGGGGTATATTGAGGTCATGGTGGCATGGGTAGTTGTAAAGTGAAGATAGATCGGTGCACAGGTTGGCTGCTTCGACGACGTTGTAGATGAAATCGGGAGGTAAGTCAGAGTGTACTTGACGAGAATTTGAAGAGTGTCGCCTCATTTTAGGGATCTTGTTTCCTGGAATCAAAGTGTTGGATGGTATTTTCTTGATCTGGTAGCCTATATGCTCACCCCAGTCATACATCTCCAGTTGTCGTTGAAGGTCTCTTACACTCGTCCAATTGAACACTGTGATGACTGAAGACACATATGCTGGCGACACGACAAGAGGAGTCCTGATATGTGCTGAAAGATCGAGGTTAGAAACATAGCTTCCCAGATCACTACCTAGTATATGCAAGGCCCGAAGAATCAGGAGAGTGGCTGCTGGAAGCACACTGTTGGTTGGTAGTGATGCCTTGATGCATTCGAGAGCGTCCAGGTAAACTTTTACAATATGCTTCTCGTAGTCAGGCTTCACACCGAACGTCTCGCCAGTGTCTGGGTCTTCTGAGCAGTCTGAAGCTAGGCCTAGAATTCCATAAACCTTGTCACGACGTTCGGTACATGTAGAATCGGCGTACTCCCGAAGCAATTCATGGAGGCTTGACATACTGCCGGCTTTACGTCTCATCGTCAAGCGGGTTGTTCGGCTTTGCAAGATCTGAGGTATGACGGCATGCGTAGCAAACTTTGGGTCACTTCGCAGCAGCTCAACCACATCTTCAAATTCTTTCCAGTCTAGCTTTTCCTTCCCAGAGAAGACTTCGATGGATGGTGCGAACAGGAATTCCTGTATGATCCAAGTGCGATGCCAATAGTAATGGTTAGTCATTCTGCATAAGGTCTCCCATCGACGTTGGATGTCTGGTCTAAGATAAGTATTAATGAGCATGGTATCCGAGTATCTCGTCCGATAGGCTGATATTTCCTTGATGAAGTCCATAGCTCGAATCTCTGTGCGATCAGCAGATGGCAAGCCCAGCCATACTATGACGGATTCTGCTTCCTGGTAGATTCTGCCCATCAGCTGAACGTGGAAGTTGCGCTCTCTCAAATTTAATTGATTGATGCACAGAGCGTCAGCCCACAGAAAAGACGTCTCTTCGCTTAGCCGGAGGTGGTATAGCAGGTGCCAGAGGTTGAGGTGCAGAGAGAACGCCCTTCCATTGACCAGGACTTGTTTGGGATGTCGAGCGCTGCCCCACGTGTAAGACACTGCCTTGTACTTGGGTCGTCGAGCAGCAGAAAATTGTGTCATTCGAAGGCTTATAGGCTCGTCCTTACCACCTCTCTGTACCTGGAAGAGTCGAATCGATTTGTCAGACAGAGTAAGACGTTCGTGTTCGAATGAGGCGTGATGCGCCATGTCGGCGTATGACAGCGGCGGACGTGTGGCCATAGTGAAAGTCTTCCGGAAGTGATTCTTGACCTAACTTCGAGTTAATGCAGTGACATTGTAGCCACGAATGTATTGTACGATAAGAGGAGGTTAAAACAAATATCATTACCACATGGAGTGCACTTGCAGAAACTGTCTTGTTCGAAATATTTAGGTTGGATGTATCAGAATCTGAATAAAAAGTGCCAAGTTTGAAGTTTCACCATGCAAATTGCTAACAGGCGTGCCATCAAATTTGACAGGGATCGATATCTTCAGACTGCTCGAACTGATCCTGAGGAGAACGTCCTCATCATCCATAGTTTGAACGCGGTTTCCCTTGCCTCTTCAATCATTCAACAGCGCACCTGTCAAGGTTGAAGATGTAGAAATCAACGACATCAACCACGTTCCGATTGAAAAAGCATCGCCAGCACAGATTGCTTTTCCTGAAAGACGTACTACGGCTTCCGAAGCTTATCGAAGCGCATTGATGACGTCGATTTGTTTCAAGTACTATTCCGCACGATCTCCGCTATTTCACTTCATGCACGTCGCGTATTTCGTAGTTCCTGGCCAACAACTTGTTTTGGGCGCGTATAGTGTCTTGATAGGATTAAGGTCAAGTAAGCTCGTCTACGCAATGTCAATATTCCTTTCACCTGTGATATACTGCGAGGCGGTAAACTAGACTTGCAAGACAACACGCCAGACAATATGGTAGCATTGTCCGACTTCAATCCCTCATGCTACCTACCATCCTCTATTCATGCCTATATCCCAAATGTTGTCGCATGTCCACCACCGCCGTCGGTCGCGCAAAGCGTATTCCAGACTATAACGTCGCCTCTCACGAGCACATGGTCAGCTCTACGACATACGACTGATGCATTTCTTGGCCTGCCATTCTTGTCCGTCTTACTCATTCCGAGCATTACGTCCTACAGCACCAGTCTGAACCTGCTCTTCTTCTATTTGACTTGGAGCACGCTCGTGTTGTCGCACCATCCGCTACGAGTAGAAATTGTTGGAAGCTTGGCTGTGAAGATGATCTTTTATGTGCTACCTAGCGCTGCCATGCTGGCTGTGGATGTGTTGTTGCCAGGAATTAGTGCGAACTTCAAGAGTCAAGGCGAGGATGCGCTGCCTCTGAGAGATACTAGACGAAAGACTGTCTTCGAGTTCGCGAAGGTGGTTGGCTGGAGTTTCCTCAACGTCTTGCTTGGCGTGCTAGTACAGGGTTCGATCGAATGGACCTTGACAGTATATCTTAGCAAGCCTGCTGCATTGAGGATTACCACTGCGTTACCATTGCCATGGGGAATCGCGAAAGATCTTTTGAAGGGGCTGCTGGCACGAGATGCGCTGACATGGATAATCCATCGCTATCTGCTTCATGGAGGACCTGGACCCGCAAACGCGATTGTGCGTGATTCGACAAATCTCCACGAAAACTGGTATCACAGAACAGTCAAGGTGCCCTTTCCCCTTAGTCCATCGTACGACCACCCTCTGGCATATATGCTGAAGTCGTTCTTACCGATGTACTTACCAGCCATGTTCTGGCGTTTTCATGCGCTGACGTTCATACTATACCTGGCCATAGTCAGTCTGGAAGAGACATTCACTCATTCAGGGTACGCAAGATTGCCAACTCATTTTGTGCTTGGTGGAATTGCAAGTAGGAACGAGATGCACTGTTTCACATGCCGAGGAAATTTCGGAACTTCGGGACTGGTTGATTGGTTGGCCGGAACGAGCGTTGGAAGTGACGTCGCAGAGCATATTGCTGATGAGGCCAGCGAAGCCGATGTGCAAGGCTCGGTCACTCGACAAGCACGGCGAAGTTTTGCACAAGTCAAGCGAGCTGCTAGTGGCAGGAATGGAAGCGCGTCTGGTGGTGCTTTCAAAGGTCGACGAAGGACGAGGCGTACTAGAAGTGATAGTGATTCTGAATAGGTGCCAGTTGAAAGGCTGTGGGTAGATGTCGCATACGTGGTTTGACGATGATCGTATCGACTGAAACTGCAACATAGATAACTATCAGATGGACGCGAACCTGTACGAGACGTCCGTCAGCATTACCGGGTGCAAGTTCTGGTAAATTCTCGCCGCTTTCGTGCGCAGTCTGCCAGTATTAGCATTTTCTGTTACCAGTACAATCTTGAGACAACGCCAAAGCCTGCAGCAGTTCAATCATGATAATTGTTGTAGACATTGATTCGAGCTCAAGTCACAAAGCTTCTCTCAATGCTCACCATATGCGGCCTTGGTTGTAGAACGGCATGGCTTATCTCTAAAGGTATTGACTGCATGGGGCACAAAGCCACTCGACGCAGTATACATCATTTCTCTCATCAGAACAAAACACGTCCTCGAGAAATGGCATGTGTACAACAACTCGCGCTCTTCTTTGCTTGAACCATTGTTGAGCTGGTCGTAAACATCCTCTTTACCACTCCCTGCAAACGCACTCCCCATATCTGCACAAATAAGTCTAGAATTTCATTTCATGTGGTCTTTGTCCGTGTCTGAGGCTGAAGTTGGATGCGAGATAGCTTGCAAGCATGTCTTGCTTCTTGATAGCCGCTAGGATTGGCTTATCGATGGACTTCTGATCGGAAGCTCGTGCGGAGGTTGGTTTCTTTGCCTAGTTATGTGTAAGTATCGTGCACCCGGTACGTCCTGTGCTGTGCATACCTCTGGCTTCTCCCCCTGCTTGAAGAAAGCCTCCTCGCCCTTCTCCGACTTGCTCTTCTTTTCTCGTACGAAATATTCTGGCTTGGTCACCTTGTCGAGCGTAGAGCTGTCAATGCCGCTAAGGTCGATCTTGGTCGATGTAGCAATGACATATCGTGCATTCACCCTTCTCAGTGGTACGCCATTGACTTTGAATGGGCCCGTTACTAGGAGAGTGCCCTGATCGAGCTGCTTGAGAAGGATAACTCGCTTGCCTCTGAATCGGCCAGCAAGGAGAATTAGCACAGCACCGGGCTGCAGAGACTCTCGGTATTTGGTTGGTTTACTCGACTTTCGGGCCTGCAAGAAGAGTTTGTTAGATCCCGTTGCATTGACATATACGCGCGCCGTGTTCCAGGCGCAATGTTCCACGTACCTTCTTCTGCGATGGCTCGTCGTAGGCAGGGTAGAATCGAGAGGCTTTCTGGCTATGGTGCGGGACCGTCCTCTCGCCTTTGCCGAACTTCTTGGTTTGTGGTTTGGCGTCGGCGGCAGACATCTTGAAGACTGTTCAAATATACTAGACAGTCCTGACAGTGAGGAATGCTCAAGGTGAATCAAGTAAAGAGCCTGGTTGTGGTTTTGCGATAGCGTATGATAACTAGCGGAATGAGCATTGTGCACGCCTGCCAAGAGTGATGACAAGCCTGAGGCAGCACAATCTAATTAGTGTGGTGGAGAAACTCGTTGCCGAACCGTAGAATTCTTACGGCATATTTGGGGCTCTACTAATGCAAAACTACCTAGGTAGTACTCCGGTGTGTCCCGAGTAACGCCAATGTAGACCGCTGACAGCAGAAGCTGTCTACTAGCAGTTCCATTGTCATGTCCAGCTTTCAGTAGTGTGAGCCTACCACGAGATAGTCTGATAGGCGCAATGTCCACTGGCGAACGTTAGATTTGGGACCATTCCAAGGTGTTCAAAACCAGGAACAGTGCTACGTAAAGGTATACTAGGAGGACGCCCCCCCACCGAGTGGACAATAGGCGACAATTGTGCTTATGTGGTGCACTGATGCTTCAATGAACCGCGCTGTCCAAGTCGGCCAAAGCAACATATAAGCTCAAGGGTGTTGTGCCGGACGGCTTTCCGAGTAGGCAAACCTGGTCACAGAGACACTTCCCGAGGCCGGCTTAAGGAACGATGTCGTTGTACACTGAAGAGTACCACATAGCTAAGTCAAACGTTTGAGCGTCTCCTGACAATCCTTGGGACTTCTTCTAGAGATCTTCACATCAACCTTGGTTAGCGATTTGTCACAAGAGGTCAACAACCACCAACTACTTTCTGAAGTGTTTCAACAGGTGGCCATTGTGATAGCTGTTGTCAGTGTAACCGTCCTAGATGTCAGGCTGCAAGAGAACGCGGGATCACGAGACAGCACTACGGCGGCGCCAGCGACCAAGACCCCGACGACCCATGATGAGGGTTGTGTGTTTACAAGCTGTTGCTGAATGGCAACTATAGTTGGGAACAGGCAGCTCGAGCTTGAAAGATTCGTCGTTTGCATTTCAGACATATGGAGCACAAACGACTTTGACACATGCAATTGGTGCTGTCGAGCAAGCGTAGCCTGTCTGACATCAAAGTAAGTGGACTAGGATAGCTCTATCAGGTTGACTGGGAGTCGTCCTGCCTTGCTAGAAAAGGTTGTTGAGTAGGCCTGAACAGCAATGACCGATCATCAGAGAGACAACGGCTAAGCAAGCATGTCGCCGATCTGATCATGGTCACGTCTTGCCACCTGTAAACCAAGAGTCGTACCAATATTGACTTGTTCAGTACTTGTATCTTTGATGGGATTTACTACGTTACAGCACGCTCGCTTCGTTGTTCATGTATCTGGTAGGCATATCCAAGTCACGAAAAGGATACAGTGATTATTTGCCGTAGTTTACCATGATGAATAGACATCTGCGGCAAATTACCCTCCGCACGACTTAGGCTCGACTACAAAAAGGCCACAAGGCAGGAGCGTGTCGACGTAATTGCCTTGTTTAGAGAAACTGTGACAAGATCTGAGAAGCGCTTCCCTCCACGACTGGTGAACATTAGGAATCTACCACTATACTTCACACCGCCAGCCCCCAGATATGTCGATAGAACCCATAATCACCTTCAAGGCTGGTCAATGTGATTTGGACGTGAGTGCTGCTTTGTTTCCCCGAGAGTGCTGCTAATAACCATGGCCACAGGAATCAACTGGCAAGGTTCGACCAGAATCTACCCCAGGATATGTCTACCTCTACTCTGACGAAGACCTTCTACACTTCTGCTGGCGACCCCGAGATGCCACGCTCGAAGCTCCCGAACTCGATCTGATCATGTTTCCGACAGATGGCAGTTTTGTACCATATCAGAACAAGCCAGTCAATGGCCGTGTATTCGTCCTGAAATTCTCATCGAGCTCTACAAGACATCTGTTCTGGCTTCAATCAAAGAGTCAATCACCGAGTGGCAATGCCGCGTATTTCAGTCCGCGAGACCTGAAGATTGGTGAGGTGGTGAACAGCCTTCTACAGGGAGAGGAGGTGGACGTCCAACAAGCAGTTAGCGAGATGCGAACAGGACACTCTAACGAAGACGAAGACGCTGATATGGAAGATGTGGAAGGTCAGGGAGGTGCAGGACCTGGCGCGACCGGAGGTGATATTCGAGAGGAAGGCGAAGGTTCGAGGGAGGGCGGTGCCGATGGTGGCAGAGCGTAGGTTATCAGCCCCAAAAGTATGGAATGCACTGGCGTCCACGCTTCGGTATGCTAACGACATGTATAGCACCGGAAGCAATCTAGATGCACAAAGTATCATACAAAACTTTCTCAACTCAATGCCAGGTGGATCTGGGAACAGAAATCAACCACAGCAGAAGTTATTCACCACTTTGCAAGATCTGCTAACGCCGACTGCGACAGTGTCTTGGCTAAGTGCCGCGTCGGAAGGCACAGTCGACCAGGTCATGCAGTACCTGCCCTCCAATCTTGTAGCTTTAGCTACAGAAGATGACGATGCATCAGTGTCACAAAGTCTCAGCTTGGCTGAGAAGAAGAGATTAGTTGAGCGTGTGCTAAGATCACCACAATTTTCACAAAGCCTGGCTAGTCTGACCATTGCTCTACGAGACGGCGGTCTTCCAAGCATAAGTGAAGCACTCAACGTTCCAGTGCAGAATGGAGGATACATGAGAAGAGGTGGTGTTCCCCTGGGTGGTGGTGAAGCTGTGGAAGCTTTCCTCAACGGTGTCAAGGATGTGGTGGCAGACGAGGGTAAGAAGGAGGACGACATGGAAACAGATTGACGACAGATACGCTGGAGGCGGCGGAGGCAGTATGACACTGCAGTGCTCTATTACCACTACTCGAGTACAACAGGACAGAATGAAGTGTTCAGCGATCTCGGTCTTAATCTTGCGCCAAGTCGCTGGTTCCTTGGCATCGAGCATTGCTCGAGATTGAGCACGGTCACAATGAAGTTGCCTAGAAGATATGTTCACAAGCCATGAGCTTTCTTTCACCAGAGGCCTCTTTACTCAAGGACATCGTTACATAAAACATGTAGTAAAGTTTTAATATTCTCCCTCGATCAATTGGAGAGTCTATGATCTCTCCGAGTGTTCGTCTATGTTTTGGCTACGCGAAAAATGGAATTGCGTTTCCAATATTTCGAGGCTGATATGGATGGTTGTGCTGATACTGAAATGTCAACGGATGAGGAGGATGTCCAGCTAGCGTACCACCAAGAAACGACCTGAAAGTGTGGGGGCTAAGCGGCTCCTGAAGCGGAATCTTCAGGGACCGCAGCGAAGGTAAAACCCTGGAGTCCTCTAAGCTAGCCTACATTCGTGGATGGCGCAAGGGTGTATCCATGGAACCTCGTGTCTCGCATGTGCTGCTGATGTTGTCGCTGTCCATTATGAAAATCCAGGAATAGCACTTTCAACAGCATTTACTCGTGATATATCTGTCTTTCGCGCATACGATTCTACTATCCTCTCGACGATCGCTTCCGACACGCGAATAGCCACGACCCACCGTCCCTCATTCAGTACAGCAACAGGCTTCGACTCATTGCCCTACAGTCGAACATACACCACAATTCAACAGCAGGACGAGCTGGTTGTGGCTTCGGTGGGAAGCCGATATCTGAGTGTGACGAAATGTTGAGGTAATAGGATGAGCCTGCCATAAAGAGGCAGGTACGACCAAGAGACGACCATGAACTCCCGGCGCAGTCCCTCACCAGACAATCCTGCGCCCCATTCGATACCTTTGCAGAACCTCTCGAGACCTCCAGATGCCCTCGCAGGACATTCAGCTCAGCGTTCCAGGAGTGGTCATGCTAGCAGGTTTAGTCTCGGTCATGGGCGTACACCTTCGTTGTTAGCACGTAGACAATATCAGCCACTTATCACAGACTCTCCAGTCGACGCTCGAGCGGACGCTCCTAGCGCAAGTTCCTTTGACAACGCTCGCTTCGAGCCTCCAGAGGATGCACGTGCTTTTGCCAACGCACATGTCGGTCTTTCCTTCGACACGACCACTACATCTACCGGACGGCCTGAGTTGGGACCGGGTTACTCTGCTCAACCCAACGACAATATTTCCGTGTTCTCACCACAAGAAGACGACGACCTCGCTCCTCTGACACAAAGTCCTGGCCTACGGTCAGCAATGAAAGATGCATCCGTCAAGCATTCAGGTCAGCGCCATGATAGGAAGAGAAGCAGTGTCCAGTTTCTGGACACAACCTCTATACCATCCCGAAGTCCTCGAAGCTCTCATCTTGGAGATAATCTACCTGCTCTTAACACCAGTGCCGGTGTGTCAAGAAAGTTGAGTATAAATAGCGGCATACTTCGCCTCTCAACTGATAGTCGTCGTCCGTCAAGAAGCCGTTCGCGTTCACCATCACCATCACCTCTAGCTAGAGCTGGTTCGATGCTCAGAGGCATGTCTGAGCGTGTCGTCAACATAAGCAACGACTCCGATATCGTCGAACAAAACATTCGAAGAAAGTCAACTGTGCGTCGAGCACGTCGAAGAAGCCTTGCCAGACAAGACACTAATGACATAGAGATTGGTGCCGGTATCGAGGAAGACCATAGAAATTCCACTGCTGCGTCCTCGGAGGAGAAGAGGTCGGATGCTGATGTACCACCAACTTTCCTTGCGCCACGTCCTGTCAGACATTCTAATCCGCTCAAAGGCAAATCGTTGGGTATTTTCGGGCCAGACAATGCACTGAGGAAGTGGCTATTGGAACTACTAATCCATCCTGCTACTGAGCCTATAATTTTAGTCCTCATTCTCGCTCAAGCTGTCTTACTTGCAGTGAACGCTGCTCCTGACGCACAATACATGCAACCACGTTCCCGCGAATGGGGCAGGCTGAAGTTCGATTATGCCATCTTTGCCTTGTTCTTCATCTATACTGGCGAAATCATCGCAAGGATAATCATTTCAGGATTCATCATCAACGCCACGGGTTATACCACTCTGGATCGAAGTCGCGGATTTAGGGCCGGTGCTTGGGCTAAGCTTGGTTCTTACTTCTCGATGTACGACAAATCAGACGCCCAACCACAAAGAAGAGCCAGTGTCGACTTCCAGCCGTCTATCGTTCGCGCTTTCACGGGTCTACCTGATGAGCAAGGACCAGGGCACACGCGACAGAAACAGAGGATTCGGCTCGCAAAACGCGCTTTCCTACGCCACTCGTTCAATAGACTCGACTTTATTGCCGTTGTCTCCTACTGGATTTCATTCGTTATGCAGCTTGGTCGGGTCGACACAACCCACCACGTCTACATCTTCAATATGTTGAGCTGCCTTCGACTTCTGCGCTTGCTTGGTCTGACTGGAGGGACAACAATTATCCTTCGAAGTTTGAAGAAGGCTGCGCCCCTGCTTGTTAATGTTGCCTTCCTTATTGGCTTTTTCTGGTTAATATTTGGGATAATTGGTGTCCAAAGCTTCAAGTCGAGTCTGCGAAGGACATGCGTGTGGGTTGGCGACGATGGCTCAGGGCAGAATTATACACTCAACCTGGCACCCGAGAATCTACAGTTTTGTGGTGGTTACCTTAATTCAACCTATCAGCCAATGCCATGGCTGAAAGCAAATGGTGAGGCAGGTGCTCAAGAACCAAAGGGCTATTTGTGTCCGCTGAATTCCCTCTGCGTCGAGAACGATCGCAACCCATACAATGGTACGGTCAGTTTTGACAACATCGTGCAATCAATGGAGCTCGTCTTTGTCTTGATCTCTTCCAATACGTGGAGTGATCTTATGTACTACTTGGTCGATTCGGACTACCTCATATCGGCACTTTTCTTTGCTGTCGGCATTGTAATCCTGAGCTTGTGGTTAGTGAATTTGCTCATCGCAGTCATCACGTCCTGTTTCCAGATAATTCGTGAAGAGAGCAGACAGAGCGCCTTTACTACTAGCGAAATTGACGAACCTGAGCTGGAAGAGGATCACAGATTGGCAAAGGGTAACAAGCTCAAGGAGCTGTTCGCGAAAACAAGAATTTTTTGGATAACACTAATCGCCTTCGACTCGATCGTGATGTGCCTTCGGAGTGCTTCCATGAATCAGTGGCGGGAGGATTTCATCATGTGGACGGAAACCGTGGTTACATTGTTGTTGATGCTAGAGATCATCCTTCGTTTCATCTGCGATTGGCGACGATTCTTCCATCATAGACGAAATTCCGTGGACCTGTTCCTAGCTCTCGTCACAGTCATCATTCAGATCCCCCCAATACGGAATTCTGGAATTCCTTACGCATGGCTTACTCTATTTCAAATTGCTCGTATCTACAGGGTTGTTCTGGCGGTTCCTGTTACTCGAGAACTGATCAGTCTGGTGTTCGGCAATGCGGTCGGTCTGCTCAACCTGATTATCTTCGTGTTTCTTTTCACATTCCTGGCAGCAATACTTGCATCACAAATGTTCAGGGGTGATATCCCATCAGAAGATGCCGCAGGAGATTCTATTCAAGTACAATTTTTTGATATCTGGAATTCGTTCATTGGTATGTACATTATCTTCTCAAGCGAGAATTGGACGAGTGTACTCTACAATGTCTCTCAATTCGACGTTCGATGGAATACAGCCTGGTTGGGCGCGATCTTCTGTATTCTCTGGTTCATAATGGCCAACCTAATCGTCCTGAATATGTTTATTGCCGTCATACAGGAAAGTTTCGATGTGTCCGAAGATGAAAAGCGGTTACAGCAAATGAAGGCTTTTCTCAAACAGAAGGAGGTTGCCGGGACAGCTGGAGGCAATCTTGCTCTTTCATCAATTTTCAAAATGGGGCGAGATAATCTGCGCCAGCGAGACGCGTTAGAATACGGAGGAGCGACCATGGAGCAATTGCTCAAAGATGCGGTCGTAACCGATTTCCTTGAAGAGCAAGGAGCTAGTCATAAACCAAGACCACTTTCAACACAACTAACAAATCTGCCTGTGGCGAAGGTTGCGCCTGGCATGTTCACCAAGATTTGGGCTAAGATAAGTGGGTACAGCAAGAAAGATCCTAACCCTTTCTACACGCATAACATATCAATACGTGCGAACGAAGAATTCGATGCCCGAGCAATGGCGAAGCAAGTTGCCTCGACAGCGGACAATCGACGCAAGCTACAACGGCAGTACTTGAACAGGCATCCGGACTACAATGTGTCTCTATTCATGTTTAGGCCTGATAACCCAGTCAGAAAGGCTTGCCAATATCTTGTCGGACCTTCGCGAGGAACTGAAAGACTTGATGGAGTGATGCCGTGGAAGCCTGCTTGGTATGCCTTCTCGGCTTTCACGTACATGACAATCGTGGCGATGGTCGTCATAGCATGCGTGACAACACCTCTCTATCAAAAGCAGAATTTCTCCGTTGAGGATCGCTATAATAATTGGCTGGTTTGGACTGATATGGCATTTGCAACATTGTTCTCTTGCGAAGCTTTGATCAAGATCATTGCTGACGGCTTCTTTTACACACCCAATGCCTTCTTCAGAAGCATATGGGGCTTGATTGATCTGGTTGTGCTTATTAGCTTGTGGATTAGTGTCATTACCACACTCACTCAGGAAGATTCAATCACACGTGGTGTAGGAGCCTTTAAAGCTCTCAGAGCACTGAGATTGCTGAATATCAGCGAGAGCGCTCGAGACACTTTTCATTCCGTCATCGTCGTTGGTGGTTACAAAGTCCTATCGGCGGCGTTCGTGTCACTCAGTCTATTGGTTCCCTTCGCTATTCTTGGTCTCAATTTGTTCAATGGCAAATTCGAAGCATGCAACGATGGGAGCTACTCCGGCATCCTTTCCAATTGTGTGAACGAGTTCAACAGTACACCTTATAATTGGCCTGTCTTAGCACCAAGGACAGTCTCTAACCCAGCGTACAGTTTCGATGACTTTGCCAGTTCTCTGTTTATCCTCTTCCAGATTGTCTCTCAAGAGGGATGGACAGGCGTCATGCAAAGCGGCATGGCTGTTACAGGCGTAGGGTTGCAGCCACAAGCTTTTGCGAACGAAGGTAACGCTGTCTACTTCATTGTGTTTAACTTGCTTGGAGCAGTCTTCGTGCTGACCTTGTTCATTTCGGTCTTCATGCGTAATTACACGGAGCAGACGGGTGTCGCCTACCTTACTGCTGATCAACGATCTTGGCTCGAACTGCGCAAGCTTCTCAAGCGAATCACGCCAGCAAAGAAGTCACTCGATGAACGTGCAAGCAAAATTCGAAGAAAGTGTTATTCCATTGCGAGTAAGAAGCGCGGCAAGTATCCACGTTTCGTCACAACCTTACTTTTGCTACATCTAATATTGCTTGTCGTCGAATTTTATCCTCAGCCGCAATGGTGGGAAACCCTCAGAAGCATCGTTTTCCTATGCTTCACCTTGGTATTCATGGTCAACATAGGCATCAGGATCATTGGCCTGACCTGGGATCGATTTCGTCGCAGTTCTTGGGACCTTTTCTCAATCCCCGCCGTAGGTGGGGCCTTTGTTACATCGCTGATGGCATTGGGCAGTATCGAAAACCGGATTATCGAGCAGCTACATAAGTTGTTCCTGGTGTCGATTCCTTTCATGCTCATCCCAAGAAACAATCAACTAGACCAACTTTTCAAGACAGCTGCAGCTTCGTTGCCTCTGATTGCAAACCTGTTAGCAACGTGGTTTGTGCTGTTTCTGGTTTATGCTATCGCAATGACACAAGCATTCTCTTTGACGCGATTCGGAAGCAACGAGAATGGCAACGTCAATTTTCGTAATGTCCCGAAAGCACTCATTCTTCTCTTCAGGATGAGTATTGGAGAAGGCTGGAATACTCTGATGGAAGACTACGCTCAAATTCAACCACCATTTTGCGTAGTCGAACGGACCTTTTTTGATAGCGATTGTGGAAGTGAAGGGTGGGCACGAGGCTTGTTCGTCTCCTGGAACATCATCAGCATGTACATCTTCGTGTCACTGTTCGTATCCCTGATATTCGAAAGCTTCTCCTACGTTTACCAACGCAGTGGCGAGCTGGCCAAAGTCAGCCGTGAAGAGATCCGTCGTTTCAAACAGGCATGGGCAGAATTTGACCCCAAAGGTACGGGGTACATCTCGAAAGAAGCATTCCCAAGGCTGCTTGGTGAACTGTCGGGTGTGTTCCAGATGCGCATCTACGATGGGGATTTCACTGTAAGAAACTTGATCGAAGACTGCTCTGTTCAGCCTGGGGAGATCAATACATCAAAGCGCGTTGTTGCAGGAATCGACCTCGAAAAGCTCAATTCGCGCCTTAACCAGATCCCAGTGCAAGAGATCAGAGCACGACGTGTACAAATGGAGATATTCTATCAAGAAATGCTTCTCTCTGCTGATGCGGAGAAGGGTATATCATTCACATCATGTTTGATGATTCTGGCTCACTACAACGTCATCAGTGACAGCAAAAGTCTTCGACTAGAGGAGTTTTTGCGAAGAAGAGCGCGATTGCAACGGGTCAATGAGACCATCAAGCGCAATACTGTCATCAGGTTCTTTGACGCAGTACACTGGGCGAGAAAATTCAAGAAACACAAAGCAATGCGGAGAGACTCCAAACTTGAAGGGCCACCACAAATACCCATTCCCGAAATCTTTGTGGAAAACCCTGAAGACAGTCCCGATTCTGGCGACGAGGCAGTGGCTAGGGATTTCACAGAAACGACGCCACTCTCACCTAGAAAGGTTCCACCGGAGATTCCGAGAATCAATACCAATCTTTCTCGTCCGGGCTCGGCGGCTGGTTCCCTCTCGCCACGGGACATGTCTCCAGGTTCAAGTCCAATTAGCTCACCTAGACATCTCTCGGAGATCGATACGAGCTATCGTGGTGGGAGAGATAGATCAGACAGATCACCACCAGCGACGCCGTCACTTGGTGGTCACAGCAGACAGAGTAGTACAGTGACAGGCCAAGGTGTATTGGAAAGTTTCGATGCATCAGCATGGGGAGAGAGCTTACGAAGGAGTTTTACGACACGAAGATCTACGTCGACAAGACGACCATCAGACTTGACGAGGACAGACTCAGGACAGCACTGATATATTGACTGGTGACGAGGCATGGCGTTCTAATGGATGTGAAAATTTGTTTCTGTGCAGTATCTGACGTTATATCGACACGACCATAGACGAGAGGACAAAAGAAGGCTAGGCTCTCGCGCGAGCTGGGCAAAGGTTGGTTTGGAGGTTGTCTGCATAGCGAGGCGTTCTGGTGGTATAGACTTGTGATCCAATGTATATCAGCGATTTGAAAGTCGGGAGGCAGAATTGACACTGCACGAATTTGCTTAGATCTAGAGTTCTGATGCGATGGTCAGAAGCATGGCGGAGAATAGTGCGGCTTGAGAGGCTGACCCGAATAACTTCTCATGCTGCGAAGATTCCCATCATTCGTACGACATTGATGTACGTATACTCATCTCTGCAGCCGGTTACACTACATCTGTCACCTGGCACGTTCTGTGTCATGTATAACCGAAGTGAAGTACATAGGGTTGAACGCGGGTGGGTTGACCTGGGAACGACGGTAGAAAGCTGTCCATCAAATCAGGTCACAGTGACCCAGACTTACAAGCCCAAAAGCTTGACAGGTGATTCAAGTCACGAATGTGACACACTGGCGGGGTTATCGATGCTATCGAGCATAAAAGCAAACAATTCTTGTATCGAGAGATGTAAGATACGCGATGTAGCCGTGATTCGAAGCTTCTTATTGGTAGGAGAATTGAAATCTGGAGAAGCGGAACCAGTGCTCCATAACGCGTCTCGACTGCTGAAAAGTCGTTCAATGCAGCAATAGCTGAAGCATCGTCAAACACCCTGGTACTCAAGACTTGTATTGCAAACCCCTGATGTAAGGTTCGAGTGACCTAAACATCGTAGATCTTCAGCACAGCAGAGCTTCTGAGACGTGAAGGGGTGTCGATCACACATTAGAATGACGCGCTGTGACACAAGCTTCTTTGCATGTGCATACCGTATGCATGAGAACGCATGGAGGAACAGGGGTACATGCGATAGTGTACATGAGTACGTGAAGAATTGAGATGACAGCGGAAGATTACATAGTCGGCCTCAAGTTGTGAGAGGTCATTCGGGATGTTTTTGTGATGATTTATCTTGTGAAGAGAGGTTCCATTGACTAAATTTCATGAGAGATTGAAGGGTGCTATCCTGTTTCTGCCATGTGCCCTACAGCAATTTTGTGGCTCTAGACTTATCTCTCTAACTGGTATTTTCGCCTACCATGCTGTTTAAACGTTCGCTTGAACAACTCAATTCATATTATAAGGCGAGACGAACTTATAGACGAGCAAGCTTCCAAGCTCCTTCGTGCATCAAAGTCTCCCCTGAAACCTTTCCCCAAGCACGCCATTAAACGTTCGGAGCATTCTCTGGCCCTGTATCACCTGAACCATTTCGTCCTAGCGAAAAGTTAAGTGAGTAGTTACAGAGCCGTTGACCCACTAATCGGCAATCATCTGGATGCGTCTCTGACCGTGTGAACTTTCTGACGTTGGCCCGAGATGAAGGAGTTCGTTTCCCACGGCTCTTTTTCAGTACTTTACGCTCCTTGTGTACCCATCATCCAGCCGGCATCGTCCTGAACGAGGTCTCTCGCTGAGCTATGGGAGTCAGAGGGGTTTCACAACCTGTACATCCATTCGCATAGCTGCTCATCCAAGACATCCACGCCTTGTTTCACTCTCTCATTTCCTGCAGCTTCAGTTTCCATCCTCGTACATTCCCGACTCACTTTGAACAGGGTTCCTAACCAGGCAATCCCTTCCATTCGTCCTTTTGCTCCTCAGCATTTCCATAGTTCCACGTTCTGTGCCCTGCCTGCAGCAATACAGGGACGCTCGATCCACAACTCGAGCACGACAAGGCAATATCGGATCGGATCAGAATAACTACCTGGTCTCACGTCCCTGGTATGGAAACATCAACAATGCAGTCTTCACATCCTTCTCACATATCTACTCCTTCACGCCCATCCTACCTCGAGCCGTCATACCGTCAATCTCGCTCTTCCCTCTGCAGCCTGTATGATCTGCTGGCAGATCTTGACGAAACACAACTGCAGTACTTGGTCCAAGAGATGAATCATACAGCTCCTCAAAACATGGCAGTGGCACAAGCTATTTCAGCTATTGAAACAGAAAATCCTTCCCTGGCTCTGTCGGCAGCTAGGAACAACATGCAAACACCCACAATGCAAAGACAACTTAGCAAGAGCCAGAGAATAAGACTGAGTTTGCAGACCATCTTCAGGACTCCATCAGTACGGCAGCAACACGAGGACGAGATGGGCGGTCTGGTAGAGGTCTCGACTCCAAGAAGCAGGAGGAAGAGCCCGGCTTACAAAAGAATATCGAGACCAAACTTCAACTTGCCTCCAGGCGTTACCGTCGCAGATCTACTCAATCTTCTCGAGGCCGAGTTCCTATTCAACAACAACACCAGCACATCACAGCTCTCACCATCCTCCTCTACCTTTTCTCCCTCTTCGTCCTTCAGCTCATCACCGTCTCCAACCATATCCCACGATTCTGCCAGAATACGTCGCTACCCATCTACCATCGACATGGCACTCGAAGCAGAACGTTCTGCTCCTTCGGCAAGCATTGAAGGTCTGGCTCTTGGTATGCTTGAGCCTAGGCCTACGACTCCTGCCCTTGGCACACCAAGGACACCAGTGAGATTTAACAGCAGTCCTTCTACACCAATCTTCGACTTGCAGATACAACCAGAGACACCGACCTCTGCTCCGCCTGTGGTATTAGAAGGTATCTTCGAGATTTTGGAAAGTCGGTGATTGATTTGCGAGCATGAGAGCGTTGCAATCACCTCTATCCCCTGCGCCTCACCTAATTATGCACGTCCTCGCTCCATATATCCTCTGCCGCACGTCACGGCTTTCACCACTTGCACTCACGGGCGGGCTATCTTGTAACAATGTACCAATCTATCAAGAGGGCGTTCGTCAGGGAGTTTCGGGAAATGGGTAGGAGCAGAAAAAGCTCCAGTGGACTTGACTTGGTGGTTAGAAACACCGTTGTGTAGCGCTACCTCTACAATCGAACCCTAGTGTCCTAATCTATCAAATGAAGTACTGCAAGCTTATGCTACTGAGCTTAGTCATGCTATTGCTACCACTATGCATTTCTTTCCTGGCCATCAGGTGTTGTTCTTGTGTATTGCACCTCCATGTACCTAGCTCAGGTCAACGTGTTCTCGTTCCCTGGCTTGCTGCGAGAGAGATACAGCATGCTTTCGCCTGGAAAGGTTCGTATCAGACTCTGAGGGAATAAAGTTTGATGCGAATCCGCTCTGGAGGCACGCTATTTTACGTCAGTGGCTCCTTCCCAGATCAACGCGACTTGAGCAAGTGCGAGACGCGTGAATCACTTTCTTTCAGGAAGTGAATGAGAAGATCTCTTTTGTAATCTTGTCTTCTGCCTGTGTAAAGTCAGTCGGAATGCTCATGTCATTGGGATCTCGCTGCATGTTGCTATGCTGGATTGTATGCTCCGCGCCAGCTGATATCTATCTGGTTGCAGTACCGTTAGTGGATCATAGAATGCGTGATGATGCTTCGTCCTCGGCATCGTTTGACTGCTATTGACTTGCTCAAAAGTACAGCACAGGCTGATCTCAAATACCTCGGGCTACTACCTCACGGTAAAGAAACAACACGGAGACTCCAACCACACGCCGAGCAAGCTTCGGTATACACCCCGACTGCTGCCGGAAAATGCCAAGGCATGGGACAAGAAAGCAGCCTCAACCCTGAATAACTGCCGTTTACGTGGGTGTAACGGACAGCTTTCCTCCCCTCGTGTCCAATGAACAGCCTTAGCTGCACGACAAGGCTTGGCATCCTTCGAACAAGCACTGATACTCATGGATGCTCTTATCCGGACCAGTCGAATCACGCTACGTCGATGAGGCGGAGCATGTACACTACGCTTGCAGTGATGCCTTGTCCACAAGGGCATTGGGGTACCTGGGGCATTATCTCTGGGGAAGAACGGCGGAAAAACCGAGCTGCAGAGTACAAATAGTTATCAATGTGCACTGCGCTTGGTAGTGGCCGTCTTTGCAATTAAAGTCATTCGACCCAGTCATCACGATGCGTGGGTTTTCAGTCGAAAAAGTGGACGACACTACCGTGCAAGAGCTCGACGCCGTCAAGGACGATGCGGAGCTGCTTGACACTCGGCCAGAAATTCTTCGGGATCTCTCTAAAGATGATATGGCTAGCATGGAGAAGAAGCTGCTTCGCAAGCTCGATATCAGATTGTTACCTAGTAAGGTGTGTCCACGAGAATGTCTTCGTAGACAAAACGAAGAGAGAAAAGAATCGTCCCTCGTCTCAATGCTGACTGTTCTTGCCAGTATGACTGAAGACTACGACATGCACACCATGGCCAGACCTATCCAGGAGACCTGATGCTCACTTATACTCTTCCAGTCCTGATCCTCCTATTCGTCCTCAATATCTTAGACAGGAACGCAATCGCAAACGCGCGTCTGGGCGGGCTGGAGGCCGACCTTGGCTTGACTGGGCTTCAATATCAGACAGCTGTCATGGCTGTGTGGCCAGGATATATCTCGATGATGATCCCTTCAAACATGGTACTGTCAGTCATCAAGCCAAGAATCTATTTGCCTACAGTGGTCATGGTATGGGGATTAGTGGCTGGTGCTAGTGGCTTCACTCAGAATTTTGGCGGTATTGTTGCTGTGAGGATCCTGACCGGTAAGGTCGACATGTTTAGCAGTGGTTGTAACTTTGCTGACCTATTCTCGAGGTGTTACTGAGGCGCCATACTTTGTGGGCGTCATTTTCTTGCTCTCCTGCTGGTACAAGCGAAATGAGCTTCCGATCCGAATATCCATCTTCTACTCAGGTTACACGCTGTCTTCAGCATTTGGGGGCTTGATTGGCGCTGGCATCATAGGCAACATGGATGGCGTTGGGGGATATCGATCATGGAGATGGTAAGTACACTTCCCCTACCAGCTTCACAATTGGCTTCAAATATTCATATGAAGTGCGTGTGCTAATCTAAGATAGGCTCTTCATCATCGAGGGTGCTGCGACTATCATTTGCGGTATTCCCGCCTTTTTCATCTTGCCGAACTATCCTGCAACAACGAAGTGGTTGAGCGAGCAAGAACGTGCTTTTGCACAATGGCGCCTTGCTACTGAAGCCGACGGAGAGGAAGATACAGTCCAAGGTTCTGTTATGCAGGGTCTGAAGGATGCTTGTACCGATTCGAAGGTGTGGCTGCTAGTAATTATCCAGACCGGAGCTGTCATGGGTGAGCTCAATAATCCCTCAGAGAACGAGAAACCAGCTAACCTTGACAGGCATGTCCTTCACCTACTTTTTTCCGAGCATTGTTGCCACACTTGGCTATCCTCGAGGTAAAAGCTTCCTCCCGATGTCGTAGATTTGGAACCAAACTAACCTTTTACAGTCATAACACTATTATTGACTGCACCTCCATACTTTGCAGCTTTCCTATTCTCCCTCGCAAACAGTTGGCATTCTGGCAAAACCCTGGAACGAGGTTGGCATATCACGATCGCTTGCGCCATCGGCATTGTCGGGCAGATAACAGCCACTTCAACTCGTGTGATCGGGGCTCGCTATTTCGCCTTTTTCCTCTGTGCTTGCGGTGCATTCTCAGCATTCCAGGTCATTCTCTCGTGGGTGTCAAGCACGATTGCTAGGCCAAAGGCCAAGCGAGCTGTTGCTATTGCCATGGCCACTGCTATCAGTAACGGTGTCGGCAATATTCCGTCAGCATACCTGTACCCCACAACGGACGCTCCGTAAGTCTATTTCTTCGCCATTGTTTGGTGAGATGCTGACAGTAATACAGACTTTACCGCGTTGGTAGCGTAACCCTGACATGTGCCTTGGCGATATGTGGTGTGACCTGTGTGGTTCTGAAATACCTGCTGAAGCGTATGAACAAGAGAGCAGAACAGAGAGACGCAGAATCCAATGCAGCTCTGACTACGTTCAGGTATATTACCTGATCGTGCATCTGACATCTTGTTTCCAGGAACCAGTTCATGCATACTGGCAGGACTTTTCATATCCATCTAGACACAGTAGCTCGTCGAGATAGGGCAATAGAAACTTCAACTTTTGACCTTTCAGGTCGCAACGTACTGAGCTGCCAGCTTTGTGACTTCGTCGACCTGGAGCTGACTGGCACCGAGATAATTCAGAGGGTCGCAGAATCCGTTCAACTCGTCAGCGGAGACTTTGCTTATGATGTCGTTGTTGGCTGCGAGCACATCGAAGAGCGCCTTGTCACTCTCTATCGCCGTCTTGCACGCATCATACACAACATCGTGTGCCTCACCACGCCCAATATGTGGTGCAAGGCCCATCATCACAGCCTCACCCACAACTAAGCCTTTACTGGACAAGAGGTTACGCAACATGGCATCTTTATTAACAACTAGTCCTCCAAGCGCAAAGTTCGCTTGATGAAGTGCACCAACAGCGATAGTGAAAGCGTCCGGCACAGCAGCCCATTCAAGATGCCATGGACCGGACTGACGCTCGAAATCAGCCACCATCGCATCGAGGCCTAACGACGCTTTCTCACGCAACAGCTTGGACGCGGCGAGGATGATCTCAGATGAGATAGGGTTTCTCTTCTGCGGCATTGTCGAGCTGGCGCCTCGATGTGGGACGAAGGGTTCAGAGACTTCGCCGAATTCGTTGCTCGACATGATGATGAGGTCGTATGCGATTTTGCCGAGGGAGCCGCCGATCAGAGCGAGGAGATTGAGGATTTCGGCTATTGTGTCTCGGGCGACATGCCATGTTATGGGAGGCTCGAGGAGGTCGAGTTCTCTGGCTAGGGCGGCGCGGACTCGGAGACCTGTTTGTGGATTTCGGCCGAGTGATGCTAGGGTTCCGGCGGCACCACCGAACTGGACTAGGAGGTTGTTCTGCTCGACGTTTTTGAGGCGGTCGATGTGTTGAAGGAAGGGGAACAGGTATACTGCGCATTTGTAGCCGAAGGTGACTGGTAGGGCGTGTTGGAGGTGGGTACGACCTGCCATGGGACTGGGATAATCAGGAACATGCTGCGTGTGGTTGATCGCCTCACTTACGTATCTCTATGCTGCTTGGCTAGGTCTGCTAGGCATCTTACGAATTGAAGCATCTCTTGCCGGACGAGTCTGATGCCAGATCTGATTTGTAGCATCACGGCATTGTCCATGATGTCTTGAGTGGTAGCACCCCAATGGATATACTTGGCGGTGTCCGTGGGACTTTGCTCGGCCAACTGTCGTATCAGCGGCAGCACAGGGTAGCCTACGACATCGGTCTCTCTCGCAAGTCTTCCGAAACTAGACATATCAGTGATAGATGGATTACTGTCGAAGCTTGCACTTACTCGATTTGAACTCGAGCTAGGCTCTTTGTCAGAGAAGGACCTACCTCTGCTGGTATGACACCGGTCTTTGACTCTGCTCGAGCCAGTGCAGCTTCAACTTCGATGAGGTTCTTGACATAGGCTTCATCACTGAAGATGTCTCTGATGGCCTGGGTGCCGAACGTATTTCGGAAGATGCGAGAGTCGAGGACGGAGACGAACATCTTGGCTCTGGCTTAACTTCCAGTCCCTCCTTGTGAGTCTTCGCAGCGAGCAGGAGCGTCAAAGGGACAATCAAGATAGCTATAGAGCGTGACAAGGCGTCGAGGCGATCCGTAGGGTGATAGATGCGTGATGCGGGGCATTATTCGAGCGCATCTCTAGGGAGTGTGCCTTTAGAGAGTGGCATTTTAGGCTTCAAATATCTGAAACCAATGTGCGAAGGACTGATTGTGCATCGATGTTAGGCAAACAGGCAATAGTCAAATGCGCACGATAGAACAAGCCATTTCCTCACCTTCAACATATGATTGCAGTATAAGCAGTTGTAGCAGCAACGAGGGAAGGTTCAAGGCAGGTGCAGTGCGCCTGCCACAGGAGGCTATGGAAGATTATATTCGACCGCCAATGGCACGTGAGAACGGGGACTTGTTTTCCGTCTGCCTCCTGCAAGCAATCACTATGCCTAGTTTATACGAGTATCTTGCTTTGATTTCGTTTTTCTTAGTAACTTTGGTATCTTTTCTCAGTAGGTACTAGTCAGTCTTAATGGATGGTTTATATCAAGTTGTACTTGATCATGTATTGTTATCATAGTAGCTGAATCAGCTGTGGTAGATGTAGAGGCTCAAGATTACTAAATATAAGCCAGATTTGCCAAGTAAGGTACTTTCGTCAAATTGAACGTCGCGGAAAAGTCAGTACCAATGCGTGCGAGCGATCGGCATAGTGACCAGGACGAAGAACAGAGACGATAACATCCAAGATAGTTTGATCTAGCTATTACCATAACAGTGATTCAAGGATACGAATATCGAAATAAAGAAGCGCAAGTGACAAGCACGCGCTCCATATGCCTTGGCGTTCATGCCAAAGTCTTGGTGAAAAGTGGAGGACTAGGCACGTGCCAAGGAATAACAACGTCTGAGCACGTGCCGAGATGTCTGTAAGACAGGTGGGGCCTATCTGCATCGGACGTGCTCGACACCATGAGTGGTGACAGCCTGTCAACGAGGATTGTAGCAGAATTCCATTATTGTGTCCCCGCAAAAGATTGAGAAGCCGGGATGCTTGCAGCACAGCTGTGTTCATGTTCAAGATTGGATATCGGCTATGGTCAGTCACCTTGTTTCTATCAGCCTCTACCGACCAACCTCTCGACCTCGATCTCTCCCATTTCGTGTGGCTCTACAATGAGTAAAACCACATACACGATGGTCATGTCGGACGACCGCTGCTCAAACCTCTTGTCAAGACGTTGCTGTACGTGACCGACACCTGACGAGACCGTCCTCCAGTCAAATCATAGCACTGCTTGCTCAACTTGTGGTGGTTGGTGGGACATAACCATGCGAATAGTGGGCAGATGCAGAATCTGATACACCTCGACAGGCCAAGATCCGGAATGGTCTTGAGCTAACTTCTGACATACTTGAACAACATCATGCAACGGCCGTTGACTCGTTCACACAAGAGATGGCAGTAGTTCTGAGAACGACCATCCCACCAACGAACCTCTTCATGCATTGAAAGTGCCGGGCACCCTGGTCTCATGTTAACAAGATGCTTGGGTCTCGAGCAACTATAGACGAGCGATCGATAGCAACAAGCAATCGGCCCCAATCTCAACTACACAAGATTCGAAGCAAGATGTGGTTCGTGTGTATCATTGATGTCACTGTGTATCTTTGGCAGTTAATTTGTATCTGTGGCCAGACCGAAATATCTATCATCATCGTCGTCATCGTCATCAAGAGCAGTTCTATTCATACCAGTGTTGGTACTGTCAGGTGCTGAGATGTCTCGATCTTGGTCATACTATTTCTGGGCGAAGACCCTCTCCTTCCAGCTCTGCTATTCGATCGTGACCGAGGCTCACCACTGGGGCTGACTGAACGGCACACATTCCAACCGATCATCACCATCCTCATCGTCGTCTCCGCAGCATCTGTCAAAAGCCTCTCAGCCTCTAGGATCGCCCTTTCTAGGGGCATGGGTCCCTGCAAGATACTTGCATAAGCATCAATGCCATAGTGATAGCACTGGTTGGCACCTTCGCCAATCGTTCCTGCCAGTGCTATCACAGGTACGTTGTATCTTTGAGCTTTGTTGGCGATGTATGATGGCACTTTCCCATATGGGGTTTGGTAATCGATGCCTCCTTCTGCTGTTATCACAAGATCGCTGTCTGCTATCAGGTCGTCGATCTCGAGAAACCGTGTCACGATATCGAAGCGAGGGTGGAGTTGGGCTCCGATAAGCATCAAGCCAGCACCAAGTCCTCCAGATGCTCCACCTCCTGGGGCTGTTGCGATATCTGTCTTCAAGATTGGTCCAAAGACCTGCGCGATGTTGTTCATGGATACCTCGAGTTGGTTCACCTCGGCTGGACTTGCCCCCTTTTGGGGCCCGAAGACCCGCGCAACACCTTTTTCCCCACACAAGATGTTGTACCAGTTGCAAGCGACGTCAATGGAAACATGCGCCAAACGGCTGTCTAGGCCCGATGTGTCGACCGATGAGAGGTCGAACAGGCCAAGACCACCTGTATGTTGAGGAAGCTCAAGTCCGTGCGAGTCGAAAAACTTAACTCCTAGAGCTTGGCACATCCCAACGCCGCCATCGCATGTTCCTGAGTCGCCACAACCAAACAGAATCTTTTCAGCTCCAGCGTCCAGGGCAAGCTTAATCAGCTCTCCAACGCCATGGGTAGTCGTAAGCAGTGGGTTTCTCATGTCGCGTGGTACGAGACTCAAGCCAGCAGCAGCAGCCATCTCGATCACAGCCGTTCTCTGTTGCTGACCCCCAAGGAATCCGAACTTGGTCAAGACAGGCTTGCCAACAGGTCCAGTAACTTCACAAGCGATGAGCTGACCGTTGGTCGCTGCTACAAGACCTTCTGTGAACCCCTCCCCACCATCGACCAGGGGTGCCTTGATAACATGTGCACTGGGCAAGACGCGAAGAATGCCCTGTTCGATATAATTCGCGGCCTCATGTGATTGCAGGCTCTCTTTGAATCCTGAGGGGCATACTAGAATGCGACACTCGTTGCCTTCCTCGAACTTCAGATTGGAATGTCTAAGATTAGTGATCATATTGGCGATTTGCTGAAGCAACAACGAGTTAAGTTGTCCTGAAAGCTGGAAATATGGGCAATATTTGTGACGCGGAGATTGTTGTGATGAGTGGTGATGAGTTCTGTGTATCACACGACACATTGCCTATCTTATACATCCTGCATTCTTTTTGCATGACCAATGCGACCAATCACGGCATTCAACCTATCTTCCCAAGCGAAGTCTCATCAATTCAATCTACGTGTACAAAAATACTCTGTGATGCGTCGACTGTGAGTGGCTTGTTACAGATGGGCGATGGCAAGGAGAAACCTACATCTGCACTACTAACTAGTACACAGCCTGGAAATCGTGGTTCCCCATGATACGTTCGGCAATGCTGTCAGGAGTAACATGAAACATTCGAGTCTTGTTTGCTCGTGTGACAAAACAGAGAAGCCTGCTAAGAATAGACTTTCTGGGGCACGAACAGATCATGATACAAGATTTTGGGGTGTCATTTCAGTCTTTAGCAAGGAGCTCCCGGCTTCGCCTTCGTCCAAACCTGCCTCAAGAGCAGAAGTCTACAAAAATTAATGGCATGGGAAGGAAGTGTCGATGTCTGAAAAAAGTAACATCGTCATACCACTGCCGACAAGCACTCACAATAGCACATAATCAAGGTACTTCCAGCGTTCCAGTGTCCATTTACCACGATCTCATTGGCAACTTGTGTCTTGATCCGCTATATCCCGGTGACAATCAGAGTCTTGGTATTTACTGCGGAATACTGCGAAATCGTGGCGCGGCCAGACGACAAGGCTCTTGTCGTTGCTTGTCCTTACAGATCATTACCGAATTCGGTCGACGTCAAGCAGTGCTGAGATGCCAAGGACACGCCCTATTGGCGCAGTCAGCTGTCCGCTCTTGGCGGAATTCGGCATCTCTTGTGCTATGAATTACACTAAATGCGTTCTTGCCGCCTATAGAGCTGATTATGCCACTGATGAAGGTAAGATTTGAAGACCATCGACTGTGGAAGCTCCTGTTTCTATTTGCTATGCAAGAGATATGGTTTGAGTTAAGTATCGTCTGAGCGCTGATATGCTAAAAATGAGGTGCCACTGTAACCTGACAGCACAGTTTAATGGCGCAGGGGCGGGCTGTAAATGTTTTCGATTGTGGAGAGACGTGGGCGTAGAGCTGAAGGCAGTATGAAACGCATGAAGCCACAACCTAAAGCTACAAGTTACACAGACCATGACATATCATCCTACGCTATATGATCTCATTATAGTATAGATCTAAATATCGATCAAGGTCTACGCAACGACCATAATACTCGTTTCTGATATCGACACGGTCCAAGCGATGCACGACCTATTGGACAAGTCATTACCTCCAACACCAGCACCCAGCTCCATGCAAGAGGATTCGGAGGATCAAGCGTACTATGTACAATACGTGTTACCCCAACCATCTTTTCCAAGTGTCATTAACGCCGACAACATCTACCACCAAGTTGAGAGTTACGTTGATCAGGACTCGGACGCATCTTCTGTGGACAGTAATCACCTCGAAGAAGACGACCTTGCTGATGAGATAAGCCGAGTAAGTCTCGACGACGAACAGCTTGACTATGCAGAGGAGCAAACGGATTCTTACACACCACTACCATCACAAAGAGATTTGCTTCAGCATTCACATACTGGTTCGGTCCAGTTGCCAACCAGAAATCCGACTCTTATCTCAGCTCGATCGGTATCTACCCGCACGCGATCACTAAACGCGAGACTTACTAAGCGAAAGTCACTCGCAAAGCCCAAGGTTGAAGATCCCAACCTCGTCACCTGGGATAGCATATCAGATCCAGCAAACCCGCACAATTGGCCTCGACATAGGAAATGGACATCCACAGTCCTGATCGCAGCTTTTGCGTTTATAGCACCAATGGCTTCGACTATTGTTGCTCCTGCACTGGAAGATATAGCCGATGAGTTTGACATTGCCGAGCGATCAGCAGAGGAGTTCCTTGTCATGTCCATCTTCCTGCTCGCCTTCGCCATTGGACCATTCTTGTGGGGTCCGCTAAGTGAGGTATTTGGTCGTGCTAGAGTAATGCAGTTGAGCAATCTGATCTTCTTGCTGTTCAACACGGTGTGTGGGTTTGCGAAGACAAAACAACAAATGATGGCCTTTCGTTTTCTCAGTGGAATAGGTGGGAGTGCTCCGCAAGCAGTGAGTACACACCATTTCATGTGTACAATCCATGATTCTTTGCTGAAGCTTGAGACTAACAGCTTTAGATTGGAGGTGGTATTGTGAGTGATTGCTTCAAAGCTGGTGAGCGTGGTACGGCTGTAGCTGTGTACTCGTTGATGCCATTCATCTCTCCTGCCATTGCGCCCATTATTGGAGGTTACGCGTAAGTCAAGAAGGGCTTATCAGATGACTATGTGCTAACGACTTCTAGCACTCAATACACAACATGGCGATGGGCCTTTTGGGCTACTTCAATCTTCAACCTCGTGGTTCAGATAGCCTGCCTCTTCCTCCTTCGAGAAACTTTCGCGCCAGCCATACTGGCCAAGAAAGCTGCTCGACTTCGTCAACAGACGGGTAACAAAGATCTACACACAAAATGGCAAGGTCCCGACCATACCACCAAAAAACTCGTCATGAAGTCGCTCATACGGCCCTTCATCATGCTCACAACCCAACCTGCACTCCAAGCAATGGCCTTCTATCGAGCATACCAATACGGTCTCATGTACCTCGTCTTCGCAACCTTCCCAATGGTCTTCGAAGAAGCGTACAATCAATCCACCGGTCGCGCCTCGCTAAACTACCTAAGCCTGGGCGTCGGCTTCGTCACAGGTCTCCAATTCAGCAAAAGTTTACAAGACAAGATCTACAAATGGTGCAAAGCACACCAGATCGACCCAACACTCTCGGTCTTCGAGAAGAGTACCTGGACACAATTCCGCGGAATGCGCCACCTCTCATCAACCGACGGCGACGCACTCATAACCAACAACAACCACAACACAAACGACACGAACAACAGAAGTCCATACGCCAACGTAAAACGCGCCGCGACAAACCGCTCGCTAACCCACGACTCAACCCTCGCACTACCGGAGTATCGCCTCCCTCTCCTCCTCCCCTTCAGCCTCTTCATCCCCATCGGCCTCCTCATCTACGGCTGGTCCGCCCAAGCCAGAGTCCACTGGATCGTCCCCAATCTCGGCTGCATCATCTTCGCCATGGGCCTGATCGTCTGCTTCAATTGCGCTCAAGCCTACGTCGTCGACACCTACACGACATACTCTGCGTCCGCGACCGGCGCAGCAGCTTTCATACGTACAATGGCGGGTTTCAGTTTTCCGTTGTTCGCGCCGGGGATGTATGAGAAGCTAGGAGTGGGTTGGGGAAATAGTTTGCTTGCGCTTATTGCGGGGACGATAGGGATCGGTGCGCCGATATTGCTGTGGAGGTGGGGTGGCTGGTTGAGGTCGAAGAGTACGTATTGTACTGGGTAAGTTGCAAATACGTATATGTAAGAAGAGCGAGTGCGTATATATACATGCATACACAAGCGGAAGGAGAAAAGTACAAAGACACGAAAGAGAGCATACTGCGACGTATAGCAAAGATGAATGCCACAAACTTTTCTCATTTCCATAGCCGTGACGCCGGAGAAAGAAGCATACAGTCAGTCCACCTAACGATGATTGAAAGTCGCATACACAGTAGAATAAGTAGTCGCAATCATTCCTCAAATTCGATAACCTTCGCCAATTTGTCTACTTCACTCCCTTCAACTCTCTTCCATTACACAGCGCGCCCTTCACCTCTCGAATCTCCTCCATCATTGAGATATATCCTGCCGCGTTCATGTCCACCATAACAACCGCCTGCGATCTATCAAAATGAACGACTCGACCATAAAACACAGAGAACGCATCGCCAGCTGTTGAAGTCTATCCATTCCTCCTCGCTTCGCTTTCTGCGTGTCCTTGATAAAATACATTTCTTCTTTTTCTTTTCTGGCAAATTTCCCACCTATCTGTGTAGGTAGTAGGTATTCCGATAGCTCATTGCATATCGTTGTCTGATCATATCGAAACAAAATATCCTTGTCCGTTGCATTCTTCTGTCTCTCACCTTTCCTCCTGCAGAATGCAACGCGACTGAGAACAAAAACAAGAAAATCCATCCAACGCCGTCGCTAATAATGAACATGAAAGTAGATCCTGAGAAGTAACGTCGTCAGTAGCAGGGCTGCACTGCATTCATCTGCCGTGGTGACGGAACGATTTCTCGGATTTAAACGTGGACGATCTGTTGCATGGTAGATGGCCAAGCTAATGGATCCACGATGCAGAAAGTGCGCACATTTGATGGTGGTGATGGTTTACACATCTAATCCTCCTTTGGCGATTGTGGAGAAGTAGGAGAATAGTTTGGACTGTTCGGAGAGTATTGAGGGCTGCGTGCACCAGTGCCTGGGCTTCTAGGAGAAGCATTGTACACCGGGCTAGTAGGAGAATATCCTGGACTCGTTGGTGAGGTCGGACTAGTTGGGCTGTATTGAGGCGATGTCGGACTATACTGTGGTGAGGCGGGAGATTGTCGACGAGCAGCCGAAAACTGTGGGCTGGTAGGGCTGTATTGTGGTGATGTGGGACTATATTGTGGCGAAGATGGCGAGGAGGGCGACGTAGGACTGAAACTTGGCGATGTCGGCGAATAACTTGGTGAAGTAGGAGAACCCTTTGAACCAGACCCGCGATATGCAGGAGATGTCGGCGAATAGGTTGGCGATGATGGAGAGTAGCTCGGCGAAGAGGGAGAGTTGAAACTTGGTGACGTGGGAGAGTAGACAGGTGAGGCTGGACTGTAACCTGCAGGACTGCTTGGTGAGAAGGCTGGCGAGGTCGCGCCATACGCCGGGCTTGTAGCTCCAAATTGTGGCGAGGACGGTGAATAACCAGCACCTCCTCCAGGCGAGTACATGGGCGAAACGGGGCTCGTACCATACCCAGAAGGCGAATAAGCACCGGGGCTGCGACCGTACGGACTGAAGCCGCCACCACTTCCAAAGCCACCTGGTTGATAGTCTGTAAAGCCACCAGGAGCTTCGGTCTGTGCACTGATAGGCGAAAAGGCCGAGTTGTAATCGGGTGAGCCGAGAGCTCCGCTGTCATGCATAGGCGTACCACTATCGTATGGTGTCGCCGCTCCGTCTTGCAACATATCTCTACCTTTGACACCAATTTGAAGGCCTCGGTTATCGACCACGGTAGCCAGCAGGTTCTGGTCGAGTAGGATGTCCATGACGCCTGTACCCACAGGAGCTGGTTGTCCAAGAATGAGGTTCTCTGAAACACCTTGGCAGTCGTCAAGCTCTGCTGCAGCTGCGGCTTCGAGTAGAATCTCGACAGTCTGCTCGAAGGAGCAACGCATCAGTGCGCCAGTATCAGAGCGGTTGATACCATGACGTGTGATAGGCATGACATAACCTCTGTTGGTCATGACATCGCAAAGAATACCCATGTGTCGTGCATTGACATAGCTGCCATCGAAAGACAGAACGTTCTTGAGTTCGCGATAGATGGCGCTTCGACAGGCTTCAATACCAAGCACTTCAAACACTTCAGTGAACTTATTAGTGTAAGTTCGCGTCGCATCAACACCTTCAATGCCAAGGACTTTCTTGAAAGCACTTCCGCTCGTTTCTAGGGTATGCTCAACAAACTCAGGGTCTTCCTTCTTCAACATAACGGAACCATCAGGCATAACCTTGGATCGGCTCTTTTTGTCAATGAAGGCTCGTTCAACACCCCATACACCACGGAAGACAAGATTCTCGAGCATGCTATTCATGAAACGACGAAGAATCTCGTCATGCTGCTGAGCGTCTGAGTCCTTGTCATCGGTATCGAACATTGAAGCGAACGCATCGCCTGAGAGACGGACTCGAATGATAGGTACCGCAGCGTTCTGATCACTAGCAAGGATGGAGATGGCAGTTTTGTGTTCGTCCTTCATCTTGTTAACGACGTCGTTAATGGTTAGATCTTTGTCAAGCAACTTTTCTCTACTGAGAATGATTCGAAGAAGCCATTTGGACTGAGTGCCTTCGAGACTCTCCGCGGTGTCGTCTTCAAGAAGGTAGTACGAGTCGACAAAATCGAAATCCTCGGGGATGATGGTGGTCGTAAGGACTGGATCGTACCAGATTTCCCACGAGTCGACGATCGAGCTCAGAGCAGTAAAAGTAATTCTGCTACGTAAAGCATTGGCAGCGTCCTGACTGTGAACGTTCTTGGGCTCCTGGTAGACGGTCATCGCGGGAGTTTTGATATTGGTAGACACATTGAGAATTTCCTTCAGACGAGGCACACCCAGTGTGACGTTCTTGGCGGAAACACCAGTGAAATGGAAGGTGTTAAGAGTCATCTGAGTGGCCGGCTCACCAATAGACTGAGCAGCAAGGACACCAACCATCTCGCCTGGGGAGACTTGGGCGGCAAGCCATCGGCTTTCAATGCTCCCAACGACATTGTCAAAAGCCATTCTGCTGAGAGAGTGCACTAAAACAAGGCGTTTGTAGGCTAGCTTCGACCTTAGCTGAGCGCGAACGAAAATTGTGGCGTTTTCTTGGGCCTCTTTGGACAGTTCATCGTCGCCACGAATGACCGGAAGTCGGGTCATGAGTGCCTCAACAGTCTCAAGTACATACTTCGGATCCAGATCTGTCTTGTCACCACGACGAATTTTGAAATTCGCTTCAGCTTGCTCGATAAGACGATCGACATTGAGTGGCAGATTGAACTGCTCCTCAGCACCCTCGGTCGTGTTTGCATTCAAACTTCGGAAGATCTCTCGAGCCTTGGACAACTCATCAAACTCGCGATCGAAGAGATCTTGGAGTTCTGAATTACCAGTGAGTTCCTTGGCTTGCACTAGCTTGCCACGCCACTGCTTTGGTCCGTTGTTGATGAGATCTACTTTGTAGGCATGCTCAAAAGCGGCGGTCGAAGAGACGATGATATCGACCCTCTGAGACTCAATGTGAGCACCGTCGAGGCCATCTTCACCATACACAAACTGCATGACGTTCCCTCTTGAATCTCGGACAGTGCCATCGTACTTGACGCAGACTTCCTCGAGTGCTTTAACAAGTCTTCGCTGGATGTAACCAGTCTCAGCAGTTTTGACAGCTGTGTCAATAAGACCTTCACGGCCAGCCATGGCGTGGAAAAAGAACTCTGGTGGTGTAAGTCCACGAAGGTAGGAGTTCTCAATGAAACCTCGCGATGTCGACGAGTAGTCGTCTTTGGAGAAGTGAGGAAGGGTTCGGTACTTGAAGCCGAAAGGGATACGCTTGCCTTCGACGGCCTGTTGACCAACGATAGCCATGATCTGAGCAATGTTGATCATCGAACCTTTAGAGCCAGAACGAGCCATCTGCACCAAGTGGTTGAGATCCTTCAGGCTGTTTTGTGCATCACCACCAGCCAAATCTCGGGCCTTGTTGAGGTCAGACATGACCTGGCTCTCAAAGGTCTGACGAACGTTCATACCGGGCAGGGGCTCCAGTTTGTTGTTGTAGGCGAGTTGGGTTGTCTTTTCGACAATGGCCTTCTGCTTACTGACAGCATTCTGGACTTTCTGGACAGTATCAGGATCGGGAATAGTATCACCAATACCGATACTGAAACCATTGTGCAAGAGCCAGTAGTTCACAACCACCTGAGCGCCATTGAAGAAGGCCATGGCAGCCTCGTGACCGTTCTGATTGAAGATGAGATGGATCACACCACCTGCACCTGCACCGACATGTTTCTTAGCGAGCATACCCAAAACAAGCTGGCCTTGCTGAATAATGACGTCCTCGTCATTAGGGGAGATCCAGTGCTCCTGAGCATCGGACTTCATCTTGCGAAGGTTGAGATTGCTGGGCATGACCAAGCTGACAATCTGCTTACCAGTCCATCGTGGAGTGGGCTTGAGTATCGCAGGTTGAGGAATCTTACCATCCCACTCAGGTACCCAAAGCATGATGTTCATGACTTGCTCTTTGGACAGAAAGATGTCACGGCTCGTTATCTTGTAGACACCGCAAAGAGTGTCCTGCACAATACCCATCAAAGGAGAGTTCTTCTGTGGCGAGACAATGTTTCGAGGCACCATACACAACTGCTGAAGCTCTGCCCTCGACTCTTGACTTTGAGGAACGTGCAAATTCATCTCATCACCATCGAAATCGGCATTGTAGGGTGAAGTAACAGACAAATTGAGACGGAAAGTCGAGTAGGGCATGACGCGTACTCGATGTCCCATCATCGACTCTTTGTGTAGCGAAGGTTGACGATTGAAGAGAATGATATCTCCATCGATGATGTGACGCTCGACTTTCCAGCCGTAGTTGAGATTGATTTCACCCAGTCTCTTGGCGTGACGCAAGTCAATACGCTCCCCAGTCTCGCGAATGACATATCGTGCGCCTGGGTGCTCAGATGGACCATTTGCAACATAGCGCTTCAAACGTTCGATATTGAAGGGAGTCACCGTTTCCGGGTAAGTCAAGTTCTTGGCGATGCTGCGAGGAACACCGACTTCGTCGAGGGACAAATTTGGATCACCAGTGATGACAGTACGGGCAGAAAAGTCGACACGCTTTCCCATCAGATTCTGTCGCAGGCGACCTTCTTTTCCCTTCAGTCGAGCTCGGATGGCCTTGACAGGACGCCCGCTTTTGTGTTGGGATGGACTGATACCAGCAATCTCATTGTCCATGTAGGTATTGACGTGAAATTCCAGCAAATCCACGAGGTCCGTCTTGACGGATTGAGGGGTGCCGTCGGCAGCGCACCGCACTACACTCTGGTTCGCTTTGATGATATCTTGCAGTTTGAAGGTCAAATCGTCTTCAGATCGAGGGCCAGACCCAGAACCGTCAGGGCTCACACTAGGACGCACTGCCGGTGGGGGGACAGGAAGGGATTGTAAGATGAACCACTCGGGTCTTGCATAGTCCTTGTTTAAGCCCAGCTGATCGATGGTGTTGTCGGTTAGGAGATCAAGGATTTCGAGAGCCTTTCGAGCAGTGATGCGGGTGACCTCCTCTCCTCGACCATCTTCATCGTCATTCTTGCCCTTCTTGAAATGCGCCTCAAGCGTGAGACCTTTCTTACGTAATGAAGGCTGAACATTGCCACAACCTCCATGGTCGGGCAGTTGGGGGCCCTTCAGGTTCTGTTCGTCCACCTGGGGTGAAGGTTCGCAAATCATGCGGGGCTTACTCAGACGCCACAGACGCTCGAATCGATTCTTGCCGTTCTTGATCTTCATGACCTGGCGATACTCTTCATTCTATTTCACGTTAGCGAAACAGCGGAATGTAAGAGATCATTCCTACTCACCTCAAGCGCCTTGATTTTGCCGCAATTGTGGCAAACAGTTTCTAAGACTTTCTTGACCTTGCCCATGAACCCGTGATGAAAGACAGGCTCAGCCAACTTGATCACACCGAAGTGACCAGGGCATTCAGCCATGTTCTCCTCACATGTTGAGCACTTGAAGTTGCGGTCGACAGTACCGAGATGAGGATCGTTAGGGCCTCTTTCACGAGGACGCAGACGCTGCTCATCCCTGGCAACGAAGATTAGTATCAATGTCGTCGAGACAAATCTACACAATTACATACATTGTGTCTGGATAGATGACATCAACGACAGCAAGTCGCTCAGTCTCTTTGGGAGAGAAAACGCCGAACTGAATTTCTTGAATGGTGCGCATTTTCGCGCTCGAGTAAGCAAAATTTAGGTTCGCCATGATGGGCAGAGTGTAGCAGATGTATTTCTCGATCTAAAGAAGGGAACTCGACGAAGTGAATCGACCGAGAAGTAGCGCTCGAGCGCGCAGTGGATGGAAGGTCGAAAGGTCGACTCTTTTGACCTGCCCAACGCCCTAGGGGCCAGCCCAAGTTTCTGCCTTTTACTCCCTCAATTCAACTATTTTTTGTCCAAACTCTGTGAAAACCATATAGAACCGCCTTCGAAGATAATTGATCGGTCGCGCGCGATCGTGGTCGATACGATCGTTCGTGATTCGATGGACGAAGGTTGGGGTGGGTGATGTAAAGGATGGATGAAAAGGCGAGAAATTATTGCGGCAGGAGCGAGCCTCTTGTCCAGGCCGCAGGCAGGCGAGACACGCTACTGCTAGCGCTACACGTGACTAAGAACTCTGTTCACTTCTTGACTTGCGTTTCTGTTTGTCCTGAGTTCCAGCTTGTATGCTACGAACCCTTGCTGTAAGCATCTCAATTCTCCAGTCCATATCATGTAAAGGAGCGTGTGTCTTTTCGACCGGACGTCAATAGTAGAATCCTTGACACGGTGTTTTGGGTCAGTCTGTTTAACGGAGGTGTTCTACCGCAAATCCATTAGTGAGTATAATGCATACCCTCCCTATCTTTGCAAATAACTTCAAGTTTTACAAGCTAGACCAGTAACTTCACCATGTATTGTTGCAATCAGGCCGTTATTGACAAATAACCCAGAAGATGTTATGAAATTTAGCAGGCTTGCCACCACTAGGACATCAATATGTGTTTACTAAAAATATTACTGCCCTATTCGCGCTCGGGACTGAACACAATGAGAGGTTATGGTGGACACCGGCGTGTTGTCGAAACGATGTCAAATTCTGTTTGCTCCGTGGGTGGCCACTGCACTTTCCTCGAGTTTCAGGTAGAGCATAAATAGAGCTTTCCTCACTCGATTATCTCGAAATCTTCCAAGTTTCCTTTCTTCCCCCAGAAGTTCAGTACCATCTTGTATGGTGAGCAACGGTAACCACACAACGACTCGAGACCCTCTATCTTACAGGCTGACTTGTCAAGATGAAGCCCTCACATCTCCTAACTCTGTTCTTGGCAGGCTTCTTGTGCTGTCTCGTCCAAGCAAACTCGAAAGATCCTGCGACAAGCTGTGCGTCCTCTGTTTCTCATAGGACACCACTAACGTCTTCAGATTACCGTACTGACACGGTCATATCCACTGTCTGGAACAATGTCAGGTCAACTACTGAGGTCTTCGTTACAGAGGTAACTGTTTAGGTAACAGCGTCTCTTGCAACACAGTCATCTACTACGAGCTCCGAGGTTGCATCAACTTCTAAATCTACGATATTGATGACGGACAGCGTCTTGTTAACGACTACCGAGGTCTTTGTCACAGAGGAAACTGTTTGGGTGACGGCGCCTCTTACAACACATTTGTCTACTACGAACTCCGGGATTGCCTCAATTTCCACCCCTACGACTTTGAGCACGGACACTGTTCCAAACAGTGTCTTGTTAACTACTACTGAGATTTTTGTCACAGAGGAAACTATTTGGGTAACAGCATCTCCTGCAACACAATCACCTACCACGAGCTCCGAGGCTGCCTCAATTCCTACGGCTTTGAGCACGGACGAGGCAAGCACATCCAGCGTTCTGATATCCAGTCCCAGTTCCTCGCCTGCTGTTGTGTCGAGCTCGTCACAAAGCAGCAGTGTTAGCACAGCTGTAACGCTTATCCCTGGCAATGTCACATCTACGGTAACGAATTACATATCAGAGCATGGAAGCACACGCACAGAAATTAGCACACTGACTGCCGCAACAAGTGTTGCACGCTCCCGTTCATCATCGTCATCTGTCTTTTCTTCAAGTCCGGGCAGCAGCACAAATACTCCTGCGACCACAGCTACTGCCAGTGCAACAACCTCTTCCAACGTGGTAGCCGCTTCTAGCACTACAAATATGCCCGGCACACCAGCTACTTCTGGCACAACCACCACCTCCTCCTCGCTGCCTATTTCCTCGGTGGTCAGTGTTGTGTCGGAAACCGTAACATACCCGATCACGAATTTTATCCCAGAAAATGGCTCGACCAGAACCGAAACAAGCATTGTCACAGCGGTAACCTCCTCCACAGTCTCTAGGGTGGTCACCTCGACTGTTGAGTCAGGAGCTCTCACCTCTACCGCTAGCAAAACGGCGCCCACCAGCACTGCACTAAACGCATCCTCGTCTTCTGCTAACTCCACAACCTCTATATCAAATAGCCTGGCGTCCACCAGGACTGTTTCAAATCTACCCGAATCGTCTTCTGCTACCTCTACGGCCTCTCTGTCCAGCCTCTTGACTGGCCCCGGTAGTAGTTCCGTCACAACGACTTCTGCCACAAGAGGCTCGACCACTCAGTCCATAAACTCATCCATAGCATCCACTACGTCCTCGAATGCTGTCGCTCAATCTTCTAGCACTTCACAAGATGTCTCTACAGACGAAGATGGCGTCACGTGGGAAAACGTGTCCACTACAGGCTGGGTTACAGAAACCGGCGTCAATAGTGCAGGAATGACTATTACTGAGAGTCATATGACAACGTATTTCGTGCCATCTGCAGTTAGTTCTACTGGGAAGGCCACCATTACGGCCCAGCCTGGAGTTACATCCTATTTCGATTCACCAGCGTCCACCACAACAGCCTCAAGCTGTAGCATTACAGAGAATTTCAATCCCTTTCTTCACACTTCGTCCTGTTCTGTGGCAGCCAGGTGGGCATCCACCACACGTACCTATGACCCTTGGTGCGCCACCAACTCTGCGAGTTCAACCTGCCTCTGTCCCGTGTGCACTGTGCCTCTATTCCAGTGCTTGAACGGTGACCTACCCAAGCCAGGTGCTTGTGCTAGTGGTTTCGCTTGCCCGCATGCCGAGGGTTCAAGTTTGATATTTGATTGGCACTCGAAGCAGAATTACGCATTCCCCTCCTGTGTGACAACATGGAATGCATATACCACATGTATTACGGCGTCAGGCGGGAAGAGCTGCAGTAATGTTGTATGGCAGCCTAGTTTAACAAGCTCTATCAGCAAAGATTCTTCCGGTATCACTTGGGTTATGCCTTACAGGATTTGGGACTGTCCTGATGCGCTATGCCAAGAAAAGACCTTCGAAAAGCCAGAGCCATGGAAGTGGGCAGACGCACTGCTTCATTGTGTTTTCAACGAGCACTGGGCCTGCATCGACTGGTTCTTCAAAGGTTTTCCTCCAGCCCCGAAGATCAATGTGTTTCCGCCAATAGGTCCGCCTGAGCTCGACTGGCAGTTGTCTCCAACCCCTATCAGTGTCGGTGACGATGGCAAGACCACACCGATAACGACACCAGTGTCCACCCTAGCCTCTCAGCAAATGTCCTCGAGGTCCACGAGCTCGTGCTCGGAGTCGACATTTGCATGGACAAGTGTACAATGCTCGCAGATTACGTCCGCGAGCTTTACTACATCATCCTGTTCTTCTGTGACCTCCACTTCCGTCGGTTGTATGGGCTCAAGTGGTATCACTACATCGTTCACATCATGTCAACCGAGTCAGGTCCCGGTCGTCACGCTAGCGTGTCCACCGGCTAATATCACGGACGCATCAGCTCAATGCTCTACCAACACCACTTCTTCAACCACAGCATGTGCCCCTGTGACTGTTACGACCATAGCAGCAGCCTGTCCAATTTCGATCAGCTTTGATGACCCTGCTATAGCATCTACATTGAGTGCATGGCTTTCAGACTTTCAGTTTACCGCGGTGGATACCAGTGCCTCAACCTCCACGAACGCATTCGCTACTTCTACGACCAAGTCTACAAGCAGTACTACTCAGACATCACTGATCACTGGAGTGCCCGCTGCAATATCAAACTCGGCGTGGTCTATCATAGCTTCTGCCGCCAGCGCCTACAGCACTACCACGGCGCCCTCCACGACGTCGACTTTGTCCTCGACATCCAAGAGAACCACTTCTAGTCCGTCATCATTGTCATCAACAACATCATCAACGACAACAACCCTGCCCCCCTTCATACCGGACCCTTCATATGGTGCCGCCCTGTCTTCTTGGATCTCGTCAGAGTCTGTATCCCGTGCTCAATCTGTGAGTACTGCGGCCGCTGCGGAGGCAGCTGCGACAGCGTCCTCCTTGGCCTTCGGGTTGCCAAGTACCGGCGCTGGTTGGCTTAGTTGGTATGGCATAGGGCTTACCTTTTGTGCTGAGCTGACCTCAGATTGGACCAAACGTTGGATACGGGTCGAAGATTATGATCCTCTCAGCCGTGAGGATGGTAGCATTGGTAGCATGATTACAGCAACCTGCAACCACTTGAGGCAACATACCTTCGACCCACACAAGGGTTTTCATTACGACTGGACCCCTGAACAGGCACCATCCGTCGCGGCAGCTGGGTTTAACGTCACTTTTTCAGTCCAGTGGAACCTGGACCTTTACTGTGGGGATCCCGATATCTGCTGTCCTGCAGAGAACGAGGTCGATCCCGATGCTAAGCACACTCAATGTCCACCTCCGACCGATGGTCGTGTGGCTGATTACTACTGGGGAGAAGATAACACTGAGTACGATATTTGCTACATCAACTTCTTGAACACTCTTGGTACTACATGTAAGTCTTGCTGGTTTCACTTTTTCAAGCGAAAGCTGACATTATGACAGGTCACGACGACACTGGGGGGTGGTTCACAGGCGGTTGGCTTTATGCCAATTCCTTTGTCTACTCCATCATGTCGCATACCCATTCACCAACCTGGTATACTCCACTGCAGGGCGATGGTTCCGAGATCATAGCATTGGAACCAGCCAAGTGGAAGTCAGAATAGTTCGCCCCAAATGTTGTATTTTATGCACTGAATGCAACCAGATATGTGCGCCTACACAGAATATCAAACCCTGATACTGGAAATCTACACCAATTTGAAGGCATGGCAAGCTATATACTCGAGTATAATGTTGTTTCGAGTACATTATCTTTGCAGGGAGACTTTAGATGGTCTAGAGAAATCTTTTTTTTGAGAGCATATGAAGCATCTTAGACAGCAGAGACTAGTCTCGTATGACTACAAAACCTTACTTTTTCCGTCCAGCCTTTCCATCTACTCTAGCAGCTTCACCCCGTCTGGGCGTAGCCTCTTGCTGGTCCAGTTCATAGTCCTTGCCTTCGTGAACGTCCTTCTTCCGGTACGTCGTAGCCGTCAACTTGATCAACGCGTCTTCCGCCTCGCTGTCCTCGATATCGTAGAGCATAGGAAGCACGAAAGACTGCTCTTCTCTACCACCACGCGAGCCCGCTGTGTCCAGCTCGTTAGGATCCGAAGTCGATGTGATGTTCAAGACGTCAACGGTGCTGTCTTCGGCATCTTCGCGTTGACGTTTGAGAAGGTCGGAGGGTAAGGTATCTGGTGTGCAAGATTAGCAAAGAAGCTAACAAAAGAGATGGATGGCGCAACTTACCAAACTCATCTTCTCGTTCCTCATATTCCACGTTTTCTGCTACTTCGGTAAAGTCAGGCGCAAGCGCAGACCACTTCTGCTGCGGCTCAATGCCCCAGATCTGAATACTGCCCGTCTCGATTCCAGTACACGCTAGCAACGGCTTCGTCGGATGCCACTCGATGATCGCAGGTTCCTGCGCATTTTCCAGAATCCGAAGCAATGAGCTCGAAGCTAGTTCCCAGATGTAGATGTCTCGCTTCATGTACGTCGAGGCCGTAACATAGTCAGCCATTCCAGAGCCACTAGCGCTAGAGATGTGGCTGAACGCTGTATCGTTCCAGCGCAATCGATTGACAAGATCTTGAAATTTGTGGGATGTGTGAAGGTGGATGTAGGACGGAAGTGTGGCTGGGTTGATCATGTTATCTTCGTGGTCGTGATCGGGATCTTGAGGTGGTGAGTCGGCGGTGGTGTGTGCTAGGTCAGAGGGTATCGAGTCGATGGGGCGGATGATGCTTAGGTCTGGCATGTCGACCACACGAATAATGCGGTCTGTGCTGTTGACGAGCATTTGGCGGCCGTTTGTGGTTAGACGGATCAGGGAGATGAGACCTGATGATAGTTTCGTCGAGTGGATGATTTTGCGGGTTGCGGTCTCGATGATGTTGATGTACCCTTTTGAGGTGCCAGAGATGATGTGGTTGCCTTGTACAGAAAAGACTGTGGAGGTGGTCTGTTGCTTGGCGGCGGTGTCATCTTGGTCTATGGGTTTGGTAGGGAGACGGTACTTGATTGGATCGACGTTGGTAAGGTCGACTAGGTATGGATGGTCTTCGAAGAGAGAGCAGACGAAGAGGTTGTGGTTTGAAGGATGGAGCTCAGCAAGATAGATTGGGGCAGCGAATTTAGCGGTACGGAGACGGCGTTGTGTTTGAAGATCCCAGAGACAGGCGCGGCAGTCTTGAGAGGCGGAGAGAAGGTAGCGTCCACAATGTGACCAGCTGGAAGGAAAAGGGTTAGCAGACTGTAGGCATGTAACTAAGATATGTGTATCAAGGTGAAAGGAGAGATTAGGTTCGTGGTGTTCGTGAGATAGTTTTCCAGGACAAGACCACTCCCTGTATTTCTCTGGCAACGTTGAAGATTCTCAATTATATATTGACGGGCTCTGGACCACGTTCCAAGCAAGTCGCGCCATGTAGTCTAGTAATGTGTGCGTGATACTAGCCAGTCCCTCGGCAAGTCCTTTCGAGGTCCCCTGGCAGAAAATCAACGGCGAGCAAGCATTCTCTCAAGCAGAGATCAACAGAAAACGCAAACGGACCTACCTTATACTCTGTATTTGCTTCCAATGTCCATTGAGCTTCATAGCCACCCCCATCGTCTCCATGTCCCTGACCCATATTAGCACTGATATCCAGCCAAAGATCGTTTTTCAGAACACACCAGATGACCAGTTTGCCATCGACGCGTCCAGACGCGAGATAATCGCCTTTGCGATTGAACCTGAGTGTCGTGGCATGGCCAGAGCCTTGCAGAGTTAGTACCGCTGTCGCAGATAAATGCTGTCAGTCAACGTACGTAGATCATTGACCAATGCTTCAGGCGAGTCTTGCGCTAATGTGAATGGGTCATGTAGAGACAAATTCATGGTTGTTAGGATCAAACCTTGGTATAGTGAAACTTGAAGGGCAAAGACACGCCTTGCCAAGGTGTAGTGTTGTGTGATTGGCCGTATGCCTCAATTAGCGTATGAGGAGGAAGGGGTCTTTCGAGACGTGTTGGGGAATAAAAATGTCGCCGTGTTCAGTAAGATCTAAGCAGAAGTACTACACTCAAGGACGGATTACGAAAGAATATTTAGAAAGTGTTCAAACGTAGTCTGAGCAGTGTTCAAATACGGTGTAAGCAAAGTTCAAGTGTGGTTCACCTCCAGTTCACTGTTGTTCTTTTCGTTTCGATTTCACCTAGCTCATAGAGTCCGGTACAGTCTGCGTAGTGCAGCCTCTAATCATCTTCCCGGCCGTCACGATGGGATAACCCTCGGTCACACAAGGTGGCCTTTGTTCGAGTGATCGTCAATAGACTGGTAAGATTGATGCACACGGCACTGGACCTGAACGTAGAATATTGAAAATTCCTATAGTTTGAAGAGATGTCACTCTGCAATCGCTTCATCTTCTTCATCCTGCTGATACGTCTCATCCTCGTCATCTCCATGATCATCGTCATTGTCCTCCCCGACCAAGGGCACAAAACGATAGTCTATAAACGAGAAGCCTCCTGGACCTCCATATGCCGTAGTAGCGTTAGCGGTGACCTCAGGTTGTTCGACCATGAACTGCAAACTCAATACACCCTGCCTATCCATGCGAAAACTGACTTTACTGGCTAGTGCCATAGCTCGACCAGCTTTCTTGATCAGGTCAAACTTATAGCGCTCCTTGACACGACCACCTGAACCTGATGGTGCAGCGATTGAAAATGTTTCCGTTGCTGCAGGTTGTACTCGGCGAGCAGTAGATAGGCCGTCCATCGTAGATGCAGGTGCAAAGTCAACAGTGCTATCTCCGAACGGTCCACCATGTCCTTCAAGGGCGAAGTATGGCGCATGTATACTAGAAGCGCTCACCACTAAAGTCTCCGAGCTCGTGCTTGCCAATTCAGATATAGCATCGTGCAGCGAGAATGCAGGCATGATGATCTTCATTACTAAAGCATTGCGATCAAGTGGAATCTCATTCTCATCCGCATCGTACATGTTTGGCAGATTATAGGTATTCATGTCGCAGGTCGTTTTGACGCCGTTCTCCTCAATGGTGATACAGAGTGGCGCCCCAAACCGCGAGTATGTAATCTTGCATGTCCCTCCAAGACCCAGAGCCGGAGTGTGAAAAGCTGCGGCGTAGGAGGATGTGATACCACCACTTGGAGCTTTATGAGACGAAGCTGAGTCTGATATGCCGAAGATCTGAAGCGTTTCGAGTAGAGCAATGATATTGATCCGGAAGGGCGGAATGGTGGCATCTTGATCAGAAAGAAGGTAGGAGGAGAACAGCAGTTTGTCTAGAAGCGTTGATGCTTGAACGGCATGGACTTCTTCAGTGGTAAACCTCAAGCCATCAGGGGTAATGGAAACCACGGCTTGAGGGTTGAATGCAATGCATCTCAGAAGGCTGTAAAGCTGGCGACTTGAAGTCGCCAATGCGGTGAATAATGGTGCGTCACTCATGTTGAGGCAACAGCTTCCTGTTCGTGGTCCTGTTCACAATGTTTGATATGCCAATGCAAGTGTCCGTCTGCTTAGACATAAACTCCCGCACCACAGATTGTGTAGACTGCGCCAAAACTGCATACAAATCAGAATAGAGCCTTTTACAGTGCTAATCCACTCACCCTAAGGCTATCGAGGCTGGCAGACCAAAGGCAGTGACGGACACGAGAGATCGATCTGTGGTATATTAGCACTTAGATCGACTTCTTGAGAGGTGTACCCACTCAGACCGAATAAGATTGTCAATATCAGGCCTGTAGATGATTAGAGTTGACCAAAAAATTCAAGAGCAAGGTCAGTACCAATGAAGACAAGTACTAAGCCGACGTATAGCTGACTGTCCTTTCCTATAGCCGGCTCGAATGGGCTTGCTGCAGCCGCCTCCCAGACTTCGCGGAGAGACATTGAGAATGAGGAGGACGAAAGGGACAGCTGGATTTGCAAGCAATGTCAGAGAAAACCGATGTATGAAAGGGAGCGACTGGTGACAATCATGAAGGAAGCGCAACAGTACGAAACACATATGGAATGGAGCGACAGCGAGGCAGGAGCGGTGCACCTTCCGGCAGACTTGCTTGATATGAAAGAGAGTGACGGAAATCTTATCCGACCGCATGCGCCATGGGGCTCAAATCGCCCGCCGCCTGAACCAGAGTTGAACCTTCGACAACCTGAACTCACGGGTCAGTATCAGCTCTCACAAAACCCAGTCAAGGATGATGGAGTGTCTGGTGGTGGAGAAGATCCAGGACGGTCTACTACAACTTCCGAAACTAATGCGACAACACTGAAAGCACCGGGTCAACCAAATCAGTACGCAGACCAGGCGACAGCCACGATAATGGCGCCTCACCTTGAAAGTGAGCGCGCGCATTCAATTTGACTTGGTCTAGTCGCTAATCAACTTGTAGCCACAAAGCGCAAAGCGTCAGAGGATGCCTCCTCCTCGCGATCCAAGAAAGCCAGGACAGAATCACCTGAACACAATGGCAGTGTTACCTCAGAGGCGCAAACAGATCCTCCTATTACTCCCACTCCCGTTGACTTTCCCGAAAAACCGGCGGTGACAGAAGAGAAGACCGGCCTGATAGAGTTTCGCGTGGTCAACAACGACAACTCGAGGGAGCACAACATTATACTGACTGGGTTGAAATGTATCTTTCAGAAGCAACTGCCTAAGATGCCCAAGGACTACATTGCGCGGTTGGTTTACGACAAAACTCACCTTTCGATTGCGATCATCAAGCACCCTCTCGAAGTTGTGGGAGGAATCACATATCGCCCTTTCAATGCTCGCAAATTCGCCGAGATTGTGTTCTGCGCCATATCGTCCGACCAACAGGTCAAAGGTTATGGCGCTCACCTGATGGCTCACTTGAAGGACTACGTTAAAGCCACATCTCCTATCATGCACTTCCTCACCTATGCAGACAACTATGCGATTGGCTATTTCAAGAAGCAAGGCTTTACTAAGGAGATCACCTTGGAGAAATCAGTATGGATGGGTTACATCAAGGATTACGAAGGTGGCACTATAATGCAGTGTAGCATGCTTCCCAAGATCCGCTATCTCGAGGCTCCACGTATGCTCGTCAAACAAAAAGAGGCTGTCATGGCCAAGATCAGAGCCATTAGCAAATCTCACATTGTTCATCCACCTCCTACGGCTTGGAAAAACGGTATCGTCGAGATTGACCCCATGGCCATTCCTGCGATTAAGGAATCAGGCTGGTCTCCGAGTATGGATGAATTGTCTCGACAGCCACGACATGGTCCGAACTACAATCAACTATTACATTTGCTAAATGATATGCAAAACCATACTTCAGCTTGGCCCTTTGCCCAGCCTGTGAATCGAGAGGAAGTGCCAGATTACTATGAAGTCATCAAAGAGCCGATGGATCTATCCACCATGGAAGAGAGACTGCAGGCAGATCTATATCCAAGGCCGGAAGACTTTATTAGGGATGCCAAACTCATCTTCGACAATTGTCGGGCCTACAACAACGAAACCACGCCATACGCGAAGAGTGCCAACAAGCTGGAGAAGTTCATGTGGCAGCAAATTAAGAACATCCCCGAATGGAGCCATTTAGAATAGCTCCTGGTTGAGAGAATGAGGATAACGCCATGTAATGACATTCACGAGGTCTGATCACCACACTTGGGTGGCCTTCACTTCAAAAATGGTGAACCGGACTACCGAGGGTTAGCCGCCTGAGCGCCTATTCTGACTGTGCAGTATATCTATCTACTGCGCGGTTGGACTCCTGATTATTCTCCCTCTGTCTCTCTCTTTTGTCCAGTCTGTTAAGTATATGTGCCACCAGCGTGGTATGTGACACTTCCTTCATCTTCTCGAGACAAACAAAGCAAAGCAGATTACCGTTCATGCTTACTGATCCCCATATAAGCCGGTCTGCTCCGATGATTTAGCTACCAGACGGATTCATGAGCATAATGTCGGAGACGAGAGCAAACAGACAGTTTACTTCTCTACAGTCTTTGTTCCTTTCTCGAGCTGGCTGCAAAATTGTTGTGTAACTGAGATTAGTGTACAGCGTGTTTACAACTGGTTTATGGCTAGTGTATAAGTAGTATCTAATTGGTGTACAGATGTCTTTATACTCATAGACTCTGAGCACGAGGTGGTCCGCAGAAGCGGTCATCCAATCTGGTGTGGTTCGAATACATTCAAAGGGGGACACCTTTGGCGATCACCAGGCGTCTGTAGTAGCTGTTCCTGTTCACGAGTCGCAGCTCTGCATATTTAGCTAGTTATGCAGTACCCTCATTCAGAACCACAGTATTAAGAATCTTTGTCCATTAAAGTTCATGACCTCGTAAGAAAGCCCCTCGGCTTTGACTATATTATTCTTCTGGTATCAACGTACAACTGTCAGTTCCTTTCCTCCTAGCCCCGAGAAACAGTAGCCAATGCTCAGAACCTGACACCAGGCACAAATATAAATAGCACGCTCAATCCCACAGCTGCAGCTAGGAAAAAGAGCAGAGCCATGTTACCTCTCATCATCAATAGTCTCTTGACGTATGGCTCGCGTACCCTGCTCCAGTTCATCCAGGTGTATTCACTAAATCCCAGATATGCAGCAATGAGGTCGAGCTTGTATTGGTAGGACACTATCAGGTATGTGCCGATTGTGAAGGGGAGGATAAGCTGGATAGATTAGCAGTGGCTTTTTGTGAGGATAACATAACTTACCCAACACCTCGTTGACCTCGAAATGTTGCGAAGAATGCAGTAGTAGCCAGCCCAGAAGCCACCTCCTAGACTGAGCAGGCCAATGATTAGCCTGATCAAGATGCTGAGTGGTACAAGATTGCCCAAGGCTTTTGCTTGCAGGAAGCCAGGAAAGGCGTCTCGCTCCATAGCTTGGAATACGTAGTCCTTCGCATCATCGAAAATCTCTGGGTCATCTCGTCCTTCTTCTTCGATGGCGTAGACCATACGATCAATCATGGGCTGAGGAAGTACTATTTCTCTTTCTGCGCCTGGCAAGATGAATGTGTACAGAATTTTCTCGGCTGAGGCTCGCAGATCAGGCCGTGCAACAGTGTGACCAGGAGAATCGGATTCGAGGCGTGAAGAGGTCATGAAAGAAGGCCTCGGTGGCTCCATGCTAGCTGTACCGGCACCAGGCGATGGACGATCACTAGAATGGCGAAGGAGCTGGTCAGATCGATTCGAGGTCAAACTGTTAGCTGGAGAATAGTCGTTGGTTTGTCCACGACTTTTCGACACTGACTTGGTGCGATCTTCCCCACGGAGGATAGCCGATACCTTCTGCTCTTGCGATCCCTTTTCTGCACTAGATGGGTGTGAGGATGTCTCTTCGAGGTTGAAGTTGTCAAGGAATTGAGAAGAGCGTTTCGAGGTTGCTTTGTCCATATCTGGGGTTTCTAGCAACATGGATCGACGAAGTTCTCGGACATAGTGCCGGCATAGTGACATGTGTTGCGATACATCGAGCCTGCAAGTATATTAGTATATCCTTGTCGCTGCGAAGGTAATTCTTACCAGAAGTCGAGATAGTCAACCGATCTCTGCTGGTCACGCATGTAAATATAGAAGGAGAAGAGGTCGACTGGTGCCAGTGTTCTTCGACCGAGCACTTCAATCAGAGTAGGGAGGCTGTCGCGCTGTTCCAGCTCTTGCTCTGCATGATTGTGCGCCATCTCGATTGTGCAGATGTTCAAGGTCTACTGCTGAGTTGGTATTCGTTGCAGGCAATTGTTGCAGCCAGCCTCGAGGGCGGCAGATATGCTCGACTTCCAGAGTACCTCCGCGAAAGTGCAACTGTGATGGGGTCGTCCAGGTACGCCGATTGTTTGGTCGGCAAGTCAGCGCGATCTCGTCGTCACCACGTCGCGCAGTCACAGATTGTTCAGGTTGTTTCGTATATAGAGGCAAGAAAGCGGTGTGATAACGAGCGACGAACGTCCACAGACCTATGAGACCGACTGAGTTGGATAAGGCGTATAGTACTATCGAATCATGAATTGAAGAGGTTGAGCTTGTTACAAGTCCGAAAGTGACACTTGCATCCTCTGATTGGCTGATTAGCGGAGTTTCGAAATTGAGCCGTGAAACCCTATTCAGGTTGATCGTTACACTGGCACCCTCCCTACAATCACCTTGCAACACCTTATGATCCTCCCACAGCACGCAAGTATCAAGTAATCAAATGTTGTGTGATGAGGAAAGTTTTTGATGGCTTCTCCCACTCATTGAATACTAGTTAGTAGATAATGAGAAATCATTTGCCTACTAGCTACATACTAGGTGTATACCAGCTATACACTAATTATTTATCAGTTATAAACTATCTACAAACCAATTTTACACCCACCTCAGTCATTCTGTAACGACCTGAAAGCCGACTTTAGGTGAGTACTGTAATATCCACACATTTTATTCAGTTTGGCCCCTTTCGGAACCCCCGGCACAGCTAAAGAGAAGAAGCTGTTCAATTCGTTCAGTCTTTCGATGAGAACAATTTTCTAAACCGAAGCGGAAAGTTTTTGGTAGTACCGAATACTAGCTGAGCACAACGACGAATGAAAAATGATCAAAAGCTTCGTTCCTTGAGGCAAAAACTGGATAAAATGCGAGAAAGTCACAGTAAACTGTGAAAGGCGTTGTCTATCGACCGTCTTTTCATCAAGCTCATCCTTGAATACTCATAAACTCATCTGTAGCGACATTACTTTGCTCTAGCACCACACACCTTCTAGACTGCGCTGCTGGGAAGCACAAGCACAAACAACAGTGTGCTATGCTTTATGCCCATGGATGTTTTGGCAGTTGGCTTGATTTGCAAGAGCCTGTCGAGCCCTTTTGTATATGCAGCAAAATTACACATACTAAGCGTTTGCTTGTATCGTGCCATATCCTACTCTTCATGTAAGTCCGCCGAGGCCACCACGACCTCGATTCCGCTTCGCTCCACGTGCTAGTAGAGGAGCAGGAGCTCGACCCTTCTCAGCAAAGTCCCCACTGTCATCCAGGTCCATGTATACATCATCACTACTCGCGTCCTCATCATTCTCACCCTCCATGCGCTCGTCAAGATCTCTTTTGTTGCCTTTGCGGTCTCGGGGTCGGACTGTTTTGGAATTGTCATTCTCCCCCTGCACGACAGCGGTGTCAACAATGTCTTGTCTCCTGCGTTGAAGCTCTGTTCGACGAGCAGCTTGTGATCTGATGTTTGCGGCTTCTGTTTCGAGGCCGGTAACGGTAGATGTGCATCTGCCTTGCCAGGTTGTTAAGATCTGGAGGATGGCAGGCAGAGATTGAGGTCGAAGGTCTCGAAGAGGAGCCACTGAGGTAATGTGAACTCGAGGAGGAGTCGATGTGGGTGAGAGTCGAGCTGTGAGCAGACCGGCATAAGTTGCAGATATGACCAATGATTCGAGCTCGTGAGGTGCAGCAAGACCAAGGCCAGTAACCAGGTTGGGATATGTGAGAGGATCTGCCTTGGGGTCTTGAATTGGCAAGAAAGGTGAAGCCAAGGTCAGCAGAGATAGTTGTCGAAGCTTTTGTGTTTGAGCATCTGTAAGGGTCGGGAGGTTTGGAGTTGATTGGTACTCTTGATAAGTGCCATAGCTGAAGAGTTCAAGAAGTGTCAGATATGATCTGGACTCTGGCTCGGCAGTTTGTAAGGTCTGTACGGCTGGAGTCTGCAGTAACTCGGTGAAGATATATGTGCCTTGAGCAGAGGTTGCTCGAATGATGAGCTCCTTCAGGAACCGTGGAGATGGTGACTTTGTAGACGTGGCCTCGATAATGAATGGTTGCAAAGCTGCCAGCGCTTTGGGCTGAGCTTGATCCATGTTCGTTAGTCAAGAGCCTTTCGTGTATTGTCTTCTTGCGGTCATGCGACTCGTATCTGCCGATTTGTGTCGTGATTTGGATTGAGCTGCAGTTGTTGCGACAGTGTTGTTTCAGTCGTGATGGGCTCTAGATTGAAACAACGAATAATGCTTACACCACTTGGAGCAAGCTGCGGTTGTATGTGTGATTAATTCGAATCGGACTTCACTTGAAAACAAATACGACTAGCAATTACGTAGCGAGCGCAGGCAAGCAGACGCGTTTTGCGAATGCCTGAGGCCTTCAGCATGCTTCTTATTGTGGCGGGCTGACGGCCTAATTTTGGCGTGTTCCTGCGGTGGCTTCGGTTACAATTTAGGGGTCAAAACCTTCGCGAAATCTCCTGATCTTCGCGGGACTGCTCTAGATTTGTAAGTCAGCAGCGAGTTTCACCTTGATCGCTGTCGGCTCTTGATCAACTTCTTTCCCTTTGTATATACTTGGCCAACAACAGCAACAATGCGACAATAACTCCGTCTTCTGTATCGACATTCTATATCTCGAGACTACCCTCTAGGATTTAGGGCACGCTATCAGACTTCCTCTCCCGCCTCAACCACACTCTTTTGGTCGCTTCAATTCGCTATACTCGTACCCTTCCTGTCCTTTTTGAGCACATTCATTCTTCGACATGAGCAGTTGGTCTTGATTTCTCTTTTCTTGAATTAGTACATACACAATACAGTATCTGAGCATGGCGCAATTGGTTCCGACAACTACCGCCCACATGGCCACCACCACGGTGAAAGTGAATGGTATGACATGTGGCGCGTGTACTTCTGCGGTAGAGGCTGGCTTTAAGGATGTCGACGGCGCGGGCGCTGTGTCAATCAGTCTGATCATGGGAAGAGCTGTGGTACATCACGATCCCACCAAATTGTCCCCACAACAAATCGCAGAGATAATAGAGGATCGTGGGTTTGACGCTGAAGTTCTTACCACAGATATACCAGTTACTGTCCCGCAACTATCGCGCACTACCGTCCCTTCCAATCCGGCTCTGTCCACTACCACGTTGAAGATTGAGGGTATGACCTGTGGAGCCTGCACCTCGTCTGTGGAGGCTGGGTTTAAAGATGTCGCTGGAGTCAAAAGTATAGTCATCTCTTTGTTGGCCTCTCGAGCTGTTGTCGAGCATGATGCGGCCGTCATCGCTCCAGAAAAGCTGGCTGAGATTATCGAGGAGCGAGGATTCGATGCCGAAGTGCTGGAAACTAAACAAGCACAGCCTGCTGGTATCACTGGATCTGTCGAAACTCAACAGACTGCAGATGTCTATACCACTACCGTGTCTATCGATGGCATGACGTGTGGTGCTTGTACCTCCGCTGTCGAAGGCGCATTCAAGAATAAGCCCGGTGTATTGAAATTCAATATCAGCTTGTTAGCTGGAAGAGCTGTCCTTACCCACAAATCACAAGAGTTGACCCCAGAACAAATCGTGGAGACTGTAGATGATGCTGGCTTCGATGCCAAGCTGATTTCCTCCGAGCCTGAAGGTCTACAGATGCAATCATCATCTACTGTCCAACTTAAAATCTACGGCCTGTCCGATGCTACTTCCGCAACCGAGATTGAGAACTTGCTGAGAGCGAAGGACGGTGTGAAGAGCGCTCTTATCAGCCTTGCCACCTCCAGAGCCAATATTCGATACGACCCTTCTGTTACTGGTCTCCGAATGATTGTTGAGACCGTCGAAAATGCTGGCTACAACGCTTTAGTGGCCGATTCGGACGACAATAATGCCCAGCTTGAATCCTTGGCCAAGACGAAGGAGATTCAAGAATGGAAGCAGGCCTTCATCACCTCCCTATCTTTTGCCATACCTGTCTTTCTCATCAGCATGATCATACCTATGTTCATTCCAGCTCTAAATTTTGGTGGCATCGAGATAATCCACGGACTGTTTATGGGCGACGTGGTTTGCTGTGCCTTGACGGTTCCTGTTCAATTCGGTATCGGAAAGCGATTCTATGTGTCGGCTTACAAAAGTCTGAAGCACGGATCACCCACTATGGACGTTCTGGTCGTCATAGGCACTTCGGCTGCTTTCTTTTTCAGTTGTCTTGCTGTCATTGTAGCTGTTCTAATACCTCCTCATAACAAACCCGGCACCTTTTTCGACACCAGTACTATGCTAATCACTTTCATTACTCTTGGAAGGTGGATCGAAAATAGAGCCAAGGGTCAAACTTCGAAGGCCTTGTCAAACTTGATGAACCTAGCACCAAGTATGGCAACCATCTATGAAGATCCTCTTTATGCAGAGAAACTGGCCGAAGACTGGGAATCACCATCATCTCCAGTACTCGAAAAAGGAGAGAAGTCCACGGATGAGCCGCAGACTACCAACGAGGCAGCTGCTGAGAGGACTATTCCAACCGAGCTCATTGAAGTTGGCGACGTTGTGCTCTTGAGGCCGGGTGACAAAGTGCCCGCCGATGGAAATGTGACTCGTGGTGAAAGCTACGTTGACGAGTCTATGGTTACTGGAGAACCTGTACCTATTCTGAAGAAGAAAGGTCATGCGCTCATCGCAGGAACAGTCAACGGTGCTGGTCGTCTCGACTTTCGAGTCACTCGAGCAGGTAAGGACACTCAGCTCAGCCAAATCGTCAACCTTGTTCAGGAAGCTCAGACCAGTCGGGCGCCAATTCAGCGTATGGCAGATCTGGTTGCAGGCTATTTTGTTCCGATCATTGTTCTGCTTGGCTTGATTACCTTCACTGCTTGGATAATCTTGAGCCATGCTCTACCAAATCCACCCAAGATCTTCCTCGCAGCACAGTCAGGTGGTAAAACTATGGTGTGCTTGAAGCTTTGCATCTCGGTCATTGTCTTTGCTTGTCCCTGTGCACTTGGTCTTGCTACACCAACTGCTGTCATGGTTGGTACAGGTACTGCTTCTCAGCAAGGCATTCTGGTCAAAGGTGGCGCTGCCCTTGAGACCGCCACGCGGATCACACATCTTGTGTTTGATAAGACTGGCACCTTGACCTTTGGCAAACTCAAGGTCTCTAGAGTCACCATTCAAGGCTCATGGAATGTTAGCGAGGAGGCCAGAAAAGTCTGGTGGACGATTGTCGGCCTAGCTGAATCTGGCTCTGAACATCCTATCGGACGTTCTATTACACTGCAGGCCAAGGAACATCTGAAGCTTGCTCCTGAAGATCCGCTTCCTGGCCAGGTTGGTGCGTTTGAGAACAGGGTTGGCAAGGGCATAACGGCTCAGATCGAGGTTCGTGCCGTTAGCAATTCTCAGCCGGAAAGGCACGATGTTCTGATAGGAAACGCCTCGTTCCTTGAAGCTCAGGACATTGATGTCCCGTCAGACGTGAAGCCAGAAAACAGCAAAACCCTGGCTGGTCTGACGCTGATCTATGTTGCTATTGATAACAAATTTACAGGTGTGCTAGGACTTAGTGATACGATCAAACCTACTGCTGCAGCGACCATCACAGCATTGCACAGAATGGGAATCTCGACCTCACTAGTAACAGGAGACACGTATAGTACTGCTCTTGCTATCGCTGAAAAAGTCGGCATTTCGACGGATGCAATTCGTGCTTCGGTCTCACCTGGCCAGAAGCACGATATCGTAGCAGAACTACAAGGCCAAGGCGAAATTGTCGCAATGGTCGGAGATGGCATCAACGACTCGCCAGCCCTTGCTACTGCTAATGTCGGAATCGGTCTCGTCTCTGGCTCTGACATCGCAGTGGAAGCCGCTGATATTGTCATTATGCGTTCAGACGACCTTCTCAACATTCCAGCGGCATTATGTCTCTGTCGCACCATCTTTCACAGGATCAAAGCAAATCTCCTGTGGGCTTGTGGCTACAATGTCATTGGTCTGCCGTTTGCGATGGGTTTCTTTTTGCCTTTTGGATACTACATGCCTCCACTCGCCTCAGCGATCGCCATGATGTTCTCCAGCATATCAGTCACGCTCTCCTCCCTGGCACTACGTTGGGCAAGAAGACCATCATGGCTTAACGAAGAGAAGCTGGAAATGGAAAGTGGAAAGATTGCTGTGCCAAGGATCGGACAGCCAAGGGTCGAGAAAGGCGTCGTGGCATTCGGTCAGAAGATTTGGGCAGTGTTTGACACGAATCTTGGTGGATTGAAGCGCAAGCGCGCTGGAGATACAGGTGATAGAGGTAATTATGTTCCATTAAGAAGTGTAGAAAATGTATAGTGCGGATTCCTTTTAGGTAGAAGGTAGCTATTTTTCTTGTTTGATACCAATTTGAGATTATTTTTCAGTACAATGTACTTTTGCATCATCACCCATGAGCATGAGTAAAACACCTATACCTGCCCGTGAAAATGTAGGATTACAAACTCTTTTGTTTGTGAAGTCCAACTTGTAGAATCTCGCCTGCCTGGGCACACTTGATTGCACAGCCACTCTGCATCAGTTCATTGATCACTACCACTTCCTGACCACCACGTATATTGAACTCTTGATCTCAATTTTCGAATGCTTCCTGAATATCTCTTTTAGCGCACCGTTCTCACGCGACTAAGCCGAAACCCTCAAAATCAAATCACGAACAGTGTCCTGATAGGATTCTATAGGAATCTGTTGAGATCGTGCGGAATTGCTACGCGACAAACAATACGATATGTCCAAGTTCCTCTCGAAGCTGACAGGCGAGAAGGAGCAACGCTCTGATCTTGCGCCTGGGCAAACATCCTTCTCCTCCAACAACCCATACAGCTACACTCAGTCTCAACCTCCAGCCTACCAACCACCTCCAGGTCCGCCACCAGGCTACGGAACCTCGTCTGCCATACACCCAACGCCGGAGAAGAACGACAATCCTCCACCATATCACGACTGGACATCGATACCAGATACAGCACTACTACCGCCACCTCCACCCATCACAAGTGAACACAGTTCGACTTCAAATGCCTCGTACGATGAAGCGGCAGCGGCTCACGCTTGGTGTGCACGGAATCACGTCTACACACCCAAAATACCCAATGTATATCTGATAGAAGCTGTACAAGCAGGAAGGCACGATCTCGACAGACCACCAGGCTTCAACGGCACAATAGACAAAGCCATTCTCACCTCATCGCCAGCCTCATTCGGCACCAATGCCTACGGCACGGTACCAAGCACAGTACTCCGTGTCACCTTTGCATCTGCAAACACCACAACCACTAATCACCCTCAACAAAAATCCTCACTATCTCGCTTCCTTAAACATCCCGCACACCAACTCGCTTCCTCCACCTCCTCTTCCATCCCAGCCGACCAAACCCTCACCACCCTCCTCCCCCTCTACTTCGCCGCAACATCCAACCCCCTCTCACCGCACTTCGCCACCACAAAACCCCACCCCTTCACCATATTCTTCGAAATCACCCCTTTAGCATTTCACTCCCCCGACGCATCAGTGGCAATAGGCTACGTCGCAAAACCCTACCCACCAGGCCGACAACCGGGCTGGCACCGCGCAAGTCTAGCTGTGCATTCTGACGACGGGAATCGGTACGTGAATGATTCTTGGGGTGGGAGGTCGTTTACACAGCCTCTGAGAGTTGGGGAGAGGATCGGGTTGGCTGTGCAGTTTGAGCCTATTCCTGTTGTGGAGGGGGAGAAAAAGGATAGGAGAGGAGTGTTACAGAGTGAGCAGGAAGTACATAGTCCTCTCCCGAAATGTAAGACAAGAGTGTATTTTACGAGGAATGGAGCGGTAGAGGGGAGTTGGGAGATGGATGAGGAGAGGGATGCGGAACGGGACGAGGGTGTGGCTGGATTGCAAGGGGAGAGTGATTTGTATGCTGCGGTGGGGATGTTTGGTAATTTTGATGTTGAGATTAGGTTCTTTGCTCAGGGGGAGGGATTTATTGCGCGGCCGTCGATATAAGATGTGGATAGGTACTGCCTCGCTTTAGAAAACGAATGATAGTGATATCCTTGTGCAAGGGACGAGTCCAGCGTTCAATTGACGGTCAAGGCAAGACTGTGAATGCAATTGTGATTTGTGTTTGCTGCTGCTACCTCTAAGCATTTTTAAACAAGTTACCTACCCAGGATTGTTCTCTGGAATATGTCGCCTGCGCCAGAGGAAATGCCGCGACTGAGATCTGACACTAATGCCCATCGCCATTGTTGTCAGGCACATGTACAGGTTTCCACGAATGTCTCCATGTCAACGACAACCACCTAATCTCACAACTCCTGCTTATGAAGCGCATACCTCGTCGTGGCTCCACCTTGCGGCCTAAGTCTATACATCTTCAAACTATGCCTAGGCACACTCACCGAAAGCTCCGGCTTCTGGGGCGTAAGACTGCCGACCTGCTTCCCCAACAGCCTCTCATCGTTATTGTCCAAGCCCTCCCTGTACGAGGTCTGTGTAGAGTTGTACCACTCCTTCCGATGTTTGTACAAGTCACCAGCAAGGATCTTCTTGGCCTGGCGTTCGTCCATCCTATCAGCCCAGAGGTCATGTACGGTGTACTCGAGCTTGACTTGTGGCGCTGAACCCTCGGGACCTTCGTGGACGAAGATCTCGTCGAGGTTGGTGGTGATAGTGAGTTCTTCGTCTGCGGCGTTGAGGAGGATGAGGAGCTGGTCGTGTGGATATAGTGGTCCGCTCCAGATCTGGACTTCCCCTTGGCCATATTTGTCCTTCTTGACATTGAGGTCTTGTCTTACTCGTAATGCGGAGCGGCCCAGTGGGTCTTGGCTGACGGCGATGACAGCTGGGTTGTTAAGAATGGCGAGGGTCTTGGGAGTGAGTTTTCGTAGGTCGGCTCCGATGAGGAGGGTAGATTTGAGGGCGCACCACATTGAGAAGTGAACGATGTACTCATCGTCGCTCATTCCTCCGAGACCGACCTCGAGCATGTCTAGGTCGTTCCAGCCTCCTGGAGCACCACGGTCAACATAGGGAGCGACCTTGTTGATGATGTTCATAACGGAGCAATGTGTGCCAGGAGCTACACAGTGAGGATCTGCCGGGTTAGTGCACGAGCAAAGTGTATCAGGTCGGTTGAAGTGATCGTATATATCTCCAGAGACTCGCCATGAATTGGCTATGGACATTCCCCAGGTGTGAACATAGTCCTCGCCCCAATTGCAAAGGCTGTAGACGATCGGCCTGTCGGTAGCATTGAGTGCTTTGGCCATAGCATTGAAGCGGTCAAAGGAGAGCTTTGGCGTTCCGAACCGGCCCATATGGTAGCAGTTGTCGTACTTAAGGTAGTCCACGTCCCAGGAGGCATAGGTCGTAGCATCCTCAACCTCGTGGTCGAGCGAGCCCTCAAATTTGGCGCAGGTCATTTCTCCTGCGCTCGAGTACATGCCGTATAGCATTCCCATGTCGTGGATCATGTCGGCAACGTACTTCATGCCATTGGGAAACTTCTTTTCGTCGTGCCTAATATAGCCATCTGCACCTCTTTCACTCTGCCAGCAATCGTCCAATACCACATATTGATAGCCCACGTCGCGGAGTCCGCTATCTAGCAGCACCTTGGCAGTATCGAGGAGGAGGTCTTGTGACACATCACAGCCCAGGGAGTTCCAGTTGTTCCAACCCATCTGAGGGGTTCTTGCGACGCCATTGTTGATGGCATAAGCTGGTCCAGCCAGCAGCAGTGGGAGGGAAACTAACAGCAGCATCATCACAAATGCACAGAGGAAGGGGATGAGAGTTCAGCCAGGAAGTTCTACAGCATTGAAGCGGACCTTGAGTTGAAATACCTCTAGCTTACAGTCCTGCTGTCGATCATAAGCAGTACTGTCTTCCAACATAGTAGACATATCGACAAGTTGCGTAGTATTCCTCGGTGCACCTCATCGAGAGGCGGAGAACTTATCGCTCGCACCTACGACGCGTGATGGGTCTGCGAGTCGCATTTAGTCTTGCAGAAAGTATCGAACGGAGGGCAGGAAATCAAAGCCGACTGTGCATAGCGACACAACTTTGTCCATCTGGGAAGAGGAGAGCGGAAATCGGTGGAGTTCAAAGTTTGGGTTCGCTCTCTCCACCGGTTTCCCGCCTGTTTTCCGCCCAGCAGCAGCCGAGCACCATAGAGCTCGTGATCGCTTTCCTCGACCACTGACATCACGTAAGCAGAACTTAGCTGAAGGACATTTCCCTTACCCATGCGACAATCGATATTACAAGCATAGCATTCATCCGGAGAAAGACTTGTCGAGGCGACCGATGATTGTGCCATCCTTTCGAGGTCATGTGTACCTCCCGTACTCTTCACAAGTTCACTCTCGATGGTGTCCACTAGCCTCAAAGAACACTCCCGCAATTTGCCCTGCAAAGATTGTACGACCATGTCTAGTAACACTTTCGGTATTATGAGCAGTAGATGGTGGCGGGAGAAGTGCATCGACGTAGAGCTATTGGGAATGTTGTGGCATTGCTCGAAGGCTGCTATGACAGTATTGCAAGAGAATCACGAGGACAGAACAATTGGGGTTGACACAATGAAGTAGATTGTTCCATACAGCAAAAGAGTACCAGTACTATGTAGCAGACCATAACCCATAAGACAATATCAATCCAAGACCAATATGCGTATAGACCTTTCGTACCAGGACCTTGCGGAAACGTGCCAAATCGTAATCTCCTCAATTGTGAGTCCTGAGATAATCCGTGACGGCAGGACCAATGCTAGGACGCCTCTGCTGTCCCTCGGCCACAACACTCGAACGCCTTTGAGCCGCTGCCTCCTCTGATCGACCGTGGCTCGCAAGAACATTTGTAACAGAGGGGACCATCGACGGTCGTCGAGGTGGTCGACCATCCACCGAGTAACGTACTGCAAGGTCATTCTGATCGTGTTCATCGAACGCGTCGATCTGCGTAGTAGCGAATTTTCTAGCAGAGACCTTCTTGGCAAACAGAATGTCCAGCTCGTGGAAGGTGCGGTCCTGCTGCTTGTTAGTACTATTCAATGAGTGTATGCAAAAACACGTACCTTAGTCTCTGGCAATCTGAAGTACGCCCAGACGAAAACAGCCGCTGCGCAGAAACCCCAGACAAAACCAGTATAGCCACGGAAGTTCCAAGCCGTTGGGTTCACCATGTAGTTGTTCAAGGTGCCACCAATGACACCGGTGATATTCGAGACGTTTCGGGCAAGACACACCGTCTTCTGGCGCAGACGAGTAGAGCCGATCTCGGCAGGAAGTGCCCAGCCAAGCTGACCAGCAGAGAGCTGAAAGGTGAACGTCCAGACCAGAGTCAAGATGGCTTGGACCCAGGCGACCTCCCTTCGTGATGTCCAAACGTTGAGGATACCAATCAGGAAGAGCTCGATCGCCATGGCAAACATACCCCAGACATAGATGGTGCGTCGACCAAATCGAGGCATGAGAATGAACCAATTGCAAAAGCAGGCGAACAAGGCCAATGCATTGGCACCCCAGCCTAGAGAGTAAGCTGCGTCGACATCAAGACCGACTTGTTGGAAGAAATAGGTGCTAGCGTATGCGAAAACAAGTCCACACACGAGTTGTCCACCGAAGCAGACACAAGCAATTTCCGTTCGGCGAAGCTCGAAGCCTTTGAAGCAGTCGTACTGTGATAATGTGTTAGTCTTCATGGTGCCTGCCATATTCGGTCAAACTTACATAGGAAGTTCCCACAGAGAGCTGTTCCTCAAGATTGTTGGTGTAAACAATAGTAGCTAACGTCTTCTTGGGATCTTGACCACCTTCGCCTGACTGTAGTCGTCTGATCGAGCGCTCGGCTTCCTCGAGTCTGTTCTTGCGAACCAGGTGCCAGGGTGATTCGGGTGCAAAGTAGACTGCTGGGATCAAGAAGCATGGCCAGATCCACTGGAGGGCATATGGAATTCTGTAGCCCCATGCATCTAGCCGATGAACGAAGCCTCGGAGAACGCCAGCGCTGATAAACTGGCCAATGATGAAACACATATTGGTCCACGAAGTCATGTAAACACGAAGCTGCACAGGCAGCACTTCCGATGCATAGGCAGGTGAGGTGGTCGCAAACTGTGACCGTCAGTGATAGCTCTTCGAGGGTAGATGTTGAGCGATACTTACAATGCCCCACTCAAAGCCAAGTAGAATCTGTCCGACAAGCAGTACTTCTTTAGTTGGTGCAAAGAAGACGATGAAAAGGAAGCAGGTCATGACGCAGAGAGTGTACAGAAGGACTTTGCGAGGGCCGAACGCGGTGACAAGCCAACCGTTCAAGATGGTACCAAAGATTGAGCCAATGCCTAGTATGGTCAGATCATGATCGTGTCGATGGGTACTTGCTGTTCGCCTGGGAGCGACTCACCAGCGCCTTGTCCGAGACCAGTCTGCCACGCAGCTGTTAACGAGTAGCCAGAAGGTGTCTGTTCTGTCACAGGCACGGGATTCCCATATTTGATTTGAAAAGATGCTGGTTTTTGGTCAGCCATTGATGCACTTGGTGAATCTCTTGCGACGTACGATATGCGTAAAAGTTGCCTAGAAGGTTCGTGTCGTATCCTTCCATAATCACACAGCAGGAGATAATCAAGCACCACATGATGGCCTTCCTGTAGATCTTGATCGCTTGAGGGATTGTCATATGCTTCTCGTCGATGGCAATATCCTGCGCAACCACACTGAGCTTGCGATCACCCCATTTCTCCTCGCGCCAATTGCGCTCAAAGTTGCCATTAGCTTCGACATGTTCAATGTCATGGTTGGTCTTCTCTGCCATGGTTGCAGCTTTGAATCGTCCCAGTGGTTTGAGGTCTGATTGTGTATCGCGCGATGAGCGTGCTGGAATAAAGGAGTGCAAGGAGAACGCGGTGCGATCGAGACATATATACATATTTCTTTCGTCGTTGTGCCCTGTTCATCAACTGGTCTCGAATGGCTTCGATCAGCCAACTTTGATATTTGCGGAGTCCTGCACGCGGATCGACAGTGGATTGCGGAGTAACTCGTTCGAATTCCCAGATGCTAGCACACGTCCTCTATTGGACTGCTGGCGGAGATCAAGCATCACGAGTCGCAATACCAAGATCTGAAGCTGAAATGGTTCTCCTGAACGTTCGGAATACGGTCTTGCTCACGTCGTAACAAGTCTGACCGAGACTTGCGCCGCAAGTGGTTACCCTTACAGCAGAAGAGTTACACTATGCCAAGGTTTGCCGAATGTCATCTCTGTAGAATGTCATTTAATGGTGAATAGACGCTAGCGGCGCCTTTATTGTCGGCTTTGGAAGTCTTTGATTGGCCACGTGCTCCTTCACAATTCATGCACTCCGAGAAGGGTTTATTCTCCGCACCTCCGCACTGAGCTGGGAACTGGGAGCTGGACCACAAGCTTCACGTACGTGTGCCATTGTAGCACACGACGAATGTTTGTTCGCGCTAGTAAGACTCATTCGGCTATCGAAGTGGTAGCACCAGTGCTCTATGGCGCCGCAATCCGCAAAGGTCAGCTATTGCCTAGCTCAATAGTGATCTCGTAACGGACACTCTGGAAGCCAAGTGGCAGAATGATGGTGAAAACGTATCGACAAGCGTGCTGTGCTAGTAGTGCACAGAAGCTGGAATGTTGGTGAACAGTAATCAAATGGTCGGAAAACTAAAACTAGCTTCTTCATCTGGTCGGCTACTGTCGTGCGTAAACTCGAGTCCTCTTCTTGTCAAGCAGCAATATGCCGAGCTGGAATCAGGAGATATTATTCTTGCTTCCGTCTGGATCACATAGGCCAAAGATTGGATAGTAGTACGTTATGGAGCACTGATCTGCCGTACAGAAGAAGCAGAACTTCTCATAGCTGGTAGGGACTAAAGCCGAGATCAGTCATACTCCAAGGCTGCAAATCAGCAAGCTCATCTTTCTTCTCCCCCATAGGCTTTGCAAACTCGAACAAGAATTGCAGCATCCATTTGTCCATTCTGAAAGACGACTCTTTACTCTTCTCGCATGCCTTGTGGAACTCCCTGAAACGAGTAAAACATACATCGAGTGTAGGCCAGAAGGTTTGTAATTTCGACAGTATCTCAAAATTACATTCGAGTCGATATCTTGCGGCTTTGATCTGCGCTTCGTCTTGGTCGAACAGCAGTATATGGAGCTGGACTGTTGATGCGATAACGAGGACATGGCCGACCATGGTGTAGTAAACCTCACAACCAGGTACCGCGTATGCCTGATAGAGGATCTTACAGAGAGCAGAGGAGTGCATCCGACACTTTTCGGCATAGTAGCTGGTATGCGAAGCCGCTTCGGAGGAGTCTTCGTGCAGATACTGGTAGTAAAGCAGGACCTGTGTGCTTGTCAGTCACACCACTGGAACAGCTGACCCCGATGGGTTCTTACAGCAAAATGGTAATATCCTAAGTAAATTGAGACAAAAAAATAACCAAGTCCAAGATCGGCCCAGTACTGTAAGTTCTCAGGCGTGTCCTTCAAACGCACCGGTAGATTCGCATACCAACCCTCTAGTTTTCCCGTCAGGGCGTTCACACTGTTCTCAAATTCGAAGCTGAATGGCTGATTGGCCACTGCTCCTCGATTGAGTTCACTGACTTCGGAGAAGATGGCATTCAGTTTGATCACCTGTGTCAGCAACGAGCCCGTGGATTGCTGCATCGTGGTTGGACTGGGTAAATCACAGTCGTCACGCCTCATTTCAAGGAATGTAGTCTCTTCTACTGGATACGGAACATTGTCCCGAGGTGCCATTGATCGTGGCAAGCCGACTCCGTTTGACGACCAGACATCGATCATGCATAAAGACCACCAAATCCTGGTATTAACTTCCTGTTCGAGTTGAGTGCTCACGAGCATGTTCGGCAGATCGAGAAGCAGTGCTAGACGACACGCGACGCTATAGTAGAGCGATTCGGAGAGGGCCTCACCTTCAGTGATGACATATGCACCAAGTAGAACACAAGTCTGAACAGTAGACACTGAGATGTCTCGTAGGTCGAGCAGCTTCTCAGCGTCCCTAGCATACTGCCTGCCGCGTATTCGAGGATCAATTCCAGCAAAGTATACGTCGTTGGAGAACCTTGCCGAAAGGCTGATGATAGACAAGAGGATGACTCTCGGGACCACGCTATTCCTGGTGTCTTCCATCAAGCTGGGTTTATGAAAGAGCGAGTGGAAGGTATCGTGAACATATTGAAAGTACAACTCGACTAGCTCCTCACATAGTGCTTGGGGTGGGAGTTCCACGCTTGACGAGGCGGTCGATGGCCATCGGACGACGTCCGCTCCGTCACCATTTGCTGTAGAAGAAGTTTCTTGCCAGAGAAGCTCGGGACTATTGACACCGTTATTTGTATTGGTAAAGGAGCATTGGACTTTCTTTTTGTCGCAGTATACGCATGCTTGACCTGGTTGCCTTGCTCCACACTTTCGTCTTCGACTCCTGGGAAGCCAAGATCAGCGTCCATGCAGGCAAGAGGCAGGAGCTATCTACCGGCACGCGACACATGCTGTAGAAGGTCGCATATTCGCTGACCTCTAGCACAATCATACACTAGGGGACGAGACGTGACGACAAACGCAAGACATTGAGGAGTAGAGGGTTCAGTTGCAAAACCGAGTGCCAGAGTCGAAGGATGTGTGAAACAAGCAGCGACGATGAGAAGCTGATGACCGTGAAGTCTTGTTAGCTCCCAAGGCCATTGTACTGGGATGCCTCAGGGTCGCAAGTGCTTAGACACGCACCTGACTTGAATCTTAGGCTTGCTTATCCTAATTAGTACTAGTTGGCCCATCAATCTTTGTGAGGAGATTTTCCAGCTTTGACTTCATTCGCTCCGCCATGATCTGCGAAGGCCTTCAAGCCGAACCTTGACGTCTCAACTTCTCACACAATGCTGACGTTCATCTGGGCATCCCAACTGCAATGTTGTGAGCCACGTAGCCAGCATCGAAGGAGGCTATGGTCATGTCACGAAATCTGACCAAAACTTGAATTTCAACTCCCATTCGACACTTTGGACGCCATTATGGACGACGAGCTCGATCGTATAGCCTCGCTGGCAAGCAACAATCCTGCTATGACCGCGCCAGCAAGCTCTTTCCTGCCACCACCACCAGACCATCTTCTCAACAGACAGCGAAGCAGCAATGCCACTGATGCAGCCTCTCAGGACCAAATTGTCTCTTCGACCATCGCAAATGGCACCGCCAAGGTCACTTCCTACCGTTCAATATCGAAGTACGATAAAGGTTGGCGTCGTGTCGTGCGCCATTTCAGCCCATCCTGGTTCAGTGTCACGATGGGCACGGGTGTGGTTTCCTTGCTTCTTATCAAGATACCTTTTCAAGCTGACTGGCTATATTGGTTGTCCGTAATGTTCTTTGTCCTTAACCTGATCATCTTCAGTCTGGCTGCTATTACCTCGATCATTCGCTACACAGTCTATCCTGAGATATGGAATGTCATGATCCACGACCCAAATAATTCGCTTTTCTTGGGAACGATCCCCATGGGCTTTGCCACACTGATCTCATCCTTGATCTTCCTGTGCGTCCCTTACTGGGGTCCGTGGGCAACATATCTCGCCTGGGGACTGTGGATGCTTGACAGTATCGCCTCCATCGCAGTCACTGTGTCACTCTCCTTCATCCTAATCAGCCAGACTCACCTGCAATCACTAGACCGCATCACCGCAGCCCAGCTCCTCCCCATCGCCGCCACGATCGTCGCGTCCGGCACAGGCGCAGGAGTCAGCCACGCCCTGCTCAACCACGCCCACCAACCACGTTACGCCCTCGCCACCACCATAGCCAGCTACATAATGTGGGGCATGTCCACGCCCTTCGCCCTCGTCACCCTAGTAATCTACTACCAACGCCTCGCCGTCCACAAACTCCCACCCCGCGAAATCATCGTCTCCTCCTTCCTACCCCTAGGCCCCCTCGGCATGGGCGGCTACACAATCACCTACCTCGGCAGCACCGCCCGCCACATCCTCCCCCACGTCCCGCCCTTCCTCACCCACGTCACCACAGCAAGCGACATCATCTACATCCTCGGCATCTTCACCGCCCTAATCATGTGGTCCTTCGGCATCGTCTGGTTTGTCTACGCCCTCGCCGCAATCTACAGCTGTGGCTCCTTCCCCTTCAACATGGGCTGGTGGGGTTTCACCTTCCCGCTCGGCGTCTTTGCCATCTCGACTATTCAGCTTGGCATTGAGTTTCCGAGCTTGTTCTTTAGGGTGTTGGGGACGGTGTTCAGTGTGATGGTGATTATGCTGTGGGTGGTGGTGTTTAGTGGGACGGTCAGGGGAGCGTGGAGAGGCCATTTATTCTATGCGCCGTGTTTGAAGAATTTGCCGAGGGAGGCGAGGCGTGGTGCTTGTGTGAAGAGGGACAGTGTTGAGAAGGAGGAGGTGAGGGAGAAGACAAAAAATGAAGGGGATTTAGAGAAGGGAATATAAGTGTATTATAGGTGTGAAAAATGTTCAAAAGCCATGTGAATGATATATGGAACATATATTGTACCAGCAGCAGCCTGCCAGTGCACTGAATTAGAACTTGTCATGAACCTCTTCCTTTTTGACATCTACGATGTTCTCGGGATGTGTCTGGGTTACAGGCACCCACTTGCTATGTTGACGAGACCCGAAGAATTGGGCTCTCGAGCTGGGAAGCTTCAAGTACAATCTTTGATCTACGTACTGCAATCACAATTCAGAGAAGCCTATGCTCGCATGCAGGCCCTTTCATACACGCCTCGTGCGAATACCTGGCACGTTTGTTCTTGACTGCAGTACGAAGGCGTCTCTGTGAGAACAAAGAGCGTGCCAAGGATGCACGATCGGTGAACCCGACAAAGCAAGCCTGGAAAAACGTCCGCTCAGGCCACTCTTGCTCTTCCCCACATGCGGAAATGTGGGGTTGGCGGTTTGTGGGTTTCGCGCTTCAACAGCACGAATCTGACGCGTCGGTGCTTGTGGGATGTAGGAGCTTCGGATTTATTCGGAGGCACTCTCTTGGTGTTGTTCGTAAGATCATTACGCGAGCGTTGTGATGAGCCTCAGGTAAACGAAGTCTTCGTGTGAGTAGAAGCACTTTGAAGATTGCAGGTGCAAAGTCCATTGCCTAGGCACGCGTCCGAGTTAGACAAGGACTATCGCACCGAACGTCGAGCATAACGATGTGTTCGATCTAGTTGCAAGACGGTCGAGGCGCCGGAGGAGTCATCTCGGTTAGAGTGATCGTGTCTGAAAGAGGTGATCTTTCAAAGAGCTGATAATGCTCTAGGGTACAAACGAGCATGCGAGTATGTATATCGAATGCGCTAGTCCTGCCTTCTAGTAAGCTGTGCATTAGGGAAAGGAATGAATGTAGGCTGTCAAAAGTCGATAGATGAGGGAAAAAGAGCGCGGAGCATATAGGCCGGAGAATCGCTTACAGAGCTCTTTCCAACTACTAACGAAGAGGTATGTGCCTCAGGCAGGAGCATGCCCCAGAATGTTCAACTGCCATGCATCGAGTCGATCATGCAAGCACCTGCTGTGTAACATGCAGTGTAACACGACTAGTCAACTCGCGCCACGTTCTAGAGAGCAAGGGCTGATGCATGGAAGGAATGTCGTGTTACTCGACCCTGCCCGTGCTGGAGAGTGGATGCAGCTTATTGTGTAACCACATCCGGATAATTTTTGCAAGCATCAATTCACTATAGCTTTCAGTTGTTTGTTCGAGGGCCGAACAATGTAGCTGTAATTATGATAAGGTCGTCGTTCGTTCATTCATTCATTCGTGCTTACAATAGCGCCGCCCATATCGACATCCGAATCCTGACCGGCCCACACGCCACCTGAACGCCTTTTAAGGAACACCAAAACATGCGAGGAAAAGACGTCGCCACTCCGTCGTACAAAATCATCATGTGAGCATCTGCATGCCCTTTTGTCAGGTCACCTGTTGTTCTTCATAATCTAATGAAGACAATAGCCACCCGGTGGCTTGACCTGCAGCCATAAATGCAAAATACCATCACCGATAGCTTTTAAAGCAACGAGCCGCCCTCATCAAGTGTCATTTTGACCCCCTGAAGCCATTAGTTGCTTTTGGTCACACGTGCAAGTCGTCGAGAAGAGGAATAGATAAGCCGCCGAACATGGAACCGGACCCAGAACGCCCTGCCAGCAGGGAAAAAAGTCGAGACATTATGCTGCAATCGCTTGTGTAGACGCAAAATCGTGGGTCAAAGGTGTCTTCTCTAGGAAGGCTTTTTCATCGTAGTAGTTGTAGATGTGTCGTTCGTTATGCTTGTTCTGCCTGACCATACGCTCAGAATCAGATGCGTCAGCACCAGCTCGTGAGCCCCACGTAGTCTATGATAGTGGTCAGTTGGTAGCCTTGTAAAGAATGAACGAGCACTTACCTCATGTAGCGTGAAGCCCGCATGCAGCTTGATGACACCGTGGTACCAACCGAACGCAACGGATATTGGCAAGAGTAAGATGTCGACAGGAAAGCGGATGAAGTGAGTGATGAGCTTGATGAACTTGGAGAAGGCCATCATGGCGCCCAAGACAAAATAAGCCTGGTGCTTCTCCTGGCGCTGCCAATCATAGGTCCCAAGGTAGAGAAACAGCCACAATGCAAGGTCGCCGATAAGTGCTGGAGGCGACAATGTGGTAAGCTGAACAGCATAGGTACTCCATGGCTGGTTCCTATCGCGTCAATTAGCGCCGTGGGATGCTTGAAGAGGCAAAGTGTGATACTTACGTCCAAACGTGACGTTCAATCACAAGGCTTGTGAGATTGCTGCGATAGTTGCTCCTGGCCCAGCGAAGACACTGTTTAAGGAATTTTGGATTGTCCTCTAAGGTGGTCTGAACCTCACATTCAGGGTGATACTGCATATAATTCTGCCAACCATGTGAGAGAAGCCATCGAGTAATAAAGTTGTCGTCATCCGCATTTAGTTGATACTGGCCAGACATACCCCATCTTTCATCCGTGAACCCATTGGTAAAAGCGGGGTCCTTGAGAATTTCTGTTCGATATGCAACAGTCCTTCCAGAGAGACAGGGCATGCCACCATCAATCCTTGTCATCGCAGCACAGTCGAAATTCCGCCTTTCAAGATAGAGAGCTCCCAGAAAATTCCATATTCTTTGTGACGAGTTCGGCTTCTCCGCACGACGAAGGCGTTGGCATGTGACAACGCCACCATACCTCGCTTTTGCATCTTCGAAGGGAGCCAGGAGCCACTGCAAGGTCTTTCGTGGCCAGTCGACATCGTCGTCGGCGAAGACGATAATTGGTGTGGTAACTTCGGGGACCGCCCTTGCCATTTGGCGTCGCTTGTTGGCCTGTTTCACAGACATGCATCTAAGCCGTCCGTGATCACTGGCAGGCATCTTGGCAAGCAATTCCTGTGCCTTATGCAAGTTATCATCTATGGTGACCAGGATGAGTTGCTTAGGTTCATTTTTGAGTATCGACTGGATCGTTCTCTCCAGTTCAATTCCCTCGCCATCCAATGTTGGCAGAATGACTGTGACATCTGACGGGTGAAGAGTTGGATTTTCCGGAATAGGTATTGGCTTGAACGTCCAGAACAAAAACAGGTTAACCACCAGTCGAAGATATCTGTAAACACTAATGTCACAGTCAGTATATATGCAAAATTTGGACGTTGTGTAGTGACCTACAATACGAACACAAATACACAAAACCATGTTGAAGAAGCCATCCCGATAAGGAGGTGTTCAATAGGGGTGTATACAGGCAGACACAGATGAGGTAAAGACTGTCAGGTAGCCTCGCGTCGATCAGCTGGTACTGGAGTATCCAGGTTGATCAATCACATTCGAAATCTGGCCGTAAGAGTTGAACGACTGTATAGGGTGGATCCGGGGAAGGAGGATGGACAAGAATTAGTTGTGTTGAAAATGATTAGAAAACCAAAGCTTCTTTATGTATCAAAGAACAGGAGCGGGAGTCCGAGAGAAATGCAAACTAAAGGTTAATCGTTGATAGTCGATGCAGGACCTTGTGCCCGTGCCTCATGCACTCTGCAGCCAGGGCCTGATTAATGCAAATGGGTGAGCACAATAGTATGGAGCAATTGTAGGAACAGAATGTGAAAACACCGAATGTATGCAGTATAAGACGGGAATGGTATGACATCGTTTCCCATCACGGCCCTATCACGTACCTGGCGGCTATAGGTTCGTCTTGTGAGTTCAAGCTGCAGATGGCAAAGAGCTTGGTGCGTGTGAGCAACATCAAACGTGGAGTGAAGAAATGTTGTGATGGTTGATTGGAGAGTCTTCCAGCCGTCTTTGCAAGGGCGAGATCAGTATGGGCGCTGTTTTGGGCGCTTCGCATAAGCTGGCGTAAGACAGCGGAGAGTGACTCCAACATGTTCAACGATAGAGGGCAGCTCGCAAACAAAGCTCGAGAGATGGTGTTGCTCGGTGGCTGGGTGGAGAGGGCACGAAAATGCAATATGTGTTTTCAAGCGCCAGAAATGGACTCCATCGTGGAAAGTTCGACGTTATAGAAAAGGTCAAGCTCTGACTGGAGAACGATAGGCCTGGCATGCAGGCGCAGTGAGCCAAACGAGATGAGCTTGGCTAAGCTCGAGCACAGCACCTGAGCCTATCCATGTTGGGTTAATCCACAACGCCACCGAACTTGTCCCTTCTTTGACTTCGCTATCTCGATGGGTTGTGCAAGAGAGCTTTGCTTTCGTTAATTTCTCACAAAAAATGTCCAGCGAAACAGCGACACGTACCATGACTAAATACGAATACTCCATTTTCTGGTTGGAGTGTTCACTCGTCCATCCTACTGGTCCTGGTGATTCGAGATTGAAGGATGTCTAGCACGTGCGAACCATGAGTAAAAGAGATCAACACCGTATGTGTTGCCGTCTGTCCAGACACTCGCTCCACTATTCTCCATCTCACTACTTCTCATGGAGACACATCGAGAACTATCGACGAGTGCTACACTCAAAGAATTCAGCAAGGACTTCTTCAAAGCTGTTGCTCGTGGTTCATTATCTTTCTAGTAGACTTGCTTGTCTGACTTGGTCATAGACTACTGTTCTGAGCTGGTCGGCTCAAGACCGTTATGTATACAATGTCTCTTGCTGTAATAAGTGTGGTCGCAATCTCGCAATGCAGAGACTGGGAAACAGAAGCTGCTCCCAAAATGTTGGGCTATCTGACGTGTACTATGCTTCAAAGCTTTGCAGAAGAACTGGCATCACGTAGTCATAACGTTGAGTCTGTCATCGACCAAGCACCAGGATCATCAGATGCGAGATTTAGTTTCTCTGGTGTGATCGCACACCTTCATCCTTCGCTAGGTCCGAGTTGTAGTACAGGGTCCAAACCACCTTGGGAACTGTGTCAAAACTTAAAGCACCGAATGGCGCAATCGCGCTGACAGGTGACACCTCATCACGGCTGATTCCGTGTCCATACGGGGACGGGTGGCTGTGATACCCCAGTGATTGCCATGGCACAACAACCTCTTTCGGCGAGAGGTCTATCGTTGAACCAGAAACCTCGACTCCAAGATGCTTGGTTGTCCTAGAAGGTCCGCAACAGACAAGTCAGGTAGAGCCAGTATCCCGAAATAGCGAGTTTCAATGTTGATCTTAGCTGGCTGAGCACGAGAGATTGCAGCTTCCAAGAATACAAGGGCATGTTGTTTCCTGATCAGGATTTGAGCTTCGAATAAGCGAAACAAGTCGATACTCACTTTCTCATAGACGGCGTTCGTAGGGTTGATACAACCGATATGCATATGGTCGTTCTCCGTTAGTGTAGTCAATTGTTTGACTGAAGAAGGCATAGTGGTTTGCCGTGATTTCATCGAGCTTGCTCCACATCTTCGCGGTCCTGCAGCTTCAGGCGTAAACCTAGGCGTTGGATCGGCTGAATCTACCACGTACACCCCTGTTGATTTCGTGACCCCAAATGCTTGCCTAGAGTGTCAAGGTAAGTTCAGAAAATGGTAACCGCGCACAAGGGTAACCGCGCACTCCACTGAATGCAACACCTAACTTTGATCGCATT